CGCACCCGGCGTCCAGATGCTGTGTACGAGCCGGATCACCCCATTGCTCAAAAAGGAGGAGATGGGCGTGGCGGGAGGGATTAGGCCAATCGCGGTGGGAGAGTTGATCTATCGCCTGGCGCTCAAGGCGATAGTGAGGAAGATGGTAAAGAGAGAGATGATGGCGAGGACGCAGTTCGGCGTCAATACCAAGGGAGGGGTAGAGCCGGTCGTCAGGCTGATCGATCGGGCGGTCAAGGGAGAGCTTGGGGTCGAGTACCGGTACGTTACCAGTCTTGATTTCAAGAATGCCTTCAACACCCTTCATCGCAAGATGATCGTCGACGGTCTCCGCAAACACGCACCCGGCCTCTATCGGTGCGCCAAGTGGGCCTACAACGACCGAACCCCCCTCATCGTCCCCGGCGCCCCCTTCCTCCTCTACTCGTCCGAAGGCGTCCGCCAAGGCGATCCATTCGGTCCCTTCCTCTTCTCCGTCGCCTATCGCCCCATCCTCGAGGCCCTCCAAGCCCACCTCGGCGATGACTTTATCATCGTCGCGTACCTCGACGACACCTACATCCTCTCTCGGTTCTCGGACCCGCTGGATCGCATCAGCGAGTTCTTCTCTCGACCAGAGTCAAGCCTGCAGCTCAATTTGAGCAAGTGCAAGACGCTGGGGATGGAGGATATCAGGGAGAATGGGATGGAGATACTGGGGACGATGGTCGGACCAGAGAGCGCCAGGCGAGTCTTCCTTACCAAGAAGGTTGACGCGCAGATCGCCAAACTCGAACACCTATCCCGCCTCGACAAATCCCAATCCTCCTTCCTCATCTTCCGCACCTGCTTCCAGCAAGATCTGCGTCATCTCCAAAGATCTCTGGACACCTCCGACCTCGGCGACATCTGGGACCGGCTCGACTCCGCATACACTTCCATCATAACCGACATGCGGTCGTCTACCGGCTCGGGTCCAGCCGACGCCGAGCTCATCTCTCTACCAGCCAAAATGGGAGGGATGGGAATACTCTCTCATCGTGAGTGTTCTGTTCATGCTCGAGCAGCGGCGGAGGAGAGTGCGGATGCTATCTTGGCCCCGATCTTGGGCGAGGGCAGAGAGGATGGATTGGACGATGAGATCAAGGGACAGGGTGAGAGGTGTCAGGAGGCGTTTGAGATCAGAAGGGATGCGCTGCTGGAAAGGTTGGAGGATAAGGAGAGGAAGTCGATGGTTGAGAACGGTTCTTCGTTGGCAAGAAAGTGGATGTCCGCAATTCCATACAACTCTACAGGACATCTCACCAACTTCGAACTCTCCTGCGGTCTCCACTACCGCACCCTCCTTCCTCCCCTCCTCCCCTGTCGCCACTGCTCCTCTCCCGTCGAGCTCGGACACGACGAGGTCTGCCGGGGTGCTACCAGGCCCCAGTACACCATCGTCCGTCACAACGGTATCGTCAATGCCATCGCCGACGCTCTACGGTCGGTTAGCGGTACCAGAGTGCAGCTCGAGCCCCTCACAACCGACCACGGTTCCCAGCGACGCAACGACCTGCTCGTTTGGGGATCGGACGGGCTAGGGAACGCCACGACAGAGCATGACGTCAAGGTTTACTCTATCCTCGGCGACAAGGTCTACAAGTCGGTCGGGCAGATGAGGGCGGGCAGGTTGACGGAGGCGCCGCCCGCAGACGCCAATCCATGGGACAAGACCATGTGGCAGATGCAGCGGTACCTGTTCACGGTGGACGCAGAGACGGCGAAGGCGGCAGCTGGAGGGATGGGGAGGTTCTCACCGTTGGTGTTCTCGGCCGGCGGGCTGGTGGAGAAGGGGACGATGAAGAGGATGATGGGATGGAAGGAGGCGGTATCGGACGGAGCTTGGGAGTACATGCTGCGGAGGATGGCGCTGGGGCTGTTGAGGAGCAGGGCGAAGATGTGGCAGGTTGGAGGGTAGACGGAGTGATGAGTAGCTAACTTGATAGAAACACTTGTATCTCATAGCAATAAGTATGCAGCTCAATCACCCCTAACCCATAAAAACAGCTCTGGGCATGTCAGCGCTCAGGGTCATCATCCGTCCCACTCGTTTCATATGGCGGAGTTCACTTAAGAGACGCACTGATATCCCTTTCCCCGCGCGTCCGTATCCAAGCTATCATGACATCGCTTTGATTGGGATCAGGCGCGAGTAGCTCACTGAAGTCCCAAGGACAATACACGACTGCTGCACGAGCGCGACCCTCATCAAGCTGGATTCGAGCTGCTCCGCACGTCTGCGGTACTTCTCTTCCCGGGCGCCGTACTGACCTTTAAGTTCTCGAACGACGAGCGCTATCACCATTGCACGGTGTACGAGCCGAGGACAGCTATTGGATCTGCCCAGATACCCGCACAGACAGGGTGGCAAATGGGTGTCAAGTCCGCAAGCCCTTCCTCTACAGACGACTGAAGCCTTACAACTACATACCCGAGGCTTCGATCCTGTTGCCATCCTCGTCCGCATCGATCCTTAGTCTGTACTTACGCAATGCATCTCAATTCCGACCCTTTGTCGTACCGGTGCCTCAGATCAAGAGGGTCGAGCCAGGCAACTCGCCCACCTCATCGGTACCAGCTCCTTTCCTCATCAAGGCTCCAACTCCTCCTTGTCCACCTTGTCATCTACCTTCAACATTTATCCACGCCCAGTATACCGACTTGCTCCACAGCTGTGTCCTGCGCCAAGTCAAGGCAGGTAACACATTCATCCCATACGTATACAAAAACAGGCTGCACGACTGCCTAACTTCACACCCTCATTCCCCTTGACCACCTCGACATCCTTGCCCCCTTTTACCAGCCTCCCACGCTCAGAGCTTCGACTTGCCCTTGTCCCCGCTGACAAGAGTGACCGCCGCATTGCTGATAGCTGGCGCGCCCGTCTCCTTGACCTTCGCAGCTGAATGTATCAGCTCACGATCCACCGAAGGGCACAAACTTCTCTCAAGCTGATACTCACCAAAGATGACCTTGTCCCCTTCCTTCCACATCTCCGTGACGATCGTCTGGCCAGGAATCACAACGCCCGCAAAGCGAACCTTGATGTCCGAGTAGGCGCCGAAGGTCTGGAGTACGTGCTTGCTGGCGATACCCATGGAGCAGAGACCGTGGAGGACTGCATGATCAGCGACGAGCTCGAATTGATGGGCATGACAGAGACGAGGCGAGCTGGGCATGATAGGTCGAGCAAGGTACGGTATCAGGGCAGAAGGGCAGACGACTCACTAGGCTTGGGGAATCCACCGATGCTGGCAAAGTTTGGGTCGAGGTGCAGAGGATTGTAATCGCCCGAGAGACGATATAGAGCCGCCTGCTCAAGCGTAGTCTTCTCCTCGACCACCGCGTCGGGCTGGCGCTTGGGCTTCTCGTTGAGAGCAGTCGCATTGCCTCGGTCTGTATATCAGCTTTGAACCCACTGCAGTCAAGCTAGAACTCACCCGCTCCATTCTTCTTTCCGCCGAAACCTCCGCTCCCCCGGAGGACGACAGTAGATTCGTTGATGAAGACCACCTCGCCGCTCGCCTTGTCCTTCGTCGTCACCTGGACAGTCACCATAGCCGTTTTGCCCTTGTCGAGGACCTCGCGGAGCTTGACCGTGTTGCTGAGTGTCCCGGAGGTAGGAATGGGGGTCTTCTTGAGCTGGAGATACTGCTCGCCGTGGAGGAGCTTGGCGGGATTGAAGTTGGGGACGATCGAGTCAAAGCTGAGACCCGAGGACGAGCCGAATTGAGGGATGACACCAAAAGTGGGAAGAGCCTATCGATCAGCTTGGCCCTTTGTCAAGAATAGCTAGACTCACCTCGAACCCATCCGCGTTCTCGTACACCCACTTGAGATCCGCCGCCTTCGCCCCGATACCCAGGTTGTACAGCAGGACATCACGCTCAGTGTAGGTGAAGTCCTCGGTAGGCTGCGGCATGTTCTTCTTGGCATCCTTGATGGCGTCGGTGTCTTCTGCGTCCTCGTAGCTGTCCGAGCTGGACGAATCGCCGCCAGAGCTGACATTCTCCATGTTGTTGATGATCTGCTCGAGAGCTTCGCGGCCGGAAGCGGGGTGGGTCGCGCGGGCGTCTGCAAGTCAGCTAGGTCCCTACCGAGCATGAACGATGAGCAGGGGAGGCCGAGTGGAATATGACTGGACGAGGATGTAGTGTGGATCTGAGACGGCCGGCGAGACGCGGGTATCGATATCGATAGACAAGATAGCTTACCAAAGGTAGTGATCTCCTTCCATCGAGACATGATAGCCTCGGGCTTGAGCTCCTTGTCGTTGGGGAACACCGCACTGAATAAGTCAGCTACGACCCCCTCTTCGATTTCGTGACAACATGGAAGCGTTTCCGACTCACCCGTAGGTACGTTGCCACCTGATCTTGGCTGCGTATCCACCAAAGACCTCGTGGACAGTCCCGGAATCCTTGCACTGGTCGGACGCCAAGTACCCGACAAAAGGAGCAACAAAGTCCGGCTTCATCGCCTCCAGCATCTCTTTGGGCCAGACCGTCGCTGTCATTGCCGTACCAGCACGAGGAGCAATGCAGTTGACGTTGATGTTGGCACGAGCACCCTCGATGGCAAGTGTGCGAGTGAGACCCATGATGGCGGCCTTGGCGGTCGAGTAGTTGGATTGGCCGATGGTACCGTCTGCTCTTATCAGCTATTGATCTATACTGTTCGAATGGGCAGCACAGGACTCACAGAGACCGTTAGGCGAGGCAGTTGTGATAATACGCCCATACTTCTGCTTCTGGAAGACTGGCCACACGGCCTTGGCACACTGCGAAGTCAGCTGCGTTCTCTAGCTTCGCGACAATATGGTACGAGCGGCAGCTCACCTTATACGTGCCCTTCAGGTGGATAGCAATGACCAAGTCCCACATCTCTTCCGTCATCCCGAGGAAACTTTTGTCCCGGAGGAGACCAGCGTTGGCGACGAGGACGTGGACGGTGCCGAAAGCGTCAAGAGCGGCCTTGACGATAGCATCTCCATCCTCAGCGGAGCAGACGGCAGAGACAGCCTTGACGCCAACTATCGGGTCAGCTTACATCCAGCGCAAGGGAGGACATCTAGCTGGGCTCACGCTTCTTGCACTCGGCAACGACCGACTCGGCATTCTCCTTGTTGACGTCGTTGATAACGACGTTAGCGCCGAGCTTGGCGAACATCAAGGCGTAGATCCGACCGAGACCCGCGCCAGCTCCAGTGATGATGACGACCTGGTCCTTGAACCCGATGGCGGGCGAGACTTGCTTGGATGGGGAGCTGTTCATAGACTTCTTGAGCAGGCCCCGAGGTGTCAGCTAGGGCCGGGTCAATCTGGTCGGAGTAGCTCACCTGCATGTCATTGTCCTCCGAGTTGATGGGGTGCTCGGCATCCTTGAAGCTGGCGACCTCATCCCACTTGGCAGCGACAGCGGAGGGGGTGAAAGAGTCGTCGATCTTCCAGACGGCACCTGAGAGTTAGCCACAGCTCATGTCCAGCAGGCAAGCAAATAGCAAGGCTCACCTTTGGACCGCTCGTACCTGACCTCAGAGACAAAGCCGGCCCCAAGCTCGAAGATCCGGCCGTTGACATCTGGGCCCTACACTATCAGCTCTGTTGGACACCTCATCCACTGCGACTGAGCTCACATTCTTGGCGGTCAAGACACCGACAAGAGGAGCAATAAACTCCGGCTTGAGCCCCTTGAGCATCTCTGGCGGCATGATCGTCTCGGTCATAGCGGACGCAGCAATCTGCAGACTCAGCTCGATCTCTGACTAGCACGACTGGAGGGCGGGGCAGCTCACAGGAACAATGACGTTGACCTTGATGTTGTGTTTGGCTCCTTCACGCGCGAGCGTGCGGGTCAGACCGACAAGACCCACTGGACCAGTCAGCTACTGCCATACAGAGGAGGCTGTCAGCTCACTCTTGGCGGCAGAGTAGTTGGCCTGGCCCATGTTACCGTACAGACCGGCAGCGGAGGCGGTGTTGATGACTCGGCCGAACTATCCTTTTAGCTTTGCTCAAGCCAAACGACATCCAGGGGCGACGAAGTGAATGTCAAAGGCAGACCCACCTGCTGCTTCCTGAAGATAGGCCAGGCTGCGCGGGTGCAGCTGTACGCTCCTTTGAGGTGTACCAGAGTAACAAGGTCAAAGTCCTGGTCTGTCATGTTCTTGAACGCCTTGTCGCCTGTCGGGTCAGCTGAGGCTCCAGACGATTTGTAGACGCGCTGCTAGCTCACGGAGAATACCAGCATTGTTGATCAGGATGTGGACGGTCCCGAACGCCTTGACGGCTTGGTCAATGATCTTTTGACCTTCTGCGACGGACCCGGCGGCTACGGCAGCTTTACCACCGGCTGACTATGTCAATTCAAGTCCCATATTTCCAGAAAGGATAGCTGACCCTTGTTGATCTCATCGACGACCTTCTGAGCGGCCTCAGCAGAGACGTCATTGACAACGACCTTGGCACCGCGCTCAGCAAAGAATCGAGAGTAACTACATTGTCAACAGTGCAACTCGGAGGAGGAGATCGCAAGTCATCTCACGTCCTGCCGATACCGCTTCCAGCGCCGGTCACGACAGTGACCAGGTCCTTGAACTCGAGCTGGTTGTTTGCGGACATGTTTGCGATTCGCGGGAGAGGGGATGGAACCCGACGGATAGTGAGCGGTAAGAATCCGACTAGTTTTGGGAGAGACAGGATTGCTGTTCTGTTTCTTCCTGAGAGCGAGAGCTAGTCAGACTGACTGTGAGCAGATGTGTAGAGAAGAGGTATAGAAGGTCTAGAGTAGGCAGGGATAAGCAAGCAAGAAGGACAAGCAGAGACACACCCGGCTGAATGAGAGTCAAGTAGCCGGAGTGGGCGTGGGGGTGGGGGAGCAATTAACGTCCGGGTGGCAACGAGGAATGTCTGGAAATAATCCGTTGAACGGCCGGAATCCGGACGCGTTTCAGCTTTTTCCGGATTTACGCCAGGCCAGAAAGCCAAAGGCAAGCACAGCTCAAGTCAATCCACCACACGAACTCTGCTCCAGGCCAACATCCCTACCAGCCTATCAGGCTCTCGACGGTCTAGGGAGGGCTTAAACATCCAATCAGATCAGCTCTGCTTTCGCAGCCATGTCGATCTCACGCGCATCGCTCGCTGCAGCCTTGGTCGGTGCGTGCTTTAGCTTCTTTCATGAGCTGTCACCTTGACATGGTATTGCCTAAGCGCTGACAGTATAGAGTACGACAATGACGATCTCCCTACCTATGAACGGAAGAACCACCGCCAGTCTGCGCTCTTCTCGCATCTCCAGCCAAGGTCACCGCCACCGCCGCAATTGCCATCGCCGGTCAGCCTCATCCCGCTGAGGGAGCATGATGGGCGAGGGCAGCATGGGAGGCAGCAGAGCGGGTCTTCAAGCCGCTGTGAAGATACTGGGGGCCAGGTCAACGACATGCACGGTCCCCGCAGGAGCTTTCAGAGTGGTCGCTCGTCCGAGCCCCAAGCCGAGCCCGAGCGGGGAGCAGAAGCAGAAGACGTCGATGTCTCCCGCTGGGACCTCCCTGAGCATCTCGTCTCTACCGCACCCGCCAAATCTCCCGACCTCGTCCGTTCGCAAATGATATCCCGATCGTCCATCCCCCAGATCATCACCAAATCCGCCTCTACCCCTGTTCCCCATCCGGAATCTTCCCCGTTCCAACACCGCGCCCGCTCTATCCACCTCGACCAGGACACGCCAGACCCTCCTCGTCCCAGCCTAGACTCGGGTGCTCGTCGGCGGACCGTATCGTTCGAGCTGGACCGGAACGCTGATCCCGCTCGGCGGCGGACACACTCCACCTCGGAGTATCTCTCCAGTGTGGACGCGGCGCTAGCGGCGGCGGAGCGGGCGTTGGCATTGGCGGATGCGCCGAGAGCGCGGTCCGTGATGGGCGTGATGGGTCTGGATGAGATCGGGTTGGAGGGAAGTAGGGTGAGGGAGCCGATGATGGTACCTCTGCCCTCCTCACCGACTTCCATGCGGTCCCGCCCTATCTCGGCCATGTCGATGAGTCGGGGTCGGTCGTTTGACTATGATCGGCGGGAGTCTATCGCCGAGGGTCCAGAAGAGGACAACACACCCAACCCTTTCGCTCTCCCCGCTCCACCGTCGAGCCAGGCATCGCGGTTCGACCCGAAATTCGCCGAATCAGCCATCAGTCTCAACCCATCTTCGCCGCCCATCCTCCCCACTCATTCCCGCCAACTGTCTACCCCGTCCACACTCGATCCTCGTCGTCTCTCCCAATCGCAATCTCAGCCCCAATCCAACCGCTTATCCCACATCCCACCCCTCCATCCCGTCTCCGCCAACATCCCCGAACCCTCCCGGGTCTACGCAGACATCCCCACCCCAGGCGAATTCGGAAAACCCCTCTTACCCTCCAAATACGCTCGTCGATCCCAGGCGGACCGACAGTCCCTCCTCCGCCCTCGAACACTCATCATGCCCGCTTCTCTCCAGGGAGCGGGGTACGTTCCGCCCGCCAAGGTCAGGGATGGGTTCGTACTGGGCGAAAAGCCCTTACCGGCGGGAGCGAGGAGTAGCATCCTCACGATGAGTGGGCAGGGCGGATGGCAGAGCGGAGCTGGAGGGATATTGCCGGGGCAGGTCGGAGAGGTCCAGCAGCAAGGACGGGAGTTTGGGAGGGGGCTGGCGATGGAGTTGCAGGAGACGGAGGAGGAGGAGAGGAGGAGGTTGCAAGAGGAGGAAGAGGTCAGGATGGCGAGGGAACAGAGGAAGAGGGACAAGATGCCCGGGAAGCTATATGTGAGTGATTGTGCTCATCAAGCTTGGGGTGTCGGGGAGTGGGGGCTACGACGTCGAGTCCGCTCGGGACTGGCTGGACAGTGTTGTGATGGGCGTAGGCGGGGTGAGCGCGGGCGGGATGCGCCCAGGCGGGATGTGCGCAGACGGGGCATAGGTCTTACTTCCGTCAAGCCAGGCAGGATACACTAAGACACTTGGCTGGGGATGACGCTGACCTCGTAGGGTACGAGCCTGATGGATCAACTCGAAGCGAGGAAGCAGTACACCAAGAATCAGCAAAGGTGAGCGCTACTTGCATTTCTCAGCTAGAAACGCTGGGGCACGCGTCCACCCTCTTTTCCTGAGACCCGAGGAGAAAATTGCGATCTGCGTGATTCTACTTTGGCTTGAATACTCATGCTGACTCTGCAGAGTATTCACCGGCGATTCTCGCCCAAGCATGTTCGCCCGAAACTCCATCTTACCCGGCTCGACCTCCTCCCAATCCCTCTCTGCGCAGCTCGCCACTTCTCCACCAAACCAGCCGCTCATCTCCCCTCCTGGCCAACCTGCCCAGCTCTACCCGACCTCAAACCAGTCATCGTCTCCCGACAAGACACGGCGCCAGTCTCTACGGGCCCCACTGATCCAGTTCGACGGGAATGACCCCTCTGCCGGTCAGCTCCCAGAAGCTCGACCGGGAATGACCAAGTCTCGCTCGGTCTTTGGCGTGGACGAGCTATGGGAGAAAGAAATGGCGAAGCTCAAGATCATCCAGGCGGAGGAGGAGGCTAGGCGAGCTGCGCAGGAGCAGAAAGAGCGGGAACTGGCGCAGAGCCCGAAGAAGAAGAAAGGGTGGTTGGGCGGGAAAGACAAAAAGGGAAAGGGGAAAGCCAAGGAGAGTCTGAGTCCGTCAGGGACGGCGGTACTTCTGGGGCGGTCGCCTGAGAAGACGGACTCCGGGACGGGCGGGGATGGGCATGGGGCATCGCCTGTCAAGAATCGAGTCGGAGATCTTCCGCCTACGCTACGATACTCGCCGGAGAAAGCGGCCGCGCCGACTTTGGCGCCGGATCTGGGCGGTGCGAGGCGGCCTGCAAGTCGAGCTGGGCTGGACGGATGGAGCAGCGAAGACGAGGATGGGGATGCCCGGCGTCGGTCGAAGGGGAAGGGGAAGGCTGCACCGCCTCCACCGGTCCGACTCGACTCGGACACGGACTCGGAGGATGACGTTCCCCTCTCGCGCATCCCTATATCTCGGCCGGCACCCCTTCGTCCCCCATCCGAGTCTGACTCAGACGAAGACGTTCCTCTCTCACGCCTCGCGCCTCGTCTTGTTGATCCGCCCACCATCCAGCTCAACTCAGACGTCTCGGGCTCGCTAGGTCTCTCCGTACCTGCCCTCCCACCCTCCATCTCGCCTCGACCACCTACCGCCTCGCCCGGCGATATCCCCATCCTCCCCCTCCCGACATTTTCCGCTCCCGCCGCCGCCGAAGAGGACGACGACGACCGCCCCCTCGGTCTTAGAGCTACCACCTCTACCAAGTCCATCCACAACATCGGGACTCAGCGGACCGAAGAGGAGAAAGCGGAGATTGAGGATGATCTACCGCTGGGGTTCAAACACGCCAATGCGGTCCAGCGGCAGGTATCGGGCAATAGCGCCGGCTATCCACCTATGGACGGAGCTGGTCAGGCCTTCTCGCCGTATCCGCCTCAGATGGGATGGGGGATGCAGCAACAGCACCCGGGGATGCCGATGGGGATGGGGAGCGTATATGGGATGGGGATGATGGGGTATCCGCCACAGTCGTATGGTGGACATCCGGGATATGGCGGGATGGGGATGGGAATGGGGATGGGGATGCCTCAGGGGGTCCCATTGCAAGGGAACGGACTACCTTTCTTCCCTTCGCCGCAGATGCCAGCGTCGGGCTCGGTATCTCAGGGCCTCGGTCCGCCGCCGTTGGGTCCAGGAGGGAACATCGATAGTTGGCGTAAAGGGGTACGGGCGCCTAGTACGGTCGGAGGAGAGGGTGGACGATAGATCGGGTCGGTAACGGGAGGAGATCATCGACGGAGCAGAGGGTGTCGTCAGGGTGAAGAGGGTGGATGAGAGGGGAGGTGCTGGCTGGATTAGGAGGGGGTTTGGCGCGAAGTAGCTATTTTTACGAGGCATGACTATCATGATGGGGACGATGAGCTACGACTAGTATATATCTATGGACAGTAGCGCTTGCGATGTGTTGCTGTGGCGGAGTCCTGCTCAAGAGACGAGCAGAGAGCATCTGCGCGGTCCGCGGACCAACCCGGTGGAGGTCCAAGCTCAAGGTCAACTCAAGGTCCAAAAATTGCTAGGGGAACTCTCGCTGCCTTGGTCTTTACCTTTGATGTTGGTATCGATTTCAGCTAGTCTCATCCCCCTGTACCTGCTGCTGCTGCTACTGCTGCTTCGAGATCGAGGCTCTTGTAGCAGTATGAGCGTAGCATATAGGGTTTGGCCTGCGAGGGGAGGAGGACGGCTGTGTGGATGTTGACTCGGCGTAGAGAATCACTCAACCACCCATATCCCTTGGCCTCTTCCTTCCCCTCATCGTCTCCTCCTTTCCTTCTGTATACAACCTCCTCGTACTGATCCCATCCCTGCGCTGAGAGACTCTAACCTATACTCACCAGCGCCGACCAAGGCACCGGTTAATCGCGCCCACCATGTCCAACCTCCAGCTCCGGGTCACCCCACCTTCCACCCCGGTCCGTTCCCCTCGGTCTCGGGTGGACGCTCTCGCAGAGAATCGTACGCCTTACGGACCGGCACCAGCCAGGTCTCCATTATCGACAAGGAAGGGATATGGCAATCGGAACCTGCCCGGGTCGGGGCTGAAGGGAAAGAGGAAGGAAGAGGGAATGGAGCGGCGGTATGAGGATATAGGGGTGGGGAGGGGGGTGAGGGCGGAGGGGAGTCCAGCTAGGGAGGTTCCAGCTCGAATGAGTGAGTCCAGCATGCCATCTGGGGACTTTGTATGGAGGATCGGAGTCGGCGCAAGGGTTCAAGCTTCAAGAGGTGTCGGATTGCGCGTCATGACCGCTTCTAATCCCGCCCCCATCTACGTCTTGTCTCCAGTCCCTCGGTCTCTTCTGGTGGAAGTCAGCTGACAGACAGTACCTCTACCATACCATCCTCCTCTCTCTCCACCTCATCCTCATTCATCCGCACTACCATGGTTCTACACCCCTCCCCTCTTTCAAGCGCAGCAGCTCGGTTCCTCCAGCACCCGTCCGTCTCTCGCGGATCGCGCTATCTTCAATGACCACCCCACCGGCGTACTATTCCAGCAGCACACAGGAGACGTCTCGGACTCGAGCTACTACATGGCGGATACATCTGGCTCGATCGATGATGGCGAAGATGAGGATATGGGGGATGTCAGTGTACAGCTGGATATGGAGTGGGAAGACGATGAGAGCGGGTCGGAGGCGGGACTGGTAGACGACAGTACTGGAGGATCTACCGAGGGTGAGCTAAGTGACTTGCTGGGAGATCAACAAGATGCAAGCTGACATTACAGGTGTTCCGGTCAACAACTCGCCTGCCGGCCGACCCGAGCTGATGTCTCAGGCAAACGAGCCAAGAGGTGAGTCACTCCCTCCCGTTTATTCTTGTTGTAGCCTGAAGCTGACTACCAGATATTACTCCCCTGCATGCGCCTGCCATCGCTACACCAAACCAAGTCTCTGTGGAGGCGGAAGAGATCTCAAATAAGATCGGAAAGGGTGCGTCTGCTCTCTCCTATCCCATCTGCAACAGTATGAAGTCAAGCTGATAGTTCAGCTGGATATGTACCTAGCCGTATCCAGGCTATCGAGACTCGACAACGGCGACCTCTGCGCCCGACCTCGCCTCTACCATCGCCCAAAAAGCAGCGGCTTATCGGTCCGTCTCTCCCTGTGGTGGATGACGGAGCGAGCTACTTCGCCCCATCTCACAAGATCCCAAGAACGCCCGCCATCAGTAAATCATCTTCGTATCTTCCTCGTCTGCCTCCGGTCCATCCCGCCTCCTCAGCTCCCCCACCTCCCTTCAATGTCACTACCGCCCCTCTCACTCGGCCATCTTCCCCTGTTCTGCGCCCCCACATCACTCAACCGGATCTTCCTCCCTCAGTTCCAGCATCCGCACCGGTCAACCCCTCGGCCGCCACACCCGGCGTCGACAATCTCCTCGCTCGAGTCCATACCCTCTCGCTTGAACAAGCGGCGCTTTCGGCGGAAAATCGTCATCTCTGGCAGATCAGGCGGGAGCAGGATGAGCGGATCACTCTATTGGAGGAAGAGCGGGTCAGGCTGCGCGCGCAGGTCCGGAGCGCCGAGGCGGACAAGGTGGAGTTGGAGAAGGAGGTGATGGAGGTGCGGAATGGCAGTAGCGAGCGACTGAACGGGATGCTGGAGAGACTACGATGCGAGTACGAGGCGAAGCGGGCGGTAGATGGAGAGGAGATGGAGTGGTTACTTTCGGAGCAGGAGGCGCAGTCTTTGTTAATGGTGGAGAGGGCTGGGATGATGGTGAGTAGCGCTTTACCTCGATGCCGCTGGGCCGCACGGACTGGGTGTAGCTGACCATTTAGTCTACTACCCACTGGAGCAACACTGTGGCTCCGACGGCAATCATCAAGCGGAAGATGGCTGAAGGTGGGCTCTGCTCGCCGATTAATGCTTACTCGCAGAGGACGGCTTAGTCTCTTTAACGAAGCGGGCGTGTCTAGGCGGCAGACGAGCAGAGGGATGAGGCTCGATGAGGACCGGTTGTACCTCATAGGCAGTCGTTTTCATGCGATGTTCACTGCATGATCACTGACCACCTTAATATGACTTGGGTGACGGTGACATGCTGACCGATCATTGAGCTTCAGCTGCGTGACTTGAAATATACGAGTAGTACTCCACTACGCTTGAGATGTTGACTGATTTCCACACCACGGAAGTAATGACTGAGTGCGAGCGAGGCCACCGAGCACAGCACTGCCAAACTCGATATCACATCGCTGGACGCTATCCGGGTTCTGGGATGAGCCGGGCCATCCGAAGTTTATACCTCGTTACACGATACTGAGCGATACACTGCTAGCCTCGGTAATATAACCGACGTCCCGACAATCTTGTCCTACTTACCTCAGAATGTAGGCTGTACAACACCTTTTAAGGATAAATGATAAGTCCACTGACGCCGACTGGGGAACTCCGGCATGGGGGGGCAGTCAACTAGACATCTGATACATAAAGCAATACTGAGCGACGACATCGATGAACTTCCTCTCCCTGATGATATCAAGCCATCCGTCCTCCTTCGCACACCTCATCCCACTGCGAATGACTGCAACTCCTCATCCGCATGCCTCTGCTTCCTGGCTTGCAGGCTCGCCCAAGACGCAGCGTAGTAGTCCAGTGAGGAGCGACATAGGGCCTGCATGGGTGCATACGCCTCGTCCTCGAAGGGATTGGTCTCAGGATTGTCTTCGAGCCACTGACTGAGGTGTTTCAGACCATGAGACCACTTGACTGCGGTGCGCGCGGTGTAGTCGTTCATTGCGTCACGTCCTTGACTTTTGGCAGCGTGGACGCGATTGATACGCGAGACGGCGTCGATGGGGCCAATCAGGGACACCGTCATGTAATCGCGGTGCCTGCCTTCAACCATCTGGTATCGGCCTTTGATCCTCGGAACGTCAACACCGATATTCGATCCAGGTGGAAGGGACTCGAGGTATGTGGAGAACGCTCTCAGCCCGTCCTGGATCTTGTCGGGATCTTTCTGGCCCGCAGTGATGGGGTTGTTTGTCGTTTGGATCGAGTCGATGAGCGACTGCAGGCTCTTCGTCCAGTAGCCATCAATCGCGTTCCACCGTTGGCCGTACTCAGCGGCTGCGTTGATTGCTGCCCGTCTGGCGGCTTTCCTGACAGCGTTCCCCTGTGTCGCGTCCAGCTCCGTCTCTTCTGCTTGCCTCACCGTGTCCATCATGCTCTTGAGACACCTCTGCTCCTCCCCGAGCAGGTCCGTCACTGTCTTGAAGTCTCGGATGACGGACGTATGGTCCTGGGTGGGACCGCTCTTCCCCTCGCACCAGACAAAGTGGAAAGGCTCCACGGCATCCTGATCCTCGTGATCGGCGATGTTCAGCTCGGGGTCGACGATATCCTCGGAGTCGACGATATCCCAGCCGGGCTCTTGATCCGCAATGTCGTGTGCGGCTGGAGCTGGTGCAGACATGTGATCAGGATGATGTTGGATGTGAAGGGGAAAATGAAGTGCAAAACTCCATTACATTAAGGCAGGCCGCGCGCCAACATATAGGAATACCGAAAGCTGGCCTGATTGACGACTCGTTCATGGCAGGGGATGGTCCAGAAAGGAATCAGCTTGATTGCGGTCAGTCAGTTTCAATCAATCCTTTCCTGTACTCTGCTCGCCCTGGAGATCTGCTGGCCCTTTGTGTGCCTTGCGTTTCAGGCTGCACAGCCTCAAATCGGTCCGCAAAGCGAGCATATATACTTGCCACTCTCCCCGCACCTACGAAAAGCAAATGGGGGTGGCGAGTGGGGTCTGGCGTACCAAGCGCTGAGGGAGTCCCTCCTGATAGCTCTTCTGATACTCAACTGAGAACATCTGCTGCATCTCTCAAACGCAGTACATGACCAGAGGGCACTTTCACAGTTTCACCCGCCAGCCAAATTTGCCACCCAAGAGATGTGGAGCGCTACAGTATCTGCGTGAGCCAGTGCAATATGTATGATGTCTCGCCAATCTGAACAATCACTTCAAGAAAACAGTACTCGTCGGGTGCCTATACTGGATCAAACCTCAACGTCACCGGGACACTGAAAAAGATCGCTTCTCCGCGGTCAGCATAGGTGCTTCAGCTCCTGCGCCTTCCATCGGTCACAAGCTCTTACAGGTATCAGAAGCTCGTCCTCCCTCTGATCCCTCCTCCTACAACATCAAACGGTTTCGCCCTCACACCCTGGCATATTCCATTGCTACTTTGCGGGCCGAACGTGTATGATATTTGGCTTGAAAAGGACACTGAACGTGGGGCATGATGTCAAAGGATGATGTACCGGTCACCCATCTAGAATATGCTATATAGAGCTGGTTTCCCCTCCTCAATCTCTCAATCACACTTCATCCCCCGCCACATCTGAAAAAGATCAACCAATCCTACTAAATACTACCCACCCACCCACACTAGCAACTATCACAATGGCTACTGTCGCAACCATCTTCCCCTCCCACCCCGCTGCCATGACTCTGGTCTACCCTACTCCCCCTACCACTCCTACTTCGCCCACCTTCTTCCATCCTGCCAAGCGCTCCGCTTCCACCCTCTCCTCCCCCATCGCTGCCAAGACCCCCACTCAGACCTTCCAGATCCAGTCCCCCGCCCCGAACTATGCCCTCCTCCGCTCGCACCACGTCTCTGCCATCAAGTACATCATCGCCAAAGTCCGCTGGCAGCAGGCCAACAACTCCTACCTTCCTGGAGAGTCAGCATGGCAAGAGCACAATGCCATGATCAAGAGGCTCGAGGATGAGCTCAAAGCTGTCGAGGCTGCTCAGAAGGACCTTGACCGTTTCCCTACCTTCTGCCACGCCCCCGTCGCCCCTCTCGAGACCAAGCCCTACGGCCCCCAAACCAAAGAGCAGGTCGAGAAGGCTCAGGCGGAGGCTGAGCGCAAGGACAAGGAGATGGACCGTGAGATCGAAAAGCAGTTCCCCTTCATCAAGCAGCTCTTCATCGGCCCCAGGACCAAGCAGCAGGCGCGCAACGACAGGCAGCTTCGCAAGAACCTCAAGGCGGGTGATCTCATGGACATCACTGAGCTCCTCCCGTCCGAGAACTTGCGGGCGGCGATGGCGGCGGCGGGTCAGGGTGAGAAGAAGGCTGAGAAGAGGCGGCCATACCATGAGGTCCGGATGGAGAGGGAGAAGGCCAAGGTCAAGGCGATCCTTGAGGAGGAGGAGGCGAGAATGGCAAAGCTTCCCGCTGTTGAAAAGCCGGCGCGGATCGGCCCCATCACCAAGGAGGAGCACATGGCTTCTCTCCCCGTCTTTGGTCCCCCTACCCTCGGCGAGGCTCTCCTTCCTATCCAGCGGGAGCAGCGCCACATCATCCTCAACTTCCTCCGTAAGCCGTGGCAGCAGTATGACGAGGAGGCTGCGCCGCTTTTGGAGCGTTTGGGGCGGTTTGCTGTCAAGCGTCTGAACCAGGACAAGGACAAGGAGGCAAAGCAGGAGTAGTGAAGTCATGTCGTTGTATATAAGCATGCAGCAGCGGTGTACCTCATGTCGTGTTAGTACTTTTTGAGATCTTGACGCGGGAGAATGATTAGCAGGTAGTCAAGCTCAGAAGGAACGGCGTTGGGTTGGATAGCAAGTAGCGCGTCAGCGAAGTTAGTATCTGATACTCTGAGTAAGCGCCTCCCATATCCAGTCCGATCAATCACCAGGTTAGCCCAGGCCAAGCAGCACAATCCATCCCGCCTACCCAGTCACCAGATCCGGCCGCTGATAAAACTCCTTCGGCAACTGTGGTAACAATCCCGGCCGTCCCCCACCCCCTCCCATACCCTTGCCGCCACCCGCGGGACTTCCAGGCCCAGATCCAGTCGTTCCCCCGTCGATATGATGCCGCAGATTCGCCTTGATAGGCTCGAGATGCGCGTGCCGGGCCCATTTCTGGGCGTGAGTGCCTTGAGCGCGGACGCCGAGGTCGGCGTGTGGGGAAGAAGGGGGTGGAGGGGTCCAGAGTTTGGAGTGGCCGGGTGAGTGGGTGGGATTGGAGATGAGCGGGTGTGCTTCTAAGCGATGTCAGCTGACTTCACGACATTCCGAAGTCGTATAAGAGGCAGACGTACCGGTGTTCAAGACGTAGTCGTCCAGGTTGAGCAGATCGGTATCCGCATGAAGCAGGTAGTGATATCTGATGTTTAGCTGAAGCTCCCCTCGCTAGCCTCAGACTCACTTGAAGGTCTCGGCAAAGGTAAAGCTCTCCATATTGTCCCCATACAGGATCTTCTCCTTGGTGACATCATGGATCGAGCTGATACCCCCATCAACCTTGGCAGCCGTCATCCACGAGACAAACATCTTCCATCCTCGATCTTGCCATTTCCGATCGCCAGTGAGGCGGTACCTGCTATCAGCCCTGCCCATACTCGCACTCACATGTAGAAGATCGACTCGATCGTCTCGGGCCGATTGATTCCCCGCCCATTGACCGTCCTCGTTCCGATCGGCACCCCCTTCAGCTTCTGATAGTACTTCTCCGGCTCCTTCACCTGCCCCACCGGGATCGCCTCGTGCCCCAGCGTACTCCAATCATCCGCCCAGTGATATATCCCATTCCCATCCTTGGACGCCCTTCCCTCTTCGACCTCTAGATCAAAGTCTACCTTGCTAGGTGCAGGGTGGTACGTCTCGCCCGTCGCGAGAGAGATATTTTCATACGCCAGCGCCGCATTGGTGGAGTCGTAGAATTCGACCGACTCCGGCTGGAGACCGGACGGAGTCGCCGCCGAGAGCCAATAGCAAGACTCGGTGAATGCCTCGGCATCATCCATGTCTTCTGGCCGGTCCAAAAGTTTGGCGCCGAGTCCGAGCATCGCGCCGGCAAAGCACGTGAGATGCTCAATCTCGGGCACGGGCCGGCCATTATCCCATTTCCCAATCGCGAGGAGGTCCCGGCCGGGGACGATATCGAGGTCCCAAAAGATGATCTTTCTGGACGCGTCCACCGATCCCTCGTAGAGCCGCTTGTACTGCTCCGCCTGGGGCGAGCTGGGTCCGCCGAGGAGCCGATACGCCTTGATGAGGTACTCGTAGTAGCTATCTGCGAGACCGCCCCAGGCAAATGTACCAGACATGACGGTGTCGATAGACGCATCCGGCTGGAACCAGAGGGGTATGAGGGGTTTTTGGGCCGAGCGGGGGATGACGCGCGCGTCCAGATAGTCGATCGTCCGCTGGGCGAGATCATGCCATTGACGATCGCCGGTGAGTTGGGCGAGGCGGAACAGCTCCAGTGTCATGGTGCCCACCTCGGCCAGGGAGATGGTGCCCAGCATGAGCTTGAGTTCCGAGCCGGGATCGACGCGGTTGGAGGGGAGACCGGATTGGGTATTGTACGCCGTTTTGATGATATGGGCGAGATCGACCGCCCGTTCCAGCATGAGTGCGTCTCCGCTGAGATCGTGCGCGCCGAGGAGACCGCCAAGATATCGGATGGCCGTCTCGAAGATACCGAGGCCGACGTTGCGATCCCGCCCGACCGAGACTTGGTCCTCGAGCGGATCCTCGTCGTGCGGCAAGTCGGGCTTGGGAGGGAGGGTATAGCCGTGCGCCCAGTCTTTGCCAGATACCCAGTCAAAGTTGAGCTGGTTGACGTGGGGGCGACAGAGATTGTACTCGTCGTTGAAGCCGAGGAGGAGAAGGGTGTCGAGGGTGTCGACGATGGATGCGCCCCAGCTGAGGAGTCAGCTCAATCTCAGCGGATATGGGCGACCTACTTGTTGAAAGGGTCCGAGGACTGCTTCGTTACTGGTCTCACTTCGTCGTGACCTGACATCAGCTCATATATCAGGAGAAAAAGAACTAGCTCACCCCATGCGTGATCCTTGTATGCCTGCCAGGCGTGCGCGAATCCCCTCTTGACCGCCTCTGCCCGCTCTCCTCGTATTGCCTTCCACGCCGCGTCCTCTTGTCCCTCCAACACATGCTGTACCCTCTTCCCCTGCTTTCTCGTCCTATTCCATTCCTCCGGTCCACTCCAGCTGAGAACGAAAGCGCTCTGTGGAAACTCCTGCTTTGGCAGATTCTCCCCGATCGGCGCCGGATGTGGAGAGATGACCTCGCGGAGTTTGCTATCTGGGTAGGCGTGCAGTTTCGGTGGACGGAAGAAGGTCGTAAGATCGATCTCTGGGAAGAGTGCGGACGGAGGAGGAAGGAGGGAGATGTCGGGGTCAAAGGAGGGGATAGAGGTCGAGTTGGGATAGGTTGGGTAAAAGTGGTCGCCGTATCGATCGACGATATAGTCGAGCCCCTCGAGCTCCAGCATGGCTTTGGCTTTCCCCTTTCCTGTCGGTGTAGGCCGGCCAAAGATCCCTCCATTCTCATCCACCCACACCCCCTCCGAGTTGACCCCATCCCCTCCCGAGGCTTCTCTCCGCCAATCCGACAGGTAAAACACCATCGCGCCCATGATGACCGCCGCCCCGACCCACTTTCCCCTCCTGCTCAAGAGCCGCCTGACCATCCTGGATGGAGATCCACCCCTCGACTGGGAAGAAGCAGCCTCCGGATCGTAGCCCTGTCCGAGCTTGATTCGGGGTGGGGGCGACATTGGCAATCCGAGGAGACCGGGCGGAGCGACGCCGGATATTCTTTCGCGTGAAAGTGAAGGGTAGAGGATCTCGTATGTGCCTGATGTAGTAGGTGTACGTCTCTGCCGTGAGGACTGTGACATAGCTGGAGAGGCAGAAGAGGGATAGATGTAGAGGTCAAGGGGGGCATTCAAAGGCGCGTTTCAGATTAAGGTTTTGGTGCGTCCAAGGGGGCTGGAGGAATGAGGAATGTGGCACTTTTGATGGGGATCATCAGATCAAGAGCAAGACTGTGCTGCTGCCGTCGTCCTGACTTGGGCAGACCATGAGCTGCTAGGTAATCTCGATCATACATGTCCTACACGCAAAAAACGTGAGTTCTGGCACTGACCGGCAATGCGGGCTAGCCGATACCGGTTGGACACAGCCGAGGACGGGGCTGGCAGATTGCGTGGAGCCCCCTTGCAGCTTGCCACCTTATGGCCAGCCTCTATCCCTCGTATGCGCGATCTTGCTCGTCCAGTGATGACGATGTTTACACCGCGGGTACCTTTTTCGACTCGCCACCTGTCTCGTCACCCCGCCCAGCCACTGTGCAGGAGGTATAAAGCAGAGCTCCCCCACCACCTTCTTCTCTCATCCTGTCCCTCACTCGCAATCATCATCCATCGCTCCACTCGAACCACACTCCAAGACTCGTGTAGTAAGAACTTCAACATGTCCGTCCTCAGTACCGCTCAGACGCCCATCCCGGACACATCCTGCCATTGCATTTGCTGCAAGCGATGGGGCGTGCCTCATCAAGGTCCTCAGTAAGTCATACCAAATTCCAGTTTGGCATACTCTGCTGATATGTACAGCACGTTGGAGAGCGTGACAGTCCTTCTCCACCGTATCTGTGAGGAGAGGGAGATATGCGACAAAGACTTGATAGATATCCAGGCGAAGATTCGGAAAATTGACATGCGTCTCAGATCCATAGCAAGTGTATCTGCTACACCTTGAGCGATTCCGACTGATGAAAATACAGAATCTGAAGACCTACGACTACGATCTCCTGGGAGCCATCACGCTCGGTCAGAAGCTTCGGCTGGCGGTGCAAGAGTGGGATATCTACGCCACCTGGAGAGCTCAACTCCGTGGCTACCGACGCGAGGCCGAGGAATTCATCAAGGCGAACTCGGGGTCGAGCACAAGCCAGACTACCACCAAGAACGGCTGGGATCTGTCATTGGATGACCTCCCTTTCGGTGAGTCGGCGGTCAGTTTCGGATGAGGAAACAGCTGATATGACAGCTGAGCAGGAGGAGGGGGACAGCGGCTTGATTTAAAGTAGCTTGTGGAGTGGATATATAAGCAGGGTATTCAGTATGTGAGAGCCGAGAATAGGCGCGTCAACAAGGTCACTACAGCATTTGCGAGGGACCGAGCTCCCCCACTTCCGTCAATCCTCAAGACCTTCCCGCACGCCTCTCAGTCCAGCTTCCCCCTCAATTTCCGGAATGAAAATGCGCATCTTCTGGTAATGGGTACCAGCTCTCGGTGAAGCTCTCTCTTCCTTGCCTAGATCTCATGATAAGACTGTAGTCGGAGATATAGGGAACGGATGACATCCTCCTGATCTGCCACTGTCGGGCGGTCTTTACGGCATCGTACGTCGCGTCGGATTTTTCGCTGGGGCAACTTTAGCGCAGCTCGTGCCATCAAAGCCTTCTCCTTCATACATCTACCTGCCTATACTTATAGCTCACACTCACACTCCTTACATCTCCACACAGCAATCATAGCCACCATGTCCAACGAATTTGACATCCCCGCCCGCCCCACCAATGTCGGCATCCACGCCATGGAGATGTACTTTCCCAAGAGGTGCATCTCGGAGGATGCGCTCGAGGACTTTGATGGGGTCCCGAAGGGCAAGTACACGATTGGGCTGGGGCAGAAGTATATGGCGTTCACGGATGACAAGTGAGTACAGGATTGAGCATGGAGGAACCGGATGTGAAGGGGAGGAGCGAGAGGAATGGGGGTCCGAGCTCAGGCGGTTTTTTGGGAGTTCGGACGGCTTGTAGGACGGGCATAAGGACATTACGAGTGAGAGCACAAGCTGACTGTACAGGGAGGACATCAACTCGCTCGCTTTGACCGGTACGTCCCCCCTCCCCTCCTTCCCCATACCCTTCTCGCTGACTCCCCAGTCGTCTCCTCCCTGTTGTCCAAATACAACATCGACCCCCGCTCCATCGGCCGTCTCGAGGTCGGTACCGAGACACTGATCGACAAGTCCAAAGCTACCAAGACGCTCCTGATGGACCTCTTTGGCCCGGCGGGGAACCACGACGTCGAGGGTATCGACAACAAGAATGCGTGCTACGGGTCCACGGCGGCGCTGTTCAACTGTATCAACTGGATCCAGAGCGAGAGCTGGGACGGGCGGAACGCTATCCTCATGTGTGGAGATATTGCGATTTATGCGGAAGGCGCGGCGCGGCCGGCGGGTGGGATGGGGGCGTGCGCGATGCTGATCGGGCCGGATGCGCCGCTGGTCGTTGAGCGTGAGTCTGAGCGTCCGGGCGCAGCGAGAATGTGTCGGAACAGTCTTGGACCGGGAGGGCGAGACCGTTCGCGAAGAAGAGTGGGGAACATGAGGAGGAGGGAAGGCAGGGCCTGCTGATTATCATCTCTTGTGACTGTGCTGATTCCCAGCTATCCACGGCACCCATATTGCCAACTCTTGGGATTTCTTCAAGCCCGACCTCAGCTCGGAATACGTGAGTCCCACCTCTTCCGCTTCACTTAATCTGCGCTGACCTCCAGCCCACCGTCGACGGCCCCCTCACCCTGAAAGCCTACCTCGGCTCCCTCGACTCGGCCTACACCACCTACCTCGATAAGGCGGCCAAGTCGCGCGCGCGCGCCGCCAAGAACTTTTCGCTCGCGGGTGTCCAGGCTGCCGTCTCGGATCTGGCTGGCCAGGTCGCGGGGCAGGTTGCTGGGCTCGTCAATGGTGTGAATGGCGCGAATGGGCATGGGGAGGAGAAGGAGGAGGTGGTGGGCGGGACGGATATTGAGAAGTTTGATTATGTCTGCTTGCACTCGTGAGTCCTTGTTTGATTCTCTTTGATCGGTTCCTACCTCCAAACCCCGGCATTGCCTGCCCTTCCTTGATTTTGGTGTCCGATGGCTCCCGCTGACACCCAGCCCCTACTCCAAGCTTGTCCAAAAAGGCCACGCCCGTCTCTTTTACAACGACTACCTCCGCAACCCCACCCATCCCATCTTCGCCTCCATCCCTTCATCCATCAAGGACCAATCCCCCTCCGACACGTACGCCGACAAGGTTGTCGAAAAGGCCTTCCTCGCCGTCGCTGCGGACCACTACAAGGCGTCTTGCCTGCCCGGATCGGACTGCGTGCTGCGGTGCGGAAACATGTACACTGCGAGTCTGTACGGTGCGCTCGCTAGCGTTGTCGCGTCCAAGCCGGAGGGCCTCGAGGTGAGCTAGGCATCAATGAAAAGATATGCGGATCAGCTGATCAGTCAGGTCGGTAAGAAGATTGGGATGTACGCGTTCGGCTCGGGATGCGCCGCTTCCTTCTTTGCTATCAGGATCAACGGGTCGACTGCCAAGATCGCCGAGACGATGCGGTTGAAGGAGAGATTGGCCGAGATGGAGGTCAGGCCGTGCCAGGAGTATGTGGACGCTATGAAGGTGAGTTGGGTATGGCCGAGATTGCTTCTTCCCGTCTTGGTCTTACTTTGCCGCTATTCCCTCTCTGCCATCCCTCACTCTTTCTCCACCCATACTTCCCCACATGACCATAGCTAACCCCCAGCTCCGCGAAGCCAACCACAACGCCGTCGAATACTCCCCCAAGGGCCTCATCGACAACATCCAGCCCGGCGGTTACTACCTGAACGGCATCGACAAGATGTACCGCCGGACATACAGCATCAAGCCCTCCGCCTAGACTTGTCGTCACTTGTCGGCATATACGCTACGAGTACCATTTAGAAGAGCCGGACGTTTTTGATATTGGGGAGGATAAGGTAGACTGGCCTGGAGAGGTAGCATGCATAGAATGGGACAATTTCTGCTTGATGGGAGCGGGTCGACCTTGCGTCGTCAGAGTACACAGCTCGGATGTCTAGTGTTCAGGAGCGCAGAGAGCTGGAGCGTACCGTATTCTCAGATCGAACACCCCACCCGGAGCTTTCGGATCGGGTTTGCGGCTGGAGTCACGAGTCGCGCCATCAGCTCGCCAAGTCACTCGTCACTCGTCACATTTCATCATCACCTCTCTATCTACTCTATCCACTCCGCTTCGTCTTTTACTGCGCGAGGCTCATAGAGGACACAGCAGCCACTGCTCTCGCTGTTTGCTCACTCTACGACGGGTCCACTCCACTCGAAAAATCAGTCTCGCCGCGCAAAATACCTTGGGAGACTTATCGATAAGCTCCAGATCCCAGATCCGTTATCGGCTTTGGTCCTTGAGCAGATCACGAACGTGCCCGCCTACGCGCGGTATCCTGCATTCGAGGGGTACACACGCTTCGTCTCAGCTCCCCTCTTTGTTGTGTGCATAGCGGTGCCGGCGTTATCGCAGGCGGGGCAGAAATCAGGAACGGTCGTCTCGAGGTGAGTGGGGCACGTTTGTCATCATCATCATCCAGCCCCCTTTGGCCCATCTTCAGAAATTTCAGCTCATCAACAGATTGACATCTACAACATCTACCTCATAGTAAGGTCTATACGTACTCCACTGCCCTTCCTGGCAAGACAGACGGACGTCCAGCCAGCGGCAAAAATCGCTCAGAGATATATCAACCGCTGGCGAATCATTTGTTGACAAGCTTGAGGTAGAGGGATTTCTTGCTTGCTCGCTCTATCGAGTCCTATGAGCCATATCCGGTACGTTTATCACTCGCCAAGGTCGTACAATACATACAGTCTGTTCACTTGAGATGGCCAGCTGACATGGTAGATCCCGTATGACCCCCTCTCATACCTACCACCCATGCCTGCCCCATCCACATCACCTCAGCGACCTGCTGTCGCTTCAGCATCAAATACCGCTCATCCCCCTTCGAGCTCCTACAAGCGCCTTACCCCCTCTTCAGACCCGACAGCATCGTCCTCTCCGTTGAACTCACCGCACCTCTTGGCCGGCCCATCATCTTTCGCCGGCCCATCCACGCTGAGCTCGTCAAGATGGCCATCGGGTCGCTCGACCGTCAGTCCAGGCACGGCTCAGCAGTCCTCGTACTTTGTCCCTCGCTCCACGTCCCGCGCCAAGATGGACGAGAGCGGACCGTCCAAAATTACCCCTCCGCTCCCTCGGCATCCGTCAGGGTCGGGCCGGAATGGGTCGTCACCCTCGCTCCAGCGCAGGAAGAGCAAGGGGAAAGAACGAGCAGATGATGGAAAGAGGGAACGGCCGGCCTTTCTCAAAGAGATCGGGTCGGCTACTATCAGCCTGCGCGCCGCGGCGGTGCAGGACCTCAGCGATGACGATGGGGAGGAGGTCCTGATCAGCAAGACCGGCAGTGCGAGTGGGATGCGCCGGGGAAGCGGTGGAAAGGGAGATGCAGCGGGACGCACGCCCAGTGGGAGTGGGAAGAGCCGGACAGGGTGGTCGGGGATCATGCAGGAGATGCAGGGGTATTCGCTCGGTGTACCACTGGACGACAAGAGCCCGGCATCACAGACGAGTACGCTCCCGAGTCCGCTGGAACAGCCTCCCGGATTCCGGCGGTACGGATCTGGCGTGCGCGCACCTCTACCTACCATCACCTCGCCTATCGTCTCTCCTCCCGCTCAGTCCGCCTTCTTCAAGCGGTCCAACACCGCGAATCGCCTCCCACCTGTCGCGGGTGCGGTCCGCCGAACGCGGTCCAACTCGGTCCACGTGCCAGGTCGGGTAGGGGACGGTACCGGCTCCTACTTTCTCCCTCACTACTCTACCGACCGGGCGTACTCTCGTCCAGAGACCAGCGCGCTCGAGACGGACTCTGGAGGGGCGAGTCAGATCAACCTCGAGCTCGGGCTAGGCGGGGCGTTCGATGCGTCGTTCGGCGAGGCGCTGAGAAGAGGCGTAGGGGGAGAAGAGATGCCGCTCCCGCAAGAAGCGTTGAGGGTGTTGACGGAGGCCAAGGAGAGTTTGGAGACGCGGTTGATGGGCAAGCAGGGGAGGAAGGGGAGTATGGGGATGGGACTGTTCAAGGAGTCTAGGAAGGCTTTGGGGAAGAAGGCGGAGGAGAGGGGGACACTGCTCAAGCGGGCGACGAAAAGCGAGCATGGGACACCGCCTATTGCGCCTACGAATGAGACGGCGGTCCCGCCGTTATCTATTCCGGCTCCATCGGTCCCAACTCCCCGGAAACGGGGCTATACCAAAGCGGAAGCGGATATCAACCAGCCTCCCCCGCTTGCTCCACCAGTCGCCAGCTCACTAGAGGAGGCGAACGACTCTGGGGATGCAGCTTCGATCGCAGCGTCTATCCGGATCCTCGCCGCCTCGCCCGTCCTCTCCCGTCGGTCTCGTGCTTCCCTCATCAACCCCGCGGACCTCCCCAATATGGTTTTGCCAGATACAGACTATCGATCCGCTCATCGCGGCTCTATATCGATGAGCGATGACTCTGGGTATACCAGCGGGACCGCATCCAGCCTCTCACCCTCCGGCTCGGAAGACGAGGAGGATTCAGATCCCGCGCCCAGCCAGTCTGAAGAAGATGGCTATTTCAGTCACCGCCCCCATAGCCAGGACATCCACAGCGATGATACAGAGATGAGTGCGGAGGAGGTCGAGGAGGATCGAATGACGGTGCCGCTCCAGCCATTCAACCATGCTGTCGGAGGGCATAGTTCGATCTACAAGTTTACACGAAGAGCGGTCTGCAAGGTGAGCAATACAAAGAGTAGCGCTGATCCCAGCCATTGGTCAGTCGAGAGAATCTCTTCTACGAGGAGGTCGAGCGGCTTGCTCCTGCTCTACTCGCCTTTATCCCTCGATACCTCGGCGTCATGCTCGTCAACTATCGAAAACACCGTCTTCCCACCGACGATGATGGCGCCGGCACCCCCGCCGATCCCGACTCCCCAGCTATGACCTCTCCGGATCCATCTGCCCCTCCCACACCCGCATCTCGGCCACACCTACAGAAATCAGCGTCCATGGCGACTTATCGCGAAGCGGACGTCGAGGTACCGGAAGTATCACTCGACTGGAATCGGCACGTCGTTCCAGACTGGCTGTTCCGGTCGAGCAGGGATGATCGGCGCGGGCGATTCCGGCGGGAAACGAGCCAAGTCAGCGAGGATGATGCGAGAGGGGGGCGGCTCCGGCCTTCTTCGGCGCGGAGTCAGGAGTTTATCCGTCCTGGTCAGTCGTCGCCAGGAAGCTCTTTTGGCGGGTCGTTTGGCGCCTCGCCTAGTCTACGCGGGATGCCTTCTTCACCTTCGGGCCTGACGATCCCTCGTGTTGTTCCGGAAACGAACGACGCGCCTACCCCTCTTCCCAGCCTCAACTCGCCTGTCCCCTCCCATCTACACCACACCGTCTCCACTCCGCTTCTCCCTCATCGCGCCCTCTTCCCTTCTTCGACCCTCTCGCACGTCCCTTCTGCCAGTGACGTCCACCTACCGGGATACTGCTCGCCGCTACCGTGGGGCGGAACCGGGTCTACCACGGTCAACACAAAGCTCAAAGATCACGTCTTTGCTACGATCCTCAAGCGGCTCAAGAAGAACGCTAGTCATGCGCTACATCCCCATCGCGGCGAGGACGCGGATGACGAGCACGAGTCGGGCAGCGGGACGGCGAGTCTATCGAGCAAGAAGATACGGCGGGGAAGGGGACGGAAGGGAGAAGGGAAGAGTGTGGATCTGAGGTCTGGAGGCGAAGGGGAGGAGGGGATCCGAAGGACCAAGAGCGATATGGTGCTCCATGATCGGAGGGGCAAGAGGGAGGAGAGTGAGGATCGGGGCATGTTTGACATGCAGGATCTGGAGGAGGGAGAGGGGGAGTTGGAGGTGCGGAAGAAGCCGGTCTTGAACCTGCTCAATACGTTACGGCCAATGACACCCTCGACGGCCTCGCCGGTACCCATCCCATCGGTATCGTCTCACCTGCCATCTTCGTCCGCCTTACCTACTCCAACCCTCGACACCCAGCCACCTTCGACAACGGACGATCCACATACCGGCGCAGCGCGGCAGGAGCTCTTCATCTTTATGGAGGACCTCACCGGGCGGCTGAAGCACCCGTGCGTGCTAGATCTCAAGATGGGGACGAGGCAGTACGGGTACGATGCGACTCCTCTCAAAAAGAAGAGTCAGCGGAAGAAGTGCGATGCGACCACGTCGAGAACGCTAGGGGTGCGGATGTGCGGAATGCAGGTGAGCCATACCTACGATATAGCTAATGACAGGTCTGGAACAATTCGACCCAATCTTTCGTCTCCAAAAACAAATATCGCGGACGGGAGATTAGAACGTCGGACTTTTCAAACATCCTGCGTCTCTTTCTGGACGACGGTGAACGCCTCCTCACTGCGCATATCCCCTTCCTCATCCAAAAACTACACAACCTCGCGGCGATCGTGCTCCGGCTCGGCGGATTCCGGTTCTACGGGTGTTCGCTGTTGTTGATTTACGACGGGGACAAGGAGGCGCAGGATCACTTTGTGAAGCATGCGGGGACGATAGGGGAGGTGGAGACGCCGATGCCAGGGAAGTTGGGGAGGGTGGAGGAGGAACGGAGCACTCGGCCGGTCGAAATTCCCCCAAGTCCATCCCGTCGGAGTCGGAGCGTCGACCATCACTCGAAACATCGGCACCATCACTCGCACTCCCATTCCCATTCTCACTCCCGGACCGCTCACTCTCAGGACGATACACCTTCTCAGGCTCCCAAGAAAGCCTCCAACCGTATCCGAGGGGAGATCAACCTCCGCGTCGTCGATTTCGCCCATACCACCACCGGCGCCGATTTCGTTCCCATGCCTCGGGACCCGGACGAGGACGTACAGGCGCTAGGGAAGGGGTACGATACCCGCTTTGATCCCGAGACGGGGCTGGCGTTGGCGCGTTTCCCGCCAAAGCACGCGGATAGGCCGGATATGGGGTTTGTGTTTGGGCTGCGATCGGTCGTGGAGGCGTTACAGGATATCTTGGCGGAAGCGGGCGAGGGGGCGGTGCAGGTCAAGGAAGAAGGGGATGTCTTTGAGCGGGCATTTGGAAGTGAGGTAGATCTGGGAGCGTTGTCGACGTAGGGTAGCCAGCCATACTTGTAGCGATAAGATAAGGGTTAGAGACACGCCAGGCACACAGATCGATCAGGCACCACACAGGCACATGGTTCAGTTCGGATATACCCGACGGTGTTGACGGAAACAGGAAAAGTTGGTTTGCTTGATAAGCTGCATTTCTACCTTGTACATACTACTGACTTACTGATTGATACCTTCGAGGCGCGCTCAGGATGTCAGCTATCATCATCGCTCCCGCTCCGCCGCGTCCGGCAACCCCACCACCTCCTGCCGCCCCCTCCGAGGCCTCTCCACTCCTTTCCACCTCGGCCCTCGAAACGCAACCCCTCCTTCGCTCTGCACCCCTCAAGCAGACCATCTCGCGGACGCGCTTCATCTTACTGCTAGGCGGAGTATGGAGTGCCAACTTTGTCATGGCGTTCCAGGCGATGGCGGTCCCGACGACTGCGCCGGCGGTGGGGAGCTGGTTTGGGCATGCCGAGCTGAGCAGTTATTTGGGGAGCATGTTTACGCTGGCCAGTACCGCTGGTAAGCTAGCTTTCAGTCTTTATGGGTGTCCAGAGAGGTGGTATAGGCAGCTGATCAGCAGTAATACCACTATACGGGGTCTTCAGTGATACGCTTGGCCGCAAATTTGCCATGGTCACAGCGTGCAGCGTGTTTGCCATTGGGACAGTCATGTGTGCACTCAGCCCAAACATGTATGTGCTCATAGCGGCGAGAGCTGTATCAGGTGTGAGTACCTTCATTGAGATTACGAAGACTCAAGCTGACTTGCAGCTTGGTGGAGGAGGCATGTTGACGGTGTCTTCGGTGATTGTGACGGATCTGGTCCCCTTGAGAGATCGAGGGTTGTATCAAGGTGAGCTTGCCCCTTGAGCGACTCATCCTGATCGAAGCTCACTACCAGGCCTGATGATGGTTGTCTTTGGTGCAGGCTCAACACTAGGAGGACCAATAGCCGGCTGGCTGGTAGACCACCTCGGCTGGCCCTCTTCGTTCTGGGTACAAGTAAGCTCTCCTTTGCGACATCGCTGACCCTAGTTCCCGGTCGTCCTTTTCTGTATCCTCATGGTCACCCTCCTCCTTCCACCAGCGCCTATCCCACCAACACATCAAACCATATGGGCCGGCCTTGCCTCGCTCGATTGGGCAGGAACCGTCCTCCTCGTCGGCGCAGTCACGACGCTCATCCTCGGCTTCTCATTCCACACGTCGTACCTGGAGCCATGGTCCGCTCCAATCGTATGGGGAAACCTGCTCGCTGCGGTATTGGCAGCAGGAGCATTGGTGTTGGTGGAGCAGAGGGTGGCGCGGCCAGTCATACCCCTCGCCATGTTCAAGGAGAAGCACACAGCAGCGGTATTGATGAGCGGATTCTTCATGTCCGTTGTCGCCCAAGCTTTTGTGAGTCACATCAGCTATGACCTGGTCGCTGTAGCAATGCTCAGAGCTGATATGATCAGATGTACCAAATGTGAGCTAGCTGTTTTACTTCGCAGGGGATGTGCAGCTGACACCCAGACCGATGTACTTTGCGGTCGTCCTCAACACCTCGACCGCCCAAGCTGGGCTTATGCTGTCTCTTACATCAGGATTCGGTCAGGCTGTGGGATCGATGTACGCCGGACAGTGAGTCTTGAACCTGTAGATATGGCGGTCGATGTATACCGCTACTGCTGGAACTCCGCTGATAGGCAGGCATATCCGTAGGGGCGGCAAGTACCGAGTCATGGGCATCCTCGCTCTTGTCCCACCGATGATCTGCTCATTCATTGCTGCGCAGTGGGACCCTAGCTGGACCACTACTGGATACTATGCCACGGCGTTCCTACCACCACTGGGCTACTCGGTATTCTTATGTGTCAATCTCAGTCAGTCCCTTCCTAAAGAATCTACGATACAGCTAATCATCAGTCGCTTTGATTTCCGCCGTGGACAGCAAGATGATGGTGAGCATCTACCGTCCTCTTGGCATTAACTTCCGCTGACTCCCAGCCCCGCGCCACCGCCCTCCTCTACACCGTCCGTTCCCTCGGCGGGACACTTGGCATCTCCCTGGGCGCATCAACCCAGCTGGGTCTTCTCTCACACCTTCTTCGCCGAAATCTTCCTGCAGATCACGACAAGACAGCGACTATCAACGCTATCCTCCACAGCAGCAAGACGGCGATCCGGGCGCTTCCGCAGCCGGCGCAGGATATCGCGCTGAAGGCGTACGGCCAGAGCTTGAGCTGGGTGTGGATGGGGTGTGGGGCGGTGGCGGCGTTGACGCTGACGAGTGCGTTTTGGGTGGAGGAGAGAGAGATGGGGCCGGTGAAAGAGAGAGGGAGAAGTAGGTGGGGCAGAGGGAGGAAAGCCGCCAATGGGGAGGATGGAGACTAGATCTGGAGTATCTTTTTGGTCGGACTTGCGATCCCACTGAGCTCTCCAAGCTCGATCTTAGTACGCATCTTAGCTCTCACCTACTGACCACAAGCTCCCGGTCTCTTACGGCTACCGGAGACCATGCTGATGCTTCGACTCACATTGTCACGAAAGACGTGCTTGGGACACAGGCAAGCTTACCAGACTATAGGTAGCATCTACGCATAGCTACTTCATGCTCCTGGGAGACGGTCCTGCTGAGCCACATGATCAGAGCTGATTGAAGCCAAGTAAGCAGGCGGATACAGTATACATACAATATGTGCACGCTCAGACTTTGTAGCCAAGTACCTTGTGGTAAGCACGGGCTCCGTTGTTGTCTATGGGCCCGTAGAGGGTGAGTGTTGTGAGCCCGCTGTTTTCAATGGGAACAGTACCTTCAAGCACCGACAGAATCGCTGTCTTCCTGACACCATCGAGTGTGGGATGATCTTGTATCTCAGTAGCGGCATTCTCCTTGACCTTGGCATCGAGTGCATCCTTGCTGAAGAAAGAGACAAGGGTGCTGTAGGTCGGGAATGTGATGTCGTTGGACTGGACCATGAGCTTACTAGGAAGGCCGGTCTCCATCGAGCACGTACGGGTCGCAGAAGTGATGTCCGCCATGTCTGTGGGTGTGGGTGTGAAGGTCAAGTGTCTGTGCCCGGGAGCAGCGTGGCGGGGGTTTGGGAGATCGTATAGGTGTAAGATAAGTGGCGATGCTAAGAGGAGAGCCTGCAGCTAAGAGCACACCGGCCTTGTCAATCCGAGTCTCCGGCGAGGTCATGCCACCTCCGCGTTTGGAATAAGCGTACCTTTGTTCGCGGATCCTTCCATCCCCAGCAGAGCTGAGGCGGTCATTCTAGAAAGCACTGTCGCAGTAGGGCGTGTCAGGACTCGGCACTGCTGATGGCGGCTTAATCAACAGCAGGTGAGAAGCGGGAACGAAAGGTTGAATGACTCTGTGGTGTCCAGGTAGTGATTGAGGCTGTGCAGGGGAGCAGGGCACGTGTACAGAAAGGAAGACGGTCGCATGGTGTTTGAGGACAGACCGGGTTTCAAAATGGTGGAGCCACATATATACTTGACTTTTCCGCCTGTCCCCTGTCACATCCCTACCGCAACATCCTCGCCACTCTCGAATCAATCACCCTGCCGACCTCCACGCTGGGCCGTCTTTTCATACGATACAATGAGCTCTTCCGCCGACGCCCAGGATACTGCATTCGCGGTCCTCTGGGCCAATATCATGCTCCGAACCGAGGCCAGACAGCGTAAATCGACTGTCAGCTTCTTCGTCACGCGAGCCCTTATACCCAGCATACAGAACGACAATCCTACGCCTTACCTGCGCTCGTTCTGGGTCACAAATGCCACTGTAGCCGCTTACAACACCACCCTGCGCTCCCTGGGCAGTCCTGATACTTTACAGATACAGCTGGGAGAGCTCCGGGAGAAGCTGATAACTCAGAAGCGGGTTATCACTGCCGAATAGAACCAACGGTCCTCGGGGGTCAGCCATGTCTACCCAGCTGAGGATACAGCGGCGGGACGGGACGATGGAGAGGGCGGTGAGGGTGATGCTACCCCGGGTGATGCTCCCTTTTTCATGAGCGCAAGCTGCCTCAGGTCGCGATCACCCAGCATAGGCCAGCGCCAGCGCGGTCAGCCATCATCCATACACGTTGTCCCCGATCACCATGTGATATGCATTCCACTCTGCATCAAGTGAAAGACTTGCTGATCAATGCGGGGCGGCGCATCACCCAGCACATCGTCTTGAACCGAGCATGATTCGGACACGTCTCTTGTAGCGGTGTGCTAACCGAGCGCGGCGTATGTGGAGACGATCGAGAAGTCTTGTATCGAGCGGTGATGCCCCGTGCCGCGTTCTCAATGCCCTCAGTGGAACCTTCGATCCCGAGCTATTGGATCGGAGTGAGGCATGGGCCAAGTCGCTCTAAGCTGCGCTGGCAATGTAGACGGGGTTCATCGCTACAGTAAGCGGCCCGCTCGATATGCCCGCCCACCCTTCCCCCTTTTATCCGCCATGTATTCTGCTGGAGTTTACACGGATCATCGATTCATCCCTTGAGCACTGCTATCACGTGTGATAGAAGGATGATGTGAACTGACATACATGTGCTGAGCGAGTAGGCTTGGACCAGGCCCGGCTTTGGCGACGCGCCACCTGCTAGTCTGGGCGCCACTGTCATCCGCCACCGCTGCGCTCTGACTCTGCTCCGCATTCCTCATCTCGGCTATATCCGTCACCCGGGGTTGCAGCCCAGTCGCCGAGGCGTCCCACTTGCTGGGTGTGTGGGTGTTTGCTGGGTCATAGAACCCTTTGACACTATCACACCATTCCGCACTTACGCGCAGGAGGGCTCATCGAACAACTGAAGGATCTCGCGCCAAAGTCGATTTGTACCTCCGCTCGCCATGCCCTCCCCGTCCAAGTCCTCCGGCCTTATCTCCACCCCCTCCCTCTCCCCATCCCTCGCCCAAACCCTCATGTCCGCCTCCCTCGCCTACGCCGGATCCATCAAAGTACCCATCAACATCTGGATATTCGACCCCTCCCTCCACCCCCTCCTCTTCCACCGAATGGAAGGCGCCAAGCTCACCTCGATCGATATCGCCTACAACAAGGCCCTCACAGCGGCGGGACACCGGCTGTCGACCGACAAGTACGGGGATAAGGTGAATGGGCTGTTGCATGGGATTGGGCGGAGTAATGGGGGGAGGTTCTGCACGATCGCGGGCGGGGAGCCGATCTTTGTGGATGGGGTTTGTGTGGGTGGGGTGGGTGTGAGCGGGGGGTTGCCGAGTGAAGATAAGGTGAGTGACGCTCGATTTGTGAACGGCTCTTTAGGCGGCATCGTCTGCTTGGCTCTTCAGGTTCTAAAGCAAGTAGACAGGCCGTCGAAAGGGGTTTCAAGAGAACAGAGGCTTGGACCACGGCTGATATGCAGGACATCGCGCTGGCAGGCATCAACCACCTTCTCAGGACCTTGTCTGCAAACGGTCCGGTCAAGGCGAAGTTATAGTCTCACGTCTTAGAAGTATGAGTGCCAGTTGTAATGCGTCGCCCAAGCTTTATCTCGTTCTGTCTAATCCTAGCTACCCCTTACCTAAGCTGGCGCGCCAGTGTTGGTCGTAAATCTTGGTTGTGCTGATGATACCCGCGGCAAGACCAGTGAAGCACTTGACTGGTTCGGCGAACCATGTGAGGTGAAAGACATCGTACGCTGAAAGTCAGCCCAAGATTTACGACAATGAGCACAAGCTGGAGTTATGGATGAGACGTACATGAGAAGATGAGATCCGCGAGCAGTTTCCGATTTGTCCATTCCGCATCGGATAGCTCTCTCTGCGCCTTGTCGTCAGACACCACCAATGCTACTGAGGAGCGCAGCCGAGGTAGAGTCTGTAGATGCAGCTTGTATAGCGCGATCACCGTCGACGTGAACCATAGACGACTGTTCTGTCAGCATTTCCTCTAGAACGCGGCTGAGCCAAGGTAGCAGCTGTCCATACTCACTTTGACCACTTGTCCCCTGATGCGCCTAGGCGTTTACTGACCAGACCGAGCCGGCTCAGGCAGAAGAGATCGTCTGAGATCCCGCTGGCGAGGTCCATGAGGTGCCGTAGTATCGTGGGTGCGGAGGTGGGGGAGGGGGAGAGGAGGTGTGAGAGAGGATGGAGGGGGGTGAGGAGGATGAGACATTTCCTGAGGGTCAGCCAGGGATATTGGTCTCAACGAGACGGATGAGTGGCACAGCAGGTGGGTCCCGGGTATGAGGGAGGAGTTCAAAGTTAAGACATACCGGGTCAGACTGAGGCTACTGACGGCCTGCGTGACCCTCTTTCTGTTGGCCAGGAACCACCTTGATAATGGCCGTATACGGACGACTAGCGATAGAAGGTATAGATACGTCTTGAGCGAGTACTGGACACATTTCTACCTATCAGCTTTGCCCCCAACGGGCCGAACGTTAAACTCACCAAGACCTTATCTCGCCCCTTGCTCGTATCCATCATATCCCCCATCACCGCGAACCTCACCGGCGCCTCATACCGAACCAGCTCCATCACCTCCCGCTCCCTCTCTTTGCCCTTCCGCCTGTCCGAGCTCGTATTTCTGGCCAACGCGCCGAGCGCGTCTTGAATACCCGGGCCAGGAGCGGGATGGTTCGGGTAATGGGTCGGTATAGGTATCGGCGTGGATGAACCAGCTGGGGAGTTGGTGTCCCAAGGATCAGAGGATAGGTGGTGACCGTGAGAGCGGTGTGGTGGTTCGAGATGCCATGAGTCCGGCATGGTCGGGAGTGGGGCGGACATGTCTCGGGTGGAGAGTCGGCGCGTCTGTAAGAGCTGGGGCCGATTTGCGCGAAAGATTCTCGCTGTGGTGCTATGTATGAGCAGTTGGTTAGCCTGGTAAGGCGTGCTGTCACGCTGTCACTAAGTCTCGGTGAGGTAGATAGAGGATGATGTTGATGGGTAGATGAGGAATGCGAAAAGGTTTGGTCGTCGCCGGTTAACCATTTGGGTTCAACTTCTGCCTCTATACATCCACCACCTCATACCGCATTGAAGCGGTACACTGACTGAGCTTAGCTCGCTGACTCCCGATACTGAGACGGTAGCGCGCGCATTGTACTCTCAGACTGCTGCTTGAGCCTTATCAAGATGGTCAACCCTAACGAAGATACCGAATTGTACGCCTCCCCCTTTCCCCTTTTCCCCTTGCTCCTTGCTGACCATCAGCAACGACGCTCTCCGGGCTCACGGCATCCTCCCTCCCAAATCTCCCTCGCGCTCTCCATCCCCCGACATCCCACACATCACCCACGCCGATGCCGTCGGCGCTATCGCCGCTACGGCGGACCATCAACAATTATCCCTTCTCCTGGAATCCGATAATCTGGACAGCGATGACGAGGCGATGTTTGAAGAGTACCGCAAGAAGCGGATGAACGAGATGCGCAAGGAAGAGAAGAGGGGGAGGTATGGGTCGTTGATGCCATTGGGAAGGGAGGACTTTGTGAGGGAGGTGACGGAGGGGAGTAAGCAGTTGAGAGAGGGAGAAGAGGAGGTTGATGAGCAGGAAGAGGGTGAGGACGATGAGGAGGCGAGTGGGAGTGCGAGTAGGAGATTGAAAGGGACTGGAGTGGTTGTGTTTCTGTATAAAGACTCGTGAGTACTGCTCGGCCCGTCATTTCGACCCCTCGCGGTTACGAGTCCGACCTTTACTATTCTTGCTGGAAGCTTCCACCCCTTGACTGGCATCTCTGATTATCCTACTTTCTCCCTTTGATCTAGCCCTCTTTCAACCTCCCCTCGACCATCTTATGCCGAGCTGACAAACAGGGTTCCCCTCTCCCAACATCTCCGCCCCCTCCTCAACACACTAGCCGCCGCCCACCCATCCACTAAATTCCTCGCGATCCGCGCCGACCTCTGCATCCCAAACTACCCAGACAAAAACGTCCCTACGCTGCTCATCTATCGGAATGGGGATATGCTGGGGCAGGTGGTCGCCGGGGCTGGACTGAAGGGGTTGAAAACGGGTGTAAAAGGTGAGTCACCTCCTGCTCTGCGGCTCGAGCATCTTCTCGGGCGAGGTCCCGCTTCTAGCGCTCTCTATGCTCACGGCAACGCTACTCGCTGGACCATGCCATCTAAGAACATAACTAACGAGCAGACCTCGAAGCCCTCTTACTCCGATATCAAGCCCTCGAGAAGCCTTCCGCCGCTCTGCGACAACGCCGAGGGGAGGACGAGGACGACGGGGACGCAGATGGGCTAGACGACGATATAGGTATGGTCAACACGCGAGGGAGCGGAATACGGACGGGCGGGTCCGGCCTGGGCGTGGGGAGAGGGAAGGGGAGGAAAGCGGAGGCGGATAGCGATGGGAGTGATTTTGACATTTAGATGCATAGACCTTCATCAGCGAGTATATGGCAAGTCTGCATTGATCCTGGGAGGGGCTGCTGTGATAGCTACATAGTCATATAGGCAAGCTCAGCGTGGCAGCATGCAGCCTGTGCAGCCTGTGAGCCAAAAAATCCGACCGAAGAAAGCCGGTCCAAGCGGGTCCGGCTAGACCGGTTAACTCACCCTTGACTCTTCTCTATCCCCTCAACTATACTATATCTGTTCTTGCTATCACTGTACATCTACGACTGTAGCTGCATACTAGCGCCTTGCTGCACAACTTCGCGACCCATAGCCAGGAAGAAACAGATCGGAAAATGGGAGATTCAGCTATCCACGCGTTGGCGGGCTCAGTTGGAGGTTGTGTTTCCATGGTGTGTTTACATTTCGCGTTTGCTTCGTTCAGACTCGAAGAAGACAGAGTACATGCTGACACTGTAGGCCCTGACTTAGTGAGTGCTCAGTGCAGTGCTAAATGCCGTTCCGGCTCGCAGCTCTCTAAGACTCGGGTTCTTCTCAGGGGTACTGACCCTTCAGCCCTCTCGTCAACCTCTCGACCAGGGCTGCGGTGCAGACCAAGAAGGAGAATGTGGTAAGCTGATCTCCACTTTTCAGTCCCGAATATATGGTTATAGAGGCGCTGGTGGCTAATGGACAGACCATCCCCGAGGCTATCGCCCGTACCATCAAGACCGAGGGCATCTCTGGTCTGTACTCTGGACTCAGCAGCAGTCTCTTCGGTATCGCCGTGACCAACGGTGTCTACTATGCCTTCTGTACGTATCATCCCCTCCTGACGCGATCATCCTCGCTGACATGCAGATGAGGAAGCCCGCTCCTTCCTCATCCGTCGCCGCAAGACAGGCACCAACCTCTCCGCACTCTCCACCTCGGAAGGCATCCTCGCGGGCTTGGTGGCTGGTACGTTCTCCGCTCATTCCCTCTTTCTCTCTTTTACTGGTTGCTGACTGACAGGATCCATCACCACCCTCCTCACCAACCCCATCTGGACGGTCCAGACCGCCCAGTCTACCAAGGCCGTCGCGACCACCCCGACCGCCGCCGGCGCACCCGTCGCGGGTGACGCGGCCCCGGTGAAGAAGACCAAGCTGTCTGCGAGCCAGGCAGTCAGGGAAATCATGAAGCAGGATGGGCTGAAGGGGTTCTGGAGAGGGATTGGGCCGGCTTTAATTCTGGTCATCAACCCCGTTATCCAGGTCAGTCCTCTCGCCCAGCTTTCGCGTCCTATCTCTCAAGCACTTGCACCTCCTGGCCCTGCGTCACCTTGGCTGATCTCCAGTACACCACATTCGAGCGCCTCGTGGCCGTGCTCCTCGCGTACAGACTCAAGCGCTTCGGATCCGCCCCGACGACCAAGCAGCAGCTCTCCCTCGGCCGCAGCTCTCTGTCCGACTGGGACATGTTCTTCCTCGGCGCTTTGAGTAAGCTGGCCGCGACCGGGACTACCTACCCATACGTGAGCTATGTAACCCCCTGGCCTTTCTGCCGTCAGGCGAAGAAGAGGAAGCGAGCTGACTTTCCAGATTGTCGTTAAGAGTCGCTTGGTGCGTTCCTCATCTTAATCGCCGAGGTCAGAGCAGATACTGACTTTTTTAGCAAGCCGCTACTCATAAGTACAACTCGTCCATCCGCGCGGTGCTCGACATTCTCCAGAAGGAGGGTCTCGGCGGTAAGTCTTGCTCGACCCTCCGGCAGGTTCGTACCTCAGCTGACACGATAGGCCTCTACGCTGGACTCGCTCCCAAGCTCATCCAGTCATGTCTGACCGCGAGTATCCTGTTTTTGGCCCAGCGTCGTATCTTCGAGGCGGTCAAGAAGGTACGCTGATACCTCTTTATTCTGACAGGGCGCACTGCTGATCCGGTCAGGCTATGTTGATCGCGGCGGAGAAGAAGGCTTTGATCGCGCGCGCTTAATCTAGCTCGCTGCATTAGCGGGATAGAGGTGGGCAGTGACATCGGTACAGGTGCTGTCCCGTGTGCGATGGATGATGGGGTGGGATATCAGACGTAGATATGACACGATATGGGGGATGTTTGCGAAGAGTCAATGGATGTTGTCTGCTTTGGTTTGTACAGGCCGCAGGTATGAATGTCTTTGCTCTGCTTCTTATCAGTCGTCTTTTGGGTCTGTCAGGCATATCTGATAGGTGCGGGACGGGCAGAAAGACCTGCACAGCTACAAGCTACAAAGTACAAGCTACAATCACTCCCAGTATGTTGCCTGATCGAACGAATAGTTTCTAGGTATTCCCCCTTCCCCCCCTAGTGCTCCCTCGTCCGCCGTCCCCAGCGCCTGCTCTATGAGTCTATAAAATCCTCCTTCTTCCTCCCCAAACACTTCGTACATCTCCTTCAACGTCCGCATCGTCCGCTTCGCCTTCTCCTCGCCCTCGTCTCCCATTCCAGCTGCAACAACCGCCGCCCCTGATCCCGACACTTCTCTGCCCAGCGCCAACCACCTGATACCCTTCTCTTCCCGCTCATCCGCCGCTCCGCTGGGCCCTAGGAAGTCGGCCCATTCCCGCTGAAGTAGCGAGAGTGTCTTCATCCGGAGTCGAGATTGTAGAAGGGTCCGGGGCGCGCCGGAGACATGTGGGGATGTAGAGCGGGATGAGGATTGAGTGGGTACGGATGTTGCTGGCTCGGCGGGTGTAGAGCTCGACGCCATGATGGTTCCTGACCGATGTCTCCCTTCCACCTCTTCTTCCCCCTCCTCCGTCCGCTCCATCTTCCCGAGCTTGCTCTCCCGCTTAGGCACAGCCACCTCGCTCTCCCTGCGCGACATGACAGGGCTGGCCGCCTTGCTCGGCCCATTCGAGTACTGCGCCCAATACTCCCGCTCCCTCTCCTCTTCATCGATCTCCGTCCCGCCTACCGCACCCATTTCTGGCGATTGAGGCGGTGAGAAGCCCGCCCAGTAGTCCTTGGCGTCCTGCTCGTCCTCCCCGTAGGTGTTGGGGTCGAGACTGCCGTTATCCTCGACGTCGGTGGGTTCCGTCGAGATCGCAGATGGTGGCTCCACCTCCCTGGTGTTGTCCGCCCATCTCAATCCCATCTCCTCCGCCTGCCCCGGTAGTCTGAGACCGTGGAACCCCCATCCCTCCTCCGCGTCGTGCAGAAAGTGCATCTCGACCCCTTCCCCCTCGCGCCATTCTTCCTCTCCTTTTCCCTCCTCCCAGATGCCCGTACGAGCTACCGCGTGCTCGCCATCATGTGCGTATTTGGTGGGTCCGAGAGTGTACCCGCCAGCCAGGGACTCGAGGCGCCGCTGTAGTGCTTCCGAGGTGATGGGGAGAGGGAAAGGGGAGAGCTGGCGGTCCATCTCGGACAGGTCCGGGGGTAGGTAGAGGAGTCGATGTCGAAACAGAGGAGTGAGCAGGTGTGCGGGCAGAGGGGGTGCCGGGGGGAGCAGGAAGGGTAAGAGGAGGGGTATGGTATCGGCTTGGAGGGGTGAGAGGGGGGACATGCTGCTGAAGGATGGTCCGGGGTATATGAAGGACATGGAGGTGGTTCAGTCAGTTTGGCGCTGTGAGGGGTAGCGTTTACGGCACGTTTCAGGTGGAGGTTTCTCGGCTAAGAGCTTATCCGTGGCGGTCACCGGAACGCCGGAGCCACAGCGTGCAGTACGGAGCTCCGGCTGCGGGCAGAAGGGTGGGGGGGTGGGGATCCGCTGGATAGGGTCTGCAGACTGCAGGTCCTCTTGAGGTCGACCGCGTTGCTCGATTCATTGAGCCGAGTAGGAACATTCCAGAGGTAGGTGGTGGTAGCCCTGGCCAGTGGCCATCATGCTCTCCGTTCAAATACTGACATCAGGCGAGGTTGCTTCTGACATGAGCATGATGCGTCGAATACAATTTGTCCGATGACCGAAACTAGCTCACAGTACTGATACAAGTACTACCCTTGCTGTAAAAGTCAATCAAGCAGCATTCCGGCCATACTGTGTCACGCCGACCAAATCGTTGGTCACTGCTGGACCGACTAGCAAACTATGACCATGTGGGACTCGGCCTAGTCATCACAGCTTCGTATCAAGTCACTCGGGATAGCGCGGAGCTTGAACAAGGGAGTAGCTGACACGCGCAAGTAGGTCTTCTCATGGCGCCATACTCGATCACCACCAGCAAAGGCGCCCTTATGAGATCCCTGACACTATCGCTAACGTCACAGTGAAGGGATGATACCTGACACACCGATGCTGGCTCCAGCTATCGAGATCTCTGACATCGTGCTCGCTGGGTCTGAATTAGAGAAAGGACTGTCTACATATGACACACGATCGCACATGGAGTCTTTGTCCAAGGAGGTCTATATAAGCGCCTTCAGTCCCCGTTTTTTGTTCTCTGTCTCTCTCTTTGTGCTTTCTGCCTTCTGCTACAACTAGCCTGGAATCACTCACACCCCTTCATCGCACATCTCCTGCTCCGAACATGCAGTCGTCCTCGACTATGAGCGGGAACATGAACATCCTTTACAGGGACCTGATCAGAATCCTCATTCGCGACTTCCTCTTCAAGGCTTCATTCACCACTCTCCGGATCATGAAGGATCTCGAGACGTACATGCAGACCCGCAGTCCAGGTTGGCCGAGGGCCCCGAACGAGCAGGACCTGACCGATGATCCGGCCCAAAAGTATCACGAAGGTGTGGCATTTCAGGCTGTGTATGAGGGGAAATTGCAAAGCCTGAGATCCCTCATCAGATTGCGCAGTGAAATTCCGTCTGCCGATGTCAAGGACACGGAAAGGAGGATACTTACTGAGTGGATCAGGCGTAGTATACCATACGAGAACGCGTGAGTGAACGAGCACGTTTAGTGCTCCCCAATAGTAATAGTACGGGAAAATACCAGGCTGATATACCATTACCATGGTCCTTAGTATGGTAAATTACTAATACCAGCTATATGCCTTGGTATTAGTATGGTATTTAGTATCGCCCCCCGCGAATCCAGTGGTAGCAGGTATTACCAAGTACTAGGCCTGGTATACCAAAAATACTACAGCTTTTCCGCCACCCGTCCTTTCCTGAGCTGCTTACTGAGTAGCAGTCCCGCCAGGAGGACTCTGCGTCAGTATTACAGCTCTCAACTAGCCTTTTGGTACATGCGGACATGCACTGGCGCTGCTTCTGCATCTGTGACCACGAACGGCACTCCTTTGTTCGAAGTCAGACACTATTTTGTCCGAAGTCAGACACCACTTTGTCCGAAATCAGCACCGCTTTGATTGGTCTACAGCCTGATTATGGCTCTACCATGGCCTGAGAGGGTGATGACGGGGATGATTGGACTACGTTGCTGCTCAAAGAAAGCCTCAATGTTCGCATGCTTGCAGCCACATACGACTTTGGTGGCGGACTGGGTGGCAACGGAAGCAAAGATTGCTCCTCATGTTCCTCACTGGGTCTCACCCATGTCCGCACTTTCGGTACGAAATGAGCAGGGGTAGGCTTAGGGAGGAGCGCTCCTGGCAATCTGAGCACCTTTATAGCATCATACGGCACTCTATTGGACGATGGAGAGTAGTCTAGAGATTTCCACTCGGGCCTGGTATACCATGATATACCAGCTTGGTATTGGTATTTTACCAATACCATGCTCTCCCGCCTGGTATAGTACGATTACTTACCAGACGATTCTCCTGGTAGATAGTATGGTATTTGGTATTGGCCTCCGGCCCTCCACTGGTGTTAGTATATCTACCAAAATACTATTGGGGAGCACTAAGCACGTTTGCCAGACATCTTCGCGAGTTCACCCCCCAGCTATCCGTCGGAGTTCACAATCAAGAACCGGACCGCAGAGAGCCTTGCTCTCTGGGGCGGGCCCGATCTGCATGTGGACGCAGTGGACACCATCGTTGAGGAGACTCTCAACTGTACAAGTGCCTTGGAAGACATCAAGAAGGGCCACTGCACATGGCCCGTGCCTTGACTTCTGCGCCGGCAGCCAGTGGTCCCTGATCTGAGCCTCGCCGCTGTGCATACTGGGCGGGGTCTTGAATTGAATTGACTCTCTTGTTCTCCACTATGCATATTCCATCTCTGACGTGGCATGTCAATTCCCAGGCTGGCAGTGCGCCAGTCACAGCGGCAGGTCATATTGTGTGGACATCAGAACGGCGAGTCCAGCACTCGTGAGATGCAAATGGATGCGAGGTATGGCTACCATCACAATGAGGCTTGACACGGGCGATGAGCCAACTTCAGCACGGTCGTGGTCTGGGTTTCAAAGATGCAGAAAGTAGGAGTTTCAAGCTGAGGCCACGCGTAGAGGGGGACTTCCAATGGCGCAATTGCCTATGGGATCAACCCCCGCATGCGCAAATGACTGTTTGCGGACTTCAGTGATCATTGCCGCTCTTGCTGGAATTGCTTCTCACTCATCCATATCCTCACCTTACTTGGCCCAACAGTTGCCACGATGAGCACTCCGACTCCAAACCCTGTTTACGACGAGCTCATTGGGCAGGACATTCACAATTTCCTGGAGGACGCCGCAGGACTCTCTGCCCCTGATATGACCAACCTGCACACGTACATGCAGGACAGCCTTCTGTCGCAACCCAATGCGAGTCGCAGTATCAGGTTCGACGGTCTCCAGGTCCTGCTCGCCCTGCGCAACGCTGGCGAACAGGCCCCTATCACACAAGAGAGTCGTTCGGAGTACTGGGCCGCCTTGAATCACGTCGTGGATACTGCGGTGACGGCTGAACAGCAGTAAGTACAAAATTCAGTTGCGAATGGCTTGAGGAGGATCTGATCCTCAGCCGATATGATCCTCGACGCCTTGTCCCTTGGAGTACAGATACCAGTGTACGTGGATGGATCTGTACCATACTTACCGCGGCGCAATATCCGGCAAGCAGTCGCGCCCGAGGGACCTGACGGGCAGACCGGAAGGAGTTGATGACTTGCCACATAAGAGATGCATCGCTAATGATTACTGCTCGAATGTATCCTGCTTTGTCGACGTGAGTCAACGTTATGCCCTCATCTTTTTAAGGCTTGCAATCAGTACTTACTGCACGAGACTCTCCTGGCGACTCGACGTCAGTGGCGCTGTCGATAACAGCAGGCAGCCACCTTTAGATAGCCGCGTGCTGCGAGCTGCGTTCCTTGTCCCATTCCCTTGAACAGCTGTGTGCTTGGCAGTAAAGGTCGAAGCGGCCTACTTTCTGCAAAGCAAGCGAACCACGCCCTCGTGTTCGAGTGGGGCCGCCACACAGCCAAATGCTGTGCTAGCCGCACAGGGGACACCAGAAGGGATGCTATCCTGACACACGTATGAGCAGTCTCGTCAAAGGATCACTAGTCAGGTGATTCTACTAGAACTATCCACCTCGCTCGACGATCCGGGGACATGAGCTCAAAGCCCCGACTTCGCCTTTCTGCATTATACCTCACCTTTCCTTGTGCCTTCTCATATCTCACGACATTTTCCCACCATTTTCCCACTCATCTGACGTTCCACACCCATCCTCCGCGCACCTCACCCAGGTTCGTGACATCTTCAAAGGCGGAATCACAGCTCGCCATCTGTTCTACTCCTTGTATCGCCCCCTGATCGCCTCTCACACAGCATGTCAACTGAAGATGCGAGCTTCGTGATCCGAAAGTCAGACGGGACTGTCGTTCAGGCAGAAGATCTCACGTTGGAGGATCTGCTCAATCCGTACATCATCAGGCAGTGTACCACGGCCGACGAAGAAACAAAGCGGAGGTTTGCGAGCCGGGCCAAAACTGCCATCGATGATCAATGGAGAGATCTCTTTCTATCCCTGGATAGCAATGCGGCCGTCGAGGAAGAAAGTGAGAAGATCCACGGCCTAGATCTACAGTCTCGGTCAAACCAGGAGGATGGCGATTTGGTGACCTGGGTGCCTCCGGAATCCATGGAGAGACTAAATACGGCCAGACAGCGGCTCATGATCCTGTCCTGACACCTGGACGGGCCGGATGGTCCCACAGGTGAGATCGCAAAGGAGCTTGTCGACCTCTTCGTCGAGGGCAAATATCGGTCGGGCCCAGGACTGGAGTCGGGTGAGACTGAGAAAGACGCAGAAGCAAGGAAGCGGAAAGTGGCCGAGAACTTCTTCTCACATGTCATGGCAGAGAGACGTGTCATGAGGGAGACAGCGTACGGGGTCGGAGAAGAGGCTGTGCGTGTAGGAACTCGAAGTAGGAGTGAGTCTCCTCATGATGCGTCGCAGAGCCGGTCGAGACAGGGACGGGCGATGAATCATCTGATGGAATACCTGACAACGCTCGTCGACTGTACCGTCCTCGCAACGGCAGCCCATCTGACATACCGGGGATTGTCGGCGTTTCTGCAAGCGCGGCGGGATGCGGCTGGAACCCAGGGAGACGGTCTTCCGTGGTGGGAAGCAGTGGACGGGGTGGTCTGAGAGCAGTAGATTCGGTATAATATGTGCATATGTGCGTCTTTCAGGCTTGAAGCGTGCTGCTCGATCTATACAGTCAGCCTAGCTGACAGCTGCCCTGTGCTATGCAGTGGCTAGCTGCAACTTATCGCCACCCAAACCAGGTGCCACGTTCCTCATTCCATCCGCCACTTTCCGCTTCCTCCGCGTCCGGCCCGGTCCGCCTCCACCCTTTCTCAATCACTCTTCCTTCTATCGCCCTCGAGCTATCAACCTACATCATGCCAATCTCCCGCCTCATCCGCTTCATTCCCCGCGCCCTCTCCTCCACCTCTTCTTCTTCTTCCGCCCTCCCAAGTCTCGCTCGCGCAGCACCACTAATCGGCGAGCCCGTCGACCCAGAGCTCGATGTCGGCCTCGCGACGTACTCGAACCAGGACGTAGAGGTTGATGTCTACTCTGGAACGTCCGTCCTCGCACCTGGGAGTAAGACGGGGAAGCGGGAGATGGTCGGGCGTCTACTGAGCCCTTTGGCCAGGGAGGAAGTAGGAACAATACGGTGTATTGGCCTGAATGTGGGTCTAAGCTTCCCTGTTATCCCGCCAGTGAGAACGCAACAGCTGATCAGCAGTATCACCGCCACGCGTCAGAAATGGACATGTCCCCTCCTCCCCTCCCTACCCTCTTCCTCAAGCCCTCGACAGCGCTAGGCGACCCATACCCCGCCCCCACGATCCTTCCCAAGGCGTTCGAGCAGGACAACGCGGCGGACTACGAGGCCGAACTGGTTGTCGTCATAGGGAAGGACTGTAAGAATGTGGGGGAAGAAGAAGCTATGGACTATGTACTGGGGTATGTCCGCTCGCCTCCCCGCTCGATCTGGGCGCGTGACAGACAGGTACTGACCCCCAGATACACAGCTGCTAATGACGTCTCGTCCCGCCTAGCCCAGTTCGCCCAGTCGCAATGGTGCTTCTCGAAAGGGTTTGATGGGGCTTGTCCGCTCGGTCCGGCTTTGGTCATGCGGGATCAAGTGGAGTTGGGGAAGATGGAGATTAGGGCAGAGTTGAATGGGGAGACGGTACAGGAGAGCGGAATAAAGTGGGTCTTTCAATTCTGTCCTTCTCATGCTGCGTCATACTCTTCCTCTCCCTCCTCTCCGCGGTCTCTGCATTAGCCACGCTTTATTCTAAACTTCCCGGTTCTCACCCAACCCTCCGCTGAGATCGACGGATACGAGTAGCGCTGACAAGCAGTGATCTAATCTTTGGCGTGCCCAAGATCGTCTCGTTCCTCTCTCAAGGCACCACACTGCCAGCTGGAACCATAATATTGACTGGGTAAGCTATCCGCCATCTCATCTCCATGGGCAGGGCTGACAAGCAGCACACCCGCCGGTGTAGGCTGGAGCAGCAAGCCCCGGAAAACGCTGCAGGACGGGGATGAGTATAGGGTGTGGGTGTCGGGCGGGGTGGGGACATTGATCAATAAGATAGAGCAGGAGGTTTAGTTGTAGCTATAGCTGTGGGCACGACAGGTGATTCGCGGATGTGAGGGCTGTACGGAAATTGTCCGGGAGTTTCAGAGCGGAGCCGAAGTTCCGTCGAGGGGGTCAGCCAAGCCAAGCCATTCCTCCCGCTTTCAGACCATACTTCATCTCGGCCATCAATCACGTCCGCAAGATGCCCCTCTTCATCTGTTTCTGCCCCGACTACCCCAACAGCCTCTCCAAGCGCCTCAGCGTAAGAGAAGAACACCTCGCCCTGGGTCGGAAAGACCGCGAGGCGGGAACGACCGGTTCGTCCTTCTTTCTCCCCTACTCAATTCTTGAGCTGATATGACAGTCTTTGGCCGAGCATTCATTGATCCAGACACACGAGACATGGCCGGCTCGACACTGCTGTACCGATACCCAAGCATAGAAGAGGCGTGGAGGCGTATCAAAGCGGATCCATACTGGACATCAGGTGTATGGGACCAGGGCAAAGTCGAGGTGAAGGAATTGCCAGGGATGGAGGGGGACGATCACTTGCGGGTTGCCAAGGACCTGTAGGACGGGCTGTATGGATGCGTCTGATGTCATATCGGATTGGCGGTCGACTCCGCTGCGTGCTATCATATAGCTCTATCCCTCCGGCCGCCGAGCTCAAAGATTCATGGTATACTGATTATTACATTGCTGGACATGACATGCCCTTCACCCTTACTATCTCACATCTGAGACCCCGTATGCATTCAGTAGAGGTCGCACGTCACAGTTCGCCTGAGCATCAGCGCAGCTCTCCGCATGTTCGCATCGTCTGCAGATAACTCACCGTTCTAAACGCTCCGTCCGATGACGAGTCCACCTGTCGTGAGACACATGCCTCAGGAACCTCATATGAGCACCTGTATGACTTTCGGCTTGGTAACCTTGACAGAAGAAAAAGTAGCCTGCTGGGCGGCCAGCGCCCCGTCCGCGGTAAGGGCGAGCGAGTTGCTGTTGGTCAAACCATTTCCCGTAAATACGTTGAAAGTGCCCCTAGCATTGAAGCCGCCGTTGCAATTGAGCACCTGGTCGACACCGACCGAGCAAGTGATTGTGGTACGCGCACCGCTGCCGGCTGGAAGGATGAGTGGTCCGAACCCGATGCCGACACCGGGAGTTGTTTCGTCAGGTCTCTGGATGGGACTAGAAGCTGTACGAGATCAGCGGGAGGACCGTAGCAGTGGGCTTCGACTGTAGTTCGACTTACCGATGTTACCAGACGCAATGTCAACAAGGTAGCATTCGGGAGTCAGAGTCAACCGCGAAGCTGTAGCTTGGGTATTCGCAGTGAAGGTGTATAGACTCAAAAAAATGGCGCCTCGGCGTCCGGCCTCCACCGTGGCGTATGGCGATGGGCCGAGATCTGAGACGTCGAGGATGAAGGGGATGCCCACATATCCCCCGCATGGGCTGTGACGGATTAGCATGAGCTTTCCTGTATTCTGTCTCGTTAACTCACGCATTGGCCGCTATCGACGCCCTCGCAGCAAGCCTAGCTCCACGAGCCGCCATGCGCACGACCGAAGCTCGAGTGGCTTGGCGAGCGGCAAGACGCTGTGCCCCTGCCTCATGCTGGGGCGAAGGGTCGACTTCTGTTTCAGACCCGGGGGAGACAGACGACTCGGCCGAGGCGGTGAACACGACAAGAGCAAAGGCGGACAAGAGGGCGGCAAAGCTGCGCATACTGTGTAGTGTGGACGAGTTGTGAAGAGGATTGGAGTTCTGTTGACACGGCGAGACCGCTCAATGTTTTTCATCGTACTCCTGACTGGCTCAGCATGGTCACCGTGCGAGAGGGAATCAACACACCCAGACACACCCTCGCAAATTAGGGTGGATCCTGACGATCCATGTACGTACCCCACTTGTACCCCTGGGAGCCTGGGAGCCGAGGGGGTCCCGAGGGGGTCAGTAACCGACGAAAACCGCTCGAAAACCTTAATGCACCCCAGGCACCGGAGCTGTACCGGATACCGAGGATACCGGAGACTCGAGAGCACAAAAAGGTCCTTGTCAATGGTTGCCCCTGGAGCTGATCGTGATTGTTTACGTCTCTTCATAGTCCCCTGGTACAGTAGTCGTATTCGTGGACTATTCGTGATTACCGATGCATCATGCAGTTGTTCGACTCTCAAATCTCTCAAGAGGACCTCTGAAAGAACTGATATAGCCTTGAGGCGGATCCGGACACGAAATGCCCTCTGGAAGCCCAAATGTTTGATCTCAGATCCGGACACGGGCGGCCAGAATGGCCGCCAGGCTTGAGGCAAATGCGGACATGGCGGGCCGAAGGCCCGCGCGGAAAAAAATTGGGTATTGGTGGACCCCGCAGGGGTCCAGAGGACAGCTCCGAGCCATGGGTGCGAGGCACCCGGACAGGCGCTAGGTCTGAGGCGGATCCGGACACGGAGAGGCCACTTCGGCACCGGAATCCGGACACGGATTTCGCTCTCCAGGATCAAACCTCGATCGGTACTTTCAGAGGTCCTCTCTCAAGGGAATCAGATCGAGCGCAGATCATGTCCTCCGTGGGATGCCGTCAGCGCGTCGGCTCGGCAGCTCGGCCAAGCTCGGCTATCGGGCATGGCTCGGCGGTCATCGCCGCTATGTAGAAGTCCCACGACCCACCAAATCGCTGCTGGCCGTTGCTATCGCTCTTCTCTCTTAAGCAGGGAACCCACACTCATGCTCATACGATCATGCCTTGGATCGCTCCCTCATCTAAAGTCCGCCCTTTACGCCATATGCTCAACCGGGAGTAGCACCGGGTCGGTGTCGTGTTCGCAAACTATCGTCCGCTGGGACCATGATCGCCGCCGGATATCGTCGTCTACCGTCTCAGCAGCACCTACACCGTCCTCATTGCGGGATCTCTCGATACTTACTACTGAGGCACACAATACCGTCGCTCGAGAGTGGGTCAATGGGTTCAAAGAGGGGGATATACCCAAGGAGGCGCTGGAAGCTGGATTCGCGCGGTCGAGTGGGCCTGGTGGGCAGGTGCGTCTTTCCTGCTTGATCGATAGTCCTGCTGACAAGCTAGCATGTCAACAAGACCAACTCCAAAGCAATGATACGGTGTTCCCTTGGGGATTGGCTACCCCCATTCGTCCTTCCGCCTCTACGCAGCTCGGTGCGTCCCATCACCTCCACATTGGCCCAAGCCGACCCCGTAGCCGCACTACCTCCCCAATCCTCCTTCTCTACTCATCACCTCTCAACTCTCCCGCTCGGCTCCGCAGAATCAAGCAGCCGCCATGTCGATTTTGCACCAAACGATCATTTCTGCCGCGCGGTCCGTCATTAAGGGAACGACGAGCTCGGAGCAGAAGCAGAAGGTGCAGGGTCTGATGAGGAGGGAGGAGGGGCGGCGGAGGATGGATAAGGATCGTCTGAAGAGCAAAAAGGCGGCGAGGAGGGAGTAGGGAAGCTTTAGAAGAGACTAAGATGAAACACGACGCACGGACGTGGACACGTGACCTTAACTTTTCCCCGCTTTTTGCCGAGAGAGGCAAGTGAAAACTTTTCCCTGAGTCCCTGACCCAAGTTTGTATTTTGCGTGCCCTTCCTTTCGTCGGCCAATTCGTCGTCATAAATCCCCTCCTTGATGTCATCGTTCCCCACTTCAGTCATAATTTCTAGCCCCTCACCAGCCTACGCAGCGGATCATCAGGAGCGTTTCAGAGTATAGGTGATACAGTCTAGCGTCACAGTGAGTGTCCTTGCGACTGCAGAGGCAGAGTGGGAGCATGCATGCGGGGTAGAGTGGCGAGAAAGGGAAGCGCGTGAGGCCGGAAACTCGTCATGGCTGGCGAGGAGGACCATCCCCTCCCCACCTGGAGATCAGAGTCAACCCCCACCCGGCCTCCTCAGAGGTCATCCGAGGTGTACATGCTGCTGTATAGGCCAGCTGGAATAAGAGGAGGAACTCAGCCACCTAAACCACAGAGGTTCCATGCTGACAAAGCAGCTCTCACAGCTGACGTCGCCGACCCGCCTCGTCTCTTGTTTGTCCCATCTCCAGTCAGCCAATATCCGGTCCGGCTCGTACCTCGCCCTCCGCTCCCATCATCCCTCAAAGGTACCGCCCTGCTCGTGCAGCCTGCAAGCCCGCCACACCATCACCTCACCTCCCACTCGCGCCGATCCCCGCCCTCGGGTCAATATCGGTGAATAGTTCTCACCAAAAATGGCAGCGGCAGCTGTAGCGACCGCTCCGGCTGTCTCCTCCTCGCTTGCTGGACCTTCCAGTATGTTTCCCCTCAGCTTCGTGAAGTACAGACACTGACTAGTAGTCACCCGCCCAACATCAGCCGCGTCTGATTCGAGACGGTCCGCGTCGGCTACATCGCGGAAGGGGAGCGAGGTGCCCCCAAATCCGCCGGTGGCTGTGATTGTCGAGGAGGTCAAAGATGAGGATACAAATGGGGAAGCTAGTAAGTCCAATCTCTGCCTGGGGTGACCTTCTGGGCCTGTGCTTCTTCTCGCTACGTCTGGGCTTGCCACTGCTCATCTCTCGCGCGATCTTCCCTGTTCCTTCCTTTCTTCCTTGGCTTTCATCTTTCCTCTTCCATCTACTCATGCTCTTTGTGCGCCCTCATCAGTTGCGACTGTTCCTGCCTTCCGCATACTACCTTGGCCTAGCTATGGGATGGCGTCCCCATACTTCTTTCATATTTTTATACCTGGCGTCTAGACCCTTTATGCTGTACTGTGCTGACCCCAGGCTCCCCACCGGAACCCATCTCGCGTCCTTCCTCTCCCCCAGCTATCGTCCGCCCTCCCATCCGCCCCATTCCCGGCTTACGGTCGAAATTCGACCTCGAGCCCAACCCCTTTGAGCAGTCGTTCCGGGAGTCTCACCACTCTGACTCTCTGGACGACGTGAACGATTCCTCTGGCCTCACTCCACCTCGCGGCGGCGACGCAACTGCCATCAAGCACAATGCCCTCCCTCCCCTATCCTCCCTTACCTCACCCGCCGCGGCGGACCCCAGCCAATTCCCATGGCTTGCCAACCAGTCCCTTCGCACTGGCCCTCTCTCGCCCGCTATGCTCGCTGGACCCGCTGGAGCTGGCGCTCGAGCCGCCAAGGGTGCGGATGGGGACCATGGCGCATTCGACCAGACCGGATTCCGTACGGGCTTTACACCTGGTACCGGTAGTGGCTTCACCCCCGGCTACACGTCGCTCATGGGCGGAGCGGGGTTCAGCAACCTCCCCATGCCCAGTCCAAACACCGCCGCCTTTCTCAACATGGTCACCAACTCGACGCCGATCGAGGGAGAGGCGACCGACCCGGCGGCTCCATCGGCTATCCCCGCGCACATGCAGCAACATCACGGGCTGAGCCATATCAACCAGGGCGATATCGGTCAAGACACCATCACCCCCAATACCCTCTCGGCACTCACCGGTGTGGTGAATGATATGAACCGCCAAGGTTCCCAGTCTACCTTTTACCCTCCGCACAATACCCAGAACGGCGCGCCGAATGGGAATACAGGTGGTCCGCCTCCACCCGGATACCCCCACGTCGACTATGCGCAGCAGTCGGCCAATGCGGCGAGTCAAGCGGCGAACGGGCTTTTCTTGCTCTCTCAGGCGCATCAGGAGCTGTCGAAGCGGGAAGAAGAGGGGAGACCACCGGGCGCACCCGCTCCGCCTTCTCAGCAGCAGCAGGGGCAGGGTCCGATGGGAATGGGAGGGATGGGCGGGATGGCCCCCAACGCGGCGCACGGACATCAGCAGCAGCAGCAGCAGCAGCAGCAGATGATGTACCCGGGTCATAACGGCCAGCATCACCCCGGCGCGACACTCAACCACGCACAGTACCCCCACCCCATGCATCACCCGCCGCAGGTCATGGATCGGCCACCGAATCCCCAAGCGACGCTCGCTAGTGCCGCCGCGAATCTTCTTGGCAACCCCCCGCCCGCTCCCCCGCAAGGCCAGCAGGGACAGGGAACGAAGCGCAAGTCTGACGCGGCGGACGCTGGGGCTGGCGCGGCGGCCGCTCCAAAGGGCAAGAAGGGAAAGAAGAATGCTGGAGCCGGAGCAGGAGCAGGGGCGGCGTCAAGTCCCGGCAAGGACAAGAAGCGGTCAGCGTCCGCGGCGGCTGTAGCGAAGGGAGAGTCGACGTCGCCTATGGCCGGAGGTGGGATGGGCGGGTATGGCGGCTTCAAAGGGATGTCGATGATGTCTAGTATGGGAGGCATGGGGGGGTTGGACGACGACGACGATGATGAGAGTGAACATGATGGGATTAGCAAGATTACGGGCAAGCCAGAAACGGAGGAGGAGAAGAGGAAGAACTTTTTGGAGAGGAATAGGCAGGGTGAGTTTGGCAGTAGGGTCGCTTGCACAGTGATTCACACTCGGACAAAGCTGACTCTTCAGCCGCACTCAAATGCCGACAACGCAAAAAGCAATGGCTCAACGAACTCCAGACCAAGGTCGAACAACTCCAGATGGAGAATGATCGCCTCAATCAAACGGTCACGGGCCTGCATGACGAGATTGGGAGGTTGAATTCGGTATTGATTCAGCATAGGGATTGTGGGCTGGGGTTGCCGACGGGGTATGGGAGGGGGCCTATAAGATAGGGAGGGGGCGAGTAGGGCGCTGGGGGAGAAGAAGGGACGGGGGGATGAGGCGGAGTATGAATTTGAGGGACACACATGCAGATGGGGTGGGCGAGGGGTATCTTTTGTGTTTCGGATCGGCCTTTGGTTCTCGGCTCGGTCATTTTGAGTTCTTTCTGTACCTTTGTATCCAACACACTGAGCGATGCAGCCTCTACTTTCGACCTGACTAGTCTGACTATCACCGACTCAAAAGGTACTGATGAAAGGCACGCAAGCTCACCTTTCCGCCTCGGTTCGGCATCAATACTACAATACGTGTCGCGACGTGCGGGGTCGGTATGGTGGTTTAAGGTGAAAGAAAGGCGAGTTGGAAACGAGGCGGTGCTGGATGGCTTGGGAGAGCGGTCTAAGGCATGATGCCGGTCTCTGGAGACCTCCTGTCTCTGTGCCCTCGAGTAAGTGGTAGTCAGGGACAAGGGGAGTAGATCACCAGGTGCATCATTCTAAGCGCTAGCTCTCAAGATCGTCCCGCCCTCTTGCTCCCAATCCACCGCGTACACATCTCCCACCGCACTATCGACAAAGTACAAGATGTTTCTGTCCGATTCCGTCGAGCCGAAGATGCAATTGTTAAAGTGGGCGGGATGAGAAGGGTCTCGATCTTCCGGCGCGACAATGCGAGCGAGGGGGCGGCCGGTCTTGTCGACCACAAAGATGCACTCGAGGCTGGCGTGGCAGATGAAGAGGTTGCCTGCCGCATCGACAGTGAGACCGTCGGGGCCAGAAGAGCCAAAGGCGGTGACTACTATCAGCGTAGCTGCAAGAAGGACTTACAGAACTTCATGACCTTGCTGGTGGATCCGTCCTTTTGCAGGGGGCACCGCCAGACGCTATTGTCCCGTGTCATGGCGACGTAGAGAAACTTTTCGTCGGGGCTGAGAACGAGCCCGTTTGGGCTGGGACCGTTCGAAAGGAGGACATCTAGCTTGCCGCTGGGTGATAGGCGGTAGACGAGACCGGTGGGATCAGTCATTCCGGTTTGGCCTTGGTCGGTAAAGTCTGCGTCAGCCCTGTCTGATGCGCGCTCACAGATGTCGCCGTTGGACGCGACGATGATATCGTTGGGACCTTTGAAACGCTCAAGATTCCGCCGAGTGAGCAGCGGTGAGACTTTGCCTGAGGAAGGGTCGACCGAGAGCTGGGTCAGCTCGGCCGCACATGCACTCACAATGCCCTCCTTGTAATCTGCAACGACCAGATGGCCGTCATCTCTCAAGGCAAGCCCATTTGGCTCTCCATCCCACTGCGACACGACGGAAAAGTCCCCCTTCGCAATGTCATACCGCAATATCCGACCGTAGGGGATGTCCACCATGAACAAGTTTCCCTGCTTGTCCGAGGTGATCCCCTCGAGAAAGATTGTGGGAGGTTTCCCAGCAGACGCTGAGGTCAGTATAGCTCAGTAGAGGACATACGCAGTACCCATTCGGACTCGGTGGTAGCGTAGAGTGCTTGAGGGACGGACGCTATGCGCCGCGCAGCAATTGTCGGGGGGATGGGGAAAAAGCCAGACATGGTACAATGCAGAAGTAGGATCGCGGTTTGGGCGTCTACTTGAGCTCGTCGGCATTGACACCGATGCAGCAGGATGTGGCACTGAGCACAAAGTCCATAGTCTACGAATGTGCCGCTGCTACTGTCGCCTTCATTGCATTCTGCAGCGCCCTCACGTCCGATCCCAGCCCAATCAGCTTCCAGTCCTCCTTCAACGCCTTGGCATGCTCGCCTCCCTTGGCCAAGATCCCCACATGCTTCCCGTGCTTGATACCCGCCTGCCTGACCTTCTCCAGCGCCGCTAAAAACTCGGGCTCGTCCCACCGCGCAGGCACGTAGCCGAGGAGCGAGAGCGCCAGGTCGTTGGGGCCGATAAAGAGCGCATCTACGCCTGGGATAGCCGCGATGGCTTCAGCGTTTTCGACGGCTTGGGGAGTTTCGATTTGGACAATGGTGAGGATGGTATCGTTGGCGACCTTGACATAGTCGGCGAGGGTGACGCCGTGAGCCATGGCGCAGAAGGATGAGCCTTGACCGCGGACGCCCATAGGAGGGAATTTGGACCACTTGACGACCTGGGCGGCTTCTTCCGGTGTATTGACCATAGGAACCATGATACCGCTGTCGTCAGCAAAGTCTTGCCTGTACTCACTGAGCACCACAATCCAGAGCACGCTTGATCAACCCATAGTCCATAGCTCGTATCCGAATGATCGGCGAGACTTCTTCCGACGCAATGACATTGACCGTGTCGTGCATGTCCCGGTCATCGTGATTGCCGTGTTCACAGTCAATGATCACGTACTAAAGTCAGCGATGTCAAGCCTGGACTCACATCCCAGCCGCACGAGGCAACGATCCGAGCTGTCCAAGAGGAAGCGAGTGAGGAGAAGCACCCAAACATGGGCTTGCCAGCTTCAAGACCATTACGGAGGCGGTGACGGGGGATTGAGGCTTTGGTCGACATGACGAGGGTCGGGCAGGGAGGGTGTGGGTAATACAGACAAGGATGTGGGCGATTCTGACGCGGACATGGCTGCGCTTCTTAGCTATATGGGATGTATAGTATCGGAGCTCGGGTTGGACCAAGTGGACCATCGGAGAGATGCCACCGGCCCCGATGTTGCCGAATTACGTTACCCCCTGCGGAGGGACCCCGAGCCTCTATCATGGTGCGGAGAGCAACACCGACCGCCCATCTCACCATCTAGACAACTCCGAAGACACCATGCTCGAGATGAATATAGCTGAGAGTCAGCTGGGCCCGATTTGGACCCCGCAATCTCATTCTCACGCACAATGCCCGTCGCAATCCGCCCCCACGTCTTCTCCCTCTACCCCCTCGACGAAGAGACCATCGCTCTCGCTGAGCGATCGTTCCGCATTACCTGTCCGGGCGATGAGGGACACGAGCTATGGTACACCAAGGCGGATGGTATCATGGTACGGAGTCAGCGTGTGACGCCTGAGGATGTTGCCAAGATTGGCCCTCAGCTCAAGTTTCTCGGCAAGCACGGCGTGGGAGTGGACGCGATTGATGTCAAGGGGTTGAGCGCAAAGGGTGTGGTGGTGACCAATACTCCTGGAGTCAATGTGAGTCATGATACGGCCGAGCTGATTCCAGGCCACTGCTGTAGCCGAACTTGCTCTTACCCTCGCCCTCGCTGTCGCGCGTAACGTCCCCTTTATCGACCGCGAGATTCGCGCCGGCAAGACCATTACCAAGCAGGCCGGCGGCGAGGGCGGTATGCAGCTTACTGGGCGTACCCTCGGTCTCATCGGCGGCGGAAACATCGGCTTCACCCTTGGCAAGATGTTCCACGGCGCATTCGGCGCCAAGATCATCGTTTACGACCCCCACCTCTCCCCCGCCATGGAGTCTGCCTGGACTGCCGCCATCCCCTCCTACCGCCGCGTCACCTCTCTGGATGATCTCCTCCCCGCCTCGGACGTCGTATCGGTCCACGTGCCCCTCTTTGACTCGACGCGGGATATGATTGGCGCGCGCGAGTTGCGCTTGATGAAGCGGTCGGCAGTGTTGATCAACACTGCGCGAGGGGGGATTGTGAACGAGGAGGCTTTGGCGCAGGCGCTGGACGAGGGAGTAATTCTTGGGGCTGGGTTGGACGCATTCAGCACAGAGCCGCCAACTCTGGCTCAGTTTTCGAGCCTGATCAATCACCCTCGAGTCGTCAGCACGTAAGTTTTGAACAAAGACGAGCTGATATCAGACCTCATATCGGTGCGGCGAGCTTGGATGTCATCTCGCAGACGGCCAAGTCAGTGGTGGAGCATTTGCGGGACGCGTTTGCTGGGAATATCAGGGATGAGGTCAAGTTGTAACTGTACATGCATCACGATCGCCAGAAATCTTCCACCCAGTCCGCCCCTTGCCACACGGTATCCGCTGTGGGTACGCTCGGCATCGCCGTCATGTCCTGTAGCAGATCCAGTCCCGTCCCATCGTTGACATGGCCCCAGGACGACATGAGCGCGTCGAGCGAGAGGTCGTCGTAGACCACATTTTGATATGCGTTGGGGATTGAGGGGCCGGGGGTGGGCTGAGCTGCGGAACGGGATGATGCGGATTCGCTGAGCTGCCTCTTTTCAGACCGCTCAGCGTGGGAAGAGCCGGCGGGGCGCTTGATGGAGGGAGGGATCGGCTCGACTAGACGCTTCTTGATCAAGTCGATAGACTGGATCAGCACAGTTTGGCGGAGACCTACTCGCTTGATGCCAGGCGTCACCAGGCTAGCTCGCTCCAGCACATGCAGACTGAACATGATCCTCGGGGTGGCGAGAGCAGATACCACCGGGTCGGGATTGCGAAAGTCCATCGCGTTTACCAGAGCAGCCGAGTACTAGGTCAGCTCGGTCTAGGGTCGACTTACCATACTCCAGCTGGTGGTGTAGGTCATATTGCGCAGTTTGAACGATTTGTTGTGGAGAGTAAAGAGCTGGTGCATCTCCTCGGCCATGTTGGAGCAGATCACACCGGCCTGAGTGGCGACTTCTGGCGGTGCGTTCGACTGGAAGGGAAGCTCGTGGGAGAGGAAGACGCGATGAAGGAGGATCCAGGATGCGCGGTAGAGTACACTGCGTTAGCCCGGTATGAGATCGACTTACTTGAGTGAGAAGATGTGGGGCGGAGGACAGTGCAGTGGGAGACGAGCGACTTCCAGCTTGATTGCAGTTGGCATATCATCAAACCAAGCTTTGAGCCGGTCGCTCATGGTGCGGGCGAATGCGACGCTTTGCGCCATTTTCGGTCGACCATTGTACAGCCTGCCGATGATCTTTTGGATGATTTCGCAGAGCTAAGTCAGCTCGGACTACTCGAGACCCACTTTGATAAAGTATCGATTATTGCAAGTGGTGAGAGCTTTTTGGACGGGATAGTCGGCGAGTTCGGCGCGAAAGATGGGGTCCTCGGTATACGGATACCACTCGTCGTCATCCTCGGTGTCGTCGACGATTGGACCTGGCGAGACGTTCTGGAACGCGTTGAACGTGGGATACCTGCCCAGAGCAAGAGAGATGATCTAGTCAGCTCTGAATTACTCAGACTCACCTTGTCCCAGCTATAGGCTGACCAGAATAAGCGCCGCCGAATCTCCCTATCCTCCACGGTGAGGGTACCAAAGCCAAAAATGGGTAGGCGGGAGATATTGAGATGGATCCCAAAGTCCCTATAGTCAGCGGGAACAGCTGGCAGCTCACCTCATAGCCCGGAATGCCATCCCTGATATCAGCTTACTACTCCGGTCAGCACTCACCCGTATAGAGCCATCCCTGAGGGTACCTCCCTGATCATCAGCTCAGGTCTGGCCAGACACCTACCGGCTGAACACTCCATCTGACCGAGGATCAGCAGACCCTGTATTGTAGGTATGCTCGTAGACTAGTCAGCTCCGCTTTGCGCAAACCCACCTTGTCAATCTCCTCCATCAATTGCGATTTTGCCAGCGCCAGAAAGTCTGGACCCTGTAGTCGAGGGGTCTTCATCCCGCTCCCTCTCCCCTCTGAGACATGCTGATCGGAGAAACGAACAGCCTGAGGTCAGCTGGGCCGGGTCAAGACTTACGCTAGCACAGATCACGTTCAGCAAAAAGTTGTTAAAGTACTGTCCGCTAAGAGCCATGTCGCCTGATATCAGCCATGCCATGGCTGTACTTACGTAGAAAGACCGGTCGGTAGACCACACAATGAAGTCCATATTGCCATGTAAAGTAGGTCTCATCAGCTCCGCCTGGCCAAGACTCACTTTCATCAGGGTAATCATGGTCCCGGCTGTTTCGTGATCATGCTCAAGCTGCAATTTGTGGTACGCCACTACAGTGAGCTCCGCCTTGCGCGTACTCACAATTCTCCCAATTCTTCAACATCACCGCTGTGGCCCTCAGCGATCCCGCCTCGTTTGGATCTGGCGCCCCGTCCGGTCCCACCCGCCCATCCGTCACCCATACCTCCCCATTCCTATCTGCCGGTACCGCGAGATCTTGCGGTTTCGCCTGCTGCTGTTCCACTGGCGATGCATGCGCCTGAGCATCCTCTTGCTGCTGGATACGATCCTTGAGTCGTTCAAGTACATCCGCCGACGGAGTCTGCCAGACGAAAGAGGTCAACCCATAGTGCCCGTTCTAAATCAGCTCCGCCTTACCCTGACTCACCTGTCCATCATCCGCAATACTCATCTGCATGAGCAATTCGTCAATCTGCGTCCGTAGTGGCTCTCCCTCCTCCTCCGCACTCAGATCCTGACCCGGATGATCCGTCGCCTTGCCGACAAGACCCGCCTCCGGTATTGTCAACTTGTCCAGGTACGACCGGATACAGTCCACCATGTCGGCTTGTTTGCCTTGAAAGTCGGGCGATATCAGACTGCGTAGGAAGCTGACCATGTCTGCGACGACAGGGACGAGTTGGGACGCGCCCCCTCGACGTTGATTCCTGGAGTCAGCTCTGCCGGGGTGGAACTCACCCTTCATAGACGCATTCCTCTCCAGATTTGGCACATCGCGTGCATATTGGCAATACGCTGTCGCAGCGTTGCTTGCGCCGTCGACAGCTATTGCAGGAAGTGCCATACTTGCTGGCTTTGTTCTCGGTGGATGTGGACGAAGACGCTTCCATGGTGATGTATAGTGCCAAGAGTTGCCGCCTCCACTTTCAAAGTCCACCCGGAGTCAGCCGGCATACCGTACTGGGACTCAGTGTTGCGCTGCTGAATGATTGCGCTCCAAGCTCGCTACGTAGAACAGTGCCTGAAGGCTTGTCACAGAGTCGAGCTCCCCAGCAAGCCAATCCGGATACCAGGACGCGTGGATGGCGAAGAGCCCGGGTCAGACCAAAGGGCGTTGTACTGCGGGTATCGTTTTGCGTCATCATTACTTGGCAGTATGCATGTATGCCTGTCTCCAAGCCCAGCTCTGCCGCTGCGCTCATCATGCCCTGGCCCTGCGCTGGTAGACATAGTAGGTGACGACTCCTGAGATGGTCCAGTGAGCAGGAATACTTGCTCGTAACAGGATCACGTGACATGGAGATCCACCTGCACTCCGTCCTCTTACGGCCGACCGAGTGTCTCCCCGAAAGGCCGACTTTCGGACTCTTGAGCGGTATCTTTGTGCTATTCTGGGACACTCTCCCAGCTTCTCCAACCCCTACCTGCCCGATATGGCGATCTCCGCACTACAAAGCTTCGCGAGATTTATCCACCTGCCCTCGAATCCGGGGAGCCGACCGGGGCAGCAAGTGGCCACTGTCGGCGAGGATCCCGTGCGAAATCTGACGCGAGGAAATCACTGTAACCCCAGCGGTGCTCAACACCGACATATACAGGGCTCCAGGCAGTTGCTGACCAGTATATAGCCAGTATGCGGGGTAGCACACTGACCCTACTCATCTCTACCTACTCACTGCACCTACAATGGACGCCCAACCTGTCGGTCTCATCGAAAAAGGCGTAGCCGAGCATGTCGACGAGGGCAAGTTCCCCATTGGCGAGGAGGGAGAAGGCGCGCGCGAGTGGGAGCCAAAGTTCATGAAGCGGACGCAGCTCAAGGTGAGTTGGTGCTGGGTCGGAGCTGATATCTAGTTGGATCTCTTACTGCTTCCGCTCCTCACCCTCATCTATATGTGCTCCTCGCTCGACAAATCCAACTTGGGTAACGCAAAGACCCTCGGCATGATTGATGACCTCGGCGGCGACCCCTCGGGAGAGACCTACGCCCTGCTGAATGCCTTCTACTTTATCTCTTACGCCCCTTTCAGTACGTTCTTTCTCTCTCACACAGGTCAAGCTGACATCGCAGTGGTCCCTTTCGCCCTCCTCGCCAAGCGAACCCGGATGGCCAAGGTGCTCGCCCTTTGCGCGTGCGGCTGGGGTATCGCCGCTACCTCCTTTGCTGGTGTACAGAACTTCCCTGGTGCCTTCGCCTGCCGCTTCTTGATTGGTTTCGGCGGTGCGTTCTGCCCACTATCCATCAACGTGGCTGATAATGTAGAGGCCGGCTACGCACCCATGGTCCAGGTCTACCTCTCTCGTTTCTACACCCGTCGCGCCCTCGGTGTCCGCGTCGCCTTCTGGCTCGCCATGGCTCCCATGGGCGGTTTCCTCAACGGCATCATTGCTTACGGTGTCTCGTTCATCAAGAGCCACCTCGAGTCTTGGCGTGTACTCTTCCTCATCGAGGGTGGGCTCACGCTCATTGTCGGCATTGTTGCCGTCGTCATGCTGCCCGAGGACATTCCTTCTAATCGGTGGTTGACCGAGGAGGAGCGAGATTATCGTGAGTTCTTTTCACCCATCCTTTGGCTACACTCTTGACTTCTTCTACCCTTATGAGCCTCTGTACTTGAGCTGACTAAGCAGTGATGTACATGCGAGCCATGGACTACGCTCCGGAAGGCCGAGAGATCAACTGGAAACACGCGCGAGGCGCTTTCTACAGGTGGCAACAGCTTTTGCGTGAGTACCGATTTTGTTTCCCTCACCCTCCGTTCCGCTTCCCCACTTGCTTCAGGCTGTATGGAGGCTCGCTGACCCTTTTCTTCATAGCAACCCTCCAGAATATCTCACAGCAAATCACTGGCGCTGCTCTCTCCGCCTTCCTCCCCACCTTCACCAGCGAGAATGGCTTCAAAGGCGCGACCGCCCAGATCGCCACTCTCGCCCCTTACGGTTCCGCCGCGGTCTGTATGGTCATCGCCTCGTACATCTCGGACCACTACCGCAACCGTGGCTGGCCCTCTCAGGTCGGCTGGTGGATGATGATCCTCGCTTTCGGTATCTACCTCGGTGTCGACACCAGCAATCACGCCGCGCGCTTTGCGGCTTTGATCTTGGCTGAGGTTGGGCACTATGGTGAGTCTTTCTTCTTATCCCATATCGGTCTCTCGCTGAAGTCCAGTCTGCACTCCCCTCATTGTCACATGGCAAGCCAATAACGCCGGTAACGAGTCTCGACGAGCCGTCGCTGTCCCCTTCGCAGTCGCTTGCGCTCAGGCCGTCGCGTGAGTCTTTCATCCTTTCGACCTGAGCTTGGCTGACCATCAGTGCTGGCTCTGGCTACCTCTTCCCCGCCAAAGACTCGCCAAAGTACACCATGGGCTCCGCCGTCTGTCTCTCCCTCTCGGCTGCCGGCTCCATCTTCACCGGGATCTACCAAGTCCTCCTCCGGCGCGAAAACAACCGGCGAGACGCAGATGAGGGCGGGCCGCCCGCCGAGGGTTTCAGGCCAGATACTGCTACCTACGCCGACGACGCGCCCGGCTTCCGGTACCTCGAGTAAGCATGGAGTGGCGATTGGATGTCAGACGGCTATGTACATGCTTGGTAGACAGGTATCAATGCAGTTTCTTTACTATCAGGCTGATCTGGGCCTGGGCATCGATAGGATCATTCTTTGCTCCTGCCGCGAGCACTGCTTGCTGGACGAGGGCATCCTGACCGATATTGGCTTGAGCAGACCGCGCGCGTCAACCAGGCAAGCGATACATATCTGATCTAATGCTTATCGCAGCATACGCAATCCGCGCCTCCGCATTCAGACCAGTGTCTATACCTCTCCCCCAGCTTGCCCGCATACTCCACTCCACCTCCCCCTGCGCGGTAGACCATCCCCTCGACCCCTGCGCCGGCTGCCTCGCCGCTACTGCCAGCCTCCCCACCCACACTCTTCCCATCAGACCCCTTCACCTCCAGCTCGACCGGTTTGCCCGCCATACCCTCCACCCTCGCCGGTCCCTTGATATTCATCATCTCCACCAAAAAGCCGTCCCGACGCGTCTCCGCGTCTCCGCCCTTTCCTCGAGGAATGGGAAGCACCCGCACTTCCCCATCCGGGCTCTTCCACATGTCCTCCGAGGCCGCCGAGGTGTTGAAGAAGTAGCGGGCGACAGGAGGGAGGGAGTCGAGTGGGTAGTGGCGGTAGATCCCGTGGAAAGTGATGCTATCGAGCTTCCACCCTTGCATGACCTTGCCAAGGACCTCGATGTACATACCGTCTACGCCCCGTTTGTCCGACAGGGGCTGGGTCTTATCCCAGAGGGTCACGCAAAAGTGCTTCGGGTGGAGCTGGGCGAATAGCGCGTTTGTTTGTTTCAACGCCTTCTTTGCCGCGGCGGTGGTGGCAAGGGACCGCAGCCGAAGTTGGTGGATGAAACCCCCGTTGAGCACGACGTGGGTCACGTTTGCGAGCAGATCCTGGTGATTTGTCATCAGGGTCGTGAGTGTATCTGCATCGAGTAGGCTGTCGAAAACGAGCGAGGTGACCATGGACACGCCGAGGCGGGTCCACCCGAGCTGGTCTCGCGCCTTGAGCATGCTCTTGAGGGCGAACATGCCCTCCTCGTTGACCGTAATACGGGACCACCGGCGTGCCATGACCGCGCCGCGTAATAGGCGCGAGGACCGGTACAATACGCGCCGCGATGCCGCGTCAGCATGCCGGGCGATTTCGACGACGATTTCCACCGGCAAACGGGCGGGTCCGTTGACCTTTAGTCCTGGCGGGATCGATACAGAGGGGTATCGAGCTGCACAGCGTCAGCTATAATACCCTTTGTAACGAGGCAGTTGCGTACCCTTGGCCACCTGGACAGTTGCGACGCCGTTTGATGAGCGGTCCATTCTTAGATCTGGCCCATCAGCGCAGCCCTTTTTCGGACAGTCTTTCTGGCCACTTACGAGGTAGAATAGATGTGTGATATCTATGAGTGCGATGTATCTGATGTAGTACTGGTGTAGGTAGAAAAGGGGCGAGATCAATACCACAGGCAGAAAGCGCATCTCCAGGTCTCAAACCCGGCCCTCACCGCCAGCCGGAATACCTCCGAGTCCAGGTATACCTCCGATCTCTTCGGTTCTCGCAGCATCGGTAAGCTTGTGAACAAGGGGTACGACGAAGCGCATCTCAATCTTGCATAGGTGATGGTGTGATTGTCTGACCAATATGAGCCGATAGGCCATACTCATCGTACACTGCTATCCCAGAGACATCCCTCATCAGCAACAGAGCTGGGAAGTACGGCAAGGTGCACCGGGCCGGTTTCGGCCGGCGTTTCTTCGGACTTCGGGCAGAGACGGACAGAGATCGTCCCCAATGGACTAACGTTGTTCATATCTTTTGTATCAGCGGAACAACTGCTCTCCGCCTCTTGACTTGCAAAATGTGAGCACACGATGGGCCCAAGAAGGCAGAGGAGACCCCCAGCTATCACACCTCATCCACTATGAACGCTACTCACCGCAAACCCACTCAGTACGAGTCGCTGCTCGCTGGAATCGTCGCTGGCGGTGTCGAGGGAGCGGTCACCTATCCCGCCGAGTTCGTCAAGACGCGCGCCCAGTTCACCGCCAATAAGGGCCAGGCGGTGGGTGTGATACCCATCTTTCGGGAGACACTGAGGGAGAGGGGCATCAAAGGGCTATATTCGGGGGCTGGGGCGTTGATCGTGGGCAACAGTCTCAAGGCGGGGGTGCGGTTTCTCACGTATGACTCTGTCAAAACAGTGTTTGCGGACTCTAATGTGAGTCTGAGGTTGAAAGTAGCTGATGGTAGGGCAAGATGACGCCGGGGCGGACGATGCTGGCGGGACTCGCGGCCGGGGTAGTGGAAGCGATAGTAGCGGTGACACCTAGCGAGACTGTCAAGTAAGTCCGTGCATGGCTCTGCTGATGTCAGGACCAAGATGATCCAAGATGCCACGTCTGCCAGGCTGTACCACAATATGGTAGATGGGACCATCGGGATCTGCCGCGCAGAAGGGTTCAAGGGGATATACCGGGGATTGTGGCCAACCGTGAGTCAGAGAAAGGCGTCGCTGATGTACCGTAGATCATGAAACAAGGTGCCAACAGCGCTGTCCGCTTTTCTTCCTACGCCTTCATCCAGTCTCAGCTCGTCCACCTCACTCGACCGCCATCTGGAAAGTTATCATCCGCAATGACCTTCGGCGCCGGCGCTGGAGCGGGTCTCATCACAGTCTGTGAGTTGTGGTGGAAACAATAATGCTGATTTAGACGCTACTATGCCGCTCGACAATATCAAGACGAGAATGCAGGCTACAGGTGCTGAGTTGAGATACAACAACAGCGCTGACTGCTTTCTCAAAGTAAGTCGCGTCGAGGCATAGCTGATTCAGATTGTCCGTCAGGAAGGTGTTCTGCGGCTGTGGGGCGGGACGACGCCGCGGCTGGCGAGATTGATGTTTAGTGGTGGTATCATATTCGCCGTGTACGAACGTTTGATCAACGTCATGACTGTGTTCTAGCTACTCTAGATGGATACATTTGATCGATACCATACTCCAGGCCGCCCTATCACACCTCACTTACCGTCCACGGTCGAGTAATCACACTTTGATCTGTGCGGCCGAGAGGTCCTACTCTGACCCATACATCCGGGCAGCTGAACAACCACATGTATGGTGCTCGTACTCTCGGCTCTCAGCTCGTGATCTGTGGAGGTGGACGAGAGGCGCGAGAGGAGGCCTAGGTCCTCCTTTCGATCGCTTTTGTGTGTGTCACCAACTCCTCATTCCTCGTCCGGATGTCCCGGAGTTGCTGCCTGTGACCACCGCTGCCTCTCCCTTTGCGTCGTGATCGCATCGGAGACTCGGCGTCAGGATACAGTATATAAGGTGATGCCTTGACGTTCATGTATCCCTCTGGCATGCGCAGCCACCCATGGACTACTCTCTTGACGCAGTCCTACGCCCGCCACCGATCGGCGGCCGCGGCCGGTTGTATATAAGTCATGATTCCTGCGGTATAGTGGTCATCACAGCGTGTGACCGTCAGCGTTGTGTCCGTCATCAGTCCGTATATCCATACAATGGGTCAGAATCAAGCATATAGGTGAGAGATAAGCAGCCGTGAGCTTGCTAAGTCCCCTCGTATAAACTACAAAGGAAGGGAATCGCGACTGGTCCTGGGTGTTACCGATGAAAGACTCATGGGAGCATGAATAAGGGTTATTGCCGATCTTGGTCACCTGTAGCCCTATACCATGCTGCTATTAAGATACCCAAATTTCTATGCAGAATGATGTAGCAGTGCGAGGAGACCGATGATATAGCCCTGTCAATCTTGGCGGTGTACCGGGGCAGAGTGCTGATCACTTACTGATGGCACTGCGATGACTATTTCAATCGTAGAGCAGATCTGCAAAGAGATCAGCTGGGACCATTGCGGAGACTTCAACTACTAATAGCGCAACTGGCAAAGCGGTGAGGCGGTACTCGATCGAGCTAGAATCTGTAGATTATAGTTATAGTTAGGGGGACCCGCGATTCCGAAGCGTTGATGACTCGTTGTCATCGACGTCAGACCTGGCGGGACCGACTGGTACTCGAAGGCGAGGTCATGTATGGGCCTACCGAGAGCTAATGAAGGTCGTTATCGTGATGTGAGGCACCACTCAACGCGAGTTCAGCGGGCGCTCAACCATACCGCGTTCATCCTGGGCCCCAGCGTGCGAGCAGTCTTTTCACAACGCTGGTGTGCTGCCGAGCGATTGTGCAAAGACTGATACATGATCGACCTATTTCGCCACCGAGATATGAGATTATACATCTCGCGGGATTAGTGGAGGATCGGGAAAGCGGGGGAGCTGTGCAGTCGATTCGCTATGACGCGCGGTGCCCCATCTCGAGCCGCATGCGCCAGGAGCTGGCATGCTCACCTGCGCGGAATCTAGGTCCCTAGAATGGAGTTCTTGGGCAGCTCCTTGCGCTCTACCTCGGGGACACTACCTTCCGCCTCTGTAATCCCCTCCGTCCAAGTCGCCACCCTTGGCACCCCCGAAGTTGAGTGGAGAGAATGCGGAACGCTTGGGCATCGGTGAAACGTTTCGGGTTTCGGCATCGATTCGGCTTCATTCAGCGGAGGTTGTGATAGCGCAGATACAACTGCCGATCCACCCAAAGAAACCACCAATCAACACCTCATTCAGATTAGCCGCCGCCAAGAGGGCCCCGGCGGCATGAGAGGCAGGGAGGCGGGGAAGGTGGGAGGGGAAGGTGGGAGAAACTTGGGCCCCGCCTCTGTGCTCCGGAGCAAGATTATGATCATGAGACGCGCTCGCTATAGCAGGCTACGCTGCAGCTACAGGAAAGCGCGGTGAGACTGCATTCTGTAGATGCCGAGGATGCATAGCGGAAGAGCAGCGCGACTGCACAAAAGTCCCAAAGGCCCCACGTGGCCGGCTTCGCCCCACATTCCTCGCGCCGGTCCGGTCAGCTCTCGATCGACCCAATCGTCCACCGTCCTTCGTGCAACAGCCATATCCTCGACTCCACATCTCAGCACACCACAGCGGACAGTACTGCCCCGCTCGACTCCGCATGCCCCGCATGATCCCGGTAGCGCCATTCCGGCTGATCTGCCGTCTTGATTTCTCCGGCGGGTCTACCAGAGTCTACCTGCCAAGAACTGTCTACCCGCGCATGCCCAGGCTGGTATCTTGGCATACCTCAACTATACACCGTTCAACTTTTGACCGCTGCCAGCGATGGAGGCACTGACGGACACTCACATCCGCTGCGAGCCAGATGAAAAGCAGAGCTGCAAATGTATAAGTATGCTGCGCGCCCGTGGTTCCCCACATCTTCCCCAATCTCCTCCAACTCACCCTCGACTACTCACTCAACATGACCAAAGACCACAAACCCGTCGTCGTCTCGGACATCGAGGAGGCGCTTCCTCAGACCACCGCCCTCGCTACCGATGTCTACGATAGCAAGGGCTCGACCGACCACCTCGAGAAGCTGGCGGTCGAGGATGAGGATCCAAACTCCCCTTTCAACATCCTCCAGAGGTACCCACTTCTCCGCGACCGCTCGGAGAAGGACCTCGACCTTCTCAACCGCAGGGTCCGGCGCAGAATGTAAGTCGTAGTCTGGCCGAGCTGACAGCAGTGACCTTCGGATGATGCCCACCATCACCCTCTGCCTCATGATCAACTACCTCGACCGGTCCAACGTCACCAACGCTCGTGTCGCCGGTATGCAGCGCGACATGGGGATGAACGATGTCCAATGGGTGAGTCTAGGCATGAAATAGCTGACAACAGTCCCTCGGTATCTCGCTCTTCTACGTCGGTTACATGCTTACTCAACTCCCCGGTGCTCTCCTTCTCGCCAAGTACAGGCCTCGTATCGTCATCCCTCTTGTCATGTAAGTCTTACGTGTGATCAGAGCTGACCCCCAGGCTCGGCTGGTCTATCCCTACCATCCTCTTCCCCTTTGTCCGCTCGCCCGCCGGTTTCGCTGTCGCCCGCTTTGCTGTCGGTTTCGCTGAAGGTCCCTTCTTCCCCGCCGTCGCTCTCATGACCTCGTCCTGGTACGTCAAGGAGGAACTCCCCTTCCGCATGGCTGTCTGGCACGGTGCCCAGACCCTCTCGAACGTCTTTGGTGGTCCCTTTGCGGCTGCCATCTTGGAGAACATGGACGGTATCCGCGGCATGCACGCTTGGGAGTGGTGTAAGTCTAGCATTTGGGTCATGGGTTTGGGCTACGCTGACCATCAGTCATGATCATCGAAGGTGCCGTCTCTATCATTGTCGCCCTTGCCGCTGGCTTCCTCCTTCCCAACTGGGCGCACAACACCCCTTGGCTCACCCCCGAGGAGACCGAGATGGCGCAGTACCGACTCGTCCTGTCTGCCGGTGGTGAGGACGACAGTAAGAAGGACATGGGTATGTGGGCTGGAGCCAAGCTCGGTGCCAAGGACCCAGTGAGTCTTGTCGTCGTTCGCGTCCGACCCAAGCTAACTCCCAGATCACATGGTTGTTTATGGCTCTCCACTTCTGGTTGCTCTGCGCTCAGTCATTCAAGGACTTCTTGCCTTCCATCGTGAGTTCTTGGTCTGGACTGTGCTGACACTCAGCTCCGCGCCATGTCCACCTCCAACCTCATGACTTACCTCCTCCAATCCCCCTGCTACCTCCTCGGCTACCTCGCCATCCTCTTCTTTGGATGGACATCCGGTAAATTCAAGGATTCAGTATGGCACTCGATCGGCCCCATCCTCCTCTCTGCCGCGGGCACCGTCATGCTCATCACCTCGCTCAACATCGGTGTCCGCTACACCGGTGTCTGCTTCCTCATCATGGGTGTCTTCTCGGGCCTCAACATTCAGATCTCATGGATGACCCAACTCGTCCCCGGTCCCCGTCACAAAAAGGCCGCCATGATCGCTATCGCCAACACCTTTGGCTCGGCATCCCACTGGTTCACCCCGTACTTCTTCCTCACCAACCAGGCGCCCAAGTACCAGTTCGGAGGCGGTCTCATCCTCGTCTCGATCGGTCTCACCATCCTCACCGTGCTCGCGACGTGGTGGTATGTCGTCAGGCTCAACAAGAAGCTGGACGCCAACGAGGATGGCGTCAATGTCGATAGGGTCGACAGGGGCTTGCCCCCGCTCGAGAAGGGCTGGAGGTACCCGTTGTAAGCGGTGGAGCGGGAGTGGGGGAGTGGGGAAAAGTAGCTCAAGGTCTTTCAGTAGCTCGAGGTCTTTTAGTATTGCTCAAGGTAAAATTAGCTGTCAGAAGTTTGGTTGTTATGGTACATATGAATATGGTCTCTAGTGGTATCTGTCCAATCCAGGCATCGAGCTTGCTGTGAGGATGCGTCAGAGCTCCTAGTCTCCTCCAACCTCGAAATGACCGGGCCGGTTTGGTCCGCCGACTTTTTCCCATCTCTACCTCATCATGCCCTCCTACTCACTCATCGGCTACCCCATCTCCCACTCGCTCGCCCCCTCCCTCCACAATGCCTGCTTTGACCTCGAAGGCTCCGAGAGCAGATACGAGCTGTGGAGCACGAGCCGGCTGAACGAGCGGGTCCTCCACTGGCTCCGCAGCGATGTGTGCGGCGGGTCCGCGTGAGTCTCTCCCACGACCGCGCTGATATAGCGTGACCATGCCCCTCAAAGCTGCAATCATACCCCACCTCGACGAGATTATGGCCGAATCAAAACTCACCGGCGCGGTCAATACGATCGTCAAGGTCGGTCCAAGGCTCGTCGGTACAAATACAGACTACCTCGGTATACTCGCCTCCCTCCAGGCTGCTCTGGGTTCGAGATCAGTTCAGAGATCCCCGGCGGCGGTGATAGGCGGAGGAGCTACGACGCGGTCTGCTATCCTTGCGCTGCATAGGCTGGGGCTGGGGCCGATCTACCTTGTGAACAGGGATGAGGGGGAGGTGAGGGGTACGATCGAGTGGTTTGCGGGTACAGCGCTGCAACTGGACTTGGTACATTTGCGGAATACGCAAGATGTCGATAGGCAGTGTGCGGAGGGACCAAGTATCGTCGTTGGGGCCATACCAGGTGAGTCTGTCGCCGGTCTAGCTGAGAACCAGCTATCCTACCCCAAACACCCGCAGAGCGCCAAGTCTACGCTACAGCCACACACCTGTTCACGCTCCCCTCCTCCTCATCCCGCATCTTCCTCGATATGGCGTACTATCCCCGCCCGACACCTTTGACGCAGATCGCGCGCGGGCTCGGGTGGAGTACCGTAGATGGGATGGAAGCGATGATTGAGCAGGGGTTGGCGCAGCAGCGGATGTGGCGCCTGGGCGATGCGTCGGTCGAGGCGGGAACGAGACGGGGGGTGCTGAGTGAAGAGACAGAGAAGGAGGTCAGGAGAAGAATGGCAGTTGCGCCGGATGTCAAGACCGAAGGTGTAGAAGTAGACCGTGCAGATGAGACATAGAATTGCATACGGTACACTGCCTACTTTCCCTCCTGCCCCGGCAGCCCACCGCCCTTCTTGACATGCGTGAACGTTCCACCGGCAAACCACCGCTCGTTCGCCGCCTGCACGCGCTGCGCCGCCGACAGAGACGGCGTGACGATCTCGATGCCTTGGACGGGGGTGAAGGAGAGCGATGTAGACGTTCCCGACGCGGCATCATTCGACGAGAGTGCCTTGCCCAGCAATTGCGTCCGGATCTTGTTGGCCCGTGATAGTTTGGCTGAACGTAAGCGTAGCCCTCTCGGTAGAAACAATCACCCACCCTTGGACCTCGCATCGACCTGATCCCCTCTCACCCTGCCTGAGCTACTCCCAATCATGCCCAATCCGACCGTCTCATCATCCATCCCCGTCTCGTCCTCCGCCTTTCCAAACTCGATCCTATTTTGCAATTTCCGCAACTCGGTCTGCGCATACGCCTCCTTTTGCTTTCGCGCCCGCTTCCCGCCTCGCTTCTTGCGATTGGTCTCTTGGGGTATAGGAAGGGCTTTGGAGATTTTGTTGGGTGGGGGTTCGGCCATGCGCGCAATTTTTTTGTTGAGCTCCGCCGAGAGCTGACGACCGTACGCGCCGTCCCGCGATCCCTTGCCCGCGTCGATCCGAGCCGCCAATGCGACCTTGGCCGAGACGCCCCGCTGGGCTTTCCGACGATCTTCCGGCTGAGCCGACTGGACGAGGTTGGATTGAAAGATGAAGCCGGTGTGCCGCTGCTGGCTCGCCGCGGACATGTGGGAGGATGCGAGGGATTTCTTGAGCGCCCCAAACAGCATGATATTGCAGGAGGGTTGACGCGACAGGGCGTGAAGTCCGCCGGCGAGACCGAGTAGCTTGGCGGCGATATTGGTACCCACCAAAGCCGACAGGTTTGGGGCGACCGCAGCCATCCTCGACTCGACGTACGCAAAGATCTGCTCCCTCGCCTTGCGCAGATCCTCCGCTACGACCAGCGCGCGCTCGACCGTCACCCACTGCCCGTCTGTGAGTTTCCGGCCGCGCGAGACGGTTGCGGTGAGGTTGATGGAGAGGATAGTGGCCGCGGGGAGGGTAGGTGGCATGGGGCATTTGGTGATATCGTCGGTATTGGCGATCGCGCGGACGGCCGAGATGTAGATCCAAGGATCAGAGATGAGCTGCTCGAGCTCCGGGAAACGAGGGGCGTAGTGGTCCCGAATGAATTTGTGGACGAGGAGGATTTCATTATCCACCTCGACCGACATGTTGTTGGCCGAGACGACGAGGTGGTATTCCGGGTTCTCTTCCAGAGGGCCAGACGAGAGCGACATGTCGGAGGGAGAGGATGTGTATTGGGAGATGCCCTGGAGTTAGCTATGTCTGGGTGTGGGCTTACCTCGAGAACCTCCTTCAGTCGCCGACCCGTGTGTAACTTGGCCACCTTGCCTACATCCGTCACGTCCGACAAATCCACCTGCGCCACCTCGTCCGCGTCGAGCTCATCCGCCGGACGAACCCCTCCCTCTGGCACGAATCCAGGCGCGGGACCGTCCTCCATATCCTCATCATCATCCTCCATCTCGGCGGCGGGGCGCTTGGTCCCCGTTGGAAGTGGAGGCGGGAGCATGGCGCCTTTGCTCGAGCCCGCCTGGGGCTGTGGGGAGGGCGAGCGGGAGCCCTCTCCATCCGACAGACCATCTAGATCTGCTAATAGTGCGTCTGCTAATGACATTGTATATAGGTAATAGAGACAGAGTGGGTGTTGGATGGGTGGCCATGGGTTTGGGTGGCGAGTAAAGGGGGGATCGGATAAACTCCACGTTGCTCAACTCCTCATACCTCACCACCTTAACCTTAGCTTCAGCTGTTATACCTATACACGATGCGCCTCTTATCACTAGCCCTACTCGCTGGGGTGGCTCTCGCCCAGGACGCAGCATACTGGGCGGGTCTAGCCGCGAAATCCAAAAATGGAGTCATCAAGCTCGACTCCGAGGCGTACGAGGCGATCCTCGCGGGCCCGGATAGGGAGTACAGCGTCGTCGTCGAGTTGACGGCGATGGGGAGTCAGTTCAAGTGTCAGCCATGCCAGTGAGTCTCGGCTCGAGCTCTTCAGATGGTTTGGGAAAGGGCGGAGAATTAAGCTATTTGACCGAGGTCCTCTAGAGCCCCTCTGCCATTATCTGCCAGAGTCGTGCTGACTCGCAGCGACTTCCGCCCCGCCTTTGAGCTCCTCTCCAACTCATGGCGCCGTCAACCGGTGCACGAGCGTGATCACCACTTTTTCGCCTCTCTCGACTTTACAGATGGTCAAGCGGTCTTTCAAAAGCTCGGCCTGACCACCGCGCCCACGGTACAATTCCACCCCGCCCTCTCCGGTCCCAACAAAAGCAACAAGCTCGGCGTCGTCACACACGACCTGAACCGAGCGTACGTCTTATGCACACCAGCGCTGACATTAGTGGCCTCTCCGCACCCGCCTTCCACGCCTTCCTCAAATCCCATCTCCCCCACTTCGAGATCCACGTCCCGTTCAACCCCCTCCCGCTCATCTTCACCGCCCTCGCCGCCGCCGTAGGCGCCATCGCCGTCTATGCGCTCTGGGACCAGCTCCTCCCCTTGATCCAATCCCGGATTCTGTGGGGCACAGGCTCCCTCGTGCTCATCCTGACATTTACCAGCGGGTACATGTGGAACAAGATCAAGAATGCGCCATATGTCCAGATGGGCGACGGCGGGAAGATGAATTGGATCGCAGGCGGGTTCCAGAATCAGCTCGGTATGGAGAGTCAGGTCATTGGCGGGATATGTAAGTAAAAGTCAAGGATGGGGGCTAATGGGTAGATGGTTTGCTCGCGCTGTCGATCATTGCGCTGAGCGTGCTGGTCCCTGCGCAGACGTCGCCGGGGAAGCAGAGGGTAGGCGTGTACCTCTGGCTCGGCATCCTCGTGGTGGTCTTTGGGATCCTCATGCGGATCTTCAGGATCAAGAATGGCGGGTACCCATTCTGGATCTTGTTCTAGCGGAGGGACGGCAGGGGAATAGAGAGAAGTAGAGTATGCAGTAGATTGAAGCTGGTCTGCCGTCGCAGGTCCATCTTGGCCTCAATAGTAGCTTCTCTTCCCAGGGGCTCGTCCAAGCGCTCCAAGCTGTACTGGCACACCCAGAAGTAACGACACCGCGCATCTCCGCCCTGATCCACCGCGGTTCCTCTGAACATTTGTTGATTACCTCTTTACCTTATCTTCATGTTACCGCCTGTGCATAATCACGGGACTAGTGTACACCCCGTCCGAGGCGGATGCTTCCTCGCCACTCGCCACGCCCCACTTGCAAAGCGGCGGCGGTCCTAACCTGCAATCAATAGCCGCTACGGCCGATGATACGGCCTCCTCCCCTGGCCCCTGGCGTCTCGGGATGACACCTGACACCGGTGTATAGCCATTGCGCTTTGTTTATATACCCATCAAGCTCCGTCCGGAGCTATATCGACTGGGCGTTTGCGATTACCATCAAAGTACTCACATCCACCTCTCATCTCCCACTCATCGGACCTGCAGAGCTACATACGGTCCCACAGCTCGCTCAACCTCCCATATCTTAACGACAAACATGTCCCTCCCTTCCTCCTCGGCCGCCACTGGCCCTGGGCAGCTCACCTCACGACCCCAAGGCCGTTTCTATATCCCAACCTCCTCCTCCCTCGTCTCGCCCAACCTTTCCTCCTCGCGGTCCAGCTTCGCCCTCGACGAAAGCGTCCACGCTGTCCACAGCTCCACTGCCTCAGCGTCGGCGTCGGCGTCGGCATCGGCTTCGGGGTCTCACTATCGGGGCTCGAGCTCGAGTCTCGGGAATGGGTCTCAAGGGAGGATCAGGGGGAGACGGGGGGGTCAGTCCCTCGCGGCGCTGACTAGCGCGTTGGAGAGGTATCGCGTACCACCACTGGCGGAGGGGTCAGGTCTGAACCCGGGCGCAATGGAAGGAGGGGGCGGAGATGCCGGTCTAGCCACGGGGGACAATGGTGATCCCTTATCTTCGGGCATCCACTATACCAGCTCAGCACCCACACTCGACATGCTCGACTCGGCATTCACGCCCCTCGCTCAGTCCCCTCGAGCGGGTGCGGGGCTAGAATGGGCTATGACGCGAAGCACGGAGAGGGCGGAGGGGGCGGAAATGGAAATTATGGACGCGCTGGTGGATATCCATCGGGTCTTATATCGGGGGAGGGAGGATCAGCGGGGTGCGTCTCGTCCAGGCGCAGAGGGATGGGCAGGGGATGGGGATTGGGCGGGGGATATCAAGGAGGTAGAGCGCGTGCTAGGGAGATGGTTTGAGGCCGATTGCAGTGAGTCTTATTTCCCACCCCGCTCGCAAATACCCTCCTATCCCTGGCGTCTGCTATTTGACTCGAGTGAGATTGTGTATCGAGCTGGAGCTGATAGGTATAGTATATGATGACCCCGTCCTTCGGATCCCATCACGCTCTTCCCTCCTCACCCACTTGTTGCTGCTTCACCTCATCTCGTCCGGCTCTATTCCTGCGCCCACGCCGTCAAACGTTCTCCGGTATACCAAGCTTGCCCTGCACAGGGGAGTACAGAGCGTGCTAGCTATCACCTCGCCTTTCGGCGTTTCTGGGCGGAAAGGCGGGGATGAGGAGTCAGGCTCGGGCGTGGGCGCGGGATATAGGGATCTGGATCTGAAGGGGAAGGGCCGGGATATTTCGGCTAGCGAGAAGAAAGGAAACAGCAAAGGGAAAGGAAAGGCTAGCAAGCCGGAAAAGATGGAGCTTGGAAACTTCAAAGCTGAGGAAGTGAGCGGAGGGGGAGCGCGGAAAGGAAAGGATAAGTGGAAGTTGTGGGAAGTAGGGGCGGAGTGCTTGGAAATTGGGGGAATGGAGTGTTATGATGGTCATCACCTGGGGATGATTGAGCAGTACGTCCCGTCCCTCCATCCGCTGTTTTTTCACCACTCATACTCCGACTACTGTATACCTGGCGATACGGCTCTCCCTCAGCGCGGCGCCTGATGACCAAGCTAACCCACAGCGTAATCACACTCACCTTCCTCCCTTCGCTCCTCCCCACCCGACACTTTCCGCACATCCACCCCTCTCGCTCCCTCTCCCGCTCATCCTCCCTATCCGACTCCACCACACCTTCCGAATCACAGCCGGAGCACCAGCTCGCGGATCTCGCAGGCCAGCTCACCGCTCGTCTTCCGCCCCGATCATTCTCGGCGAGATTGGCGGAGGCGGTCGGAAGGGAGTTTGGGGGGTTGTTGGTTTGGGAGTTGCCTGTCACTACGATGGTGCAGTTCAATGAGGTCGGTACGTGATTCCTTTCTTCTGCTCCTTCGCTCCACTAGGGCTCCAAAATGCAAAGTGCTGATACATATAGGCAAAGTCACGCACGTCCGCGATACCGTCGATGTCCAAGATCTTATCGAGGCTGTGGTGCCATTTGCTAAGCGGCTCGGATGGCTCACTCGGCGAGTAACGGGGATAATGACAGGGATAGTGGGCGGGGCGGTGTTGAGCTGGGTGATGCCCAAGGAGATGATACAGAGGATCGCTGTACCCGTCGAGGCGGGCATTAATGGTGAGTGTCAAGCTCTGTGCAAGGAGTGCCAGTATGTGATCTACAGCTGATCAGGCAGTTGAGAAGTCCCGAGATACGCGCCGGGGTCTGTCGGGATCCGCATCTCAACGCCATCTGGCATTCCCCGAATTCATCGAGTCCACGCATGGCGTTTCCGGGCTGGATACGGCTAGCGTGGCCCCGCCAAGAAAGTTTCCCGGGACCACCTCCATGTCCAGCGGTCCGGATATCACATCTGAGCATGGAGCTTTCGCGCAGCTCAACTCGCTCGGGCTGGATGGGATGGGGTCAGCGAGCGGTTCCGGGGCGTTTGGGTTGGAGAGGAGTCGGAATGGGGCTAGTACGGCGGATAGTCTGGGGATGGCGCCGGATAGGGATGGGGATGGGGATGGGGAGGTGTCGGGATTGTATTACTGATGTGGCTGGATCTGGTCTGATCGTCATGTGGCGTGTAGGTTGTACTCTATGGTACGTCCAGGTTTATGCAGATTGAAGGGGCGGCATAGACTCACCTACTGACTGTACGCCTCAACGCCTCGAGCGGACTCAGCCTGCCTTGTACAGGTCGTCATCGCATCATTGATCCGGTACTGGGCAGATAGCTATGCCAGTATACACTGACACACTGACTATGGATCTCCAGTCAAAGTGGTGATGTGATCGACATGGTCGATGGCTGGATACCTACTCAACTTCGGCGACTCCTCCTCAACATGTTCGCGGATACAAATACATGTGCTAAGCTACGTGACATACCCCTGTCTAACGCGGCACAATACACTTGAAGCTCGCGGGCTTGTCCGGACACACGAGCGTGATACCATTGATCTCCGGGCAGTCTATCGCCTCCCAGGCTTTGCCACCGACGTAGACATCGGGCCTCGTGGTGATACTCCACTCGGAAGTAGCGCTCTTATCCACCCTGTCACCTGTCATATGGCACTACAGTCGTCAGCGCCCCTTCTCTGGATGCCGAGGGCTCGGCCCTGACTACTTACCTTGACAATGATCTCGTCTCCACTGTAGCCCGCTCTCGAGATTTCGTGGAATTCGAATTCACCTTCCCCTGACTTCCAGTCCTTGGCAGGAATCTTGTATGGCACGGAATTTGTGCTGGTGAGCAGGAAGTTGCCAGGACCAAGCACGTCAAAGTACAAGGCTGACGGTTGTCCCCCGGCATCTTGTATCCACAGGAACCCCGTTGCCCCCAGGCCCTTAGCCAGAATTCTGATCGCGGGTTTGCTGATGCAAAGCACAGGGAGGATGGCGCTGATGACAGCGACGGAGTAGAGGGTGGGTCTCATCATCTTGACAGGGGCTTGGGGAGGTCTGCTGCGGTTATTTCAGGTCGCAGTCACTGTCGATGAATAACAGCTCAGCTGGTGTACTGATTTCCGTCTGATAGCCTTCGGGGGTTTGCAACGCGCAAGCTCGTCAGCCTGAATGGGGTACAAGCTGAAAGGAGGCGACTGTAAGGAAAGCCATGTATCCACTCTCCTTTCGTTCTCAGCCCACATCTCCCCCCTGCGCCAGGCCAGGAGAAAGCGACTGCCACGCGGGGAACACTTACCGCTTACGTCCTCTACTCAAGTCCGTTGTTACCCTTCGGTCCAAGGGGTGTCGGATATGTGGAGCAAGTCAGAAGTTGGCCTGCCTTTTCCCCTTGCCCCTTGCCCTCCTTGGGCTCAGACCCTTGACAGAGTGAGAACAAACCGCGCATGCCCGGAAAGACCTTGGGATACTCTTCTGTACCATGGAAGGACAGATTCGAGGCTGTCTCGTTCCCGAGGCCCAAACACCTCACATATTCTAGCACTTTCCCCATGGGAAGCAGACTCTCCCGGGCGAGAAGTCAAAACTTTGACGATCCTTTGTTGTCGATTCCTTTTGGAATGTGCTGATGCTTCTTTTGCGCCATGAGCCCAAGTCACGCATCGGCTGACGTTGCCAGAATGATCAGACCTGATCTCACCATCGTACGTCTAACCTCTATTCTCAGTATCGCCTTCCTCTGCCATAACCATCACAAGTCCAAGCTGCCAGAAAAGAATGTCTGCCTATCGACCTCACACTGACCCTCTAACTGCGTCAGCTACAGCACAGCTGTCTTCTGGGCCACATGCCTGGTGTGGTACAAGTCGGGACCTAGTGGGCTACACAGTCTTCCCTGGCTACCCTCCTGCCCTCGTGGCCGACAAGCAGACTGACCCATGGATTCTCGATGCCACTGATCACACTGCGGGAGAGACGCTACCATGGATGAGAGCCCCATTATGGCCCTCACCTTTGTCACCCAATAGTCGTCAGGCCAGACGGATGCTTGACGATACGATGATGGCATTGTCCCCGGCAGCTGTCCCCTCTGGGTCATTCTCCAATGAGGTGAGTGACGACGTGTATGGCGCATCAAGAACGCTCGCTGACCTGCCCAAGCAGCTCAAAGGCAAACGAGTCAGCACCTTGGAAACGGCCCCTACCTCCTACCACTGCCCGACATCTCAAGAGGGTGTCTGGCCTGACTCTAACTCCGAGTATGACTTTGACTCTGAAGATCCTGATTGGGATCTTGGGAGTGAGTCTGACGAGAGTGGGCACCTCGGCAAAGGCGGTGATGATGGCGACAGTATCCAGCAAGGTCTCAGCCACGTTGAAGGCGACACTCAGCAACCGCCCTCTGCCGCATCATCACCCCTCTCGGACCGTATGGACATCGTCGTGCCGAGTCAAAATCTCACTTACACGCAGAAGCGTAGTAGCAAATGCGGGCAAAAGCTTAAAACGCTCAAGGATCGAGGTGTACTCCGCACGTCCAGCACGGTCGCTACACATATACCCCTGAATCGCCTAGACGAATACCTCAAGTTGACAAGAGACGCAGGTTCCGGCAGGTCGCCGTCAAAACACGCTGGTTATGTGATACATGAGGTACCCAAGACGAGTCCGACCGACAAGAGGAGGTTCTCATTCATGAGTCCGGCAGCTGCGAGGGATAGTGGCTTGGCCTTGAAGCCGCTCATTGTGTGGGATCACACAGCAACGTCACTCAGCACTGGATCCCTCAGACCACCTCGTCCGATATCGCAGCGAACGGGACTACCCGTACCGTCCCAGGCAAAGAGGCACAACACCCATCTCCGGAAGAAGGTGGCAGCTTATTTTACGCTTGATGCTCGCGGTTTGCGCTGCACCAGCACTGCAGCGACAAGCACCGGTCTTCGCAGCCTACAGCTCGATTGGTTGACGGATCTGATCAAGCAAACGGACCGGGGAGTCGGCGACGGAACTGTTGGACATCGACCTCTCGCCGGTATGGTCTTACACAACACCGCTGCCAAAAAGAAACCTTTCGCGCCTACCTTGCTGAATTGGAGGGAGAGGGTCGGGACTCAAGGTGGTGATGAGAGCGTCTCTCTGGTATCCCCGTGGATGAACAAGTATCGTTGATGGTAGGGCGGGATCGCGGTCACCGAGCGTATTTGGACCGAGATGGGATCTTGCATGTAATTGTAGTATGTGTTGGGTCCTGGCTAGGAGTACATTCAATCTATGTATAACATTTGATCACGATCTGATATATCACGCTGTAGCACATCTGAGCTTGAGCGGCGCCTGAAGCGAAGTCTGATCGCAGACAAGCGTAGTTCCGTTGATGGTGAATTGACAGTCCGCCATCTCTCCTTCGTTCCGCACCGCAAGATCCCATACAGATTCAACGCCCTTGTCCATTCGTTCACCCGTCATATAGCACTACTGGTATCAGCTCTGACTATCGTTGGCTACATCTTAAATACTACCCACCGGTACCACACTCTCTGCCCCTCCCTCTGGCTTACTGTACAGTGGAGTTGAAACTCTGCTCGTCCATCCCTCCACTTTTCGTCGGGGCCGGAATACCCGCCGGTGGCGATCTCGCCATAGCCGTTAGCATCCGTGACGATGAGCTGGAAGCTGCCAGGACCCTTCTCATTGAAAAAAAGATGATGCGAGTCGGCAGGCACATCTTGGATGGACAGCCACGCGGTAGATAAACCGGTCGGTTTCTCTCTCACAGAGTGGACGCTGATCTGGGGTGGACCCCGAGGCTTCGCGTGTTTCTCAAGACAGGCTGCAGGGAGGATGGGGCTGATGAGAGCGAGCGAGTATAGGAAGGGTGCCAGCATTCTGTCAGTGACTTTAGGCCCGGGGAGAGCGGCGTAGGTACGATTGATTCGGAGAGTGTAGTGAGCTGAACCTTGATTCAAATGCTTGAGACAAGCAGAGATGTCAAGCACTCCTTATTATATAGCTTGAGGCGACGTCCGGCTTGGTCTTGCCACGGGATAAGGGTGTGTTAGGAGAAAGGAAGAGAATAATAGAAACGCTCAATCTGCATTATCCTGACAGTATCGGCCCCTCGCCCCTTGTTCCATATCGCGTGCAAGCCACGCTGGAGGCAGGAACCTCCATGTTCAGCTGGGAGAAAGGTACATTGATGTGTCACCATGCAGATCCTGAGTCCTCTCCTTTGATGACCTAATTGGATGATTGAGAATCCCCTGACGAGTCTCAAGATAGGAGTGATGCATGAATATGCAGGCAGGGAAGGGCTCGCTTCGTGAGCCTTTCCTCCCGTCTTTCAAGGGGTAGTCGATATGGCTCTCTTTCCTCCTACAGGGTACATCACTCCTACCATCGGCGAAAGTGAGATGATCAGCGGGCCGGGGACCGATCGGCCGACGCGAAGAGACGTATCAGTGCATACCGCACGAGTCTGGACATGGTGAGTAAGATGGGTGATTCACACGTAGTTGCGCGATTCGCGTGAGGCGTAGTATGTATCGAGATGAAGAACATATTTCCGTGGGCATCGCGCCAGAGCTAGTGGGTAGGCAGACAAGTCGGGCGGTCAGCCTCCAGCAAGACAACGTACATCCGCACCCATTCGTCCGTTTCATTCTCCCATGCGTGATTCGTGCCGCGCTGGACTAAGTCCATCAGCACTGATTCTGCCTTGAAGCAGGAACACCGAAGCAGACGTACCGATAACCTCCCCCTCTTTGACAAGCTGCTTCTCTCCGCTGTCGAGTTGTAGCGTCACTTGCCCTTTATGGACAATGAGGAAATCGAGCGAGTTGGTAGCGTGCATGTGGCCCTTGGTTCGGGGTGCTATATCCGTCACGCTACGATGTCAGCCGGGGCCACGTCTGTACTTGAAGAGACGTACCGGAAGTTAGCCCCGTTCTGCGCTACAAGGCACTTCTTCCCGACCTCCCCTTCGCTCAGATCCTGATCCATGACGTCCGGCTTGTGTTTGCCGGTCACGAACAGATTCCCGAATTGTCCGGGAGAGGCCGTCGTGCCCGCCGCGTTGGGCTTGGGCGGTTTTGGGATAAGGTGGGTGAGGCGGGAGGGGGTGAATGTGGATTTGCCGGATGTGAGGAGGGAGGTTAGGTGTCGCAGGACAGGACCGGGAGGGGCGGGGAGGGGTGGCATCGCGGTTCAGGAAGAGGAAGTGCGGTGACGAGGTTGGCGAGAGCTTGGAAGGTACAGGAGTCTGCAATGCTGTATGGGTGTCGACGTGACAATGAGCTCTGAGTGAGGATGTCAGACGGTCAGAGTCAAGAAGGGAGGGCGTTGCTTTCTCCTATTGGGCCCTTATATGCCATACCTTCCTGAGCTCCTTTGTCTGCTGTCGACCGACAAAGCCGATCATTAGCGCTCAGGCTCGACGTGGTCAGATGATAGACACAACGCAGCTACACGAGGGGATGCTGCTATTCTCAGCGCGATGCAGTAGCTAAGGATGCGCAGGATGCAGAAGCAGACCTCTCGAGCGATAAAGCCGAAACTCGGCCACGTGCTTTTAGGTGGAGGTCAAAAGTGGAGGTCGCAAGGCACAGTCAGCAGGATGACGTCAGTTGAGTGAGGAATTCTGGGCCTGGTGCCGGTTCGGCGCTCGGACCCAATCCATCCACTCCTTCTTCGCTTCCTCTCCTTCTATCTCCTTCCCCTCCTTACATACTTCATCGATACTTACTACTCATCCAAACACAGGCGAGCACAATGTCTACCGAAGGAAAAGTGAGCTACGCCAGGAGGAAGGATTTTTAGTTACTTCGAGCTGAAAAAGCTGACTGATGTAGACTATCACCTGCAAGGCCGCGATTGCGTGGGAGGCAGGTATGTCCAGCTCGTCTGGTCCTGAGAAGCGGATCTCCAAGCTGACCTCATAGGTAAGCCTCTCTCGATCGAAGAGGTTGAGGTTGCTCCGCCCAAGGAGGGTGAAGTGCGGATCAAGGTGCTGTAGTGAGTTGGCCTCCTCGGACCAACGCCATGAGAGCACAAGCTGACTATGTAGTACCGGTATCTGCCACACGTGAGCTGCTCATATTTCCACTATGTCTCTGCGTGAAGAGGCGGTGAAGAGCCCAAGCTGACCCCTTAGCGACGCATACACCTTGTCCGGAAACGACCCCGAAGGCGCCTTCCCCGTCATTCTGGGCCACGAGGGCGGTGGTCTCGTCGAGTCCGTCGGGAAGGGCGTAGACAACGTCAAGGTCGGAGACCATGTTGTGCCGCTCTATACTGCCGGTGAGCTAGCTCCTGTTCTCCTCCGAAATGGACTCAGCTGATATCGCAGAATGCAGGGAGTGCAAGTTCTGCAAGTCTGGAAAGACCAATCTCTGTGGCGCAGGTGAGCTTGATTCGGTTCCCACAGCAGGGGCAGTGAGCTGATAAGATAGTGAGGAGTACCCAAGGTAAGGGTGTCATGCCGGACGGTACCTCCCGGTTCAAGTGCAAAGGCAAAGACATTCTCCACTTTGTACGTCTGCTGTGGACTTCCCCTTCTCAGGCGACCAGGAGAACAGCTGACACGCTAGATGGGCACATCGACCTTCTCGCAGTACACTGTCGTCTCAAAGTTCTCGGTCGTCGCTGTCAACGAGAAGGCTCCGCTGGAGAAGGCGTGTTTATTAGGGTGTGGGATCACGACGGGGTATGGGTCGCTTACAAAGACGCCTGGAATCGGTTCGTTCCATTCCTCTCTGCTCTTGGCTGTCTGATATCCTCTCCTCCTCTTCTTGCCTCTCTCTCCAGTCGGTCTCACATTCCTTATGGCAACTTTCCCTTTCCCTCTTCTCCTCCATCCCCACCATCGCCGAGACCCCCGTCCACTTACATTCGCTGTTGATCACTCCCCTCTTGTCCGCTGAAACTCGCCTCTCCGATTGCGAGATACAGAGCTGACCCCTCAGAGGACTCCAATGTCGCCGTCTTCGGTATCGGCTGTGTCGGACTCTCCATCATCCAGGGCGCACGGAGCAAGAAGTGCAAGCGGGTCATCGCGGTAGATACCAACCCCAAGAAGGAGGAATGGGCCAAGAAGTTCGGTGCGAGTAAGTTGCCCGGTTCGCTTCTAAAAGGCAAGAGGGAAGCTGACAAGTCTAGCTGAGTTTGTCAACCCCAAAGACCTGCCCGAAGGCAAGGGCATCGTCGAGTACTTGACGGAGATTACGGACGGTGGATTGGACTTTACGTTTGACGCTACTGGAAATGTGAGCTACGTTGTCCGTGTACAGGCGAGCTGCGAGATACCGAGCTGACTGTCAGGTCGACGTCATGCGCCAAGCCCTCGAATGCTGCCACAAGGGCTGGGGAGTGTGCAATGTCATCGGTGTGGCCCCGGCTGGCGCTGAGATCTCTACGAGGCCGTACGTTCAGTTCAGCTTCGTGGTGTCTATCAAGGCAAGGATCAAAGCTGATCAGATAGGTTCCAGCTCGTCACTGGCCGGACTTGGAAGGGGAGTGCATTTGGGGGCGTGAAGGGCCGCACGGAGTTGCCGGGGATCGTGGATGGTGAGTTTGCCTTCCGCTCAATTACTTCCTTGCTCTTCCTTGCCTTTCAGCGTTTCTTCTCTTATACGCCCTGACTGAGCTTTGCGGCCTACCTGGGCCCAGGCGCTTTATCACTGCTTAATCTGTCCCCCGCTCTTCCCCTCCCAGCTTAATCACATCCGCTCTCTTGGCTCAAGCTGATCCCCAGACTACATGAAGGGCACCCTCTGGGTGGACGAGTTTGTCACCCACCAGCAATCCCTCGAGAACATCAACAAGGGGTTCGAGGATATGAAGGCGGGCGACTGTATTCGGTGTGTGGTGAACATGGGCCAGGGGACGGATGAGGAGTTGCAAAAGGAGAGCAAGTAGAGGTGTGCTTGTGCGCAAAGAAGAAGAGTCAGTACAGTCTTGTCAGATACATGCGTTGTCTGCACCAACGCTGTCCGACCAATCCATTTCGCGCATGGAAGGGCTACGGTATGTAGTCCTGCCTGCTCTGCCGAGATCGGCCGAAACGTCGCCGCCACTCGAAATTCTGAAACAAACATACCATAAGCGTCAGCTTAAGCCTATCTGAAACGGGGGAAGCGAACCGAGTGGTGATCGGTTCCGTGTATCTCGGGGAAGAGAAATTGAGATCTCCTTTAGGTTTGTGCTTACTTGTGTGCTTACTTGTGTGGCTCTGTACCTGATTCCTGATGATCGATCGCCCTTTACTTGCCCAAAAGGGAGATTGTTTGGTCAGGCAAGGTGAGCGGTGCCTGGTCGCTTTTACCGCCGGAACCGATGTAGCCAAGCAAGAGCGAACAGGTGAGGGCGAGGTCCAAAGGAGGGCTGGGATCGACAAGGAGACGACGTATCGAGCAGAGCAGCGTCAAGGAGTGTGAAGAGGTAGGTATAGCTCAAGCTCAGCCGTACACACCGCGGGCAAAGCCTGATAACGCCACCAGATCATCCTCCATCACCTGCTGGCCCCAGCCCGAAACTGTAAAACGCCCCCCAAATTTCTCCTTGCCCAGACCCGAAAGAAACTCCGAAAGGGCCCAGACAGGCCCAGACAGAACCAGATTCCAGACCCCGCAGCGGCGACTTTTATGGCTATGCTATAGAGCCTACATCTGTCGCATCACCTACCGCAGCCGCAGCGTGTTGCTCACTTGGTAGCACTCTCGGTCATCACACATCACGCATCGCGCATCACGGCGTACCTGCAGGTCCGATCGATCAGCGCTTATTGTCCCCCACTCTACGTATATACCCCATCCTTTAGGCCTTTCCGCTAAGCTATCGCACCGGCACGCTCGTCCGCCTTCTCCGACCCAGCCGAAATTTTCTATCCAGTCCAGTCAGACACAGCCAACATCGTCATGTCGTCCTCGTCCCTTCCTCCTTCTTCGTCCACACGTACACGGTCAACCTGACTCATCTGCGCCCTCCACCTCACCTGGCCATCACACGGCATATAAGGTCGAGGGGTGGATCTGATCGCCACCGCCCTCAGACGCTGCCACACTCGCCATCACATTCTCACACGGGTCGCCTCGTCCTCTCCTCTTCCCAAGCACGGTACCCGGCTGATCCATGGATCCCTCACGGTACAATCCACCTCGGCGCGGTGCGGACCCCTCTCCTCCTGCATCTGCCTCTCGCGGCGCCGCAGCATCATCCTCACACCTCGGTAGTGGCACTGCCACACCCGCCGCATCGACCTACCCATCATCGCCGTCAGGCTCGTCCCGCCCGCCCGTCCCTCCCTTTCCCTCCTCAGACCGACGACCCATCACTGCCCCTTCTGGCGCTGGCGCTCCTCCTTCTCTCGGTCGTCGGTCCACCGTCTCCTCTGAGCGCGGTCGCGGAGGGTACATCCCATCTCCGCTGGCGGTACGGTCGGCCCACCCGTACTGGCAAGAAGATGCAACCGAGGCTGAGTATCCTCCACTAGCGCAAGGCCACTCACCCTCTCCTTTCGGATTCGGGGTGGGCTTTGCCACCTCATCCTCATCAGCTCTGGTCGACTATCCTTACATCCTGGCTTTGCCGTCCGCACATGTATCGCTTCCGGTCGGACTCGTACCCTCCCAATCCACACCAGGCATCGAGCGGAGAGACTCAAATGGTCACACAAGGAGACACACCTTCCCTCGACACCTCCTTCACCCGCCTCCACCCCTCCCGCCCTCCCTCTCCCCCTCGACGCTCGTCCAGGCCGTACCCCCGACGCCCATCTTATCGGTCCATTCCCAAGCTGTTCCCCCAGCCGTATCGGCAGGAGGCAGGCCCATCTACCGCGCGCAGGGTCAGCCGGCCGCCCCACCCCCGGCGGACCATACTACGAGCCGCACAAGAGGATTCCAGCCGGACTATGTACGGGCGAGGGCCGAGGACATCCCCCGGCCTGTGACGGTCATAGATGGAGTTGGAGTGGGCGTGATTACAGCTGCGGAAGACGGAGAAGGAGGAGTGGCGGGGACGATCGGGGTCAATCCACCGCCTATAGAGGGGATGTTGATGTTGAGGATGAGGACCGCGCCGAGGGGCGGTTGGCCGGCTATGCAGAGGGAAGAAGGGTGGGACTGGTATGTCTCTTCTTGAGCTCTGATGAAAGGCTTGAGCTGATGGAGTAGGACGGTCGAGCTGCAGATCCTACAAGAACCGAGTATGGGCGTCAGTCTCGGGAATAGGGACATCAGCGAGGTGAGCTATCATCTCTCCATCCCTCTTTCCTGGGGAGACCCCGATACAGGAAGTGGCTGATGAGCAGAACATGCCAAGCTTGGACCCGCCACTAGTCGTCCGTGTCCGATTCCGCCGCGGAGGTCAAGTCGTACCTGATGAGTATGTGTCCTGCTGTACTTTACGCTTGCGGCGACGAAAGGCTGACTATGTAGTCTTCCACTGGTGGAGCATCGACTCGCGCACATGACGCTACATCTGGGTTTGATCTCGGGGGATGAGAGCGGAGACAAGGTGGATTTGGTTCGGTACTTTACGAGCGGTAAGCCAGGAGTCTACTGACTTCGGTCTGGTCGAGCTGCTTTCTTTCTTACTTTCTGAGGACCCCCGGACGCTTCACTTTGGCTTCTCCTCTTTTCTGCTCCTCTTTCTCATTGTTCATCTCCAAACGTCTCAGCTCCTGCCGTACTCCATACTCCGTCTTTGCTATTGTTTCCTCATTAATTGCCACCACGCCCAGCTCTTTCCCCCCTATCCGGCCCGCTCTTATCCCTTGGGTTCTTACTGTCAGGATCGTCAACACGCCCAGGCATCACGTGCACAAGGACCTATACTGATATCCTAGACTCTGAATCTTCCCGTGCGGGCTCGGACCCCATCTCCAGCCCCACCAGCTCCCCCAATAGCTCTCAACGCTCAACGACGACCACGGGCTCCGCCTCTTCCTCTTCGGATCACAACCAACAGAATCTGTACGCCCTCGTTGGGTCGACATTTGGGATTGCGAAGCGCGCTACTCTGGGTCCAGGAGGGACCGGAACGGCCACAGAAGGATGGTTCTTTGCTTTTCGGGACGTGGTACGTCTTTCCCCAAGGCCGATTTGCCACCTTGCACCGGATCTGTGCCGGAGAATGGCGAAAAGGGGAAGGGGTGTAAGCTGATCCGCGTAGAGAGTGAGACCTACAGGCGTGTTCAGGCTGGAAACTAAACTGATTGATGTGCTCGGGTGAGCTAGTCGACTCTACTCGACCAGGAGAAGTAGCAATAGCTGACTACAAGTAGACCTGGACCAAGCGGGACATCTACGGGAATCACACCGATCTCGATAGGAGCGACGACGAGGCCATTTACGATCTTGTACGTTTCGTTCCGTTTCGCTCCGTCCTCTCCAGATTTGTCTAATCTGATCTCTGCCAAGAGTTGGGGTGTGCCGAATTCTGAGAGCGAGGGATGAGCTGACATGATCAGTCGGGAAGAAGACTATCCCGGATCAGCAGCCGACACGGCGCTCACGGCGACACTGACTGCGCAGGGGGTGTTTGGACGGCGGAGGGGTGGGGAGGGGAGCTCGTCTGAGGGGAGCTCGGACTCTAGTTGAGTTGATTTTCTACCGAGGCGAAGTATGGAGGAGGGGAGAGGACGGGTACGGTGGAGGGGGGTTAGGAGGGCGGGATATATGTCGGACGGGATTGGGAATGCGCGGAAGGGGCGTGATGTTGAGAGGTGAAGGAGGTGGGAGAGGCATTTGCTTGGACGTTTTATCGGTCGGAGAATTAGATCTTGTGCAGTCTAGATGCTCAGCAATGTATAGTTCTTGACATGTACTTGTAGTGCATAGTTCGGCAAGGGGCAAGGGGACTGTACGTACTCAAGAGTTGACGTAGATAGTATGATACGATAGAGCTTCGTGTAGACCGATCTCCATGCAGGCTGAGCCATGGGAGTGACTTGCAGAGCGAGCCTGTGAGCTGGGAGCGGGCACTGAGACATCCGGCCGCTTTGCCGAGAAGATCGAAGAGCGCCACTTCTAGAGTGCCACACTCAGAGCTCGGAGTTGGGTGGGGGAAAAGTGGGGAACCGATGCCGGGCTCCAAGCGACCTTTGAGGCTCGAGCTTTACCTCTCTCCTTTGTGCACACCCAACTTCATCTTATCCTTCCCATACTTGCTTAGTCCTCTACAACAACCACAAGTAGACTTGGACCACTGTACCCCTCCAGAAGTCGAGGACCCTCGGCCCGATCACACAAATCTTATAGCCCAGCGACGATATCACGATGCCGCCCTCCTCCGTCCTCATCATTGGCGCGTCCCGCGGCTTGGGCTTAGCCTTGACAAAGCACTACACCTCCTCCCTCTCCCCTTCTTCTTCTCCCCCAGACGTCTACGCTACCATCCGCGGCGATCCCACGTCTACCAAGGGACTACCAGAAGGCGTGCATGTCATAGGCGGGATCGATCTCAGCCAAGAGACCGTCAGCGAGGACCTTGTCCGGGGGCTTGAGGGAAAGAAGGTGGATGTGGTGTATATCGTAGCGGGCCTGTTGAAGACTGAGGTGAGTCCTCTGATCTAATTGATCCGGTGACGATCGATGATCAAAGGAAGTGAACGGGTCCGAGTCACGGACGTCGGACGCTGACCAGCAGACATTTGGCGAGGCGAGCTGGGGGGATCAAGTGGACATGTACAAGATCTGTGCGATTGCGCCGGTGATGATTGTTCAAGCGCTGTGCGTCTGACCCTTCTTATACCCTCTCATTCCCTCCTCCCCTCCTCCTTCAACCTCGCCTCTTGGCTCTCGTGCCTTGAAACTCTCGCTCGCTCGCTCGCCTCGCTCGACCGACCGTAAGGCTTTTCATCGATCAACTATGAACTGACCTTCGATCAGAGCCACGCACGACCTCCTCGCACCCCGCGCCAAGATCCTCCTCCTCACCTCCGAAGCGGGCTCCCTCTCTCTCCGGACGCCCAAAGAAGGAGGTGGGAACTATGGGCACCATGGGAGTAAAGCCGCGGGGAATATGGCGGGCCGGCTTTTGAGTTATGATTTGAAGGAGAAGGGGGTGGGGGTGGTTATGATTCATGTGCGTGTTTGCGTTTTGCGTTTTGCGGTTTGCTTCGGTCCAGTATCGGGTATGGGGGGTGATTCCGCAAAGGGAGCAAGGTGGGTGGTGGGAGTTGGGAGGCGGAAGGTGAGGGGTGGGAGATAGCTGATGGAAGATGGGAGGTAAAGCGCAAGGGAAAGAGCTGATCAGCCAGCCTGGGTTCCTCAAGACTGGTGAGCTAGCTCTCTTCCGAGCCCTTATGTCTATGCCGGAGGATCACCGCTGACCTGGTTTAGAGATGACCAAGGCCGCGGGGTTCGAGCAGCACTATGAGGAAATGGGGGGTATGTCCTATCCTCTCCTCTCCGTCATGCCTCAGATTTATCCCTCCTCTCCTCTCCTGTCGTGTACTGTTCCCGCTCGCCATCCCATGTCATCCCCATTATCCCCAGTCCCCAGTCCGGCTCCTCCCCCACCCACATCGCTCGGCATTATAGAAGAGCCCAAGCTGACGTGCCCAGCTGTAACGCCCGAAGAAGCCGCAAAATACCTCGCCGAGTTTGCAGAGACCGTCACGATGGAGATGTCTGGGAAGCTGTGGGCACCTAGTACGTCCTCGTCCGCTTCCTGATACCCACTTCCATCCATCTTCCTCCCGCCTCGCGCTCCGAGATGATAATTATCAAGAGCTGACTGGGAGTAGTGGGCGGGCGGTACGTCTTCTCTCTAGCATCCCCCAACTCTCATCCCTCACCCCTCCTCTACCATGCCAGACTACACTATGCCTGCCGCCTCATCAGGGCTGCTCATCTGCTCCATCAATACTCTACAGTGACGTGATCCCCAGCTGACACGTCTTAGCGGGATAGGAAACGCCAAGGCCCTGATGGGCCCACAGGCCGCCGAGCAGACGACCCCGCTCGAGCTGCCTTGGTGAGTGGGTATACCCCGCCCTGAGGTATCAGGTAGAGGAACGCGTCGGCGCTGGTGGCCGCGGCTCGGTCGGTGAGTGCGAGTCTGCTACGTGCGCAGAGAGAGGGAAGAGGATATGGGCGCGAGAGGCGAGACTGCAGCTGTTGTACGAGGTGTGTCGGGGAAACGGATATAGACCTATCTAGCATAGTGTAGTAGACGTCAGGACGTAGATGTACGAGTAGTGATCAGTCCAACGCGATCAGGTATCAGCGAGGACTGATGGTTAGCGGGTCAGCCGTCAGCGGTCAGCAGTCGAGAATCAGCAAGTCCCATCCACCCCGCCAGGAGATTCACTTCTGCATGCTATTTCGCGCCCACTTGGAGGACTTCATTTGACTTCATTTCCATGCTATTGTTAATTCGTTTGATTTGGACTTCTTCAGACCATCCGCCGGTCCACCCCGCATACAGTAGACCTCGGTGTCGGCCCGCTTTCCCCGCCGACTAGGTCGCCGCCGCCCCCGCCGCGCTCAAGGCTTAACGGCCCATGAACGCGCCGGTACCGTGGTTGGCTCCGCCCCTTGCGTCATTCTTGGACATTTTGCCCGAGTGCTCCATGTTGCCCTTGTGGACGGTACCGGATTTGAGAATGATGAGGATGGCGGCTCTGCGGGGTTAGCTAAAGTCACCAGGTGAGGGGTGAGGGGTTTAGGGGTCATGGTATAGTCGGAGAGAGAAGAGGGGGCAGTCATGGGTAAGGACGAGGAAGAGGGTGGTTACAAGTGGAAAGTAGAGGGGCAGGGGTGGAAAAAGACGAGCCAGAGGGATAAAAGGACGAGCAAAGCAGCGATGACGATGTTGACCAGGGGAAGAGCGGAAGTCAAGACAACGCAGCAAAACGCCGTGACCCGATCCCCACCGCCCGCCCCTCTGCATAACCCACGACAACCCTCGACACTCGATACTCGACACACAGGCTAAGAGAAAACTGTTACTCACTCGACAGACTTATCCTTGACATTCTTCTCGTCGCCAAAGAAGACATTCTCGATCTCCTGCTTGGACACCTCGCCGAGGGTCCCGGTGTGGCCCGAGGTGGAGGATTTGAACTGTGAGTCAGCGGCTATCGTCGAGGCATAGTGTATTCAGACTCGGGAGCGGAATAAAGACGGGAGGGATGTGAGAGAGAGGAAGGGGATAAGGGTGCAGGGCTACAGAGGGAGGGGGGTTGGAAGAGCCAGGTAGATATGAGAGAGGTTTGACGACCAGCGAGACGCTCTTCCTCTGACGCATTTGAGAGACTGGCCAAACTAGCGAGAGCCATCTCCTCCTTCTTCTTCCTTTCTCCCATCGTTCAACCCAAACTCGAGTCCGAGCTGCACACCGCTTTGACCTAGACTGAAACTGAACTTACAATCGAGAACTGCCCCACAAACCTCGCGAGCGCAATCGACTTGTCCTCCTTCCAGGCGTTGTACTGTCTCATCAGCTATGCCCATCCTTCTGGCGATGGCTAGGAAGCTCACCTCTGCCTCGTCATCAATGAAGACGATATACTCGTCCGCGTGCTCGTTCGGGCGGTAGATGACCGTCTGAGCAGACTGGACTTTCTCTGATGCGACCATTGTTGCTGTGTGTGTGTGGTGAGCTGTAATGTAGTGTAGTGTAGATGGGAGTCGATGTATAGGTATGAAAGGAGGAGAGAGGGTCGAGTGACTCCCTCGCTTAGCGGAGGCGGAGCCGGCGGTGACGTAGCGGGTGAGTGAGTGGCGCCACGTCATTCCTAGTAATACATACGCTAGAACCTACCAGAAGAAGTAAAAGGGGGATCAAATATAGCCGGAATCTGATTTACGCTGACCTGACCTGACCTTGGCGCTTGGCCGTCGCTGTGTTGACCAAACTCTCGCTATCTTGTCCTTTCACCCCTCTCTTTCTCGACTGTATCATTAGTATTCACCTCTCCACCTACTGACTCGTACTCATCCTCTCTCCTCCTTACTCTCGGCAATTGTGGTCGCCTCGGAACCACCCGTCCTCCGAATTTCACTCCAGTCCCTCGACCTCGGGACGCCCGCCCTCCCAAGTCCGTTCCATCCCGAGTCCCTTTCAGTAACTGTGGCGAGTCGGCAGTAGGGACCGCCTCGGAACCTCTAGCGCCCGTTCTTCAAAGTCCGTTCCAGTCCCGAGTCCCTTCCAGTCGGCGGCAGGGGCCGCCTCGGAACCGCTAGCGCTTGTAGACTCAGAAGTCGTGAGTAACGTCCTCTTTTTCCCGTCTCTTCACACCGCTCCTCTCCCCTCCCCTCCCTGGCTATGATTAGAATCAGAAGTCGTGACTGTCCTCTCGCCCCTCTTCCAGTCCGGTCCTCTCGGGGACTGCGGCGCTCGTGGAGAGGGGTTTGAGTTGGGCACAATTTGGATATTACACTTCATGCACCACCCTCTGAGCCTTTCCTATCGTCCGATCGTCATCCCTGAATTGTATCATGTAGGCCTCGGCTGATAATCAGTACCGCCACGATGTCGCGATATCAACCCGTCCCGTCCTCGTCCTCGCCCCCTTCGGGATCGGCTCGTCGATCTGGCTCCATATCGACACTTCGCCGCCCGTCCATCTCGTCCCTTTCTTCATTCCGACCCTCCCGGCCCCACGCTCCTTTGCCCGATCCGGACGAGATGGACCGAGCCTTTGACGGGCCCGACGAGGATGACGATCTAGAGCATGGCGGGGAGACACGAGGGTTATTAGCGAGCCACCCGGCCGCGCGCGCAGATCGCGAACGCGTGATGCCAGTCCCTGGAGATTACGATTTCGAGCGCGACTATGTAAGCTTAGTCTTAGCTATTGCTCGTGTCCGTTTTGCATGCATATCCCCATTGTACACGGCTGATACGCCTCAGACGCAACCCCCGTCTTCCTCGTCCCCGCCTGAATATCAATTCCCGCACGACGCCTCGAACCCCGCCGAGGGGAATACAAATGGCCAGCTCCCCCTCTCGCCAGCGGTCCGGCCTGGTCAAGCACGCCATTTCCTCGGTGGGATTTTACCTTCAGCGTTTCTGCCAAGACGGGCGAGTGCGGCGGCGGGCGGGAGAGTGTTGGGCGCGGGGCAGTCGGGGGTGTTTGGGAACCTGGCGGCGAGGCCGGGGCAGGAGATGGTTGTTCCTCCACCGGGAGTGGATTATGTACCAGAGCTAGAATCAAAGGATGCTCCTCCTGTGAGTATCGGCAGAGTCTGGCACGGTTATAGCTGACATCTAGACCTACCAAGCCGCATTGAGGGACGCGGTACCTCCCTACTGGGACACAACGGTCGTTCTCCCCAGCTCCAACTCGCCGTTCGGTCCCCTCCATTCGTCGATGAGCGGGGACGAGATCCTGATCGACGGGATGCCTACCGGCAATTTCTTTGGATTCTTCTGGAACTGTAAGCCAATCCGTTTTTCTCTGCTGACAGCAGTGATTGTCTCCTTTTCATTCCAATTCGTCGGCTTCCTCCTCACCTACGTCCTCCACACGACCCACGCGGCCAAGTACGGCTCTCGCGTTGGGCTCGGGTGCACCCTCATTCAATTCGGCTTCACCCTCCGATCCCGCGCTGAAGACCTTATATCGACCGGCCACTTCCCCGCCTCATCCCCCGGATCGGAACCTACCGACCCCACCGCGCAGACGCCCGAAGAAGTCGCAGCCGAACAAGCGATCGAAGCGCTCTGGGGACCCGGCTCGCCCTGGCCCGCGCAAATCAAAGACCCCCTCCTCCCGCCCGGTTCACCCCCTGTGATCCTGCACAATATCCACGAGGCGGAGATTTACGCGCTGGGGCATAATGAGACGCTGAGCGAGATGCTGCAGCTGCCGAGTGCGCAGGATGTGGGGCGCGCGAACGAGTGGTTTAGCTTTCTGTTGATGAGCGTGGGGTGGTTTTTGATTCTGACGAGCTTGGGGGGATGGTGGAGAGTCAAGAGGTTTGAGAGGGGGTTGAGGACGGCGCAGAGGGAGAGCGAGGCGGCGCAGGCCGAGGCGGCGGCGGGACGGGGGGAGGGGGAGGCGGTCACCACTTCGACGAGCGGAGCGGTGGGTGGAGGGGGAGGGGGAATAGGACCAAGAGATCCGAGGTACTATACCAACGCGCTAAGGGACTGGGCGGCGGGATTGAGGGATATCCAGAGGGGGTTTTATGGGATGCGGGGGCGGCCCGTTCCGACCAGAGATGAGGGGGATGGGGACGAGCACGAGTTGTTGGATGCGCAGGGGTTCGGGCTGGGGCCTCTTGCGAGCGACGAGGCGGGCCCGCCGCCGGCCCGTACTCGGGTGGGCGGACTGTATCCTATGTCTAGGTCGGGACAGGGGCAGGGGGACGGCCAGAGGGGGAGGCCGAGGGGTCTCTGGGGTGTCTAGAGCTACATAAGAGCTTGACAAGCCGGACCCGTTGTGTAGTATACGAGTACCATCTTTGTAGACTACTGTATCTAGTTGTTTAGTACCTATCCTTGCGAGCGACGAGGCGGCCCCGCCGCCGGTCTTCCTTCACCCGAGTGTCCTTGCCTCCTGAGTAGCTTTGCTAGAACCGTTGCCTGCTTGATTCTGAAATGCTTTGCTGGGATAATCCTAACGCCGCAGACCTCCGTGATGAAGTCGGGAGATGGGCACCAACTGTCTGAGTCTAGAGTCTGACAGTGACGAGGTATGCGGAAACAAATGACATCACAGGTGATCACTGCCGCTGCTCGCTTCAGCTGTATATAGATACCCGATCCCCCTTGTCTCTGATCCCCTTATCCACCCAACAACCCTCGATCCTACTCACGAACCTTCCCACACCCCACACACACCAAACACACCACACACAATGCCCATGATCCGCACCGCCCTCTTTCGGTCCACCGTCCCCGCGCGCACCTCGTTCGTCGCGGCGCGATCGTACGCCTCCCAAGACCCCAATGCCAAGTCGACCGCCCGGAAGGTGATGGAGGGCGCGGACGCGGCGTTGAGCGAGCCGCATACGACTGCGGGGCAAAAGGTCGATAAGGCCGCTAAGTTGGCGGGTGCCGCGGCTGATTCGAGCCCCGAGGTGAGTACCTGATCAGCCTGAGTTTGGGGCAGATGGAAGGGGGAGATCGGGGAGGGACAGGGGAGGAGAGATGGGAGGGTGATGGGCACTGCAGGTCGAGAGCTCGGGGGAGGGGGCGCGAATGATACGGATGCGAAAAGTAGCTGATCATCAGAACCCATCGGTCATCTCATCCGCTGGCGCCGTAGGCAAGCAGTTCAACCGTGAGTTTCAGTCCCACTCGCCTCTCTCTTGAACGTATCCCCTTCTAGTCCTCCTATCATATCTCACAAGTCACCTGGCCAACCTGTCAATGTACCCTTCCTGCATTTTCCCATACCCTCATCATCACTTGTCCACCCACAAGGCCCCTCCCACCCTCCCCTTCATCTGCACATCCTTGCTCCACTCTCCCTACACTTTTCTCTCATCAGAACCTCGCTAACCCACCAGCCGACGGCTCCATCGGCCAGATCGGCGAGAAGATTGGCGGTCCCTTCTCCAAGGACGGTGCGATCGGGTCTCAGTTTGACGCGTCCAAGGATGGGATTGCGGGCCAGGTCGAAAAGGCCGTCGATGGGCCTGCGCATAAGAAGCACTAGACTCCAGGCGGGAAGTAGGGGTTGATGGTGGTAGAATGATGAAAGAAGTACTTGCCTGACGCGCTAGGCGAAGCTGACCTTTTGCTGACTTGCCCTGGTTTACTGACGAGGGGTATCAGTTGCTTCTGGACTAAGGAGCTACGAAGCGAGTGACCCTACTGCTTGATGTCTCCGCACAGCTACTGTACATGTACTGCATACGCTCACTACTAAACCTCCTGGTTCTTAATAATAACCTTCATCTGCTTCCCACTCGCGACCGCCTCAAACGCCTGCTGGCTCTGACTCAGGGGAAACGCAATGGTAATGAGTGACTTCAAGTCGACGGTCCCCCTCGAGAGCATCTCGAGCGCGGACGGGAAACAGCTCGACGTGTAGCGCGTGATTCCCCGGACGTCAATCTCCTTGTTGGTCACTGCGAGCGTGGGGAACCAGTGGGACTGTTGGTGTGATAGTCCGACGGCCAGGTCTGTCTGTCAGCTTTGGCCACCGAGAGCTGGGCAGGAAAGAAGGCTGGGACTTACACGTAGCGCCTTGCTTGGCCATCGCTATACCCATCATCATACAATCCTCCGCCCCCGTGGCTTCGATAACCCGGTCAACCCCGTCCTCGCCGCTCATCCCCGCTTGCTTGAGGTAAGACCCCGCGCGTAATTTGGCCCATTCCCATTTATGGTCCCCGATGGGGATGTGGCGGTCGTCGTCCGGCGGGAACTCGCCATCTCCGATCCCAGCGCCAGAACCGTTCTCCCCGATACGCTCCGAAAGACTATCACCGTCGCCGTCGGCGTCGCCATTGGCGTGGGCGTGACCATTACCGTTACCGTGGGCGTGCCCGTTGAGCTGCGCAGCACCGGTCGGGGGCGTAGTAGGCAGCGGCTCAGTGAGGAACACGTGGTCGATGATGGGCTTGCCGGTCAAGGGGGAGATGTACTTTTTGGCAAAAGCCACGCGCTCGGGGTTGTGGTCGAACGCGATGATCTTGCTGGCAGAGTAGGCGTGCGATACGGCTGCGGTGATGAGACCGATCGGACCGCAGCCACTGGACTGTCAGCGAGACACCAGAGCAAAGGAAGGACACCACTCACAAAATGGCGATGGTTTGGTGAGGGCGGATATCTGCGCGCTTGCCGATCTGGACGCCGACCTAAGTGTCAGCGCGCACAGCCAAGAAATGGGCTCTGGAACTCACGGCGAGAGGCTGGATACTGCCTGCTTCTTCCCACGAGACGTTATCGGGGATCTTGGGCGCCATGTCGGCCGGCAAGGCGTGAAACCTGGGGATCATCAGCTCAGACCAGGTGTACGTCGAGAGTAGCCGAGCTTACCTAGCCAACGACCCGACCGAGCCAGGGGCACCGCAATACTTCATCTCCAGACAGATGTTCACCCGCCCATTCTTGCAGTTGACACACCGACGACACGGGAGTCCAGGCTCGATCGCGACGCGATCACCGACCTTGTGCGTCGTGACCAGCTCGCCGATGGCGATGACCTCCCCGGAGGATTCATGACCCATCACGAGGTTCTTGGCGGGCGGTCGGCCGCCCACGCCGCCAGCGAGGAAGTTGTGCATGTCGGAGCCGCAGATGCCTAGGATCAGCTATAGTCCCCGAGTATGGTCCGCAAAGTGTGAGGGGAGCTCACCGGTAGCGATGACCTTGACTAGAACGCCGTCTGGCTGGAGAATCGGCAGAGGCATCTCTTTAATGGCGATGTTGCGTTTCCGGAGGAGGGTGCAGGACATGTTGGGCGGGAGGTTCAGGTCCAGGACGTGCTGCGGCTGCTCCTTGACAGGGAAGTGGAAGCGGGACATCTTGCTGGGTGCTGGGTGCTGATTGATAGGCGGGGAGCTGAAAGTGAGCGATGGGTAACGGTCTGGGGTGGGAAGGTGAGGCGAGGATGATAGAAGGACGGAAAAGTGTTGGCTGTTGATAAGTGTATCTGAGCCTAAGCCCCCCATGCTCTAGCCCATGCTGGGTGGTGCTACTCCTCGCTGTACTCGGACACCTCCCGACAGCTAGCAAGCGCGTCGGGAAACTGCTCCAGATGGCCGAGAGCTTCGGCCGTTCGGAGCAGCGATATCATATATCTATCAGTCGGGCCGTCAATTGCCGATAGTTTAAGCGATAAGGTTCGCAATGCCGGCATAGCGGCGTAGAAGACGTAGAAGCCGAAAGCTATGGTCTGAGCTATGGTCCGCCCAAGCAGCCAGAGCGAAGGCACAGTCGAAGCTCTAAGCTGTCTTTGCTACACCACGCTATCTAGGCACTACCCGCCCCAGCTCTACTGAATTCACAGCAACAAGAAGATGGACGAAACTCAGCAGCCTGGGCCTTCTGCAGCGCCTCCGCCCCAGCCCCAGCTCCAGCCGCAGCGACAGTCGTCAGTGCAAGCCTCGGTTCAAGACGACGACCCCGCTGCCAACCGCGTCGTCACTGGTCGTCCCGCCAACGCCTGTATCCGCTGCCGATCTCGCAAGACCAAGGTGAGCCCTCCTGTAGGCTTAGCTGATACAGTGTACCTGCGAAAGACCAGCTTGTACTTCATGTATCAAAGCCAAGGTGGACTGCGAGTATCAAGACAAGACCAACGCTTTACCGACATTACAGTGAGTTCCCGCTCTGACTTTGCTGATTAGATATGTACAGCGTCTCGAGGCGCAAGTCCGATCCATGGAGAACGGCGAACCTCCCGCAAAACGCCGCCAGACCATCCCGGCTCGGAAGGAAGCAGCAGTGTCCATGTCGCCCGCTTCGGCCCCGTCGGCCCCATCGAGGACACACGCCTCACCTCGTGATCGACTCGACACGAACCGGCTCGACATCCACAGCCATACCCGTATCCCCCCTTCCTCATCCCAGCTCTTCGACCGCCTTCCCTCCGCAGCGGACCTGGACCAGGTCGTCCTCGAAAACAGCGACGAGGACTTTATCGGTGTGGGGAGTGATGACGATCTGGCGATCAATGATCTGCCGTTAAGAGGAGATATGGACCTCGCGGTACATTTCTTCTTGACCCAGATCAATACGGCGTTTCCGATCGTGTATGAGCCGACGCTACATCATCAGGTGTCGCGTCTGTACGAAGGGAGGGGATCGCAGGGGGACGCCTTCACAGCGTACAGTGAGTTTTGGGCGATACGGTACTGATCAGTCTTATTGGCGATTTGGTGTACCTACAACAGCAGGGACAGGGCGTCCGCTATGGCTCAGCGGGCAAATGGTGAGTTTTCCAGATGGATGCGCTGATAGATTACTGGTCCCAGGCGCAGCTGTACTTTCCAGCCGTACTGGGCAAATCTGGCATCGCCAAGCTCCAAGCGATGCATCTGGTCCTGCAGTATGTCTTGCGAAAGCCAGAAGCAGGAGGTGAGTTCAAGCAAGGCATGGCTGATTAGATATCTGGGAACTCACCGGGAATGCTGTGCGCACAACCTTCGATCTAGGCCTACACCTCGATGCCGAAGGCACCAACAAGCACTTTTATACCCCTCTCCAGCTAGATATGCGGCGTCGGCTCTTCTGGGCGTAAGTCCGCCTCTGACAAAGCTTACTCAGAACTTACTGCCTCGATCACAAGATCGCAGTCGCGCTTGGCCGACCACCCGGGATCGTTAGCGACTGGATCAGCACAAGAGTGAGTCTACCTTCGAATAAGCTGATCCAGTTCCCCTCGCTCGCTTCTGATGACGAACTCTCCACTCCCAATGCCCCACCTCACCACCGCAAAGAATCCGTCATCCATCACATCCGCCTCCGGATGCTCCAAGCGGAAATCTACCAGCGCCTCTTCACCGTCGCCGCTTCGAAATCTGTCCCGCCGTCCACCGAATGGCTCACCGGCATGTCGCAGCGTCTAGACCAATGGCGCTTTGGCTACTTTTCTCAACCCGACGAGCTCCTCACCCCTCGCTGGCTCGACCTCCACTACAACCTCTCTCAACTCCTCCTCTTCCGCCCCAACCCGGGCAACCCCACGCCGGACCAAGAATCCCTCAAGCGCGCCCTCGCGGCGTCGAGCTTCCTCATGCGGACCTACAAGGCGATGTGGCGGCAAAAGACGGTCAACTTCGTCTGGCTCGCCATCCATCATGTCTTCGTCGCGGGCGTGACGTATCTGAACGCACTGTGGGTGGCGGCAAAGCACGAATGGGAGATTGTACCGTCCTTGATCGATGCGGTGTTGGACATACAGTCCTGCTCGCAGGTACTGGAGGGGATGACTGGTGAGTACGAGCACGAGCAAGCTGATGATAGAAAGTCAACATGGGACGGCACGGATGCGGGACGCGTTCGAGGTGGTCTCTGCCGCGGTCATACGGCGGCTGTCCAATATGCCCAAGCGCAACCCGGACGAGCCTCTCCCAGTCGTCATGGCCCCTCAGCTGTCGTTCAACAATGAGATGCAGCCATGGAGCTCGTGGCCGATCGATCCCTCCCGCCCGCCAAGTCCTACCGTGCAGGGAACGGTGGACACCGACAACTCTCTCGCAGACTTCTTCTTCCACCCGTTTGCGTCAGGGCCGACATTGGAGAACTTTGTGTTTGATCTAGGGGCGAGTGAGGGTGGTCCCAGTGGGCAGCAGGACGGGATCAGTCCGGATGGGTTGTTCAGGTGGTAGTGGTAGGGCTGTAGCTCGAGATGAAGTAGTGCTCCTTCCGACAACAGTGCAAAGCAAGGAGCGCTCAAACGGTGTCTCGGTATCGACAGGCTACGCATCTCTCAATTGGAGTGCGCTGGCTTAGTTAAAGTGCGCTCCGGGCAGTTCTTTCATACATCATGATAGAGTCCCAGTCCCTTCTCGGTCTGCTGAGAGCAAGACGCCAGCTAGACTGCCCAATCCAAGAGCGTCCCCATGCAGATGGACTACAGTCTCCAGGCCCTCCAAGTCAGCTGATGTATCGCCAACTTTGCTCATGATCAAACAGCCACAAGTAAGATCCGACAGTTGCATGCGATACTTCTTGCTAGACTAGACAACTACACTCTCTCCCTACTTCCTCTCCTCAATGTGAGACACCTCCAACTTGCCCTCCTCGTCCATGTCCTTGGTGCGGGCGAGCTCGTCCTGCTCGGCAGCGCGGCGCTCCTCCATAACCTCGAGTACGCGCTGGCGGCCGTCCTTGAGGGGGTAGTCGAGGATCATCGAGATCTCCTCGATCGACATCTTGGCGGTCTCGGGGAAGTAGAAGTAGACAATGACGGCGATGAAGAGGTCGATGGCAATGTAGACGGCGTAGCTGAGGGTCAGCCATGTCCGATCGAGATGAGAAAGACTCACTATTTCCAGGTCAAGGCGGCAAGAGCGATAGGCTAGGATCAGCAGGGAATAAGCAGGAGCATGATAGACTCACATTGACGAATTGGTTGAAGCTGGAGTTCAGCACAGATCACTCTCGATAGAAGTAAGACTTACGCATTGCCCAAGTTATTGAAGAAGATATAAAGCGCAAGCCCCTTGGTACGCATTGACGGCGACATGATCTCGACGGTGTACGAGTAGTTCATGGTGATGTACCCAATGTCGTAGAAGAAGTGGACGACAAAGAGGAAGGGGACGACGGCGATACTGGGGTCAGCGAAGCGCACCTAAGTACTCACCCGACAGCCGAGTTGCCAGTCTGCGCAAAAATGCCCGAGAGCGCCATGACGAAGCCAAACGACACGGCCATACCGATGTTGCAGGCGAGCCAGAGGAATCGACGACCGAGGCGCTCCGAGTTGGTACCGGCGATAAAGGAGCACATCCAGTTCCACGCCGCTGGGGATTAGCAAAGCTTGACAATGACTCACCATAGCCGACGTTGATACTGAGGATAACGTCCGGGGCGGTGATGCCGACGGTGCGGAGGACAGGGGCAAGGTAGCTATCGTCAGCACAGCCAAGCCTCGACTTACTAAGTGATGATCCCGTTCCCGACCCAGTTCGATGCAAGACCCAAGAGACAATTGATCCAGAGGCGCTTGCGGTTTCCGGGCGTCTTGAAAAAGTCCATCTGAGGTCAGCTCGGCTTTGGCTAGGACTCACGTAGCTGGCCTGTCCGACTTTGGCTTCAGCCTGAAGAGCGGAGAGCATCTCGCCAAACTGCCACTCGACGAGCGGGTCCTCGTCGTCCCCATTGGCGTGATGCTTGACGAGAACAGCGCGGGCCTCTTCGTGACGACCCTTCTTGGCGAGCCAGCGAGGGGATTCTGGCGCGGTGATGAGGAGGGCCATGACGAAGAACGGGCCAACGATCTGGATCATGCAAGGAAGCCGCCAGGTCCACTCTGACTTGATGTAAAGGCCGGCAACTGTTGTCAGTGATGCCTATACGTGTACTCACTGCACATGGACGCGGCGGTCAAGGAGCCAAAGTAGTAGAAGGAGTAGCTACAGTCAGCCTACTTCGGTGTAAGACTTACTATAAGGTACCGATGGTACCGCGGTACCGCGGGTGGGCGATCTCCTGGAGCAACGCAGGCGCGGCAACCTTGGTGATGGCTCCACCGGTACCGATAATGACACGCGCTACTGTTAGCTGAGCCTAGCCCTTACTCACCTCCCATGAACTGGCCACCGGACTGGGACAAGGCGTTGAAGACACCACCGATGACGATGAGGAGCGAGCCGACGTAGATGATCTTCTTGCGACCGAACGCGGTACAGAGATAGTCGGCGACAAAGGCGACAATGAGCGCGGGGAGGAAGATACTCGCAGCGATGATGCCGAGGTAGGTACCGGTGGGACGACCAAAGTATGTCTGCCATCCCGGGATAGCTTGGAGACCGGCGAGGAGGGACTGATCATCTACCGTCAGCCGAGCTCGTACGCGTACTCACATCCTAGGTAGAATGGGCAAAGACAGACACCCGCGCAGTGGAGCACGTTCCGCCTAAGTCCCGAATCCTTCCACCATTGCGGCTTGGTGTTGTCTACAGTCAGCTCGGTCAGCCTAGATACGCACTGGGAATGTGAGCGAAAGAGGTGGTGGTTGCGCCGCTGAGACCCATGATGAACGAGATGAGTGAGATCTGGGGAGACTACTCCTCATCGCGCTGGTTATATCTGCTCACAGCTGAGAGTTGCAATTGCAACTTGGGCGAGCGCGCTCGTCGGGCGTCGGACTCGCGGGGAAGACGTCCGGAGGACCATGGGGGTCCCTATCGGACATCTCTACCCCGCGCAATCAGCGGATATGCATGGGGTTCGCTTGGTCTTGGCAGGGTAATGGTTCGGTTGACGGATAATTCTCGCGTTTTCTGTTTGTTCTGGACTCGAGAGGATTGAGGATAGCCACGAGCCTGCAAGAAGTGAGTAGCGGTCAGACTAGTCGTCCAGCTAGAGCCGGGAGTCGGTAGAAGTATCGGCATGCCATATGATGATGGACTGGTAAGCTGCAAGATGACTCGAGCAAAGGGGAGACCGCAGCAGAGTTACCGTTCGGCCGAAAAGAAATTACGTCATTTTCTCGGCATGGTTAGTTGCTGTTTGCCACCCAAAGCAAGAAGTGCAGCTGTTCCTTGGGTCGCTGGCGATCATGAGGTGGGGGCGCCTACAAAGACGGCAATGTGCCCTGTAATTATGGGTCGGCGCGCAGAACAGCCGCATCTTCCACTCATGATTATCGGTCGCCCAAGCGTCAACTCCTGGCCGTGTCGAATCAGTGACCGGCCTGAGCTGCATCTGGCTGCGTCCCCGTTTCCCTCACTTCTGCCAATCTTGCATGAAGCAAACAATCATATAGCCTAGTAAGCGTATCAACAATGTACGCTATTCCTAGCGCTTAAGCTCCTCAACGTGCGAAACCTCCATCTTTCCCCCCTCATCGAGCCCCTTGGTCCTCGCCACCTCACTCGCCTCAGCCAGCCTTCTCTCCTCCATGACCTCCATGACTCGCTGCCGCCCATCCTTCAAGGGATAGTCCAGGATCATAGAGATCTCCTCGATGGACATCTTGGCCGTTTCGGGAAAGTAAAGGTAGACGACGATGCCGAGGCAGACATCGATGGCAATGTAGACGGCATAACTGGGGATCAGCGCTCGACTCCCTGTCTCGCCTGGAAAGATGGAAACTCACTACTTCCAAGTCAGAGCGGCGAGTGCGATGGGCTGGAATTAGCGCGGGAATGACACCAGAAAAGGCAAGACTCACGTTCACGAATTGGTTGAACCTAACATGTCAGCCAAGAATCAAGAGGAAAGAAGAGGTATACTCACGCGTTACCCAAATTATTGAAGAAGATGTACAGCGCCAGCCCCTTAGTCCTCATGGACGGAGACATGATCTCGACGGTGTATGAATAGTTCATGGTGATGTAGCCAATGTCGTAAAAGAAGTGGACCACGAACAGGAAGGGGACTACGGCCAGTCTGCAGTTTAGCTCATGCACCCACCGCCAGGGAAGAGACCTACCCAGTAGCGGCACTCCCAGTCTGCGCAAACGCTGCCGAAAGACCCATGACGAACGCAAAGGATACGGCCATGCCAAAGTTGGAGGCAAGCCAGAGGAAACGACGTCCGAGACGCTCCGACTTGGTGCCCGCGCCAAAGGATACCATCCAGTTCCAGGCGGCCGTCATCAGCTGTGTCCGGGAATAAGCTTACCTAAGGCGATGTTGATGGATAAGATGGTGGGCGGATCGGTGATACCGACTGTCCGTAAAACAGGAGCGAGGTAACTGGTCTCAGCATAGCCTGGCAGCGTACTTACTAGGTGATGATGCCGTTTCCGACCCAGTTGGACGCGAGGCCCAGAAGACAGTTGATCCAGAGCCGCTTACGATTGCCAGGGGTCTTGAAGAAGTCCAGCTACCATATCAGCAATGTCTGAGGTCTCCACATGCATGACTCACATAGCTGGACTTGCCGACGAGCGATTCGGAATGCAGGGCAGAGAGGATCTCGCCGAATTGCCACTCAACGAGCGCGTCGTCCGAATCCCCATTGGCGTGATGCTTGACCAGCACCGCGCGCGCTTCGTCGAGCCGCCCCTTCTTCGCGAGCCAGCGAGGCGACTCGGGAGCGGTAACGATGAGCGCCATGACGAAGACCGGTCCGATTATCTGGACGATACACGGAAGGCGCCAGCTCCATTCGGATTTGATGTAAAGACCGGCAACTGTTGTGAGCTGGGTAAAGGGATGTACGTACTGCTCATGCAGGCAGCGGTGAGCGAGCCAAAGTAGTAGAAGGAGTAGCTTCGGGTCAGCGATGAACAGCGCGCGGAGCGAAAGACTCACTATAGGGTGCCGATGGTACCGCGCAACCGAGGGTGTGCGATCTCTTGGAGGAGAGCAGGGGCAGCGACCTTTGTGATAGCTCCGCCAGTACCGATGATCACGCGCGCTAACATCAGCTATGTCCTGACTGTCACGGTCGAAGAGGCACTTACCTCCCATGAACTGCCCACCGGACTGCGAGAGCGCGTTGAAGATCCCGCCGATAACAATGAGAACAGAGCCGACGTAGATGATCCGCTTCCTCCCGAATGCGGTGCAGAGATAGTCGGCAATAAAGGCGACCAGGAGGGCAGGGAGGAAGATACTAGCTGCGATGATACCGAGATACGTTCCGGTCGGCTTGTCAAAGTATCTATGGATCAGCTAAATTCGTACACAGACTCACGTTTGCCATGCTGGAATGGCCTGGAGTCCGGCAAGGAGAGACTGATCATCTGGCATGTAAGCTCATCCTGGTCGATGAGAGAAGACGCACATCCTAGGTAGAAGGGGCAGAGGCAGATACCCGCGCAGTGCAGTACATTCCGTCGGAGTCCAGCATCAAGCCACCACTTTGGGTTGGTATTGTCTGATTGTCAGCTCATCCCTTTCTCCATCCCTTTCTCCAAGCCAGGACACGTACTGGGAATGTTCGCGAACGAGGTCTTGGTGGCGCCAGTGAGACCCATGTTGCAGCTGAATGAGGGGGGATGGGGCGTACCCCACAGTCAGTAGTCAGTATATATGGGGTCCTGTCCCACTCTGCATCGTCTAAAGCATCGGACTCGGCAGTTCGGACGACGGGAAACGTCGGGGTGGAGGTGTGCCGCAGTGCTTGTGCGGAGTACGCATAGATCATGGGGTATGATCTATTTATACCCTTTCTTCGGCAAGTAACGGCCGAGGGAAGTCATATCTTATCTGACTTCGAATCCCGGCGGGATGTCTGGTCCGAGACGCGTCTGTGATGAAGTGTCTCTAGGGACCTACTCAGATATGTGTGGCCCTTTGGCAGCGCGATAAGTAGAACCATCAGTAGAGGTCGCCCGTGTATATCTGGCAAAGATTAAGGACCGGCGACGACCGATGCAGATTAGCCTCTTCAGGAGATTATCCAGTACGTAAGTTAAGGAATGTGGATCTCCACTCTGAAGCGCTGAAGCAGAGCTTACAAGTCACATAAGCTTACCACGGTGGCTGGTGCAGAGCCTGCCAGCTCGAGAACATATCTGCGTCAGCGCCAAGAGCTCCCCAGTCCAAGATAGGGTCTCCGACTCTGCTCATCAGCCGATACCCACGGATCAACTCACGCTCCAAAATTCTCCTGGACTGGTGCGACCGGACCAAGCGACCCGATCATATCCCACGATACGCCCATATTCCCGTTCTGTATTGGCATCGTTTGCTAATATCAGCTCTGTTAAAGTCGTACTCACATCTAGGCGTAGCGGCTCCTCTTGCGGCTTTTCGAAGACCAGACCTGACATCAGCGATGCCGACCCCTCACGTACCAGACTCATCCGCGAGCTGAACGACCGTCCTCGCTAGTGTAGTCGCCGACTTCCATCGCGTCCCTATCACACACAGCACCTTCAGCGTGTTCGCCACTGCGGCCTCGGCATCCGCGTGCGTGACTTCCCCGGTCCACAACGCGACAAAGACGATATAGATCGACGTGGCGATACGCCGCAGCTGCATCCATGGGAGGTTGAGGATGCCGGCGCCAATGACTTGCTGGTGGAAGAGGAGGATCGACAGGGCGGATCGGGCGCAGATGGCCAGCGAGGAATGGCGGAGGAGGGGGTGTCGCAGTGAAGGAGCACGGAGAGCGATTCGAGACCTGTATCAGCTAGCTCAGACACCAGACTCACCAATTATAATGTATTTGCCTAAGAAGAGATCCCGCCGCCGCCGTCCGCTTCTCCACCGGCATGGTAACATCCGGTCTGATATCCGGATCAAATGTCGTCTTTCCCAATCTCTCCCTCAGATCTTCCATCTCTTTGTCCAGCTGAAGGACGAGCTCGATCGATGCGGTCGACTCGGCGTGATAGCCAGTATGTAGCCGCTCGAGAACACCGCCGATACTCGTGACTAGATCGACAAAGTCTCGGAGACCGCTGATGGGCGTACCGGACGGGGTGTCGATACCATTCGATGGGGCTTGGTAGATTGGCGCAAAGACGTCTGGGTCATAGTCGTGGCGCTTGATGAGGGGAGGGTGACTCTCTAGGGCGGATAGATACCTACATCAGCTAGGTCAGAGCTTCACTTACACGTCGGAAAAGTAGACGTAGAGGTACAGCATAGCCCGCCGGCGTACTGCGTGCTCGTCCATCCTCGAGCTACTGCTTGGGAGGCGCCGATTCAACCCCAGTTCATGCGACATCATGACCGCCCTCGCGACATAGTCCCTCGACCTCCGCCCCATCGACGTATTGCTGACAAACATGTGGAGCAGGAACAACGCCTGCACAGCAGTCTCGCTCGGCTGGTCCGCCTGTTCCAGCTCTTCCTGCGCCAGGCGAAAGAGAGACTGAGCTACCGAGCCTGATTGGAACGACCCGGGCTGGTCGGATAGTGGAGAAGCACCAAAGCCGAGGAGGAGGTCGTTGATCGTCATGCTGGTCGCGAGGGTACGGTACTCGCCCGTCTCTGAGTCGTACGTCTGTTCCCGCAGACTGCCGAGCGCGAGGACAGCGTAAAGCAGAGCGAGCTCGTCATTCGCTATGTCGTCCATCCCCGCAGAGAAGAGCTTGGTGGCGATCCCAAGGACGTGTGGAAGATGGAGGAAGGGGGTGCTATGGTGGATAGCGCGAAAGTGGGTGTTGATCCACCGTTGAGCTTGTGTGAGGGAGCCGGGGGATGACGGGTCGAGCCCTATCTCGCCGAGGTTGAGGTAGCGAGAATGTCGAGCCTTGAAGATGTTCTCTGGTGGCATACCCACGCTGATAGTATGGCCTGAGATCAGCATAGCTAGGACCTGACTCACCATAGCGTATCCGCACCTGCTCCTCTAGGATCGCTTCCACCATGGCCGAGGCTGACATCTGCCCTCCTGGGAGCTCCACCGGGCCCGCTCGGGCAGGTGTACTCCATGTACTTGGCCCAGCATGAGGTATCGACGTTTGTTCGAGCAAAGAGTGGGGTGCAGGGGCAGATACGGGATGCGAAGGGGAACGGGGAGCAGGATTGGATTTCGGCTTGAGCGATGTTGGTCTATATCAGCTTCGCTTTGATGATCACTCACCTGTTCGGCCTAGCCTTCTCTCTTATCTTGCACTCGCTCTGTATTTCCCTCTTGATGCACTCGCTACATACCGCCTGGTTCGAGATGTTGCATCGGGTCTTGCGGATCCGGCAGGGTTCACCTGAGGCTCAGCTGCGTCCCCATGCGGAATAGCCCAGCTTACAAGCTTTACCGACTCGAGTGATACTTCCTGTTGCTTGCTCGTGGATGGCTTGAGGAGCTTCGCTCATGACGTAGATTGAAAATGACGGTGTGAGGAAGGACAGAGTGTGGAGTGCAACGACGAGTTGAGCGAGGCCAAGCCCTCAAGACTTTTTGTTGACATCGCACGGGCCACACTTTCACCATAGCCATACTACATCGTCCTGCGACCGATACAGCTGCCGCTGGAGAGGCAGGGGCACAAGGCAGCAGCGAGGGCACGATCATCTGGCTTTGGAAGGAGAAGAGGAGAGAGAAGAGGAGAGGACTCGAAATTAGCAACAAGATCATCAATCCCTACAGATCCTACAATGCTCTCAAGCAGTCCACCATCTCCGGCTTGAGCTCATCCAGCTTCGTCACCCCCATCAACTGCATGGCAGTGATGATCTCGCTCTCCAATACTGCGGGATCAGCACTGAGCTTCTTCTCGGAAGAGACGACTCACTTCTGACGGCTCTGATGGTCCCCTTCTCACCATACGCCGCCTGGGCGTACAAGAACGACCGACCCAATCCAACTCCCTTGGCCCCCAGCGCAACCGCCATGAGTACGTCTGAGCCCCTTCGTACCCCACCATCGACATACAGCTCGATCTGGGATGAGAGCTTTGGGTCTTCAGCGTGGATCGAGCGAAGACTGTCAAAACCTGTCCGAGCTCTAATGATCAGCTCAGTCCAACTGAAGGCAAGCGGAGCACGTACCGGTCCAGTTGACGTCCACCGTGATTTGACAATATACACCCCTTCATCCCGTGCTCTTTTGCGATCCGGACGTCCTGACTATCAGCTCGTTCATCCGCTGGAGATGGAGACGACTTACCTCAATGCTAGATACCCCCTTCAGGTAGATAGGTACGTCCCCAGCGAGCTCCTTCAGCCATACCAGGTCATTCCAGTTCAACCTCGGGTCATGGACATTGTGCGTAAACTCGTTGAATGGCTTCATTTTCCGGCCGGGCTCGGCAGATCCGGTTGTCCCTTTCATCTTCTCGACGCTTTGCCTGAAGTCGCCGGTGTTGGAGTCGACGGTGAGGAGGAGCGCCCTGCGAGTCAGCTAAGGTCACAGCGGTTGGCAAAGGGGACCAGAGAGGGCAGAGGGTGACGGAGCAACCCAAAGCAGAGGAGGAGGGCAGGTTGTATTGGGGGATCTCGAACAGCAAAGCCGACTTACTGACAACCCCCTTCGATCGCCTCCTTGACCTGTCTAGCAGTCTTCTCCCTCTCCTGTCTGACATACACCTGGAACACCATCCCCATCTTCCCGCCGATGATCTCCTCCACCTTTTCCTTCTCCTCTAGAATATCGGTGAGCGGGAAGGACGAGACGAATGATATACCCTGTACGATGCCTGTCTTTGCCGCCTGCACATCAGCTCTACCCTCTTGTATACGCTCCGCGTGTGGACTCACCCCTCTTGTCAGATTCAGCTCTCCTTCCGGATGCCCCAAAAGCGCATTTGACGCAGGCGAGATGTAGATCGGCAGAGCGGACGGGACGCCAAATATCGTAGTTTGAGGCGCGATGACCGAGACGTCCCTCATGACCCTCGGGATGAGTCTGCACCGCCTGAAGCTAGACTTGTTCTCGGCGTTACTGATCCCGTCCAGAGCGCCTCCGTGGTAGTATTCTCCCTTCTTGCCGACCATGATCTGACTGGCGACGTCCTGCATGTCAGCTGGGTCTCAGTAAGGAAAATAGGAACATACCTGGAACTCGTCCAAGCCTAGAATCGTCTCCACAGGCGGCAAAGCTTCTCTGACCGCCTTGACGCGCGCCTTCTCGGCGTCTTGCGCTGCCGCAGCCTTGGCAGCTGTTTTGGGGTCAACCTTGCCCTTAAACGCCTCGGGTGCGAGGTTGTTCTCGATCGTTCCTGGAGGATGAAGAGGGTTGAAGATGGATCTATAAGTCAGCATAGCCACATGTAGACGGCGTGACACACTCACGAAACGTCCTGCCCTGCGTGCTGCACGATCACTGCTGCCCCGCCGGGATGATACTTGTGAAACGACGTCAAACTGTCGAGTCAGCGCATCCTGACTCTCAGCTCGAGTCTGACTGACTCGTATACATTCCCATTGAGAATCACCCATGCGTCCTGCGAGAGATTATGTTTGGCCACCTCCTCCAGCGTGAGATACTTGTCGTCCGGTGCCCGGCGGGTCTCGGGCGTGGAGGGTTCAAATGGCGCTTTGGTCTCTTCCAGCCGGATCGTTTGGGCGTTTCGCGTCAGACCGTACGTCTAGAAATGAGCCTTGGTCTCGTTAAAGGAAGAAGGACGTACCACTGCCAGAGCTCCTGCAGCACCTATGGCCACTCGACCCCAGCTTGAGCTCGAGGGGAGACGAGTCGATCGCGTAGAGTGCGAGCGGAATGCGGCGCGTGATGGGGCTGCTCGTAGTGTCGAGCTGGACGCTGTGGTAGCTCGTGCGATGAACATGGCGTGTGAGCTGCTGTAGAGAGGTAGAGGTACAACATCTCGATCGGCTGCTTGCCAAGTAGTGGGGTATAGACGAATAGGAAGGGAGGAGTACGGAAGGCTCGGAAATCGGGCACGACGCCGGAGTTGAGACGGGCCGAACCGCCGGCTTGGACTTCTGCCCAGCTTGCCTCTGCCTCTCTCTCTTTCCGTCAGCCTGTAATTCCAGACCGCACGCCTGCAGGTCGCATGACCGGTGATCATCACTATAAGACAGCAATCTCGGAGCTGCCCACGGAAATACCAGGAGTGCTGGACTTTCAAAGCGGCCTTGTTCGGGTCTATGCGGAAATGAGAGAAGATAAGCGCCCCTCCGCCATCGGACGAGTGGCCGCCTCAGCTACCTCTTCTCTGCCCATCTCTGACTTATTTCTTGACTCTCTACCTCACCCTCCCTCCTCACTACTCAATTATCAGATCAGAGTCACAAGATGTCTCCCAAAGTCCTCTTGATGGGTAAGCTCCCCCTCGTTCTCACTGACCCCAGGCCCCATGCCCTACGTCAAGGAACATTTCTTCGCCCAGGTCTCCCCTCTCGCCGAGATCGTCCAGCTCTCTTCGGTCAGCTACGAAGAGCTCGAGACGGACTTTACGACCAAGTACAGCGGCGTCAAGGCAATCTACCACTTTCGAGATCCCGGGAGTTTCTTTGGACACCTCGGGGAAGACTTTTTCAAGCGCGTCCCTGAGTCGTGCAAGGTCGTCTGTCACTGTGAGTACTGATGAAGCTGGGCTGATGATAGTGGGAGCGGGGTATGACGATATCGATGTCGAGTCTGCAAAGAAGTACGGGATCCGAGTGAGTCTGCACTACGACAAAGCTGATACAGGTCACGCACACTCCCTCCGCCGTAGACGACGCCACAGCGACAACCACCATCTACCTCATCATCTCCGCCATGCGCCAATTTGCCAAAGCTGAAGTCGCTTGCCGCGCTGGCGAATGGAAGAAGAACCTCCCGCTCGCGCGTGATCCAGAACACAAGACGCTCGGTATTGTTGGGATGGGAGGTATCGGAACGGTGGTAGCGAGGCGGATGGCGCTGGGGTGGGGAATGAAGGTCATCTACTACAACCGCAAGAAGCTGGCAAAGGAGCCAGGGGACTTTGTGGTGGAGTACAAGGAGTCGCTGGACGCGTTGTTGGAAAAGGCGGATGTGGTGTCTCTGCATGTTCCTGTAAGTCCTAGTTTGACCCGGCTGACGATAGATGAGCGCAAAGACGAAGGACCTTATTGGCAAGGCGCAGCTGGACAAGATGAAGACGGGAAGTGTGCTGGTCAATACTGCTAGGTGAGTACAAGTCCGGGCGTGGCTGATGGTAGGGGCGGTCTGATCGATGAATGTGCTCTTCTCGAGGTGCTCTCCAGCGGCAAGCTCCAGGGTGTCGGTCTCGATGTCTACCCAGATGAGCCTCGCATCAACCAAGAGTTCTTCAAGTACCCATGTGTCACGTTGCTCCCGCACATGGGCACAGAGTGAGTCTGACCGGTAGAGGCCTACGACAGAGCTGACTCATAGAACTTGGGATTCGCGCGACAAGATGGCGCTGATGGTTCTGGACAACATCTTGGCTTGTCTGAAGGGTGAAGCGCTTCCGAACATCGTCCCGGAGCATCAGTAGCGGTGGTATATTAATACTTGCTCGCGATGCCATTCCATAAGCCCAGTGCTCCATATCGCACCTTGCAGTAAATCTGAAACTTCCTGAAACACGTGTATGCGGCAGATCAGGGCAGCTGTCCGCCACACACTCCTTCCTTCGAGCCACCCTCGCATCGTCTACGCTCGGACCGACAGTGATCGTTTACACAGTGACTCCTCTGTCTCATACAGCTCTGCATTGCGGACTTCCCGCGATGCTCAGAGCTCCGGAGCACGGTGTCTCTGCCCTTACGTACATCCCGGAGCTACGGAATTAGAACACAACGTCCCGCGGCTAAAACCGAACAGACGCGCCGGCACATCTTTCCACTTGTTACAAGCGTCCTATATACAGGATGACTCCGCTGTTTCTCCCCTCCATATCCCCTCGCTCGCTCCCCAACTCCCACTCAGTCCACATCTGCCCACCTCACCTATTTGCCTCTACACAATGTCATCCGGAATCGCCAACGCCAACGACATCTCCCCCAAGAAGAAGCTCCGCATCGCCGTCATCCCTGGAGATGGTATTGGTCAAGAGGTCATGCCCGAGGGTGTAGCCTGTATGAAGGCCGCATGCAAAAGGTGAGCCCCACTCCAACGCCGCTGACTCCAGGTTCAACATTGACATTGAATTCGACGAGTCCTTCAACGACTGGGCCACCTGCGACCGGTACCTCAAAGAAGGCAGCATGCTTCCCGACAACTGGAAGTCGGTCCTCTCGCAATACGATGCCATCTACTTTGGCGCCGTCGGTGACCCTGAAAAGGTCCCGGACCACATCTCCCTCTGGGGCTCCCTCATCCAATTCCGTCGTGAATTCGACCAATACATCTCCCTCCGTCCCTGCCGTCTCCTCCCCGGCATCGAATGCCCCCTCGCCAACAAGAAGATCGGCGATATCGACTTTTGGGTCGTCCGCGAGAACACGGAAGGCGAGTACTCGTCCGTCGGCGGCAAGATGTTTCCGGGGACGGACAGGGAGTTTGTCATCCAGGACACCATCATGACGCGGACGGGGGTAGATCGGGTGCTCAAGTATGCGTTTGAGCTGGCGCAGAGCAGGCCCAAGAAGCACCTGACCAGTGCGACCAAGAGTAATGGTATCTCCATCTCGATGCCGTACTGGGACGAGCGGGTCAAGGCGATGGCGGAGGGGTACGGGGATGTCAAGGTGGACAAGTTTCACATTGACATCTTGTGCGCATTCTTTGTGCTCAGGCCAGAGATGTTTGATGTTGTGGTGGGATCGGTGAGTTTACGTCTAGGCTGAGCTGATGTAGAACCTCTTTGGAGACATCCTCTCTGATCTCGGACCCGCCTGTACCGGCTCTATCGGTGTCGCTCCTTCAGGCAACATCAATCCCACCGGTCTCTTCCCTTCCCTCTTCGAACCGGTACATGGCTCCGCACCCGATATCGCCGGCAAGGGTATCGCCAACCCTATTGGGATGATCTGGGCGGGTCAAATGATGCTGGAGCATTTCGGCTGCAAAGATGCGGCGGATAAGGTCATGCAGGCGATCGAGGAGGCGTTGGGCAAAGGCGGACCGGAGGTGATCACGAGGGACTTGGGAGGGAAGGGGGACTGCAAGGGATTGGGGAAACACATCTTGGAGCTCATCGAGACGTTGTAGATTGGCTAGATGTAATGCTTCAGGGTCATGTCGAAGCGGGCAGGATGGGGTGTTTGTTGAGGCTGGTCGAGGTTAGGTTTGAGCGCACACAGAGGGTCCTTTGCACCGCATTCCTCATGCCTGATTGGCTTCCATGCTGATCTCCAACCATAGGCTATCGACTCTAGACTTCATATCTTTCCTGTCCTCTTGCCTCTCGCAGCCTCACAAGGGCAGTCGACCACTTCAGCGCTTACCCCACTACCCCACCCTGCGTTTCCCCGCATTTCGCCGGCCGATACCGCTCCGGCCCGGTACAACGCTCGGCTGCTGTTGGTATTATCATTATGGCAGCGATTGGTATATCGGCGCTGAGCTCGCTTGGCTCGGAGCTCTTTCCCGCTCAGTCATAGATACGACCTGCCCACCCGCCATGATGAACTCTCAATCACCTCTCATCCAGCCCAAACCCCCACTCCAGTCATCATGTCCACCCCTGTCCCTCCTCGCGGTCTTTACGTCCCCACGGTCATCTTCTACAATGACGACGACACACTCGACACTGCCAGTATCGAGAAGCATGCGCTACGGATGGCGCAGGGAGGGATGGCCGGGGTAGTCGTTCAAGGGACGAACGGCGAGTCTGTACACCTCGACGCGGATGGTGTGTCATTCGCCCAATCCCCTTCAATCAAGAGCTGATATCAGAACGCAAACTGGCCATCTCCACTACCCGCTCCGTCCTGGACAAGAACGGCTACTCTCACATTCCCATCGTCGCCGGGACAGGCATGATGTCGCTCAAAGAGACGCTGGAGATGACGCGCCAGGCCAAAGAGGCCGGTGCGGCCTTTTCATTGGTCATTGCCCCTCACTACTGGGCTGCGGCGATGACCAAGCCGGTGCTCATGGACTACTTTACCAAGCTGGCGGATAAGAGCGTTCTCCCTGTCATCCTCTAGTAAGTCCCCGTCTGGCTTGGCTGACCCCAGTAACTTCCCTGGCGTGACAGCCGGTATCGACCTGGACTCGGATATGATCATCGCTCTCGCTCAACATCCCAATATCGTCGGCGCAAAGTTCACCTGTGGGAACGTCGGCAAGGTACACCGTGTCGCCAGGCATACCACAGTCGACAAGTTCGCGCCTATGGGCGGGAAGAGTGACTTTTTGATTCATGGCCTCTTGGCGGGAATGACGGGGGTGAGTACGCGTCTAGGCTTAGCTGATGACAGGCTACATGTGGACTGTGTAATCTCTTCCCCAAGGTGCATGTCGATTGCTGGACCAAGTATGAGTCGGGCGATATGAAGGGTGCGAGGGAGCTGCAGGACATACTGGCGGATGCGGACTCGGCAGCGGGCAAGATTGGCGGTCTGGGTGAGTCTTGGTCGTAAAGAGTGGGCCGAGCTGATATAGTAGCCGGTTACAAGCTCGCAGTCAGCAAATACTTTGGGTATGGGAACGGGACCGTCCGGTCACCTCTTCCCAACGTCACCGAGGCGGGGCTGAAGGCGTCGGACGACATCTTTGGAAGGTTGATGGCGTTGGAGGAGAAGCTGTAGTTGATACATCATGTATAGGGTGCCGACACTACACAATTCGCGTCAATCACTCACCTGACCTGCTCGTACTCATGGCGGGGAATCGCGCTTGATCTGCTATACGCGGTATCAGCTCACGAGCTTGTTCCTGGTGAGACTTTGGCAGTAACCAGTCAAAGCATTATGATATCCTCTATACCGACTCCATAACACCTAAAACCCAAAAAATCTAACGCTAGCACACTCCTTGCCAGCTGATACCCACTGCCCCATCATGCTCGACGGATACACCTAGAGTAAAGATCCAAAATCACCCAAAACGCCCAGCCCCTCGCCACCTCTCACCTACATCTCCCCTCCGCGCTCAACGTATATCCCCTTCTGCACCGCGTCGCTATGCAGCGACCGGCAGAACACGAATAGCTACCGAGTGGCGCGCCAAGCAGAGATGAACAGCTGTCGATTAGCATGCGGACCTGACATGCCAAAGCCTGACTCACTCGGTACCGGTCGATGTGGTGTTGCCAGTCCCAAAGGTCCCGTTGATACAGCCACCGCATGACTCTAGCTCTATGGATAGGTCGATACACTATGACATCAGCTTGAACGGTCTCATCGCAAGGCAATGCTCACCTCGTACGAGTCAGTCCCTGGGATGATACAGGCGAGACGCTTGAAGGGACAGAGCCTCTTGGCCATCTCCTCCTGAGCTGCCCGCTTTGCCACCTTCTCCCTCCGCCTCATCACTCCCGACGCCGCCGCCGCCACACTTCGACTGTAGACAAAGACCGTGCTTCTGCCGCACACCTCGGCGGGCCCTAGGGTCGCTGTCAACTCGCAATAACACATGGGCCCATCGCTTGGAATGATGCCGATCATGGTGGATCTGCTCGTGCTGCAAAAGGCAAAGCAGTCGGACGCCTGACCTATGGAGCCGACCGATGCGGTGGCGTAACATCCACTCAGAGTGAAGGACGTGCCGAGACGTGTCACGGCAAAGTTGCCGTTCTGGTATGTCGCCGGACTGGCCACCGATTGCGAGGATTGAATCGACATGTAATCTTGGACGTCCGCGGAGCAGTGGCAGTTCCAGCCGTCCGAGGCAGTTCCAAAGACACTGTATAGGAAAGTTGGGGGCTGAAAGCTCGGGCCATAGGTATTAAGACATTGGGTCTGACTGTCAGTGAGATGACCGAGAGATGGAGGACAGAACGTACTGAGCACAAAGTCGGATTCGCAGCCATTCGCCCAGAGCCCGCGATGGGGCTGATGAGAGCGGTGCGACAGCCGACAAAAGCATTGGCAGCAGAGGCGAGATTTACCAGCGCCAGGGAGGCCAGGACAGAGTAGTGAAATAGCATCTTGATGGGTAGTACAAGTGAGAAAGGTGAAGGCGGAGGGGATCAGCATCTGAGCTCGACTCCAGTCGGACCGCCCAGCAATTGGCGCGCATGGTGGCCGATAAGTCAGAAACTCCCCGCAAGAGGACAGACAAGGCGTGTGTCTGAGCATGGAAAAGTCGCAAGAGGTAGAACACTGGTAGAACAAGGAGGACTGTGTGCCCGGAGCAACTGCCCCGCTTGACCGCGTGCCGAGAAATGTCTCATGATACCGAAATGATCTTCAGCCCACTGAGCCGATGAGCAAGATGTTCTGCATCGTCGCTGAAGCGCTGATGTTTGGGAGCTAGTCTGCAGAGGAGAACGCGGCTAGATCGTACAGATACATGTTGGAGCGTGATCCCAAAGAAATAATCCGATTGTCCGTCCCTCAGCTCCTACTCCCACCCTCACACCTCTTCACTGCTCGCACTTGCCCGCCGCACTCAACGTGTACCCATCATCGCACCGGGTAGCTACACAACGACCAGCCGAGCACGAGTAGCTGCCGAGTCGAGCTCCAGGCAGCGCCGAGCAGCTGAATGTCAGCCCATCGCCTCGGATCAAGGGATAGACTCACTCGGTACCGCTCGTCGTGGTTTTGCTCGCCCCAAAGACCCCGTTGACACATCCGCCGCATGACTCGAGCTCGGAGAGTGGGTCGATACACTGGGGATCAGTCCAACTCCAAATATGACCAGTGTACAGTACTCGCCTCGTACGAATCAGACCCCGGGATGATACACGCCACTCGCTTCATCGGGCAGAGTCTCTTCGCCATCGCCGCCTGTGCGCGCTTCCTCTCCACCCGCTCCCTCCGCCGCAAGATGCCAGACGCGGCCGCCGCCTGTGTACGCGAGTAGGTGTAGAAGGTGAACAGGCCACAAATGGCATTCGATCCCGAGGTTGCTTGGACATCGCAAACACAGAGGTTATCGCCTGACTGAGGCTGGAGTGCGGTGATTCCGGGGGAGTTGGGTCCGCAGAAGCTGAAGCAGTCTCCATTGGGCGCGAAACCGGAGCTGGTGCCTGAAACAGTCACAAAGCACTCCGATAAGGTGTACGAGGTGCCGATGCGCAAGACCGAGAAGTTGCCGGCGTCGGCGCAGACCGTGGGGTTGGCTGCGGTAGCCGATGCTGTGTACGATTCGAGGTATTGAGGGTCGGTGGAGCAATGGCAATTGGCGCCATCCGAGTACGGGCCGTAGAAGCTGTGGAGGAAGGGGGAGGTGGGGGACGCGTAAATCCAGCCGTAGGTGTCATAGCATGCGGTCTAGGATTAGCGCTGGGCATTGACTCTCGCGTCCGCGTCTCCAATCCCCGCCAAGCTGCCTACTGACCGCCTTGACACCTGGACCATTCGGACTCACAGCGCATGCTTCCGTACTCGGGGTATTGATTGCGAAACCAGGGAACGGATCGTCGAGGTCAACGCGACACCCTACAAATGTGTTGGCGGCGGAAGCTACAGTGAGTACTGCCAAAGCTGCGAGCTGAAAAAGAGGGCAGATCATCGTGAGTGGTGGTAAGAGTGAGGGTCCAGGGGGAGGGGGATGAGCTTCTTGTGCAAGGCCATACCTTCCGACATCTGTACACTGTTTGCGGTCGCGAGAGCCGAACTTTATCAGCTACTTTATTCGCCCGCAATGGTGGGAGCCAGAGGGGTCCGCAACTGATCCGCAGGCCGTATGCGGCATATCAAGCGGGGCAACGGAGATTAGCAAGAACGGGACACGGAGCACGGCGTCAGGCGAGAGGATGAAGGCTGATGCATGCGCTGATGAAGGACAACAAAGAGGTACACAAGGTTCAGGAGTTTGGGTAACTTCAGGCACGGTGGCGCAGGCCCAGGCACGGCCGGTGGAAGGTCGAGGCGTTGGTGAGGAATGTTAATAGATTTGGGCAGTGAGATGTGCGTTGAGCCTGAATCTCGGTCGACCGTCGATCCAGCAGCGCTTAGCTTTGCAGTCGACGTTGGTCTGACTGCGGTCAAAGCTGAGCTTAGAAAGATGTCGTATATGCAAGAAGAGACAGCGATGAGAGGAGCTTGCAGCTTGAAGCTCGCTTGCGATGACGCGCGCCAAGCCACGCACTCTACGAGCCTCCATCGTCTTCTCTCAACCTTCACTCTCTTCTCCTTTGTACTTCATCTACTTCCAGCTCAACACCTAACTCACATCACCTTGACAGTCGCTTATCAACCATGCCGTCCTTAAAAGTGCTCATCCTCGAAACGGACGAGCCCCACCCGGAGATCCACGACAAAAAGGGGTCGTACGCGGAGATCCTCAACAAACACTTCCAAAAGGCTGCGGTAGCGCATGATCCACCGATGGAGATTGAGATGGACATGCACTTTGTGGTGGATGATAAGGAGAACGGGAAGGACGGGAGGGTGCCCAAGGCTTCCGAGATGGGAGAGGATATACAGGGGGTGTTGATTACGGGAAGCATGTACGATGCGCATGGGGACGAGCAGTGGATCTTGGATTTGATGGAGTTTCTAAAGGGTGAGTCTGCCGACTGTAGGAGCTTGGTAGAGAGCTGATGTGCAGAGCTCTGGACGACTAGACCCAATCTCCACTTCAGCGGCGTCTGCTTCGGCCACCAACTCCTTTGTCGCCTTCTCGGGTCCACGGTCGAGCCCGTCCCTTCTCGCGACTGGGAGATCGGCCACTCCAAGATCGATCTCAACCACATTGGCGTCCAGCTCTTCCGCACCTCCAAACCCTACATCCACCTACACCAGATGCACCAGGACCACGTCGTCTCCCCTCCTTCCTCCTCACATCCCCTCCTCGGCGGGAAACGCGTGCACGTCTGGGGCAAGAGCGAACACACGGCAGTACAGGGGATATACGTGCTCAACAGGTTGTTGACGATGCAGGCGCACTTGGCGTTTGATGAGGAGATGGTCAAGAGGGAGATACAGATGAGGCAAGAGGCAGGAAGTATCGGGAAGAAGGATGAAGACGAGGTGGATCGGGCGAATGAGACGGCGGGGAAGGATCATGATGGGGAGGTGGTGGCGGCGGCGCTGTTGAGGTATTGGGCATATGAGGATGATGGGATTGCAGAGGAAGAGGAGGAGGAGAGGGGTAATGAGTGACGGCGCTTGGAACATTTTGCATACTGAACAACCTATAGCATAGTAACGACCTACAACATGTATTCTCCATCCTGCACAAAGGCTCTCCACCTACTCCTTCCAGACACTTTTCATTACCCACTGACAACTCTCATCCAGTATCGCCAGTCCACGCTCAATCTCGGTATAGCTGACCGTGAGAGGAGGCACGATCCGGATGGTCCCGCCGAGCTCTTTCAGGGGCACGAGGTTGCAGTTGAGCCCTCGCTTGAATGCTGCGTCCGAGAGGGCGGCACCGATCGAAGGTGAGGTAGTGTGCAGAGCGAGCATGAGACCCCTGCCGCGGACTTGGCGGATGAACGGGTATTTCTCATTGAGCTGGGAATTAGCGATCGCCTACTTGGTGCTCACCTTCTCCAGACCAGCCTTGAACACCCCACCTTTCTCCTTGGCCACTCGTACCATTCCCTCCCTTTTGACGATCTCGCACACCTTGGCCCCGACCGCACAGACGATCGGATCATTCATGTGCGTCGTATAGTACATGTACCCCTTCTCGCTCAGGCGCGCCGAGATGACGGGGGACGTACAAACTGCGCCGAGAGGGAGACCCGCACCCAGCGTCTTGGAGAGTAGGAGTATATCGGGGATGATGGTGGACGCTTGGTATGCGAACATGTCTGACATTCAGCTGCGCCCGAGGCAGGGGATGGGGAACTTACCTCCAGTCCGAGCCATACCGGTCTGCGCCTCATCGATGATCAGCAGCATCCCCCGTTTCTCGCAGTGAGTCTTCAACGCCTCGAGGTAGCCGTGGGGGAGCTCGACCATACCGCCTGTAGAAACGATTGGCTCGATAATGCATGCTGCGAGATTGCCGGTGCTTTGGCCTGAGGATCAGCTCGGACGCCGTTCTGCAAGTACTCACGATCGATGAGATTCCAGCCGTAGTCCAGCTCGGTCTGCCAGTCGTAGCTCCCGTCTGAGCGGTGGAAAGGAGAGGTAAGCGGGTCAGGAACAGGCAGAAGGTAGTTGCCGGGCATGGTCGGACCAAACCCTGCACGACCTTGGACAAATGTCGCTCCGGACGAACCCGCTGACATCCCATCTGACAGTTAGCGGAGTGTGAGTAGCTTGTCGAAGCACTTACGGTATCCCGTCGAGAACCCGACTACTTCCCACCTGCCCGTGTACATCTTGGCCATCTTCAACGCGCATTCCACCGTCTCGCTCCCTGTGGAGAGAAAGATGAACTTGCTCAGCTCGACGGGGAGTAGATCGGCTAGAGCGGTGCAGAGATCGGTCACTGGCGGAGAGAGCATGGAGGAGAAGAGGTGGTCGAGGGTCTGGGAGGTGCGGAGGATGGTGGAGGTGATCTCGGGGTGGCAGCTGACGAGTCAGCATACTGTAGGTCTAAGATAGGAAGAAGCTTACTGGCCGAGGAGTGAGCTCATCTGCCCAGATGTAAAGTCGAGCATCTCCCTCCCGTCTTTGTCCTGATGGTAAGCCACGTCCCGTCAGGGTCTGCCAGACTCACCCAGAGTACTGTGCCCTCCGCCTTGACCGGGACGAAGTCAAGCCATGGTGCTTTGAGCGGGACGAGGTGATCCGCTGCGACCTTCCAGAACCGCTCGCTGTCCTCGCCGGGGGAGACTTCGGCTCTGATGATCTCAGCCGTCAGGGTCAGTGGAGCTGCTTTGGCAAGCGCCGGCGCCGCGGGACCGCCAATGATAGGAGTGATATCAGTCAGAAGCATATCGTATCAGCAATAATGTTTGGAAGTCACAAAGACTGATCAGCAGTATCCGCTAGCTATATAGAGATGACCATGCTGTCCACGCTTGCCTGCTGTACCATGACCACTGCGCAGAATGCAACGCATGGATGACACGCATGTTCCGCCCGAAACCTAGTCCCGGCCGCGGGGTCAGTAGTAAGCTCATTCAATCACCTGACCTCTCTCCGCGGTAGCTAGTTCGGGCAATGAATGTCAGCAGCGAAGGACTTGTGGGAAAAGGAGCAGCAGAGCCCCGAAGGTGCTCATGGCGCGTCACTAGAACAGCAGAAAGGTGAGGCCGGTGAGGAGAGAGTTGGAGGCAGAGCTCCTGCAGCAGCTGGCGCCTGGCAGCGTGCCTGTACAGGTGGACATGACGTCATCCACACGTGTCCACACTGCCGCGAACCTTATTACAACTCCATCCTCCTCGCTCATTCTGGCTCACTCAGCATCACTCAGCATCGAGCTGAAGATCAGAGCGAGGCATACCAGAGTCCCTGTCCGATGCATTTGCACTGTGTCGAAGCACATACTCGTACGTTCTAGCTATCCTGAGGCCTGACCATTGGAGCATTGACCTTTTGCTGCGATCTGATTAGTCGGCCCATTTGCCACCGGTTGCGTCATTCCTTTGCCTCCACCGCCGGAGACAGACAGACCCCGAGGCGACGGTTACACAAAGTCGGACTCAAGACATTCTCGATCTTTCTCTTCTCATCTTGCCACTATACATCTTTCTTGTGTATAACATCTAACCCATCCCATACACATATCAATCACAATGGCACCTAACGGAACAAGCAACGGCCACGCCAACGGTAACGGCCATGCCAACGGGAACGGCAACTCCCCCGCCAACCCCGCCACTTCGGTCCCTCTGTCCAAGAGCTACGAGGAGGATCGGAACGCAAAGTCGACCGATGTGTGAGTGTTTCTTCCATCAGGATCTGTCTTCGCGACGGCGGCATCGGACGAGGCGCTTGGATGATACTTCTTTGTTGTCGATGTTTTTCGATCTCGGATGATTTCCCTTGCCGTCTGCGAGGTTAAAAACTAGGAATGCACGCTGATCATCTTAGCGAGTACACCACTTCCAACGGTGCGACCCAGCGTCACCCGTACACCGTCCAGCGGGCAGGTCTCGATGGACCTCTCCTCCTGCAGGACTTCCACCTGATCGACTTGCTTTCTCACTTTGACCGCGAGCGGTGAGTCACCCCACTGACGCTCCCGATCTATGCTGATTGTCAGGATTCCTGAGCGTGTTGTTCACGCCAAGGGCGGCGGAGCTCACGGTGTCTTTGAGTGTACCGATGACTTCCAGGACCTGTCGTGCGCCGACATGTTCAAGAAGGGCGTCTCGTGCCCCATCTCGATGCGGTTCTCTACCGTCGGTGGCGAGTCTGGATCACCCGATCTCCACCGTGATCCCCGAGGGTTCTCTATCAAGTTCAGGACCTCCGAGGGCAACTGGGACTTTGTGGCCAACAACACGTAAGCCCGCCCAAATTGTCGTTTCTCATGGTATGGCATAGCTGACGGAACAGCCCGGTCTTCTTCTGTACGTCGCTCTGAGCCGGCGTCGATGACTTTGCTGATGACTAGTGCGCGACCCGGCAAAGTTCCCCCACTTCATCCACACCCAGAAGCGTGACCCCGCTACCCACCTTACCGGTGACGACGACTCGACCGCTTTCTGGGACTACCTCTCGCAGAATCCCGAGTCGGTCCACCAGGTCATGGTGAATTATCCCTCGCATTACCCATGTCTTGGCTGACAATCTAGATCCTCATGTCTGACCGAGGAATTCCCGCCGGCTGGCGGTTCATGCACGGCTACTACGGCCACACCCTCAAGATCGTCAACAAGAACGGCGAGTGGCAATTCTGCCAGTTCCACGTCATCTCGGAGCAGGGCACCAAGAACTTTACGCAGGATGAGGCTGCGAAGCTCTCCCCCGATTATGCGCAGAAGGACATGTTTGAGGCGATTGAGCGCGGCGAGTAAGCCTTTTGACGTCATCTCCCGGACATGGCTGATTATCAGATTCCCACAGTGGAAACTCAAGGCCCAGACAATGACCCTCAAGCAGGCCGAGGAGCTCTGGCGCGAGAAGAAGATTAACGTCTTTGACTTGACACACATCTGGCCTCACGCGGACTTCCCCCTGCGCGAGATCGGCAAGTTGACCTTGAACGAGAACGCCAAGGTGCGCAGGCTCAACCATCGCGCTGGAATTGTGCTGACTTCCAGAACTACTTTGCCGAGATTGAGCAGATCGCCTTCAACCCCGCGCACATGATCCCGGGTGTTGAGCCGTCTGCGGACCCCGTCCTCCAGTCACGTCTCTTCTCGTACCCCGATGCCCACCGTCACCGTATCGGCCCCAACTACCAGGTCAGTCTACCTGTCCTATGTATTGAACGCTGCTGACGATTAGCAACTCCCTGTCAACCAGCACATTGCCGGCTACGCTTCTGGCAACTTCCAGCGGGACGGCCAGATGGCCTTCTACAACCAGGGCTCCCGCCCCAACTACCTCTCGTCGATCGACCCAATCAAGTTCCGCGACCCCGCCTACTCGCTCAACGACGTGCACGGCCGATTCGTAGGCGAGGCGGTCAGCTTCCTGTCCGAGATCCGTCCCGAGGACTTCAACGCTCCCCGTGCGCTCTGGCAGAAGGTGTTTGGCGAGGAGCAGCAGCAGCGGTTTATCGAGACGGTCTCGGGCCACATGGCCAACTGCAAGGACGAGAAGATTATTCAGCGCCAGTTGACTATCTTCAAGGAGGTCGACCAGAGCTTGGGAGAGAGGCTCGAGAAGGCCACGGGTGTCAAGGCGCTCGAGGGTGGTGTGGCCGCCATGCAGTTCAACGGTATGTTCTTCGCTCTTCGGTCTTGCATGATGGAAGCTGATACTCAGGCTCGCACAACGGCATGGGCAACAAGAAGATCCCCGCCAACGGCCTCAAGGAGACCAACGACGTTCACTTCTACAACGGCGCCCCCCAGGCTCAGGACGCCAAGTTGTAAAGAGGAGGATGGGACCGCGATAGATGTTGGAGTATGTAGCTATTTAGGCGATGTTTGATCTGATGCGATGTATTGCTGTCGTCATATCGCCAGGGCTGGGCAACGAGGTTGGAGCTCCGCTGATATCAAGCGTATCTAGCCTCCATGTCAAGGCATCCAGGTAACGGAACACAGCTGGGCAAAAACCGCATTGGATCCAGATGCATTGCTCTTTACTATGTGCGGCAGATCGTATCGTTCCCTCGCCCGGGTACTAGCCTCAAGCTCGAAGTCACTAATAGCCTAACCGGGTCAGCGCTGAACTTGCGCATAGAAAAGGGGCAGAAAGGTAGCTCACTCCTTCCGAACATGGTCCACCGCTTGGCCTTCTCGCCACATTGGATACACTTCTGGTTCTCTCCATCCGGGAACGCGCCGAATCGCTCTTGGTCGTGCGGAATACAAAGCGATTTCGCGCCAGCCGATGGAGCCTTGGCATCCTCTGCGACACCCTCGACGACCCTGATCATCAGCTCAAGTCTTCCTCTCTCCCTTCACTCTCTCTCTCGGGGAGACGAAATAGACTCACTGTCCCTTACTCCTCTCCTTGATATCATCCTCGCACTTCTCCGCCTCGCACCACGGCACAATCAACGCATTCTTGGCATCCAACGTAGATACCACGTCCTCCCACTTGGTGACGATCTTCAAACGCTCATCAAACGTCTTTTGGGCGCGCACGAGCATGGCCGACTGGATATCGTCCAGGTATTTCCGGACCGTCACGGCGATATCGGGAAGGGGCATGGGGGTCTTTTGGTTGTCGTATCGACGGACCGAAAGGGTCGTGTTGGCTGCGATATCCCTAGGACCCAATTCGAGCCGGAGAGGAACGCCCTGAGTGTCAGCTCAGCTCATTCTTCCAGAAAGGAGGGTAAGAAAGCAGCTCACCCTCAACTCCCAATCGTTAAACTTCCATCCCGGAGTGTATCCCTCCCTAATATCCGCCTTGGCCCTAATACCCGCCGAGATCAATTCCCTCTCCAACTGCAAACACTTGTTGTAAATCCCCTCATTGTTCCCCTCCGCCTTACTCAGCCCAACAGGCACAATAACCACCTGCTGCAGCGCAACCCTCGGGGGCAACACCAGCCCCTGATCGTCTCCATGGATCATCACCATGACTCCGATCGTCCGCGTCGACAACCCCCACGAGTTTTGGTACACGTACATCTTGCGGTCCGCGAGCGTCGTATCCGGACTCTCGACGACCACGTCAAACATCTTGGAAAAGTTTTGTCCGAGGTGGTGCGATGTTCCGCCCTGGATCCCACGGCCGGTCGTGGGGATGAATCCCTCGACGGTGGTTGTGTAATCTCCGCCGGCGAATTTCTCCTTTTCGGATTTGACGCCCTTGAGGACGGGAACGGCGAGGATGTCGGTGTAGACCTTTTCGTACAGGTCGAGGATCTGCAAGACTTCTTGCTCGGCTTCCGACTTGTGGAGGAAGGCGGTGTGGCCTTCTTGCCAGAGGAATTCGCGGGTTCGGAGGAAGGGTTCTGAGAGTCAGTACTAGGCGAAGGAGGAGGAAAGGGACGTACGGGGGTTCTTGAATTCCCATCGAACGACAGAGTTCCACTGGTTCAGCTTGAGGGGGAGGTCTCGGTGGGATTGGATCCACTTGGCGTAGTCTAAGAGTCAGCTCAGCTCGCCGCTCACTGTGAAGCGCGTAGCTCACAAGGATACATGACAGTCTCGGATGTGGGACGGATAGCAATAGGCTCCTCGAGATCTTTCGAGCCGCTATGTGATCAGCTTGCGGCACTCTGCAGTCAAACTGCTGAAGTAAGCTGACGTGACTCACGCTTTGGTCACCCAAGCCACTTCAGGCGCGAACCCCTCAATGTGGTCCTTCTCCTTCTCCAACCTCGCCTGGGAGACGAACATGGGGAAGTAGCAGTCCTGCACGCCGAGCTTTTTGATCTCGTCGTCAAACCAGTCTGGAGTATGAGCTTGATGATCCTATCTCGCAGGGCGTATAGCTCACTCTGTATAGTCTGCCAGACGGTGTATGACCATGGACGGAGGATGTAGCATCCGGAGATATCGTAGTAGTCGAGCATTTGGCCTTTGAGAAGGACCTAGAAGTCAGCTTTCGGCTTCTGTCAAGTGGAGAGCAACCGGTTAGCTGACCTCGGTGTACCATCCTGAAAAGTCTTCCTCCTTCTTGAACCGGATAGCCATCTCGTACTGGTCGTCATCCTTCTTGACAGTCTGGGGCTTGATGCCAGATCTGCAAGTCAGTTCATTCCCTCGACGGACGCTTGGGGGAGACAGAGCTCACGCAACAGGTGCAGCAGGCTGCTTCTTCTCCTCCTTCTTGACCTCACCACCCTCACTCTTGAACTGCTGGAAATCCACCACTTTCAACCCCTTCTCCCCCTCTCCGCCCTTCACGCTCGCCAAGAACTGCCTGATTTCTTTGCCCGTCAAGAACGCCGTCACTGCCCCGCCTGCAATCCTGAACGGATGCTGCTCGGCGCTGCTCGCGAGCTTCTCATCCAGAATCAGGTGGAGCGTCTCGGGCGCCGGAGTAGGGAGTGAGAAGAGCGAGACGTCGTCCTTGGACTCGGCACCGGGGAAGGTCTCCTTGATGAGGTCCTCAGAGGCCAGGCGGAGCTCTTTGAGGTTGAGGAGCTTTCCGATGGCCGCCGAGGTGTATTCGGAGGATTCGAGCGAGACGATGAGGACAGGAGTGGGGGTAGCGGTCTTGGCTGTTTTGGGTTTGAACAGGAGCTGACCGTCAGCTTAGTTCTACCACTCGCTTCAAGTTGGTTGAGCTTACAGTCTTGGTCATTCCCAGACCGGTCTTGCCGGCCTTCTCAAGCTCAGCCTTCCATTCTGGCCCGCCCTTGACCTGAGCGTGCTCCAGAATCTCAGGCTTGCCGATGCTGAGCTTGTCGAGCTGGGCAATCAGGTCAGACGCGGTCGACATGGTGAATATCGGTCGGTGCGCTGTGGCTGTTGGAGAGCAGTAGGGAGCGAATTGTCGGAGCGTGCGTGTAGATAGTCGGACTGGGATACGAATGAGGAGGGCTTTGAGCATGTACTCTGTCTCGCTATGTATATGTGTAGTAGAGGGAATACCAACTTTTGGGTCGAGTCAATCAACGATCCGTTCCTTTGGCGCGACTGAGGTCAGATATCTGAAACTGTATCAAAAGGAGGGGTGACACGTCACTTTTTGGCTGCAGCAGTGACCATGGTGCATAGAGACAGTATAGAGGCATGTTGAAGCAGCAGACAAGTACCGGGTGATAACAGCTGCTATGAACGGCTGAACGAGCCAGCCGCTGCATTAACACACTCAAACTCCGCTCCCGCTCCCGCTCCCCCGAAGAATCAGATCCAAAGCCCATACATCCCTACATCTACATCATCCTACGCTTAATCAAGCTCAATGACGTCCTCCTCCTCGCTCCCGACCTTCTGGCCAAACGCGGCCTTGCGGGCCTTCTTTCCACGGAGCTTGGGTGCGCGGGTCTTGGGGACGTTGGCGGATCGGCGCTGAGCACGGACGAGGGCGGAGGCGCGGGCGACGGCGGCCTGAGGGTCAGCCGAGTCATGCGTAGCCAAAAGGGAACAGGTGAAATCCAAAGAAGAGGGATGAAATCGTGTACTCACTTGACGAAGGTCGGATCGGTAGCCCTTACCGGCGGTCTCGGCAGCGGCGATCTTGGCAGCTCGGCGAGCGGTGGTACCACGGCGGAGGGTGACGGGGACACGAGCGGAAGCGACCTGCAAGTTAGCACTTCCTCGCCAGCCATTCCCAATTGCGCCCCGACATTCCAATGTCCTCCTCCATCCGACAGTCCTCATTTCAATACCGCAAAGAATGCAAACCCACCTGGTGGGGAGAAACATCCTTCTTGATCTTGGTGATCAAGATAGAACCCTCCTTGGTGGGGTGCATAGAGATACCCTGGGCGTTGGTGAGGCCAGAGTACTTGTGCGAGTGGCGGTTGAGGAGGTTTCCCTGGGGAGTCAGCCAAAGTTCTCGGTTAGGTCAAAGCTTCGCCCTGCGCCCTTCCCTCATCTCGGACAGCACTTCCGCCCTGGCTAAGCAAGCGCTTTTCCCTAGCTCTTCCCATGCCACCTGGTTGCCCGCGTTCCACCAACCCCGTGCTCGTCCCGGACTTCCATCCCTCTCCCATTCATCCGTCCAGCACGATCCCTAATCCCAAACTTCAACTAACCTTCTCACGCGAGAACGCCGGGCCGTGACCGCCCTTGACGATGAACGAGTTGTTCTTGCGGAGGAGGAGCCACTGGAGATCGCCGGACATCTTGATGGAGTTGGTTTGGGCTATTCGGGTCAGCTCCTATTCGGATAGGGATTTGGTCCAGTTGCGCTCTCGAGGACAAGTCCTCTTCCTCCTTCCCGGTCCAGATCCCATTCTCGCCCCTGCCTCATTCCACGGGATTCCCTCGACATCCCGCCTATGTATGGTTCCCTATGCCCATATATCATCCTCCATCCGACATCCACCATCTACCGCCAACTCGCAGTGCTCCACCCCTCCTCCGGTCCCTCTTGATCTCCCTCAATTCGTTCTTCCGCTTATATAACCCGCAGGATTGAATGCTCCGTATGGACCGATCGGTAAGCTGGGCGTAGACTTACGGGGTAGGAATTGATAGAGGTGAGGTATACGGTAGAAAGGCAGTCTTGGTGGTTGCTGTGAATTCTGGCTAGGCCGGGGTGCCACATTCGCCCTGACGAAACTCCGGCAAACTCCGCCGGTGGTCCAATGAAGGGTTTCCCACGGTCGTTAGGGGCAGCATTCCTCATGCGAGTGGCTGAGATCTTGCAGAGACCTCGGTCTTGCTTTGCATCACATCCCGCATGAGCTGCTGCCACTCAGGGGAATAGTAAACTAGCTAGTAATGTTCGACAGCGCACGCTTCAGCTAATTCAGGATAAGAATCGACATGAGCACCCCTAATGAGCTGATTCGTACTGATATCGCACCCTTGATTCTGAACTCGACGTCTCGGAGTATGGCGTCGTCATTTCCGCATCACCGCAATCTGGGAGTCGGTGTACAGCTTGCGCTCACGTAGAAGGCTTTGTCTGCATAGGCTGATACAATCAATGGCGCTCGTGCAATATCCTGATATACCTGACGGGATGCAACAAGCCCTGTCCCGCGCCTGAGCTGGACGAGCAGCTTAAAGCTCAGTGGTATGCGTCCAGCCCGAACTCGAAGCGATCATATCGTCGCTGGACTCAAACGCCTTATTGAGCCTTCCAGTCATTCTGACACTCAACTTGTCCAAGATCTCCCCGTTGTCAAATCGGCGTCGAATCTCCTTGAATTCGGATGCCGGGTCCCTGGGCTCGTCAGTCGACCAACGGAACAACGACAGCCTCCCGCAAGCAAGTTCGTATCGAGTGGCTTGGGACTGAGTCTCGCCTCCCTCTGTATCCCCGACGGCGTCGAACATGTTGCACCTCAACATGAACCCGTCACCAAGATCAAGCTGCGCGATCGAGCTGGTCCCGAAGAGTCTCTCCAGGTTGCGTGCTTGGTGCTGCTGCCTTTGCTCCATCCGCCTGTCCAACAGCAAGGCATGCTTCCTTGAGCATACCGCCGTACCGTCCACGGTCCTCACCACCCCAGATTTGCCCGGGGGCGTCGGGCCGGTCATGACCTGACGCTGACACGTGTTGCTACCTCTCGCCCCAGACGTAAACCCGCAGTTCGCCCTGACCTTTTCGGTGCTGATGCTGGAGCCCGCCAATCTAGTACGCTCTTGTACTCTCGGCAGATGTCGAGGACAGTAACTCTCTTGATACTCCGCCTGCCACTCTTCCCACTCCGGATGGTGCTTCCTGTGCTCCTCCCATCGCGCCTCAGACCAGCCGGCCACCTTTTGCTGGGGTGGGCAAGGGTCATGAAAGGCGACCATATCAGCCACTCCGCTGGACGGGCATCCGAATGCGGAGCCGTCGCATCCTCCGTCCTCGTCGATCCAGTCACATTTGGCGTGGTATCGAACAAAGAGCCTCGAGGGAATCTCAACAGAGGCCAATTTGGTCTCTTTGAGATCGGAGGACGTGACGTACGTGGTATTGGCTGCCTCGACTGGAGCGATGTAGGCGGGAGCGCTGTCGACTGTGTGGTCCTCGGCGGTGTCGGGGATGACAGGATTCAACATAGAGTCGATGGTCGGCATAGTACTGGACGTGGTGGGTCTTGTGTTGAGCTGAGGCTGGCGAGACTGACATGTATAAGTCGAGAAGATATGATAGCTTCAGGAGGTTATCATGGGCCGCTGGAGCAACGTGAGGGCGGAGGCGGACTTTGGTAAGTGAAACGCATATGCAGACTGCACAGCTTCACTCCTTTGATGTTGGGTTTAGCTCACCTCATCACTCACGTCGGCCAAAGCCCAGACCTAGGCGCTCGCTATCCGTGGCGACAGGTTTCACTGAACAAAGGAATAGTTCTCAGTCAATGCGCCCGCGGACCGCGCATGGTGTGCACAAGGCTGAAGCTCAGTACCGTGATCACCCGGAAGAACGGTCCTGGCTCGGCTTCACTGCGTAATCTCAAGGGTCCTCATGCTCTAAATCAGCTATCACCTACATCTAGAAACATCAGAGCGGAGTGCGGACATGAAGACCCATACGTCGGAATCTAATCCGCCGCCAATCACCTCTCAAACAATATCTCCTCCGAGTCGGACTCCTGATGCGGATCCTCAGCCTGATCCCCCCCGGCCGGCCCAGCTTTGCGTTTGCCTTGGGTAGTGTCTTGTATAATGTCTTTTCGGATCGCATGGTAGCTCGAGCAGCATGAGAGCTTCTCATCGTTCGCAGTGATAATCCCATCAGAAAGCACCAAGTTGCCACACTGCTGCTTCGACCGGCCGATGGCAGTGAAAATTCCACAAAGTTGCCGACTCTTGCCGTCGTCCAACTTGGACTGTATGATTCAACCGTGCGTATCCAGCATTTCGGGGTGAGCTGTGTCCCACTCCTTGCGGTGATTCGGACAGTAAGAGAGCCCTAGCAGGGCCCTCAGCTCCTCGTACCGAGTGAGGAAATTGTAATGAGCCTCGAGCTCGTCTGGGCTCAGGAACTCGCCGAGTACCTCCGCTGCCTTGGTATCGGTCCGGGGGGCCAAAAAAGCCCGTTGAGCCTCGCTGACCTTGGCCATCTCTGTCTTTACAGACTTGTTTGCATTCGTGAATTTAGGCACGTTGAAGGACGAGCAGCCGCATAGAGTACCGTCTTCTTTGGTTCCCATGCACGTGGGCGCATGGCGTTCGACGGTACCAGGGCGTAGCCTCCATTTCAGGATACTCACCCATGGCTTCGGGGCAGATGCCCCAGCGGCGGCGGAGGTGTCGCCGTCTCCCAGGGTCCCTCTTGCTTTCTTGTTCTGCACGCGAGTGGCAGAGTAGTTGGTCTTGGCGGCGTGCCTCGCATCGCAACATAGTTCGCCGTTCTTCGACCTGAACGGTCCACCTTTGCCCAAGTTGCGCAGATCTGACCGCACGAGATTCTCGCAGACGGCTGTGCTGCCGGTCCCGCCAGTCTGTGCGCCACATGTCTCCGCGGTATACCCAGGGCTTTTGACCAGGGCTTCCCACTCCGCAAGGTACTCCTTCTTTTGCAGGTACTCTCGCCAGGTACCGCCCGTGATCCCAACCGGGCACTTGTCACTGCCTGTGATACGCCGGTGGTCGCGCCGGAACGCATGCGTCTCCGCCAAGCGGTCCACCGAGTCGCCGACCACCCAAAGAAGATGTTCAGATGTGTAATCCCCTTGGTGCCAAGCCACCCGTGCACTGGCAGATGTTTTGACCGGCTCGAGGGTTCTTGCGTGGACCTTGGGGTTGTAAGATTGAGCGCAAATCACGCACTTGCATGTCGGATCATACGGGCCGAGAATCTTGGAAGACAAGTGCAAGGTCGTAAGGTTGCCAGTGGGTTCCTTGAACCTGACCATCTCCTGGAAAGTTACCTTGGATCCGACTTGGGTCACGTCTTTGGCGCTGGAAGTGGGTTTTGGGTAGTCAGCGGTGGAGTCCATCTTGGCGTAGCGATGAATCTTCGGTGTAGGATGTCAATTGATAAGTATGGATTGTGGGCAGGCAAAGGACTGCAATATGGGTAGATAAAGAGAGGTCAGCGAGCCGATGTACCAGTCTTATATAGCTCTGGGGCGGCCGAGGGCGGGGGCGGAGTCTGTATGGATCACTGCTTATTCAGCCTTGGAGAAGAAACACGGATCGTGAGATTATGTTCCCCTGACCGGCCTTGAGGCGGTGCAGAAGTTCATAAAGGAGCTTGATGTTGTTTTCATTAGCTCAAACGTCATGAATGTCAACGCTAACGAGCAGCGACCTGTCCGTGTGTCAGATATCGTAGATTGCGGTGCTAAAAGGAGGCAGTCTCCCTTGGCACAGCATCGATTCCAGTCAATCTTCCATTGCGGAGCATCAGCGTGACTTGGTGCCAATCAGTACTCAGTGATGTAGGCAGGCGACTTGGGGGAGCAAGCGGTCCCACGAAAACCTGCTCTGCGGGCGCGCAAAGCCACCAGGCTCAGTTCTCAGTGGCGACCAAGCGGTAGAGCGAGGAGTCGCTACAGCGCTGATGCTCTTACCGGTGTGTCTACCTTACACCTAGAGCAACATGTACAACGCAGAGAGCTGTTGGCCTCACGCTCTTTGAACTTGCCCATCTTTAGTGCGCCAATTTGATCCCGTTCCTACCGCGTTCCTCATCCACGTCCTCCGCGTCCATCCATCAGTCATCAAGCATACCTCCATCTAGACACCTATAGCATACACAGCTCACGACCAGCAACGTCTGACAGCGCGTAAGAACAGGCTGGAGACTAGCCCGCCAAAAGAGAGCTCGAAAGAACCGAAGGAAACCACAGATTGGCCGGCAAGATGGTAAGTTGAACGTTCTCTTGCGGCTCGAGAATACGCGCTGATCCACAGCCGATGCTTCTTGACATCACCGTGAGTACTCCACCAGGCAAGGCAGGAGTATGCTTATGTCTCCAGCGCAAGCTCCTGGCGCGGTCAGATAGGGTCAAATCAGTCGACTTTCACCCTACCGAGCCTCATGTCATTTGCGGTCTCTAGTAGGTCTACAGCTCAGCACCTCGACAAAGCTAACAGGGCAGCAATGGACAGGTCAAGATCTGGAACTATGAGACTCAGACCGACCTGAAGACGTTCGAAGTCACCGACGTCCCAGTACGATGCGTCAAGTACATCGCCCGGAAGAACTGGGTAGGTCCTCCTCCGTCAGCTCGAGCCAAGCTGACCTCAAGTTCGTCTCTGGATCCGACGACTTTCAACTACGCGTCTACAACATCTCGACCGGCGAAAAGATCACCTCGTTCGAGGCTCACCCCGACTATATCCGATGTCTGACCGTCCACCCGACGCTCAGCTTGGTATTGACCGGAAGTGACGACATGACCATCAAGTGCTGGGACTGGGACAAGGGATGGCGATGTGTCCAGGTGAGCTAGAGGTCGGACGGAGCTAATGTAGATCTTTGAAGGACACACCCACTACATTATGGCGCTCGCGATCAACCCGAAAGATCCGCAGACGTTCGCGTCGGCCTGTTTGGATCACACCGTCAAAGTCTGGTCGCTTGGGAATCCCGTCCCGAACTTTAGTTTGGACGCGCACGAGAAGGGCGTCAACTATGTGGACTATTACCATGGCGGGGACAGGCCGTATATTGTGACGACGGGTGATGATCGGTGAGTCTTGCAAAGTCAAAACTAATCCCAGACTGGTCAAGATCTGGGACTATCACTCTAAATCCTGCGTCCAGACGCTCGAATCCCATACCGCCAATGTCTCGTTCGCAATCTTCCACCCCTCCCTCCCTATCCTTCTTTCCGGCTCCGAAGACGGCACTGTCAAGATTTGGCACTCTTCAACTTACCGCCTGGAAACGACACTCAGCTATGGTCTCGAGCGGGCATGGTGTGTCGCCTACAGGAGAAGCGGGAATGAGGTGGCTATTGGGTACGATGAGGGTGCTGTGGTCGTCAAGGTAAGCAGCAGCCAGGTCGAGCTAATTGTAGCTTGGACGCGACGAGCCCGCAGTATCGATGGACACTTCTGGAAAGATTGTCTATGCGAGAAATACCGAAATTCTGACCGCGAACGTCTCCAACGTCGGCGCTGATGGTGAGTCTCTCTTCGAACCAGCTGACCCAAGGCGAAACTGTCGAAGATGGACAACGCCTCTCCATCCCCCTTCGCGATCTCGGAACGACCGAAGTCTACCCTCAATCCCTCCAGCACAGCCCGAACGGCCGATTCGTCACTGTCTGCGGCGACGGCGAGTACATTATCTACACTGCTCTTGCCTGGCGAAACAAGGCGTTCGGCTCGGGCACGTCATTCGCGTGGGCGACCGACTCCAACACGTACGCCGTGCAGGAGGGCAAGTCCAAGATCCGCGTGTACCGCAGCTTCAAGGAACGGCCGGGATTCATCAAGTCTTCGGGATCCTGGGCGGTCGAAGGTGTACATGGCGGACCTCTCCTCGCTGCAAGGGGGAACGGATTCGTCATGTTTTGGGACTGGGAGACGGGAGCGATTGTCAGGCGGATCGAAGTGGACGCGACCAACGTCAGCTGGTCCCAGTCTGGCGAGCTCGTCGCTATCACCGCCGAGGATTCGTTCTATATCCTCAGATTCGATCGGGAGGCGTACAATGCCCGGCTCGACTCGGGCGAGATGATCGGGGACGAGGGCGTCGAGGAGGCTTTCGATGTCGTGGCGGATATCTCGGAATCGTAAGTCTTGCCAAGACCGAGCTGACCCAGTGTAAAAACCTGCAAATGGGTCGGAGATTGCTTCATCTATACCAACGCCAGCAACCGCTTGTCGTACCTTATCGGGGACCAGCCGCACGTCATTAATCACTTTGACCAGGGCATCTACCTCCTCGGCTACCTCCCTGCGCACAACCGGATTTATGTCACCAACAAGGATATGAGCATCATGAGCTACTCGCTCAGCCTCGCTGTCGTCGAGTACCAGTCGGCGATTCTGCGCGGGGACATGGCGGCTGCGGAGGGGCTCTTGGAGACTATCCCGGCGGAACAGCGGAACAGGGTCGCGAGGTTCTTGGAGGGTCAAGGTGGGTCTCACTATGATCTAGGCTGATTCCAGATCTTAAGGAGCTTGCTCTGTCGGTCTCTACGGATCCGGACCACCGATTCGACCTCGCTATATCCCTCAACGACCTCGAGACTGCCCTCACCCTCGTTCGAGAAGCGCCCGAAGCCGGCTCCCAGGCCAAGTGGAAGCTTGTCGGCGACAAGGCATTGTCGGCCTGGCAGATGGACCTCGCACAAGAGGCCTTCGAAAAAGCAGGCGACCTCCCCGCTCTGCTCCTCCTCTTTACATCACTCTCGGACCGGTCTGGCATGGAACGCCTCGCCAAGCTCGCTCTCGCGCGCGGACAGAACAATATCGCCTTTGCGACATTCCTCCAGCTCGGCGACTCGGCGTCCTGCATTGATTTGCTCAGCAAGACGGGTCGACTGCCCGAAGCTGCGCTGTTTGCCCGGACGTATGCGCCCCACCTGGCAGCTGGAGTGGTCAAGGCGTGGAAGGCGGAGCTGGTCGAGGCGGGAAAGCAAAAGGTGGCCGAGACGATTGCGGATCCCGAGGAGGATGGGGAGTTGTTCCCTGAGCGCGAGCGCGAGACGTCGGGGAATAGCAATAGCGAGGGGAGCGGGGTGATGGTCGAGAAGGCGGACGTGGAGATGGAGGACCCAGCGCCAGCGGAAGAGGAAGCGGGTGCGCAGGGGGTGGTCGAGGAGGTCAAGGAGAAGGTCAAGGAGACGGTTGTTGAGCCGGTCGAGGGGCTGGTGGAGAAGGTCAAGGATTTGGTTGTTGGAGGTGAGTAAGAGTATTGTCTGGGCTGACGGCAGAAACAAAGGAGGCCGACATACCTGCGGAAGCACCGGCACCATCTGGCGGAGGCAAGAAGAAGGGGGGCAAGAAGAAGTAGACGTTGGGTATGGGTTTGCGGATTTGGGTGATAACGAATTGATGCATCTTCTGACTAGATTACGTCCTTTACAGATTCTAACACTCAAGATGCCCTCAGATTACAACTATTGGAAGTTTAGGAAACCGTACAAGCTGTCGAGCGAGTTGTCGTACAGGAATGGTCCTGGTGGTCCAGGCACACTTGCGTCGCCTTGGTTGACATTGCCGTTGCCGGTGATGATGTTCATCTCGTCCCCGCGATTGTGGAAAGAGCTGCTGGTCAGTACTGATTCTGGAGGGCCGAGACAGAGCGAGCGAGAGACGTCGAAAAGGTGGGAAGGGTGAGACTACTCACCGGACGATAGCCTCCAGATCCAGTCCGAAACCAAGGGGATCGTCTGCCCGTCAGCACCTGCTCTCGCAGAATCTCATCCGCCGGAACTCACCTTGAGCTTCAGATACCGACCCGGCATTAAGCGAGACCCCCATTCTCGCCATCAAAGCCTGAATCATCCCCAACATCTTTTGAACTCCGGGATTCGTCGCCCCATTCTCTGAAAGCGCTTCGAGGCAGACGCCAAGAAGACGGCTTGCTTCTGATTGAGGTCCACGCTGCGCGGCTATACGGACGTGGATCGTCGAGGCGACATAGGTTGTGTAGGACTGAAGCGTCAGCTGGGAGTATAGTAAAAGGATTTGGGACATACGATGAGGTATGGCGCGCGCGCGAGGGAGAAGGTACGTCGATATTGCGACAACAGGCTTGTCGCGCCATTGGCGGCTGCTTCGCATCGCGCCCAGCAGATCGATGTTTGGGGCGGGTCCGCATGGTATAGATGGCCGGACTAACGTCAGCTGGATCCTAATTTTGGGCTTACCTCTACGAATGGGCGGTGGAGCAAAGTGACCAATGTCCAGTAGACCATACTGCCCATCAGCCGCGTCCTCTCTTGGGGTACGAGTCAAGGGCACCAGAGCTGGAGACGGTGTAGGGCGGATCTGGAACGGGTCCTCGATGTCCTCCCTTATACACCCCCATAGCAGGCCTTTGTTCCCTTCTCCAGCACGAAAAAAACTCACTGCAAAGAAAGAACATGCGGCGGTGGAGCAGTCGCCTCTGATCCCGGATCGCAATTGATCACAGCTGGCAAACTCGCCCGCCACCTATCCAGACTTGCCGAGAGACGGTGCAGATGTACTCTTGGGCCTTCCGGGACAGACGTTTCGGCATAGATATGAGTGATGACTTGATCCTTCCATCAGCTCCTGGCCGTGGGGTGGACATACCATGATGAGCGCCAGGGAGCAGTACGCCGTAAATGTGCTGATCGCACAAGCAGGGGAGCCAGGGTATTGATGTACCCCTGGAAAAGCGTAGGGCGTCCATTGTTCCTGTTCTTCAAAGAGGTCAAAGAAGCGATGTGCGACGTGCATCTGATTTCCGCCCAGCGTGACCGCTCGGCCTTGATACAGGGAGATGATCTTGTCGTAGACTATCGTCAGCCAGCTCGGGGAAAGACTTACTGAATGCTGCCCAGACTATACGCCGTCGGATCTCTATCTCTGCAGCGTGGAGGTTTCCGATCATCGGGTAGTTGAGACCTGGCGTCAGCATTGTCTGGATCGAGACATACCTAGATCGATGATCATCCTGATCGCTATGCCGCTGTACACCCATGCTGCGCTCTGCTGCCCCAGCGCAAAGAGTGAACTCGAGAGCAACAACATCGCCTGGATTGTCGGTATAGATGACCTATCGAGCGCTTCCCCCAGCAACGCCTTGATGCGCCGGATAAAGCATTGCCCCGCTGTAGTCTGGTTCGAGGGGTCGTCGTATACCTCTGGTCGGTCCGAAAACTTTGAAACGGAAAAGTAGATGGCGTTGAGGAGGAGCTTGGAAAAGTAGGGACCGTTACATGCCATATCGCGGGTGAAGACTGGGGTTAGCGGTGCCGCCGCGGTGACTTACGGGGACGGTAAGAGACCATGAATCCGTAGTGCTGTCGATTCCAGTGCAGGCCGAGGAGGTGCATCGCTAGATCTGGCGCTACTCCATCCACTATTGTCAGCTAAGCTAGACCCAGACTCACGTTCCAGCTTCCCCGCTGCCAGATTCAACACCTCGTTATGCCGCTCACTGGCAGCCATGGCGGTCGCTTGGCTCTGATATCGCTTTTCCGTCGCCTCGTCGAGCCCACTCGTGCGTGGCGAGTCCTCGAGCAGCTGCTCTCTTTCGGGAAGATCATCAAAGAAGGCTGATGTCGGGCCATGCGCGGACTGATCACTATTATTAGCTAGAAACTAGCAGCTGCTCACCCATACTGGCCAAATCTGAGCCGACTCCGTGCTGCCTCGCCTGGCGAGATGGCATTGTGGGGAGACAGACTGTGGTGACTATGATGGACATGCTGGACAGGTCCAGGCATCCACTCCTGCGGGCCATGATAGGAGGACGATCCCGCAGCCGGCGAGGCTTGAGATCGGGCGAGCAGGTTCTCCAGGCGCAACACTTCCGCTTCAAGCTTTTCTATCTTTTCATGTGTGGGTCTATATCAGCTCAGCTCAAGTATTCGCTCACCTAGGCCGCTCTTGCCTCGCGACAGAGACGCAGTCCTCGCCTTTTTCTACGCAGTTGGAGCAGGGGATAGCAAGATCGCATTTCATCTAAACTCAGCCGAGTCCATGAGAGCCGCTCACCTTTCGCCTGAAGCAGTACGCGCATGCTTTCGGGCGCTTCTCGTTCGTGCGCTCATTGCTGCGCTCCGTATTGCGCGGGGACGCCGACATGGGTGTATGGGATCTGACGCGTGGGGAAGAGACGGATGGCATGATATGTCGAACGCTGAAAGAGATGGGTGGAGGACCGGTTCAAGCCGGTAACCTTTTCTAGAGATCCAAGATCCAAGATCCGCCGTACGGTCCCTCGGCAGTGGCACGAACCAATAGAACAGCGAGGCAGATACATACAGCAACTACAAAACCACAAAGCCCTACTTGGAATACAATACGGAACCCTCCATCAACCTCCTGGCTGTCCTATACACACTCCCGCTCTTTACCTCGATCGTCCCGTCCTCCCCTACTGACGCCTGACTGTCTGTCGCCATCGTCCCCGACGCGTGGCCAATCAACAATGGTGGCGCCTTGGCTGCGACCCGCGCAGCCTGCGACTTGGTCGCGATAACGTTGACGAGCGAGCCAGGTACGGCGCACGCGGCGGCGAGACAGACGGCGCCGGTCATTTGGAGGGCGGGGTGGGGCTTGCCCATAGAGAAGGGGCGTACCCAGATGTCCATCTCGTCCGAGGACACGTTCCGGCCGGCCGGGGTAGTGTAGGCGCAGGGAGGACCGACGATGGCGATCTTGGGAGTACCCATGACGAGCCGGGCGGCAGCAGGAGAAGTGGCGAGACCCATCTTGACCGCCACTTCGGCGCGGATAGCCATCAACACCTCGGTCATACTCTCTTGAATCACCGCGGGGAGCTCGTCGCCGGTCAAACCGAGGGCCTCGCGAGAGACAAAGATGAAGGGGTTGGCGGCGTCGACGCAGGACACGGTGAAGGTGGTGGGAACGCCGCGGAAGGGGACGACGATGGTATCGGTGGGCGAACCGGTAGGAAGGAGTTTGCCCGTCATGCTTCCGGATGGGTCGACAAAGTCGAGGCGGATGGGCGAGCCTGAACCGCTCACCCCGTCAAGCTTGAGCTCGCCAAACTCCACAGGGTAGCCGTGCTCGGCGAGGAAGGTGGAGTGGATGATTTTAGAGGTGTTGGTGCTGGGGTCAGCGATGTCAAGGGGGGACTTACTTGAGGATGCGAACAGTGACCTCCTCCAGACCGTCGAATTTGGCAGATACCATCCCCTCACTGACATCAGCTATGCCCTGCGTAAAACTTACTCGACAGCAAAGGGTCCGACACCACTGGCCATATTGCCGCAGTTGCCTGAAAAGTCCAGAGCTCCCCCGTCAATCGGGACTACTATCAGCCCTGATCATCCCATAGCTCACCTTGGATGAATGTATAGTCCACATCTGCTCGAGGATCGCTTGACCTCCCCACCACTGCGACCTTGCTCTGCGTGCTCACGCCACCGCCCATCCCGTTGAGCTGCTTGAGGTATGAGTCTGGCGAGCCCATCGCGGTGGTGATGATCTGGTGCCATTCCGCCCGGTCCTCGGGGAGATCCTCCTGTCGGAAGAACAGTCCCTTGGAGGTCCCGGCGCGCATAACCACCGAGCGGATCCGGTGGCGGCTGAGGCGGGGCTGAGACTCGAGCTTGGCCGCATCGATACGGGGGCTCGAGGGTGAGGCTGAGCGGGGTGGGGTAGGGAGAGCAGTCATTTTGATATGGCAAGTGAGAATCAGAAGATGCGCGGTGTCGCTTGGGTGACTGTGGGGGCATCTTGACCTGCGGGGAAGCTGTAAGTATATCAGGAGCGCGTCTTTGCTTAGCGGTATGGTGACGGAAACTCTGGGCCCGCCGGTGCGGCGCTGATAAATCCGAGCTCTCAACAGCCCGAATCTTCCCTTATTGCGCTCAGAACTGACCCGGAAAATCTGGGCAGCAATGCGAATGTATGCTCCTCCGCTTACTGGGACTGGCAGAAGCACGAGGACGCTGTCTGGCAAGGAAGGAGTAAAGAGACGATCCGGTTGATGGAAGAAGGGAAGAATGTGGAGTTGTCGGGGCGGATCAAGTTGCCCCGCGATAGCCCTGAGTTTACGGCACCGTTTCAGAGTCCCGGCCGAAGCGGCAAATCGCGGTTCGGGTCAGCGCCACCGGCGATCACCGCTTGGATGTCTGAACTGCACCTCATACGATCGAGAGGTATCCATGACTGACCTGGCTAGGGGACGTAGGGAAGTCATGGGTGACTGATGAAGTAGCTGTAGACAGCACAAGGTTGATTATGGAACGGCCGTATGCATGCCATCTATACCAGCTTTTTGATCTGCTCCATGAAGACAAACGTCAGCGCCGTTGTCGGCGTCATCCTCAGCCACGCTGGGAGCCAGCCTCTGAACAGCACCGTGATCCCGTCCGTCTTGAGTGACTTGGCGATGACCTGTGCGAGTGTCTGCGAGTCAGCGAGTCTCGGCGAGAACAAGCCGACAAGAACTTACTGTTTGGCCCGTCGACGCCTGTACTCTCGACTTGATAACGTCCACCGGCGTGCAGATAGTGATCGATATGGTACCGCCAAGGGTCGCAGTGAGTAGATGTAAGGGTATAGAGTCGTTAAAGTAGCCAGTGAGGAGTAGACGCCGCTTGATGAGGTCATAACTGAATCAGCTCCGCCTTGCGACAACTCACCAAGACAATTGCGCCGAGTTCAATAGTACGCTCCGAGCTGTAGTCGGTACAGCCCCTCTGAACATCCCCTTGACGCCTCCCTCTTTGTATATCCGATACAGTCCATCGAAGGCGTTGCGGTAGTTTAAGCGTTTCTCGACGGGTTTGACGCCATCTCCCGCCATTCGAACCAGTACCAGCTCTACCATCAGCTCCGCCTGGCCATGACTCACCTCCTGGCACACCCGCTACACCCGCAAACAGCCCCGCTATTGCCCCATTCTTGATAAGCTCCAAGGCGGTGGCATCACCCCTCCCTAACCGCTTGCGCTTCTTGCTATCCCTCGAATTGAGCTCGGCGTACGTGCCGAACCGGACCGATCCGTACGTCGCCTGCCTGACAAGACTACCCGATAGCCCCACCCAGAGCTCGCGTATACCGCCCGCTTGTACCGTATTGCGCATAGTCGCAAGCATGCCATGTCGGACCTTTTGCGTTTGAGCCCGAATTTTAGTCTGGTCGATCGGGTGCGTGATGCACACTGCCATCATTGCCGCCACGCCTAAAGTCAGCTCTGCGCTCAGGCTGGACTCACCTCCGACCCATCGTGGCTGCTCGCGGGGCACAGGGGGCAGCAGCGATGCCTCTACAGTCCCAGACATGGTTCAAAGCCATAGCGTGAATTTGGGTGTGCGGTGAAAATAGCTCGGACGCGCTCAAACGATCCGCCGATAGATCCGGATTAATCCGCCTCAGCCAACTGCACCCAAGACAAGCTTGTCGTCACCGGCTTATTATCGTCCATCACTCCGCTATACTATAGCATAGCCAAAAGATATCTTCCCCTTGCAATCCTCGACATCCTCTCCTTCATCTCACCACTGATAATTCTCACATTTCTCACCATGAACGCTACCCACCGCAAACCCAACCAGTATGAGTCCCTCCTCGCCGGTATCATCGCCGGCGGTGTCGAGGGCGCCGCTACCTACCCCGCCGAGTTTGTCAAGACCCGCGCTCAGTTCACCGCAACCAAGGGATCTGTAAGTCTGCTCTAAGGGTTAGCTGACGACAGGCGGTCGGTGTCATCCCAATCATCCGCGAAACGCTGCAACAGCGCGGTATCCGCGGACTCTACTCTGGCGCGGGGGCTCTGATCGTTGGTAACAGTCTCAAGGCGGGAACGCGGTTCTTGACGTACGACTCGATCAAGGGCGTGTTCGCAGACTCCAACGTGAGTGCTCCTTTGTGCTGAGCTGATGGCAGGGAAAAATGACGCCTGGGCGGACGGTACTGGCGGGTCTTGGTGCGGGGGTCGTCGAGGCCATAGTAGCTGTGACGCCTAGCGAGACTATCAAGTACGTCCATAGATAGGCATGGCTGACGACAGGACAAAACTCATCCAGGACGCATCGTCGACACGGCTCTATCACAACATGATTGACGGGACAATTGGGATTTGCCGGACAGAGGGGTTCAAGGGGATCTACCGGGGATTATGGCCAACTGTGAGTCTGCTCTTGGACGACGCTAATGTAGATCATGAAGCAGGGCGCCAACTCTGCGGTCCGATTCTCATCCTACTCATTCCTCAACAACGCGCTCGTCACCTACACCAAACCATCCAGTGGCAAGCTGAACACGACTCTGACCTTTGTCGCTGGTGCAGGAGCGGGTCTCATCACCGTCTGTAAGTGCTTCTGTCCCCTCTTAGACATCTGCTAACCCTCAGACGCGACTATGCCCCTCGACAACATCAAGACGAGAATGCAAGCAACAGGCGCAGAATCGAGATATAAGAACTCGGCGGATTGTCTCATGAAGGTGAGCCATCCTGTTTCCATCGCTGACGTCCAGATTGTTCGGCAAGAGGGCGTCCTGCGGCTCTGGGGCGGAACGACTCCACGGCTCGCGAGATTGATGTTCAGTGGGGGTATTGTCTTTGCAGTGTATGAGCGTTTGATCGGGGTCATGACTGCGTTCTAGATATATGGGTGTATTGTATTTCGGTCTCTGCGGTCATACCGAGGATTGGCGCTGCATCGTGATACCTTGGTATCCCCTCCTGCTCGATGCATGGATACTGGACTTCTGTTCACGCATCCCGCCAGAACTTCTACGCACGGGTCAAACGGATATTCCTCGGCGAAATCATCCCCCCATTCGGACATGTGATGATCTCCATATCAATATGGGATCTGAATCGGGCTTTACGGCATGTCTTTTCAGGCACAGACCGGATCTCTCCGAAGAGAACGCTTAACGAGTCTTGGCATTCTGCATCGTTCCGCTCCTCTCCTCTTTCTCGCTCCTCTGGCCTCATCACTCGCTCCGCTCGTCCAGTGTCATGCGGACATCAGCGGATCGCTCGATCCGTTCATCGCCCCAGGCTGACTCAGCTGCTCATCCGAGGTCCGCGCGCGATGGCGGTGGGGCCGCCAGCTGATTCCCCGCATCTCATTCGCAAAACCGAGACTCCGCCCGCGGGGCCTCTGACGCGGGCTTGGCATAGTATACTGAAATAGAAACCACTCTGGAGGAGCAGTGGAATGCCAAGAAGTATCTTTTGCTCCTCCCGCGTTTTGCTCACCCATCAACTCGCATTTCTAGTTACCGAGCGGACTGTATGGACTCCCATGCCCCGCACGACCTTTCAGACGCAAAGAAGAGGATAGTATAAGTATCACGATGGTGGCCCCACATCCCCGCACTCATCACACTCATCTCAGCCTACTTCATCTCCACCATGACCTCCCACAACCGCCCGCTCGTCGTGTCCGATATCGAAGAGGCCGTCCCTCAGACCGCCGCCCTCTCCACCCTTCCCGAGTACGACTCCAAGGGATATGTCGACCACCTCGAGGAGAAGAAGATGGGCGACGAAGAGGACGAGGACCTTAACAGCCCCGAGGCCATCTTGGCTCGCTACCCCCTCCTCAAGGACAAGAGCAAAAAGGATCTGGACCTCCTCAGCAAGCGCCTCCGTCGCAGACTGTGAGTACTAATTTGAGCTCTGCTGATATCAGTGATATTCGTATGCTGCCCATCATCACCCTCTGCCTCATGATCAACTACCTGGACCGCTCCAACGTCACCAACGCTCGTGTTGCCGGCATGCAAAAGGATATGGGCATGGACGATGTCCAATGGGTAAGTTTTGGTTTTGACAAAGCTGACATCAGTCTCTTGGTATCTCCCTCTTCTACGTCGGCTACATGATCACCCAGCTCCCCGGTTCCCTCATCCTTGCCAAGTACAAGCCGCGCATCGTCATCCCTGTCATGATGTGAGTCCCACTCCGTAGCCTCGCTGACGTCAGGCTTGGCTGGTCCATCCCCACCATCCTCTTCCCCTTCGTCCGCTCCCCCGGTGGCTTTGCTGCTGCTCGCTTCGCTGTCGGCTTTGCTGAAGGCCCCTTCCTCCCCGCCGTCGCCCTCATGACCTCGTCCTGGTACGTCGCCGAGGAGCTCCCTTTCCGCATGGCCCTCTGGCACGGTGCCCAGGCCTTGTCCAACGTCTTTGGTGGTCCCTTTGCCGCTGCGGTGCTCGAAAACATGGACGGTGTTCGCGGGATGCACGCTTGGGAGTGGTGTAAGTTTATTCTTTGTTTACTTGGGTCGGGCTGACCTCCAGTCATGGTCATTGAAGGTGCTCTCTCCATCGCCCTCGCTATCGCTGCCGGCTTTATGCTCCCCAACTGGGCTCACAACACTCCCTGGCTCACCCCCGAGGAGACCGAGATGGCCCAGTACCGTATCGTCCTCTCTGCTGGTGGTATCGACGAGAACAAGTCGAGCATGGGTATCTGGGAGGGAGCCAAGCTCGGTGCCAAGGACCCAGTAAGTGTTTTTATTCCGCCTTGACATTACGGACCTCACTTTCTATCATGTGATGGCCTCGCTGACCCCCCAGTTCACATGGCTCTTCATGCTGCTCCACTTCTGGTTGATCGCCGCCCAATCCTTCAAGGACTTCCTCCCTTCCATCCTCAAAACCATGTCCTCCTCCAACCTCATGACCTACCTCCTTCAATCCCCATGCTACCTCCTCGGTTACCTCGCCATCCTCGGCTTTGGGTGGTCGAGCGGTCGTTTCAAGGACAGTGTGTGGCACGTCATAGGCCCCATCATCCTCTCGGCCGCCGGTACCGTCATGCTCATCACCACCCTCAACGTGGGCGTCCGCTACACCGGTGTCTGCTTCCTCATCATGGGTGTCTTCTCCGGCCTCAACATCCAGGTCTCGTGGTCCACCCAGCTCGTCCCCGGTCCTCGTCACAAGAAGGCCGCTCTTCTCGCCATTGCCAACACCTTTGGCTCGTCCTCGCACTGGTACACCCCTTACTTCTTCCTCACCAATCAAGCTCCCCTCTACCGCTTTGGCGGTGGTCTTATCCTCGTTTCCATCGCCCTTACCATCGTCACTGTCCTCGCGACATGGTGGTACGTCGTCCGCCTCAACAAGAAGCTCGACGTTGCCGAGGCAGAGGTCAATGTCGACAGGGTCGCCCGGGGCCTGCCGGAGCTTACCAAGGGTTGGCGATATCCTCTCTAGGCGCAGGGCAGGGCGGTTTCTCTCTGGCTCGGGTTTTGCGAATACGGTTTGTTCTCGGGTTTAGGGAAGAAGTGTATAGTTGGTAGTCTTAGCTTGTTGCAAATATAGGGAATTGACGGAATGAATCTTTGTGCAGCATACCTGTATCCGCTCTGGTTCTCTCGACCATCAATGCATCACTTGCCCAGGCCAGCTCGAAGAGGCAAATTCAGATGCCGTAAAACGGCGTGTTTCATCTTTGCTCAACATTCCTCATCGTGTGGCACAGCTTCGAAATATTTCCCTTCACTCAGCCAATCACACATATGACTCCCAGTCATCAGCATCACTTAGTCGAGTAAGCATAATGAACAAAGACGATGAATCACACACCACTGTGTCAGAGAGTGGGGGGCTCACGACTTCGAGCGAGTAAGTTCGAAATTCCAACCGTTTCGGAGTTTGGATGATGAAGGTTGATTAACGATCAGTGCGGGCGATGTTGGCCTTGTCGGTCCCTCCGCTCCCGCAGCGTGAGCTACCATCCTCTCGAAAGAAGGTCTCGCTGACATGCAGATCGACGAGCGTCAAGGTAGTCGCTAGCGCGTCGGCGTTGTCCTCGTCGGACAGATTCCGCGATTTGGGCAGATCAAAGCTCTTCGTAGACCGGGAGCCTGTGCTGAACAAGTGAGTTTCCATAGCGTGCGCAGCTGAATGAGATAGGCATATCCCGGAACGAGACTGGGACGTCGTCCGGATTGTGTGGAGTTTCGCGGAGGAGAAGTGGGGTAGGCCGATGAGCCAGGGAGCCCGGTCCGAGTTCATGAGGATCTTGGAGGGGACCTTGGGTGTATGTCTACTTCAGCTAAACCTGTTAGAAGTGGCGCTGATCACGCAGGGGGAACGGAAAGCTGCTGTCGCCTCTTTGTGCATCAGAGTCATGAAGTTCAGTGTGAACCTCGGCGACTTCACCGCGGCGACGTCCGAGGTGTTCTGGGGCACTCTCTTGACTGTGTTTGGCGAGCTTATCTGCTGGTGGTCCTTACAGAGCCAAATCATGGCTGAGTTACTCGTGAGTGTTTGAGAAGGCTGTGACTGATGAATAGGATTTCCGGGAAATGGGCATCGCCAGTAGAGCGCTCGTACTGTCGATACAACAGACTATGAAACGTCAGCGGGCTCTTCACGGCGCAGCAATGACTGCTGGGAAACTTCCTGTGTTACCGGGAAGGAAGTAGAGGTCATTCTTTGGCCAAGCTTGGGGTATCTGGCGGAGCGGCGGTACAATTAAGGGAATGATAATGTGTATGAATCCAACTACCATGTCTGACGGGGTCGAAAAGGCAGATGAGGGCTAGATCAATCGTCGACTCCCCTTGGCCCCCAGATCTCCTTATTGTGGGTTTGCCCCTTGCTGTCAACACCTTGCTTAAAGTCACACCTCCGAGTCTCCCTGTCCCCTATCTTCCTCTCATTCTGCATCCTCATTCACCTCGACCAGCTCCCCGGCCCACTCATCCATCGTAAAGATCCTAAACCTCCCATCCCATTTCTCCCTCTTTGCCGTCTCCCTCCAAGCTCTGGACAGCCCTATACCCAGTATCAGCTAATATCCACGGCCGAGCGAGGCGGAAGGTTCAGCTTACCAGAGCTAAACGACCACAACTCGACGTTCCACCCCCGCCCCACCGCCTCCCTCACCGCCCCCAGAAACCCCTCCTGGTTGAACTGCCCGCCCCTCGCGTCTCCCGTCGCTAGCACCATCGTACTCCCCTTGACCGCCTCGACCCGATTGATCGTCTGGAGCATCTTGAGCGTCAAGATCTCATCCACCCCCTGCTCCTTGTATCGCCGCGTTCCTGCTCCGCCCCCTCCGCCCAGCGCACCCGCTACGGCGCGCGGAACAGCCTTGGGCACGAGCTTGGTCGATGACGCATCGGCGACTTCCGACTCGTATATCTCGACGCGCTTCAGGACCGAGACCTCCCAGTGCAGGCGCACGAGGGGGTCAAAGTCTTGGTGGATAGGCGAAGAGGCGACGAGGTGGGATGAGCGCGTAGGTCGACCTCGGCGGAGAAGGAGGGAGAGGCAGGGGAGGGAGAGGATGCGTTGATGTCGGGGGGAAGGGGGAGAGGGGAGGAGTATAGATAGTGCATGAGTCCATGGAGGATGTTGGAGCTATAGTCAGTTGTGGCGATGTAGGTACTCACTGATCGACAAAGATATGGACCAGTCCCTCCTTCTCTCCACCTCGGTACCCTAGACCCACCTCCCCATCCTTCAGACGCCGCTTCATCGCGCCTACGCCCCCCTGCCACACGACATCCCCTTCCTCCCCATACATCCCCTCCTTACTCGCCAGCGCCGCTTGAATTCCCGCCTTGTCCATATGGAACACCTTCGGCAGCGTTCTCGACAGCGTCTCAAACGACGAGGGCGTCATCGACATGGACACCTTGTCCTCCGGCTCCACCGTTTCCTCCGGGGGCGGTAGCTCTGGCGGCGCGTGGGGGAGGATGAATGCGCTCGCGAGCTCGAGATAGAGTCGCTCACGCATCTGCGCCAGTGCTTTCTGCAGCAAGACCCGGTCCATCCGCGTCGAGAGCTGCGGGAGGTCAAAGTTGGCGCGGACCTCATTGATGAGTTGGACGCCTTGTTTGCGGTCCGAGAGGGTAGGAAGAAGATCCCGTATAACAGGAGGTAGGAGGTGGCCGCTGGTATTGTGTAGCTTGGATGCGAGCTTGAGCTTGTCGTACATCTCGCGACCGTGCATTTCGACGACGTCTTCCAGGAATTGAGAACGAGGAAGGGGTTCGAGCGGGGGTGTCTCGGCGCGCGATACGTCCGTATCGACGGGAATGGGCCGGCGAGTGATTCGGACCCCTTGTCTGGCGCCGCGCCGACCGGGACGGCGGATAGTGACGATGCGCGCGGTAAAGTCGCGGGGCTTCCGCGGACCGAGGGAGGGGGTCGCCGTAGTGGTTTCGGTGGAAGTGAGAATACCGGAGGCGAGGGAAGGGGTGGAGTGCGCCGATTCGTTCCCATCCTGCGGTTCGAGGTGAGGCAGGGGAGTGGGATTGACTTTGGCCGGTGAGGATATGGGATGAGGCGCAAAATCGTGCGCGATGACAGGGGCAATGGCGGGTTCCGACTCGGCCGACTCCCCGCCGGTGGTCAAAGGAAGCGGATTCTCCCCCTTCTCGTTTGATGCCCCCTTCCCCGAAGGCGACCAATCCGCCGATGCGTACCCCTTCTTCCGCCTGTTCGACTTCCTCCCTCGCTTGACCTTGCCTTCAAGCGCGTCGTTTCTTTTCCCATCCTCAACGACTGGCGCTGATCTATCGGTCGGCAAAACCGCTATTCAGTCAGCTTCGTTTCAGACGCTCCAGCCGTCCGCATAGCTCACTTGATGACTCTGAGTAGCTTGAGTCCTCCTTGGCCCTTTCAGAAACTTCTCCCTTGACCTCGTCTCCAAGCGCGTCGTCGCCTTTTCCGTCCTCATCGACCGGAGCTGAGGCGTCGATTGACAGGACAGCTGCCCGGATCAGCTTCCGTCCCAGTACCCGATCTATCCTCATGACTTACCTGATGACTCTCCATCGCTAGGTTTCTTCTTTGCCCCCTCAGTCTCCCGCATGAGCTCTTGCACTTCATCGCTCTTTCTGTCCCCATCAACCTGTGGCGAACTCGTATCGATCAGCTGGACAGCTATTCTGATCAGCTTGGTTCTAAGCATTTGAGCCTCCCTCGTAACTCACCTGACGCCACTGCAGAGCTCGTCTCCTCCTTCACCGCCTCAGCGACGTCTGGCTGGCTCACAAAGCCCAGCTTGACCAAATCAAACTCCTCTTCCACCTCCAACGTCCGCTCGATCCTCTTCGATCCCCTTTGCTTCTCGCCGCTTTTCCCGCTTATCGTCGACATCATACACTCGGCAGCTCAATAAAGAGTGGCTGCAACGGGAACTCGGGACCGTATTGACTAGGACAGATAGACAGTGTATCGTGTAAAGGGAGAAAGGAAGATCGGCCGTCTCAAGGTTGAGCAAAGATGAAATCGCTTCTGATGACGTCACCCTCTAATTACCCGATCGGGACGATGAAACCGTATTCGCCACCCGATATTTTTTCGCCTGATTAGATAAGAAACTGATTTCAGGGGCAGAAGCTTAAGGGTGTGTCACTGATTAGCAATTAGCTCAGGACCGATTGGAACGAGGGAGTGGAGGTGAAAAGAAGGCGGTGCGGCTAAGGTAGAGTAGTCAGCAGCACACAAAGTCAAGTCAGCAAGGCCTCAGCTTCTTTGAGGAGATCTAGAGGAGCTCTGTAACCCCCTGCATATCTCCAAATCGACCATCTCCTTCATCCCTCCTCCCCGTCACGACGATGCGTGCACCATCAAGAAAAGCTCGACTCCCGCTCCTGCTCTTGGCGCTGGTCGGGGTCGAGGCGCTCCGCATAGATCGACGGCACTCTGACGTCGGATCAGCCTCGGCCTCGCTGTTGTCCATGTCCAGTGCCAGTGCAGCTGTGGCTTCGAGCAGCGCTGTAGCAAGCTCCGCCTCGACACTCTTGGGCAGTACCAGCGGTATCCCGGGCTCCAGCGCAGTATCGGCCAGCTCAAGCAGGTATGTCTTTGGACGCTGGTACGATTGCTATACTGACATTCTACCAGTTCAGCATCGGCATTAACGTCAACCATAAGCGCGGCCCCTTCCTCTAGCTCAGCTGTGCCCGTCTCGTCCTCTTCGGCAGCGCCTTCTTCCTCATCCTCTCCTTCGTCATCTTCCCCGGTCTCGACCAGTAGTGAGCCGACCTCCTCGATCGGTCAGGTATCGAGCAGTACAGTCCTCTCGTCCTCTTCAGGATCATCCTCCGGCTCTATCGCAGTATCTTCATCTGCGTCTGGGACACCTACGGCATCTTCAACCTCATCCTCAGAACCACCATCTTCCTCCGTGCCCATCTCAACCACCGCGCTCCCATCTGACGCCTCCTCGTCATTGTCCTCTTTCGCCCCCTCCTCCACATCCACCACACCACCCACCTCTATCCCCTCTTCCTCGTCCTCTCCCCAACCCAGCTCCACCCTCACCCCCGCCGCAGCCCCCGCCTCGTCATCCACACCGCCCCCACCCGTCTTCACCCAGACGTACACCGCCACCGCCCCCGACGGGTCCGTCTCGGTCGGTACAGAGACCCTGACAGTGTATGTCACGGCATCACGGGCTAGTCAGACTGCAAATGCGCCTGGTAAGTCCCGGATCCACTGTTTTCCACCGTCTACTCTCGAATCACAGACGGAAGGGTCACCGCTGATACACCAGCACCTGTAGTTACGGTCACCAGAACAGCCACGGATACGAACGCCGGCGGGGACGTATGGGTCACTGTCACCCGTACTCAGGGGACAGATACCGCCGGAGATTTTATCGTAGCTGTGAGTACTAGTTTGACCCTTCAATTCCTATCCTCATTCCTCTCTGCGCCTTCCGGAGATGTCACAGCGGGAACGTCAGCTCATAAATATAGACAATCACCTCCGTCGTCAGAGTCACAGTCATACCCCCCAGCACCCGCACAGAAACGATCACCGGCGACGTCGGGCAGCTACAGCGGAGCGCTGCCTTCCGCGTAGCTCGAGGAGAAGGTATAGGATGGGCGATGATATTGGGTCTGGGCGGGGTCGCGATCGGGGCGGGATGGATCGCTTGATGACTTGTTCTCGTATAATGATGAGTTCTTGAGCTTGGGGGGCGACAGGCCAGAGCAAACTGTAGCTATTAGTATCCATTCAGCCAACATGCAACGATGTCACGATGCCGCGATGCCATGATGGCGCATGTAACGTGTCCATCAGAATACTTCTTCCTTCTAGTGTACCCCTCACCGCGCCGTACAGCTCTACTCTGCTTTGGCGCGCTTCGACTCCCTCTCGCCTTCCTCATCCGCACCCCGCTTCTCCCCAGCCAAAGCGGCCACGCTAGCCTCTACCACCTCTGCCGCCTTCTCCGCCGCTGCCCCCGCCGCTTTCTGTACCGTCTCCGCCACTTCCCCGGCCTTCTTTGTCGCATCGTCCACTACCGCCGCTGCCCCTGCCCCCGCCGCGGCCCCCGCCCCCGCAGTCGCCGGAGCTGCCGGAGCAACCGGCTTCTTCTTCTTCCTCACCATCCCGCTCAAATCATTGACCGGTCCCTCATCCTTCCCCGCCATCCCCGCTCCACCAAACGCCCCACTCCCACTCCCCTCTCCCAGTCCATCACCCACCAAATGCCTTATACCCTCCTCTACCAGCCCCTGCCCCTCTGGCGCACTCTTGAGCTCCTCCACCTTGACTTCCAAATCCCCAATCAGCTCGTTGATGTCCCGCATCTCCTTCTCCTTTTCCCCCTCATTCAACCTCGCCAGATCCGGATTCTCCATTTCGGTCGAAGGCCGAGCGAGGTCCGTCCGTCGTGCTTGGAACGAGGAGAGTGCGGCCTGGACGTGCGATAAAGCGTCGGCGCGGCGGGAAGGGAGGAATTCGAGCGCGGTGCCGAGTGTGAAATGGAGAGAGGCGAGGATGCGGGACGAGGGGTGGTGGTGGGGCGTCAGGAGGGCCAGGGCCGAGGTATAGTCGGATACGGCTTGTGGGAAGTTTTCTGGGTGATCAGCAGAAGCCTGCCGAGCCTGAGGGAGGACGCAAACGTACCCGTCTCACAGCTGATATCGCCTAGTGCCTGATAACACTCGGCCAGGTCCAATTGCGCCTTCTTGACCTCCTCCCCTCCCGCCCCATTCTGTCCAGCTCCGGACTCAGCAGCCTTCCCCTTCCCCTTCCCCGTCCCCACTGCCACTGAGGCATCCTCGATGATCCGCAGGTATATCGTCCGCGCCACGTCCAGCACCTCCCACGCGGCATTATAGTCGTCCTCTGGTTCTTCGTCCGCTTCTCCTTCTGCGCTCTGAGCGGGCTCTTCTTGAGGGACATCCTCCCCTTCGGCCGCGGCGGCTGCTTGGGCGGCAGCTTCAGCCATGATTTCGGGATCGGCGGATTCGATCAGTGTGGAGGGACCTCCTTCGTCTATATCATCAGCTCTGCTCTACTATGGCCGAGATAAATTCATCGCAGTCAACGGAGCTCACCCTCGTCCTCTTCCTCCCGCTTGGGCTCTTCCTTCCCCATCACCCCACTCTGGCTGACCGCCAATTCAAACAAAGCCTTCCCGTACGAAAGCAGCAAAGGCGCCATAGCGGGGTCTTGATCACCTACGATCCCGCGCCTGAGTGTCAGCTTCTCAATGACAGCGTACGACTGCCTGCACTTAGCTCACATGATGTCGAGCGCATCGGCATACTTAGCAACCCCCTCCTCCCACTGCTTTAGCGCAATCGCCTTCTTTCCTTCCGCGATAAGCACATCCGCGTCAGTTTTGGTAGTCACCACCGTAGGAGTGGACTCGGTCGACGCGATACCAGAGGGAGGGACGGATGAGTCGGGCATGAGGGTCCCGGTCGGTGTGGGGGCGGATTCGGTAGGTACTTCTGGTTTGGGCTCGAGAGGGGCGGGGGCGGTCTGGTCGCTGTGATGTCAGCTCGGCTTTGATTTCCGGAAGTCAGTGCTCAGCTCACGAAGTGCTCATGATGTTGGTAGTCTGTAGGTAGTGATAGCGATAGGTAGTGCAGAAGTGGGGAAGGACATAGCAGAAGGAGAAGAAGCGAATTTTGGCTGACGAGAGACGCGTTCAGTCAGTCGCGTCGAGGCGTCGAGGGACAGTTCCGACGGAAGCCACGCACGGAGATTGGATGACTGCCCGAAGTGCTTGAGCCTGATGCAATGAGCCGCAGAGCTTCGAGCAACTCATCGTTCTACCTTGACTTGTCCCCTACTTACTTCGTCTTTGTCCTGATTACAATGTCTACCGCCAAACATGAGGTCTGCGTCGACTGCGATCCGCCCAGAAATGACGCTTCACACGGGTCCCGAGGCTCAGCGCAGCCTTCTTCGCATTCGCAAGCGCAGGCTGAATCATCCACGTCCACCTCCGCCTCCGCTACCGCGGCACCCTCAGCGCCCAGTGCGGATATGCAGCCCCCATCAAAGGTATATCCGGCGATCACCATAGAGTTCTGCGACCGGTGTAGATGGTGCGTGTCCTACTGCAGTCGCTCACATACTGATCAAGGGCTGAGCGCTGAGCTGAGGATATACAGGGCACCCCGAGCGACCTGGATCCAGACTGAACTGTTCTTGACGTTCCCCACGCCGACTATACAGTCTATCACGCTTATACCGCTGAAAGCGGAAGAGACGGGTGGGAGGTTTAGGGTCTGGTTGGATTTGGGGGATCGGGTGGAGATGGTCTGGGATAGAAAGGTGGGTTACTCTTTCATACACTTGATCGAGGGGTTGACGGGCAACCGCAATCGCTATGGTCTCGCATCGTGCTGAGTCGGCGCTGACGCTACAGACTGAAGGCGGCTTCCCAGAGCTCAAAATCCTCAAGCAGAAAATAAGAAATCTCGTTTCGCCAGATATGGGCCTAGGGCACTCCGATAAGGCCGGAGCGAATGGACATGGGGCTGTGACTATCCCAAAAGCGGGGGAGGAGGTGGCTGACAAGGCGGAGGTCAAGGCGGTAGATGCAGGTCAGGGATGAGCGTGAGCCGCGCGGGAGGACAAGCATTGAGGGGAAGATTGGTTCATGAGGGGTCGAGGGATTGGTATTGGTCTCAGACTGTATCAATAGTATCTACCTGTCGAATCTTCACTTGTCCCATAGCGCCCGATCTGAGCTGGCGCTGAGCTGCCTGCCCAAATCTTTCTATGCTCGCGCTCTCCCTCTCCCCCTCCCCGGCTGCAGCTCGCCCGGCGACCTTACGGCATCGGAATCCAGACCTCGTTCGCCCGCGTTGTTCTCGACTTTGACTCTTGGGCATTCGCAAAGTCGCAACGATCGCAACCTTTCATTCTATCGTACACCTCCACACACATCTCCACTCTACAGCTCAGGGAGAGCCACGCCACGAACGTCTTTGTCGAAGAGGAGTCGTCCGAAGCGCTTCCGCCGAAAGCTATCGCGAGCTTGACGACGCGAACAAGCTTCCGGGCTTCTTTCGGCTGAACGGATTGCTTGATCAGCACCACTTCACGGCGGCAGAGTGCGGTCAACGGCTGGACATAGCTCTCATCTCGGTTAAGGAAGACTTTCGTTCGGCTCGTTATCGCTTGGGCAGCTGGACAGCCAAAAGCTGGACCGCGGGCGTCAGCGGAGAGGACACACACATACCTCGCTTTGGGGTATCAAAGGCGTGTGGGGCGCTTCTCTCGTCTACAGGTTGCGACGAGCCAGTAAGCTGCAGGTAGGTGAGCTACTGTTCTCAAAGTGCCGACCACGATCAAGCTGACATATGCAGTATCATCGCTCTGACCAGAGCTCTCGGCCTCAACGTTGATCAATCCCCTTGACCGCCATGTCCTCCTCCACCTCCCCATCCCGCTCGGACGTCCACCTCGCCGTCACTCCCTCCGACATGCCGACTGCCTCAACCTCCCGCCCAGCATCACCGGGAGGTGATGGTATCGATCCCGAATCTGGCACTGGAACGGGTACGGTATCGCGCTGGAAGAGCGTGTTTCGGATGGGAAAGGGGAGTCAGCGGGCCAAGGAAGGAAATGGGCGGGGGACGATACTAGGGCAGGGGCAGGGGCAGCAGGATGGGCTGTTCGCTAGGACTGGAGAAGAGGAGCAGGGCGCGCAAGTGGGCGTGGACGCGGAAGAAGGCAATGGAAACGGAAATGGGAACGGAGTATCGCCGATCAACCCGAACCTCCTCTCTCCGTCCCTGGGGAGCTCAACTTCTGCGGCCCCGTCATCTTCGCCTACTCGGCTCTCCGCTCCAGTACCCCACTCTCCTGATGTCGGAGCTGGTGCTGTCAGCTCCGGATCCAGCCCAAACGTCCACCTCTCCCCCGTCGTCCTTCCTCTGACGAGCACCGGCCCCTCTCCAGGCCCCACTTCCGCCTCCGCGTCCACATCCACATCTGACGACCAACGCCCCTACGCCCATTCCGCATACACCTCGGACTCACGGGACCGCTCCTCCTCCCACTCCTCTTCCTCTCGCCAACCACCGTCCCATCATGCCTCTGCGCCCGGCGCGGCCCCTTCCGGCTCGTCCACGCCACACCGCTCTCCCGGCCCATCGGGGATGCTCGGTCTCGGCGGCTTCAAATCCCGTTTCTTCTCCTCCCCCAATCCCTCCACTTCCACTTCCAGCTCCAGTGGCGGCGGCGGCGGACCCTCGGAACGGGACCGAGGCAAGAAGGAAAAGTACAAGGGTCTCGGAAGAGTCGCTAGAGTCCCCACGGGCTCCAGTGGTCGATCTGGCTCAAGCTCCACTTCTTCCTTCTCCGCTTCGGCGTCGACATCGGCGGCCGGCGCGACATATACCCAACCATCACCGGCGCCTATGACACCCGCCAAGACGCCCCGGCCGCGCGTCGACAAGAGCACCGGGAGCAGCTCGCCCGAGAAGAAGGGGTCCGCCGCGGCTCGCTTTCTGCGGAGGGTCGCTTCGGCTCCCAACGCAAAAGCGCTCTTTGGGAGTGGGAAAGGCGGGGAAAGAGAAGCTGTACCGGATATCCCACCGTTACCTTTACCAGCGACAGCGACAGCAATGTCCGCCTCTCCAACCAAAAGCAAACAATCTACACTGTCCCCGTCGCCCCATCTGGTCATTACGGACGCCGTACCCGATGCCAATGCCGATATCGACCTGTCATTGTCTGAATCACCCACCAAGACGCCCAAATCCTTGAGCGGCAGCCTGAAAGGACGCTCTACGTCTAATCGCGGATCACCACGGACGTCCCCCTTGCCCAGTCCGAGACCGAGTCCGGGGCTCGCTTCCCCTTTAGGGACGGACTCGCCATTCGTTCCTACCGGATCAAACACGCTGTCGCCAGGGACACCCGTACCCGGTCGGAACCGGGCCTTGACGGCAGGCTCGGCCTCGGTGTCAGGTACGCCTGCGCGGGTCAAGGAGATGCAGGGTTTGGGACTGGGATCGCCTATACCTACCCCGGGTCAGAGTCCGGGTTCGGTGGAGGCCGCGCCGGGAGGAGGGAGTCGGGATAGTCATCATAAACAGGTGTTTAGGCGGACGTACAGTTCCAACTCTATCAAGACGCGATCGGTGAGTTGATCAACTCAGTGCAATAGGTGGTGGTGGTGATGAGGGATGGGGATGAAAGGCTGACGCGCGCAGGTCGAGGTCACGCCGAGCTCATTCCAGAAGATCAAGCTGCTAGGGAAGGGAGATGTGGGCAAGGTGTATCTGGTGAGGGAGAAAAAGACCGACAAGCTGTATGCGATGAAGGGTGAGTTTGTTTCACCTGGATTTGCGCATCTCTCCAGCTCTCGACGTCTCCTCATCGTCATCATCTTTCCCCCGGCAGGATCCACCCCCCATCTTCCTCTCTGGTCTACCACCAGAGTCTCACTGCCTCCATACTTCGGTCACATCTGGATCAATCGCTAATTCCCCAGTCCTCTCTAAAAAGGAAATGATCAAGCGCAACAAGATCAAGCGCGCGCTAGCCGAACAAGAAATCCTCGCCACCTCCAACCACCCCTTCATCGTCACCCTCTTCCACTCGTTCCAATCCCCCGACTATCTCTTCTTCGTGCTCGACTATTGTATGGGCGGCGAGTTCTTCCGGGCGCTCCAGACGCGACCGGGCAAGTGTCTGTCCGAGGAACACGCCAAGTTTTACGCGGCGGAGGTCATTGCCGCGTTGGAGTATTTGCATTTGAATGGGTATATCTATCGGGATTTGAAACCTGAGAGTGAGTCTGAGTCCGGGGCAAGCGGCACGCGGAGGGAAGGATTAGGGAGGGTGGGAGCAGGGGGAAGAGAGGAGTAAGGGCGCATGAGAGCTTGAGGAGTCGGGAGGTTAAAGGCGCCAGACGGGAGCGAGGAGAGGGGAAAGGCAAGGGAATTGAGCTGACTAGCAGATATACTACTGCATCAGTCGGGACATATCATGTTGTCGGATTTCGACCTGAGTAAGCAGTCGGGAGAGCCAGGAGGGGCGCCAGCGACCATCAAGCAGAATGGGCCGAACGGTGTGAGTTGCGCTGCTCTCGTATTGCGTTGTCGAGGGCCGTCAAGCTGACAATGATAGACAATTATGGTGGACACAAGATCGTGCATTGCGGACTTTAGAACCAACTCGTTTGTCGGTACGGAAGGTGAGCTCCATCTTCGCTGTACCTTGGGATCCGAAGTGAAAGAAGCTGACGAGAGCCAGAGTACATCGCGCCTGAGGTCATCAAGGGCAACGGCCATACTTCTGCTGTGGACTGGTGGACGCTCGGTATCCTCGTCTACGAGATGATCGTGAGCTATGTGACACACATGTGTTGTATTTAGCTGACTCTCAGTTCGCCACTACTCCGTTCAAGGGCCCAAACCGGAATGCCACCTTCGCCAATGTGCTCAAGAACGAAGTGACTTTCCCCGATTCCGCCCCAGTGACAAGGTGAGCTACAAGCTTCTTGGTGGGGCTCATTTGAGGTCCAAGCTCACCTGTCAGCTTTTGCAAGTCCGCCATCCGCAAGCTGTTGATCAAGGATGAACACCGGCGACTTGGGTCCAGCTCCGGCGCTAGCGAAGTCAAGCAACACAAGTGGTTCAACAACATCAGCTGGGGATTGCTACGGCATATGACACCTCCTGTACGTCTTCTCCACCCCTTAATTTTCCTTGTATCCTCAGCTGATATCCAAGATCATACCCGCCGAATCAAACGGTATTGACGCCATCAACTTCCGTACCCTGCGCGACTCCAAATCGATGGATTTCGAACGCCATTCGACCTCGGCCGAAGCGCTTGGTGATCTTATTCATGCCCAGGCGGGCTCGCCGAGCGTCATGGCCCCGGGAACGCCGGGGATGTTGACGCCGAGAGAGCTTGTGGGGGAGGGTGTGAGCGCGGGTTCGGGAGGGCAAGGATCGGGAGGCGGGGCAGGAGGAGGCGGGCTGGAGGCGGAAGTCAATCCGTTTGGGGAGTTTAGTAGTGTCACGAGAGATGTGGGGGATTGGTAGCTGTAGCTATGTAGAGCTTTTACCAGGGGTCATCGAGCTGGGCGTCTTAGCTGTACGCCGTGCGGCCGGAAGGGCTGTACATAGTACACGCAGGTTGTGATCAGTCGCTGAGGAATGTTGAATTTTGATCCCGCCTGCCAGGTGTTGCTGCCTCTGCTCGGCTCAACGCGTCTTTCCAGTCCAACATCCATCCTACCTTGACCAGTTGATCAATAGAGCCGCCCGCCTTCACGCCAGAATGGTGAGTGCCTAGGGATCTCTACATTAAGCCGACTGGAAATTACCAGGCCGCGACCGCTGGGCTCCAGCTAACATAACAGTCCAACCTCTCCCTCTACACAATAACCGCCCTCCTCATCCTCGATACGGATGGCCAGCGTGTACTCGCCAAATACTACGCACCCCCTCATCAAGAGCATGCGGGCCAGGGGCTGGTGGCGGATCTGAATGTGGGACCAGGGGGACCGGGGATGACTGGGTTGACGGGGACGAAGGAGCAAAAGGTGTTTGAGAAGGGGGTGATGGAGAAGATTAAGCGGGGCGGAGGTGAGTCTTTAAGCGATCAGAAAGAGGGAGGAGGAAATGGATAGGTGGGGAGATGCGGCGGGGTAAGGGAGTGGGAGAGACAGGGTGAGGCGGACTGGCGAGGCGCGAGGATCTGGACGGATTGAGAGGAATGACGGCCCAGCCTGTGCGGGAGTGGGGGCTGCGCTTGGGAGTAGCGGCTCCTCTGTGGCCATTCTACAGAATCTCTTGCGAGCTGCAGATCTTGACAGATAGGACGTACCCGCTGACTCCTAGGTGATATCCACCCCTTACCTCCCCACCTAATCCTCACCAAAACATCCACCGACCTCCACTTCATCCTCGTCGGCCCCTTATCAACATCCAACGAGCTTATGCTCCAACTCACCCTCAATGCCTTCCACGACGCCGTCTCTTTGCTCCTCCGCGGACAGATCGAGAAGCGGAATGTACTGGAGGGGCTGGACCTGGTATTGCTCGCAGCGGACGAGACGGTCGATGATGGGTATGTCCCGTCACTCAAAGCAGGGCTGACGACAGAATCATCCTCGAGACGGATGCAGCGGCGATCGCGTCGAGAGTGTCCAGACCAAAGGCTGATACGACCGATATAGTCATCAACGAGCAGACACTTCTCAGCGCATGTAAGTTGCTCCTTCAAGGTGAGGGTCGGCGCTAATGACAGATTCGACAATGAAGGAGCGCATCACACAGCGGATCGGTCAACTGTAGATTGTATAAGATGCTACGAATAGATACAACTAACTACTCTTCTTCGCACTACGCTGCCGTCTATGGAACATGACTAACGCTACGACCTTGGTATACTTTCTATTCAGCCTAAACAATACCGCCCTCGGCGTCGTCTTCTTGACCTCCCCATCCACGTCCCTAATCGGCGCCCCTCCAAACCTCGGCAAAGCCACTTCCCCCGCCCCTTCCTCCGCGTCCGCGTCCTCCTCGCTGCCCCCCAGCGCCATCCACGCCCCTCTATTCAGATCCTGAAGCTGACTATACGCGTGCTCCAGGACCGACAAGGTAAGGAGGGACGGTCTCCAGAGCACATCGCTAGGCCGCCAGTGCCGTAGAACGCCCGAGTCGATGGACCCTCGGGCGCGGGACGGATCCGTAAGGAGTGCGCCCACGCTGTACCGCTCTTCATGCCGCCGATTGTTGGTCCGCGCGGGAGGCGAAGTTGGGACGTCCTCAACCGCCGGGGCTTCCTCTGGCGGGGGTAACAAGCCAAACGCCGTCTCCCGCATAGCCACCACCCGCCGCTTTTTGATCTCTTCCCACCTCGGCAACAGGATGTTCTCGACGATGGAGAACGCCCGATCGACATCTCCCGTCCGCGCCAGAGCGGTAGCGTAGTGATTATAGTTCTGGGCGTCAAAGCCGAATCCCGCCTTTTGGACGGAATCCCATACCCGCCGGACGTCCAGGTATCGGCCGGCCGAAGCGAGCGCATCGAGCACGATGGAGAGAGGCATGCAGAGAAGATTGTCCCGCGCCCGGGAGGTGGGTTTACCGCCGAGAAGATCGGAAGCGGTCTGTCGCGAGGTGACGCACGCAAGCTCGAACGCCTTCTCCCAGATGGCCATGACTGAGTCGGTCCGTCCCGCTTGGCGATACGCGTCCATAAGCCGCGTATAGAGCGGAAGGGTAGGTTCCTCCGCCGCTAGCTCCAGGTACTCTTCTGCCCGCCCGAGCTGTCCTGACGCGCCCGACATGGACACCAATGGGCCGTACATGTTCTCCCTGGCCGCTGCGCGTCCTCGCGCCGCCCCGCGGATATGCCACGCAGTAGTGTCGAGCGACTCGGCAAACTGCGTGGCCTGCTCCAACCCGCTAGATCCCTCGATCTTCTTAAACGCCCCCATGATCATCCCGTACGTCACGCTAGACGGGATAATCCCCCTTTCCAGCATGTCGTCGTATGTCTCCCGAGCTTCCCTCCGGCGTCCGGTCCGCATGTACCCGTGAAGGAGGATGGAAAAGTGGTACACCGAAGGTTGCGGCGCCCGGCTCGACGCTGCCGCGGCGTCGTCCATCTCGGAGAGGAGCTGGTAGGCCAGGGGGATCTCGTCATTGTCCACCGCCGACTGCATGGCGAGCGACCAGAGGTATGACGTTGGCCGCTCGATCCGCCGGAAGATCTCTATCACCCGTTGCGTAGGGATTGAGAGCAGGATGTACGCCTTGAGAATAACGCTGACCACGTCTGGGACGTTTTGAAGGTGATTGGGTATTCCGTCCCACCGCTTCGCTGCCTCCAACCATTCCCCAGCTTCCACCTCGGCATTGAGTACCGCGCTGTACGCAGACGCGTCCGGCCGGATCCCGCTATCCTCCATCAACCCAAAGACGTTCCGCGCATTTTCCGCATCCCGCGTATTGGCAAACAGCGCAATGAGCGACGTGTACGAGGCGATATTGGGAGTGAGACCAAAGTCGGCCATGCCGTCAAACAGCTCGACCGCAGGGTCCGCATTGACGTTGGCGGCGTACATGCCGAGCATCTTGTTGACGATAGTGACGGAAGGACGGACCGCCATGAGCTTGTCAAAGACATCACGGGCGGAGGGAATGTCATTGGCGGCAATGTGGGCAGTGAGGAGGAGGGATAGGGCGTCGGGATGGTCCACCCATCCGAAAAATTGGCGGAGCTGGGTGTCGGCGACTTCTGGATTGTGGAGCTCGAGAGTCCGCCGGAGAAAGTTGGTCTTGTCCCGAGAGGTGGGATCGAACCGCTTTGTCAGGACACTCCACGTCCGGCGGACCTCGAGGACGTCAAAGTTGCGCGATGCGTGCTCGAGGACCGCCGAGAGGGCCGAATGGGGGAGGGAGGCGAGATCGGTCTGGAGGTGCTGAACGACACGGGCGGCGCCGTCGTGATCAGCAGCTGCTGTCATGGCGGACAGAAGCTTGACTGCGACGCCGCTAGGAAGGGGGAGTTGCTCGTCCGTGATGAGGTGGAACAGTTCGCCGCAGCGGTCGAGATGGCTGATGTCTCTGGATAGAGCGGCGAGAAGCACCGCTCCCATCCATCGAGTATCCCGATTACTCCCGTCCAGCCGTCCCTCTAGCCATCCCGCCGGATCTGGCACCTCCTGCAGCGCCCCCAGCCATATCCTCACCATCCTCGCGTCACCCTTCCGCAAAGCGCGTGACTCACTCCCGCTGAGAAGCAGGGTCCGAAGCGGTCCCCCGACGCTCACCGCCACATCCAGCAGCTCGACCACCTTTCCATCCTGTCGATATGCGTTGACAAGCTGGTCCAGCATGTCCAAAGACAGGTCTGACCGGACCTCCGCCCTGGCTGAGCCAACCATCTGCCGCACGCCAGCGCCGAGTGGCCGACCGGCGTCCGCCCAACTCCCTAAGTCCACCCATGCCATTGCCTGGACCATCGCCGCAAGGACGCCACCCCTGGTCTTGCTGCGCTTGATGTCCCCCAGCAGAGCATTTGCCTCCCTCTTCTGCCCCAGCCGAGCCATCGCGTACCCCCGGATGGACTGCGCGAGGGGCACGAGCCCCTGTTCCAGCTCCGCCACGCTCTTCAAAGCCAGCACATTCCCCAGCTGACCAGCCAGCCATGCCCATGTGGACGGTTCCGCCTGATCCAGCCAGATCGGCCAGACCGCCTCGAGCGTCGAAACCCGGGCTAGGTGGCAGGGGACGCTTTTGGACGCTTCGAATTCCGCGCGGATGTCAGATGGAGTGGGGTTGGATTGCAAGAGGAGCTGCAGGGAGTGGGGCAGTTGGGTCCACTCCGGCGGTTCGAGAACGGGCTGGAATGGCTGACGCGCGGTGGATGGAGGGTGGTGGATGATGGGGTCTTGAGGAGCCGAATGGTATTCCGGCTCGGCCAGAGCATATGCAGCGGCTCCGTAGGACCGACTTGCAGAGGCGTCGGCTGTCATTCGTACCTGCCTCATCTGCTGCAGGAGTCAGCCAGCACCTCCTATCCATGGAGCTCAGACTTACCTTCAGAGCAGCAGTGTTCGACCGCTGAGGCTTTGCAGAGAGCGACAAGCTGCGGGTTGCCCATATCGCTCCCGCCTTGGACGTCGAGGGCAGTCCAAGGGAGGCATCGCGGACGAGGCGAAGTAGGTGGTGGCCGCCCGCAGACCTCAATGAGGGGAGGCGAGGGGCGGACATGGGGATCGGCGCTAAAAGAAGGGTGTGAGTGGATGGTCTGAGGGATTTCCGAGCTTGAAATTGCGGGAAGGAGATAAAATCGATGGATGCGCCTCTGGTGCTAGTGTATAGGAGAGCTCGAGCTGATGCGGAGCCCGCTGTGGAGCTGTTGAAAGGTACAAAGACAAAGGTGACGATGGCCAGAAACCAAGTTCACAAAGATCGACAATTTAGATTCCGTCTCCGTCAATGGCGTCCACGTGTGGCACTGCAGATGGTGGGTGGCGAAGAGATACTGGGGTTGATGCAAGTGTGCTTGATCTGATAAGGCGAGCCGTACCTGCCCGTGGTCTGCAAACAGCGCACTCCCTGTTTGAGCGGTAGCGACTGGTAAAGAAAACAGAAATTGTCCATTGCCAATGTAAGTGAAGATACCTAGTTAAACCAGAGAAGAGTCCTCCAAGCACTCCCACCACCCATCCCAGCAACGCGCCTTGTACAGCGCTATGCTTATCCCCAGCTCAAAAGGCAACGCACTTGCCCTTTGAACATGTCATACGTCCAAGAGCTGAACCACGTATGGCGGAGCAGCTAATCATGTTGTCAGCTCATGATATACCGACGGCAAGCAGATCGAACTCACTCTTGACCTTTGGAGATATCTTCGTCGGCGTTGAAGTCTCCGTGCATACAGCCGCCACAAGATTCGAGCTCGCTCGCAACATCTATACACTGGATTCGTCAGCAGCAGCTCGTGATACGGGTGTCAGGTGCTCACTTCATACCCTGACGTGCCCTGGATCTTACACGCACGCAGACCTTTTGGACAGAAGGCCTGCTCCCGCATCGCTGCCTGATACATGCGCTCGCGCAGACGACGTCTGACCATCCCCCCAGCGCTCGGCCCGAGGTTGGTGTTGGCGTTGGCGCGATTGTAGACGTGATATCGACCTGACGCGCATACCGTACGTTGGGACTCGTCTACGGCCTTCGCCTGATTGTGGCTGGCGCACCGGCAAAAGTAGTTGCTGAGATCGATCGAGATTCGGGTAGCGCCGGGGCATCTTTGGAAGCATTGCTCGACTCCCTGAGTAGAGCCGATGAAGAGCGATGAAGAGCAAGTTGCTGTCCGAATTGCTGGCCTGTGGTTCAGAGTAACATCCGATGGAAGAGTAGGTGGATTTCGAAACAGAAAACTAGGCGAGGGAGTCAGCATGTTTGGGCGTGACAGAGACCTCTGTAATAGGCGGTACGTACTGACAGCTGTGACGCATCACATTGACCGGACGTTTCCGAGGCAGTGCTTCCCCCTGCTGTCCTGACGGCGCTTGTGGGTGGGATGGTGTTGCTGCACAGGCATTTGAGCGCGCCGCCAGAGTCGCCAAAGAACGAGTATGTGTACGAGTCGGCGAAACATGCAGCCTGAGTCTTCAGCTAACGATAGTGTCGACACGGGCGATAACTCACCGCACAGTCGACAGCGGAGACGATCCCCTTCGCTCCGACATTCTCTGTAAAGGCGGAGGTAGGCTGGTAGCTGGCATCGACGCAGCCAACGTACGCGGATTGTCCATTGCCTCCGCTGTATGCGATGGCCGAGCTTAGACTGGCAATGGCGAAGGGCAAGTAGGATAGAACGAACATTGTCCTGGATATCGTATCGAGGTGGGGGGAGAGAGGATTTGTTGTGGATGCGGATGAGGGATGGAGATGACTCCTCCATATATATCTCGCTTTCTACCCATCTCCGAGATGGCCGGCGTAGCGTGAGAGCCTCAGCCGGCGCAAGGAAAAGTGACAGAGCTTGACCTGCCTATCTTGGAGTTGACGCTCGAGTTCGGCTCAATTGATGGACGATCAGTACGTACGCTTTATCAGGGATCTACCTGAGTGAGTGGATCCGCCGATCCGCCTCCGGTCCGGACGCCGTTCGGTTCCAGATATTACGCGAGGAACCCTGAGATCCGGTGCCTATGTATACCGCAACTATCGGTATTTGAGGGGTAGCGCTGAAGCAATGAGTAACGAGTGGGGCAATGTTGCATCACACCACCACGCCAGATAAGACAAGATAGGGAAATAGAGCCGCGGCGGCACGAGCGAGGCAGCTGAGAGATTATGATAAAGTCAGGCACGTCTAACCCTACTTATGCCATGGCAACCAGTCCGAGGAAGCGAAGTGGAAGCGCGATGTTTCAGCTGTTGTTCCGCATGGGTCACTCGTCACAAGTTCGAGAGGAGAAGACAGCCCCCTTTGCCGGCTGGAACACCCTCCGCTCTTCTCAGATCTCAAGTCAAAGGTCTGGTATACAGAACATTATGCGAGGAAATTACCAGGAGCCGAGATGTGCAAATGGCGGCCGCTGCCATGCTTGTTTCTCGAGACCGGCTTGCGCGGGCTTGTGCGGGGCGAGGACTGGCGAGGACGATGCGAGCGTTGCTTATGGAGTAGCGGCAGCTCGCTATACTCTCGCTATGCCTCGGCGCCGTGGCGCTAGGCTTCTAACGGTCAAACGGCTTCAGACGGACCCCAGAAAGCCTCACTAAGCTTAAACCGGAGCAAGATAGACCGAGCTTTTAGCGATTTTAAGCCTTAACCAGTCCTTAACCCTTCGAGGGCTGCTCGGCCCCGATGCGATAGGCACGGCGTCAGGGAATGCAACGTTAGGCCGAGCTGCCTGATCCGGGATTCCAATCCACGGTCTGAGTCCTCTGCATCCGCCAGCTGACAGCGCAGGAGTCAGGTACAGCACGATCAGCGTTACATACATGCAAAATTCCTTGCTCGCAGGCCAACCGAGAAGGTACATAGTCGACTTGATCTAATTTGAACAACTTTGAAATCCGCGGGCCGGACACACGAGACATACCGCCGGCCTTGCTCGGATTGACCACTTAAGCTGACATGAATCAGCCCGGACCACACTGAAGTTAGATAGTACTCACAAAGATAACGGAAGTGCAAGTTCTGCTTGTCGGTGACGTCCTCGTAAGTAGTGACGTTGGGGTCGTATCGCTCATCACCATCGGCAAAGAGCTTGTCGCGGCGTTTGTTGGGGATGGTGAAGGTGAGACGCAAAGCGAGAATGACGAGGATCTCGGCGATACGGGAGATCATGCAGACGATGATGCCGGTGGTGTAGCGTGGTGCCTCTATATGGTTAGCGTGATCTCTTTAGGCAGGGGTGTCACATACCAGCTTCGAAGAACGCGTACGGCCCGACAATATTGCCGACTCCAACACCGACAACTATGAGATCAGCTTGGTTCTGCTACCAGCAGCAACAGACTCACAGATGATAGCGGAGAGGAGGAGCTTCTTGGTGTTGCCGCCAGTGTTTCCGGTGACGATGGACAGACTGAGCGAGAAGACAGCGTTGGAAGCACCGGTAAAGTCTATCATCAGCTGACGTCCCTCGCAAAGACTCACAGTAACCAAGCAGCTTGGTCCCCTGGTTCTGCCCATACGCCATCATGGCAAAGCCGAACACCGGGATACAAGTCACCGCGGCCATGAGGTATGTCCGGATATTGTACTTGGCGGTCTTGTGATTGATCCAGATAGCGGCGACGATGAACAGAGTCTGGCTGAGACCATACGGGATCTGGAGGAGGGTGGTGTTGAGCGTGTTGAAGCCAAAGCCGCGGGTCATGAGGGTACCAAAGTTCGATGTTCCGCCGTTGGGGATATTGGCAGTGAGACCGAGGAGGAAGTAGCTATCCGTCAGCGGGGCCAAAGCGCGAAACGTACAGGTAGGTCTTGACATCCAGAGCAGTCTCCTTGACTTGGTCCCACTTGGTCTGACGCTTGTCGACAGCGTGGTAGTCGGCCCGCTTGCGCGACATGATGACGATCTTTTCCTCCCGGGTGAAGCGCTTGGTGCTGTAGGGCGAGTCGGGAATGATGAAGCCCATGACGATACCCCAGACAGCGCAGGCGACACTGGCAGTCAGCACTTAGTACTCGCAAAAGGGAATATACTTACCCGATGATGATAAACTCGTAGCGCCATGCGGGGATGGAAGCTTTGATCTGCCCAATACCGTAGCCGATCATCCCGCCCAGCCCGATTCCGATACCCTGCGAGGCGTACCAGCACCCAGTAACGATAGGCTGCTGGTTACGTGTGAACCACATAGCAGTGATGGCCACTGAGAGGTCAGCAGATGTCGAAAGGTGGACTCACTGAACCCAGGCTTGGCGACCGCTTCGAAAGCACCAGAGACGATACGGAGAATGAGCATGTCCTTAAAGTCCTTAGCACCGCCCTGGGCAATGAGGAAGGCACCCCAGAGGAAGATCTGATCATCAGCTTAGCACGAAGTGGGAACCTAGCATGACTCACATTGACGGCGAGGTACTTGGACAGGGGGAACTTGGCCATGAGGAGGTTACCGGGGATGGCCCAGACGAGCCAACCGACGTAGAAGATGGAGGAGAGGGTTGAGTATTGGGTGCCCTTGAGCCCGAGGTCCTCTCTGATACCGAAGAGAGCGGCATAAGATAGAGTACTGACTATCAGCTGTGACCCCCAGTCCCTCTCACGTTTTGTCGACATAGTAAAAGATGTAGTCCATGCAGAGCGCGGGGACGATGAGCCAGAACAACTTCTTTTCAAGCTGCACGTCAGCATTGACCTCCAATCGTGGCGAAAGACTTACACGTCGTACTTGAACAGGATCAAGCTCCTCCTGGTCCTTCTTCGCGACATCCCTGATGAACTCGTAGCTCGGGTTCCGCCTCAACAACTTGCGTATCCCCACCCGTGGCTGATCCTCCTGCGCATCATAGTCGACGTCAAGATCGCGCTGCTTGAGGCTGTCGGTGTCCTCCACATGCTCCGCGTGGCCCTTCTCGACCTGCTCGATGGTGTGGATGTCGGCGGTAGGCTTAGACATGGTGAGTGTGTCAGTGAGGATGTGGGGAAGAACACTGGATCTCGGGGCCCATACGGGGAAATATATACCCTCTCCACCTGCATTGCGTCGAGGGAGGAATCTGTAGGTATCCACCTCTGATAAAGCGCTAGTGCAGTGGATCAAAGTGATCTGCAGGCGGCATACCTCGCGCCAAGAGACCGGTAAAGGCGCCAAGAAATATCCATTTGCAACCTGAAGTGGGGAGTTGGGCGGCCCGGCACAGAGATCCACCCCGCCAGGTGGGTCAGCCTTCACGTGTGAGTCGATGAGATGCAGAGATGGCCCTGACTTCTGGAGTGAGCGTCGAGTATGATGTCAAATGAAAGGCTGTCAACAGTCACAGGCAGAGGATCTGGGTCCTCCCTCTGCTTCCGTCGGAAGATACCAGATCCGGATTTCCACATCGATCCGGGCTGGCGCTCCTCCTCCTTGATCCCTGTGTGACAGAACAGCCCCGTCGCAATCATATGTGCGAGTGGACTCATCACGGATCCGCCATTGAGTTCATTGCGGTCAGAGTTGTAGCGAGTGCATCGGCCTTAATATTGTAGGGGCTGTAAGACCGGGATCGCTGGGGAAATTTGTGGGATTCCCGACGAGGAATGAGTCGCACTCTTTTACGGCATGGATCCTTGTGGCAGTCTGTCCGCCCTAGCGGAGCAGCGTAAATCACGTTCCTGTGCCAGATCTGCGTGCGAAGGCATCTTGCGAGTCGACAGCTGCTGCGGTAAGATCTAACTACTCTCGTGAAGACCAGTGGGGCCGCTTGGGCAGGAGCCCACTCGGTACGGCGCCTGAGGCCTGAACAGTAGAGAGGGAACATAATAAGGCGCCTCAAATATCCACGTGTCATCCGGATCACCACTAGATGTACAGGAAAGCTCACGGCAGCGAAACAAGCGAATGATGACAATCCGGCTGCATGTGTGATCATATGATATGACAGGGTATGCAGCGACGCCGCGTATCACTCGCTGTTGACAGCCTCCAGCTTACGCCGCGCAATCTCCAGTAGCCGATACATCAGATCCCTCTGCATTGCGCCCAATCTCGTAGACTTCGCCTCGTCTGCATCAGTGAGAGTGGTGCCTTTGTTCTTGGCCTTGTCAATCATCCCTTGCGCAAACTCCACTTGCTCCTGACAGGCCTCAAAGTCCTGCTCATTGGTCTCGCCCTGCTGGATCTCGGTGTAGAGCTCTGTAGCAGTTGTGTAGTGATTGAGAAAACCGTCCGGGAGATTGCTGGGGTCACTCGTGGAATCAGACGGGGCTGTAGAGGACATGGTGAATGATGAGGATCGGAGGACAGGCTGTACTTGGAGGGGTCGATGAAGGATATGTTAGAGGGATGGGATTGTGTATGCTGGTGGGAATGGCTACAATATAGGGAATGGTGCTCCTGGTCGATGTAGGCTACCTATATATATGTCGAGTTGGTGTAGCTGGAGGAAACAAAGGGCTACTTTGCCAGCACGAGCTCACTTTGGACGGCCGCGATTGGAAGGCCGCCGATCGCTTAAAAGCGCAAAATCAGCGGAAGGCGTCTTGAAGCGCTGTCTGAACCTGGACTAAGCGAGCTTGAGCACGCGATACACGCCTTCCATGGTCTCGCTACAGTCCCCGACGATACATGCAGATCGCGGCGGAACCGCTGTAGATCGTCATCATGGCGTCTACGAAGGCTTTCGGGCGATGCTACTTTGGCGCGCCACAGGACAGCATATCTGCCCTCCAGCTACCCCTTCAACACAATGACAATTCTTTCTGGTGAAGGAAGGCTAGGCCTGGCATTGCAGCAGTCATACGTGCATATCTATCGAACAGCCTCGGTAAATATAAAGATCTCCATCATGAATGTCTTCCTACGATTGCCTCCCCGAAATCGACTTTGCCATCAATTCCGTCTGCAGGACCCCTAGCCGATTGTACATTCGCTTGCACAGGTCCCCAATCTCCTTGGTCAGATCATACCTGCTCTCGAAGACTAGCCCGTCGTACGATTCACGAGCCTCGTCAATGTATTTCAGGCATTCATCGATCTTGTCCGCCGTCCAGTCCTTGTCTGTGGGACAATTCTTTTGTATTGTCCGCACCTTCTTCCATGAATCCTGAAATGACTTGGTACTGGCTTTGGAGATTGCACTCTTCAGTAGCGCTCTCAAATCCTCATATAGGTCCGTACCAACGGGTGGGACCGTGGTGGAGGGGGACATTCGGACGCGAGGGTATAGGTTTGGCGCGAGCGAGAAGGACGAGGTGAGACGGAGAGGGCTTGACAACTATGGTGGGACTTCAGAAATAAGCGCTTGGCCACTACTTATATTGTCCGGAATGTCAGGCCGTCGGCCGTCTTGATCCTAGTTGCCTGCCTTCGCAAAGCACGAAGGTGACATATAGCCTTCCGTCGAAGAGTGTGGTCATTGGGCGATGCCGAATGATGTCGTCATAGTTTGACTAGAAGGCTAGTGAATTCTTGGTACGTAGGGCCATGCCAGCGGCACGGTATCCTATTCACGCTGGTCCACGTGCAATCCGATGTATGTATACATCTGTCGGGATCGACGTGATCTCGCCGTCGGTAAGGGACCAAGGGTTCTCTTTTCATAAATGAATCAGGGAGCTCAGCTATCGACCAGCCAATCACCAATATAAAGGACCAAATGACGCTACGAGCAGGACGGCTCATAGCATTGAGACTATGATCATGCAACGGCAATTGCAATCGCATTCAAATATAACCATGGTAGGGTGACTCTAATCTGAGCCATGCGGCTGATCCATCAGGGCCTCACTTATCATGATACTGGTCACGGGATGCATCAGTCTGTAAACGTCGTGAGATACCATCCGCCACTTCCGTCGTAGTTGCCGCCCTCACCTGACGGCTGAAGTTCGGCAGTCTCATTTGCAAACCCGTTCACCGATGCCGTCCGAGCGTCCACCTGCCCCGTCTTCAGCTCCTCCTGGAAGATGGTCAGCCATGTGTGGAGTTTCGCAGCCTCGCAGGACCCTGTACTGCTCCCGAAAGCGCTTTGTACTTGTCAATAGCATGCTCGATTGCCGTCCGAATCATCTTGGCATCGGGACGCGGTTCCTGGAAGTATCTCAGGCGGTGAGACCGCACCGATTTCAAGCTCTCGATAAAGCTGACAGCCTTTCGACCTTGACCGGTGCTGTCTTTCATGATGTAGTTCACGAACTCATCTGTGGATGGGATGGCGGATGACATGGTAATCTGTGAAGAACTGAGAGGTGCAAGCTGATGGAGTGGGTGGGGAAAAGATGTCATAGAGGTGGGGAATCGGCTACGCTGCGCGTCCTACAAATAGTCAGCCAGGCCCTACTCACGCTGAAAATCCGAAAGGATGACGGGTACTCAGTGCTCGAGCACGACATGCGGCCTTCACACAGATCTCTGCGACTGCAAGTATAGTACCTGTACTGTCCTTTGAGGTAGAAGGCCATAGATTGCGCCTTTGTCCTGCGATCGAGTGGAGCGCAATCGAAGGCACTGACGCGCTTCGTGTGTCAGATTTTAGGAATCTACGACTGAGCTGGCCAGCGTCCGGTCTCCCATCACAGACGACCGTCCGAGCGCAAGCTTACGAGTAGGAGGCCCGCCCGTCTGGTGGCAAAATCAGTCGCGTTAGGAGAGTGCCCAACTCCACATTCCTCAGATTTCGGCATGACTTGACTTGCACTCTCTTCCTTTCCATCCTACATATACCTTATCTTCCTCCCCTATGATCTCACGATCACTATCTGGTCCTTCGCATCTCCACCAGCGGGGCATATAGGCGAGCCAGGATGTCGCAGGATGAGTACATGAGCCAAATGAAGGCGTCTCAGGCAGGAGCGGTACGTCCCTTCCTCGCTTCTTCAACCAGGCCTTCCTTCCTTCTCCTCTTTGACCTTTTGTGCCTTTCCTCTTCGCCTCGGTACGAGATACACAGCTACGATATCCACTACGCCCATCATCGGACAGCTCTGGACATGAGCTGATCGAGCACAGACGCAGATCCTCGTAGCGCAGACAGACGATGTCCGGCCTTTTGCGCGCTTACTCCGTGGTATCGGGCTCAAGCATGTAAGTTCCGGCTTGTGATCCTCATTCGAACCGTCAACTATATACCGTCAGCTACCAGCACCACAATAGCCCGGCGAGCCGTAGTTAATACCATAGAACGCGGTCATGGTGATATCCAACGAGGGGTTCGAAATCACCGTCGAAGAAGTCAAGACTCTGTCCGGTCCGTCAACTTTTCCTTCCCCTCCTTCCCCTTTCAGCTCTTTCCATCCTTGCTTCCACCTCAAGCTGACGCCCCAGCCATAGCCTACATCCCCACCAACCTCTTCCAAACCTTCACCTACGCTCCCCCAGACGATGACGCCCCAGCCTTTGAAATCTCCCTCGACTCGCTCCTCCAATGCCTCAACATATTCGGGAATGCCGGATCGGCCGGCAGTGGGTCTGCCCTCAACAACATGGGCGGCAAGAAACAGCGTCGGTGGGCCGGCGAGGGGGAAGGGGGCGGGGATGACGATACTTCGTTTAGTAGTGGACGAGGTGGAGGGAGGGAGAGACGGACGGGGATGCGGATGACGTGGGCGGGACATGGGGAGCCGTTGAGCATGTTCCTGTGAGCTGCGCCGTGCTCACGATCTTCTGATCGGTAAGGGCTTAGCTGACTATATAGGCAGGACGACGGGAAGGGGCCGGTGACGACTTGCGAGTTGAGCACGTATCAGCCTGAAGAGATGATGGCGCAGGCGTTCGATATTGACAACCGGTAAGTCACTCATTCTGCCTGGTCTCGCCCCTCTTATGCCGTCTCTTTCCGGCCTGTTACTCTCAGATAGTACTTAAGCTGACCCTCAGCGCCGTCTACGTAATCATGAAGGTGTGTCTCCCCCTGCCTCTCCCTACCTTCACCCCTTAAATCCCCCCGGACCCCGCTGACATGCCAGTCCGAGCTGTTCCGCGACGCCCTCCTCGACCTCCCGCCCTCCTCCACCAAGATCACACTTACCGCCACCCCACCGCGCGTCGCCCTCCCAGACCACCTCGCTAACGCCACGAGCAGCTCTAACCTCCGGCGCGCACATAAAGCCGATGTAGGCAATTTAGGGATCAAGGCACAGGGCGATTTCGGCGAGACCCAGGTATGTCTTTCTCCGTCCGGGAATATCTATGTTAGAATCGCGCCGCTGCGATGGTCTTGACAATCACCAAAAGTATAGCTGATACCGATAGCTCGACTATCCAAATGAGAAGAGCGTCATGGAGACTTTCGACGTAGAGACCGAAGTCCAGTTTAGGTATGTTCAGCCCCTCTGCTCTTGTGCCTTCCGCCGGATCAAGCCAAGCTGACCAACAGCTACCACTATGCCCACTTTGCGATGCTCTCTCGCGCGCTGCAGCAGAGCGTCAAGATCGCCCTTCAGATCGAACACACCGGCTATCTGTGCTTGCAGATCATGATGCCGATTACGAAGGATTTGGGGACTGGGGTGCATATGGGTATCCTCGAGTTCAAGGTGAGTCCTCCCGCCAGGATGATCGTCCATGATTGGGTTGAGCTGATGCGTTAGATGAATGCGCTAGAGGAGGATGAAGAGTGAGCAGAAACACCGCAAGATTGAAAAAGGGGGAGACATCAATCCTATCTCGACCGGCCAATAAGGGCAATCCCAGTTGTACTATGCCACCCATCCTCCATATCAGCGTTTCCTCATCAGTACCGGTCATACTGTGTATGTATCAAAAGAGATAGATATGCTATATGCATGACAACGTAGATCCGCCGACCAGTCCGAACCGTATTTAGAGCGGGAGCAGGCCGGACAGAGAGCGCGACGAGGACGAGGCAACGACCAGAGCAGGAAGAGTGCTTCTAGTAACCGTGGCTGCAGAGTCAGCGTTGAACCGTATCGTACTACGTTTTCCAATCCCCACCACATCGTCGATCTCCCTCCACCGCCCCGCCTCTGACCGCTTTGCGCATCACGAACTCGAAACAAGACTCACATGACGATCTTATCCTTGGCCTCCTTCTCCGAGTACAGCCCGGCCTTGACCAAGAACTCCTTGACGCCCACCCTCTGGTCCCCCTGGAACTGCAACACCTGTCCGAAATCCGCCTTGCCCGCCGCGCCGCTCTTGGGCTTGGCGGACGCCGCCGCCGACTGCGCCGTCTCGCCCTCGCCCCCAGCGGCCGCCGCGTCGTCCTCGTCCTCTGAGTCGGCCGAGGAGACGACCGTGCCGTTGCACGCGAATTCCTTCTTCATGGCCTTGAGGAGCTTCTTGGGGTCATACTTCTCCGGCAGGCCCTGGACGGTCGTGAGCGTTTTTCGGCCATTTCGCTGCTGGAGACCTGAAGGATCAGCTGCTTGTGCCAAAGACGGATCCGGCTGAGTGAGCTCACGGATATGGATCTTGTCCGACTTGCTACCAACGCTCGACTCGAGGGAGGGCGTCCCGGGCCCAGAGGGTCCGCCAAAGGGGTCGGAAGTGTCGAAGGGGTCTGGGAATCAGCTCGAGCTCTTGAAATAGCCTCCTCTCTTCTCCTGCTGCTCTCGCTCTCTCTCAATCGCCATCCCCTGTACGCCCTCCATTCACGCGATTCTCCCAGCACGTCCTCCCGCATTCGGCTGACACCCACCAAACGAAGGCCCTAGGTTCGTGACCCCACCGCCGCCACCGCTCGAGCTGGCATTTTTCGCGCTCGACGACGCCTTGCTTTTCTTAGTGGCGTCCACTTTAGACTTGGAAGCTGATGTATCAGCTCGTGATTCCTGGTCGTGCGCGTATCTCGACCTCTGATCCACGTCCCGCTGAACGGGAAGTCGGAGAGAAAAGCTACGGAACGTACTGGTAGTGCTCATGAACTCTTGAAGACGCGTCTGGAGGGCTGTAAGAGAGAGTAAAGGGGTGAGTAGGGTAACAGGTAGAGTGGCAAGTTGACTAGGTTGGATTCACACCCAGCGACCGTCATGACAAAGGTGCGCACGCGGAGATAGCCGGCAATAGCCGAATGTGGCGATTTGATATGCCACCCACCTTTGCCTCCACCTCAAATGTTCATTGACTTGATTTTACACCTTACCCGTGATCGCCATGCCGCGGATAACAAAGAGGCAGAAGGACGCAGGCAAGGCGCCCAAAGCCCGTACCGACGCGCCATCGCGGCCGAGTCGACCAGCCGGGGGATTCGGAAAGCCAGCAGGCAAGCCGAGGTCATCCAATCACCCTGCGAACAATGGGAAAGGCAAGGGGTTCCAGGTGGGACCGGCGCATGCGCCGAAGAATGCTTACCTGGGAAAGGGTGAGCTGAGCTGCCTCGCGTATCAGCAATGGAGTGACAGCTGATAAACCAGCCAAGAAGATCAAGGCGGACCTGATTGACCGGGCAAAGATGAAGAAGTCTTATGCCAAGGTCTTGAAGCAGGAGGGAATGGAGTCAGAGCGGGTCAAGGACCGGACCAAGGTGGCCCCTACAGAGACGGGCGGAGAGTCTGGAGAAGGCGTGTCGGCCCGACCCGACAAGAGGAAGGGAAGAGACTCGGTCACACAAGGAGAAGGGGAGAAGAGGGGAGAAAGCAGTCGGTCCGCCCGCCCACCAACCTCGGCACGGCCAGCACAATCATCCCGCCCCTCTCCTTCATCCGCCACCTACACTTCCGCCCGGAAAGGTAAACAACGCGACCCCAATCCCAACTCCAACTCCCGTTCCCGCTCCTCATACCCAAACGCCACATTCGCCGACCCCTCGCATCCCTCACCTCCTAAACGTCAACGCGCATTATCCCCAATACCCATCAGCCATCCTATGCCGCTCACGGAGCTCCGGCAGCTCAAGAAGGAGGCCTTCGCGAAATATCATCCGCCCGGCGGAGGCGGCGGAGTTCGAGCCGGATCCGGCACAGGCGGAGGGGGAGGAGGAGCAAGAAGCGCCTCGGCGGCATTGGGGAAGAGTACATCAGGCTCGATGTTTGGGCGAGGGAGCGATAGTGGAGGGAAGTTTGGATTCGGGTTTGGGATAGGCGGGAAGAGCAAGAGTCAGCCGAACATGGGAGCCAAGATGGGGTTGCTGCTGGAGAGGATACAGCGGGATAGGGGGGCATGAAGCTGGGAGATGGTGGCGTGTGACGGGGTGTGGTGTAGGCTGTACAACATACCATAGGTACGTATGTCATGGTGGATCCAATCGTATAATCAATTTCTCAGAAGAGCGGAAGGGACTTGGCTTTTCGCGTCATCGGGCATGCGAGGATGACCTGTATAGAGAAGAAGCAAGAGGCAGGAGAATGTCCGAATTTTGCATTCCCAGGGTATATCTACTTCTTCTCTATGATCTTCCCCTAGCTTACACCTTTTCCACCTTGTGACCCTACTCATCCAATCAAAGCAAGACCGCCATACCCCCAGCAAGAACAGCCAGCGCCAGTACGGGCGCCATCATCCGGCCTACTCCGTCAGCTCCTCCCCCACAAGTCCAGTCAGGAGGATCACGGACTCACTAGCTCCGCTTGTCGAGTTGGCAGCAGCCGCAGCCGAGTCTACCACGCCGTCTGATGGAGAAGCGGATGTCTCAGCTCCAGAAGCAGCGGGGGACGAGCCAGCGGCGGCGACGGAAGAGGAGCCGGTCGAGTCGGAGAGTGCGACGAAGGACTTGAGGTCGGGCGCGGCGGTCCAGTTGGAGGGGAGGGTAGCGGCGACTCCGCCCCCGGGGGCGATCATAGCGGGGTTCATGGCCATCATGAGGCGGGTGTACCTGGATATCAGCTTGGCTCTCCTGTCGGGCATGAGGGGAGGAGGAGAATGGATATGGGTAGGGGAGCAAAAAGAAGAACCAAAGTACTCACATGACGTTCTCGATCGCGTTGACCTTGGTGACCTCAGGGCCGAGCATGCCGGACATGTCCATCCCTCCGCCCCACTTCCACGCCTCGGAACCCTCGCATGCCTTTTTGACGGCCGAAACGGTAGCGGAAGCTTCAGGTGACTGCTTGTCAGCTGTGTGCTCTTCCGGCTGATGGAAGAGAGGATAGAGCCAGCTCACAGATGCACCCCAGGTCGCAACCCAGCAGTCCATCCTGTCTCCGTTACATCCGCTAGAGCCGGAGCCTGCAGTAGATCCCGCACCGGCAGCGGTGGTTCGAGTAGCAGTGAGGTTGGTAGTGACGCTGGTAGTGGGAGGACTGTGCATCAGCTGTGTCCTCGTCTGCTTGCAAATCTCTCTGACACAAGTAAAGGGTCAGGACAGAACTTACTTGACGATACCAAACATGCCAGCTGTGCAGTGCGTCCCGACGGTGCAGTAGTGGAAGGTAGGCGTGGTAGCGTTGACTTTGACCATGTACTTGGCGGTCGCGTTGACTGATGGATCAGCTTCGGTCCCTCTGTGCGTGGCAGAGTTGACAAGGGAAGTGGGAAACTCACGCTTGCCAGAGTCGAATGCCTCAGCAGTCATGGACTTGTTGCATACATTCTGGCCTTGACTGAGCGTCGCCGAGTGCTATACTATCAGCTTAGATCCCCTACAAAGTCGAGGTGAGAAGAGCTTACAGGTCCGGCACCCCAGATGAACTCGAGCATATCCCCTTGCTTGGCATTGACCGAGAATGGGACTGATTGTCAGCTGGATCCTAAGCCGGATGAACGAGAAACAGAGGGGACGTACCGAATCGGAGAACACCTTGGGTAGGAGCGACGATGATGGTGTGCGTGACGGACGCGCCATTGTTCGCTGGCGGAGCTGCGGCGGCTGAAGGAGGGGGAAGTGGTGCAGCAGCCCCGCTGGTGTGAGCAGGAGGGGTTGCGGAGTGTGCGGGGGCGCCGAAGCTCGCTTGGCACATCTGCATATCAGCTTCTTCCCCGTTCGAGTCAGAGTATTGGGAATAGACAGGAAGACTCACCTGCAGACACGAGTTCAGATCCGTGACAGCCGCCATACTCCCACTCCCATACTTGACGTCCACAGCCATCGACCCGCCCGTATGCTGCGCCGGAGCCACCGCGGCCGCCGCAGTCGCCGAAGGAGCCCACGAGTTCCAGAGGATGCTGTGTTGCTTGTTGACGTCGTACGCGTTGGGGTCGACCGAAGAGGCGGCCGCAGGGGCGCCAGCGGGTGCAGGGGCGACCTGGTTGGACGCGCCGGAGCCAGAGCCGTAGTAGGAGTAGTCGTCGGTCGGTAAGGCTGACGAGGCAAGGATGAGGGAGAGAGCCGGGACGATGTGGGCGAGGACGACCATTTTGAGTGGATGGCGATGGGTTGGTAGTTGGAGGGGAGGGGATCTGTTCAACAAATGTAGTAGGTGATAGACGAAGTGTGGAAAGGCAAAGGGGCGTTCTTGTCGAAAGAACGAGAATGGGGAGTAATGGGAGCGATCAACGCTTGAGACTAGCTCAGAAAGGGGATAGGAAAGTGAAGGGTGGAAGTGAAAGATGGAGCTGGAGCTGGAGTTGAAGGTGAGTAGGACTATCATGTCGAGAGGGTTGAGGCATATATAAGTGTCGCGGGAGGGGCTTGGTGGTCGTGTTGATGACTGCGCGTCGAGTGGCTGGAGGCGAAGAGGGATGGGTCGAGGAACAGTAGTGCAGGCACAAGTGGGTAGACTTGGAGATGAGTCGCTAGAGAGACTGTTGTGAGTGTTACGAAAGGCAGGGTTGTCAGTGAGTTTGGTAGTGAAGGTGACGCGGGAGGTCGCCCTTGACAACCAACGCGTCCGAGCGCATCAAAAAAGCAGCTTGGGTTGTCCAGGTGATCTTGAGCAGCGATCGGGGCGCCATTGAGGCCATGTCCTAAGACTCGTGCGGAATATAGGGCTGATCAGCTCAGGACGAAGTCGAAACTAAGCGTTCGTGATCGTGAGGGCGAAGATCATAGCGCGTATTTCGACTACCTTTCTGCAAGCATTGTTGGGCTCGTGGGACTGAGCTGCCAGTCAGTCCCCAATGCTCAGACTCAGGCGAGCTTTATGATCAATCAAAGTGAAGAGTCCCTCACTCTAGGTATAAAAAATCGATCTGTCAGCTCAAACATGGCAGCTGAAGCTAAACCCAAGCCTGGAGTTACGTCATGAGGAATGCGGTGCGGTCGACCTTCGGAGATAATCTGTCGGCCGCAAGTTGGCCGCCTGCAAGCCGCCTGCCTTCTGATCTGTACTTGTGCAGGGTTTCTGGGTCGTCGATAGATTAACGCTATCAGAACATACATACTACACTTCAGACGCAAGGGCGTACAGTAAGACAGTCTCTCGCCACCTCCGGCCCATCGCGATCGGCGATTCTGCCGCTCTCTCCTCACATGTCTTTCACTCATCCTCAACCATGGGAAGTCGCGCCACAACATAGTCAAACTCCTCCTGAGTGAGCGAGACGCGAGGCACTCCCAGCGCGCCGGACCATTTGGGGATCGTACGCTTTCCGCGGGCTGTGTCTTGCGCCTCCGCCTGACTCTGCTGAGCTTCCGCAGCGCCTGTGGTAGACGCAACATCGACATCCGCAGCAGACGAGGCAGCATTGAGGCTTGTCGTAGTCGCACGGAGTTGAAACGCCGCCACCTTGAGCTTCTCAGCCGCGGTCGCGTCCGCGAGAGTCTCCCCATCGACCCAGGTCCGAGCTTTGGTTCGACAACCCTTCACGCTCGCCAGCGGCCCCTCGATCAGGTCCTGAAACCAGGCTCTCACTGCATCCTCATTATCCGACTCCGCTCCGATCTTCGCGATCAAAGGTTCTGCCACTGTGAGATATTCTGTGAGCGTCTGACTGTCGATGCCAGTGCCTGCGACATAGCCAACCTTGAGCTTGTCGGTACGTTTCGTACACGTGGTATCGATTCGGCAAAGCAGAGTCACCAATCGGTGATAGTCCTCGTCTTCGGCAGTAGACATGGTCGTGGGAGTCGTATACAGTAAAATGGGGACTCGATGAGTTTGGAACGGATGTTGGCAGCTCGATGGGATGATGGAGAAGTAGACGAATAGACGGAGGGGGATATCCATGGGCGCTGTTATATATCCCGACGGACCGAGCACAGAGCGCAGTCTGAATCTGACACGCGATACGCCATGCTCAAAGGTAGCCGCCAAATAGCATCGCAATCTAACCACACGTGTAGCAGCTCGCTCCTTTCTACCCTTACCCTTGCAGCGACCGAGCCCTTCCCTTTGTCGGCGCCATCAGCTGCGTGTACAATGTACTCGTATGTATCTCGCAACGTCTCAGATCTTGGAAGAGGATAGGTATCGTTATTTGCACGCACTGTCAAACGATCTTTCCAGCAACTTTGCGGTAACACGGAAAACAGATCTGGCTTTCCCAGATGGGCCGCAAGCCAATGTATCCCAGTTCTCCGTAGCATCGTGGAGCGACTGCCCCCTGTATGACACTGATGATCTTCGTGTATTCCAAACATAGAACTATTCCTCATTTATACCATCAGCATGGTTTATTATACAGTCTTCTATCTCTACCGTCTTTCATTATAATGCTGATTTCGCTCGGACTCAGATCAATACGCTGTTCGGCCAGTCTTTACCGTTTTGATCAGCCCCGCCTACAAAGTCAGCCGATCAATCGCGTAATACGAGTAGCTGTCATGGACTCACATCTGCCAGCTCATCCACCATGTTCAGTAACATGAAGCTGCATCGTCAACCGCGATCTCTTGACCACAAAGCTGGGAAAGACTCACTCGCATCCCGCCCGAGCGATCAAACTGATAGTCACTGGGTGATACTCGGTGATGAGACTGACGGAGCTGTTGTATGCCGCCTGGCCGATGGGGATAGTGATGTCGACACAGCCAGACAAGGGCGAGACTTGAGCCTGGTTGAGGGTGCTGCTCTTATCAGCTTGATCCAGGAGCGCGGGGCTGTCACATGGACGTACTTGTTCCGAGGGTCGGAGAATGGGGTGATGGCTGTGACACCGTCATTCAACACTGCCTCCCGGTATGACTGTTCATCAGCTGCATTCACGGATAGGCTCTGAGACGACTCACAGGCAGACCTCCAGTCCCCACATCGTACACGAATCTGACCATCAGCATATTCCTCTACAGATAGCCAAGACCCTACTCACATGGAATCGCTACACGTCTGATTGTCGTACGACAAGAACTCATCATTGAACCAGCTTCGATAGTCCGCGATGACGGGAAGAGACTGATCGTACAGCTCTTGCGACGTGTTGGCGGCCCAGGTCTTGAAGTTGGCCCGGCGCGCAGTGTCGACAGGCAAGAAACGGCCGCCGTTTGCAGCAGAGTACTTGGCGATGAGGTCGCGAGCAATCCGGCTGTATTGATACTGCACGTCAGCGCGCCCCAGAGAATCAGCCGTGAAAAACTCACCCATCCGTTGATCCGACTCGATGCGGTACTGACGACGCTGATGTTCTGTCCGCCTTTGACGATCTCTGCGGGGAAATCCACCTCGACGCGCTGCATCCCGTACTTGGTTTGAAGAGCGGTGATGAATGCCTCTTTGATCGCCTGACCTTCGGGAGAGCCATGGGGCATGTAATTGGTGGGGTAGATGAGCTTCTTAGGGTAGGAATTGTATGATTGGAAGTTGGCCTCAGTACCGTTATACCTGCAGATTAGCTTGATTCAAGTCGAAGAGATGAAGCCGTACGTACCAGTGTCGGAGGATGTTGGTCCACTGATGAGGATCCCTGGCGAGCACGCCGAGCGTATCAAAAGTGGGTGAGATGGGAATGACATTCTCGAGAGTGATGGCTCCGCTCGTAGGCTGACTTGTCAGCTGGGAAGACAGCATTGTGCAAGTTTAACCTCACTCGGTTCCCATACAGCCCAGATACAGCCGCCGGGATCCGCACCGACCCGCCCGTGTCTGACCCGATCGCAAAGTCCAGCCAGTCATATGCGGCTACAGCACAGCCGGAACCGGACGAGCTGGCCGCGCACGACTGCCACAAGTCTGACCGGGGCGAGAACGGGTACTGGACTTCGAGGGTGACGTCGTTGGTGCTTGCGCCCGATGCGAATCTGACAATCAGCCCATATCGAACAGGTTGGCATGATGAACGTACTGAGCGGTCTTGGTCTTGCCGACGATGACGGCGCCAAGATCCAGCAGCTTCTGGACTGCGGGCGCATTGACGGACGCTACTGGGTAGATCTCCGCAAAGGCTCGATTGCCCGCTGCTGTCTGAACACCCTTGACGTCGTAGATGTCTGCTTGTCAGCTGAGCTATATGAAAGACTCACCCTTGACGGCCAGGCGCTGCCCTGCGAGAGGCTTGCCCGAGTACAGCGTGTACAACCTCGACGGCACTGGTACCCATGGATCCCCAGACTCCGTCGTCACCCTCCCTAGCGCCTCATGCCCATCTCCCCTAGCATACACGCCTGCCGTGAAGGTCCTGTACGGATCCACCTCGAGCTTGTAGACGGGATAGAGCGAGATACCGGCCTCAGCCTTGACTGCGAGATAAGGACCCGGGGCGGGCGCACCGGTTGTCGACGTGTACTTGACCGCCGAGCTGGACGAGGCGGTCGAGAGCTTGCCCTTCAGGATGATCGTCTCGGCGCCCTTGCCGAGGAGGTAGGAGATGGTGTCGGCGGGGATAGAGAGGGAGGTTGGGGAGTGGAGGATCACGGTGGAGAGAAAAGAGGCGGTATAGACGTCGTCCTTGGAAGCGTACTCGGCAAGGACGGCTGTCAGGGTCGATACCGATGCCGAGGAGGTGAGCGAGATGACCACAGCAGGAGTAGGGGCTGACGAGGCCAGAGCGTCCTTGTTGTCCAGCGAAGCGGTGATCTCAGTAAGAGGAGAGAAGTAGTGGGCGTCACCGAGTTGGAACTGCGGGTCAGCTGGATTACATAGTACAGGTTGAGACGACTCACGACTGTCTCTTTGGCATAGCTGTCGAAAGATAGGACGTTGATGGAGTCGGTAGTGCGGACTTCGAGAGGAACGACCAAACCTTGGGCGAGAGTTGCGAGTCCGAGAACCGACAGCAAAGTCTTGCTGAGCAGCATTTTGGTGATGGGAAGGGGGTTGTCAGCCTGTCAGTCTTCGCTGCATGATATCTTGTACGTCTGAGTCTCTTCGGCAGATGGGACCGGTACGCAGAGATAAGGAAATGAGGGTGGGCATGTGGACCCTTCGCCGGCCGCTCGCCGCCGAACGATGATGATACTTGGCAGGCACCGGGGAGGCGTGCAGGCGTGGGGACCGAGAGCGATGGAGTGGGGGAGATGCCATGTCGAGCTATAACGGGTTGTGGAAGGGATCGAGGGTCGTCAGTAGCTCAGTACGGTACGGCCTGGTACGGCAGAGCAGGGTCGAATACCAGCTTCGATACCCCAAAGATAAGGCGCGATAAGGCTAGCGGAATCTTGGCGAGATGACGTCCACTATGCGCCGAGATCTGAGAGTAGCGCTACGAACCCCGCGGATGCCGAGCCAATGGGCAGAAAGGGATGCTGATGCCTTCCTGATGTACTGCTCGGCGGACCGGAACTCGAAATTGGCATCTTGATAGTGGAGGGAGAGATGCAACAGCTGATAAGAGGCCTTGCTTGCATGTGTCCTCGTGCAACGCCGGAGAAGGCCGCGATGACGTATGGTGAGATGGGAGCGCTTGAGAGCGATAGGCGCAGTGGCAGAGGAGAAGAGAGTTGCTGTGAGCTCCTCGTTTCTCACTACTATACAGCCAGAGGAAAAAGCTCGATAGGCTTATCACACAGGCCAGAGATCTGCTGCTAATCAAAGTACCAAAATGCTGACGCAGACCACCACGATCGTCCACAAAGCAGCCATGCCCGATCCGCCGATCCCAAGGATTCCACTTCGCACAGCGGATCCCTTGCTCATGTACTGCCACCCTGTCAGCCCAGTCACCTCCCCAATATGCTCGCTCCACTCACAGTTCCGAAAACAACCATACTGGCCTGATCTTTCAATCTCGGCGGGGCAATGACCGCGCCTGGTCCGCTCGGCCTGACAATCGTCACGTTCCCGTACCTGTCCCCGGCGGGTGGGTTGACGCCTGACCCCGATCCTGAACCTGAAGGCTGGGCTGCGGCGGTGTTGAGGCCTGTTCCGGAGAAGGCGGGCGCGATGGACAGGTACTGGCCGATCTGGACCGTGGGGGTAGGGGCGGTGCTGGAGCTGCTGCTGGAAGCAGTGCCTGACGCGCTGATGCTGCTTGTGCTGGCGGAGGGGGTGCTTTGACCTGACGACAGCGATGAGGGGGCACCGCCCGAGGAGACTGAAGAAGCTGATGACGAAGTGAGGGAGTTTGATGCTGCTGATGAGCCGGGAGTCGGAGGATTGGAGGGACCAGGCGCGACCGCCGCGGCAGAGGAGGAAGAGCTGACGGGGGCTGGCGCTGGGGCCCGAGCGGGCGAGCTGGTGGCTGGGGCAGGCGGTGGGGTCGTTGCGGATGGTGTAGGAGGAGGTGGCGCTGGCTGGACGGGTCTAGGGACTGGCGCAGCGTAACGTAAGAGGGTCATCCAGGAGACATGTCCGCCGCAGGGCTGGGAAGAGTCGCCGGAGCAAGGAGAGTTGCACTCAGAGTCCGCGCCGGGGTTGTTGGCCGCAAGAGATGTCCCGCAGAAGCACTGATCTCCGTTCTCTGTATTGTCAGCTTCCGGGACCGACTTCGAGATGCTGAAGTCCAGGTGAGGAGATGAGAGATGGAAAGGAAACGGAGACTCACGTAGCCCCGCATAGGGCATCCCGCGATTCGCGCAAGTATCTACGCAGAGACGTATCGTCATTGCCGAATCGCGAGTGACTGCTCAGTCAGCTTCAATGCCCATATGTGCACGAGTCGGTCGAGCTATACGCCACTTACAGTCGTCGTTATACAAGAGGCGAAAGCTCTCATCGGTCCCTTCGAGCATGCACCCCATGTATGACCATCCTGTGGGCAGGGAAGGGATGTTGGCTGCAGCCAAAGTTGCCGGTATGGTGACTATGGCGATCAAGAGGGAAAACAGCATCGCGAGTACTGTCTGTAGGTGCGACTCGTCCAGCTGCAGGCGCGGAGGGACGAAGATGTCAACGGGAAGATTGAGTGGTAAAGGTAACATACGAACGAGCTCGGACGCTCCCATGTTTGGCTGACTGGCTGCTGAGCCTTGTAGACGTCCTTCCTTCACTTTGAGCCATCCTTCTACGGCCCTCCTTCTGCACTCTACTTGTCCGCCACGCCACACGTCCCTTTGCTCTATCAACCTGAAACACGTGATCCGTGCGCATGGTTTCATATTTTCCGGACTACGGTACTTTGGATCAGATACAGGCCAATACTACAACGCTCAGCGCGCCTACTACAAGCCATGCCGCGCATGTACCGCCAACTTGAGCACTGGCTAGTGTCCCGGAGCTCATAAACTTGAATATCAGCTTGAGATCCCGGATTCCCTATTGCCCTTGTAGCCAACTCACCGTCCCGAACACGATCATCTGAGCTTGATCCCTGAGTCTGGGCGGAGCGATGACGCCCCCCACCGACCGGGTAATTGTGGCGTTCAGGTATCGGTCCATAGTCAGAGGTATGGCCGATGTCGACGGCGGTGCCTCCGAGCCTGAAGTGATCGCAGTGGAGACTGGGGAGGGGGCTGGACCGATGGAGAGGTACTGGGAGATATGGGGCGGGTTGCTGCTGCTCGTGCTCGAGGAGCCGCTGGAACTGCTACTACTGACTGAACCTGAGAGCAGAGAAACGATCAAGGAGCTCGATGCGTGTGTGAGCGAGACCGATGCTGGAGTGGACGATCCTGCGAGGGGCTGCTGCGGAGATGGCGATGGGGCGGACGACGATGGTGCGGGTTGGGTCGCTGGCGCGGAGGTCGGCGCCGGCGCTGCAATCGTTGCCGGAGATGGTATGGGTGGAAGAGGAGCTGGCGGGATGTAATGAAGGAGGGTGATGTAGGGGTGCGCCGGCCGCCACATGACTGCGTGTCGTCTCCTACGCATCTGGCGTCGCAATAGCCATCGTCGACTGGCTTGTGGGGCCCTAGGGAGGTACCGCAGTAGCACTCGTCTGTGTCGTCTGGACTATTAGCTTGAAGCAAAAAGCTTTGGGCCGGATGCAAAGGCGTAGTTTGATGATTGGGTTACTCAGTGACTCACGCAATCCCGCATAGGTCATCTCAATCTTGGCGCACAGATCCACGCAGAAACTTATAGTCATAGCTTTATCAAGCTGGTCTGGACTCGTCAGTCATCTCTAGATCCCGAACACTTACACTTGCTACCCAGTAGCCGGACGGTCTCCTCGTATCCTTCAAACATGCACCCAGAGTATGACCATCCTGTAGGCAGAGCGGGTATTCCTGCGAGTACCAGAGACACAGCTGCGAGCTTGGACGAGGAGTATGAGCAGCATACGTGATATAGTACAGGCAGATAAGGTACAACGCAAAGTCTCCCTCTATGACTACCTTCGGATTGATTTGATGGCGGAGTCATTGTGCCCCGTGGATCAAGCGTCCTTCCGGACGAGTGCGTCACAAGGCTTCCTTTTGAGACCCTGCCTTTGGAATGGGCTCAACGTTCACCACTCAGCCACATGGCACAGGCATGCTCTTCTTTGGGACACTAGGTCCAACGACCAGTACCCTCGTGATAGTATCTACAGTACCCCGACTCCATATCACATGAGATCCGTTACTATACCGCCCAATACTGCCGCCAGACCAAGCAATATATTGAATATACATATCGTCCCGCCCGAGAGAGACCTGACGCTCTGCCCAGCCCCTATGACCTGGAACATTTAGCTGTCATCATTTGGTATTACTGTTAAGACACTCACCGTCCCGAAAACGATCGTCTGAGCTTTATCCTTGAGTCCTGGAGGTGCATTCACGCCACCGCTCGACCTGGTGATTGTCGCATTGAAATACCTGTCCATAGAGAGCGGGACGGTTGATGAAGATGGTATTGTTCCAGAGCCAGTAACGGATGACATAGAGGGGAGCGACCGGCGGCGGGGCCAAAGGAGAGATACTGCGAGACCTGAGGTGGTGTACTGCTGCTCTCGCTCGAAGCGCCGGTCGGTCCGCTGCTATTGACCATAGAGTCAGGCGATGAAGAGGAGCTTGGCGAGAGGGTGCCTGATATAGGACCGGCCGTTCCGGCGCCAGTGATTGACTGTGATGCAGGTGGCGGGAATGTGGAAGAAGAAGGCACTGGCGCGATTAGCACTTGTGAGGTTGGACTTGAGGTAGGTGTATGTGTGGTAGGAGCAGATTGAGTAGGTAAGGGAGGAGGAGGTGCCGGCGAAGTATACTGGAGAAGCGTGAGGTATGGTACGTGCTGGGTACCACACGGCTGCGAGGTGTCCCCGACACACTTGGCGTCACAGGATGCCTCGTCGAATGACAGCTTGTGGGCGCCCAGAGTGGGGATGCAGTAGCACTTGTTTGTGTCATCTATGCGATTAGCTTCATCCTGGAGCGGCGTGTGTGGGAGGCATATGTCCAGGGGCCGGGATCCAGTTGCAAGGTGATATCACGCACAAAGTCCAGCATATGGCATGCCCAGCTTTGCGCATATATCAAGACAAAAATTAATCGTCATCTTGTCATCCTGATAGTCTGATATCATCAGTATCTCTTGAAGAGGTTGGGGAGTCCGGGATTGATGGTGGAACAAAAGCTCACATAGATTCCACATGAGCCGCTCTTTCTCTTCGTACCCGTCATATAAGCAGCCGGTATAGGACCATCCCGACTGCAGTGCTGGTATGCCAGCGATTGCTGCGGATGCTAGGGTAGAGCCTAGGACGAGTGACAGCAGCATGGCGCTTGTGCGTGCAGCGCGACGGCGCCGATGAGATCAAGTAGCTTAGAAGAAATTGAGAGGCGTAATATATGCAGATGCAGGTGGGAGTACCGGCTTTCCTCTCGCCCTTCTCCGCATGAAACCCTAAGGACTTGGTGTCTTCCCATAGGATATCTCCTTCCATCGTTTGGAAGGCATCCGTGGGACTTCATCCTTCCGCATTAACCGGTCTCCAAAGCCATCTGTATCCCACCCATAGCCTCCGCCTTGAGCTTTATCTGAAACACGACATCCGTGCGCAGATGTGCCACAGTGACGTAACGTCTTCGGCCGAGCGCCTCCACTCGCCGGCTAGCTCGGGTACGGGATCAAAATATCCCCCCCTCCTTTGCTGCATCGAGATCTCGCTCACTTCGTACTATCTCTTATCTCTCACTGACCCATCTACTACATACTACACAACAACGAGCTCAAAACAGCTCGTACACATACCTACAGCTTCAAACAACCAACTCGAAGTCGAATCAGTCGGAATGATGCGCTCCTCGATCCGCTCGCTCGCCGCGTCCTCATCCCTCGCTCGCCCTATAGTGGCGAGGTCATTCGCCCGGCCCGTCGTGGGTGCTTCGCGGGCGACTTTGCCCACTGTCGGTCGGGTAGAGAAGCGGGGATACCACGAGAAGGTTATCGACCACTATGAGAACCCCAGAAATGTGGGTTCGGTCGATCGTTGAAGCGGGATATACCTGGAGGGAAACGGGCCTGGAAGACCGAGGTGGACTCATGCTGATGGTGCAGGTTGGGAACATGCCCAAGACGGATCATGATGTTGGAACTGGACTTGTCGGTGCCCCCGCGTGTGGAGAGTACGTCCCTTCCCCTGACATTTTCCAGCGACGAACCCCATATACTGACTCTTAGCGTGATGAAGCTGCAAATCCGGGTAGACGACAATGGTGTCATCTCAGACGTCAAGTTCAAGACGTTCGGCTGCGGCTCAGCCATCGCCTCGTCGAGTTACATGACGGAACGAGTGAAGGGGATGACGCTGGACCAGGCGGGTCAGGTCAAGAACACCGAGATTGCAAAGGAGCTGTGCTTGCCGCCTGTCAAGCGTGAGTTTAGGGTCTTTCGGTCAACTGGATGCTCGATGGGGATGACGAGGAGGATCATGATGACAAAGACACAAATGGGATACTGGCTGACCGATCAGTGCACTGCTCGTTGCTCGCTGAGGACGCGATCAAGTCTGCGATCAAGGACTACCAGACCAAGCGGGAGAAGAGGCTCGCCATGGCTGCTGTGAGTCTGCATCCCGCGTTTGACAGTCGAGCGCTTGTGTAGTCAATAGCCAAAGCTGACTTGTCAGGCTCAAGCACCTGCTGCCGAGGCCATGTCTGCGACTGTATAATTTTCGGGATCGGCACAAATAAAATGACAGAATATAGAGAGACGGTAGGGTCCGGCTGTACTGTATTATCACCTTGAGTCCACATGAAGCGATAGCGATGTCTCAGCAATATCTGGCAACGGCAGCTCGGGGCTGCAGGCGACGGAGGTGAACATGAGTAGTAGGCGCTCGCCCCATACACTTGTTCGTCACTTCGCTATCGGGAGTTTCCGAGGGAGTTTCTCGCCCTGAAGTGTACCTTCCACTCTGGATCTCCGAGCTCAGTATCATGCTGCAGCTTGGCAACAGCACGCTTCCCTCAATGCGCATCGATGCACACAAGTGCACACAGCTGCACACAGCACTTGCTAGAGCCTTCTTTCTTTGCCACCGGAGCCACGCATTCCTCGTTCTGCCACGTGTCCTGACGCATGCGAATACTTCCGGCTGCGCGCAACTTGCCGAACTCGACCATCACCCAAACGATTCCAATCTCTCCATCTATCTATTGTCCACATCACCAAGCTTTACCAACACTTACCTAGCTCACGCCACCCCTCACTTACACCTCACTCAGTCAAATTCAATCAACATGCCTCGATCCGTAAGTCTCGCCCATCCCTTGCCTCCACAGCTAGAATTGCCACCCGCCGATCCCTTAGCCTCTTGCCTCTTGCCTCATGCTGACGCTCCAGGGTGGCCGCTCCCGTCCCGCTATGCGCCCCTCCGCGCCCGCTCCATCCTCCCAGCAGACCCGATCTTCATCCACTGCCGCCGCTCCCCCCGCGGCCGCAGCGTACCCCCAGGCTGGTGCCGGTGCGGGTATGGGCCGACCCCCAGGGCTGCTCGCGCAGGCGGCATCGACGATGGGCGGTGCGGTGGCCGGATCGGTTATTGGGCACGGAATCAGTAGTATGATCTTTGGGTCAGGGAGGCCCGTAGACCAGTCGAGGGCCGATGTGCCCCCTCCGGCGGAGTATGCGCAGGCGGCAAGGGCGGAGTCGGGGGGTTGTGATATTCCGGCCAAGGGTGAGTACCGCACACCATTCGAGGATGAGGAGTGGGAGAGGGGAAGTCGGAACAGCGGCCCTGCGCGGGTATCTGGAGGGGCGTCGTTCGGATGTTGTCAGGGTGGGACGGGCAAATGGCGGAGACGATCAGATATCGACCGACTCGGAGCTGACTAAGCAGACTTCACAAAGTGCATGGCATCGACCAACGACGACTTCCAGTCTTGCTCGTACTATCTCGAGGCATTGAGTCAGCTCATATCTCCGTCACAATCTCCTGGAGCATCTGCTGACTATATACAGAGGCTTGCCAGGCTGCCGCCAAGCCGTACTAGTGTTTTCTCCAGGAGTGCTGTAATTGAAGGATGAAGTGGGGAGATGGGAGTCGGCGCAGAGAGACGTAGTATCGCATGAAACCTATATCACCGCTCACACCTTTCAAATTTAGCATTTCCAGCTCACCAACTTCCCGCATGAACAGCGAGGAGACCAGGGGTCGATCTGGTATCGTGACTGACTTGAACTGAACACTTCCTTCCAGCTGCTGATGTTTAATGACATTGTCCCCACTCCGACTTGCCTCTGCAGAACCATCATTCCCATTGACTACTTAGCAGCGTCCACCCGCTTCTTGGCCCCATACATGTAATTACACCCCTCCCCCAATCCTTTGCCCCAACCCCCCTCCACCCCACTGCCCCATAACCTCCACTTGCCGCCCAGCGGATCATACACGATCCCCCTCGTCCTCCCGACCTCATCTGTCCTCACGTCGCCCGCATCCTCTTCCTTCTCCCATACGTCATAACCCCCCATCTCGGAATGAACGAACCGGCGGATCTCTTCGGGTTTGATGTACTTTGTATAGGTGTGCGTGCCGGGAGTGACGAGACGGAGGACGTCTTCGGCCATGGTGAGGGTGAGGAGGCGGGAGAGAGGTGTGCGGGAGATGGTGGACATGATTAGGTAGCCGCCAGGCTGGGGATCAGCTAGGCTTCTTGCTTGATAGGGAATCATGGCGTATACTGGTGTCACGGTGTAATAATATAGGGGATCCAAACCCACCTTGACCATATCCCCAAGAGCCTTCATAAACTCCCCTGGCTCATCCACATGCTCCACCACCTCCATCGCGCAGACCACATCAAATTGTTCCCCCGCGTCCCGCAACGCCTCCGCGGACGTATGTCTGTACTCCAACGACCCGACCCCTGTTCCCGGCTTTACCCCTTCCCCCCGCCCTTCCACCCCCTCCGGGACATTGATCAGCGGCAACCCCGGATCCCCACTTGCATGCGCTACCGCCATCCCGATATTCACCCCGCTCGCATCCACACCTATAACGTCCCCGCCCAGCCTCGCCAATGCCTCACTGAGCAATCCGCCGCCGCAACCGACATCCAGGACCCGCTTGCCTGTCAGCCACCGCCCGACGCCATTGGCCTTTTCCCGCGCCTTGTCAGAGTGGCGGGCGGCGAAGGACCACGGTGATTCGAAGCGCGGATCGAACGCGATGAGCTGTCGCATGTATTCGATCCGAGGGGGGTTCATACGGTGTAACAAGGCGAATTCGCCCGTTTCGGACCACCATTCCGAGGCGAGGCGGGAGAAGTGGGAGATCTCGAGATCGTTGATGGTGCTGAATGAGGAGGGTGGGCTGGGTTTGGAAGTAGAGGAGGAGGAAGGAGGCTGGGATGACGAGGGGGAGGGATCGAGAGGGTTTGGATAGGCGGATGTGGATGAACTAGATAGGTGGCGGCGGGAGTGGATAGGCGTAGGTCTAGAGGACGGTGTAGTAGCTAGCCCAGATGACGCTGAGCTTGCGAAGCTGGTAGACCGCGCTGCGACCACCGCAGATCGGAGGCGAGAAGGACCGGCGATGTTGCTCGCTGCGATCCTCATTTTGAGCGAAGGTACTGCGGGGAAGCTGATGTATGGTAACACGACTCGAGAATGGGAGAGCTCTCAATATCGAGCTGCCTCGTCTACGACGGCTACTGAGATGCTCGATGCGTAGGCTGAATGGATGGGAGGTGGTGTAGGAAGGCAAAGACAAGATGGACTTGGCGAGAGAGATTTGGTGACCTCCACCTCCACCAAACGTCAAATTCACAGCTCACAGTGCCATCTCTCCATTGCCCATCATCGATCATCCTCTTACTTCCTGCCCATTGCACGCGCCCTTCCTGGCCGTCACGCACCATGCAGACCCGCGCCCAGACCTACGCGTCCCGACCCGCCACCCTCTTCCTCACAGTCGGCTCCACCCTCTTCCCCTCCCTCACCACCATCGCGCTCTCCCCCGCGTTCCTCGACGTCCTGTTCGCGTCAGGCGTGCAGCGCTTGCTCGTCCAATATGGCCGGGCCGAACTGCCCCTCCCCGACGGGGTGATGATCACCAAGCGATCAGACAAGGCGGACGGGCACATAAACTTCGAATGGCCTGGCCGGGGCGCGCAGTACAAGGCGTACCAGGACGCGAAGGGCACCAAGGGGGCGTACGGGTACGGAGAGGGGCCAAAGATGGAGGTGGAGTTGATCATGTTTACGGAGAGATTCGGGGGGGAGGTGAAGGATGCGAAGTGGGTGATTAGCCATGCGGGTAAGTCTACGTCTGGACTCTGGTCCGGACTCCGTATTTTGTATAGCTGGGTGATGGTAGGGGCTGACGCGTGTAGGGTCAGGTTCAATATTGACTGTCTTGCACACGCCGAGACCATTGCTTGTTGTCCCCAATACAGATCTGATGGATAATCACCAGGCTCAGCTGGCCGAGGCGCTCGGTGGGGGTGTGGATGGAGAGGGGGAGGGGTACTTGTTAGTCTCCACGCTCGAGTAAGTCCACTTCACCTCGTAAAGTTGATTTCATCGCTAGTTTCGCGATCAGTGGATCTAGGCTAATAGGATAGGGACCTACTGGACAAACTGCCGAAGCTGCTAGATGAAGACTATACGCCGAAGCCATTCCCAAAGGTCGAGACGGATAGGTTCAAGAAGATCTTGGACGAGACGGCGGGGTTCGGGTCGTGAGCGCGAGCTGCGGACAGGGCCACAGGGACGTAGGCGTGCCAGCTCCGGGATGTAAGAGCCGCCACTATAGGCTCTCATAACACCGCCAGGCGCTCAGCGAGATGGGCGGAGCCATGTCAGCGAAACCTTGGAGGTACGAGTCTCGATAGATTCCTCAAAGTTCAGACAGTCAGACCGTCCCGTTGACCTCGTAAGGCCGATTATCAGTCGAAGTTGTATGCATCTATAGCCTAGATTTCGGCATACGGCCTGAGCCTGCGGCGGCATCATGAAGTCACGATGATTTGCCCTCCACAGCGATGAACCTGCTGATCAGCGCCTTGGTCTCCCTCTTCGCCGCGGGGCACAGGGCGCCAATCCAGACTCACTCAATCTCGACCAAAACGTCCTTCGGCAGCCTCGCGACCTCGACGCAGCTCCGCGCGGGCTTGGTCTGCCCAAAGAACTCGGCGTAGATCTTGTTGAAGGCGACAAAGTCGTTCATGCTCTTGAGGAAGACGGTGGTTTTGAGAATGGAGGCGGGGGTGGCGCCCGAGGCGGAGAGGACGGCGGACATGTTTTTGAAGACTTGGGTCTGAGGATTAGCTTGGTGTTTCGCGGCGAGTGATGAGTGGGTCAGATCATGAAGCCAGGATGAGGCATTACTCGAACCCATCTGGGCGATGGAAGGTCGACAGAGCGGATAATGACATGGTACGTCAACACTCACAGTCTGCTCTTCGATACCGCCCGAAACAACCTCCATGGTCTTGGGGTCAAGCGGGATAGATCCCGAAGCGTAGATCAGCTAAACATGGGTCAGCTATGCCTGATCGAGTCTGCTACGAAGAGTGACTCTGGGAAACTGAGCTTACACCATTGTGCTTCACGGCCTGTTCTGTCAGTATTGGCTCCATATATCGCCAGATCAGGTCAGAAGTGGAGAAAAGCAGGGATACCGCTGACTTACCTGGACATAAGGACCGATAGCAGCCGGAGCATCTGACTGAATCAGCTGACGACATGAGACGAAAGTCAATTTGGCCGCGTTAGCTGGAAGAGTGACTTACTTTCGGTCGAGACGACGGAGTAAGGGGTGCTCATGTTGAGTGATGTGGACGTGTTGAGAGGTCTCGAGAAGGTGGGTTGAATGTGAGATACAGAGCTCGAGCGGTGGTTGTAGTTGGATGAGAGTGTTCTGTAGGCTGTAGAGCGCAATGTGGTGAGCATATATAGAGGCAGTTGAACGAAGCACAGAACATCAGAGCGTGAAAGGGCGTGGCAGCGGCGGGCTGGAGTGAGGAATGTGGGGGGAGTTTCCGCCGGAATGTGACACATTAGCAGAGCAGAGCCCCTCTCTGCAGCTTTGCTCCGCCAAATTAAGCTTGCGACAGCAAGACTCTCTCGGATAGAGGTCAAAGCATGATGACCCGCTCGCTGAGGGTGGTGTAGTCCCTTACATGCATGGTCTTCCAGGGCTGTATGGTCACGAAAGTAAAGGACGGAATCAGATCGGATCGGTCCGACAGCCACACCCAAAACGTCATCGCTCTCTTGCTCTGCAGCTTTCTTCTCCATCTCATACGCTTACTATACTTTGTATCTCATCAGCCAGCTCACACCCTCACCTCCGAAGACCTCCAAGAAGCAGGTCCATCAACAAAAAGACCAGGTGTCCCCCGTCGCGCAAAACACCCTGAAAGACCGGTTTTGAAATGGCCCGTCCCAGCTCATCTCTGCTCGGCTCGATCCTCGCAGGTCCAGCTGGCCGCCTCGCCTCTGCACCTAGAGCCTACATACCGCGCACCCCTCTCTTCCGCTCCTCCGGCTTCCACTCCACACCTCTGCGGCTAAGAGCGCCACCGGTCCCGTCCACACATGCGGCTGTATCGCCCGCCCGGCCGGTCTTGGGGACAGGCATGAACGGAGCGGCAGGATCAGCTGGGTCTGCATCGGCAGCGGGGAAGAAGAAGAGCGCGCATATAGTCTGGTATCGAGAAATAGTACCTGGTAAGTATAGCCCCAATCTAGGCGAACCTTCTTTGGCCTACTTGGCTACAGACTCAAGCTGACAAGACAGCAATGGTCCCCATTCTCCTCCTCTCCACGACCCTGTTCCTCCTCCTCGCCCTCTCCCGCACCCACCTTTCCTCCGAGCGCACCCTCTCTGATTCTCAATCCCAAATCGCCGCGCTCGAGCGACAACTACATGATCTTCGACAAGACGCCAAGCGGCGCCTGGAAAAGGAAAGGAAAGAGAGGGAGAGGATGCTGCCGCTTGTGGTGGAGAGGGTGTTGACGAAGGTGGGGGCGATGCGCGGGGGTGTGGAGGAGGATGAGGAGAGGGAGAGGGAGGAAGGGAGGAGGAGGGATGAGAGGGAGAGGGCGTTGTTGGCTTGATTTGGGCGACGGGGACCGGGTCGGACGGGGTGTGACAAGATGAAGCAGGATGCTTGGGGGGCGTTTATGACTCCGGGGTGTCAAGGGTCTCGGACTCGACGTTCACGTTCTAACCACCTCGAGTCGGATAGACCTACCCCTCCGTTCCGTTCCTTGCTCAAGCTAGAGCTGACGAGCCTTGCACACTCACCTCTGAGCATTCGGACCTGACCATGCGCCGACTCAAGGTCAGCTCGTCAAGCTCACCAAGGAGGAAGGGGGTGAGATGGTGATCAGGATGTATTCGTATCGCGCGGGTCCAGGGAAGGTATTTGATTTGATGCGTGATTTGGGAAGGTCTAGAAGCCGGCGAGCGATCGAGGTGGAGCAACAGAGAAGGATCGGTGTGTATTCAACGGCAGGGTAAAGTCGCACGTGTGGCTGATACTACTGCAGAGGGCAAGACTGGACGGTCCGTGCTCGTTCCGGTGCTCAGACCTCCACCCTAACTCATCAGACGCCTGGGCGCCGGCTGACAGCGCTGAACAGACACGGGGCGGTTGAGAAAGATGATGACGTAACAGGTTTCAGAATCCCCGTCTTCCTTCCTCCCGTCTCGACAGATACTAGGTGTTACCTTTCTTCCCTACGAATGTTGACATGCACACCATCTCTATCGTAGTGCGTATCTCTATCAGCCATCATCAACATCTCTCCCTCAGGCGGTATGGTACGGGGCATCGGTGCGGGCAGAAATTTCGAGGTGAGCTTATTCTCACCCCTTCGCATAGCTCATCAGGCTCATCAGCTGACTGTACGCCTTAGGTCTATCTGGAGTACAGAGACAAAAAGAAGACAAGGATCGGTGAGCTACCAGTCCGCTAACGAGCTCTGTTGTTTCTCCAGCTGAACCCGAGCAAGAGGAGTTTCACCCAAATTACACGCATCCGCTAGAGGACGAAGAGGAAGTTGCCGATGATGAAACCGAGGCTTCGACGAGGGAAGGCGCCACAGCTACGGTGTGGGTAGAGTGTGAGGCCGGTATGGTATGTATAACGGGAATGTATTTGCTCCTACGGCGCTGGGCTGACAAGCAGGAATATCAGATCGTCATTGAGGACCGCTTCCGTGGCAAAAAGAAGCAGAAGAAGAGACCGGCAAGAGAAGCAGTCCGTGCTTCTATCGAGGTCGACGGACGTGATATTCATCCCCGCCTGCTCTTCTATGGCTCGACGCACAAGTATACTACAAGTGCGATAGATATGGAGCAGGACGGCCAAGTCGGTTCCTACCGCCTTCGTTTTGCTGCTGTCGTATGTCGTCTGAGGAGGCTGTCGCTGATGCGCAGGATGCTGTCGATGATCGACATGAAGCCGAACTGGACGCAGACGGCGCAGCCCAGATCGGCACGATAAAAGTGACCCTTGAGCTCGGGGCCGCGGTGGACACCGCACCACGGGAGTGGTCACCGGAGATCATTGAGGAGATAGGGACGGCATGGGAGAAGGACATCAAAGTCAAGTGAGTTTCAGCTTTCCTCTGGCTCGGCCATTGCATCATGTACTAACAGCCTAGGAACGGGATGAAAACAACGCGAGTCATCTCTCGCTCTGATAATCCAGGTGACGGGCTGATCCAACAGAGGCGGCCAAAAGGTGAAGGTCCGAGCAGGTGGTGCTGGAGGCCGGAAACCCCAATGGGTGGACTTTGAGTCAACGAACGCCGTTTATTTTTACACCTTTGTCATAAGCTACGCCCATCGAGCAGTCATCGACAGGCAGTTTGATTTGGGCAAGTCATGTTCCTCTCGTGACAGTATCAAGCTGACTCCTTCAGATCAACCGGAAGCGCGCGCATCAACTGTGGAATCAGACGGGGAAGGTACATTGAACGCAGCTCCATTGTCAGGCCAATCGCTGACGTTTCATAGAGCCTGAATTTATCGAACGACCACCCACGCCACCTCCCGGCGATATCGCTTCACGGAAAAGGCGCAAGATGCGGAGGAGAAGCCCAAGCGTCAAGTCGGACTCCCCAAGCGATCCCGAGAGCGAGGAATCGGACGGAGCAGCATACCAGGAGTTCCTCAAGGTAAGTCTCACTTGCTCGAAGCATACGTCGGCGACTGACTGTGGTATAGCAACGAGCAGCTCGCAAGCTGGAGGCAAAGGAGGCGAAGAGGCGGAAGCGGGAAGATGAGAAGAGGGTCAAGGATGAGCAGGAGGAGAGGATATTCCAGGCCGGTGCGAATTTGAAGGGGGAGGTGTACGATCTCACTGCCGATTCAGATTAGGACCTGTAGGCGAGATGCGCACCCATGAGAAGAGCTGAGATATCTACTGACATGATCGATGAGCTCGACAGTTGACCAGTACTGATCACAAACTCTCGGCGATAAGGACAATCCATCCAGACTGAAGACCGCCTTCAACGCTCGAGGTCCAAGTCATACTGGATGTTGGCGTCGCCTTGTCGGCAAGCTGGGCTTTACCAAGCCGAGTAAGAGGGGTCTCAAACCTTAGCGGTGTTACGTTGAGCGATCTACCGGAGCTCGCAGCCCAACATATATTGTATGAATGTACGGACATTAGCTAGTCATATACCTTCTACAATGCTGCGATATCATGCCCTTGACCCGCATGACCATCCACCCCACAACACGCCTCATCCTCTCTCGTCCCTTCGGCTAGCTTCTGATGTATCCATCTCCCTACATCCTCTTCTTCTGACCCACCTCCGACATTCTCTACCCCTCGCACCGTAATCTGCATCTCCTTCTCTCCTCCCCACTTAAGCAACCCCCTGACCTGCTCCACGCGTTTCATCGGCGACACGTGGTTGAAACACCACTCGCCGTGGAACTTCTCATCCGCACACTGACAAGCTGCCCATCCCACCTCCATCCTCTTCGCCTTGACATCCCGCGGTATCTCGTCGTCCGTCGCCCCTTCCAGCGTAAGACACTTCAGCGCCCATCCGGCCGCCATAGCCGAGATGAGCCGAGCGGTAGAGGACCTATCGAACGCCGCTGCCCGGAGTGGGTTCTGCTGGAACGCCCGAACGGCAGCAAAGCAGCAGCAGTATCCGCCGCCGAATGAGTGGGCTGTGCGCTCGGTGTTGGGGTAATGGATGGTGAGATGAGTAGGGGTAGCGCGGGCCCTGAGGAAGGTGATGAGGGGGTGAGGGGTATGATGAGCGTGCGTGTAGACGATGAGTTGCCAGACGGCACCAGAGTCTAGAGTGATGTTTCGAAGATTAGGGAGGAGAGAAGAGGAGGGAAGCGCGGGAGGGAAGTGGCAGCCGCAGAGGTCGTCAGGGAGGGAGGCGATCCGGAGATGGGTCGTGTACGCCCAGGGTGAAGGTGTGGAGAGACCGCAGCCTACGTGTCCGGCTGGCGAGGTGGTAAGGAAGGGAATGAGGTTATCGCTCGTGAGGGTGACGCGTCGATACAGCCTGGGAATGGCAGCATCGCGTAAATCGACCGAAGTGCGCGCGAGCTTGAGGAGGGTGGATGCGCTGGACGGGATCTCAAGTAGGACTTCGCAGAGGCTGGACAAGATGTCGGAGGGGAGATGAGGTACGGTGGGGGCTGCGATGGTATCAGTCATGATGATCGGATGAAGAGGGGAGGGAGGGAGTGTGGGGGACGTACATTCGATACCTTCCGGCTACATATAGTGGAAGAGCACGACCCTCCAATCCTCCCGGATCCTTTCTCTCCGTCGATAGGCTGATCCTCATCTCGTGATCGCAGCTAGCTGTTAACGCTTAGGATAAGCTGAGATGAAAGCAAGAGGAGAGGCGAATCTCCACGCTTGAAGGTGGAGGGCGACCGCGAGGGTCCACATAGATCGGGCATCCCGTCCGATCTCCGCCTCCTGTCAGTGGCACACAGAGCTAGAGCTGGACTGGATGCATTGCCTCGGCGCGAGGTGGTGTGGTAGGAGTGCTGCGAGGGAGTCTTATAGCCGCGCAAGGCAAGGCGGAAGAGAAGACCAGATTATAACATGATGACTACAGACAGCGCCCAGGATACTGATCTAATCTACACAAAAACAGGCTATACGATGGAAACTCTACGGATGGACTCGCGACCAAGATGGTATTGGGAGGATGGGACGAGTGATATGGTATGAGGCGGCCGACGGGCGTAGAAGAGATAACTAGCAAGTCAGCTTGGCGTCTGAGTGACAACAGTCAGAGAAAGGGCTCACATTTTCGCAATGACTAAGACAAGAAGTGAGCTTAGAAGCAGTTGCACTGAGAGTCTGCAAAGTCAGCCCAGCACAATTGAAGATAGAACAGCACAAGGACTTACTGCAACCCTTGCCCTTCAGCTTGCAAAGCATGACCAGCCACGAGTTTCCGCACGAGCCGCTGTCGGTCGGCTGAGGCTTGGCCGACCAGGTAGACGTGGGTGCTGCGGTGGAGACCGATGAGGTGGTGGTTGCGGTGGACGTCTTCGCGGACGAGGTGGCGGTGGAGGTGGTAGAGCAGGGAGATGTGGTGGGCTCAGGCTGCTTGGAGTAGGCGGGAGCCGAGAGGGCGAGGGAGGGGAGGGAGTAGACTGGAACCGAGACCGACAGTTTCTGGCACAAACAGGACTCAAAGTCGAACCAACCGAGCTGCTTCACGCAGGCGAGCGACTGGGCGATGCTGTCCGAGCAGGTAGCCTTGGCGGTGGTGGTGGCAGAGGGGGCCGCAGGGGAGGTGGTCGAGGAGGGCGAGACGGTAAGTTCGGGCTTGCTGTACGCGGGGATGGAGACCGAGATGGAAATAGAGGGTTTGGAGTAGGAAGGGACCGAGACGTGCTGGCACGAGCAGGCGTCAAAATCGAACCAGCCAAGCTGTTTGACGCAAGCGAGCGATTGGACTAGGCTGTCCGGGCAGCTGGCCTTTGGGGATGGGACGGCCGAGTAGGCGACCGAGGAGGAGCTAGCGGTGGAGGTAGTCGAGTAGGAAGAGGGGCTAGGCTCGGGCTTGGTGTAGGCGGGAACGGATACGGTGGGGGAAGGGGCCGAGTAAGAAGAGACCGGGTGGGCAGGGGCCGAGTAGGCCGGGACCGAGTAAGAAGGGATCGAGTAGGAGGGAACCGAGTAGGAGGGGACGGGAACCGAGAGCTGCTTGCACGAGCAGGACTCAAAGTCGAACCAGCCGAACTGCTTGACGCATGCGATTGACTGCGTGAGGCTGTCCGGGCAGGTAGCCTTGGCGGTGGTGGTAGGGTCCGACTTTGTGTAGGTGTAGGCGGGGGAGGAAGGGGCAGTGGTGGGGGCGGTAGAAGCAGCGGAGGTGGTCGATGCGGTGGATGTGGTAGAGGAAGCGGACGCGGTGGAGGTGGTCGAGCAGGGAGAGGTAGAGGGTTGTGCGTAAGAAGGGACCGACTGCTTCTGGCAGGAGCACGAGTCAAAGTCGAACCACCCGAGCTCCTTGATGCACGCGACCGACTGGGCGAGGCCGTCCGGACAGCTGCTGGTGCTGGTGCTGGCGCCGGTGCACGCGCAGCTGTCGTCGTCAAAGGTGAAGCCCTTCTTGAGCTCGCACGCCTTCTTCTTCAGATCGCGAAGAGGGCAGTAGACGGCCGAGTCCTGCGGGGCGCTGACGCAGTTGCAGGACGAGTCGCACGCGTACTGGTCACCCTGGAACTTGCAGTCCGACTTGGCCGAGTCGGACGAGCAGCGCCAGTCGTGCTCGAAGAAGGTCCGGGCCGAGAGGGCGGCGGCGGCGTGGCGGACGGCGAGCTCGGCGGTCTCGGGCGAGGGGAGGGGGCTGGCGAGGGTGACTGAGAGGAGGGGAAGAGCGAGAGCGAGGAAGTGCATGATGAGGGAGGTCTTCTGAGAGGATACCGAGGTGAGGTGGAGTGGAGTGGAGGTGGTGTGGTCGAGTGTGATGAGTGACTGGGTAACTGAGTGAGGAGGGAGTGATGACCAGTACAGCCCAGCTCCCATCCCATCTTATATCTCCCTCTTCGCCGTGCCTCCACCCACGGCCAAGTCGAGCGGGAGGGCACTTAGCACCATCACCTACAGCGCCGTTATACGGGCCATCCCGGTCAGCCCAAAGCCCATCACAGACCGAAACATCACCGCTAGTAAAAGATATGGGCGAACGTCAAAAGTCTCCCGTTTACACAACTTAAGCACAGTAGCCGTCAGCCACTCGTCCTCACCGGTGAGCGGGATGCCATTACCGTCAGACCGGCACCAAGGTATGTTCTGCGGCAATCGAGGATCTCAAGTAGGGCTGGCATGTGTCTGTGCCTGTTCCCGATCGCTCGATCACGCTGATCGCTGATCCTTGCCGGCGGCCGGAAGAAACGGTAGGCGTGCTCCCGTATCGCCCGTATTGGTCGATAAGCGAGAGCAGCCTGTCGACTGTGCACTCGTAGCTCGTCACAGGCGATGAATCCCCGATGGTGTGGACCCAGAATAGTGGTAAAGAAGGGCAAAAGACTTCCCGAGAAGGAGCAGAGAAGGATGGTCGCCGATCCCGCTTGTAAAATTTGCATTTATCCTACTGTTGGAAATCCGAGCTATTCAACTAAGGTCTATGGAACTATACTATAACTATCTATTCCCAAGTTACAGATCTAGCTCTCGCCCTCACGAACCCCAGCGATAGCCCCCGTAATAACGCCGCCCACTCCCAGTCTTTCACCCCCTCCTCCCATGCATCCATCTGCTTCTTTGTGTCCTTCTCCATGAACCCCCCGCTTGTCATCACGACCGCCGAAAATTTCCCAATCCCGCTCGGAGCATTCTCCCTCGTCTTCGCTGCCACCGCCCTGAGGTATCTGTCCATCTGCGCCTCAATCTGGTCCCAGATCGGTGTTGTAGAGGTGGATGAGACTGGGTGTTGGGGATCTTTGCCGAAGGAGGAGAGGGCGGATTCGCTGAAGATGGAGTAGACTTTGATGTCGTGTTCCGAGGTGGCCAGACCAGAGCCGTCTGAACCCCAGACCCGGAGATCGTTCCTTCTCAGGGACTCTTCCGTTGAAGTAGGCTCGAGTTCTACCTTGACGCCCCGGACGGACGAGAGGGTTTGGCCGATACCGCGGACGACCATGTTGTGACGGGGGTACTTGCCGTCAATGTTGCAGGTCTCCGGATGGCCGAGACCCTGGCCATCTTTGCCGCACCGGTTGCAATGATTGGAGAGGGGGAGGAGGGTCCGATAGTGAAGGGCGACGCTGATTTGTTGATTTGTAAGTTGTAGCGCTTTCGTCCAGGGGATGGCAGACAGCCATAATCTCCCCAAGGGCGACCCGTTCTCCCTCATTCCCTTCCTCTCCTTGTCCGTCAATTTCGCCAGCAGCACCTCCCTCCTCGCGTCCAGCACCACCAGACATCTCTCGCTCTGACCGACGACCTTCTCCGCCGCTCCCTCCTGCTCCCACTCGTCCGGCTCCAACAGACTCTTCAAGGTTATGTCCGCCATCTCATCCGCTGCCGCCCTGGCTATGGGCGCCACCTCCTCGTGGGACAGAATTCCCATACCACCGCTCCTGATGGGTAGAGACATGATCTCGTCTTGGAATCGGTGATCCCCATCACTCGACCTGAGAGAGATGATGCTGTTCCAGAGCGCGGTGTCTAGCTCTGCCCAGACGTGTCCGAGGTCCGAGGTATCGAGGCACCGCTGCAGGTGGCGGAGTTTCTGCTGATACGAGAGCCGGAGGATGAGGAGGGCGTGCTGTGCGTGGAGGGAATCGAGCTTGTCAAGGTTGAGGGAGAGCTCGGCGATCTTGGCCCTGAGGAAGGTCTCTCTCCCTGCTCTGGGGCCGATAAAGCTGCCAAGCACCTTGATCCCGTTCGACCGTACGTCGTCGAGTAGCCAAGACTGGCACTTGAGCTCGTTGAGGGTAAGGTGGTGAGGGCGGGACTGGAAGAAGGTTTTCGTTTTAGGGAGGGGGTCGAAATCGGTGGAGAGGATGTAAACGTCGTCGAGATACGCCAGGATGAGGCAATTGGGCCCCAGCTCCCGTTGGAGATCCTCGAGGACGACGCGCATGGCGATAGAGAAGAGTAGCGGCCCCAGCGGGTCCCCCTGGCGGACTCCCTCCGAGGAGAAGATGACGTCTACCCATTCGTCCCCCTCCAGTCTCGTCTCCAGACCGTTCACCACTAAAATCGACTTCCGCCCATACGCCCACTTCGCCGCTCGGTATAGACCCGGCGCGTACTTCTTGACCGCCTCTGCGATAGACCTCCGCGACTTGAGATTGAAAGCGTTCTTCGCGTCCAGACTGGTTACCCACTTGTACTCCGCCGGTAGCTTCTTATCCGCCGCTCGCTGTATGACCCTCAGAATCGGCTTGACCCTCAGAAATCCCGCTTGAGACAGGTTACGGCATGGTGGCACCTCCGATCTTGCCGCAGAGTGGCATATTGGTGCCCCTCTCTCCTTGTCCAACTGTCAGGACTGAGAGTCGAAAATAGTGGACAAGACCGCGCACGTGCAGCAGGTAGATGACACTGGTAGCGGCATGCCCGAGAAGGATGTAAGCTGTGGGGAGCACGCGGGCGCCATCCGCCGAGGCCCGCAGAGCGCCCGCGCTGACTGGTCGGTTCTGCATCAGAACGCTTAGCACTTCGAAGCTCACCGATAGAGAGAACCGGACAGCTCGTAGACCTTCAAGGATCACATAAAATCGTCATCGCTCCATTCTTCCCGCTGCGCAAAGCTCTCCTCGGTGTATATCCCCTCATAGCTCCTTTGCTTCTTCCCTTCTTCCCACGCCTTCTTCTGCTCGAGCTCTTGTAGCCGCTGGGAAGTCAGCATATCATATCATCCCATCCCATCCCCCGCCCGCCATGCCCCCGCCACATGGAAGAAGCGACTCACCCTCTCCTCCGCCGCAGCCTTCTTTTTCCGCCCCTCCGCCTTGAGCCGATCTTGCCGTTCCGCCTCGTGGTGTACCTCTTTCTCCACTTTGGTCTTGTTGAGCCGGTTGACTATGGCATTGTCGCGCGTTGATACGTGTACTGCTCATTGTCAGTCAAGGACAGGCGATGGAGTGTGGACGACAGCAGGTGAACTTGGGACTCACCCCGCTTGACCTTCTTATCTGAGTGAAAGGAGACTTGACCGGTTGCCATATCGCCTGTTTTCTGGCCGATCATCAGGGTGCCCACAGGGCACATGATGGAGACCGCTCACCTTCAGGTTGGGAAAGGGGGTGTAGATGATCTGACCAGTCAGCGCCCTCACGCTCATCAGACTTCCGTGTCCGTTCGTTTTCACTCACCACCACATTATCCTTCTTATTGCCTGAGAATCAGCTGTGCTCACTCTCTGACCTGTACTCACCCTCTATACTATTCGCCTTGACCAGCTGCGCCGCATCGTTCAAGACCGAGACCGGCAGCTTATCCCACTCGCCATGCGGCTGCTCCTCGGTCTGCCTGAGATAGACGTGGGCTGATGATAGCTTACTGCCGATCAGTACGGTTCACAAAAGAAGAGGAATTGGGCTCACTCGACATGGAACCAGATATCAGTAGGTAAGCCGTACTTGAGGAGTTCTTCATCTTGCGGCGTCAGCTCTTCTCTGATCTAGCCTCGTTGAATGCAGATAGGCCATGCGCTGAGGCCTGGTGAGGCAGAACGGTAAAGAGGTGAGCTCACTTTCCACCTTATCTCTGCCCCTGCCAAACGTAGTCAGTATACAAGTCAAAGCAGCGTAGTGAGCAAGCGTACATGTAGATGGTCACAGGAGGATCCACGACTGGTCCGTAAGCGACGCCTCAGCCTTGGCTCCATAGCCGACGCACCCTTGGAGGTGAAGAACAGCACCATCCCCTGCTGCGGAAGAGAGAGACGGCCGGGAACGCAGCCTCTGACGGTGACGGACTGCTATGCTATCGGTGGTAGAGATGAAGCTTGGATGAAGCTGTACTGTGGCCAAACTGTGGCTGCGGCCAAGTCGATCAAGCTCAATTGCTGCACAGCTTATCAGATACCCCCATATAGCTTATAGGCGCGGATCTCGGCGTGACATCCCCCTGTTTCACGATGAAACAAGGGGTAGTTCAGGGATCTCAGGGATCGCCCTTGTCACGACAACGGCATGACGCGTTCCAAACACGGGGTAATCACAAAAGCGCGCTCGGCCCCTCCCGTTTCCCTTAGCAAGTCGGCCCTATTTCCTAATCAAAAGGCAGCTCTGATTAGGATTTTGCTTGCTAATAGCTTGGCTGCTTGGTTGTTTATTGTAACGCGTAACTAGTGGAACGCACGGGGAAAGGAGCTTTGACCCTCGTTTTAGCCTTGTCCTTGGTCCTCGTCGCCCAGCTCATCATCCTCTTGTTGCCTCTCAACCTCTCCTCGATTCGTTCATCCATACTTCGACTTCTGCAGCTACTCGACTCCTACGCCAACTTACCCACACTCGTTTGACACGACCCAATCTCACATTCACGACCACCACCCTGCACGAATTCGATACAAACCGCGTCGACCGCTTTTGCATCACATCAAACCTTGTAGTGAACGACCAGATCGTCAATCTCCTCCACTATCAACCTCGTCTCCTCCCTCTCTATCTCAGTCTTCAGCCACAACCCCTCTGCTCGTTCTCGCTAGCGAAACGCATCATATAACGGTTTTTACGGATCACTCGGAATAAAGGAAGGACTTCATCACTCAACCCTCACATCAATCATGATCCCCGCTATTGTCCTCGCAAAGGTGTTGCCGGCGTTGGCATTGGTCGGCCTGGCGCTGACTGGTCTTGAGAACGTCCCGGTAAGTTCCTTCTGTCACTCGGATATCATCACTTCTTCTGGGAATGCCCATCGTGCTTGACTTGGATACCGAACCACCCGCCCATCTTAACGGCTTATGCTGACATGCAGGCCGCCGCCGCTCACTCGCCCTCCCGCCGTGGTCACTCACACCAGCACCTCGCCATCCGCGCGGCCGTGCAGCAAAATACCGGCGCCCAGGAGAAGAAGCGCGTCGTCATTCGTCGTCGGGCCAACGGGACCCAATGCCGAGTCAGGGGCGGCGCCCTTTCTCCCTCGGCCAACACCAGCTCCGCCGCTGCTGCTCCCAGCTCTGCTGCTCCCGCTGCCTCATCCGCCGCCGCGCCCGTTGTCGCGCAGGAGATCCAGGCCCAGCCGCAAGTCGCTAGCTCCGCCGCTCCCTCCCCGGCCGCTCCCACGCAGAACAACCAGAACTGGGCGGCTGCCTCGTCTGCTGCTGCTGCTCCGGCTCCGGCAGCGGCCTCGCCATCTCCGGCCGCGAAGAACAACAGCCCGGCCTACTCGGGGTCGTCCGGCGGCGCATGGGGCGGATGGACCAACGTTCACTCCAAGCTCGGTAATGCCTGGCCGAACGGAGACTGGGCTGGGAAGGACCAGCCTGACTATGTCGGGAACTATATCGGGTCTAAAGCTTCGTGGTATTATACCTGGAGTCCCCGTGAGTACCCCTTATGCAGCCAGCTTTGGCGGCTTGTACGGCATACAGGACTAAGCTGACCCTCTCAGACGCTGTGGTATGTTATTCCTGATCAACCGTGGCTCGGTCGGAATCTTCCCATCATCTCTGTTTGGTCTCTCTATCTGGATTGAAGTTGAGGCGAGAGCGGTCTGGCGTCAGGAGGAATATGGTGTCGCGCTGGATCGGGAGCAGACTAGAAGGCAAGTCAACCGTAGCTGACATGGCCAGGGAAGCGCCGATTCTCTCGGTCTCGAATTCGTGCCCATGCTTTGGGGTCCCCACCAAGTCAGCGACTGGTGGTCTCAGCAGGCATCATGGCCCAAGACGGTCAAGAATGCGCTTTTCTTCAACGTGAGCTACTCTCTGCGTCGCTGCCGGCGGACCCAGCTGATCAAACAGGAGCCCAACGAGCACTCTCAGTGCAACATGGCCGCAGGCGACTCGATCTCGTACTGGATGAACGACTTCCTTCCTCTCCGGTCCAAGGGCGTCCGTCTCGGTGGTGCCGCCACCACGTCCGCGCCTTCCGGTCTTGTTTGGTCGCAGGACTTTGAGAAGCTTTGTGTTCAGTATGGTAACAGTAAAGCCGACTGTACCCCCGAGTGAGTTGCGACTGTCCATGATGTGAAGGGGTAAGAGCTGATCGATAGCTTTGTTCCTATCCACTGGTACGATGTCACCCCGCAGAACTTCCAGGCATATGTCGAGAACTACCACAAGGGTGTTGGACACAACCGTGAGTTGCTTACCTCAAGCACCTGCGCCCCTCATGGACCCCTTCAGCTACAAAATCCTTCACCCTTGCAAGAGCAAGAGCCTGTAGCTGATACTGTTAGTCTGGGTGACTGAGTACGCGTGCCAGAACTTCAACGGAGGTGCTCAGTGCTCTGATGGCGAGAGTGAGTGCTTATAAACGACTCTGGAGGCTTGACGGGGGTGGAGAACTGACAACTTTCAGCTTGGGCGCTCCATCAGCAAATGTCGAACTGGTTCGACCAGCAGGACTACATTGAGCGTTACGCGCCATTCGGTATGTCCCTTGCGTTCCAGGGATGGAGCTTGATCTGACTCTACAGGTGTCATGAAGCAGATGCAGGGCGTCAACCAGTACAACGCGTTGATGAACCCCGATGGCTCGATCACGTCTTTGGGTAACTGGGTAAGCTAACCCTTCTCTTTGTTCAGGCAATTTGTGAGGGCAATAGCTGACTGCTATAGTACATCTGGAGCTCCTAGATGATGGCCCGAGATGCGAGAGGACGACCCGAAACGAAGGAGGCGGATGACGATACAAAATGACGACCCCTTCAAATTTCAACTTTGGACCCTGTGGTTATTTTTCCTTTTCTTCTGGTATTTTTAGATGATGACCCGAGCGTATATAGACTTGATGTCATATCGTCTCGTCGTCAAGCTGGATCGAAATGAGCCGTCAGCGTGCGGCGGGTCTGAAGCGTACTGTAGGTGGGTATGGGCAATCTGAAACGCGCGGGGTAAAGGCACAATAAGGGCGGGATCAAACCTCGGTCCAGCCTCAGCTTGTGACTCTGGAGCACGTTCAGACGCATCCAGCATCTCTCTCCATTGTTGATCTCTAATTGCCATACGCGTTCCATACCCGCTCATACTCTTTGCCCCTTTGGCTCTGCCCTCTGCCCGCTCATCTGGCCTTCAACTCTCATTCGGATCTCATCGCCCCCAATCTCACGGTACTTTCGACGCGGTATGACGTAGAAACGTCTCACCGACTCTCCGACGCGCTCAGTAGATCTACATACGCAAATCAACAGCCGTCTCATTCGGTCCTCGGTCCTCGGTACTTCCGAGCGGGAACGAACGGAGATTCTCCCGGCCGGTCCTCGGTTCAATCTAGTCGTCATCTCCGGGGGCAATCTATCTATGTTTATCATCTAAACGGACGGGATTGTGCCTGGCTGCACCCTCGACATCTCAGTGTATATCGCTCGGGCGTCCATCTCGGTCCTGCAACTCATACCTCATCTACCAGAGGCATAATGGGCATCCAATCCTTCCTTACTGGCTCAGCCTCGCCAGAGGCCGGACCATCCACCTACGCCACTATCCGCTCAGCACCCACTTCGGCCGGTCGCCCCGTCTCCCCCTCGTCCGCTAGTCGGTCGCCTCGCCGGACTCCCGCTTCCCCACCTCTCCAACTCCAGGCGGATCCGGATTCGGTCCTCCCGTATCTGCGACCATCGCAGTCTCCTCCGTCAGCTTCGGGCCGGACACTGCTCCCTGCCCCACCTTCCCCTTTCTCCACACGGCAAGCGCAGGATAGCTCGTCCAGTCCAGGACCGGCAAGTCCGTCCGTCTCGCCTAGTGGGGCGGTGGGAGAAACGAGAGGGATGAAGCGGCGTCCGAGACCCCTAGATCTGCGTGGCGAAGGGAGCAGCCCGCGCGTTGATCCGGAGCTACAGGAACATCTGGACGATATCGCTTCTTCAATCTCCATAACAACCGGTGGTGAGTCACTCCTCGTATTGCTGAGACCTCATGCTGATCCTATAGCCAGCTCACTCTCGGACGAATTGCAAGATCTGACGGTACTGCGGGATACGGTGCACCGCAATCTCCGCGATCGGCCCGTCGTCTCCCCTCATCCCCTATCGGCCGGCTCGGGGTTCGCTACGCCCAGCACGCCAGATAGTGCACCGCCCGACCTCGCTCCAGAGGACCTCACGGATATACCGGAGCTGCACCGCCTCCTCTCCTCCCCTACTCCTACTCCCCTTCTTATTGTCGATACGCGCGCGCTCGGGCCGTATCTCGACGCCCACCTCCCTCGCTCCGTCAACCTCTCGATACCCACCCTGATCTTCAAGCGGCTTCGGAAAGGCATCGGCGCAAAGATGACGTGGAGCGGATTGGCGGCGTTCGTGACGACGGACGAAGGGAAAGCGGAGTGGGAAGCCCTAGAAGCGGCGCAGGGTCTGGAGGTGGTAATCATGGGCTCATGGGGATGGGACGATACGGCGCGGGGGTTGTTGCCTATCCTGCGGGAGCTTGTGCCGGGAGGGAAGGTCACGCTGGCGAAGGGCGGATGGCAAGCGGTGGAAGGGGACTCGAGCTTCGCTACGGTCCTGGAACGCACGGCCGTAGCGGGACCCAGCAAGATTTCGACTCCAGCTCGACCTTCTGCCCCTCTCCGGTCCTCCACTCTTCCCTTACTCCACTCGAAACAACCTCAGACGGCCCCATCACTATCACCCGAGATGAGCTTCCTCCTCGCACCTCCTACCCCGCCGATCGAGCCCGTCCCTCGCCTAGCCAACCAATTATCCATGCCGTCTCTCCGGGCCAAGCGGGGCCAGCCCACCCTGTCGCTAAATACTGGCGGCGGCAAGAAGCCGCTGGGGCTCTCGCTCGATACGGACCGGCCAATACGGTCCGCTACGGTCAGCTCGTTTCCTCGTAGTCCTACCAATCTGCGCTCCCCGGGTCTGCTCAAGATCGACACGACGGTAGCGAGGGATCAGCTATCGTCGGGTCCGTCTTCACCATCTCTGCATAAGCTCAACGGGCATACCCCCCAAGCCGACCAGACGCTCTACGCCGAGCCTGAACTTATCGCTATCCCCCGCACACCCGTCATGACTGCCCGTAATGCCATGTCTCCCTTTATCGTCTCTACCATCCTCCCCGGCTTTCTCTACCTCGGTCCTGAAATCACCAATGACGAGGACGTCGCCACGCTCCGGCGGAATGGGGTCAAGCGGATCTTGAACGTCGCCAAGGAATGCGATGAAGAGGGATTGGGGCTGAAGGAGACGTTTGAGCGGTACTTTAAGATCCCGATGCGGGACACGGTGGAGGAAAGCGGGGTGGGCAAGGGGATGCGCGATGCTTGCAATTATCTCGGTATGTTTTACTACTGAGCAGAGCTGACTATAGACGACGCAAGACTGCACGACGCTCCGACATATGTCCACTGCCGAGCGGGTAAATCACGCTCCGTGACTGTCGTCCTCGCGTACCTCATCCACGCCAACGCATGGACGCTCAAGACCGCCTACGCCTACGTCGCCGAACGCCGGAAAGGCATCTCACCAAATATCGGGTTTGTCGCCGAGTTGATGCAATTCGAGGAGGCGGAATTGGGCGTCAAGCAGTCGGGTGGGGTACATGGGGAGAGTGGCGAGGGGGAGAGGCAGGATGATGAGGGGACAGAAGGGAAGGGAAGTCAGGGGAGGGGCAAGACCAAGGGTCAGCGATACGCCCGCGAGAGTCTACCTCCGGCGTGGGGGAGTCTAGGGTCCAACAAGCCCAGCTGGATATCGAGCTTCTCGGATGAGCCGGCGGGTGCGGAAGGAGAAGAGCGGCAAGTCAAGGAAGAGCGCAAAGTCGATGAGCGGGAAGTGAGGAAGAATGGGCAGTGGGTTCAGCAGAGACGGTGAGTTTGTGTCACGCACAATGAGGGTTATAGCTGATGAGCAGGGTACCGGTTGATCGGTCGACTTTACAGCCGGGACGACGGGCGTCCAAGGCGGGTCTGGAAAGTCTGAGGGGACTGGCGGGTATCACGTCTGCGAGGCCTAGTCCACAGCCTAGTCCGGGTGTGGAAGGGGGTTCAAGCACGCCTAGCGCAGGGGGACGTTTGGGGTGGATCTAGGTTACCTATCTAGGGAGAGGTACCTTAGGGTACCTTAGCTCATAATCACGGCACATGTGGCGCCGAATGCAAAGTGAATTTCTTGCTAGTGCCTCATGATGACGTGTCCTGATCTCGGCCTGGTCGGGTCGGATCAGTGATAGGCAAGAATGCCGTCAGTCGGCGGCGGAGAACCCCGGATAACGACTAATCGCTCACGTGTCCGCGCCGAGGTATGAGCGGTCGCGCGCGTCGCCGTATTCACAGGCCCGCGCCGCTGGGCTGTCGCGATTCATCTGGACCCACTTTGGATCGCGTTTTAGGCTCAATAGAAGCTTTTCCTTTTCCCTTGCCTTTCTCCAAGCGATGTCATGGTCATGCCGAGCCGTCCTTTTATGGAGTGGCAACGGCGCTGTGGAGCAGCTTTGAATTTGATCCCGCCAAGGGCTAAGAAACGAAGCAGCTGCAGCTGCAGGCGGCAAAATTCCTCCCGATCCTGAATGATTCCAGCAAACCTCTCTCACGCATTCCTACCTGCGGATCGCGTGCAAGGACACCTTGGATCCTCACGCACGAAGCAAGTGACCCTCGTCCACTCGATGCACTCTACTGACTGAGCGCAGAAACGAGTTTCATCCCTTCAGCCGACCACAGAGCGGATACTTTATACCCGGCGAGCCGGCAGTGGGCGGTGCCTGGCCTACGCTCCAAGCATTTCTTCGTCGATCATTTCGGTTGCTGTCAGGCGAGCAGGGACGAACTAGGACGAACTGAGGCAGCGAGCAAGAGAAGGGAGTGCAGGTGGCCGATCAGTATATGGGGGACAGGGATCGACTAGGGATAAAAGGCGCAACGAGGTGGCTGGTGCGACTCTTGCGCGAGATTTCCGGGGATAAAGCTTAAGGGGCGCCGGAGCTTTTATGAGGGAACAACTTCGGCTCTCCCAGCGGCTCTCCCAGCAGCTGCCAGCTCAAGCTCAAGCTCTCCTTCCCACCCTTCCCTCGACCGTGCACCTGCATTCCTCTACTCAACAACTCTCCGACGATACCCCTGCATCCACCCAGAAATCACACAGCAGCGACCACAAAGAATCGCAACCTCCTCCACTCCTCGCTCGAGCCTCCATTCCTCCCCCTTCCGTCCTCGGGGAGGACACATCTCCTTCTCTCCGGCGGCAACTCCAGTCCTCACCACCTTCGCCCACCGCCAGTCGCGCCTTTCCCTTCGCTTCCGTCTTTCAGCTTCACACCGGCCCCTTTGTTCTCGTAGGGGGTGGCGAAAGGATAGACGGAGGTGGCGGTAGCTGCTGTACATGCGCAGAATAGGGAACAAGGAGGATGGGGATATGATAGAAAGGATATCCCACTCCCAATCAGCTCAACCCACTCGCTCATCATCGTCCTCGCGCTCTCGACCTAGACATAAAGGGACCGGCCTCGGCGTCGATTCCCCTTTCTCGCGACGATCAACAAGATACTCCGGTATCGCCTTGACTGGAAAATCATCCCGTCAGCGTCGTTCACACCCATCAACCCCAATATCTCGCGGGAAAGAGTCCGCGGGTCGCGAGGATCAGTAATTAGTAGGGATGGACGAGGTCAATATGAGTAGGGAAGTGGCGGAGGCGGAAGTGGCGGAGGAGAAGGAGCCAGAGGCGGTCAGAGAGTCAGAGAGAGAAACGTCGCCACGCAAGCGGAGAAGGTCTAGCCCTGATACCGCCCTCGCACGTCTAACCTCACCTACGGGTTCCAACCCTTCTGCCCCGCCATCCACCTCGCGCGTCACGTCGGAACCCCCACAACCCATCCATCCACTACCCTCATCCGCCATCTCCTCTCTCATCCATCCCACCGGATCGACCTCTCTCCGCCGCCGCACGCTCGACGAGTCGGACTCCCCCATGCCCCGACCCGTTCAAGCTCCCGCTCCCTCTCGATACCGCCACTCCACCTCCCCTATCGCGGCTCTCGGCGCGTCTCTTCCCTCTCAGTCTCGCGACCGAGATATCCCCCGTTACGTCTCGCCAACGGAACCGGGGCATACCTTATCGCCTGCTCGACAGCAGCGCCCGCAAACTTTCCCCTCTAGCACATCCGTCCCGCGCAGCTCCGATAGCTTCAACCTTTTTCCACCTCCGCCACCCCCTCTCGGCCGCACCGCTCGACCCCGCCCGTCCTTACCTCCCTCTACCGCAGATCGGCCCTCCGTCCATCCACCCTCGGTCAGGGGCCCGTCAGTACCATACGACGAGCCTCTCTACTTTACGCAGAGGGACTCGCCACCGCTGAGAGAAAGAGAACGGCCGGGACCCCAGTCTTTCCCTCCGTCCGGCTCTGGTACGTCCTCCTCGTACGCAGAAGCCCATCCATCCACCTCGCACCAAGCGATCAAGGCGACATTCAGCCTCGGCCCCATGACCCCGGTGGACATGCGGCAGTGGGATCAGGGAAGAAGAGAGGCATATCAGCGGGGATATACCGATGCGCTAAAGGCGGTACAGCGGGGAGTAGTAAGTGTGCATGGCAGTCAATGTGAGTATCTATTAGGTTGAGTAAAAAATCAGTACTGACATCCAGACCCTTTTCCGACGCTGGTCAGGCGAGACGGGTCGGTACCGGTACCGGTTTCGGAAAGACCCCGTAGCATCGAGCAACCGCGTCAGTCTCTGGGGGAGTCATCTCGCTCCTCGTATCCAAAACGACACCCTCAGCCTTCCTCCAACATGTGGCTCCCGGCGGATCGTTCTCCACAGCCTCCTCACCGGTACCCTCCCCCTCATTACGACTATGACCCATACCCTTATCGTTCCTCCGCCTCTGGCTCCAGCTCGACGTGGACCGACGATGCTGCCGAGTACAGCCAGTACGGTCACTCCGTCCCTCCTCTCTCGCGCCATCCAGCGTATCCCTATCACACCGACCCCGGGCATGGGCCATACTATCCCGCCCCTCATCCCCGCGCGTACACTTACGAGAACCATCCCACCTACGCCTCCAACCCCACCACCACCACCACGACGACCACCACGGGCACTGGCGGAGGCGGAGGCACTGGCAGCGGCGATGGCGACGTCTCCGGCTCGCCTAGCGTCCGCTTCGGTCCGCGTCAGCTCATCTCGTGCTACCCCTGCCGGTCGCGCAAGATGAAGTGCGACGGCAACAAGCCGTGCATATCGTGCATCCGGCGAGGCAGCGAGGCGGAGTGCGAGTTTGCCGCGACAGTCAGGCGGAGAGGAAAGGGAAAAAAGAATCCGAGGGAGGGTGGAATGAGCGGTAGCGAGTCGGGACAGGAAAGTATCGACGAGAGGTATAGGATGGAAGGGATGAACTTGCCTGATGTGGGCGAAGATAGAAATGGTTAGGACAAACAAAAAGGGCGGTTCTGTACATGATGCGAAATAGACGCAATACACCATACTATTTCCATGTAATGTTGAGAGAGAACTTGGCGTAAGCTCGCGCAAAACTTGCTGACCGGTGAGTGGCGGGACATGCCTGAGTCCAAAACTCCAGGACGGTCGGCCTTGGCGTTTTGGGCGTGATGAGGTGACCACGGCGTCTGCTCCATCTGGGTGATGTGGGCGAGCATGTACCTGCTAGGCTGCGCATCTCTCCTCGCCGTGCACAGACAGTCAGACACAGGATGAAAGGTAACAGAGAGAGAGAGAACAAGCGGACGATCTTTCAGAAGCATCCGGTAGCATCCGGAAACATCCGGACCGGAAGCTTTCTGGATCTGGGCCTTGGGCCCGGCCCAAACTATAAGTGGCGACCCAGCACCGACTCGCGCCTCGAGATAATGATAATAGGCGGACTAGACACGTCTTCCGCATACCAGTCAATCGCTCTAGCGAGCAGGTTGTAAAGGTGGTGAAGGGAGGGGGACCAAAGGGACCCCTTTGTCTAGTGCCACTTTGCGGAGGCCCCCACGGCTCACTGCGTCAGTGATCTTGGAATCACCCTCTGGTCTATGTGTGTACGATGTCGGTCTGTGGACTCTAGAGTCAGCAGAACGAGGAGCAGGCTCTTCCTCTCCCTCTCCATGCATCAAGTGCCGCAAGGGAAGAGGAACAAGGTGCTCCATCGGCCTAGGCGAGGCTTAGAGTTTGGTGCCTCTTCAGCGCGACCACAAGTGACGTTACCCGGCCAGGTTTGTGGGAATGAGGCACACAGCTCAATGGCGCCTGCCGTGCGACCAAGAAGTTGCGGAACAGAGCGGCCACTGCCCGCAATGGACAAGGTCAAGCCTGAGGAGTTCAGCACTGTCAAGTTGGACGATGTGCCGGCGTCGAACTTACTACCTTCTAGCGAGACAAAGATCGGAGTCAGGAGGTGAGGCGTGCCAATTAGCAGGGGTGGCCGTCCTGCGGCTAAGTAGGAGCGGCCATGATTGTGGCGTTGCAGGCCGCAGCGATGAGACAAGTTCACTTGGGAGCGGATGTCCCCTGTCAAGAGCTTAAGTTGCAAGCAGAGAACGTAATAACCGGGATGCCAGAGAGAGAGTCGCCAAAGAGCCCGACTGGTGGATCCGGACCCTGGATTTGAAGTCCAATTACACTCGAGCGTCTGAGCAGGATCATATACAGTGAGGTCGGCTGGAATGAGACAAAGCTTGGACATATACTGATCACTTTGCATGACTGCCACTCTCTGTTCTCTGCTAGCTAGCTCGTTGTACCGCCGTTGCCTACCCACGCTGCGCCGCCTCAGTCTCAGATTGACCGCTTCTCCCTCTCACTCTCCCTCGCGTTGAGCTGATCCCAACGCTTCTGCTGGTCTGAAGCGAGCCCTGAAACTGGCTGCTTCGGTAGGCCAAAGTCGTATTCCCGCCGTCCTGCCAAGGAGGCCCTTGTCTCTGGAGCGGTCCGAAGCTCGTTGATACGGAGGTCTTTGATACGAGAGGCCGCGCGGTATTGTTGGAGGGACAGCTTGGATTTGGCGGCTTTGGAGCGCAGGGTGGCGATGGTCTTGTTCTTCTCCCGCAGCTAAGTAGTCAGCCATGCTCTCCATGCGTGGTCGATATGGCAGTCGGGTCTGAGATTTACGTACCTCCTCATTCTGAGCTTCCACTGTCACTGCTGGCGCTGCGGTCTCAGGAGAGAGCCGAGCCTTGTCCGTACAGTCCGTTCTGTTAACGGGACGAGCGGATCCGAAAAGCATGTCCTCGATGCGCCTATCGATGGGGTCGGCGTCGAGCTCTCGGGGAGGTGATGACGGGCGCTGCAGCAGCCTCGAGCCGTACGCGTTTGCCCGAGAGGCGACAGCAGGGCCAGGCAGTTCCGGCGGGCTTGCGAGTCGAGCTGCCGGGCGGCTCACTGTAGACGCCTGATCCTGTCAGCAAGATCTACCCAAGCCAGAGTCCAGACCAGGAGAGAAACATACCTTGGGCTTCCGATTGTATCTGCCTGGGATCGATAGCTCATCGGGCATAAAGTGGAACCGAGCGGTGCTTTGCGGCTATTAATTAGCTCGGATTCCACTGAACCGCGTATAGTCTCACCTTGTACGATCCGACTCTGGAAGCGGATGAGCAACCTGAAGAGGGTCCTGCCTCTGCGTTGCGCATCATACTAGCAGTGTTACTGAGGTCTTCCCGCTCGTCTCGACCGTGGCGGAGCGTCGACGAGCTCGATATGCTGGTCGAACCGATACTGCCCGTGTCCCGCGCGTCTGTCCCCCTTCCGTGCTCTTCGTCTTCGGGTCGATGCTCGGGAAAGCCAGGCCAGTACTTAGCATGAGGCTTGGCTGGCCTAGGGAAGGCGGGGTATTCGGGCCTGGGTTGCATCTCGATGTTGTCCGCCGGAGGCGAGCCCGAGTTTTGTTGACCGGCAAAGCCCTGAGATGGGTCGTTCTCCTCGTCCGAGTCGTCGCCAGTGAGGTCGATGATGCCCAGTCCGACTGTTGACCTTCGCAGTGGGACGTCAAGTGAGCCCGTCGGAGTATCAGTTCGTTGCCGCTTGATTTGTCTTTCGATGTCACCGCTATCCGGGTCCGTATCGGGCGATAGCGACCTCCGCTCAGTTCTGGGGGAGGTGCTCGCCGGAGGAGGGTCGAAGGCGTTGTCTTCAGGCTCTTCGAGCCCTGGTTCCGGCTCCGCTTCGACAGGTGGCGGGGACTTGATCAACCGGGGCAGGGAGGTGGGTGGCGAAAGAGCGGTGAAACCAGTCGACTTGTCTTCAGGCATGAGATACCGCTCGATGCCCTGGAACAGGTCCTGATCGTCAGCTCGCTTTTATCAGTATAGACTCGGGAATCTGACTGACAAGATCGAGCGGCTTGTAAACAATCTCCTTCCCGTCCGGGAAGCTCAGAGGCCCAATGAGGTCGATTGCGAGGTCGACGAACGTAGTAACATTGTGGACACCGCACTTGGTCCGGTCTCTTCCATACCGCCAACAGAAGACGCAGATGTCAAAAGTGAACTCGTAGCGGGTGTCGCTAATCTTCTGGGTCTTAAACTCGGCGACGACGGCCCAGAATAGCGGTGAGGTCTGTGAGAGCACGTCAGACCCGCTCGTCTAGACCGTCAGCTACATGGTATCCTTCTCCGTCGTGAACATGGGGCTTAACTCAACTCACACGAAGGCATGGGCTGGGTACCGCTTGCGCGGCCTGAGGTCGCGCTGTCCCTCTATGTCGGACTTGGAGCTGGGATCGGCGAGGTAGTATGGCGGGAGCACTTCTCTGAAGCCGAGGAGGAGGGCGTTGATGGGGTGTTTCCAGATATCGTCATACTTGCTGTTGGCTACCCAGGTGAGACCGATCACCTGTACGATACGGCCGAGGTTGGGCGGGTGGCGATGTGGGTGATCGGGATGGAGGTCGGCGATGGTGGGCTTATCGATAAGCTGCATTGTAGACGGCACGTTGGCAGGGTAGTATTGGGAGATTGATGTACGACAGAAGAAAGAAGGAAGATCAGTTCTTGAGGGGACGAGGATCGGCCCCTCGTCCACCACCAAAGACGAGGGGACGTGCGGCCGAGAGACCGTGCGCAAGCCTTCCGCAGTCATCCGCTCGGACCGCTTAGTATACACGCGCTAAGGACGCGGCTGGAGGTCCAAGCGCAACACTTTCTTGAAACGAGATCTATCGGCTGTGAATGGATGTTTCCCCACAGCCGAGGGGCGGTATTACCGCCCATGTGGCAAAGACGATGTGGACATCAGTACGTCAGCATCCTTGAACTACATGTCCATATGTGAGGTAGCAATGCATGCCAGACATGTGCGAGACCGAATCGGTCCGGACGTTGTTCTTTAACTCCGTCATCAAGGTCAGAGCCGTCAGATATATCACAAGTATATCACATTCGACGTACGGAATTAGTCAGCGGTAAGCAGCTTTATTGTCTCCCTTTTCACTCCCTACGCCTCGTTATCGGCCCGCTCCTTTGCAACCTCCTCCTTGATCGCCACCCACCTCGCCACCTCCCTCTCCCCCAGCTCCTCCACCCCATCCCTCGGCATCCCGAAATCATAGTCCCTCAGCCTCGCCAGCGCCGGATGCGTCCCCTTGATCGCCTGCCTGAGCTTGTAGTTCCGGATATCCTTGATCTGTCCGGCCGAGTAGAGTCTGTTGATGGTCCGCTCGCGATCCTTGAGTTTGGAAGCGTCCGCAGTATTCTTATCGAGGGCTTCGGTGAGGAGGATGTTGAGGGTTGCATTGCTCTTCTGCAGGTCCTCGTTCTGTGAGGTCAGCTGTATCCGTGATGACGAGAAGGAACGTCCCACCTGCTGCAGAATAGACTCCATGCACAGCGCCACCGCCTGCTTCTCCCTCTCTGCGGCTTCCTGCTTCTCCGCCTCCATTGCATCGACGAGAGACTGAATCGGCGACACCTCGAACCCCATCATCCGCTTATCGATACAGTCCTCCTCTTGCCGAAGTAGGGGTACACCGGGCGGCGACGGGGTGAATACGAGATCCAAGCCGAAGTCGGGCGAGGAGGAATCCACACGTCGCTTAAGAGGGCGTCCTCGGCTAGCGGTCTGGGAGGTCAGCTTGAGGGATCTGAGCATACAATACAGCTGTATCCAATAGAGGACTCACCGACGTTGCAGCATTTGCTTTGCCGGATGGGCCGGGGATCGGTTTGGGCTTAGCTACACGCTGAAGATCAGCCAGGGACGGAGCTGGACCGTGACATGACAGACGCACTGTATAACTCTCGAAACTCATAGGGTTATACTTAGCCTCAAACCTGCGAGCTATGTCTTCTGCCGACTCCTCCTCATCGCCACCGATAATGCGACTTAGCAATGACCTTCCGCTAGGCAGCTCGTCGGCTTTTCTCTTCTTGCTGATGCCCCCCGTAGTGGGCTTGGAGCTGCTTGCCGTGCCCGTCGAGGTGTCCGGGGTGATCTTCGGCTTGACCTCGGGCGGGGTCGTCGATTTCTTACCGGCTGCTTTGCTGGATGCACCGGCGGCGGGCTGACGGGAGTACACATTTGGTCGACGTGGAGGTGGAGGATATGACTTGGCTGGTGGCTTGGTCGGCTTTCTGATAGGCTCTGGACTAGGAGGGACGAGTATATCGCATGGCTTACCGAGTACGGTGTTGTTTCCGAGCCCCCCGATACGTGCGTTCCCGGTGTCTGACATGCTCTGATCAGTCATCGACTTGCTGAGGTGGAAATAGCCGGAAGTGTCGTATTAGGAGGATGGGAGGATGAGGGAAGGAAGGAAGGAGGGAAGAAGGGGCAAGGCGATCAGCAGGTGAGTCGTTAGCGCATCAACTATCGGAGAGGGGACCGTGCGCGAGGCCGCGAGAACGCAGTCTTTGCTCGCGCTCGGGCCGCTTGTCTCACGCGCTCTTCAAAATTGAAGTACTCAGTAATAGCGTCAGTGCTCTGCCCATATGGCTATCATGCTGATTTCTCCCGCTCGCTGCACAGGTAAGGTGAGTGTAATGTATGGATGACAAAGTCGACACCAGCCCACCCTAGCCCACCCCCAAGTTTGCAGCCAAATTGGGTGACGTCATCGAGATCGACGCGTGCAGCAGCTGCTGCAGCATTGATTTAGAAGGGGGTAAGATCGCTTGACCTCTCTATCTCACTTCACTTCCCTTGACGTACGCTCAATATGAAGCCGCCTGCGGCGAGCCCTACTGCTACCTCGACCAAGAGGCAGACGAGCCTTGCGGGCTTCTTCACCCCCGCCGGTTCCGCCAAGAAGAGCCGTACGGAAGCAGCACCCCGCCCGGTCGGGCGAGACGACGATGATGAGCCTGTAGCTATCGCTGGCCCCTCGTCCGGTACCAAGCGCAAGCTTGGGTCGGCGGAAGACTCTGCGGTCGTACGGAACATTGGCGTGGAGGAAGAAACACCTGAAGAAAGGCCATCACCGACCGACGAGGACACCTTCATCAACTACCCTCCTCGCACGCACCCGTCCTACCGCCTACCTCCTCGGCCCGACTACAACCATCCCATTCCCATCATGCCCCCTCCTCCCTCCCTCATCTCCTCCCTCCGCTTCAATACTTCTCCCCGCATCATCACGTCGCCGGCGGACCTCGATCTCCTGTATTTCAACCGGTTCATCGACCCCTCGGGCGCCCGGCAGTTGACCAAGTACCTGCTGGAGGCGATGCCGTGGTATCGGGTCAACTACAGGACTCGTATGGGGCAGGATATCAAGACCCCTCGGTACACTACGGTGTTTGGGAAGGACGCGACCCCGCTACCGTGGGATCAGTACCCCAAGTGGAGTCCGCGTGCTATTCCCGAGATCCTGCTCAGGTTGATGCAGAAGGGTGAGTCTCCACTTTCTCCAAGAGTAAAGAAGCTGACAGACCAGTCGAGCAAGTCACAGGCGAGACGTACAACTTTTCACTCGTCAACTACTATTCCTCCGGAACCGACTCGATATCCTACCATTCCGACTCGGAGCGCTTCCTCGGCCCCAACCCCTGCATAGCCTCCATCTCCCTCGGCGCCCCGCGCGACTTCTTCCTCCGCCATACCGAGCACAAGACTAACGGCCTCCCCGTCCAAAAGTTCAACCTGCACGATGGGGATATGGTCGTCATGCGCGGCAAGACGCAGCACAAGTGGGAGCACAGTATCCCGAAGCGCGCCAAGGCGGAGGGGCGGATCAATATCACGTTCAGGAAGGGAGTGGTGCAGTATGCGACGGAGAATTATTTGACGTATAATGTGGGGACGGGCCCGATGTTTAGGTGGGAAGGGGGGAAGATGGTGGAGAAGGGGTATGTGGGGTAGCGATGGGTTGGGCGGGATCACAGCGCGACCTTTGGCGCAGCAGCCCATAATCGCGCTATTCGGACCTCGCGGTCGACGTCACGCTTCGGACGTCCTGCGGCTTTCGGACATCATGCTGCCCTCTACCTCCACCCTCTACCTCTGTCGGCGACTAGCACCGGGATGGACCAGGGGCGTAGGAGCCGAAGAGGTTCCCCGCTGACCCGTTCCGGAAGGCCAACGGGGATGAGAGAGTCAAGCAGGCGTCGGGCATGTACATACATAACGCAGGACACATGTACAAGATCGTACCGCCTCATGCCTTCCCTTCCACCGCGCTTGCCTCCTCCCCCGCCTGCTTCTGCTCAAACCTCTGCTTCATCTCGAAATAATTCGAATGAAGTCCACATTCCGTCTTGCTCTTCCCCTGCCATCGCCCTGACCGCTCTCCCGCATCCGCCTGAGATGGATCCGGCAGTGCCGTCGAGTGCACGTCACCTATTGAGCGGTACCCCTGGTCCAGCAGCGGGTTATATGGCACGCCCCTACTCGTCAGCAGCGTCCCCCTTGTCTGGCAAGCGATACTCACTCCTTATCAATATAGTCCTTGACCTCCTTGAAGCTCCAAAAGATCAACGGATTGATCTTGATCAATCCCCGCTCATCCACCTCCACCACGCGCAACTCGGCCCGGTCCGCCCCCTGACTCCGCCTCCGACCCGTAATGACCGCCTTGACGCCCAGCTCCGCATACGCCCGAGCGGCCGGCTCGACCTTGACAAGATAGTCGTAGCTCGCCTCGTCGCTCTCCCAGAGCTTGTCGCCGTACTTAGCGGTGAACTCTGCTTGGGTCGATACGCCGGGCGGAGTATAGGTGTGCAGGGGGGCGAGGTAGTTGTCTGCGGCGGTTTGGGAGAGCTCGACAGACTGGGGGAAGTGGTGTAGTGTGTCGAGGAAGATCTGCGGATTAGCACTAGGGTACGGTGAGAGGTAGGTGCGGCTTACTAAGGGGACAAGGTGGGTTTCGTTCCGTTCCAGTGAAATCTTGGAAAGCATGTCAAGAGCTGCGAGGCCAGTCCTGGCTTGTCAATTGATGCCATTCCGGCAACAGGTATGCGCGTTGACTTACAGGCCAAACGCGGTCGTCTGATATAGACCCCGCACATTGTCGACGGCCCACCGCAGGATGTCCTGCGGAGACTTTCCATCGAGCTCGGCGTTGATCTTTTGCAGCTCTTCCGAGGTGAATTGTGGCCTCAGGTCGTCTGAGGGGCCTGCTTGCGACATTTTGTTGGATCTGCTGGGCGATATAGGGCAGTTCACTGCGGTTCAGTGTACGTATTGTCTTGATACAGGCTGTTAGTAAGAGTTTAAGTGCTACAGAGATGGTCTTTGTCAGCGACTTTTCCTTGGGCCATTTGGAACCACACAAGCCATGACGCCATCTGGACGCACGGACTAGCGGAGATGGAGATGAATCCCCGTCGTCGCGTCAAAGTCGCGCGAGGATCGACGTGGAATGAGCGTCCATTTTGCTAGCATACCCTAGAGCTGTACCTTTGTCTATCACACCTATCCTTACCAGCTAGAGCAATATGAAGCTCTGCGCGCACCTGCTATGGGCGTCTGCCATGCTGCTATCGCCAGCGGTACAAGCGGCGGTCCTGGCCATCGACTACGGAGCAGAATTCACCAAGCTCTCCCTTGTCAAACCGGGGGTCCCGTTCGACGTTGTCCTGGACAGGGACAGTAAGCGGAAGATCAGCAGTGTGGTCGGATGGAAGCGGGATGATCGTGTCTTTGGATCAGAAGGAAAGATGTCGGTGAGTCCCAGCCAGATCTCCTCTCGCTAGGTCAAAGCTGATTTCCAGGCGACACGATTCCCAGATACGCATTTCCCATATATAAAACCCTTACTTGCGTCCAGTTCGGAACCCTCATTGCCCCTCTACCCATCCCCCCCTACACTAGTCAACGACACCCTCATCTTCCCCCACGTATCGGCCCCCTCGCACCTTTCACCCGCCCCTTCCTCTCCACAAGAAGTATGGTCACCGACTGCACTCCTAGCGCACCAGCTTGCATACTTCCGAGGCCTCGCCTCGTCCCTCGCCGGCGAGGTCGTCAAGGACGTCATCGTCACTGCTCCCGCATGGTGGACGCAGTCACAACGGCGGGCGTACCGGGACGCACTCGAGCTGCAGGGCTTGACGTGCATGGGCATGATTGGCGAGGGAACGGCCGTCGGTCTCAACTACGCCATGACCCGCTCGTTCCCCGATTACAATGCCACCACTGGTGAAGGCGAGCGGGAGTTCCACATCATCTACGATTCTGGCGCATTGTCAACCACGGCTACCGTCTTGGCATTCTACCAGACTTCGGTCCTTCCTACGCCAAAAAGCAAAACGCCGATTAATACGACACATATCGAGGTGCTGGCGACGGGCTGGGAGCAGATTGGCGGAGTACAGCTGGACCTCATCCTCCAGGATATGCTGGTCACGGACTTTGCCAAGAAGTCGGGCAGTGATGTCAGCGGGGACAAGAAGGCCATGGCCAAGCTCGCTAGGGAGGCGAACAGGGTCAAGCACATCTTGAGCGCAAATCAGGAGAGCAATGTCGCTGTGAGCTAGTTATCTTCCCTGCGCTCTGGACTTTGCTGACCCGCAGATCGAGTCCCTCTTCAACGACGTCGACTATAAATCCCGAATCTCCCGCGCAGACCTCGAAGCCGCCTTCGAGTCCTCCCTCACCCGCTTCTCATCTCCCATCACCACCGCCCTAATCAAAGCCAACCTGTCCATCAAAGACATGACCTCTGTCATTCTTTTCGGCGGCAACACTCGAGTCCCCCTCGTCCAGTCCTCCATCCGGTCCGTCCTCGGCGACAAGGAGGACATCATCGCCCAGAATGTCAACTCGGACGAGGCGGCTGTGCTCGGCGCGGTCTTTTACGGCGCTGGCTTGAGTAAGCAGTTCAAGATGAAGAAGCTGGAGCTGCATGAGCGGAGCGTATACGATTTTCAGGCGGGCGTAGCGGGCGAGGTGATCTTCCCTGCTGGGACGCTGTTGGGGGAGAGGAAGACGATGGTATTGCCAGCGGTGGACCAGTCGGTCGAGGTGATGCAGGACGGGTAGGTCTTCCCTTTTCTGCTGATGGAGTATGGCTAAGTTCCAGGCACCCACTATTCGCTATCCAGTTCACCGACGTCGCTGCTGCGTTGTCCAACTTCTCCACCCCAGAACCCGTCATCAACCTCACGTTCCGCCTGGACCACCGCGGCCATATCGCCGCTGCCAACGCCGTCGTTGTCTCGAACGCTACGGCCTCCGCCGAGTCCACAGGCGGGATGGCCGGTGCGCTGAAGGGGCTCTTTGGCAAGAAGGAGAAGAAGGAGGATGGGGAAGCCACAGTGGAGGAGGGGACGGAGGAGGATGTTGACGCCAAAGATGTGAAGAAGGAGGTCAAGAAGGAGAAGGTGGCTGTCAAGTTTAGGGAGAAGGCGTTGGGGTTGAAGGCGATGACGGGGGAAGAAAAGCGGGTGACAATGGCTCGGTACGCTAATTTGGGTGCTGATTGGGTGAGAAGGCAAGCTGACAGGTGTAGCCTTGCGTCGATCGCCTCGTTTGAAGCCGCTCGTACGTCCCGCGAAGAGGCCCGGAACATGCTCGAGGGGTACTTGTACCGACTTACCGGTCTACTCGACCCCCAAACGGACAACACCGCCCTCCAGGAGTACTCGAAGCCGGATGAGCAGGACAAGCTGCGTGTGCTCAAGGAGGAGACCTTCGAGTGGCTATTGGAGAATGCGGAGGGCGCGGATGAAAAGACCTTAAGGGAGAAGCGGACCGAGCTAGAGTGAGTCGTATCCATGCCACACGGACATGGATGATTTCTGCTGACTATTCAGAAAACTCGAAGCACCCATCATCCTCCGATTCCAAGAATCCCGTACCCGCCCCAAAGCCGTCGAAGATTTCCAACAAGCCATGTTTGCCGCCCGGTCCTTCCTCGTCGAAGCCCAGTCCAACGTCACCATCGCCAAAGCCGCCGTTGCTGCTTCTACACCCGAATCGCCCGCCGCCCCGCCCAAGTATACCGACGAGGAGCTCACGGCGGTCGAGGTGCTCATGAAGGAGCTGGAAGAGTGGATGGACGAGGTGATGACCCAGCAGGTGTTTTTGGAGGAGGATAAGACGGCGACGCCGGTGGTTATGACCAAGGAGCTGGATGAGAGGGGGAAGAAGTTGCAGACTACTGTGAGTGCTCTCCAGTGGTGCGGACGGCCTATGAGGATTGGGAATTGGGATAAGGGCTGACGGATAGGTCTTGCGTCTTACGGCCAAGAAGAACCCTAGGGCGCCAAAAGCAAAGACTGCCTCGTCGTCTTCGTCCTCGACCACTTCCTCGTCCTCGACAGCGTCGACGGAAGCGGAGCTACCCACAGGATCGGCTGAGTCAGACGCACCAAAGCACGAAGAGCTGTAGGCTGGACAGGGTTGAGTTTGCAATATAGATTCTCAGCTGTCATGACGTCTCTGCTTGTCGGTAAACTGGTCGTCATCTACATGTGCACATTCCCGACTGACAGAGCTGAAAGAAGGCATTCTCATCCTGATCAACTGATATTCACGATCTCATGCTGACATTTACTGCATACCCCGCCACCCTCAACAACTCATACCCTGCCGCCTTCAACGAACCCCCCTGGCTCCAGCTCGTCAGGCGCCAGTTGTCAAGTCACCACCGTCCGCAGATAGTTTCTGCCGCTTCCTCGCCAGTGATGCGTCCCATTCCCGTTCCTCTTCCTCTTTCTTGGCGCTGGCGGCAAGGGCCAGTCCGAGTGGTCCGACTCCCACGCCCAGGACATCTGCCTCCATGGCCACATGGACAAGTATCGCTGACTCGAGCAGTTTTATGGCCACAGTGAGGGGGTCTTGGTCGCATACGCTCTCTGACGGGCTCGGCAAAGTTTCCTCCGGGTCGATGTCCTTCTCTTCGTCTTCCTCCGCTTCTTCCTCCTCTTCTTCTCCCAGAATGAAATCCTCGACCCAATACACTCCCAATCCTGCATTCAGCACAGCAACACGGAAGAAGAACTCTTTGTACGCGTCTTGAGTGGTCTCAAAGTTTCCGACTGCATATCCAGGCCTGTTTCCCGCCGTGTATGCGCAACGATGGAGACTTTGAAATCGTGTAACCCACAGCCTGTTTCCCTCGTCGCTTGCCCCTGTAGCTGTCCCTGCTTCGAGGTCCTCAGGCCGATGTCCAAGCAAACGATCTGTGGCTGAGGCGTTGTTGGGTACGGGTGAGGCCGAAGGCACGTCAGAGTACACAGGTGCCTTGCGGAAACTTGTCACGGCCCGAGCGGCCCGTCTCCACTTCTCGAACTGGACGCGGGCGGCGGAGAGCTCCTCGGGCTCATCATACTGATCGTCTTTGGTGATCATGTCATTGATCTTGTCAAGGGTCTTGTTGATCGAGGTGTAGACGCCATGCACCCCTCTGAGCCAGGCTCTCAGAACCTTGATGCTGACCGGGGGGTTCAATGCGTTGTCGCCATCCGGGCACTGCTCAAGCGCGACCCATGCGTCCCGGCTGGAGTAGAGACTGCTGACCTTGAGGGCAACATCGTTCAGCGCGGCAGACAGAGCTGCTGCCCAAATCTTCTTCTGCTCGTCCGTGAAGAGCACATGGTCAGACGGCTCGGGAACATCATCGGTTGAACCGGTGGTGTCAGGGAGTCCCAGTTCGGACGACTCCTCGGCATCAATGAATGTGTTAGGGGATACCAGTTTGCTTCTTGCCAAGTCAGTATCAAGCTTGTTGAACTCCTCTGCGAAGTCGTGCGTAGTAGTGGCTGTAGACTCTCCTTTACTCTCTGCCTGATTGAATACCCCACTCATGTTGGAGTCAGTCGGGTGTCGATAGGAAGGCGTTGCGATGTCCGAGTTTGATGGTAGGGTGGCAAGAAGAGAGGTATCATCAAGAGAGCCTATCGGAACAGTAGGCTGATAGGCCCTTTTGGCCGTAGTCGAAACTCCTTTGAACGCAAATCGTTTCAGCGCTCATCATGCCATCGCTGTGACAAGACTATCAAAGGTGGACTCCCGGCAAGGTCAGAGAAATACCACGTCCCGTGAGAGCAGAGCAATCAGTACAAGCCGCTGTGAGGACCGGACAGCCATATGAGCATCTAAAAGTACACACACGCCTCGCAATCTCGAAGTCGACCCTGACGTCCCTACTGATCACCCAATCTCGCTCACGTCCTCCCGATACTGCCGTCGAGATCAGCCAGTAGTCCCATCGCCACCCGCGGTATCACCTTCCGGAGCGGGTCCTTGCGCCTCCTGCAATTTACGGGTCGCTCGTGCTAGCCGCCTGTCGCGTTTCTCTTGCTCAGCTTGAGCACATCGGACTCCTGCGCCCAGTGCATCCCTTTCCATCGCGGTTAGGAAGAAAATGGCTGACTCGAGCATATCTGTGATCAGAGGAAGGACCTCGGTGGCGCGCACCTTCTCGGGAGGGATCTTCACGCGTGCCACAATCGATGTCTCCTCTTCTTCTTCTTCTTCTTCCTCTTGCTCTGCTTCCCCTTCCGGCCCCTCCGAGTCCAATCCCTCGTAGAAGGGAAGAAGGCCGCCACTGACGCACGACAAGCCCAATCGAGACTCCAACGATGCGATACTCGAACAGAAGTCCTGATATGCGATTTGAGTTTGAGTGGCGTCCGTTTGCTTGGCCCATCCTGCGGCGGCACCGTTGCGATATGGCGTTTTAAAGCTCGCCACCATCTCCTCCTCGTAGCGCTGGAAGCTCTCCGCTCGCTCCTTCTGCGTCCTGCTCCGCGCATCGCTGATGAGCCTTCCTGTCAATCCGGCGAGCACGGGACCAGTCAGATCATCCTCATGTGAGACGTTGACAGGGAAAAGCGAAGTCAGCTTCACGCCAGAAGGCGAACGCCGAGCGCAGAGCACACGTACCACGTCCTGCCTCCATCTCTCATACTGCGTGTGCGCTTCCGAATCCTGCAGAGGTAGAAGATAGGCGTGATCACCGTAGGCGGGACTGTTGTAGGCTCGATCGTCGTGAGTGATCAGGTCGTCGACCCCGTCGAGGGTCGCGTTGAGCGATCGGTGAACCCTTTCCACCTCATCACACCAGTAGTACAATTCGGTGATCCTGTTCCCGAGGCCCGGCACACGCGTCTTTCCTACGCTCCCTTCCAGCTTATCCCACCTGTCCCGACTCGAGTTGAGACTGCTGACCTTCAGGGCGCAATTACACAAAGTGTGAGACAGATCTTTTGTCCAGATTTGTGACTTGCTCGCCACCGATTCGCTTCCCGACGTCAGAGGGTCGGACTTGTCGCTTTCGAATGCGAAGTCTCGCACCTTGGTGCCTGAAGACACTCCGGATCCGCCGCTCGCCCTTTGGTCGGACTCGCGGCGCATGTTGTAAGAAGTGAGGTATTGACAAGGTACAGGCGTTGCGAGGTTCGATTCTGATGATAAGGTGAGGACAAGAGAGGTATGAACAAGAGGGTCCCCCAAATGGGGATGACCTACAAGACTCACGTGCTCGTCATCATACCTCCTTTGTATACGAATCGTTTCAGTGCTTATCGCGCAGACTCCGTGATAAGGCTGTCAACGGAGGGCCCGAGGCGACGTGAGAATGCCACGTCCCGTCAGCAAGAATAAGTCGGTATATGTCGCTGAGATGACGGATGAGGATAAAAACCGTATCCGATGTACACAAATTGTCCGAACGACCCATATCCTGACATATTCGGACATCCTCTCACGTCTGACTCTTTCGTGTCAGCTGTGAACAACCACCCCTTCTTTCGCAGGCGAGACCAGCGTGCCGCTCGAATCTGAAGCTCTGATGAAGCGTCTCGGCGGTAGGGCGATCCAGATGATGAGCGCGACGATAACCGGGGTATATTCCAGAATGCCAAACAGGTATTCGTGGCTTGAGGCATACCCGAAGAAGCCTGTACGTCAGCGATGCTCATGTGCAGGTATTGGGCTTTTGACTTACCCTGGGCTGTCTCGGCTAGACGGAACACCGTGCGCAAAAGGATCAAGAGAGAGGTACCGAGGATAACCCAGAGGAAACGCCTTAGTTGTGTGGTTTGGAGTGGGGAGGTAGGTGAGGTTTCGTGAGATGTAATTGGGGTACGCGCACGGGAGATCGCGACGAGGAGGATGGTGAGGAAGATGAGGAACGAGGCGGTCTGGCGAGAATCAGCTCAGCTCCAACTTAGACACTGCGTGGAAGACTCACTTGGATGGCGAGACCAGCCAGGAGGATGTTGTTCGCCGTTGCTGATGTGACCTTGGGGGTCTCTCTTCTGGCTATAGTGGACTGCGAGACTCCGATCAGGGCAGCTCCGGCCACCTGGATACCCGTAGTGACAGTATCCGCGGTGATGAAGACTGGGTATCAGCAGCAGTTCCATACTTCGTTCATCCATTGATGCGATGAGAGGCTTACTGGCTAGCACGATCTTTGGCCGCAGGATCAATAGGCGGTCCGCACCGTGGAAGCCCTGGACCAAGAGCGTAAGAGAGAGGTAAATCGCAGCGGTAAACAAGACTGGTGCCTGATAGATATTAGCTCAGTCTGCTGTTCAGAGCCGACTCACTCACCACCACGATTAGGAAGTACTGGACGATGAAGGGAGTAACCACATAGGGTCGGTAGCTGTTGTATATCCTGGCCGCGTACCCTCCACATTCCATCAACTGTATCGGTCAGCTCTGACTTGCCCCTTCTACTTTCGGAAACGTACCGAACCAAACGCCAGAAGCCCATGGAAGCTCCTATACCCCTTCCCCTTCGATCGCATATACCACGCATTGGCCACGAACGTCGCAAAGAAGGTGATGACGGCGACGACGGCGAGCGCGACCGAGGGGACGTAGCCATAAATCACGATGGACGCTTCGCCTGGTCCGGGATTGGGGTTCCGAGGTCCAGTATACTCGGCGGACATTGCTCAGTGATATAGTGTGATGATCCAAGGCGGAGAGAAAGCAGTGTTGGAGCTCTGTTGTATGAGAGAAGTACAAGACAGAATTGGGCAAGAAGGAGCTTACGGTCAGACAACAGAGAAAGGGTGGTGTCAGTATGACGGTTCCTTTCGATCTCGCCTGTGCTCACATCGCAGTACTCTTTGCCAAGACGATCTCGAGATCTCTGGACCGAGCTAGACCGAGCTGCATCGAGGTAGATCTCGATGCGGGACATGGGACCACTTGCTCGGCTCCCAAACGCCTCCGAGGTCGAGCGTCCGAGCATGCCCGAGTTTCGCGGAGCTTAATTCCGGAACCTTGCGAGATACATTACGTCATTTCGTTCCTGGAGATCTCGCGAGCTCGAGGTAAGCTTGGCGCGACCACAGCTCCTCATTCCTCACTGTCCAAGTGGCCGTCCTTTTGCCTTTAGGATCTGGGAGCAAGTCCCTTAGTACAGTATTCGACGTGCATAGAACAGAGCTCAAGCACGAAGTGAACGGTGGCGGCGCAAGACGATGTGTTCTGACTTCTGGGCATGAAGTATCCCGACGTTCCGGCAGATCGATTCAAGCCTGCATGGCGCGCTGGCGGGCCGCTACAATAGCGCATTGATTATATATATACACGCCTTCCCGCTTGCAAGCCTTCAGGTCAGTAGCATAAGACATGTAAGCTATTCTATCACCGAGAGCATCGTGTCCGACAGGGCAGATCTCCAAGTATGTCATGCCAGCCCGCCAGCGTGTTTCAAGGTCTCAAAGGATGCAGATATGTCTGCAAGCCCTTAAACGGCCTTCCCGGGAAATGCAACGTGTCAGGGATATCTGTGAGCCTGCACACCTACTACATATCGGAAACTGATCTGTGGAATCACGGAATGCTGTGCAGAATCCCTTCGGATAGAGTTGCTTTGTTCCACCGACCCCTACTGATCATGGGGTTGGAACACCACCCAATCCGGCCTCTCTTACACGGACGAGCCCCCAGCGTGCTGTGCACTGACTCCTTTGAGATTGGCTAATTTGAAGGCCAGCAGACCGCGTGAGAGCCGGCATTGATAAGCACTACGATATGGATAACTTCCCTCATTCTTCAATCCCTCCCTTCGCCACCCTCTTAACAAGATGAACTGGCATCCCCGTCCAGAACCATTCAACCCCTATGACTTCAACGCGCCTATCAACGACGGCCTATCATGTGACTCTTTCTTATGGGAGGGTCATGGCATGCCTCTCCAGGAGAATGGCTCCTACAACAACGTCAACCTGGAGCCCTGGACCTATGATGCGCCGGCTTGGCCAGGCAACGACGTCGGATCAACGAACTTCGAGCAGCCAGACCACCAGCAGCAGCGTTCCGGAGGTCTCCTGACCCCTGTTTCCAGCGCCATGGGATTTGAGGGGCACACACCCTTTTTCCAGCAGACTTGGACATCGCCTGTCAGCTCTGATGCTTCCTCTCCTGGTGCGGCGGAGAGCGCCCAGCCGCGGGATCGGTCTCACACTGCGAGCTGCACGTCCCATGATGTGCATGGTCAGCTCAGGCCGGACGAGTCCATTTCCCCCGCTCCCGATGAGAAAAAGTGGAAGACATCAGAGACCCGACGAGCGCAGAATACAGCTGCGCAACGGAAGCATCAACAGAGGAGAGCAAGAGAACTAAGCGCTCTGCGAAAATCACTCAAGACACTCTCAATGGAGATGCAAGAACGAAATCTTGAGAAGCGCATCTTGGCGGTGGTGTCCGGATTCCTCGGCTCTGCTGAGCCCGAGAAAGTTTCGCTTTCGACCCACTACGAGAAGGGTTTCACTGACGCGAGCTCAGTCTACGTGCTATCTCAAACGGGCCCCATGCGCTACCTCAGCGACTTGAAAATGGCAACAGTCCGTATCGGAAGAAGCATCCCCATCCTCGGATACTCCTCTCCCGGATAACGCGCCCTCCATGACCGACTCTCCAAATGCCGGTCTGCGAGCGGTACGTCCGGCTGGGATGTCAGACTCAGAAGCTGCCCTTTGGCGTCGGAGAGAGAAGGATCGTCTGGCAGCCAAAAAGTCCCGGAGGAAGAGTGGAGTGAAGGGTGACGACGTTGAGGCACTGCAGAGCTTGGAGAGACAGAAACTCAGGGACGACGTCGATACGGTGCTCCAATCCTGGCTTGCTCCAGCCAAATACCTCTTGCGTGAGGTGAGATCACGCGGAAGGGTCGACTTGTCCTTCGACCCGGCGTGTCCCATGACAGGAACAGCCGCCACGGTGTCGGTGACAGACGCAGAGGGATTCAAGTATACCATGATGCCGAGTACTCGATTCTGGGACGGGGCGGCCGATGCAGGGACGATGATCAAGTCGTATGATACTTACGAGTGAGAGGAGGCGTAGACTGGGTGATAGTCTCTAATGATGCCAAGTTTCTGAGATCGTGGTCATTTGTGCTCCCTGTTGAGCATGTGTATAGTCTACCTCTCCGCGGTGAGCCTTGCAGACCACATTAGTCGTGCCGTCCAGGATTCTCGCAGATCATGTACCGGACCAAAAAGCATTCCCCCACGGTACCCCCAAAGTCACTTGGCCGGGAGGTGGCAAATATCGGGCCGTAATTCTCGCTCCCCCACCCCCGACTTTCGAGAACCTGGCCTGTCAGAGATAATGTAGACATGATTTGTATCTGTATTGTAGTTGAAGCAGATACCGCGCGTCCGTGCTCCATGCTCCATGATGCGCGTATATCGGCCTAGATCCTCCGTAATCCTCCTTTCTCCTTCCTGCCCTTGCACTGGTCGGTCTCGAACGTGATGCAGCACCCCAAACACGTGCGAGCCCCTTGCGCACTGCAGCTGCCATCCTTTCGAGGCGGCGAGGGCGGAGGTCAGTACATCTTGGCCAGGGGAGAGCAGGATAGCTGTGCTCATGAAAGAGCACTTCCCCGTTATCATCCTCCACACTTCTCATCTCGTCTACGTAAATTGCAGTCCTGATTATCTCCTCATTGCTACCATTAAAATGGACCGAATCCCTACTTCCCAGTCCAGCACACTCGACTACAGTCCTTTCGATTTCAGCAGCTTGGCCTTCGACGATGATATCTTCGGCTTGGACGACCCCACATACTCGTACTCTGAGTTCTGGAGCGGTCTGAACGCGCGTCCGGAGACCAGTTATTCCGACTCCATCACCGAGTGCATGTCCTCCTTCGCGCCACTCGTGCCGCAAGACTTGTACACCGGGATGTCCGCTCAGACATGTGACCAGGCACTGCAAATGGACGACTGCTTGCTCCTCGCTGCGAACCCTTCGATATCTGTGGCATGCCATTTGACCGATCGGCTCACGTCACCATCGCCACCCAACATCCCCGCTATGTACCCCTCCACTGGCAGCGATTCATTATGGCCAGATTCTTCCAGCACGGCGGAGCAGAGCTCTGACGACCTGGTAACGGGGCCAGCGACGCCAACTTCGCAGTCAGAATTGAAGGCAGAGCTTCGCCTGAAGCGGCGTGCCGCAGAAAGCCGGCGCCATCGCATCAGAAAAAAAGCAGAAGCAGTTGCATTCCAACAGTCCTTCCAGATCCTCAAGGAGGAGACGAACGAGCGGGATCTTCAGAAACGCATCTTGGCGACCGTCTTTGCGGTCCTTGATTCCAAGCAGACACTATCACTCTCGGTACCCCCCACAACCGGCCTAACGAATGCGGCATCGGTACGTGTCACATCGCAAACAAAGCCCACGCTGTATCTGAGTCATTACGACTGGTTACGGTTTGGGTCCGGGACGAGAGTCGCCGACTTGACTTCCTCAGAGCCGTCTGAGGGAGAAGTGGGAACCGCGAAGCCTCGGTACGACTTGACTCCGAAAACACAGCCGCACGGTCTCAATTCTGCGCAGGCTGGTGCGTGGCGGAAGCGAGAAAACCACCGCCTGGAACAAAGAAAGTTCCGGAATGAGCAGGAAGACAAACGGCAAGCAGAGCAGCGCTCTATGGCACAGATGACAAAACAAAAGCGTGACGATGAGGCCGATGAGTTGCTTCAATCGTATATCGGACCAATCAATGCTCTTATCCGTCAACTGAGAAGCGACGGCAGCCTCGACATCTCCCATTCGCTAGCGTTAGACATATATGCCTCAAGGACGGCTAATTCAGCACCGGCGAGTGAGGCAGTCGAGTTCGAAGCGAGAAGTCTGCCTTCAAACTGAAACGAAGAACTTCCCATACGATGCATCAGTATGTCTTGCGAGAAATCATATGGTGAGACACAGCGATGATAGGACCATTAGTCAGCAAGTCAGCTCGATAAGCTCCAATGACTCATCATCCGTTGCCCCCAATCTTGCGATTACATGCTCGCCCCTACTCATCCTCCTCAATCTCACTCCCCTCATCCACCTCAAACGCCCCCCTCCCTTCTATCCCCTCCCCACCCTGCCCGCCTCCAACACGCGACTTGCTCCTGCTCCCCTTTCCTTTTGCCCTCCCCTTCCCATATTTCCCCCTCATACTGATCCTCCGTTCCTTCCGACCCTTCTCCAACCTCCTCTCGATGATCTGTACCACCTCCGCCACATTCTCCATTTTCACACCCACCACCTCCGCCGCTGCTCTCACGACGACCTCGTACGCGGTCGGTAACGTCCCGGTCACGTCTTTGGGGTCGTACGTCCGTATTTCTTCCCCTGGTTCGGGCGGGATACCTGTACCTGGGATCAGAGGTGAGGGGGTGGAGGTGATGATGGGGAGGTAGGTATGGACGGTTCGGTAGGATAAGGGAGGGGGGTCGACGATGGGGATATGGGGGCGGGGGGCGAGAGGGAAGGTCTGGGCGTCTAGAGTATCAGCTTGGTCCGGATGGGGATGAGGAAGGACCTACCGCTATTAACTGGAGGTTCTCGGTCTTTCAGTAATACGTCTTCAGCGGTGTTGAGATACCGGTCGATATCATCAAGCGAGAGTACCGAAAAGTCACTGCTGAGATGAGCACACACCCTCCCAGATAGCTGCGCGCTCACCGTCGCTCCAGATCTTTCCTTTCGCTGTTCAGACTCCCCTCTCTCATACGCCGCTCAAGTTCGCCAATCCACGTCTTTCCCTCCGGTAAACCCACGACCGGATCATCCTTATCCAACGCTCGTCTATTGCTCAGCTCAATTCTTCACTCATACGTATAGCACTGACCGATCCATCCCATCCAGCCCATAGCTCATCTTCATAACCACCACCCAAGCAGCCACCACCGCCAGCTCAGGCATCACGACGTCCCGATTCCGATCCGTGCGCCGATACACCACCGCGAGCTTCTCCACTACCTCGTCATGGTCCACCCCTTGCTCATCTGGCTCGTCGTCGCTATTGGCATCGATGCTCATCCGGCCGGAAGAGCGATTCCGGGATGCGCCGCGTGTGGACGCTCGGGAACGACTGGTACCGCGGCCGCGTGCACGACGTGTGCGGAGAGTCGTAGACGTCTCGAGGAGGGAGGTGTTCATGTCGACCAGGTCGAGCAGGCAGGTGACTTGAGACAGTGTTACGGCTGAAGGTTTAGCTGTCACTCTCGCAGACTAGGTGAGAAGGAGGTGGGCTTACGAGTTCCACCTAAAGCCCCAATGGCGCGCCATGATAGCAGCGGGAGGTTGACGTCGGGTATAGGGATGCCAAAGTCGGTATTGAGGGTCCGAGCCAGGATGCGGATGGATGCAAAGAGGTATCTCGGCGGGGGACAGCGCTATTGCTGTTAGCTTGGGGATGGAGGTTCTCGGCGAAGGTTTGGCTTACAATAGGTGATAATGAGGTCATGACGTTTCGATTCATGTGTTTCCGCATCTCAGCCGGGAGGAGAGTAGAGTGAGCAAAGTCGAGATAAGGGATGAGGTTCCCATTGACGAGACTAGCAAGGTCAGCTAGGGCAGAAAGGAACCCAGCGAGCCGTGCGCCCTTGACATGACGGCCGAGGTGACACGATACTCACTTCTCGATATCCACGCACATCGCCCCCCTCCGCATCATCCATAACCCCAGACTCAGCACCACCAGCGTATCCGACACTTTCAATCGCCTCTTCTTCCTCCCTTTCGTCTTTCCCTTACCCCCTCTTCCTCCTCTAGGATTATACCCCTCTTCCTTATCCGACAACTCCGAGAGATGCGACATCTCTTCCAGCAGGTCCAGGTCTACTCCCGCCTCATTGTCTTGATCAGACTTGTCGGATTCGTCCCCCTCGGGCTCGCCGGCATCGCTCTCATTGCCTTGCGCGGTGGTGACCTTGCTGAGAGTGCCCTTCGAAGTCTGAGACTTCGTCTGAGGCTGGACGCTCGAGGGCCCGGAGTCTGGGCGGGAGGCGGTATCTTCGGGCGGAGGCGGTAGGGCGGAGATGGCGAGCTGGTACGTCCACAGATCCTTGACGATCATCTGTCCACGGTCAGCTATACATCCGAACTCAATGCAGGCCGGATACTCACCTCGTACACCTCCGGTAGATCCCACAGCTTCCTGATCGCCAGTACTTGCATCCTCAGAAGAAGCTGCAAAGCCTGCAGTCGGAGGTACTCCGCATCGTCCCCTTCATAGTCTGCTGTGTCAGCTCCTAACTGCCACCCTAGACTGTTGGTGAAACGCACACGCCGCATTCTTTCCGCCCTGCTCTTTCCGCACACCCGACTTCCCCGTCTTCATCTTCCGCCGCTGCAGCGCGTACGCGCTTGGCCCATCGGCCTCTTGATCCTCGACTCTGAAGTCCTGCCAGTCAGCGTTCGTCCCACTGATCTTGGCGAACGATCAGGAGCCTTAGTATGCGATCAATAATGCGCTGTCAACCCAGCGCCCAGTACCCTGCTACCGATGCATCGTGCGCAGCCGGATAATCACTGACCTGATAGACATGCCCATCCTCACAGACCGCACTCCCCGTTACATTGTCCCTCCTCCACCGCCTCGACCCGCACACCGGGCATGCTCGGACCATGGCTGATGCTCCGTACAGGCAATCAGCTGCCTTTCCCGCCCTAAAGCAATGGCTCTACCTACTTATCTTGGCCTGGACGTATAATATAGGTGTAGGTGACTCGTTCACACATCCAAGCAAGAGGAGGTTTGTTATTGATTTGCTGCTCGTCGGATTTAGCCGGGTGACGTGGTATTTAGCCAAGTCTGTATCAACCCTGAAACGTCATGGTGAGACCCAGCCAAGCCGCTCATGTACTCTGCTCCACTGTATCCTTGCTCAACCAACCCTCTATTAAGTATCAACGCCTGCAAGTCCGGACATAAGCCCAGTGACATAGAGCAGAAATGGCAGATTCAGACCGTGAGCTACTCCTCGCCCGGCTGCGCTTCGAGGTGCCGCGTCCAGAGCTCACCCCAAATAGCGACCTTCTCGGCCCTGATGGACCTCCTCCGTCGATTACCGCCCACCAAGGTCGAATCGAACGTCAACACCCTCTGTGAACTGTGTCCGGACTATACAGATGATCTCCTGGGGAATGTAGACCAGCCTTTACTGGTTTGCAAGGATGCAGGCGGAGGGAGGGATTTCCTAGGGTGTGACTATAACCGTGATGGGGAGAGCTTCCGGTATGCGATGTTGTAGATGGAGAACGAGTAGCGGCTGATTCATAGCTCACCATGGACCAACTCCTACCTCCCTACGGCTACTGACGGCCCCCTCCCCTCTCCGAAGCTCCGGCAACTCGAGCAGAGCCTAAATGGGGCGTTTGACACGTATCGCGAGATGTACTTTGAAGGCGGGATCTCGAGCGTGTATCTGTGGGACTTGGAAGATGGAGCGGGGGCAGGGGGATCGGGAGGGAAGGAAGTCATGTTTGCAGGCGTGGTCTTGATGAAGAAGAGTAAGCTCATCCACGCACGGAAGTGTACCGTGCACGGAAGAGCTGACATGTTCAGCATTGACAAGTGACGACGCAACATCTCCATCAGGCTCATGGGACTCTCTCCATGTTTTCGAATGCCAAGAGCGGGGCAGGTCAGCCAAGTACAAGCTGACCAGTACTGTTATACTGGTTTTGAACACGGCTACTGCCGCAAAGGCGGAAGGGAAGGGCGCTGAGGGTGCGGAGGGGTCGGGAGCGGTGACGCTGAGCGGGAGCATGACGAGGCAGGTGAGTCTGCAAGAGTTCACCGCTGGTATCCGCTTCAGAGCGTAGATGGCTGATTATGCAGGATGAGGTAGACGCTCCCCTTACGACCAGCTCGGCGCATGTCCCCAATATCGGCAGGATGGTAGAGAACATGGAGTACGTCGATCGGCTGTGACGGCTGAAGCTGAGCGCTGAGTGGCGGTGGCTAATCTGCCAGAATAAAGATGCGCAATCTCCTCTCATCGGTATACTTTGGCAAGACCAAAGATGTCACCAACGACCTTCGGAGCCAGAGCGGGCTGGAGACGAAGAGTAAGGAGGATATGCTCCGGGCGGAGCTTGCTGGACGCTTGGGGCAGAGGAAGGGATGAGCGGTCCATACGATCCGAGGGTATCAGCGGCTAGATCTAGGGGAAAGGGTAAGATGTAGAGTTAGGAAGAAGCACAAGTATTGTATATACATCTTTTACAGATCCGTCCGCTTCTACTCATCTACTGATCCTCCCCCTGAACAATCTCCCACCCCTCCACCGCCTCCTTTTCGTCACTCACCACCATTTCCACAATACTCGGCAACTGCACCGTCACCCGCCTGACCTTGCCCTCCTTCTCCAGCTTCTCCAGATGGGCCAACACCGGCCTCTGCGCCGCGTAGATGAGCTTCTCACTGGTCGTGTCGTACATCAACCGCGTGAGGAGCTGCAGCCCCACCGCGGACCCTTCAAACTTTTCATGCCGGCGATCCACGCCCTCGTCGCGCGGATCAGCATGCTCCACCTCGTCCTGCTTCTTCCGGGGCGGCGGGGTACTCGCGCGCGCCGGCATGTCGTCTCCCTTGGCTTTGGCGTCTTTCACCTTGGCTTCCGCCTCCTTCTCCTCGGCGGACCCCTTGACGACGTACGGCTTGCCCGACATGAACTCCTTCTTCTCCTTGTACGCCTTGGTATCGTCTGCCTTCTTCCGAGCAAAGAAGTCTCGGACGCGCCCTTGCAGGCCAGTAGGGCCAGAGGGATCGGTAGCGAGCGAGAGGAGGAGAGCGAGGATTTGCTCTTCCCTCTGCTGCCGGTGCGCGATGTACGCCTCGATCTGGGCGGTGGAGGCTTCGGGACCGGAAAAGTGGGGGCCGTGGCCGGGGTATAGGGTCTGCGGCTTGATAGCGAGCAGGGTCTTGAGGGAGAGCATGTCTGCGAATCAGCCCCAATCAGGCGATACTCCCGTGCAGAACTTACAGGCGCTGAGATCGGTAAAGATCGTAGTCCCCTCTCCGAGCACCGTATCGCCCGTAAAGACCCCCTTCTCCCCTTCGCACATCACGAGACTGACCGAGTCCTGCGTGTGCCCCGGCGTCTTGAGACACCGCACGCTGACCCTCGCGATCTCGGGCACCTCGTTCCACTTGGGCTTCCCCTCCTTGTCGTGCTTGAGCAGGTGGCGGTACTGGGGGTCAATGATGGAAATCATCAGGCCCGGCATGATGGGGTGAAGCGGTTGGAACGGGGAGAAGGGGGTGTACAAGCCATGCGGGAGTGTATTGACGATCACCGCATCGGTCGTCGGGCGGTCCTTGTCCGAAAGGGTGAGCTCGAGCTCGTCCGGCGAGGGCAGTTTCCAGATGCGCGGAGGGGGCATCCTGAGCTTTGCGAGCGCTTCGAGCAGCGCAGGGAGGGCACCGACGTGATCCAGGTGACGATGCGTCAGGATGATGTGTTCCACAGCGGGCATCTTGGACTCGTTGGGCTTGAAGACCCACCGCGCCTCGGGTCCCTGATCACCCAGCTCCTCGGGGTGCGCGCGGGGGTTTGCAGCCCGCTCAGCGAGCAACCGAATCTTGGCCTCGTCCATGTCCGCCTCGGTTGGTAAGTGGCCGAGCGACTCGACGGCGTAGTCGGATTCGAAGTGGACTTCGCGGAGACCAGCCTCGAGCGCAAGGTGGTGCAGGTGCGTAACGACCAGGTCGACGTATTGGGATGCGGTGTGAGGGGAGGAGGTGTCGATAAGGATGAGAGGGGCGTACGGGGAGGAAGGGGGTTGCAGGAGGTAGGAATTGGTTCCTTGGAGAGTCATCTGACCTGGGTTCTGGCCGAGAATACGGGTGACGTGCGCGGAGAGCTGTCAGTCAGCCACAGCTCCAGAGAGTCATAGGAGGAGCGGATACTCACCTTGACGACATCGCTCAGCCTTGTGTGATGCCCCAACATCCTCGCCTTCTCGCTGTGACGGGGTTGCGTCGCCATTGTGCTCGTGTATCGTTTTGCTGCTTTGCGAGGAGTACTGGTTGATGCACTTGTCGAGTACGAGGAGGGATATGGATAGGCCTGTCTTGATGACCAGCTGTATACCGTTGTAACCATCCGTCCAGGCCAGGGCGGAGTGGGACGTGAAAGGAGTCGAGGCAACAAGGGAGTGCTGGACCTCACCGCCATAGAGAGCGCGGGAAGGGGTCCCTACCTTTCAGGCCCTACCCCTGTCGCCGGCTGACGTATCTATCGAGACTGACGCCGCCTGACCTGCGTCCTGCGGGTTCTCGTAGCTGCTCAGTATAGCTGGGTCCAAGGTGCAATCGCTCCGCTTTGCTCCTCCTGCCAGAGCTTGCTTGGCTCAGGCCTCAAGCTTTGGCTGCTGACAACATCACGGTCGGAGATAGCCGATATATACGGAGATTGCCCGATACTCCATTGTGGAGCTCCACTCCTCTCGGTCCCTTCGTCGATCCGAGAAATACAAATCATGCTCGATTCTCTACAAATACCTGCAGAGAAGCGTCCAAGCAAGGAAAAAAGAGGACTATAAGAGCCCGCTGCTCCTCAAGACGCCCTCCCATCGTACTTCTTCGCATTCGAGCTCCAGCTATTGTCGCGTACACGCCAAAAGCCCACTCGGCAGAAAGGCCCGACCCATCCTCCCCTTTGTTATTGATTTCGACCTCACGCGACTTCCTGCAGCTATGCCCGGAACGATCAAGAATGTTAGTGTGTTGATGGTGTGTCTAGGGTGAGTGCCTCTGCCCAGTCTGACCTAAACTTCGAAGTGAGATCGAGAGCTGACTATGGCAGAAAGTGAGTCTTCGTTCCTGAGCCCCGGCTGTCTCCTGACCGATACCCGATCTGTTCTGCTTCATACTCACTTGAAACGTACTGACCAGCTCGTAGCATCTGGTGAGCTATACATCTTGTCGTTGCTCGGGAATGCAGTAGCTGACCCTCCCAGCCGCTCACCTATGGCCGAAGCGGTCCTGAACCACCAAATAGCCCAGCGACCGTCCCTGAAGGAGCGCTTCAATTTCACGGTAGACTCTGCAGGAACGGGCGCGTATCACGAGGGTGACGAGGCCGATGAGCGGTATGTCTGCTCCTCTTTGGCCGATCCCAGGGTAGGAAGCTGATATCTTCACAGGACAATAGAGACTTGCAAAAAGGTATGTATAGGCCACCGGTGTGGCAAGTCAGATCAGGTAGCTGACACGTGCAGCACGCCGTACCCATCTCATGTCGCGCCCGCCCTATAAGATCGTCCGATTATGACAAATTCGATTATATCCTCGCTATGGACAACTCCAAGTACGCCTCCTCCCCTCCCCTTCTACTCCCTTGTCCTGCAGTAAGCTGACCCAACAGCCTCCAGACCCTCTTGTACAAAAAGCCTGCCACCTCCAAAGCCCATATCTCTCTATTCGGAGCGTACGATCCCGCGCTCCACCTCCCCGCTCCCGCGCAGTCAAATGGGCACGGGCACCACTCGCACGCTCACCATCACACCCGCGCCCGGCCCAAAGCCCAGCCTATCGTCGATCCCTACTATGATGGCGTATCGGGCTTTGAGCAGGCGTACTGGCAGTGCGCAAAGTACGCTTCGGGGTTCTTGGACTATCTGGAGGGTGGGGAGCAGGCGCATTCGGTCGGAGGGGAGCAGACGGAGGAGGCGAGTAAGAAGGTGTTGGAGGCGATGGGGGCGTGAGCGGGGATTGAAGTTGTTGCTGAGTTGCTCGCTTCTTGACATGTAATGGTATAGGCACCCGACACATCAAGGCTTGAGTGAGGAGAGCGGCGGGCGCGAGACCAGCCGGACCAGCTGATGACCCCTTCAAAGTGCTGCCATCGCTTTCTTGAGCTGATGGTACTGACGGCTAGGGTCTCCTCTGCGTCAGCCATTATGCTCACATATACTAGAACATCCTGCCTGCTGTTGACGCTGACATGCTGCTCGCTGTCGCACAGCTGCCACACTGAAGGATGTGTCACACTCAAGTCAACAGTGGCGAAAGGGGTTGTTGATCTGCTTCCGTCGGAAGTAACGAGATTTGCCAGTACATACGATGCATTGCCGTCAAAGGTGGGGTAAGCGGGATCCGTACATAACGCGAACGGTCAGCTTTCAGCTGACTCCCCGTACTAACACTGACGTCGCTCATCTTGGCAGCCGAACAACTTGCGCCTTGCCTAGCTATCTTCGGGAGGGGAAGGCGGGGACAGCAGAATCCAGCCAGCGGTGATCATCGATTATCGCTGAGTGATCGCCGCGTCTTCTAGCGTACAGCGCGGGAGTAGCCCATTCTTGGCATTATACCGTTGCGCTCGCGTCGTTGTACGAGTAACGTCATTCCTTACTGAATATTTACGCTAGCGTCGTGACTAGCTAGGTATGGAAGCCGCTAGTCGCTCTACGCAACCCCAGACTACCCCAGCATGTGCGGGAGTGCGGGTATGAGTACGCGGTACCAAGCGGGCCTTATGTTTAGTAACAGAGTATGTATGTCGCCCTCAGCTTTGGGCACCACTCCAGTGCCCCGCTCTGACCTTCAGCTTACACTTCTCGAAACGCTGGTCTGAGCGGGAGGTCCGATAGTGCGCCGTCTTCACCCGTTGACGACAATGGTAGTCACACTCAGTACCACGCTTACATCTCGGGACGACCCGTTCACCACATCTACCTCGTCGCAAGGCATAATGCGGGCTGGATATACCTACCCGTCTTTGCTTGGCTGGCGGTAGCCATATCGACCAGGACGGGTTGGACGAGGTATAAAGAGTGAGCTGGGGCGCCCATTTTCTGACCTTCAACTCCATCTTTATCGCTCGCTCCACCTACACTCGTCACTGCTTCGACTACCCATCCCACCCCTCACCCACTCACTCATCAGCTCGTCCACGCACTCGCCCTCACATACCCCCACCCATACAGCAACACTCCACCTCACCCAACTCCACCCGACTACTACCCATCCACCATGCGCTTCTTCGCCTTCACCCTCCCCTTCCTCGCCCTCATCACTGCCAACCCCCTTCCCTCTCCCGAGTCCGCCGAGCTCGCCGTTCGTCAGGCTACCGACGCCCTCGCCGCGCGCACCTGGTTCGAGCACGACTGGCGCTGCTCGTCCGACAAGGCCAAGTCGGACTGCAAGAAGAGGGGCGGGGAGTGGGCGTGCGACAAGTCGTGCGTCTGCGTCGAGAAGCCCAAGGAGTGCGGGACGTACTGCCCTCTTCGTGATCTCAAGAAGAAGGCGTGCGAGCTCAAGTGGGGATACACCTTCAACGACGACAAGTGCTCGTGCGAGAGTACTTGCCCGGACGCCGACCACAAGAAGGCCGAGTGCGCCAAGCAGGACGGCAAGTTCGACCTCGGCTCGTGCTCGTGCGCCGTCCCCAAGTGCCCCTTCGCGGACGACAAGGCCAAGGAGTGCAGCAAGAAGGGCCTCGGGTTCGACAAGGACAACTGCTGCTGCGCCACCCCTCCCCCTCCCCCTCCTCCCACATGCGACTACACCGGCAAGGCCAAGGAGTGCACCAAGCAGGGCCTCGGGTTCGACAAGGCCAACTGCTGCTGTGCCGCCCCGCCCACCCCTCCCAAGTGCAACGACTGGGAGAAGCAGCAGTGCAAGGGCAAGTGGAACTCGGACAAGTGCACGTGCGAGAAGGAGGAGGACAAGGGGACGTGCGGGGACTGGTGGCAGGTCTGGCTCTGCAAGCTCAAGGGCAAGGGGTGTGGTGAGTCGTCTCTTCCCTCTTCCGCTCGCCTCACGAGCTTCGCTGACATTCCAGACTCCAAGTGCAGCTGCTATTAAGCTCGATCTCATACATCGGTGCTCATCTCGTATCGGTAGGTCTCCTTCTCTCCTCCTCTTCTTATCCTCTAGCTGTCCGCTGACTTGCCAGATCATCATTACGCTGTCCCCCCCTCTCCATCCCCCTTTCCTTCTAGTCTTCTCTCTCTTCCGGCTATCTGGGCGTATCCGCGGTCTCGTCTGTTTTCTTGTATAGCTAGGGTAGTCTTCAGATCTGGTAGTCTCTCGGATCAGTGATATTCGGTATGCGATGTAATCTTATAGTCTATACATCCACGAATCAACGAAACGTCTCGCCTTGAGCCTGATACCCAGTCTACCGCTAAATCTCATCCCCCTGCCTCGCAGGCTCCGCCGTCCCGCCCGTCCCACCCCTGTTCGTCCTCACCCAGTTCCTCCGTGATCCGCGGTCACCACCGCCAGATCCCTCCGCCAGCGGCACCTCCAGCTCCCCATCTCCAGCTTGAGGCTCAAGGGGTAGAGGTAGAGCATTCCGCCCCGCAAACCCGATCCGGAAGTGCGACAGCCCCAGTGCTAGCTGCTCGCCGGGTCGAGAGGTCGGAGCGGGTGTCGAGCTGTTCCCGCTGGGCCCGCTGGGGCGGTTGAGCGATTGGGGGCGAGTCGTAGGGAATGCGCCCGGCATATTGGCAGTCGGCCCGTCATGTTCCCCACGGGTAATGCCATCTCCGGTCGACTCGCTTGTGACCTTGACCTGGACCGCCTCCTCCTCCTCGTCTGACCGTTTTTTCCGTCCTAGAACGAGCGCCCCCGTATGGTGCCCCGCGGCCGCGATCGAGAACACAAACGCCTTCTCCCCCTCTCCCACCTCATCATCATCCTCAAACAAGACCATTTGTGGCTCGTCCACCTTGTCACCGCCTCTCGACCCCTTCTGGCCCAACCCCAGCTGTCCCGCCGCGCCTTGACCCCACGTCCACATCTCACCGCGACTCGTCAGCGCCGCATAGTGATAGTCACCAATCGCGACCTGAATGACGCCTTGTCCTTGTAGGCTCGGGAGGGGGTCGGGGCGGAATTGGGCGCTGGCGCCCGTGAGGGAGTAGTTGGGCAGACGGGCATGGTGGACGCGCGAGGGCGGGAGAGTGGAGTAGGAGGTAAGCGAGGTGAATTGGGCGGAGATGTGGGTGATCTGGGGTGAAGAGAAGTGTGGGAGCTGAATGGTAAGCTGACGAACCCATATGGAGCAAGGCAGCAATGTGATGAGCTCACGTATTCCCAGTTGAAGTGAACGTTCTCCTCAACTTGACGATACCAGACCTCCCCGTTCCCCTTGAGAGCTACCACGAACCCCTGCCCACTCGCAATCTTGACGACTCGCTCGCCATCCTCTTTCGCCTTGTCCGACCTCGAATCCCAATCCGCCCATTCGTCCTGCTTGGCCTTCATCTCCGCGTCTTCGTCCTCATAGGTCGGTCGCTCGGGGAGCGCTTCCAGCTCATGCACGATATCCCCAACAGCACCCCACATGACCGCCCTCGAGGCATTGCCGTCCGCCCGCACCCCGAGCGGGCCATTCATCTGGGCTTTCGGGGTAAGGTTAGCGTCGTAGCCTTGTGTGAAGGGGAACCAGACGAAGATGCCGCCGGATGATGTGAGGCAGGCGGAGTGAGACCAGCCAGTAGAAAGTTGGAGGATATGGTGTGGACGACGGGTGGAGCCGGAGTTGCTAGGGGACGTGAGGGCGGGGGCAGTGTGATGATATGCCTGCGTATGTCAGCTAGAAGGTCCGGTAGATATCTTGGCAATACCGAGGAGCGAGGGGGTTGAGCGTGGCGGAAAGTCACGTTTTAAATAGTGATACACCACTCACCAAGCCCCAGGCCTTCATCTCCCATATCAGGTTATCCTCGTCCAGAATCAACATGTGGCACCTTCCCACCGAAATAGCCTCAGCGCGACACGGCAGCGGGATGGGCGTCGGCTCGGGTACACGCTCATACTTATCCGCCCACGAAGCTATACGGAAGGCCGGCAGATCACCATCAAGTTGGCCTATAGCGTCAACTTGCGGACCACCATTCTGTGAACGAGACATACCCCAGACCCAGACTTTCCCCTCCACATCCCTTGCCGCAAAGCTCCAACCCCCAGCCTGCATCTCTACAATTGCCAGGTCCCTCTTATCCTCCACCCCTCTTCCTTGGAGGTCTAAAGTAAGCCGCTCGATCCAGCGCCGGCCAGATCCCCCAAATTGCCCAGCTAGCGAGTGCGGGCGCAGTACACGCGCTGCGTAACTCATCGTACGACCTCCGCCTGGCCTGACTTGGGCGGGAAGACCAAGCCGGTCATTCTCGGTAGATCCCCAAACGAAGGGCTCGGGCTGGGAGAGACCGACGTAGAGGCGTTTGGACCAGCCTGAGCCGGGGGTGGAGGGGGCGAGGGTGTGCGGGTTGAATGAGAAGGTTTGGCGGGTGCGGTGGAGCCAATGCGATTCGTCATTCTACGATGTCAGCTTCCACCCATCGACATGTCAGATCAGCATGAGGAGGCAGAACACGAGAGACTGACGCATATGCTGTGCAGCCTCTGGTCGGTCTGGCTAAGGGAAAGGAGGTCTCGGACAGAAAGCACGGGAAGGAGGCGCTCCAGCAAGATCTCGGGCGGGATATCCGCGAATGTGGCTCGTGGAGTTGGCTGAGACATCTTTGATGAGTGGCAGGAAGATGCTACAGAGTAAATCTGATTATAGTGCAGATGTGCAACACGTGAAGCGATTGCTGTGCGTGCGGTCAAGTGAGGTTCGACGAGGAATGCGGAGTTGCAGAGTGGCGAAATATGACGTCACTTCACAGCGCGAAGCCAACAGCACCAGAAGGCAGGAGCGCTTCTCAGCAGCCTGACCCTGAAGACTAGCTACCTGACGCAGCACGCGTACTCGCAGCAGGCCATCACGTATGGCTGCGAAGAGTTCTGTCGTGAGTGATCATCTCAAATGTCGTGATATCACGGCAGAAGCCACGGTCGAGTTTGATCGTTGTTTGCATTAATGGTACCAATGTACCCTGGCTACCTAGCTCAAGCATGCACGTCCATGTGATCTGCTTGGAACCCAGGCCTGAACACATCAGCATGTGGTATCGTCAAGCAACATCGCTGTATTGCTCACCACATGATCAGAGCCTGCAGATCCTCCACGCCATCATGCTTCACCTGCACTCCTTCCGCATTCGCAACGACAGCTGTTTTCTGACTTATCAGCTGCTGATCCAGACTCAGGATATAACTAGGACTCACCATTCCCAGCGTAACCTTGATAGACGGCACCGACACCTTATACTCTTCCAACTCCTCAACCTCCTTATCCTCCTCGTCTGCCCTGATCATCCGGAGGATATTCCGTGCCGCCACTTCAGCCTGCCAATACGCCGTATGTCCCGCCTGAATCGCCCCCGTCTCTGCACAATCGCCCACCGCGAAGAAATGGCTCATATCCGGATGTTCTGCCTCCCCTTCTTGTCCGCCAGATGCTTTACGATCCAGATCCTCAATGGACGAAGCGGACGAAGGGGGCGTTGGGAGGGCATGCAGACTGAGCGCTCCGAGCCGCTCGACCGTATTTGCCCGGGTGACGGCAGGCCGGATGGGTCCCGGCGATATTTGCATGGTCGGCAGGACGCGGATCCGGTTCGTCAGGGGTGAAATGGAGGAGGGTGACATGGCGGCCATGAGGGATACGTGTGGTTTTTGGCCGGTACAGACGAGGACGAGGTCGGCTTTGAAGTCCCGACCCTTGTCGGTTGTTACGTGCTTTTCTTCGCCGTCGACACAGCCGGGATTGTCGGGCCAGGTGACAACTCGTTCGCCGAGGACGACGTGGATGCCGAGTTTTTCCAGGTTCTCGACGACTGGTAATTAGCTCAAGCTCGCGAGGGAGGGTCGAGAGGGATGAGCGTAGGACTTACTGGCGACGTGCATCTCAATAGGGTAGAGAGACATGAGACGAAGTCGGGAATGCAGAAGTGTGATGTCTTTCTCTGGATATATCTCCTTGAGATCTGTGGCGTATTCTGCTTGTCAGGTCTGACCCGAAACGGAAACCGCACGACTCACGTATACCCAATGCTCCCGCTCCAACAATCAATATCCTCTTTGCCATCTCCATCTGTGCGGCCTGCTTCTCCATGAATCTGACACCGCACCGCTTACTCCCCGGACTCAGCTCAAAGTCCCCAGGCGAGTCCGCTCCATACGCCGGCTTCCACACATTGACCGGATCCGGTAGACCCGCGCCGAGGGCATAAAGCGCATAGTCGAACTGTATTGTCTCTTCTTCTCCCTCAAATGAGGTGAACTCGTTCCAAGCTGCCGATGACGCTGAGGCTGTGATTGAGCCAGACTCGGAGCCTGATCCGCGCCGAGTAGGGGCGGACGGGATACGGCGGAAAGTGACGGAGCGGGGAGTGAGGGAGGTGATCATCCCTTGTACCCAGGTGTGGGGGTCGTGCATCTCTTTCCGAGTGAAGGGGAGAGAGCCGGATGTGGGCGGTGGTGTCGAAGGAGGAGTGAGGGGTGTTTTGGACGAGGCGGAGCCGGGATGCTCGCGCTCCAGGTGGTTGACGTAGGGGATGTAGGCTTTGGGGGCGTGTGTGGGGATGACGGTGAAGCGGGGGAAGACATAGACGTCTGATAGGTCAGCTGGGGGGTCCAATAGAGATGGAGGGGACGTACGGTTCATATGACTATTACGGTCAATCACGACCAGTCTCCAGCCTTCTGGTAAACCCTGACTGAGCAGCTTGGCCGCTCGAGCACCCCCATAACTCGCTCCCAGCACTGCTACGGTCTTGCTCCCACTTCCTCGACTGCGTCCAGATGATGGTCCCGCCACAGATTCGGGCGGAGACAACGGTGTGATTGAGATCGGGGCCGACATGGCACGGGATCGGGTCAAAGGATAGGCAAAATTCGGGGGTGATCCGGTTGACAAGGGGAGTGTGTGTGAGATGTGATGGGCACTTGTCGAAGACTTGTTGGTCGGTGCTTCTTATCTGATTGTTTCTTGGGGAGGTCTTCGGCCGGGATGCTGACCTTGGCACTTGGGTGAAGGGGGTGTTGCGATGGATAGATGGTGGGTTGAGCGTCGGGCGAAAATGTGGAGTTCAGGGAATTCAGCCCGGATTTCAACAGCATTACCTCATTCAGGGTCAGCAATGTTAATCTGATAAAGGCGGAAGCAACCTGGCTGTCAGGGCGTCGGGCCGAGTCGGCCGACCCCAGCTGCTCCTCGCATGGTCCGCACGGTCATTCCGCTCTTGATCAGTCCTCGGAACCCATAGTATCCATACATGAGGCCTGAGGGGCCAGGCCGATGCTTGGCGAGACCCGACGGCCCGAGACCCGAGCGTGTAGGCCCGAGGAGGCCCGAGGAACACCCGAAGCCTGAAGGTAAGGGGTAGAAGTCGGCCGATATCGCTGAGCTCCTGACGCCTGACAGGCTGACTAGCGTGCACTCGGTGACCATCGATTGGTGCAGTGGCTACATCTCCAGCAGACGCTCACTACGCGGATGTATGGTGCCGTGTCCCTGATCGCCCCTCACAGCGCAAATAATGATCTCGGAAAGGCTGAAAAGCGATCATTAGACCAGCAGCTGAACTGAACCACACTGACCCTTTGTTCCAACCTGCAGTGACGCTAGGACTACGTTGCATGCTGACTCTCTGCCTAAAGCTATGTAAATGACCCTACTCCTCAGCTCTGACCTCCGCCATCCTCGCTTCTTCTACATTCGAGACCGCATGCATCCCCAGCCCCGCGCCGCCTAGGCCGACCTGGGGTAGCCATCCGGGATGGTGAGGGTCGACTCGCGCCTGACCGCCGGCCTCCCGTGCCTCGCATAATCAATAGCAGCGAAGAGCTGGCCCCGCTGCTCATTGTTGATCTCGGGGTACGCCCTCCACACCGCCCTCTTCCCATCCTTGAGCGAGCTCGTCTCCTTGTACCCGATATCCACCCTGACATTCACCTTCATCTCCCTCATCGTCTTGAAGGCGCCCTTGCGGTTGGGGACGACCTTCCACTCCTCAACGATGACGTACGGGCGCGAGATGATGAACTTCCACTCGGCCTTCTCAGTGGGGGCGGGGCCGATGGGGATGCCGTCAATGATGACCGAGGTGATTCCGTACCCCTTGGCCACGTATGCGGCGCAGGCGTTGCGCCAGGTATCAATGACGATGTTGATGATCTTATCGTCGTCGACGAGGACGTGCTTGGAGAAGTGAGAGGCGACGTAGGAGTCGTTAGCAGCGCTGAGCTCGGCGGCGACGTTGACGCTGACGAACATGATGATTGTGGTGTGGAGTATGTGGGAAATGGGATTGTGAAGGTGTGGACGACGGTAGAAGCAGGGCAGGGGCCTATACATGGTCAGCTCTCCCATACATCATCGCGCGAGCCGGTAAAGCCAGGGAAAGCTAAGACTAACTGTGTGAGGTGATTGTGGGCTTGATGGAGAAGAGGCAAACCCAGCCAAGCTTACGAGTGTATGTCCTAACCGCAGCCGCTGTCCCCACGTCAGCCCCTCATCACCTGCTGAGAGTACCAAGCCCACTCAAAGGACGCTTCCGGACCCTCTTCGCTTCATCATCATCACGAATCTATCACAGATCTGATAGGAACTTACAAAACAGATCTGATTTAGGATTCTGGGTAGCTGAGAGCTTGATCTGACTGGCTAGATTGCGTTGGGTAGCCAGAGGCTGTAGCTATGAATACGTTGCTTGCATGCTGACCAGGTACCTAAGCTATGAAGCAGACGCTGTCTCACCCCTCTGACGTCGCCCCTTATCCCTCTGCTCATGCTCCAACCCCCTCCCCTACCGCCTAGGCCGACCTGGGGTAGCCATCCGGGAAGGTAAGGGTCGACTCGCGCCTGACCGCCGGCCGCCCGTGTCTCGCATCATCAATAGCAGCGAAGAGCTGGCCCCGCTGCTCATTGTTGATCTCGGGGTACGCCCTCCACACCGCCCTCTTCCCATCCTTGAGCGAGCTCGTCTCCTTGTACCCGATATCCACCCTGACATTGACCTTCATTCCCCTCTCTGTCTTGAATGGCCCCTTGCGGAAATGGTCGACCCTCCACTCCTCGATGATGACGTAGGGACGCGAGACGACGAACTTCCACTCGGCCTTGCCGGTGGGAGTGGGACCGATGGGGACGCCGTCAATGATGACCGAGGTGATCCCGTAGTCCTTGGCGACGTACGCGGCGCAGGCGTTGCGCCACGTATCGATGACGATCTTGGTGATCTTGTTGTCGTCGATGGAGACGTGCTGGGAGAAGTGGGCGGCCACGTAGGAGTCGTTGGGAGGGCTGAGCTCGGCAGAGACGTTGACGGCCATTGTGATGTGATGGGTGTGGTGATGTGGTATGGGTGAGGGTGTGGTTGTGATGAGGTCGGGATAGGAAGTGTGTAGCTGGAGAGTGTAGGATAGGTTGTGGTGATGAGGGTATAGGAGGTCTTGAGGAGCCTACACCGCGTCAGCTTGAGCTCCTCATGCTCCTTTGGATGTCTCCCAAACCTCAGAGGCATGATGTACTGACCGAGTGATGACCGGGTGATGTTGATGTTGGCTCGTCAGTGGGGAAGAATGCAAGCGGTGTCCGGTGTCCAGCTTATATGCCCCAACCGCTGTCGCCTCGTCAAGCCTCGTCACCCGCTTTGACCGCCAAGCACTACTCAAAGGACCCGGAACGCTCTTCGCTTCACGCACAGATCTCCAATCTTGAATGTTGATGAGCAGATCCAACCGATTGTGTGTAATCATTTGATTTGGGGGGATCCCTTTGAGCGCAATACCGATGGGGTATGTGGCGCTCGGATCCCCCATCGCTCTGCGCTGTCAGAGGGGGTCCAGCTGGTCAACCCGGGCTGACTAGCCGAAGATGACAGCTACAGTTATCACGTGGTGGGGAGGAGCTGCTTGCCGAATACCTGGACCGCTGCCGACGTTCTATTCATACTCGCCTTCATGTACCGCAGAAGCTGTGAGGTCGCTGACACAACCGCTGGAATAGAGTTCGGGTGGCGGTCTGCAGTAAGCAGTGTTTCAGATCTCAGATCCCTTTCCAGCCTGTCCGTGTTCGTTCTCGCTTCCGTGTTCGGCTCCGCCAAGTCCCTTTAGCGCGAACGCGTCTACGCGAAACCATAATGCGCTGCTTTGATGGCGGATACTGACCCTCTGCTCCCACTCCCATCTCCACGGCAGACCAGTCCTCGACGTCCTGCTCTTCACCCGACTCCCCTACAGTTGCCCATCATGTCCCTTGACGTAGCAGCTGAACTTGACCCTCCCAACCTATCCTTCACAGTCCACCACCACGCCAAATACGTCTCAGTCGACAGGTACAGAATCATCAACGTCGTCATCGATACCTGGCGTCAAGCATGCGCCGCCTCCGTCACACAAGGCCTCGGGGTCACTTCGGCCGTCATCGATGGTATTCCTTTCGGTCCTACCCCCACGCCCGACGCGGAATGGGTCTTCATCACATCCCGTCCATACGCCATCATCTAAGAGTGGTCCGAATCGAGTAGACGGCCAGTATTCCCGCGACCATCGGTGTATACCGTGGGCGTGAGGGTGAGGGTGGGGTACAAGGTGGCGCAGAACGAGAGAGATGGGAAGAGGGCGGAATGGAGGGCGTACCCCGAGATAGAGGCGGAGCAGAGGATGCAGCTCGTTCCTGCGATACAGGAGGCAAGGGATGGGCGGCCGGCGGTAAGGCGGGAGGGGACGGCGACGTTTGAGGATGGGTATCCTAAGTCGGCATAAGCGTGGAGGGGAGTGAGATAGGGTGGCACGGCACGTAGATGGAGCTTGGGAATCAACCTAGGATGTTCAGTAGCCGCTTGTGTTCAGGTAAACGTAGACGTCCGCGGAGTAGGTTAGCACAAGGAGAGTCAGTAGTGAATTTGCTCCGATACCTAGATCCAGTGCATGATGTTCCCCTCGCGTGCTATCTCCGGCCCTTCGGTTTCTGCTTCTGCTGTACCTGCTTCGTCCGCTTGACCGGTGGCGCCTCTTCCTCCTCCTCATCACTATCCTCCACGTCCTCCTCCTCATCATCACTATCCTCTCCCTCCCCCACCTCATTCATCCCATCCCAAACTTCCTCCTCCTCTCCCTCACTATCGTCCTCATCATCCTCCGCCCCCGCCTTCTTCTCCGGCTTGACCTTCGCCACCTGCCCGTATCCCCTCCACACGAACCCACCCACCCCTACACCGCCCACCATAGTCATCACATCTCCCTTCTTGCCCTCTCCGCCCCAATTCCCCTTAGCTCCCTCGGCCGGCGTAGGCGTCGTCGCGTAGACCCGTAATGACGCGTCCGAGCTGATTCCCGCCAATCCTATCCGGCGACCGGACGTGAGCGCCGTGGGCGCCTCCTCGATCGACGGGAACGAGAGGAGGTGGTGCACCGTACATGTTGATGGGATGCTGTAGAGCATTTTTCCAGTCCGCATGTCTACCGCAGCGAGGAGGGATGAGCGGTCCGCGTAGAACAGATCGTGCTCGTTTGTTCCGAATGCGATGGCGCCGATCCCGCCTTCACGAGCGAGTTTCCAGTCCGAGACGGGTTTGCGCTGGCGGGTGTCGTATCGACGAACAGAGCCGGATTTTGTGCCGCTGATGAGGGAGGTGGTTGAGTTGGGGGCGAAAGTGAGGGCAAGGTGGTGGACTGGTGGGCGGAGGTTGAGGGAGTCGTGAGCGAGCTATCGAATCAGCATAAATCCAGATGTCAGGACGCTGAGCCGTAGTGCAAGCACCCAGCTCACATTCTTCGCTTGCCATATCTCCCCTTCTTGCAACTCCGTCTTCTTCCGCTTCCCGCTCTTCCCGTTCGTCGCAGGCTCTCTTGACGACCCGAACGTCCGCTCCACATCCCACAGCGAAACATCCACCTCCTTGCCTGCCGCAGCGAACGCCGTGGCGCTGTTCGAGGAAGAAGCAATACATGTGGGTGGGCCGGGTATGTTTGTACTCCGTACATCGTCTCCGCTATTTGGTATCAGATACAGAGCGCCCGATGATAGTGCTGCTAGCGTTCCTCTGAGCTGTCAGCTACGTCCACTGACGAGTAAGGTAAGGGATACTCACGCTTCGACCGAGGCGAGCCCTGCCCAGACATTCCCAGCTTTTCCTGTTGCTTGATATTGCCTGACCATTTCTGGCGGTGTAGCATTTCCCTCTTCGTCTTTCCCTAGTGATAATGTCGAGATCCGATATGCGTCATCCACAACAACAATCTACCGCATCAGCTCCGGTCACGAGGTTCCCCGGAGGACACACCGACGTACCTCGTCTGCCCCACTTTCCACGATCCGCTTCACACTTCCGACAGGTTGATGGGCGCCATACTTGATAGCGAGGTGCCTGACTACTGGCTCGGGTGCTGAAGGTCCAGCTTCGGGGATGGAGAGCTCAGTGAGGGTGTTGGGGTGGAGGGAAGGGGCGAGAAAGTTGAACGTCCTTGGCATGGCGACTGGCAGCAGTTTGCTGGCTTTCAAAGGCTGCTGGTAGTCTTCTTAGATCCGGTTGTCTCTGTGAGAGCTATCAGCGGTGCGGTCCGAGCAGGCAGGCAGTGTTGATGCTGGATTGTGATAGAGGTGAACGAGGTCAAGATGGACTCTGCCAAAATTCTTCCCCTTTGTGGTGTGGAGTCTCCACACCATGCCGGCATCCCCTTGAGCCCGCCAACCTCAGCCAGCCGAGCCAAGCACCTCTCGCTCACTCCCTCTCATACATCCACCCTTCAACATGACGCGCATAGACGGGATCATCATCCTGGACACGAATGGGTGAGCTCCTCAGCTAATTGTCTCTCACTCGCCAAGCATCTAGCTGAATAGACAGAAAACCCCTCATCAGCTCTCACTTCCCGCAACATCCCCCATCCTACGCTACATCCCATATCGACACCTTCAACCATGCTCTCAAGGTCGCTCAGGCATCTCCATCCACATCATCTAGCACTAAAGCTGAGCTGGAGCCTATACTATGGGTAAATGCGCTGTCGAGAGGCGCAGCGGGGGTGGGGATGGGCGGAGCTGGCCTGTGTCATGTGGAGAGGGAGGGACTGCGGTTCTTGGTTCCGGTCGGGCGTGAGCGTGAGCTACCTGATCCTGCAATGACGTACGAGAAGCTGACTTTCAGTCAACCCGCTGTTTGCATTTGCGTTTCTCGACTCATTCCTTGAGACTCTGACGGAGTATCTTGGGGAAGTGACGGAAGCGAGCATCAAGGAGAACTTTGATATAGTTTACATGGTCAGCTGTCATTGGCTAGTATGATGTCCGAGTGGGATCCAGCTGACTCTTGTAGCTTATAGAGGAGATGCTGGACGAAGGTCACCCAATGACAATGGAAACCAATATGCTAAAAGAGATCGTCCTCCCGCCGACGCTCATGCGGAAGCTCCTCAGTGCTGCCGGAGTATCCTCGTAAGTCTGCTGCTTGGTTGAGCACATGGTCTGCTGTCGGTGAGCTGACTCATCCAGCATACAAAGCCCCGCGTCAGCACCCTTCACCGCTCCAATACCATGGCGGAAACCTAACGTCCGACACTCGAATAACGAAATCTACTTCGATGTAGAAGAATCACTAGACGCCATAATCGACCGGTGAGCTGATCTGTCTTACGTGCCTTGAGATACTCATAGCTGATATCATCAGGAAGGGGAACTTACTCTCATCGTCAATCACCGGCAGGATCAACTGCAATTCTCGCTTATCGGGCAACCCCGACTTGCTGCTCAATTTTGGGAATGCCAAAGTGATGACCGACTGTGGTTTTCATCCATGTATAAGGTCGGTCCGCCCTATATCTGGCGGGTGTAGAGCTGATAGGCAGGTACAATCGCTGGGAACGGGATCACGTCCTCTCGTTCATACCGCCCGACGGCAAGTTCCGATTACTGGAGTATCAAACCGATACCTCTATCGGCCGGGCCCAGCTCCCGCTCCAGCTCAAAGCTAGCATGTCAATCGAAGACTATGGAGGTTAGTTAAACACCTCGTCCAATCGACGGAATACCAGCTAACGCGCTCAGGCAAATTCTCCCTCACCTTGACCTCCCGTACAAATGCCCGCCCAATAGAAGACATCGTCATCTCCATCCACCTCGGTCAAGGTACATCTTCAGTCAGCGCGACGGCTACAGGCGACAAGCGGATGCCCGGCGTCAACTCCGGCGGTCTTGCACGGCGGGAGGAGAACGCCGCAGAAGGAGGGGTAGGAGGCGGGACGTGGGAATTTGATCCGCATACCCAGGTATTGCGGTGGAGATTGGCCAGCTTGACAGCTACGGAACGGGCGCCAAGTCTGACTGGATCTTTTACGTCAACGTGAGTTGGCAAGTGCCTGTATAGGTCTATAAGACGCAGCTGATGCGGCACAGAGCACAACATCCGGTGCCTTCACCCTCGTTCGACCTCGCCTTCCTCATCCAGCATCAAACGTTCTCTGGGCTGCGTATCGACCAGCTCAAAGTGGCGGGCGATGTCATGTACAAGCCTTTCAAGGGGGTCAAGGTGGCGAGTAAGGCTGGAAGGTATGAGGTGAGGTGGTGACGTTGAGATGTCACATCTTTGATTGAGGCTAGGCGCAACAGCCCAGACTGATGTGAGCGCGCCCACTGACGACTTACGCCTAGCGGTCGGCAGCAATGTCGTTGATGATCCGTTCATGATGGTCCTTTCAGCCGATACTCAAACGAATTCAGACCAAGGACCGTGTCATGCCAAGACGCCGCGCGGTCTCCCATTCGGACTTCACCATCACATCCACACCACACTCACTTTACCATCGACTGCCATCTCTGGACATTCTTATTGAGCGACTGGCAAATCAATTCCCCCAAACACTTCCTCGCCTCGCATTATAACGTTATTCACCTTCGCCCGAATGGCTCACGCGCTCACGATGAAGACCAGGTCAATGTTGCCTACAGTCTCGACCCCTCAGACGGCATGATACCAGCTGAAGAAATTGATGAAACCCGATCCTCGGTCGTCGCACTAACGCTCAGCCTGATCGGTGCGGACGATGAGAGGGGGATCTCACCCATTGACGATTATCCAACGGCTGAGCACTCCGCCTCTACCCGCGGGGTCCTGAGCCGAGAGGCAGCGCAGAGGAACTTCCGGAGGCGACACGTGGCAGGGCTCGAGGAATACCTCCTACAGCTTCGCTATGTTTATCCAGAACGCACGAAGTGGGCCGGCATCGAAAAAGACTTGAAAGACGAGAAGCTTGAATCAGGCTCCCTTGAGAGATGTCAAGAGAGCTGCGCATACCAAGCGCGTCTGGCATTTGACGAGTTGGACACTGCGCTTCCGTCCCTCTTTGCTGGAGCCGGTGTCTTCGGGCCTCACCTCGGGGACGAGGTGGCCTCCTACCTGCTCAGTTACCCCAGCAGCCGAGACGAGTTCTACACAACCCCAGATCAAGCTCCTCCTTCCCCCTCACGAGATGCAGCTGATCTGGATCAGGTCAAGATTCATTTGGCAGCGATTCTGCCTCTGACCTTCCCGGGTGTACTTACCTCGACCGACGATGAGGGGACTACCGAGGAGTGGGATCGCGAATGCTTCGCCAGGCAGAATTTCGACAGCTTTCCTGCGAGCGAGAAGGTTCTCACTGCTCCAGATCTCACACAGCTTGCCAGACAGCAGGAAGACTTACTCCGCATGACGAAGGCTTTCCGAGCGGAGTATCGCAATGCGGCTGTACCAGACTCGCCGCGGAGCATATGCACCTGCTCAGCGATCGCGGACAACAATCATCTCACGATTCCAGGCAGCAAGTGTACCGCTCATCCTATGGATGTGCCGAAGAGGACGGGCGAGCTGATCGCTGCGCTACGAAGTCTGATGCACGACTGGCAGACGTATACAAAGCACACTGCCCAACTTTGCGTCGAGAAGGGGTTTGCTGGTTCAGACAACGGAGATGTCGCGGGTGGATCTGACCCGGAGGAGGAGTAGTACCGCCCGGTCCTGATATCATCCAGCGAGCGAGAGGGCGGAGTCTGGATCTGAAGGACGGAGATCTTCATGAATGGTCCGATGAGGACTGCTCCGGGCGCAACACTGGGGCAGTCTTCAGCGAGTTGGTTCCCAAAATTCGCGCAGGTATGACAGTGTATTATTGACCGGTGTAGTTCGTTTGATGTGTATGAAGACCTCCAGATATCTCATGCCAGGCCCGCCTATGATTGGTGGCCATGTTCCAGATGCACCTCGTAGGCTGGATCGCCATAACCTTACTGCTTAACATTACTTAAGACGCGATGGTCGGGCGCTGCCCTCGGCAAGGGTTGCGAGCTGCCCGGCAGACGTGGCATTCCAGAGCCTGATTCTCCTTTCACGTGCTTATCACAGCAAGCTGAAGCGCTTGTAAGCTGCAGGGGTAACATGAAAAGGAAATCGGGCTCGAAAGTTCTAGGGCGTGTACTCGCTGGGAGTTTGACCTTACAGAGGTATATCGGAGTACATTGATCATGACCCCCACGGCACCTCCTCCACATCTACACACTCTCTGACGCACCCAACACAGCTTCCATCCATACAAGGACCTCAACAATGACGAGTCATTCTCCTACCGGCGCCGGCAGTGTTTTGGGAGGAGAGGGATCGACAGTTGCGGCGGTGCAAGCAGCCGTGAACGCTCGAGCGACGGGTATGAGGCATTTCTACCGAGCTCTACGCCAATACGAGCTGGCCACTACATTCTCGGCTATTGATTCTCGGCCTGAAGCGGGATGGTCAGTGATTGACTCGGACATCGAGAAGGGCAGGCCAGGCTGGTCGTCGCTGCGCAATGCAGTCACGCAGCTGTCAAACACCAGCAAGCCCGTCTACCTGACGATGGACCGGATCCTGACTGCGCTCAAGGTAATGACTGGAGTGGACAGTCAGAAACTGCTCACTACTGTGATCGGCATGTTGATGAGTGAGGCAGATGAGGGCGGTGAGCAGACGGCAGGGAGGGAGGAGCTCGAGAGGAGCTTGCAAGAGTGGTATCCGCAAGCCTTTACATCCGAGTCACTGGCCTTCCCTGCGGTACCAGAGGGCAAAGCGGAAGCCGAGAGGTTCATGGCGTTCTACGACTCGAAGTCCGCGGCACTGCTATCATGGTTCGAGGCGGATCATCCGGAGTGCGATCTTGCGGTTTACCCCAGTCGAATCGAGGAGATTCGCGAGGGGCATGCGGATCACGCAAAGCAGCTGAATGCCATCAAGGCGAAGCATGGTTTCAGGTGGACACAGATGAACGAGGAGCAATTGGTGGGGGCTTCAGGCTATCGGTTCGGCGGCTATGTTGCGGGATCGCAATTCATCTCGAATGATCTGCACAGTCAAACGGCGAACGGAGGTTCGATCGCGACCCCGACACTTCAAGGTACCATCGAGGAATTCAAGACAGATGTCCTTCGCTTCTTCGCCACTCATCACAGACTCATGGCGCTGAAGAAAGCTCACGTTGGAGGCGTGTCGGTGCGATGCACAGGTGACGTGAGGAGTCAGTAATACTCGACCAAGATCATAGCAGAACGGCGTATATCAGAGCAGCGTGCATATCAGGGAAGGGAATATCTGGGCGCTACAGCACAGGCGTACCCGGCAGCGGTTGAGCGAAGAGTTCAGGCTGTCTCGTTCGACGTTTGTAAGAGTCCTGGTGTGGATACGAGGAGGTCAGCACATGTCCATAATGCGGTGCGGTACGATAGTCAGATAGATCAGCGGTCTATATCATGGGAAATTGTGGCCCGGAGACACGCCACAGATGACCTCGACTAAGGCTCACATATCATACGAGTCATCTCGCCACCCGGCCGTTTTGGCACCCACATCCCTCCTGTATAACTCGCCTACTTGCAAAGTAAAGCAGCTCATCGCCTAGGCAGGTGTTCCCTTCACTCCCGATTGACTCGTCGCATCCTTCTGGTACTTTCTCACAACCTCCAACATACGTGGCATTGTCAGAGAGACCCACATGGCATGTCGGTCCTTTGTGATGCTTATCAACGCGCAATGACGTGCTCAGTGCGGAAGTCACTACTGAAAGGACTCTCTCTCTCATCAGTGTTGAACGTGCGGGTGGCTGACTGTCGCCACCCCCTTGGCCCTATATAAGCCGAAACGGGAGGGGAGAAATAGTCTTCCATACATCATCCGTCGATTTTCAACTTCCAACATTCTCTCCCATTCCTCGTACTTCATCAATTATCCTCCGCTGGATTGACCCCTCGAGCTCACTTTGCACCTCGCAGCAGGCTGCACTCGTCCCGTGATTCTTACATAACATGCTCGGTCCCGATCAGACGACATTTGGTACTCCGAACTGGTCGGCCGACCAATCAGATGCTGGCTCTGAGCATGAGGACGTCAACAGTGAGGATGAGGCAGGGAGGGCGAAGACTCAAGAAGCGGCAAACATCAGCAGACTGGTTGATTCCCTGAGAGCATACGAAGCGGCAACTGTACCTTTGCTCGCGGGAGTGGGGTCGGAGCAACGATGGCGAAATGTCGAACATGACCTGGCACCCGATGCAACAATCGTCAGGTGGTCGGAGGACGGCGTTGGGAAATTGTTGGGCGATTCCGGCCTCTGCTGTACACTCATGGACGAGGTTTTGCTAGCCACCAGGGAGCTCGCCGATCTGGAGGCCGAGGCCTTGGCCAAAGCTGCGCTCAAGACCACGGCGGCGGAATCGACCGGCAGCACGGGAGAGGTGACGGAGCATGAGCGCAAGGCTGCCCTCAGTACCAGGTACCCATGTGCCTTGACCTTGACGGACATGCGCGACTTGGACGAGCGATCGCACAAGCAGGTGAAGTTTCTGGCAGCAGAGAGATCCAGGATGCTTGGATGGTTCGGTTTCGAACCGAACGTCACTGGGCTGAAGGAGACTGACATCAGTATTCTGGGCGAAATCAGCAAGACGCAATCGGAACTCGTGGCCAGACTCAACGACCTGAAGAAGACGCACTCGCTGGCGTGGCCGATGCCGGTGGAGAAGACCCATATGTCAACTGACGTCGACGATGACGGGTGGGGGGAATGGGCAGTCGAAGGCGAGAATGCAGGGACCGTCCCGGAGCCCATCGAGCCAAACATTCAAACGGACCGGATCATGGACGACGTTCTGAGCGTCTTTGGGCCTCATCATCACCTCACTCAGCTTTTCGAAGCGTACTTTTCCGGGTTGGCAGTACGCACTGCCGAGGGTTGGAAAGGCCGGGCGGCGAAGAAGAGCAAAGCAGGTGCGTCGACGGCCTGACAGCCAATGGTGCGCTGGTGAGGTGGCTTGAGCAGGACTGTGATGAGGGACTCCGTTTTCCGTGTCAGGCCTTTGGTTCTCGTTTGTGTATACGTCAGTAGGGTCTGTCATCCGATTACAGTATGCGCATAGCCGTCAGATGGATCAGTTATCTCTCCAACACACATGAGCAGCAATAGATTCCAGCTCTTCCACTCGGTACTTACTCTTCCATCGCTGTCCTCAATACGGCCTAAACCTCGCTGCCGGTCCCCCTCCACTTTGGAAATCACTCCTTACCCGGCCCGCATCCCCATTCATCCCTGCCTCCCCACTCTCATCTGCGTCCTCCCACGCATCTTCATTCTCGTCGTCGTCGTCATTGTCCATGAATGGGAACGAGGAAGGTTGGCCGTTAAGAAGGAGGGAGTCGTGGAGTGCTGAACAGGCCGAGAGGGCGTCAAAGAGGGGTTGGACTGGGGATCAGCTCTACTTCAGGGTTGAGTTTCACCGAATACAGCAGCTACAAATCCGCCAGATCAAGCAGCTGGCTGATGTCAAAGGGCAAGCAAGGGATGAATAAGAGACACGCACGTTTTGACTCTTCAACATATATTCTAATCTCCCGCATTTCCGCGTCCTCCCCGTCGTCCGACCCCGCCTCCGCCCCTGCCACCTGATCATCTATCTGGCAATACAGATGTGCGGGTCCGTCTGCCGATGCGGACGTCAGAGCATGGAGGGTGAGGGATTGATATGGAAGTGAGAAGCCCGGTTGACCAGAGGAGGGGATGAAAGCGAGGACACTACAGAGCGCATCAGCTATATACCCTTTATACCGCGTACGCGGCTGGAGCTGGAGCCCAGGGGACGTACAGCTCAGTGACGTAGATCCTTCCAGCTACCTTCCCATCCCACCATCCCTCCCCGCCGACCTCTACGTCCCCGACATCGCCCCACCGGAGGACAGGCGGTATGTCCGCAAAGGAGGCAGGGGTGGAGGCTGTAAGTTGCGCGTGCTCATCTTCGCTTATGTGCGCAGGGGGCTGGTCGATCTTGGTGAGCATTGTGGAGAGGTAGTCGGGTCGTGGCTAGAAGGTGGATAGAGGCTTGAGAGAAGGAGGAGGTCTGGAAGGCTGGACGTCGCTTGGAACTTTTGGGTCCGACGCACGGATGTGCCTTCTTGGTGGGTGAACCAGCCAGCTACCAGTAGTGTGTCTTACGCCCAGCTGGAGCCATAGCTCTCCACAAGATCAGTTGCTTAACGACACAAAGCATACCAGCGCCCAAGCTGCGTATCGGAAGGCAAATGCATATGATACAGATCCACAAGCGGACCGACAAGGCCCAAATCCCAATCCCAAACCCAACAGGCCCAAATCATGCCTTCCCCGCCGCTCTCGCCTCCTTCCGCTTCCTCTTCTCAATCGCCAACCGCTTCGTCTCGAGTGTATCTTTCTGCCATCTGTCAGCTCCTGCCCCTGGCCCAAACTCATCTCAATCTCCAGCTCAAAACTCACCTCGGCCTGCCTCTCGGCATTCCCATACTTCATCTTATTGTACAGCTTTGCCTTTTTGTTGGTCATCATAATCTTGCGCAGATCCTCCTCTCCCGCTTTCCCCTTACCACTCGGTCCAGACCCGGCGGCCTTCCGAGCAGGCGCGGTCCCGAGTGATTTGATAGCTGATTGGAGTTGCGCCTGGAAGGCCGATGAGGAGGTTCCGGCGGATTCAGCCTCGAGTTCCGCGGCGTGGAGAAGGGTTTTATCGGTCGGATTTTGAGCCGAGGCGAGTAGGGCGGGAGGGAAAGTGGGGGTGGAGGTTGACTCCTCGTCGTCGTCGCTGTCCTCCTCCTCTACATCCACATCCGCCTCTTCGTCCTCCTCTTCCTCCTCCTCCTCCACCTCTGGCCGCTCGCCCGCCGCTGGCCCATCCGCCAACGTCGTCTGGTCCAACCACGGCCGCTGCATCTCACCATCACCCTCCCATGGGCTCAGATGCGGCGGGAGCAACTTCCCCGGCGCATAGTCATCATGCGCCAACACCTTGCCCCTGTTCACGCAGTCCGCGACCCACTGGGGCTGTATCCAGACCCACTTGCGCCCATTCTCCATCGCGCGCTTGCGCTCCTCGGTCATCGGCCGGTCAATCACCACGTGGGTGATAGCGTTCGCGTCCGCATCGGAGCCAGACGGGTCCGGCATCTGCGTAGCGGAAATGACGCGCGCGCCGAGCGAGCGAAGGACGAACTCCCATGTGCGGGCGGAAATCTCGCGCGAGAGGTAGAAGGTGTATTGGGAGAAGAGGAGGTTGGAGGATGAAGCGGTGGCGGAGGAAGAGGAGATGATGGTGTTGTAGGTGGTAAGGGATCCGGGGGCGACATCGTCCGTTGCGTCCTTGGATGGACGCTCGATAAAGTCCTCGGTTGGCTCTTCCGTTGCCGGCTCTCCCACCGCCGCATCCTCATCCATGTCGACATCCTCCTCCGCCTCGCCTGATACACCCGCAGTGGCCATCCCGTGGATCGCCCGCTTGACCGCCTTCTTGCTCACTCCGCTCCCCTCGCCCGCCTTGATCCCCGCACTCTGCTGGACCAGCTTGTACGCGCCGACCGACTCGCCCTTCTCCTCCAGCGCCTTGTCGAGCGGTGGGGGGTACACCAGGTTCTCCTCGTTGTACAGCTTGAACAGCGTGAAGCCGAGCAGCACCCGGTACAGCTCGACGAACGTCAAGAGGATACGGAAATCGACATCGGTAGGTACGTGTTGCTGGAACTCGTATCCCTCGAGCCAGCGCACACGGACGTCCTGCCCGTTGGAAGGCACGACGCACTCGTAGTAGACGCCCTTGATACCGAGAAAGACCTTCTGGAGGGAGTGGGTACGGATCGCCCAAAGCTTCCACTCGGAGATGAGCCGCGCGCAGTCGGCGATCGCGTCGGTGGGGACGGTGGTTTTACCGGGGATGGGGTTGGTAGGGAGGCGGGAAAAGAGGTGGACGAGGTTGAGCGGGTCTTGTAGATCCTGTAACGCGAGGGTGAATGTGGGGTATCTGCCAGTCAGAGCTGCTCGACCCGAGTGTGAAATGCAGCTCACCTCTCCTTGACAAGGTGGTCAAGCCTCAACACAGGCTTGGCATCCTCCAAATTCTTTGCCAAACCCCATTCTTGCCTCCCGACCGCCCTCGCCAACTTCTTCGCAAACGCCTTGTGCTCCCGGAACTTGTCGAGCAGCGGCTCGTGCAGCAAGTACTGGATGTCCTTGGTGTAGTAGAACGAGGTCGGGGCGGTCGAGCCCTTATTGGCCTTCTTCTTGTGAAGCGGGTCGCGGGGGTAGATACCTGTATATCAGCTTGTTTCCATGTGAGGCGACTCCTCGGGCGGAAATCAGCTCACCCTTCAGAATGCACAGCCGCCTGAAGTCCGCCAGGGAGATCTGCAGCTTTCGAATAGCAGCTGACCGAGTGACGTAATTCTTGGCCCTAGCTAATCAGCTGTAGCTCTTCTCACTGGGTAAGAGCAATACTCACGCGCCAGACTCGCCCTTCCTCTTGATCTTTGCCATTGTATAAGTGAGTAGTAGGTAAGTATAGAGGTATTAGCTGGACTATGCACTATGCGCTGGAAATCTTCACCGAGTGGAGGTCAACTTTTTGGCATTACGTTAGCCCAATCTATTACTTTATCCGATTTTCTCCCGGTCGTTTCCTCCGGAATTCCGATCGGGCCGATCTCTGCCGTAATTCAGCGAAGTCCGGCCGACTTTTGGCTCTGCAGCTGCGACTCACTCATCTTATCGCTTGTGCTTCGAGAGGACATCGCTACAGGATCAGCTGGAAGATCCGCCCGCCAGACAGGCGCTCAGTAAGATCTGGAATGTCACGCCCAAGAAGCATACGATGTCTGCCCCGGAAGGTCTCGTCCCACGCCCCAACATGCCCCGCTTATCTCCCTCCAACCTTCCTCCTCCCTTCCGTGCCTCCTTCGACTCGCCGATCCCTCTTTACCCGGCGCTCAACGTCCTTTTGGGCACAGTCGTATCCGGACAATCAGGCTTCTACTAGTCAGATACCGTATGCTCCTCCCTCACCCACACCGAGAGGCGCGTCTGCGTCTCCGCCACCGGAGGAAGGGAGGAAGAAGGAGAAGAAGCAGAGGTATCTGGATAGTCTGATGGATAAGGCTGGGGAGCTGAACCTGAGATGTGAGCTGAATGACTCAGGAAGGTGCTTAATCATTGGTCCGAGCTGACGCTTCAGGCTCTGTGCTTGATGCTGAGGGCAACTGGACAGCTCAAGAAGGAAGATACAAGAAGGCCGAGCTTTGCAAGGAGTATGACCTGGATGTAAGCTTCCCCGTACAGGACTTCGAGACACTGCTCGGACTGCAAGCTTACACTTCAGCCCCGCGACCTCCGCAAGCTCGACTCACTCTCCCCAAACCTCGTCCCCCTCATTCTCACCCGCCGCACCTGCATCCTCATCTCGATACTACACGTCCGAGCGCTCATCAAGCCCGATCGGGTCGTCGTTTTCGATACAGCAGGGACGATCGAGTCGGAGCTGCAGAAGCGGTTCAAGTGGCATCTTGAGCGGAATATCAAGGCGGGGTTGAAGTTGGGGAATGGGGAGGAGGAGGGGGAACATGGGGAAGAGATCGGGATGGCGTATGAGCATCGGTATGTCAACGGCGCGCGGATGTTCTCATGTGCATAGATTGCCGTGAGGCATGAGCTGACCCCTCCAGTGCACTCGAGTCCATCCTCGTCGCTACTGCCAATGCGCTCGAAGAGGAGATGGCCTTCACCCGGTCCCTGGTGCAGCAGCTCCTGGAGGATCTCGATGGCGATATCAACCGCGACAATCTCAAGCGGCTCTTGTACTACTCGCGGAAGATGGTCGGCTTCCAAAGTCGAGCGCGATACGTCAAGCGAGCAGTGGACGAAATACTCGATAACGGTCAGTTCACATGTGTTGTCCTGCGGTATGGCTCCTAGCTGATGCGGCAGATGAGGACTTATCCGAAATGTACCTGACCTCGACGGCTCTCGGTCGACCTCGCGCATCCCACGATCACGTCAAGCTCGAACTTCTGCTCGAATCCTTCACTCAGCAGGTAGAGGAAATCGTTTCGGAGATTGACACGACGGTGGCGAATATGCAATCGACACAGGAGATTGCCGAGCTCATGCTCGATTCGGGACGGAATGCGCTCATGACACTCGACATCAAGATCAGTATTGCGACGCTGGGGATAGGGACTGGGGCTTTGCTTGCCGGGGTATTCGGTATGAACGTGAGCTTTCAACTTCTTCCACCCGTCCATGGATAGAGAGGGAACAGAGCTGACATCACAGTTGACGAGCAGCCTCGAATCCACGCCCTACGCGTTCTACATCGCCACCGGTTCAGCCGGCACAATAGCCCTCCTCATATGGATATACGGCTACCGCGTCCTCCGCCGCGTGCGTCGTGTCGCCCTCTCTGACAAATCGTCCTCTCGGCGCCATATAGTCTGGGAAGACGCTATTTCGCGATTACCGCAGACGGATCCATTGACGGGTCTGCCGAGGACGATTTCGCCATGGACAGCGCGCGCGGCGGAGAAGTGTGCGGTTCCGAGAACGACGGTGGGGAGTTGGATGAGGAATGGGTTTAGGTGGGATAAAGGGGATAGGAGGGCGGAGAGGCGGTTATTGAGGGTGATGTGGGAGGGGAATGCGCCGGGACCAGGGCAGGGGCCAGGGCAGGGAGGTGGGGTGTTCAAGGCGAGATTGGGCGCAGGGGAGTAGGGGTGCGAGGTAGGCTGGACAGGGAGGGGTAGGTGATCATTGCGGTCAGGTAGGGTACGGAGGGGTCTTGGGGGATCTTGTAGGACGGTAGGTTGTATCGCTACTCTAATGACTGGTTGTTATGTGACTAATATGGTATCCGAGGCTGATCTCCTGACGCACACCACTCGTTCAGCCTGAACAGTCTGATTAGGCACTGCATGTGTCTATCACCCGCTGATGCTGACTGTCAATCGCGACCTTCACGGATCTCCCACGCCATCTCAAACATATGTTCAATCCTCTCTGCTTATTCATACATCTACGGATACATGGGGATCGCACCAAATGGGGACCTGACCGATACTGATGCCGAGCTCTGGCGGTACTACACAACTCACTACCTTATGAGCGACCGGAGAATATACACAGATCTGCTCATACCTTACTACATGGATCTATCTCGCGTCTCCGCGCTCACCACCTAGCTCACTGCCCCTCGTCCCCAGCTCCGCTCTGCTTGGCCTTCCCTCGCCCCGTCAAGTCCCTGATCCTCTCGACATACATCTCCCGCTCCATATCGTGCGCCTCCTTCATCACGTCCAGCTTCCTCTCCGCTTTCTCTTTCGCCGTCTCCGCCATCACCCTCCTTTCGTCCGCATCGGCTGCCCTTCCCCTCGCCCCCTCGACCGACCTCTGCAACGCCGCCCGATCCTTCGCCCACGCCTCGGTTGCGGCTTTCATCTGCTGTCGAAGGTCTTGGCGGTCCGCCTCAAGGCCCTCGTTCTTCAGGATCGCATGATCGGCCAGTGCTCGAGAGTGCGCTGCGATCGTCTTGGACTGGGCGAGCCACGCGTCCGATGACGCTTTGGCGACCTTTGCCCGTTTTTCGGCCACTCGAGCGATTCGGGCTTCGGCCTCCGCGGTTGTTGCGCGAGTCTCGGAATCCCGCCTGCCGGCTTCGTGGGCCGAGGACGATGCTGCTGCTCGTAGCTCCGCATCCGCCTGGCTCTGCTCGAGTCGTCCGATCCTGGCCAGCAATTCGCGGTTCTTGGAGAGGACCGCCTCCTTTTGCCTCTCCATCTCCCCAGTCCTCTGCTCAGCCACCTGTCGGGCCCTATCCGCCGACTTTGCCTTCTCTATCGCCTCGTCCCTCCTGCTCTCTGCCTCCAGCTTGCCGGCTTCGAAATATGCCCTCGCCCCCTGGGCAAATCGTAGCCGTGACTCAGCTACCGCCCATCTCACCTCGGCCGCTGCCTTTGCTGACCGCAACTGACACGTCTCGTCCCCACTGCCGCTACCGCCCTTTTTTACCTTCTCTTGGAGGGCCGCCAACTCCTGCTGCGTGGATCTTACGGTCCGCTGATACGCTGCCGAAACGAGTTGCTCCTCTTTGAGCCGACTACTTATCCGATTGACTCGCCGCTTTGACGCCGCCTGAGCCGTTCTTGCTTGCTGCAGGCCGATCAGCTGACGCCGGAGATGTTTCATCTTGGCGTTCGCGGCGCGCAGAGTCGGATCGATCGAATTCTCGTCCCCGTCACATTGCGCCCCCAGGGTCGCTGCCATTTCGGCATCGCCCGTACCTATGTCTATGTCCTCGTCCGTTTCGGCTTCGCTCTCGTCGCCATCCTCAGGCGGTTCGCTCCGCATCGCCGTATCGCTCTGCAGGTCCACTTTATCGGTATCGCTATCCGTGCCCCTGAGCTGAGCGCTGAGGACCGCCCAGGCCCGATCATCGTCCGAGTCGAGCTGTGACGGCCGATCACCGGCTGGCACCGTTGGGCGGGGACCCTTTGAGCGGGTCTCCAAAACCAATCGCGCCCGCGAGTCATCCAAATTCCCGTCTATACTGATGTCCATTGACACCTGGACATCAGACAGCTGCGACGAGCGCTGACTCTTCCGACCCACCGATGCTTCCCGCCGTGTCTTGAGCTGCTGAAGCGCTTCGACGCGCAAGAGTCGGTCGCTGAGGGAAAAAGGGTCCACGCGTGCCCGGAGTAACATGTCGGGGAGATAGGTGTATTGCGGCTGATGCGGGACCGGAGAAGAAGGGGGCATAGACGGTGACGGTGGACAGCCGATTTTGCGGCTTAGGTCGTCAGAGAAAGGTGTCGTCTAAAGGGGAACTAAAAGTAGATCAGCTGCTGGCTTGATGCGGTGCTGACTGCGATAGGGAACGCGCATATTCACTCGAGTCTCGCGGTTTGGACGGAGACAGGCACTTGGCTGCTATAACTTCGAGGTATGTGGCTCAGACAAGAGAAGGAGTAGAGAGACTATCGGCGGATGCGACGGTCTGTGGAGGGGCGGCGATGCCAGCAAGGGTCTGTGCTCAAAGCGGTCGTGCACCCTCGAATTCATTACGACCAGCTTGGGCGCTTAACAGCTTCGCCTCTGCGCTTCCTTCTCGTCTGCTTGTGTTGTTTGGCTCCAGCTGTAGGCCTCATCGAAGCTACATGATGTTAAATACGTACAAACTGCCATGACTCTATGAGCTGATACCGCTAACTACGAACTACAATCTTTACCCATATTCTATCTCACACATACAATACTGGAAGTGAACAGCTCCTCCGGAACCCTCCCTCCGTCCCGCATATACCGCCACATACAACACAATATGCACACCTTGTCAAAGCGCCTCCCCACCATCCCGCTCCACCTTGACTTTCCCCCTTCCCGTCAGGTCTCTGATCCGCCTCGTATACATCTCTCGCTCCATGTCGTGAGCCTCCTTGAGCACTTCCAGTCTCTCCGCCGCCTCTTGCCTCTGCTTCTCCGCCTCTTTTCGCTTCTTTTCCGCCTCTCCCACCCGTCTCTCCGCCTTCTCCACTGCCGATCGCAATCCCACCCCCTCTTGCCAAGACCCTCCACCGATCGCTTCCAGCTTGTCCTCCAACTCGCCATTCTTCCTATCGAGGCGGTTGATCTTGGCCAGAAGTAGCATCTCCCGCGCAGCCGCTTCCCGATTCAGATTATCCGCCTTCTCCACCCGGACCCGTAACTCGCTTTCGCTCTCGACCGCCCGGCGTCTTTCGGGCGTCTCAAGTGCTATCTGGACCCCGGCCGTGTTCACCTTGGCATGGAGGTGTTGCGCTTCGGTGTGATGTTTTGTATTCGCTGTCGCTAGTTGCTCCTCCGCAACCCTTGTTGCCCGCTCCGCCTGCTCCACCTGCGCCTTGAGAGCCGCCATCTCCGTTATCGCCAAGTCCATCCGCCCCTGCTTCTCTTGTAGGCTGTCCTGAACCGCTCTCATGTCCAGCTCCACCGCCTTCAACCTGGCGATCGCCTCCTCCTTCTCCGAGCATAGAGTCCGCCGATCGGCGTAATGATCGGTCCTGAATTTCTCGTAGTCCGCCCGCATCCAGTTCAGGCTTCCTTCCGACTGCACCAGCTTCGCCTCCGCCGCCTCTTTTCCAGCCGCCAGAGCAGCGCGCTCTTTAGCTGTCGTTGAGCTCCTTTGCTGCTCGGCTGCCAGCTCCTGCTGCAGCGCGCGCACGATCCGACGATATCCGGCCGAGAGGGCTCGCTCCGCGTCGAGTTGGTTGGCCGTCCGGTCCGCTCGCTGCTTGCCCGCCGAATGACCTGTGTTCGCCTTCTCGAGTCGCGAGAGCCGGCGTTGAAGATAGGTGAGCTTGGCGTTGGCGGCTCGGAGGGTAGGGTCGATACCGTCGCCTGCGGAAGCGCTCGGGCTCGGCTCGCGATCCAAATCCGCCATCTTCTCGTCCTCTCCTGTTCCTTCCTCCTCCCCTTCCCACTCCTCTGACGAGTCGCTATCCATAGCATTGTCGCTCCCGAAGTCTTCATCCTCTTCCGTAGCCTCCTCGCCGTCCGTAAAGACCGCCGAGGCTCCATCCTCCTCGTCCGAGTCCAGCTGGCCCGGGGTTGCCGCTCGCCGATTACTTCTGGGCCGATCGACCGACTTTGGCTCGTCCAAGTCCGACTCGAGAGTATCGGGCGGGAGCTGAGAGAGACGGAGTGGCTGAGAGCTACGCTCGGCTGAGGCCTGCCTCCTCTCCTTGAGCTTTCGAAGGGCTTCGACCCGGAGAAGCTCAGCGCTGAGCGCGACGGGGTCAAGAGGTAGGCCGACCGCCATCCTGGTGAGCGTCGAAGGAAGGGGGATATGAGATAAGAACTGAGAGATGCGAGAGGCAGGATGATGTGCGTGTAGGGTGGCTGGAGGGCAGAGTGATCGTTCCCGCAGGGAGAACGGTCGAAGTAGTACTAGACATCGACGTCAGCCGCAGTTCCAATTTGAACAGCTGGACTCACCTGCTGTGTCAACCGTCGGGATGACAGGAACAGATTTTAAGTCCGGCCAGCGGATAGGAGGTGTGACTCCAAGAGCGAATGTATATGTATAGAAGCAAAGTCCGCTCGACAAGCTTCAGCGCTTCAAGCGTGCCATTCACTTCCTGATGACGTAATGTGTTTCAGGCATTCGAGGAATGCTGATGACGTCACCGTTCTTGCCTCGTGCTTGTCGAGTCTAAGCTTTCTGCATGGCTTATGCACAATCCTGGTCCTCTGAGAAGAAAACTTGGTCTATAATACAACTACCTGCTGCACATCCTCTGCCACTGGTCCGCTCAAGCCGAAAGACTACTCTATACAGCAATGTACAACCGGAACAGTCCGTCAATCCCCCCTCTCCACCTTGACACCCGTCCTCCCCGTCAAGGCCCGCAGCCTCTCCACGTACATCTCCCGCTCTAGCTCGTGCGCTTCCCTCATCAGGTCCAGCTTTCTTTCGGCCTCCGCCTCCCCCTCTTCCATAGCCCGCAGCCGCTGCACCGCCTCCTCCTTCGCCGCTTGTGCCGTCTCGCACGTTGCCTTCCACTGCTCGCCCTGCCTCTCCGCTTCCTTCTTCCCCTCTTCCGCCTCCTTCCTCCTGCGCTCCGACTCCTCCCGAGAATCGTGAACTTGCTGATTCGACCGCATCAGGAGTCGGCAGGCCTTATTGTCGGGGATCCGGGAGTCGTCCCTGCGTTGCTCTGCCTCTCGAAGTCGGTGCTCGAGTTGCTGTATCGTGCGGGCGGTGGTCTGAGTGAGGGTCGCCAGTCGCTGGTCGCTAACTGTCCACGCCGCTTTCTCTTGGCCGAGGAGCGTCTCGACGTCCGTCGTCGCCTTCCGCGCCCATGCTAGCGCCGCAGTAGCATCTTGAGCTTCCTGTTGCGCCGCGTTCCGCTGGGCGGCCACTCGGGTGACTTCCTCTCTAGTCTGACCGGTCCTCCATACCGCCTCCGCCAGTCCCCCGCGTACACGATCGAGCTCCGCCTTCTCCGCTGACGACCCCTTCCGCATCGCCAATGCCTCCGCCTCGAGCTGCGCGACCCTTTTCTCGGCCGATGCCTGGCGTTCCTCGGCTCGTACAGCCCTCGCCACCTCCGCCTCGTGCTGCCCTCTAGCCGCCACCCTCTCCGTCATCGACTCTTCCCTTTGGCGTTCTCCCGCAGCCTTGACCTGGGCAAGCTCCTGCATCGCCTCTCCCAGTTTCTTCTCGGACCTCCATCGAGCCAGGCCTGCAGTATGCAGCCGCTTCTCTGCTTCTCTTCTCCCCTCGACGGCAGCGACGAGCTGTAACTGCTGCTTCCGGGCGACTTGACGGTATCGGGAGGTGATGAAGCGTTCGGCGTCGAGCTGGCGGATGAGCCGATCGGTCCGAGTCTTGGAGGTCGAGGACGAGCTTGTCTTGCGGAGCCCAAAGAGCCGCCGTTCGAGAGCGAGGATGGTGGAGTGGGCCGCTCGGAGCGTAGGGTGGATATGTCCGAGGGTTGACCCGGATGCCATCGGCTCGAGATTCTCCGCTCCACCCATCTCATCCTCCCCTTCTTCATCCTCCTCTTCTCCTGCTGACTCTTCCCCTTCACCCACCTCCGCCCACTCCTCAGACGAGTCGCTATCCATCGACTCGTCCTCTATGTCGCTAGCTTCGCCTTCCAATTCCGTGGCCTCGGCTGACGAGTCGGACTCCCGGCCGTCCTCGCTGTCCGGGATCACCGATCACCCGCGGTCTTGCCCATCGCTGAATGGTACGCGTCGTCTACTTCGGCCGTTTCCTGTCGCAGTGATCCGAGAGCTCGCCTTGGACAGCTTGGTTTGACGTGTCAGTCGGGCCAAAGCTGGTGTGACCAGCTGGACCAGCCTCCGTCTCCTCATACGGCCCGTCCAGCTGCAGCTTCCGCTTCTGCTCTGCTTGGTTGGCCTGATGATCCGAGTACGAGCGCGACGCCATCTTTCGCGATACAAGATGAGGCGAGACTGAATGCCACTCCGGCCGTAGGTAAGTAGTCGGGGGAAGGGAAAGAGGGAGGAGGATCGTGGCGAGGATGAGACGAGGCGAAGGGGCGGAGCTTGGTCGGTCCGTGCGGCAGGCCTTCTTGTCAGCATCGCCATAAGTAGATCTTCCACGAGGATGAGAGCATACCTACGATGTACGAAAAGAATGGCTAGGCAGAGGCTGTCAAGGGTATAGCTGATGATGGACAGATCAGAGAATGAAAGTGAGCGGCGAAGCAGCAGCTGCATGCTGACGCGTGATGACGTAATGTGTTTCAGATAAGAGCTCACTCATGCAGCGGAAGATTCCGAGCGCTGCGGAGCGCTTGGATCCGCCTCGTCTCCACTCAGAATGATGGACGACAGTGTATAGACGAGCCATAGCTCTGTAGCATTGTCTACAAAGGAAGCCAATATACAAACAAGAGTCCGCTACACAGACCGCATCCAGTCCCTCACCCCTAGCCCTTCCAGCTCGCGCCACCGTGATTATCGCCTTCGCCCGCCATCACTCCCTCTCCACCTTGACCTTCGACGCCCCAGAACGCGCCTCCGAGAGTGTCCTTATCTTCTGAACGTACATCTCCCTCTCCATCTCGTGCGCCTCCCTCATCATCCCCAATTTCCGCTCAACCTCCGCCGTCCTCCCCTCCGCCACCCTCAACTTGCCACCAATCTCATCCGCCGCCACCCGCTCCAGCCGAAGAGCCGGCTTCAGCTCCTCCTTCCGCTTCTCCGCCTCCTTGTGCCCCGCCTGTGATTGACTGATCTTCCCATATGCCTCCTCTTTGAGGCGCTTTGCCTGACCCAGCTGACCCTGTAGCTGCTGCTCGGTGGCCGCCCACGCCGAAGTCTGAGCCCGGATCTGCTCTCGAGCGAGCTCTGTCTCCGCTCGGGCCGATTCGAGGTATGCGCTAATATTGGCAATCCCGCTCTGCGCGTCCGAGTGGGCCGATACCGCTTGAGCGAGTTGCGCTGTGAGATGCGCCGTTTGCTGTCGCGCCGATACCAGTTCCGTCTCGGCGTTCTGCGCCCGATCCTCCGCTCGCTGTCGAGAATCGAGTAATTGCAGACGCTCCGTCTCCATAGCCGAGAGGTTCTGCGCCGCCGCTCCGAGCTCCGCGCGCGTCCGATTGAGGAGGCTCCCCAACGTCAATGTCTCCTTCCGCTTCCCCTCCACTTCCACCTCCAGCTGGGCATACTTCTTCTCCATCACCCGCAGCCGCACTTCGGCGCTGAGCGCTCGAGTCATCGCCGCCGCCCGTTCCCCCTCTGCCGCATCCCTCGCCGAAACAAGCTCCCCCCGCTGCTGGTCACTCGCCTCCTTGACAAGAGCGAGGGCTTCCTCCGCTTCCTTCGCCCTCTTTTCCGCTTCCAGCTGAGGAGCCAGCGCCTTCTTCAACTTCTGCTCCAGGTGCTCTTTCGACTCCATGATAGAGACCAGCTGCTGCTGAAGGCTCTGGACGAGATGGCGGTACCGTGCCGAGACGAAGCGCTCCGCTTCGAGCTGCCGCGAGATGCGCCCGGCGCGGGCCTTGTTGGCTTTGAGGGGGAGAAGTGTCTTCTCGAGTCGATCGATCCGCCGCTGCATATAGAGCATGTTGCTTCCGACGGCCCGGAGGGTGGGAGGAAGACATTCGAGCGCCGGGTTTGAGCCGTCGAGACCGTCCTCCGATCCGCCTGATCCCTCCGATCCCTCTTCCGCCTCCTCCGCATATCCTCCTACATCTTCATGTACCCACTCATCTGAAGAGTCGCTCTCCATCCCGATATCATCCTCGTCCTCCTTCCTTTCGGCCTCACTATCACCACCCTCCGACTCGGTAAAGTCCGCAGACGAGTCCGATTGGTAGTCCATCAGCATGACTTCGATATTTGGCCGAGGTGGCTGGCGGTCTCAGCTGAGAGATCTGATGTTCTGGGTCAGATACATGGACTTACTGGATCATCTGTCTTCGATTTTTTCGCTTTGACTGTAACCTCCTCGTCACTCAACCTCTTCTTTCTCAACCTCCCTTCAACTAGTCGATTGAGATCGACCTCCTGCAGGGCGCTCGTATCGCTGACTTGCGACAAAGTCTTTGACCGCCTTGATACCTCAAGTGAGGTAGATGAGTCGCTGAAGGTCTCTGTACGTCCCGGCGGTATAGGCTGCTGATGGACATAATCAAAGGTGAATGGGGCGTCGGAGAGCGGGTGTGGTTTGCGACTCCGTGCAGGCGATGGGCGACCCGCAATTACCATCGATGAGGCTGAGAAATCAGCTGGTGACGCTTGCACTGCTAGGACTACGATCACTCACGTCCAGCGGATGACACCTTGCTGCTGGAAGGGCTTGTCATTGTTCGCAGGAATAAGAAGGTTGAAGTAGAAATGAGGAATGAGGAGCAAGCGGGAAGAAGCTAGTTGGTTGACTCTGATGACGTAACACGTTTCACCTAATGCCGCTGGGAGTCGCTTGCGGGTCTCTGAAGTGAGCATCAAAGACCATCACGGACTGGTGTCGGCGCCCACACCTAGCCTCCAATGATGCACCTGACAGCCCAGAGGCACTCAGACCATTCCGCTCCAGATGGCCAACGCTTAGTACTGCATCCTGTCATGATCCTATCCGGACCCGCCGGTTCGGCAGCTCTCGGCATTGCCACCCAAACCTTCAAGCTCCTCATACCTTCGAATCCGCGCTCATTACCCCGTGCCTCGCGCAGCACTATCTCCACTCTCGGTTCCACGCGCGCCCCACGCGGCAACTCCCCCGCTCTCGGCCAAGCCCTACCTTATCTACCCTCTCGTCTCGCGCCTCGCTCGGTCGTACCTTCCGGTCCTCCCCACATTCTCACCCTTATCCACGCACCGCCCTCACGGGCATGACTCGGTCTTGGCGGCGTACAGGGATCAGGCGGTGAAGAAGAGGGATCAGGACTAGTTGGGTATATATCGGACTCTCGTTGCTAGGCCTCGTTCCCTTGTAGCTCTCGTATTGTTGTTACCTCGCACCTAGCCTAGATATACCTTGCATCTTTGTTAGCCTCGAACACACCACCTCGGCTTCGCCTCCTCGCAGCTGAACCCGCTGGCAGCTAGTCTAGCTATCATCATCCCCGGACTAGTCCTCGCCTGTCCCTCGACTTTCCCCCATACCAGGCTCGAACCAGGCCCCGCCAGCTGGTTCAGCACCCACCGTGACACATCCTTACTCACATTTCGTAACATGTGACTGCTCTCCTATCAGTCACTGATATATATGATCCCATCATCAGCCTCCTTCTCCCCAACTAGCCCCTTTATCTTCGCCAAGTACATCTCCCTCTCCATATCATGCGCCTCCCTGATCATCGCCAGCTTCCCCTCCGCCGCCTTATGCGCCTTCTCGGCACGCTGCTTGCCCTTCTCCGCCTCGTCCCGCTTCTTCTCTGCCTTGGAGCTCGCTTCCTTCAGCATCAAGTTTTTCCTCCTCCAGCTTGAGCTTCCCCTCCGTCATCTCGACCAGCTCGACCTGGGTACGCCGGAGAAGCCGCCGGAGTTGCTGCGAGACGTACCGCTCCGCGTCGAGGTGGTTGTCTAGGCGACTGATACGACGTTCCCGAGCGGTAGACGTCTTGACCGCTGCTGTAAGAGTTGCTGTGTTTGTGCGACGGAGGTGACGGAGTAGGGTATCGGCTGCGAGGAGGATGGGGTCGATGGAGGGAGTAGGGTGTACCGATTCGGCGGGATCGACTGCTGGCTGCTTCCCGGCGTCCCCATCTACTCCAGCCCCCTGATCTGCTCCACCATCGTCCATAGTCACATCCTCCTCGTCCTCATCTTCCGCCTCCCTGCCATCTTCCCAGTCAACAGACGAGTCCGTCTCGTCCGACACCTCGCTGCTGACGTCGTCTTCGCTGTCCGAGCCGAATTCCGAGTTGGGTGGAGTATAGTCGCCTGCGAAGACTTCTTCATTCTCTACGTCCTTGTGCTTCTGTCCGAGCTCCTGTGCTGCCTCCTTGAACGCCTCCTCGCGTACTTCAGCCGAAGACCTCGTCGCGTCCAGCCGGAAATCGACGCCAGTCGGAGCGTCTCCTTCCTTCTCCATCTTCACCGTCTCCACCTTCATCTCCTTGAGAGCCGTTCCGATGCCCTCCACCTCCTGTGATGCCTGAGAGATGAAATGTAGAGGTGACATGATGTACTCGGCCGGACGAGGCGAGGGAAAGGGTGAGTCGGCCTGTCGCGTCAGCTCTGAGTAGCTCAATAAAAGTTCTCCGCACTGAAGGCCTACTTGCCGGTATCCTGCCAGTGTACTATGTGAGACTCACCTGAATCCTCGATGTAGGAAGGGGACCTCGAGCGAAAAGCCGATAAGAGGATAAGAGGCAGTTTGAGAGGAAGTGGTAGTCGCGTGGGTGTCGCGCCGAGTCGCGTCACCTCCCTGGTGGCGATGCCGTAACATGTTTCACCGCGGTTTCAGATTGCTCCATGTGTGGCGACCTGCTGTGCGTGTCGTGACAGATGCGGTGAACCCAGCAGGAACTTGTACGTTGCCAAGGGGCGCTGATGGTCTGACCTACACGAAGAATCTAGGTCTTGCATTCAAGAAGCCAGAACTTGATCGTCCGTTGTTGCCACTTCCTTTGGACCTCATGTCGTCACGCTTCTCTTCTGCTGTCGAGCTCAAGCCTGACGGATCGCCTCTGGTACTGCCCCGTCCTACATATCCTCTCAGTATCGTAATCTTGCCACCACTTCACTCACAACACGATACAAGACTCAGGATGTCTGGTTATCGATCGAACAGTACTGGTACCGGCCGCAAGGTCGGCAGGCAAAGGTGGTCTTCAATAACACATCCCGATGGAATGAGCTCCAAGTCGGAGGGTCAAGGCTTGAACTTCTCCAGCTTTCATGGGTATGATCTTGCCCCTACGGGATTGGAGGTCGACCACGGTCCCAGGGATCCTTGGCTACTCCACACCACTGATCGCCGTATGGAAGGGGCGCTTCCATGGATCGGTCCCCAGTGGTGGCCACTCGCGCCATTGGCGGCAATCCTCAACCAAGAAAGATCCGAGGCAGCAAGGATCTCAGACGTCCATCCTGAGTCGTCCTCAACTCCCTTTATACCGGAGGTTGTGAGTATCATTGTGGCACTTTGCACTGCGCCGGTAAACGATAGCTGAAAGTACCTAGCAAGCGAGTACCGAGGTATCCCGCACTCTCGAGCAGGATCTGACCGCAAGGACGAACAGAAAAGAGTCCTTATCGCCTGAATCCGACTTCTACCCAGTCTCCATATCTGAGTCCGAAGACACTGATTGCGGCGCGAGTGATCAAAGCGAAGGCGAGCGGATTCTTAAGGGCGAGAATGACTCTGAGTCTGGCCATCCCAAGGGTAATTTAACCACTCAACGCCAGTCGTCGGCAGCCTTTCCAAATTGGTCGGAGCACATGCAACTTGGTGTCCCGGCCCACGAAACAACCCTCCGACAGAGGAACAGAATGAGGCTTAGATCCAAAATTCGGCGGAGACTAGCAACGCTCACGAGTCGGGGCATACTTCGCACCGCAAGGACTTGTGGCATGCAGATACCTCTGTGGTGTCTGGACCAAATCATCCATCGGACGACCTATCCGAGCTCCGATCATCGAAGTTACGAGGGCTATGCGATTCATGAGGTACCCAGGGAGATCGATGACCGCAAATCCAAACGGACGTATCGATTCCTGGACCCGCCAGCTGCTCGGAATACTGGTGAGCGCTTGCGGCCGCTTGTTGTGGAGGCAAAGACCAAACGTGCTCGTATCAACAAGCAGGATACAGCGGCGACGTCTGCCCAGACTGCTCCTCGTGTCTCAAATCGGACGGGAGTCCCAGTGATTTCTTCAGTGGAGGCTCGCGAGCGCCATTACCGGAAATTGGTGGCTGCGTATCTCACGCTGGATGCTCGGGGAATTAGATGTACGCAAGGACTCGATAGTCGGAACCTCCAGCTGGGGTGGTTGAGGGGACTGATCGAGCGGACAGAACCTACTGGCGGACAGGCTGAAGCGCAGACTTCCTCTGGGCTGGTCATACACAATACCGGTCTCAAAGGCGGAACGATGAAGCCTACTCTACTAGATTGGAGGAAGAAGATCGGCCCTGAGGGTGGTGGCGAGAGTGAATCCTTACTCTCTTCATGGATGGATAAGTATCGTTGAAAGCAGGACGAAGTGACGCTCACACGGGGTTGGCACCGCGGGACCGGTGTGATATATGGATCGAGCAGGCTATGCACATAGTCAGGACGCTGAACTCCGGGCGCCAAGTCAGCGTCACAGAAGCCAGCACTTGTGGCTTGCGTATTAAGGGTTGTGCTAGAGTGAGGTGGACTCAGAAGGACGAGAAGCTGATCGACGAGCTTCCTTTATTGTCAGCTTCTTTTGAACTGTCGCCACGCTTCTTTGCTGCTACACTTGGCTGCACCGCGGTCTCTAGAGTCTTTCTTGCCATTGTACCTCAGCGTAGCTCCACTATCTGAACCACCTGTCCAGGAACGCTCATCAACACAATACGGAAGCATAATGTTCAACTATCAAGCCACAACAGACGCAGGTAAGGGGTCAGCCGGCTCCCTGCCCCTCTCAGGATTGCGCCCGAGCAGGATACGGCCAGGCGATGAGCCCTGCTTTCCACCCTCTGACTACCCGGCCCCCTCCCCCGACGGCCCAAGAGACCCGTGGCTCCTCGACACCATCGACTGCGGCGTGGAAGGGTCGCTGCCATGGATACGGGCCCAGTGGCCGTCCATACCGCTACCCACTGTGGGCTCATCCAAAAGGATGCATCACGAAGCGCCAGTCCTTGCCACTCGTCCGATGGCCGAATCCACTTCAATGCCCTTGGCACCGGACTTGGTGAGTATTCACGTGGACAGCCTTGTGAATGATAGCTGAGATTGCCCAGCGACCCACAATAGTGCCATCCCGCGCTTCGGAGCAGATTCCCAAGGCAACCTCGATCAGAAACGAGCTTTTATGGCCTGACTCTGACTCCGATACTGATCTCGACTTTGACTCTGAAGACCCTGATCGGGACCTGAGCGAAGAAGATGACAGCGAGCAATGTGTCAAAGAGGAAGATGACGACTAGCTTTTACCATTACTAGATTACTATACTCAATAATAGTAGGGGGTAGGCCAAGGTCTATATTAATAGTACAATAATAGTAGGGTGGAGGCCACTATTACTCTGCATAGTATAGTAGCTGTCAGTGTGGAATTTACTATATTAGTAATAGTAGGACTGATATAGTAGATTTAGTAGGTTCGAGGCATAGGCAACACCGACCGCAAGCAAACGAAAGACCGGTCGGCATCCATCCCGCCCATTCCCGCCACACAAGCTATGTGGGATGTACAGGAGACACCCACTCACTTCTCAGCCACCGCATCTCCATCCTCCTTATCATTCTCCAGATCATACCCCTCCTTCGCCCATTCCCCAACCGACGCCTGAGCCATAAGATTCTTCGCCCCCAGCCTGCCTCGATTGTGCCCGTACACGATTCCGCACAATGAGAACAGCCGCTCCACCCCAGCGGACGAGACAGGTATGGCGAGGACATCGCGAGCGAGAAGGACTAGAGCGTCGAAGCCCGGATGAGCCTTACCAAAGCGACCCCAATAACGATCGATGGCTTCCGGCATGGTGTCTGTGGATGTGCTCGCCATCGACGAGACGTCCTCGTTGAAGGCCGCCCAGAGGTCTGCGGGCACCGGAGCCGCCGCTGGCTTGCCCTTGAATCGGGCGAAAGACCTTTGCGGCGCGATGTCGTCGGTGGGAAGGGAGGAGGACATGCTGGTAGAGGATTGCGAGCGCGAGAGGAATGGTGGATCAGGCGCCTTAGCGTTTTTGTCGAGGCGAGCGTGGATAAATTCCAGGATTGCTGGCAGGCGTGCGCTCATGTCGTATTGGCGCAGAAGGTCCTCAAGACCTAGCTGGCGCCGATCCGGATCTAACGCTGAGCCATCATCAGTACGGGTCACACATGTCCATGCTGTACTGCTAGACTCACCAAAAGCAACGCACAGCCAATCGTTGTCCAGCTACTCAGAGCTTCTTCAGTTCCGCGAAGATACTTTCAATCCACACATCGACCAGCCGCATGTCCTCCTTCTCGTCCATCAATTGGAGATAGCACGACCTGATGTCCAGCATGAGACTATTCATGTGGTCGCCTCGAGCCCATATGCTCCATTTGGGATCCGCTCTCAGACCAAAGCAAAGCTCAAGAGCGTTGTTCATGCAATTTGCTTTGCTGTCATATTTGACGATGTCGCTGGCGGTAAAGCTCGAAGGGAAGATGTATTGAGCCGGGTGACCGCAGTAGCCGAAGCATGCTCGGCCGAACGAGTCCCACTCTCGATGATCCGGGAGCTTCGCTGCGGGCATAGTGACCATGTACGCGACAATCTGATCGATTGGAGGGTCACTCTGATGAATCAGCAGACAGCTGGAAAGTGATGCCCGCCCACTGCTGCCCTCTCCCGCTTCAAGGCTCCTATCTCCTGATCAAGCTTGAGGATTCCTGCCTTCCTCCATGACCGCCAGTGAATCAATCCGGTCGGCCTCCTTGACGTCCCGCTGCAATCTCTTCACCTCCGCTTGCAGCTTCGCTTTCTCTGCGCATTGCTTTGACCTCTCCGCCTGGGCCTTCGTTTTCTCCCTTTGCAGCTTCATTTTCTCCTCCCCCAACGCTGCAATCTCCTCCTGCCGTTGTATCTCCTGAGCCTGCAGCTTCACACACTCTGCATCGCGCGCCACCTAGCTCTCTTCGCCGCGCTCGTTGCGTGTTCCGACGAGCGAGATCCGATTTGAGCCGTTCCGCCTTGAGCTCGTACTCGAGTCGCGCAATTCGGGTATCGCTCGCAACAGCTTTCTTCCGACTAGCTTCGAGCTGCTTGCTTTGCTGCTCATAATTATCGATCGCTAGGTTGGCGTGAGTGAGGAGGCCTCGATGAGGGAGGGGACAGTGGTATTGTTTCGCCGCGTGGGCAGTCTGCTGGGTGCTGGGCGTGCACGATCTGCGACAGGCTGCTCCGCCATCTCGAGCTCCTCCTCATCGTTGGCGGCCATGATGTCGTCTTCGCCGGCTTCGTGCTCGCCCGGACCGTGCGTCGCCTCCGGGCAGTCTTCGTACTCGATATGGCAGGCAACGGGTGCGGCTTGCTTGTCTGAGGGTGGAGATTGCGCAACGGGATCATGGGATGACGAGCGGCCTGAGCTTGGTGCGGGCGACAATGCAGGAGTTTCTGACTGCCGGCTGCCGGTCGTCCTCGACCAGAGTGGCGTGAGGGTGTTGCGGCTGGTCATCTTGGTGCTTCGAGGGATAGGAATTATCGCTTCTTGCGTCTTCCGAAATCGAAGCGGCACTCCCGGCCGGGTCGTCGGTCTCCTCAAGCTCCTGCTCATCTTGCTCATCGCTAGCCGCCTGGGAGACCGGCGCGAAGACCTTTGTATCCGGATCGTCTACTACTTGTATCTCGTCCTCTTCGGAATAGTCGGAGTCAAGCTCGTCCACGTCTTCCGGCACTCGGGTCCAAAGGACTTCTTTGACTGAGGCCTTGCGACAGTCACTTGCTTCCGGGACATTGCTTCGGCTCTCCGTGAATGAGGTATCGCTGTCCCGACCTGCGTCCCGTGGCGGGCGCCTCGTGACGCGATCACGGACACGGATGTGTTGCGATTGCTTGATGTGGCTCATCGGTGCAAGATAACGAGCCATATGGAGGGAGGGGGGTTACACGACGATAAGAGGGGAAGGAGAAGAGGTAGATGCAAACAGCAAGGTGGCAGCGGTCAGTATTGGTCGTCAAAGCTTGCTTCTTTCAGGTTGTCAGCAAGGAAGGCTTCCGTAGTGTCAGTGCACAATGAGCGTAAACTAGTCAGCAGAATAGCTTCGCAAGGCCGCTCGGACCCGCCGACCTGCCCATCCTGTGACAATCCATATGGTGTAGCGATACAACGTAGATGTAAGAATCTCCTCCGCTCTTGCGGACGATGTTTGGCAGGCGAGTCGCCTGCCTGGAGCATCATACAGCACTGGTTATGGCCGCCCTATCGCCCGGCGACGAGCATGGACGTTGCCGGAGATCCCGCTTGGTGGATCCGGCCGGTCGAGATTGGTCCTCCGAGATATAGCTTCGATACTGGCAGCTGGAGGCGCTGACTCGGGTCGCCGATGAGGCCGGACGGCGTGACCTGATTCGGCGGGCGACTGGACCCTTTCTTCCTCCTTGCCTCTTCCTGCCCCGCGTTCATCCGTCCTCTTCCCTCTCTTCTCCCTCCCAAACACCCACACACCCATCCTCCCCCGCACTGACCATGACCCCCGCCCTCCACCTCACATCAAACACCGCCCCCTCCCCATGCCCCTCCAGTACATGTAGGGGCCGGACATTTGCTCCGCCCGAGGACGCCACATGAGCCGGCTGGAGAGCCGGCTTGGGATAGTACGCCGGGGATGCGCGATTTGGGGTGGGGTTGACGCCGACGCCGAGATATGGGCTGGTGGGTTCCGTCTTATTACTTGGGACAAGAGAGGTTGAGACTGTCGTGCTTGCCGCGGAAGAGCCGCCCTCTCGTTCCCAGACGTAGACTCCGCCATCCTCGGATCCGCCAACCACAAGGGCAGAATCCTGGGCGAAAGAACAGCGGATGAGGTTTTTGGCGGTGTTTTGGTGTCCGGTATAGCGGTACAGGTTGCGTTGCTACACCGTCAGCTTCTCCCTCCATACCGTCAAACGTCAGACTGGAATGACTTACCATTCTTAGATCCCACAAACTGTTGGAGTTGTCTTTACACCCCGCCAAAAGATACCTTCCACCCTCGTCAAACTCCACACTCGACACCTCCCCCAAACACGCCGGCATGGTCGTCACGCACACCCCGCCGACCGCGTCCCATAAACGCATGTGCCTGTCCTTTGAGCCTGAGGCGATCATGTTACCGGTAGAGTCGACAGCGACTGCGAGACAGGAGTGAGCGTGTCCCGAGAAGGTACGGATGAGCTGGCCGGTGGAGGTGGAGAAGAGGCGTAGGATGCGGTCGTAGTTGGCCGTGAGGAGCTGGTCCTGCTTGATCAGTATCGATTCTGAACCTAGCGGGGACCGATACTGGACTGACTTCGTGACCCGTCCTCCATCTTACACCATACACATCCCCGCCTTCTCCCTTCAGGACTCCCTGTTCCTCCCCATCCACGCCCCAAAGCCGGACCGACCCGTCTCCCGACGCACTCGCCAAGACTCCAGTTGCACTGCAGTCCAGGTCCCATATTCGCGAAGTATGGCCGCGGAGGGTATGCCGGATGATACCGTCTTCCGTCGAGAAGATCTTGACGGTAGAGTCGCTCGAGCCGCTGGCTGCGAGGCTGCCGTTGGCGGTGAGGAAGGCGACGCATTTGATGTTGGTCTTGTGCAGAGGGAGAAGGTGGGCGAGGCGTGTCGGAATAGCCAAGGGATGGTAGTCTTGCAGTAATCTGACACGTCAGCATACAGTTATGCGAAGGCTAGAGACGGAGACTTACGATGCGACCCGCCAAGGACCCCTGCCCCGCCTTGTACATTGCTGCACCTGCCAAGCACCTGCCTGCCTCAACAGCTGTACCAGTCTCCCCTCTTCCATCTTCCCCGCTCCTCCTGGCGTGGCCAATAGTGTGCCCGATCCAGCCGGTCGGAGATGCTCCGCATCCACCAGATCCCGCCACATGCCCACCAGCTTCTCCCTCTCCGGCTCGACTCCCGCCCAGTCCTTGAAGCTCGGAACGTCATGCACCGTCCCCGCCGAGGTGAGGTATGAGAGCGAGTAGAAGTCGTACGGATATGGCTGATAGTGCTCTAGTGGCTTCAGGCGCTTTTGGAGGAGGTTGAAGGCTTTCTGAGATTCACCTGAGGGTCAGCATCAGCGTTTTGGCAGCGGACCAAGGAGAGGGGGAGACTGACGGTTTTCGATATGCTCTAGGAATTGCTGGCGGTATGTCATGTACATGAACGCCTTTTGCGTCTGGGGCTTGAGCAGTCCCGGTCGAGCAAGGAAGGCTTCGATAGAGCCAAAGTCCCCGTCTGGCAAGATCAGCTCTAGACCTCGGCCCTCCAGCCTCTGACCATGCGCCTAGAGCTTACCCGTCAATGCGCGCTCGACAAGCTCCACCTCCTCCCGCTCCTCCCGCCTAGGCTGACGCAGTATCTCCTCATCAATGACCCTCGCTACATGCCCATAGGACCGGGAGTCGAGGTACTGCGAAACGAGCAGGGCGATTTCGCGGTCCAGCTTGGACTCATCCAGCGAGATGCTCTCCAGCGAGATGTCGGGAGCTGCAGGCTTCTTCTCCTGTTGCCGAGGTGACAAATGCCCATTGGTACCCTGCGAGGCGCTCGAGAAAGCTTCCATGGTAGCTAGCGAGGGGGCTATGCACACTGGTTGCTCGCGGGCAAACAACGACAAGAGGCAAAGTCAAAGTCAAAGTCAAGACGTCAAAAGTCCAGTCAACCATCTCGACATCCATCGCGTCCTCCCTTTCCCTCAATCGCCTACAACATGTGACTTCTCATCTCATTTCTGTATAGACAGCATGGCGCCCACCCCACTGACCCCCTCCTCGTCGCAGGAGATCGTCCCAATCTCGCCTCCTCCTCCCGCCGCACTCAAGCGGAAACGCGAAGTGACCGACCCGTCCGCCTCGATCACGCTGCCCAAGCCGCTCGAATGGAAGCCGTCTATCGACCTCAAAGATAAAGCCTACAGAGCGAGGAACGCGTATGAGCAGAAGGTGGATACGCAGGGCGGGAAGAAGAAGGCAAGGCAGGCCGAGGTGGAGAAGCAGCGGGAAGAGGTGAGGGGGATGAGCCGGGAGAAGCAGACTGCTAGAATGGTGGGTCCGCCGCTTCGTAGCTTCCTACACAGGTGGGACAGTACTAACGGCTCAGCTGAGCACGCTGGGGAAAGAGGTCAACCCAATAACGAACTCTGATCTGTACTCACGGACGGACCACTTTGTGTCTGCTGCAACGGGACACCAGCAGTCGAATCGGGGTGGAGGAAGCGCTGGAGCTGGGACCTACTGGGAGGTCAGAACAGCCAAGATGGAGGAGCAGGCTAGGGCGAAGGTAGGCTTGCATACCACTGGACTTGATGAGCATGCGGCTGACGGATATCGCAGAAATCGGATCTACTGAAGGGTCTGGTGTTCTACATCAACGGCTCGACCGGTCCAAGAGTATCGAACCTGCAGCTGCAGCATCTCATCACAGCCAACGGTGGTCGCTTTGTGTGAGTCCGAAGATCTGATAGACACGACAGATTGGTGCTCGGCTGACGACCAGACCCATGCAAAGCGCATCATGTACTCACATCCTCGCGTCGGGTGGCCTGTCGGGCACCAAGACCCAAAAATGGATCGATGGTCAGGGTGGCCGAGGGTCCGCTAAGCGGATGAAGGTCGTCAGCGTCGACTGTACGTCCTGTCATTTACGTTGAGCATTGCGGAGAGTGCTGACCAATTGTAGGGCTGCTCGACAGCGTCGAGAAGGGGGTGAAGTTGAGCGAGGCGGGGTATGGCATGATCACTGATCCCGTCAGTCCTATTTCATGAGTTTCCAGATACGAGCTGACTCTGTAGTCTCAGCATAATTTGTTCTCAGCGTTCGGCACCAAGCCAAAGAAGGAGCTCCAAGGAGAAGACGAGGGATAGTCACCAGGAGAGGTTGGCCTTTTTCGGTAGGGACTCAACCATTGTATTTGGCTTTTGCCCACATCACAGCATCACAACTTAGCATCACTCAGACCTGTTGTATCATGAAATCGTTACATATGACTGGTATCTCAAGGTCTGAAGGTTTCTCCACCATCCAAGCTCCCGCTGTCTACCATTCTTCCCCCTTCACCCTTTCAAGACCCGCATGTCCTTACACCCCGTACCCCCTAATCGTCCTCATCGTCATCATCTTCCACCTCCACGGGCTTCTTCCCAGGCCGCCTATCCTTCTCCCTCTCCTTATCCTTCCGCCTCCGCCTCGCCTCAGCCTCATCATCATCAGCGCCAGACGACCGCCGCCTCTCCTGCCGCTTCGCCGGACGGGGATCGAGCAGACTGTCCGCGTCAGACTCGTCCCCCGGTGCAATTTCGCCTTCCGCATCGAGATCGTCCTCTTCTTCATTCCCGATCATGGTCATCTGAGCACCGCCGGCGTAACCGTGTCTGGATAGCGTGTCGGGGTTGCGCATGGGACTGACAAAGTCAGCTGGGGCCATCGGGACGCGGTAAAGGGTGGAGCTTACCGTTGCTTTGGGGGCTGCTTGAGACGCTCTTCCTCGCAGGCATCTACCCAGCTGAACAATCAGTAGAGACCCACCATTGCAGTGTGACCAAGACATACTCCGCGTAGACGTCGACAGCTGCGGACAGGTCTAATCTGGTCAGACAGATGTCTTCCCCATTTACCCTCGATCCGGGCGGAAGGACTCACTATTGATAGGCGTTGTGAAGGTCTGCCCGCAGTCCTTACAGCGTAACGAGCCAAACATTGTTGTCCTTTTCTCCCTGAAGATGTTAGAACTTGTTCGACGTCGCAAGTTTTCCGAGCTCCATTCGAGACCCACATCTTGACACTGCACAGGAGGTCAGCTTGTGTCCTATCTTGCAGGGGGGCATAGTTCTTGGCCATACTTGACGGATTTTTCATGGTTACAGAACAGGCACTTGAAGGTGGTCGCTGTGAGGTCAGAACATCCCTCAGAGGTAAACGGGAGATGCCAGGGAAGGCCCCAGACGAGGAGAGACGACGAACAGAGTTTATCAGCAGGCGCTTTCGGCGCCGGCTTCGAGGACGATTTCCGCTTCCCCATTTTGGGATATCAATCGCGAAGGAGGTATATAAGGCGTGTAGATTACTCCTGCTCGAGTGAGAGGAGGGTCTGATATGTAGGACTAGAGAGGCAAGTTATTATGGGTTGCATGCGTTGGGCGTGTGGCTTTGATGCTGTCATAGTCCCTTCCGTCGGAAGCTGGCATGGCGCTGGGTGACCTCGCTCGACACGCGGCCAGCGCTGACTTGGACCAACCAATTCAAGCTCGTTCTATTGCATCCCTCCATACCATTGTTAGCTATAATAGCACTTACAACTCCCACAGCTGAACAGATAACACACAGTCAAGATGGAGGAAATCGGGATTGACACGAAAATGGAGGTAAGCTGATCCACTTCTACCGAACTCGAACTTTGGAAGGAATGGAGCTGACATCAACCCAGGAGTCGACGATCGAGTCGCAAGCGATTGAGAAGCAGGCGTTGCTCGCTTCCTTGCCTATAGGCGATGATGAGCTGTATAGCACGTGGAAGAAGCTGGAGGCGCACAAGGAGTTCCTACATCTGCAAGAGGTGCGTTAGGCGATGATCAGCGCGACATGAGGCTATAACTCCGGCGCCAGCGGGAATGTCTTCGGTTGTGCCAGACGGAACCTCAGCTGATTTGGTAGGAGTACATCCGTGATGAGACGCTCAATCTCCGAAGGGAGCTTCTTCGGGCCCAGGAAGAAGTGAAGCGGATCCAGGCCGTACCGCTCGTCATTGGCCAATTCCTCGAGGCGGTAGATGAGAAGCGAGGTATCGTTGGAAGCACCACAGGTATGTCGTCTATACAGCTCACTGTGGTACGGCAAGGTAATGTGCACGAGCTGATCTTTAGGCTCTACCTATGTCGTCCGAATCCTTTCCACCCTGGATCGAGAACTCCTCAAGCCCTCTTCCTCCGTCGCGCTCCACCGACACTCGAACGCCCTGGTTGATATCCTCCCGCCAGAGGCTGACTCGTCTATTTCCATGCTGGGCGCAGACGAACGGCCGGACGTCAAGTATTCGGATGTGGGTGGACTGGATGCGCAGAAGCAGGAAATTAGGGAGGCGGTGGAGTTGCCGCTTGTCCAGGTGAGATAAGAATCTGGCGTCTTGGATCAGACCCTGGCTGACATGAATAGATGGATCTGTACAGGAAGATCGGTATTGACCCGCCTCGAGGTGTCCTGCTCTACGGTCCTCCAGGTATGTTCTGTTCCGCGCGATGATGTTGGACAGCAAAGCTGACCTATCAGGAACTGGCAAGACCATGCTGGTCAAGGCTGTCGCCAACGCCACATCCGCTTCCTTCATCCGAGTCGTCGGTTCAGAGTTCGTACAGAAGTACCTCGGAGAAGTGAGTTCTTCCCGTCCAAAACGACTCTGCGACCTCGCTGACTCGTCTAGGGACCCCGTATGGTCCGAGATGTCTTCCGACTGGCTCGCGAGAACTCTCCCTGTATCATTTTCATAGATGAAGTCGACGCGATCGCAACGAAGCGATTCGATGCCCAGACGGGGTCGGATCGGGAGGTGCAGCGTATTCTCCTGGAATTGTTGAACCAGATGGATGGGTTTGACCAGCAGACGACCGTCAAGGTGAGCTGGTTTGTGTACCACAGCAGGAAAGTGCACAGCTGATTATTCAGGTCATCATGGCGACGAACAGACAAGACACGCTCGACCCCGCTCTCCTTCGTCCGGGTCGTCTAGACCGAAAGATCGAATTCCCCTTGCCGTCCCGGAGAGAAAGGCGGTTGATCTTCCAGACTGTGACGGGGAAAATGAATCTGGGCCCTGACGTGGACCTCGAGGATTGTAAGCTGGCGTGTGACGTAGACCGTGGAGTTATCTGCGCCGGACAAGCTGACAAGACAGACATCTCCCGACCGGATCGATTGAGTTCCGCCGAGATAGCCTCGATCTGCCAGGGTGCTGGTCTCCAGGGTAAGCTCACATGCTCTACACTCCCGTCTCTGTGACAGTGGCAGCAGCTGATACCATTAGCTGTGCGGAAGAACCGATACGTCATCCTGCCTATCGACTTTGAGGAATCCTGGAAGGTGAGTTGCATGATCCGCCACATTCCTCAATGTTTCGGCGTTATGTCAAATTCCCGGCAGACGCGCGAAGCCAAACGTCGCGAATATTTCGAGGGTCGATGTTGACTCTGTACAGAGCGTTGTCAAGCGCGGAGACGACACGCATGCCTTCTGTAAGCTGCTCTGAACGGTTCCGTGCGTGGACACAGCTGACAATGTGCAGACAGGTAAACAAATTGTATATGGTCAGTTGGCAGAGAGACTCCCAGTGCTCGCAAGCTGACCATCAGATTCATCCAGCATGCAAATTTCCGCAGACCCATCACCCCACTAACGACCTTCTTCCTTCCCCTGTCTTTTTCACACCACCTTTCCCGCTTGTCGGCCCTTTGCTCCGTCCTCATCCCGGCGTGCGCGTTTGCCGAACCTGCGCAGACCGAACTCAGCGTTATTTTGTTATCCTTCTGCGGGACTGGCTTTGGTTGGATCTCGACACGGAGGGGTGCTTCACAGGCGCAGGACAGACTCTATGAGGGGGAAGCTGATCTAGATCAATAGGCAGGGCCCGGTTCGCGCTGGACGTGCCAGAGAAGGCGGAAGCGGAAGCGGCAGGCGGGAGGCGGTCGTTTGCCTATTGCTCTGTGTTGGCTTCTCCTCCTCCTCATTACCCCTCTCCTTTCAGTTTTTTCTTTCGTTTACTGACATTCCCCCCTCACCCACCCCACCCCACCCCATCCTTCCTACCCTACCCACACACGGTGCTTAACACTCTGCGAGCGAAGCCAAACCCAGTTCGTCTTGCTATTTTTGGTTACACCCAGAGAGACCTTGGCTGGCCTCTTTTCCCTCTCGGGGGAAGGGGGGTCGGTCTGCCCCATACTCACCGGATCAGTTGTACTTTCGTGCTGTTACCGGTCCATAAGCGAGGATAAATCTATTCCTTCGGATATAGCCATGCATCCTCTTCCATTGTCCTTGTCCTTGTGCCTTGTCATCGTCATGCCTCTTGCTGTACTGGTGCGGCCGGTCGGATCTCTTTACTGATGCGCTGGAATACCTGATGTAACTCAGTGGCAGCGGGCAGGGGGAGTGGGGTGTCGAGATGCTCACGGAGTAGTACAGATCCCAAGCCTCTTGCATTTGCATCAAATCCTGTTCGACCAGGTACCGGTTTGTATGATGTCGCGCCTTGGCCAGATCGTCCCCTACACTCGCCCGGAACGATGTCTGCTCAGCATTTCGCGCGGGCTATCCGAATCAGCCAGGTCGCATGCCTACACACAGGCCGAATTTGGGGTCACAACAGATGTTGCGAGACTGGACTCACCAGGTCGATCATCTCATGTAGAGGAGTTAGGACATCCATCATCCCTTGTGCATCTAGAGGGAGGAACCATAAGGTGCTGGCTTCCTCGAGCCCGTCATACCACTGCTGCCGCCAAGAGACGGCCTCATTGGGCGGAGGAGCAGCCAGATTGTCGTCCATAGCTTGCCTTGGAATGAGCTGTCTATCATCAAGATTGCATAATCAGTGACAGGTGGTCTATCCGGATCCACAGGTAGGTATGTAGAGCAGTACGATGGATGCTATGACCAGGTCATGGGCAAAGTCAAGCTTTGCAGTACACAGTCCGCGGAGCGTCGGACTTTGTCGCGTCCGTATAGTTTGCCACCCAAATTGACCTCCACCTCGTGCAAAGGTCAGCTGAACAGCTGGAACGTGCATCTCATCTCCTTACATCTACCCATACTCCACCGTAGACTTGCATACAATACTGACTCAGCTCTCGCTAAACCTATCTAGCTCGACACTTCCGCACCTATTGCCGCTTCGTAATCAAGCTCATTCGATCGATCAAACCTGGAGGAATCGATCTCTCAAAGTCTCAAGGCTCGAAATTCCACTCTATCATCTATCTGTACCGCCCCAGGCCATTCCAAGCCCATCCCGACCCTACGCCACACATCAGGATATCAAGCTAGACTTACTCTTCCCAAGTGAACCCGAGGCCCCCTTCCTCGGTCTCACACTTCTCGCCTAAGGAGACGCCCTCGGCCTCTCCCCCAGGCGACCCTCACCCCCACTTCCGCCCATGCCAAACCTTCACGCGCATTACTACCATGGGAATCTCAAGGCGTTCCGGCAAGAGCTGGACGGGACTGCAGCGGCGGCGCAAAAGCAGGACAGGGGCAATAATGGGGTAGGGAGTGCGAGTTTCGGGAAGAGCTGGACGTTGAGTGGGGGTGCGGGGGGAGTCGTCAAGGCCGATCCGAACGAGCGGGATGCGTTTGGGCGGACGTGAGTGATTTACTGGCAAGCAGAGGTGGATTCTGATGGACAGGGTGCTCCATCTGGCTGCAACCTCAGCAACGCAACAATCCTGGTCCTTCTTCCTCTTGCTTCTTCGGAACCCGCACATCTCGGTCAATCTGCAGGATACAGAGTCTGGATATACCGCCTTACATCGGGCGCTCTTCGCTGGTAATATAAGAGCGGCGAGGGAGCTGTTACTCAGGAACGATGTTGATCCTGCCATCAGGGATATGGAGGGGATGACGGCGTTCGAGCTGTATAACGGGACAGTGGATGGGGTGAGCTTTCGCACATGCGGTTTCTGGCATGGAGCTGATGTGCTAGACCAATCCGGAGGGTGATGTGGATGGGACGGACATGTTTGTTTGGGGTGTGAACCGTAAGCTCCTCACCAAGGATCTTGACCCCCGACAGCTCGCTGACTCTTCAGGCAATTTCGCCCTCGGTACTGGTGACAGCTCGGACAAGGCCTTTCCCGACCGCGTCAACCTCCTGACTCAGCGTCAAGCGTCAGATCAGCCCGATCCGGCTCAGCGTTTCCACCACGTCGGCGTCAAAGACGTCGTCATGGCCAAACTGCATACCGGGGTGGTTACTACCGAGTCAAGGGGTAATCTGAGCTTGTGCGGGTTCGGGTCGAACGGACGGTAAGTCACTGGCTGTCCTTACGGTCATAGCTGACCCCCAGACTTGGTCGAACAGTCCACTCCCAACTCTCCCTTCTTCCTCTACCTGACCTTCCGCACACCCTGACCCAAATCGCTCTAGGTCAAGACCACACCCTCGCCCTTACATCTGGCGGCTACATTCTCTCATGGGGCCACAACCGGTTCTCTCAACTCGGATACGTTATTGATCTGCCGGATCGTCCAGCGGGCATGTCTCTAGGGAAGGATGACCCGGATTTGCAGGTCTCGCCAAGGAGGATCGTAGGGCCTTTGAAGAAGGAGTGGGTGAGGGGTGTAGCGGCGGGCAGGTTGAGCAGTGCGTGTTGGACCGAAGACACCGTTTGGACTTGGGGAACCAACACGGGGCAATTAGGTGGGTCGACAGGATCTCTGCCCAAAAGGAGGAGAGCTGACTGGGTAGGATATGAGAAGTCGGCGAATCCAGTACAGATCCTACCGAGAAAGGTCACTCAGCTATCCCAGCCAGTCATCGACATATCTCTGTCGGTAAGCTGTCCCAAGCTCTGCTTTTGCGAGGCGGCAGCTGAGACCGCAGGACTATGCTATGGTTTGCCTTCTCGACAATCTCGACGTTCTATGCTTCCACCACGATACAACGTTCAAAATTAGCTTTTCGACTCCTCGAATCCTATCCGATGCGTTTCCATTCCGGCCACCTCAGTCCACACTCAAGCCATCCATCAAAAAGGTCACTTGCTGCGGTAGCACCTTTGCGGCCCTCTCGTCCATCGGGGACGTCTTTACGTTTAGCTTGCCAAATCCGATGGAGGATAGTAGCAAGGAGGGGAGAGATCGACATGTGACTGTCAAGCCGCAGTTGATCTGGGCGTTGAGGAAGCGGTTCACCGCCGTAAAGGTGAGCTTCATAGGCCGTGGTAAGGGTTCTAGCTGACCGTATAGGACGTCGCGCTTGGCTCGGACGGGACAGTCATTATCTGCACGCACGCCGGCCACGTCTTTGTCCGACAACGCACCAAGGCCGGCTCGGGCTCGCTCAAGTTCAAGCACATCCCTTATCTCCAGCGGATCATCAAGGTCGCTACGAACGAGTCTGGCGCCTTTGCAGCTATCCGGGTCGATGCCAAACCACTCCCCATCGCTCTTACCGGAAAGACACTGGAAGAGGATCTGTTCCTCCTCCAGCCGCACTTCCAGCGGTTCGAGCACCAAGTGACAGCGGCGGACTTTGAGGCCCACGGCAAGCCCAAGAACGTGAACGAGGATGAGGAGGACGAGGGTTCCAACTCGGTCACCAAAGACACGGCGGTGGCATTCAAGATGTGCACTATCCTCCGGCGGTGGCGGTCCTCAGATACCGACTCGCTCTTCTCGTGGAGCGAGCCGCTCTTGGGGAGCGATATCCGCCTCGTCGTCAACGGCCTCGCTATTCCCGCTCATCGATCCATCCTCGCTCTCCGGGTCCCAGCGCTGGACAAGCTCTTCTCGGGTACCGGCAAGGTCGACCGTTTCTCCATGTCCAAATCCAACCCATCGGCGGTCGCCGTGCAGGCGTGTCATCCACTGGTGATACTGCTGCTCATGCAGTATATCTACTCGGACGATATCGCGGCGATATGGGACACTCGGGTCTCACGGGCCATCCAGGAGAAATACGCCGATTTGAAATTGCCGCACGCGCAGATTAAGGCGGATCTCAAGGCTATCTCGGACGTGCTTGGTTTGAAGCCGCTATCAAACGTCCTCGAGTCGGCTGGGAAGACTCCGATTACCCAGCGGACACTGCCGGTAGACGTCCAGGCATTCTTCAGCAAAACACATACCGGCCAAGCATCGTCCTCCTCGCCGCTGGCCACGGACATCACCCTCCTTCTGGCCGATGAGAAGGAGGTGCACTGCTCCTCCATCATCTTGAGGTCACGGTGTCCCTTCTTCGAGGCGATGTTTGCGGACTCGGAGTGGACTGCGTCGAGGCACGAAGGTGCAGGTGGGCGGGTGGTGGTGAGGATGACGCATCTCAAGTGGAGGCCGATGCAGTTGGTCTTTAGGTTCCTACACGAGGGGACGGAGGATGGGCTGTTTGATTATCTCCGTGAGTACTTTTGGGGTCAGGTGAGGGAAGAGGCTGACTGTGTAGATCAAGAGACCATGGATGAATTCCTGGACTTTGTGTTCGAGGTGCTTGCTGCTGCTGTGAGTTGGCTCAATGCCTGCCAAGGGAGTCTAGCTGATAAGTAGACCGAGCTCCTCCTAGACCGGCTCGTCCTGATCTGCTCCCGCGTCATCATCCGCCACTGTACAGTCTACAACGCCGCTTCCCTCGCATGCGAAGCCAACTTTTACCAGGCCACCGCCCTCAAGCACTCCATCCTTTCTTACATCCTGGCATCGATGGAGACCATGCTCGAATCGGGTCTATTGGACGACATGGACGAGGAGACTCTCGCGGACCTCTCCAAATCCGTCGAAATTGCGCAAGCCAAGAAATTGCCCATCTCGAAGAACGGAGTGCTGGTGGCTCAGGCGATGGAGAATCAGAAGGAATGGCTGGCACTCCAGGATATCCCGGTTCCTAGGGTGAGACAGCCGTATCGGTGGAAACCGAGGAGTCCGGCCTTATCGCCCGTCGATCCGTTCACCTCTGGCGCAGGCGTCGCAGGGGGAGGGGGAGGTGGAAAAGATAGGAGAAGGATTCCGTCGTCCCCGCTCCACAGTCCAGAGATGGTACCCATATCGGCGTCCTCGACGATGGATGACATCTTTACGATGGACGAAGAACGGGTCTCGTCGCCTGCGACCCGGGCGAGTGGGCGGGGAACCCCCAAGTCCGGAGCGGGACGGCCCATGACGCCGCTGGATCTCTCGTCGGGCTCGGGCGGGCCAACAGCGGGAGGACCGGTCTGGCGGTCGGCGGCGGTAGATGCGCAAAAGGTGGATCTGAGGATCGTCATGGCCGAAGCGGCGACCAAGACGCCCGCCAGGCCTGCCTTACCCAAGGCAGCGGGATCACCACGGGTGGGACCTACTCAGTCGCCCTCGCTCACTCCGGCAAAGTCGGCGAGCTTGGCGCGATCACCCCCGTCGACTGCGTCTTCAGCCAGCGGATGGAGGCCACTGGAGAGCACCAAGACATCCCTAACGGCCGTCCAAGCCCAACAGGGCTTCCCTCCTCCTTCCCTTTCCCCGGCAGGTACCTCGCGTCCGTCCGCCTCGCAACAATCACCCATCCCCAATCGGACCCCTTCAGCCACATCCAAAACCTTCAAGTCGCCGCCCGTTTCTGGATCGGGACCGAGCCTTACCCCTCGCAAGTCTTCTGGACCCGCATGGGCCGCTTCGGCCGCCACGCCCTTTGCGCCCCCACCCCGTCCCCCACCCGTGCCCACCCTAGCCACCTCTCCGAATTCTGCCAACACGCTCTCCTTTTCTCTTCTCGCTATCCAGCAGGAAGAGCGGGACTACGCCGACCGGGCCCAGAAGAAACCGGTCAAGAGTATGATGCAGATTCAGAAGGAGGAGCGGGAGCGGCAGGAGGCGGCGGTGCAGGAAGTGGAGTTCATGAGGTGGTGGGAGGAAGAACAGGCTCGGGTGGCGAAAGAGAGTGGAGGTTCGAGTGGGGGGCAGGGGCAGGGACAGGGGGAAGCGGGGAGGGGGAGAGGTGGAGGAAGAGGGGGAGGGGCTGCGGCAGCAGGGAGGGGAGGTGGGAGAGGCGGGGCAAAACGGGTCCCGCCGAGCAGAGGAAGGGGCGGGAAGGCCGGACCGGCTGGGTCAGCGGAAGGCGCCGGGAGAGCACAGGTCGCGGCGGTGCTGCCGACGCCGGTACCTGTGTCCAACGGACATCCAGTCCAGGCACCACGGCAGACTCTACCGGCTGCGCCAAGGACGGTCGAGCGAACACCCGTCCCGAAGGTATCTGCGGGCGGTCTGCATGCCACTGCGCTGCCCTTCATCCCGCCCGCTTTCGTCCCTCGGGGTCAAGTGGTCGGTCAAAATCAAAACGGACACCCTAACGGTGCGGCATGAGAATCTGGGTTCATGTTGGGAACATGGAGTATTAGACGGTAGAGGACGACTTTAGATCGCGTATCTTGTACAGCCGGAATCGAGGGATGCAACTAGATTTAATGCCGCACTACAGCCTGCTATGACACCGCCCAAGAGATTGTCCAGAAATCTCGCTGCACTCGGCCCGCCCTGCCCGGATCATATGAACCCCCCTCTCCCCTTCTTCTCCAACTCGCTATACTTTTTCCTCGCCCCTTCCAACTCGCGCCCCAACCTCGCCCCACTCTCCTTTAGCGCCAAGTGCATGAACTCTGCTTCTTCCATCCTCCGCCGCATATCGTCCTCCTTGAGCTTATATTCATCTTTGACGAGGTCGAAGGCGCCATTGAGGCGGGATATCTCAGCCTCGAGGGTATGTGTTCGGGATTCGAGGGAGGTGCAGCGCGATTGAGACGCCGAGAGGTGAGATTGTAGATTTTGGATTGTTTGTGCGGAGGTTTGGGATGCTGCTTGGGCGGCTTGGAGCGCAGACAGGGCTTGGGTCTGAATATTAGCTTGCGGTGTAAAAAGGGAAGGGAAGAAGGGACTGGGACTGACAGTCTCTTCCTCCGCTTCTGAAATCTTGCGCTGCATCCCCCGCCTCTCGCTCTCCCGCTCTTGATCCTCCCTGGTCCGCTCCATTCTTTCCCGCCTCAGCACCGCCTCTATCCGTGCATTCTCTCCGCGCACCGCCTCCAACTCCCCTTCTGTTCCCTTTAGCCGCGCCTCCAAGTCCGCCTGGCTGTGCACATACGCCGCGTTATCGGCTTGTGTTCCTTGTAGGCATAGTATGACTTGGGAGAGGGTATTGATGGCCGACTCGAGCCGTGCGGGATCCGGCGCCGAAGCCGACGCCGGTGTGGTCGGTCTGGAGTGCCCATGTCCGTGGCCCGAAGCGGTAGTGTAGGAGGAAGCAGTCCCTGTGGACAATGCCGGGGTGGGCAGTGAGTGAGGGGAGCGAAGAGACGCCGAAGGGGGATGAGGAAAGTCCGCAAAGAGCTTGTCGAACTCGCCAAAGATATCGGGCGAGCCGGGGGATCGAGGCGGGTGGGACTGACCCCTACTCCGTGGCTGGGTGAGGTTCAGACCCCTCGAGGGACCAGAAAGGGGTGTTCCTGGTCTGATTGGATCGGCGGACTGTGGTGGGTAGGCCAGCCACGACGAAGCGGATTTAGGGGGAGATGCGGGTAGAGGGATGGCCGCGGGTTCGGCGGACTTGGGCGGAGTAGGCGGGACAGGGATGGAGTCGAGACGGGGTGGTAGGGTCTGCGGGGGGCGATAAGCGACCGGAGGGACGCTTGGGGAGATGGGGCGGTGTTGTTTTCGCCGGGGGGAGAGGAGGTGCGGGAGGGAGGTCTCTCGATGGCGTTTCCGCTCCATGCGCTCAGAGATCGAGTCGTTTACCATCTAGGAATGTTAGCGGTGCTTTTGATGCGGCTGAGGGTGCACAGATGATAGATTACTTACATCGAAGTGCTCGTCGACCGAGAGCTTTGCACCGAGTTTGGTCCGTGAGAGTATCTTGCGGACGTTCTTCTCTGCCATTTTCTGATTGGGATTAGCGGTGAAACTAGGAGGAAGCGAGGGCTTACTCGGAGAGGGCTCCTATTCTCGTTGTCATCCAAAGCGACTGAGCTGCGGGATGGCTGGGTTTCCATCTAGCCTTGGGGAGGGGGAAGCGACCTATATACTTGTCTGGGGACGGCAGCTGCTGAGCCGTGGGGTGTTAGCGTCCTGTATTGGGGTGAGATGGAGAGCAGAGAGCATCAGTAGGGTACGATGAGCCAAAGATTGTCGATCACCATTGAGGAGGAATGTCGAAAGTTGGTAGATCTTCATTCAACGTTGACAACTCTAATCACACAGAGGTACATCCCCCTTTGGATGGGACAGATATAGATCCCACTCCTCGAAGAAGAGGAATTCGATGCGCTGCTGATGCTCTTTTCCAGTCTCTCATCTCGGCTGAGCTATTGGTTGGGCGAGTACGGTGGCCGCTAGCTTATAGTGGAATAGATGAAGATGAGATAGATGCGGCGTCGTTGGTGAAGCTGAAGCTGCAGCTGAAGGTGTTGGCCGTTGACCTCTTACGTTATGGGATGTGGAGGCGCGTGGAGGAGGTTTAGCCGAGATTTAGCCTTTCACAACCGGGAAGACAAGCTAAGCCCAAGAGCCAATCCTGCTTCACGTATCGCATCACTCGCTCATCATAGCTTATGACATGGAAGGCCAGAACAAGAGAGACGCCTCAGAAGAGGCGAGAGGAACAGACGATGAGGATAAGAAGAGGAAGAAGCGGGTCAAGAAGGCTGTAGGAAAGGCGTGTGTCTATTGTCGGCGGAGGTGGGCACTTCCGCTCTGTCCCACGGTAGGGAGCTGTTAGCTGATGGGCTAGTCATATGGTCTGTGAAGGCGGACGACCATGCGAGCGGTGGTAGGTCCACAGTCATGACGTTGCGATTCATTGACTGCTCGAGCTCATACTGTAGTATCAAGCGGAATATCCCTCATCTCTGCCGAGACTTCACCCCTCCGCGCCAGCTCGAGCCGCCCCATGGCCCACAGCCTCCACAGTCGCAGGCGCAAGTAAGGAGCGAGCCAGATTCGTCAACGTCGGCGCATGTCGATCCTCCGACCAATGCTCCGGTTGCCAGCAGCTCCGCTCTGCCCATACCGGTCTCGCAGCTTTTGGAGCGCACACCCGTCTCTGCCACCGCCCAGACCACTGGTTTCGGACACCAGCGAGCCTCGACGGAGCCTGCGAATATGGGCATGTCAGCTAGCGCTAGCGGCTCTGCAAGCACCCAAATGCCGCTGTACTCGGATGCGAATTTCCCTCCGTCCTGGCCGTTATTGACGGATGATGGAGGGCAAGCGGGGTATGGCGAGGTCAAGGGCGATGGTGAATGGGGGAAGGAGGACGACACTGAGCTTGGAGCTCTGAGGTGGGCTCATTTCCAAAATCGTTACAGTCGAAAAAGAAGCTGATAGGATAGCAAATTTCTCGGCGACTTGGGCGTACCCAATCTGCCCGGTGGCTTCCTCGACGTCCTCTCCTACTTCTCCAACAAAGGCGGAGCGAATAATCTCGCCGGTGTCCCCTTGCAGGGATACAATACCGGTACCGCCACACCTGACGCGCCGATGCTGGGTCAAATGGACGGGGAGGATCAGCACCAGCTGGACCTCATGGCTGGTCTCAACGGTAGCGGTAGCGGGGGCGGAGGCGGGGCCAGCGGGTCCGGATCTCAACATCAGCATTCCGGACCCATTACGCTGGCTGGATATGCCGCGCAAGCGGAGAGCTCGCATGCTGCTGCGGGAAGGCAGTACCAGGGGGAGCCGATGTTGCGGACGAATAGCGGTAGGAGGGAGAGTACGATCAAGGGGAAGGGGAAGGAGGTTCAGGCTGGACTGCCTCTTCTGGGGAATTTGTCAAGAATGTGCGTTAGATCCTCAGGTTTCGAGTCCCTCGTCCTGCCTAAGGTACAACGCTCACTGTACAGAGAACGCTACTTCCTCGCTGCCGCCGACCAACCGTCCGGACCCCGTTCATCCCGTCTAGCCCAGGTCATCAAGGCGAAATACGACGCCGGTCTCTTGAAACCGTACGACTACGTCAAGGGCTACGAGCGCATGAAGGGATGGATGGATTCTGGACGTGCCAATCCGCGAGCGGAATCCGTCCCCGCCAGCGCTCCCGGATCACCACGACAAGGTGCGGGCGCTGCCGGCCGGGCGGGTATGAAACCCCTCACGGCCGTCAACTCGTCAACGCCCCAATCTGTCTCGGTCACGTCAAAAGGAATCAGCGCGGACAGTCGCCGTCGGATATGGGCGGCGATGAATGGGTTCCGACCAAAGTTTCGGCAGATCGCTAGAACGCTCGATGAGGTGGATCTGGTCTTTATCGAAGAGGCGATGGAGCGGTGGATGTTGCAGTATGATCGGGCGTTTGCTTGTGAGTCCGCGGACTCACCGAGATGTGTAGGCAGGGCAGAGCTGATGCGGGCAGCGATACATACTCCTTCGTGTATATGGCGAAGGACGGGCGAGATACAAAAGGCCAATCAAGAGTTTGCGAATCTGACGGGGATCCCGGCGAGCATGTTTAGGAATGGACAGTTGTGCGTTTATGAGTTGATGGATGAGGATAGCGCGGTGAGGTATTGGGAAGGGTATGCGAAGATTGCTTTCGACGCAGGTGAGTTTCCTCCTCTTGGATAGTCTGTGACTCGGGGCCTCAAGCTGACAAAGGTAGGCCAAAGATCCCTCTACACCTCTTGCACCCTCAAGATACCCACCTCACTCACCCGCCTTCCGCCACGACAACCCTTCTCCACCCCGCCCCTATTCGGCCTACCCAAAACTGCCGCCCCAGGTCCATCCGGTCTCTCCCACCCGTCCCTCAGCGCCGTACCGGATCTATCATTACCCCAATCTCTGATCAATACCGCTAATGGCGCGTCGCATCTCAATCATCAAAGTCAGAATCCGAATGGAGAGCACGGAGGAGGAGGAGGAGCGGATGGGACGCCCACGCCGACGCAGAGCAGAGTGGGCGCTGGTGGGATGGCGGCAATGGGGTCGGCGGAGGTGTATAGGGAGATCAAGTGTTGTTTCTCGGTGACGATTAGGAGGGATGCTTGGGGGGTGCCGGTAGCGATCATGGGGCAGTGGATTGTGAGTTATCCGCGTCGTTGATGCAGGAGAGGATCCAGCTGATCGTGTAGCCTATGTAGGTACTGTATATCATACAGAGATGGAGGTAGCTGGGGCGGGAGGTGCCAGTCCAGGCGATGGCCGGAGCAGGGATCCCGCTCTGAGAGGGAGAAGGACAACGGGGGATTTGGCTGCGGGAAGCTTCTCCCCGTCATTGTATGAGTTGGTGATTTTTTCGAGCTAGGAGAGATAGATCTGTAAACCATATGTCTTGTCATGTTGCCCTTGTAGCTATGAGCTCGCCCCTCGACCTGCCACAGGATGGCAGTCATGCAGAGGCAAGCCATGTGGGGTCTCCAAAGCCTCGGCTGCTCCCCGCGTCGCCACTCCACACGACTCCGACCCGTGACCGCCAACTCCATCTCTCCGCTCTCTGCTCTGCTATCTCACATCTGCCTTACCTTGACATGGACATATAGCCTGAGACACCTACGAACGACCACCACAATGGCGCGGTGGGTCTAGACTCAGCTCTTGCCGGATCAAGCCAAGCTGATCTTCTTCTCAGAGACCCCCCCTCCCTCCTCGCCTCGTCCGAGCTGCGGGACCTCCCTCTCGAACCCACCTTTCTTGTTGATGCGCGCATCACCATCATCCATCCGCAACTCCGAGATCTCATCTTGCCACTAGAGAGGCGGAAAGTATGGTATCCGCACGGCAACTCAATCGAGGAGATCTCGTGGACAGAACGTGAATGTGAGGACGAAGAAAGTGACAACTCGGCGAAGTCTGGTCCGGTACGCTTGGTGAACGCTGATCTCCAGCGCTCAGCTGATACTATAGGCCATAACCATCAACATAATGCCCGTGCTTAGCCTCAACTTCACCCCTAACTGTCTTACCGGAAGGTAAGCAGTTACCCCCTTTGGCCACCCGCCACCCTGCCCAGCTCAGCCCTTGACCCTGGCCCTTGCCTTTCGCCTTCCGGCTGTTCGTCAGAATACGAATCTGATGTAATAGCCGAGGCGTGCTTGCTGCCGGTGGTCAACATGGGGAACTGCATCTTTCAGACATACCCAGTCGGACCTCTACCACGAGGCCAGCACGCGCAGGCGCTGGACCGGCGGCACCCAAGGTTGAGCCGTTCAGGCTGGACGTGGTGCTCGATACGCGAGCTATCAACAATGCGATCGTTCTGCTTCCGGAATGGCCGACAGCATGGGCCGAGACGAGCGAGAGGAGGCGGATAGGGTATGTGGGTGGTCAGAGGCGACGGCGGGATAACGGCGAAACGGGGATGGTAAATGAGCGCAGCGGGGAAGAAGAGCTGGGCGCAACTGATGTCGATGAGATGGGTGACGACGAGGCGATGGACCTGGACGAGGAGGACGAAGAAGGAGAAGAGCTCGTCCAGCCTCTCAGTCCGGCAACTTATCCCAACACCGTCGTCCCCTTCCGCCAACTCGGCCGGTCGTCTTTCGGTTCAGCGACATCCCAGCTTCCTCCGGCTAGGCGGACCACTTCATTCTCGCTCCCTCAGTCCGCGGCGCACCCCATCCCCATCGCCCGTCCAGCTCGACAGAGCTTCTCCGCTTTGGCCCCACCCCCAGCGACAGCTCAGTCGGTCCGTATCGTTTCGTCCTACCCCGGGCCCTCGCGTATGCCAAACGAGCCCCGAGATCGGCGAGAGTCTTCGGCCTCTCGTGGATCCGCTACTGCGCGTGAACGCCCGAGGGTGCCGACGCGGGACCGCCCCCCAGAACCCCGCTTCCTCATAAGCAGCAACGACCAGTCTATCCGCATGCTCTCGCTCCGCCAGATAGAGCAAGCGCGGGAACATCCTATCCGGTCATACGAGCGCGAGTCGGAAAATGCCCGCTTGGGCCAGGCGGAACCGACCATCCGGACGCACTATCGTCCTTCAGCCGCCACGTCTGCTCTCCTCAACAATAGCGATTGGCGCGCATCACATCCCGTTCTTCCGCCACCTCCGGCTAGGGCGGGTGCATCAAGCCGGTTCGGGTGGGATAACAATACCGCCCACGCGAGTCTGTTGGATGCGCATCGGACGGAGCAGCTGGCGGCGCAGCGGGAACTGCGGATGAGGCAGATTGGCGATTTTGAGGCTGCGGTCGGACTGCCGCCGAGTCATGGCTCGACCACGAGGAGTGGGACTTTACCTCGTGCCCCGCTTCGAGTAGGTCCGCAGGCGCCTTGGTCGCAGGTGCGCGCTACCGCTGGCATATCCCGTAGTGGAGGTAGAAAAGCTGTGAATGTTGGCGGAAGCATCCTCAATTTCCCGGTCAATCACTGTGAGCCATTCTGAGAGAATCCTTATCCCGAAGCTGACGAGGCAGCGTCCTTCTCGCCAGATCTCAAGACGTTGGTCTCGGTCGGTGACTCGACGGATGTACAGCTCTTCGAGGTGATTGATGGTGGACGAGAGTTCAGGGAGATCGCCACGTACCATGGTGAGTTGTATCTCAGCACTGTCAAGGCAGTCAGGCTAATGAGCAGCTGCGACGGATGCGGGCTTCTCGAGCGCCTGGAGCAAAGATGGCCGTAAATTCGCCGTTGCAAGTCAAGGTACGTCACCTGCTCCCCTCGTCCGACTGCAATGCGAACTCAGCTTAGTAGCCAGATGGTCAAGTGACAGTATGGGATCATCGCTCATCTCGCCCTCTCGCTACCCTCTTTACTTCTCCCGCCACCTCCTCGCGTCAATCGTCATTCACGTCGGACATCTACGCGGAGGATGAAGGGCCGCAGGGCGGTGCATGGTCCCAAGACCGAGGTGCGATGCTTTACAATCCGCTCACGGGCGAGCCAAGTTCAGGGGCATCGACGAGCGGGAGGGAAGCGGCGCGGGTGGTCAAGTTTAGTCCGGAAGGGAGCAGCCGGGACTTGATGGTCTTTTCAGAGGTGTGTTCCTGCTTACTACCAGCCATACGTAAATACAAGGTCCGCGCTGACCTCGCAGGAAAATACCAATATCCACATCGTAGACGCCAAGACGTTCAATACGCACGTCATCATCCCCGTTCCGTCATACTCGCCGAACGGTCGAGAGTCGCCGCCGCCGCGCGTGGGTGTCGATGGTGGTGAATGCGGCATCGCAGGGGTGGCTTTCGACCCCACGGGAGAATGGCTGTATTCTGGTACGGAGCGGACGGTCGTCGAGTGGGACATGCGGCGATGGGGCGGCGGAGAGGGTGGAGGGTGGAACATGGCATGAGCGGCAGCGCGCGTTAGTCGGGGCGGGAGAAAGTAAGGGCTGTAGATCAGGTAGGAAGTATCTATTTCTGTGTCGTTCGGCTTGTTCTCCCTCTCAGATATCGTCTTGGTGTAATGAATAGCTGTCGCTGTAGGCTGCAAGTGATATATGGGCTACATGCAAGGATGACAAGCTTTTCTAGGTGCTACAACGGCTACGTATACTAGATGTAGCCAAGATGATATCATACACAAATTCCCAACATGAAATCCGTCCGCCCCTTTTACCAGTCCATGGCCCCCACCCATGGTCCCTCTTCCCTTCGCTCTGGCCCCTCCAGATCCAATTTATCCAGCGCCCGCCGTACATCCACCAGATCCTCCACGTCCCGCTGCGCCTGCGACCGCGCATAAGTCAGCGGGCAGTCGATCGAGTCGCACAGTATCTTGTCGCTGAGCGGGGTCCCGCTACATGACGCGCAGATCTTGTGGAATGCTGCGAGCTTTTCTTGGGCGAGGTGTTCGCGAGATAGAATAGTGTGCGAGGAGGTCGATGGAGAGTCTATACACAGCTTGCAGATGCCTTGTTTGTCAGCTTTGAGCACCCTGCACCAAAAGGCCGAAAACAGCTTACCTGACGGCGACTCTGCTCCGCAGACAACGCAATGGCTCGACTTGAAATGGCTGTCAATACGCATCTTGCCTCCGGCCGCCTTGCTTGATTGGGCTGCTTGCTCATATCGTCCCGCCCGCTTGACTCGGGGCATCGAGTCGAACCAGTTCTCGACGTCCGCTCCGACCAAGTTGAAGATCCGAGACAGAGGAGGGATGAGGAGGTTGCGGATGTAGTACTCCGCGTCGATGCCGAGGGATCTACGTCGTCAGCTGTTTTCCTCGTATCAAAAGCGGAGAGAGGGATCAACGCAGCTCACCGATTAGCAAGCATCTCCTCTGGCATCCGTGCTCGATCAATCAACCGCCTCCCGTCCGCGTTCGAAACGATATATGGAACCCGCTCAGCGTACTGCGGCTCGTCACGCGGATCCTTCAAGATTCTCCGGTAGGCCACCGCAGCTCCAGGCGGAGGAACCCCTTTGTCTCTGTCACGATCAGCTGTTTGCTGCCGAACACCTGTGGTCAAAGGGAAACTCACGAGTACGACCCTAGCCTGACCTCTTTTGCCACTATAAACTCCTGTGGCGACACCCTGCCTTGCAGTATCTTTGTCCACTCCTGCCGGCAGAACTCCTTGATCTCCGACAGGTCTTGATTCCGAAATAACATCTTCAAGCACACCTCCTCGATCTTTTGTTGCGCCGGGAAACCGTCCCGCCGGATCGTCTCGATACCCTTAGCGTCAAATACCGGCTCGAGCTCGTCGGGATGTTCGTACTTGAAGCCGACGTAGCGCTTCTTGGCCATGAGGACTGAACCCAGATACACCTGGAAAAGTCAGCTCTACCCCAGCACATCAAGCCAATAGCCCCAAAATCAGCGTACCTTTTCGAACTTGAGCTTGACTGGCTTCGGGTTCATGGCTGTAACAGCATCGGCGATGTCGTTCCCAATCTTGAACGCCTGATCCTTGGATCGACCAGGGAGGGCGACAAAGAGGGAGTCGGTGTCGCCGTAGACTACTCTGGCGTCCCATTCCGGCCGAGAGTGGATCAGCTCTTGAGCCTGAACTTTAGTGAGACCCCCTCCAGGCGAAGAGAATGATGCTCACCTTCTCCAGTGTCTCTCGCCCAGTCTGCACGATTGAGTCGGCCACTTCGATACAAGGCATACGTCCAGAGTAGGTGGCGCTAGTGTAGCCGTAGGTGACATTCTATCCATAAGCCGGTCGTGCTATGCTGGCGGGCTTGGGCAACTCACGGCCATAAGTTTCAAACCAAGTTGACGAGCATTCAGTAGCGATAGCAGAGTCTGAATATGTCAGCCATGAATCTCTTGCGGCAAGCTTCATGTGCTCACTTTGTTGCCCTTAGCACCCTTCATACCCTGCTTGACCATCACTCGAGTATCCAGAATTTCGCCCAACATCTTCGCCAACAGGCTCTTCCGCACCGCCGGCTTGACGAACACCATCCCGTTCGGAGTGACTGATCCGTCAGTTACGCGAGGGGATCCAGTGATCCAGGCAACTCACCAGTCAAGTAATCCTTCAACAGCTCCAACAACCCATCCGCCACCTTCAATTCCGTAAACCCAAACTTGTCCGTCCCCTTGAACTTCTCCACCCTACCCAGGCACGTCGAATAGCAGATATTATACGCGATCATGATGGACGGGTACAGACTCTGAAAGTCGAGCACGAGGATGGGATGGGTATAGTACTTGCTTTCGGGCTCGGCGATGAGCGGAACGGCGAATGGAGCGTTCTGCAGTCCAACCTGCTGCTTCGAGGGCGAGACGAAGACGAAGGATTCGGGCTTGGCGATGCGGAACATGAAGGATTCGACCTTGAACTGAGAGCCGCGGAACATGACTGACGCAAAGTCGACGCCGAAAACCCGAGCAAATTCGCTAAACGATCAGCTGTGATGATGCGTATGTTTGACTGTGAGCTTACGCATTCTTGGTGATGATCTCTGCCGCGTCGATGATCTCGCAGTACATGACGACTCGCTGGAAGAAGTACTTGAGCACGCGATTGGTGTGTTCTGGCGTCTTGCTCTTCCACAAGGCTGTAAGACTCGCGGCTGAATAGCGAGGTATACTGCCGGGTCAGCTATGCTCGTCCGAGCAAGTATGGGAGCGATAACTTACCGTTGATGCAAGAGGTGGAAGGCGACATTCTCAAAAGAGTACTGAGTTAGGTTGATCTCGGCTCGACAGATCCGCCAGACGTTCAGGACGTGCCGACCTGACACTTTGAACGTCGACGTGTGCGTGGCGGAGTAAAAATCCTTCCTGAGTCCAGTATGACCACCGACGACTCGCGACAGCTCTTCGGTAAGGTCCATTCCTGCCATATCAGCTACCTTCTATGCGATGTTCGATGCCCGCTTAACTCACCGAATGACTCCTGCGCTCTCGCAGTCACATATCCCCACGAAGCGTTATGCAGCTCCCATCCACCCAGCACATCCGGATCCCAGCCCTTCACCAGATCAATCAACCAATTGATTAGATCCAGCTCAGAGTCGAGCACCGTACAGGGTATCCCGTCCAGCTTGGACCGCCCACCTCGAGTCTGCGCACCATCGACAACCGCATAACCAGCATAGTAGCCAGGAAGCGAGGTGGTGTTTGGCAGATTTTCGTCCTCGTTCTGGTAGCAAAAGAAGATGGAGGTGATTTCGTCCTTTTCCGGATCGGGCAGGAGCTGATGTCGGGACTTGGCAAAGACCTCGATACAGAGCACCGACATGTTTTGGGCTTCGCGCTCGGCGTCCTTGCTCTTCTTCTTCTGGGAGAATTTGAAGCCGAACCGGTTCTTTTGGGTCGGACCGGAGAGTTGTGAGTTGGCGAGCGCGTGAAGATGCTCTACATCGTCAGCCGTGTTCGGCCCCGAAAAGAGAAGCTCACTCACCCCTCTTGTACAGCTCCACATCCTCGTCATGGCACCACTTGACCACCTTATCCAACCTCGGTGGCGGAACCGCATACTCCCACCCTCGAGGCACCCGTACACTGGCCGTCCGCTTCGTCTTCAACCACCGCTTTGTCTTGGGCGTGATGCCCGTGACATCAAACTCCTGCAGATCCGCCACCGTGTTCCCCTTAAGCGCAAACATGCGCCCAGCAAACATCTTGGCCCGAGGCGGGACATCAACCGGGTTGGAATAGTACGGTTCCTGATAAATGACAGTGGGGATGCCACTCGACTCCATCGTGGCCGTTACATCCCGCGCGGACGGTGGAGCGAGGTAGAATTGCCATGCGTCCTTGGCAAAGTGGACGGCCGGATCGGTCGAGTCCGAGCTCACCGTAGGATGGCTATGTGCCGACGAGGCGCTCCGCTGGCTCAGCTGACTGAGTTGAGACCGCTGAGAAAGGTTGGGGTGTTGAGTGAAAGGGTTCTCGGGCTCGTCTATTGGTCCAGCCATTCGGACCCGCTTCTTTGGCCTTTCCGACGGAGCGTCGGCCGCATCGACAGCCGCTGCGAAGCGCGTGGGGTCATTGCTAGACGGCAGCTCGACCCCTGAAGTCCGCTCCGCCGATGGGACCTCCTCCGCAGGCTCGTTCAGCTGCGTCGGACTCGACATCGGAATGACCACCTTGACCTGCACCGGCTGAGGCGTCGGCTCCGTCTTCCCCGACTCCGACGTCTCGATCGAGGGTTGCTGCTGAGCCGGCGCGAACAGCATAGCGACATCATCACTATCCGGCTGCGCCGAGATCTCCTCAAATTCCGATTTGACCTTGACCTCCGGCAGTCGAGGAACCGCTCGAGGGGTCACTTTTGAGGGACTCTCGTCCATCTCATCCTTTTCAGGTGAAGGTGACCACGGCCCGACCGACCTTTTTGACGGTGGGAGGATGACTGTATTGACCGGCGGCCAGGCCGCATGTTTAGAAGGAGTGTTGAGCGGGGAGGGACCGTTGGTCTTTTTGGCAAATAGGTTGCGGACCATTGAAGTGGGCGTGGCATTGTCGCTGACGGGTGTAGCCGGACCAGTAGGTGTACGAGGCCGCTGCGGGGTGCCTGGACGATCATCGTATGGATTTGCAGGCGGTGTGAGCGATACCGAGGAGCGGTCCATGATAGTACTGCGAGTCAGCGATCGCACAGCAAAACAGACGAGCAGACACACCTGAGATCGCCCCAACCGGCCAACTCCCTCATCCGCTTTTCCCGCTGATACCGCCTCGCGTCTACCGAACCCCCAGACGAGCCCGTACCCCTCGTTGTAGGCGTATGTGACGTCGCATCGCCATCTCGCCGCCTTGGAGTGGAAGGTCTACTCTCGAAGCCTCCAGTCACCGTCTTTCGGAATAGTGCGTCTAGCTCCTCATCACCATACTCGTGGTCACTCTCCTCGCCTTTTGGCGCCGCCTGCGTGGCTCGAAAGTCCCGCCCGGCGTCCGCACGCTGCTGGACATCCTCCGTATGCCGCCTAAGAGCCGCCTCTTCCTCTTCCTCCTCGTCCGGTGCGGCGCCAGTATCGCCTGCGATGTACTTGGAGTCCACTTCGACCTTCATCTCCAGCATGGGCGCCTGGGTCATTGCGAAAAGGTGGAAAGGGTTGCCTTCGCCCTCAAGGAGGTCATCATCGTCTTCGTCCGATGAGAACGCTTCGACGTCGTCAACGGCTGCGGGCATGGGCTCGTCGTCAAGACCAGCGGGCGGGAGTGGGGGTGCGTCAGGATCTGGCTTGATGTATTGTGAGGGCACGGCAGGTCTGAGGGGTGATGAGGCGAGCTGACCGGGTGGAGGAGAGGAATGTCCGATGGGTGAAGAGGGGGCGATAGCAGACGACGGTCTGCCCTTCCTCGACCGCTTAGATCTTTGTGTCGATTTGGCTACTTTGTCGAGTTTGGGCCAATGTGCCGATACAGCTTTGAATGTGGTCATGACCCACTACATGGATGAGCTCTGATCACCGGGGCATCTTGACTCTGATAGCTCACCCTGTCGTACTTGAGCTTCTCACCCTCCTTGCCCGCCCTGATCTCGCCCGAGAATCGCTCAAACGTCAATCTTCCTTTCCGCCTTCTCTCTATCCCCATCCGTTCCTCCAACATCCCCCAGAGCTCTTCCGAGATCTTCCAATGACCGCCCTGATTCTCATGCACTTCTTTCCCGGGCACCTTGTATCCTAATTCCTCCATCGACCGACCACCCATCCCCAAACCGGGCATCATTGCTTCTTCAGCCAAAGACTGGCCTCGCATCGACCGACGTCGGCGCTCATCCTCCCATAGCTCCGCTACGGCGGGAACGAGCTTCTCCTTGGGGTCCAGCGGCTGCTGCAGGAGCTCAACGAAGTCCTGATGTAGCGCTCGCGGTTTGAGTCCGCGCCTATTGATGATCTGGTTGGGGAGGATATCGATTTCTAGAGGCGTATGCGAGTCTTTGGGTGGAGAGAGTACGGGTGGATACACCATATCGGAGGGGACAGTGAGGGAGTTGAAGATGGTGGTCGGACCCTTTCCGGGGGAATCGTAAGGATCACCCTCTGATCATCAGCTCCCTTCGGCAGGTGCCTAGACCAGTCAAGTCACAGCTCACCAGGAAGAGGCGCTCTGAATGTCCCACCACTCAGATCCAGCCAGCCGCAACCATACAAGTCAAAGTCGCACATGAACTGCAAGACGTGATTCATGTGCGCCTCGTGCGGCTGCCATTCTCTCCCTAGTACCGCCGGCTTCCTTAGCTGCTCCAGCGCCACGTACATCCTCTGGGGGTTCACCAGGCTGACCTTGAGGAAGTAGTTGTAGCCCACATGGTAGCCGTAGAACGGCGTCCCCTTGACGAGCATCACCGAGACGACGTGTAGGTGCTTCGGATCGGTGCCGCCGCCGTACTTGTTGGACGCTGATGTGGGATTTTGGCGCATCGCGAGGCAGATGGCGTGGTTGAGCGACACAGCAAAGCGCTGACAGAGACGCACGACTCTTTCGGGCCGAAGAGGGTCCGTAGAGTCCATAGGATACGGGACGTAGAAGTAGGGGTAGCAGAGGTGTATGTTAGCGCATATCTTCTGGAGGGCGGGCGTGGTGCCAAAGATCCGGATGACGGGTGCGTGATGAGGGAGTACACCCATAGGTACGGCCGTAGCGAATTGCGGAGGAACGTAGTAGTTGGCCAAGGTAGGTAAGGGGGTCGACATGGTTGATGTGATGTGGGTGATCCGGAGGCGGAGGATGGGCACCTCGGGAGGGTCCACCTCCGGATCATGTTCGGCAGACATGGCGATGTCTATGGGCAGGTTCCGAGGATGAGGCTCATCGCGGAGCGGCGACCCAGCTCCATATTGGGCGGGAAGTCGCAGTGATCAAGAGAGAAGGGGGAAGTTTTATGTCAACAGTTCCTGGTTGTAGTCCAGCGACCTGAAGGTGGAGGCAGGTTTCGGTCATGCCCGGGCAAGTGTGGCAGAGGTCCGGGCTGCCGATGCTGCGGAGGCAGTGGAAGGCAACGAAGCGGCTCGGTCAAGATGGGCAGAACGAGGCTCACACGAGCTACGGTGACCAAGCGGGAAATCAGGAGATTGCATCTACTCATTCCTTCTCCAGCGTGTAGTGAACATCGCTGACATCCCTCAATCGCTTCGCCGCCTGCTCAGCCGTCAAGTCCCGCTTGGTCTTATCAGCTGCGTTTCATATTGTTGGAAAGTGAACTCACCTGAGCTTCACCCATCATCTCAAATCCAACCAAGAACTTGCGCACGCTCGCACTTCGCAAGAGCGGCGGGTAAAAGTGAAAGTGCACCTGGGCGCGGGATTCTTCTGGCACGGAAGGTGGAGTAGGAGCTTGATGAAGGCCCATAGAGTATGGGAAGGGGCATCTTTCTGTCAGCTTTGTTCCCTAATATCAGGAGAGGAGCAGTCCAGAAAGCTCACTTGAAGAGATTGTCATATCGCACCAACACCTTCTTCAATATCCTGGCCAACCCCGCTTGTTCGTCCGCCGTGAGCTGCAGGATGGATGGGATGTGACGTTTATATGGCAGTACTACAAACCATCAGCTTCCTGCCTGATTGTGGTGGGGCACAGAGGACTGACGCAATATTTCGAAAGGCCAGATAGCCCAGAACGGTACTACCGCCACCCACCCACTCTCATCGATCTCCACCACCCTCTCTTTCCGTGCGACCTCTTCAGCCGCGTAAGAGAGCAGCAGACAAGCCTTGCCATCGGGATACGTGGGGTGAGAACCTGACGCCGCCACGGCCGTGGCGTGTCCTTCCAGATTTTCAAGCTCGACTGCGGGCTCTTCAGGGACGCTAACATGTAAGCTGCTATCTGTACACTCGGACACGGAGGCGGCTGTAGGAAATCTAGCTTACTAGGATAAGGTCCAGACCTGGCCATGAGGATGAGGTGCCGAAGCGCCCATCATAGCCCCGCGGTTCTGATGATCAGTCTTGATCTCCAGGACGGCTTCGGAGAGTGTCTGACAGACAGCAGCACATGATTGTGCAGTCACACTGAAGTTCGGACAGGCATGGCTCACCTCAAAGATCTGCACATACCCCTCCTCCCGCTGACTCTCCCTCAGGAACCTGCCCTCGGCCTCATAAACCCCCTTCCACCCCTCCACAACAGCCTCGATCTCCTCCGGCCGCATCATCGCCAGCGTGAGATCATGCCTCGGGTGGAAACAGATCACCTTGCACCGCCCGCGGACGGGTCGGGAGGCGAACATCTGGCTGATGCTTTCGGGTCCTGATTCTTCCGGGTTTGAGGGGAGGAAGGGGAGGGGAGCGGGTAGGAGGGCGGGGAAGTCATTGTTGAATACCTTCGAAATTAGCAATCACGGTCAAGCAGGATCTGAGGATTTTGCCAGTAGGTGCCGGGTTCTAAGCCAGGACGAAGAGACCCGTAGGGGATGGACTCACGAAGGTATTGTCATAATCTGGGTTTTTCTCCCCGCCCATCCGCTCATTCCCAGGACATAGATAACACTTCGAATCATGCTTCGGCAGCTGAGCAACTACAGGCTCCTCTGTCTGGCCCTACAATCCGTCAGCTCTCGCTCGACTGCACTTCAAGGCCAAGCAAGGCTGAGGCGGACGCACCATCCAGGGCCGCTTGGTGCGGTGAGGCGAGACGAGGACATGTTTGCCTGTCAGTGGGTTGTCTAGCTATCAGTACGATGACAGACATCACTTTCGCAGATACGTCCCCAGGGACATCAAATCAGGGGCGTGGAAGGGGATACGCTGAGAGAGCTGGACTTACAGCGACGATGGGGGTGTTCGGTCGGCTCGAAAGCTACAGATTCTTCGGCCATCTTTTTGGATTTTGCGATATGTGATGACTAGACTTCGAGGTGGTATTCTCTGACCTCGGCGCGACAGCCAGCTTCTTATAGTGTGTCCTGGATGATGAGCATTGCCAAAAGCTACCTCGACGTCGCCCAAACATGCGAGCAGAACGGGAATATACCTCGCTCGGCCCGGTCATCGGCATGCCGTCATCCGCCGGAGCTCAGGCTGCTGTGCGAACGGGAATTTCGGAGCGCATGTTGCACATCGCAGAGCTCACGAACGGGAATCTCAGGCGGGACGTTGGCGCGGGAGCGAGCTAAGAGACAGAGTTGATACATCTTGCATTAGAGATATTGCCCATCTACTTGACTAGCAAACTATACTCTACATTATCCCTAGCTACGTCTGGTCCCTTACACCCAGCGCGCCTGACCTCCAAATGGGCTCGTTTGTACCCACCCCTGCTGCGTCGATTATAGGAAGGAGACAGAGAAGAAAAGATGGTAGAGGTACAGGTATGATGCGGGCCCGGTAATCGTACGTGTTTATAGGGTGTCATCCAAGATGCCCGGAAGGTGGTGGGGGATGGTGATTATAGGGGGAGATGATGGTGGTAGAGCCCGATACAACGGAGGAAGAAGGGTCGAGAGGGGCGGTCCGAATGAGAGCCGCCGAATCGACTCGATGATGGGTTAGAAAGGGAAGGTGGCGAAATAGGGGAAAGGGATATGGCCGCCGCCGAAGGTATGGATGAGATGATATTCGACGCCGATAGATGTCGACGCCGTGAGCGACACCAGCAGAGATGGAGGATGAGATAGGTGATGAGGGGAGAGGGAGGGGTAGCAGACGGGAATGTAAAGGGGGAGAAGCGATGCGAGTTCAAAAGAGGTGTTTAGGGCGACTACCTGCCCCAGGAGAACCATCCAGCCTTCTTCTTCTCGGGAGCAGGGTTGTACTCCTTCTGCATCTCCCCGAGAAGCACCTCAAATGCCTTGCCTGATGCTATCAGCTTCATTCGCAAACTCGATAAGCGTGGAAGTGACACACCGACATTCTTATTATCCTTGGCTGACGATTCGACAAACGCCGCGTTCAGCTTCTTCGCCAGAGCTTCTCCCTCCGCGGTCGTCACCATACGACTATGACATCAGCTCCGCCCGCCATTCATGCAGATATGTTGAATCGGGTCGCTCACCTCTTCTCGCCAAGATCTGTCTTCTGGCCCACAACGACACATGGGACTTTCGCCAGCCCCGCAAAATCCAGAATCTTGTCATGGACAGTCTGCACCATGTCGAACGACTGGCGCGACGTTATCGAGTAGACAAGCAAGTAGCCGTGTACGCCAACCGCATATTTCGATGGGAAGAGAGTGTACTCGTCCTGCGATGTCAGCTATACCCCTCGCCAGCGGAAGGAAGTTCGTAGCTCACCTGTCCTGCCGAGTCGATGATCTCGCAATCATACTCCTCGCCGTTAAACTTGACCGCCTTGTGACTCGTCGACTCGATAGTGGGGAAGTATGATTCTTGGTATGTCGGCGGGGCGATGTACTGTTGCGTCAAGGAGGTCTTGCCTGTCTTGTCAGCCACTACCCAGCATACTGGAAGGGCGATTGGCTTACCGACACTTGGTGCGCCCATAATGACGACTTTCCGCTTCATCGAGCTCGCGCTAGGGGCGGACATTGTGCGGAGGAGATAGGTGGGGGAAGGCGGGGGTGTGACGAGGATTTCCTCTTGTTCGAGGCTTGGCCGACGGGGTTTAGGGGATCGGTACAGACTAGGTCTGTGCGGCGGCTGCGGCGGTGGAGGAGGAGTTGGTCGGGGTTGTGGTTGAGGGTATAGGCCGGGATAGAGGGTCGCAAAGTAGTCGCTGCCGGGGACGGAGGGTGCTAGGGGTGTGGTAGGACTAGGAACGAGGACCGCGGTCTGTTTGGGTGGAGATACAATCAGGCGGGTAGGGGAGGGGCGAAGTTGGGGGAGGTGGGTGATGGCCGGTGAGCGTCGAGACGAGTCATTCGACCGGACGCGAGAGAGGGCGTAGGAGGGTGGAGATCGGTGGTAATGATGATAGCGAGGTAGAGGCGAATATATGAGATGAGGCGGGGAAGAAATGTTTGCGTCAGTGTGATGTTTGGGAGGAGGCGGGTGAAGATTTGATGATGATGACGCGGGTGAGACTGGGAAGGGGAAGGGGGTAGTAACTGCGGCAAAGGTATTGACAAGCGGAGGAGGAGATGGGGGGCGATAAGACGGTAGGTCCATGCGCGCAAGGTACGGGCGATAAGAGCTTGAGCTTGGAGCCGGCGGAGCGTGTGGAGTCGCGAAATGCGAAACGTCCACCCACACACGGCGGGGAAGGTAGAGTTTGGTGGTGAAGTATGGGTCAATGACAATGCAAGTTGGATGACAAGGTCAAGGGCGACAAAGGCAAAGACGACAAAGCAACAGAGGGACGGTGGCGAATAGGACCCCCTCGCAACCCCTCCGATCCCGGCTTGATATATGCCTTGCCTTGCGCCTCGCATCACACCCCCTCCTTCTGCTTACATCCGACGATCGCCCGCCTCCCCTGGGCACGCGACACACAGCACGAGCACTCGCATCTTCTATCGGGCACAGCGCCGCTGCACGGAAGGAGGGCACGCGCAACATCTTGTATGTGCGGCGACACACCTCGGAGGGGGAGAGAACAAAGGTGTTGATGATGGAGATGTGTGGAGAGAGGACCCCGTCAAAGCCGGCGGTACCGGCCTCGAAGGACGCTTTTTCCGCTGTCCGGCCAACACGGCCCCAGAAAGGGTGGGGACGAAGGAGGGTGAAGTGTGAGGCATGCTTCTTTCTCTTCGGGCTTGGGAGTAAATGCACAGCGTGGAATGGGGTTTGAAGGGTGTGGGTGGGAAAGGAGGGGACTTTGAAACGCGCACTGAACAACGAGGCACAGAGAAAAGGAAGATGGAAGCCAGAGATCACGCCGCGAGCATGCATACACACGGAAGAAGACACTCACGACTGGCAGTATGCGCTATATGCGACAAGTGGCCTCTGGGTGGAGATCGTTCACGACCGGAAAGAGCGGGGAGGAATCGAGCTCGAGAGCGCGCCTGGAGTTTGATCGAAGCGGACTGCGCGTGGATGCTGAGCCTATACACAGATCGTCCGTGACAAGATGGTCTGCGGTCTGAGCTGTATGTCGTTGTAGATGGGAGGTAGAAGAACGATGATGAGTGAGGAGGAGAGTCAAGGTCCGGTGGCTGGGAGATGTGCGCGCTGAGGGTGGTCATCGGATTCCGGTCCCGACTGCGGTAAGGTTTCGGTGCACGCGAGTGAGAATGCCGTAATAAAGGGACCGGATGCAGCATGTGGCGGTGTGGCAGATCTGAAACTCTCCGAGCGGCCACATCAGCAGCTCGGCAGGGACAGAAGTCTGGGAGGAAAGAGCAAGGAAGCCGTAGCCAGAGGACTCTGGATCAGCAGCGCAGGGTGTACCCTACGAGCGCTCAGCGAGAGATGGGCAGAACAGAAAGATATCGCATTGAGCGCTACTATACAACCTAATCTCCCGCCATGTATCCGTCCAGCCGTCTACACCCGCGTCGCCGATTCCACCGACGACCTCTCACTTGGCGCCGCCGTCGACAATCTTTTGGCCTCTATATTCTCCCTCCTGTCTCTCAGCCGATCCACTATCTGCGGTGAGACGATGAGCAGCGCGCCAAGGAAGAAGGCGATTGCGCAGAAGATGCCGGCGTAAGTGAAGCGACCGCTGTTCATTTGGACCAGTTCTGCTCGTCAGCTACCGCGCCAGCTTCGACCTGTACGCGGGCGGGGTGTAGATGAGCAGAAAAAGGAAGGGATGACTCACGACCACCAGCTACGGGCCCAGCGAGCAACGTAAACCCCGACAATGTCCAAATCATCCCCACCCGCATCCCCAATTCCTTCACTGGCGAGATCGCCGCACACGCCGTCGGGACCAGCGCGATCCAGGGACCGCTGACCAGCCCATAGATGAACAGTCCGACCACCACCACCGGCGTAGGCATGGGCCATCCCGTCCAGAAGGCGAGAACGGTAATGCCGCAGCAGATGGCCGAGGTGACAAAGACGCGATAGACGCCCAGGCGGTCCGAGAGGAACCCGCAGCCCGCGCGACCGGTCATTGAGCCGGCTTGGAGGATCGTCACGGCGTATGATTGGAGACTTGGAGAGAGGTTGTTGGAGGATGCGAGGAGGGGGGCGTTAAAGTATGGGACGAACCAGCTTGATGGTCAGCTGAGTACGGGGGGAAGGGGCGGGTGGACTGACCTCATCATGACCATGACGGAACCAAGGAGGAGCATGGTATACCTGACCTCCTTGAATGGCGCCTTGAGCTGCCTGAGCGGTGGAGGCGTCCTGTTCGGTAGTCTCGCATTGAGGAAGAACCATGATGGGAGCATGAGCACCGCGTTCATTCCTGCCAAGACCAGGATGGTATTTCTGAACGCTGTCATATCAGCTTCATCCCCTTTCTTTCCGATAGAGACTCACTCCAAGTATCAAAGAGCCGATTCAGCATGATCGGGTAGATCACACCGCCCAGTCCGACGCCCGTACTGACGATCCCAGTCGCCGTGCCCCTCTTCTTGAGAAACCAGTGCCCCACCACCGCCGTCGCTGGGGTGTAGAGAACGGATCCGGATATCCCAAAGCACGCATGGGCGAGCATAAATTGATAGTATTTCGTCGAGAAGGCTAGGCCGATGAGCGCGCCGATAGAGAGAAAGTAGCCGAGGATGACGAGTAGGCGACACCCGTTTGCGTCAAAGTATCGGCCGGCAAGGAGGGAGCCGGCAAATGTGAGGGTGAGCTGGACCGAGGCGATCCACCTGAAGGTCGGCACGGCCCAAAAAGGGAAGCGAAGCGTTGGATGAGGACGTACGCTACTTGAGATCGGGTGTAGGCCGATAACTGATCCGAGAGGTATTTGGCCTGGAAGACACCAAAGCTCGTCACTGCAATATCAGCGCCTCCCCTTGCCCTCCCAAATCACCCTTTCTCTCCGCGAGAGCAGACACTCACCCAGTCCATGCACACAGAAAAGAACAAATACCGTCGAAGCCACCACCGCCCATGCTTCAAACCCTCCATCAGGCGGCGGCCCCACCCCGCTCAACTGCCGCTCCACGTCCGGCCGATCCGTCAGGACCCTCTGCAGCTGTACCGGATCCGAAGGGAGCGGCGGCGGGTAATTGTCGAACCCATCATTCACACGTTCGGAGGAGTGGTGGTGTGTCCGGCCAGAAATACGGGAGATTATAGGTGTGAGCGAGTAGAAGGCAGGCGTGGGGGTTACGCTTCGAGATAGGGGTGGCGCGAGATCGGGCGGGTCCTTGGCGTCGGAGGTGGGAGAGGACATGCTGGCCGCTGGCGAGATCGGACTATACACAGAAGTAAATCTGAGGGTATGATGGGTATATGTACAAGTTCTAGATGCTCCTTAAATCTGCAAGTTGAGCATGATGGATAGAGGTCGACGATAGACCGGACGGAGTGCCGCCTTGGAAATTGTTGAACCGTGCCTGGCTCCGAGATAAGCGGCAGAGCCGGCGGGAGATAATACGGCCGAGTGCAGCATTCCTCGGAGACAGATGAGACTGACTGATTCTGTGGAGCACCAAGGAGCGACCAGGTTCAGAGGACTAAGCCAGATCATCCCATCATATAAGCAAGCAGCTACGCTATCAACATCAACAAATATCAATAGTCAAAAGCAGAAAAAATAAATGCGCAATCTACCGCCTCTCCCTCCGTCCCTCCTTCCTGCCCGACTCCTCTCTTCTCCGATGTTCTCTCCTTGTCTCCTCCTCCCTCTCTGCTCTCTCAGTCTCCCTGTTCCCTTCTTCCATCCTACACCCCGTCCTCGCCTCCTCCCCTAGACACTTGAACAAATCACACAGCACCCCGGGGATACTCATCAGATTATGCCCTACCCCAACCCTCCGATCGACCGTACTCCCACACACCTCCTCCATCCACTTGATACTCTCTTTGGATATGATCCGATCATCCTTGCCTACCCAGACGTGCGTGAGGGCAGTAACGTCCTCATACCTGAAGCCCCGGGCCCGGTGGGGTTTGTTCAGGATGATACGGAGGATATCCGAGGTGGTTCCGGGTTCGCACTCTGCGTGGGAGGCTTGCGAGAGGGCCGTAGAGAATGCGGTGTCGGAGGGGAATCGGGACTCGGGGAGGGCGGGAAGGGACGTCATTGAAGATAGGGGCATGAGGGCGGATATAGGTCCGTCTATGACCGACGCTATCGAGCCGCTCCGCGAGGACGTGATGGCCGAGGAGGACGAGTCTGAGCCCAGCCGGATCGACCGGCCAGCCTTGGACGTACTGCCAATGATAGGCATGGCCAGTTCCAGGTCCGTCGCGAACGACCCGAACCCCTCTCCCAGCCCAAAATCAACCGCGCTGGGCGAGATCTCCATGGATTGATCCGGCGTCGCCAGCATGCCCGAGGACGGACCGGACGAGGCGGTCCCTCTCGAGTCTGACGATGGGGGACCAGACAAAACCTGGCTCGACATCCGATTTGCCAGCGTTTTGAGGTTCTTCAGCCCCGGTGACCGACCCAGCGTCGACGGTGACTCTGGTCCAGGGGTGGGAGAACCGGTAGACGCGACCCGACGGCCGGAAGTGGGTGACCCGAATCCGAAGGTAGGAAGGGAGAGGTTGATAGTCGACGCGCTGGCCGCTGTCCCGTATATGCTCCGAGAGCGAGGCTTGGAATTGCTAAACACCGTGCTCGCCCTCCGGATGAGGTTTGGTGCTTTCGTCGACTCCTCCAGTTCCTCCGCGGGCGGCTCGAACGTTCGCCCAGACTCGCCCGGGATGGGCTGGACCAGCTGAGCATCAAAGCTGATAGGGGCGTACTGGAGTCGAGGCGCCTTGCCGAGGAAGTACGTCTGCAGCTTATGGTCTGCCGCTGTTGCCGTCCGAATGACGCCTCCTGGAACCCACTTGAGCCATTTGGACACTGCTTATCAGCCAACATCCCCTCCCGCTGCTGATTGTACTCACCGGTATCGTGATCCTGCCCGACCCACGGCGCTAGCAGATGCAGCCTGCCGCGTATCATATCCGGATATCGCCTCGCCACTGCCATAGCGTAAGGCGTCCCCGCCGAGTGCGCCACCACTTGAAACCTGCTTATCCCCAACTTGCGCACCACCTGGCCTATCACGCCCGACCACTCAATCAACCCCCGATCCACCTGGTCCACCTGGTCTGTCTTGCCATAACCCCACCGATCGACGCAGATGAGCCGCAAGCCATAGACTAGCGCGAGCTGATCATACAGCGCGATGAGGTACCGCACGCACCCGACGCCGAGGAAGATGAGGACAGGGTATCCGTCCGGCTTGCCTACTTCGGCGTAGGAGACTGTGAGTGGCCGGTCTGGATAGGGACGAGGGAAAGTGAGTGACTTGTTGAGCATGGCGGAGCGGAGATGGAGCGCCATTTCGTGAATCTGCTCAGTGGCGGGAGTGGTGGGTGGAGCGGTGGAGGACCGGGCCTTCGAAGGGCGAGCTCGAGAAGCAGGGGTGAGCGAGTCGACCGCTGGTGAGGAGTGGAGGGTGGTCTGGGACCGCGCGGGATGGGGCTGCGAGAGGGAGACGGTAGATTGCCGAGCTCGGCCTGAGGCGGGTGTGGGATAAGCGGAACTTCCCTTCTCGACTGGGATCGCCGACGACCTCGCGGGCGATGTGGCCGGCGAAGACACATTACCGGACGCACTGGTCGTCCGCAGCATCTGGCTCGCGATGGAGGACGACCGGCTGGGTATGACGTGTACTACAGCGGTGGGGGAGGATGATGTCCGCTTGGGTATTTCGGGGGGCGAAGTTGAGGGCGACTTGTTGGTCCTGCTCCGGATGGACGGTCTTGGGGTGGAAGGCTTGGAATTGTCCGACGCTGCAGACTCGGTCGCTGGCTGTTGAGGGCGAGGGGAAGGCGCCAGGCCAAGCTCCTTCCGCGCACGATCCTTAGCGGCGACTTCAGCGGTCTGAGCGGACCCTGAGTGCAGGCGAACGATCTCATCGATGGAGAGAATGGGTATGTGGGTTCCGGGGAGCGTAAGGGAGAGCTGAGGCGGAGCGTGGGATGATGGAGCGGGCGAAGGGGTTCGAGGTGGGATAGGAGATGAAGTCGAGCCGGACCCATCAAGAGCTGGAGGCAGTCAGCTGGGTTCGGGATGATCTTTTCTGTATCAAACGTAAAACGCAACTCACAGATATCGCTCGCGAGCGCCTCCAGGTTATCTTCGTTCTCCTCGGACGGCTCCGCTCGCTCCATTCTCTGTTTTCGAACATGCTCGGCCTCTCGCGCCCATTTCCGGGTCCGTTCGAAACTTCTCTTCTCCTTGATGACCCTATCGCTATCCACCGGCAGCATCAACTTCCCCTTCTCACCCTCCCTGCCCTTTGCAACGCGATTCCGAGAGACGTGTCGCTGCGAGATGGATGGCGGGAACTCCTCCTCGTCCGAACATGACCCTTCTCTTGCTGCTCGCCCCCGGTCCGCTGGGTGCAGGGCCATAGGCGCGGGCGAGTCTGACCGGACTCTCCGCCCAGGCGACGATGAGGAAGCGACGGGAGGAGTAGGCAGGCGATGTATGGCCGGTCGGGTCGTCCGAGGGGTATAGCGGCCGGCGGGCGAGGGTGATAGGCGAGGTGAAGGGGATAGTGATAGGGAAGTCATGGTCGCTACGGCTGCGGCTGACTATTCGGCTGAGGATTTTCGCAAAGGACAGAGGGAGGGAAAGATGAGATGCAGAAGGATGAACGTCAAAGGGTAGGGGGAAAGGCATGAGCTCAGCCACGTCGGGTTGTTTGTGTGCTCGCGTGTGTACCGATGGGCCGTGTCTCTGGATGATGCAAGCCTCGACGCGCTAGTTTTTAGTAGGCTCCAATAGCTGCGCCTATCGCTAGCATTAGTGATGTTGGTGGTGAGAGAGATGGACGGATAGTAGAGGGGTCGCATGGTGGTCCCCTCATCTAGACTAAGCAAAGTTTGCCTCGGAATGGTTGTGTTGGTGGGTGGTCCAAGCGCAAAGGGGGGACCGGTGCCTGGGCCTTGGTGTCGTGTTTCAGATCTCCTCGGGGCTATATCAGCGTTCTCTTCCTGTATGTTATCTTGCCCTCCATCTTATCATCAGCGCCGAGCTTCTGCCTTAGTGCTCCCTGCCTGTGCATGTGGAGGGAGGTAGTTGTATATGAGCCAAAATCATCGATCGAGCAACAAGGTTGGTGCTCCTCGGCGCAATTCCGGCCGGATTATCAGGCACCACTCGGATGTACCCGAGGGTGTCTTGAGGGCTGATTTCTTGCTTTGATCTGCCCACCCATCCGCCATGCCTGTCGGTTCTTGACATCGCTATTCTAGCGAGAGAGGCGACTCTGACATTTGACTCTCAGGCCTGACCAAACTCGGCGTACAGTAGATCGCCGTCAGCTGCTCGGCGCAAACAATCAATCGCGATGTCCCCTATATCCGAGAAGTCGATCCCTGTCGATCAAGAGACAGCTCCAGTAACATCAGCTGGGCAGCTCGCAGCCACCAACAACCAGCTCGGTGGTATGCGTCCTGTGCCATCGCGCGAGCCCAGCAAGATCGAGCGAATACAATCTAGATTGTCCGGGACGGCGACACATGGCGGTATTCGGACGAGGGACTTTGGGTTCCTGCCTATACCAAAGAATAGGCGGTATGACCCTTCGATGAAGCCGGAGGAGTGCTTTCCTTGGACACTGAGGACGAATTTTGTGTTTGCGGTGTGCTCGGTGAGTCTCTCATCTGCTTGACTTCGGGGTCGGCCAAGGAGAAGCTCACCGGACAGACTGTATCTGTAGCAAATCTGTACTATTCTCAACCCATGCTTGTAGCGTAAGCCGCCCCTCCTAGCGGAAGATACCGTGGAGTCTGGCCGAAACTGATCTGCCAGAATAGCAAAAGACTTCGATGTAGACTACAACGCCGTCGCGCAAATCTCCACCCTCGTGCAGGCGGGGTACGGGTGCGGTATCCTCCTCGTCTCGCCTCTCGGCGATCTCGTACGGCGGCGACAGATGTGCATGCTGCTCATGTTGACGGCGTCGTTGCTGAGTATTGGATGTGCGCTGGCGAGTAGTGTGAAGATGCTGGTGGGGTTCAGCTTCTTAGTCGGCTTCGTCACGGTGAGCTTTCCAAGTGGGGCGCGACGGGAGCATGGACGCTGATAAAGACAGGTGACTCCTCAAATCTGTATCCCTTGGACGGCCGATCTCGCGCCTAGCAACATCCGAGCCAAGTCAATGAGTATCACCCTCTCCGGCCTCATTGTGGGCCTGGTGATGGGTCGGGTATTGGCGGGGATCATCTCGAATTTCTCAAGCTGGCGGAATGTGTTCTGGATGGCTGTAGCCTTACAGAGCTGTGAGTCTACCTTTTGCGGGCGTCTGAGTCTAGCTGATGGTTACAGGCGCATTCGGTATCGAGTACCTCATGTTCCCGGATACCCCAGATAAGGGGCTAAATATCTCATATCCCCAAGTCGTACGCACCCATCTACGCGCCCCGTGCAGGAAGCGAGTCTCGCTCACGCACTGCAGATCTGGTCAATGGCCACCTACTATGTCAAGTACCCTACCTTAACACAAGCTGGGATCTGCTTCTTCTTGAACAGCGGTAAGCTTGCTCGCTACCACCAGACGAGGGGATATCAGCTAACACTCCACAGCCGTCTTTGCCGGATAGTAAGCTACACATACCCTCACAAACCTCACTGGCCTGAGCTGACTTTACAGCTGGACCACCCAGACATTCCTCCTCACCGACACATACGGCTACAACACCCTCCAAATAGGCCTCCTCGGTCTCCTGGGCCTCATCGGCGCCCTCCTCGCGCCTCAATGGGGCAAGCTCGTCGACCGCGTCGTGCCCTGGCTGGGCCAACTCATGGGTCTCTCTCTTGGTTTCTCAGGCATGATCATCGCCTTCGCAGGTGCAGAACGGAACGTCGCTGCGATAGCGGTATCAATCCTGCTGTATGACTGCGGGATGCAGCTGTGGCAGGTCAGCAGCTCGTACAGGGTGGCAGGGATCGATCCACAGGCTCGAGCGAGGCTCAATGGGTGTTCGCTGCTCTGTATTTTTGCGGGACAAGTGAGCTACCCCTCGGACGAGCAAGCTGACAAGCAGACATCTGGAACAGCTATCTTCACACACATCTACACTGCGAAAGGCTGGCAGACCACTGGGGGCGTCATGCTCGCTTTCGTAGGCACGAGTATCCTGGTACTTCTCGTTCGTGGACCACATGAGACGGGATGGGTAGGGTGGAGCGGGGGAACGCAGCTGTTGAAGCGGGAGGCGATGCTAGATCTGAGTCCGCAGGCGCTCACCGAGGGGAAGAGGAGAGCGGGTGTCCCTTTGGCGCAAGGGCCCGGAGAGGAGGTGGGTCTGGAGGAGCGGAAAGAGGCTGAGAGGGATCTGGGGGACAGGAAAGTATGAGTCGGAGCAACGCGGCGTTGTTTGTATCTGAGCGGATGGTGTTATTCATTTTGGAGAACCACGGAGCTCACTACTGACTGCGACTGACACAGTTCTTACATGATGCGAGGTCTAGATAGCAGGCCATGCGTAACTCAGCGCAGTACAGAACAAAACAGGTTCATTCACAGGAGATCTTGCAAAATGGTATCAAACATCAAGGTAACAAAGCTCGAACCCTTCCGATCACTACAACTGTCCATCTGCCTTTGCCAATACCGTGAGAACCTCGACTTGATATTGGATGCAGTCCTCGCACAAGCAATCTGTCGCAGCGGAACACTTGGCCCCGATCTGCGAACCCCGCGCGCTCGTCTGAGTACTTTGACACTGATCTCCAATGCTGGACGGTCTGGTCGTCAACGGATTGCCCCACTGATCAAGCGGTAGGGTGAATAGATCCTGGGCTACGAAATCCGCGTGGGATCGCGGGGGCCAGGGAGGCTTGCTTTCGTTTGGGAGGCCGAGCGTGAGGGCGGAGATCCGGAAATTGACCAGGTCGGTAAGCGTTGCCTGCGGGTCCGCGATCGGTACTGCGTGGGCAGGGAACAGGCATTCGGCGCGGAGTTTAGTGTCTGAAACTCCATGAGCTGTATCTGCCGGAATGTCGGACATGCTTTGGTATCGATCTGAATGCGATAGCTGGTTGGGAGTGGGGGAGGAGTACGGGTGAATATTGTACTGATGAGCAGTAAACGAAGGCGCTGAGTTGTTCGAGATGTGCTAAACAGACGACTTGTCATTAATAGCTTCGCACGGACCCTGGAAGTACAGAGTGGGGTAGGAAGATGGGGATGATGGGTACTGCGAAGCCTTGCCCTCCCATCCGCCCGAGACGTTGGTCAAGAACGGCTGCAATCCCAGGGATGACCCAGTGAATGCTGTTGCACCCAGTTGACCAGAGGACATAAGGGACGAAGCAGCTTGGTCGGCGATGACCTGTGGAGCCCTGCCGGTTGACCTCGTTCTCCGGTGCTCCGGCTTGATCACGCCTATGAAGGCCGGTCCGACAGCGTCAGGTCTCGATGCAGAGCGGGCGCGCGCGCGCCTCCCTGGTAGCAACCACTGATCAAACATCAGCGGTCGTCGGTATCTCGGAGCATCGCAGGATCCTAACGATGGCACTCACTTTCTCGGTGGATGCCCCCTGTAGCCCTCCTGGCACCTCCGATGTACCCACCTCTGGACCCATCGACTCAACACTCTGTACACCATACTGTGCGTACAGCTCCTCTCTGTCACGCTCGATTCGCTCTTGCTGTTGATACTGGAGCCAGGTTTTCCTGGTGAACTTGAGACCACTCTCTACGAGACCCGGAGTGTGACTCATTGCGTCTTCGATCGCCACGAATTTTCCGCGCGTCTTTTCAAACTCCTCGCGCTTCAACCTGTCCTTGAAAAACTCTCTCAAGAAAGGAATGGCGTCTGTGGGACGACTGCTGTTCATTGTCGAGAATATCAGGTTCAGTCAGATTGGAGGAGGAACAATGATTACAATGGCAGTAGAGGGAAAAAATACAACGGGGAAATGGCATATCAGCGCTTGCGCCGCCCACGTCGCCGTGAGGTGAAACAAACTGAACTCAATATCCTTTGAACCGCTATCCTTTCACTACGCTGCTCGTCAGCTCAACAAATACCACGTCACTGAAATGACTGGACCTCGAGTACGATCGCAGCTCGAGGCACCGGTCACTCGCAGCTTTGCTGCGCGTCCATGAGGCAGGATGATGTGCCGCGCCGAGTTTACATACGTCCGCCCGAGATACACATTCCTCGTAGTTTCGCGGCACGTGATCACATGAAACTGGGTGTGGATCTGGCGTGTGACGGTAGGATCTGTGCCAACCTCCTCGATCGCTCTCAGCCTAGGGTCTCCCGAGCCTGGACTTTACCAGCGAGCCTTGTGTCTGCCTGCGACCTGGCCAATCACTGATTGCATGTGCCGCCCAGATCATTTAGCCTTGGGCGTAGCGGCCGGTCGTAGCGGGCAATATATATCGATGCTGTGGCCGAGAGCGGCTGGTTGTCCGGACGTGAGCTTGGTCGTGATTGGAAATGTGGTCCATTTGCAGATCTACTATCTATCAGAGCTCCCAGCGTGGCCCCACCCTACGCACTGGAAGACCTGGTCCGAGATCTGGGTGGCCGTATCGTACGTCTCCATCTGACCTCAGCTGGACGGTTACTATGTCCTGTCGCAAGCGCTTGGATCCGGAAAGCCACCATGAGCAGAACGTCGACCTGTGCATGGGGCTACAAGATGACTGTACCCCGCAAGATATACATCAACCCATGAATGCTTGGTCTCGGTAAGAAGAGCATCTGATGCAATTGCAATCGGCGGGATGAGTGGTCCAATCATCCTCCTGCACGTGCCAGGCTTGATGCCCACTGTTGGGATCAAGCCAGTCAGGTTCAGACTGCTCGCAGACGCCCGGAGGTGCGACGACCAGCCGGGGAGCCGTGCTCCTGCTGTTGCCCTGAGCGGACGTAGCGTCGGGAGCCCAGGGATCCTGGTCGTCCCACTCCGTCTCGCTTCGACCAGCGGTCTGTTCGGCCATCAGCCTCTTCGCCTCAGCTTCAGCCTCACGTTCCTCTCTGAAAAATTTGGTAAGCTGGTGTCTCTTCACACCCTCAAGTAGGTGTCCCCCTTCCTCTTTCTGGGCTCTTTCGATCGCTGACTCGTAAGTCCCCGCCTCCATGAACGTCTCGATCGTGAGCCTGTAGGTCTCATTCTTCATGTAGACTTTCAGCTTGTCATAGAAGTTCATGTTCTGCAATGCCCAGTCCCCGCTCCCCCTGGACCTGCTCCTGGGACGGCGACTTGACGTGCTCTTGATCACACCTGCTGGACGGTCCGCGGAGAGGGACCCAGCTGAATTGATGGATGCCTCTCGGGTGTGATGGCGCTTTGAAGCGCTTGACGCGAGTCCAGAGAGTGTGCTGGGCTGCCCTGTCAGTGATACTAGCCTCCCATACTCGGCTGAGGTAGGGTCCTCCTAGGCTCTAGGCCGACTCACCTGCAGTGTCAGATTTCTGAAGCCTTCGTCGTCTTCAGTATGGTGTTTGGAGTGTGACATTGCCACAAGAGATCTGATATCGACGATGACGGTCGCTGTAGAAGAACGATATGTAGAAACGGGGATTGAGTGCGGAGTAGCATGATTGTGGTGGCATTTGATCCGTGCCGCTGTCAGTCTGCTCCTCTCTGAGTCCACGCAATCTATGAGCAGCAGATCCAAACTCAGCCTGTACAGTGCAGTTCCTTTGAGTAAGTGGCACTGGCCGTGTACGCGAGGGAGAGAGCCAGAACACACTAGAAAGACCCCAATGCACGGTCGCTAACCTACACATCGCCAAGAACTCTTCCGCAGCGAGTGCTGATATATGATCAGATAAGTTGAGCAGCTTGACAGGTGCCATAGCCCGCTGACCCCTGAAAGAGCTCCCACTTTCGGTCCGGCTATATATGCAAGCAATGTCGGGCTTTGAAGCCACGGAACGCAAACTGAGCCTCTCATTCGCGCTGCGGGATCCTTTCTTATGAGTGATCGTAGCAGAGTCATACACGACAGTCAATAGAGTAGGACATCTTGGAGACACGGCAAGCCCCCCCCGGGGCTGGAGGGGGATGCAGTGCCTGAATCACCCCGGGCACGGCTTAGTGATGAGCAGGCGACTAGGCAGGACCCTGCAGTCATAGATGGCTCAGCCCCCGTGGACAATGCATTCAGTCTCTCCTAGCCAGCTCCCCGATGGCCATGCGAGACAGGAGAGGGCGCGAGACTAAATTGCGCATGCGCCACAGTTCCGAGCTTGTAAACAGTTCCGGAATGTCCATCGTCACACCAACAGCTTGACATCAATCAAAATTCATGAGATCGAACGCCACGCAGTCTGGACACGTCCCATTGTCACAAATCCTGCAGAAAGAGCGATCATCCTCAATCTGCGTAGGCCCATCCCCGAGGTCCCAGTTCAAATGCGCCCCCGGTTCCCAATCCGGATGCTCCTCAGTTTCATAGGTCAAAGGCTCGACGATCGGACTTGTCGCAAACAAGCAGGTCAGGCACTCGCAGCGCGTCCGGTCGTGCGCGCTTGTGTTGGGGGTAGATCGGTCTTCCACAGAGACATCACCGTGGCTGGCCATAGCCTCGATGAGCTCAGAGACAGGTCCTGCGTCTGGGTGGCTTGAGGTCTGTGCCGGCTGCGGAGAAAGCTGCGACCCCTCGATTGCATCTCGGAACCCGACGCGGCGGGCAATGACACGATTGACGGAAGCCTCCGAGATCGTCAGACCAGCATCTGCAGTCAGAGCGTTCGCTGCTGCTACCGGAGTATAGCCTTGACGCAAGAGCTTGAGGAAGGCTGTCCGGTGTCCCCCTTTGCGTTCCGGCATCGCAATTGTGAGCATCCGGGTGAACCCCTCATCGCGATGCCTATTCCCCCTTTGGCTGCTTCTGGTATCGCGGGCCCCTTTTGCGACTGCCAGGGCAGCGCTGACACTCGTCTTGTGGTGGTCGTACTTTCTCAGGTAGGCCTCCAGAGCATTTTTGGTAGGCGGCCCGTTCACATCCGTCCAGACCGATGTGAGGGCGGGTTGTTTTGGGAGTCCCTTTTCAATCGCGCGCAGGTATTTGGGCCACAGGCCTTTTGTCTCGTCGTCCGGAAGATGCTTGAGCAACAGGTCCTGCCAGAAATATGGGTTAGGCTTCTTGCTTCCTTTAGCAGTCGCTGCAGTTCCTCCGGAAGGGCCTCGGCTCCCAGACGACGAGACTGTCGACTCCATGCGCAGACTCTCGGAACCTGAGATAGACTACTCTATCAGCTTGCTGGACCCCGATGAGTAGTAAGCAATCTACCATTGTAGGGCCCTCGTGCTCGCCGCTTGTCGCCTGGCTCAGATCTTGGGGGCCGTGAGATCGTGTTGGAGACATGATCAGATAGGACCGAATTGTAGAGGTGAGGGGTAAGGGCGGATCAGCAAAGACACTGGTGGGCTGAAAAAACAGTATGAAATGTGAAAATGGTTAACAGGGGGCATGGGCCCTGTATGTTCCGTCCTGCCCGCCGCTGAGTTGGAGGTGCAAATTCGTCCTTTGAATGCCAGCCGCCTCCTTTTATGACAGGCCCCGTGATCTTGCTGGGACGTTTGTAAAAGATAGGGCAGTCGAGTGGCGGTCCTCGGTGTGGCATTACTTGGTGGCGGATCCACATCTGTCAAGCGAGGCGCTTGTCGCGGATCGCAGAAGGTTCTACAGGATTCCTCAGTAAAGTTGCTATGAGCGGGCGATACACGGTAGCAAGTCAACGTTATGAGGAGTCAGCAGTTCAGGAGGTGCAGATATCTGCTCCGGCGCTACATTCGACCAAGATCGACACAGCATTTGACCAAGATACGACAGATCATCACGCAACAAGTCTGTCTAGGCAGATTTGGCAGCCGCCATCTTCTTCTGCAGCTTTTCCTACACTCATCAGCTCTTTCCCTCATGCCCCACACTGCTCAATAACTTACATTAACAGCCTTCATGTACTCATCCGTCGTCACCCAGTCCCCCCTCCCCATCTGCTTCCCCTTCATAGCCAACGCCAGATCCTTCGTCATGACCCCATCCTCGTCAATACACTCCACACACGCCTCCTCCAGCGCCGTCGCAAAAGTCGCGAGCTCGGGCGTATCGTCCAGCTTGGCGCGGAAGGCGAGACCCCTAGTCCAGGCAAAGATGGAAGCGACGGGGTTGGTAGATGTTTCTTGGCCCTTTTGGTATTGACGGTAGTGGCGGGTGACGGTACCGTGGGCGGCTTCTGATTCCATCGTCTTGCCGTCCGGGGTAATTAGTTCCGAGGTCATCATGCCGAGCGAGCCGAAGCCTTGGGCGAGGATGTCGCTCTGAGGATGAGCTGGATCGGTGTACTATTGGAAAAAATGACATACCATGACGTCTCCATCGTAGTTCTTGCAAGCCCAGACAAAGCCTCCATCGGACTTGATGGCCTGAGCCACCATGTCGTCTGCGACCATCAGTACTGAAGTGCCTCGGCTGGGGGGTAGAGACTTACCAATGAGACGATGCTCGTAGTAAATGCCAAGCTCCTCGAATTGCTTCTGATATGTTCTGCCTTGTCAGCTCTGCACGAGTTCAGAAATCAGAATCAAGTGCTTACGATTCATATACCTCCTGGAAGACATCCTTGAACCGCCCATCGTACTTCTTCAAGATAGTGCTGCTTGGTCAGCCTCCCAGACGCGTACAAGTCGAAGCCAAGGAGTGCTCACTTTTTGGTCGACATGAACAGCGTCATCTTCTTGCTAAGCGCCATCTTGAAACTGGCATGTGCGAACCCGTAGATCGACTCGTCCGTATTGTACATGGCGAGCGCGACACCCTTCCCCTTGAAGTCGTACACGTTCATCTCGGTTGGCTTGCCTCCGTCTGCTGGGGTGTAGATCAGCTGCAGCTTTCCTGGTCCGGGAGCGATAAAGTCGGTGGAGCGGTACTACTCCGTCAGCCCATCCCCCTGGGGATCAAGCGAGAGGGACATACCTGGTCTCCGAAAGCATGACGACCAATGACGATAGGCTTGGTCCATCCTGGGACAGGCTTAGGAATAGATTTGAGGATGATGGGCTCCCGGAAGACAGTCCCGCCGAGGATGTTACGGATCTGCGGGTTCAGCTAACGCTGATTTGCAGTTTAATAAGGCGAGACGGAGCACGACCTACAGTACCGTTTGGACTCCGCCACATCTCCTTCAGCTTGAACTCCTCTACTCGAGCCTCGTCAGGGGTGATAGTCGCGCACTTGACACCGACCGAGTACTTCTTGACTGCCTCGGCGCAGTCGATAGTGACCTGGTCGTCGGTCTACCCTTGTGAGCTTTTAGTCCGCACACGAGCCAGGCCTGGTAAGCTCACCGCATCACGGTTCTCCATTCCCAAGTCATAGTACTTGAGATCCACGTCAACGTAGGGCAGAATAAGCTGTGCCATTAGCCCTTGCCTGCACAAATGGTGAATACGCAAGACAGCTCACCTCTTCCCTGATCTTCTTCCAGATGATACGGGTCATCTCATCACCGTCAATCTCGACGACCGGGTTCTTGACCTTGATACGGTCTCCCGAGGCGGTAGCATAGTTCTGGGCAGCCATGGCGAAGACGAGTGGGGTGGGTCTAGAGAGGGAAGTGCGAAGGGCGGTACGGAGGATGGGGGAGGTACGAGAGAAGAGCTGAGAAGTGAGCTGATGCCTAGGTAAGTACCCAGTTCCGAGGTGGAATAAAACGTACCATTTGTGGGAGGGCGGCTGGGGCAGCAGGCCGGGGCTGTTATATATGACAAGGGGGGAGGGGCAAGGGGTGGGAAGGGCTGCTATTCGTGACTGCAGGGTGAGGGGAGGTATGGGATAGTAGGACAAACGATTTACCGCTCGGCCGGACCGGAGTCGCAGCCGCGGAAAGCCGAAAAAGGTCACGTGATAGCGGAGATAGAGATGAATCTCCACTCTGTGATCGTGACGCAAGAGATCGGCGCTCAAGCTCAAGATGAGACGCCCATGAGACGTTGTACCATACACAAAACACCGCCACCAGCATCCCCCAACTATACCCTATCACCCTTGACACCATCAGGAAAATGAGGACCTCACTCGTACGGCTCGCAAGTACCAGCGCCTCTCTGCCATTAACAGTCACGCAAGCCTCTCAGCAGATCGTCCCACCAATACCGTGCGTCCTTCACAGTCCGATTCGGCCATTGCTGATGCATCAGGCTATATCGCCGCCTCCTTAGAGCTCATCGGTCATTACCAGACGAAATGCGCTTTATGGGCGATGCGTACATAAAGTCTGAGTTCCGCCTGACTCGATCGACCGACAATCCCCTCCACATCATCGGCTTCCTCTCGCAATGGAAGGCTTACCTCGACCAGCTGGATGTGGCGAAATCAAAAGCAGAGGGGAAGGAGATAGATTGGAGAGGGAGTAAACTGGATATGGAGGCATTTGAGCGGATGAGTAATGAGCAGGTGGGGCAGCTGTATGAGTTGATGCACGCCACCAAGGGGTTGTGGAAGAGGTGAGTCGCGCTCGAGGCTGGACTCCGAGCAAGTGCACCGTGGATATTTGTGGAGGTGGAGGGGGCATTTTAGCCTGTATCAGGCGGCAGATAACCATGCGACGGGCAGCGTGCTGATGACCTCAGCTCGGAGCAAATAGAAGCGGATGCTCACGCGGGCGAGACGGGCGGCAAGTCCGCAGAGTCTAAAGAGTGATTCTGGCCTAATATTTCTACTGCAGCCTCTTATGATGCATGCGTTTTGGTCGCTGCGTCACATATGCGCCTTTTCGCCATAGCGCTGGCCTCCCACATGCTCCACCCACCTACCCACCTCTCCTAGCTCCTCTCAGCTGCTGAGCATGCATCGCGGACATACGCACGGACCCCACATACCTCAGATCGCATTACGTATATCTCGTGTTTCAGGAAGATCTTTCCCTGAATCTGTCACCCGCCAAACTTTAGCGCGTCGGACGCGTCGAAGCCCGAGTGATATGGCCTGCCCCATGCACCTGTGAACGAACGGGCTGGCCTTGATCGACATCTCATACGTTCCGAACTCCACTTGGCCTCTTGCTGCTGAGACATCCAACACGAACCACAGCTGGACTGCTTGGAACTAGACAATCAACATAGACAATAGAGGGTTACCACTAGAGAGGCTTGGAAAGGGGTCGTCAACGAAACACACACGATACGAAACACAAAAAGACATCGCCCGTCGACGCTCATCGGCCTCATCTCGCCAACGATAACGACCACACCCCTCTCCAATCCCGCACTATCGCTATCACTGTCCTGCCATTCCTTCGTCAAACCTTACGTCCCCAGCTCGGACCCCCTGACACGCCGGGCTCCCCGCCCCCGCACGATCGCGCACGAGCCCTCAGCTTCAACGGAGCTGATACCGTTTCGCAACTGCGCTACTCCGAGGTCTACTGCGGCACTCGCTAGGCGCAATCTAGCCAAAGGGGCTATACACTCTGGCGAGATTGTCGCGAGTTAATCGCCAGCTTAGCGCGCTAAGGGGGATCGCTCGGACTCGTAGGGGAAGCGCTAGGAGGAACGCGTCGAGGGTTAAGGTGGAGAGAGAGGGAACGGAAGTCTCTGTTTTGACTGTCGTCAAAGCCTGTCCTTGTCATTTCTGTGCGCTCAACAACGTATGAAGGTGAGCTCTTTCTCTGCGCGTCGGGATTGGACTTTTCTTTTCTTGTCTCAGCCATCTCGGTCCCACAGCCAGCCACCCGCGGCGTGCCTCGCTCCCGGGGACATTGGGACGGGGCTGGCTATTGACTACAGCGCAGTCTGAGTCAGCCCTGGCGCAAATACAACCCACACCCACCTTCCCACCCTGCACCGCATCTCCCTGGCATGCCATTCCTTGCCCATCCCTGCTCCCCCTCTCTTCTCTTTCTCCTTTCGACCCCCTAGCCGCTTCTTTGGCACTTGTTCATTTTCGTCTCTTCTCGTCGATTCTCGTTCATTTCGACCCGTCTCTTCTCCTTCGCAGGCCCCCTTTTGTTCGTGCCAGACCGGCTGCTTTTGCTCGGCCTCGACCTTATTTTCCTTTGTGCCTCGACCCCTTTACGGTCTGGAAACCCCTTTGGTTCGTGTACCTTTGTGCTCTGTGGCTTTGCACTTGGCGAGACCTGGAGCCCGCGTCTCAGCGCAGGTGCTTCAGGTCCAAGAGCGACTGTGAAACGCTAGCTTTGTCGAACGATCAGCTGACCCTTCAGTTCACCTTCTACACACATACCTTGATATCGATACCGCTATAATCGCTCTTCGCATCCTCAAACCGATATTCAGCGGTCGACATGTCGCTCTTTGCCCCACGACCGATGGAGGAGCGGGCCTCTGTTATCCTCCCTACCGTAACCTGCTCGTCTTGCTCGGCCCCCATCCCATTGTCAAGCCTGACGGAGCACGTCTGCCGCCCTCCATCAGCCCAAGCGCAGCAACGGGCCCAACCCCGGCAACCGCCCAAGCTCGCTCAAATCACCATACCTCCAGTGGAATATGGCCGGGCTGGACCCTCTTACCGCGGTCCCCCCTCCTTCGGGTCCGAGCCCTCTCCCTCATTCAAGCGACCCTTTGCCAACTCGCCCGCGTCATCCAGCGCATCCCCCACGTCCCTCAACATCCCTCTCCACAATCCCTCGCCCGCGACCCTCCAGGCTCCCAGTCCGGCTTTCGGCGCCCCTTCGCCACGCACACCATCCCCTACCAATCCATTCTTCCCGCACAACTCGCCCGCGCCAGAACCAGTCATCGTCCACGGTCTCGGGCTGGGAGTGGGCAAGGCGCAAGGTCCCTTCCCGACCGACGCGCCATTACCGCCGGGAGTGCAGATGGACCCGATGGCGTCAGCGCCGGATATGATGAGCGGTGGAAATGCGGGTATGGCGGGCGTGGGACGCAGAGCGTTCGCTGCTGCTGCGTGGGGCGTACGGGCAGGCGTGGCGATGGCGCAAGCACCGCAGCGGGCGCGGCAGCAGGAGATGCCCTCGGCGCCCCAATTGCCTTCTCAAGCTTTTCCTCTCGCTCACCCACATCGCGGTCCATCGCCCCAACCCGGTCCACCACCTCATCGCGGCCCGACACCCGTCCCGACCCACACACAACCACCGCCGCCAGCCCAGAGGGGACCGTCACCCATACCGCCCCATTCGCGCGTCATGTCCCCTTCACTCTCAGAAGAGGGTTCGTCTTACTTTGAGCGGCAACCCACATTGGCTAGCGGACCCCAGTCTGCTGGCCCAGCACGCGAACCACCGCTCCTCCCGCGCGCACCACTCTCGCAGCGTCCGCGCGGTCAGACACTCCCAAGCCCTACCGAATCTACCGTCCCTTCTCAGTCACACATCCCCATTCCGCTCATCCGGAAAGACTCTGCTTCGCCCCACCTCGGCCGGCAGAACTCGTTCGACTCGGCCACTTCCTCCCACCTTACCGGATCGCCCGCCGCGGAGTCCATCTCGCAGCTCATCCGAGCGCGCCAGGCATCGGGAGATCAGCCAAAAGCCACCAACAAGGCCTTCTTTGACCGGTACAAGGCGATGGTGGCTACCTCGTCCGGCTCGTCCACTCCGTCCGGCGGTACCGCATCGCCTATGCTGGGCTTCGGTCCTAGCCTGTCTCGGCGGAGCTCGGAGGACAAGGTCCAAATCACAGACAGTCCGGAGCCTCACCAGTCCCCGCTATCCGAGGAGGACGACGATGAGTCTGCTCTCCCGTGGGCTCGACCTGGACTCGCCGACTCGCCGGAAATCCAGCACCTCCCCAAACTCACCAAAGGCCCCACGGCACCGGCGAGTCAGCTCCGGCGGCACCGGCCGGCGCAGAGCGAGGGGTCGAGCAATTCATCCTCTATGAATTCGCGGAGAGGCGGGGCGAGCGTCGAGTCGGAAGAGGTGGTGACGCCCAGTGCGTCCTGGGAGGGGATTGCGGAGCAGCGGGATGCGCGGTCAGGCTTGAATATCGGCGTGGAGGTCAGGGAGAGGCTGGAGCAGATTGAGGAGGATGAGAGTGAGGGCGAGAGACTGCTTTTTGGCGGCGGAGGACATCACGACCACAAACACGGCCACGCCCACTCACACGGCCTCAAACCGTCCGCTTCGAACGGGACACTCGCTTCGGCCGCTTCGGCACTGTACGACGTCCATTCCCGCGCCAACACTGCACCCGAGCGACGCGGATCTTCCTCCGCCTCGGCCACGTCCTCACAGCGCCGCACCAAGACTTGCGTGAAATGCAACGAGGTCGTTGGCGGTACGAAACGCTTTGTCGAGCGGGACGGGGTCGTTCTTTGCGAAAAGGACTGGAAGAAGCTGTACCTTCCCTCTTGCCGGCGGTGTCAGCTGCCCATTGAGAAGAGTGCGGTGTCATCCTCGGATGGGCAATTGAAGGGGAAATGGCATCGCGCGTGCTTTACGTGTACGAGCTGCGATAGGCCATTTGAGGGTGATAGCTTTTATGTGCATGGTGGGAAACCATGGTGCCAGTACCATTATCACGAGGAGAAGTGAGTTGGAGTTTGGAGTCTTGTCGACCGAGAACCAAGCTGACGAGATAGTGGCTCTCTTTGCGCCGCACCCACCTGCCGGAAACCTATCGAAGGCGCCTGCGTTCTCACCCCCGATATGCAGCGCTTCCACCCCTCTCACCTCACATGCGACCACGCCGGACCCTCAGGCACGAAAAAGTGCCGGGAGAACATGGACGAGTACTATGAAGTGGGGAAACAACGGTTCTGCGAGCGGCATGTAGGGGATGCACTACGGAAGGGAGGGAAGGGCGGAGCAGTCGATATGGGACGGGCGGAGAAGAGGCGGACGAAATTGGTTGATATGAGTGGTGCGGGAGGGGCAGGGTTTGGGCTTGGGTTTGGGGGATCGGCGGGGCTGGGAGCGAGTGGGTTGAGATGAGTAGAGTAGGGAGGGACGATTTTCTTATTTGTTGGACTTTGGGATTGTTGTACTGCACTACTGCAACTTGCGGGTTATGCAAGGCCTAATTGTCGGTTAGAGAATAAGGAGCAAGGTGCAGCGTTAGGTCAGCTATACTCGTACACTTGATCCGGGTTCCTTCTGTCCTGCGTAGGTCGGGCGTTTGATCCAGCTTTGACATATGTACAACGAATCAGTGTCCCCCAAGACCCAGGCAAGCTGCTATCACCCAAGACCGAAACTGACACCACCAAGCTTTCTTTCTCTCTCCAACTCCTCTCCAACTCCCCATAGGCCCCAACTTACTTCGTCGACACCCTCAATCGTCCCCGTCTCCGCCCGTCATCAGAATGCGGTACATCTATTCTGATCAGCTCCGCACTTCCGATGGACAGCTCCAGCGAGCCGCACTCACGTCCCTACTGAGCCCATCATTGATCTTTCTCCTCCCCTCCCCCGGTACCCTATCCGCAAAGAACATATCCTTCCCCCTGACTTTCACCTTCTTCTTCTTACCGCCCTCCTGCGTTTGCTCCTCCTCCTGCTGAACAGGCGCCGCGGCATGCACCTTCAGATCCTCCCATAACGCCCTCGGTGTGTCCCAGACATCCAACAGCGCCGAGACCTTCTCCTGGCTCATGCCCTTGATGCACAACATCATCTCTGCAAACTTGTTCGCGAGCGTCTGACTGGCCGTTTTCGCATTGAGCTCCTTGTGGTCACTCCAGCTGACGAGGTACGACCGTTGTTCCTTGTTCGCCTGCCCCGCCGCGGAGACAGAGGGGTTGGAGCGGAGGTGGTTCTGGAGGGCGGAGAAGGTCGAGCGGGAGAGGTAGCGCGAGGGGATGATGTGGAGATCGGTATGTGCGTGCAAGCTGATGATGACCTCGGTCATTGTTTTGAGGAAGTCGATCGTCTCGCTGAGCTTGTGCGTTTCCTTTAGGAAGAACCGATTATGGACCTGGATCTGGGATTTGGCCGTCCGGATCTGGAGTCCGTTAACTTCCATCCGCTCGGTGACTTGGAAGTCTTCGACCACGTAGTAGATGTTTTGAGTGGCGGAGCTCTGAAGACGATGCTGAGTCGTCAGTTCTGGTGGCAATGCAGTCATCTCCTAACTCACGCATTGCTCATTGTACCTCCCATCCTTGATGGACGTACACAAGTCATCCAGCCTCTTCCGCTCCACCACATAGTCCAGAACAACCTCGTCGTCCGCCCCGCCCATCCCATCTAGCCGCCTCGCAATCCAGATAAAATCGCCAAGGACCAACGTCCTCGTCTCGCACCTGATCCCCTTGGCTTGAAGCTCATCTTCAAACTTGTTCCGGCTCGTCGTTGACTCGACTTCCCGTTGATCGATAAGCAAGACAATCTCGTATGAGCCCGCAGGGAAGATGATGGCTGTGGACGGATCGAAATTGGGGAGGTTGGTGGGTGGGGTTGGGGAGTCGTCGGTATCCGCGAGGGGATTGTGGATGGGGACATGTGAAGAGAGGCGAGGAGCGGGCCGGACGGGCTTGGGACCGCCAACGAAGGGGATGGAGGACATGGACGCGGTAGTTCCGAGTCCGAGTCGCCGCGCGGCAGCTTCAGCTGCTAGGGCCGAAGTCGAATTGGTACTCGCTCGACCAGCCTGAGGGAGGGCGACCGGCGCAGAGACGGTCCGAGCGAATGAGGTTGAGGAGCCGCCGACCCCACCGCCAATCTCAGCAAAGAGCTGATCTGGCGTCTTTTTGGGTGGCGGTCGACCCGCCCGACCCGCCGGCGTATCCTCCACCTCCAGATCGTCCAGCGAGATACTCCGCTGCCGCTTCCTCCCGCCGCTCCCGCCGACCTCTTGCGATGATGGCGCAGCGACAGGCACATCCGCGAACTTGCTACACAGCGGCGGAGCGACATCCTCCACCATGTAGCCATAGAGTGTCGGTTGATCCGTCTGGTCCCGTATCCTTGCCGCGGTATCGACGAGCTTGAGTTGCCGGGTAATTGGATGATTCCGCTGAGAATACCGGAACTCGAGTTTGCGGATATTGACAAAGTCGTCCGGGTCCAGCCGGACCATCGCGGAAGACAAGGAGTGAACTCTGGTGCCAGTACCGTCTGATTATTAACGATGTGATACATGATGAAGAAGAATGGTGCACGTACCGATATACCAGAATTGGAACCGGTCGGGATTGCTGACTCGCCTAGACTCCTCGGCGGGTCGACTCTGCGGCACATTCGGACGATGTGCGTCGGACCGACTCAATGGTATAGGAAGCGGAGCCACCCGAGGTCGAGATGGCTCGACCATACTGGCCGAGAGAGTGGCGGTTTGGTAGCTCCCGTGCAAGAAGGGGTGATCTCCGAGATGCGCAAATTGTGGCAACATCTTTCGTATGGTCATGGCAACCCCGCTGATAGATCAGCTATCTCCTCTTCGAGCAGTGATCCGATTTCACTCACTATCCCTCCTCGGTCAAGCAATACTTTTTCGGGTTCCCATTAGAATACACATACCCCTTCTCGACCAGGGTCCGCATGTTGTTCCATGCTGTGAACATCATGCCCTTGTGTGGCGCCATATAGCTCTCGTCGCAGTATGGTTGAGCGCGGGGGATCAACTCAACCTTGGTGAGGAATACAGTTGTCGTGCGAGTGGGGTCGTCGATAGCTAGGAGCAAGGCCAGGAGGAGGCCATATCCCCCTGTACGCGGTTTGGGGATGTACGACAACTTCTTGGCCGGAGCTTTCGCTTTCGGGGCGGCGGCTGGTGTTTTGGATGGGGAGTCATCGCCTTCGGGCGAGACAGATCGAGCTTTGGCCTTGCCCTTGCCCTTGGCCGTGGCCTTTGCCTTGCCCTTGTTCTCTGATGCTATCAGCTACCGCTGCAATGCCATCCGGGCTGACAGGACAGGCTCACTCCTTGGTGTCTCGGGTTCCTCCAAGCCATTCTCATCGCAGTGTATCCTCAGTTTCTTCGTGAGGAAGTCGACGATCTTTGGTCCGACTCCCCTGAGCGCCACGAGTTCCGAAGGGTGCTCGTACGTGACGGGGCAAGCAGCGATGGACTTCGCTGCCTTGCCCCACGTATCGGCCGACTTGACGCCTTTGTCTGACAGCTTCTGCTTCTCCTCTACATGATATCAGCTCGTGTACGACAGCATCACGTTCCAGCAAATTGATCTGACGCGACGGGCGGACAGTACGCACCTTCCACCCAGCTCAGGAAGAGCTCGTTCCCACATGACCTCTTGGGCGGCATGACACCGATCTCCAGCTGAAAGACGACCGTACGAGGACAGACCGGGGAGTCAAGCTGTAGCTTACAGGCTAGATGTGCACAACGTGACTATACAGAAGGAGGTGAAGGGCTATCAATATGGGTGGCGATCACGAGGGGAAAGTCAAAAGTCGCGTCGACTCTTTGCGGCAGATCCGTGCGTCACTCTCTCCTATGACCGCGAGATGGAGCTCTAAGCTTAAGCTGTCTCACTCCTCTCTCCTTCATCATCTGATCAACCTATACATCTTAGCGCATATCCGCTCTGGTAGCGCGATATCTGACGCACAGAGTACTCAGGAAGTACTCGGCACGAAGAAACGCCCGGGAATAGCATCACGACAGGCGGGAGACGTGCATATACATAACCGGGATTAGCGCACGACCCCCCTTTGACGATTCACGACCACCATCCTCTTCATCCCTTTGGCATGTGTTGGAAGGCCACGCTCGTAGACGCCATCCGCCTTTGACGACCCGTACGAAGCCGCTGTCATGTCGCGCGCGCCCTCACCTCTACACATGGGGTATCACCAGACCGCCTCCGCGTCTTCCTCAACGACCAACCTATCCCTTCCCTACCCTCCTGGCCAACCTCTACACTTCCAGCCTAACGGTCAACACGCACCATCTTCCTCTTCGTCGTCGTATCTCGCTCCATACGCGTCGGGACAACCGCACCATCCCGCCCAAATGCAGACACATCACCCGTCCATCCCCCCGCGCTCGGCGCTGCGCGTCAATACCGGCGATACGGGGCGTTTACGGTCCAACTCGTCCGCTGTGCCCGGTGCGCGAGCATCACCGCGCCTCGTCGACCCAAATCCAGGGTATGGCGGCGGCGGTGGAATGAACCACCAGTTCTCGCGGAGCATGTCGCATGCTTCACCCTTATCGCCCGAGGTGATGCAGGGCGAACAAGGCATGGCGAGGGAAGGAAGGGATGTCTTTATGGCAGTGAGGAATCTCCGCGGTCTGCGGGAGAGTGCGGAAGACTCGCCGACGTCTCCTGTCCGGGAATTTGGCGGCTCCGGGGATCACTCATTCGTCAGATCCATGTCGGTCGGGACGGACGCCACTCTCGGGCAGTTCTCGGACACGCAGCCACAGGAAGTGATGGCGGAAGAAGAAGAGGGAGATGAGACGTATACGCTTGATAAGATCCGTCATGCGCTCAAGAAGTCAAATGACGGAGGGAATACGCTGGATCTGAGTCGGAGGGGAATACAGCAGATCGGGCCGGCTGCGGTCGAGGTGTTTAGGAAGGGGGTGGGGCAGGATCGGAAGGGTGTTTACCGGTGAGTCCTACTTCCACTTCAGAGGATAGGTCTAGAGTGTGGGGACAGGCACTTATTCCTCAGACTAGCACTATCGTACAATTCTCTTCGAGATAACGGGCTCGACTACTCCTTCTGTCGCCTAAGCAGACTCCGCTATCTCAACTTGAAAGGCAACAACTTTACAGTCTTCCCTCTCGCTGTAAGCTGCAAACCCCGATTTCAAGTGTTCCTACATCAGCTGACAACCCAGCTCACCGAGATGCCCGGGCTCGATATCCTCGACATGTCCAAGAATCAGCTCCGTGCTTTCCCCGATCAACCTGGACGACTGATGCATATCCGGGTTTTGTCGATCACCAACAACAAGCTCGTCACGCTGCCTAGCTACTTGACGAAGTTTGACGATCTTCAGGTGTTCAAAGTGGATAATAACCCTATCGAATGGCCAGTGAGTTGACTCGAAACTCTTACGCTTCGGTATGTACCCAGCTGACGATCACAGCCAAGGGAAGTCCTGGGCGCTCTGGTAGATGGTGACTCTACGTCTCGAGAGCGGGATGAGTCTGGTCGAGCCGGACGGGCGAAGAAGAAGGAAGCAGATCTGAGGCCGTGGATTGAGAATATGAAGAGCTGGATGAGGCAGAGGGTGGAGGCATCGGAGACGCTCTTGGAGCAGGAGGGGGAGGTGGAGACGACATATGCAGCTGCAAGGTGAGTCAAGTGTTCAGAGGTCAGGGCCAGAGCTAGCTGACCATTCAGCGAGCTTGACAGCGCAAAGACTGTATATACCGGCGAATCTTCAGCGCCCGCGGATAGGGAAAACTTGTCCCACTCGCCTACTACTCGAGTCACATCACAGCAGACTATCCGGGCGTCCCGGGAGGAGCCGACCGAACGTCCTTCACCCCCTGCTCCAGGCCCAGAACCTGTATCGACTCGGCCATCCATCGGGAATCGCAGCCGCTCAACGACGTTATCTACCGATAACCTCGCCAAGCTGGCGTCACCCGCTAAACCTCCTCCACTCCAAATCCCCGTCTCTCACTCTCGTCAGCCCTCCACGAGCACCCCACCTACCTCAGCCATCTCGTACTCATCAACACACTCCCGGCAATCATCCACCAACCTCCCGCCTCCGCCGCCCATACCCGCCGCCGCAGCGGGCCACAGTCGCGGCGCAAGCTACACGGCGACCCAGCGGCTGAGTGCCAGTCTAGCCAGCAAAAAGTCATTGCCGGACCTGCGGCAGAGCCACGCCAAAATCATCTCGGACTGGCGCGAGGGCGGGCAGGATGTCGTCGAGGTCCGGACTCTCGGTTTGGGGATTAAATCACCTATATCCGCTCGCTTTAACCCTACGCCAACTCCTCCTCGGACGGCCGAGATGGTCAAATCCCCCTCGTCCGCTTCGTTCCTCACAGATAAGGAGAGGATGCGGACGCTCAGCCGTAAAGGGTCGACGGATATGCTTCGGCGTGTCAAGGGGAGCTTGGGTCCGGAATTGTCGATGGGGGAAAAGCGGAATAGTCAAGAGGGACCGCTCGTCGATGATTCTCGCAATTCGTACTTCCGCCGTTTGTCGACACTGCCGGTATCGAGTATATCCAAGGCGATCCCCCCTTCCCTCCTTCGCTGCGTCGACGCCATCCGCGGTATCCTCTTCGCCCTCTCCCAGCTGCATTCGGCTCTTCGCCAGTACCTCGTGTTCGCCGTCTCGGACCGGGTCGCCAATCTCTTTTCAAAAGTCCTCGATCCGGCCAGCGGGCGGATGGCGGCCCTCATCAATGCGTTGGACCGGTTCGACTCGATGTCGCGCAGAGGGACACCGCCCGTCTCTGCCATCCGCGGTGTAATGGACGCGACGCGGGCCAGTATCTCCACGTTTGCCAAAGTCGTCGGGGTGCTTCGGCTCCAGATGCCCGCTTTGAAGGGGACGGATGTACGATATACCCGGACCCTCCTCTTGATGATATACGGCTCGATGGCGGAGGTGTCGTATTCGTGGACGGCGATTGCGCCGCTATTGGCGGATCTGAAGGTGTTGATGGTCAGCGATGGGCAGGGATTGGCGGTACGGGCCGTATGGGGCGGAACAAAGATGGCTGCTTCTGCGAGCTTTGGGGGCCGGACACCCATCTCGCCGATCCCGGAGCGAGGTGAATCGCATTCCCCACCTAGCGCTTCGAGGTCGGAGCGGACCGAAAAAGCGCTGGGGACATCGCCGCTGCATCAGTCGGTATCAGCGGTCGATCCGAGTTTGTCGCCTACGCCGGTATCTACTGCTTTGGGATCGGGAGCGTCAGCGGGGAGAGGAGTCCCCATCGGTGGTAACCGTAACCGGCGACAAGCGGGCAGTTTCTCAACGCAGGACGTGCAGAGGGGGATGCAGATGGTCGGCCAGGGGTCGCCCGTCGCACTCACGGAAGGCGGATGGGGGCGGCACAAGTCGTCTGGCTCAGCCAACAGTCTGTTGCCGCGCACAGAAGAGTCGGATGCGGAGGACGAGGAGGCGCGGATGTTGAGCGCATTGGAGGATGAGGAGCTGGATACGATGCTTCCTAATCCTCCTTTCGCGCTCCGAGCGGGAGTATCCAATAGCTCCACCATCAACCTCCCTCAGACGCCCCCGGAACATACTGCGGCGCTACAACCGATCGCCATGCTCCATACGACGTCGCACCACTCGCACTCGCGTCGCGGTCATCATGGTCCGTCCTCGTCCTCCGGATCGAGCCATATGCTCCAGACAAACGGGTACGGCGTCCCCCGGAAATCATCTATAGATATCCGCCCGCCGACCCCCGCTTCCGCTTCCGCTTCGGCCGGCCAACTCGACGAAGACCTCCTGGACACGATCGAGTCCGCTACCGACGTGGCCTTCACCGCGTGGCTCCGGATCGCCGAGGATGTCGGCGCGTCCTCCCCTCCTTCCCTGGCCCCAGGCCACCAGAAATCTCCATCCCAGTCCAGCCTCTCGTCTGGCCCTTACAGCGCCAATGACTCTCGTCGGCCCTCCACCATCTCCGCCCGGCACTACGCGGACCTCCTGGACCTCCTCTCCTCCTCGGAACAAACCACGTCCACGCTGCGCGAATGCCTCATGGGTATCCGCGCAAACCCGCACTCTCCCTCCCAATACGCGGCTTTGCACACGCACGCGCAAAACTTCGTCAAGACCGTGGTCAAGGTCACGGAGCTCATCATGAATATATCCGCGACGCATAGCTTCCCTTCCGGCGTCAAAAGCTGCTGTGCGAGACTCGTCCAGTTTACGCGGGAATTTGCGATTCTCTTCTCGGTATCGAATATCCGACCTGGGACTTCGGCGTCTATGCGGAGTCTCACTGCTGCTCCGGGCGGCGCTGGTGGTGGTGGTGCTAGCGGCGGACACGGTCAATTATCGGCCCGCTCAACAAGCCCCATGCCCCTCTCGTCCCGCTCCCGCTCGACCACGCGGTCCGGGTCAAATTCTGGGTCGGGGTCAGGCTCGGCGCCGCTCTCGGGCTCGCATACGCCTCGATCGGGAAGTATGGGGATGGGAATGTCCCAGATGGGCATGGGGATGTACGGCGCAGCTGGCGAAAGTAGTACTGAGGACCTATTGGCGCCGCATTCGGCCATCACGCCCGGATCGGGCAATTGGACGTCTGCGGGGAGTGCGGGACCGCCCAGTGCGGGATTGAGGGGCTTGCAGTTGCCCAGTAGGCAGGCGGCGTTGGCGAGGAGGAGGGCGGGGCCGGGTGGGGGTGTGCCGGTGAGATAAGGGGAGGTGGGGGGTTGGAGGCGAGAGGGGACGAGGGGAGGAGTCTGGATGATGAGGCGATGGGGAGGAAGGAGGAAGGGGAATCTTGGTATTTGATCATAGTATAATCTCATCATAGCATTATCGTGGTATATATAGCATCGTCGATCTCAAGCTCAGGTAGGGGAGAGAGGTCGTTCTGGCCATAGCTTGACCAGCGAAGGGCCAGAAGCAAGCTCTCAATATTAATTAATGTAAAACTAGACGCACGGACGTGCACTTTTGCTCTGCAACAACTCCAGCTCAGCCAAAAAGGGAGCATCGACATCCTTCCAACGTCCTAAATATCTTACCGTACACAGACAACATGACCATCTGCGCAGGCTGTGGAGAGAAAGAGGCCTCGCGCCTCGAGTGCCCGAATTGCAAGAAGTGAGCTAGAGTGCTTGGAGGAGCGGAGTCCGAGCTGGAGCTGATGCATCAGGCTTGGTATTCCTGGGTCCTTCTTCTGCGACCAGGACTGCTTTAAGCGGACCTGTGAGCTTGATACTTCGCAGACACTTGAAAGGCGGGACGAAGCTGATATGGTCCAGGGGGAACGCACAAGCTCATTCATAATATTGTCCAAATGGCAGCTAAAGCAGAAACCGACAGTAAGCTCAACGATGCCAACGGTTCCAGGTGTGCCGAGTCTCAGCTCACACCCTACAGAGAACTCGTCTATACCTACCAATATGAGGGACTACAAGTTCACCGGACCGCTCCGCCCACATTATCCCTTGAGCGCAAAGAGGACGGTGCCTGCCCATATTAAGCGGCCGGACTATGCGGATGACCGTGAGTTCTAATCAAGCCCATGAGGGATACCGAGAGGCAGCTCGATTATACCTGGTTCCCGCAGGCCAGGAGGGCCCAGAGCTGATCATCCTAGCACAAGGCCAGAGCCCTATCGAGATGGCCCGCGAAAGAGCCGTCAAGACCCTCAACGCCGAAGAGATAGAGGGTATGCGGAAAGTCTGCCGGGTAAGCTTCCCACTTCAAGCACATGCCGGGGCCAGCTGATAACTTTTAGCTATCCCGTGAAGTGCTCGATATCCTCGCATCGCATGTCCGACCGGGGATCACCACGGACGAGCTCGATAGGATATGTCACGAGGAGTGCATCAAGCGGGATGCGTACCCTTCTCCGTTGAACTATGGGAAGTTCCCAAAGAGCGTGTGTACGAGTGTGAACGAGGTCATCTGTCATGTGAGCTGTCTAGGCTAGCCGGCGAGGTCATAGCGAGCAGAAAGCTGATACATCAGGGTATCCCAGATCAGAGAGAGTTGGTCGAGGGGGACATCATCAACCTGGACGTATCACTTTGTACGTATATATTTCTAGCTTGACGAGCCTCAACTTCGTTTTTGAGGGCTGAAAGCTGACTCCACAGTCCACGGCGGCTTCCACGGAGACCTGAACGCCACCTACCCCGTCGGCAAAGTCGACGAAGAATCGATGGACCTCATGGCGACGACCAAAAAGTCAATGGAGGACGCTATCGCCATTTGCAAGCCCGGAGTGGCGTATCGCGAGATTGGGAATAAGATTGAAGAGGTGGTCAAGCCCAAGGGATACAGTATTGTGCGGAGATATACGGGGCACGGTATACATTACATGGTCAGTTGGATAAAGCTCGTGCTGCGGAGACCTTAGATCGAGCTGGTAGCTGACCCGATAGTTCCATTGTCAACCCAATGTCGTACATTACGGTAATTCCAAGATGCCGGGCAGAATGGAGGCCGGGCAGATCTTCACCATCGAGCCAATGATCAACCTCGGTACGGCGAATCTGGATCACTGGAAGGATGACTGGACGGCGGTGACGATGGACGGCAGGCGGTCGGCGCAGTTCGAGGAGACCATTTTTTGAGTTGATGAGAACTCGGCTGCTCTTCCAGGCTCGGGGGAAAACTGACGATCTTAGAATCACAGAAACAGGCTGCGAGATCCTTACTCGACCACCGCCAGCTTCGTCCGCTTCGAAAAAGAGAAAGAAGAAGAAGAGCAAGGCGGCGGCGGTTGGGGAGGCGGATGTCGAGGAGGATGGGGGATCAGGCGCTGCGACGCCAATAGGGGACGCGGCGGTGGGCGTGGAGGGGTTGGAGGTGACTGGTAATGGTCAATAGGCTATCAAGTTTAGTGCAAGGAACTGAGGGCGAATCAGTCAGTATTTCAGCCATATTTCAGAGATGGCATCAAGTCATTGCATCTCTACTGGCGTCATGCTTCTTCCGGTATTGTCTTCAGCTAGGACCAGTCAGCTCCTATCGACCGGGTCAAGATCCCCGAAGCTCACCTGCAAACCATGTATCCCCTTGATGTCCTCCTTCAAGCACTCATTCACCAGCTTGTGCTGTTTTATCGTCGACAGACCGTTGAAAGCCGGGGATGAGATCTCAATGGCGTAGAAACTGCCGCATCCGCCTATGAATTGTCAGCTACGAGTTCTGCCCTGTTCGGGGAGGGAAAGATCATGGCAGCTCACCTGAGACATCCTGAACCTCTAATCTCTTCCCTGGGAACTTGGCCGCCAGCTTGGCATGTATCCCCTCTTCCCCTGCATCCCGCTTTGAGACTGATGGAGCGGTGGTGAGCGATCGGAAAGATGAGGGTCCGGGTCGAGCCAGGCTGACCGGGAGCGCCAGACGGCTTGCGGGCTGGACAGATCGGGTCAGGAGGAGGCGCGAGCTGGATGCTAGGCGTGAGGCAGACATGCTGAGGGATACACTATAAACAGGTAGGAGGTGACAAGTTAGAGGTCACTGCAGGTGGTGGTTGTGGTGGCCAAGGTCGAGGTGAGCGGAAAACGTCATCCCGCCCAATCTAGCTTTCCCACGGTAGTTGGGCCGCCCCTCCACCTGAAGTCAGCGCGTGCCTCACCCACTCGACCATGTTGTTGTCTTGATCGCCTCACACAGTACTACACCCAGCGCAGAGGACCGTCACCCAGCCTACGCCGCCTCATACGCAACAGGTCGAGCTGGAAATATCAGAAAAAAGCGCCATCATCCAGGTCGAAAACCATGGCGGACGCGAAGCTGTTCAGTGAGCTCCAGTCTCCCCCGCTTGGACCCTTTGAGGGAGGGTAGCCGGGGTCAAATACCTGGAGTGACCTCCCTTGAGGGTCTTGAGTATCCAATGGCCGCATCGTCTGCCTTGGACGCCCATGTATGGGCAGCATAGCTGACTCAACAGCCCGCGGTAAGGTACAAGAGCTGAGAGATGAGCTTCGAGCATCCGGGGACAGGCGGGACAAGGGGTTCGTCCGGAAGAAGACAGCCTTGAAGAAGGTCGTTGCGAACATGACGATGGGGAACGACAGTAAGCTATGGTGACCCGTCCCAGTGATAGAGCTCCGAGCTGATCCCGCAGTGTCGGCGCTGTTCCCAGAGATCACTCAATGTTTAGCCATCCAGGTCCTTGAGATCAAGAAGAGTAAGCTGGGTGGTATACTACGAGGGGAGATCATAGTAGCTGACAGAGTAGTGGTATATCTCTACCTCGTCAACTATGGTCGATCCCGCCCTGAAGAGGTCACAGGCGCAATATCAGGCTTCCTGACGGACTGCCATGATCGGAATCCGCTCATCCGGGGTCTGGCCATACGGACCATGTCGTCTATACCTCTACCTCCCATCATTCAGGCTCTTATCGATCCATTAAGGAGCGGTTTGGAGGACCAGGATCCATACGTCCGCAAGACGTCGGCTTTAGCGTGAGCTGCGCAGTCCTTCTTGACGATGTACGCTAGCTGAACTACCAGTGTTGCGAAGCTTTACGCGTCGGATTTTGGGAAGCGGATCATCGACAAGGAGGGCTTTGTAGCGATGTTGAGGCAAGTCCGAATGGCCCGATAATATATGAGCCCAGCTGACAGACAGGGATCTTCTGGCGGACCAGAATCCAACGGTAGTCGCCAATGCGGTAGCATCCCTCGTGGAGATCTCCGACCGGAGTACCGATATTTCGCTACGACTGAATGCGACAGTAGCAGGAAAGCTAGTAGCCGCATTAGGAGAATGCTCAGAGTAAGCTTCCGATACCGCGATGACTTCACCGGACTGATAGCTAATATCAATAGGTGGGGGCAAGTCTACATCCTCGACTCCCTCCTATCCTTCGTTCCTACATCACATATGGACGCCGAGACGCTAGCCGAGCGAATATCGGTGCGGCTACAGCACGCCAACTCGGCAGTCGTCTTGACGACGATCAAGGTCATCATGTACTTGATGAACTATATGGAGGACGAGGTCTTGATTAGGGCCTTGGAGAGGAAGATGGGTCCCCCATTAGGTGAGCTTAGTCGACGAGCTTATCGTGCGCCAGCTGACAGGCAGTGACGCTTCTCTCCTCCGGCTCCGAAGTGCAATACGTCGGTCTCCGGAACATCCTCCTCATCGTTCAACGCCGCCCTGCCATCCTGCAAAATGAAGTCAAAGTCTTCTTCTGCAAATACAATGACCCCATCTACGTCAAACTCGCCAAGCTCGAAATCATGTACCGTCTCACACGCGAGGACAATGTCGCCGAAGTCCTCGCCGAGCTCAAAGAGTACGCGTCCGAGGTCGACGTCGATTTCGTCCGGAAAGCAGTCCGCTCGATCGGTCGACTCGCCATCAAGATCGCACCCGCCGCGGACCGGTGTATCCAAACTCTGCTCGGTCTGATGGGTACCAAGATCACCTATGTCGTGCAAGAGGCGATCGTGGTGATTAAGGATATCTTCCGGCGGTATCCTAATCAGTACGAAAGTATTATTGGGATACTGTGCGAGAATCTGGATGTGCTCGATGAGCCGGAAGCCAAGTCGGCGATGATTTGGATTATTGGGCAGTATGCGGATAGGATCGAGAATAGTGATGAGCTGCTGGAGGACTTTTGCTTTACGTTCAAGGAGGAAGCGGCGGAGGTGAGCTGCGACGTGCACAACTTCGTGTAAGTGATGAGGAAGCTGACAGTGTAGGTACAACTAGCGCTGTTGACAGCGACGGTCAAGCTCTTCATCCGACGACCGACGGCGGCACAGGAGCTGCTACCGAAGGTGCTCAAGCTGGCAACGGAGGAAGCCGAAAATCCAGATCTGCGCGATAGGGTGAGTTCTGACACTCGCAGCCATGCGCAGCCGAGCTGACTTGACAGGGCTTCATGTACTGGCGCCTGCTAACCTCCAACCCGGCTGCAGCGAGGGAGATTGTCCTGTCGGAACGACCCGTCATATCGACCGAAACTGACAGGATGGACAAGGGGATGCTGGACCAGCTCCTTCTCCACACTGGAACTCTGGGTAGTATATACCACAAGAATCCAAATGTAAGCTTCCTGCCCATCTTTTCCCATGCTCAAGCTCACTTCGCAGACATTCATACGTACCGCCCGAGCCCGATACCTACCCGACTCACCCGCCCTCAACGCCTCGTCCAAACGCCACCTGATCACCCCCTCCGGACCCGCACCCGCCCTCGCCCGCCTGACGATCAGTACCTCCTCCGCCAACTCTGGCGCCTTATCAACACCCACCATCCCGTCCCGATCTGCCAATATGGCGTCCTCGCCCATGCCCGCGGCGTCACCACTGCCAGATGCGTCGCCTGTTAATGGGATGCGAGGCGGCGGCGGTGGCGGGGTGGATGATGTGTATGGCGATTTGGCGGATTTGGACTTTGGTGCGGCGGGGGGCGGGGGGAGAGGAGGGTATGAGACGGATGCGCCGAGGCCGAGAGGAGGGGCGGAGGATCTGTTGTTTTGATTGCTATGCTTGGGTCGTCAAGTGAGGGGAACCAACGGGCAGATGGCTTACATCCTCAAGTCGCTGATTGTAAGCCTCACTTACTCACCGGAAATCACTACCGACAGGCCACGTCATGCTACCCGCTGTAGCGGCTGATGAGCTCGCTGATACACTAGTGCAACTAGCCTTATACCTTTGATTACCACGCCCCTATGGCGTGCTCGAAAATCCTTTATGGCAGCACAATCAGTGGCACCCCCTGCCTCGCCCAACAGCTTGGTTCCCCAAGGGTGCGCGAGTGCCCCCATCCCCTCTGTATTCATACACCCAACACCTTGCCACCGCGCTTACCTTTCCACTTCTCACACCGTTCACACAACCATAACAACGTCAAGGTCATGTCAGCATCCAAGATTACCGAGCTCGCGACTCCCACCGAGATCGCCGACTCATGCGACGCTCTCGTCAAGCTGCTCAGAGAGAGCCTGGGCGATGGCAGTGCGTCTGACAGCAATGCGGACTCCGAAGGTGTCACAGGAAGAGGCGACGAGGATGAGGGATGACTGCGCGGCGATAGTACTAAGGTACATGAAATGCTAATGAGGATATATAAAAGCGGATGAGGGAAGAAGAGATGTGGCCAGCGATGTGAAAAGCAGTCGCGGTCAGGGATCAGGGTTCCGGGGTTTGGGGGTTATACAAAGTAAATATAAAAGGCCGTGCGTGTGGCATTCCCTTGTCCAGGTGACAGAAGGCGGGGAAGGCTTACCCTATAATGATGGGCTTGACGCGGACGCGGAGCAGCAAAGGTCTGACTCCATCTCGAGGTTGTCAGGGTATCTGCTGCTCGCTGTCAGCGACATCATCACGAAGAAAGTCACTGACGAGGGCTCGGCTGAGCGCGACACGCGGTGGATGACCGATACGGGCAACGCTGTAGGAGATGAGGTTGTGGAAGAGCTTACCGAAGCGATCCTGGAACCAGTGTTGACCGCAGCCCTTGATGCCTTCAGGATGTCCGACCGCATCGCCCGTACACCCGAGTGCAAAGCCCTCAAGTCAGAGGACGATCAGCTCCAGTACATCACCGATGCCATTGTGGCCCGAGCCCGGAGTGCAAGTTTGCCGACAGGGGCGGACTGGACTGAGCCTACCACCCAGAATCTCAAGACCGCTCTGAGTCACTGGTCGGCGAAACTCCGGCGCAATGCAGATCTCGACGCTGAACCTCAGCCCGCCGACAATACGCTCTATTGGGAGTTCGTTGTGTTCCGCAATCTTGTTGAATACAAGCTTCTCTGTCAGAAAGTTGAGGAGTAGGGGACTGAATATCGCGGAAGAATCATTTGTGTGTATAGCGGCGCGTGCGACTGCGGGCGTATGAATGTCTCGTGTATGGAAATCACAGCTTCGGTGTCGATGAGGCGCAAGGCTCCAAAGCAAACTTCGGATTGAGACACACTGTCATATACACATCCTCAATTGCTTCATTCATATGGCAACACCACTCGTGTGAGAGAACTTGCCACAGACTCACAGAGGTTGATGAGGTAGGCATTTTGATGGAACGTACTGGAGTCCGCAGTCCGTGGCATGCATATGCTGTCGCATTTCAACGCGCGAAGTCTCCTTTGATCGCCTTCCCCCTTGCTCCTCCCCCCTTGCGGCCGGTGGGTCAGGAGCCAGTGAAGAACGACCTTGCCTAGGCCGCCTTGTTCGTCTCAGATCTCAACCGTCAATCGAATCGTCAACTATCAAGCCCTACTCTTCCAGGAGCCACTTCCATCCTCATGTCTGGCCTTTCCACTACTACGCTCAGCGCCACCTTGCTGAATGACACGCTGGTCACATGTAACAAGCTGCACCAACTACTCGCTCCCGAGCCGGCGGTCGCAACAACGGGGTCTAGGCGTCTCAGAGACGATCGCGCCACCCATGTCGCCAGGTCTGAACGTCGTCCAATGTCAGCCATCTCGCGATATGCGGCCTCTTCGAAAGAGATCAGCAGACTCGCGACCGAGCTCCGCAGTCCGGACGGTCTGACCAAGGCCATACTCGAGTCACATCCACCGGTCGGAGGCCGTTCTGTCTTCTCAATGTACCCTTCATTCGACTTTCGGGAGCGTCTTCGGCCTTTCGTGGAACAGCTGCCAGTCGAGCCGTCGTTACAACACCACGACCCTGACTCCTTCGTCGCTCCAAAGCCGGAGGGGGATGCGATCGACGTCCAGTGGGAATATGAGCGCGAAGTCGGATTTGGGTTCATTACCCCGGACGAGGCTGTCCGCAATATCGAGACTCTTGTATCACACCTTCATCAGGATGGAGACGGCGCCCTCAAGATGCTGCTGACCACCATCAGGGAGGGGCTGCTGATCGCGGTATCCAATCTGGCAGCGACACTCACTGTCGACGAGACCTGATGGTGTGACATGTCGGATGTCGAGACCGCATACAAGGCGGCCTCAGGCCAGGCGCTGTCTTACATTTGTGCTCATCGGATGAAAGAAGTGCTCAGAGACGAGCTACAGGGCGGCGCGGCTGCAGGGGATCAGGGATCCGAGGGAAGGTCAACGTCGGTAATCTGGCTCAGCAAACTGAGGGATTGTCTGCTGTGCAAATAGTCCGGTCGGCTTAGAAGTGGGACTCCCATGCAAGGTGCGCGTCGCGATTATGACTCAGCGGATTGAGGACTAGACCATCACCATGCCATTCCCTTCCCTGGACAAGATTATAAGTACGCGTCGCAGTCAATTTGCCACCCCAATAATGCTGCGTATGGCGTACCTACGGTAGTACGATCGGTCACGATCGATCTGGCATCGTATTGCAATGCGCGGAAGGGTTTCGGTGACCGCGTCACTCCCATCGGGGTACATGAAATCTACGCCTGAAGACAGTGGCATGATGTTCAACGTCCAATTGCGTTAAGGTCTGGCTTCCTTGGGACATCGTTAATAAACAGCCAAATCGCTATATTCAAGGGTATCTCTGAGTTTCCAGATATCGCGTCTTCCCTTGTGTTTGGATCTGCCCTCCTGTGCCGTAGCAGAGAACCGATATCCTGGTCTTCGAATCGCTCTGGCGTGCTCATGGTTCGCGAAGGCACAGGCTGATACAATGATAACTGCAAGCATCACCGTTGTGGTGAAATAGGGTGGAAGCCGGGTGATGGCTAGCGAAAGAGAGGAGATCGAGGTGAACCAGGGAGGACTGGCGCACAGGAGAGGGGTATGAGAGGGATACGAGGAGTGTGCCGAGCCGTATAGATGTCGATGGGAGTAGCACCGAGTGTCGAATGGCCAAGCTGCAGGTGAGACAGAGCAAGAGCTACATGAACATGTATGTGGCTAGTGCTATGTACGGTGATTGACGATATATCCAACGCTTAGCCATCCATGGCTCTCGTCAGCCTCGCCTGTGTGCTGTGCACGGACCTCCTCATTCCTCGTTGTGTGGCGGAATTGTATCAAGCCTGCGCTTTCCCCACACCGTGATGATATTCTGATCCCTTCTTTGGTCTAGGTTGCACTGCGAATCTGCGATCGCAAGATCCAAATGCCATCCATGTAGCCCGGTCAGGAGCTGACACACCATCCCGCAATCAGTCCTTTCATTCTACGCCACTAGGCCATGTTTAGGCGACATAGCGTGCTCTCTGCTGGCGGAGTATACAAGATGAACGGTTGACCGTCGTCCGAGCTAGGTCGAGTCCACCCCGTATTACATATAGCTGGGCTTGTTTTCCCTACCTCTCATCTAGTAGCACCTCTCACCATACACTCTCCTCAATTGCCACCTGTGATAACTCTAGCCATACTCCACACCAGATCCGCCACTTACTCGTCCACAATCCTCGCCTACCAACATGACCTCACATTACAGCGAGATCGTCAGCTCGTGTGACCCCATCATTGAACTCTTACAGTTAGAGGCCGGAGCGGTGTGCGAGATGAATGGCGCCGAAGATGGAGGGATGAAGCATTACGGTCGGCGAGCTGAAGCCATCAGGAAGCGGTGGAAGAACACAATGAACCTCCTGGACGCCGAGAGTACCAAGCGGGAGTGGCTTGTGGGCGCGGATGACTGCACGGTCGAAGAGCTCACTGACTGTTTTCCTGCCTACGACACAGCAGCGTACACGAGTGCGGCGGCGGCTCAGCTTCAGGCGATCTACAGGCAATTGACCGGAATGATCGCTAGAGAGGTATATCGCCCCTGCGTTGTCAGATCCGCCTCCATCGAAAAGAGCCATGCCAAGGATGATATCCCAAGGCTGGGCCAATCGATGGTGGGTGGGCTGGACGTTCTTGACAGCCACCTGATCACGGCAGCTGCGACGTTTGCCGAGAGTCTGCAGGAGTGGAAGACCGACCTGACCTCAAATCCGGTGATGTACGACTTCGATCGGGAGCCGTATCACCACGGGGTCTTTCGAGATGCGCTGGCTTACTTTGCCGCATCCCAGTCAAACCAGACTCTGAGGAGAGCAGACTTCTATGGAAAGTGGCCGAAGAGGGTGCAGGACTGACTGGGGAAGTTTACGTGTCTGACTGGGCAAGTCGAGGGGGCGGGTCTCTTTAGTAGTGGAAATACGATTTGATGCTACTTCTAGTCCACGACTCCAGACTGCAGTGGAGCGTCAATCAAGAGGATCAAATGCGGTCGGCTACTGATGACGAGTGGCAAGCACTCAAGCTCCCGGTACTCCGGATGACCAGCTAGTCCTGCCGACCCAGGGACTACAGGGCTGATCCTGCACCGAGCTCATCAGCTGCTAGCGCTCAGGAAATGACCCGGCAACTTTCGACGCTAGAGAGGGCCGGAGCAGCTTCAGCGACTTGAAGGTCTGCTCTGACGAAGGAATTCTCGAGGGAGCTATTCTGTACTATATGAGAGAGCGGTCCTAGCCGGTTGCGCCCCTATGCGCCCTCATCATGAGGTCTAGACTCTAGATCGCGGAGCTGCACAAGATTGCATTCCTTAACACCCCACGTGGCGCAACGCGACCGTGCCTATAAGGCCCGCGCAAGAGCAGAAGCAGCTCGTTCTCCGCTACATATCTACCTTCTCAGTGACTTCGATCTTCTTGCTCGTACGCACTCACTCCGACGCGACCTATAGTATCCCTGCGATTTCGCTGGTGGTAGGAAGCATCACAGGACTCAGTGCAAGAATGGACTCAGCGGGACCAAGCCGGCCCCGTGCCCAGGACCGTCGCGACACCACCCCCGGTACGAGCGTATTCGACGCAGACGCGTATGACGATGACGCGGATGACCTGCCGGGATACTCTGTGCCGGGCCCGAGCAGACCATCTGGGGAGGAAGAGGGGGAAGGGAGCGGACGGCGATTAAGTGGAGAAAGGCTATTGAATAGTGGAGCAGCGAGGGGCAATAGGAGGGAGGAGCCGGAGGGCGGAACGAGCGCGGAGTATGGAAGAGGGCGTGCTGGCCTGTTAGAGCATGGGGAGGAAGAACCACTGCAGGCGATGGGGATGACGCAGGGCGAGGCGCAAAGAAAGGCAGCGTGGTGGAGGAGCACACTGATCACTGCTTTATTCGTATGTGCCTGGTGAGTGATATCTGTACTCGGACCCTTACCACATCCCCAGCTTGATGGGAAGGATCAGCTGACCAGTAGGTACGGCTCAGCAACGCTGCTATCCATATACAACAAATGGATGTTCTCAGCCGAATACTACAACTTCCCTTTCCCCCTCTTCGTCACGGCGTGTCATATGGTCGTCCAATTCTCCCTGGCCGGTGCGGTACGACTGATATGGGCACACAAGTACCGACCACTTGAGCGACCAACACGTCAAGACTACGTGTGAGCGGAACACATCACTGCATGATATAAGGATTCAGCTGAAGCTCTAGCGCCAAGATCTTCCCGACTGCAATCAGTACCGCTGGAGACATCGGCCTATCCAATCTGAGTCTCCGGACGATCACTCTTTCCCTCTACAGTACGCTTCCTTTAAATTCAGTCAAGCAGAGGTTCCGCAGCTGACAGTACAGCAATGTGCAAATCCTCCGCCCTGATCTTCGTCCTAATCTTCGCGTTCATCTTCCGCCTCGAGCGCTTCTCCCTCAACCTCATCGGCGTCATCACCCTCATCTCCGCCGGTGTATTCCTCATGGTCTTCGACACCACCTCCGTCAATCTGCCCGGTATCATCATGGTCTTCTCCGCCTCGGCGCTCTCTGGTCTTCGCTGGGCCCTCACCGAGACGCTCATGAAGAAGAAGAGCATGGGCCTTTCCAATCCTTTTGCGACGATCTTCTGGCTCGCACCGCTCATGGCGATCGTCCTCATCCCTGTCAGTATCGGGGTGGAAGGGTGGAAGAATGTGTTTGGGAGTGGGCACTTTGAGGGGACGTCCGCGTGGTTCACGGTGTTGGTGATTGCCTTCCCGGGCGCTATTGCCTTTGCGATGGTGACCAGCGAGTACTTGTGAGTCGTGGACGAGGGGAGGAGGTGCTCATGTTCAGTATCATCGACCGCGCCGGTATCCTGCCCCTATCCGTCGCTGGTGTATTCAAGGAAGTCACGACCATCTCCATCTCAGCTTGGGTGTTCGGCGACCAGCTCACCAACCTCAATATCGTCGGTGTGGCGATAGCTGTATGCGGTGAGTTTCAGCGGTCGTGTTTCTTTAGTAAGCGCTGAGACTGTAGGTATCGCCCTCTTCTCCTACCACAAATACAACAAAGCCATGTCCTCATCAGCCGACGAAGACTCGCCCCTCATCCTACCCACTCCTACTTCCTCACACCCAGGTCAATACGCCCTCGCTCCCTCAGCGGACGAGGTGGGTCTAGCCTCGCCCGGCTCGGTGCCAATGTCGCAGCTACCGTCCTTGACGAAGCTTCGAGGTCACAAGGTGGGAGAGGAGGGGGATGCCGATTCAGTGATGCAGAAGCGGAGAGATGACTTTGAGGGCTGGAACGATAGCTGGAGCGAGGAAGGCGAGGGGGAAGAGGAGGACGATGATGAGGAGGTACTGCAGCGACGGAAGGAGCGGGTCGGGGAGAATGGCATCCAGACTGGCGGACGGAGTTGGGGGAAATGGTGGGACAAGGAGGTATAGACTTGTATCAGGTACAGGATAGATAGATGTATATATCATGTCATTATAGTCGTATGTCTGATACCAGCTTGCTCCATGATCGCCGGTCAGCCCCTGGACAAGACGCGGCTGCCTAGCGGCGATGGCTTTTGCCTCCCATACCGAGGAAGTGGCGGATCCGGGTCTGCAAACTCGGCCTGTATTGTTAGCGAGGTTCGATGGAACGATGGGGAAGCTCACTTAGTCGGCCTCACCCCCATATGATTCAGCTCCGCCTGCGCTCCAGCACGACCGTCGTCCGTTGTCCGAGGGTTGTTGATGGCCTGGCAATTAAGTTAGCTTGCCGCGCATGTTTTATCAACAAGGACTGACGTACCGCCTTGAGACCTCTAATCCTGTTCTTCCGGTGAGACTGCTTTGGAAAGTCTGACGCGTGCGAGTGGGCGTGGGCGGCATGGCCATGCGGGTGCGCGCGAGTCTTGGAGGATCCGAAGCCGAGCATTGTAGGATGTGGGGTATTGAGGTGGTTGCTCTTTTGGTTGGTAATAGGTGTGATGGTCAACGTAAGGAGGGTTCTGCTGCTTTTATATGGATGGTCGACCGATAGCTATGTCCGTAACGTCAGGCAGAAGCAAGACGTCTCAGATCGGATTGGTACCTGTGACGGTGGTGTGTGCACCAGCCATCACCCCGTGTCCTCCTCATTCCTCCGTGTTTCACGGAGGCAAAACGTGATATCATCGTGTTTCAGGTACCAGGTGGCCAGGGGTGTTGCAGCAGGCTTTGGCAGCGGACTGGCACGGGGCCTAGCGTAGCCGAGCTTGCCGTCTCAGCATACATAGACGCAAGAGCAGAAGCCAGATTGGCCGAGAGGTATGGGGTTGGCATTGGCTTCTGATCACTTCTCGAATTCCTTCTTCGCCTGTGCTAACAGATCGTCAAGCTCCTTCCCATACTCATTCGCCAGCTCTTGCACATCGTCTGCTCCCTGCGCACCCTTCCCTCCTACCAGCTTGATACCGTCCGATCGGGCCGTCCGGACCTGCTGTTTCGAGCCTTCTATTGTAGCGTTGAGATTGCGCAGGATTTGGGTCCGCTGTTCCACCGTTGGTCTGGTATCGTCAGCCACATGCCCCTACTGGATTGGCCATTCGTGAAAAGCCTGGATAACTAAGAGATACACGCTGCCAGGCTCGATTGATCCAATGCTTGGGAACTGAGGCCAGTGTCGGAGGCGAAGCTCACCTGGACAAGGGTATCTTGATCGTGCTCTGATCCACCCGCTGGGGCGACATCCCCGGCATGTTCGCCTTATGCAGCGCCGACTCGACATGCTTCATCGCGTCCGGGTCCCACACCTCCACAAACAGAGTATTCTGCTTGACCGTGACGGACGCTATCGAATTCAGCGTTTGAGCCGAGGGCTCGTCCGGTAATTGAACGCGGACCGAATCCAGAAGTGCTGTTCCGGGTCAGCTGTCTGAGTATTCCCTTAGACCAGAGAGCTGACCTGGTGAAACCTTGCCCCTCCCTCTTTCTACTCCATCGTAGACCAACCCTTTTGCCCAGCTGACCGCCTTTTCCATCTTTTCCCTCGTTTTGGCCAAAACTCCCTCAGTGTCGACGTCCGTCTCGCTCGGATCATCCTCCGCGCGGACCTTGCCCTTTGATGGCTTGGCAGGCGCAAGTTTGGCTTTCTTGAGTGATATAGGCGTTGACGAGAACAGGCGGGACGGACCGGCTGACGGGAGAGGGGTAAGGTGGAGTGAGCCCCCGAAAGCGCCTGTCCTGCCGATGTCCGCCGATCGGACGGCCGACTGACAGGCGCGAATGATGGTGCGCTGCATATCGACCGCTGTAGAGAGCTCGGGATGCAGCTATGTATGGTGCAGGTACAAGAGCATAACGATTCCCGAGTTGGACGCGCCGGCGGCCGGCGGCTGATTGACTTGGCGGCACGTGACCTGATAGGGCAAATTTTCCGAGATTTTGGCTGTGCAGATGTCCAGCATGATCAATGTTGCTTCTATAACTTTCATCTATCAAGCACTCTGAAGCAAAGACCTATCATCCTTCCGGCCTTCTACACCCCTCGGTCAACACTTCAATACCCAAATCACCGACAAGTATACCACCGAAATGGCACGAATCACCTCCATCGGGATGCCCCGAAAGACCTTCGTCCCCTCCGCCGCCGAAGAAGCTCGACAGCCATCACCAGAGGCGGGCCCCTCCACAGCTCCAGCAGAAGGCGAAGAGAAGCCCAAGAAAAAGGTGCATCGCTCAGGCAAGAAGCAGCAGAAGAAGCGGGAGCGCGCCAAGGCGATCGAGAATGGCGAGCTGGTGCTGCCTACTCCCGAGGAGGTAGAGGCGGAGCGTGAGCGGAGTCGGGCGAGAAATGCGGAGAAGGTGAACAAGCAGAAGAGGAAGGATACGGGCGAGACGGGAGCGGGGTACGTGCAATCGAATGAGGGTGGGGAGGGGGGCACGAAGAGGCAGGGAGGATGGGGCAGGGACGAGGGCATTGCGAGTGAGTCGACCCGATCCCAACGAGGAGCGGAAGGGAGCTGACATATGCAGAGAAGCAGAGGATGATGGAGGACAAGTCGGAGCAGAGAAGACTGCAGCGCATCGACGAAAAGAAGTCGGCGTTGACTTGCTTTGGCTGTCGTGAGGATGGACACACCGCGAGGGATTGCCCTAAGAAGGGCGGGGTGACTGGCAATATCTGCTACCGGTGAGCTGACCTCCTGACCTCCTGCTGCATCCTTGGCGTAGTGTATAGCTGACATAAATAGGTGCAACTCGACCGCTCACTCCCTCTCGCAATGCTATAAACCCGTCAACCCGCGCGACCCGACCCCCTACGCCACCTGCTACATCTGCAATCAAAAAGGCCACCTCTCCTCCCAATGCCCCACCAATGACAAGGGCGTCTACATCCACGGCGGCAAGTGCAATGTCTGCGGCAGCGTCAGGCACCTCATCAAGGACTGCCCGACGCTCAAGGAGCGGCGTGAGGCAGCTGCCGAGAAGGATAATGAGAGGGAGGCGATGAGCTCCGGGATCCCCAGGACGGCGGGTGCGGATGAGGACGACTTTATGGTGCAGTCAAGAGTGAGGATGGCGGAGATGGGCGGGGATAAGAAGGGCAAGAGGGAGAAGAAGCCGTTCAACAATAATGGGCTGAGAGAGCCCTACAAGCAGGAGGGCAGGGGCGAAGGAGCGGAAGGCGGACAGGGTGAGGCACCAGCAGGGCCAGTCGTGGCGGTGGCGGTGGCTAAGCCAAAGTCGAAGGCGAAGGTGGTGGCGTTTTGAGCTTGTCAGTAGGGTCAGAAGTCAGTGGCTCCATCATCTATTGTATATGACCATCTCATCTTGCATTCATGTACAACGCTTGCCGATTGCAGCCCTGAGGGTGAAGCGAAGGTGAAGCGGACCGGACGACGAGGGTTCCTCGAGGCCCGTATAGCACCGTATCCAGGTCTCCGAGGATGGAATGGCCAGACGGCGGCCTTCGTCAAGTCCCCGCGCTGCGCCATGAGGATCCCATCTCGTGAGGTCGTACGGGGTGGGAGCAGAGGATGGACACATCTGTCGCAAGCGAGGTGGCGGCTCACGAAGCTGGCTCGGCTGTGACGGACACCAAATCTGTATCGAACAGCTCAATGAACTAGCTCGTCAGCTATGCTGGCCATACGACAGGACTGTACCAAAGCTTACCTGCTCATTCAACACCCTGACCTTCATCCCGGCATACCGCCTGTACTCCTCCAATATGCTGCTCAGCGCCCACCTCTGCAGCTTGCGATAACACCCTACGACCGTTCCCGTCCGGTGTCTGCCCATATTGCAGCACACGAGCACCGGGAATGTCTGCGCCTGGAGCAACAGGGTCAACGCGCGGATGATGAGCGGTTCTGGAGGTGGAGGGAGGGGTGGGAGGTGGAGCTGAAGGTTCCCGGCGCCCTGGCCTTGGGCTTGCGAGGGGAAGGGGAAGGGGTGGATGTCGGGTGTCGAGGCCGGTGGGGGAAAGTGAGGGTTGAGTGAGGGCTGAGGTGAGAGGTTGTGTAGGACGATTCCTTGGGAATCGAGGAATGATAGTCTGACTGTATCAGCTTAGGTCGAACGGTCAGGCGAAGAGGGACTGACAGTATATCGGAAGGCTCCTCTGCGCCAACCCAGATGACCGCTCGCAGATTCAGCTTCTCGAGGAAGCTGAAGTTGAGCTCAGAGGGCTGTGCAGATCGGTAGAAGCCTGCCACATCAGCACCCATACGTGATTAGCTGACAGTCGGCGTAGCCTGATGAGCGATTCCCGCATCATTCAAGAAGGTTCTGCAACGGACATACCATCTTCAACCAAGCCGAAGTTCATCGGCGGAACGATTTTGGCCATCTTGCTGATTTGCTTTCCCGTTGATTCGGTTCTGACCTGGCTCTCTGCAGCGGGTGCCCGCCGGCGTACGTGTGAGGCAGATATGAGCGTGATGGACGAAGCGCAAGCTCATTCGTGATCAGGTACATCATTGATCAGGTGCGCGGCGGAGTTACGGCATTCGTTGTGGCCTCTATAACTGCAGTGCTGATTATGACCTGTGTCTGATGAGTCTGATCTTTGAAGCTCTACTCGAGCTTCAGGAGCTCAAGCCACAGCCATTGGAGGCGTCGGACGATCTCAGGAGACTCCTTGGGCTTGTGATCTGATCCATTTATCTACTATTTCTCTATTATAATCTAGATTTCTACCTTCTTCCCCCAACTCCCCACCGCCCCTTAGTTTCCCTCCCGCCTCGGAGCTCCCTACTTCTTAGGCAGCGTAACGAGCTTAGCCCCCGCATAGAGGTAGTACCAATCACTGAACCTCGAGGGCTTCGGCTCGGCCGGCAGCACATTCGACTTGCTGGGGATCTTGAACGTCGCAGTGGCCTTGCTCGGGTCGGCGTACCCCTTGAAGTCGGCATACGAGGTCTGGTTGTAGTTGATGGTGTTGGTATCGACGTTGCCCTTGACTAGGTCCCACCAGAATGTGTGGGACTCAGCGACGACCGCGGTGGCATTCTTGGCGTCCTGGTACCATTCGCCAACGATGGGGATGACATCGTCTCCGCGAGCGACTTTGTAGTACTGCGCCGTCAGCTCAGGTCTTGATCAGCAGAGAGGTCGCAGCTCACAGTCCACCAGTCACGGTAAGCGGCGATAGTACCGGGCCTATAGCGCTCAACGTCAAGGTAGTCTGCGTATATCAGCCCTAGGTCCCTGAGCAGCGGAAGACGACTCACCATTGACGAGGGCAGCCAGGGGGTCTTTGATATCGATAGCAAGCACCTTCCAATCGGTCTCGTCGCCCTGAACAAATCAGCTACTGGATTCTGGTTCACTGCGCGCTACTTCTGACTCACATCGTTCACAGCCAAAGCTCCGAGAATCTTGACTTGCTTGATCTGACCAGTGTAGCCTAGACTGAGCCGTCAGCATCCTGCCTCCGGCACGCAGCTCTACCAGTAACTCACTCTTGTCCGATATCGAACAGATCCATCGGGTCGTTATCACCCGGGAATCCAGTGAACGAGTGATTGAAGTTCGGGCTTTCCCACGTCTGCGGGATAGAACCATAGTGGAACGGGTACGACTTGTGGGGCCAGACGCTCTCGACGAAGCGGGGCAGGTCGTTCCGGTCATCGTGGAAGATAGGGTCTGGACATCAGTCACCGGTTCGCCTATGAGCCGAGATGAGACAAAGAACTCACTTAGCGGCTCTTGCCTCCTGATCTCAATCTTGGCATCCTCCCACCGAGGCACCTCGACGACAAAATTGACAATCTGCTTGTTCTTCTCGTCCGGGTAGAGAGGGACGTCGTGCCAGAATGAGGCGGGCTGCCCGTTTTTCTCCAGCCATACTCTCCAATCCTGGATCTGTCAGCACAGTCAGGTATTGGCAGGTGGCGTACAGACTGACCAGAGTGTTTCGAGCGCCTACGGTGCGCAGACTGTATGGGCTGGAGCCAGCTCCGTCGTTGGCCCGCTTAGGGATGGACACGGCAGCCGCGAGAACAGGAGCGGTGAGAACGATGAGAGAGCCGAGCATAGTGGTCAGAGTCAAGAGTGAGGAATATCCGTGACGGTCATCAGCTACCGGCGCGGAGCCTTTATATCAGAACTTTGATTGTCTCACGCAGTATTTCCCCCTCGGTAGACCGACCCATACCGACCGCCAAAAAGGGCATGCTAAGCTCACTTGGCCGTCCAATTGATCGCGAGGCCAGCCGAGGGTGCGAATAGCTGGCCATTCTCAATAGGTCAGATCAGCGCCAGGAGCGAACGTTGCATTGCCGCCAAGCTTTTGGTCGAGCACGTGTTTCGGTGTGGACTTCCGCGACCATGCTCACGCCGCTCGCCGTGGAGTCTGTCGTCGTGTGCTTCAGCCCCGCACTAGATGCTCTTCTGTCTATATGTGTATGAAAGGTTTGCTGTGCTTGCGTCGTATCGGCGTAGTACTTTGATGTTTAGGGTCATAAGATCAACGTTCCTGCTGCAACTCTCGTTGCGTGGGCGGAATATCCCTTGCCGTGTTCCGCGGATGGTAGTTCGGCGGTTCCGGTTCGCCGCGGAGGTCCCGCGGAGCTGTTGCCGGTCCTCAGTCGCGCCGATTCTCGACGGCTGGGAAAGCTCCTACAACTGCTCAACATCATCGATGATCGTCCGGCCTTCGATGGTATATATATGACAGCTGACCCCTTCGTCAAACTCACATAAAGCTTCTCTCCTGACCGAGCTCACCCTTCCCCTCATGTCAGCCAAAGCCGCTACTCAGGTCACTCTCCTCGGCTCAACAGGCCTCGTTGGCTCGTCCGCCTTGCGCTACATGCTCTCATCAAGCAATTATGCCTACAGCTTGACCACCATCACCCGCTCTACTCCTCATACAGTTTCTTGTGCGAACGCTTCCACGACACACAGTAACAGGGCGGTATCCGACATTGCGGAAGCCGTAAAGGGGTCCGTAGGATCTCCTGGCGGGGTGTACATCACTGCACTCGGGACTACGCGTCGTAAAGCTGGCGGAGTGGCTGCTCAGCGAGCTATTGATGTGGATCTGAACAAACAGCTGGCAGCGAAAGCACGAGAAGACGGGTCAACTTATGTAAGTTCCTATAACGATGAGCCTAACGATGGTAGGTCATCCTCGTCTCATCCGCAGGCGCCGATGCTAAGTCGTCTGGTGCATATCCGCAAATGAAAGGCGAGCTGGAAGAATCCATCAAGGGCATGGGGTTCGAGAAGACCGTCATTCTCCGCCCCGGCTTCCTGCTTGGGGACAGGTGAGACACTTGTTGCTGCCGCTTCTCTGCCGAGCCTGAAGCTGAGTCGCAGACCCGGAATCAGTATGGGCGAAGCTTTCGGTCAGAAGCTGTTCTACGGGTTCAGACGAGTAGGACTCCCGGTCAAGGGAGTTTGCATCGACTCTGACGAGTAAGTGCATTGCGTGATAGCCGGCAGCGTGATAGCTGACATGACAGTGTCGGCGCCGCTATCGCGTACCTGGTCCATCATCCACCTACCGAATCTGTTTCCACCATCGTCAACACAGAAATCGCAGCGCTTGCGCAGCAATGGCGCGGAGACGCATAGCCCTCATCGGACGCACGGACTAGCTCTTGGTTGGATCTTGAAAGGCGCACAAGCTCAAATACCAACCAAATACTGCCTTAGATGAAGCGTTGTAACTTCGCATCTTGTGACCCGTCTTCTCGCTCCTACAGTTCATCGCGCATATAATCTGCTCGTCTCGTCTCGCACTCTGCCGGTAATCTCAGCCCCTTACAGAAATCGACCTGGAGTAAAGATCTCCTACACAAGGCATAACATCCACATTAGTAAAGATGTTCGTTGCTCTCCTCGCTGTGTGAAAGAGCACTCACTGATGACTTTCAGTCGTCATGGCGTCCGCAGAGACCCCTAATGTACCTACTACCGAGGCTCTCGCTCTATCGGCCTCTGTATTCGCGTCCTCCGTCTCCTCCTGGCTCCCCGCCAACTTTGGGCACAAGGTCCCCGCCGCCGACGCCGAGAAGGAGTGGCAGGCGCTCCTCCGGTCTGCCGGCGAAGGAAAGGACCGACTAGGCCTTGGACATCCAGCGCTAAATGCCCCGAAGGTCGGAGGTGGAGGATATAAGGGCGGATTGCAGGGATTGGAGCGGAGTCTGAAGAATGGGAAACGGCGGCAAGGGGAAGAAGAGAAGGAGCGGGGAGGTAAACCCTCTGCGGATGCACAGGGGGATGAGGTGGAATCGGAGGAGGAGGAAAGTAGGGCGAGTATGGTGGGGAAGCGGAAGCGGCAGGGAATGGTCGACCCGTTGGGCGGGAAGAAGAAGAAGAAGGCCGCGGCGACGGGGACAGGGACCAACGGGGCGGCGGTCGCGACCAGCGGGGAGACTTCTGCACAAGCAAGTCCTGCTATGGCCGAGACCGCTCAAGCCAATGAGGCCACGCCGGCGCCCACCACGGACAAACAAGTCGAACAAGTCGAGGCCGCACCCGCAACTCCCGCCAAGACACCATCCAAAGCCAACCCCAATTCTCCCGTCAACACAAAGGACACTCCCAAACCCTCGACCATCGCATCATTGGCCTCTTGTCCTCTCCCATCGGACTCCCAACAAGTCAACCCATCTGCCCAAAACTCCCCCGTCAAATCCAAATCGGCGATCAAGCGGGAAAAGAAGAAGCTGGCCAAGGCGAGGAAGGCGCTGGAGCAGGAGCAGCAGTCCTCGCTGTCGTGATCTGACATCCATGCGGACTCAGTAGCCCCTTCTCATCAGGGTGCTCGGACCCGGTGGGACGGCCACTCCGCTGATCTACTCGGCTGTCGCGGCCCTGGGCGTCCGGCGATATGAGTGGACAGGTGGGGAAAGCCGCAAGCTGGGGAGTTTAGACCGCGGGGCAAGCAATACGGACAAGTTGTACCTCAGATAGTATACCCCATCCACGCCAGCCACAACACCATTTATCTACTCGTAGGATCAGATCTCCACAAGACGTAAGAGCTACATGCATACATCCGCCTGATAAGGGAGCAGCTAATTCAAGCGTAAAATATGGCCTACCAAATCGTCCTGAGATTATCATACAACAACGACCCCTTCCGTACCAAGTAATCAAGACGCTACCTCGCCCCACCTTGACCAAGCATCACCCCCTGTCTGAAGCTCGCACCGATCATCTCTTCCCTCTCCATCCGGTCCAGACTGCTCTCCCCACCTCTTCGTTTCGCTGCCCCCTCCTCCTCCGCGTCCATCCCCTTCTTTGCGCCCTCCCCTGCTATATTCTCCAAGAAGCTGATGAAGCCTCCTCCACCCCCTGTGATCGAGCTTGACAGGGTACCGACCGGTGCTTGGGCAGTACCCCGCTTATTCGGCGAGGCCGAAGCCGAGATTGGTTTCGCCGCCGAGGTCGATGTGGAGCGATTGAGGGGTTCCCTGACCTCCTTGGATCCGGACGAGGTGGTTCGGTGTGGCTGTGCCGGGGGAGGTGGGGGCGGAGGCATATCCATAGGATTGACAGGCGAGACGTCCGACTTGGCCCAGTAAAGCCTCCTCCCCAGTCCCGCCAGAAGACCGCCCGTATATCCTCCTTGACGCGCTACTGCCGCACCCAACTCCGCGGGAGGCGCAGAGGGCATCATCTCGCTCGTGGCCGCATGGCTAACGTATGTTGAGCGAATAGAGCTGTCGCTCAACCCCCGAGGCCGTAATGTCCGCGTGAGCAATTGTTGCTGGAATGGCAGGTCGTGCGTCGTGTCATCCATGCCCTGCCCGTCGTCACCTTGACTGTTGTCAATGACGGCGTCGACGACCGCGGAGAGGCGTTTCCGCTGCGTTGTACCGTCCCGAGCGCGGATGGTCCGTTCTGCGCCCGGACCAAAGTACTGGGAGCTCGCTGACCGGAGTTTGGGGGTAGGAGGAGGGATGCCGTCCGAGTCGAGAAGGAGCCATGGGGAACCGGCAGGAGGCATGGGTGGCCGAGGGTTCTGCGCGCCCGCAAAAATCCCCAGCAGCTCATTCCGGTTTGCCCGGGACTTGCTGGGCCGCAGTGTCCCCGGTGGACGTAGAGTACGCGTCGTGCCCGCCATGTCCGCCCTGGTAGATTCGACAGTAGCGACCGAGTTGGCTGAGACTTGCCGACTCCGATCCCCAGGCGGAGCGGTAGGATTTGGGCTCGGCGGGAGAGCATCCACCACACCGGACCCCGACCCCAAGGCAGATGGGGCAAGAGCAGAAGGAGCCGGCGTCGCCCGCCTAGTCATTCCCGCACCTGCAAACTCCACACTGACATGTGTGGTCGTGGCACCGGACACGGCCGCCTGCTTCGAGACCGCCTTGACCGGCACTCCTGCCTGCAACTTCCCTCTATCCCCTCCCCTCACACCTGCCTTATTGTCCGCCACCGGCTCGCTCGCGGGCGTGACAAACAGCCTCGTGATAGGATTGGCTATCCATCCCAGCCCCACCCCGCCTCCTCCAGCCGCAGCAGCCGCCAATGCGGCCTCTTCCGCCTCCTCATCCCTGAACGCCTCCTTCTGCAGCCGTTTGGCCAGTTTCGGCTCCAGCGTCACATCGTTGATGACCGCCTGCATATCCACCAGCTCGGTAAAGACATCCTTCATGAGTTTGAACAGCATATTCCATTCTTTCCGCTGAATACTGTTCGAGTCGAGCATCCCGCGGAAGAGGTTCTTCGTCTCGGCGATCTCGGTATGGAGCGCCCGGAGGGTCGATCGGGAGAGATGCGAGACGTCGCCCGAGAGGTGTTGCTTTTTGAGCCGGCGATTGAGGGTGGGGATGTCTGCTGCGCGGAGCCGGCCGAGCAGTTTCGAGAGGTGTTCGACAAAGATCATGAGTGGACCTTGGACCGGTGGATGGAGGGAAGACGTCTCCGACCGGTCGTCCGGCCGCGGTGATGTTCCGGTAGAAGCGACGGATGGGGGAGCTGGAGGTCCATCCATGTAGTCCGACGTGGGTATCCTGACAGTACCTACGTCAAACTCGGTCGGGTCCGTCTGCGTCCCTTTTGACTTGGTCAGGAGAAGCAATGTCCGCCGATGCGCCGCTTTCGCCGGGCTGGGCTTAGCAGGCAACGCCGTCCCCACCTCTCCCTCGCTCCGGGGCGAAGTGAGATCGGCCAGACCTCCATCTACGAGGGTGCGAGAGGCGGTAGAGCTATAGTCGGCCGACTCGTGCGGTGAGGCAGAGTGATGCCGCTGAAGCATGAGCGAGCGGCGTTTCCGGCTGACATCCGCCGCGCGGAAGTACTCGGATGCAGGGGAGATGGGCTCGTCCGTTGTGTGTCCGACGTCCGACTCGAGGGGTGCGCTCTCTGCGATGGAGCCGACGCCCTGAGACTGATGATCAGCTGGCAGTCCCCGATATCGCCGGGTGGAGCAACTCACTGTATAGCTTCTGGATGGCATCTGAGGCCTATCACTCGCTCTGCGCCTATACTGGGGCTTGACCGCCCCCATCTTTGGCACTCCATTTAACACGTACCCTATCCCGCCACTCGGACTCGTCCTGAATGCGCCTCCCTGAGGACTTTCTCGCCCGTCCGTCGCTTGCAAAGGCGGACTGAGCACTCCATCCCTCAAGAGCGCGCCGCCAAACTCCCCAATGGACCCCAGACCCAGTCCGGGTGAGGTGAGACCCCCATCCGCTGTCGAGGTCGAAGCAAAGGACGGAGCGAACGACGAGCGACGATTATGATCCCATCGCATCGAGCTCGAGACCGACATCCTGGCCCAGGTGGACCGGTCGAACGCTCCGACCGTAGGAGATGACTCGGTCCGCGAGTGATTCCCCTGCCGAAGCTCCGCCGCGAGATGTGGAGGGACGCCCGGCGAGACCCGCCCGGCCACTCCATTGACTGCGCGCAGCTCATCATTCTCCTCCCGCAGCGACCGGACGTCATCCTTCGACTCTGCGAGTAGATGCGATAGCTCCGAGACATCGTGCTTGAGCATAGCATTCGACGCTACGAGTCCCTCCAGCGCGCGGAGGTATTCCGGCTGTTCGGCCGGTGAGTCGGCTCGAAAAGTGGACGAGAGCTGCTCGTGCAGGTTCTCGAGGCGTGATTTGGCGTTGTCGAGGAGTACCTCTGCGTCCCGCGTTCGAGCTTCTTTGATCTCCTCAATCTCCCGCTGTGCAGCCCGGAGCTGTTGCTCCAGCTCGGCAATACGGAGCTCGGCCCGACTCCGCTTGCGTATCTCCTCCTTCCCCGCTCGTTCCGCCGCGATCTGCATCTCCCGCGCTTCCTCGTACCGTCTCTCGGCGTCTGACAGGCGCTCTTCCACCCCGGCACCGGAAGCAAGAGCGATGGACTGGCGTTGCATCGTGTTTCGTAAAGTGGTGAGCTCGGTGCGAACGTGGGTGAGCGATTGCTGCGTGAGGTTTTGGGTATGAAGAGATTGGGTGTAGCGCTATATGATCAGCCATTGAGGTCTTTCACAGTCGGTTTGCGCTTACCTTCTCCAAAGCCTCGTGCTTCCTGTTCAAATCTGCGTATTTGCCCAAATGCGTCCCATTCGCCTTTTCCAGCGCGTTAATCCGTCGTATGCTATCGGCCAGAGCAGTCCGCTTGACCTCGAGCTGTCAATCAGCACCTTGATATAGAGATTGAACGAAATGAGATTCGAGATACAAACACAAAGCTTCCTGTCAAGTGCAAGTTTCGGAATGAGATGAAACCGAATGGAGCTAGAGATGATAGAGGGATCTGATGAACCCACCTGATGTTGGAGCCGTTTCACCTCGAAAGCGTGCTTCTTCTCGAGCGCTTCATAGCGATGCAGAAGCGCATTGCCTATCTCTGCCTCCATTCAGCCGAGTCCGCATAATCAGGCAAAGCAAGAACGCACCGCCGCTGAGAATCAATTTCTCAGCCATCCTCTCCCTCCCCTGCGCAGCTTTACATCCTCTCCCATCTACCGCCCCGCAACAACAGACCACCGCCCCGCCCGGTGCGGACGCCTCTTCGGCATCGTTGCTGAGATTCGAGAGCTGTTGCGCCAGTCCCTCGAGCGTCTCGGCCGTGCGTAAGAATGTTGATGCTGACGGAGACAGTCCGATATCGGACGGTGCGGGCGAATGGGCCCGGGTATGACTGTCGAGTTGGTCCTCCGGCGAAGGGGACCGGGACGCCTCAGAGGGGAAGGCAAGGGAGTTGGGAGATGGCGGTGCGCCGTCGTGATCGTTCATCTCATGCTCATTATCGTTAAATAAAGTAGACAAAGCAGCAAGTAACGAGGCTCTTCAAGGTTTGGCTGCTGCACGCGCTGGTGGTGGCGACTTCTGCGCTTGTTGACGGGATGCCGGCATCGTTTCTCCGCAAGTTTCATCGATCATCAGCTCGGACCTGCTCACACGAGCACCAGGGCAGCGGCGGAGAGGCAGCGGGAGGGATCCTGGCGGGGCGAGGAGCCAGAAGCAGACGAAGGCAGAACGCTCATACAATTCATGTATCTGTACACAAGATCTAGGCCCTCGCCTTGCTGATATCGCTCCCGAGGGAGTAGCCCCCTACCTTCTCCCAATCCACCTTCTGCCTGGTCACCGGTAACGCTCGGCGCAAGCTATCGCATCAGCTCAATTCCCGTTAAGGCCAACAGTATACAGTCCGAAGAGCGTGTATGAGCGGACTCACGATCTGAAAACCTTATCTCCCAAATCACCATACACATCCTGCAATTCCATCTGATACGCCGCCTCGACTTTGCTGATCGTGGTGACAATCTGGCTGGCGATGCTCTGCCCAGACACTTCTGATGGGTACGCGAAAGATGCTTTGTGTTGGGTAGTGAGTTGCACCTATGGCTTTAGCGAGCTGGCCGATTCTGAGCCTCGACAAAGACTGGACTGCTCACATTGCCCTGTTCAAAGTAGTGCACATCGACAAGCAGCTTGCCTTCGACTTTAGCGGCGGCTTTATCGACAGTCCAGCATGTCCGCCATCTCCCAGTCCTTATTGTATCAGCTGACCTGATCCCCGCAAAGTCGGGCGAACAACTGACCAGAAAGCGTCCGTCTTGTACCGGTTTCCTACCACTTCCAGGGTGTAGATCGGATTCTCCAGTCGCTCCTGTTGTCGCTCGACTGGCTTCTCCGCCGAGGTCTTGTCCGATGATGTTGAGTCCTCCGGTGCGGTCGCAACAGGTATGCTTTCTTCGCCCGCCACCTCGACGACCTCTGGCGTTTCCTTCGGACCATCCGGTGATTCTGCCGATGAATCGGATTCTCCAGCCGTCTCATTCTCAGCAGGTGCCTCCCCGTCTTCTGCCTGCTTGACCTCCTCGACTGCCTCATCCACCTTCTCCAGTCCTCCCGGTTGATCCACCTCCCCCGTCTTTGCTACCTCCGCTCCCACCGCAGGCGTAGGCGCAGGCTCGCTGGACCCTGCGCCGACCTGCTCGGGTATGACGTCCGTAACGATATCATCCGTCTCGGCCATCTTTGCTGGTGTTGCGCCCTCCATAATCACGTCGTCGGTAGGCGGTTGCGGAGTAGCCGGCTCTGGTGAGGGTGCAGCCTCAGGCTCGGCCTCTGGAGCTGGTGCAGGCGGTAGAAGTGGGTGCTGCGAGCAATTGACGGAGGATTGACCGGTCGGATAATGGTTCTTAGTATATGCAGCTAATGACTTTGCTAGCTCCGCCCTGGAAGTATCAGCTTGATTAACTACCGATGACCATGGGCAAAGAGAAGCTCACCGGAAGGCCTCTTCCTCCTCTGGCAATTCATACGCTTCATAATCACTCGCGACGACGTTGACATGGTCAAACGTAAAGCTCTGCTTCCCGATAGCATCGATGTACCGCTCGCCGTCGCCTGACGTGCCCGGCAGGATGGCCGCCTCGGACAAGACAGACTATAGGGTCAGCATATGTGCCATATGACTCTCGAATGGATAAGCGTACGGTATGCGCAGGTGCACCTTCTCTGGCGGGATGCTCGACCACCGTGAGTTGAACGAGGTTGTACGCCCTGAGAGCTGGTCCAGCGTGGACCATCAAGGCGTCATCGTCGCCTACGATAGCTCGGATAGCTGTTCGTCAGCTTCGCTCCCTCCTAAGGAAGACGGCAAACTGGGAGCTGACCATTGATCACATCGCTGCGGATCAGCTTCGCTCGACTGCAGTCGGAAAGGGACCCTACTCACTTGACCTCTCCGGGTGGAGACTGCTCTATGAGCTTTGCGCCAAGCTTGGCTCGCTCATCCGATGATAGTTCTGCCATTTTCGCCTGTCTCTGAGCTGCCTAGGACAGTAAAATAGATGTAGAGCTCTGTGCGCGAGATGTATGGTCCGTTATAGCTACCCAGCACAGGAGCTCAGTGCACCAGCGGCATGACGCGCGGGTCCGACCTGGCCACGTGGCGGATTCAGGCACGGTTCAAATCCCCCGGCCCTTGGTCCTCCTCAGACATTTTTCCAAGCTCAGCTGGTCTTGACAATAACAACACCTATCACCTCTTATCCAGCTTAAACTTCTGCCCATACTTACCTTCGCCTGCTCAGCACCCGAACTCCAGGCGCTCTCCTCGATTTACTACCCTCTCCAACTCAAAAACTAGCAGAAATGGGTGGCGGAAACGCGCGTTATCTACCTTCTTGTGAAGGGGCTATGCTGATGCAGTATAGGGCGCAAAGTCAGCCAAGGACCGTGAGAGGAACGCAGCCAAGGGTCCCAAGGCCCCTTCTTCGCAGCTCAAGTCGAATGCTGTAAGCTTACGAGCCCGCACCCGCTTTAAGGCACAGCTGACCTGGTCTAGGCAGCACAGACCTTGAAGTGCGCTATCTGCATGCAGACCTTCCAGATGACCTCGAAGCAGGCTCAGTGAGTGCAGCTCCCTCGTACGCTATCGACTGCTTGCACACGAGCTGACATCGTCAGATTGACGATACATACGGACGCCAAGCACCCCAAGAACACCTTTGACCAGTGCTTCCCCGGCGTAAGTCGCGCTGTGTCAGTCGAAAGGAGCACATGGCTGACCCAGTGCATAGTTTGTTGCTGCTGCCTAGACTCCGCTCCTCCTCCTTATTTGGTTGTCATAGATCTCTCCGTCCTCTCTCGCTGCCCAATCTCGGGCCAACTCCCGGTTTTATCGTGATGCACTACTAGTCCAGTCTGCTCAAGCTTCGCACGCAGCAGACAATTGAGGTGTCCTGTTGATCGCTCTTATCTTATCTTGATGCACCAGAAATAAACACCTTATGCTATTTGATACTGATCTACACGTTACAAAAGCCCTAGCTCAGCACCCCCCCATGACGCTCCTCAATACCCGGCCCTTTCTCGACTAATCACCCCGTTCATCGATCCTTCCCTCTTTTTCCCTTCCCCTTCCCAATCATCTCCCGCCTTGCCGACCCAGCATCGCGGCCCGCTCAGGATTCATCCCTACCCCACCTGGTCTCCCCGGAGGCGGCATCGCCCCATTCTGCGGCGGCATCCCATATCTTCCCCCAAACCCGGCCTGTTGAGGCTGCTGCGGGGGATATCCAGCCGCATAACCATTAGGGTACCCGCCGCTAGGCGTGGCGCCGCCATAGGCCGCCACGGGCGGTCTGGACGGACCTCCATTTTGACCATCTGACGATCAGCTTGTACCTCGCTGGCAGAGAGATATGCAGACTTACAAGGATTTGGCGTCATACCCGGCCGCACAGGCGTTCTCCCCACTCCAGCACCATACGGCGTCGCCCCTCCCTGCGCCGGCGTCCTTCCCATACCCGCTCCAAACGGCGTCGCACCCCCTACAGCCGGCGTCCGTCCACCTGGCGTGCGCCCACCGTGCGCCGGGGTCCTCCCTGCCCGGATACCCGGCGTCTTGCCGCCCGCCCCACCTTCCGCCAGCCGATTCGAGTACTGCGTCTTGAACGCATTACACAGCTCATTCATTCCCGGTACTTCGGCATTGTAAAGGGAGTACGCGCCAGGAAGGAGACGGACGGGCCATGTGGAGATGACACCGCCGTCCTTGGTCGCTTTGTTTAGGAAGAGGAGGGAGAGGTAGCCCGGGTGATCGTGGTCGAGGCAAAAGGCGTACATGGATCGATTGGGGAATGCGAGGAGGGTGTTTTTGAGGAATGATTCTGACGATCAGCTTCATCACATCTGATATAGAGTGAACTGAAAGACTTACCGATCTGATCTGCCGGCTTGAACTTTTCCGACCGTTCCGCCTCCTCCAACATCCTCATGATCGCATTGGCATAATTGACAATCACGTCGTCCAGATCCGTAAAGCTGTATTTCCCAGCTATCCGCAGCATCCGCCCCAAAGCATACTCGTTCGGCTTATCAATCTCCTGGATATCCACGTGCTGGTACACCTTTTCGTCCAGCTTGAACGTCATCGCGAGGTGATCCGCGCCCTTTGAGCTCGGACGGATAACCACCTCCCCTCTCGGCTGGGTAGCGAGGAACTGCTCCGCCTGACCCGAGTTCATGACGTGCCAATTCGGGTGATTGATCACGCGCTTCGCCTTGCCCTGCTGCCGCATCTTCTTAGCAGCCGCGGCCGTTTCGAGTCGTACCCGCTTTGCGTCGTCGTTAAACGGATCACTCGCGAACGGCTGGACGAATGGGACCGACTGGGAGAGGTCCGAGGGCCGGATAGAGATCCGGACTTGGAACCGCTGGGGTTCGACATTGATGACGACCGCGTTGAGGTTTTGACGGGGTTTGAGGACGTCCTCGCACGACGCAATCTCCTGGTCATCTGCGACGTACTCCCGCTCAATGATGGCGTCGATCCCCGATTCGAGGGAACAGAACGCCCGGCTCTGGAGAGCCTTGCGGACCGTAGCCGAGACGCGCAGACCGCGACCGATAGACCGCTCCGTCTCGCCCGTGAGCATCGTCACTACCTCCCACGGCGAGGGCTCGTAGAACGGCGGCCGCCGGTCCGACCGATATGAGATGAGCTCATTGACAATCTCGCCGAGCGCGTGCCGCTTGTTGCCCTCTCCTTGACGTTGGAGGTTGTACGCAAAGTCGTCGAGGTTGAGCTCCGACAGTTTCCGCGACCGGTCATTGTCCGTCATGAGTTTTTGGACCACCTCGGATTTGTGCTGCCCCTCGACATCCTCGACGTCGAGGTCGAGGGCATCTTGGCACATTTTCTGCGCGAATTCGTAGTCTTCCGGGTGGATACGGGTACAGTCGAGCGGATCGGCCTGTTCCTGCGGGTTGGCCTCCTCCAGAATGAGGTTGTCGAGGTCCGACTCGATCGAGAGGAACCCGGCGACGTTTTCGAAGATGGTAGGACCGAAGAGGCCGGATTCGGAGAATTGCAGTCGGTTGAGAAGGGTACCCTGATCATCAGCTTATGCCTGAAAGATGTATCGGCCTTCCAGCTCACCGCTCTCCCGACAGCATGTACCAAAGAGTCCGCCTTCCTTGGCCCCAGACCAGAGATGAATGGCAGCATGGACCGCTGGTACGCGTCCGCGACACACGAGTTGATCTCAATACCCATGGCGCAAACCGAGTTGACCAGCGCCCGTTCCAGGTGGATCAACAGCTTCTCTTGTGAGATCTACTTCGTCAGCTAGTGTTTCTGCCTCTGCAATGCTGCAGATAGGCAACTCACCAGTTTCTGATGATACTCGAAGAACGTGATATCCAACATCCTCCTCCCCAGCTTCGCATACGCATTCAGCGGGTTTTGCACAAACCTCGCCAACGCCAAAGCATACCGCCCATTCAGCGGCAAGCCCGGATGCTCCTTCCCCGCCTCCTCGCTGCTCATATACATCCTCGCCGTCGCGTCATTCGGCATGATCAACGGCGTACTGAACGGCCGGATGCGCTCATCAAAGTGACTCAGCGCCTGGGTGAACTCCTCGTGGCTCGGGAACGTGTCGGATACAGGTGGATTCTCGCCAGAGAGGTTGACGGCGATTTCCCGGAGAACGCTCGTCACCTCCTCTTTGAGCCGGTGGGTCTGGGCGGAGAGACCGCCGATGGCGCAGACTTTGGGTTTACGGCGCTCAATGAGCTCCATGAATGCCTCGCGGTCATCTTCGTCCTTGAGATTGTCGAATTTCGTTTGGGTCAAGATGACACCATTGTCGTCTAGCATGATGGCGATCACGGCGTCCCGGATATCGCCTTGGCCGTTGGTGAGCGCGAGGACGGAGGGGGTGTCGCCTGACTCCATGTTGGGTCCGCAGTATGGCTTGACGTTGATTCTCTATCTCGATCAGCTTTACCCTCACATCCCATGGCGGGTTTGACACTCACAAATTCTAGCTCCCGCCTGCAATGCTCCGCCACATAGTCCTCCGCCTGACCCTTCAGATACTCCTTCACCCACTTGCTCCCCATAGGTATCAAGTGATTCTTGACCACATCCCGGCACACCTCCTTCCGTAACTCGTTCCAGCTTGATGCAATCTCCCCGTAGTCGGTCGAGACGCAGCACCGCTCGAGCGCGCCCGAGAATGCGTCGACTTGCGCATCGGCGACGTTGATGGAGATAGTGATGAGCCCTTCTTCTTCCGCTTTCAGGATGTGGAGCCATTGTGGGGATCCAGCGAAGCTGTTGGCGGGTTTGTTGGTGAGGAACTTGAAGGTCTGTGATGTCAGCTTGGATCACAGGGACGAAGTGAAAGCGGTAGCTCACGTAGTAGGTATGCCATAGGTCGATAACGGTCATACCCCTATCGGTTGGGTTGATCGTCACGTCTGCGCATTCCTTGACGAACTCTCGCGCTTGAAGTCGGATCGTCGGATCTTTTGCAAACTCGCTGACAATGAGTGAACTCGCAGCTACTCGAGTCAGCTGGTTGCCGTACCGACCCGTGCAGACAACCCAACATACCCTTCAACGCATCTCCTCCACTCAAGAACGGCGTCCCAGTCCCCGCAAACTCCTCCGCGAGATCCAGCGGCGCCTGATCGGCATCCTGCGGTGGACGCACCACCCCGTCCGAGTCGTTGAAGCTGACCGCCACCGTAGGCACGTGGATCCCAAACGCCTTGACGAGGGTCATGATCGGTCCGACGCGGAGATCGTCCTGGGCCATCCGTTCCGGTAATCGCTTCGATCCCTCCGCTACCGCCTCTTCCTCCTTGATCTCCCTGATAACCCGTGCGTAGTGGTACGCCAACCACTCGATGCCCTCCGCGGCCGACTCGATGCCCAGCATACACACCGACTCCAGCAGTGTCTGGGTGAGGTACTGATCTTCCACCTCTGGCCGCCTTTCCTGTATCTTCCGCCATGTCTCCCGCACCTGCTGCGTCCGCTCGTATACCGCCCGGAACTTGATGCCCAGGTTGTAGAGTGACCAGAGCTCGTCCCTCTCCAAGAACTGTACCGAGCTCTGCCCCTCATTCTCCAGCAGACTGATGACATCCCGCTTGTAGTGCCAGATATAAGGCACCTCGAGATGTTGGACGAACATCATGTTGAGCGCGGTCGATACGGCCTTGATGAACTCGGCAGAGAGGTCCGGACGGCGGTACGGCGCCTGTTCGTACATGGAGGGGTAAGAACCGTCCTGATGCATCCCGCAGAAGATGTACTGGGTCCGAGTGGATATCTTGTTGTGCGCGTAACCGGCGGCGAGATCGGGTGGGGGATAGAGGGAGTCGGGGGCGATGACGGGATTATCAGAGAGGGTGGAGTTCATGAGTTGATGCCGTTCCGGCCGGTCGAGGGAGGCGATGGTCTTGTCCTCGTCCTGCAGCCGCCGTGCTTTGATTTCGGACGGGTCAAAGACATCCTCCAACCGAAGATCCTTCTTGGCAGGGTCGATATCGTCCGGGTCCTGCTGACCGTCCTCTCCCTCCAGCGCCCAGTCATAGTCTTCTCCCGCGCCGAATACCTCGAAGATCTCGTCCCATGACCTGGATGTCAGCTTGTATTCCCGCCGATAGAGGAGCCGACTCACCCCTTATCCACCCCAGCGACATCCGGGCGGCGCTTGGCCTGTTCGCGCCTGATCGCCTTCTCCTCCCTCTTCCTCTGCCTCCGCTGATCCTCCGTCTCCCCCGGAGGTGCCGCCTCCTCATCCTCCTCGATGAAGTCTCCGAGGTCATCATCATCCTCATCCAGCCTCTCCTCGTCGTCCGCAAACATATTCCGTAGATCCAGTCTCGGCTCATCATCATCACCCTCGCTCCCTGAACGCCTCCTCAGCCGCTTCAGGGGCCGCGACGTGCTAGGCCCCCCGATTCCCCGGTTCTCATTGATGAGTTCCAGTTCATCCTCACTGAGCTCCGCCCCTCGTTCCTTGCGCTTCTGACGCCGTTTATTCCGCTTCTCCGCCTTCTTTCTCGCTCGCCGCTCCTCCTTGGTCTCCTTCTTGCCATCACCGTCTACATCCCCGTCATCATCGTCGTCCTCGCCTTCGACGATGAAGCCCTCGGCGATCCGGCGGGCCTCCTCGGGATCATCCTCGGACTCCTCGGATGAGTCGTGCTCGCCGTGCGGCCGGATCTCGTCGCCTGAGCCCTCGTCGGGCGAGCCTGATCTGTCGGACATGGCTGACGGTTCTTCCGGAGTAGTAGGCTGACGAGTGGACTGCTGTATAGTGCTTGTTTGTTGCTTGACCTTTGCTTGAAAGGCAAAGAGGAAATAGAGAGCTTGTGGTGGTGGTCGTTGAGAGCGGAGGCACGAGCGGCGATTGCCGAAGAGGTTTCAGCCTAAGTAGGGGGCATAACTACAATCTATTCTCTTACCACCTATTCATCCCGCAGCCATGCTGAGGGCCATGGTATATCTATGCATTGGGAGCAGCACTACAGCAGACATTGTGCAGAGCCTCAGCAGCCTCAGAATGGCGTGGAATGGACATGCCATGAGCGGCCGCTATCCGAGTGAGTGCCACTCATGATATTGGTCCGGTCGGTCGGGCACAAGTGGCGATTCGCCACCGGCATAAAGCATGGAACGATCACGGGCTTCTATCCGAGAGCGGTGCGTCTTACTCGGCATGAATGTTTCAAGAAGCTGCTCAGACAACCGAAAGACAGCGAATGCATAGTCACCATCTACAATCATCGTGAACATCTATAAACATGCCGACCATCTGAACAAAGCTATCCAAAAAATCAAGTTCCAGCCGAGCAACTATCGAACCCTCACATCCCGCCTGAAGCGCAAGCACTGGTGGTTCCCTCCTTCGCAGCTTCGATGAGAGATCGCCTGTCAGCGCGTACCTTGGCCAAGTGATCCGATACCTTCATCACGCGATCTTGATAGTCGCTGTAGTATGCGATGAAGGAATTCAGCATGTCCAAAGTTGGTGGTAGGAGGGACTGCACGCCGGCCGACAGGTATCCTTTGGCCGACAGTGGCTCGATATCTCCGACCTCATCAGAGCCGACGCTGATACCCTTGGGACCGATTGAGACATTCCGGACTCGGCCAAAGTGATAGTCGAGGTTCTCCTTGAGAGTGAGGAATGTCGACTGCGAGTGCTTGACCGCCTCGAAGTTGCTTTCCATGACAGCTGGAAAGGTGCGGTTTTGGAGATCGAATTTGAACATCCCCTGGAGTCCCCCATGCAGATTGCCGGGCTCCGACTTCTCCTGCATCTCGCTAGGGCGAGTCGAAAGCGCGGCGATCTTGTCCGCGTAGAGCGGCTTGCCATGCGTCTTCCCATGGCCATGCTGTGCGCATGTCTTTGATCCGAGACTTGCCCCCGCAACCCACCTCGAAAGCTCTGTCTGACATCGTAGGATATCGTTCGTGCTTTCTGCCACCCGAGAGGCATCCTCGAGCAGGTCAGAGAGAAGACACAGGAGTTTGCACATCGACTCGCGGGTGTCATGCACCATGAAGGCCCAGTTACCGACTTGCTTGTTCACTTCGCTTGGGTCGGGTATACTGACATTGCCCTGAGTCGTGTCACCTTCCCATACGGTAAGATTGGTGTCGAGCTTCTGCCAGGCAGTCAGTGCAGCCCCCATCCGCTTGATGGCCGCGTCAGAGAAGCTCTGCAGATCCGTTTGCAGCAGAATGAGCCAATCCTTCGCTCGCGCATACTCTGAGTCCACGGGAGTGGGCGCGAAGTCTTTGGTAGACGTTGCAGCCTCGACAGACTGAGTTTCCGGCTGGAAGTCCCCGGGCATGTCGGTGTCGGCCGTGGTCTGCGACATATTGATGATCAGTGTTGTGCCCGCGTAGGAGAGTATGAAGTATGGTTGTAGAAGGGGAGGGCGGGATGGGCGGCGCTTTCGACTCTACTCGAATCGCACGGCTGTGAGTATGTACCATCCCTTCAAGTCAGCCCCGTGAGCGAGTCCTCGCAGCCGTCTGGGACAAATACTGATAAGCAACATAAAGGGAGCTCATCTTCGCCACCCATCGCAGAGAATGCCACGTGATAGGACGTGCCATGTACGGAGCAAATGTCAGCTAGCGTCCGCTATCTGTTCATCTCGGTGTCGAAGAAGGGGTCTCCTGACTCCTTCGAGCAGCGTACCGGTGCTTGCGATGAGTATTCGGCCACTCTGCAAAATCGGGTTGCGGCGAGTCAATTTATCAAACCTTGCCTCGTTCCAGAGAGACAGCGATGGAGCCCAGAGAACGGTGATCATCCGATGTGTCCAAGATGTGAGGGTATCGTAGTCAGCAGCATGCACACTGTACTGAGTCTGGCTCAAAGTGAGTTATATCAGCCGGTAGAACCATGCATACCATGTAAGCCTAGAAAACGAAGTCCTCCACCTTCCACTTCCCAAAGTCTTGCCCATACGCCATAGCCGCCATCCCCGGCTTCGGCACGCCGATATGATTCGCCTTCTTCCCTCCCGCCCCACTCGCATCGACGCTCCGCTCCATCCGCTGACTATCCTTCTTCGCCTTGAGCTCCGCCCGCCGCCTCTCTTCCCGCTTCGACAGCGTCAACAGCGCGTCCACCGGGGCGCGGAGCTGCCGGATCTCCGCCTGAAGAGTGAGAAGAGGGGTGAGGGACGCCGCGAGTGATTCGAGGAGAGGTGCGGCGGGGTCGTGTTCGACGAGTAGGGGTAGATGGGAGTCGAGGAGGAGGCTGGAGTGGGCGAGCACAGAGTCCAGAGAGGGGATGGAGGTGGATGATGTCTTCACAGCGGCCGAGTCGGGCCAGCCGAGGCCTTCTGTCCGGTTGTCGCACCATTCAGAAGCCCATTTGACCAGTTGGCCGAGGAGCTGAGTAGCCTCTTCGGCCGAGATCTGCCGCCGCAGCTCGAATCGGAAGTCAATGGCGGGAGGGGAGAGAGACAGGAAGTCCGAGTAGATTTGCTCGAGATGACCGTCCGTGATCGCCCGTTTGAGGAGGGCGACCAACGTAGATGAGGGGATGGTTTTGCTGTTCCGCAACAGTCTGCGCGCAGATGACCATTCTGCCTCCCCCATGTCGCCCTCGAGCAGGTTTGCGAGCTCGCCCTCCCCTGCCCTCTTGCTGCTGGCCGCAGACTTGGCGACTTCCGCTACATTCCCCTTGCCACCCTTCCCGGCCTTTGGCTCCGCCAGGTACCGTGCCGTCCGCTCTTGCGATCCCAAAAGCAGATTCATCCCGAACCCCTTCTCCGGTACCACCAGCTCGCAGGTATACACCACCGACCGCCCGCCCTTATCGGCATGCTTGTGCCATACGACGAATGCGACGGTCCATGTTGATGACGAAGGTGATTTGCCGAGGAGGCTGAGTTCCGAGATGACACCCTCGGTCGAGAAGGCCGAGACATCGCTGTCTACGAGTACGATCGGTGCGTCGGAGCCAGCGAGGCTGAGGAGAAGGGTAGAGGAAGGTTGCGAAGCCGTGTGCATAATGAGAGGTTTTGGAGAGGGGATGGATGTGAGCGCCGACGAGTCGTTGCGGAAGGATATGGGGTTGGAGGTGGTATCCGAGACGGGTTGTCTGAGATTTTCGGTGTGGAAGAGATCAGCGGAGTCTGTTTGTCAGCCGACAGTCTGGGGGATTTATCTCGAGCATAACTCGCCAATAGAGGTGACCGTCCCGTCCTCAGCAATATCCGCAGCGACAAACTTTGCCCCGTGCTTTCCTATTCGAGACTCGGACGTCAAGGTTGCCGAGCATAAGCCGTCCTCGGGAAGACCGATTCGTATGGACCAGATCCGACCATCGCTTCCGACGAGCACGAGGCCTACTGATTGCTCAGTCGCAGTCATGACCTTGCTGGCGATGATTTCGCCAGTAGCGGCCGTATGGGATAGGGCGGTGATCTGGTCCGCCGAGTCGAGGAGGAAGAGATTGCCGTCTGATGCGACGGCGAGAACGGGATGCCTTGGGGACGTCAGATGATGCAGCTGCTGTAGTGGATGTCCGGCCTAAGGATTTAGCTTAGTTTCGCAGCGATGCAGCAGAAGACTCACCTGTATGATGCTCTTCTCCTCATCTTCACCTCTCCAACACCATATCTCCGATGTCTGCCTCCCCCGCTTTCCCTTCGTCGCACTCTGGACTCCGACCAATGAGGTACGCCTAGGTCCAGATTCTGGCTCCTCGGAGTCGACCGAAGAGCTCATCTCCTCGTCCTCGTCTTGAGGCTGAGCCTTGGCCTTGCCCTTTTCCGGGAATGCGGAGGGCGGAGGTAAGAAGCTGAGGGGCTGGGTGGTGAAAACCGTTGAAGGTGGGACTGAGTACGATGTAGTCGGTCGCAAAGTCTTCAGCTACACTCTGTTAGCTCCGGCACTTCTCCATGATGGCACTGTGTACCCACATCATATGTCCACACTCCATCGCCCTGGACAGCAAGCACCGCGAGCTCGCCCTGGCTCCCGTAGACTGGAGCGAGCGACACATGTCGGTCTTTCGAGGAGGATGCGTGCGACGATTGGTACGTTGCCAGCAGTGTGGGAGCTGATATGCTGGCCATTATGGAGAGAGTATGGATAGAGTAGCTATGGATGCAGGTTGTAGACTGAAAGATGGCCGTTGCGGCGAAGAAATCTTTGGGTGGGCAAGGCCCTTTACGTAACGGGACCTCCACCTCGCGATTTCTCATACCCGCGCTCTGATCTCTGAGCTCCATATGTCATAGTCCACTTGAGCATACTACAGCTGGAGCATCACCCTGTTACTATGGCGTCTAGGGCGGGCCGAGCCTTCTGGGGAAGAGAAGCAGGGAGGGAAGCTTTGTGAGTATCCGCGACGGCAAGGTCGACAGCAGCTGATCGGGTACAGCCGTATCCTCGCTTGGATCCCAGTCGGTGTCTTCTTTACTCGGCACATCTACTCGCTAGCTACAGTCACTGGCGGGAGCATGCAGGTCAGCTATTGGTACTACAGCTTCGGGCCTGGCTGATGACACAGCCGACTTTCAACCCAGATTTAGCCGGGTCTCCGCTACACCACGACGTCGTTTTGCTGGAACGATGGAGCGTGGCTTTGAACAGATTCAAGCGCGGCGACGTGGTCACGTTATGGTGGGTACTAAGATCATTGATGAGCACGTAGCTGATCTAGAAGGTCCCCTCAGAACCCAGATCTACTCACTACTAAACGAATAATAGCCTTGGAAGGGGACCTAGTAAGCCGCCTCGATCGCGTTGACCTGGCAAGCAAGTGTGGCCAGCTGACCTACGAGGTATATCCATTACCACCCTCACCTACCACACCCATAAGGATACCAGCAGGTCATTGCTGGGTTGAGGGTGACTCCGCATATCAGACCCGGGACTCAAATACGTATGGACCGGTAAGTGCCTTGCCCCACCGGGTGAAAAGCGCATTGCAAGCTGACCAAGACAAGGTACCGCTCGCTCTTATCACGTCCAAGGTGGCGTATATAGCCTGGCCATGGGGCCGGCGCGGACTAGTCGCGAATGGACTTGCCAAGGCGAAAGGAAGGGTCAGGCGTTTGGGTGGATCCGTCCCTTGAGATCGCCCGGCCAGTGTCAAGAGCTCCAAGAAGCCGCTCTCGGAGGTCCCCTCCCGCACATCAGGTGTCTATGAGCCAACGCAAGAACATTGGAGCTGTATGCTGTGTGAGTCGTATCTAGCCCGGCTCCTTTCGCTGCTGATGTCGGCAGGCGCAGCTGCTACCCCTGTGGTACGAGGAGCCGTCATCGCGGAGGGGCATCTGCCCTCAGGTTTGAAGTAGATTGGCCAGGATTGGTGACAACAGTAATGAGTTCGACTGCCCATATCTAAGCTGCTCACTGAACCAAAACCCTGACGCTCTTACCTGGGACGACGCGCATTACGAAGTCACACCGATAGTCCAGACTGGCTTTCGTTTGATGGCGTCATCGGCGAAGCGAAGCCTACGTCCGACTGAAACAAAGGATGATCTTCCCTTGCCACAACACGACACGAACGCCCGCTGAAGTGTCTTGCCTCCCTCCAGTCTGACTCAGTCTTGCAGTATTACTCATCTTCGACAGACATGAGCACAGAAGACACATCTCGCCACACCGCCTCCACTGGGACACCTACCATCGCTGCCGCTGGAGGTCCCAACCTCAGTGCGACCGACGAGTCACAGCTTGTGCCGGCTGTTGACAGCCAGTCCCCCTCGCATGGCTCCTCTGCTGCCTCGATCGCATCCGCTGGCGGATCAGGTGCCAGCAGCCCAGCAACATCTCCATCGTCCCCAGCCACGACTGCGTCTGCAGGCACTGATGGATCCGACGCCCCGACTGAGCCACACCTATCTGGGACTGAAGACGGTACCGAGCTGGTCCGCATGCCGCCTCGTGGACCTCCCCCACCTCCGCCACCGCCAACTCCGGTGGGATGAAGACCGGTGGGGTGAGACACAGGAGACAATCCTCATTCTATAGGTTGGAAGATGCACGGCGGTTCAGTGCGCGTTCTGTGAAATTTGCCACCCATCGGAAGTATCTTCCCATTGAGCGTAACACCACATTCCTTGACAAAGTTTTGCTGCTACTTCGCTCAAAAGCTGCCGAAATATGTATACAAAGCATTCAAACTCGAGGTTCTGGCCCAGCGATGTCAGAACTTTGAAGCAGCGCTCAAAGTGAAGCAGCGCTCAAAGACTTGTCCTGGCCCGAGCAAAATAGCCGTGACTCTCGGGGCGGGGCAAGTTTACTGCTGCCAACGCTCGGAATTACGTCATCTGCCGGCAGCCGGCTGAAGATCTTTAATATGCAGCCAAACTAACAACGTTGATAGTCATACTCTTCTCACCAGCACATCACCACCATGTCACGCCCCAAGTCCAACATCGCCCTCCTTACGGAAGGCGCCGCTTACATCAAGCGCGCCCGAGCGGCCCGACAAGAACAAGTCGACGAAATCAAATTTGACGATGACGCGCGGAAAGAGTGGTTGACGGGATTTTCAAAGCGGAAGAAGGCAAAGGTCGAGGATAGGCGGTCCAGGGCCAAGGAGAGGGACAGGCAGGCGCATGTGGATGAGCGGAGAAAGGTGAGCTTCGCGAGGTACACACGGGCCAGGATGCGGTAGCTGACTAGTCAGATGAGACAAGAGCTGAAGGAGCGGGCGGCGCAAAACGTACGGGATGTCCGAGCGGCCATGGGTCTGGAGGACAAGGCGGCGGGGGAGGAAGATGAAGAGGAAGAGGACGAGACGATGGAGGCTGGACCCTCCAAGCCGCGCCAGGAGGAAGCGGAGTTCTCGGACGAGGACCAACTCGCCACTGTCACCATCACCGAGGACTTCGACCCCTCCTCCCTCCCCACATTCAACCCTCTCCGCTCGTCTACTTCCCCCGACCCAGACCATCCCGCCAAACCTACCCCATCTCGCGCTCCAGTATCCCTCATGCCGGCAAGCTCTGGGCGGGCTCAGGCGAAAGCCAAGAAGGAGAAGGAGAAAGTCAAGGTCAAGAAAGAGCGCGAGAAGGAGCGTAGTAGAAACATGGAGACCAAGGGCGAGAGGAAGAAGGGTAAAGCGATGGAAGCGAAGAAGCGGGGACACAAGGCGACTTTGGCGATTGAGAGGGATGGGAAGTCGAGGGGCAGGGGTGCTGCTACCAAGCGAGGCGGCAAGGGTGGGCGGGGCGGGGCATCAGCTAGGGGCGGCGGGAAAAGGGGAGGAAAGAAGTAGATGCGCCAGTACCGTCTGCTGGAGGTGGTTTTGGAGATGGGAAGGCGTACCATGTATGTATTTGTTGTGTATGGCAAGCCGGCAGTCTGACTAAACTTACCGATCATATCTCTCAAGTGTGGACGGAGACGTCGCTGAATACTGAATTACAAACTAGTCCAACCGCATATCTCTACCCGTAATCCTTTTCTAACGCCCACCCGGGATAAAATGGCCGTGGCGTACAATATGCACCCGACCCCCAACATGGTCAATGTCGTCCAGTCCCGTCCAGGATAGCCGCCACATCTGCGGCAATCTTGTGATATACGATCCTGGAAACAGCAGCAGAGCCGTCTGATGTTGCCTGAACTGTTTATCCCTGTCCCAAGATCCCATCTCATCTCTCTGACATCTCTAATCTATCACTACGCAACATCCCTGCCCTCTCCTCGGCCTCGTCAAAGACTCTTTCTACCCTCGCCGTGCCAGGCGGTCTGTACCCCGCCCTACGCCAGCGCAAAGGCGAAATATGCTCTATGTCATCTCGCAACTTGGCCCAGGCAACTACACCGTCAATACCCTGACTTGTGACCGGATGGCAGAACCTGCTTGACTCACCTTCTAATATAGCCCGCACACCTCCCCCATCATCGGTGTACGACTTGCTTGCCTGTCTTGCGCGAGACCGAGCGGTGACGTAGTACATCGGCACTCCAGCGGACATGAAGACTGCGGTCAGCTCGGGACCGGACTAGATGCGGGGCAGTTACTCACCAAATGCTGCAAAGGCCTCGAGAGGTGCAGCAAAGATGGGCATGAGGAGCAGAAACGCCGCCACCTGAGATATCAGAATCATCCTCGGGTCGGCTCCAGATGATGCTTACTATGCAGAAGGTGATTGGCGTGATGATCCAAGCCTTGTAGGGTCGATTCAGATGTGGCTCCTTCACCCGCAATATTAGCAGACCGAGTACGGTAAGAAGGTAGAACGTCCAGCTAGTGACCGAGAAGAAGTTCAAAAGGGCTACACCGGTCAGCCAGAACATCAGATGAATCCTGAAGTCAACTCACAGCGGAAACCTCCACCAAAGATGACAAAGAAGATCGTAAAGCCGGCTTGTAGAGCCATAGCATTGTCGGGCGTCCGGCGTTTGTGATGCAGATGGGTGAAAAGCTCCGGGAGCTGGTGGTCCCGCGCCGACGCGTAGATCAAGCGGGCGGCTTCGATATCAGCTTTGCCGCTCTACAGCTCGTGTGACATCTAGGCTTACTGGTGTAGAAGCCATTACTGAGGGCGCCGAAACAGCTGATTGCGACCAAGGTGCTGAAAACAACTGCACCAAATCTGCCGATGGTGACACGCCCAAAGTCCAGTGCGACGGTGTTAGACGATGCTACAGTAGCAGGATCGAGTACGACGAAGTAGGATATATTGGCAGCCAAGAACAGACCGAGGACGAGTAGCATGGAGGAGTGGATCGTTCGAGGGAGGTCGCGATCGGGATTATGCATTTCTCCGGCGACGAACTGCTCTTCAGTGTGATTCCCAAGCATATCAACCTTGGATGGCTGGATCCCATTGGCAATCTCCACCTGGGCAGCCAGATATTCGGGGTTTAGAGGAGAGTGAACATAGCTCACATTGCATTGGTCCCATCCGTCAAAAGCCCATAGCCCCGAGTAGAGCGCTAAAGCATAACTGCCTGGATTGGAGGATGTACCTTCAAATAGGGTTGAAGGGGTCAGGGAGGGTCCTGGTCCATTGCGAAGTAGCGAGATCAGGCCGAGAATGAAGACGAAGATGAGCGAGCCGATTTTGACGGTTGTGATCATGACGGAGAAACGAGTGCCCATCGTGCGTGAGACGAGGTTGAGGATTGAGACAAGGATGATGGCGATCACGGCCGTGAGCTATTGAAGTAAGCTCTGGTAAATGAAAGCATTTGTATCGGTCGTTGAGCAGGGACTTACTTTGAAAGACCACTCGGGTACCGGCGACTCTTCATCCCCAGAGATAGCATGGTAGATCATCCTATTCACATATTCTCTTGCATTTCAGCCTGGGTGTCTCGATATACGCATGAGAATTCGACCTACCCAAAGATGAGAGCGATGATGGCGGAGCTACCGGGTTTGAGAGAAGAGACGGCAGACCAGGTATACAGGTAAGACAACATTGGGCCGAACTGCTTGTCAGCTTTTCATCTGTGAGCTTGACACACGGCGGGACCACGTACTGAGTACGCCAGGTATGCTTGAGCCCCTCCAGAGATAGGTATGGCGCATCCAAGCTCGGCGAATGAGCTGTATGTCAGTAGGACCTTGATCGTTTTCGCGGATGAGGCTGACCTTGCCCCCGTCCAAGCCAGAACTCCGCTAAGAACCCAGACGGCTAAACTTGCACCCGCACTTCCTACTTCCGCGACCACCACTCCAGGCGATGAGAAGATCCCAGAGCCGACCTGCATCCCCACGACCAATGCCATCCCGTGCAGAACCCCGACATGCTTCTCATCGTCATGCACCGCGGCCTGTGCCTCCGCGCCCTCCCCGCTCAAGGTCAAAGGCAGCAGACCATCCCGAAAGTCGAAGCCGCCTAGACTGGTGATCGTACTCGAACGATGAGCGCGGGATAGATCAGGCCGCTTGTGCGAATCCTCGTCGTCAACAAATGATTCTGACAATTCGAGCGCGCGGAGGTCCTTTCCTGGCGATCCAGCGGAGCGGGATGCGCCAGCCGAGCGCGACGACGCGATGGAGGAGCTTCGTGTCACCGATGGACGTCCTCCGCGCGTGTAGGACATCGCGTTGCTCGAGCGTAAGGAAGGCAAGACGAAGAAAGGATCAAACTTCAATTATTAATTGCTCTCGAAGGCCCAAGCGAGACATGCCGTTATTTGAGGAATGCGGAGCGGGAATGCCCCCGAGGCAGGCCGAGGAACAGGCCGAGTCACCCTGACTAGCCCGGGTCTTTTTTCCATCAACTGCCCTACCTGACTCCCCCTCTTTTTCATGCGGATCATCCGACCTCTCGAGCCAGAGACATCATGGATCCGCCTCCTTCAATGGGGCGGCCGAGTCCGGCCGGCGGCGTCCAAGTTCCGAAAGCGAGACCTACGTACCGAAGCACAGCCCCGTAAGCTCCACTTATGCCTCAGTGTAGTGAACAAGCCTAATGATACACCAGATGCGCGCGATGCAGAAAGTCAAAGGTGAGGCGCTAGCTTTCAAACACCACACATATCGCTGATGTCAGTAGTTGCGATGCGACTACGGAGGCAAGGTCGGTCAAGCTTGTGTCCGGTGTGGTCAGTTGTGTTTAAGCCACACATAAGACGCGCAGCTGACCTAGGAGATCAAAGCTCGCACGACTGTGAACCTCCGCTCCAAGACCCAAAGCCGGCTCGAGGTACAGGGTCAGTCACTAGAAATTGCAATCTACCGTGTCTGTGAATGAAGCTGACGTACAGGCGAGCTCGTCCGATTTCAGTGTCCAGTGCCAGCGATGGATCCGAATCTGCAGCTACGACCAATGTCTCCTGGGCGCAGCACATACCGGTCGTCGTCGGCGGCGGGATTGTAACCGCAACTGCGGGACCTCAGACCGAAGCGTCGAGTCAAATCACCTCTGACCTGCAGACAATATTCACATACCGTGCGCAAATGGGCAGCAATGTGGAAAAGTCCACCATCACCCCCTTGGGGAATCGCGAGCTATCCCCCGACAGTGTCAGCGATCAAGAACACCCCGCAAAGCGCCTAGAGCCAAATACAGTCGGTCGCATCGCGTCTCAGATGTCCGCATTTGACGATCCCGGTATGTCGCTCATCTTAGTAGTGTGACTGGACTATCCCGCTGATGTCAATACAGTCCATTTAGGCTACGTTCACGAGGCTGAGGCGAACCTGCTCGTCACGCTGTAAGCGGGGACCTCCTCAAGTTGCGACTCAGGCTCACAATCAGCTTTCACGATCACTTGAACCCTCTGATAGCTGTACTGGACAGGCAATGTAAGCTCCAGTCTAGTCAACTCCTGATCGCAGTACACACTGCCTCCATTCTGCGCAATACCTCGCTTCTACTGTACACCGCTGTACTCGCGGCCACAAGCAAGTTCTTCAGGCCGTCAGGCTACATCTCGCTCAACAACCACGCCAAGTCCCTACTCAGCAAGGCAATTGATACAGGGAGCTGCGAGACTGGCGTCGTATTATAATCTATGTGGCCAACCATCTATGTATACCATGGCCTATGTAGGTAGGCGTGCAATCGATGGCCACGCATGGTCTCGACCTCGAGCTTGGCTACCCGCTCCTCGATGTGACAGCCTAACGGACCTCCACTGCCTCCACATCTCTCCACCTCCACCGGCTACCGGTGCCTGAATCGCCGCCCGTATGCCGTCTAACAGCCGACTTTTGCCATACCGCTTGCACTCATGACTCTTCACTTCACAAAGGTATATAACACCTCAACCGCGGCCGAAGATGGATACCTACAGAACCTCAGCGCGCACATCTCTTCACAGTCGCGGCAATCCCGGCAGTCACCATGGACAACAAAGAGACCAGCTTTCCTGAGACTACGCAAAGGTCGGACTCGTTCGTCGGGCAGTCTCTGGCAGCCACCCTGCCCGTGACTGGATCTCGGAGGCGCAGATGGGGCATCCTGGCTGTGCTGATATTGTCCTACTTCATTGATGGTAAGCCGCATGATCAGAACCGCAATTGCGAGTCAAAGTTGACGCGATAGTTGTCTGTTCTTCGGCTTTCTTTGTGTTCACGGGAGAGATCTCAAGAGATTTGGGTATAGTCGTTCAGCAGCAGAGCTGGGTGGTGGTAGGTCTTCCTCTATCAGACCGGAGAGCCGGAGCTGACATTCCGAGACTGCGTATAGCGCTCCTTTCGCAGCCCTCCTGCTCTTCTGGGGGAGGGTATCAGACCTCTACTCGGCCAGACCTGTCTTCATCTACGGCTTCATCGGCTTCGCTACGATCAACCTCATCCTGTCCTTCCTCACCGAGCAATACTCCTTCCTGGTCCTTCGCGCATTCGCAGGCGTTGCTGGTTCCGCCCTCGTCCCTTCTGCCTACCGCTTGATCGCGTCCAACTTTCCCGAGGATGAGAGAGGACGAGCATACACCCTTTATGGCATGACCGGCAGTATCGCCAATGTGCTTGGAGTGATCATCGCCGGTGTCATTGGTGCTATTGAGGGGACTGGTCAGTCCAGGAACTGGAGGTGGTTCTTCCGGATCGTGGCTGCTTTGTCGTGAGTGTACTGATTTTGCAATACGATGTGGGTCCAGCTGATATGCAGGTTTCCGGGCGCTTTACTCGGCTTTCTCTTGATTCCTCCGCAGCCTTCCGCCAAAGAGACTGAGCGCACGTCGCGATGGAAGCGGTTTGACCCCCTCGGCGTATTACTGTGGGTCACATAGCTTATCTCGCTGCTGGTACAATGGCTAACAAAGAAGGATGTTGAGCTCCATTCTCCTCATCATCGTCGGTCTCACGATGGGCGCATCTTACGGTTGGGCGACTGCGTCCTTCCTTGCTCCGATAATCATCGGTATAGTCCTTTTCGTGACCTTCTTCTGGTGGGAGAGCCGATTGGTCGAGGACGTAGCGCTCTTGCCGATGAGCATCTGGCGGATTCCCAACATGATCACGCTCATTGTGTTTGCTCTGGTCATTTTGGGATGGTGGGCGGTCAACTTCATTCCTTTCATAGTGAGTCACATGTACAAGGTGTCCGATCCGAGCTGATGAGACAGGAGCTGTTTGCATACGTGCATGATGACCCGCTTCTCATCGCTGCAGTTCGGACTCTCCCTGAGGGTGTTGCAGCTGGAGCGATCTCTGTCGTTTTACTGTGAGATCTCTTCTTTGCGAGTCATACGAAGCCACGCACTGACAGCGCAGCGTCTGGCCTCAGATCATCGCCAAACCAAAATGGCCAATTGCCTTCGCCATGATCCTCGCTGGCGTAGCTCTCGTGCTCTGGACGCAGGCCACCAGCATCATCGGCGCGGGATACTGGATGTGGGTATTCCCCGGCATGCTCATCGGATCGGCTGGCATGCAAGTTGCCCTTCTTGCTACCATGTAAGTGTTCCCTTATATCTCCGGGATGATGCTGATCTCACAGCGTCGGCGTCATGATCGCTGCGCCACCCGAGAAAGCCGGCGTAGTCGGGGCAACGCTCCAAACCTCGATGCACACCTCGACGGTCATTGCGCTCTCGATACAAGCTGGGCTTCTCACGACCCAGCCGGGCGGCATCGAGAACTACGCCAACATCAGGGCGTCATGGTACTTTGAGCTGGGGTGGGTGGTGGTCTGGCTCATTGGATTTTTGGTCTTTTACCGGCCAGCGCGGAATTCAGCCAAGACGGGTAGTGTAGAGGGCATTGCTTGAAATCCTCGACCATGTAGATATCGATGATGTAGCTGTATAGAAGGTTGCAAGGTCTCGTTGTCGCAGGATTGCACGCAGAAAAGCGGCCAAAGCCGTGACGTCATCGGCCTGAGTCCTCCACCTCGCACTCCCCCACCCTGGTCCCGGGCATGCTCAGTCCTTCGTCATTGAGCTAGTCTTTGACTTATCGTCGGCTCTGCTGCGACATGGACTCGCCTACTGAGCCACAGCCGGGAGGCCTGGAGCTAACACTGCAAGGCACGAAGAGACTGCGCGGATTGGCGTGAGTATGCGTCGTAACCCGCCCGCGCTAAGAATAATGCCTGACTGCCAGATGTACTCGATGTCGAGGCCTGAAGGTGAGGGATCCCTTCGCTGAGTATGGGACGGCACTCAAGAGCTCAAGACGCGAATACTGATCTCGCTCAGACCCGGTGCGAGAATGAAGGAGCTCTCAACGTTCCCTGCAGGCGCTGTCGTGAGTTGCGGGTCACTCTTGGGCTGAGAGCCATTGCATGGAGCACTGACTATGGAGGGAGAAGCTCCTCTGTCTGTGACTACTCGACCACCAAGCGGGGTCTGCGTCTGGATGCCAGGTCAGTTGAACCTTTCTGTACCCCAGGCGCGGTCGGCTGACGCTCAGTCTGCATCACGCGCATGTTCCAGTGCAAGGACAACCTGGACCCTCAACTTATCGCTCGCAAGACATTAATATTGCCGCTCAGACGCAATCACCAAGTGATCCCCTGCAATCATACGGAGACGATAGTTCACTCGCGTCGAGTGCCGATAACCGCTACAAGTCGGACGACACCATTCGGCCCGTCGGCGATATTGACATGACAAGCCGACTCGATCCGCGCATACGAGAGCTGTCACCTGATACGGTGGATGACGATCGGCCCATGGTCGATCAGTCGAGCCCCAGGGGTACTGACCATACGGCGCGTCAAGAGTCGGCGCATGATGATCCTGGTGGGCGATCCTGAGGTCGGAAGGGGTACTCAAGCTGACCTATGTGCAAGTCAAGCTGGGCCTCATTGCCCATGATGAGGGAGAGACGCTGGTCGACCTGTAAGTTATCCCTGTCCTTTAATGCTGACAGGCAGATTTCATGAACACCTCAACCCGCTGATAGCCCTGCTCGATCCCCACCGTAAGTTACGCCTCTGGGACCTGCTGATATAGTCCACACTGCAGCATTCCTGCACGAAACTTCGCTCGTCCTGTATACGGCTGTTGTCGCAGCAGCCAGCAGGTTCTTTCGCCCTGACAGGCATCCGGCCCTGATAAAGCACGCCCGCGGGATGCTGAGCGAGGCTATCGACAACGGTCGATGCCAGATTGGCGTGGTGCAGGCTATACTGATCATGGTGTACTGGAAGGAGCCCTCCGACCAGTCTGCTTGGATCAAGATCAGAGTCGCAGTCGCGATGGGATATCAGTTGGGGTATCATATCCCGCGGGCGGCGGACTTGCCGACCGATGCAAAGAGAGCGAGGTCAATCCTGGTAAGTTTCAGCCGATCTTCATGGTTGTGGAGCTGATCTGGTAGGACGGGGAGAGGACATGGTATTGTAGGTTTCTGTGATACACGCAGCTGACAAGAAGGCCTAATCTGTGAGGTCTCACAACTGACAGCTAAACACCGAGCTAATCTCGACAACAGGCTTCGACCGACAGTGAGTCCAGCGTGTCTATATCGGCTGAATTCAGATACGCAGACCTCTTCGGACTACCATCCTCCATTAAGCTCAGTGACGCAAATGATGTGAGCATCCTTATTTCAACCTGCCCTCATCTGCCTCAACGCCCTGCTAGTTGCTCAGCTGATTTTGAGTGCGAGTCCTGGGCTCGAGATCATCTATACCTGGGAATTCCCATTGATATGCACCTAGCGTGTAGTATTGCGTGAGTGATGGCTAGTCTCATTCACGATGTGACAGATTCTAACACGGACCAGCTCACGAGAGGCCCGAGACTTTTGGAGTCAGATACGGCGCGATCATAGCTCGATATCAAAACCGCTTTTGACGCTTCTCCTCGAGGATTTATACCAGTCTGTATTGCGCCATGAGCGGAAATGGTTCGGCGGTGAGCTATTCCAGGTCTTCAAGGCGTTAGCTGACGGGGCATCAAGCGCCTCATTCACTACTATCACCAAAGGAACACAATCTCCTGCACTGGTTCGACCTCTCGAGCCTTTTGACCATCAAACACCAGCAGCTCGCCCTGACTCCACCGGACGACATCGACGCTTGTTTATCGGAGTGTCTCGAGCGGGCCACACTTGTCGTCGATCAGCTCGAACGGGTCAGTCGAGATGAAGTGCTGCAGTATCTTTACGATGCCGGCTCGTGTACTCTGTCGGGTTTCGGAGTTGTCATATATCAAGTGAGTAGTCATTTGCATCTCAGCTGATGCTAGCTATATCGCCAGCTTTCGACCTCTCAGAAAGAGTACGCTTACCTGCTCGTCGCCAGGGTGAAAACTTGCTGTGCTGCTGCCGCCGCGGGTGGCAAAGGTGGCGCAATTGTATTGTGCGATCGCTTCTACCAGCGCCTCTTGCAAACCATGCGACCTGAGCCGCAACCGATAGATTCGGCGTTGCTGGGAGGAGATCATCCGCCATCAGCTGCGGCGCAAGATCAAATTGTGGACTTTGACATTGTGAGCAAGACTCCCCTGACCCGTCATACTCATATGGGATCTGCTCTGACCCTGAAGGACGCCTTTCTCCGCTCCACACTAGGCTCGCAGTACGATCAGCTACTTGTCGACGATGACTACTGGTGAGCATGTTCTGCCCCATCGAGAGTCTCAAGAGATACTGTCAATCAAAGATGCTGATAAGCAGGACATCGCTGTTCTCAACGGAATCGGCCTGAAGATATCGGTGCAGGCTCCTAGACTTACTTCCTCGTATGGCATCTTCTGACTCGTATGCATGTGCGTCAATGTCGATGCGTTGACTGGCTCATTGTCATTGAACCTCATGCATCCACGGCCATTGCCACCAACCAGCCTCCAGCTGCTGCTGCTGCCACCATGCCACCGGAACACGTGGCTTAAGCCTCGACGCGTCCATGGCCATGGTGGTCGATGGTCGCCTCCACCTCACGTCCTGTAGCGCTGGTCAACTGCACATCTTATGACATAGCCTAGACAAGCATTCGTGAAAGTCAAGAAGCAGTCCGAGCACGACGACGACGCCGACTATAGCCCAGATCACCAGACAAGTCACCTTTGCTAGGTTCAAGACATTCCAAGTCCTGGAATCCAGCCCCTCGAAATGTCTCTTTGGGTCGACAAGGTATGCCTCCTTCCCCAAGCTGCTGCTAGCACGGCGCGAATGGAGCTGATCGGTAGTATCGGCCGCGTAGCTTAGATGACCTGCACTACCATGAAGCTCTTTCAGCGCGTCTGAAGTCTCTTGTTAGTCCAGTCAAGTCCAGCTGTCTGGCCATGATGGTGATGCTGATTCTTCTAGGCGGCGACGGGGGACTTCCCACATATCCTCTTCTATGGGCCATCAGGGGCTGGGAAGAAGGTACGTCAGCTTTCTGCTGCCTTCCTACCCGGGGGAGATCTTTAGCTGATAGTAGTAGACGAGAATCATGTGTGTGCTGCGGGAACTGTACGGCGTAGGCGTGGAGAAGGTGAGCTGTGCTGTCCTGAGGGTTCGATCCGCGCACAGTAGCTAACATCCTGTAGCTACGAATAGATCAGCGTGTCTTCGTCACTCCATCAAATCGGAAACTGGACGTCAATGTCGTTCAGTCAAACTACCATATCGAGCTCACGCCTTCGTTCGTTGCTCCCACGCCCGGCCGGCCCCTAGCTGATCAGCAGCGACGTGGGTAACTACGACCGGGTCGTGATCCAGGATATCCTGAAGGAGATTGCGCAGACACAGCAGGTCGATCTGAACGCAAAGCAGAGATTCAAGGGTGAGTGTCCTTCTCGGAGGGATCGGTACAAAGTGGTCGGCGCTGATCCTACAGTCGTCATCATCAACGAGGCCGACGCCCTCACACGAGACGCACAGGCCGCACTGAGGCGGACGATGGAAAAGTACATGACCAACATGCGCTTGATACTGTGCGCAAATAGCACGAGCAAGATCATTGCTCCTATCCGATCTAGATGTCTGCTCGTCCGCGTCGCCGCGCCAACAGATGATGAGGTGAGCTCAAACTCGTCTTTTTCATCCTGAATCATAGCTCATACCCTAGATGTCAAGAGTCCTTCACCACGTCGCCAAGAAAGAACGCTTCTCCCTCCCCGATACCGCCGCCCAATCCATCATCTCCAGCTCGGAGGGCAACCTCCGAAAGGCCCTTCTCGTATTCGAAGCGATGAAGATGCAAAAGCCCGACCTGTCGGGCAGTATCGACGTCGCCAAGCCGGATTGGGAAACGTATATCGCGACGGTAGCGGCGGCGATCATGAAGGAGCAGAGTGCGCAGCGGCTGTTGGAGGTCCGGGGGAAGATATATGAGCTGTTGAGTCATTGTATCCCGCCTGGGGTGGTGTTGAAGGTGAGTGGTCGTTGCGGAGAGGAGGTCGAGCAGGAGCAGTCGCTGACAAGCAGACTCTGGCGGAGAGACTGGTGGATCTGGTAGACCCAGAGATCAAGCCGCAGGTGATACATTGGGCTGCGTACTACGTGAGCTCGACCATCTGCGACAACGCAGAGCAAAGCTGACTAGTTAGGAACTGAGGATGCGGATGGGCGCCAAGAAGATATTCCATATCGAAGCCTTCATTGCGAAGTTTATGATGTGAGTCTGCCTGCCCCGTGGACGAAGACACGTGCTGACTGAACAGGGTGCAAAAAAACTATCTATTGTCAGTCACTACCATGTTCCTCATACGATATCAGCTGACAGATCAGACAAGGTGTAGCGCAAAACATGGAAATGGACATGGACTTCTAGATCCTATCCGCTTTTTCGGCCCACCATGCGATGTATCATATTCTACAGATCTACAACCCTTACTTCTCTTTGGCCAGGACAGCCAGATCGCCCAGACTCTCCATGACAAAGTCAGGTACAGTCTCGCTCGCATTGTCGCCAAAGACCTGCTCTCGCTTTGTCACGCCCCCAAAGACGAGGAGGGTACGCACGCCCGAGCCGAGCCCGAACTCGATATCTGTCGAGAGGTTGTCGCCTACCATGAGTGCCTTGGCGGGGTCAAAGTGGTGTCTGTCTCGTCAGCCTTATGTCTCTGCGTCTGCTGGGGACTGAGGATGATCGGCTCACTCGGCGATGATGGCGTCCATCATGATTTTGTTGGGCTTGCCGATGATGGTTGGTGTACGCTTGCTGGCGAATACAAGAGGGGCGGACATGGCGCCGGATCCTGACAGTATCAGCCAGTCCGTACTGGCTCGGATCCATGTCGATAAGGAGCTATAGCTCACCTGGATATGTGGTGCCGTTCGTGGGGAACGTGGCGTCCTGGTTGGTCAAGAGGAAATGGCAGCCCTCGTTATCTTTGAGGTAGGTGTACGCTTTCGAGTACTTTTTGTAGTCTGCCGGAGTGAGCTTTACCCTCGTGCGCAAGTATTACAGCATCGTCGTAGGGAGACAAGGACCTTTGCGATGGACTCACTGATGTATGCGTCAAAGCCGCAGAGGACCGCTCCGATAGATGGGTCGGCAACGACCGATGAATAGTCTCCCTGGTCTATGAACACCCTATCTTCGGGGTCCTGCTCGTCAGCTCCTCTCCTCATGATCATCGCCTGGTGCTAGGCATATATGACCCACCGATCCTCCAGCGTGCGCAATCCCAACAGCGTCCAATTCCTCCTCGAGCCCCGCCTGCCCAATGACATACACCCGCTTGTCCTTGGGGAACTGAAGGATCTTGGACATGTACACTGCAGAGGCGTACGCAGAACCAAAGATTTCATTCTGGACTATCAGCTCATGCGATTCCCTACTCATGACAAGATGCAGCAGCTGAAGGATTGACGACGCACCTCGGACACCTCAATCCCAAGCTTGTCAAAGGTCGACTTGTACATCCGTCTGGATTTTGACGCATTATTGGTGACGAACAATATCCGCTTGCCTAATGTATCAGCTCCTTCCTGGCTCTATGCCGGTGATATGGTGTAAGCTCACCTATTGAACGAAGATACTTCAAGACCTCCTTCACGCCCGGAACGACCTGAGGACCATGGTAGATCACACCGTCGCAGTCGAGGAGGAAGACCTCGACCGAGTCGACAAGCTTCTTGTACTCTTCTACCGTGGAGAGTGTTTGGGGTGCCATCGCGGAGGAGGGCTGAGAGAATAGAGTATGTATGGACAAGGAGCCGGAAAAGAGGAAAGGATGGAAGGACGATATGGTAGCTTTGCGAGTCGGCGATCTTGCCGCAGCATTCCTCATCGCTCGGGCAACTGTCTACATACTGTAGCGCCCAAACGTGGATTCGTTACCTTCTGTCTGGTCGTCACGGATCTCTCATCCCAGATATACATAGATACAGCGTGAGCCCATCTACAACACCCCAACAGAGCAGATCAGAACGGATTATCAAACCCCACAATAATCGCCCTGGCCAGATTCCTCGCTAACGCCAGCCTGACCTCTTCCAGCTGTCTCCATGCCGACGCGGCGCTCCAGTCTCCTTCTGGCGCTGGCGCCCCTGACCCATTCTTGCGCCTTAGCAGAGTCGATAGTGGGCCGAGATAGTCCGAGGGGTTGTATCGCGCATTCGTAGATACTTCCTCGAGGACGCGCATGAGCTCGAATGTGTCGTTGGACGAAAAGAGGATATCCGTATCTAAAGGATGTCAGCTGAATCCTCTTAGATATCGACATTGTGCAGAGGTGGTCAGCTCACCTTCCAACAGTGCCACGCTCTCCAACAGAAGAACCGCCCAAATCCCTGCCGGAGCAATCCCACTCGTCAACAGCCCCACCACCTTTCCAGCTGCCAACTCTTTCGCTCCCTGCGCCGTAAAGAGAAGGTAATCCCTAAATTCCGAGAGAAAGGCTAGGCGGGACGCGAACACCGATACTGCCGACGGTGTCGTCAAGTCGAGGACGGCGCCTGTTTCTTCGAGCTGTTTGAGAGCGAGGGGGGCATCATTGAGGAGCGAGGTGGGAAGGGTTTCTATTATTCGAAGGAAGGCTTCTTCGCCTGAAGGATCAGCTCTTATACAGCCAGTAGCCCTGACACGGGCTCACCTTCATTGATATACACATCAACGATCCTTTCTGCGATCCTCGACAGCCCCTCCCCATCTTCCGCCTGGAAACACATCGTCGCACCAAGACCATACTCCCCACCCCGAACCAGTCTATCCGCCATGACCTTGCTAATGACTTTCCACTCCTCCTCGAGCCTGAGCTCGACACAACACTCTCGCAGCTCAGTAAAGTGCTCAAAGCGCTTGTCCTGCGCAGCCCCGTCTTCCTCTACCCCCTCCATCGCATCTTCGGCCGCTGCGGCCACTGTCTCTTTCCCTTTGCCCTTGGCGCGCCAATCCAGACCCAGCGCTGTGTGCAAGATATGTGACCGGAGTCTTACTCTGCCTTCGTCGCCTGCCGCCGAGAGATAGTCGGCCGTTATCCGCCACAGTGCTGCGTGTTTCGGATTGCCGGATAGGGTGTCCGTGTAGTCCAGGATAAAGTAATCGCGGAGGGATGAGTCGAAGCGCTCTTCATCGTCGGGAATGAGAGCGAGCTTGTCGAACACGTCCCCGAGATGTGCGGCGAGCCACGAGTCCATATTGTGGCACCCTTGGAGGGCCGGGATGATCTCGCCTCGGCAGAGATTGGCTTGGATCGAGTCGTCCAAAAGAGACGCGTCGACAGGAACAGTGTCGAGGATCTTCGTTACCGCTTGTCTGTCTCGTCAGCTCTGGGCAAAAGTGGATGCGCGTCATATAGCTTACGGAAGGTCATCCCTCCTCAGCCCAACGTCCACTAGTATACCCCACGCGCCCATCGCTTCCCTCCAATCCGCTGCTTCTTCCAACACCCGTTCCTTCTTCCCTTCCATCAACTCCACAACAACCATCAAATCCCTCTCCCATGCCTTCCAATCCCCGCCCTCCCCTAGCCACTGGGCAATCGGCTTCCCGGCCGTCAGAGCGCTCAGTTCCGCCCTGAAGCGCGCAAGCCACATTTTGTGCGCAGAAAGGAATTGGTGGTCGAGGGGGTAAGAAGCGGTATTGTGGGATCGGGGAAAGAGGGATAAGTGCGTAGCGAGCAGGATGCCGATGCGCGATATGAGCTGATGAGGATGGGCGGAGAGTGTGCGGAGGAAGGATGAAGCCGGGAGGTGGAAGCCGCGTAAGAGGCAGCGGGTGATGTAGGGCCAAAAGGAGGCATGGGTCCAGGGTTCGCGCGAGGACATGATGGACGTGCCTATGGAGTTGTCGGGTTCTGCAGGAAGGTCAGAACAGCTCGAAAGGAATTGGGAGGTGACTAACGAGGATCAACATCGTTCACCCAGTCGAGCAACTCTTCGCCTAGTAGACCTTCCCCTCGTCCATCTTGCGGGAGGTACAGAATCTGTGCGAGCTGGAAGATATGGTACACAGCGGTCCATTTACCCTTAACCTCCACCTAATGGTCAGCTTTCCCGTCCACATACAGGACAAGAGATCCGAGGCGTAGAGCTCACCTCCAATGCTTCGGTCTCCTTCAGCCGCGTGATCTCCTCCAGATACATTCCCACCAATCTCCGCATGTGTCCCACCGTCTCTGCTCCAGGTGGACCCAGCAGCCCCTCAACACCGACCAGTCGCCCATCCTTGTCCCAGGCCTCGGCCATTCCGAAGCCTCTGGCATTGATACTATTCGATGCGGCCGGTAAGCGGATCGAAGAAGCGACTATCCGCTGTAGCGAAGTGAAGAGTGTATATGTTTCGGTGTAGAAGTTGAGGACGGCGTTAGGTAGGGTTGTAGGTGCTGCAAAGTATAGTGTCGAGTCGGAGAGTGAGATCTTTGGATCGGAAAGCTTTGTAGGCTGATTGGGATCTGATGCAGGCTATGCTGTCAGCTTAGGCTCAGGACAGCTACTCATCCAGCTGACCTTCGGTGTGGTCCACATAGCTATCTCCCCACCCGCTGGCGCAACAGCCGCAGCGAATGCCCGACCACTATCGATCCACTTCTGCTTTCCCTTATAACCGTACGTGGTGGGCTCGAGGTACGTTGTAGCTATCCCATCCTTGGCAACTTCGGTATGCCCATTCGGGAGGGAGCTCGAGGAAGCTTTTGAGCTTGAAGCGGCTGCGGAGGCTCCCTGGGCTGTTTTGGACGCGCCAAATGGCAAAATTGATGAGGAAGAGGCGGCTGAGCCGAAGAGGAGAGCTCCAGCCATGCTGTATAAGTGTGTATGAGGAGGCAAAGTATGGCTTGAAGAGGGTTGTTGCTGTTGGCGGTGGACTGGGCGGGATCGAATTTGGCTGGCGGGCTTGGCGGCGATGACCGGTGTGAGGAATGCGGATCGTCTACGGATGTCGGGCCGGCGGTGATGTTGAAAGCGTCATCAACCTTTCACATTAATCTATTCCTGCCTAGCTACTACTTACCTCAGTACCCATACGCCATGTCGTCTGGACAAGCAGCCTCCAGTAAGCTGAAGCCAGTACGAAGCGGGCGAAGCTGACTTGTCAGAACTCTCCTCGTGGCAGAAGCTCAAGCAGCTTCACCAATCGAAATCCTCCTCCCTCGTCCTCAAGGACCTCTTCAAAGCCGACTCGTCCCGGTTCGACAAACACTCCTTGACCTTCTCTGAGGCCTCGGATGTTTCTATCCTCCTCGACTACTCCAAGAACCTCATCGACGATGAGGTCCTTTCGGCCCTGTTTGAGCTTGCTCGCGAGGCCAAGGTCGAAAACTTCCGGGACAGCATGTTCTCGGGGGAACACATCAACACCTCGGAAGGTCGGGCGGTGCTCCACGTGGCGCTCCGTAACCCGCTGCCCAAGGATGGCGGGTGGGAGATCAAGGAGGAAGGCGCTGGCCAGCCGGTCCATGATGTCCTCAACCACATGAAGGAGTTTTCCGACTCGGTCCGCAGTGGCCAGTGGAAGGGATACTCGGGTAAGGCTATCGACACCATCATCAACATCGGAATCGGCGGATCGGATCTCGGGCCCGTCATGGTCTGCGAGGCGCTCAAGTCGTACTCTAAGCGGGATCTCAAGATGATCTTCGTCTCCAACATTGACGGTACGGATATCGCCGAGGCGCTCCGATCGTCCGACCCAGAGACTACCCTCTTCATCGTCGCGTCCAAGACTTTCACCACCCAGGAGACCATGACCAACGCCGAGACTGCAAAGGAGTGGTTCTTGAAGACTGCCGGAGACGTACGTGAATCCCTCCGATTGTCATACCATAGCTGACCAAGCAGAAAGAACACGTCGCCAAGCACTTTGTCGCTCTCTCGACCAACACCCAAGGCGTCACTTCGTTCGGTATCGCCGAGGCCAACATGTTCCAATTCTGGGACTGGGTCGGCGGACGATACTCCCTTTGGTCCGCTATCGGTCTCTCGATTTGCCTCTCGCTCGGCTTTGACAACTTCAAGCAGATGCTTGACGGCGCGCACGCGATGGACAAGCACTTCAAGGAGACTCCATTGGAGAAGAACTTGCCGGTCGTCCTGGCCCTGGTCGGGATCTGGTACAATGACTTCTACGGTTAGTCAGCTTAAAAGTTCGCGGTGTGTGGCTCAAGCTGACGGCGCAGGTGCCCAGACCCAGGCTCTCCTCCCTTACGACCAGTACATGAAGCGCTTTGCCGACTACTTCCAGCAGGGAGACATGGAGTCGAACGGAAAGAGCGTGACCAAGGACGGGTCGAGGGTGGACTACGAGACTGGAGTGAGTGGTGATGGCAGCACTCAGCTGTGGTTAAGCTGACTTCTGTAGCCTATCATCTGGGGACAGTCCGGTACCAACGGCCAACACGCCTTCTATCAGCTCATCCACCAAGGCACCAAGCTTATCCCATGGTGAGTTCAATTGCGCCCTTGAGGACGCTGGTAAAGCTGACCTTTCAGCGATTTCCTTGCTCCTGTCGAGTCGCAGAACCCGGTCGCTGGCGGAAAGCACCACGAGATTCTCCTTTCCAACTTCTTTGCTCAACCCGAGTAAGTGATGTCTGAGCTTGGACGTTCCCTCGGGGGAAAATCAGCTGACATGCACAGAGCCCTCGCCTTCGGCAAGACCGAAACCCAAGTCCGAGAAGAGCTCGGCTCGCAATCATCCAACGAAGCCCTCGTCAAGTCCAAGATCTTTGAAGGCAACAAGCCCACCAACTCGATCATGTTCCAAAAGCTCAACCCGGCCACTCTGGGTAGCTTGATTGCCATGTACGAGCACAAGATCCACGTGCAGGGCGCAGTGTGGGGTATCAACTCGTATGACCAGATGGGTGTCGAGCTGGGCAAGGTGCTTGCCAAGGCGATCTTGGGGCAGTTGGGGAGTGAGGGCGATGTCAAGGGTCACGATAGCTCGGTAAGTCCGATCTTTGCGAGGGGGTGGAGATGAGCTGATTAGTAGACGACGGGTCTGATCCACTTTTACCAGAAGAACCGGAAGTAGGCGGAGGTGGAGGAATGGAGATGTTGGACGAGTGCTGTTTGAGAGCAAGATGAGACTATAAAATGCACCTTGTCATATGTCTAGCGATCACCGTCCATTATAAATCTACCCACCCCTATCAATACAGGTATTACAAGCCACGACTGTCTCCTGTCCTGATCTCTACCCCTCTTTGACCTTATCTGCTCCGGCTCCCGGCACACCCTCTTTCCTCCCAAAGATGTCCCATACCCTGTCCCTCCCGCCTGGCGTCCTCGGCACTCCTTGCTGATCCCTGTCCACATCTCCGGCCCCAAGCTGTGGCGGCAGCATACTCGGCACTTGACTGATCACACTGCCTGACCTGCTTCGCTGTGCCCGCCCGCCAGTCCCGCCCAACGCATACGAGAACGACCGCGGTGTCATCGGTATCCGAGGCGTTCCTGGCCCGGCCGTCATTGGCGGTGAGAGCGCCGGTGATGTAACTGTACCCGAGGGGTGAGATACCGTTGCTCCTCTTTGTCTGGCCGAGCCAGACACTGAGCCTGATGCGGCGTCGAGAGGCGGAGCGAGCGTCGTCGCCTGTGCGTTGGAACGGGCGCGTACGCGGCCTGTGCCTGATGGAGTGAAAACGTCCGATGGAGATGGTAAAGGGGAGAGATACGACGTATTGGCGGTGAGAGGGGGTCGGGAGTGGAATGAGGGAGCGCGGAATGAAGATGTTTCCGAGTCCGCGCGTGACCGACCGGGCCGAGACGGCGTTCCAGGGCGGGGTAAGGCGTGGAACGATTTCGTAGGTGACCGACTGGGATCGGCGAGGCGGAGGGAGTTGGCGCTAGGCCGCCGAATCGATCCAGGCGCCATAGGAGGTTGGAAGATTTCGCCCTCGTGGATCGTCTCTGATCCCTCTAGATCTGTCCCACCTTGGTGATCCGCCAATTCCTCTCGTCCCTCTTCGTGCGATCCCGTCCCCACCTCCGCCTCCTCGTCCGCCTCTATGACCACCAGACTCTGCTCCGCCTGACTCCCTAGTGCCAGTATCGCAATGACGGGGTTTGTCACCCAGCCAACTACCGCCCCGTACACACCCTTGATGATCTGGGGCGCCCACGTCCCTCCTAGGTTCCCATTCCCATACAGCGGCCCGAGGATCACGATGAAGAGACACCAGATCGGGAATCCAAAGACGATCCCGATCGCCGCTCCTTGTGCCGCCGTCCATATCAGCCGGCCGAGCCATGCCCGGAAGCCCGGCCGAGCAGCGAGCATATTTTGCTCCGTCCCCTCAAAAATGAACCGGACGAGCATCCAGTAGTAGTAGGCGAGACCGTTTTTCTCGGAGGTGGGGTGGACGGGAGATCGGGCTTTTTCGTCCATCTCTGACGAAGGGCGACGGGTAGCGGGGTGGGATCCGGCCACAGTGACCGCATCGTCCGAGCCGGGGGCGTGCGCGTGCGAGTGAGAGTCCCCGCGGGCGTGGGCGTGCCCTATACCCCGCATAGCGTCAGATTGAGAGCCCGACTTTCCGAAGAGCGACCGTGGGTCCGGCAGGTTCTCGACGTGGGGGTAGCAAAAGGCTAGGGGCCGGATTTTGCTGTTGTGAAGATCGGTATGGACGAGGGTGGAGGAGATGATCATGGATGCGAGCGTCTGGATGATGGGCGTTACGCCGAGGTCTCCCGAAATAGTGTTCTGATCAAAGATCCAGAGCTTCACTTGGTCTTGCTTGCTATACACTGTCTCTATCAGCCCTAATAATGATGGGGAGGCTCAAGGGGTCCTCCGACACAGAAGAAAGGCCAGTACTCACTGGCATAAGCGATCCCAAAGTTTGCGCCTGCGTCGATAATTCCCGCTCCGAGTCCTTGCAGAACGAAGAGGTAGAACTTCTGCCGGCCGCTAAGCGGTAAGGGGAAGGGGCGGAAGACGGACTTCATGGTGGCCGGTGGGGATGAGGTCGCAGGCGAAAGGATTGGCGAAAATTAGTCAGGCGCGAGGAATGTGGTGTTTGCCTCTGGCCAGGTGCACTTTGTTTACGCTTTTCTCACAGGCGAGAGAGAGATGTCGGAGGTGTACAGGGTAGAGCTGGAGTAGAGGATGATGGGCGACGTCAAGATACCGTGCATGCAGTAGCAAGTATAAGACACGGTGAGACGATCTGAAACTTGAATCTGACGACGTGGTTTGTTTACGAGATCGCCGAGGTCCGAGCCCGAGGCAGCGTCAAGAGCCGTGACGATGACAATGTGGCTGACTCAGCGCAGGTCATAGCAGGAGCTGGGAGGTCAGAACTTGGAGTGCTTTACGTGGAAGCTCTACTTCTTCCTGAGCAGAGAGAAACGGGATCATGGATTCGTGGAGCAAGAGGTACCAGACCAAACCCAAAATTCACCCATAGTCCATACAGCTTGAGCGACAACCTCTGCTCCCTCTACCGCCCTCCCCTGCCTCTCCCGCCGCCAACGACCCTCCGGCCGTGACGATTGGTCTTGCCGATGACATATGGGTCATTGCTAGAAGTGCGGCTGCCCGGTGCCGTGGTCCGAGCCGATGTGGAAGCGAGCCAGTCAACGGTCTGAACAGGATTGTGGCCTTGTATGATTGACTTTGTCAGTCCTCGAGTAAGGCTCTGTTGTAGTCAGAACGTCCACACCATCACCACCACCAGCAGAGCCAAACTCACCTATTCCCTTGCCAAAATATACGCAATCTTCTCCAGATCCCAAGCACTGACCCCCTCCATCCCTTCCATGCTTAATGCCTCCTCCACCCTCCCTAGCAACTCCTTGTACTCCTTCTCCGTGTATTTGATCTTCCTGTTCCATCCCCCGCCCCCCGGCTCATCCCACATCATCCACCTGAACATCTCGTCCGAGAAGAAGGGTACGTGGCAGTTCACACACGAGAGAAAGAGCGAGGCCGTTGCCGGTCCGATTCCCCTAAGGGCCGTCAGAACCTTCAAAGCCTTGATCGTCCCGCCTCCTTCCGTCTGGAATAGGAGGGCAAACGCCTCCGATGTAGTCGAGACGACCAGCTCTGGCGGGTGCTGCTTCGCCATGCCCAGCAGAGCAGGGCGGAACGTCCCGTGTTTGAGTTTCCACTCGACGAGGCTGACGAATTCGTCCTTCGTCATATGTGGCCTGTCCCCGTTGGACGAGCGAGAGGTGATGGCGGCGGGGGTAGAGGAGAAGCGCTGCTCGTCGAGCTCAGCGAGCTTGGAGGGGATACAGGAAGGGTATTTGGCGAGTAGGGCTTCGCGGCGTTCCGGAGAGGCGGCGAGGGTTTTGGGTGTGTCTCGAGCGTCGGCCCCGCTCTCGGCCTCGGATGCGGCTGAGTCGCGCTTCCCGCGCTTGCTGCGGGAGGGTTCCGCGGGAGATGCGCGTCTCTTGGGCATTATCCTATACAGGTGACGATCGGGGCAAAGCTCAGAGCAGGTCCTCGCACAATTGACGCCGATAGACGCCGATTGGCGGATTGCGGGTGCGGCACCAGCAAGGAATGTGGCAGTTTGCTGCGGCCGGTGGACAACTGCCGGCTTTATTCCCAGGCAGATTTGTTAGGCTCCCGATCTGCAGAGCTCCTCTGGCTGTGAGACGCTGTAGCATGGTGAGGAATTATATGCATCAACGCAGAACTTCACTCGTAAGACCCAAAGAAGAGAATATTATTGTCCATCGGTCTGCCCCTACGTCCTCCCGCGGGCCGCCTATCCCTTTGACTCGACATGCCGAGTCTACGACTGACAGCACACAGCATCCATGGCAGCAGGGACTGGCGCTGTCAGCCATAGACGATGAAGAACATGTCAGGCACTGCACTCACCAAATTGGCGCCAGTATGCGCAACTGCCCAGCATATCGGTCGCCGATCCCGAAGCGGCCGATGCCCCGTTCTGCTGGAAGTCGCTTGCCATGTAGGTGTATTTCGAGTTCTTCAAGGAGCAGAATCCGTTGTTTGCAGGCCACCAGAAGATCCCCACACATGTCGCGCCTGTATCATCAGCTCTGCCCTGCTGGACCAGATGTAATCAACCGAGACTGAGACTTACCGTTGGCACCCGTGGCGGCATCGCACTTCGCCTGACAATCCGCCTCGGACGTAGCAGTGGTCTGTTGGATCTGTGGTGGTTGAGCATAATTTTTATCGACATCGGAACAGGGACTCAGCAACTCACATCGACGGGTTCAGATGTGCCACCCCGGCCCGGCAAGTCCCAGTTCGCATAATGGGCGTATCCGGTTTGGAGGCCAGCATTGCAGGCGGGGACAGGGGCGGGCGAGGTGGCGCTACCAGCACGCCTGACGGCGGTGGGACTGCGAGCGCGGATCTCAGCGAGGACGGCCTTGGTCCGGCTGCGCTTGATTATGCTTTCCCGGTTCGCCTGGCGCTTGGAGACGGGCATCGTCGAGGCGAGGGCGAGGGCGCACAGCAGAGCGAGAACCAGCAGGCGAAGGACGGAGTTTGTGTTGGACATGGTGAAGAGGTCAGTAGATGAGAAAACGCAGGAGAAGAGTGGGGGGAGGAGAGGAGATGGGCGAGCACACAGCAAAGCAGACAGCTGCCTTCTATATAGATCGTGTAGCTGATCATGTCCTGTCAGGCACTGTCCTCCGAAAAGTCGGGGTCAGAGGGAATCAGAGGCTTGCTCGCTTCCGCCCTCGCCGATAAGATAGGCGCTCTTGCCATGAGCGTCAGATCAGGTCAGATTCCTGCATTGGGCGTCAGTGACTTCCAATCCCGTGGGATGACCTCAATAAGGCAAGAGAAGGCAAGGGTACGAAGCTGCCGAAGATCGCCGAGGAGTCGAAGTGTCCCAGCTAGTATCCCTCGGCACCGGTCTCCGGACCCCCGTTCTGGATCTGCACGCAGGGACATATCGTAACACAACGTAACTGTCTAATCAACAAAGAGATTAAGCAGTGGATTCCCTTGGATTCCCTAAAAGATCGGCATCTTTACGACAACTTGAAACTCTCAGATACCCCAAAAAAGACTTCCTCGGGGCAGTCAGGCAGAGTCAGGCAGTATAGTCAGGCCCAGTCAGGGCAAATCTTTAGGCAGACCACAGGGTTCAGTGAGGTATGCACCCGGCGAAAATTCGAAGTTTTTTCCGCGGACAAATCGAGGGGCGGCGTGATTGGTTTGACGACTGAGGGACCCGAACTTGAGCCGAAGATATTACGGTAGCGCCCGTATATTTAGGGATTTGCGCAGCGATTAGCGTTGGGTGACCACGCCGTTTTGGCCTGTGACTCCGTAACCCCAGTGACCGTGACCTGCGACCTGGTCACCGGGACACAGTGACCCAGCCAAAGGGGCGCAGCCAGGAGGCAGCTGAGAGCGGCCAGCGCCGGGGAGTGGCGACGTCCTGGCTCTGCGAGCAGGCTTCTGAGGTCGCTTCACCGGCCAAATTTGTGTCCCACAGGCCTTCATGAGTCGCTGAGAGGGCTTGAGTGGCCCTGCCAACGCCGATTGAAGCTGGAACGATCATGCATGGGACCCTTATGGGATTGAGGTCACTGCGGTCACCACCGTCGCCTCTGTGACTTCGTGACTTTTCTGGTCAGTGACTGGTTACAGTGACTTGTGACCGCTGTCGGTCACCCAACGCTAGCAGCGATGGCGTATTGGTCCCTATAGCGCCGGATGGGCTGCCTGTCTGCTGCCGGATCATGATTAATCATGCATGATTCCGGACCGAGCCTAGGGCATCGATGAGGAATACATTGTGGCAGCTCATGATTGCGGCGAAGTCGAGCGTTCGCTTTCCCCGTCAGCCCATCTATCCCCCTGTCCAGCCGCTGATTTGCTGTGATCCAGCGCTCCCATCAAGCCGAGCTCATAGCCTTCTCAGACTGCTTCGCCTACGAAAAGGTTCATGCTTCAACCGCCCGCCTCGATGTTTAGACGGGTATCCAGCGATACTGGCGAGGGTGGAAGAGCCAGGTATACACCAACTGGGCTGAGGGAGAGAAGCAGCCCGTATGGCTGACCAGCGTCGAGCGAGCGATAGTTCGTCTTGACCTGGTGATGGCTGGGTCATACGGCGCGGTACTTTGTCGTCGGTCTGACAAGAGCCGGATCGCATTGGAGGGAAGAAGACGAGGGGGTTGGCATCGTGCGAGCAGTGAAGGGATTAGGTGCGAGGTCATTTGCGGAGTAGCCAGAGAGGCGATAGACATGTCCATCACGTGAGAAGATGAAACAGTCTGAAACACCGCTGTGGATGTTCTCTGTGGCTCGAGTAACGAATCTAGATCTCGACCATCGATGGTATCACCCATTGGGTCCCTACGAAGGAGGTCTTATACAGCGAGGCAGATGCAGGCAGTGAGGCAGTCCCGATCGACGAGGCTCATCCGGACCAGGGGGAAGAGGAGCGGCGTCTCGCCGAACTTGTGCCTTGGTGTGATCTCCAAGAAGCGGAGTAGGTTGTTAGCAGCGTTGGTTTCCCGATCTTGCTACTGGCATATGGCGAAGGCTGTGACCCTGTTCTGTATCATCGATCTCAACTTTGGCCTTGGCCTCCCGGATAGCTACAGGTCACAGCTTGATCAGCACCTGGAGGATCGCTCACTCACATACCTTGTCTTGGCAGACCACGTGGCCGATTCTAGAAGTCGCATCGCGAGAGTTGGGTGGCAAACGCAAGCGTCAACAAACGATTGCTCAGCCTCTTTCCTTCCTTACTTTGTCTTGCTAAGCTACATCATCGACACGCAAGCCATCTCCCCAGCATATATACCAGTAGAGGGTTATATCTTCTCTCTCACATCGCCATCACTCCAGCACCATGTCGACCACGCCAACTCGAAACCCCGAGCTCATGTTCCTCGGTCGGGAATGCCATCATCCCGCTTGTCACCTGAACGACTTTCTCCCATTCTCAGTGAGCAGAGTCGCCTCAAGTAGAGATTATAGCTGACCTTTCAGTGCCCAGCATGCCACCTCTCATTCTGTCAACCCCACTTCCTCCCCTCCCAACACAGCTGCACCGCCCCCCTCCCCCCATCCATGATCGACCGCATCGCCCCTCAATGCCCATTGTGTAATCAAGTAGTACCCACCAGCACCTCGCGGGATGCCAACGAGGCGGTCGATCGGCATATTCTCGATGGGATTTGTGTGGGTTTGCCAGGTGGGGAAGAAAAGCGGAAGGCGGAGCTCAAGGGGAAGAAGGAGAGGGGGGAGGTTTGTTGGAGGAAGGGATGTACGAAGACTTTGATCGTGCCGATGAAGTGCGAGGTAAGCTACAGATCGCCCTGATCAGTCTGGGATGGGACTATAGCTGACGATTAGTCCTGTCGACACTCCTTCTGCCCACCTCATCGCTCGACCCAGTCTCACTCGTGTACCCCCACCTCGTCACGGACCGGTACACCCCAGCCATCCTCATCGATAGCCGGTTCATCCCGGACTGCGGCGGGGACGAACGGCGCCAAAGCAGCCATGTCCCGCCTTCTCCCTGCGTTCAATGCCAAATCTTCCTCTTCGTCCAAGTCTGCCCCTCTGTCCAAACAGCCTGCAAAGCCTTCCGCCTCAACACCGAAGCCAATAGCGACTTACTCCGGCCCGACAACAGAACCGGAGAAGGCCCCAATGGATGTCCGAGCGGCCGCAGCCGCAGCGGCCACGAAGCGGGCGGGGAAGGACGTCAAGGCGAATGTCCCGTTCGTCAAGACAAAGACGGAAAAGTGAGCTTCCAGCCCTGGGCTGGTTCATGAGGGACAAAGAGCTGATCCAGTAGACGCGCAAACAACGAGCTTGCATCTCAAATCCAAGCCCTGAAGAATCGGCACGATAAGGGCCTCCTATCGAAATCTGAGGAGGTGAGATATCGGACCTTGTGCACATAGATGCCGGCGATGGATATCGTTGATCCCCGCAGCTGAGGTACGCGGAGCTCATGGCGGAACATAAGGGTATCAGGGGGCTCGGGCAGGGAGGGAAGGGGAAGGATGGGTGTGTGGTATCATAGGCTTTAACCTCAACTCAAGGGAGAATCAAAGTGTCGTCGGCATGTGTCAGCAGTCTGATCCGCAGCTGAGTAGCTATGGCATTCTCTTTGTTTACTTTCTAACTCTATTGACCTGTCTACAAAACTGACGGTAATGCGATACGCTTGATGATTATACTAAATGATCTGATGGAAGCTACAAATCGACTAGACCTGTACCCAAAACCTCCCTTCTTCCCCGCCTGAGCCCTCTCCTACGCCCAACGCACCCACAGCTCCACCTCCACCGACAGCCTTCCCCACTCTCTCCATCACTGCTAAGCCTAGACCTTCGTCCGTACATCCCTCCACCAGGATCGCATCGACCCCTCCTAACCCAGCTTCCCCGCCTTCCAGATCTAGCAAGCCCGAGAAGAGACGTTGGGCGGCGGATGTAGAGTCCGGGCCGAGTGGGATGAGGGTCAGGTCGTAGGTTGCCTCCGGCACGGATGATCCAGTACTGTCGGAGGAGAGGGAGTGGAAGAGGGGTGAGGAGGTATAGTGGAGTAGTCCAAATCGGGGCTTAGGGGAGGGATGCCGGGATGCCAGTGAGCGAAGGACAGAGGAGGGGTCCGACGGTGAAGATGCGGCGGTCGTCGATGGGCGAGGGAAGGAGTTGGAGGGGAGGAGGAGGTACACGGGGACGCGGGGGGAGTAGTGCCGGTATTTCATGCCCGGTGTCGATGGGAAGAGCTTGGATGAGGATGCTTCGGACGATGATCTCTCCACTGATCTTGCCTCTTTGGTCTGAGAAGCAGTAGCTGTTGGTTTGGTGTAGCCCACCGCCGAGGCTTTGGCTGGCCCTCGCCATGGTTTCCCGTGTACCCTGATCTCCGTCATCCCTTCTTTGCCATCTACCTCCTCGACGACCCGCTTGATCTCCTCCACTCCCAGCCCTCCCGGCCTGAGGACATCGACATATCCTCCGCCGCCCTCCTTCCACGCCAGCCCATCGACCACTGTACTCTCTACGCCGACTCCACAGTCCCCTCCATCCAGTATACACCCCAGTCCCTCCGCTCCGTCCAAATCGCGCACTACATCTCTTGCCCTGGTCGGACTGGGCCGTCCTGAGCTGTTCGCTGATGGCGCGGATAATGGCAGATCTGCGTGATTGATCACTGCGAGCGTGAGGGGGTGGTTCGGCATCCGGATGGCGTTGGTTTGCGGGGCAGGTAAAGGCGGTGGGGATTTCGAGGGGAAGAGGAGTGTGAGGGGGCCAGGCCAGAAGGCCGTGATGAGCGCCATGTACAGTGCCGAGGGCTGAGCATGGGTAGGGAGGAGGGATTGTAGCATGTCCAAGGAGGAAATGTGGATGATAAGGGGATTATCAGACGGCCGGTTTTTTATTTTGTAGATCAACTGTAGAGCTGATGGGTTGAGTGAAGAAGCAGCGAGGCCGTATACCGTTTCCGTGGGTAGAGCGACAGTACGCCCGGATCTGAGATGGTCGGATGCCGTCTGAATGTGCGGGAAGAGGGAGGGAGGTATAGTGTAGGTGGGGCGCTGGAGGGGGTAGGTACCAGCCGGACCGGGGGTGCGGACGATGGGCGCTGAGGAGGACGGGAGGCAGGGGAGGACGGGTGTAGAGGGCATACTGGCGATGCGGCGGCGGAAGATGCGGACTGGAGAAGATAATTTGAACGCTGCTGCTCGAGCTGAGCGCATAAGCTTTGGGTATTGCGAGATGTATGGTAGAGGTGACCGCCTTTGGACCACCTCCACACCACCTCCAAAACTTCCCTTGATCGAATTTCCTAATGACTGTATTAGCTTTTGGCTTACTATTCTATTAGCGGGGTCAGATTTTGATCAAATTTCCTACAGGGGGACAACGCTGGCGCTGATCGCTCCATCATCATCGCTATCAACGTATCTCTTCTATACCCTATCACCTACACACTACAGCAGCATGTCAGAAAAGTCATCAGTACCCGGCCCAACCGTGCTCGCGCCGTATCTCGACGCAGTGACGAGCGTTTTCCACCCGATCGCGCACCCGCTCGTCAATGCGAGCAATCGGTTCAACGCATGGAAGGAGAACTTTGGCTTGGTCCAGCCCGGGACGGTTGAGGGATTGACGAGGGAGATTAGTCGTGCGTCTTCTTTCGCTGGAGACGAGCTCTCTGAGATGGAGCTGATGGAATAGAGGTGCACTTGGCAAACTGGTTCTTTGAAGGCGCGAGAGCGGATGTTTCCAAGGTCATCTCGGCCAACCCTGCATTCCAGCTGCAACACTCGTTCGCGCTCGGAGGGCAGTCGGGGGGAAAGTACAACTTTGGAGCTATCTGGACCAACAACCAGGTGTGTCTGGTCCTGCAGGGGCTGACGGGCTGAGCTGACGAATAGACGTTCCTCCAGGGTGGTGTGGACGGTTCTGGAGCGGTGACTATGCGTGCAAACCAGAACTGGGATCGCAGAAACACGACCAAGATCCAGGGACAGGTAAGTTGGCAAAGCTCGACGAGCTGGGGAGCAAGCCGGAGCTGACCCTCTAGTTGACGAGCGAAGCCGGCCGGTCGATGTTGCAAGCCGAGCACGATATCCTCGGGGACCACTACTCTGTCAACCTGAAAACAATAAACCCCGGTGTCCTCGACGGGACCGGTATCCACATTGGCTCCATCTTCCACTCGCTCTCCCCCCGCCTATCCGCGGGATTCGAGACGGTTGTCCACTCTCAATCCCCCGGCGCATTCGAAACCGCCACTTCATGGATGGCGAAACTCACTTCTCTCCCTTCCGCCTCCTCCCTCGCTTCCGCGGCGCTTACGCCTGTCGGGCAGGCACCGATCCCCATGCCCTTCAACCCATCGTGGACCGCCACTGCCCAGCTCCAGAGCACAGGCAACATCCAGACGACATACTACCAGAAGGTGTCCGACAAGGTGGATGTCGCCTTGGACTTCCAGACGGTCTTCCAGCCGGAGAGTATGATGGGCCCGGCAAAGAGGGATGCTGTGGCTACACTGGGCGCAAAGTACGATTTCAGGCTCGCGACGTTCAGGGCGCAGCTGGATAGTACGTGGAAAGTGGGGATGTTGCTGGAGCAGCGGTTCACACCGGCGTTTGCGTTCTTGGTGGGAGGGGAGATTGACCACAAGAAGGTGAGTCTGGGTTTATGGACAATGTGCTTGAAGAGACGGGGCTGATCAGGCAGAACACTTCGCGATTCGGTGTTGGAATCATGATCGAGTCATCCAGCATGTAAGCTCGCTGTTTCTCGTCGTACTGGAACCTCAGCTGACATGCCAGGACACAAGAGGAAATGATTGCCGCTGGTATGCTGCAGCCGGTGTAGAGAGTATGATCGAGACGAGATCCTGGGGCAGCACAAGGGAAAGGGGCGGTGCATGAGGCGTAGGCGGAGAAGACGAAGCAGTAATGGGTTGGTCTTGCGGGCTGAGTGGCCGAGTAGAAGGCGATCTGGACGACAGGGGTTGCGTCAAGGCTGTGGCTGTATCGATTTGGGCTTCGAGGCTGTATCCGTCGCATGCACACCACCCTTCTTCACGACTGAGCGAATATTTTGGCTCGGCATTTCTTCCTTTTTATCCAGGCTGGGCTATTACCAGCTAGCCCGCGGTGGTCGTGGTCACCTTGAACCACTGCCTGCTATACACTTCGCTTCTCGCTTTGCATACAAAGCTGGGCTCATCATGCCGCCCAGACAGCGCGCTCGTAAGAGCGAGCCTGAGAAACGGCCAAAATCCGAATCGCTCACCCCCGTTCCGAACACCCCGCCCGCAGTGACGGCTTCTCTGGCACCTACCCTCCCATCGATTCCGTCAGGGTCTCGCTCCCCTTCCGCCCCTTTGACACCCCCTCCGCCTACATCAATAGCGAGACCGCAAGATGACCGCCTGGGCTCTGGTATTCAGAAGCTTAGGTCTATATCGGGCCAGGCGGACACGTTCCGGATAGCCGAAACGTGGATTTCGATCTTGTCTTCGGAACTAGGAGTCGAGGGTGTGTTGGCGCTGTACAGGGCCAGACTGGAGGAGATTGGGGAAGACGAGGCGGAGAGGAGTCGACTGGGAGAGGGGTTTGTGGAGGTTGTAGAGGTACTGGAGGAGGAGAGGGAGGATAAGGCCGAGGCGAGGGGTGGAGGGAAAGGGAAGGGTAAGGGCAAGGAGGGGACGAATGGCGCTGGCTTGGACGGCGATGCGATTGATGTAGATGGGGAAGAGAGGGCTATGGAGCCTGGGCCGAAGGGTATGGCCGTGCTCAAAAAGCTACTTGTAAGCTACCAGACCTCGATGGCCCAGTAAATTTCAGCTGACATGGCAGGAATCGTCCTCCATCTCCCCGCTCATCCCCACCCTAATCATCTCCACGGACCGCCTAGTCGCCCTCGACCTCCATCCCTTCCCACACGACCCCGCGATCCTCCAACGCAGCCTTGTCAAGCGCAATACAGCCTTATTCTTCCGACAACAAAAGTATAATCTCCTCCGCGAGTCCTCCGAGGGATTCTCGGGCCTCGTCGTCCTCCTCACTTCCGCGGACGCAATGTACACCCCACCTCGCAATACCGCCGAAGCGGCACCAGACCGTAAAGCTCGCGCGCAGAGGGTATGGAGCAAGATCATGGGATTGATTGGATACTTTAATCTCTCACCCCCGAGGGTGCTGGACCTGATTTTGGAGGTGGCGAGCTGTCACGTCGCGGCGCATTGGCGGTTCTGGCTGGATCTGCTCAGGTGCTCGCCCTGGGGAACTCATGCGGATACGGGCGACGTCAAGGGGAAAGGGAAGGAGAGGGCGGTGGATTGGCAGATTGACGAGATGGCCGCGATTGAGGGATGTATGGCTGGTGAGGGAGATAGGGTATTGGCGCAGGTGCTAGGTGTCAAGTTCGGCTTCTGCCAGGTCAGTCGGAAGCTCTGATCGACTCAGGTGTTGGATACTGTGCTGACACCTACAGCGACCAGACGTTGGCGCGAACGAGACCCAAATCGGGCTCGTCTACTTCGCGGCACTACTGCTCAAGCATGGCTTTGTCAGCTTGACCGACCTCCTCCCATTCGTGCGTCTCTCAGGCGGTTTCCGTTCTCGTCATCTTTACCCGTCCTGACGTTCCAGCTCTCCCCCGACGACGCCGAAATGGCTTCTATCCAGCAAAAACACGCCTCATCCAGCTCCTCCCGCTCTGGTCCCCTTAACGCCTTAGCCAGCTCTGTCCTGCTAGACGACGACGCTCCCGCGGTCGACTCCTCTACCGGCCAAAGCGCCGAAACCGCCACTCGCCCTCCTCCCGAACAGCGGATCCAGCTCGTTCAGGCTCTACTTGCCGTCGGACACATGCCGGCCGCTCTGTACTTTCTCGGCCGCTTCCCTTGGCTCGCGCAGTACTCGCCGACGATCGCGGACCTCGTCATGCGCATTGTCGAAGTCGGGATCGAAGGCCTCTATGCCAGGTTTTCGGATACATGGCGCGATAGCGGTGATCTGGATCTGGACTTTGAGGCGCCGGCTCCAACGTACAAGGCGCCGAACAGGGAGGTAGTGCCGTCGATACTGGTTCCTCTGCCGCCAGATACGCCGAGTACGAGCTTTACCTTCTTTTGTCCGGATTGGGCAGAGGGTGTGGAGAGGTGGACGAGCATCGAGGAGATCAGGACAAAGGGCATGAGGTGGTTGAGCCTTGTCAGGGGACTAGGGGGACGCCGGGTCGAGACGGTGGTCAAGATCTGTCGAATCGGGGCGGTTTACTTTGAGGGGCTGCAGAAGGACAAGGCGGCCGCTCTGGGGCTGCGCGGGACTGAGCGTACCCGAGCACAAAACAAGGAGCTTCTAGTGAGGGTTCACGTCTCGAGTGCCGTATAACCAGCTGACCGCTTGAGCCAACCGAAGCAGAACTGCAGCCCTGGCTCGAGCTCCTTCGTATATCTATCCTCCCCTGTCTGTCCGCCTCCACCTTCACCGCCGCGTTCGATATCGAGATCTGGCGACTCCTCCGCTTCTTCCCCTACGCGGTCCGCTACGGCCTTTACGGCGAATGGCGGGACTCCACCTGTCGTGCAAACGGACGCAACCCGTGTCCTATCGCCGTACAGTGCGCGGCCGAGAGCACGCGCGATGTCAAAAAGGCATTGTCGAGGGTCACAGCGGCCCAGTCGGGCCCTGCGAGCGGAGCGGCGGGTATACCGGATCGAGGACCGGCACGCGCGCTTGCCAAGCTCAGCCATTCGAATCCGTGTGCCTTGTGGGCGACGGCGGTGACGCAGGTCAAGTCGTATTCGAATATTGGGCAGTTCATTGTCGAGGCCGGAAGGTACATGTCTCAGTTGAGCATGGACGTGGCGATGTTCACGCTGGTGGATACGTTATCGGACGATACGGCTTCGAGGTTGAATCCGCAGGGAACGGGCGTGGCCGCTTGGCTTGAGAGTGAGCTGTCAGGTTCATCTGACACAGGACTGACAGAAGCTGACCCCGTAGACCTCGCCACCTTTGTCGGCGACTTCAACCGCCGATATTGGCAGATGGACCTCGAGCCCGTTCTCCAATTCATCGTCAACCGCCTTATGCGCGGACAATCCGCCGACCTCACCATCCTCCAGTCCCTCATCAGCATCATGTCTGGCGAGTCCAAGATCGACAACGACGCCATTTCGAACGACCAGCTCCGGGCCTACGGATCCGGCCGGGAAATGATCCGCGAAGCGTTCAACTCGACCGTGATTGCTATTCCCCGGCCGATGACCCCTGGTGATCCCGCTGCACAAGGGGCGCAGGCCGCACCGGTAGACAAAGCCAAACCGACCAAGAAGAGCTTGGCACGTCTCATTAGTGGGCTGAGAGATACGGGGCTGGATATGCCTATTTGGATCGCGTTGGCGCAGACGAGGCAGGGGGCGGTGGATAAGATGGTGGGCGCGCCAATCAAGGCCATGTCTTCCATGCAGGACAATGTAAGCTAGGTCGAACAGAGTGGTACAGAGACAAAGCTTATACCCCAGTGCCACGACATCTTCATCCAGTATGGCGATCTCCTATCGGAACAGCTCCTCTCGTCGGAACATATCGAACGGACCCCGGACCTCCAGTCTCTCGTTTCGGAATACGGTCTCGACTTTGCTCAGGCCTTCCAGATCCTCCGCCCCAAGCTCGACGCGCAGATGGAGAAGGCACGGTCTGCCGAAAAGGCGAGCATGAATGCCAAACTCGACGCGGCCAAGCTGGCCATTGGGGGCGCGAGAGCGAGTCTGAGTCCCGGTCAGCCAACGACCCCACTGGGAAGTCCGAGGATCGAGGGGATGCAGATTGATGCGGAAGATGGCGAGGGGAGCGAGTTTGGGAGCGAGCCGGCGACGCCGAGCTCGGCTGTCATGCCGAGTATACCTTTACCGCAGAAAGGGGTCAGTCGGGTCTTTGATGGTATGGAATAACAGCTGATCAGTCAGGCACGGAAGCGGTGGTGGCCGTCTGCGTTGACTTCGACGATGCACCAGGCGAATACCCTTCTCCCGATCGAAGTAAAAGGGATCATGAGGTGAGCTGCTGAAATGACTGGGGCAAGGCATCAAGCTGACCTCCAGCGCCCCCTTCTTTGTCATCTTTTGGCAACTCTCCATGCCGGACATCTCTTTCGCCTCTGACGCTTACGACCGCGCCATCCACAAGATCACTTCGCTCGAGAAGGAGGTCGGGGGTTGGCGATCTGGAACCACGGCTGTTGCTGCTAGTCATCGAGAGGAGCGTGCTCGGCTCAAGGCTCGTCTGGAGGCCTTGACGGAGGAGCGGGATGCGCACAATAATTTGGTCAATACGATCAATAAACGGCGCTTCAAGTTGGAGAGTGCGAGGTGGTTTGGATCGAGTCAGTCTCATCAATTTGGTGACTGGTACAAGCTGACAGATCTAGGCATCACACAGAAGAATCTCAAAACTCGGCTCAGTGTTCAACTGCACCAACACTGCTTCTACCCCCGCGCGATCCTCACTCCTTCGGACGCGGTATTTGTCCCGAAGCTCATACGGATGATGCACGATCTGGCAACACCGGGCTTCGTCACTCTGTTTGCATACAGCAATGTAAGCTTCATGATTCCTAGCACTTCGATCAAGCTGATGCGCATAGTTCTTCAGCCCGGGTCTCGCGGCCTGTATCTTCTCCTGTACCGAGAATGAAGCGCGGAACTTTGGCCGATGCCTCGGTGCGATTATGTCCGATCTGGACGCTTGGCACGCCGACGAGGACCGATATCGCCGCGAAGCGATCGGACGCCCTGATGGCGCTGCGGATGATGATTCAAAGTGTCTCCCCGGGATGCTCGTAAAGGGGAAGAACCAAGAGCACGAGCGGCCGATGACTTGGTCGACGTTCCGGAACTTTTATGCTGCGCGATTCCACACACCCATGCTCGAGGTGAGCTCAGGTCTTCCATATTGCAAGCGAAGTGAAGCATCAGAGCTGATCCAACAGGCCCTCACTTCGTGCTGGGCAGAAACGGACTTTATGCACGTCAAGAACGCAATCACGGTTGCGCTGCAGGTACTCAAGTCGTTCCCTATCATCACCGCACATGGGGAGGCGGTCGAGGCGGCGATGGAGGCGTTGATTCAGCGAGGGAAGGACGGGGAATTGACGCCGGATGTGCTGCATCAGTGTCAGGCGTGAGTTGTTGCCGACGTCCTACCTGGCGAAGAAAGCTGACGGAGCAGGTATCTGCGACAGCTCAAGTTGAGGCAGAATACAAAGCCATACGTGCCTCCGCCTAAGTTCTACCCGGTGAGCTTTTTCGCTTCTACTTGCCGGAAGCTTCGAGCTGATCATCCAGAATGGCAAGTTGCCGGCCAAGCCCACCGAGACTGCCAAAAACGCCCCCACCGGCCCTCGCGCCTCTTCCAACGGAGTGTCCACCCCGACCAAGTCCGCCGCAGAGGCTCCAGTTACGGTCACGACACCCACTGGTACGCCCAAAGACCTCCCGCCCGTCTCTGCACCCACGCCGGCGACGGCCTTATCGAGCGACCGTGACCCGGAAGCCCTCAAGGCCAAATTGCGCGAGCAAAAGGCGCTCAAGAATGCCGCCAGTCTGGTCAAGGACGAGCAAAAGTGAGCTACCCCGCGCTGATGGCCGACAACGGCGCGAGAACTGACCATGCAGACCCGACGCCTCACCCAGAGCTTCTGGTATCCCAGCGAAACCCCCACCGCCAGAGCGGCTCCGTTCTATCTCGGGCTCGACTGCCGACGCACTCCCCGCTAATGTCTCTCCGACCGGCGGCCTCGGTATCCGTGGTTCCGCAGCGGATTCCAAGCCAGCGTCCAAAGCAGAAAGCACTACCCCCGCCAAGCCCGCACCCACCGGTCCCGCAAAACCGTCAAATGGCCTTTCGTCCCTCCCCCCACGGCCTGGCTCGATCCTACCTACAGCTGCTCCCGCTGCTGCAAGCTCTATGGGTCCACCTCGCCCGCTCACAAGCGACGAGGAGCGTGCCGCCAACCGAGCCAAGAAGTTCGGTACTACTTCTCGCGGAGGCACACCAGGTCCAGCTTCGACTCCGCCTACCGTACCTTTATTGTCGGCTGGTATACTTGACAGGCCCGCCTCGGCTGCACCTTCCAGCCGCAAGGCCTCTCCATCGCGATCGCGCGCTGCCACCCCCACGGCCCCAGCCCCGGCGTCGGTCGTCAAGACCGAATCATCCCGGCCTGCTTCGCCGGCTGTGTCTTCATCTCGTCGGAGATCGCCTTCGCCCGCCCCGAGCCGACACAGACATCGTAGTCGGAGTGTGGAGTCGAGGATGAGTGATCGGTCTCGCCGGGATAGAGGTGACGGGCGGGATAGGGATGATCGAGATGGGCGAGATTCGAGGCATCGAGATCGGAGTGATAGAGAGCGGAGCGACAGGGATAGAGACAGGGATAGAGAGCGAGAGTCGGGTCGGGATTCCGGTCGGGGAGATAGGGACAGGGATCATCGCGACCATCGCGAGCGGGACCGGGAACGGGACCGTGACCGTAGCGATAAGGACAGGGACGGCGGGCGAGATAGGGATAGGCGAGACGACCGACATACCTCCGGCGCTGGTACTGGCAACGGCGGTCGGGATGACCGTACGCCTTCCGCTCGCGGCAAAGACGACGAGGAGCGAGACAAGAAGAAGCAGGAGGAGATCCTCCAAAGTCGACATGATCGTCTTTCGGCGTCGACGAATGCGGCGGACGATAAGGACCGCAGCCGACGCGTATCGAGGGAAGAGAGTAAGCGGGATGGGGACAGAGATCGGGACGATAGGAAGCGGGGCGATAGGGAGAAGGATGAGAAGCGGGCGAGTACGAGTGATCGGGATAGGGATCGGAGGGGAGGGAGGGAGAGTGATCGGGATCGAGAGCGGGACGAGAAGAGCTCGAGAGATAGGGATGGTGGGAGGGACCGTGACACCAAGGAGGCGGAGCGGGACCGGGATAGGAAAGAGAGCGCCGAGGTGGCCGGCTCGAAACGCAAGCGAGAGGAGGAGCCGCCGAGACGGATCGATCCCGTCGTGTCTGGTCGCCGCGAGCGGTCCGATACGCTCGACAAGGATAAGGACAAGGACGGCAAGGATGCGAGGCGGAAGGACGATCATCGTGATCGCGGCCATGATCGGCGGGATGACCGGCGTGGTGGGAGCGGAGGAGACGAGCGGAGGGCGGAGAGCGATAAGCGGGAGGAAGACCGACAGAGACGGCGTGGCTCAGAGAGGGAGAAGGGGAGGGATGACCGCGGGACCCGTTCTCCTCCACCTCGCGAGATGCAGCGGGACCTACCTCCACACGCCTCCATGCGCGATCTCCCGCCTCGTCCCCGCGATTCCAGCACGAACGGCGGTAGAGCAGTCACGCCCGACCGACCTACCAAGCGATACAGCCCCTCGAGGTCTCTCGATCCCATCCCGGATCCGACAGGAGGCCGCACGCCAAAGAAGGCAACGGCCGACTCGCCGAAGCGGAATGGCAAGGTGGAGCTGATCCCGACTGGACCTTCATCTGGTTCGGTCATGGAGAGTGCTCGGATTGTTGAGGCGCCCAAATCCACTCGGCCGGAGGTATGTCTGATCTTAATACTCTGCATATGAGATCATAGCTGATATCTAGGTTGCAACGACCGGTCTTCGAATCAGCCGGTTCTCTCGTTCTAACGACGAGAGCCCCAGCGTCCCCTCCCTTCCCTCGCCGCTACAGCCCAACGCCACCCAGCCTAGTCGGTCGGGTCCACACGGTCTTCCCGCTCGTCCGACTGGCGCGGGCACGCCATCAAGACCCGCTCCGTCCACTTCGGGTTCTGCGCTCGGGGCGCGACTGGGCAGACAGAGATCAGCCAATCCATCTCCGGAACGACCACCTATTCAGTCTCAATCCCAATCACAGCCCGAGCCGCCCGTCTCTGTGCCCGAGAACCAACCCCAAAGTCGGGGTGGGGACAGAGATAGGGACAGGGACAGGGCGAGAGATGGAGATAGGGATCAGCGCGACCGATCGAGGCGGTCTGTAGAGCCTGACAGGGAACGGGGTTCTCGGCGGGACGAGGAGAAGGATAGGGACCGGTCGAGGCGGGATGAGAGGGATGGCTCTGCCGCCCCTGGCTCAAGCAGGAGAGGGGAGGAGGACAGGTCCGACAGGAAGCGCGCACTTGAAGGTGAGTCAATCTCTCTCTCTTTCTCTTTTGGGCTTCTCTGGCTTTGGCTGATGATCCATTAGACCCCACCCCGGCCGAACGTGAATCATCGACAGGAGCTACGGGCGAGCCTGGTAAGCGCAAGAAGCTGGTACGGACCGGGATGAGAGAAGGGCGGCTAGGCCGGATGTTCTCGGATGCGATGGATGCGGTGACGGTCAAAAAGCCAGAAGGGGGCGGGAGGTAGTGGGGCAGTATATAGCACGGAGTGTGTGAAGGAGAGGCTGTAGAGGTAGAGGTCATCGTGGTTAGCATATTGATTGATGCATCTTGGTGCGACCTGTTGCTATTCTCCATCGTTTCACAGCAGAAACGCTGGCATGCCCCGAATTGAGTCGGAGACACGTGATCGCGAGTACGTACGCTCAATCTTGAAGCGTGTCAAGATGACTCAAGATACTCCTGCCTGCACTGTCTCCCTCGCAGGGCTCGCTGCCAGCAGACCCAGCGAATGACCCAGTCGACAGCGGGAGTCTGCGTCACGACTACGCGAGCAGCCATTCTACCCGGGCCCAATTGTCTGAGAAGAGGCCGCGCGCATCAAACAATCTGGTAATTTGTACTCTGAGGACGACGATGCCAAATCCGCCGAGACCAAGGCCGGCTCGCGTGGTTGACTGGCCAATTCATGAGCATGTCAGTATCTGAAGCCATTCCGCTCCCCAAGCATCCCTCGTTCAGTCCTTCGTCCCCATCCTCAGCATGCCCATCCGCCTGAAAACCGTCCCTCCGACCTCTTTCCCAGCAGGCCAAAAAGAACCACTCCTATAGCTCCAGAAGCCAAAAGCGTCGATGATGCGTTACATCTCCAAAAACTGCCAGGTCCCTACTCCCTCTACTCCCCTACTCCCATGCCATGCCCACTCTACTGCTCTCCGACTTCCCGCAGACGCCTGATGGTAGATCGAACAGTGGCGGCTGAGGGTGTTCCGAAGGTGTATGCTCCGCCGGCGTAGACTTTGCGGCAGGGCTTGCACTTCCAGATACCGACTGCTGAGCGCTTGACGGCGTTCTGTAAAGCCCATCAGCATTGTGCCATCGCCGTACACAGTCAGAGATGATAGCTCACCTTGCCGCAGTTGGGGCATGCGTACCGCGAGTGCTGAGTGATTTCCATCTTCTTCACGCTATCTTATCAGCTCTGTGTCTTGTCCAACGCCGGAAAAGTAAGGTAGCTCACGTCTTACGCAGCGAAGCACCATAACGGGTACCGTACTTTCCGGTCACACCAACCTTCTTTGTGCGCTTGGTCTAGGGGAGTCAGCTTGCGTTCTGAAGAGCGGTGGGAGCAAAGGTCCCAGACACGGCAGGCGGGCAAGCAGGCAGGCAGGCAGCAGAGCGGATTGGGTGAAGGGGCGATGGGAGAGTCGGAGATATGGCGATGGTCGGTACGTCGATAGCTCCGCCTTCTCCTTGCTCCATTCCAGCTCCTCGCCATATCCCTCCCTTCTCGGCCCTTCCACAGACATCCACCGCCTCCTTCCCTTCATCTTCCCTCCATGTCCAGCAATCTCGCCTATCCCGGCTGTCGAGCTCGAATGTGCCGATCGATTCGCCTGTATCGATGCTGCCATGCTTGCCTGCCTGTCTGCCCTGCGTAAAAGAGGTGCGGCTAACCATTTTTGTGTCGGATAGGGGGGGTTACTTGAAGGATAGTCTTCAACACTCAAATTCTACCGTCAAGTGGCACGCAGCGAGTGCGGAGGAGAGGCAGAGCCAGCGGTGATAGCCGAGAAATCACCGGAGGACGCGGGTGTGGCACTCTGAGCCAGCCAGGGTGGCGTCGGATTTACCATGCTGGAGATTACGGGAGTAATTATCGCCGATATCTGCGCAGGCTACATGATGCGGTTCCGGGGGCAGTCAAGCGGGTCCTTTGCCGGCACAGCTCCAGCTTCGAGTCGGGGGCCCATCCAAGCACGCATTGACCCTTACCTTGTCCAGCTAAACTTACCATAGCTCTATCAGCACTCAGAGTGAATAGACAGGCTGGAGTCACCTCATACCAAATCGCAGCTGGCACCCTCCACTATGTCCTCCTCCGACAAGCCCAAGGCGGAGCCCTCTTCCCCTTCCCGAACTGCCCGGCCCATCCCCCGCGCCCGCGCGCCGCAGGCATCGCCCAACTTCGACAACCTCTCTGCCCTCTCCGAGTCCTCCACGGGCTCATGGGAGAAGGGCCGGTTACTCGGTTCTAGCGCCCCGAAGGGGTCGTCTCCGCTCACTGGTACGGACTCCACCTCTGGCGTGGGTAGCCAGAGCGTGAAAGCTCCATACGCCCAGCCCGGTGCATCAGCTCAGGTGGAAGCTCAAGAGACCCCCTCGTCCGGCTCCGCCTCGGGATCTATGGCGTTCACGGAGCCCATCCGCCCAAACCACATCAACCTCCCCATGGCGCCCATATACCCCCGGCAGCAGCGCGAGGGGTACGGCTTCCGGCCTACCTCTGGCCAGACCACACCCTCCGCCAGTGCGACTGCAAGCGCAAGCGCAAGCGGGAGCAGCTCTCAGCTGGCCGTACAGTTTGGCTTTGGCTCGGCGTCGACCAATGCGCGCGCGCGGTCGAGGGCGTTGAGGGAGGCAGGGGAGGATGAGGAGGACGGGAGGGACGATTATGACCATATGCCGGATGGGCAAAGTATGGACGCGTTGAGGGAAGGGATCAAGGGGGAGCTGGTCAAGGCGGGTATTGTCGGGTCGGGGCAGGGTATTGCCGATGAAGAGGGATTAGGATGGCCGGGTAAGCCCAGCCTAATCTTCCTGTATTTGGATCAAGCTGACATCCCTAGCAAAATCCACCAAGAAACGCCTCCACTCGTCCCAGTCTGAAGCCCAAGCGAACCTCGAAGTCCTCTCCACCGCCCTCCGGACCGTGCTCCAATGCATCGGCGAAGACCCGACACGCGAAGGTCTCCTGCGCACGCCCGAACGATACGCCAAGGCGCTGATGTGGATGACCAAGGGGTACGAGGAGCGCTTGACGGACGTGATTAACGATGCGGTGTTTGCGGAGGATCATGATGAGATGGTGATTGTGAGGGATATCGACGTGTTTAGTCTGTGCGAGCACCATCTCGTGCCGTTTACTGGCAAGGTGAGCTCGGGGCTTTGACTTCCCAGGGGAGGGAGTGGCTTGGAGCTGATCTGATACGTAGATCTCGATCGGCTATATCCCCAACAAGCTTGTACTGGGCTTGTCGAAGCTCGCGAGGATCGCAGAGACGTTCGCGAGGAGGTTGCAGGTCCAAGAGCGCTTGACGAAGCAGGTCGCGCTGGCCGTGGAGGAGGCGATCAGGCCGAGGGGCGTCGCGGTTGTTATGGAGGCTCAGTAAGTACTTTGATCTTTGATCTCTTTCTGGCATAACGCAGGCACAAGAGTTAAAGCTGATCAAAAGCCACATGTGCATGTCGATGCGAGGTGTCCAGAAACCCGGCGCGACGACCGTCACGAGCACGATGTTGGGGTGTTTCCGGACCCAGCAAAAGACGAGGGAAGAGGTGAGCTTGTGTATCCCTTTGCTTCGGACGATCGATGGACACAGCTGATGTAGCAGTTCCTTACTCTGATCCGGACTCCCAGCGCTGCCAAGCACTTTTGATCCGCCTGAAATCAGTCATCTCGTCCCAGGGGATCGATTTTAGTCTGTACAACCATATCTACCGGCTCAACGCCCTTGTTGTAAAACTTACTTTGATACTCTTACAACCATGCATTCCACTGCGCACAATTGCCCGGCTTGGGTTCTGCTCCTCGATTACATGCTCAGCATTTGAAGACCATACAATACAAGATATATCCCCACATCTACCCTACTCCAAAGTATCTTTATCTAACTACAATGATGACACCAAATGTCCCTCCGATCCCTATGCCTCTATATAGTTACCGTATGTCAATCCTGACCTCAACCCTCACCTCGGCCTCGGCCTCACCGCCTACCGCCTACCGCCTACCGCCTCGCCGCCTCCGCCTGCTCCCTCGCCATCATAATCACATTCTTCAACTTATCCACCACCCCCGGATCCACACCCACAAGCCCACCCTCCCCCGCAGAATCCACCAATTTCTGCATGACAGCCGCGAGTTGATCCCTCGTATCCACCTTTAACGCCTTCATCATGTCGCCCGTCACGTCTCCTGGTCCCGCTCCCGCGCCAGCTAAAGCCGCCATGGGATCCGACGACGACGCCGCCGACGATGAAGAAGGCGGAACAGGTACATCCTCAATAGGAAGAAAGAGATCCTCATCTTCCATTTCCGGATCGATAAAGTCCTCTTCGTCCCCTCCGGCGCGCATCGAATCCGCGGGCGTGTCCAGGTCGAGATCGAGGTCGACATCCATCCCTCCCTCCCCTTCTTCGGGCTCATCGCCCTGCCCCTCGTCAGGCGTAAACCCTTCTTCCTGCGCCTGGTCCGTAGGTGTTCCCTCCCCCTCCCCCAGCCCTTCTTTCGAACCCGATCGCCTCTTCTGCCGCTTCGCAACCGGCGTCGTCTCGTCCTCCCCATCCCCTTCTTCCTCCTCCTCCGCGTCCGCATCCGCAGGCTGCTCCCCGTCCGTATCGCTCCCGCGATGAGGCGACGTCTCGGGCTCAAAGTCCCCATCCGCCTCTTCATCCTCCATACTATCCATATTCATAAACATGTTGAAATCGAAGCCCGCGTCCAGGCCCATGCCCATGCCCATGCCCATGCCCATGCCCATGCCCATGCCCAGATTGGACCCGGCCGGATCCGCAGAAAGGTCCGTCGGGAAGTCGGGGAAAGCGGGGTAGTTGAAGTTGAAATTGAAGGGGAATGGGAAGGGGTGCGAGGCGTCCAGTGGAGCTGTGTCTGGCGGGGCAGTGCCCGAAGGATTGGTGCCGGGGTTCGGATTGGCGCTGGGATTAGAATTGGGATTGGAATTGGACGGCGATCCGAGAGAGGACAAATTGGGGTTCGTTGATGTCACTTGGAGCCCGATCGGCGTAGGCGCAGGTGTGGGTATATGCAGCCCCGCAGAATGTATAAGCGCCTTCAGATCCTCCAGCCTGTGCTATTAGCCAAACCCCTTCCCGAGTCTCGCCAGATGTTGACTCACTCCCGCTCTAATCGCTCACACCTCTCTGTCAAATCCTCCACCTCCTCCGCCTTGCGCTTCAACGCATCATTCGCCAGCTCCAGCGCGGTCGCCTTCTTGTTCCGGCTGGCCTTGGCACTCGCCTTGTTCCGCTCCTTTCGCCGCTCCATGAGCTCGTCTTTGCTCATCGCGAGTCTGGAGCCTTTGCCGCGCGCCGGAGCAGGGAAGGGAGGTGGTGCCGGGGGAACCATGGGCGAGGCGGGCGAGGTGTGGGATGAGACTGGACCCAGTCCGTCGGGATCCGGTTGAGCTCGCACGGGAGGCCTCCGTTGGCGTTTCTTGGACTTCTTGGGGGGTTGGGATTGTGATGGATCCGCTTGGCCGCTTTGCGAGTCGGCGGGTTCGAGATCGCCCTGCGGAGGGTATCCCTGGCTTTGGCTTTGGCTTTGACTTTGATTCTGTCCTGAGCCTTGGCCATCCCTCATTTGCCCGGCTTGGCCAGCTAGCAACATCTGCAGCGCCTGCGCCACCTCGTTTCCTCCCTGCCCCTGCCCTTGGCCTTGCCCTTGCCCATGTCCCATCCCATTCTGTCCCAACCCCTGCGGCTGCTGTTGCTGCGCCTGAGCCTGGGCCTGGGCATACCCCTCAAACACCCCCGCCGATTTCATCGCCGCCCGCACAGGCTCCATCCCCGGCTGATTCAGCATCGCCAGCATCCGCATCAGATCATTCTGCGCCATGGGCACTACGGGTGGCGGGCGCGATATCCGTCCCGACCGCGTCTGCTGGATGTGCGCTGGAGGCATGTCCATCATACCGAGATGATTCGAGTGCGAGTGCGGATGGGATTGACCTTGGCCCTGGCCTTGTTGGTTCGTGAGATTCTGGAGGAGGAGCTCGTAGAAGGGGGTAGTGAGCTGCGGGGCGGGCGTACTTTGCGCGGCGGACATGGCGCGCGAGAAGCCGGTATGCCCGAACATCTGGTCGAGGGTCATCGCCGTCTGATCGGCGGGCTGTGCGGGTTGCTGCAGGGTCAGCTGTGTGCTTTACGGGGTCACGGAAGAGACTGAGCTCACTTGTAGCATGTTCGACATGCTCGCGTTCATCCCGTGTCCTCCCTGCATACCCATATATTGCTGCTGCTGCTGCTGCTGCTGCTGTCCCGACGCCGCGATGGCCGACATGAGCAGGTCAAAGTGTCCCTGCCCGAGGGACTGCCGCGTCTGTTGCTGTTGCGCGTTCATCGCTGCTTGCGCTGGTTTAGGAAACGCCGTCAAGGCTAGGTGGAGAAGGTGGAAGGATAGACTATAGATCTTCGGCTGACTTGGGCGTTGCTCGTCAACAAAGTGTCGCGTCACGTCCAGCTTTCCCACGATGACACGCGACGCGCTTGTGTGCCACGTGCAGTGCATCCACTCCGCTTCCGAGCCGAAACTCTGCTTGAGGTTGGTGCATCGCCTTGTCCCTCTTACTCGATTCCCCCTCCCCCTTGACCTCCGCATCTATATCGCGCATCGTATATAACATGCGCGAACAAGAAGCAGCGAGGCCCATCAGGCCACCATAAACTTCCCATTCTTCCCCCATTCCTCTCACTCTACTCCTCGTTGACTTGTAAGTCTTCCATTCCTCCCTCCCCTCCGACCCCCTCTCTCGAACCCCACCCCTGGCAGTGATGATTGCATGTCGCCCCAGTCCTATATTGTAACATGAGGACCGACCAGGATACACCAAACATCCGCTACTGAGCCAAAAATTCTTCCTTTCTTTGACCCGCATTCTTCCCCTTCTTCCGCTTCCGCACTCCTTTCTCTTCGTTGCTGCTGGTACCGATGAACCCTTGCTGACTATCTGTCAGATTTCACGAACATCCAGGAATCCAGCTCAGCTCTGCTCCTTTGTCTGCACGTCCAGCCTGATCCAACGCGTAAGTGGTTGTCTCTTCTCAACGCTCTACTCCCCTCCTCTCCACCCACACTCAACGAGCATCGCCCAGTGATGAATTATTACATTCCATGCTAAGACTGACCTCCTCGCGGGGCTTGACGTCACATTTGTACACTAAGAACGGCCTTCTGAGGGCTTTGCTCGTTGTCGCTGTCTCCCTCCCACCATGTCCTTTGTTTCCGCAACCGGATATGGGCAATGGCTGACATGACAGGAGCCAAGACAAGCTCGATTCTCGACGCTACGTTAACCTCTGGGCCGCCGTCATGTCTTCTGAGAACACATCTCCGGTCCCGCCGCCCCTGGCGAAGGGCGTACCGATGCTCAAGATCTCGAGCAAGAAGATGAAGCAGGTCATCATGCGCTTATCAGATGGGTGTATTACTTGGGCGGGCACAGCCAGCTCTCGAGGTAAGCTATCTGAGCTACCCTGTGGTCTGTGGTACATCAAGCTGACATCTCAGTACCTATCAATCAGATCCGTGAACTCCGTCTCGGCCAACCGCCCAATGACGCCGCCCTCACTTCGTCCCGGTGGATCACCATCGTCTACGTCCGCGGCAAAGAGTGGAAGATCCTCCACATGATCTCACTCACCGACGACGTGCATGACCACTGGATCGAGACGCTTCGGACCCTGGTCGCAGAGACGAGCGACCGCGCTGTTGCCGAGATCAAGCCGTCGGATCCGGATCTAATCTGGATACGGCAGCTGTGGCCGGCGGGGAGTAGTACGATTGATATGGGGACGGCGGTGGGGCTGTGTAGGAGCATTGGGCTTGCCGTGCCCAAGGCTTTGCAGGAGGCGTACAAGGTGAGCTCAAGAATGCTGTATGAATGAGCTAGAGCTGACATGTCAGGGCCCGCTGAACGTATCCGACTTTCGACAACTCATCAAGGATGCCCAGACCCGGCCAGAACTAGACGCGCTGTACGCCCGCCTCTCCAGCTCCGGACCCTTTGTCAAAGCCAAGGTCGAGCGGTTCTTGTTGGAGACGCAAAAGATTAGCAACCCAGCGGCGGCGGTCACCATATTTACAACCTATGCAAAAGACGATCCCACTGCCTGGACTCTTGATTCGCTCTCGGACTTTTTGGCGAGTCAAGACAACGTCCCCACGCGCGAGATGGACATGACTCGTCCGCTATCCGAGTACTACATTTCGAGCTCGCACAATACGTACCTCGTCGGCGAGCAGTGGAGAGGGGAGAGCACGGTGGAGGGGTATATCAGGGTCCTGCTTGCGGGGTGTCGATGCGTTGAGTGTGAGCTATTGAAGCTACGACCCAGTGCGCAGGAGCTGACGCGGTAGTGGACTGCCACGATGGCGAAACCGAGCCAGAGGTCTACCACAAACTCACCCTCACCTCGCGCGTAACGGTCCGCGAGATCTGCAAGGCGATCGACAAGTACGCCTTTGTCGCCTCCCCTTACCCCATCATCCTTTCGGCCGAGATCCACTGCAATCTCTCACAACAAGCCCTCATGGCTCGGACGATGCGCGAGATCTTTGGCGACAAGCTCGTCACTTGCCCCCTTGACGACCGGACCCAACTCCCCAGCCCCGAAGATCTCCGCTATCGGGTGCTATTCAAAGCCAAACCCAAAGCTCCACCTCCTCCCCCACCCTCCCCTAGCGCTAGCGCCAACCTCGCCTCTCCCTCCCCATCCCGCGATACCTTCTTCGACAGCCGGGGCTCGGCCATCACGTCGAGCGATACCGAGTCGGACTCGCCCACTGCCAAACTCACCAAGCTGGTCCGCCGGATCAGCTTTGGCGGGAAGAGCGATACCTCGTCGTCTGGCTCTGGCTCGTCTGCTGCATCGGCGGATACCCCAAAGAAGGCATTCTCGGATGACCTCAAGGCCTTACTCGTCTATACCGCCGGGGTCAAGTACGCCGGCTTCTCCAAGCTCAACGTCTACCAACCCAACGAACAATTCTCGGTATCGGATCGAACGGCGGAACGGATCATCCGGGAAAACAAGCTCGACTGGGTCAAACACAACATGACCCACCTTACGCGTATATACCCCAAGGGCGCCCGGCTCAATTCGAGCAACTACGACCCCCGGCCGGCCTGGTCCGCGGGAAACCAGCTCGTCGCTCTGAACTGGCAGACTATCGACCAGGGGACTATCCTGAACCACGCCCTCTTTGCGGACTCCCCGGCGCCCGGATACGTCCTCAAGCCTTTAGCGCTCCGCACCAAGATCGCCGAAATGCCCGTCACGGTCCGTATCCGCATCGAGGTCATTTCGGCCCAACGACTCCCGTTGAGCGCGGCGGACCTGTACGTCGAGGGCCAGATCGACGAGCACGAGCAGGAGACCAAGGTCGTCAAGGGGACATCGATGGCGCCGGCGTGGAACGAGACGATGGAGTGGACGGTCAAGACCGTCCCGTCCCTCCTGGACCTCACTTTTGTGCGGTTGGATATTAGGGCAAAAGGGGAGGGGTCGGTCGCGCAGTGGGTGAGACCCATAGCGGCCATGCCGAGGGGGTATCGGTATTTGCCGCTGTATGATGGCATGTTTTCAAAGTTCGTGTTTGCGACGCTGTTTGTGAAGGTGGATGTGGAGGTGGTGGATACCACGGCGGGAGGGAGGAGGAAGTAGGGAGAACGAACGGTACGAGAGGGTCGTCGACGAGGGAAGCCGGAGATTGATATGAGCAGACTGTACTGTAGCTGTGTAGTTTACAAAGTTGCATATAGTTCAGCCCTTTTGTATAGTCTAGTCGTTCTGGGTTCCAGCTCAATCATGCATGGTCGATGGATCTTGCACCATTCCAATCCGAAGACTCGTGCAGCATATAGATTCCTTAACTGAATAAAAAGCTCGTGCGAAGCAATGTCTTGATCCATTTGAGCCTCACCAGTAATACTCTTATCAGCTGGTCAGTAACAAAGACCGCGAGATTAGATGACTCCGTTTGGCATTGATCAGCTGAACCAGTCACTCGTGCGGAGCGGTATCTAATGTTCGCCAGTTGTGGCCTTTTTAGCTGGTCAGCGAGAAAGAACGAGAGGATACACGAGTCCGTGAGGATTGCATAAGCTGAACCATGGCCTCGTGCGGAGCAATACCATAGATCCATCTAAGCATCTCTCCGACCCATTATAAGGTACAAAATGTCCCGCCTCTTCGCTGGTTCCTTTACTTCTTGGTGCCCCTGCTATTCTAGTGGCTTCTTATTGGATCAGCACGACCCAACAAGATGAGAGTAAGGCGGGAGAAGAGCGAGACTCACCCTGCTTTCGATACTTCTTCGCTGAGATCACGCCTGACCCTTGAGCCCCTAGGTCGCGCATATCCCTTCAGCGCCCTCAGAGCTCGTACCGCTTCCGCACCTCCTTGATCGCCTCCCCACCCCTCTGGCGCAACACCTGCCCAATCCACTCTCCCCGCTTATACCCCACTCTCGGGTCGATCAACCGCCAGATCTCTCTACCAACAAAGGGCCAGTCCACCTCGAGAACGTCAATCTTCTTGATCTCGTCCCAGGTCAGGTCGACGCCGTACGCTTTGCGGAATTCGACCTGGAGGGAGGGGAAGGAGAAGTAGAAGAGGATGGCCGAGAAGAGCATGACGAAGAGGGCTGGGCGGGAGGGCATGATGGGTATGCTAGTCGGGGGCAGGACAGGCGCTGGGTAATGACGGTGGGATGGAGGATGGCAAGGTGAGGACCTGGGTATGAGAGAGCGTAGTAGAAGCGAGAGAGCAAAGGTGATTGTTTGTTTGTGCAAGGAGCTCGGAGAAACGGAGCAGCGGAGTAGCGCTGCCGGCAGCTTCGGAGTGGCGGGTCGCGAAAGTGGCGCCACACCGCTCGGACCGCCGCCACACCGGGGAGGATACTGCATTCAAGGCGCTCTGCCAAGGTAAGACCAGTCGATGCATACGGGTATAGTATTATACGGTATAGAAAGCAGGCACTACGACTCCAATACAAAAGACTACAGAACATGCACTAGTTAAAAAAGGCGTTTCTCACCCCCCGGCCCGAAAATAGCCAGCTCAATTGAGCTCGTCACGCTTCCGCTTCCTGTCCGCGCCTCGGACGGAAGGGAGACTAGCACCAGTGACCTCAAAGTCCTCCTCACTCGAGGAGTCGTCGAGGTGCTTGATGGCCCTAAGGATGCGCTTGTAGGATCCATCGTCCGGCTCCGCCTTGATCCTGCGCCGGAGGGGAGCGCGAGCGGGAATCAACCCCTCATCATCCGAGCTATCCGCAACCATTTCACTTGCGACGACGCCTTTTCCCATGGCATTTTGAGCATGCCGTGGTTCCAGATCCCCCTTCCCCGTCCACCGCCACCATGTCCACCTTTCCCTTCCCCCCGCAGGGGAAGCACTTGATGGATGCAGAGGGCTTCGTTGACACCGGGACAGGTCGAGCCAGCTGAGCCCTACCCCTGTTCCGCCTAGGATGAGCGACAGGGGGCGCTGCCTCTGGCTCAGCGGCGATATCGATACCCGCAGAGGACGATCCGCCGGGCCGAGGAAGGACGTCCGAGGGCCAAGCGCCAGGCATGGTCTCCGCAAAGGGCGAAGAGGGCCGAGCAATGATGGTTCCGGCAGGAAGAGGGGCCTCTGGGCGCGATGCGGAGGATGCTGATGTGGGAACCCTTGCTGGCTCTGGCGCTACGGCCATCCGGAAGATGGCTCCATACGCGGGGCGCTCCCAGAGTGCGCTGAGCCGGAGGTAGTTGGCCGCGAGTCTTGGGTAGCGATTCAGCTCTGCGTTGAGCTTTTCGGCGTGGAGAGGGAACCGACTAAGGTGGACGTGGAGGCTGGACCGGGCGTAGGCCAGAGCCTGCAGCTCTCCGTTGAAGACTAGGTTGAATAGACCGGGATAGTCTACGACCTCGTACCCCCGTGGGGCGTCTGCATCGAGGAGGAGTGTGGGGTGGGTCGCGAAGATGTAGCGAACGCGATTGCCGATAGTGGGCTGGTGGATTGGGAGGAAGTGGACTGTTACACCGCGAGCCTGAGCTGTCAGCGCTCTTCAATCAGATCCAATCGTCCTCAAATGTCACATATCCCAGAACTTACCAGCAGAGACTTCTCTACCATAACTCCTACTCGCTTCATTGCCGCATCCCCCCTCCGGTCGATGTGGACGGTGAGCACCGAGTGCGTGTTGTATCCACGCGCTTCCTGGTCGGAAATGTGGGTAAAGATGCGCTCTGTGGGGACGATCCCTGGTCGTGGGCGAATTCGAGTGACGACGACGAGCGGCATGATTGATGATGGTGTGAAGAAGACGATGGGAGCGCGAGTGGGATGTTGAGGCGTGCGCTCAGACTAGACTATCAGCTCTATCATCACTGGCCGATCGCAAGCCAGAGCTGCCTGTGTACTCACTGTTCCCGAAAGACTGAGAGTAGCTTGGTAGCCGAGCTTTCACCTGATGATCAGGAAGCCTGTTGATCAGTATCGACTCGGGAACTCCAGGTCGCAAGTCCTTACTTACGATCCGAGAGCAAATGCCAGGCTGTCTGATGCGGGACACGGCTGTACTTTATGTGGTATTGGGCGGTACAGGAGTGCGGATGGGTATGACAGAGGACTCGAGCTTTCAGATGAGCGCGTAAGCTTGAGCTTGGAGATACGAGTGGACCAGAAGGTACGGGGGTGCGATAGTCTCACTTAGTGGCGAAAGTAAAGGAATTGCATAGAAAGAGAGCCGCTGGTCCGTCTATTTATCTCCTCCAGCCAGCAGTCAGGTGGCAGGTAACGTCTATCGACTCGATTCTAGGCCGGCAACGATATGAGCGCATACCCGGAACATTCTACGCGTCAGCAAGTAAACAACTCATTCCTGAGACCGGGGTTGGTATGCGGGGTATCCGCACCAACGCAGCTGATTGGTCGCCCTTGAGATGTCACGGGTGAAGATCCGGCAGCTGACCGCTGTCGAGTCGAGCTGGGATGACCGGACCTTGGTCCTGCGCCGGCAGAACCCGAGACATCTGCATGCTTGACGCGTCACATCTAGGCGCGATGTTAGAGCTCCAAAGTGCCTCAAAAGAAAGTACCGAAATCGCCGAAAGACGCAGAAGTGGACTGCAGCAGCAGCTTTGACAAACAAGTGAGATGACAAACCACGAGATTCGGTTCTGGGCTTAATAGTGCTCCTGACGCCTCTGGTGATCCGAGCCTTGGTTCACAGTTAAATGCCGTCAAACGGATAAGTTGGGGGGCGGCTACTGCACCCATAGTCGCTTGCTCGGCGACCTCCACACCTCCCAGTGCCAGACTCGAACGACAATACGACCGATCAAACGGTATACAGGATGACGGAACGGCAATACGGACAGAATCGAAAAAAAGGACAAACGTGCGGAATCATCGGATAATAGAGTAGAATCGGACAGAAAACGGAAGATAATCGGACTAATCTAAAGCGGAATACGATCTACAGGGTATCAACGGATAATAAGCTAGCGGATCTCGGGACGGGGGTACGCACAATGGTCAATAGACTGCGGAAGTGGGTTATCTCGTGAGCCGGCCGAGCCTGAAATGGCGGAGTCGGCGAAAAAACCTTTTGCCCGGACGCGCGGTCGTCCCCATACGATCGATATGAACCTCGATGTGCTCGATCACCTATGGGAAGAGGGTGGTCTAAACGAACCTGTAGATCAGACTGGTACGCCTGATCTGCATCAGATGCGCATACCTCCTAACTTTATCTGCTCCGGCGAGTGCTTCGACTCCTCATTCCTTAGGGCCTTCTCAATGACGGCACGCGCAATCGCGCTCGAGCGAACGTGTGCAATGTCCTCCGCGAGGGCCAGCACGACCGTTGAGAACTGGTGCCCACATCACCGACTCAAAGGTCGCTGGTTCACACGCCTACAAGTTGTTTATGCCAAAGCTGTGCATGACGCATGACCGATGACCAGTTGTAAGCAATTTGTGCGGGACCTGAATCAAATCGTCAACCTGAAACACGGGGTATGCGGTCACTTTTGGCTACGACGTCATGCGGCTCAAGCCGCTCGTGCAGTGGAAGTAACGTTGAGGAATATTGGCTGGGTGCCACAGTTCGAGCTCCGGCCGGACGAGCGGCGGGGTCCATCGGAGCTTGGCGTCGATCTGTCCTGAACCGCGATGTTATCGCTGCAGAAGCGCCTCAAAAGATATTTGCGCTATCGCCGATAGACGCGGATGGGAAGTGCAGGGCATGATACCAAACTCAGAGGGAGCAAGAGAACACGGGATCCGGCACTGGGCTTGATAGTGCTCCTGACGCCTCTGGCGATCCGAGCCTTGGTTCCAGGTAAACGCCGAAAAGCAGGAGAAGCGTCGGCAGCCTCTACACTCGGGGCTGCTTGAGCGGTGAACTCTACTCTCTGGGGGGCCGACTCGAAATGACGATAGATTTAGGCGTCTAATGTACAGGGAGCATCGGACGATACGAAGGCAAGTCTCGAAACGAGGGTGCGAACGAAGGTCGAGCCGAAAGGAGATGGATTATCCCGTGGATCCGGCGGAGCCTGCCTGCGGGCGCGGAGTCGGCGAAACATCTTTTTTGGTCGGATCACAGCCGGACATTCATCGTGACCATATGTGCGCTTGCACTATCTGCCCATGGCGCGGTCGGTAAGATCAGGTGGCACGGAACACAGAGCTCTGTAGAGCGCACTACTTCCAAGTTCCCTTTCGTTCCGCATTCCTTTGAACCTTACGTACTCACTGTGGCCCTGCATGCTGCCTCGTGCCCCCTCCTATCCCTTAGCTCATCCCCATCTCGTCATAGCAATCTGCGGTGGCCGAGCAGGTCGCTCTCGCGCTTAAGGAACAAGTGACCACGGCCGATCCGCGTGCAGAGATGAATACGGCGATGCGGCGCGTGGGCATGTGGGGGTCGCGACGTATTGGCTGCGAGATGAGGCGCGGATGTCAGACTTAGACTTGACTTGCTGCTACGCTCGGTTCACGCTAGGGTTGGGCGGCGTCGTGATCCGCCTCTGGGAGCCTACCTTGTATCATGACTTGATCGTCTGCGCATGCCGCCATGTATACTAGAACACTTGCCCGTTGACGAACGGATCAGCGGTGAGACGGCTTCGAGAATACGCTACCATGAGCAAGTCAAACGATAACGATCAGCATGAGTCCTGGCACAACCTCTCGAGTGATGTTGCTCAGCATGCCTTTCGAATCGACCTCCTCAGTGGTCAGTATCGTCAGCCCTGTAGCCATGACCCTGGGCGCCTGTATTCCGCCAGCCCTGAACGACTAGTCATTATTGTATATCTACTATGGGTCATCAGCCACTGAACCGCGAACCGTATGATCGGCGATTCTCCACCGAGATCGCTTGGTTTCTCCGAGCTGATAGCACTATCTCCTTTGGCTCCCATCAGACTACGCCCTTCCGGGCGCCTTAGTATCCCCGGCCCCTACCGCTGACAAGTCAGCTGCTAGTCTTTCGCTGTAGCGGATTCAACTTACCGCCCTCTCGCCCTATATGGCCTGAACCCTCCCCTTCCCCTCCCTCGCCCTCGTCCACGATTCGTCATGTTCATCCCAGGCACGTTCGTCCGCTTCTCCTTCACCTACAGGTCATCAGTTCCCAATCATCGCATCCTGAACTCGCAAGGCTAGACATACCGATAATAATCGTCCCCTAAACATACTGTCGTTCAACACTACCGCGTTCTGCACGATGGAGGGTTCTGCGAACTCTACATACGCGTACCTGTCCGGTAAGCTTCGGCAGTCCGTAACTGCTGGCACGGATTACTGGACAGCTTACCCTTTCGGATGCCCCGTAAACTTGTCGCATAGAATAGTGACCCGATTGATCGTCCCGCATGCTTGGAAATGCGCTTGTATCTCCTCTGGTGTCGCTCCGTAATCCACCTGCACTGTCAGCTATACGTCCCGCAGGGCAAGGCCAGGGCGAACCTTAGCTTACATTGCCGATATATACACTCCTGGCGTCAACAGCTGATGGCTCGTCCTCCATTTCTGTGTCTAGATCTCCATCTTCCCCTTTTGGGACTGATGTTGAAGCTGAGGCGTTCTTGTTGGATTCTAACTAGAGGAGTCAGCTTTGCGCTTCGACGACGAACCGTCTCCAAAAAGCTCACGGCGTTGCGCTCATCCTCCATTTGCTTCAGCCGTTCCTGCATCAGACGCAATTCCTTCTCGGTCAGCTACGCTCTTGTCAAGAACGGACAAACAGAAAGACATAGCGGACATACCTCGTCGACGTTGACATCGTCGTCCGCAATTGCAGGTGAAGATTCGCGGAGTTCAGCCATGTTGCCTGATTGACGAGACTGTATTTCGAGGTGTAGGTCCAGACTGTTTGGCGAAGCTGCTGTTCGGGAGAAGGGCGATAGACAGGATACAGATAGGAGATAGGTGTAGTATGGATGCAATAGAGAGAGAGGCCAGCAAGCCGCAAGCAGCCAGCCTCTGCAGTCAAAACATCACCAAGTGCCACATGGCGGGATTAGCCGAAAGATTCCGATTACTTCCGTGCGTCTCAGGGGTCGCTGGCTGGTGGTGGTGCAGCTATTGATGCTATAGCAAAGGCTATCTATCCTTATATACATATAGAGGATCGGTGAGTTGACCCTCACTATCGGACGGAAGGCGCCATTGAGTGACACAGCTGACTTCGCAGCCCAAAATGTCTGCTGCAACTCGAACAGCATCCGCCTCGGCCCAGGTCGTGCGTCTTTTCCTCAAACCCGCAACCTCCTATTGCCCATACTGACCACCCAGGACTGGTCCAAGATCTACACCGGTCTCGGCCTCGGCAAGCAAACCATCACCTCCCTGCAGGAATTCCGCGCGCGCCACACCACCGCCCTCAACCGCAACTCCGCCCTCAAAGCCACCACCCCCGAGATTGACCTGTCGCACTACAAGGGTCTGCTCAAGGACCAGTCGGCGGTGCAGAATGCCGAAAAGGTGCTCCGGGAGTTCAAGGCGGTCGATTACGACGTGACCAAGTTCAACTCGGCGGTGGATGCGTTCAAGGGCAAGGCGGTCGAGGCGGCCAAGGCGACGCTGAAGAAGATTGAGACGGAGGAGGGGAGCTTGAAGGATACGTTGGCCAACATCCAGGAGGCACGGCCGTTTGAGGATCTCACTGTGAGTATAGGTGGTCGAGAGGGGATGGGTGGAAATGCTTTACCGGGATGCGGTAGGCGAAGGGTTGGAGCTGATTTGCAGGTCACCGAGGTTGCCAAGGCCCGTCCCGAGATCAGCAAGGCGGTTGAGACTATGATCCAGAAGGGGAAGTGGACTGTTCCGGGCTACAGGGTGAGTCATGGCTGTGCAGCGAGGGAGTATAGTATAGAGCTGACGGATCGTAGGAGAAGTTCGGAGAGTTCTCGCTCATGTAGAGAGTATGCGCTCATGCATGGTTGGTTCTCGCTTGAACGAAAGTAGTTGCGGAGATGGCGGTACCCCGCCACGTTCAGTGCTGTACTGCCCGGTACAGGAAACCAAGCGAGGAGAAGGGAAAGCGCCTTCCCAGCAGTATGCTCCCTCGCCACCGGACATGGCCCTCGCATTCGCATCCTTCCCGACATCTCGGCTGTAACAGCGAGGGATTACGAAGTGGGTCAACTCGACTTCTGCCTAATTTCTCAACCTAAACCCAAGTAAGGTCGAGGCCGCGCGAATGACAACCCAGCCACAACGGAGGGACAGGTGAAGTATGCTGCTCAGTAATTGACCGACTTTTGGCCCCAGTATATCTGGTACAGCGGTCGGCCTGGTACTCAGAGGCCTCTGCGGCCTTGCCTGCCCCCATCAGCTACCCAACCCAGGCATGGGCATGTAGGCATGCCGAAAATTATCTGAAACAGCGTTACCTCTTTAGCGCTGTCACTCTGAAACCTGATGGGAATGGATCTGAGCTTATCCCTCAGGAACGAGGCTGAACACACACAGACACGCGTCCACTACGAAAGGGAGGGGACAAGTGGGAAATTTCAGCGCCATCACTGTCACTCGCCTACTCAACCTTCGACAGTCGCCTTCTTCCTTCTTCCTCTCTTCCCCCTCTTATCCTCATCAGCATCACCCAACATGTCACCCCCCAAAACCCCTCCCTCGCCTTACCTCGCCAACTCTACCGCCCCGCCCTCATACCCCAACTCCACACCTCCGAGCAGTACCACCTCTGCCTTCCCTTCTTCGGACCAAGACCAGGACCGCCCCGCTCCCGAGGTCCGCAGAGGAACGGTCATCCCTCCACTTTCGAGCTTCCCCAGCCCGGTCCCCCCTGTCGTCAAGCCCGACTTCGCCGTCAATGCGCTGCGGAACCCGCGGGACTACGAGATCATCACGCGGGCGTTGAAGACGCATGATCAGCAGGCATTACTGGATGATGTGCTGCATCGGACGGGGTACTATGCGGGGGAGATCAACGGGTTGGTTAGTCGGTCGGCGAGGACGAGGGTGGTATTTACCCCTGCGCCTATGCTCGAGAGTCCTAGTGCTGAAGGAAGCAGGAGTGGCGCAAAGAGTCAGGAAGGGGCGAGTCGGAAGGGGACGAAGGAAGTGAAGGGGGAGAAGGAGAAGATGGAGGTACTGGAGGATACGGAAGAGGATGAGGAGACGGTCGTGCAGGCTGTCAAGAAGAAGAAGAAGAAGAAGGGTGGACAGAAGAAGGGAAAGAAGGCGGGGGCTGTCAAGCCCGAGGAGGAACCGAAAGGGAAGGTGGAGAAGGAGGAGGAGGCAGAGAAGGAGGAGGTGGAGAAGCTGGTTCAGGCGGAGGAGGGGATTGTCGGGGTCCAGCCGGCGGACGACCCCAGCGAGACAGTCAACGTCGAGCTTGTCAACTCGGAGCCTGTCACAACCGAGGTCGTAGCCATGGTCGAGCCCGTCATTATCGAACCCGTTGAAGAGCTCGCTGCTCCATCCCCCGCTGTCGTCGAGCCCTTCGAGATCCCCAGCACTCCCGCTTCCTCTGTCGAGACGCACACCACCATCGCTGAAGCGCCCGAGTCGTCCGCGGCTGAGGTCATCCTCACTCCAAAGGCACCCCATGTGAGTATCCCCGCACACACAAATTTTCAACAAATAGAACCCACACTGACCCTCAGGTCCAAGAAGCTTCCTCCCTTCGCATCACCCCCTCTCATCTCCGCGGCTCTACCTCTCCAGCCGACCTTAACGCCCACTCCCTCCTTGGCGATCCTGGACGCATCACCGTCAACCTCCCCGCTCCCCGTGCCGTGTCTTCCCCAGCCAACATGACTGCCCACACCCATCCCGTCGTCAAGCTCGTCCCTGTCGTCGAGGAGGCGGCTGACGATACCCACTCCACCACCCCGCCGCCTGCCGCCAGTTCCAAGGCGGCACTTCCGTCCATCGCGGTTTCCTCTCCGGAGAAGCTCCTGCTCTCGCCGACCGCTACGGAGATCGACGAGGATGAGGACGAGGGGAGTCCTCGTATTATTGGGTTGGGCGGGACGCGCGGGCTCGGACACGCCCGTCGAGGAGATAGCATGGTCTCGAATGGGTCAGACGGAGATTTCTCCTCTACCCAGCTCGCACAGCTTACGGGCTTTGCTCCTCGTCCGTCCGTCCCCCAGCCCGCTGGCGATGTTATACCCGAGCCGGCCACGCCCGAGAGCGTCACCTCTGACCTTCCCCAAACGCCCATTACACCCCCTCAGCAGCTCCTCTCTACCTTTCCCTCCCCTCTTACTCCACACCGACACATCAGCCTCAGCCCGCAACCCACTCTGGGCTCTCCGCTCCGGTATGAGCTCGTCCCTCCCCCCATCCTCTACTCCTCGGACGAAGGCGAAGTCGTCAGCGAGAACGCGATCGCCAACGACAACCGGACCGCCAAACCCTGGTCCCTCTTCTTTAGCGATACAAGCAAGGACGGCCAGTCTCGGCGCGCCAACGCCCACGCGGCCCATGCGCATATGCCCTCGCCCGAGGCATACCAGCACGGCCTCGTGCCGATCTTTACGGCGGACAATCTTGTCGATCTGTTCGGATACTGGCGGGCCCTCCGGCGGCAGATTGCGAATGCGACAGGAAGGGAGATTGAGTATCCCCATGAGTATCTGAAAGAGGGCGAGATGGGGCTCGGACTTCACTGTATGAAGGATGATAATAACTTTCATTTTTTCGTCAGGGGGGTCAAGCCGATGTGGGAGGATGAAATGTGCGTTCATGGTGGCAAGTTTATGTTTGCCGGTCCGGGGGATAAGGTCAGTCCTAGTACTTCCTTACCGTCCATCCCCCTCTTTGCTTTGCCCTCCCGCCAACAACTGGTGTTCAGGTTCTGGTGAACAAAGCTGACGAGGCCCTCAGATGGACTCACTCTTCTTCGACCTGGTCCTCCTCCTCATTTCCGACCGACTATCTGACGACTGCCCCCCGAACCCCGGCTCGGGATCGCAAGTACTCGGTATCTCCCTCTCTCGCCGAATGAGCAATACCCGCCTCGAAGTATGGGTGGGCGGACCGGGCGTGCCTGAGCGGGAATGGATAAGGAGGGTGCAGGAGGTGTTTGTACGTGAGGCGAGGGGGGAGAGGTTGTATGAGTACAAGCCGTTCCATCCGCCTTCGACGGCTGCGGGTGGGGGTGGCGGTGGCGGTGGCGGTGGAGCGGGGAGTGGGAGAGGAATGGGGATGGGGGGAGTGGCTATGGGGAAAAGTAGTTCGGGTGGGGCGGGACCAGCCAGGTCGCCTATGGGAGGTATGGGAGGAGGGGGCGGAGGGATGGGCAGGTCAGGTCCGGGCCCAGGACAAGGGCAGGGACAGGGGCAGGGGATGTTTCAGGGGGTGATGAAGGGTATGCCGATGGCGAGGAGCTTGAGTATGGGGCTGTGAGCTTCTCAGGTCGGTCGAAGTGAGGGTCCAGGGAGTCGGCGGTTGGTAATCAGGTTTTAGGGGTCGGTCAAAGGCGAAGAGGGGGTTTTCATATATCATCACATTCACAAAACATCATGATCCCTCGAGCTCCCACTTCCCATTCTTTCGTTGTATATAGATTCATAGAGGGAGGTTTGTACATAGCCACTTAGGTAGACACCATATCATCATCATCGTAGAGTAGTGACATGGGTAAAGAGGAGAAAGGAAATAAGAGCAATCATGAATCATATGCCCATGTACGGTACTATACAATGATACGAGCTGTCTATGCTGAGAAGTCGTTGATGATATGGGATACTCTACCCGTTCGGTCTCCGACACGTATAGCTATAGTGATGGATCCTGCGGCGCCATTGCCATCCGAATCACCGCCTCAACATGCCACTCCGATCCGCCAAAGACCGTCCTTGGCCATCTAACTCCCTTCTGTCCCTGCTTGCGCTTTCCGGCCTCATCCCACACCGCCTGCACCTGTACGTCTCATAGTCTTCGAAAGCGCTATGTCCCCAACATGATAGTCACCGCCATAGCGACACACGCTAATGAGACATAAGGGCTCAGTCTCTCTCCTATTCTTGCGAATTTGAAGAATAGCCCGAGGAACCTGATAGTATCAGCTCTTACTCTGTCCGATCCTTCTTGCGGGAGGCAAAGGAAGATGACAGTTGGAGAAAGCCACTCACCCTTCTCTATTACGATCGACAAGACCGGGCGCGGTTCCGCGTACATATGTACAGGTGCAGATGAGGAGTAAGAGGACGAGGAGGAGGGACTGGAAGTTGAAAAGTGCGGACTGGAGGGGGTCAGCGGTCTCTTGGGTGTTTCCGGGCCTGTGTCTCGCGAGACGAGGTAGGTGATAGGGGAGCCGGGGTAGAGATGGTGACGTACCATTGTGAGCGGTTAATCTACCGAATGCCTACCACGGATGAGGGAGTTTCTCGTTTGGATCGTCCGAGGAGGGGCTATAACGCTTCTGCTCCTGTCCCCCTTCGAGTAGAATTGCGAATTGTTTTGTTTCCTGACGGCACGGGCCGGGTCTGGCTGTGTTCTCAGCTTCCTGGTTGGCTCGCTTGCTGTGTGATGGGCGCATACATAAACGAAAGTCAGAGCTCGACGAGGCTCGTCCAGCTGGCAGTCGTTGCTGAGCATACCTCTACCCGGCGATCCCCGCACAGCTTCTGCGCGACGCGACTTCTTTCCGTCGGAACCCTCATCCACTTTCAAGCTCCAGCTCGGTTCAAGCGATTTCCAGCCACCATCATCAGCCGCATCAATCGTTTCTACATCACACTGCACCCTCACACAGCCTCCTGACCGAGAGGAGGAGGAGGAAACCAGCGATGCCGCCCAAAAAGGTGGCTGAGAAGCCTAAAGCCAAGTCCTCGCCGACGCGCAAGTTCGCCAAGACGACCAGCTTCGGTGAGGGAAAGAAGATGGGCAGTTTGAACTCGGTAAGTGTGCGATGCGACACGGGCGCTTTCCTGCTTAGATATGGAAGCTATCTCGTTTGATGGATGAGATCCACAGAGAGCTAATACGCTAGTTCCAAGGCAAATTGAACTTTGGTGCTCTTCCCATCAGCTCTTCATCCTCCGGATCCGCCTCGACTTCGGCCTCGACGTCGAACAGCTCAGGCTCCACCTCGGCCCCTTCCCGCCTGTCATCACAGCCCTCACAATCGGCCGGTAAAGGCAAGGACCGCGCTTCCGTCGATCCCCCCACGCAGAGAGAGGTGCGAGAAGGAAGCGAGAAGGATAGCAGGCTCATGCCTCCTCCTCCGGCCGGACTGCAGACCAAGTCGAGGCTTGCGGCTGTTTCCAAACCTGCGCCTGGGAAGGCGAATGCCAGCGGTAAAGGCAATGGAACGATCAACGGCAATGGCAATGTTATTGGGAGGGCCAAAGCGAAGGGAAAGGAGAAGGTGGCGGTCATTGAAGTGGGAAGTAGTAGTGACGAGTCGGACGAGGAGTCGGGAGGGCGTGGGAGTTCTCGGAGAGCATATCGCCGGCAAGGTGAGCTATAGCAGCACATCTGTATTCAGAGTCACGGGTGGGATAGCTGACGATGATAGATGGGATGTGGGCAGATAGCTATCCGCCCTTGACGGAGACGGACCTCGCACCGGGGAAAGCACGCATCGCAAAGGTCAAGAATTGGCTACATGAGGCCTTGTATGGGTGTACGGCGGATGCGCCCGCCCAGGCTAGGCAGAACCGGGCGGCGGTAGATAAAGTGCGAAAGTACAGGGTGAGCTGTCTCGAGCCTGATTGAGTTTGAAGAAGAATGAGCTGATAGGTGTAGCGGATACTACTCCTCACTGGACCTGCGGGGGCCGGGAAGACGACGACTGTGCGGGTGTTGGCGAAGGATATGGGAGTGGATCTGATGGAGTGGGGCGAAGGGCCCGAGGAGTGGAATATGGGCGGGAGCGGTATGGGTACGTTGACATCCTTCCAGCTGTCAAGCATTCGCTCCAGCGTCAAATAGCTGACATCGTAGACCGCGAATCCTCCATATCCAAATTCTCAACCTTCATCTCCCGCAACACCTACGCCCCCTTATCGTTATCGACCTCGGACGTCCCATTCTCGGCCCTCGCTCCCGCCTCTTCCTCCTCAGCCTCTTCCACTCCCGCTCGACCCCGGATACTCTTCCTGACGTCCCTCCCGAATATCTCACACGTACCAACCAAAGAAACCTTCCATGCCGCCCTCCGCTCATTTTGCAAATCCTACGAAAGCTCCAGCTGCCCGATGGTGATCGTGCATTCGGAGGTGGGGACGAATGGGTCGGCCGAGGAGAGTTGGAGGGAGAGGGAGAGGGGAGGGAGGGAGGGGAGTATGCAGTTACTGGGGAGGGAAGTGAAGGATGGGCCGTGGTGTTCTGAGATTGAGTATGTCGAGTCTCGCTACTCCTCCCGCCCTCTCAGCTATCAAGATGAGATAGATGAAAGTCAAATCCGGGTGGGGCTGATCCACCAGATTTCTCCCCGTCGCCCCGACGTTCCAAATCAAAGCGCTCAAACGGGTCCTCGAAAACGCCTCCGCCGCCTCCCCCTTCCCCTTACCTACCGTCGCCTCCGTACAGCTCCTCGCACTCAACTCGAACGGTGATCTTCGATCGGCGGTCAATTCGCTGCAGATGCTATGTATGCGCATCAAGGCGGAGAGTAAGAAGCGTGATAACGGTGCTGACGTGGACGGTGGGGCTGGAGGTGGGGGAAAGAAAAGGAAGACGGCGTCGGGAGGGGCGGTGGCGACGAGCACGGGAATGGGGACGGGGAGGGGGTCGAGAGGTGGGAGAGGGGCGAAGTTGGATGTTCCGAAAGATCTCCGAGCTGTGTGAGTTTCATGAGGCTCGTTGTCGTGACAGCGGACAGGAAGCTGATATACAGGCTCGACGCTCTTACGAGGAAAGAACAATCCTTGCATCTCTTCCATGCACTCGGGAAGGTGCTTTATAATAAGCGTCAGTTGTTTTGACGATACCGTATGGTCTCAGCATAGGAGCTGACTGTGCAGGCCTCGACGACCCTTCGACGGATAATGACGATCGCGCACTCATCGATGAGATTCGTCAAATACCGCCCGACGACCCATTACCTTCTCACTTGAAAGAATATGAGCGTCGGAAATCGCTCGTGCAGATGGAGGTGAGCTGCGTTCAGCTGCACCTGCATGAATGTCGGCGATGGATCAGCTGACATGTAGGCTTTCGCCGGCTCGATACCTATCGACTCGTCCTCTTTTACATTATGGCTACATCAATCCCTCCCTTCTTTCTGCGTCGATGTGGATGAGGCATCAAGAGCAGCAGACGAGATGTGCTCTGCGGATATCATGCGCACAGATGACGATATCGTAAGCTGCCCGACCCTGTGTTGTGGACTTCGCGTACTCTGGCGAAGCAGAGTCAGCTGACGAACATAGTGGCAATCCTCCCAACAAGCCATCTCTTACGCCCTCCAAATATCCATCCGGGGCGCCCAGCTGTCACTCCCCTCCCCCGTACCCCGCGCGCACCAAAAGATCCTCAAACCCCAGTTCTTTGACTCATTCAAGGCCGAAAAGAAGAATCTGGAGTTGATGGATGTTGCGGCGGGATATTTGGCCAAGAAGGCGGCGGGGGCGAGTGTCGCGTTGGCGGAGTATGAGATGGGTGAGCCCGCACCAAAGCAAGAGCAAGGGGCTGGGGGGTCGGCATCGGCCTGGGCGTGGGGCGGGTTTGTGTCGAGGAGGGTATTGGCGATTGAGATTGTGCCGATGTTGGTCAAAATGCAGGGACTGACGGAGCGTGAGTACTTCTCTCTTTATCGACTCGAGCTGAGCTGATGAATATAGGCCCTCTTTTGCCTGCTTCAGTTGCGCCACTGAGAATGCCAGCTTTTGGGCGGATGACGGGCCGAACGGAAGGTGAAGAGCTCACGGCGAGTCAGAATGACGTGGATGAGATGGCAGCGGGGAGGAGGAAGGGGATGAGGCGGGGGTGTTGAGTGTAGGGTGGGATAGGGAGGAGGAGGAGGGGGAGAAGGAGGAAGAAGGGGGTTGGTTGGTTGAGGACGATATTATGGATTGGGACTAGAGGCAATCTCACAGCTCACGTTGTGAGTATCAGAATGTGCAGGTGCTTTGTTCAGGAATCCATGCAGCCATGCCATGCTATATCTACTCCTGCCTCCTGCCAGCCCAGCGAGCCTGGCTTGCTCGATGCTCTATGTAGACTGCACCTGGACAGGTGGACCACCCGGGTCCGCGATTACCCGTCCCGGCTCCGGCCGGCAAGGCAAGATCCGGTCGCTGGAGGGTGTCAAGACTGTCAGCCTGGCCGCACGACTCTTGTCACTGCGTCCTCCTCTTCGCTTCGCGATAACACAAAGTACGTCGACCCGACTACTACCCAAAGCGGCTGTGTATAGCGAAGTACACCTCTGTGCGCTGCTCGACTAGGAACATTCCCATTGATCATCGCCTTCACGCCCCTGGACCTCCTTTGAGCGCGAAGCTCCTATATACTTGGTCAACTATGGTTTCTCGTTCTCTCCTTCGACAAGGTGCTCGCTTGGCCCGATACTCGTCGCCACAACTCGGACCATCTCCATCCGCAGTCGCTGTTGTCCGTCAGCAACGGTACAAATCCACGTCTACGTCTACGTCTAGCTCGCCGCACATGCCTCATGGAAATGGGCGGTTCATCAAGTCCGTCCACCTGTAATGTGACGGATGCACCGCTGATCAGACAGTATAGTAGAAGTCGGCCCTCGCGATGGATTACAAAACATCTCGGGCGCACCTGTACCTACCGATATCAAGCTGGAACTCATCCGCCGGCTCTTCCAGTCCGGGGTGAAAGTGATGGAAGTGGGGAGTTTTGTGCGGGCGGACAAAGTACCTCAGGTAAGTCTGCTCTTCCCAGCTTCTGCTCTTCAGGCCGATATGTAGGCTTGAGCAACGAGAAGGCAAGAGGGCTGAGCAGGTGCTGACGGTGTAGATGGCAGATACACCGCAGCTATTGCCCATGCTCCGGGACATGCCTGAAGCTCGGGGCAAGGATATACACCTCCCGGTCCTCATCCCGAACATGCGCGGGCTGGATAACCTGTTAAAGCTGGAAGAGGCGCACAGTGGGGATGGGAAGGGAAGGCTGACAGATGAAATATCCGTCTTTGTCCCAGCTTCAGATGTGAGCTCCCCTCGAACCCCTTCCTTCTTTTCTTGTGATTCGGTGCTCATAGCAGGCCTTCTGCCGCGCCAACAACGGTACCACCGTCGACGCCCTCCTCGCCTCCCTCCCCGCCGTGGTCTCCAAAGCCATCAACCACGGGTATCGCGTCCGCGGGTACGTTTCCGTCGTCATGACCGATCCATACAGCGGGAAAGTGCCCGTGGAGGCTGTGAATCGGGTGACGGCGGCGCTGGATGGGATGGGGTGCTATGAGATGAGTTTGGGGGATACGACGGGGGAGGGAGACGTGTTATCTTGGGTGGGGATGTGGGAGGGGTTGAGGAAGGAGGGTGTGGATATGGATAAAGTCGCTGTGAGTCTCCCCGTGTAGGAGTATAGGGATGAGCTGACTGACAGGTACATGTGAGCCAAGGCAATCGAGCTCATGATGTGAAGGACCGACTGACGTCTAGGCACACGATACCTTCTCCTCCGCCCTAGCCTCCATAACCGCCCTCCTCCCACTCGGACTCCGAACGATCGACTCGTCCGTCGCTGGTCTGGGCGGCTGCCCTTACTCCCCCGGTGCGACAGGCAATGTGGCGACGGAAGATGTGGTCCGGCTGCTCCATACGCTGGGGTACGAGACGGGGATCGATCTGGACAAGCTGGCAGAGACGGGCGGGTGGGTGAGTGAGAAGCTGGGCCGGAGGAATGATAGTAATGTTGGGAGAGCGATGGAGGCGCGAAGAAGAGTCAAGGAGACGAGGGTGAGCGCAAGTATATGACGACGGGGGCGTTAAGGTCGAGTGTTGTACTGGAGAAAGCTGCTGCGTGTCGACCCTCTGAGGCAAGCTGCTGCTCGTCGATTCGACCGGTTCATCTCCAGGCCAGCGCTGTCCGTCATTTTCTCTCGGGTCTCGGGTCGAATAGACGGACTTCTTTCTCTCTCAGGCCCCTCTCTGGCTCGCGCACAGACAGGTTTCTACTGTTCCAGCTTCCAGTCCTGCTCTGGCCAGCGCATAGATAGTCAAAGGTTGTGCGAGGAGAGAGGATTGCCTCAGCAAAAGCATCGGCGACCGAGTGTACGGCATCCGCGGAGCAGCGCGGAGCCCCCCTTTTGCAGCCCAAAGTTCCCATATCGGGCGATCTCAAGCGGTTTCTCGATCATCGCATAGGTTTGCCTTTTGAACCACAACAGCCACAGCCACAGCCACACGGCATCTCCAACAGCAAGCGAACGGCAGGGAGGCGTCTGCGTCTTCTGCGCGACTACATACATCCAGACCTTCCATATTCTCGAGCGGTACAAGCCCTGCGAGGGCATTTCTGGGCGACAGGACGACCCCACATAGAGAATAGACGGCTATCGATCCGACAACCCTTTCAGCCCCGTCTGCCTGCCCTCGCTGACCGCGAGTGAGCAGGAAAAAAGTCGACAGTGAAAATGTTGACCTACCTCCAGGTGTAGGTCTTCTTGACAGAGAGACAGCTATGGGTATAAGCTGACACGGCAGACACCTCCTCTTTGTCATTCCTCCGATTTTGGGCTTGGGGTTTCTTTACTGGCCCGTCCTTGGCAGACGGGATGTCTTCAAGATGATCTGGGCTTGCGCATTGGTATGTTCTCCACTCCACCTTGGAGCTATGTTGACATGACAGGCGACAATATGGACCACACCATGGGATAATGTAGGTCTACACCTTCCAGCAGCGATCCGGCCGCAATTGCTGACACCCTCCCCAGTTCATCCTTTCGCAAGCGGGCTGGTCATACCCCGAAGGCAGTATCGTCGGCAAGATCTACTACGTCCCACTCGAAGAACACCTCTTCTTCATCCTTCAGCCCATCTTCCTCACCCTCGTGCACTCTATCGTCGCCCACTCGCAGCTCATCCCATTCCGCATACCCCGGCTGAGCGACGTCAGCTTCCGCCAAGGTCCGGCGCAGGTCCAGGCCGGCAGCTCGACCAGCGAAAAGAGTAAGGCGGTCCCCGTGTCGGAGCATGAACACGGCAAGGTGCAGACATTGCCGAGAGGAGTGGGGATGCCCGCGTTCTGGATGGGCGTGACGGCGCTGGGAGGGGTCCTGGTGCATGAGTCGCATGGGCTGGAGGTGTTGCCCATACACCTAGGACTGGGGAAGCACGCGTTCTACTTGGGTTGGATCCTTATTTGGATCAGTCCGGTGTGCGCGTTCTTGACGTACCTGGGTGCGCAGTTTGGGAGGGCGGAGGTCATCTCGCTGGCGGCTGGGACGGCATGGTTGTGGCTGGTGGACACGTGAGCTTTCGCTTTTGGAACGTTCCGAAGCTTTCAGCTTACACTCCAGGATCGCCCTACGAAACGAAGCATGGACGATCTCGAAAGAGACCACACTCGGCTTTGACGTATGGAGGGGGTTGCCAATAGAGTGAGCCTTGCCAGCCTATTCTAGTGCTCACGCTGATGATCGCAGAGAAGCAACCTTCTTCCTGCTTGTTTCCTACCTTCTGATCCTCACCGCCTCGCTGCTGTCGCACCTCCACACCCTCCTCCTTCTCTCGCCGGAATTCCCACCATGTCCCCCGCTCAACATCCCGGGCCATATCGTCCTCCTCGGCCGAGCCGGCTTCAACCCGCCCCTGATTGATGCTGGGCTGCTGTATGGGCTGCAGCTCGCGGAGGATACGTTGAAGAAGGGAAGCAAGAGCTTTGAGGTTGCGAAATTGGCTTTTGGACGGGAGATGCGAATTGGGCTGGTGGCTGTTTACGCTTGGTGCAGGGTCACGGTGAGTCGACTGTCCGAGGCAGGTGCCTCGGCTTGAGCTTATTGAGTAGGACGACCTGATAGATAACGCACCCACGATCTCTGATGAGGGCCTTGAAAAGGGCGCCATCCTCGATGTCATCCGCTCCCACCTCACCGCCGCCTTCTCCGGCGCAGAGCCTGTCGCCCTGCACCGGATCCTCTCCACCATCCCCGGTCTCACACCCGAAGTCACCTCTGCGTTCCACATCTTCGCTACCCTCGTCCCACGGCTTTCGCCCGTCGAACCCTTCCTGGAGCTGTGTAAAGGGTACGAGACGGACCTCAAGTTCCTCTCTATCCCGGAAACAGAAGCTGCGACGGGGCAAGAGACACTCCGGGCGCGAATGGCAGACAAGGCGTTCAATGTGGAGGAGCACCTTCCGATACGGACCAACGAGGACCTGCTGCAGTATGCGGACGACGTGGCGGGTTCGATTGCAGCAGCGATCTGTTATCTCGCTTGGTCGGTCCTTTCTTACCCTTCGGGCGGGGACGCTCGGCGGCCGGTCGAGAACCTCCCGTGGGCGGCGGACCTGCATCGGAACACCCTCTCCCCTTCTTCTCTTTCGCAAGCAGAAAAGGTCCGCGTCGAGACGGTCCGGTCGGCAAGGACGATGGGGCGCGCCCTCCAGCTCGTCAATATCGCAAGGGACGTAGCCAAGGATGCCATGATAGCGAGGGTCTACGTCCCTCGCTCGTCATTCGCATCTACGGCGGCACTCCACTCGGTCCTCCTCCCCTCCTCCCCCGCTTCGTCGCCTGGCGAACCAAAACCCAAAACAGACTACTCGTCCTATAACCTGCCATTACTGGAACAAGCGGACGAAATGCGTTATTCGTCGGCAGGCGCAATAGCGGACTTGCCGCCTACGGCCCGAGGAGGCGCGAGGGCGATGGCGGCGAGTTATTTCGAGATTGGGTCGGCGATCCGGAGAGAGGGAGGAAAGGTGGATGAGCGGGGAGTCAAGGTGGAGAAGAAGAAGAGGCTCAAGGCGGCTGCGAAGGCGATGTGGGGGTTTAGCTGAGGTGGAGGGAGGGGCAGGCCTGAATCGATTCTATTTTTGCCTGGCTTTTTGAGAGGGGAGAAGGGACTTGGGGATTAGGGGTTTGAATACACTGCATAGATACGAGTAGATGTGGAGAATGGGATGGCTGGGCTAGATCGGGAGTTTCTGCTTAATGGATATTGGTGTGCATGGGCAGGGGTGCTGGGACCCGGAGGTTTGAGTACATAGATTCTGCACCAAAACGGGATGCAGCCTGATATATCGGAGCACTGCTCTACTCCTGCAGGCAGTGCAAGTGTCTGAAGCCTGGTTGAGGGAGCATCACATATGGCTAATCATACAATGTAAGCTATGGGAGGTATACAGTATATTACAGAGCATCTCGAGACACAATATCCGGAAGATACAGCACACACAAATAGTTACGCCGCTCACCTCATCCAGCCTCATGAAGCTACCACCTGCTGCGGTATCTCCTCCTCCGCCTCCATCCCGCCCGTCCTACCTGTCCCTGCCGCCCCTCCTGGCCCAGCCGCCGCCCTCCCCGCTCTTCTCCTCAACATCGGCCCGACCCCTCCCATCCCCATCGTCATATTCCCAAACCGCCCCCTCCCTTCCTCCCACCGATGCTTCACCGCATCCTTAAACTCTCTGCCTGTACTCGGTAATTGCAATCCCATGCCCATCGGGATAGGCGGGAACGCGGCCGTCAGATCCGAAAGGCTCGGTATGGACGACAAGCTGGGGATGGACGACATGGAGGGGATGGAAATGGTGGGTAGGCCGTTGGAGACGGCTGTGACTGTCGAGAAGAGGTACGAGTCGCGGAGGGTCATGGGTGTCACGGAGGGGGTGTAGGGGGTAATGAGGGGGGAGTCGTCCGGTGTGGGCGAGGTTGGCGGGGTGAGGAGGAGATCAGAGCCGGATGTGGCGGCAATACGGATACCGTCGTTGTCGAAAGAAGGGGCGATGGGGGTATTGAGAACCTCCGAGGAACCCATATCCACGTTGTCGGCCTCTTGCGACGCGCCGGTCTTCTCCACCGGCACCGCCTTCGCCTTGACACCCTTGCCCTTGGTCCCTAGTCGCCGCCGCTTGATATACCCCATCAACCCGCCGCGGAACCACGAGACGTGCAGTACCAGGGCAGCAGTGAGCATCGCCGCGGGGACAAAGGAGCCGTCGGTGATGGCGCGCGAAGAGGGACGGAGGCAGTCGAGCAGCCACGCGAGATGGAAGGCTATGCGGATGAGGAAGAAGGATGAGAGGAAGCGGAGGTCGGAGCGGAGGGAGGGGAAGAGATTGGATATTGCCAGGTCGAAGGTGGGGAGCTTGAAAGTCAGCCGGAAAACCGCCGACGAAGATGACAGGGGTTGCACAGGATGGGGCGTGGGGGAGAGGTATGAGAGAAGAGGGCTTACCTCCATGATTGCGCTGACCAGGAATATTGGAGAGAGACGGGTGTGGTACAGGTACACCATGAGGACCGTGTAGACACTAAGAGAGTCAGCTAGATGCCTGTAGGATGCGACGGCACTCGTTAGCTGAGCATTGGGACCACGTACATGTGATGTATCCACCCAGTCAAGAGGCCGACCTGGGACGGATATCTCATATACCCAATAGCGAGCTATATCATTAGCTTCCCTCCATGTGCAGAGACGGTGAGGGAGCAGCTCACATCAGCTACACTGTCAGCCGAACGTCCTATACATCCTTCAACCCTGGAAGAGCGAAGACGTACCAAAAAGGTAAGTCCCAAAGAACAAAACCCCCACTTTGCCCAAATCCCTCCTCCACCCTTCCTGCGCCTGCTCAAACACCACACCCAATCCATTGAACAGATACTGCCCAATATAAGGCAGCGAGACGAGTGTCATGCATAGACTAGAGACGCTCGAGAGGATGTAGGCTCGTTGTTTGTCGGTGTGGAAGTAGGGCGAGCCGACCGTGTAGAGGAGGGTGAAGCCGAGGAAGAGGGTAGGGGGGAGAGTCAGGCCCAGCGGGAGGGAGGTGATGTCGGGTACCATGATGCCTTGCGAGCCGAGGAGAGAGGGCGCGCGGTGGGGTGGTATGAAATGGATGATAAGGTGCTCGAGAAGATGCAGTGCAGTGCAGAGCTGAAGTCAGAGCGGCGAAGACATGCGCGCAGACCTGCTGCTTTCGTGCTGTGTGCGTGCGCGCTACTGTCGATCGAGGAGCTGTACAGGGTATCTCTGGGATCAATGAAGAGCCGGACAGGTTGAGCTGTGTTGTGCTAGACAGCTAGAGAAAGCAACAAGAAGATACAAAGGAGAAGGAACAAGTTAACAAGGAAGGTTGTCTTTTGGTTGAATTGAATTTGACTTTTGGTCAGCCAGCCAGCCTCAGGCACGTGTTTGACGCGTCCAGGCCATGAATGGGTGCGTCATGGGGTCCGGGTCATGCAGGCTCTGAGCAGCAGGGCGCGTGGAGCAGTAGAGACCGCCTCATAGCGGTGGTCCATACATGGCATGGTCTGGGACAGGCTGAGCCAGCAGACATCGTGATAAAGGAAGACAAGGAGTCCGCGGGACTCCAGCTTGTCCACCTGCTGAGCGTGTTCACATGTGCCCCAGCTGAAGCTGTTGAGCTTGACTGATTCACACAGTTCTTGCCTCTCAGTCCGACAGTCTCCGGTTGGATGTTTTTCGCGAGAGTGTTGAACAAGCTTACATTGACTCTCCGACACTGAAAACCAACTCTCCAGATTTCTCCCTCCAAGGCCTCGCCTCCGCCCCCCGCCCCCTACCTGGGGCTCATGGCTGACCTTCTGCCCGGCCCTCCTCCGCCCCCTTCCCTTCCCTCGTCTGCCTCCTTGCCTCTATTCTCCTCTGCCGCCTCGCCTGGACCTGCTTGCCGATGATAGCAAAGATCCCGTCCGACTTGATCCAGTAGGCGGGATATCGTCGTCTTCCGAGATTGTTGATGATGAGTGCCCAGCCGAGCATGATGAGAGACGAGACGAGGACAAGGAGGAGATACATCCAGCCAAGATGAAGGATCTGCGGGGTTGTCGCTGCTGAGAGGGAGGTAGCGCCGGCTCTGGCTGATCAGCGCTGGTCAGGGCCGGCTTAGGGGGCTTGCGAACTTACGGTGGATGTGTGATCCCAAAGAGCTGTTGAGCTAGCATAGCAGTCGCCATACTCAACGCCCCATTCGTAAAATACCCACCCTCAAACCGCCTCGCGTCCAGGTCAGGCGTATACGCCGCGTCTCCGGTACAGAACAGCTTTGTCAAAGCAACCCCGACGAACGCCGACACGACCTGGCCCATCACCAGATTCTGCGGCTGCGCGAGCGGCGACTCGACCACGCCAAAAACGAGCACTGCGGACGCACCGAACGAGACGACGATGAGGGGCGCGTCTGTTCCCCGGAAGGGGGTCGCGAATTGCATCACCGCCTCAATCAAGAGGATGGAGACGAAGGCGCCAATGAATCCGAAGAACCATGTTTCGACTTGCAGGGGGATGTGATGGAGCTGGTTGAAAGGGAAGAAGGGGAGGGGTGCGTATGGAGCGGGTCCAGAGCGATAGCCTAGGAAGCGGGAGATGAAGGCGGGTAGGCGCGAGCGGGGGTCGACGGGTGGAGCAGGGGAATGGGAAGCGGTAGAGTTCGAGACGGCAGTCCGGAGGGACATGATGATTTTGTCAGGTCAATGTGAGAATTGTAAGAGGACGAGCTGCCCAGGTCTACAGCTGTACTGCTATACTCCCCTATAGAGGCAAGGCATGCCGGCGAGCGAGTCTTCGGTCAGCGACGCACCAAATGTACCGGATACACAAATAGCCCGTCGGCGAGCGCCGCCGTTTCGTCCTGTCCGTCATACGGCCGTACAGCCACCCGTGTCAGTCCTTGTCAGTCGGCGTGAGTATGCCTCGCATGCATGAGGGAAGAGTTGACGAATTGTGTTCAGTAGGGCGTGCTGAGATGATGAACGAAGGCAAGAGGGGGTTTATTACATCTGCCGGGGTTCTATAGCGATTCCTTATCTCTTATCAAGGTTGCTGATAAGGGAGAGTTTGATACCACACCAGCTCAAAAAGCCACGTACTGGAGACGTTTGTTCCGGCGGAAGATCCGGCCCGATCTCGGAGCCCCTTGCTTGCTCGCCCAGGCTCAGCAGCACCTTGCCGCCTCTTGTCTTTGCACATAGCACCTCGTATACATCATGGCAGAAGCACTTCCCGTACCCGTATTCGCCTCGTTGAATGAGATATATCCCAGCAAGACCTCAGTCCTGCGTGAAGGGTGAGTCTGCCGAGCTCCCCGGGTGGTCCAGACGGACGTCCAGCTGATTTTGCAGGACGAGGTGGAATGATCTCCTTGAGGCGTTCAAGGAGCGGTATGGCGCCTTACCGACTCACGTCGTCAGAGCACCCGGAAGAGTCAACATATTGGGCGAACATATCGATTACTCACTCTTCGTAAGCTACATGACACGTGGCTGTCGTTCAGAGTAGCTCACAAGTAGCCCGTCCTTCCAGCTGCGATAGAACAGGACATTCTCCTCGCTCTCCGTCCGATACCCGGGTCTTCAGGCTCCGGACCGAAGGTCGATTTATCGAACTTCAACCCTAAATTCAAGCCGTCCACCTTCCCCCTTCAAGCACCAGCGAGCGGAGCAGGCGAGTGGCACGTCGACTTCACGTCGCCTGCTCAGGGCGGAGGATGGGAGAACTACGTCAAGGTCGCTTTTGCGCAGTGTCTCTCTGAGTTCTTTGGGGAGGAGGGAAAGGGAGGAGAGGGGAATGGTCCGGTGGGGATGCAGGTGATGATGAGCGGGAGTGTACCGCCCGGGTCGGGGCTGAGTGTGAGCTGGCAAATACTTACTCCTGGGTGTAGCAAGATAGCTGACTTTTGAAGAGCTCCGCTGCAGTCGTAGTCGGTGCGGTGACCACTTTCCTCGTCGCGAATGGGATCATCGAAGGGGTCACCAAGGGCGATGTAACGCGTCTTGCTATCGCTAGCGAGCACCGCATGGGTCTGAGAACAGGAGGTATGGACGTGAGTGTCCATTTGCGGTCTCCTATCATCGCTGCTAGGGTCGACTTGCGCGAAATGCCCGTACACTGACAAGTCTAGCAAGCTGCTTCCGCCCTTGCGCTCCCCAACTCCCTCCTTCACCTCTCTTTCTTCCCCTCGCTCTCCCCGCTTCCCCTCCCCCTCCCATCCGGCCTTTCCGTCGTCATCACAAATTCCCTGACCCCTCACTCGCTCACCGACACCGCTCCGGTCCAATACAACCTCCGAGTGGTCGAGTCCATCTGCGCCGCTCGGGTCTTACTCCATGCCTGGGGTCTGTCAGAGCACGAGCGCGTCAAGGGGAAGAAGGGCGAGGATGCACGGGTATGGCTGCGGGAGGTGTTGGAGATGTGGAGGCCTGGGAAGGTGGACGATGAGACTGCAGGAGTACTGGAAGAGGCAGTAGAAGCGGCAGAGAAGGTGTTGGGCGCAAAAGGAAGGGGTGAAAGAGGCTGGACGAGGGAAGAAATGAGGGAAGCGAGCGGGATGGAGGAGGGAGAGTTTGACAAGACCTATCTGGACTTTATACCCAGTGAGCTGGTCGGTCTTACTGTACGGAGACACAGCTGACTCTCAGTACGCGCCGATCATTTCCACCTCCTCCCTCGTGTGCTGCACTGCCTGAGGGAATCTCAGCGCGTCACTCGCTTCACCCAGATCTGCCGCTCGTTTTCAACTCCCTCAGCGGCCGATGGCGACGCTTCGTCAGATCCGCGGATAGCTGAGCTGGGGAAACTGTTGGTGGAGAGCCATACGAGCTGTAAGGAGCTGTATGACTGTACGCATGCGCAGACGGATGCCTTGAAGGAATTGTGCATGAACGCGGGGGCCATTGGGTCCAGACAGACCGGTATGTCTTTCAGCCCTTGACAGCTGTTGGGGCCCGGATGTTGGTATATTAGCTGACCTTTCAGGTGGAGGATGGGGCGGAGCTGTCATCTCGCTGGTTCACACGAGTCAAGCCGAGGCGTTCCTGGGAACGGTTAAAGAGGAGTATGGGCCTTACAAGGGGCTGAGCGAGGAGAAGCTCCATGAGGAGGCGTTTGCGACTATTCCAGGGTGTGGGGCAGGAGGTGAGCTTGAATGGATACGGACTCCTTCCGGACGTACATGGAAGCTGACATTCCCAGTGTATCTGGTCGAAGGGGATCTACAATGATACAGTATCATAAGCGACGCATGAGATCAATGGTGTATGCAAGGCGTCATCCGGGACGCACGGTCAAAAATGTGACTCTTACCTTAGGCTTCTCATCCTCATCCCTGACTGGGCCCGCCGGAGAGTATACGGTATCATATTAACCTAGATATTGACCCATGCTAATTGAGATATCTTGTTTCAGTCCAGACGATTGGTCGATCCCTACTTCTGATCATAAGCTGACATCGACACGTGTTCGATATGTTCCGGTACGTTTTTTTGGATCGTCATGGCATGTCTACAAAGGGTGGGCAAGACTTCTGTTACTGAACACGATATCCTGCAACAGAAGCAGAAGGAGAGAGTCCTCGAGTCGAGAAGAAGGTGTACATGCGTGTGTAAAAGGGGCAAGGAAACTTGATCGCCTAGAAGAGCTGGCCGTGTAACAGCCAGGCTCACTACAAGGGGTTGCGTTGAATGTTTGCCCGAAGGTCCCTGTCCTCAAAAGCAGCAGCTGCGATTGCCTCCAGGTCAGACTGCTCGCTGGAAGGAGGTGTCCGGGACAGGCTGCTGAGTTCGTCGTTGGTCATGCCTTGCAGGATGGTGAGGTTGGCGAGATATGCGCGCAACTTTCGGCTGCAGCTGAGTGTTCAGCTTCAGGGGACTGGGTGCTGGCAAGCTGACTGTCGCTGGTGTCACCACCGCCGCTTGCTTGGAGAGGGATAGTCGACATGCTGACTGGCTCGAAGGGAGGTATCCAAGAAGGAGAGAGAATCAAGTGCTCAGTTGGGAAAGTTGACAGAGGGAGAGCGGGTGGTGGAGTGAGAATTGAGCTCGAGGTGCGAAGAAATTGAGGGGAGACGGGGATCTGCTTTATGTCCTCCTAGACCCCCAACGATCGAGAGGAAAGCTGTGCAGAGGAGCAAAGGGGACAAAGGTCGGTGCTTGGCTAGATCTCATTCGCCAGAGGGGAGCGGCCAGATCGAGGCTCTGCCTCGAAAGGGATCGAAGGTAAGGGGGATGGCCGCACGATGGCGTTTTGGACAGATTGGACCACCAGGAGTGCTCAGTGGAAGGAAGAGCAGCCTGAGTGTACATGGCTTGTCTGACCCTGGCGAGGCGGTGCATGAAAGGACCTGTTCACAGAGGGGCTCGGTCAACGACTGTAGGCGCCCATATCACAGCTCGCGCGAGCTAGCGCGCTTTCTTGTTGCAGGCCGAGCTGATACATGCGCAGATGCTTCATACATTCACCACTTAATTTGGGCATGTAGCATTTATATCCATACTGTACCCAGATAGAAGTAGCGCTGGAGGTTGGTGGGAGATTCACGCTTCCAGTCGGTCAGGCTGTCTCTGAGTCCTGCGGCACTTATACCGACAACTCAGGCATCTGCGTGTGATGGGGATTGACAAAAAGTCGAACGCTGACACGATGATGCATTGGGTTGTACACGACAAGCTGAAATGAAACGTGGCTTACTCTCCCTTACTTCCCCTTGACCAGGCTCACCAAGGTCCCGCCCTGCTCCTCCTGCTCCTGCTCCTCCTGCTCCTGCTCCTCCTGCTCCTGCTCCTCAGGCTCCTGCTCCCCTCGGATATCCTCAGTGGCCTGGGTCGTCTTGCCGCTGTCCGCCTCAGCTTTCGCTGAACGCTCCCTCTTGCCAAGGATGTGCTCGGCAAAGATGGAATGAATGCCGTTCTTGCCGTTGAGGATGCTTCTCAGTACGGTATCGTCCTTCTCCAGCTTCATCTGTCAGTGAGCAACAACTGATCCAGCATTTCTTTCGGAACGCCCTGCTCCACTGAAGGCTTCTCGGTTGCCTTATACCCGAACATGTTGATGATCATGCTCACCTCCACGCCGTCGGTCCTGGCCGTGCTTTCCATGGTACCTGACATATCGGCGATGGCTGCTTGCGGGCGAATGGATGTCGATGATCTGGAAGGAGTAGTGCGGATGTGGGGGCTTGTGTATTCACGCGATGTTGAGGGGACGTGGAGACTGGACTCTGTTCGTTGAGGTATAAAACATGATAATACGTAGGGAGCATCGCCTTATATATGCTCCGAGAGCAACTGGGCGAAACGCGAAGTGGCAAGAAAGCTGTGTCAAAAGGTCAAAGACATGTGAGACTCAAAGGATCCCCGTTAAATGACAGATCCTGTGGCGTCTTGTCGGGCCTGATAAGCCTCGTGTGCGAGGGCTCAAGTATGAATGGTGTCGAAACACCAAGGTGACTGGACGATCTCGAGGGCCTACAAGTTATTAGTGTAAGACTAGGGAGGGCTGTGATGGTGACTCACTTCTTGGAGTGCAATCATGGATCGAGACAACGATAGGGCCCGCTGTGCCACAGATGCAAGTGTTTCAGTAGTTGAACGTGCTGAAAGAGGATGAAGGCCATCCTCGTGTGTCGGCAAATTGTAAGCGTGCGGTACGATGCTTCGTTTCCTTGCCACCCGCATGTCGGCGGGTAGGAAAGGAAAATGAAAGTCAGGCAGTAGGGACTTCGACGTTTGGAACATAGAATGCTTGTCTGTAGACCTCGATTGCATCATGTGGACATCTCTCGTGGACATGCCCGGCAGTTCATCCTTCACTTGTATGATCTGTCGCCCTGACTCAGCTGGCACCCTGGCTGAGTTGGTTTCGTGGGCGCTGCAGACGAGGTACTCTGCGTAGAGCCAGACATCAAGCCGTTGAGCTTAACTTGCGCAATGATTGCAAGGACAGTCCCTTTCTTCCGTCGGATGAAGTCCTTCAATCCCTCGGTGTCGTTCGTCTCTTCCAGGATCTTGCTGTCGGCGATCTGGGTCGCGAGATCACGTTTATCGGTGGACCTGATTGAGTCTTCTTGTTCGGACATGATTGTGCAAGTGAGACGGCGGCTGGGGGTACGTCGGTGGGGCTGGAGCCTGGAGGTGTAGTGAGCAGAACTGATGAGATCTGGTGAGTATATTTGTAGAGACGAGGAGAATACTCTTGGAAATGTAGAGAGATTGCGAGAGGATGATGAGTTGATGGTCAAGCTCGAGACCAGAGCGAAGGCCAGATACGGCCGATCTCCGTGATAAGCTCCACAGCTTTTCCCTTTGTGGTGAGTGAGGATTCGGCGTGCACTACAGATCGATCAAAGGTCACAGAAGGCCCTTTCAAGCAGCGAGATAGTCCCAAAGCCCTCATCTTCCAGGAGGTCAAGCTTGGCCTGAAACGTGCCGAGTTGAAAGGTGCCACATCCGATGCGTTCTTTCTTTGTGTGACTCGCCCCCTGGATGCGTATCGTGTGCCTACCTGCATTACACGCTGGTAATGACACAAAGAGGAAAAGATTGGTCAGTATGAAGCACAGATCAGAAAGCTAGGTCAGGGGCAACCCACGGGAGACGGGGTAGAAAGGACGCGCCCCGTGCTGGTGTTTGCGCGTTATCGTACAACAGTTATCAGGATCAGGATGAGAGGAAGTCGATACGCCGCGTACGCCACGCGTACATATGCGCGCAATGTATTGAGCGAGATCAATGGATATGTAATAAGGCACCTTGGCTACAGGGGACCCAAGACCTAAATTTTGAGCGGGCGCCGTCAATCAACTGGTTCTCAGCGATGGAGGCTCATGGCTCTCCTCAAGACGGATGATCTCCTAGAACACGCAATGATCAGATGCGTGAGGAGCATTGAGTATTGATGGAAAGAGCAGTCCATACCATAGCACAGGTAAGGAGACAGCTATGAGTACCCGAGTCTACTACTTGACCCGCTTCTGCTGCTCAGGAGCAGGTAAGCCGGCGTCGTCCGCCCCTCGTTTGAATCCTGCCGCCGCCGCCGATGCTGTGCTAATGGTGGGGTTCGATGGCTGGGTCGTTTGCTCGGCTGGCGGGTCTTCGGGCGGAGCGTCGGTCATCCTCTGATCCGTCTGCTGTTGCTCCGTAGCAGCAGTAATGTCAGACAAGATCTCCTGAGCGCATGCCTTCATGACAGGATCGGAATCGGAGAGGCATTCAGGAAGGGTCATCAAGCCTTTGCTCATCATGTATAGCATGCCTGCCTTCACATTCTCCCGGAAATGCTCGCTGTTCAGGTAATCTGATTCGGACATGGCGTTGAGAGAAGGGACAAGTGTCGAGTGATTCGGGAGTAAGGAGTGAGGGGAGCTGTAGCCTGGAGCGGAAGTATGATTGGAAGGCAGGGGAAAGGGGACGCCGTCTTTATAAGCCCAGCTGGACCCCTGTTCAGGACGAGAAAGCTGTGCAGGAGCACAAGGGGGAAAAAGGGAAAAGGGAAAAGGGATCACCCGCACCGAGCACGCTTTATGAAGGCCAGATCATGAACATATCTGCGGGTGCGGGTCAGAAAGGAACCGGACATCAGTGCGTTTGAGTCGGTCGATGCGGCAGATCATCGGGATGAAAGGGAGGCGATTATACGCCCCATCATGAATGCGTCAAGCGTCCCCAATGGGATCAGCAGGTGGGACATGTCAGCCATCAGGAATCGCATCTCAGTGGCTTCGATAGTCAGCTCAGACTCCTCCTGTCAAGATGCATAGCCTAGCCCCGTATCGACATCAAGCGGAGCCAGAGGCTTGCTGCTCAGTGCACACGATCTGCTTAAGCGCAGTAATATAGTGGGCCCGTGTTGGTACATCAGTACTCAGTATCAGTCATTAAAGCATGTAAGCTGGGGTGATCACATGTAGACAATGCCAGGTGATGATCATGACCCTTCAGGCTTGGTGCCCATCTCTTCCCCATTCTCCTCCGTGGTCTGGCCCTCCGCCTCCTGGCCCGCCGGCTTGACCACCTCCCCGTCCGTGTTCGCCGCCGAGCCCTCCTCTCCCATGTCCACATCTTCCGCTCCCGCCTCCTCCCGCTCCCCCTCCCCGGTCGCTTCAGCAGCCGCAAACCGCTCACTCAAACTCAAAACCGACTTTGTCCTCGGCAATCCCGCCACCTTCCTCCCCGCCCCTTCCTCCTCCTTACTCTGCACAGTCGTCGTCGCCGAGATAGGTACCGGCCTTTCTGACATCCCATGCGGTGTCATATTTCCCCCTTCACCCGTCCCTGAGCCTGAACCCATGCTATCATCTTGCTCTCTACCGCCGCCGCTGCCGCCGCCGTTGCCGCTATCGCTATCGCCTTCGGAGCGGGATTTGGAAGCCGATGAAGAGGACGCGGAAGCGGAAGAGTGGGAAGGGAGGGAAGTGATCGGTCCGGTATCGAGTTCATCGACGCGGCCGAGGTATGGCTGATGTGCGGGATCAGAGGATTCGTTGCCGGTGAGGACGGGTATGGCTGCCGGGGTAGGATCGGATGATACAGATGCGGATGTCGTAGAAGATACGGAAGGTGCTTCGGATCGAGTATTGTGATCTTCCGGTTCTGGCGTCGGACTGCGACCGCCCGATCCCGCATTGTTGGCCGAGGACGAAGACTCGGTCGGCACTTCCAGCAAAGACGCTTGAACGTCCTTCTCCTCCTCTCGCGTCTCTTCCAGCTCCTTCCGATCCAGAACGAGCGGGCTCACGATCTCATCCGCCTTCAAGAGACCCTTCTGCGCCGCCCCTTTACCCTCATCACCCGCACCATCCATATCAATGTCCATACTGTCCCCGCCGTCTATCGGGGGGCGGACCAGGAATGGGATCGGGGAGAACATGGGGGTTGTTGATCCGACCGGCATGGTGGAGCTGGTATCGGACGGTGAGGCGGATGATGAAGAGGTGGAAGAGGGGGAAGAGGTGGGGCCGAAGAGGCCGCGCGAGCCGGAGAAGGTAGATGGGGGGACGGGGATGTAGGACGGCGCGGACCAGGGAGTGGTCACGAGGAGGTTCTTCTCGAGGGCGCGGAGGAACTTGCCGAGTGTTGAGTGTTGTTTGGTCGGGTTGAGCAGCAACTCGGCTAAGCGTTGTATAGTGAATGGAGGTCTGACGATCAGCTTGTATCCGATGAGCAGAAGACCACGACTTTGAGACCTGATGATAACGATCAAGAAGGTGACCTACTCTGCTAAATCATCAATCATCTTGCCAACCCTATCCACTTCCTTCTTTCCCTCTTCCTCGCCCAACCACCCCGGCAGCTTCTTCCCACCGATGACGACCGCCTCGTCCCACTCATCCTCAAACACATTTCCTCTCGCCGACAATCCACCTGGCCCACTAGCGCTCCCATTCACTCGCGCAGCAACCGCAGGCGGCACCGGACCGATAATCCCCGCCGAGAGCTTGCGCTGATTCCGCCGTTCTGGATCCAGAGGGGGAAAGGGGGGGATGACCAGTCCACCTAGTGTGGATGGTTCGTCTGAGGCGGACAAGGGAGATGAGGAGGGGGAGGCCGAGGCTGTGGTAGAGAGGCGAAGGGACGAGGAGGGTGGGGCCGATCCGGAAGGTGATGGTGCCTTGGGGGTTAAGGGTGAAGTTGTGGGGGACGACCGGACGGGCTTGAGGGGGGTGTTGGGCGGGAAGGAGTATCTTTGGGGTTGTGGGAGTGAGTTGAAGAGCGGGGGGCACGAGAGGAGAGCGAGGTGTAGGTGATGCCGCAGCGTAGCCCAGTCAGAGCTGTACAATCAGTATTGGGTTCTTGCTCCGACGACTCCACGAATCATCCGCGTTGACGCAGCTCAGGCAGAGTCCCATGGATCCAAATCTGGCTACACGGTAACTTATAGACTCACTCGAAGGTATCGCTCTTCGCTAGCCGCTGCAGGACTGGGTCGTGTGAGGGTACTGCAAGTCAGGAGAGCAGCGTTTCCTTCAGATGATTTCAACTCACTCTCCTCCTCCAGACTCGCCTCAGACTTCGCTGGGAGCGCCATATTCGACAGCTTTCCCTTTTGCGTCTCCGATCAGCGTTGGACCGAGTCGCAGCTGCACTTGATGGACCGTATAGCCACTGTTGATGATGAGGTCGAGGAACGAAAACAAACCTCTCCAGCCAAAAGTCCGGCAACGGACGCACGGACCAGCCGCCGAGAGCCGCGCCGATCACTTGCTTACGTACACCATTGGCGGGATCAGACTTTTTGCAGCTGGAAAGCTCTCGAAGCTTGCTTTGGGCCGAGGCCGAACACATCCTCCTCACCTTCGCATTCACTCATATAGTCTTCTCATAGGGGAAGTCTTGATCAGCAACAGACACGGACGAGACGTCAACGAACACGAGCCAGAAATCAAGCTCAGAGTCGACATAACGAGCAAAATCGAGGAGCAAAATCGAGGTATAAACTCCCCGACCGCGATCCATCATTCATCAAACCCCCCTTTCGACACCCCATCCTTAATCAGCTAATCAGCCACTATGGTCAGAGAGACGTGAGTCGAGTCTTTCAGAGCTCCCAGTGGTCCTAACACAGGCTGCAAAGCTGGAGGTATTGCCTGTTGGTCGTACATGAGCTGACCAAGCTTCTCTTACGGATTCCCCACTCGCCTCCTGCTTCATGCCTTACCAATCAACTTTCCACCTTTGCCCTCTCGCCTGATCGTATTGTGTCTCGTCCAACAGTGAATACTAGTACGTTCCCACCTTCAGCTCCACCTGCACGAGCCATTAGCTCACCATCTAGCGATGCCCTCGGCGTTGACCCGAGCGCGAGCGAAGCGGAGCTGAAGAAGGCTTACCGCAAGCAAGCTCTGGCCAAGCACCCGGACAAGGGGTAAGCTGCCTGATCGTGATTGCGGTACGAAAGATCACACAGCTGATATGTGCAGTGGTGATCCCGAGGAGTTCAAGGAGTTGACACACGCGTACGTATCAGCTGAAAGCCGTACACCTTGGCGCAAAGAGCTGACGGATCAGCTACGAGATTCTGTCAGACTCCAACAAGCGGGCGGTGTATGATCAGGCTGGAAAAGCTGGTCTGGAAGGAGGTGGAGGGATGGGTGGCGGTGGCATGGACCCGCACGACCTTTTCAGCCAGCTCTTTGGCGGAGGTGGAGGATTCTTTGGTGGTGGTGGAGGTGGCGGAGGTGAGTTGGCGTGAGAGGCCGATAGGGAAGGCCAAAGCTGACCTTTAGGCCGGAGCCGAGGACCTCAAAAAGGCAAAGACTTGGTCCACCGAATCGCCGTCAGCCTGGAAGATCTCTACAAGGGCAAGGTCCAAAAGCTCGCTCTCTCCAAATCGGTCATCTGCAAGCCCTGCGAAGGCCGCGGCGGCAAAAAGGGCGCCGTCACCACCTGTACCTCGTGCCGCGGGCAGGGTGTCAAGGTGATGCTCCGTCAAATCGGTCCGATGGTCCAGCAAATCCAGCAGCCGTGTAACGAGTGCGAGGGCAGCGGGCAGATGATGAACCCCAAAGACCGGTGCAAGACGTGTAACGGCAAAAAGATCAACAGCGAGCGCAAGGTCCTCGAGGTGCATATCGACAAGGGGATGAAGTCGGGGCAGCAGATCCGGTTTGCGGGCGAGAGCGACCAGAGTCCGGGGGTCGAGCCGGGAGATGTGGTGATTGTGTTGGAGGAGAAGGAGCACGCGCGATTCCAGCGGAAAGGGGATGATTTGTTCTGCGAGGCAGAGGTGGATCTGTTGACTGCTATTGGAGGGGGAGAGTTCTTGATTCAGCATCTGGACGAGAGGATGTTGCACGTCACGATCGTTCCTGGAGAGGTCATCAAGCCGAGTAAGCCTTATTTTCTACATTTACCGGACTCTTTCGCTGATTCCCAGACGCAATGAGGGTCATCTCGCACCAGGGTATGCCCTCTTTCCGGCACCACGAGATGGGCGATCTCTACGTCCGCATCACCGTCAACTTCCCCCAGTCCATCGACCCCGCCGTTATCCCCATGCTCGAAAAGGCGCTCCCGGCACGTAAGAAGGTCGCCAACATTCCCAAGAAGACGCACGTCGACGAAGTCACGCTCGAGGAGCCCAACGATAGGCAGAGGCGCCAGGCGCAGAATGGAGATGAGATGGATGAGGATGATGATGAGCGGGGCGGAGCGGGTGTGCAGTGTGCCCAGCGTGAGTTTATGGTTGACGAACGGACAGGCCAGAGCTGACTATTTTCAGAATAGATGGGATGAGAGTGGATACGAGTCGGGCAGGAAGAGGCGCGGACGCGTGGTAGATGGTGGATGGAGGAGGAAAGGGAGTCATGGTCATCCTACTTCATCGGTCAGCATAGATATACCCGGTTGCGCAGTAGATATGTTAGTCAGTTCTGGGCTTTCGACTAGCTCCCATATCGAGGAGGTACCCACTCGAGGAGGTACCTACTCTGAAATTCTGAAAATGAGAAAGGGGTCAACCGTGCAACCGTGAGGTGAAAGCTAATCGATCCCCCCACCCCCACCTAAAAGACGCGCCTCGAGGTCGACGCGTCGACGCGCCCAAATTCGGATCCCCGCCATAATCTCTTCTCTTCTTCTACCACTCTCCCGTTACTCCTCTTTCGCTTATCGCTACTCTACCGTCTACCCGACTACATACCACACCATGTCATCCCCAGCCCCCGCCCTCCCCTCTTCCTCCGCAGGCGGAGCCTACCCTTCCTCCTCCGCCCCCGCCGGTTCCCGCCCCGGGGTCGACCCGAACGCTTTTGACAATATCCGCGGCTTGCAGGGCTCGCACCCCGCTGACGAGGCCGAAGAGGCCGACGAGACGGGTGGTGGAGGTGGTAGGAGGCGGGGAGGGCGGAGTGCGCGGACGCAGAATGTGGATGATATTCCACGGGTGAAGGATACGACTGGGGAGAAGGTTATGGAGAGTTTCCAGGTGTTCCTGGAGAAGTGAGTCTGGCTGGTCACACCACGAATCCAAGCTGATCAGCTCAGCTACACGGAACAGATTGCCCTCCCCGATACGCCCGCCTCGGCCATCTCTCCCCGTCCTACCGCAGACGACGACTCCAAATTCTACATTGCCCAAATCAAAGCTCTGAAAGAATTCGAGCTCACTACCCTCTACGTCGATTTCGGGCACCTTCTCGAGCGCGAAGAGATCCTCGCTCGCGCCATCCAATCGCAGTACTACCGCTTCCTCCCCTACCTGCGCCGAGCCTTCCAGGGCCTCGTACGGAAATACGAGCCGACCTACCTCTACACATCGACGACAGTCTCCACTGCCCCGTCTGCGACGGGAAGCAGTTCCGGCTCTTCCCTCCAGACGCGGGACTTTGGGATTGCCTTCTACAACCTGCCGTTGACGAGCGGGATTCGGGATCTCAAGATGGCGAGAATTGGCCAGCTGGTCAGTATTTCGGGGACGGTGACGAGGACGTCGGAAGTTAGGCCGGAGCTGGTCTCTGGGACGTTTGTGTGTGAGGGGTGTAGGGCGACGATCAGGGATGTAGAGCAGCAGTTCAAGTACACCGAGGTGAGCTATATTGATCGTGTCGATCGCAGAGGGCCCATAGCTGATGTGCAGCCTATCATGTGCCAAAACTCGACCTGCAACAACCGGATCGGATGGCAGCTCAACATCGAGCAATCCAAATTCGCCGACTGGCAGAAGGTCCGGATCCAAGAGAACGCCAACGAGATCCCTACCGGATCCATGCCTCGGTCTCTGGACGTCATTCTCCGGTCGGAAGTCGTCGAGCGGGCCAAAGCAGGCGACAAGTGCACCTTCACCGGAACCTTCATCGTCGTGCCCGACGTCTCGCAGCTCGGACTCCAAGGCGTCAATGCGTCCATGCAGCGGGAGAACCAAGGTGGTCGAGGCGAGGGCGGCGTGGCCTCCCAAGGTGTCACTGGCCTCAAATCCCTCGGTGTCCGGGATCTGCAGTACAAGACTGCTTTTCTGGCGTGTATGGTCCAGTCGGCGGATACGCGCGCGGGATCGACAGACGTCCGGGGTGATCTCGATGAAGGGAACGAGGACCAGGAGGCGTTCCTAAACAGCTTGACGCAGCAGGAGGTGGATGAGCTCAAGAATATGGTGAATACCGATAATATCTACCAGCGGTTGGTGGGGAGTATAGCGCCGACGGTGTACGGGCACGAGATTGTCAAGAAGGGGATTCTGTTGCAGTTGATGGGGGGTGTGCATAAGCAGACGCAGGAGGGGATCCACCTGCGAGGGGATTTGAATGTGTGTATTGTAGGGGATCCGAGTACTTCCAAGTCGCAGTTCCTCAAGTAAGTCCTCCACTTATCTAGAATTGGTGGCAGCTGAGCTGACTCGCAGGTACGTCTGCGGTTTCCTCCCCCGTGCGGTCTACACTTCGGGCAAAGCCTCTTCCGCCGCCGGTCTCACGGCCGCTGTCGTCCGAGACGAGGAGTCTGGCGAGTTCACCATCGAAGCCGGAGCGCTCATGCTGGCCGATAACGGTATTTGCGCCATTGACGAATTCGACAAGATGGACATTGCCGACCAGGTCGCCATCCACGAAGCGATGGAACAGCAGACCATCTCGATCGCCAAGGCCGGTATCCAAGCGACACTCAACGCGCGTACCTCCATCCTCGCGGCCGCGAACCCCGTCGGCGGGCGATACAACCGCAAGATGAGTCTCCGGGCCAACGTGGCCATGTCGGCGCCTATCATGTCGCGCTTCGACCTCTTCTTTGTCGTGCTCGATGAGTGCAACGAGGCGGTGGATCTCAATATCGCGAGGCATATTGTGAATGTGCATCGGTTTAGGGATGAGGCGATTCAGCCTGAGTTTGGGACAGAGGCGCTGCAGCGGTATATCCGGTATGCGAGGACGTTCTCGCCCAAGGTGAGTTTCGAGGCGGTGAGGGTGAGGGGGACGAGAATGAAGCTGATGGTGTAGCTTACTACGGCGGCATCAGCGGTACTGGTCGACAAGTACAGGTCGCTCCGTCAGGACGAGGGCGGAGCGGGGAAGAGTAACTTCCGAATCACCGTTCGTCAGCTGGAGAGTATGATCCGGTTGTCGGAAGCTATTGCTCGCGCAAACTGTCAGAACGACGTGAGTTGAACTGGGCTCCACCAGATAGATGAGCGAAAATTAGAGGCATGACAGCTGACACCTTAGATCACCCCCGCTATCGTCCGCGAAGCCTACTCGCTCCTCCGTCAATCCATCATCCACGTCGAGCAAGACGACATCAACTTTGACGAGGATGACGACGAGGACGACGAGATGGCCGGTGTTCTCCGTAGCAATACCGCCGCGAACGGTCGGTCTTCCGGCACGAACGGCACGGCGACCGGCAACGAGATGGATGAAGACGAGGATATGATGGATGCTGCGGATATAGCGGCGGCTGAGGCGGCGGAAGCGAGCTTTGCGGAGGCGCGGGCTCAGGCGCAGGCTACTGCGGAAGCCAATGGAGGGCAGCAGCCGAATGGGTCTGGAAAGAAGAAAATGAAGATCACCTGTGAGCTACAGCATTGACACTTGTGGACTTGGAGTGAGTGCATAGGGCAAGAGCTGACGGGTAGACAACCGATACATGGAAATCATGAATATCGTGGTTCTCCATCTATCCGATGTCGAGCGGGAAGAAGGTGATGGAGTCGAGAGGGAAGAGTTGATCCAGTGGTATCTCGAACAAAAGGAGACCGAGTTTGAGACGGAGGAGGATCTGGAGCACGAGCGGGCGTTGATTACGAAGGTTCTGAGCAGGCTGGCAAGGGTGAGCTTGATCGATCGGTCCCTGCGAGCGAGACGAGGCAAGAGCTGATGATCGTAGGAAAACTACCTGCTCGAGCTCCGTGGATCAGTCCGTGAAGGTCTTCGACCGAGCGGCGAGGAAAGCCTCGAGAGTGCCGATACGAACGAAGGGGAGGAGGAGGGCGAGGGCAAGGTGTCGTATGTCGTTCATCCGCAGGTGGATCTGTCGGACTTGTCTTCGTCGATCCCGGTATGAGCTGGTTCGAGCCTGAGAGGGGCGGAGCGGGTGAGGGAAAGAAACGGTGGGAAGAGGGAGAAGGTTGAGATGTAGGGAAATGGTCATCTTGGGATATCTGATAGTTGTGCGTCTTGGGCTTTTGAGTATGATATGTATAGTCTGCTTCTGCTAGGTGAGGACTGGTGAGGTCGCATTCGAATAGAACAACAGACTGAGAACGCCAGACAGTCCAGTCCGAGGAACCATCGCGTATTGAAAGGGCAGTCACGCGAGGCCCGAGACTCACTCTGGCAACGCCGTTGCACTTCCGTCTGGAGCTGCTGGGGTCCTGCGAGGAGACTATCGAGCAGGCTACATCATATGTGAATGGTCTACTGCTTGAGGTGTCTAAGTCTACAAACTCTACAAAAGCTATGGCTCCGCCTTCTTCTCCTCCCCCGCTTCCCCACCCTTCAACCCTTCCTCCAACCCTTGCAACGTCCTCACCAGCCCTCCACCTCCCGCCTGTCCCAGCAAGCCCAACAGTCCCCTCCCCTGCCCTTCCAACAGCCCCACCACCTGCGCCCTGAGCGTATCCAACGCTGGCAGTTTCCCCACGCTCTCCACTTCCTTGACACCCACCAGCCTCCCGCCCTCCATGATCCCCGCGACGAGCTGCAAAGTCGGCTGCTTGACCTTTTCGGGGGCGGTATTGGGCGGTATTTCCTTTTGGACCTTGCGGAGCTCGCGGTTGATGGTGGTGAGGAGTTTGGAGAGGTAGGGAGGGGAGAGGGAGGGGGAGGTTATGAGTGCGGTGGGGCCGGTGAGGTGCGGGAGGAGGGATGGTGGTGTCAACGACGAGGAAGAGGGGCGAGAGGAGGGGGATTTGAAGAGAGAAGATAAGACCCCAGTGCGGGATATAGTAAGAGTAGCTCGCGCAGAGGTATCTTCCCCTTCTATCTCGCCTGATGAGGGCGGTGGCGGGGGAGGGGAGATGGCCCGTGATGGCGGTGGAATGGGGATCTTGGCGATCGCTCTCCGGATAGCCAGGAGGTTGGATACCGTGAGATTGTCATGTTTGAACAGCAGGACGAGTTGGGATGTACGGAGGAGGTGGGTGTAGTAGGCGTGAAGAAAGGCTTTCCGGGGTCCGTATACCCGTGTGGCCTCGGCTGTGGCGGAAGAGGTAGAGGATGAGGATGCCGCGGGGGTAGCTAGACGGCGAGCTGTTGTGCTGATTGAGCGAAGGGAAGTGCGGGCTGACATGCTGCTTGAGGTAGGTGTTAAGGGAGAGTGGACTGTCGAAATCTCATCTCTCTGCGGACTGGGATGAGGCGATGAGGCGCAGTGACGTGGTATTCATTTCGCTGTCAAGTATCACTCCACTCTGACGCTGACCTCGCGTTCACCTCCGCATTCCTCGCGTTGGCGTTCATCAGGTACTTCATTGTATACTCTCACTTGATCCACCGCAAGCCATACAGGAGTTCTACTACCCCTCACATCATCCTAATAATACTCTCGGAAAGAAGCGTACATAATGGAAGTCGACAGCTCCGCCGCTTCGTCCTCCCAGACCCCGCTCTCCTGGATCGAGCACAAGGAGGCATCATCCCCAGCAGAGCTCAAGAGCTGGTTCACCAAGATCAGAGAGCAGTATGAGCGCAAGTGAGTCAGCTACAACTAGCCCGAGGATGTAGCTCGGACAGCAGAGCTGATTGATATTAGGCTGTGGCACAACTTGACTGTGACACTGCTGCAATTCATATATCTCCCAGAGGCCGGTCCTCACTTGATCGAGCTTTGGAACAAGTGAGCTTGCAGGTTCTGGACTTTGCCGCCCTCAGAATTCCAGCTCACAGCTTCAGCTTCATCCACTCGTTAGAGGGCAAGGCGAACCGACTGCGCCTAATGGAAATAGCTCGCAGAGTCGGTCGCGAATTCACCGGTACGTTGAGTCCTCCCTGACCCCACACGCCTCTAGCTAACTTGCAGAACCTGAACTCACCCTCAAATTCCTGCGCGAAGTCCTCGAACGCATCCCTTCCCCATACCCCACCGAAGCCACCGAGTCCACCCCCGCCGTAGCCGCTGCCCCCCGCCCCATGCCCGAAGCGTACTGCCTCAACCTCTCCTCCATCGCCTACGCCCAGCTCCTTCTCGGTGACCTCCCAGCATGCAAGAAGACACTGGACGAGTGCGAGAAGCTGCTTGGCGAGCAAGACACGGTCGAGCCAATTGTCAATGCGGGCTTTTACGGCGTGGCGGGTGACTATCATAAAGTCAAGGCCGAGTATGGGCCATATTTCAAAAACTCGCTTTTGTACCTCGCGTGCATCGATAGCGAGACGGAATTGGTGCCTGAGGATAGGGTGGCGAGGGCGCATGATCTTTGTATCGCTGCGTTGCTTGGAGAGACGATCTATAACTTTGGGGAATTGGTAAGCTTCATCATTCGTGGCGACCAGAACCGCGACCGCAGCTTATAATCCAGCTCCAACATCCCATCCTCCAATGCCTGGCTGGTACAGAGCACGCCTGGATCAAGGATCTCATCAGCGCCTTTAACGCCGGCGAGATTGGGAAATTCGAAAGCCTCTCGACCAACTTCGCCAACGAGGTGAGCTACACGCTCTGCTAGATTTGGCCATGAGCTCACGCATCCAGCCTATCCTCGCCCAGTCCATCGCATTCCTCCGTCAAAAGATCTGCCTCATGGCTTTGATCCAAACGGCCTTCTCACGACCCCGGGACGGTGCCAGCCGCCTCATGACATTCCAGCAGATCGGGGAGGCGACGCGGTTGCCAGTGTACGAGGTGGAGCATTTGTTGATGAAGGCGCTGAGGTGAGCTGTCTGTTCTCTCCTCCACCTGGTGAGGCTGTCAGCTGATACTGTCTAGTCTCTCGCTCATCCGCGGATCGCTCGACCAAGTCTCCAGCACGGTCGATATCACCTGGGTCCAGCCCCGCGTCCTCGAGGGTAGTCAGCTCGATACGCTCGCCACTCAGTTCAAGGCGTGGACGGCCGCGGTGGGCAAGACGGAGCAGAACGTGGATGAGCTGCGTGGGGAGGCGAGGCAGCTTGTCGCGGCGTCGTAAAGAAGTAGAAGAAGGAGAGGCCAAATATGCGTGATGCATCGCATCGAAACAGATCTTACACCAAGTTCCAGCGTTCATCCGATTCTTCTCCAACTTCCTTCGCTTTCATCTTCGGATCTCTTTCCCTTGTATACTTCTTCACCACAGTACACACTGATCCTTCTTTGGCGGGTTCATCTAATCAAGTCAGCTCGTTTATCCCGAAAACCATCGGGAACGCTTCAGCTCACCCCTGACCCCGCTTTGCAACCCCAAGCAGAATGGAACGCCTCGAGATTCCTCAGTGTCCCCGTAGCGCGCCAGTACGGGGGGCTGTGCGGATCTGTCCGGACCCGCTGGACTGCTACTGCCGGCCGAGTGACCTGTGCCCAGACTCGGGCGTATGCGACAAAGAAGAGCTGTTCATCTGTGTAATTGAGACCGGGGAGGCGGAGGGGTTTGTCCGTTTCCGTCATTGACAGGGAGTCTTTCCATGCGATGTAAGCCTGGGCGAGGCCGGAATCGGCGATGTCTGATGATCAGCATTTTGCAGCAGCGCGAAGAGCCTAGCGGGAACCAGGCGGAAGGCAGATAAGTACCTTCTCCGTTGGTGAGCTGTGTGTGTCAGCTTAAATCCCAAGCTCGAGGGGGACATGTTTAGCTTACGTTTCCATTCACAAACACCTTCTTGCCCTCACCATCCAGCACAAAGTACTTGCTGTACTGCTTGGAGATACACTGAGCGCGCTCCTCGAAGGCCTTGGTCGTTGTGTTGGTCCACCACTGTCTGAGCCGGCCTGCGTGTATCAGCTTGGTCCGGAGCGCGAGGCAAACAGGCAGTCTTTAGCTCACCCTGCTCGTCATACTGGCTGCCCGAGTTGTCGAATGCGTGCGTGAGCTCATGGGCTGCCACGGCCCCGAAAGCGCCGTATTTCAAGTGCGAGGGCCACTCCTGCGAGTAGAAGGGGGGCTGAAGGATACCGGCAGGGAAGACGATCTCGCCATCTGGAGGAGCTGGGACGTTAGCTATAGTCCACGGCCATTACGTGAGCATACGTCAGCTCACAATAGTACGCGTTGACAGCTATCAAGTGTCAGCACATCTCGCTATGAGGCAGATACGTCTGCGAGCCGGGACTCACTCTGCGGGTACATCTAGCATCTTGTCAGCTTCCGGTACACATCTCGATGGAGAATCTTTTAGCTCACCTCCCAAGTCTGCCTGTCCCGCTGCCTGCCCAGTGACATCCACGTCCTCGACACATCCGCCAATGTCGTCCGCAACACATTCCCAAAGAAGTCATCCCCCTCGACTTCGGTGCGCCCGTACCACCTCTGCAGACTCTCCGCGTCGGTCGTGTTGGGCGTAAGCGGGTAGCCCACTTTGGGAATGATGGCTTTGGCCTTCTTTTGCGCGGCCTCGGCGGATTCCTTGTCCATCCATGAGATATGAGGGAGCTTGTTGTAGAACGCATCGACAATGTCTGATGATCAGCTACACGCCGGCGCAGAAGACCTGGAAATAGCTGACCGTTTATGATTGCCTCGCCCTCCTTCTTCGCCTCGGGCGAGAACGCCTCCTTGACGAACTCCCTCCCTGCGATAAAGCCCACGATTCCATCGACATAGTTCAAGCAGAGATCCACCCGGTTCTCCTCCGTCCCCTTCTTGATACCCTTAAGCACCTCCTGCAGCCTCCGCATCTCTTTCCTCACCTCCACCTTGGGTCCGAGGACATCCGCAAACGTCACCGCCACCCGCGACACGAAGTATCCCGCCAGAACATGGTCAGGCGTCTGATCGACAATCTTGGACACGGCCTTGAGGTACGGCGGGTACGTGACTGTGATATTCGCTGGGAAGGTCCGGGGTGCGTAGGTTGAAAGATACGTGCGGACATCGAGGAACGAGAGTGCCTTGTCGACTTTGGAAGTAGGGTAGGGGTTGTAGGCGTAGTGCGGGTTGAAGAGGTATTCGAGGTCCGCGCCGGCACGGACGAGGTCTCGTTCGAAAGCGACCACTTTGGCGGCGAGGCGGTACATCCGTTCCGAAAGGGGATCGTCCTGCTTAGGCGGGGGCTTGGGCTTGTCGTCAGGCTTGTCGTCTCCGGGCCAAGGCCAGGGCCAGCCTGCGACTTCGAATACTTCGGCGACGTCGTCGGCGTAGTCCCGCTTCTCCGAGTTAGATTGAGAGCCGGTGTGCTCAGCGATGGAAGTGAGGATACCGGCGATGGCGGATTGGTAGAGGTCGAGAATAGGCTTCTCTTCGTAGTATTCCTTGGAGGGGAGGGTGCCGAAGGTCTGGTATAGCCAGAGAGACTGGATCTGAGAGTCTTCTCCGCCAGCGTCACCCTCGATGTTGAAGCCGACCAGGGCATCGACGCCTGGACTGTCAGCTTTCTCTTGATTTCGAGTCAATTTAGGCCAGCGAGCTCACCTCTAGAATGCAAGAAAGCCAGAGTCTCGGTAATCCGAGTCTGCCTCTCGCCATCTTTCTTGCGCTTGGAAACCTCCATATCCACCTCCAGCCCAGCAGGCTTGTCGGCCGCCTCACCGCCAACCACCCTCCCCTCCTTCTTTGCCACCCGCAACTCGTTCGCTCTCTCGCCCTCACCCGCCAGCCTCTCCGGAACCTGATATCCCTTCCCATACGTCCCCTCCCAGTCCTGTACATCCGACCATGAGATTGACTCCTCGTCCTTGGAGTACTTGACGTCAAAAGCGCCAAATTTGTCAATGACATACTCCACGAGCGGGACCAAGGGCTTCATGCCCACCTCGTTCAGCGTTTCGACATCCAGACAGCTGTCGTACGCCGCCTTGAGCTTGTGCCGGTTCGCTGTGTCCGCATCCGCCACAGAAGAGTCGGAAGTGGACGGAATGGAGTTGAGCACTTTGAGGATGATCTGCTTGTTCCGGTCGGCGACAGCATGGAACGCGCCGTAGAGACCTCGGTCGGCAGGAATGTCATGGGAGGAGATCCAGCCGCCATCTGCATCATCAGCTGCTGTGCAAGGTCAAGCCGCACACAACAGACTAGCTTGAACTCACTGGCGAATTCGTAGAAGTCTTCACAAGGGTCAACCGTAGTATTGAGCGATTCGATGATGGATGCAGCCAGTTGCACGCATTCCGCAGTGAGACAAACGTCCTAGCTATCAGCGCCTCTCACAGTAGCTCGATAGGGAAGAGACTCACCGCAGCAGGCTTGCCTGTCGGCACCGCAGTAACAGTACTGCCAGGAGCAGTCGTAGTAGCCGTGACGGTCGTCGCCCCTCCGACTGTCCTTGTCTCGGTAGCAGTCCGCCATTCCGTCTTTCCACCTCCCTTTGCTCGCTCCTTACCCAGCGCTACTTCCGCACCGGTAAAGAGACCGATGAACGTTCCGGCAAGAATGAGGAGTGCAACTCCACCTGCCGCCAGGACCTTTTCGAGATTGGTGAGTTGTCGAGTGGGGTGAGTAAGGGCGGAGAAGAAGTTGCGGTCGGTCCGGGAGGAGGCGTGATCGGTGCCCTGGAGAAGGGGCGCCGATTCTGCTAAATCAGCTATGAATACTCTAGATGACAACGCAAAGGGGGAGATGGCAGGCATACCTTCATCGGTCGATGCCCGGGGAGCCGACATTTCGCGTTCCTGTCTTTGCTGCTCTCACTATGAGGTTATGAGCAGACTGTGTTTGGCTCGCAGCACACTGACACCAGTCGTAGTACAGGCCCTGTCGTATATCGATAGGAGGCAGAGTAGAGGGGGGGGGGCGTCGCTAACGCGTCCAAGCTCAGATCATGCACGCGGTAGACATGCCGTCATCGGTCTTGCCCGAAGCCATCGAGGAGGGCTGTTCAGCGTGGCACCCGCCTGCCGTTCAGATGGAGGGCTAATGTAAAGTGGGGTGTGGGACACGCCTAATAGCGACAATACACGAGCGATAACAATGGGCTATCGGTCTGCTGACAAGACAGGGACAGTAAGAGGTGATGAAGCATTATTGGGATTTTCATATCGCTTCTTTGCCTCTTCTACATCCGCCCAGCATCGCAACGCTTTTCAGAGGTACTTGTTCTCCTTCAACCACTTTGGAAATCAGCATGTTCCCCCTTATGTCACGTCTTGCTGGTCTATAAAGACTCACCTGCTCCACATCCTTCGAGTCACGCGCAAGCCAGTCCGCAGCGGCCTGCATGGAGTCATACGTCTGCGATACAGACAATTTGAACTTCCGGACGTCCTTGTCGGCGAAGAATGCCTTGGCATCCTTGAGGTCGTCGTAGCTAGTGAGCGAGTTGAACGAGCCCTTGATGACTGACTAATAAGCACGACTCCCCCTTTGAGCCGACAAGAAAACGCACGGTGGCTGATACCGTAGCTGTCTGCGAAGCGCTTGACGAGCTCGTCATAGTGCTCCTTGAACCAAGCGGTCATGTCCCTCCTCGAGTGCCTGTTCTGGGCAAGACCGAACTGCACCATCAGCTCCGCTCGACGCCTACATTACCAGACGACTCACAGCGAAGATGTAGATATCTTGATCCTTAACACTGCCATCATCCAGCATCTTGAACGTCCTCTCAAGCAACGCCTTGTCCTTAGCCGAGCAGAGCGCGTACATCGCGTCCACCTTGGTACTAGGGTTTGCCGGCTTCTTGAACACCTCGAGCATCTTCTCATACTCCTTCTCCCCGCCGTGCCGGACGGCATTGACGTAGATGCTCCTCTGGAGATCCGGCGGGATACGCGAGTCGTCATTGTTGGCAAGGAACGGCTCGAAGCGGTCCCTCAGCTCCTTGAGCACTGCAGCGTCCTCAGCTGCAGCAGCAGTCGACACTGCGAGCTCCCGGAGCTCCTTGACGTCCGGCGTGTCGTCCGCACCGTGCTCGTACCCCATCCGATCAACGATCGGGCGGAAGACGTCCAGCCGGAGCTTATTGATAGCGTTCCGAATGTGCTCTGGCTGTTCCCACCAGACAGCGCTGAGCCGGCCGAGCGCACCGCCAATCTGCGACAGGGGAAGGAACTCCTTCTCCGTCTTGCTGAGCTCAGCGACGAGGTTGAGCGAGCCCGACGTCTTGGCGTAGCCGGCCCGAGCCAGGGTAGTGGCGTCCGCAATAAGACCGACCCGGTCCTCGATGCTGAACTGGGCAGCGTCCTTTCCGAGCTTGGTGAGCCTTTCCGGAGAGTACTTGACGCGGTAGACACCGACAGTCTCGGCGTTGAGCTTAAAGTTGTCCGCCTTGCCGACGTCAATGGTGGTGCTCCGCTCGCTGAGGACCGCCTTGTGGTCGATGGACGATTTACCGCCAGAGAGGGTCTTGACCTCGAGGGGTACCCACCAGAGGGTCTCGTCCTCCTCGGGCTTGACGTCGCCAGTGGAGAGGAAGCGGTTCTGGGTGACCTTGATCTTGCCGTCTCCCTGCTCGTCGACCGAGATGACGGGGAAGCCGACCTGATCATCAGCTACGTACTTGACATACCATGACAGAAGCTCACCTTGAGGGTCCAGTTTGCCATAATCGAAGCAACATCCATCCCTGATGCCTCCGAGACACCCGCCCAGAGATCCTTAGTCTCGGCATTCCCGTAAAGGTGCTTCTTCAGGTAGATACTGACACCCTTGAGGAACTTGTCCTCGCCGACCACCGCCGAGATCATGCGAAGCACCGACGCACCCTTGGAGTACGAGATACTGTCAAAGATCTGGTTGACCGAGTTGGCATCCGGGCAGTCGACCTCGATGGGGTGGGACGACCGCTGCGAGTCGAGCGACAGCGCGGCCGTAAGATGGTCGTTGAGGAAGGCGGCGCGGACGTGCCATTCCGGCCAGATCCGGTCCGGGATGACCAGCTCACCCATGAGGGTAGCAAAGGCCTCGTTAAGCCAGAGGTTGTCCCACCACTTCATGGTGACGATGTCGCCGAACCACATGTGGGCGAGCTCGTGGCACTGGACAGTAGCGACCCTCTTCTTGGCCGTCAAAGAGCTCTTCTCCGGGTCGTACAAGTACGCCGTCGTCCGCCCGGTGATGAGACCCCAGTTCTCCATCGCGCCGGCGTCAAAGTCGTGCGCGACGAGCGTGTCCAGCTTGGGCAGAGCGTAAGGGATGTCAAAGATCTCCTCGTACACTGGCAGTGCCCACTTTTTGATATCGAGACCGAATTGCGCCTGCTTGATCTGGTCGTGGGTGGCAAAGATGCGGAGGGGGATGGTTTTACCGGTAAGTTTAGACTTGTGTTCCGAGTGAAGCGAGGCGAATTCACCGCATGCGTACGCGACGAGGTAGGTCGACATGGGAGGGGTCTTTTCGAACTTGGCAATCTTCCATTGGCCCTCCGAAGACTCGGTCTTCCCGCTGGAGGAGCCGCCAGCAAGGAGTGAGCCGAGCTCGTAGCTGTCCGAAAGAGCGCCTTCCGGTGAGGCGCCGGATTGGGGCTTCCATGGGTTGGACGAGACCTCTGGCATGTTGGCAAGGACGGTGTTCTCCTCGCGGGCGATCATGGAGAGAGAGAAGGTCGACTTGACAAGCGGCTCGTCCCAGCACCTGATAATCAGCGATGCCTCGTGCACAAGGGAGGATGGGGCTCACGGGAAGGCCTTTCGCGCAGCTGTGGGTTCGAATTGGGTCAAAGCATAGCTGCGAAGTCAGCTGTGGGCACTTTCGGGTCTTTGTAGAGGTGGCTGAAGGGCGGAGGCAACGAAGGCAGAGAAGGGAGACGACCACGAAGGGGATCAGAAATGGGGGAAGTAGTGAGACTGGCGGGTCATGATGCAAGTAGGAGGGGGCGCAAAGGGAACTGGAGCAGGAGAGAAAGAACGGATTTCGAGAAGAAAGAAAGATTGCGAAGAGAATGATAGTTGAGAAGCGGACAGTTGATAGCGATGAGTATCATGGGATATGCGCGAATGGTTCCGGAGCTACAGGGATGTCGCCATATCTCACTTCCCCGGACACAAAGTAGTACTCACATTTGCTTCTTTCCAGTCGCCTCATCCGTCGACCCCTCACTCTTGTAGTACCCCACCATGTTCCCCTTGAGCTCATCCTCGAATCGCATCCACACCTTGACCCCCTTGCTCCCTGCCTTCAATCCCCCGCCCGGCAACTTGCTCAAGTCAATCTTGCCCCGCTCTTGCTCCTCATCGAAAGTGAGCTGGTCCACTGGAATAACGACGGTGGAGCTGGTCTTGAGGTCGTTGGACGAGATGGCGACGTGAGTGATGTTGAGTGCCTTGTGTGCGTTGAAGACAAGAGTTGAGGTATCCGAGGTGATATCGAGGGTGATGATAGCTTCGCCGGAGAAAGAGGGTGGGGAGGACAGGAGATCGGTCTTTACGGCAATATCATAATGCTAATCAATCAGCTGCTGCGACCTTGAAAGCAGAAGACTGCGTACCTTAGGCACGACATCTGTTGGCAAGCGATAGTCGACCGGCTTCATCTCGGATGCAGACGCGGAAGCGCCGCCCGACATGGGCTCGGCGCCCTCGACTCCGGAGTGACAGAAGCACATCGTACGAGATCGGATGAAGTCCTTAGAGGACGCTGGCTTGAAAGGCGGGGTGATGGAGGTACGCTGCGTCGTCAGCTACGGTGTGAACGACTTGTCATCGTCTGGATTCTCTGGCTTACCGCAGCGAAGAGGCGCTTGGGCGTGGCAGATAGAATGCTCCTTGTAGGTCTGACGAATGCTATCGACCTTGTGATTGGGCGAAGTAGCATAGATATAGACGGTATCTCACGAGCTACTTTATATATAGAAGACGCACTAGGTACCATGCGATGAATGAGCGAGCGAGAGGTATGCTCCGCCCGGGAACGGCGATAGCCGCTTCCGTCGGAAGACACGTGCAGGCATGAGGGAAACGGCTCCGGACGGCGCCGAGATCCTCTTCACGCTCTTTGGCGAGAAGATCAGCAGCATCTTGTTGTTGCCCTCATCTACCCCATTTATAGCTATGCCCGATTCGACACGCCAGCAGCTAGCGAGCAACCGCAAGCAGAACGTCGCATGCGACGCCTGCCGTGCCAAAAAAATTAGGTGCGGCCGAGAATCTATCGCAGATATAGTGAGTGGCGTCCCTGAGACCTTATCAATTGATAAATCTTTCGGATCCGACGAGGCAATATTACCTTGGCTCGCGCCTGACGAAAGCTGACCACTGTAGTGCGTCCAGTGCTCTACCAAGGGTACGGAATGTACCTCTCACTTTGTGGAGAGCCTGCAGAACAAGCCGGTGAAGCGGCCTCGGAAGACTACCGAGAACGGGGCGGGTCCATCCCGGGTATCATACGATGGTAATGGTTGGCCACAGGAGCATGGTCCTCTGAACGGAGTTTCCAATGATATGTCGCGTCATGCGTGAGCTACGCTGATCTTGCCTTTCGAGCGAGGTGGAGACTGATCAAGAAGGTCCGGATCTCAGCCACGCCAAACGCACCGTCAAGCCCAGCACGAATTGCTGCGCTTTTTGTTCTCTCCCTACGCCGTCCGCCATCAGAACTTCGACTACAGCGATTTGGCCGATATCGATCTCTGTGCGAGCGGGCAGAGCGATATCTGGGAGAGCATGCATGGGGCGGTATACGATGAATCGCCGAGCGAGGCGCAACTGGGTACTCCGGAAAGTTCCCTGAACGAGTAAGTTCTCTCCTCTTGTGCCGGGCGATGCGGCCCTGGCTGATCCAACAGACTCGCCGAGGACTTGCTGGAGACCTTTCTGTCCATCGTCCATATCCGTTTCCCCATCCTAGACCCCGAAGATATCCGAAACCGTTTCGCCTCGCCAGACACCCATCCCGCCGGACCCATCTCCCATCCCCTTCTCGCTGTCGCTCTCGCATTCGGAGCCAGATTTTCCGACAATCCAGCGATTGCAGCAGATCGCGAGGAGATCTCGACGCGGGAACAAGGGATCAGGACAAGGAGTCGTCTCGTCCAGCTCCTTGTACTGCGCGCGAGGGAGGTTTGCGAGATGCGCAAGATTCATCGGATAGTGACAGAGGAGAACTGCGCGACTCTGATTTTGCTGGAGCCTTTACTTGGACGTGAGTCGCAAGCCGACCGGTTTGACCGGTTACTGATCTGGTAGAATCAACATTCCTCAAGGAGAAGTATCAAGCGTATCATGCCGCCGCCGCAGGTCGCCATGCCGCTTGTCTCGGTATGATGACAAGAGAAAATCTTCTGGGTATTCGAGACGAGAAGGCAAGGATGTTATCTGTGTATATGTGGTGGATCACGGGTCTGAGCGATGGGTGGCGGTCAGTGTTCAACAAGTTGAAACCATTATTGTGAGTGGAATCTTACACCTACCGTTCGCACATGCCGACTCCCAAGTAATGACCACGACTTTGACGTCGAGCCACCATCATTCATCAATGCCGCCAAGTCATCTCATCATGGTCAGGGTGGCGGCTCAGCCGAAGTTGACGATGTCGAAAGCAGCGTGAGCTCGCACACCTCCGTTCCAGTGAGAGTAAGCTCACTCCGCAGACTTTCCTCTGGTTCACAGCCGGAGCCGCTGGAGCGTATATCTGCCGACAGCTATGCTATGGCCTCTGGACCCCCCGCGTCCGCCGAAGCGGGATCGCCACCTCTACTCTACGGGATTTCGTTCACGCAAACTCTCAATGGCGGGATCGGTACATTGCGAAGCTCGGCGTCCCTTCGAAATGGCCAGACCAGTGGGACTTTCTTGCGGCCATTTCGTCTTGCTCTACCGACGCGTACTATCACTGTCTCTGGATGATTGTTCATCAGGCGATTGAGGAGTATGGGCTGGAGGATGAAAAGAACGATAGGGGAGGTGGAAATCATGTGGAGCTGGACAGCCTGACGCGGCGGATATCGGAGGAGAGTGGGCAGAGTGCTCTGAGGGTGGCGTCGCTCATTAGCGTGTTGACGGAGAATGGGTATCTTCGGCTTGATCCGTACGTCTACGGCCCTCCACTTCCAGCCAGACCTTTCAGCTGACACAACAGGCTCATCCTCTCCCATCCAGCCTATATCGCCGGCCTCATCCTCGCTCGCGCCGGCCGACCAGAATGTAAACCCTGCATAGCAGGTCTTCGCCAATACTCTATCGCGTTCGGACACCTCTGGGAAGCCGCCGAGGAGGTCGAGCAATTGTACTGCACCGCCACAGGAACGAGCGCTAGCAATAGTGTGGGCGCCACACCACATCTGCCGTCGTATCCCCCGGCGGTGCACGGCTCGGGCGGGATGAGCGTGGATGCGCTCATATCGGACCCGACGGCTTCGATTGGGTATGAGCAGGGACCGCTGGATTGGCGTAATCAGGCGCAAGGGTACGAGCAGGGGAGGGACGATGGGGAGTGGAATGTACCGGGTGCGGGGGCTCATTTGGTCAATTTGTCGTATGCGGCTGGGGTCCGGAGATTTGGGCTGGAGCTGACGATCAGGCTGCAAGTGGATTCACATCTCTGCCTATGGTAGCAAGGGATGGCTTGCCGAATGCGCCGACGCGGGACGCCACGGTTGCGTTGTTTGACTGGATACATAGGCCGACGTAGACATCCCTTCGAGTATTCGACAAGATGGCGAGAAGAGAGAGGAGCTCATTCCAGTATTAATGTTACTTGATGTGGCATCGAGATTCCAGCGTGTTTTCAGAGGATCAGCCCTCATCGTACTGATTTCATCTGCAGAAGGCTCATGTGATAACGTGTATGTCGAAGTCCAGGCGCTCAAACACTACTAAGCCATGACCGGCGGCCTTCCCACGGCAACAGGTCTAGTAATCCGCTTTGGCGTCCTCCTTCTGGCTGTGTCTGGAGCACGATGCGGGACTTCAGCTGGAGCCTGTAAAGCACTGCCCCATCATTTACGGGAGAACAGCTGTCTATCCTGGAAAAATGGGTATCAGAGGCGGATTCCCAAAGCTTTCACCAGGTCCGCGCATTCGGAACGGGTGACCCCAGGATGATCCCTCACTTCTGATTTGACGTATCTCACTTAGCCGCTGAGAGAGTCATAGCTCGGTCGTACTCGTGCGCGTCTCCTGCATCGGAGAACGCAGGCGCTCGAAAAAGTCGTGGCAGGGGTGGCAGTATTGAAAGCAAGGATCCGCGGCACAGTCGCATTTGGGGATACTGAGATGAGCACACCAACGCAGACATCTGTCGTCCATCATGTGTCAGTGTCGAAATGCGATACCAAATGTTTACACTGCGAATCGAAACTACAGGAATGGAAAATTCGCTGCCCCGCACTGTTAGCATCGGGTAATATGAGTACATGACGGAAAACATCACTCGAAGTACATGCTGGTGCACTTCTCCTCGGCCTGCAGCCCCGAAGCATCACTCGTCCGGTTCCCTCCCACTGAAGACTGAACTGGAGTCGACCAGGTCATCCAACAGCCCTCGTAAGGCTGCTTTGGTTGCCTCCTCGATGTCGTAGATTGCGGTCACCAGGGCAACATCCGACGCCGGGCCTTGCGGCACCTTCGCAAGACTGCTCCACGATCCAATGAAATCCTGGGTGTCAGTGCGAATCTTGTCGGCGTGTTCCCTCGTGCCAGGGAGCCATGTGTGGGGAATGTCCTTCTGAATGGTATCCACGGCACCGAGACATAGCGCTAAAGCCTCTGTACATTTGTGCTTGTAGCCCTCCCGATTCTTGCAGTCTCGACCGAGATGGAAGTCGATCATTCCTTGCAGCTGAACTATCAGCCCTGGCTCCTGGACGTAGTTTTCCTGTGTCGGTCTCAAGTCCAGCCTTCAGCTCGGTCTAGTATCAGCGATCGGGCTCACCAGTTGCCCTCCTGTGGGGTTGCCTGAACCAGGGCGTCCATGCAGATCCCGAAGGTCCTCCCAGGACTTCTCATCGATCCAAGGCATGTCGGCCGGCGTGTCTCCTGTCCCCTTCTTCAGGGTACGGTTCTTGAATGACTCGCTGGACTGGCCCAGAGTCACGATTTCCGTCAAGTCCGGCTCCCCACCAAGAGCAGACCGCCGTCAGCGCTGTCAGGTGCGTCAGAACAACAGGATATACTGATCAAAGATGTACAAAGCTATCCAACTATCCACCTCGCACGATCCTGAGCTACGCCTCAGAACATACCCAGGAATCCCCCTCCTGCATCCTCCTCCTCCCGCCCAATCCCCATCGCCCGCTGAGCCTCTCTCTCCTCTTCCCAGTCAATTCCCTCCCCGCGCTCCATCGTCCGGAGGTAATACTTCCGAGCCACCTCGTTCAAGCCCTGCGGCAGAATCAGCTCGGCCGGGGGCGGCGCCCCCTCCGCCGCTGCTGTCTCTTCGCCCTCCGCTGCTGTCTCTTCGCCCTCCGCTGCGGTCTCTTCGCCCTCCGCTCCTGTACCCGCCGCGTCCGTCTCAGGCGCGACGGGCGGAGCAGCGTTGAGCTCGCCTACGAGGACCCGCATAGACCGCTCACGACGCCGGATAGCACGCGTCCGAATGGCCTCAAACTCAGGGATGAGAGTGATGAACCAGAGTGAAATAGGAAGGAGGAGCTGGGTGACGATCCAAGGTGGGCGGGATAGCGGAGGTGCAGGTGTCTGAGCGAGCTCGACCTGGCGCGTGGGGTTCATGGTATCGCTGATAAGCCGAAGTTGGGCGGTATCGGTCGATAGGTGGATGAGGGGAATAGCGAGGTGGGGCGCTAGTCTTGCCGATCCGACCGCTGGGACAGCTGGAGCACCAGGAGGGTTCACAGCGGCGGCCCCTTGAGCAGGTACGCCTGGGCCATCATTCTGACCTGGACCCGCGCCATCCTGGACCGGGATCTGCGGAGGCACCCGCGGCCGTTCCCGTATATACCTCTGCCACCCATCTGCGACCCACCATCCCGTCGCCGCTCCGCCTATGATCCATAGCCGCCTATCTGACCACGCCATTCCTTGCGTCATCATCCACAGCATCGCAACCAGCTTGACGGCCGAGAAGAACATATGGCTGAGTACCGGTAATGGGATCCGGGGGATGTAGGTGACCGCGGTAGCGAGGGTGGAAGTAAACGTCGGTCGAGGTGCAGGGAGGGGGATGGTAGGTGTCGGCCGGAGATGCTGGGGTGTTTCGGGTACGGGCTGAGGGAGGAAGGGGTAGAGCATCGGTAGGAGAGCGGTGATTCGAAGGTATGTACGGAGATGGGCGAGCTGAGAGGGGGTCAGGACGCTGAGTTGCGGTAAATGCAGCTGGAAGACGGTTTGACTGAGGGTCAGCTTCTCTCCCGCCTCAAGGAAGGACAAGCTCACTCGATCTCGACGTCCACTATCTGACCCTTATCCGACTTATCCCATACCCGTCCAACCCGGTCTCGCCAGATTGACCGTACCTCCTCCTCAAGCCCATCCCTGTCCCCCGAACAGCCCACACCGGCGTCATGGTCATCGCCGAATGCCTCTTCCCAGCCTCGCCATACCCTTCTTTCCTCTGCTGGGCGAGCGTCGACCACCGTGCGAAGGACCGACATGACGGCTTCTCGAGCAATAGCCTGGTCGACGAGTGGAGGAGGTACGGTGTCGGCCCATTTAAGCGGTTCTCGGCCGAGCAGGTGGAAGAGGTGATGTCGTGCGGTGAAGAGGAGGTAGTGTATACTGTCGAGTAGAGCTTTCCCTTCTGGCGCAGGAGACTCCGCGCCGATCGCTGGTACCTCCACCGGTCGAGGCGTCACAACGGGAGACATGGGCTCGGTCGGTACCGGTAGAGCTTGGTTGAAGTACCCGCTCCCGACCCTGCCAATAGCAGGTGTTCCACCTAGTCTCCTCGCTACCAAGTGCAGCGTATGTACCACCTCACTGCTCCGTCCCTGTTCATCAGCCTTGCCCTCTTTCCCTTTGTTCGCCATACTCGTATAGCTCACATTTGCCACAACGTCTCCTACCGCCTCCTCATCCCTCACTATCCGTCCTTGCCACACGATCCGCATGCCCTCGCGTATCCAGATCGCTCGCTCCCCATATTGTCCCTCCGCAATCCCATCTTTGAGCTCCCTGATCGTGGTCGCCCGATGTATAGGGAAGCCCTCCTTTATCCTCGATCCACCATCACCGAAGGGCGATCGTATATCTACCCGGATGATATCTCCCTCCCGAGGCACGGCGCGTCGGCGAAGGGATGAGCCAGAGGGACTAGTATCCCTGTATGGCTCGGCAGGACGGGTGGGCTGATGACGCCGGTGCAGAGAGGGGAAGGTCGGTGAGGCCGGATCGGGATGAGGTGAGGGGTCTTGTTGATGTGGGAGGTCGTTCTGCATGATTGAAACGCGTGAGGAACAATATCTGTGGCTCCTGAAGCGATCTCCAGGGGATATTGTGGTATATAGGCAGCTTATACCACCAGATGCTAGATAGATGTATGGTGATTGTGTTGCCAAGGGGTCGCAGCGGTCATCTCGTTGGCGGTGACCGACCTCCACGTGGCCAGGCTCGGGCTACCCCGCCGAGCCTGTTACGTACAGCTCCCACCCGCCAAAGGTTGGGTAAACAAACGCGATTGCTTTCTTTCTCTTGCTCTTGCCACAGCAACGACTCAGCGCGAACACAACCACGATGGGCACAGCAGGGGCGGACAGCTCGGCTGCATCATCCTCAAGCGACTCGGTGTCGTCTCTAAACTCGCAGCTGCAAAGCCATGGCTGGACGAAACGACCTCTCAACCTCGAGGCCCTGTCCGAGCGTGATCTTGGGGACGTCGTTGCCGTATTCTTTGAGCTGCTGGGGTCTTCGATTGTACGCTAATAGCTCGCCGTGGGGAAGTCTGACTCTAGCTGACTGTCAGTCAAATACAGAAAACCTCGAGGCTCTGTCAGGCCGTCATCGAACGTTACAATACGAGTTTGAGCGTACGCAGAAAGCTCTGGCTGCTTCGCAAGCGGCACAACGAAGAGCAGAGTTAGAGACGGCAGGATGGAGAAACAGAGTCGCTGAGCTGGAGAGGAGGGTCCTCATTGAGGAGGGGAAGTTTCGGGAGATGCGGGAAGAAGCGAGCAGGGGCAGGAAAGCGCTAGAAGGGGTCAGAATAGCTGCCGGTGTAAGTATTGCTTGCTACCCAGTCAAGACTAAGCTGATGAATAGCATGACGCGAAGAAGATGCAGCTCAAGCTGGATCAAGCGAACGCCAAGCTTGTGAAGCTAGCAAACGATTCTTCGATCTTGACCAGGTCAGGTAGAATCGTCGTACTGAACCCAATACAGTACTCACGCTCGCAACCCCTGGCTGTGAGTATCTGCTGCCGGTATCAAGCCGAGCTGACCGTCAGGTCGGTCAAGATCCACTACTGGAAGCATCATTACGGGATCTGGCAGAGATACGACAAGGGTTGGAGGAAGAGACGGAGGCGTTCCGACATGTTGTCGTGTCCACCGCCAACCTGCTGCGGGAGGCCATGGCGGTCGCATCGGGGAGCGAGGTAAGTCCCCTCACCCCTGGAGATGATGATCTCGCTGATCAAGCAGGCTCCTCAACGACTACAGCACGCCCATTTCTTCGCTGCCTCCACATCGAACCGTCCATCATCATCCTCTCACTCGGCCCCATCTGGATCTCATCCTCAGATCGCATACGACCGCCTACAATCCCTCATTTCGACCCTTCGTTCCAAGCTTGAAGCCAAGATCATCCGCATACCAGTCGGCGATGGAGCGCCCTTGAATCCAGACGCAGTTGAGGCATTGGCGAGGGCAGAACGGGAGAGGGAGAAGGAGGGTCAGGATCTGCTGGATCGAGTGAAGGATCTGGAGATTGAGGTGGAGTGTGTCCGGGCGAGGGAGGAGGAGGCGAAGAAGAGCTTGGACGAGTATGTCAAGGCGCAGATGCAAGAAACGTAGGTGCACTACTCGACGGCGGCGCGGGACTGAAGCTGATTTCCAGGATGGAGAAGGCATCAGAGAGGGAGAATGATGCTACGGATCTCATTGGCATACTAAAGGAGAGAGAGAAGCTGGAGGATGAGCGTAGGAATATGGTTGATGCTATGGGCAGACTGGGCAAGGAGAAGCGGGTCTTTGAGGTCAGCTGGTGGCGACACTTTAGGCTACGTTGCAAAGCTTACATCGCAGCGCGAACGGCAGGCTTTCGAAGAGGAGCGCCGTCGGGTAGACGTCGACGATATCATCGCTCGCTTACCATCAACACCTTCCGGTGACTGTGTTGCCTCCTCGTCGTCCCAAATGGGGATCGCCAGTATTCCGACACCTAACCTCACCGAATCATCCAGCTCTTCCAGCTCGTCCATCGAGTCACCACCCACTATCGACTCCTACGTCCTCCCAGCTCTCCCTGCATGGACGACCCACCGCCCGCACTCCCCATCACCTCTATCTCCGCACAAGCCTCGAACACCCAAAGCCCATATCGCAAAATCGAAACGCGGCAAAACACCCCTCTCGCGCCTAGTGCTCGAAAAGGCCGTGCGGCGGAAAAGCCAGGGTCTATCCGCAGATCAGATCTCGTCCGCTATGGCGCCCCATCGAGAGGCACTGGGTGAGGGGAGTAAGCGGGCGAATGCTGCCCCGGGTGTTGTGCGGCCGGAGGTACTGAGCAAGTCGATCAAGGGGAAAGAGAAGGCTGGGAGTGGAGCGGGTGGCATGGGCGCGAGGGACAGATTGATGGCGTCGACGCGGGCGACGGAGGCGAAGAGGCTAGGCGTATCAACGAGTGCAAGAGAAGGATTAGGTGTGTCTCAGAGGAAATCTGAGGGACCTGCGAGTAGCGGGAGAGGGTCGGATCCAGCGGAATTAAGAGGAAAGGGGAAGGCGGTATGGCGATAATAGGGCATATCAATCTATAGTGTATCGACGAGATATGATCATCTGCATATACTGTTCCGGGAGGGCGCAGGGTTTAGCCCGGCTGGTACTGCCATGCGGCCGTCTGAGAATGTCTGAGATTCGACTATTGCGGTTGCATCCGAGTGCCACATTCCTCGTGCCTGGCGCCCCTTTGGGTCCGCATCAACGCTGCAGCTGTCACCGTCAGTCAACCACTCATAGTAGTTCATCGTAGCTCTTGCATCTTTCACATAACTCAGCACTCGATACATCATGGCAGAACAGACCAAAGCCGAGTGAGTGTCCTCAAGGTACAAGTTCAGTCGGTGGTGGGAGGTTTAGATGACTGCGGGGGCCCATGAGAGCAACCTTCGCTTACCCCCTTGGATCGTTCGCTCAGAAGTAAGGCTGATACAGCAGTGGTCCCAGCACCTTCACCCCTATCCACCCCTTCCAGATGGATGATCCGAAGTCATGGTGAGTTCACCTCTCTGATATGATAGATCTAGGAGCTCGAGCTGATGAGCGCAGGGGTCATGCTATTGGTATGTACCGCCTGAGGTCGAAAGGGTATCAAGCTAATGCACCGGAGGTATGATGGACTGGGACAGGTAAGCTGTTACAGACAGGGTCCGGTATACCAGCTCGAGCTTACCTTCGCAGCGATAAGATCGTCTTCTCCAAGCGGTCGCTGCTCGAATTCCTCAAGTGCGCATCATAAACGGATTCCGAGGGTCCTCTTCGAGTATTGGGCTAATATGCTAGATCTATGCAGGTCACCGTCAACACCAACTTTGGCGAGATCCAAAAGCTGCCGAGTGAGCTTGCCGGGAACCGATATTGATAGTCAGAAGAAGCCCAAAAGCTGACAATGCAGAGTACGCTTCCTTTGGAAAGCTGTCCAAGCAGGCCACCGAAGCCGCTGTTGCTGATCTCGTCGAGGTAGGCTTGGATCTTTTACTTTGTCAGCCGGATATTGAGGCTGATCATTCAGGCTGAGATCAACGACCCCACGACCGACTCCAAAGCCCACCCATCCAAGTCTACCGTCCCCCGCGGCGGAGCCACCGGCGACAAGCCCTCGCGCAAGGTCGTCGACCCACCAGGGGGCAAGCAGTCTCTCCGAATCTACGGCGAGGAGTATGAAGAGGAGGATGCGCTCTCGCTCGCTCCTGCGCGGGATGGGAATGGAGTCGATGTTGCGATCGAACATCTGGAGAGGATCAAGATGCACGTCGAGCCGGAGTTTGATGGGGGTGCGAAGGTGGAGGATGAGTGCGTCTTTCAATCACGAGCTAGCTGATGTCATGCGAGACGAGTGAAGCTAAACATCGTAGACCGTCAGAGGAATCTAGGTCGTCCAACCCGCCGCCAAACTTCCGCCCGACTCGGAAAGTTCGTGAAGGTCAGTCCGCTCCACATTGTGATTCCGCTGTCCGTGCTAGAGTGATGTGCTGACTACGTAGGTCCCGGTGGCAAGTCAACCATGGGCCAAGCTCGTAAGTCTGTATCCCGCATATCTAGGAGGTAATAGCTGATCTTCAGTCTTTGGCGGGTACGAGAACGAAACCGAGGAGGACAGGGAGGAAGGGCGGGCCAGCGCAGGCAAGAAGAAGCAGGCGCCTCAATCTGTCAGTCTGGCGAACTATTTAAATGACAGAGTTTGAGCTAACATACTCAGGGTGGCGGAAACTTGTGGTAGTTACACCCTCGTAGCGAGTAGGCGGCGATCAGATGACGCATGCTTGTATTGACCGGATCTTGGCAGATCCCGCAGCACTGAAATCTAGTCTGCATCTATACACAAATTGAAACCCAGAAAACATTGCTGCCCAATAAGCCTTAACGTTTGACCCTGGTCGCTCTGACCGCCACTCTGCCACCATGAATCCCGGCCTCAGCGGTCTGTCCAGTAATCAGACGCCGACGGCAGATGTCTGGCTCTGCGAATGCTGCTTGAATCCCCTCTTCATCGCTGCCTCCATGTTGAGCCATGTCTTGATCAGGTTGACGGGGTCCTCGCCGGCGAGAGTCGAGAACTTGTCGTTCAGTGAAGCGACAGACAAGGCCACCCCAGGACTGTTGCAGTAGTTCTGGCTCCAGCCTTGTGAGAGCTGAGTTGTGCGGTCAAGGTCTGGCGGGTTCCGCGCCGTTGCATCCGGCGCCTGTGAAACCCTGGCTGTCTGGGCCCCGACAGATGCCCTCCAGGGTCCGTCCTCTTCGCCTGTCTTTTTGGCGAGCTGGGGCGCGAATGCAGTGTAGGAGCCAATGTGCCCGGAGACCCGGTCCCGATGTAGCATTCTGACTCCGGATTGGCTTGGCTGGACATCCGCCACGTGAACCGCGAGGTCATGGGTCTGGCTTCCAGTGGGCTGTAATTTGATCCAGGAGTCAGGTCGGGTGAACGGTGCATTGAAGCGCTTCTGAGGCCGAGTCATCTCATCGGAAAGAAGTGTAGGGTTGTCCTCTCCGAGTTGCTGAAGCAGGAGCTCCTGCCATGCCGCTTTCACCTGCAACCAGGTCTCAGGATCCAATACTCCCTCTCCGTCATTCAGCCAGTCGGCGATCTTGGCGACAGATGGGTCTGTAGCCTCGTAGTGCCCCAACGTCATTGCGAAATGGGTAGCGTCTTCACGGTCAAGCAAAGCCGTCTGGAGACTGTCCAGTTGACAGCACGCTGTCCACTTGTTGGATACCGTGATCTCGCCGTCGGGGGCGACGGAGAAGGGGAGTCGTGCCAGGGGCTGGAAATAGACCTTTTTGTTCTTCAGCGTCAATCCAATCACATCGCTGTCGCGGGAGAGCACAAGCCATGCGTGCCTCGTGGAAGCAGGGGCTGTGGTACCTTCAGCCATTGTGTGTGAGTAGGTGAGTAGGTGAGTAGGTGAGTAGGTGAGGATGGTCGCGGAGTGGACAAGCTCTTGAAGTTGGGCTTGTGAGGGGATATGAGTGAGTTTGTGAATGAGAGACGAATCGAGAGGCATGGGGCAGAGGCTGGCTGGCCTTTATACGTCCTCTCCTCTCCTGCTCTCGCCCTCGGAGCGCGCCTTAGCACGCCATCGCAAGAACAGTCCACCCAAAGGAAGTCTCAGCTTGGCGTTTCGCTAGATTGACAGTCAGACCACCATGAGTGGGCCTTAGATCAGGCGATGGAGCGGGGCAAGAAAGGACGTCCAGGCCACAAGAGCTCGACCGTCCTCTTGTCTTGAAAAGAGCATCACTTACCGCGTTTCATAATCTGGCGTCAAAAGATGTCTTTCGCCTCGAGCTCGATCGAGCGCGATCAGTGCGTGAAGCGAGCTCGACCCGTCGTGACGGGTTATATCCCGAAAGGAGGTTGACATATTGCGTTTCAATAGATTGCTGTCCAGACCTGACCAGATCTGGCGTCAAAAGATCACGATCACCTTAAGTATCGACTCCAGCAGGGCTTATCTCGGCTGAAAAGGCGCATCACGTACTCGTACGCTTTGCGTTTCATTAGATTGCCGCGACGGATCCGGTCAAAAATCGTCTCCTGCCTTTTGAAGAGCGGCGCATGTGTCCACGCAAATACGAGTGAGTCGTCAGTGCTACCGCGATGGAAGGCCGCGTGTCGACAGATAGGTCAGTATGAGCACTGCTAGGGCGCGCCTTGTCAGTCCAGGACCGTCAGATATGGCCAAAAATGTCAGCATGTCGGTGGGTCCACCCTTCCTCTATAGATCATATAGATCAAGATCCTGCACACTCATGATCCCCTCGCCGACCCAGACCCTTGCTTCAGCTACTCAGTCGGTCCCTGCCAGACCGGCTGAGCCTCAATGTCCGTTGTAGGCGCCTGCATAGTCCTGCGAAATCAGCGTCCGCCGTCTTTGCTTCCCCCGCACGTCCTGCAGACTGGCGTAGATACGTACGATGGTGGTTCCACAATCGGGACAAAGTGAAGTCCGATATACACCAGTCCTACGAGTCCAAGAATAGATCCGCAGATGTATAGGATGGTATAGTAGCTGATGGCATCAGCGTCAGCCCTCCTTCCGGTTAAAGCTGGAGATAGCGTGATGTGAGTCGAGCGAGGAGTAGGCGACTCACTTCAGCATGAGCACGCCAAGCAGCAGGTAGTCTACACATATCAGCTCAGAATCCTCGCAAAGCACTTCGCGCAAGCCTACGAGCTGACTTACAGACCCCTCTTCCCACGAAGGAATGTATGAAGCTCGCATACTTGTGCACCAGCGCCTTTTGTTCTTCTGTAGGAACCTGGATCTCCAGGCCGATTGTGACCACTCCGAATCTACGTGTCAGCACATTGCCATCTACTAGATCACCAGATAGGCAGCCATGACGCACAGAAGCTCGTAGACGCCGATGATGATGCTCGAGAATGAATGGTTGATGAGTGATCCAACACCGCCGGCGATCATGAGTCCGCCTACGGCCCTACCTGACGTCAGCGCCACTTCAAGCACATGATCCCTAGGTGATGCCCTTCCAGCCCCAGAGTGACTTACATGTTCACCAGTCTGCCCAGTGTCAGCCATCAAACCCTCTAGACCCTATCACCGAATGGGACAAAATGGATTCGGACGTACCTCAGCAGCTCGGTCGGGTTCTGCGTTATTCTCTCCATCACTGATATCTGGTATGTATGAAAGTGAGACAGATGATGGAGAACTGGATGGGCCGAGGAGCTGGGGTCAAAATTTGATGGGAACCGAGCAGCGAGGACAAAGGAGGGTCAACAGAACTCTTTTGACTGCGCTGAACTCTCTTTACCCCACATTCCTCACCGCTTCCCCCGGATTACATGACGAGAAGATTGTTGACGCACTGATCCGAGCCCTGATCAAGCTAGAGCCATTTTTTTGGCTGAGACATGTTGTCGCTGCTCAGGCGCTCGGCATCGCTCAGGACTGCAAGATATTGCGCAGCTGGACTATCGGAATGAATCACCTTCAGATACATCCGATCTCCTACTTATACTACTCGTGTTGACATCTCCCTTTGACACTATCCACCAGACCAATCAGGCAGTAACCGCCGAGTCACCCAGAGCCGGCCCGGCCTGGCTGCCCAACAGGTGGGTCAGCCTGTCCTTGGCAATCTTGACCGCATCATCCTTCGCGACCGCCTCCTTGCCATGCTCCAACCTGAGCGGCGCACTCCCATCGTGCATCCCCAACTGCCTGTCCGTCCAGATCTGAGGCACCTCCTTGGCCTGGGGCATGCCCACGCCGGCGCGCCCGCCAATCGCCTCCCAGTCGGCCGTGCGCTTCAGATCCAGCTGGTTGAAGACTGACTCGATAGACTGGACGAGGTGGGTGATTTGCTCGGCCGTGTGGCCGGGGGTAGGGGTGATACGAAGACGTTCCTCGCCGCGCGCGACAGTAGGGTAGTTGATGGACTGGACGTAGATCTTGTGCTTGGATAGAAGGGTGTCGGAGGCTTCCTTGGCGAGCGCGGCGTCACCGACGAGGACGGGGATGATGTGAGATGGACCGGGGACGACGGGGATTCCGATCTCGCCGAGCTGGCGCTTGACCTCGCGCGTGTTGATCTGCTGGAGACGACGGTCATCCATGGATTCGCGCTGGTACGCGATGGACGCCTGAGCGCCGGAGACAATGGCAGGAGGGAGGGAGGTGGTAAAGATGAAACCGGGAGCGTAAGACCGGACGACATCGACGAGGTCGGCCGACCCCGCGATGTATCCGCCGACCACACCGTACGCCTTGCCGAGGGTACCAGTGATGATGTCCACCCGGTCCTGGACAGACCGAGAGACCGCCTCGCCCGACTCGCGGGTGGCGTGGTGCGCCTCAAAGTCGAGGTGCTCCGCCACTCCAGCGCCGGACGGACCGTACATCCCGACGGCGTGGACCTCGTCCAAGAAGGTCAAGGCGCCGTACTTCTCCGCGAGGTCGCAGATCGCCTCGATGGGGGCAATAGAGCCGCACATCGAGTAGACCGATTCAAAGGCGATGATCTTGGGTGTCTCCTTGGGGACCGCCTGGAGCTTGGCCTCGAGGTCCGCGAGGTCATTGTGGCCAAAGATGACCTTCTTGGCGCCCGAGTGACGGATGCCTTGAATCATGGAGGCATGATTCATAGAGTCCGAGAAGACGACGCAGCCGGGGAGTTTGGCACCGAGTGTGGCGAGGCAGGCGTCGTTGGCGACGTAGCAGGAAGAGAAGACCAGGGCGGCGGGCTTGCGGTGGAGAGCGGCAAGCTCGTCCTCGAGGGAGAGATGGAGAGCACCGTTACCGGCGATGTTTCGGGTACCGCCAGCACCGGCACCGTAGCGGTCAAGTGTGCGCCTGGTCGTCAGCTGTGATCCCTCAAAAACATTCCGATCAGGGAACTCACTTCATGGTGGAAAGTACGACCGGGTTCTTGCTCATACCAAGGTAGTCGTTCGAGCACCAGACGTTGACCTCATCCTTCACACTGGCCGTGTGGGCCATGGTGAACTTTGCAGCCAACCGGTTGATATTGTTGAAGTATCGGTATGACCTGGATGTCAGCTGTTACCCTATACCTTCTAAAGGGCGATCGAGCTCACTTGTCCTGGTGCTTCTTCTCCAGCTCAACCTCGTAGAAGTTGCCGTAGTTGAAGACACCGGTAGCCTTGGGTGCCGGAGTCGACCTTTGAGTGGCCTCGCCCAAGGAAGCCTTCTCCGCCTCCTTCTGAGCGACAGCAGCAGCCTGCTGGGCAGCCTTTGCATGAGGACACTTGCCCGACGGTGCGGCCGAGGGGTTGTATGCGACGTTCTTGGCCTACACCATCAGCATTGCCGACCGCATGGACTCTATCGATCGAGAGGCGAATCTCATCGCCCGATCGCAAAAAAGTTGAGCGTACCTTGTGAATCTCCTCGACTTCGCGATTCCCAGCGACGCTGGCGTACCCGCGCTGCTGGCCAATCTGAGCGAGCTTGGGACCCATCATCGGGCACTGCATAGCAGTGGAGGTGAGGGCCGAGGCATTGTTGCCAGAGACTGTAGCGAGGGCTCGGAGGGAGGCGGGGGTCGAGTGGCCCAAGAAGGGGCAGACGGCGGAGAAGCGGAGAAGCGAGGTGACTTGCATGATTTCTGTCTGAGTGAAGAGGTGGGAGGTGGAAGAGGTGCTGGGGAGGTGGGGAACAGGGGTGTGAGCTGTATATAGATGTGTTGAGGAGCAAGCAACCGTCGTCAGAGTAACCGGTCGAAGCGGGGGCGATCGGATCACGCTGGGCCAATTAGGAAAAGGTTGTATCGCCGAAGTGCCACAATGGGTTAGTCGGCAATACAGTTTAGTCATCAACACGTGTGGCACAACGACCTATGACTCAGCGGCCTGACGTGAGAGATCGGACGCACGGACCATCATGAAACAAGCTTAAGCTTGAATTCCAGCCAGATTTCAGATTTCCACCATCCCACCCATACCCTAGCAGGCCCAGGCCGCAGACAGGTCCGCCTACCCCGATCATGCCACCAGCAGCAACAGTGGATCAGAGCTATATTTCTGTGGGAGCGAATCGCTCCTCGTCATGCTCAGCCTCAACCTCGTCCGGCCTGCTCGCCTATGGCGCTGGGCACCTCGTTGCGCTTTGGAACGCAGACGTGAGGCGTATCGCCCTGAAGAAGGTGAAGCACGGGCTGACTAGGCAGCCGAGCAGTAGTAAAGGTGCACATGCTACTTTGCCGGGACACACCGGTGTGGTCACTACCGTCAAACTCTTGCAAGACGAGGATGCCGAAGGGAAGGGAGCTGCCTTCATCAGTGGAGATGCTGCAGGGAATGTGAGGGCATGGAAGCATGACCATGGTCAGGTAGGTATGAGCTTACTTTACTGTAGAAGCGTAGTAGAAGCTGATCAGCTCAGATGGTCTGCTCGGCTAGCTTTGACGCCCATTCGCAGTGGTCAATATCAGCCATAGCGGTCTGTCCCGCTGGTCCGCTTGAAGGCCACGTCCTTACCGGAGCTTCTGACGGTTGTATCAAGCTCTGGCGGCTGAAAGGCTCGGGAGCAGAGCTAGTCCAGACGATGGACCTGAAGGGGAAGCTGCCGCTGGACATGGAAATATCTTTACTACCCGGATCAAGCGGTCAGTTTCACGCCGCGGAAATGTTGACTCTGCATAAGCTGACAGAGTAGCTCCAGTCCTCATACTAGGCTGTACCGACCGTCGCATACAAATCTACACGATCAAGGATACGAAACTCGAATATGCGTTTTCCTTGGAGGGACATGAGGACTGGGTTCGCTGTCTCGCCATCACCGCCTATCCCTCCTCCGCCGAAAGCGGCGACTCGGACGTCCTCGTGGCTAGTGGATCGCAGGACAATTACATTCGGCTGTGGCGTATATCTCCAGTCACCGAGCGGGCGGATCAAACAAACGGGGATCAGAACCATGTTGCGGACGGAGCAGAAGGCGAGAAGGGGAACGCGCTGGACATGCTGGATGAGTTTGAGCGGAAGTTGGCTGGTGAGGCGGGATATGGCGGGAGTGTGCAGATATCGACCAAGGCGCATGTCCTGGCCGTTGATGACGGCTCAACGTATGTCCTATTCTCGCCCCTCTTTGATCATCCGAGGCTATCCAGCTGACAGACAGTACCCAGCGCTTCAACGTCACACTCGAGGCTCTGTTGATAGGCCACGAAGGCGGCCTGTCAAACCTCCACTGGTCCCCTTCCACCCCTTCTTCATCACCCCACCTCCTCTCGACCGCTTCCGACAACTCACTCATCATCTGGACGCCTTCTTCCGACGGTATTTGGATCCCCGCACACCGGTTCGGAGCACTAGGCGGACGGGGACTATCATTCTTCGGTGCATTATGGGGGAGGGAGGGGCGGTCTGTATTGGCCAGTGGATGGAATGGCGGGTGGGAGCGGTGGGTCCGCACGGACCAAGGAGAGGAGGGGGAGAGGTGGGAGCCGAAAGTCGGCTTGATGGGCCATTGGGAAGACGTAAGGGGAGTGGAGTGGAGTCCAGGAGGAGAGTATCTGTTATCTGTCAGGTGAGCTTCCTGGCCCCCACTTGATGATCTCAGAGTTATCAAACGTAGAGACACAAAAGCTTACGCCACCAGCTCCGACCAGACTACCCGGATACACGCCTCAACCTCCCTCTCTGGTCAGCCGCCAAGATGGGCCGAGATCGCTCGACCACAAGTACACGGGTACGACCTGACCTGCGCCGCGTGGCTATCGCCGTATCGCTTCGCAAGTGGGGCAGATGAGAAAGTCACGCGGGTGTTCGATGCGCCGGGCGGGTTTGTCGAGAGTCTGAGCAGCTTGGGCGTGAGAGAGATGGAAGGGGAGGAAGTGGTGAGCCGTCGGGTCCTCCTGTCCGAGGGTAAACGCTGATGAGATAGGGAGAAAGGCCAAAGGGGGCTACTGTCCCGCCTCTTGGGTTGTCGAATCGAGCTTTAGGTCGTGGTGAGCTTCATACTTGGCTTTGATGGCACAGACCAGAGTAAGCTGACAATGTCAGCGGTGGACGCCACGATGATTCCGACATCGCACCACGCCCAAGACTCAATATCTCGTGCCATGACGGCTTTACCGACCGAGGAAGAGCTCGCTACCTCCACCCTCTGGCCAGAAATAGAGAAGGTCTATGGACACGGCTATGAGGTCAGCCGGCCTTTCACTTGCTCGCCTAAGCTACTGGACAACGCTGACGTCCCAGCTCGTCTCCATGGCCGCCTCCCACTCAGGTCGCCTCCTCGCCACCTCCTGCCGTGCCACTACCGCCGAACACGCCGTCGTCCGCCTCGTATCTACCTCATCGTGGAACACCGTCGCCATCCTCCCTGGGCACACTCTCACCGTCACGCGGATCCAGTTCAGTCCGGACGATCGGTATATCCTCACTTGTTCGCGAGATCGGGGGTGGCGGGTCTTCTGTCGAACGGAGGGGGAAACAGGGAAGGAAAACGGGGGATGGGAGATGATAGCGGGGGAGGAAAAGGCGCATGCGAGGATGGTATTGGATGCGTGCTGGCTCAAGGGGTCTGGGGGGTTCGCTACTGCTAGTAGAGATAAGACGGTGAGCTCATCCTGACTTGTCCAGCTGAGACAGGGACAGTAGCTGATGCCATCAGGTAAAGGTCTGGATGCCTAGCACAGGCGAGGGGAAGTCAACATGGACACTGGCGGCCTCGATCAAGCTAGACGAGGGCGTCTGCGCCGTTGATGCTATCTCCACCTCGGGAGGCAGAGAGGTATTGGCGGTAGGGACGGAAAGTGGCAGAATATGGCTGTATGAGCTCTCCCGGGCGGAAGGCGGAGACGGGGAGATGAAGGAGACGTTGCTGTCGAAGTTGGACGAGAGGTGAGCTACCTTTTTCGTGTACCAGCGCCAGAAAGCAAGAGAGAGCTGACTTGTGCAGTATATCACATGTGCAGGCGATCACTAGATTGGCGTTTAGGCCTGGGGAGAGGGAGGGTGAGGGGTTGGAGCTGGCGAGCTGTAGTGAGGACAGGAGTGTCAGGGTGTATACCGTGAAGTAAGATATCATGAGGGTATTAACTCGGTGAGAAACAATCTGGAGGACCTTCTCATTCCGTGCCGCCAAGTCACAGAACGTCTTTTACTGCTGCTGCGAACACGCTAAAGCCAGAGTACTGACATTGAATATTGTCTCGCAGCAGCGGTGCTTTCATGTTAACTTTTCCAGGGACCAGGATGGGCAAGACACTTTTCCGACTGCAGAGTGGGGATGCATTGGACTCGACATGACCTCCTTATTTGCAGCCTGACAACTTCCTACAGAGTGTGGGGAGTTCCTACGAGTTCCTACAGATCTTCCTACAAGTCCCTGAGATCTTTCTACAAGTCCCTACGAGTCCCTACACGCCATAGGAATTCCTACTGTGCATAGGAACTCCTACCGGCAGTAGGACTTCCTATAGTTCATACACAGCCTACTTGGTCCATGGCTTCGACGCCCTCAGCGCGCCACATTGACCTGCCGCCACTGCCCTAAGCAGTACGGCATGGGATTTCGCCTACTCAGGCGTCGCACTCTCTGGATCTCCTACTCGATATAGGAGTTCCTACTCGCTACCGAGCTAGACTCCGAACAGGGGTGCCTCCTCGCTACCTATTCGCTTCCCGCTTCAGAGAGCCTGGAATCTCAGATTCCTAACATTTCAGGCTAGACTGACCTTGACGTCGACCCATAGCTGTGAGACGCCGTGGGCAAGGGCAGCGAGCAGTAACCAGAAGGCAATGCGACTGATGAAGAAATCGTGCTCTCGATAAATGACAGCGGGTCAAAAGGCTCCTTGCGAATCCTGTGACAATCCGCTCCGTACACTGGTGTCCGACAGCAGACATGGCAGGACAACGGGGGAGTCTAACAACTTGCCCTTTCTCCTCCTTTCTCCCCTCGCTTTCTCGTTGATGGAGTGCGCCTGTATATGCTGTATCCCTCATTGCTTCAGCATACATGGGCCTCGTAGTTGAGACTGCCGGTGTTCCCGAGACGAAATGGGTATGTACTGGCAATTTCTCAATACCCCATCTCGATTCTCGGGCTTACCCCGTCCGCGACGTGCATTGGTGAATGGCCAGCCATGGACCTATTGAGAGATCGATCCAGTCGCTTCAGATTAGCATTCAGCGTGAAGCCCGTCCAGTGATCTGGAACTATGTATATGCATGTGGCACTGAGACTGTAGGGCCCGGTCAAGAGACCAGAGTGTATCAGAATAGAAGAAACGGGGGCTTCTCAGCTATCGCGGCTGCTCAGCGATGACTGTCCCGCTGTCAGAGCCGTTGGTTTCTGACCCGGCGTCCGACCTGGCCTTCGCACCCGCGGGTGCCTCAGCGCTGGGAGCTTGCACAGGAATCTGCGTCGCGCCGATCGTAATTGAGACAATCGAACACTCTGGCAGTTCCTTCCCAGTGAGCCACGCCGCCAGCGAAGCGCGCAGCTCTGGATCGGGGTATCTGGTGAGGATGGCTTGGAGTTCGGCGTCATCGGGCTGGAAGCAGGAGGTGCCGCTCTCACAACTCCCGGCTTCTTCATCCATGCGCTGACTGATGATGGCCGACGAGCGCTTTGAAAGCATGGGGTAGTCGGGCGACGTCTCCGTCAAATCATCCTCTTCGGTCTCGACGACCAGGACATCGGTCCACTCGAAGCCTTCCTCGGCGCGGATGATGACGTGACGATGCGGGGCGAAGTGGTGAGCCATGCCTTCTGATGTGAGAGCTGTAGGCTTGTAGTGTCGATGAATGAGGGAACAGATAGGTCGGGTCTGAGCGAGACTTGGTCAGTGATTTGTAAAGAAGGGAAAAGAGGGTGGCAAATCCAGCTCTTATCACCGCCCCAGCGAGGGCGATTTTGACATGAAACGCCAAGCTATGTCGTCGTACACAAAGGGTTGCTGCATTTAGCCCAGAACTCCCTCGTCCATATCCTTGCGCCTTGAAAAATGGCCTTATGATGCCCATACGAGGGATTTCGGGGCTCGGATCTGGGGGTAGGTACTAGGCTTAGGGTTACAACGGCACCGTAAGTAAGCCCGCCTCTGCGCCAATGCCTCTTGCGTCAACACCGAAAGTGGAGTCGCAGACGATCAGCGCATCCAGACCAGCATAGTCTCGCCGGGCCTCGCATCGCCGAAATGCTGTGATGCCCTTCACAGCCAGCAGCAGCCAAGCGGCATGGATCTGACCGCCAGGCCGTGTCGGATCAATCCTTTCTCACGTATGCTGAGCCACTTTTGTAGATGACCTCGAGCAGCCCTGTCAACGAGGAGCAATAGGTCTAGCGCCCAGATGACTGCGCCCCGCGGTACCCGTTTCCGGGTCTCTCTGTGGTTGCCACCTGGGATCAGAGCCTAATAATATCAGAGCAGCTGGCCAGAGTACAGAGTAGAGCGCAGAATAGGCTCGACTGACGGCAGGGAGCCAAAGTTAGGCGCGTCATCTCGCCGCCGGCTCGCATCTTCGCATCGTCATCGGTCGGCCCGCTGAAGCATCAAAGGTTTCATGATCTCCTTCGGTCCACCATCTGTCCTTCCACGAGTACATCTCCGATCACAGAGCCTCTCAAACCACTCATCATCATAACGGCATTCAAAGTCAGAACTTGTTAAAATGGGCCTCTTCGATTCATCCCCCTCGTCCAGCTCAACGCCAAATACCGCTCACGGTGTGAACGATATCCCTGCGCCTCGATCGGACGCTACAGTGAACGCACCGCCTGCGGATCAGCACCGTCGTGTGGCGGACTTTGTGAAGGTGAGTCTCTGGCTTAGACTCGTTTTTCGGCAGCAGTAGGGGGGCTCTCCTAGGGTGGACATCACCTATCGATGCGGAAGCGATCACAATGTGAATCTCGCTGATTTGACAGGAAGTACCAAATGCCAAGTGAGCCCCTATTTCTGATTGTCGCCATTAGACGCTGCTGACCGCTCCAGGTATGTCTTTGACTCCCGGAGAGGGGGTGAGAACCCCGAGGCAGAATTATGCAGAGTGACTCCACAGGGCGGAAAGAGCTGCATCAAGGTGGGCTAGGCCTGAACGACTTCTCTCGTGAGGGCGCATACGGTGGCCATAGCTGATGCTGTAGGTGTTCATGCAGAGCACATCACTGTTCAAGAGTATGCAAGCACTTGGTGAGTCGGACTGTTCCACCGATCGCATAGGTCTTCACGGGGAAGGCTTACCTCAAAGCCCCTGGTAGCGTAGCTGACACCTATAGACTACTTCTGCGCATTGCCTGCCGAACCATCGCGGACGCATATGGAATGCACGCGGATTCCGCGGTAGACCACCGACCGAAGGAAGGATGGCGAAGAGGGTATACGATCGGGAAGAAGCAGACTCGACACATATCACATGTATGCGCAATGGTCAGATGAGCGGAGACGAGTCGTACTAGCGTCGACACTCCCGTGCATCCCGTACCATGAACCGCTTAGCACAGGTCGTTGTTGCTCAACAGAAAGCGACGCGAGATCGGGCTGGATGGTGTTGCAACGCATCGGTCGCGTGATGACGCAATAGACGAGGAATGTGGAGCGGCGCGGACGAGCTGGGACGCGCGGGGGAGACGGCCAAAGCAACCTTCATTCGTCCTTCTGCAATTCTCCAACTTGGATCGCATAACTCACCCTCTGTACCGGTAATCTCAGTCCAAGAGCCTGCAGATATCGATCGACTCCGCGTGTATCGTTGAACTTCTCGTGAGATAATCACCGATCCCCATCAGCATGGCGCCTCCTCCCGTTTCTATCTACGTTAGTCTAGCATCTTCTTCTCGGTTCTTCCCCACCGCACCCCTCATACATTTCGCCGGGATCGATGACTGACCTAGCAGGTGACAAGTCTCACATCCCAGCCCAAAGTCAGGCAGAATATCGAACTTCTCAGAAGGTTCGTGAATCTTCCCTTCGCTTTTGCTGTCGCTCAACTTTGGATCACAGCTGACTTGGCGCAGATCACTTCGAGCTCTGGAGATCCCATACACCGTGAGTTCATATTTGGGGAGTCGCGATATGGGCGTCCAGAAGCTGACATGTTGTAGGAACATGATCTGGTTATGGACGAAGAAGCCAAGACGCGATGGCAACGCGCCAAACCTCCAGGGCAGGTCATCGGCCTACCAGGGTATCTCGTAGGCGGTGAATGGGTCGGAGTAAGCTGGTTTCCACGCTTAATGCTTCGGGACAAAAGCTGATCTCGCTAGACTATTGACGATTTCGAATACGCGGCCGAGACTTCCACCCTTCCTGCCTTTCTTCGCCAAGACGTCGACCTGGCGGCGGACCAGTCCATGGGCGAGGCAGACCTCGATCGTCTTCTGCGGGAGATGAGCGAGGCAGACCTTGACACGTTACTGCAAGAAGACAATAAAGAACTGGACACAAAGCCCGCGCCAAAGGTCGACGTTCCTAAAACCGCCCCCAAAGCATCGGACGCGAGCTCGGCGGCACCCAAAGCGGACGCGTCCTCCGGTGCGGTCCCCAGCGCGAAGGCGGCGATGGAGAGCGTGCTTCCCTCAGGTGTGGGAGTGGCGGGCATCTCCACGGCGGCACAGCAGACCATCGCAAGCATCACGCAGAAGGCGCAGGAGGTGATAGAGGGACTGGGCGGACCCGAGGCGCATTCGGGTACAGCGGACGATCCGAGGACGCCCACTTCCTCCACTTTCCCCCTCAATGTCCAAAAGGCAGCCGCTCACCCTACCGCCTCCAGCTCGGACAAGGCCATGGTCACCGAGCCCAAAGCCATCGATACCTCCAACGCGGAATCTTCATCGTCCAGCCCGGATTTTGCCGTCGCCTCGCCGCTCTCCACTCCATCTCGGGCCGCTGGGCTCGAGGCGAAACACCGTTCCAGGCGATTGAGCAAGGAGGATAAGGAGGAAATTGCGCACAAGATGATGAGTGCCAATAGTGTCGAGGGGCTGTTGGAGAGTCTGGACATGGCGGAGGGGAAGGAGAAGAGGGAGTAGGTGGAGAGCGGACGTCTTTGGGGATCGAGACACAAGGGAGCTTTAGGCGGAGGGGTTGGGTGGGGAAGCATTGAACTGTGAAAAGTAATAGTCATGTAGCTTGCAGGCAGTTAATTATGAGTCAAAGTAGCCTGCTGTGTGAAGCATGTCATTGCGCTAGATCGCCGTTGCTGACTCACCTAGTACGCATCAAGTCGGCCGGACTCATCACAGGCCCAGGAAACGCTGAACATCTCAACGCAGAGGCATCCCTTGCATACCCTGACAGTACTTTGACACCAGATCCGACTTTACTGCTACTGCTTTGACATTTTTCCTTTTCTTCTCCGTCCGCCGGTCCCAGACCGCTCTTACGCCTTCTTCGCACTCCGGCTAGGTGGCTTCCTCGTCCCCTCCGTGACAGGCTTCTCGACCCTAACCTTTCAGCTTGCCCATAAATTAGGCTCCTCGGATAGTATTGTTTACTCACTTCGCCTTCTTGGCAGCTGGCTTCTCCTTCTTCTCTGCCTTATTCGCGCCCCTCTTCTCCCCTACTTCCGCTTCTGCCTCTGCCTCTGCCTCTGCCTCTCCGTCCTTATCCTCCTCTACTGCCGCTGGCTTCTCTGCCTTCTTGCTAGCAGGCTTGGCAGCCGGCTTCGACTTCGGCTTCTCAGCCTCCTTCGTCTCGTCTTTCTTGTTCGCGGGCTTTTCGGCCTTCTTACTGGCGGGCTTCGAAGCGGACTTTGAAGCTGGTTTCTCGCTAGCAGCCTCTTCTTCCTTGTCGTTCTTCTTCGGCGCCTTCTTGGAGCTGGGCTTGCCGGACGATTTAGGCTTGTTGCTACCGCCGTCGGCGCCGGCTGAGGACTTCAGAGGGTCATGACCCTGCCCAAATCAGCTTGATTCTCTCTGTTACGGAGGGAGGTACCTAACTGACCCAATTCTTGAGACTGAGGGTAGACTTCATACCCTCCAGCTCCTCCTCCGTCTTCTCATCTTTCAAGTGTGACTCCTGGGCGAGATGACGTTTGCAATATGAGACGACGCGCCGCATGTGCTCCTGGTCCTCCTCGGTATACTTCGAGGGGTCCTACATTAATGTCAGCTAGAGCTTCAAGCAGTCAGGCGAGACCGAGCACACCTTTTCAGGGTTGCGCTTGAGGATATCGACAATCTTGCGACCGCTCTCATGTCCAATCGCCTCGCCGTCTTCTTTCTTCTGACCGGTATTCTGGGACTCTTCGGTCTTGAGGAATGCCTCGAGCTCCTTGAGTCGTCAGCTTTCGATCCTGCGGGAGTTGGATATCGCAGGAATCGCTGACCTCAACAGTCATGTTGACGACCTCTGAGGAGTCAGCACTTGTACGATGTCAGCTTGGTTAGGCCAATCAGCGGAGGGCGGGAAGCGGAACGCACCATTGAAGTCCTTGATGACCTCGTCAGTAGATTTGACCATTTTGTATGGAATGATAAGAGGATGTATGCGGCAGGGAGGCAAAGACTAGTCAGATCAACGGCTCGACAAGCGGTAACAAGTCAAAGTGCAACAGCATGACGAAAGCCCCATCTTGTCTGTTTATACCCCACGCTTCCCCACGCTCCACCAGCCAGCGATGAATCGATGACGCACGGTATCACTCGCGGTTCCGGCGGAACGGACGGACATTCGCCGATACTCCGGCACTGTGGCAGCTTTTTCCAGCGAGATTTTGGTCCACCTTGCCTTTGTGTCTTTCGCTCTATCAACGACATCAGCGACCATCCACAGCAGCACCATGGCACCTCGCGCTGTACAAGCCGAGAGCTCACGTGCGGCTCAGCGTAAAGCTGTCCCACGCCCAGCTCCCACTGCTGCTCCCGCGGTCAACGGTAGCAAGAAGCGGGCTGCACCCGCGCCGGTTGAGGAAGAGGAGGAGGACGAGGGGCTCATGAATGGGGACCAGACGCTCGAGATGAGTGATGATGAGGTGGCGGAAGGAGAAGAGGAGGATGGGAACGAGGACGATGAGGACTTCCCCGAGCTGGATAGCGGGTCTTCGGATGGTGACGATGAAGAGGAAGATGACGACGAAGAGGAGGACGGATCAGAGTCGGGGTACAACTCGTCTGATATCGAGCGGATGTACGAGGACGGAGATGAGGACGAGGAGGAGGAATCGCCAGCGACGACTCCCTCGAGTAGCCGGGAAGACCTCACTATCGACGAGAAGCTCTCGCGGATGATCGCCAAGAACTCGGTCAAGCCGGACGAGGCTATCGGAACGGACGGAAAGATATCGGCGGCCAAGACGGGCAAGGGGAGGGTCGTACCCAGTAAATACGTCGAGGGGAGTTATCGGCGGGAGTACGAGGAGTATGAGGCGGGGTACGGGAGTGAGAGCTCGACTGAAGACGTGAGCTAGCCATTCCTTGATCCTCACCTGGGTCTGCAAGCTGACTCTCAGAACCCCAACACAGTCGGTAACATACCGATGGAATGGTACGACGACCTCCCGCATATCGGATACGACGTTAACGGGCGTAAAATCTTCCGGCCGGTCAAGGGGGACGAGCTCGACAAGTTCCTCGCGAATGTTGAGGATCCATCCGCGTGGACATCGGTCGAGGATAAGCTCCTCCAGAAGCAGGTGCAGCTTACGGATCGGGAGCTGGACATTATCAGGAGGCTGGAGAGGGCAGAGAACCCGGACAAGGATTTCAATCCTTATCAGGATACGATCGAGTGGTTTACGGGCAAGGGCAACGAGAGGGTTATGCCGCTCAGTGCGGCGCCCGAGCCAAAGAGGCGATTCGTCCCCTCCAAGTGGGAGCACAAGAAGGTCAGTCTCTCGGAAGTCTGAACGGGGAATAGAGCTGATGGAACAGGTGATGAAGATCGTCAAGGCGATTCGGGAGGGCCGGATCATCCCTAACAAACCTACCGCTCAGAAACCGGCCGTCTATGCCATCTGGTCCGAGTCCGACCAGCCCCACCAGGAACATGCCATGTACATGCCCGCTCCACAACTCCCTCCTCCCCGCACCGCCGAATCCTACAACCCACCAGAAGAGTACGTCTTCACCGAGGAGGAGCGGAAAGAGTGGGAGGAGGCAGAAAAGGAGGACCGGAAGACCGACTTCATGCCCGCCAAGTACGACGCGTTGCGGCATGTCCCCGGATACCGCAATCTGGTGCAGGAACGGTTTGAGCGGTGTCTCGACCTGTACCTCGCTCCGCGGACACGGCGGGTCAAGCTAAACATCGACCCGGAATCGCTCATCCCTAAACTCCCTAGTCCAAGGGAGTTGCGCCCCTTCCCCCTCGCTTCGGTGGTGCAGTACAGGCATCCGGGGAGCACGCGGGTGCGGTGCGTCTCGGTCAGTCCGTCAGGCGAGTGGGTGGCGTCCGGGAGTGAGGATGGGGTGGTCAGGTTGTGGGATCTGGGGAATGGGCGGGAAGTATGGAAGTGGGATCTGAGAGGCGGGGCGGTCCAGAGTGTGGATTGGTCGCCCAACGCAGAGGAGGCGGTGCTGGTTGCGCTGGTGGAAGGGAAGGTGGTCGTGCTGTCGCCATTGTGGCTCGTGCCTCCTGCGGTTGCGGCAGCGACGATGGAGCATACCAACGCTGGTTTCGCTTCGTCTGCTGCAACGACCAAGGCGGGGGCGGGCAAGGAGGTCAAGGGGGTGGAGGCGGTCAAGTGGGCGAGGCCAGGAGAGAGCGACCGAGAGAGGGGTGTACTCGTGACTATCGAAGTGCCAGGGACACCAAAACAGGTGGCATGGCACAGGAAGGGAGATTACTTCTCGACTGTTGCTGTTGACGGCGAGTCATATCTCTTTCATCATCTACAAAGAAGCTTTGCTGATCGCCAGCTGCCAACAAATCCGTCCTCATCCACCAGCTCTCCAAACACGCTACCCAATCCCCCTTCCGCAAGACCCCTGGCCAAGTCCAGCGGATCCAGTTCCACCCTCACAAACCCTGGTTCTTTGCCGCCACTCAGCGTTATGTGCGCTTGTACGATCTCGCGGGGCAGACGCTCGTCCGGACGCTCCAGACCGGTGCGCGATGGATCAGTTCGATGGACGTACATCCTGGAGGAGACAATGTGGTGGTTGGGAGCTACGATAAGAAGCTGGGCTGGTTCGATATGGATCTTGGAAACAAGCCATACAAGACGCTCAGGTAAGCTCAGGTACCAGCTGTCTGCATGAGATCTAGCTGACATGTAGATATCATACCAAAGCTCTCCGATCGGTCGCCTTCCACCCTACTCTCCCCCTCTTCGCATCGGCCTCAGACGACGGCACGATCCATATCTTCCACGCGACCGTCTACTCGGACCTGATGCAGAACCCGCTCATCGTGCCCCTCAAGATTCTGCGCGGACACCGGGTGACGGAAGGTCTCGGCGTGTTGGAGGTCAGGTGGCATCCACAGAAGCCATGGTTGATCAGTTCAGGCGCGGACGGGGAAGTCAGACTCTGGTGCTCGTAGAGCGGCGGCAGGGAGGACGGTCAGGTGTCCGGGATATGCGGGATTTTTGGGTGGAGCTTCTCGCTGGATGCAAATCTTGTCTAGCTGGAACGGGTGTCACGCTCTGACAGCATGAGTACTGTTGGAGCGAGCTAGGGGTAGTCGCCCGAGCCGATTGCAGAGTTCTCAGCTGAAGAAAGTCCACCACGTTGTTGGCGTCCGCCCGGTGCCTGACGAGAGGTCCGAGCGGCCCGTCTCATCCGAAACCCTCCCTCCAACGCCTTGTCCTCTTCGTCCCCCTTCAGCGTGCCAATCATCCTATGCTCCCCCCCGCGCTCTGTACTCCGATCAATTCGACCCCTTCACACTCCGATCTAGGAGAGCCAAACCGAATCTCCGCCACAATTGAGGCATCCTGTGCGACTAGCGAAGCTTGAGCACTTGAGGACCGAGATGAAAGGTACCGCAGATCGGAAGGGACAATCTTACAATTCTCCTCAATCCACACAGCAAAAGGACAGCACGGCGCGGCTCCCGCACCCGAAGCATCGTGCCACTGTATACTCCTTTGGGCCTCGGTATCCCTCGGCAGAAAGGACGGCTGCATGTGGGGAGAATTGCTCCCCTTTGGGCGGGGTGGCGTGTGTGCTGTGTGTGTCAAAGGCGCTGTGTGGAACACACAGGAGGGTCCTCGGTCTGTGCGTCCGGGAGAACGCCGGTGCTTCCACGGCACCCCTTGTCTATCCTTTCCTCCCTTCCACGACTCAGCGGACAGGACAGCCTTATCTTCTATGCCTCCCTTCCACAGATCGCCCCGCTTGGGCTAATCGGTGCTCATTACACGTAACGGCCGTCCTTCACTCACTTTACACCTCCCATTTTCGAGCGAAGGGGAGCCATGTAGCCGCGCTCACCCCAGATCCAGGCCAATCAAAGGCCCGCTCATCGCTTTAACGTTCACAGCTCGCCCGGTACAGGTACACTTAGGCTCCCGGTCCACTATTGCGCCCGGAGAGAATGGTCTTGGTGATCATTGATAAAGGCGTCGACGGCCCACTGACCTCATATCCCCCACTCCTTCAAGAACCGACCAAACAGATCGTCTCACCCAGGAATAGTATCTTCATATAGCAGTCTCTCATCAGTCACAGCCTACTCTCGACCAGGATGGCGTTCCAACACCCCGAACTCCTCGTCCCCTCCATTTTTGCCTTCTTCTGCGCCCTCTACCCCGCACCATGGCATATCCGGAACCGCAACATCGCCACTTTGGGTATGATCTTTTGGATGACCGCTCTAAATCTCGTGCACATCATCAACAGTGAGTCCCCTTCCCTTCTGACCCAGAATCTCGAAGAGACCTTGGCTGATAAACAAAGGTATCGCCTGGTCCGATAATGCCGACATCAAAGCTCGACCATGGTGCGATATCACCGTCCTGGTCAACAGTGAGTCTCTATCCCTTGCCCTCCGGCCCTCTGCTCATCATGATGGGCCGAGCTGATGCTCCAGTCGGCTACAATTACGGTCTCCCCCTCTCCCACTTCATCCTCGCCAAGCAGCTCGAGAATTGCACATCCCTTCGCTCCGACTCTCCTCTATACGATCAGAACTCCAAGCGCCGACACCTCGTCTTTGACTTTTGCCTCGCCATCTTTGGTCCGATCGTCGGGTTCTTGGTCTCCCTCACGTGTAGGTTGACCCGCTTCAACATCGTCGAGGGGTTCGGGCCCGTTCCGGGAGTGTACTGGGACACTTGGGGTGTGGTCTGGGTTGCTGTGAGTTTGTCGACCTTGTCCGAAGGCCTGAGGTAGAGCTGACCCATTAGGTCGTCCCCATCATCATCGCCTTCATGTGCTTTGGCTATACATGTACGTCTGCTGGCGTAGAGCTGAAGAGATCCCAAAGCTGACACTGCAGGCAAAGCATGCTACAACATCATCCGTCGCCGGCAGCAGATGCTCACCATCCTCTCCAAGTCGGCCGGGATGGACAGGTCACACTTCTGGCGACTCATGATTCTCGCCAACGCTGAGCTCGGTACCTGCATGTAAGTCCTTCTCCATTCATTCGGGACCTTATCTTATCCACCTGCTTCCCGCCTTGCTTCCAGTCTCCCTCCGTTCCTCCATCACACCCCCAGCCTACTTGGCCGCCCCCTCTTTTCATCTTTTTACGCTCCCTCCTCTTCTCCTACTCCAACTCCGCGAGCCCGCGAGCTTCTAAATATCATTATCGCCCATCCCCACCCGATTCTTCTTGGCGGGCCGCCTCTCCTCGGCCGTCCCTTCCTTGCTCAACTCGCCATTTACGATGGACTTTCGCTGATTCACAGGCTCCGAGCTGTCTTCAACATGATGAACGGTACCAACGGTCTTGACGAACTCAGCTGGAAGGACCAATCCCGCTCTCTCTCCAACATCGCCCAGATCTTTGCGGCCGATATCAACTCGGACAGAATGATTGTCTACCGCTTGCAGTGGTATACGGTCGTCGCCTGCAGCTTTGTCTTCTTCCTCTGCTTTGCCACTAGTAGGTCCATGTACCAATACACCTGCTCATAGAGTGACGCTGACAGTCAGGTTCCGAGACGAAGCGGTTCTACTGGGATCTCATGGCCAAGATCTTCCCCTTTGTTCCCAAGTACCACGAGACGACAGAGGACCGCGCCGCCAAGGGCTCATACGACACCAGGTGAGCTTCTTCTCTTACAAGTCAACTCGGGGTTGAGCTGACAGCACAGCGGCGGCTACACCTCCTCCTCCAGTACCAACCCCCTCCGTACCCAAGACTCCACAGACAACAGGGACGACAAAGAGATCTCCATCTTTGAGCTCCTCGAGGGCCCGCCCGCTTCTCCTCATCGATCCAGCAGGCAGAACTCGGACACGCGGACGTACGAACAACCAAAGTACAGACTCGACTTCCACGAGGAGCCGGTCAAGAAGGAGTCGTCGATGGCTTAAGTATGTCTCGGGTTGCCTTCTGTGTATAGTGCGGGGCTGGGCTGTGTTTGTCGCGAGTCGGACGTAAAACAAGTTGTCAATCTCTCTAGATCTTGACAGTCACCATATAACTATCTTCTCTAGCTCTCGCTCATGACTCGTTGTCTATATACTATACTTTGTCTTGGATCGCGCTGTATAAAAATTCTTTCCGGGCATGCATGACTATATTGTTCTGACTACAGCGGCCATGCTCGCCAGGGTCCAGGGTCTACATCTGCCCAACCTTTCCCAGTTTCCATGCTCTTGTAGATCGACACATTTTTTCCTCGTCCAGCTTCCCCCTCTTCGAGCCACCATCCCCGACTACTCCCTCACACCCCCAGTCTACTTGGCCGCCCCCTTCTTTTGCATCTTCCTCAACTCCCTCTTCTTCTCCAACTCCGCGAGCTTCTTCAACTCCTTGTCGCTCATTCCCGCCCGCTCTGCCTTCTTCTTGGCGAGCCGCCTCTCCTCGGCCGTTTCTTCCTTACTGAGCTCGCCGGTCTCTTCTCGCTTGTCCTTGGCGTACTCGCTGTCGAGCTCGGCGTCGACTTGTTCACGGGTACGGAGGAGCTTGCGGGAGATCTGGCGTGTCAGCTGTGTACGCGATCCTCCAGTTGAGGAACAGCGGGGTGGGATCAGCAAGCTCACCTCGGGCTTGATAAGGTTGGGCTTCGCAAGAAGATCGGCGATGTTCAAGGCCACCTGCAACCAGGCCAGAACGGCGTCTTCCTGAGCCTTGTTGCTGGGCTTGGTGACGGAGAGGATAACCTCGCGCCTGCGCAACTTGGGGTTGAGGGCGCCTCGAGCCGGGCGGTTGGCAGCTTGGTCTGTGATCTAATTGGTCAGTTTCAGGCGGCTCGAGGTAACGGGTGACTGTTGCAACTCACGAGGAGGTACTTGAGCACACTGGCTGCAGTGGAGTCCTTGAGAAGCTCGGCGACACCAATGCTAGGGGTCTTGAGGACGGCATCTGTAGCTTCCGAGTGCTCGGTGAAGAGCGCGTGGGTGATGGGGACAGCCGGGTTCTCCTGGAGCCTAGCGAAAGACTAGAGTATCAGCTAAACTCTTCGGACAGACATCATGGAGAGATTTATAGCTCACCAAGTCCCATCGCTTCTCCTTCAATTGCCTCATGGCGCCCTTGTCAACCACCGACCATACACCCACTCCCTCTCCCTGTTTCCCCTCCGAGCCCATACCCAAGGTCAGGTTAAAGAGGATACTCTCGCTCCCATCGTACGTCGGCTCAATGATCGACTTGCCGATATGCAGGGCGAGCGAAACGAGGTCGTGGATCGGGTATAGGAAGAGCGTGGTGTGCAGGCAAAGAGCGTTACGGCGGCCTGTCGAGTAGAGGAGGTGCTGGGCAGGACCGGAAGAGACGAGATCCCGGGTGCGGGCGAATTGGGTGTTGAGGTATTTCTGGATAGGCTTGATTCTGCGGAATCAGCGACATTCTCCCGGTGAGAAGAGAAGATTCACGTTGATTGTGCCCTAGAGTTACTCAGGTACTGTCCGCCCAAGTACAGGAGGAGGAAAGCCCCCAGTGCGAGGAACGCGAGCGCCTCGACCTTGAAGTACGCCGGGCGGAAAGAGAACATCTTCCACTTGTACTCGAGCCCCGAGTAGTCCGCTGGGGGGGCGACCGCCGGACGCGGATTTATCATGTTGATGATACTGAGGAGACCCGACATGTTGTTTGGCGTCCGGGTGAGTGGGATGAGAGGCAGATGGTGCTTGCTGCTGGCATCTTGCAGAGCTGAGCTCTGGGCACCGGCGGGTCGGCGGTCGGGAAGCGTCCCTCCGAATATCCGGATCTGGTAACTCCTGCCTGTCCGGGACTGTTTCCGGAATTTTTAAGCCAATTGCTGCCGGAATTCCGGTCGCTTTACATAAGCGAAATGAAGCGCGCTTCGTCACCGAGCGCATCAAGGAATGTCTCCTGTTCCCAACCATACCTTCATCCCTACCACCAGACAGACACGATAGAGACCGCGCAACGTCCTGACAGGTAGCTGTACGACCCAACAGTTTGAATAGATACCGTCAAAACCCCGATATCGCGTTGCTCGAGCCTGTAACGGTGCTCATCGAACTTCAACCTCAACACATCCCTTTCGACCCCTTCCACTCATTATGGCTGCACCAGGCGGAGGCGGAGCCTACTCGTGAGTCACCATTAGCTGCCAGGACCATAATGAAGCTTCATTGTGTATATGGGGCACACCGCTGATACCCCAGCTTCTCCCTCACCACCTTCTCTCCATCAGGAAAGCTTGTTCAGATCGAACATGCCTTGGCGGCAGTAGCAGGCGGTACCACATCGCTGGGTATCAAGGGTGAGTCTCCGGCGATCAGTTTAAGCGGATTAAGATGTGCAGACCAAGCTGACACCGATAGCCACCAACGGTATCGTCCTGGCTACCGAAAAGAAAGCCTCCTCCCTCCTTCTCGACACCTCGGTCCTCGAGAAGGTCGCTCCCATATGCCCTAACATAGGCTTCGTCTACTCTGGTATGGGACCCGACTTCCGGATCCTCGTTGCCAAAGCGCGGAAGATCGCACAGGCGTACTGGAAGGTGTATGGGGAGTACCCGCCAACCAAGGTGCTGGTGCAAGAAGTTGCCGGGGTCATGCAGAAGGCGACTCAGTCTGGGTGAGCTGGGCCATGCTGAACGCAGTCATAAGGCGGACTGAGCTGACAAATGTAGAGGAGTGCGACCATATGGTATTTCCCTCTTGATCGCGGGATGGGACTCGCATCGCGGCCAGAGTCTGTACCAGGTTGACCCGAGTGGGAGTTACTGGGCGTGGAAGGCGAGCGCAATAGGCAAGAATATGGTGAACGGGAAGACCTTCCTTGAGAAGCGGTACGTGGAATTCAGCTAGCCCGAGCCTCGCCTTCTTGCGAGATTAAGCTGACCACCCAGATATAACGACGACCTGTCCCTGGAAGATGCCATTCACACCGCCCTCCTCACGCTCAAAGAAGGCTTCGAGGGCGAGATGACGGAGAACACTATCGAGATTGGGATCGTCACCGTACCCACCGCGGAGCAGCTGCAAGAGAAGCCAGGAGAGAGGCTCCCGCCGACGTTCCGGAAGTTGACAGAGTCGGAGGTGAAGGACTACTTGTCACTGTAGGGTGCCAGTATGAAGCAGAAGGTATGAATAACATGATACGATTCGTTCAGCGGGCTTGTACGGGAGGGGCTAGGCTTGTCTGGAGAACAAGTGCGAAAGCCCACTCTGACCCCAGCTTGTCCGACTACCCTGCCTGGCTCCTGGAAGCGGAGAAGGATCCGAGGTTGAACGATCAAGACATCTTCCCTGTCTCCGCTAAGCCCGCGTTCATCATTCCCTGCCATGTTACGACGCCTCTCAGCTTGCATGCGGGGCTGTCCTCGTCTCAATAACCTTTGCGCCCCCTTGGCCCAGAGCTCAGCCGATAGTTGCCAAAAGGCGTTTCGGATCTGGCCGTGGCTGACCCATGTGGAGGCGACCGGCCCGATACGTGCTGCTGCTATAAGAAGCGCCATGCTGGCTTGATCAATCAAGCTGCTATTGCTCGCTCATCACCAGCTCCCTCAAAATGGGCAAAGGTACCGAGTCTCTGCCGATGCCCTCTGCGGCGCCAGCGGCCCAGCGACGGTGGTGCCAGCTCTCGGGTCCCACCCTGCTGTCTCTGGGCGTCTGCTTCCTCTTCAATATCTGGCTTCTTGCGCCGACCAAGTCAGATCACCTCAAGCACCACCACCATCACTCGGCTCCGGACGCAGGCAAATGGGCGAGATGTCCGGAGCAGCCAAAGCCGCTGCACCCTGCTATGGCTTGGAACATGACCGAGGAGGAGAAGAAGACTTCTATTGACCGATTTGCTCGGGCTGTGGTGAGTCGTCCGCTACTTCACTAACGCTGTGGAGGATAAGAGACTGATGTGACAGCAAATCCCTACTCAGAGCTACGACGACAACGGCGAGCCAAACGAAGATCCCCGCTGGAAGCCGTTCTTCGATTTCCAGACCTATCTCAAGGATACATTCCCTCTTGCGTGAGCTACCGAACCCCGAAGGCTTGCCAATATTCGCCCAGAAAGGTGTCTAGCTGATGGTGCAGCCACGAGAAGGGTAACGTGGAATACATCAACACCCTCGGTATCCTCAACACCTTCAGGGGGTCTGACCCGTCGCTCAAGCCGCTCGTACTGTACGTCCACGTCCCCCACACTATTAGGTCCAGCTGATGGTGTAGAATGTCGCACTATGACGTCGTACCCGCGCCAGAGTCCACATTCGACCGCTGGACTTACCCGCCTTTCAGCGGGCACAATGACGGGAGGGATATCTGGGGTCGCGGCGCATCCGACGACAAAACCCTCCTCGTTGCCCAATGTATGTACAGTCTATCCTGTTCAGATCGCGGCGCTAACGAAGTCAGGGGAAGCTATCACGCATCTGCTGGAGAGTGGCTGGGAGCCCCGCCGGACAGTCATCCTGTCGCATGGCTTCGATGAGGAAGAGGTATCCGCCCGTAGAGGTCAGGGTCAGATCGCCCCACTCTTGGAGGAGCGGTATGGGAAAGATGGGATCTTCATGCTGGTCGACGAGGGTAGTGGGACGACTGAGGACGTGAGCTGTCTCTTTACCGGTCGGTTAGCAGGCAAGCTCATCGGACAGTGGTATGGCGGAGCTTTCGCTCTTCCCGGTATGGGCGAGAAGGGGTACCTCGACATCCGGATCTCGGTGGGAACGCCCGGAGGCGTCAGTGGTATCCTTGCTCGGTATACATTGAGCTGACTCGCTAGCACTCGTCGGTACCGCCCACTCAGACCGGTATCGGGATCATGTCCGACATCGTCATCGCCATGGAGGCCAATCCATTCGAGACCAAGGTGACTCACCGAGACAGATCGCTTGAGTGTGATGAGCTGACGTTCAGCTTACCCCTGAATCTCCTTATCTCACTTCTCTGATGTGCGCTGCTGAACACGCTCCCTCCTTCCCTTCCAAGTATGCCAAGCTGCTCCGCCACCCTCGTGACTGGCCCAAGCTCGCCAGCCTCCTCTCGTCCTCCTCCGCCTCTGAGAAAGCCATGATCTCCACCACGCAAGCCGTCGATGTCATCTCCGGCGGTGTGAAAGTTAACGCCCTTCCCGAGCTGGTTACAGCGCTCGTCAATTACCGTATTGACTTTTCGGAATCAATCAACTCCACGCAGAGGCACGTCGAGCGGGTATTGAGGAAGGAGGCGAAGAAGATGGGTTTGGACTTTTATGGCTTCAGTCAGGACAGAGGGAAGAGTGGGAAGTACGTCGCGGTGGAGATCTTCGGTCCGGCGCTGGAGCCGGCGCCGAGGTCGCCGATGGAGGGTGAAGCGTGGGAGCTGTTCGCTGGGACCGTCAGGTGAGTTGAGAACTAGCCATTGGACTGGGCCAAGCTGATAAGTATTAGGGCGGTCTTTAACGACAAGCACGGCAAGCCAATGACCGTCGCGCCATCTGCATCTACGTACGTCTTCTCCCCTCAATTTCGGTATCCATGCTGATTCATTTAAGGGGCAACACCGACTGCAAGATGTACTACAATCTCACCAAGAACATCTACCGGTTTATGGGCAGTCCAGCCTCCTTGGACCGCGCGAGCGGCATCGTGCGTCTTACTAGACTTCATGGGGGGGACATTGGCTAATAATGTAGCATACCGTGAATGAGCGCGCGTCTATCGAGGGCCACTACAGTGTCGTTCGCTGGATTCACGCGCTGGTGCAAAATGTCGACGCATCCTTGGCGTGACCAACATCAGGACGCAGGTAGTTTTGAATCACAATCCTCACGATGTATCTTTCGGCGAAGAAGCAAAGCTCCAGGTGTTGATATTCCCCTGGTTAAAGATACTGAGGGAGCGAATGATTGTCGAAAGTAGAAGCAGGATGGCTTAATGCCTTCAGTAGTTTAAGAAGACGGAAGTCGGTGCGGATTGTTCAGGGACTCAGAGCATGAATAGCATGAGTTCGGCGTATCAAGTATGAATGGCAGAAAAGAGGGTTACAGCACGCCCAGGCGCAAATGGGATAGATGTCTGTGATTTAGACAAAAGCTGGATCTATAGGAGACTAGCTGGTCGTCGGAAATTTCTTCCAGGTCGAGAGCATGAAGCCAGGGAGTAGGAGTGAGACTTCAGACGACCCAACGGGATTAGACAGTTGCGGAAGCTTGACCATAGACCGTGTGATAGACACTGTGGATGACATTTTTGACCTCAGAAGTGGGGAGGGGAGGAGAGTGGTCGAGAAGCAAAAAAACAAAAACAAAACGAACGCGGGAGGGTTCGAACCTCCGCCTCTTTCGAGAAATGATCTGGAACGTTTGAGTTCAAGTCATTCACCTTAACCACTCGGTCACACGTCCGGTGACTAGAAGAAGACACGTGGGTCTGCGTGAGCTATAAGCCGCACGTTGCTTTGCCTCACCCGTCGAGGTCACTTGTCACACTTGTATCATACAGTAGCCAGGCCCCAGCTGTGGCTGATATGATCACCTGTACCGCGCAGGACAGCTGTGTTTGAGATGGCAGTATTTGAGATCCTTGGTATGATACAGATGATGAACCAAAACCTCGCTTCGAGTCGATGCCATACACGGAGTCAAGTGTTTCACTGGGAGCCCCGCACCCCGACTCGTCTGCCTCCACCGAGTCAGCAGCGAGGATCGCGAACGTTGCTTTCTTCTCTATCTCTACCTTCTCACCACTTGAGCGCAATGACTACACTAAGATCCTTCCAAGCTGAGATTGAGGGAATCTCTCACGAGAAGCACCGGATAGCTACTGAGGAGGCGAAGCGGGCTCATCTGGCGGCGGAGCTGGCGAAGCATCACGGCAAGTTGCCGCCCAAGAAGGAGGCGGTGGCGGAGGTGCATGAGCAGGAGAATGTAGCGGAGTCGGAGGAGGTGGAGCGGACATTGGAGGTGAGCACACTGTGCTCGTGCTGATGGGCGATCGGACAGGGATCAGCTGATCCCACAGGAGCTCATCACGGACGACGGCGACACTGACGAGCTCCGATCACGCTTGGCTTCGTCCATATTACGGAGCCATGGCGAGCTTGTCATTCCCCTCGGCGCACATCCTAGTCCTGCATCATTATACAGCCCAGCTGTCCCACCCGTTCCTATCGAGACCGTCGGTAAAGCCTTATCTACCGCCCAGCTCGCCTCCGCCATCGAGAGATTACGGGCAGCCAGCACCGCGCTGAACGCCGAGCTGAATGAGCTGTACCGCGCCGATTCTGGGGCCGGGCCTTACGGGTGCTGGATGGTCCGTCTGACCCCTCGGGGCGTGGAGGAGATCATGGAGGTCCGGGTGGCGGTTGTTGGGAATGTGGATGCGGGCAAGTCCACCACGTTAGGCGTGTTGACAAGGGGAGGACTGGATGATGGGAGGGGGAAAGCGCGGGTGGCGCTGTTCAGACATCCGCATGAGATTGAGACGGGACGGACTAGTTCAGTCGGAGGGGAGATCCTGGGCTTTTCGCCAAAAGGGGAGGCGGTCATACCGACTGGACACGCGGCGGAGGCTATGGGCGATGGGCACCTGGCATCGGCAAAGAGGGAGAAGATGGGATGGGAGGAGATCTGCAAGCGAGCCGCAAAGGTGATCAGCTTCATCGACCTTGCGGGACATGAGCGGTGGGTCTTCCAGATCGAATGTCAGGGTGATCGCTGATCGGCAGATACTTCAAGACCACCTTGTATGGCCTTAGCGGATGCGCACCCGACTACGTCATGCTTATGGTGGGCGGGAACGCTGGGCTGATAGGGATGTCGAAGGAGCACCTTGGTGTTGCCTTGGCGCTGAATGTGCCAATAGCGGTCTGCGTAACAAAAGTGAGCGATTCTCTGCGCCGACCTAGCCCTCAGCTGAAGTCCAGATCGACATGACCCCGCCCAAGATCCTCGAGCAGACCGTCACCATGCTCACCAAAGTTCTGAAGAGCCCTGGCTGCCGAAGAATACCAGTCTTCGTCGACACCGCTCAGCAGGCGGTCGACTGCTCCCGGTACTTTGGCAAGCCATTAGGGGGAGGTTCCGCCCGGTACGTCAGCTATCCCAGTGAGATCGAGTGCTTACAGCTGGTTGGCAGATTATGCCCCATCTTTATGGTCTCCAATGTCTCAGGCCATAATCTTCCCACATTAAGAACCTTCCTCAACTGCCTGCCATCATCGCAATCGGACGAGAAGTACGTCGTGGACGCCCCATTCGAGTTCCAGATTAGCGATGTCTTCTCGGTGCCCTTCGTGGGGACGGTAGTCAGCGGTGTGATCACAGCTGGATCCATACATGGTGAGCTGCATTGTGGCCCAAATCGTATATCTGGTAGGAAAGCTGACATTCCAGCCAATGACGCCGTCTTGCTCGGTCCAGACTCCGTCGGCCAATTTATGCCCACCGCGGTCAAGACGATACAGCGTAAACGAGCCCCGGTCAATAGTGCTGAGGCGGGTCAAAGCGTGTCGTGGGTCTTCCGCACGTACGGATGGGGCGTCCGAGCGTCCGAGCTGATTTTGTCAGCTTCGCTTTGAAACGAATCAGACGGACGCAAGTAAGAAAAGGCATGGTCTTGGTAGGCAAGACCGACATCCCGCCCAAGGGTGAGCTTAGCGTCTCAGATCCGGGCTTTGAGGCAGAAAGCTGATATGGTAGTCGTCAGGCGGTTCGAGTGCCAGGTCATGGTGCTGCACCACGCCAGCACCATCCAGCCAAAGTACCAGGCCATGATGCACTGCGGGGCGATTCGCGTGAGCCGACCTTTCATCTGATGGCTTTAGCCGGTTGCTGACTGTACAGCAAACAGTCAAGATCCTCTCCCTGGACCACCCATCGGGCTTGATACGGACCGGCGACCGAGCCAAAGTGGTATTCGAGTTCGTCAGCCACACGGAGTATGTCAAACCGGGTGCTTTGGTTCTGCTGAGGGAGGCGAAGACAAAGGTATTGGGGGTGATTACCCAGGTTCTGGCTTGAGCGCTAGTCGCTACTGTTTAGTGAGGGGGAGCTCGGTATTTTTGTATGCGTGCGTTGTACATTTGCAAAGGGGACTTGAGTTGCTCGTTGACAATGCAAGCATCATGAGGAACCTAATTTTCGAAATGCTGCACGTCGTCCATGGCCACAGTATCCGACAAGCTGCTCCATCAACCGGTGTGTGGACACCTGAGTGGCAATCAGCGCGCCCTGTAAGTGGTCTATGGACAATCTATAGAATGCGCATGCTTATGCCTTACAATCGTCCATTAACAACACCCCACCTCTTTCTCCCGAGAACACACCGGTCACATGTACGTGGCAGCAATGGAGCTGATTGACGTGCAGCTCTGCGACCCCGCCCGCGGTGAATAGCCAACATAACAATTGGCAGTTGACCCGCTGGCGCCAGGCTGTATCGCGAAGCCCTTGTATACGACGCTCGATGCTTTGTCTAGTAGTGTGGCGCATTGATCGGCGAGGTCCTGGAGGGTGGTATAGGTGAGTCTGTTGTCATATCCATTGGTCTCTCGAGCTACTCGCGACGTATCAGCGCTTAGTCTTTGGTGCTTTCAACACTCGGCAGTTTGGAGAATTGGAAGAGAAGGTTCGAAGCTTGACGCACTGATTCCACTGATGGGACACCCTCGCAAGGTGTACCGCTGAGGTGCGGCGCTTGGACCTGCTGCAGCTGGTGCTCCGGGCACAGCGCGCTTGTACAAGTCGCCAGGAGCTGCGGAGTTGTCAGCACTAACCCGAGGAGTCTTGAGAGGCCCGGGGCTCGGCATAACTCGCCTTGTGCAGCGACCTTGACTCTGTACAATTTGACGGGAGGGGCCAGGCTGAGACCGCTAGGTTGCGTCAGCCACTTACTTCCGCACAGATTACAGACGAGATGGTGGGTGGCAAACTGACCGTCATGCGTTCCCCATTCGTCATACCAAGTCGGGCTGATCGATGGAAATCGCGACTGGCAGTCGCCCAGCGTGGCGGCGATAAGGCTGCTATCGGGTAGAAGCAGATCAATACAGCATAAAGGATGATGACTCGAGAGCTCAATCTCATGGCTAGCGAACACAGCGAGTCCGGCTCGACGAACAGTAGCGGGCGAGTGACTAGCGGGGATGAGCAGACGATGAGTGCGCGAAATCCTTAAAGCGACCCAGCTTATATATGTTCCTGCACCGCTCACCCTTTCACCCTTTCGCTGTAGCTCTCCCGTATCTGCTCCGCCATCTCAAGGCATTCGACCCGGGCGATCACAAAGAGATCAGTTCAACGGTGAATACCCCGGCCCGTGTCCTCCCCTTCAACAGCCTCCACATTCCGCGTCCGCGTGCCTGACCCTGACTGAGCCACGTGGCTTCGTGCCTGTACCGCTTTGGCGGGGTGCGTTCCTCTGCTTCTCCTCTGATCAAAACCAGCTTCGTCCTTGCTCACTGACAAGGATGATACCTTAAGAGACGCCCGCAGCCAAAACAGTATGGGTGCGCGACTCTGGCATCGAATTTGGTGAGCTTTGCGAGGGATGGCAGTAGCCCCTGGCTAGAGGCAAGCTCATCCTTTAGGGTGACTTTCACCTCTGGCTTGATCTCCTTCATCGCCTTCTCACCCCAGATATGGATCATCTGGCCATGGTACGGCTCAACATTATCTGTCGATATGCTGAAGCTATTGGTGCCCTTCAAGTGAGCTTTTCGATCACGATCGGTCTGACCGGCGCAAGAGCTGACAAGTCTAGTCTGCTGGTATTTATGATCTTCTGGAATTATCGGCTATGCATCATCACACCGCCTGGCGGTGTTCCTTCCGGATGGGTCAGTCGAGATAACACGGCCGTGCCGACGAAAACTAAGGCTGATTCGATAGCGACCCAATATGACCGCGCTGGAAAACATGGAGGTCAAGAAGGGCTCGCACGGGCCGAGGTACTGCAAGACGTGCGAGCACTACAAGCCGCCAAGGGGTGGGTCTATCTCTTTGCGGTAGAGTTGAGCTGACATATAGCGCATCACTGTAGACAATGCAAGACTTGTGTTGTGAGTTGTGCACTCCCACCTTTATGGCCTTGAGCTGACACCGCAGGTCAAGCTCGATCGTTAGCTCAACACTGCTCTCAAGACATCTTCAAGCTGATCAAACAGATCACTGCCCGTGGATCGCCAACTGCGTCGGCTTCTACAACCAAGGCCACTTCATCCGCTTCCTGCTCTACGTCGTCATGGCCACCTCATATCACCTGGGCATGCTCGGATTCCGCGTCGCTGCTCTGACCAGGGACTACTACGTGGGTGGCACTACAGCTTAAGGAGAGTCGAAGCTGACCAGCAGTACGAGCCGACCGTGACCGACGTCTTGATGCTCGTGTTCAACTTTGCAGCCTGTGTACCGGTCTGGCTCTGCGTCGGGATGTTCTCGATGTACCACCTGTACCTCGCTTCGGGCAATTCGACGACGATCGAGGGATGGGAGAAGGACAAGGTGGCTACTCTGGTACGGAGAGGGAAGATCAGGGAAATCAAGTACCCCTATGTGAGCCGATGTACTGGCTTGATGCGGGCACAGCTGAGATCCGCCAGAACATCGGTTTCCTCGATAATATCAAGTCTGTCCTCGGTCCCAACCCGCTGCTCTGGCTCTGGCCCCAGCCGATGAGGGGAGATGGCCTGTCCTACCCGGTCAACCCAGAAGCGGGAGGTGAGTCAGCCGAAAGCGATTGGGCGGGGGTTGCTGGGCGTCAGGGACCTCTGAGCGCCCCCGAGAACGTCGAGAGGGGAGTTTTGAATGGGTTTGGAGAGATGCTGGGCAGCGTAGGCGGCAGTAACGGGGTGCAAGCAGGATATGGGGCGGGAGAAGAGCGGATGAGGCTCAGCCGGGGCGGGGGAAAGAGAGACGGAGACAGTATGGTCTGAATATCGTCCTGTAAGTCTGCTCTGTCAACGTGGGACAAGAATACAAGCCAACGTTACAGGTACAAAGCTGATTCCGGCAGACTCGCACGTCCAGTATCTCTGGCCACCGCAAGACCCCACGCGTCTGCCCAACCCGCCACCTAGCTACGCTACCAGCTCGGCTTTCGTCTACGGCAACGATGGCTTCAACCCCTCTCTACGCCCTTCTAGCGGTATGGTGCGGTCCAGACATTCGGACGGTCCACCGATCGGCGAGGCGGGACACGAACAGGACGACCAATACTCGCATGAGGGCACGAATAGTAGCTATTCCCGCTCGTCGTCGCCGGAGCAATATATGTCGGATTATGACGATGATGATGAGCCGCTGGGGGTTCGGCGCGGGGAGGAGTATGATCCGAGTAGAGTACGGAGAGGAAGCGAGGGGTTTGAGGTCAGACCGGTGCAGCCTTGGCTGAGGATGGAGGACATGGGAGATGGCGATGGGGCAGGGCACGGTCATGCCCCAACGGCGAATGACACCGGCGTCCGGTAGTTCGTAGAAGTAGCTATGTATCCTGGAGCTGACCGAGCCGTATTGGCTTCTGTCAGTGCACAATGCAAGTTAGACAAGATCAGGGACGGTCAAGGGACGGTAAGAAGAGACATTGACCAGAGACGCATGTGACTTATTCGATCCCCCGCGATATTATGGATCGGGCCGCCAAAAAGTTGGCGGACGAGCAAGTCCACTTGATACCCATCTATCTCACTAGTCTACCCACTAAGAACAGCTCTCCATCAGGCGCATAGCCCAGTCAGGAGGCAGCAGATTCGCCCAAAATGCCCATGAGACCTGTCAAAGTCCGGGATGTGTTTGACCAAAAACGAGCTCTCCCCCGAATGGTCAGTCCAGACCGCTGTTTCTCCTATCTCAGCCGCGCTGATTTGGGCAGTCATGGTCGCCTGAAAACCTGTACAACCTGTGGCAGCGTACAACTCCCAAAGGTCCCCTCTACCGCGAAACAGACTGGACCCGAACCGCAAATACCCTCTTTCAGCAACGATGGAAGGCAAAACGCCTTATCAGGGGATACCACGGGGACCATATCGGAACGACCAAGTTTGAGCGGTGGTACTTGCCTCCCTCACTACCGTCTATCCATGCCTCGGCACAAAAGGCGACCAAGGCGGAGGAGCTCAGTCAGTGGGTCGAGGGAAGGGAAAGAGGGGGAGGGCGGAATAGGGATGATCAGGAACGCGAACGGAGAGAGAGGGAGGCCAGGTCAGAGAGGGATATGAAGGTGCCGGTCGGGACGATGATGTTTAGGGAGGTGGAGAGGAGACTGGACGTATTGGTGTTCAGGGCGTGCTTTGCGACGAGCGTGTGGCAGGCGAAGGGGCTGGTGACGCAGGGGCATGTGAAGCTGAACGGCGAAGTCGTGAGCTATACCATCTGCTTTCGTGGCGCCAGGTGCTGATGGTTCAGGTGACCAACGCCAACACATTACTGAACCCCGGTGATATCTTCACCGTCGAAGCATCGGCGATCCCGATGTTGAGCGAGAAGGCAGCCAAAGCCAAGGCGGACGCAATACAAATGGCGAAAGACGATGCAAAGGCTGCTCGTCGGGGGCCCAGTGAAGGGGAAGAGGTGGCAGATGAGGCTGTCGAGGCTAGTGAGGCGGAGACGGAGACAGAAGGAGGAGAAGCTGGAGCTTCAGCAGAAATACCAGTCGAAAACGCCTCAGAGACACCATCGGATCCTACCTCTCCTGAGCAAGCCGAGCTCTCGTCCTCCGCCACCGAACCTACCTCATCCGACTCTGCATCCCCTTCACCTACCTCCACTCCCACCCCCGAGACCACCCCCGAAAAGCCCACCTCCTTCTTCACCCTCCCCCCCTTCGCCTCCCCGCACATCTTCGTCCCCGCCTACATCCTCCCCTCGTACCTCACCTGCTCGGCCGTATATGTGCGGCATCCGACTGCTCGGCCCGGATACTCAGAGATCCCCTCGCCATATGATGCGGGCGGGGAGGCGATGAGTCTGGGATGGGAGTGGTTTGTGAAGAAGGCGCCGAGAATGAGGGGACGGACGGAGAGGTGGTTGGGACCTGAGAGGAGGAATGATGTCAAGCCGCACGAGAGGAGAGCTTAGGATCAGGGTAGGACAGACCCATGGCATCGCGGGCAGGACAGTTGTTGTCAGACAGGACGAGTGACAGGGAGGATGCGAGTAGTATAGGGATGTCGGGTGATAGAGCCGCTCATACTTTGACGCAACATCTTGCTCAACATGCAGCGGATCTGCTTCATCTCGTCCATATCTCCAAGCTCTTCCCACTTTGACGGCAGAGGTCGGACGTGAAACACCCCAATTAAGGTAACTTTCATGCGATGCTACTGTAGATTACTTGTCCTCGGGCAGGGTCGGTAATTCGGGGATCAGCCCCTCTTTGACCAACAGCTTCTCCAGCTCTCCGCTTTGGTGCACTATCATATCAGCTGTGGTCCCTTGGACAAAAGGTCAGGGAGACAGCTTACTTGACAAGACGATATCGCAACCGCCCACAAATTCGCCCTTGATATACACCTGCGGGATCGTTGGCCACTCGCTTGCGATCGGTCAGCTCCTCTCTGTGTATCCGCCCGTTTCAAGATTGCATCCAGTAGTATAATCGGCAGTACTCACGAGTACTCCTTGATGCCTTCTCGCAGCTCCTGGTCTTCCAGGCAGTTATACGATTTCAGCGACTCTCTAGGTACGCCCTGGCCGATCAGCTACTCCCGAGCGATGCGCGATTCCAAGATGGTGAGGTGATGTAGCAGGATGAGAGTCTCACCTGGACGTCCAAGATCTGGCATACTGCCCGCGAGAAACCGCATTGTGGCTGATCAGGTGTGCCCTTCATGAACACAACCAAAGGGTTGGCCTTGACAGCCTAGATAGATTAGCGCCAGATCATCTCCGTTCCAAGCGATCGCTTCTGAGCTGTAGACCGTTAGACCTACATCATCGATAGTCTTCCTCGCTTCCGTGGATAGCAGCCGCAGGTTCGAGATCCGAGATGTGGCCTGAGCGAGCTGAGTTGGGGGAAGAGATCGCTGTTCGCTTTGTCAGCTCAGATCACCTCTGCTGGAACTCCGGCGGCAAGTTGAGAACCCACAAGCGTCCGGAAAGCTGTGCGTGCGAAGACCATCCTGATATATATGTCTTGGTAGATGTAGCTTAGATGAAAGGCGCTAGTGTATGATCCGGATGAAGTACGATGTCGAAGTTAACCGGGATGACGTTCTGGAAATTCAGTAGCTTTGGTGATGTATTTGGCTCAGCTCCGATTGGTCCCGAATTATCATCTGCCTCTCATCTTTACAATCAGCAAAGGTGTTTCATACAGCGTGGAGATCAGCCCAGCAGACAGCTCGGCGCACAATGAGCCTGACACCTTCTTATCGATACATCAACGCCGATGTGAGGGCCATTTTCTCACTCGTTCTGACCGGATTTGTCACCGTACTAAGTACTGATGCGGGATAGGAGCTGGCCGCGATGATCAAGGCTACGCCAGAAGCTGCGGCGAAGGAGTTTGCGGTAGTGGATGTGCGGAGTGACGACTTCGTGGTAGGGCCGACCTTGGCAGAGTGGAGCCACAGATGCTGAATGGGCGGTAGGGCGGCAACATCGTCGACTGCGTCAACTCGCCAGCGGAGACGTTCCACGTGGACGTGGATGGACTCGTCAAGAAGCTAGATGGCGGTGAGTCCTGGCAGTCTTGCCCCCTTGGCGTCTACTGCCAGCCGCGGTACTCTGTTCCGGCTGCTGAGCCGGTGCCAGGCGGGAAAAGCTGACGGAGCAGTCCCAAAAGTGATCTTCCGTGAGCTTTCAGACCGCCAGGCGAAGTCACACCGAATGCTTGACTGACTTTTCGAGACTGTGCGCTATCTCAGCAGCGGTAAGCTAAGGAGCTCCGCTTTCAATAGCCCTTGGGCACTGAGCTGATGCAGGCAGAGGGCCAAAGTCCGCTAGAGTAGGTTGTTGCCCCTTCTCGCGGTTCGGATCCTGACGAGACAAGGACATCCAAGTCAGAGGATACAGGCTCATCAGATCATAGATATACGCGGAGGCTCTGACACCTGAGCAGAAGAAGGCGCAGGAGGTATACGTCCTCCGAGATGGCTTTACCGGTTTCCAGCAGAAGTTCCGCGTAAGTCCTCGATCCTCCCCAACCCGCTCTAAATCTCGATCGGCCTGCATACCTATCCGCCGAGCTCAGTCTGACCTCTGCAGAATGACCCGGCTCTCGTCGAGAAGTTCAACAAGAAATACCACGACTGAGCGCGAACGGCGACTTTTACTCGGCAGGATGGCGGTCCTGTTCACAGCTTGCTCGCGTGGAACATATGCATGCGATCCATAGACTTTTTTCAGGACGGTATATTGCTTCTCTATACCCGGAGGACCGGTAGGTGAGGACCAGCCTGAGCTAGCTGCTGGAGAGTCTTCCGCTCATGATCGCATGGTCCCATTCGTCATCGAGGAATGTGGAGCGGAAGACGCCGGCTCGACGAGATATTTTGGCGCCGAGATGTTTACATCGTTCAACCATCTGTCCATACTTCGTGCTTATATAGTCAGTCCAAGTCCATCTAAGCCTTCCATCGTCGCTATCCATCAGCTTCCAGTCAGGCCAGCAGAACTCTCGGGCCTAGCGAAAGTAGCATCTTTTCCGCCGCTCAATCATGTCCCGCCCTGGCAAATCCAACCGCCGCCCCTCTTTCCCCTCCTCAGCCGCCCCTGCTGTCCTCAACAACATAGATCAGCCGGCATCCGCCTTATCCAAGGGCGTCGTCCCGAGTATAGCATTCGTCAAGCACGGCAAATACATTGCGCTCGGCTCGGCCGGGCTATGGTATACCGGCTTGATACCCCATGCGCGGGGCATACTGGAGAGCAATATGGCCAAGGGATGGGCGGGAAGGCTGTTGATGCTGGCGATAGGTCTCCATGGGACCACTGTGGTGCGTTCTATCGACTAGTATATGCCACGGACCAGGCTTTGGGAATAGAGCTGATGCTGCAGGCTATCTTCCTGTATCTCGTAGTTTTCTTGCCGTGGCTGAGAGGTTACATTCCAAATGTGCGTGACACTACTTTAAGCAAGTGCAGCTGAAGAGATAAGCGAGGTGATAGGCTGATCATACAGTATCCTCTCTGGCAGCAGTCCGCCCGACTCCGAATCATCGTCCCCGTACGTCTCCTTCGCGAAACGTGGCACACCTCAACCTGACCCTAATAGCTACTCACCTCCACCATCCTCCTGGGCTGGACAAGCTTCGTCATCTCCCTCACCCAGGCAGGTGATCGCTCGGTGCTGGGTGCCCTCGGTGACGCAGTCAAGGCTGTCGGTGAGGGGGATAGCGCCCGGCTTAGAGCTGAGAGCGGGATGGGTGTCTGGCGGGCTATGGCAGGATGTAAGTCTGCAGCTCTTAGCTAAGCACGCAGGCGAACGACCGAGCTGATGACTCAGCTACGGCGCTATATGTCCTTACTCTCGGCGTCTTGGGCTTCATACCCATGCCAACGAATGTGTCCGTCGGCAAGAAGAAGGATTAAGTTAGTCGACTTGATAGGGCGAGTGGTCATTCCGTATAATAGTCGGTCATGTTGCTCTACCATAAGCATAGCCTGTACCATAAGATAGGAGCTCGCTACAGCCATGATAGTCCTTATCTCCTAGCGCCTGATCAGAGCGCCCGCACATAAGCTTTTCGCCATGGAGCTTCGAGTGACATCATCGACACGTTCCTCGGTCGACGCGCCCAATTCGTCTCTTCCAAGACTCTCCTTTCTTTCCTCCAAACAACTCATTCCTCATCCATCATCCTGACTTCAACTTGCTCCTCGGCGCCATACACCAACGCGATGGAAGACTCACCGCAGCGCGGAGACTCGTACTTTGATCGCGACCCCGGAGAATCCCCGACTTATCTGTATGAACGACCTCGGTCGTCCTCGTCTGCTTCGTCTCGACCTGGGTATTCGCGCTCGAGCTCGTTTGGCAGCTTGATGCCCATGATGGATCGGTATGGGGAGGAGTGGGGAAGCGGGGCTTCTACATTGCTCGGTGAGCTCGCGAGCCATGACGGGTCACGGTGGAAAGGCATAGCTGACTCGAACAGACGTCGTCGAGACCTTCTTCGGTATGTCCTATCATGGCTCGTACAGAGCCAAACGCTGGATCACGATTGGCTGTCAGATAAAGAACTGACAATCAGACTCCCGACTCGACCTCGTGGGCCGTCGCCTCAAAGAGCAATCCGCCCGCCTAAAGACCCGGACCCTCGAGCTCATCCCGAAGGGTCTCCGTACGCCCGGCGGTGGCGGTGCTATTATACTCGATGACCTCGGCCCGCGTCTGGATCGCGATGGAGGAGTCGGGCCTGACGGTCTCGAAACGAGGGAGAGCAGGGAGAGGAGGGGTGAAAAGTATAGGAAGGAGGTGGAGAGGGAGGTTGAGCGGATCAAGGTCAAGGCGAGTCAGAGCAGTTTTGACAAGGCGAACTGGAGCTGATATGTTCAGCTAGCTGCGAAGGTCACGCACCTTTCGGGCACTTGGAGGTCGGCTCAGATCGTCCGCACAAGGGAAAAGTTCTGTGAGTCGGTTTTCTCGGTCAATATGCGGTACCCAGAGGATATCAGCTGACTGATCAGCCTTCTTCTTCGGTGTCTTGTCCCTCACCTTCTCCTGTATCCTCTTTGGGTCTGCTAAAGAATGGCTTCCGTTCGCCTACACCGTCCAGTCCGCCTTCTACCTACCTACCAGGATATGGTCGTACAAGCGGAAATCATTCCACTACTTCCTGTTTGAGTGAGCTAATTCGTCCCTCCAACTGTACGGGCAGTAACAAGCTGACCATGAATAGCTTGTGCTACTTCGTCAACGTGCTTGACCTGGTCTGGATCTGGCTGTTCCCGAGCTCGACTAAACTCTTCATTTGCTGTTACCTCCTGACAATGGGTCAGCTAATCCTTTCAGGTATAAGAGAAGGACAGCCAGCTGATCAGTCAGGTCCTCTAGCTTCTGCGATCATTACATGGCGCAACTCGCTCGTCTTCCACTCGATGGACAAGGTCACCAGTCTCTTCATCCACATGTAAGCTTCTTCCACGATTCGGACGATGGCCAAGCTGATCCATGCAGGTACCCTCCACTGGTACTGACTGTCATCCGGTAAGCCTGACGACCTCCTTCTCGCTCCTTGGGTTTTGCCGCTGATCCGCATAGTCATTCCTATGTCGACGCAGAAACCCGGTATCCCGGTCTTGCGCACATCGGCGACTATAGCTGGTGGAAGCAGATCCTGCTTGCTGGAGTGCCATGTAAGCTGGCTGCTCCTTATGCCCCCTCGATAGGCACAGCTGATCCCACTCAAGACATACTCTGGCAAGCTGCATACTATAAGTTCATCTCGATTGACCGGAAGTCCAAGATCGAGTCAGGGCAGCGACAGAATAGCTTCCACTAGTCAGTTGCCTTGCCCGCTGAAGATGGGGTGTACAGCTGACACCTCAGCTTGCTCAACGATAAGCGTGGACCGATCGGAAAGGCGCTCAAAGGCATCAAGCCTTCCAAGCGAGAAGAATGGTTCATCTTTGCTCAGCTCAGTATGTCAATGTCCTCCACCCTTCTGAACGCTCGCGAGACACACATTTGCTGATAGGTCGCAGTCTACTCTATCGTCTTCATGATCCCCGCCGCGGCTTTGTACGTCCACTCGGCCACTGCCAGCGCAATCTACCTATCCGTAATTTTTGCCGCATCGGTATGGAACGGAGCGACATTCTACGTTGAGGTGTTTGGCCGCAAGTAAGCTGGATTCTGCTTTTGCTTGCCTAGTAATGGACCGCAGCTGACGATTCGCCAGATTTGAGCGGGAACTCGAGAAGCTCCGAAAAGAAATGGAGCTCGCCTCAGCCACCGGAGCCCCCTCATCCACGCACTCCTCCTCCAACCCTTCCACACCTTTCGCGGACGGCAGAAATGGCGGAGGGGGATATCACACGGACGGAGGCGACGAGCTCGCCAATAGTCCGTTGGCGCTGCCGAGCGCGGGACATGCGCAGGATATGGAGGTGCCGGACTTGACGCTCGAGAGGGCGGTGGATGAGGTCGATAGCGAGGGGAAGAAGTTCCAGTAGCATCTAGCGCTTAGCTGTGCTTTAGAGCTCCATGATGCGATCAACTTGATATATCGAAACACTCCACTCATTCATGGACACCAACTACCGCTACCTATCCTCCTAGGACAGGCAACGAGGTACTGAAAGGGGACGGTGAGCCGAACGAGCCAAGCGCAGCCCCCTTTGCCTTTCAGTGACTCCCACTGATAGGACGAGTATCTGGGCAGTGTTTCTATATCATGCTTTCATATTCATACACTACAATTGACATCATGACGAAAGACACTACTGTATACTGCTATCAATGCGAACGTCATCCAGGCCTATCCTCCCCTGAAATGCCATAGAATAAGGTGGAGGAACAGGGATTGGGAATATGGGTAGAGAAGCTCAAGCCTCCGCCTTGACGGCCACCTCGACAATCTCTCCCTCGTCCAGACTCCCAGTGCTTCCTCCGCCATTAGCCGCGGGCGGGCTCGAGGCCATGGCCATGGGCGGCTGCATGCTAGCGGCGAGGGCGGCGTTGGTTTTGGCTTCGGCCGCAGCGATGGTTTGGGCGATAGGGTCATTGGCGGGGTGAGGGTGAGGGGAAGGGGTGCTATCCGAGACGTTGCGCATACTGGAGGCGCGGAGGCCTGGACCGCCCGGGGTTCTGGCAGATCAGCTGTAGCTCCATAGAACGAAATGGTTCGAACGACAGCTGAAACTCACCCGGTGCTTGCTCGTGGCGGGTTGGCGCAACGGTCCTTCCCGAACGAGATGCGAAGGGCCGAGTAGTCAGGGTTCTGCTTGACGCCCTCAATGGCGCTCTGAGCAGACTGGATGCTCATGCTGCCTCGTCAGCTTCTCCTCTTCCGGAGGACAAAGAGGGAGTAGCTGAACATACAAGTTGATAAAAGCAGCCCCCTTCTCCTTGAGGAAGTTGATCATTTCAATCTCTGAACTCATCAGCTCATACGCTCCTTCTCTTCTCTCTGTGAAAGACTCACCCCCATACTCTGCAAAGTCCGCCTTGAGCTTCGCGTCCGTAAAGACCTCAAAGTCCGGGATATTCCCGATATACACATTCCGGCTCGCCCCGCTCTGGATCGCCTGAAGGAGGGCCGAGGGGAGACTGCCCGAATGTTTGCCCCATCCGACCTTGAGCTTGCGCGTGTTGATGGTGAGTCCGACAGAGTTGGCGTGGTTGTAGAAGCTCATGGCATTTTCGGCGTTGACGAAGGTGACAAACTAGATTGTCAGCTCGCTGTCCTTCCACAGTGCTCATAGGAAACCGCTAACTCACAGCACAGTTCTTATCCTGCATATGCTTGAGCTGCTGCAGCTGTCCCCCTCGGATATTGTTACACAGCTCCTCGGTCGTCGTATCCGGGTGTATGTTTCCGAGGTAAACGTTCCGATTCCCCATCTGGCTGACGGCCATGGACGGATCGCCAAATCCGCCCGTCATCGGCGGGAAGCCGTTGCTGGGGAAGACGGGTGATCCGAAGGATGGCGTATTGGGAGCGGAGAAGTTGCTGAAAGAGGGCGTCATGGGTGTGAAGGATGCGTATGGTGAGCCGGGGATTTGCGCGTGTTGCGAGTGGACAGCCGCCAGAGCCTGTTGCTGAGCCATCTGGACGGCAGCTTGCTGGGCCTTGGGAACGTATGCGCAGCGGTCTTTGCCGTAGTTAACGCGCTTGTCGGTCCAGCCGGCTTGGAGGGGGAGGTCTTTGACGACCTGAAGAGTGAGCTTGGGGTCGACGGAAGCAAGCGCGGGCCAACTCACCTTCATAGCCGTGGCGATCCCCAAGAAGTGCACAAACCCGATATTCTTATCCCTAACAATCTTGACCTGATCGATCGGTCCGAACCGCTGCAGCTCATCCCGCAGATCCTGCTCCGTCGTCGTATCCGCCAGATTACCCACAAAGACATTCCTCGTCGCCTGCTGATTGGCAACGGCGACCTGGACGGTAGGGGCGAGTTGACTGGCCTTGCCCCATCCAATCTTGAGCTCTTGGCCGTGGAGGGCGAGCTTCTTGACTTGGGCGTCGGCGTGGAAGGCGGCGGCGGTGGAGCCGTCGAGGAAGGAGATGAAGACGCAGGAGCGCTCGGGAAGGAGACGGACGTTCTCGATTGGGCCGAAACGGACGAGGTTGAGGAGTTCGTCGACCGAGGCATCTACCATGTCAGCTGGGGCACTAGACAAGGGTAGGGGCCCAGGCAGCTTACCGGCTGGAAGACCACCAACGTAGACCGTCCGGCCGGTCGTGTTGCCCGCAGCTGCAGCAGCGGCGGCTGCGGCAGCAGGACCATAGTTGCCAGTCATAACGCCTGGGTTCATCGATGGCGACATGATAGGCGAGGCGGGATATGGCTGACCTGTTAGCTCTGTTCACAAGGCGTGGTCAACCCAGACAGCTCACCATATTGTACCCCATGTTGCCCATCCCAAAGTTCATCATCCCCATGACCGGCGTATGGGGGACATTGAGCCCATTACCCATCCTCCCGGGCACAGTTGGGGTCGCGAGCCCGCCGGTCCCCGAGAGCATGGGTCCCATGTGAATGGGTGACGCCATTCCCGATACGCCGGCATTGAAGAGGGGCTGGCCGGGTGTGAAGGTGCCCGGGTGGTGCTGGTGCTGATGGTTGATCTGGAGGGCGGGGGATGACATGATATTGATGGGGGAGTACCGGGCCTTCTTGGGAGGGACGTTCTCGTATGCCCCCTGCGTCTGCTGCGAGGGGTCAATGATGGGTGCGGCGCCGGTGAGGGGGTTGTTGGGTAGTCCTGGGACGTCGAGTGCGCGCTGACATGTCAGCTGTGATCGAGTCTCAGAGGGCCGAGGCTCGCAGATCCGCTCAGCTCACCTTCATGTCGTCAAAGTCGTTGAAGCCTAAGCCGGGACTAGCGAGCGCCCCCAGCTGCTGGTGGTGCGCGTACAGAGGGCTGTCATTAGGCATTCCCATTCCGATAGAGTTGTGGACGGCATAAGCGCGAGGTAGGTGCGCGGTAGGCGTACCCAGGTTGATGTCGTAGGAGACGTTGGGGTTGTGGGTGGACGAGTCACGCAAAACCGAGGAGGAATGCGCCATGGCGAGCGAGGAGGAGCACCGCAGGGGTATGTCAAGCAAAGCAGGAGCAGGGGCAAGCAGGTAACAAGACCGATCAAGACAGGTTTGGGTGTAGTTTGTCAAGGGAAGTAAGACGAGGTTGTGGTGGGCGATAGGTTACGTGGTAGAGGAGTAGTATAAGCGAATAGCTCCTGCAACAAGAGGGAGGCGGCGGTGGGCGTAGGCTTTCTATGTGCAAGGTAGGTAATGAGGATGAAGGATGAAGGGTAGAAAAGATACCCACGACGACAGGCTGAAGGTGTATTTAAAGTGAAAGGGGGAAGGGGGAAGGAGGCGGGCAGGAAGGGTGTCGTTGTTAGGCGTGAGGGCGTGAGGTGTGTCGTGGTTGGTGCTGATAGGCTGAGCTGACTCGCAGTATGATGTTATCGCGCCCGCCCGCCCGTTTCGTGACAGTGACAGTGACAGTGATCGGGTACCTGAAAAGAGCAGTAAGCGATGGGTGTCTCACTATGAAATGGGGAGCCAAAGCTGACCGCGAAAGCCAAGGGGTGTAGGATGTCTCACTCACCCTTGTCGTGGCGGAGAGCAGAAAGTAGAGATTGAGCTAAATCGAAAGCGTGTCGAGAATTGGAGTAGATAGGATGCTCTTGGCTACTAGGCCTTGTGCTGCTGAAACGAACAAGAGGTAGTAGTAGGAAGTGAAGGATAGGATGTATATATAGGTAAGAGAAGCTCGAGAAGCACAGCTTGACTTTGCTTGAATTGGTTCAGTTGCGCGGGAATCTTTCAGCGCGTCACGGCAGACGCGATCGGACACGTGCCAAGCAGAATCGCAGCACCAGCAGTTGCCATGGCCAGCAGCACCATCCGAGCGAGTAAGTCCTCCTGTACCGCTTCCAGGAGTACAGTCCAGGCAGACTGGCAAGCTCCGCATTACTCTCGGAACATAGCACAATCCAGGTTTTGCCAAAGTATACATCCCAAACTACCCTACACCGACGCAAGTGCTTCAGGCTCCACAAAGTCGCCGCTCTTGACGACCTTTGCTCCTGTTGCGGCCTGACATATCAGCTGAAAGCCCTAGTATGAACAGTATGAACATCGCAGCTGGACTCACATCAGTGGCCTCTCCGTGTTGCTCGAGGAGCTTGGACATGTCGAGTTTAGGTGTCTTGAGGATCTTGGCCTTCCGGACGTAGACGTTGTGGAGGGGGTAGATACCCTACCAAGTCAGCTTGTCCCACATGGAAGAGAAGGTGGTAGCTCACCTTGCACGCCTTCTCAATCTCCCGACCAATCGACTCTGGCACAAACTTCTGCACCAACTCCTTGAGGTCGCTTCCCTCCGCCTCGCGCTTCATAATCTCGACCATCTTGGCCCGGATCTCCCTGACCTGACTGCCCTGCGCGTATGTCGTCTTCTTGACCTGGTTCGCCTGACGCTTGGTGAAGCCGATAGCGAAGAGTCGGAGAATGTAACCGTCGGATGTCTTTACGTCGACATTGGCCTCGATGAGGGTCTGCCATTTACGGACAATCGACCGCAGCTTGTCGGTCGTGAAGTCCATGCCGAAGAAGGAGGTGAGGCATGACTTGCCCTAATGGGGTCAGCTATGGCTCTTCTGGGTAGAAATGCCAACTTACAGCAACATCCTCGACCCTCAGCTTGATCTTCCTGAAAGACTGCTCCTGGTCGTTGTTGAGCTCGGCGAGCGACACCTCGAGCACACGGCCCTTCAGCGAGTCGTTGGCATTCTCTGCGCCCAGTCAGCCCTCGTTCCCCTCATCCCGCCATCCAAAATCTCTTCCCCGCTTGCTCCATCCCGAATAGACAACCACTCACTCAATCCCTGCGACCTGTTGACGAGCGTCTTGCCGACCTGCTTGACCTCAAAGAACCCGGGGGCCTTGATGTCGTACCAGTCCTTCCTTGTGAAAGGGTCGACCACCTTCTTCTTGATTCCCTTCTTCCCCTTTGACAGGCGCTTGTTCTGGATGGATCAGCTCCTATCCCCTTGCTTCCTCGTAATCCCCCTCCATCTCCATGCTGCTCCGCCTGGTCCTCCTCCTTGCTATAGATGAACTGTATGCTCACCTTGCCGATCGCCATTTTGAGTGTTGGATAGAGAAGATCCACTAGCTGCTGCGAATTCACTCTCTACCCACCCACAGCCAGCTGCCACCGCGGAAGCGAAATTACGAGAATCGGCGTTATCTAGACCGGAGTTATACAAGTTTCAATTTCGCGAGGCACAACGATGTGGCAGTTCCGCCGGAAAGAATAGGCGTGACGTGGCGACATTCCTCGAATGTCTGAGATCTCAAGTGGCTGGCGGTTGCTGCTGTTGCCTTCTGCTCAGTGCGTGACCAGTGCTTGGCCAAATCACAGAGCATCGCCCCATGCATTTGAGCGACCTGTGCTTGAGAGCTTCGTCTCTAAACTGCATACTGATTCTCGATACTGACCATGCATTGCCGTCCGCGTCGTAGATATCAAGCTGTACTGACCCACACCTTCCACCCTGGCTACGACCGACCCTTGAACATCTGCACTTTTGAGCATACCTATCTATCCTGAATTTTCAAGCATCTCGTCCTATTTCCACTTCCCTTGCCTCCAGCCCTGTCCCTTCCACCCCGCTTTCTAGCTCAAAAGATCGATCAAAACCTCGTCCTTACCCACCCCCGGACTCTTCGCCCTCTCCTGCCCCTTGACTTTGCCGTCGCTCAAGCCCACCTCCCTTCCCCACACCCTATCCGACCTCGGCGGGGCCGAAGCCGTCGGCCTCAGTCCCCTCCCCGCTCCTAACGGCTCCGCCGAAGCCGAAGCCGTAGTGATCTGCCCGCTCGAGCCGCCAGACCCACCCGACCGAGACAAAGACAGGTCCGCACCGCCCGCAGTGGTCTCTCCGTCCGTCTCGGTTCGCGCATCGTCATCGCCGTCGACCTCGGTAGCGTCCGAGTTGACCCGGCGGAGGGGGTTGAGGGGAAGCTTGTGGTTTGGCGTATTGACGAGTGTGGTATCTGCCGAATCGCGCAGCAAGGCGGCGGGGGTGATGGTGAACCCCTCGGCCTGCATGTCGTTGATGATTTGGTCGAGACGTTTACCGGGAGGAGTGTGCCGGATGGTGTTCATGAGGGGAACGAGCGAGTCCAGGAGCTGTGACGTCAGCTAGTAGGCCTTCTACAGCAGACAAAGGGCCAAAACTTACTTGTTGACGCTGAGCACGCTCGGCGGACTTGAGGCATGTCTTAGCCGTCAGCTTTGCTCTACCGGATTTGGTAAGATGATAACTCACCTGGAGCACAAAGTTGGCAAAAGGATCCCGGATGATCGAGTGAATACGGTTCGACCCGTCCTCCCGGATAGCGACCAGCTCATACACCAACTCGCGCTTGTCATCCGGCTCGGCATGCAGGATAGCCTTCTCGACAATGTTGGACGCGAACTTGTGGCAAGATACTTTCTTGTCAGCTACACTCCTGCGCGGCAGTGGAGTCCATAACTCACACGTCCAGACCTGACCCTTGATGAGCTGAATGACCCTAGCGCGGTGGTCTGGCCCAGCAGCGATGATCATACTCTGCACGACATAGTCTATCTCGTCAGCCACAATCGCGTCAGCCGGAATAGGAAAGCCTGATACTCACTCCCAAAAGCATCCTCGATGAGCCGCTTTGCGCACCCATGGAGCTCTTCCAGGAGCTCAGCCTTGTGGCCGTCCGGAAGGTTCTCGACCGCTTTCTGGAGGACGCGGCATCCGAATGCGTGCACGGAGAGCTCGAGGGCGTGCCCGGCGAACGCATCAGGAACGGACTTGGGCGGGTCGCACTGGATGATACGCTGTCAAGTCAGCTCGTACTCCTCCTGATAGCAGCAGTGAGGGAGATCGAGCGGACTTGCCTGGATGACATGGTTGGCGTTCGCCGACTTGACGCAATCAACAATCTTGCCGTCCAGCTCAGCGATGATGGACAGCTTTTGGTCCTTCTCGACCCGCTCCAGGGCCTTCTGGACCACCTGTTCATCAGCCTTATCATCCCCTTCTTTCCAGTAGGTCAAACTCACCCTGCACCCATACATCTGCATAGAAAGGTTCAACACCTGCCCCCTCATCTTCTCGCCCAGTGCCCGGACCTGCTCCGCCGACCCAAAGTCAAAGAACTTCTGGATGACATAGTTGCCAAACACATCAGTCATGAGCGTGAGAGCGTTGGGGAGGATCTCGGCAAACATGGTGCCCCGCTCGTGCTCGTTGGCGTGCTCGAGCTTGGACTGGATGAGTCGAGAGCCGTGTTGGTCGCCCGAGAATTCGATGATGTGACCGAGGATTTCCTGTACTTCATCAGCTACTGCTCAGGCCTGCATTCTTCCCACCTGGACAAGAGGAGAGAGACTCACGTTCAGACCCCAATTCCGGTCGGTCTTGTTGAGCCGATAATCCTCCAAAAGCGCTGATCTCGGCTGATCGTTAGGGCGCCTCGGCCGAGGTCCGCCATTGCTGTGATACCGAAGCGTGGGCGCGTACTGTGGTGCAAAGTGAAGAGGGAGCAGCGGCTGGAAAGAGGGGGTATTGGGCGTAAAGTGGCCAAAGGCGTTACGGGGCAGGGGAGCTTGCGAGAGGGGCAGGGTATTCGGGTTGGGGCTGAAGTTTGGGAATGGGTTGGGTCGGAGGGGATTGTGCGGGCCGGATCGAGGGGCATCGAACTGAGAGTCAGCTTTGACTTTTGATGGGAGATGCGAAGCGAAAGGGGACTTACGACCGACTTTTTGCCTCGCTCGACAAAAGCACCATTGTTGACGGGCCAGTAACCATTAACACCATATCCCCCGAAGCCTTGCGGAGGGCTACCTCCCCTCCCATCCCCCATCTTGCCCTGACCGCGCTGTCCGCCCATCCCCGGCTGATGCTGGTGCTGCTGCTGGGACTGCTCGATCCTCATCCTGCCTGCATCCGCCGGCCTGAAAGTCCTGTCGATCTGGCTTCTCGGCTCGTCGCCCCTCAGACCCCTCGCCTGGGGGTGAGCATGCCCGTCCCGCCTATATCCCCCTCCGCCGCCGCTAGCGCCGAGGCTGACGAGACCCCCTCCCATGCCCTGGATCTGCGATCCGCGCATCGAGATTGGGACACCATCGACGCCGACGCCCAGACCCAGTCCGAGCCCGACCGAGGCGTTGGCTCCAGCAGCAGCCGCTGCGGCAGCGCCGTACGGGTCCGCCTGGCCGTACTCGAATTGATTCTGGAGCATGCCAGCCATATCGCCCGGTAAGGGCGGAGCAAAGCCGAACGCCGCATGGGCGTGGCCATGGGCGTGACCGTGGGCGTGGCCGTGAGGGTGGCCGTGACCGTGGGTGGAGGCGACAGAGTGAACGGGAGAGAAAGGAGGCTCGAGCTGACCATTGATGGGGACGAGAGGAGTAGGGTAGAAGTCGTAGATCTGGGCAGGGTCTGGATAGGCGAAGGATCGATTGGAGGTCCCGAGGCTGGGGGTGTAGCCTGTGGGGTTGGGGGAATGATGGCCTTGAGGATGAGGGTGGGTGCTGTTGGAGACGGGAGAGAAGCGCTCGTCGACGTGAAGAGTCGAGAGGCGGCCGGTGATCTCGGCGGAACCGTCGAGATGGTGGGATTGGGAGTCTGTCATGGTGCCGGAGAGGATGGGTGATGTGTAAGTGAGGACGAACCGGAGGGGTCCAAAGGGTAGAAGTGCAGGAGTGATGAAGTGATGGGGATCAATCAACGTCGACGACACCAACGCACGCGACGCGTCTGGACAACAACAGAAAGGGAGCGCTGTAGATACCTGCACAGATTATACCTGTGACAAGATAGAGGGGAAGGAGGGGTAATGGAACAATAAAGACAGTAAGACAGGAAGATATATGGGGTAGACAAGAAGGGGGAGAGGGGAAAGGGAAGGGAGGGGAGGGGAAATTTCGAGCGCCTCTCGCTCGCCGTTGCCGCGTTTGCTTGCGTTGTACCAAACCTTGAACCTTGACGAGTAAAGAGAAGCTGACGCCGCTTAGATCAAAGGCAGGGGAAGTACGGCGTCTTAGCGGGGGCGGGGCAGATGCGGCTGCTGACTGTGTGTGTCGAGGAGGTGGTCACGAGGTTGATTGGACAGGCACAAAGACTGGGCTGAGCTCGGACTGTGACGGTCGAGAAGGTAAGGGTGGGGGAAGGAGATAAGGCCCAAAGGAGGGTGTCGAGTGAGGGCTCCTGTGGATCTGGTTAGCTTGTCTATCGAAACGCTGCAAGGTCCACCTTGTCTCCGGCGCCGAGGTAAGATGGGACGGAGCTGGTCAATGGTAATGCTTGTGAGTGACCGTGCTCGGAGTGAGCACCATCAGCTATCCATCTACCATCTACCGAGGTGAGGCAAGGTTACGGACGAGATCAATACCAGGTCCGACGGCACACACACACTCCTCCCCAACCCTGTGTGCCCATCGACGCGAGATCTCCGCCGGCCCCGCGTTTCACATACGCGTAGATGGCCGTTCCAGATAATTTGGATGCCAACGCAGCGCACGTGCCTGTGATCGCTTGGGAGGATGATCGATGATCGGGCGCTGATCGGGCCCGTCATCGTGGCCGTCACGAAAACAAGACCGGGATGAGCTGTTCATATCGTGGCTCCGCCGCGGCGTCAGACACGGCCGGCTGAGGTCGAAATGCCGTCACCTTAGGAATGTGGCGGAGTGGTGTGAAGTGCTAGTGAGGTGGCAGTGTGACGCAGAGTTATCTTGGGCCTGGGGCAAGGTGGTGACATGATGAGAGCCTTGCGGCAGACTTATGCCTACATAGAACTTGGAGCGATGCCTCGGTGTCGGGCTCATAACCAAAAGTCAACCCCGGGCGCTTGAGATGAGATGGGTAGCCTGTCTGGTGGCTCGGTCACATATGTTGCGAAGCCATGTAGTCATATGGTATCCGCGATGTGGGTGATCGTCGCATGATACGGCCGTACTGTCGCTTGTTATACCTGGGAGCCCACCCTAGCAAGTCCGCCAGTACCGAATCAAAGGAGTCGATGATCGGCGTCAGGTGTAATCTAGATTCCAGGCTCCGTATGCTGCTAAACGTTTCAACAAGCGAGTCCCAAGCTTCTGCGCCGACGCCGCCCGCGAGCAGTGACCAGGGTCCGCGCGCGCGGGCGACACCCCTATCCTCGACTACCCGTGCCTCTACATGGCTGCTACTGAAATTCCTTTGCGCCGTGAAACGCCACGAACATCATCCGATGTCAATCGCAAAGCGCCCGCCATCCTGCTCTCGTTGCGTGATCAGTTGTGACCGCACCTCCATTCGGTGGTGCGCTCGCCAAGACTGCCCAGCTGGGATATATTCAGCGCGAGTCTTGCCCCGACCCTCGTTCCTACATCATACTCGATCTACCTCCGGACATACCTTGCAATCCTTCTAGATCTACCACAGATACTTTGCAAGGCCATCCGAAGCAATCAAGATGGCTGAATTCACCTCGTTTACATGGTCGTTCATCCCTACCGATGACCTTCAGGTCTCTCAAGGCGACTTCCCCGGTGGTGCAGAGCAACATCCCTTCATCAGGGTCTGGCATGCGGATACTGGTATCGTCGTCGTCTTCTGCGACCATCTCCAGGAGGTGGTTGCACGATTGGGGGATCTCACTGATGTGGCTGGAGACGCCGACTTCGAGGGCACGGTGCAGCAGACAATCACTGACGAGTTGAATGGGTCCGGCCAGGACACAGACAAACTCGAGTGGCAGGTGGGTACGTACCAGGAAGGAAAGTCGTACATTTGAGCAGCAGAGAAGGCAGGTTATCAGAAGGAAACGCGTATGATACCGAATCTGTTCTGAGGAGCCCAGCCCATGAATCCATACATGCATCACTTTTGAGCCTCGGCTACACTGAAATACGGCTTGACTCCACGATACTGCATAGCTGGCCATGCGGCTGATGTCAGCGGATTTCGTTCAACTTGTCCAGTCTCGACTTGTCAACAGTTTTGTAAGTCCATAGTGAGGGGTGAGCCGCGTACAGCACTGTCCATCACAGCCACGTCCGTTCCGCCTGTCCGCTCTTGTCAGTAATCCATGTCAGCTGAGACTCGGAATCCTCAGTCGCAGATATCATCCATCACCAATGTACAACCACCTTCATCCCTCCTGATCTTTACCACCTTCTGACCATCTCTCTAATTCCCATAGATACTCAAGCTCTTCATCTCCTCCAACACCCCCTCGACTTGCGAGTCCAGCGAGCCATTCGCGTACTCATCTCGGATATTATCGTTGAAGTACCGCTGAACGCCCGAGAGCTTGTCGTATCCTTCTTGGGCAAAGGCGAGCTGGCATCGGATCATAGCCTCGAATGAGGGGTCAAGGTAGGCTGTATCATCAGCATGCGTGTGGAGGAGGAGATTGTAGGAACGTACGGATACGCAGATCGAGAAGAAGAGGGAGTTCGGTGATTAGCTGTTCGTTGATGATGTTGTAGATATCGCGGGCTTCGTCGTGCTCTGCTTGAGCCTGCGATAGTCAGCCAGGGCATCGCTTGAGGTGACCAGACCAGAGATTTCGAAGGATAAAGACATACCCTAGGCAGCCGTGTCGTGTCCTCTACCGGCTTCTCAACTAGCTTCTTGACCTTCGCGCGCGCAGCATCATAGTCCGTTAACTAAACTGTCAGCTAAGACCACGCAGTGTTTGGAGCCGCTGACCTTATGACTCCGCTTATCGATAGCTGCGTTGATACTGCCATAGTACGAGTTTAGCTTTCCGACTGGCTCGAGAACGGTCGTCCTGAAAGGTGCGTCCTGGCGTGTTAGCAAGCTCAGCGCCGATGATGAAAGAGCGGGTCGGGCTTACCAGTTCTCTTCCTACACCTACGTCGAGCTCATCGACCGCCGCTTTGTACGCATGTCCCGCCATAGCGCCCTATCCCGTCAGCTCTCATCCCGTAGTCCCACATGGGCCGGAGTAAGCTCACATCGCTGGCACGGTCGGCGGTGTAGAACAGCGATATGGTCTCGGCTATCCGAGTCTGAGACGATGCCATAGCTAGCATATCAGCTTTGCCTCGCACTTTCTTGAGAACTCAAAAGCTCACCTCGCATTGCATCAAGGTAAGTCTTGGCGTCCTTCTGCAGCGCATTCGTCTCCTTCTCCATCGTCCTGTAACGCCCTTCCTCCTCTGCGAATTCTCTGTCGATGGTACGATCCACCTGACCAGTCTTCTGCATGAGCGTCGTCCCTGCTCGGGACGCTGCTTTCTTGAGGCTGCATCGTTAGTTGAGTCCGACGTGGACACATCCCGGTCGAGAGTGTTGATCTGCGAGGACTCACCCTCCCCTGTTTTGATCAGCTTTATTCTGGCTCCAAAGGATGACATGCAGCTTACCAGGACATGCTGTACGAATAAGCTTGGGGTGAATAGAGGGTGGTAGAGGTGATGATGAGGTAGATGTCAAGAGGTGGACGTTCACACAGCTGCGGCTGCGAACGGGACCCGGGACCGGCTCATGCTAAAGCCACGTGGCCTCCCACCGCACTATGACGCTTCGCTTCGCCGCCAGCGACCAGCCATCGCGTCGCAAGGTCCATATCTGCTTTCCATCTCCTACCTCTATCCAGCAACATACTACCTACCCTTATCTACCAGATAGTGAAGAGGACGCAGCGCAATGTCAAGACATAGATTTGTGAAGAACATGGATCTCGACGGTGAGTGGCTCGCTAGCTTTGAGGGCGATCACAAGCTGATGTCTCCAGCCGAGATGGCGGACGACGATTCAGAAGATGAGTCCGGTATGACCGCCGAGCAGAAGGGTAGGTCTACAATCCTCTCATCTGTTAGAGAGACATAGGCTGACGCCTCACTAGCGCAGATGATCACCTCGATGCCGATCGCAAAGGCGATGCTAAAAGACGTCAAGCCGCCAATACCAGATGATGCGATCGCGGACTCGCTCTGGCATTACTGGTTCGATGTGGAGAAGGCGGTACAATGGCTCAAGAAGGACTGGGAGCGAAAGGGTGAGTGCCTCCATCTAGATCCATCATCCTCAATTCCATCTTTGTTCGAAGCCCCCACTTGTTGTCCCTTTCCTGTTTCCTGGCTTTGGTGCACATCACCCGCAGGATCCTCGAGCATCGGCTGAGCTCGCAGGACTGCCGACACCACCATATCTTCGGCCATCACCCGACGAGGCGCCCCGACCGAGAGCCGCAAAGCGGGCTCGGCTCTCGAAGGAGTCGTCTCCACAACCCCCTCTCACCGCCCTACAACGCCTCTCCATATCCCGCAAAGACCCGGCCACACCTGGCAAGGCTTCGTCTTCGTCCGCCCTACCACAGCCAGCGGCGTCTACTCCGCCTCACGAGAATGGCAAGCCAATGTCCAAACTGGCTTTGCTGGCGCAGAAGCGGAAAGAAGCCGCTGCTCAGGCTGCTGCCGGCGCTTCCTCGGCGACGGCAACTCCCACTTCTACCCCATCCCGGACCATTACTCCCTCCACGCCCGACGATATTCCCTCCTCCGCATCCAAACCCCTTTCCAAGCTCGCACAAAAGATGGCAGCGGCCAAACTTGCACGAGAGCAATCATCCACCTCCACTTCCACCCCCCAACCACCCTCATCTCGACCCCAACCTATTCCCACACCGGCTGGAAACGCGGTCGAGGACGAAGAGATGGAAGAAATCGTTTACACGCCACCAAACGCCCTCTTCCCTTCCACATCACCTACCAAACCCACCCGCACATCCCCCTTCTTCAATATCATCACCTCTACCGCTGCCACCCGGCTGTCGGACGAAAAGCCACCGGGCTCGGCTTCGTCAATGCACCTACCGGTGGTGCGCGATCTTGAGCAGATGGAATTGCGGATACGGAACGCCTTTGCAGCTGCGGAGAGCCCGGACGACGTTGTTCTTCGCGCGAGGCAGGGTCGCGCTGGGACTGGCGCTTTGGCGTCCGCCCCGGCAGTGACTACTGGGCCGAAACGGGCTTAGCCCTGATCATGCATACGCTTGACATGCAATTCACCTCACATCCTTTCTGCCCTTCTTTCCCTTCCACACCCCTTTACTGCTGTTGTTTCCTGGCTTACTACCTCTTCACCCAAGCTGACACTCCCCCCAGCCGCAAAAGTCAATCCGCCCACGAAATCCGTCTCTCAACCAGGCAAGCCCCGCACCCAGGCCGCCGCGGTCGCGGGCTCGTCTATAGGAATCGGCAAGACCGTCTCTCAGCCCGGCACACCCCGGAAACCAAAGGTCGCCACCAGTACGAACGGGTCCGCCGGTAGCTCCAAGACCAATACGCCCAAAGCCTCGGCGGGGATCAATCAGACACAGCAAGATCTGGCGGGTCTGCACATGGATGATGAGGCGGATGAGGCGGAGCGGGAGCGGGAGAAGGAGAAGTTCAAGGAGAGGGCGGTGCTCAGTATGAAGTATGAGGAGTTGGTAGCTAAGGTGAAGAAGGATGAGGCTGAGTCGGGAAGGAAGAGTCTGAGTCTGATCGTTGTCGGTGAGCTATTGAACTTGGTCTAAGGGCTGGTGAGACTTGCGAAGCTGATACGTCAGGTCACGTCGATGCTGGAAAGTCTACGTTGATGGGCCGGCTACTGTATGAGCTAGGCGAGCTGTCGGAGAAGGAGAAGACGGCGAATGAGCGGGGAAGTAAGAAGGTCGGGAAGGGGAGCTTTGCGTTCGCATGGGGACTAGACGCCCTAGGGGATGAGCGGGATCGGTGAGCTGAGACCTTGGAGCTGCGAAGCGGCTTGTAGCTGACCTTTGCCAGCGGAGTCACAATCGACATTGCTACCACCCACTTTCACACACCCCATCGCGCCATCACGCTCCTCGACGCACCCGGCCACAAGGACTTTATACCCGCCATGATATCAGGAGCGGCCCAGGCCGATGTGGCGCTCATGGTTGTCGACGGGTCTCCGGGGGAGTTTGAAGCTGGCTTCGACAGAGGTGGACAGACTAGGGAGCATGCTTGGCTGGTGAGGAGTCTTGGGGTGAAGGAAATCATTGTGGGAGTGAACAAGTTGGACATGGTGAGCTTATCAACGTCTCTCCTTTTGAGTGCTGGCACGAGCTGACCAGGTAGGTGTCCTGGTCGCAAGATCGATACGACGAGATCACGGCCGCTATGAAGCCATTCCTCGTCTCTGCCGGTTTTAGCTCCAGCAAGACCACCTTCCTCCCCATTGCGGCGATGGAGGGTGTCAACATCCTGGAGCGGGATGAGCCGCTCTTGAATGCCTGGTACTCTGGGCCTACGCTTATCGATACCCTTGGTCAGCTCACAATCTCGTGTTGGACAGGGGCATCAGCTGACTTTAGCAGATAAAGTCGAAGTGCCAGAACGCCCATACGAGACCCCTCTTCGAATACCAGTCTCCAACGTCTTCAAGGGCCAAACGGCCGTCGCTTCGGGCGTAGCTGTCTCTGGGCGACTGTGTAGCGGTGTCGTACAGGTTGGGGATAGGATAAGGGCTGTACCAGGGGATGAAGTTGCGAATGTCCGGAGTGAGCTTTCTTTCATCTCCACACGACGGTGGTGGATACAAGGCTGACAGGATAGCTATCGAGGTAGACGAAGACTCGGCACCCTATGCCGTAGCCGGCCAGAATGTCACCCTCTACCTCTCAGGCATAGATCCGATCCACCTGTCCATCGGCACTGTCCTCTGCCCGACGTCGCTCCCGGTCAAGCTGGTATCGCAGTTTACGGCCCAGATCTTGGTGTTTGATCTGCAAACTCCAATCATCGCTGGTGCAGCTGTAGGTACTGATTTCGTGGTGGACCAAACAGAGCTGATTGATCAGGTCGAGCTGTTCCATCATTCCATGAACCTCCCGGCGAATATCACCAAGCTGATTTCGATCTCGGAGAAGGGGCAGGTCATCAAGAAGAACCCAAGGTCAGTTTCTCATGCCCTTCTGACCTAGCGCAGATTCGTGCTGACCGTCAGGGTACTGCAGAAAGGCACGACCGCCCTCGTTGAAATCACACTCCGGTCGTCCCCCAACTCATCTAGGCCAGCTACGATCCCCCTTGAGACGGCGGCGGACAATAAGGAGATGGGTCGGGTGTTGATCAGACGGAGTGGGGAGACTATCGCGGCTGGGGTGGTCATGGAGCTTGTCTGATCTAAGTATCGAGACCGGGGTGGACTACGTTGACCTTGCTTGCGTCTTGCACGGTGGGCGGCTCTGAGCGATTGGGAAGCAACCTGTGGGATTGACGAGAACGTATGCATGTAGTCCACTCTTTCAACAACGGATGGGCGATTCTGCTGCCTCCGACCGTGAGACCCGCCCAAGCCGAGTGCCGTAGGCCTGGCCGACAGATGACGTTGAGCTGTCAAGGACTGGGTCTTTGCGCTTGGCGAGTGTATCGCCACCGGCTCGGACGCGGTCGGGTGGGGGAAAGATGACCGGTTCGTAAGTCCCTTGGAGTGGCAACAACAGGTGCCAACCTGGTTGGCCTTGACGATTAGCGTTGATCCGAGTCTGAAGGGGAAGCCGTTGAGACCGCTCTGGGCAAAACTCACCCAGTACAATCTTATCGATCGATCTCAAATCCAGTCTGAATCTTACACCCACTGGGACCGATAAGCGCATCATCCATAAGCGACATTTTGCTCCTGAAGCGTCAGCTGAGCCCGCGCGCAGCCTCTTCGAGCTCACATGGACAAGGTCACCCGCGCCCGTATCAAGTCCCCGCGCTAGAACTTTCCCACCATAGACCATGTCTTCATAACACCACCCCCCTTCTCCTGGGACGACCTCCTGCCCCAAGCGTTTCACAGGGCGCCCACATCCCCCACCCGGAACAGCGAGCCTTGGCGGTGTCGCGAACTCGATAGTCCCGCCGGAAATAACGTGCTGAGTACATCAGTACTGCTTGCCCTGCAGGACTCAGAGATGATTTGGCTCACCATACGCATTCTTAGCCAATGCACACACTCGTGCGTCACCTCGATCGCAAGAAAAAACAGTTGGGAACGATAGTAAGAAGTGGAGCGGCGGTGAAGGTCTAGGGTGCGGCCGCCGGCCTCTATCATCTCAGAAATAAGCTGGCGCGTCTCTCAGTCCTTCCTGCTTAGACTCACAGAGTGTTTCAGGTGTATGTGATGAGGCCATATCGCCCTGGTACTTCCCCAGTCATCCAAAGACATCGAAGAGATAAATTGAGGCTGGTTGTGGGACAGAAACCCCCTGATCGCTCCTCTGAGCAGCGTGACGTCGCCCGGCAATTCCCCTGCATCTGTATCATCCCACTTCGTCGACAGCATGACTACCAGAGCCTCCACACTTCGTTCAATCAAGAGGATACGCCGGGCCAGCGCCCAGGCCTCGAGCAGAAAAGTCATCTGGGAGGGGTCGTTGAGCAGGCCGAGGTAGCCGTCTTTGTCGCTGAGGAGTGGTGGGTGGGTTTGCGAAGTCATTTTGTAGAGGATAAGAAGCTGCCGTATGTAACGATTCTCTGTGGAGTATCGCTGCGGCAAGGCCAAGGTTATGTATGTGTGTGTACGGTGGTTCAAACGTTCCTGGGTGGGCGGATCGGCCAGTGGTCTTGACATTACGCATATGTCGCGTTTCAGATTTGAAGTTGCCGAAAGCGGCAAGTACTGCGGTGGGGACTTGGAAACGGGGACGCGCCAGAGCTGGAAAGCTTGAAAGCTAGATCTTTCACATCATTCCTATAGCTGATAAGCCGACTCGACACCTGCTCTGCCTTGTTCGTGAGTCTGTCAAAGGCACAAAGAGGTAGATGCCCCTGTCGACTTCCCGTTGTCCTCGTCGCGTCTCCTTTGACCTCAGCACCTCGCTCAAAAAATATCAAGACTTCCAACTCGAGCTAATGTCCATCAGGCTTGATACGATCCTCTCCGCATTGCATGCCTCGCCGGTCCACCAAATCTACATCAAAAGAGCCATCACTCGCTCGCTCCCTCTCAACTCCCCTGACATCCTCACCAGACTCCCTCGCGTCGAGCACCACCACCCGCTCTCCCTCACCCACACCTTCCGCCCACACCCCATCTTACACCGATATCCTCCGCTCGACCATCCGGCGACGCCTGAGCCATTCCACATCCTCCGGACCTCCTCGAGACTGCGCGCCCGAGATGTTCGGTTCGCGCAAGTACACCCCTCTTCCAACTTCCGCCAACCAGCAGCGGCGGCGAGCCGGCGGCGGTCTCACCGCATGGAAGCGGTGGGCGTTGATCGGCGCAACAGTGTCGATCTTCATACTCCTCGGTGTCTCTGTCGCGTCGAGGCACAAGATTGCCGAGGAGTATTGGCCGGCCGAGACGTACACTCCAGACCTGGACAAGATGCCAGGTCAGGATGTAGACGAGACGGATTACTCTACCCCGCCGTTCCGGCCGCCCTCAGTCGCGGTCGGGTCGCCGGATGATGAGAATGATGTGCAGGACGACGAGGTGATGCGGATAAAGCCTATCGGGGATCTGTCGAGTCACGTGCACGACGATCCGGAGGATGATGAGCTCCTCGAGTACCCCAGTACCGAGTCGAGCCCGCATGATCCCACGGCGGACGCGGCGAAGGGGGCACATGAGGCGGACCCGGACTTCTCGGATATAGATGAGGAGATGGACGAGGGGGAGGAGGGCAAGGCGGCAGAGGCCAAGCTCGGAGGTCTCCCCACGTCGTTCGAGACGGACTCGAACCCATCGGGGAGCACAGCTTGTACGAAATCCCACTCTACGACACGGCCCATCGTCCAGTACGCCCTAACCATCGACGCCGGGTCGACCGGATCCCGGATCCACGTCTACAAGTTTAACAACTGCGGACCCTCCCCTGCGCTTGAATACGAGACATTCCTTTCCATCAACCCTGGTCTCTCCGCCTATCCCCGCGATCCCACTGCCGCGGCCGCCTCGCTCGATCCGCTCCTGAAAGAGGCCGAGCGCGTCGTCCCCAAGTCAATGTGGAACTGCTCGCCTGTTGAGGTCAAGGCCACAGCGGGTTTGCGTCTGCTCGGGACAGACCAGTCCCAGGCAATCCTGGACGAGGTCCGGAACCGCCTTGAGACCAGCTACAAGTTTGTCGTTGCGTCCGAGGGGTCCGTAGAGATCATGGAGGGCAAAGACGAGGGCGTCTATGCCTGGATCACGGCCAACTACCTCCTCAATAAGATCGGCGAAGGCGCAACTAGCAAGGACACACTGGCGGTCATGGATCTCGGCGGAGCGTCCACACAAATCGTCTTTGAGCCGCGCTTCCCCGCCGCTTCGGGCCAATTGGCGGAGGGCGAGCACAAATACCTGCTCAAGTTCGGCGGAAAGGAGTTTACGCTTTATCAACACTCGTACCTCGGCTACGGGCTCATGCGGGCGCGGCGATCGGTGCACAACCTCGTCGCGCATTTGTGGTCTTTCGGGCGAGGCGAGGTAGACTGGGACCAGCTGGATGAGAAGGTGGTCGTGCCGAATCCGTGCTTGACGTTGGGGTCGACTCGGCGGGTCGAGCTGGACCCGCAAGGGAGGAAGGCGGTCAATGTGACGATGCACGGTGGGAATGGGAAGTTTGAGGCGTGCAGCAAGTTTGTCGAGCTGGTCATGGCCAAGGACGCGTAAGTCTTCAGCATCATAGGGTTGGTGACCGGCTGACTCTGCAGTATCTGCGAAGTCCAACCCTGCTCCTTTGGCGGCGTCTACCAACCCTCCCTGCTCGACACATTCCCCCGCGGCCAATTCCTCGCCCTATCCTACTTTACCGACCGCATAAAACCCCTTCTCGACCCCTCATCCCCTTCCTCCACACTCACCATCTCCTCCCTCAAGACGATGGCCCAGGACGTCTGCGCCGGCCCCGCATCCTGGAAGAAACGATGGTCCAAGAACAAGGCGGCAATGGAGGAGCTCGAAGGCAGGCCAGAGTACTGCCTCGATTTGACCTTCATGCACGCCCTCCTGGGGCTGGGGTACGAGCTCTCTGACGAGCGGGAGTTGATGGTGGAGAAGAAGCTGAGGGGTGTGGAGTTGGGATGGGCATTGGGAGCGGGACTGGCGTTGGTCCAGAATGCCAAGTTGACCTGTACGGCTTGAGCTATAGAGGGACGAGGATCTGGGTTATCGGGATATCTTTTGGTTAATATAGATGGAGGCTGTTTATACATATACATCATCATGCATCTCTGTGCAGCTCATGAGGCCTACATACGGCTCTATCATCCAGCGCACAGCCAGCCCCTTGCCACTTCCAGCGCTTCCCCCATGCCGTAAGCTGCTTGACGCGACGAGACGCGTTTTCCCCACCGACGCGTCTTCAACTTTCGTTCAATTTGCCTATATCCCACTTGCTCCCCTCCTCAACCCTTCCCAGCTCGTACAACCCCTACAGACCTATCTCAGAATGGTGGGTAGCCTAAGAACTAGCTGTGCGATCCCCTCGTTTCACAGAGCTGACCCCTCAGAGCGGCTTTGATCAAAACCGAGTCTACTCGGTCCAAGTTCTCGCGGGCGACCAGCCGCCCGACTCGCCGGCCGAGATCGAGCGGCTCTTCTACGACTTCCTCAGTGGGTTCCGAGTCGGCGGGGAGTTCGTGTATCGGGATCGCCTCCGGTCTTCCTTGCTTCTGCACCACCATACCCTCGATGTGGATCTCCGGGACTTGGTCGTTTGGAATGAAGAGCTGGCGCAGAAAGTTCAGGAGATGCCGGGGGATATGATACCGCTGGTGAGTCATTTAGTGCCATGCGATCTCGCGGAAGAGGGCGATGAAAGGGGATTAGGTGGACTGGACGATATCGCGGAAAAAGCAGAGATGCTGACGACGTGCAGGTCGAATCTGCCCTTCTTCGTCTTGCTCGCCAACTGCTCAACCCCACCGGAGCAGAGACTGGAGGATCCAGCTCAGCGGTGGAGATGGTCCCAGATATGCAAGTGACTATCCGGAGCGGGATGAACCTGCTGCAATTCCGTGACTTGACTGTAGGTCGAGATGAATGGGCTTGGAAAGTTGGAGTCAAGCTGACATCCAGGCCAACACCCTTACAACCCTCGTCCGGCTCCCCGGGATCGTCATCAACGCCTCGCAGCTCACTTCGCGCGCTACCGAGCTGCACCTGCAATGTAAGGCCTGTCGGAGTGTCAAGAGCGTCAAGGTTTCGAGCTCTATTGGGGGAGAAAAGTCTGCGCTGCCGAGACGGTGTGATGCGTGAGTCCAGCTGCGCTTTGCCTCTTCCTCCCACAGTCTCGAGGTTCTGGCTGACGCACCAGACCCGCACCGGAAGGCCAAACGAAGGACTGCCCCCTCGACCCCTATGTCATCCTCCACGATCGCTGTCGATTCGTCGACCAGCAGTCCATCAAGCTACAAGAAGCGCCCGACATGGTCCCCGTTGGAGAACTGCCACGGCACATGATGATGCACGCCGAGCGGTATCTAACCGGAAAGGTCGTACCTGGATCGAGGATTATCGCAACGGGTATCTACTCGACCTTTGCCCCTTCTGGAAAGGGTGTGAGTTGCCAAGCGCACGATCAAGTCACGGAGCGGTAACTGACAACGTAGAAAAACACCTCGGGAGCGCCGGCGCTCCGTCGACCATATCTCCGCGTGCTGGGCATCGAGCTCGACACCTCCCTCTCGACCTCCCCCGGGTCTCGTGCATTCACCCCTGAAGAAGAGGAAGAATTCCAGCAGCTCGCCAGGAGCGAGGGGCTGTATGAGCGATTCTCGTCGTCGGTCGCTCCTTCCATCTTTGGCAATATCGGTCAGTGCGCCGACTGATAGGATAACGAGAATAAGCTGACCAGGCAGATATCAAGAAGGCCGTTACCTGCCTGCTCTTTGGCGGGTCGAAAAAGCTTCTCCCGGATGGCGCCCGCCTTCGAGGCGACATCAACGTTCTTCTTCTCGGAGATCCGGGAACGGCCAAGTCGCAGCTGCTCAAGTTTGTGGAGAAGGTCTCGCCTGTAGCGGTGTATACGTCGGGCAAGGGAAGTTCGGCAGCTGGTCTGACGGCTTCGGTGCAGAGGGACCCAGTCTCGGTGAGCTCACTCGTGACGAGCATGGCATATTATAGAACTAATGAGATCAGAGAGAGTTCTACTTGGAAGGAGGGGCTATGGTGCTCGCTGATGGCGGTGTGGTGTGTATCGACGAGTTTGACAAGGTGAGCTGCGATGTATAGATGTGTTCGTCAATCACACATAGCTGATTAGTGCAGATGAGAGACGAAGACCGAGTGGCCATCCACGAAGCGATGGAGCAACAGACCATCTCGATCGCCAAGGCTGGTATCACTACCATCCTCAACTCCCGGACAAGTGTCCTGGCAGCCGCCAACCCAGTTTTCGGTCGATATGACGACATGAAGGTGAGCTAGCATGCCCGCCAGTTCAAGAGAGACCAGTAGCTGAATTTCACCAGTCACCGGGCGAGAACATCGACTTCCAAACCACCATCTTGTCTCGTTTCGACTTGATCTTCTTGGTGCGGGACGAGCACTCTGAGGCTCGGGATCGTCTCATCGCCAAGCACGTCATGTCGCTCCATGCGGGATTGGCGGGTGTGACGGAGGCAGCGGGCGAGCTGGAGATCGATAAGATGAAGCGATACGTTGCGTATGCCAAGTCGTGAGTTGCACGCTGCAAGAGGAAGATAGAAGCGGAGCTGATCAGACCAGTCGTTGCGCACCTCGCTTGTCTGCTGACGCAGCGGAGATGCTCAGCTCGCACTTTGTCGGCATCCGGAAACAGGTCCAGCAGGTCGAGAAGGACAATGACGAGCGGTCGTCGATTCCGATCACAGTCCGGTATGTGCATTCTTTTCTGCACTTTGGATCAACGCTGACGACTAGTCAACTCGAAGCCCTCATCCGTGTCTCTGAGTCCCTCGCCAAGCTCACCCTCTCCCCATCAGTCCAAGGCCACCACGTCCAAGAAGCCCTGCGCCTCTTCAAGACCTCCACAATGGACGCGGTCTCGGCCGGTCAAGTGGACGGTATGGGCCGCACCGAGCTTCGAGACGAGATGGACAAGATTGAGAAGGAGCTATTGAGGCGGTTACCGATCGGGTATACGACGAGCTACAACTCGCTCGTCAGGGAGTTTACGGGGCAGGGTTACAGTGTACACGCGTTGGATAGGGCGTTGTTGGTGCTTGAGCGGAGGGAGACGCTGCAGTTCAGGAGTCAGAAGAAGGTCGTCGCCAGGGTGGGAGTATAGAGACGACGCGAGAGGGTAGGAGGTATGGCTAGTGGGCGGAGAGATCATCTTGTATGTTTATGGTATACTTTTGGGCTTCCGAGCGGCTGGAATGCTGCAACTGAAGTTGTTAAATCGCTACATCACTGTACTGGCACTGACTGGCTACTGACTACTGACATCCCTCTACTTCTTCTCATCCTCCTTGAAGTTCAACGAGATACCGTTCACGCAGTGCCTCTCGTCGATCGGGTTCCCAAACTTCTCCCCCTTGAAGACGTGTCCGAGGTGTCCGCCACAGTTGGCACAGACAATCTCGGTCCGGGTCATGAACATGGACCGGTCCTCGTGACGGACGACAGCGCCTGGGACGGTATCGTAGAATGCAGGCCAGCCGCACCCGGAGTTACTGCGGGGTCAGCCAGTATTCAACGGTATGTATGGACGACGTCAGGTGTCGGCTTACAACTTGGTCTTGGAGGTGTATAGTGGTGCGTCACATCCGGCGCACGCTGTACTGATCAGCATGTGCACATGAAGAGGACGCATGGGGGATACCAGACATACTGTAGACTCCCTCGTTGAACGTGTGGTCCAACTTGGACGATCCCGGCCGCTCAGTGCCCTTCTCTCGCAGCACCCTAAACTGCTGAATCAGCATGTTGCCACTTGTAGCTTCCAACCTCATTGGACGTCGCGTTCAGCTCACCTGCTCGGGACTCAGAATCGCCTGCCACTCCGAATCGCTCTTCTTGACTGGGTGGTCCGACATCTCGTTCGATTTGCTCGCGGAAGTACCAAAGAGCGCGAAGGGTAGTGTGAAGCCTGAAGCTCGTACGGCGGGGTTGGCGCGGAGGGCGGGGGATCGGAGGGTGTTGATAAGCTGACGGGTGTATGCGGGTCGGATGAAGGACATGCAGATGGCTAGAAAGAGGATGGGGATGGATAGTCTGATGTAGAGGGCCTTGGTGCGAAGCATGCAGATGAGAGAGAGAGAGATCGGAAAGCTGACTTGCAGGCAGCGGCGAAGTGGAGGGGAAGGACGATTGCGTCATCGTCCGGACTGTGATAGAAAATGCTCGAAATCCGACCCCCGCCTCGATCTTGATCGAAGAAATCCGGGTCCGGGGTCCGGGGTCACCGGATATACCGGATAATTATGACGGCACGTCGATCTGGGTCTCGTGCCTCTTTGCCTTGGCTTTTGACCTGAGCGCTGACTTGAGAAAGGACAAGGAACGCTCTTCTGCATCTATCCATATCACTGACGCTCACACTACTTTATCAGCGCGCTGATAGTCTCCTCCTCTCAGATACAGGCAAGCAAGGCGATCCGGCAGTATGGCAGGAATCCTCCTCTTTGCGCTAAATTCGCCTGGGACAAGCAGCGGCCCGGTGATACGAGCGCGCCGGGACTCGAACGGTCAGCATACTACAGGCGGCGGTGGGATGCTGTCTCGTCTGAGATCCATCGGCTCGGGGTCCGCATCGGGCGATATGGGCTGGAGTAGCGGAAGCGGGCCTGCTCAAGCGAGCGGAAGTGGAAGTGGGAGCGGGAGTGGGGGTGTTGCCGGGCCTTCGACGGCACAGACCTCCCCTCTTTCGGATCCATCGCCATCCCGCCAGATCGTACATCGCTCGTACTCTGCCTCGGGCCCCTCAGGCCCTCCATCCACCCTCCCCTCGTACCTCAACTCGTCGTCGACCTCGGATGTCCCGATCCCGACTTACGAGTCCGTCCTTAGCGAGACGGCGAATCGGATTCGGGAGATGCGGCAGAGCGCGCTCGCTAGTGCCAATTATGAGTCTAATGAATCCTTGCAAGGGCTCACCGGACTGGCGCGGGTCAGGCGGCTAGGAGAAATCGCGGGATCGGCGGTGACGGATGATGAGAGCGAGGAGGATGATCCGCTTGTACCTCGTATCAGGCGGGGTGCGCCCACGCCGAACCTGCGTCCGCTACGGCGGAACACATTCAGCGGGACCAGTAGCGAGGCGGATGCTGCGGGGTCTGTGCGCCAGGGACCGGCTAGGGAAGGTCCGTTGACCCCGCCGATGGAGATACATGCGGATGAGGAGGAAGTAGCCGGGGAAGAGGCGGCGGAGGTACCGGACGAACCCCTTCCTCCTGCTTTAGCGGAGGATGACCTGCCTCCTGCGTCAACGTCCGATCCCAATCGGCACGCCCTGGTGCCTATGGCAGCTGGGGCACAGATGGAAGCTACCATCGACCTTCCCGCGCCTCCGCCAAATTCCCTCCCCGCCTACTCGGCCCATCTGGGACCTCAGGAGCTCCGCCTGATTTCCACAGTCCACCTGGACGAGACGCATCCCGCCGCATCCTTCTTTGCGGCGCTGGCCAACGCGAGCGTCTCGGCCGGCCCGGTCCCGCCGGTCGATCCTCAGCGGCAACAGCCGGAAGAGTACTCGACGGGCGGAAAGAAGATGAAGGTGTTTATCAACAGGGGCGGGGTGAGGATGAATCAGACGCATACGGGGCCGCTGTATATCAAGGTTGGGAGGGGCGGGCGGATTGAGGGGAGGATCGAGGTGGGCAAGGTGGACATGGCGACGAGCTTGGAAGTAGCCGTGAGTTTCTCTGGGTACTGGGATGTGGATCTTCCGCTTACAGTCAGATCATCGGTCTCGTCAACACATCGTACTACGTCCGAGGGCAATACACCCTGATCGACACGCTCCCTCTCGTTCGGCGGCTGATACATCTCTACCCGACGCAGAACGGTACCACAGGCACAGCGGTCGATCTCGGTCCGGAACTGCAGTACGGAAACGAGTCAACTCCTTCCGGCTCTGGAGCATCCGCAGATCCAGCAGCTGCTGGGGCATCAGGTGCCAACTCCACTGAGGTGGCCGGTGCGGATCCTCCAGAGTCTGCTACTGCAACCGCGGTGGCTCCTCCGCTATCGCGGACCAAGTCTCGCCCAAACTTCCTCAAGTCGCGCAAAACCAACCCCAACGCCAAGATCATGACCAAGGATGGGATCCTGTATCTCACTCAAGGCCAAAAGTTCGACTTTAACCTCGTCATGCCGAATCAGCATTATCGGGATAGTAGTGTGGAACTGCCGCCGAGTTGCCAGATCTACCAGGTGGGGATGCAGGCGGGGGTGGAGTATGTGTTGCGTGTCAAGATGGGCCGGAAGGGATGGAGGCTGAACGAGACGTAAGCCTGATTTGTTCAAAAGGGGATCAAGCTGACGGTCAGAATCACGTTGCCGATCGTATACGAGCCCCGCGCGTACATTACCCCGCGTCGGCTCCGCGCTTTGACGACCGACGACCCTATGAACCCCGGCTGGCGCACGATCCGGTTGCACGGCGGCAAGCCCTCACCCAAACCCAGTACGACGACACCCGGACAGCCCGATCCCCCTGCCGCCGGTCCAGGCGTAGAAGGCATCCTCCTTCTCCCCTCGCCCCCTATCCTCTTCATCGGGCACAACCAAGCCCCGCCCCCCATTCCTTTCCACCTCCACTTCCACTCGGATCTCACTCTCCCTCTGAGCACATTCGCCGACCCGCGCGAAAGCAACTTTATCATCCGGCTCATGCGCGTTGCGACGTTGCGCATCGGGACCGAAAAGGAGATCAGGCGAATGGAGATTCCGAGCAAGATTGAGATTTGGCAAGAGGGTGGCGCGAGGGTTCGGCTGGGGGACGAGGGGAGTGTGGGCGGAAGTGGAGTCAGTGTGAGAGTCGTTGATCCGGGGCCGGCGCCGCCTCCTGCTTTCTCGGCTGTGGCCCCTCCGGCACCGTCAAGTGCAGAAGATGTCGCAGTTGCAGCCGCGAACGGCGGGGATGAGGAGTTGTCGAATAGGCAATCACAGGAGGTACCCGCGGACTCGGCAACGGCCGATGCTGCGGGACCATCTCGGGCGGCAGCTCCGCCGATCACGACTGTCCTCTCCAGTCCGCCACCGAGCAGATCCGCAACCCTCTCTCCGACGACTACTACCCCGACCACACCTGACGCGGGTCGTCGCCGGCTATCCTTCCTCCGCCGGCGCTCTTCGTCCGTCACCACCGCGCAGCAGGCCACACCTACCGACTCGGCCCTCTCGCGCATCCTCTCCAACATTCCTCCCTCCATCTCCGAATCGGCCGACCCTGGTCCTGCCCCATCTTCATCCAGCCCCACACGCGCGCCTGTACCTCTCCCCGAGCCCGCACCGCAGCCGAACCTCTTTGCGCCCCTCTCCCGGGGCTCAACGGATGTTCACCTCCTCGGCGAACTGACTATCCCGCACAAGATTACAGGCACGGATGTCGTTCGCCGGATGGTGCAAAGCTTCAATACGCCCGATATTGGGATCACGTACGTTTTGGAGGTGGGGATCCAGCCTAAGCGGGGCGCGGTGAAGGAGGCGTTTGAGCATCTGTGGGGAGGCGGGATTGTGGAGGTTGTACTGGGCAACCGGATGGATGGGGAGGGGGAGGGACCGACGGGCAATGATCAGTAAAGACGTCAAGGGTAGTCAGCGGAGGCTGTGGGCACTGAAGGAGTATTTTGGGCGTCATGATTTATATGGTCAGTATCTAGTAATATCGTTCGGAGATTGCGTTGTATTATCGTAGGAGGGTATGGTTTGGGTCTTTGTATGCATCAGGTAGTAATATATCGCGGTATGACATTGCCCCGCGCGAGAGAGCACGAGTGGACGAGAAGTCGGGCCAAATCGGCAGCATCGGCGATAAGATCACGTCCGATATGGCTCTCTCGATCGCTCCACCCGCGGGTTCCGCCACACGCCATAAACCCGCTCTTCAAGTTCTCCGCCAGCGGCATTTCCCGCTTCTGGGCTCAGGCGGCCTGCTTACGAGATTTGGCTGCAGCACCAGAGCACCAAGCGAGCAGCTAGAGGCAGTCCAACAAGGTCAAAGGTCGATCCTCTCTCCTATCCATCAACTCATCCCCTCATCCGATACAATGGCTTCTTCTACTGGTAAGTCGCTTTCCAAGCCTCGTATCGCATCGCCCGCCACCCGCTCTCGCTCTCGCATTCGAATCGACCTACGAACAACCGGAACCCGGACGGAAATGGATGATGGCGAAGCCTCTCGGTCTCGACACAGAGCTGTTAAGCTCTTCCGATGTAGGACGGAGGCGCTCCGTCGGTTGGAATAGGGGACGGAATCGACGGACTGTGCTGTTTTTGGGAAGAGGGCGAGGTGCCAGCTGGAGATGGCGGCCGAGAGGTGTTGGACAAAGCGGTCGGGAGGGTTTTGGGAGAGAAGATGGAGACGGCAGGGGTGGTTGTCAGGGCAGGCGCATGCGACTCGACTGGTCCGCCAAATACCAACCCACCAAGTCTATACGGACGGCCGAGACTCGACCTCACCAAACTTGCGACTCCGACAATACACCCGAAATCCCCACCTCCCCACACCTATCACAGTCGTGGCTACACTGACGGTCGCGCATGAGCTGACCCATCCTCAGGTCTCGCTTCCGACCGCCGCAAGTCGCGCAAGGCGCACTTCGCTGCTCCTTCCGGCCTCAAGCGGAAGATCATGTCTTCGTCCCTCAGCAAGGACCTGCGGGGGAAGCACTCCGTGAGTTGGGAGATTTATCTCGGGGGCAGGCGCGAGGGAAGGGGGGAGACTGGTTCAAGCTGGTCGGCGGAGCTGGACGCAGCTGGGAGTCTGTAGTCTGGGGTGGAAGGTTGGGAATGCGTGGGGTCATAGCGGAGAAGAGGAGAGGGGCGATGGCGGAAACAAGGCAAGGAATAGTCGCTGATACGCCAGGCTCGCTCCATGCCTATCCGCAAAGACGACGAGGTTCTCATTGTCCGGGGCAAGTACAAGGGCCGGGAGGGCAAGGTCACCCAGGTGAGCTCCTTGTTTACCCGTCTGTCCGTGGGCGTCAGCTGACAGATATAGGTCTACAGGAAGAAGTGGGTCATCCACGTTGAGCGCGTGCACGTCGAGAAGTCGAACGCCGCCACTGTCCCCATCGGTATCCACCCTTCCAACGTCGTCATCACCTCCCTCAAAGTGAGTTTGCTCATTCGCACCCTTTTTAAAGAGCAGAAGCTGACCTATTCAGCTCGACAAAGACCGTAAAGCCATCCTCGAGCGCAAGGGGTCCAAGTCAGCAGGCAAGAAGGAGGACAAGACCGAGGGCGGTGACGTCGAGATGGTCGAATAGGCGGTTCGACGGCGACGGGGCGTGAGGGGCAGGAGGGGGTTTCTCTTTGCGTAGTTGGTGGAATGCCCATTGGGGTCCTGCTGGCGATGTATTCCACTTCATGAGCACTTGGTGTCCGACTGTGGATGATGAGGCTGAGGATGACCGGAGCTGTCTGCACCGTGTCAGGCTCAGGACGGTTTGCTCGATATTCCGACTTGAACTTGTTGCGCGAGCTAGTCAGCCAACTGAGCTCGTGGAGATAGACGGAGCCTTCGCTGACTGGGCCCGATATCTTGACGCAATTCCAGCCTCAGCCTCAGCCTCACTCACACTAACAGCTACATGCATACAAACATCAACAGCTTGACTGAGTACCTTTTTGATATGCCCAAGTAAACCAAGATCGATGTCGTCCCAAAATTGATTCCTGTATGATCTCTGACCCGCCCCTTCCTTGCAGACTCTCCTGCTTTTCCCTTCTCGTCTCACCTCTTCGCTCTTATCAATGCTGGAACAGATCATGGAACACCGACGGTACCTCCGCAGACTGCGCACATCAGCTCCCGCTTTTCCTTCCTCTCCTTCTCCTTCTCTTCTCTTCCTCCTGGCTTGTGCAAACTCACTTTGAACCGATAAGCACACTCCGTACTCCTCAACATCTCCACATCCCCTCCTGCAGCCTGCACAAAGCTCACAATCACCCCATTCACCTGCTGTCCATTCCGATTCGGGCTGACCGCTGCCGCCGCGCGCGCCGCATAGCCCTCGACCGACCGTGGCAGGTCAAAGTTGATGACGAGCGGCGACCAGGGCACGTCTGGCGGCTTGACATTGACGTCAAAGACGACGAGGAAGCGGGAGCCGTTCCCCGCGAGAGAGGTCCGCCAGGATTGGAGCACGGCTTTTTTCTGCGCGGGCGGCATGTCGGGTGTTAGGTATAGGGTTTCCCAGTTTCGCGATTGGAGCTTGTACTGCCTGATCAGCCTTTGTTCTGTCATGAAAACCGCAAAGCAACGAACCACCACAGCCTCGAGCATCCCAAAGCTCCCAACATGGATGATAGCCTGCCAGAGCGGATAATCATCCAGCATCTTGCCCAGTATATCCAACTTATACTCTTTCGCACGATTCGCCTCCTCGCTTGCGGCCTGGTTGGCCGCTCCGCCCGCGGCACGCCCAGACCCGATCGTTCCGATCCCGTTCGGATCAGCAGGGGTAGACGCGGCCGCGTCGGACCGGGAGGAAGGCGTGATGGTGAGGTAGACGTAGGTGTGTTTGAGGTGGATACCGGGTGTAACGGAAGAGACGGACTCTTGCGAGTTGGGGCCGCCGTCTCGACGGACCAAGACACGGACGGGATCGCGGACATTGAGGGTTTGTGAAAAGTTGATCACGTCGGTGGGGATGGTGTTGGAGCTAAGTATGTCAGCTTTCTGCATGATGCGAGGCGGACCACTAGCTTACAAGATACACGTCTGACGCTCGATACCGCCCAGAGCCGGCGCGGGGGGCGCGCCAAATCTCGAAGGTGTTTGAGCAGGGAATGGGGTCTTGCTGGCAGGGTTGAAAGGGCTGCTTTGTCCGGGGTCGTATGGACTTGTCACGCCCTGCCCGATCGCACCAGGCGACATCAAGCCATTGACTCCGCCAGGCGTGAAACCGCCGGTGGGGCCGACCGGACCTCGTTTGGGTGCAGGAAGGAGCTTGGCGATAGAGAGGACATTCTCGTATAGATTCCGAGCGATGAGTTGATCCACTTCGTCAAGCTGCCGAAGTCAGCTAATGTCCACTGCGGGAAGCAATCGCGGGAAATTCAACTCACGATCAGCAGTCGACAATCGCTACCCCCGACAACGCCCCGAGCTGTGATGACCTCGTTCAGCTTCGCCGGCGTTCCAATGAGGACATGTACCGCATCGCGCTGGATAGCGGCTACTTCGTTTTGGACGTTTCCAGAACCGGCCGCCCCGGCCGACAGGGCAGAACGGATCCCGAGGGGTGCACCGAGGTTGCGAACAACTGAAAAGATGAGCTTGTTGTTTTCGCTGGTAAGAGCGCATGTCATAACTCACGCTTGTGACATTGATTGGCCTGATCTACGGTGGTAGTGACGATGACGACGGTCGGTCCGCGATACTGCGGGCTGGTCGATGGATGTGTCAGACAAAGCTGAAGCGCGGGTACGACACTACTGATCAGTTCTTTTTACACCCTGTAGGGGTCGTGCGGACATACTAAGATATAATCCGTTCTTGCGTTGGTGGGGCTTGAGCAATCATATCCGACCCTTTGAGCATGAACGGCAGTACTCTCGCCTGAATCTTGTTGGGTGGACCGATTCTGGGGTGTCAGCTATGTCCCGGATCATGAGAGTTTCCTAGCTTACCCATATTTGTTGACAGCTCTCAGCAGCTCCACCTTCAAATTCAGATGTTCCCACTTGGTCACCACGATCCCCGCCCCCGGTGCTGCCGCGCCCCCACCTCCCGGTCCAGGTCCCGGTCCATTCGCCAAACTCCCATTCACGCTGACCGTCGGTGTCATCATGCCTCCAGGTGACCAGACTCGCTCGATCGCCCCGCCCATACTTGGCATCTGCAGCGTTCCCGGTCCGCCCATCCGTCCCTGATTCCCCCACTTGCTCTCTGCATCCGCCTGAGGGTTCCCAATGACCGAGGAGGACATCGAGCGGTTGATATTCGGCCTGTTCCCGTTCATAGGGCTCGAAAAGGCGAGGTCGCGCTTGGTATTGGGCGGTATCGGGGAGAGAGGGGGACCCATTTGAGAGGGGGGCGGGGGCATCATATTGGAGGGGGTGGTCATGGGTCCAGATGCCAAGTCGGAGGATGAGGAGGGCATGAATCTGTTCCCGATAGGTAGATTCCCTGGGTGTGCGGCATACGACGCTATAGCCGGCATGATCTGCGAGGCGCCGATGCCGGGAACAGTGGGTGTGGAGGGGGTGCGAGCGATGGTGGACTGCGCCTGCTGCAGCCGTTGCAGCTGAGCGACCGAGGTGGACAGCGCCGAGATCTGCTGCGTGAGAGCAGCAATACTGGGCTCTTGTGCTTGTATGCCCAGCCCCACCGGACCGTCCCCTACTCCGCCTCCGCCTCCGATGCCGCCAGCGAGGATACCCGTTCCGTTCGCACCGCCAGCGCCTGCACCCGTATGTGCAGGCGGGATGTTCTCGTCCGATGGCGAGTAAAGCGATGCGCTCCCGCCTACCGAAGCCAAAGAGGATGATGGAGGAAGCGCCTTGGCCGTTTGTGATTTAACGATGGAGGATAGCTCGGCTACTTGCGCAGAGAGGCTGACGAGGGTAGATTCGGTCTTGGCGATCCGGGACGAGAGGGCGAGGTACATCGGCGAGGTTTCCCATTCCGCTGCAGAAGCACCGGTGGCCGCCTGGGCGCTTTCGGTAGGCACCGCCATCGTGGTACGTGCTCCGAAAAAGCTATAGTTGGGAACGACCCGGAACCCGCTGAACACCGGTCGAGCTCAAAGGTCCGAGCGCGAGCCTGAGCACCGGCTGAATAATTCCGCCTGTCAGGTGACCTGCTCGACGAAGGTGGCTGCGACGATGAACGAGCTGAACGCGCTCCCGGATCGCTGCGGAGGTTTTATAGATGGTGTAGAAGTGGATGGGCGAAATCTACACTCTATGGAGAGCCCAGACCTTTGAGTTCGGAAGTCTCGGACAGCGAGCAGCTTGTCTAATCGAAATTGTCATTAGGAAATTGACGCTTCAACTTGTATTGAAATCAGATTCCGCTCATGATATATTACTAATGAGCTCGGACGCGTCGAATAGAAATCAACGAATGCAGCATTCCTTGCGGCCAACAAGCAATCCAACTCGCCTTCTCATACCTTGTCTTGCTCCTCGACTCGACATCTTGATCTTCTGTAGCGCACGAGCAGACATGTCTGTATACACCGGAGAATGTGAGCTTTTGCGATGACTCTCATCGCTGCGCCGGTGGAGAACCGCAAGCTCACAAAAGCTAGCTCGAGGCGAACTCCTCCTTTGGCTCAACAGCCTGCTGGCGCTTGATCCCCCTCTTACCAAGGTCGAGCAATGCGGTTCGGGAGCGATCTACTGTCAGGTGAGCTTACTCATGCGGTAGCCTCTGTGCGTAGGCTGGAGCTGACATTGCAGGTCATGGACTCAATCTTGGGTGAGCTGGCACCAGCTTCTCTGATAGCCTGCGTCTAAGCTGATGGGGCAGGTAACCTCCCTATGAGCCGCGTCAAGTTCAACGCTCGGGTAGAGTACGAGTACCTCGACAACTTCAAGGTATTGCAGCAATGTTTCAAGCGGAACGGGATCGACAAGGTCAGCTGTTTTAATTGGATTCCGCTGGATGACGAAGCTGATGTATACAGCCTATACCCGTCGATAAGCTTGTCAAGTGAGTCCGCGCGATCCTCAATGAACTATCGGCTAGGAGCGCTTTGCTGATAGTACAGGTGCAAGATGCAAGACAATCTCGAGTTCCTCCAATGGCTCAAGAAGTACTGGGACGCAAATCACTCGGGGCAGATGTATGATGCGGCAGGCCGAGCGTGAGCTAACTACCTTCTTCTTCACGACAGCTGTTCAATACAAGTGTTTACAAGACAGGGGTGGACAAGCTGTACCGACCGCCTCGGGCCGGACGTCCGCGCGTCCCAATGTCAACGCCCGCGCTGCGGCCAGCTCGGGAGCAGGTGCCGGTCGGGCAGTGTCCAATACTTCCATGGCGCAGCTGCAGCAGATGAATGCGCAGGTCGAGGAGATGCAGATGTTACATGAGGCGGCCGAGAAGGAGAAGCTTTTCTACTTTGACAGTGAGTGAGAGCTTCACATTCCTTCACGCTCCAATTCCCGTTACAACCCCGTCGTACAGCCAGGTCTTGTTACCCTGGCCGGCCTTTTCGCTCCAGCTGATACCGCAGAACTCCGTAATATCGAAATGCTCGTCAACGCCCGGTCTGCGGTGGATACCTTGAATGACGAGGAGAAGGACGTCTTGGCGAAGATCTCGGAAATACTGTACTCGACAGATGTGAGTGCTCCGGTCACGGACATGTCGGTCCGTGAGAGCCTAGCTGATTGGACAGGACGGCTTTGAGCTGCCGGACGATGGGCTACACCACGAAGAGGCGGAACAAGAGGAGGAGACTTTCTAAGAGAACATTTGATGAGAGATTCGCGCGAAGGGGATGCAAATACACCTTGCATACGATGGCTATCGCTGCGATGGTAGTATTTGCTAGCTGCCACCGTGCCTTGAGCACGTCGACACCGGTATATATCATAACCGGTCGCCACCGCCGCATTACGTGCATAACCAGCCCCTTCGACGAATGATGGTACCAAATCCAATATAATTGAGATCGGAGCCTCTCAATGTTCTTGCCTCTCTACATCTCACTTCCAGCTGTCCACCACTGAAGTCACTTCCAAGCTCCATCATACCACATCGCGACAACCTCCTTCCTCCAGTAAAACGGCGGTACAATACAATGCTGCTTCCTGTCAACCTACCCACCTCTAGCCTCCAATCCGCCGGATCTTGCCTTACTCCTTCCACTGCTATCACTACCACTACCCCCATCACTGTGAAAGCGGGGGACGTACACCATTCTCTTCGCACAGACAGTGGGACATCCCTTTGCTAAGCAGTCCTGGCATGTAAAAGCTGATGTCATAGTGACTGGTCTCCGTAGCGACTCCACCGCAGCCGAGCCTTTCGTTTCGCCGCTCGTGCCCAAGTCGAGGGTCCTCCGCCGGTTTCCAGGTATGATCATCCACCTGGACCCCTTTAATACACCTTTCGAGCCGGCCCAAGCATCGGCCCCCTCTACCGGCCCGCCCATCCTCACCAGCCCCCTTCGTCACAACGACGTCAAGCTTGAGGGCAACTGCTATACGCCGCCCGTCGATACCCAGCCTGGGCATCGCAAGCTCGCTCCCTTGCCCCAGAGACGGAAGCAGTCTCCGCGTGAGATCCAGCTCGCACAGCAGCGGCTCGCGCAGAAGATGGATGGGCTCGGCCCGCAGTTGCATCAAGCGCTGGGCATCCAGAAGGACGACGGGGAGCAGGCATCTCGTATGTTGACCTTCACCGTTTTGGATTGCCTTGTTGCTCTATGCTGATCGTCCAGATACGGGCGAGCCCCAAGCGTCATACTTCGCGCCAGGCCCCTCTGATGCGGCCTAAGACCGCTTTGGATGCGGTGCCGGCGGGGAAGAGGGATTGGGAACAGGACGGCAGGAGAGAAGGCGGTGCCAGAAGGACGAAAGAGGCGGGCAAGTAACCGAAAATATTGGAAGATTAGCGCATTGTTTGGGTCAACGTGTTTGTAAACCAGCCTCTGTGTTGACCGCGCCCCACTCTGCGACACCGAGAGATCCGGGGCTGAATGGTCCAGCTGAAACGCACTGGAATTTCCCCTTTGGGCAATTATCAAAATCGCGTGGCCTCCACCAGCAGCAAGATCCTGTCACATCATTTTGCTTTGACGACAATGTACCGATACGCCACATGCTGATGCCCCGCTCTCCACTCATAAGATGGTCGATGGAGAGCCTCCTCTCCCTGCCCTGCCTGTACCGGAGACCTTTCCCTTTCCTTATCCGCAACCATACGAGATCCAGCTGGATTTGATGCGGACCGTCTTTCGCGCGATTGAAGAGCGAAAGATTGCGATAGTGAGTCTATGGCAACGCCAGCAGATGTGGAGATCGGCGATCGGCTGCAGGCTCGACCCAAGCCTACTCGCTTTCCGCTCAGTGAAATCACGACCGGGCTTGACACACCAAGAATGCGCGGGGCTTTGGACGCGCCTGGAACGGATGATCATATCAGAGAATAGCACTGAGCTCATGTGTTTCCAGGTTGAATCTCCGACGGGGACCGGCAAATCCTTGACCCTGCTGACCTCTACCCTCTCCTGGCTGGCTGCCAATCGCAGACGGCTGGATCAAGCTGCTGAGGACAGCTTGCGACTTCGCCTCACCGCAGACGACCCTGACGGTATGTTACTCCTGCCCCACTGACCAACGGGCTGTCAGCTGATGGACCTCAGATCCACCATGGGTGATCGAGCACGCCCTCAAGTCTCGCTTAACCGACCTCAGAGCCGCCCAAGAAGTACAGCGGACTCGCCTCGCTGAAGCTCGGGAGAAGGAACGGCAGCGGCGGAAGAAGGCAACAGGGGCGTTCAGAGGAGCGAAGCGGGTCAAGGTGGACCATGATACCGTGGTCGGGGCAGGAGACAAGGGCGATGAGGAGTTCATGCCGGAGGATACTGCAGGCGGGGATGGGACAGGCGTAGATACGGAAAGCGAGGGAGGGAACTTGTCCAAGGAGGTCAGGGCGCTCATGGCTAAGTGAGTCTTGTCTTCTGCTAGGAAGCGATGAGGAGGGATGCTGATGGTAGATATGAGTCTGGACGGCCGAAGATGATCGAGGTGGAGAAGGAAGACGATGTACCCAAGGTCTGCTTATCGACCCTCAAAACCATCGTCAAAGCTGACACTATCAGATCTACTATACCTCACGTACCCATACTCAGCTTCGACAGCTGACAGCCGAGCTTCTGAAGACATCCTTCCCTGCTAAGATCGACTCCAACGATCGACCATCCATGTCACGGACCACCTCAACCATCCCGGACGCCGCGAAGGAAGAGGAAGAAGGAGTCAGCCTTGTCCCGCTCGCTTCACGTCGGCAGCTCTGCATCAACCCAAAAGTGCAGGCGTTAGGCAAGAAGAGCGGGGACGAGCGGATGAACGAGGCCTGTCTGGACATGCAGAAGAGCGGGTCTGGCGGGCGGTGTGACTTTTTGCCAAAGAAGGATGATGAGGCGGGGATGCTGGATATGCGGGATGCGGTACTTGTGAGTGTCTCCGTATCTCGTCCTCGTGATCGATCGAACTGACAAGGTGGGCGACTGTCCGGGATATCGAGGATATCGTGGCTTTAGGGAAGGAGACTTGTGTATGCCCTTACTACGCTACTCGAAGGGCCGTCAGACAGTCACAGGTGGGATCGAGCCTTAGATGATAGTGCGCAGGGTCGCATACTGATGGTCCTAGCTGGTCACTCTACCTTACAACCTCCTCCTTCAGAAGAATGCCCGCGAAGCCCTCGATATCGATCTCACGGACCAGATCATCGTCATCGATGAAGCGCATAGTACGTGCTCTGCTATCATTTTCGCCCGTCTCTGCTCTTCCTGACACCCTAGACCTCATCGACACCCTCATCTCTATCCACTCTACCATCCTCACCGCCTCGCACATCTCCCAAGCTACATCCCAACTCACACAATACCTCGCCCGCTTCCGCACGCGCTTAAAACCCGTACACGCCCTCTGGATCCGGCAGACTTTATCAGTCCTCTCCGGCCTCGAGAGGATCTGTACCGCTTTTGCGACGGAGTCGAGCAAAGACAAGGGGAAGGCGGGCGGGGAGATGCTGGATACGATCCAGCTGATGAGTCGGCTAGGGGGCTCGAATGACCAGGTGAACTTGCTGGAGATGGTCAAGTACTTGAGGGAGAGTAAGCTAGCTAGGAAAGTTAGCGGGTTCGCGGAGAAGACGGCAGAAGAGGTAGCAAAAAAAGGTAGGTTCAGCTACCCGGTCCACACGGGTTTTCTCAACCGGATATCAGCTGACAGAGCAGCAAGTACTGCTGGAGGCAAGACCGTCAGCAACTCAGCAGTAAAACACGCCTCGATAGCCGCCTTTCATCAAGTCGAGGCATTCCTCTTATCCCTCACGGACGCACGGGATGATGGACGGATCATCCTATCTACGGAAGACCGAGGAGGAAAGCCGACCGTCACGATGAAGTACATGCTCCTCAACCCGGCCGAACGATTCAAGGAGGTGGTTGAGTCAGCGCGATGCGTGATCCTGGCCGGCGGGACGATGGAGCCTGTACGTCTTGAGTCTCAGTCAGTCAGCGGAATGGGGCTGATCAGGCAGATTAGCGACTTCATGTTGCAGCTCTTCCCCTCCATCCCTCGGGACCGCTTCTCGACCCTGTCCTGCTCTCATGTCATCCCGAAGCATAACCTCCTCACTCAGGTGGTACCGATGGGACCGAGGAAGATGGACTTTGAGTTCAAATTTGCGAATCGAGGGGATGAACAGTTGGTGAGCTACCTGAAAGCGACCGATGGAGATTGACACCTTGAGCTCACCGACACAGCTTGCAGAACTTGGCGCCGTGATTGGTTCGACGATCGGCCTCGTACCAGACGGTGTCGTGGTGTTCTTGCCATCGTACGCGTTTCTCGACAAGGTCAAGGCGGTCTGGGGCAAGTCTGGGCTCCTGGAACGGCTCAGCCAGAAGAAGCAGGTATGTTTCAAAGAGTCATTGTGGGCTGGGAGGATCCTGCTGAGCTGTTTTAGATCTTCTACGAACCCCAAACGTCTTCCGAAGTCGATCAGACCCTGCGAGACTATGCACACGCTATCACTTCCACCTCGACCTCAACTTCTTCGCCTATCAGTAGCGCCACTACCCCACTCAAGTCCACCACCAAAGGAGCCCTGCTCTTCGCTGTGGTCGGTGGCAAGCTGTCCGAGGGTATCAACTTCTCGGACAATCTCGGGCGATGCGTTATCATGGTCGGTTTGCCATTTGCGAACATGGGCTCTGTGGAGTTGAAAGAGCGGATGAAGTATGTCGAGGGATTACCTGGGGCCGGTAAGGACGCGGCGAGGGAGATGTACGAGGTCAGCTTCTTGCAGCGCTGAGTCGAGATGTAGAGCTGACGAAGGCAGAATCTGTGTATGCGCGCCGTCAATCAGTCCATCGGTATGTCCGTTCTTCCGCTGCACAGCAAGGTCAATAGCTGACTTGGCAGGACGCGCGATCCGGCATGCCAACGACTACGCTACGATCCTGCTCGTCGACAAGCGGTATGCTACGCACCGGATCCGCTCCAAGCTGCCCAAGTGGATCGGGGAGGACGTGCAAGTACCGCAGGACTTTGCTGGGGTGGCCAAGGGGATCGCTGCGTTCTTCAGGGAGAAGCGAGAGAGGGGATTGCGGTGAGAAGACAGGATATAGACATCATAGACCGATCAGCTGGAGGGATAACTGTTTCATGATCTAGCACACTTGCATCTAGGATATCTATAATGATCTAATCCCAACAGATAAGGAGCTTACAACAATCCCAGTACTTCACTTCACGAGGCCGCAAATGCCGATCGTTCCCGTATTCTCCCCCCTATCTTGTGAAACACAAAAGGCAGCGGGATACAGAGCGCCATCAACCCCGCGAGGAGGCACGATCCGCCTACCGCCCCTAATTGCTCATACATCTGATTCCCAAAGAGTGGGAATCCCGCTGCGAACGCGCTCCGTAAAAACGAATTACTAGCGAGCGCACTGGCAGCGACGGGGCGGTACGCATCGACGAGGTACGTGAAGGTCGAGGTATATGCGTAGACCATGCCCATGCCGAAGAACATGGTAGATAGGATGGGGATGATCCAGGGGACGTTGGGGAATGAGGTGAGGCCGAATAGGAGGAGGCCGAGGGGAGCGAGCACGGCGCCGTACATGCCTGCGACTAGACGGGCCTCGGGTGGGGCGAGACCGCCGGCGGCTTTGGCCGTTTCGCGGTATTTCCTACTCAGTCAGCTGTAAACCCGAAGCATCGAGTGGAGGGATTTCCTGGTACTCACCGGTTAAAATATGGTTGCGTCCCAACGGCTATGACCTGCCCCAACCCAATCCCTAAGAATGCCAGCCCGCTCTGCTGCAGGTCAAAGCCATACTGCGTACGGAAGACATATGGGACGCCGCCGAACGATAGGTACAGGATGCCGAGGATGATGGCCGACCACAGGTCGAGGAAGAGCACCATGAGCTGAGTCGAGAGGAGGACGAAGGGAGTTTTGAGCGAGTGGGAGAGGGCAGAGGAGAAGGATTTGTTGGCTAGTTCGCGAGGGGATTTGTAGCGCTCGTCGCCTGTTTCTTTGCGTTTCCTACCTGATCAGCACGCGCATCAGGCAAGAAAGGAAAGACCTACAAGACAGCCCGTCTTCGTAGTAATTCCGGATCGTACGTCTCGGGAACGAAGACGAGGAGCAGGACAAGCATGACGAATGCCCAGATGATAATCACGTAGTACGTCCAACGCCAGTATGTGTTCTGGTTGATAAAGCCGGATATCAGCGGGCCGAGCACAGGACCGATGAAGGGCGCAGCCGAGAAGATCATCATTGGCCTGTGGGAGGATCAGTCACATCCGTACAAGTATGATGTCTGATGGGAGACACTCACGTTCCTACTTTCGCATTTGGGAAGACATCCGATATGGCGCCACCTGATACGGAGAGGAAGGCGCTACCACCGAATCCAGTAAGGAAGCGGAAGATGAGATGGACAGCGATATTGTTGGCGAAAGCGACAGGGAAGTTGAAGACTGATAGCGTCAGCAGCTGCGGTTTGGTACATATAGCTAAGGAGAGGCGCCGAGAAGAGGGGCACTCACGGAAGAAAGCGAGGAACGCAACGTGCATCACCCTCGCCCGCCCAATGAACTCAGATACGGGACCCAGAAAGACTGGTCTATCAGCTGCATCCACGACAGGGAGGTCAGTCATTACTCACGCGGACCAACGCCTAGACCAGCGACGAAAAGCGATATGCTCAGGACGCACACTTCCCGTGATACTCCAAATTCAGGCATCATCCCGCCGTACGTACTCCCCGCCATGCTCGAACAACATGTAACGCATTGACAGGAGACAGCAAGGATGATCGTCATTGCCCTACCTGATCAGCTCGCACTGCACTCCGGTAAGGACCTAACATACCACTTCCTCCATGTCGGTGTGTTAAGGGGACATCCAGGATCGTCCGGTCCATCCCACTTGACCACGAACTCTGAGCCCTCCTTGTCCGCCATGGAGGGCGATGAGGTGCTCGGTCTTGGCTCTTCTGATGGTGGTGTCTCATGGCTGAGACCGCGGCGACCTTGAGCCGCCTGCTTCTCTACATCCCCACCGGACATCGATAGAGAATTATCGCCCGGTGCAGCCGATCGCGAAGCGCGAGAGTTGGCCGTGGGTGTGGGAGATGTCGCGCGGGAGGGATCCTGCATGTCGCTTCCCTAGGAGAAAGGCAGCCACTCTCGCTTGAATGCTACACAGCAGCGGCGGGGAATGCAGTGACCACCGTTGAACGTTGACGGTTGATGGCTTGTTGTCGGATAGAGATGCCGATGCTGCCGAGCTCTTGGCTTTGGGCGGGTTTTGACGACGAGCAAGCTGTTTGGTCGCGCGAATTTGAGTTATCCGGCTCTATCAAGCAGGCGCAGTCAGTCTGTGAGCAATCAGATGGGATAGGATGTCAAAACCAGCAGCGGATAACGCTCAGGCGCTCAATGAACAGCAGCTACTCAGCAGCTGCAAAATGACTACCGAAGTGCTTGAAATCAGGCACCGGACTCCCGCGACTCTTACGGCCGCGGCCGAACCGGATGCTATTTTGTTTGATCCTCCTACTTATCGGCGGAATAGGGTATGGTGCCCGCCTACGCGCCGAAGGTACGGAGATTTGCGGCGTTATAGCCACGACTGCCTCGGTGGTCATAAGTAGGAGGCTTCTCTTGATCGATGACTGCACGCCCATACTGGGTGGGGAATGAAAGGAGGTTTCTACCAGTACCCATTCATCCGCAAGATCTCGTACCAACTATACTTTCACAGCAGCGTCTCCCCTAACCATTTTCTGAACGCCTCACAAGTCTCCCTCGGATCCTCATCAAACTGATGATCCCCCTCTGGCCTATACTCATACGTCACCTGACCCTTATACTCCTTCAACGCCGCCACCGTCTTCTCCATCGGCTGCACTTTATCGTCCTTCCCGCCATACGCAAAGTAGACCGGGATGGGCAGGATCTCCTTCTCGCCTCTTCTCCTGCTTACCCCCTTGGCGAGCAGGTCTAGGCGGGTCGTCATGCTCAATGCGGCGGGGGAGGGTCGGAATCCGTCTAGTCCAGAACCGATGGAGCGCTGGTTCATGAACAGTAAAGAAGGGAAGAGGGCGTGTTGGAGCATGTAGGGGTAGAGGATGGAGCGAGGGCCGCCGGAGATGGCGGTACAGATCGGAGGGGCGCGGAGGTCCAGATGGGGCTTGGCTTCCGCTTGCGAGATGCTATCTTGTCAGCTGTGCCATACAGAGAACAGCTCGGTTTAGCTTACCTGCGGTCCATCCATGGAACAGGATTCGTCTCGGTCGCCCAGAATTTATCCGTCAAATCCGTTATGGGATAAAACGGCGCCACGCATTTTACCCCCTTCTCGCCTCTGTACCCGCCTACATCCTCATCGCTCAGCCCCAGCGGCATCTCCATACCCCCAATCATCGCCAGATATCCGCCCGCTGAACCCCCACTCAGACATATCCGCTCTGCATCGATCCGCTTCTCGCCTTTACCCGCCTTGGCGATCCGCTCATTCAACTTGGTCTGAATGAAGGTGACAAGCGCAGTCACGTCCGACAGGATATCAATGATGGGTACTTGTGGCGCCAGGCGGTAATTGGGTGAGATGACAGCGACGCTTTCGCCATTGTCGTAAGGGGTCTGAGGGAGGCGCCGGAAGTGAGGTGGAAGGTTCTCTTTGTTTCCTTGCAGAAGTCCGCCGCCGTGGAACCAGACGACGACGGGGTGGCCTTTACCGGAGCTGGAGGGTGTAGGGGGGAGGTATAGGTCCAGGTCGACCTCGAGGGGGAGCGAGTCGAACGTCGCAGCGGGGAGCGTACGGTAGACGAGCCGTAGATCTGGTTGGGGTACGTCAGGCGCGGGACCGGAAGGCGTGTCTCTGGTCGTACTGGTGTCCGCAGAGCTCGAGGCGGGTGCAGCTGGTCTGGACCCAGTGAAAGTCCCCGTACCCTCCTTGTCCACCTTGCACCCCTCGGCGAGCTCGCCCTTCACCGCCCGAAGGTACCCGTTCCCACTCAATACGAGTGACGTCAGGCCCGGCATCGCCTCCCTCCCCAATCCTGCCGCCTCCACATCTAGCTCTCCCTCCAGAGCGTTCGACTCGAGGTTGACGAGGCGCAAACTCTTGAAACCGCCCGGTATCCTCAAGCCCCGCAGACCCTCCGCTGAGAGTCGATTATGTCCCAGGTTGAGCGACCGGAGCATGGGCCAAACAACCTTTGACGCCTTGGTCTGACGAGAGAATGAGGTGGATAGGAAGCCTGCTCCATAGCTGAGTCCTTCGTCTGTCGGCTCGAGGGGCGAGGAGAGATCAAGCGAGAGCAGGGCATTGTGCGATAGGTCGAGGACCTCGAGTTTGGGGAGGAGGAGGATAGCGGGAGGGACAGCGGCGAGGGCATTATGGGAGAGGTTGAGAGTGGTTAGGCGGAGTAGATCGGCGAATGAGTCTGGGAGGGAGGATATTCTGTTTGACGATAGCTAATATAAAGGTTCAGCTACTTCTGGCCATCGGTCTCAATAGCGACCAGACGAAGTAGCTAGAGGTGCCATACTCACATTAACGCTCTTCAAGCCTCCGAACGCGCCAATCTCCCTCTCCACAACCTCAACCGAATTACCCTCCACACTGAACTGCACCAATTCCGCCTCTGGTTCAACCCACGCCTCCTCCTTCTTGGCTTTATTGAACACCGCGTCCCGCTCCGCCTTCTCCGCGAGCGCCAGCTGAGCCGAGAACGTCGCTGTCATACCCTGAACGCCGGACGGTCCGGCAGCCTCCGCGTCAGGAGGATTGGACAGCTCCTTGGTCGGTATACCGAGCAAGAGGGTGTATGTCTCGGCGGGTATACGGGGGAGGTTGAGTGAGGAGAGGTCCAGCTTGCCTAAACAGCTTGATTAGCTCCACCATAGTTCTCTCGCGAGTCATATTGAGCATACCTGACTTGGCAGCTCGCTTGATCTGGCCGATAGCTGTCCGATCTTCCAGCGTGTCCGGGGCAGATGGAGCGGACTGCCCGTACCCCCTTGACGCGGCGGCATTGGCGCTCGCCTGCGCTGCGGTTGTGCGGGAGGCCGAGGTGGTAGCCTTCGCTGCGGCACGTCGGGCCGCGATCTGCTCTTTCATGGAGCTCATTCTGGCGGCGGACTATAGGTGAGATAGGTGATAGATGTACAGCGCATTGAAGCTCGTTGGTCGGACCACCTCCTGCGGCAGCGATCTAGCTGCGATTAGCCGAGCCACGTGGCGTTCACTCTGCAATCGGCCGGTCCGAAAAGTTGGCTCTGAAATAAACGTTCACATTCGCCTCCATATCTTCACTATAGACAACACCCACCTACCATGTCATTCGCCAGCTCCTCCCGCTCAGCTTTCCGCGCAATAGTGAGCTCAATTGCGCCTTGGAGATCCCCAGGCCGCATAGCTGACGTCAAAGGCAAACGCCTGCCCATCATGTTCCCGATCGGCCCTCCCCTCGATGCGCTCCCAAGCTGTCCCAGCAGCTCGAGCTGGTCCATCCAAATCCTCTCGGCACTTTGCGTCTACCACACCGCGAAAGGCTACCGCCGCAGCCGGCCCAGTCGAGTCTGAGATGCAAAGAGCAGCTCGGCGATCGATGGAACTGAGTCGGGAGAGGATGTATGCAGAGCGGGCTCAAAGGAGTCGGACGATCATGATGTACTCTGCGGGCTCAGTGAGTACCTATACCTCCACGAAAGCGATCGACTGCTCGGTCGGTATCCATGACTCTTAGCTGACACACTCAGCTCTTCCTCGCTCTCGGCGTAACATACGCCGCCGTCCCAGCCTATCGCGCCTTCTGCTCCGCCACAGGCTTCTCCGGCGTCCCCATCACAGATCCAGCCCGCTTCTCTCCCGACCGGCTGTACACGAACGAAGAAGCGCAAGGCCGCAAACGTATCACAGTACATTTTGAGGCGACGGCGAGCGATACTCTGCCATGGACGTTTTCGCCTCAGCAGCGGAGTGTGCGGGTCTTACCGGGCGAGACGGCGCTGGCGTTCTATACGGCTAAGAATCTGGGGAAGGAGGATTTGATTGGGATTGCGACGTATAACATGACGCCGGAGAAGGTGAGTTCTGCTTCTGATTGTGCTTGTGGTAAGGGAGGCTTGGGGGCAGATCGTCAGGAGTCAAGGTGGACATGGTCTCGCGAGTCGAGGTGACCCGCTATCGGCCAGGATGAACAGTCGTAGTCCTAGCCGGATCCCAGAGGTTGCTAGAGTCTGACTACTTTATGGCCCTCCCAATCGACATGAGCTGACGCTGACCCCTTAGATCGCTCCCTACTTTGCCAAAGTCGAATGTTTCTGCTTTGAAGAACAAAAGATTCGAGCAGGCGAAGAAGTCGACCTGCCTGTCTTCTTCTTTATCGACCGAGACATCATGGACGAGCCCCAGATGGACTGTATCGACGATGTCGTCCTGAGCTATACATTCTTCCGGTATGTCCATACTCTCCGCTACAAGGTGTACTTCTCCGCAGGAGCAGCAGCTGATCTGAAAGGGCGAGACGGAACGACAAAGGCCATGCGGTACCCGATGCGAGCGACGAGGTCGTGCTCCGGAGTCAGGGGTTTGAGAATTATGAGCACGCAAAGCCGATCGCTGCTTCTGCATAGGCGTGGAATGGGGATAGCCAGGTTGAGGGCAAAGCGAGCTACAGGCAGGGCGGCAGAGTATCGAGCAGTTCTCATCCACCGATCGGTCATGGCATATTTTTCTGTCGCGCGGAGGCTCAGCACTCAGCGCTCAGCAACGCACTGCATGGCATGCATGCCGTCGGATGTGTGTGACATGTGAAGATCAAGACCTCGGCGATGCTCCATGCACGTCCGAAGGCTGTGCCAATTCTATTCCTGTAGTGATACGGCCGAAGGCAAAAGATCCCGTTCGGGCAGTAGTGGCGACCAGTCAAAATCGAGGAGGAAAGGAGGAGGAAAGGGACGCGAGGGGCGCAGATCGAGGGGAAAAGAGATGATTTCGAGGTCAATACAGCACGCAACGACATCCATCCTTCCCAGTCCATCTCAGCGACGCCCAACCTCCCCCACCTTGTCCCTCCACGCGCCAAACCCCCACCCGACTTTCCGCGAGTGCGCCAAGTATACGCGGCTTGGTGAGCTTGGCAGAACCGATTTGACCCCCCTCCCGAGAATAGAAACACCCTCGCTCTAATTCGGGAACACCACCTCCTTCCACTGCACCCACTTGCTTTATCCTGTTCAGCACCAGACCAACGCCAAGCCAGCCTACTGCTCCTCGTTCTGCATACCAAGCGACTCTGGAGGATATTCAGAGCGCTCGCGGGTTATCCACAGACACGGAGACGGACACCGAGGTGGGGGCTGCAAGATGGGGCGAAAGAAGATTGAAATTAGACCGTTGGCGGTACGTTCTTCTCTCAACCTCTCACCTCCATCCGTCTTCCTCATCGATGCACTCCCATGACGCGCTACCTGATTTCGTTTGACCACGTACTGACGAACAGGACGAGCGGAACCGTAATGTGACCTTCCTCAAACGTAAAGCCGGTCTCATGAAGAAAGCATGGGAGCTGTCCGTACTCTGCGGCGCCGACGTCTCGCTCATGATCTTCGCGGCCAACGGCAAGGCGTACGAGTTCTCCTCCCAAGAGCTCGATACAGAGCTGGACCGGTACCTCGAATACGAAGGTCTCATTGAGCGGCGTCGCGCGCCCGAATTTGCCGCAATGCAAGAAGCGGGCGAGAGCGACGATGATGATGAAGAGGAAGGGGCGGGGACTGGGAAGGGTGGCAAGGCGAAGGGCGGGAAGGGGGCGGCAGGGGCTGCGGATGGGGACAAGAAACCAGTCAAGAGTCTGAAGGGGAAGGAGGTGTACAAGGTGAAGATGCCGAGTCGGCGGGAGATTGGGGCGGCGTCGGATAAGAAGCGGAAGAGGGGGGACAAGGAGGGCCAGGGAAGGCCTCAGCAGGGGTTCATTGATGGGTTGGTATCGGACAGCGATGGTGATGAGAGGTCCAGAGATGGATCGGTACGTCTACTTCTTCGGCCTCGATATTCTCGCTGACTAACAGGATATGGCCAACCTCAACTACGCCATGAATCTCGGACCCAGTACAGCTGCCGCCCAGACCCTCGCCTCCTTCCCCTCCTCCCTCCCTCCTTCACACGCCCACCCCTACGCCCAACCCTCCTACTTCCGCTCCTCCGCCAACCCGTTATCCGCACTCCAATCCTCCCCTCAGCTCAAACCCCACCTTGACGCCTACTCACCGGTATACGGCCATTCCGCACCCCTGCCCTCCTCAGCACCATCCATGAACTTCCCACCGACGATGGGCGGGCTCCAGTGGGACCCGGCACTTCTGCAGCGATACGCCGAGTTCCAGCTGCAGCAGAACCATCAGCGCCAGCATCGGCTGTTGCTCCAGCGCCAGAGGGAGCAGTTGGCGCTTATGGGTGTAGGGGTGGGTGCGGAGGGGGAGCGGCGGCTTTTGGATGATATCTTTGGAGCGGGGGGTGCGAGCGGACGAGGCTCGGCGGGAGATGGAGGGTACCCGTCTGCTGGGATCGGAGGGGGCGATACGAATTTCCTCTGGCCAACGTTCAACACCCCTCAACAATCCCTACCCCACCAGCAGCAGCAGCAGCAGCAAGCACCGCCGCAGCAACCGCAACAACATCATCATATCCTCCACCACCAACATCAACATCAATCGCAACATCAGAACCACACCAACACCCATACCCAAAATCAGAATCACACCCCACACCCCACATCATCCGTCACGCCCGATACTGTCCCCGCCCGACAACACAGCTACTACACGGACGATTTCGACTTTGATCATCGCTCTCAATCGCAACAACCGCAGACACAGGCGTCGATGAGCCAGTCTCAGACGACGCATCCCACGCCAGGCGCGGGGTCGGCGGATGGGACGGGAACGGGAACGGCCGGGGGATCAGGGGGCACAGGGGGAACGCCGTGGTATACCGGCCTAGGGGGGGATGTGGGCCGAGGGGAAGAGGTGACGTATACGAGTCCGTCGGACTTTGAGGAGATGATTGGAAGGAAGAGGGCGGGGGAGGAGATGGGGCATGGACAGGGGCCGGGTCAAGGAGTGGGAGATAAGCGGATTAGAGTATGAGGGAGGGGGTTAAGGGGGATTATCTTGGCTTGTATATTGTACTGAGTATGTTTGGGGTCTGCTGGTAATCATTTATCGGAAGGATTGAGCGATAGCAAAAGAGACAGGAGCAAGCAGTACATTTTAGCAAGTATAATGACAAGCCACACACTCAAGGTAACCTTTTTCCCTCCTTCTCCTCCTCGCGCATCATCCTAGCCTCTTTTGCAACAATCTAGCAAGCAACACCTCCTGCATCCGCCTCGCCCGCATGATCCACCTGTCTAACCAGAGATGATCACCACCAGATCGTCATCATCACTATCAGAGTCTTCGTCCTATATTGTCAGCCACGCTCGCAATCCCAGCGAACCAACAGTCTGTCTTGTAAACTCACCGACTCATCCTGCATCTTCTCGTCTTCCTGACTCCCATTCCCACTCCCGCTCCCGCTCCCATCGCTCGCCCCATCCGCATCTACACACCCGCCCTGCACCCCCAGCCCCTTAAACAACCGCCCCAGCCCGATCCGCTTCCTCGTGACCACCTTCCTTCCGTCACCGGCCCCCTTCGCCAAGGTCCCGCTATATATAGTCGAGCAGGAAATATCGAGCGCAGATTTTGCGGAAGGAGTGATGGATGCGATGGAGATGCTTCCGATATGAGTGATGGAGCGCTTTCGCTTACACCCAGGGGAGGTCTCGGCGGCGATCATGTCGAGGAGAGTGGTCTGTGGATTCAGCTGATGCCTGGTTGAGGATGACAAGGCGGAAAAGGGGGGGAACTCACAGGCTTGGAAGGAGATTTTGGAGGGGTATGATACGCCCCGGGTGACGAGGTGGCAGCCGAGGCCTGGAGAGCCCCTCCGATATGTTCGTGCAGATCCATGGAGATTGTGGTCGCGGAGCTGGCTCGAGAGGCTCGGGAGGCTCGTAGCTCGCCCAAGAGATGTCCGACCAGGTGGATGAACTGGCGACGGCAGGTAAGAACAGAGTAAACCAGGTACTCTAGCTCCGCTTGAGTCGCGGAGGCTGTGTGGGTCGACGACATATCGACTTGGGGGCACATCTTCGCGCTAATGTGGTTTTTTGGTATATCACAGGAAAGGTAGGGGCGAGGGACAATCCGCCTTCCACCTGCTGCTTATATATGTCCAACCCATCGTACAGCGCTAAGGGTGAATGGAGGAGGACAAAAGCGTTTCGAAGCGAGACGGGGAGGCGGGTGTGTGTCAGTCGAGGGCTCGGAGGTTCGGAGGCGGAAAAGCTAGAAGTGATTGGTTCGGTGAAGGCATCCCTTTCGGCAATCCACTCGGCCCCGAGTTGGGGTGATCGATGATCCGGGGGGAGCTGATTGATGAAGCTAAGAAGCTGAGACATGTTGATGTTGGCCAGGGACAAGCGATGTCATGTGTGGAGGTGGCTGGTAAGGTGGCAATGTGGCAAAAAGTAGAAGGAGAGAAGAAGGCAAATTCAAGCGGGATTCCGCGAGGAATGAGGCGGTTGGGCCAAGCGCCACAGCGCGACCTGCGTACGTTGAAACGTTGAGGAGCCAGAAGTTACTCCAGCCTCTAGACCTTTCCAGCCCCATCGACGGTCTGAATAGCTTGCTAAACATCGCTGCCCGGCCAGCAGGACTACTCATGCATACATTCCCCCCACGTTTACCCTTTTCCCACCAGACATCCCGCCTAATCCTTCTCGCCGACACGGACCAGCCACTCCCCCCTCTCCTCCTCGTCCATCTGCCTAAACATCCCCGATGCACCCGCCTTTCCATTCTTCGCCGGCTCGTCTGCCGAAGTAGACGAAATACCAATCTCAATCTCGGACGCCTTGAAGTCTGTGGCGCAGACGGTGGAGAGGCATTCAATCGCCATCTAGGTCTGTCAGCTCTTGTCCTTGTTTAGGGGTGTACTGGAGGAGCGAGCTCACCTCGATAACGTCCGCACGCTCCAGGACCTTCTTGTCCGTCTCCATCGTTTTCCACTTCTTCTCCAACTGAATCATCAGCTATCGATCTCCAGCAGCGGGAGAAAAAGCATAGCTGACGTAGTTGTTCGCCTCGGTCTGCTTCTGACCGGACGCGGTCGCCTTGTATCCCGTAAAGAACCCTGCTGGATCAAGCTGGAAGATCTGAGGTCCTCTTTCGTCGTCGGGGCCGATTAGGATCATCGCTTATGTATCAGCTTGTCGTCCCTGTGCTAAAAACACGGTCGTGGTAGCTGGAGTCTGAGACTTACAAATGCCTAAAGGCCTCATACCGGCTCGCTGAGTGTACACCTGGTTGATGTTTGCCATCCGCTTTGCGACTGACATATCAGCTTGTTGACCCTCGCAATGGCGACAGGCAGCTAGCTCACGGGCATCAGGCGTAATCTCGTAGCCGTACTTGTACCGGAAAGAGGCAGCTTCCGATCGGGTTCTTTGCACTTGAGCACGAGCGTCGGCTGACATGTCAGCTCAGAGCCGAAGAGTATTCCAAGGACACTACAGCTGAAAGGGCTTGAGCGGATAGAATGAAGCACGCACCGATCATTCCGGTCATGACGCATCCGATAGTCGGCGTGATCTGGAACAAGTGGGTGATGGTCTCGGGGTCAAGAAGCTTGTCCTGAAGTAGGTTAGCACCTTCGACGCTGTACATGCCCCTCCTCGAACGACAAGGACCGAGCGTAGGAAGCACAGAAGAGAAGAACTCACGGGAACTTTGCGTTGGGTGATGACTACCGCAGTGTCCCTTCCCCGCACAGCGACGGCGGTGACACCTGCACCTGAGATGGCCTTAAACGCATATTCTACAGATGTCAGCTGTTTATTCCCTCTTGAGCACGGCAACGTCTGCGGCTTGAATATGGAATGGGCAACTGACCGACTTGATACAGCTAGGATAGATCAGCATTGGTCAATCTGGAAGCAGGAATAGAAGACTCACTCTTCCTTCTGGTGAGAAGACAGTCAGGTATCTGTCAAGTCAGCTGTAGACCTAGACTCAATACATAGAGCAGCTCATAGGTGACTTACCGGTCATAGGATGATCGGGACATGATGAAGGAGGTTCAATCGGGCAAACGGGGATGTTGCGCTTGTTTACGCGATTATGCACCTGTTTTCTTCGCGGGATCTGGTGTCTATCAAGCTATCTCGCGGCTCTGCGTCGACAGACGAGCGTAGTGTGCTATATATGAGGTGTATGAAGCAAAGGTATGAATGGACAAGAGTCGAAGGAGCTGACCCAGCGTTCGCGTTCGTACGTTGCGTTCCTCACGTTCGGCGGGTTACGTAACGCTGCCACCCCGTGCGTCAGTGCGCGCAGAATTTTCCGACCGAGAGCCAGCTGAAAGATCCATCATCTGTCTTCGTCCATCACCACCACCACCCCATCACACCACAACACCACACACAATGGCCAAGTCCCTCCGCGCCAAAAGCAAGCAAGCCAACCGGCGCAAGAAGAGGAACGACGAGAACTCGCATTATGCCGCGGTAGAAGCGAGCCGGTTGAAGGCTGTCTCGGATCGATTATTGGGCAAGGACAAGAAGGAGGGGGAGGCGGCTGGCGCTGGAGCTGGAGCTGAGGGGGCTGAGGGTGCAGAGGGAGCTGAGGGAGCGGGGGAGGCTATTGAAGTAGAAGAGGAGAATATGGGCGAGGGTAGGTCTCTTCCGTCGCTATCTCATCAACTACAGCCGATCTGATTGCCTGAGGAGGAAGCCCGGAACTGACCATCAGCACCCAAGAAGATCTCCACCTCCGGCCCAAGGCAGAACCGCCGACAAGAATGGCGCGAGAGTAAAGGGATGGATCCCAAGCCTAAGAGTATTGGACAGAACAAGCAGGGGAAACCAATAGCTTCGCGCAAGGCTGGGCGCAACAAGCGGAGGCGGTAGGCGGCGGGATCGGGGAGGGCGGGCATCACGTTCAGGGCTGTGCAGAGGGAGAGAGAGGATTCGGACCTGTTGTATCATACTTTCCTTTTCGCTGTATGATATCCCATTACATGCTCTAACCCAGATTACCAAGTATACCATCTAAGCTCTAATTGCCACTGCCTACTCTGGCCGCTTCAACTCCTCCAACAACTCCTTCAATTTCTCCCATTCCGCCGTCTCTTCGAACCTGGTATATCAGCTACAGCGCTAACGGCCTCATCGCACAATCCGCACTCACATATCCTTCGTCCTGCCCATAAAGGTTCTCACAATCCCCTTGGCGGTAAACCTCCAATCCCCCTTCCTCCCCTTCTCCTTCGCCCGTGGTCCCAACCCCTCCAACACACCCACAAGCTCCTCCACCTCCCTCGCTGCCTCTTTGAACCTCCCCTCCCCCCTCTCCGCCGCCTGATCACTGACCGGCCCGACCCGATACGCTTTCAAGTAATCGTCCATCGCCCCCCCCCAGTCCTCTTTCCACCGCAGTAATCTCGCGTGACATCGCCACAGCCGAGCATCATCCGATACGCGGGGTAGAATGACTGTATCAAACAACCGCTCGACGATTGGAAGTAATCCGAACCCCTCGTTCGAGGTCGTAACGGGTGCAGCGGGGGAACCGCCATTCCAGTCATCCCGAGTGACGCTGTCGACGAGTTTGTCCAGGACGTCCATGTCCACCGGCATCGTGGCGGACTGCTCCTCCATCAGCCGAGACATGGCCCGGGCCGACTCGGCGAGCTCTCCGACGTCGATCGCGATGAGCATGTAGTTGGCCCACATGCGCCAGTTGGTAGGGGAGAATTTGAGACCGGTGCGGAGTGCGCGGAAAGCCAGGAGTTTGTTGTCGAATGCGGAGCTTTTGGACTAGGTTGATCAGCTGACCGCCTCAAAACGTACGTGGGCATGATAGCTCACCTCGACCTCTTCTACATCGCCGTCCCCCGCTGCTGCGCGCTTATCCTCCTGCAGCCGCAGATACACCGCCGCGAGGTTATTCCACCCCTCCCCGTCCTCCTCATCTACGCTGACCTGCCGCTGGAACGCATCCCTCGCCTCCACCCACCGCTCCAGTCGCACAAAGCACACGCCGAGCGTGAACCACACTCTCGCATATAGCGGGTTGATCGCCCCCGCCGCCTGGAGAACCGGTATAGCCTTTTCCCATTCTCCCGCCGAAACGAGCAGAGACCCGAGCGACCTTCTCGACCTGGACGACGTCCCACCAGACACCTCCCACGCTTTCTCGTAATACCCCGCCGCCTCCTCTTTCGCTTTGCGCGGATCCCGACTCGCCTCGTCCTTCCCCAAGGTGATATCTCCGAGGAGACACCATAATTTCCCTTCCCTTGCTTTCCCCATCTTGACTTTCCTATCCTCCGACACTGCCACCCTGGCGAGCGATGAAACCACATCGCTCTCGACTTTCTTGCCCTCCAGTAGATCCCGCACAATCTTCTCGGCCTCACTCTCCCGCTCCATGCGCTGCAAACATCCCACCGCATCCTCCCACATCTCCAGCCGGCCAAAGATCTCTAGAGCACTCCGCGTCACTCCAACGGTCATATACCGCTTGGCAAGCTCGCGCTCCATCTCCCACCGAGACGGCAACGGGAGTTGGTGGAAGTACGCGAGACGTTCCTGTGGCGCCGAGTCGGATGTCGGCATCTGATCGATCAGAGCAGCGAGCTGGAGGGTGGAGCGCTCGACCGTGCGGCTCCGGTCGGCCTCGAGACGCGAGCGAAGGAGGAGTGCCGTGGTGTGGATAGACCAGTTCCGGGGGTGGGTGACCACGCGGTGGATGAATGGCATCATCTGCGACGACGTGAGGCCGGAAGAAGGGAGGGAGTTGTGTGTGTTGAGACAAAGACCGAGGAGGAGGGTTTGGTCCAGGGGATGTAAGGCGGGTTGGTTGGCCGGGTCGATATGGGAGAGCGGTGAGGTTGAGGTGGGGTCCACAGTGGTTTTGGTGAACTCCGTCTCTTCCAGCAGAGTATCGTCGTTCAGCGCCAGCGTTTCCGGTAGATTTGACGCCGCCCCTTGTTCCCCCTTCTCCCCGACTACAGCTACCTCCTCGCCATCCCGCTTCCTCGACTCGGCGAGCAAGACCAGCTGACTGTGGATATGCACCTGGTACTTCGTCTTCCGCCCCAGCGCACCTGTGAGCTCATACTGCAGCTCGCTCGCCTTGGCCGCTGCCAGGAACTCCTGGTTCGCCACCTTGTCATTTCCGAGCGCATGATGATACTTGCCGAGCTCGATATGGAGGGACGTCCGGAGATCCTGCTCCGCTGGTGGTATACCCGCTTCCAGCGCGGTAATGGCTGAGAGGGTCGATGAGGGGAGGGCGACCGGATCATCCAGTAAAGCAAGATGGACGAGGTGTGCGCGCAGGAGCCACCATACTAGTGTAGGCGGCGGTGAGGAGGATGAAGATAGGGAAGCGAGCAGTCGGAGGGAGAGGACGAAGAGGGAAGGGTGTGACGCGAGATGGTATGCCGGTTCGCCATTGAGGGTGAGGAGGGGGATAGCCCGGGACTCTAGGTCTTCTCCGCCAGAGCTGGAGGAGGCCGAGGGGAGGAGTTGAGAGGGACTGAAGGTGAGGTCGGGACCGGTCCAGTTCGCCTGGACGAAAGCGTGGAGGAGCGCAATGGCGATGACCAGCTGTACCTCCGTGTCTGCCGTAGCAGTGGGGCCGCCCCCACTGGCCGCAACGTGAGACAGTAGACCTTCCGATAGACCCGCCTGGCTGCCGAATATCCCCTTCGTTTCGTCCGAGAGCAGAACCGCCGCAAAGTCCGCCTCGGCCAGCGCTTTTCCGAGTTCACGAGCTCGTGACGGACCCTCTGAGGGGGCCCTGCCGGCGAGGAGGTCCCATTCAAATTGCGAAGACGACATGATTGCGGATATCGCGTCTACTTGGACGGGGTAGTTGGTCCTACTGCTTAGATGGAGGGGTTGAATGTTGATGATCAACCAAGGTGGAGGGCCAACTTTTGGGTCGCCAACTTTTGGCGGGAGGAATGGAGATCTGTGCACATCTCCATATCTCTTACGGCATGTGACCGGAAAGGGGTTGTTGGTGTGATGAGCCGACGTCATGCGACGACGATGGCGATGGTGTCGCCGGTAAACGTCTAACTCGAGTGGTGCATCCCTCTCTCTCTCTTTCTAACGTCTACAGCGCAGCCATCTATCTTCTCCGTCAACAGCCCTTTAGCCCAGCATGTCATTCGCACCCGGCCTCCTCCCGCGCCTGTTCCCCACCTCGGCCCCTCGCGCTCTCTTCCGCCCGGCCGCCCGATCCCTACACACCTCCCCCTCTCACTCCCAATCTCAATCAGCCGCCGCCCGTTTCCTCGCCTCGCGCGCCCCCGCCCCTGTTCGCGCTAAAGCAATCTCCATCCCCCGCTCCCTCCCCCGTTCATCCCGAAACCAGCTCTACACTTTGGGTCTCGGACTCTCTTTCGTAGCGTATACGGCCTTCTCCCCGTCCCGCTCTGTCCAGTGTCAATCGGCCACTAGTCCAGGTGGGGTGTTCGGCGCCAAGCCGGCTGCGAGCGGACGGGCGGATGATCTTCCGGATAGCCCGGCGAGTATATTGAGCGTGTCGGAGTTGGGATTCGGGGCGGTTGCGGGGATCTGTGCGGGTGTTTTCTTGAAGAAGGGGCTGAAGGCTTTGGCTTTCTTGTTGGGTGGAGCGTTTGTCTTCCTCCAGGTGAGCTACCCGCTTGTCTTCAGCTGCACATATTGCGGAGGAGTTCTAGCTGACATGGTAGTACATGAACTCCCGATCCCTCGTCAATGTAGACTGGGCCAAGATTTCCTCGAAATACGACGAGACGTTCGGCACGCGTACCTCCTCGGGTATCCGCGCGCCCAACGTCAAGGGCGCATACAACTGGATCGTAGACTTTATCACCGCCAACTTCCAGCGTAAGCTCATTTCTCCACATGTCATTTGCGGGATGTAGCTGACACGAGCAGAGAGGGCAAGCTTCCTCGCTGGGTTCGCGCTCGGTATCCGTATGGGATAGAGAGGGGATCAGCTGCGGGCAATCTCAATCAATGATAATATGTAGCTGGGAAAAAGAATGAACGAAGTCAATACACGTTCGTAACCCCTCGTGCGGCCATAGATGCCACTGCAAATACGGCGCATCTACGGTATCTAACTAATCTCAATTTGCCAATCCCCCACGATCCCTACTCCTGGCTTCTTCAAAACCAGCCTACTCGCCCTTTCTTCCTCTCCCTTCCCACTGGCCCCAGCCGCAGCCCCAGCCTCCCACTTCCACTCCACCCTCTCCCCTCTGGCCCCCTTCACATCCCTCGGCTCCTCCTCCAGACCCAGCACAACCACCTGCTCGACACCTACATGTCCCACCTTCTCAGCCCACCCATTCCTCTCCTTCTCCTTCTCCATGCTGTCCGGATGTCTTTCAGACCTCAACATCCTCCCCTTACCCCCCTTCTTCCCCTTCCCCTTCGCAGATAGGGATAGGGAGAACCGGCGCCAAACATACTCTCCCCCCTCATACCCATACCCCGTCCCATCATCGCTATACAGCTGTCCCTCCGCCTCTCCAGACTTCGATAAGGCGATGATGAGCGTGTATGGGTCTTGCCACATGAGTGGACTGGACCGCCGGATTCTCTGTCGGATAGGAAGGATCGAGCCGCCTTGGATCAGGACGGGGTAGGCGGAGAGCGGGGTGGAGAGGGTGAGATTGTGGGGTGTGGCCTGAGCAGGGTGTAGGCTGTGGGTAAAGTAGTCGTAGTATGGCTACAAAGGTTCAGCTTATACCTTCATAACTGTCGATCTGAACGAGTTGGAGGCGCTGGAAGCGGACATACCTGATCATCCGCGATGTAGACCTCGGTCGTCGTGGCGCCTTCTCTCGTGACAGGCTTGACGAGCAGCCCCTCCCCTCCGACGTAATATTGGTCGTCCACGGCAAAGCCGTCCTTGTCTTCCGGGAAGACGACATACTGCGGTCTACAGAATTAGCTCAATCCAGCCATTTCGTACCGCTTAAGATTCAGACCAGCAGTCCAGCAGGACAACGATTACACTTTATGGGCATCCGAAGCTCGGACTCGGACTCACCGCATAATAGGCCATCCCTGCGTCGAAGCATCATGGAAAGCATTATACCAGACCCCCAGCAGAGCATACCTCGTCCGAACTGCATCCCGGATCAAGCCCCTCGTCGGTTCAGGGTAAAGATACGGTTCGCGCCGCTTCGTATCGAGGTGGGCGTGCGCGCGCATGAAGGGCATAAAGGCGCCGGCTTGATACCATCTCACAAGGAGTTCAGGGGAGGGGTTGCCGAAGAAGCCGCCGATGTCCGCTGGGTGCGTCAGCTTGGTCGAAGGAACGGGTCAGATAGTGAGCGGGGTGGAACAGGGAGCTGATAGGAAGGAAGGAGGAATGGATCGTAAGGAGAGAATGCACGTACCGCCACTGAATGACATCCCTGCGATGTTGTTCGATAAGAGCATAGCAGTCTCTCCGGCAAAGTGGTCTGATCGTCAGCTCGGTCTCACCTCCTTATATCCGGAAGGGAGATCTTGAGCTCACCCCAGGTGCCCATATTGTCTCCGGTCCAGATAGCGCTGAATCGCTGTGAACCAGCAAAGAAGGATCGGGAGAGTACGAAGGGTCGTTGAGCGGGAGATTCGCGCTGGATCAGAGCTTGGGTCGTTTGATTATGCTACTGTGTCAGTCTCGACCTCTGGATAGAAGTGTAGCAAAAAGGAGGCAGGAAGGCGAGAGACATACGAAGAGCATCCCGTTGATATTGTGGACATCGCGGTTCTCCCACCCGCCATGGTGGATTGTATCTCTAGGAACAGAGATTTCAGGGCCGTCGAACACGGATGGCTGATGAGTCAGCTGCGCTCGACGGGGATTATCTTATAGCAGGAAGCTCACCTCGTTCATGTCGTTCCAGATGAAGAGCGATGGCGTGGAATCCTAACTGCTCAGCGCCCAATCCCCCTTGCTCTTGCAGAACGACCCACCTTCCAAGTCGCAAACGAGAACATGCGCGTCCACCAATCCCAGCTGTTCGGATTGAAAAAGTCCACCCATACACTGCTTCCGGTCCAGCACCATCCTTCAAAGTTGGACCCATCCGCCTTCTTGACGAGGATATCCAAATCCTTGGCATCGCTGTAAATCCTGAACGAGTCTACCTTTTTGATATGCGGATCGATGATCGCTACCATCTACCAGATACATCAGCTACCCCTTTCCTTTGCCCTGAAGAATGGGAAATAGCTTAAGCCGGCTCAAGCTCACCTTTCTCCCCTTGGCAGCGACCGCCTCTTGCATCCGCACCGGATCCGGGAAATGTTTGGCGTCCCAATCGAAATACCGATGCTCCTCCGCATGCTCTATATCCAGCCACGTCACATCGAGCGGTATATCGACCTCATCGAACCGTCTCTGCACATCCATCACATCCGTCTCGTCCACATAGTTCCAGCGGCACTGGTGGTACGCCGTGCTCCACTGCGGGGGGAGCGCCGTCGTTCCCGTCAGAATAGCATTCTGCTTGAAGAGCTCGCTGGGCCGGGGACCGGGAAGGAGGAGTAGGTCCAATATCCCCGATTCAGACATCCAGTGCGTGTGCACGCCGGTGTGGGTGTGCTCGACGTCTACGAAGGTGTCGGAGCCGACGAGGTTGAGGATCCCGACAGAGTGTGAGGCCGAGTGCGCGTGCAGGAGGGGAATGGCGCCGTATAGGGCCATAGGGGAGTCGGCGAGGTATTCGAATATGTCGACATTGTAGAGCCGGTAGGGGTCCGAGTAGTGGGCGTGGGGACCGACCGTGTCGGGTAAAGAGAGGGGGGAGGCGTGTTCAGGAAGACCGTAGATGTGTTCCACGCCGGGGAAGGTAATGTCTACCGACAGAGCTTCGGGGCCTAACATCAGCTCCAGTTCTCAATGAGAACCACAAGACTCACCCTTAGGCTTGCTATCCGTCCACTGCCTGAACCTCTCCTCGAACGCCTCATCATCTTCCTCCTCAAACCACGCCCTATCCACTCCATCTCCGCCCAAAACCATCTGCTCCGCCTCCCCTACCACCGCCTCCACCTTCTCCTTCTTCTTCCTGAAATGCTCCATATGGAACAGAGACTTCTCATTGATCACCACCTGTGCCCGTCCCTCGCGGCTCTGGGTAATCTTGAACGGGCTATGCTGGATCTCCAATTCCAGCTTGGCCTCCTTTGGGCCATACCGAATCACCGTCTTTCCCTTTTCCGTCCTGACACTGCTATCGCCTGCCCCCGCCAGCATCGGTTCTGCTTCGACCAGAGCCCACCTCGCAGTCTCATTATACCGCCGCAGCCCCGTCGACGACGCTACTTCATCCATTCTCAACCGGACGATCCCGTTTCCCTCCGCTAGTACGTCCACACGGAGCTCGAACCGGATCTCTGGGTAGAGACTCGAGGTGATGGGGAAGGTATACCGCCCTTCATCGTCCGAGATAGTGGGCGGGGAGACAGAGTATGGCGATGTGAATGTTGAGGTGGATTCGGCCTGGCGTTTGGCGATCCCTTTGAGTCGGCGGCAGAAGGAGGATTGAGCGCATGTTTTGAAGTCTTCATGCTTTACGGCGAGGGTGAATGGGGCGAGCGCCAGCGCCCAGAGGATGGGTCTCATCCTTGCGAGCTACTCAAGCAGGGTATAAGTATGAGGGGCTCAGAAGTATAGCTCTGTGCGAGGTGGTGGTCGTGATTGCGGGGTTGTGAATGCGGGGAAGCATAAGTGGGGGGATCGGCTGAAATACGGAGTTGCAACACTTCCCCGCTGGCCGGCCGACACTTGCAAGCGCGAGCGATGTTCTGGGCCGAATCGATCGGCTACCTACCTCATACATTCGCCTCTTACCTCTCCTTATAGTACCCATAGAGCTATACAGCTCACACCCCTCTCCCTCTCAGCCCCCTTCTCTCCCCCCATCAGGATGTCGCTCAGAATAAGAGCACTCCGCTCCTTTCGTCACTCTGCTCCATCCTCCACCCCCATCGCCCGACCCCTCCTCCACCTTCGATCCTACGCCACCCCTTCCCAACCTCCTAAACCATACAAGAACTCTCCTCAGCCTGCGGGTCTGGAGGGATTGTTTGGCGGCGCAGATCGGAAAGAAGGGTCCACATCGGCACCGACGCCACCCACCGTGGAACCGCAGGGCCCATCGACGCCTAAAGTCCCAGAGACCGAAGGGGGCGCCTCGGCTCCAGCTGAGCCCCGATCGCCATTGAGCGGGCTGGCTGGGAAGAAGGTAGGGACGGGTGGCGGCGGAGGTGGAGGAGGAAGTGGGGGAGGTGCAGGTGGACCAGGAGGAATGGGGGGGATGACCCCAAATCAGCTTTTGCTTGCTGTTGTCAGGTAGGTCGAGCGTTCGAGGAGATGAGTTCGCGCTGACAAGCAGTACCTATGCTCTTTACTCATTATCATCGCCTGGAGATACCCGGACAAGGGAGATCACCTGGCAAGAATTGTAAGCTATCCCTGTCCCGTCTCGATCAAGGCTGATCGATCAGCCGCAACTCCCTTCTCGCTCGCGGAATGGTCTCCTCGCTCGAAGTGATCAACCGCCAGAAAGTCCGCGTACACCTTCACAACCCCATCCAACCTTCCAATGGTGATGCTGTCGGTGGCCAATCCCTCCCTTCCCCCAACACCGGTGCAGCCCCGTACCAATTCACCATCGGCTCTCTCGAGGGCTTCGAGAACCTTCTCCTCCAAACCCAGGACGAGCTTGGCATTCCACCCGCTGAACGCATCCCCGTGTCGTACCGTGAAGAAATATCGACATTCCAGACGGCCATGCACTTTGCACCTACCCTCCTCATCGGCGGTCTTCTCCTCTGGATGGCACGGCGCGGATCCTCGATGGGCGGCGGTGGCGGCGGAGGAGGCGGTATCTTTGGCGTCGGCAAGTCCAAGGCCAAGATGTTCAACAAGGACGAGCAGGTTTTGACTCGCTTCAAGGACGTTGCCGGGATGGACGAGGCCAAGGAGGAAATCATGGAGTTTGTCAAGTTCCTCAAGGAACCGGCAAAGTACGAGAAGCTCGGCGCCAAGATCCCCCGAGGCGCCATTCTCTCCGGTCCACCAGGTACCGGAAAGACACTGCTCGCGAAAGCGACAGCGGGCGAGGCGGGCGTGCCCTTCCTCTCGGTATCCGGATCGGAATTCGTCGAGATGTTTGTCGGTGTCGGACCGTCCCGCGTCCGGGACTTGTTTGCCAATGCCAAAAAGCACGCGCCGTGCATCATCTTCATTGATGAAATCGACGCGATCGGAAAGGCAAGAGGCAAGGGCGGAAGTTTCGGGGGCAATGACGAGCGCGAGTCGACGCTGAATCAGCTTCTCGTCGAGATGGACGGGTTCGGGACGACCGAGCACGTCGTCATTCTGGCGGGAACCAACCGGGTCGACGTGCTCGACAGCGCACTGCTCCGTCCTGGTCGTTTCGATCGGAACATTGCCGTCGACCGGCCGGATATCGGCGGTCGGCGCCAGATCTTTATGGTCCATCTCGGACCCATCACGATGAATGCCGACCTGGAAATGTCGAGCATCGCCGAGAAGCTCGCGCTCCTCACGCCGGGCTTTTCGGGTGCCGACATTGCCAACGTGTGTAACGAGGCGGCATTGCGCGCGGCTCGGCGCGGCGGGGATGACGTGACGGAGGAGGACTTTGACGGGGCGATTGAGCGGGTGATTGCGGGATTGGAGCGCAAGTCGAGGGTGCTGGGCAAGGACGAGAAGAAGACGGTGGCGTATCATGAGGCAGGACATGCCGTGTGCGGATGGTACCTCGAGCACGCGGACCCTTTGCTCAAGGTCTCGATCATTCCCCGCGGTGTCGGCGCTCTCGGTTATGCTCAGGTAAGCTTGGTTGTTCCGGTAGACCTCGAGACCTCAGCTGACCATGCAGTACCTCCCCAAAGAACGCTTCCTCTTCTCAACCGACCAGCTCATGGACCGCATGAGCATGACGCTCGGCGGCCGTGTCGCCGAAGAAATCTTTTTCGGGCGAATCACCACCGGCGCGCAGGACGATCTCCAGAAAATCACCAAGATGGCATTCGAGGTGTGTGCCAACTATGGTATGAACCCCGATATCGGACCCATCTCGTACGGAAACCGAGATCAGCAGGGCGAGGGGTTCCAGAAGCCATTCTCGGAAGCTACGGCCCAGAGGCTGGATGAGGCCGTCAAGAATATGGTGGTGGAGGCGCACCGGCGAACGACCGAGTTGTTGACGGAGCGCAAGAAGGAGGTGGAGCAGGTGGCGAGGCTGTTGTTGGAGAAGGAGGTGATCACACGGGAGGATATGAGGTTGTTGTTGGGTCCAAGACCGTTTGAGGCTGCTGATGAGGTGAGTTACACACCGGGGTTTGCTTTCGCGGCGGGGAGGTAGCTGACCAGACAGATGGACGTGTATATCGAGAAGCAGCTGGGCAAGAAGCAGCGCAAGTCGGAGCAAGCGCAGGAAGCGGCAGAGTCGGGTGGATCGGGCGGACCGGGCGACGGGGCACAGCCGCAGCTCGCGATGAAGCCGACGAAGCTGGACTAGGCGATGGCTAGCAGTTCAGGGGACATGGGATAGAGCAGCGGTAAAAACATAGTGGCACTTTTTGTCTTGCGTGTATCATTATATTTCGGCTAGACATAGGATGAGATCAGTATACACCCTTCCACTGATCGTAGTTACTGCTGAAGAGAGGGATCAATCGCCGTGAGCCCGTCCCGTCAGAGGAAGCGCCACTACAGGACCCTCAATGAAACAAGGTTTCGTTTGCCACTCCTTTACCCCGTGCGTTTCAAACTCTAATTCACGGGGCACTGTCCCCCCATTCCTCGCTCGGACCCCTCTTTCATTTGCTTCATTACCACCCTTTCGCCAAAGCTGACCTCGTTCACACTATACAATACACCATGCCTCTCCTCAGTAGAAAGAAACGCCAGCCCGGACCCCGTACCAACAAGGACGGGACTCAGGGAGGTTCAGGTCAGCAGCGCGAACTCCAGCATTCCTTGTCGCTCCCGGACCTCACGACCCCTCTTCTCGACCCCTCCTCGTGGGAGTCTATACCTGATTTCCCGGGCTCGATCCCAAGTTTACCGAATGCCAAGTCAGCCAACGGGTCTTCGCGCTCATTATGGCCACCAACCGGTATCGCCGCCGCTGGCGCTGGGGGCGACCACGTGTACGCTCAAGCAGCTACAGGACCAAGGGGCCGTTCGCCTTCGCTCGTCAGTGGAGGCCCGGGGTCGCCTGCGGCGTTCCACAAACCGTTCAGTCGGTGGCAGGTCGTCAATGAGGAGGCGGGGCCGGTGCCCCCTTTACAGTACAGAGGGGACTTTAGGAAGAGTGCATGGAGTCGGGACAGTGGGCAGGGAAGCGTACACCCGCACTCCTATCACACCCCGGGGGTGGGGATGGGGTCAGGGCACCAAGCGAGGAGGCGGAAGAAGGGGAGAGTGGCGGAGAGGCTGAACGTGATGGTTGTTGGTGGGAAGGGCGTGGGGAAGACGAGGTGAGCTGGCATGACCATGTCTTATCTGTGGCGGAATGCAGCTGACACAGGCAGCTTTCTCGCTCTCCTACGAGATACTTCCACAGCGACTGAGGAGGTTCAGAGCAAGCCCATGCTCTCGCCCGTGAAGTCCTCGAAGCAGATACAAACTCCATCATCCCCGACTTCCCCCGGCCCACCCATCACGCCCTCCGACTCCCCTCTTTCCCCACCTGCCGAGTCACCGGGCCCCACAGCCCCCAGCTCGCCCATTCAACCCACCAAAGCGCTGCCACATCCCCATCCGCCACTGCAGCGACCCACCCCCACCACCCGCCTCTCTTCCTCCTCCACGACCCTCGACCGACCCGCCGAGAAGCTCCAGCTCGAGTTGATCGATACGCCCGGCCTAGATCTACGAGGGGACGACGGACCCGCCATGCACGCTCGACGACGCGAGAGGGGGGTTACGGCACTGTTGAGAGTGGCGGAGGACAGGTTTGGGGAGGTATTGAGGGAAGAAGCGAAGGTTGTCAGGCGGCAGCTGAGCGGCGGGAGTGGTCTGGTACATTTGTGTAAGCTGTGTCTCGCGAACCTGATGACTGGGAAGACAGCTTATGGGAGAGGTATCTATCTGATAGATGTGCGAGCGGCGCTTCATCCGGTGGAGGAAGAGGTGGATGTCGATTGGTCCGGTCTCAGTATCTCAGAGGTCAGCCCAGAGCATGCGGCCGAGTTGGAAAAAATGGAGGACTTGTGTCCGAGCGTGGCAAAGGTGGAGCTTGACATTGTAAGCTCGACTGACACACCGCTGGTGTAACGATGCTCGGGGTGGAGAGAGCTTACCATCAGATACGCCGCCTAGGCAAACGGATGAATGTCCTTCCTATCTTGACACATACCGACCATCTCTCGATCGCAGAACTCAGCGCCGTCATGGAGGCAGTGAGGCGTGATCTGGCAGAGGGACCGAGCGAGGATGAAGGGAGGGGATTTGGAATGTTCGGGATGAGGGTGGAAGAGGATCAGAGTGGAAGGGTAAGCTGCCAGTACTAGCCTGGCCAACGGTGCGCGACAGATAGCTTACGCACAGACGCCTCTGCCTCCGCTGGGTACCTCTACTGGGGGAGACGAACTGCCGAGCGACGATCAGCCGCCCACACCTACCTCCATCATATACCCACCAGGCGACGCCGGCAGCATGCCATACGCCATATTCGCTTCCTCTAGTGGATCCGGCAACCGAGCATACCCATGGGGCACAGCAGACGTAGCGCAGCATTCGGACCTGGAAGCGCTGAGGGAGGCGATACTTGACACGCACGCTAAAGTGAGCTTAGCGGTGTAGCGTCTTGGCCCGACCGACAGTAGCTGACATGCCAGGCGCTGAGGTCGACGACGAGGGAAGTACTGTATGAGCGATATAGGACAGAACAGCTTCTTGCGCGCCGGGCGAAACGGGGCCTATCGGACGAGTCGGCTGAGTCGTAGCGAGTCCGGTTTGGGAGGCGGAGCTGGTCTTCGCCGCGTATCGAAGGGCGAAAAAGAGGATGCTGGCGATCTTCTCGGATGTGCGATCTTCGGACTTCTCTCTTGGCGGATCTTCTTGTATATAATCTTTGGGAATGGTCAGTATCTCTTACTGCTGTAGGTCAGGGTCATATCCATATGCATACCATACCCGGATTCCGCTGGCTATTCAATCGTCCCCGCCTCCCTCGTCCATATCTTTCGGTACCTAATCTATCAGCTATCATTCCTCTAGGGCCTTGACAAATCATGCAGCTGGTCTCGCAGAGCAAGGCCTGCACTCACTTTTGGCTCCTCGTCCTCGCCGTACTGCATCATGTTATCTATATGGCTCAGGATGGTGTTGACTGAGTCTTCGTTGGTCGAGTCGAGAGGAAGGAAGGATACTATGTTTTGGGATTCTATCTGGATAGGTGTCAGCTGTACTCGTATCTACCACGGCTCTGTCAGGCCGTCGGGGTATAGGGCCGAGTCGAGCATGGCGAGGGAGACCCTCTCGTCCCGCCTTACCCGAAGAGGGGAATCAAGGGGTCTGAGCACAGCGGGAATCACTCACTAAAGACACGACCGCCTGGTTCAGAGCGTGGAACTTGGGATTACTACTCGCCCCCACGTCCTCATACAGCAAAGCTGGATCTGGGTCGAGATACCTAGAAATTCAGCCACAATCACTCCTACCTCCTGCCTATTCACCCTGAGCTGAAACTCACCTCCCCACTTCTCTCCTCACTCGCCCCTTCCCATCCTTGACTAGATCCATCTTACTCATACAGCACAGCATGCTCACCCCCAAGCTCATCATACAGCTCATCGCACTCATCACGCCCGCAAAATACTTGGTCTTGTCCTGCATGAACTGCGAGTCGATGAGATACGTCGCGGAGATCCGGAAGTTTAGTTGGGACTCCAGATGGTGTGCCAGTCGTGGGAGGAGGGGGACGTGTGTGTACAGCTCGATCTGGCCGGGACAATCGATGATTAGGTAGTCGTCCGCGTAAGGGCCGAGCTCGTCATCTAGCCAGTCGAGGTTGTTTAGAAGGTACCTACCACCCCGTCAGCTTCGAAGGTTCTTCCTTTCCCTTGAACGGGCAGAAGCAGAAGCAGACGCACTCGAAGCAATAGATTAGTCCGCCATTGGGTCCAAACTCCAGCTCCTCCATCACATCCTCCAGATTAATGAGGTCCCGTATGTCCAGAGTAGGCTCATAGTCGAAGCGCTCGGCAGCGGGGTCGAGGTTGAACAAATGGACCGACCGCCCGAGGGTCTGCGCGTGCGTGATGAGCGCGGAACAGAAGGTCGATTTGCCTGCTCCGGCGGGTCCAGTGACGAGGACTGCGTAGCGCATAGCGTGCAGCGTGAGAGGATAGAGAGGGAGCCAAGAAGAAGGTAGGTGGTGATAGAGAGGCAACGCAGAGAAGAGAATGAGGGAGGGGGACTTTGGGTGGAGGTGAAATTCTGGCTGCCGAGAAGCCCGAGGCCGAGCTCTATTGACACCTCTTTCCTGGGGGTAACCTGAGTACGACTGGCTACTACCACGCTGCCTTGACCGTGTAGGGAGTACTGGACCCCAGTAAGGATACATGCAGTCCTAGATCGCACACCAAATCTATTTCTACAACCCCTCGACCGTCAAGCCCCATCTAGCTTCTACCCCCCGTCTACATCTTCCAGTCGTTCCAGCTCCCATTCAGGGGATGACTCGCATCAAAGTCCCAATGCTGATCAAACTCATGCTCCTCTGGCAACTCTTGCATCCCCGCCCCACTCGCCCCGCTCAGACCGATCACCACCTTGGCCGGACCCGTCCAGTCCGTCCCCAAGCGAATCTTGACGAGCTTACTCCCCTCGACCCACGCTCTTTCAACCCACCACCGGACGCCTTTGCCCTTCACGTCGAGCTCCGACTCATCTTCCACGCGAACATGGCCGATGCGCTCGCCGTCCGCCCGAGAGACGGATTGTAGTCGCCAGGATCCTTCCCATCCCCAGAGCTCTTCTTCTGTGACGGAGATGATGATCTCGGCATCGCCAGAAGAGGGCGGAGCGGCGTCGACGGTGAGTTCCGAGGTGGTCCAATTGAAGGCGAAACCGATGAGCTCGCCGGATACGGCGGAGGGATAGGGGCGGGAAAAGAGCTTGCACATTCCGGGTCGGTAGACGCCGGTTCGGGGGTCGACGAGGGTACCGTGTGGTGGGGAGCCGGCGACACGGGCGAATTGCTTGAATTGCCAGCCGCTAGGATGTCAGCTATTGCCTTCTGCCCAATTCCCTGACAGACAAGGAAGCTCACATCCACGACAACTTCTCCTTATCCGCCAACTCCAACACCCGCTTCAACCTCCTCGGTCCCTGCACATACTCGACATCCCACTCGGTCAACATCCTGCCCCCTCCGAGCCGCTTGGCCTGGTACACCCCCTTCGTGATCGCCGTTTCCATAGTGAGCGAGTCGATCGCGTTCGGTCCGTAAGAGTGGAACGAGAACACGCTCTTGTCTGGCCGGTCCCCTGGCGTCTTGGTGAACCCATCGCCCAGACTTCCGCCTGAACCCGCGACCGGTTCCCAGAAGATCAGCCCGCGCGAGTCATATTGCCGAATGACAGCCTCGACGCGGTCGTACATGGGTTGAAGGAAGTTCTTGTCGGTCCGATCCCGGGTGAGCCAGGCTAGGGGGAAGTGCAGGGTCGAGCGGGCGGCGACGAAGGGTTCATTGATGATTTCTGGTGGTCAGCGAGAGACAAAGATATGGGAAGGGGGACGTACCATATCCGATAACGTTGTTCATCCCCGTGAACGTCTCTGCCAGCTTTCCCCAGAAACCCACAAACTCGTCCTGCACCCCCTCGTAGTTGGTGTACAGTCCCCAGAACGCCCGTGTGACCGAGTCCGAGACGTAGTGGAACCCCCACGAATCGGTGTAGTTCATGTTCGTGGGCGCCGAGTCCGCGCCCAGGAGGGGGTCGTACTTTGCCCTCGCGAGCCCATGGACTGGCATAGGGAACGGGAGGGTGTTCCAGTCCCTCGTGATAGCCCATGATGGCGCGCCATCCCCCATAAACTTCTCTGCAAAGAGGTCTTGGTGACACTCGATAATGACGTACAGCCCCGCGTCTTCCCAGGTCTGGACCATCTGGCGTATCCTCGCCAGATACTCTGTGTCGAACCCGTCTGAACCCCGCCGGGGTTGTACCGCCGCCCAGGATATGCCCAGCCGGATGACGTTGAGGTTGAGCTTGTCGAGGAGCCGCAGATCGTCCTCCGCGAATGAGCTGACGGGATTGAAGGCGTCAATCATGGGTAGGAATGGGGCGATCTTATAGGATAATGCCATCCCCCGGAAGATGCGCACCCGGTTCAGCTCGTCGTAGAACATTCCATTGTCCTTATCGACGTGCGTGATGGCAGGGAGGACCCGCTTGGACGTCCGGACCTCGTCAGTCCGATTCCGCGCATCCTGCGTATTGTTCCCGGTCCCGCTATGTGGGTTGTACCCAGACCGCTCGAGAGCCGGGTTGGTGTATATTATTTTGGGATTGGGATTCGACATGGGAGGGAGTGCTTTGAAGGTGGACGAATTGGAGGTGGAGTAGAGGCGGAGAGGAGGGGTGTAGGGTCGAGGTGGTCGAGGGGTTCCCGTTCCGGTCGGTACTGGTCTGGCCCGTGCGTGGAGGTTTTGGTCGGCGAGGGGTAAGGGGTTGGCGGATGCTGCCTCTGACAGCGAGGAGAGGACGAGGGAGAGGAGGACAACGACTCGAGTAGGGGAGAATGGGGAGAGCATGGTCTAAAGGTAAGAGAGGGGGGAGGGGAGATGCGGATCTCGACGTTGGCCGCTGTGGGTGGTGGCGATGACGCGGGTAAGGTTTATTGATCGTATCGCCGCCGATGCCCGAGGTTACTTGTCTGCGTCAGATTGAGACGATGGCGATGGCGGGTAGATTATAAGGCATGTATTGTAGTATGATTTGGATGAGACAAAATAATAACAAGGAGCACGGGAGGTATGAATTACTCCTGTACAGCCAAAGGATGTAAGCGTGTACCAAGTGAGGGGGATGACAAAGGTGAGGCCGAGGTACGTAGCCGAGCGACGCGGCGACCTAACAAAGCCGATCACTCCGTTGATGTAGACCTCCGGTACGCCGTCGGTGGAGAAGGAGCTGTAGCTAGCTGACGGGAGAGGCAAGGGGAAGGATACGTCGATAGCGCGGGGACTGGAGCTGCTGACGCAGGACTGGCAAGGTCAGAAGGAAGGAAGCCGCTCGAGAGCGCCCAGATCGGAATGCAACGACGCAGATGTACATCGTTCAGCTTCTCTATCTCTCCTCGCTGATCCCATGCTTCTCTGACTGAGTGACACCCCTGCGACCATGATGCATGATGGCTGATGGCATATATGTACAAGCGGTGCAGCAATAAAGCCGGGATGATCGCCTCTGGACCTCGTGCGGGGCCCGCGGAGGCCTCGCAAGGCCTCGCTCAAACGTTAAATCAGTGATCGACGCCGTCTCGTAAGACCGCTTCCAGATGAGTGGCAGCTAGTCCTGCACTGCTGTTCTGCACCTGCGGCATGCAGCGGCTACACGAGGAGCACAAGGCAGCAAGAGTGTGATAACATAGATGCCGAAGTGATGAGTCTACTACAGACACCCGACAGATTGCGGAGCGTTCGATACTACTGATCCCCCTTGTACGGCCTAATGAGAAGCGGCAGATGATACCCCTTGGTCTTGAGCTCGCCATTGACATACGGCCTCGTACTGATCCTATCTCATCAGCCCAAGCCTCCGCCTCTGTCATGACCTCTGACTCACATATTCGTTTTGTACACCTTCTTTCCCGGAACAGCCCCAAACTCAAACTCTCTAATCAGCGTATACAGCATGATCTTCATCTCCATGATTCCCAGCCTGTACCCCACACATCGCCTTGGCCCATCAATGAACGTCATGACGTTGCTCCATACCCCAGGTCCCTCGCCTACACTGGGGGGTACGGCCGTACCTGTCACCAGTGACGGGTTGGAGGGATCGCCCCGCACAAGCCACCGTTCCGGCTTGAATTCGCGCGCGTCGGGACCCCAGATGGACTGGGCCATATTGAGATTCTCGATGGGTAGGTGGACGATTTGGCCTTTACGGATAGGGACGGAAGTAATGGTTTGGCCGGAAAGGGTAATGATGGGGTGTTGGAGGGGGATGATGTCGTCTTCGGTCGCTTCCCGGATCTAGAGATCAGCTATAGTTCTGGGCAAGCCGAGGCCACGTACCGTTCCTGGAATTGAAGGGAAGCAACGCAGCATCTCTCTGACTACCGCGTCGAGGTATGGCAAGGCGTCCATCTGCTCATACGGCAGCGAATCGCCATAGCCCAGGCATTCTGTCCGAAGTGTCGTTTGGATATGCGGGCTGATGGCTATTAAGCGAAGACCGAAAGACATGACATTGCTAGATCGATCAGCTTTGGCTCTCTCGCTGACTCCAGGAAACCTGAAAGCTGATGGGGGACTCACGCTGTAGTATCCGTCCCTGCAAACATGAACGTCGCAAGTTGACCCGTGATCTCCTTGTCCTGCATCTTCTGATCGCTCGAATCCGTTAAGTTCATCGTAGAGCGGACTATACCCATCAGCTACCCTGTTCTGAGACCTGCCCCCGAGAACAGATCGACTTACTCATCAGAGTCAGAAGATCAGGATACCCCTTCTCCTCCCTCTTCCCCTCCTTCATCTCCTGCCGCACTTCCTTGATTCTTTTGCGGGACAAGTCCTCCATCGGTCCCATACCCGCTTCAACCCTACGGGAGTTCTCCGTCGGCTGAATCGGTCAGCTATATCCCCTCGTCTACGGCATTGAGAGCAAGGGTGAAGAGGGGAAGGCAACTCACGAACCACCGATCCGTCCAAGGAAACAATATGCTCATCTCGAACCGTATCCCTGACGCACCAGGAACAAACTGCTGCATCCGGTCATAATTGTGGAACAGGTGTCCACCCTCTCCATCCCAGTTTCCCGTCGAGTCAAAGTTGTGTCCGATTCCGATCTGGCCGATGAGGTCGAAGAGCATGCGCGAGACGGCAGAGTAGATGTCGATCTCGCGGGTCTGGTCTTTCCGGCTGTTGGCCGGTAAGGGGTACGCGGGAGAGGGAGGAGGAGCTGTTGGAATACCCGAAGAGGAGGGAGCAGGCGTTGGGTGGAGTGGTGCGTATGGAGAGGAGTGGTCTTGATTGGTCGTGAGATCGAGGAGGATATCGCGGAACTGCGGGGTCAGCTCGAGCCCAATGACCCCATCGACCCCCCGCTTGACCACTTTCATGCTCCCCACGCCCATAAGAGATCCTCCACGAAGAAGTTCAAGCTCACCTGAGCCACTTTTTCTTGAACCAAACCCCCGTAACTCCGCAGCGCACCCCCACTAAACAGCTTCTGTACAACCTTCCTCTGCTCCTTGTGCCTCTCGCCCTCCGCCGGGATCAGCCCCTCTTTCATATACCTGCACAGAAGCGCACGGAGGAGATCCGGCTTGCGGTACTCGTACGGCTTGGATAGGACATGCGTGACCGCTCGAGGATCGATGGTCCAGAGTCGGTGGTGCGCCCAGAACATGCCTTGGACGCGGAAGGTGGCGCCTAGTGAGGCGATCCAGGAGTCCATCTTGGCGTGATTGTATAGGCTATGGCATCAGCTACCTCCAGAACGCCGACTGACTGAGCGTGGGAATGACAGAGGTTGAAGCTCACTCTACCACCTCGGCATAGTGCCCGCCTAAGCTTGTCCCGCCTGGGGGTTTCTGCAAATTCTTCAAAGGCGACGACCATGGTCGGTAGACGAGGTGTCTGAACAGCCAAGCAGCGCAGTACGCGAAGATCAAGAGCGCCACTTCTTCCTTGGTAGGCAAGCGGAGATGCGCCGCGCCCACGGGAAGGTGGATGTTGAGCTTGGTGGACATGGTTTGTCCAATATCACTATCGAGCGGGTTTCCACGAGCTCTCTTTCACGCGGAGCCTTACTGTGGTGAAGTTGCGATATGATACCGTAGACGAATGTGAGAGGTGGACGCATGCTGTATGGGTTCATGATGACTTGTAAAGAAGGTTGAGTGAAGAAGCAAGGGCGCCTTTTGTTCGGGCTCGCGAGGAATGTGGAGTTCGCTCGCGGCCGCAAGCGGCAGCTGGCTGCTGGCAGGACCGCTTGGGATGTCCCGTGCTTATGGGGCCTGGTGTAAGCGCTCGGAAGAACGATGCCAGCGTATAGGCCTATCCATTTCTGATGCTCGTACCGCGCGCAATCTTGTCATTCGTCCAGTGTCATTCATGCGCGTCATCGACTTCTGACAATATCCCCTCAATACGCCACACCTCTCTCCTTACCATCCGCCCAACCACCAGCTCTTCTGCTTCTTGACACCTCCCATCTCCCCGTCTGCCGCACGAGCCTCGACCGGCTGAGCCTTGGTGTCGCCGCCCTAGGACAGTCAGCCGCAGTCACGAGCTTTACAAAGGGGAGAGTAGCCTGTCACCGATGGGGATCACAGCCATAAAAGTCGGAATGTGGGAAGAGCTGCCAGACATACCTGAGGCGATGGCAGACCCATACCCTTCATCTTCCTCTCCCTCATCTCTGCTACACCAACACCACCGCCCGAGGTTCCGTCCTGCTCGTCGGGGTTTGAACGGGTCTTGACATTGTGGTCGGCTAGATGATCAGCAACGCGGTCCTCCATACATATCAATCCCTTGGAGGGTGGGACATGGTGGTATGGTAAGACATACCTGAGTTGCCCCGCTTTGCCTCGGCAGTTGTTCCGGCAATAGACTGCGTGTCGTGCTTCACAGGTGAAGCGCCGCCATATCTCAATGCAGTGTGCGGCTGAGTTGACGAGCTGTAATAGTCAGCATGTGAAAGACGTTGTGATTCCAGTAGCAGTAGCTGATTCTCCGGTCCATCATATGCGCTTGTGGCGCAGATGCACGAGGAGGGGATCCGCAACTCACCCAGACTCATGCTGACCATCCTTCATGTTCTGGCTTCTTCCCTCCGTGACGGCGGCGGGCGCAGGTCCCTTGCCAGACAGCTCCTGCATTGGCTGGTTCCAGATATAGATACCGCCGATGACACCTGAGCCTATCAGCACGGCTGATTCCCATTTAGACCGCTCGCGGGCGGGAGAAGACAATGCTTACCGACACCGCCGGCGAAAAGAACGGGGAGTAGTCTTGATGAGGACATTATGGTGAATTTCTCGGTCTATGAGTCTGCTGTCGTACTGTGAGTTCTGGGTGGAGCGTGAGCTGCTTGTATAGAGGGATATGTTTGAATTATCAAAGAGTCTTGCACGAGAATGAGCTCGATGGGTCTTCATGCAGTGACGATCCGCTATGACGTCAAGCGTGACATCGACAGCCGATCACGCTCGAATCCGTGCGCATGAAACTCCACATTCCTCAGAGTGTGGCGGGACAAAGCCAGTGCCACACTAGTCTGTTCCGGCTCCACCTACTTGAGCGAAGTAGGGGGAGTATGTGAAAGGTAGTCTTGCTCGCAGGCTCGACCGCCTGGACATATAAGCTGGACTGGGGGTTTGCGTTTCCCCATTTGCCACTCAGTCCTCCGACCCTCCTTTCCGCAAGTACTCGTCGTGCGTCAACTGAGTCAACCATAGAGTATACAGACCAACAGGTATCTTCCATATTGGCTGTCGGGTCAGCGCTATCCACATCACTGCACCCATATTCGCTCTCTCTGATTCAACCTGCCGTCATGGGCGATGAGTTCATACACTGGAAACCCGAGCAGGCGGAGCAATCTTGCGGTTCTGAGTTTGACAGCATATCTGAGAGCAGTGATCCCGTCCTTTCCACCACCCTACTTGTACGCGCGCCGCCAACTTTCTCAGAGATCAGATACGAGCTTCCCGATCGCCGTACCAAGACGATCGTCCAAGGCCTCCTTGACGGGGATCCCGAAAGCCAAGGCAAACTCTCCCTCTTTGACATTGGAAGGATCATACCCCCTTCCTCTTACGAAGTCAACTCCGCTATCAGCGATGCCTTGAAAACCTTTCTGCAAACGGGGGACCATGGAAATCTTGCGATACAGCTTGAAGACTACCGAGTGGAGGAGGAACTCAGAGATGACGAGAGAGACAGGATGATGAAGCGGCGCCTCGCTCTCGAAGAGGCCGAGACTCTGGGAAAGAAGATCTGCAGGCGAATGATTGCCCTGGGGCCGCTGTCCGCCGACGCTCTGGATACAAGCGGACGTGCAAAGACACTACAACTCATCAAGTCAGGTTTTGGAAATAGGAGTCTGCTCGACACGTACTTTGAAGCAGAGGAAAGTCCAGCCGCCAATCACCTTCTGAAGGTAACCACACACACGCACAGCTACGAAGATGATGAAGAGGAAGAGGACTCACAGACTGATCCGGTGTGGCTATCCGAGAAGAAGGCCCAGGCCGCGCTTGCACTTCTCAGAATGGACTCGGAGGAGATCGGGGAGTTCCAGCCATTTGTACGGTCAAGCGACATGTTGAAGACGGAGGCTACTCTGGGGCGGCGGGCGCAGAGGATCGAACTCTCACAGCTTTTGGTGACAGGAGAAGAAGAGTGGTACCCCGGGTATCTGACCACAGTGGTCATCCAGCTTTATGAGGCGTCGGAGGACGGTCCTACACTCCGTCGGGTGCACGGCGAGGACGACCCACTGCGAGACCAGTCATCGGAACAGAGCGAGGACTCCGGCTCGACGGGCGATCTGAGCGGAGTGGTCGAGCTGTAGGGGGCTGCCGATGTGTGTTCGATGTGTGTAGTATGGTCTGTGTGGATTTGCGGCACGGTGCCGCAGTGTATTACAAGGCCAATCAGTACTTTATGCTCACATATGCAAAGTCGGGACTAGTTTATCGTTGCTGCATTGGCCTCTTGGGGTCTAAGAGGCCCACTTTGAGAGGGACCCTCTTCTGTTAGTCTACTGTGAGAAACCAGATCTGCTCGCATCGGGACGGGGCGTAATGTTCAGCGTGTAACTATATCAGCAAAGATCCCTTGTTTGGGTCTAAATGCAGAGTGGCGAGGGGACCGAGACCAAAGGAGTCTTTTGCGCTAGGATCGATTCACCGACGATATAGGCTCGATCGTAGGCGTAGCCTCTTCCTCACCCGCCTCTTCACATTTGCCACTTCGTTCTCGACCCCCTTTCTCATACCTATCCCTGTCCCGCATATCTCTCAATACCTACCTACCATGTCCCAAGCAGCCCTCGACTTTAGCTATAGTATGATACTCCCCATACGATCACGAGTACCGGAGGATGCGAATCAAGCGACTGTCGACACTCAATCTCGCGAAGTAGGCGCTATCCAGCCCAGCTCATTGGATGGAAGCTCGGCTGACAAAGACGGGCACGAATGGCCCCGACTGCTTGTCAGAGGGGTCTGCAGACGGGCTCGTGGATGGCATGACATCTACTCGTGCTCCGCCGTCGTCACGGAAGGCTCTGGTACGCAAATAGCCAGCCTCGTGGCGGAAGGTCCCCGCAGCAGCTCACTGTTCACGGCAGGAGATCAAAGTCTACAAGCGATACTGACTGAACTGGAGAATGCCGGTCATCGCAAGTGTGACGTGCTCGAGGAGATGATGGAGGCAGTCAAGGACTTTCTGACCACGGGCCAGAGGTTGGAACGCCGGCAGACTTTCTTCCAAGCGGACGAGTACTATGCGCCCAAGACGCCGCAGTGGGAGGTTGTCCTTGTGGGAGAGGACGAAGGGCCCTTGACAACCACACTTCGCATCGAGCTCCGTCGACCGGAACAGCTCGTGGAGAGGGATCACCTCGCTATCGCAAGGGCAAAAGGGGTCATCCGGCGATTGATCAGCCTCGGGCCCTCCGCTGCGCTCAGCAGGGAGCGTTTGGGAGTTTTGCGGGACATCATTCCTCGCTTTGAGAGCTCGGAGGTCAGAGAAAGAGTGGAGGCGATGTTCACCAACGAGGTCGAGGATATTATCCCCGAAGACGACTATCTCCTGTACACCAGCATCCAGGATCAGTTTTACGGAGAGGCAGAAGCGCCGGTCTCCAGGCCCGATATCGAGCTATCAAGGAAGCAGGCAGAAGCGGTCTTGAATTTGCTCAATCTCGTCCAGAAGGGCGTTCAAGGCAGATTCAAGCCTTTCTCGTCATCCGCTGTCAGTGAAGACCAGCTAGACACAATGATGGAGATTTTGGGTGAAGAGGCGCAGGAGTCCCAATTGAAGCCATTCCTGAGGGACAGCATTTGGTCCGAGGATGTTACAAAGGTTCGGTTCACGGTCGAACGTATCTCGAGGACGGACGCTTCGGACAGGGACCGCATCTACGAGGATTACGCATTTGAGGAGGGCGAGCCCGAGAGTGGCTCCGAGGATCCGATGAGCGAGTGTGGGAATGAGTGAGACGAAGCAAATGGTGCGAAGGGGACTTTTTTGTGTAGGGATGACGCATAGCCGGGTCATGTGGGCCATTGAGGGGTGTCAAACGCTACACATAGATATTCAGGTACATTTCAGCAAGAGAGGTCTGTATAGCTATACCGGTAAATACGCTTCATGAGAGATGTCAGTCCACGATGATATCAGGGTGAGTATGGTCTGGAATTGTGTCCATGCAGGTATCATCGGTGGACCGCCACAGCCGGCCACATCTCTATTAAATGTGCCTGACAGAATGTTCTCGACAATCGGGCATTTTGAATATCGGTGCGGCGAGCTCATACACAAGTGCATGGTGGGTACTAGTAGAAAGCACCAGCACAATGTTCGCCTCCTTTGACCACATCAGCGTTTGATATTGTCCGCGGGGTCCTGCAAAAAGGATGGATCAGTATTGCCGCAGCGCTCACTCGCCCCATATACCCCTCTCTCGAGGCATCCTCCCCTCCTCCTCCTACTCCACCTGCAGTTCCTCCCGCCGCCCCATTCCAACGCAGAATTGTCAGACACTACGACCCTGACAACAGATACACCCACCGCAGCTCCACTCTCGCACAATGAGTTCCTATGACCTGTACGTGACCTTCCGGGGGGACCCTGACCCGGATCGTCCGACGGAGGAGCCCACCGGAATAACGGTCGCGTGTCAGCTTCTGCATCACAGGCTGGCTCTCTGCCTCAAGGAGGCGACGGCGGAAGGCAGAACCGAAGACTCTGACTTGGTGTCCAAGGAAGATCAGCGCCTCAGGCAACTTGTCCCCACTCTGGAGAGCTCCATGAAGCCCGTGGATCCGGTCCCGCACTCTATCGGAGACATGATCACTTATCGCGTCCCGAAGTTTGTGTCTGACGCCGTCGAGAGTGTGGTTACCACTGGCAAGCTTCCCTCCAACAGCAAGGTCACCAGAGTGTGGGTGGCCGAGCGTGCGGCCAAGATCGCCGAAGAGGATGAAGATACGTGAGCGCGAGCGAGCAAGGATGGATTATCGCGCGGATGAGAATGGTAACGCGAGGGTCGAGGCGAGTGGGATCCCGCATGTACGTAGAGATCGTAGACGAAGATGTGAATAAGTGGTCTGTATCAGCCCACTCCCAGATTCAGTGGACCACGTCAGTGATCAGAATATCGAGATGCTGCTGGATGCCTGTCAGCTTGCGAGGTGTCGAACGAGCCTCACGAGGGGCAAGCATTCCTCGTGATTTATAGGAAAGCGCGCAGCCCTTGCCGTTGTGGCGCAGCGTATCGAAAGCGGTGGCCGCCTTTGCACGACGCCAGTGCACTGATGTGAAGCTGTTATGACCGATGTGCGTGAAGCGACCGAGGACGAGTCAAGAGGCAGGGCTGATAATTGCGGCCCTAGCCTGTGTCGGTTCCCGCGCGGCAACTGGGACAATCACTGAGCACGTCAGCGAAACCCATCGAAAGGCGTGCAATTCGCGAGCTTGCTTTCGCGCTTCACGTTATCAGCAATGGGGAACGCGGATGTAAGGAAGTCAGTAGGCCCATTAGGCTCTGCGTGCTGTACATGGCCAAGCCCCCCTCTTGCTTTTCCCCTCGAGCACCCGGACCCTCTGCCCGTGAACCTGCTCGGCACTCGCTCCTCGACAAGCACACTGGAATACCATCGATGCCTCCAAACCTCAAGCGACTTTTCCCGTTAGCTGGCTCGGAACGATCCCGTCGTGAAAGACATGCTGGCTCCGAGCTCTCAACGAGCGCTACTGCGTCACAAGACCTCAGCATCGGCCCCCACATCCCCCCGAAGGCCTTTGTCAACTAGCTGTGCGTGGCCACCCAGGGTGAACAGCCTGACAGAACCATTGTGGAGACCCGCAAGATCGAGGACGAGCTGATGGCCGATAAGATTACCGATGTCTTGACCGGCGATACCAAAGACTTCCTCGGCGAATACGACAACGAGATCTGGAGCTTGATCACCAGCTTCAAGGACCCGGACGTCAGAAGGGTGTTGTGCAGCTTGTTCATTCACGGAGCAGCCGAGAAGAACAGCGCTATGATGAATGTCTCCGTCATACGCGAAGCAGGCGTCTTGATCGGCGACGATTCATCTCGGTTCTTCCAACCGAACGGTGAATCGAAGATGCGAGTGAGCTGGACTTGGACTGTTGTTCCCGAGGAGTCGGGGTGGTGATCAGCAGTGCTCAGTCAGACCAGTGAGACTGGGGTGGTCAGTCATTCAGTACGATCCTTTCCCCAATCAATGCATATTAATTTTCCAGGACGTACTGCTTAGACGAGGTCCGGCTCGCGAACTCTCCCAACATTGGCCAGCTTAAGCAAACCGGACCTCCGGGTCGGCTTTAGATTGCCGGGGGCGCGAGACTGTCAGGGACGTGTAGGCGTTCGCGTGACACCTCAATGGCGGGGGCTGATCAACGATAGGATCAGGTGTGCAGAGGACGAGGTGGTGAAGCGAGATCCTGCGCGGCTCTGTGGCCGAGCGCGGCCTAAACGGGCGTGTCCGGACAGGCTATGTCTTTTGGCCGGTAGGCGGCCCCTTGAAGCCTTGACAGATAAAGTAGGCCTCACTCGATTCTGCTGTATCAGCACAACCCACAGAGGACATGTGCTGCGAGGGACATACCGCTTCTCGACTCCTTGGGCTTCTCCACCGACACTTTAGCGAACCACGGCTCGAGCTCTTCCTTCCTGAAAGCCTCCAGGTCGGGATGAGCGAAGAATTTGAGGCTTCCCAGGTCAGCTACTGTCGGCTTGGGCATCTGGCAGAGTCCGATCGACAGCGGAGACCACTCACACCATGTTTCCGCCAGGATACACCTTCCTCCCCTTTGCGATCTTACCCTCAGTCTTCTTCACCTCCTCCCCATGTGCTTCGGCAGGTCCTCCATCTCCATGTCCATGATCCTCTCCTTCTTGGCCTCCAACGACCAACACTTCCCTCCCAAACTCCGCCGCTGCCCCGCACAAGTCCAAACTAGCCTGAACGTCCCTCCCCCTCACCCCCGACATCGGCGCCATCATATCGCTGAGCACCGTATCCACCCCTCTCTCCCCTCCCCTTCCACCGACCATCTCCCTCACTCTCCTCTGCACCCCCAAAGTCAGGAAGTCCCCCTTGAGGATAGACACCCCCGGGATAGGCTCCATCGGCGATATATCCACCGCTATGACCTTCCCTCTACTCCTTGCTCCTCCCTCTCCGTCGCTTCCAGGACCTGAAGAGCCGCTACGATTAATAGCGACCTGGCTCCACCCGCCTGGAGCGGCGCCGAGGTCCACAACGGCCTTCCCGCGGCTGAGTAGAGCGGGGTACTTTGCCGCGAGCGAGACGAGCTTGAATGCTGATCTGGAGCGATAAGATTCGGCGGGCGAGGATGAGGATGAGGAGGATGGAGAGGTCCGGAGACGGACGTAGGGGTCTTGCTGTTGTCGTGCGAGCCAGCGGTTGGAGGAGCCCGAACTGGACTTCCAGAGCCGGGTGGACGCCCGCATGGTCCCTCCTCAGTTGCAGGAACAGGGGCCTGAGCTTAATAGAGCATGCTAGGTCTATGGCGTCAGCTGATCCGTTCAGTGAGGAGACCCGAAAACTGGCTACTTGCTCAGAGAGGATGACGGGAGGAAAGGCAAAGTATAACGCCAAAGTTGAGATTTCCCCCACTTCACTGATCACTGAGGGGGAGGCTGGCTTTGACCCTGGAGCGGTGAGCGGCTGATGCGCCTCTGCCTGGGCATGAATCGTACAGAAGGACCGCTGTAAAGATGACATAGCTCTATTGTACATGAATCTATCTGCTTGTCCAAGTATGCCTCTATCGATACCAAACAAAGTGCCCGAGACCCCAAACAACCAGAGTTTCCCAGCGATACAAGTCTCCCTCATGTCCGAAACATCCTCCCCGCCGCCGCTCGTTACTACACCCTCGCTGATAAGCCCCAAGCTGCACCGCCCACATCCCTTCTCTTGTTGCCCCCTCTTACACACTCCCCATCGCCCCTTCCTAGCCCTTAACCGCTAGTGCGTTGTCGGCCCGAGGTCCAGATCCGGCCACGCCGAGAAATTGTACCCCTTGTCCCAATCCAGCGCATCGACCGCCACTCCCTCTGTCCCGTCCACCCCATCGCCCGACGTATCCAGCCCTTGGCTACTCGACGATCCCTGAAGCGACATCCCGAAATTTGGCTGGATGATGGACGACACGCCAAACGTCGGGACTTGTACGCCCGAGCTGGCGCCCACCCCGACCCCGACGCCCGCCAGCTTGCGCTGTTGCTGTACCGTATGATGTGACTGGGATTGCTGTTGTTGCTGTTGCTGCTGGAGCTGATGTTGCCGTTGAATCTGTAGTGCCGCCTGGATCTGTTGTTGCCGTATCCCCGACGCTTGGAGCTGTTGCGCCAGCTGAGCCTGCTGCGATGCCGAAAGCTTGGGGCTGGTGGACACATCCGCGAGTGTGCTGGGTCCGCCGCCGAGGTCCGCAAGCGATGGGTCGATATTGGGGTCGAGGGTGTCATTGAGACCCGTCCCGTCCGGTAGAGCTTGCGAGACGCCCGTGTGCGCCGTCAATTCGGGCGACCCCTCCCCCTCCCCTTCCAGCCCTTCGTGCGCGCCATACGCATCCCCTCCGCCGCCCACTGACATGTCCCCAAAGTTGGCATCCATCCCGCCAGCCCCCTCTGCCGCTGCAGCCGTGACCGCCGCTATCAGCGCCGCGTTCGTGTCCGCCACCGACGATGATTCCGCATGGTACACCGAGTCCATATGCTGGAGGTTGAGCTTGGTGCCCATCCCCGCGACCTCGAGCAGTCCGGCGCTCCCCATATCGTCCGCTGCGCGATCGCGTATAGCCTTGGTCCGCTTTCCTGGACCCCGCCGGCGCACCGCCTCGTCCCATTGGCACGCCTCGTTCCGCTTGTGGCAATTTTCGCATGTAGGGCGGATACCGTCGCACTTGAGCTTGCGTCGCCGGCAAAAGTGGCATGCTAGTTGGAGTTCTGGACGTCAGCTAGTGACACAGAGAGGTCCAGGACGGACATTACGACCCCTGGAAGCATGGCCGAACTCACTTCTCTTCCGCGGCTTCCGCATGGGCTGATCATCCCCGTCCTGTGACCCGCTCATCATGGGTGGCTCTTCCACCTCCCTGCTCAATCCTGACCCATCGTCAAGCGACATCTCCCCTCCCGCCTCGCTCGCAAAGAACTCTGCCGCGATAGACGCGTCCCTGTCCAGATCATCGAGCTGAGTGTGGTCATGCTGGTGTTGGTCATGGTGGTGGGCTTGATGTACGTGATGTTGTTGATGCTGGTGTTGATGCTGGTGGTGGATGTCATGGTGGGCGATGTTGTCGACCAAGGTGGGGTCTAAGGGGTATGAAGAGGGAAGACCGGGAATGGATCCATCGTCATGGCTATCCATTCTGTCTGATCGTGACTGCTTCCGCGCTGCTTGTGGCTGCTGGCTGTGTGGACTTGCACGGTGGGGGAGGAATGGTTGGGTGGGGGATATCTGATACCGCTACAGAGGACGGAGGTATATAGATCAGTGAGAGAGACGGAGACAAACAAGCGGAATCAAGCTGTCAGTGGGTGGCAAATCTAGTGCGGCGGCGTTACCCGCTACGGTCACGCGGCGATATCGCCGGAAGTGGCAGTTTCCAGTCAGTGTGGCACTAGCAGGCGAGGAATGTGGCAATCGGTGGCGGACTCGCGCCCAGTGGCGAGTTCAGATCAATGCGTATGCGTATGTGTATGTGCGGGTGGGGCCGCAATTAGCTAGAGCTGGACACTGGATGGTATCGCGTGTACACAGTGCATAGCATAAAGCGGGAACCTGAAATGCTCGTCCCCCTGAGTCCCCATCAATCCAAAACCGTTGAGGGTTCGTCTCCGACCAGTTGGTACCTCTCGGCACCTTGTTCCAGCATCTCATTCGTAAAGCACGCTGGAAGATGCCTGAGATTGATCACTGGCAGCCTGACTTCCTCCACCATTGTACCTTCTTGTGCGAACATGGCTGCAGCCTTCCCGACAATCGTCTTGTATTGAGATCTCAGATCCGAAAATGCCTTCGGCCAACTGCTCACTGGCATGTCGGCAAAGGGCATGCCCGCGAACAGGCTGCGCGATCCCCTCTGAGACAGGCCTGAGCTCATGGGTATGGTGACCTTTCCAGCGAGATCTCTCCTCAGCCGCACCGTACTGGCCACATCCTCCAACCCACCAATCACCTTCCGGGAGTACTTCAGATTGGGGCCGAAACTGTCCGGGTTGACCGTCTCCCCTTCTTCGCCCATAGAGATCGAAAAGTGGGTCATGTACCGCAAGTCGCCATCTTCAGTGAGACCGACCGTGGTGGTTGGGTCAAAGATGACCAGCTGCGTCTTCTCGTATCCCTCCCCCGGACACGCCGGTAGCTCGTACCGGTGTTTCTGGAAGAAGGAGTCCTCTCCCCGGCAATCCTCCGTCGCACTGTCGTGCTTCACCCAGGACATTGGGTCTTGTTTCGTTTCTTCCATCCAGTCCCTTCCTCCGCCTCCCTCCGCCTTCTTGAGCGTGTTGAGAATCAGCTGCCCGACCGAGGCGCAGAAGTCGTCGAGCTTGTGTACCTTCGCCAGCATCTCGTCTCCCGGCTTGCTCGAAGTGATGTTAACCTGGTCAAATGCGTCAGACTCTTCAGCCAGGAGATGCTTGATCGCCGCGAAGATCTGGTCTTCCAGCAATCTCTGGTTGGTCTCATCCCTTTCCAAGGTGATACTTCAGAAGATCTCGGGATTGATAGTGATCTGCGGCTGCTGATCCTGTCCCTCGCCCGGGCCGGCCATAGTCATGAAGAAGCAAGGCATCATGCAAGCAAGACTACGCCCGGACTCATCTGCGACCACGATCTGCCGAGCCGAAGAGACGCAGAGCGATGTGTCGACGGGAATCTCAAGGGTATGCTGACTGGGAAGCGCGTTGACGATGTACTGCTCCAACCCCTGCAGGATCGACGTGCTGTAAGTCGAGAAAGGTAGCGTGTCTTCCTGAGCATTGGGGTGAGACATGATAGACGGAAAGGGTGAGTATCAGCGAGCCAGGATAGGTGAGTAATAAGGAGCAAGGCGATAAGGGTCGCCCTATCTAATGTATGCCGCAGCTCCAGCTCGCCGGTACTTGATATCCTTTGTCCCGTCTCATTACTGGCGGCGAAAGGATCCAGCTGGACTGGCGATCGCGTGATCGAGAGACTCCTCCAATGCCTACTGGAAGGTTCCATGCGGCTACGTCTATCATCGGTGCAGTTCAGACGGTAGGCGACAGGAACGGTTACTGGTGACGCTGGAGTGTGACCTTCTGCAGCTTGGCATGGTCGAGTACAGCCATCGCCGCAGAGATGGCAGCCGTCAGTGGACACGCTGCCATCAGCCATGTTTTTTGACCGCCGTGATCGTGATGTGAGCTGCGGTCACTGTAGATACAGTCAACTCACAGGAGCTTCGTGTCATCATACTAGTATATTAACTCGCAGTGAGATCATTACAAAAATCCCATTAACTCGCAGTGAGATCATTACAAAAATCCCCCGAAAGTAGACATCCTAATAAGGCTTTCTTCATTACGAGAGCTCCGCACAGTACCTGCGCATCTACTAGCATCTACCTCGACCTACCTTGACCTGTCGATTATACGAGTACACAATAAGAAGCACACAGAACTGCGCTCCGATGCACGAGCTTCGGAGTACCATCTCTCACCTCCGCGCGCTCGCGACCTCTGTGGCTAGCTTACCTTCACCCCGATACCCACCAAGACCTCTCAACAATGGCTGCGATCAACGATAATCTGCAGACCGCAGTGCCCGAAACACAGGCTTTTCGAGGGCGGGATATCCGAGTCCCTCACTCGATCTTCTTGCGGACAGCATGCCATCCTGCTGTCAGTGGCAAAGGTACGATTAGGGTAGAAGTGCAGGGCGGGTGAGTCCGGCGACAACCCAGACCTCACAGTCGGGACTGACTCTGGGCCTAGATCCACGGTACTCATCCGGTCACCCTCTACTCTGTATGATGGATCACTGGGGCCTCATGGAGGGGACGAGGTGCTCAGCGGGACCATCGAGATCACGATGAAGGAGCGACGGCGGGTGCAAGCGATCAGCGTCGTGATTCAGTCAGTCTCCCGGCTGTACATGGGCGGGAGCAGGGGTTGGGAGGAAGACGGGTTATTCGAGCGGGGAGTGGAGATCATCGGCGAGGATGCGTATGGCGAGGCTTTATGGCTCGATCAGGGAACTACATCGTGCGTCTTCTCCTCTTGTGGAAATGCTGATTGCTCACGAGACGCAGATACTCCTTTTCTCTCCTCCTCCCCGTCTCCCTTGCTGCGTCCGACCGTCATATCTTTGGGCGACTTTCCTACCTCTTGACAGCGCGGATAGAGGGTATAGACCCTACCCCTTCCCGCTTCGGCCTACCCCTAGCGACCCATATCACCACCCCTGTCATTGGCGACGACATACGCTTCAAGCAAGATTTCGAGCGGGTCATCGAACACTCGAATAAAGCCGAGAGGGCGCTTGGTCGCTTCCGCACGGGAGATGGGAAACGGCCTGGCGGACTACCGACCGAGGCGCAAAGGCGAGCGTCCGAGCTGTCGATGGCGAGGACTTGCGAGGCCGACCCAAGATTGGACGGGCTGTTCCAGCAGCAGGTCATCCGCAATGATGGCTCGTCCGACGCCAGAGAAACGCCTAAATGGCTCAAGGGGGACATTGTCATCAGCCAAAACATCTCGATTCAATCAAGCGGGCTGCAGAACGAGTCGAGGACCTCGTTGGATATGACAAATCAGGCGTACGAAGAGGGACTGGGTGTGTATCAGGTGTCGATGAGTTCCGACTGTGTAAGTGAATGTCCCGAATCACTCGGAATGAGGCTGATGTTCCCAGTTTGCGGTTGGTGGCGCAGTGATAGTCCGACTCAGCTGCCTCTCGCCCTCCCCTCGGACCGTCATCATGTCGATCGAGGCCTATATCGTGCAGCAATATTATGTCTTCTCGCCTCGTCATCCCAGGGATCCGCCTCGGACAGATGAGCAACCTACCATGACGAGACTGCTCCAGGTGAGATGTGCTGCTTCCAGAGCATGAAGAGGATTAGCTGATCCATCCAGGAAGGCGCCAAAGACTATACAGGATCTGGACCCTCTCCCAGCACTACGCCTTCACTGTACGTTGGTTCAGCCCTCCCCTCGCCGACCGCGGTCTCCGCAGGCACCGACTGGACATGGCACAAGACCGCGAGGATGCCAGACCATCGCGCACTCAGCCCAACAACGCCTAAGGGAATGGTCACTCCTATTCGAGTCGTGCACAATCTCGTCGTCATCATCGACTATGGCGAGGTGGACGACCAAGGGCAATTGATCAGGCGGACGGCTGAATCGCGGATCGAGCTGCAAGTGCCCGGGTGTATGGCGCACACTAGATCGCTCGCTTTACCCACGTGTGAGTACTTTCACCGCACAATAGTCAAGATGATGCTCATGGTACAGACAAAGCGTCTGTGCAAGATCCGACGAGTTTACCCCTCACAAACACCGGGTGCTTGTGCGACACGGATTTCGAGGAGCTGAAGCAGTCGGCCGAGAGCGCCTTGGAACGGTCTGGACCTTGGACGGGTACGAGTACAATTTGTAGTAGCGTCAAGTCTAGTGCTTGATGAAGAGGTTGAAAAGCCGGCTCCGCAGCTTGCAAGCCAACCAAGTAGATCAGGAGTTCAATGAGGCATGGCTTCGCCGTAGTGCGAAGTGCACAGACCCATACCGTAAACCGTCCACGCGCCACCTTACCCCGTGTGTGTCAGATGTCAAACCTTGTTCGATCTTCCTTCCAACTCCCCAAAGGGGACAAAGCGATCCTTCTCGAGGGTTCAGCATGCACTCCTTATATTATGGAGGCTACTGACATTGGTATCTGATCAGCACTTATAGGTCAAGCCATCCGCGGAAATGTTCTCGAAACGATCCCCTGCGACATCCCCACGACACCTCTCCCCACTCCCAGCTTCGGGCACCGCATCGCGCGATCGTTCACCCGCGCGGTCTCGGACCAACTCGCTCGTGACAGCCACCTCGTATGGCTACTCGGCGCCTCCGCCTCGAGCGGTCCAGTCAGATGAGGCACTCAAGACTGCAAAAGTCCTCGAGGGGGTCCTGGGGGCTTGGAATGAGTACCGGCTCGCGGTCATTCAGGAGGGCAGAGCAAGGAGGAGGTTAGCGGGCCTCATGAAGGATCTCAGTGGGCGGATGGAGAGGGAAGGAGTCGGGTGTGAGTCTTTGGCTCTTACTACTGCGTGATATCGGTGGAACAATAGGGTTGATGCTGATTCTGCAGATAAAGCCGTCAAGCCCGCATATCTCACTATCGACGCCCTTTCCGATCTCACTATAGCCCACTCAAAGCGGCTCGAGACTACCTACGACCAAGTCAATACCGAAGCCAGCAGGTATTTCCAGAACCTTGCCAGGCAGGTGAGGGAGCACGAGGCGTATCTGGCGAATGAGGGCAAGAGGGCGGAAAAGTCCGGTACGTGGGCGTGAGCTCGGACCTGATAATTGTGCCACAGGAGAAGAGCTGATGAGATAGAGAAGGCATATAGGAAGGCGTCAAAGGTGATGACGGATGGAGCGATACAGGGGTCAGGGCTGGAAGGGATGAAGGATGCGTTGAAGCTCGAAGTGGACGGGGCTGTCGAGTAAGTCCCTCTTTTCGGGACCGATGTTGGGATCTCCTAATCACCGCGGTGGGAATGGCTATCACTGACGCCTACAGGTATCATGCCAACTTGCTGGGTGATGCACAAACGGCCATTCTATCCAAAGTCGCCTCTGGTCTAGCGGGCGTCATCTCTCCCTCAGTCGGGTACCATTCCGAAGGGCTGAAGATCTCAGTCGAGCGGCTGGGAGAAGTGGAGTACTGTGAGCTCGCCCTCAAAGCTTATAGCGGCAAGGATGAGCGCTGTACTGATGAGTTCAGTCAGGGCTCTCGCGGCAGCTCAATGGCGCGATCTCGCCCTCCCAGAATCGTACCAAGCCACGGCACCTACCATATCATCGCAAGACACCCAGACTTCTACCCGGCCCATTACGATACCTACACCTAGCGAGAAGAGCCAGCAGTCTCAGCAAGACCTCAGGCTGCCGCCCGCACCTGTCAGACCGAGACTAAGCCCCGCTTATGCTTCCTCGCAGTCCAGCTTGGCGCCCGAGATTCGTAGCAGAAACTCACTACCTCCGCCGCCGATGTACGCGTCATCCATGTCTGTCCCGCGAGCAGTAAGCGTACGATCTCTCCACGCTGTGAGACAAATGCTGATATGATAGTCGTCCCTTATGTACCCCTCTTCCGCCTCGACTCTGTCCCCGAGCCCAAACCCCTCTCCCCACCTGCCCTACGCCCAGCCCAGACGCCGGGTCTCCGAGATCGCCGCATCGCTTGAGTCGCTCGCTAAGGCTGCAACTCCCTCTCCTGCCGCAGCTCGGCCACCCGCATCCCGTCGGGTCTCAATGCCCCCTCAGATCGGCGGTGGGATAGGCGGACCTCGACCTCGACCAGAACGCCATGCGACCGCACTCCCGCTCGCGTCCGTTCAGCATCTTGTGTCCAGCACCGCACCCGGTGCCCCAGCCTCCACCACCTCCTCTCGCCAGTCCTCATCGATCCTTTCCCCCTTCTCCCCGACTTCCACCTCATCAGCTACTACCTCACATACAGAGACCGGAACAAATCTGGCGCCGCATGGAGCATTGCGCGGGCGGAAGCTCTCGTTCGGGAGGGACATGCTGGGGTCGTTTCCGTGGGGACAGACGAGTGCATTGGGGGATGGAGGGGATAATGAGGGTGTGGGAGTGCTTCATCCAAGTCCGAGAAGGGTGCCCAGCCTAAGTCCTGAGCTGAGGGGGATGATGATGGGCTAATGCGGAGATATGGGGTGCGGAGGAGGAGAAGTAAGAGGCGGCGGGAATTGCGATCTTTTAGGACGACATCTTATCGAGTTGTGTCGCTTGACTGGTCTGCCAGCTGTCGCGAGCAGTCCACCGTGCATCTGACGTACCTCACTCGTCACACAACCAGAGTACAGTCGGCAAAGTCTGAGGAGGTCTGGGTACTTGGTTAGCAAAGATAAACGGCATAGCTACAATTACTGAACTGAGAATGACGGAGCCTATCGAAACTAAACTCCCAGACCCGCCTGCTACGAAATTTTACACATTCCCGAGGCGCCTAATACCCTATACTAGCTCACGCTGTGACAGGCCAGCTTACTCCTCGTTCAAGCTACCAGTGCGCCCGACGCCACCGGGACCGCGGGCTTGATTCCGTCCGCCTCGACAACATCGTCGTGCTCCTTCGGCTGCTCAGGCACCAGCCTGATAAGGAAGAACAGGCACGGAAGGGCCGCGACGAAGACACCGATGTTGATCCACATGGGCACGTTCTTGTTGGCCGAGTTGGCGTTGATACCGTACGATACGGCCTGACCTGCCGTTTCGAACGCCCTGAAAAGCCCGCCGGTGCGAGCGGACGATTTGACATCGGTGCTGAAGGTACCGAGGATCCAGTAGATAGAGAGCTGGCACCAGTAGCAGGTGACAAAGATGATGAGGTAAGGGAGGTACGCTTCGGCCCAGCGGGCACCGTGACTGCCGGTTCAGCTTTTGGCTTTTCGAGATGATGGCTCCACTCACATTCCATAGTCATAAGCGATCAAGGGGTTCTGCTGCTTTGATATCTCGATACTGACCCAGATGAAAGCAGCGGCTTGGGGGATCACCCATGCGGCGGCGCAGATCCACGCTCGTTTCTTCTGCGACCAGCTCTTGCGGTCAAGGATGAACTTGCCGTACAGGAGGACAGCGGGGACAGTGATGGTGGCTGAGCGTGAGTTTAAGACCTGCGTAGACAAGAGGGGTGCGATACTTACGGACGATCAAAGACGATAGGGCGCGGGAGCGGACCGAAAAATTGAGGGAGAGGTAGGTGCCAAAGGTCCCGCCGATGAAGAAGGAGTAGAAGGCCGGGACAAACATAAGCCAAGTCTGGCCTTCAGCCTGATACGATCCGCTGCTCTGACAGACACCGACTCACTCTAGGTTTCTGGAGGTGCCTCCACAGCGCAACGAACTCCTCCTTCCACGACATCCGAGCAGACGATGGGATCCGGCTCCCGTCCCGCCTGCGGACCTTCGCTGTGGGCGAGAGGAGCAACGCCCAGATGAAACCAGTAGCGGAAAATCCGACGAACACGAGGTACGTTGACCAGGCGATGCCTCCCGCCGTCTCCTTCGAGAAATTAGTTGAGTAGTTGATGGCTCCACCTAATATAGACCCAGAGTTCCGCATCGCAGACCATATACCGAGGTACAGCCCGCGCTCGTCGGGAAGGGGATAGGAGAGCATGGCCGTGCTTTCGCCGATATAAAGGAATCCGTCGGTGAGGCCACCGACAGTCTGGGGGTTTAGCGCGTACTATCAATGAATGATGAAGAGGATAGACCAACCCTGGATAAGAGGAGATACCAGTCGATACCTAGCCGCGCACTCGTATAGTACCCGCTGGGAGCAAGAGGCATACCAATGGCAGCGATGAGACATGCCCATTTGATGCCGATTTTGTTGATGAGAGGGCCACCGCAGAGGGTAAGAAGGCAGGACATGGTGTAGCTGAGGGAGTTGGCAAGATTGGCAAGGTAGGGAGAGGAGAGACCACCGCCGCCGAGGTTGGAGATGGCATCTGCCATACTGGGCCCAACTAGTGCTAGTCTGGACATCAGCTGGATTCGATACCGCGACTCACGTTCCGAAGAGGATCATCTGGAGTAGTACGCCGCGGTAGAACTTGGTAGATTTGGACGCAACGAGGTACTTCTGGTCCACCTCGAATGGGTCGTAGCCCTGATCCGGCACAGCTTCGACTGCATCCTCCGTGTCGCCTTGCTTGCCGTCGGGGTCCTTCCGGTCTTGCTCGATAGGATGCAGGTCCGTGTCTGCGAGTTCGTTATGAGGATATGCGGGTGGGATAGGCATTGTGTAAGGAGGTAAGAATGGTGAGGAGAGGACAAGAAGTTGAGGAGCACTGATGGGGCAGAGATATATGGCATCAGCTGAGATAGGAGTCGTCTGTGTTCGAACAGGCTGTCGGCTGAGCCTCCTCCTCCTTGATTCGCGTACGCGAGCCGGCGGCTGAGAGATAAGATCATGACTACGTTGACTGCGGTCCTGTAAAGAGCTGCGGTCGAATGAGTAGCACTAGCGCTGTCTTAGCGCTCCAATTATAGAGCTCCTTATCGGCTCCGCTCGTCGGACATCGGGTGTGGTGGAGCCCCCTAAAGCCGAACTCTAACGTCCCTGAAGGCTGAGGGCTGAGGTCCGAACCCTAAGTCGAGTCCTATGGGCTCTTATGCAGCGACACCTTCATATACTCATTGACTGCCCCGTCGCCCTACGCATACTCCGTCCCTTCTGTCGCCTCTACACCATTACTGAACGGGCTTGTCGAGATCATCAGGCGCCGCCTTGGTCCCCGTGGATATTGGGCAGAGACCCGAGTGGCCGTGCAGGAGAGGTGGCGGAGAGGGACTGGGATGATCACCATGACGAGGTGGCTAGCGCGTCAGCTCTGCCGCTGACAATGCGCAAAGATCTGGCAGCTGCTGAGCTCACCACCACCTCTCCCTCCTTGACCGGCATCCTGATATCCCATTCCTTCTTCGCCCCTTCATCCGTCACGTCGCTTGAATGCTTCAACGCCCCGAGCCGGTCATCAAAGTGTTCCGAGAGCCGACGGTGCATCTCGTGGTGCAGGTGGTGGGGAGACGGGAGGACGGCTGAGGCGGGGGTGAGGATGGGGGCACCGGCGGCGGTAGGGGAGGAAGCGGTTTGAAGGGCTGATGCGGAGGATTCCTCCATGGTAGGGTGCGCGACGGCTGATGGAATTTGAATAATCTGGGCGGACATCCTGCTGGATTGAGTAGGGAGTATGCAGACTTGGTACTAGAGATGATTGCGAGGTGAGATGCAAGGCTGACACGCTGACATGATGACACGAGAGCTCAAAGGACGCGCCGGGCGCGGGGCCGCTCGGACCCGTTCTTCGGGAGGTGTAGGAAAGCTTAAAGCGAGTATATCTCCGAGGCGCACATCACCGCCTCTGCTACTGTGTAATCATCGATCTTGCCTCGGTCAATCTCTGTCGGAGCTAGCGGGAAAGGTCTTGCTCAGATAGAGGGGATGGGGACAAGGCAGAGGTAGCAAGCAGAGATAGATAAGGGCTGCTCGGGGGAGACTGAGCGTGGACCTCGTGTCGGCTCCCGGGCGGAAGAGCGATGCAGGGTCTGCGCTCATGGAAGGGTCCAGCCCCAGGTACATCTACGCAAGGTACGCTGTACAGTGTCTACAATCAATGGCAGACCATCAAGGCCGCTCCAATCCCAAGACATCCTCCGACATATCCACGCCAGCATCAAGCCGACCGACACATTTACGAGCTGGACGGTTTTGCGCCTTTACGATCTCCGGGATCGCGCTCCAGGCGGGGTACCGAGGATGTAGAGTATGCGTGTATGTGGCGCCGAGGCGGGCGGGTGGGAGTGGCTGGCTCCGAGCCTGACCCCGATGAGGAGGTGGATGAGGACGAGGAAAGGGATGTTGCGCTGCTGGTACGGCTGTGCGAGCTGTGCGAGCGGTGTATGAGGGGCCGGTATGCGCTAGGTTGACCTCGGCCAGTCGGGCTGAAGATCTACAGGTCAGCGTGTGTACTGCCAGATCGTAGGGGTTGGGATAAACTTACATCAACCTCGATAGCTTTCGGCATTTTGATATCCCACCTCATCTCGGCCCGCTCTTCTCGCTCCGCCGTCTGCCGCAGGACTTCAACGCGGTCCTCAAAGTACTCTGATGGCTGGCGCCGGAGAGCAGGGAGGGTGGAGGTGGTGTTGCGCCGAGGAGGGCGGGGAGGGGTGCGGGGAAGAGTCGAGAGAGCGGAGGTGCCATTGGGAGTAAGAGGTAGGGAGTGGCCGGTGCTGTCGCGAGCTGTAGAGTGTGGTGTGGTAGAAGAAACATCATGAGAGACAGAGGAGTCCTCTGAGATCCGAGCGGCGGGGAGACGGAAGGTGCGCAGAAGCGACTTGGTGGGGATGGGCGGGGACGACATTGCCTCTGAATGATGGGACGCGTGCGGTGGGTTAGGTAGAATGAGCTCAGAAAGGAGATGGGTAAAGGTGATCACCGTCAGTCGGCGCGACAATCAAGCAGATATATAGCATGCGGAGAGAAGCACGCATCAAGTAAGGGCATCGAGTAACCAGGAACCCATCAGAGGGACGTCGTCAAGACGACTGCAAGACTCTTCTCACCGAGCAACAGAGCCGTCGGGCGTGGATGCCAACGAGCGTCCGGCGTTCTTCAGCTCAATCAGTAGTCGAGCAAGCTCAGGCACTCCGCCGCTCAGCATTCCGATTTGAGCAGCTTGATGTAATTACCAAGCTGGCACATACGGCAATATCCTGTCTGTAGGAGGCCGGCTGAAAAGTTGCCAGATCCCTGCGATTCTGTCCCCCACAGTCGGATTTCGCGCAAACCAGGAGATCCGGCCTGTAAGTGGGTATTCCGCACAGGGGAGGCAGTAGCCCTCAGACCGTAGATAGTCGATGTGAAGAGCATGCATAGGTGATAGCAAGGTCGCTCGTCCCTCTCAGCAACAGAAGCGGTCAGTGTAGCTTATTCGCTCCTCCCTGTTACACTGTACATTTCGTCCAGCTCTCCCTCTGCGCTCTCTTCTCGCTCGCATTAATCCATATCTTCATCCAGCTCATATCTACTCCAGACCCCTCTCTCCGCCCCTGTAATCGACGCACAGACAAGCACAAGCTCGTCTGCCCCCAGATTTTCCGCCTCCTTAGATACCGAATCCACTGAATCTCGAACGAAAATGGCGAACCTCGGTGTACCTATCAAACTGATGCACGAGTCATTGGGGCATATCGTGACTGTGGAATTAAAGACTGGAGAGGTGAGCTTCCAGACGCTCTACCGAGAAGCAGGGCCAGAAAGCTGACAAGGGACAGATGTACCGAGGGAAGCTGATGGAGGGTATGTTTCAGCGATACTATCAGGAGGGAGGCAGGCTGACCAGGTCCCTTCTTTAATTACCGCTGGCCCTCTCATTCCATACGCATACGCTCTGTATATCGACTATTCCCGCCGAACCAAACGTCTCGTTCTATTCCCGTCAACAGCCGAAGACTCGCTCAATATCTCGTTGAGGGAAATAACCGTGACGGCGAGGGATGGCCGGGTGTCGCAGCTGGAACAGGTGTATATCCGGGGAAGCATGGTGCGTGGCGTTCTTCCTCAACTTTGGAGAGAGGGAGATGCGGAGCTCGTACGGAGGGGACCAGAGGGCGGATTGCGGGCTGCAGGAAGGGGGTCCGGGGTGGCGCGGTTGGGAAGGCGGGCAAGCGGAATAGGAGATTACTGGGCGGAGGGGTTCGATAGGATCACGACCCTGCTGTCTTCATCTTGTCTTCGCAGCGGCAGGAGACCTGTATGCTGACAACCCAGATCCGATTCGTCATTGTCCCCGACCTTCTCGCCAACGCACCTATGTAAGCTGCCCATTCGACAAGTGCCCGCCGAACATACAGCTGACATGTCAGGTTCAAGCGTGTTGGACCCAATGCGATGCGTGGGCGCGGTATTGGAGCAGCACGTGGACGAGCCACGATCCAGCGGGGTGAGCTGCCACCCTTATTCCTTCGCTTCGTGACGCTGGTAAAACCAGGGCCAAGCTGACAAAATAGCAAATGCGCGGAGGGGTACGACGCGGACGAACCAGGGTGTCCGGCGATGATCTGTGGGCTGGGTGGTGGTTGGGGTTCCTGTGGTACGAGGGGTCTGTGTTGGGCGCTAAGATCGAGATGACATGGGCTTGGATGCAGTAGAAAGACAAAGAGCATCAAGATGCCAGTCGTGCACCATGTACAATGACGGTGCGGGGGCAGAGGGATTGGCCATATTAGCCATATTACTATCATCTGCATCTCCTGCTGCTGCTCCTACTGCTCCAAGATACGAGTCCCCGCTCCGCCCGGTCCCTCACTACTTCAACCTGCCTTCTCTGCCTTCTATCTCTCCCTTCCCTTCCCCCATGCTTCACACTCTACCCCTAAAACTCCAAAGCCTCCTTCGCACTCATCTTGGGCAACTTGGCCACCTCCCCTTTGACGACCCCCATCAACCTCTTCGCACTATCATTATTCGGCTGATACCGCAACACCTCTCTCAGATCCACCTCCGCCTCCCTCACCCGCCCCTGACCCCTCCGCGCCAGTGCCCGCTGATAGAATGCTTTCCCATTCTTGCCGTCTTTGGCCAGGATAAGATTACAGTCCACTTCGGCTTGCTGGTGGTATCCCAGAGTGTTGAGTGCGACGGCGCGGTTTGAGAGGTAGACGGTCTTTTTGGGGTCGAGGGAGAGGGCGCGGGTGTAGTATTCGACGGCTTCGGCGTGGCGGTTGTCGTTGACTAGCATGTTGCCCTGAGAGATCAGTATAAGGCAAAGAGGCAAAGATCGTATTCAGTTGTCGACTCACTCTAGTCTTCTCCCTCGCGCCTAATTCTTCGCCCCACCGCTCCATACACTCCACCCAGGCTCTGGACATCCGAGCGTCCTTTCGCCGTGGTACAGCTGGTTCCGCCAGACGTCGATACAGGGCGATGGGATGTACGCGCTCGAGCTCTTCAACATCGCGCGAGTAGGAAGGGTATGAGAAGGGTGTTACAGAGGTTGCTATTTGATGCAAAAGCTGAATGTCAGCTTTCAATTTCCTCGATCGTACCGGTGATAACTCACCTTGACGAAATGCCTAAACGTCAAAACGACGGCCATATTCCGAACCTGTGGATCCTCCTCCGCCCACTCTTTCGGCAGATAACACACCGCCCCTGTCCCCGCTCCTCCTGCTTTACCCTTCTTCCCATCATCCTTCTTCCCATTCACGACTCTCCGTACCTTCCCCTTCCCCCTCGTAATCTTGACCATCTTGGGCCCACCCGCCTTCTTGCCTGCACCAGCCTGCGAATCCCCATCCTCCGACTCTTCTGGCAATTCCACCCCATCTAGCGCCGCCGGATCATTCTTACTTGGCCCATACCGCCCTTCGACCGCCGGATCGTGCGCTCCCAGCTCTTTCAGGCGCCAGCGGAGATGTTCCTCCACCGCAAGGACGTCGGTCATTTGGGGATGGGGGAAGAGGGGCGGTCCGGCCTTGTATGGATTGGCCGTCTCGGGCGGGCTGGCCTTTGGATTCCGTACAAATCCCTTCCCCGTTGGTATGGCCGACTGACGAATAGACGCGGGCCTCAATCCGTCGGTCCGTATTCTCGCCTGATCGGCGGCTTCTACACCGCCCGACCACCCTTCCGCGGTAATAGTCTCCCTTAGCTCGTATGGCAATAACGAAGTGGGTCCTTTCCGCTGCATCGCCGATATCTCGAAACACCGCAGACAGCTTGTGAGCTGGCACAAGCACGCGCAGTGGTCGTCCTCCTCGAGATCGTAGCCGTGCTCGTACGAGACGTTGTGAAAGCAGATGCCGTCCCGCGTAGGAAGGGGGTTGATGGGTTGGACAGGGGCGGGGCCGTTCAGGCCTGGGATGGACGCGGCGGAGGGGCCGGACGGTTTGGTTGTTGTGGGTTCTGGGGGACGGGCGCCGGAGAGGCGGAGCTCGAGCTCGGTGTAGAGGAGATCGAGCATTTGGGTCTGGAAGAGGGTGTCGAGGGGCCATCCGCCGTGTACGATGCTGCGGCGGAGGAATTGGGGTGTCGCACCGGTGAGGATGAGGTGGATGATCAGGGTGGGTAGTGTCCGTGTGAAGAGGTAATGGAATGCCTCGGTCCTGCTTGTCAGCAAAAGATTCCTGTGTCAAGAACAGTGGGCTCACCAGCACTGCTCTACCCAACAATCAAACTCCCTCCGCATCACAATCGCCATATCCGCCACAAACCCCTCCAGATCATTCTCATCCATCGTCCCGCACCGCACCTCCAGATGATCATCCATCGCGCTCCATCGTATCCTCAACGGACACTTGTCGCCAGGCAAAAAGTCCCCCGTACCGATACTCGTGTGGTTGTCATTCCACGGGACATTGATGCCCTCCTTCCCCTTCTCGAACGTGGGGTCCTGATGCCGCCCGAGCAGCTGCAGGACGGGCAGCGCGGGCGGCGGTGCGGGCTGACGATATTGGGCAGCGGCGGCGGCTAGGGAGGTAGGGGAGAAGTTGGCGAGTGAGGCGGCGAGCTTTTGGGACATGAGTGGAGATAGAGGGTTGGAGCGCTCTGAGCCGTGTGAGGCTAGACGCTCTGTCAGGGCGTGCAGGGTCGCTGTGGAGGTCACCGGGAGTGGGGGCGCCATGGCATCGGTCCAGGCGGCGGTGTTGCGGGGCGCTAGCTGGGTGGCCGAGCTTTAGACTCTGCGGGTGTACGTTTCGTACTGCAATGTGTAGGCTTGAGGTGCTGCTGTGTATGGCTAGACTATCTACAGGGTACTATAGTGTACGAGATGAGTAGAGATGATCTTTTCTAGCTGGTGCGGGTCCATCTCATCTCATCTCAACCAGGCTCCCTCCGATACCGTGTGAGGAATGCCACGTCACTCACCCAACCCAGCTGTTGATCCCAACGCGCTCAGCCCAACTTGACCTCTATTGACACTGCATACCTTCTCCCTTCACAGCATACACTATGGTATACAACGGAGGTGAGCTATCTGTTCTCCTGATGGGGCTATAGCTAACATCATAGACGAGGTATCAGCCCTCGTGGTCGATTTCGGCTCATACACCACCCGAGCAGGGTACGCGGGCGAGGACTGCCCTCGCGTAGTCTGCCCGTCCTTCTACGGGTATACGGAGCAGGGCGAGTCATCCGCCAATGGACATGCGAACGGAGGAGGAGATGAGGAGGATGTGAATATGGACGGGGGAGGAACGAATGGAGTCGGAGGGAAGAAGGGGCGGAAATATTACGTGGGGGATGATGGGGTGGGGGTATGGAGAGCAGGGATGGAAGTGGGGAACTTTATGCAGGATGGGATAGGTCAGCTGATCGCTACTGCACATTGGCATGATAGCTGATAACAAAGTGAACGAGCCAGAACCCGCCTCGCAGCTCCTGCATCATATCTTGCATAACCGGCTCTCGGTCGATCCCAAAGAGCACCCTTTGATGATCACGGAGCCGGCGTGGAATACGCCCAAAGCGAGGGAAATGATTGCGCAGATGGCGTTTGAGGGGGAGGAGGTACCAGCGATGTACTTTGGCTCTGCGGGGGTACTGTCTGCGTGAGTTGGCCGCCACACCCGAGGGAGCAACAGCTCATGCTATAGCTTCGCAGCAGGAAAGCCCACTGCTTTGGTTCTGGACGTAGGGTACGCAAATAGCAGCGCCATCCCTGTTGTTGACGGATATGCTCTGCGAGCCGGTAAGCTCCTCCTACTCTCCCCTCTCTTCCCCTCCCCTCTCTTCCCCTCCCCTCTCTTCCCCTCCCCTCTCTTCCCCTCCCCTCTCTTCCCCTCCCCTCTCTTCCCCTCCCCTCTCTTCCCCTCCCCTCTCTTCCTCTCCCCTCTCTTCCCCTCCTCTCTCTTCCCATCCCCTCCCCTTCCTATCCCTCCCCTGTCCTCGAGCCCCGCTGACCCCCAGGCACTATGCGCCAACCCCTCGCCGGCCAACTCCTCACCTCCCAAATCCACTCCAACTTCACCCACTCCACCTCTTCCCGTCCCTTCCCACTCTCCCTCCTTCCCCGCCACCTCATCGCCAAGCGCGAGCCCTCCCCTCTCGATTCGACCGAGATGCGCCAGCCAAAGCCCGTACTGCGGGACGACCGGCTCGGCTCGACAACCGCGTCCTGGCGCTCATGGGGCGAAAACAGCGTCGTCGAGGCGTGGAAGGAGGCGTGTGCCGAAGTCGTCAATGTGCGAGGGTACGACCTGGCCAGTGCCACCAGTCTGCCGGTGGTGAATTATGAGTTACCGGATGGGTACAGCAAGGCATGGGGGGAGGAGAGGTATCGATTCTCCGAAATGCTGTTTGATCCCAAGAATTACTTTGACCAGGTGAGCTTTCGCATCCGGATTTTGGACATTCAATACAAGCTGACTCTATAGTCGATCGAACCACCCGCATCCCTTCGCCTCGCTCAATCAAGCGACCACTCCCACTCCCTCAAAGACCTCGTCTCCCTCTCTCAGCTCGTCCACGACAGTATCATGTCGTGCGACGTGGACGTTCGCGCTGCTTTGCTTCAGAACATCGTCGTGGTCGGGAACGGGGCGGGTATCAAGGGGTTGACTGAGCGGCTGGATATGGAACTAGCGAGGTTGATGCCAAGTGTAAGCTTACGCTCGCCCCACGAATCTGATCTGGGAAAGCAAAGCTGACGAGGGCAGCAAAAGATCAAGATCCACTCTCCGACTGTACCGTTCGAAAAGCGGTATGCGGGCTGGTTGGGCGGAAGCATCCTCGCTTCGTTGGGATCATTCCATCAACTCTGGGTAACAAAGGATGAGTATGAGGAACACGGGCCGCAGATCATACATCAGCGTGAGTATTTGGTTCAGCTGGCTGACGCAGATGTGTGGCCTAGGCACAAGCTGATCAAGTAGGGTGCAAGTAGATATACATCACCTAGATATTCCGGGCATCAAGATGAGATATGCTACGATTGCTTTCTAGACAAAGACGAATTTCATTTCCTTTCTTTCCCTTTCCTTCCAGATTCGACATTGACATTGATACTTCCTTTCTATTTCCTTCGAGATTCCGACAGTTCACTTCCGACAATTCGTTTCCGACATCGAGTTCAAGACTTCTTTCCTGGCATGATCAGCTCACTCCATCTCTCTCAATCACGTCCTCAATTACTCACTATAACAAGCACTTCCAGCGCGCTCCTCACTTCCACGCCCTAAACTCTCAACCGCTTGCTGCTCGGGCCCGCCCCCTCATTATCCGCCTCCTTGTACCCCGCCGCCCTCCTGACCGCCCCGTAGCGGCCTACTCCTCCTCATCTTCACCATCCGTGCCCTCCCCATCTCCATCATTTCTCGCCTTCACCCCCTTCTTCGTGTACACACATTGGACCTCAAGCGTCATGTCTCCGGCAACGGCACCGGTGCCCATCTGCTCCTGAGGAAACCTCCTCATCGCCGCCTCATAGATCTTTTCGAACCGATCGTAGAGGATGGCTCTGAAAGTGAGCAAGATGCCGGAAAAGTCGAGGAACCACACTCTTGCCATATCAGACAGCTGGATGCGTTGGTCGTACTTGTCATGCTCTGCGTTTCGGAGAGGCAATGGGACGCCGTTGAGGAGTAGGAATCTGAAAGTCAGCTCGTGTCATGACGGCAAAATCTGGTGTGTCATACCGGGCGAGCTGCTCGACATCCGCATCCGGGATCGGCCCCGGTCTCGTTTGTCCGGCGCTGCGAGCACTCAGCTCGGCTACAGCGAAGTAGGATCGGATCTTCCGCTTGTCTACCCGGGATAGACGCCGTCCCGGCCTAGCTCGGCTCGGATATCCTTCACTACCATCAGCTCTGCTAGGCGCTTGACTCACGCAAGGTATCTTGAGCGCTCTGGGTCGCCTCTACTACGTGCCAGCGAAACCAGTCGGCATGCGACCAGTCTGAGCTGTCGACGGGGAAAACCTCGGGGTGGCGCTGACATCAGGAAACGTTGACCTTGAGCTTACCTTTGCAATTGACTCCAGAATAGGCGAAAGCAGATGACGATGGTGGAACAGCCGTTTACTGCGTAGCTTGCCAGCGGAGTAGAGTCGCGCCTGTTGCCGGATGATCTTCACGGCTGCATCTTGCGCACGCCTCACGGCTGCTTTGTCCAAGGAGTAATCGAGGATTCCGGCGTAGTAACCTGTGCAAGTCAGCACAACCGCTTCAGAGACAAACAGACAAATGCGCACGATATATCGTTGCTGCGAGCATGCCGAGGGCGTCTTTTCTCGCAAACCACTCAAGCTTGTTGTGGACACCCTCAGTGATCTTCGCTGGCAGATCGAAGGCGCCCTGGCGCTCCTCTTGCCGGAGGGATAACGCTCTCGCGATTTCGTGACTCGTCATCTGGAAGATCTGTCACGTCAGCTCGGGACACCTGGAGCACTCACCCGAAGGTGGCGGAGATCAGTACATGGACAGCAGTCCGCGAGAGTGTCAGTAGCTGCCGACATGAGGGTGGCGTGACCCGATCTCTGATATGCATTTACACATTATGGTCACGATTGTCCCAAGCTCGATATCTATCTACATGTCGCTTCCTCCGTCCGATTCCTCCTCGACCTCCTTCTCCGGCTCCTCCTCAATGAAGTACATGCGCGCGGACCTCGGGAGGCCTATGGGCCATACGTCTCCCAAACTTGGAATGCCCAGCTCGGGACTCTGAACGGCCAGACGATGGATATTGTAGATGATGCGTTGAAGGGTTCGGGGGTTCATCCGATCTCGCTCGTCCTCAGCGAAGCAGTGCAGATAGGCCTTGCCCCAGAATTCCTTGTCAGTGTCCACTAATGAGGTGTCAGTCTGGTCCATAATCGTGGAAAGATAGCTCACGTGGAAGCAAGACCGTCCGGCCTTTATTATACTCCTTCCGAGTCATGCGGTCCTTCCATTCAGCTCGGTAGGCACGGAGGTAGGAGAACGAGGACAGGGGAGTCGGTCGGAGGAGCGACAAGGAGGCATCCGTCAGATAAGCGTTGCCGCCGAACCTGGGACTCGTCGTATTTGCGATGGCTATGAAGAGGGCTTCGACGCCAAGAAGATTACCGAGCGCAGTAGGGGCGAGAGCTCCGAGATACCTGGAAGCGAGCTCAAGTCGGCTAGCACCATCGGCTTGAATGTCCGCTGGGATTCTGGTGGATCAGCATAGTACGTACAAGCGGATAACGAACGACTTACTGGACAGGCTCTTGATGCAAGCGCTCTGATAGCTCCCGCTGGTATAGTCGTGAGCTCTCACCGGAAACGGTTCGGCGGTTTGTCCGTGGATGCCACGCCCCTATAATCAGCGCGGTTATCACTAGCACTCACGTCTGGCGTCTGCATCCGATACACTCCCCAGCCTCTACTCCTCGACGCGTCCGGGAGACTTGCTCGGTCATACGCCTGCGTCGGCAAACATGTCCCTGCTTCCGCCGCACTACAGATCAGCCCATCCTACCGCACAGACTCACGATTCTATCTCGTCGTGCAGCCGCCGCGCAGCCTGCAGGAGCAGACACCAGATCAAAATCAAGCCAGATAACCTCCACGTCGCCCGTTTGCCGGGGACGCTGAATTTGCCGAATATGGCCGGGTGGAGAGCCGAGCTGAAGGGTTCGCCCGCCGCAGTCTTTGGTTCAGGATCGCCGTCAGAGCCGAGCCTGGGCGTCAGCGAGGAAGCTGGGAAGTGGAGATAGTCTCACTTAAAGTAGCGCCGGAAACCCGAGTTGGTGATGAAATGGTGATGCGCCCAAGGATAAGTCTTGCTCGCCTGTCTGATCAGCCAGCGTCCACAAGAGAGCAGGCAGACCCACCATCTCCCGCGTTTCCACCGTACACGCTTGGTTGGTATAGGCGGCGAGCGCTTGTCCAACCAAGAGGACAGACTCGTTGGTCCAGACCTGCTGAAGAACAACAGAAAATGCCCAATCCTCATCTAAGGTCAGATTTGCCCGGTATGCAGCTCACAGTCTTTCTCGGATGGCATGATGGATGATGTAGGGCTGGATGTTGGTCAAGGACGCAAATGAGTGGATATGAGCGGTTGTGAGTGAGCGCAGCGTTGACAAGCGGATCCAAGCGCCCAGAGGACCCCTTTTGTCCGCCAGGATCGGAGGTCCTCGTGCGAGTCGAACGGACTTAGGATCTTGTCTTACAAGTACCATAAATCACTATCGACATGCAGAGGGAGTACGATGATCATGTAGCATTGGCTTACGTGTCTCGCAAAAATCGCGACGCCCAAGATCCCATCTCCCGTCACAACCCCGCTATCTCCTCTTCGTCCGACTCCGTCAAGGGCGGCATCATCGCAGCAGCCTCTAGATCCTCCGCCGTCACCGTGATTACAGGCATCCTCCCTGAGCTCACAATTGTCATTGAGGAAGTTGCCACCTTCCCGCCGAGCGCAACCCCAGCCATCGACTCTGCCAGAGCGTCAACTGGTTCCGCCTTCCTCCCCTTCTCAACTCCCCTCTCATCCTCTGATTCGCTCGTACTGGACACACCGTCCTCCTCTGCCCCCCTCCTCAAGCTCACGATCAGACCTCTAAACTTCCGCCTCACATACTCCTCCTTCAGTTGCGGGACTAGCCTCCCCTTTTCTTCCGCACTCAGCGTCTCCTCCTCTAGCACCGCCAGCGCCTGGCAGATATACCCCTCGATCGTACTCCTTTTGACGCCCCGTTCGGCAGTGATGGCCTCGATGGTCATTCCTGACTTGAAAGCATTGAGAGCGTTTGTATGCGCCGGAGGTGGGAATTTGGGTTGACCGGGTGCGAGGCGATAGGCGAATGACTCGGCAAAGAGGTCGGTACTGCCGGGGACGGCGGTGAATGTAGGTATGGAAGGACTAGGGGTGCGAGTGGAGATAGCGCGGTAGTCTGGCGATCCGTCCGCGTTGAAGCTGTTACTACATCGATCCAAGTCGATAGGAAATTGCCGTTCAGCGGCAAGGCGTTTGAGGTGGAGGTAAACCTGAAGACCGGCAAAGACGTCATTTGCACCGTCTATGGAGTCAGCGTCATTATCTGTCACAGTAAATGATTCCAGCTTACAGTCCACCTGCTTCTGATTCAGACTCGAACTCCAATTACTCTGCCGGACTTGGGGATCCTTCTCGAGCTCCCGTCCGAGGTAATTCTTGACGAGATTTGCGAGCGAAATCAGTCGAAGCCCTGGTCCGCATCGGATAGGGTCTGCGGCGCGGGCAACGTTCGAAAGCTCAAGCAGGCTCTTGACGCCAGTCGGGAAGCTGCCTGGGAAGTCATCGACAAGACGCTTGCCATCCCCTATGCAGTCAGCTATGCTCGTTACCGCTCGGCGGCTATGAATAGATGCGAATTTGACGCTGGATTAGGATGCTCACCTCTGACCTGCACTCCACACTTGTAGATCGCGGGATTCTCCATGATCGAAACGAGCTTTTTTGGGAGTACCATATCTGACATCGTAAGCTCTGGGCCCATGGTTGCCATCGGAGCGGGCTGGACAACTCACTATTCCCATCCTTGAGATGCAATAGCACAATCAACCTCTCATCGCATACCTGAATCAACGCCGTCTTTCCAGGCCTAAACTGCCACCTGCTCGCCTCTTTATCCCACCACCTCATCGGCCACTCCAGGTCCAGACCCATCACCTGTCCTTCGAGTCGACCGAGAAGCTGGTCCGCTTCCGAGATGGATGTGGTATACACTACCTCCGGACAAGGCTTATGGTCGGTGTACTTGTAGTAGGCGAGTGGTACCGGGGGACCCGAGGCCTCTGAGGTAGGGATGGTGGAGCTGAGAGTTGTGGTTGACTTCGTTGCGGACATGTTGCTGGTGGGTCCCGCCTTGGGCGGAAGTGGGTAGATCTCCGCAGTAGACCGAGATTGGATGGGCGCTGATACAGCTGAGACAGCTGCTGGCGCCTCGACGGCTGCGGTCGTTTTCGGCGGAGATGCTGCTGAGGAGGCGGTATTGGTCTTTGGCACTCGGCCATACCTGCCCAGGGCGCTCTTCCCTCCTCCACTAGACCCAGAAGCAGATCCCGCCTTGGTTGTCTCGACATCGCTGGATGACCGCACCAGGCCTGACGCCTCCGCCGAACTCCTAGCGCTCACCGGCGCCGCTACCTTGCCCTTAGACCCAGCAGCTTTAGCGGTGGGACCGAGCTTCCCCGACAGGTCGATGCTCTCCACCTGACTGAGTATCTTGTCGATCTCCAACTCAGTCAGCGCCGCCCTCGCCTTTCCCTTGCCTCCGACAGGACCCCTAGACGGCGATCCCTGCGGCACTTGGATACGGGGCTGACTGGGCTGACTACCGAAGGTCGAGTCTGCGCCAGTAGCTGTGCTAGCTTGAGACTCGCTCGTGCTGCTGTAGTCGGCCACCATCCGAGGACGTTGACTGGCTGGTGGGGGCGGAGTGTGGGGTACGGGAGCCGATTTGGTGCGAGCAAAAGTACGGTTGAAGAAGGGGTGTACGCGCGCTGGGGCTGGATATGACGCCTGTCGAGCTGGAGAGGGAGGGTAGAAGGGCTGGGGTGGGGTGTAGGCGGTCCGGGCGTGAGGTGAGGAGTAGTGCGCTACGGCCCGCGGGCGGGTGAGGGGTGTGGAAGGCTGACGAGATGGTTCCGGTGAAGGGGTGCGAGAGGATTCAGAGGAGCGAGGGGAGGAGGTGATAGAGATGGGAGAGTCGGCTGTCCCAGAGCTAGACCGAGCCACACTACAAAGAGTCAGCCAGGCTTTGCAGTAGAGTGTACGACGGACAAGCTGGCGAGGTCACGTACGGTCCTGGTGATGGAGAGACAAAGACAGCGCGACCCGTCCACCGTCCTATACCAGCCTCCTTGTCAATCAGCCGTACCGAGGAGGAAGAGCGGGAGCTGCTCGCGCTCTCATCGCTGTCGGAAGAAGCCATCCTGCGTCGAGGGAGAGTGGAGGTGGCGCCGGTGCTTCGTGCGCCCAAGCCTGCACCACCGCCGATCGCGGGGATGCAGTATCGTCTAATACTGCCTGTAGCTGGTGAGCTCCAGCTTCGACCAGTGAGAGCTCCAGAAGAGTAGGTGTTGAATGAGTTGGGCGATGTGAACAGGCGAGAGAGTTGGAGGGGAGGCGGAAAGCGGAAGTGGAGGTGGCGGAGGGCAAGTGGCGGAGACATCTTGTCTGAGGCCTCGTTGCTGTCGGTCTCAGACCAGTCTCCAGCAAGTCAAGAGGTATCAGAAAGAAGAGAGGAGAAGAGAAGGGCATGTTGAGCTTTGCGGCTGTGCCACACGAGGCAAGGGGGTGTGTGGAGTGCCTGAGCGAAGCTGCCTCATTGCTTCCCCTTCACCCCTTCACTCCGCTGATCGTGCCTGTCTGAGCTCTTAAGGCTGTCCTTCGCTAGCCGAAAGCATGACCCAGCGTGGGCAAGCAGCTCGGTGTCAGTCGTGAACCCAGAATGACCACGACAGATACTCTACGACAAGATGCATTCCTAGCACAGATACCGGCAAGAAATGAGCACAATTGCAATATTACTGTCCGAGACCCGTCGATCTTGTCCAGATGACGTTACAACTCCTAGCCCTCTTCAGATACTCAGCAGATCCACTGTCCCCTCGCCCTACATCATGTCCGCCCATGTAGCAATTGCTCCTCCTCCTCGTCGAGCGGAGCCAACAGCTATGCCAACTCCGCGTTGAGATCAAGTGGCACCGCTGCGACGGAGGACGCAGGTGCCTTCGCTCCCCCGCCAGCCAGTTTCGCAGCGATCTCACCGGTCGCTCCGTCTCCCTGAGTCATCGGCTCCGCCAGCATCGCCAGAGCCAGCGCCTCGTCCTCGGCGGACAGTCCAGCCGCTCCCTTCTTGGTCTCTGCTGGGCAAGCGGGTGCCTCCTCCCCCATACCGATCCCACTGTCGGCAGGCCTCAATCTGCGACCACTATCACCCTCCATCGACACGTCCGTGATCGGCGACGGCTGAGCTAGCTCAGTCGAGGTCAATCCTGCTTGGACACGCAGCTGACTCGAGCTCGCGCTGTCTCCCTGCTCGACTCCAGCTGTACGCCTCCTCTTCGTCCGATGTCCCGGACCGCCCCCCTCCTCTTCGCCATCATCCGTTTCCGTCACGTCGCCATCTCCGTTATGCTCGCTCAATACATCCATGGGCGGATCTGCGCGTTCCGCTGGCGCTGCGGGCATTGCGGACGTGGTAGCCGATGTGAGAGGGGGAATGGCCCGAACGGGAAGTGCGGAGATGGGACGCGGTATGATCGGTGACGTGGGGAGAGTGATAGCTGGCTGACCAGGTAGATCTGTCGGTGTGGGGAGAGCATGGGTTGTGGAGGGATCGGTCGGGTCCGTATATGAATCCACTGAAGGAGATAGAGCCGGGATGGTGGAGATCGAGGTAGTGCCTATCGCTGGAGGCACGGCGAGGATTGGCAGAGCTGAAGCAGCGGAAGCTGTGGCGCGATGGAGAGGGGTGGTACCCTCGTCGTTCGCGCTAGCATCACCTGCCCTGTTCGGACGGATCTTGGTCCGCTCGGTCAAGACCCCTCGGTAGTGCGTCCCGTCCGCATTGATGGTGTTGACGCAGTAATCCAGGTCGATATGGGTTCCGCGGTCGATGGCGCACTTTATCAACTCCAGGCATATCTGAAGGCTGACGAAGGCGTCGTTGGCCGCATCTATGACAGTCAGCGCGGGATCTGTGCCCAATATTGGCCGTCCGTGACTTACAGTCCTTTTCCTTTTGACTAAGATCTCCTGCCCAATCACAGCCCCGTACCGCCGGGTCCTTCAAAAGCTTCTTGCCAATGAACTTCTCTGTCAGGTTCGCGAGCGAGACAAGCCTGCGCCGATCTGCTGGACCGCCTTTGGGGTAAGATTTTTGGTCCGGATTGAGTATGCGCGCGATGTTCGACAGCTCCAAGAAGCTCCGGATACCAGTTGGGAAGAGTCCAGGGAAGTCGGACTGCAGCTTGTAGCCGTCGTCTGACCGGAGTCAGCAATTGGCTTGTCAGGGATGAGCACGTTTGAGGGGAATTGAACGTCAGAATGTCGAGCTCACTTCTGACTTGGACACCGCACTTGTAGATTGTCGGATCTGCCATGATCTCAATCAGCCTAGGCGGCAGATCGCGTACTACATCCTCAGCTGAAGCACAGCAGACAATTGGAGAAGGTAACAGAGTCGGTAAAACATAACCGGACTCACTACTGGCATCCTGTAAATGAAGCATGACGATCAACCGCTCATCGCACACCTGTATCATGGCCGTCTTCCCAATCTTCTCGATAAACCTGAACGAGTCCTGTTGGATCTTCTCATATGGCCATTCCATATCCAGTCCCATGAAGGGTCCCCGCAGCTCGCGCAGACGGACATCCGCGGCGGCCAGGTCGGTCGTGTAGAATACCTCGGGCGTGGGATGGTACTGGTTGTAGTGGAAATAGTTGTCAGGGGCTTGACTAGGAAGCACAGGCAGGGAGGCCGTAGATCGCGACAATGGTGTGTGGCCGACGCGAGGCGCGCTCACTGGGCCGCCAAGGTCGGCGACGCTCTGGGTGCGGTGGAGGTCGGTCCGGGCGATAGGCGGACCAGCGGCTGGGGGTGCCATCTCGGCTCTGTTGCTCGACTTCGCGCTCATGATGTCTCGATCTGTCGACCCAAAGAAGATGAGCACTCTAGATGACTACTACACATAGGTCACATCCGCGAGATGAAGGACAAATCAGGCTCAGAACAGCCATGAATGCGTGAGATGTCTTGAGATGTGCGGCGGATCGTAGATTTGTTGACAAGTCCGGTCCATGCGCCGTATTGGGTATAGTAGCTTGCTATCATGCGCGCGCGCCACGCCGCTCACCCTCTCAGCACGACGGAGCACGAAACCGACGATGCCCCTTACATAGATCTAGTCAACACTAAGTACATTTCCCAACAAGATACGCATACGAAATAGAGTGGCAGCTCAAGCTCGAGTCAGCGCCAACCATACGTCGAGCAGCATGCTGAAATGTCTCAGCGGATGAAGCGGTGCGGAATGTGGTCTCCGCGGCTGCTGGGCGAGTTATCGGAAGTGACATTGTACAATACATACATTTAGACCTGCAGGGCAGAAAGATATCATCCAACGGGATCTTCTCCCTCATTCCTCCAGAAGCCTCAGGGAGGTCTCACAGCGGCATCTCCTCGTCAAGCTCTTCCTCTCTTCCCCCATCATGGTCATTCTCGTCCTCATCTTCTTCCTCACTCTCGCTGTCCCCACTCTCGTCTTCCTGGCTCCTCAGTACCTCCTCCCACCTACTCTCCAACTCCACCAATGCACCCGCCCTTCCCCTCACTTCCACCCTCACAGTCTCCACCAGCCCCATCGCCTCCTTCATCATTCTCCTTCCCAGCAACTCCTGAACGACCGCCATCCCTTCATCGATCTTCTGCTTGTCCGTCAGACAGACCACCCGCCACGCCTCGTGCAGGCGCATGATATCTTTGGGCTGCGCATCGCCCGCCGCAGTGAGCCGAGCGAGGACATGAGGGAAGAAGACGGGTGAAGGGCGGTACGTCCCGGTAATTCGCTTCAGAGCGGACATGATTCCCGATCCTGAGGCGTCGGGAGCGGCGAGCCAGTCAAAGTAGAGGACGAGGAGGTCGTTGTGGATTTCAGGGGAGCCATGGGTACCCAAACTGAGCCGAAGGATCTTGGACCAGATCGGTGTCATCGCTGCCTCGGAGGCGGCAGTCGATACCTCCCAGTCGGCCCAAGCGGACCAAATCTGGCGGACGATGAGTTTGTCTGGTGCGGAGAGGGAGGATAGGTCAAAGGATTTGACGAGGCGTTCTGCGAGGTATCGGGCAGATGCCGAGGAGGACGTGGAAGGGGTGTGGATTGTGCTGCGGAGTAATGCGAGTTGTAGCTCGGGGTGTGTGGGGTGGAGGGAGGCGTACTTCTTGACGAGGTCGTGGTGCTCTGCGGGAGAGGAGGTGGATTCGGCCTGGGTGAGGTAGAGAAGGAGGAGTGCGGGTGTGGGACGGAGAGATGGCTTTGCCAAGCTCGAGAGGATGGACAGGAGGTATGCGGACTAGCGCTGATCAGCTGCTGTTCTGCTGGTGCAGACCTGCACAGTTTGGGCAACTCACCAATTCTGGATTCTCCTTGTTCTCCTGTATCCGCTGATCCAGCCATAAACCAGCCACCTCCCCAAACACCGCTCCTGCGCTCTTCACCGCCTTCCTGATCTCCTTCCCGATCGTGCCAATAGCCTCGACCAGCTCCACGCCCTCAAGTACGACCCTTCCGTCGTCTTTCCGGCGTGCCTCATACGGCCGATCATACAGCCCCTTCGTCAAGAGCAGCATCCTCGCCTGCGCTCCTGCCCGCCCACCCCACTCAGCCACCTTCTCCAGATCGCCGTAGACAACCTCGAGACACGTTGGCCGTAGCGGACTCGGGTACGTCCGAAGCGTCGCGAGAAGGCCTTCTCTGAAGTCGAGCCCGCCGTTGGAGTTTGATGAAGATGATCCAAACGTGACTGGTGTGGCAGCGAGAGCGGACCGTATCGCTTGCAAAACGAGTTGTCCGCCGAGAATAGCTTTCCGAGCATCTTCCCCTTCCGGTCCAAACGATCCTTCGCCACCTGTACTCTCTTCCCAAGCAACCGCGGAAGGCTGGGCAGTATTTGATATCCCGAGGACCTTCCAGCGCCGTCGTAGTGCCTCCACCCAGCCCAACTCCAGCTTGATGTATTCCCGCCAGAGATCGTGATTGGCAGGTAACATCCGAAGTCCGAGGAGGAGGGTGGTACGTGCGGGTTGAGTACCTTCGAGGGCAAAGACGCCGCACTTGGTCTCATCCTCGTCCTCATCGGTGTCGGCTGCTGCGGAAGGGAGGTCGAGGGTCGAGGCGGAGGGGATGGCGGAGCGGGGGAAGGGCGCGCCAGGGTGGACGTAGTGGAATGAGGAGAGAAGGTAGAGTGTGGAGGAGAGGGGATGGTGCTGAAGCGCACTAACATGTCAGCTGTGTCCCGTGCGACTTCCCAAGAACGCTGCTTACCTCGTCAAGCCTTTAGTAACGATCTTGCGCATACCCTCGCGCCCGGCGTACTCGACGTACGCCAGCCAAGTGGCTATATCGCCCGGAAACTTTACGGTCGCCCGCTTGAGGATGTACATCGTTCTCCTGGGGATGGAGAAGAGCGAAGCGCTCGGTGGTGGCGGATTCTTGTCGTATCCTTCCGGTGTCAGCTGGACCATCAGACAACCCGGAGACAGGACCTACCGAGTCTCCTCCACCGTACCTTCCGCAGCTTCTCGAGGTTGATCTCATACTCCGCATACTTGAAAAAGTCCTCCTTCCTCACTCCCTGCCGTATGAGGGAGGTCTCAAGGTGCGTCCGCCGCCGGGTGATCTGGTCGATCTCATCCTGGACATCAGCCGAAGCTTTGACGAGCTATTGCCAGCGAAGGAGCTCACCTTGGAGAACAAGCCTTTTTCGTGCAGATCCTTGAGCTCTGGGAGAGTCGCCTCGAGCTGGAATTGGACCTTCTCCATGATCTTTGGTAGTAGGTGAGTAGGTGTATAGATGTATGCGAGATGCGGAGAGGACTTGGTCTCAACTTTTTGTGGAGGTGCATGACGTGGCATTCTCCAGACGAAAGACACTCTACATAGCTAGAAAGTCGAAGGCCAAAGTCATGCATCGATCTTCCATCTGTGCCTCACACCCCCAATATACACCATGAAAGCAGTCCAAACAGCATCTACGGCACTGCGTATTATCCGCGCTCAGCCCATCACCACGGCTGCCCGCTTTTCATCGAGCGAGGCCGGCCCATCTTCACCCTCCACACCCAAACCTACCCCCCGTCGTCTCCCCCGACCTATTCTCCGTAACCTCGTCGAGCTGCACCACCACTCTGCGAGCTTCCTCCAGGACCCCTCTTCCATCCCCTCCGGCTTCAAAACGGCCTTCAACGCCCTCCACACCCCCAAATTCACATCCTACAACGAGTTCGCCTCGAACGCACGCAACCTGCAGTCTCGGCGGCCTCTCGGCGGATTGGAGAATTTCAAGACCATGCGGAATGGGGGAACAGGCGCGGTGGTCGATATGAAGGAGCCCAGACCGGAGGAGGCACGGCTGTCGCGAAGTGCATGGACGGGGGAACGGAGCTGGAGTGAAGAGGGAGGGGGAATGTTGACGGAGAGGGAGACGAGGGTACAGGAGGCGTTGTACGGGACGTGGACGAGGGATGCCAAGGGGAGGGCGAGTACGATAGAGGTGGGGCTAGACGGGGTGGAAGAGTATATGGAGACGAGGGGGGAGACGGTGAACAAGGGAGCAGATGTGTGGGAGGGGAGACATAATGAGGCATAGTTAGGTAGCATAATGGGGCATTGTTAATGCACGGTCAGGTAGACTCTAGCAGCAGAGTAGACGTATACATCTCGCCCTGTCTATCTTGCCCGCCGTACTTCTTGCTGCTGGATCCGCTTGTCCCCCTTTTCTGCCCTCGCTCTGAGCTTGGCTTGCCGCTTGCTCTCGCTTTGTTCTTCGGGAGCAGCAGGTCCCGCGGCTGGTGCTCCCGAAGCTGACTTGGGGCCGAACAGGCCAGGCAGGAACATCCCAAGGAAGGGTCGGGCAAAGGTGAAGAGCTTGTATCCGCCGAAGGCAGGGATCTGGTTGTTAGCGCAGATTACAGTATAGTGATGGACAGTCGTAGCTTACGAGGAGGTAGAAGTACCATACCCAGCTGCCAAAGAGAGCTGAGCCGAGCGTGCAGAGCCAGGTGATGTACACCCTGTTTGGTTAGCTGGATTATCAATGTCCGGCAGGCAGACCAGCACGCATTTGTAGGCCGGGTCTGCCTGCCAGACCAGAGCGGTACACTTACAGGTCCCACGCCAGCTCAATGACTCCACCACCCGCCAGGTCTTCACCACTCCTCACATTGCCCTTACTGTCACGCCCTGGCGTGCCGACAAGGGAGAACCATCGCCAGACCGCTACGGTAGCTCCGAGGGATATCAGGTGCAGCGTAAAGAGCTTCTTCGACGCATAGATAGGTGTCGAACGGATGAGCTTGAAGAGGACACGTATGAGCAGTGATGAGCTCTGAGTAAGTCAGCGAGGCTCATTAGTGAATGAGTGGTCGTGTGGTGTGTAGCTGACGTTGACACTGAGGAGGCCGAGTAGGAGGTTCGAGAGGGCCTTCTCGTTTGATGAGGCTATCCGCTTTGAAGATGCGTTTGCCTGGGCAATCAGTGCTGTGTCTTTCGGAAGATGGAGCTGCGAGGAGGGAGCTGACCATTGTCGGTGCGATTGCTTTGATAAAGTGTGCGTGAGATTATGCATTAGGGCTTGACCCGGGGACCGCAGGGTGGAGGTTGGTCGCTGCAGTCATTGCTCTTCAGATGCCGTGCGCGGGACGCTCAGTTTGCGACGCTTTAGTGGCCGAGTGGTTAAGGCGTCGGATTTAAGCTTTAGCTTTTGTTTCCCGATGGATTTATCCGCAAGAGTTCGATCCTCTTCTAAAGCATGTTCTTTTGCAGCTCTGTCCGTTCGAGTTGGACCTGGTCACCAACTTTTTGCTTTTGCCCTGCCCATCGAGTATCCTCCTGACCTTTCATTTCTGACGAGAGGATGGCACCCAAGCGCCGCCCCGTCAATGTCGTCCGCTCAGGAAACGCCGGCAACTCGTCCAAGCCTGTCAAACCGCCAGTCGTCGACCCAGACAAGCCTATCGAGCCACCTCGACCTCCACCGCTCTTCCCAGCAGGGTACAAACCGCCCGTCGTCCAGCTGAACGAGCGGTGTCAGAAGGCAGGATGGGAACGGCCTATCGTTGATGCTCGGCCGAATCCGCGGTCTGATCCGCAGACGTGGACAGGCAGCTGCACCCTCCGCAAGCGGATCAGCAAGAATGTGTACAATCTGGAAGAGGTGCGGATGGTACCGATGCCGCCTGTCCAGGTGGAGGCGGAGAGCGCGGCTCTGGCGAAGCACTGGGTTGCTACTTATGTGCTCTTCAGGGTAGGTCATGCTGTCTGGCGGAAAGGAGAAGCTGATGGGTAGCTGTTCTCAAATTTCCCGTTGGCGATGTCCTTGCCGCCAAGTATCAGGCCGTACTGGTCCCAGCTTCAAGCGGAGAAGGCTAGTGCGCCGGAACATCGGGCATGGGAGTGGGCTGAAGACCCCTTCAAGGCCAAGAAGGAGGTTGAGGGGCGGCAGGAGCGACGGAAGGAGAAGGAGGCGGTCAAGAATGGAGATGGCGATGCGGGTGGAGCTGGCGGTGGGGGGCGACCAGCCGCTATTGCGGATGGAGGGAGAGGTGGCGTGCAGTGGAGTAGAGCGCCGGAGGTGAAGATGAGTGGGGCGTTGAGGGAGATGGTGGAGAATACCGTTCGCAAGGTGAGTCCCTTGTCCGATCAGAGGACCGCTAGCTGACGAGTAGATGATGCAGCAGTATCCAGAAGCAGTGATGGATGCCAATCGCTCCGCCACTCCCTCCGGCTCTTCTACACCTGCACTCAATCTCCCGGAGATAGAAAACCAACTCACCACCCTCGGCTTCCGTCCCGCTCACATCCGATCCTGTATGACCGCCATGTCATCCGCGTACGCCCGGCTCCACTCCTCGTCCTCATCCCTCAACGACCCTCTCGTCCTCTCTCTCTCCTTCCTCTCGCCCCTGGAAGCAGGCATCGAATGGCTTCTCCTCCATCTCCCAGAGGATGACCTCCCGCCGCGCTACAGGCCGACCAGCTCAAGCAGCGATTTCGTAACGGGTGCCTCTGCCAAGTCTGGCGGAAAAGACGGGCTGGTCAAGGGCTGGCTGGCAGACAAGATGGTCAAAAAGGCTGGTTTCCCGCGCAAGGCGGTGGATGCGGTACTGGATGGCCATTCTGAGCAGGGTGCGGTACTGGATGAGCTAGGGAGGAGATTGTGCGGCTTCGAGCCTACTCCAGATGTTTGGGCGGGAGACGAGGCGGACACGGCCACTAGAGACGCAGCGCGGGAAGAGGAGCTACTCGCCCTCGAGGCGGTACTCGGAGATCGATTCGTCAAGCACAGCGACACCGAGTACAGCATACAACTCGAAAGCCACACCTCCCGCGACATTATTCACCTCAACTTCATTTTCGATCCGACATCGCCCTACCCCTCCTCCCAGTACCCCGAGTCCCCACCCCCATTCTTCATCTCGTCCGAAACGATCCCCTCGTATATGCGGCTCTACCTCCACCGGTCACTCCTCGAGCAGTTCCGCGATCCGGAGCGATACGATCTCCGCGGCGTGCTCGAAGGCGGCGCGGGCGGTGCTGTGCTCAGTATGGTAGAGCACCTTGAGACGGTATTGCCAAAAGTGTTGGAGAACCCGCCGGATGTGGGCAAGGTGACGGAGCATCTAGTGCCGAAGGTGGAGGAGGTCAAGCGGGAATTGAGTGGGGAGGTGCGGCGCAAGGTTCAGAAGAGGTCGAACGGGACGGCGAAGCGGAAAGTGTATAGCCCAGAGGAGCACGAGGGGGTGAAAAGGAGAAGAGACGATTCGTTTGCCAGGCCGGCGTATGCTAAGATGCTGGCGGATAGGGCAAAGTTGCCGGCGTGGAAGGAGAGGGATAATATTGTTCAGGCGCTGGAGAAGAGCCGGGTTCTGGTAGTTGTTGGAGAGGTGAGCTTGCCACTTTGGTTCCAAGTAGGGTATGCAGCTGACCCAATCAGACTGGTTGTGGTAAGAGGTGAGCTGAGTGTCGGACGGTACGGACAAATGGATAAAGCTGACCTTACAGTACCCAACTCCCCCAGTTCCTGCTCGATCACGAAATCTCCGCCTCTCGCGGCGCATCCGCCAATATCATCGTCACCCAGCCACGTCGAGTCGCAGCTATGGGCGTCGCCGCCCGTGTCGCCCAAGAACGGCTCGAAGATGTCGACAAGAACCCCGAGACCGTCGGTTATGCCATCCGAGGTGAACGGCGAGCTGGTCGGGATACGAAGCTGCTCTTCTGCACTACTGGAGTTATCCTGCGCCGGCTGGGATCGGGTGATCCGGATCTAGAGAGCGTGAGCCATGTGATTGTGGATGAGGCGCATGAAAGGGGAGTGGACACAGATCTACTGATTTGCTTGTTGAGGGATTTGTTGGAGCGAAACAAGACGATCAAGGTAAATCTGCTGAGTTGCGCAAAGGATGCGACTGATCCCTAGGTCATCTTGATGTCGGCTACGATCAATGAAAAGATATTCATCGGTCAGTACTGGCCTTAGGCGAGCAGAGAGGACCATACTGATGACCAGACTATTTCGGAGGCTGCCCTGCTTTGACTATTCCTGGATTCACCCATCCTGTGCAAGACCAGTATGCTACGTTCCACGGTAGACGAGAGGTATCAGCTGACTCCCAGCTATCTTGAAGACGTCATACCCCTCATCCGTTTCCAGCCCCAAGCTTCCCGTTTCGGTCCCCGTCAGACGGAAGATCAAAAGGCCGCCATCCGCGCCGATTTCGCCAAGCTCAACTTGGACCCCGCTAGCCAGAACGCACTAGAGATCCTCCAAGCATCCGACCGCATAGACTACGCCCTCGTCGCTGTCGTCGTCAAGCACATTGTCGCTCAAGCCGCCTCGGACCCCAATGGCGCCATCCTTATCTTCATGCCAGGAGTCATGGAAATCCGTCAGTGCGTCCAGGAGCTTCAGTCAACCTCTCTTGGTTCGGTGGAGATCATGGCCCTCCATGCGAACCTGTCGAGCGCGGAGCAAAGAAAGGTGTTCTTATCGACGGCACCGAGGAGGAAGATTGTGGTGGCTACGAATGTGGCCGAGACGTCCGTTACGATCCCGGATGTGGTATATGTGGTGGATGGAGGGAGGGTCAAGGAGACGCAGTATGATGCGGATAGCGGGCTGCAGAGATTGGTGGAAGCGTGGACCAGTAGGGCTTCGGCGAGGCAAAGAAGGGGTCGTGCGGGTCGTACGCAGCCGGGACAGGTGAGCCGAACTAATTTCAGCACAAGTGAAGTTGGATACTGACGGAGTAGTGCTACAAGCTGTATACAAGACGGACCGAGAGCAACAGCATGCCCAAGTTCCCAGTACCGGAGATTCTGCGCACACCGCTGGAGCAGCTATTCCTCCAAGTCAAGGCGATGGATGAGGACACGGATGTCCGAGCATTCTTGAGGTGAGCCGGAGCTGGTCTGGATTGCACGTCATAGCTGATGAGTATAGCAAAGCAATCGATCCTCCGAAATTCGAAGCGATGGACATAGCATGGCAGACGTTGCTGGACCTCGGCATCGTCGAGGGAGAAGATCAGAAGAGTCGATTGACGGCGCTGGGCAGACATGTAAGTCTCAAGAGCAGCGTAGTGATCATCCAGCAGCTGAACAAGTAGATCAGCATGATTCCCGTCGATATTCGCTTGGCGAAAATGCTCGTCCTCGGCGCTCTCTTCAGATGTCTCGATCCGAGTAAGCTCCTTCCGCCGCTCGGAGGTTGTCTGAGCTGACAGGCAGTATTGACTATCGCTGCTCTCCTATCCGCGAAACCTCTTTTCACCTCGCCGATGGATAAGCGGGAAGAGAGCAAGAAGGCGCGAGAGTCGTTCAGCCGGTCGCGTTCTGACCTCCTCACGGACGTGGCTGCTTTCGATGCTTGCAACGAGATGAGGGGCAAAGGTGGATCCCATGGAGCAGTACGACAATTCTGCGAATCGGTAAGTCCATCGATCTGGTCCGCAAGCGGGGCTGACCGATCTCGCAGAACTTCATCAGCTCCACCACCATCCGGGACGTCACTTCCCTGCGACAAGACTTCCTCTCCGCGCTCTCCTCTATCGGTTTCCTCGCTTCGACCTCTCACGCCGCCCTAGCCCGGTTCAATACCAACTCGACCAACGACAATCTCATCAAAGCCATCATTGTCGGCGGACTTTACCCTCGTGTCGCTCGCATAGCGCTCCCAAATGCCCAGTTTGAGCGCATACAGGCGGGCGCGGTGCAGAAGGATCACGCGGCCAAGGAGGTCAAGTTCTTCGACCAGGCAGGGAGGGTGTTCCTGCATCCTTCATCGGTGCTCTTTGCGGAGACAGGGTTGAAAAGCGGGTTCGTGACGTACTTTTCAAAGGCGGAGACGAGCAAGGTGTTCCTGCGGGATTCAACGGAGGTACGTCGACATCTTCAAATGCTCGGACTACCCACTAGGCTTAAGCTGAATGACAGGTCCCTCTTTTCGCCCTACTCCTGTTCGGCGGCCCGATCACTGTACAGCACTTTGTTGGCGGTGTCATGCTTGGCAAAGACGGCTTCATCAAGCTCAGAGCGAATACCCGAATTGCTGTCCTCTGCTCTCAACTACGGCAAGTCCTTTCTCGGCTGGCTCGACGGATATTTCAGCTGACATGTCAGGCGCTTACTCGATGCGCAACTGGCAGAGAAGATCGAAAGTCCCGAAGGAATGGATCTTGAGGGTCACGACGAGGTGGTACAGGCGATGATGGCGCTGCTCGCACGGGACGGCCTCAGTCTATGAGATCCGGTGGACCGCTTCTTGCAGGCCCGGTATTTTGACGATCGACGAGACATCCTTCGAGCTCATTGAGACGTCTCCCTCTCGCCCCTAATCTGTGCCTGATCCTATCTGATGGCTTCCGTCGGACATGTGTATTCGTGTCCTTAAGTGACTGTATCACGTACAACAGGCACATCCGCCCATCCCCTGATCCATCAAGCCCTCCAGCCGCCTTATCCGCTCTTCGATCTTCTCCATCGCCGTACTGACGATCTCCACCTGTCCCTTTCGATACACCTCTACCATCGTCCGTACCTCATCCCTTACTTCCCCCTCACCTGGCGAAGCTTGCTCCAGCTTCTCCAGCTTATCATCCAGCATCTGCCCCAAAGTCCCCAGGACATCCAGCTCGAGCTGCATCGACTTCTCCTCCTGCGCATGCAATGCGTGCTCGTCCTCCGAGTCGATCTCTTCTTCCTCCACGGGATAATCCGGTGAGAGTAAGATGCGGAGAACGCTCATGAGATCGGGGTCGAGCTTGCCATCTCGTCGAAGGAGGAAGCGCTTTGTCGGGTCCAGCTCGGCTTTGGTCAGGCGTTCTGTGACTGTGCCGCTAGCTTTTTGGGAGCCAAGCTTGAGAGCGACGACATCGTCGGGATTGTCGTCGATGACGAACCCGTACCCCAGCAGGAGCTCCTCGTTTGGTTTTGGTCCGTAGTTGTTGAATAGCTGCGCCCCTTTTGAATGAGCTGCGGGCGTGACGAGGGAAATGGTCTTGGTAGAGCCGTGTGAGGTGGATGGGGTCTCGGAGGAAAGCCAGACGATAGGCTGGCCACGAGCGTGATTGAATAGGTCAACACCGGGCAGGAGGACGGGATGGGAGTCCTCCTCGTCTGAGGTCTGGATGGCGGAGGTGGTGGAGGAGCCGGTGTCGGGCAGTCGGAGGAGTTTGGAAGGGAAGGCGCGGGAGGAGAGGTAGGTCGCAGTCAGAAGATAGCGATCCCTGCCTGTTCAGTATGCACTCGAGCGGGACAGACGGGTGTCTGTAGACTTACCAGGTCAATCCATCCTTCTTCAATACAGCATTCATAGCCGCCCATTCTTCCTTCCATTCCGCCTTTCTATCCATCACCGCGCCGTGTAGGTTGGTTCCCCGCAGGAGATCCAGCTCGGGCTCGGTAAAGTAAAGAGGGGTGGTCAGATCCGGCGCAGGGGGGAGGGAGTTGATGTACGGCCAATGCCGTAGACTGGAAGGTAACGATCTATCGTCAGTATCACTCGAAGCTTTGACTCACTCTTCGCCCTCCTCATCTGTACGGACCCAGTGAAGCCCGATGTACGCCCCTATCCGCATACGGTCATTCCACTTCTCCCCAGCTCGGCTCGTTCCCGCTAGCCATACTAGCTCATCCTCCTTCAATGACTCGATCGCGCAGATGGCTTCGCCAGCGAGCTCGGGTGTGACTGCGAGGTTGAAAGGGCACGAGATGAGGCGCTCATCCTTGTCGATGTCGGCTTGAGCAAAGGCGGATAGACCAGTCGAGGGGTCTAACATTTTAGCGATATGTACCTGGGCCGAACTCACCAAGCTCTGGAACCACACTAGGGTGGACATATCCACCCTGAGCTTCTATCCACTGTAAGAGGTTCTGCACCTTCTGTGTAGACGAGCTCATCCTGATGGCATGCAAAGGCTATAGTCAAGTGGTAGGCCATGTACGGTGAAGCCTGATTTCGCCACCAGATTTCGCTGGTGGCGAAATCTGAAAGTGGCGTTTCTGATCTGCCAAGCATGTAGCGGCCGGTATGGCGCGTTTCTTCGAGAGGGGGGCAAGGCAATGCGCTTCCTGTACTGCTCTGCTCATTCAAGTCATTCCAATTACGCACTGGGCGGCACTAGGAGTCTGGGAGGGGGGTATAGATGTGAATTGTCTCCACGGTCTCCTCCGTTGTTCTCCCCCACACTGATCTTGCCATCCCAGAGCCGCAAAATATGATGGAAAATCAGCGACAGAAGGGATGCGAGACCTACAACAAGCTGAGAGTTCTGTCTGGGGAGTGGATCTCGAAGGACATACCGGTGGCCGACCTGCACGAGCGGAACCGGCATAAAGGCACTCGCTTTCATTGCGCATTGACACTTTCCGGGCTCCTATAGACTGCGGGTGTTCGTGCTGATTGTACCACACCGTGATGACTGAATCTGAGGGAGACGATGCTACCCCCTTACTTCGGATTTGATGCGCGAATGGATCGTCTCATGTCAAAGGACGCCCTGGGCTCATCAATGTTCTCCTACTTACAGCGTAGCGCTTACCACCATCGACGAGCTCGAGGGTGCAAATCGGCTTACAGACCCGGCCCCCTCGTTTGAAGGAAAGCGGACCCTCGCACAGGCACTAACACTCCCTGACTATTAAGGAGGTTGCATCGCGGTCTAGACCACTGAAACTGCTCGTCATATATTGCGGTGCTATGATCCTTTGCCTCCAAGGCTCATTGCGTTTCAGCCTTCATATGGCGAGAGCTGATCGTAGTCTGCTGAGAGTGTAGTCCTTTGTACTCGCCTAAAGATCGGTACCTTGTGCCCGATCACACCACCGCGGCGCGGTCTGCCCCGTCCCGTTTGACTCTGTCATTCACACTTGCCTGACATACCATCGACCGATATTCGATACACGCTCATGTCACGCCCACAGCGATGCCTCTCCCCAGAGGAGATACTCGATACAGTTAGTGAGTACACTCAAATCCCCAGCTGATAGAAAGCTGCTACCTGGTCCCGCTCGAGGGTCAAAGGGGACATCCAAAAGTACGCCCTAGAGTTCGCTAGTCTCCATCAGCAAGCAACCACGGCAGCTTACGACCTGTTCCTATTGACACAGAATGAAATGGGCGACGCGACCATCTCCCTGCTCCTGGAAGACCTGGACAAAGTATCAGGCCAAAGAGCGACGGAGTTGAAGGCCCTCAACAGGCTACAGCGCTCCGCTACCAGTTCCCGAGGGAGAGGGGCAGTTGCCGAAGAAGTCGAGACTCACGAATGTCGCATTGATCAGCTTGATAAGGAGGCGGAAGTTCTCGAGCAGAGGCTGCAGGAGGCTCGGGAGGCTCGAGAGGGACCCATCAAAGCATACATCTTGGAGACGAAGGAAGAGGCTCTCGAGGTGTTCACGGATTTCGTCAACTCAACTTTGGTCGAGGTGGGTGGACAGAGGGTTTCAATGTTGCCGGAGACGTCTCCAGCGTATGCGTGGGCCATCGCGGGGTATACTGGACGCTGGCCGCCGACGGCAGCGAATGTGCGAACAGAGTACAAGGCTGCGCAGGGACGCACGGAGACCTTGGAGAAGGACGCAGAAGACAAGATTGGATGGGCAAAGCGCAAATTATCGAGAGACCCGGACCTTTCAGCCAGGCTGAATGCCCTCGTTGAGTGTGGCTTGGACTGGCAAGCGCCTCCGGCAACTTGGTATGTGCCAGATACCGACCGTGTCAACAAAATCTATAACGACGCCGCCGAGGCTAGATTCGAAGTTGAGCGGAACACGTGGGATATATTGCGGTACAGGGAGTGGTCCAGGCGGATGGCGGACCAGTCGTACTCGATCCTCGGCCATGATATTGACTACAAGTGTCTGATGGAGCGACCAAGCCGGCCCCGGCAGCGAGTCAGTGCCGCTACCAGTTCGCGACATCCAGCCACGTCAAAACTTGTCGAGAGGACTTTGCCACCGAGTTGGGCCGCACCTATCACCACGCACAGCTGGTATGAAGGACATCGAGAAGGCAAGAGAGCTCGGGAGGAAGCCGATGCGAGAGCAGAAGAGATAGAGCGCGAGGAGAATGACAGGCTTAGGGCAGACATGGAGGAAGGGGCTCTGATCTACGGGGGGCGGAGGTTCCGAACGGAAAGGGAAACGAAGCTCGCTCTGCTGCTTGAGACGGCGCAATTGTCGAGAGAGTTGGGCAAGTCGGACGCGGATGTTCACGAGGCTGCCTACCAAGACTACAAAGCGCAGATACAGGTGCAGGTGGCGCAGGATGAGGAAGATGTAGAGACTGCGAACAGTACTGCAGACTTCAACCAGGGATTCAGCATTCGTCTGCGAGACCAGTAGAGACAGGACGGGAGGACGTAACTGCAAGATGAGGAGAGCGGGCGCCTCGGATATATCAGCATGGAGTAGGTGAGCGCAGAACTGCTGTGGATTCACGATGAATGGCGAGGGATGGCTTGTGTATGTGAGGATGCAGACCTTGTGGACGTCCAGACAGCCTACGCGGCGTGGAGTCTCATCAGCAGGACTGAGCCGTGAAGAGACTCTCGTCTTCAGATTGATGAGAATAGTCAGAGATAGGGCGAGCTATACTTGCATAAGCGCGTCTGGTAGTACTGCTAATATGCGCTCAACGCTTTGGTATTCAGTCTCGCACAGTCCCACCTTTCGGGTATATACAAGTGGTGGTGTGCTGTGCGTGGATCGAGGGGTCACTTGGCCAAGCCAATCAAGCAGCCCTGTACATCAGCATCTCCCCCCTTCTTTTCCGAGGAAAAGACTCACGGAGCCGCAACCTCAACACCCGCCTCCTCAGCCGCCGGGACCACTTCCTCCCTCTCCACCCTCTTCATCTCATTCGCAATCTTGGCCGAGATGGTCCGGTCGCCGACGAGCGTCCCTTCCACCTTATCCACCGCCTCCTTCTGCTGCGCCGGGTCCTCGACCTCGACAAAACCATAACCCCTCGAAGCCTTGGAAGACTTCTCCTCCTTGTTGCGGGGCTTGCGGTTGCGCATGGCTACCTTGGCGGATTTGACATTGATCGAGAGGTTGGTGAAGATGGCGGTGAGGCCTTCATCGTCGATGTCGAAGGGAAGGTTGGCGACAAAGATTTGAGTCTAGAGTATCAGCTTGATTCGACCGAGGCTTAACCGCAGAAAAAGTAAGCCCAAAAAAGCTCACCTTGGACAACTCGCCGGTCGGCTCAGACCTGAGCCTGGGTGCGCGGGGCTTGCGCTCCCTCTTGGGCTTCTCCGCCTTCTCAGCTCCGTCCTCCTGCCCCTCGCCCTCGACAGCGTCGATACGCGCCTCGGTAGCCGCCTTGGGCTTCCTCTTCCTCGCCTTGGGCTTGGTAGCAACCGCCTCGCCAGTTTCGCCATCGACAGGAGCGTCGGTAGCTTCAGCGGCGGTTCCCTCCTCCCCTTCCTCTCCAGGCTGGCGGCGGCGAGGAGCGCGCTTCTACCTAGTCAGCTCTCACTCCTCCAGCAGAGAAGGTGTGACATACCTTGGAGGGCTTCTTCTTCTTCTTCTTCTCGCCATCACCGACGACCTCGCCATCGGTGACAGCGGTAGTGTCGCCAGCAGCGGTGGTATCACCCGCAGCAGCGGCCTTCTCGGCCTTCTCAGCGTCCCGGGCGGCCCGAGCGGCATCGCGACGCTGCTTGACCTCGGCGCGGTGCTTCTCGGTCTCTTCCTTGTTGCGGGCCTGATCGAGCTTGATGGTACGGCCGTCCAGCTCTGAAGTGTCAGTTGATTTCCGCACGTCGAGGCAAGCAAAGGAATCTGTAACTCACCGGAGCCGTTCAGCTTCTCAACGACAGCCTTGGCTTCCTCCTCCTTCGCGTATTCGGCGAAAGCGAAACCCCCGGGACGTTTCCCGCCGAACTTGGTGGGGAGCTCGACTGAGGTGCTGGTGAGTCAGCTTGGGCTTGAGGAGGGATACGCAGCCGGCAGCTTACGCGTTACCGCCAGCAGTGGCGAGGTGGGCCTTGAGAGTCTCCTCGGTGCTCTACTCCAATCAGCTTGAGCTCTAACAATTCGCTTGTAAGCTAACTCACGGAGTAGGAAAGGTTGCCAATGTAAACCTATGAATGAGCTTTTATCCAGGTTGCCTGCAATAAACAAAGCTCACCCGGAAACCCTCCTGGGTAGGGGCTTCGACGTTCTCAGTAGCCATCTTGACTATTCGATCTGTTCGCGGTCTGATCGAAGGGGTATTTGTGGGCTTGGCTTTTATTTGACGCGGGAGGGATCTGGCGAGCGTAAAGGGAGGGACGTGCGGGGAGAAGGTAGGCTCGATCTGTGTTGTTCTGACCTTGTTTACTAGAGAGCCTAAAGAAAGAGAGAAGAGAGGAGAAAGGAAAGCTAGGGAAGGAATGCAGCGGTGGACGGTGGAGCGCGGTGCTCCACACAGCTGACGCGTCATTATGCCACACCCGGAGATAGCCGGCAATACCGCACGGACTGCCCTGGCAACTGGTTCCGTGGGCTGTTTCAGAGCCACGTGCACTTGAGTCCTGAAACGCACCCTCAGCTCCTCGCTGTATTCGACGCGCTCGAGCCCTTTGACCTTTGTCGGACACACATACAGCTCTGGAATGCCATTTGCGCAATAATATACGCCTGACTCCCCTCGTATCCAGGCAACGGAATATCATCGACTATCCCGAATAGAGCCGATAGATCCGGTCCAGCATGACCGTCCAATCCGGGCAAAACGGCGGTCAGCCTCGAGGCCTCGAGGCACGCACACACACCCTCTTTTGAGTTACACGCTACACCGTCATCAACGCCTCCCAACCACTCCCGCCCGAGCGTCTTTTGTCTAGTTCAGTCTAGACCGCCGCACCCTCCCTCCTCTTACTCGGATCCGCTCATCATCCCTCCGCACGCCTTCCATACCTATGATCATACCGCGGTCCACCCCTGCCCGCTCCGCCTCCGCTTCTCCCTAGCTGTTCCTGCGCCCTGTCGTATCTGATATCAGCCCATAGGCCTTTGCGGGGCAACGGGCGGTCACAAGGACAGGGGCAGGAGGACGCGGGGCCGCGGACTGGATATACTCACGGGGATGCCTTTGGGGTCGTCCTTTGGACATTTAAGCGCGTTAAGCGAAGGGGAGGGGAGTGGGGGGATTGAAAACCTAATCTCGTACAGGCACGCTCTGCTCACTTGTATTAACATTCAAGCTCGGCCGACTCAACCCAATCCAGCTGGAAAGGTATCGTCAGATACCTCTGTCCGTTCTGATCCGAGCGCTGGATTCCCGTAATCGCCCATCCGCCAAGGTTTCCACGTTGGCGATGACAGATATTGGATCTGAGCGGCGGCCCTCGTTGTGTGTGGCGGTACCGCTCGAGATCTAAGCTTTTCACTAGCGCATACTCTTACCTCGGAGATGGACCAATCAGACGCCGAGCCGAGCTTGCCGCCCTCCGTCCTCGTCCCCACTTTCGCCACTGCCGCTTTATTAGGTCTCCTTTAGAGTTTCATACCTCCTCCCTCCCATCTGCTGCGTGTCCGAGGGCGCTCATTGTTGTTGCTCCATGACCGTCGCCGAGGCCGCGCGGGATGATTAATGATGGGATGATGATGATGGTTGATCAACCTTGCAGCGTATAAGGTAGCCTCACATCAGATACAGCCGTAGATCCCCCTCCCGCTCCCCCACTTGCTTTCACCCACCCACTCACTCTCTCTCCCGGCCGCTAGTCTACTCATCTCCACTCTTGTCCTCATTTGCCACTCACTACTATATAGCACGACACATCGCTGCTTGCTCCTCCTTTCTTCCCCCTCGCAATCTCCCCTGCCTAGATTACCCCTGCCTTTCACCTCGGCCCAAACGGCTCATCGACCAGATCGACACAGCCGCCTCCTCGAACCCCTCACACCCCCTGTCCACCTCCTTTCACCTACTACGCAGCATCACTATCGCCCCTCTCCCCACCACCATCTACAATCTGGACAGGACAGAGCAACAAGGCGTATAAGGTGCGACAACGGAGCGGTGCACGCCCTCCTCAGGGGTATACGTATCGCACGGACGGCTCTCAGCACGGATCAATAGCATCAGGTACGTGCCTTGTTCTCGCCCCAACCTCCACCTGTTTTCAGACCTTCACTTAGCCTATCGATACCCATTCACCTCTTCCCAAACCACCCTTTGTCGTACGCCTTCCCTTCTTCCCATCACGAATCTCTTCAGACAGTCTGTGAGAAGGCGCATCAGCCAAGATAGAAGGGGTCGAACAAGGCGTACGGTTCTCTGCATTACCTTTCTTCCCCATTCCCCAGCTTTTGCTTTCGCCTACTTTTCGCTTCTATACTCGTCTTGCTATAGAACGCTTCTGACCATCAGTACAGACGCAATCAGTCCTCTCGGCGCTTCTCATATCGCCCATCGATAGAATCATCAGAAGCCTGCTCAATTTCTGTGAGTGGCGTCTCTTCTCCCCTCTTCCCTCGTTCCTCTTCGCTTTCCCCTCTTATTCTCTCTCGCCTCTTCTCCTGCTCGCTTGGGCCCAGCTGACGATGTAGTCCGTGCCCCTCCTGCTACAACATGGACTTTCGCCGCCCGACCCCCTCCAGGTCCGCCTCCGGCCCAGGCGCCGCAGCCATGTCCCTCCCCACCCGCTCCAACCGCTTCTCATACTCCTTCGATGACCCGCTCTCGGCCTACCGCGCAGGCTATGTCTCTCCCGACCCCACGCCTTCCATCCCCGACTTTTACCCCGCTCCCAACACCCACGGGGCCCGGGGTCAAGGTCAAGCTCATGCCCAGTCACTCACTGCTCCCAGGGGGTATCCGGCCGGTCCTGGGTCTGAATTGTTCACCAATACCGAGCTTATTGCGCCTGGTCGTCGACGACAGGGACACGGTCATGGGCCAGGCCAAGGGGTTAGAGGCGGTGGCGAGTACACTTCGTTGTACGATGATGGGTATGGCGGAGGAGGTGGACGAAGGTCTGGGCGAGGTGAAGACGATGTAGCAGGGGAGATGGACCCCTTCTTTGTCCCGGCGCTTCCGGCAAGGAAGGAGGAGAAGAAGGGGAAGAAGATCAGGAAGGCGCCTGAGATCAAGCAGCCTACGTTCTTGACGAAGCTTTATGGGTGAGTACCAGCTGGGTATTGCTCATGGGTGTCTGAGGAGCACAAGCTGACGTCTCTAGGATATTGTATGTCGATCATTCCTTGTAGTATCGTGTTGTCAGCTGACGTATGATAGGGAGCAGCAGGAGTACAACCATGTAAGTTGATCTCCACCGTCTCCAGCCATCTTCCCCCTGATCCTCGATATCACCTGTGCCGTTCTCCCTCATCTACCTGGTCCGACCCGCTTCATGCTATTTCACTTGGGGCCCGGCTGACGTTTAGATCATCCGGTGGGACCAAGAAGGCGCCATCATCATCATCGAGCGCCCAGGCGAGCTCGCTACCAAGGTCTTACCTCTCGTTTATCGTCAGAGCCGGTTCGCCAGCTTCTCGAGGCAGCTCAACGTAAGCTATATCCACCTCCAATTTGATGTTCTGTGCATGGGGTTCCAGCTCACTCCACTAGATTTACGGCTTCATGCGCAAGGTCAGCTTGCGACATATCGAGGAGACCATCTCTGACCCGGACGCCAGTACTTGGTGTGAGCTTCCCTTCACTCTTCTGCGTCGTGGCCGAGCGGAGGAGACAAGCTGACTCTCAGCGCATAGCACCCTTCGACGCGACTCACCCATCGACGAGATCCTCAACTTCAAGCGTCGCGTCGGTCCCCGTCCATCCCAAGCCAAACGCCGCGCCTCCGTCCCCGAACAGATGCTCTCGCCGACCGAATCGGACGTATCGGACTCTGGCGACGCGTACCTCCCCAACCTACTCGACGGGGCGGACGTCATTGCGCCTATGCCATCCCCTCTCTTCCACGCCGAGTCGCTGTACGAGACGCCCCCGCTCGGGGGGTATGCGGCACTCGGGGGTGTTTCGCCCGATTCGGACTATCTCCCCCAGCCCGACTATCTACCTCAGGGCGAACAGCAGCAGGCGCAGCAGCAGACTCAGCAGGAGCAAGGTCAGCAGCAATGGGTGCCGAGCTACCAATCTTACAACTCCTACAACGCCAATCCCGGCCCGATCATCCATCCCAACTTCTCCTCCACCTTTACGTCTACTGCTCAGCAGCATACCTACGCCTACACGCCGTGCATGCCCCAATCGGCTCCGGTGCACATGTACAGCAATGGCAAAGCGTACGACGTGCAGGTCTTCCAGGGCCACCTCAGGACACGGTCAGTCCAGGCCGAACCACCCTCGGCGGCCATTTGGACTCCGGCGCCATATGGGTCCAACTCGTATGGCGCCTTACCTACCAGCCTGAGCGTTGCTTACCCCACTAGCGTTGCCAACAGCTTCGGTACGGGCACGGCTACTGGTACGGCCATGCCCAACAACAACGGAGGCGACAACAACGGCAATGCCAGCCTCGGCGGGAACGGCAATACCATCCAACAAGGCTGGGTCAACTGTTACACCAACGAGCCCATCTCCCCTCCGCCCAACTCGCTCGGTATGATCGGTGCCCGGATGGCTACGACTTCTACCTTTGACGGTCCAGCTTCCGTCCCTACCTCGTTCTCGCCCCTCAGCGCCAGCGCCGGCGCCAACTCTGGCTCAGCAGGTCTCGGCGAGCCATTTCAATACCGCCCGGCCGCGTACCCGCGACACCACAGCCTCTCCGGCTCGGCCGAATCAAACCCCTCATATCCGCCCGCTACGGTCTCGCCGGGAATATACCAATCCGGCTTCACCCCGCCCGTCAATGTTCTGACTCGCTCGGTATCTTCGCCACGCCCAGCATACTCCCCTTCTCCCGCTACCTCCATCGCCGTCCCCGCACCAAGCACCTCTCCCCGTCAAGTCAGACGCCAATCTATATCCTCTACCCCTTACTCGCCAACTCAGCGATCGCGTCCTCCTCTCAGTCTCGCGCAGCTCAGCATGTCCCCTCGGAACTTCGGGCTCGGCCTAAGCTACGGGCATGGACACAGCCATGGGGCGTTAAGGGGCTTGGGAGGAATGAGCGGGAGTGGATCCGACGGAGGAGGGTACAAGTCAAGCACGATGGGAACGCCAGAGATGGTCATTCCGGAATTACCGGTCGGGCGGGTTGTGGTTGTTGGGGACAAACACGATGGGGAGGGGGATGAGGGGTTGCCGAGCGCGGGGTTGATGGCTGGGTTGGGGATCAGTGGGGTGGATGGAGGAAGTCCATTCGGGGGGATATTGTTCAAGGGGGAGGAGTATGCGGATGAGGAGGGGTGTTGATGATGAGGAGGAGGAAGAGTAAGGCTCGAGGGAGAGGAGTCGTGAGTCTGCTTCTCAGCTATTCATACTGCCTTAGCCCGGATGATAAGCTGATCACTTAGATTGTATATCATATCAAACAGCTGCCAGCTTCCGGCTGACATTGATTGTCCCGGCTGTATCACCACCCCACTCCATGTCTTACGATCTTTACGCGCCATCACGCCTCGGTACAATATGGCTTCTCAAGCTTGCCCACCGCCCCGCCATATACGGATGTCGAGTTGGTAACGCCTACATACCCTGCATCGGCCCCTCTCTTTCGGCTTTCCCCGTATCTTTCCCAAGGTCCATCTGTGATATCCCCTAGAGCTAGAGTATGTATAGTCTGACTAGCTTGCTTTGGCTGTAGACCATGTTTTGTATCAGATAGAAGTATATACGAAGGATTTGACGACCTATCACGAGATGAATGTTACGTTTTGCTGTGTCTCTAGCAGCTCGCCAGTCCTGGTGCAGGCTGCCTCATACGTTCTCTCAGGGGTAACCTCCAGCCTCCCTGCCCTGCGACGATGTCTCGCGCGACCCACGTGTAGCCAAACTCCTCATTCCTCATTACGTTATGTTTTCGCTCGTCGCAGAGTCGCGACTCGCAATGCGAGGCAGCGTACACGTTTAGTACCGCAACCTGTATTGCTTCCTATCCAGCATTGCAGTATCTGCCCGACAGAGACACCAGGATGCTTCCTCCTCAAAGGTCAGGATCTTCGGGTCGGGCACCAAGTATAGACCCAGACGACGCTATCCGGGCAACAGACGACGATGCCGCTGCTTCACGTTTGTCCGTTCTTCCTTCCCCCTTCACCTTGTCTCGGCGTGGCTATCTGCTGCGAGATTGCTCATTGGCTTTGCTGCCTGTCCCCTCTTACCTTCCTGGCTGCAAAGCTGGCTCTGCACCATGTTGAGTCGTCCAAGCTGACTCTCCCCAGATCCGCCGTGAACCTGGGCTACCTTCCCGACCCGTTCCTACCTTACCTATACCGCCCACCCATGAGCTCCTCCCACGGCGGCAACGCTGGTGCTGGAGGACCCAGTCGGAAACCTCCACTGATCAATGTGGGGACGCATCATCGGACGATGGCGGTAGATATGCTGGTTCAGCAGTTTTTCCACCGGGGAGGGGGACAGGTTTTGAGTTTGGGGGCGGGGAGCGATACGAGGTTTTGGAGATTGGTGGTGAATACCTTTGGGATATGATATGGATCACAGCCAGGGAGGGCAGGTTTCAGGGTTCAAAGTCCTGAGAGTCGGGAAGGCTTTCGCCTGAAGATGGGGAAGGAAGGGGCAACGGCGTGAAAAGGGACGATGATGGCGGATACAGCGGAATGATGGCTGACGCGACAGTCACAATCTCCTAAGCCGAACATGTCCCGCTATGTCGAAGTGGACTTCCCGCATCAGACTTCCCAAAAGGCACAACGCATAGCACGAACCGCCAAGCTTCACTCCATCTTCCCCTCTCCATCTCCAACTCCTTCCGCCTCCCCTTCCTCCTTAACCAGCAAGCCATACACTGTCTCCAACGGCGGCACCTCTCTACATGCGCGAAGCTACTCTCTCGTCCCGTTGGACCTACGCGATCCTACCGCCCTTTCTGGGCTGGACGGCCTCCTTGACCCAGACCTGCCGACGCTACTCCTTGCGGAATGCGTGTTCTGCTATATGAAGCCGGAGGACACGGATGCTGTGTTGAAATGGTTTGGAAGATTCAAGGAGGCAGGGGTGTTGGTATATGAGATGATTGGGCTGGAGTGAGCTCAGCTGCTAAACCCTTGACAAGGGACGGAGCTGATGCGACTAGGGATCAATTTGGGCAGGTCATGAAGCGGAATCTGGCCGTAAGTATACTCACTCGGGCTAGGGGCTCAGGCTGATGTTCAGACGCGTAATCTCAGCCTACCGGGCGCAGTATACCGTACCTCTGCAGACCAGGCGAATCGCTTTCTCAACCCCTTACTCGGCTCCGGGGCGTTCTATACGTCCGATGCCAAGACATTATGGGGTATACATACGGACGTTATCCCGAAAGAGGAGCTACAGCGGTGCGTCACATCAGCATTCGTGTGATACTTGGATAGAGGCTGACACAAGAAGGATAGCTGCGCTGGAGCATCTGGATGAGATTGAGGAGTTGAGGCTGGTTCTGTCGCATTACTGCGTGGCGTGGGCGACCAGGGGCCAGATTTTAGAGGGGATAGGATTTTAGACTGTGCGCTGCAGCGTGCGAGGAGCGATGTCGATACTCACCCATTTGACATTTCATGCCTTGCCGAGATCAAGTTTGACGCTCTAAGTATCGCGAAATTCTTACTGATACCGCTACAATAATGATGGTAGGATGAGGGGCTGACTGATCATTTCAACATTACCATAGAGCTACTCTTCTCGGTTCGGTGTTGGAAAACAAGGGACCAGCCATCTGGGACCATGCCAGGGACTTCGATTTGGACCTTCGACAGAGTCTTCAGAGAAACCTGGGGGGCCAGAGAGCGACGGTGTAGACTACTTGTGAGACTGCTGAAATCTCGAGTCGCAGGCGTAGATACGATGACCAAATTGAGCACACTGTAATACGGAGGTGTCTCCACTGGTACACAGCCGTGTCTTCTGCGGACGTCAAGATCAGCCCTGAAGCTGGAACATACCCCGCCATGAGAGCAGCTGGACGAGGTAAAAATGCATTGAGATGGCAAAACATACAGGCGTATCACGCGTCGCGAGCCCATGGTAATGATGCGGCCGACATCTGGATGGGAGCGAACGGCTCGTGTGTGGCCGCCTCTACAGCGATCCATCGAACAAGTATCTGTTGATAGCCCAGCCCAGAGCTTTGTCCTTCTCCCCTTCATGCTCGAGCCAGTCGTAATCACGGACGGCAGCCGAGATCGGAGTGGTGTCTGTCAAACGCATCGCCGCGATAGGGTTCGCAGAACCTTCAGCGGTGGCCCAATCGAGTAGGTTCACACGGAGCGCTCGAACGCCGGAGCCGTTGATGCGAGTGAGGAGATAATTCCTTCCCTTCTCATCGTCGTATTGAAGATCCGGGTTTGACCTTGCATTGATGCTCTCTTCCACACACTTCTGCATGACGTCTCTCAGACTTTCCAAGGTGGGCAGACGTTAAAGGCCGACCATCCCGTGGATCACCTCGCTGTGCCGGAGACTGTGCAGCCCATCATGTAGCCATGGTGCCCTGCGAGCAATCAATGAGAGGCTTGTGGCGATCTTCTCCCGCATCTCGTCGAAATCACACTCCATGTCTAGGATCTCATCGTCGATCCAGCCGATGTGTCCGTCTTCATCGTCGTATCCTGGTGTCTCCATCCATTTCAACTTTGTCCTTTTGACAGCCTCCAAGACGGCCACATCGTGCCGATTGATGGACATTTCCTCCAGCGGCCCCGAAATCTTCTGCCACTCGATCTCAAGATCCGCATCGGGATATGTGCAGTCCAGCTCTAGATACGGTAGGTCAGCTTTGATCTATAAATCACAGAGAGACATTGCAAGCTCACCTGTCAACTTTTGCTGGATGCTTTCGGCGATGTCGATCACCTTTCGCCTCTTCTCCAGGACGGTCTCGTACCAGACCTTCATGTCGTCATTTCCCTCGCTGAGTGCGAAGGCGATCGCCGAGACGTGACCGAGCTTGGCGGCCTCGCCGCGCAGATGGTGGAGCTTGCTTTGCTGCTCTCCCGCCATAGACGTGGTCGCCTGCTGGAACGCTTGTTTCCGGCCCTCAACAAGCTGCTGGAGCCCGGTAGAAAGGGCTTCGCTGATGGCCTTCTGGAGAGCTGCTGTCTCAGGGACGTCCGCGAATTCGCTGAAGAACCTCATGGCCTGCCGATTTGCAAAGTTCGAGTCCTTCGGGATCGGCCACTGAGCTCCTCCCTTCAGCTTGGCATACTCCTTGCAAAGGCTAGTCACCTCATGCATCAGCTTGCTGGCGGTATCAAAAAGCTCGGCTGTGTCGCAGAGACTCTCTTCATCAGCTTTGACTTTGTCGAGGGTATTGGCGTAAGTCTTCAAGAGATGACGCAGAGCGGCCCAGTTTGCATTTGGTGTCTCGAGTGTAGGATTCTCCTCGTTAGACGACATCCTTGGGTAGAGGGGGAGCGTACAGTGTAGTGTGAGTAGAGAGTACGATGACTGGAGGGAATGCTCAAAGTGGGTGTATGTGTGACACGTACACACAAAATGTGTACGTATGTTTCTAAGGCGGTGGCAAAAGTGGCAACTTGCGGAAGTGAGGTGGCAAAATCGGAGAGGGTGCTCAGGATCGTATGGAGTCGATGGAGAAACTCTGACTCTCGAGGCTCCATCTTATAGCCCAAGAAGGGGAGATTTAACGTGCGAGCACGCCATATGACAGGAGATATTCATCTAGGGATCGTCGTCATTCACTCTCTTGTGCGTTTGACTTGAATGGTGGCTGAACGGACGGTCTGCTTTGGGAAATCTGGCGACAGAGCTGAGGCAGGGGCACGGTCAAGTGTCTCACGGGATGAAAGGATGAGAGTCTATCGAGGTCTCGCTTGGACCTGATGTCAAGCCCATACCAAATTGCGCAATCTGTTCGAACGTGTATCATAGTCTTTCACAGTACAGCTAGTGCGCAAGACGCTTGGCCTGCTCTGATGAGAATCTGAAATATTCTGGGTCCTGCCACCGGGTGGCGAATGCACTTTTGCTATGTACGATGGAGCTGCGTCTTTCTTGGTATCGAAGACGGTAGCCGCTCATCCGGTCTGCCCCATCCGTCCAAACCCCCCTTTTGTTGTCGCCAATAATTATCGGTCATCTCAGAGTAGCGAAGGCGGGAAGCTGGGCTGTCCAGAGACAGGACTAACTGGGCCAGCCGTCTGGAAAGCTGCTGGGGCTCATATCTACAGTATGGCATGTCTAGGTCATGGACTGCTCCCCAACAAAACAACTTCCTTGTCCCTTCCCACACAATTCTGCATTCGACTGCCGGGGAAGGAGGCTTGTTGAAACACTCGAGATCTCAGTGGCAGTGCGCGGTTATCATTCGCCGCTCTCATGCTCAACAGTGCTGTCACCTCGAGTCCGGTGGGGACGTGAAACCTGCGCTCATAATGTCAGCATATCGTCGCAAAGGGTGCTCTTGTGTCGCTAGCCTGCGGGCCTGACGTGCACTTTCAGGCGCGCGTCTGACCGCGGATGTACGGTAATGCACAACGTCATCCATATTCACATCTATGGCAAACCGTATCTGTTCGGCACGCGATCACTCTGCCCCCTGCAGAGATAGCTCAGCAACCCTGGTGGCGGCAAACGAATTGAGTAAGTCAATCGGTACACCAGCCAGCCAGCTCACACATTCCTTGATGGTATCATGGGCGAGCTTCTCATCGACGTCAACCCACATGGATTGGAGCGAGTCGAAGTCAGCAAAGCTGTGACCGGCCCGCGTCTCGAGAGAGTCTGGATTGTCTTTCGACCACTCGTACGTTGACGCACCGAGTCTCTTGAGCTCGAGTCTGCCTTCCGCCTTCTTGAGAACCTCTGCGATGGTCGGGATGGCCTGAGCAGTAGGGATAGCTCCATTGTAGACATCAGTCTTGGTCTGGCGCAGCAGCTCGACATCGGAGTTCTGGGAGCTGCGAAGGTCCTGGTATACCTCGGCGAGCCGGAGGGGTGTGGGAAACTCGGGGACGTGCTGGAGGGCCGTAGCTGGGCCTTGAGTGGAGATGGTAGCGTTTGCAAGCCAAGGGGCACACTCGTACAACCCGCCGAGTTTCTTTTGCAGTTGAGTGTCAAGATCCACCAACTGCATCTGCGCGTCCCGTTTGGCGAGGGCCAAGGAAGATTTGGTGGAACCGGAATGCCCAGTCTGGGAGCGAGCCTTGTCGATGACCTGCAGAGCGTCGTAGCACCCGCTGCGAATGGCCAGGATGGGATGGATGGCTCGCCACTCCCTCTGGCTTGCGGTATCCACTTTCGTCGCCCCAGAATCACCCTGGTCAGCTAGCCAAATGAGCCTTACTCTGTTTAAGGCACTGAAAGTAAAATACTCACCGAGAATGGTATCGAGAACACCTTGGAAAATGGCTCTCGCGCCCTCCAGTACATCCACGTCTTGTGAAAAGACCTTGTAGAGCTCCCTCGCTTTCTTCGTATCGTCGACTGACAGCTCCTTCGACTCGGACCAGCGTCCCGTGGCATACTCCCCAAGCCGGGCTCGATCACTCGCGCGGGTGGTACCGTCAATGAAGCTTCGAATGTGCATCTCCTCAAACTGCGCTCGGTCGTCCAGGAGGCTGCATGAGGACTGCTCGAGTCTCTTGACCTCTTCTTCCGGTACCTTCAGCCTCTGGGCGACACTCTCGACCGTCATGGGTTCGTCGAACTCCTGAACCAGCGCCACGAGCTCGGGACGCGAAAGAAGGGTACCGGTAAGTGCCGGGAAAGCCCGATGCTCGGTGACCTGCCCGTAGATCCCGCTGGCGGTCTCTTTGCAGATCTCGCTGATGACCTCCTTGTAGAACTCGCTGCCTTTGTTGATGTCCTCGACAAGTGATTTGAAGTTCTCGCGCTCTTTGACATAATCATCAGACGCAGAGTCGAGCGTCAGCAATCGCGTCGTGGTCATGTGGGTGGCGGCGAGATTCTCAGCGATCTGGCCCCAGCAGTCTTGTACGACTTTGATCGCATCCTCCCCGAAGCCTGACTTTCGGAGTGAATCGGCGTACGTCACATTGAGGGGGACAGACATTGTAGTGAAGTGGCGATGTTGTGGTAGTGTAGTGATGATGTGGTGATGGTCGAGTGAGGTATGTATGAGTAGCAAGATGATGGGACATCTGGAATGGAGGGGGGCATCGCCCCACTCTTATAGTCCGCTCTGACCCTGTCGAGGGGAGTCAGCAGAGTCGCCACCCAAAGGATTGCCACTTCGGGGCTGTGCAGTGTCATGCAGCTGACTGCGAACGTGAAGCGTCATTTGTCTAGTGCGATAAAGGAGCGTGAAACATTTAGTTGTATCTTGGCGTGCACGTGCGCGATCGAGAGATCCCAGCGCGGCTCCCCATCAGTGATGAGACATTGAGCGAGTCTCCAGCGCCGACCGTCCCAAGATATGGTGATCAGAGCCGGTTTGAGCCAGACTGCTGGAGGGTCCGCGAGAGCGCCTGGTGCAGAAATGATGTGGAAGGGATGAGTGGTGATCAGTTAATGCCGATGCCAGTGAGACGCGGTGAGCATTGATAAGTAGCGCCTTGCAATCCACGTTGCATCAAACACCCGCAGATACCTAACCACCTCACTTCCGTCTGAACGCATTCTTACTCCCACTTCTTCCCGGATCCCTCCTTTTACTTCTCCCCTCCCTCTGCATAGTCCCCAGATCCTCCCCTCCTTGCTCCTCTCCACCCTTCTCCAGCCCCGCTCCAAACCTCTCGACCTTTTTCCCTCTTGGCTCCCTCTCCTCCCCTCCTCCCCTGTCTTTCCGTGCCGTTCCTCCACTATACTCATCCTGCTCATCAACCCCGCCGGTCGTTTGAGGCACGAACGACATCTCCATGCCTCCATCGACGTGTCGCCGCATCGCCAGGACACCGTCTGGTTTGGCCGTCCCGGTAGACGAAGAGGGGCGGGACGAGGAGAGACGTTGACCGAAGGTGCGTGAGGTGGAGGATGAGCCGGCGGTGGTGGGTGTGACGAGCCGAGGTTGGGATCGCTTGGCGGCGCGCGCGGCAGCGAGGGTGGCCATTCGGCGAGAAGCCTCGGTAGCGGGTAGGATACGCGAGCGAGAGGATTCGGGTAGATTACGCGGGTCGTGTTGGCCAAGACCTACCCATCAGTTCTCTGCACCAGACAGACAGATACCATAAGAAACTCACCTCCATCATCACTATCCTCGCTCTGCTCATCATCCTCACTCTCATCTTCGTCCAGATCCGAGCTCCCACGCTCGCTCTCGTCCTCTTCCTCCTCCACAGCCGTCCGCCTGCTCCCTGTCGCACCCAACGCCTTACGCTCCGCAGCCTTATCCGCCGTCGCGGGGTTGAGCAGGGCAAACTCCCTACTCTCCTCATCCACCTCAAAGTCGGGGTTCTGCCAGATCTCCTTGAATCGGGGATCTTGCAACAGCCCAGCCCTGGCCGTACCCTTCTCACCCATCTCCTCGTCTTCCCCGTCGTCCACTTCCGCATCCGCTCCAGCAGCAGCAGCACCAGCGGCCTGCCTTGCCTTCTTGCGCTCCGCCAGAGCGGCCTCCTTCTCCTCTGCTTTCCGCAGCCGCTCCGCCAAGGCCTTGTTGACTTTGGGCTGATCCCTGCGTGCTCTGATGCGCGACTCGGACTTGCTTGCGAGCTTCTCGGCGACGAGCCGGTCTCGGTATTCCGAGTAGGATTGGGGGTTGGCGATGAGTCGAGCGGTGGTGTAGAGCTTGAGGGAGAGGAAGTAGCCGTGCATGTAGGGCTTGAGCGCGGGGGTGCCGATAAGGTGTGACAAACCAAGACTGGATATCAGTATAGAACGAAGATAGAGAGGAGAGTACGCACGTATCGATCTCGTTTCGGTCGACAAACTTGAAATCTCTGAATGCGCCTTTCCCGCCCTCGGCTGGGTCGTCGGCCATCTCTTCAGTGATAGAGTCGAGGAAGCCGGCCCATTTGGGAGCGGGACCGAGCTCGGGTACATAGTACGAAGAGAGCTGGGCGGCGTCGCATGCAACAAAGATGAGGCCAGATGAGGGGACGGCGTGTAGTGAAGTGAGGGTCGCAGGTGGGTGGAGGGAGAGCTGATTGCTGGAAGCCTGAAGAATGAGCTTGGACCTGTGAGATGTGGTAAATTCACTCACATCATTTTTGTCCCACACTTTGATCACTTTACTATCCGCACTGACAACCCTGCCCGCGTCCTCTTGCGCCCCACCACCCTTCAACCACTCGACGCACCGCATCGGCTCCCCATATCCCTGATCCTTCACCGCAAACGGCGTCGGACTTCTCAGATCATACAGTAACGTGTGCCCCGAGCTCGTCCCTACCGCCAAAGAAAGACCATCGGTCGGATGACTCGCCAGAGCCGTGACGCTAAGCTTCTTCTCCGGCTGCGCTAGGAGCGAATTCGGATCTACGCTTTGCACCGGTAATAGGGTGGTTCCGGGCAGGACGAGCCGGGTGAGAGCCGAGCGCGATCTGGGATCCCAAAACTCGACGACTCCCCCTCCGCCATCTAGTCCGAATGACCATAACCCGTGTCGAGCGTTCACGTCGACTACGTTGACGCCCTCGACTTCGCTTTCGCGCCCGTCGCCCCATCCCCGCGCGACGGAAAGAGGGGTCATATACCGCCCTTCGTCGAGGTTGAAGCGGTACAGCTCGGTTCCCGTACATCCGATAAGGGCGTCCGAGGAGGGAGAGTGGTATGCGATAGATCGGCCGTACAGGGGGAGACGGACGGAGTGGTGTAATCCAGACTGGGTGTGAAGGGAGAGGGAGCGGTCTCGTTGGAGGTGGAGGGTCTTGGTCCAGTCGTCCGAGAGGAACTGAAGGTGAGCTCAAGCATCGCATGTGCAGACATCTCGTAGCAGAGCCAACCGTCCTCTTTAATCAGGACAGGCTGTCTCACTCCCTTCTTCCGCCTCCACGCTCTCCATCCCTCCAGTCTAAGCTGGAATACCACTCACCACAAAATCCACATTCTCCGCATCCGTAACTCGCTCAAACTTGACCGTCAACCCCTCCAGATCCCACACCTTCATCATAGGCTTATACGTCCCCGTCCCGACCGCATGCGTCCCGTCCGGCGTCGTCTTGATCTTGATTGCCGCCTCGGGGAACGCAAAGTCCTGGATGAGCTCCAACTGCCCGACCTCATGTTTCGTTTTGGTCCGTTTCCGGTGACCGCCGATGTTGCGGGGTCGGGCCTTGATGGCGAGCCAGGAGGGGAGGGTGGGGGATGAGGTGGAGGAGGGACCGTTGACGGTGTAGATTTTTGGGAAGGCCATGGTGGCGGTGGGTAATTTTTCGGAGGCGGATGCACGTAAGAGGCGGCAAGAAATAGGAGGCGCTACAGCACTACCCAGGCCTGACTTCCTATAGCTGGACAGAGAGATATGGAGAGGTGTGCAGTGTCAACAGCAGCTGGTGGCCAAAGATCTCAGCCAAAATTCTGCATTTACGTCATCGAGATTGGCGAGCTTGGCGAGCTAGACTACCACTAACCGGTCAGAACCCAGATCGCAGCAGCTTGACTTGTCTGTTGTCCTACCGTTGTCCTCCTATCTCGCTATGTCTCTATGGACGCCCCTCAGCCTTGGTAGCGTCCTCAGACGATCTCTGACCGGCCACGCCGCCTTCAGTGCGTCGGCGGTAGCAGGACCGTCTCGCAGGTGCGCGAGTGCGGTGATCCCTGCTTCTGCTCGGCGATTTCTGTCGTCCAGCCCGGTCTCGCGTCAGCCGGTCGTGCCCCGCCGCCCAGCGACAGGGGCTACTCTGGGCCTGCCTTCAAAGGCTCCTGCATCGCCGCGAATATCGTCAATACCCACAGCACCACAAGGTGGCTCTTCCATCTTCGCCCAAGTATTCCGACGCGCGTTCTCGTCTTCCCGGCCGGGCCTACTCCGGCAGACATACTTTCCTAAAAAGGGCGGATATGGAGGCAGACAACCGCCTCCAGGCGGATGGTTCAGTAATCTACGCAGACGTATAGATCGATTATCCCCCACAGCAGTCGTACGTGCCCTTGCGTTGTTGCTCCTCCGATGCCCAAGCTGACGATCAGGTATACACCCTCATCGCTCTCAATGTCGTCGTCTTCCTGCTCTGGCAATATGGTCTCCAGTCATGGCAGCGCTTCCGCGACCCATCACTGCACAACTTCCTCACCAAGAACTTTGTGCTGAATGAGGCGAATATCATGGCTGGAAGGGTATGGACGCTCCTCACGGCGTGCTTTAGCCACTCGTCGGGGACGCACATCTTTGTGAATTGCTTGAGTCTGTACTTTGTGGCTCCGGCTGTAGCATCGTGAGTATCTTTCCCACTTGGATCGCGCAGGGTCATGTGAGGTCACAAAGGGGATATGCTGAACTACTAGATTGATCGGATCGTCAGCATTCCTCGGACTGTACCTAGGAGGTGAGCTCAGATACGACTGCTTGTCGCACCTTCAGCTGACTTTGACAGGCGGTATCATCGCATCGGGTATCTCGCTCGCATGGCACAGATTCAGAGGAGACAAATGGGCCGGATCAGAAGGAGCCAGTGGGGCCATCTACGCATGTCTCGGTAAGCCTCATTGTCATAACTATCGATCCCAAGTATTTCCTCATACTGATCATGCAGGCTTCTACGGCGCCATCTTCCCTAATACCACCTTCCTGCTCTTCTTCGTCCTCCCCATGCCAGCCTGGGTCCTCATTGGCGGTATGTTCGCATACGACGGCTACTCTGCCTTCTTCCGTCCAGGGAGCGGGACAGACTCGGCGGGACACGTCGGGGGAATCATGGCTGGGCTGGGAGCGGCACTGTTCGCTAGACGGAGGGGAATGGGGGGAGGTATTGGAAGGTTTGGCAGATTCTGAGAAGAACAAGGGTTTCTGGAGTCGGGCTATAGGGTGCACCAAGGAGACATGGTGAGGAGCGAATCGTGAGGGTCGATAAAGTGTAGCGAGTCAGAAGTCAAATCCCTCCTCATCGCTGGTATGGAGGTCAGAGCAGGTCAGGCAAGGTCAAGCGTTAGAGTGCACGAGAGGTTTGGCATGCCTTCCACGATCTCTGTACTCTCATTAGCTGGTATGTAGTAATCCTTGTCTCCGCACGCCTTCGGTGAAAGTCCGCCGCCGAATTGCTCGGCAATCACCCAGATGTCGCGTTCATCCATCCATCTTTCTAGATCTCACCACTGTTATTCGCCTCGGCGATGGACAAGTCACTCAAGGACGAGCTCGTTCCTGCTCGTCTCGTCAGGTCTCGTCGAACGATGGACTACATGCTGATCACCGAAGCCCGCGTTAAGCACTTCTAAGAGCGTGTTCGCTGATCGGCGCTATAATTCGGGTGGCGTGACGCCACATGCCTCCGTTTCGGACAAACCGGACGAGGAGAAATTACGGCATGCGGACTGGAGCAGATCCAGAACCGTAAAGATAAAAATGTCCGGCCCGTCGAAAAAGAGGGCTCAGCTGGTGCCTGAGCTAAAGATACGAAGAGGGGGTAGCGCATGGTCGAACAGGAGGCGAAATTGCACGCAGCTATCTCTCTGCTCTTGCTGTTGTACATCTCCTCGCCGCCACTCCTCGCGAAAGTGTGAGCGTGACATTCGAAACACGTCGAAACACGTTTAGAGTTTGAGCCATTCCGGCTCACTTTCCGTGCCGGTCCCTTGACGCCGGAAATCCTCTTTCACCTCCCCCACACCCTCTCCCACCCAGCGCGACATCTCACACCATACCTCCAAAGATCGGCAGGGCGTAGGAGAGTACGTACATTATTAGTCCTCGGTCGGAGAAGGAGCGGAGCATTCAGAGGGCAGAAAGTTCAGCACCAGTGCCGAGCCAGAAGCAAACGAGGGACATCAATCGACGATAAAGCTCCTCGTGTTGACCTCAGCCAGATCGAAATTGTCTCGGAACGCGCAAACAGTGAGACACTGTGCAGCTCAAAAGTGTACATACGCGACCACGGCCCCGGATCACCTCCACTCGTCCATCTCGCCAACCCCCAGCCTCCATACCCCTCCGTACCGGTCGCAATATCTCCACTGGCGCTCCACAGGTCCCTCTACCTCTCGGACTACTCCCCCGGTACGATGACCGAGACGCCCCCACGCTACGGTCCACTTACAACCTCGCTCGCCGCGCCCACCCCTACGCGTCGCGCGTTCAGCCTTCCAGAAATGCGGTCTTACATGCCTTTTACGGGCTCATCCTCCTCACACATCCTCCCATTATCCTCGTCGGCGTCGCGTCCATCCTCCCCAAATCTGTCGCGCAAGGGCAAGCGCCTATCATTTACCCTCCGGTCCCGCGCCTCTCACAACAAGATCCGCCTCATCATCGGTTCCCTCCTCCTTACCGCCATCTTCCTCTTTGTCCGTTCCTCGACCAGCTCCCTCCCGGCCACTCGGCGCTTCAAAAACCGGTCTCAACTGGTTCTCTCCCACTCCAAAGCCCAAGGCAACCGCAAGGGGAGCGGAGATGGCGTCTCCTACCTGGACGTCGAGGATACAGACGAATGGTTGTCCGAGGAAGACCTCTTCTACTCGCAATATACAGAAGACGCGCCGATGTCGGCCGAGGACGCTGCGGCCGAGGCGGAGATGGCCAGTCGGAAAGCGGACGTGATTGAGCAAAATCGTCAGCAGAGTCTGAGGGCGTTGACATGGTGGCTGGCGGAAGGAGGCGAGATTCCGGCCGATTGGGAGGTACCGAGCAAAGCGTATCTCCGCAAAGTGGGAGGAAGGGGTGTGGAGCGGATGCTGGAGGATATCGAGGATACAGAACTGGGGGATGAGGTCATGTTTGAGGAGGGGTGGGGGGACTTTGCAAAGAAGCGGTACAGGATCGTCGTCTTCTCAAAGGTGAGTTGGTCTTTTCGGTGAGCAATCAAGCTGACGATTAGACACACTGCCCTTACTCTCGAAAAGCAAAGCAGATATTATCATCCTACACCCTCTCGCCCGCACCATTTGTTGTCGAGCTAGACACAAGACGTACGTGCCCCTCTTTTCGCAGAGATCACCGCTGACATTTCAGCGGACATGACCAAACTCCAAGATCTTCTCCAATACCTCACCGGCCGGCGGACCGTACCCAACATCCTACTCGACTTTGCCTCTATCGGCGGCTCGGACGACCTGACCCTCATGCACTCGGAAGGCGGCCTGCAGCGACGCTTCGAAGAGATGGGCACCCTCCCTGGTCGCGGAAGGATACTCGATCCCGCCAAGGCATTCGCGGCGGCGCCTGTTCCAGCGCACGCCAATGCGGCGGACAAGGACGGGAAGAAGTTTGCCGTCGAGCCGGCCAAGGTCGAGCCTCCCGCTGCGGTCAAAGAGGCTGCGGTCATTCCTGAAAAGGTGCTTGACACCTTACCGGGGGAAGGAGCGGCCAAGGCGGAAGTCGAGCCTATCGCTGGGGAAGAGGCAGATGAGGACGAATTGGCAGTTGCGGCGCTCAAGCCCGGCGCGAAACCAGCGGACGTCGTCGCAGCTGTCAAGGCGGCGCACGGAAAGGAGTACCTAACGGCCGGGGAGGACGAAAATGCTCTCGCTGCGTCCGAGGAGTTCAAGGCGAAACAACCTGCACCCGCAGAAGCGGCAGCACTCGGATCCTACACCCAAGACGAGCAGCTCGTACCGGTTGTCAAATACGACTTTGCAGGCGATGCGGTCGCCAAGGGGGATATCTACCCCGGTACCGGCGCCGTGGTGGATCCCATCGTCCTTCCGGCAGAGGTCGTCGCGGCGGTAGCTGAGGGAGGGACCGCCGTGGGCAAGAACGGCGAGGTGGATGAAGATGGGCAAGAGGAGGAAGATGCGCGTCTGGCGGATATCGCCGCGCTCGAGGCTAAGAAGAGGAAGGCGAGGGTACTGGCGGTAGCAACGGAGGAGCAGGAGAAGTTCAAGGCGTTCAGAGCCGAGGAGCTGGAGAAGGAGCGGGCGGAGGCTGCTGCTGTCAAGGCGAAGGAGGGGGCCAAGAAGCCGGAGTTTATGGGCAAGCCGAGAGGGAAGGCCAAGGCGGCGGTCGAGGAGAAGAAGGTGGATACGCTTCTGGATAGGGCGAATGCGAACGCGCAGGAGAAGGTTAAGCCGAATATGAGGGTGGGGAAGCCAAAGGCGCAGGCAGGTGGAGGCAAGCGGAAAGGCAAGGTATTATAGATGGAGCTTTGTGTGGTTGACAAGACATGTTGTAACTTTGTATTCCTACATTACTCGAGCTTGGAATGCAATTGGATTGGGCAAACAATGTCGGTCATAATGGATACATGATCATAGATGAGTCGTGAGATTGCTCGTACATCTATCATTTGCTCGTACTCAACATCCTCAGCATCTCGGCATTCTCCCTCTCGAGCTTCTCGAGCTTCTCCACCCCTTTGCCCATCTTGTCCAACAGATACTTGGCTCTCTCCTTGATGGCATTACCGCTCCCAAAGCCGAATCCCATCCACTCGTGCTTGAGAACGCCGAGCTTCTCGTCCCCTCCATCCGCAATGATCCCTTGGAGCTGGGAGAGCTCGGTCTCGGCGGATTTGATGCTGGATTCGGCTGATGCGATAAGGGTGGTGTTGTATTCGATTTGCATGGAGGCTCGGAAGATTGGGTCTGGCCATCAGCGACAGGTCTGGTCTGAGCACGGGGGGACATACCGTCAACGAGAGCGGCAAAGGCGTATCGGAAGACTGGTTTTCCAGGCCGGATATTGGCAGCGCGTCCATCCACGTAGGAAACCGTAATGAGCTCGTGCTCCTCCATTGCCTTCAGGCTCTGCTCGGCGCCCTTGAACGGGAAGTCCTGTAGTGTCTTGGCGTATGAAAGCTATGAGTGCTTAGCACGCATTATTCCGCGTCGTATAGCTCACCTTTCCCGATTTGGCCAACTCCTTGACCACCATCCATGCCTGCGGCCTTGTCCACGCCAGCGTCTTGGCATCCTCCGCATCATCCCCAAACGCCGCCTTGCGCAACTCCACCACATTCCTCAACACGATATCGTCCACCGCCTCGCGCACCGGCGCGCCCGTCCGCACCTTGTACACCAGCGTCTCGAGGTCCACCATCCTCCCGCCGAGCTTGGTGATCTGCGTCCTATCCTCCATGCTCATGGTCGCGGCGGCGCCCAGCTTGTCCTGGACATAGCCGAACGACTTGGACTCGTCCGCGTCCGCCAGACTGACCGAATTGAGCGGTTTGGCCGGAATGGCCTTCACCAGTGCCTTGGTAGCGGTCGGGCCTTCCGTGACGACGATGACGTGCGCGATCTTGTTCTCGACGAGCGAGGCGCCCCATTCGGCGATCACGTTCCAGCTATCGCCTTTGGCGGATTTGGTGGCAAAATTCTTGAGGACGACGATAGGAAGGGTCTTGATGATTTCGCTCTCCTCGTCGAGGCTTGACGTCTCACTGGGCACGATGCCCGCCAGGGACGCCTTGGTCGGTGGAACAGCCTCCCCGTGAATCGGCGCCGTATCGTCCATCAACGGCGTCGGTGCCGCCGACATGTCGTCCTCCGAGATAGGCTCGTCCCCAAAGCCCAACTCGCTCATGATCCCGTTGCCTGCCACGCAGTCCAGCCGCCCGTCATGATAGCCTCCACGAACGATTCGCTCCCGGATCCGCTCCCGCTCCTCTCGGATCTCCGCTTGGTCGATAGAGTGGACGATGGATGCCTGGTGCCGTTTCCGAGTGCGTGTAGAGGTGTCTTTGAGCGAGACGGCGACGGTCTCGAGGATGGACCGGAGTTGTTGGTCGACGGGAGTGGAGAAGCCGGCTTTGGAGCCGATGAGGCCGACAGCGGCGAGGTCGATCAGGTTGTTCAGGGAGCTTAAGAAGGAAAATACAGGCCAGTAGCCTAAAGTCAGTAGATTCTTTGATAGAGCTCACCTGTTTGCTCGGCCAAAGCGCTGATCAGACCACTGTCGTTTTTGGCCTTTGCGATCTCCGCGCAATCGACCACGAGGTATGGCCTGTGGTCAGCTTTGCTTGCGTGTAGGCTTACTTTTCCTGCTTCCCCAACACCCTAGACACCAAGCTGACCCTCCCGCTTCCTGGTGGACCAGTGATCGTGATGAAAGTACTAGGATACTCGGACAACCAGCTTTCTACTGTCTTTTCCGCCTCTATCCGATCTTCCCATGCGTTCTGACCGATCGTATCTGATTTATCGGGGTTGGCGTGATGGCGGCGGCGTAAGAAGTCAAGACTGCTTCCGAAGATTCCAAACTTGTCGCGGAACCCTGATCATCAGCTAGTTGCCCAGATAGATTCCTGAGTCTTGCTCACACTTGATGACTGGATAAGTATCGACATCGAAGGTGTGTTCTAGTCTTGACCGGACAAAAAATTCACGGATTGGGTCAAAGAACTGAGATCAGCCGGGTCTACGCGTCGACATAGGAGGGCTTACGGTGTAGCTGAGCGTACCGAAAAGGAAGGCCAAGACGGGCAGGGCCAGCCTCGGATGTGAGCTGATCCAGTCCCGTATAGCGTGAGCTTTGAGGGGGTGAGAGTAGTAGATGCGTAATCGACTGAGGGGGATGGGATTTGGGGATGGTTGGCCTGAACGGCGAAGGGTGTAGTCGGCGGTATTGGTGGGTGTGGAGTAGCCGTGTAGCTAATAATTAGCAAGGCACGGACAACAGAGGCTTTTCAGAAGCGTCTTGATGAAAGGGACTCACGCAGTTGATGGCGATGGTAGCGGGAGTGAGGCGGGAGAAGCTGACAATGGCGGACCGGAGCGAGCCGGCTGGAACTGGTGCGGGAGGAACGATGTCTGACACTTTTCCGTATGGCTACGATCAGCATGAAGTCCAGCTAAGAGACTCACTCGAAAGAGGGTGTAGAGCATCTCTTGCGATACGTCTGGACCGTCAAACTCGACTCTTAGACGAGTCGCAGTAGGCCGATTCATGTCCTTGCTGTCAGCTTTGGTTTCGTCACTGGATGCTCACCTCTGTCCACTGCCTGCCCTTGACGACCCACACCCTCCCCCCTCCAGCCGCGACCTGAACATTCGACAGCCCCGTCCCGCTCCCCTTGACCTTTGTCTCCTCCTCCGCCTCTCCCACCGTCCCCGTTGTCTGCGTCTTATCCCTCGCCCATATCCTATGTCCAGGCACCGTGCTCCCCTGCTTCCTCAGGTTTGCCCACCACTGCCCGACCCAGCTCGGCCATCCCCCGTGCCTCTGCGCGCTCTCCAGCAACTGCGGCAAGAACAACCGTCCAGGATTGACCGCTCCGGTATGCCCTTCCGGCAACGCGTTGATCGACGATAGATCAGGCGGATGGTCATGACCCGCCGAGCTGTCGGGTGGGATATAGCTATAGTGCATGAAGACACCGCCGTCTTTGCGCGCGATCTCCCATGATTCGATACGGAAGGCATTGCCCTTGACTTCCATTCCGATATCGTTCAGTTGCTCCATCATGGCGTCTTCTCGTAGGACCGACCATGAGGGGCGAAAGTCCCATCGTGTGAGACGGATAGGAAAGACGTTGGAGATGTAAAAGGAGCCGGTCTTGCGCTTGGCTTCGTCCGAGGCGGAGGGAGGGGGAGAAGGGGGAAGGGTGGTGTTCCACCGTGTAGTGAGCCGGGGTAGCAGAGGCGCCAATGAGGATATAGACCCAGCTGGCCGTGGAGCTTGGGCGTATATACGTCGTAGCATGCTGTCACGGAGCTAGCGAAGCAGACATGAGCTCGTGTGAAGAGCGGAGAACGCTCACCCTACTCGGCAACTCCTCGGATGGGATGACGCGAGACGCACGGAATGCGAGTGCATCCAGTCATGTTACGGCTTATATTGTTTGAAACCGGTCGATTTTCACCAATCTTCACTAGTATATTGGCTAGTATATATCCCTCTCATTAGAGAGTTGCTCCTTACGGAGTTCGAACGGATAAGAGCAGGGTTCGATTCCCTGGTGGAGAAGATCTTTTTGTCTCCCGCCTCGACCTATGCACGGATCGGCTCACCTTTTGCACGAGACGATAGCCAAGACGCCGGGGCATCGTTTGGTGAGGGAATCTCGCTCGTAGCTTGAGTGATGCATGCGGAAAGGGAGTTTGGAGTTTGGGTTGGAGGAGTGTGGCGGTCAGGGGTTGACCGGGCTCGGACGGGCTATGCTCCTCAGATCTGTGCTTGTGAGCAGTATAGAGATGTAGACAGGATGCTCGGCCATCCCCAGCATGAGTTTCAAGCTTCTAGACTGTCTAATGCATGCTGGAAGGACGTTGTAGCTAGTCAGACACGGAAGTGGCGAGCCGGGATGTTGTGTGGCGGCCGTTGAGTAGCGCTGAGGTCCTGAAGGCTGAATAGTTGCCTTGCTTGCACTGTACACCGTCGAGGAGCATCATGGGTCCATAGTCTGTTTGTCATCTGGCCTATGGGAGCGAGTTCAGGCGTGTTCTTCCGACCTCTCGGAGGAAGGGAGCTTAGACCCCAGAGCTGAGCTTGGCGAGGACGGAGTGGCGGACTGGCCACTGATACCCTTGAGCGCTGGGATTTGAGCTTCATACCTTCTGACAAAACAGCCATCGTGTAGTACCGGGCGCGCTTGGTCTCATATCTGCTCAGCGGTGAAGTGAGACTCTTGTCGAGCTGGACTGTGTGCGCCGGCCCGAACCTCTCAGGCTCTCTTTGCCACCCATACTCCCAAGCCAGCTTCTTATCGATATGTCAAATGGCATCGTCAAGACCTTAGCATGACCGGTCCCCACATGCAGTCTCGCCCTAAACACCGCCCCCTATCAACGATACGCGTTCATCCAAGGGGCCAGCAGAGAGACGCTCTTGCCGCCCCCTTCCGGACCGATCTTCACCCTCCAATCGAGCAGAGTCGGCTCCATCTGCTTGCGCTTGGGAGACGAATTGTGTATGACCAGCCCGGAGAAAGATCGCTCTCCAGCTTCGCCTTCTTCAGTCTCCGTCTGATTGATCACCCCTCTCAACCATTTCAGTTGCACAATACGCTGCTCTCTAGCCACGTCGCCGGTACAGCTTATGCCACGAGAGTCAAGCGTGACGTATGCGGCCACCATCTTGCGGATATGTCGCTCTCTTTTCTCCGCCGTAGAAAGCTTATCAGGCTTGGGAATGCCCCTCGCAATCGCAAGCTCTCGCAGGACCTCCCCGGTCTTGCGAGCAGCGGCGGGATCCAGCAAACTGTACTCGTACTTCCTGTCTGCCTCTTGGGTCTCCACGGGTCTCTTGTGTATCGCACAGCCCGCGTAGCTTCTGCCATTGAACAAACCGCGTTCAGTTCTTTTGATAAGCTTGTCAAGGTACCCCAGATGTATGTTTCCTGGGCGTGAGGAGGTCGTGCGCAGGATAGCTCGGCTCGCGAGCGTTGCTAGCCTCTGGTCAAGCTTAGCCCTGTGTTTGCTTCTGTCGCGCTTGGGATTTTTTTGGACGTCGACTTCGACTTCCATCAGGTCTGGTGAGATAGTGCTGAGGCGATCGAGGATCTTGCAGTGGCGGACTCGTCGTGAGTGTCTCCGGAGTCATCCTCCCTTTTGGTATCTTGCTCGCTTTCAACGGCGTCACTTGCACCCCATTCGGAGTCTTCCATGTCAAAGTCAGAGTCAGGCCAGAAGCGCTCGTCCGGAATCAGGCTGGGGGCTCTGCCCTGTTGCGAAGGCGTCGACGGCTGAGTCCTGGGCTTATGCGAGGATCAGCCATCGGTCTCCCTGTGCGGTCCGCGGTAGCACGATCACTATGTCCTCGACGGGCAGTGTAGAGAATTTTGACGGGGGGGTGGCGAATCGTGCTTCATCAGACATTGCTCTGGTCGAGCAGCCAGCTGGCGGTGGGATAGGCGGCCATTCAGGGCTGATCCATGGAAGCGAATCTTGCATGCTGTCATTGGTGGCGTGGATAAGCCAATTGTCCGGGAGCCTGTCGCTTGAAGGAGGCCCATCATCGTCGGGAAAGCCTGCGTAGCCGCGGCCTTGATAATAACTCGGCGGACCCCAACTCGGTCCTGCGAAGGGTCGCGCAGAAGCTGACCAGCTTCTGTGATCAGTGCTCGATGTATAGGCAGACATCTGGTACGTAGAGGTAGGGCGTTGACAGTGAACGTGGCAGCAGAAATACGATAGTAAAGCTGTATGAGCAAAGAGAGGTAGTAGGATCAGCTGGGAGATCTCGACACTGTCAGCACCTTCAGTGGCTTGAGTCAAGTAGAAGAGAAGAAGCAAGGCTACAGGCTCTGAGTAGCTAGCAACAAAGGACGATTAGATTGTGTCTTCTCTCGCGAGCTTCTTGGTTTCTCTAGTGAGAAGAAGCCATGGGGGGCCGATATCGTCGACACCGTCATCAAGCCTCACTCGTAAACCACCCTATGTAAGCTGGAGGAGGAGCCTCAAGCCTTGCCAGCCTCTTGAGTCCGCCAACATGAGCAGGCGAATGGGTCTGGTCTGGTCAGCCCGGGTGTGCTACGCTCAGATACCTGGAAGGAACCAGATGCCATCCTTTCACACAAGTCCCCTCCGAGACCTGTCCTGCACATGTGTCACGCCAAGCCCTGTCAGATATACACTCGAGTGAGACGGTCAGCCATATCATCGCTTTTACATCACCTTGAATCCACTGCAAGATGCTCGTTCTAATCCAGGCACTCACCATACTGACCATATGGCTGGCTCATGCTCAGGCCGTGGCAGTGTCTTTCGCTAACTCTACCCTCGCGCCTCGTGATGCTCCATTATGGGAAATCAAGGATGCCCTGGGCACCTAGTAAGTGCCTGAGGAGTGTCCTCTTTCGATTCGGCGCCGCAGTTGACATGTCAGCTACTACGACCTCACCGGCAGAGACATATGCGGTGTGAACGGCTGTCAGCAGCCCGGTTGGTCCAAATCAAGCGGCATGGACACCGCCATCACAAAATGCGGTCAATTGCCGATGAACGATCCCAAGTTGAACACGAACCGGATCGTCGGTATGTACCCCTTGTTTCCGCTTGGGACATCCAGTGAGCTGACGCACGTCAGCTTTGGACTGGTCTGCAATTATGACGGACCGGCGCGCCTTTTGCGGAAAGGAGTAAGCCTCCCCCTTGGAGGACTTTGCAGTGCGTTGCTCACGAGTGACCTAGGGTGGAGGTCTATAGAGCCGATGGGACCAAATTCGAATTCTCCGAAGGCCCGCTGGTCCTATGGGAGGCATGCGAACGGTGTATGTGCGAGAAGGCCATCGACTTTTCAGGTCAGTCACGTTGATATCAAGACGGCGTGCCACTATGTCGTATGGCTCGACTGACGTGCTAGCGCTCGCCCACGCCGAGCTTATGAATGGTCGAGGCGGAGCGTGCTCCCCGACGAATCCGCATGGCCTCCGAGTCGTCGTTACCAACAATCAGATCTGGGAGCCCGATCTTGGTCAGCTTGGCGCCGGCGTGGCGAGCACATGGAGTCCCACCAAGAAAATCGCCCCTATCCCCTTACACGTCACGAACCCATCCCCAGTATACCCTTGTCGAACACCCGGCAATACGTGTGCTTTCGTTCGACCCGATACAGGCGGGATGCCTGATCCTAACCTCCGGGGGCCATGCGTCACGTATCCGGAGGCAATTGAATCGACAATCAATTGGCCACTGGCGTTGCCGGTCCAGGCGAAGATTGGCGAGTGGCCCGCACAAGTACCGGCCCCTCCTGCTGTTGGTGGTCTCCCGTCAAGCACTAGCTCAGGCAGCGCTGCAAGCCAGACACTTGGGCCGCCAGCAGCACCGCAAGTGGCAAACTCACAACCACCTCCCGCCGGCCCGCTTGGGAAATGCGTCGGACAAAGTACGCACAGCTGCGTGGGCAAAACCCCGGCAGTGTGCGACGCATTAGGGAGTGAGTCAACACGAGTGTATCAGCTTGATTTGGCGAAGAATGAGCTGATTCACAGACTGGGTACAGATCGCGAGCGCCTGTCCGGGAAGCTGCGTCATGCAGGCCAATAATGCTCCGGGATGTGTATGACGAGATCAAGAAACCTGGACGGTGCGGTTGATCTTGCCAAGCGATGTAAGTATGATGAGCCCGCCGATGCATCTTGAAACCTTCGATGACAGCTTCATGATGGACTGTTATTCCCGTCAGTAAGGTCTCTACTCGTGAGCACATCTAGCGGAATCGTCGAGTATGCTCCGCATCAGTACTCGCCTGGGCGTACAGTGAAGACCGGGGCTCGTAGGCGGTGATGTATCCTTCTGCCGGTCCGCTCCGTCTCTTTCGTCAGCTTCAATGTCAGCCTTGTCGCAAACCGAGGCAGCCAGACGGACTCACCACTCCCTCCAGCCGACCCTGAAGTCGATGTCTTGGCCCTCAACTCTAGCTGCTTCTCCTATCTTAGTCAATCCCCCAGTGACCGACTCAAAGAGCCGGCAGACGTGGCACAGGTCCCATGCATCGGGCACAGATATGGGGACCATAGCCTATTTGTATTCTAACCGAGTAATGTCCCCACTGCCCAGCCGTACATCGGCAAGATCAGATTGTCGTTCTGCGCCGAGACCGCCTCCAACAGCGCCGTCAGCGTCGTAGCCACAACGTATGGCACGGGCTAATCTGTCAGCTCTTTCCGACCCAGCTCGGCAGGTATAAGCTCACATTGAATGACTTTACTGCCCCAAAAGCCCAAAGAAACATAGTCGATACCAGCACCGATCCCAGAAACGCTATACTCCCCTCCACGGTTTTGCCGCTGGAGGAAGACCATCTGACCCGGCCGCATCTCTTGCCGACGATAGAGGCCTGATATCAGCTTGGCCTCAGCATCCAGTGGAAGACATACCAGAGCATCCCCCACACCCAAGACCAAAACCCCAAAGAATGTCAACACCTCGCTCCCCTCCAGCCAGAGCGGACTTGCACATCCCGCCAAGAGATAGAAGTGGCTCAGAATCGCCGTACCCGAGTCCTTGGCGTCGAGAAACTCGTTCAGGAAGAGATGAACCGACACGCCAAACGGCCAGAGTGCAAAGTACCGGACAAACTCGGCAAAATTGAATGCAGCGAAAGCGACCGAGAAGGCGAGGTGGGTGAATGCAGGCTGTTGTCAGCTCCGCCTGAAGCATTACTCACGTCGATAGCTATTCCAGGGACAAACATGACGACCGCCAAGGCATGGAAGAACTTCCGCCTCGAGTTGACGCTGAGCGTCGGAAGGCGCTGGTCCGCTGCGTCCATCATCTGAGTGGCGACACCGCTAAGCCTGCCCGCTTCGTTTCCCGGCGGGATGGCCCCAGACTCCTTGGTGTCAGGGACGACGTATCGCCTGTGCCGCCTCGCCCTGTTCAGCTGCCGGCTCCATCCCGCCACCGATATCATCGCCAGAGCCGCCCAGTACCCGATGAGCGCTGGCCGCGTCCACCACCTGTTCCCATCCATCATCCACCATATCACCCATAAGACCGGGTCTCGCCAGTTCAGACACCACCGTGTCCAGGTCCCGACGAGACCACCGCAAATGATGAGAGAGCCGGCATAGAAGCCGATAGCGAGGAGACGGCGGTGTTTTGCCTTTTCGTCCGGGAAGCGCAGGCGATGTGCGGGTCTCTGGGCGAGATGGCGGGAGAGGTAGAGGAGAGGGGAGAGGAGGAAACCAGTGAGGAGAGAGCCAGGGATGAGGGCGAGCTGGAACGTCAAGAGGGGAGTAGGAAGGCGGTAGGTTTTGATGTAGGGCGTGCGAATCAAGGCAATCTGGCATCAGCCAACTCTCACCCGGGCTTACCTTCATTCGAGTCAGATTGACAGTCTCCATAGTAAGCGCGGTAGCCGCGTTGCACACAATAGCCAGCTCGCCGAGGGTGAAGCCACGCCGGGCCAGCCGAATGCAGACGTACAGACTAAACTGGTAGAAGAGGGTCGCGATGATGATATCGGACGGAGACATGTCTGAATCAGCCAAGCATTGGGTTGGACTCACCACTCCACACCCCTCGACCGATATACGCCGTAGCAATCTTGACGACGATACAGCCAGCGGTGACAATAAACGCAAACAGCACGACGCTTCGGGTCCGCCGCCATTCTCCGCGCTTGAGCCAATACGCCCCGAGCCCTCGGCCAGACTTGGCGCTATCGCTCAATTCCCGCTCCATTCCGGTCGACGATGGGGGTGGGGCGGTCATGCTCAGGCGATTACCGAGTATGAGCGACCGGGTGAGCTGAACGAGAAGGACGAAGGAGCAGAGCGTAAAGAGCTGGACGAGGTTCCGCCGGGATATAGCCAGAGCCGAGAGGGCTCGGACGGTCTCGGTGTTTTCTGGCACGATGCCGCCGAGGTTACGGATAGGGGTGGTGGAGAGGACGAGAGGGTCCTCGATGCGCCATGCTCGAGGACGAAGCGTTGCTGAGGAGAGACGCTGCATGGCGTCGTGGAGGAGGCCAGAAGCGATGAGGGGTGCGAGGAGGAGGGCGAAAAGGACGCCGTCGTCTAGGCATTCCCTGATGTCAGCCGGAACGTGGTAGAACATACCTGTACTGTCGCTCATCTGTGCCCCAGACGCAGCCGCGGTTTGACGAGGAGGGCTCTTCTTCTGGGAGTGTAGGTAGGGTTGGCGAGCGCTTGCCGCTAGTGGGAGTGATGGTGCCATGCTCGTGCAGGACCAAAGACGCCACTCTTGGCGACCTGTCCCTAGCGTAGCCATTGGGTTGCAGATGAGAGGAAAGACCGGGTGAGGAGGTGATAGGTCCCAGGGAAGGTAGTGACCTGCGCGCCCGCTGGACCTTGTAAAAGACCGAGAAGCCCATGAGGAGGCAGATTTCTACCATCAGCAAAGCCCACACGTGTGCTCACCTCCAGCTATAGCTCGTTCTTCCCACTTGTACGCCAGAGCCCACGCTCCGAGCGAGACAGCGCAAAGGACCAGGCCGTCTTCGCATCTCGACCTGGTCAGGTAGAGACCGAACCTCCGAAAGCCGAGATGGGCAGGCAGCAAGCCGCCTCGAGGCGCGGGTGTAGGTAGAGCATTCGCAAACGACCTGCGAGCTGTGGATCGTACCGGAATTGGGGGTGTCCTGTCATCAGATCAACCCCTAGCTCGACTTACACATTGCTGACCTCCCCGCTGGACCTCCGCTTCCCCCTTCTCCGCTCATCCTCCACCTCCGTCTCGCCCTCTCGCACCCCCACAAAATAGTTCTCCGCCTCGTTCCCACTCCCCTCCGGGACGCTACTCGCCGACGCCCCATAGACATCCGTCCCAGCCGTCAGAGGCGACTCTACCGGGTCATACGTATACTCCACATTGTCCATGTTGAGATTGAGTCGAGACGGCCCTGGGACGTCGTGACGGTCTTGTCGAGGGCCCGGACTGGCACTCCGACTGCCTGATGAAAGGGTGCGACTCCGAAATTGCGGTGCAGCTTTGTGGACGAAGCTCCGTCTTTTATCCCGCACGGCGTTGATGCTGGTCATGACCGAAGGGCCGGGCGGGGGTGATGGCGAGGAGGATGAGCGCGAGTGTGAGCGCTGGCGCTGGACATGCAATTTCGAGGCATTGTGATGACGCTGAGAGATGGTCGGACGGGGTTGTCCGTGGATGCTCGAGGAGGTGGACGTTTTGGTGCTGGAGACTCTGGTCTCCTCAGCGTGCAGGTGGGGAGGGTTGTGATGCAGAGTAAAGGAGAGATGGCATGCTGTCTTGAAGCTGTTGTGCTATGGATGTAAGCAGCATGCGTGGTCAGATCGGCAGCGGCCCCCGTGGTCAAAGGCGTAAACAAATCTGACTGATCCGCGAATAGATCTCGTCTATCTCACAGCTACGCTCTACATGAAGCTGCTACGGACTGAACAACATACATGGCCTCTACAGTTTCAACCGCTTGCTGTCCTGCGGCACCGCGTCCGCATCTGCTTGCCGCTTCCTCGCCTTCTCCACCTCCTTTCCTCCTTTGCCGACCACCGTCACGCCCTTGCCAGATTTGACCAACCCCTTCAACGCCTCCTCCTTTTGCTCCTTGACCGACTTGCGCTTCCCGTACAATTCCGCCATATCTCCCAGTGCTTTCTGCTGCGCCGCCTTGCCCTTTCTTGCCTTGCCACGCTGCTTTTGCTTCTCCTCGGGTGTAAGCTCGGAACGAGCGACCAGGGAGGATGCTTTGGGGGGTGCGAATAGCTCTTCGGGAGCGAGCATGGTGGAGGCGGTAGAGGTGGTAGGGAGGGCGGTCTCCAGGGAGGTGGTGGGGAGGTTGTCGATCGTGGTGATCTGTGCTTTGGGCTGGGGTCAGCTATGTCAAGGGAAAAACTTACTTGTTTCGGGACAAAGTTGAGACTGCTCAACGAGTCGAGCTTGTAGCATACCTCCTCCCATAGCTTCTCGATCTCCCCGTGCTCCCTCTTCAACTTTTCATCCCTCGGGTCTTTGACCTTGGTCCCGGACGCCTGCGCCTGGTAATCTTCCTCATAGATCTGGGCCAGGGATTTGGTCGACTGCGTATCCTGCAGTTCCAGGTACCGGGAAGGGAGGAAGGCGTTCGGCTCGTATGCGCGTACACGAACGGTCGAATCAAAGTTGTTGTCAATGATTCGCTTTTTGATCAGATCTTCGAGCGTCTTGACCGTCTCCTCGGTGATGGTAGGCACGATCTTTCCGGCGTGCTCAAAGTCGAGATTCTCCTCGAGAAGCGAGTTTTCCGGCCGCGCGCGTGATGAGGCTTCACCAAGCAGTGTCCAGTCTTTTGGACCGATAGCTTGAGCCTCGAGCTCGGCGATTTGCTCTTGGAGCGCGAGTTGTTGCTTTTCATGTGTCGAGAGGTCTGATCAGCACCGTCATGGAGTCTACTCACTTTTCACTTCCTCCTCTTCATCATCCGAGTCGAACAGATCCCCCTTCACCCTGGACATGACATCCCGACTGGGGTCTACCGGTGCCTCCTCGACAAACTTGACACCCTTCCCCTTCTTCCCCTTGCCCTTCTTGTCCACCTTGCCGCTTTTTGCAGGAGCGGCGTTTTTGGGCGGGTCGAAAAAGTCCCCATACATCAAAGCTGTCATCAGCCCATCTTCAAGATGGACTTACGCTCATCCTCGTTGACACCACTCAGCATGGCCTGCGAGACATCCTCAATCTCCTCATTGTCGTCCTCTCCGCCTAGCCGCCCGCTACTTGTCCGCCCCGCTTCCGTCTCTTCCGTCATTCGGTTGAAGTCGTCGATGCTGAAAAACTCGTCGTCGAGCGTAGGGTGTGTCTTACGGCGGGATGGTCCGGGCAGGTCATCGTCGCTGGCTTCCTCCATGAGTCCGTCCATGTCGTCATCCATCAACCCGCCCATGTCGAGCTCGTCCCCTTCTTCATCCTCATCCTCCTCATCCTCTTCCTCCTCTTCCTCCTCTTCCTCCTCTTCATCGTCTGAATCGTCGTCTCCCTCCTCATCCTCTTCATCCTCTTCATCCTCCTCGTCCCACCCCTCCATCAGCGACCCCCCCTCCTCATCGCTCCCCTTCAGATCAAACGCCTCTTCGTCACTCTCCCCTTCGCTTCCCTCTTCGCTATCATCCTCACTCCCCTCTCCCCGCTCAGCGACCATCGCCTCAAACTCCTCCAGTGTCATCTCCCCTTCACTGCCCTCATCCTCCTCGCTCTCCTCACTATCATCCACCGCCAGATCCTCATCATCCGGATCAATCACCTCCCCGCCAATCTCGCCAACAACACGGATGATCCCCGCATTGCGCAGTTCCAGCTGCTGCCATATTTGCTCGGCATCCAGACCGTCGATAGTCAGTGCCGAGAGAGGGGTGTAGGGGAGGACCTCCTCGGGCGCGGGAGGAGGCGGCTGCGCGCCTTTGCCTTTGGCGGATGCGCGGGTGGTGATGGCCGGCTCGCCAGAGATGGACTCGATGAACGGGTGGAGGTGGGGGTGGGAGATGGACTCTAGCTCAAGGCCTGGTCGTCAGCTAGGGATACCACCTTTCTTTGGGTTTGCCGCACCTTGATCAAAGACGTCTTTGGCGGCAGCTAGGGCAGCCTTAGCAAGCTTCTCGTCGCCGATAGACAGCAGGTGCGCCTTCCCATCGAGTTGGAGGGCGAACTTGGAGAGGCTGGCCGGCTGTGCGGCGCTCAGTAGCGCGTGTGACATGGTAGCCATGGTATATGCTGTAGCGAGAAGAGGTTGGAGAGAGGTACATAGACGCAGATGCGCGAGGGCAGAGCTTGGTGTAAATTCTCCCTATTACGGCACGTGGCCAATGTGGGGTCTCCACTTGGGAATTCTGCTTCAACTCGTACTTCGCAGACGAGGAGACTCGAAGCGGTACATGCATCCATGCTCGGTCGTTTGGTTCTGCTCCTCGGGCCGAGAATCAACAGGCGAGCTGCAGAGCGCTGAAAGCTGAGATTGCACGCAGTGGGGAGAGACTGAAGAGCGATGACGTCATCGAGCTGACTCAGTACCATGGTGCATCTCCCGGAGTTTTGGACCGAGGTGGAGGTACTCTCGGTCGACTCTTTGACCTTTATCTAGCTATAAATACAACGACTGCTACCTGACATCGCTCCCCTGCTCCACTAGCCTCAGACACATCACTAGCGCGCCATATCTTCAACCAAGATGCTACCACCAGCCATCAACTTCCCCGCCTGGATCGCAGAGAACCAGCATCTCCTCCAGCCGCCCGTGGGCAACAAGTGCCTCTTCAAGGGGGAGAACTTTATCACTATGATTGTTGGCGGGCCCAATACCCGGGTGGACTTTCACGTGAATACGACGGAAGAGTGGTTTTATCAGTATAAGGGGGGGATGGTGTTGAAGGTCGTGGATGAGGGGAAGATTAGGGATATCAAGATTGGGGAAGGGGAGATGTACCTCTTGCCTGGTGAGTTGACCTACCATACTGAGAGAGGAGAAGAAGAGGCAGATGGTGTAGCTCTGCGTGAGGATCTCAGCTGACCTTCAGCAAACACACCTCACTCGCCAAGAAGAGTCAAAGATACGATCGGGATCGTGCTTGAGATGGTCCGGCCCGGAGAAGCAGTCGGTGTGTAGCCTTTCTCTCTCTGGCCTGGATTTGGCATTGTGATCTCGGCCTCAGCTCTCTCGGGTTCGACTCATCTCGGAAGTCAGACTGACCAAGCAGACACGATGCGGTGGTACTGCCCCAACCCCGCACATGATGGCGACCTCGTCCTCATCAAAGAAGTCACCTTCCACTGCTCTGACCTCGATACTCAGCTCAAGCCGGTCATCAATCAGTGGATGGAGGATGAGAGCTGGAGGAAGTGCGAGAAGTGCGGTGAGGTCGCGCCGGCCAAGTAGAGCCCGGCTTGGGTAGGAGCCTATTTGGAGCGCAAAGTCACCAAAGTCAGGCCAGATGTAGCAATATAGTATGAGACACAGTTGAGAAAAGTCAAGCTTTTCCCGAACATTTCGCACAGCCAATGATGTCCCGTACGTCCGCTGCGGCTAGACCAAGCGAAGCACGTAGATGTTACATACAAAGCCGAATACCCAGAACGACCCGCTCGTAGCTAATGCCAGCCTCTCCCCCCTCGCCCAACATGGCCCGACTCTCCACGACTCAGAACATGGTCTCCTCGTCACGCAAGAATTCTCCTACATCCGCCTGGTGGAACACGATGATCCCGCTCGGGTCGAGTTTTCTCGTATCGAGCGTTGAGCGAGCGGTTACGCCGAATCCCTATCCCATTAGCCACGTACAGATCCGAGAGGAAAAACAGTGACGTACCAATGGCACATCCGACATGTTGTACACCACCACACCCTGATGTTCTGGTGTGTCCTCTGTTATCCGACCCAGATGGGCTTTGACGACGTGATTACCGTACAAGAACGGCAGCTCTCCCGGTTGCTTGACCCAGACCTGCAACGTCAGCTCTAGCTCCAGCTATACGCCCCGCAGTGACCACCCTCCTCCCTCAACCACAAGCCTCGTCCCCAGTCACAAGCCTCCTTGCCCCGGATTACAGGTCTTGAAGTGATCTAAATGTTCTTCTTGTACCTCCGCGAAGTAAAGCTCACCTTGTACTTTGCGTACTTGGCCAACCAATCCAGCGAGGTAATACCCAGCTTGAACTTGCCGGTCTTGCTAAATTTGCCGAAACATGTACCGATGGAGACGAGATTTGGGCGGGCGATGGAGGTGGCGTGGTGGAGCATGTTGAGGGGCAGATAGTACACTCTGCTAGGGTCAGCTCGGTCCGGAAGCTTTGGCTCAGCTCGTGATAGCCTGGACGAGCCGTTCTCTCCTCAATCCCGACAGTCCTACGGTCCCGCCAGTTGGATCCTGAGCGGTCCCTCAAGGCTAGAGCTACAGAGGCCCTCTGATTCGCAATGACTGACCTATCCCGGTTCAGACGGAAACAGTACGCATCATCCTCGTCCCGGTCGATCAGGTGGACCAGGTTCTTTCCGATGTAATTTGCGAGCTCTGTCTCGTCAGCTATGCTTCTCCAAGTTGAAGCCTTCCCTGAAAGCTCACTCTCAAACACCGCCTTTGTCTCTTCTTCCGTCAAGGGCCTCATCTTGCTATGCTGTATAGAGGGATTAGTAGTATTGTTGACAAGGTGTATATGGTGGAGGTGAAATACTTCTGTGGCAACTTTTGGCTGCGTGACGTAAGCGGATTAAAGTCACGTGCAGCCTTGGAGCGTGCGCGTTGGACGATGACCCGTCGCTCGTACATTCCTCGTATCTCTCTTATACCTTCTTACACTCTATCTACCCATCAATCAGTAATAACTGCACGGTACAGCAGCACAGAGGAGCAGCAAAGCAGCCGCATATACCACGCTTTTTCAACTCGAAGATTGATTAGAGGAAACGATTCATCATGGTACGTCGGTTACCTATCCTTTCACCTCCCTGTCCAACTCTTCATGCCTCCCTAGCCGGGGCCCAGCTGATTGATCAGTTCCGCAACTCTTACGACTCGGACAACACCACCTTCGTAAGCTTCCAGAACGGCTTCGGCTGCCGCGGGGCAAAAGGAGGTCAGCAGCTGATTTGCCAGTCCCCACAGGGAAAGTTGCATCAGGTTGAATATGCCCTCGAAGCCGTCAAGCAGGGTTCGGCAGCTATCGGTCTGAGGTCGAAGACGCACGCTATTCTCTTGACGCTCAAGGTTAGCTCACTGGCCCTGTCATCTGGCGGATCAACGCGGGCCAAGCTGATCCCGTACAGAGGTCAACCGGCGAGCTGGCGACTTACCAAAAGAAGCTGATCCGCATCGACGATCACGTCGGAATCGCTATTGCGGGTCTTACCAGCGATGCCAGGGTCCTCAGGTGAGTTGTTCGAGCCTCGAGTTTGAGAATGAAGCTGATACCTCTAGCAACTTCATGCGCCAGCAAGCCATGTCGTCAAGGATGCTGTACGGCCGCCCCATCCCCGTCGCTCGGATCATGCAGGGTATCGCAGACAGTAAGTTCAGCTTCATCTCTCGAAACCATGCTCTCCGTCGGTCTGAGAGTGTGGCTAACCCTTGACAGAGGCTCAGAACAATACCCAGCAGTACGGTCGTCGGCCTTACGGAGTCGGCTTCCTCGTTATCGGTGAAGACGTGAGCTTCGAAGCCTGTGCGAGTTGCGATCTCTGCAGCTGTAGCTGACAAAACTCAGGAGACGGGACCTCACCTGTTCGAATTCTCCCCTTCCGGCACGTCCTTCGAGTACTATGCCCACTCGATCGGCGCGCGGAGTCAAAGCGCCAAGACGTACCTGGAGACCAACTTTGAGTCGTTTGAAGACGGTAAGCTTGATTCCATCTAGCAGGAGTGCAGCACAAATCTCCGATCCCTAGCCTGGAACACCCTCTCTCATTCACAGCGTGTTTTACGCTCTCCTCCCCAATCTCTCTCTACCATTCACCGCTGACCCCACAGCCGACCTCCCCACTTTGATCAACCACGGCCTCACCGCCCTGCACGACACCCTCCAGCAAGACAAGCACCTCTCCAACCTCAACACCTCCATCGCCATCATCGGTCCACCCGCCCCCGCCGCCGAAGGCGAAGACAACGTCTCGTCTTCCGGAGCCGCCAAGCGCGGATCCTTCCGGACATGGGAGAATGCCGAGATTGAGGGTCTGCTCCGTGCGTGGCGGCGCAGCAGGGGCGAGCCGGAGGAAGGGCCGCAGGAGGCTGAAGAGGCCGAGAGGCTCAAGCGGGATCAAGAGACCCATGCAGGTGCGGGCGGTGTGGGGGTGCCAGCTGCTGCTGGGGGCGAGGCGGAGGGTGAGGGTGCGGCTTCGGGCGCGAGTGCAGGAGCGGCTGGTGGTGCGCCGGCGCCAGCGGCGGGGTCAGAGGATGTGAACATGGAATAAAAGATGAATAGGAAAGATGCAGACTGAATTTTTCTTTCTGGATGGGGCTGATGAGACTGATTTGGCCTTTGGCATATTACTGATCCGGCTGCACAGGTGATCTCCTCAGACTGGCCATCCAAGCCTTGTTTCCCACAACGCTAACTAGGATGTAGCAAACTCTTCTGCTCGCTTACTCTGCCTCGACACACTGTCCGTTGCGCTTGAGGAAGCCAGCCTCACACGCCATAATCTCGCACTGCCCCCCGCTGCACGAGACTCCATCCGGCGCGACTCCCTGCAGGGCAGTACAGCTGTCTATCAGCGCCGGCGTTTCCCCGATGGATTCGCAGAGTACTTACTCAGTTCCATTCACATACGGCCCCCTCCCAGCATACTTGTACGCCCCATCGATACATCCTCCGCAGGATTCTGAGTATGACAATAATCCACGTCGATTCCGCGGGACTGATCGATGAGCCGTCCAGCCACTTGTGAGATCTGTGCACAGTGCACTACAGTCTGCTATACCTTCAGATCCCCAGACGAAGGATCTGAAACGCCAGCATGCGCTTACTTCGTGGACGAGGTGGCTGCAAGGCCCGGCGGCCACTAACGCAGATCTTGTCCTCGGGCGTGGCAGATGTGAACGCTGCATTGAAGGAGCGTATCTATGTGGCACGATGTCGCGCTGGCCCCAAGATCCCCAATGAAAGCATGTGAAACGTCAAAGCGAGAGAAGCACCAAGATACAAGTCAACTCTGGGAGATACCCAGATCCAGGAAGAAAGGGTGTGAAACACCAAGTCAAAGTGAGCCAGCCCCATGCTGACCCGCGAAAACTCTCGCCACCCTCTGAAATATAAGACTCGCTGATTAGCTGACCTTTCACAATCACAAGTCCAAGTCTTGACTTCGCATCGCCCCCCTTTAGCGATCTCAAGTACCCCGATGTCTGCTATCCAAGGTCCCAAGTTCGTGCTGTTCGGCGATGGCGGCGAAGAGGAGTCCGTGACGATTGACAAATACGATCCCGAAATCACGATGCCAGAGTGGAAGGTAGACCTGGACTCACACTCCTCTGCCCTGCACAAGGTCATTAAAGTTACCGAGTCACTGCAGGAGAGGCGCGACATTGCCGCTGACATGACCGACCTCCACAGAACGACGGAAACCGACCAGGTCTGGTTCATGTCCGTGATGAAGAACATTGCAGGGTGCCATCACGCTTTCGATGACGCAGTGGTTGGACTATGCGGCAGGGACGGTGTCGATTGGTCAATCATTGAGGCATCACGAAGACCAGTCACAGATCTTTCCCTTCTCGGGGACTTCTTCCCTCAATCTATGAGTCGTGAGGTCAACCGAGCGGCATACAAGGAATTTCCTCCGAAAGTCTCTGAAGCAGCTCGTCTTGGGCATGCAGAGAGGGAGTTTTAAAAGGCGCGGATCAGTTTGGACAGCACGTTCAGTGACAAAGTTCTTGGGTGGGAGCAACACCCGGAGAATGACACGACCGGTATCGGCAAGCATCTGTCCAGATCATGGGGCGTCTTGCTGGACGAGCTCCGAACAATCCGGGTGACATTCGGCCTCGACGAGGATGTGAAGCAGATCAGCGCCGAAGCTCAGCAGATCCTCAGTACGATGGGGAACGACGATCACGATGACGAAGCAGTCCCTGCCCGATCGGGGACTCCGACCGTGGCCAAGGCATCAACGGAGCCTCAGCGCGCACTCACCAGCCTTCTTGGCATCACGATGCCTTACCTCGAGTTCCTCGAGCGCTTTGAGGAGTACACGAAGTTTGTGTACGCCGAATTCTGGAAGTCCGCGCGGGTCAAGGAAGAGATGGCGCGGACGGCTTTGACACTCCGCGACGAGGTCGGGGCATCTGCAGGGGTGGAGGAAACAGCGGGGAGTACCGATGAGTCCAGCGGTCAGTAGGCGGTACGAGAGCGGGCGAGAATATCTTGCTAGCTGGTTGAGAGGAACGGCAGGGCAATTGTCAACATGAACTCAGGCGGTCGAACTTTGGGAAGAGGACAAGTAGATCATGGATTAGCATTATGCCAGTATGCAGCTTGTCTAGAGAACCCGCCCAGCGGGCCCAATTGAGAGCGATGCGACGGTACGACCTAAGGCTTTTGGCCAGAGTATGAGTAGGATTGCATCAAGATCAAGAGCAGTCGGCAATGGAGCAGGCCCAAGATTTCGGCGATTAGTCCTGAGCCTTCAGCTCGTCCTCGACAATACTGGCGCATCGCTCCCCGATCGCGAGCGCGACCGAAGCCATGTTGGTGCCCATATGTTTCGGAACGACCGAGACGTCTGGCCATCAGCTCTGTCCCATCTCCGACTGAGCCCCAATGAAGTGGACGTACCGGCGATCTTCAACCCCGTGACACCATACACGTCCAGCTTGGCATCCACCACCCCGCCTTCCGCCCTGTCCGCCATCGGGCACGTCGACATCGAGTGCCAAGCCGAAACGACGTTGCTCCTGATCCAGTCCTCGATGATGATGTTGTCCTCCTTGGTGTACACGATCTTGGCGTCATCGGTGATAGGTCCGTCGTGGCGCTTGCAAGCGGCGGCCGAGTCGGGATGAAAAGCGGGGTGACCGGCGGCGTACTCGCCTCGGTAGACGGCGATGCGTCGGGCGATCTCGCGGGTCCTGCTCGTCAGCGACAGTAGACGTGAGACCAGATAGACGTACCACTTGTACATGAAGACAAGGACGGGCATATCGGCCGACTGGTCCAGCAAGCCTGACTGGAAGTGGGGCGGCGCCTCGGGATCGGAGCTCGAGATGTGAAGACTGCCGACCGAGGCTTGGTAGTTGCTCCACCAGCCGAAGGCCATGTACTTGCCGGGAGGAAGAGTAGAGCGGTCGCCCATGAACTGGCAGGAGAAGGCTGGAGGTCAGCTTTGAGTATGCGAAAAATTACATGACGTACCGCTAGTAGCGACGGGCTTGTCGGGTTTGTCCTCAGCGACGGACTTCCAGTGTGCGGCGAAGCTGTACATCAGCGACATCCTTGCCTTTGTCTTGGATTAGACTTACTCTGGACCAAGCTCAGCGATCTCCTCTTCGGTAGGTCGCCATTTGAGGCCCATGTCTGCCTAATCAGCTACACTTCAATACAGGCAGAGCAGATCCAGACTCACTGAGACCGTTCGTAGCAAATTGCCCTGTCCCATCCACCATATACTGCAGGAGCTGCGCAGTGATAGTGGACATATCCATGGAGAGGAAGCTGTCGAGCGTCTCGCAGGTCTCGTCGATATGGTAGCCAGAGAGAACGAGCTATTTTTGTCAGCTTGATTCCAGCTTCCATAAGCCTTCAAAAGCTCACTTGCTTGTCCCTATACTCCTTGCCCACACCAGGCAGGTCCACCTTGACCTCAACTCCAGCAGCACCCAAGACCTCCTTCCCGCCCAGCCCGCTCCTCTCCATGATGAGCGGCGAGCCAAAGCCGCCCGCCGAGAGGATGACCTGTTGGTCCGCCTTGATCTCAGTCCCGTCGACCAGCTTGACGCCGACAGCTTTGCCGTGGTCGATGATGATATGGTGGACCTTGGTGTTGCTGAGGATGGTGAGGTTGGAGGGAGGCTTGAGAAGCTGGCGCTTGGTGATGTACGAGTTGTACGAGGTGGAGCGGACGCCCTTGTCGTCGATCCACTTGGCCTGGAGCGTCAGCTTTTGGCGAGGGGTTGTGCGAATGAAGACATACATGCCAGCCGACTGAAATGTCAGCTTTGGCCCCCTTGAGATATGGAAAGTAGCTGAGCTTACAACCGTCGCTATGCTCCTGGTCTGCCATATCGACCAGCTGCTTGGTGTTTCGAGTGAGTGGGACGACGCGGAAGAAGTCCTCCATCCATTTCGGAGAGGTATATCTGTACTGTCAGCTTCTGACCTCGCGTCACTCCGTGGCGACTCAGTCAGCTCACCCTCCGTTGGTCACCACCATACGGCCGTCCTTGCCGTGCTTGTTGGGATCGCCGTGCTCAGCCTTGTACGAGACGGACTGTCCTATCAGCTTGACGCTCAGGTCAGATCGCAGGCCGAGCTACATAATTCACCTTGTGAATGAATGGTTGCATCTCCTTGGCGGACCATCCGGGCTGCTTCCAGTCGTCCCAGTCCGAAGCTGGAGCTTGATTGTAGATCTGTCGAGTCAGTGTGTCTTTCTCGTGCGCTGCAATGTATGGCGTACCATGAAGTTGACGGCAGACCCGCCTCTGATCACGTCAGCTCGTATTCCAGTATCAGCTGACGAGAGCTTACCCGAGGGTGTTTCCAGCTGCGATCGGAAGAGCACGGCCGTTCAGGTGCTTATCGACCTCGCTGATGAAGTTGACAGCTGTATGATCAGCTCATACTAGATGGTCGCCCTGATGGCAGAGAGGGGCTCACCAGTCTTGGCGCCCATGAGGGCAGAGAACATGCCTTGGAGCGGACCTGGTGGTGAGCTCGATCCTGCCGCGGTGATGAGCAATGCGCTTACGAGCGACAACTTCATCGTCGGTTGAATCTGTCCCAGCCTCGATGACGAGAATTGAGACTTCCGGGAATGCCTCGGTAAGCCGACCAGCGATGACACAACCTGCGGTACCGCCTATGATATCAGATGCGAACGACTAGACATCATAGGTGAAAGTTGGACATACCTCCGATGATGATCACGTCGTATTGGGTGGTGGAGACTGCTGTGTCGTCAGACATGTTGGGGAGAGGTGAGTAAGGTGATGTATGCTTGCAGGTGGAGACGGGGAAGCATGTTGACCTGATATAGTGATGGTTAGTCAAGGTTCAGGAGAAGCAAAAAGGATGCAACTCTATTGCACGGAGTGCCTGAACGCCGCCACCGAGTGTGTGTAGAGTATGTGTAGATCAGGAACGGGATTAGCGCGATGGTGAGGAGTCAATGCGATGCATACACTCGGAGCTACCGCTTCATCCTTTGATCGTCAGTCACGCTCAGATACCACGGAGCAAGCTTACCTCTTCTTGAACCGGTCATACACCTCCGCGTCGGTAGCTTGCTGATTGTCCTTCTTCGAGTCGTTGTATCGTGGCGGAGGGAGACCAGCCGCTTCTCGCTGCTCGTCGTTGTGTGCGTAGATATCTGATGCTATTCGTAATGTTGGTCGATGGTCTTCACTGTCAGCTGAGACTTCGCGAGCAGGAGCGGAGGGTAGGCGCACATCTGGCTGCAGCAAAGTCCTCATCTTCCGGCCGCCTTCTCGTCTTTGTCTCATTCTTCCGCCGTTCCTCCATCTCCCGCTTCGCCTTCTCTGTCGCCTCGATGTTCCTCAGTCGGTTCCTGAGCATCAGCCCTATTTCATTGCCAGATACAAGACAAATAGACCCACTCCATTCCCAAGTCCATCTCGGGTATACTCGTCAACATGCCCATACTATTCGTCACGTTCCCCTCCTCCTCTTCCACCTTCTCCATATCCCACTGATACTTGGCCGCCATCTTGTACAGCTCCGACTGAGGATCCAGGGGCTCAAGTGATCTCCCTTCCTTCTCCGCCTTCCCTTTCCGCTTGGCCATCTCGCTCTCTATATACGCCAGCCTAGACCATCAGCTCCTTCCCCCCTCTCGTCCGAGCGGGCGACCTACATGTGCTTATCCGTGTCGAGCGCATTGGTCTGCTGCGTAAAGTTGTTACTCCGGACCATCCGCATCATCCTTTCCGCTTCATCCGCAAACTCGCTATACGACACCATCAGCTTGACCCCTCTTGTCTGTTGTTCACTAGGAAGGACTTACTCCACCTCATCATCCTCATTCCGCTTTCTCATGGGCGCATGCAGTCCATATCCCGCCGCTCCTGTTCCCAGATCGTCCCTAGCGACCTTCTTGGGGCCCTGATTGAACTTGGCGAGATCGATCCCTTGCTTGCCCTTTCGGAGTTTCCGGAGGAGGATCAGCTCGTCGATCTCCGCGGTGAGGTCTTCGGCTGGCTCGGTTTCTTCGGGCGGAGGCGAGCGGGAAGGGGAGATGGTCGATGGGCCAGCTTCTGCGGAGGCGGTAGGGGTGTCTTTGGCTCGGGACCCGGCTGGGCGGGTACGTTTCTTGAACATGGTGTAAAGACGAGGAATGAGGTGGTAGAGAGGTGAAATGAGAGATCTGGTGGGGCTTTGTTTTGACATCGTACTTCATCCTTCCGACGCTATGGCGCTTCCAAATCTCCGATGTGATCTTATTCTCGCCCCACCATACTGAACGGCACGCAAGCTGACCTTGCGTAGCTATCTTTGCATCGTCCAGGACCTCCGAAGAGGAGAGGCAACTATCCCGAGTGACTTTCTACAAGTTGTGAGTATCCCTGTCCCCTACTTGACCCCTCGTGGTGCTCGGCCAGTCCCAGCTGACGCTACAAGTACCGCCTTCGTCGCGTCCTGCCTGGTCATTTCCCTCCTTGCTAGTCGAAACTCAGGCAGAGATCTTCCTAAAGCAGCCGGGAAGGCCATTGGGATGGCATCTGGAGGAGGTGGGAAGCTGGTCTAAAGTGGACAAACTGCGTGGCCTAGGCAGCAGCAAGGCAAGAGGTACGAGCGCGCGTTACCATGTACAGGGAGGCACAGGCGCTGATCCATCTAGTAGGCAGAGCGAGCGGCATTGGTCAAGCACCCTTGAAACCCGATACCTCAAGACACAGATGGCCTGCCGAGGCACGAGACTACGCGCTCGGCGCTGGGGAGGCGGGCCTATGAGGCGATATCTACCGGAGTGATCAAGCAGCCGAGCTATAGGGCGCATATCCTCTCTGCGATGAGTGCATGCACGTTTGGACTTGGGCAGTGCATTGTTGAAGAGCCCGACATACTCTGACAAGACGGCCGGTCAAATACAATGCCTTGAGATATACCACAATCCTCGGTATTGCCAACACTAGTACACCTTCTCGTACTGCCCATTGTCAGCTTGGCTTGTTCCTTGTTCCTTGGCAGAACTTCGCTCGATCGTAAGCGATAACTCACGAAGCAAATGTACGCTTTCGCCTTCAACACCTCTTCAAGACTCGCCAATCTTATCGACGTACTGTTCCATCAGCTCCGCCCTCAAGCGCTTCTCCCCCCTAAGACAAGGCGAGTCAGACTTACTCTGAGCAATAACACCACACCCTCTTCCCCGCACCGTCTCCCACACTCGGCATCTCCCCTCCTCCTTGCCCATTCTGTACCCCGCCACCCCCATTCTCTCTCAAATCCAGGTCCCTCATAGCCTCCACGACCCGCTTGCCATCCTCAAACATCCTTTCTGGATCGACGAGGGTATACGCGATATAATGCCCGCCAATCATCGTTCCCAGGTGCACCACGACAGCTACATGGTCAGCTTTGATCACATAGGCTCAACCGCTACCCGGAGGATTGTGGTGCCCAGCTCACCATAGAGCCTGTACCAAGCTGGCGAAGCTTCCGGCCCATGCTCAACTGACGCCCAGTCCATATACGGCGCTTTTGGCCCAGACGGAGTCTGCACAATCTTGTAGTCGTTCCTATTTGGAGCAAGGAACGGCGCGACGTCTAGCATCTCTGGGAAGGACACGAAATCGTCCATCCTGCCTCATCAGCTCTTCATCCTCCTCCCTACTCCTACTCAGAGACCCACTTTTTCAGATCATAAAAGCTCGTAAACGTCATACTCGTCTTTTGCGTCTGCCTAAACCTCTTCAGGTGGAAAACAAGCACCTCGGGCGACTTGGCTATGAGGTACCGCTTGAACGCTCGGCGGTGGACGAAATGTGTCGATTTTTTTCTGGGCGCCATCTTGGGCCGGCCGACTGGTATTTCCGCCGGCTGAGAAACGCCCACGTCGGACTCTTCGGACGTATCGGACAGCCCGTCGGTCCCGTCCCCTGCGTCAGCTCCGTCGACGTCCTGCTCCAGCTCCGTCTCTGTCTCGCCGGACGAGATATCCGCCAGACCGCCTCCGGTATGCTGCGAGGACGAGAGCGAGATAGCGTCGGAAGGAATAGGTGGTGCGTCTTGGAACTGACGACGAAGCGGTGATGGAGCGCGAATATGCGCAGAGTGGGAATTGGACGTGACGGATGGATGACGGAGCGAGGGGCGGTCGTCCTGCCCCATCGACTCGGACGACGTGTCGGACATGATCGAGATGGAAGGGGCGGTCGCTCTTCGCTGGGACGAAACGACCGGGGAGGTGGGTACCGACCCATCCGCCCTCCCGTAGCCGTACCCATGGACATGCTCGGCGTCCTCATCCTCCTCCCTCAGGGCCGGCTCCATACCCTGATATTTCCCCGTCTTGATCCGCCAGCACTTTTTACACGCAAACGAATTGTCCCCCTCTAGGACCTCGACCGACGTGAATTGCTTCAGACAGTCGATGAGACCGTACTCGCCCGAGGCAGGATGCCCCGCTGTATTGACCGCGAGGCCCTCCCCGCCATTTGCCGCTCGGAGTTTCGCCAGTGGATCAACCGGTTCCGACCCGCCCTGGTTCGCTAAGATCCGCTGGATATACGCCGCCTGCGCAGGCGTCGGACCAGGTCCGTGAACATGCTTCCAGCCACCCAGGCTCGGGCTCCCTGGGATGCCCGCCGCCGCCTGAACGTGAGTATGCGAGCTGCTGGTCGAGCTATCCGCGATGGATCCGCGCTCCGAATCGCCCGATTGGGACGGGACTGATACCGTAGAAGCGGTACGAGCGTCGTCCTTCTTCTTCTTGCCGAAGGAGAAGCTGGGTTTCCCAATCCCAAAGCCCTTGATGGACGAGCTCCGACTGGGTCCAGGACCGCTGTCGCTTCGCCGCTCATCGTGGTCCATGGACTTCCGGCGGTCTTTTTGGCCGGCCTTGCGAGGGAGCTCCGAGTCGGACAACTCAGTCTCGGAGGTAGCTGCTTCGGGGACGGGTTTGGCATTGCTCGCCTTGGGACGGAAGAGGGCTTTGAGCTTGTCGCGCTGTAATATCAGCTTATCCCCCTATGTGCTTACTGTTCAAAGAAGCTCACCTTTCGGGTCCGCGGCTCGTCTTTCATACTGAGTGAGATATCCAAGAAGCCTTCGTACGTATGTGAGACCTACGAGTATCAGCTCTGCATGACCGCACTGTCCCCCGGTCACCTGCGAGCTGACTCACGCTCTTGCACTTTTCACACACCACGACACTCGCCAGACTCCCCCCAAACAGCACATCCACAAACGGCACCAGCTTCTCATTCTCCGGCACCTCTCTCCACTCCTCCTCTTCCTGCCGATTCCCACCCATCACCGCCGCCCTTGCCATCGGATCAAACTGCTGTTTGACCGGACTCCCCGGTTGACTCGGCGCCGGACTAGGCAACGGACTCGGCATTGGGCTTATCCCCGCCAACTCCCTCGCTCCCGCCGTACCCCTCGCGCCCCCCGACCCCGTCACCCGCTTCTTTGGCGCCTGCCTCAACTGCTCCGGCTGCACCTTCTTAATCACGTCCTTCTCCTCCATCTCCATACTGTCCAGCAGATGCCGCAAGAGCTCATGCGCGTCCTGCTGCCGATAATCATCGTACTGGTCGTATTTGAGCGCAATCTCCCGAAGGAGCGTGCGCAACGACATGCACTTGCCAGACGCGGTCTCGCCGGATCCGTACGTCCCGCCGCCGCCATCTTTGAGTTTCCACGAACGGTGTAGATTGTTGATGAATGCTCGGGTTACGGGGAGGAGCTGAAAAAGAGGCGGTTCGAGCGCGTCGTCTCGTAGCGCAGGGACGAGGGAGGGTGGGAAGATGGGTCGAGGAAGGGAGTGGCCTGGACCAAGCGAGGAAGATGGGGCGGCAGTGAGGAGGGAAATGAGTGGTCGAGTTGCGCTAAGCTATCGATATCAGCCATCTCCCATCCCTTATCTTTGTGGCTTTAGGCTGACTTACAGCCTGGAAGGTCGAGTTGAGAAAACAGGTGTTCTGCTCATTGATAATTCCAATAGGCTTCAGCGCCGACGGTAGCCCCTTGCCAGAGGGGACACTGGTCTCTCTGGGTGTTGTGGCCGAGATGACCGGGGAAGCGGTCGCTAGATCCCTCCGCTCAGATTGGGGTGAGCCCTGCGGAGTGGCCATATCCCTCGACGCGTCCGAGATGGACTGACGAGGCGTGACGTCTGGAGAGGCCATCATGTTGCCTCAAGTGCTACGAACGTGTATAGATAGAGGATGGTCGAAGAGCGGAAGAGAGATAGGCGGCCGCAAGCGGTGGGTGGTTCTGGCCGGGATGCCAAGAAGGAGAGGCGAGGTCCGTGCGCCCAATTTGGGCCAAAAATACAGCAAGAGTTCACAGCTTCAGTCGTGAATGCATTGCCTGTCACGGTGGCCGAGGAGGCAGCCTCTCCGCCTGCCCGCTGCTCCGGAACCTCATCCCGAAGAAAGGGAAATCGTCAAAAGGGAGACGAGGCGGGACGGCCCGTGGCCAGAACGTCTGGAGATCCATTTCTTACCGCCGACTCCACCGGGGCAGCTACCGGGGCCCGAGCAGCTAGGGTCGACTACTTCGTCTTGCAACGGCGAGCGGTCTGCCATGATAGAGGTTCCTAGCATACGCGCTTCATGCCCGCGACAACTCGAGAGGAAGAAGAAATGCAGGTAGAAGGGAACCGGAGGGGGTTCAGTTTCATGCATTACTGCGGCTTATCGTTCAACGTCGTCGCCAATCAGGTCTCCCATCTAGCTGATCTAGCTGACTGTGTTGGGTATCGCGAGAGATATACCGAGGACGTTTACTTGGTGGGCGGGGCCTCGTCAGCTACATCATCAGCTGGTTGATCGTACACGATCAGACACCACGCAGCTCACCGTTAAGGATACCCTTGTTGACCAGTTCTGAGGGAGACGGGCGCTGGGCGAGTTCCTGCTCGAGCTTGTGCTGGATATCAGCACTGTTACCAAACACGAAGCACCCAATTGAAAGGGTCATGCAACGAGTGGGCTTACCTGGTCGGCCGAGCTGGCCGGGTGAAGGTCTCCGCTCTTGTCGACACCACCGACCGAGGTCGAGACACCACCGGCAGCGGGCGCAGGGACGATGCTAGGCGCGGCGGCGTGAGCCTGGGCGTGTGCCTGTCCAGCGAGGCTGGAAGCAGTGGCACCGGCGGTGGACGCGGCCGAGGCAGCGACGGCGACGGCCTGGTTACCAATAGACTTGGCCTGAGCGGTCAAGTCGGCGGTGGTCTGCGAGTTGGCAGCCTGGCTGGCGAGAGCAGAGACCTGCTCGACGGTCTGAGCGACGAGGCTTTTGGTCTGCTCGAGGACAGTGGGGCCAGTGCCGGGGGTGTTCGTGGTGTTGGGGCCGGAGCCGAGGGTGTTCGAGGGGGCGGCTGATAAGAGTCAGTGCGAGTCCATGATTTCTCGTCTCTTAATAATAACCCATCCTTATATCGGTCCGGAAAAAACTCACCCATTGTGATGGTTAGTTTGTTGTTAGGTAATTATAGGCTTGAGTAGTGTGAGATATGGTATAGTTGAAAGGGAGAAGGAATGTGAGGCCGTGAGGGGGGGGGGACGACCAAAGAGCCAGCGCGCCACGGTAAGCGAACGGGACCTAGGTGACGTCATCTCTGCTGTTTGATTCCGCCCGGTTAAGCTTCGGATGAACCCTATACAGCTTAAATTTCACCTTGCGCGCTACACTATCTGTCTAACACCTTGTAAACACATCTATAACGCCATGCCCGCCAATAGGACACTCTCAGCCGTGCCCGCTGCTACAGCAGCCAAGCGTAAGAACGCTCCAAGAGAAGATGAGGATGATTCGGGGAGCGACAGCGGCAGTGATGTCGTGAGTCAAGCTTAGACTTGACGGACCTCTCGTTCCCTGTTGACGCGATAGAGCATGATCAACGTGGACTTTGACTTCTATAGCTTTACACCGGATGTAGACCTGTACGTGAGATATGTTATGCGCTAACCTGAGCATCAGGCTGATTCGGTAGGATAGCCCTCAAGCGGCTTCTTCGTCAAACGCTGTCGCAGGATGACAGCATGATCGACGTGCATCCGCTCGCTGAGCTCATACTGTCAGAGGGTGTACGCACAGGTGCAGGAAGCACCATCAAGACAGAAGGGGAGGAGAGCGATCCCTGGGCGATGGTAGCTGTTCTTGATATCAACCGAAATAGAGTGAGTCTAGCAGGTTTTGTCCATTATCATAACTGATGGACAGGCCAACCCAGCGCTCGCACCCTTCCTCGACTACCTGCGTAGCACACTACCCGCTACTTCACCCATCAGCGCCGTCCTCGACCCTTCGAGCCCAAGCCGGCCCGCTCTCACATTCTCCCTCCGCCTGCTGAATCTCCCCCTGCCGCTCATTCCGCCATTATACAAGATGCTTGGTTCGGAGCTGGCAGAGGGGAGGAAAGAGGGACGAGATATCCCAGAGTTCACGCACTATCTGGTTTGGGGAAGGGGATATAAGCTGGAGGGGACGGAAGAGGCCATGGGGCTGGAGATGGACGGAGCAAAGTGAGTTTCTGCTTCGCGAGACCAGTGTGAGGTCGATGGCTGATTCGCCAGTAATGCTGGAGGGAAGAAGAAGAAGTCCAAAGCGGGGACAAGACAACCTATGACCCCACTGCAGGCGGGGACTTTCCCATATCACCCAGAAGAGGCATATCTTGACGACGTGAGTATCGCTTTATCCCGTGCATCGCCATCTGGAGTCGTACTGATCGCGTTCAGGTTGCGACTACAGTTCACACATATCCCTTCAAATCTGCTCAACCGCGAGACGACGACTCGTTCGGCGTTGAGCAGCACGGCCGACTCGTACTGCTCACAGCAGCGGCTATGACCAGCGCTGTCGCCGCGATGGAAGAGGCATGTCGGCAGTAGAAGGTCATACAATGGGCATACGCGTTCCAGCAATATCATCAGTATGTATATCTCAACCTTATTGCAGCGTCGTCCAGTCCCGCATAGGCTGCGCGAAATGGCTCATGTCCGGAGGCAATACTAAAAGCCTCATTCCTCAGCGCGTGTTTCAGGTTAGAGTTTTGGGGTCGTCAAAGGGGATCTGCTTCTCCTTAGCGACCCATCAGCGATCCATTTCGCGCCGGGAAGGTGTATAATGACCCACCCACGCTCTTCCCCCCTACCTTCTCCATTCCCATCACATCCGCTCCTCCCCACCACCTCTCACCACCTCAAGTCCCAACTCCCCACAGATTTACCAACACCACCTTCGCGTCATCATGCGCCCCACGTCCTTTGGCATCGCCCTCGCCCTCATCACCGCCGTTTCGGCTAGCGGTCTCGCTGGTCGACACGAGGGACACGACCATGGCGACACGAGCATGTCGATGTCGTCGAATGGGACAGCGGCGAGCTCTACTGTGAGCTGACCCCACTATCCCCCTCCAGTACACACCCTCCTTTAGGTCACGTGCACCCATCAAATAACCCTTGCTTCCGATATAAACATGCAGGTACATCAGCTGATAATCCAGTCGAGCATCCCCAGCTCAGCCTCAGCCTCCGCCACCTCCTCCATATCCGCCGCTGGCGCTGCCGCCGCATCCTCCGGAGCCGCCTCCCTCCACATCACCCGCCCAGGCGCGCTCACCGGAGCTTTGGCGATCGTGGTGGCCATGATGGCTTGATGAGAAGGACCATGCTAGGACTATGACGGTACGATGAAGGGCTAAAGAAGGGCAAAAGAAGGGGGAAAGAAATGTACTATGGCGTATGTCGGGCTTGAGACTTCTGTTCATCCGCTGACACGATACTGAGTACTTCTGACCCCTATTGCCCGGCGGAGCACCCTTGCGGTCATCCAAGTGCATCCTTTCACGCTGACTTGTCTCTACCCCTTCAAACACCGCCCGGTCGATTATTTTGGGCCTAATGATCGTTGAGGTCTCCTCAATGCACATCCCTTGTCAAGCCGCACCACAACTCCGCAGGTCCGCTGATCGCACCCATACTTAAGCTGTCAAGCTCTTTCGCTGAGCGTGTACATCACTCATCTCCACCCACCTCTCCTCATCTCCTCTCCGCACCCGATCCCTCTGCCCTACATCATCATGGCTTTCAAGCTAAAGCTGTCGAGGACCAAGCGGCTCTTGTTCGTCATTGTCTCCTGTACCATCTACTTCTTCTTCGAGATCACCAGTACGTACTCTTTCTACCTAACATGCCGGCTACTTGGCCACGCTCATGTAGTAGTCGGACTCAAAACTGGATCGTTGGCTCTCATTGTCGATGCTGTAAGTACTATTACTGCTGAGGTGTGTAATACAAGACGAGCTGACATGGGTACAGTTCCATCAGCTCAATGACCTCATCTCATAGTAAATACCCTTTGCCTCTTGTTAGATACTGGGACCCAGCTGACTCGGTAGTATCGTCGCTCTCATCGCCACACGGGTGAGACTGCTTCGCTTCCGCTGCCGCGACTAGTATAGCTAGGGCCTAGGGTACAGAACAACAGCTGACATGATCAGCTGACCATGAGCTCTCGAGAAGTGAGTACTAGTACGGCACCGCCGGACTATGAGCCGACTCTCGCCTCAAACAGCTCTCCTGCTAAAATTACAGAGACCAGGCTTCACCTTCGCCCTCAAGCGGTGCGAAATCGTCGGAGCCTTTTTCAACGCCTCGATCCTCCTCGCGCTCGCTCTCTCCATCTTCTTACAGTCCATCGAGCGGTTCATCAATGTGCCTGAAGTGGATGATCCCTTTCTGATCTTCATCGTCGGTTGCGTGGGACTGGCTTTGAATACGTTGTGTATCATGATGTGCCACGGTGAGTTCAATCCGCAGGCAGAGTTAGTCGTGTGCATATGCTGATCAGTAGACGCACACGGGCATAGTCATGGTCGTAGCCACGGACATGGACAGAGTCATGATCATGCCCACAGTCACGCTTCAGCCGTTCCGGCTCTTTCAGGTAGTCATGAACATCCCTGCTCGCACGATCATACTCATGTTCTCGACCACCAGTATGGCTACCAGCACGATCATTCTCCACCTGACACTCTTAAGCACGCCAACAGCAATGAGGGGATATACTATCAGTCCCTCGAAGAGGAAATCCGGGCGGTCAGGATACCCAGTCTGTTCACGCAGGTCGCTCGGCCCATTTCTCACATGATTCACCATGACGTCAGCTTTCTCTTCCCCACATCGATACATACTGACTCCTTAGCACACTCCCGCTCACTCGCATGCTCACCTCCCAGGCACCGCTCGGCCTCGTGACCCCTCCCACATCAGCCGATTCTCCCGCTGGCGCCAGACCCTCTTCGGCGCGGACGAGGAGTCGGCCATCCCTCAGACCCGCCCCAGCCTGACTCGATTGGGTCCTGATGGCGCAGCGACTCCAGGGGGCGCGAAACACCGCTCCCTCGACCCTGGCAGTCTGAAATACGTCCTGCCTGACAGTCAGAGGTGGTACGACGCAGACAAGCTCGAAGTCCGCCAGCCACAGCGCAACGAGGTCGATATCGCTGACAATCACCGTGACACTCATTCTTATCCTGGCATGGCGGCTGCGGTGCAACCAGGTGGCTATGCGGGACATGCTCATTCCCATACTCATACGCGTGCTCATGATCACACCAAGGAGGACACATCTGCAACGCAGCACGGCCACGGCCATGGGCACGGTCATGGGCACAATCTCGGCTTCGCTGGGGTGTTCATCCACCTCCTCGGTGATGCGCTCAACAGTGAGCTGTCCTATCGTCCTTCCGCTTCTGCATGCGCAGTGATGATCGTGAGCTGACAATTCAGATATCGGTGTCATCATCGCTGCAGTGGTTATGTGGCAATCCACCTCCCCCAAGCGCTTCTACGCGGACCCGGCCGTGTCGGTCGTCATCGGTCTGATCATCTTTGGCGGGTCATTGCCACTCAGTACGTCCCTTTATAGCCAACCGGGATCGCGCCAGAGACTCGAAGCTGACGTCTCAGCTCTCTCGTCTGCTCGAGTACTGCTCGAAGCCGCGCCCAAAGGTCTGGATCTGAAGCAGGTGGAGGATGATCTTACACTGGTTAGTATCTATCTTCGCTCTATCAACGTGTTGTCCAGCTGACCATTGATGCAGATACCAGGTGTAGCCTCAGTACACTGCTTGCACGTCTGGCAGCTCACCGAGATGTAAGTGCTCAACCTTCTGCATGCCTCTGCAGTTCAGTACTGATTCTTAGTGACCTCATTGCCTCCATCGACGTCCGGTCCGAGGCGCGCGACCTCGTCGTCTGGTCACTCGTCGAGAAACAGATCAGGCGGCACCTCGCCACTTTCGGAATCAATCACGTGACCATCTCACCCGAGTTTGTGCCTTCTCGGTCGGCGTCGTTGGTGGACGGCAGCAAGGTGGAAGAGGAGGAGAAGCGGCAGTGTGCGGTGTTGAACTCGCCTAAGGCGTAGAAATGGAGTACGCCTTGGAGGTCCGGTCTCCGATCAAGGGTATATGTGGTGCTCGGTACAGTAGACGGAAATATAATGGAATGGTCCAGATGCGATTGTCGTGTGCTGTTCATTATTGCCGGTCACGATCAGAGGCGAGAAGTTACACAAAGGCATACGACAAGGTACATTCTATAACAATACGCTACGCCTCTGCCGGCGCCGAAGGGAATGGGTCAAGTCCCCGGCGGGCACGATCAGAACACACCCCGCAAGGGATCATATCCGTCAGGACATCTGTCTCGATTCCGTCCACAATTCGGGGGACTTGTAGCCAGCTGGGCCTGATCCGATCCTTTCCATCCGCAGTCTTGATGCTCACCCCATTCGAGAGCATCCTAGCTTCCATACCATTCTTGATCCTGAGCAAGTATTCTGCGCGTTCTGTCGGATCTGTCAGCTCCGGCAGATGCATGATCTGAATGTCGAGGGATTCTGGCCCCTTGACATCTTTCTCGAAATGACTTGCTGCTTCGTCCACGAGCTGCGTTTCGATGAAAACCGACGCAGTCGCCTTACCCGGAACCTGCACATGTTCGATGCGCCACACTTGAGGTCCTGTGTGGAGATCCAGTGCTTTGCAGTGACGCTCCAAACAGATGCCGGTCATATGCCAGGTCGAATTTAGACCCGGACACGATAAGGGCTCGTAGAATCGGCACTCGGGATCGAGAAAGCATATGTCGGCGCCGATCGTACACGCAGTACTTGCAATTGTCGAACCGGCACGTTGCAGATCCTGTACACCGATACTCCAGTCTTTTGGCCTCGGGTACTGTTTTCTGGTTCGCTCAAGGGTCATGGGATTGACAAGGAGATCTGCCGCATTGAAGACGATCTTTTTGGTGCGTTCCAAGCTCGGAACGGGCGGCAAGACATGACTGCCGTGAGATCTATGGCGCTTGTGCTGGCGGTGTGCGCGTTGATATTCCTCCATGCCGTCCGCCGCTTGCGTCCAGAACTCAGGGAGCCAGGCACCCTCAATTTCGTTGTTGTTCTCGTCGTACGATTCTCGGAAACATTCGGAAGAAGTGATCACCAGGCATGTCGGACGCAGTCTCGGCAGATCATCAGACTTTGGCTCTGAACTGGTCCTGCTGTGCCTTGCCAGGTCTGTGAAGGTATCCTTCAAAGAGGCCCCTGCGCGAGCAAGCGTGGCCTTCTTGCGCGTCGGAAAGTAGGCGCCTGGATTGTGTATCACAAGAGTCCCGCCCTTTTCCTCACACATACTGGAGATGTCCCCCCATGTTCTCTGATATAGTCAGCCCTGTACCAAGACTCTCCTCTCATGTGACTACAGAACGTACCCTGCACAATTTGGCATAAGTCAACATGGCAGACTGTCTGGGAACAGTCTCTTCGGACGGATACTTGTCAGGATAATCCCTCATCCGCCGTCTGAGCGCATAGTCCCGCAAGTCTGCGTCCAAGCCAGTTCGGAACATGGGGAATGTATCGAACTCGAATATCTGCGCCAACAATTCAGTGGGGAGCTGGAGCAGTCGACTTTGCGTCTGATCGAAGCGAGAGTCGAAGTGAGGCTCTTCCAGAGTCGTGCCATGAGATGGAAGATTCGTCAAAAAGCTCTTGAACATGCTGGCGATGCTTTTGCTCGAATCAGAAGGTGACATGACTGGTGGCTATGTTTCTCGAGATCAGTATGTCGAGTGGCGAATGCAAAGCCCGCCGGGGGACTTGACGCGGGGCCTGCGAAGGGCCCAGCATTGCCAGTCGCCATGCCAAGCACGCCATCGAAGGATGAAGGAGCCAGAGCGACCCATCATCGAGGTGTCCCCATAAAGGATTCGTTAAATTGAAACGCTTTACAATCTGCTCAGGAGAGATCCAGTGCAATCTACTGAAACACCGTTATAGCCCGCCAAAATGGCTTCACGAGATCTCTCACTACATGGTGATGATAAATGAGACTGGAATGTGGTGGGACTGGCTAGGAGAGATTATATGCGCATTGACCTGCAAAGATCGGGACTGTTCGTGACAGAGGACACAATCTTTGGACTGAGGGTTGTCTCAGAGTGTTTCACCATGTTTCAGACTTTGTATTTCCGCCAGCCATCCGCACGGCCACGAGCTCGTCGCCACCCGCATACCCCAGTGCCACATCTCCGGGCCTGGGAGGAATCAGTATTGCTCTCACGGAAGAGTATGCTAAGTGAGTGGTTCGGGCGGGACATACGCAGCGATGCCTCTTATTGCGACAGCAGACAAACGTGCGACATGCTGATAACCGATTGAAAAGTGCACCTGCACGTGCAGTAGACCGAGAGCAGGCTGCAGGGTTATGCGCCGCATCCTGCCAGATACGTAACACAGTTGTGTTCTCCCAGATCAACCGAGAACACCAGAGATGGCTCATAAGAAACCCGTAAAACCTCTTACATTATCTAGTTCTGAATTTCTTCATCCCGCCTCCATCCACGTCCTGCCCTTTGACCGTGTATCACATGTAACGGATGACGGGCATGCGGTTCGCGTCGTCTGCCTCGATGCTGCTCTTTCGCTGCGGCTTGGTGAACTCGCTCTCGATAGGGCTCTCGACACTGACGGCGAGGCCGGTTTCGCTGCTCGTGTGCTGGCGCCCCGTCGCTTTGTCGAGCTTGAAAGGTTCAGCTGGCACCAGGATGAGAGACTAAGTGGAATCACTCACCCCCGTATACGTTTCCGAGCGCAATTTCGTCGATGTCTGCTTGGAGCGAGATTTGAGAGAGTAGGTGTTATTATCCTGTTGGATCAGTCGGGCGCCTATCCTTCAGGGCAGTCTGGCTTACCTGGACATTCGGATCAGACTCGAGTTCCCGCCGCAGTGCGACTTTGGTATTCAGGACCGCTACGAGGCAAACGGCGAATAAGGGACCGGTAAATACAAAGAAGAACGGCCAGGTCGATAGAGTATTGCTGGTGTAGACAATGATGTAGATGATGGATCTAAGGGTCAGCCGATCGTACAGGAAGGATCACCGGTATTGAGTAGGGAATGGACTCACACCACAGTATTGGGAGCTTGCGTTTCACCGGTCATGATCATCAATCGAGTGATGACCGCATCGGTCTGCGACCAACCAGTCTTCGAGCGGTACAAAAAGACGGATATGACGGCGGTGGTCAGTACGTCGCAGATGACGTGGCAACTGAGCTGTAGAGTCAGCTGTGAGCAGGTCGGATTGGGGAGAAGACTGACCCATGCGAGAACGAGTCGAGTGAACAGAGGTCTGCCGTAGTATTGCGAGGCAAGCGCTTTGAGCGTGACACCGATCGCGAGGGACGCGAGACTGCTGGGTCAGCACATGTGACGAGATATGGGTGGGAGTTTTGCCGACTTACAGCAAGACACAGAAGACTGCACCAAGGATCTTGTTCTGCCTGGCTGCACGGTATGCCCGGTCCGCGAAGAATGCCTACCTCATTAGCTTAAAGAAGATCCGAAACAGCCGCATCAGACCCACGGAGACCGGAAAGCGGACGATCGCATCCATCAGATAGAAGAGAGAAGCATCTGCCTTGTCAGCCAGACTATCCTTGTGACATTGAAGGCTTAATTAGACGTACCGTCTAGGTTCAGGAATTGGCGATAACGACCGAAATTGCTGGCAAAGTTGTTCAAGTTCCACCATGTCAGGCTGCAATCTTAGGCTTGTCCAATGGCCATGGGTGCTGAAGCGGTGGGGAGCTACATACAAGACGGTGATGCCAATGTTCACGAGCAAGGTGTAAAGCTGGACGATCAGCTTTAAGCAGGAGAAAGGGGAGGCGCACACTCACTACCAGGATCCGTATACGCCAGGGCTCTCCCTTGTATCCGTGTGCATACCACCTGCTGCACTGTACAAAGAGTACCCCGAGAAGCATGCAGTTTACGAACAGCCTATACTATCAGCACATCCCATGTGAAGCTGGACGAGCACTCTTACCCGAGGATATAGGGCAACAGCCGACCAGCGGGGTTGCGACCAAAGAGGGTGAAGCCAACCAGGTCGAGCTGTTCCGGTGTGAGTCCCCGGAGCAGCTTGTAGGGGTCCGACGGGTCGTTCGCGAACGGAAGAGCGCTCATGACGACCAGCAGTACAGGATGTGTGCTGATGTGAAGTGGACTACGCCTTCTACATCTTTATAATTCTCCTTCGGCAGAGGGAAACTGAGGAGTGCGGCGGACCCGAAGTCCGCCGAAGAGGCACGAGGAGGGGGAGAGAGGGGGTCCGAGCGTACGGAGATTACGCATCTTAATGACGCGATCGAGAAGCATCTCTCGTAAATCACCGCTGTCAGCGCTTGTCAGCGTGAAATCATCTTTGGTGGCCATTACAGGGATCATCGCACCAGCAGCACTTCATCGCCTACTGGTATTTGATTGAGGCTAGTTTGCAGTGAGAGAGGGTCAGCTCTGGCCCTCATGTCGTATCCCTCACAATTTCGGTACCATCCGCCCGGGCACAGGTTCGGGAAACAACTCATTCCTAATGCCGGCATATCTCTCAACTGCCCTACGTTGCCAAGCGAAGTTGCCACCCAAATTGCATTCTGTGCCTGAATATGTCACTTCCCGAGCTACTTGTAAAGACGGACCCGAGCAGACTAGAGTCAGAGAATCTGAGCCTATCTGAGCTCGTGCCAATATACATTGCTGGCGGCATGTGGCCGCCCGTGGCGATCACTCGACGCCCGACGGAGCAATAGTGAATTCTCAGGCTCTAATCAGGGATCTTGAGGGAGCTGCTGATCTAGAATTGACACCCACTAGTACGCGTGGCCAGGTAAAGACTCCCAGTAAGTTCCACCCACTATTACTCAAGCAGTGAGGCTGGCTTATCATATTCGACTTTCATCAGTAGTCTGTGCTCAGCACGCGCGCCATTGTGGGCCGGACAGCCCGCTGCATTTCTGTTCCGTCTGATCTGTGGGTATAGAGAAGATGTGTACTCCTGAGCCACGACTCGCGAGCTGGGAAGGTGAAAGGCCTGAACCATCGCTAATATAAAGTGGTCACAGGCGTGGCACTGTCCAGGAGCTAGGTCTCGAGCATATCCCTTTGCGCAAGTTGCGTGTAATGGTCAGGTGGGTCAGCGCATTAGCAAGATATCACTGGGACATCGGGAGGTACCGGGCCCCAGGTTGCGCCTTCTGACGTCCGTGGGATCAGGTAATTGGCTTGTTCAAACCCTGACTCCACTCTGAATGTCAGTAAAGGTAGAGCTGTCTCATATTTCAGGCAGACAGTCAGCTGTCCATGACACACGGACTGTCAGTGTTCAATAAACGGCACCAGTCCCATATCCCTGCAAGTAGTTTCAAGCTCGTACTGGCGACGTTCACACATCAACCTGTCCAGTCCGTCCCGGTCTGCACGCATCGATCAATTCCCCCAACACCCATACCGACGCCCCAAACAGCCCGATCCCTGCGGCCCATACCGCCAGATACGCATCCCTCGCGAGCAGCTCCAGCTGATACGCCATCCCGAGCCATACGGCCTGACCTGCGATCCAGGTCAGGATGAGCAAGGTGACGCGTCGGGGAGAAAGATCGAGTTGGGGGATGATGGGTGGGATGAGGGCGAGGAACCACAAGAAATACTACGGCTGATCAGGGACACTTCTCACCTTAGGTAGAGGGGCAGTAACAGCGAGACTTACCTGTGAAGTGCAGACTTTGTTGAAGATAACAAAGGAGACGGTCTGGAAGAACATCGCGAATGGAAGTCCAGCGGGTGGGGTCAGGACCCATCCAGCACCGAGGACGAGCGTCGCCTGAGGGATAAAGGACGTAAGCGGGTGTCGGAAGATGCCCAATAGGTTGGCGGCGAGTGTAGTAGGGTCAGATGAAGGAGCAATTAAGGAGAGATAGATGGGGTAGAAGTAAGGCGAGAAGTTATGTCGGTGATCTTTCCGGCGGAGGTGGTAGAGGAAGGTATGTTCCAAGAAGGGTTGACCCCATCTGAGGTATCAGTACGTGCTCACAGTATATGAGGGACTGCCATGAAAGACCTACATAGAGTACAAGACGCCGTTGACAAGGATGAGAGAAACAGCAGTGATGACTCCAAATCGCCAGACTCCGAGCCCGAAGAGACCGTGCCGTCGCCTAAGGAACGCCCAGAATGCCGGAGCATAGATGATGGGGTAGATCTTGTATGAGATAGCGAGGGCCAAAGCGACTGCAGCGGCGTCCTCGTACCCTTGCATAGCCGAAGATTCTGCGGGGACCGGGATGGCTACTCTCGCCTGTTCCTGCTTCATGTCCAGCTCAGCTGATGGCTGAGATTTGTCGAGCCCCTTTTGTATTCGAGACACAGACAGCCGGAGTAGCGTCAAGGTCAGGATGACCAAGAAGACGATGATGGCCTCGGGCGACCCGCGGGTCGTTATGTTGAGTACGAACGGGTTGAGCGTCCAGACGAGATGGGTCGCCCAAAAGGGTGCAGCTGCGGGCCAAGCTTGACGTCTCGGACGAGATGCGGTGAGCCGTGGTTGCCAAAGCAGTAGGACGGGTATGGCGAGGGAGATGAGGGAGAGTAGAATCTTGCCGAGGAGGGGATGAAGGAGGGATGGGGAGGTGAGAAGGGGTAGAAGTGGGGTATAGCGGAATGTTTGCCGTAGGTACGGGCTATGATCTCAGCTAAAGTATCATAGCATTATCCTCGAAGCCAGATACGCCGTGCGCGAGGCCTCCAGGGATAGCCATGACTCACTCGCCTATCCGTACCCCTCTATCCCACAACCACCTCCCCATCCACCCTTGCGCCCCCTCCCCCTCTTTCGGCCGAAACATCAACCTCGCCCCATCCATAACCACCCTCCAGTCCACATCCGTATACTTCAGCCCGGCATACCGCTCGGGATGACTGTCGACGTGGTCTGCGTAGAAGAGGAGTCCGAGGTGGACCGCCCCGGATAGAGTCAAGACATGCCAGCTCTTCCCCCACGAAAAACGACGCTCAGCCTGCACTCTCGAATTCGATCCAGTCGCCATCTCTGCGTTTCAGCGAGCTGGGACGAGATAGTCTAGGCGGCATGAGATGGACATGAAGTGACCAGAAGATGGTTCTGAGCGCGAACAAGGTGGACTGAACGATGTGGGGCTCCAACGAGGAATGTGAACTGCTTCCGCCCAGCCAAACCTCCGAAGCTGTATGCACCAAAAATGTCCCTCCTCGTTGTTCGTGTCAACACCACCACCATACCATCACTTGCTATACCCAGCTAGCTAGCTAGAGGCTCGCTTGAGACATATAATGACAGCTGTAAGCTATAAAGAAGCCGACATCCTCAGGGCGGAAGAGCTGACGCCCCGCAGGTAGACGGGTTCTCAATACCCCAGACTGTACTTCGGTACTTTGACTTCTCGGCTACCCCCTATACCGAGGCCTTTGGGCGGGATGTCGCCAGGCGGAGAGGATCGTATCCTGGTGGACAACTCTTCTTGGATCAGCTTCTTGGTCTCGCGTCTATAGACGGTACGTCCAGCTGCGGGCCAAGTCTACAGGATCAAGAAGGGCTTTCGAGGACTCAGGCAGCCAAGCGGGCCAGAAGCGGCTTGAGCCTGCGGGGATCTATCTTGGCCGTACTCAAAGTGGATACTGACGAGATAGGCCCGACCCTGTATCCGCCAACTTCTCCAGCCGGTCTTCGGCGGCTGATACATACGATCCGTTCTGCCCAGATCGACCGGCTAAAGCAAGACTGCTTTATCTGCTATCTCCTCTTGGATTCGGACCGCGCCTCGGCGCCAACAATACCGAACGGGAACGGCGTACACCACGATGAGGACATGGACGGCGAATCTGGTATGGAGCTGGTGAAGGCGGACAAGGGAAAGGGGAAGGGGAGGGCAAAAGACCTGGAGGCGGGCGGACAAGCGGAAGAGTTTGCGCGCAGGAGATGTCTCCCGCAAGTCTGGAGAGGGTTCATGTTTGGCTATTGGGCACTAGATCATGGAATGTGGGAGGTGAGCTAACAGGTTCCTGTACTTGGGTCAGGATCTTGAGCTGATCTGATAGGACGCCGTCCAATCACTCATCAACCCCGCCATCACATCCCTCAATTTCCTCCCTTCCATCTTCTCCCTTTTGTCCACTCACGTCTCGCCCCCCTCCTCCGCCCTCTCCCTCATCCACACGCTCTTCACTGCCCTGTCGCCCCCACTGGACACAGACGACCTGATCGCCCTTCGGGCCGTCTCACTAGCGGCCACTTCGTCCCTCTCCGACTGCTTCAACTTCATCCGGGTCCAACCACCTGCATCACAGCAGAGCATCCGGGAGACGATCTACAACTGGGCCTTCGGCGCTCCTCGGATACCGGTAGGAAAGGGTCCAGCAGGCGTGCAAGGCTCGGTCCTCACGCAACTCCTTCATCTCCCTCTTCAGCCTGAAGAATCGGCGCACCTCGTGCACTTCCTAACGCATCCCCCGAGGTCGATATCCCCCGCGGCCTTGGATCTCTTACATGAACTAGTGACCGTCCGCCTTATCCATCAGGGCCAGTACGCCGAGTGCCTAGCGCTGGACAAGGAGCTCGCGGGGAGCGGGGCGGGCAAGGAGGAGGATCGGCAGAAACGCCGGGAGAGGGTCAAGGAGTTTATATCCATCTTGCCGGCGGCGCAGAGGAGGGTGTTGGAGCTGGATGGGGAGGTGCGGCGGGAAGAGGGGAGGATGGGGGACGGGGATAACGGTATGGAGGTGGACACGGAAATGTCCAGCGCGGGACCGAGTACGAAATCGAATGGCGACGTCTTGGCGCCGAAACCAATGCGTCTTCCCGCGCTCTTGTCCCTTACGGGTACGGGTGATGGATCTGCTGGACGCCCTTCCTCGCCCGCCCAACGGGTCGTCACTGCCCCCGCGAGGAACGTTTCGTCCCCCTTCGCAGGCCCGCCCCAGTTTGCGCGTACCGACTCGCCATCCGCCTTACCCGGAACACCCACTCGAGGACCGGGTACTCCCGTACAGCGCCTAGCGTCAGGGTCGCCGTTTATGCAGCCGCAGAGGAGCGTGGAGGTGCCCCGGCCGGCGAGGCGGATTATTGACGATGATGATGAGGAGGAGGAGGCGAGAGAGGGAGGAATGGGCGGCAGTATGCTCAATGGGATTGGGCGGAATGGGAGGCAGCGGCAGACGTCGGGTCGATCTACCGCTGCGCCTGCAAAAGAGAAGGAGGCAGGTTCGAATACGGAGATGGAGACGGAAGAGGTTGGACCGAAGCCTGCGCCTGCTACAGCCGCTGCTTCGCAGGAGAAACAGGTCTCGGGGGATATGGCCCCTCCGCCGGTCCCTGCTTCTTCGAAGCCTACTTCGCGTAAATCCAGCCGACAAACTCTTGCGCCAAAACAGCGCGATCCGTCCCCTCCTCCTCCTAGCACGGCCCGCTCGACCCGGCGTCAGTCTACTGCACCTCCACCAGAGAGCGACCCGCCCGCGCCCGCCGCTGCATCAGCATCATCAGCGAGAAAGACCGCTAAATCCCGCCAGGTCGAAGCGGACGAGTCCGGCCCTTCCTCCTTCTCCATGCCCGGCTCATTTACTCCCGCACCGCCAACCCCTTCCTCCGTACCCCCGCCCAAATCACGGATGACCCGCTCCGCCTCCCGCGCCGTTTTAGACGAAGACCACCCTAACCCCGGCCCACCGGCCAAACGCACCCGGACACGGACTGCGCCGGGCCCTAGCGCGGGTGCGGGTGCGGGTGCGGGTGATCGAAGGAAAGCGGCCAGTCCGACGCCTAGTGCAGCTGCGAGTGAGGCGCCGGAGGGCACGGGGAGGCGTACGACGAGGAGGGGGACGAGGGAGCCTAGTGTGGCTTCGAGTACAGGGAGGAGGGGGGTGACGCCCGCAGCTAGTGCGAGTGCGAGAGGGGGGAGTCCGACGGGGAGCGTGGTCAGTACGCGGTCAAAAGGCGGGAGGGAGGGGAGTATGACGCCCCGAGTGACGAGGACGAGAAAGTAGGGTGTTATGGAAGATGAGAATAGGTAGCATAGCGTAAATTAGCATATCTTGAGCAGGAATGTCTTGATGCAACGAGATGTAGCTTCTCCCCCGGACATTGCTCTATCAAGCTGAACGATGATTGCGAAGCTTCGTATGCATCTTCATCAGAACAGAACCGACGTGTAGGACCGCAGCGCCCCATCGTAGCCGCTGCTACCTCGCGCCCTCTCTAACAGTACCACCGCCCACCTCCCGCTCCCGGCCCAGACCCTCGCTAGCCATCCCTCCTTCCCCTCCTTGCCGACCGACACGGACCGCTCAAATCTGAGTGATCAGCTTGCGCACTGACAGCGACGTCATGCTCGGGTTAACTGACATATTGACTGAGCCACCTGAACCCTTCGCCGTAGCCCTGGCGCATGACGACCGAGCACATGAACACCTCGATCGGCCGAATATCGCGAAGGGGGATCTTTCCTTTGCCAGTAGTTTGATAGAGACCCAAAAAGTGTCGGAGCTCTTCCTCGCTTACGGCCGAGGGGGCGTCGATCTTGTTGCCGAGGATGAGGAAAGGGACCATACTGAGGGATTCGATCGACACTGCGGGTCAGCTGAAGTTCTCTCCTCACCTCGCAGAAGAACGAGACGGGTCTTGCAGCTTACGCAAAGAGTCGAGCTCGGCCTTGCTCTCGGCAAACCGCTCCTGATCCGCCGAATCCACAAGGAAGACGATCCCGTCCACCTCTGGGAAATAGTCTCGCCACAGTCGACGAGCCTGCATGTGTCCGCCGAGATCGTACGTCGTGAATTTGACATTCCCGATCGCGAGTTCTTCTGATGCTATGGGTGTCAGCTATGCGCACGGCCGGATCGCAATACGGAGCAGGGAGGGTGAGCTTACTGGGGTGAAGAGTAGGTTGGAGGGTTGCGAGACGATCATTCTTCAGCATGTGAAGGAGGGTCTAGATGTCAGCTTCAGGTACACGGTAATCGTTTCCACGGAGCTCACTGTCTTTCCGGCATTGTCGAGACCGAGGAACAAGAGCTTTGCGCCTGATCATTCAGTACGTTCATCCTTTCCAGCAAACCGACGGTCCATGCCGAGTATCTAGAACGCACTCTTGTTCATCAGACCTGAGCAGGTCAGCTTGTGCTTCTATCTCCACATAGCAGAGGACAACATAGCTTACCCAATTGCGACAATACATCCCAGAACCAGTTCTTTACTCGTCAGCGTTCAACCCTCCTCCATAATTCCACATTCCTGGCCACTGATCCCCGCCCGACACTCCCGTCCGCGTGGATACGCACAAGGATAAACATTGTAGCTGATTCTCGTGAGCTCTGCTGATTATGAGGCTGGTAGGAGTCCGTATAGTATAGCGGAGAGGGGTAGAAGCGATAGAGCAAGTTGAGCTTGAGCGTGCGCTCTGGGCGGCGCGCGCTGGAATGGGAAAGCGGAATCAAATTAGGAACGCACGGATCTCGCAACTATGACGTACATGCCTCACGCGCCACATTCCTCAGGCTCCCCCCCGACTTCGACTCGACCAGCACAAATCAAAGCTCAAGCTTGTCTTTCTCTGCCCTCTGTACTTATATCTCACAGCTACCTCGGTCAATCATGTCAGCCGAAACATCCAGCGTCTTCCCTTCCGGGATGGATAAGCCCGTCTGCGTCTTGTAAGCTTCGAATTGCGCTGTCAAGAGCCAACAGCTTATACTTTCAGCTGCGGCTCCTCGCCCGGAAAGTCCCCTATCCACGCAGATGCCGCACGCGCCGTTGGACAGGCTATGGCCAGTGCCAATATGCCTCTGGTGTACGGCGGCGGCCGTCGCGGGATCATGGGTACGTCAGCTAGCTTGCTCTACCCCAAGTCCGAATCAAGAGCTGATGACCTAGGCGTGGTCTCGCAAGCGACTCTCGAAGCTGGCGGGCACGTGCACGGGATCGTCCCGAGGGCACTGATGACCCGTGCGTCTGAGCGGACGTCCGCACCGACCGTGAACCCCGTTGCTGGGTCTGGCGGAGCTTCCCAGGATAAGGAGAAGGTACAGAGTGCCGAAGGCGCAGGAGAGGATCTGGTGGATAGTGATTACGATGGGCGGATGACGCTCAGCGTTGTGGACAGCATGCACGAGGTGAGCTTGAGAGATACGCGCTTGGGAGATGCGCCGGATCACAAGCTGACGTTCACAGCGCAAGATGAAGATGGCACAACTCAGTACCGGCGGGTTCATTGTCCTTCCAGGAGGGTACGGGACGTTCGAAGAAGCACTAGAGATGATCACCTGGAACCAGCTCAAGATCCACCAGCTCCCCGTCGTAATCCTTAACAGTGAGTTGTCTGTTTCCCCTTCCCGATAAGCAAGGGAAGCCATCAGCTCATCCTGTCAGTCGACAACTTCTACACACCCCTCCAGACACTCTTCACCTCCGCCTCCAGCTCGGGCTTTATAAACCCCGAAAACCTCTCTTTGGTCAAGATTGTGGATCTGCCAGGTGGCGAGAAGGATAATGCCGATCCAAGCAAGGCGGGCGAGTGGGGTCAGGTAGCCGTGGACGCTATCAAGAAGTTTACGTTTTCGGTATGTCTTCGCTCAGCTGATACCGACTCATCCGTTGAACTAAGCTGATACTCTAGGCGGGAGCGGGGTATAATCTATCTTGGAAGACGGAGGGTGAGGGCGAGTCAAATGTAAAGCCTACCGCCTAGATCTTTAGACGCTTAGAAATCGCGTTGACATATGCATCAGGTGCAAAGCTTCCGAAGTGAACCAGATCCGCCCTTCTCGTTATTTACTACCACTCGGTATACCTCGCCCGGTACCCCTCGGAGATCTGTCGAGCGGCAACATATTCCACTGCTAGATAGGCATATAGCTCGGCTCAAGGCAGCATGGGCGTATTTCACGAAAAGGGATGGGACGGAGGTGTGGGGAGACTGGCCAGGAGATGAGAATGTTTGGGAGAGGATCAAGGACAAGGTGGAGCATAGTGAGCGTGAGGGCGGAGGTGATTGGAGGGTATGTCCAGCAGCCCGGCTACTATTGCGACATGACGTGAAGAATGTCAGCTTATCCCTATAGGTCAGGGTCGTCCTGCACAAAGACGGTCAAGTAGAAGTTCAGCTAATAGCTGCATCGCCCTCGGCAGGTAAGCTATACCTGGAAATCCCGCACATATGTATCATTCTGACTTCTTAGGCCGGTTCGACCTCACCCTCCCCCCTCTCCCCACCCAGCCGCGCCGCCGCCTCGTCCTCTCTCCCTCTTCGACCTCGCTCCCGCCCCTCGAAACCCCCTTCCGGCTATTCAAAACCACCCATCGACCGATGTACACCGCCCCCCTCGCCCCATATCCCCCAGGAACCGAAGTCCTCCTGCATACAGGCACGCACCTGCTCGAGACGTGTACCTCGAATATCGCGCTGCACTTGCCTGATCCGGATAGACCGGAGGAGGCAGAGTGGGTCACGCCGGCGTTACGGTCCGAGCTCGAGGCCGAGGACGGAATCGAGGGCGAGGGCGGGGGCGGTGACGAGCTTAGGGGCTTGGGTAAGAGAGGGGACACGGCGGAGTTTCTGGCGGGGACGGTAAGGGCCGAATTGATCGAGCGGGGTGTGGTGAGGGTTGGGCAGGTGAGTCTGGGGGATTGGGAAAGGTGTAAGAGGGAAGGGAGGGGCGTCGTGGGATTCAACGGGTTTGTGTGAGTCGGTTCTTGCCGGGCGAGCTGTAGCGAGAGAGGCTGATCAGACGCAGAGGTGTATGGGCGGCAGAGTTCGATTGACGGCGCCGTCATTCTGTCCGACCCGAGGGTTGCGATGGCCGTAGCAGTAGGTCCGGCCGTGAGCAGGATCAGGTCCCTCGTCCGTAGGATGCGTGGATCCAAGGATGCACCGTACCTCATTTCGAACGGGTTTGCCTCGCTTCTCCGTTCGTCCTCCTTGACCACCTAGCCCTATTCCGCGCCTGCGGTCGCGGAGCCCAAGCTCTGCTCCATCCCACTCCACGCCGCCTTGGCCTCCAACGCCGCCCGTGTCTTTTCTCTGGCCGTCACAAGCCGCCTCAGCTTCGCCGGATCCGTCACCGCATCGTAGGGCGAGGGCTTATCCGAGGCGGAGGATTCACCGTCCGCCCCTATCGCCCGGAGCGGGGAAGAAGGCGGGTTGATTGTTCCCCTCATTTCTGCGATTTCTGCGTCGAGAGCGACGAGTGAAGAGCGGAGGTCTCGCAGGATGACGAGGGTTTGGAGATCCAGGAGGGATGTTCGGGCTGTTATGCCGATGTGCTGAAATCGGATTGGCTGGCGTGTTAGCTGTTGTGTCTTGCCTTCGAGAAACGTCGAAAAGATGCTGCTAGCTCACGCCTAGCATATCGCCTCCGAACTGATGAGTTAGCGACCGGCGGTGAATCCTTGGTGGATACGAAGAGACTCACCCATCTGCAGCAGACCGTTATGACATCCACACCCTGATTCTCCCTCAATACCCTCAAGACACGATCCCCACCGAATTTCTCTCCATCATCATTGAATGCCTCCAATAGCTTCTGTATCAGCCCTCCTCCTCCTCCTCTCCGACTCCGCCGCCACATACAGCGTGCCGCGACACGTACTCACTTGATAATCGTCCTCCCCCTTCGTCCCATCCCTCCCCTCCTTCAAAACCACAGCCCTCACCCCCCACATCCTATGATCCGGCTCCCGCGCCCGTTCCTTCCCTCCCTTCTTGGCCGCTCGTCCCTCCCCACCCTGAAACGCTCCTTCGTCATCACGCATCAGCATCTCGCCCACGAGCCTCGGCACGTCCAATTCCCGCACCACCCTTCGGACCTCTTTAAGGAGGCTCGCGTCCGTCGTTACGTGAGCGGGGGGCGTAAAGTCCAGGGAGAAGGCGAGGAAGGTGGATGTTGAGGCGTGGAGGGCGGGGGAGTGCGCTAGGAGAGGAGGCGGGAGGGTGGGGTGCAGCCAGGAGTGGACGGAGATGGGGCCGGAAGGCGCGGGGCCTGCAGCAGAGGAGGGGGGAGGGGAGGTTATGCGGACGCGTTTTGAGGTGGATGAGTCGGGGTTGTCAGGTGATTGTGCGCGTTTCTGGCTCGACATTATCTGTCAGTGTCGTTAGTGGTAGGTGCTCTGTATTTCTATGAGATGTAGAGGATCCAAATGGTCGTCGAAATTTGGCTTTGATGTCGCCCAAATGTACCGGTCGTCATCGTCATCGCCAATCCGTGCGTCGTGCTAAGCCGTACGCGTGCCTGAGTCTGACGCGGTTAACAGTTAACAGTTCCGGGCCCAAGCGAAGCTCCAAGCCAACCTTGCCCATCTCCCACTCTCCCCCCATCTACTATAGAAGCAACATGTCCGCTCCGTCAGGTATCAAAGTGCCCCCATCGCTCGCTTCGGCCTTCTCAACCGCCCAGAACGGAGGGCAGGACGTTAGGGCGCTGGTGTTCGTCATTGAAGGGGGTGAGTACCGGGTGCCGCTTCCACGAGTTCCATCTCTCCTGATCCAGTCCACCACGTCAAGAGCTCTCCTCAACGCCCTAAGCAGATCCTCAATAGAAGGAGAAGGTGGAAATGTATCCGGAAGTGACCGCATGAGATTGTGCAGCTCACGGTCACAGAATCGTTCAAACACCTGACGACCGTCGCTCCCAAGTCTACCTTCCAGGATGATATCGCGCTCCTCCCCGAGACGCTCCCGTCGCCTACTACGCCCGCGAGCTTTGCGTATCGGCTGGACTCGAAAGAGGGTGGCAAGTACGAGTGGATGATGATCACCTTTGTGCCTGATACTGCTGGTGTACGTTCTCACTCTTGCCCGCCGCATGGTCTCGCTTCCATTTGACGCTCCGAGATCCAGCCGGCGCAGTATGGCTATGTAGGTCGAATGTTAGCTGATCGTGATTCAGGTCCGCGCAAAGATGCTCCAAGCCTCCTCTCGAGGCGGACTCCTCAAAGCGCTTGGCGGGAACTTCAAACACGACTGGTTCGCGAACAGTATCGTAGGTCACCAGCCCACCCCGCTTCCCCCTCCCCCCTCCCCCCTCCTCTCATCTCCATCTCTATCGTCTCCCCAATTGACACCCGCAGAAAGACCTAACCCCCTCCGCCTTGTCCGCGCACCTCAAACACCTCGCCTCCCCCGCCCCCCTCTCGGCGGCCGAAAAGGCGCTCATGGAGGTCCGCGAGGCCGAAGCGGTCGAGGCGAAACGGGCCGCTCTGGATCCCGATACGGAGAAGCGGCGGATCGCGGCTGTTATGGGGTTGGGGGGCAAGATGAAGTGGGATGAGGAGGTATCGGGGGCGATGCGGAAGGTCGCGGAACGGAGCGATGAGGGTTGGATTGTGGTTTTGGTGAGTTTGAGTCGGGGCTCTTCTTCCTACGGCGAATCTCCTCATGAACACGGACACGACTATAAGCTAGATTCAGACCTTTCCATCCTCTTTGATTTGCGATTGTTCGAGTTCTAGCTGACACAGCAGGAAATCCCCCCGAAAGACGCTAGCGCCATAACCCTCGTCCTCTCCTCCGCCTGCAAACCCTCCGAACTATCCTCTAAGCTCCCCGCCAAATCCCCATCGTATGTCTTCTACTCGTTCCCTACGCCCGCGCCTCCCCCGTCGAGTCCTGTGTCGGGCAAGAAGTGGTCGGCTGGGGCAGCCGCTCCGGGGGATACGTTCCATGCGAGCGAGGGAGGGCGGCGGACGGTCGCTACGACATGGAAGGCTGGTGCCGATGAGAAGAAGGACGATGAGAAGGAGGGAGAGGAGGCGGTGAAGGAGATGGGTGATTTGTCTGTTGAGGACAAGGAGAAAGAGGGGAAAAGCGAGAAAGACGAGGGGGAGAAGGAGGAAGTCTCGGCTAGTCCCGCGGCGGAGAAACCGGCCTCGCCCGTCGAAGCGGTCAAGACCAAGGGACGGGTCATCTTCATCTATTCGTGCCCGTCCGGAAGCCCCGTCAAGCTCCGCATGGTCTACTCGACGAGCGTCAGGGGTGTTCAGCAGGACGCGGCGGACAAGGCTGGCGTGGAGGTCGTCGGCAAGGTAAGCGATATCCTCCCTGGTCCTTCTCTTGTGGAAAGCGAGCTTATGTCTTCAGCTCGAAACGAGCGACGTCACCGACCTCACTGAATCTCAACTTCGTTCCGCCCTTCCCTCAACTTCCAAGCCGCACCACTCCAACTCCCTCCCCACCCCTTCTTCCAGCACGTCCACCTCCTCTTCTTCCACAGGGTTCGGATCCACAGCGAACAAATCCGCCTTTGGCGCCCCCGCTCCCGCTTTCGGCGGCGCATTTGGCCGACCCCGCCCCGTTCAGCCCAAGAAACAAGACTCGCTCAGCTCCGTGTCGACTGCGAGTGGGGTGCCGTTGCCGTCCTCTGGACCGACGACGCCCGCTGTGGGCAATGAGGAAGACGGGGATGGGAAGGAAGGGATCAGGAGGGCGTTTGATGCGTTTGGACCGAGGGTCGGAGGTGCGGGCGGTGGAGGGGGGTTCGCGAGGCCCAAGCCGGCCGGGAGGAGATAGGGGAATGCTCATGCGGAGGGAAGTGGAATCAGAAGTGGGAGATTTGTATCTGTCGATATGTTTAAGTCTTGAAATGTCCGGGCAATCTCGAGTAAGCTGCCGAGTTGCAGCTGTTACGCATATGCTGAAGTTTACCTTCTCACGCTAACGAGTGCCGGTCAATTGGACAGTCCCGACTTTGGTCACGTGCGGTTCTCTGACAAATTACGTAAAGCCAAATTTCTGCGAACGAAGTCAACTTTGCAGCAACAAACCTTCACCAGCTTCACCTTCTCCATCATACCTCTTTCCACCCTATATCACCTCTACCTACACCACATAACACTCCCAGACCGACACAATGGAAGTTGACAGCATGGCCTCCACATCCGCTCAGCCCGCCGCTGCCGCCGCTGGCTCAGAGGCGCTGCCGCCTACGGAGAAGATGACGAGTCGGGACTAGTGCGTCCTTTCCTTCTCTCTGTTCGGCGCCTGGGGTCCGACACTACGCAGGGTTACACAGCTGCCAGCGAAGGCGACAGAAGACTGAGCTGACTGTACAGCTATGCGGACAGGTGAGGCTTATACTGCTGGTGCTTTAGAGCTTTACGAAGGAACATTACTAACCTCTTCTTCCAGTTACGCTCACTTCGGTATGTTCGCCCAGCTATACTGGCTGCATACGCCGGCGCGATAGCTGATCTCTTAGGTATCCACGAAGAAATGCTCAAAGACTCCGTCCGGACCCTGTCTTACAGGAACGCCATCATGCAGAACCCGCACCTCTTCAAGGGCAAGACCGTCCTTGATGTGAGCTTCTTCTCCTCACTTCCTAGCGGATGATTGTCTTCGCCGTATCGCCCACATCGTATCAGCTGCCGGACCTGGAGATTCTGGCTCTGAGCCCTGGGCTGACCCCTTAGGTCGGCTGCGGTACCGGTATCCTCTCAATGTTTGCCTCCAAGGCCGGTGCCAAGCTCGTCATCGGTATTGACATGTCCAACATTCTCGACCAGGCTGAGAAGATTGTTCGCGCCAACGGCTTCGACGAGAACCGTGAGCTAAACCTGTCTCGGCTGCGGCAAATTAGCAGTGAGAAGGGCGTAGCTAATTCGGCGTAGAGATTGTCCTTATCAAGGGCAAGCTGGAGGATATCGAATTACCCGTCAAGGAGGTTGACATCATCATTTCCGAGGTGAGCTTTGCGGTGCTTATCTTCGTAGACACAAAGCTGACGGCATCAGTGGATGGGCTATTTCTTGCTTTATGAATCCATGCTCGACACTGTCCTTCTCGCTCGGGACAAGTACCTGGTGAGCTATCTCCTGCGCGTAGCACCATCGAGAGGCAAGCTCACTTTCAGGCCCCTGGCGGTCTCCTCTTCCCTGATAAAGCGACCATCTTCCTCGCCGCCATCGAAGATCAAGACTACAAGGAAGAAAAGATCAACTGTGAGCTTCCATCTGCTCTGTCTGGTGTACGACGCATCACGGAAGAGCGAGTTAGCTGACCCTCAATAGTCTGGGAAGACGTCTACGGCTTCGACTACTCGTGCATCAAAGATATCGCACTCAGGGAACCGCTCGTCGACTGCGTCGAGCTCCGGTCGGTCGTCACCCAGCCTTGTGCCATCAAGCACATTGATATCGCCACGGCTACGAAGGAGGACTTGACCTTCAAGGTGCCCTTTGAGCTCAAGGCGACCCGGAACGACTGTGAGCTGGCTTTCGCCCTCGGCTGATAGTGAGGCACAGAGCTGACAGACCAGACATCCATGCTTTCCTCGGCTGGTTCGATATCTCCTTCTCGTGCTGCCACAAGCCTATCAACTTCTCCACCGGCCCACAAGCCAAGGTCAGTTGGCTAAGCCGCACCGTACTGAGGGTCGAGAAGCTGATTTTACAGTACACTCACTGGAAACAGACCGTCTTCTACACCACCGAGACATTGACCGTGTCTGTGAGCTTCACACTCCCCAACTCATCCTCTGGGGCATAGCTGACAATGATCAGGAAGGCGAGTCGATCCGCGGACAATTGTCATGTGCGCCCAACGCGCGCAACAACCGGGATTTGGATATCGTCGTGGATTACGAGGTTACGGGGGACCAGGCGACTTCGGGCCAGATGGTGTACAAGATGTGAGTCTGCGTCTCGTCTCATCGCGCCAGTTACAAGGGGAGATGAAAGAAGGGAAGGGGTGTGGTGGAGATGAGACTCGTCGAGAGGCGGTAAGAGGAAAAGCTGATGCTAAATGCAGGTCATAAACTGTTCTTTCTCCCCACTCTTCACCTTCATCTCGCTATTCTTATCTCATCTCGATACCCTCTTTTCCTGTCTCATTGTACTTCAACAGGTATTAAAAGGACGTGCAGAACAGCTCGGCGAGCTGGGATGGACGCTATGAATGTGCTATACTCTATATGCAATCTTGGGGTCTGATGCTTTGGATCACGAGCCATACCTTCCGCTAGAGTCTTCTATACGCCTCGGAGAACTCTGCGGTCTTTGCTGGAGATCAACCCTGTCAATTCAAATCATGATACAGACCGGCCCACCCGACCGAAGCTGCCGCTGCGCAAAATCCATCTCTGACTTCAAAGATGTACTGCCCTTATCCCCGCTACGCGCCCAGCTTCTTCCTCTCCCCCCATACCTCATCCAACTTGGTCAACATCTGCTGCACAACCCTGACTCCTTCCTTCCTCTCCTTCCTCGCCTCGTTCCACCCTGACGGAATCTCCACCCCATCCAGGTCCAACAACCCCCTTAAGAGCATCTCCGACAGCCTCGCATGTTCCTTCTGCAGCACGTCAAACTTGGGGATATGCGCCGGCTTGTTGGTCGAGCGCGGATCGGCCTGGCTGTTGAATGTCGCCACCGAGGGCCGGAGGGGGTCGAGGAGGTTCTTCACGAGGTTCTGGATCCACGAGACCAGGACGGACTCGGAGGTCGTCTCGGGTTGTTTATTCTTTTTGGGTACGACGGGAGCTTGTGAGCCGGAGCCGGAGCCGGGAGCGGAGGAGGAGGAAGAGGAGGGGCCTGAAGATGGGGTAGGACCGGATGCGCCAACGAGGACGAGGGTGGAGCCGTCCTTGATTCCGTAGGAAGAGAGGGTGAGGAGAGGGTCTTTGAGGACCGCGCCTTTGTAGACGAGTTTCAGCTGGTCCAGGGGTAGAGATGTTTGGGTGGAGAGTGTGGTGAGGAGTTGCGAGAGGGGCGTGGCGGAGGGTTTAGGGATTGGGATGTTGAATCTGGGTGGTCAGCTGCGATTATACAGAGACAGACAACCTCCGGGCTGCCTTCTGCAATTATCTCCTACTCGCTGACGAGGGCACTATTTGACATAGCGGCTGTAGTCCCCACGCGTCTGCTCGATTTCTCCCCGGATAATCCTGATCCTCTCGACCCAAACCTGGACTCACCTTTCTCTACCCCATTTTACGCTGATTTGGATCTGCCCCTGATCCGTCTCTGCCACCGCGCGCCGAAAGGGATTGAAGAACGACACGATGAGCGCGCGGGTATAGAGCAAGGGCGTGACTAGACAGTCAGCCTTTGGTACAGCAACAGGGGACATGAACGTGGGTTGAGAAACAGATCCTCGTTGACGGACGTCAGATGACAGGCGTCAGGACGGTGAGTATACCGGCAGGAGGATAAGGGGTGGCTTACAAAGGGTGTCTGTTAATGCCGACAGGGTGGGCAAGGGGTCTGTGTGAGGTGTATTGCGATCTACGAAGAGGAGGTAGAGAGGACATAGGAGAGTTGCTCCGCCAGAAAGCTGCCTGCTGTTGGATCGACCAAGCTGAGCCACGTGGGAGGTTATGACGTAAATTCCTGGCGGCAAAGTGGAGGTCAGACAAAGATTGGGTGGCAAAGGGTGTCTATTCCACACTCTTGACATCCACCTTCTATCCCTCACTCTCTACCGAAGGGAGTCCCAAAATCCGCAATCGCCCCCGAGACACCTCAAAGTCGAGCCTGCATCATTTAAAGAGGCTCAACCAATCCCCTATCGCCCAATCTGTCCCTCCTCCGTCTCGCCAAAATGACCTCCCCCTCCTCCACCCAGCCGGCCAAACGCATAGTCATCCTCGGCGGCGGCATAGCCGGTATATCTACCGCATACTATCTCTCCCACTCTCCGTCTCTGCCGTCAGGGAGTAGCATCACCATCATTGAAGGGACCGACATAGCCGCGGCCGCGTCGGGCAAGAGCGGGGGGTTTCTGGCGAAGGATTGGCATGGGGCCGCTACGGCGAGTCTGTCGGCCATGAGCTATGAGCTCCATGCGGAGTTGGCGGGGAAGTATGGGGGAAAAGAAAAGTGGGGGTATAGGGTTGTGGATACTTTGGTGTGTACCCAACTATCAGCCTTGGGTCGCGGTCGGCGAGGTGACAGCTGATCCGTCCAGTCAATCACTACCGATGCTACACGGAAGACCAAGAAACAACCCCCTCTCCCTTGGCTACCACACGACGTCCACTCTTCCCGGTCCCTAGGCAGCACGAAGACGAACGCCCAAGTCCATCCTGGACAGCTCACCAAGTTCCTAGCGGACCAAGTCCTCTTCAAACCCAACACATCGCTGCTCATCGGTCGAGCGAGCTCTTTGTCTACATCCGCCTCTTCTCCACCAACGCACACCATCAGAGTGGACACGAAAGGTAGGGAAGAGGAGGTCGAAGCGGACGTAGTTGTCATTGCCGCCGGACCATGGACGGGCGGGCTCGCGAAAGATTTACTTGGAGAGAAAGTCGGCTTGAGGTTGGGTGTAGAGGGACACAGGGCGCACAGTGTGGTCATTCGGACGAAGGAGGAGTTGTCGGCGCATTGTTTGTTCACGAGCATGACGATGAAGGATGGGTCGATGGGCGAGCCAGAAGTGTACGCACGGCCAGATGGTGAGCTTTTAGAATATCTCTTGATCTGCTGAACGTGGAGGCTGACGGCTCAGGTACTGCATACATGTGAGCAGCTATGTGATCCCCAGAGTTTATGGATTTACCTAGCTGACGGCGACAGATGCGGAGCAGGCGATAATGAGCCCCTCCCTCGAACAGCAGCCGAAGTCTCCCCATCATCTGATGCAATAAGCAAGCTACACACCCAGTCCCGCGCGCTTTCGCCCCTGTTTGATCCGGCGAACGGGGCCGAGATCATCGCGGAACAGGCGTGTTTCTTGCCCTTAGCAACAAGGGGGAGGCCATTAGTGGGGAAAGTGCCCGGAATAGAGGGCGTATACGTCGGATCAGGGTGAGTTCACTTCCATTGACCGCTTTCTCCGAGCAACGGTCCCTGCAAACAACAACTGATCGTTTAGATTGAGCTGCTGGGGTATAACCCAAGGACCGGGAGTCGGCAAGTGCCTTGCCGAATTGATCCTTGAGGGAAAGGTCAAGTCGGCCGATATCTCCAAGCTTGCACCTTGATAGCGGGAGTCGCGCTTTCTGCATGTAGCTATAGTGCAACCTCCGTAGATCTAGGATACATGTACTCGAGTATCGTCATCTAGATATGCTATGAATATGGGATGTCCTATCCCCTGATGATGTATACAAGAAGATACAGTTACAGCACTTCCGAATGACCCGCTCCGCTTTTTAAGTGAGCCATCCACCTGCCCCACTCATGCCGTCCGACAGCTCATAGATCCCGCGTATCCCTCGCCGTGAAAATAGCCGCCCCCGTGCCCGCCGCTGCCAAAACCAAGCTCGCGGCAATTACAGCCCCATACCACCTCTTCCAACCCAACGCCTCGCCCGCCGCCCAAACCGGCAACACAATAATCATAATCACCCCAAATCCCCCTCCGAGGATCGCCATCGAGCTCTCAAAGCTCGGCATGACCAGCGCCCCCACAGTCACAAGAACAGCAAGCACTAAGCGGATCACAGGCCTCAAAAAGTACTTGGCGCGCTCGCGCCGGTTATGCTGGCGCTCGGCGGCGAGGTCGAGGCCGTCCGTGTGCGCCTGCGCTTGCGCTTGGAGGGCGGTCAGGGAGGAGGTGGCGGATGGGACGGAGAGGAGGGAGGAGGGACGGGTGACGTGCGGTGTTTTTTGGGATTCGGGGATGAGGATTGTGGGGTGGAGGTGGAGGTAGGAGAAGAGGATGTCACTGAACTGACAAGGAGTCAGCTAGATCATCACCGAGACGTGAAACACCCAGCTTACGGGTCGGAGTCCAAGTGGGATCTTGGTCAGAGGATTCAGAGCTACCATCCACACTGCCACATTGTTGAGCATAGGCGAGAACCCTGGTGTCCGAGCGAGATCTTTACTGATCTGTGGAGATCAGCTCATTGCACATTTCCCCTTCAAATGCACGCGAAAGCTCACCTCATCAGACACATTCCGGCCATACATGAGATACCCGCAAACAGCCACCGCAATGTAAATGACCATCGCGATTCCATAGGCGGTCTCGCACATCCGGTCAGCTTGTTTGGGGTGGCGCATGTCCCGGATGAGATTGGGGATGAGGCCGTGTCCGCCGAACTGAATGTCAGCTGCTGCTTTTCCGGCGCCGACCTCGATGTGCAAAGACTGAAAAGTGCCGCACAACTCACCCCTGAAACGAGGAGACCGATGGCTACCAGCGCTTTCGCCGCGCCGTGCGCTGGCCAGAGATCTGTTGGCGCGGGGTCGCGCAGAGAGCCTGGAGATGTGGGACTGGCAGTGTGAGCTATCGCTCCAGAAGGCATGGTGACGGCAGATAGCTCACGTAGCTATACCCGAGAATATCAAGATGCCAACCAGGACGTAGGTGGAGATCACGCCGAGGCCGGACGAAAAGGCAAGATAACGCAGAGGCAAGAAGGAGGTGGGTATGATGCTAGATGGGTGAGCTTATCGCATCCTGACAGCAAGCTCGATGAAGAGGTAGCTCACACGATGAGTCCAACAATCTTCCACTCGTCCGTTGAGTAGATGGGCCAGACGACAGCCAGGGTATCTGAGAACAGCACGACCAGGGCGATACTGTATCGTCAGCTGTGCTCGCTGTCCTGAGGGGATGAGAGCGTGTCAGCTCACATCCAGATCGCAAACTCCGAGAAGAACAAAGCAGTCACGACCTTCTCCCCTATCGGCCCCAGGCCGTACCCTATCACGTCTGTGAAACTGCGCAGGCGACGATCCTTCTCTATGATCCGAAGCATGATCTTGAGACTGCCTGGTCAGCTTGCACGGCGCATAGAAGGATGTCGAGAGCGGCTCAGCTTACGTCCATAAAGACACTAGCCCAGTGAGGACCAGAAGAAGAGGCCCGAAGACCCAGCCGAGGTGCGCTATGGCTATTGGACAAGCCAAGAGGCCTGTGCCTACTATATCCGCCAAGCAATTGAGCAGCTAGCATAGTCAGCTCTTCGTCAGACACTTAAACTACCTCATAGCTCGTATGACTCACAGTCTGCATGAACGTGCTCCTGCCCGGGATATAAACCTCCACCTCTCTTCCCCCCTCTCCATCAATCTCATCATCCGACCCTTCTTCCCCTATCCTCCCATTCGCATCCCCATCTTCATAGTCCTCGTCATCCCCTGACTCACTCCGAGCGAGTGGTCGGGGATCCCCATAGAATGTGTTCGAAAGCGATCGAGAGGCCTTTCGAAGCAAGGGGGTGATCTCGTCGGCGGCAATGGTGACTCGGGATTTGGCGGGACTGGTGGCGGCCGGGGAGGTCGATGCGCGCGGAGAGGAGCTTGAGAGGCGGCGAGACATCTTGGCTAGGTCTTAGCTGTTCTGCGCCGCCTAGATATCGATTGATATATGTGCAAGAGTGCGGTCTTGACTTCGAGCGAAATCTCGCTGAGTCGCGCTGTGATGACGTAACCCGAACGGAGCCGGACAATCCCGCGGCCGTTTTCGCACCCATGCATGGCCTGCTGCGCCAGCTTGTCCCAAGAGTCCCCTGCGCATTCCCGATTTGCCAGACGTACGACCTGCAGCTCATCATGCAGGTGGGAGGTCATCGGGCCATCTTGTGCTCAGCACGAAGGAAACCTATCGATCAGGCAGCAAGACTCAGCTGGCGGTACGTCCCAGGCTCGAGCGGCAGGTCGCTGCTGAAACAAGGTAGGTGGCCTAGTGGAAGTATCCGGTGTTTCATATCCTCAGGGTGTGGCGCGAGTAACAAGCGACGCCTTTAAGCTTGAGGCCTGAGGCCTGAGGCAGCTCCACCGGCTCGGGTATGAAGCATGATACTTTCAGATCTGATCTTCTGCGGCTGTCTCCGTCAGGTATCGTCCCGCACTCGCAATCGATGATGGCTTCTGGCCTAGTATGGGAGGCAGGTAGCCAGCGCAGGAAGGTGCGGACTCCAGCCCGCACGCCCTAAACCGGAGGTGTCAAGGCATCTCGCCAGCCCAGATAAGGTATTTCCATAGCGCGCGCTGCATGCCGCCTCCGGACAGTCCTTGCTAGCCCTCTTACAGGGAGAAAGGAAGGCAAGTCTCCTTATGAAGGACCTTGTCCGTCATGCGGCCGATGTAAGAACCTGTGCACCATCGATCAAGAGATGGTCGATCCCGGGCATGGCCGTACGGGGATCGTTGCTTGCTGATCGCCGCCGGTGCCTTTCAGCAAGTTACGAGACTGGCCGGAATCGATTCCGCGTTTCACATAAGGCTGACAAGCTGCCCGGGGCCATATCACGCCATACCGCTGACGAGACTGGCAATCTCTAATAACAAGCGAGCATATATGTGATGGACTGCGGAGTAGCTTGCAGGCATCGACATGAAAAGAGGGGAGGGAGTGAGCCAGCCTCACGCTCAGAGCCAGAGATCTGTTTCACATGTGCCACTTGGCGCTAGCCACGGACGGAATGTCTTCCCTACCGAGTCTAACTCAAAGTAGCTAGCGTGACTCGGAGAGAACACGCGCCGATCTGATCGCATGGGGATCTCTCTCGGCATGAAAAGGGCCGGGATTTCCAAAGGCGAGCAAACCTTGTTGGCTATTTAGTCAGGGGTCAGGGTCGCGTGCTCAGGAACGACTATTAAGCAATTGTTCCATTAGTAAATTCGTATTGACTATTGTCCACTTTGGGCGAGATTACTAATCGCCCGAATACTCCGCTCGCGAGCGAACATGGTGCGATTGCCTTTGCCCACTTGACTTTGGATTGTGGATGGGCAACCATAGCATAGCCATCCATACCTTCTCTCTTTCCCTCAAACAGTCCTTCATTCACCCAGGGCATTCTGTCATACGGCCACCCCAGCCTTGCAATCAACCCTTTAGATACACTGGCTGAGGCGAGACATCCGCGAGGAACATCCGGAGTGTCACCTCTTTCAGGCCTTGCCGCGCCGAAACCTTGGCTCTCGACTTTTCTCCGGCAAACAACCCTTCCGGTCAACGAGCGTATCAGCAGCCTCGATTGCGCTAGCGCCGCTCTGCAGGCACGGACACTCAGTCTCCCCTGCCACAACTCGCGGTAGAGGCAGGCACGTAACGGACACACACACCACGCGAGCCATCATTTACTGCAGCTCAATTTGGTCGTCGTCCATCCATCAGCGGCCACCTTGTACGTATTCACATTCGACACGCTCCTTTTGCTCGGTTTCGGGGCTGCTTCCGTTGGGGACCCTTCATACGCCGCGCTCCGAGCTCAAAGACATCCTTCGGGGGTGGTAAAGGAAGGACGGGAAGGATACCGGACAGGCGATCAGAGGATTTCTCTGTTGTTCGCCCGCCTTTCACCTTTTGGAAGAGCTATCAAGGACGGAGTCTGCGCCCCAATGAGCGCCCGGATATAGCCTATCCGCCCCGACACACCTACATCGTTCGGTCCTGCATCAGCACGCGCGCACGATGCAGCAGGCGTATCCCTCCCCCCATTCGCTCGCGTCTGATCCGTACGACCCTCCCTCGCCGCATGATCGCCGGGAAGATACGGAAGCCGTCTTTCAGAATAGTACGCCGGTACCGGGGCCGTCGAGGCAGTATGGGATGCTGGGAGCAACGGCGGGACCGAGTACGGGTCTGGGATTGAGGAGAGAGTATAGCGATGTCGAGAGCGAGTACGTTTGGATTTTCGAGTGGATTAATCTATCAATCAGGTGAAACAGAGGCTTACGTGTCCAGTCTAATGGACGCACCATTCGCTCCATCCTCAGCACCCGCTACGCCTTCCGTCAAGGGCACAACCCATCCTCCCGAATTCATCCACACCCACCACCCACGGCGCGGCTCCATGACGCCTCTTGGCCTCAATGTCATTTCTCCCCGTCCGCCCGGGAATGCCCCGTACGGCGGCGTCACCCCAACGCAGACCTTTCAGCCCAGCTTTGGCACGCAGCGCTCGGTCGGCTTCAACCCTACCGCATTCCCCTACACCGAGAACTCGCCTACCATGGGCAACAACCGCCGGAGCTCCGCGGCGAGCACCTCTTCGACCCTCACACAATCCCGACCCGCCGGCCAATCCCTCAGCGCCTCTGGGGCAAACAGAGATCGCCGGCGGTCTTCCCTTACTCCCTACATTCCCACTCTCGCTCCTCCCTCGCCATCCCGCCATACAGCCAAGGGTCGGAATTCGCGCCCGAGCAGTAGTGACGGCTCTGGAGCGCCGCCCATGCACACGCGGAATCGCACCGAACCGCCCAGCAAAACGATCGGTTCGTCGGCGCGGGACGAGTACCAGGACTCGGTCGGTGAATTTGGGCGGAGAGGGAGCATGCCGCATCTGGCGTATGGGGGAATGCACGCCTCCTCCTCGCGTCCGTGGAATCCCAGTCTACCGACGCAGAGGGGGAGCGTAGGCGACGAGAATGATCCGGCGGCGGAAGGAGGATTCAAATTCGGCTCCATACCGTCGCCTTCTGCCGCGAGTGTCGCTCTTCGGGCCATCGACGTATCGCCCGGAAGTCGGCGGGGGAGTCTAGCGGGCGGAGTATTGTTCCCTCGAGGAGACGTCTTTGCGGAGGCGGAAGCGGAGGAGGCGGAAAAGCAAAGGAGAGCGTTTCTGGCAGCGACGTACGGGGAGGATGGGAAGAGGGCGCGAGAGCGGCTTAGTATCGGGGGACCGGGGTTGCAGACACCACAAGGATCGCCGGGAGGCGGGGCGTCCGCTTCCCGCCGACCGAGTCTGATGCTTTGGGAGAAGTTGGGGATGCAGGCTGCGCATCGGGCGGTAGGACCGTTAGACGTGGGATCGGCGTCCGCACCGGCCTTGCCAATATTCAGCGGGTATGAAGATTCCGAGGCATTAGGACAAAGGAGGGGGAGTTTGCCAATTGCGATTCCGGGCGGAACGATGGGTGTATTGGCGAGGAGTTCGAGCAGGAGAGAGGCGAAGGAGGCGAGATTACACGATATGGACGCACCAATCATTGTGACGGATACGGATGCCGAGGCGGAGGCAGAGGAAGATCTGAGTGAAGAAGAAGAAGAGCCAGATTTCCCGATGGAATATGCGGGCACGACCGTAAGTCTACCGATCCTCCTGGTTGGGAAGTGCTAATTGCCAGGGCTTGACTGCGCCAATCCGACCATTACCTCCCTTACTACCCCTATCGGATCCCGGGCCGCGCCTTCTGCCCTCCACACTAGCGCTGCACCGCGCCTCCCACCTCCTCAACGCGAGGAATCTCCAACCAGAGCCACTCCCACATCCCTTACCGCCCTCTCTACACCCGCCGGCACCCGTCGATCTCGCCGAGTTCGATATTGACTTTATCCTCGCCGGATCACAAGCGCAACTCGGCAATAAAAAGGGCAAGAACGCCCCAATCGACTCCCTCTCTCCCCGCACGGCCCCATCTACACCTACCCTCAATCTCGGTTCAGGTGGGGAAGACGATACGTTCGCCAAATTCGTCGGTCAGTTTGACGACGAATATGGAGATCGGCGAGGAGAGTGGACGTTCCGCTCCTCCACGACCGTCACGTCCAATGAGGAGCTGCGGGATCCGCTCGACAGAAGCGCGAGCAGAGAAGCAGTCAAGGCGGAGTGGGAATCGCTCGGTGCGGGCAAATACGAGCTGTACGGGAATGGCGAGGTGCGGTCGATCAAGAGCGGGAGTGTCTGGCGGGTCCGCAAGACCGCAGGCAGGGAGTATGAGCTGGAAGAGCTCAAGAAGGGTTTGGGCATCAAGAGCCCCCTTCTTGGCGATTCGAAATCATCAGGCACCGTCAAGCCAAACCCCAATTCCAATCCGACCTTCTCAGCTCGGAGCGAACCGTACTGCCTCACCAGCAAGGCGCAGCATTGCGAATGCGGGGGCGTCAAGTCCGCTTCGGCCATCGCTGCTGCCGCCGCAGTCCGTCATCGCTCAGCTTCGAGTCGCGCCAACTCCGGCTCGATACCTGCTCCTCGAGCTGCCCAGATCAGGGCATCTGTCTCCGACGCCATGGCGCGGACTGGGCGGATAGGCAGCGAGGACTCTGCGGCTACGAGCAAACCTCCGCTCTCAACCTCTGCTCCGCTCGGCTCAGCGCTCAATGCCATGCTCCCCAAGAAGAAGCGGCAAAACTCCAACCAGAAGGAAATGGAGGAGGAAGGCCGTGGGAGGCAGAGCGGTGTCTTTAGCAAAAAGGGGACGGAGCGCTCACCTTCGCGCGATCGGGGCGACAAGAAGAAGAGCGGCGGTGGTGGCTTTGGGGGCGTCCTCAAGCGTGGCTTGGCGTCCATCAAGCACAGCGGACAGTCGGATGAAAAGAAGGTGGCTCGGGAAGAAAAGGAGCGCGAGCGGATGCAGAGCCAATCGTGGTCTGGCGCGCTTTTAAGTCATCGGGACGGTCCGTCCTGGATGCACCCTTCCGGTCGGACCACTTCGACAAGCCACGGTCTCCCCTCGCCGCACTACTACGCGGCGCAGCGCAAGAGCTCGATCAGTCTTCAGACAGGCTCGGTGACGCCAAGTCAAGCGAGTACGGATGAGCGAGGTTCCGGTACGCCCAATCCGGACGAAACGGACCGGTGCTCCTCGGATGTCATGCTGGATGATGCGGGGCAGTGGAAGGAGGGTAAAGGGTGGAACGGGGTGCCAGAGGACGCGGTGGCGATGGTGGTACCGATAGAGTCGGAGGGCCCGAACGGGCCTGCCGGGATCGTCAGCCCAATCCCTGCGGCAGGTACGGAGACGCCCAATCCGGATAATCACCGTCAAGCCCTGCTCGTCTGGTTCGTCCCCTTCAACTCGGACTCGGAGGACCGACCGCCCCTTACTACATTGGCCAGCACCACCTCTTCCCGCGATACAGGAGTCAGCTCGGACAGCCCAAAAGACTCGACCTCATCCTCTTCCCTTCCCAAATTCCAAAAACTCCTCCGTCGGCGCGCAAGCAAAGAGAAGGACGGGCTGAAACCTACCAACCCGTCCGTCTCGACTATTGCCAGTTCGGCCTCCCGTCCTCCTGCACACGTCTCGTTCAGCTCGGACATTAGCTGTCGACACCATCCCCTCCCGTTCCGTTCATTCCGGGTCGTCGCGCGCGCGGTGGACTGGGAGGACCTGCGCTCTGAAGTTCCAGCAAATTCACCGCCGGCCGCGCCAGGGGCGGGATACGACCAATGGGCGGAACGCAATGCCGCTCTCCGTGCTGGTCTCGCAGGCACGTCGACCACGTCATCCTCGCAGCACCCATCCCCTAATCCACCACACGGCCGCCTCCCTTCTCCCGGTACAGGCACCGACGAGTCTGTCTCTGCCTCGATGGACGCGGGCGCCTCAACCTCCACCGCACCCACCAGCACGATCGGGACCGGCCGGAACTTCCCCACAGTCATTGCGGTCTGCCATTCCCGCTCGCAGGGGGTCGAGTTTGTGCTCGAGGGTCTGGACAGATTGGGGTTCTGTATGGGCGAAAGCGCGTGGGGACCGACGGGGTACGAAGAGTGGCGCGGGAGCGGGCTGAGCGAGAAGGGCCGAGAGCTGTTGGATCTGTTGTGGGCGGGATGTGTGGCTGTGTTGGGGATAGCGGCGTAGAAGGGGGGGGTTGTTGGGTTCTGGTGTTCTACCGTAGTTTCTGTTTGGTTTCTGCGGGGTTTTGATTACTTTTTTTATAGCGGGTCAGAGTAGACGAAAAGACAACGACAAACTCATTTTTTTGGTAGCTTTTTACGAGGGGAGAGCTGGCGGGGAGGGGATCTAGGATTAGACTGTCGAGTAGTGGAAGTAGAGGCAGGGCTGTATAGTAGTTGTTAGATACTGCCATGTCATGTCGGTGCTTCGTTCCTTCGAGTCTGTCGTGTGCGCACCTCCAAGGACTGAAAGTATCTGAGTAGGGAAGATGCATGCTGATTGCAAGTTGAACCGTGACCCTTTATCAAACCCGCTTCTCATTGATCTATCCTGACCAGGCCTGGCCCGCCTTTTTCTGTTTGCTCCTTGCATTCCACCACTTCACATCATCCCGCCCATTCCGCCCATGCCTCCCATCCCGCCCATACCCATACCCGCAGGCGGTCCCTTCTCCTCGGAATCCACCACGCACGCCTCGCTCGTCGTCAACAGACTTGCCACCCCCGAGGCATCCACCAACGCCGTCCGGACGACCTTGAGCGGGTCGAGGATACCGGCCGAGATCATATCCCGGTACTGGCTCGTCGCCGAGTCGTAGCCCCAGTTGAACTTGTCGGCCGAGGCATAGTCGGAAAGGAGCTTGCCGACTACGACGGAGCCCTCCTCGCCTGCGTTCTCGACGATGGTGCGTGCGGGACGGAGGATGGCGTTGCGGATAATGGTGACGCCGAGCTTTTGGTCGAAGTTGTCGACGGCGAGGTTCTCGAGTGCGAGGGATGCTTTCTGAGGATGTCAGCTAAGTCTCCGGACAAGTCCGTGGCGGTAAGCTTACGAGCAGAGCAGTTCCTCCACCCGGAACAATCCCCTCCTCGACAGCCGCCCTCGTCGCGTTCAAGGCATCGTCGTACCTGTCCTTCTTCTCCCCAACCTCCACCTCGGAGCTCCCTCCCACCTTGATGACCGCCACACCACCGCTCAGCTTGGCAAGACGCTCCTGGAGCTTGGTCTTGTCATAGTCCGAGGTGGTGGCATCGCTAATGACGCCCCGGATCTGCTCACACCGAGCAGTGATCGAGTCCTTGTCGCCCGAGCCGTTGAGAATGATGGTGTCCTCCTTGGTGATAGTCACCGAGCCGGTCGAACCGAAAAGCTCCGGAGTGGCCTTCTCGAGCTTGACGTCCAGCTCGTCCGTAAAGACCGTACCGCCCGTAAGGATCGCAATGTCCCCGAGGATGGATTTCCGGTTGTCACCGAAGCCGGGTGCCTTGACGGCGCAGACCGACAGCTGTCCACGGAGCTTGTTGAGGATGATGGCGGCAAGCGCCTCCCCGTCGACGTCCTCGGCAATGATGAGCAGAGGGCGCCGGGTCTGGGCAGCAATTTCGAGGGAAGGGAGGATGTCCTGGAGAGCCGAGATCTTCTTCTCGGAGAGGAGGATGAAGGGCTTCTCGAGCTCAACACGCTGGTTCTTGGCGTCCGTGATCATGTAGGGGGAGAGGAATCCGCGGTCGAACCGCATACCCTCGGTGATCTCGATCTCGTCCTCGATCGTCCGGCCCTCCTTGACCGTGATGACACCCTCCTTGCCGACCTTCTCCATCGCCTGGGCGATGATGGACCCGACGTGGTGGTCGCCGTTGGCAGAGATAGTGGCAACCTGGAAGTCAGCTCGGATCCCCAAGGGATGTTGACGGCTAGCTCACCTGTGCGATCTCCTCCGAGGTGGTGATATCCCGCTTGTTCGCCTCCAGGATCTCGAGCACTTTCTCTACCGCCTTCTGCGACCCTCGGCGCAGGTCCATGGGGTTGCAACCAGCAGCGACGTTCTTGACACCTTCCGAGTAGATCGCACGGGCGAGAACAGTGGCGGTAGTGGTTCCATCACCGGCGGTGTCGTTTGTCTTGGATGCGACGTCTTGTACGAGACTGAATGTCAGCTTCCGCCGCTCACGAAAGCAGGCTTTAGCTTACCGAGCTCCGAGGTTCTCTACGGGGTCCTTGAGGGTGATCGACTTGGCCACCGAAACACCGTCCTTGGTGATTTTTGGTCCACCGAAACTTTGGCCTGAGAGTCAGCTGGCGGCCATGCTTCTTCTCCTGTCAGCTCACCAATGATGACAGTCCGGCCCTTGGGTCCAAGAGTAGCGCTAACAGCCTTCGCGAGGATGTCCACACCCCTCAACATGCCCTGCCGGGCATCGTTGCCAAAGATGACGTCCTTGCTCGCCCACCGCCTCTGAGCGGGAGCGACGGACTGGAGGAGCCTTGCAGGGCGGGGGAGAGCAGCGCGGGATCGGGCAGCAGCGAGCATTGTATATGGGTGTAGGTGGTGTAGAAGGTGATGGAAGAGATGGAAAGAGAGAGAGGTGAACCGGGGAAGATCGCGGCATTAAGCGAAATATTCGGAACTTGGTCAAGTGGAGGTAAGTAAGCAGTCACCGTGGGAAAGTACAAGCTAGAAGGTGCTGGAAAATGTCTATCGGCTATAGCGGACAGCGGTCAATCTTACATCGATCTCATACACATAGCCCTCACAACAATTACCACTCACCGCCAATAGCTACAATGGTGAGCTTGATAGCGCAATCTTGACGGTATCGGAGCTCAGCTGACCCCCAGTCCGCCACCTTCAAGTCCATCCGATCTCTCCAGCCCCTCCTCGACCGGGTACTTGTCCAGCGCTTCAAGGCCGAGACAGTGAGTCGAGCTATCCGACGGATATATGGGTCAACTGTGCTTGATCGGATACGTCAAGGAGACAGCTGGACCAAGGCGGTCCGGCGTCCTCAACTGCGAATCGCGCTGACTTGGTCAGAAAACAGCAACTGGTCTCTTCCTCCCCTCATCAGCCACCTCCTCCCCTCTCCCAGAAGCCACCGTCATCGCTGTAGGTCCCGGAGCACCAAGCAAGGACGGATCGATCGTACCCGTCTCGGTACAGGCAGGCGACAGGGTATTGCTGCCCGGTTGGGGAGGTAGCCCGATCAAGGTCGGAGAGGATGTGAGTGGACACTTCTGCTAGGAAAGGGTCTTTCGGTTCTTTTTGGCTGCTGGAAGAGGGGGAAAGGATCAGATTGCAGCGGCAGTAGGGTTGAGCTGACGTTTCAGGAATACCACCTGTTCAAGGATTCGGAGATCCTCGCCAAGATCAACGAATAGACTCAGAGGATAGTCCGGAGGGGATTGAGCAGCAAACAAAACGAAGTATAGCATGTGATATGCAGACCAATCACTTCTCACCCACCTCTGACGCTCTGCGAAGCAAGCATGTGTGCTTCCCGTCCGAGACTTACTGATCTTCCGAACGGAACTCGAACGAATTACGGGGCCAGCGTAATGCTTGCAGTTAGCTTTGCGGAAAACTTACAGCTCGATTCCCCCGCGGCGACGTCTCTGTGCGAACGTAGACGACCATGACGGCCCTGCTGAGGCATGGCTGTATGATTGAGCCACTCCAGAGCTGGTCCAAGTGGGAGCCGAGGTGGGTCACAAGGCGTCCGCGCAGGTCCGTGCAGGCCCGCGTTCGCTTCTCTCGGCGTCTATGAAAACGCTACCTGTAGTCCTTCTTCCTCTTCATTCTTTCTTAGACGAACTTGCGAGTATCGCACTCGACATCCAGAGCGTCAGCACCTCACAGTGACCCAGCTTCATCCGAGTTAAGCGATACAAGCCAATCCAGCTGGCCAAGAGCAGTAAGCGAAACCATCGGCCGGGTCTCTACGCCCATGGGTGAAAGCTGACTCTTCAGGCAGAATGTCTTCCCCAGACTTCACTAAGCTCCCCGCCTTCCCCGAGATTTTCACGCGCGTCTGCGACATCCTCCTCGCCAGGGATGACATGTCCTCCCTCACGACCCTCATCCGCACGTCCAAGGATCTCGCCGGATACGGTTCCGCCGCCATATACGCCCGTCCTACGGTGAACGAGCGCAACATAAGGGGCTTCTTGCTCGGTCTCGAGGCCGATTTCATCAAAGACGTCCTACCAGCTTTCGCCAAAAAGCACAAGAGCAAGAACAAGGGGGGCACCTCGAGGTACAAGCCCACCTGGTCCTCGGCGACCCGCAAGCATGTGCAGCTCATGCTCGTCCAAGAGCTCGAGCTCAAGCAGGTCCCGACAAAGCTCGCTCGCAAGGCGGGGCCGGTCGACAAGCACGTCGTGATCCTATCCTGGTGTCTCACTGTCGCCACCGGGCTCGGCAAGCGCATCCCAAGCCTCTTCTACCGGCTCCGGGCCATCCGATTCCTAGGCGACGTGGATTCCGGGACCAAGAAGACCGCCGATGATTCGGACTACAAGTTTAAAGCCACCATCCACTTGGCCCCATACACCCCTATCCCGTCCGAAGCAGAGGACGAGTCAGACGCAGACTCGCAAGCAGGAGCAGCTGCCGCTTCCTCGCCGTCCTTCGATGTCTGCATCCGCATCGAGTACAATTCGCCTCGGCACGTCGCTCTGCGGGGTATCATCACGATTGGCGACGTTCTCCAAGGCATCGGAGCTGTGCGCGCTTGGCTGGACAGGATCAGCGGCTGGCACAAGCTTCAAAACCTCACGATCCACGCTCCGGACCTGGCTATCTTGCCCGGTCTCGACATCCTTCATTGGCGAGGTGGACTACGACTTTACTTTACCCGTCAACTCAGGCAGACGCCTGGATCGGCCAGTAAACCTGCGGAGCTGCTCGAAGAGGAGGCTGGTGCCTACCTGAACGAGATGAAGGCTACCATGGATGGTCGGACCGGGAGCATCCAAATCCTCGGCGCTTTCGACATCCATCCCTCTCTCTCGGGATGTACCTCTGACGATCTGCGCAAGCTCGTCCTCGACAAACTGGCCGACTACGATATGGATTTCATGTCGAACAGTCTCCCGACTACCAAGACCGCTCCAATTTATTCTCCCTACCCCATCTTCTCTCTCGCCGAGGACCCGATCGAGTATTGGTTCGCTCCGAAGGGGTATGGCGGGCCGCCTTGTCTGTGCGATGGGGCGAAGCGTATCACGCGGGTCATTACAGACGTAAGTCGCCACCTGAGATCTCACTCATCATTCAGTCCGCTGCCGCTACAGGTTTCGCCGCAAGCCGCTACCTCTGAAGGACATGTCGACCTACCCATTACACGTCCCCCGCCATCTAGACCCGTACACGTCGATTCGAGCCGATGTTGATCATTAGAGACCTAGCGCAGAAGAGTAGGCCGGCATGTATACTGAGACACCTCCTCATATGGTGGCTGATCACTAATCCATGACTGACACCCTGACGATGAGATGCGCCTGAATCTCGCCACATGGCAGACTACTCTTCTGAACACGACGACAGTCAGCTGGCCTGCACTGACAGCACAGACATGCACGGCACCCTTCAGCCACTTACCATGATATATAGCAGGTCCGTGCTTTACTACAGTCTATGCCCGGCGCTTAGGTCCGAGCGCCGCACGGACGCCTTCCTCCACCTATAAGAGTCCCTCCCGCGTCCCACTTATTCTCGATTTCGCCTTCCTTCCTTCTTCCCTCTTTCATACCTCATCCTGCATCAGCCTCATCCCTCGCGATACTACACTGCATCAACCACCAACCCTTATCAGTCAGACACCCCCTTCATCACCGCTAGCTGCCGCCAAGGCACGTCACTCCGGTAAGGTCTGTCCGCCCATGTCGAGAACACGATGACTGACATTACAGCTCACTACCCTAGCGCGCCTCCTCCCAAGATGCTTCCCTTCGAGACCCTCACGCACATCTGTACCATCCTGCGAGCCCGCGGCGACACCCACTCCCTCACCAAGCTCATGCGCGTCTCTGCCAAGATGTACGATATCGCCTCGCCCGTCCTCTACCACCGGGTCCGGATCACCGAGCGCGACATGAAGAGCTTCCTTCTCGGCCTCCGCCCACGAGAGCGGAAGCCCGTCAAGCTCGTGGCGAATCAGCGAGTCGCCTACCGCATGCGTGCCTACCACCCCAATACCGCTCGCCAAACGCGCAAGATCAGCTTACTCGGGCACATCGTACACCTCGAGCTGATACTCGGCCCGGTGGAGTGGCGTTGGTCATACCACCAGAGCAAGCGATATCGTCTCATCTTACAATGGACCCTTGAGGGTGCCACCTCGTCATCCGGTATCCGACTCGGAGCGCTTCAAACAATCAAGCTCTGCGATTCGTCGCGCTTCGAAAACCTGTCAGACAGCGACGCGGTACTTTCCACTATCAGCATGCACCGGGTCACGCGACGCCCGGAAGTTGACTCTGTCTCCACGTCCGACCAACACCCCTACGCTATCCACGTGCGACCCGGGGAAGATCAGGTCGTCTCGGGTGATAGCAAGGTCGTCAGCGCCTGGCTAAGCAACCTCAGCGCCAGAGGCGACCTGGCCAGCTTGACCTTCACCGGGACGGTCCCCGCGGCGCTCTTTGAGAAGGCTAGCTTGTGGCGGACGGACCAGCCCATCCGAATCGATATGGACCCCAGGACGAATGAGTCATCCATATGGGTCGGCGAGTACAAAAAGGAATGGCGTCTCCAGCAGACATCTCACTCCCTCGAGCTATTTAAGGTCCTGTTAAAACAGAAGTCCGACGCCGAGAACGCCTCCATTCGGATCGAGCTCATCCATACCTTCACGTTCGACCTCGATGAGACTGGAGCCGAGGCGCTCCAGCTCCGCAACGCCGTCCTGGAGTCGCTGCGACAGTCTCATGGTATCGTCCAAACGGCGGAGCTCGGGGCCAACGGCGAGGTCAAAACGGTGCTCACTGCCTCGAACGGTTCCAAGGTGTACATCGTGGAGGAGGAAGAGGGTCGGGAGGCAGCTCAGTCTGCTTAACTTGCGAAAGTGAAAGTGAGTCCCGGCTCGGCCTGCTGGTCAACTTACTCACACCACGCTGACACCTCGATAGTAAGACCTCGAGTCGCCGATCCAAGCTGCCCACTCACGTACCCGATCATCAAGATCACATCATCGTCCGCGGCCGAAATTTTTCCTTTTCATCGCCTACACTGCAACTCTACAACGGCCCGCCAAATATCCAGCCTCAAGACGTCGTTTCACTCTCGCCCACTTATAAGCTGTACAACAGCCTACTCATGCATGTAATAGTACCCACATAATCTCCACTGGCTCATCGTCAAGCCTGACCTAGCCTGATCCGTCTCTCAGCACTCACATCCTTCCCATCGGGACAAAAGCTGGACCTGACTTGACAGCTGGTAAAAAAAGAATATGTTCTCAGCTGCCCGACAGACATCGCGGATCTTTTGTGCCGGTATCAGAGCAAACAAGAGTATCTTATTGACAATGGGCCTGCTGTACCGTCCAAATCAGGCTGCTCTCAGCCAGCCGCGACCGTACCGCAAGGTGTAGTATTTTTCCCCCCGTGGCGTGACCACATAGGACCGCGCGTCCGAGGAGTATTCTGATGAGCTCGGACCAGCCGAAGCTGCTGTCAGACTCAGGTGGATGTGCGCTTGGACCTTCTGATGGGAGTTAAGGCCCGTGCCCTGCGCAGTCTCACCAAGGAATTCTCTTTTAGGAATGTCATCGACATGCTGGCTTCAGTCATCCACCTCACAAGCAGCCTTTCATGACATAACGGCTTCGGCGACACATATCCTCTGGCGCACCTCCCGTCACTCAGCAGACAACCAATGCCCTCGTTGCTCAGCTCGCCAAATCAAGCCTCGCCACTCTCGCCATGCCGGACCCGCGGCTCACGCGACCCCGACCCCGCCCCGCCTCCCCGTTGAGGTACTCTCCGCCGTATGTGACCTCCTATACGAGAGGAAGGACTTCGCTGCCCTCAGGTGTCAGGTCGCTACTCCCGGTCAATCGTGAGCTGTACCATCTCACCATCCCGCATCTGTACAAATATGCGGACATTCGAGCCAAGGACTGCGTCATGGACAAATTGCTTGTCGGGCTGGACGGTTATGAGCGGAAAGGCCTGAACGCAAAGAAGAAGACGAAGGAATGTCTTCCTACGGGGTCAGTCTCCGTGAACGACACGTCAGCGGCGCGGTCGGCCGATGCATCTCCGTCTCCACAAGCCAGTCACGCGCGGAAGTCCTGGGCCCTCGGTTGTTAAGTTTTCAAGAGCAGACTGGGGATGCATCTGGCTCGACATGACCTCCTTATATATTCCAGCCTGGCGACTTCCTACATAGTGTAGGAAGTCCCTACAGTATATAGCAAGTTCCTACAAGCTATAGGAAGTCCCTACTAACTATAGCAAGTCCCTACAAGCTATAGCAAGTCCCTATGTGCTATAGGGCGTTCTCTTCAGACCTGCGAATCCCTCTGAGCTCCTATACTGCATAGGAGCTCCTACTGTGCTGTCGGCGCCACACTCGGTCCGCCACACTGACATGCCACACTCTCCTGAGCTGTTCGGCATGGGATCTCGCACCAGGCGTCGCACTCATACGTCGCACTCTCCATACTGTAGGTGCGCCTACTCGGTCCCGTGTAGGGGTTCCTACGCGGTACCGAGCTCGTCTCCGAGTAGCCTCGCTACCGAGCTCTCGCTGAGGAGTCGTATTTCTAACATCGGTCACCTCAAACATCTTGACCTCAAAGAGGACCGCGTCCGGAAGGGCCTGGTCCGGAGGGCACAGACGCAGCATTGTTCCGTGCTCAAGTGGGCACTGTTGGGGGCGACGCGGGCACCGACCAAAGCTGCCCCGCACCCCTTGTTCCCAGCTCTCCATCACATCGAGTCCCGCGGAGACGGCTACATCCATTCCACCGAGGATGCGGTCTACGGTCTCGACAATGACGAGGAGGAACATCATACGCAACTTGGGCAGATCCTACACCTATACATCAACTTGGAGCGCATTCCCGCCGCCCAGGTCATCGACGCCGGTGCGAGATCGCGCAAGAAGCGCCAGGTGTCGCCAAGGTTCAATATCTGCCTCGGTGCACTTGGAGCCACCGGCCGGGCGCATCCATGTAACGGCGGAGTCAGGATCATCCGCGACTGGATCAAAGGCCTCAGCAATCGCAAGGCAGTTCACGACATCTGTTTCCATACCGACAATCCACTCGAGCTCATCTCCTGCATCATTCCCAAAATCAAGTGGCCGACGGGAACCCTCACTATCCGCAACAGGCGCCAGTACGATATCACTGGATCACGGACGGGTCATCTCATGTTGAAGGGGGAAGTCGACTACTACACCGAACTGTTCAAGAAAATTCGCTCAGCTATCCCCTCACCTGGGACGAACGAGCGGGTCGAGCTATACGGCGCGTTCCAGGCAGGTCACAACGTGGACGAGCAGGTGCGGGAGGAACTTCGACGCCTCGCATACGATAAGCTTCGGAACGACATCGGGATGAATCACAGTGAGAAAGTGATCCGAGGGGCGTTACCTCCACGTAGGGCCGACGGTGTTATGGAGGTCTGGATCGGACCGCTCGGATACGAAGGGCCTGTATGTCATTGTCAGGGAGGAGAGGCATCGTGTGACGGCGAAACGACTCGAGAAGACTGGGAATCGGTGAGTGACCTCCATAACATAGCTGAAGTTTTCGCAGGACCATATCACCTACGACGTCTTTACGATGCCCTCGACGAAGGGAAGCGCCGATTAGAATAGTCGAATAGTACAGTGTGGTTGAGGGAGACCGTTGTGTAGTGGGGACGTTAGGAGTGATGTGGTAGTTAAAACAACGCGCCTGAGCACATATCGAAGACATGGGTGAAATATTTCGTAGTCAGATGTATCCAAAGCTATATCATAGCGGGTTGTTGCCTCTCTCCCCTGTCAACGTTAACATCATGGGGTATCTTCACGCAGGTGGCAAAAGCAGAGCCCTGATCATGCGACTGCGTCTTTTGCTCAGAGTCCGTGGTCGCAAGACGACATTTGAGCTGCAGACGGTAAAGCTGCCTCAATAGCCACCAGTCATATGTGCGCCCATGATAGAATGACTGTATGATCCCATAGTGCTGGGATTCTCTTCTCAAACGTAGGACCACTGACTGACTCATGCAGGGGCCCTCGCTGCTGGCAGAGCAAGCCATATGTACTGCCGCAGCCACCCCCAGAATAGGATACATTCTTGACATCGCTCAGTGAGATAGATCGCAACCGCCTTGCTGCCTGCTTACAGAGCCTCTGCCTTGCCGACCACCAACCCGTGTCGCCACATTCAGGGTTTTCCTCCCAGCTCCACATTCCTCAGCATGCGAACAGAGCTCAACGCGTCGCTCTCGCCACACTTCTTTCCTCTTCGATACCTCACTCATCACTCGCCGAGGTATCCAGCGTTCATCACACGGCTCGCCGTACACCGGTACCTCTCCCGAACCAACATTTCTCCTCCCCTTTCCAATCCTTTCCAATCCTTTCCAATCACACCGCCCATCATGGACCCCCTTCTTACCCCCCGGCTCCCCGTCGAGCTCGTCACCCATATTTGCGACATTCTTCGCGTTCGTGCCGACTCCTCCGCACTCTGCGCCATCCTACGGTCGTCCTCCGTCTTTTATGACATCGCGGCGCCCAAGATCTATCGTCGGGTCCGGCTCAGCCAGGCAAACATTCAGATGTTCCTGCTCGGCATGGCCCTCATCCGTGAGGGCGACTCCCCGGCCAGAGGCATCGACTGCCGTCCCTTCGGAGATCCCGCCTCGGGGGATGGAGGGCCTTTGGGGAAGGAGAAGCATCCGGATGAGCTGCGGTGGGAAGGGAAGGTGCAGCTTTTCAGATATATCGAGGAACTTCAAATCACCGGCCTGTTCGACGCTGACAAAGAGGACGGCGAGGGATACGATCACGGGGATATCGCCAAATGGGCTTTCGGCAAGAGCTCATATCGTCGGACATCTTCTTTGTCGCTCCCGGACCGGTTGCTCCCCTCTCTGCGCCGGATCGAACTTCACGCCGTCAATACCGGTTGTCAGCAGCCAGCTCTGCAGCTTGACTTGCGCCGACACGCAGTTTCCCCCGATGGAACCACATTCAGAGGATCGGACCTCTGCGTTCGCGCCCATAGCAACCTCTCCCTCCTGGATACGCCCAAGGCGCGTCTCGTGAGCAGGTGAATATTTAACCTCGGGTTGAATCTCCTTGTCCACGATTTCGCCTTCCACACATACTGCCCCTCGATCTTCCAGGCACCATCCTTCCCTCCGAAGGGCACAGCCCGCTATTACGTTGACGAATCTACGGGTCCTCCAGGCCCCGGCGCCCCAGCCAGCGGGACCGATACCGACCCTGCCATCAGGGCCTGGCGCAACCTCTATTTACGGTCAGGGGCCAATAAATACCGCCTGCGGGTCTTCGGCGCTTTCCGGAACCAGGCGTCAGAGAGTGATGAGCGATCAGTCCGTGATGCGACGATCGCCGATCTCACGGGGTATGGCGGAAAGCATCTCAGGGAAGTAGCGGACGCGCCGTTGGCGGACCGGAGGGGGGGTTTGTGGTTCGCACCTAGCGGCTATATGGAAGGGTGTATGTGCGGTGAAGCAACTCAAGGCAGAAGCGAAGTGAGTCCAGTCATAGCTCATCGGGTCCTCCAGCTGATCAAATTTCAGACTGCTTCAGCGTCGTCCGAATTCGGCGACACAACCCTCCGCGAACGCCCTGCACCGGCATAGACGCCCCCTCGGCTCGCCGAAAGCCGCGGATCTCTCTAGGATCTCCCTCGCTTCGACGATGATAACTGTGTACAGATGACATGTATATGGCCCAAGACTAGATTGTACCATTCTAACCCACTGATAGAAGTATTCACCGTTCAGGGTAGCCGTGAACCAGCTCCCTCCTCCGCTCAATGCGCTCACTCGCGTCGCGTATCTAAGCATCCTCGACTAATGACGAGATGACACCTGTATACTCCCCATTGCCCCCAGACCCCTCCTGACTGCCCGCTTACCTTCCCCGCGAGAACGTGCGCCAACATCGTAGTAGCAGCATGTGCTTCTGCCAAAATGTCAAATTCTGCCTGGTCGGGCGCGTCCGCGAGAAGATCTACAAGCTTCTGGTCCGACCTCAAGGCAGTGGTAATTCATTTCATAGTATCATGGAAGTCATACCGGAGAGGTTCCAGCTGTATGTCAGAGCGTGGAGCTTCGAGCAGAACCTTCCTGTTCCTGGGATTGGCTATATTAAGTGGATAGCGTCCGGAACGACCTTGCTTGAAGTCCTTGGCGCCGAATGATACTGGTACGCGGACCTGTCGTATCCAGTGACCATCTCACTCTCCTTATATGAGCACATTCGAGCCACTACCGCCGGACTACGGTAAACTCAAAACTGCCACATTCAGGACAGCTCGTCCAAACTCACATTCCTCAGTCATCCAGTCCTTCGGCTTGCCTTCGGCTTCCTGTCGGCTTTCCTTCCTTCCTCTTCTACACCTCACTCGCCACTCGCCGAGGTCGTCAAAATACAGCCCTACAGCTCGCAGTACATCGGTACTATCATCCCACGGTCCCCACTCGATTACACCTCCCCCCTTTCCCTCGACAATGTCCACCATGAACCCCCTTCCTCCTCCTCGACTTCCCGTCGAGCTCATCGGTCACATCTGCGACATCCTCCGCGTACGGGTCGACAACACCTCCCTCTGCACTCTCATGCGTTCTTCATCCCTCCTCTACGACATCGCTTCGCGAAAACTATACCGCCATATTCGGCTCAGCCAAGCGAACCTCCAGCAGTTCCTCTCGGGCATGCACCTGATCAAGGCGGGCGAGTTCTGGTTCGATCGCTCTGCGTTCGCATATTCCCGGGTGATTAAGATGTCGGAGAGAAGGTCGCCGAGAGCCGGGGAGCAGCGTGCCGATGACAAGGAGTGGGAGGGGAAATTGAAGCTGTTCGGGTGTATCAAGGAGATCACCGGGATAGTTTTGGCGGGGTCAGGGAATGGGAGGGTACTTCAACATGACGATGTCGCCGCTTGGGCGCTAGGCTTATGCCCCAAGGACCATATCCTCGACCGGGACAGCGTCCTACTCCCGAATCTTCGCATCATCCATTTTCACACCGATCTCGTCCACCGCCAGCCGGGATTGACCGTTCACGTGCGGCCTGTCGATCAGTCCGCTGCTTTCTTTCAGCACCCTTCATGGGACATTTGCATGCGGATCGGCAGTCATGCGCGCGTCGGGCGTCGAGACGCCTGGTTCGCTCGACCTTACGGCTGGCTTCAATACCTTTCGTTACGGAGCCAGGTGCGGAATCTCGCTGTCCACTCGCACGATAGCAAGACGGCGAAATCCACCTTTGTCCAGGTCAGGGGTTCGTATCGCATCTACATCATGACACCTGATACTCCCGGTAATCGATCGGACATATGGCGAGAAATCGTCAAGCACATCCTGGACCGAACAACAGGCGTACGCGTGTTCGGCGCTTTCGACTCGTCAACTGCGATGGGACGGACTGCAAAGGTGTCGGCGCTGCAGGAGCTCGTGTCGCTGGGTCAGAGTCATCGTCGGGAGAGGGTGGATGTGCCAAAGAGGGACAGCGAGAAAGCGGTGTGGTTTGCACCTGATGGCTATAGGGAGGGCTGTATGTGTGGTGCCGCTATTCCAGAGGGATATGATGTGAGTCAAGCCATCTGTAAGAAAGGATCTTACTGATCTTCAGTCTTCTCCTTCCTCCCCTGTGATCGGCGATCTCATCAGCTTCAATGCTTAGCACTTCCCGGCGTGCTCGGTCATCTTCCCCCGTCCAACTCCATCCACCACCTCGATCCGCCTCCAGTCATCAGCCGGTCATTCATCTCCTTCGGCACATTCGCCTGTGTGAATATGACATCATGCACCACCTGTCCGTAGCTGCCTATCTATACTAATCTTATCAAGTGACCTCGACCATCTTCGAAGGGGAAACCATATCCAGCTACTGTCTCTCTTCTCCGCTGACTGCTGCTGATCACGCTAAGGGCCCCTTGGCCGACAGCCTCCTGGGATCGGGGCTGCAGAGGTACAATTTCCAGCTCGCAGCTGAAACCGAGTGCCTTCTTTCTTTTATGCATTCGTCCGCTAACCGGGCCAAACGCCTTCCCCAATCGCTACTGCCTAGCTCTGCCCGGAAAGCCTTTTTCTGGGCGCAGGACACGGATCCGGAGGCGGCAGACTCCAAGTGTATTGACGGTGAGCTCAGCATTGTAAAGTAGCAAGGCAAGCTGTGCAGTAGGGCCGTTGTCGCGGCGTACAGAGCTATTCCAGGGCGAAATTGACTTGATCCGGTAGTGCGGTCGTATGTACCCGCTTGACGTTTTTGCCTTGATACTATCACTAGTCTCTTAAGCTACATGAGACCCTCAAGCTCATCGGCAGAGATTCGCGCTCTTGCTTCCAGAAGGATACTCCAACAGGCCACTGCGTCGCGCCAAAACGCCACTTTCAGGGCGTAAGAGCAACTCCACATTCCTCGCCACCACAGCTTAACCCGTCAATCCCACCCTTCCTCCGTCCTTCTTTGTACCTCATTCGACTTTCACCGGGGTATCCGACAGACCATCTACGGCTCTCAGTACATCGGTACACTCCTCCCTATCGCTCCCCTCCCCATTCGACCACTCCCTGCCCCTCCTCCTCCCCTCGACAACACCCATCATGAACCCCCTCCTACCCAAGCCTCGGCTCCCCGTCGAGCTCATCAGCCACATCTGCGACATCCTTCGCGTACGGGTCGACAACACCTCCCTCTGCGTCGTCATGCGCTCCTCCTCCCTTCTATACGGTATCGCGTCGCCCAAGCTATATCGGACGGTTCGGCTCAGTCAGGCAAATCTCCGGAAGTTCCTTCTGGGGATGCACCTGATAGAAGAAGGCGAAGACTGGTTCGATTGGGTCAAATTCAGTTCCTGCCGCCGCAAGAAGGGGGGTAGAACGGAGACGGCTGCGGAAGCAGGGAGGTGGAAGGTCAGACTGCTACTCTTCCGGCGCATCCAGGAGATCGTGGTCACCGGGTTGTTTGCGGCGGAAAAGGGGAAGAAGGGAGATTATCGACACGATGACATCGCTCATTGGGCCTTTGCTCCATGCCCATTGACATCCCTTCGCGATCGGAAACTTTTCCTCCTCCCATCCCTACGCAAGATCGACATGTACTCCGATCGTTCCGTCGAACCCCACCCGGCCATTACCTTCCATGTGCGCCCAATCCTCCGTTCAGATCGCTACGAACCTCTCGCATGGAACATCTGCCTGCGGATCGCCAGTCCCGTGCGCACGCTGGACCACCACCCTATCCCTCTTTTGTTTCACTGGCTGAACCACCTACAAATACACCGCCAGGTGTACGACCTCGCCATACATTCCTACGACGATGCGGAAGCGGTCGATCTCCCTCTGACGACCAGTAATACTTGCCGCATCTACACCGCGACTACTTCTGGTCGATCCAAAGATCGCGTTTCAGCGCGCGACCGCGCATGGGACACGGCCCTGAGAAACATTGCCTTTTCAAGGACCTACGTGCGGATATTTGGCACCTTCGACGCCGCCCCTTCCCCTACAAGTGCAGAAGCGGAGCGGAAGGCAATGATCCGCAAAATATCATCTCGGGAGGAATGCGAGCATCGTCAGGAGGAAGTGGGTGCGCCCAAGGTGGAGGGGGAGAGTGGGTTGTGGTTTGCGCCGGATGGATATAGGGAAGGCTGTATGTGCGGTGCAGAGATCGACGAGGGAAGCCGAGTGAGTCGGACTCTTCCTCCGCACGAAACGACGCTGACAATCACCAGGCTTCGGAGGCGAATCCAGTAATTGGTGATCTGTTGAGCATAAATCCTTACAAATCCGGCACTTGAGCTGTCACCGCGGCCGCCATCCATGTTATCATATCCCCACTCGGCCTGTCCAAGCCGCTCCCGCAGTATCCCTCGAGACACCCTCTCGTACACCTACAATCACATGTCACTTTTATACCCTATTATACATTACCGAGCATCTAAGCGAAGTCAATCATGGTCGGAGAATCCAGCAGCAATCCCCCCTTCTCTGCTGACCTCGCCCATTCGGCCGCCTGACTGACCGCCATCCTCGGGCTCTCCTTGAAGTTGAGGAGGTACGCCTGCATACTAGCCATCGCCACCCGAGTCCCCTCCACCCCCCCCGCCCCTCCATTCGGAAAGACCGCCTCGGAGAAAGCCCTTGCCAGACTGTCCAGCTCCGCCTGGTCGAGAGTATCCGTGAGGCTGACGCCGGAGTCGGCGAGCTTCACCTCGGAGCTGAGAGGATCGTCCGTCTTGTGGTCCTGCCGGAAGTCCTCGGCGGGGAAGAAGTGGAGGAAGAGGAGTCGAGCTTGTTCGGGGCTGGCAGAGTGGAAGGGGACGCGCACGTCGAAGCGGCCTGCGCGAGTGAGAGCTGGGTCGAGCTTCTCGGGATGGTTGCTGGCTGATCAGTTCAAGTTCCAACGTTGTGATGACTGAGATACTCACGTCGAAGCAATGAGGATGCATCCTTCCTGAGGTATATCAGCTGAGATCTGAGGAAGGAAGAAGGCCAAAGCGGAGACTCACCTGACTAGACACCCCATCGATAGCGTTCAGCAGCCCCGACATCGTCACCACCGATGGCTCCTTCTTCTCCTCCGTTTGCTCCTGCCCTTCCGGACCTCCGCTGATTGCAGCTTCGACCTCGCCATTCTGAGGAGGAGTGAGGATGAATGGGGTGCTGCTGCCATCTCCAGAAGCAGTCTTGGGGCCGATGGTGGATGATGAGCCGGTAGAGATGGATTGATTGGCGGAGAATATCCGGTCTCTATTTGAGTCAGCTCGTTTTTCTGTACAAGTATATCCGATATGGCTGACATGTCCTCGAGGAGAATGATGCTATGCGGCTGGCAATTCCGGAAGAGCTCGCTTAGTTTGTTATCGTCCATCCTGATGGTCAGCTCTAGTCTTTCATCAAGAGGTATATCAAGCTTACCCGTTTTGGCAGATACTGATGACGTAGATATCCAAGCGAAGGCGGCTGGCGAGGGCGGTGACTGAAGATCAGCCGAAGTCAAATGGCGGAATGGGATAGACAGCACGTACCTAGGGTTGTCTTGCCAGCTCCCGGCTCACCGTGGAAGAGGTAACTGAGTGTCGGTTACAGTGATATGATCTTGATAGATCCAGCTCACCCTCTTCGATGGGGAATGCCTGACAGAATCAGCTCAGTCGCTACTGGCGGGAGAGAAGATCTCACCTCGAGCAGCATACCACCTCGACTCCTTGTTGGACAGAAAGCGCTCCATGTCCTTGAGTATCGGCTCCTTGAGAGGGAGGATGACGGAGCTCCAAGGTCTGGAGGGCCTGGAAATCGGGTCCTGCCACTCGGTATAGCCCGCACTGAATGTTCAGCACACAGCCTGCGCTCGGATGCAGGGAACTCACCCGCTCTCTGAGTGGAAGATGAGCAGCTCCCGCTCCTCCTTGGCGTAGAAGGCGGCATGCGCGGCAGCAAGGAAGGACCGTAGAGCATGTTTTTGATATCCCAAAGTCCTACATGTCAGCTGAGTACTGAGAGAGGTATTATCCATTGGGCAAGAAGGACGTACGTGATCTTCATAGTTCCACCATGCACTCTATACGGATTACCACCTGGCTCGTTGGACACCCATATCCAGCACCCCTTGTAGCGTATTCGAATGACTTGCTCTGCTGAAGTCAGCTCTGCCCATACCCAAACAACGGGATGCCTGACCTGACAAGGGAAGGATTTTGCCGAGTATGAGTCCACTTTCCCACGTCGCCGACTGACCCAAGAACTCGTCGTCGTCATCGTCGTATCGCCCACTCCGAAGTAGGTTCCGATCGCCGCCCCTCGCCTTGCTGGACTCGCGCGTCGAGAGCATAAAGTCGTCCAGCTGGTTCTGGACGTTCGGGTCGGCCGCCATCCAGCTTTGGACCCAGCTGTAAGCGGAATCGCTTTGTAAGATGTGCGCCGTTGGGAAGAGAACTATGATATTGGCTTGTGCTATGTCGGCTGCTGTATGATCGGGCCCGCTTGTACTATGTCGGCTATGTGATGGGGCCCAAGTTGACTCACGCTTGTTGGCCTTGTACAATACCGCAGCATAGATGCGCCTCGCCCAGTTGAGCACATAGCCAAAGAGGATGGCTCGGATAGCAAAGCCGATAAAGGTCGATGCCGAGTTGGCCAGTCCCGCATCACCACCGGGCGCTACCGGCAGATCGAAGTTGGTACCGGGCGCAAGCGTGTTGAGCAGCTGCGAAGCTGACTTGAGAAGTGTGGACTGGTCCATAGCGGCCAGCGGACCGAGTAGTTCGAGCATGATGAAGGTGAAGGTGAAGAGAGGAAGACAAGGTTGATAGATAATTTATAGATGACGCAAGATCGGATCCGAGGCGAGGCGAGTCGAGTTGAGCGTGTGTTTCAGATTCTGACCCTGAAACACCCTATCGGACCCGCTGCCCACCGAGTCGCTTGGGCCTACTAGCGTACTATAGGAGTCGTGTCGATAGCTCTAGCGGAAGCGAAGGATGGGGTCTGGAGCCGGCAAGGTACAACACCCACTCGACCGGACTCGTCCGCCTGTCCTCCTCGAATACCTGCCTGATCCCGCCCAGCCAGCCTATCTCCGCAACACCGCGCATCATGAAGTACCCGCAGAAAGTGAACCACGCCCATGTCCAGATCCTCCCAGACCATCCACTGACTCGCCTGCCTGTCCACCGGTGAAATTGCCGCTCCGCCTCCAGCCCAAGTCCGGTGAGGAGAAACATGGCGGAGAAGTTGTATACCTTGTAGGTACGGTGTTGGGGGTGAAAGCAGAGCATGTGGTAGATGGCCGACGCGGCAAAGATGCGAAAGATGGAGAGGTAGCGGGGAAGACGAGCGAATGGCCGTGTATAGACGTGGAAGGAGTTCTGAGAGATCATCAGCGCTATGCCTCCACACCGATGCTCTGATGATGAGCTTACTCGTAGCATCGGCATCATCAGCCATGCTTCTCGCAACCGATACACAACCAGTATGCGAGGAAGAGCTTACCTGATGATACCTCTTTCCCCATAGCTCGTTCAGACTACAAGCCAGCCATGGCCTATCCATCACTTTCGGGAACTCCTCTGGCACCCACACCCCACTAGCTATACACATCACAGCGTTTGCATGCCAGAGCAGCGACATGCCGAGATACGTGGTCACCGATCCTAGGAGGATCACCGCCGGCAGTACGACTGCTTTTGACAGGCCGGAAGCGCTCGATATGGTCAAGATGCCTTGATCCCAGTCGGCCGAGGTAGCGAGAGGGTGACCGAGGTTGGTCGGGTCGAAGTAGTATAGTGGGTACGAGAGTAAGTCTATGAAGATGAAGGCGAGGAGGAAGTGGAGAAGGTGGTGTCGTATATGATGAAATGATCCGTATGGAGAGCGCGTGGGAGGGAGAGACGCGCCAGCGACGGTGAGGAGCCTTGGCTCATCGAAGATGAGATTGAGGGCTTTCAAGCAGGTCGTCTGACGAAGGGCAAGGAAGCGCGGCTGGCGAGGGAGGGGATGATAAGTCGGAGGAGATGTAGCAGTGCCCCAGCGGATGGCGGCCGAAGTCTGACTGATCAGCTTGCGACAGCCCGTTCAGTCAACCTACTACTCACTGCGTTGAAAAAGACCAGACCGACCTGTAGGATTAGCTACATTCGATCCGCTGGTCGACGACATACGATGTTCCATGTGGCATATTCTGATGCAGCTCAGCTCATCTCTCCATCTCCTGCATCCAGAAACTCACGTCCTCGCATGTCCAACGTCAACACGCCCCACATGTTCGCTCCAACAGCTACAGGCCAAAGTGCCATCCTCAGTAGGCGCGTATCAGATCCCAGGTGTACAAGGTAGCATACAGCCCAGCTACAGATGAAGCTGAGCCAGAAGAAGGGCGCCGCTTCGGTGAGGGTGTAGATGGGGAGATGATCTGCGAGATTGAACTCCGCCAGGTGGGCGAGAAAGGTCCCTTTTCCGCTCATATTGGCGGACTCTATGACTCAGAGCGGCTGCTACTGGCTCAATCGGTCGCGATGTCCAGCTCGCAAGGTCTGCATGGCTTGATATAGGCAGTAGCCACGATGAAAGGTTGAGATCAGGGTCCCCTTCAAGGTCCCCTGTGCTCCGCTGCTCCGCATACCTCGCCCGGTCGAGTTTCAGATGTTTCAGGCACAAGAACTCTATTAAACCCCCTCACATAAGATGTGCTCCGCTCTGGCAGGGCACAAGGGGCTGCACAAGGCTTACAGCACAAGCGGGATTGGACTCCTACACACCGGCAGGAACATGGGCGAGATGTCTGTGCTGGCGATGGCTTTAGACTCTGAGAGACCGGAAGTGAAGGCAAATAGGCCCCGCAGCTGCAACCGAAATCCATCTTAGTGGCGGATTTGCCACCCTCCGCTCCGGCTGCAGATCTTTGCTTTGAGGTGGCCGTCTGCAAGCTACGCTCGTATTTGACTACTTTACATATGATCAAATGTCCGCCGGGAACTTGACTGACCAATCATCAGTAGGTGTTATGAGTATATCTTTAGGATGGGGCATAGGTACTGGCCAGGATCGGTACTGCACAACATCAGCAGCTTGTGTGGTCAATCTGGTGGGAGCCAATGAGCACGATAAGATGTCATAATCATTCTGCTCGCGGAAGCGGCGAAGAAGGATGCGGTCTCACCCCCGCCGCGTAAAGCACCCACTCTACTGCACTCGTCGTCCTATCCTCCTCAAACGACCTTCGCGTCGCTCCGAGAAACCCGCTCTCCGCAACTCCCCTCGTGATAAAGTACCCGCAGAGCAATAACCAGCTCCACGTCCAGATTCTGCCCGCCCGTCCGCCAACCCTCCGACCGGTACGATGATAGAACTGGCGCTCAAGTTCGAGGCCTAGTCCTGCGAGCATGAACATGGTGATCATTCGCCCGGCGAGAAAAGTATGGGAAAAGGGATGATAGACGAGCATATGGTAGATTGCGGACATGGCGAAGATACGAAGGATGTAGGTACAGCGAGGGAGGAAGGAGAGGACGCTGGCGTAGTTCTGGAAGCCATGCTGTCGCGTCAGCTTACGAGTCCTGTTCCCCTCAGACATCCATGAGCTCAGAAGGCGGACCGCATGCCAGAAAGACTTACTCTCAGCAGCTTTGTTGTTTTGTTGTCAGCGGAGGGCCTTTTTGCTGTCCAGGCCTGACTGAGACTTACCTGATGATACCGCCTCCCCCAGAACTCATTCATGCTGCTCGATACGTACGGGCGATCCATGAGATCCGGCCACTCTTCGGGTGTCCAAAGACCGCTGGCCAGACCCGCAGCAGCCAGGACTCGCCAGACGAGCCACAGGCCCACATAGCCTTCCGCCGCGTAGCTGAGGACGATCGCTAGGACGACGACGGAATGCGGCAGACCAGACGCCTTGGTGATCGTCTGGATCCCTTGATTCCAGTCGCCCGATGTTGCGAACGGGTTTCCGAGGTTACACCGGTCGAAGTGATACAGCGGGTAAGAGCAGATGTCCATGAAGAGGTACATCTTGATAGCGTCTAGGAGGTGCGAGCCGATAGTGTAGAGCGCGCCGCGTGTGGCTTGGACATCCCGGTGCGGTGGTGTCGAGGCCAGGAATGTCAGGCGAGCTTCGTCGCAGATGAGGTTGATAGCCCGAAATGCGGTCGTCTCGCGTATCCCGGAGAAGAAGGGCTTTCGGACAAGAGTTCTGTAAGCTGGCGGAGCGGTCGCAGTGCCCCAGCGAATGGCAGCAGAGGTCTAATCTGTCAGTATCGCTTCGCTGGTTGTGAAAGGTCACAGCTCACGCTATTGAAGAGCAACATGCCGACCTGAGCTATCAGCCACCGCCATCATCGCTGGTCAAAGCAATGTCGGCCTGTATCGCGCTGGAGCAGCTTACTCACCATTGTCCAGATGGAAAGCTCTGCAACGCGTCAGCGACGCCCTCTGGCATTCAACTTGACAGATCTATACACTCACGTCCTCGTGTATCGACCGTCACGATGCCCCACAAGAAGGTTCCCACTGATACGGGCCATAACGCCCGCCGTAACGTTCGCGTATCGCCAGGCAAGTGGACGAGATAGCACACCTGCAAGCTCGCGAGCAGGCTGACTCCGAGGTACGGCGCTGCCGTTCCCGGGGCGGTGAGGGGGATGTAGTCGCTCAGGTCGAAGGTCCAGATGGCGTGGAGAATGGAGCGGAACGGACTCATATTGTGGCTTGTTGAATTCTCCGCTTTGATCTTGTCAACGTGAATTGCCGAGCGAGATGAGGGACATCAGTGACGAGCTGAGCTGACTTGCCCCATATGGTGTTGTTGCGTCGAAAGGGTGAGCAAGGCATGGTTCGCATGGGTTGTGTGTCGAAGGACAAAGCGGCCAGCGGAGATCGGGAGCAGCAGCCGATTTCGGCGCCGACACTCCGGAGCCGCTATGCCGGACTATGCAGTGCACAGTCATATTGCAGGATAGCAGATCCAAGCGAGAGAGACTAGGCTGCTAGGGAGGGCGGTAGTCACTCGGGTTTGTAGCCAAAAGCAAGCTACATCCCAAAGATACGCGGACTAGGAAGCGGCAAAGAAGGATGTGGCCTCCTCCCCAGCCCATACAACGCCCACTCCACAGCGCTGCCCGTCCGATCTACCGCCAACATCTCTCTCGCTCCACCCACAAATCCAATCGCCGCCAGACCCCTGCACATAAAGTAACCGCAGAGGATGAACCAGCTCCACGTCCATACTCTGCCTGTCCACCCGCCGACCTTTTTGCCTGTCCGGCGGAGGTACTGCCGTTCCATCTCAAGGCCAAGGCCGGAGAGCATGAACATGGCGGTCATGTCTCGGGCGATGAAGGTGTGGAAGAAGGGGCGGTAGACGAGCATGTGGTAGATGGCTGAGAGGGCGAAGATGCGGAGGATGTAGGTCGAGCGGGGGAGGAAGGAGAAGGGGCGGGCGTAGTTCTGGAAGCCGTGCTGCTCGTTAGCGGCGTTCTCTGGTCCTGATGAAGGAGTGGATGGAGGTTTTCGGCAGGTACGCAAGCAGGACATACCTTCAGTATCTGTCAAGTCAGCAAATTATCTCCGCTATCTGGGTCTGGACCCGTAGAGCGAACGCACCTGATGATATCGTCTCCCCCAGAGTTCATTGAGACTGCTCGAGACCCACGGCCGATCCATCATCTCCGGAAATTCCTCCGCCGACCACATCCCACTGGCAATCCCCAAGATCGAAGCTAAGCGGCACGAGAACGACATCATGAGGTATGTCGTCGTCGCATAGCTCATCACTACCGCGGGTATCGTCACCCATCTGGGCACCCCAAGGGACTGGGAGATGGTCTGGATGCCTAAGTCCCAGTCCGAGTACGCGACGAGCGGGTTTCCTAGGTTGGAGGGGTCGAGATGATAGAGTGGGTAGGACGAAACGTCGATGAGGACCCACGTTCTGGTGCCTCGCAATAAGTGTCGACCGAGCTCGTATAGCGCGCCATGGTCCGGGCGTTTCGCCGTGGTCATCGAAGATGGACATCCTGGAGATCCGGCAGAGAGGGAGATGAGGCGCGGCTCGTCGCATAGGAGGTTGAAGGCGCGGAAGGCGTTCGTTTCGCGGAGGAGGGGGAAGAAGGGCTTGCGCTTGAGAGGGCGGTAGATGGGCGGTGAGGTGACTCTGCCCCAGCGGACGGCAGCTGAAGTCTGACAAGTCAGTGCCTGTGCCAGCGACAACATATGAAGCCTAGCGACCCCAGCTCAGAATCATCTCGTAGCGGACGTAGAGAACTCACGGCGTTGAAGAGGAACAGCCCGATCTGATCCGTTAGCTTAGCCACATTCATCAGTGCTTGAACCACTTGCAAACAAGTCAAACTCACAAGCATAAAAGACGCAACACCTGCCACATCAGTCCTGCCTTGTCCTCCTCACATTCTATCATCAGGCATACATAGTACTCACGTCCGCGCATGTCAACAGTGATCACCGCCCACACGAAAGCACCGACCGAGACAGGCCATAGCGCCTGCCTGAACAACCGCGTATCGCTCGGCAGATGGACGAGGTAGCAGACCGTCCAGCTCGCAATAAAGCTGAGCCAGAAGAGCGGTCCGACCTGCTCGAGTGGATAGACTGGGAGATGGTCTTTCAGGTCGAAGTCCCTTATGCCGTCGAGCGCGGAGATGAGCGCGACCATGCCTCTGCTTCTCTACTCTGCTCGAATTGGAGTTGGAACAGTGTATACACAGTTCTATGTCCTATATGCACATGATGTCGACCGCTATTTACTTCAGTATACAAATAGTCTCGGACGAGACGGCTCCAGCCTCAGGGCACGACCTACCTGTTATGAGGCAAGAGACAGCACAGATGGTCGTTCGACATTTTCCAGGATCTTTTCGGCGCCGGCGCCGCCGAGCCTTTCGGGGTCAATTTAGGTCCGAGACATCGTGTATCGGACAGCGAGTCAGAAGACCAGCGTACATCTGGCATAGTGTGGACGGGCTCTGGCCAATGGGTCGAGCAAGGTCCCAAGCGGAGCTGACGCCGGATCTATTCATATCATACCGGCGGGTCCGCCACGCGCAGCCCTGCCCGAGGCCGAGACTGTTCGAGCAACTCCCTCCCACTGACGTATCATCCGCACCACAGCATGTCCGTACTTGTATCACGGCACTAGAAAACACCATTTCCCACCCCTTCGAAGCCCTCATCAAAGGGTGCCCAGTCTCACTCCCCCTCCATCCCTCAATCCTGACGGCCAGCGGCTTCCACACCGCCCCCTCCCCCCTTTCGCCCTTCAAACGCCCCACTCAAACTCTAGAACAAACGAAATCCACCCGCTCGGACCTGTCAGAAAGCACTGGAAGGGCCGTCTCGCTTAGAAGTAAGCCTTCGAAGGGCCTAGACCCCTGTGGAGCTGGCGCCCTCCATTGTTCTGATGGAGTGTGCGAGAGTCGAGTGCGCCACGTCGACAGGCCCGGAGTGGGATATATAAGGCAGATCGAACCGAGGTTGGGATCCCCATTCTGCTCTATCGATCTTCATCTTTAGTAAAACGTATATCTGCCAACTTCAGCTTTCAGCTTTACTCCTTCACTCACTCTTTTACTTGACTTGATCATCATGGCTTCCGCTGTCGGTACGTCTCTCTCGTCCATCTCCTGCCCGCCCTGATTTACCCCATCTCATACCCTCATCCGCATCACCTGTCCCACGCTCCTCCGCCGACCTCTATATCGCTCAGGATATGATCATCAGCTGACTCACTCAGCATACATCCTCGGCAAGCCCGTCGACGCGCAAGGCAACGAGATCTCTGACGCGCCCCAGCAGACCGACGGTGAGTATGATCAGCTGATGCTCCTTCATCTACCTGGAGCTGAAGCTGACATAATCCAGAAGGCGCGCCCACGCTTCCCGCCTACGCTTCCAAGGAGGAATTCGCCGCCGCCCAGCCGGCTCAGAAGGAGTCGGACGACGCTTGATCCCCATCCCTTGCCACCACGTCCGACAAATCGAGCGGGGTGTTGAAGGAGACCAGGAGTGCGAGAGTACGATGACGATAAGAACGATGATCTGATGATGCCCGGGGAGCATGGGCGGAAACCTGCGGAATGTTTTGATGTCGTGATAGGCGTGGTTTTTAAGATAGCTTCTTTCAAGTAGCGAGATAGTCATTGTCTGCTGTGATGTCAGAACATCAGTACCCGCACCATCAACCGATTCCTCTTGTCCGATGCGGCGACGTCCCTCCCGCACCAGATGGCAGGGCAGACGCGGCAGGGGCGAGCAACAGCAACGGCTATTTTGCATTTCCCCTCCCTGATCTAGAGCTTGGTACCGTAGAGCTCCTCCTTGCTAGCAATGCCTGTCGGATCAGCGCTACCCTCGCTTCATTGCCTGGACATAGTCTTTCGCAACATCTCTTCCGGCAACACAAAGCGCTCCCGAGCGGCCTATCCCTTACGTCCCCCTGGAGCCCCCAAGCTCGTCCGATACGATACTGTCTCCCTTCTCTTCATCCCTTCATTCCCTCTGACATGCTCCTCTCCCTCTCTCCCTCGCCACCGTTATCATGAACTGAAAGACCAACTCACCCAACTCCTTGATAACCGGGCTCAACTCCTCAAGGTAAGCCTTGTACTGTCCCTTGTTCTCCACCTTCTCCTTGACGCCCTCCAGGATCCGCACCGCCGTAGCGTAGTCATTACACTTGCGCGCCGCCCGGAGAGCCGCATCGATGACTTCCGTAGTAGGGACGAGATCGTACGCAAAGCAGTTGTTGAGCCCCCGCTGGAGCTCAAAGAGGTCGGTGCAGGATGCGAAAAAGGTGCGGTACCGCTCGTTGAAGGCGTCAAAGGATTCAGACTCGTGTGCGTGCGGCGCATTCTCGGCGGCGGCGTATCGTCGCAGTGCTGCTGTGTCAGCTTGGGCTCATGGCATATGGACGAAGGGGGACGGAGGGTAAAGCCGATAGGAGAAGGGGAAAAAGGCCTCAAGACTCTCTCGCGGTAAAACTCACACGTCATGGCCACTGGGCGAATGAGGACATTTGACCGAGCGACGACGGGTGCGCGGAGGAGGGAGCGCGTGACGGAGGAGATCATGGTGAGATGGTGGGGTATAGGATGGGTGATGCTGATAGAGGCTTTTTGTATGGTCCAGTAGGAGGCAGATAGATCCACAGCCGACAAGGCCGCACCCAACCAAGCAAGCCGTCACGGGAGAAAATCCATAAATCACGCCCGTTCCGGAATTTCCCGGTGAGCTGGTCCGCTGGTTCCGGGGGCGATGTGGGCATGCTTCGAAGAGAAGCTGGGGTATAGATGAAGCGATGAGCATATGAGGCATGCACGTAGCCCGCAAGTGGTCTCGGGACATCATACACGGTCGTTATGATATGATACAACATTGGCGCACAGAACAGATGAGCCGGCTACATATCCTCCATCGAGAATTGCTGATCCGCCAACTCCTTTCTTGCCCTCGAGTTCTGAGCCTGGAAGAAGCGCGCTTCGAACGAAAGCTTTCGATCTGGATCCTTGGCGGAACGATCTGACCAGTTATCTGGTATCCTCACTTGCAGCCTAGAAAGGGAAGACTCACCGACACCGTCCCATCTAAAGCCGGGCAAGATTCCGAAGCGATTTGGAAAGGGTGCGCCTTGATATGTCGGGCGACGCCTTCGGCTTTTCGTCTTCTTCTTCTTTTGCAGATAGTCAGCAAGAGCTCGCGATTGATTGTCGCTTATACGGGCCGGTACAGGTCGAAAAGCGGTGACTTACGGATGTCAAGAAAGACGCAGCTGGATCATTCCATCTCTCCACTTCCATCAATTCCCTATTCATCGCAGCATCGCCAGCATGCCTGATATGTCAGCTCGCCGCCAGGATCGCGAACAGGCAACTAGCTCACCTTCCGACATCGCGATCCGCCATATCCCTCTCCTCTCTCACTCGCTCTTCTCTCTGCCGTCTCTGCACTATTCCCTTACTCCACTCCTCCCTTTCCTTCTCTTTCCGCTTCTCCTCCTCTTCCCGCTCCCGCTCCTCCGCCTTGAGCTTCTCCACATCGACGATCCGCCCACTCGCATCTCGATGCACCGTCTTATTCCTGTTTTCCTCCTCCCCTGGCGGTTCAGGCGAGGGTGATTTCGCAGCTTTGGCAGCTTCTACCTCGGCACGTAGTTGGGCCGCGGTCTTGAGACCGCCTCGCCGCTTTTTGGTCGGAGGCGCGGCGACCTCGCCGTCTGCGTCCGGCTCGGCTTTGACATCCGCGAGAGGCGACGATGGTCCTGCTTCTTCCGTCTTGACCGAGGAGGATAGTGGTAGGGCAGACGAGCCGACTGTAGCCCAGGCATTCTTGGACTTCTTGAACGTTGTGAGGTCTCTCCCCAACACTGCACTGTCAGCTTTCATAATCAAGGAGAGGGCGGATGGTATCGATTAACTTGCCAGGCGCATCCGCACCCTCCAGATCCACATCCTCCACTCCCCTCAACTTCCACTCGTCCTCATCCCTCATTTTCAACCCTCCAGCCCCTGTATCGTCCTTCGCAGCTACACCACCAACATAGTCCTCATTCTTGGGCTTCTTGCGCTTCTTCTTCAGAGTAGGATCATTTTCTCGAGCGAGAATAGCGTCTGCCTTGGGGCCGGACATGTAGCTTATCTGTCAGCTGTGCCCACTCTGAGGATAGGGGTGTGAGGAGCTCACTTTGCCGCCAGGTAGGCACGAAGGTTCGACATGGTGCTCTGAGCTCCGATGATCGTCGTCGTCGAAGCTGTCTTGCCTGAAGACCTCTGGGGTAGACCGTTAGGTCCAAATGCTGGTGGTCTGGTCAGATGTCCGATGTCAAGTCGCTAGATACAGCCTGGTCGAGCTCGCCGCCGCAGCCAGCCAAACGATCCTTACGTTACCCTAGTCCGTGCGCTTGGCTGTTCCGGCGGAAGTCGCGGCCGAAGAGGCTTAAAAAGCTTCCGTCACCGCCACCCCGAGTGAGTGAGGACAACCCTTTGACCCGCCGCTCACTACTGAACAGTCACTCGGCCTCATTATTTCTATTCATCCTTCTCTGTTCTCAAAGGTCTCTTAGTCTCTCTTCATACCAGCGCTCTCGACTCTATCACGAAGAAATTACGACTGGCCCGTGTTCCAGCTTTCGATCCATACCACATACCGACCCCATCGCGTATACCCGCAGGTTCCAGAAAGTTCTGCTTCTCCGTTCGGACACAAATACCTCGCGACGCTACGCCTCGCCATGCCGACAATCAGCCTCCACCCGCTGCCTGCGAACCCGACAACGGGGCAGCAGCCGTCCGCGAGCTTTAGTGCGAGATCGGCAGGGAGCAGTATGAGCGTGCCGCTCGCGAGCGCGGCGGGGGGAGGCGGGGTCAACAGGGAGGTATTGAAGGGGTTGCAGGATGTCGCGTGGAGTGATGATGAGGTGAGTAGCTACCTAATGGAGAGGGATGTGTATCGATGACAGGACGACGAGGGAGGCTGCTTTGAAGGGGGATTGGCCAAGGAAGGAAGCCATTCCGAGGATTCCAAGCTGATCACTTCCTTTTCTAGGACGACCCCGACTGTCTCGTCTGCGCTGAACCACTCGACTTGTCAGATCTGAACTTCAAACCATGCCAATGTGGAATACAGGTAAGCTCGCTGCCCTGGTCGCGACCGGCACAAGCGCATGAGCTGATAGTCAGATCTGTCAATTCTGCTACAATCGTCTTCTGACTACGGACGGACGCTGTCCAGGCTGTCGGCGGGTGTACGATACCAAAGCTGTGGTATTTCAACCTGTGGACTGGGAAGAGTGCGTCATCTTCCGTGGGCTCCATCTTCGAGAGAGCGGCAGCTGACAAGATAGGGTCAAGCGGGCGAAGGAAAAGAAGACGCGGAGGGCAAAGACCATCAAGCAGCTGGATCAAATTGGGCGGCGGCATCTCATGGGCGTACGGATCGTGATGAAGAATACGGTCTATGTCGTGGGGATGAAGCTGCCTGCTGTTGGTGACGATGTGAGCTCATCGTACCGAGCCTTCTGCTTTGGGGCGGGACAACAAGCTGACCAACCAGGCGATACCCATACTCCGTACCAACGAGTATTTCGGGCAATACGGCAAAATCTCCCGAATCTACCTACGCGACCGCACCGCCACCTCCTCCACTTCTGTCCACACCCTCGATAGCCCCAACCCCCTCACATCCACCGGCATCTATATCGTTTATGTCCGCCGAGAAGACGCCGCTCGTGCCATATCGGCCCTGGACGGGTTCGCGTCGCCTGGCGGACCGGCGGGCGCGTCATTGAAGGCGAATCACGGGACGACGCGGTATTGTGATGCGTTCTTGAGGGGGTCGAAGTGCGATACGAGTGGGTGTACGGGGTTGCATGAGTGGGGAGGGGAGGGGGATTGCTTTACAAAGGACGATTATGAGATTGCGTGAGTCATACCGGGAGGGGATGAAGGGCCGAGCTGATCTTGCAGTCTGACTCGTCCGGCGGAATACGATGCCCGGCAGAAGCAGGCGACAATGACGGTGCCGCCTTTGACCCAAAAGTCGGCATGGCCAAAACCATCCGCTGGTGCAGACGAGGCCGTTGGATGTGAGTACAGCTAGGAAATGCTTGAATATCTGCAAGCGATCAAGCTGACATGCTAGCTGCACTACCAGGATCCGCAAGCTGGGGCAAACCAATAGGAACCGGCCGCACTCCCGTCCGTCCACCTCCTGCCCCCGCGCCCGCCGCCACCCGGAGCAAATCCAACCTCATCCCACTCACGAAAAACCCACTCGCCTTCCCCCTTCCTACTCCCTCCGCCATCCCCATCCCGGCCGTCAAGCGCGAAAAGAAGGTCATTGCATCGGCAATGTCTAGAGGACGGAGTACGGATTCGGTACAGAGCGGAGCGGGGAGCAGCGCGCAGACTTCGCCAAAAAAGAAACCGTTGACTTTGTCGACGAGTACGCTTATACCCAAGGTGGACACGCCGACACCTACACCTGCTGCAGCATCCGCTTCCTCATCGATGCCTCCCCCTCCACCCGGTCTTCCCATCCCTGCTCGCGCGAAACACTCCCGCCCTGCGTCCATCGATACGGCGACTACAGAATCGGAGGCTGTTACTGCCCCGCTTGTCGAGAGCGAGCCAGAACCGGAACTCGATGCTGTAGAGTCTGTACCTACGGGCGATACCAGTTCCGAAGCAGGCCCTTCCTCTTCCTCACCCGCACCCCAGACCCCTGCCCGTTCCCACGCCGATTCGAATCCCCTCCCTCCACCACTCACTTCGGATCCCATCTTCCTTCACTCGCCCTACGAAGAACCGCAAATGTACACCTTCCCCACGTCCGATCCGGACTTTTCGTTCGTCCTCAACGTCGACCCGGAAGACCTGCGGCGGATGGAGGGAGAGTACCGGCCGAGCCCGTACTCGAAGCTCCTGGTGGGACTGGCGGAGATGGGTGTCTTGGCGTCAGATCTGGCAAGTGCGGGTCTGTCGCATGCGTTGGGTCGGAAGAGCAAGGGAGGGCAAGATGGGGGTGGAGGGTGGAAGGGGATGTTCCAGCCGTTTGACGCGCCCTCCCTGGAGGAGTTTGCGGATATGGCTGCTATGGACGAGAGGGAGGAAGAAGAGGTGGAGGAGCAAGTGGACGAAGTAGAGGAAGAGGAGGCGGAAGCACCTCGTACGACGTCTCGGTTCGAATTCGCTCGGCCCGTCTCTCGCGCAACGAGCTTTTCGCTCTCGCGTGGCCAGAGCCCCTTCAACCTCCGCGCCAACACGCAGATTCGGCACGATGTCGGCGAAGGCAGCTCCGGGTCGGTTGCGTCCGGATCGGGCGGGTCGCGGCTCATCTGGCCACCGCATATGCAGCACCAGCAGCAGTCTGCGCAGCTCGCCGAGCAGGTCGCGAACGCCGGGACGGGCCACTATCACGATTCGCCATCTACCGAACGGTCCTGGCCTCTCGCGGCGCATGCGGGAATGGACCTCTCCCGACCCCCCTCGCATCGCCCATTCGAAGAGGAAAATCAAGCACCGCAACAGCAACAGCAACAACACCCCTCGCACCACTCCCCACTCGTCCATTCCTTCAACTCACATCCTCTCCCTCCGCCTCAATCCGGACCCTTCCCCATCGGCCTCACACTGCAACAACAGCAGTCGTACACCCACGGACCGCTCCCTTCGGCCTCGGGCCAAGGCGGACAGGGGCAGACGCAGGCGCAAAGGCAGTACGATGCGCGATCATTACAGGCGTTTCATCAGCAGGCGGCGATGCGGGGCGGAAATGCGCAGGCGCAGCAGGTGGGACAAGGAGGAGGGTATAGGCGCTTCTAGATTACATTATAACGATATAATTCTGTTTGGGAGGCGGTGGGCGTCGGAGTGGGGAGTGAGGGTGGGGGAAGGGAGGGGTTTGTGATGACTACCAGAGATGAATCGGTTTAGCATGTTTCCTAAACCTCGGGCCTTGATCTGGTGTATCCGGAACGACGGGCTACATGATATGGAGCTCGGGCTGCGTATATCCCCTCGTTCCCTCCTGTTGTCACCCCTTCGTCGTCCCCTGTCTATACCGATACTCCGTCTCCCTTGCGCCCTATAGAAAGCCCGAGTCCGGCTTCGCAGGACGTCCTTTTCCTTACGGCTCGATCTGCCAGTCATACCCGCAGACCGCAGAGAAGTCGATCAAGCTGTCCGCCCTCGGGACGCATGAGGATCCGACCACATGGACCGGCATTCCGATGGGGTTTTGCGTTGATGTGACGATGCGTCCCTGGTGGCTCACCCCTTCCTCATGGCGATGACAACCCCCACAACCACCCCCGCGTCATTCGACAGACTCGCCATCATCTCCACCTCCTCCCTTCTCAGCGTCGCGCCCGAGCGGAGCAAAAGGCGGTCCGTAAAGCGTATAGTGGGCGCGGAGTAGGAGGAAGTATGGATGTCGAAGCCTGTCCAGCGGGGATGACTGTGAGAGGAGAGGGATTTGTAGGCCGCTTCTTTTAGGCACCACCTGTCTTGTCAGCTTCTTTGCCCTCTGCGAGCTGTACTCAGCTGAATAGGGCTGTATAGTATACTGGTGTGGAACATACCTCGAGCTGAGGTACTTGACGTGCTGGTCCGCGGGGACGGACCGGAACTCGTCATACTCCCTCTTTGAGCATATCCGACGAGCGAGAGCCTGAGCTCCCCGACGAGCTAGGAGACCCTCGAAGCGGGTGATCGAGAGGATGTCGATGCCTATGCCCAGCATGGCCTGATGTGGATGTACGATGTGCACTCTCAAAGGCTTCGGTGTTGCACCAAATTTGGCTGGGAAGAACGGGATCCGTGCGCAAATATGAAACGCCAGGGGAAGGGTGGCGGTTTGGCGTCTGGCCAGCTCCTCCAAAGTCGCCTGGTACAGTGAGTCTCTGCCACCCGCTCCGTCCGGCCACCACCGCTACAATATCCCCTTGAAACCAGGACTCCGTTCTTTGGCCCATCCCCTTGTTACGGTACATGTACCGTGTCCGTCCTTTGATCGCCACCTCCCGCTTGAAGCTCTTTCACCCCTCCATCTGGAACAATGCAGCCACGAAGATCTTTTCACCATATCGCCCTGTAAGGGGACTGCAAGTCGTTGCAGAGGGTGGAGCAGGACAAGGCAGCCGAGATTTCGAGGTGGATAGATAGCTGGTCACTGCCCGTCCACTTTCGCGCAAACTATTGTCAGCCTCTCATCTATTCTCTCATAGATCAAGAACAAAGTCAAGACTTAAGTCGATCACCTTTAGCCATAATGAACTACTTCACCCTCCTCATGGCTCTTCTGCCCGCCCTTGTCTTAGCCCAAGAGTGAGTCTTTCTTCTCTCTTCCCCATCGATGCCTGCCCGCTCGCCACTCTGGGTTCATCCAGCTGATGTCTCCAGTGGCGCAGGCTCCGTCAACCCGAACCCGATCGAAAAGATCCCAGACAACCCAGCCATCGCCGCCGCGGCCGCTTCGTCGTCCACCTCCACCTCGGCCCCTCCAGCCCCTAGCGCCACACACTCGGACGACAAGGGCAACAACGGACACGGCGACCACCCCAATGTCGTCCCTGCCATGTCCACCTCCACGCTCGCCCCCGTACCTACCGCAGGTAACAACGCGACCATCTCGGGAGGTGCTGGTGGCGCGAACGGGACTAACGGGACCAACAGTACCGGCGGAGCTGCGCCTTGGGCGCACACGATGCCCGTCGCGGGCTTGTTTGCTGTTGCGGGAGCGGTGGGCGCGGCGGTGTTGTTGTAGTAGGCTGGCGGAAGGGATGCTGTAAGTATACTGTGATGAGTAGATGACTTCCGATGCAAGTGTAGACTGTAGTGAGCTTGTCCGAAAGGCTGTATACGTCGTCAATCAGCGTCTCCGAGGAGTAACAAGACCCCTAGGCGCCGAGCGGGCCAGCATCCGCAGATACATACTAAGATGATACAATTTTGATCAAGATTTGGGGAACATGCCCACGTATTTGTTTGTACACGAGTACCTGAGGGAGTAAGCGCTATACCCCAGACCCTCATGTAGAAGCCATAAACTCACCACTCCCAATCAAAGTTGTTTGCGGGGTCGCACCAGCATTTCCCCCTCGTATGTGCCTCGCCCTGAGGACAGTGCTGCATTCGTCAGCTCGGTCGTCCACAGCATGAATGCGGTCCAAAATGAATAGCTCACCTGGAACGGCTCATGCTTGTATCCAATATCCTCAAACCAATGTATTTGCTCCTTCTTGGCAAACAACGCCGCCCCGATCGAATGTACCGGCGCGTCACCCCATCGCTCATAGTAGAACCCGCCGGCCTTGTCGAGGTATTCAAAGAACTTCATGTACGCCTCGGAACGCCAGAAGTTGAGGTCTCCTATCTCAAAGTTCGACCAGACTGCCTCGTCAGCTCTTTTCGGCCAGCTGAGCATGAGTATCGGGTGAAGCGGAGCTTACAGTGACATTTATTGTAGGTCTCGCCATTGTCGTCAGAGAGAAACTGCATGGCGTTGCCTTCTGGGACATACTCGGGGTGTTCCTGGATGAAGCCTTTCTATGTCAGCTGAGGCGCTGTGGATAAGGGACTTCCAGCTCACCCTTCACGGTGTCCCATAGCGTGGGGATAGTCTCAATGTACTCGAACAGCGACAGTGTGAAGCCGTAGACCTTTTTCTCATCTTGCATCAGGAGGAAAGGATCGTATGCTGCCTTGTCAGCTTCGTAGTCCAGTCGGCCTTTGTGCAGACCTCAACTCACCGATATCGCAGAACAGCTTGATCGATGGCTCTATTCGCCAATAGTAGTCGTAGTTGGCAAGCAATGGATGTCTGAAGAAGAACTACTGAAGTCAGCACAAGAAGAGAAAAGGACGGGGCGCGACTTACGCCAGAATTAAACCTGCACATGTTCCGATAGGGTACCGAATGGCCGTAGATGACCTTCTTCCTGATCATGTCTTCCCGCGCAGCCGTAGCCTTCTCCTCGTCGATCCTGACTGATCAGCTCTTCCGTGATAGCTTGGAGTTTGTAGCTCACCAGTCGGGTTGATTCCAATGTGATGGCTCGATAAGCCCATAGTAGCACTTTGAGGATGTCAAAGCCTGGGTATATCGCTTGAAGTCTTCCGAGAACTCCTTCACCGCATCAGCTCATACTCTGGTGGTACGGAGGAACACTCACATCGTCGTTCAAGAACACATAGTCGTACTTTGCCCAGTGATTGAAGCGATCTTCCATCTGCTTCATGGATTCCAGGAATGCCCACAAATCCCCATTTCTCGCTGGGGGTATCAGCTTTTAATTCATCCACCCAGCCAGTAATAACACTCACCCAGCACAACGAACACCGCATTGGCCTTTCTCCTTCCCTCCAACCCGTCCTCTCTCAGATCCTCCAGGTCTGGCCGCTTCCCCGTCAATTTCGGTACTGTCGCTGCTGGCGGTAATATTGATCCATCTCCGAGCGTGCCTCCATTTGATGAACCGCTCCATTCGCTAGGTAGGTATGAGAAGGGTGAGGTGGTCGCGCGGTAGGTTGGGTGGATGGAGAGGAGGAGATGGAGCGTGACCTGGACAGTAAGCATGCAACCCACCGTATGAGGAGAGAAAGATGGGCTTACAAGGACACCGCCGCCCATAGCGACGTATTTCCAGCGTGGGATCATCATTTTCACCGACAGCTGCAGAGACGAGGGTTGCTGTCAAGCGATGTACAGGTGTTGTTGTTGACGACAGATAGCTTGGCAGTCTCGCCAAAAATCGGACAAAGGGAGAACCAGAGCGTGACCTGGCTCCTTTCTTGCGCGAGAGAGCGTAGTTCCGGCTAGGTTGTCACCAATGCTGAAGGCACTCAGATATCCGTGCTGCTACAGTCGTCGACTGCGAGCAAAGCGATTATGGGGCGCCGAGGAAGTCGAATTCCTATATATGGCTGCGGACCGGACACTTTTCGCGAGCTCGGCCGGCGGGATATCGCGGACTGGTTCCTTTCGTTTGAGGAAGAGCCGAGCGCGTAGAGCAGGCTGGACGCTGCTGCCTAGTTGTGCTGATATGCACAGTTGAGAGTGCAATGTGATATGGGCAAGGCAATAGTAGCTCGCTGCGGTCGTCGACCTCCTTGCTCCTTGGCTGAGATCGAGACTAGCTTGGTCGCGTCGGCGATGACCGGGTGGCAAATCAACAGCTTTGGAAGCGCAGGCGCTGCTCCTTGAGCTTGTGCGTTTACAGCTCTTCCATCTACAATGACCTTGGACTTACGTGCTAATCATGGGCAAAGGAATGCGGACAGCACCGGGACGTTTTACAAGGTAGCTCGAAGGAACGGTACTGGTAAGAAACGGCGGCTGAGTAGGCCATTAGGCGCGGCGACATACTGTGGGCCGGAGGATAGGGTCGGCTGCACAGCTGACAGACTGGTACTGCTGCTAATGCGAACCTGCTACAGATATGGATAGTCCACCCGCTCCGCTGGACTGTGGCTCCAAACGTCTTCTCTGACAACTCTCATGCTAATCTACTTACATCTACTCACAGCTATCTATAGCTACAAGCGCCTCAGGCCCCAGCCTTGACCTGCAGGTGTTGATAATGCCTACCGCGCCGGCCTAGCCCCGAGGAGCAGGACAGTCCAGAGTAATCTGTGCCGAGTTGAGCGTCAATCCCGACAGGACGGCCAGGTTCTGACCGGGCTTCAAGGTGGGACACTTGGTGATCGAGTTGGAGTACTCGATCTGGATCATCGGCTTCCCGGCAGCGAGGAATGGCTCGTATACCTGACACTCGTCGTATACGTGCTGATGGGTCAGTCTATGTGCTGATGCTTACACTCACGCATGATTCGACAACGCTGAAGTCAAACGCGGAGACCAGCTCCTGGGCGTGACCGGCCCGCAGCAGACCGGCGCCGTTCTTGAGGTTGATGAGCAGACCCTGGGCATGGGTGGTTTCGGACAGCCACCTGGCGTTTCAGCTGGGACGAGGAAACCGGGCGTCTGATCCACTCACAGAAGGTACTCCATCTGGTCTGCCTCGGTATTGCCATGCGGTGCCCCATTCATATACTGACCCGATCAACGATCTGGTCCGCATCAAGAGCTCCGCGATACACTCACGCTATCCACATTGTCCGGGTCAATCCCATCGCATCCCTTCTCTTTCGCCATCTGTAGCCGCTTTGTCATGGCCGCTCTGACATTGGTCTTACAGGCTGGGCTGTGAATGTCGAGCCAGTACTGGTCCCAGTTCTTTTGCTTGGCATTCGGGTCACCGCCGGTGCAGTGGTTGCTCGAGTCCAGAGTACCGCCGGTACCGCATACGCATGCATCGTCGAAGTTGCCAGCGTCCGCTCTGAGACGTCGGCACACCGAGTCGATGGTGGAGATGGCAGAGCACTCACCTCAAGGGGTCCAAGCTGCCAGCGCTGAAGTAGCAGATCGCAGTCTTACCAGCATCTGATTATAAGCTTCTGCATCTGTTTCATAGAAAACGCAGTACTCACCCTTATATGCCTTGATCTGATCGACTTCAAGCCGGACCAAGTCGAAGATATACACGCTCGCGTCAATCCCCACTCCGGATTTGCTCTTGAAATCGGGAGCGCCAATCGGACCGTTATCGAGATCGTATATGAAGGTGGAGTCCAGCGAGAGGGTTCCGCTGGGCTTCGAGGTCCGCCCCGCGGGTACGGGTACGCTTAGGATCGCAGCGCCCTTCGAGTGCGTAAAGGTCGCAAAAATACTGGAGACGGCGGCTTTGTCAGTCGGGGTGGCGGATACAAAGACGCTCGTTGTGACCCATTCTCCCTTGACCCCCTCGCTGGTCAGCGTATCTCCTGGTTCTCTCTTGCTATAGCAGACCTACACGAGGAGCAGCGAAGGTGGGACCGACAAAGGAAGCCAGTCCGATAGCTACCAGTAGCAAGGAGCAAGGCATGATATTGATGCCTAGTCTGGGTGGCGAATGTTCTGGAAGTGGCGCGCCGATGTGGAGGGAGAACGAAGGGAAGAGACTGATAGATATCTAGGTCGGTATCCCACCTTTATATGGGCCGGGCTATGGCTAGGAATCCACCATACGACCCCTCTGCACAGGCATTTACCCCTGCCTAGAGACCATCTCCCCTTGAAATATACCTACTTGGCCAGGGGCGCCGTTGATACAGTGTTTCAAAGGCACCCTTAATGCTGGTGTACGTTACCCCCTGCATACCTATTCCCCTTGTTTCACTGCATTCAGCCAAGGAGGTTCTTGACATCCCTACTGACCAGAGGTACCTTGATGAAGGCGACTATCAAGATGCTTGGGTCGGTCCACCCCTACATCTAGGCCATGCTGGTCTACCTGTGCCACTCGCTCCACAAGCCGTCTGGGGTCTCCCCTTGTCTGGGGTCTCGCTCACGCCACATTCACAGCCGTATTCCCTTGTGGCCATGATGCACTCTTTGACCGTTCGATGTCTTCGTCCGGTCGCATCACCATGTTCAACATATGTGCACGCGCAGGCAGATGATGGCGGGTGGCAAAGGTCGCCACATAAAAGAGAAATCTCGCCACGTGGAGCGTGACTGACTTCGCGGAGGCTAATTGCCCTTTTGACTTTTGCCCTGAGAGACGCGTCTGTGCCGGAGTTGTCCTTCTTCGCGTCGTCCGCACACCGAAGAGCGAGAACTTTGGGTGCTCGCTCCGCGTCGACCGCGCTCCGATGACTCCGATGCTCCGTCGAGATCATGACGCCCCTGAATGCCGCAAGCTTCAAGGGCAACCCAACCAGCAAAAAGGTTAAATCCTGAACGTTACCTACCGACGCGACACGGTCGCCCATGGGATGTGACAGCTCTCTAGGGAATGGCGTCACACCTTTCCTGCCGCTCTTTCACCATGGAGCCCTTAACGAGGCTAGTGGATGGCTTGTTGACGCGACGAGATGGTGCATATCAACTCGGACTTGCCTTGTCGTCCTCAACATCCCCTGCATCGTCTTGTCCATCCTAACATCTTGCTGTTCAGCCTATCTGAAACGCCTCCTCTACACACTACATCCATCCGATAGATCCTGGAGATCGCCCTTACTGTCCTTTCTCTTATCGATACCACAATCTGAAACAAGCCAGCCCCTACACCAGTTACCGACGATCGCGACGCGCCAACAGTGAGCTTGTCTCAGATCATTGAAAAGGACCCAGCTAATTGTCAGTGCCTCGTATTCCAGTCAGAACCACTCCCTACCACACCCTCCCCCGATGCACTCGCCACTACAAGTCCAAACGCGATCTCATCCTCCGCTCCCTCGGCAAGGCGTCCTTTATCAATGGCTCGCAATTCGTCGTCGCCTGGATCTCACCTCGAGGCGAGGTCGATGTTTACGCGTCTGATCTCCTCCAGTCCGCCATCTCGCCCAAGGATGGCAAGCCCATCGTCGACAAGAGGGATCTCGAGAAGGCGGCGGGGCGGATCAAGCCAGAGATGATCAAGCGGTGGGATGAGCTGAGGCGGCTCGAGGACGCGGGAGAGGCGGTCACGCTGGAGGATGATGATGAGGTTGCTGCCGAGCGCGAGGACGTCGAGGAAGACGGAGACGAGGAGAACCTCGACGCGGACCAGACTCTCGTCGAGGATGCCACCAGCCCGCTCAAGCCAGAACCCATCCCATCGGCCGTCCTCCTCAAGCGCCCATCCCCATCTCGCATGATGTCCACCTTCTCCGCTACCCGTCCATCCACCCCGGCTCCCCCTATTCACGCCATCACTCTCGCACCCGCCGCCGTTCAGCCCTACTACCTCAACCGCTTCTCGGCGCTTCAGCAGGCTACCTGCAAGCTGGTCGTCAAGGCGTGGATCAAGGTCATCGAGCCCAAGAAGCAGATGAGGTTCCCGTACAACAAGGGAGAGGAGCTCAAGCCAGCATGGTGGCCGGTCGGTGTGCGTCATAGGGAGCCGGATCATCTCAGCAAGACTGGTGAGTTGTCAGATCTGCTATCTTGTGTGGTAGCTGACGATCTAGAACGCATGGCACTCCTCACTTGCATCGTCAGATCGCCTCTCGTCACTGTCTCCGCCCTGGAACTTTCCACCGCCGCAGCTGGCGCTTTCATCTCTCATCCCCGTCAAAGCATCCTCCGCGAGATCTACGCGGTCGGCAAGGAGGAAGAGAAGCGGCGCAAGGAGAATGGTGAGTCTTACTATGCCTGGTATCTTCACAGCTGACGAGACAGACGGAACAGGCGACCTCATCGTCCACCTGCCTAATGCGCCCGTCTCCCCGTCCCAGATCTCCCCCGACGTGCCAGAAAAGCGGTCGCGCGGGACGATGGAGGACGGGTGGTACGTCGCTTCGGACAAGGAGAACGCGCTCCCCTCCGCCTCTACCTCATATTCGGCCCACGCCTCCAAGCGGGCAAAGACGCAAGCACAACCACCACGTCTCGCTCCCCTCACTATCAACAACAATCCCGCTGTCCACTACGACCCTTACCCTACACCCGCCTACACTTACATCCCCCATCCTCACACCTGGCGCCCAGACGGCACTCTTGGCGTCCCACCCCCACACCTCTCCCCTTACCCCACCGACTGGTCCAATCCGGGATCAGATTACTCTCGCTCTCCCGTGCCCGAACCCGCGGACACGTACCACCCACATATCACCCATCTCGCTCCCGTCCTTACGCCTGGCGCGTCAACGGGAACGACACCCGACCCCTCCATGTACCCCGGCTCTATAGCGCCAACGAGTCAGCCCCCCTCGGCAACGTACTATACTCGGGGATACGTACCGCAGCCAATGGACTACCTCAACGGCGGACATCCAACATATGACTATGGGAGTCCATACTTGACGGATGCGGCGTGGGAGAACCCCTTTAACTCGCAGCAATCGACACAATGAGCCGGTCGGGAAGGAAAAAAGGGTGGAGATTTTTGGGTACAGAAGATCTCATGGACAATTTATCTGACATAACGACTTTGTAGCGACCGCTCAGACGATGTATACTGTTGTTATCCTCCCAACTGATGCACTGATCTCGCAGGAGACAGCGAGGTACCTGAGACAGCCTGAAACGTGTGATCCGTGCGTCCCCTGAGCTTAACTTTGACTCGCCAGCAAATTCGCTTCTCTTCTCTTCCCTTCGTCATCCATCATCACCACACACATACACATGTGTACGACTCGCACGAGCCAGCAAAGCGGGAGGGAAGCACGCGCTCAGGCACGGGCGCGGTATCGAAATCACGAATAGCTCCAAGTGAGTCAACCTTCTTCTCTTCACTTCACCATGTCTGACTCTGTAGGCTCCTTCCTTGGGAGCAACCTCGGTCTCGGCTCTCGGCTCGATCTATTCGCTATTCGTTTCAGCAAAAGGGCCCAATCAGCGCAGGGCAATCCAGAAGGCGGTTCAAGCGGCGATCATCGCCGGACTAGCGTACGAAGCTCGGAAGGTCTGGGGATGGGTCTACAATTGGACTCACGCCTGGTTCATCGGAGGTGAGTGGTGTTCTACCTTGCTCAGGAAGTGCTGATCAATAGAGCTGTTCCCTATCGCATTCATCTCGATCGGGGATCCCTCGTTTCTCTGGATAATGGAATGGATAGCCCAGGATCCGGATGCTCAATCCCAGATCAAGCACTTCGTACTGTCTACCTCGTCGGCGCGAGATGCCAAGCGAGGCTCGCAGAACAACTTGCGTGCCGCTGCGCACCCCAATCGACAGGTATCGGTCAAGGGTGACCTCCGCCCAGCGAACGCTACCTTCATTTCGGACAACGTCATTGGCAAGATCGTGCCCACTATTTGTAAGTTTGTGGCTTTCTCGTTGGTAGCTCTCTCCCTTAAAGACAATGGGGCTGATCTTCGCAGACCAGCAGATACGGATCACGTTCCAAGGTCACCATCTATGGGTCACCGGCAGGACCGACGCGTACAGCCGGGGTAGAGTCACCTCCGACTATATGGAGATAAGGTTAGTCAGCCTGCCTCTCCTTGTCGAGCACCGCTGACGTATAGAACATGGGTCTGGAACCGACACGCTCTGAAGAGCTTCCTCTCGGCTGCTCACGAGTGGTTCCATTCCAAGCAGGATCACGAGCTTCTCGTCTTTCATCAAAGGTGAGCACCGCATTCTCTCGTGCTGAGTAGTTGGCTGATGAGCAGTATGAGATCGTGGCAGACCCCGGTGTCTCGTCCGGTACGACCCTGGTCGTCGGTCATCTTGCCAGGGACGGTCAAGCAGGACCTCCTGTCCGACAATCAAAGGTTTCTCAGCGACAAGGAGATCGCATGGTACGCGGCTCGAGGTCCGTATCAGTCTCAGCTGGGATGATCAAAGCTGACTCATTCAGGCATCCCTCATCGCCGAGGTTATCTGCTTTATGGCGTGCCGGGATCGGGGAAAAGTACACTCGGTATGATGCTACCAGCCCTATTTACACTTTCTGAAAGCTGATCTCTCCAGCCACCGCCCTCGCAAGCGCTCTCAAGCTTGACATTTACATCGTCAATCCGAGTCAGCAAGGGTGAGTCTCGGACCTACCACCTTGGCCGCTGGAGAGTTGCTAATCTTCCAGCATGACAGACTCCAGACTTTGCAAGCTCTTCCGCGACTGTCCCGCTCGCAGCATCATCCTCATTGAAGACATGTATGTCATCGGCATCAAGCACAAGAGGAGCCCGCTGATATACAGTGACTGCATCTTCCCCTCCAATCGCGGCCGAAGCACTCTTATCGTCGGAGGCGATACGGAGGGCGGCGAAGAGACCAGCTCCGTTGCTGACTTTGATGTGGAAGCTGACACACCCACTGCGAGCCCTCATGTCGCTGGTGGTCACGATCTCGCTCCTTCAACAGTGACTCTCTCTGGCTTGCTCAACGCTATTGACGGAGTCTCGAGCCAAGAGGGCTGTGTTCTCATCGCATCAACGTAAGTGCTTGAGGGGAAGCGGTCGAACAGAGCTAACGAGACCAGCAACCACCCTGAGCACCTCGACCCGGCTCTCCGTCGTGCTGGCCGCTTTGACGTCCAGGTCCCCTTCCACCACGCCATCCACTCGCAAGCGAACGGCCTCTTCAGGCACTTCTACCCACTCTCCGACTCAGAGACCGAGGACGCGACATCCGACGAGAAGAACCCGATCACGTCAGCTGCTCAGCTCGAACAGCACGCCTCTGACTTTGCAGACGCCGTCTTCCCCAATCACGACACCGCGGCTCTGGCTCTGACCGATATCAAGACTGACGGGATCAGCATGGCTGCTCTTCAAGGCTACCTTCTCGGCTTCAAGGACGACCCGCTTGCGGCCATCGCGGAGGCGCGAGCTTGCGCCGAGGGCCACAGCGAGCAGAAGGTACCGAGGAAGGTTGTGCTGTCTCCTGCTCCGCCGGCGAAGGCAAAAGGAGCGGCGAAGGCGCCAAAGAAGAAGACCGGGAAGATGGCGCCTTCGGTGCCGACCCCGGTCTCGGCTGAAGAGCAAGTCCTGGAGTCAGAAGATTGATGGGGTAAGCAGGGCCATCAAGGGCGGGGCATACTGTGCTGAAGGACACGTTGGCGGATCGCAGCGACGGAGAGACAAGGCGGGTTATACGAACGCATATGTATGAGAGGCGCGAGACTGTGTCGTTAACAAGTATCACACTGTACGAGCTTGACAGGTATCTTGTTTCCATTTCTACCTGACTATCAAAGTAGACTCAAACTAGAATCCGCCCAGTGGGCCCCTCCTCGCCTTCATGTGCACCCATCCAGTCTTCTGCCGTCGAGCGGACCCCTCGATAGCCGGTATTCGACAGAAATGTCCGAGACGGCTTATGATCAGTCGACACCCTGAGAGGGGATTGAGGCGTCGGGTCGAGGACACCAGCGGTCTCTGTATCGATAGGCGTGTCTTTGGCCCCGCCGGCGGCGAAATGAGAATCCTGCCTGGGGGTGAGGCCGGTGAGGCGACGAGAGCTGACGAATGCTCCGCGTGGGTCCTCATCTGCTGGAGTTGCCTCGGGCCGCCAGCAATCCCCTCGAGACTGTGGAGATCTTTGCGAGTCGATCCGATCACCTTTGTAGCGCTTTGCGTAGGGAGAACTATCTGGCGACGGGGATCCGCGCGGGCGATCAACGAGATGGATGGGCGGGTGAGCAGGCTTCGGAGAGCGCGGCCTGGACGTGAGATCGTGCGGTCGAGGTGGGAGGAGGGTACGGCGTCGATCGGGCGATCGTGACCGTCGCCTGTCATCCTCATACACCGGCCGATATGACGAATGCTTAGCAGCTTTGACGGTGGCACTAGGGAAGGGAGGTGCGGGAGGGTAGTCGCCGAAGGGGTGAATCTCGCACAGGGGCCCGAGCGGTATATCGTACTGGGTCTGAATGGGATAGTTGTCCTCGAGCTTTGCCGATAAGCGGACCGCGGCAAGCCCTTTGGCTTCGAAGCAGTCGTACTGGTCGCGAGGGAGTGAGTACTAGGTCACATCAGCCCACTCCGTTTATTACTCTGACATCAATATCAGGGGAAGAAGCTGAGCTCACCCATGATCTCCCGAACCCAAAGAGCCTTGCGCGGACAGTCAGAATTTGTATTGGCGAGCCAATTAGCAGCGGGAGGTATCGCTTGTTATTCTAACTTATAAGCTGTGGTCCATATGGTGCTCCTGGTCCAAGAAGCTTACAAGAAGAGTATGCGCCCTTCGAGCTCCGTCGATTTCCTCGTACCTTATCTGATAGTCGTATAGGTTGCTGGTATTATTGACCTGAACACGAAAGAGTGACCACTGCAAGCTATTAGCCGGGCTGTCCTGACTTCTACGGCTCCCGGTATCTTGTCCCAGAGACCAAGCCAAGTGATGTCTCCTGCCAGACTCGCTAAACCCTTTGCCCAGGTCGCCGGCCTCGTCACGAACAATGAGCATCACTCACGATCGCACCTGCTGGCTGAGCCATCAAAAAGACCGCTCTATCCATTTCGTCCTCCGAGCCAAAGTGGGTAATATCGAGAGAGACCGCCTGAACAGCTGCCAGATCGATTGTTTTGATCATGGCATCCTTGGACCGTTGATGCGCCGTCTTGATAACGCCATGGAGGATCCGGCCGGTGTACGCCTCAAAGTTGACCATCGACGACGTTGAGGAGGAACCAGCTGCGCCGGTGCACTGAGAAGACCTTGTCATGATGTAGATGGTCACAGCATCTCCTGGGACGCCAGTAATCCTCGTCGTTACCGTCGATGTGGAGTTGGTGGATGATGGTGAAAGGGTAGCCAAGAAGAGGATCAGTGCGAGGAATGTGGCGCTCGCAGTCGCGGATCCGACCAAGGCCGAGCCGAGCTATCTTTCCAGCTTCACAGAGATATTGTCTGTATGCCTAAGGGATGATACCCTCGACCCGAGTGGCTGCTCTTGGATCGTTCGCCCTGTAGTTGATACATCCCGATGATCTAAAGCTACAGTTCCATCTCCGTCCATCCTCTGCGACCGACGGTCAGACCACGAGTCGCCCGGTCGGGCCCTTCTCCGCTTCGTCCACGGCCATCCAGTCATCCGCCTTTGAAGAGATCGAGGCATCTCCACCATGTAGATGGATGGATCGAGATGGCTTATTCTTCCCCCACCCCGTAGAATGATGGGCCGGACCGGAAGTGTGAAGAGGGCGAGCTGCGAAAGTTGACGAGGGAGGTACGTTGCTCGCTCGAGGCATCACGTCGTGCAACGACCGTCAGAACGAGGCGCTGTATCTGAGCTGCGGCGACGAGCATCTGGGTACGGGGCTGGCACTGCTCCACTTCCTGGACCAGGATGCGCGTCCGCTGGTTGGAGCTGAGCATGGCCACGAGGTCCGTACCCATTGTCTCTGATGCGTTTGGCATATGGGAAGAGGTCCGGCGACGGAGACCTGCGTGAGCGATTGACACGCTGGTCCGGCGGGATACTGTGATCAAGACGGATATGAGTGGGCCCGGTGCCGTGCGGGTGATCGTGGGGAGGGAGGGGAGAGTAGCGTGGATTGGGCGATCTTGACCGGCGGATCTGGTACCCGTACATCGGCCGAAATGTTGACGCCTGCCCAGCCGACCGGTCCTGAGACTTGGCAGCCCATTCCGCTCGAGTGAAGGTAAGGTGGTCCGAGAAGGGGGGTTGCTGATGGAAAGTCGCTGAAGGAGCGCACCTCGCAAAGGGGTCCGAGGGGGATATTGTAGTCTGTACGAAGTGGGTACACCTCCTCGAGCTTGGTGGCAAGCTGCACTGCGATAAGACCTTTAGGTACAAAGTGGTCATACTGCTCTGGTTGGAGCGTATACTGATTGCATCAGCTCATGAGCTGCAGGCCGAGCGAAAAGGGCGCAGAGAAGGATGAGGGGCTTACCCAGGATTTGCCCAAGCCGAAAAGTCTGTTGCGGATTGTCAGGTGACGGATGGGCGCGTCAGATAACAGAGGTAGGTACTGTTTATGGTCCTGTACGATCAGCCACTGTACAGATGGCTAGATCGGGGCCAATAGATGAGGCTTTGCTTACGAGTAGTGTGAAAGCCCGACGAGCGCCGTTTATATCCTTGTACGCTACCTGGTAGTCGTACAGGTCGGCATTGTGAGTCTGCACGCGAAACATAGACCACTGGAAGCCATCAGCAACTGACAATGTGACTCCATTTCTGGCGTAGGGGCAGCGCCGGGACGACGCCTGTCAACGCGCTTAAAAACGCGACCTACAATTTCACCAGCTGGACGAGCCATCAGAAACATCGCCCTGTCCATCTCTGGCATAGTCCCAAAATGCCGTATGTCAAGCGAGACCACCTGGACAGCGGCCAGATCCACAGCCTTGATGGTAGGGTCTCCTGATCGCACATGGGCAGTCTCGATGATGCCGTGCAGAATGCGACCGGTGTACGGTTCGAAATTGACCATTGTCGTTGATGCCGAGGACGAGCTTGGACCGTGGGCGCTCAGTCGCTGTGGAGGCTGCATCGTGGCAGATGGGCAGCATACACCGGTACACAGTTGATATACACAGATCGAATGACAGATCAGCCGAGAACTGATATTGAGTGGTTGAATGAACGCTGGAACACGAGGAATGTGTTGATCCGGATCTTAAGATCTTCAGCTCGAGCAGAGCCGGCGCAGGCATTAATATTGGTCTAAGAATGTCGACCGTATGATCGCGACAGGCCTGAAGTTCATTGCATAGACTGGTCACACAGCAGAGAGCACCCCCTGGCAGACATCCATGGACGGAGAAGCGCAAGCTATCGTCATGCTGCCCCTGCTAATGTCCCCTCGCTGCAACCTCGCTACAACCCCAGTGCCTCACCCAATGTCCACCTGCTAGAGTCCCTGTTCCCTGACCACCTCTTCTTCCTCCCTCCCCCTTCCTCCGCTCTCACACGTCACCCATCCAATCGGCCGCCGTCGAGCGGTTGGCACGACCTGGAGGACGTTTCGCCACGAGCTGACCTGATGGCGCCATAGCGAACGGGCCTGGGGTGAGATCGGCTTGACTGTAAGAGGAGTCAGCATTCGCAACTGTTAGTCGGCGTTTAGAAGTTAAAACCGGACTGGAGGGCATTTCCCCGCTCGGCTGGACCGGAGAAGGCGTCAATCTGCGGCGGTTAAGAGCAGAGGATTGTTGGGCATAACCAACCATTCCGAGGGAAGGAACGGCATCCCAGCGATATCGGACAGGGACCGTATGGTCTTCTGGGATCCGGCGGTCTTCGATATGTTATCCGGTGGCTGATATCGATACCGCTGGCGAGAATCAGGTAAAGCGGAGCGCCGATTCTCGTCTCGAGGCGAACGGCTATCTCGCGTCGTCCGCTGCTCATATACATATCCATGTTGGCCCTCACCTCGTTTCGATTTAAGATGCGTGACATAAGTGACGCTAGCGGGAGTGGGCGGCTCGCTGAAAGGCTGATACTTGGGTAACGGACCGAAAGGTATGGTGAGGTCTGTCTCTACGCGACAGTGCGTCTGCAGTTCTGCTGCGCGCTGTATGGCCGCGAGACCGGTATCGGTAGGTCTGGGGTGCAGCCCTTCGAAAGGGTCATCTGCCCAAGGTCGACTTTTCTACTCACTTCAGCTGGTACTTCTAAGACTTCTCTTCAGGCCCCGAACTTACCCAAGATATGCCTCGCCCAAATAGCCTGGGCTGGACACGCAGCAAGTGCACAGCTACACCGGCGACCTGGGGAGTGTATCGCTTACCGTTCTGCCTCATCAGCTGATCTGCCTTTGATGATGTCCAATCAGCGACATCAGCACTCAAGATCAACGTACAAGAAGGGTGTATGCGCGGCGGGCGGCGTCGATCTCCATATAGGCTATCTGGTAGTGCCAGATATTCGGCGTCCCATTAACGAGGACGCGGTGGAGTGGCCACTGAGATGAATCAGCCTCCTTCCTCTCCACGAGTCTGACCTCTGCTCTTGCCCAGCAACTGCATCTCATCCCCTCCACTCTCTCATGATGACTGATCGCCGAGCCGACGGGATCAGGCGAGCTCGGGGTCACTCGACTCAACCTTTCGCCATCACTCACCAGGTCGCCAGCCGGTCGAACGATGTCAAAGACCGCTCTGTCCATATCGATCTCCGAGAGAAAGTGTCGTATATCCACCGAGGCCAGCTGAATAGCCGCCAGGTCGACCGCTTTCACCTCGCGCCCCCTCCGGGTGGTAACTTCGATTGTACCGTGCAGGGGTCGAAGGGTGTAAGACTCGTAATTAAAATTGGCAATCTGGTTGGACTCGTGGCTTGACGACAACGCCATGATGTAGCTTATGATGAGTAGTCGGATAGCCTTTGATACAAAGGGGGAGGAAGTATGGAAGCAAGAGATGAGTGGGTGAGCGAAGGCAGAATTGTAAGTTTCACTCCGGAGGAATGTTGCCAAAGGACCCGATCTCTTCCGCCGATGGTGAGTATGTACACTAGACTGCATAATTCAGCGTTCTGTGTCCTAGCTACGTGGCTTATACCGTAGCTCTACACCGGACATCCCTAAAGCCAAATGATATCGGTGACCTGCTTGATCGATTCCTCCTTGGCGGCCAACTTCCACTCATCTCCCCTCTTACCACCCACCGCCCAGATCTCCACCCCACCTCCTTGCTGCCCCGCCAAGGCAACATACTTGCCGTCCTTACTAACCTTCATCGCCCTGATCCCGTCCGCCTCGGTCCTGACGTGCTTGACACTCTCGACCGTCGTCCCGTCCTCTCCGAGCAGGATCACCGCGACCGCATCCCCCTTGCTGGGGTTGTCGAGCTTCGGCAGGTCCTTCTGCGAGTCGTCGTCGTGGATGTGGAGTTCGAGGCGGTTGGACGCGTAGATGACGTTCGGGAAGGCAGAGTTGAGCTGGATCTCGGCAGAGTCCATGAGCTTGGAGTGGGTGCTGGGGACGTTGGGAGGGATGATGGAGACTTTGAAGTCGGGCTTGGGGTGCGCGGGGAGTGAGTCGGAGAGGGAGAAGATGAGAACTTCGTGTGAGAGCTCAGTGAGGCAGTAAAGGTGTTTCTCTGCCAATCAGCTGTATTCCCATCCTCCTGGAGAGCCGACGTACCGTCCGGAGAAAGAGCAAGGTGCCTTGGACCAGCTCCAGCAGGAGCCTGCAGCCATCCCTTGATGTCCAGCCCGCTCTCGCCTTCCCTCACAACGACCCACACCCGGTCACTGCCCAAATCCGCCACGTAGAACTTGCCGTCCTTGGACTCGACGACGTGGTGGATGTGAGACGCCTCCTGGCGGTCAGGGTTGGGCGCCTTGGTATCTTTGTAAGGGTACGGGAAGACGAGGTTGGGTGAGTCGGAAGACTTGGACAGCGCACCGGAGGGGTCGAGGGGGAAGTAGATGGCCGAGCCGCCGACGTACTATCCGTCAGCCTCTATCCAATTTAAGAGAAAGACAACGTACGTTGGCGACAATGACACCCGACCCATCCTTGAGCAGGTGCACTATATCATCAGCCCATGACCTTGCCCAATACCTAATGCTGACAGGGACATACCATGCGCCGGCGCTCCATTCGTCATTCTCTCCGCCGTAACCTCAACCTTGTCTCCCTTGACAATCAGGCTCAATCCCTTGCCCTCCTTCTCATCCTCCGACAAGCTGTACACGACCCGCCCGGCATCGGTAGACTGGGTCGAGGGCTCCAGCCACGAGGCGTTCTGGGGTGCGGGCGAGTCCGAGATGACCTTGATCTTGGACGGGGAAGCCTCAAAGGAGAAGAGGGTGACGGTGTCGCGATATCCGCCGGCGAGGAGTTGGTAGGTCATTTTGTAGGCTGTTTTATTGCTTTTGAGATCGTAAGTGAGATGAGAGATGAAGCGATGAAGGCGAAGGTGAAGGTGAAGGAGAGTTGGGCTATATAGGGGGGCGGTATGACGCGGGTCGGGGCGGAAAAACCTCGGATCGTAATCGCCCTTCGAGTGGCTCCGCAGCGACCTGCTTCTCTTGCAGCTCCAGCGCTGTACCATCTCTATCAAGACTGCATGTGTGCCTCAAGAATGCATGCCAGAGATCCGGGGCGTCACTTTGTCCCTTGCGTCAGCGTGGTGGAAAAGCCCAAAGTCGGAGATTCAATGATTACAAGAACACATACATGTCTTGACCTAAAGTTACTATCTACTCCCTACTCGCTCATCCATTATAAACGATATTGGATGCTCCCAACCAGAAACCTAGACAGCGGTGTTACCAATGTGTTGGGTCCCGGCGTGGATGTGCGCCTTCTCGCCAGCATTCTCCGCCTGACCGACCGAGACCGGGAGCTTGCCGCCCTTCATGCCGGACTCCGCAGCGTAGGTACCGTGAGGCTGCCAGCCGGCCGAGCGACGGGGTGATCCGACCTCCTCCATCATGCGGTCGACCTGCTCGAGGGAAAGACCCTTGGTCTCCCAGATCATGAAGTAGGCGTAGATGAAGCAAAGAACACAGGTCGAACCCCACAGGAAGAAGACCTTGGAACCGAGGTTGGCCTGGTCGGTACCGACGAGGTAGGGGGTGATGACTGAGATAATACAGTTCCAGAGCCAGTTTCTTTTGTTGTCAGCATGATGGATTGCATCACTCTGTGTTGAAAGAAACTCACGAAGCAGTGGAAAGACCGACACCGCGGGACCGGATGGAGATGGGGAAGGTCTCGCCGATGACGACCCAAGCACCTGGACCCCAAGTACTGATTCATCAGCGATGCTTCCGATGTCCCAGCTCAGAAAGTACTCACGAGGCGAAGAAGAAGATGTAGATACAGATGAAGGCGATCTGGGCCTTGGTGACCATGTCGTCGTTGGGGCGGGCGGTACCGATGATGGCGGTGATGAACTCGCAGATCAACATGCCGAGAGCACCCCAGATGAGGAGGGGACGACGACCGAACTTCTCGATGGTGTAGAAGGAGATGGGGGTGGAGCAGACGTTGACAAGGGTGGTGATGAGGGAGATCAAGAAGGGGTTCGAGATCGTTCCGAGGTCCTGGAAGAAGGTGGTACCCTGGATGTCAGCGGAGGCTCAATCTCGCAAAAGCTAGACTTACGAAGTAGAAGATGAAGTTGACACCAGTCCACTGCTGCATCATCTGAATCGAGGTACCGAGGATGACACGACGGAGGTTGGAGCCGGGGTTGCGGAGACCACCCGAGAAGCAAGCGGCCCAAGACGAGAAGTAGCCACCCTGGGGGGAGAGCTCCATCTCGTACTCGTGGTTGGCGACGATCTCGGCAAGTTCCTCCTGGATGTAGGCTGACTCGGCGGGCTGACCACGGATCCGGGCGAGGGCGCGCGCAGCGTCATCGAGACGTCCGCGCTTCACGTACCACCGGGGAGATTCGGGGAGGAGGGCGATACCACCACCGAGGATGATGGCCCAGGCGAGCTGGATGGAGATGGGGATACGGTAGGAACCGGTGTCGAGGCGGTCCTGGGTGGCGTACACAACACATGCGGCGAGGAGGAGACCGATGGTGATGTTGAATTGGTAGCCAGAGACGATGGCACCCCGGACCTTGCGGGGAGCGACCTCGGACATGTAGAGAATGATGATGGCCGAGACGAATCCGACACCGAGACCGGCGACAAGACGACCAGCAATGATCTGAAGTCAGCCAAGTCCGTATCAAGCGAAAAGAGCAAACTCACCAAACCCAAACCAGAGTAGGAAGCGACCTGGAGAATGACACCAACGGCGAAGATGATGCAGCCGGAAATGATGGTCAAACGACGTCCAAAGTAGTCGGCCAAGTCACCAGCGATGATGGCACCGAAGAATGTACCGGCGGAGAGGATAGAGACGATGAGGGATTTGTTGGAGGCGGAGAGGGTGAAGGCATCCTTCTGGGCCTGAGATGCGTTTGCGCCGGGGATCTGGAGACCGGTGTGGAGGTTGATGAAGTAGGGCATTCCCATGACTGGAAGTCAGGTGCTGTTCCCGGTGCCCCAAGTTCCGCCAGCCCCGCCCACGATGGAAACAGCGGGTTCTGAACTTACCACCTGAAATGTACCCAGAGTCATATCCGAAGAGGATACCACCGAACGACGCGAATACACACAAGAGGTACGCCTTGGTCGTGACGGGGGCCTCAACCCGGTTGGGATTGGAGGCAGCGGCGAGAGCGACGGCTCCACCAGGCACTGTTTGTCAGCATGAGATTCTCAAAGGAGGGGACAGATCGGCGTCGAAGAAGCTTCTGAAACGGGGGATGAGACCGACAGATCGAGACTTACTGTTGATAGATGGATGCGGGGTGAAGAGGTGTGTAGAGGAGTGCACTGGCGGCGAGGATGAAGTATGGGACGAGGAAGGGGTGGGCTGTCTGCGGGCCTTATATATAGCTGAGCTGGTAAGCAGTGTGCATGGGCGAGGTTTCTAACCGGGATCCCGTCAACAACGGACCTTGGTCACGCGCTCAGCTATTCTTCGCTGCCTTTGGCAATAGCCATAGAGATCTGACCCTGAATGCGGGCTCCCATGCGGAGTCTCTCAGCAGTCTCAGGGGGAAAGACAGGGGCTGCAAGGGGAAGCCAAGGGGCCGCGACCGGGGGATGCCATCGGACGCAAGGGGGAACCCTTAGCGCTTAGACCGCTTCTATGCTTAGACATACGCAGTTTCAGGTCAAACTTGAATAGAATCCGGTAATTTGAGAAACCGGTTAAAGCGGCGGCGATCGAATGCGGGAACTTGTCATGCTTGCCGCTCGGAACATCTCGGCATTGACGTCACGACTGAGCAGACTGGAAGCTAAAGTTTCGCGTCAAGTGACTGAGCGCAGAAGCTGCAGCTGTCGCATGCCTCGTTTCACATGGATCACGCGCTGCCAACGAAAGGGAGCGACAGGACCTCGAGACACTTGAAGGAAGCGCTCATGTCTGCCCATGCGTTCCCTTCTTCTCCCAGTTTCGCATCCAAATTCTCCGATCGTCACGTTGGTCGTTTGAAAATCTTCCCACTCATTCCTCCTTGCTTGCCGCCGGCATCCCGTTGCGGCATCTCCTCTCCCTGAAATCGCTTGTCGGACGCACAAAGTTACCGCCTCGATGACTCAGGAATGTTCCAAAGTTCCCGATTCTCTCCGGCTCTCCGAATATCATAGCCGGCGGCGGTGGTATTTGGCACGCTGCACCAAGGATTTGGTATTGATGCTGTCGACTTTACTAATAGCGTCTGTAATAATAGAAGCTGTGCGTACCAAGCTACCAAGCGTGTACCAGATGCTTGCTTGGCCTGCGACCGGCGCGCTGATCACTGGCTCAGCCCTGCAGAAGAAGAAGCTGATGCTGACAAGTTCTGATGCATCTGAAGACTTGGCTCGCACTGGCACGGCCCGCGAGCAATGAAGCGATATCGATGACAGGCAACTGATGCAGAACTTCTCTTACATTCCTAGGACATGGTTGCTTACACGTCGATCAGGCCGATCAGATCGTCTCTAGATCTCAACAGCTGATGATGACTCAGCAGACTCAGCCAGCTGGGCTAGTCCAGCAAAGCCCGCGGGCCAGCGGTGGGTCGGCCTGGGCCTGATCGCCTGATCGACCCCAATCTTACCAAGACCCGTGGCTAAGGTGACCGAACGAGAGCGCGTATCGTGAGCGATGGGATCTAGAGTGCATCCATTAACTTTCCATATACTCATAGGCTCAAATAGCTATTGATCGAGACCATGCAAAAGCTCTAGTATCGTGTGTGCAGTATTATGAGGGTCTTCTCGAGCCCCAGACACGAGGTGAAGATCCTATCGAATGATCGATACCAAAGCACCGCAAGCTGACCATTTCCGTGGCCACTCCAGCAAGCATGGTGCAGACTTCTCTTCGTCCCCGGACTGGGAGCTGACCATCAGACCAGACTTGATTTGGGTCTCCCCATGAGATATTGATCCATAGTATTTAACCTTAGGCCTTATTCCTCCATCTCCTCGTCCTCTCCCGCATCTGCCCCTTCCTCATCGTCCTCAGCCCTAGATCCCTCCTTTGCGCCCCGCATAGCCCGCTCAAACTTCTCAATCTCCTCATAACACAGCTCATTCGGCGCCGCATGCCCATGTTCCCGGACGTAGGCGTACTTGATCTTACAGATGTTCCGAATAGCAGCGAGCGCGAAGGGCTTGTACCACCCGTCCTTGGACTACCGGGTCAGCTTCGTCACGCTCGAGTATGAGATGGGCTTACATCGCATGTATCGTTGCGCAAATTGGGATTGTCGATGTATTTCCGCAGGAGCGGATCGGAGATGTCGCATAGCTGAAAGTCGGGCTTGCTGCGATTGATCTCGTGCCCATCGAACATATGTGCCTTCCTACACCCAGTCAGCTTTATCCCCATGGAGAATGGGGCGGCATGGGGCTGAACATACGTCCGATCGACGGGTCCCCTTTCCCCAGCAGCGACCCGCCGTTCCTGCTCAGCTAACCACCAGCCCCCGTCCTTTGTTTCTTCCTCTTCCTCCTCGTCTGCAGACTCGACCGATTGCGCGCGTAGCATAGTGACCTTGGCCCGTTGAACCGTGATGTAAAAGTAGATTCGTTGATATCTGCTAGTCAGCGACCACCACTGTTGGAGCAAGATGGGAACGCACATGTATGCGGACGGCTCGTATACCGGATCATATCCCAGTCGGGCATAACATTTCCAGTATGGTCCAGCTCCAAACGTGTAGCACACGGCGGCAAGGTAGGTCTTTTCGCTGTTCATCAGCTTCACCACATGCCCACAAGACTGGGGCGCACTTGATGACGTTTCGCTCTTCCTCTGGAGTTAGCTGGGCAAGGAGAGCAACCCTGAGCCAGACAGGTCGCTCTTCGAACAGCTAGAGTATCAGCTCGTTCCAGAGTTTGGTTGGGTCGACCCACCTTCTTTAGCTTCTCCAGCAACGGCTGGCTGACTTTTCCCAGCCGATCCTTGACTGCCTTGACTGGCTCTGTTGGGACTTGACCCTTCGCGTGGCCGTGTCCCACCCTCTGGGGCCCGGTAGCGATGAGTCGGGATTTGTTGACATAGCGTTGTCGAGACTCGCCAGTATAGGGGTCGACCGTCATCTCGAGTACGCTCTGAGGAGCGTTCTTGTATCTGTTTATCAGCTCACCGATCAAGAATAGGCAGAAAACAGCGAGCTCACCCGTAAGATGGCGGCAGGAAGCGCTGGCTGAAGATAGGCGGCGGTGGGAGATCTAGTCGCGTCCGGAAGGGCATCACCCCAGGTGGTAACTCTTCACCTAGCGGCGGCTCGACGGGGTCCATAAACTCCTCGTCGAGCTGCGCGACACTATAATCGAGAATGGCATTATCTGTCATGAGCTATGCCTCAAGAGTCGACGCGCTGAACTCACAATCCAGCTCCTTGAGCGCACTAACCATACTCGAGATCCGTCCCTCTGGGTTGGGCGTATAATGATAGTCCGCCATATCTTCCATCAGACCGCTTGCATCTGGTACTCACGTCTGAATCGCACAGTCTGAGTGACGAGCCCCACCACCTCCGCAACGAACACTCCTTGCTCCTCCTTCTCTTTCCCCTTGCCCTTTCTCGAGCCGGATCCCTCGATGTCCTGTCCGTCCTCCTCATCCGACGTGGCGACCCTCTTGCGCCGACGCTTGACCCTCAGAAGCAGTTTCGAAGAAGGTACCCTCATCCCACGGACTGGGATGCCAGAGGGATCATCCATCCGATAGCTCATTTCGAGCATAGTGTCAGTTGCGCCTGCGGGCAGGTTGAAGCATGTGTCGAGATTGTCCTGGGTGATGACTTTGAGTAGGGCGGAAGGGTGAGAGACGGTGCTTGGGTATTCGACGGCATTGAAGGTGGTGCGCGGGATATGGCGATAGCGCGCCTTGCCTGCGACCTGCGGCGGAGGCAGGACCGGAGCGGAGCTGGACCCAGCTTCGTTTGAGGACGAGGAATGGTCCGCCATGATGACGAGTTTGGAGCTGACGGCCGCTCAGACCGGACGTTGAGTGATTGTCTGACGTCCAGGCTCTCTAGCAGAGTGCTATTACCTACTCTGGTGACATGAGCTGAAGTAGACAAGGTGGAAGGAAGATGTCCGAAACAAAGAGGTTTACCAAAGTTCCTTCGGCGCGTTTGATCAGTCCACTCCGTTTCACCTTTCAGATTTCGGCGCCTCTTCCCCTTCTTTCCCTCTTTCCGCCTTTATATCGTACCATCCACTCAGCTCGGCGCTCGGAGTGGATAGCTACGAGTCTTGGCTGTCGGTACATACCCCTAGGTGTGCGCCAGACCGCCCACAGCCTGGGCTGTCCGACTCCGATTGAGCGGCTCGCAATGAAGGTGAGTTACCATCTCTTCGTCACTGTAGATCAGCCAATACTGACGCATCCACCCAAATAGTACCTCCTTGACTTCCTCTCGAGCGTACCTGACGCCCCAACGGTCCAAGATGGGGCGTTCCAGCAGCTTATCGTCGACGTGCACGCCGGCAAGGTAAGTCCAGCTCTGACTGTCCTTTGTGCCCATTTCGGCCTCGTCCGGAGCCCATGTCCACTTGATTTGCGAGATGGACTACAGCTAACCTACTTTTTTCTTACCTGCTCATGCCGTCCGGTCCATACTTGATCTCGCATACAGTCCCAGTCACGCTCGAACGATCAATTCTACGAGAGTCTCGAGAAGATCGTCAATGAGCTTAGGAGCTCCGTACGTCATCTCCACCCAAGTGTCGTCTGACCATACTGACCCCCTCAGCCTGAAGCGGCCATCTTCCTCAAACCAGTCTCTAAGAAGGATGCACCTGACTATGCCGACGGTAAGCACTTTCTCCCCTCTATCTAGTGGGGCTGATAAGCAGTCATCAAGCACCCTATGGACCTCTCGACGGTACTCCGGAATGTCAAGGCGCAGAAGTATAAGAACAAGGCATCGTTCGAGCGAGATTTGGACCTCATATGGGAGAACTGTCTTATCTACAACGCCATGGAGGTCTGTCTCTTATCTGCTCGCCGGGAGCGTAGCTGAACAACAGGGACACCCCCTCCGGGCCACAGCGAGATATATGCGCCAGAAAGCGGAACATCACCTCGAGTACCTCCAGGACAGGATGGACCGCCGAGCGGGGTCTGTGCTACACATACCGGGTATAGCGGGGTCGCCGGCGCCTTCGCCGTCAATGCGGAATGGGCCGAATGGTGCGATGAGAGCGGATGGCCCCGGCGCGAATGGGATGGACGAGGATGAGGACGCACCAGGAGAAGAGGAGGATGGGGATGTGGTCATGATGAACGGGGATGGGATCAGACAGAATGGGGACTCTGGTGAGTTGGTTTGACGTAAATCCTGGGCATCTCGGAGCTGATTATGATAGCTGCAAGCAGAGCTGCTAGTGCCGCACCGCGCCCAAACGGAGTACCTGCTATGGTGAGTACCCTTCGGCTTTTATAGATCTTTCTAGCTCATACGGCAGCCATTCCGGGATGATCGCCCCAACCTCACCCCAAACCTCGACTCCTACCCCGCACTCGTCCGTACTCCCTTCAGCATGACACATTTCACATCTTCGCCGTCCAGCCAACCCGGATCCTCATACGCTGAAAAAGGAAAAGCGAAGGAGAGCATATCTACCCTCTCCCCACCTGCTTGGTATCCTGCCCAAGAGGACGGCGAAGGGAAAGCCGAGGGAGGCTGGTGGACCGCCTTCGGACGGGATGAGGCATATACTGCTGGACTGCCGGCCATGGCTCTGGTGCCCCGACCAGTCTCTCGGCCACAGAAGCGAATACCGCGGAGACATCGGACACCCGGTGAGGCGAAGAATGGGTCCACTTCGGCTTCAGCACAAACCAACGGAAATGGGGCTCCACCGCAAGTCAACGGCCATACCCATACATCCCCGCCAAAACGAACCGTGAACCTCGAAACCATCGTCCATCGAACAGTCGACGAACTCCATACATCCCGCTCGATCATCAATTCGATATATGACTGGCAGCGCCTCGAAGCGGAAGGTGGGGCTATACCGCCCATCAAGCGCTTTGACCGGGAGAAGGAGATCCGCAGGGAAGAGGAGGCGGAGAGGAAGCGGGTGAATAGGGAAGAAGGGGCCGAGGCTAGTAAGCGGAGGAAATTGGGTGGGGAGGTCGGAGAGAGACAGGCGGCTTTGGGTGCCAAGAGGGCTACGGCGGGGATGCTGGCTCATGCGGGATTTGATGGTGAGTTTAGGAATGGGTCGAAGGGCGACAGAGCTGATGCTGGTGATTAGGCGCGAATGAGGCCGCATTAGATCTCTTCACTAAGATGGCGACGGAACATATGCGGAATATGGGCCGGACGTTCCGGCTATTACTGGATGGGTTCTCGGGGCAGATGTCGCCTGAGGCGAGTTGTCTTCTGGGGCCGAAAGCAAGGGAAAGGCCTAAGCTGATGAAACAGGAAATCATGCTTCATGCTTTATTCGAGAATGGGCTGGTCAGGCCTCACGACCTCGAATCGCACATCAAGGATGAAATTGAGCGGGAAGGAGCAAAGGTGGCGGAGATGACGCGGAAGGTCAAGCAGGCGTATAACGAAGTGGTGGGTCACAGTGCTTTACTCAACGTAATGGGATTCAGCTGACGGTCTAGACTACCGCACCTGTCATTGAGGACGATATGATGTTTGCGGACAGCGGGGAGATGCTCACTGAGTAAGTTAATCATCACCTAGCAGGCGAGATCAAGCTGACGATATAGTGGGAACTTCGCAGATGAGCTGGGCGAAGACTTCCTGGGTTTGCGAGACCTAGGCGTGGCTCGAGAACACGGTATGACAAACCTCACCATCCCCGCCAATCTCTTCTATGGTCGAAAGAAACGGATGGCCGATACTGCCGCTGCGTAAGTTTCTCTCTATTGTTTATCCTTTTAGATGCTGACGAATCAGTGGCAAGTCAGACGCTCTGGACTACGCTCTTCCCCCACCCTTTATCCCACTCAACGCTACTACCTACACTACTCAACTTCCCGCTCTCCTCCACGCCTTCTTTGCGGCGCGTATCGAGGCTGGGCTGGGTCTGGACGACGATCCCGCCTTTGATGCTCCTCACTCTATCATCGGGAGTCTGGGGCAAGTCAATGTGAAACCTCCAGCGACAACGGGCGCGGCCAAGAAGAAAGCGGTCCCGCCTGCCGCAGCGGCTGCGTCGGTGGCGGTGGATAAGAAGGCGCCGGTAAAGAAGCCATCGTAAGCCTCTTCGCCGGCGCAGGAGATGTTTAGCTGATTAGCAGCAGTATACAGGGGATCGGGAAGGGCAACTGGAGTGAGTTTGAGCGGGCCTGATCATGGTGATTAGGCTGATCAGACCAGTCCGTCCTAAAAAGGCCGCGACGGCCGGCAAGAATGGCCCTGCTTTCGTCATAAACGGCTCGACAGCGGGTAGTGCGAACGGCGTAGGAGAAGAGGAGGACGCGGAGGGGGAAGAAGAGTAGATGTAGAGAGCAGTACATAGAGCCATCTACCAGGAGGTGGGGAGGCTGCGACCTGCAGCCTGCACATGCACCATGTGAGAGAGGTCCGCTCGGAGCGGAGGTGCCACTTTGGCTTGGCTCGTCACCCAAAACGGCAAATTCCTCGGCCGGTCCAGCCCTGTCAACCTGCCCTTCATCCTCTTCTTTCCATCATATTCCAAACTATCTATCAAGTGAATCCAGCTGGGCAGCCATCCACCCTGACCTACCATCAGCTCGGTCGAAAGCTGCACATTGCATAGCTCGGATTGGAACCGCTCCCCACACTTTCGTAGACCTTGGTCAAGTTCGAATAAAAAGCCTCCGACCCCTCGGTACGCGCCTACCCCCTCCCACGTCTTCAATACGCGGCGCGATGGACATCGACGGTACAGGCCTCCTAGGAGAGGACGATGTGATGGAGTATGAAGAGGCCGACCCCTCCGCTCCATCCGCCGGTATCCCTATCGAGGCTGATGAGAGCCTCGGGCAATTACTGCTGGATGATGAGGTGATGGGGAATGAGGCGACCACGGCTGGCGAGCTCGATATGCCTGTAGAGGGGGAGGACATTGATCTGGAGGGCGTGGAAGGTGAGGAGGAGGAGGAGGAAGATGGGGACGGAATGGAGCCGGAGCCGACGCCTTTATTCGGGACGGGTGGAGAAGGGGCGAAAGGGGCGAATCCCTTCTCCTTCGCTGGAACCGGGGGCGGTCTAGCTGCTCCTGACTTTGAGGATATCGAGGTAGGGGAAGCAGAGGCGGTAGGGGAGGAACACGTGGAGGGGATCGAAACGCGTGAGGAAGGTGGAGAAGGGGAAGGGTCAAGGGATGTGCAAGTAGGGGCAACGGCGAATCCTTTGCCTATCGCTTCTGCGACGTCAACAGTGCCTGGCTCTGGCGGTGTTGTTGACGGCGACTCGAACCTCATTCCTTCTCCTTCTCTTCCACTCACTCAACCCTCTTCAATTGCTCCTCCTCCCGCCACCCAGAACGCCGTTTCGGAAGCGCCCATACCCCTCGCCGAGCCCACCGGAAACGCAGACGACTACGTCGGCGAAGACGAGGAGGAATACTACGAGGAGGACGAAGAGGCTGGCGACGAGGCCCAACAGCCCACATCTGCCGCTGTATTATCAACGGGCCAACCACACCCGGCCCCAACATCGGGCGTCACCGCGGAAGCGGCACAGGTCGGCGGAGACGACGATAACGGAGAGCTCGAGAACGACGAGGACCTCGGAGACGAGGACGCGCAGGACGAGATGCTAACAGTCAACACACAACCGGGGATCATCCTTCACCTTCCCGATCACCTTCCCACCAGCCTCTTCTTCCCGCTCGATCCGGCCGAGGGGTTGCCGGACGGGATCACCGCCGCGAACCCCGTGTGGTTTGCGGATCGGCATGCGGAGCTGGCGCAGGTGCCTCTCACGAAGCTGCTGGAGGCGGTGCGGGAGCTGGCGGATGGTGATGCGTATCATAAAGGCAGGGAGTTGATTCTTGATGAGCACGGGCTCGGGGTGAAATTGTGCGAGGTGGGTTCCAGCTTTCTGCACGAATCAAGAAAGACATGCTGATCATCCAGGACGACAGGCATCTCGATGGCGTGACCCTTCTGGAGTTCCTTCAAGTGCACCACTCGTGCGGCCTTCCTACACCAGTCCAATTCCATGTCAGCTTCGGGCCGCGCCGATTCTGGGACCGATTCGATGCGATCCGGAAAGAACTAGTACATATTGCCGAGCGGAAGCGGCTTGGGCTGAGCGAAGAGCCGGATGAAGATGAGGACGAATTTGGAGAGGAGGAAGTAAGCGATGGGTATGATAGCGAGGTGGAGATGGGGCAGAGTGCGGCGGGGTATGCGGAGCGGAGGTCAGGGAGGGCGCCTGTGGAGCAGGACGAGGCTGGTAAGCTATACATCATCCGCCATGTGGTACATAGCTGACTTACAGCTCGAGCACAGTATGCCGGTTCTGAGCAAGAAGTGAGGCGGGAGAAACGCGGGGAAGCGGAATCAGCGCACCCAAATGCGGACTGGGCAAGAAATTTGGGTGAGCTAAGACACGCTGATTGATGTCGATATTAGCTGATCAGTACAGCGACCGCCCCAATGGCATTCGGTATCGGCAACATCGCCTCAGCTAACCCCCGATCCAGGGAATCCTCCCAGCCCGTTGTCACACCTCGTAAGTCATAGTCTAGCATGTTCAAGTGCTCTTGACATAGCTGACTCCTTTGTAGACGATGATGACGTCGCGCTCCCACCTCCTTCCCAGAACAAAGGAAGGTCAAGCAGGAAAGACGATATAGCTGGTATGTCTGCCTTTCCATCCCTCTTCCTACACTCATCCTCGCGAAGCAGACACTGATTCGAAGCAGACCTGGCCGACACTACCGAAGCATCTTCTACGGACTCGAGAACAGTCAAGGCCAAGATGGACGCTCCCATCGACGAGATACCAGGGGAGGAGGACGGATATGATGACGAGGACGGAGAAGTGCCGGCGCCCAGCGATGTTCCACTGGACGAAATAGCACTGAAGGAAGAGCGAGATGCCGCAGTGGATGATGATGACGGGGTCGAGCTGGAAGCGAGCAAAGAGGACGAGGGTGGCGCGAGCTACGACGCGGAACTCCAGGCGCTGGGTCTGAGCTCCAGGGAAGAGACCCTGCCCGGCGGAGAGCCGATGGGAGATGTCAAGAAGGGGAAGGCGGATGGGACGGTACCGGGCACGGTCGCGTCCCTTGAGCCATCACAACGCGGAGACTCGACGCTCTTGGACATGCCGGAAACGCCGGCCTCGACTCAGCCAGACGTGGTGACACCATTTGAGCCCGAAGCTACCCTGAAGGACAGATTGCAGGCGATCGACGAGATGGGAGACGACGAGGTCGACGCGCTTGTGGCAGGGGACGAGACGGGGGCCGAAGTGGAGGGGGATACCGAGGCGTACGACGGTGAAGAGGGGGCCGAGGATGAGGTGGATGAGGGGTACTTTGAGGGAGATGAGACGGAGGAGGACGGTGCGGTGCCCGTTACGAACCAAGCGGCATTGAAGGCGTATGTCGACGGGAGGATCGAGGAAGGGGAGGAGCCGAAAGATCCGCTGTTGGATGCGGTACAACGAGGAGACCTCCCGATGGAGGTAGCAGAGGACGTCGCGGGGAAAGAGGCATTCGATAAAAAGTATCACGATGATGAGGGCTTCGTAGTGGGTGATGACGGCGATGATTATCGTGAGTATTATTTTGCTAAGCTTGGCTTGCGGGAAGCACGTCAGCTGATCCGAGCAGAGACACAGGACGATGAGCCTGTCGACCCATTCACCAGGAGCACCGGAGATGAATCGCTCAGCGTCCTCACCAACAAGAGATCAGCACCGGATGATGAGCCGCTGTCATCTGGAAAGAGGTCCAGGCAGGGGGACAATTGAGGTGAGCAGCCTTTCCAATCTGCCTTTATGAAATACGCTGACAAATCCAGCCGACTACCATGGCGTCACCCACTTCGACCACTCTTCGTATCGTTCTCAATCCCCTCCGCTTCTCAGTATCATCTCCTATCGCCTCGCGCCGGTTCCATGCCGGGCAAATCGACCGCAAACCTCTCAGATCACGCTTCCGTCCTGTGGATATCTCGGCCAATTCTGCGTGGCCATCCCACTCCGCGTCAGCGGGCCGGCCGGGCATGGTCACGTCCCTACCACATTAAATTCATACCACCATCCCTACGTTCTACCTCCATTTCTTTCATTTCTACTTTGACCTTAACATCCTTCTCTTTGTTCATGCTTGTTTCTTCATCTCACCACCACCTGTCCATCTACCCGCATATAGCCCAATCCCTCCGGCCTAGAAGCCAGAGGGATCGCGGGCTTTCTACATCCTACATTCCTTCCTACTGACAACAGGTAAGTGCGTTTCTTTACGGCGGGGTGGGACCGTTGCGTCGGTTCTGGAGCTACGGTTCAACACACCCAGTTTCGGTGGGGGTTTCAGGAGGCAGTGAGGTGTCTGGGGCTAGCCTGTAGATATCAAAGTATGTGTATACGTTTGCGCTGTGCGATAGGATACGATAATGCATGATGTTCAAGATGAGTACAGCCAGCGCTCGGCCAGCGAACCAAGCCAAGAGAGCAAAGATAACGAGCCGCGAGCTCCGACTCGGCGATGACGTAGTGGCTCGGCGGAAGCAGATCAAGCTTACCCCACAAAGCGCCTCCACAGCATACCTCGCCTCGGAGGACAAGGAAAAAGAGCTCTGATCAGGCTGCGTATCAGCTTATCATCTAATCGACTATCCCTCACTCAGCCCACCACAGCCGTCCCATCGATACAGGTGAGCAGGCTCGCGCGAAAGAGACGCGTAGACTCAGCTGACGCGCTTCTCCTCTCTCCTTTCAAAATTTGATACCCCCACCATTGCACGTTCATTCCTCGCCTGTCTCACTTCACCTCCCCTCCTTTGGACTGCTCTCGGACCTCGGACCCCACTGTTCGGCCGCCTCGGACACGCCGGAATCCTGACACACCCACCGTGCCCTTGACGCCTCCGCACTCCCGCTTGTGCCCCTCTGCCGCTTGGGACTCCCCCACACGTCTCGCTTCGTTCTGTCCCTACTCATCTCCGATACCGCCGGGTCTGGAATTTCGCGAAGCAGACTTTTGGACATAGACATCTCGTGACTACAGCACGTTCCATCTCGTTCAGCTTCTTGGACCTATGTAAGCTGTCCACCTGCTATCTCCCCCTCCGTCCTCTGCTCTCCACTTCGCACGTCCAATTCACTTGCAATACCTCGGACTAAGCTCATCAAATCAGCATCAACTGTTCCATCCACCATGTCCGCCCTTCGCACCTCGCTGAGGCGGATGCCCATCTCGTCAGCCCTGCGCTCCTCCACCTCCACCACCCCCTTCGCTCGCTCCCTCTCTACCCTCCCCGCCCGCCCCCTCGCCTCTGTACCCAGCAAGTACACCGGCCTGGGCGCGTTCCGGTCCCTCAACTCGACTCCGCCAGCCCAGCTCGAGCCGAGCGCGCCGGTGGCGGATGGTGGCGCGACTGATCCGCCAGAGAGTGGGATCAATGTGGACAAGTCGACGCGGATGGATACGTTAGTGCTTTCTCTTTGTCAGGTCAAGGGGTCTGCGAAGTGTGCTGGAGAAGAACTGCTCGGTGGAGTTGAAGCGAGAAAAGGGGGTGCAAACTACGCGAGTGGGTTTCGGAGAAAGAGAGCGTTCCTGGACGGGGCATGAGGTCTCACATCACATCCGTACTGGCTTTAGCTGACCTTTGATCCTCTCCTCAACCCCCCTCGACATATTCCTCTTCATTCCACCTCACCATACGCGGTCGGTCACGCTGTCACGCTTCGCTCCTCCCCCTCCACCTCGTCGACCCGCCACTGCCGCCCACACTAACCTTCTCAAACCTTCCTTGACATTTTTCGCTTTCGCTTACCCCGCCTCCCCTGCCCCGCTTCCTTTGGCGCCTACCCCAACCCTTTCCAACACACAACTTTATCCCTGTCTGCCCCCCCTTTCTACCCATTTGATCGTCATTACATGACGTATTTGTGTACACCACGCTGCGGCTGGCTGAAACATACACACACATGACCCCTGTTGCCCCGCCGGCCCCGCCTCCCTCTCCCCCGACCTCGAAACTTTTCCCCATCTACCCATCTACTCATCAACATCCTCTCGCTTACTCTTACTCCTCCCTTACCTACCGAACCCACTACACCCTTCACCGTTAATCACAACACCTCGTGACCTCCTTTGATCTACCTGCTGCCCGGTTTCGCCCGACTCCCGTACCTTTGTCCGTTTCATCAACCCATACCGAGCACCGCCTGGTCTTTGGATAAATACCTCGCCTGCTCTCCTCCTATCGCCCTCCTCATACCGCCCTCATTTTGCCTACAATGCACCCAAATCTTCGCACCCTCACCCACACGCCCATACCTCCCTTCATCACCCTTTCTGCACCTCGTCCACCGCGTCTTGGACCCCTCCTCTTCTCCCGACCATGCGCTCGATCACTACACTCCACCTCGCGCCTCATGCCACGGCAAACACCCACCGCTCTCTCCTCTGGTATTCGCTTGTCGGCACTGCGGAATACCCCCTCTACGCGCTCTATCGCCTATACCGCTTCTGCCCCGGATGCCATGTTCAGCCACCCACCGCCCGAGCCGGGAGCGGATTTCAACCTCGTCATGATTGGAGCTGGTGTAAGTTATTCTTACGCCTTATTGCAGGCTAGGCTGATCTCCAGAACATCATGTTTGGCTCAGATGAAGGACCATGGAAGTAAGCTTGATGCTATACCTTGAGGAATGTAGCTCACGACCAGCCACTCTTTCCGATTCGAGCACAAGCTTGGCCCTCGTCTCAAGGTCACCGCTCTCATTGACCCCGCTATTGCCCGCTCAGAAGCCGTGCTCGAGGGCAAAAGGCAGAGCTTCGTCGAGTCGGCGTACAGAGACACCAAGACGTACAAGACCATCGAGGATTACTATCACGCTTTGAAGAAGTCTGGTAAACCCTTCCCTGAGTAAGCTCATAGTTGACTCTCAGTGGGTCGGCAGGAGCTAACCGCGCAGTGCCATCGTCATTGGATGCCCGCCTGCCTACCGTGGTGGAACAACCAAGGGGACCGATCTTGAAATTCAGCTTCTCAAGCACTTCCCCCAGACCGCTTACTTCGTCGAGAAGGTGAGCTACAGAGAGATTATCGTCGTCGTCTGAGCTGACTGTATAGCCCGTCGGAACCGGAACCATCGAGGCCGCCAAGACCGTCACCGACGCCCTGATCAAGAACGGCAACATTGTCTCGGTCGGTTACATGCTGCGATACCTCCGCTGCGTCCAGAAGATGAAGCAGATCATCCACGAGAACAACTTGACCGTCATGGCTACCAATGCACGATACGTAAGCTCGAAGTCTCCTACAGGGTATAGGTAGACCTATGCTGACGATGCAGTCCTGCGCGTACGAGGCCATTGCCAAGCCCGCATGGTGGAACAAGGCCATCGATATGGGACCGGTCATCGAGCAGGGTACCCACTTCTGTGACTTGTCGCGATACTTCGGTGGTGATGTGGACATTGACTCGGTCTCGTGAGTTCTCGCCATGACGCCAGTGCAGGGGTAAAGCTGACTGTCAGGGCAAAGTCGGTCGAGTTCTACGAGGCGCCAGGAAAGCTCTCCAAGGTCCCCGTTGACGAGTCTCTCATCCCAGAGGACCAGCGCATTCCTCGTCTGACATCCGCTATCTGGTAAGCTGGATTGTTGTCGACCTGAGGACCATAGCTGATATCACCAGGAAGTACAAGGACGGCGCAGTCGGCTCCTTCACGCATGCTGTCGCTCTCCAGGGTACCGCCTACGCTTGCGAGCTGGAAGTATGGGCTGATGGATACCTCATGAGGTGAGCTGAGTGCCTCTTGATGGGCTTCGGGGCTGTAAGCTGATCACTCAGGCTGGTGGACCCGTACAACGCGCCTACTCTCTATGTCCGTCGACCAGGAGACGACCACGAGGAGAGGCACGTCTACACTGACGACGACCCGTTCTTCTCTGAGGTTTCTTCCTTCATTGATTCCATTGAGGGTGAGCTTTCTAGATCCGTGCCTTCGTCTGTTCCGAGGTGAAGCTGATGACCCAGGTGGACCCGACCCACACATCCTCTCGTCGTTCGAAGACGCTACCAAGACATACGAGTAAGCTCAACGTTCTCCCGCCCTTGTATCGAGCCGCAGCTGACACACTAGGCTCACCTGGGCTATCCGTCTCGCCTCGGAAGCTTCGCGTGCTCCCCGAGTGCAATGATTTATTTCTGGCGAAGCGAGAGTGCATGAAACCTTACCCGTTATCAACCTGTAATGAAAGCAAAATGTGCAATACCGATGCATTGACGAATGGTCTCCTAGTGCTTCATTGGCTTGAGCTTGCTCTGTCTGTGTTTGCTATAGCAGGCTCCACCACTACGCTCATTTCCCCGCTGCAACCAAGTCATAGCATCTTTGGCCGGTCGTCTATAAGCGGCGGATGAGACAAGCTGAATTTGAAGTCCGTGTGTAGCGTTTCAAAGATAGCGACTTTCGTTTGCTATCTCTCCTTTTGCACATCTGTCACCTTCATACTTGTCGTCTACTCACCCTCAGAATGTCCAGCATCAGCCGGACGGAGCGGGATCCGCTGCTCGCTCGCGCCAGCGAAGAGCTTGAAACCCAACACCACAATCTGGCAGGGTACACTCCGCTCCGCTTCCGCCTAACCTGTGCGTCCATCTGGGCCTGCACCTTCCTCGCCTCATTCGACTCGACCGTCCTCGCCACTCTCACCTCGACCATCTCTTCCCACTTCGGCGCGGCCGACCGGGGCTCCTGGTTGGGCACAGCCTACCTCCTCTCCATCTGCTGCTTCACGCCCATCTACGGCCGACTGGCGGATATCCTCGGCCGGCGCGCTGCGCACCTCATCGCCTTGACATTCTTTACGCTCGGTACGGCCCTCTGCGCTTTCGCACCATCCATGAACACCCTAATTGCCGCTCAGCTTATCGCTGGCGTAGGCGGCGGCGGCGTCCAGAGCATGGCGGTGATTGTGTTAACGGACCTGGTGGATCTTCGGCATCGGGGCTTGTTCCAAGGCTATGGGAATATCGTCTTTGGACTGGGTGGGGCGCTGGGCGGACCAGTCGGCGGCTGGATCGCCGATACGTTTGGCTGGCGCGTGGCGTTCATGATCCAAGTACCGATGTTGATGGCGGGCGCGGCGGTCGCTTGGGTGTGCCTCCGCGGTGATCTGGGCGGGGTAGAAGCGAGGCGGAAAGCCAGCGAGGGGGGTACGGCTACCGGACAGAGTCTAGGGAAGAAGCTGCGCCAAATCGACTACCTCGGATCATTGACGCTCGTCGGAGCCGTCGCGTCCCTCATACTCGGTCTGTCACTCAAGACGTCCGGTCATACGCCTTCGAACGGCGAATACGCCTGGACACATCCCTACGTCCTCACTCTCCTCATCTCCTCCCTCGTCTTTACTTTCCTCTTCATCTTTGTCGAAGCCCGCTTCGCTGCCTTCCCTCTCCTCCCTCTATCACTCCTCTCCCGCCGAACACCCGCAGCAGTCGCCTTCTCCCTCTTCGTACTCTCCACAAACCAATTCTCGCTCCTTTACAATGTTCCTCTCTTCTTCACTGCCGTCCGCGGCACGTCCGCCTCCGTCGCTGGCGCACACCTCCTACCATATAGCGCGATGATCGGAATCGGATCGCTCGCCGTTGGGTACTTGATCAGGCAGACGGGGAAGTATTGGACGTTGGACGTGGGAAGCGGCGTGATTGTTCTGGTGAGCGCGCTGGCGCTGACCTTCTGGAATCAGCAGAGTCCGGGATGGCTGTTGTGGACGGCCCAAGTACCCGCGGGATTTGGGTACGCGGGGGTCCTGACGGGGACGCTCGTGGCGCTCATGACGGACGTGCAGCTGGAGGGGAAAGGAGAAGTGTGAGTCAGCTGCCTAACTGAATCCTTTGACTGAAAAGCTGATATCATAGCGCCGTGGCTACGAGCAGTACATCCTCATTTCCTTCTTCCTCTCTCTCAACTAGCTGACCCTCAGTGTCGTATCTCTTCCGCTCAACCGGTCAGGTCCTCGGCGTCTCCCTCTCCTCGGCACTCATCCAGTCCATCCTGACACATGACCTGCCCCTCCACATAACAGGCCCTGCCTCTGCCGAGATCATCGCCAAGATCCGCAGAGATACCGAATCTATCCGATATCTGCCGCCGGCGGAACAAGGGGCCGCGAGGGACGTGTATGCCAAAGCGCTCAGATGGGTGTTTGTGGTGAATGTGGTGTTGGCGGCAGTGGGGGTGTTGGGGCTTTGGGCGGTCAAGGAGGAGGTGATGCCGGAGGGGAATAAGAAGGGAAGGAGGGGAGAGGGGGATGAGGAGGGACAAGAGGGGGTGGCTAGGGAATGAGGAGATCACGGGTGATGCGGAGGAGGCTTGTAGATACGGAGGTCAGATCTGGCGCGGGAGGGTGATCTATCTTAGTCAGATCTCATGGAGAGTGAGTGTATTTTATCGGTAAAGGAGGTAGATGTATCGCTAGGCTGCACAATATTCATATAAGACAACTGAAAAAACAACAGGTTTCCCCCACTCATGTACAAGCTAGATGACCCCCATTCCTCTTCTGCCCAGATGTCACCTCCGAGAGCGTGCCCCTCTTCCTCCCGACCCATGCCCAGACTTTCGGCCCCTCATCCCCTTGCCGCTCGTTGTCTACACTCACATCCCCTCCAAGCAGTGTCGCCCCTGCATCCCCTTCCCACCCCCATCGTCCGCTTTCCCACCCCGTCAAAGCCCCTTTAATCCTACTCACCATCCCCCTATCCCTCCCGGCCACGCCCGTTCCAGACCCCACAGCCGCCGCTGCCGTACCTTTATACTCCAACGCACTGCTCACCCAGACCCACACCGCCTCTTGGCACACCCCATCCCCCATCGCATCAAATACCGGCCGCCCCATGCCACTCTTGAGTCCATCAAGCATCGGCAGTGCGAACTGAACAGGAAGGGACGGGTCGGGATTGATCATTTCCGCGAGGAGCATGGAGGCGAAAGAGCGCTGTAGACTCGCAGGAGCGGAAGAGGGGAGCGTGATGCTCATATCGACGATTTCGAGGTGGCCGCCTGGAGAAAGCACACGAAGGGCTTCGTCTAGCAGTTGAGGCCAGGCGGATTCGGGTAGGCCAAGGGAGAGGAAGCGGAGATGGACCATGTCGAAGGCGCCGGTATCGTACGGTAGAGTGGTCAGGCTGTAAATGATCAGCTCGGTACCAATGTCCACTGAGCCAACAAGGCGAAATGGTCAGCTGAGAGAACGCACAAGTTGGCTCGATCCCATGTAATCCGCTTTTCCACCCCTTCCCATAGCCCCTCTTCGGGCGGCATACCGGCCGAGGAAGATCTTGCGATTTTCTCAGCCTTGACTAGAGCCCCGAGGTCCATCTGACAAGGTACGATATCGAGTCCGACGAATTGCGTTCCTCGCCAGAGCAGTGCTTGAGAGACAGGCCATAGACCCAGACCTGTTCCGATCTGCCCGAGTCAGCTGTTGTTTACCGACTATCGACAGTCGAGGTCACCGTAGCTCACATCGAGGACAGTCTTTGGTGCTTTGCCCTCTTTGACGGAGATGAAGCTGTGTCGTTCGCCTGCTAGGTCGTACATCGACTCGTGTAGCCTTGCTTCTCTGCAATGTCAGATCTTATCAACTTCGTCTCGGGATGCAGCTCACACATCCATCACCTCCTTCTCCCATCCCACTCTGTACACACTTGGCACTTCCTGTCCGTCCGCGCCCACCCAGACTCGCTTCTGGCCTGTCCCGCTTGCAGGCCTGGGACGGTCTTTCCACCCCTCCACTGTGACGACCTCCTCCTCCTCAGACCGTGGCACTATCAGTCCACTACTCGTTGACGCCGAGCCGAACTTTCCGCCTGCGCTCATCGGCAGTCCCTCCTCACTCCTACTCTCCAAAGACATGCTTGTCCTCCGCCCCTTGCCCGCCATCGCACGAACACTGCTCTTTACGGGAGAGACATTCTTCCCCACCTGTCCTTCTCCAGCATGTCGAGGTAGATCCCACGCCGAGCCGAGACGAGAGGATGCGAACGGCAGCACATCATGTACGTCTGGCGCAGCAAACAGGCGGCTTGCATTTGTCGTGAGGGTCGGACGGGTCGGGGACAATGGGTCCGAGCGACCCATTACGCGCTCGCGATTCCGGGTCGATGTGGACGATTGGGTGGATGTCATACTGCGTGCATCCTCCTTGGATGCCCGTGGCAGACCAGAGAGCGGTGTAGAGGCGGAGCGGTGCGATATGGGTGGGCGGGAGTGATCGACCGTGGAGAAAGTAGGAGAGAGGGGGAAGGTGAGCTTGGATGTCGAGGACGGGGTGAAGAGGTCGTTGAAGTCTTCATCGCTTACCAGGGTGCTCGCGAGCGTGGAGGGGCCTGGTTGCGACGGGACGGATACGGAGATGCCCAGCCGAGCGGGTACAGCGGACGCCGAAGTGGATGTCAAGGCTGCGGTACGAGCGTACTCGTGCGAAGGGCGCGGGACGCTCGGACGCGAAAGCAGTCCCGGTCGAGCTTCTGGCCAGCCTGACTCCCTTCGCCCTTCTCCTGCAGTCTGTCCTTTCGCGGGAGATCCCCCAGGCGGCCCAAAGGCAGCTTCCCGCCTCCTCCGTCCTTCCGCCAGTTCTGGAAACGCCTTGTCGCGCCATGTCGAGAGCTTGGATCTTGTCTCTCCCCGAAATGAGTTGAGACGGGTATGGTATTGGTCCGCTGAAGGCGTGCGAAGCCCTGGTCGGCTTGCTGACCGAGAGCGGGGGTCCGGGACTACTTTGAGCGTGGAGGGAGCAGCGTCAAGTATGGTCGGGATGACCTTGACTTGGATAGAGGGATCCTCGTCCCATCCTTGCGGTACGCCCTTGATTGCCGGATCGACGACGGAACCGCTAGGGCTGGGCCGAGGCAGGACCTCTGACGAATCAGATAGCGCCGACCCGCCTGTCGAAGTGAGGGATACCGCCGTGCCTGAGTCGGGCATCATGGTGGATTTCGTGGGCCGAGTGAAGAAGTCCAGAGGAGGAGTCCTCGGGCGACGTGGGGAGGAGCTCCGAGCTGTGGGGGTGAAGACGATCGGGGAGGTGTGCGGGATGGATGAGGCCGGGGTGAGGAGGTTGGGCGAAGAGAGCGAGTGGGAGGAAGAAGAGGGAGGGAGGGACTGGAAGGAGCGGAGAGGAGTATGAGGTGGAGTGGTTGACATCTTGCCGCGTTAGATTGGGAGTGGCCGCTAGCGCTTGGATCGTGTGTGTGTGGGAGGAAGCTCGAGCTTGGACCTTGGCCGAGCTTATGCGCGCTCTGGCGAGTGCTATGAAGTGATCTCGAAGTAAAGTTCAGAAGGAGCTGGACTCGGATGCTTGGGCAGCTACCAGAGGGAGGCGGTGCAGAGTCCGACATGGTGCTAGGATCTCTCAGCGGGTAGGTAAGCCGAAACGAGCTGAAACAAAAGGCGCTTTGAGCGCTGGGCGGACGGTGAGGTGAATGCGGGGTAATCCGGGGTAATGTGGAGCATTGAACGGGAGGAGAGCACATCGGCGGACAAGTAGGGCAAGGCGGGCGGACAGACTCAACTGCTCAACGATGTTGCAGACTCTGGAGAGGGCTACGTGTTTCTTTATCACGTGGCCTTGAGAATAGGCTCTGGATACCAGTGCTCGAGGTCCTGCTTGCAGGCTTTCCTTCTGGCCGAGCTAGCTATGCGCCTCCCTGCATCTCACACCTGCATCGAGGGTTGATCTCACCGGACGCCCTCTGCAGACCTGATGATGCCTCCCAGGATGACCGGAGACCTGCTACTGGTCACACAGCAAAGTCGCACGTCCAAATCGTACCAGCGGGCCGGGCTTAGGGATTGCGGTGGCTACTTGCATGACGAAGGGACCGCATGCGCTCTGAGTCAGCTAGCAATGCTGCTCCCAGCTAGCTACTGGGCAGAGCTAAATGAGGCAGCGCACCACACGTACCCCATACGTACAACATGAGGCTTCCACACCGACGGGGCCGCCCGTTCTCGGCGCAGCGGAAAAGACGCCTCAGCCTCGGTACCCCCGCACTCCAATGTCCGCATCTGTCGGCGTCGTGCCGCTCACGCCACCTCCAGGCGCTTATTCCAGCGGTCCGTCGTCTGCTCTTGGGCATACCGTAGCGATGTTCTGTGCCTGTTCCTGTGATCATGCCTAAATCAGCCATCTACGTCCTTCTTTGCAGTTCTCTCGGTCAGCCTTTCAGCATGTGGGGTGGATATACCTTGGAATCAGCAGCTGTCAGGCACCGTTTCACCCGGTTTCGGATCATCGATCATCGCCACGAGCTTGCGATGACGCAGCATCGCTGCGGGAGGCGGCTCGAGGCGGGGAGCGAAATCAGGCAACATCATGAAGCCGGAGGGAAGATATGCCGTCATGCGGGTGACGACTCCCTGAGATGTCTCAGATTGCCAGCGGTAGAAGCCCATCTCTTTGCCCGCTTCCAGTAGATTGAGCGATGCACATGTCTATCCCGTGTTTCGTATATCCCTAGACGTTCGGTGTTACCATCATCTCTGTCGTTAAGCATTACCATGACAGCGGTACGTCGGTCGGGGAAGGTGGTGAAACCGACGCCCCCTTACATCCGTTCTCGAGAAGTCCGATGCGACCCTCCTCAGGCCAACTTTTGCCCTTGCCCTAGGTAGGGATCGGTGGGTACTAGGGCCAGTTCACATTCAGCGATGTCTTCCATACCTAACCCGCTGGTTCAGCCTCTGCCAGCCTCACTGTTCCCGACCCAGCGCCAGGTTGGAAGCGGCTATCGGCTTTGAGAAAACCTGACACTTCGATTGCTTGAAGACCTGAAACAAGGACAGGTGTACAGGTGTCCCATTTATTTCGGCTGACGCCTGCCGCTCAGACTTGACCCGTAGGCGCTTGCGGGAGTACTGGGCTATATCAGATCTATCAGAAGGTGAGTACCTCGTATGAGTATATAGATCGACACTGGGTCCGAGCTTATCCCCTCGTCAGATCTTCACCCAAGTTCACCTCACCTCAACCCATCTATCCACTGCCTCTCACTGCCTTACCTTCCCTTCGGCTCCTTCCTCGCTTGCTCTACTGCACACACTCTCTTCCCTCCCTCCATCTTCTACCGATTTGTCCAAATGGTGAGTTGATCGAACTGTATCCCAAGTCCGCTTGTGCGGCCAACGGGGCTCGCACACACACCGTGTCCTCTTCGGCGTTTCAAGCTTTGAGGGTCATCATCGTTACTCGGTTGTTACAATTTTAGACACTGCCTTTGATGGGAAATCCTTCACCTCCCTTCTCTTCTTATCTCGACGCGTCTCTCCATCGTACCTCATCAGTTGGCTAATATCTATAGATCGACTACACTCCCGCTCTTAGCCAACCCATACCCCTTCCATCATCCTCAACACAGCGCACCGTGCCCCTCCTTACTGTCCAACTACCTCCCTCACCACCCGCCACGCCCCCAGGCTACGGCTTCAAGTCGGACGCCTTCTACGACATGTCCCATCACGCCTCGAGTTCGTCCAGCACTCATCAGCGTCATCTTCCCATATCACCTCTCGACGACTCGCCCCTCTCCCTTCCCACTCTCCTCTCGGACGACGAGGACCTGTCGCCTGGCGGGTCCACTGGTCTCCAGACTCCTCCCTCCATCCACATCGTCGAGCCCTCCCTTACCCACATCATCACCGAGCACGCCATGCTCAACGCGTTCGCGCAGGAGACAACGCCCAGTGTCAAGCAGGATGGCTTCGAGCGGCGGGCCACCTACCCCCTCCTCAGCCCTCAACGGCCGCTCGTAAAGAAGCAGATGTGGCCGCACATTGAGCGTCCCGCTTCCCCTCCTACTACACCGAAGGGTCACCCGCTCTCCAAGGGACAGACTTACTTCAACTTCCAAGTAAGTCCAGCTCCCTTATACTTGTCTGGGCATAGCTGACAGGCAGTCCATCGTACCCATCTCCAAACCCAAAGCCGGACCCGGCCACACCTCTACCCTATCCTACCTCCTCCGCGTCCCCCGTCGATCGCGTCCTTTGGTGCTCGTCGTCTTCTGCGTCGTTGTCTTTGCCCTCGTCGCATTGACAAATGGCAGTCCTCGCGCTCCTGCCGGCGCGTCGACCCGAGTTCAGGCAACTGCCTTCGCCAAGATGGATGCGCCAATTGTCCCGCACGCAACGGTTCGGCCGACGGATCTACCATCTATCGCTTTCGAGTCGGCCGAGGAGGAGCTAGCGGCTCTCATCAGCGTGAGTCAGGCCTTGCATACGACCTGAGGCCCTAGCTGACGATCAGTTCATCACATCCACATCAGCCAACAGCCTGCCCTCGCTCGACCCCACAAAGCCCCTTGAACCCGGCGCGGTTCTCGACTTTGATCCTACCCACCCTAACGCCCGCGAGGATCTTAATCTGCTCAAGGACGAGATCCACACCCTCTACCCTCTTATCCTCTTCGGCAAGATGCGCGATCCATGGCACCGAGAAGTCAAAAAGATGCTCGCCGAATACAAGATCGTCCCCGCGCCACTCATTATCGAGCTCGACCAGCGTCGGGATAACGAGATGCTCTCGCCCCTCCTCGCTCGGCTGCTGGGGACCAAGGAGCTGCCGCTGCTCACGCTCTTCGGGAAGAGCTTGGGGAGCTACCACGATGTGCTGGATCTCAGGGAGAAGGGGGAGTTGAAGGCGGTGCTTGAGGAAGGAGGGATGAGTGTCAAGGCGGCCAAGAAGAACAAGAAGACAAAGAAGGAGAGGGAGAGGGAGGAGAATGAGCGGATCTTGGGACCGAGGCCGATCGTCGATGGGATCTAGGCGGGGAGGTGGGATTTGGGATATAGAGCTAGATTTTACTTTTTGGATACCTCACCTTCACTGTAGCATACTTAGTCTTTCATGTAGATACGTTTTCCCTGCCCTTCGCTCTTGTCAGTCGTACCTCGATGCCTCGGAAGAGCTGAGTTGGGCCCACTGCAGCCAAAGAGAGACGTGCAGCACTTCCGGCCCTGACCGGTCCATTTCGTCATGCCGCCGAGGCCCAGAACTTGGCACTGCATCGTTGCTCTCTACCTTGTCAATACTCTTGCACGATATAATACATTACTGCTCCGGTCGGAGCGGCAGAGCTACCCGCGCATACGACAGTAACGACCCACCTCATTGAAGGTTCGCACCACGAAAAGACGGCTGGCTGAAACATCCCACACGGACCCCCTGCCGCCCTTACTCCCCTCCCCTCCGTCATCACCATCATGTACCAGCAACCTCCTTACCACCCGCAGCCCACCTCTGCTCCATCACGATACACCTCTCCGCCGATGCCTGGGGTACAGGACCCATACCGCGCGGCACCTATCGCAATGCAAGCGCGGTCACCCTACACATCCGCAAACTCGGCCTTATCTCCCCCTTCCTCCTCCTCCTCCGGTTTCTCCCCCATGCCCGCTTCATCTTCCCGGCATCACCTTCCTCCGAATGCCCAGTACGCATCTCGGTCCGGTGGACCTCGATATACTAGCTCCCCAGCTCCAGGGTATGCTCCGGTGGGGATGGGGATGAACATGGGGATGGGAGCGGGCTACGGTGCCAACCCGCCCCTGCCTATCCCGCCTCAACAGACCCCTCAACAGAAGTACAAGGGCACCTTGGCGCCGGGCACGATCATCAAGGTCGGTGATGCCCAAGTTCGGATAGAGAGGTATCTCTCCGAAGGGGGTTATGCGCATGTCTACCTCACGACCTCGGACAGGCCGGTGTATCCCCCTTCGGTCGGCGGTGGTGGTGGGGGCACGGCGAGTAAAGGCAGATGGGGAGAGAAGGGGTATTCCCAGCATTGTCTGAAGAGGATTGCGTTTGAGGATGAGAAGGTGTGGGTGGATGTAAGACAGGAGATAGAAGTTATGGTGAGTATAAGGAGCTGTGTTCGGTGGACATCAAGCGCGCGGGGTGTGAGCTGTGGATTCAGATGGAAGCTGAAGAAGGGTGGGCTATAGGAGGCTCTGATGTTATGAGAGATTGATGAGTTGCATTGACTGAGCTGATACCCCTCAGAAAGCTCTCCCGCCCAATCCACACTTGACGCAATATCTTGCCTCGGCGCACTCAAGACTACCAAACGGAGGGTATGAGGTATTCATCTTGATGGAGTTCTGCTCTGGTAAGTCCTCTTCGACAGCCTATATTCTCCGAGAGGGCTGTATACTGACTCTCCTCAGGCGGAGGTATCATCGACTTGCTCAACAAGCGATTGCGGGACAGGCTGAAGGAGATTGAGATCTTGAACATCTTTACGGACGTTTGCGAGGTGAGCTACCATTTGCATCTGGTTGAAAGGCTTCAGCTCATGATCTAGGCTGTAGCTGCAATGCACCATCTCAAGCAGCCATTACTACATCGAGACTTGAAGGTAAGTGACGGCACACCCGTCCATGGATCGGACAAAGCTGATTCCTGTAGATAGAGAACGTATTATCTGCACCGACTGGGCAGTCCGCCTCCCCACAACGACCCACACCCCTCATATTCAAGCTGTGCGATTTCGGCTCTACGACCTTCCCCTCATCCCATCCCCCGCAAAATAAAGTGGAAGCAGAAGCGCTCGCGCTGAATCTGAACAAGCATACGACCCTGCAGTATAGGAGTCCGGAGATGGTGGAGCCGATGTTGGGCTGGGCTGTAGGGCTGCCAAGTGGTGAGCTGGCTCTCGCACTGAAGCCCTGTCTGTGCGGAGAGGATTCAAGCTGATACCTTAGATGTCTGGGCATTAGGCGTACTCCTGTACAAGCTGTGTTACTATACCACACCGTTCGAGGAGCACGGAACACTCGCTATCGTCAATGCGAAATACTCGTTCCCGCAGTACCCCGTCTACTCGCCAAAGATACAGCATCTGATAGGTGAGCTCTTCGATACTTCTGTAAGGCCCGCAGCTGACGCTCTCAGCTTCGATGTTGGTGGATCACCCAGCGAGACGTCCCAGCGTATTTGAGATCCTGAATGTCGCGCATGAGATGAGCGGGACTCGGCCAGAGATTGACTACGTAGGTCAAGCATCTTCATACCCAGTATCAGAGCTGATGTACTAGCCTTTGCCCTCCCGGTCCTTCCCACCATCATCAAGTCAGCCCTCGAAGCCAAAGAGCACCTCCACCAACCTCCTCGACTTCACGTCCCCCTCTCCCACTCCATCTTCCGCACCCGCCCAGCCAGACATCACCAGTACGGTCCAGCCCCAGCGGCGCGGTCGCCCCACACGTGAACCGAGCAATCGGCCCATGTCTTCCTTTACCCCGCCCATGTCTTCTACCTCGACTCCCAGTCTACAGCCTATGTCCCAGCCGCCGGTCGTATCGGCCGAGCCCAAAGCTTCGAAGCCGAAGATGCGAGTCACAGGGGAGCAGGAGGTGCAAAAGGCGAAAACGGAGAAACAGCCCAGTATCGATGCCTTTGGGATGCCCGCTATGGCTGCGCCAGGCAAGGAGGCATCCACCGGATCAAGCGGGTTTGGCGATTCCTTTGCTGCGTCTCAGCCAAAGGGCGTTGCGGGGATATCTCAGCGATTCGGCGGTGGTGCACCTGCTCGGTCCGGGACGGCCGACTCGGGCTTCTCGGACTCTTTCACTGCACCCAAGCCGGCCTCGCAGCCGGTCCGCAAACCAAGTCACCGCGTCGCCAGCCCCGAGAGCACCTTGTCATCGTCCCGCTCAAACCCCACGGTCACGACAGAGGCTGCCGCCGGCGATCTCAGCTTCGAGACTCGGTTCCCCTCGATCGACATGCTCGACTCGGCGGACGGGGCAACCCCTCAACCAGCCAAGTCCGCATCGAACCTCATATCTCCCATCACGTCTCCTCCTATCTCGAAACCGCCCCTTCAGCCCCGAGCGTCGATGATGGGTCACCTCACTGGGGATATGGCGCCCAAGCATCAGCCACTAGCTGTTCGGGCAGAAGGCGGACCTCAGCCTCGCTCGACCCAGGTCACCGGGACGGCTTTCAAGGTGTCTGATGAAACACCGCCGGCGGGTTCGAGACCAGTCAAGGGGGATTACTTTGATGGGCCGAGATCGGGGCAGGGATCGGCGGGGAGGAAGGCGGAGAGTCCGGTGGACCTTATGACGGGAGACGCATACTCGAGTATGACTGCTACTTCCCGTCAGAACTCGATGGCTGTCCCTACGGTCTCAGAGCCAAATGGAGGGGCTGCCGCTCCTGGGCCGGACGAGTCCCGCTCGTTGCTGAGCTCCGGGGCGGACGATGCGGACTCGAGTGACGAAGAGGATGTCCGACCGGAATCCGCCTCGGGAACGGGAATGGGTCCTTCCACCTCCATCCCGAGCGGACGTCAGGCTGGCTTCCCTTCTTCCTCGAGTATGGCCTTCAATGGGTCGTTGGGACGTACCAACTCTTCTGGTCTACCCCCGTCCTCGTCCTCCGGTCCATCGCGCGCTGGTCCGGGTATCACTGCACCCAAACCCGTCTTGCGGCGATTATCGACCGACCGCGTCCGTCCGCAATCCATGTTTATCCCTTCTCCCTCCTCGTCTGGCTTCAAGCCACTGGTCTCCCCCTCTTCCGCCGGACTACCAAACTCTGCTTCGGCCGGCGCGGGTCGACCAAGCCATATCAGAAAAGGAAGCATTACGGACATGGTGACGAAATACGAGTCGCTGCAGTCACCGTCGTCCGCTAAGGCGTCGGTGTCGCCAGAGCGGAAGCCTCGGGTCGAGCCAGCGGGTGCGAGGGATGGTGCGATCAAGGGGGAGGAGAAGGTGCCGAACGGGCTGGGGAGGAAACCATCCGTCGCCTCAAAACCGCAGACTTTGCGCAAACCCTCCGCCAACGGCGGGATCGCCAGGCTATCCACCTCGCCAGAGCAGGAGAAACAGGGAGGGGTCTCGCCGGTATCATCCATCCCGTCAACTACCAAACCGACGAATCTTTCATCCGAGCCCACAAAACCCAAATCCAGCCCCTCCATCTCCGACAAACCTATCCTCGCACCCAAACCTAGTCGACATGGGGACATGCCCGCCATCGCTGGGTACTCCAAATCCTCCTCGGGTCGGTCATTCCCCATCTCCAGAGCTTCTCCCGCCGTATCAGCCTCGGCGAATCAGCCTCGGACGACGACGCCGCTCAGGGAGACGCAAAATGTCACGCCGACGCAGGCGCAGGGACAAGGGCAGGGCAAGATGGGGTCAAGCGCCGGGAAGGGGAATGGGGAGGGGTCGCCGGAAAAGCAGCAGTCTGTGGGGTCACTTATTGCGAGGTGGAACCAGACCAAATAGGCTGGAGATGGGCGTTTCTGGGGTCGAGGTGCAGATGATGCTGATCGTCGGATTTGATGGAAGTATACGATGTAGTGCTCGCAGGGTAGGCAGATAGTGGTGCCGGGGCTGACCGGCTGCGCTGACCATACACTCACAAGGTCTGCACAGGGCGTACTCTACAAAGCTCATAAGATCGACTGACAAAACTAATGAACAACAAAGCGCCCTGCACTATTCCCTAGTCGGGCTTGGCACACCAGCATCAAGCCACAAGCCGCCATCTCCCACACAGGTGTCCGGCAGCATGGCCAGGTCTCGCTCTTCCCATCCTCCCGGCTCAAGAGTCCCTGCGCATCCCGCCGCGAACACTTCCCACCGCCAGTCCTCACATCTGACCGTCCACACCCATACGGCTGACTCGTACATCCTGTTGATTCCCAGGTCTCTGAACCTCGCAGCCGTCGCTCTCGATGAGTTCAAGACATTCTTAAAGACCTTAGCAGAGAAGCATGGCCTTTCGACGCCCCTAACACGGAAGCAGGCGTGCGCGTCGGACTTCTGGCGAGGATCGTAAAGTTCTTGAGGCAGGGCTGGACCGTGGATGACACCGGCAGGTTCCTCGGGTTCACCTGTCGATATCTCATCTGAATGATCCTGGCAGTTTCTGGCTTCGCCCACAGCCTCAACTGCCTCGCTCAGGACTGACGCAGCCGCCTCCGAGGGGTCCAAAGCGCCACGATACCCCCCTTCAAGCCTTCGTTTCAGCATCTTCCCGAAGATCCGGTTCTTGACACTTGTCAATAACAGGTCGTCCCACCCTATCATCCACTTTGGCTTGTACTCCAGGACCGACTCGTGCCTGATGAGGAAGTGTCCATGACAGGAGATCAGATAGCGTGGCTCCTGGTTCTGCAACCGGTTGGCGTCGTTGGGGTCTCTCTATGTCAATCAGTCACAAGTCATCACGATTCTGACGAGGGTGCCCACCTGTAGTAGAGGGCTGCATTGTAAGCCAACAGCGGCCAGGATCTCCTCGACCCCCTCTCGCGTCCACTTCACATCGATGGGGTAGTCATAAGAGGGCTGAAATATAAGTAGATTGCACATCGGTCGTTTAGTGCGTTTTGTACTGACATGCTCATTTGCTCGTCCAGCAGACTCATCGTTCGTCAGATGATTTTCGACAAGGTCCTGATGATCAGCGATCTGACCCCACCTTACGAGCGCTTTCACTCCCGTACGAGTCACTCACGCTTGCAGCTGCCGCGATATCCTCGCGCTTTCTCCCATGCTCTGTCACCGCTCCGCTCGCGTCGACCGTCCCCTCAGCAGCCGCTTCGGCCTCAGCCCTGGCTTCGTGCATAGCCCGCCACGCTTCATCCGCTTTGGCATCCAAGTGAGCCCGTATTTGCATCTTCGCGTTCAAGGGCATCACTTGGAGGTGTGCGTCCGCGCCAGGAGCTGACCAGTCGTACATCGCCCAGAATGCGTCGGCCAACATCTTTCTAATGAGCCTGTTGCCTTGACGTACAGTTGGATTTCCAGATGCTCACCTCGTTGTTCTCGGCCTCTACCAAATCGTTCCACAGCTCCAAGATCAGGTCGCACGGTGACTCAGGTAGCTCACGAATCTTGCAGCTGCGTATTGTGCTCGTTATCATGGCCACCTCTTCGCGCACTGGCTGCGCGAGCTCAGCTTCATGCTCCTTCTCCGCCGGGAAGGTACCGGATGCTGGTGAAGCCCGGGCAGGCTCCAGCTCAATTCTCAAGCGATGATATCTGGGTGGGGCAGGTGGAAGGAGACGGAGCTCAGGAGGGGGATTCGCAGGTCTGGCAGTTGCCTTCCCGTCAGGTTGACTGGGTGCAAGGGCCTCGCGTTTCAATGCAGCTGCTTCATCGGTGGTACTGATCGCCGTGCTCTTGCCTCCGACATCAGCGCGACATTTGTGATCCCCACTGCCGGTTGTGCCAGGGATGCGGGGCGTGCTCGCCACCTTCGAGCCTTTCTCGGGCTTCAACGCCTTCTTGTGCTCTTTGCCAGTCTTGACGGTTGCATCGGACTTGTTCGTTCCCTTCTCGCCGTCCGCGACATCCTCGCTCAGATTAGAGGCGTCTGCAGCTTTTGCTGTCCGCTTGGCATGTCGTTCCGCCCTTCGAAGAACGAAAGCTCTGGTCTCCGCTTGCCACCGATCGTACTCGGCCTTCTTCTCCGCCCTGGTCTGAGCGGGTGGTGCAGGGCTCACGGACACGGCGCGAGGTGGGGAATATGGATAGCAAGTAACGGCCATGATAGGGGATCGTCGTACACCCAACCGGATGAGTTCTGTACCCGGGTGAGTAGGCTGATGTATGGGCTTCAAAGTAGAAGTTTACTGACCTATATGCGAGGAGATTCTGTCTTTCCAGTTCTTGGACAGCGTAAATGATATGGAAAGAAATGAGTAAGCGCTAAGACCAACTTGCGATGGGCTCGGTCTTATAGTTGCGGCGCCGGTCTCACTCGAGAGGAGGAGTAAAGGTAAAAAGGGATGAGGGAAGACAAAGGTGGGCGCGTCTAGGACCTGCTGGAGGCTGCGTGAAAGCTCTAGAACCAGGGGTACAAGAGCCAGGGATCGTTCTGGTAAGTTCCTCGTGATGGGCGATCATGGGCGACCAGCCTGGCGAGGGGCAAACGGACCCGCCCGCTTGTGCAGGTCAACAAGAAGACAATGGCGCATGCTGTAATGGTCGACGACGATATACACAAGCGTGCATGATAGCTGATATATAAGTACAAGTGAATGTCTATCCGCCAGGGTCCAGACTCAGCGATTTCTCTCTGGTAGTGCTGAATTATCACCCTGGCGTGTCAGTAGTAACGTCCTCCACTGATCTAGCACGACCAATCATGGATGTCCGCCTCGATCACCTCCGCCCACTCCATCTCGCTGTGGTGCACCTCCATTCCTCTGTCATCCGCAAACACCTTCCAATCCCGCTCCTCCCATCCTCCCGGCTCAATCACTGCGCACCCCGCCGCAAAGTTGCGCCACCTCCACCGCTCGCACTTCTCATGCCACACCCAGATCATTGGCCCTTCCTTCTTCTCCATGTGAGCCCGCGCCTTTTGCTCGACCGCCGCCTCTTCCATCGCGGCAAAAGCAGCCTTGAGGTCCGCGAGTGGGATGTTGGCAGCTTCGGGACCGAGCATCTTGACGATCAGGTCGGCGTCGCGGACGGGGTCGAATGCGGCCTCCTTGTGTCGCTGGGCACGCTTGGCTTCGGCTGCAGCAGCGGCTGCTTTCTTGGCCTTGTCGTCGTCGGCCTTTTTGTCGTGCTTCTCCTTGTCGGCTTGCGCATCCGCATCCTTCTTCTTCTGCGCGGCGACGAGATCCTCGACTTTCGGGCCGACTAGCTCCGCCTCCTCCTCGTGCTTCTCGTCCAGACCGAGCCCCACCTTCTCCTTGACCGGTACAGCCACGATGGCGACGTCCGCCTTGTCGCCTGTATGATGAACGATCTGAGCGCCATGGGTACCGGGGACGGCCGCATCCTTGTCCTTGTGTGCGCGGTGGGGATGTGCGGCGGTATCGTGAGCTCTGTCAGGCTTGCCTCCGTCCTTCCCCCTGATCTTCTCGTCCCCGTCCTTGGCCTGCTTTGCTTCCTCGGCTGCGTCATTCCCCTCCTTGTCACCCTTTTCTTTGCGCTCCTTGTCTTTACGCTCCCGATGCTCCCTCTCTTTCCGATCCCTATACTCCTTCTCCTTCTTCTTACGCTCCGCCGCCGCCTGTGCGAGCACCATCTTCCCAAACACCCGATCGTTGGCGCTGGTGACGAGAGCTTCGAACTTGTCGGTGGTGCCGTCCGGCTTGAACTCAATGTCGGCTTCGATGCGGAGAAGGAAGTGACCGTGCGAGAGGAGTAGGTAGCCGCGATCGGGTGTAGACCAGTGACGGGGCAGAGGTTTCTGATTATCAGCTGCAATCATGATGAAGAGGAGAAGTCAAAACTGCTCACCTCAGTATTGAAAGCGCACTGGACGCCGATGGTGGCGAGGACCTCCTCTACTCCCTCCCGAGTCCACTCTGTCTCGAGCGGGTACTGGTACGTCGGCTCCACAGGTACCTCCTCCTTCTTCTCGTCGGTCTGTTTCTCCTTCTTCAACCCCTTCTTCTCATCCTTTACAGCCACCGTCACTGGCGCGGCCGGTACCTTGACCTCCTCTGACTTCTTCTCGGCGTCAACCTTGACCTTCGCCTGGTTGTCCTTCTCCTTCTCCTCACCCTTGTCCGCCCCTTCTTTGTCTCCCGCCTGCTCGGCCTCGGCAGCATCCTTTTTGCGCTTCTCTTCTTCCTTCTCCTTCTCCCTGATAGCCCTCGCAGCAAGCCTCGCCTCCTCCTCGACCTTCGCCTCCTTCTCGAGCCGGCTGATCTGAGCTGCCTTGGCCTTGGCCTTCTCCTCGGCCGGCATGAGCTGAAGGTGTCTCTCGGCTTTTGGATCGCTCCAGTCGTATTTCGCCCAGAAGGACTCGACCGACATCTAGCATATCAGCATTGAACCCGCTGCCAAGTCAAAGCAAACTCACCTCTTGCGATTCGGCCTCGACCAAGTCGTTCCACAACTCCAAGATCAACCCCTCCGCAGTCCCCGGCACCTTCCGCACCACATTCGCTTGCTTCGCCTTGGCCACCTCGCGCAGCCGCTGGTTCTCAGCCTCCCCTGTCAGTCGCGCGAGCGCCTCCCTCTCGTTCCTCTCGCGCCACTGCTCATTGAGCCACCCGTCCCGCGTCAGGTCGATATGGATCAGCTCGGACGAGATCGCCTTGGCGTACTTGGTGTATGCACCACGAGGGTCGGTGTTGATGGGTGGGTAAGGGCGGATGGGATTCAGGTCGAGACGGGATCGGAGAGGACGATGAGGGACAGGAGGAAGCAAGCGGAGTGGAACGAGAGGTTTCTCAGGCTTGGCTGCTTCGACGGGGTCGGTCTTGGTGGCGGTGATGGGCTCCGAGGGCTTGTCGTGAGAAGCAGGAGGAGCAGCCTTGTCAGCCTTGTCCCCTGCTTTGTCTTTCCCCCCTGCATCGCCACCCTTCTTCTCAGCCTCGAGGGCCGCCTTGGCGTCAGCCTCGACTTTGGCCTTAGCTTCTCGGTCGGCTCGTCGCTTCTCGTCCTCCTTCTTGACCTCCTCTCGGGTCTTGGGAGAAGGAGCGGGGTGGACTGCGAGAGCGAGCGGAGGAGGGGCGATGACGCGGTGGAGAGACATGTCGGGTAGGGCGCAGCGGGAGTAAATGGAAGTCTATCAGATCAGCGTCGAACGTTCTAGCTAATTATCGGAACAGACTCGGATTGGAGACAGAGGAAGGACATACCGTGACTCAGCTCGTAAAGAGTTTTCTTTTTCAAGTCTATCAACCTCGAGGGCTATAGTCAATAGTGAGGAGCGGTGATGTGGGCCACAGCAGGTAAAGTACAAAGAGTACGCAGAGGGCCGGCCCACTAAGTACCTCCTTGCGAGAGGCCCCACCCCTGAGCAGTCAAAAGAGGCGAAAGAGGGAGTCAGACAAAGGATCAGACACATCAGTCATGTCAGAGGTACCAGAAAGGAGCGATATGATAGGTGTTGAAAAGGGTGAAGCGGTTGAAAGGACGACAAGCGCTGGTGTTTTCGGGAAGGCCAGTTGACCACGACCCGAAGCGGAGCGGGGCCGCGTGGAAGGCGCCAGCGTATCGACGTCTTAGCGAGTACTGCCCTGCGTAGACACCTCTGCATAGATCCAAACCCAAGACGAATCCTCCCCCTCAAATCGCCAGGCCCAGAATCATCGCCCCGGCGGCGAGCACCGCTGCGGCGCCTGAACCAGCCAGATTGACCCTCGAGGCGCCGCCAGTCCGGCTGGCGGACGCTGCGGCACCTGCGCCGGCGAGAGTCGCGCTGGGCGTGGTAGATGTGCTCGATGTGGGGACAGTCATGGAGGTGAAGGTCGAGGCGGATGTTGAGATGGAGGAGCGTGATGTTGAGGTGGTTCTCGCAGTGGTGGAAGAGAAGGAGGGGGTAGTTGAGCTGGTTGCTGCCGCGACACGAGGAGCAGGTGAATCGGTAGTCGCAGCTGAGCTGATCAGCGATGCCTCTACAACGCATGCCAAGGTGCTCACCAGCTGTGTTCTGCTCTGCCTCGGACCACACCGCACTAGGGCTGGGACTCTCGCTCCACGCCGCTGGGAATGGGCTGACCCACGCGCTCGAGCTTGGGCTCGCACTGCCCCCCGCGCTACTTGAGCCTGCCGCTGTACCGCCTAAACACCAGCTGTCCCCCGCCCCGACCTTGATGTTCTGGATGTACGCGACGCTGCCCTTGGCGTCGGTGACGCGGAACTCGAGCGTCTTGCCGGCAGGCTGATTGACGAGCCAGGTGGTGCTTCCGCCGCTGATCTCGGAGAGGGTCGTTACGGGGGTCTCGCCGACGTAAAGTCCACCGAGGGCGATGAAGAGGGAGACTGGGTCCTGAGTTGATTAGCATGGTACATGGGGAGTGATTGATCACATACATTGGCTCCCGTCCAGCTGATATATGCGGTCTGGCACTGAGCGACATTGTCTGCCTTGACAACGATGTTGCTGACTGCATGAGTCAGCTATTGAGCCACGTGCAAGGCGAGGATGACTTCACTTACTGGGAGCACCAGCAAAGACGTCCCCGATGGCGCCTCCCGCTCGCTCCTGTGGCTGATGGGGGGCAGCCATAGTGAGAGCGGGTACGAGGACCGATAGGAGGATGGCAGAGTAAGAGGGCATGTTGCGGATGCTGCTGAGTGTGTCGTGACGTGCGGGTGAGAAGGTCAGTGCGGAACGGAGATGAGATGCAGATGTGAGAGCCAGCCCCAATTGCTTCCCAATTCTTCTTGCTGTTCAGCCTTTGCCTGTGCTGCCCTTGACGCGACTTTGACCACCGAGATGACCTACCTCATCCGATGGTGAACCAGTCGATGAGTCGTGATTCGCGACGCGTTCTCCCCGCTTTCCCCGCGTGCGTTTCAGATTTAGGCTCAAGTTTCCCCTTCAGGGCCAACGGACGCGTTTCACCCCGTTTCGCCACGTGGCGGCTAGTCTTCTAGATCTCGAACCGCCGCAAGGAGCTGCCAGGGCCTTGTCTTCCTTCAATGCTCACCATAATCGACTTACAATCACCCCTTAAACGATCGATTGCAACGGCACTCCTCTATTCGCAGGGGTCTGCCCTCGAGACACCGACAATCGAGCTGACCATACTATAATTGGCCATCCCCCCGTGCTTCCTTTGATACACTCGCCATCATCATCACGCACCCCGTGTCGTCTCCCCTGGCGAACGCGACATGGCTGGGTGCTGATGTACCTCTGAAACTAAGATCTAGCAGGGGCTGACCACCTGACCTTTCTTTAGGGGTATGGCCGTTAACAGCCAGCAGGCACGAGATCTCTTCAGGCGGGTGATAGGCTGACGTCCTGTGGATTGGATGACTGTCTTCTTCCTTTGCGATTTCCTTTGTCTGCCGCTGTTTCGACCGGTCCATGGCCGCCCGGATAACAGCTATATAAGCCTGCTCTTTTCTGCGCCTGTTATCGAATCATCTCACACATCCACCTCCGCTTGCCCCTCGAATCCACTCACCCTACTCATCCCCACCCTCCTAGTGTCCAACCTTGGACATTCACCCTCCATATCCTCTCAAGTCCACACTTCACACCCTCGCACCCTGATCCACAGTGCCGCTGCGACATGCGCACCTCGTTCTGGACCGCTCTTGCCGCCCTTGTGGCTGTCACTGTCCGAGCCGACACCTACCGGCTCGAATTCCACGCCGAAACGGGCACCACTTTCGAGGACCCCTGGGACGGGCACTTGGTGGTAGGTCCCGGCTGGATCTGGCAGCCTGTCAACGAGGGGTTCCCCGGGCTCGCCGTCTTCGCCAACATATACCCTCCCAATGCACCGCCTAAGAGACTCCGTGTAAGTGGCTCTTCTTTAGCCTTTCGCTCCATACCGCGTGCTAATAGACTCTCAGTGCGAGATCCAGGCGAATGACGCTACCACCGGTTATGACAAAGAAAATGCGAAACTGTTCTTCCGACCGGTGGTGGGGGCGACCTATGCGCTTGAGCTGGACACTTTCGAGTTCCGCTCGTGGAAGGTAGACTGCTGGGAGGTGTTCGATTAGACATAGGTCGCCAGCTACGGAAAATCGATGGACGGAGTATTCTTGACATGTAATTAGGGTATGCGAGGTGTAGCCATGCCGGGAGGTGGAAATTTTTGGTAGGCCTCAGAAGCGAACGAACAGCCGGATTCTTGCCAGTATGGAAACGTGTCTGAGCAGCCCTGCTTCTGCGGTATCGCAGTACTATGGCCGTCACATCGACATTGCCATTGCCTGCAAAGGGCAGATGATCTGCGTGCTGTTAGCGCCGTGAGCCTGGATTCGCTATTCGCAGTTACGTGTCGTGAATTTTTGCTGCACTACCGAGCGGTATGGTATATCTACATACTCTATCACTCAACCCCTGGCCCCCTACTACTGACCGTGCATGCCTCGCTCCTCATCTACAGTATCAGAGCCGTACACAGCCCACCCACCGCGCCCATCCCCATGATCCCTGCTCTGACAGCATTCAGCCCTTCGAAGCGCCTCAACAGTCCATCCAGCTCCTCTTTATCCTTCTCTACCGCCCCCGCCCCTCTCTTCTCCCTCTTGTCGTAAAGGTCCAACAGCGCATGGTTCGCCAGCGGCAGCATCACCATCACCGTAAAAGGCGCGATACCCAGTGTCCCCGCAGCAGCCACGCTGTACCCGCTCCGGGCGGAAGTACCAGCCGGGGACGAGTAGGCGAGGAGGCCATACAGGCCGGTACAGACTACCGAGAGTGTGGGGTAGATGTGCGATCCGGAGGAGAAGAGGGCTTTGACGTGGTCTAGCGCCCGAGCGGGGGAGTGGTCCACCGAGACGGAGCGGATGATGGGGATTGAGAAGTAGGAGAGGGTAAGGATGGAGCCGGCAGTAGCGGAGGAGAGGAAGGGAGCGAGGATGGTTGCGGCGGAGATGAGGTCGCGGGGGATGACGATTGTGGATGGCATGGTGGTAGGTGTGCTGGTGGGGCGATCTGGCGAAAGAGGACTTGAGGGGGTGTTTTTATGGGCGTTTCCTTCCTCCTCCATTTGCCACCCGCGGCGACCACCTCCGCGGCGCGGAGGGTCACCGTGACAATGATGTCACCCCTCCTTGAGCATTCCTTGTCAGTCTGGATCAGCGTTACATTCCTCGTGTACCTGGGTGACTGCTCCGATATCTATCGCCCATCCCTCGCATCGGACAAGAGCTGCGGTATGACAGCCGAAACGGAGCCGCCTCTGTCCCGAAGACCTCCGAAGCTCGCTTGCCCAACCCTTCGTTCGGACATCAGGGTACGGCAATGAAACAGCTCTGGTGTGATCGGCGGGATGTCCGAGCGGCATGAACGGGAAGCTTTAAGGGGAATTAAGCTAAATTTCCCCTGCCCATACCAGCATTTAGCGCACGGTCGACCAGTCGAGAAGCTTGTGAAGCCATGGGCATGTACATGTTGCCCGCAATCCGCAGACTCTCTTTATGATCTTCCACACCGCCACTCTCTGATGGACCCACGGCCACGCAAATGAAGATGATCACTCAGTACTCAGCACCTAGCCTCGCCGGGCATGTCGATCCCCCTCCGACTCATGCCAGTTCGGCGGAAAGAAGAAGGACAAGCTGCCAGACTGACGCAGAGACGCAACATGGTATGCTTGAATGTCATGACTATATACAGCTACAGCTACAATACGGCCTCCCTGCGGGGCGAGCTACGGTTTCTATCTACTATATGACAAACATGTGAGTGTGGGCCGTTAATGCTATGCGATGGTCGAAACTATATGAAGGTATGAAGGAAGGGGGAGGAGATACAACTGCTGACAACGTAGGGGCCGAAAATTGATACAACCGGAGAACCAAAGGAAGAGCGGGGTCGACCGTCCGCGCGAGAAGGGAAACCCCAAAGGCCCAAGACTGAGACGCTTCCACTACGCCCGCCTATTGCTGGAGGTTTGGGTACATGACTCGGAGGTCATTCGAGCTTGGCTGGCGTTCGATGGACTGGTGGACGTGAGGGAGGTGATGCGATGGCTCGCCGTGTCCGGGGGCCGGGTGGTGCATGTACGTCGCGCCGCCGTGGGGCATACCATAGCCGCCTGGTCCACCGCCCGGAGAGCCCATGCCGGGATAGTACGCCGTAGTACCGGAATAGGATGACATGTGAGTCGGGGATATATTGACGTAGTCGCCGTGGTGGGGGCGCTGGTGCTGGTGGTGCATCGCTTTTTCCGAATTGGAGCGGTAATGAGGGGGCGTCTCAACGTGGGAGTGGGAGAGGTGGTGTGCCGGGTAGTGAGAGTGGTGGGCTTGTGAGAGGTGGGAGGAGGAGTCGGGGTGGGAGTCGTACATGCCCGAGGCGGCAGAGAAGGCCGAGTCGGTCGAGGCATTGGTGGTAAGGGCGGGGATAGATTCGGTAGAGGTGCTCTCATACGAGTGCATGTGGGGAGGGGGCATATGCTCGCTCGGCTGGAGTGGGGCGGGGTGAATAGGATGACCGGGATGAGGAGCGTGAGTAGGGTGGATGGGGTAGCCGCCGACGTAAGGGAGCATGTGGGTGGAAAGTGCGGGCGAGATGGCTCCGGGATAGGTGGCAGACTGATCATCAGCTCAAGCACCCAGCCTTTAAACTGAAGTACTCACGTATTTCCCGATAATCTTCTTCAATGCCTGCCCCAAGATATCCCACGGAAACACCTTGACGTCCTTCTCGATGTTTCTCGGCTTGGGATTCGGGAACCCCATGATGAGCTTGAAGAAGTCCTCGCTCCCCGGCTTGCTCTTGCTGACCGTCAACGGCCTGAATCCCTCGAGGTTCCGCCTGATCCGGTTCTTCTCCTCGACGGTGAATCGATTTCCGACGAGCGCTTCGAGGAGGTAGATCGCGTCGACCGAGGTGACGTAGCAGAGGTTGTTGTCCTCGCGGAAGATGCAGGAGATGATGATGCTCTGCGTGTGCGCCGAGTACTTGTCCTGTGGGATACCCTGGAAGGCCGCAGTGATCTGCGTTCCATCCTGCTTGCGCCAGAATTGGACGAGGCGGCGTCGGTTGTTCCACTCGTCGGTTGTCCTGGAAATCAGCGGAGACCTTTCGCTTGCAAAAGCTACTCACCATCCCTTGGCCATGTTGTTTAGATCGCCGACGAGCTCCAGAGATGCCTTGCCGCCCGGTAGGTGAGTGGGTGTGGGATAGGGCGAGACGGGAGCCGAGGGTACTTGCGATGACCGTTGGAGAGGGGGATTTTCGGGAGCGACGTACATGGACGGGCCAGGTCCTGTTGGAACCCACGCTGCGTGATGAGGTGACCCGTACTCGGCTGACATGTCAGCTGACGATGCTAAGCTGATCAGTACTCACACTGCATAGATGGCGTGCCGTACGATGGTAGCGGCACATGCCCGGCGACATCAGGAGACGTCGAGTCGTACTTGAAGCCCGTTGACATCATGCGCCGATGGATGTAGCCATTTGGGCCTGGAGGAGCGGAGCGGTGAGATTCGAGGGGATCGCCAGACCGTTTGAGAGGATTCACTGAAGGTGCCGAGGTGTACCCGCCATAGTTGGGAACTGCTGATCAGCTCATTCCTGCCGGACCATTACTCAACTCACCTCTAGATCCCGACGAGAACGACAAATACGAGTAATCGCCCAACGCAACCGACCCCACAATCTCGACTCCACCCAGCAATACCTGTATCGAGACCGGCACCCTGTTCCCGCTCGCCGCCGTCGCCACCAAAGACCATCCCGGTACCTGCACCTTGAGATGCACCATCTGCCCGCTCGTCAATGGGTCCTGGATCTGGGTGACGGTGGTCGGCAGGGGATGTTGGCCGAATACGATACGGACCGCTCGATCCCTGGCTGGCGCTCCATCTGCTGACTGAGATGGCGATTCCGCGGGAGATGGTGGGAAGCAGAGTTCGCACTTGACGGTGAATTCTCCGCCGGGCGATCCCTGCATGACGGTCGTCTCGTGCACGCTGATCTGGTCTGACGAGAACGCAGGAGCGGGGGTGGGGGCGGGGGTAGTCTCGAGTGGCGGCGGTGGAGGAGCGGCGGGGAGATCATAGGAAGGAGGAGCTTGTGCCGGAGCAGGGGCCGCTGGCGACATGTAGGTGCGCTGTGGCGCGTTTGACCCTACTGATCCGGGTTGGCTGTAGGATTGGTTGAGTTGAGGAGTGGTGGGGGTGGCATAGTCGGTCTGCGGCGAGGCGCCGTGGGAGGGGTATGCGGGATCCATCCTGGATGGTATGGCCGAGTAGTATGGCCGGGGTAATCGAGGAGAGGCGTATTGGGATTGAGGGATGATGGGGCTAGGTGCCTGAGAGGGATAGGGGAGGTAGGAGGTGGATGCGTGATTACTGCCTCCACTGCGGATGGGACCGGGCGGCTGGTACAGCCGCGTCGGGGTGACGGGCGCCGAAGCGGGAATGTAAACGTCTAGGGGTGGTCAGCGGGATGCAGCTTTGGTGGAAGTGATAGAGGAATGGGAACTGATGGATACTCACCTGTTGGCCGAAACATGACGCAAGATGATCCAGATAAGGAGGGCGATCAAACAGATCCGAGACACATCCAAGACAAAAGGCGGAGAGTGAATGGGACGGGCGATATCGATAAGGCGCGGCGGGGAAAGGCGTATAGATGAGATGTGCGTAGCGGGAGAAGGCGAGCGGTTCGAGAGAAGGAACTTGAGTCAGCGATGGTCACTAGGGAGGCGGGCACATGCTGAAGCAATGATCAAGGTGAAGTCAATAGAGACGGGAAGACTGGACTGCACGACAACGCCCAACGCCTAAAAACGCCTGCTTGCGGTAATAGCTCATCGCCGCTCCGAAACGACCTCATCTCGCCTTCTGAGCTCCGAGAGACTCCCTCGCCCAGCCGATCTACGCACCCTGATACGCCCCACCCTGTTTGGCCATGGGCGCGGCGCCCGCTGTCTCCATCTGACGCCTACCACTCTTCCTCCCCTGAGCGGATCCAGCAATCTCTGCTCTTCGCCATCAAAATTTAAAAAAGATCGGCAAGGGAAAAGCGGGCTAGCATCGAAAGAGGATTAGATTGGCAGAGAGGGAGAGGGAGAGGGAGAGGAGGACAAGGTATGGGTCTGAAGGAAGAGAGAAACTTCTGAAACCGGCTGTAAAAGCTGAAGAGATGACGCCACTCCCCCTCCGATCAACCATAACCGGACGACATTACGCAATACAATGCCGGAAACGGCAACCGGGTTATCCGGTCCGTTCCGTCATCGACATCGGCGGCGATCGCCGCCCCGCCGCCCCCGCATTTTACCCCGCAACGCGTCACCTCAAGTCACGTCACGCCAGCCAGCCAACAACATACCAGATACCAAACACAGCAGAGATGGACAAGTACTTACCTTGCGTCAATGCAGCCAGTAGCCACCTTCGCACAATGCCTGTCCCTTGGCGATGCGGCGACTATGCCTGTGAGGAAGCTTGACGTCCGACGTGAATCCGATTTCCGGGTCGGGAGGGAAAAAGGCGGCGGAACCGGTTTCGGTCTCGGAGCCGGTGGGGGAGGAGAGTGACCTGTAGTACTGAACGCGGTGTCGAGCGCATGAAACCGTGGTGGTCGTCGCAGGCAGAACAGAGACAGAGGTGTGAGTCGTCAGTATCTGGTGGAAGAACAGAGGGGAAAGGCAGAGACAGGTCTCGTATAAGAAGCAAAACCAAGACCAACGGTTTGTTTGAGCTTGTGTCGGGGTGGAGCAGGCGAGGCGGGATCGGTGCCTGAGGGCGAAGCTGCGATATTGCGCCCCAGTCCCAGCTGAATGGGCCTAGAGGGTATGCTGCGGGTGGGTGTTTCATCTAGCGGAGCCGTGAAACTACTACTCCGAGGCAATCCGTCAGCCCCGCCGGCAGTGATAGATAGGCTCACGGGGTCGCTACGGACTATCACGCCTTCGCATCTCCTCGGATACCCATTCGCTGAACAGCGTGACTACCCTGACCCCAGAATCAAGACCGACCTGAAACAAACGTGCAGAATTTTCTAGAAAGGTGCCTTAAAGTACTCTTAAGGTACTTCTTAAGGTGCCTTAGCCAACGGATTGGAGCCGAAATTCATCCGAGACATCGATCGACAGCGTACCTATCAGTTGCCGAGGGCACTCGCAGCGCCTCTCACAATCTCTCAGCGCCATCCGTCGAGCGAGGTATTCATCCAGTACGTAAAAACTGGTAATCTCCGTGTGCATCCGCGTGCCCTTGGAAGGGGAAGAAGGAAGAAAAAGAAGATCGACGTCCACCTGCAATGCAGACGTGGACTGCGAAGATCTACATAGATAGCATCTGACGACCGACGAGCGGCATGCACATCTCGGCTCCAGGTGCCAAGCGGGAACAAGCTTAAGACCATACAACTAGCTAGCGCCACGCTGACGTGGTACACCTGGCTTCCGCGGTGCACCTCTCACTCATCCTCCTCTTTCACCTCGACTAGCTCTTCAACGCCACCGCCGGCGTCGCGCTCCTTCTCCTGGGCACCCCAATCCTCCGTCTTCTTGTTCCCGCTTCGAGCCGCCCCCCCTGCTCCATGCTCGGCCTTAACCCCGCCATCCCTAACCCCATTTTTCCACCTCTCGAATGCATCCTGATACCACCCATCCTCCCAGCACCGCTTCAGGACCTCCGCAAATACTCCCGCCCCGTCCAGCTTGCCCTGATCATGCACCTCTCCCGTCCGCTTAATCTCCTTCTTCTCGCCCGTCTCGTCGTCATGCTCATACTTCTTGCCTCCCGGTCGAAGAGCGTACCGAAGCGATCTGGTCCTTCCCATTTGGATGAACTTGCGAGCAGTATCGGCGCCTATGAAATCGTCCTTCTCTCTTCTTATCAGCTCGACCCACCGCCAGTACAAGAACAAGGCGAGAGACGCGCATGTACGACCTGAACATCCCCCAGATTACCTCCGAACTCTCCCTTGCCGCCGCCTCATCCTTGAACCTCCAAGCGCCCTTGATCTCTCCAGAGTACGGTGGCGTGGTGAACACCCCTTGCTCCGTCTTGAGTGCAGGGTAGGGGATCGGGTCTAGGTAATAGTCGTGCGTTTGATCGGGAACACGGTGCGTGATTGGCCTTGACACGGTCGATGAGGTCGAGGCACGGAGTCGAGAAGCCTTCACAGGTGATGCTTTGGGCATGCCTATGAAGGTGACGGGAAGATCAAGTGGGAAGGGCAAGGGCAGAAGGTGGACATCGAGCTCGGTGCTCATCATCAAGGTGTCGCTGTAACGGCGGAGACGGCGTGACGTAACGATGATGACCATGATCATGCATATGGCTAACAAGCTATAGGTGAAATTTCAACGCGATATCGATTTGGACCTTATACTCGTCACCATCTGCATCACCGAATGGCCATCCGCGCAGCTCGAGCGGTCATCCTGACCCGCAGAAGAGACCTCCCTGCATCATGTCTGCAACCATCGGTCTCGAGGATCAAGGTGCCTCGACCCGCAGCCCCGGCAGGGCTCACGGTCTGTTCGCAGATACTACTCCGCCATCTCGCCAGCTGCTTCTGGACTGGCTCGACCAGAACGGGGCGTACATCCACCCCAGCCTGCAGATTACCGAGATGGAGGACGGACCAGGCTGGCGGCTGACCTCCAAAGATAATATGGAGGCATTCGACCTGCGTGAGTGCTTCTTCAACCTCGATCCCGAGGGTCAAGCTGAACGCCAGTGTTCAGTATCCCCAAGCCCTCCCTCCTCTCCACTCGCACATCCTCCCTTCCTCCCCTGACTCTCTCTGATGGACCCATAACCAACATCTCAATCTTCCATCTCGCCCTTTGTCTACTGCACGAATGCCGCCTCGGCCAGCTCTCGCCATTCTACGGGTACGTGCAGAGCTTGCCGCGGGACACGACTGAGTGTCTCTTACCGATATTCTGGCATTTGACGGAGCTGGCTGGGGAGGATGGACCGAAAGGTCTGAGATGGCTTAAAGGGAGCGAGGTGGAGCGAAGGATGCAGAGCAAGGCAGCGGAGGGTTTGGGGTATGTACGTCCTCTTCCTCCTCTCCCTTACAGACGCCGCTGACCTCTCAGGATGACCTAGTCAAGTTCTATACCGCCACGTCTGCCCATCTCCCTTCTACTTCCACTCACCCGTCCCCATCTCCTCTCCTCGCCTTCATCCACACCTACACCCTCATCCTCACCCGAGCGTTCACTATCGACCTCTACCGCCCCACCGCCCTCGTCCCCTTCGCGGACATCCTGAACCACTCGTCCGACCCACATACCTCGCTCGCGTCCGATGACTTTGTGTGCCATCAGTGCGGATCGATGGGGCGGTGCATACACGATATCCTCGACCACGAGGGTCTACCATACCGGCTAAACGGGACGAGCCTGTCCAAGCCGCAAAAGTTCAAGATGGCGGGTATGCGGTCAGAGGAGGACGATACGGTCGAGCTGAGGGCGGAGAGGGAGGTGAAGTGCGGAGAGGAGGTGTGGAACAGTTATGGCGAGATTGGGGATGCGGGACTGTTGGCGGAGTGGGGGTTCCTCGGGGGAGAGTACGCGGGGGAGGGGTTGCTATGGAGAGCCGAAGAGGTGGATACGAAGGGCACGGCGTCTCTGGAGATCTGGGGACGGGTGATTGGCGTATATGCTGGCGAGACTGGCTCTCAGGCGGTGGATAGCGACCTCGAAAATCTCTGGGCTGGAGAAGGGGACGAGGAGGACGACGGCCAAGGTCTCATCTCACCACCATCGAGCGATACTGTCGGTCGATCCAAGCTCAACCTCTCTCTCTCCGGCCAGCTCTCATTCTCCCTCTTCCTCCTCGTCTACCTTGCCGCCGATCCACCTGAGGCCGACGACCCGCCAACGGATATACTGCACGATGCCAAGGAAGCAGCGGAGGAGATTGAGCGGGCGTACGCCGCGGTTGAGGAGCGACTGTCAGCTGAAGATGCTACACCTGCCAATGCAGAATCTCCCGCAGATCCACCGGCCAAAGCTCTTTCTTCCTCGGCGCTCGAGTGTGTTCATGGGGTGTTGGACCTTCTCAGGCGGCGGACAAAGGCAATGTACCGCTCGGACCTGTCATCGGATGAGGTACTGCATCTGCGAGATGTGAGTTGGTCCCCGCTGTTTCACGTCCGAATTGAGTGATGCTGACGGGCTCGCAGAACCTCCCACCCACGAGCAAATATACCAGGATGGCAATGACGCTCACGGCGGACGAGCGGAGTTTGTTGGCCACGACAATCAGGAGATGGGAGGATCTTGTATAGCGAAATTTTGGAGGAGCAAGAGGATGATTCGGTCTCTCCAGTCCAATGCAGGTGAAGACATGTCCACATATGCATGGACTTGCTTTCTACAATATGATATTGCACAACTACTTTACATCTATAAACACCGATTAGCCAATCCCACTGTTTCCCCTTCCTCCAAGTATCCAAGCTCTCCACAACGCATGACCCGTAATCCCTACTAAGACCCCGTCTAATCACCCTGGTACCTCTTGCCCCACATTGACCGCCCTGCCATAGGTCCATGATAATAAGAGCTGAGATATCAGCCTGGTCCTGCGAATTCCTTAGGCCATGGGCAGCTTACCTTGTATCCCTTTGTCTGCTCAGACCGGCCGCATCGGCCATATTCAAGCTGGTTTATCAGCACCCACCCTTCTCGGCCACAATCGACCAGAGACACGGAAAGCTCACTAGCCGAGAGAGCTGTACTGCGGTGCTCCGTGCGCAGCAGCACGTCCCTTTCCTTTCCCGCCGCCCGCATCGGCCCAGGGCGCACGACAGTAGACGCAAGTGACTTCCTCGCCTTTTCCACGCTGTCCACATGAGCTTCGTCGGCAGCTGTGCGTGGGTCTGGGAGCTCACCGATGTTATCGCCCACATCTGGAAACACTCCTTGTGCAAAGCTGTACTCGTTAGCTGTGTTCTTTTCGCTGATCCAGAAAGGCAGACTTACCATTCCCACATCCCGCCTCATCAAACACCAACTTGGAGCTCTTCAGATCCTGATCGGTCATTTCTTCGCAACAGCTAAGTACGTCAGCCTTGGCTTCTGCACATTCTGAACCTTCGTGAGGAGGCAATATACACTGGACAGTCATCCCCTACGACATCCTTCTTTGGCTTGGCGGCCGCGGCCGGAGGAGCTTCCACTGCCATCTCGGGCGCTCCGCCTTGGCCCGTCGCTTTGAGATATGCGGCCCTGACCGCTGCGGACGCGGTGTGCGCGTCAGAGGGATTCGCAGGGGCGGTTTCCCATACAGTTGCGAGCTCGGAGTTCTGCTATTGTCAGCTTTTTGCGCGTTATACTAAACGCTCCAAATACGTAAACTGACGGTAAGGCCCTTCTGGTACCAGATAGTAGATGAGACGGGAAGCTTCAAGACCTTCAAGCTGTCCAGTCAGCAACTACTCGCTTCATCGTCTACAGATACTCGGTGAAGAGGACAAGCCGGATAAAATTGACAAGACGAAGACGATGTGTTTGCAGGGCGAATTGCCCTTCATACAGTCCGGGCAGTCGCAGCTGGGCTTGGCGTCAATGATGACCGTCTACCAGAGCATCAGCTATAATTCTTGATACTAGCAGTCGTAGTGGGACTCACGTACACATTCCCAGTCGAGCCAAGCTGTAGACTTAGATGGTTTTGAAAAGGGTCAGGACGGCAAAAGCCAACTCACAACAGCATACTTCTCGGCTGCTTGCGGTCCCTCTCGGATCCTTCGGCGGGTCATCATAAACTGGAAAGTCAGCTTTATCGGTCAGAGTGCCGACCTGGATATGACCCACCATGCGCTGGGACATGACTCTTTCCACTGTAGAGTCAGCTGTGTGCTTCTCATCTCAAAGAGGGGTGAAAACATGGAAGCGTACTTCGTTCGAGAGTGGTCTTTGGTGCCCTAGAAGGTCAGCAGTCTCGCGCAGGGGTCTATCACGCAGTCAAGAGAATCGGGACGTACTTCTTTCGCTCGCTATACCATCAGCACGAGGACCAGGCATAACACGAGCGAAGGATGACATACCGAGCTGGTCTGTATTCTTTCGGCTCGGCAGCAGGTTTACGCTCCCTCTTGATGACGGGCAGAGCTGGAGGCGCACGCGCAGCAGCTGGCGGAGCGACATCCAGTCCATACCCACCGTAGGGGAGGGGAGGAAGGTCCAGGTTAAGAGCGATGGACGGGGCTTGCATATGTTCTGGCAGCTGAGCCGAGGGCGCGGGGGCCGCGACCGGGGCTGATCGAGCTACAGCCTGCGAGTAGGAGGATGGACCGGGGTAGGCTGTAGGGAGTGACCGAGCCGGAGGAGCCGAATACATTGCTCCATCATGGTAAGCAGCAGGAAGAGACCGAGGGGCGGGAAGAGGCCGACCCGCATGAACGGACGGAGCGACTCGAGCCGCAGGAGGCGGCACGTGCGGCCTTGGCTGGCTCGCAGAGGAGGATGCCTCGGCCTGGTCCCAAGCGCTTCGAGCGGCAGCCATCCGATTCGCCAGTGCATAGCGTCCCGATACATGCTCCTCGGCCTGTCGGCCTCCTGCAGACGGTGCTGAGGCTGCTGGACCAGATGGACCCGCGGCATTTCGGAGCTGGTTCAGCCTCTCCGAAGCCGCCGCTGCGCGCGCAGCCGGAAGCGGTGGGGCTGAAGCCGAGGCTACTGGTTGCCGAGGGCCAGGTACGACCGCGTCGAATTGATGGAACCGGCTTCGCTTGCGTTTGGGAGGCTCGTCCGCCAATAGATCAAGCGAGCCGCCGGGGGCGGTGGAGGCGGAGGCGGACGCCTGGGCGAGGTCGCGTTCGCGCTTGAGCCTTATGTTGTCTTGAACGGTGCGACGAGGCATCTTGTTTGAGGAGCCGGATGATGCGAGCTCGTCTATGAGCTGCTCTCCAGGATGGTCAATGTGAACAAGGCAAAGAGATGTACAGAGACAAGAGAGGATAGAGGTGGCGGGCGAGCAGCTGCGAGCAGGCGGGCGAAACTTGGCTGAGTGGGGGTGACGTAAAGCCGACGATGGACGCGCGGGGGTCCGCCGACTGACCCCTTGATGTCACTCTTCATCTATCTCAGGTTGCCACGACTGCAGCTTGGGGCTATGATCACCCCGTGCACTCGGAGAGAATCAGCGAGGGCAACTATGGGCCTGACGCGTTAAAAGTGAGGTGTGCAAGGTGGGAGGTGCACCTATATCCCCTTCCAGATACAGCGCTCACCATCGGCTCACTCCTCCTTATACTTGGCCATCAAGAAGGTGATATTATTGAATTTAATGCTGATGAGAAGCCTGAGTGGGTGAGAAGGTCAGAGCGCTGACATTGGCTGTTCCGATCAAGGGCTGGGGGTCGAGCGGGACTTGCTGATGCCGCCGCAACACCCCTAAAGAGGGACCGTGCGCGATGCTAGCGAGATCACGCGCCTCCATCGTCTCCCCGGTCGTCTCTCTTGTACTTCATTCACCTTCCCCCACTTGCAGTCATATCTACTGAGCACTAGCCATCCCTATCCGCGCTCATCCAAGATGCAGCCCCCGTCTCCAACATCTTCCTTTCGTGTCAAGCGCGAGTCGAGCGTCGTTTCGTCCTTCTCTACTTCGTCCCGGTCGAGGCGGTCCGAAGGTGGCAACTTCCTTCCTCCGCCGATCGGCCGAGGCAGAGTGCCCTTCACTCCTGATCTGGAGAACACTCCCACCCAAGTGAGTCAGCTCATCTCACCGCGAATGGGTCTACATCGCTGTCAAAGCTGATCAGAACAGCTTCCCGACGTTACCGGCCGATCCGACCTGGCCAACTACAGCACAGCCGAGTATCTGAAGAATCTCCTCGATACGGACGACTCGCTCCCTCCTCCCCCCTCCTCGCCTTCAGACCAAACCTCATCCGAGCCCTCTCGACCATCCGCTCTCCCTCGGATCTCCTCCGGCGCTGCGAGCAGCCTCCTCTCCGAGGCCTTCCGACGCGAATACTCGACGTCGGCGAATGACGAGCGCAAGCGCGCTTACTCAACCATGTACACCGAGGAGGAAGAGGACCGAGCGTCTCGGTCCGTCCGCGCTCCGTCTTATGCCGGCTCGACGGTCGCCCAGTCCGACTCTGGAGGGAGGAAGAAGTTCCGCTCGGATAGCCAGCAGCCTGGTCAGGCGCTCATCCTGCCTGGTCTAGGCGATGGTCGGACTCGCAACGTCAACGACAAGTCCCTCTACGGCGGTCAAGATGTCGGCGTCGGAGTCATCGGCAGTCAGGCATACCTCGAGACGTGCGAGGAAGAGGCAGCTCTGCAGCAAGAATGCGATATCCCGATGCCTGAGGCCGCATGCGACTGGAGTGTCCGTCAGATCGAAGGGGAAGAGGAAGGGACGCGCTTCATGGTCGGTCCGCATATCGTCAGCCTCGAAGAGGATCTTCCGCCGCTCGCTACCGAGCACCCAGCCAGGGTGTGGAACTCGGTCCTCCACTCTCTGCCGCAGGAGTTGGTCCCGACGGTGCAATGGAAGTATGAGAAGGTCATGGCTGGGGATGATGAAGATGACGGTAAGCTAATCTAGTGGTGGTCCAGGCCTAATGAAGCTGACGTATCAGAACCAATGCACATCTGCCAACTCACCCTCTCCCTTTCGCCTGACCATCCGGCTATCAAGAGTCACCCCTCCTTCTCCAAGCTACCGACCAACAGGCACACCGCCGAGTACATCACCGCCGCGGCAGCTATAGGCGGGAGTAAGACTTGGACTGGAGAGGCTAAACCGGTCAAGGTGAGTATGGGATTGCGCTTGAGTCAACGGCATAACTGACCCACCAGAGCGAGGCGACCAACTCCGCGCTCTTGGAGTGTATCTCCTCGGGTGCCTTCAAATGGCTGCACAGCTCGGCTCTCGAGGAACCTGTCACCGGCTCCGTACCTCGCGAGGCCACCGCAGCTCGTCCATCTTTCTCGTCGACTCCGCCCGGTCATTTGAACGAGATGCTCATGGGCGATCCTGCGACATCTCCTTCCCCCTCAGGCGAAGCAGGCGGAGCCGAGGATCGCATTGGGCCCGTCCAAAGGGGAGAGGGTCAGCCTGAGATGGGTCCGAAGAGCGGCGGGTCGCCGGCGAATGGTTCCAGCGTTCTCGTTGAGCCCACCCACCCGCCCGCCCCCGGTATTGGTCGGATCAAGGCTGCTATCAGCGACATGCTCGCCGCCCTGCCAACCTCTGTCAAGCCGGTGTTCTCGCTCACTGTCGAGTGGGATGCATATGCGAACAGTACGTTCCCTCTTCCTCCTCATCTTCCGAGCGGGAGCTTGACAGACTGAGCTGATTGAACAGCCTTTGTCGAGCGGCTGCATACCGGTGCCGACTCCGTCACTCAGCGATATTCAGCCAACAGCGACGTCGACTCTCCGACCTTTGGCGCCGCCGTGCTCAAGGCTGCGACCGCTGGTGGGCTCGAAGCGTTCCTCAAGCACTTCGACAAGATGCATCGAGCTCTCACAGGTCAGCAGCGCTTATCGGACTGTGCCGTCTATAACGGTGCGGACCCCATCGAGGTGCCGGCGATGGATCCTGCGATTGGGGAGGATACGCTGGTGGACTGGGTCGAGCAGATCAAAGGTGAATGCGACTCCTCAGTTTTGAGCACAGGGCATAACACTGACTCTGCTAGCTTTCTGTCGATCAAACGGTCTTCGGTACCCCGTCTACAGCCAGGATGTGGAGAAGGTCAGCGGAGCTATCCAGTTCAGATCTTCAATGAAGCTCGAGGAGGACTATTTCCGTGCCAAGTCAGTTGTTAAGCTGCCCGGATGGTGTGCCGCGAACTGACTTGTACAGCTCCACATACGGCACGATCCTCCAAGCCAGACAGGAAATCGCTCGGTGGGTGTTCAGTCAGCACTTCGGTCAGAAAGCCAGTGTGATCGAGCACGACTTCCAGCACGACGGAGGGTTCAAGGGTGGCCGAGGTGGGCGAGGTGGCAAGCGTGGGAGGGGTAGGTGGTAAGGGATGGAAGGGACGTCCAGCCCGGCATCCAAAGTTGCTCGCTTATACCTGTACTAGCACAGTGCGACGCCGTATGTAAAACTGTACAATATGACATGTGACGCTACTCATCGTACGTTACGCTAGCACTGATCGCAACGGGCGAGCCATGAAGACACATTCCTCCCTCTATCAGACCTCGTAGTCCTGTCACAGACTGCCCTCCGCCAGCACGTCCTCGCCATCCCCATACCCCTCATCGCCATCTGGATCCCCAACTCCACCTCCACTCGAACCCGCATGGAAGATGATAAGCATGTTTTCGCCCGCGAATCTGACCTGTTTGGTCGAGATGTGCGCCCGCCGCCGCGTGGTAGATGTGGTGGAGCGATGGTGTGGGAACATGCATTGGCATGCGGGAAGTGTCTCTCCAGCTCGGAAGGGGAGGGGTTTGTAGAGGGTGTGGTTTGAGGCGGTGATGTGGATGAAGAAGGGGAGCGCGCTGAGGAGGTCCAACGTGTCGGCGGCCTCTTGTGACTCCGTCTCGATGGCCATCCGAAGCAGTCTCGTCGCTGCATGACGCTCCTGCTACTATCAGCTTATCCCCGTAGATCAGTCGGTAGGACAGCAGACGTACTATCGCTCCCCTTCGCTGTCGTACCTCAGAGATGCCCACCGCAAGAGGTGAGACTTCGGCGACATTGTCACCAGCGCCTGATATGCCCATGCAGAGCTTGCCGAGGTAGTGGGAGGGGGACCATGGCGTCTTGGCGGTGGGCCCGAAATGCGCTGGTCGTCGGCCGTAGCGGATGTACTTCTCGAGAGCGAGGGGGTCTGGGCAGTGCCGTAGGGTGTCTCTGGGAAGCGTGCGCGTATGCGTGGGCGGGGCTGGCTGTTGCGCAGTGTAAGGTACTTGCTTGGCAGCGAGAGTGGTCTTGTGGGTTGTGTCTTCCTCAACAAGCATTGTGAGTGATTGAATGTGCTATAGTGGGAGCGTTGGACTTGAGAGTGGGAGGCGAGAATGTATGATCAGGCTCTCCCTCGCAGGTGTCCTACTCTTATACCTGGCTCACGGGCTGTGTCCACCGCGTCAGCCGATCTCTACCCAGTGCCCATCGCCTCAAACACGGGGTAACCATGACATCGCACCGGGATCGCGGTCGACTCGCACACCCTACCCAGGCTGTCAGCTTACTGTTGTGACTATTTGGACCGGCGGATGGCCGGGATTCGCTCGATACATGGCGGGCCCTCACTTCAATGCTGTCCGACAGCTTCCGAGTGAGTCACTCCACAGGCACAGCAGGAACGTGTTCACCGGTGTCAGCAGATTACCTTACTTCGGCAGGGCCTAGAACTCCTCCAGGTACGACCGAGGCCTGCTTTTCGCATGGCCTAGAACTTCGCGGATAATGCTGGAGGTCCTGGAAGACCTAGAATGTATCGTAAGCATCCGAGCCTGTCATACTGACGGACGAATCAGAGTGAGACGTGTTGACAGGTCAGCGTCACGCGCGCCAAGATGGATCTCAGATCCCCCGTCATCTGAAACGTCATCCGAAAACCTGAAACGGCATCTGAAACACGGTGGGCCACCCAGAATCAAGCAGTCAAACCCTCTGCTCTTTCAAGCTGAGGATGCCCATATCCGCGCAAATGATCGCTTGGTGGGCATACAGCGTGCCTGGTATAGCTAAGGGCCAATGCATAGCTAAACATGAAGCCTTCTACAACCAGGCTGGCGTACAACAATGATGACATATTTACGAAATTTTGGTTTGGGACGTGAACAGCAGACAGCGTAAAGACCGGAAAGCTAACGAGTGTGGGGGGTCTATGTAGTGGGTAGACTCAGGACTGGCGAGCAGGAAGAGCTGTCCCTCCTGCTTGACCGGGGGATATATCGATCGGAACGTGTGGGGGAGTGACGAGGCGGAGTGGGGAAAAGAGCGTTCGTTGCGGGGGTCGTAGCGTAGAGAGAAATGAGGTCATATAGATCGTGAGTGGGCGTGAAAAAGAGTGTACTACCAGAGCAGTCTGGCAGATTCTAGAGACCGCAGGGAGCGTGCGAGATGGGGTAGCGAGGAGAGTGTCTGGGTTGACTTGACTGTCCGGCGGGTCATGAGGGGGAATCGTCATAGGTGGGAGGGAGATACCGACGGAGTGATTGAGGAGAGTATGCGATGGGGGTCGATGGCAGGGATTGACCATGCCGATACGATGAGGATACCGAGGCGAGGCCTAGACGAATGTCGAGATCGACACTGACTAGAGCCCTCGGCGTGTTTGGGGTGCGGAAGGGAAGCTCCAGGGGACGCCTGCCTCGATCGCTTGCTCCGCTTGGCCATGAGCTCAGCGACGGGGATGAGCTGATGCGTCAGCTCTGTAAGTCGAACAGCCAGAGGTAAGAGCAACATACCTCGAAGTGGGTGTTCCCCCAGACCCAAACCCGCGGGACCTCGATGGTGGCCGGCGGTTTGGCGAAGATGAGCGCCTTGGAGCTTGCGGACCAGTCACCAAAGTAATCCTCCAGCGACTCTGGCTCTTCCTCGGTACAGTCCTCGCCGACCAGCTCTCGGGCGAGTCGCTTGTGATCAGGGGTGACGCGGACAAAGTCACCCGGGCCGAACCAGACGCGCTTTGGGGAGGGAGCAATATCGGCGAGGCTGTAGAGGGGTGAGGGGAGTGGCGAGGTAGGCATGGGTGGGTAGATTAGGCGACGTGGAGCGACGGTCAGAGGGGGTGGGTCTGCAAATACCAGATCGAGGCCGGGAGAGGGAAGGTTGGCGTGGTCGACGGTGAGTCTCTGTGGGATAGCAGGAGTGGGCTCCATGAGACCGAGGTCGATCGGCGGTGGGAGGAGGGAGTGGGAGAGACGGATGAGCTCCTCTTCCTCTGCATCCTCGCGGTCAGACATGGCCATGAGTGTCTCGGCAGTGTGGTTAGTCTGAGGGGTCAGCTAGGCCTTGACTGGATAGACAATCGCCTCAAAGGAGAGCACTCACGACACGCCAGATCCTCCCTTTGACAGCATCGTCCGACAGATACAGCATGCCTGTCTCCTCATCGACGTACTGACCCTCCAAACCGATGGTACCGCCGGGGCTGGGAAGAAAGGCGGGGTTCCAGATGGTGTTGCCCTTGATCGACACCTCGCCTTTGCGATCGTGCCGACCGATCATGGCCGGTCTGCGTCCGCAGCGACGATAGGTGACCGACTCGTCATAGGGAGTGGACGGGCTGTTGCTGTCCGGGGGCGAGGGATGATCGAAGGCGGAGACCAGCTCAAAGGCGACCCGACGGGGGGTGAAAGACGTCATGGGGGAGGGCGGGATCGAGGCGGGGCGATGTGGAGGGTGGGAAGGGTGAATGGAGAGGAGCGTGGCAGGCGCGCTAAGGAGAGGATATAGGGGAGGGCGTGAGGCCTAGATCGTGACGACTGTTGACGGGGGTGTGTCTCGGTGTCTGTGGGGACGAAGGCAAGGATGGCGATCAGGTGGTAGACAGGCGTGCCTGTGCGGTTGCCGTTGTATTGGGGGATGCGTAGTTGATCGGAGGCTTTGATGAGATGATGATGCAGGCGGAAGATGAGGGATGACCAGGCAGCGAAAGGAATGTGTAGCTTGGAAGCTTTGGACTTGGAGCTCTCGGAGGGATGTACAGATACCGCTTCCTGCATGCGCTTATATGATTCCCACGATAAGCTCCGATTCCCACGGCATTCAGTTCCATGTTGTGCCCTGTCCCTGCAATGTCAATGTCCACAGAGCGAGTCAGACATTAGAGGAAGCGAACAGTATTCCAAAAGTGGCGACAGAGTAGTCAAGGAGGGCCAGTGTTGGCAAAAGATGCTAGGGCGTCAGCTCGATCTCGCGAGCAGCAGGGGATCGTGTAAGCTAGTTGTATTCTTTAGAGATCGGGAGGAGGTCGAGGCCCCGATCTGGATTCCTCGGTCCTCCCGACGCCCACGATACGCGCATCAGACTGAGACCGGCACCAGAGAGAAAGGGAAAACGACTTTTCTCAGTGTTTTCTGCCATCTTCGGACGCGGAATGTGGTGCGATGGAACACGCAGCCCCTGGTATCCATTCGGTTTCAGATCTTCAGATGCGATCTGCTGATGTCAGCGGTCTGAACGTCTGAGTCCTGCGCTGAGATTCTGGACCGTCAGCACGGAGCAGACCGGGGCGTCTCTAGCGAGTAATTAGGTTTCAAGTATGAGGATACTTTGCGGAGGTTCCGGGGGAATTCGATACGCGAGTAGAAGTAGGGATCGACGATACTTGTCCTTGCCTCCTTACCGATCTGCCCTGGTCGCCTGTAATCGACTGACAAAGGCGAGACATCTGCATGTGAGGGGTAAGCACAGATGTATACTGGTGCCTAGCATGTCATATAGCCCGCGAGATTATTGACATCGACCAAGCTCAACGAGCAGTGCCACAAGTCGACCATCACGCGCGGTAGTCGGGCTGAGATCATAATTAGAGCAGATGAGCATCTGTCCCCAAACACATCTAGATATACATGCCTGCCCACAGGTCCTTGGAGATTCTCCGTACTCTATCATTATTTCTCGGCTCCATCATCTCCCTTTCCCCTTCTCGCATGCCCATCGATCGTCTCGTCTACTTGATGCGCTCCCTGATCTTCTTGACCACACTCCCCTTCCTCCTCATACCCGACCCCTCCGTCCCTTGCCCCTCCACCCCCAGCCCAAAGTCCGGCGTCGTTGCTCTCCGATGCACCTCAATGTCTGCAAAGTCCGGCATGACCTGTCCGACCGGCGGAGGGGGCAGATACTTGACCCTATCGAGCGGTCGGAACGCTTCCCCATTGCCCTTCCCGTTCCCGCTTCTCTCGCTCTTCCCTCCAGCCCCAGACTCCGTCGCTAGCAGTCCACCGCGTTGACTGATCGACGCCGGAAGAGCAGGAACGGGTGGGATCCCCTTTGCCCTTGTTGGACTGGACGATCCCTTCCTCCCCCCTCCTCCTCCCGAGGATTGGTTTCGCACCTTTGTATTGGGCGAATCGACAAAGACAAACTCCTTCTCCGTTTCAGACCGGACGTGCCCGCCTGGCGTGTCCGCATGTATAGTCTCGACCGCATCGTCAAACTGCGCACCGCCCGCTTGAGAGGGCTGGGGCACGAGATTGACCGTCCGACCCTGAGGCTGAGATTGGGCCTTGTTGGGCGTGGTGAAGGGGTTGGCGTTGGTATTGGAAGTGTCGTAAAGGATTTCGTCTCGCTCGTTGGGAGATTGGAGGGGGAACTCGGTGGACGGCGAGACGGGGAGGACCGATTTGGACGGAGAGGCCGACCGGAAGGGGATACCGGATTTGCCGTCGCGCTGACAGTGGAGTCAGCGATGGCGTCCCCTCCGTATTTTCCACCGCTAGTCGATCCTCTCAATACGCTCTCCTGGCATGGGCGTGGGGCTGAACGACCCGCCCCACCCCTTCCCTCATACCCCTATACCCCTCGCGCTCCCGCTCATACCCATCATCCTCCACATCCGCATCCGCATATCGATCATCCACCATCTCTTCCTCCTCCCTCACTCCCCCTTCATACCCATCATACCCCCTCCCCACACCCGCACCGGGACTGGCGCTCATCGACATGCTCCCTCTACCCGCATATCTGCGCCCTCCTCCCTGGATGACCACCGGCGCAGTACCCTCCCCTTCTTGCCCAGCTACTGACCCCGATCGCGTACGCACCATTGTCTTGAACTTCTGCATGAGCGATTTCGTCCGCTTGACTCCTCCGCCGGCTGCTGGCCGACCCGCAGAACCTGCGCCGGGGAGATCAGCAACGCTGATGGGCGCATTCTCGTTTGTTGGAGAGGGTAGCGCTTCTTTGCCGTACGAGTCGGCACGGGATCCGCCGAGCCTGAGACCGGGAGACCGGACGGGCTTGGCGGGTACAATATCGGCAGTGAGTCCGTCCATCCCCACTGAGCGTTAGCTGTGTTCTCACACGAGATGGCTTGAGGCAACTCACGATGTCCAAGCTCTTCGTTCGGAGAAGCGCCGAAAGCCTCCCATGGTTCCGCTATCACATCAGCTCCACCCCATTCTCAAAGACAAAGAACTCACGCTCATCCGTGCCCCAAGCAGCCTTCAACGCCCTCTGCTTTTGGTCCCTTTCTCGCTCCCTCTCGAGCCTCGCTAGCGTCGCCTCATCCTGCGGCTGCTTGGCATCGGGAAAGTAGCCTCCGCCCGATGGAACACTGGTCGAGTATTGTCCAGTCAATCCACCGCCGCTCACTCGACGATTGACGGGGATGCGTGCGGGCGCCGGTGGCGGAAGGGCCGCTACGATCGGGGCCGCTCGGGGATGAGAGTGATGTTCATTCTCCTGGATGGTCGTTGTTTTTCGCGTGGGGGCGGTGGATGCCAGGTTCGAGGAGCCGGTACTGGCGGCAGGAGCTGGGGTTGACGAGAAGACCTGCATGGGCCCTTTGGTCTGGTTGACGTTCCGAGAAGGGGCAGCGGCGTCGTATGGACCAGCGCTATTCATCAGCTAAAGCACTGCACCAAATGATAGAGATGACAACGTACTGATGCCACACTATAATCGTCAGCTTGGTCGCAATCGTATTCCTGGTCATGATAACTCACTAGCATCCCCCAACCCGGTCGGATCCCATCGATCAATAATATCCGCATGCTTACTCCCCTTCTTCTCCGCCGCGGCCTTCTTCTGACCCGCCGTCAATTCCCTCATCGGCCCACTTTCGACGGCGTACGAGTCTGTTGAGAGGGACCGCCTGGGCCGACCTTTCGGGAGAGGCTGGGCGTCGGGGGAGGTGGCGAGGAGGGGGGTCTGAGAGGCTGACGAGGGCGTCGTACTGTTTAGGATATGGTAGGGGGCGGATACGTATGAGCCGGCAGAGGAAGATTGAGGCGGGTAGGATTGGTTGGAGAGCATGGTCAGCTATGGTCTCTTTTCGGTAGATTCAGAGAAAGAGAAAGAGTGAAAGCAATAGAGATAGACGTCGGAAGAGGAGAGGCTTATGGTATCATCCCCATTAGGGTAAGCTATCCTTTGACCAACCCCCTTTGCGCAACACGGAGGGGAGGGGTAATGGAAACGGTCATATCCCAAGCCGGATGAGGCAGGTGCGCCATCGTAGCTCTCGCACCGCCGCAGCCAAGGTCTTTATCGGAGAGGGTAGACTCACGCAGTGTTTGCCCGACTGAACTTCTGCCTTGAAGGCGCCACGACTCCCGCTGCCTCTGGACTCCTATGCTTCGTTCCATTCCCCGCCGTCCCTTGAGACTGATGCACGTCCTCCTCCTCAAACGGGTTCATCACCGCCGCCCCTCCTCTGCCCATCGTGGGCTGCACCAGACCACTCATGTCCGGGCTGGAATGGCTGTATCCGTGTCCCGGCTGGAACTGGAAACCTGCAGTGGCGTTGCTGTTGAGATCGGGCGAAGCTGAGAAGTCTGGTTGCGCGCGGAAGTTGGCCGATGGCATCCGAGGGGAAGGGGACCTGCGTTGGGGCGCGATGGTAGGTTCGAGTGGGCGCGCGAGGTACGTTGATTGTTGGGCAGAAGGGGAAGGGGAGGGGGAGCGGATCTGCACCGAGTCCCGAACGGCCTGCACGAGGTCGTCGTCTGCCGCCGAATTGCTGTTCCCGCTAGCGTACCGCGCGAGATTGGAGAATGACGAAGTGGACGGAGGGAGGGTGAGGTAGTCTGTCTTTGTTGTTGTGGGGTTGTTGTTGCGGGGGGACGAGCGCGAGGCCGTGCGCGAGCCTGAATGCGATTGCGATTGCGCGTCCTTGGGTGGGAGACGTGGTGCGCCCGGCGAGTTGTTGGCTGAGCCTGTACGCGACTGTGACTGAGATTGTTGATGTATGGAAGGAGAAGGGGTACGCGACGGCCGAGAAGCTTGGTTGGCTTGGCTTTGGTATTGAGAGGACGACATGCTCCTTTGTCTCCGGTCCCTGACGTGTCGTGTCGAGTTGCAATTGTGTGTGGTTGGCGAAGCTTCGGTGAAATAAGCTCAGAGGTATGCTGTGTGCCGTGTACGCCCTGTTGAATGAATGTAGCAAGGCTATTGTTGTTGACAGCTGCTTGAGCGAGCGAGACAACTGTACCAGGTACGCGGTGCCACTGTAGCTGTGCGGCGGAATGAAGCGGTGGTGGGGAAAAGAACGGGGCAGAAGATCGAGCACCTGGCTCAGGGTCCAAGCGCTAAGCGGATCCAATACTCATTCCGCCGGGGGATTATCACCCGAAGTCACCCCGACAAGATAGCGACCACCTCCTCTGCTGCTCTCTACCCCAGTCGTAGCAGCTGCTGCTCACGCTCCAAAGCTGGTTGTATACGTGTGCATACGCTTCTATCAGATTTCCCTTCTCACGAATTATACTCAATTTTTACTGAAAAGGGGTGGAATTAAGAGGAAGGAAAAGTTGTGTATATGGACAAAGAGGAAGTAGGGGCAAATGCCCCACGAAGAGACGATGAAGGTGGGAACGACAATGGGTATAGATTTGAAAGATAAAGAAACAGCGAAGATCCTCCTCCACCCGCCCGCCTTTCTCACATTTTCTCCGCTTCTACTTCTCTCCCGACGCCGGGACACTCTAGCTGTGGGCCGGGTTCCTGAGCGCCAAAAGCTTGACCTCACGCTCACGCTAAACTCATCAGCCCTTGCCCCTTCCTTCATCCAAAGCTCAATCAAAAACTCACATCATCAGCGGCCTTTTGCCCACGGAGATCATCCAGATCCTGCGTCTTCTCCGCCACCTGCCCCGTCAAACCAGCAGCATGGTCCCTCCTCTCCTCATAGTCATTCTCGGCGTTCCGGAGCTCGCCTTCAATGCGCTCATACCTCTCCTTCTCCTTGAGGAACCTGAGGCGGGCCTTGTGCTCCTTGACCGTCCACTTGCCAAGACGGGCCTGGGACTTGCGCTCGGCGCGCGCGCCCTCCTTCTGGAGCTTGACGAGGCGCTCGAGCTCCTTGATGGAGCCAAGGACAGACTTGGCCTCGGCCTTGCCTTCCGCCTTGATGACCTTGGTGAGCCGCTTGGCGTCCTTCTTCTCCATCGTCGCGAGACGGCGGAGAGTGGATTCGTCGAGGATACGCTCAGAGAGCTCGGCGCGGGTGTGAATGTCACTAAGAGTCAGCAAACAGCCTTAAATCGAAGCGGAGACTACTCACTCGCGACCCAAAACCTCCTCGGGCTGGGTACCGATGGTGGTACCGGCACCGCGGCCGAACGCACCACGCCTGCTGCCGACAGTCCCGCCGTTAGCGCCCCGGCTGAGAGCGCCGTTGCGGCCGTTGGTGCCAGCGCGGCTGAGGACCGTACCGTTGCGGTTGAGCACACCAGCACGCGAGTCGCGGCCGTTGCCGTACTGGGACTCACGCTGGTCCTCGGTGACGCTGTTGAGGACCGGCTCGGGGCGGTGGCCGAACGCCGAGCGGGGGCGGTGGGACGACGCCTCGTCGAACGTGGTGGACCGGTCCCGGGGGATCGCGCCCTGGTCCTGAAGACCGACACCGCGCTGGCTGCCCATGTTGGGGGACTGCTGCAGGTGCTGCTGGCGCTCCTGGGTGATGATCTCGCCCGGGGCGGCCTGGCCGATAGAGCTCTCGCGGTTGTGGCCGTTGATGACCGAGTTGCGGACCGAGCCGGTGCGGGAAGCAGGGCGCTTGATGGAGCCGGCCTTGCTGGTCTTGGAGTTGCGGCGGACGAGGGGCTCATCCTGCTGCTCGTAGGTGGTCACGATGGGGATGGGCTTGGCGTACGACCTGGAGGTTTCGTACCTGAAATCAGCGCCGTCCCAATCATGGCAAAAGAAAACTTACTCGGGACGAGTAGCCTGGCTCTCGGCGTATTCGGGAGACCTGACGCTTCCGGCATCGGTACCCCTGAAGCTCTTTGCGCCCGTGTTGCCCATGTCACCGCCGCGAACGCTCTCAGCATCCGCGTGGTTGAGCGGCGCAGCGTACTCCTTGGTGGTGTAATGAGTAGGCGCGACCGACTTGACCGACTTGGGGCGGAGTGAGGTACGCCTTGACTGGTTGGCCTGGTTCTCCTGGTGCTGCTGAAGCTCCCGCTCCTCCGAGGAGATACCGTTCTCGCCGCGGCCGTGAGCACCGTCGTGCTCCTGCTCGTTGGCGAGACGCTCGTCGAGCGTCATGCCGTCAACCTTGTGGGCGAGGGACTCGTCGTGGTCCTGGTGGTCCTGGTGACCGCCGAACGTGTTGCGGTCGGTAGAAGTGTGGTCCGCCATTTCGTTGAGCTGGATGGGGTGGACGCCGTTGGACGAGTAGAGATCCGGGACGTAGTGCTGTTCCGTCTGGATAGGCTCTGCCGCGGGGGTGGGAGCAGAGTACTCTGGCTCGCGGTCGAGATTGGTAGCGCTGGGGCTGATGAGCGGAGCGCCAAGTGCGTAGTCGTGCTTGGGCGGGGGAGGGAGGAGGTCCTTGGGATCGGACGGGAGGGTGTGGTGCGAAGCGACCGAGGGAGGGTAGGACGAGTGGGGAGATATGTTGACGGGCTGGTCTGGGGGAGACAGCGACGAAGGGGCTTGAGCAGTAGTGTGCTGCTCTTCAGAGATGGATCCGGGCTTGGATGTGTTACCGCCGTTGCCGTTGGTAGAGCGTACTTCCGAAGGGAACACGGCCTTGAGGACTGGGCGGCTGAGTAGGCCGACGAGGCCGAGTTGGATAGCTTGGGAGGCCGTTTTGCCGGTTGTTATGGGGGACGGGGGGTATCGACAGTACTGAACTTGCGTCGAACAAGGTCAGATGTCGAGAGTGTGATAAGGGAGAAAGTGGGGGATGGGCGATGGGTAGTTGGAGATATGTACGAAGCTGAGATGGAGAGGGGGGACGTTGGCGGGAGAGTAAGCCGGGAGGGGGCTGTTTCCCTGATGCGTCGTCAATGGCTGGCGCTGGGTCTGCTCGAGTTGTGGATGGATTCGGTAGCTTCCTGATACGGTGCGAGTGCAAAGGCGATCTATCGGCACCACACGGGAGACTGCACGGGAGTGACCCAACTTCTACCAGAAACGGCCCGGAATATGACGTCAGTCCGGGGTCCGGTGAGCCAATTTTCAGGGACGCCGGCCGGACTTTCGGTCTTTTCTCACTTGCAAAGGTAAGCGCCAAGAGTGGCAGATTGACCTTTGCCCACGGACCTCCCTGTCGCGTCGAGGCCTGGGTGGAGGCAGCAGCGATATCATGCGTGTCTAACAATACCTTCGACCTATAACTCAAGCTCAACATGGACTACCTCCCAGCCCCGGTCATCAAGTGGCTCGAGGGACGGATAGTAAGCTATCATGTGCCCCAGCAAGTTCAAGGGATCCAGCTCATACAAGCAGGACCCGACCTCGCAGCGTCTCGTCGAGCAGTACTCGCAGTACTTTCTCGTCCTCCTCGTCGTGAGCATAAATCCATGCTGTCTTGGTAATAAGCTAACGATGTCCAGGCAGTGGCTTTCGTCATATCATTCGCGCTCAAGTCGGTCATGATCGGCCTGGAGGTGTTCTTGGGCGGATTCGTGCTGTTGCTCGGGGTAAGTCCTTTCCCCTTCCCATGCTGCTTCTCGAAACGACTATCAGCTGTTTTTGCTAGTATTTCCACTGGCGCTAGAGCACAGCTGACTCTTAGGCTACTGTCCCACCATGGCCATGCCTCAATCGACACCCTATCAAGTTTCTCCCGGTCCGTCAACCAACATACACGTTGACAAAGGAATCAACCACGTAGTAGCGGAGACGGCTCGACTAGGACAATCGGACTTTATACGGGATCTTGACGTTGTACAAGCGGAATACGCATGCATGGGGTATCAGGCACTGCGAGGTGGGCCGTACCGCTCCTTCTTCACTGAGAAGTCCCGGATGGTGAGTCGGGCTGGGCGGCAGATCCGAGCGGATGAGTGCAGAGATCGATGGATGTCGCTTACCACTGATACACCACTTACCTACAGGTTGTATTGGCTCCGGTCGTCATATGTCAAGCTTCAAGCTGCAAGAGCGGACAAGGGCAAAGCGGGCATGCGAGACCGCTGTGTGACGCGCACCGCCAAGCCGTAAATTACCCCATCGGGTAATACGGCCGGTTTCAAAGTCCAGAGCGCTCATCTCTGCCCGCCGCCAAGGATACCTCGGTTGGGTACGCCGTGCGAGGACGATCAGTACAACGATGGGCTTACAGGCAGGATGGTGGCCCTTCTCAATACTTTGCCCCCTCCGCTGATCGCATCCTTGACGATATTGATCGTAACTTCACCCAGCTACAGCAACTATCGCCTTTATCTGAAGACTGCACCATGCCCGACACCTGCTATGATGGTCTTAGTAGGTCGCCCCCTCTCATCCTTACAAGCCATATACATGACCCGTACTGATAGCCTTAGATAGACCTTACGAATGCGACGACGACCACCGAGAGCTCAGTACAGCCGCCAAAGCGGGATTGGGCGTCGGTATCGCCGCGGCGGTACTCCTCATTTTTGTTTGCTGCGCCATGTGTCGTCGCAAGTAAGTGGATGACCTGCCTAGACCCCCTGTCAGGTTGGCGTGGCGGTATGGGTAGTATGCTGATCTCCAGGCGACTGCAACAGCAGCTGATGGCGCCTCAACCCCCTATCCTTCCCATCGCTCATGCGCCCGAACCGCCGCATCTCGGATCACGTGATCGTGGCAACGGAATGATGGTGACCAGTGCCAGCCCCTACTTCGCGTCCAACCCAGCACCCATCACGCCTTTCACCCCATACCCCGCGCTTCCAGGAGCGATATACCGGCCGTCCGGGTGGACAGAGAGCGGAAAGCGTGGGGACGCTGTGATTGATTCCAGGGCGGCGCATGCGCATGGGTATGAGTGGGAACAAGCGAGAGACAGAGGGACGATAGCTGGGAGAGGGGAACAACATGATGCGCCTCCGGAGTACTCGTCCGACATTATTCGAGGTGAGTAAGAGTGGGACCCATGTTTAAACGATTCGAGCGAAGCTGACGCTCAGGTCTTGCAATGGGGACTACTATTTCCCAGCCCGCTTCAGTCTCTAGTGCAACGAGGGAGAAGCGATACGAGTATCGTCACTAGAGATGGACATCTCAGCCTGGGTTAGTACGAGCTCGGTCTCCCAGCCGCTAGAAATTATCATGCGCTCTGATGCACTTTGTGTCTCTCTGCTGCTCACTGTTTGGATAATATAGAACCTCGGCCCTATGCATCCAGACCGACCGCTGTCCATCCTCTTGCACCTCGCAGGCTTGGATAGTGTATCGCGCTCCAATTCATCTGTGCACCATGCACCGACTATGCACCGCCGGATCCGCCCCTTGATTGCGTCATGACGTCATACCTTTGCTCGAAGCGGTGAATTCCGACGGCCAGATTTCAGGCTGAGATCGCCTCGCCAAGACCCTCCTTTGTTCACCACAGCTTGATCCCTCTTGCTGTTCACTCTCATCCATCCGCACATCGTCGATAGACTGGACACTCCCTACTACTAAACGCATAAGCCTAGACACCTCGACATCTCGGAAGAGAAAGACAAATAGAAATCACTCAACATGTCTGATATCTGCTATGACAGGTTCAGTGAGTATCTAGCTCCTGTCCCATTTCTTCCGCGAGCTGTGTCCTTGATCGGCTATGAAGACGAAGACAAAACATAGCGCTGACATCTCAGACCGAGCCTATCGGTGCTACGACAATGGGATAGGGTACGGTGCGCGCATCGGTATCGGAATCGGAGTGGCGGCTGCTGTGGTATTGCTTTTCGCACTGTGTGGTTACTGGCGGCGAAAGTGAGTGTATGATCTTTTGCATCAATATACTGTGTAAAAACGCGGGGGAGGAGTAGGATGTGAGGGGATCATCACCCTGCTGGAACTTTTGGGCGACTTTTGGGCGATATTTCCCACATCTCGCTTTGTCACAGCCAAGGCCCTATCCCCTGCCCCCAACTTCCCTTGTCATTACAAAGGTATCCGAATTCCCCGCTGACATCCAGACAACTCCAGAAGCAATTCTCAAAGTATCGCCCCCCGGCGCTTCCCTACGCGCAAAGCGGCAACGCCCCCGCCGCTGGATACACCTACGGCCAGGGCAACAACCCCTACGCCAACAACCCCCCTCCTCCCGCTACCAACTCGTCCTTCGCGGGCGGGAACCCGTATGGCTCCAACCCACCTCCTCCGGCTGCGACGTACCAGCCCAGCATGGCGGGGCAGTACGGTAAAGAGGCGAGGACGGGGACTGAGGCGAACAATACCAATACTGGAGAGCACGAGCATGGGTATGAGTGGGAGCAGGCGAGGGAGGCGGAGAGGCTCGAGAGGGAGGGTGGAGGGGCAGCGCCCCCTGGGTATGATGTCACCACACAGAGTGAGTCGCGATGTGGACGAAATGCGCCGGTCTCGGTACGGATGTGCGCACTTTAGCTGACAGATCAGCCCCCGTCGTGACTGGTACTCCGCAGACCAGCAACCACTATGCTCCTCCCCCGGGCGCACCCCCAACCAAGTAAACAGCGATGTGGCTCTGTCGAGTGCAGAGCTAGCAGGGGGTTAGGAGAAGGTGGCCCGACGAGCCCAGGACGCGGAGAAGAAAGAAGAATTTGTCGACTGCAATATACGATCAGTCCACCTGTATCTATCTATACCTTATGCACTATAATGTCTGATCCTTCTTTGCCTCGTACTTGTCTGCCATCGCCTTGTCGCACATGCTATCATGATTGCCTTGCGAGGGCTACTCGAATCCTCGATGACACTCTGGAGGTTCGACCAGCTGCAGCATGCAGCAACGGCCGCGGAAGCAGAATTTCCGCTCAAGTGAAACCACCTTGCAAGCTCGACACCTCGTTCGAAAAAGTACTCTTCCACCTATCTAAAGTCAATCTAGCAGCCATGAAGCGTATCTCCAAGCTCGCACAGACAGTGGCATCGGCACAGGTGAGCTGACTCCCGCTTGAATACTCGAGCTCGACCGAGGAGGAACTGACAGAGATAGCCGAGCCGACCCCTTCTCCGCCCATCGGTTCTCCTTCCTTCTCGCCCCATCGCTGGACCCAGCTGCCTCCCTTTTCTCTGCGCACAATCCTCTCGCTCACTATCGTCTCGGTCATATGCCACTACACATACCGTCGATGAGACTCGGCTAGAATCGGCAGACACGCTGGAAGCGTTGGAAGCAGACCAGCAAGATCTGTTATACGCAGACACGGCGGTCGCTGCCGAGCAACCGAACGGACGGAGACCGCTCGAGATACCGTCGGACGTGGTGATTCCCCCAAATGTCAGGTTTGAGGGGTTCGAGAATGTCCAAGAACCAACTCCACGAGGATGTGAGGCTTCCTCCTCAAATCAGATCTCGGAGGCGGACATAGCTGACATGTAGTCCGCCTCCACACCTCCCCGCCCTCCCTCCTCTCACCGATCTCCCACCCCCTCTCCTCACTTGCCGCCCCCAATCCCACTTCCCCCAATTCCTCCGCATCCGCTCTCTCGCTCCCACCGCACATCTTCGCCCAGCCTCTCCGGCGGGACATCCTCCATCGCTGCGTCGTATGGTATCTCGCCCTCTTGCGTTCCGGAAATCAGAGTACCAAGACGCGGTCAACGGTCAACTATTCGGGGAGGAAGCTGAGGCAGCAAAAGGGGACGGGTAAGGCTCGTGTGGGCGATGCAAGCAGTGGAATGCGTAAGTCCTCGGCAATCGTCTAGGGAGACCAAAGGGACGAATGCTGATTCTCAGGCCGGGGTGGTGCACCCATCTTTGCTCTTCATCCAAGAGACCACACCCAGCTCCTTCCTCGTAAAGTTCGCGCCCTCGGTCTCGCCACGGCCCTCTCGTCCAAGCTGTCCGCGGGACTTCTGCGGGTCGTCCCAGACCTGAACGAGGCCAAATGGAGCGGGACAGCCGAGGCCCGGCGGGCACTATGCGACGGTCTTCCCGAATTCATATCGGACGCTTCATTCTTGGACGAAGCGGCCGAGCCAGAGCCAGAGACGACTCTGGAGGTCGAATCGGCCGTCATCGATGCCAACGCGGTAGAAACAGAAGAGTCGGGCCTCATAAGGCGGTTCGGTACCCCCTCGGACCTTTCTATCCTCTTTGTCCACCCTCCTCCTTCTTCCAACGCGGAACTCGAAAACCTCGAGGCGTTTACCCGCTCGGTCCGGAACTTGCCAGGGGTGGAGGTATTGGGGATGGATGAAGTCGAGGTGTACCATGTGTTGAAGTACAAGTGGTGTGTCCTGGAAAGGGGCGTGGTGGATGGGATCACGGAGATGGAGGAAGGTGCGGCGGGCGAGGAGGTATTCAGTATGGAGGGGATGGAGCAGGCCTTGGGAGATATGCAAGGGGAGGATGGGAGAGTGGTCATATGAGTGCTAGAATGCAGTACAGATTATACATCTATGATAGCCCCAAAATCGGATCATCTACTCAGTGATTCCATCTCTCAGCGCCCGTCCCCACTCTGCCTCCCTGCACCTGAACCCGACACCGGCGTGGACACCGCCTCAAACGCCCCAAATCCTTCCTCGTCATCCGCAAATGGATTCCTCTCCGCTTCTCTCGGGACATCCACTTTCGTCGCTGTAGGACTCTCACTCCCCCCTCTCCCCCCTTCATCCTCTTCATCAAACAACAACCCCCTTCTCTCCCCTCTTACATCCCCACCTCCAATTCCTCTCCTTCCCTCCCCTTCTTTGCCTTTACCGCCCAGTTCTTGGTCGTCCTCGTCATCATCGCTCACTGATCCCACCTCCCACATAACCTCCCCTGCCTCCCCTTCTGTCTCTCTACCGCGCTTCATCCGCCCCCTCCCTTCTTCGGACTTTGACGGCCCCGCCTCTTCATCGTCTGCATCGCCATCCCCACCCTCGCCGGGCGTCCCAGACCGGCCCCGTGGCATGCGCGGCCGCATACGCATACTCCCCGAAGGCTCCGTTGCGACGGTATATGGATCGGGAGCGGACTTGGCGGATGATTTGAGCGAGAGGATGGTGACGCCCGAAACGAGCACCCCGATGGAGGCGAAGACGGCGATGAGGACCCAGCGGGCGTATTGGCCTGCTTCGTCGTAGAAAATGAGGGAGTTGATAAAGCTACAACATAAGCTTGGAGTTGTCGTCAACAAGAGGCACACTTGCCAGCTTACCCGAACACTGTATAGCCCGCGTAGAAAAGAGGGACGACGACGACTGTGTCGGCGCATGCAAGCGCACGGTTCAGGCAGACGATCTGGAGGATGGCCGTCACCGCCACGAGGACGAGAGTGAGGATGGAAGAAAAGTTCAGGAACTGTTGTGTCAGCTTGTTGAACTCGATGGTGTGAGGTCTTTAGCTTACAGGATGATCGTGCAGCCCGAGGAGATTGACCACCGCTTTTGTAAACACCAAGCACATCCCCGCCAGACTCCCACCACACACCGCCCACCCTATACCCTGCAACCACGTCACCCTGGGATCTTCCGCTCGTTGCAGAATCACCTCCACTTGCCGCAGGACAAAGCTGTTTATGCGCCTCCCCGCCGCTGCTATCCGCTTGAAAAAGCCGATGATGGCGTGCGGCGGCTTGGCGCGCGTCGTAGTGGGGAGGTCGATGGTTGGGGAGGGCAGAGGAGAGAAGGAGGCGCGGGAGGCGAGTAGGCGAGCGAGGATGGAGGAGGCAAAGTAGGTGGAGGAGGTGAAGAGGATGAGGAAGATGAAGTAGGCGAGCCAGTCTATTCGGGCCCACAACATGTTCAAGCTGGAGATCAGCAGGTGGATATGCATGAGGTAGGACAGGACCCACCGCTCGACATTGAGGCCCTGTTGCAGACCATGGTTGATCGAGCTGAAGACGAGGATGAGAATCACGCCGAGGATGATCACGGCCGTCCCGTTGATATCCGTCTTAGTCACGGCTGGCCCAGGTCAGCCATAACAACGAACAGTCGATCGACCAATACTCACGCGTCCCGACTAGCCAGCTGGCGAAGAGAAAGTTGAAGATCAGCGATGTCGAGCCCAGCGGGGCGACCCAGTCAGGTCTTAGCCATCTCAGCGCTAATGTCGAGCCGACTAGGACGCGTCAGCTTCAAGCTCCTCGGCAATTGAGAGCTCACGGAAGCTCACCAAGCTGCGATACTCTACAACATCAGCTACAGCCCGCTCGCAACGAGACCTCGACATACATGTACATCCCCATCCCCGCGAGCCACAATGGCCGCATCCATTCCTGCTTCCGTTCCCTCCTCGGCAATCCCTGCTGGCGCGTATGATCCAGCTTGGTGATGTTCAGCCCGAACGCGTTCAGCGCTGACGCAGCGACGACGATTATAAGCCCTATGAGCGTGTTCTGTGGGTATATCAGCTCTTTCTCCGGCTGTAGCAAGTGAGACGTACAAGGACATAGTTCCCACTTTGGAGTGGATCCCCAGGTATAAGTGCCGAAGGCTTCGTACCGTTCAAGATGGCCGTTGGGGCCGGAAGGTCCCCAAAGATCGTAGATGTCGCAGAGAAGAGGGAGGACGCGGCGGACACGACGGACGAGGCCGAGGCGGCGATGCCTTCGGATGTGGGAGCGGACCCGAAGGGCAGAGCGGAAGATGCGGACTCCATGCTGCCAGGAGAGCTATACGACAGAGTGCCTCTGGATGGGCTGATCAGGTGAAGAGAGGAGGCATAGAACAAGTTGGTAAAGAGAGGCCGCAAGTGGAGATATAGTGCGAAAGATCAAAGTTCAGCAGACTTTGCGCAACTGGAACAAACGGAGCTTGAGGAATGTGCGGCCGCCGGTTCGTAAGTCTCTTCACTCTGTACTTCTCACTGCAGCCTGTTATATTATATAGATTATCGGGCACAGAGCCCTACCGGTCAGTCCTCGCCGACATCTCGGCCAAATGCTGGCAGCAGTCTGAGCCGAGATCCCTGCGGGCAGCGAGGGACGCGGGGCACGAAGACTGTCCCCTACTTGGTACTCGTAAAATCTCAACTGACAGCGAGCTATAATCTGCCAAATCAATACTCACGAAGCCCTCACTGTTGCTCTGATCCTCCCCTCATTCCCCTGAACTCTTCTAGCAGTACAGACTGTAGCTCATAATCCCTCGTACGCATCCGCAGGTCGAACAGTTTCCAGAGCTCGTCGAGGGGCAGATCAGGTTGGTCCGAAACGGAGCGCTCGGACCCAACTGGCCCGAGTGCCAAATGATAGGTCTCGTCTTCGGCCAAGAGTACAGTCGGAGACGCTTCTGCAACTGCGCTGTCGTTCCAGGTGAAGAAGGCCGAATTGTTGGTCGAATCGGTGGGCGCATCCGAACCGGGGATGAAGGAGTCGGATTCAATTTCTGACGGAGATGGGGAGGAGGAGGCCAAGCGTCGCAGGAAGAGTAGGAGCGGGCGGTAATGAAGGAGGGTGTGAGGCGGGGGACTGCTGGATCGGCTTAGAATGGGTCTCTGCAAGTGTACCGAGGAAGGCGGCGATGAGGGGAGTACCACGATGGGGTGCACCTGTGGCTGGCGGCAGAGGTGGGCAATGGAGCAGCTGATTCGAAGTCTTTGGCTCCGACCTAGCAACGTTGTCAGACGCAATGACAGCACTGCGTGGCTTGTCGGTCATCTCGATCGACCGCTGGGCAGGTTGAGAAGTGAGAAACAGCCACAACCTCGAGCTCCTGCCGGCCGTGCTCTTCGACTGGAGAGTAGACATCCTTTGACACCCAAGATCCTTTCGCGCTAACCCCCTCGATCTGCCCATGCACGTTCGGTCTCCTGATTTTCAGACCGCGATCTCGTTGGCATTGTGGCTTACCGTCAAAAGACAGGACTCAGTGTATGATCATCTAACCAGCTTGGTGTCGCTCAGGTGTATGCGCTGAACTCGTTTCCGCTGCCAAAATACTTATCCAATGCAAAGTTGATGATTACAAGTCACTGACCACTACTCTCGCAAATTGTGTATCTATCTGTGAGGCTGTGTATACTGTACAAAGTCTGAGCACTGCGAAGATTCCACCACTGATCGCCTTCAATTCCGATACCCCCAACCTCGCCCCGCCATCAACATCCTCGGATCCAGCCCTTCCGTCATGAACGCCTGCTGCCTATCTCGCTCGTATCCACCCATATCCGATGCCATACTGCTGCCGGACATACCGTTCGGCCCCGCCGCCATCGAAGACGACGTATCCACCACCCCCCACTCCAGGCTGCTCTGCACCGGCGAGAAAGTAAAGATATCGTCCTCCGTCATCATCGGCTCAGAATTGTACAGCAACCCCTGCTCCACACCCCATGGCTGAGAAGGCCAATTTGCGCCGCTACCGCCCGCTCCGCTCGAGATGGACGTGGTGACCGATCCCGAGCCCGAGAAGGAGTTTGACATGCCCGGCATCTCGAGGTCCGAGTCTCCTTCCGCCTCTCCGTCGTCTTCAGCTGGCGCCGGCGAGAGCTCAAAGTCAAAGTGAAGACCCAGGCCGAGTCCGAGCGCGGATCCCGCGTGGGTTGATGGCGGGGCGACGGGGATCGGTGCTGCCGTATCCGGGGCCCGGCCGGTGAGTGGGAAAAGGGACGGTGTGGGAAGGATGGTCGAGAGGGAGTGTGAGTGAGCGTGTCCGGGGACGATCGTGGCGGCAGAGGTAGACGGCTTGAACGTAGGATTTGCGGATGAGAGAGGGATAGATGCCATTGAATGACGCCGTACTCTAGGCTTGGGACTGTGTTTGGCAGTTGGGCGAGGACGGACAGCTGCGAATTCGCATTGGAAGCCGCGCTTGATGCATCGATCGCAGGGTTGCCCACCGAAGCACTGTCTCATTAGCCCTGCCTCATGTTGGAGGCATTCCAGTCAGACTCACCTTGGCTTTTCTACCACGGCACTTTTCGCACGCCTGCGCCGTCCTGCTCCTCTTCTTGCCTCCCTTCAACGTAGGCCCCTCTTCCATCCTAGGTGATAGCATTTCCGCGTTGCCGCTTGCCCCTCCTTCCCGCTGTGTCTTCGCCTTCTTCGCGATACTTCCCTGCACCGGCTCCTCCTCAATCTCAGCTAGCGAGTCGGCCGAACTGGACCCGGGAGAGTACTGCAGCCCCATCTCTGGCGCGCCACCCACGTCCGCATCGTCCGCATCTACCGCCTCTGGCGCCTGAACGAAAGTGTTGTTTCCGCCTAAGATACTGAGGCTTGCTGGTAAGCTCTGAGCGGTGGGGAGAGACCCGAATAAATCGAGCGGGGAGATGCAGCCCGTTGACCGACCTGGATTGGGCATACCAGCCGATCCGGACGCCGAGAAGCGAGGGGGCAGAGTAGGGAGGGCACCGTAGTATAGCGCCGGGTCGAAGTGATGGGGAAGGTCGGGCTGGTACATCATGCCCATATCATGGGTGTCGAAGTGGGCCGAGCCAGGACCGGAGAACTGGGAAGGGAAGGGGGAGGTGTATTGGTACTGGTATGTCTGGGGTTGAAGCTGGTGATGATAGGCTGGATTGAAGCAGAGTGCCGAGCCGTGGACGTATCCCGCCGTGCCGTATGGCTGTTGATTGGGATGACCATTGGAAGTGGGGGATACGTCGGGGTAGCGATCTGTCCGAGAGCGCTCGAAGGGGGGCATGGTGAGGGCAGAATCGACAGGTAAGGATGACATGACGGTTGTTGTTTAGCTGACCTTGGGGGTTGGATCTCGATAGGTATGATAACAAGGAGGGGGGGCAGGCTGTCTCGGAGCGGAATGCTGACTGCTTGCTCTGGAGTTGGCTGATGGGCAAACCGTCAACACCCGAGACAGTAATGTAGGTGAGACATCATCACACTCAGATCAAGTGAGCAGCACAGCTGTAGCTTGAGCTGGCGCCGACATCACGGCGCTGATCACGCGCCCTAGGGGTCCATCGACGCCCGTCCAGGGGCATGCCCTTGCGATAGAGCCAAGCGTCGTTATCCTCTACGTTATGGTCCAGATGGAATGGGAGGATCTTACTCCACACTGGAATGTGCCGATCCTGGGGCCGAAAGCGCCACTCGCTGATCTCTTACGTTGCCTGCTCACGAGCCCCTCTATTGCCTCGCTGCAATCGCGCCTAAAAGGCCTAAAGCGAGATTTGGGACAGGTACAGACACAGGGAAGGTTCCTGAAGCATGATGCAGACGCCCAAGTAAGCTTGCGTTTCAAGGGGGAGACATGCTTACCTGTATCGTGGAGCATCGCCGTCCGGGGCCGGCGCCCTATCGGACAGCTGCGACAGCTCTCATTCGCTCGGTTCCTCGGTGACGACACCGCTAGCGCGCTACAAAGCCGAAGGACAAAGGGAAACCCCGTTGCGACTGCCGCAGAGCCCCGCAGACTGCCGCGGCCGATCTGCCTCTGTCCTCCCGTCGGAGCGTGACTTTCCAACCTTATCTCTGCTAGCAGCTACCAGTGTTTCCGAATAGGATATCGCCGATCGTCTTGTCCCGTATGAGACTCCTTCACCTGGTTCCTTGTTCGCTTCTGCTACAAGCGAAGCTGCTATATCCGTCTCCCTGCTCGCCAGGTGGTGTAGTGGTGGAGTATGATATCACACCTTAATAAGACTGAGATACTGTGCTAGCTAGTGTCGTTCGACGAGCAAGAAACGGCGAGTCAAGCTTAAGGACTAGAAGTGACGTCCAGAGCCGACAATTTCTGTCCAGAGCCGACAATCTGTTTCGCTATCACTTCAAGACATCCACTGGATCCGTATTGGTGGAATGCTATAAGTGGTCAAGATCTCTCATTGTCTCAGCGACAGCCAAGCGGGATGTGCGATAACTTTGCCGGCGGTCAGGCTTGTAAGATCCGCTGTCGGGCTCGAGCGATACCGCCTGACATCAGTGTCAATGCCTTCGGGTTAGCAGCGATAGCGCTCATGAGCAGCAAGATTGATCAATTCCGAGGACTGGTAACCCGAGCCGATCGAGACTCGACAATGCATACTCGAACCATGACCTACGTTTCCCTCCCCGCCAATAATCTACCCAGCATCTCCTCCATCCTCAACTGACTCCCCCGAACCTCCGCCAGCTCCTTCTTCAGCTTATCCACCTCTGATACCCCGTCCTCATCGGCCCCATATGCATCGCGCTTCGCGTTCGACTTGGATCGCCTCTCTTTCCGCTTCGGCGCGACCTGGGCTGCAGAGGCCGGCTTGCCGTACAGTTTTGCGAGAGGGCTACTTGCCTTGGTACCGGCGCGAGGAGCGGGGACGGATGGGTCGGTATCTGATTCGGAGGTAGCGGCTCCGCGTGAAGAGGAGGTGGTGGTCCCAATCGGAGCTTGGGATAGGGAGGGAGGGGGGCCAGCTTCGAATACTGATGCAATGAGGACTTCGGCACCGCCAGCCAGCCATGAGCTGTCGCCATCAGTCTCCGGAGACCTGGGTTGAGTCTGCAGGAGACTCACTCGAGCAGCCTTGGTCTTGGGGCAGGAACACCGCCTGATCCACCTTCCAGGCGCACACTCTTGCGTTGGGCGCGGTAGGACCATCGCTCATGTGCAGAGATCAGGAAGAGGATCGGGAAATTCTGTTTGATCAGCTATCTTCAAATTTGAGGTGATGGCGAGAGACTGACTGTCAAGCGGACACCAAACACGTTGATCCGATGCAACGTCCTCGGCGCACACACCCAGCTCAGCGGCATGAGCAGTACGAAAGCAAGGAGGTTGACCGGTGGCAGGTACGAGAAGATCGCGTCCGACCGGACGCCTTCAACGGTCTTGAGGACCCGCTGGAATAGGTGCTAATTGTCAGCTTGGCTCTGAGCAACTACAGGAGGACAAGGAGGGAGGGAGCTGACCTCTTCCTGCGCGTTCCCATTGATCTCAGCAAATTTGTTGGATAGAATGGCGATCAGGATGGTGATGAGCAGGACGTTGCAGAGCGCACTAGAACATGGTCAGGTTCGTCTTCCTTGACGAATAAGCAGGCAGCTTACGCGTAAGAGATGAGGATGATGGGTCCAAATATTGGATGGAAAGACTCGCTGGCTGAGAAGCCAAGGTACGAGGACCCGAACTATACACACAGTCAGCTCATGATCGGGTAGACAGGTGGATGAGCTCACCCAGATTTGCAGCATGAGCCAGATGATCTGCTTGACCGTCCACGTCGCCCGTCCAAGTGTCCAGAGGCAGAAACATATCCCGCTGAAAGCCATGACTGGAGCATCAGCACTCGGCGCGCACTCTAATCAACGGCGGACAGCTTACTGGTGAGACCCATGAAGCCGAGGAAACGAGCTATCATCGCCCTAAGCTATTTGGTCAGCTCGTGGCCTGAGGTAGCGCTTCTGGGTGCCCGCGAGCAGACTCACAGCTATGATGACCACTTGATCCTTGATGAGGTAGAAGACGAGCCTCGGGAACAAGATGCACGCTCCGCAAGCGAGGATGTCGAATGCGAGGTCGGAGGTAGTTGGCGAATGGGTAGCCAGTGCGAAGACCCTCAGACAGAAGAAGAGGAGGAAGATTGCGATCTGCGTATCAGTATGGAGCCTGATGTCGCCAAGATGTCACGCACATAGACCAGGTCAAAGGCGTTCCAGGCGTTTGCAGAGTAAACGGACCATCCGTGCTCCTTGCTCGAGGCGAACTCGTCCAGGATGAAGCCGAAGGTGTAGAGGATATACACGACCTCGATTGGGTGGATAGAGTAGATATCGCGGGCTGACAAGTCAGCGTAGACATTTCAGGGCATCGAACTCGACGCTGATCGACTTACTCGCTAATGTGGCAATGTACAGCCCGATCAGAATAGCCAGAGTCAGGCACTCGAGCTGATTCCTCCACTTGGGCACCCTCAAACGTTGATGATCGAGCCATCCCGCCTCGTACGGGTCGTATACGAACACCTGTGCACCCCTCTCCTCGTCCGCTTTGCCGTTGGTCCTGGGATGGCGGGCGGGCGAAGACGAGGAGCTGGACGTTCCGCGCGGACGGGATGAGCCGTGCGACGACACGCTTGTCTGACGCCGCTTGATGGTCCGGTCGGAGATGTACGAGTCGGAGATGAGAGAGCGGGAAGATACGGGTAAGTAGATGAGGTGGCCGGTGTAGATCTGGCTGATGAGATGTTGGATGAGAGGGAGGGAGAGGAAGTGTTTCGACGATGAAACTATCGCAAGCTACGGGTTAGTCTGAGATTCGCGAAGTCCAGCTAGACGCTCACCTCGAGTGCACTCCCTGTTGTTTCCTCGACCTCCTTTTGATCCTCGCCCATACTATCCCATACAGATTTGGGAGCACCCTCAAAAGCCGACCAGCCGTGTACGAGTGCCTCGGCAACGGCGGCTTCGTCGTTGGGATGTGGAAAACTGCGGAGTACTTTCACTGGTCACTGTCAGCTTAACATCGCAATACTCAGAGGAGAGTTCGTCTCACTAGCTAGGAGCTCGCAGAAAGCTGCCCGAGCATTCTGGAGTGGAGCATAGCTCAAGTCGCCGTCTGCGAGCGTGATAAATTGGATCCTGCGCAATGTCAGTGGACCCTCCCTGTGCTATCCACAGGGAACCTCCCCTCCCACTCCACTCTTCCTGCGGCTGAATTCTCTGTACCTAGGCCACGAGGATCCCTCCTTTCGTCACCGCACGAAGAAGAGACGTACCGATTCGCCATCAGGGCATACAGTACCGCTCCGAGCTGAACGTCCCCACTACCTCCTCCCTCCTTCCTCCCCCTCTCCGCCTCTGTAACTTCAGGATGAAGCAGTCCACCACCCCCATCCGCTGTCTTCTCGCCAGAGTACAGCTGCACGAAGCGCTCCACGATCGGTCGAACCAAGGTATAGTTGACGGAAGGGGAGTTGAGCTGATCCCATGATAACGCGGTATCGATAGACCGGGTGACCGTTTGATGTAACTCGTGCGTAAGATGAAATACAGAGCGAGATGACGAGGCTCCCCCTCCAGCTGAAATGCCGGACATGACGAGTGGAGAAGAGATAGAGAAATTGGAGAGAGAGGTAGTGGTGCAAGATCTGAAACGCGTGCGAACAGAGGTGGAAATTCTGAAACCTTCAACGCGTCCTGCAAGCTCTCAAGTGGGACTGTAGTGCTCTGGTCTGCTGACCATTATGGGTATTATACCGCGCCGGTATAGGGGGCCAGCTCTATCTCTGTCTTCATGATATTCAGAGCATCTGTGGGTCGCTCCCCGGGATCTTCCAATCCTTGCTGCTACTGCTGTACGCCAGGCTCACTTCATATCCGGTTCTGCTGGACGCTCCTCCCAGTTCTCGCAACTATGGACAAGTCGTTCGAGGGGGTTTGCAGAATTGTCCATTCGGCCGTGCCGATCTTCCCGGTCAGGGGAAAACCAGCCGTAACGCGCCGGCAGTGGTAAAAGCGTCCACCAGAAGGGTCGAGCTGTAGCATCAGATCTCGGCAATATTCCTTAGATGAACATGACTTACCGAGGACGATCGAGTCTACGACTGCGTCAGACACGCGATACTCCGAGCCGAGCAATGGAGGATTGATTCCGATGATTCGCACTGCGCAGAGATGGCCCTAAGATTTCAGCTCGTGGCCAATTACACGGCAGGGACTTTCTTGCACATACACGAAAGGGCGAGGTGGTCCGTGCGCTCTCAATGCCAAGTAGCCTGCCCCCCATCGTCTCTTCCTCCCATGACCATCCCCCCTCCCCTGTCCTCCACTCTTGGCCATCCACTTTGAAAGTCCGGGTCCGCGTTCCCAAAGCTTTAACCTTTGGGGGAGTTCGGAACGAGATACGGCAGGATGGGTGGGCACGGCGGGACTGAGATCCATCAGCGGGTAGCCTTCGGCACATGCTAGTGACACACTCACCATGGTCATCCTTGCGTAGTGCTGCATTTCATAGGCATAAACTGCTGCCGCGCAGAGGACCGCTCGCCTATACGCTGGTCCTCGTACGACGCAGGTTGGCCGCAACCAGTCGAAGTACGCCGCTGCTCCTTCTTCGATAATCTGAGCTGGTCAGCTACAGCCGTGCATAGCTCAAGCACGACTAATCCCTGCTCAGTTGACCGACTCTGACCAAAGAATCTGAGCCAAACAGCCTCTATCCAGTCTGTGATCCCGACCCCCTCCCGCTCCGTCCCCTCCTCCCCAAGTCTCGCCCGCCCGCCCTAGGCTAGACCAGGCCGGGAGAGCTCTTTCGGCCCTGATACTCGCCGCTCCAGCCCTACATTCTCTAGCTGGAGAGCTGTTTCGGCGCCGTCCCTGTCCATCTCGGATCCCTCCCCTCCTCTGGGAGACTCGCGAGGAGACGAATAGGCCTCGGAATCCATGATAACCTCTAGACTCTCGCCAACATCATGAAGACGTCACTCACATCTGCTGAAATCCTGATCACGATTTCACCGCCCTCGTCTCTTGTCTGTCCATCGCCCCGTATCGCCCGGCTTGAGATGACCCTGGGCTCCGCATGAAGCAGAAAGACCCTGATGTCGCGGATCATGGCTGGATCGGCCACCTCTACCGCTGTGTAGCGCTCCGCGGGGATGTTGTCGCGGATGTACTCCATCGGTTGAACAAAAAAGTAAGCCATAGCGGCTAGGCTTCGGTCGGTCATGAGAATGCGCGTCCCGACTGCGCGGAAGTCCGCCACGAATTGTACTTGTTCGTACTCCTCCTCACGCCGGATTGCGCCATGACGGTTCTCGTAGAAAAGTGTGGGCATCGGGTTGAGGGTAGTTATCAAGCTATGAAGTCAGCCTACTCCCTGCTCAGTGGACCAACCCCGACCAAAAGGTCAGAGCCATACAGCCTCTATCCAGTCTGTGATCCTTGCCCCCTCTCGCCCCCTCCCTTCCTCCCCAAGTCTTGCCCGCCCGACCCAGCCTAAGCCAGGCCGGACGGAGCTCTCTCGGCCCCAATCCTCGCCGCTCCAGCCCTACATTCTCTGGTCGGAGAGCTGTTTCGGCGCCTTTCCTGTCCATCTTGGATCCCTCCCCTCCTCTGTATATCTCGCGAGAAGAAGAATAGGCCTCGGAATCCATGATACCCTCCAGACCCTAGACCTCCACGATAAAGGAGGGTCCAGAGATACTGTGCGCCCGGGCCTTTACCGCCCAATGAGACCCTCGGTGGATCGCTGAGGGTGGACGGCTTATTGCCGAGCGCCTGGTGTTGATGCTGTACGTCCCGCCTTTACTCTGCCCGCTTGTACACTTGTAGACGGGCAGTGAAAGTAGTGAACGCCTCGGGTAGAAAGGGGAGGGGAGCAGTCGGGGGCTTACACCTTTTACTAGGGAACATCATTGCAGGGAGATAGGCTCACCAGTGGGATATGTGCTGTGCGCGCCGGTGATGATATTGCTACTGGGTGGCGACTGTTGGATCGATGACTACATGACTGTGTATAAGTGAGCAAGTGCTGGGGTGAAGCTGAACTTAAGGCGCTGAAGAATAAGATGAGCGCATGAGCAAAGTGAGCAGCGCGCGGCTGGCTGCACCGCCCCGTGGGGAACTGACGTGGGATTGATTCCCATTAATTCCTTTACGGTTTTGAATCTCTTATCAACCATTTTTATTAGAGGGATCAAAAGTTGTAACAGCCATTTCCTAATGCAGCCTTTGTATTACTCATCTTGGTGACGTACAACTCGATGACCGGCCGGCCGACGGTCAGCTAGTCTGTTTGGCTCGGGTCTCCTTTTTCACGCTGACCTTATTACACCTCTTCTCCGTTTCATACTATACACAACTCACACTCACACTCCTTGATACGTCATCTATAATACTCGCCTCAGCAGCTGCATACAGCGCCATATAATCACCCGCTCAGCCGACAAATCAGCTCCTTTCACTTCCATCGGGGGAGCTCGGGCTTACCGATCGTTCGCCACTTTCCTCCTCGACCATGACGTCCACCATGCTACACCACATCCCCTCGGTCATTCGCGCGTCCAACGCGACCGCCCTCCCCCTCCTCGAAATGATCACCCCCTCCTCAGCCGGCTACCCCATATATCACACTGATCATCGCTCCATCTTCCCCCAAATATCCGACAAACACCTCTCCCTCCTCGTCCCTACCGTCCTCTACTGGGCCTGCTCCCTCGGCTGGCATTTTCTCGACACCATGAAGTTCCCCTACTTTGAGAAGCGTCGAATACATGAAAGCCCCGAAGTCATGGCGCGGAACAAGTGCACCGTTGCCGAGGTGGTCAGAGCGGTGATGCTGCAGCATCTCATACAGACCGTGTTGGGTTTGGTATGGTTTGGGAACGAGGAGTCGATCTACCAGACGGAGGTGAAGGTGAATCACCTGGGGAAGATGGCGGCGCTGGCGCCAAAGGTGGCCAAAGGGGCGTTCTTGTTGCTGGGGCCAAGAACAGGAGAGGCGGTATTGCGGTCGTATGGGGAGGGATTAGTACGGTGGGTGTACTGGTGGGGCATACCTGCGGCTCAGCTCGTCTTTGCCTTGTAAGCTTTATATTGAATCGAGGCAGATCCTTAGCTGACATCCAGCTTCCTCCTCGACACCTGGCAATACTTCCTGCACCGGCTCTTCCACACCAACCGTTTCCTCTACAAACACGTCCACTCGGTTCACCACCGTCTCTATGTCCCCTACGCTTTCGGCGCACTCTACAACCACCCTGCCGAGGCGTTCCTCTTCGACTCTCTCGGATCGGTCGTCGCGCACGAGCTGTCAGGCATGACGATCCGTCAAGCCATCCTCTTCTTTGCCATCAGCTCTATAAAAACGGTAGACGACCATGCGGGATACCGGCTCGCATGGGACCCGTGCCAGTTTTTGTTCGCAAACAATGCCGACTACCATGACATACATCACCAGATGTACGGATTGAAGTCCAACTTCTCTCAGCCTTACTTGTTAGTTTTCCGCTTCCTAACTCACGAGCCAAGCTGACTTTATCAGCATCAACTGGGACGTCCTCCTTCGCACACGTATGACCCGAGCGCAGGCCAGCGCCAAGGTCCGTCCATCGGTTCGGTCAAAGACAGCAGTACCTGCGACTCTGATAGACAAGACGGAGTAATGTCATACTTATTCTGTGTTCTCAGCGGGTCTGATCACCGACCTGGATCTTGTGCAATAGCTGTATCATAGCACGATATAATACTGTCACACCGCTTGATCATGGTAGGGCATGAAGGGCTGACTACAGCTGATGATACACTGAGCAGTCATTGACGTTTAGGGACTTGACTTGCATTCGACTTCTCTCCTTATCCTTATCTACCAATCGGCGACGTCGGAGCCGACATCTCGCCATAGCTCCCACTCCTCGATCCCGCCCTACTCCGCCCTCCCTGCTGCCGCCGCTCAGCCTCGATCTCCGCATGCGCAATCATCGCCTTTGCCTCCTCGACATCTTCCTGGATCGGCGTGTAGTTGGCGCAGACGCACAAGCCGCCACCATAGTCCATGTCCTCGGCGGTGAAGTCTTGAGCGGCATCGAGGGCGAGGGTGGCGGTACGGAGTTGGGCCATCCAGTAGGTGTGAAATTGGCGGAGGTGGAGGTCAGGCAAGGCTAGAGGTGTCAGCAGGGCCCTCGTAATCCTAAATCCTGTTCCGGCGAAGAGCTTACGCGCGAGCTCCACTTGTTCGGTCATCTTGGTGATTGTGTGGGGGTGGTGCTTGCGTAGTAATCACTGCTGATCGCGCTGACTTAGTTACAGCCCGAGTACCCGCGAAATACTGTCAAAGTACTGAGTCTTATAGAGCAGGCTAACCCCGAGGCCGCGAAAGCCTGGGTACTCATAGCCTCTTCGTGACTGATACTGCATCAGCTTGGCTTAGTGTTTGACAATTGCTGATCCATTGACAACCAGTCCCTTCAGGTTTGCGCAAAAGGATCTGGCTCCCTGCCGAGCTGTTTTGCCCTTGTTAGGAGTGATACGGAGGCCGCCAATGGATCAGCTGGTCCAGAATCTCATCGTGTGATCGAGTACAGCCCGAGCTAGACGTACATCGTTTCCCCTAAAGTCTGACCCCCTGATATGACTTCGTGCTTACATGTCAGTGAGGGGTACGGAGCTAGATACTCGAGCTGACTGAGTTTTTCGGTGTGCGGCGGTGCTGTCCTGGACTCCAACATGAGCGAGATCTGAGACTGTGAATACATTCATTTGCTTCACGTATAACTTCACCACGACTGAAGCTGCAATTGTGTGCACTCATGAGCCGCTAGGGGCGGCACTGGCTGTGCCTGCATGCCCTTAGCCTGCTACTTTGACGTATACGCTGACTCTCCTTTGAGCCCATAGCATCATACATTCTGACAAAGCACGCAATCTTGCGCTATTCTGCTACTTTGTGGCACTTGCACAATGTAGTCCTGGTATTGTACCTCTCTGCCTTTGAGAAGGACGATCTTTTCTCTGTGCCCAAGAAGGGATCCTCAAGGGGTGCATGAGCGAGGGGGTATGCTTGCCTTGTACCATGCGCTCATGGGTAGGGTATATGAAGCGCAGATTGTCATATCTGACTCCTGCAGGTGCCTCATATCTTTATTAGCTAGAGCTATTATCCGTCTTGATCACTTTCTACATCTAATACAGACACTCCCTTACCTACGCTCACTCACTACTGACGCCTGTATCAGTCAGCATGGACCCTAACGAGAAGCCTCCAGTCGATGAGTACCCCACCTCCCCTCCTCCCCCTCACGACAGCCTCTTCCCCTTTCTCTCCTCCCCCTCTCCATCTGCCAGCCTCGCCGTCCCTCCCCCTCCCCCGGCGTACTCTGCCCTCCCGTACCGCGATATCGAGTTCGACTTTGCCCCCATCCTCAATGGCAAAGTCGGGGACGTCGAGCTGGAGACGACGGACGGTAAGCGGTTTCTGGTGCACCGGAGCGTGCTAGAGAGCGAGACTGTCTTCTTTCACATTTAGTAAGTGCACAAAACCGCTCCTGGGGACTGGCGCTGACGGTCAGCTATGGCTTTGTCCCTGCTTGGCGCCTCAACGTGACCGGCGCGGCAGCTGCCAATCTCCCTCCGAACCCTCACCTGCCCAACCCTGTCCAGCCGCAGAACGCATTGGGCCTGAGCAATCTCATCCCCCAGATCATCACCTCATTGCGGCACATCACCGCCCCTCCCGCCGCACAGACAGACAACCCCACATCCGTCTCTCCCCATACGACATCTTCGCCCGCCACTGAGCCAGCGCCAATTCGGGCGCCGTCTCCCCCGCCGAAGCAGGTCAGTGCCCCTACTCCTACCCATTCTCCCTACACCTGGTCCGTCCCCGAGACATCCTCCACCCTTCTCGCCTTCCTGTCCCTTATCTACCCCTCGGGCTTCCTCACGCCCACCCGCCAGACCCTGCTCACCTCGCCCGAGATCGTCGGCCGCGTCATCCGCGCTGCGATGGGCTATCAGTCCGCCAAGGCGCTTACGCTCTCTCGAGACCGACTATCCGCGTGGGTCCATGAACGCCCCGTTGACGTATACGCTATGGCGTCCTTCTTCAAGTTCTCGGATCTCGCCATCCTCGCCAGTGGGCACGCGATGAAGGTGCCCCAGACCGAGTGGTCCGAGGAGGCTGTCAAGATGATGGGACGTACCGCCGGGGCGAGGTTGCGCTTCTTGCAGGAGAAGCGGGTCGCGGTGCTGAAGCAGATTCTCGAGGGCGGAATGGAGGTGGATGAGCATACGCCTCTGTGCGCCATGCAGGTGTCGATGGAGGGAATGTGGGCGGAGAGGTGTGCGGCGCTGGCGAGGGACATCAGGCCGGAGAGCGGATTGGGCGAGCTGCTCGAGACGGACCTGACCGCGATGGGGCAGGGTCAGGCATGTGGTCAGTGTCTCCTGCTGTTTGGCCGGAGTGTCAGGCGGTCCATGCTTGCTGCACAGGAGCTGCCCAGTACCATTTGAGATCACTCTCTAAGTATCTCCCCGCGTTTGTTGTATTTGTATGTCAGATTGTGCAACCAGAAACGCATGCCATCGGTCGCTGGTATCTCAATGGCAACATCAGCATAACCATACACCCAGAGCTAGCCTGATGATCCCGCTCGATCACTCTCTCCCCGCTCCTCGTCCGACGCGCCGGGCTCTACCCTCCTGAGCCCAGCGATTCCGCCCCCACTACCCGCCCGCCATGTCCCATCTCCCAGAAGCACGTCCGCGCTGATGCTCCTTGGTCTGCTCTCCCGCGATGGTGGAAGCGGTATCGTCCCACTTCGCCTCCCACCACTGTGCATGACGATCGAACTCGACAGAAGCGGCTGTCGTTCTCCGAACGCCCTGGAGCCGTGAGCGGAAGTCGACACGGCGCGACCTTCCTCTGCTTGTCGAAGGCGGCGGCGGAAGATGGGTTTACGGAATGAGGAGCGCTCGATGGTCGTTTGTGGGACGGGCGGTGCGGAGCCGTACATGAGGGCTTGGGTGAGGATGGTGAGGTCGAAGAGGAGGGTACCGCCTGATCCGAGGAGATAGCTGTACACGCTCAGCATTTGCCCTTATCCTGGTCAGAGAAAGAGAGAAGAGAGGGGGATGTGAAACACGCCGGATGAGGCAAGCGAATCCCTTGTCCCACACTCCTCCGAGAGACCCCCGTTGTCCCTCTAACAGTCCATTTCTCTGCATTCGCGCTGAGACTGGTCAGAGAAAGAGCTGCTCACGGTAACGCTTCTAGAAGGTACTGGCTGGCGTCGGGCAGCTCCAGCGATGCAGCTGGGTTGTAGACGATCGAGGCGACATAGGCGGTATTACCACAGAAGGCGAAAAGGAAAAGCAGCATAGATAAGCCTTCGACAGATTTACGTTCAAACTGCAATATCAGCCACCGCTCGTCCGGAACATAACGGACTCACATTCTTCCAGATCTGTGGTAACCTCGAAGTCAAGTATAGGGTCGTACATGCCCAGGCAGAGATACGCCCGATGATACGCTTGTAGTCTGGCGGCCGGTCGATGGGCGGTCCGGGATGATCATGCCCTGAGGGGTGCTCGACGAGGATGAAGGTGGTGTCGAAGCCGGTGTCCGCTGTCGGCGTGGGAAGATGAGGGATTGCGGAAGGGAGGTAGGACATGGGATGTGAGATCGGATGGGAAAGACTCAGGAAGTCATTGGCCGGTCTGGCCAGTACCGCTCCTCCTCCGTGTCGTAACTTGGCTCCCCTCCCAAGTCCACTCCATCCCGCTATCATTCCAAGACTCATGAACGCTACGCCTGCTGCTCGTCTCCCGCTTCCCCTTCCACTCGACGCCCTCGCCATGCTCACCCCTCGGCTCTTACTCCGACTTCTCGTTTCTCGCATCTGAACAACACCCCTGCCACCTTCTCCCGGAAGCCCACTGATGATATCCCCTCCTTCTTCCTCCGCTTGGACAGATCCCGCCCCTGATAGCGTGAGAGCAGGAGTAGCCCGCTGCAGGCTCCGTCCCCTCGCAAGGAGGGATGTGCTCGACGCCGCCATATCCCCCTGGCCCTCCTGCGCCGAAGACCCAGACGCATCCGTCATGGCCGACATGTCTGAATGAAACGAGTCAAACATCGCGCTCCTCGCCCCAAGAACGGGCGATACCGCATCCTCGTCCACGTCTGGCATGACCGTATTGCCTGTTTGTCTGTGGCTCGGATTCCGCGTCCGACGGGTCCTAGAGCGAGATTGCGAGTGTTCTCGGTGCATCTCGGCGCGCTCGGCCGCTCGGGCCACATCGAGCGCTGCTTCATATATCGCCGCGTACGAGTTGTCCTGCCGAGCAAGATGGGGTTCCCGTCCGCGGTATATAGATGATTGGGCGGACGTCGAGGCTTCTCCTGCGTTTCCGAATGATGCTGGCGCGCGGGACGTCTGGGGCCGAACGGTAGATGTCGTAGAAGCGGATAGAGGTTGGAGGGTCGGATGTGGCACGGAGCCGTACGAGCGTGTCCGATTATGCACGGGTTGTTGGACCCGAGACTGAGCTTGAGAGTGCTCGCGCTCGCGCTTGTGGACGTGTGAAGCGGGAGCAGTGTGGATGAGAAGCGACTGATTAGGCGAGGAGGTGTACAGGTGGGAAGTAGTGCGGTAGATGGGTGGAGGAGGAGAGGGGCGGTAGTAGAAGTACTGGCCGACAAGGGTGAAGTCGATGACGCAGAAGTAGGCGGCTAGGTATGTCTATAGCGGATCAGCTATGTTATCCTCCTGTCGGTGAATCAGGCAGCTCACCTGGAATGGTAGTTGATCCGTTAAGATACAGCCGACGAGATTTGTTATATCCCCTAGTTATCAGCTGCCTACTCAAAAGATTGTACGTCCATGGAGGGAATTCAGGTACTCTGCGGTCAAGAGGACCTACCGAATAGCCAATTGATAAGGAAAGGCAACGCCAGACCCTCACACGAAGCCAGCCTAGCATTCTTCACCACCTGGCTATATCTCTGTCAACAATGCCACGTCTGTCTGATGATGCTGGACGTACGGAGCTTGGGCAAACAGCCAGAATCCAATACTGATATATCCCAGAGCCTCAGCGACGACAGCTCGTGTGACTTCGGGAAGAGCGAGGACAGCTTCCATTGTTGATACACCCGGTATGAGCTCTTGCTCTCGGACCCGTGGTTCCGAGCTGACTTCGAAAATGACGTCCTATAGGTAGCTATGCAGCATGGCGAGCCTGATCGTGTCTCGGACAGGATGTCGAAGGGTTATCTATGTATATACAGTATAAGGCAGATGTTGAGATAGAGAGAAGGTGTATCCATTCGGGTTTCAAAGACGATCTGTCTTTGGCTCTGCTAGCGTCGGTTTAAACTTTTGGCTCTGCGAGTCTGCCCCACATTCCGGGATACTCGGGGTGCGCAGATATCGCTGTGACGGTCTCCGTCATCCTTCTGCATGACAACAATGAGTGCTGATACTATACAATTGGTCCCACCAGGCTGTGTGCCACCCTGGAGAAAGTCCCCATACAGCCCCTTTCCTCCTCATGATGTCTTCCGATAAATATCGCCCCAGCTCTTCCTTCCTATCTTGTCCTTCTCCCCTCACGCTCATTCTCCCTGGCTCCTCCCTCATCACCCCTTCTTAGCCCGTTGGACACACCATCACCCTCTTGTCACTCTCCCCTCACGCTCATTCTCCCTGGCTCCTCCCTTATCACCCCCTCCTAGTCCTTCGGACACATTACCACCCGTGCATCCGATAACTGCTATCCGTCCGCCTCGCCAGCTCCCTCCTCCTATCCACCTCCGTCTTCCACTCCGCCCCCGGACTACCCTCCACCGTCGACCTGCGGACCATCGCGGGCGCCTCCAGATTAGTCGGCGACACCTCCATCGTCGTCTCCCGGTCGTTCGTAGTGAGGTTCGCAGAAGACTGGGTACGACTGATCGTTCCGCCCCGCGAGCTCTCAACCACGCCGGTGGAGGTAGGTACGCGCGTGAGGGGCCGGAGGAACCCGCCGAGGATGTTTGGCTGACGGCGCGGGGGTTCAGGCTGCGGAGTGGGTGCTTGAGGCTGGACGGTGTTGGACCGCATGGGAGGGAGAGCACCAGCGAGGGGATGATGTGACGGCCGGTTCTTGGAAGGCATGGTGATCACCGAGCCGCTCGTATGTGACCGTTGTGGTTGTGGGTGGACGAGCGCGGGCGACTGGTCGCCACGCTGACCATGCTGAGAAGCCGATGAACCTGGACGGGATTGCTGTTGGTTTGCCTGTTCCCGATGGAGAGCGGTCTCTGAGCGGTGCCGAGCGAGCGGTACGCCCATCTGATACTGAGCCAGATCCGCCGTCGAGACATTCCGCGCAGGTAGATGGGACATGTGCGTGATGGGCGGGGGTCGGCTGTGCTGTACGGCTGAAGTCCGGCGCTGGCCACTGCCCGAAGATTTCTCCCTCTCCAGCATGAGATCTGAGGGTCAGCTTATCTTCAAATCCAATTGAACTAAAAGCGAAGCTCACTCTGCCGCAATGACATGCTCATCTCCCTGGAGATGATGGTCCTCCGCCTCGTTGTAGGCGTCATTGGCTCCAAAGCGGGTTGAGCGAAACGACCGGCACCTGACATAGCCGCAGGCACAGCCATCGACGGACCAGCTGAGAGATTCGTCTCTGCCTCAGGACTTCGACCTTTGCCCCGCTTGGACTGCTTCTCTGCGAGCTCGGCGAGTTTACGCTGAGTCGAAGAGGTAGCGAGGTAGTCGTCGTCCTCCTCAGATTCGGAACCGGACTCGAGGACAATGCCTTCCGGCGGGCGCTATCTTGTAAGCTCCGCCTAAACATCCTTAAGAAAGCGTCAACTCACCCGCTCGGTTGTTCCGCTCTTATCTGACCGATCGCTCGTCCGCCTCGCGCGCTCCGGAGCCTGCTTGCTATCTGCGCTATTCGCCTCATTCTCTCCACTGTCCGCGCTCCCAGTGACCTCGCTCAATCTGGAGCGATTGGGCGAGACACGGGTTACCGACACGCCGGTCTGGACAGGCATAGCCACAGCAGACTTGCTTCGGAGCAGATTTGGCGCCGGAGCCATAGGCGATCGCGACAACGAAAGGAGAGAAGGGAGGTGACCGTGCGTAGGTGATGGCCGTAATGGCGGCGAGCTCATCTGTGGGATACCCGCGGCGGTCTGATCGTCAGCTTGTACCCTCAGATGGAGATTCCCCAACTCACAAGGTCGACCATACTCCCGCCCTTCTTGAAGATCCCACTCAACAAACCCTCGCTCTGCGCCGGTTTTGCCCCAAAGATATGTTGCTTCGCAAACATCTCTCGCTTCTTCTGCGCCTCCAGCTCGGCCTCGATCTTCCTTCGCTCCTCTTGCGCCGCCAAACGCTGCTTCCGGCTCATATCCCTCAGCGGTGTTGGGGCTGGTGGTGGTGGTGGTCCGTTCGAAGCATGCCCTCTGCGGCCAGAGGGACGAGCGAGAAGTGCGGTGAGGTCGAGCTGGGAGGAAGAGCGATTCCGAGTATTCAGATTCTTGGCTGACTTGCTAGATGATGTACGACGCATGGCAGTCGCAGCCGGTGGTGGTTGCGGAGGCTTTTTGGTCGGAGAAGGAGCTTGTGCTGGCCGAGAAGGGGGAGCCTCCTCGGCGCCCGAGCCCTCGTCCGACCACTCTTCATCTGATCCTTCCGTCGTGGACGCCCCTTCTTCAGGTGGTAATTCGGGCTCCACCGCTTTGCCTTTACCTTTATCGATGGAGATCGGCTCCTCCGTCACTTTCGTCTCTTCGGCCTCTTCATCCTCCTCCCAATCCCCCTCATCATCGTCCACCTCCTCTTCGTCATCCTCCCATCCGCTGCCCTCTTCCTCCGCAGCGGCCGCCTCGGCCTCAGCTTCCAGCTTCTGCGCAAGTAGCTCGGCCGCTTTACGCTTCTCCACTCCAAACCGCCCACGCATAGTGGAGAGCGAGACATGCCGCTTGCCTGGCGACTTCTTCTTGACAGGAGCGGCTACCGGTGCGAGATCGGGCCCGGCGCTGGCCGATGATCCACTGCTCGTCCGACGATGAGGTGCTATCGACGCGGGAGGAGCGGGAGAGAGGGAAGGGTTGGGTGAGGGCGGTTGGGGAGCGTCGGGGAGTGTGGCTGACTTGCCAGCGAGAGTATTGGGGGAAGCGGCGGTATCAGATCCGCTTCCTTTGGAAGGGGATGAATGAACAAAGAATTTGCGCTTCTTCTTTGGCGAGCCGGTAGCTGGGAGGATCGGCTTACTTCGAGACCGCTGGGGAGGAGGGTTCTGCGGTATAGGCACCGCATCATCCCCCGAATCCGTCTCCTCATACTCGTCCTCTTCTTCTACCACCTCCTGCTCTTCGGGCTCCTCCATCAGGCGAGGTGGTACCGCTACACCGAGCATGCCCGCTCCGCTCATAGACCCGCCCAGGCTGCCTACCCGGCTTGGGACAGGTGTAGGCTCTACTAGCCGTATTTCCAGCTGAGCAGTAGGGGTATCCGGGACCGATATCGTCGGGGGAGGGGGAAGATTACGCTGCGCATCCGAGACCCAGTCAATAAACTGGTCTTCCTCCATGAGCAGCTTGAGAGCGCTGCCGAATGTGCGGCGCTCCGAGTGGCGCGAAGAGACGGATAGGGTGGGTGATGGGGGTTGTTCGAGGTGGGGCGTGACGGCGGACGCGGACGAGCCGGTCGTCGTGGAGGAAGAGCAGGATATCCGGCGGTGGTGGGTAAAGTGGGACGATGTGGAGGTAGAGGACGCGGCAGAGTCCCGGCGGTGGCGACACCACTGGCGCCATGCGAGATTCTCGAGTCGCTCGCCATCCTTGACGATATCGGACGCCTTGGAGATGACTGGCGATCAGCTAAAGTCAAAGGTGGGGTTTCTGGGAGACGGGACGTACCGTTCCAAAAGTCCCGGACGTTGGTCTCTTCATCGCCAGCGCCTAGAATCTCATCCCCCAGAGCCAAAGCAGGAGGGGCGAGCGCGAGAAGGGGGATATTCGGCCGGGTCCCCCGCAGCGCAGTCGCACTGGAAGGACCGTCGTATGTCGTCGAGATGTAGGGTACGGACGGCATGGTGTTATATCATGCTCGTCGCTGTGGGCGAATGTATGAGGCAGGAAGAGATGATGATGCTCGTAGAGTGGTGGGGGCAATTTCGAAGCGGGGAAGTGTGGTGGGGGCGGGGCGAGGGGTAACGGGGTAATGGAGAGAGCTAGTCCGAGCCGGCGGCATCCAAAGGTATCGGATCAAATAGGGGGCTAGGGGAGCGTGCGCTTCCGATAGATAGATAGTCAGGAGAGGCGGCGAGGTGGAGGTGGGGGAAAAGGGGGTATCGACCGAGAGCGTGTGTGTGTATGAGTTAAATGCTGACGATTGTGTATGTGTGGTGATGATGGCGTCCCCCGTTTGCCCCGCGCAGTTACATCCCCAATTCTCAGCTCTGCGACCCCTCCTTAGCTCCCTCCTTGCGTCCTATCCCGGTGAGATCGGCCGAGCGTCCTTTGCACGGGGCAAGGGAAGGGATCCCTGTGTTCCGAGTGCCCCTTGGAGGCCCTTGCGCCACTGAGATCCTCGGAGGTCCAAGCGCAGATAGCAGCCGCTTTGCTTGCAGGTCCGTTGGCGATGGCTCAACCCTCTGTTGCCTAGCTAGCGAGGGGCGCCGCTGCGCGAAGGTGGCCTGACTGCGATATAGATGAAGAGTGAGCGAATGCAGCTTGCGGAACGTGTAAAGTTTCCTTCGGCCCGCAATGAACGTTTGATCGTCCGGGTATGACGATGCCGAGAGCCGACGCGATCGGTGTGCAGTCCGAGACTACTGTAGTGCGCTAGCTATGGGGGTGACTGACCCGGGGAAGTGCTAGCTAGCTGTTTGCGAGAGATGCAAGGGGAAGAGGCTGTTGACATCTCTGAGTCAAGTCGATGCTTGCAAGCAGCCAGCTAGCCAGCCCTAGCCAGCCCGTACATGCATCCCGATGCGGACCCCGTCTGGCCCGCCCGCGGTGGTGGCGAGGAAGGTGGCGGATCTCGAAATGTTCCGGCGGCGGAGCAGCTGACCTCAGCTGATGCGCGTGCGAGCTACATCCGGCAGTCTTGTCCGGCAGTCTCGGAGTATACTGAACCTTGATTGCCTAGTTGTAACCAGATTGCGGGAATGGGTCTGGTATGTTGTGTGTGGGCTCACAAGCACTCACCAGGACGAGAACAGAGCAGGGCAAGTAAAAATGACATGCATTCCAAAAGATCAGCTACAAATAAGAGAAGATCTACAATACGACAAAAGACAAGATCTAACGATACAGCACCTCACAACGTCCTACACGAGAAGGCTTTACACCGCCTGCTCCATAGACTGCCTCCGCGTGGTAGGCGTCTCATGGGCGACAGACAGACAAGCCACAAAGTTAATTGAGGCAAAGATGACCATGGCGATCCACCACAGATTTCCTCCAAGCACCTTGCCGTCCATTGAGATGGCAAACAGCTAGCATCCGTCAGCTCTAACTCATTTTGGGGGCTAACACTCGACTCACTGCGCTAGCAAGCGATGGTCCCACAACTCTGGCCATGCACTGGACCCGTCAGTCTGTTTCACCTGACTCAGCAGAACATACTCACGCCTACAGCCGTCGATATCCCATTCACACCGCCCAGCGCCGACCGGTCCGGACTCGAATAATTGATGAGCACCATCAACAACGAGTTGCTCATCCCCACGACCGTCACAAAGCTCAGTACGGCATTCACGCCAATACTCGTCCCCCACGTCCGGGTGTTGGAGTACAGGACCCGGCCCGTCCCATCTGGCGGAAGGGGCGTTTCGAGCGCCTCGAGCAGGTGTCGCAGACGTGGAAGGAGGAGGTAGACGGGTATCCAGCCAAAGGTGAGCATCTTGTAGGCGGTGCCGACGCCGAGCCAGCGCCGCAGGCGGTTCAAGAGCAGGAGCTGGCACGCTATCGTCCAGAGACCGTTGATAGCGAGGGAGTAGCCGATGGCGGATGTCTAGAAGTCAGCGATTGGAGGCTATAATATGGCTTGGTCGACTCACAGACATGTTGAGACCGCTGAGGATAATGAGCTAGGTACAACGCTGAAAGTTGAACAGAACTCACCCATTAGGATCAAAGAAGAACAAGATAGATACCGCCCCCCAAGCGCTTCCCACAAAGCTGAACGATCAGCAACTTTACAGCTAAATTAGGGTCTTGAGGAAAGCGGTAAGACTCACGAGTTTAAGAACATCGTCACACACATGACCCTCACCGGCGCCCAAGCCATCAATTCCCAAAAGCCCCATCCTCCCACTTTCGTCCTCGCCATCTCGACATCCTCCCCCGCCTGCGCGCCCGTCGGGGATGGTACAGGCGGGTACTTGCCCAGTAAGGACTGCGTTACTTCATCGCCCCCTTCCTCCTCGTCATCTCGGTCGTACTTGTCGTTTCCACCAGTCGGTGTATCATCCGGATCATCAGATTTTCGTAATGGGGACCGAGGGGAACCGACGAGGGTATCGGTATCGCTGAACCCAGAGATGGAGGATAAAGAGCGATGTTGCTTTGCCGTGTCCGTAGGGGAGGTAGAGGTGCGAAGGGTAAGTGATGAGCGGGACTGGAGGGGGATAGGGTTGACGCCGGCGGAGGACGAGAGTTGGAGGCCGGGGGTCGATTCGATGTAGACGAATTGGGCGAATACGACGCCGATGAGCGTGATGATCCCAGAGGTGATACATGCTGCACGAGATTAGTATGTTTGTGAGAGCAGCATCGAGATGAACTCACGTAGAAAGTAGGGGTGCACCCGGAATATCTCGTACCCGAATAACGAAGGGAATCGCTCATACGGATGACTCAACGTTCCTCCCAGCGCGTTCCTACCTCGTCAGCATTGATACTGACTGGAATGGTTACTGAGGGCGTACCCTATGATAGCTCCTACTGTCCACGTCAGACCAAATAGCGCAAACGCCTCGGTGGAGTTGGTATCATCCGTCAGGTCACCTATTGCCGCCTTGACGACAGCGACGTTCCCGTTCAGTGCCCCGGAAAGACAGCGATAGAACAGAAGCATAGGGAAGCTGGTCGCAAGACCACTTGTAGAGTCAGCAGGAAGATCAGGAGAGACAGGGGAATTTGGCTGACAATAGGGATATCGAGATGCAGACTCCGAAGAGGCCGAGTATGATGACTGGTTTCCTCCCTATCCGGCTGCATTGTCAGCTTAAATCTCGACATGCACTGTATCCTGAGATCTTGACCTACTCGGAGAGCTTGGCCCAGTGATAGACAGTAAAGAATTGTACAAAAGCGAACACTGATTCCTAGCTCATCAGTTCTGCACTCCTCACTAGCATGACTATGAACTCACCACCATCCCCGAGTAAAAGCCCACCCGTTCAGGATTATCTGTGACGCCCATCTCTGATATCATCTCATTGATGAACGGAAAGATGACGGTGTAAGAGACTGGTCTCATTAGCATTGCGCCGATATATGCTCAAGCGGATAGTGCTTACTTGGCTCGGCCAGACGGGTGAGCATCAGCACCACGATCTGTTTGGTCGGCAGCGGGGTGATATCACCCTCTGCCGCCTTGCTAGCGGCCTTTTCTCGCCTCATGATGTATACTGTCGAGGCCGTATGATATCGTCTGAAGATGGTCGTGCCGAAGATGATCCGCTTGCCGGAGGCATCCCTCGCTGCTGATGGTGCGGAGTCTCTATGCTCGTCTAGTCAGACGTGTCTTTCCAACCAGCCTAATTAAGAGAAGGAGATGCGAGGTGTGAAGATGAGCTGAAATGAAGAGCAATGACGAAGTGGACAAGATGCTGATCGGTACGATTTCGGGAACCTGAGTCAGAATCGCAGGACCCTTTCGGGCCGGACGAGTCTTCCCAGAAAGGCATGCTCTTTTGGCTTCCTCTAGCTTGTCATCCTCTGACTGAACGGTTACTTCGCGGCACACTATGCTCTCAGTCCCCCTCTGCTCACGGCCTGTCGCCCTTGACCAGTCCTTGACCCTTCTTTGCTCTCTGAAGACGACAGGAAACCTCTTTCCGCTCATCGGGCGGGCGAGAATTTAAGGTTCATTTGGGTCTCGGAGATGTCCGACCTAGCAATGATGTCACTCGTCTCGGGTGGGGAGGAGGTGGGGGACGCGAGCAGGTGAGATGAAGGGGTCAGTGAGCAGAAAGCAGACGCGAAAAGCACCTGTCAAGCCGAGTCGTTATTGGCGAGCAAATGGTGCTAAATGTGATCGCAAAGAAGCAAGGCCCCGAATGTCCTTCACCGCATCAGCAAAACTTTATGCGGGACCAGCAAGGAATGCGGCGTGTAACCGACTGCCTTTCTCTGCCGGTCGTTGCGGCCTGGGCGCTAGCTGGAGGAGGGATCAGAGCTGCGATACCGACTCACCGACCTGCAAGATCCTTGAGCACTCATTGACCCGTGTTACGTCGGCTGCGCTTCTCGGCAGCGTCTACCGAGCCTATACTTGATAAAATCGCGACGGCCAACCCCGAACGAAGGCCGCTCAAAACCGGCAACGCGTTTACCCGCAGCTGTCCACTTTCCTCTTATACTGCCTCTTGTCTCTATACTTCACCTCCCACCCATCCTCTAGCCTTCCAACATGCTGTCCCTCATCCCTCGTGGTACCCTACGATGTGTCGCGTGCGCATCCATGCCGCGGACGGCAGTCGCTGGACGACGCGCCTTTTCGACGCCCGTCGCTGAGCAGGACGATAGACCGCTCGCTGGGATCAAGGTGGTCGACTTGACGAGGGTGTTAGCTGGTCCTCTGGCTACTATGATGCTGGTGAGTAGCTAAGAGACCCGGCTTGCTGTATGGGTCATCAGCTGATGTCATAGTCAGACTTAGGAGGTGCGTTCTGACCCTGATCTGCTTCTGTATGTTTACAAGCTGATTTTTTACAGCCGACGTGATCAAAGTGAGCTTGAACTGCCGCACTATATAGGCCCATAGCTGACTCTGATAGATAGAGTCACCTAAGAACGGAGATGACACCCGGTCTTGGCTCCCACCCTTCGCTCCTCTCCCCACCAATTCCACTGAAGGCGCATTCCCCCGCCCAGACTTACCGCCAGAGTCGGCCTACTTCTTACAGGCCAACAGGAACAAGCGATCGTAAGCTAAGCTCCTCGTAATTGGGCACCGGATCAAGCTGACTTTGTAGGTTGACGCTCAACTTAAAAGACCCCAAGGGTCAAGAGGTAGCGAGGCGGTTGGTCGAGGAGGCGGATATCTTGGTCGAGAACTAGTAGGTACCACTTCCCAGCTATTATGTGCTAAATTTGGAGCGATAACATAGCTGATATTTTAGTGTACCGGGAAAGCTGGACAAGTTTGGCCTTGGGTACAAGCAGGTCGCAGCGATCAACCCTCGCCTGATCTACTGCTCCATTACCGGTACGTCTTGATCCTTTCGGGCACTGTCTCAGCAGCTCATATCACCATAATCGTGTGGGATCGGGATGGAAGACAGCTGACCAGCAGGCTATGGCTCGACCGGCCCGTACGCCCAATCCCCCGGATACGATGTAGTCATCGAAGCAGAGGCCGGACTCATGCACATCACAGGCGAGCAAGACGGCAGGCCTGTCAAGGTCGGAGTGGCGGTGACGGACGTCTTGACGGGGCACTTTGCGCAGTCGGGTATCTTGGCGGCACTCTTGAAGCGGCATAGGACAGGCAGGGGGGGGCGGGTTGAAGTCAGCTTGTTTGAGAGTCAGGTAAGCCGCCAAGTCCCCCTCTTTTCCAGCTATAACATTAGCTCCAGCTGACAAGACAGATCGCCTCCCTAGTCAACATCGCCTCCAACTACCTCATAGCCAACAAAGAAGCCACCCGATGGGGCACCTCCCACCCCTCGATCGTACCCTACCAAGTCTTTCCCACGGCCGACTCCTTCCTCATGCTCTCGGCGGGTAACGACTCGCAGTTCCGAACCCTGTGCTCTCCCGCCTTGTTTGACAAGCCGGACTGGGCGGCCGACGCGCGCTTCGCGACCAATCGCGTCAGGGTGGAGAATCGCGCAGAGATGATTCGGTTGATTGAGGAGGTATTGGGCCAGAGGACGACGGCGGAGTGGTGTGAGCGTTTGAAGGGGAAGGGGCTGCCTTTTGCGTGAGCTAGGCTCTTTGATGCTGACTTGCGTGTTTGGCGGGACGAGCTAACTTCTTCAGACCGATCAACAATATTGCGCAGACATTTGCGCATCCTCAGGCGATCGCTCGAGAAGTGGTCGAAGAGGTGGAGGTGAGCTGGATGGCCATGTCATGCATGCCAGGCCAATCAGCTGACGTTTCAGCATCCCCGAGCAGGCAAGATCAAGCTCGTCGCACCTGCCACCTCATACGACGGGAAGAAGCCCAAGGTGAGCTGAATAACCGTGCTTGGGGTCTATAAGCTGACTTCGCAGATCTATCGCCCTCCCCCATACCTTGGCCAACATACTGACGAGATCCTCGGCGAAATCGGCTTCACCGCGAAGGAGATCCAATCCATGCGTGCGAGTGAAGTCGTATAGCGAAACAAAGACATGCATGATGCTAAACACAGGACAAGGACTAAATCGAAGTGCGAAGGTGGAAAACTATGCTATATGAGGTGCTGACTGTAATAATTAACAAACATGAGTGAGAGGACTGGCGACTAGAGTACAGGGGAAGTTGACGGTCGCGAAGGGTCTGTCTACCTGAAGCTCATACCCTCACCGTAAGGCAGACCAGCAGAGGTAGCTACTTTGTCAGCTTCCGCTCTCAAAAATCGTCGCGGAGCCAGCTCACCGTGCATACTCTGCGAGGGGTGGTCGAAGTCGACCGACGTGTATGAAGCGTAGTCTGTCAATATCAGCTTATCGTCACGGCATGACTAATGACTGGATTGTGGCCGCGGCAGCTCACGACTTTGCAGAGGGCCTGGGTATCCACCTCCGACATGCCTAGGGATATCGTAGTCTACGATATGAGCTTGGCGCCTCAAAGAAGGCTGCGGGCGACGTCTCTCACACTGCATTCCATCCTGAATACCAAGCTGGCCAGACTCAATCTTGTGGAACAGCCCCTTGATAGGCCGGCCCATCCCGATATGCCCATGCTGGATGTGCTGGGGCATCGGCTGCCTGTTGAGGGGGCGAAGACGGTTGAAGTTGATGCCTCCGTGGGCGTTTGTCGCGAAGGGAGCGGCACCTGGGGCGTTTGTGGCGGGGCGTGGGTTATTGTAGGCTGGCATGTCAGCTTCATAGCGGGGAGCAGAGTTCATCAATGAGATAGCTAATGAGGAAGCGGACTCACCGGTCGGTTTCGGGACAGCGCCGTTCACGACGTAGGTAGGCTGGATCTTCTTGCCCTGGAAGTCGCTAATGCGTGAGCTAACGCGCAATGTCCGCCACCGTGCCAACTCACTTGTGGTGGAACCAGTGCATCAAAAGGCTAGCCTTATCGGGCGAACGGCAGTTGACAGTGACAGACCTACGTTGTCAGCTAGATATCTCACCAGATAATGCTAATGGCAGCTCACCCTTTGCTCTTCCCATTGACCTTGTGCTCGTTGAAGACGATGTCCTTCAGGTCGATCTTGACCCCCGCGAGCGCCGCGGTATCCTGGATGTGCTTATCGGTCGTCCACTGTAATCGTCAGCTACGGGTGAAGCTCCGCACGTCCGGCAGCTGCCTCACCCAGTGAAGATCGCCGACGCTGACACAGTCTGAGCTGAGGTAGTTGATGACGCAGCGCCGGTCTGGAGGGTCGCCCGGGGCGTAGGGGGAAGTGGAAGGCTTGAACTCGCGCGCGTTCTGAGTTGATCAGCTTGGTTGCCCTGATCAACGGGCGACAACTAGCTGTAGAGATCGGTTATATATGGGTGCGGACTCACTCTAGGGTCCATCCCTGTGCCCTTGCCACCCGTATCTTTACCGCCGTTGTCGAGCCGGAGGGAGCTGATCTCGCTGAGGAGGTCGCCGTGATCGGTCGGGCTGTGCATCTGGGGGATCATCAGCGGCAGTACGAAAGTACATTAATTAGAGCACAGAGTGATTGGTGGGCTCGACAGAAGTAGAGGAGGCGGAGAAAGCAGGAAGAGAAGACGGCGAAGTCACCACTATGCGCCGAGAAGGAGCTCGCTTGCGAAGGGAAGCGTCAGACTTACAGTGAGAGTAGGTCCGATCATAATTGCTATACAGCTTAGAATTTGATACCGAGCGGTATGTATCGGGTGGTGAATAGCAAGATAAAGTACGAAGTGAAGAAGAGGAAGCAGAAGGTGAGACCGGTTGACGAAGCTAGCCCGACGGCCCGTAACGGTCCAAGCTCGAGGAATGCGGCGCGCGCGAGTCACGCGTAATCGGCGTTTCAAATGGTCACGTGATGTGGCTGACCATTTCAGATCCAACCCATAGCTGTGTTCGGAGAGTATATAGCTTACGCGCCGAGAGGTACTATATAGGAGGTTCGTATACATCCATAGATAATGCTTGCGGTAGATACAGCTCGTTATGATCGTTAAATTTAGTTAGGCGTTCCAAGTCTTCCTGCGTCACCCGGTATCACTTCCTGCCGTTACGCTCATTCCGCCTTGACTTCCCCGTGTACTCGCGCCTGCATGTGTCAGCTCGTCTTCGCCTCACGATGGCTGCAGAAACGTAAGCTCACCCTGTACAAGCAAGTAAAGTCTCCTCCCCAATTACTAGCAATCTTGAAAACGACAATCCCCATGTCGATACCCATCGCCTGGATCTCTGGGTCGACCGGGAAGGTCTGGACGTGATTCGGCAGGGAGGGGTCGTACGTGAAAGAGGAGAGGAGTAGGTAATCTGGGGAAGGTGGCAAAGAGGCGGTTCTGTATTGCGTCAGCTCGAGTCATCCAGCAGCGTCTATTGGCCACTAAGCTTACTCTGCTTGTGCGTGATTGTCCAGGTATGACCTCGCCTTCTCCTTGTTCTCCTGTCCTTCTACCAATCCCCACTGATTTGTCAGCTGTCAACCGACTAAGCTCAGCATATATAAACCAACCACTTCTACATCCCTTGGCGCACTGCGGATATCCACCGCCACCTCGCTCGCAGCATGCTCCAGCGTCAAATCCCCCACGACCACCCTCCTACTCAGCATGATCCCCAACTGCCCCTGATCGCCCTTGAATGGCCAGCACTTGCCGACCGTATTATCCGGCATCAGCGCATGAGCCGGCGAGAGCCCTTCGACAGGTTTACGGCCGAGGATGACCCGACCCAGGGCGCCGGGGGAGGACATGACGAGCGTATCGGATGTAATGGAGGGAACGACGCGTCCGCCGGCAGTGAAGAGGGCGTAGTCCGGTCGAGCGATTGTATCTTTCGAGTATCGAAGGAGGGCCGCGTCGATGAGCTCCTGAAGAGCCGAGGTGAGATCATCCCCTTTCGGCGATTTAATGATGGGTGCGGAACCCTTCTTCGCTGGCGCCGGAGAAGGGACGGGCCGACTCCGAATCTCCTCCATCGTGCCTTTGAGGCTCGACACCTCGCCCTCGAGAACGCGGATGAACTCCGTTCTCGAGACGACATCCCCTCGCGCGACCTGCCGGTCGTACAGCTTATCTCCCCACGCGTCCAGCTGCGCCTCGGTGATGCCGCCGGACTGTACTGGCGTCTTCCCGCCCATCGCCTTCCGCACCAGCGTTTCCACCTCCCCCTGTCCAACCAGGACCCGCTTCATCTCAGTCCAGAAGACCGGATCGATATCGAGCGATCCCGTCTCGGTCCTCCGCACCGGCATCCAGGTAGGAAGGATACGTTCCAGCGCAGTCCGTAACCGTCCATCCTCCAGTACGCTCTGTATATCCCGCTCCACCGCGCCCACACGGTCCTTCAGCGACTGCACCTCCCTATCCACCTCGTCGAGCTTGCTTAGCCGACCGCTGGCGCTCGCCAGCCCCGCCTCGGTGGACACTATCCGACTCGCCAGCTGTTTCACCTCCTTCTTGATGCTCTCGAGCGAAGTCTGGAGCTGATGCTGACCCCTCTCTCCGCCGACGCGCACAATTTCCAGCCGCTTCCGCTCATGCGAGACCGCCTGTTCCACCTCGCCCAACCGGCCGACGATGGCTTCGCTGGATTTGCGCCCCTCCGCCTCGTGCTGCTCCAATGCCCGATTCGCCGTGGAGATGGACGATAGGGCCTGCTCGATGCTGGTGAGCCGCGCGACGAGCTCGTCCATTGATGAGGGAGGGAGGTCTGGTGCTCTGAACCCAACGCTACCGCGCCAATGTCCGTCCGCCAGTCGGAGGCCGAGCGAAAGGGCAAAAAGACCGAGGAGCCACTTCCACCGATCCTTGTTCATCCGCTCGAGGATAGCTTTGCTTGGCCCCTGGGTCTTCTCGAGGGGTCGCAGGATCGCCCTGCTAAGGATGGAGTGTAAGAGGTCGACAACGAAGCGGAGGGATATGGCAATACCGTGTAGGATGTTGGTGGCCATTGTCCGAGCCGCTGACGGATGACGACGGCGAGAGAGGGGGGCTGAGCTGGTCCGAGCAGGTCGAGGGGTAAGTGTCGCCCGTACGATCTGCATAGGCGTTGCTGATCGCCCGTTCCGCGCATGGTCCGGGAAAGGCGAGACCGAGTATCCGCGATGCTCATACGGCTCCTTCTCCTCTTCTTCGTCCTCATCAATCTCACTCCGGCCGATGCCCTCGTCCGTCTCCATCCCGCTTTTTCGGCCAATCTTGCGTTCCTTCGGCTGGATACCCAGTCCATTCCCCAGATACCCTTCCCCCTTCTCCGCCCGCTGCCCTCTGGTACCGGCCCGTCCATTGAGTCCACCGGTCCTGACGATACCCTCCCCCTCGCCATCGCTCTCATCCGCATCATGCACCTCATCGTCCTTTCCAGGCCGATATGGCATATCGTCATCCCTCCCCTTCCTTCTCTTCGCATCAGACACTCTCGGCCCTCTCGCCCCATTCTTCGCGCTCTGCTGTGCAGCTCGCACGAACTCCTCTTCACGAGAGTAGGTGTAGCTCGCCTCGGCAGAATGATCCTCCCCTAGCGAGCTGAACGAGTTGAGCTCGCCAGAGAGCTCGGCGGACTCGTCATTCGGTCGAAGGAAATACCGGACGGGTGATAGGGCGCGGGCAGAGGAGAGGATGGACTGGGCGGGAGAGAGCTGGCGTTGAGGAGCAGAGACGGAGGTGGATGGGGCTTTACGGTGCCCAGGGGCCGTGCGCGGTCGGGCGGAGGTGGTGGATGGGGCATGTTGACCTGTCTGAGCGGCGTTGAACGCTGCGGCGATCCTGATGCGTCAGCTGGTGCTCTCGTCGGGCGGAGCTCAGCAGCAGACTCACTGGACCGAGGTATCTGAAGGATAATAGACCGGACCCTTCTTGGCCCCCTTGGGATTGGGGACTTGAAAGGACGCCGTGCTGTCCCGTCAGCCACGGGTCATCGCCAAACACAACATAAGGCGATACGACTTGGCCGTCCACCTGCTTCTCGGCCAATGACTCTGATGAGTAGATCAAGGAACATACCTATCCACGCTCTGCCTATCCCACTGGTCCGAATCATCCACCGCTGGTCGCCTCCGCGTGCTTCTCGTGCTCTGAGCAGGTGATGGCACGACCGTGTGGCGACTCACGACGGCCGGCGAGGCAGCTGGTGCTCTTCTGGGAGGCATCTTGCTCGAGCGATATGGGTGGCGAGACGCCAAATATACAGACGGAAGGAAGGTTGAAGGTGCCCGAGCGCTGGCGTTTGTTTACGCCGATCTTTGAAGTTGAGCAACGTAGATTTCCTGTTGGATTGGCCTGTCGAGGCCTGACCAGGGATTACACGGGCCAGTATGATGCTGGAGATGAAGTAGGTAGGGAGATGTATGCAAACTGGAAAAGCTCGCTGCACGTTTGCTGATTGAGTGGGTGACAGGGAACGTCGGAGAGATTTGTATCAGAGTCAGACGCGCTCGTTTCAAACCTTGTGACGCGCTGTCGTTTCGGATCTCTTTCACCCATGCAACCACAAGCACATCCACACAGGCTCAGTCCGCATAGCCCTCCTTGTCCACAACCCAGCCTGCCTTTATCCCAGACCATCCATATCTAGCCATGGTATACATGCCGCCAAACTCCAAAACACCCTCCCCACATGACCGCCAGCACCTGTAGCCAACGACCAGCAGAAAAGGCTCGGTCGAAAAGTTTAACGGTAAGACTGCGTGGGTCAGCTTGGCCTTCTGCTGGCTCAACATGCGCCAGGCTCACCTTCTGCCTCCTCGAACGCGCTCCACGACCACCGAACTTCTTGGGCTCCATACGACGGGGGTCAGCAACGAGGAGTGAACGGTCGTAGGCGATGAGGGTCTTCTTCAATTCGAGGGCGGAGGCGGCATCCTCGTTCTTGGCGTAGAAACTGGAGGTCAGCTTAGGTATAATTTCGGCAGCATAGCCCACTGTCATGACTTACGCGACGATGCCCTTGGCGATAGCCTGACGGAGAGCGTAGAGCTGAGAAACGTGTCCACCACCCTTCACCCGCAGACGGATGTCGAGGTTGGCGAGCTTGTCGGCACCGACAACGAGGATAGGCTCGTACACCTTGTATCGCATGAGCTGGCTGAGAAGTCAGCATTTGCCCATGTAGCATTTCCTGCTCCGCATGCTCTCCCAATCCCGATCGCGGGCCCGCCTCCTGCGGGTCCTGCGCCTTCGGTCCACCACCATACAGCGCCTGCTAGACGCCTCCTCCATACGAGTGCTCCCCGGGATGTGCCCAATCCGCCCATGGTCCATTCCCACTATCTCCCTCTCCGGCTCAGCTTTCCTTCTGCTACGCCACCGTCTATCCTCCTCGCATCCCCCTCCTCGTCCCAACAAATCCCTCCTTTTCCATGCTTCTCTTATCCCATGGGCGAAATGCCAACTCACGGCTCGACGATCGAGATGGGCGATCCGTTAAGCCTGACGAGCCCACGTCCGGGGGTGACGTGAGCCACAGCGGTGGCGGTCTTCTTCTTGCCGAAGGTTTGGACAGCAGACATGATCTGTTTCGGTTCGGATGATAGGTTCGAGGTGACGAATTGGAGATGGATCGCATTTGACGATTAGGATAGGTAGGGAGGAATGGAAAAAGCGAGGTGGATGGGTATTTCGGTGGTCGAGAGAAAGCTCAGTCAGCTGTCGTTCCCTCCGTTCAAATATGCAGCAAGGTGTCACTCACGGATTGTTAGTTAGAGGAAAGACCGCTCTGCTCTGGCTCAGCAGAATTGGCAGCAGCACGGAACAGCACTGATGCCGTGGCCGAGGCGGAACACGTGGTGTGAATCGCCGAAATAATACCGCTGAAAAAGGCCGTGGCGTCAGAACATATCGCTGATAAGCTGCAAAATAGCTCCGTTCTTATCGCCGATACCTGCGCACGCGAGTCTGCAAGGCTGCTTCATGCATCCGCTCATGCATCGTCACTCAACCTCTATGCTTTAGATTGTCATGCGGTTGCTGCTGTACAGGCGTATTTAGCTGACATGCAGCAAAGAAGAAAGCTTATAAGAGCGGAAATGCGGGAAAGTCAGCCTGCGGTGTGATCTCCTCCTGCTTTGGACTGGCCGCTCTCCCACTTGCACGAAATACTGACACATTCAAATAACCCCATCTGCATGCAAGCACAGCAAGTGCAGACGCCACTATCAACAAATCAACAGATACGAGTACAGTAAGGGAACGGCGGTATTACAAGCTAGCTAACGACACTGTCTAAGCGGACCTAGTAGTATCGGATGCCTTCGCCAGTGTACCGAGGAGAGTCGGCGGTGTAGCGGACACCGGCGACATCACCGCCGACCGCAGAGCCAGATGAGGCGTCACCTGACCATCAGCTACTGACCATCACTACCAAATAAACGGACATACCACCGTCACCAGCGTTTCCGGTGGCAATCTGACCGAGCTTGAGGTTCTTGGTCAGACCCTCGGCGTTGTGGCCGTAGCCGTACGAGCCGCACTGGCCGTTGAAGCACCGCTTGTCGTAGTGGTACTCTCCCCTGAGGGGTCAGCGCTGCTCACAGCTTGACAAGTCAAGACTCACTTGTTACCGCCGTTGGCGACACCGCCGAGACCGGTGTAAGCGTCACCGCCCTTGCCGCTGGCGACCCAGTTGCCATCGATCCAAGAGTAGCTGGATATCAGCTACGGCCTGATGGAGAGCCATGGTACTCACGAGATGGCACCCTTGCCGCCGAGAGCATCACCGCTCTTGGCCTTGCCACCATCGCCGGCGTTGCCCGAGAAGGCATTGATGACCTTGGCGTTGTCGGCGAGGCCGTTGCCCTGACCGAACGGGCCGTCTCCCTGGGACATCTCGGTGCTGGAGCCACCAATAGCCTGACCGCCGAGACCAGTGTAGGCGTTTCCGCCGTCGGCACGCTTGGCGACGGGCGCGGCAAAGACAGCGGCGGCCGAGAAGAGGGCGAGAGCGATAGTAGAGCGCATCGTGTAAGGTTGAAGTGTGGGTAAGTGGTGAAGGTTGGTTGAAAAGAAGTTTCGTGAGTGGAAGTGTGTGTTAAACGAGCGTGTGTAAGAACAAGAGGCGCCAAAAGCCAAAGTGAAGGTGAAGTGAAGAAGAGCGAAGAGAATGTGTAAAGTGAGCGGATGAAGGATAGGAGGGAGGGAGGAGGAGGGGTTTATATATCACTTGGCGTGCATGGTGTGTTGTTTGTGCGGAAGGCTTGGGGACGGTGCTGGAGCGCATGGCGTGCATAGTGGTCTAAGACATGCATTCAGCGAATGGACCACTTTGTGGGTTTCGGGCATTGACCGCGCGGCTGAAACGACGGGGCTGGATCATGAAACGTCATTCGACGAGGGTCTATCGGCCTGATTGCTTTCTTTCTCTCGCGGACAACCAAAAGGCCGCACTGACACTATGTTTCTGATCATGTGCCGGTCCTGCATAGCCCTCGCGTCCGGAGTGGGGTTGAGCAGACACCTCTTCCAAAGCTGTTGCAACGATGAAACTTGCCGCGCGGGTGAAACGCGTTTCAGTGTGTTTCGGATCCTTTCACGCAGACATCGCCTCTGTCACTCGCGATGCGGTGCGTTGACTCGGCTAACTCAAGGCGCTGGAGAGCTGGAGACAAGCACGTGTTCCATGACCGCGTAAAGGCTTTCCGGCAGGATCGATCAGTCAGCCGTCCAGCAGCATAGCACGATTGCAGTTGATCGCACGAGCTGACCTCACCGGTACCGTACTCGTTCATTCCAGCATCACACGCAGTACGGGCTCGCGCACCATAGATTGCGAATATTCCAGCATGCACATCTGAAAGGAAAGAGCCTCCCCTACAGGTGCCACGCGTCTGATCATATTGCAATGTCCCAACCCCTTTGATCGGGAAATACCCCTGACCATCCTTTATCACCAGCTGCACTGCCTCGCTGGGGAGAGGGTTGAGTGAGGCCCCCTCGCCACTCTTGCCTCTGTCAATCACACTCCACTTCCTCGCTCCACGACCTGTCAATCCCTAAGGCTCTGTCATAACCCACACTGTACAACTGACCTACTCCCTCCCGTCCCAACCCCTCCCCCTTCGTTTCTTCCTGACCTACCAACCTCACTTGCTCGCGGCGTATCTGACTACACCACCGCTTATACTCCCCTTACCACTACCTCATCCCTCTGGCTATCTTGTGGCAAAGAAACCCAAATGACAAGTGTCGCGCCTTTCGACGCTCCCGGCCGAACCCAAATTGGGAAATTCCCAACGGATGACACAGTCGTCGCCACGCGAACTCAGCAGGCGATAGCCACCACAAATGACACCGGCGCAGCCAAAGCCTCCGACTTACAGGCTCTCTCTACCTCGAGAGCGAGCTCGATGGAGCCGGCTTACGCTCCAGAGACGGATGACATCAAGTCTCGCCGCAGCTCACGCTCCGTCAGCCTGCGCAAATTTGCAGAGGCGATCAAGAAGACCTGGCCGCGAGCGAAGGTGTTGTTCAGGAAGCTGTCGTCAGGGTCATCGCGAGGCAAGTCAAAGTCCCGCCGCCACTCCGAAGCGACAGGGTCCAGGCAAGCACAGAGCGACATTGTCACCAACACCGCAGCGGTCGGTACAATCACGGAGTCCCCCACCCATTCGGGCATGAACTCAAAGGGACGAAGGAAGCTTTCAGCGTGGATTCAGGAAGAGGAGAGGACGCGGCGCCGCAGCGAGAAATCCCAGGCGATGATCGACAAGATACTCTCTGATCCTCGTCTCACAGCCAGCTTCCTGGCGGCCCTGAACCAGAACTCCAACTTCTCGACTTTGATCGATGGGTCACGAAAATCCAAGTCCTCCCGTTCGGGCCGGAACAGCACACGCCCAGAAGTGCACTACGTGCACGGTCCCCACCAAGAAGCAAAGCTGCAGGCTTATGTCGACCACCTCTCCCGAAGCTCCGATGGGAGACCGATCATCGTGGTGGTGCGGGGGAAGAAGGGGAGACGTTGGAGAAGCGGCAGCGCCAGCTCAAGGCGAAGTGGGAGGAGCTCGAAGAGGCGAAGCCGCCAAGGCGACTGGGAAATGTCTCAGGGTCCGGGGAAGACGAGGCAGGAGAGCGAGTGGCACGGATTCGTGGAGGAGCTACCGGATGACCCGATTACCGCGCCGGCGAGTCAGGCTGGGATCAGCATGATCAGCAGTACGTCACAGCCGGCACCTACTCAGCCGACGGCCTTCATACCAACGACACAGGCATCCGCCGCTGTACCGACAACAAAAGCCAGCCTGGACCCTGTTCTCGTCCAAAGTCTCGTCAACTACCTCACGAGTCCCGCCGGCCAACAAGCCCTGTCCCAAGCGAGCTCTCAGACAACCGCACCGCCGGTCCCAGCAGCTGCGAATACTTCCTCCAGCTTCCAGTACCTTCCGTCAATGTTATCAGCCCGTTGATAATCAGTGTTCCATCAGATATTGTGCATGTATACCTTCTCCCGCTTCTGACCTTCTAGCTGCATCCGCCAGGGTAAAATCTACCACCACACATCCTCCCCCAGTAGCGTCGGGTCCAGCCCCGCCAGCGCACTCCCATTCTGATCAATGACTCCCGGCCCAGCCAACCTGTTGTCCACCACAGCAGGGAGGAAGAACTGCTCCATCCCTAGGAAAGGCATCATCTCTCCCGTATTCTGCCCTCCGAGGGAATGACCATCCAAGAACCTGATTAGTCCGTCAGCTTTACGCCCTGCTATGATCAGGTAGGAGCAACTCACAGGGGCAATTGATCCCCATTACCCAATCCCGCCCGCTCCATCGTCTCCTCCGCAAACAACTGATCAAACTCAAACGCATCCGTCCCGCTCTCCGGGGACGCATTCAGCATCTGCCCGCCATGCTGCAACAGACCCGCAGGGGACAGGCCCGTCTTGCTCGGTCCGGCAGCGGCACCCGCACCAGCACCAGCGGGAGAGGTAAAGTAGTTGGCGTTGATGAGTTGCGAGGGGGAGAAGGCGATGTCGGAGCCGGCGAGGCCGGGGAGGGAGGAGAGAATCTTGCCGGGAGATGGGGCACGAGAGGCCGCGGGGATGACTTTGGCTTTGCGGGCTCGGCGGAGGATTAGGCGGAGGGAGCGGGCGTATCGACCGGCGGGGACTGGGGTGTCAGCTGATGTCCATGAGGGACAGGTACATGACAGCATACCCTCCGACAAGACATTGGCGAGCTCGTCTACATCCTTGGCAGTCTTCTTCAGGTTGAGCTCATGCGGGAACAACCGGGCGATCCGGATCAAGAACGATGCGGCAAAAGCAGCGCAGACATGCGTGTAATGCACAGCATACCTCAGACCATTCCGATACTGCTTCTTATCAGCTCCTGCCTTTCCTTTTCATACGTTCACTCACATTCTCCCCTCTCAGACAGATCTCGATACACTTCTGCGCATTTCTCATCGCCCGGATAGCCAACGCCCTCTTCTCCTCTGGCATATTCACCACATCCGTCGGTTCCTTGATGCCCCGCAATAGTTGAGAGTTGACAAACAGCTCGGCGTACTGCCGCTGGATAATGAGAGACTCGCGGAAAAAGTCGCCTCGGCCTTTCCCGAATCGGTCGCCTAGGACCCGATCCCAGTATCGCTCCCAGGCGTCAAAGTCGGCGTTGGCTTGTTTGAGGCGGCGCATGGTGTTCTCGGCGATGGGGAGGTCGGGCGCGGCCGTTAGCTCGATGTGAAGTGGGGCTGACGGTCAGCTTGAGCTCCCGCGCGAGCATGGTCAAGCTCACCTCGCAAAGCCATTAGCTCGACAGTGGATACCAGTCGTGCGTCCGAGGTGATAGAAAGGGGATGTTCGAGCAGTCTTCGGCACTGATGGATCGTCTCGTCTTCCCGCAAGATAGCCGGGCGACCCATACCGTATGCCATCCTAGGTATATCAGCTGACGACCTCTCAAAAGGTTTTACAACATACTGATGTTCGATCAAGTATAGCTGTCCTGTCAGCTTTCGTCGCAGCGGATTGCCGGACCGATAAGCTTACGCAAAACCAGATCCTAGACTGTACGACAAGATGCCTCTCCTCCTCCAACTCCGCCTGACTCTTGCCTTTTCCCATTCCACTCTGCAGCAGACTCAAGAAAGATCGGTTGAGACCCATATCGATCGCCATTCGCACAGCGTGTCCTCCAGGGAGCCATCCGTTCTCGCTAAATGCTGCAAGCATGACTAGACTGTCAGCAATGACTCTCATCTTGATCAAAGCACTTACTCATAGCTTGAACAGCCTCGATCCGAGCGACCGGATTGAAAAGCGTCCCCACAGCTATCCGCTGCGCATGCTCCCTGCACAACCTCTGCACATCGCTGATCGCCCCACCACCGTCCCGGACCCTCGCACCAACCATGATGATCGCGGTGATGGAGAAGGGAGAACGAGAGCGGAGCGACTCCCACGTATCTTGGCTGGGATCGAAACATGGGATGAAGTTGCTAGAACCTGCATAGAAGCTGACTGTCAGCTGTGCCTCCCCCTTGTCAAGAGAATAGAGACTCACATAGCCATGAGATCCTTCCCCTCCTGCTCAGACACAAACCCTTCTTCCACCGCATCCGGATAAGCGTGCATATGCCGCTTCTTCCCCGCCTTCTTGATCTTTTCTTTGGTACTCTGCGGCGGCAGGTTTTGCGCTTCGACGACAAAGGGTCCATGTGGGACGGTCGGACTGTCTCGTCTCCTCTTGGCTGACCCGCCGTCCTCACCGACCTGTCCCTCTGCGGAAGCACCAGCATGAGCGCTTGGAGTAGCCTGCTCATTCCTCGCTCGCGCAACCGCAGCCTCCACCAGACCCGCCATGTTGGTCATCGCCCCAAGTGGGTTGATGATCTCCTCCGGCGCGAGCAGGTCATCTGGAGTGACCGACCCACCCCGGGAGGGCGGGAGCGACATGTGCAGATTTTGCTTTGACGCCTGTTGCCATTGGTTGGATTGCGGAGGCGCGGGCGGTCCCATATTACGCTGAGGATCGGACGGCGCGCCGACAGATAAGAGAGAAGGGTCGATATTGTGCGTGTTGGCGTACTGAGCGTTGGATGCGCCGCCCCAATTCATCCCGGTGTTTTGTGGTTGATGAAACGAGCCTGCCGAGGTCGATGGACTTTGAGCGAGGAAGGAGGGATTGCCGGGCATAGTGTAGAAGGGAGGAGTGGGACCGGATCCTGTAGATGTGGGATGTGGGTATTGCTGCTCAGAGCGGCCGGGCGAGAAGCCCATCCCTTGACCCTGAAACCCTGGCTGAGGGTATGCGCCCATTTGAGGGGGATGCGAGCTGCTGCCGCTGCTGCTGCTGGCCATGCCGGCCTGAAGCGTCTTGACGAGGTCGACGAGGGTGTTTTGCATGGATGAGACTTGATGTTCGAGGGATCGTATCCGACTATATGGTCAGCCTAAGCCAGTACAGCCAAAAGAGGGATGAGCCTACTCGTCTCCACCACCTTCAGTCATCATCGCCGCCCCTGCATTCCCGCTCCCACTACCTCCGCCCCTACCTGGCTTCTCCATGACGCAGGTCAATCCAGAGTTTCGACACCGCTTACATGGCGGCTCCTCTGCGCCCACGCAGCGCATCTTCATCCTCCGGCAGTTGTTCTGACGAGTCAGTCCGTGCTCAAGCTAAACCGAGGAGGATACGCACACATGCCCTGTTGACACGATTGATTCCCTTCTTCTCCTTACCCTCTCCGCCGTCCCCTTCCACGCCTTTGCCCTTCCCGCTGCCCTTGCGACCACTCCCCTTGCCGTCATCTGGCCATTCATCATCTGACTCCATTTCAGAATGATGCCCGCCGTCATTCTGCCCGTTACCGGTCGTGTAGGGGTTCATCATGTGATTGAGAACCCGACAACGGACTCGAGATGAGAAGAACCGACGGAAATCGCCTGCGCCTTGACCAGGAGGAATTACCGTAAACCACCGGGCGGAAGTGAGCGAGAGGGCGGTTGATATTCAAGATGATTCAAGAACGTGTCAGGCTGACCATGTGTCGATATAGCTATTATGATGGGTCAAGATTTATGATCAAGCCTCAAGTTGAAATCGCGAGTGACTTCGCACTGTCCGCTGTCCGTTGTCTTCGGTTGACCGGTCCGACCTGATCCGTTAAATGGTGGGATCGAATACATGACGTCATTTGACGCGTCCAGGTCAGTCGCGTCACGCTGCATCGGCTATCAATTATCAGATTTCGGGATCCACCTTCTTTTGCCTCTCCCTCACCTTCCTCCCTGCTAGACTCAGCTCGAGTCGCATCGCACAAGAGACAAGATGCCTCTCCGCCGTATAGAGCTCTTCAACTTCAAGTCATACCGTGGATCCCAAGTTAGTCTGCCTGCCAACTCCCCCTCCCTTCCTTCTCCCGCTGACTGCTCAGGTCATATCCCTCGGCGATGCCTCCTTCACGTGCATCATCGGTCCGAACGGAGCGGGCAAGTCCAACCTCATGGATGCCATCTCCTTCGTCCTCGGCATTCGTTCAAGCCAGCTCCGGTCCGCTCAGCTCAAAGACCTAGTGTATCGAGGAAGGAAGGCGCTTCAGGTGGAAGGGGAGGAAGGGATGGATATTGATAATGTCGAGGAGACACAGGAGACGCAGGCTAGTCAGAGTACGAGCGGGGCGGATGCGCGATCGGCGTGGGTCATGGCTGTCTACGAAGATGAGGATGGGAAGGAGTGGAAGTTCCGGAGAAGGTGAGTCCAGAGTGGGAAGGAAGGAAAGGGGAGCTGATGGGCAGCGTCAATACGTCCGGCCAGTCGACGTACTACCTCAATGGAAAGCCCGTGGCGCTCATTGCGTACAACCAGCAGCTCGAGAAGTTCAACATTTTGGTGAAAGCCAAGAACTTCCTGGTGTTCCAGGGTGATGTGGAGGGGGTGGCCAGCCAGGATAGCAAGGCTTTGGCGAGGTTGATTGATCGGATATCTGGGTAAGCTACATCTATTTCCGCGATGCAGGAGGTGTGGTAGCTGACGATCAAGTTCTGCTGAGCTCGCCGCGGCCTACGAAGCCGCCAGACAGTCACAAGACAAAGCGACCGAAGCTTCTACCGCCAACTACGCCAAGAAGCGCGGGATGATCACCGAGGTCAAGCACTTCAAGGAGCAGCGAGACCAGATCAGGCGATGGGAGAAGCTGAGGGATGAGAAGGTGCGCAGTCCGCTTTGTGCAGATCTACTGCAGAAGCTGATAATCTAGGATGCGATGATCCAGCGTCACCTCCTCTGGAAACTCTACCATATCACTCAGGAGATTGAGGAGTCGACAAGGAAGGTGGAAGAGGCGAATGAGAAGCTGTCTAGTGGACGCAAGGCAGTGGTGAGCTTGAAAGAGCAAGGCATCTGACCTAAGCTGACGTTCGTAGGACACGAACGAAGCCAAGCTCAAGGATGCAAAAAAGTCACAGGCGATCGCTCAGAACGACGTCAAGAAGCGAGAAGCGAGAGTCAAGAAGGCCGAAAAGGCGTATGAGGACAAGGTGAGCTTACACTCCCATCGTGATGGGCAGCAGAAAGCTCATGCAATAGAAACCAGAACTCCTCGCTATCGAGACCAAGATGGAGCACTCTCGCAAGAAGGCCAAAGACTCTTCTGCTCTTGCGGAGCGGATCGAGCGGGACGAGTCTCGTCAAGCGAGCGACTTGGCTGAAGTCGAGGAGGGTACCAAGAATATCGACAAGCGGATCAAGGAGGCTACGGAGGAGCAGAAGAAGAAGAGCGCGTTGAGTGGGAAGGTGCTCAGTCAGGCGGAGCTGGATCAGTATCGGACACTGTGAGCTGAATCGCGAAATCTGTCGTCTAGGGCGAGGCTGATCTTATAGGCGGTCTCAAGCGAACATGCTGGCGGTGAGCGAGCGACAACAGCTCGAAGTGATGGGGAGGGAACAGCGAGCCTTGAAGGATGCGCTGGCTTCTGCGGTGGATAAGACGACGCAGGCGGGGAGGCAGAAGGAGAGGTTGGAGAATGAGGTCAAGCAGCTTGCGGAGCGGGACGAGACTGTGAGTGTTTGGACAAGGGTCTAGCTAACTAGCAGATGAGCGAGAAGGTCCAGACGCTCGACAAGGAACGGGAGAGCGTCAAGGCACAGCTCGAATCTGCTCAGGCTGAACGAACTCGGCTCAAGTGAGCTAGGTCGCTCATACCGGAGCTCAGTAGCTGACCCTCAGTATGAAAGAGACGGAAGTCAACGAACGTCTCCAAGACACCTTCAACAAGCTCATCCAAGCCGGCGCCGACAAGCGCGAGTCTGAGCGTGACGCCAAGCTCAAAGAAACCCTCTCTTCCCTCCGCCGCCTCTTCCCCGGCGTACACGGCCGCGTTGTCGATCTCTGCCGACCCACAGCCACCAAGTACGCTACGGCCGTCATGACTGTCCTTGGGCGCAATATCGATTCCATCGTCGTCGATACGGAAAAGGTCGGAATCCAGTGTATCGAGTACATGAAGAACCAGCGGGCGGGGCAGGCGACATTTATACCCCTGGATACGATCCAGGTGAAGCCTATCCCGGCGAAACTGAGGGATCTGAGGGGGAGTAAGTTGGGGATCGACTGTATTGAGTTCAGGGCGGATGTGGAGCGGGCGATGCAGCATGCGTGCGGGAGTGCGTTGATCTGCGAGACGATGGCGGTGGCGAGGTCGATCTGTTATGAAAAGAATGTGGAGGTCAAAGGTGAGTTAAAGGTCGCCTGAGCTGGTTCGAGGCCGCAACTGACAAGGCAGCTGTAACGCTCGAGGGGAATGTCATCCACAAGAGTGGATTGATTACTGGTGGTACTGGCTCAACCGGCGGCAGGAAGTTCAACGACGAAGAAGTCGACAGTGAGTCTCACCTTGGGCTGTACTGACCCCAGAACTCCGCGCCCTCAAAGACACCTACATGAAGCAACTCGCCGACCTGCAAAAGACCAAGCCCAGCGCCAAATCCGACGAAACCCTCCTTTCCAACCTCGCCCGCCTAGATGCCGAGTACTCATTCGCCAAGGACGACCTGGACGCGACCCAGCTCCGTCTCCGCGGACTCCGAAAGGAGCTCAAAGCTGTCATTGCGGATATCGCCAAGATGGAGCCGGATCGGCAGGCCAAGGAGAACGCGGTGGATGCTGCAGAGGAGAAGATTGCGGGTTTGCAGGACAAGGTGGATAAGGCGGAGAAAGGGGTGTTTGGGGCGTTCTGCAAGAAGTTGAAACTGGGGAGTATAAGGGAGTATGAGGATGTGCAGTTGAAGATGGCGAAAGAGGAGAATGCGGTGTTGGAGGGATATCAGCAGTCCAAGGCTAGGGCGGGGCATCAGTGAGTTATTTGGTTCAGGACGAGGGTCAGAGCTGACGAGGCAGGATCGAGTTCCAGAAGCAGCAACTCGCCAATACTCGAGACCGGCTCAAGACACTCCGCGCTACGGCCGACCGCGCCAACACGCAGCTCGAAACGCTCGAAGAGGAAAAGACGGCGATTGAGGATGAGCTCGAATCGCTCGAAAAGGCCATCGAGGCCCAACGGGAGAAGCTCGCCCAGGCGCAAGAGGCGCTCAATACCGCCACGGAGGCCGTCGAGGAGACGCGGTCTGCGCACCGTAAGAGCCAACGAGGGCTTGATAAGGCGCTCAAGGAGATTGCGGGGTGGAATGACGAGATTGAAAAGTCTGCGTCGGATCGACATGCGATTTATAGGCGGTGTAGGCTGGAAGAGATTGAGTTGCCGCTGGCCAAGGGCAGTTTAGAGTCGGTGCCGATTGAAGAGCACCTGGGCGGGGCGGCAGATGAGATGGATGTGGATGATGATGGGACGCAGAGGCCGAAGGAGGTGGCTGACTGGGGAGTGGAGCCGAACTTTGATGATCTGGAGGATGAGGATAGAGAGGTGAGCTGTGTCATCCTCTATTTGGTGGAGAATAAGCTGACATCACTAAGAACAGCTCTGAAGAGGTCAATCGCGAGTTTGAGGGACAAATCACCAAGCTCAAAGCGGATCTCGAGAAGCTTGTTCCGAATATGAAGGCTATCGATCGGCTCAAGGACGTGCAGGCGAGTCTGGACGATGTGGAGAAGGAGGCAGAGGCGGCGAGGAGGGATAGTAAGCGCGCCAAGGATGATTTCCAGGACCTCAAGAAGAAGCGGTGAGTTTTCTTTGGCAAGCTGAAGAGCGGAGAGCTGATGAGCAGGTTCGAGCTCTTCACCAAGGCATACGAGCACATGTCGGGGTGTATTGACAAGATCTATAAGGATCTTACCAAGTCAAAGACGTTCCCTACTGGCGGTGTCGGTTTCTTGTCCCTGGAGGACAATGAGGTCAGTTTCCACGAGCATTCCGAACCCTCGGCGGAGCTGACAAAATAGGAACCATACCTCAGCGGAGTCAAGTACAATGTCATGCCCCCCGGCAAGCGGTTCGTCGAGATGGAACAGCTCAGTGGAGGGGAGAAGACAATGGCGGCGCTGGCGCTGTTATTTGCAATTCACTCTTTCCACCCCGCGCCGTTCTTTGTGCTGGACGAGGTGAGCTAAGTCCACCAGATGGAATGGGGAAGAGCTGACGTGACAGGTGGACGCCGCGCTGGACCCGACCAACGTGTCCAAGTTGGCGAGATATATCAGGAGTCAGGCGGAGAAGGAGGTTCAGTTCCTCATCATCTCGCTCAAGAGCTCATTGTAAGCTTGCATCTGCCCGAGCTTTGAGGCCCATAGCTGACTACTTCTTCAGGTACGAGAATGCCGACGGGCTGGTCGGAGTGTATAGGGACCAAGATGAGAACTCATCTCGCTCGCTTACTCTGGATCTGCGCAAGGTGAGCTGCACAGAGCCTTCACCCTGGTGAGAATGAGCTAATCCCGACAGTATGCCGAATAATCTGAACTGGGGGAGATCGAGAGGGGAAATCGTTGTATCTATGCTACATGCGCTATATCATCATGCACCATGTGTTTCGACACTACCCTTGACCTTCTCGTCCAGCAGCTCCGCCATTGCGACATGCATGCATGAGATCGACAGGGGGGCATTCCTCATCACGTCACCGAGTCAATCAAGTTTGATCCGCCCACCTAGCGATTAACGCTAGCGCGAATGAACCTCCTGCAGATTAAATCTTGCCTCGACTGCTGCAGAGCTCCTTGTGCTCTATAGCGACTGCAGCTTCTCTCCTCCGCTATACCCTGCTCGACTCCAGCTACAGGGAGTACACACGACGGCCTCCACAGGTTTACACGTGCAATCACCGCTCTTCCTCCGGTCGCATACCTCAACCCTACCCTCTCCGAGAATCAGACCCGACATCCACCGGACTTGCTCACATCAAGTGACTTCCGCACGCATTCGCCAGCTCGAGCGCGTCTATAAAGCCAGCCGTATTATAAGGGTCAGGTATCTGTGCATACACCCAGTCGCCGCTCGATATTCATACCCGTCGTCAACCTCGTACCTCACACATTCCTCCACAAAGGGACGTGCAACAGAGCTCGGAGAAGATAAAGGAGCGGATCTTTGTCGAAAGGATTTACGGTCGTGTGAGTGGGCTGTCTTCTCTACGGATTCTCAATAAAAAGTCCAGCGTGTCGTCATCATACCTGGCGTGATCTCGTGCCTATTGGTCAAAACGCGCTAGATCTAAGCTGATCAAAAGGCGTTCAAGGCACCGACTGTCTTGTTTCAGCTACAAAACTCTACTGGACCGCCCTTTCGACGCAGCCCTGCCGCCCAACATACCTCGTGTCTAGCATTCTTGCTATCGCCCATCTACATCGCCAGTACCTAAACTACGTGAGTTGCTCTGTTCGTTCTGCCGCGATTGTCTTCTTCTGGAGTATTATCACTGGTCTCGTGAGGAAGCTCGTCTATCGTGCGAGGCAAACGAGCGTCAGCGTCGGTGGGTAGCGTCGAGTCGAAGTTGAGTCAACTCCCGTGGGAGTCTGAGCGGGGCAGGGCGGCTCGAGCGGGGGGTCATCAGGGCCGAGCACGCGGCCCACGCGGGGGACACACACAAATCTGTTCCTGGGCCGAAATTGAATGAGTGGGGGAGGCGGGTCACATGCTCGGGCGGGGTGTGATAAGGCGGGGAAAGGGAGTTGAGGAGGTGACAGCTGCGCGGGGAGGTCGTGCATCGAGGGGCTGAGGGTGTTTCACATTTCGGCGAAGTTCCATGTTTTGGAGCTCCAAGCGTCCAGCCCACCTCTACTCCGTCATCTTCGAGTCAGCCTCTCTTCTCACCCAGCCATTCTCTTCTCCTTTCTATCTTTCATATCTACCTCTTTCTCGCCGTTTTGGCCGTCCTGCGACCTAAATCTCCTCTCATCCTTTTACCGTCCTCCCATCTGCTCGTCCGAGCAATCCCCACATCTCAGCCCCAGAGCAGTCCACCTTTCTCCAATTTGGAAGACTGGAGACTACGATGGCGCCCCCACCTCCCAGCGAGGGGAATATAAACCCCCCTCGTCGCTCCTATACAGTCTCTGATCTCCTCACCATGCCTCCCTTCCCTCGTTCTCGCTCTGAATCGGCGGTTCCCCAGCAGTCTCCAGGGACGAGGCGGGCGGCTCTGCTCAGCCACTTCCGACCCCATCGTCAGCGCGATGCTGACTCTCCTACCAGTCCGAGAACTCCTCATCCCCTCGAGGCGTCTTTCCACCCCCTCTCACCCGAGGAACTTCGCCAGCGGCTCACCCTCGAGATCTCCCCTACCGCTAGCTCTATCGATCTCGCAACACCCTCCCTCCGCGCTTCGCCTACCAAGGATTGGACCGCTCATCCCCCAAAGCACGACAAGGACGCTCTCCCTATCCACATCGAGAATATTGACGAGGAAGACGATCATATTGTTGTCCTCCCTGCCATCCCTCATCGTCCACTTCTCTCCCGCGGATCCAAGTCTGAGGCCATCATGAGCCGCAACGGACTGGCCGATGGCCGAGCCAAGGTAAGCTTTCTTTGTGCCAATCTGAGCTCTACTGACTCTCAGATCCCCCTTCCCAAGAACCTCCTCTTCATCGAGCCCGGAGTCACCCCCAACTCGGTCAACAACACTCCTACCAATGGCGACCAGAACGACCCCCTCGCTCAAGCCGGCGCTGCCCTTCCCAGCAGGAAGTCCACCGGGGACAGCTCCAAGACTACTACACCCACAGAACAAGCCCCTTCCCGCCCCGCTGTCCAGCCCCTCGAGGACGAGACGATCCACAAGCTCGAGCGGATCGGCAAGATCAACGACCGGGAGAAGCAGCTTCCGCATGTCCATGCCGAGCCGAATGAGTATTATGGTGGGAACCAGGTTTGGAGTCGTGCGAGGACATTCAGTAATGTGAGCTAACACCCAGTCGAGTACATCAGTACTGGATGACATAGCTGACAAGACAGGTCGGAACGGAGGGGTTCAAGAAGGGAAGACCGCAGCATATGGACGGAGAGGTCATTGGTCGGAACCGGAGATTGTCCCACGACGAGATCAGCGCGTCTGCACCGAGGCGGTTCTTGGTCGACGTTGAAGAGACCATGCGGATTGTTCTCGAGCAGGAAGATACCGACGCAAAGTGAGCTAGTCGGTGACTCTATTGGTATTAACACAGCTTACATTCCAGCTTCCAGATCTCGATCTACGACTCTGGACCCAAGCTTCTCGCTCTGGGCACCGCAAGTTCCAATGCGCACAAGTTCTTCGACATCAGGGTCAGCTACTTCATGGACGTACTCCAGTGACTGAGCTGATAATCCAGGGCACCTACATGCTGTCCAACCTGCTCCAAGAGCTCGCCCTCGCCAGAGACTACGGTCGAAAGCGGATCGTCCTGGATGAAGCGCGCCTTGCCGAGAACCCCGTTGACCGTCTTTCTCGGATGATCAAGAACTCATTCTGGAACGCCCTTACCAGGCGGATCGACGGCGAAGGTCTCGAAGTGGCTTGTGCGGACCCAAAGAACCGGAGTCGGGTGTTGAGATCGAGGATTTATGTTCCACACGGCGAGGAGGAGCAGGCGGAGTACTACCGTCAGATGTGAGCTGCCGCAGGCGTCGAGATGAGACCCAGAGCTGACCTTCGTAGCTCGAGAGAAAAGCCCAACCTCAACCTCGAGGTGATCGTTCTCCCTGTTCACTGCGACGAGCCATCATTCGTCAAGACGCTCAACGACTACCCCGGGATTCTCGCTCTGGCTATGCAGAAGAAGGTCGACCCGGTCACCAAGCAGAGCAAGCTCGAGGCGCTCCCTTTCGTCGTCCCTGGTGCCCGATTCAACGAGATGTACTACTGGGACAGTGTAAGTCTGATGCTACGTCATGAGATGCGTGCTGACCAGCAGTATTTCATGGCTCTTGGTCTCTTGGTTGATGGCCGACTCGACCTCGCCATGAGCATTGTCGAACACTGCATCTTCCAAATCAAATACTACAACAAGGTCCTGAACGGAAACCGGACCTACGTGAGTCTAGCCTTATCCGAGTGAGCATAGCTGACGAGCAGTACCTCTGCCGATCCCAGCCCCCCTTCCTCACCGATCTCGCCGTCCAGATCTACAACCAGCACCAGGATCGGGACGCCCTCAAGCCATGGCTCAAACGTGCCATCCAGGCCGCCATCAAGGAGTACCACTGCTACTGGCTGGTCGAGCCTTCGCTGGACGTCAAGTCTGGTCTCTCCCGGTACCGTCCCGTCGGCGAGGGTGTCCCTCCAGAGACCGAGGCCTCCCACTTTACCCACATCCTCCAGCCCTTCGCACAAAAGCTCGGTATCTCGGTCAACGAGTACATTGACGGGTACAACGACAAGACCATCCACGAGCCCGAGCTCGACGAGTACTTTATGCACGACCGAGGGGTGCGCGAGTCGGGACACGATACCTCGTACCGACTTGACCGCAAGTGCGCGGATCTCGCCACCGTCGACCTCAACTCGCTGCTGTACAAGTACGAGTCGGATATCGCCACCGCTATCGAGCAGGTCTTTGGGGATGAGCTTGAACTTGACGACGAGTTTGATCTTACCCCTTGGCCCATCACAGCTGAGGCGTATGCGCCCGGTGCGCCCCGCGAGCGCTCTACATCCCGGAAACAGACCTCGGCCGAGTGGAAGGCGCGTCTCGAGAAGCGGAAGGAGGCGATGAATGAGCTGTGCTGGAACGAGGGGCAGGGGATGTACTTTGACTACGACTGCAAGGCGGAGAAGCAGACGCGGTACGAGTCGGTCACGACCCTCTTCCCGCTCTGGGCGGGGTGTGCGTCCGAGGCGCAGGCGTTCAGGCTGGTCGATTCCGCGCTGCCCAAATTTGAGGTGGCGGGTGGGCTGGTCAGTGGGACAGAGGAGAGTAGGGGGATTATATCGCTCGACAGGCCGAATCGGCAGTGGGGTGAGTTGTCCGTCGTTGGTCGAGGAACTTCAGCTGATATATAGACTACCCATTCGCTTGGCCGCCGCATCAAATTATGGCGTGGGTCGGGCTGGAGCGATACGGGCTCGACGTGCACGCTTCCCGCTTGGCCTATCGATGGGTTTACATGTAAGCTTACTGTGTTTTGACTTGCGCGAAGAAAGAAGCTGACGGATCAGGATGACCCTGTCGTTTGTCGACTTCAACGGTATCGTGCCCGAGAAGTTTGACGCTGTGGAGTTGAGCCACATGGTTGATGCGGAATAGTAAGCTGCTCAGTGCTTGAGGTCGGAAGACGCAGCAGCTGACGACTCAGCGGGAACCAAGGTACCGACTTCCGCTACGTCCCCAGGGAAGGTTTCGGGTGGATGAACTCTGCCTACCAGGTCGGCCTCCAGTTCTTGTCGGTCGGCATGAGGCGAGCTTTGGCTGCTTGCGTTCCCGTAAGTTATCCGATGCTCACACCATACGGTACATAGCTTACCCACCAGCCATGGGTCTTCTTCAACCTCCCCGCGCCCGACTTCCCGTCCGCCCGACGCAGGCGAGCCGAGCGGGAAGAGCGGGAGCTCCAAGCTGCCGCCCAGGGGCAGGGAGGCGAGCCCAAGAAGAGTGTCCACCACGAACCCCCATCGCTCGAGCAGGCGATCGCCAATCTGAAGTTGGAGCATGCGCAGTAAAGGTACTGGAGCGCGGGAACGGTGGGATCGCTTGTTATCGGTTTCTTTCTTTCATTCTTTCTTCTCTTTCACGTATCTTCCACGTCTTCTTTCCACCTTGTAGAATAGCACGCTCTGGATCGGAATACCATCATCATGACCCTCTTTCTACTTTTCTTCCTTCTTTCTACAGAGTAGAGCTGTAAGCTGCACCTTCATTGTCTATGGTATCTATCAAGTCATGCATCGAATGACGCCCATACTACTACAAGCTGCTTTCAGAAATCCTCTATATGGCCAACCATCTCTTGTCCGTTTCGCCATGACCGCGTGGACCGAAATCTCCGCTCGCCTATCACGATTCATCTAACCAAGTCTAGGCGTCCATAATCCCTCACTGTCAAGTCAGCTCAATCCCTTGAGAGTAGAGCAGAACGGCAGACTCACTTGTTAACACCAAACAACTGCGCCCATAGATCCTCCACATTATCGCCCCCGCCTCCCCCTGCTCCATCCTGTCCCATGCCTTCTGCGCCGCCAACTCTACCCATCCCTCCACCCATCCCGCCCCCGCCATTCCCACTCCCGCTGCTCATATCCCTCATCCCGAACAACTCCGGGTTGAGCGCATCGAGGAACGACGCGTCCCACAGCATATCGTCCAGGGCGGCGAGGGGGTTGTAGTCTGCTCCCGATCCCGCAGCCGCGCCGCTTGCGCCTGTGCCTGAGCCGCCAAAGTCAAAGCCGGGCGCGGGGGTGTACCCTGTAGGCTGGTATTGACCTTGACCTTGAGCTGGGGCGGATTGTTGGGTGTTGGTTATAGGGGTGGCGAAGGGATTGAAGGGGGATGCGTTTTCTGAGCCGTGTATCCCCTGATCCAGGTTGAAACCTGGGAGCTGCGCCGACTGGCCGGTGGTGCCATGATGATCGAATTGGCTGCCGCAGCCTCCGGGACGGATGAGCCCATCGCAATTCCGCCCGATCGGGTTCTGGCCTTGGGTACCGGCGGTACCGTATAGAATAGGATCCGAATGAGCCAGTTGGGCCTGCGCCGGAGTCGCGAGCCAGAGATTTGGCGGAGTGACCGGCCTGCTGTAGCTGGATTGAGGGAGGCCCGAGGTTGCAGATGATGCGCCTCCCGATGCCGGGAGACGGTGCGCAAAGTGTCCAGTGTAGCCCGCGGGTGGAGCAGCGGGAGTCGCAAAGGACTCGTGTGTCCGCGCTGGGGTGCTCGAGCTCGATCCGGACGGTGAAGGGCCGGTATGCGCCCTCGTCTTGTTTGACGCCGAGCTAGACTTTCTCGCGAGGTCCGACTGGCTCCCGCTTCGCATGCCAGCACTCGCTTCTGGGTCTGTAGCGGCCCGCTTCCCCCCTCCGCCCCGCTCGACCGTCGGCGGTGGACCGTATCCCGCCTGGGGAACGTCTGGTCCGTCCCCCCGCTCACTCGCCAGCTCAGTGAGCACATCCGTCAGCTTGCCCGCCTGCCTCCACGTCATCTCCATCTCCTTGGTGGCTGCAATACACCTCCTGACATCCAGCATCGCGCGCTCCCTGTCCGCCTTTTGCTGCTTGGCTGAATAGATCGATACGAGGAGAATGACCGCTGCTGTCCACGCAGGGAGTAAAAAGTGGATATTGACCGCTTGACCAGGTAAAGCGCCGAACCGTCTTCCACGGCGGAGGAGCGCGTCGAGGATGTTGGCGATACTCCGTGCGGCGTTGGAGCAGATGGCGAGGGAGGGAAGACCGATTGTTTCCAGCTTGGCAGGAGTGGGGATGAATGGACGGTGTATAAGGATTTGGCAAAAGTAGTATTGCGAGTACAGCATCGCCGACTGCTCGAAGAGCGTCTGGTCTGCCCGTGTAGGATCCCACCGGAGTCCGTCAGGCACCGAATCCGCCCACGCATTCAAGGCCGAGTCGAGCTCGACCACGACGGCGCGCTGCGAGACGGTATCCGCATGGTGCTCCGGCAGCTTGTTGATGGCGTAGATAGTACGCAGGGCGGCTCCCAGCACATGATCCAGCTTGAGCATATGGACGAATGCCGCCACCTTCGGTATGCCCGCCCTCTCCGGCTGGACAAAGTCGGCCTCTGGATCGCCCGTCGACCAGTACTCGTCATCCACCGGTATCGGATAATCGGCGTCAAAGTCCGTGTCCTGCAGAGCGACCGATCGGCCGATGGCGGCGCAGTTGACCCGGTCGATATGGTACAAGCACCAAAACGCGCGATTGTACAGCGCCCGCTCGATCGGGTTGGCGAGTAGGAGGGTGGATCGAACGTGGATACCTATCTCCTGGGCGGACCGTAATCCCAGGCCCGACAAGACCCACATGAGATGCGGGACCGCCGCGCCCTGGAGGAACGCGCAGAAGAGCACCTGTGTCTGGAAATCGTACAGGTTGGGTCCCTGTGCGATACTCCGGCCCATGCGCATGATGGCCCGCATGTAGATCCAGCCGCCAGAGTACCGGATCGTCCCGTCCGCATCTGACTTTAAGCGCTCCTTGCCCTCCTCCGACATGGCCCAATCCCGCGGCCAGAAGACGCGCTCGTCATCGTCGACGAAGCGCGCTCCATTGGCAAAGACCATCAGGCAGACCTTGGCGAACCCGTGGCTGGTCTTGTACGATCCGGCGTCGTACTGCCGCATAAAGATGATCTTGTTGAGGAGGGGGAGGTAGGTGTTGACTTTGTCAAAGTAGGTGTCGATGAGACGCCTGTCGAAGCCTGGTGCGGGCCAGATAGAGTAGTCGACCGGCCGTACACCCTCGTTCGCGACGACCACCTCCCACTCGGGGACTTGCCAGTACTCTTGCCGCTTGATATGCGCGACCCGCTCGAGGAACGCCGTAGGGCCAGCGTCTTGCTTGTACTTGAGCGTGTTGAAAAGGCGGAGGAGGTGCGCGAGGGACGACTTTCCATGGAACCGCCAGGACCCGTCGTGAATGTCCAGGCGGTTCATCGCCTCGGCGACTTGTGCGTGCTCCGCTGCGTCCATCCCGCAATTGCCCTCCTCATCGTCCGGCGGGCGAGAGGGATCCCGCTCATATGTCTGCCATGGGGCAGGACCGAGGACGGTGGAAGCGACGGACGGCGGACCGGCCGCGGGGCTGGAAATGGAGGAGGAGGGTGAGGGCTGGGCGTGGGTGTTGGAGGACGATTTGGAGAGGGCCGCAGTGAGGGGTTTCATCTGGGGATAGGCAGGGATATGGAGGGATTTGAGCGATTCCAGATAGGTCGATTGTTCAAAGTCGTCCCTATCGAGAGCGGGGCCGATGTGTTCTGTCAGGTCGACGCCGGGATGGAGCTGAGGATCAGCAAGGACTTAGATAATGGCAGTAGAGATCTCTCACCTGCTGAAAGAGCCGCTCTAGACGCCCACATCGCTGCTCCAGCGCTTCGACATACCCCTTCGGCGGTCCTCGTCGCTTGGCAGCCTCGACGTAGGTGCACTCCTTGCCGTACTCGTGGCAGTGCGCACATTCTGCTTATCAGCCACTCCCCTTACATGGCTGCCTCTGGCGACTCACTGCTCGTGCTCTGGCTATTCATCGGGCCATCACACTTGATCTTCTTCCTCCGACAGACATCGCACGCCCGCTGCAGAATCAGCATTTCTCCCTTACTTGACTGGAAAGATGGCCAACCTGGATCTTCCTCCTCTTTGCCTCAGCCTCCGTCTCGACCCTCCCTTTACCTCCTGCCCCATCCCCACTCCCGCCCTCACTCCCACCAGCGAACGTGCTCGCTCTCCCCGAAAATCCAGAGCCTGCACCCGAGCCCGAGCCTGGGCCTGGGCCAGAACCGAGCCCATCCGGACTCGTCCGTAAAGGAGATAACTCAGCGTCGGCCGCACCGTACGTCTGCCCATTGCCGACAAGTGGGCCCATGCCCCCTGCGCCTAGGCCCCAGCTAGAGCGCTTGGACCCTCCGCCGTTCCCTCGCCCGTTTGCGAGAATCCGCCCGGTTGTAGGGGAGAGGTCGTTCAAGCTGTCGCTGCTTGGTCCGCCTGACATCCTGAGAGATGGGCGCTGAAGACTTGCTGTGGAGGAACCAATCCAGTAGCTGGGACACGACGGATAGCAGGATTTGACGAGGAGTTGTATGGGGTCGTCGAGTAGCCTTGAGGAGTCGAGGACGAGGAAACCGAAATTGCTGCAAATTAAGAGAGATATCGGCACCGAGGCTTTGTCGACTCGTATGCGCTCGGCGAGACCGAAGATGATCTACTGATTGAGAGATCTCAACCTGTTCGGGGAATGCTGTACCTGCTCGGGGCCCGGCCAGATAGGGAAGCAGATGCGATAAGATCAGGTAGGGAAGATCTGAATCACTCAAAAGGCAGAGGCTGGCAGAGGAGCGGACGACGCTGCGTCGCACGGCATTTTCATATGGCTTGCGGCATGTATGGCCGATGCCCGAACTGAAGCATGTGCTCAAGGCGGCAATAGTCGGTGACTACCGTTGGTGAGGTGAGCAGCTGCAGATCAGCGCGTATATAGCACTCGAGTATGGATGTGAGATCTGCTTGCCGGTCCAGCAGATTGAGGAAGGGCCTGACTTTAACGAGGCTACTGTAACAGAGATGCATTGACAATACGAACAGGTTGGAATTTTCCCTACGAGCCAACTAGAGCGCTAGAGTACTTACTCTACAGCAGGTACGAGTATTCTACGACTGGACTACGCTCGCTGATTACAGTATGGGAACTAGGAATCAAATCAGACTAATAAGTACAGGAGAAAAAGAGAGACGATGGTGGTGTGGTGGTGATGTTGAGAGGAGAAGAGAGGAAAAGAGGAAGACTCAGCCAGAGGTGGTGTTCACCTCTCCCCAGAACATTCAGTGCCCGCGCCCGAATACCCACCTATATACTACAAGCTATCGACAAATTTTACTACGGCTACCTACTATCAACCTACGTCTTGACGAGTTGGCCTCGTTATATACCTACAAACCCTACGGCGCTAGACTAGACTATGGACCTACATAGCTATCTATACTAGCCCGCTCCCCTAGGCCCTGGGCGACACCGGCCTAGAAGAACTGGGACGCAAAGGCCGGGAACTGCGATGCGATCTGGGGGATGAACCTGAGGTGTCAGCTCGCGCAGGATGTCCAGCAGAAAGAGCGTACGACGCAGCTCCGATGCCCAGACCAAACATGACTGCGCCCCAGGCAATCTTGCGCCCTGCAGCCCCGCCTCCACCGACCACATCCACCTTCTTGTTGGCCCGAATGACACGCTCGGTGCGCCCACTGACACCGCCCGAGATCATCACCTCATCCTCCTCTCCCGCTGCCCGCTTGCGCCCGCGCGTGTCCGCAGGCATATCCACACCCTGGTCCTCGAGCTCCTGGCCCGACGCCGACCGCAGCTGAAGCTCCCGCCGAAGGTCAATGACCATCTGCTTGGCTTGGGCGATCTCGGCATTCATCTCGGCCGTGGAGGAGGCGGGGCCAGTGATGGTCGTGGTGGCTTCGACGGTGATGTGACGCTCGTCCTCGAGCGAGTAGGGAGGGGCGGCACTAGCGGAGCGAGCGGGAGAGGCGACACTAGCGGAGCGGGCGGGAGATGCGTTGCGCGCGCGCTTGGCAGCGGGTTCAGAAACGGGAGCGGCCAGTGATGGGATAGCCGAAGCTGGGCGTGGAGCCTTGAGCTCGTCCGAGGCGATCTGGGAGCGTTGAGATTTGCGGTATGCGACGTTGGGATCGGGGTGGGCGCGTGCAAGGGCCTGAACGTCAGCCCGGAGCATTGCGATAACCCAGTACACTTACAGTGATAAGCTCCATCAGGCCGTAGGCGGGCGCAATGTGGATAGCGAGGTGGCGAGATACCCTGACTGTCAGCGGTGTCTCAACACCTCCGAACGTCCAAACTCACCATTGCCCGGCCAGTCGGACCGCAGTGCAATCACGGCCGCCATTCATATTGCGGGTGTCAAAGCTGGAGCGGACCCACTCCATCTCACGTCTCTCCTCCTCTTCGGATGCGCCCGGGAAGGCGACCTTGTACATGGTAGTGAGCGAGATGGCGTCGGTGTCGTACCGGCGAAGGATGAAAGCATGGCTATTGTTGGGCTTGAAGGTAAGCCGAGCCCTCAGATACAGAGCAGTAAAAGAGAGGGGCAACTTACGGTGGGAACCTTAATGCGCCCTACGACAATCTCCCGGTTCTCCCGGACGATCGTCTGGAACTTGACGATACAGCTGTCCTCGTTCACTGCCCGTCAGCTTCGCTTAGCATTCGATCCAGTGAATGGACTCACGCTCTCCGAGATAGGCATTACGCTTCTCCTCAGGCAGCTTGGGCCTGTTGACGCTCTGGGGCATCGGCGTCAAGTCATAGTCCGCCCTCGACGCGTCCACGGGAATGGGCGCAGGGTTCGCAACCTGTGCATTACCAGAGTACGGCGGAGGCGGGACCGAGCGGGTGAATGAGAGAAGCTCGTCGTCCATCTGAGCGCGGTAGGCGACTTGGTCGGTTGGGTTCATGGTTGAATGCAAGAGGAATGGAGGGGCGGAAGAGGAGGGTGTTTATACGAGTTCGAAGTGATTGGATTGGTGAAAGGGACGAGCTGGAAGTCGGTGCCTGTCCTTGTCTCCGCGTGATCTGATTCGAGTCTTCTCTGAGAGTGTGGGACGTGTGATACCCTGTAGCTGTGTAGGCTATGCTATGTGGTGAGCTATAGCTGTGTGATGTATAGTCGTCGAGAGGAAGGCGAACAATAGGGAGGGTCAACTTGAAACGCCACCCAACTCCTCACTGTATCGCACATAAAGGTAACCCCGGCGGCGATATCCGAATGTGGCGCGTTTCACCTGTCCCGGGGACCCCACAGCTTTAAATTTCCAGCTGCCAAGTGAAGATTTCCAGCAGAGCCACCCATACAACCACCACTATCTCACCTCTAACCCACCCCATCCCCAATCAGACTTCACTACCATGCCCAAATCAAAGCGCAACAAGGTCACATCCCTGACCAAGACACCCTCGCGAACGACCAAATCCGCCAAGCACGCATTGAGCACCGAGATCCAGAATGAGATTGACAAGTACGACCATGTCTGGTTGTTCTCGGTGGGCGATATGAGAAATGAGAGTCTCAAGGAGGTACGGAGTCAGTGGAGGGGGACAGGGAGGTTATTTATGGCGAAAGGGAAGGTGATGCAGAAGGCGTTGGGAGAGGGGGAAGGGGGAGAGTATGCAGAGGGGTTGGGAGAGGTTAGTAAGGTGAGTAGGCAAGGCTATCGAGGAGTGAAGAGAGTGTGGCGGGATGAAGGGAAGCGAAGAGCGTTGGGTGATGAGGAAGATTGTGGTGGGAGGAGGACGATCAGCCGGGGGAGCATCCCCCACCGGCATTTCAATACCTCCAATTTCTGCCCATGTTCCACCTCTCTGCTGGGCTCCCGCTGACCCCCAGCGCATATCAGGCCAGATGGGCCTCTTCCTCACCTCCCACCCCCCAGCCGACACCCTCGACTGGTTCGCCTCCTTCCACCGTCCCGAATACGCCCGCCAACACTTCATCTCCACCCGCACCATCACCCTTCCCGCCGGACCTATCCTCTCCCCACTCACCGACGACGCCTCGGGCGACCCCTTCCCCCACTCGATGGAGCCGCAGTTCCGGCAACTGGGGCTCAAGACGACGCTGGTGAAGGGTGTGCCGAGCTTGATGGATGAGCACGTGCTGTGCAGGGAGGGGGAGAAGTTGACGAGTGAAAAGTGCAGGATTTTGAAGTTGCTGGGTGTGCAGATGGCCGTAAGTTCTATTCCGGTGAGAGTGGCGGGTGTGCGAGTAGGCAGAGACCGAGGCAGATTGAATCAGGGATGCAGTGGCTAGGCGGTGTCAAGGAGAGGAGGGTGTTCTCAATGCTTGCGACATCGGATCCATTCGGGGCAGTGCTGACCTGCAGGAATTCCGGATACATCTCGGCAGCAGGTGGACCAAGGGCGAAGGCTTTGTTCCCGGGAACGACGTGCCGCTTCCTGTCCAGGACGGCGACATGGACGAGGACTAGATCGCTCCTTAAACTCTCGGGAGTAGAGTGCTGTTTCGACAACTGTGTACTGCATCATCTAGATTTGGGCTTAAGCGACATGTAACGATTCTCTACGCCTGTTAGACATCGCGGTTTGCGGGCGCAGCTGATGCTACTTTACTGAGTAATCGGTGACTTGCCTCAGCGACACTTCAGTCATCAAGCATCAAGCTACAACGACCCTCGTCTAGTCTACAACCCTACAGATCTGCACCCGACCCCTCAAAACACATCCTCGCCCGTCATCGCCCCCTTCTTGAACTCCTCAAACCGTACGACCCGTTCCTCCCTCCTCGCCTTCTCCGCCGCAAACACCAACAAATGCGAATTGAGCACCTCCTCGGGCGTCACGCCAAGCACCGCCTGATCACCCTCCGCTACGGCCTGGACGAATGCGCGGGAGAGGCCCAGGTCGCCGCCGCCGTGTCCCCCGCCCTCGTTTGGCGGGTTATGTACGGTCTTGGTGCGCGTCAAGAAGTCAAACACAGTCTGTCACTCAGCAGACCCCCCGCGGATCACGGAAAGACGGGTACGTACAAAGTTGACCATATCGCCCACAAGCTCGCCTTTTGTGCCCTGTATTCTCGTCCCGCGATCACATACCGCCTCCGTGACTGCTCATCAGCCCCACCACCTCCTGACCACACGCTTGACGGACCGGACTCACAAGCGCTCATCGTCATACTCGCCGTGACGCCCCCCTCATACTCAATATTCACCACCTGATGATCGACCACGTCGTTCCCCGCTTCATACACGCACCGTCCATACGGACTGGTCTTGAGCGCCTCGGTGACATTCTCAATATCCAGCACATCCGCATCGACGACATGCCGCGCCCATCTCTCGCGGTCCTCTGTCTGGCTCAACGGCTCCACATAGATCTTCTTGGCGGACCAGACGCACTGCGCTTCGTACGGACACTCCAAGCACCGCGTGGCCCCGCCGGCGTCTTTGGGCTTTTTGGACCGCTTAAAGTGCCCGATCGAGCCGAACGAGTGGACCTTGACGGGTGTGAGGCCAGAGAGGTAGTACGAGAGAATATCGATATCGTGGCATGATTTTGACATGAGTGCGAAGGTCGTCTCGGCCTCCCGGCCCCAATTGCCCCGGACGTAGGAATGCGCGAAGTGCTGGTTTCCGACAGGCTCGATGTGCTGGATGTTGATGATCTCGCCGAGGGCGCCCGAGTCGATCACGGCTTTCACAGCGCGGTTGTAGGGTGAGTAGCGGAGAACTAGGCGTCAGTGAAGTGTTCCGTCACACCAGGATCAAGGCAGATGCTTACCGTGTCCAACGCCAAAGATAGTCCCAGGTTGAGCCTGTACATCCTTCACCGTCTGCACACAGTGCTCCACCTTCGTAGCCATAGGTTTCTCGCACAGGATATGATACCCCAGCTTGGCACATTCGGACACTACCTCAGCGTGTAGGTCGTCCTGCCTGTCAGCTCCCACCTTCTACCTCCAACACAGAAGAGCACAAACCAGAACGCAGACCGTCACCGCGTCGGCGATCCTCCCCTTTGCTAACATCTCCTTCCAGTCCGGGAACTGCATCTCGGGCGTTATACTGCTCCGTCAGCCATCTTCAAAGCGCTTTATAGCTACACACACCTATGAGCACGAGACGTGACCTTGCGGCGATGCGGTCTCGGCTCAGCTACAGCTACAACCTTCATCGCGTCCGGCCGCTGCAGCGCGTACTCGGCGTATATCTATTCAATCAGCTCCAGGACTTTACTTGCGAGCGGAGCCACTCACCTGTCCGCGCTGCCCTGCACCTATCACAGCTACAGTCACACACTTCGTCAAGCCTTTGACGCCGCTGGTCTCGCCTAAACCGTTCACGACACTGCCGTTCCCGCGCGGGATGTCGATTTCTGCCATGTCTACAGGATCGTCAAGGGCTGGGGCCGGACAAGCACGTAGTCAGTCTCACGATACGCCCTTGTAGCAGTGCTATCGTGTTGCGCTGCAGATGAAGATTGAGGTTGACAACCGATGATACCGGCCAGTAACGGGCCGTACTCCCCCCACCCTCACTTGTTCCCCACCCTCCCCCACCTGCCGCCGACCAATCAAACCTCCCCTATTTCCCCTTTCGCCGCTCTTCCCGAGCTCGTATCTCCCGACCCGAATCGCATCTGATCTAACCATTTCCAGCATCTTTCGGCCTTCTATCCCGGTCCGGCGCCACACCCAAAAGATAAGGAATAGCCACCGGCTCCTGCAAGCAGCACTGCAGCAGCGGGCGCAGGGATCTCTCGGCTCTCGGCCAACACGCCGCATTCGCATTCGCGCGGTTACAGCAGCTCTTGTGACCGTGACCCCCGCGGTTTGTTATTGCGGGAGAGGGGCACATGGTATGCGCCTTGCATGGCAGTATTCCGGGGGATCTGGGGTATATAGTCTGAGCCCCAACATCGCCCCCACTCTTGCTATCTGCCCTTATCTCTGCGACGCCGTGATTCCGCTGTACATATAAACACTCGAGTCTCGACTCTGCGCTTGGTCCTCCCGTCCCCCTCAACTCCATTTACTGTGTATAGGCCTCCAGTGCTCTGACGCCAAGATGGTCAATCTCGCCGCTATCAAGGTCGGCAATGTACGGTGTGAGCTGCTCGTCTCCTCCTTCTAGGGACTTCGAGTCTCAACAAGCTGACAGCTAGATAACTCCCCCACGACCCAGGTCGTCATCGTCGGCTTTGTCTGTTTCTGCTCCGTCGGCATGTTCTCCGCCATCTCGTATGTCCCCCGCGTACAGACCTACCCGCTTCAGCTGACGAGACTAGCAATCTGGGTGCAGGTGGAACGCAAGACCCGCAATTGTCATCTACGGCAAACGCGACGCTCTATGCGTGCTTCGCTATTATGGGCTTCTTTGCGGGATCCGTCAATGTAAGTCCGGTCGTGTGACCCAACATTCAGGAGAGGGCGGTGCCAATGCTTGCAGAACATTCTTGGGCCGCGCTTGACGCTGAGTCTCGGAACGAGCGGGTATTCGCTGTATATCGGATGTGAGTTGCTATTTTATGATGGATGGGCAGCGGAACTGATGAGATAGCGCTTTGGTGTTACCAAGTCAATGGGACTCGTTCCTTCCTGATCGCTGCTGGTGAGCCTCTTCTACGGAGATCTCAGGACCTGTAATGACAACACAGGTGCCATCCTCGGTATCACCGCCGCCCTCCTCTGGTCCGCACAAGGCAGTGTCATGATGTACGCCCTACCCACCTTCGCCCCCGTATTCAGCGCTCATGCCCCAGGTCATACCCACTCGAAAAAGACAAAGGCCGAGCGTTCAGTATCTTCTGGATGATTTTCCAATCGGGCACCCTCGTCGGGTCCGCCATCGCCCTCGGTATCCAGGCCAACTCGACCCTCCCTACCGTGTCCACCTCGGTCTACGTCGCATTCATGATCATCATGCTCACGTCGATCGCTACGAGCTGGCTCATCCTCCCCCCCAACTCGGTCGTCCGGGGCGACGGGACGGTCGTGGAGCTCACAGCGGCCCTAGGCCCCAGGGAGGAGTTTTCGCATTTCTTGAAGCTGTTCAAGGACAAGAGGGTGGTCGCTCTCTTCCCTGTCTGCTTTGCCTCCAACTACTGTACGTAGTGTTTCTTCTCGATGGACAAAGCTGATATTTATACAGTCTACGCATACCAAGGCGCCATCACCGTACACCTCTTCAATGGCCGTACTCGCGCCCTCACTGCCCTCGTTACAGGTCTCGGCTCCATCCTCGGCGCCCTCTTCCTCGGTGTCCTCATTGACAAGCTCCCCTTCCGACGCAGGATGCGCTCCTTCATCGCCCTTGCGGCCGTCACTGCCCTCGCATTAGGGATCTGGATTGGCGGACTCGTCCTCCAGGTTCAGTTCACCAGGCAGAGCGTGCCGCCCGTATGGGACTGGACAGACAAAGCTGCGATCGGGCCGATCATCCTTCTCGGCGCTTGTAAGTCATCATCGGGCGAGTGTAGCTGGCCAAGCTGACAAGCAGACTACTTTGGTGACGCAGCCTACCAAGGTCTCGCATACTATACCATGTCAGCCATGTCCAACGACGCCTTCCGTCTTGCCAGATTGGCGGGGTACTACAAGGGTGTCCAGTCAGCCGGTGGTGCCGTCTCGTATGTCCCTTCTCAACTTCCACTTGAAGCATAGTTGACAGGCAGATTCGGCATGGACGCAGTCGCCACCCCTTACCTGACCGAACACCTGGTCTCGTGGCTGCTCCTCCTCTTTTCCCTCCCATTCATGTTCTACGTCCTCTACATGACCCCCGATACCAACTACGACACCGAGTCGGTGTACCACGTCGAGGATGTCGCGGATGAGAAGATGGGCGGGGCGGCGATGCCCAAGGGGCACCACGCGGATGAGCATGTCCAGGTGGCGAACATGACGAGGGATGGGGAGGTGGATCAGAAGGCGTACTAGGTGTGGTCGGAGGAGGGCGGGGGTTAGTGTCTTGTTTTCGGACGCTTTGGTGGGTGCGTGTTGTCATTTGGGGTAATCCTTGTACATCGACAGAAAGTGAGATGGTCACATGCAGACAGGGTTTGGCTTGCCAAATTCAGCCACGAGAGGAGGGTTGATGGTCACCACGACAAGAACACAAGGTATTTCATACGAACTATGCACAACAAGACCAGAGCTACAAATCAACAAGACAACTATGCACATGGGCTGGACTAGGCCCGACTACTCCTCCTCCTGCCTCAAAGGTCCTCGCGGTCCGGCCAATATAGCCCCTCCGCCCCTTCCCTCTGATCTCACCTCGACATACTGGGCACCCCAGATCCCGCATGGCACTGATCCCCGCCCCAGATCCCTCCCCAACATACAACTGATACCGCCTCATGATCCCCCTCGACCGTGCTTCAATGACTCCTCTTCCTCCCTACTCTCCCAAATTATATGGCTAGGCCAGCTTACGCCTTGACCTTCTGCCTCTCCCGCGCCGCCTTGAGCTCATCGAGCTGGCTCCTCCTCCGCTCCCCCTGCTCCGCTGCACTCTGCCGCCTCTCTGACTCTCGCTTGCTCGGGCCGGCACCAGCACCCATTTTGAGCTCCTCAAGCTCTTTACTGAGCTCCTTCCCCTTTCTCGCAGCGACGGGACGCTCGTATGGCTTGGTCACCTTGCCCTTCCCCTTGGACCCGCCCGAGGTGGATCGAGTAGACCGGCGGGATGCGAGCGACTCGACTGATTGGGTCGTCGCGATGGATGAGTGGGAGAGGTCGTCGCTTTCGCTAGTCTGATCCGCCGTAGTGATGCTCGACCCAGAAGGGGAGTCGGTCCTAGCGGGACGTGGGATGGCGGCGGGCGCTTCCCGGTAGGTCTGGCTAGAGAGCTCCTCGACCGGATCGAGAAGCATAGCTTCGACCTTGCCGTCGCTATCCTCGTCCGAAAGCTCGCTCATGTCCGAACTTCCGTCCATCTCCTCCAGGAGGATCTCGACCGCCCCGCCAACGTCGCCTTTGGCTCGCGCGAGTATATTGGTGATGTGGTCCGCCGAGAACGCGTGTCCCGTAGGAAGCGAGGCTTGGACCAACGCGACTTTAGCGGACGCGCTCTTGTCCGGGCCCGGAACAGGCATCTCGCCCCGCGCGATCCGGGCCGACTCGCTGAGGTCCTTTTCGTGTGGAAGTGCGAGGCGGTCCTCAACTTCGGCAGGCCCGCGCTCCCGATCCCCCTTGCGGCGGATAGACTGGTAGTGCTCTGCATCGTTGAAGAGGGCCAGCCAGAGCATGGTGCGACCCTCACGGGTGTCGGGAAGGTACTCGGCGAGGGCGGTAGCGTACATGGGGGATGAAGGGGGTGGAGCCGCTGGGGTCGCGAGAAGGCATGTTGTGGCGGACCGAGTGCGCCGACGTTGCCTTCCTGGGGGTTGTGGTGTGGCCGGGGCTGGGACCGCGCCCGACTGGGACTCGACAGGGGCAAGTGGAGGGGCTTCTGGCTCAGGGGTCGCTACGGGAGCGGTGGAGGGGTCGACCGTACAGGGAATAGTCTCCGAGTGCTGCTTGTCAGCCTAATCCAAAATGAAGGTCTAGACACTCACGTCCTTGTGGATGATGCGAATATCCCGCTTGAGCCACCTTGCCGCCGCGATCACCTCCAATTCGCTCGCATATTGACCTGAATGTCAGCAAAAGCCTCGTCTCAGAAACGGGTGGACATACCCGACTTCCGCATCCTCTTGACATATCCCGCATAGTCCTCTCCATCCATAAACGAGCAGTACGACGCCCAGTACCCCAGATCCGCCTCGTGCGCCTCGAGATAGTCGCACGTAAACTTGCGCATCTCGGGGTGACGCTTTTGATCGCCGTATATCTGATCCGAGAGGGCGCGGAAGAGGCAATTCCCATCCCCCTCGACATCCCGCAACGCCAAGTTCAAACGAGCCACCTCGGACTTGACCGCCTGCTCTTCAAGTTTGAGCTTGTCGAGGTCGGTGAAGGGAGTTGCGCGGGAGGAACGCGTCTTGACCCGGGATGCAGTGGGGACTTCGAGCCGCCGGGAGCTGCCGGGTGGCTGGGACTTTCCTTTGCCTCGGGCGCCGCCGCGGAGGCGAAGGGGAGCGGTGGAAGGGGAGGTAAACAGGGGGAGGAAGAAGGGGGCGCAGGCATATCGCCGATCGCGACTGGATGGGCCTGGGGTTGGGTCGGGTGATAGGGGGGTAAAGGGAGATTGGTCCCTCATGTCGCAGAGGTGGGCGGTGATACCACTGGGATGGGGTATCGGAGTCTTCAATGTGAAGGATGATGGACAGAGGAGGAGGTAGAAATCGAGAATGAAAAGAAGGCGGGAAAGCTGACGGTTGTTTTGAGCCGTGGCGGGTCGTTGGAGTGGCGTTGTTTGAGTGTATTTACTGCGGTATGGCTGATGCCGGGTGTATGCTGCCGGTATGATATCTGATGCTGCTGCGTGTGTACAAGGAGGCTGGCCGTATGCTGTGTCTTGTGTGTATGGTATATGAGTGAAAGGTACAAGTGAAGAAAGGTCAGATGTGGAGAGCGCGGGGAAGCGGAATGACGAGGGTGATTAGGAAATGGCCATTACAAATTACTAATGAAATCAAGTTTTTCGATTAGGATTCGAGCAAGAAGGGTCGCTCTATGGGCCTCATCTCTTGCTGTCCGTGCAAGCGCGAGACCAATATATACATACACGCTGCTGATACGATTCTATTAGCCGGACTACGTCTTAACGCCTGGCCACAGCTATATACAACTCAATGAAGACACTATACAATGAAGACTCTGCCCTTTTTACTTCCAGTCCGGTTCCCCCTTCATTGGGCATTCGCGGTCAAGGTATCCTGAGAGACCCTTCGTCCGCCCACTGTGTCGTCAGCTGCGACACGCGGAGCTGGGACAGTAGTACTCACCGTCGTGGTACAGACCTTCGCACGTCCATCCATCCTCTCACCGTTGCACCTCAGACCCATCTCTCACCCCAACTCCACCTCACGCTTTTCATCGGCTGCCAACTCTTCCCCTCCGCCTCCTCCGCCTCAACCTCGACAATCGTAACCTTCGTCTCCTGGCCATTGCTTATATGCCCTTCCACCTCGCCCTTCACCACCTCGCCCTTCACCACATACAGCATCTCCGCCACCTCAATCGCATCCCCTTCCTCCTCGTCAATCTCCATCCCCACTTCCCACGCAACCACCTCCGGAGACATGCTGCCGTCGCTCCCCTTCATCGTTGTAGGGCTTGAGCTGCCCTCCGGATCATCCCCCGATTCCGCCTTGATCTCCCGTCGTAGAGGACTCCCGAACCCTTTCAACGCTCTGAGACCCATCTCATTCTGTTTCTTCTTCCATGTCGATTTTCGGTGCCTTAGCCATCGGTCGCCGATTTTGCCCAGGCCATCGTGTTTGAGGCGGATATGGCGAATGTAGGGGTGTGGATAGGGAGGTTCGCGGGTCTGTATCATTAGCAAGGCTTCATGGCGTCACGTCGAGTAACATCCAGCCAGCTCACATCTCGAGCCCTGACTGCCACCAGGACCTTCCAGCGCATCCTCTCCTTGGACCATCGTCCCTCCTCCTGTATGGGTGCGGTGATGAATGACAGGACTTGTCGTAGTGTAGCCCGCCATGCTTTCTCGCCAGCCGAGGTATCGAGGACCTTTTTGATCTGCCCTATCAGCTTGGGCTCGTCTGAGTCTAGCCACTACTCACTGTGCTCTCGAGTATCTTCCGTACCCATCGCCTCAGCAGCGCCTCGCTGACCTTGACACCCCCGCCCAGCTCCTTCTTTGCTCCTTCGACTGTCTTCTTGAGCAGCTCGGGCCGCATCCCATCGATACAGGCTTCCACCGCATGTCTCTCCATGACACGTGCGTAGACCTCCTCGATGTTGATGATGCCAGCGGCGAAGAGTGTGGGGTACTCCTTGACGAGGAGCTCGGCGATTTGAGCCCGGCGGTGTTCGCTGGTCCACATCCCGTTAAAGCGCTCGCCTTGAGCAGTGCGTACCATGGAATGCGGGTAGATCGTGTAGTAGGATAGGCTACCGAGGTCCGAGGTTGGACTGAACATCGCCGAGTGAGTTGGCGGATGGTTGCGAGGTGTCCGCCCACCTCCGCGAGATCCACATTCCGCGAAGCGTGTTTCAGATTGATTCCGACTGTGGCGACTGGGCTTGTTCTCCCTGCCAAGGGGATGGCGGTGGGGCCGGGAGGGTAAGCGGCGGTCCGGAGGCATGGTGAGATGCGGGTGGTAGTTGTATTCGCGGATGATCACGCAGGAGTTAGCTCTTCCGAGCGGGCTTACGGTTTCAGCTGGTGGCGGGATGCAGCTCTGGTTGCCTCTGCTGTAAGCACTGGGGCTCGTTGGTGGACGATGAGACTTCCCAGCCTTGCGGACCCACCTTATGTATGTCAGAATGGAGCGGAGTCGACTCCTTCCCTATGTAGAATCCTATGTAGCCAATGTAGCCTAGCCTATGTAGCCTCTGTAGCCTATGTAGCCTGTGAGGATTGTAAATTCGCCACCTGCCTAACTTTCCAGGGCACGTGACTTCTCAACGGCCAGTTATCGACCTGCTGTGGTTAGTACCGACGCTCCTTGATATGGACCCAACGGTGTACACGGCTATTAGGATGCGGTCCCAAAAGCCTATGACAGGAATTTGGAAGACGGTCCACGAGCTACAGCGCGTAGTGAACGTATGTACAAGTCGATGGCTCGTGATGGTGATGACCAGGGTGATGTGATGTGGATGATGGGTGTGGAGGGTGTGGGGTACTCTGAAGGATCGAGCTGGACAAGCTGATGATGAGCGGTGAGGGTGATCCCACTTAAGGTCTCTGGGGCTGAAGACTCCTAATGTGATTCCACCCTTGGGGGCGAGGATATCTGGCTGAATATGGGCCTACTCGTGGATCGGTCTTTCTTCTCTTCTTTGACTAGTCCTGCCTGATCGCCCCTGATGACCTCTGATCAGTCTGATTAGTCCGATCGGCTCGATCGGCTCGATCGGTCGTCCTCCGCTGGGCTTGGCTTGATAGCGGGGCGCGGTGGCGGGACCAATGCTGAGTTTTCAACCTGAGACTAGGGGGCAATCAGCTACTTTGTCGGCTGCAGAGTGGGGATGCATTGGACTCGACATGACTTCCTTATATATTCCAGCCTGACAACTTCCTACAGAGTGTAGGAAGTTCCTACGAGTTCCTACGAGTTCCTACGAGTTCCTACGAGTTCCTACGAGTTCCTACGAGTTCCTACAGGTCTTCCTACGAGTCCCTGAGATCTTCCTACAAATCCCTACGAGTCCCTACGAGTTCCTGCACGCCATAGGAACTCCTACTGTGCATAGGAACTCCTACCGCAGCAGGACTTCCTATAGTTCATACACAGCCTACTTGGTCCATGGCTTCGCCACCCGGAGCGCGCCACATGACTAAGCCGCCGCACTGCCCTGAGCGATACGGCATGGGATCTCGCCTACTCAGGCGTCGCAGTCTGTGGATCTCCTACTCGATATAGGAGATCCTCTACTCACTGCCGAGCACGCTTCCGAACAGGAGTTCCTCCTCGCTACCTATTCGCTTCCCACTCCAGAGTGTCCAGAGTCTCAGACTCGCAACAGCTGTCCCCTAGCTAGCATGACTCACGGACTAGAGACAGGGACCTATTATGGACCCAGACTATATAGAGCTTGTGAACGCTTGCAGATTGGTCGACGACTATGGATGCTAGTGTGTAACCGTGGATGTGGATGTGGAAATTGGAGCTCGCTTGGAGGGATCTAGTGTGTAGCGGAGAGCTGATGGCTTTCTAGCTCTTTGGCATAAGGACGCATGATATCGAGGTCCTTGGGGAAAAGGATCTCGGCTAGAAGATGGACTCCTTATATATCTCTCAGAGCCCCCCTCTATCCTTCTGTCTCCTGTCCTTGTCTCCGCCTTTCCGATATCGGAGGGCGGAGCTCTCCTCTGACCGCTGTTCCGCTTTCGGAAGGTGGCGACGCTCCGATATAGGAGAGGCGGGAGGGTCCGCCCGAGGAGGCGCAGCCCTATCGGAGCAGGTGGGTGTGACTGTGTCTGGTCCGCCTGGCTCTTATCGGAGGTCGTCTGGAAAGAGGCGGACCTTATCGGGGAGGAGGCGGAGCACTATCGGAACGTGCGCCGAGTGAGGCGGAGTCTATCCGAGTGAGGCGGAGCTTATCGGAGTGGACCATGTGATGGGGTTTGTGGGTACATTGGCGGCACAGTCACCACATAGTGTCGATGTCTGACTCTCTCCCAGATAGGCGCTGGGCCACGCCGAGAAACCAAGTCTCAGAACTCTGGGGCCCTCCCATCTGCCAACAGAGCAGCACAGTCGTCACATCGACATCCTTGTCTCTATAGTCTAAAAATGCTAACAGTATTGTGTACAAGTCCCTCCTTCCTCCCTCCCTTTCTCATTAGATAAGACGCGGGCCCAGCCCACTCTAGTATTCGTCCGAGACATTCTATCTACTTATCATACTCCCCTTCCTCCCCCTCTTTGTCCCAAACACAATCTCCAGCCCTTCCTCCCCTTCCACCTCGTCCCCCAGCCTTGCTGCGTGCGATACATCCAGCGGACTCGTCCCTGCCATTCCTGCCGCGCTTACACTGCTGCTGCCTGGTGTGATGGGGCCATTGCGGATCGAGCCAAAGTTGGAGCCGGAGGAGGACTGGCGAGCGAGAGATAGGCGATGGGGCGATCCGGTGTGGCTGGAGGTGAGGGAGCCTGCCTCGAACGGAGGAGGTATACCGGCCGAAGGGATACGGTCCATCTTCATTGCTCCCGCTCGGGATGGGGATCGGGGGAGACCGCGGGGATAGACGCCATCCTCCTCGTCACTGCTGAGACGCCCAAGAGGGGATCGCGCCCGGTGCTCAAACGCCGTCCGGAATGGCGACCCGCCTCCTCTGTTTGACGCCCGGGAGGAAGAGCGGTAGACCCCATTGCCACCGCCAAAGCCGTGTCCGTGCTGGCCGTGTCCGAGATCTAACATGCCCATGGCATTGGTGGGGCTGGTAGAGTGCCGTGGGGTATGAGAGCGGATGGACGAGTTGGGGGAGATGGGTTGCGGATGGACAAGTGGAGAATCGCTTGCTGAGGCATCAGGCGGGGATGCATCTGGGATAGCTTCGAGCGAGTGAAGTGTAGCGAGGGGAGGAAGGACCGGAGGACCGGTGTGACCGCTGACGGGAGGCCGATCGTTGTTTTGCAGCTGCTGAGCAATCAAGCCCAGCTCCCGTTCCTCCTTATCTCTGACCTCGCGGAAGGGCGAGCCAAAGGTCGAGTCGCTAAACGGCGAGTGCCCCTTGTACGCCGGCGAAGCGAGATTGGGGGTCTCGTCATAATCATCATCCGACGCCCTGTCCTCTCCCCAGTCCAGCGGCTCCGTCAAGTCGTACTCTTCCTTCTCCACCTCGCCCGCAACCTCCGAGTGCGACAGCGCCGATACCGCCGTATTGGGACTGGAACTCCGACGGACAGGTAGTAGGCCGAGCCGGGACGACCACTGCGTTGCGGCGTGCGAGTCGAGTGACTGCCCTGGAGATGGCATCGCCTCGGCATGACTAGAGTAGCTGGACGCGTGATCGCTATGCGACCGGTCCTCGTGTGCATCGTCCAGGCTGATCCGACGCAGCGCCTCTGCTGGAGAAGCCGACGCAGAGACCGCGTGGTCATCCATATCGCTCTCCGCGCTCTGCTCCGCCCTGCTCCGACGCGAAAAGCGACTCCCTGATCGACCCGACGACGTGCGAGAAAGCAGCTTGACGAGCTTGCCAAACCCACCCGACATGCTCGCTTGGGCGCTGCTCGCGCTGGATGGGGCGCGTTGACGTCCAGGTGCGACATCCACGTCCGACATGCGGCGGCGGATTGACCCCGGCGGCGATACCGGGACCTTGCCATACTTGTCGAGTGATGCCGAGGACGCCATCTTTGTGGGGGAGCGTGGTGCGTCAGAGACGGGGTGGGCGGAAGGAGGGAGGAGGTGGGATGGCGCTTGGGCTTTGTGTCGGTTGACCACAAAGCCGCTCTGCGCCGGAGTGTCCACTTCCGAACTCCCCGACAGCTGACGGCGCGGGGTAGGCGCCTCGCCCAGCCTCGCGCTCAGCATGGAGAACCGCCGTACACTTCCCGTCTGCGGTGACGCCATGGGCGACATGTCCCTGCTCATGCTAGGCAAGCGAGACTTTTGCCGGACCGACGGCGGGGGACTGGTCCACCCCGCCAGATGCTCCGCCGTGAGGTTGAGAAAACTGCTGGCATTGGAGTGGTCGGTACTGGTCGTGGCGGTTCCCGGCTGGTCAAAGTCGCCGATGCTTCTTGTCCGATTCCGGTTCCCCGAAAAGATCTGAAGCCGGGTCCCGATGGACTTGATGCCCTTTTTGAATTTATCCCGGAACGATTTGCTCGTGGTGACCGCAGCGAGCACCTCGTCGTTGGACACTGTGACGTAGTCCTGGGCGTGAGGGTCGGTCCCGGCGAGCCAGGTGACGGGATCGTGGAGATCGCGCAGGGTGAAGGGGTGGCGCTTGGCTTGCTCCAGGGTGATCCGCTTTGCCGGATCCTTCTCTAGTAACCGCCGCAACAGATCCAGCGCCTCCTTGCTCTCGCTGGTGGGTAGTCTGTCCCGCCCAATCGTCTCCCAGATGGGAAAGTCCGCCTTGGGGATGACCTGCATGAGGAGGTATTCGTTTGGCGCGTCAAAGGGGGTGCGGCCAAAGAGGAGGCAGTAGAGGGTGACGCCGAGTGCCCAGACGTCGATCGCGTTGGTGATGGGAAGGCGCTCCTTGAGCTGGCTGATGGTATGGGAGGAGTGGGACCGGACCGATAGGGGACGAAAAGCAGAGTCGTTGCTTTTAATCTGTTTGAGGGGGATGACGCGGGGAGAATCTCGAAAGTCGCTCGAGACGGAGGGTGGGCGGAGCGTGAAGCCCGGCACCTCTAGCACCGGCGTACTCAGGGGTGACAGACTATCCCGAGATGGTACATCGTCCTCTGGCGAGTAGCACATTTCCGGTGCAAAGAACGCTGGCGATCCGGCTGTTTTGGCCAGCTCGACATCGTCGACGTAGCGGTCCCCTTCTGGTCCGGGCTGGGCTGACGCCGCACGTAGCGCTTCCGAGTAGTGCGAACAGCCAAAGTCTGAGATCTTGACTGTCCCGTCTTTCGACAAGAGCAGGTTGCTGGGTTTGATGTCGCGGTGGATGATACCTTGGTGATGCACTGGGGTCAGCTTTGTCTAGCCTTGACTTACAATAAGCCAAGCCGGATAGGGTATCCCGAAAGATCCTTCTCGTCTCCGCCACTGTCATCGCCGGCTCCCCCGCATCCGTCTTCCACGTAATCTCCCCCTTGTCACAGTACTCCAGAATCATGAATATCTTGGACTGATCCGGATCGTCGATGATTTCCTTCAGGCGGACAATATTGGGGTGATTGACCTTTTTAAAGATGGCAAGTTCTTTGCGAATTCTGAGTCAGCTCTGTCGTATGCCCTACTCACTCGCTCTCCCCAACCATCTTTCCTCCATCCGCTCTCCCTTTCCGCAGCGTCTGCAGCTTCTTGCGCTTCGGCATCCTATCCACCATCTTGATCGCATAGAACACTGGCTCCTCATCCTCCGCCGACATGTCCTTTCCTAATCGCACCTGTCCATGCGCACCATGACCAATCTCCTCCAGCACCTGTCATTAGCTAAGCCTTGCTATGACCTACCAAGTACTGATTGATCATTTTGCGTCCCGTCTCTGGATCGCGCGTCGCCGTCATCTGCGGCGTTTCGATACTGACATCAGCTGTGGTCATGCAGGAACCTACATTTCGACTGGCTCCGCTTCGATTGGACTACGCCACTCCTCCCTGCCCTTGCCCTTCTCGCTTCCTTTCCGCAACAACAGCGAAGGTCTTGCCTCCTTGGCCGAGCTCCGCCTGCTCAACAGACCCGGCGGGGCCATCCCCGTCGACGGCGGCGGCATAGAAGGCGCAGTACGAGGGGAGGGGATCATCCCGCGCATAGACGGTCGGCTGGAGCGGGAGCTGGACCCTTGCCGCTGGAGCGAGGAGGGACCCGCCGTGGCGTTCTCGCTAGGGAGAGGAAGGAAAGAAGCGCCGAGCTCCGATGCGCTAGGAACGGTCGGTGAGACCGCAGGAGAGGTGGATGAGCGCCGGGTAGAGAACGACATTGCGTAGTGGAGTTGGTCTAGAGATCAGCCGCATCCTCGTATACGAACAAGAGGACTCACGCTAGCTGCAATATGATCGTTAAGCGCACAGCAAAGAAAGCGCCTTCCACACCGACCCTCCTTTAGATAGCCGGGCACCTCCGCGCAGCAAGATCTGGCCAATGATGATGCGTAGTGATGTTTCGGTATGATTGGGAGCCGAGATGGTGGCACGAGGAAGCGAGGATAAGCCTCTGGCCTTGTTCCGTTCGACGCTGATATTTGACGCCGAGATCTCGTCAAAGGACCGCGCGAAAGGATGCGATAGCGCGGTTTGATTGAGCTGATCGCTTCCCCTGACCGCAGGTCCTTATGTCCAGCCTTGTCCCCGCCGTACAGACGTCCGAGCTGTGTGTGTTGACGAGGACAGACGACGAGATGCCGTGTCTGCTGTAACGCGGGCGTCAAGGTCGGCTCCAGCTTATCCGCTGCCGCGGCCTGCTCCGGTCGACCTCTTCGGATCCAAAGCACAGGGGGAGGGGGGCTGGGTCGTTTCGCCTCGGCTTAGCTGATACGTATAGACAAGCTTGAGAGGGCAGGTCAAGGGGCAACGGAGGCAGGAGCTAGACAGGAAAACAGGGTGTCCACTGCGTCACGAATGACTTTGATCAGGCAGCAGCGAGTTCAGGGCGGATAAAGATGCCGTAGATGCCGTAAACAACAGCTGGGATGACAGAACCCCAGATTTTAGATCCGTGCGTCCGAAACAAGAGGGCCGTTTCATGTTTGTCCTTCCTCTACAGGCGCGGTCTTCCCTCAGTCAGGCTCCCGCTGGGGGAGCATCGCAACATGGAGAGTGGCAGGACAGCCGGCGTTCTTTCATCGCTGTTCTTCCCAGATGCTTTTTTTATAACGCCGTAAAAGCCCGGCTCTTACCGGTGACCATTTCACCAGCTCGGCTCTGCGCAGGGGTGCTGCCCATCCAGCCGGCGATGCCTCAGTCAGACGCCACTCCTCCGCAAGGAAAACAGCATGGTGTTGGACCCACAAGAGAAAAGGCAATCATTCACATGGAAGCTTATTAACCTATAGCAAAGAGAGAGCGTTAAGGAAGAGGTCGAAGAAGGGGCGACAAGGAAAGGGAAGGGGCCCGAAGGTAGAAGGGTATTGACGATCGATCTACTTTTTCTCAATCTATCCTTGGACCAGCCTAGTACTCGCCCTCCTCCTCCTCGTCGCCGTCCGCAGAGTCCATCCCGACCTCCTCGTAGTCCTTCTCGAGCGCCGCAAGATCCTCGCGAGCCTCCGAGAACTCTCCCTCCTCCATACCCTCTCCGACATACTTTGGGGTCAGCTACGGTACGTGTAAAGCCTGAAAAGACACTTACCCAGTGCACAAAGGCCCGCTTCGAGTAAAGGAGATCGAACTTGGAGTCCAGCCGGGCCCAAGCGGTAGCAATAGCAGTGGTGTTGGACAGCATGCAGAGGGATCGAGAGACCTTGGCGAGGTCACCACCGGGGACGAGTGCGGGGGGCTCGTTGCAGATACCGAGCTGATCGTCAGTTGCATCCTTGTTGAGATAGTAGAGGCATACCTTGAACCCGGTAGGGCACCAGTCGACGAACTGGATGGTCCGCTTGGTCTTGATGTTCGCAACGGCAGCGTTGACGTCCTTGGGCACGACATCTCCACGGTAGAGCAGGCAGCACGCCCTAGTTGATCAGCGTTCGACTCGGGGTGCGGTACAGCTGATTACTCACATGTACTTGCCGGTCCTGGGGTCGCACTTGACGAGCTGGAAGATTAGCCACAATTCCAGAACCAGATGTGAACTAATTTACCTGGTTGTTGGACTCGAACGAGCTGATCGTCATCTCGGCCACCGAGTTGCTCTCGTGGAAGGCCTTCTCTGCGCTGATGACAGGCGCGTAGGTAGCGAGCGGGAAGTGGATCCTGGGGAAGCTACAGAATTAGCTGGAGCACGAGGGGAGAAAAAGCCAAAATTTGCAAACTTACGGTACCAAGTTGGTCTGGAACTCGTTCAAGTCGACGTTGAGCGAGCCGTCGAACCGGAGCGAGGCGGTGATGGAGGAGACGACCTGGGCGATGAGCCTGTTGAGGTTGGTGAAGGACGGGGACGAAATGCCGAGGTTCCTGCGGCAAATATCGTAAATTCTGAAAATCAGCTTTTTTTTCTTCCCAAGTCCTCAGAATGCGCCTCACGCTTCGTTGTCGACCATGAACGAGCAGTCCGAATGTTCAAGCGTCGTGTGTGTAGTTAAACTTTTCGTAAGCTTGAGCCTCATCTACAGCCCCCGTCGGTCGGTCTACTATCCCTGCCCTCCTCAACCAATCCCCAGATTCCGCCCGGCAAAACTTTTTTCTCGACAGAGAGCGTACTCACACCGAGTTGTACGGCTCAACGACGGATGTTGACATCTTGGGCGCCGGGTAGACCGAGAACTCAAGCTTAGACTTCTTGCCGTAGTCGGTAGAGAGGCGCTCCATGAGGAGGGCACCGAAACCGGACCCGGTTCCACCGCCGAACGAGTGGAAGACAAAGAAGCCCTGGAGACCGGAACAGTTATCGGCGAGACGACGAACCTGCTCGAGGACCGTGTCGACAAGCTCCTTGCCGATGGTGTAGTGACCACGGGCGTCTAGAGAGTCAGTGGAGAGTTTTATCCGTTTTTTGGGCATAACTTACAGTTGTTGGCCGCATCTTCCTTGCCGGTGATGAGGGTCTCGGGGTGGAAGAGGGATCGGTAGGTACCGGTACGGACTTCATCGACCACGTTCGGTTCCAAGTCGACCTGGAGGTCAGCTGGACTCTGAGTGCAGGGAATGGAGACGTACGTAAAGGGATCGAGGGACGTGCTTTCCCGACCCAGTCTCAGAGAAGAAGGTAGAGAACCCATCGTCGCCGTTCGAGGCAGAGTTCTCCATCAGGCGACCGTCGGGCTATAGCGTCAGCTCAGTCATGTCGAAGGGACAGCGGCATGAACGCGTGATATCGCCTAGTAAAGGCAAAGGACGTCAATGCCCAACTCAATATCCCCTGGCCTCATTGCCTTTCCACGCCTCCCCTGTCCCGCCGCAACCTCCCGCTATCCCGGCGTAACGATGTCAAAGGGACGTGACTCACGCTCAGACCATGCTCGATGGTGTAAAGCTCCCAGCAGGCGTTACCGATTTGGACACCTGGACCCAGTCAGCTCCTGCGTCCCCTCCAATCCCTTTCTGTCCGTTCCAACCCCTGAGCACCTCCAGCATGATCCCCATCCAGGCACACCACGAAGAGGGAGACCGAGCCACGCGTTCTAGACAAAGTGATGAATTCGAGCGAGACATACCGGCTTGACCGACGTGAACCTGAAAATCAGCATTCCCCTTCAAGTTGTTTGATATTCCACTCTGGAACGCGAGCGCAGGTTGACACTCACGGAGATGACTTCGCGCATTGCAATCAGATGTTATAGCTATATGTAAAGAGTGTATATGAGCTGTTGAGAGAGAAGGGTTGATTGAGATAGCGAGGTATGCGAAGGGGTTCGTGCGCGATTTGGATTTGGACCGGAGGAAAGAGCTCAGTCAGCCCTTGGCTCTTTTCCCGCCTGTTCCTGATTGAGAGTAGTACTCACAGGTCAGCTACTGAGAGCTGTAGGGATTGGCGAGGAGTGGAGAAGCAGAGAAGAGAGCAAGGAGAGGAATGGGTGAAGGTGAGGGGAGGGTGAAGTGGCCGTTGTTTGAGACAGCCAGCATGCCTTTGTCCCTGCCCTGGCTGGGGAATGGACGCGTAAGCGGCGATCGCCGGCCACGCTAAGACGCGTCGAGCTCCACCAGCTATAAATTGATCCCGAAATCGCTGTTTCTATATCGCCGCGGATTCCGTGATATTTTCATCCCCAAGTGCGCGCAGTGCTCGCTCCAGGGGATGATATAGGATCGGCACCGTCGTCCAGCAACAGGATATCTGCAGGCTGTACTGGCCCCTCGCATGCGCGGCGGCACAAGACCACTCGATACATGAAACGGACTGGCAAGTACACTCATTTACTCTACTCACGCCCCGAACTCCACACTAGCCAACCCCTGCGCTCCCACCCCAGCAGCATCGTCTACCAGCAGTACCTTTGCAAACTCCACCCCCTCCTTCTTCAATCCCTCCTGGAACAGCCCTCTGTACCCCTTGGACTGCCACAGCCCTCCTCCAAGGGCCAGCACGGTCGTCTCGGGCCTGACGACACTCCCGTCCCCGAGGAGATCGATCGTCATCTCCACCATGGGCTGAATCGCCTTTCTGACCAGCTTCATCGCTTCCATCTGCGACGCGTCGCTCGAGTCCATCTCGTCGGATCGCTCCGACGCAGGAGGGGAGGGAGGAGATGCGTCAACTGGAAACGCCCATCGCAGGACTGTACGCGCCGCGCCGGCCATGTAGGCGTTCCGCTTTGCCGTGCCCTCGCCGATAGACATGTCTTCTGCGGATGGGCCGATGAGCGAGACGATCCCGATGAGCTCCATAGGGTCGGTGACGCCAAAGTAGGCAAGGAGGTCGCGGTGGAAGGGGGAGAGGGGTTCGGGCGGGGAGGCGTAGATGGAGGAGCGGGTACAGCGGTCAAAGTGGAAGAGGAGGGAGCGGATGGCGAGGCGGCCAATCCAGAATGCAGATCCTTCGTCGCAGAGACTATTGTCAGCTAGGTCGATGGTAGACTTACAGCCATCCCCAGCCTCGGCTTACGCCCACATCGGTCAGTGGGAGTTGGCGGACTGCGCCTTCTGTGGGACAAGAGGTGTCGACCTCGATGGTGCGTCCGACGGTGCCTGTCCCGCACACCACAGCAGCGACGTGTTTGATGCCTTGCAGCTGGAGCGCAGGTGCAGCGAGCAGGTTCACATCTACATTAGCGATGTCTTGGACTTGCTTACCATTTGTAATCTTGACCCTCTCCTCGATGATATTCAGTCCCTTGAGGACCGTCGGAGTGAATGCCTCGATATCACTGGGGCTGTTGATACCAGCGAGGCCGAGCCAGACGTACTGGAAAAGGGGGATGTTGAGGAAGGGCATGGCGCCGAGTTTGGGCGAGCCCGGGCGGGAGGAGAAGGGAGTGGGAATGGAGCGGACTACAAGGGGGCGGGGGCATGGAGATCTGGAGGGTCCAGAGCGGGTAATAGGAGGCCTTGAGGCAGGTGGGTAGCGGGAAGTAGGGCAAGAGCACGGTAGATGGCGAGTAGGATGGTTTGGATGGCGGGGCCGTGGCCTACAGATTGGCTAGGGTCAGCTCAGTTCGGAAGTGACTTACACATTGCAAGGCCCCGCGATACCCCTGACCTCCAAGCCGTCCGAGCTGCGTATCACGACGCATACTTTGGATCCCCCGCCGTCGGCGCAAAGGACGAGCCGTGGGGTGGACAGGGGCGACAGGGGTGGAGTGAGCGACATTGCGGATGAGGATGAGCGGAGGGGAGGTAAGAGCTATATGCAAGCGACTCGGGCGAGAGGGCCTTCCAGCCTCGGACGGCAGGTCCGCCGCTTTGTCCAGCAGATAGGAGTGAAGCGGAGCAGTAACTTTTGGACAAAGGAAGGAGGTCGAGTCGAGGTGAGCAGGAGGGTCCTTCGGGAGGGCGAGAGATATGTACAGTACGGCTACTTTATCCGAGGCGGAGTGATGTACAAACGAGCAGAGACCCGCCCCTCTCCTCTACTGTTTGCGCGGCAAACACAGCACGACTCATACCTCCCCAGCCTCTTCGGCTTGACGTCAAGGCACCCGCCGGAAAAGCGGCGCTTTGGCCGGGTGGAGGAAAGTGGAGGAGGCTAATCCTTTGACCCGGCCGGTGGATCTCCGGTGTGATCGTGCTTGCTTTGTTGGCCCCCACTTGCAAAGGGGCTGGATGCGGCGAAAACGGCGACGCTTGTGATTCACGACTGATAAAGGCCTCGAGCGATAGCGCAAGGGTTTATCCTTTGTCTAGAGCGGTCCAGACAGGCAGCATTCGACTTGACCACTCTTGCCTCTACACCTTCACCATGTCTGACGTGGTCCGCTTCACCAACGGCTACCTTGCCTTGCCAGATGGAACAGTGAGCTCCTACCCTTATGCGCTCGTCCTAGCTGACTCCCAGGCTGTCAAAGCCGACCTCTACATCTCCTCCTCCACCGGCAAGATCATCTCTGGCCAAGCCTCCTTCTACACTTCTCACCTGCCCCCCGCGCGCGTCATCGACCTCGGCGGAAACATCCTCTCGCCAGGCTTCATCGACGTACAGATCAACGGGGCGTTCGGCGTGGACTTTTCCGAGCTCGACGTGGACGCTGGGGATGGGGGCGAGGGGGCGTACGTCGAGGGGCTGGAGAAGGTTGCAAAGCGCATAGTGGCTACGGGGTGTACCAGCTTGGTCCCTACTGTCATTACGCAAAAGGAGGAGCTATACAGCAAGGTAGGCTATAGCACAACAGAGCTGACTCTAGCTGCTCCGCCTCCTCCAGCCTCGCTCGACTCCCCAAGGCGCCCATATGCTCGGGTACCACGCCGAAGGCCCGTTCCTCCATCCCCATCGTCGTGGCGCACACTCCTCAGCACTCCTTATGACTGCCGCCCCCTCGTCCGTCCCCTCATCACCCACTTCGCCCACATTCACGCCCATCCAATCCCCCCTCGAAGTCGTCGAGCGCGTATACGGCAAAGCCAGCCTGGACCAGCCCGGTGTCAAGCTCATCACGCTCGCCCCGGACGTCGAGGGGGTGATGGACTGTGTTGCGAATCTCTCGGGGCGTGGCGTGACGGTCAGCATAGGACACAGCGACGCAGCGCTCGAGGTGGCTGTCGAGGCCGTGGAGAAGGGCGCAAGGATGATCACTCACCTCTTCAAGTGAGTTCAGCGTGAACGAAGCTGACCAGTGCTATGCCTCCCATACATCATCGCGACCCCGGCGTCATCGGCCTTCTGGGCCATCCCCTCCCCTCCTCCCGCCCCTACTTTGGCCTCATCGTCGACGGCCTCCACTCTCACCCCAACACAGTCCGCATCGCGTACAGCGCACACAAGGACGGCTGTGTGGTCGTCACCGATGCGCAGTCCCCTCTGGATCCGATGCTGGAGGATGGGCTGCACAATTGGCGCCCGGGTGTCATGTTTCGAAAGAAGGGCGATGCGGTCTATGCGGTGTATGAAGATCGGCCGGGAGAGACGCTAGCGGGAAGGTGAGCGTCAATACAGCAGAGCTGACGGTAGTTGCTGTCCCCTCAATACCTGCCTGCATAACTTGTCGACGTACGCCTCCATACCTCTGCCCGAAGCGCTACTGGCGGCCACGTATCGGCCCGCTCAGATGCTCGGCGGGCCCATAGCCAGGAGGAAGGGTCAGTTGAAGGAGGGGTTTGATGCGGACTTGGTGGTCTTGGGATGGGACGGGACGGTCGTGTCGACGTGGATCATGGGGGAGGAGGTGTATACAGCTCCGAGCGGACAGGTTGGGAGTGGGTTATCGCTCAAGGACACTGCGAGCTAGATTTGGTATCGCAGGATTCAGGTCAATAGCACATCACGCTTGTAAATTGTCATATAGATAATGTTCATTGTACACCTGGGTGCCGCGAGGTCTGGCTATGTCCCGCCCAAAGACACCCAGTAAACGAACAATTATGTACTCTGGGTGAGAACATAAGATACAAATTCATCGCAAGCAGCTATGTACAAAGCGCCTCCAGTTGCCCGACCATCCGCTGACACGCGTCCACGCATACCCAGATGTTATGTCCTTGAGGCAGACCCGCGGATTCCAGAGTCGCAATCACCTGTGCAAGTAGGGGTAGCACTGCGGGTCAGTCCCGCTTTGAATCAGAGAGAACGTACCATCTTCTGGAGTCACTGCGCATCCCGTCTGCGCATTGGTCTTCACAGCTGTCGACACATATTCGGTGACCGCAGTAGCAATCGTGAATATCATCTGCGATCAGCTCGATCGTCAACAAGACTTACCGTAAGGTATTGCTGAGGCAGATTGGCAATACTCCCCTCTCCCCAATTCGTGCACCTCTCCAGCATCTCCACTCCCACATCCACCGTCTTGGACACGTACGTCGGCCTCTGCCGCCGCGCCAATCCTTCCTGCCCAATCAAACACGAGTAGATGGTGACTTTGACGAACGCCCCAAACAGATCCAGCTGCTTGACGCTGATCCAGTCATCCGGGACATGCGTCTGGACCAGGCGGCGCAGATCGTCAATTTGGAGGTCGGTAGCCGAGGCCAGACGCTGGAGCTCCTTGACTGGCGAATCGGACATGAGACATTCCATGCTCCCAGCTTGCCATTGACGGAGGATGTGGAGGAGTCGCGCGTGCGACGTCAGGACAAGATCGCGCTTGTCGATACGGTGTGGTCCAAGCGGGACGAGCTGAGCGCAATAGTCGGAGGGATCGCGAGACGCCTCGCCAAACGGTCGTTCGTTGGCCGTGGCGATGCCATCCGCGAGGTAGCAGAGAAGCCATACCCTCGCCCTTTCTTCTAGGCGTGCGACTCGCTCTTCGGTGACGATCCCGGCTAGTTCAGCGACGGTCGCTCGGGGCTCGGGATCGGAGAGTATCTAAATTAGCCAAGTTGCAAGCTGACTCACCTTGATCCAGCCCCGGGCATACCGGAACGCCGTCGCGGCAAATTCAGCCCCTAACGCCTTGTCGCTCATCCATAACGATAGCATTGCCGCTGCGACAATCTCCTCCGGCCCGATTCCCAGCTCTGGATCAATCTCGTCCTCGCCCAGAATGAGCGACCCCTCGACCAACGCCTCTTGGACATTGTCGATACTCCGCCAGCTTCCCGCAGGTGACTCCATGAGGAGCTTCTTGACCGCTTCTGCGAGCGATGCGTGGTAGTGGAAGAGCTCGGGCATGCGCTCGCTGGCCAGCAGGCAGTGTACGGCGAGGATGAGGGGAGTGATGGTGGTGGGTCCACCGGGTAGGTAGGGAAAGTGACCAAATTCGAGCTGGTAGCCAAATAGCGAGGGGCTGAGGTTTTGGTGGCAGCTGAGGTCAGCTTTGTCTAGAGTCTACTTACTAGTTGACCAGGACGACCGCATCTTCTGCAGCGACCATACCCTCCGTGATGACGTCTTTGCGGGGATCGTCCGCGCCCAGACGGCACTCGGCTGGTACCAGGAGGCCCGTGTATTGGCCTTGTGGAGAAGGCTCGACCCGTGGCATTAATGGCGGATGTGGCGGCAAAGCTGGGGAGATGAGCGGGAGACTGTTGGGCGTGGTATGGGTGGCGGGGCTGGGGTTGAAGTGCATGCCGTTCTCATACCGTGCCAGGCCTTCCGACGTAGGCGTGAGTTGACCGCCAGAAGCGGGATACTGACTGGGCAGCATCGAGCCGTCGGGGTACCACGAGTCGGAGGGGTTCTCCATGGTGAACGGAGGGTGACGGAATGGCTGGTGCGAGAGGGGTTTCGGTACGGTCGGCTCTGTACTTTCTGCTCTCGTTCCCCGTCTCCGGCTGGGCGCGGGCATCTCCTTGTTCTTCTCCCCACTCCATCCCTGCAGAGATGGCAGGTCCCGATCGGGCGCCTCGTAGAGGTCGAGCGGGGTGCCTCGAGCGGTGACGAATGGGGGAATGATGCCTTGATTCGAAAGGTGGTAGATGATGTGATGGACAGCCGAGGATAGGTCTGAAACGTGTGACATGGCCGCATAGACATCTTGCGTCATCGTCTGCTGCCAGTCGTCGTCCTGCCGTCAGCCAAGCTTTATGCGCCACTCACAAGACTCCTCGGATAAAAGACGCATTTCTCCTTTCTCGCCATACACCGTATACAGTCCGTCTGGTCATCTCCGACGATGCATTTGAGCTTTGCGCGGCGGCAATTTGCGCACGCCTTCTGCTTCTTCTCCCTGACGAGAACGGCAGGGGGGGCAGGCGGGTCCGGCTTGGACCGTTCGCTAGATGCGGGTGAGGGAGCGGCGGGCTGGATGGTCCGTTGCCGCTTCTTGGACGGGCCTGGGGCGCTGACGCTTTGGCGTGATGATGATGGGCGGGGTCCAGGTGGCGGAGGAGGGACAGCGGGTGCGGAAGGGGCGATGGATTGAGGGTAGGGCGTGTAAGAGGATTGCGAAGGGATGAGCGCTGGATCAATGCGGGGTTGACTCGGATCGGCAATTTGCCAAAAGACGGGCTGGTAAGCGGGTGCGGTAGGCTTGGATCCCCGCGTAGGCGGTCGCTGAGGAAGAGCGGACATGGCGGCGTATTGTATGAGGTCGATGGAGGGGACGTCCTTTCTGTAGGAATCAGGGGCGGGGAGAACGGCGCAAGGTGATCAAGATGTGTGATGGCCTGCGTGGGCGCGTATGGGACTGTGTCGAACACTAATACGATTAGTGCGAGATGCGCTGCGCGATCTTAGACTGAATGATTGAGATGAGACCTACAGAGAACGAGACCTACAGAGAACGTGCTCGATGTTCTGCGCCAAAAGGTAGATATGGATAAGGGATCTCCCAGATGGCCCTTCTGCAAGTATGACGCGATATCTCCGCCGCGTTTCAGGAGATAAAGGCTGTGCTTATCTCACCGCGAGATGACCTCTCCCTAGATGTTCCTCTCTGCCTATGAGCGCTGCTCGCAGCTGTTATCGATGAGAGGAGGTGATCTCGGAGGGCGGAGGCCCGAGGGAGACCATCAGTTCAGGGTTGATTTAAGCGGAGGGTCGTTTGATTCCGCTTACAAATAAGGCACAACTCCGCATTCCTCAGATTGGAGACCCCACACCGCACTGCCCTCCTTCCTCCTGCTTCTCGAGCTTCTGCGCGTCTAGGTTCAATGGTCTGACTCTCTGCTCATCAAGACAGATCAGCCTCATCGCATCGGCGCTCCGGCTGCATACATCACACAAGCTGAGGGAGCCCCCTTCACGCCCCGTAATCACCCATCCGCCATGTCGGATCACGTCAGCCTTCCCCATGTCCCCTTCGCCGCCGGGCCTCTCACTGTAGGTCTCCTTCTCAACTCCACCATCCTCTTCGGAAACATCGCCCTCAGCCTCGTCGGTCCAGCGCCTATCGTCTTGGGTCAGCTGGGACCAAGCGGTCTGCGCATCAAAGACAGGGTACGGGGGTGGTCATTGTTCCTGCAGAGGATTGATGTGGGTGGACCCCGCGTCAAAGAGTTCTTGAGCTAATGTCGTCAGATATAAATCATTCCAGCTGTTGTCATCTCCACGATCGTCCACTTCCTAGCGGCATACCTCACCTACTCGCCACTGATTCGCAACCTCTCCCTCAACGCCGGTCTGGCAACGTTCACGCTCATCCCCCACTCCGTGATCTTCTGTGTCCCGGTCATGCAAAGGCTCCTGCAGCTCAACCGTGAACCCACTTTCTCCGAAGCCGAGGAGAAGGAGGCGGAGGCGTGCCTGCGGATGTGGGCAAGGCGGCACAGGTGGCGGTCCATCGAGTACGTGATCGGCTGGACAGCGGGAATGGCGGCGGTACTGGCGCTGGTGGAGAGGTGGTAGGTCGCTCTGTACACCTTAGTCAAGCAGATGCAGCTGGAATGTATTGAAGGGCGCCGAGGTCAACTGGGGCTCAGGATCTCTACTGCTCGGTCCGCCTGGAGGGGCGTGCAGGGCCTCGAATGCCTCTTGGAGATCGATCTTGGCAGTAGAATGAGCAAGTTCTCCACATGAGTGTATGCGCTTATCTTGTGCTCAGGATATGGCACCGCTAGGAATCAGGCCAAAAGCAAGCTAGCCTGCGCCAAACCATCCTGCTCCGTCTCTGGCAGATCGCTGAGGAATGCTGCATGCCGAAGTTGCCTCGCCGACACCGCGTGGCTCGTCGCTATCATCTTCTTCTTTAGCTTCAACTTGCTACAATTTGCCTTAAAACTGGCTCAACACCTTCATAAGCCCACACATACATCTGTGATACGCACACTCCTACCATCAGCCCGTACGACTTTATCGGACACCCTCAATTACCCCATACCCCTCAACCCGTCTCGCAAATCCCATCCCCAACATGTCCGTCATCGGCCACCTTCGAATGATCCCTAGCGCCGCCTGGCCATTGGGCGTCGGACTTCTCGTCAACTCTGCTATCCTCTTTGGAAACGTCGGCGTGGACCTCGCGGGTGCAGTACCGATCTCCAGAGAGAAACTGGGCAAGACCGATCTCCGCCCCAAAGACAACGTCCGAATCTGGTCACTGTTCTACAAGACCGCAGCTGTACGTCCCTAACCTCCTTCTGTACGCTTGCTAATGACCAGTCCTACATTGTCCCAGGAATCATCAGTACCACCTCCCTGCACCTCCTCGCCGCGTACCTCACCCCTTCTCGGCGCGTCCGAAACTTTGCACTCACCGCCGCCCTCGTTTCGCTCAGCATCATCCCCCACACCCTCCTCTTCATCCTGCCGACCAACAAGATCTTGCTCGGGCTGGACAAGAAGGCAGAGTTGAGACCGGCCGAGGAGAAGGATGTGGGGTATTACATTGGGAGGTGGAGCGCACTGCACAAGGGGCGATATGTCCAGTATGTGACGAGCTGGACGGCGGGGTTGGGGGCTTTGATGGGTGTCGTGGGGAGGTGGTAGATATCGCTGAGAGACTTTGACACGCAGCTAGCCCGGAGCTAGTATGGACGTCTTTCCGGCTGAGACCTCCTGCCCCGTCCGTCCGCTCATTGACCATTTGTTGACGCTCTGACTCAGATTGAATGGCTCAACAACACCAACAACATTGTCCAAGCTCCATCCTGCATCTCTCGACTCTACCATACTCCACCTGCAATATGCCAACGACGACGCGCCCGCCTCACCCATGGACCACCGAGCCCGCGCTCGAGCGGTACACTGACGACCCCACCCCTCCCTTCCTCATGTCCACCGCGCAGCTCCTCTCGCCCGACGCGCTCCGGCCCGTCCCCATCTCCCGACCCTACTCGGACCATCCCGACAAAGACACCCGCCCTGCCTCCCGCCAAGAAGCGTACGACCCCTTCGTGGACGACCATGACCCGCCCCACCTCCCCACGCCCATGCCAGGCTTGTACGACGCGTCGGGCAACCTCCTCCCTGATCCGGCGGACGAGCCGATGCTGCCCATTGACAAGTACGAGGACAAGTATGACGAGCACGACCCCATTATCCAGACCAACGCGCTGGCGCCGTTCGGCGCGTTTGCGGGGATGCAGAATCAGGAGCTGGTGAATATCCCGTATAGGCCGATGGAGCCGAGGTTGCGCAGGTGGGCAAAGAGCCAGATTGCGCCGGAGGATGTGGTGTTGCCGCTGTTGTTGATTACGTTCCAGACTGGGTAGGTCCAAGTGGAGACCAGGCTGACGAGTAGTGTAGTGGACGCGGCAACCATCAAGGACTTTCATACCTATACGACCGGCCAGACAGGGTGAGCCTTCGTCTTGCCTGGGGGGAGAAGAAACAAGTGTTGACGATCAGGAATTCTATTCTGATGGTACTCGCCATCTTTGGTCGACGTCCCTCCAACCTCCTCGCTGCCGGGCTATCGGTCGCCGGTTTCGTCCTATTCGCTGTGGTCTTTGGTCAACTAGGCAACACATACGGTGCGTCTGCCTTCAACCAAGCTGATACCCAGGGCATAAGACTCGGGGCTGGCTCCTCTTCACCATGTCCGTTCAAATCGCACTCCTCATCACCAACATCATCCTCGTCTCTCCCGCCCTAGCCGGTGTCCTGCCCGAAGGCGGCCCCTTCGAATGGGCAGTCATTTTCACCTCCGCCGCTGGTGGTGCCGGCCAAATGGTCATGGTGAGTCATTATCAGCTCCTCGCTGACGACAGGCCCAAAACTCTGGCGCCTCCGAAATCAACACCGTCGGTCTGACCGGCCTCTACTGCGCACTCGGCTCGGATCCCACCCTCTTCTCCATCCTCTCCAAGCCACACGAAATCAAACGCAACCGCCGACTTTGGTTCCTCGTCATCTTCTGGGGCGGGTGCTTCATGGGCGGCGCGATCGCCACGTTTTCAGACATGTGGATCAGTCTGGTGCTCGCACTAGAGTGTAAGGTCGTCGCGCTGGGGATGATGATGCTGAGTAGTGCATTCGAGGTGCCGGAAGGGTGGGCGGAGCGGAATGCCAGGAAGGAGAAGGAGAAGAAGGAGGATATCGATGCGTGGGGGGATTAGTGTATCAGTAGGACATTGCTGAGGCAGAGCCGAGGCTGAGATCTATGCATCTAGATGATCTATGTGTTGTATGGTGGGCCGAGGCGTTTACGAGTGACTAAAATGTCAGCTCGGCTCCTTACATGGCAACGAAGAAGGCGGAAACGAACTAGTTGTGAGAGCCTCCACCACTGTCGTGTCAGTTCTGAGCGCTCCTTCTCGACAGGAGCTCAGCGGAACTCACCGAGAAGCAGGACACCTCCCCCTGGAGCCAGACGCAATACCTTGGGCGCGAATCCTATTCGTGAGCTTGGAGCAGCATTCGACGCGCCAGATAAAACAACTCACCCTTGTACATCCCAGACAAGCCTTCTTCCCGCATCAGCCTGAGCAAAGCGGGATACGCCCATTCCCCGGTCCCGTGCAGCTGTATTCTAGTCTTGACGACATCGACTGGAGAGTCAGCTTCCAGTGCAGTGCCAATCGAGACAGCTCACATGGGGTATTCAAAGCTGTCCCGACAAAACCACCGACCGTTCCAGCCAGGAGATTGTTGCCGAGTTCACCCTTCTTCGACTGACGCTGTCAGCTTTCTTGCGGCATACCTGCACAAGCAAACACACCGTAGGCTTGGGCAATGCATTGCGAACAGCAAAAATGGTAGCAAAGTAGCCACCGTTCCACCACCAATGCCTGATCTGGTCAGCTGGGCCTGCACTCGCCTGCGAGGTAGACAGCTACCTCCAAAACGTCGCCTCCATGCCCTTGTACAGACTCCCAACACCCTCCGTCTTGATCGCATGCTTGATGACGTCAATCGGACCAGCAAAGTTGGTGCTCTTGTCTTGCAAGCGGATCTTTACGAGCTCAAAGGGCGTTACCACGACTGACTCGGTACCTCCCGCGAGGAAGCCGGTGGCTAGTGCGAGGGCCTGTGTGTTTTGGCGGGTTCCGTTGGAGGTGAGGACGCCAGACCAGTACCCGTTTGCGCCGACTGCAGAGTCAGCTTTGACCGAGGATCTTCTGGCCTCGTAAGCTCACATTTGATAGCTCGCTTGGGAGCTTCGAGCATAAGAGGGGGGATGATACCCTTGTACAGTCGTGAGACACTAGAGCGTCAGCTACCGCTCGACCGAGAACAGGCTAGGGAGAGTGTAGCTTACCCCTGTGTCCCGATGATATTGCGGAATGTCTGCATCATTCCTGTTCCGCCTTTACCAGACTCGAGCTGCTGTCGAGTCTTCACTACATCGAGGGGGTAGAGCATCTGTCACGTCAGCTGAGCTCGAAGAAGATCAGGCGCTGTTAGCTTACGAGCAGCTCAGTACATCCTGCGATGGCACCGAACGCGAATGTATATGCGAACGGCAGAGCTGCGAATCAGTCGAGACATTGAAGAAGCGGAGAAGAGAGCTGGAGGGCTCGGACCGATGGCACGGACAGTCACACGAGCAAGAAGCAACTTACGGACTTGCTTCTTGGTCTGGGCGGGAGCTGACATCTTACTTTAATGGTGAGGGCGTTCTAGCTGAGCCTACACGCGGGGCAAGGGGAGATAAGGGACAAGATAAGGCCAATGTCCAGTTCTCTCGACCTCCCCACACCCGAATCGCCCGATGAGCAGTCAAGTGGGGGCCCCACTCTACACCGAAATTTTGCTTCCGTAGATGCCATGAAATTGTCCACTCACTCAACGACGACTTGTCCTATTATATAGACCTTACTGGCCTATGCAAAGGTCCTCATATAGAACAGTGATATTCACACTACGCACAGGCCTCAACCGCGCACTATCCCCTCGCCACTTTCCCCCATTCGCAACGCACAAACCTGCGCTCGGACCCTTGTCCTTTCGACTCATGTCAGGGTCGTTACCCCCTCGACCCTCTGATCTTCTCTCTCGGTTATCGGCCGCACCGTCTTTACTCGAACGCATCTCTTCTCCCTTACCAACTCCCAGCCCGGTATTCGCCAGGGCTGCGATCGCAGGCTTACCCGCCCGGCCCGACTTTACCCTCCCCTCCAAGCCCAACTTTACGGCTTCAACCTCCACATTCCTCCCTCCTGGTCGAGGCAGAGACTCGGTCTCCCCACCTCGGCGCAGGGTAGAAGAGACAAGCCGAAGAGGCGACGTCTATATCCGCTCTCCATCCCCAGGCGGAGACAGCTACGTACCGGAGCATCGTCGAGCGAGACGCCGGTCCCCATCACCTCCCCCTCGCAGCTCTTACCGGGGTCATCACTCGCGGTCCATCTCCCCAGTCAAGCCCTCTCGGTATACTCAGACCAGCCGGCCTCGATCTCCCTCCCCTCCTCCCAGATCTCCTCCCCCCAAAAACTACACTACTCGCGCCGCGGCGCGCGACCGTACTCCTCCACCCAAGAGCTTCACCACCCTCCGAAGCCGGTACGCCGAGAACGACACCAAGCGAGCAGCCGCAGCCAGTCCGGAGCGGAAACCTTTCCAACGTGGGGGATCGCAGGACGAACGCAAAGCAAGTCAGCGTCAAGCAGTGGACGACCAGACGGCGGTCTTTAGAGCAGCTCAGCAAGAAGCGGCCGAGAAGGAGCGCAAGGAAAGAGCAGAAGCGGCGGAACAACAGCGGAAGGAGAGAGCAGAGGCGGCTGAGCAGAACCGCTTGGAGAGAGTAAAGGCTCTGGAGGAAAAGGAAAAGATCTTTGCAGAGGAAAGAGCGAGAAAGGAAAAGATCCTCGAGCTTCGCAGGGCAAGGTGAGCTTTTGCGTCGACGTAGCTGATGTCAGAGCCCCCGCCAAGCGACCCGCATCACCCATCCCCGAACCCCCATCCAAAGTCGCCAAAACCATCCCTACCGGCCCTCGCCCCGTTAGACCCATCCCTACCGGTCCGAAAGCCATCCCTACTGGCCCGAGACAACCCCGTCTCCCAGAGCGATCCCCCTCCCCAGAATCAGAAGACGAGATGTGGCGAAACGGCCGAGGAAGAGGCAAGGCGGCGAGCAGTAATCGGAATGGCGGTGGTGGCGGAGGACCCAGGTCTTCAGCACCTTTGCCGCTCCCGGAGCACAACGAGGCGTACATCATGCAGACGTATGGAGGACGAACGGTGCTGAAGGAGCAATGGGCAGAGAACCCCAAGGCGCCTTTAGCCAACTATCTCGGAGGTGGAGGAGGCGGAGCGACCAATCTGGGTCAAGGCGGAGGCGCGTATCAAGTACAGGAGGGTGTAGTAGGAACGAAGAAGCTGTTCAGGTGCGTCCGGCAGTAATCAGAGCTGATGACAGAGTATCGGTTGTTGGCGATGTCGACCGCAACATCATCGGTGTCGGAGATCACACTTCCAGGAAGGAGGCCGAGAAGCTCGCCGCGCTGAGTGCGGTGCTGCAGCTCTCGGCCATGGGGATGCTCGACCAGCGTGGCGGCGGCAAGCCCAGCGCCCCTGCCGCCGCACCTGCATTCGGCGGCGGCGACACGGCGGAACTCTCGGACGGCTCGAAAATCACCTACGATCGGGCACGCCAGTTCATGGAGTACTATTGCAAACGGTACAAATTTGGCAAGCCCGATATCGACTTTTCTCAAAGTCAGGCGAAGAGCAAAAAGGGTCGGGCGGCGGTCATGCAGTGGGAGGCGGTCATGACGGTTGGCGGGCGGAAGATCGGGATGGGCCAAGCGGCCAACAAGAAGAACTCGCAAATCAAGTGCTATCTTGACGTCACAACCTACCTCGAGTCGTGCGACCCGGACCTCTGGCGCGACTTTGTCGAATACTCCAAAAAGGACCAATCGGCGGATATCGGCCTGGCGCCGCATCTCATCTTCCAAATGTCGGATGAGCTGGGCGAGGACGTGCAGGGGCTGATTGGGGATGTCCGTCATTCCAATCTGCTCAAGAACGCACCGACGAGCGGGGTGACATCGGCGGATCAGCCGATGCCGGGATGGAGCGGGCGGACGTACGTTGCCAGCGAGGAGGAGCTGGAGCGCAAGTCGGTCGCTTTGCAGGACAAGCTGGCGGATTATCAGAGCGACCCCCGCTTGACGGCCATGCGCGCTCAGCGTACCTCCCTCCCCGTCACTTCCCGCGCCAACGACATTCTCGCCAAGATCGAGGTCAACGACGTGACCATCGTCATGGCGGCTACCGGGTCCGGCAAGACCACTCAAATTCCTCAAGTCTTGTTCGACGACTACATCAACCGGGGCCAGGGCGCCAAGTGCAACATCATCTGCACCCAGCCGAGGCGTCTCGCAGCCATGTCGGTCGCGGAACGTATCGCGGACGAGCGAGGGGACCGGCTTGGTGTCGAGATCGGGTATCAGGTCCGGTTCGACGTCAAGCTCCCCCAGCCCAACGGGTCCATTACATTCTGCACCACCGGTATCTTCCTCAAACGGATGCAGTCGTCCCTCGGCGTCACAGCGGACGCATCGGCGGTCGCGGCGATGGATATGATCACACATATCGTCGTTGACGAGGTGCACGAGCGAGATATAGACACGGATCTACTCCTTGTCGTGCTCAAGCGACTCCTCGCGGATCGTAAAGCACGGGGCGTACCCCTCAAAGTGGTCCTCATGTCGGCGACGGTTGACCCTATCCTCTTCCAAAAGTACTTTGCCGATTCCAGAGGTCGCCTCGCACCTCTCGCCGAGATCCCCGGTCGGACCTTCCCGGTCGAGCGGCACTATCTCGACGACATCATCCCGGACCTCCAAAAAGGCCTTCCCAGCCAGATGGGCGGGTGGGTATTCCAAGAAAAGAATGTCGCCAAGTACCTCCAGGAAGAGCTCAGCCCCAACAGGGCTGCGTTCAACTCCAATACCGGTATCGCGCTCGAAATCCCCTACCCCCTTGTCGCCCTCATCATCGCCTATGCCATGCAGCGGTCAGAGGACGGGCACTGCCTCGTCTTCTTGCCCGGATGGGACGAGATCAAAAAGGTGGCGGATGTCCTTCTGGACGGGCGGTCTAGCCTTCTCGGTCTGCGCTTCAGCGACACCAAAAAGTTCTCGGTCCACTACCTTCACTCGTCCATCCCCGCAGCGGAACAAAAAGAGGTCTTCCGCGACCCACCTCCCGGCGTCAGGCGGATCATCCTCGCTACGAATATCGCCGAGACCTCCATCACCATCCCCAACGTCGTCTACGTCGTGGATGCCGGCCGGGTCAAGGAGAAGCGGTATGATCCCGAGCGCCACATGTCGAGCTTGGTCTCGGCGTGGGTGGGGTCGTCCAACCTCAACCAGCGAGCGGGTCGGGCGGGACGGCACCGAGAGGGAGAATATTATGGGTTGGTGTCCAAGAACAGACTGGCCAGTCTGGACCCGCACCAGCTGGTCGAGATGAAGCGGTCGGACCTGAGCAATGTCGTCATGCACGTCAAGGCGTTGAATCTGGGGGAGATTGGGGAGGTGCTGGAAGCGACGATCGAGCCGCCAGAGCGGAACCGGATCGTCGCTGCGATGGAGGTCTTGCGGATGCTCGGGGCTTTGGACGCGAGTCAAAACCTCACATCGCTCGGTCGGGTCTTGCTCCAGCTGCCGATCGACGCGGCCATGGGCAAGATGTGCCTCTACGGCTCCTTTTTCCGATGCCTCGACTCGGCGCTCACCCTCGCTGCGGTCCTCACCAATCGCGATCCCTTCCTCTCCCCCATCGACAAGAAGGCGCAGGCGGACGAGATCAAGGACTCGTGGTGTCCACGCCAATTTCGCTCGGACCCGCTCGCCATCGTCGCGGCTTACAATGTCTGGGCGGCCCATGACGACCGGGGCGACTACCACGCCGGAAGCCGATTCTGCGTGGACAACTTTTTGTCCAAGCCGACGCTGCTGCAGATCAAGCAGGTCAAGGGGAGTTTGCTCCAGTCGCTGGATCAGGCGGGTGTCATTGCGGTCTCGGCGGGCGGGATGGGCAGGTTGGGGCGGAGAGGCATTATCCCGCCTCAGCTGAACGAGAACAACAACTCGCTTCCTATGCTGGCGGCGTTGATTGCTATGGCCGCTGCGCCAAACTTTGCCCTGAGGACATCAGAAAAGGCTTTGCGAACCGCACAAGATAAGGTGAGCCCTTGTTTTATCGTAGCTAACGTCAGATGGTAATGATCCACAACGCTTCCGTCAATTCTCGCCGGCGCGAACAGAGCGGACCCGAGCAATCCTCTGCCTCCTTCAACCCCGCCGAGAAACGTCTCTACGCCTTCCAAGAAAAAGGTCGGAACGTGGCTCCCGGTCAAAACCCCAACGCCGCCCCTACCCAACTCCGAACCGTCACCCGTCTCGACCCCATGACGTACATGCTTTTCGGCGCGTACGAGCTCGTCGTCACGCAGCGTGGCATGGAGTGCGACCGCTGGCTGCCCGTCACCGGCAACCTGCACGCGCTGGACGATGTGCAGCGGCTCAAAGACCTGCTCGAGGCGTGCATGCTGCGCGTGTTTGAGGGAGTCGGGAAGAGTCTGACCAAGGGTCGGGATGAGCGCTGGAACAAGCAAGAAAAGGCGGTGCACGTCCAGCAGGGGAGCAGTCGGATCGACGATACCGACGCCAACGACGAGGGGGAGAATGAGAGCGATGATGAGGATACGGTGGCGAAGGGGAAGAGGGTTGTCGAGCCGCTCAGCATGGACGAGATCAAGGAGCTCGAGATGCTCACATCGGACGTGGTGCGGATCCTGGACGCGTACGCGGCGGAGAGGGAGGGGAATGCGTCGACGATGCCAAGTCGGGCGCCGACGCCGGGCCCGGGCGGTGGGTTTGGACAGGGAGGCGGTGGGTTTGCGCAGCAGCAGCAGGGGCAGTATAGTGGTCAAGGGTTCGGTCTGGCGCAGAGGGGTGGGTTCGGAGGGGGCCAGGGGGCGTACAGGCCGCCTGGAGCGATGGGAGGGGGAGGCGGAGGCGTGCGGGGGAGGTGGTAAATGTCGCAGTAGGGAGCCGGCAGGACGAGTAAGCTTCGTAAAAATGGAAGCTGGGGAAAAGGCAATCTGAGTTTGAGGGTGTTGTCTATATAGTGCAATAGAGAGGATAGAGCTTCATGCAGAACATGTCGATTATTAGTAGGCGCTCACGGCTTGGCGGAGAACATTTCACATTTCTGCATGGTATCACTAGCTGTGTTTCTGCTCGCTCCTATGATGAGTTAGGCGTAAGGGAGAATCAGCAAGATCGAGTAAGGTTAAAGGGGGTGAGCTACCCCTTCTTTGAGCGGTGTTTCGCCCTTCACCGCGCCGATCACCTCTTCAGCCCTTCTAAGCTGTCCCAGTTTCGATATGCATGCCTCACCCCTTGATGCGTCTTCTGCAATGGGAGCCACCTTGTGCTCATGCGATGCCTGTTGGTCAGCATACTCCAGTGTCCAAGGAGAGATAACTTGCCAATCCCTTGAACAAGGCGATCCGCCTCTGCCCCCTCGCATTCTCATACAACTCCTTCCCCTCCCCGGCGAGCTCCACAATCTACGACTTCTTGCTCGGACCTTTCTTGTCCCCCTCACGCCCCTTCCTCGCCTTGCCATCTTTCCGTGGCTGGTCCCCCTTGCCCTGCTTCCCCGGCTGATCCGCCTTGGCCGCTCCGTCTTCGCCCCCTGCCTCCCCGCCAGGCGCGACCGCCTCCTCTCCCTTGCCCTGTCTCTCCGCACCTTCTCCTCCCATGCATCCCCATCCCCCAAACTCCACCTCCGGCTTCCCCATATCCGAGAGAGCTCGTTTGATGACATCGTCCACGAGCTTGGACCGGTCGAGACGGTCGGCGAGGGCGATGTTCCATCTCTGAAGTCTCTCATACTTCACTCCCCACCCCTCCAGCTCCGCGCATTTCCCTACCAGTGCCGATTTGGCTGCCGCCAGCGCCTCCTCCAGCACCTTCTGCTTCGCCTTGACCTCGTCCATCTGCCCGACGAGCCATTCATAAAGATACCGGTTGTCCCCTTTGAGGATGGCGACTCTCTTTTCCGCCGTGTCCGCCCTTGTATCCGCCTGGAGGCACTTCCCAGTGACCGTGAAGAGCGCTGAGGTAGCGGCCTCAGCATCCTCCCTTGCCTTCTTCAACGCCGCCTCGGCTCCACTCGCCTTCTTCTCCGCCGCCTCCACGTCATCCCTCGCCTTCTTACTCGCCGCCTGGTGCTGATTGTCCGCCTGCCTCGGAGCTCTTTCATGCGCCGCTTTAAGGTCTGCCCTGAGCTTCTCCTCGGCCCTGTCCGGCCGAACTTTGAGAGTATCACTGGCCTCAGTCTGCTCCGCGCTGGCGTTGTTGGCAGCTTGGTGGAGCTGGCCCTGGTCGACCGAGGCGAGGTCCGCCGTGGCCTCTTCGATGATACGGAGCGCCGTCTCCCGTTCGGAGTTGGCACTTGAGTTGGTTGGCTTGGAATAGGGATGATGTGGACGTAGCAAGTGCCGTCCCGCGCTTGATGATCGCGCCCGCGTGAAGGGCGTTGGCGACCGATAGAGCGGTCCGCGATGCCTCGAGCTCCTGACCGGTAGAGATGACATCCCGCCAGGCGCCCGCCAGCGCCTCTCGGACGGCCTGGAGGTCCGCTTCAAGACCAGCTGTTGTCGCCGACTGCGCGGGGTCAGAGCGGACCCCCGCCTCCACCGCGTGTCTTCGGCGAGGTCGATAATCTTCTCCACGCCGACCGTGCCCTCGGAGGGATCGCTGTCGCGACCGTACGTATCCCTGGTAAGCTCTGCTAGATACAGATCCGTGGATGGGCCTGGGCGGGTGTGATATTGGGGCGGATCATGGTTAAACCACGATGGGAAATCGCTCTTCAGCACCCGCTGCACAATTGGCTCTCCTCTGGCGTCCGTCGAATGCAAAAGCTTTTGGGGGTCATGATGGGGAGTAAAGTAGAGGGGATGATGAGATGATGGTCGGCGGTGGCCGCTTGTGCCGCCAAAGATACGACTGAGGGTCAGTACAGTGCCAGAAGGAGGAAAGAAGGAAGTCGAGCGGATATGTGAAAGCTGATTGATGGGTGAGCTGTGGATGGAAATGACTTGCTATGGATGTGAGGGGACTCTTGCGTGTAGCTTAGCGCTCTGTTTCGCTGTGGGGTCAGTTACTGGGATACAGAGCTGGTAGACTGGAAGAAGAGTGGGAAGGATGGGCGGAGGGGAGGAGGGAAGTCAAGGGTTGGGCATGCGCTTACACTTGTTTGGGCAGTCGATGATACTATCTCTTCTGGTTGGCGATCGCTGTCCGTCAGCGCGTCTACTCTGCTGCTAGGGTCCTGCAGGCCTCAGGCTGATGGGATATAGGCATGGGAAGGGCAAGAGGATCGTCCAACGGTACCGCGGTGATCAAATTGACTTACAGAGTTCACACGGCGCCGCTGGAGACTTTGGCAGTTGAGTAGGCGAGGTGATGCAGGTGGCACCGAGATGCCAGAGGGATAGGCTCTGTATGGATCGACAAGTAAGGTATATAGAGGTAAGAGGAGAAGAGAAGAGAGGGGAAGAGGGGAGAAGGACACGAGGGAACCACACAAACGATATTCCGGTTCCGGCGGAAGCGGCTTTTCAGCTCTGCTTATGACGGCCGCCCGCGCCCCATCTCAGCTGCGCCTAAGAGATGCTGTCAGCGGTCAGCCTGTGCGGGACAGTCAGTGTCAAGACAGTCAGCGGTGAGCAGTGTGGTTGCCAAGAGTGCCAGGTCAGGTGCAAATACACCGCCGCCCCGGCGCGGTGGAGGGAAGACAGAGGAGTGTCTAGCGGTAATATGCTATGAGGTATCCAGGGCGGAGGTCGTGGGCAAGGAGGAGCGTGATGGTATCCACGATTCCAGGTAGAGGAAGCGAGTGTCAAATTTGATTAAGCCTGGGTCAAGTACGAGGGAGCCGGGAGGATCGGCCATAGAATAGGAGGGGAAGGGGTAGCGCAGGGGACATCAAGCCGTCGATGCGGTCAATCAATAAGGAGCACGATATGTCTGAGTGAGCCAGCTTGTGAACTTGCTAGAATGCCAACAGCAGATCAGTCGCCTGTGGGTCGCGTCAACGCCGTGGTCCGGCCAAGCATGGATAAGTGTCAAGGGCGGTGGTAAGAGCGCGCAGCAATGTCACGCGTCGAGAATCGAAGATGTGGTCAAGGGAGGATCGACGAGGCGAGTCGTTATGATTAGAAGGGCCGCGTGTCATTATGATAGAAAGGGCCAATGATGGAAGGATGCAGCAGCAAAGACGCTTTACCTGCCAGATCTAGCTACCCCACGCTCTTCGGCCAAAGCGCCGCCCTCGGCCCTCTTCCTTGGTTGTACGTCACCGGTCCCTCATCGGCCGGATAACGCACTATCTCCCCACTCCACTGGCACACCCTCGGAGGCATCCCTTGTCGCTTCATCGGCATACGGGAGATACGGAGAGATCTGCTTTGGATACGTCGGCGAACGCGCCGCTTGACGAGCATGTGGGCGGACAGGAATGGAGGCGTCTCGACACGCCAGTTCCAAAGGTGCCATAGGAAGGGGGGCGAGGTGGAGGCGAGATATCAATGGCTGGTCCTCCTTTCTTTGTTTTCGACTCTATCTCTCATTCTACTTTGCTATCAGCTATCACCCAGTCTTCAAACTTTCCCCTGTCCATCGCGCATACACCCCCGTCGCCCTCACGTTACTCATCACGCCGCTCCATTTCCCTCCCGCAGCTCCTTGACCTACTCTATCCGCCTGACCACCCACACCGCTCTCCCTTCCTCTCCCATACACTTCTGTCAAGATGAGACTCACCGTTCGCGATACCAAGGAGGAGGTCGGCAACTACGTGAGTCTTACCTTACCGACCTCGCCTCCTTCCTCCTCACATCTCCCTATACCTGCTTCAATAGTAGGGCAGCGAAACGAAGTGGAATCCAGCTGACCAGCCAGATCGCTGAGTACATTGTCAAGCGAATCAACAGCTTTAAAGCCTCCAAGGAGAAGCCTCACTTCGTGCTCGGTCTCCCAACGGGAAGCAGCCCTTTACCGGTCTACAAGCGGATCGTCAAGCTGCACGAGGAGGGCAAAGTGTCGTTCAAGGTGTGTCCGCAATCAAGGTCATGGACGGGTGGAACCGCGCTGACGCACAGAACGTCATCACGTTCAATATGGACGAATACGTCGGTATCCCTCGGGACCACCCCGAGTCTTACCACACCTTCATGTTCAAGCACTTCTTCTCTCTCATCGATATCGAGTGAGCCGCGCTCTTCATGCGCTGGAGACAATAGCTGACATTGCAGCCCCAAGAACACGCACTTGCTCGATGGAAACGCGGAGGATCTGTACAAGGAGTGCGAGGACTACGAGGCGGCCATCAAGGCTGTCGGGGGTATTGATCTGTTCCTAGGCGGGATCGGCGCAGATGGTCATATCGCTTTCAATGAGGTACGCCTTTCTGTCTAGTCAGGGGATGAGCTGACGAGCAGCCCGGCTCCTCCCTCACTTCCCGCACCCGCATCAAGACCCTCGCATACGAGACCATCCTCGACAACTGCCGTTTCTTCAACAATGACCTCTCAGCGGTGCCCCGGATGGCACTCACGGTGGGCGTGCAGACAGTCATGGACGCCAGGGAGGTGGTGCTGGTGGTCACGGGCCAGAACAAGGCTTTGGCGCTGAGCCAGATGATCGAGGGAGGGGTCAACCATATGGTCACTGCCAGTGCGCTGCAGACGCACCCGTGGGCTTTGGTGGTATGCGAGTGAGTCAGACCGGCAAGATGTCAAGCAGGAGCTGACGTGTACAGCGAGGACGCGACGAATGAGCTCCGGGTCAAGACGGTCAAGTACTTCAAGTCGATCGAGCGGGTTCAGGACGAAGTGGAGGCCAAGTATGGGTCAGCGACGAGCTCGAGGTTGGGGCTGCACAAGGCTACGGCGGCGTGATTGTGGCGCTGTAGCGATACGCCAGGGCTGGTATCGAGGGGTGAGACGTGTAGATTAGCTTGTCATTGTCAGTCAACATGAACGCGTAGATGTCGAGATTTCAAGCGATACATTTCCTTCCACTCGCTGCCTGCCATTTTCCCATGCTCTGTACACCATTTGTCTGCTTTGCTTCTCTCTATTTCGTACTCCTTCCTGATTTCTAGGCCTCGTTCTTCTTGCCGGCAGGGTGGAGGCGCAACTGTCCAGTCAGCAGAATGATCTGAGTCGAGGGAATCATCACTTACTCCGTCCAAGTAGACTGTGGAGATTGTCAGCTACGCACTTATGGTTTTGCAATGCATCGGTCAACTCACAGTGTCGTCCAACAGCTATACATCATTAGCAGAGTTCAAAGACGCATATAAAGGAGCTCACCGAATGCAGCGCCGACAACTGCGGCGGCCACAACGAACGCCATAGGATACAGCTCAACAGGGATATCTAAATGATCAGCTATCTTCTGGAATCCACTCGACCCCTAGGCCTAGCTGGACCAGACATGATGGCGTACCCTTCATGCCGAATCGGAAGACCTAATACATCAGTTACCGCGTCCAACATCACTGCCCAACCATTCCTTCCTTCCGCCCGACCAGTCCAGCCCACTGAGTCGCCCACAACTCACCAGCTTTGACTTCCCGCCCTTGTTGTCCTGAGTGTTCCACCGCCTGGCCATCCCCAATCCAACCTGCGAGGGGAGCGCCTGGACCTGCGGGCGGAACGCAGCGGCCCGGAAGGCAGGTGCGGCGGACGCCATGGGGCGGAGCTGACGGAGGGTGGTGCTGGCGAACATTGTGTTGTGAGTGGTGGGGAAGATGCTGCGAGTAGATGGGTAGACTTGAATTTGTGGAAGGTATGGTTGGGAGTTGGCTGCTATAGGTCGAGGCGAGCTTGCATTGAGGCCTGGCCCGGCGGGTCATGTGCGTCATACCTCGATAGGAATTGCCAAATCGGGCAATTGCCCGGCTGCTTACGTGAGACAATTCCCGGTTCGTGCCTTCGCGCTGCAGGCCGGTTCCACGCATAAGTCCAAGTCCAAGCTCAACTTCATCCTTTACCTTTGCCCCATCTGACCTCACTCACTGTGCGTGCTCCCAGGCTACACGACGTTATCATCATGCTGATTATCAGAAACCTACCTCTGAACAATGTCCACCCAAGCTGCTTTCGACAAGGCTGTCAAGACCGTCAAGGACTTGAAGCCTGAGGGGGACGTCAAGCCTACTCAGGATGACCAGCTCGCTGTGAGTTTGGCTCTCACATATGCCAGCAGAGCGCTTCCGCGGTTGATGAGAGCTCAATGGTCTGATCCTAAGACTGCTCTGGGATATGCGCTACAGACTCCTAGCAGCGACTGACACTCGCAGTTCTACGGTCTCTTCAAGCAGGCCACCGAGGGCGACTGTACCACCGCCCGACCAGGTCAGCTACGCTTCCTTTAGACCAGATCACGGTAAAAGGGCTTCCGCTGACGATATAGGCGCCTTTGACTTCAAGGGCAAGTACAAGTGGGACGCGTGGAACAAGAACAAGGGCATGAGCAAGGAGGATGCGCAGAAGCAGTACTATGACTTGCTCGACGGGGTGAGCTAGTCACTGTGCTGCTATCGGCGGGAACATGAGCTGACTGGTAGATGATGGCCAAGTCTAGCGACCCGGAGATCGTCAAGGCCCGCGAGGAGCTCCACGGTACGTTTCACCTCGCTCTGTTCCCACTGCCAACTGCCACGGAATGGGACGTCTTCATCTGAGCTGGACCAGGGCTGATGTTTGCAGCTGCCAAGGGCGCATAAGCGCAGACTGATGTCATTGTGGACTTTGGATCAAGACAGTAGGGATGCGATGCAGCGGATGAATTCTGAAATATTGCACCGAGCAATGCAGAGGAAGATTGAGACGCTGCCTCGGATTTCCATCTCGCTTCTTGCTTCCCGCATGTCGGGACCTGCTGGTCCGCTCTATCTGACGCTGCGCATGGTTTACACGATGCATACAATCCCTCCGCAACCGACTACCATCATACCAGCCGACATCCCGCCTAGTGTGCAGCATGAGCCTGCTCGAATCGAATCCCGCTACTCAGTCAGCTTGGCACTCAAGGATGTGTGATAGAATGGCTCACCAGTAGCCGCATGCTTTAGGTCCTGATGGCACGTCAGCTTCTATCCTTCTATTCGACCGGATCTGGTGGGATTACTAGCTTACCTGGCTTGTCCTATATTGTCAGCGGTTGTGCTTGGGGCAGCTTCACCATAGTCTAGGTGAGGGCACTTACAAGGTTGATGAAGACTTTTGGGTGTCCAAGGGGTCCACCACCTGGCATGTCAGTCTCATCTAAGGGTAGACACACGATAGAGCAAGATGTAAGACGGCAGAAGGGGACGGTGGACTCTCGAGCGTTCCTCCACCCCTCGTGCCAGCACCTGGCCTCCTGACCGCTCCTCTGCTTCCCCGCCTTCCTTGAACCACAACCAAGTCCTCACACCCATACGGTCCTGCCCTGACCGAAACAGAGCCTCACTCACCTCCATCACAGCTCGCCCTTCTTCCATTAACCATCCTGACCGGATCCTCCTGCACCATCCCCATCGCCGAGAGCCCATTCGGCTGGAGGCTCAGATCCGTCTGCTCGAAACGCGGCCCGTCAAACACAAACTTCTTGGGGTTTTGCGACGTCGACCATGTGCCGGGGACATTGGGCGATTGCTGCTGCTCTTCCGGGTCGGACGGTTTGGGCTGGTAGGATTTCAGAGGGGCGGGCGGCTGAGGGATGGATGTGTGGGCTGAGCGGGTGGAGGGGGAGAGGATGGCGGAGCGGGGGAGACGCCGGAGGGCGAGGCGAGTGAGGGACATGATGTTTGAGATGTATGCGCTGTGTGAACAGGTGCAGGCAAGGTAAGGCGTTGAAGCTGTTGCTCTAGCGCTTGAGCTGGCAGAGGGAGGAGGAACGCACGGATCGATTTCAGCTTTTTATAACGCCGTTAATTCCCGTCAGGTTACTCGCCGGAAGGGGAACCGGTGTCCTCGCTTGTGAAACGCCTGCTGCAGCGTTGGACTTGGACCGCGCAGTACTCAGCTCTGACCAGACTGCAAGCTCATGAAGTGGACCACCGGGTAATCTCATACAACGTTCTTTGATACGGTTAATCTCCCGCTAATAATGCCTACGAACAACCCTCTCCGGTCCACGTCCGCCACATCTCCGCCTCATCCCTACCCACCCCCACTCGCCTTCTCCGCCTCTATCGCCCCCTGCAGCCCCAGCTCGGCCACGTTCCCGTGCCCACTATTGATACTCCTCGTCAGGTGATACTTGAGCCCATTGGCCTGTTTATACACCTTCCCGCACCCTTCAATAGGACACGGGAACTTCTTCTCCACCTCGCCCGCGTGTCCGTCATCCCCGCTCCCATCTTCCCCCTCTGCCGCGCGTTTCGCCTGCGCCTGCCTCTCGGCCTTGCGCTGCGCTTTCCGAGCGGCGCGCGCGTCGAGCTCTTCTTGGCTGAGAGGGGCTTTGGACGTGCTGGGTCCGGGTGTGGATGCGCGCGATGCAGGGAGAGAGGTAGTTTGGAGATTGGAAACCGCGGGTGTGATGGGCCGGACGGCGAATTGTTGCTGCTGCTGCTGCTGCTGCTGCTGTTGCTGCTGCTGCTGTATCTGCAGCTGTGTCTGCTGAGACTGCTGCAACTGCTGCTGGAGCAGCTGAGCGTGTGTCAAACCGCCCGGCGCCGGTTGTCCCTGCGGTATACCCAGCGGCATGACCTGCGGCGCCGGCGTGGTTGGCATCGTAAGGAGACTAGGCGGGATCCCTGTCGATCCGGCATAAGGCGACCGGAACGCCGAAGCCCATGGCGAATGATGCGGTTGTGTTTGGTTGTGCATCCCAAATCCGCCCGCCCCGAAGCCGCCGCCCTGGAGCTGGGGGTATCCGTTCTGCATCCCCCTCGACCCATTCGAGCTGGGATTTGGGGGGCCGCTGCCCATAGCGTCATCCTCCATTTCGATATCCATCATGCCGGGCGGAGCGGGGACGTCGTCTGAGCTCCCAGCGCCGGATCCGAGGAGGTGTCGCGATAATGGAGGCTGGACGGAGGAGACGGCGGGGTTGGGCATGGTGAAGGAAGGGCGAGGATGGCCGGGAGGTACATGTGCTGCGGAGAGAGCGGCAAAGCGGGCGTCGGGCGAGAGATTGGCATGTTCCTCTTCGTAGCTGCTGGTCAGCGACACTCCTCCATCTCAGCCTGGGACTCACTGCTCTAGCAGCTCGTGCAATCCATTCAGTTGTCTCCCACAACAACTGAAATCCCTGACGTATCTCGCCTCCAGCTCTCTATCCCTCTCTCTACCAAAGCTCTGTCCCATCTGTCCCAGGCTACCCACAAAGCTGCCCATCCCACCTCCCACTGCGCCGCCCCATGAGCCCATATATGCGTTACCGTACGACCCCGATCCACCCGGCGGAGATCCTAGCTGGCCATATGCGCCCCAAGATGGGGGTGAGATGGACATGCCGGTGCCTGCTGGTTGATCGTTCATTGGGTCGCCGTATGACCCTGACGAGCCTGACGAAGAGCCGATACCGAGTTGCCCTGGCGAAGGGTCAAAAGAGGAGGGATGGGCGGAGGTCGAGGGTGGTGAAGCAGATCCACTGCGAGTCAGCCTAATGGTCGTTCTACCAGACCGTTGCGCCTCCTCCTATGCTTCTCATCTGCTTCCTCACGCGCCGCCAACCACTCTGACCGGCTCAACTTACGTAGCAGCTAGCAAATCCGCCGTGCTGACACCCTTATCTCCCCCACCCATCGTCATCCCCAGCCCCGCGCCCAACTTCCTCGCTCCCCACTTCGCACCTCCATTTCCTCCCCCTGACCCATTCCCCACGCCATAGCTTCCAAAATCCATCATACTGCTACTCCTCGGCAGCGCATGCGACCCCGCAACCGGACTGGTGGGTACCGGCGTCGACGCGCCCGACTGGGCCATGCGCAGATGACCCGGATGTCCGCCGAATGGCGGGTGCGACTGATTCAGGCTGAACTGGGGCGGGAGGTGTTGTTGTTGTTGCTGTCCCGAACTCGAGGAGGACTGAGTGAACTGCGATGGGTAGGCGTAGGAAATGGACGGGGCGGAAGGGGTCGAGGGTGTCAGCTGCGGCGAGTAGAAGGCGGGCATGGTGGTTAGGGAAGAGAGGGGACGGGTCGGTGCGTGTACACAGGGTCGACCGGTAGAGTGGCCCAGTACTACAGCACAGGCCGTAGGGGTACCTAGAGACGAGATGGACACTCCGCTCGGGCGTAGCGTAGCGTATTGCCGCCGGACCGAGATAACCGGGCGGCCAAGTGGTGATAGCTCGATGAGGGTACGAGCAGGCCTGTTCGAACTCGGCTGAGGGGCTATAGACAATCGCGAGCGAGTCTGGGACGGTGTGTGAGGTGTAGCCTGGAGTGGAGTGTATAGCGGGATGGTCAGGCACTAGGCACTAGGGCTATATGGGCGATGTGGTAGCGCCGGCATGACGCAGGTGCATGTGGGGTGGAGATCCCTCGCTACTCCGTTCCTTCCGCCGGAAAGGAGGTTGAGGGTGATACGGGCAGCGATGACCGCAAGCTTGCTCATGGTGTTCCTAAGCATCAAGACCGACGGCCAGAGTTCGACTATATAAAGAGGACAGAGCAGTAGGAGCAGGAACTATCATCGCGGTATCTTCGAAGTCCGGCCAGTTTCCACCGAAACTCACCAATCCCCTTGCCCCACCCCACTCCACCCTCCCCCACTTTCACACCATGCCCCTCTCCTTCCTCCTAATCGGAATCGCCTGGGAAGAGCTCGCCACCGTCTTCGGGCCCGAGAAGGCGCCAGAGATGGAGAAGATGGTCCGCGGTGCAATCGCCAAGGATGGCAAGCGATTCGAGGACTTGGGGTACAAGTACGAGTTTATGACGTATGGGACGGATGAGGAGATGGGGCGGTTGGAGGAGAAGCTGAAGGAGGGGAAGTATGATGGGGTCTGTATGTGAGTAATGAGATTCAGTATGCGCCCACTTGTGCTCGATATCGGGATATCGGGGATGTCGGATCGGCCTGGCTATGGAGGTAGCTGATCAGCCAGCGGTTTCGGTATCCGAGGCACCAAAGACTTCACCCCACTCTTCGAGAGACTCGTCAATACCATCCATACCGCCTCCCCTTCGTCCAAGCTCCTCTTCAACACAGCGCCGGACGGTACCCTCGATGCGGCCAGGCGGCAATTCCCGGCAATTGGCGAGGCGGCAGCGTAACGTTGATAAGCAAGACGGATATAGGATAGAGTTTTGTATATGATCAAGCATGTAGCAGATGGCCGAGTCTCAGACGTCCCAGATGGTAGCGCGCATAGACAGTGGGGTGTTCGGCGGTTCACGGTGTGCGGGACAACAATATATATATACAGGCCAGACCGACTGTACCCGTCAGCCCATCGTTGAGATCTGCTCATCGGTATCAATCCCCTCATCCCTCGGTTCGGCGTGAGACGGATAGCTTATTCATACGTACAACGGAAACATGCTATACAATCATACTCTCCAGATGCACCTCAGATTAGAATGGCCATGGGTTCGAAGAGGATGGAAAGAATCTACGAAAGAACCGGCTCGCCTGCTCCCTATCTTCTGGCCCGGCGTCTTGCGCTACAGCATCGCGCATGACGAACGCGGCCGCACGGGAGTAGGTTGACTCGAGGCCCAAGATATCGCTCTGACAGGCTAGCTATCAGCTGGAGTCCGAGCACCACTTGCAAATCTACTCACCTGATACCTTGACGAACAACCCGGCTGCGAGCTCGTGCATTTCTCTCTGGTGGACTCGCTGCACGCCCTCCATGCCCGAGGAGCGGCTGCTCCAGAACGTGCTGAGGTGCGCCATAGCTGCAATGTACAGGTACCGGCCGATCAGCCAGGCACTGTCGATAGTTTTGTCCGTCCACGCTCTCGCGCAGATTCGAGCCAGTGTTCGGGCGTTGGTGGCACATGCCGCGAGTCGCGCCAGGGGTGGCGACGGGTACCGCTCGCTCGCCCGGAGGAGCATTACTTTGGCGAGCAAGTACTCGACTTGGGTGTGGACGACGGTGCGGCGACCGAGTTCGCATGGCATGACTGCCGTAAACGTGTTATCGATGAGCAGGAGTGTACGCTCGACCCACTCGGGCGGTGGGGATATGGAGAGGTTGGTAGAGATGGAGGTCGTGGTGTGTATGTCCGCTTGCAGGAGTCGGAGCTGTAATTGAACATCTCGGATAACCGTTCCTTCGTAGGCACCGAGGTTCAGGTCCCCGTTGTGGATGTCATGGGGCGGCTAGAAGGATCAGCGTCATATCAGAAGTTAAGCAATGCTGAATTACCTTGACGGTGATCTTGTCCAATGGAAGCATAATCTCTTTTCCGGTCAGAACCGAGGTCATGATGTGTCGAGACAGAGCACTGATGTCAACTGGGATCTTGCAAACGCTCACCTCCAAAACAAGAAGCGCTCAAGTCGTTGGCCTACATCGCCGTCCTGTTCAACAATCTGTTGATGAGGCCCCTCCAGCTCGAGATCCATCTCTCGAGCGTAGGAGATGGCTTCGATGGACTTGTGGTACAAATCTGGTCATCAGCGAAAAAGCGATCTGGAAGCTCACCGTAAGCATGAGGCTGCCTGAGCGCATACTCGAATGACGCCATCGATATGCGTACCCGGATAGCGCTAGGCGACTTCTTGCACAACTTGACCAGCTGCTCCACCTCGTTCCAGTACCCTTCATCGTCAGCTACAGTGCAAAGACATAACGAGAGACTTGCTGCCGGCCTTTTCCAACATGAGCGGTAGATTTTCGGCCCAGCTCTTCTGCGATGCCCAGATGGCCGGGATCACTGGATATCAGCGCTTCAGGAGAGCCATGTTGATTGAGGGACCTACGATAGCGTAATAGGAGGTTCTCCGCGGATGGGTCGTTCACAGACCGGGAAGTAGCGACTTCTCAACTCAGTCTCGCTGATGATGGGGCAGTCCCAGAAAGGCTCGAGACAGCGCGCTTCTGCTGCGAACACTTCTACCGTAGAGGGTTGTAGCGGCGCTGTGTCTGCTTGTGGTGGTGCAGCTAGTGGGACTGCATGTCAGCTACCTCACAACTCCGCCAGGCAGACTCACAACCGACGCCTGGGCTTGATGTTGTAGACGGGAGCGCTCTTGATACTATAACGTCAGATCAGCGTCCATCAGCCGGCAGTGCTAAAGTCCTTCTCACCTTCGTACTCCACGTCCCTCATTCTCTTTCCCGGTCTTAATCTTTCGTCTTCGTTCGGCACTGAGTCGGAATGGGAGCTGGATGGCATGGGATTGAAACGCATGCTGAGCAATAGGACAAAGTATGATGGAGAAGGAAAGTGACGAGTTGAGTGAAGGCAGTTCGAATTGCCTGCGCGCCCCGCGTGTTTCAGAATGCCTCGGCCGGGAGATGACGTTATCCGGCTATATTTCCGGCAATTTCCGGAGCCGAAATGAGGCCGAGACAATACAAGCCCTGGCATACTTGTGCCCTGGCCAACCATACATCATCTATACCATCTCATCTTGAACATCTGCCGTCCTCGATAGGAATAGAGATGTCTCCTGCAGCATCAGGATCAGGAACGGTGACGAAGCGGAAACGTCCATACGGTCAATCCTGCCTGGTACGTCCGCGGGCTTATTTGTGTGGGTTGCACTGATGTGCAGGCATGTCGCGAGAAGAAGACCAGCTGTGATGGACAGAGACCGATCTGCGGTGGGTGCCAGATCAGCGGAGAAGAGTGCAGTGTCCCGTAAGTCAGCTGTCAATTACACCAACGAGCCCAGCCGACCCCCAGTCCCCCTCAGCGAACTTTGCGGAGATTTCCCGGACCCACAGATGGGACATCAGGTAGCGCGGAGGACGTCACCTATCTGATGGACAAGATCAAGCGCATGGAATCTCGCCAAAGGAGGCTGGAGGAGGCGTTGGGCGTGGACATGCAGTCCAGAGCTGCATCACCGGATGCCAGCGGGGCTGGTGGGGATGCGGCGATGGATGCGGAGGGGGCGAGATATCGCCTGACGGTGGATGAGGGGGGTAATGTGAGTGTCCTGTCTGCTCAAAGCGGTCTATAGTCTCGCGCCGCTCCCTGGTCGTCATGGTCAGAGAGCAGGCAAACTTCCAGCTTTGTATGCTCGCTGAAAACACGTCACTCGTCTTACCATTCAGCCCCAGCTGACGATCAGGTGATGTACCACGGTCTTACCGGCTGGATACAGGACGACGCTCATGTCGACTCCAAAGAGGACGTCGCCCCGGTAGCCAGTCCGGGCCTCACCAATCCGGCCTTCGCTCCCTTCTTCAGCGCCCTCGCAACGCACAAACACATTTCTGTCGCTCCCGAGCTTGGCGATGCTCTCGTCAACTGCTATTTCTCCTACCAAGTCTTCGAGATCATCCAGCAATCCCTCTTCGTCCGCGATATGGTTCTCGGCGGACCATACTACTCGGAGCTGCTGCTCATGGCCATTTACGCCGCCGCGACGCGCAAAATCGATGGGCTCGGGATAGAGGAGAGGAAGGTGCAAAGGGAGCTGTTCGAGAAGCTGGCCAAGGAGTATCTTGCGAAGGAGATGGATGGGATGTCAAAGATCCCGACGATCCAGGGGTTGATGCTGCTTAGTAGCAATGCTCTAGCGGAGGGAGATCTCAGCCACGGGTGGAACTATGCTGGAATGGTGAGCTTGCGCGAGGATGAAGCTGATTTCAGGCTTTCCGGATGATCCTAGATGTGGGTTGGTCACTGACTTGGCTGATGTAGCTCGGTATCCATCTCGCCCCCGACAAGGTTGCTGGTTCAGCGCGATTGTCTCCAGAAGAGCTAGTCACACGAGACAAGCTATTCTGGTCCGCTTTCGTTTGGGACAAGTGAGTCATTGCTTTCCCCCAACTCTTTCGATGCTCTCGTTCTTCACTCCAGCCTGCCGTTCTCGTTCTTCACTCCAGCCTGCCGTCTCTTATTCTGACACGCTGTACCTATGGGCAGCATACACAGAGGGAGCGAGCAGCTGGAGGCATGAAGGGGGTGGGGGCTATGGGGCAGAGGTGGGCGCGAAATGAGTGGGCGAGGTGTAGGGATATTAGTATGACTGGGCTGTTGACTCTAATAAGGCAGCGACTACAGCTCTGAACTTGTGCTGATTCAGATCTATCTCCCTTGCGCTCGGCAGAGAACCCACCTTTCCCCCTCGACTCGGTCGCGACCCATCTACCATACCGGACTTTGACGATGAGCAGGAAGTTTGGACCCCCTACTACCTCAACCCGATCAACCGGCCTTTCCAGCTTGGAAATTATAGCTGGCAGCCGAAGCGCCGTGTCGCAACATTCAAGCTACTTGCAAAGCTGTGCTTGGTGAGTCCCGCCAAAGCTCGGCTGACGGTAGATCCTCCATGATATCATTGTCGAGCTATACAGTATCGAATCGAGATTGACCTCTCTCCAGCGCGTTGGCTTTGTTGCGCGGACCAGGCTTCGCTTGGAGGAGCTATGGCGCACAGTCCCCGACACCATGAAGCACAGTCCAGGCGGTCTTGCTCCTCCACCCTACCTCTTTATGTTCCAGTGAGTAAGACTGAAGGACGAGCTGACAGTAGAATGCTCTACCACGCTTCCTACATCCTTCTGCATCGACCAGTCTTCGACTCTTCCGAAATCCTCAATGCAGCCGGCCACGTCTCAACTTGCCTCGAGCATTCGGCAATGGCCAATATGCTTGCAGTCAGCTTTACCAGCACCTTCGGCGAGCGCATGACCTACGTCGCCATGTACTCGAGCTTTGTTGCAGCGTATGTTGTCTTGTTTGCGAAAGTCATGTGTGGAGCTGATCGATCAGGAGCTTTGACATCTCCGTGCTCGATTCGCACAAGATGGGCGTCCAGATGGCTGCATTGACAAGGCTACAGACGTGGCTGAATCTGATGGACACTGTAAGTTCTCTCACTGCCCAAATGGAGCTTGGCTGACGATCAGAGCGGAAACAGAGTACCGAGCATCGTCAGATCCGTCAACAATATCGCCACCTCGCTCTGCACCGCCATCACAAGGCATCCTACCTTGTCGAGCTCAGAGTGAGTACTATACCACAAGCTCGAATCTGCTGACGATCAGGCCGGGACGGTGGATCCTCATGCGCCACTCTACTCAAGCCGTCAACAACTTGCCGCCGCTGCCGGACTGGGGAGGGCTCGGGACGGACGCGTTTGACTTTTTCGATCTTCTTGGTCCAGCTTAGTGTGAATGCAATGTACTCCTTGTCAGCAACATGCTACTGTCCGAGACGATGGCGCGAATCATAGCTAATACATTTGATCTACTTGCCACTAGCTATTGCCTAGACCGACCTACAGAATATCACTACCAGCTATAACCTACAACCTAATAAGCCGCAAGCACCTTCTTCATGTCCTCCGCCGTCACCTCTGGCTTCCACGCCTCCAGCCTCATCTTCATCGCCGCCGCCTGCCTCTTCTCGTACGCCCTGAACTCATCCGTAATGTAGCTCCCCTTGACCCCACCCCTGACCGCCCCCGCCCGCACATCTCCCCAGTACTCTGCCCATTCCGCCGGCAACGGCTGCGACGAGGGGATCGAGAGCCAGAGACGCATGAGGTGGCGCTTCTGGTCCTGGTCCTCGTAGTCCTCAAAGGGGGTACGCGAGTGGAGGGTGACAAAGGAGTTGAGGAGTTGCATGTCCCCGCGCTCCAGCTCCATAGAGTAGCAGTACTCGTCCGACGGCATGATTTCGTCGAGGAGGTCGAGTGCCTCCTCTTGCTTGGGGGTGAGGCGGGGGAGCTCGGGGAAGTCCCGCTGAGCAGCGACCGTGTTCTTGCGGTTGGTACGCGCGGCAAAGAACTTGGAGTTGGTACCGAAGAGGGGGTTGCGGTAGTAAGGGGGTTGGGAGGGGTCCTGGGCGCCCTGGAAGGAGTGAAACCAGTCGCGCGACTCGAGGACGGGGAGGAGATCCGGGCGGACCTGCTGGACCCGGTCACGAAGTGCGATGGACGACATGACCTTGCTGGTACCGCCAGCCTTGGCGGTGCGACGGCATAGGAGGGCGACAATGTCCGCCGAGTCCTGGTGGAAGTCGAGTCCCTCCTTGGTATTGTACCCCCGCCCGCCCGGCACCTTGTAGCTCCCGCCCGCGTTCCGCACATCATTAATCACCTCGCTCGCCTTGTTCTGCGTCCGCCCAACCCCCATGTACAGCCCCATCCCCCAGTACGCCACCCTCATCTCCTCCTCCGTCCAGTCATCCGTAGGGAAGCCCTTGACGAGGCACATGCCCCATCGCCCTTGAGTAGTGTCGATCGCGCGCTGGAGGGCTTGCGCAGAAGCAGCGGGGAGGGGGAAGTCCGCCTGGGTCATGTCGAGGAGGGGTTTGGGGTGGGCGACGGCATAGGCGCAAGCGGTGCGGAAGCCCTCGATCTCGTCAGGACGGAGACGAAGGATCCAGGAAGAGTCGGACCGCAGGTCGTCGGCCAGCCAGGGCTGGGGAGGGGAGGGAATGGTAGCGTTGATCATTGTGGTGTGGGTGTGGGTATGGACGGGTGGCGGATGGGCGTGGACTAGTCATCGCAGCGGCTCCTATCTGTCTCCTTATAGGCTGCTATCTGTCAGTGTGCTTCGGGATAGCTTAGCGTATCCGGGTTTGAAGCAGGTGGTGAGCTTGGGAGTTCGCTCCGGCTTTGCGGAGTTCGGTTTCCTGCGCCAGTGATGCGGTACTAAGGCGGTTCATAGAAATGCGCTGAGATTGCTAATCAGAACGACCTGAAGGGGCAATTTTAAAGCATAAGATTCAAGCCGAACAAGCCGTGCGCCGGCCCGGAGAGAGGAATGGCCGTGCGCCGTTACGTTATGGATTGGGGCTCCGCAGAAGCATGCTGGGCCCTTGAACGCGCTGCAGCGCTGAATAGGACTTGACAAATACTTGTACTGCTGCATAAGGCCACCAAATGCTTATTCAACTTCATACAAGAGCTACGAGGGGATGCTAATCTTCCCACACTCTGGCACCTTGGTCTGCCCAAACGCCTTCTTTGAATCATACGGGTGGGTCTTGGTCCAGTGCTCTGCGATCTGCTCCCTGGTTGCTATCCATACCCCCTCATGCTGAGTGATGTACTTGAGGAATCTGTTGTCAGATCAGCCAGACGCGAACTTACTCCTCAAACCACCTAGTACGCCCCGCCCGCCCGATAATGTGGGGGTGGAGGAGCACCGTCATCATCTTTGGCTCGCCTTCCTGGCCTTCCTCAAACAAGCAGTCGAATGTCTCTTTCTGCCGTCAGCTTTGTACGTGGTCGCGACGTACGAGGTGAATCCAGTAGTCTTTGGGACTGGCCCATCCCGACCCTCTCGCGTTGAAGCGTAGGTCCGAGCAATCATACGAGAAGGGGATCATAAGGAGGCCGCCGTTCTGAGCGGGTGACGGGACCCAGTATGGGATGTCGTCCGAGCATGAGTCGGAGGAGTAGAGGAGGGGTAACGAGCGCTCCTTGTGGGCGGTAGAGTAGAGCTTGACCGTCATGTTGGATCGTCTGTCCGTGAACCAGCCTGTAATCAGCACGGACTGTCGCCTTACGCACCCTTTGGTAACGACTTGTCCCCCGTCAACTCTTGCAGCTTGTCGATACTGGTGTTAATGAGTTTATCCTCCTCGGCGGGCGGCGTGTCGAAGTGGTTGCGGTACAGATGCCCTCCGAGCGAGATCTCGGCGCCTGATTCTTGTATAGGCTTGATCCAGTACGGTGACTTTTCGAGCGCGCGTGTATCTGCCTATCAGCGGGGCTCCGGCTAGGTGAGCGTCTACTCACAGACATTCCAGGTAACGGGGATGTTGTACCTAGAGTCAGCACTGTCTGACCCTCGACCTACTTTTTGAAGGTATTGAGCAGCCTTGGTACCCCCTCCTTGCCGCCAAACTCGTACATGTTCTCAGACGCCTCCATCCGCCTCGGCTGCGGCTTGTTCTTCGGGATCTCGAGGAAATCACTGCAGGACAGCTCGTCGCCTTCCATCACATTTGCTTCCTGTCGTCAGCCTGGACCTCCAGAGTACTCACAGCTCCAGTATTGAACTGCACGATGAACGAGACGCAGATCTTGGCTCCGCCAGGCCACTGGGGGTTGATCATGTCGTACCCATAGCCAATGAACTCGCGCTCGAGCCAGGACTCGCTGTACTTGTCGTTTGTCATAGTGGTATGGGTCGAAGGCTATGAGCTGGGTGTATGTGCAAGACAGGCAAGGTGCAAAGGCTCACTATCGCGGACAGCACCCTCCACTTCTCGGCCAGCTATCTGTGTCGGACGAGACCGAGCCGGTCGGCTTTCGTTCCATCGGCACCAGCGCGCATCGGCTGAAGTTCCCGAACGGCGCCTTATCCACCGGCCACCCGGCGCCCATATGATGGGCGGTCGCAGACACGAGCTGTAGTCCACCAGCTCCCTGTACACGGTTCCTCCTCCATCCATCATCATGTCCAGCGCAGACGAGCCCGTATACATCCCTCCTCGCGACTTTGTAGGCTACGGTGTTGAGCCGCCCTCGACGCCATGGCCCAATGGAGCCAAAATCGCCGTCACTTTTGTGCTAAACTATGAAGAGTGAGTCTCACCCCTTCCTAGCTGACCTCTAGAGGAGCAGAGGCTACACCCTGGAACGGGGACGAGCACTCTTGCGACAACCTGCACGAGCTGCACTATGAGCGTCCACCCACCACCAACGGCCAGCGGGATATCATGGTGGAGGAGATGTTCGAGTATGGGATCCGGCAAGGGCTGCCGCGGCTCATGAAGCAATTCAGAAAGTATGGGTGGCAGTGGACGACCTGGGCGTGTGGGCGGGCTCTCGAGGTCACGCAGCCATATGCCAAGATGATGATTGAGGATGGGCACGAGGTGAGTACTGGTCTAGCTGAGCTGATAATAGATTGCTTGCCACGGAAACCGCTGGCGGATCCACGGCGATAACGCAGACGAGGAGAGAGCGCACATCAACGCGTCGTTCGACCGCCTGCAGGCCGCAACGGGGCTGAGCAATGTGCCGACCGGCTGGTTCTTGGGAAATGGCGGGCCGAGGCAGAAATTGGTCCGGGCCCAGGTAAGTCATTGCAGGGATCAGGCTGACAACAGGTTCACAAAGCGCGAGGAGTTCCCCTGCTATACTGCTCCGACACATACGCCAGCGACACGCCATTCTGGATCCCGGACCCGCTCGCGGAGCTGTACGGCGAGAAGGACGAGGGGATGCTCATGATCCCTTATTCCCTCTGCACCAATGACCATCGATGTGAGTAGCTGCTCGGTCTAGCTGACAAGTAGTCTTTGTTGCCGGTGGCGCTGGTGTATCCGCCCCGCAAGACTTCTTTGAGCTGCTCCAAGGAGAGTTTGACCAGCTGTACGAGGAGGGAGCGAATGGCGCGCCAAAGATGATGTGAGTACATGTACGCCTCAAAGCTGATGCCAAGGACCATCGCTATCCACAATCGCTTCATCTGCAAGCCCGGACGCTTCATGGCGCTCAAGCGGTTCATGGCGTACATTGCAGAAAAGCCGGATGTGTGGGTGTGTACGAGGCAGGAGATCGCCAAGTTCTGGAGGGAGAATCACCCGTATGACAAAGTCGGGCCCACGCACAAGCTGCACAATCTGGACGATATTGAGTAGGCAACTAGCAATGATGTATACATACGGTCAACACTCTCCGCTGCAGCTCCAGCTTCCTCATCGAGCCAGCCTTGACCTGTGCGTGACAGCGCCGCGGACCTCCGCTGGCCGCGGCCTATGCGCGATGACCGAGGAGGTTCTGCCGAAACCAACCTCCGGCCGTAACGCGAGGCGTGTTCTCTTTACCTTTGCCTCTCATCTGATGTCCGCAACCATGTCACACTCGCTACCCTCTGCAGCTCTCCCCCTCGTACCAGGCGCCATCGTGGCGTCTGTCGGACTGTTCGGCAGCATCATCTTGCAAGTCGCTGGTCCCATCCCGCTCGCGCTCGAGAAATTAGGCGAGACCGGCTTCAACCCCGCGACGCGCGTCCGCATCTTTGCCCTCTGCTTCAACCGTGCCGCTGTAAGCACATGCTTCTGAGAGGTAGGTCTAGCTGATTTGCAGCCCATCATGATTGTGACTGGCTTCCTCGGCGCCTCACTCGCTCTCTTCCCCACCTTTGCCTACCCCAACCCAATCTCCAAACCCTACCTCCGCACCGCCGCAGTCGCCTTTCTGTCCATCACCCCTTACACCCTGATGTCGCTCCTCGATATCAACAAGGAGCTCCTCGCCTTGAATCGCGCCGTTTCCGTCGGCAAAGCGGGCGATTTGAGCTTGCCAACGGCCGATGGGAAGCGGGCGGTTGAGCTCATGCATACCTGGTCATTCTGGGCGGGCTGGCGGACGGCATTCTTTGCAGTGGGTTGGGTCGGTATGGTCATGGGGCTCGGCAAGGAACTGAGAGTGATATAAAGAGGATGCAGCTCGAGGGTGTAGTCAGGAAGGGGGGTTTGAGGGGATTTCCAATATGTCGATCGGGGTGCATATCTGATAAGAAGCTGCCCTGTATTCCTTCCACAGCCGCAAACTTGGACGAGCGAGCTATCGGGCGGACGTCATCTTGCGCTATACGTCTGGTGGCTCTAGTGCTGCAGGTTGTCACCCTCTTTACAGCCACACTATACCCGTCTCTCACCTCCGCCGTGGCGTCGTACATTTTTCCGAGCTTTCGGGCCGTCGGCCTTAATTACAGCAATATAGTGATCGCCTTGGCGACTCGAGTTGTGCGAGAGCTGATGCAAGCAAGACCGAAGCCTCTTCAGCTCGCCCCTATGTGCCAGTACGAGGTATCGTGAACGAGTACGACTGGCAGCTGCCTCTCAGCTGCTGTGCCTAGCTGTCTAGCCGCTCATGCCGATGGGGTTCGGAAGATTTGAGATCTGCCCTTTGTCTTGGTCAGGACCATGCCGTAAAAGATCATTCCTCGGTCATGCGGCCGCCTCACGGCCAGACTGCATCAGGCGACGTCCTCGACGTAGATCGACGCAGAGTGATTATCCTCTGCCATCAATCTTTCTCCTAGTCTTCGCTCTATACCGCTGGTAGAGGGAAAGAGCTAGACATTTAGAGCCGAGCCGGGCTCATTCGCCAAGTACCGTTAGCCCCGCCTTTGGCCCAAGCGCGGCGGACCACCCTCCTTCTTCCCGACTTCTTCCTCGCCGTATTTGAAAGTTTCATCGCTGCTTTTCCTTTGTCTCTACTGCACCACTGCACAGAGGATCTCGACCGCCACGACTTTGCTATTCCACCGAGGGCACCGCATCGACCGCAAGATTGCTCCGCGCGGTCTCGGCTTGACCGGCTTCGGCCTCGGCGACCCCCTTTCGAAACGCCCACACACACACACGGTCCACGCGGTGATCCCGTTCCTTTGTGTTGGGATCTCCTTTTGGGCGGCTTCGCAAGAACAAAGTTAGATCCAGCGGCGGTACCTTTGTCAGGATCGGCCATCCACCCATCTGAGCGCCCGATCAGCCAGATCTGCTATTAATCCCTCATCAGCTCCAGAAGCAATCTTATCCCTTCACCTCTCACATCACTCGTCATGCCGCATTCCCGCCTCAACTCCTCCCGAGCCGAAGTCGGAGACTCGATAGGCATGTCGGCCATATTCATTCTCAGAGGTGACCAGGAGGTGAGTCTTTCTGGCTATCCTCGTATTGAGGGTTGAGCTGACAAATCAATAGGGGCACTATCTATACGTTTCGGACTCCATGGCGGATATCTTGGGATGGAACCCAGCGGAGCTGTTGGGAACGACCTGCTATAAAGTATTCCACCCAGAGGAGATACCTGTTCTTCTAGAGGTGCACCGGTGAGCTCGGCCCCTTGTATCATGTGACTAGGCGCTGATGTACAGGCGAGCCTTGACATTTGAAGAAACGGCTTGTGTAGCGTATATGCGCGTCTTGCACAAGAATGGAAATTACATCAACTGCGCGGTATCATAGTAAGTTGCACGTTGGTTCATAGCTGACGCCAAGCTCTACAGTATACGACAAGACTGTTGGCACCATCACGCGCGCCGAAAATGGGCCTTTGACCATCAGTGAGTCTGATGCATCTCCCAAGGCCTTGGCTGACATCTCAGAACAAGCCCTTACAGCAAGAGAGGTGTTTGAGATCCACCCCACGGAGGATGGCAAGGGTACTTTCCGAGTAGGTCTACCTTGTCGAGCTAGAGATATCGCTGACTTTGCAGACCTGGCCTCGCTCCCGCCCCTCCTCCTCCCGCTCTCCTTCACCCTCATCCTACCAGCTTCCCCCCATCGACCTCTCCCAGCCCTGGCAAAAACTGCCAGATCCGCAGCCTCGGACCGCGTTCCTCATTGACCGGTTTACCGACACGTCCAGGGTCATGTTTGTGACGAACGATATCATCCTACATACCAACAGGGTAAGTCTTTCACTCTCCGCTGAATTTTGACTGACGTGATAGTTGAAGGACCAGTCCTTCTACTCTATCGTGAAGCCGTCGGATAGACCGCTCGTCAGGGAATATATCGACAAGGCGAAATCATGGAGTCCGGTAGTGCACGATGCGAGGAGGTCTGGGGGACATGGTTATGCCGAGTTTCACGTCCTGAGAGTGCGTGATAGCTGCTTCTCCAGTGAAGCTTGTCGGACTGACATATTAGATACCAGACCTGCCGCCCCAAGGGGAAGTCTACCCACAAGGCACAGACGAGTCGGAGCGGCATATGCCGGGCCAAGGGTTCATCCTGGTAGAAGGCATCTTCTGGGCAGGATCAGACGGCGTGATCTGTATCATTGAGCGGATAGACAAGACAAAGCAGGACAACAGGGGAGATTATTGGAAATGACATCGGGTGTGATGTATGGCGTTATAATCAAAATGGCAAGTAGGCGATAACGAGGTAGGAAGTGTCCAGATCGGAGAACGATATCAATGTATATGAACGCATGGATCTATATCTCATCCCTGACCCCTCTAGCATCGCTTGGTCATCCACGAGAGCCAATCCGCCAGAACCCTCTGCCGCTTGGCATCGTCCGCAGCGTCTATACCGACCTGTCAAGTCAGCCCCGGATCAAGATGGACATCGGTAGATACTCACCTTGGTCATTACTGCTCAGGCTTAGCTGTCAATTCTCACCCAGGAAACGAGGCACGTACCGTGTTCATACCCCTCGTAGATCTCGATCTCTTTATCCTCATGGGGGAGCATCCCAAACAGCTTGAGTGTTCCCAGATGAGACGTAGCCCTATCGCTGGAACCGTGTATGATCTTGATAGCTGGCGAGTCAGCCAAGCCCTTGTGATCCACACTGCAGTACTCACGAGCGTCAATCTCTTTGGCTCGGGCCATCAACTCGTCCATTCCCTCGAGGCACGATAAGCCGGTCGCTACTCTCAGTAGACCATGATAGCAGATCGCTGGGATCTCAGCTGAGCGTCCTGGGAAGAAGAGCGTAACGCAACTTACGGTCGGCAAAGAAGTCTTCCTCGACTCTGGGATCATCCGATACTTGGCCTGTCGTGTAAGCTATATGTCCTTCTCTCCACCCACGATTCAGAACATTGGAGCTCACCTCGGACAGCAGAAGCGAGCGGAAGAGACCCGGCAACATACTTGAGACCCCTGCCGATGTACTCGGTGACCTTGTACGGGCGAGAACTGCTGGACACTGAGGGGCATTAGCTGTGAACCCGAGATGCCCAGAAAGAGTGTGCGTACCCTGAACCATCGGACACAGAACAAAAGCACCCGCAACTTGTACTCGAGCCTTCTCGTCCGCTTTTCGCCGTTCAGCATCCGCATAGCCCTGTCCCTGGCCAAGAGGTGGAGGTGTCTCGTCCGCTCGTCCGGCATCTTCAGCGAGAAGGGTGGCGGATGAGCTAGGTGGATACTTCAGTAAGTAGTACAGCCTGCCATGGTCAGTATGGCCGAGAGGTGCTGAAGTCCGTCAGACGTACACTGTCCAGCCACCCATAGAGCTGGAGAGTCAGCATGATTCTCTTATCTGATTTGGACAGAGATGACATACGCTCCGCAAGTGAACACTTTCCTCTGTTCCCGGCCATGTGCTAGATCGTTCCGGACGACATCGGTGAGGACGACGTGTAGAGCCGCAGGCAGCAAGAGGAGTGAGGGTAGATAAGAGTGCATTCTACACTTATCAGCTGAATTTCCCACGGGAGCAAGATAGCAGCGGTGCGACCTACCCTGTAGATCTCCCATACTGTCTTGTAAGCTCTATTCACGTGACCGCGCTGATCAACTCACAGATGGCAGATCAGGAATGATCACTCTGAACCCCGCTTTGAGGAAGTATTGCACGTGTGGAGCGTACCTCAGCCCATAGTCACTCAATCCTGCGACTCAGCTCTCCCCTTGCCGACTTCCATAGCTACTCACCGTGGACCAAAATCACATCCTTCCCCCTTCCATCGCCACCATGCGTCCACCCTCCCTCCGGCTCCCCTTTGGCCTCCCAGACGCTATAACACACCCATCTTCCGCCCCTCTCATTCCCGCTGATGATCTCTTCCTCGGTCAGCTGGACATCCTCCGAGTGGATGATCTCGGTGCTATCGTATGCTTCTTGCCAGGTGGGGAAGGACGAGTAAGGGCGGAGGAAGGCGCGACGGTAGGTATGGGTGCAGCCGGGGTTGTCGAGTAGGGTACGGTGTGATGGGTGGGCCCGGTGTGTGTATCGGCCGTAGGCTGGGGATTAGCCTTTGGACAGCGAGTTGAATTTGACTCCTAGTCTCTGAAGGCTTGGCCTCTGTCCACAGGATAAACAGACAGTTTCTTGCTTCAGGCAGCAAAGGACAGGTCGACACAGAGGACTCACTTGGGTCGGGCACCTTGTACAGGCCAGTGGAAGCGAGGTACGGCTCCACGAGCTCCCTTTGCCGTCAGTATGTGAGTATGGCCGTCAGACTACTCACCATAAGGGGTTCTGTCGCGGCATCTTGACTGTATGGCGAGCTGTAAGGTATAGACCGCAGAGTTACAGCTGAAGTTGAGATGGTTGATATCCGTGCGTCGCTGCAAGCTATTACGTCACTCGCGTTGTACCCTGAAGTAAGCAAGCGGCAGTCGACCTTCGCAGGCGTTCCCGAAAGCGCAGAGCCTCCAAATTGTTCATACCAGCTAAACTGAACACATACAGCTATAGCTACAGCTTATACGGCAGCTCCTAGACAGCAGACAAAAACAAGCCTTCCGCTCAAGAGCTACCACCAAAGCCAAGCTCCACCGCCAGCCCCGACCCCTTTGTCCTGGTCACCTGACCCGTGACTACCGGCACCTATCACCGGCACTTCTCGACCACCTCCACCTCCTCTCCCTCTCCATCCCATCACTCATCATGCCGCTCCCAGACATCACCAAAACCTTCAACCCATACTTTCACCTGACCCACGAGCATCTCGGGCGGATCGTTTCTCAATTCCGCACCGAATTCGAGGACGGTCTTACCCACTATGGCAAAGACACCGCCATGGTCCCGTCGTTCGTGACGGGTGTGCCTGACGGGTCCGAGAAGGGCACCTTCCTCGCCCTTGACCTCGGAGGAACGAATCTGCGGGTGTGCGAAGTCACGCTTCAGGGCGGGCACAAATTCGACATCAAGCAGCAAAAGTACAAGGTGTCGGACGAGCTCAAGAAGGGAGCCGCAAGAGTGCTGTTTGATTATATCGCGGAATCGGTGGACGCGTTCTTGACGGATATCGGGAGTGGGATTGCGAACGAGCACGAGCCGATGCATCTTGGGTTTACGTTCAGGTGAGTTGCGCTTGGGCCGAGAGCCGACCCAAAGCTGACGGGCAGTTTCCCGGTTGAACAGACAGCTATTGATGCTGGGAAGGTTTTGACTTGGACGAAGGGGTTCGCGGCGACTGGCGCAATAGGCAACGACGTCGTCAAGCTGCTCCAGGACTCGCTGGACCGCAAGCACATCCACGTCAAGTGCAGTGCTCTCGTCAACGATGTGAGTATCCTCTTGATCTCACGGGCGAAGCTAATATCTAGACTGTCGGTACTCTTCTCTCCCGGTCATATCAGAGCGGCCCGGCCCTTATCGGCGCCATCTTCGGGACAGGAACGAACGGCGCGTACATCGACCGTACCCGGACCATCCAAAAATTGGGCGAGGAGAAAATTGCGGGCGCAGAGGCATTGGGAGATCATGCCGGAAAGTTTATGGTCGTCAACACGGAATGGGGAGCGATGGACAATGGTGTAGGTCTTTTGGGTCGCACGTCGACTAGGCTGACGGCATAGCGCAAAGTCCTGCCTATTTCCATCTTTGACAACAAGCTCGACCGAGAATCTATCAACCCGTAAGTCTTAAGCTAAAGCTGCGCTGACGTCCAGCCGGAAACAAGCTTTCGAAAAGCTCGTTTCAGGCATGTACCTCGGCGAAATCTCGCGCAACATCCTGCTTCACCTCATCGACTCTTCCCTCCTCTTCAACGGTCACTCCACCACAGTCCTCAACACGCACTACGGCTACGACGCCGCATTTGTTTCTGGTATCGAAGGCGCCGAGAGCACGGATGCCGCGCGTAAGATCATCATTCAAGAGCTGGGCATCGCCAAGGAGCACGTCAGTGATGGGTGTGTCGAGCTGGTGCAGTGGGCATGCCGGGTAGTGGCGGACCGTGCGTGTGCACTCGCGGCGTGCGCGATCGTCGCGGTCATATTGCATACGGGAAACGACAAGGTGCCAGAGGGAGAAAAGGACACTGGTGTGGATGTAGGATTGGACGGAAGGTAGGCTTCGCCGCTGGGTCCCTGGAACAAAGCTGATCGAGCAGTGTGTGCGAGTTCTTGCCTCACTTTGATGACCGAGTACGAAAGACGCTCAAGGTCTTACTCGGGGAGGAGGGGGAGAAGCGCGTTCGTATGGGTCTGGCAAAGGACGGGTCAGGTGTTGGTGGTGAGTCCTAGCCTACCAATGCGAGGATTCCGCTGAGCCTGTAGCTGCACTCTGCGCGCTGCAAGCAAAGAAGGCGATCGAAGCCAGCCGGGTCAAGGGCGCCAAAGCGGCCCCGGGCAAATCACCAACGACTGGTCAGACCGGCTCGCACCCTACATCTCATCCTGCTCCTCCCAAGTAGGGCGCGCGGTGGGGTTTGGCATGTATACGATCGAAAACAAGCAAAACGTCATGCATGACCTATATACACCCGCCTGCGGCTCTCTTGCTGACCGCCTCACTGACCCACCCTCACGCCTCCGCCCCCGCCTCGTTCTCGATCTCGGGGAACCAGCGCTTGGCTGCGTCGAGCGAGTTGTCGGGTGCGACGTTGAAGAGGAGCTTGGAAGAGGGCGACGCAGTGTGGACGGTATTGACGAGCCGCTCAAACAGCGGGGTGAAGGCGGGAGTGCTTCGTAGACCGAAGCCACTGATACTATCAGCACTGGCCAGGCCTGTGTGTAGTACAGTACTCACATGCAGACTCCGTCAAACTTGTTCTCCTTCAACTTGGCCTCGAGCGGCTCCATCCCCGCCCCCGCCTCCACGGACATTAATTCATACTTCAGCCCAGCGGCCACGAAGCGCGCTTCATCCTTGGCGATCGCCGTCTGGATCATCCCGGCCATGCCTGCGGCCTTTTCGGGTCCGACCATGCTGGCCAGCTCTTTCATGGCGATGCCGATGAGGAGGAAGGAGAGGGGCATGATGGTAGATTATGCGTGGTGTGGTGGGTTGGATATGTTGATTCTAGGCTGTAGTTCGTATACGGGATGACGGGCTGCTTGTGGATGGATAGCATCTCTGAGACGGGAAGGGTGAGATTTATATAGTGCGCGTGGTGGTATGTAGAGGAAAGATACACACGAGATCCCCGAGGACCACATGACCAAGCTCAAGCGCCACAATGAGGACCTCTGCGACTTTCCGTCGGAACGGGATGCTATCTTTGTCAGTTCCCTCGGTGGCCGAGGCCTGTGTATATGGTCATCCCGCCTATACCTTGCACGCGTCACACTCTATACGGCGTGTTATCAGTCGTCTGAGGCTCGGCCATGTAGATCACGCGTCATGCGCAAAGGCCTATCCTACATCCGTGTCGCTGATCAAGCTTCCAGCTCACGCGCCTCGTCAGTCTCCCGGAAACTGCTTGGTCGCGTCGAGGGAACCATCCGGCGCGGTGTTGAAGACCAGCTTGGACGAGGGGGCCGCGGTGTGCATGGCGTTGACGAGCCGCTCGAAGAGTGGGGTGAAGTCTTTGGTGCCTCGGACCCGAACCGCTTTATGACCGCCTACTTCCAAGCCAGGCCGCACTGACATCTTCTGACATCTCCGAAATCTTACACAGGTTGGCGCACAGTAAAGCTCACTACTCAGGTACAGATCCCATCATACTTCCCCTGTTTCAGCTTCTCTTGCACTGCCCCATCTCCTCGCCGTCCCATACGTCATGAACTGGTACTGGTAACCCAAGTCCTCGAATCGCTTGCCATCCTTGGCGATCGCACCACAGAACAACTTCTCCATCTCTGGCGCCTTCTCGGGCCCGAAGACGGTGGCGAGCTCTTTCCAGGCGATACCGATCAGGAGAAAGGAGAGGGGCCTTCTTGTGGTGGGTTGTGTGTGGTGGTGGTTACGTGAAAGGTAGGCGGTAGAGGGAAGAGTCGGGTTATTGGTGAATCTGGAATCTGGATCATCTGGGATTCTGGGGATAGGTGGTAGAGATCTATATACTGCGTGGGGTGGCTGAGAAGGCAAAGACACACGCAAAATGCCCGAGGACCGAATAGCTATGCGCCACTGAGGCTGCAGTGAGAACCACTTCGACTGTCAAGTTTCCGGCACCGGAAATTGCCGGAAGGAGGATAAAGATGCATGGGGCACCATGGGACTATCTCTGCTGCCTCTATTCAACCTCCAACTCGAGCAGCAAAGCACTCTCAGAGATCGCCATAGCTCGGTTCGCTGGATCGTGCTCCAACAGCATCACAGCCTGGACTCGCCTGGTCAAAGTTGGGAGATACACCGATGCCCTCCCCCGCCACCTCGGCCGCTTCCAGTGCGTTTCAGTCTTCGAACCTGTTGGGCATACCTCGAGATGAGGTCGTGCAGGATGGTCAGGAAGCGCCTAGAAAGCGCCAGCGCTGTGCCAACGCTTGTGCGAGGTGCAAAAGCAAGAAGTTGAAATGCGTTATGCCCGCCGAGGACGCAACGTGAGTTTGATGAAGTCTGCGTTGGCGCCGGCCGGTGCTCAAGCTCTGCTATATCCTCACCATCCCGCACATTGTGCTGATACTGACTGACAGGGTGTGCATAGCTTGTGGAAAGGCGGGAGATACATGTGTCATTGAGGCGGTCTCGAAGGACTCAGCCCAGTCAGTCATTAATCAGCTCTGAGCACTTTTCCAAGAGTGGTCGCTGATGCTGCAGAACGGTGGAAGCGCTCGAAGCGGAGGTCGCACGACTACAGCGCGCTCTGAATGAGCGAGTACGAGACCCCTCGGCGAGCATCTCCGGGCAAGGTCGACCAAGCCAATCACCCGAGGTGTCCAGGGATGTATTTGCTCGACCACGGGCAGATTCTTCCTCGGTCATGTCGAGGATCATCAAGGGGTCGGCCCCGAGTCTTGCCAGACTATCTCGTGCTGACTAACAGTACCGTCAAGCCCCCTCGAGCCGGTCCCTCCCGCCCGACCGATCTCGCTTCAATCATCCAGCCTCAATCCCCTGATCCTTCCACTATCAACGAAACTCCTCCTCTTCCCCCTCTACAAGTCGCCGACGAACTCCTGGACGCCTTCTACCGCCACACCCAGTCTCGGTACCCCTACGTCGACTGGATCAGGCTGCGGGAATGGCACGCTGAGCGGGACCTCGTGTGCACCTCCCCTGGACACGGTCAGGGGGACCGCGAAGTGGGCAGCTTCTTCATCTGGATGACCTATGCCATCGGCGCCCAGCTCGTCACTCGTCACTCGATTGAAACACCGGCGTCCTACTTTCAGCAAGCGTGCAAGCATATGGACGCCGCGCTGGCGCTTTCCAATCTCACATCGGTCCGCGCTCTGCTTTTCGTCCTCTTCTACGCGTTTCGGTCGCAATCCGGTCCCCCGCTCTACCTCTTTAGCGGACACGTCATGCGGCTCTGCCTTGAGTTCAATCTCCACCGCAGGGCGACGCCAGGCACGGACCCGCTTATGGCGGAGACGCGGAAACGGATCTTTTGGTCGGCGTACTGTCTGGACCGCCTGATTGGTCTGGCATCGGGTCGTCCATTCTGCGTATCAGACCATGATATCGACATCGAGCTCCCGGTGGACATCGACGTCGACAATACGGATCCTCACGCCATCCTGCAATTGCAGCAGGGCGCTCCCTCCCCGTACGGCGGACGAGAGACCAACATGACCTCGGCCATCCACATCATCCGTCATTATCAATACCGGTCCAAGGCGCATACCACTCTGTATGCGCGCAACGTCCTGCCTCCCACTCAGCAGGTCGTCACTGACCTGTTGTCCGAGCTCGAGGAATGGCGCCGGCAAATACCGAACGATACGACCAGCGCTTCTCAAAGCCAACTCAAGTTCCAGATGATGTACTTCCAGGCGGTGCTGCTCACGCTGCGGCCGGCTGTGGTGCACGCTGGACCAAGAGATCCAGTCTTGCTTCTTTGCGCATCTGTAGCTGCCGAGTCTTGCGAGGTGAGTCAGCGTTTGACATAGCTGATGCTCAGCTCAGTCGCAAGGTCCACCAAGGCATGACAACGAGGTACACCATTGTCAGCCTGTACCACAACTTTGTCGGCGGTGTTTCCCTACTGCACTGGTGAGTCTAGTACTTTTGGAGCTGACTCCAGCCTGGCCATGTCACCCCATATCATCTCCTCTCGCGTATCGTCACGTGCTATACGAGCTTGCTCTTCCACCTTGGCGGTATATGCTGAGCTCTTCCCCGCGGCTGTACCCTTCCGGGACCTCTTTGAACACATCACCGATGAGGTCCTCGGTGGCCTCTCCGAGACATCTAGCGGTATCGCTAAGTCCACCATGGACATCACCGAGCAGATTCTCGTCGGCAACTATGATCACCTTGCTCCGTGAGTACGAATCTAGGCGAGGCTGATTGTAGACTGTACGAAACGTTGAACTCCACATCCACCACTACTCAAGGCACAGATACGGTACAAATCAACTTGGTAAGTGTCCTTAAGGTCGTAGCTGACATCAGCCATGGCTGTCAAACGGGATGGGAATGGGCATGGGGAACAATACCGGCATGTCCAGCAGTCTCCTCACCTCCTCCATCCACCCGTACATCCCGCCTCAACCTTTCGTCCCCGAGCCTGCGTTCGAATGGGCCACATTGCAGAGTCTGAACGATATGGCGCAGTTCCTGGACTACTCGGCGGGCGATGTGCAGGGGCAGGGATGGCACGGTCAGAATTCATAGCTATGATCATTTGCTATTGTTGAAATTGGCAAACGCCGCTCCTCCTGCTGCTTGATCGATAGCCACCTCCTCCTGCAATCCCATGACCGAGAAGAAACCCTTGGGATCCAGCCCCATCGCCTCAGCATCGTCCTTGCCCGTCTCCATGAGGTACTTGTATGCGCGCCGGATAGTGTGTAGGACCGACTTGCTAGCAGCTCCGGGGTAAATGGCGAGCTTGACACCCCACGAGCCGAGGACCTCTGGAGGGAACCAGGGGGTCTTGCCGAGAGACACACAGTTGACCATGAGCTAAAGTCAGCCAAGTCTCTGTCAGACTCACCGGCATCGGCGCCAACACCTTGACCGCGTTTTTGATTTGCTCCTCTGTCTCTATAGCCTCTAGGAAGCCCATGTCGGCGCCGCACTCCCTAGCGGCAACGAGCTGACATCAGCCATGTCAAGATTGTGCTCACCCTTTCTAGCGCAGCGTTATACCCCTCCACAGCGAGCGCGTCAGTCCGGGCGATAATGACAATGTCGCTCCCGCCGTAGATGGCTTTCCGACCAATCACACACGCTCGGATACGTGCTCTCCATGTCCTGATATCAGCTAGACCTTCCGAATACTCACTCCATGTCAACCAGCTGCTTCCCCGCAAGATGGCCACACCGCTTGTTGGTGACCTGGTCCTCAATGTGGAAACCTGCGATCCCACTTTGATGGTACACCTGGACCATACGAGCGATATTGGGAGGCGAGCCGAAGCCAGTGTCGGCGTCGGCAATGAGGGGGATGCGAGGGTCGATGTTGGCGATCATCTGCCCGTTCTGGGCAAAGTCGTTCAACGAGGCAAAGGCAAGGTCGGCCTTGCCGAGACGGGCCGCGGTCGTCATGGCTCCAGATTGGTACTGACATCAGCTGAGCCATGGCCATACTCACCATGACCTTGAAGCCAGACTCTATAGCGACGCGAGCACAGATCCCATCATATACCCCCGGCGCCTGGACGCAGACGCCTTCCTGGGAGATGAGCTGCCTAAGGCGCGTTGCGGGCGCGATGTAGGTCTCGTCAGCGGGGAGGGTTGTGTTTGTGATGGACATGATGAGGTCGAAGTGAGTGGGACATGCTGCATGATGTACGATGTATATAGGCGAACGGCAGTGGGGTTGCGCGCATTTCGGGATTCGTTGCCGCATCTGCCCGCTTATCTCTTGACTTCACCATATTCTTTCATGGTCGTGATGGTTCTTCTACTCTCACATCATCATGGTGTCCGCTCAAGACGCACAGAAGGCCGCTGCGAAGCTAGACTTTGCGATCCCCGCTGGACACGAGAATGACTATATTGAGCTGCTCAAGAAGACGGATGATGCCTGTCGAGCCGTTCTTGCTATTGAAGGTGGGTTGACCCTAGATAAGGCTGATATAGACTACAAGCCCAAGCCCTACCTCGACAAGTTCCCGCGAGGGGATGTCCACCTGCCTCAAGAAAACCCGCTCAAGGCATGGGCGTGGAGGTGCAACGCAGGCGGTGCAGAGGGTATCCTCAGCGGAAAGACTGTGGTCCTGAAGGATACGGTCTGCATGGCTGGCGTTCCTCTGCTCTTTGGGACTAACGCCTTTGAGAACTACACACGTACGTCTAGCCAAGACCCAGCTGATAGCAGCCGATATGGATGCTACCGTCGTTACTCGTATCCTCGAGAATGGAGGACGTATCATCGGCAAGGCCGCATGCGAGGTGAGCTATACTTCAACGCAGCTTATGTAGAACTTCTCCCACGGCGCTTCCTCCTCGTCATCCCCCTACGGCCCCGTAGAGAATCCCTACGCAACCGGGTTCTCCTGTGGTGGCTCAAGCTCGGGCTGCGGTGGTCTCATCGGCTCGGGCGCGGCGGACATGGGGATCGGAGGGGATCAGGGTGGATCTATCCGCATTGTAAGTGCAGGTAAGACGTAGCTGATATCAGCCTGCAAGTCTCTGCGGGATCGTCGGTCTGAAGCCCACCTTCGGTCTCGTGCCGTACACCGGTGTCCTCTCCTCAGAAGCAGCATCGGATCACGCTGGACCCATGGCCCGAACAGTCCTTGACACGGCTGCTCTGCTCGAAGCTATCGCTGGCTATGACGGTCTGGACGATCGTCAGCTTGGCGCACCGTCGGATGCCAAGTACGTCGACAAGCTCCTGGCCGGTCGGGCTGGCGGTATCAAGGGGATGAAGATTGGCGTTTTGCTCGAGGCGATGGAGCTCGAAGCGCTCGCACCCAGCGTCAAGAAGGTCTTCCTCCTTGCGGTCGAGCGGCTCAAAGACCTCGGCGCTGAGGTCCAAGACGTGTCTATCCCTTTGTGAGTCTGCGATAGGCAGTGCTGATTCAGACATAAAGTCGCCCCTTCTCTCCTCCACGTCGTCAATAAGTTTGGCTCGGGCGGCACCAGGCAAGGACGCCAGGTCGGCCGCCGCGGCGTCTACGTCAACGACTACTGGAACCAGCTCCTACCGTGGAACCAAGACAAGTACGACAAGGCAAAGTTCTTTGTGTCGGGGACCGCCATGAGCAGGTGAGTTGCCAACCGACCTAGCTAATATCAGCGAGTATGGCTGGGCCAACTACCCGACCGCTTACGGACGCGCCATGAACATCGCCAGGCAGCTCAGCGACGACTTTGACAAGCAGCTCGCTAGCTTCGATGCTATCATCATGCCTACCGTCCCGCAGCCGGCTCGTCGTCACATCCGGCCCGACTCCACCCCGTTGGAATGGGCAAAGCATGCCCGTGAGTTTGGAGTCGAGATAGAGCTGACCTCAGCCGGAATCACCGCATATACCGGAGCCACTAATCTCACCGGCCATCCTGCGCTGTCCATCCCTATCGGCAAAGTCCCCTGTATGGAGGAGGACATTCAGAGCGTAAGCGATAGAGAAATCAGGCTGCCGGTGGGGATGATGCTGGTGGGGAAGCTTTGGGATGAGGCTACGTTGTTGAAGATTGGGGATGCTCTTGAGAGTAGCGGAGACTGGCAGACAGTCACGGTCTGAATTTAGATGCAAGTCTGCACCCGTACGGTACAGATTGTGTTGACTTCAAGGACACTACGAGTGGAGGCTCATCCTCATTGCCCTCGCCTTCGAGGACCCACTCAGTACTGCCAAAGGTAGCCAGCCTCCTGGCTATTTGGGACGGCTGCGATCGACAGCCTATTAGCGGCTCAAAATAATTGACAGGTCCCAATATTGAGCTGCAGCGTGAAGACGCCGCTGGTACATGGTGTACTGAGGATGGATGCCTTGAAAGACTTGGGCTACGATTAGCCTCCACATGAGATGCTGCGGAGCCCCATCAGCTGACGAGGTTTCAGATACGGCTATCATATATCAGGGCTGTTTCAGGGCTCGGACCGGTGGCGCCGGAACCGCTCCCCGTCTCACTCTCGCCTTTCCCTTGCCCGCGGTGCCCTCCACGGGATCATGTTCCGATGACGGAAACACTGATACGCTTATAGATATCGGGAGCCTTCCGGAGCAGTACCGAGCTCGGATGCACCCGAGAGGGGTCAGCTGACCGTCGCCTCTTCCTCGGAACTTGGCTTGGGGCCTCGGGCCCTGGGCTCTGGGCCTTGGCTTCGCTCCTTCTCCTCCTGCCTGGTCTCCACAGATATCGGACGTCCTTACCAAGTCGGATTCCGCGGTATCGTGCGGGGTTGTCTGCGACGATCACTTCAAAGTTGGCCCGAACAGCTGGCCGAACGCCAATCCAATGATTGGTACAGCATTTGGCGATAAGCACCGGCGAGTACTTATGACCTCGACCATTGTCAACGATCTCCTCATCCCCCTCTCATTCTCACCATCATGAAGATCAAATCACCCTTCGGTCAAGGTCGCTGGGGCAACTTCAAGCACGCCTTCACCTCCAAGCAGGCGTTCATCGAGTACGCAGAGGCTCCCAAGCCTGACGGAGAGAAGTCCAACAGGGTGAGTCATATTCTGTGCCATGGGACTCGGCTAAGCTTCAGTGGACCAACATCGATCTCGCGCAATCACCACCGCACGACCGTATCTGGGGCAAATATGTCTACCTCGCCTTCTGGATTGCCCACGCCGCTGGTGTCGGGAACTGGACGGCCGGTTCTGCCATCATCTCCCTCGGTCTCTACCCTCTTGACGCGTGGCTCGCCCTCGCCGCTTCGCACATCATGATTACCATTATGATTGTGAGTTGTCGAGAGTACCCAGCTAATGACAGGTCCTCAACGGTCGCGGTCCTGCTCGATACCACATCGGTTTCCCCATCATGGCCAGGTCCGTTTACGGAATGTGGGGAAGCTACTTTGCTGTCGGTATGCGCGCCGTTGTCTGCATCATCTGGAACGGTGTCAACAGTTACTAGTGAGTGAATTATAAGGGCTATGCTGACCTCAGTGGCGGACGTCTTGTCTCGGTCGCTCTTCGCTGCATCTGGCCTCAGTGGGGTCGTCTGCCGAACGGTCTCCCCGCTTCCGCCGACATCACCTCCCAGCAACTTGCAGGATGTAGGTCTATCTATGAGCTACGCTGACCCCAGTCTTCATCTTCATGTTCTTCTTCCTTATCCTGTCGTTCTTCCACTCGCGCGACCTCAAGTACCTGTACTACTTCAAGTCTATCTTCTGCGCCATCACCATGCACGCGGTGCTCATATGGTATGTCGCTCCTAAAACACCGCTGACCCCAGGTGGATGATCAACAACAAGGGCGTCTCGTTCACCTCGCTTGCTGGCTCCAAACCCCTCGACAAGCAAAGTCACATCTGGCTCGTTCTCCAGGCCTTCAACGCGGGTGTCGGTACGGCCTCGAGTCTGTCGGTCAACCAAGGCGATATGGCTAGATACGCCACCAAGCCAAACGACCAGCTCTGGGTAAGTTTCTAGCGTGACCGAGCTGATCTCAGACCACCCTCATTGGCTACCCTATCGCCTCCGCTCTACCCTGTCTGTACGGTATCCTGGTCGCCTCGGCTGCCAAGGAGCTCACCGGTACCGCGATCTGGAACATGTGGGACACCCTCGACTACATGCTGGACGCACACGCCGACAACGCTGGACACCGATTCTTCGTAAGTTTCTCAAGCTGCTCACAGTGCTTGGCTAATTCCAGGTCTTCCTCTGTGCCATCTCGATGGCCCTTGCCTACCTCGCCATCAACATCGCCAGCAACTGCTTGCCGTTCGGCTCGGACCTCTCGGCCCTCTTCCCCCGGTGGATGACCATCCGTCGCGGTCAGGTCCTCTGCACCATCCTCGGCGTCTGCATCGTCCCCTGGAAGCTCGTCAACTCGGCCAAGGCCTTCATCAGCTTTGTCTCTGGCTACGGATACTTCCTTGCCCCCATCGCGGGCTGCCTGGCGGTCGACTACTTTTACCAGAAGAAGGGTAACCTCGTCCTCAAGGATCTATGGCGCGGGGAGCCGGACGGCCGATACTACTACTGGCGCGGCTGGAACATGCGTGCCGTCGCCGTCACCGTTCTCTCCCTCCTCCCCTGTCTCCCGTCCTTCGCGGCCACGCTCGACCCCAACCGCCTCGGCATGTCTCTCGAGGCCCAGCGCCTCTTCTACATCTCCTTCACCCTCACCTACTTCCTCTCGGCCACCATGTACGCCCTCTCCTACGTCGTCTTCCCCGAGAAGAACCTTCACGTCAAGGAGCGCACTCTCAAGTGGGAGCAGTACGCCAACGAGCTCGACGCGGACGAGGCGAACGCGGCGGCCAACTTTGAGGCCGAGGCGGGCAAGTTGCCGGATGAGTTTGAGACCAAGTATGAGATGCCCGTCGAGGCGCGGGTGGTGGAGCTCCCGGGCAGGTAGTATCTTTTGGGTCCATACCTCTGTATGGAAAGCTGATTGTAGGCATTGATAATAAGATTATGCAAGTGTGATTTTGATACATGAGCACGACTACTTGAGCGTCTCCTTCCCGCCATCTAGATACGCTCCCCCAAGAACTACCGGCTTGCTCTCCCTCTTCGCGTCGGCCTCCATGTCCAGCTCCAGCTTTTCCATCATCGACGTGATGGATGCGCCCGACAGTGGTCGCGAGCGCGTGATGCCTGCCGATCCTGCGGTCTCAAACGAGTCGACGCTGTTCCGACGCGAGCTGGGGGCTGGGGATAGGATAGCGGGAAGGTTGAGGTGGAAGTTGGTGCCGGGTATTCGAAGCCCAGTGCGCGGTGTGGGGACAGGCTCGGGTATCTCCTCGACCGACGACATGTCGAAGCGGACCCCTCGGGCTGGTCGGCCAGGCTGGATAGAGGTGGCTCGCTTGATGCTGGACTGCGCTGGACGCCTGGGTGCTGCAGGTGGGCCAGCGACTGAGAGCGCTCTGGCTCGTCCGCGCGTATACTGGGTTGCACTGGGGTCTGGCATGTCCACCTTGGGTGGCTCGTCGACCAGCAGCTCGGGGCTGGCGGAGATCTGACGGTCAAAGATGTGCCCAGCGGTGACTTGGCCGTGTTGCGCTTGGGCGATCTGCGCAGACACGGGGCTGACGGAAGAGAGAGGTGTTCCGGGTGTATGTGGCGTTTTGGGTGCCGAGGTTGGAAGGGCGGACACCGGCCGGGCGGGAACGTCAACGGTGCTTGAGCGAGGTGGAGGTGATTTGAATCGGGCCGACATGGGCGATGCTACCGTACGGGCCGAGGGAGGGGGTGCCCGTGCCAGATACGCAGACGGCGCCCGTCTCCCGTCCTTCGACACCGGCAAAAGACTCTCGGGTCGCCGCTCAGCCAGGGCAGGGGGTCGGTCGCGCTTGCGGTGTGGCGGGAGAGGAAAGTGAGGTCCGAGATCCTTGGATGCCTGATCGATCGACTTGCGGTACGTCACCTTTGCGCGCGAGATACCGCTGTATGCCGAATTGTCCGAGGCGGACGAGGTAGCTCGATACAAATCGGGCTGTGGCACGTCCAGGGTCCGACCGGTCTGCTTGGGTTGTCTGGACGGCCTGGTTGGCTCACGCGGGAGGGTATGTGGGGGCCGAGGCGATCCTGCGAGGTCCGCTTGAATATCGTCGAAAGTCGAATCGGTGCTGCGCTGTCGGCGAGCGAGCGCGAGAGATGGTGGCTGAGCGCGCCTAGGCTTGGGATGGGATGCGCTGGTGCTGATGACCGGGAGAGCGGCCTTTGCGTCCTCCTCCCTCGTGAAGCGGACGGGTCCGTCCCAGCTATCGCTTTCCAGCGTCCCAGCGGGGACATTTCGACCGGGCTGACCGATCCCCGCGCCCGGCGCGAACGTTGGATACCCGCCCCTCGCCACATCCTCATCCGCCGTCATCGCTCTTGATCCTTCGACGTAGCGCGACGCCTCCCCTCCGGACGGCTTGTACTCCTCTTCTTCGTCGTCCGACTCTTCCAGGTCAATCTCAGGCGCGTTGCTCTTTGGCAGCCTCTCGCGACGGCGCTCCCCCTGCGGCTCGTTGAGATGCGTCGGGAGCCTTGGATCCAGGATCTGTCGATAGCATGGTGGCTCGAGGGTCCAGAAGAGTAGACGCTGGGCGTGGTTGAAGTAGAGAGGTGGAGGAGGTTGTTTGGGCAGTCTGCGACCGAGGTAGAGTAGGAGACAGGCCTGAAATCAGCTCGTTTCATTTGCGGCAATGGATCACTTACAGCGAGGACGTTGACGAGGCCGACGCCGAGCAGAGCGTAGCTCGGTATGAGATTGACCTCTTTGGCTCTGGGACGTCAGCCGAACTCTACAGGTTCGGGCTGCGAACACTCACTTGTTTCGAAGAATCTCGATGGAAGATCTGACCGTCAGCTTCGTTCCTTCGGGTGAGCCATAGCTAGCTTACAGTGCCTGAAGTCCTCCCAGAGCCAGTGGAGTGCTCTGCGGTCCGAGCCAACCAGCATGGTCAAACAAGAACATTTCAGGCACGCCCAGCTGAGCTGCGATACCAACGAGGAGGATGATAGCTGCTGGTTAGCACACGTCGTGTCGGTTGGTCCGGGACATACCGATGACGACGCGAGATAACACTACCCATCTGAACATCAGCACGAGAAGGTAATCGACTGAAGAGTACCTACGCGATCAGATCTGCTCTCGCCCCAGTCTCCATAACCGTGGTCTGCACCGTGGTGGCAATGTCCGCGTGCATCAACTCCACTCGGTCGTCCTCTGCGTCGCCATGATCCCGCAGGTTACGCCGAAGGTGCTGTCCGCGAGCTCGTATGTCTCCTAGCATCGGCCCCACCAGCGGCTTGATGATCCTGACAGACTCTTCCGCTCCGAGATCCGACACCGGAACGGTCACGCGCTGCAACGCATTGAAGGCGGAAGTCGTCGGTAGAGCGGCAGGCGCAGCTGGGGTAGTCGGCAGGGGCTGACGTGTGGGTGTCGGCGGGGACACCAGAGCGCCCATCACGGGTGTTGTAGTCGATACAGGGATGGTCATTGCCCCCGCGAGGCCCCATTGCGTTATCAGCGCTTGTTTGCTCGTGCTTGCCGATACTGGTGAGGCAAACGAGCTGGATTGGGTACTGAGTGAATTGATCTCACTGTCAAATCAGCACAGCGTATGCTTTCCAGCGAGAAGACTCACTCGACTAGCGACATGAACTGAGCGACGAGCGCCCAGGCCATGAAGGTAACCGCAACCAGGCGGAAGAGGTTCAAACCGAACCATATTACAGTGGGCATCTTATCTAGGTGAGGAGCATTAGTACGGGGTACGACAGCACGATGATCAGTGGACTTGAGAATATAAGCGATACTCCTCTCATCCAGGGTTTCAGGTCTATCCTTTCACCCTGTGCGACGCCAACTCCACAAAGGATACTCGCCAGGGGCTGAGCATCATACATGGTACATGCTGCAGGTTTTGTTGGAGTTTCAGTATGCGTAGTGGGGTGATGGCGGAATCATCTAGTGATCCGAGATAATGTCCTCCTTTTTGGGCCTGGAGTCAGCTCTGCTCAACAATCGAGTAACTCACTTCTTGTCCTTCAAGTCCGCCTTTTCATTCTTGATGTTGGCTCCTCGGTCCAAAATATCCTTGGCTGCTTCCTCCTCGAGAACAATACCGAGTCCCTCATCCTTGGCGAGCTCGATAACGTGTTCAAGTTCCTGCCATGTCAGCTATACCCTTCGCATAGACATGTCAACTCACGACAAAGCCGTCCTGGTCCACATCCAGCTTCTTCCCAAGTCCCTCAATCACCTCCTCTGGTGGCGCGTGCTTGATGACCCTCATCGCCCGCTGCAAGTCCGCCAGGGTGATCTGACCCTTCTCATTGCTTTCGATGACGTTCAGACTTGATCCGACCTTCTCGTCGTAGGTCTCGAGCTGGGCGTCGATCTTCTTGATCATGGACCGGACGCGCTTCGAGATACCGATGATCTTCTGGTCGGCCTCGTCAAGTCTCTCCTTGGATTCCTGATCATCAGCTCGATCCCGATGAGGTGTGGAGATCGACGGAGAGAAGTGGGAGAGGGTCGAAATTTGGAGCGGATCGTAAAGCCAGATGACGTCCACCTTGACAGCTTGAAGGCGATGGGTCCACTTACAGCTTCGGACAACAAGTTGTCTTCCAAGATAGTCCTCAGCTCATCCCTCTCCTTGACGATACTGTTCTTGGCCGTCAAAATGTTGAGCGCCTCGGCGAGCTCGCCCAGCTGCTCCTTGCTCATCCGCGCATCCGCCTCTTCCTTGACCTTCTCCTCCGACTTGGCCTTGGCCACCTCCTCTTCTGACGGTGCCGGCTCCGACGCCGCCTTGGCCGCCTTCTCAGCCTCCTCCGCCTCCTTCTTGCGCGCCTCCTCGGCCTTCTTGGCTTCGATATCGGCCTTGCGCGCCTCCTGCTCTTCCTGCTCCTGCTCGGCTTCGTCCTCGATGAGCTCTTGCTGTTGCTGCAAGACTTCGAGCTTTTGCTTGTAGGAGGCTTCCTCCGAGACACCAAGCTCGGCTTCGTTGATCTGCACATTAGCGAGATCAAAGCGAAAGACAGTGGACATACCAGGTTCTCCGGGAGACTGCTGAGGGTGGTGATCAAGCTGCTCATGATGTCATCGCCCTTTTGCTCAAAGTTGAAGGCTCGGCTGAGAATGAGAAGCACGCCGGAGATACCGTTGGTATAATGAAGCTCGATCCACTGGTCCAGCTCCTCCCTGAGCCGACCGGGAGAGACACCCTGGAACCGGATACCGCGAGACTGGCATGCTTGCTGCAGCTCCTTGGTGCTCAGACTGTCTGCGCCTTCCGAGTTGATCATCTGGAGCGTCAGCTGTATCTCAAGGGGTACGTGATCATTGCAGCTTACCATATCGTCGATACGCAATCGCTCCAATCTGCTCCGGATCTGGTGCTTCAGGAAGTTGTCTGTGCCAAAGGCGTTGATGTTGATGTATCGGCACATCGAGACGAGCTGGGGTCGCGATAAGTTGTCGAGCGTGAGGTCGTCATGGAAGAGCTTAGCGACACGAACGACGTCGGTCTGGGACGGTCTTTCTCCAGTCGACCGGACCTGATCGTCAGCTACACTCTATGCTTGACATACCTTGCGGAAGAACTGCTTGAACTCGTCGCTCTTGACGACACTCTCCGCCTTCATGCCTGATTCTCTGACTGTCTCTTGTAAGAACTTGGCCATTTCGATACGGGTACGAAGCAGCTTGCGCTGTTTCTCGGCCTGGTCATCAGCTTAGGTCCAACAACAAGCCTAAAACTTACAGCTGCAAACTCCCCCTCGAATGTGCTCGGAAGCATATTAGGGAACAGTCTAAGCGCAATGGGAAGGAGGAATTCCATGAAAGGGACCAGGATGAATACCGAGAATGGGATGAGGCGGATAAGATCGGTCGTAGTGCGCTTCAACTGAGAGTCAGCATGAACAGCCATAATGACGCACCTGTCTCCGCTCTCGCCTCGTCAAGGTGCTCCCGTTCAAGACCTTCCATGCCAGCTTGGAACTGATCTTGATCTCGGACCCCAGCAGCTTTGTCCCTGCCCAGTAGTGCGCCGCCTCCTTCTTTGCCGTCGCCCATCCCCGCTGCAGCATTGTCCCCTTTGGCTTTTCATCCTTCTTCACCACCTCCTTTTCCTGTGCTAGATCCACCACTTTTGGCGGGATCGTGCTCAACTTGGCGGGCGGGGCGGGTGGAGGGTGACCAACGGGAATGGAGGAGACAGCCATCTCGCCTGATTTTGGAAGGTCGGATTTGAGCACGGGCGGCGGGGGTGTGGTGGAGGAGTGTTGTTCGGTGGAGATGGATCGGACCTGTATTTGGCGGGAGAGAGAGAGGGGAAGGAGAGGGATAGGGGCAGATCGGTAGGCGCTAGACGCAGCGTTCAGAACGGTTGTGCTGAGCTTGCGGGATTTATAGTCCTGGTTGTACAAGGCTGAACGTCAGCTCAGCCAGAAGCAACTCAAGCTGTACTCACGGTTTATCCTCCGCATCTCTTGATGGACAGGCGAGACCATCATGGGTACTCTACGTCTCATCGTGCCTGCGAGGTGCAGCCTGGACGGGCCGGCAACGCTGGAGAGCATGGCTGGGGGGCGATGAAATTTCGAAAGTTGACGAAAGAGCGATTTTTGCCTGACCAATCTGGACTGGTTGAAGCAGGGATTTGAGAGCGAGAATAGCGACGCCTATCTGACTATGCTGTGCGAAGTGTAGAAGTGTAGAAGTGTATGTCACAAAGGAGCTGGTGAGATGAAGTACAAGAGGTCAACGCATACCTTGAATCTCTGCCTGCCGCTTGAAATACGCGGCGTTCCGACGGAGCTTGCTGAGCTCGGCCATGCGCCACGCGTCCGAAGCCGAAGCCGAGCTACCCCACTTAGAACCGTACTTGACAGAGCTGAACAGACCTACTCACCCCTCACTGACTGAACACCTCACATCGCTGGTCGAAATGTCCCTCTCAAACCCTCTCAACCTCATCCTGATCCCGCCAATCCTATACCTCCTTTACCGTCGCCTTGTCCCTTCGCTCCCGTCCACCCCTTCGGTGCTACCGAACAAGTACGACGAGAATGTATACAACTGGATGCCAGCGCGTCACCCAGATGTGCTCTGCCACAAGTCGTACACTCCGGTGGAGCTGGCAGAGCTGGACGGGAGGAAGAACCCAAATTGTGGGATATGCCTCGCGATCATGCGGGTTGGGGGAGATGGGAAGGTGTCGCCGGAGCTTGAGCGGACGGTCTTTGACGTCTCAGCCGGAGCAAGCTTCTATGGGCCTGGTATGTCTTTATGCTGAGGGAGTCCAGCTACGAGCTGACAACGCAGATGGAGTGTATGGCAACTTTGCAGGGAGGGACGCTTCGAGAGGGATGGCGAAGCAGTCTTTCGATGACGGTAGGTCCCTACACGAAGCTGAGAAAGCAGGTACTGATCTCCAGATATGTTGACACCGATCGAACAACCCTTGGACGCGCTGGCCGACTTGACACCATCTGAGATGTACGTTTGTCTTGCGCCCAAATCTCAGCTTCTTGGCCCCGACTTCCTGTTGATCATGCTGACTGCTCAGAGATAATATGCGCGGCTGGCACGATCACTTCTCGCGCAAGTACATCATCTGCGGCGACCTTGTCAATGCGTCGTCCATGTAGTCAGCTTCTAGGATCGACCTGCATTATCTTCAAGCGGGTCTCCGTTAGGCCCAATATACTAACGATTCACGCGCTAATGCGAACTCTCCTGGCGTTTCGATCATCTGATGTTGATGAGACTGTGAGAACAACCATATTACGGAGCGAGCGACGCGAGCGATACTGATTGTAGGAGCCGATCATACCGAGCGCGGTGGAGAGGAGAGGGAGGTATACGATCAGCTAGCTGTTCTGAAAAATAGGATGATTCCTTAATGCCGCTCTCAGGCGTATAGACCCTATGGAACATTCGAGCGTATCATCTCAGATCACGCCATCCAGAGTCTTCTGTACGATCCCCTTTGACGGCTGACTACCTTTCACACCCCTGTTTCACAATCGCGCCATTCAGCAGCGACAGCAGCACTAGTGCGCCTTAAAAGGGGCAAGAACGTTCCCCTCTCCCTCACAACTTACTCATATTCCTCACTCATCCTTCACATACCCCTTCCACCCTGCAATTACCCGATACCTCACACCATGAGCTCGTCTGCAAGTCAACATCAGCCGTCAGGACTCGGTAAGTCTCTCTTCATATATCACGACCGCTTCCCAGGCACAACTTATAAGCAGCAGGCGACACGCCCTTTCTCACGATGACCAATGCAGACGGGAACTCATGTCCATTTCAGGACCGTCTTATCAACCCGCAGAGATGGACCAGCTTGGCCACAAGAGTACCTTCACACGATCGAGGTGTTGGACAGCAAGGTCGCTAAAATCAATGGCCGATACAACCGCGTTCAACTACTCAGCTCTGGAAACAAGTTGACCGAGGCCGCTGACGGTACTGTCACTCTCAATGGTGAGCCGATGCCGATCGGGAAGAAGCTTCACTCCTGGTTCCAAATCACATTCTCAAACGGCAGTGTGACGGGCTTCGCCGACTGGACAGGCAAATGGGAAATTTCGCCGCCAATCGGAGGCAGCAGAGAGATCGAGATCAAGCTGCGCGAGAGCCAGCTCGTCAGTATGTATGGTGTCTGCTGCAAAGGGCGAGCTGGGAAGAACGAGTTGACTCAGACGAGAGATGGTGTTACTCTCAATGACGAGGAGCTTGGGACTGGGGTAAGTACGTCTGCAAATCAAGCTCTTCCTGGGTCTTTGACGAGGGCCTTTACAGACTACCCTGTGCATGTATCCAATGTGTCACTCCTCTCGGGCGCACCATATGGGATTTGCGTTCGCGCGCTTTGCCCCTGGATGATTCTGCTCATGTAACGAATAAGGGATGGCTCATCCCCTAGCCCTCTGGCAGAGAATACACACTCCCATATACCTCACGTTATGCCCCTGCGAACGTATCCTCACGATGCGTTGACACAGCCCTGGGAGCAGATGCATGAGGTACAGCGATGCTCGGGCGGTCGCCATCTGGGTGGCGAATCCGGAATCCAGGCGCGCTGCTGGCTGTCACCCGCTGGGTCCTCTGCGACGTGCTCTTCGACTATGCCAGGGACGTTACGCAGAGGTGTAGAGTAGCATATCCCTGAACCTAGGCAGACCGATGGGCCACAACTGGGGTACATAGTCGGGCGTATCAGGCACCCCCAGGAGACGGGAATTCGAATCCGCCACTCTCCGCATCGAGAACCACTGGACATGCCCCTGGGTGGACGTAGATCCCAAGTCTGGATTACGGGTAGCAGAGATACTCAGCTCTACGTCGATACTGTTCTTGACATCGCGCACCCTCTGCAGCATACATGAGACGAGAAACCGCAAGAGGACAACATACCTCGTGGGGGAAAAATATGCCTGAGGTATATGAATTGCTGCGCGTCGAGCTCCTGCCGTAGCGTTCCGGGGGTCATGCAGGAGCTACGAAGAGCGCATCAGAACACTGCCGATATAGTGGCCCCCGCGGGAATCGAACAGCAGCTGCAGGCGAAATCTGAACCGCCACTTTTTCACGCCACCCATTTTTGTGCGATCCGATTTTCCGCGGTCAATTCGCGCCGACGCTTCCTGTCCGATTGCGAGCGCAAAGGTAGAGTAGCGGGGTGCCAAAAAGGAATACCTCCGGCCTGGATTGAACAGGCGATTTCATGCGCAGAACAACATGGTGACCTGTTGTAAAGCATGCGGATTAAACCACTTTCCTACGGGGGTGCAAAAATATGCTTGAAGCATGTTCGCGGTTGAAGCGCGGAATCTTGCGGTATATAAACCTCACTGCATCCTCTATCAGATCCCCACTCTGTATCTCCTGTTCTATATCTTGCCCAGAGCTTCCAGGTACCAGGCCTATGGGGAGGGGCAGGACATCTGAAGAGATATACTGGACAGCAGGTCTGAATTTTTTAGCCCCTTCGCGTGTCCGGATTTTCATTACCCGAAGCAGTCCCGAAGCGGTATGACCGGCATGTCGTAAGGCGGCGTGCCTGAACTTTGGTGAGGCTCGGGTCTCGAGGGGGTGATGGAGTCGGCAAATGTGAGGCCGGACGATGTGTCAGGTATGGCATGGATGCACTGACACACACGATCCGTAAAGACAGTAGAAGGTCTACTTGTATCCGTAGTATACGCTACCTAAGACTGCGGGAGATCCGGAGCATCCGACGTCTGGTAAGCCTTTCGAAGGCCTACACTCACGGACGCCACATTGAGGCGTGCCTGAATCAGAAGCCTCACCTGCTAAGGACCTCGGCAGACCGGCAGATCTCACTCCAGTCGTGCGGAACATTCCGTGTGTGGGTGGGGAAAGTGGGGGTGCCTCGAGATTGGGTGATTTTTGGGGTTTCCGGGCGGGATCGCGTGATGGGCGTTTACGCCCCATGTCAGCTGCGCTAAGCCAGGGCGGGGCGGTGGCGTCGTCTCATCAGTACCACACCATAGTAGGCATTGGTCTTTTCGTCGCGACACTGGCAGTCTCTCCCATGTTAGACATCTCATAAGCTGTTGCCCGACGACTATTTCGACGCGTCAGCCGATTCTACCTGGTCACACCCTCCATGTCCGACTTCATCCATCGCCCCAGCTGCTCGGCATCAAAAGATAAAAGGTTACTGCGTCCAGAGGAACTCGAATCCCCATCTCTTCCTCGAACCCCAACCTGCATCCTACACCACCAGAGGCGGACGTCCAGGATGCAGACCAGAGCGTGCCGGAATCGCTCTAACCAATTGAGCTATGGGCGCTGTCAGCTTGATTGTGACGTCAGTACACCAATGGGAATAAGACGAGCCGGACGAGATTCGCCTCAGCTGGATGGGGCCGAGCGTGAAGCAAGGGTGGGTGCAGGGGGGCGGAGTGTTGCTGATCAGAGGGTGACCGATTCGACTCGTCCAGTCCGATTTGGCGTCCAAGTCATCGCGTGCATCGTTACCGTTGTCGTCTCTGAGCTGTTCCTTCAGCGTGATGCCAGTCTTCATGGGCTGTATGCTACTTCGCAATCTCGGAGTCTTGCAGGAGGTGCTTGAGCTCTCCGCCGAAAGCGGACGCTTTTGTGAAACACCCGGCCCAAATCCCCAAAGCGGCGATTTTGTTCATCCGTGACGTCATTTATTGTTGATTCCATGACGTTCCTCAACTCAAAGTTCCTCTCAATTGGAACCTTCTCGCCAATCTCCCATCTTCCTTCCATACATACCACATCTACTCACAGCTCTCACTTACCTTTACCCCCACCAATCAACAGCTAAACAACATGGGCCTCTTTGGATCATCTGACCCCGTCGAGAAGGAGGAGAAGCGCATTGCCAAGGGTAGGTCTACCTTTCCTTGCCACCGGGCTCGGACCAGCGCCCATTTCCCAAGGCAGGATCATGGCTGACAAACCAGACGCCAAGGCCGAGGAGAAGGAGATTCATCGCCTGGAGAAGGAGCTCAAGCACGCCGAGAAGGAGCAGCACAAGGCGGAGAAGTCAGAGCACCACGCTGTCTCTGTGAGTTGTGCTTTTGCTTGCCCGAGTCTGTGCTGGCGCTGATGGTTTAGGCCAAGGAGAAGTTCCAGAAGGAGGAGGCCAAGCTCGCCACCAAGCTCAGCCAGGCAGAACACAGTAAGCTCGAAATCCATGTATCACTTCCATAAGCTAACGACGTAGAGCACAACGAGGCTTTGACCCACCAGCAAAAGGCCAACGCCGAGCTGCAGCACTCTACTGAGCACCACGCACAGGTCGGAAACAAGGTCCAGGAGCTTAAGGCCAAGCTCGCCGAGACTGAGGCCGCTGTAAGTTTCTTGTTGCTGCTTCTAGGCCATGGCTGATTGTTAGCACCACAACAACGTTGCCGACCGTGAACACAAGATCGCCGACCTTCACCGCAGCAAGGAGCCCACCGTCGGCGCCGCTGCTGGCAGCGGCGTCCTCACCTCCGACTACCCTCAACAGCACGGTGCGGTCGGTACTGGAGCCGTCGGTGGCCAGCCCGCTTACGGAGCACCAGCCGCTGGCATTCACCAGCAAGGCGTACCCGCTACTGGTCTTCACCAGCAGGGCGTACCCGCTACCGGTGCCTACCAGGGGGGTGAATACCGGTCGCACCAGGAGGGTGTCCCGGCGACCGGTATTCACCCCCAGCAGCAGGCGTTGCACCAGGGTGGTCTGGGCCAGGAGCAGGGTCAGGTGGGGTACGGAGGAGCGACCGAGGGGCAGCATATCGCCGACGCTCCCCGCAGATTGTAATCTAGTTGTAGCTATATAATGGGTCCTGCAATGCAAGTAATGCTGAAGCTAACGAGTGCGGCGAGATGTGCCTGGACGCAGCTCGACATTGCCTATAGCACAGACATTTGAGCTTTGCATCCGAGCGAGACCATTGCGTCATCGCCGAATCGTGCGCAAGGTGGCCAAGCTGACAAGGGGCCAGTGCCGCTCGTCCATACCTTATCTTCATACCCATAGACTCTGCCACAATGCCCAAGCTCGAGTCAAAACAGTCAAACAAGGTCGCCTCGGGCACCCTCACGAAATACTCCTTCCCCTCCACCTCCCTCGGCGGACTCACGACCAACTTCAACCTCTTCCTCCCCTCGTCCGCATCCTCCTCCTCTCCCGTTCCAGTCCTGCTCTACCTCGCGGGCCTGACATGTAACGAGGACACTGGCGCTCAGAAGGGAGGCTTCCTCCTCACGGCTGCCAAGCACGGTCTCGCGGTCGTCATGCCCGATACGAGTCCTCGGGGAGCAGAGGTAGAAGGAGAGGATGAGGATTGGGACCTCGGGAGTGGAGCGGGGTTTTATATCAATGCGACGGCGGACAAGTGGAAGAAGTACAGGATGTATGATTTGATCGTCGAGGAGCTACCGAAGGTGCTCAAGGAGGCGGATCTGGGACTGGTACGTTCTCAGCAGAAGAGGGGGGATTAGGCTGACCGACCAGGATCTGACACGGATGTCTGTCTTTGGGCACTCGATGGGCGGTGAGCTGACTTGTATCCTATCAGGTACTAGCGAAGAAGCTGACCCCGTAGGGCACGGCGCTCTCATGCTGTATCTGCGGAACCCCAACTTATTCAAGTCTGCCTCAGCCTTCTCACCAGCTTGGTAGGTCCCTAGCTATCACCTATGCGTAGCTGACCAGCAGCAACCCCTCTCAAACACCCTGGGGCAAGAAAGCTTTCAACGCCTACATCCAACCCTGCACCCGCTCGAGCCCGCCATCGGAATGGCTGGCATACGACTCGTCCCGTCTCCTCGCTCGCTCCGAGATTGCCAAGGGGGATGTTCATATCCTCGTCGATGTCGGGACCGGCGACCAATTCTTGAAAGATGGTCAGCTGGAGCCGGACGCGCTAAAAGAGGCGGCCAAGGAGAATGGGCGGACGCAGGAGGAGGTGCAGGTGCGATTGCAGGACGGGTATGATCACAGCTATTACTTTGTGAGTAGTCTGGACCTTGACTATGCGTGAGAATACGGGCGAGGAGACGAGCGATCGACGAGGTGGCTGTGAAGCTGTGCCGAACTCACAAAGGACTGAGCTGAAGCTACAGATTTCAACGTTCGCCTCAGAGCACGTGGAGTACCACGCCAATTTCCTCAAGGCTTAGGAGCAGATGCAAGCCACCATGCGCAGTTGGAGACCTTCGGCGGCACTGCTGAAACATCATCTCGGACTACCTTTCGGCGTGGTTCTTCGGCCGAGGTCCTCACGGGTAAGGGCTCCAATCTAGCCAAAGTGAAACACAGCCGGCAACAAAGGAGACCGATCATATACTGATGGCCGAAGTGCACTGCACGCGCAATCATGACTCACCTTTGTATAATCCCCTGTCGACACTGCAAAGGAGCTTGGAGCACGTCACAAACAAGCCATATAGATGCCGAAAAATCTCCAGGACTGTGAGCCGACGACGCTCCCGAGCTCCAACATCTCGCCGCACCTGACATCATCTTTGCCGTATCCTCACCGTCAGCGACATTGCCATCATTCTACTGACGCCTATTCAAACCATGAGCGACTTCCCGAATCCTATCCATAAGTACTACTCAAGCTACCCCCATTTCCCAAGTCTGCCCGCCCAGCAGACGCCACCCCTCAGTCGGAATGGACTCCAGCGTCCTTGATTCACTTACCCTCGATCGAGCTCCCACTGCGGCAACCCAACCTGTTGATCCAGCAGAACGGGAATGCACAGATATTGCAGATGCTGAGCCGCGCTACGGAGCAGAGTCGGGAGGATTACTTCTATGCGAATCCCGGCGCCCGAGAGTTCTACAGCCGCTTTCTCTCGAGCCCTCGCGCCCACGCTGTCGAGACGACATTCACCCAATCTCCCGCCGCATTATCCCCACCTTCCGTCGAGCCGACGTCGATGCAGCAGTACCTCTTGCAATTGCAAGCTCTTGGCAAACAGTACAAGCAAGCATACCATACCGCACGAGACGCCATTAGCCGCCGCTTGGTGGCTCCGTCGATCGGAGCAAGTGGCGTCGGCGCCGTCTCATCCCTATAGCCAACTCAACACGTCGCTGACATCCCTCAGCCTACGCCTCGCCACAATCTGCCGTCCCGTACTTTCACTACCACAGACGGAAAGGAGCAGACCTTCCTACTCACATACATGCCGCACTACCACAAAGGACTCCGTCTCTGCACGCATCCAATCCACTACGCCCAGAACAGCTGGTCACACTGGCCCGGCACAGACGAGCTCATGACGGTACTTTCCGATCGCTCCAAGCAGTCAGCGGGGTGCTGGTCGACCATATCGCCCAATCAACAGGATCCAGAGGCTGATCTGGGCGCATACCAGCTTACCGACTATGTGTGGGCGTCCGAACAGCCGTCACTGGATACGGTTCTACGACAGATCCGGGATGCTGGCCTGCAGTCCAGCGTGATTCCGATTCCAGCCAAACTTGCCAATTGCACGTACGGCTCTCGAGGCGCCCATTCCGCCAAAGAAATGAACGCCATCTGGGACGGATATGCCTGGCTGCGTGTCGGCCCGATCGATGAGAAGACGGTGATGTGCAGGAGGCACATGACGCAGCTCGCTGAAGTACCTGACCCGGACTGGTTGCGGTCGGATGGAGCATGAGCGGATGATGCTGAGATCAGTGATGAGTGGCGCGTGAGGGGGACATGGATGGGATGTTGTACTATGTTGTCGATGGAGCTTGTAGGTATGGACGTATAATGTGTCTGTCACAGCAGCACGGATCGATACACTTCATCATAAAAGCGACTCTCTGCCTGTCTGAGCTGATCCCATTCCCGGCCCTTTGAGCTCCACCGATCCAGCCGGTTGATCGATATCTCCTCCACCACGCTCCGCCCATTTGCGCTCAATCTCCGCCTCCGCCTTTTGTATATCGACGTCGACGTCATGGATACTACCTGTTCCCCATAGACCGACCATGCTCGGAGGGAGTGGCTTGAGGACGGAGTGAGCGAACAGGTGTTGCCTTTTCTCTAGATCGAAAGCCCTTCAAAGTCAGCCTAGTTGGGAAGGGGCAAGGAGGACCTACCACATGGCTGCTCCGACGCGGTTGGAAATTGAGAGGAAGAGACCGATGATAGGTATACTCTCGAGGAAAGATGCAGCAAAGCCGAAAGCTGAAATCAGTCAATGCCTTACCGTAGTGCGGCTCTACTCACCCCTGTATGCCCATTTACGCTCCTCTACCCAGCGCCATACTTCACCCTGATCCATGCGTTTCACCTCAAAGTATGGCTGGTGCAGATATTCGGCGGTCGTGATGGACCGGAGGAAGGACGTGACGAAGGGGACAATGAGCGGGAGGGTAGGGGATAGCGGAATGAGGAGATCTGGCATCAGCATTGTCGAGGTGTGGACTTACAATGCCTGAGGACGAGCTGAGTCGGCCACCATAGCAGCCAGCTGACCCATCTAGCTTGCTTCTCCCGGTGAGAACCCTTGCCTGTTTCGCCTCGCGCAGCTGTAGGGGGTTGTTGCCATTCTTCGATGTAGCCCTGGAATTAGCAATGGAAAAAAGCAGCTTAGTATAGCTCACCTGAGACCACCAGTCTCCACTCTTTCGCCTGCTCGAGACGGTCAATGCGTATGCCCGGGACCGGGCGAGCTTGAGGTTCTTGTAGACGAAGAAGCGGAGGATTTGGGAGAGTTGTGGGAGGAGGATGAGCAGGTGGGTGTCTGGAGGTCAGCTTTCACTGGGGAGCTCATATCACTGGTCTCTGGTAGCTCGCACATCACAGTAACCCGCCCATAGCGAACTCTTGATGGAGAGCATGCTACTGACAGAGTATTAGATCAACGTCCACGCCCCAGCTCCCGAGACCGACCCATACGCCTCCCCGCCCACTCGCACTCACAGCCCCAGCGACCTTCCTACTAGTTGCACCTCCTAGCCCAAAGAATTTTCCAGGCCCGCCCACAATGAATGTCTTGACTACCCATCGCAGGATACCCCAACTTCCAGCAGCGTATATCGCTCCGACGACAAGGCCTCGCACAGTAGCATGCTTGACCTTGTCAAAGACCGGACCGCGAATGGATGCGTCGGTACAGAGGCGGTATAGCCCCACCAGGGTGTACGCTGGCGGTATATGGAGGAACTCCGAGGGCATGGTTGGTATGCAAGGTGAGGAGAAGTCAAGAAGATTGAACGTGAACCGGGCGATCACAACTACGTCATTGCCTCATTCTCACAGATGTGTTTATATACTATTGAGATCCGCCACAATTTCAAGCTTGCGTAGCGCAGTGGTAGCGCGTTCCCTTCCTAAGGGAGATGTCGCGGGTTCGATCCCCGTCGCGAGTTACTTCTATTTTTGCCTTTGTGCTGGGCCGTCTGGCTATGCATACGGCCGTGATTTTTGCCTCGAGAGGTAGACACGAAGCCGGGCTACAATCTGGCGGCGTTTCCATCAGTTTTGCGCAGGTATAGCGTGATAAAAACGGCAAGACGTGCGAGTGGCGAAGGGGCTTCGAACCTGGCGGCGGGGATTTAACCCGAGACATCTGGGAGATTTTCTCCTGGTGTTGTGTTTGATCGCTTTCTGGCTGATAGGCAGCTAGTGTACATGGAAGTAACCTATAGTCTAGTAGTGTTTCTCCATCCTCTTAGCCTCTTTGTGACATGAAAAATCTGGAAAAGTTTGCGGATGGCAAACTCGCGACGGGGATGGATCCCGCGACATCTATTGTGAATAGCTTGATCGATTACCGTCGTTAGTTGAGGCGTTCGTTAGTGCCGCCGAAGCGCGCCAAAGTTGGACGATCTGATGTTCCATCCCATCTGCGCTGTGGTGCGGATCCAGGAGGCCAGCTACTCTGCATCATACCATGCGCGATGGCCCCAAAGTCTTGAGCCCAGCACGTGACCTTCTGGGAGATGGGAGACCTTTTTCTGTTGTTCACCCCCTCTCAAGTGATGATACCCGGTGACGGTCGTATGCTTCTGTCTTTATCTTGCGCCCCGGGGCGGTTGACGGTAAGCTGGACCATGAGTGGGTACAGTTCTTTTCCACTTGACGGCCTCGGCAGCAGAAGCGGATAATGGCCAAAGGTCGGGTGGCAAAAGGAGGGGCATCATGGATCATGAGTTGAGTGTGGCACTTCTGCTTGTGGCTGTCGAGTAGACATCCGGACAAGGTCGACTTTGGACATACGTGTCCGCGGGTATATGCTTCTCCAACGGGACATGAGCAGTGCTTCTGAGCGTGTGGTTCTGCGCTCCGCATCGCCTCTTATCCTCTATGCTGCCTTCCGGCGCTTCAGCATGCCATGGGCGCCCAAGGCGCGTGGTCGAGTGCACCTTTTATCACCTCCGCCTTCAAGTCTTGCTGGTACGCGTGAGATGCTCGGTGATCCTTTCGATATAGCCAAATCAATGTCCGATTAGGCTGCCCTGACACAGCCTGCCAGTCCGTACTCATGATTCTCTCTTTCTCCTTCGCATTCGCACGACCCATCTTCCCTTCCTACTTGCTATTGTCTCGCTCCAGCTTTCCAGACAACTCTACCCAAACACGTCTGACCATCATGTCATCATACGACAGTACGAGGCTGGGTATCCTGAGGTTCGCGTTGGATCATCCCGTCTCTTTCCTCCTAAGACGGCTCGGCTTTGGCCCATCGCAATCGCGGCAGAGCTCGACTAATCCTCCGAGCGCTCGGACGGGTTACGCAACAGTCCGCCCGACACCCAACTCTGTACATCTTCACCCAATCTATCCCACCTACGGTCCTCCAGCTCCAGACCATACTGACTCCACCTCGCCTTCTCATAGAATGGGTGGCTGGTACAGGCCGGACTACGCATCTACGAATGTAGGTGGACCACCGGGGCCTAACGCCAATGTCTCTATGGTCTACTCAGCGCCAGCCCCGAGCGGTCCGAGTGGGAGTGTCGAGATGCCGAATGCTCCGGAGGCTACTGACTGTTCCAGTCTGGCGTCTTTCGGTGAATGCTGCTGCTGCTGCTGCTGAGAGGCTGATCTATTACACTAGATGTCTTGCCGGAGCGTCGTACAGGGGACCCCAGTTGGAGGAGAGAGGCATATAGGACGTCTATAACGACCTAGAGCATGTACCCGTACCGGTACTACCGCCACTGAAGCAGCAGGTGAGACCAATATGCCACCTTCCCGTTACTTTGCCTTGTCCCACTTACTCGTATCGGCGCGCAGATCGTATAGCGGCGGTACATCGCCGTGAAATCGATTCGCGCAAACCTGGCGGAGGCGCATCTACGCCCTACGATACGGGTAAGATTCCAGCTCAGTGATCGCAGACGACCTGACACGCCCAAAGAAAGACATCTTCAAGGCTGCAACCCCCTACAGGAATTCCCCTTTGCGTTTGCGCTTGGAACATATTTGGCACAGGCTCCGTCTAATGCTCCTTTGGCAAGCGCGACGATGTGTTTCGACTAATCGGGTCCTACTGGTGAGTGTTGAGTCTTGGAGCGATGCCATCACACATCACCATAACCGGCACTACCCCATCCCGTTTCCTCCGCATATACTTGCTTTGCATACCTGCACCTGTTACACTGTTACAACATGCCCTATCGCATCAACAAGGACGATGACTCGAACTGGTTCATGGAAGAGTACGATTCTGAATCACGCCGGGGCTCCTGGAAGACCACCATCGATGAGTTCAAAAGCTGGGCCAGATCGTTACGCACGCGTCCCACCACCTCGTCCCATTCCCATACAGCCACATACACGGCCAACGACCCGTGGAGCTCCAGCAAGGGGAGATACTCTACCCATCAGTCTGGTGATTACACCACCAATGAGGAGACAACCTCTTCCCATACACAAGGGGAAACAAAGACATCTGCTCGGGCACGATTGCGCAAGAAGCCCAAGCCCGAGTCGGGCGCCTCCCGCAGCCACGACGAGGCTACATCAGGCTCGCAGTGGCTCTTCTCCGAGTTAGCCGAGACTCTGTGCCCGAAAAAAGACATCACAGGCAAATCAGAAGCGACTATCAGGAAGGAGACGTTCAGTCGTAGAGCGAAAAAGACGGTGTACTGGACGGGAGTGTGGGCGACTTTGCCGATCTGGGGGTCTTTGGCCCTCGTTGGAGCGCTGCCGTAGATTCTCATATCAGATGCATGCGCTTGGGTGTCTGTAAGTGCCCTCAATAGACAGGCATGATCAGCTGTACGCGGGCGGGCCGCCACCTGCCCCTGCAGGCGCGCCTCCAAAGTACCCAGGCGGCGCCTCCCTCCCCTCTCCCGCCTCAATCGGAGGTGGCGGCGTGACGGCCCCACCGCTCATCTCCCCTGCTGCCCTTTGCGCACCCAGCAGATCCAGACTCTGACCGTGCGATCCCCGCCTGACCGCCGCCCCGACACCCGTCCCGCTCGCTTGGGCCGCTTCGGACGCTGCGAATGACGGGGGCGATACGTCATGCGATGCTGTACCGGGCGGGGCGAGGCTGGAGTGGGGTGGTGGTGGGGATGGCGAGAGGGGATGAGGCGCGACGCGATACCGACTGGAGGGGTGGATCGACTGGGTGAATGTGGGAAGAGCGGGGAGGGAGGGTTCGTCGATCCCTGGAGGGAGATCATCCTGGCTGTCAGCTCTACCTCGAGCAAAAGCTCACCTGGAGATCGATCACTCGGGTCCCCTCGCCTAGCCCTAGCTGCTCCATCAAGGCCATCCCGCCCGCCCCTCCGACGGGTGCACTCAGACCCAGCCGGGCCGCCAGTCCGCCAGCAAGGTTGACATCCTCATCATCCGGATGTGGTGGGTCCATGCTCCCAGACGCGCCGAACGAGGCAGATACGCTAGGTGGAGCGACCGAAAAGGTTTCGTATCCATCATACTGCTGGTCAGCTGGAGCCACTATGAGAACTCACCTCGACCCATGTCCCGAGTTCCCCTCCTAGACTTCCCCTTCGTCCGACCGCTGTAGTTCTATCCTCTAAATCTGGACCGCTCAGATCCTCTGCACCGCCCATGGCCGGTGAGCCCGATGCCGCCTGACTCTCGAGGAAGGTAGGCAGTCCACCTCCACTGCTCGATCCGCCCGTATCTGGCACCATCGGAGCCTGACTTGTACTCGGTCCCGCCTCGTCGAAGCCTGGTGGTCCATCGTGGTCTGCCGGTCGATATGTCCCCACCTCACCGACCCTATCTCGCCCTTTACGCCTATACGCCTCTTTCGCCCATTCCTCCTCGCTCATCTCCACCTCCCCGTCTGCGTCCTCCTGCCCACTGACCGCTCTCGGCACTCTCCACGCTCTGGGCCGTATATCTATGCTCTGCTCCACGACAAAATCCCGCATCTCCTCTGGCGCCACCTCGGCCAGCGCGCCGAAACCGAGGCTGACGCGGACAAAGAAGGTGACGGTGTGATACGGGGCGCTCATAGAGACTTCGCCCCATGTTTGGTCGACGGTCGATCCGAGCTGTGCGGTGGGGAGGGTGAAGAGGACGCGTAGAGGGGGATGGGCGGAGCCGGGGTAGCGCAGGGATTTGCCGGAGGCGTGCAGGAGTGTGAGGTGTTCCCGTGTTTCGCCTGGGGAGGTGGATGAGCCGGCGCCAGGGACGTGGATATGGACAAGCCGATATAGCTCCACCCGGACCCGCCTGAGCGCGCGGAGTGACGCTTTGGGGTCAGGCTGGGTAGCCAGATCCGCTACCGCCTGTCGTTGCCGTTCCTTTGGCCGCAGCTCAACGCCGAGGCGGAGGAGCGATCCGAGCCTGGGTGACGGGTCTTCGACGAGTAGTCGGGTAATGACGCCCATCTTGTCGAGTACAGCCTCGGCTTCATTTCCCATCCCTTCCTCCGTCTCTTCGACTTGAGGAGTCCCCTCAACCTGGATATCCTCGTGCACGTCGCCCGAAGCGAGAGAGAGGGTGACACGGAGCCACCATTTGATTTCGCCTTTCCGGACCTCGGAGAGGTTGAGTGTGCCGGGAAGACCTCTAGAGCTGGGTGTGTCGGACGACGGGGAGGGGAGGGATATGGAGAATTGGTGGACGGCAGGAAAGGAGGTCGAGGAGGAGGATCTCGATGTGGATGATGCGAGGGATGATGGCCAGATAACTTGGTCTGAGAACTCGTGTAGCTCGATATCCGGATGATCAGGGAGACGATTGACGAGATACAGCTTGACGGATCTGCCCTTCAGCGTTGAACCAATGACGCTTTGATGGGACTTACAAATGCTTCACACCCCTTTGCCCTCCCTGCTCTCCTAGACCCTTAACAAACACCTCGCCCTGGACTGACGGGCCGCAGAAGAAGCTAGCAGCGTCCGGCAGAGGCGCTACCATGATCTGCGGCTGGGATGCAGCATAGTCGGGAGGCGGCAGCGCGCCTGTCGTGGAGACAGCCATTGTTGATGTGACAGGGTCCGTGGGTACCTCGGCCTGGCCTGGCACAGTGCGTCAGGAAGCGACGGGATTGGCGCAGCCGCAGAGGGTAGCTTGTGACACGAGTCTCGGAAGTCCAAGGCGGACAGACCTGGTGATAGATAGATATGTGAGGTGTATGGAAGAAGCAGAAAGGAGTCTGCGGCTCAAGCGAGGAGTTGTTCCAGCATTCCTTGGGTGGAGGTACAGGTGAGCAATTGCAGCCCGTGAGGCCATGAGCATGATGCACGAGCGATGAAGATGGAGATCGAGACTGGGCCGAGCACGATTTACCAAGGACCTATGCATATCGCAATACAAGACCAACATGACCATCCACACCTGAGCACGCCTACTTGATCCTCTTGAGCCTCTCGGTGTTCTGCCCCACCGCAAACTCGAGATCCTCCGTCTTGCCCGTGACCCGCCCCAGACGTTGGTTCTGACCCGTCACCTCGTCCCCCATGGCCGTCGCGAGCTTCTTAAGCCGCTTGGTCACCTCGTACGTCTCATCCAGGTTCTCGTCGAGCTCATCCTCGAGCTCGTCGTCCGACGCGGTCGCTTCGACCTGGTACTTGGCCCGAGCGTCCTTGCGCGCCTGCGACTCTCCGGGGAGGGGGACGCGCGCGGTAGAGCCGCCGTAGTCGGGTCCAGTGGCCGCACCGAGTCGCTGCCGCGTATCGGAAATGTCGCCGATGGCCTTGTTGCGGTCGGCACGCTCGTTGAGGTGCCGCTCGTTGATCTTGTTTTCTTGCGCTTGGCGTTTGCCCTCCTGAGATGTCAGCCGAGTCTAAGGGGGGGACTAAAGACTGACCTTGTTCCAGACCACGACGGGGCGGAAGATACTCTTGTTGAGCTGTTTGAGCTCGGCCGCCTTGTCCTCGGCACGCAGGTTGTTGGCTTTGGCCATGTCGAGGTAGCGCTCCGAGTTGGCAATGCGTTCTGCCAATCAGCAGTGGTCTCAGCGGTGAGGGAGTAGCATACCGGACTGATCGGCCAACTTGGCGACGGTTCCCCTCGCGGTCTCCTCCGCCTCTCGAGCCAGCCTCAACGCGTTTCTAAAAGTCAGCTCAGCACACTTTGAATGTAGAGAACGACATACCGGGTACTGGCCAAACTGTCCTGCTTGATACCCCTCATCTCCTGCTTGATCCCCTCAATCTCTTCATCTTCATCAAAGTCCTGCTCCTGCTCCCTCCCCTCGTACCCATACTGCCTCTCCGGCTTGGGCTTGGCCGGGGAGGTATAGCCAGCAAAGAGCTCGTTCCGCGCCGCGTCGGCCGGATTGGGCGCATCCCGAGCATACGGGTTGCCACCTCCGCCACCGCCACCCGAGGTGGCATAAGGGTCGGGAGCGCCGCGATTCGCGTACGGATCACCACCGCCTCCGCCTCGGGACTGTGACGAGGCGTAAGGGTCTCCTCCGCCGCTGTAGTTTTGGGAGGCCCCGCTATTGGCGTACGGGTCAGGCTTTTTGGGGTCGGCCTGTACAGGCGGGATGAGGTTCTCCTTCTTGCGCTTGAAGAATGACATGGTGGTGGTTGGTAGCTGAAGCTGGAAGGGGGTAGGCGTGAAGCGTGGAAGAGTAGAGTTGACAAAGCAAGGACGTGTCAGGGAAAGGCTTTGGTTGAGTTTAGGAGCAAAGGGGTTGGAAGAAGCGGGTTCGAGACGAATAGCCTTCTTTCTGACGCTGTGATGGGTGACCGAGCTTGGCGGAGTCTGTGCTAGGAGATGAGAGACAAGCTGAGTGTATTGAGTGCGGAACGAGGGAGGTCTTAGCGCGATACACCTTGCAGCGCGAGCAGCTCGAGGCGGTGGAGCGATGACGTACAGCTACAGCGACAGCCAGGCCCGTGCGTACTTCAGGCCACCGTGGGAAAGTCAATCTCCCCCACCCAGCCTGACTTTGACTTTGCAATGACAGCCACAACAGCAAGCTTTCACATATCCTCCTAGTACACCTACAATGTCTGCCCTCCCCTACGATGCCACTCCGCCACCATCCCCTCCTCACCCCTCAGAGGAAATGGCGGTAGATCCAGCCATACCCGACGCGCTCGACAGACCTCTGGACGAGTTCCAGCCGGCCGTCCCTGCCCATGTAGCGGACCTCATGAGCAGGATGTCACACGGCAAGGTGTACCTCCTGGAGGATAGCCCGGCGGTGATACATCTGGATGGAGAGGCGAGGGCTATGCGTGACCCAGTGGGTCATTCGGCCTTCTGCAAGATCAGAGCTGACTTGTAGCGCATCGCAGCGCTCGCGGAGCAGCTGGACGAGCACGATCCCACCGAATGGCTGAGTAAGCTGTCGTGTCCCTTGACTGTAGTAGCACAACTGACATGCAGATGTCGTATCTGCCTCGGCCCCATCGGCAATACGGCATAACGCCCTCTACCTCCGGTCAGATCTCATCAAGCACCTATCCACAAGCAAGATCTTTAGCTGGGTCACCAGCATGGGTACCACCGTCATGGGTATGTCATCAAATTGACTGTGCTGATCTCAGGTATTGAATGGCTGAACGACACCTCCCTTCACCTCCTCTTCCCTTCCCCTTCAGCCTCGCTACTCGCCCTCACCATCCTTTCCAAAGCCGGCTTTGACCCGGCCGAAGGGGACGACCCTCTTCTCGAGCGCTCTGCGCATTCCTTCCCGCCCTCGCTATTCGCGCAGGTAATAGCGGAGAATATGCCCAGCAAGGCCGGCGAGGAGCTACTCGGCGAGTCTACCGAGACCGACGGGGTCAAGCGGAGAGGACGCGGCGGGTTCCGAAGCGGCACCGCGATGGACTCGTTGGCCGAGTCGTCCGTATCAGCGCCCGAACCCGCGGCGATGACGTTTTTGGAGGGTGTCGACCCACACGCGCGCGTGACGGTCCGGTTCGCCGTCGAGGGGGACAAGCAGCTGCGGCAGGACGCCAAGACGTCCGAGTGGTACAAGCGGCACGGGCGGAGAGCGGGCAAGGAGGTGGCAGAGACGAAGCGGAATAGTCCGTATGCGCGATCATGGAGGGATGAGGAGCAGGAGGTGATGGGTTGGACTGGAGGTGGGGAAGGCGGAGAGGGGAGGGATCTGGCGAGGAGATTAGGGAGGGGTGGGGGCCAAAGGGGAAGAGGAGGAAGAGTAGCGAGTAGGGGAGCAGCTACTGCGGAGGATTTGGATGCGGAGTTGGTGCAGATAAGAGGTGGCGATGACAGTGGGAGCAGGAGAGGTGGGGGAGGAAGGGGCAAGGGGCGAGGAGAGCGGCGACCACCAAGAGGGAAAGAAGATCTGGATAAGGGTGAGTTGCCAGTCAGCGCGGGAGGATTAGCTGATTCCGCAGAGCTAGACAATATGTTCTCTGGAGCGTAACCTGAGCGGATGGGCTGTATGCCGAAGAGCCAGGGGGGGATAGGCGGGAGAGTGACGATCACGAGGATGAGAAATCTTGGCGTAAGTCTCCTGCGAGACTTGTGCTGACCCCAGTGCTCCGCGGTGCATAGTACATGTCGACTACCTTGACTGTATCGAGTACATGTTTGCATCCCGCAAGATTCCCAAAATCACTAGATATATACAAGATGTTCTAACCAATCTACACAATCTGATGCGAGTACGCTGATATTTCTGATACTCGATCCTAATCCCCACCCTGACTTGACTCTGCAAACGCCGCCCCGACCGTTCTGGGTCTCCTTACATTCCTTGGCGGGTCCGACCTCGCGCTGTTGTCGCTTGACGACTCGTTATTGGTGATAGGCGAGACGGTCGAGTTGGACTCTGGTGTCGGTGCCGCCTGACTACCCTCTCCCGATCCGCCTTCCATCCCCTTGTTGTCCGCCTCGTCATCCCAGAACAAATCATCCAACTCCTCCGCATGCGGCGCAAAGGCCGAGAATGACACGCTCCGATCCGTCCATCCGCCCGATTCGACCGAGAGTGCCGTAGAGGGGAAGGCGGAGGATGATACATGGCGAGGGACGCTGTGCGCCTGGGGCGAGAGTTGGCTGGAGACGTAGGAGGAGGAGGAAGCGAGCCTGTTCGAGCCGCTGGATACCTGCCGGAAAGGGATGGCGTCGACAGCCTGGGCGGACCATGGCTCGACAGGAGAGAGGGGCTGGTTGGAGGAGAGGAAAGGTCCGCTGGAGCTGCCGGCGTCGAGCGGAGAGGTGACTGATGAGCCCGCACCGGGCGTTCCGGGCAGGTGCGAGTAATTGTAATACGGCACCTGGATATAGTTGAGGGAGGAGTCGTAGACCGGCTGCAGCGGCTGGTCGGGGTACGCCAGGGCCTGGCTCGCCTGCCAGTCTTGCGCGATTTGCTCGGCGATCGAGGTGGACAGTTCCACTTGGTTGGGGTACGTGGGATACGCTAATGATCAGCTGATACTAGACCTTGACTCACATCCTAGCTCTGACCAAGCTTGCATCGCTTCGTTTGACGTCGAGTCCCAGTGATTCGTCGTATCCTCCGTCTCCTCCTCGACAGAACACCATAGCGCCGCCAGCGCATCGGCACCGGCGTCCATACCCTCTGACAGCGGCTGCAACATGTCCATGCTGAACTCTTCGCCGCTGAGGGGAATGGGCTCGAAGATGAACGGGACGGCGTATGCGGGGCCAAGATCGGGGATCTCGGTCCAGGTGGGGTAGAGCGCCGGGACGGGAGGGATCTCTGCGGCGGGTGCGGGCGGTGCAGGGTTCTGGTGGTGATAATTAACCTCGAGTGGCGGAGCGGGTAGAGGAGGAGGCAGAGAGGAGTGGGCGTAGTGAGTGCTCGGCGCTTGAGACTCGTTGGCGAGGGATGGAAGGGAGTCTCTGGGCATCGGGAAGGGGTACATTGAATAATGCGGTTCTAACATCAGCTTAGCCAAAGCGTGACATACCTTCTTTAGGCTCCGCCACTGATCCAGACCTTGTCCGAGACATGTCCGCACCGTACGGGGTCGACGCGGGTGCCTTGCGGCGTGTCTTTCGCTTGACTCCAGGTTCTATCATCAGCTCAATCGCCAATCGTACTCACGCCCTGCAGCCGCATGCCTCTCCACAAGCTTTTCGGCCTTCTTTTGCTCCTTGACTTCCGCCCTCTCCCGCTCGCGCTGCTCCCTCAACCGCACCTTGTCGGCCTTCTTCATCGGCTGAAACTTGTAGTCGGGGTACTTTTGCATGTGCTACCATCAGCTCTGGTCAGACGATGACTCACCTCTCGCTTTTGCACCTGACTCTGCAGCTCGTACTGCTTCTTGACGACCGGCTGCTCCCTCGCCCACATCATACTGATCAACTTGCTGACATCCGCCTGGGGAATACCTCTCCCCGTCTTGCCCTTGCCCAAAGTGAGCATCCCCGCCGTAGGCTCCTTGGACCCCTTCTTTGGCTTCTTCTTCTTGACCTTTTTGATGGGTCCCTCGCCCCCGCTGGTAGTATTCCCATCATCCGCGCCCGACTGCTCATTGCTAGAGATGCCTGACTCGGCCATGACCGCATCGAGGCCGGGAAGATGCTGGCCGTTGGCGATAGCGCGGAGCATATCCGAGCGGTAGATGATCCACGCGTTGGGCGGACGACCTGGCGGTTTGTTTAGTTTTGACGGGGACGCCTGGGTCGTGTCGGTAGAGTAGACAAAGTGTTTCAGTGTCTCCGAGTCGGTGTCTGGGTCGACGATGGCGGGTGTCTGAGGAGGGGGAAGGGGGTAGGGTTGGGAAAAGTAGGTATTGGTGGGGTAGCTGGAGGGATAGTAGCTGAAGCCGTTCGAGCTGGATCCAGAGGCGTACTGGGGAGGGGAGAAGGCGGGCTGGGGGTGAGGGGTACCGGCGAGAAGCCGGGGGTCCATCCAGCCGGGAGAGTTGGTCGAGCCGCTGGGGTCGGTATAGAAGGAGGGGTCGGATGGGCGGGGCATCATCATGGGCCGCGTATGTGAGGGTGGAGGGCGCATCTCGTCCGCCGAAGAGTAAGGAGGGGTGGTGGATTCCGGCTCTCGAGGATACGACATGTTGGGCCGGATACCGATAGGACGGGAAGAGTGACGAGGGCTCGAGTTGACGCTCGTCATGGTAGCGGCCAAGATGGTAGGCTAGAACCACCGGCCGCGCTTCGCGCTGATCTGTGTGGGAGTCGTTCAACCCGGTCCAGCCGGCGAGTCCTGCGATATCGATAAGCCTGGAACGGGGTGAGACAGTGGAGGTGGCGGGTTGTCTCTGATGCGAAGGGATGGGCTATTCTGTCGAGCGATGAGGGTGTATGAGGTGTAGTTGAGCGAGGGAGGGGGACAAAAGACTTTTGCACCGTCAATCCGAGACAGCGCGCCCCTAAGGTTGGATCAATACACACAACTTGCACACACAACCCCTCCTTTCGCCCCTGCATGTGGCACTCGACAGCCACACTCGCTTACAGCAAGATCCGCTCCACTCACCAAGTTGTATCGAGCTGAAACAAGATCTACCCCGTGCAGGCACCGAGTCGCCTAGCGCCGTCTCCGAGTGTCTGGCGGCCGAGAGTGAAACTACAGGGGAAAGCTGGTATGTGAGGATGAGTGAGAAGAGGTTCAAGTGGCCTCATATCGCTGTACGCCTCTAGCTATAGTGATAACACCGGAGACCGAGTTCGACCCACACACATACCCACGAATGCGGAGTCCGTCCTTCCCCACCCTCCACTGCCGAGCGCGAGAGCCGAACCGAGGCCGCGTGCCGATCTAGAGCGCCACCGAAATCCTCAGAAGCATATGCGTCTAATGGTAACTCAGGGTACCCGTAGGCTGTCATCTCCAATCTGCAATCAGAGGCAGAATTGACGGCTAGATATCAGTTGCGAGCTGTGGTGGCGCCGCGGCGGGCTTGGCCAGCTGAGACCTTCCGGGGCTAAAAATCTTCGATGACCCAATCAAACGTAATGGCATCAAAAGAACAAAAGGCGCCCTTGCTTCTCTACCAACTATCGAAAGCTTGGCCCGTAATTTGGGCACGGCTGATACGCGGAGCACTTCCGCCGGAGAGCGGGGGAGTTGCGGAGGGTTGCGGACACCACAGGAGCCGCTGGATGGGGTCAGTGCCGCGGACGAAAGCAGGAGAGCCGAGAGGAGCCGAGAGGTAGACAGAGGTAAATGTCCGCCCATAGGTGTCCACCTATGAGCAATGGAAGTGGTCTCTGGGAATCAGATCTGTCGGATCGTGGAACACTTCGCTTAGCCTTCATCAAGGCCATTTGCCCACGCGCCAATCTTACCTGACGCAACCTCGGAATTTGATTGACGCCTTCCCATCGGCCGTACGCGTGCCTGGCCGTGCTTGCTGCTTATTGCGGCGCGGCGCATCAGCGGTATATCCAACTTATATCCAGCGTATATCCAGCATGTATTCTATCGATCTCAATACTGCTCTGCACAGGAGAAGACAGGAGAGCGGCTCGACGACAGAAACCAGCGGGCTCTTCGGCGCTTCGGCGAACGACACTCGTTCGATACGCAGTGACCTCCTGGTGAGTTGTTCTGCAAGCGGATTATACATGTAAATACCAGAAGCCTTTCACCAATCTTCACTAGTATATTGGCTAGTATATATCCCTCTCATTAGAGAGTTGAACCCTAAAAAGTTGGCGCGGATAAGAGCAGGGTTCGATTCCCTGGTGGAGAATTTCTTTTTGTCTCGACGCCTCTCTGCATGCATGCATCGGCTTGCTTTTTGCATGAGACGATAGCCAAGACGCCGGAGCATCGTCTGGAGGTGGAAGTAACAGCGTGGCATGCGTGATGCGTGAGAAATCGGTAGTTGAATGCGGAGGACGGAAGGCGGGTCGAGTGTGGCGGTCTGGGGAGACGGTGCTCCTGTCGGCTGTGCCACTCTGACATGGGCTCAAATGCGTCTGGGGTGTAGCCAGGATGCTAGGCTATCGCACAGGAGCAACTCTGATCATCTGTGGTGCCTGATGCATGCTGTATCGGTAGTACGGCGCGCCGGGACGGAATGCGGGATGAGTGTGGCGTTTAGCCGTCGAGGTCGTTCAAGACGTCAAGTGCATGTATGGTGTCGCTTTGAGCGCGTATCGATAGTCAAGAAGCCTGGTATCTTCTGGGAGCAGGAGTAAGAGCGTAGCATGGAGGACGCATGAGGAAACGGCAATGTGGTGCGGAGGACGAGAGTCGGATCAGATGTGGCGGTTTGGGCAGACGGCGCTCGTGTTGACTGTACTACTCTGGCATGAGCTCACAGACGTTTGAGTGTAGCCAGGACACTAGCCTATCGTACCATACATGACACAAGCTTCTGTGGTCTCTGATGCATGCTGGATCGGCGATATGGTGAGCCGGGACAGGGTGCGGCACGAGCTCGGCGCTAGCGGTCGTGGTCCGTTGATACATGAGGCTAGTCCGTGACCGCCTTATGCCTTCTCTGGTATGGGGAAGGGCAGAGATGTGGCCACTGTTCGGCTGACCTCGTCAACAGCGTTGTTTCCCTCGATTTCTCGCTCCTCTCCATTTATACCTCTCAAAGGACTCTCACACAATGCTTGGAACTTTCATCGTCGGGCGCCCTATCCCCGGAGCTGGTATGTAGTTCAAGAACCCGGAGGTCGACTAGGGGGTACGTGCGGGGGGAGATGACATGAAACAGCCACAGCGTCACGGTAGACTCACGCCAGCAAGCTCCGAAAGTCGAGTTGACTTGTTAGCGCGGTCGAACGTCCTAGGCCAATAAGCAGCTTCCGACCTCGCCAGCCCCTCCTGTCATAGTGATCACGCACGACAGTCTTGCTGCAGTCTCCGCGTAAGACCAGGGTTATTTAGAGGCTACCTTGTGTCATTGGTCAATTCCAGCGCCGCAATACCAGCAGGTCGGCGCTCTGTCAATAGGCGGATATTCTCCTCGTCCCCGCCAAGTGGGCGATCTCTCCGATATAGCTAGTCGCAGCGAGTAGATCAGGCCCAGGAATCTCATCAGCCATGTTAGCCTATTTGCAGTCAGTGTGACTTGTCTTTGAAGCGCATGAGGCGAGCCTAGACCCTGGCTCGGATGTGCTAAAAAAACGCAAAAAAGTTGACCACGCGAAGCTAGGCTTCGATCCCGTTGTTCCATTCCCAAGGGCAGTAGTATGTAGTCTGTCAAGGGTGCTTTTCACAGCGTAATGGGTGCGGACAAAGTAGTTGGGCTATGGTTATAGTTGGGATATACTAGTTCAGCGGAAGACCAAGGACGACACTAAAGCTACCCAAGGTATTTCGCTCACTCCCGCCCCCCCACCCTCCCGTAAACGACGGGCCCGTGCACAATGTTCCCGCTGGGGTACGCTACGTAGTCGAGAGGTGAGAAGTGAGCGTAGCAATATACTGTTCCCGACAATATAACGGTCTGCTTGTGAGCCTTGCTTCGTGCTTGCGCCAGAAGTTGCCGAGGCCAGTAGCAGGCGAGGCGCAGTTCAGGCTGACACCTCTACGTCGTGTCGGATGATCTGCCAGCTCCGCTCCTGCTTCAGGGGCCGGACTGGCTGCTGAAGAGCAACAGTCACGACAAAACCCAGGCAGATCTAAGGACGAGTGGGTCAGCTGGAAGCAAGCGTCAGGCGAATTTGGCTGCGACCGAGCTGTGGGGACTGCAGGCACCGAAGTCGAGTCAGCCTGCAGTGCCGCCCGTAGTCACTTATCAGCATGCTGTTCCTCTAGTATACGAGCACAAGAGTGAGCAGTGCGTCAGCTATGGGCAAGACCTGCGCAGCAGTCGCAGAGACATTAACTCGTAGCAAGTCGCTGCCAGCCTGCTTCAAGCTGATATACGTTCGGGAAGCGCTATCGTGAGAAGAGTACATTCGCACTGCAGGTCAGTCTGTCCGACCCGCAGGTCACAAGACTCCAGAGAGAAGAGAAAGGAATCTCCTCACAAGTTATTCAAACATGTGGGACCTTTTTGTCCACCAGTAAGGTTCCTCGAACCAAGAAGGGGTTTTGACTGGCCCAGCCATACGTGAGGCCGCTTGCTAGGGATTAGGGCTCAGGCAGAGGAGGCATAGTAGGCACGGAGGGAGAGCAAGAGAGCAAAGGGAGCAGGGGAAGCCAGAGAAGGGCAGAGGGAGTGCTGTGGGCGAGGGGAAGCCAATACCCCGACCACATCTAGCAACGGCTTGGCCATCTAGGTAGCCTGCGTCCGCGCATAGTCCCACCAGTATATGCTGCCTACCCTAGCGCGGCTCCTCGCCTGGCCAACTTCTCAGCCTGGTCAACGCTCCATCCAACGTGTCCTGCCCAGTTCAGCATACATCAGTCAAGTGAGATCGATCGGTTCATTTGTGCATGCCCAGCTGCACAGTCGGTATATACGAAGCTGGTAGAGATATATCTATTGCCTCTTGTTGATTCTCGTTACATCAGACCATATCAATCACGACAATACTGAAAATCAGCTTGACCTAGCCAATCTCAGGAAGAGACTCACCCATTGGTTCACCCCTCTGAAAGTCATCCCCCGTCGTCCGCTCAAACGCCTTTGTTGCAAAGTATCTACAGATCAGCTACACTCTACCGATACACAGCGTTGACTTACCGGACATCCGCATCCGTATCCTCCTGGAGCTTCTTGAGCGCCGGTACGACCTTCCTGCCGACAATCTCCTGCCCCTCCGGACTACCCGCAAGCACCCCCGCAAGCGTCTCGAGACACTTGGCGACGTTGAAGCGGATATTTGGGATAGGGTCCGAGGCGAGCTGGAGCGCCGCATCGAGAACGGTATCCCGGATGATTTGGACATTGAGGCTGGTCGCCATGGTCTATGGTCAGCACAGCTCAAGTCGAAACCTACGGTAATGGCAAAGATGGTGGTCATTCGGAAGAGATAGTTTGGGTGCTCGCCCATGGCCAGGACCTTGGGGATGATGGTCGTCCTTGCCCAGTCCACGCCAAAGACATCCGTCAGGCGCTTGAGGTTGATGGTGGCCGCCTCGCGGATGCTAAAGACGGTATCGCCCAACCACGACATGCAGAGCGTGCCGAGCTTGTCGTCAAAGAATTGCACGCCGAGCTGAGTGGCGAGGAGGGGAATGTACTCGATGATGGCTTGACGGACCCGCCATTGCTTGTCCTCGGCGAGCTCCATGATGGCGGGAAGAAGCGCTTGCGACAAGCGATCAATGCCGATAACTACATCAGCTCCGTCATATACTTCACTCACCATTGTTGACCTGCTCGAGCTTGCTGATGAGGTTCAAGCGGACCTCGGAGAAGTCATCCTTGAGCAGGGCGAGAAACATGGGGAGGAGGTGCTGGACGGTCGCATCGGTACCGAGAAGCGGGGCGAGCCCGGAAATCTGGGTAGCGAGCGCAGCGCGGACGTGCTGGCTCGAGTCGGTAGACAGATCGGTGATGCAGGGGAGGAAGCGAGCGAGGATGACTTCCCGGTCGACCAGCTTGGCAAAGCCTAAAGTCAGCCAATACCACAAAAGTGCTCACCTGGGATCTGTCCAGCACCAGCGGTCCTGACCTCGGCCTCATTATCCTTCAACAGGCCGGCAAACGCGCCAACCAACTCCTCCCTCACAATTCCATCTCCAACCGCCTCGGCCAGCGCCACAAATTCGTTGGCAACCATGTACCGTACGCGCCAGCTCTTATCGGAAACGCTGACCCGGAGCGGCTCGAGGAGGTGGTCTTTTGTCTCGGCAGCGGAGAGATTCTGTGCGAGCGCGATGAGGTCGGGAATGGTGAGGAGGCGGACCGAGTCTTGGTCGTCGGCCGCGAGTTTGCGGTAGAGGGGGATGATCTCAGAGATGAGAATGTTGTGTTGGCCATTGACCTTGGCAGCGGCTTTCGCAAAGGGCTATATCAGCTTTGTCGACACTGAACTCACTCCGAGGGCCTTGGCAGCAGCGCGTCGAACCATGGGCGTATCGTCCGAAACCAACGTCGCAAACATGCGGCGCATCTCGGTCTGCGTCTCGGGCGCGGCGGTGGGGTAGGGTGCGGCGAACAAAGCACAGGCGGATGTACGGGAAGTGAACCAGTCACCCTGGCAGAGACGGCGGAGGAGGGGGAGGAAGTGCTGGTCGAGGACCGGAGCAGAGAGGAGGACGGTGATTTTGGAGATGCTCTCCGCGGCCTGGAATCAGCTCGTGATGGACTAAAGCTTACCTTGTCCCTGACCAGAGTCTCTTCCACAGCCGCCAGGTTCTCCAGTGGGCCCAGGATGCACCACGCGTGCTCCTTGCCGCCGACATACTCTGCAAACCCGCCCAACTCCTCGGCGAGAACCAAGAGCACTTCATCCTCGTCATCCAGCTGGTCCTGGAGGAAAGGGATCAACTCGTCCCGCGTCCGCTGAGGTCCGAGGGCGAGTGCGATAGTGGATAACCGCCTGATAGAGGAGAGACGAAGGACGACATCCTCGGACTTGAGCTCATCCATGAGGAGGTGGATCGGGTAGAGGGAAGAGTCGGACATTGCGGCTGAGTTGTTGGCGGAAGGGGGTGGTATTTAGCTCTGAGGCCTAGGGTGCTACAGTTGCGTATCTAGCCTAGCTGCTGTGTGCTCGTGATTGTTGATCTATGGAGCACTGGCTAGAGCTTGAGGTATGTATCACAAAGGAAGTTGCTTGCGCGCATTGACGCGCTATCAACCATACCGGCGGCGTTCACCGGGAATTACCCCAGTGGCGCCACATCATCATCTCACAACTATGTACTTCTCAGCCTTCTCGTAGCTTGCAGCCGTGCATTCTATTCTACCATCATCTAAATCGACACTTAATCAACGTCCATCTCCTCAATCTTGGGTCCTCCATCCTCCGCCTCAACATCCATCTCCTCCTCCTGCTTGGGAGCCTCCTTCTTCTCCTCCTTGGGCGCCTCGGTCGTCTTGGCCCGGGGCTTGGGGCGGTTGATGATGGCGGCGCAGGTGTACTGGACGTCCTCCTTGCGCTTGAGGATTTCGGAAGAGATGATGACGGGCTTGACGTTCTTGGCCTTCTCGCCTTGGCGGTAGAGACCATCGTCGAGCCATTGCTGAGTGGTGGCACACTTTTCAATCTAGAAATTAGCGTGACCCTTCATATTCTTAAAACCACTTACCACTTTGTTGATGTCCTCTTCCGGGAGATGGCTGTACTTTTCATCCCCAGACTGCGCGGCAGTGAGGTATGTGTTGAGGACCTCACGAAGCTCAGACGCAGCCTTGGGCCGGTCCTCACTCTCCTTCCACCGAAGCTGGATCGGGTCGCCCATGACCTTGAGCTTGTCGAGACGCTCAACGTATTGCGACTTGGTCGCGTCCTCGCCCTCCTCCGAGTAGAGCCAGTCCTCGGCCTCTTGCAGACCAGCAAGGAGATCGCTCTTCTCCTTCTCCTGGACGTAGATGGCGTACCGGCCGTCAAGCTTGGACCGGTTGTCGTAGACGTACTCTTCAAGCGCGTTTTTGCGGTCCTGACCATTAGCGCAGCTCAACCTCCACCAGGTGTACTCACCTCGGTCTCCATAACCAGCTTGTCATCCGCGGCCATCTTGCCCTCCTTCTCCGTCATGTCATCCACCAGCTTCTTGTCGACCGCGGCGTACTGCGCAACGACCGGGCAATCCCCCTTGCGCTGAATCTTCTTGACCAGCTTCTTCTCCTCCTTCTTGTCCTCGCCCTCCCCGGTCGTCACCGTCTCCTCCTTCTCGACCTCCTCGACCATGTACGCGCCTTCAAAGTTGAGGACACCGTGCAGGTTCAACCGCGTCTTGACCTTGACAACCGCGAGCTCGCCTGATGCCGGCTTTTCGACGTTTTTGACGGTGAATTTGCCAATCCAGGGGTTGGTGCCCTTGGGGAGGTTCTCGGGCTCGGCGTAGCTTGCCTCGAGCTCGAACGGACCCTGGCGGTAGAAGGTGAGGATCTTGGTGGATGGGATGGGATTGCCGGTAGGGAAGACGGTGAGCTCCGTGTCCTCGTCCGGATTGCCGGCCTCCTTCTCCCAAGTGACCTTGATGGGGTAGGTGGCAATGTCGTGAACGGCAAACTCGCGCACGCGGAAAACGGGCGAAAGCGAGGCGCAGGCAAAGGTGGCACCGCGCGCAATAGCCTCGTCCTGGTTGAGGGTAAAGCCGAGGGTCTTGCCGTTGAAGAACGACTGGATCCGCTCCTTGATGGCGGGAATACGGGTAGATCCGCCGACAAGCTCGACCGCATCGATCTGGTCCACCGTCAACCCCGCCTTGGCCAGCGCCTCCTTGATGGGGTCCTGGACGCGAGCGAGCAGGAACTCGGTCAACTGCTCAAACTCCTCCCTCTTCAATGACCCCACCGCGTCCACATCGTTCATCAAACTCTCGACATTGATGGGCGCCTCCCCGTTCGCCGACAGGACCTTCTTCATCCGCTCGCACCCAGTCGTCAACCGGAAGACGGCCTTGGGCGAGTTCATGACGTCGATCTTGTACTTTTTGTCAAACTCCTTGGCAAAGTGCTGGACCAGCGCATAGTCAAAGTCACGACCACCAAAGTGGCGGTCGTAAGCGGTCGACTTGACATTCAGCTGGCCCTTGGAGAAGCCGACGACCGAGACCGAGTAGTTGGAGTGACCGACGTCGATAAAGCAGACGTGACGTTGAGCGTCCGCCGACTCGGGGAGATCCGCCTTGGTGATACCGTAGCCGAGGGCGACGGCGGTGGTGTCGTTGATGAGACGAAGGGGGTTGAGGCCGGCAATGTTGGCGGCGTCAATGAGGGCGCGGCGCTGAATGTCGGTGTACCATCCGGGGACGGCGATGACGACGTCCGAGACGGCCTGCTTGAGCTCTGCAGCGGCAATGTCTCTCAGGCGGCCGAGGTAGGAAGCGACGAGCTGTGTAAAGGTGAAGGTGTTGGGCTCGCCAAGGTAGTTGACCTGTAATTAGCTTTGCCGGGATGGGAGCTCACCTTGACACCAATTGTCCCGTTCACGTCCACGAGCTGAGCATTGATAAACTTCTTCTCATACTCCTCAACCTCGGGGTCCTGCAGTGTCCGCCCAATCAATCGCTTCAACGACCCGACGGTGTTTTTGAAGTTGGAGGTTTCGGCGGTCTTGGCGGATTCACCAATGAATCGTTGGCGAGGGGTGAAGGATACGAGCGAGCTGAGATTAGCTATGAAGCGGAGTAGAGCTTACGGGGTGGCTCGGTTTGACACCTCATTGACGATAATGTCAATACCACGGTGACGGGCGACACCGATTTTGGAGTTCAAGTTCCCGAGATCGATACCGACGACGCTCTGCTTGTCAGCTGTATCGCTTGAGGTGTAGAGCTGTACTTACAGCCATTTTGATAGATGTTTTGGATGTGTGTGTAGGTAGGTAGAGATGATACAAAGCAAGGAATTCAGCAACGGCGTGGAGGTCCTTCGAACTTTTCAGAGCTTCCAGCTACTTCCAGAAGGGTCGAAATAGGCGCAGAGTAATCCACACGCCTATATGTAGCTGTATTTGATAAGCTTGATACGATGACGTGGTGACAGCTCTGACGCGCCGGATTTATTTCGAACTGTTTTCGCCGCAAGAGGCAACGGATGGGCGGATCGACGAGGTATATCACTTGTTTCGGCCCAGCATTCCGTCGCCGGGCACCTCTTGCTCCTTCCGAACACCAGCAGCTTCGGAGAAGGCGCGCAGCGCGTGACGAAGAGTGCGATGGGTGCATGGCAGGGATGGTGATGTCGACTTCACCTCATTCTTACCGTGTCATTTTTTGGTCCTTTTCGAGCTGGCTCGCTTCCTGGTTCTCGGTTGACTTCGGCTTCGACAGTCATACCCGACCACTTACACTCCTTCACCGCAGCGCGGCCATACACCCTTGACGGGCATCACTTTAGCAACATGCTTTTTAATCCGCTCGTCCTACTCCCCTTCCTCCCTCTCTTCCTAGCGGCACCGTCGCCTGTGGCGTATAATCCCTTTCCCCCGCCCAATCTCGACGTCATTCCGCAGGCTCACCTCTATCATGGTCGTGCATCATTCAGCCCCGAGCTGCTCACGGCATACCGCACCGCCGAGAACCTGGGTACGAGCCCGGCGCAACGGTTCGTGGAGGGAGGGAAGCACTACAAGCGGGGAGCGAGTAATTTGCAGCTGAGGGGAGTGGGACAAGGGCGGAAGAGCAAGGTCAGGGTGGTCAAGCGAGCAGCAACGACCTGTCGGCCCATCACGACCTCGTCGGTCTCGGCCACCATCACTCCCACATCCACCGCCAGGCCCACCACGAAATACGCTACGGTGGATGCTCCGAGCCGAAGCAAGACGTCCAGTCTGCCTTCGGAGACTTCCGTTGCTCCATCTGAGAGCTCTGCTATCAGCTCTTCCATGGCATCATCGAGCTCTGCCGTGCCAAGCCCCAGCTCCAGCACCTCGATCGCTGCCAGCTCCTCTTCGTCGCCATCGCCCTCCCCATCTCCCACACCCTCACCATCCCCATCTCCATCGCCTTCCCCTTCCCCCTCGCCCTCTCCCTCCCCGTCACCCTCTCCCTCTCCACCAAAGCGCATCACCAACGACCCAAGCGGGACGGACGGACCTTTCTCTGGATGGGGAACGTGGTACGATGTGGTATGTCCTCCTGCGCTCAACCAAGACGTCGAGCTGATAAAGTAGGGCCTGGGCGCTTGCGGCAAGTGGGACACTCCGGATCAACCCATCGTCGCTATAGCTGCCGAATTGATGGACAACTGGCCGGGGTAGGTCCATCCCTTTTGACACAGCATCCCAGCTGACTGGCAGATACGACGGCCGGAACCCCAACAACCACCCCATGTGCGGCAAGCACCTCAAAATCACCTGTAAGTCTGTCCCTCTCTGTGCAAGAGCTTTTTGCTGACATGGTAGGGGGCGGCAAGTCCACCATCGCGCGCGTAGCCGACCGCTGCCCCGGCTGCGCCGTCCGCTCACTCGACATGTCCAAGGGGCTATTCGAGTCCTTTGCGACCCTGGACGTCGGGCTGTTGGGGATGGACAGCTATACCGGCAACATCACCTGGAGCTGGGTGGAGGGTCAAGGGGCTCTGCCGAGCTTGCCTTTTACTCCATGAGGTAGTGATCAGGAGGGGGAGGGGAGGATCTCGAAAAAGGACATTGGACGTGGACTTTGGGATGTGTGGTACCATGCGGCTGGCCCGGTGGTCCACAGTAGATAGTTAATAATAGGTAGAAGTCAATGGATACTCCACAATATGCATCTATAACTTTGCAAGCAGTCGAAGGGCTGGACTCGAAGCAGCGAGCAACTGGGCGTGGGGTATCTCTCTGCTTGTATAGGTACTACGCTTATCCCTTGCGCCGGGGTAGGCAGCCTCTCTGCTCCTGCTCCGTTGGGACTTATTGTGTGGTCTAAGACCACTCCATTCCCTGAACGTTGAAAATACCGCTGCGGAGGTGCTAGAGAACCGGCCTACGAGCTCGGCTAAGCACCTCGATGCTGTGACCCATCCAGAACGCCTAGCGATGCACGTTTCAGTGTTGCTGGACGATGTGGCAGGCAGAGAGGCCAACCTGTCATGTGTTCCATTACCGCTCCATTCTCTGGTGTGGCTGTGAAGGTGGCAGAAAAATGAGCTACGAGCTCGGTCAAGCACCTCAACGCTGTGAACCATCGAGAAAGCCTAGCGATGCGCTTCAGTGTTGCTGGACGACGGGGCAGGCAGAGAGACCGACCTGTCACATCTTCTGATACCGCTCCATTATCTGGTGTGGCTGCGCAGCTGCTAGAAGCGGTTGCTGTCGCCCTTCCATAAGCCTAGCGATGCGCTTGTCAGTGTTGCTGGTGAGGGAGGCCCTCCGGTCAAGACTGTTAATGGAGTGGGTAGATCTCGCTCTACATTTTAGCTTCCGTTTGTTTCACCTTTGCAGCTGGTTTCATGTTGGTTTCATAGTAGCCATACTCTTCAGATGCTTCTATACCGCATTTTAACAAAGACAACCCCGCACCAGCTGGCCTCTGATGTAGAAACGAGGATACCAAGGTCCGCTAGCCATGAGGACTCGGCACTCAGACGACATAATACCTTGCTCCATGCATGCTAGATTATACAAGCTCAGCATTGACGATTCCCAAAGTCCCATAGTTCCTGCGAGCCAACAAAACACAGACAAGCTCCACTTTTCACTTGGCGACCCAATCTAAATGACATAGCGGAAGCCTGACTGTCAGCATTGATCACTGCAATACGAAAGGCAACTCACCCTGAGCCTTGTCGTAGAACTCGTGAGTGTCCAAGTGCGTACCCGCTGGCGGCCTGCCGCCCTCGGCCTCATCCCTGCGCTTGTTCTCGAAGCGGTAGTAGAGGGTCATGCTGAGAGCGATGAGGAGACCAAACGCCTGGAACGCAATGTTGACGATTGAGCCCTTGGTGTACGAGGGTCCCTCAACCGAGGGGAAGAGGAAACTGGCGGCGAGCGAGAGGGACTGTCCAATGGAGTTGCTGGAGGTCAGCCACGACCACAATCCAGCGTGGAAAGACCTACAGGTAACCAAGAGCCGTCGCACGCTGCGATTCGTTCGGGTTATTACCGGCTTGCCAGGAAATAATAAGCGGGATGTTGGTGTAGCCGGCAGTGACGATGCAGCAGCAGGCAAAGTATCGGGCAGAGTACTGGGACTGGGAGATGTTGGCAGCCTAAAAGTCAGCGCCATTCTCGGTCCAATCTCTCTGTCCCCAACCCGGCCAGACCCGGCGAAGGCGAGTCACTGGTATCCGATTGCTGAGTGCAAAGGAAGTTGGACCCAAGGCACCCGAGAAACTTACCGGAACGGAGAGGAGAATCGCCCAGCCGACAATACCGATCAAGAAGACCGACATGATGGGGATACCGCGGCTTTGCTTGTAGTCGGAGAACGAGGTGAGGAGCAGCATGAATACGAGGGCGACGGCATACGGGGGCACGGTGAAAAGTTGGGCCTGAAAGTCAGTCATGGGTTTTTTTGAATGCGGATTTTTTTGGGAGTTTTGGCAACTCCTCTGGGACTCTCTGGGACCCTCTGGGATGCTCTGGGGATGTACAGGGGACGTACCTGAGCATTCGAGTAGCCGAAACCTTTAATAATCGTCGGCAGGAAGCCCCCCACACTTGCCAGGGTCAAGTTCATGCACGAGTACCTTTCTGTCAGCTAAAAGAAATCTGAAAAAATCAAGTGGAACTCACATGATGGCAATGACGTATGACTTCCAGTCCTGACGCTGTCAACCTGTCCCTATGACAGAAGAGAATTGACCTACCGTAGCACACCGCTTGACACCCTTCCAGTCGATACCGAGCTCGGAAGAAACGCCGGCGGAACGGTTGAGACGGGTGAGACACAATGTGCGCTGGTCCTCGGTGAGGTAACGCGAGGTCTCGGGACGGCCGGGCATGAAGAAGAAGGCGACGATACCGAGCAGTACCGATGGGCACCCCTCGATGAGGAAGAGGATACGCCATTGGGCGATGGAGGAACGCTGGATGGATGAAACACCGAAGGAGATGAGACCGCCGAATGCGCCGGCGAGGGCACCGGCCGAGATGAAGAGACCGACACGTTTGGCGAGATCGCGCTTGGTGTACCAGAGCGACAGGTGGAAGGCCATCGCTTGACCCTAGCGAGTTAGAAAAGTTATGTCCAAAAAAAAATGTAACTTACGAACATGGCCTCGCCGATACCGACAAAGAGACGGCAGACAAACACACCGGCGGGGTTCATGGCGGCCGCCTGGCAAGTCGCGGCGACACTCCAGATGAGACATCCGATGGCGATAGTGGTGCTAGGGTTGTACTGCTTGGCGAGAAGGGTACCAGGGATGGAGAAGACGATGTAGGTGATGACTAGACGTCAGCGGTAGCCTTGCTCAATCTATGGTGGACGTACAGAAGCAGACGAGGGCGATCGAGTAATTAGTATCGCTGTTGTTCAGAGTCTGCTCCTGAAGACCTTGGAGACGGGCATTGGCCAAGTTTCCTCGGTCAAGGTAGGCCGAGAGATAGAGGAGGACAGCAAAGGGGAGGATGCCGAGATCTTAAAGTCAGTTTTGCTTTCCTCCCGGGTGGTGAGTTACTTACCCAGCTTCATGATGAGCTTGCGCTCCGCCTTGGCTAGCTCGCTCTTGTGGGCAAAACCAGACTCGCTGTCGGCGTATCGACTGCTGCCCTTGTCGCCGTCGGTCATCCTGGTGCCAGTGGGCTGGAGGGATTCGCCGTCCATGTGGTTCTCGTGAACCATGTCGGGCTTCTCGCTCATTGCGACGCGCTTGGACATCTTGACAGTGAGTGCGGGTTGGCAAGTGTGAGGGGGATGAGCGGGATGGAAATCGTCGGGGGAAAAGAGTCCGGGTTTTATACCTCTCGCGTTAGTATGGATCAGCGCGAGCGGGTTCAGTCAGAATCAGGGGTGGGACCCCATTGTGCCTGCCGGAGGATGAGCCCGGCGGATACAGCTGCGGGTTCGGAATGATCCCACCACTGCCAGCGCCACTAGGGCAAGGCTAAGGACGGTCATGAGATGGATGGACAAATCATGAAAGCTGAGATCCAAATCCCGTGACCTAAGGAATGCTCAAAATAGTCCGCGAGCTGCCGGCAACTCCTCTTTTTAGCTCAGATCTGTTATTTCAAGCGGAGATCTGCGGGGCCAGGCTTGAAAGATCGGTCTGTAACTGCTGTAAGCTTACCGCCCTAGCGCGTCGCACAGCGTTGGTATATCGGTCCGGTCCCGCCGGTTCTATCTTCCACCACTCCTGTCCCGATATAACCGATGCGATCTGTCCCGAGGTGTAGATTAGATAGCAAGTGAGGTGGCATCTTTGATGCAGGTATCGATAAGCTGCATCGCATAAGATCGCCTACTTCCAGATCGACAGAGAGCACTAGGACCTGCGGCGAGCAGAACGTCGCCTTGGGTGAGGCTTCCCCTGCCCTGCTGCGCTTCCCCTTCGTGGTCGCCGCCAGTATAGCTTGCATGGCAGTCGCGACCACTGCCCGCCCGGGTGGCCAGTCTCATCTCCACCCGATACTCTTACACCACCAATGTCAGGTCATTTGCCCACATCAACCCACTTGACGCCAGCCACCCATACCGATACCAAGTCATTTGCGACTTGTGCTCCCTCATCGCCCGGACGCTCCTTATCCAGTCGGTCCCGCTCGAGGTGACGGAAAAGTCCGCCTTGACTGGAAGCTTAACGTCGAACAAGTCTGCCCATTCCGACATGCCCTTGGCGAGCTGATAGTAGCCCCGACGGAAGACCGGGTTGAGTGGACCAGAGTACTTTTTGAGGATGGACGGGGTGTTGAGGTGGTAGAGCATTGTGGGGTGTGTGGAGGAGGGGGCGGGGCGGAAAGACGAAAGCGAGGCGTGGTTGGGATGCGCAGAGATGCCGTGCTTGTCGAAGGTGACGATCTGGATGTCAGCCGGGGACAGATGTTAGATAGAAACAACTCACTACGTCAGCAGGCTGGTCAGAGAGGTATTCGCTGACTGCACGCTGGACGTCCTCGCTCCTCCAGACCGCTCCCATATTATCAGGGAATGACCTAATTATCAGCTGAGCAGTGTTGTTGAAACATATCGACTAACGAGTCGTTCAGCCACTTGACATGGCTCTCTTGCAATCCAAAAACCCCATAGCTCCGCTTCAGCTCCTCTACCCTCTCCGCGCCCAGGCCCTCCGCGTTCCCCGTGGACAGACACAACCCCCTCACTTCCCACCCATGGTTCTTCAGCCCCATGATGGTGGGCGAGAAGAACATGGCTTCATCGTCGGGATGAGCAGTGAGTATGAGCGCTGTGCGGCCCGCACCCGTCGCATCGATATGGGCGCGCGGTGAGTGGTGGTAGACCGGTTGTAATTGAGTATTGAGGGAGGGCGGGGGTATGATCATGGCCAGAAGCAGGGCCGTGAAGCTCCACAAGATGGGCAGAGTCAGGGTCGCCTGGATGTTCCAGATAGTGTGTGCGCGGGACGGCATAGTATGATGGGTACACGATAGATGATAGAGGTGCAACGGAGCTTTTAAGAAAAGTTGGAAGGAACGTGTGTGGACTGGCCAGGCCAAAACACCAAGCGCGTGCCTTAAAACGGATATCCGGCGAACTCCGCGAGGGGTGATGCTCTTCCGTCCTCACATGTGAGCTAGCCGAGAAAGCTCCTGCGTTGTGTCGTGCAGCAAGTCTACCATGTGCATGTGCGTTACAGCGTACGACAGCTTTCATCCCTGACGACACTACAGTACCCGCCTCACAAGCACTTTAAGGATGTGGTGGAGGCCGTTGCTTATCCGCCACGCTGGCTAGGGCTGCAAAAGGGGGTAGAGTATTCGTCTGGCCAGCCCGCTGGCCTTGTTGAGGGGGCTGGGCATCAGCACAGACCACCCATACAAAAAGCCAACTTACAACTCGAAACATCGGATTGATCAAACCCTGCCCCTCCCAGTCGTTGATAGGAGGCAAGCCCTGCTGCACATAGTCCCGTCCTATTCCCTGACCCATCGCCACCGCCGTGCCTGTTGGATGACCGTATGGGCTGGTGGGCGCAGAGCCTTGTGTCTGGGAAAACATCTCGGTAGAGCCGTGATGATGGAGGTACTGCGTCGGGACAGGCGGGAGGTCGTGCAAGCTGAGCGCGCTTTGACCGTGCAGTGACATGCTGCTCTGTCCGTGGCGACCAAGACTCGTCGAGGAGGAAGAGCCGACATTGGCGTGGACCCTAAAGTCGTTGGCGAGCTGAGAGTCTTGGGACAGATTCGATATAGACATCAAGCGTGATTTGGAAGCGGATCGGGATCCAGGCTTGTTGAGCGAGTGCGAGGCGTGTCGGCGGGACTGGCCTTCATGAATGGGATCGAAATTTCGGCGCGGGCCGGGACTATCGTCAGTGATGCTCGTCCCTCCACTTACTCGCTATCTATAGTCCCAATGGTCAAGGCGCTCCGACTCTTCAAGCTGTTGATATCCAAGCTCGATCTGGAATGATCAAGATCATCATCCCTTCTCCTCGCCTTGTGCCGAGCTCCGTACAGAGGATCCCGCTCCATCTCCATTCTGTCCCGCTGAGCCAACGCCGCGATGGACACGCTCTGACTCCCGCCCGACTCGTGAGAGTGTACGCTGACAGCGCTCTGCCCTGCCGGATGCGGCAACGCGAGGCTCGCGCGGGAACCCGATGCCGTCTGACCGAGGTTGGCCGACGAGCCGACGCCAAGATTGTTGACATTTGTCAACTTGCTAGGCTCGAACGATGAGGACGCATTCAACTCAAAGTCTTGCCCTTGCTTGACTGCGCCTTCTCGCTTCTGCATGACCGCCCGCGCGCGCTCCTTTTGCCGTTCCACTGCCGCCTCGCGCTTCTGCTTTTCCACTTCCCGTGCTTGCCGCTCCGCCTCCTTCTTGGCCTTTTTGGGGTCCAGTATTGTAGCTGGATCGACCGGCCGTGGTTGATTCCCAGATTGTGTGCGCTTGAGCGACGACCCAGCGTATCCGGTATGCTCATCCACGGGCGGAAGGTGCTTCTCGCTGGACCCAAAGACGCTGGATAGACCCCACTTTTTCTTCTTGCTGACGGCGCCGACAGGTGCGGGCGGAGGAGGCATGTATACCGGCGCTGACTCGATGGGCACGATGGGGGGAGGTACCTGCGATCCGGCACGACGAGGATCAGTGTCGTACTGGTTCTGCCGTTCGACGTACTGCGCGACCTCGTCCCGAGATGGCCGAGTGGGCCTGGTACGCGGCTGATCCGAAATGTTGAGGCCGGACATGGAGGGAGTGTGCTGTCTGGCGGACGCAGAAGACCCGTCGGGCGTGGCGTACGCTGGATGCGATTCTTGCCACCGCTTGTCTCCCGCCAAAGGCGGCGGCCGATCGCCATAAGATGCTAGATCTTCCGTAGGAAGGTCCAGCTCCCGGAGCTGATTGACCAGCGCAGAGGCGCCAAAGACTCTGCCGTCCGCTTCGCCGTGTGGGGGGAAGAATAGCCGTCCCGAACCCGAGCGAGAGCCGTGGTCCGGAGTGCTGATTGGCGGAGGAAGGATACGCATATCCCCGTCCGCGAAAGCAGGGCGGGTTGGGGGTTGAGGCATCGCTTGATGGGAGTGGGATGGGGGAATTTGCCGGGGAGGAGCTGTGAGGTTGGGAGCGGGTTGCCGTAGCGCGCCGGGAGCTGGTTGACCCTTTGAGAAGGGTACTCTGGGAATGGGCGGTGTTTGACGGAGATGGGGAAGGGTTTCGTGAAAATAGGGATGTTCGATGCACTCGGCCGAGGTGAGCCGATAGCGGGGGTTGTACCGGAGGAGATCCGAGATGCAGTCGATTAGGGACTGCGGGACGTTCTCGCTGAACAGGCCCCGAAAGTGAACGGGCTTGAGCTTGGGGAACGAGAAGCCGACATTCTTGGCGAGCTTGATTCCCGTGTTCCAGCTTCCGCCGCCGATGGTCCGTCCTCTCTCATCATGCCCGTATTCGGACGACGGATCACCCATCGTCCCGCAAATCCGAAAGACCTGGTCGATTTCGGAGACACCGGGGAAGAGGGGTTTGAGATTGACCATCTCCGCCAGGATTGTCCCCAGCGCCCACATGTCCACCGGCGGGCCGTACTCTCTCGACCGCAGTAGCACCTCTGGGGCGCGGTACCACCTGGTCGAGACGTACTCGGTGTATGGAGGTTTGCTATTGGTGGCTCGAGCTAAACCAAAGTCCGCCAACTTGACAATCACGGAGACGTCCTTTTCATACCGCATCTCCACCTCTTCCGTACCCCGCGCGTTGATGGTATTGAGTGTGGCCGCCGTGAGATAGTCGGTCAAGCCGGTAGTGGTGACGAGGAGGTTTTCTGGCTTCATATCGCGATGAAAGTAGCCGTGAAGGTGGATATGGTGGAGTCCGGCAGAGATCTGGTGAAAGCAGGAAGCGACGAGTCCGGCTGCGAGCGGTCGACCTCGACGCGATTTGGTGAGCTGATAGAGGTTTCCCTCCATGCACTCAAATACAAAGTAGAGCTCGCGAGATTTGGGCGAGATGAAGGCGTCGTAGAGGGGGATAATGTTGTCGTGAGGTGGTATTAGGCGGAGGGACTGCATGTCAGCCGGCTAGGATGTAGGCAGGGACCAAACTCACAGCCAATTCCCCTAGATTCTTCGCCTCTCCCCATCCTCCCTCCCATACCCGCTTCATCCTCTTCAGCGCAACCAGTTTCTTTCCCGACCACTCTGGCCTCGCACCCGCTCCGCACTGCATGGCTGAGAGGTACGTCTGCGCCCGCACCGGCGAATGCCAGTCGCATAGCCATACAGTGCCGAAACTGCCGTCCCCGAGGCACTTGACCTCGGTATAGGATCTTTCCCCAACTAGCAAATTAGCTTTTGCAAGTTTCCAGATGTCAAGACTTACAAGGATCGTCCACGCCGACCCGCCCATCCTCATGCTCTACTGGTCGCTCTTCCCTCCTCCTCTCACTTCCACTCGGCCTCCGGTAGGTGGATGGACCCGCCTGCTGACCCCACTCTCCGTTGTAGGCAGGTTGCACCTGGTTCTGCTGCTGAGAGAATTTCGAGGGCGAGGGCGAATGATGGGAAGGAGAGGGAGACGCGTACTTGGCCGCCGAATAGTACTGTGCCGAAACTGGGCTGGGGTAAGGCTCCCCCGCTGGGTAGTGCGAGGGGGAGGATGTGTGCTGTGGATAGCTAGGATGGTGATGTGGGGGTGGAGGCTGATATGGATGTTGAAGATAGGTCGATCCGCTCGAGCCGATCGAGACGGTCGGTTGAGGCGATATATCATACCCCATCCTCTCGGCGGAGGATATGATCCTGCCCCGCCCGTCGAGGTGATTTGGCGTCGACGTTGAGGACATGGTGAGATATGCCTCGCGGTCGTTGAGGGGCGGCGAGATGGGCAGAGAGGGGCCAAGAGTGGTCATGACCAGCGTCTGCTCATGCGTGGCGTCGCCTCTGAGGATGTGCCCTGTCCCGAGCCGACCCGCCTACGCGTTAGGATGACAAGAGTCGGCGCAAGAGAGATGGACGGTAAATGTCGAGTCTGGCAATTGTAAAGTTGACGATGAGACGAGGTCCGAGCTGACCGCGCGTTTCAGATGGCGCCGTCCGACCGAGATCGCGCAGCGATGTGGCAGGGTCCAGGCTTACTGTCCAGTGGACCTGCACAGTCAATATCCATTCATGGAGGGTACACAAGGGGCAAAAGGGCCGGAGTGCAGCCCAACCCTCGCTGCGATGCACGCGAGCCTACGCGGGTGGGGTGTCTCACCTGTATGGTCAAATGGTCCCTTGGCGATCGAGCCCTGTCAAGAAGTGACTTGTTCGGCGCGTATCGAGGACGATCGATGCAGTCAGCCAGTGTCCTGTGCGTATGGTGGTGTAGATCTGGTCCAGTTGTAGATGGATAGTATGCACGAAGTAGAGTGCTGCTAGACCTCCCGCTCAAAAGTCCAGTGCTGCGTTCTCGTAACATGGGCACTAATAGACTTTTCTGTTCTACGCTCTAGTGCTAGCCTGCTTCGCTGCCCTCGCTGGCGAGATCGGCGCGTACGCACTCAGCGCTCAGCGCAGTGCCGTGCCTCTGCTGTGCATCGCCTTGATCGGCGGAGACTGTTCTGTGGCGCTCAAGGCAGCAAGCATGACCGCAAAGAGCGTCAGCTTCGGTGCGAATACCAACTTTGGCTCAGCCGTGCCTGATTTGCGTGAGCCAGATTCCTGAACTAACGGAACCACCCCGCAACTGGTAATACCTAGAATGGACCAAGGCACTCTGAGGTATTGCTGACTTGCACTTTACTGATATCGTACGCATGCTATCACCTTTGTAAGATTGCCTAGAACGCCCAAACTATACACAAGAAAGCGATTAAAGAGAGAAACAAGAGCCATATCTACCCCGACATTTCGACACATGAGCCTAGATTACCCATCCCTCAAGCCTTGTCGGCGATGTTGCCCGACGAGCTGGGCGCGACAGAGTCTCCGGGGTGGATCCGGGTGTGCGCACCCTCACCGTGCCGGTGACCGAGGGGGAAGAGGAAGCTGTGGAGGGGCTTGACGGCCCAGAGGACGAGGATGAGGAAGATGGGCTGGACATCAGCGACAGGTCGGGTCACCAGGATGGAAAGCTTACGAGGTACTCGAACACACCAAAGACCCACTCGTGGGTAGCAGCGTAGCCGTAGATACCCTGAGCACCCTGGGCGATCCGGACGATGAGGCGAATGAGGAAGAGCCCGACAGAGATGAGGATTTGGGTGAGGAGGGCTTGCGAGAGGGGGTAGTCGGTGGCCGGGTCGGCACTGGACAGGACGCGGTTCACCCGCTTCTTGATGACGAGGACGAAAGCGGCAAAGACGATGATGCTGATGGCCTGAAGGACGTTGCCGGAGAGGAAGATGAGGGTGGAGGTCTGGGGGTCAGCTGTGTGAAGGTGGACATGGGCAGAAGGAGAGAGAGGGCAGGAGATAGTACGAGGCAGAAGAGAGGAACGGAGCGGGAGTGTGGAAATACGCAGCAGAGAGGGAAAGCTGATAGGAAGAGCAGGGGTACAGGAGCTAAGGAAAAGGGTGGGGAGAGCAAGGGAACAGCCAAGAGGGAAGAGGTAGCATAGATGAAGATGATAGGGGAGAGGAAGGGGACGGGGGAGAGGCGAAAGCAGGATACAGGAAGGAGGAAGGAGAGAGCGGAATAGATCAGGTAGAGGTCGGATAGTATACGCAAACAGGGAGAGGAGAGAAGATGCAGGCAACTCACACCGACAGAGAACATGGGCTCAGTACCGGTAAACTCGGCAGCCTGGGCGGAAGATGCGAGGTACTGGCCACCAATCTGGAAGAGCACAAAGATGACGTCCAGGATGATGAAGACTGGCTGTCAGCTGAGTCCTACACCATTGGCGTTGGGAGACGTACGAGAGAGCATAGACCTGGGACGCATAGGTGAGAGCTGCATACCGACCGGGACAGGGAAGTACTTGGCGTTACGCTGGACGGACTGTACTGTCAGCTTGTGCACAGCACAAGCGTGTAGAACCTACCTTGTAGAGGCCGGCGGTAAGGAGGACGGTAGCGAGCTGGATGAGCGACATGCCTACCAAGAATCCCATTCCCTTCTCATCAGCTTTGAACCTTTTTTGGCGAAAAAGTCACTCACGTCAAACTCCCAAGTGTTCGAGTAAAGCCTTGCACCAAAGCCAAGAGCCTCGATAGCCTGGATGTCAGCTTGGACCACGGGGGACAGGGATCAACTTACAGCGGCAAAAGCAAAGAGCAGGTGGACCGACCGGACACCGCGCTTGGTGAACAGGTAGAAGGCGTGAGGACCAGCGACAAGGAGCATGGTGATGACACCGACGATACCCATAGCGAGAGACGGAACATAGCCCTGATGATCAGCGAGTGTTAGAGCATGACGAGCCGAAAGACTCACAAAGAGCCAGATGGCAGCCTCGCCCGTAGGCGGGTTGGTGCGGATAGGTCCAGAGTAGCCCATGATGATATATTAGAGTCGTTAGGCGATGTCTACAAGTCAGCTGTGCCCATGGACCAGATGGAAGGGTACCTACAGTAGCTAGTCGTAAATATCTTGAGATCGTTAGATGTCGTAGATGGATGTTGAGCTCGTTAAGGTGGATGAGGGATTGGATTGTACAAGGCTCGCAGAGCGTGGGGACATCTTTTCGAGGGGTTGAAGCCTCCTTATATCTCTCTGGAAAGCGAGAGAGCGCCTCCCCCACTCCAACCTTAGCCCCATCCCGCCCAGACAATCAACCTTCATCAAGGGACACCCTGTCAACGCTTGGATCGTATCATGCTGAGATTGTGTACCGAGTGGGGCCTTAGCGTGTGTGTCACACGAGAGGCGTTCTGTCGAGAGCGGAGGAGTCCATTGCCGCTCCGTACCCCTTTAACGTGTTGGTTTTGCGAAGCCGTTTCACGCTAAAGGTCCTTTGAGACTTGCCGCACATCGATTCGTCGGAGGTAGATTGACGAGTATAGTGGTGAGACTTGTTCGGGTGAGACCAGTCTAGTGTAGTGAAGAGTGGGGGCGAGATGAATTGGCTTGTCGAGGGCGGAGTGAGAAGCGTCCAAATAGAAGCACGAAGAAGGTTGATTGATTGACTCATGGGTTGATTGATTGTGCGCTTACGCCCTGAACGTGATGGTGACCACACAAATTGATCGGCTCCTTCGCCGGATGGGCGCCATGATGACACGGGCGAATGGTCGTCAAGGCACGCTCCCGGAGATGGAGATCGATCTGATCCGGTCGATAAGCTTCAGCTTCCTGGTACCCCTCCTTTGGCTAAGATCCCGTGGCGTCGTCAAGTGACATCTGGCACGCGCTGACACATGTTGATGGTTGTCATGTAGCGACGTCCAAAGCGATGGATCGGGAGCTTGAGGGCTATTGTCTCGTAGAATCACAGTTGAGCGCACGATCAAACGGGTGAAACTGTAGGCGGGCTTGTGGATCTTGGACCTGCCAAAGGAAGGAATGCTGCTAAACCTTCCTCTTCCGGCGGAAAGATTCTCAGAGCCGAGCCTCGCTTGGGTCCGCTCGCGGCTGAGCAGCCTAAGCTGGACTGTCGAGCGACATGGTTGAGTCGCTGGCGCTGGATGTTGCAGCTCAGGTCCGGGCGAGCAAGACGAATGCCTCCTTTGTCAAACAGCCAACATGCATACGAGAGCCACACCAGCATTCCCAACAGCGTCTGGATCCACGCTGCGGTCTGGCCCTCCCCAACCTATTCGCTTACGGAGGAGGAAGGTACCAGGGTAGTTTCGACGCTCCAATCCTGCCTGGCTGGGTGCAAGTGCACTGATCGTGGTGCGCTATCCTGTCAGGGTGTGCCCAGGACAACAATGGAGCCGAGACTGACAGATGGATCGCGCAAGTCACCTTGATGCTTCGAACCAATGTTTGTGCAAGTCAGGTGCTCATGGTCCGCTACTTCGACGTCAGCCCTCCACAGCAAATGACAGTAGAGTCCAGGCTTACAGAGCTGTATCGCGCGAGTCCCACTGATGCTTCAACCTATCCTCGTATACTCTCGGTGATCGTGATGCGCTATGTCGTCAGCTTGTCTCAGAGAGGAGAAAGCTCAAGCTTACAGAGCTATATTGTGCGAATCCCGCCATAGAGCGTGCGCTCAGTATAAGTGCGGGATCGACGCCCAGTCAGAGCAGAAGACGACCGAGGAAGAGTGAGAGGGCGAGACACCCCGCGGCGGAAAGATATAACCACCGTCCATCGATAGCATCTCTCGAACCTGATCTGGTAGAGATGGAGGACGCGACGATATCCGCCTTTGGCATTGTCGCCGAGAGAGGAGGGTCGTGCTGCTCAGTGCCGACTGAGGCATGGAATGTTGGCGTACGTCGTGACGCATCCCTTGGCTCGGGCCTGGACAGCAGCTCAGCGCGATTCCGAAGGCCCGATGTGGTAGATTTATCAATCATGACCTCGAGGTGATCGCGATGAGCATCGTACTCGCCGTTGAGTGCGCCAGAGCCCCTCCGGATGAAGGTGTCGACGAGCTGCTGACCGACAAGCTCGACCATACCGAGCTGTATTCTGGCGTTCCGCTCAAGCGCCTTGCGTCCGGCATGTGGACCTCGAGGCCGGCCCTTGACGAACGGTAAGTGTGGGAGGAGGCATTCAAGAGCTTGTTGAAGAAGTGCGGTTATGGTCGCGTCTCTCTCGTGTGAGGTGTGGAGCATATGTGAGATGTCGGCGAGTGCGAGGGGATGTGCGAGACGAGCGGAGCTGCCGGATAGCTCGTTCAGGCGTGGGAGGAGCCGATGGACGACTCCTGCTATGGACTGAGCATTCCCTGGACGGGGCGGAGGCGGAGGAGGTTGAGACTGACGGTCAGGTCTATCTCTAGCGATCCATTCGATCCTCTAGCTCACTGGATACGCCAAATATTCCTCCCATGCCTTCATGGTCCACGTCAAGCACTCATCCCACGCCGAACTCCAGTCCCCCTTTCGTATCCCAGACGGATCATCAAACTCCCCTATTACTGCCAGCTTCGCCCTGCGATCTCTGTCCATCGAGGTCGTGATCTGCACTGTCAGGATGAGCGTGCGCATCAAGACCTACACATCGTTCCCCAGGTATAAGGTCGACCTGACCGAATGGCACTTCAAGAAGGGTATCGAGAGAGTACGTCGAGGCGGGTATTGTTGCGGTCGAAGGGATCCAGCTGAGTAGTCAGCGTACAGCTCGCTACCGAGGATGAGAATAACATACTTATGACATACACATCCATCCTCTTCCCAGCTGATCATATTTTCGATCCCATCTCCGAGCAGTCCCGCGCCGACAACTCCCTCCTTCCGAAAGAGATGCATGACGCCTAGCTCTTCCAGTCGCTCTCGGGCAAGGCGCAAAGGCACCCAGATGTCGGCAAAGGGCGCATTGCCGCCAAGATCGAGTGAGACGCTGCCGAGCGGGAAGAGCTTGATGAAGTGGAGCGGCGGAGCAGGGAAGAGGGCGAGGAGAAGCGTAAGAAGGCTTATATGGGTTTCATGAGAAGGTGAGAGGGTGAGGTATACAGGTAGTCCGTTCTACATTGTCAGCTCCATATAAAGCATTCTGTACCTCCATCGCATGACTTACTACCTCCGAATATAATAGCGGAACCAGTGCCTTGTTGGGCAGAAGAGAGGGGAGGAGTGTGAAACGAAGCGGCAGCGGCAGAGGCGGCGAGATCGACTTGCGCTTTGGCATATCTGCTGCAGCCAGTGTCAGACATGCTCATTGCTGTATAAGCGCGATGTGCATTGTCTGGATGATGCAAGCATGAACGCTTGAGTCGCGAAGAGCTGCAGGCGTACCACGCGTTGAGGAATGCTGAGTCAAAATTTGCATTTATCCTACTGTTGGAAATCCGAGCTAATCAACTAAGGTCTATGAGCTACACTATAACTATCTATTCCCAAGTTACAGATCTAGCTCTCGCCCTCACGAACCCCAGTGATAGCCCCCGTAATAACGCCGCCCACTCCCAATCCTTCACCTCCTCCTCCCATGCATCCATCTGCTTCTTTGTGTCCTTCTCCAGGGAGCTGACGTAATACGTTTCAGATTCCCCGCTCACCGCGGCGCCTTCGACAACTGACCACTTCCCCTGTTCGTTTTCTGCTCGTGAGAGGGTCATGGGCCGCGAATGACTACGGGATATCGCTGATGTGACGTAGAATACGTATCATTCATACCAATATAAGTCTACTAATAGTCTAGCACCGCTCAAATCCCTTCTGACTCCCTGACCGCCTTACACCTTCTCGACACGGTGAACGTCGTCCTTGATCGATCCCTCGTAGTTCTCAGTCCGTCCCTGGTAACCAAGACCGACAGCCGCAGGGGGAATAGTGGCACCGCCAGCAGCCTCAACCTCGCGCTCAACCTCACCGCCGCTCGCACGGATTCGGCGTCCGTCCTTGTTCCAGACCCAGAAGGCCCATCCGGCGACATATGCGAAGGCTGGGACGACAAGGAAGTACGAAGAGCGAGTTGAGAAGTGGTCTGCAATCGCGCCCTGGATCGGAGGACTGTGGAATCAGCTCAAAGATCACACAGTTAGACGTAAAATCGGCTGGAGGGAGGGGATGGAGGGTGGGGGAAGCTCAGGGACTCCCAGCCCGGGTTCGGGGACCACCACGAGATGTTTATTAAGAGGACTTACAACACCGCGCCACCCGAAACGCCCATCACAACCAAGCCTGATGCGCGTCGAGTGTGACGACCAAGACCGGTGGTGGAAAGGACGAAAATGACCGGGTACATGATCGACATGAAAAAGAAGACGGCGATCAGGCAACCGACACCGGCCATGCCTGGAAGTGCGCCGATGAGTATACTGATACCGGTGCAGGCGAGGGCGTATGCGAGGAGGAGAAGAGGAGCAGAGACGACCGACAAGAGGGCGGTACCGACGAAGCGGGCGACGGTGAAGGTGATGAGGGCGTAAGAAAGGAGCTGCGAACCCTTCTCCTCGAGGATCCCCGCGGATTCACTTGCTGTGATGTCAGCGAATACTCCATGCGTGTGCAAAGCGTACTCACTGTAGTTGAGGAAGAAGGTTCCAATGGTCACCTGGGCACCGACATAGAGGAACTGAGCAACGAAGCCAGTGATGGCGCGGTACTGCTTGCGGAAGGGCTGAAGGGCAAGGGCGTCCTGGCCGGAGGACTCGGCGAGCGCCTCGGCCTCCGCCTCAAGAGCCTCCTCGGAGACCTCGGGGAGCTTGGTGAAGAAGAAGGCGACAGCGACGGAGACACCAAGGAGGGCGACGGCGAGGTAGACCCATTGGACGTTGGTGAGGTCGTCCTTGTTCTCGGCCGAGAAGAAGTACTTGGAGGCGATGAGGGGACCGGTGAAGGAAGCGACACCGTTGAAGGACTGGGAGAATTGCAGACGGAAGTTGGCGACGTTGTGGGGAGGCATGACCGAGACGTAAGAGTTGGCCGAGACCTCGAGGGTGGCGAGACCGCAGGCGACCACAGCAGTGCAGACGACGAAACCGCCAAAGATGCCTTGGGGGTTGGTGGAGCCGACCGAGAACTTGGCGACGGGCCAGAAGAGGACGGCGCCGATAGAGTAGAGCGCAAGACCCATGATGATGGTGAATTTGTAGCCGCGGCGACGAAGGACCTCACCGGCGACGGGGGAAAAGCTGTCTGTCAGCGACGATCGACCAAAAGGATGCTGCACTCACGCGAAATACCCTATGCCGAAGTACGCAACCTAATCAATTTTTCAGCGCCAGCTCTTATGGCTCAGATGATGGGCGATACACGCGGAGAGTGGAGAGTGCGATGGAAGGGTGGATTGAGGTGAGACATGTGAGGAATGGAAACTCACCTGGAGACCAGTTGACTGGAGCTTGGAGATACCGAGAACGTTCTGGAAGTGCTTGTTCAACACATCGAGGAGACCGTAGGCGAAACCCCATAGGAAGAAGAGGGAGGTGACGAGGATGAACGCCCACACTGAGATGTCAGCTTTTCGCCCCCGATCGCGCCCGGCAGCAACTCACTGTATCCCTTCCCTACGAAGCCCTGTTTGAAGGGGTTGCCGCCGCTGCCGCCAGCTACTACTGCGCCGCCTGCCATGGTGAAAGAGGTTGAGGGGGAAGAGAGTGAAGTAGGGGTAGGTGAGTGTGGGGAGGTGGATAGGTGTGAGGGGGAGTGACAAGTACGAGCTTTCGGGAGTCGGTATATGAGATCGAGAGGGCGGAAGAGGATGGCAATGCGGTCACACCAGGACGCTAGCTCTCCTTATATCCCTTCCGCGGTCACGGGTCGTGTGGGGGACTACCTCCACATTTTTCAATCGGCTGCCCCGCTAAAAGTAGTGTCTTAGCGCTGGCTCCGTCGGGGCCTTCTCTGGGCACCCCGGTCAGGCACACCGATAGCCGTTCTCGTCGTTATTCCCAGATCGGGTACAGATCTCCTCCCCAAGATGTCGCCATTGCCGCATACCCCAAGGGCGGCAACTATTATTAGGCATTTTGGCCAGGGTAAGCGTCAGTATTTGGGACAGCTTCCGAACTATGACGAGTCGTACGCTTTAGCGAGCGGGTATGGAAGTTACGGTTGGCAATCATCTGCTCGCTAGCCGCACTTTCCAAGGCTTCCGGTCTCCGCGGAACCTTGGAATGCGGGAAAGAGAGGTCAAGCGTTAGGGAAAGATGGTGAAAAGATGGTCGGTGTCACCTGCAAAATTCCCTTTTGAGGCAAGATCAGGAAGTATCGCCGGTATCCGGGGTCGTGGCGATCAGGTACGCGCGTGCCTGACTGCTGGCTATTACTGCACGCCACGCCACTGCCGCAGACCACTGCCGCTTTTAGACTTGTCTGCCTCTGTCTGCCTAGGTCTGCCTCGACGGATGCATCGGCGTTGCCGCGCACTGCTCCGTTCAGCTCCGCCTTTTCGCGCGCCCACGGACAGTATCGCCCATCCCCTACCCTAGTCGTTACTGCCTAGTGTCAAATCGCATTCGAGATCCCTGGGTCTGGACCCAGCATCGAGCAGTGTGAGCACGGGTGTTCGGCGATCAACGGGTCCGGCAGCGCGCGGGACCCACATTGTAGCAAGCGGCCACGCCCTGGTCACGCGGTATCGGCGGGCGCCAAGAGACTCGGACAGGGGAAGAAAGTCCCATGTACAGAGTAAATGATGTCAGTCGCCTTTACGATCTTGGCTCAGATCTTGTGGTGCACCACTAACGAATCAAGCCCTCTCCACCATGGCCAAGCTCGAGGCCTCAAGTTGCTGTCCCTAACAGGACCTTTGGACTAGAGACGAGGACCGATCGTCATAGACCAGATAGAGCAGCTCGGAGAGACTACTGACGCTCGTGTCTCAACTCATGTCCCGTACATCTTCCTAAAGCTCGAGACCAAAGAAGCTGACCATAACCTGCCTCATATACTTATCGCATCAAGACCTCTTTTGCCGCCTGGACCTGCTCCCTTCGAGGTCGATCATGACTGTGTCCTCCTGACTGCCTGGGCTGAGCAGGCGGTCCGCTGTCGGCCATGCCGAGCATCATCTCCGCCTCTTCGTCCGACTCGAGCGTCCCCGGTGACTCTGGTTCCGAAGCAGAGTAAGCAGAATCACTCGAATCTTGCGCTGCTGTGATTGGTTGGGGCTTGAGCGCTGAGCGCTCCAGGGGCGGAGGATCCTTCGGAGTGGTGGATCGCTGACGACCTGGTTCTGGCCTACTAGTTGCTTGAGGTACCGGAGGTCGCGGTGTAGATGCGGGGGCTGGTTTACCGCTTGGGAGCCTAGAACTCGTGCTCTGGTGCTTGAGCTGCTTGCTGAGTACCACCGCGAGCTGGTCCAGAAGACCTCCGGCTGGCAGTTGATGAGGTCTTGACGGGTGCTCGAGTTCTTGGCGTATTGCCAGGACGGACCTGAGTATACTGAGCCGTCAGCAGAGCCTCACTCGAAGCGAGGATTGCTCACACTTTCAGGCTCAAGTCATCGTCCTTCCATCTGACCGCTAGATCCTTGACGATACTGATGACTCCGGGTGTGAGATAGGCAGCGATTGGCCAGCCTTGTAGCGTATCATGTAGCTTGTCATTCGAGAGTACTGTGCAGATTAGCTCCATCGAGTCAGGCCTACACGGTACTCACAAAGCTGGACGATACCGTGACTCGGGGTTGACGCCTCTCCTTTCCCTACGCCCCGTTTTCCCTCCGGGACCTCGCCGTGGTATAAATGGGAGTGTGCGATGAAGCCGGCAACATTGTTGAGCTCTTTCGCGAAGACTGATATGTCAGCTTCGTACATTCGGACCATTGTACCGTAACTTACCCTCTCCTCCCCTCTTATCGCCCAACACCGCCTCAAACGCGCTGGGAAGGTCTTTGCCTGCGGCGAGGGTCTTCGCGAGTCCAATGACTAGCTTCATGATCAGCTGGGTATGGTCTCGACCGGTGTCATCTTGCTTCGCCTTGATGCGGTGGAAAGACGAGTATAGAAGGTCTGACCATTAGTACCCAGCAAGTACGCGCGGAGGACCAAATTTACCTATGCAGACAGCCAACGAGATCAGTGCTTTGCTCCATTCACCTGACCCCCCTCCGGACGTCGGTTCTCCCGATGAATGGCCTACCTGCGGGGGGCGAGACGTCAACATGCCTGCGAATGGCTCATCTCGAGGTTCAGCTTGCACTGGCTTTGAGGATGTGAGTGCCCGCGTCGATCTTGTTTCGCTGGCGATCGTTGATCTGCTTGACTCTTTCGCTCGTTCACCTGGCGTGGCCTTATCCTGACCAGAAGCTCGTCTCACGATAGCTCCCTCTGAAGCTGAAGGCGCCCTTCTCTCCTTCACCATCGGATCCCCTGCACGTTCTTGCCCAGTTTCCGCCTCCCTCCGCTTGGGTCGCTCGGGAGGTGCCCCCGTACGCGTGGGGATTGCCTGAGCGGCCGTTCTCGCCGATTTGGACGGATCGTTCGGACCTTGCTGCTCCCGCGGGGAGGGTGGTGTCCTGACTGCACTGCCGTTGCTGAGAGCGGTCGATCGCACGATCTGGGTAGTCTCGTCAGCTTTCGGAAGCGGTTGATCGGCGTTTCTGTTGAGCCCCTTTGCTCCATCATCTCTTCCATCTTGAGTCTCAGGCTGGCCGGAAATTGGCTGAGCGGCCCAGCCAGGATCAGGTGGATCAAAGTGCTGCCAGGGATTAGCGAGTGGCGAAGCTGGTGACCACGGCGGTCGATTGTATGGATCTACTTGCCAAGGCGGCTGCGACTGCGGATGGTAAGGTCGCTGTAAGTTGGGGTCTCCTGTGTCTTGATTCAGAGGAAAGGCTGACCATAGAGGACGAGGACCCGAGGGAGGATAGGCGCTGCCAGGCGCATACTGTTGGTACGAGCTTGGCGATGTAGGCGAATACGGCGTGTAGCTGTTGTAGGTAGGCTGGTTCGAGAATGGCAAAGGAGCAGTCTGAGGAGGATTCGAGTACGGGCCCTGGGACGGATACCGCGAATAGGGCGGATAGTTTTGATAGCCGATGTGAGGGGACAGCGGCTGATTGCTGGGATGCCATGGCTGCAGGACGGAGGGATGGGGATACATGGGAGGAGGCATTGCCATGTGATAAGGCGCCTGTGGCGGCCCGTACCCCGGATAGTGCTGTGGTGACGGCTGGTGAGGCTGCCATCCCTGCTGAGGGGGTACCTGCTGAGGGGGTACCTGCTGATCGCTGCCGCTGGGCTGTCCAGTAGGATGGGCGGGTTGCTGAGTAGGAATGGGATGGTGTGTCGGGTTGAAGTAAGTATCGTTCAGTCCCGGCGTTACAGCAGCATGATCTCCCGGGATGACGTTGAAGGTAGGTAAGGATGCACCGTTATGGGCCGGTACGGACAGGGTGGAGGGGTTCGTCTTGAGCGGCAGAGTGAGTGGTGGCCGTGCGGGAGGTGGCTTCAGCTTTGCAGCCGCGTCCTTCTTGGGCTCTACGGTCGGAGCTACTGAACTGAGATCAGAAGGCGTATCAGCGGTGGGAGTTGGTAAGGGGTCAATTTTGGTAGGAGGCTCCTGCTTCGCCTGTTGCGCCATCAACTGCCTCAACAGACTCAGCATCTCGACCGCGGCAGGCTCCTTCTCTTCATCCTCAACCCCTCCCTGACCATTTCCAGCCAACGCTGACTCATCCACCTGCGCCGCCGCTTCCTCCACCACCGACTCCCCCTTGTTCGTAGTAGGCTTATCGTCCCCCTTGGCCAATATCCGCACCCTGCGCTTGAGCCTCTGCAGCGGTCCATGAGGTTCCTTCTCCATGGTCGAGTCGCTGGATGGACCACCAGGAGCTGAGGCAATATCCGCGCCGGAGGCACCTGCTTCTGATGCTTTGGGCGGTAAGGGTGGAGTCGTCGACAACTTTGGCGGGACAAAAAGGCTTTTAAAGGAGAACTTGGCGCGTGTAGGGGATGGTGAGGCCGAGGTGATCGGTGATACTTCATCTTCATCGCTGCTCTCTGAGTCTACACCTGCTGGTGCTAGCATCCTGCTGTGAGGGGTGTATGTATAGCATGCAGATGAGTTTGCGGACGATCAAGTGCCCCTTGCAGAGGAAGAAGGGATCACCCCCACTCTTCGCTCGACTTTAAGTCATCCCCCCACTCCCTCCTTCCGACGGAATCGATGACATCAGCAGCTGAGATTTCCAGCGTTTGCTAGAACCCAAGCTATTCTATACCTTGCTCTACCTTTATATCTGCTGAGCACGATATCCCCACACCACTACAAACACAATGCCCAACAACACAGAGTACTACAAGGTGCGTCGCAAGCAAGGATGAGCTGTCCGACCCATACTCACTTCGCAGGTCCTCGGTATAGACAAGGACGCCTCGGAGGCCGAAATCAAGAAGGTGGGTCTTGTTTCGTGCTTTCAAACGGTCGAACCCATAGCTCTGGGGCTGACTCTGCAGGCCTACCGCAAAGAGTCGCTCAGACATCATCCCGACAAGAACCCCGCTGAGAAGCGGGCGGCAGCGGAGATCAAGTTCAAGAAGGTGAGATTGCAATTGCTTACTTTACCTGTTACCTAGACTGACTGAGTAGATCGGTGAAGCATATGAGGTCCTGTCTGACCCGGTGAGCTGCGAATGTCCCAAACCAGTATAGCAAGCTGACAGCTTCAGAACAAGAGGGAGGTGTACGACCAATTGGGTGAAGAGGGACTGAAGGGTGGAGGCGGGGGTGGAGGAGGCGGAGGTGGTTTCGGCGGGTTCCCTGGAGGAGGTGGAGGACACTACCACGCCTCTGATCCCAATGACCTCTTCAAGTAAGTCTTCACTCCATACTCGGACTTGAGCTGACGTGTTAGCGCGTTCTTCGGTGGTGGTGGAGGCGGAATGGAGGACATGTTTGGTGGTGGTGGAGGCCGGAGCAGATCATCGCGGATGGGAGGAGGTATGCCCGGGATGGGAGGCATGGGGGGAATGGGAGGGATGGGCGGTATGGGTGGCATGCCTGGCGGATTCGGCGGCGGTGGAGGAGGAGGTGGCGGACAGGACCCACCTCCGCCGGGCGAGATCACCAAGCCGCTCGCTCTCACTCTTGAGGAGCTGTACAAGGGAGGAACGAAGCGACTCAAGATCACTCGGCATACCGCGACCGGCAGGCAAGAGGAGAAGATTTTGGAAGTGGCGTACAAGGCGGGATGGAAGAAGGGAACCAAGATCAAGTTTGCCGGTGCGGGGAATGAGGACGAGTATGGGCAGAGCCAGTGAGTCTACCGCCTGGTTCAAGGTCAAAGCTGACACTCCAGGACTGTTACATTTGTTGTTGAGGACAAGCCTCACTCTCGGTTCGAGCGGGTTGACGATGACCTGCATACCAAGCTCAACATCACACTCTCGCAAGCGCTCCTGGGTCCCGACGGAGGAGGAGAGATCACCAAGGAGGTGGAACAGCTGGATGGGCGGAGAATACAGGTCACAGCACCGAGCGGGGTGAGTCTATCAGATCGAAGGACATTGTTTCAAGCTGACGCTGTAGATTGTTCAACCCGGAGCAGAGACACGTATACCAGGCGAGGGCATGCCAATCTCGAAAGCATCGTCAGTCAAGCGCAAGGGAGATCTCGTCGTCAAATGGAACGTCATTTTCCCGACAAGCATCACACCAGTTCAGAAGAAGGAGTTGCGGAAGGTTCTCAATTAAGGGGATGCGGCGGAAGGAGGGAAGATGGGTTCGTGTAGGCTACTTAGGCGAATCTCATATGAAGTTGTTTCAGCCAACATGACCGCCCAGTAATGCGTATCTACGGCAAATCCCGTCTAGATCTAGCTTTGTATACTTCTACACATAGCGATCGCAGATCCTCTTCACGCCAAATTGATATCATTCAGGGCGCAGCACACCGCCGCGCGATGATGGCCATCATATTGCCGTACCGTCTCTCCAGTCGCCAGATCCCATAACCGTGCTGCGTGGTCTGATGATGCTGAGAGTCAGTCGATGTTGAGGTGAGGATAGGGAGTACTGACCGGTCACCAAGTATGCTGAATCTGCACTGAATGCAGCATCCCACACCCAGCGTTGGTGTCCTCCTAGTGTCTTTTGGAGTGTGAACTCGTAATTCGCCGTTGACCAGACTTTTATCGTTTGATCCGCCGAGCATGTAGCGAGTTGTCTGAGATAATCAGCGCCGTCTCGCTGCATTCTAGTGTACTGACTTTGTATCTGGGCTCATTAGGCATCGAGTGATATACTTTGGATGTGCTTGGAAACTGGTGACCGGGTGAAGTCCTGAGGATTCTCCATCCGAGCTGATCTTCCAGACGTAACACATTCCGAGGTCGTTTCCGGCGACAAGAGTAGAGCCGTCAGAGGAGATAGAGACGCTCCGAATCGCTACATCTTCGTCTGGGACCTGACAATTAGCTTCTTACTCCCAGCTCGCTGGGATCTTTCCATTCAAAACTTACCAGCTCATGCGTACAAGTATTCTCCGCCAGATCCCATATTTTGACACTCCCCGCCTGGTCGCAGCTGATCAGCTCGCCCTGATTTGGGTGAATAACGACATCATTGACCGGCGCATCGTGCTCGTACTTGAGCTGGACCCCTCCACTTCTCTTCCGTCAGCTCCTGCTCGACAAGCCGTACCCTCGTCTCAACCCCGAGACCTACTTTGTATCCCATACTCTGACGGTCGAGTCCTCGCTTCCTGTGACTATCCATTTCCCCTGCGCCGAGTATGCCAGCGCCGTGACGTTCCCTGTGTGTCCTTCGAGGGCTGATATTGGTGTATTTGACATGCTCGGTATGTCCCATATCCGGACGGACTGATTTGTGGCTGCAGCGAGGAACTTCTTGTCGGGTGAGATAGCTAAGCGGTTGACTTGTTTCTAGAGAATCGTCAGCTAAGCTCAACCATCCTCGAGAGGAACCTACCCATTGTGGCTGCAAGGTTATTTGCCTGTAGCAAATCCCGCTCCATGCCTCCCAGAACCGGATAGAGTGGTCATCTGCCTCGTCAGTGCTGTTCTCTTCCGAAGTGCCAGCGGCCGAAACCCACATCCAGCTGTGCATAATATAACGCTGAGCTCTGTGGCTTGCGGTTGCTGCGCTTGCTCGTTGCTATACGCTTGTGGTTGCTGATGTTGTTGTTGAGGAGAATGTGATGGTTGGGCCTGTTGGGCGGGCATCATGCGCGAGCCTCTGCGGTGGAAGGTGCGACTTGAGGCGATGGAAGAAGTCGATCGGATAGCCAGATATGAACGGCTTTCGGTACTGGTTCGCACAGTCAGATGTATGTGATAGGCGCTGAGAAGCAATATACAGTAGAGAGCTCTGAGCCAGAGCTGGTTCGACATGGATCAGTAGGTTGGAATGGGGACTCCACACCGTGTACGTACAGGCTAGGTACCCGGAACTAAACTAGCAGGCTGACGTAACGTCTCCTTTGTAGCTGCGGTGCGCGCGGACGTCATTTCACTCGCTTCATATCGCTATCTATCTCTCATCCTCTATACATCTACTCACTTGATTACAGTCACAGACAGTTCTAAGGGATACGCTCCTACACTACTCACGATCATACTCCGACTTCACTAGACGCTTTTCATTTAGCCAAACCCAAACGCGGATCAATTCGCCGCCGACATGGCATCCTCGGACGACTCCTCCCTCAAAGCAGTTCAAGTCAAGCTCGTCCTTCTAGGTATGCTCGTTCCGTCTAGCAGTAGCAGTATTGCCGAAAGATTGTAGCTGATGAGTATCAGGCGAAGCTGCAGTCGGTAAATCCTCGCTGGTATTGCGATTTGTTCAGAATGACTTCAACGAGAATACGTCGCCAACCATCGGCGCGGCATTCTTGACACAGAGTATGTTTATCATTGACAAGCACAAGATAAGAAGCTGACGGTGCAGAATGTAGGCTCGAGAACAGGGTGGTGAAGTTCGAGATTTGGGATACCGCAGGACAAGGTAAATTGGAGATATGGATTGTCTGGAGGACTAGCTGATATGTGCAGAACGAGTACGCTTAGACCGGTACCCAGATCCTGTAAGATACCAGACTGATTGTTCAGTTCCACTCCCTTGCGCCGATGTACTACCGAAACGCCCAAGCAGCAGTTGTGGTGTACGATATCACCAAGGCGTCGTCGCTTGAGAAAGCCAAGGCATGGGTGAAGGAGTGAGTACCGCGCCCTTTCGGCATGGAGTCGTAGCTGACGTTGCAGGCTGCAGAGACAAGCTTCGCCCAACATTGTCATCGCTTTGGTCGGAAACAAGGTGAGTAAAAGCCTCTACATCGTGGGTTTCATGCTGACATTTGCAGCTCGACTTGGTCAACGACGATGCTGCAAGCTCAGCCGTACCCGCACCCCCAGTCGACGCGGCAGATGACGAGGACGAGGTCAAGTCTACCGATGGCGAGGACGACGAGGACACTGCCGACGAGGCGGGATCCTCAAAGCCTCGTCCAGCTGCCGCAGCGTCCACGTCCGACTCGCTACGACAGGTGTACACTGCCGAGGCGGAGGCGTACGCCAAAGAGTCGAACCTGCTCTTCTATGAGGCTAGTGCCAAGACTGGCCAGAATGTTGGCGACTTGTTTACTGAGATTGGTGGGTTTGCTCCTCATTCGACATTCCATCTTCGCTCACACTTCAGCCAAAACAATCCCCATCGACACTATCGCACCCAAGCCGGTCCCTGCTGGCCGACGAAGCGGCGCGGCCAATGCAGCGCAGACAGATGGGAATGTCAATCTCGGCGAGGGATCTCAGGCCAAGAAGGGCGGATGTTGCTGAGTGGCTCCGAGGTGTAGGATAGACCACTCCAATGGTCCCCGCGTTCTAGCTTTTGATTTTCTTTTTCCCATCAGAGCGGTTTGTTTAGTATATGTAAGACAAACAGGATGTACTTCATTAGATCAGTGCAGAAGCGATTGGCGTCATCAGCGAGCGAAAAGTTATCCTGATGATCCATCATGGGAGCAGAGCTCGCCATCCGTATGTGGTTGTTTTAGCCTACCAAGCTATATATACCCGAAGGTCGCCTATGCGCCAAGCGCAGGGAAAGCGGTCTGGTCGTTCGAGTCGAGGTTGGCACCGCCTCGAGCAGCACCACCCCGGCCCGCACCGGCACCGCCACGCGCCCCCCGGCTGGCAGCCCCTCGGGGTCCACCCCTGCCCCGTCCGCCACGCTCGCCGCCGAATCCACCTCGACCGCCACGCTCCCCTCGGTCGCCTCGGTTCGGGCGGTCACCGCCACCTGGGGGAGTAGCGAATTGACCGTCAAAGGCAATGTAGACCTTCTCCTTCTTGGGGGCGGTCTTGGACGACTTGGCCTCCTTCTTCTCCTAGATTATCAGCCAGATCCTGACAGCGCCCAGAGAAAACCTACCTTGGGAGCGTAAAAGTCGTCCATAGCAGCCCTCCTGAACTCCCGACCCTCGACGGTCTCGGCAGACACCTGTCTCGATTCCTTCTTGCCGAAGCTAACGGCCTGGGCGGCACGCTCAGCGAGGTACTCATCGAGCGACTTTTGGACCTCCTCGGGCTCGACCGGCTCTGCAGCCTCGGTGGTCTCGGCGGCAGCAGCGGCCGGTGCGTCGTCGGCAGCTCCCCATCCGCCATCCGCCTCCTCGCCCACGGGGGTCTGAGGAGCGTTCTCCTCCTTGACAGCGTCCTGCTGGCCCTCAACCTCGGCTGTCGGGTCAGCCAAGCACACGACCAAAAGGACATACTCACCGGTCAGCTCGGCCTCGCCCTCGTTCGCGCCCCAACCGTGCTCAATCTTCTTCTGGCTGTCCGGGAGACCACCGCTCCGCCTCTCGAATTGCCTCCTCTCGCCGCCCTGAGCCGGGACACGGCTTCCACCGCCACGACCGCCGCGCGAAGTGTGACCGCCCGAGGTGAGGTTCCTGGCGGGCCTGTCGCCGGGAGGACCCTTGGTGTGGGCGTCACGGACGTGGTTGCCCTTGCGGGAGGGAGCTGCCCGTAAGCAATAGTCCTTGAGCCCAACATGCAGAACTCACCGACACGCTCGCCGTCGAATCCACCAGGAGTCTCCATGCCCTCAGCAACGCCTTCCGAGCTGGTGGGTCCAGTGTTGCGGTCGCCTTCGTTCCGGTAGGTGTTCCTGGGCGCACCGCGGGGTCCGCCGCGTCCACCTCGTCCACCACGGTCACCACCAGCAGCAGCGGGCTTGGCGGCACCGGGGACAGCACGAGCGGGTGCGGCCGGAGCGTCGGCCTTCTTGGCTGCGACCTTGGGGGCGGGAGCGGGAGACGCGTCGCCGTCCTCTGTGGGATTAGCCCAACTCTCCTGTCCCTTCGTTCCGCCAACATTCCGCCAGTTCCAGCTCCTTTCCTCCTCCCTTCTTCGAAATTTCGCACAGTAACGCACCACCGAGGAGGTCGAACGGGTTCTTTGACACCACAGACATTGTGGGCGTCGTTTGTATAGGCTATAGAAGTGCCTAGGTGTAGTTGTAATGCTATTAGCTTGAAATAAAGGTCAAAGGTTGGAATGACCCGCATGCGGTGAATTTCGCCGGAGAATGGCGGTCGGGAATTGAGTGTGGCACCTTTGTCCGTGCGTCATTTGAGGCTGAATGTTTCAAAATCGGAAAGGTGCTAGATGCAATGCCTATGAAATCTACTATATACAAACCCTCTAAACATGAAAGCCCTGATGCAGAATGAAGATTTACTGAGAAGCCGAAGCAGGCACGAACTCCTTCCAGGACTTGACCTCGGGCGGGTTGGTGCCCTCGACATAGGGGAGGGGGGAGTTGTGGAACTTTTTGGCCAGCGTTTCGGTGAACAGGACGGCGAGTTTGGCATTGTTGATGAGCTGTCGTCAGCGAGGTCTACACATGTACTCACGGGGATACCAAAGTCCACTGCTGCACGTCGGGAAGCATAGTCAGGGTCGAGGGTGCTGTCATCAGCTCAGTCGCATTCCAAACTCACTCGGCGGCTCGCGATCGGGCAATGTTGATGACCGAGGTGATTTCATTCTCCTCGAGGACTTCTCGCAGCTTGCGCTTATCCTTGACTGGGACAAAGATCTTCTTGATGGAGAGGTAGGGTTTCGAGTTGATGTGCTGTTCGACGTCCGCAGCTGAGGTCAGCGCGTTCAAATTGTTACTCACCATGTGTGTAGAGCTTGAATCCGAGATTGATCAGGTTCTCGGCCACCATGACCATTTCTGGTCGAGCGACATCACCTCCCAGCAAGAACCCGCTGTTGGGTCGAGGCAGCTTGAAGCCGTTCACCGAGAGCAATGCCGCCCAGTACGCCTCGTGAATGTCCTTACCGAAGGAAGCGACTTCGCCGGTCGACGCCATCTCGACACCGAGGAATGGGTCCGCACCGGGAAGACGAGTCCAGGAGAATTGTGGGACCTTGATGGCTACATAGTCCCGGCGCTCCTTCATCAGGTCGACCGGTTCAGGAACGTTGATGTTCATGATGGCGGCCGAGGCAACGTCGATGAAGTTGGTACCGAGGACTTTGGAAACGAAAGGGAAGGACCGGGATGCGCGGAGGTTGCACTCGATGACCTTGAGTGTGGCCTCGGCACCGTCGACAGGAGGGGATCGGATGATTTGCATGTTGAAGGGACCAGAGATGTCGAACGCCTTGGCGACCTTTTCGGCGATTTCCTTGAGCCGGTCAAGGTCGCCTGAGCTGAGGGAGAAGGGGGGAAGGACGAGGGTGGCATCGCCCGAGTGGACACCGGCGTTCTCGACGTGCTCCGAGACGGCGTGGACGAGGAGCCGGCCCTGGTGACCGACCGCATCGATATCGATCTCCTGGGCATTGTCGATGAATTGCGAAATGACGACGGGGTGGAGGGGGGAAACGTTGGCCGCTGCAGAGAGCTTGGCGTCCATCTCCGAGTCGTCCCAGACGACGCTCATGGCTGCACCAGAGAGGACGTACGAGGGACGGATGAGGACGGGATAATTGACCTTGTTGGCAAAGTCCTTGGCCGCCTGGAGACTGGTCGCCTCTGTCCAGGCGGGCTGGTCTACGCCGATCGAGTCGAGGATGGACGAGAACTTGTGGCGGTCCTCGGCGTTGTCAATCTGGTCGGGGTCTGTTCCCAAGACATTGACGCCGACCTGCTTGAGGCGCAGAGCAATGTTTTGCGGGAGCTGACCCCCGACACTGACCACCACTCCTTCCGCCGCCTCCAGCTCGTAGATGTCCATCACCCGCTCGAACCCGAGCTCCTCAAAGTAGAGCCTGTCCGCCTCGTCAAAGTCTGTCGAGACGGTTTCCGGGTTGTAATTGATCATGATGGTCTTCTTGCCCAGCGCCCGGATGGCGCGGGAGCAAGTGACAGCGCACCAATCAAATTCGACCGAGGAGCCGATACGGTAGACGCCGGAGCCGAGGACCATGGTTCCGTGCTCGTCGAATTCGATGTCATGGGTGGAGGCATTGTAGGTGGTGTAGAGGTAGTTGGTGTAGGCAGGGAATTCCGCGGCAAGGGTATCGATACGCTTGACGAAGGGGGTGACGTGGAGGGATTTGCGGTGGGACCGGACCTTGTCCTCGGTGGTACCGATGAGCTGGGAGAGGTGGAGGTCCGAGAATCCCGTCTTTTTGGCGGTGAGCATCATCTCCCGGTCTATTTGGTCGAGCGGCTTGTTTTGCACAAGCTTGTACACCTCGACAATGTTTTCAAGCTTGTACAAGAACCACTTGTCGATCTTGGTGAGACTGTGGAGCTTGTCGACCGAGTAGTCCAGGTTGAGCATGGCATGGGCAATGGCAAAGAGCCGACGGTCGTTGTTCTCCGTGAGCGCCGCCGTCATGTCTTCCGGCTTCCAGTAGGCGTCGAACCCGGCAAAGATGGGGTCGACCTGGCGAATGGCTTTTTGGAGGGACTCTTCAAAAGTCCTCCCAATAGCCATCACCTCGCCTACGGATTTCATGGCCGAACCGACGGTCCGCTCGACGTGCTGGAATTTGGCCAGATCCCACTTGGGGATCTTGGTGACAATGTAGTCGAGGGAAGGCTCAAAGCAGGCGGTAGTAGATTTGGTGACGGCGTTGGGGAGTTCTGGGAGGGTGTGACCGAGAGCGATTTTGGCAGCAGTGTAGGCGAGAGGGTAACCGGTGGCCTTGGAGGCGAGAGCGGACGACCGGGAGAGACGAGCATTCATCTCGATGACTCGGTAGTCCCGGCTGTCGGGGTCGAGTGCGTACTGGACGTTGCACTCGCCCACGACTCCGACGTGACGGACAATCTTGATAGCGGCGGACCGGAGCATGTGGTACTCGTCGTCGGTCAGGGTTTGGGAGGGAGCGACGACGATAGAGTCACCGGTGTGGGTGCCGAGGGGGTCAAAGTTTTCCATGTTGCAGCAGATGATGGTGTTCTGGGGTCAGCAATGTTGGGTTGTTACTCACGTCGGCAGCATCTCGCACGACCTCGTATTCCACCTCCTTCCACCCCTTCAGACTCTTCTCAATGAGCACCTGGGGACTGAGCGAGAGGGACTTGGCGGCCAAGTTGCGCAGCTCCTCCTCGTCGTGCGCGAATCCGGAACCGAGACCACCGAGGGAGAAGGCGGAACGGAGAATGATAGGGTAGCCGATCTCCTTGGCCGCGCTGAGGGCTGCTTCAATGGTGGAGACGGCGGTGGATTGGGCTGCGGGAATGTCGATTTCTAATGTTAGCCGAGTCGAGTGCGAACATACCGTTCAAAGCGTTGACAAAGAGCTCTCGGTCTTCCGAAACTTCAAGGGTTCGGATGGGGGTTCCGAGGACCTTGACGCCGAGTCTCTCCAAGACACCCATCTTGTCGAGTTGAATACCGACGTTGAGGGCGGACTGACCACCGAAGGTGAGGAGGATCCCATCTGGGCGCTCCTTCTCGAGGACGTACGCAACATAATCGGCGGTGACGGGGAGGAAGTAGATTTCGTTTGCGAGGTGGTGGGAGGTTTGGATGGTAGCGATATTGGGGTTAATGAGGATGGTGGAGATGTTGCTCTCTCGGAGAGCTTTGATGGCTTGAGAACCTGACGTTAGCCGAGTCAAAGGCGGGCTCACCTGAATAGTCGAACTCTCCGGCCTGTCCGATACTCAGCCCGCCTGACCCAACTACGAGCACCTTTTTGACGTCGGGCTTTTCCAAGCGGGGAAGGACTTTGGCCGAAATCCGCCTGGCGAGCTCGGAAGGGGAGTTGAGGGTAGGTCCATCATCCACCTGCGAGTAGTTGCCGACCGCTGGGGCAGCTACCGCGTAGGTGCGAGGGAGGGTCCGCTGTACTACGCGACGGACTGAGCGAGCTGATAATCTCGCTGGGTTGATTGTACGGAACATGATGACCCCAGTCTACCTAGCTAGGTAGATGTAGCGTAGCTGTTGCTAGGAGAGGAACGCACTTTGGCTTGATACCTTTGCGAAATCTGTTATCTTTGAGTCGGTCTCAAAAAATCCCAACCCAGTCACGCCTAGAGTCGCCACGTCATCTATTGATACGGATAAGAGTGGTAGTCCGTGCGTTAGAAATGACGGCATAAGGAATGTGTATCTCGCGTTCTGGCTCAACGGCCGCTGGAGAGTGTTACTCGTACAAATCAACCTTCTTTCGTCCGCTTTGTATTAGCTCCGCTTCTCATTCAGCGCCTCCCAGACACCGCTGCTGATGACCCACCGCACGCCTCCAGCGTCACCTAGCAACCACCGACCCGTCAAAATGGCGAGAATGAGCGATGGCATGGACCTAACCGACGCGACGACCGGGATGGAGGCTATCCCCTCGTAGGTTTGCAGCATAAGATGGCCACTGATGATGTAGATACCGACCCGACGCCAAAGCTAGGCGATATGATCGTCAACTCAGGTGAGCTACGACACATCTCAGCTGACGGCAGGCTCTGGGCATCAGCTGGTCAACGTTCACTGGAGGCCGCCAGGGTGCTGCTCATAGGATGTGATGCCACCGGCTGTCAGGCGCTCAAGAATCTCGTCCTTCCAGGTAGGCACTATATAGTAGACAAGCTGATAGCAGGCATCGCCCACTTTACCATTCTCAGTCCCCGTAGTGTCGAGGCACAGGATGTCGCCACCAACTTCTTCCTCCACCCCGACACCATCGGCCGAAATATCGCCGAAGAAGCTGTCAAGTGAGTCTGTGATCAGCGGTAGCTGAACAGACTTTTGAAAGAGCTCAACCCGGCTGTCGAAGGCTCAGCGGTAGTCAAGGTGAGTAGTGGCCATTCCAAGCTGATAGCAGGATCCCGCGCAGTTGCTACAGTCTGATCCGGACTTCTTCTCGGCGTACACCTTGATCATCGCTTCCAATGTTGAGCCTCAGCTCGAGATGGACTTGGCAGAGATCCTCTGGAAGGGTGAGAAATTAATTAGCAACGCTGATGTCAGCGTCGGAAAAGGTCGGTGGACCGGATGTCCCTCTTATCTGCATTCGCAACTCTGGATTCATTGGAAGGATCGAAGTCCAGCTCAGGGAGCATTGCGGTAGGTCATCAAATCATCCGAGCTGACTTTAGTGAGCGATACGCACCCCGAGCAGACGCACACGCTCAGAGTGGACCAACCCTTCCCAGAGCTGGAGAAGGCCGCTCGCAGTCTGGACTTTGACAGCATGGATTCGATGGAGCATTCGCACATCCCCTGGGTGGTCATTCTGGCACGGGCAGTCAGCATATGGCGAGAGCAGGTATGTACAATGCTAACATAGCTGATGTCAGCACGGTGGTCAATTGCCCAACTCGGACGACGACGCGGAACGCGCGGCTTTCAAGGATATGATCAAGTCGTGGCGACACAAGGCGGATGAAGAGAACTTTGACGAGGCACTGCGGTCGTCGTATCAGGGTTTCACCAAGTCTGAGGTGAGTTTAAACTTGACATAGCTGATGTAGCTCGACCCCAACCTCGCTCAGCTATTCGAGGATGAAGCGGTTGTTACTGTCTCTGAGAACGTAAGTCTGCCTTAGACTATGCTGATGTAGTCTAAAAACCTTCACATCCTCCTCCATGCGCTCAAGCAGTACACATCTCAAGCTCCTCACCTTCCACCTATCTCGCCTACCCTTCCGGACATGCACTCATCCACCACATCCTACGTCGCCCTGCAAAATCTGTACCGCGCCCAGTTCAACTCGGACTTTGCTCGATTCAAGCAGATCGTCGCCGAGACGCTTGGCCGGATCGGTCTTCCCGCAGACGCCATCCCGGCAGACGAGATTGAGAGCTTTGCGCGAAACTCGGGCGGCGTTCAGGTCATCAAGGGGCGGGCGTTGAAGGAGAGCAAGGAGATGAGAGGTTTGGTCGCGGAGGTCTACAGTAAGTTTGTCGATGGCATAGCTAATGTAGATGAGCAATTTGTGGATGAGGAGAAGCCAATCCATCTCGGACTTCACCTCGCCCTGCTAGCCGCGGAGCGCTTCCACCTGGTCACAGGTCGATGGCCAGGATCGCCTGAAGCGGACGATCTCGCCGAGGAGAATCGCCAAGTCGAAGAGATGGCTTTGTCGCTTCTTCAGTCGGTCGTTCCTGGTGCAGAAGGCGGACCGGAGACCAGCGAGGCTATAGCTGAAGTGTGAGTCTCGACGAGGATGCGCTAATGATAGCGTTCGTGGCGGCTTCTCTACGCTTCCCACCACGGCCGCCTTCCTTGGAGGGATCGTAGCCCAAGAGGCCATCAAGCTTGTCACCAATCAGTACATGCCGCTCGACAATACGGTCATCATCGATCTCGTCAAGAGCTCGATGGAAAAGTACAAGTTCTAGGGGGATGGTCGTATGCAGCATATGATGACGTAGGACAAGGGATCTTTGCGGTGACGGACGTGCGATCCCTATCCTTTGTTCTGATTACCAATGTCACGTTCACACACTGAGCCACTGACACTTTGTCTTCTGCTCGTACTCATGTTGACCGACAAGGAAACAACCACCGCGCCGGTCGACTCTACCCTCTCCTTCACGGAATACTCGCAAGCAAATTCTGAGCGAAAGCTCGCTCACCACTCCTTCGAGCCCAGCGATTCATAAGCACAGCTCTGTACACCTCCAGATTGATCGACATCACTCTGACTAGTCTGCGATCGTTGAAGGATACCATACCGAATCTCAAGCAGCTCTGCGCCGTTCGTCACCAAGCAGTGGCGAATGCCAAGGTCGATCTTAGGAGAGCTCGGAGCGTAGGTTGCGCCATTGACAGCGATCCCCCAAGCAGCGAAGTTGATGCGGACACCTTCCCCTTACCTCCCGGCGATTCGACAACAGGCATATATGCTTCTCTCTATCCTGCAGAGCTCAAGGTCGCTGACAGCTTGGACAGCGTGAGGAGAAAGCTCCTGATGACTCACTCCCCAGCAGATACATCCCGGGTTGACCTGCACAGCGTGGAAGCCAGACTACGGGCTGTCGACGTGGAGTTGGTCAAGCTCACCCGGCCCACTTGTTGCGACGTGGGGACCTGGAGCAGGTGGTGCGAAATTGGACTGGCTTGGAGCATGTGCTATAGCGTGAAGGCGGAGGTTGAACAGTTGAGGTCGAGGTAGAAACCCGTCAACTTTCAGGTCCCCCTTTGAACCCACAGCGTCGATTGTGATATGCTGAACTGTCTTACATCTACTGCCGTACTTCAATCTACACATAGCTGTCACTCTGACTGATGATCTTCCCTATAAGCTGGACCCTCGACCTGGACCTCGAGCCAAGTTAACTTGTCGCTACTTGAAGAACTTCAGCCCCTCTGCTAATTCACTCGTCGCCTTCTTCCACCTCCCGTCCTTCTTTGAGTCGTTCTTTGCCCACAGGGGGTTCTCGGAGTCTTCGGCCTTCTCCTCGTACTGCCTGATTGTGGCATCAAGCTAGACCTCTCTTTCCAACGGCCAGCTGCGAACAGTCATGGACCCTCCTCCTCCTTCTCGCTATCACCTGCCTTTTTAGGATTATGAAGACCCGACCCGCTTGACCGCCGCCGCCTTTTCCGCCGAGTCCAGCTCCAGCTGGATTTTATGATCCTCGAGCCTTGCCAGCGCCGCCGCCTCCTGCGATTGGCACCTGGGACGACTGAAGACCTCGATGATCTTTGCTCTCTCTGCCTCTCGCATGGAACATCCATCCAGCTTGGCTCTCAGCGAGCTGAGCTTCTCCTTACTGAGCGCTTTACCCCCTTTGTCGCCACCCGCCACATCGCGGTCCATCGGCTTTTCTTTCGAGTGGAAGCCATCTGGCACACGATGCCATCCCTCGTCATCGAAAAGGTCGCGTATGCGCTCGCCCACCGCCCCGTGCTTGTCCGTTCTAGCCGCTTGTAGTTCTTCCTTCGTGGCGAAGTCTTTGATTCTGGCCTCGCGCTTCTTGCCCGACGTCTCTTTGACGCTCGTGATCATACCGTATCGAACCCAAGGATCGGGGTATAGGTCCCTCAACATCTTGTTCCACTTTTCCGTCTCGTTCTCGAAGTAGACGGGCACGCGCTGGTCTTGAAGCTCGTCCCGCCACTGCTGGACAAGTCTGCCTTTTTCGCCGTAATTCTTCTTTCTCTCTTCGTACTTGTCGCCATCCTTTTCGGTGAGCCACCTCTTGAGTGAATTCTCCGCATTGGCACGGTCCCGGTCGGCTCGCCAGTGCTCGACCATGCCATCGCGTACGACAGAGTCGTAGAGGCCTGAGTTTTTGAGCTGCTGTCGTACGCGCGCGAGATCGCTAGTGGGACCGGAGGGGATTGGGATTCGTGGCGCAGGGGTGGAATCAGGCCTATTCGGTGGCGTCGGGGTTGATCTAGTTCCCGAACTGCTTGTCTTTGGGACGGGCGGGTGCTTGAAGGCATCAGCCTTTGCCTCATCGGCAAATCGCTTGGCTCGGGACTCTTTTGGGGGGTCCGCGAGCCAGCCTCGCAAGATCTCTTTGCCATCTTCGGTCCCCGTACGTTTCAGCTTGTGCATCATGCCCAAGCGACACCAAGGGTCTGGATATTTTGCGGCGAGATCGCGTGCGGCGGTGGGATACCTGGAGTCGGTGGGGAAGGGAGGAGGGGTATTGGTGTCGACCCAATCGACGCCACCAACGGGAATGCTGCTGGGCTTGGCATCCTTGCCTTTTCGGATAGCGGTGGAGAGCTGGTATCAGCAAAGTTTATGTGAGACTTACAAAGACACCTTTCTCGTTGCGTCCGAGCCATATCCAAGCCAATACGAGCGATTTGAGGCAGACGAGCGAGGTAAAGGGCTCGGGATCTAGCAGAAAGTATGCTCCTACTTCGATGAGGGTTCCGATGAGGAACAAGGGCCAATAGTCGTCGATATGTTCTTTGTGTAGGGCATAGGATCCTTCCACAACTGTCATCAGCTTGGTCACCTGGTTTACTCACTATAGTATTGTAGTGGGATGATACCATCCACATAAAGACCAAACATCATAGCCACCTCCATGGCGGACGTCCGAACGACTTGATACCATATCACGCTTAGGATGAACAGGACAAGGGGATCCCATGCGCCTGAGAATTTGGAGATGCTAATGACGACATCGCCGAGGAAGCCCCCGGAAACCGCGAGCTGGGGTCAGCTGGGAAGGGAGTAGACTCACATAGCGCAGCCTAACGTCGGTCGCGAATTGGTCCATGAGTGGATGATGAGTAGCATTGTATCTCATCTTGATCCGTATAATCATGATCCTGAAAGGAGGCAAAAGACGGAGTACCTGGCTCAGATAAAGGAACAGGATTGACATACACTTCATACATCACCATGGGCTGGAGCGACCTCGCTGGTTACTCGGACAAGGTCCGGCGCGATTTTGTAAGTCTACACTGAACAAAACTGACGCAGCTCGTCCCCTCGTCAGGATGGATCGGTGACATTGTCATACCCGCTTCGGATGTCACTGGGATATGGGACATCTTCCTTGTATCGCTGCTGTTTGTCTCGTGGTGGATTGCGATCCGGACGAGCGACCGAGTCGTAGCGCTTGTGCTTGCTCGAGCGTTTGACACGACGATACCTCTTCAGCATTATTGTAAGTTCGGCAAGGATTAGCTGATGATAGTGAGTACCAACGCCAAGGTGCAGAAGCTCCACGCCAAGCACTGCGAGCAGTATTGGCGAATCTGGTACATTGCCACTGCGGTTGAGGGAGCTGCATACTTTTTGTTCCACCCCGACCTCTTCACCCTGGTGACTTGCTTCAAGACGACAGTGATGATGCTGGCTTGGCTTGGCAGAAACAAGGACGGGAATTTTGTGAGTGCAAGTGAGAGGTAGCTGATTAGTGGTCAACAGGGATTAGAGCCAAGCCGGGCGCGACGGCGCCTGCAGCTGCTTCGGACAGGCCGAAAGAGCCCAAGGAGAAAGGCTGGAACGACAAGCTGAAGGCGAAAGGGTACGATCAGCATGCCAGAAGGGAGATGATTGGGGAACTGAAGAAGATCCCATCATCATCCAAGCAGCAGGAGCTGTTGGACAGTTGGCGCAAGGCGGAGGGGCAGAAGATGAAGGATTTCAACCGGCAGTTTGGTCAGAAGGGGAAATCGAGGGCAGCAAGGGAGAAGGCCAATAAAACACCAAAGGGGCCGTCCATATCTGAGCAAAGGGCGACAAGAGCGATGGGATGATCAGAGATGTCTCCATTCCTCTTGTATTACGCGTACAAAGTCTGCCGCCGTGTGACCATCCTGCTGTCAGCTGTGCCTGCGGGCGACTCACGTTGCAACCACTCCACATTCCACCGTCGACCGTGCACCGCCTGGCGCCACGCATGATGGTGCTGTCGATGGAAATTGTACAGCTCATCGTCACCCCATCGGCGATGGTCTGCGCTAGGTTGTTCTGGAGGAGCGCCTCGGCCTCCGACCCCTCGATACAAGCGCCCACACCGCTGGCGTTCCAGTCGACTCCAGACGCGTCGGCGCATCTTTTCGTCAGGCTGAGCTTACCGATGTCGGCAAAGTCGCGGTTCTGACAACCAAGGTTGGCATAGAATGTCGGCAGTGGGAGGTGCTTGTGTAGGCAGAGCTGGTGGGCATTGCCAACGCATTCTAGAGCACCGTGTTTGCAGGTGTAGCCGAGAGGTTCCGAGGCGTTTCGCCTATGGTCAGCCCGGCCGATGTGTGACTCACGTCGCAATGTAGTTCATCTTGAGGTGGACCTTGTTTTGCACACTTTGAGAGCCCAAGACTTGCTCAAAGACGGCTTCGCAGGTACGCTATTGTCAGCAGAGGCGGGTGATGGACGTACGGCGTCGGGGCAGCGCGACATGACGTAGAGCGTGACATTGACTCGAGGAGCTGGTGTGAAGGGGTGCTGGGCTGCTAGCGATAGAGGGAGTGCTATGAGAAGGATGAGTCGCCACATGTCGGGCGGAGAGGAGACACACAGCTGGGAAACAGCAGCAAATGGAAGTGACGTTACCCCACGGGGTAATCCGCATGTTTCACCTTGAGCTTACTTGGCCCATCGCATCCTACGGGCAGTGAGTCTATGGCCCCATCACATCTGTGTAGACGAGCTCGATGTGGTGCCCTCTGATGCAATTGACCCATAGCAGCAGACTGAGCGGAGTAGACTCGGTAGAAGAGCGAAAGAAAATGCATTATTGCTACTACTGTCTACTACAAGCTACACATTATGATGATATCGAACGCCTAGTGGGTAGACGACTCCCCAGCCTCCTTGGACCCAATTTTGGGTGCCCCGCTAAAGAACGAGTGCTTGTGTCCCTCGTCAGCGTGAGCCATGGGACCGGACGCCTGCTTCTGCTTGAGGAAGTCGGCGTGGGAGATGGTGGGAAGGACGGTAGCCTCGTGGACGATGGGGGCGTCGTGGATCTTCTCCTGGACGGCGACGGTGTGGTGGACGGTGGTGGGCTGGACAGTCTCGCGCTGGATGACGGGTTGGACTGTTAGTTAGCAAGGTCGAAAAAGAAATAAGACAACTTACCAGTCTCGTGGATGTGGTGGTGCTCGTGCTGGTTCACGTGCGTACCGAGGTGGGCAGCCGAGCGCTCAACTTCACCGACACGGGTGGTGTCGGTGTGGGCAGAGCGCTGCTCGTGGAGCTTCTGCTGGTGCTCCGGGAGCATGTCCTCCTTGTGCTCACGGACGACGGCGGGGGCGGTAGACTGGACGTGCTTGGTCTCGAGAACCTTGTGGTCCTCGATGGGCTGGACGCGGTGCTGGTGGTGGTGGACATGACGTTCCCGGTCGATGGCCTCGACGGTCTCGGTGTGCTCCTGGGGACGGATGTGCTCCTGGGTGACTTCCGGGGCGACCTCCGAGCAAACCTGAAAGTCAGCGAAAGGACTTGGTAGCGGAAAGAAGATTCACCTCGGTGGAGTCGGGCTTGTGAGAGCTCTTGAGGAAGTCCTTGACGCCTTGGGTGATAGCAGCCATTTTGTTGGTTTTGGTGAGTGTGGGTTGGTAAAGTGAAAGTGGGAGGGTTGAAGGGATGATTCGTTTGTTGGGCAAGAAGGGGAAGGGGAATTTGGCCTTAATATAGGCAGGCCCTCGCTCCTTGTTGTCTCGACGTCATCGCTGCGTCAACGACACACACTGTCCCGCGTCTGCCTGCCTCTGCGCCTAGTCTGTGACGGTGATTCAAATCAGGGTTCAGAACAGAACACAAGTGACTCGTCGTCGTCATACGATAAGCATCTCACGGGTAACGATCTGAGACTTGCATTTCAAGAGACAGGAACAGAACCCCGTAGATCGCGACGGAATGACACAAGATCGACGTCATATTGCATCAGCAACTGCGTAAGTTTCGTAAGACGTTTTCTGCTGATCTTGCCGGTCTCCCGAAAGTCTCGAACTTCGGCACGGTATGATTCAGCCTCGCCATCGCTCCCCAAGCAGGGCAGCAGTGCAAGCTGGAAGGATAATTCTCGATGGGGAGACCTCGGACGGAGAGACCAGGAGAGCATCAGTAGAGGCAGCCAGCGACTGAGTACTGCGTGAACCTGCGCAGAGCCTCCGTCTGCTGCACCAAAGATAGAGTACTCTACAGGGAAGTTACGGCAAGGTCTACGGATCCGGCCCCTCTTCCGTCGGAGGAGAGAAGCAAGATCTCGGTTGAGAGTGAGACCGCGTCATTATCCGACGCTCCGCTCAGGCACACGTTTCAGAGCTTGTACTATGTTCTAGATTCAGCATCGAGTCCTGTTACATACAGACCAGGTGCTTCAAGGCACGACTGGCAAAGTACTCGACTGATCTTTTCACATCGTGCAAACACTCGACACCTCGTCGTCCACCACCATCATGCCTTCGCTTTTTAGCAGGTTCAAGCGTCGGTCCAAGGATGGTAAATCCGCCCCCTCGAGCCCTACCCCTTCCTCACATTCCACCGCACAGACGCCCCCTGCTTCCCCTGCTCGGCCTCAAACACACACGGCATCCCCTCAAATCCGCGGGCATGTCTCGCAAGCACCCCCTTCGGATCATCCTCGTCCATCCCTCGACGTCGACGATATTCCCCCTCGCTCAACCAGCCTAAACGAGCCAGCTGTCAACATCACCCCTCACTCGGAGCAGCGCGACCCTCGTCTAAGCTCTTCAGCCACCGCAAGCAACACGGAAATGGCTTCTGGCATGCAAAACATGCAGCTCGACGCGCCGCCTCAACTCCCTCCCCTCCATCTCCACAATGACAGCCTCGCCACCACGTTCACAGCGGTATCGGCTCCGACCATCCCCAAGGACCCGTCTGCGCCGTCCCTCGAGGTGCAGCGTGATCAGCTGGTGAACAAGATTGCCACCGCAGCCAAGGCGCGGAAAGCAGAGCACGGGGAGCTCAGCGAAGCCGGCAGGGCGGCGTTCCAGGCGGCCGGAATGGACAAGGAGGCCAATACCAAGGGATCGCTAGAGGTGGAGACGAGATACTTGAAGCCGGTGGTACAAGTGAGTTCTTAGCTGGCCTCGCTGATTCAGGAAACCATCATCATCAAAGAGCACACTGAAACCACCACTATAATCGACCAGCACATTCATCGGCACCACGTCTAGTGAGTCAAACTCTGGCATCGCTGACCCCAGCCCGAAAATCCAGCCCATTTCCGACCCCAACCCTATTAAGCTCGAGCCTCGCCACCGCATCTTCTCCGCCGCAGACGGCAAGTGGCACGAGGTCGTGGGCGATGCGGCCGCTATCGCCATTCTCGGCGAGGACGTCTTCTACAATGGCAAGAAGGAGGTTCGGGAGGAGCGCAAAATGGCCTTGCCGGGACTGGGCGGTGAGGTGGACGAGCGGGCATTCGAGGCGAGGGTTGTGGAACGCGAGGGGATCAAGGGCGAGATGGGGAGTTGGCATCAGCTCAAGGGGATTGCAAGCGCCGAGACCCCGAGTGCTATGGTTGGAGAGGGGTGGATGCTGCCAGAAGATCAGATGGGCCCGGCGGAGAAGACTGTAGGAATTGCATTGTGATGTAGCTCTAGTATGCTTTGGTCTCTGTTGCGTCGCTGCTCAAGCAGCTTGTGTCTTGGAACAGCTCTTGGAACAGCTCTTGGAACTCGCTCGGACTTGGGTACCGAGTACAAGGTTTTAAATGCGGTGATGTCATGAGGTAATCGAGCCTATGACGTAGCAGATCCGGAACGGTACAATCGCTTACCGGACGGCGGACTATATGGAGCGTCGCCTGTCGTCGCTGTGTTATTGCATCAACACATAACCCTCAATACACTAAATCAAACCCCAACCCACCAACAACATGGAGAACTTCAACCTTGGCAAGCCTATCGGAGCTGTCGTCGGACAGACTGCCCCGTTGAACGAGGAGCACGGAGCCGGTACGGGAGTCAGCGGCGGCGTAAGTCGTTCTTTTTATCGCTGCTGACATCTAGCACGTTCCCTCTGCTACCAACCAAGCCAAGGGCTACGGCCAAGACCAGAGCCAGGGCTTCAACGCAGGCCTCGGCGGTGAGCACGCCTCCGGCGGTCTCGCCAACACCGGTTCCTCGGGAACGCCCATCGCCGACCGCTTCACCGGCAAGTCCGGCCACCAATCGGATGCCGTCTCGGGCGCGTACGAAGGTGGCTCCACCCGCAACGCCCTCACTGGCGAAAGCAACGCCCACACCACGGGCCAAGGCGTTGGGTACCTCGGAGGAGAGGGTGAGTCGAGTATCGCACCCAGCTGATGTCAGGCCCCTCTCACTCTGCTCGCGATGCCGCCCTTACCGGCACGGCTGGCGCTGCCTCTGCTACTGCGCTCGGAGCTGGTCACTCGAGCGGTGGCGTCGTTGGTCCTTCTGGCGGTGCTGGCGGACACTACTCTACATCCGGCCAGCACGGTCTGACCGGCGCAGCTGCTGGTCTCGGTGCCGGTGCCGGCGCTGCCGGACTCGCCAGTCACCACGGTCAGGAGCACAGCAACACTGGAGCCGGCTCTGCCGCGATTTTGAACGCCCAGCAGGCAGGCGCGAGGGGTTCCCACGGCGAGTCGGGTCTGGCTACTGCCGGTGCGGGCGCGGGTGCTGCCAGCCATTCCAGCCACTCTGACGAAAACACCCGAGGAGGTGAGTGCATCCGTGATTGAGCTGATTCAGAACCCCTCTCCAACCCCAAGGACCTCGACTCGGGCACTCGCCACGGTCTCGTCTTTGACAAGGCTACTGGCAAATACGTCCACCGCCACGAGCTGGACGAGAAGAAGTAGATGATCAGAAGTGATGGCAGATGCAAAGATGTCTAAGCCGACCTTCCGAGCGCCTCTTATGGCTCATAATAAGATGCCCTGTCACTAAAAGATTGCGGGTAGCCTGAATGGCTGGTGATGATGGAGCTCGGACGCTGTCGTTAGCTATGCCTGGCCTTGACTCACCTGTACAAGTGGAGCCGGGGGAAAGTAGTTGGAGTCATGGGTGTTGGGATTGAGCAGTGGATTGTTCAACAACAAAGTAGGGGTCAACTCAAAGACGTGTTGCCCGATGACGCCTCTGGCCTTTTGAGTATCTGGCCGCCTGCAGATGTGGATGTTTGGCTCTTGCGATTTGACTTCTGGGCCATAGCCCTTCGGACCGGGATTATCAATGAGGGGTCTAGACATTCCGCCGGTCCCACTGCCGTCAGCTCAGCTTGGCCGTTACTCACTCCCAAGTCAATCTGATATCTCCCCCCGTATATATCTGCACCAGCTTGGCCGTGTCGATATGACGTATCTCGATGAATTGCGCCGAGACGAGCAAGACGTATGGCGGGTGGAACGCGGCGCTGTCCGGCCTGCCCTCCCACTCGATCGCCTCTTGGGATCGATTCGGCTCGCCATGCCGATCGACATATAGCCCAAACGAGTCGTAGCAGAGAAAGAATTCCGTCTCGGTAGACCGAAACATGCCGAGGGGTTTGGCCAAGTCGCAACGCCGCTGGAGGTCGGCCAGGTGTGTACGGTCCCGCATCCGGCTCGGGTCGAATACCGGTATGGACCCTCCTTTGAGATCTGTGAGATCCATAATCTCAAAGCCCTTGGCGCAGACCACTGCAAGCTTGTGCTTGAGAAAGTGGACGCTGAGGGCTTCCGTAGGGATGAAAAAGTCCTTGTACAGGCGAAACCACTCGCTCCGCTGTCCGAGGAGGTTTCCGAATGGCCGACGCTGCCGGTTGTCGCTGTTGGTGATGGGCTCGAGTACCCTGAACAAAGAGTCGTTGCCTTTGCGCTTCATGTAGAGGACGAGGGTACGACCAGAGAGCTGACCGACGGTGAAAAAGATGATGTCTTTGCCGGGGGATAGGCGTTGCGGAGCAGAGCGGACCTGAGGGGATAGTCCAGAAGGGACGAGGGCTTCCAGATGGTATGCGAGAAGAGACTATATCAGCCACGTCTACCAATGCTCACCTTGTCCTGAAGAACCAAAAAGATGCCAAACTCCTCCAACACTGCAATATTGGTGACCGCCTTGACGTGGAGTACTTTTCGCAGAGACGATGGATCGTGCCGAAGCCCAATCCACACGCCCTCCTCGCATCCGATCGCCACCAGGAATCGCTTATCGGGAGTGACTATATTAGCTCAGCCGTCGTCGAACTTACTAAACGGCATGCTGCACGTGACCCGCCCCGTAAATGCCGAATCATCCTTGACGACTGTATAGTTGGACGGCTGGTAGAACGTGTCGGTGCTCAGCGGTGTAAGTTCAAACACCTTGGCCGCGTCGTTGACCTCGGCGCGAAGCACCTTGGCGTGTTGCAGCTTTTCGTGCCATTCGTTCCGGACCGTTTGTGACTCGGCAAAGAGCGTATACTGCCCGCCCAGCTGACCCTGGCCGATGAACAAGACGTTCAAAGGCCAGATCATATCCTCCGCTGCGCCAAAGAGCTTTCCCGTTGGCCTGCTTCTTGGCCCCTCCCCAAATGATCCCAACGACAGCAGCTCGATGGGGATTGGCCGCCGATTGATGATGAATTTTTCCCCCTTGCGTCGCTCCGGCTTGGCCAAGACGAGGTAGTTGTCCAACAGGATCAAGCGCAGCTCGACCCAGCTGCTCCCGATAGACTCCGGTTGGCGATACACCGTGCTCTTGTAGATGAGCTCCCGCATTGGGTTGAGCAGGTCAAGATCCTTGATCACGCGCGACCCAAACTTTCCGTTATCCAGCGTCTGCTCCAGATTCCAGAGATCCACCTTGGCCTCATTCACCGCCACTCCCTTTTGCGTCGCCTTGCCCAGCAGCCCGATAAGCTCGATGACCTGGGGGATTGTTTCGATATCCGGGTGGACGTCGGCGACCTCTTGTAGAGACTTGAGAATATCGGCGAGGAGGAGATTGTACCGGAGGAGACGGGGGATGGGCCGATTGATAAAGTGGTAGACGTCTTGGCGATTTGACATGGGGTGTTTGAGGCAGGCCTCGAGGAAGTCTGCGAAACGCTTGTTTTTTCGCTGTTCCTCTTGCACCTTGGCCTTGGCGATGGGATAGTGCGTGACATATTCCATGTAGGCCTCTTGCCAGTTGAGCGCGGCGTCAAAGACCAAGTCGGCGATAGCGCCGACGCTGGGATGTTGCTCGAGCTGTCGCGCCTGGAGCTTGTCGAGGAGGTCCTGGTGGACGTGCAGGAGGGACCGATAGTTGTGGAATACTTGGTCGATAAAGTCGTCGACGCGGCTCCGGTCGATGATGGCAGGCTCGGCCTCGCGCAGGCCACCCACGAACAATTGGTCTATTGTTTCGAGGTCCGCCACGTACTCCATTTCCCCCTGGATCAACTCCCATATTTGCCTACATCAGCCGAGTCAGGGGTGGGCTTACATTTGCCGCTTTTGCTCTTTTTTGGGGAGGTCCCTCCTCATTTCCTCTGGCACCAGATCATACCACTGCTTCTTGCCCGCCAGGCCTCTCCCCTTGGACCCGTGAAACACCTTGAGCTGCGAGATGGCCGATAGATTCCGTATACTGCTGAGGGCTTCGACCAGAAAGTCGCGGTCCGGATCCTCCTCCTCGGTGGCGTTCAAGATCGCCTCGAGGAGGGCAGGATACCGTTGGAGCTGGTTGGTCGGACGGGCAACGAGATACTTGATGTCTCGTCGCCGGTCCTCCCGTACCACCCGCTCATTGAAGAGTCTGAATTGGGGATTCTCGTCCAGCTCTTTCCGGATGACCAGCTCGGCCGAAGGTACGTTGCCTGTGTACTCCGGGTAGATGAGACGAAAGTCGGTGGCCGCCTCGAGAAAGATGTCTCCGACGGTCCGAATGAGGGGGTGTTGTTCCCGCTGGCGGATGGAAAAGTTGTCGAGTATCCGCCGGCATGCCTCCCGCAACTCCATCGCGTTGCCAAAGACGTCACTGAGAAAGCCGTCCAGCCGATAGTAGGGGATTACGTCCTTTAGGCCGATGATGAAGTTCTCCATCGCCGTGAGGTCCGCCTCGTACTGTATTTCCGACTGGATCGCTTGACGGATGATGGTTTGCCTGTCCACCTGGTGGCTAGACAGCCGATGCAGCGGGTCGACCTCCTCCTGCCAGTCCCTCTTTGGCTCCCGCACGGGCTGGGGTGCCTCGTACAGGAACGTCACCGGAGCTGTCCGGTAGGGACAGCGTGAGGCATAGCACCGGTTGTCCCCCGGGCAGCTCGGCGAGTAGCACCTCGTCGCCATTGTCATCAGCCCCTTGGGCAGCTCCGACTCCATCCCCTCCATCTCCCCCATGAACCGAAACACATCATCCGGCGAGTCCCGCAACGGCTTGATGTCCCAATCCACCTCGACAAACCATAGTTGGTTTTGTAGCGACTGCGCCGTGATGAGGGCGAACCGACGATCCGTGGGGGTCTCGCGAGTGTATGCTGGGAGGAAGGAGTGTAGAGTAGTCTACATCAGCCAAGTCGGTTGTGGACTCACGACAATGTCTCTCCCCGTACAGCTCCCTACCCATGCGATCCCCGCCTTGAGATGTCTTCTCCGCTCCACGCGATCTCGCAGCTGCACCGCCGACTCGCTGAGAAAGGCAGGCTGAAAGAAGCGGATCTCATCTGCCTCTTCTTCCCATTCCTCCTCATACTCGTCCGAGTCTTCGCCGCCTTGATGTATTTGGAGCTTCCGCGCGGCCCAGTCAGGGGCAGGTAGGACGGGCGAAGGCGACCTCCCTTGTTGGCCCTCCAGCGACTCTTGGAACGCCTCCGACGGGGGACGTGCCATTTCGGGCATATGCCTCACCCTATTCTCTGCTCGTAGACCTGCATAGTCCATCCAATCCGCCTGAGTAGGAGTGCCTCTTCGGACATCCGGCTCCAAGCTCGTTCCAGCGGTGTCGGTGCTTTGGAACGAGTCCGCCGTGTAGATGGAGAAGGCTTGTGAGGGGGCGCGAGAGGGTCCGCTAGAGGGTGGTGGAGGTACAGCTGGGAGGGACCGCTCTTGAGTGGGCGGTCTAGGCAGCGGTCTGCGACTGCCCGAAGATGGCGGAATGGGTGGCGGTGCAAAGTCGACGGGTGGAGTGGGAAGAGCTGGCCGACTCGCCTGGCGACCGGAAGAGGGGACGGGAGGGGTGGGGAGGTTGGCTCTGGGGAGGGAGCCATACGATGGGACAGATTGGTGGTCAGACATGTCGGTGCAGAGAGAAAGGCAGTTGAAGCATGCGGGGATCGTTGCGGGGTAGGAATGTTTGGTCCCACTGTGCATTGTCCATCTATGACCCGGCATGAGCGCCCCTTCATTCTCATCCTTCCCAACTCTCCCAGCTCCTCCAAGCAAGCCCCGCCAATCAGAGATCAGGCGCAAGGTCAAGCGTCGATCCAAATCTCCAAAATTACACCGTTCCAATGGCGGGGAGCCACGCAAGGATGACATTCCCCAAGCTGTAGAGCGCAATACTTCAGCCGTCTTTACAGATATCGTCTTTGACAGGTCCCGCTTCAGCGCAGCCCATACCCTCGAAGCACCAGTCTATCGCCGTCGGCTACGTGAGTGGTCTCATTGCCCAGCTGATTTCAGCCCTGGTCCTAGGCCTACCTCCGCTCTTCAAAGTCGACCAGAGCAAGGATCTGAAAGGTGTTCAAGTGGGCTGTCGGGATGTCCACTCGGTATGTCCAGCCAAGACGGCGCTGACTTAGACATCTACTCGGGCACGACTCCCCGTAGAAGCCCCTCCAAACAAGATCCGCCGCCTCACCACGGAGCCATCAGCTTTCGACCAGCACGCCTCGTTTGTGCGCTTTGCACCTAAGCAAGCTCTGCGCGAGACCCTCATCGAGGTATCGGACGAAGAGTTTGAGGTTGAGTTCTCGGACCTGCCCCGCGCAGATGCGGACCGTCGAGCTCGGGTCGCCGCCGCAGAGGGTCAACTACGCAAGCACCCCGCAGACATTGACGCCTGGGTGTCGTACTCTACCCAACACATCTCGGGCGACCTGGACGGTCCGTTCGACAAGGCATCCGCCGAGGTCTCTCTCGCCATACTAGAGCGGGCAATCAAGTTAAATCCCTTTAGCATACGGCTCCATCTCGCCCATTTGCGGGTCGCACGGCACGTCCACAATCCCGCCCAGATTGCTGTTCGGTGGGAGATGGTCCTCGTGACCTTCCCCTTGTCTGTTACCGACGACTCGTTCTCAGCCTGGATCGCATACCTATCATGGTGCGAAACGGACGGCTTTGGTAGTTTTGGTGGCGACAGCGTCGAACGCGTAGTGGCGATATACTCTCGGGTGATCGATACATGGCGAACTGAGTTATTGGCCCTGCCCAGAAATTGTAAGTGCCTGTAGCTCGTCGCTGACTCAGCCACTCGCATGGCTGGACTAGAGTCCACCCTCCTATATCTTACTGTCCGAGTGGCCAAGTTCCTCCAGCGTACAGGTGAGCTTAAAGACGATCGAGCTGACTTAGGCTACAATGAGCAGGGGTTTGCTGTGCTCCAAGCACTGATCGAAATGTACGTCTTGCTCGACCAAGCTGATTTTAGCACATTTTTCAAACCTGACGAGTGGGTGGCGCCGCTAACCGGCCTGTCGCAATGGTGGAACGGTCTCTCGAGAGCGTTTCAGCCATTCTGGGACTCAGAATCGCCCCGGTTTGGTGAAGCCGATGCCAAGGGGTGGAAAAGCGGACATCAACCACCTTCGGTCATTTCAGAAACGGCCCCTCTTGACGACTGGTACTCGCAAGAGCTCACCTCCAACTCGGCCGACCCCTACTCTACCGTCCTGTACGAAGACATTCGACCTTTGTTGGTACCTATATTGACACCGGAAAGCCGTCAGGATGCCATCTACTCGGTCCTCACCTTTCTCGGCGTCTCCCTTCTTCCCCCAGACATATCTACCAGTACATCGCAAGACCCCCTCCTGCGTCCCGATATTGACATCTTATGGCCTCGACCGGATCGCGTCCACCCATGGGTAGAGACCCCTGCGACTCTGCGCTTACCCGACAACAACATGCGGTACTGGGCATTCGACATGGACACTTTGTTTTCGTCGGACTGGTTTCATGCGACTCCCTCGGACCCCCTGACAAAGTAAGTGAAAGCAGACCAAGCTGATGTAGACGCTGTATGATGCAGCTTCAACCGCTCATACCGGACCCCCGCTTCACCATCATGCTGCTGGCACTGGAAGGGAAATCGTACGTGGAAGGTCGACGCAACTGATTCAGGGCACCGCGACTCGCCAAGAATATGCTTTCCCGCAAGCGCGACGACCTGAATCTATGGTATGCCTATGCTGCCATCGAATTCGGTCGCCATCGACACGACTCGGCGAGATCCGTCTTTGCCAATGCGCTCTCTTTCGCAAAGTCCAGTAGCCCAGGTGAAGACGAGCTCGACCTTCTGGCGGGGTGGGTCCAGATGGAGTCGGATCTGGGCAACAAGGATCGGGCAGTAGATTTGCTACTGCAGACGGCGAACTTTGAGTCTGCCGACTTTTGTAAGTGATCATAGGGGCTAGCTGACGACAGTATCTCGTGCCACGGCAGATTTTACCGCCCCGACGCCAACCCCCATACAGTTGCTGAAGGCTGGCCAGGTGAGCTAGATCTTGACGTAGCTGATTAGTTTTACGACCAGCAGTCATCCCCACGACTCACTTTCTTTTGGACGGCCATCGTTCGGGACGACATCTCGGCCGCTTGCGCGCTCTGCAACGGATCTGATGAGGTCACTCTACAGTTTATCGTCCGGCAGCTCTGGCTGCACAAAGAGGAACGAGAGCTCTCCGAGATACTAGGCACGGCCACTGTCCGCTACCCCCACAATACTATATTCCAAACCCTCAGCCTTATCCTGACCGCAAAGCGCAGCACCCGATCGGCCGAGCGGCAACTCGAACAATCCAAAACCGGTATGATTTGGGGGATTGGCGAGATGGGTCGCTTGGCCGGCGGCGCTTTGTGGAAGCCAGACGGAAGTGGCGCACAGCATGTGCGTGAGATGTTCAACCGTGCAATCCGTACCGACGAGTGAGTGTGTCGTCTGCGCTGGCTGATGACAGGGGGAGACAATCCATCAGCATTTGGCGAAACTACATTGAATTTGAAAGTGCGATGAAGACTTCAGCGGTCAAACAGCTCTGCTACCGTGCAGTCGCTGCGGTGGGCAGCTGCAAGCGTGAGTGTCTAAATGATGTCGCTGATGTCAGAACTTTACATGCTCCCTTTCAAATTGCGGGATTCATTTACCGCACAAGAGCTGCGAGAGTGGATTCTCTTGATGGTGGAGCGCGGTTTCCGGATTCGGACACCCTTTGAGCATCTTTTAGTGGTAGACGACGAGCTACAGCAGCTACCCAGTGATGAGGAGCCGGAGGATGACGAGCTCGGGTTCCTGCAGGAAACGCAGCGATTGAAGCCGTATGCATAGATCTGAAACCGTAATGAAACGCGTCGAGTCTTCCACCTTTCTCATCCATCATTCAAGATGGCTTCAGTTCTTTCAGGCACCATAGAGGCAGACGACGAACACGTACAGACCGCGAAGCCCACTCGCCAGCCAGAGGTCCTCGTCCCAGGCACAGCCGCGAACGGGATACGAGGAGTGGAAGAAGGCGGAATTGTGAGTCTGCCGCCGTCGTCACTGACTGTAGTCGGGGATCCTGCGACAATCGTCCCATCCAGCAGTATTGGCAGTTCTGTACCTGTTCCGCTCCGCAGCTATCGCTGTATACGTCCTGTGCGGGATCTGTAAGCTCGAGTGTGATCAAGCTGACATCTGTCACCGACAATTATGTTCTGAGCGTGAGTCTACGCAAGACGTGACTGATGGCAGATTGTACTCGTTGTTGTGCTCCTTTCTCTAGACTTTTGGAATACTAGAGTGAGTCCTTGATTGGTAGGTCTGACCTAGAACATTGCCGGTCGAACTCTGGTCGGGCTCAGATACTGGAACGAGGTCGATGATGAGGGCGAAAGCTCCTGGGTGTTTGAATCGCGGGATGTACGTCGGGCCAAGGTCAAGCTGATGGAAGCCTTCACGACCGAGTAATCCTATGGACGCTAGGTAAGATCCCACATATCCAGAGCTGACTCCAGGATGTTTTGGGCAAGTCAACGCCTAATCCCACTAACGAACAGATCGCCCTTTACGTCTATCCTCTGGGATGGCTGGCGCTAATGATCGTGTCGGTGCTCAAATTCAACATCTCGTGCGTAGCGACAAGGTCAAACTGAGTACAGATTTCTGCCTATTGTCCTGCTTGCTTTGGTCTTCAACCTGTCCAACCTCTTGGGCTTCACGTGAGCGATTTTGCTGCCTCGCTGACGAACAGATACGCAGATAGGGACGCGCAACGCCGCTGGGCCTCGGGCATTGCAGCGGGCGGCAATATCCTCGGCTTGGGAAGCGGTATCGGCGGACACTTGATGGGAGGGCTGGTACGGAACAGTCTGGGACGGATTCTTGGCTAGACATGCATAGTCATCGTTTCAGCTTGGCCGAGGTGTGCTCCTGACGGGTATGGAGTATGTTTGATACAGGGGAAGATTTGGCTTTGGTATGGGCTACGCCTAGCCAGTAGCCCGCGGCGTACTGGGCCGACATGGCGAAACCTATGGCCTCCTCGTACGTCGCTCGTGCCGCAGCCTCTCCGGATAGGGTGTTTGCCGAGTAGCCGCTGTCGTGGGGTGACTCTGGTGGCTCGGCCCCGCTACCGCCGTGGAGGGGAGAAGGAGGGTTGTAGACCGGTGAATCTTCTCTAGGCTTGATCTTCTTGGCTGTACCAGTGTAGGGGTTGTCCGCCGCCCGCTTTTTTGGCTTCTGCGGTGCAGTGTCCGAGTCGCGGTACCAGCTGACCGTCAGCTTTGTCACGCTCTGACTCACTCTGTCCCAAAAGTCCTTGCTCCTGGCAATGGCTGGCCCTTTGCAGCCGTCATCTTGTCCAGCCATGTGCCTGGTCCGGGGTGGTGCAGCTGCTGGTCAGCGCCGTGCGTGTTGTCACTCACGTGGAATTCCTCGAGAGCGGCATCGTACGCTCGGACGAGTTCTCCATCGTCCCAAGCCTGCCCGGCTTTTGCTGTACCCGAGGCGAGGCTGATGTCGATGCTAAACCCGACTGGGTCTGCCATTGTGAAGGGGCGATGTAGAGACGAAGTTTGGTTGATATGAGTTGTGGTAGCTAGTGACGTGCTGTACGTAATCCGACCGGTGCGTCATCGCAAGCATGTTGTTGCTTCGGTGCCGGTTCTCTTCTGCCTTTGCCTTTCCATCTGCAAGAATGTCCACCTTACCTCAAGTATGTTCAGTCCACCTCGCAAAGAACCACGCTGACCATACAGTACTATGCCATTCTTGTGGGTTTGCAAATCGTGACGCACTAATCTCAGAACGTATCTCCTACAGTGACTGCGTGAGTTTGGCTCAACGCCAAGCTGACGTCAGGGATGAGATACGTGCCGCATACAAGCGAGAGTCTCTCAAGACTCATCCGGACCGGCTACCAGGAACTGCCACCCCAGTCGACCGTCGGCGCGCCACCGAGCGCTTCGTAAGTCCTAGCTGGGGTATCCGCTAACCTCTAGCAAGCTGTCGCCGACGCATACTACGTCCTCTCTGATCCTCAGCGGAGGGCAGAGTACGACACACTCTTCAAAAGCCGCCCGTCAAACGCCTTTACCGATGAAAAGTCCTCCGAGGCTGAGCAAGACCAAGCGAGCGGCTCCTTCTTTGAGCAGTTCACCTCTTACTTTCAAAACTCGACGGGTGCATCTGGGGCCCACCCTCGGCCCGATGCGAATGGTGTCTTTGGCGATGTGTTTGAAGAGATGTGAGTGGATTCGTGGAAACGCTGATGTAAGGCTCGCTCCGGAAGTGGCTCATGTCCGCCCCTGGTGGTCATGGCTTGGGGGTGGAGCTGGAGCGACTATTGGCTACATTGTCGCCAATGTTCCGGGCGCAGTAGCTGGCGGTGAGTCGTGGAGAAGCAACGCTGAGATTAGGCTTTGCGGGAAATCGGCTGGGAGCTGTTCGGGATGCCAAGGGCAAGAGCGTCGCTCAGGTCTTTACTGGATTGCAGAGTTCTCAAAGGGCCGAGGTGAGCTGTGTGGAGGGAAAGGGCTGATGATAGATATTACGCGCGCTGGCGTTCAAGGTGTTGGGTAGTATGAGTGGCTAGCTGATGTATACGGGTAGCGTGATGTGATGATTTTGTGAAGACATCAGGTCGAGCGGCGAGGTACCACTACGACGACGGGATGTGGGTCAGGGCCGGGAAACGCTGCGGTCAGGCAGGATTGGTAGTGGCTACGGTGCGAACGGCTGATAATGGAGGAGCGGTATCTGTTGCTACTTACCTAGTGATTGGTTCATGGCGGAACAACGAGGGCTCCTAAGTCGACGATTGAGCCTTCTCTTGCTTACGAATCATCGCTGACCGTGTCCAGTCCTGATGCGACTGTGGCAATTTAGGCGGTCACTAACCAGGCAACCAGATATACTCGTCTGGATTTCCCCTAGTCTACCTCACATTCTCCCCCCCCGGTTACGATACTCACCGTCTTCCCCTGACCGAACCTAAAGGAAGCAGACAGGTTGGACAGCGAGTCCATGGGGTGGTTGGGCCAATGTACCTACAGCATCCGTGTGTGATGGTGCGGATCCTCGTATGATAGCAGTGCGGCTGGTGCGGATTGGGCTGCCGCCATTAGTGCGGACCGGGGTCTGCTACTGCGGTGGGCGAGATTAGGCACTGCTGCAAGGGGTGGGTTGGGTGCTGCTGCAGGTGAGTACGGACTGAATACTCCGCTGAGGTCTGGACATGGGACGCGGTGAGTGCGGGTTGGGGCTTCTGCCCCCCTCCAGAAGCCTCATAGAGCGTTGGCCAGGACTGGGGCTGCTGGGGGCGTGTTTGGATTGGGGCTGCTGTACGGGGTATGGACTGAAGCTATGGACTGAGGCTTGCTGCCGGGATCGCTCCCGCTGAGACGTCGTATTCCTAACACGAACGATCATTCCGTAGTCCCCTCTCAGATATTTGGCACCAGCAGCTGTTCCCATGTTCTGTGTGATCTGAGCGACACTAAACTCCTTGCCATAGCGGCTCCCGACCGCACACGGCCATCCATGCATCACGCGCTACGGGATCCCCAATCCGTACTCTACAGTACTTGCGGCCATGACAGCCCTTCTATTGTGCTAGAGCAGCCCCAACCTCTATCCGCGACCATGGGATCTCCATTCTGTGCATGCCGCCGCGAGAATCCTGATCTACGCCTTCCGGCAGAGAAGACCCAATCCTCACTCGCCGCCGAAGAGCCCCCATCAGGAGAATTGCAGCCCCGCGATGATGACCCCGACGTTTGGGCGGTCCCAATATCCCAACGCCTCAGCAGCCCCAATTTCGTCCACCGGCAAGCCGTCAGGTCATTTGCTGCAGCTCAATGGAAGCTACACCTACAATTGTTATTGAAGGCCGGCATCAGTATCCTCACCCTTGTTCCGACGCAGACAAACGCCGACAAAACCCTACCAAACCCAGATCCCACCGCCGAAATCCAACTCCTCATTCCTCAATTTCGATCCGTCTTCCGTCCTTTCCCCGCGTCTCTACCCCGCATCGCTCGCATGCCCTTTGTTAGCCCCTTCCGCAAGCCGCACAGGCCCGAGCTTCCCCTCAAGACTCAGGCCGGGCACGAGGCCCGTACCAAACTCTGGTTATCACCCATGCAGGCATCCATCTGAGTCTTACACGGGCCGAAAAGTAACCTCCTGTGATCGATTATATATTCCGCATCCCCCTCTCAATGATAGCTGACCGCATGAGTCCCATACTTCACCACATGAATGACTTTGACGGGCTATGTCTCATCCAGATCGGCATGCGTGACCTTCTCCTACAGCGCAAAGGAATCCACTGCACAGCCGCACCCATCCACCCAGCTCGCCCCAACTTTGGGTGCGGCGAAAGAAATTACGTCATGATCACTTATTCAGCACACCCCCTCTCTGATACATAGCGGCTCAAGGTGTTCCCAAATCTGTCCTATGCTATGGTTGTTCCCCGCATGCACTCACGCCAAAGTAGCCCCAATCCATACCCCTCTAGGGAAGCCCCAATCTATGACCTCGCTCTGGGAGCCCAGTCCGCACCCCCATCCGTAGTATCCCCAGTCCATACTCTCCTACAGAATTCCACCATCCGCACGCCCCCTCGACCCACCCCCAGTCCAGACTCCGTGGCGGCCCGTCCCACCCGTAGTGTCCCCATTCATATCCCCATAGAGGAGGCCCCATCCATCCCCCTCCACCGCAGCCCCAGTTCATACTCCGCCTCTACCAGCCCCAGTCCATATCCCAGCCCCAACGGCGCCGGATGATACCCACCTGAGCATCCCCAGTCCACACTCCCCGCGCTTCTCACACGTTCCATCGCACTTCATATCCCTCCCGAGCAGGCCCGATCCGTACCCAAGCCCAGCCCACGCCAGCGCCTCGCCACCCAGCTCTAACCCCGATCCAGCGTCATCAGCACACGCCGAGTTCGCATACCTCGAAGCCACACCTCACCGCCGCCTTCCGCGTTGGACTAACGCCGCCTCAAAAGGTCAAGCCCACGCCGACCCACCCAGCCAAGCGTCCAATCCACCCGCCACCGTCATCACGACCTCCCCCTTGTCCTCGACTCTGTGCCATCCTCCTCGCCAGCCCCTGCCACTCGCCGCCCCGTCCATTGTGCCAGGCAGACACCTGCGCTCTCTCCCCGACATCTGCGAGACCCACCGCACCAAGTGCCATGCCGCGTCTCCGCATACGCCACGACCGCTCCAGCCGCGAACGACGTCCTCGACAAGATTGACCGCAAAGAGGGGGAGGTGGAGTTGCTGGGGAAGGGCGGAGACTGCGGTCGAGTCGAGGTAAGCAGGATCGCAGGGGTAGCCCCAGGGGAGGCGGATGGGGCGAGTGGCGAGAGCCGGAGCGACGAGGGAGTCGGCGGGGGGATCAGCTGAGAAGAGGGGCAAAGGGGAAAGATCAGGGTGGCAGGACGAGTCCCAACAGAAAACCAGGATGGTCAGTCAGTGAACCCTCCGGAGCAAAGTCGCATGCTCAATCAAGACACAACCCCACTGCCAGGGCAACTGACAAAGCCACGATCGATGATCTCTCGATCGTACGGCAGAGTACTTGCGGTGTAAGCCATCCCTAGTCAGCCATGCACCAACGTAGAACAAGCGTCAGCATCAGCTTGGCCCCAACATGCGTACAATCCTGCTCGAATCAAGAAATCTTCATACTTATGGATGCATGTCGAACGTGTCTTGGGTCCCTCTGTTATAATTTTATAAGAACAGGCGACCCACCCAAAACGCCATTCGTATTCGGTCTGTTCCACAATATTGACGGCCAACTCGACCATAGGGTTGGGAGTCTACTCTTGCGAGGATCCACAAAGGTTCAGAGGTGGTGCTTTTGAGTAGAAGTGTTATTTGCGTTAAGAGGAAAGAGAAGGAGGCGCTGCAGACTCATAAGGGTGGGTGTCCAAGGCGGAAGCAAATGATGTTTCAGACGCACGGACTGTGATAACGCCGAAATTTCGGCAACCAAACTTGTGGCACTTTTTCAATCTTCCCTTTGCTTTTCGCGTCACTCGTCTGTCCAACCATCAACACCTACAGGTAAGCTATCTCTAGACACTATACCCTTACACAGCTCATCCATCAGTCAAAATGGTCAAGCACAACAACCAATTGCCCAAGAACCACTTCGTTAGTCGCCCTCCCATCGACACCGAGACGTTCGCTAATCATTCAGCACAAGGATTGGCAGCGACGGGTCAAGACTTGGTTCGACCAGCCAGGCAGGAAGAAGAGCAGGCGGACAGCTCGGTCCAAGAAGGCCCTTGCCACCGGTGCCCAGCCCCTTCAGCGTCTCCGCTCCGTCGTCCGATGCCCCACTCAGCGATACAACATCCGCGTCCGTGGTACGTGCACTATCCTCGAAATTTTGACTCTGGCTAATAGTCAGAGGGCCGTGGATTTACTCTCTCCGAGCTCAAGCTCGCTGGCGTCCCGAGGAAGCAGGCAAAGGGTCTCGGAATCGTTGTCGACCACCGCAGGCGTTCCAAGTCGGAGGAGGGCCAGAACTTGAACGTGGAGAGGCTCAAGGAGTACCGATCGAGGCTGGTGGTCTTCCCCCGCAAGGCCGGCAAGCCTAAGAGCGGCGACGCACAGGTGAGCACTATCTTACAGCCAAACTGACTGTAGGGCGATGACTTGACTTCGCACATCACCCGCACCCTCCCCGGTCTCCCCTCCGTGTACGAGGCCGAGGCACCCCGTGCTATCGAGAGCGGCGAGAAGGACGTTCAGGCATTCAAGGCGCTGCGTGAGGCTCGGGCTGGACAGAGGAGCGAGGGAGCCAGGCAGAAGCGTCTCGCCGCCAAGGCCGCTGAGGAGTGAGTCTTTGGCTTCTTGATCGAACAAAGCTGATCGTCAGGGCCGCGAAGAAGTAGTGGCTGTACTATTCTTTGCTGTACTTTCGCTGGGATGCATATCATGATCGAACCAAAGTGGATTGAACCGAAGTGGGTTTGCTGGGCTGGTGCAGCTGAGGTTGGGAAGGGTGCGGGCATAGTCGAGAGGATGGCGGATCATTTGCAGGGCGGGGTGGAAGCGGCGGAGTCCAAGCGGTACTGACAGCTTGCAACCCACAGCTAAGAGACTGCGCCTGGATCCTACGGTCTGAAGGGTGACTTGTCCAGGCCGATAAGCGCTCCTCTCAGCTCATGCCAAATCTCTCTTGCACGGCGTGACCTTCGTTCGCTGTGGCATGTTGCAGCCGGGAAACCTCTGCGAGCCCAGGGGTGGGGCTGACGAGGTGGTAGGCGGGGTGATTGTGGGATCTCAAGTTGTCGCCTGACAGTTGCAGACTCATCTCCATTACTTGCATATTCTAGATCTATATACATGTGCCCAGAACCAAAACCCTTTAACTGGTACCAATTCTATCATCAGCTGGTTCAATCCACAACTCACGCTGCCTTGACATAATCCGCAAAGCTGACCATGCAAATAGTCTGCCACGCGCCTGTCATCAGCTACACACTACCCTTCACGTACCCAGCCCAATCCTCGGCGCGACACCTCGGTAAAGACCCTTGAGACCGTTGGTGCGGTAAATGTAGGAAAGCGTGTTGAGAACAGTCTTCTTGGCCGGTCGCGTAGGATCGGCAGACTTCATGGCGGATTGCATCTACCATCAGCCGAGCCAGCGCTACACTCACCTCCACGCGCACCACCTCGATAGGCTGGTTCCAAGTCGCCAACGCTCCCCCAATTGTGCTCGCCAGAATCTTGTCCGCCGCACCGAGCTTCTCCCCCTCCCTGATGCCCTTGGCCTTGCGGAGCGAGCTTTCGGCGAGACGTGCGAAACCAAACCGACTGCCCCAGTTGGTAGCCTGTCGTAGAGCGACCGCATTGACACCCTTGTTGATCCCGGCAATACCTTCCCGACGGTAGATATCCAAAAATACTTTGAACGTAGATTCGGGCGCGGCACCGGCAACACTCTGCTTGTGTCGTGTGATCTCGACCGTCTTCATGCAAGTGCAAAAGCCTGAATGAGCATTGTCTAAGCTCGGACTCACCCATAGTAGCGTACGCTTGTGCGACACCACCGCCGATACCGCCAATCATACCCGCGCCGGCGGGAGACAGATCAAACGCCTTTCTGGTATACTTTTCAATCTCGGACGAGGTAAAGATGAGGACGGCGCCTTTGGTCGAAGCTTCAATCCAGGCCTGCGGTCAGCTATGAAGGTCCGGAACGTACCCATGGGATCAGCCCCTGATAAAATCCAGCAACACCTCCGCGCGACCAGACGGTACGGAACGCCTGAGCGATAGGTTGACTGCGGTTGGCAGCCATCTGTGTCTTGAGCACCTCGAGAGGTTGACCGAGCGTGGTGACTTCAAACATGTTCATGGTGGCGCCTGTCGTTAGCTATGCTTGATGTTCTTCACTCACCAACAGCAATGTTGGACCAGCTGAAGCCCTTCTCCATAGGCGCCATTGTGACTAGATGATGTGTTGATGAAAAGTGATCTGAAGGATGTGGATGAAGGTTGATTGGGGGAGCTGCGCGTCGGGAATAATCGATAATAGCACGAGACGAGGAATGCGGGGCTCCTTCCCCAGTTGACCATAGATTATGTAATACACCGCCACACTGCAACGCGTTCGATCCTTTGATTCAGAACCATTAACGTGTTGTGCTCGACTTGACTTGACGACACAACAACATCGCAGAGCAGGTCTCGCAGCGATCATATATATCAATCTACAATGGCATCTCAAACCCTGCGACCCCATCGTTCCCCCTCACCCTCTCCAGCTCCCTCCACGCCCACGCATTCAACCAATCAAGCCAAACTCACTCGCCAATCCCTTGGCCCACCCCCTACCGCCGCAGCGTCCAGAGGCTTTGCAGGCCTGGGTATATCCAACGCCTTTAACGCACAACCCCGTCATGCAAGCTCAGGCGTCACCATGGGTCTATCGCCCCGACCAAGCGCTGCAAGTGGTTTGCGCTCAGCGTCCGGCGCCACTCCACGTCCAAGCTCCGAGTTTATCTCCCGAGGCGATGCAAGAACTCCAGAAGGTAAGCCCACCCCAGGACTCGCTGACGACAGCCGAACAAATCGATCAGTGGTTCAAGCACCTCGCAAGCTGGGAAGCCACCCTAGAAGAAATGGCCGCAGCGAGCACGGACCAAAACTTTACCGAAGAATTGGGCGCTATCGAGCAATGTAAGCCGATCCAAGACCCCGCTGATGGCAGGGTTCCGCGTTCTATCCGAGGCCGAGCGAACCGCCGCCCTATACTCGCTGCTGCAACACAGCACACCCGTTCAGATCCGCTTCTTTCTCAGCGTCCTCCACCACATGGCCCAGTCCGACCCCATGACGGCGTTGCTCTCCCCCAATCCCGCCCTATCGGCCGGAATGCAAGCCCAGATGGAAGCCAAGCTCGCAGGGAGCGGGCTCAGGTCCCCTTCCGCTGGCGGTGGCGCTGGGTTCCCCGGCCCTGGCTCCCCCTACGCAGACGACCGCAACAAACTTCGTCAAAACCGCATCTCGGCTCCCGGAACCCTCCAGCCGCATGACCGGTGGCACGGTCAACTCGATCAAGTCGTCGAGCGAGGCGGTTCACCCATCTCGGACCGCAGCCGCAGCCCTACGCCCGACATCCGCCCACAAAGTACCGACTTTACGGGTCCTCGCATGTCGGGTGGAATTGGGCTTGGTCTCGCCCAGCCCGAGCCTGCATCCCCCATGATGAACGGCAGCTGGGCCAGCATGACCAATACTCCGCTCGTGCCGAGTTTTTCGGACCCGTCCATCGACAGAGTCAACCTGGACGATGCGCGCAACTTTCGTCGTCCGGGCGCTCGCAACGTCTCTGGTCATTACAACGACAATGGCGAATTCATCAACGCAGGCCAGCAGCCCGGTCGGGACAATCGCAGCCCCGTCGTGGATCAATTCGGATTTGGCGGCGGTGACGGTCTTGCCGGCCTTGGCATGAACTTTGCCAATATGAACATGAACCCCATGATGAACCCCGCGCAGATGCTCGCGCTCGCTCAAGCGCAGCAGCTCTCGACGGCGGCGAGCTTTGCTCAGGCGGGTTATGGCGGTTTGCGGGGGCCAGCCAAGCCACCACCTGGTCGGCGAAGCCCCATGTTGGGCAAGTCGCCTACGCCAGACAAGGGAGGAGGAGCAGGTAGCGGCGCTGGCGTCGCTGGACCGGATGATGTCGACATGCGGATCGTCGAAGACGTTTCGCAGTGGTTACGAGTCTTGCGCCTACACGTGAGCCCTCCGCCGATCCCGCTGATGTCAGAAATACAATTCCACGTTTGAACGAACCCCCTGGAGGGAGATGATTGCAATGTCAGAGGACGACCTCATCGCCAAGGGCGTTAGTGCGCAGGGTGCGAGGACCAAGGTGAGATTACGCTCGACCGAGCTGACACCAGTTCCTCAAGGTGTTTTACAATGTCCGCACCAAGTTTGATTTGCCTCACCCGGCGGGGTCAGAGGCGTACGCGCCGACAAAGGAGTAACGATTATGATCTTTATGCTTTATCCTCTACGTTCTTGCTTGGCTGCCTTCTTCTGTTTATCCGCCTTGGCCTTGGCAATATCCGCCCTGTCATTAGCTCGGCGACGGGAAGGCTCACTTTTGCTTTTCCAGTGCTGCCTTGTCCCGATCCCGTACCGTCTGTGAAGCATTCCGTTGCGCCTCCTTTTCCAGCTGAAGCCGCATATTCACCTTGTCGCGGTTGAGGTTGGGCGCGAGCAGGTCCACTACAGTCAGCCCGGACTATGCAGATACGCACCCTCTTGCTGCTTCTTGTGCTTCTTTTTTTTCCCATCCAGCTTGAGCGCCTGCAAGACTTGCAACCTCTTTTCCTCTGCCAATTTCTTCGCTTCGGCGTCCCCTGCCTTTCCACCAGGCTTGCCCTCCTCGTATAATTCGCCCAGCTCGCCTTCGACGTATGCATATCGCATCGCATATTGTCTGGCAATCTCTTTTTCACTTAATTCGGCTGCCTCGGGTGGGGGAGTTGGGACGGCTGGCGGTGGTGGGTCGGGTCTGGCGAGCTGTAAACGATCCCACTCCGCCACAACCTTGCGCAGAGCGCCATCCGTATCAGGAAGGTCCTACGCTGTCAGCTGGCCACCAAGCTGGACCCACCTCGACCAGCCCTTCTAGCATCCCTTTCACCCCCTCCACCTTTTCATCCACCTCGAGTCCGTCCTCCTCAACGAAACGCGCAATGTATTCGAGATCATCTGACGGTAAACTGATGCCGAGACCCTCTAGCTGAGCAATGAGAAACGTCTCAAGTCCTTGAGAGGAGGTCTCGGCAAAGTCGGACATGGTCAAAGTGAAGAGTGAAAGCCGTTTCGTGGGTGCCTTGGGGTCAAGTTTCAGATTCAGATTTCGAGTTTCAAATGACCCAATTCCAATCGCTACATACAAGCTACAACCTCTACAGCACAATGTTAGACTTCTCCGCCAAAGCAACACCCTCTCCCTCGGCCGGCTTCTCCCTGTTCCAGACAGTCAATACTCCCCGGTGCATCCCCCTCCGCCGCAAATCCGCAGAATAGACGAACCCGCTCTTCACCCCCAGTGGCCACCCCTTTGACAACTTGACGGGCGCATCTTCTGCCGCTGCCAAATTGACAGGCGCATTGCTCCCAGACTCCGCCTCCTCTTCCGTCTCCTCTCCCACAAACCGCTCCAACACCTTCCGCCGCCAAGCATCCCCCTCCCTACACGCTCGATCAACATCCGCTTCGAGAATCTTTCGCCGCGTCCCAAGCTCCCTCGCTACCAGATGATTGATCCCCGGCGTGATCTCCGGTATCGACACCCCCAGGGGAAAGTCGCGAACCTCGCGTCGGCCGACGATCGCCAGACCGAGATCGAGGTGCTCCAGCTTGTGCAGTGTCCGCAGGGGAGTAGCATAGGCGGCGGCGTACTCGTCGACCGACAATAGCCCCTCGACCACGTCGATCCGAGCGGTACCTTGACGCAGCACCTGGAGAGAGACGAGATTGGGGAATGTCTCGACAATCTTGCCGAGAAGGGCGGGGAACTGCTGATGCAGACGGACGCGATTGGCGATGGCCTGACGATCGTACTCGGTCAGAGTGTCGTCGCTGTCGCGCAAAGAACGATGCGCGCGGGGCGCAGGCGTTCCGGTTTGCTGCTCGGCTTCCGAGTCCGCCGGAACGCCGTCGGTGGTTGGGCCCGTTGAAGAAGACGCCTCCTCCCCCGTCGCCGAAGCTGACTCCGCCTTGGACGCCTCCGCCACATCACCAGGACGTTCCTCCTCCCCTGCCGCAGGCGCCTCCTTCTCTTTCACCTGTTCCGCCTTCCCCTTCCCCTTCCCTCCGCCCTTCAAAGGCTGAATGGACGACACCAGCGCAGCAGCGACTGCCCGTGCAGCAGCCTGCCCAAGACTACTGGGTGCTGGCGCTGGCTTGACAAGCGCCGTCTTTGCCAGCGACGCCCACTTCTCCTTGATCTTGTCTACATTCGCCTGCTTTCCTTTTGGCCGGCCGCCCGGCGCCGAGAGGAAAATCCTCGCCCGCTCAACCAGATCCTTCTCCACATCTTCCCTCGTCTTTTGATGCACCGTCGAGCTGTACCCGCTGACTCCGAATCCGCCCCACCTCCGTTCCGTGGGTGGCAGGATAAGCGAAAACGTCTTGATGCAGGCTCGCAACTCGGCCGCGACCATCCGATCAAAGACCGCCGCATAGGATGGGTGGTAGTGTTGCCGGCGGCGAGACGTCGAGTTGGCAACGTGTATTTGTATTGCCTCGAGCGCGGGAGCCGCGACGTGGTCAAAGACCGTTGAGGACCAGTTGCTGTATCCTCCGTACAGTCGAGTATTCACCCAGCTCTCCCCGGATTTGTAAAAGGTGCGCCCCGCCAGGATGTGAAGACTTGCTTGGGTGCACTCGCCGCATACCCCGGGGCCGATCTGCAACGACCGGAGACGGGGTAATGCAATGTAATCGGCCGCCTGTCCATGCTGAAGAGGTGGCGTGCGGTTGATGGGCGAAGCATCATCAGTGTTCCGCTGTGCGCTATGCTCGAAGTCGCCATGTTCCTTGCCGCACTATCATCAGCTTTGGTCGACACGGGGCTTACATGATGAATGACAAGGTGCTCCAAAGTCGTGCGAGAGTTGACGATTTGAGCTACAAGAGCAGAGCTGGAAGACGTGCCGTGTCCGAGGCGGATGAAGAGTTGTCTGTCGTCAGCCGCGGACACCAACTTGACATACCTTCGGCTCGCGGTATGACTTTCCGGTTCCTTGACGTCCGCCTTGGATGTGCTTCCCCCCAGACCCCCGATGACCCTCTCGCACGCGAGCATGGTTTGCCGGCAGCACCTGGCGAAATGAATCACATCAAGAACATCCTGAGGTACCGAGCCCCACCGTTCCGGACGCGCCTTGAGGCTGGACGTGACGTTCACCGAAAGGGGCGGGTAGGGAGTTTCGGCGGGATGCGGTAGATAATCCGCAAGGGGGTGAGCCACGGGGCAGATGTTGAGGACGATGAGGTCTAGCACCTCGGCAGGTAGACAGGTCAGAGGAGGATGGTGTATGGGTTTGGGAGGCTTGGCCTTAGCCGCCTTCTTCTGGAGCTTCTTTGCGGCCTTCTTCTCGGCGCGCTGCTCGCGGACGATGTCGGCGTTCCAGTTTGGCTTTTCGCGCGGCCGGTACTTGCCCCGCTTGACCCCGACACGCTCTGGGCGCTTTGCGGGGGGCTTCGAGGAGGATGAAGCTACCGGAGCTGGGTCGCGGAGCTGCGGATCGATAGGCGGGGAGGACATGTTTGGTGGAGAGATGAGTAAGACAGAAGGAGAGAGAGTACAGTAGCTAGGGGAGAAAGAGGGAAAAGCGGCGCGTCGATTTTATTTACGTAAAGCGAGTCCAGCATATCATGGTTCGCGGAATTTTGTTGACAAGTCGAGTTCATCTTTACATCTCTGATCATCATGAGCTACAAAAGAGGTTCCACCAGTAGTCGCGGGAGAGGCGGGAGACAGTCAGGGCCCCAGCTTCCCACCACCCTGATGGCAGAGGTGGACCCGTCAGGATGTGCGTCATTAATCGTCCTGAGCTGATTCGCAGCGACCAGCAATAGAAATCGGGGACGACCTCGAGGCGCGGGACCTCGCAACATCCCGAGACCGCAGAAGGAGGATACCAAAGCTTCTCTCAGAGAATTCAACGCAGCCCAGCGGCCATCCGCCCCATCGTTGCCCCCGTCTGAACCGCAAAAACCCCTACCCCGGCCGAAGCGGCAAAAGATCGACGTTCCCGCCGAGCCACCAGCCAAGAAACGAAAGCGACCCGAACTATCCCTGCCTGGAAAGTCTTCGAAGGATGCAGAGGATGGGGAGATAGAATGGCTAGAGTATATGTTGAGGAAAGAGAAAGGCAACGAGGAGCTGGAAGACGGATTAGATGGTGAGTAGGGCCAACTGGACACTTACATGTCTGTGTTGAAGGCTATAACGGCTCGAGCAGGGCGGCGATGATGGCGGAGTATGAAGGGCAGAGTTGAGAAGCTGCTGCACCAGGAGAGTCATGACCATGAGGAAGATGGGCGTTGCTTCTACACTTTATTACGCCTCAACCCCCTGTCCCGACTGGTGACTGTAGCTGACATCAGATCTCCTCGGTTTCGCAGACCTCGTTGGGCCTGGGGGAGAAGGATTAGGACTGGCAGACGAAGAGGAGTCTGTCTCGGACGAGGACGAGGGGAACTCATCGGACGAGGATGACGAGGTGACGGCCGATGCCGAAACTACCGATGACGAGCAACAAGCGCAAGAGGAAGCCAAGTCCGAGACTGCCACCTCACCGAGAGAACCACCCCCTGAGTCCACCGATGACCCCCTGCCCACATTCGCAGCGCGCTACATTCCCCCTCATGAGCGTGCGGCGCAATTAGAGGCCAAGTCTCGCGGTGACAAGGCAAAAGAGCTGGAGCGAGCCAAGTTGGAGCGTAAAGCTCAAGGTATACTAAACAAGTGAGCCCAGAAAGGAGCAAGGCTAACTGGAGACTGAGCGAGGCCAACATGGACACTATGCTTCTCGAAATAGAGGGACTGTATAGAGACTATCCTCGGAACGGTAGGTCACGGTAGGAGTCACCACTAACCATAAGATGTAACAACGTGCCTCACAAATCTGATTCTCTTTACCATTGCCAACCGGAGCAACCTGCTCGATTCGTTCGTCATCTTATACGCCACACTGGTCGGCGCACTGTACCGGATCCTAGGAACAGAGTTTGGTCAGTACCATCTACTGGATTGCGCTGATCTTCAGGAGCCCACTTCGCCCACGCAACCATAACCAAGTACCACCGGTCAAACCCCGAGGACATGGCAGAATCCTCCAAATCATCCCTCAACCTCTTGACACTCATCGCTGAGCTCTACAATGCACAGGTCATCGGGGCCAACCTCATCTACGACCTCATCCGCTCGTTACTGGCCGAAACGCCTCGAGAAGCTGCCATTATGGGGGAGATCCAAGTAGAGGGGCTGCTAAAGCTCTTGCGGTGTTCAGGCCAGCAGCTTCGGTCAGACGACCCAGCGAGCTTGAAGGACATTGTGAATCTTGTTCAGGACAAGACCAAGGGGAAAGAAAAGACCATGACGTACGTACTCAAGTGGAGTCTCGCTGATGTCAGAACCCGAGCGAGATATATGATCGAGACGCTAGTCAATCTCAAGGGCGGCAAAGCAAAGTCGACGCAAAACACAGATGATGAGGCGGTCAATCGAATGAAAAGGTTTCTCGGTGGTTTGAGCCGCAAGCGAAGAGGTATGCTTCCTGATTACAAGCTGACCTTCAAGCTGACCTCCAGTCGCCGTCTCAGAGCCACTCAGAGTCTCGCTGCAAGACTTTCTTGATGCCGACACGCGAGGCAAGTGGTGGCTTGTCGGTGCCGGTTGGGCGGGCAATCCCCTCGTCGAGCGGGAAAGGGTCACCAAGGTCGCGAGTACGAAGACCGAGGCGGTGGAGGATGAGCAAATTCTGCTCGAAGCAGCGAGGAACCAGGGAATGAATACCGATGTCCGGCGTAGTATCTTTGTGATCCTCATGACGAGCGAGGTGAGTAGCAGTTATGACCTTACTGATCACCAGGACTATATACATGCCTGCGATCGCCTCTCTCTCCTCAAATTCACCGAGACCCAGCAGCGGGAGTTCGTCCGGGTCGCTCTTCACTGTTGTGCTACAGAAAAGACCTACAATCCCTATCACTCACTCATAATCAACCATCTCTGCGCGGAATCCTACTCTCATCGGTTCACCCTCCAATATGCTCTGTGGGACTTTTTGCGCGAGTTGGGGGACGATGCGGGAAAGGCGGCCAAGTTGCGGTGTGCCAATGTCGCGCAAATGTCGGCATACGTGGTCGGGCGGCGGTCGCTCGATATTACCGTCTTCAAGGTGAGTTCTTGCATGAAGATAACTTACATCAGGCGTTCGACTTTGTCAGCCTCAAACCTGTAGCCGTTCACTTCTTCGCGGTATTCGTGTCTCGGCTCTGCCTCGCAACGCAAACGGTGTCTCCACTGTTTTCTCTGCCAAAAGCCTTCCGGCTCCAGGATATCGATGAGGAGGCTGTCGAGGAGACGTTCGAGAAAGCTTTGACCAATTATACGTTGGCACAAGGATTGACTTGGATCGTTCGGCGGCCGGGGGCGGTAGAGCAGGGGAGCAGGGGGCTTGGCGAGACAGCGAAAAGTGTGATCCAACGGGTAATTAGCGTAGCATCGCAGGTGCTATCTCGAGCGGTGTGAGATGGACAGGGTGACTCAATACAGTGACAGCATCCTTCGCGCAAAAGCGCCAGGGCAGAGCAGGCCAGAGAATGACTAGCAACGAAAGCACAAGTTCCCAGTCGGCGTATCGATGCGTGGACGGATCTCGAGCCTGGACGTACTCTGTGAGCGAGGACTGTGCAGAGACAACAAGACTCAAATATTATGGACGCGAAGCCTCGCATGCCCAGACGGATGAAGTAGTCTTGCGTTTATCCCGACCTGATAGCAATGGCTATGATACATGCAGCGTATCCACGGAAGTAACAAGGTCAGTTCAGACAATGAGTCTGTGGACAGCCTCCCGCCGTTGCCGTGATTGTTCTGCTTGAATCTAAGCGCGATGTCGGTATACATGCTTGGTCTGTTGGAATTTTACCCACTACACCAAAGGACACTTGGTGCCGCAGACCCGTATGTCAACACAGTCGCCGTAATTCGGGTTCCTGGAGCAAGACACGTCGTGAACACTGTCTTTAGCGTGTAGATCGTCTTGTAGACCTGAGGCTTGTAGACCTGAGGGAAGAGCTTGTCGATACTCCAGCTGGACTGAGACATCTGCAAAGCTCAATACAAAGGATACGAAAGACATTGGACAGTAAGGTCTAGCCCCGGGATACCGGTCCTGTCCATTCTTCTTATGATCTCAATCAGTCCGCCAGCGAGATAGATAGTGTTCAAGGAGGAGCTCAGTGAACTCAGAGGAGCAGCAGGACCTATTATGAGCAAGAACACTATGGGATTACTTGAAAGAAAGGGAGCCCGCGGAGGCCCGCATCGGATGTGCTTTCAGATCAAGCATATGTAGGTATACTGTGATGCCCCCCTCACGACCGCCATCACACCTTACCCACCTTACAACCACTCCGACAGCCTGGAGGCCTGGAGCGCTCCAGCAACTGGAAGCGGATAGACTGAGCACGCCAAGATAGGCTGGAGTGTTTACGTCCGGAGTACCGGTGTCTGTCTACGCGAGGGAGGGAGGCATGTCTTAAGGGCTGAAAGGAGTCAGGGCTTGCTGTACGGGGCTGTATCCGTGTATGTCCCAGAGTTGACTCATTTCTATGTTAGTCTTACTTATGTCTGTGCCTATCTAGTTCTCTGCCTGCAGTAAACACTCGTCTTTCGCCATATAGCCTGTCTTGTAGGCGGGGGAACAGCTTGTCGCTTTTTCATCATACACAGGGTGAGCCTCCAGGTAAGTCAATGCATCGATTCTACATCATATACAAGCTAAGCCTACAGTTTGGAGCGAACCATCCTGCCACTTCTTTCTCACATGGAGCACTCCAGCATCAAAGCTGAGGCTCATCTCAGGACTATAGCATGGGACCCTTTTCCCCAAGGATTCAAAATCATAATCTTTTTGCCACTCAGACTCATGAGATCTAACCCTCCCCCGCTCCTCTCCTTCGCCCCTTGGTTTCACAGCTCGCCTACTAGATCCTTCCAAGTCACTCCCACTCAGCCCCACTCCCACTTCCACTGAGGCACCCATCAACTCCCCTCACCTCCCCTTGCGAGTAGTATAGCTGTCGACCATATAAGAAGTGGCAGGATGGTTCGCTTCAAGCTGTGTGATCTGGGAGCTCAGCTGGTGTATGATGAGGAAGCGATGCATTGGCTTACCTGGGAGCTCAGCTTGTGTATGATGGAGAAGCGACAAGCTGATCCCCCAGGCCTACAAGACAGACTATATAGGAAATGAGAACTAATTAGGCCGAGACATAAGTAAAACTAATGTAAGTGAGTCCAATCTACAACGTACAAAGAGACAGCCCCGGAAAGCAAGCCCCGACTCCATTCACCGCCTGAGACACTCCTCTCTCTCCCGCCTAGACTGATACCGGTACTCAGCGGATTCCAACACACCGCGCTGCTGTTTATGCGGCGTCGATATCTGGTGTCTCTCGGTAGGTATACAGGGTATTACATAGGTTGACAATGGAGAAGTATAAAGACAGAGATCTACCTAGTGACGGGAGCCTTACGGCGGTGATCGCCGGTCTATGTAATGACATGCGGAGCTAAGGAAAGGCTTATTGTGTACCTCACTATTTATTCGCCGGTCCGGCTGGATGGCATCAGACTAAATGGTAGCCAGATATAATTGTCGGACCACTGATGTGGGACGGCTCTCGTGAAGAAATGTCAGTACGTTCGGTTCGAGCTGGATCCTTCCAGCCTTCAGCTACGCAGATCATTTCGCAGAACATCAACTTATGTCCCCCCTGTACAGCTGTGCCGGCGAAAATGGCTGTTTCTGTAGATTTCTTAGTTGTTCGACGGGGTGGAGATTGACTGCTCCTGAGACAGACACAAAGCCTGGGATAGAAGTCTACATTCTACGACAGTCTCGCCCGTCTTCCAAACTCTGACTCGTTTCCCTTCCATTCGTCACTCCGAGACAGTCCTCACTCATCTTACCTAGATCGACACCAGTTCCCTGTCGGAATTGACATAGTGTCGGGATTCGTCGGATAACTTCGTCTTGGCGTATCTTGGCGGAGCTGGCGGAAGATGGCGTGAAGGCTGGATGCCAAGGATGAAAAGTCGGGAAAGAGCGGGAAGTAGCGGAATCTAGCGGGACGACACTATTGTACACCTTCAGTATATAGCTTGGCCGTGTTAGCTAGACTTATAGCTTTTCCCATCACTTCTTTCCCACATCTCTTTGGATCTAGCTGAGCGTCAATAGCAATCAGCAGGGGAAGTGATCAATATCCGGAATTCCCGTCAATTGTTCTGGAATACCTGCACCAGAGCACATACCCCCTGCAAGTACCTGCTGGAGACAATCCCATGATCATCAAATGAGCAAGGTGTCGTGACGCTACGCGCCCCTACACCGAGCTAGGCTCATGCGAGGCGCACGAAGGAGACTAGCGAGGCGAAGGCGAAGCGAAGGGGAAGCGAAGGCGAAGCGAAGGCGAAGCGAACGAAGCGAAGGCGAAGCGAACGAAGCGAAGCGAAGGCGAAGCGAACGAAGCGAAGCGAACGAAGCGAAGCGAAGGCGAAGCGAACGAAGCGAACGAGACGAACGAGACGAAGGAGGCAAGCAGCGGAGGACCGCTGAGGCTCAGACTAGACATATATAAGGGGTCCATGTTGTAAGAAGTGGCAGGATGGTTCGCTTCAAGCTGGAGACTCAGCTTGTGTATGATGAAGAAGCGATGCATTGACTTACCTGGAGGCTCAGCTTGTGTATGATGAAGAAGCGACAAGCTGATCCCCCAGGCCTACAAGGCGAACTATATAGCAGAAGACAAGTGTTTACTGAAGGCAACTAACTAGGCCGAGACGTAAGTAAAACTATATTAAAGTGAGTCAAGACTACAACCTACAAGGGTACGGCCCCGTACAGCAAGCCCCGACTCCATTCACCGCCTGAGACACTCCTCACTCTCCCGCCTAGACTGAGACCGGTACTCAGCGGATTCCAACACATATCACAGCTAGATATCCTTTTCCCCAGGGATCTAATTCTCATAGTCATTCAGCTATAGACCATCATACACCCAACATCATCATCACCATTCGCCACCCACACTATCCAGTATCTAGCTTGCCCACCGGGTCCTTCCAAGCCTTACATACCACAACACGCACCGTAGCCAGTAGGCGCCATTCACCAATATCATCCCAAGCCGCCGACAAGCACACATGTTACCTAGTTCGTAAACCGTTCTCGTCCCTGTCTCTGGTCATAGGTATTCTAGGGACAGCCTCCCGACACAAGGCTATAATCCTCCAAGGTATGTCTCGGCCTCGTTCGTTCTCTTCAGTGACGACTCGTTAATTTGCTACATAGCCTGTCGCTCATCATTCTGTGGCTGAGCTTTCAGGTAAGCTGTCGAGATGCTGTCCCCAGAAGACCTATGACTGAAGTCAGGGACAAGTACGGCTTTCGAGTGGTGTACTTGTGTGCTGGTCGACGGCTTGTGTTGATGTTGAGATTCTGGATGTGGATGTTGTTCATGGTATAGGGCACTTGGAAGGGTCGAGTGGGCAAGCGTAAGACCAAGGAGTGAAGGTTACGAGGGAGTTTGGTCTCAGAAGGTCTTTGTGGCTAAAGACTATAGTATTCAGATTCTTCGGGAAAGGATCTCTGGCTAGCTATGGATCCCCTTATATATGTCTGGTCAAAGTCCCTTCTCTCTCTCCTCTGCTCTCTCCTACCGACTCGTGATCACGGGTCGTGAAAACGCGAATCGTGAATCGTGAATCGCGGTCGACGACTTGCTATTGTGATCTCCGCTCCCTGATTCGTGTTCGCCTTGGCTTGATTGAGAGCGTGACGCAGCACCGGGTGTGGCGTCGCGACATACATAAGCCAATGCATCGCTTCTTCTAATAATGACGGTCCACTTCCAGGCGCATTGGTGTACGAGTTGGTCTTGTGCAGGTCGCACGCTCACTTCCGGCTGACCGCTAACGCCACCGCCTGAGCAGACCCGCCGTTGACCTTCCGACGAGATCCGGCCGCTTGACAGGTTGGGGGTCATCCAGAGGTTCTGCTTCTAGACGGCCCAGTATTCCGGTAGAGGGGGCTTCATGGTAGAAATCGAGACAATGTCCTCGATAGGCATGCCGCCGGCGACGAGCTGGGCGTATGCCGACGGAGAAAGGCCATGATCTCGATGGAGTTCTGTCCCTCCGCCACGTCGTGCTGAAGGGCTTCTGTGTTGGAATCCGCTGAGTACCGGTGTCAGTCTAGGCGGGAGAGAGAGGAGTGTCTCAGGCGGTGAATGGAGTTGGGGCTTGCTGTACGGGGCTGTACCCTTGTAGGTTGTAGTCTTGACTCACTTTAGTGTAGTTTTACTTATGTCTCGGCTTACTTACTTGCCTTCAGTAAACACTTGTCTTCTGCTATATAGTTCGTCTTGTAGGCCTGGGGGATCAGCTTGTCGCTTCTTCATCATACACAAGCTGAGCCTCCAGGTAAGTCAATGCATCGCTTCTTCATCATACACAAGCTGAGCCTCCAGGTAAGTCAATGCATCGCTTCTTCATCATACACAAGCTGAGCCTCCAGCTTGAAGCGAACCATCCTGCCACTTCTGACATTCTGGAGCAGCTGAGCCGAATAGGCGCCCTCGATCGCGGAGTAGCTGTTGTAGAGGTGAACTCGGAGGCCAGATGCGTCCGGAGCAAAGTCGTCTTGAGGTGAGGGGGTAGACCGGCCTGGACGTCGGGGTCGAGGGACGCGAGGATGTACGCGAATACCTGGCCGTGATTGATAAGGTTGACCGGCTGGACAAAGGACGAGAGGGCGGACGCAATGGATGCGAGGAGGCCCTTGCCAAGGAGGTCCGCTCCTACGCAGTGTCGACGTGTGGTCAGGTCGCAGTAGATGCAAAGATGTACAAGAGAGCAAGCTACTAGAACTATGGTGAACTTGTACTAGTCTATCTGCCGGTTCTCTCTGAAGTATCAATATCATCGTAAGCTTATCAATTAAAAAACACATGCCCCATTCGTTGTGGCAAGTCCACCGCGGGAGGCCCAGCAACTCGTCCAGAGTATTGGTGTTAAATCAGGCGGCATTTGAGGGATTACTCGGTGCGAGAAGAGAGAGGATTAGTCTACCGGACCGTAGTGGATGTAGACTGTCTCTTCTCTAGCACATGTTGTGCGTCCATTTCAGCTGCGTTAGTTGCCCTCGGTATTCACCTTCATAAGAGCTTATCATTCCATTATCTGCATAACCGAGAGTTCGAGATCACCCAAGTTAAGCTGAAACCATTTCTTTCCGCACTCCTTGCACTATCATCATCAGGCAGATTACTCCATATCTCCTCTCCTATTGTCAACCTATGTGACACCCTGTATACCTACCCAGACACACCAGATATCGGCGCACACCTGTTGGACTTGACGGCGTGTCGAGATTCGTCGGATGACTTCGTCTTGGCGTATCTTGGCGGATCTGGCCGAAGACGGCGTGAAGGCTGGATGCCAAGGAGAAAAAGTCGGGAAAGAGCGGGAAGTAGCGGGATCTAGCGGGACGATACTGTTGTACTCCTTCAATATATAGTTTGGCCGTGTTAGCTAGACTTGTAGATTTTCCCATCACTTCTTTTCCACATCTGTTTGGATCTAGCTGAGCGTCAACAGCAATCAGCAGGGGAAGTGATCAATATATGGAATCACCATCTTACTCGAACATGCTCGGGCTCTTGCTTAGAGTTGATGTTGTGGACCTTTGCTCCCCCTTCCGCTTATTCATCCTCTATTAAGATAGCGATCCTTTGGCTTGTGCTGAGAAAGTCCAACAGATTGTGACAGGTGATGAGCGGTACCGCGAGCCACTTCTTGCCGACATCCCGACGGTGTCCGGATCGCTCGTATTTCTGTGTCAATCAGAATAGGAGTGGGTCATAATCACGAACGATGCAGACTGCTGGTCGCAGGGTAGCTGACAACGCTGGGGCACAGGTGCATCATTCATGGAGGCGTAGAGTTCTATAAGACCTGCTTTGCCGTCCCAAATTGTGTACAGTCTATGGCTAGAGCGCCGACCGATCAAGAGCCTTGTCCTCGTCTGTGTCATCTCGTGTACGGGTCGCTCACAGGCCGTAATTTATGATGTTCAGCGCGCATCGGTTGCCCAACGGTGACCTAGCCGATTTCGAGCCACACAAGCAGCACGGACTCCAAATAGCCCGTAATGATGGTCGGGCTCATTGGGCCGGAGAAGTAGGGTTGCGCCAGCATGAAATGATGTTTCAAGAGTCTGAGACTGTACATGCCACCACTTAGCCATGTTATCCGTCGGTCGCTTGTTGGAGGCTACTTATTATTGATCATTTGTGTGGCTTGAGCGCATATTGACCGCGGCATCTCCCGAAAGTATAAAAGGAGGTCCGATCAGTCTACGGAATAACGGCAGTCGACCCTCTTGTAGCAGATTCCGGACCTGGGCTTCCTCCATCTGATAGGACAGATCACTTGGCCGCCCAGCAGATAGATTTTGTGAAACGACGATAGGTCTATGCTGCCAGCGCAAGCGGTCTGACGCAAAAATAGAGGTAGGTAGCTACGATTGGACAGCTGAGCGATAGCGGCGTGGCTGCCAATTGGTATCTGAGGGTGTGGTCAGGGGGTTTAGGGACGAATCTCGAGGACGGACTCCGTGGACTTGTGTCAAAATACTGTATGAGTTTGAAGGCCGGGAACAGCTACAGGATTGCGCTCTTTTTTATGGTGGTATACTCGACTTCTACTGATCAAGCCTGACTATCTGAGGCAATTAGATCTTTTTATGGCTATACGTGTAGTACCAGATAGCGGGACGGGTGAGGAGTGTCTCAGACGATTAATATCACGTCGCAACATCAAGTAAGCCAGCCTAGCACCAGCTGTATATGTACTGCTGATTGAGTGAGGCTTGGCAGAGCAAGAGCGTGACCTTCAGAGATGCAGTGCTCACAGGATCGTCAGTATATAAGCGGCGAACAACGCAGTCTGTGCAGTCTGTTAGATACCGCTGAGTACCGGTGTTAGTCTAGGCGGGAGAGTGAGGAGTGTCTCAGGCGGTGATTGGAGTGGGGGCTTGCTGTACGGGGCTGTACCCTTGTAGGTTGTAGTCTTGACTCACTTTAATATAGTTTTACTTATGTCTCGGCCTAGTTAGTTGCCTTTCAGTAAACACTTGTCTTCTGCTATATAGTTCGTCTTGTAGGCCTGGGGATTCAGCTTGTCGCTTCTTCATCATACACAAGCTGAGCCTCCAGCTTGAACCGAACCATCCTGCCACTTCTTACAACAAAGACTTGCTCGGCGAAAGGCACCTGCACTGAGCAGTGATCCAATGACCTCAGCGCCATACAAGTCTTATCCATATGGAATGCGAGGGTGACTATGTCAAAGGCATGGAAACTACCAATACGCCAAGTAAGTTAGCAGCCCCCGTTAGGGAACTCGATAGTGGGCCGGCTGTTTCCAGCCCGAATTCTGGGCGTCAGCTCAGAAGGTTAGTGGTTGGGAGTGGCTTTGGCGCCCTTCCTCTGTACGATGAACGGGCAACGGGCAACGGGCTACGGGAGACGTGAATATGTCATACCTCTAGATCTACTGCTGATTCCAGAATTGAATGGCTGGCGTTCCCGGCTCGCTACTGTCCGCCCTTTCTTGAGACCACCCATCTGTCATCTCTCCTTGCGCCTCGACAATTTCACATTGCTGGAATTTGAGCGACGCCTGAATGTATGGCTTGAGCAGGATGAGGGCATTGATTTCAGAAAACGGAAGAGAGCGGTCGAACGCCGCTTCCCCATCCGCAAGCACTTTTCGCTATCATGAGCACAATCAAGTACTAGACTCACCTTGATACCCTGACAGAACGGCATGATGCGTTTGTCCTTGATGAGGCCTGCACCCGCTAGATCCGCCTTCATCTTGCCTTCGTCGAACTCGTTGTTTGACGCGTTCCAACAGCCCCGGACAATGGCGAGGCCATCCTTCTGCCAAGTTGGGAAGTCGCTGGCAACGTAGATCCGTGCACACTTCGGGCGTGACGGATCATACGGCGCTTCGCTCTTGCCCTTGCCCCCCTTACGCCGCGCCACGAGTGCTTCTGCGCTCCGAATGCTGTCAACGACGCCCCGCATGTAGTCGAGCTGTTGAAGGGTAGATTTGTCGGGATTGGATGTAGGCTTGGGGAATGGTGCGGTTTGAACGGACGAGGATTCGCCGAGGACCGTTTGCCAGATGTGTTCTGAGAAGTGTGGTGTGAAAGGTGCGAGGAGGAGGGCGTTGTTTCGGATGAAAGCGAAGACGAGGTCGCGATGCATGCCGGAGCCGCCGTTGTCCGGGGAGGAGACGGTCCGATACCAGTTGCGAGCGTTCTCATAGTCGTACAGACCGAGCTTGAGCGCCGTCTTGTACTCCATTCTGCCGTTAGTGAGGTTCCATACGGGACTTACTTTTCATATGCGTCGTATGCGCCTCGGGTGAGCGTATCCATCTCGGCCTGGAACCCTCGGTCAAACTCGTTCAACTCGCCCTGGCGCAGAGTGGAGGATACATTCTTCATTTCCTGCTGTCAGCTAGGACAAGGGCGAACTCACCTCGGCCCAGAGAACCGCAGTGTGCAGACGCAGAATTGCGGCATTGGCGACAGTCTCTTCAAAGCTGGGGTCAGCCGAGCAGATCTTGCACTCACTTGGCATCTGAAATGTCGTCTCCTGCATCGGCGAGAGTCAGGCGCATGGCGTCGGCGCCATACTTTTTGGTCGCATCGTTCATTGTCAAAAAGTTGCCAGTACTCTTGCTCATCTTTTTGCCGTTGAGCAAAAGATGGCCGTTCGTCCGTACCGCGCGAGGCCAGTGGTGCTCCGGGAAGAGGGCGGCGTGGACATACACCCAGAATGTCAGGTGGTTGGGAATGAGATCCTTGCCCGAGGAGCGGACGTCGAGGGGGTAGAAGTACTGGAAGTGGTATTTGAGCTGGGCGGCGCTCTCGGGCGAGATCCCCGTCGATGGGGGAGCGGCGGATCCCAGGACGTATTCCCAAACTTCGTCCGTCATTTGGTCGGCGGTGATGCCGAGCTCTCCTGGCTCGGCTCCCCACATGTCCTTGTGGAGGAGATTGGCGACAGTGTAGTAGGACATGTAGATAGTCGAGTCGGACAGCGATTCGACGAGGAACTGGGGGTCCCAGGGGAGCTTGGATCCGAGACCGTGCGAACGAGCACATGCCCACTGGTTGAGCCAATCGAGCACCGCTTCGAAGGCGTTCCGAGTTTCGGGCAGGTATGTGTTCATACGCGCAAGAAGGCTGAGTAAGCGAAGAATAATCCCGGACCTACTTTTTGGCGGCTGCTTTCCATTCCTCCTCTCCATAGTCGAGGTACCACTGATCGGCGAGCGCGACCACGCAGACATCCGCACTGCGCGAGATGACTTCGCTCTCGGGCTCGGCATAAGCTACGGCAAGCTGTTGGTCGATCATCTGTTGCCTGACCTTTGGCTTGGCTTCGGCGACGGCAAGGCCTTTGAAATCGCCGATGGTCATGGTACCGTTGTAAAAGCCTTCCTTGTAGGCGAGGTCCTTGGCCTCGGCCAGCTGTTTGACATCGCGCTGAGATTGGATTTTGAACTGGGTGCAGAGGGTTTCGGCCGCCATGTCGCCGTACTTGGGGGTGGAGAGGACGGGGATGGGATTGACCGCGGCCCATTCCGGGCGGATCTTGTACATCTCCGGCTTCTTCCGGAGGTCCATGAGCGTCCGGTAGTCATCGGGCGAGTCGGAGGGGACAGAAGTAACCACTCCAGTTCCCTAAAATTAGCAGAGCGGGCGGCACTGCTTACCTTGGTCGCCAAAACCCCCTCCATGGGCAGCACGAAGACCTCTGTGACCAAGCCGAACGCCGGGCGGACCTTGGTCCCGATGATGTCTGCGCCTTTGATACTGGCCACCTTTTCAACCACCCCGCGAGGGCGATCAAAGGTGCCCTGGAAGGCCATGTTTCGTGCGGATCGCTCAGTGATGAGGAAGAGCTCGGTATCGGAGGCTTCATACAGGCCGTACTCGAGGGTAGGTCCTACGAAGCAGTTGGTCTGGCCGTACCTGCCATCAGCGTAATCTAGACCACGGCTCACATTGTCTCTGGGCGCAGAGTGGCGGCAACCATCTGAACCGTGCGGCCGCCGATAGCCTGGAGTACCTCGCCGGGCATGCTCGGTCCCCACTCTAGCACTTGCATTTTGACTGCAGTGTACTCTTGGGGATTGACCGCTTCTCCGCTGGACCTGTCGTGATCCATGCAGGGTTGGCCGTCTTTGGGCGAGTAGATGGTGTAGCGCTTCCCGAACTTGATTTTGCCCTGCTGATGAAGCTTGTTCATCTGCCATCGGACGAATGAGTCGTAGTAGGGATTGGCGTTGGCTAATGTCAGCCCAGTCTTGCGTTGACTTACTCGTCAAGAATTGCCGCCTCCAGTCTATCCTGGCGCCGAGCCCGTCGAGATCGTGCTTAGCGATGGGAGGAAAGTAATGCAGCCAGTGCTGAGAGTCGGCAAACTGCTTGATCTCGTCGCGCGGCACGCCCAGCAGCTCGAGGATTTGGAATTGGTAGGTGAGACCGGTGCTCTTGGCGTTGAGCTTGCCTTTTTTGGCTTTGGAGGGGTCGATGGACTCGAGGGACTTGACCGCCACGGTTGCGGTCGGAGCGACCTCGGCGTCCTCGCTATATCCGGAGAAGTCATCGCCAAACATCTCCATCTCGCGGACGAGCTTGTCTGCGGAGGTCTGGGATCAGCGCTGCCATTGTTCAGCTCACCTTGATGGGCATGCCCGTCACATGGTATCCTAGCGGGAAGAGGACCCTCTTGCCCCTCATACGCTCGAACCCAGCAGCGAATTCGATTTTGCTGATGGTGAAGGCGTGGCCGAGATGGAAAGCACCGTTCATGTAGGCGTAGGGGAAGGTGCCGAACCATTTGGGGTGCTTTGCTTGGACATCCGCCATGGATTGGTTGGTTGCGAAGAAGTCGGTGTAGGATTTGACATTTTCGGGAAGGCAAGGAGGATCTACCTCAAAGAGATGCGCGGACTGCCACGAGGTCTGGACTTTGGCCTCTATGGCTGTGAGGAAGTCTCTCTTGTCGGTCTGATGGTCAGCTCGACTCTGAAGGTGAAGCTACCTTTTCCATGACGACTACGGGAGCCGTCATCTCTTTGGGAGCTGCCATTTTGGGATAGCGCGGGAGTGTATGTGCGGTGCGGAACCCGCGTGGCCAGAAGACGCGTATAATGGAAGTGTGACAAGGGGGTCAAAGGTAGATAGATGCATCAAAGGAATCAACGTCGAAATGTTGAGTGACTTGGAGGTGGAGGCTCGAGTCAGGCGAAGGAGGGCATGACGTGGTATTATTTCATCTCGGTCGTCCTAGTACAGTAAACCCTCCCTTGCCCTTCCCGATATAACTCAATCCGCTCCATATTGTCGTCCCAGCGACGGTCCACCTGAGAGTGAGCTTGACCGTATGCACAAACCTACTGTAATGCCGACAAGCCCGAGGCGATAGGAAAAGGGATCAAGGGCGAGATAGTCGTCACGCCCATGAGGACGAGCTGGAGGGCGGTGTTGACCTTGCTGATTTGTGTCGGCTTGACTTCCGCAGATGGGAGGGAGGGGTCAAAGTATCGACGCAGAGTTCGCTGTCGTTAGTTTTGCGTCTGAGCAGTACTTACGGGTTTTGGCAGGGAGGCGTATCGGAAATAAAAGGCGCTCAGCGATAGAGCCACGTCTCTTCCGATGATGAGGACCGCGAGGGGTACTAGATGAGCGCGATCAGACTGCGACCTACTTGGCAAGAGCCCCGTCCAGGTCAATGTGCCGACAAGCGTTGTCATGAGCGCTTTATCGGCTGCGGGATCGAGAATGGAGCCCAGGACTGAGCCTTGATTCCATCTTCGAGCGATGTAGCCATCAAGCTCTTATCAGTAGTGCATGACCTCAGATAGGAGACTTACCCAGTCGGATAGGCCGCTGACGACCAAAAGGCTAGTTGCCCAGACAAAGTCGCCCTGTACTATGCTATAGCCGAGAAATGGGCAGGCCGCGAGGCGAGCTATTGTCAGGGCATTAGGTATAGTATAGGGCGACTCTCGAAGTTCAATCTGGCATCAGCTCCGGTGGAGGTAAGCCTACCTCATCTGTATCGTGCCGGGCGGGGGGTGTCGACCTGTCGCTTTCGGGAGTTCTGGGGGGCGTGCTGTAGCCGGCGGATCTCAAGCGCAATGAGGTGACAACGGCTGGACTTCGCAGAAAGCCCACTGACTGCGACGTACACGTCTGCTTATGTAGCCTGCTACATGTCGTAAGTAAAGGGCGCATATGGGCGGTGACAAGTTGATGGATAGAGTCTTCACATGTAATATTGACCAGCAGCCGCTATGACGCAGCAAGAGGTGTGTACGTAATTGCCGCCTGCTTGGCGTTAACCATCCATGGCCATGAGGCCATGGCCATGGGCCCATACTCTACGTCTCGTCTCCATTCTCAGTCCGCGCATATACCTTTACCACTTGCTTCCAGGAGATTAATCATCGCCATACTCTCGAGCCACCCGATAGATCAAGAACCAACAGATTGCAATAAGCTAGATCGGAAAAGACTCGGAAAGGACGGGATCAAGCAGTAGTGCGTTTGCGGCTGTACACTTCGGGATACGTGTCGCTGATGATATGCAGTGTGTATCCCGATCATATGTGAGTAACGCATATCGTCTCGACCTCTCGTGGCATATCGTGCTGACATCAGGAGGTGGTTTTCCCACCAAGGTAAGCAGATTAAGCTGGCCCGTCGGCATCGCGCATTGTGTTCCCTCTTCGACGGCATGACACGGCTGACAGTCAGATATCACAGGATGAGGACAAGCAGGGGCGCATGTGTCCAAGGTGTAACAATGGTGAGCCCGCTCCAGACTCGCAGGATCGAAGCTGATTCTCAGCTTCCGTGGTCGGCGCTTCCTCAAGGGTGAGCCGGAGAGACTTACATTAGCAGAATCCACCACTGATCGCCCGTTTCGCAGACTCGCTTCGAGCTGTTCTGGATCCCCTTGATCCCATTCTCCAAGTCCCACATCTGGATCTGCAGCATCTGTCGTGAGTAACAGCGGAAAAGAGATCGAGAAATCCGGCTAAAGTGGCAGAGTGGCAAATGAAGAAGGGCGACGGTCACGACCCTCAGCCGCCAGGGGCGTACGCCGGGCAGCAGCAGGGTGCGCCGTATCTACAGGGACCTGCTGGGCATATGTAAGCCGGGAGGTAGACTGTGGGGGTAGGGGTGGACGAGGAGACTCGCGCGAGCGGGAGAAGAGTGGGGAAAGTGGGGGAGCAAGTTTGGTGAGACATGAAATTGGCTTTTCTCCAGCTCCATCGGCAATGCACACTCGTGGACCTATCTGTCACGATATTGACCGTACAGTCCCATGCCTTCACTGTAGACCAAACGGTATGCATGTGCTAGTCACACCCACTGGTCCTTTCGGCCGGAAGCGGTTGGGTGATTTTCTACCTCCTTTGGCTTGTTTGTTATAGTCTGCATCTTCCCATCTGACGTCGTGGAAGTATCACTTGATTCACTTGCCTCCTTCATATCTCCACCCTCTGATGTCAGTCCAGTATAGACAGAGTCTTTCGCCCGGTACTAGGCCCCTTTGGCGACCACTCGCCGTCCTCGCTTCGCTCGTCTTGGTCAGCGCCGATGGCCAGCTCGACGCAACACGCCTCGGCACCTTCTATACCGATTTTCCCATCTACAGATCAGGATCAGGCACCAATGTCGTCAAAGTCGCAATCGGCAAGCCCGGCGTTGCGGCTCAGCTCACCCTGTGTAAGACCAGACCTTGAACCTATTGACATCAGCTACGAATGTCAACTTTGTTCAAGTCGCATCGGATCAGTGCGTCGACTGCGCGAATGGTGTCGATCTGTAAGTCCCCCATCTACTCAGCTGACAATAGATACAATCCATCCCGATCATCCTCGTGGACGGTAAGTCCTTTGACGACACCGCTAATCCCAGTCGAGCTCGCAAGAACAGGTCAATGTCGTCATCTTCCCCCAGATGCCCGAGGATACGCTCACCCTCACAACCCGCCTGGGCACCGACATCGTTCTCGACGCTAGAGGACAGGACCAGGTGGTATATCCTGTGTCTGTTGTGGACAAGCTAGAGTCCGGACGTGACGGGGAAGGCGGAGGCACCGGGGAGAACGTGCTTTTGGGAAGGGGGGTGTCAGGCTTTTATGGACTTGGCATCAATCAAGTGGGACCGAATCCGGACCAGCTGACAATAGCAAAATCGCCAACAATCCATTCTATCCACCATGTTGAATGCGGAAAATTATCCCCCAAACCAACCCGTGCCAAAGAACTTTGTCGTCGGATTCGACATCGACTCTTCCAATGGCCAAGTAGGGGGCCGAGTTGGGAGCATGCACTGGGGTGCCGCGCCGCAGGGGAGATGGGTCGGCGAGTTGTAAGTCGCTTGCAGGCGTGGCTGATAGTAGCAACTGGTATGAAACCAACCGCACCGTTGGAGGGTCATGGGGTATCCCCGTGGAGAACCTGCGCATGGGCGGAAATGTCTTGGACACGACCCAATTCTACGTGAGTAGAGTAAAGGTCGAGCTGAGGCAGGCTACGATAGATCCCGGCTTTGATGGCATCTATCTTCCCAGCCGCATCGCCGAGCAGCTTTTCAATAACGTTCAAGGGGTCCTCAGAGACGTTGACGATCCTCGAAGATGGGTGAGTTTCGCCTTGACTCTGCTAATATAGACCATTCCGTGCAATTATCTACAATCCATGTCTATGTCGGTTCAAGGCACCACATACAACTTCAATCCTACGCAGCTAGTCCAACCCGGTCCAGATCGCCGATGCTATAGCCAGGTGCAAGCGTGGACCAACAGCAGTGTGGCAGAAGAGCAGGGGGAGATACGGCTTGGGTCCAGCTTTTTGAGCGGCATCTACTCGTAAGTCCTGACATTACCACGCTAACATCAGGGTCATTTACTACTCGCCCAATCAACAATTCGTCGGATTCGCCGGCAAGCCTGGCAGTGTCAACGACTTCAATGTCGCTGCTCGCGCACGGGGCATGCCAAACATGAATCTGGCGGGGATACGTGAGTCTCTGACCAAGGCAAGGCTGACAGTAGTCATCGGCACCCTACTTGGCTCCCTCCTCATCCTCTTTATCATCTGTTACGCTCGCAACAGAAGCACATTCCAATCCACGTGGGCTCGAGGTGTCCGACAAATCCACCGCGCGCAAATGAATGCTGTGGTCAGGGCTTCCACCATTCCGCCGCCGATTATGAGGCCCATGCCACCGATGATGTCGATGCCGATGGGGATGGGAATGGGCATGGGTCTGGGTCCTGGAATGGGAATGGGAATGGTCCCTCCGGGAGTGCAAGGGCCGGGAATGATGGGGCCAGGGTACGGGTATCCACAGCAGCTCCCTGCGTACCCCGACGCTCAACAACATCCCTTTCTCCAGCAACAAGCATCGCTGCAACATCAACCGCCCGTATACCAGCAACAAAGTACCTCACCCCTTCCCAGCAACGCCCGACATCACCCCGCCCAATCCCGCCATCACAGCCTTCCATCCGGATCCGCCTTACCGTATCGTCCAAACGGCCATTACCCTTCCCCTCCCTCAGTAGATACTACAGCTACACGTCGTCCCCGTGATCGCCATTCGGCTCCGCTTCCACCCAATCCTTCCCAGCATGCGCATACGCGGGGATCCGGCGACACTTCCGCGCACATGCCCCTTCCCTCTAAGCGGCTCCCCCCTCATCCGGAACATCCGGACCATCATCGCTTCAGCCGGCCGGAGTACCAGCACGCCCCGCCTGGGTCGGCGACAAGCAAATCAATCTGGAAATTTGGCAAGCCCGAATCAATGGCGAGGGGCTACGAGGCAGCTACGAGGCATGCCTCTGCCCAGTCCGACGATGGGGTGCATCCAATTGGGGAGGCTGGGGGAGATCTCGGCGATCCGAGAGGAAATTGGAAGGAGGTGGAGCGGAATCGCGAGCGGGAGGGATTGACCGCACTCAACGCCTGGGGCAGAAGGACATGATAATTTTGTATCATATAACTAGTCATAATTGGATTTTCTGTCAAGAGGTCCTTTGCGGAGATCTGAAACAAGCTGAAACAAGACGTCATATGGCAACGCAGCCTCGGCCCTTGATGGCCAAATTGACCTTTCCGAACATCCTTGTTCGAAGGTACTTCGCTCTTACCGTTGTTCTCTTCGCCGTACATACCATGCTTTCTGTACAGTAGGTCTCATGGTGGATGAGGCTGATGAGAAGATTGGCCGTAGGCTATCTGGCGAGCTGGGCCTCTCACTGGGCGGTGACACAGCTTGTCAAAGACCGAAGCTCGACCCAGCCTGCATCCTTTGCGCAGCAGGAATGCCCAAGCAAGCAATACTACCATCCACCAAGTACGTCACCTCATCTCTGAGCTGATGTAGCCATGTCTAGCAGCTTGGAGCATGCGCTCACCGCTGCGGGGCCACCCGGTACTTTCACCATCTCCGCTGACGAGGAAGACTACGGAAGATACAACTGTGAGCTTCCATATGATCACGCTGATGCAGGGGCATGTATGCCTCACGTGCGCAGGGAAGAGTACGTCCGGCTACCCGAGGAGTATGAGCTCCGCTACGTCGAGGTCATACAAAGGCACCACAAGGTGAGTCCATATCGGCCAAACTAACGCCCAAGCGTACGCCTTATGCATCGAATACCCTTTATGAGGAGGACATCGAATGGGACTGCCCAAAAGAGGGACCTTTCCACCATGGCAAATCTCAGACTCGTGGTACCACCTCCATCTACTGGCAGACACAGGTAAGTCCCAGATGGTGCTAGCTGACTTATTAGCGCAATACAAATAATCCCATCGAAAGGACGGTCGGAACTGGCTTTAGAGGCTCCAGCTGCACCTTCCCCACTCTGACATCGTGAGTGAGTACAGGGTGTCGCTGATACCAGGCAAGGAATCGAAGACGCCCGACGGCATGGTGAAGACTTTGGAGGCGTCTACCGAGATATGCTACACTTTCTACCCACTGATCGGAGCAAGTACGAGTGGCGAGTTACCAACAATGTCTTGACTACCCAGACCCTAGGTGAGTTGACGCTGGGCTAAGCTCATCAGGCGGATTTGCAGCTGGCCTATACCCGACTGTCTCGCAGTATCCTGCCAAGGTGCAGCCCGCTTCGTTCGACTCGCTCGAACCTGCCTACGCTTGTCCTCTCGCCGACCGACTGCTTGCCGAGATTGAAAGTGACGCCGAGTGGACCGCACACTTGGTCCAGTCTCAGCCCCTCCGAGATCGTTTCAACTCGGTGACCGGCACAAACCCCGACGCTCTGGGCTGGAAGAGAAGCTGGGATCAGTGAGTAGGTTTCCCAGATGGCGCTGATAGTCCATTCGACAATCTCGCCTCCAAGCAAAGTCATGGTTTGCCATTGCCGTGCTCCCTCGATGACCGCGCTTTTTGCATCGACCAGACACACGCGGATAGAATCTACCGCTTGGGGAACTGGGAAAGTCTCCACAGGTACCGAGGCTCGCCACAGTCGCTTCTCCTCAGTGTCCTGAAAATGGGCGATTGGATCACAGAGCTCAGGCACAATCTGGAGGCGGCAGTTAGAGGCGAGCCAATGCTTTACCGACACAAGTGAGTATTCTCAATGTCAAGCTGACGTAGCTTTGCGCATGATGGATCGATAGCTGCCCTACTCGGCATTCTTCAAATTGACCGGCCCGAGTGGCCAGGGATGGGAGCAGAGGCGGTCTTTGAGCTATATTGGCGGAAAGAGGAATGGTTCATCCGCGTCCTATACTCCGGTCAAACTTTGGAGACATCGACGCCCTTGGGGACATTGAATATGGTCAAGTTGAGCGTTTTTATAGCATATCTCGACCAGGTGATCCCAGATCTAGTCGAGCAATGTACATCATTCCACTAGCTGAACATCATCCATCTCCTCAAAAGGTTCTGGATCCGCTTCCGCATCGACCCCGGCGTACAGCTCGTACACGCTATCCGCCTCTGGGCCTTCGGCCACCGCTTCGAGCAGATCCTGACTTAAGCCTACATCAGCACAGTCTAGGCCACACTCACATTGGATGATACGGATGACTGGGTCATCATTGTCAATCTCGGCAAATGACATCACGCCGAGAGTGGCTTGAAAGATGTGATGGATGCCGGCTGACACTGGGGAGGCTTTGTCGGCCGCATTTAGTCGCTCTCCAATGTTAACGCCTTGAGGCAGCTCCCCGACGATCTCCGCGTCGGTCGCCGATACAAGCCGGTCGCGAATAACGACTGCCGATTCGGCTTGGGTGGATGATAGCAGAGGTTTGGCGTAGGGTGAGGGGTACGCGAGATGGTGAAGGAGCGTCAGGGCCATGTACAACAACGACAAAGAGCAAAGGTCAGCTCTGACGCAGCAGAAACTCACTCGTAATCGGTCGTCCGGTCAACACCCCAGATCTGGCCGCTTTCGCGATGCAACAGCAGGACTAGGGAGGCGACGAGGGGGGTCCGTTCGGCGACCAGGAGAACGCCGTTGGGATCGGATACCGACAACATGGCGAATGCCCTTATGAGATACAGCGCATCCCGGTGGTCCTTATGTTAGCGTCGTCGGCTATGAACTTACCGCAAGCACGATCCTTTTGGCCATGTCAGTCAGGAGCGGTTGACCCCTATCTTTGGCAGATGGGCCGACGAGAGCGCGAAAGTAGCTTGTCGCTGGCGTCAGCAATGCTTTTGCTCTCGACTTACAACAGGAAGCGGCAAAGAATAGGTCTACCGCGCGAGAAGTTAAGCCAGCCTCGACATAGAGTAGGATCAGATCGACGAGCTCGGTGGATTGCCTAGATCAGCATTGTAGAGCATCCACTCACCAAAGATGGGTGCCGCTGTAGCAGACCGCCTCATTGCAATCTGCAATCACACCCGCGAGCTCTTTGCGAACAAATGAATTTGTCAGGTTGTATAGTCGAGTGCTGAGCCCTGGGGGCATGGACTCGACCAGAGAGGGATGACGGACGGCCGTGCGCGAAAACAGGTGAAGAATGTCGGAGAGGGGCAGGGTGCTGTTTGTCTGGTCGATGATGGTTGCAAAGCTGGCCGCGAGCTGTTGTATAACACTCTCATAGTTGAGATCTGGATCCCCGCAGACTTTGAGGATGTCGGCACTGGCTGCAGGATCAATATCGGGGTCGCGGAGGATGTAGAAGAGGGTGGGCTCATTGCGGAGGGGCGATTCGTATCGATAATTGAAGAGATGGTGTGATAGCTGGGTAAGCAATGTCAGACCTCGGCTCACCTCTGTCTTGAGATCTGGTTGAATTTCAGGTTCGGGCTCGGGCTCAGGCTCAGGCGCCGAGGGAGGGGGCGTTTCTGTCCGTTGTCGCTTGCGGCTGGGCCCGAAAGCATTGACGAGGCCTTTGAATTGCGGAGGTTTCTGACTGTGCCTTGGAGATGGGGGCGGTCGCCTGTTACTAACAACTGCGTGATGCTGAATCAGCTCGGCAACTACCGAACTTACATTAAATACCGCTTGGGATTTGAGACTCTCCAGCTGCTGCTTGTATTCCCTCTCTTTGGCTTGCATTTGCAGTTGTAAGGCGTCAATGTTGGATTTGAGCTTGTCCGCTTCGGTTACATAGCGCGATATATCCTAGAGTCAGCCCGTCCAGACGAAAACTCACCTTCAGCTTGTTCCTCTCCAAAGTCGCAGCTTTGCCTTCCGCCTCGTACACTCTATTCTGCAGCTCGGCGTTGGGGCCCTGGCGGAGACTAGCGAGCTCCTGCTCGAGCGCCTCCCTTCTTTCCCGCTCGGCCTCCAAGTCGAGATGTAGCTTCCGTACCGCCCCTCCTTGCGAGCTTTGAGAAGCGATGGGCTCCAGTGCTGGACGATGGGCGGGTTGTCGAAGCGGCAGGGCGTTGGCAGATACCGACCGGGAGAACGCAGAGGGAGCACCGGCAATAGCCTGACGCCTTGCTTCAGCGCTTTGCGAGCTAGGGAGTTGCGGTGGCCGACCGACGGCATCAGGTTGGGCATAGTTACCGGTAGAGTCGATCATAAAGTCGATTGGCTCTTCGTCGCGTATCTGCCGCTTATTGACCGCCTCGACGTGACGAGCAACGTTGCCTTCGGCCACGCGCTTCCCACCATGTTCCCAGCCGAACCCTCCCGCGACAGAGCCGGGCGCTACGTTGAGCGGGGCAGGATCGCGCGGCGTGCCGTCTCTCCTGCGCCCAAAAGGTGCGACACTGCGCGGTGCAGCGACATTGTGATGATAGCGGGCGGGGGGCTTGCCGAGGCTCTGTTCAGCAGCTTCGACAGCGAGGAGTACGTCTGGGTTGTCGAATAGGTCGTCGTCGTCGAAGGGGTCTGAGGAGTGCATGTTGTATCAGTTATTATAGGTGGAGGGGAAAGAGAAGGAATGCGGCGTTGCGAGTTGGAGGTCCCACCTGTCAATTACGGCATCAACAAGCTTTTCATGGTCCAGCTACTATACTCTCAATCACTTGTCCATCCATCTATACATCATGTCGCACCCTTCAGATAGCTTGCTAGAGTGAGTATACTCATCTACATTGCTGACTTTTAGTGCCGACTTGACCTTCTCTCAGCCTCCCTTCTCCTCGTTGGACCCCCGAATCCTCAAAGCGCTGGCCGATCAAAAATTTGCACACCCGACGCTCGTCCAGGCCAAGGCCATCCCGCTACTCTTGGAGGGCAAGGATGTACTCGCTCGAGCGCGCACAGGAAGCGGAAAGACGGCTGCTTACTGCGTCCCCGCGGTGCAGAAGGTTCTGGCCACAAAAGAGGTAAGTTCAGCAAGGACGAGCTGACATTAGCGATTGACCTTGGCTTCGTCGGAGTATCAAGCGACCCGTGTTGTTATCGTGGTCCCCACGCGAGAGCTGTCCATGCAAGTGGCGACCTTCCTCGGGGAGCTCACTGTATATTGCGAGGAGGCAATCAAGGTGGTAAATGTGGCTGCGGGTGCGGCGAATCTGCAAAGGTGCGTATTGTCTTTGCCGAGCTAAATACAGAATTCTGCTTAATGAAAACCCTGACATCATCATCTCCACGCCATCCCGCCTTCTTTCGCTCTTGCTATCCAAGTCAATTGACCTCTCCCTTCTCGCCTTCCTGGCGATAGACGAAGCGGATCTGCTCTTGTCGTACGGCCACAAGGACGATATGGAGACCATCCTTGCCACGCACGTCCCTAGGCTAGGGGTGCAGGGCTGCTTGGTTTCGGCGACGCTCAGCGAGGACGTTGAGGGCATCAAGGCATGGCTCAAGCAGCCAGTGAGTTCTACCAAGACCAAGCTAATCAGGCCATTCTCACACTGTCTGAACACACGGCATCCCTTCTTACCCAATTCGTAACCCATACCACCGAACGCGACAAGTTCCTCCTCATCTACGTCCTGCTCAAGCTCAAGCTTATCCGCGGTAAATCCATCGTCTTTGTCAACGATATTGACCGAGGGTATCGTTTAAAGCTCTTCCTCGGGCAATTTGGCATCAAGACCTGCGTCGTTAACTCGGAACTCCCGCTCGCCAGCCGATATCACGTCGTTGAGGAATTTAATCGAGGCGTCTATGACGTGGTAGTGGCGACGGACGAGGCGAATGAAGAGGAGGTACAGCCGCGGAAAAGGCAAAAGGTCGACCCCGCTTCGATGGCGAGGGGAATCGACTTTACCAACGCAGCTTCCGTCATCAACTTTGATCTCCCGTCAACGCCTACATCGTACATGCACCGGGTCGGCAGGACGGCGCGTGCCGGACAAAGCGGTCTCGCCTTATCGTTCGTCGTGCCCAAGGAGCAGTGGGGAAAGGACAGACCGGTATCAGTGGCATCGGCGGAACGGGATGAGGTGGTCTTGCCGAAGATCAGAGACGTGGCGGGCGAGATCAAGGATTGGGATTGGGGAGGGCGGAAAAAGGAAATTGAGGGGTTCAGATACCGAATGGAAGATGCGCTGAGAGCAGTGACAGCGAAGCGTGTGCAGGATGCTAGACGGGAGGAGGTCAGGCGCGAGTTGCTGAACAGTGAAAAGCTCAAGGTGAGTACGACACGGGCACGCTGACCGTAGGCCCACTTTGCTTCCAATCCACTAGACTTGGACTACCTCCGGCACGATACTATATCACACCCCGTCCGGCAGCAATCACATCTCAAACATGTACCAGGGTATCTGATGCCAAAAATCGCAGCCGCTCCGCTAGGTACAGGGGATGTCGCCGAGGGATCAGGTGTAAGCTTTCATAAGCGAGGTGGGAGCAGGGGACGCGGCGGGCGTGGCGGACGAGGACGTGGCGGGAAAAAGGTGGATCCGTTGCGTATGAAGGGGTAACGGGATGTGCATGGTATCAAGGCTGTGCAGATCCCTTTCTTTGCGAGTAGGTGTAGACATGTACATACATATGTAAAGACTTGCCGACTAGCTGCGGTGCATGACATCGCCCAGGGAGTTTGTTTACATGAAAAATATTATGTTCCGGAATTCTAGGCTGCCATTCGCATCAAGCATGCATCTCCGCGTTTCGCTCTTGCCTCAGCGTCACTTGCCATCATCTCTTCTCTACATCAGTCATGGGAGAAACAGCAACAGCGAAGCCGTACGAGCACCCACCATCGCGAATTCCCGTTCCCATCAGTCGGCGCGCATCCCTGAACCCAGACTCCCTTGTCCTTCAGCAGTCCTCGTCCATCCACACCAACGGCGGAGACGGGCGTCCGAGCTCTGCTTCAGGGAATCACAAGACAACAGCCAGGCCCACAGCGAGTCGGAGACAGAGTCTCCTACTCAATAGCACGAGCAGGAAGACAAGTTTTGGGGAGAAGAATCGCGATCCAGGTGGGTCAAAGTCGGAATCCCAGCTGATGCCAGGCGATCAAGCCGAACTCCGTGATGCGTATCGCAGGAGCACGGAAATATTCTCTTCAGAGCTAGCAGTACCTTCAGCATTATCGTCTACAGACGGGGTGAAGACACCAACTACTCGACTGGCGAATTTGCCAGAGGACGACGTTTCGCCAGGGGCCGCAACCTCCCCGCTGCCACCGAGCGTGACGGACGTGGACGGTAGTCGGATACCCAGACGACGTAGGTTTGACGCGGAACGTCGCTGACGGTAGCGTCATCCGCTCAAAGCACCGATAGCGGGCCAAGTCGAGGTATACCGCATTCCAACTCTAGCTATGATTTGCGCGGAGCAGGAGCCAGCGGGAAGTATGGGCTGAGTCGTGAGTCAGTCGGTAATGGCGCAGCTGATGGCGTAGGCATCCCCCAATCAACAGTGATGAACGCCGTTTCGCTACATCCCACGCCTACTTCCGCATCTCCGATGTCCCCCAACAAGCGCTACGCTTCATCCCCGTCTCCTAGCGATCCCACACTCCGCTCACCTTATCTCGGAATCGATTCTCCTATTTCACCTTATCCGAATGGGAGTGGTCCACTCGGTCTGGGTCTACCTACCTCTCCGGATGGCCGGTCCAGTCCGTACCGACGCTCGACAGGCTCGTCCGCTAGCACCAAAGTCATCGACGGTCTTCAGACGGAACTGCAGCATCTGAAGGTTGTCCTAGAAAAAACCCGGCAGGACTTGCGGAGTTCACAACGTGTCGTTGGATCTGTAGGTTGCAGTGTCGTCAAAGCTAACGTCAGCTCACACGGCAAAGCGAAGATCTGAAAGATACGAAAGATCGGCTCAAGGGAGAGATCGATACTCTGAACAACGCGCTGAAACGGAGGGAGCGCCTACTGCAGGGTGAGTGCCACGATGTGTCGTGCTGATCAGTAGAGACGGTCGATCGCGCAAGATCCGCCGAAGCCGAACTGCACGATATCAAATCGACGCGAAAGCTCCTTGAGCAGACGACCAAAAAACAGCTTCAGCACATGACGGCCCAGGTGACCGAGGCGACCTTTGCTCAGACCAAGTCGGATAAAGAATGTGCCAGTCTCAAGGATAGCGTGCGGAGTTTGAGAGAAGCCTGGGCGAGGGAGATGAAGGTGGTGAAGGATGAGTGGAAGAGTGGCCAGGAAAGGGAGCGCCTGGAGCGTGAGGAGGCGGTACGTCCAATTTGGCGTCCCCTGCTGATATCTAGCGAATGAAGCATATGGCTCTGGTCAAGCTTGTTCAGTCTCAAAGGTGAGCTGAGAGTTTCACAGATGCTAACTCTAGTGCCGACCGCCAAGCTATTCAAGCCCTAGCTACCGACGTGCTCAAGCAGTCAGACGCAGCCTCTGCCATCTACGAGGACCAAATGCACGCTATGCGGGCAGAGGTGGCCAAAAACGCCGAGGATACGAAGACTGCTCAAGAGACCGCTCGGTATGTGCCACCTCCTGCAGGTAGGCCATAAGCTGATGTACAGTCAACTGGCGAGGGAGCTTCTCCACCTGCGTCGCCTGACGCGAGAGGCACCTCGGGAAGACCTTGCCGCTGCCGCAGTGGCAGAATGACGAATTTAACGACCCTCAATATTTTGTGCATATCTTCTAGGACATTACCATCTTGTAGCATACTTGTAATTAGCGATGAAGTGTCTAAAAGCTCTTAATGCAACGACATTAGTGGCTGGCACTGCAAGAGCCACATTCCTCGCTACACGTGGCGAAATAAAGCCGCGATTCGCCGCCGAGACCGCCTTGCCTTGAACGCGTCAAGATTTCCAAACTCTCTCTTCTCCTCTCTTCATATTCAATGGCAGGTAAGACCATCTCATCAGTCACTCATCAGTCAATAATCTCAGCTCACTCGCCAGTCCCAAGGTCACAATGCTCGGCACAGACAGAGGGGTCTTTGGTAAGTCCATCTCTTCCTCTTCGGATCCGCGCTGACTCTCAGACCCCCTCACACTCTCGAGCGGGCTAAGGTCCTGGAATTTCAACCCTCACTCAACTGGTCCCAAACGGATCCTCGATTAATTGTCGAGCAGCGTCCGACCAGAAATGCGGTCTCTACCACCGATTCCAACCCAGAGAAGCGGCAGCGTGGAGGGTATGTTGGTAGATGATCTTGGCATGGGCGCGGAGGGTTGCCTCGTGCTTTACGGTCTTTCCGACCGAGTATCAGAGGCTTCAGTGCAATTTGGTGACGTCCTATAGTTGGACCTATGGTTCAGGGATAACTCGATCAGGACTACTCTGGGGCTGCTGTTGTATGGCTTTCGAGCCTAGATTTATGCATTCAGATCTAGACGGGTCCAGTGATACCAGCTGCGGGCAGGACAACAGGAACCGTGGTAGTGGCGGGGGCAGCTGGGGTCTGAGCGGCGGCGGCGACACGCTTCTCCTCCTGACATCAGCTAAGCATGAGCGACTACTCACGGCGATGCGCTTGGCCTCCTCGTGAACATCCAAGACCTGCTTCTGGGTGGTGGTGTAGAAGCTGTGCACCCTACTGTCAGTGCTGTAACGAGTAAGACTCACCTTGAACCGACGGGAGTGCCAACCAGCTTCGAGTAGTACTCGGAGAGCTTGGCGCTAACGCCGCGGTTCTGGTCAACCTCCTTGGTCTTGTTGACGACAAAGCTGGCCTGCTCGCCGACCTTGCCCGACACAGTCTGGTTCTCGCCAATGACGCGCTGGCCGACGGTGTGGTCAATCGAGTTGAAGAAGTTCAAGAATCGAGACGAGATGCCCTGCTTGTCTGGGATCAGCCTGGTCGAAAAACAAAACTCACGGTCAAAGTCGATGGCCTGCTGGACGATGTGGTCCCCAAGGACGTAACCGTGAGCGAGGTATTCGGCGACAATGGCAGCCTTGGATCAGCTTTGCTATAGATCAACTCACAGCAGGCTTGTCCTCCTGGCTGATTTCAGCGCCGATAGGGGTTGTTCCGGTTGCGGAGGCGGGGAGGATCGATGCCGCCTTGGGCTCCTCAGACACCGAGGTCACTTCCAAGTGGGCACCGTCAAGAGTACCACCGTTGAGCATCCTGTCGTCAGCGCAGTCAGTGACTAAACTCACAGAGAGGTGCGCATGGCACTGAGCTTTTCAAACTCAATCTCGGCCGAGTTGCCCAATTTTTGGACCTTGACGAGCTTTCCGCAGAAGGAGAAGAAGTCGTGGAGTTTCTCCTCTGAGGTTTCGGGCGCGAGGCCTGTGACTCTGATGACATGACCTGTGGACATTGTGATTGTGATGGATGAGTATGGGAATGGGTATGTACTGTGAAGAAGAAAGGTCAAGAGATACCCTGACTATATAGCTGCAGCTATAAGATATGGGTGGAGCGGGCAGTTTACGTAACGCATATGATGAGATTATCACCATACATGCATATGGCTATCGCTGCATGCTGTGCGTTGCGGTCTTGTTGACACCACAACATGTCTAGCGAGATAGCCAATACCCTCTTCCCTCCTCCTCCGCCGTACTATAAAGCGTACACAGCGGACGATGTGATTGCAGACTCCTCGGCAGAGGAGCAGTCTCTTCAGCCACCCCGGGTGGACTGGATAGACGAGGAGGCCAAGTGGATGTGCTTTGGAGAAGCTCTAACCGTCAGTCGCATCCAAGACTCTACTGACAAAAAGACTGCACCACGAATACCTACCCCCGCTGAGATCGGCCTACCTCCCCTCACTAACCCCTCTGATTCACCTCAAGAATCCCTCCCACCTTTACTACACTCCTTCTTACATACCATGCTTCTCTTGCTCGATACCCTCACCAATACCGCTCGGAATCCAGGCGAACTGGAGCAGAAGGGTTGGGCGCATGAAGGCGATCAAGTGAGTTTCTCTTGAAGCAAAGCTTATGTCAGTATATACAGCACCTCACGAATATTGCAGCCACAATGATGGTGGAGGCCAATCAGGTCCGCAGCGTGCAGGTAGGTGATGTGCTGATCAAGCTGACTCCAGGCTGAGGCTACTCTCGTTCTCCTTATGGAAAAGCAGCTGCAGGAGCGGAGGGCGCAGACTGCAGCTCTGAAGAGGTGAGGCCCAAATAGGTCATGCTGATGCCAGTAAATGCGAACATCTCTCCAGCACTCTCCGCGCTTTACGACCATAGACTAGGCCACGCCACCGGCCTCATCATACAGCTTAGATATCCGAATCGCTCTTGTAGCGTACGGCTGAGTTATACTTGCAAGTAGCAATGGGTATAAGCAGGCGACATGTGAGTAGTATAAGCGCGCTACCATCTCGCGTGCTTCCTTTCCAGGCCCAGCGGTGTACCAGTGTAAACTTTGGATCGATGAGGCGCGGGTCATATTGTACATCATGAAGTATAATACAAGTACAAGATCCTTATCTTTCTATACCAAAAGCACCGAGTTGATACATCCGTCGTTTTCTGGGTTGTTGGTGATCTGAGCGTATTCTACCGTCAGCTCAGACCCGGCATGAACTCACTTGACCAGACGACCTTTCCGCCGGTAGTGACCATACCGAGCTCGCTAACGTTGACCTCAATGATTGTCCCCTTGGTGAGAACGCCCAGCGATGTGTATAAGGGAGATTGAGGGTTCTTCTTGACGCCGAGAATGGGCAGTTGGAAGGTGGTTTTCAGTTCGGGATGTGTAACGTGGGCCTTGTTCATACGCTACTGTAAGCAATGTCAGATGCGCAAACTCACCAGTCCCATGGGTCGAATGAAGCGCTACCGTCAGCTCTGCCAAAAGTTCAACTCACCTCCAGCTTGACAGGTTTCCGTGTGAACCCCTCTCCGACGAATGTCGCCTTGTTGACCATTCGCTTCCAGCTCTTGCTCTTGTGCTTTCCGGTCTTGACGACCTTGAACATCTCCTCCTCGGCGATACCTCGGACCTTGGGCAGCGGTACAGCGTACTTGGCCGCACGGTCCTTGCGGCGATCTTTGACTGCAGATGAGAGCGCTTTCGCATCCTGGAATTAGCCTAACCTTCGTGATACCCACCTTTTGCCCCTCTCGGTCCAGCAGATAGGTCGGCAAAGCTCCCTCCTTGACAGCGCCATCGTCCTTTTGCTTGACATTCCGCTCGTCGTGCGCCTTGAGTGTCTTTTTCAATTGGACCTTCTCGGCGTGGCGTTTGGCGTGATGCAGCTTGGCCTTGTGACCGACCATCTTTTGCGTGTCTGCCGATGATTTGTGAGCCTCTCGGGCAGTCCTCTTCCGCCTATCGTCAGCATGGTCGGTGAGTGCACTCACTTGCGCTCATCATGGTCCAATCTTCGACCATACCGCTTGCGGTGCTCCTCCATGTATTCATTCTAATGGTGAGTTTGAGCTTATCTCTAACATTTGAGACCTACTTGAGGCTGCGATGTCAGCTTGATTCTCTGCTACCGTAGATGCCCTTACCATTGTGTCTTCTTGTCTGTATGTTGTAGGGTGAACACTTGATCAAGATCAAGACAACTTGAACGTTTTGCGCGTTTTGCCGCTGGTTCAAATTTTGCATGCCGGCACCGCACAAAAGTCGGTTTCAGCTTGCAGCATCTCTCTTGTCTGTATCATTATATCATTATGGGTCTATCAGAGCGCAAAGAGAAGCGTGAGTCGGCACATACAGCTGCGCTGATGATTAGAACGGATCAGCTATGACCCCCGTAATCTGTCCTGGTCGGACGACAAGGACCGCTTCTCGTACAAGCACATGAAGGCCCTGGGATGGACAGACGCCTCCGGGATCGGTGGTGCCGCTCTGACCGGCAACGCCAAGCACATTGCTGTCGTTCACAAGCTCGACAGCTCGGGAATCGGGATGGCGCGAGCTGTCAAGGAGGGAGATGCGGTTGGAGGCCAGGCGCGGGCGGGGCTGGAGGACGTGCTAAAGCGGCTGGCCTCGGCCTCTGCTTCAGCTTCGCCATCCCCCGCGCCGGAAGATGTGAAGCCGCTCAGCAGAAATAGGATAGCGTGAGTCTGACCTCTAGATCTAGCTGATCCCAGGTCACGGCACCGTCATCTTCAATCCAAGCGTCTAGCGTCATCCTCCCCCGCCGCACTCGCAGAAATCCTCGGCATCTCCCCGTCCGCCATGCCCAAACTCGAGGACATCAAGCCTACAGCTGCAGAGCTATCCCTCCCTTCTTCTTCCTCCCTACCCGATGTCAAACCCACAGCGGCCGAGCTCGACGCGAAACCCGTCCGAGAAGCCGAGGACATGGTCAGCACATCCACCCTATCCGTCTCTGACTATTTCCGCCAAAAGATGCGCGCCAAGGCGATAGCACGGCAGATCGCCGCGGGAGAAACGCCAGACCTCGAGCCGGAGGTCCCTATCGCCTCCAGCTCAAAGCCAACTTCCACCTGGACCGGGACGCGGATGGCGTTCGAGGCGGACAATACCCCATTGTCCTTTTCCGATGCCCCAGTCTCGCAGGATGCGCTTGGCGTACCTCTCGACGATGAGACTGCGCGGAAGGCGGCAAAGGCGGCTAGGAAGGCAGAGAAGGAGGCCAAGAGGGCGGCCAAGGCGGAACGCAAAAAGGCCAAGGGGGAAGAAGGCGGAGTATCACAGGATGGTGCAGAGGTGAAGAAGCGAAAGCGGGAAGCGGAGTAAAGTGATATTTGCGAGGATCTTGGGCGATTAGGTACGATCATATGTGTATGTATACTCGGCCAGCGCGCGGTGGCGCAGACACAGCTCATAACTAACCCCCTAACCCCTAAGGCGATATGGGCCCAAGCTGATAATAGTCGCTTGTCTTCTCTGCCCCGTCCACCGTTGCATCATCCTTCGCCTCTGGAATCCCTTCCATTGTGAGCCACCCTTGCCATCGTATCTTACTCCATCTCCAAGTCACAGTCTCCCATTGTGGCACGTAGGTGACGTCATCCGCCTCGTCCAACGTGTCGTCTGCGCTTTCTGCTGCCCCCTCGGTCGAATCCTCCGTCCTGACCATCGCGACCTATCTGACGCGTTCTTCCTGACTTGTACTATTGCTGAACATCGCTGCGGTACCGACATGGTTATACACCAAAAATTCTGCTTACCGTAATGTCTCACTGGATGAGCTTGCTGTAGGTATCAGCTAGCATATTCGCGATGGGCATCGGGACCTGCCGCCTGCAGGAAGCTGCGCTGAGGGATCTCTAGAGGAAGGTACAGGAAGACTATGCCCCAGTCAGCTAGTGAACAGCAGCAAGTGTAGATCAGCATGATTTCAGGGCTTCGCCCACAGCTGGCAGGGATAGCGTACTTCATCGTGTTTAAAACATGATATGTATGGTACTGCAGGGATGATGGAACGGCATAGAGGCTCCCGACTCCGGTAAGGTATGTAAAGCTCGAGGACCAACCCAGATGGGCATCATTTCCCGACGCGGTCAGCTGAAAAGCAAGATGAGAGCAGTCCCATGCACCATTTGAACTCGGTCTCCATCGAGGGCGGGCGGTATTGCGATTAGAGTAGATAGGGTTGTAACCGATGTCGTCTGCACTGCTAAGGGGCGGATCTTCAGCGTAGCTCGTGAGTATCTTGGACCGAGTTCGCTGGGCGCATGCCTTTCCTGATTGAGCTACTTGCAGGGCTGGATCAGACATATCTCACATCTACGGTCCTATAATGCGAAGGTAGATATCAGTTTGCCACCTGCTACCGCCACATGCAACTGAAGCAAGTACACAGACTGGAGTAGGGAAATGAGAGACACAAAGAGGTAGCTATAATGTAGCGGGACGGTGAGTATGGCGCTCGAGCTGGATCACTGACAGAGACACATTGTCTCGCTATCCAATCAGGTATCGAATGTCGCAATCGTACTTGTGCCTCATGCTCCCAGTTCATGCGGCTCCCGTAAAGCACTAGCCCGACGTTCTGCAGAATCTCAACGGATCCTCGAGGTCAGGCTGCATACAGCTGGCGAATCACGGTGGCGAATAACGCGCTAACCCCCCATATTTTCGACCTTCTGCAGCTGACTTTGGGGCGATACTGACCGCTGGGGATGATATATGAGTGGTATGCCTCCCTGATACTGCTTGTCGGCGTCAATTTGCATCGCTTAGGACTTTATGGGCTGCTTCAAGCCCTCTTTACACCGCAGCACCATCTCCGCGGCCACCGCCACGGCGCCACTTGAGCGTCCGTTTTTTGTGATACTTCGGTGTAAAATCCACGTCTTTGTTCTTTTGGTGCCACACGCTTTGAATCGTCTTCGGCGTTTTGAGAATTTTCGGACCTTTAGCGGGGTTGAGGGAAATGATTTAGGGCAATCACATCGGTCCCTTCAGCCTGCGTTCCTACATCTCGCTTTGTGCGCACACTAATCACTTTACACCACACCTAAAACGTGAGTAGCTCTTAGCCACATCCCTTCAGAGGGGAGTCTATGCTAGGACAGTGCTAACCGTTCAGCACATATACATCCATCAAAATGGGTAAGGTGAGTAACCCATTCCTTTGCTCCGAGTATTCGATCTTGAGCTGACATCCTTGTAGGAGAAGCTCCACGTGTACGTCGATTTTCCCCAAGTCCGACCGCGAACTGTACTGACCCTCTAGCAACGTCGTCGTTATCGGTCACGTCGGTAAGTCTACCCGATGACCTGTTGTCGAGCTGTGCTGATTTCTAGATTCCGGCAAGTCCACCACCACCGGTCACTTGATCTACAAGTGCGGAGGTATCGACAAGCGTACCATCGAGAAGTTCGAGAAGGAGGCTGCCGAGCTCGGAAAGTGTGAGTTGTTTCTTTTGATTTGCAAATTTTCGCCACCAGCCCCCCTTCCTTTCCTGACGCTCGGGGTCCCTCCTTGTGCGGGAGAAACGACGCTTGTACTTTGCTGACCCTCCAGCCTCGTTCAAGTACGCTTGGGTCCTCGATAAACTCAAGGCTGAGCGTGAGCGTGGTATCACCATCGACATTGCTCTTTGGAAGTTCGAGACCCCCCGGTACCAGGTCACCGTTATCGACGCCCCCGGTCACCGTGATTTCATCAAGAACATGATCACCGGTACCTCGCAGGCCGACTGCGCCATCCTCATCATCGCCACCGGTATCGGAGAGTTCGAGGCCGGTATCTCGAAGGACGGCCAGACCCGCGAGCACGCTCTGCTCGCCTTCACCCTCGGTGTCAGGCAGATCATCGTTGCTTGCAACAAGATGGACACCTGCAAGTGGTCCGAGGACCGCTTCAACGAAATCGTCAAGGAGACCACCAACTTCATCAAGAAGGTCGGCTACAACCCCAAGTCGGTTCCCTTCGTCCCCATTTCTGGATGGCACGGTGACAACAGTGAGTTTTATACCTGGGCATAGCTGACGTTAGTGTTGGAGGAGTCCACCAACATGGGCTGGTACAAGGGATGGACCAAGGAGACCAAGGCTGGTTCCTCCAAGGGTAAGACCCTTCTCGAGGCCATAGATGCCATCGAGCCCCCATCGCGTCCCACCGACAAGCCCCTCCGTCTCCCCCTCCAGGATGTCTACAAGATCGGTGGTATCGGCACGGTGCCCGTCGGTCGTGTTGAGACCGGTATCATCAAGGCTGTAGGTTTTTTTCTTTTTTCGGGTGGGGCAGAATATGCTTGGGTGGGAGAGTGGGTCTTGGGTCAAGCTTATGTTCAGGGTATGGTTGTCACTTTCGCCCCTACCAACGTGACCACCGAAGTCAAGTCGGTCGAGATGCACCACGAGCAGATCCCCGAGGGTCTGCCCGGAGACAACGGTGAGTCTTCTTCTCTCTTTGATCCTTCTTGTGTTGGGCTGTGCTGATGATCATAGTCGGCTTCAACGTCAAGAACGTGTCGATCAAGGACATCCGTCGTGGAAATGGTGAGCTTTGCGTTTCTATACTTCTCTCGGGAGTATGAGCTGACTGTTTAGTCGTGAGTATACATGGAGAGGAGCTGCATGCGCCTTGTGGCAGGGACAAAGGAAGCTGATGATCAGTGTTCCGATTCCAAGAACGACCCGGCTATGGAGGCAGCCAGCTTCAACGCCCAGGTGAGCACGCTCCCCCCATGGAGGCAAGTCCAGCTCTAACGTCCAGGTTATCGTTCTCAACCACCCCGGTCAGATCTCCGCCGGCTACACTCCGGTCCTCGACTGCCACACTGCGCACATTGCCTGCAAGTTTGCGGAGCTCATCGAGAAGATCGACCGTCGGACTGGTGAGCAACAGCAGCAGAGCATAGCGAGCATAGCTGACAACTCAGGTAAGGTCATGGAGCCTTCTCCCAAGTTCGTCAAGTCCGGTGACGCCGCTATCGTCAAGCTCGTCTCGCAGAAGCCTCTCTGTGTCGAGTCGTACGCCGACTACCCGCCTCTTGGGTAAGTCCTCTCGCTCGTTCTGCCGCTTTGCCCTGTACGAGCTCGGCTGACGTCCCAGTCGTTTCGCCGTGCGTGACATGAGAGTAAGTTTACATCTCTGAACATTCCCACATGTTGACTTTTGCTGACTGTATACAGCAAACCGTCGCTGTCGGTGTCATCAAGAGCGTGGAGAAGGCGAGTAAGTCAGCCGGTAAAATAACAAAGGCTGCAGAGAAGGCTGGTGCTCCCAAGAAGAAGTAGAGAGCTTTGTCCATACTTCAGTCATCGGTATGCAGATGTTACCTTACAAGTTCCTGGCTGTTACCTTACGAGTTCCTGGCGCGATGCCAATGGCTCTGCAATTTCTATATGTGACCTCGCTTGAAATAATATGGTGAACAAGGAAGCTTACCGGCCGCGGGAGTGGTCAAAACTATTGGTGGGCTCGACCGGATAACCAGTCCGGGAATCTCACTCCGCACCAGAATCCGTAAACGGTTTTGTATGTATCTCTTGTACATAAATATATATCACGCTAGCATACACATACAGCAGCATGTCGACGCAGCCGCGAGCCATTGATACAGCTACAGAGGCTTTTCAGATCGAAAAAAAAATCAACTCACCATTTACCATATCAACTGAGCAGCCTCCCGGAGACCTCCCGGAGTGTCGTTCCCCTTCGCCGATCTCAGCTATACCGCAGCTATGCGTTGATTCCTAGCATCCAGAGTAGGTCTCGACTCCTCGCGCATCTGGCTGGAAGCTGATGGCTGGGCACAGCGCGTCCTTGGTCTAAGCTGGCTGAGGGAACGCGGTTTTTGCATGATCCAGTAAGCCCCAGTTCCCACCCTTTCCCTCAAATCATCCGACTTTGACCTTCTCACTCCACATCTCTGATGCATATCTGCTCCCTCATCTGATCATCCACCCCACCCAATGTGCATCAGTGCGTCGCTGACAATACAGATTAAACGGGGTTGTGAGCTGCCACAACGCGTCCTCCCACTATTCCCCCATATGCGGCGGTATGGGAGCGGTGCCAATTTGGTGAGTCGAAGGGTATCGAGGGGGCAGAGCGAGCAGGCGTGGCCGAGTTTCGGGAAGGTCTCTATATCAGTAGAGCTCAAATATCTTGAGGGAGAGGTTGAGGGAGACCAAGTCCGATGGGGGTGGTGGAGGATGACAAGACTGACAAAATACGGACTGAGAGGCAAAATGGGGCACGCGTGAAGCATCCGCCAGTCTTGATTGTTGACTATTGTCAGACGCTGGGAAATAAGCTCGCGCCCATGGTTATTGAGAGCAGAGCTAGACTCACGCTGCCAGCCTGTCCTTGGTCATGAGCAGTCCAGATCCCCCCAAATCTGCTCCCTCAAGTCCCCTGATGCTCTACCCCGGACGTCGCGGCCGTCCGCAGTGGATGCTGAAAGCATAACACGTTAGTTCGGTGGTCCATTGGCTGAGCGAATCGATAAGAGCGCCATCTGTAGGTCGAGCGAAGCGTTGGGGGAAGCGATCGAAGGAGCTCGAAGTTGGATGAGAGTCTACCACCTTGTGCCGAAGTACGGTTTCCCGCTGATATCCGCACGTATTCGAGAACCCTGAGAGCTGTCTATCAGGATATCCCTGCAATACTGTCTCGCCTCGAGATGCAGAGTAAAGAGAGACCTGGCGAGACGCGTCGTGGCTGAGTAGATTCCCCGTGGAAAAGTTTAGCACTAATATTGAAATGATGTTAAATGGGTTTTGGCGGGTTTTGGGAGGCATGCATGCGCTACGCATGATGCTGGTGCTGCCTACATGGCTCTGCGCCGTACAGGATAACCCTATGAGGCGTTGTATGGAGGGGTGATACGAGTCTATCACGAGTGCTCAGCGCGGGTGGCGGAGCAGAATGCCAGTACAGATCACGGAATGCGGAATTATTTTTGACCACTTGGCGCCCGGTAGAAGCTTGTGGTGACCGAGGTGCAAAAGGGGGGATGGTGGTCGGGGGAGGCATAGATAGGTCTTTCCGGCTGGAGCAAAGCTTAGTGCAAGCTGGATCTGAAGTTGCACATTGCTTTTGCTCCTCATTCCTCATGAATGACGTAATGGAGAACTACCTGAAGTGGCAATTCAAGAAATATGCGAAAGCGCAACAGACTCTACTTGCCTTGTCCTTGAGAGTGATAAAGCCTATCCTGTCGCAATCGTTTCGTCAGCTACATAGCTCACCACTCTAGATCTGGCATCTCCGTATCACCGTCACCAGCAAATATGTCTTCCAACGAGGTGACAGCAAAGGCGATGCTTTTTGATATGGACGGGACTCTTCTCGGTGAGTCCCCCGTATGCGTGCATTCTGATGGACAGACTCAACCCCGGCCGTATTGGCAGTTTGGACCCACTTTGCCTCGGAATACAATCTGGACCTAAGCGAAGTGCTGAGAAGTGAGTCTGACACGAGTCTTGGCTAAATTTATAGCATCCCATGGCGTTCGGACTGTAGACAATATGAAGCGGTGGTGTGGAATAAGCGATGAAGCCGAACTCCAGGTATGCTCACCCCAGTACAGCTGTATCCCGGGCTACTCCTTTTCCACGGGTATCCATCCTCAGGAGGGACGCCCTTGATCGTTCCTCCGCCTGCTGTTGGATCGAGGGGGAAAGCATGCTCGGGAGGGAAGTCATGTTTCCTCCGTCCGCTGCCGGCTCGAGGTGCTAGTCTGAGTTCGATCTCGATGCGCAGCTAAACAAGTAGGCCGCGACAGAGCTCTTTGAGACCATGATTGTAACCGAGGCAAAACGCTTGCAAGATGCAGGCGAAAGAGGTCTGGAGATTTTACCTGGCGTCCAGGATTTCCTCGAGACAGTAAGTCACATCCTGGGATGTGCTGACATTCAGCTGAGGGGACTGACATATCCTGCCTGGGCTATCGTCACCTCTGGTAGGTCTGCAGCGCGAGCATAACTCATCACAAGCGACTGGTAAATACGCTTCCGCAGCACTGCCGACTGCTGGTATCGTCGCACCTCCTCACCTTATCACTGCGGACGACGTGACGCGGGGCAAGCCCTTTCCGGAGCCGTATCTGAAGGGTGCTGAGCTGGTGAACGTGGACATCAAGGATTGTGAGTTCAGTCTAGCTGCCCCTCATTGGAACCTCTGCCAGATGAGCCGTGTTGTGGTCTGGAACGCGCCCAAGTCCATTGGTGACTTTAGCTGAAATCTAGGTATTGTTGTCGAGGATGCGCCTTCCGGAATCCGCTCTGGTGTGGCATCGGGGGCGCGAGTATTGGCAGTCTGCACAAGCCACGCGCGCAAGGAGATTGAGAATCTGGGGGCCACTTGGATAGTGGAAGATCTTTCTCGGTGAGTTGGACATCGGCCGGACTGACGACCAGTGTCACAGCTTCCGGTGCGGACGGTCACTTTACCCTTGTCATCGATACGTCTTCTAGCTAGTAGCCCTGATGTAGACTTCATGACGTTGCCGCTCGTGAAGACTACCATCCCAAAAATCCTCTACTCTTCCCCGCTGACACCCCAACCGCATTCCTCAACAAACCTGGAACAATCTTGCCTTCCAGAATGGTATCCTCGACGACCCTTGGGATCTCCTGAGGTGTCACCCGGCCATAGGAAAGATACGCTCCCGATGGAAATAAGATCTGGATCAGCTCAATCGCATTTGCACTCACCAGCATGACTCCTGCGTAGCGATGTCCGCCGACATGATTGATGTTGAAGATCCCCACCTCGCCCCCTTCGCCCCCGCCTATTCCCTCGATCCCCGCCATTCGTCTCCGTGTCTCCATCTCCCTCTCGTCCTCTCCCATATCCTCAATCGCCGGTCCATCGAGCTGCGCCAGCGATGCACCCGTCTCGTCGATGCCGATATCGTGTTTCGCCAGGACCGTATGCAGGGCTGATCGCAGGAGAGGGGCAGCGATGTGACACCGTTTGTCGCGGCGTTTGTGCGAGCCTGATATCAGAAAGCTCAACCAAGTACTCACAAAGCAGTATGATAGCACGATAAGGCAGCACCCAGCTCCTCTGCCTCGTCCCTCCAGTCTTGACGCCTTGACCGAGCGCAGCAGCATATAACCCCGCCGCCCCTTCTGCCGAATTCTCCACCTCCTGGACAACCGTCCAGTCTGGAAAGACGAGGACGGTCTGGTCTTCTGGGTCGTCCGATTGCGAGATCAGAGACGACGAGTAGAGCGAGGGTAGGTGGTCCTGGTCGGGCTTCAAGATGTACTCTGAAGCAGGGGGGCGCTTGGAAAGATCCTTGACTGCTCCAGCGGGCGGAGCCGGCAGCTTGAGCGATTGGATGTGTTTGTCCAGATGGTGCGCGAGCGAGTCTTTCTCGTCCTAGAGTCAGTGCTAGCAACGGTCCCACTCACAACGTGATCCCTCTCCCAATCGCTCTTCCCGGTGCTGATCACAACGACCTTTCCCCTCCCCCCCGCGGCGCTCCCAGCCAGATCCGTATCCCAGTCGACGTCAAAGCCTGGCGGCAACTCCCCGAGATCTCCATACCGCTCCATCACATAGTCTGGATAGGTCTTGCCGTCCCAGATGGCATCGTCGCACCCGTCACATTTTGCGCAGTCATCGTTTGAGACCGAGCCGTGCTCGGCCGCAATTTCCGACGCTATCGCGGAATAAGTAGCGGCTCGAGCGGGGTCGTTGTGAGTGTTGCCTGGCTTGGGAGCCGACGGGGTCATTGCGGATGACAAGGCTGATGCTATTTTGCCAAACATTGTGGTATGGTGTTAAGATCGCGGGCAGCTCGTATCTGACAAGGCGAGTCGGAAAGATTTCTCCGGGGTCCGGCCGGGATTGGATTTCTGTACATAAGCTCTACTTTGGCCTCCAGCCCTTACTTCTTGGAGAGTGGGGAGGGCAAAGAGGTGTAATGTCAAAGGCGGACCCTCCATACCGTCTTCACTTCTCAAAGCTATAGCAACTTGAGATCGAGACAAGTCCAGCACAAGCCCGCAGGATCGCCCCAGGAGACTACAGTAGTCCGACCGGGCCGTACTGCTGCGCTTGTAGTTTTACAGCGCAATCATGACAAAGCTTGCATTCAATCGCCCCTGTTGACAAGGTCGCGCACAATGGCTACCGTAGACTCTACGGCCCCGTCCGGAGCCCAGACAGTATGCACAATGCATGTAGATAGCAAAGACCCAAGACGTGACGCGCGACGTGCGGGGCTCCAAAAGCTTGAACGAACTTGTTTGTTTACACCACCCTTTCTGCTTCAACGTTTAGCTTCAACCCCCTTCAATCACTCTCATACCAACATGGAGCATCGTCACCTCCACCCAGCTTCCGGGCCTTCCAGAGCTACGGATTATGTCGACCTCACCGAATCGCCGCCGCCTACCCGACCCTTGTCATCCTCCACGGCAAACAACCGTACCGTCCCCTCGGTGTCTTCCTATGCCGCCTACATCAAGCCAGCCAAGGCGTTCCCGACTCCCGTGTCGACAACTTTTCAGCACCCTACATACGATGCTTCATGGCCAAAATGGGTGCAGCCTGCCCCGCCAAAGCCCATCAAGCCCGCCGAGGACAGGGAGGCATTCGATCTTGACGCGATCAAAATCTCTGCTGAAGACTGGACAAAGCATCAGGGAGACTCTGAGGCACATATGCGCGAGCTCTTGTCTGCTGCTATAGGAGAGGCCGATGAGGAGATCAAGGAAGGAGAGGATGTGGTGGAGGGATTTGCAGACGCGGTCCGCTTGATGCCGCATCAGATCCGAGGCGTAAAGTGGATGCGGGGCAGGGAGTCAGGGCGCAAGTTTGGCGGTATATTGGCCGATGTGAGTCCGAGTCTTATTCTGCTGACTTCAGGACATGGGACTTGGAAAGACCGTACAAATGCTAGCTAGAATCGTCGAGGGCCAGCCAACGGCTGCGGACAAGAAGGCTGGATTCAAAGGCACCTTGTGAGTGGCGTATGAGCTCTGCTAACCAGAATCGTCGCCCCGCTGGCTGTGATGGAGCAATGGGCCACTGAAGTTCGAACCAAGACTCGACCAGGACAGCTCAAAGTAACGACGCACCACGGCCCGACTCGTACCAAGAGTAAGTCCACCGAGATGTAGCTGACGATAGCCGGGCGCAAGCTTGAGGGATACGACGTGGTCATTACGACTTACCAGACGCTCGCATCTGAGCACGCGCAGGACGCCGTGGAGTCAGACTCTGATAATCCAAAGCGAGGCGGCGTTCTATTTTCCCAGAAATGGCATCGAGTGGTACTAGGTGAGTGGTGCCGGTTGTTCTGCTCTTTGCGACAAGCCGGAAGTGAAAGACCCACTTCTGGGTCGATCGTCAGACTGTACACATTGGCCCGGGAACGAGCTGACTATAGATGAGGCACACAACATCAAGAATCGCAATACCAAAGCTGCTAAGGCGGCCGTGGCTCTCCGCTCGAAATTCAGATGGTGCTTGACGGGGTATGTCGCCTTGTTGAACGCGCTGATCTCAGCACGCCCATCCAAAACAATGTCGAAGAGCTGTATTCCCTGTTCCGCTTCCTCCGCGCCAAACCTCTTGACGATTGGAACAATTTCCGTGACCGTATCGCCAAGCTTGTCAAGCAGGGACAAACCAAGGTTGCCAGTGAGTAAGAGCGGTAGAAGGAGCGGCGATCGACCCGAAGCTGAGCTCCAGTGAAACGGTTGCAGGTGGTTCTCAAGGCGATCATGCTCCGGCGAGCAAAGGACGCCACGCTGGGTAAGTCGCGTACGAGCTCTTGCTGATTTAGATGGGAAGCCCATTCTTGTCCTACCTGGCCGCACGGTGGAGGTCGTCCCCTGCGTCTTCGACACCGATGAGCGGGCATTCTACGACGCTCTCGAGCAAAAGACTGCCTTGACCTTCAACAAAGTAGGTCGATCCCAAGCAGAGCTGACGTTAGTTCATGTCGAGTGGTACCGTCATGTCCAACTACACGAGCGTTTTGACGTTGTTGCTCCGTTTACGTCAAGGTAGGTCGACTGTGAATTTCAGCTGAGTCAGCGTGTGATCATCCTCTACTCGTCACTGCGTCATTCGCTCAGGCAGCCGGGGACGAAACCAATCCGCAAGTTATCGAAGACGACACAGACGGCCTCGCCAATCTTCTTGGCGGTCTCGGCGTAAGCGGGCAGGCCAAACCCGCTGTGCCGAAATGCGATCTGTGTCAAGCCGACTGCACGACTGGTACTCGCTGCGAGGACTGCAAGGATCTGGCCGCCAAGCCAGTTCACCCGGTCAGCGCCAAGATCCGGATGCTGCTCAAATTGTTGAAAGCTGTCAAGCCCGGGGAGAAAACAATCGTCTTGTAAGTCGCCGAGGTGTCAAGGCTGATGTAGTTCCCAATTCACGTCCTTCCTCAACCTTATTGAGCCAATGTTGAAGGATCACGGCATTCGATACGTCAGATACGATGGAAGCATGCGTAACGACAAGCGGCAAGAAGCGTTGGAGAAGATCAAGACCGATGATAATGTTGCTGTGATCCTTATCAGCTTCAAAGCTGGATCTACGGGTGAGAAGGTCCGAGACTAAGCTAAGTTTAGGCCTGAACTTGACCGTCTGTAACGTGGTCATCCTTCTGGATCTGTGGTGGAATCCGGCGTGAGTGCTCCAAGTGACTTGGCCGATGTTTAGGCTGGAAGATCAAGCATTCGACCGTGCACACCGGCTAGGACAAACGAAGGATGTCAGGATCTACAAGCTCACGGTCGAGGAGACTGTGGAAGATCGTGAGGGGTGTCAGAGGACTCAGCTGATCAGGCATCTTGAAATTACAGGATAGCAAACGCGAGCTAGCAAAGGCTGCCTTGTCGGGTGACGCGGTTCGAAACCTAAAACTGAGTCTTAATGATATCATGAGTGAGTCTGCGTTGGTGTAGTGCTAACGGTAGACCTGTTCAAGCGGAGTGCGCACGACGTCGATTCAGACAATGAGTAGATGTATATGGGAATGAAAATTTTCGGGGGCGCTGCCGAGGGGCCAGGGGACTGGCTGGTGAATCTCGATAGGTGATGGTGGCCACAGGATGAGAACATGTGTATCAACATGTGTATAACAACGTCACAGCGAGCCTTGTAGGGACGGTGGGCTGTTCATCGGGCTGCAAAGGTTGACCATGGAGGATGTGATATCTGAAACGATACGAAACGTGTGATCAATGATGCCGGCATCGGCTCGATGGCCGACGGGCATCAAACCGCACGCTCACGCCGGCCGAGTCAGCGTTCCGCCGAGGTCCAACTGGTATCATCTCCCTTTTGCTTGTCCATCTCCATACAGTCAACATGGAACCTCTAGACACGCTCCTAGAAGACACGCTCCCTCTCAAGCGGAACCACGCCTGTTTGCAGTGCAAGAAGCGCAAGGTCAAATGTGATGGAGTAGGTCATACCTCTTATCGCGCTAATCTAGACTCGCCCACATTGCGCACCTTGCATGCGCTCTCATGCACACGTCATTCGTGCCGCCAATAGAGCTGGTACTCGAGTACCGACTCTGCACTGTGACTGGGCGGACGGAGACTCGCCCATCACCTCTCCCGATGTACCCCTCAAGCCCGTCGCCAAGAAAAAGGTGTCTGGTAAAGGATCAGCGGAAAAGGAAAAGGCTAGGAGCCAGGAGGACGAGAGAGAGACGTTGCTCGCAAGGATCGGTAAGTCCAGCTCTTATGTCGCTGACAATAGCCGAACTCGAAGGCCGACTCGCTGGTCTGACCCCTCCAAGTAGCGGCGAGTCATCAACCAGTTCTGACCCTCCGCCCAATCTGAACTTTGACTTTTCTTCCTACTTTTTGGTCCCGAGCGGATGGCCGAGGAATCTCCCGGCGCCATGTAAGTCCAGTCAAGGTCATCGCTGATAGATCTACTGGAGCATCTAGTCCAAGTCTTCTTTGACCAGGTCCCACAAGCTCCCCGTATCCTGAACCGTGCCAAACTCCTCGCTCGCCTGCATCTGCCCCCGCACCACCCGTCCTTCCCTCATCCAGCCCTACTCCACGCCATCTCTGCCTCGGCAGCGCCTTACACGGCTTGGGTGAACTCGGTACCCCTCCACGCGTTGGAAGCGGGAGTCAAGGCCCGCTTCGCCCGCGGCGAATCTCTCGAAACGTTCGAGGACTTTGCGCTGGCCCAGGCCGAGTCGGCTCACAGAGCAACCCACCAGACCAACCAAATCTGTCAAGTGGGATCTCCCGACTCGGTGTTTGAGATCTTCCAGGCCGAGATTCTCCTCTCGGACGTATGGATGTGTCGAGGAATGGTGAGCTTCCCTTGCGTGCTCGTTCGACCAGGTCGAAGCTGATCCGGGTAGTTTCTGAAAGGCTGGGTCAACGCAGGGATAGCTACGCGATACGTCAAAGGTCTCGAACTCATCAATCGGAATTTCCCCAAGCGATACAAGTGCGGCATCCTCCCCGCCCCGGCCAACGCCGTCGATCGCGAGGAGCGCTTGGCGAGTACCTGGCACGTATTCACCAGCGAGGCGTTCTCTGGCGTCTCTCGGTACTGGCCGATGAGTTTGGACGACAGAGAGCTTTATTGCCGGCTGCCTGGCCCCGGTGGCGAGCTGGAAAATCCGCAAGACGCCAAGGATCCGCAATTGTATACAAAGTAAGTCCCGGTAGTTCCCGCTGACCAGTCACCCGATTCACGACCCGTTCATCCTCAACTGCAAAGTGGCCATGTTGTGCTCGCGCACCGCACGATTCCAGCGAGACTGGGCCCAGCGTTCCGCAGTACCCGGCGACGAGCTGCTGGGGTTGCAATTACCAGTCTTTAAAGACATTGTCAGAGATATAGCACTCTTCCAGTAAGTTATTAGTCGACTTTGCTAAGATCAGACGTACCATCCCTCAGAATCTACTGCGTCTGCAGCTTAATTCTGAACTCCTCGTGAGTTTGACCTTGGTCCACGCTGATTAGAACCTTTGCATCATGCCAAATGTCTCGCTGCTTTTCCTTTGGGAACCCTTCGCAGTCGTCGCCGAGAACGCCATGCACACCGCTTACACAGCCATCATGGGCGTCCTCCACCTCATACCCTCCAACGTCGACGTCAGCTACATTTTGACGGCAGATCTCGCTCTGTGAGTTGCGCCGTTATGTCGCTGATGACAGAAACATACACGCATGTGGTCGCATGATCGTCGACTTCATACAAGTTGCGCTCGACAAGCAGGCCTACGGCCTCGCCGTACAGTACAGAGCAGACCTTGCGGTGATACAAAATCGTGCGTTGCTGCCATTGTCCAGCTGACAAGCAAGTCCTCCAGCGGTATGCTGCCAAGCATCCATTGGGTGGTTTCTCAGGCGCATTTCTCGACACCTATCTCGAGGCTGTCATGAGCGGGAGCGACAGCTCGGCAACGTGCGAATCTTCCTTTGCGAATGCCAACGCGAAGCCCGCTGCAATTGAGATGGAGGCATTCGTAACAGAAGGCGGGATGACCTTGTTTCATAATTCATAGATGTACTTTAGCGATCTCCATATATGGATGTACTTTAGCGTTCTACATAGCCAAGCTCAAGGAGTCCGCAGCTCATCATGGTATTTGGCTACTTTCGCCAAGTCCTATACATCTCCCTGCTCTTCACCAATGCTATCGCCATCCTGAATGAGGAACGCTTCCTCGCGAAGAGTGAGCTCGACACCTGGACCTTTGAACAGATGTGTCGCTGGATGGATTTTGCAGCTGACGAGCAGTCGGCTGGTCGACGCGCTCCGCTCAAGCTGCTAACGCTGGCTTTGGGCATGCACCCAACGCCTACGACGCTTTCGGCGGAGAGGTCTCCATCAAATCCAAACTGGTCAATCTCATCAGCGCGACGCGTACCCTCATGAGAAGTGAGTTCCACGTCGACATGGCTGATAGCAGTACCATTGATCGTCTTCAACGTCGTCATGTAAGCTTCGAGTTGACCGAGCTGATGACAGTATCGTATACGAATTGCTATTGGGATAGTAGATAGCCATGCATTCCCATTTTGCTTTTCTACATCATCTTAAAATGCCGCCCAAAGGCGTCAAAACCCTTCCCCCAGCTGTGGACCCCGATGTCGACTCGCCAGCCGCACAGCAGGAACAATCCCACCTCTCGGGCATGGCAGACTTTGAGCTACCGCGCACGACGTTGATCAAACTGGCCAAGGGCTCGGTGCGTTCAGGTGAAACCCGGCTGATATAGATCCCCGACAATGTCAAGATGCAGCAGGACGTAGTGATGGCGTTGATGCGGTCGTCCACCCTCTTCATCAGCTACCTGGGTGAGCAGTCCCCGGGTCATCGCTGACGACAGCTGCTGCATCACACGATCAAGCGATTAACAGGTCCGGCAAGACCGTCACCCCCGCCGACGTGCTCAAGGCGATATCCGAGCTGGACTTTGGGCCTGCCGATAATCTCATCCCCCTCTTGGAGCGTGAACTAGCTGGTGCGTACACAGAACTGCATCGCTGACTACAGCCTATCGCGCCATTCACCAGAAGAAGCGCTAGTTGACTCTACCCACAACGTTGTATCGCTATGGTCAGCCAAGCCGAGCATGTATATACCTTTTCAAAGAAGCTTTCCCACTGGTCCAGCGTCTTGAGCTGCTTGTCGTCCAGTCCAGAGTAGTCGGCGACGGCGTCCTTGGCGTCGAGAGAGGACATGCCTGTCTCAGCGGGCTTCTAGACTGACGCACCTAAGCCCTTGCTCGCATCTTTTCCAGCAAAGACGTGATAACCGCCCCCTACCCCGTACATCTCCTTTTTGGCAGTCACGTCAAAGACTCTTCCTTTGATGGCGATGTAGATGGGCTTGGAGGGGTCACTTCCATCGTGCTTGGCCAGGTCGGCGATCGAGATGGGATCATTCTGCATCAGCTCGTCCATGCCCAACTCACCTTGGGCGGAGCGAGATTGGCCGCAGGGGCGGACATGATGGACTGGGGTCAGCTCGCCCCTTGAGTATACGCACAGTTTGGGCCATCTTCGTCTTCGACTTGGGCTTGGTCTCCTTTCTTGTCGTGATGTATGCTATGCTGAGGGCTCCTATAAGTATGGCTGCAGCCACGTACCAAATCATCAGGGGATGAAGAAAGGAAGAGAGACCTTTGATACGCGCATCGCGCAAAGTGGCGCTCTCTGCACTCTACATATCATGAGCCCGATACTCGACATTCTCGGCCGAGATAACGAAGAGTAAGTACAGCCGTGATGTACAGCTGACGTAGTCTCCTGTCATCCCTGCCCTCCGTGCTGGACGAGCAGGCCAATGCTCATGCTCTCGGCTCGCTCCGGGTCAATTCGCAGTGGCAGCAGCACAAGAGCACGATCGACCACCTTTTGGAGCACGATCCCGTTAAGGCTCTGCAACTGATAGGTGAGTTCAGTAAGGACCGGTCTGACTCAGCGCGCCTGGTGGATACGCTTGAACTCTACGCACCATCGCTCAAAGGCCTGCAAGAGGTACAAAGATACACCTCTCATGTACTGGAGTCGGTGGTCTTCGGCAATGGTCCCGCCAGGCAGGCTGCAGCCTTCTTGCTCGGCCACACCCTTGCCATGTACCCACTCACAGCAGAAACCATCTCGCTGACCATCGAGAACATGTAAGCCTGACCGTGAACTCGCTGATCAGACTTCTCGGAGGTGATTCAGACTTGGCCATGTGTCTCATCCTCGGCGTCAAGCGGAACAGCCTGGCCCAATTCGAGCTCCATCTACCGACGCTTCTCAGGCAGATCCAAATGTCAGCATTCACGGGCAAGAACATTGACATTACTCAAGACGCCCTTAAGCAGTGCATGCAGCTGTACCAAACAGGCAAGGAGTGGATCCTGCAAGCTACTCACACCGTATTTGCTGCCAGTCTCCGCCTTGGTGATCTGCAGTGGACCTGTTTCATCATCTGCAATACCCCGATGGTGAGTCGATGTTGGCCGCGCTGATGCAGCTTCTTCGCAACGATCTCCGCAAGCATTACCCCGGCACATGTGACGCCTCGCAGATTCTCGAAAGCCTACTTGGTCATCCCAACAAATCCACGTCGCTGGCGTTGCCCATCCTCACGACATGGGAGACTTCCAAATTCTGCGCAGAGGGCTCGGTCGATCGAATCGTACGTTTCATGCTTACCCTTGACCCAATCGACTCGCTCGACGGGCTAGGACAATTGGCCTGCGTGGTGCTCGAGCAGTTTGCACCACACCTCAATCAAGTGGCTGCATTGGCTCTCGCATCGCTTGCTGATCCCAAATTGTAAGTCCCCGCACTGCCCCGCTGACTCCTAGGCGGACAAGCTCCCAGCGTCTCCTTGGCCGACTACTTGCTGCGCTCGGCCCCATCACGCTGGATACCATGATTTCATACCTCCACTGCCCCGCTCACATTCTGCTAATGGATGTCAAGCTGCTTGACCAGATGGCATCACTCCTCCCTAACTTGCGAAAGCGAATCATCCAGGTCCTGGTGGAGGCGATCGACGATGCTACCACTCGGGGCGGAGACGCCGCCGTTCTTGCGGCTCTGACCGTGTTCCCCCTTCAAGGTGAGTCAAGCATGATCGAGCTGATCAAGACCCCTACCTCGCCCAACGAGCGCAGGAATTTGTCCTCTGGAGCCTGGACGAGTCTCGAGATCAAGCTCAGGTCCTTTTGGCTCTGCAACTCGCCATTGACGCGTGCATCGCAACTCCGTCGACAATGAGAGCACTCACCTACAAGGCAGCCCAGCTCCTCCTTGCAGATGGTGAGTTCCCCTTTGAACTTTGCTGAAAGATCCTCATGTTGTGCATATGGCGCTCAGCGCTCTATCCAACCCAATCCTCGCAAGCACGCTCGACGAGAAGAGCTGTCAGATGATCCTTCTCGCTTTGCACCAGTCTCTGGAACCCTCGATCCAGATAGTGGCAGCAAAGCTACTGACTCACTTGTCTACTGGTCATCGAGCAATCGTCCAACCACTGGCATGGTCCCACATCCGCCAATCCCTCAGTCTCATGGACTTTTTGCAAAACATCGACCCCACTCGAGCCATCGTCGAGGCGTGCATCATCAGCAATCTTCTGTGAGTGCTGGAGAGACCTGGCTAATCAGACCTGCATTACCCCCAAGCGTCCACACGAAATACGTTCGTCCCGTCAAGACCCTCATCCTTCTTGGCCTGGAGCGTACTCACGAAAGCCATATACTCAGCCTCATCTTCCAAGGCTTATCCAATCTCGCGAGGCACGGTAGCTGGCAGTCGATGCAGCAAACCCAGCTCGCGATTGATCTCCTCGACATGTCGCAGGAGATACCCAAAGACGCGCAGCACGCCGCGCTTAACGCCATTGCCCGTCTCCTCGCTGCTCCCCAACACCGTATGGACGGTTACGAGCTATTGACTACGGTGCATTCGACATTCCGCAAGAGCTCCAACCTGGACCCAGATTCCAAGGCGCTAGTCGCGGGGATTTACGGACATCTGGGCACAATTGAGAGGAATCCCGTCATCAACAGAGTGAGTTAACTCCCGGATCTGCTGATGTCAGGACTCCAAAGCGGCCATCAACCGAGAAAATGCAATCTACGATGACCGCAAAGTCCTCCAGTCTCAAGTGGCGGAGGCACGAGACAAGACGGGCGCAGTGAGACATGTCACTGGGCTGGTGTCCAAGGCGTTGATGGGGGCTAAACTATCGGAGGAGGTTCTCGAGGCGATGACTGGACTGGGGATACTGCAGCCGGGAGCGACGCTGGTCCCCGATCTCCCCTCCATCATCATCCGCGAAACCCACGCCAGCCTCGACCGCAAAGCCAAACCACACGCTCTTGTCATCTTTCTCTCGGCGGCGCTACACTCTGCGCCTCATTGGCTGCAGCAGCACTGGGGGGAATCTGCCGAGCTGATGAGTAGATGCATCGCGGAAGGGGAGGTGCTGTCGGTGATGCGGGGTTTGGACGTTGTACTTAGTTGTGCGTAGCGGAGCGGAATTGACTGTGAGATAGGCGAGGAGACTCTACTCGTATGTATTATCTGATACAATGTCAACGTCCACCCCTGCCCTGAAAGTCGCCAGAGGCCTCGACGAGGGACGGCCGCAGGATGGCTAGCTCAAGTTTCTTCCTCAGCACACTAACAATGCGCCTGTTAGAAGGCTCAGACTGCAATCGCACTTGCCACTCGTCGTTGCAGCATAAATACTGACGGTACTCAGCGCACTGACCGCTCAGCTCATCCCGCGTTGCTACCTGCTATTACAGACAGGGAGCCAGGGGCTGTGACTGTCAAGCTTGCCTTTGTTCGCCTCCTTTCACCTGTATGTACCCCTGTATGAAAAGATGGGTGGTACAATGGGACAAGATCACATCCCCCTATACAGTGGCTATATAAGTCGCGACGCCGTATAGTCAGACAGTGAGCATTGACTTGCTACCTTCAAGATGTCCGGACAGCTTTTCACGACTGTAGACGAAGACATACTCTCCTCCTCCCCGGGCATGGCACAGCTTCCAGTCCGCCTGCCCGCAGGGCATCCCTCCCATCACGTCTGCTCGATGCCAATAGACCAGCCAGATCACACACCTCCTGATTCCACTCACGCCCCGCCTAACTACTCATACCAGGTCCTTGTCCATCCCATGCCCTCTACTGCAGGTCCTCCCATATCGCACACCTCACTACCCAGCTACAGGCTGCTTCCCCAATCCGCCGAAGCCATTCTCCTCCTCGCACCCCCACCTCGGTATTGCCACTGTACCTGCGATGCCGAGTCGCAAATCCACGCGCACGATACTTGCGGCAGGCGAGCAACACAGAGTCGGGCCGGTGATTTGGTGGTCACCACGTTGATTGTGCTCAACGTGTTGGTGTGGGCGGCGGTGGTGTGGGGCTTCTATACAGAGTGGACGCCTGTAACGGGCGAAGGCTATGAGGACCTAGGTGGTGTCGTGTTTCTATACTAGTCTTTACGAGGATTAGGTTGTACGATGTAAAATTATGCAAGATATATGCGAGCTACAACATCGGCGACATTGGTTTCAGCGTTGCGAATTCTCCTTCATGATCTGACGCCTCTGCCAATCCTCCTCGGCCTTCTTTGATCTGCGCATTAGCGACGCCAGGACAGATACTCACCTCCACTCGCAGCCCTCCTCAAACTCGCACCACCCACATCGACCCGTATCCTTCAGTTGCACCCCGATGGGCTCCCTCTGGCCATGCCAATACTGCAGAATCGAAGCCAAGTGCCGCTCCAGCAGTTCAGTATTGTGTTGGAAGCGGTGTCGGCCTATGATGGAGCCGGACGTCGTTCCAGTGGATGGAGGGGGAGTAGGAGAAGAAGAACGGCTTCTCGCGGTGCCGGGGCTCGCTTGAGGGGAAGGATCCACGACGGGCGCAGGGGGTGGAGCAGGGACATCGCTCCGCTGTGACAGCGGTACGGCCACCTCGCCGGGCGTATCATCCAGCTGAGCATCCACCAGACTCATCTCCACCGCCCAAGCGATCTCAGCGTCCTCCCGTTCCTCGTCGGATGTGCGGTCCATGTGGTACTCGCTGAGCTGGCTCGACGGTCGGACGATCGACAACGGCAGCTCCCCGGCGGCGAGTATTACGTGTACATCCGCCAGAGGGGTACCGTCTATTCTGTCCGCGGGGCGTGGTGGGTCGCTGAGGACTTCCTCGGACCCAGCTGCCTCCTCCTGGAATTGTGGAGCAGTCTTGAGTGACTCCTCGATAGCGAGCTGGACGAGCCGCTCTTCTTCGGCGACCCTCGCTTCTTCCGCCTTTTCTTTCACTCCAGGCTCGGCCTCCGCCATCTCGTCATCCCCATCATCCGCCATCTTATCTTGCCGTCTTCGCTTGCTCTTCCCTTTGGTCTTCTTCTGCCCAGCTCGACGATAGACCAACTCCAGTCTCGTTTCGGTACGTCCGCCGTTATCGTCCGCTTTCGCCTTGCCCTTTGCTTTGGCAGACTTTGCTGGCGAGGACGGGCCCACGGTAGAGGGCGACGAAGGGGTACCGAGGCCGAGCTCGACGACGTACCGCTCCCAGACGACGACCATATCGCTGAGGTTGCGTGCGCTGGACGCGCCCATCCGTAGACCATTCCCGGCGATTATGGGAACGCTTTGCGATAAAAAGCGGTCCGAGAAGGGTTCCGCCGGATCTATTGAGAGATGACGGAAGACCGAGTCAAAGGCGAGGGGTCTGGCGGAGGGCCGATTGCTGGTACTTGCGGTGGGTTCTTCGCTGAGCCCGCCGCCGCTTATAGAGGAGATGCTCGCCACGGATCCGCTGGTGGACGCCGAGAGGAGCATTGCGTCCAATAGCTCTTTGTACATCATGCACTGGAGCTGTCCGGCTAGGGTGTCTTCCTCCTTGGGCAAGCTGTCCTTTGCCCGAGTTTTGGAGTCGGACACGTAGACCTTGTGCGTCCTGGGACGTTCGGTGATAGTCGGCTGGGGACGGGGCTTGGTGGGCGAAAAGAAGGAGGTGAGAGCGGTCTGGCGGGTCGACCTGGTCTGAGGCTGGTCGGCAGACTTGTCGATAGGTTTGCGCTGCAGCTCGTCCTGCGGCTCAGCCTATAGCTCCTATACACGCTTTAGAACTCACAATAATACCAGTCACAAGCATACCCCCAACGAATCCGACAACAGGGACTTCACGACATGTGCCGAGCGTAATGAGCGCTTCCATGGCCGCTAGCATGTTGAGGAATCTAGCGATCAGCAAACGCAGATCGGACAAGTTATCTGGCTCACCTCAACCCCCATACTTCTTCCCTACTATCAGTGACTACGACGATCTCCTCGGGGTGTATCTCCCTCTCTAGCCGCTTATGAATCGTCTAGGTATCAGTAACAAGCCGACATGACGGCTCACCTGGCCTCGCCGGACTATCCGTTCTCTCCCTGCCTCTTTCACTTTGTTAACGGCAATCTCCTTGCCCTTATCCGAGGTGATGACGGCTGGTCGCTTATCAGGCGGAAGATATGGAAGGGTGCGCAAGCGGCTGACTCGTCAGCCCAGGCTCCCAGGCGATCATACACACGATTCACCGCCTGAAGGTGCTGCAGACTTACTAATCGTACTGGTCGTATCAGCTGTGCGGTCATATCCGTGAAAGAAAACGTACCTGTACTTCGCACCATACTGTTCCCACCAGATCACTGACGCTGAGATACTTGTGCCGCCTGAACCGCTCGAACGGGGAGAGAAGCGGCGCCGGCGTATCTTCTATGTCCATCGGCCCGGACTCGAGGACGGTGGAGAGTGCGGTGACAGCCTCGCCTTTGCTGTCGAGCCTTACCATCCGAGGGTCCGAGCTAGACGGCGAGGATGATCGCAGACCGACTTGCGACTCTGCAGCTTGCAGGATAGCTTCTAGGTCATCGTCGTATTCGATATCCTCGCCATAGTCCTCCTCCACATCGCCCGTGGGGAATGGCGGCTGCGGTAGAACCGCCTCGGAGGTATCTATAGCATCTAATTCCATCGCGACGGTGGCCGGTGCTACTGTAGGCTATGGAGCAGTCGGGGTCTCAGAGGGAATGGCAAGGGAATAAAGAAACGCTCAAATTGTCAACAAAGGCGGTTGACCGGACGAGGAATGTGGAGGTGAATTCCACCGTGGAAAGCGCGACGGATGCACCATCATGATCCAGATGGAATCGACATCAGATCTTTGGTGCTAAGCTCCTCATAGGTCGGACTGCTCCAATTTGCGCTAGTGCAACTCGATAGGCGCATCCATGGCCGAGTTCCAGAGTTCCATGCCTGGATGGAGCTAAGCATTCTTGCGAGGGGTGAACCTGAAACTTGTGCGGAAAACAGTGTATCCATAAAGAGGGCATTCTAAAATGATGGTAGGGGGCGGAGGGGGAGGTATGGGAAGGTATATACATGCGGGGGAGAGGAGGCGTATCACTCGTGTACGAGTCGATCCGTTTATCCGGAACCACCCTGTCTGATTAGCCTACTTCGTTCCCACCAAGAACCAAATCAACTTACAGCGTAGACCTTGCCGAACATGAGCTCCTGGAGCTTGTCGTACATGGACAAGACACCGGCACCGGCAACACCACGGAGAATGTTGGCACCCGCACCCTTGAACAGGGAGCGGACACCCTCCTTGGCAACGATCTGGGAAGCAGCGTCGAACATGGACTTGTAGTGGACGGCACCGCCGGAAGTCATCATCATACGACGACGGATGGTGTCCAGGGGGTACGAAGCGAGACCGGCACCGGTGGTGACCGACCAACCAAGAGCGAAAGAGGCGAGGAAGTTGCCCTCAAGAGGACCAACAAGGACGACGGGCTTGATCGAGTCGTCTAGCAAATTAGCGTTCTTTTTCTAATATCTTCTTGCGGGAGGTTTCAAAAGGGCAAATTTAGATTGTCACTCACAAAGACCGAAGTAGAGACCACGGTAGACAATGATACCAACAACGGACGGGACGAAACCACGGTAAAGACCGGCAATACCGTCGGAAGCGAGGGTCTTGCGGTAGACATCGACCAAACCGTTGAATTGGCGGGAACCGCCCTTGGTGGCGGACTTGTTGTCGTTGGCAAGACGGGTACGGGCGTAGTCGAGAGAGTAGACGAAGAGGAGCGAAGTCGCACCGGCGGCACCACCCTGAAAGTCAGGCCACATTCCTAAAAACCCCGCGAAAAACAAGACTCACGGAGGCGATGTTACCACCGAACCACTTCCAGTAACCATCCTGCTTCCTGAAGCCGAAGAGGGACTTGAAGTAGTCCTTGAAGGCGAAGTTCAAGGCCTGGGTGGGGAAGTAACGGATGACGTTGGCGGTGTTACCACGCCAGAGCGCAGCCATACCCTCCTCACGGTAGGTTCGGCCGAAGCAGTCACCGATACCCTTGTAAGGGGTAGCGAGACGGCCCTGCTTGATCCTTCATTGTCAGCGCCAGTCAGGAAGCTAGGGCAAGGCGAAAGAGCTCACATCTCATCCTGGTTCTGGACCAAGAGCTTGATGCGCTCAATGGGGGCAGCGGCGGTCTTGGCGACAGCGGCCGACACACCACCCATCAAGAAGTCGGTCAAGAATGCCTTGGCATCCTTGGGCTTTTTCTGCTGAATAACCGGTGCGGACATCGTGAATCTGAGTATCAGTTGCTGCTCTATCGAAGTAGTCCTTCTGAGGTATGCAGTCTTTTTTTTCGAGCACCCCGGCGAGCGGGCGACACTCGCGGATTGTTCTTTTGGGGGAAACGAGCTGTGAGAAGGGCTGCTGTACGTACCTCTTTTCGTCTACTATGAGCCCGGAAGAGAGAGAGAGAGAGGTAGAGTGGTGGATGAGGAGAAGTAAGAAGAGAAAAAAGTGTACTCGGAGACGCGGGCGGAGAGGAGAGAGCAGGGGGAGGGGCCGCTCCTTTCCGGATATTCCCGAGCAGGACCCTGAATGTGGCACTTTGACTTTCTCTCTCTCGGCTTTTCGGACCGTCGGCGGCTTTATCCGCTCAGCGCTTTAGTCAAGGCATCAAGAAGGCATGCATGCGAGGAAGGAGCGGCATCGCTGATGCAAGTTCCTCCAGTACACGTAAAAAGAGCTGCCACGAGCTCGTATCCTCCCATATCACGAAGCGCAGAAGTGCATGTCATCACCCAGATCCGGCCCTGCCGTTCCGCGCAAAATCGTCGCATTCAATTGATCTTGGCATTGGACTACCTCGTCAGCAGCCGCTTCCTGTATTTGACTCGTACAATTGCACTCACAAAGTCCATCTCGGGGTGCGCAGCCTTGAACTTCTCCATCATATCCAGCTTCTTTTGCTCTTCAGATGTCGGCTTGCCCATCATCTTCGCAGTGTCAGCTTCGAGACTCGCAAAGGGACTGTTGGCCTACTTTCTGATTGTTATCATACTGCGGAGTCAGCCCCAGCTACACTTTAGGGAGAGTCGTGGTACCGTCCAGCAAAGAGCAGGTACCTACCATCATCTTCTCCACCATCCCCCTGGTTTCTCCGTCCAGCTCTGACAGCTTGGAGTTTTCAGGCTGAATCTTCTGAGTATTGATCTTAGGAGCGTTTGTCAACACATGTGGCCACCATTGATGTGACTTGATGTGTGCGCTGGACGTGTCAGCTGAGCGATTGCAAGGACGAGGGAGATTCAGCCGCCGACGGATCAACACCAAAGGTTGGAGGATGAGTAGGGCACCTACGAAAGCTTTTCCAGCTCGATATTCAGTACATCATCCTCTTAGATGTCAGTATGTGTGATATGAGTTGTCGTTCTCTGCAGACAGGGTCAGCGCCACTCACGGACAGTCCAAGACGAATCGTCAACAGCGATGTCATTGAAGAGGTCACCATCCATGATTGGATCTGCCGATGACTTCAGCTGAACCTGATGATCAAGTCAGTCCATTTCACTTAATGGACCTCTGAGACGTATCATGGCGACTCCTTGGGGACATCGCACGAGAGGCTGACCTTTAATTTGCGCCGCTGCATAACGACGTTGAGATCTTTCGCGCGGGTACCTTTCGGCAATGGCACCGCGACGGAGACCACCTGAAGATCTTGTGACCATTGATAAGGAAGAGCTGGCGGTCAGCTAGTGCGATCTGAGTGGGTACGGGTTCCCGGGCGACTGACCGGCTTGCTCTTCCTTCTCACGCGCGGCCTCTGCCAGATCATGCGCATCACGGTCCTCCTTGGACATGTCGTCGTATGCCGTCGACGCCATATCGCTCCCGATTGCGGATGGCGTATTGTTGGGATGAGGGTCAAAGCTGACTGCGGTAGATCCCTTGTAGCCTTCTATGATGAGTGATGTACAAAGTCAAGAGGGACAAAGGTGGACCTGCCGAGTGGAGGGATGAGGTGTTGATGACGGAATCTTTTCCCCTCACCTCACCTCCCTTGCTATACTGTACGATTTGCACCATTCATCTCATCTTTCCTATCTTATCCCTTTGCACTTGTACTCCTCCTTCTTTCCTCTCTGTAGTCACTTGACAGCTGTATAGGGCAGCAGTCGTGGGCGGAGAGATATCGCTCTGAAAAGAGCTCGCCGACATGGCGCAGCCGAACCCAGACTGGAGCGACTTCCAGGTGGGTCTTCTACGGCAAGGATCGGCTATAGCGAATCCTCATACTGACGCCGACAGTGGTACACTGACTCCTACCTTCCCAGGCAGACGGTAGCCACCCTCAGGGGCTTTGCCGACATCATCCAGAATCAGACCGGTCGCTATCTCGGTCTCAAGAACAGCGAGCTGAAGGCGTCAGTGGTCAGAAAGTGAGCATGTCGCGCTGTGACTGCGCAGTGACACAGACTGACCGATGCAGAGTGGCGGGAGGCTTTCAACATATGAAGGACGCAGGCCAGTACGAGACGTATCGGACGACGAGGCAGTTGTGCGAGCAGAGAGGAGCTCCAGTCGCGGCTTATCGGTACCCCCCGCCGCAGGTACCAATACCGACATTTGGCGGTGCAGTCCCACCAGCAGCTTATCGTGAGCCATTTTTCCCGCTGGGCGGACTGGGCTGAGGCTCAGCACGGCCATATGTCAACCCATCGGCCCTGCACCAGCTTCCCGTTCCCTCCTCATCGCACGCTGGCTACTCGGCGGCAGCGCGTGCACCCCTACAATTGGCAGATTGGAAAGCCAGCCCGATGTGGAGACCGATCATGGCCGCCACCAATATCGAGATGCTGCCAGAGATTGGGGTACAAGAGAATAGCCATGTCCGGAAGGAGAGGAAGGTGACTTTCACCATGTCGGCGTTGATGTCCGAAAAGCTACTACAGACCAAGTAAGTACTTGGCTAGGTTCTGGCTGACAGGAGAACAAATCCTTCTGCGTCTCCTTCGCACTCCCTCCGTCTGTTCTGCTCGTCAAGCGAGTACTTTCGCCCGCCGCAAGAACGAATCACCTCCCTCAACTCGACCATCACAAACAAGTCGATACCGATCGATTACCCCGCCGTCCCAGATGTCAGGGTCGACGACTTGTCAATACCTTTCAAGGAGCGGGGTCTGAGAGGGAAGGCCGGAAGTGCACCACCGTTCGATTTGGGCAAGAGCTCGAGGGGGTTGCAGCTGGCCCCTGGGCGGTTGGGCAGTGTCACCTTTGGACATACGGGCGCATCGACCGGGAAGCGGAAAGATATAATCAAGGTGAGCCCTCAGTTCTGGCACTTGGACATTCAGCTGATACCTGCAGAAATTCTACTTTCAGATTGTGCTGGTCGAATGGACGGACAAGGATGCTCTGGTCAAGAAGCTCCTGGATCTGCCCGTGACGCCGTTGGAGCAGTGTCTAGACATGGGTGAGTGTCCTCGTTACGAGTAGGATTTGTGCTGAGATCATAGCCCGGAAAAAGCGCGAAGGAAGTGACGATATTGAAGTGGGCTCCTCGAGGATGTCGCTCAAAGATCCCGTAAGTCGCCACCTATGCTTCAAGAGCTCGTCTGATTTGGCAGCTCTCCTACATCCGCATCACACAGCCAATCCGCTCCACCAAATGTTCACATCAGCAATGCTTCGACGCCAAGTGGTGGGTCGAAAGCAACGCAGTTCACCCCCAATGGCATTGCCCTTTCTGCAACAAGGAGCTATTCTTCGCCGATCTGATCGCCGATGGGTGAGTTGATCCAGCAGAGCTGCTCGACCCAGACTGACGTCCAGATTCTTCTTGTCAATACTGCAAGCAGTACCAGAAGCGATAGAGGAGGTCATCCTCGAGTCGGACGGCGAGTGGCATAGCGAAGACAACAAATACGGGTCTCCCGCATGGCTCGCCTCTCGCTCGGCTCCTGTAGCAGAACCTGAGGCCAAGCCAGTCATCACCGGCAAGACCAACGGGTACAGCGCTCGGGAGCTGTCACCGTCCACCTCGCCGGTACCTCAGGCAGCAGGATCCGATAGCAAGGGCAAGCGGAAAGCCATTGAAATCCTATCCTCGGATGACGAGGATGGACCCCTCGCTCGGCCTGGCACAATCTTTTCCCTTCCTCCCTCCCTCCGACCCTCTGCTCAGCCTCGCGGCTCCTCTTCCTCCCGTCCCTCGGCCGCTCCCAATGACCAAAGCGTCATCGACCTCACGCTGTCAGATAGCGACGACGACGTTGCGGGCCCAAGCAATCGCGGTGGAGCCGGCGGAGGCGAGGCGGATTTTCGTTCTCCGGGCGCCGGATTGACGGGTCGCAGCGCCGCCGGCGCCGCAGCTCGTCCTCCCCCGGCTCGCAACTCTTCTGACCGGAATGGTCAGAACGGCGAGCTGGACCCGAGCGTCCGGGACCGCAGCGGAGGGATGAACGGGGGAGGGTATGGCGGAGCGGGAGGTTCGCATCTCGCCGCGCACTTCTACTCGCACGATGATGGGCTGGCGATGGGATCGTATCGAGACGGTGTGGATGCGTTTGATGCGTGGGACGACGGGGAGGCTGGACCGGGAGCGGAATCGCGGTACCGTACGTAGACTCTGCTTATACTCTGCATGTTTGTTGTACTTTGTCGTTGACGCGTGTCCTTTTTTTCCATTACAGAAGTTGGCTCTTCATCTCGACTGGCAAGGCCCGAGGCTGCGGCATCCGGTGCATCTTCCCGCCCCATCACCCCTCCACTTCCCCCTGACATCAGGCGCCGATATGCCGTCTCTTCCTCGGTCGAGTCTGACGCTCCCGCTCAACGTCCTGCCACTCCGCCTTTACGTCCTCCCACTCCACCTCTACGTCCTGCCACTCCGCCTCTCCCATCCCTTGCGCCGCCGGATCGGCCACTCACTCCGCCTCTCCCGGAGCTGCGGCAGCAACGCATGGTCTCCGATTCGCCTCCGGTTGCGACTCCGCCGCTATCCGAAATTCCCTCATGACTGAAATCAACTCGTGGTAAATGACGGTGCTGCAAGGTGGTCAGGCAATGCCGCAGCAGGCACGATCTCTCTGTACGACTGCAACGAATAATGTCAACATATCGTAATGTATACATCTATGAGGCTGTTTGAGCGTCCAACCTGAAGAATTCGAGCTTCATTAGGTGGTCCAAGCGCTCCCCGTACGGCTTAGGGCCAGCCCCATGTGGCGTGAAGCACTCGTCGAGCGCCACGTTCAGCGTGGCTCCGCGCACTAGCATGCGGGCGAAGCTGTATCATCAGCTACCCGCTCGTCGCCTACATCGATACAATTTTCACTCACAAAGCGGAATTTGCACCGTAGTCTGATAGTGTCAGCTTGTTGTCAAAGCAAGCTGATCAGCGGACTCACTGCCAGACCTGCAAGACTTGTTTCCTTGTCTGAAGACGTCAGCTCGCTTCTTGGCCGGCGAAGCGAGATCTCTCGACTAACAGTGACTGTGCATGTCGAGCGCGGTAGTACGGCAAGCTTCGATAGCATCGTCCAGTCTATCATCATGTCAGCATGTCGACTCGTATCTGGCCGATAAATGGAAACTGACGACACAGTATGCTGTCCCTCTCCGGCCATTGCAAGCTGCGCCGCAGTAACGGCCTTGACAGCTGGTAAATCAGCACAATCCTTGTAATTATTATAAAATGGCTTACCGCCCAGGCTGTTCCGCTCAATACAAGGTATTTGAACGAGGCCTCCCAGTGGATCACACGTCAAGCCCAGATTATGTCTGCAACGTCAGCTCCCGCTCAAACCTTGGATGGAGAGGAGAGGACTTGCTCTATCCCAATCTCGGCCGCTTGAAGAATGACGGCGGGTTCAGCGCCTAAGCAAGCCGCGATAGCTCCTGCCTATCACATGAGCTCCTCCTTCGCCACCACAATGCTACGGGAGTGACGAGCAACTCACACTCATCGAACAAGCGACCCCGACTTCTGCCATACATCCGCCCTCGGCCGCAGAGATTGTGGCTCCCCGCTTAAAGAGCATTCCGATGGCTGACGCGGTAAGGAGGAAGGTCATGATGCTGATGGCCGATCAGCTGACCAACATGATCTACGAGTAGCTGCACGACTCACTCTCGTTCTGGCGAATGGGATATGAACTCGGTCACGTATTTGAGGGTTGCAGGAATGACACCCGCGGCACCGTTCGTCCTGGAGATCAGCTGCAACCCCTTTGCCTTTCCCAGACAATATAACTAACGGGGCAGTCACAACTCTCCCTCCTGCTGCGTTGACCTCATTAACTGCGATAGCCATACAGCTCAGATACTCGATACCCGGAAAGACAGGAGTCGTGCGGAAGGGAACGACCTGAAGCGGGTGGTCCGCCCGACCGACCCGCTTGGCGATACCCTTCTCTGTCGATGCTGATCCGTCCGGGTTGACGGACGACAAGTCGGACGACGTAGCTCGGTTGATCTCGACTGTAGGGTAGAAGCCTTTCTGCAGACGTCGGTAAAGTCCCGGAGCGCGACGGCGGACCTTGAATGGGCCAGGCAAGACGGGCTCGAGTGAAGTGACGCCGGTCCGAATGCAGCTGTCCATCACTTCCCACACTGACGATCAGCCCGGGCTCATGCGTTCAGGTATGGGGAGACTTACAGCCTAAGAGACCGGCCCTGATCTCGTCCGCACTGCGGAAGGCCAGCTCGTTCTCCCATACGACCTGCGCGATGGTCATGTCCTGCTCGAGGCAGATCCGATTCAGCTCCTCGGCCGTGGCGAAAAGGAAGGGAGGTCGGCCTGAGAGTTCCGTGCCCGACGTTCTCGTTCCGCCACCTGCAGTCTGCTTTCCAGCTGAACCCACTCCAATTTCGGGCAGTAGAAGCTGCCCGCCATCACTGGCATCCGCTTGTTCCATGCCGTGCGTTTGATCCTTCCGGCTGGCCTCGACGTCCTCCTTGTCGATCCCCATGTAGTACATGTTCTCGGCGGTCTGAGTCTCTTCGTTGATGACAAAGCCACCGCCAACGCTGAAGAATTCGTTGGTCGCGAGCATGTCGCCTTCGTTATTGAAGACTGTGAACCGGAGGCCGTTCGGATGAGCGGGTAGCGGGTTGAGGTGCCAAGTCTGATCTATCAGCCCTTACTCATGTTCGTGGTAATTAGAAAGACATACCAGATCCCTATCCAGATCAAACTTGACCCTCTTCGTCCCTTTCCCATGCCCAAGCCCCAAGCTCAACCCACCAGCATCCTTGACCTCATCCATCACTCGTTCCAGCCTACCCACCTCTACCGTCTCTGGATCCTCGCCCATGAGACCTAGAAGTGTTGCATGGGGCGTCATATGGCCCATACCCGTCGCCGCGAGCGAGCCATGGAGGGAGCATTTGATAGACGCGATATGGGGGTGGATATGGGCTGGAAGTGAATGGACAAAGATCTTTGCAGCTCTGGGGCGTCAGCTGAATTCACTGGTACTTATGCGAAAATCGCAGCTGTATATCTACCTCATAGGCCCGACGGTATGGCTTGAGCTGGGGCCAACGCCAATGGAGAACAAATCGAATGTTGAAATCACAGCATGCTCGGCGCGTACTCCGAGCGGCTTGCCATCCTTCTTGTCCTTGATCACCGGGTGGGCAGAGAGCAAGGAGCTTTCGCTAGCCGCGGTCGAGGAGTACAGCCGCTTCGAGCGGAACGAGGTAGCAAAGGGGTACCCAGATATTGAGGAAGGGTGATATGGTCGGAGGAGAAGCGTTCCCGTTCGAGTTTTGGCGCTCTGGGCGTCAGCGCTCGAGCCTCGCTACTGCTGTTGTACGGCCCCTCGACCGACCTACAAAAAGATCAGTCCCCAAGCGTGACGCCCTCCTCATTGCTCTCGTCTGTCCCATCATCACGAGCGCGGACATCGAAGTTAGTGATAGGTCAGTCGCGCGAGTATGATCTCTAAAGCTGAAGTCGCTATCGCGGAATGATGTACAAGGGCAACGCTATCACTCGAGTCGCGCTGTATCTCCTCTCCCCCCTAAGCGACGTGTGTGTGTGCGATGGGATATCATGCGGAACTGCCGATAAGAAATCATAAGTTGATGGCCAATCTACCGCGCTTCATGGGAAATTCTAATTTCCCCCGCGTTTCAGAGTTGGAAATGCGGGGAGTCTCCACGACCCCCCAGCTACCGAGCTGATAGCAGCTTACGCACCAGGGCGGTAGATCAGCGGTCCGGCACAGAGATGTAGGAGTTCATCGGCCCAGCTGCATAGCCCGCGGCACGAAATAAGCTACAATAGCTAGCTACCGTACATACAAAATAGGTGGTGGCTATTGTCCGCAACTATAGATGAGGTTTTAGATGAGTAGCTCATACAATGACAACGTTCTCGCTCCCCTAGACCTGCTATATCACCGCCAACACGCCCAGCAAGCCCATCGTCAAGCTCAACCCGCCCAGCGCCCCCGTTCTTCTCCCCGCTCCGCTGATCGCCTTGTTGTTCCGGCCCAACTCCCCAGCAGGCCCATTCTGCCCATTGCTCGTCTCCAACACCTTGGGATCTACTGTTGCCGATCCCCAACCAACGATGGTGGTCTCGAACGCGGACTTGCTCGCAGGCTGAGGCGAGGACAATGCCAGAGCCTTGTCCGTGAGGTAGACGACGGCGATAGCGGGAGCTGGGACGGGGACGATACAGAGCGAGTTTTGGCATGTGATTGTCTGAGTGACGACCTGTCCGTGTAGTTGCCCGTCCGAAGCGTAAGACGCGCCCATCGTCTGTCCCGCCCAGGTGATATTGTCATGCTCCGCGACATTGTTCGCGAGGAAGTACCGTACGTGGACCGACCCAGCGAGGTTGCCACCCGGGATGGAGAGTGTCGCCTGGTAGGTCGACGCGCCCGAGGGGTCACTGGCAAAGTTGAAGAGGACCACCCGCGAAGGCACATCGTCCTCGTAGACGGCGTAGGCGGGGTGCAGGTCGGTGTGTGCGTCGCCCTGGACGTCGAGATCGGTGATGCGGGAGGTGTTGGATTGACCAAAGATCTCGGCAACGAGGAGGGTCGAGTAGTAGACCGAGCCGGTGGTCCACTGGTACACGTTTGTGAGGTTTCCAGGAGGAGGTGTGAAGGGCTATATCATCAGCAATAGAGCTGAAAATCGCACAGGGTAAGCTTACATTGTAGTAGACGTTCTGACCTCCGACGTGCATGAGGGCAGTGGTGAAGTTGTAGGATGCCATCTGAAGAGCCCAGTCGGTCATCCTGATCGTCAGCCAAGATCCTTTACATTCAAAGCCAAACTCACCACAAGGCCGCACCGAAACTCGTCGACAATCCCGGAAACCCTCCACAACTTGCCGTGTTCATCTCCAGCATGACCAGATCCTTCCCTGCTCCCGCCGCCACCGCCGCCTCGTCGGCGTACTGCGACGTCAACGACTTGGCACTGGTGTGGTTCAGGTACTCGGCAAAGATGGACTGTGGGTCGATGGGCCGTCCGTTGAGCTGACAGTTGTTGTTTGGGTAGTGCTGGACCGAGATCTGAGCGAGCTTGTGCGCGTTGGCGACGAGCCAGCCGGTATTGACGATATCGGGCAGCTCGAAGCCTACGCGATTGCAGCAGGTCGAGGGCCCGATAAACATGGCCTGGTTGGACGGGCTGTTGCTATCGAGAACGTGCTGACTGACGGTCGTCCATTCCGAGTTGTAGTCGTTCGGTCCCCATCCTGCTGGTCTGTCTCCGTGATCGGTGTACCTGAGCATCAGTTCCGCCGCGCCAAAGCAATCAGGCAACTCACAGATCCGGCTCGTTCCCCAAAGCCAATCCTCGCAGATTACCTCCCAATATCCTCTGCGCATAGCTCGCCGCCAGCGGGATGTTTTGCCAGTCCATCAACGCATCGGTATAGTTGAAAGCCAGACCAAAGTACCATTCCGCGTGGGTCAGGCGACTGACATTTGCCATGGTATACAACAAGCCAGGGGCATAGTTGATCCATGGCGTCGACGTCGGTCCCGACCCCTCCGTCCTAATCTTCTCCACCACCTTGCCGTTACCAAACCCCTCTGGGTAGATGGTGGAGCTGTCCTGAGTATTTCCGCCCACACGGATCACCGCGCCTGCGCCCGCCCGGACTTGGATGTTGTTGAGATAGTTGAGAAACTCGGGGCGGAGGTGGTCCCCGCTCGGACCCATCAGCGTGTCCGCTACCGACAATTCGACCGAGAAGCCGAGGAAGTTGCCTTTTTGCGGCACCGATAAGGAGAGATTGGAGGCGTGGAGAGCGGCCGAGTTTGGGGGGATGGGAATATTGACAGCGGTGACGGCTGGCGAGGGGGGTGTGGGGGGGATAAGCTGGAGTGGGTCGTAGATAGGAAGACCCGTCCATGATGCTGATGCCGCGCGGGATGTGACTGTGGTCGAAGGGGAGGGTTTGTCCGTGTATACGGTAAGTTGCGCCGATGTGAGGTGGACAAAGGCGAGGGAGAGGAGGAGGGTGAAGAGGGTAGAGGAGGTCGCCCTGGGTATTCTCCGGCTACGGCGTCCCGCTGGCGGCGGTAGCCTGGGGGAGGTGGCCATGGGGATCGCGGAGGTGGATGCTTCGTGCGGAAGAGGCATTGTCGAGCTGGGTAGGGGGGATGAGGGCTGAGGAGCGGTGCAGCGTCGATGCACACTAGACGATCGGATGCTCCTGTGTGGACGGAACTGCAGAGCGGATGTTTTGCCTAGCAGGTGGTGGATGGTGGTTTGATGATACCGAGTAGATCGACGTGGCTCGAGAAGCAGTCGGATGTGCGATTGACGAAGGACGAGAGGAGAGGACTGGGCGGGCAGGAACAACAAGGGCGAATTAAAAAAAAAGGCTTGGCTGTGTTTGAAACGCGTGAGAGAGTCCAAGCGTGTGTGATATAACGAGTGTCTATAAGCGGGGATGAATGTATTATAGTATAAGGTGAATGAAGGAGAGTGATGGTGGTGGGTGTAGTCGTGTGCGATGAATTATAGGAGAGCTAGAGAAGTGCTGTAAAAAGCAGCGGGAGAAGAGAGAGAGACGCTGGCTGTCTGACTCTCTGCCGTGAGGAGCCAAACAAACACAGCGCAGGGGCGAAGAGCGGGGCCAAGCCTCAAGCTCTTTCAGGGTCCGCGTTTTACCTTTTTCCTTGCGTGTTTCGCCGTGTTTCGACTCTGACGTCAGGGTAGATGAAGCACGTACGTAAAGCAGCTGGACCCCACAAATTTCGAGGGTTGTGCGATTGACGCTACCAGATGCTTGGATAGTGCTTGGGACTGTGAGAGCAGCCTGTCGAATAGAAGCCAAGACTCTGTTCCCCGCTGATGATAGTCAGCCTGCAGCCGCTGCACCATGACCTGCGCACCAGAGCGTTGATTGGGGCTGAAGAAGCGCTCGCATCTTTCCTACCCGAGGCCAATGTCAGTTCTTGCGGTCGATAGTCGCACGCCTCGCTCACATGTACATTCGCGTATCCACAGTGCCTAGGAGCTCAGGCCATGTGGATCAACGCACCGGCCGACCTCACAGAGCGCCACGCCCAGATTCTGCTGAGGAATGAGTCGCACAACGCACGGGCCAGGCCTCCACCTCTCTCGGGTTGACTGGACGATATTTCCAGAAGGTTCGATACCTTCACTGCATCAATCACACATCTTTGACCAAAATGTCAGGGCCAGAGACGCCTCTCCCGAGGTACGCTTGCTCTTCGGTAGCTCAGCTAGCGATGGCTGACGCAGCAGGCACGATTTCTATCAGAACGAGGAGTATGTCATCGTCGCGGTGTACATCAAGGGCTTGAACGTTGAGGGTGTCAAGGAGAAGGTGGACATCAGCTTTGAAGATAAGCAGGTGAGCTCTCTGAAGTAGCAAGTTCGGCGTCCGGGAGCTGACCGCCTCAGGCTACTATCGTCCGGCCTAATCCTGAGGCTGAAGGGGAGAAGTTGACCGTCAAGCTGGGACCTCTTTATGCCGGGATCAAGGCAGATGAGAGCACGAGTCGTATCCTCAGCAGCAAGGTGAGTCACGCTGCATTCAGACCTTACACGGATGTCCCAGTCAGCAATGGGTGGAGTGATGAATGAGCTGACATGTTAGATCGAGCTCAAGCTCCGCAAAGCCGAACACATCGCATGGACAACTCTCCTCTCCACGCCCGAAAGTGCCCCGCCGCGAGTCCTCAGCCAGGCCCCACCCGCCAACGCCACCGCCTCCAGCTCTACCGCTCCCCCTCCCACCGAAACCGAGGACAAGCGGTCCGATGCTTTCGCCGATATCGGGATGGCGTCATCCAGTGTGCCTCACGCCGGTGGACCCGCCAAGATCAACAATAAGCGCAAGAACTGGGACCGAGTCGTCGAGGAGGAGTTGAAGGTCAAGAAGGAGGATCGTACTGCTGCGGACCCTGTGAGCTATGCAGTCCCTTAGAGACGATGTGGGAACACAGCTGATCAGACAGAACTCTGGCGGTGATAATGCTCTCCAGAAGATGTTTGCGGACATCTACAAGGACGCCGACCCGGACACGAAGCGGGCGATGATCAAGAGCTTTACCGAGAGCGGCGGTACCACGCTTAGTACCGACTGGAACAGTATCGGCAAGGGTGCGTCTTCCCCGCTTGCTTTCGAGATCTGATAACGAACTGATCCGCGCAGAGAAGACACCCATCAGGCCGCCAGATGGCATGGAAGCGAGGAAGTACTAAGCGTAGAGATCGACCTGGTATGGCTCGGTGCGAGAGCTGGGTGAAAGAGTTGGCAAGTGGTTGAAAGAGAAATCGTCTGGTCACATCATGCACAAAATATATACCATCTTTGTGTCGAGGTGGCTGCAACAAGACTTGCCAAGATCCAATTGGTAGCATACCACTATATGAATGGACTGTTAGGTAGCCACCTCACTTCTCCTCGGTATAGCCCCTCGCGATCCCGCTTCGCCCCTCTTCTAGCTCAGCCGGTGCATCCTCTCCATACCGCATCTCCAGTCCCTGAAAGCTTCGACTAGACAGATAATGACCTAGATCATCAGCTCCCTCCGTCATCATCCTCGCACTGGGAGTCCAGACTCACTACCAGCAGATTCCAGCTTGGCCAACGTGAACTCCTTACTCCGCAGAGTCAGATCCCGCACGCCGTCCTCCGCACCATCCACACCGGTACTGGTCTCGCCAGCACCATTTGGTCCTTTCCGTCTACTGCCAAACGTCCGGCGGGACTTGTACGTCCCATCTACGATCGAAAACACCGGTGCGAGATTGTCGGTCTCGTCTTCTTCCTCCTCGCCCTCCTCGCCGTTTGCACCACCGTTCTGCGACATCTCTGACCGCGCAGCTTTGGCTTCTGACGATCATCAGCACCCTGATGCGCGCATCTGGGATTGCAGAACTCACCTTCGAGGACCTTGGACATGTCGAGTGTCCACCTTCCTGGCTCCCACCTGTGTTCTGGGCCTTGCAGGGCGAGAATGAGCTCCCAGGGCGTGATAATGGGACGTAAGAATTCCTACACATTGTCAGCTCCGCCCTGTGTGATCGACATCTCATGGATCTGGGAACTCACCTTGGAATCGACCAGTCCACCTTCCCTACATCCGACCAGAACAAAACACTCCACCGTCTCGAAATTCGCCAATTTAGCAGGATTCAGCCGTCCAACCGTAAGCGTATAGCTCTTCTTCCTGTGTTGTCGAAGCAAGGCGCGGAGCTCGGCGAGTAATGGCTGAGCCGAGCTGAGCCCGACAGAATGTACGACCAGTCCAAAGATGGAGGATGTGACGGCGGAGTGGATCGATAAGAGGCGGCGTTGCAATGCGCGGGAGGTGGTATGCAGCGGACGGGCGGAGGATGTCCAAGGCGTATACAGGTATATCTGGGAAGGTCAGCTGATTCCGGAGGCTATGTCGGCCGGGCAGCTTACTGCAGCGTCGGCATTCTGCATTTGGATGTTCATCAATCCTCGGCCTTCCTCGCCGATGTACCAGATCATACACTCGCTCATGGTCATACCGGGCGGCGGTTCGACCGAGCGTAAAGGAGCTGTACTTGTATCTGCCGGCTGTCCCGCCCTTGCTGCCGGGTCCGATGAGCCAGTCTGAGAAGACTTGGAGGCTGGACGACGGATGGTAGCGAAGGAGGCGGAGTCAGGCGGTAGAGCGGCTGAGAACCTCTGTACGATGTCCTCTGTACTGTAAGCTATCGGACCCAGCTGCGAGAAACCCGGGGTATCTTAGCTCTACTGACCCGCTTTCCAGTCGTATCCTACGTCCCACACTACCACAGTGCCTTTCCTCTCACTCCGGTCTGCTTCGCTCGCTGCGCGAAATGCATTCAGTGCTTCCTCAACGTCCAGTGACTGCCGCTGGAAGACATAGTGGACTGGGAGAGCGTCTGTGCTGCAACGTCAGCTACAATCGCTTCTTTATCATCAGACTATGCTATTGGAAGCGATAGCTTACGGTGTCAGACAGGCATGGCCGTAGTGTACCAAGTAGTCAGCAGGGAGGTGGAGACATGACAGGACGTCCGGACAGCAGCTACCTGTTCAGCTTGATCCTGATAATGAGGTAGTAGATAGAAAGAAGACGGACGGACCTTCCGTATGTCGAGTCGGCGAGGACGTAGGCCTGTGCGCTCGAGCCCTGTATTCCCCGCTGAATAGCTCGGAAGACAGGTACCGAGGATGGTAGGAGCTCATCCGGGAACTGTAGACCTATCTAGCTGTATCGGCTATCACTCCCAGAGCTTATCCATTGCCGGAATCACGCAGCTACTCACAGTCTTGTACCCGCCCTCAGTGATCCGCCTGACGGTATCTTCCACCTCGAACGCTTCTTCCACGCTCAGAGTCGAGACAGCATCCCCGTTGGACGAGGGCCCAGCTACGGCGTTGCCGTCGGGGTTGAGGCTGGGCATTTCGGGATGATCAAAGGCGTGCTCATCGGCTGTACTGAAGAGGCTGGTCATGCTGCTCTACAGAGGAAGAAAGTTGCGAGGTCTGTGCGATGTAGAAGTAGAGAAAGAGGAGTGGAGGTGGTGGTCTTGGTGGTCAAAATATCGCTGCCTCCACCTCGGCATGTTTGGTCCCGCACAAGCGGATGCCCATCATGTCTTCGCTGTGGACGCTAGGACTGGCACAGGGCCTGTACCAGCAGTCCGCCGGTAACATCGCAAGACTGATGAGGATACCGCCGGACGAGTCTCACAAGGTCCCGCTGGGCCAAGATCGAGGCGTGGAACAGAGGGGTAAGCAAGGAATCCGCGGTCTGCCAATTCAGACTCCTCCGAGGCGATCTCATACGATGCATACTCCAGCCGCTACTCGTTCCTGATCTACTCGCTTCCGGGGTCAAAGTATCGCCATTGGTTTGGCGGCGAAGGTGTTTGAAGGTTCTCCCATCTATTTCAGTTAGCGCCTGAATTCACCTGATCTTCTCCTTGTTTCTCCTCTGGTTGTCCAGATGAAACTCACGCCTTCCACTCGACCATCTTCCCCGCAACGCCCTCTTCCGCCTTGGCCTCCTCCAGACTCGTCTCAATCATCCCTCCCAATCCCTTCTCCGCGGCGATGATGTCCCCTCCGGCATTCTCCACAAGCGACAGCCGGTGCTTTGTGATCGCCTCGGTCGCTTGGCGGTATACCGATGTGGCCGGTAATGTCTGAAGAAGCGAAAGGGTGGATTTATATGTCCCTGCCAAAGCTGGGAGGGGGTCGGGGTGGACAGCGAGGCCGGTGATACCGGTAGACGATTTGAGGGTGGAGCTGCGGGGTCAGCTACTGCGTCCGATCCCAGTTGGTTTGATGGGCTTTTCTTTGATTCCGGCTAGAGAGTATAGGACTACTCACGCTATAGCCGAGTAGAGGGGTCTTGATGCTCTCAACATGGTGCTCGGATGGTATAGGAATATGGGAAGAGAAGAGTGGTCTTGCGGAGACCAGAGATCGTCGCTGTCGATAGTGAGAGCGGCGATCACCGTCCGAGTAGGCCGCTGCACGTGGCGGATGTGAAACGCGTGACCTGCCCTGGTAGGCTGGTTCCGGGGGCGATTCCCGAGGTGACTGGACAGACGCGTCCAGGCGTTTGATTTTCGTCTGATAGTACTGGTCCATCTATACCTTGCGATGCTTGACTATAGCCAGCAACCCTCTCGCTTACCCATTCTTGACCGCCCATAAGCCTCAGGCGCATCTGCGCAGCCCTCGCCAAAATGAACTCTCCACCACCCCCCTCATTCACCCTCCCACCCCTCAAGTCGAACGGGCAGTACCCCGTCACTCCCGATGACTCGCCCAATGCAGATGATACGGGAGATGTCGCCAAGGACTATCTCTCGGCCAAGTCGAGAGGCAAAGGGAAGGAGCGGGCTATGGAGATAGACGAGGTGGTACCAGAGGTCAGGGTGTCGATGTATGTTCGGCTGTTTGAGGGTAAGCCAAAGCGACATAGCCAAGGATGGACAGTGCAGCGGGGCTATAACGCACAGACCGTGCTGACCGTTTAGAAATGGTAAACACAGTCCTAGCCTCCGAGTCATACCTCTTCACACCTCGCGAGCTCTGGGTGCTCAACCATATCCTCCAACTACCATGTCAGTCCTATCAGCCGAGATTGCTCAGTGCGAGAGGGACGCGTACTGATATGTAGATGACCCAAAGTACCTACTCACTCGACTGCTTCTCCGCCGACCAGGCCGCGTTATCCCCTTCGGTAGCTTGCTAAGGGGATACGAAGCCGAAATAGGATCAGAAGGCGTGCGCAGCGCAGTCCGCCTGCTCTCGGAAGCGCTGGACATCCCTGCGGATATCCTCTCCGCCGAACCCGTTTTCGAGGCCACGGTCGGACCATCTCGTCCACCCTCTCCCGCCGCAGCTCCTACCCCGGTGAAGCGGAATCCATTCCCGACGCCCCAAACACTGGGGAAGAAGCGAAAGTCGTCTCCTCTCGAAAAGCCAAAACCATGGGCTACGCTCGATACCGGTCTGACAGCAGCGGAGGAAAAGGCGGACCCAGAGCTAGCAGCGGCGATCCGGGAGAGTCTGTGGGCAAGTCAGGTCGGCCGGGTGGAGCTGGACGATGATGGGGGGGTTGTTCGCTCGCCTTCCCCCATGGGACCTGTCGACCATGGCCGGCCTCCGACGCCACGGTCCGTTTCTGCCGGGTCGTCGACCTCTGCCTCTTCGTCGTCCTCGTCCTCGTCCAAGATGCCAGCGGGGTATGACGAGCCCTTCTCACTCGACCCGTCGCTTCCACCCCCCATCACCCACTTTGCTTTCGACGAGCGCACGCTGGACCTCGACGCGATCATGTCCTGCATTCCCGCCGACGAGCTACGAAAAGTAGCCAAGGCGAGGAAGATCCCGCCAAACCTTTTGGTCAGGCGGGACGATGTCTGCGCTGCGCTACGAGGCGTCGCCAGGAAGCAGACTGTGCTGGGTTTCACACCGGTCAAGGGGAAAGAGGCGGGACCCAAGCAGTTCACACTGCCCTTTGGCCCTAAGCCCGCCAATGCGGACAGTCCGCAGACGACAGGCCGAAGTGCCAACCGTGGCGTGACTTCCGAGTCCCTCCTTATCGCCCAACTCCTTCCTCTCATCGGCCAGCACGCAATACAGCTCACGTCTTCCCTCCACAACCTGATCTCCCGCGTCAACCTCATCTTCTCCCGGACACCCCCCGTCACAGCCACCGGATCCAGTCTGCTTCTCCCCTCCATCCTCGTCTCGTCCCATCGGCGTCGGTATCCCGCATACGGCCCGCCAACCCGCTCTCGGATATGGAGCTCGCGAGATGAGCTGCTCCGGTGGGAACGCACGGTCAAGTGGGAGGCGGTCGTGCAGGATGCGCTGGGGGAGAGCTGGCAGGAAATGAGGAAGAATCTGGCAGCAGGGCCGCAGGGGTGGGGAGGGGCCAAGAAGGAGATGTTGGGCAGAGTGGAAGGGAGCAAGGTCGTTAAGCGGATCTGGGAGGGTGTGTGGCCTGTATGGAGGGAGATGGTGGAGGGAGCTGGAGGGAAGGAAGTTGATGTGCGGAAAGAGGAGGGTGGGCTCGTGGGAGATAGGTTCAAGACTGGTCAGTCTGCCAGAAATCAGGAACCTGTTAGTATGAGAGCTGACTCATCAGGTCACGTCCTCACTCGAATAGTCTACAAGTCTGCTGTGGCTCTTGGACAGCTACACGAGTACGACAACGAAGTGATGGTCCTCCGTGCGCTGATCAAGCAAAGAAGATGGAGGCGGAGTAAGCGAGGGTGAGCTCTACTCTTGTCTCTATCCATGCGCACAGCTGAACCTCTAGCGCCTGGTATGACCGCTTAGCTCTGGTCTTGATGAATCACTACAATGCTAGCGATGTCGAAAAGGAGGAAAAGAGACGCGAGGCGGTACAAGTCTGCATTGATGGATTGCTGGATGAGGATACCCACTTGAGTAAGTCGACTTTTTTCGTACAAGTCACCATCGCTGAGCGTCAGTCTATCGACCTGGACTATCCCGTCGCCTTACTCGGCTCGAGAACGCCCTCAACCTCCCAGCGGACGAACGCCACATCTCCCACGCCGAGTTACTCAAGTGCGAGGTCCGCGAGTTGACCGCTCCGCGTATAGCAGAGAATATGGGCGCGCCCAAGATGCGACCAGGTGGTCGAGCGGGCAGCGTCCGAGCGGAAAGTGTACGAGCTGGAAGTGTTCGCGAGGGCAGTCTCGGTGTTGACGGGGAGGAGGGACTGGTCGGTCCGCCAGGGTGGCAGCAGACTGGGAAGAGCGTCTGGCTGGGTAAGGAGGGGGAGGTTACGGTGGAAGGCTGGGTATTGGAGTGGTGGGAGGCCAAGGGGTATAAAGGGTGAGTCAGAAGTCAGAGCATTCAGTGTATGCAGCTAATATGGCAGGTATCACTCTGAGGGGTCCATCATGACGACGCTATTCGCCCTGCTGCTGTGGCCGGTACTGTTCCATCCACTGCCCGGAGCTTTCGAGACACCGTACCAGACCGCTCCCCTCGACCTCGGAGAAGACACATTCGCACCGGCCCGGTACGATCTCCTGGAGGCTCGACTGGCGCTCATGGGGTCTACCGCTGAAGCTCTCGCCATGCTGCGCGACGCAGATTCGCGTGAGCGTCCTAACCTGACCTGGGCGGTGGGCGTTAACTGGGAGTACGGGGCCGAGGATCTGGAAGAGTTGCTGGAGTGTATCGGGGGGCGGGCGATGAGTGGAGTCTGCAGGATGTTGGCTGAGGAGTACCGGCATCGGGTCAGCGGGGTGCCTGATCTGATTGTGTGGAAGAAGGGGGTCAAGGGGTCAAGGGGCGAAGCGAGGTTCGTCGAAGTCAAGGGGCCGGGTGATCAGTTGAGCGAGACTCAAAAGGTGAGTAGACCCCACACGGATGTTGTAGGGTCAGCGCTGATGATCAGATCTGGATTGACGTCCTTCTCTCGTCTGGCATCCCGGTCGAGGTGTGCCGCGTCAAGGCGAAAGAAGCTACTCAGGAAGCGATCGCTAAAGTCGAAAAGCGACAAGCCAAGATCAAGAAGGAGAACAGCAAGAATGGCTGGGATCAGGCGGGGATGAAGCGTGACGTCGATGAGGAGGAGTTGAAGGAGTTTGAGGGCGAGGACGATGAGGGCGAGAAGGAGAGGGATGAGGAGGATGAGGAAAAGGAGGGGTATTGGCAGCGGAGCGGGAAACGGGTCAAGGTGTGAGCGAGCGCAGCGCCGGACGCTGTGGGTGTATCTATATCCAATACTTGTATCTTGCAGATTGTAGCCATATTATATTACTTGCCAGCTGGGACTCTGCAGGCCGAGCGGAAAGACGCCGCGATAAGGAGCCTGGGAGTGTGCCGTAAAGATACCCTGATTCGCTTAGAGATTGGCTTCGTACTAAGGTCAGTCAAAGTTGAATGGACTCCTTCCCGCGCTGTCACACGATGTGAAGGAGTCTTTGAGCAGTACTGAGGTGCCGTGGAGGTGAGGATGCTGTCGATGCAGATAAATACGCTGGCTTGACCACTTGACAGGAGCTCGGCGCCGTTGACAAGCTTGATTTGACCGCCGCCGACGCGTTCCCAGGCGGCTTTCACTCTGCAAGGCGCCGCTTTCGGCACCTCCCTCCGGCCGCACTCCCCGGCGACGCAGCTCTTGGCATTTCTTCACTCAAACATCTTCATCTGAAGTGAGCGGCTATCGACGCGTCGCAGTAGATCACACTATACATCAGCGCTCGACACTACCCCCCTCGACAGGACGCATCAGACAGCATTGTCTCACCGCCGCGATCGCTTCGCTGAGCTGGGCAGTTTCGGAGATTTATTATCATCTTACCGTCACCCCTTCGCTCAGTCTACGCCCGAAGCGCTCATCCTCGTCCTCGTCGGCGTCCCCTTCACGCGTCATACACACACATTGTACTGGGCAGCCTGTACATCCATCATCCCACTCGCTCGTATCCATCATCAGTCCTCCGCCGTGCACGGCGCACCTCACATCCCGCTCGACCCGAAACCTCCCCTCCACTCCCTGTCCTCCACTCCCTGTCTCACTGTAGCCGGTTGCTCCCCCGTCCATCTCTACCCTCACTCGATCAAGGTCGCATCGCGGTGGACATCCCCCTACGCACCCCCACATGTCTAGCAAGACCTCGCACTACGCGCCCGTTGATACCCAAGGCTACACTGCCAACGCAACCCCTCAGACCAGTCCATCTCCCAAACGACCTCTTTTCAACAAATACTACGCGCTCGACCCACTGGAAATGGCACGGCCGCCCTTTCCGGACGGCCATTCTCGCGGCGAGGGTTCTCCGGACTCCAATGACCAGGAGAATGAGATGTTCATCACTCCTGCCAACTCGGCGCGCCCCAGCGTCATTACGGCGCTGGGAGATGGTGGTGATCCACCTTTGGGGGCGGGATTGGGGATCGGGATGGGACCAGGTCTGGGGTTCCCAGGTGACCAGAGGTACTACTCGATGGTTGGGGAGGCGGCAGAGGAGCCTTCCCCAAAATCGGCTCATGCCTCCAAACCATCGTTGACGAGGAGTAAATCGGCAGAGTCCAATTTGCAGACTCGGCGATCGGCGGGTAAGCCGCTGGGATGGCAGAACGTCAACTCGTATCTTCCTGCCGCTCCCAGCGATAATGGCCTGCCATCGAGCGGGCTTGGCTACTCGTCGTCCCGGAGTCCGACGATGCCCGCTGTAAATCTGGCCGACACTCCACATATCCGCGAACGGGTGGTCTCGCCATCTCGTGAGACTTTCCCAGGGCAACAATCCTCCTACATCCCCGATCATCTATCCATCAACCCACCAGCCGGTCCTTCCCACCAGTTCTCGGTAGAACCCAGCCCAGCAGCCGATGGGAAAAAGGAACCCCGCATTCGCACACCCGTTTCCTCATCTGGGTCCATGTCGTCAAACGGCCCATATCCCTATTCCGAACCCTCACGTACCCGCGCCTTGCGGAGTACGCACAATAATTACTTCCCCGTCAACGTACCTACCGGCAGCGATTTGGCGGCCTCGCGGTTGTGGCAGGCGGGAGATAGCAAAGTGAGGAGTATATCCCAAGGGGAAAAGGGGCAGGTGTTGAGCGGGATGAGCTCGGGACTTGGGCCAGAGAAGTTCACAGACTCGGCGGCGTACTGGTTGGGCCTGTACTTCTTCTTCAACCTGGGGTTGACGCTGTTCAATAAATTTGTTCTTGTCAGCTTTCCGTTTCCATATGTGAGTCGCTTTCTCGGCAAGGGTACAGCCCGGTTGGAATCGTTGGCTGATTAGGCAGACTTTGACGGGTTTGCATGCGCTATCGGGATGTGTTGGTTGTTATGTAGCATTAGAAAGAGGATCATTTGTGAGTCTCCTCGCATCTCTCAAGCCTGGCCCAAGCTGATGAGCAGACGCCCGCTCGCTTGACACACAGAGAAAATTTGATACTCTGTGCCTTCTCGGTTCTGTATACCATCAACATCGCTGTTTCCAACATCTCCCTCCAGCTCGTTACTGTCCCCGTGCGTATCCCAGCTCATAGCCAGAGCCCCTTGCTGACTATCCAGTTCCACCAGGTCGTCCGTGCTTCCACACCCTTCTTCACGATCTTGACATCTGCATTACTTCTCGGTACACGATTCACGATGGCAAAGATGGTGGCTCTGCTGCCTGTTGTAGCGGGCGTTGGCTTTGCGTAAGTCTCCATTGCTTCATGGTGATGGCACTGCTGACAAAATCAGGACATACGGAGACTACTACTTTACCGCCTGGGGACTGGTCTTGACCCTTCTTGGGACCTTCCTTGCTGCGCTGAAAACGGTCGCTACGAACTTGATTCAGACCGGAGGAGGCGGACGATTAAAGCTGGTCAGTTTTCTGATAGTATCCCTGGCAATTCGCTGAGTCCAGCACCCCTTGGATCTTCTCATGCGCATGTCGCCCCTCGCCTTCGTCCAGTGCGTCGTTTACGGTTGGTACACTGGCGAGCTCGAGCGGGTACGACAATACGGCGCCACGCAAATGACCCGGGGCAAGGCCATCGCGCTGCTCATCAACGGTGTTATCGCTTGCGGGCTCAACATCGTCTCTTTCACGGCCAATAAAAAGAGCGGGCCTCTTACGATGACCGTATCAGCAAAGTGAGTCTCCGAGTCTCCGTCATTGATGCAGAAGGACCGCGCTGACAGCATAGTTGCAAGCAGGTCATGACCATCGCCCTCGCTGTCGTTCTCTTCGACCTCAATATATCAATAACGAACGCTATCGGTATTCTCCTCACGCTGGTCGGAGGGGTGAGTCACTCTTGTCACCGGATTGAGGCGAGACTATAGCTGACCCCACAGGTGTGGTACGGTATGGTCGAGTATCGGGATAAGCAGCGGCGGCTAAGTAAGATGGGACGAGCATGAATGCTGGGGCCCAGGAACATAGGGAAGAGAAAAATAGACTGTTTAACTAGATCTGTATACTATCTGCATAGGCTTGCGGCTGAGTGATCGAATTCTAACACAGTACCGAGGTCGCCTACTCAAGTTAGCTTGCGGCTGAGCTCGGCCGCTCGAGCTCATCAAGCTCCCCTCAAGATGGCTGAGTGTGTACGACGAGCTGTCACGGTCACCACAGGGCAAAGCGGGAGCTGAGCTGAACAGGGCGCAGATCTCACAGCAGGGGTCGGAAGGGACGTCCTTGGTTGCTAAGAGTGGTGATTGTGTGCATGTCCTGAAGTCTTATGATCACTTATGGACAGTCCTCCGCCAACTCACAACGCCCAGCTCCACCTCGTACCCTTCGCCCCGCCAGATCCATCACTTAGCACCGAGACCGATATTGCGGCGGAAGATGCCCGGCAAAGCCCATGCTGGAGAGTCAGTCATCATGTCCCTTGTTTCGAAGCACGCAGAGACACTCACGTCGCTCTGCCCTTCCCGTATTCTCCCTCGGTTTGACTATTCTCAACCCCTCCCCGGTCCTCATTGCTCCCATACTGCGCGACCGATTTGCCCTCCGGCCTTGCGCTGACAACGCCCTGCTAAGTCTGCTAGAGAAGCGCCCGGCTGGCGTGCCTTCAGCTGCAGGTCCGGGCGGGGAACCAGGAGGGTCCATGATGGGTGGAGCTGATGCAGGCTTCGCCGGGATAATGGACGGAGTAGGCTGGGCATCGAGGTAGACAAAGTAGTCGTCGTAGCTGATGATGCGGTGGGCCGATTGAGCTGGAGCTGCGGTGGACGGGTGTCCGCTTAATGACGGATGAATGGGCGGCGGTGGCTGGGTGGACGATGGACCGTGGAGTAGGGGGGCGGAGGATGGGATGGGAGGGTCAAGATGCAGTAGAGGGTGAAGGAGCGGATCATACGAGATGGGCAATAACGGGAATGTACTGGGGATCCGGTCTGGCAGAGGCGACTCTGGGCTGGGGGACGGGATGACCCTGTTTGAAAGGAAGATGTGGGTATTCGTGTAGTCGGGGAAGGGCGCGCGGCTAGCGAGGGCAGGGAAGAGGTCGTCTGTGATCTCTTGAAGTGTTTGTACAGGAGGTGACGCCGGGGAAGCCGGCTTCCTTTGCAGGACCGGCTTCCTGTACAGGAAAGAGGGCACCAAGGCCCAGAACATAGGTTGGAGGACGCTCAAGATGGAGAGGCCCTGTCGCCAGTCAGCTGGATGCTCTTCCACTATACTTTGAACATACCTGGAGGTGCTCAGAGACAGATCTGGTCCCTTGAGACCTAAGAAGACGCCCTCCGAATAGCTTCTTGCGGCCAACGCTAGCTACGACTGCCGCCGCGTGGCCGACCCTGCTGAGCCCCATGATGGTACGCCGAGCATCGAAGAGTGCTGCGGGGGTGATGTGACGTCTCTTAACAGCAAGGACTAAGCCGGCGCCTAGTGCCAGGCCCAGGCCGAGACCCACTAGGGCAACGCTAGGACTTGGCCAGTGTTTCCCGCTATTCTTCTGGCCAACGCTGGCGCTGGTAACGGTGGTAGAATGGGTGTCCATGGCGTCCGAAGGCCAAGGACAGCTCTCGGAGCTGGGAATGAAGTGGCGAAAGCCTTGAGCAGACATGCAGTCGCATTCCAAGATGCCTGTCCGTCAGCCAGCTCGGAGTCGGATCACGCATAACGAGATGACGAAGACTCACCTTTTCGCCAGTGAAGCAGACGGGCTGTTCCGCCAGGCACCAACGGATCGTGGGCGCTGAAGGGATGAGGTCTAATGGGAGTGGGAGAGGGAAGTGGAAGTCGGGTGGGGTGGAGCAGCTGGTCCATAGGTGAGAGCGGCATCGTCGCGACAGCCAAGGCTATAATAAGCTCGCGCCCTCGAGCTGCTGAGACGGGGAAGAGAAGGGCGAGGGTGAAAAGACTTGGGAGGAACACTTACTGGACGCCCTGCCACTCTTCTGCTTTATACCTCATCCTCCATACTGCCACAGTCGTTTGGCTCCTCCTCCGGGTATCACACACAAAAGGCTCGATGGTGCGTTTGAAACAAAGGGGCAAACGTTTCAAAATTGCCACCACCGCCGCCGGAGATTTGGCGGCCTGGCAAGCGCGGCGGGACTTCAAGGGTCATCGTATGTGCCGATTGGGGGCCGAATGAGCTGATAAGGCGATCGTTCTGGAACAAAAGAGGTGGGGAAAGGTGGCAGGGATGGAGACAACGGTTAACGCTCGGCAAACAGTCGAGATGATCTCTGCGCGTTTGGTCCCGCTTGCATCGAGAGCTGGAGCTGGACATGAAGTCAATGCGTCATATTACAGTAGAACAGGACGGGTGACCGGTGAGAAGTGCATAGAGTGGCAGAGCAGCGTATATGAGACATACAAACGAGCATACAAGTGGTGAATACAGAACATGAGTGGTGGTAAAGCTGAACAATTTTAGATGGTGATCTTGTCCGCGCGGAATCAAGCATCCGCGAGCCTCTCCCTGATGTTGAACCCCGCGCCGCTCCGTTCGCACCGCCATATCCCATCGTCGAGCCTGATGACGTCCACCTCGGCCGTGAAGAGTACGAATGCTTGCAAGGACTGCGACGATACTGCCTTTGCCAGGAAGCTGCCGCTGTCAGCTATGCCCATCAATGCGGACCGTCGTTAGCGGGCATGTGACTTACTACTCTGGACCCCATCTGCCCATCTGGATCTCGTCGACGACGTCCCTCTCTCTCTGAAGCACGATGTTCAGCTCTTGCCAGTCCCGCCCAGCTCCGTCATGGTACGACCCCACGATACGGAAGGACCAGGCGCCCGTCTCGTCAATGCCCAGCGGCTGAGAGGAACTGGCAGGAGTCTGCTCGGCTGGCTCCTCGGCCTTGGACTCCCGCTCCGCAATCGGCTCCGAAGGTGGGAGTGGTGTGGCTTTCCGGGCCTTGGCCTTGCGCGGTACCGGTGTGTCCCCCTGGGGCGGTATCGGGGTCTGGTTCGGTAGATCGGCAGGCTCGGCTTCGGGCTGCGAAGCCTCAGTTTGAGGTGTCTGGGCCGAAATGAAGGATGCTACCGCATGATCGATAGCCTCTCCCTTGAGCGGCCTGTCCGGGAGAGCTGGATCGACCGAGCTAGCGGAATCGACGGACTCGGGGGACGGGTCGGCCGATTGCAGTGATTGCTCGTTTCCCGTCTCTGCTGCGGCCACCCCTGCAGCTGCCTTCGCCTTCTTCTTCTTCTTCGTCTTGACTGCTTTCCCGACCTCTTCCGCCACCACGGCACCCGCCTTCTCCTTTCCTGGCAGATCATAAACGCAGATCGCCCTATTGACAGCATCCGCCTCCGCCAGCTCTGCCTCGTTGACGTCAGAAACCCCATTGACGGGATCCCTTACATCGATGTCGCTCCGGGCGGTGCTGCTCGCCTCCTGGACCCGCTTGACCATTTCCGCCACTTCCTTCAAGCTCATAATCCCCTCCTCTTTTGCTTTGAGGGCGGTCGAGACCGGCGTTGTCGCCTGAGCGGCGCGCAGAAGCTTGAGCTCGTCCAGGACGCTAGCGGTAAGGGTGTGTAAGCGATCCATCGATGAGTTCAATGTCCTGATCTAAGGGCATCAGCTTGACAATCACTGCGCAGGCGAGAGTAAACATCTTAGCTGCGAGAAGAAAGATACTCACATTCCGCTTGCCCATCACCTCTTCCGCCTCAGGCCGATCCTTGGAAGGGAGCGACCACCCCTTTGCTGACAAGACATCCTCCAGCGCCTGCCTGACCACCTGTCCTAGCCTCGCCTCGTCCATCGCCGGCGCGATTAAAGCCGAGGCACACATGGCCATCTGTGCCGCCTTGCCCTTCAATGCCGTCTCCGCCATCCCCTTCTGAGCAGCCTTGCCCTTATCCACGGCCTTGAACAGGGCATCCAACCCCGTCTGATTCTTGATGCTTGCCACTCGGATATGGTCCACGAGCCGGCGTTCGAGGTCGTCGAGCCTCGCATCGAGACCATGAGGTAGCGCTCGAGCTCGCGAAGCACCGCGGATCAGGCGGGCTGTGAGCAGTCCGGAACCGAGCAGGACACCTGTCCCGAGTGCGCCGAGGGAGGCGATGGTAGTGAGAGGGTAGCGGGCGGCGAAGTCCACCAGGGCGGGTGGGAGGACCGACTCGAATCGCTGACGAGGAGGCTCGTCGACGATGTAGGGAGGAGGGATGAAGCTTGTCTTGGAGCTGCTATGGGTATAGGCGGCCTCAAGGAGGGCGTTGAGGGATTGTAAGGGTGCTGTCTCGTCAGCCACGAGCGCGATTCTTAGCCGATATGAACTCACTATCGCTCTCAGACTCGACGAAGTTGTTGCTATGTAGACCATCCACTACTTCCGCCACCGCTGCTGCCTTCCTCAGCGCCTCAAGCTCTTGGCCCGCTTCTGTCTTCCGGCTCCCTGTGCCCGCGGGCTCGGTTCCGGATGATCCAGATCGCCTGAATATCATATGCTCTGAAAGGTCGGAGAGCGGCTCTCTAGCGACACTACGAGTATATGGAGGACCGGTGGAGGTGTCCCTTCGAGGATCGGAGGGAGAACTAGATGAGCGGGGCGATTCGTCAGCCCCCGTAGATGCGGGCGAGGGCCGGGAGTCGGCACTGGACGAGGTGAACCAGGATGAGAGCCCCATTTCGAAGGGTGATGGGAGGATACAGAAAGCTGCGGATCAAGTCCTTGTCTTATATGGCTTAGGCGAATGAGTACATAGATGAGAAGTATGAGTGAAAGGGTGAAGGGGTGAAGGCGAGTGGAAGCTCGACTTGGTGGGTGACTCTGAAACACGGCTGTAACCGGTGGGGTCTCCGCATCCACCTGCACCTGCTTATTACAGCCTCAAATCTCTGTAGATTGGTAGGACCAGGGGTATGGGGAGCAGCTTGCTGAAGCTGCGCTGCTGAAGGGAGACAACAGGAACGACCGGGGAAGGAGGAGCAATTGACCACTGGGATTGTCATCCGAAGAAGACAGTGTTGTGGAGAGGACTTCTCATTGGCAGAGCAGTACCGGCATCAATGCATCCGGCTCAGAATGAATACTACGATACTACTGCGAGACAACGAGAGAGAATAGCTACGATACGTATCGACAGCGGAATGGGAGGGGAATGAGAAGGAAAGAGAGAAACTAGGAGACTATCAGACGATACGGAAAAGAGAAAACCTTATGGGCTCAGCCCTGTCGAACGATGTCGACAACCTTGGTATGGGATCCCGCCATCCCCAGCTCCTACAGATACGCCGCCACCTCGACGTGCGACACCCGCCCGCTCCCGAGCAGACTCTGCAGGTAAACCCTCATCTTGGCCACTTGATCCTCGAGGCCGTCCACCTGGCCCTCGAGCTGCTCAATCTTTTGCCGCTTCTCGTCTCGCGACTTTTTGGCCGCGTCCTTGGCCTTGTCTCGCTGGTCGGCGATACGCTCGCCAAACTCCCGAGCGCCGTCGCGCTTGTCGACCGCGACTTGCTTGAGGAGCTCGTCGAACGTGGGGAAGGAGAGGATCTGCTCCATCGTCATCCCGGTGATGGCAAAGGCTGACCCGTCCTTGAAGTACTTCTCGGGGACGACCGACTTGGGACGTGCGGTCGAAGGCTTGCCCGAGGCGGTACGCTTGGGTGGCTCCTCGACATCGTCGAGGGAGACGGTGGCGATGAGGGGGGTACCGACGGGGGAGGGGATTTTGGATTGGCGGGTGGATAGGGGAGAAGCAGTACCCGAAGTGCGACCCTTGGGTGGCCGACCGCGAGGGCGCTTGGCGGGTTGGTCGGACGCAGGCTCAGGCTCGTCGCTGGACGACGAGTCTTTGCGCTTGAGGGAGGGGGAGGGCATGACGAGGTCGGCTGGCGCGATCGCTGTGGGGATGACCGAGAAGGACGCTGACCAGTCGGTGGTCGCGAGCATGGCCTCGATGGAAGGGGTGATGTTGATGTTGACGGCAGACTGGGGGAGGGAGTCCGACGTGAGCTTGGAGATGAAGTCCGGACCCATACCGAGGGTGTTGGCGTCGCCGCCGAATTGTGCAATGTCTCCGAACGAGCCATAGCCAGCACCGAAGGTCTGCTGCATGGTCGCATCGTCGACGCCGCGCTGGTCGGGAGAAGGGACTTGGTAGGGAGGGGGAAGCACGTCGGTAGCCGAGTGCATGAGACCGATGACCGGGGTGGAGAAGTCAAAGATGTCTTGGCCGTCAACGACGTCAAGAGCTAGGGACTGCTCCGACTCGGTGGACGGGGCGGGCGAACCCTTCTGCGGGAGATGAGGGAGGAAGATGGTCTGCTCCGTGACGACTTGCTCGTCACCGAGCGCTGCAAAGGCATCCTCGACGAACAAGTCGTCAAAGCTCCAAGCAGGGACCCCCATGTCGGTGATCTCGGCGTCCATCTGTGTGAAGAACGCGTCGAGATCAGCGAGGGGGTCTGTGAAGTTGTCCGAGGCGAGAATGTCGGGCAGGAGTATGGCGGTAGGGGTAGGAGGGGTGACCGAGACGTTGACGTCCGGCGGGGGAGGCTGGATGGGGAGGTCGGTGGGGAGGGGTTGACGAACGATCGACGTCTTTTGTTGCTTGTTGGCTAGGCTGGGCTCCGAAGGGAGGGCGCGTTTGCGGGTAGGCGGGGGTGGGAGGACCCGTGGGAGTGGGAGGGAAGTCTTGTTGTTTGCTTGTCGAGGACTGCCCATCAGCTCGGAACCGAGTGAAAGCGGGGAGAAAGCTCACCTAGTAGAGTCCGACTCTTGGCCCGTAGGCAGATACGAGTTGCCTACGTGAGGATTTGACACGGACAGGGTCGACACCGGGCGGTACCGAGTTGTTGGCTCTGGAGGAGCTGCGCTGGGGAGGCGGTGGTTGATTTGGGCCGGAAGATCGCTTGGGTAGTAGAGGACGCCATGATGGGTCGAGTTAAGACGAGCCTGAGTGGGCTCGTGAAGAACTGGGTAGGTAAAAGGGGGGTTATAAGGGGTTTGGGAACGTTGGGTAGTTTGACTTGGTAACTCCTGGGTAAAGGAACGGGTATTTAGGCCGAACGAGACATTTTGAAGATGCGAGTTGAGCAAGTGTAGGTTTGGTAACACGAGGGTGGGGTTGAGTGGGTAACGCCAGAGGCGAGGAAAGCTTGCGCGTAAAGATGGGGAGCTTTTGAGGTTATAGCTGACTTTGGGAAGGTATGAGAAGGTGAGGAGAGAAAGAGAAGAGGGGGGAAGGGGAATTTGGCACGCCGCTTCTCGTCCCGCCGCGGGCGACAGGCAACAAAGGATTATTGCCTCTCTGGGCAGTTTCAGGGTAGACTCGGCGTTTTGTGGATGTGGCAGATGGAGAGTGGCACGTTCGTGCATGACTTTATTCGAGACGAAGGGGGAGCATCGAGCACGGATCCACCTATAACCTGGGACTTGGAGTCTCCTGTATCAGGATATCTCTCATCTCAGACCGGTCCACGTCGCAGTGCTGAGAGGAGAGAAGACGGGGTGTTTCGCTTGACGGCGGATGGCGTCGCGTGTAATGAGACATGGAGGAAGATGGACTAGTTCTGTAGTACTGGCTATGGTGTTTCTATACGACTAGTACTTGCCAGGCGCCTCTCAATGAGTAATCATGCGCGACTGCATTGTGTCTCCTCTGTTGCTCCATGTTGGATATCTGATTCTTTAATGGGCGCGCGCCGGGTGGCGAATACACATTCCTCAAGCTAAGACGGACGTGTGGCGAGTACTGGCACCCCGATAACGGCGTTATAGACGGGAAAAGGACCGTTGACGGGCGTAAGGACTCTGGACTATACAAGCAGGAGTAGTTCGAAACTTCGAGTCAAGTGCATCCTCACTCTGCGTTTTCCGTATATCTTCCCAAAGATCCAGCGCTCGAAGATGACGTCCATATTGTCCGTTTGGAGCAGAACAGAGGCGATGTCCAGCAGCGGGAAAGCTTTCAGCATGTACCGGACATATTGCTTCTTGAGCATTGGGAGGTTGGCGTGAAGGATCTCGGCCAAAAGACCGGTGTAGGCGTTGTCCTGGCCAGGGACGAGAGGAGGATGGGGAGGGTTTCCGCCTGGCCAGGCGGAGTTGGGATGGCAGGGGTTTGAGAAGATGACGCTGAAAACGAGTTCGTCCCAGGCCTGCGGATCAGCTAATGGCGTTGAGGAAGCCGCGGAACTCACGTAGACTTCGCACCACTCTGATCCGGTGAGGTGTGTGTAATCCGCCATTTTATAGTAGCGGATTCGGGACCTTCCCCCGGCCAGAACGGTTGCCGCATGCCAAGGATTCTCCTTCGGACGCATGTTCCCCCAACGCCTTTCCGACATCCTCCGGTTGCTGGCCCCGTTCTTGTAGCGACCGAAGTGGTGGATATATACTCGCCGCCCAGTTCGCCTGGAGCGCGCTGGGACGCGGGCGGGAGGTTCGGCGGTACAGAATCTCGAGATTCGCCGGCCGGCATTGACCGTTTTCTTGTTCTTTGACCGCTTCATCTCCCTCCCCTCCTCCTCCTTGATGGTGACGGATTTCACGTACACCGAGGAGACCTCGTTGACCGTGTCCATCGTCTCATTGCCGAGCATCTCGCCCATGCAGAACCCGGTCGCCGTCATGTACTCCGGGGTCAGCTCGACGTCTTCCGCCATCTCGGTGAGGACGAGCTCATCGTATGTCCTCTCGCGAGCATACGTGGCCTCCCACCTGTCGAGCTGGCGGATAACCACCGTACGCTTGATCCGTTCGGTCGGGCTCCTCGTGTTGGAGTCGATGATTCGCCGTACCGCTTCAGCTTTGATGGCTGCGAGGAGGCTGTCCTTGTCGCCGGGTATGTAGACGAGTGGCTCCCGGGGTACCAGCACACACTCCTTCGCAAACCCCCTGCTCATCAGCGCAAGTCACGGTCGATGAGGCATGAGCGGACTCACGGTACATTTGGGACGTTGGCCTTTCGTCTCTCAGCCTCCATCTCCCCCAGCCGGATGACGTTCGCCTCGTCTTCGGCTCCGTCCAGCATCGCAGTCGCCATGTCGCGAGGTGTCAATGCCACCTTCCCGGGAGCCTGTGAGCGGACTTCTCCGAGGAATTGGGCTACCAGTCAGCTAAGCTAACCCGAAGGATACCAGTGGAGCAGGAATGAGGCTCACGCAGGACGATCGTCTCCCGAATCTCCGGGATGCTCTCCGGCCAATGTCCGCCACCCTTGCTGCCTCGAACCTCTCCCGTGAGCGCACCCAGTAGAGGTACGTGATTGCGCTTGAGGTCGTAGCAGATCCCAAACTTCTCCTCCCTCCTGTCTGCTTTGATATCCATATCGTAGCTGCGTTCCATCCAATCCCTCATCTTCTTGGGCCAGCTCTGCTGATACGCGTCGACGAGCCGGTCCCACATCTGCGCCGCCCGTATGGAGGTGAGGGTCGTGGTCGAGTAGGCATGACGACCGAGGACGTGTATGATGGGCTTGGGGATGGGATCGGTGGAAATAGAGAAGAGCCCATCGATATTGCCTTGTTTCGCGAGATTCTTGACTGTTGAGGCAATGAATTTGTCTGTACGCGTAGTAATGTCGTAGGGTAAAGTTAGAGGGAGGTCAAGATCTTGGCGGAGGGGCGAGAAAGGTGGCGAAGAAGAGCGTAGTCGGGAGGGAGACGGAGAGAGATAGCTCCATGCTGGATGTGTAGGACAGGATGGGAATGGGAATGTGCGCCAAGTCATTGGCGAGATGAGAGGTGTCCATGTCGAGAGAGATCAATGAGACATGTCGATCTGTGTTTGGCAGTGATCGTTTGTCCGGAAGCCAAGTCACCCAAATCTCCGAGATGTTCGGAGCTGACTGGACTACGCACCGAATCTAAATCTTCGCTACCGCGCGGGGGCAGGATCGAATTCCGCATCAGCTTTTCGCCCTCGGCCAAATCGGCCACAAGGCCTTTGCAATGCGTGCGTCAGCGAGACCGGTCGAAAGACAGAGACGGAAGGGATAGCTTGGACCACTCAACCATGCGTGATGTGAGCTGATGAGGGCAAGTTCAGCAGGTGTGAGCAAACTCAGCAAGGCCGATAGCGGACCAGCATGCCGGCCCATACTTGTAGATGTTACAACTTCTTACAGTCAAGATATTCCGGTCCGAGCTGATCCAAACGCGTCACCCCAAGACTCCGCATGCCCACCTCCATCTCGTGTTTCAGTACTGCAGGGTCAGCTCGAGGTACAGGATCATTGCCCGCTGAGCTCACTCACTCATGAATGCCCTGTCGACTCCATCACTGCCCCAACCCGTCAAGGCATAGATGATCGGCCTGCCGAGACCGACCGCATTCGCGCCGAGACACAGCGCTTTCAAGACGTCGGTACCGTGCCTTATACCGCCGTCAACGAAGACCTGGAAGTCGTCCCGGTGCAGCATATGAGGTGCGTTCTGATGTAGCTCGTGTAGCGTCTGCAGAGGTGCGTGGGCGCTGGTGTGTCAGCTGTCGGTCCGAGAAGAGGGGAAGAACGACGTACAAGTTTAGCTGCCGTCCACCGTGGTTCGTTAGTACCACAGCATCCGCGCCGTTTTCTTTCGCAAGGATGACGTCCTCCCATGCGCCAATACCCTTGACTACCACTGGTAGCCCAGGCGCGAGCGACTTGATCCACCCAACATCTTTCCAGGTGAGATTTGTATCATGCCGACTATGAATATCAGCTCCTTGATTGCGTTCTCATTTCCGGGATTCGTAACTCACGGTGAGATGACTCTTGGCATCTCCCTCGTCAACGGTGAATCATGCGCAGCCTGTGGGGTAAGCGAGTGGCCGCGATCTTCTGTCAGGCGACCAACATACAGGATCTTTCTCGACCTTAGTGTACAGACCTCTCAGATTCTTCGGTTCCTACCTGATCAGTTGTGCTACTATTCACTCTTTGACTAGCAGACTCACTGCTTGGCGATCTACTGTGAGCCATATCGAATGTACGCCCAACTTTACAGCCTCCCGGATCTGAGCTTCCGCTTTCGATCTGCGCTATAAGCTACTCGTCCTGTCCGTCCTCTGTGTCGAGGAGGTACTAGCTTACCGGTCTGGATCCATGTAGATCTGCCATCCTATTTCCTGACCATTTGCTCGCGCCTGCATCACTTCCGTCAGGCTCCGACTGGCCACATGACTCAAGACCTGTAAGACTCCACTCGCTGCTGCGCCTTGCGTAGCTGCTATCTCGCCCTAACTTGTCAGCTCTCATTTCTCACGAGCGTCGGTTTTTGACAACTCACCAAAGGCTGTCCCAACCCATTTCTCGCCGTCGGACTGATATACACCGGCATCTCCGACTTGACGCCCAGTACCTCGGTCGACATGTCGCACTCGGTGACATCGCGCAGTACACGCGGGCGAAACCATACCCGCTGATAAGCGTCTGAGTTGTTGCGCATGGTATGTTCTCCATCGGCACCGAAAGAGAAGTAGTTCCAGGCCGAGGTCTGGAGGAGGGGTCTGGCGTGTTTCTATCGGTCAGCTGTCCGCCTCTTTCTGGCAATCGTCTCTTTCTGGAGAACATCCGAGGAAGGAGGTCAGCTTACTTCGAAGTCGTCTAGTGTGATGATGGAATCGACCCCGATCAGGGAGGCTCTTGCCTGCTCTATCCGGCTGTCTTCGTCGCCTTGAAGGTTGGCGTAGTACTGGACCGCTATATGGTCAGCTGTATCTCCACATGGGAAGAGCTCGTTTTAGCTGACCCTCGGTGTCAAGCGTTCCCATCCTTTGGTCCTCTCTCAGATTCGACTGGAGTGTTCCGACGGGATGGATACCCTTGAATAGTGTAGTAACGTCCTTCCCAGCATGGTCAATCAAGACTTGCGATCCACCTGGCTAGCCTGAGATCAGCTCAGCCTGTGAGAGTAGCGTGCAGCCGAGGTTATAGGCTCACATGTTGTCCGACAAAGTCAGTCACACTGCTTGATCAGCTCAAGTCGAAGCTGGTTCATCAGGGAGGCTTACTCCCAGACCTCCCCATCAATGGCTACCCATATATCCTCTTTGCTAAAGTGACGCTCCAGCTCTTTCCTCGAGACGGTTCCAGGTGATCCTCCTGGCGGCTTCGCAGACTCGTTCCGGATAGCCGTGAAGACCTTGCCGTCCCATTGCTGATAGGCGTACAAACCTCCTGCGCCAAACTACGATAGTCAGCCTACCTGCAGACGAGCTGGGCGCCATCATGTATCAGTGAGGTTGACGTACGCCGAGCCCAAAGAGGGCGAAGACCCACTCGCGCGAGCTCTTGTCTGACCGAGGGGAATGGGAAGCGGTGTGAGCAGAACGAGACCCCTGCGGCCAGATATGACTCCGCCGGGCCGTCGGGCGCCAGACAGCGCGCAAACTTTCGATGACCAGGCCCCTTCCGCGAGCTGCTACCATTGTCAGACGTGCAGCTGGACCGCAGCTTGATCTCGACGATGGTGATAGGCAGGAACGAGCTGCTGGGGTGGACCTTCTATGAATCGGCCACTTAGATAGCAACCGCCTCTAGCCTCTCCTTCGGATGAGGCCGAAGCATGACGTGGCTTTCTTCCCTTTACGCGGCTGACTTTTTGGCTGGGTGAGATCCAACGCACGTTCCATCCTCCACACGTTCACCTCCATCTCCCAAGCCATTCCTTCCGTTCCCCTCAACCTCACTAACTCAAAATGGATACAGACAGATCGCCGTCTGTGTCTGTCTCGGAGTATGGAGGCGCTTCGGAGAAGCTGACGAACGTTTGAACGCTAGCTTTGTTTGTTTGGCGCGCTCCAACCGGATCTGACGCGTTTCAAGTGCTTCAGCTTCTCCTTCTACGTCCGTTCATCGGGTCTAGGCTTGCAAGAGGGGGATGGGGTGGAGCTCATAAGCCTGATCTATATCTTCAAGCCGGAGACACCGGCTCTCACTCCTCTTCATCTTTGTGTATATATCGGTCGACACCGTCCAGACTGATCGGATTGCATCTCGTAACATCGCCACCGCCCACATCCTCACGTCGACCACGCTGCTCCTCTTACCGCCCATCGCCACCCAGCGACTAGGCGCCATGATGTATCCACTATCTCCCCCTCTCACGCCTCATACCCGTCCTACCACCTCCCACATCGACACCACCCCTAGCAGCGCTACGTCCTCCGCCACCGAGTCCACCTCTGGCGCGTCAAAGGCCTACTACCGCTCGCCCAAGATGCTACCCATCGGGAGTCCCTCCTCATGTCCCGACTTTGCCCTCCCACCGCCATTCTCAGAAGACTCTATGCCCAGCTTCGACCTCCCTGAGCCGTCACTGGAGTACGGCGACGCCCAGGCTCGCTCTCCTCACTATCTCGCCACTTCCGACTCAAATCGCTCCACTACACCAACACTCTCGGAGCCTTATCCCTGGCGGTACGATCTGACCCCTCAGGAGCGGGACGAGCGGGAACTCCACCTGTTCGGCGCGCGGGGCCGGTCCGGACTCCGCGTTGTCATCGTGACCGAGAACTTCCTGCCCAAGGTGGACGGCGTCACTCGGACCTTGGCGCGGCTGCTCGAGCATCTCGAGCGGGAAGGACACCAGTGTATGCTGCTCGGGCCGGAAACGGGGATGGGACACTATGCGAGTCATCCGCTGGTGGGGACAGCGGGGGTGCCGCTGGTAGTCTACCCGGGGCTGAAGTTGAACTTTTTGCGCCCAAAGTTCATGCGAGCAATCAAAGACTTTGTGAGTCAGCTGTCGCATCATGACACAGGGTGCAAAGCTGATCTTGTAGCAACCGGATGTCATACACTTTGTCGATCCCATCTGGCTCGGCGCGCAGACGCTCATGGCGATGGAGCTCGGATGGGCGGGCGAGGACTGGGTCAGTGATGGGGGACCAGCTCTGGGATCTGGGATAAGAGGGGCAGTAGTGGCGAGCTACCACACGTGAGTTCTCGTCGATTGATGCCTTTGGGACCCAAGCTGACCTGGTAGCAATCTCGCTACGTATGCTACCCTCTTTGGCATGGCCTGGCTCGAGCCGATCATGTGGCGCTTTCAGTCCTGGCTTTACTCCAAGTGCGTCGCTACTTAAGACCGGCGCCGAATGATAGCTGACCACCAGGACACTTCTCACTCTATGCCCTTCCCCCTCTACACTCAGTATGCTGGAAGGCCAGTCATTCTCCGGCGTCCGGCTCTGGCCTCGCGGCGTCGACCTATCGCAATTCGGCCGCCACCGCCGCTCCTCCGCCATGCGCGCTTCCTGGGGCGTTGGTGATGCTCCAGTCGTAGCACCTCCCAGCAAGACGGAGCACTCCCCGATTGGTATGGGAACGCACTGGCAAGGTCGCAAAGCCTCGCTCCCGCTTACGCCCCCTCTCACCCCATGGACAGGCCCGATCGACCAGCCGCTTCCTTCACCGACCGCACCATCTTCTCTCCCATCTCGGGTCGTACTCCTCTACGTCGGTCGGATCTCATGGGAAAAGAACCTCCACCTCTTGCTCGCCGCCTACGCTAAATTAGGGCAAAAGCTTGTCGGGTCCGGGGTGGAGATGCCCAAGATGGTGTTTGTGGGAGACGGGCCGGCCAAGGCGGAACTGGAGGCGATGTGCGGGAAGAAGGGGTACGATGCGGTCTTTATGGGGCATCGGTCAGGGCAGGAGCTGGCCGAGTGCTACGCTAGCGCAGATGTGTTTGCTTTCCCGAGCTTTACAGAGGTGAGGTTCGTCGTTCGATTCGGCCATTGGAGCGAGACAGCTGACGGTCCAGACATTCGGCCAAGTCGTCCTCGAGGCCTTGGCGTCTGGTCTACCCGTCATCGGTCTCGACGCCGAAGGGACTCGGGATCTCGTACAACACAGCGAGACCGGCCTCCTCCTCCCTCTACCCACTTCTGCATCATCCAGCTCCAACCCAAGTCGCTCGTGGCCGCTCATCTGCCGGGACAATACCTCGCCGGTCTTCGCCCAGTGCGCGGAAGAGTACGCGGACCTCTTGGCGCGTGCAGTGTGTGAACACGACGAGCGCCGGAGGATGGGGGATAAAGGGAGTACGGAGGGGATCAGGGGATACACGTGGTGGGATGCGATGGAGGTAAGTCTGTCACCTCGTGCCCGATAATCGTCAGGGCTAGAGCTGACATTCGTAGCGATGCGTAGATGGGTATCGCGAGTCTATGCGGATAGCGAGACAACGCCGCCAGGTCGAGGTTATCACGCACGACATGGGCGCAGCTCCGTGCGATATCTCGGCTGTCCCGGCCAGTCCCCGGACGTCAAGGATGAACAGGCTCGTGTCCCGCCGGCTAGCCCATCGGGGTGGATGGTCCAATCCAGCGGAAGAGGGTGTACCCGTACGCAAGTCGGGAGTGGGGATGTTTAGGCGGGTCAAGAGCGAGACGGGCGAGACGGTATGGCATTTGAGTAAGCTCCCCCTCACGGTCGTGACCCTCGACAGGGTGTAGCTGACCATGGACAGAGACGTTGCTGAAGCTCTTTGTCGCAATAGCGCTGTTCTATGGGGTGTATCAGCATCATCTCGGGGCGCTGGCTCGCTCGACTGGTTCCAAGCTGGCGGGGCAGAGGACTTGATGAGGATGGATCCTGGTTGGTGTATCATATTAATAGTTGTCAGTCTCTTTACGTCTAATTGTTGCATGCTACCTGTATGCTTTATGGCTTATCAGCTGTCCCTCGGTCGGGGAGCACTCGGTGTCGGCTAACAGTCTGTGTGCCACACTGCCACTCGGCGTAAGCGAGGAGGTGCCACCTGGGGGTGAGACATAGTCAGCATGTCTCGGCAGCTCCACAAGGCACACGAATCTGATCCCTGGGATGCTGACTGCGGAAGCATGAGCCGATCATATAAAGGCTCGCTTCGGATCACACTTCTTCGTTCGCCGTATTTTACTGTTACTTCCTCTTTCCACTTCCTCCTTGACTTCCTTGTCCACTTCCTCTCTTTTTCCTTGCATTGTCGCCGTGTCGGCCAACGTGAGTCCTCCCTCCTTTCTCCTCCCCGCCCACTCCTCTCAGCTCCATCCGGCCACACGCGCGGTATGATGCGGTACATCTACTGCTCGATCCCGACCCGTCCAGCCCGTAGTTTCGCTGCAGCTGGACGGGGTTCTCAGTCCCCTTCCCGCGCGCGTAATGGTCAGCCGCTGGGGTCGACAAGGAATTTCATGGCAAAGAGATACGTTGTCGCGCTTTTGGTCCTCTGGATCGTTGATGCCCACGCGAGCGGGGTCCGTACGGCAGGCTGCAGCTGAGGGGGGTGGGCGGAGGGGCGAGATGGGGGCGGACTCGCTGGAAGTGGGAGTCAGCTGACCCACTTCCAGATCTACGGCATTTTCAGTCTCTTGGCTTCGGTTATGGTCATGGCTGGTAGCTAGATGGCTCATATGTGTATATACACCTTTGATGTCGTGTAGAATGGACAAGGTGCTCCTCCTCAGTGCATCAGCCCCCAGCGCCCCAGCTGTGCGACGACGCATTCCTTAGCTGTCGGGGGCCCCTCAACGGTGTTTCACAATCTGCGCGTGTTGCCTATCTCAGAACGCGCTCTTCACATCGTTCATACCCTTGCAGAAGCATCTAGCTATCGTTGAGGAGCGCGTCAGGCCCAACCTTTGGTCTGAGAGCTCTTCATAGGCACCAGATAGAGGAAGTTTTGAAAACATGGTGAGCAATCTCGTCCACCGAGATTTGAAAATCTCGCTGACTCCGTAGCCTCCCGCTCCAGCGGCTCAGGTACATCCCCCATAACTAAACCGGAGGAGGATATCACGAGGGACAGTATACTGATAGACTCAGCAATCAGCGGCGAAGCGCCAGAAGTCTAACGTTGGGTCCGCACTGAAGAAACCAGCCGGACCAGATTATCAAGAGGGTATCCGGTACTGGGACAGCGTGCCTGCCAGTGTCGACGGTGTTCTTGGTGGCTATGGCAACGGGGTACGTCTACACTTCATAACAATCAGCTGTTCGAGCGGGAATGCACCCAAAGACTCCAATAGCGGGTTGTGCTGACCCTGTAGCCCGTCCCTCATATCGAGCAGCTCTCTTCCCGACTCCTCCTCCTCTCCCTCCTACCCTCTCTCCACACTTTCGCCTCTCCTCTCACACCTACACCGTCCCCTCCGCCAGCTCATCGCCTTACGGCGCTAGACGTTGGAGCGGGTATAGGTCGAGTCACGCGCCACGTTCTCCTCCCCCTCTTTGACGACGTCGTCCTCGTCGAGCCGGTCGACAAGTTCGTACGCGAGGCACAGCGCAGTGCAGCATCAGGCGAATGGCGCGATCTGCCTAGAGTAGGCAAGCAGCCATCGGATGATGGAGGCAATATGACAAAGTGGAAGGAGGATAAGCGGAAAGTGGACGAGGCGAAGCAGGGGCGAGGAAAGAGGGTGCTATGCGTCAAGGGAGGGCTGCAGGGGCTGGATCCAGCCTATCCTTTGAGAGGGGACATGTTCGAGTCGGTGGGTGTAGTAGGGGAAGCGACGGCTGGCGAGGGAGCGGAATTGGGCATAGATGACGAAGAGGTGGTGTATGATGCGTGAGCTGACCTCTTCATACCCCGTAAGATACCAGCTGACTTGGCAGGATATGGTGTCAATGGTGTCTGGGTAAGTCACCGCCCACTTTCAACAACGTAGCACGACATGAGCTGATGGGTCAGGGCACATGGGCCACGAGGATCTCGTCGCCTTCCTCCGCAAGTCGAAGGCTGCTTTGCGGAAATCGGAAGACATCACCGAGGAACCAAAAGCGGGCGGCTACACCTCGCTCATCTTTGTCAAGGAGAACGTCTGCGAAGACGCCGAATCGGGCAAGGGAAACGAGTTCTTGGATCCTGAGGACTCGAGCTTGACCAGGTGAGTCTATCTGCGTTTGTGGCATTGTGCCCTTCTGACGTGGATGGAAGTCTGTTTGGCGCATCATGCTGTCAGCAGGGTGATGTAATCCCAGGCGGTATATTGAGAGGCTGACAAAGTTCAGGTCAAATAACAAGTGGTCGGAGGTATTCAAAGACGCCGGGCTCGAGGTGGTCAAGGAGGAAGTGCAGCACGGGATGCCAGACGAGCTGTTCATGGTGAAGACGTGAGTGGGCGAGTCAGGGATGCAGCAGCCAAGCTAATGATGTGCAGATGGGCTCTGAGGTGACCACTGGAATCATGTTGGATGTTTACTCAGGCTCTCTATTGCATGCATATGTATAGCAAGGGGAACCTCCGGCATGCACATAGTCAAAGTGGACCAAAACAGCTATAGCTACCAAAACAACTTAAGAACCAAGCAAAGCATGCAACGCACGGACTGATCGACACGTGAATCGAGCGGAATTAAATGCCACGCCCCATAGTTGGCAGAAACTCCGGCGGGATTTGATCAAAGTGGCAGGTTCCCCCCTCTGCCCTGCCGGAACGAATTCACCGTGAGCAAAGATCAGCGCTGAGAGCTCTGTCAACCGTCAAGTCAAACAAAATCTGTGAGTAGACCACCCGCTACTGCATGGCGAAGAGAACAACAGCTGACACGTCTCTTCTCTCGCCAATCCCGAATCGATACATACATACCGAAACTCTCGTCGAAATCCCTATCCCTACCCTTATCCAATCTCGACAATAGCCACAATGCCGGCTCACATCCCCATCGTCAAGAAGCGCACGAAGGTGTTCAAGCGCCACCAGTCGGACCGGTATGCTGGTGTTAAGGAGGCGTGGAGGAAGCCCAAGGGTATCGACAACAGAGTGGGTATCTGTCTTTGTCAAGGATTGGCAGATTTGCGTGGAAGGGGATGGGATCAGCGGCTTGGCGGATGGAGCGGGGTGATGGTCGGAGAGGGCAGATGGGCGAATCTCTGTGGGAGAAGACTGTCCGAGGATGAGGCCGGCTGCAGAATGGAGAAGCATGATTGTGAGGGACAGAGGTTGAGAAGGGGAATTGCTGCGTGCCTAGGTTGGATAGGCTCTTCGCAGACTGGGAGGGAGGGTCGCACCCACACCATCAAGAGCATCAGCTGACAATTCAGGTTCGTCGTCGGTTCAAGGGTCAAACCCCCATGCCCAAAATCGGTTACGGTTCCAACAAGAAGACCCGTCACATGATCCCCTCCGGCCACAAGGAGTTCCTCGTCCACAACCTCTCCGAACTCGAGCTCCTCCTCATGCACAGCGGCAAGTACGCCGCTGTCGTCGCGTCGGGTGTTAGCAGCAAGAAGCGGGTGGAGCTTGTTGAGCGGGCAAAGATCTTGGGCGTCAAGTGAGTTCAGATGTCTGGAGTGGAGAATTCGCAAGGCTCGTAGCTGACTTTCCAGGGTGGTCAACGCTGCTGCCAAGCTGAGGACAGAGGAGGCATAGTTTGGGATTTGCATGTATGAGGCCTTTCCGAACCGAGACCTTTCCCGAGAGATCGCTCGGCGAATCCCTTACTAATGCTCGATCGGCCATCACTATACGCATCGATGACCGCCACTTCGGGACTCCCTTTTGCCCGGTACACTGCTACTCTGCCCGACGATGCTACCTCCTCCGGAGCCGGTTCAGAACAGAAATGGGTCGGAGCACTGAACCTCAATGGTCGCACAGCTGTATAGGCGCGTGGGTGCCGATGGGCGCCGAGCGGGATATACGAACACTTTCTCATCGGATCTGAATCTCTCACGCGTTGTACAGCCTTTCAACATATTGCTGTGCTCAACATGCGTGGAGATCGATCTGATGAATGGAGTGCGTGGGCTCGTCATCTGTGCTCATCACTTTGATTTGAACTGCGGACATGAACATCCTTTGCGAACCCCCTCGATTCCGCTGCGCGACGCAGGCCCTTCGCCCTCTGATATAGAGAGGAGTGTGTCGCCACTTGGGCCGCTCTTCATACCTTTCCCTCTTCCACGTCGCAATCGTCAAGGAAATTTGGCTGTCTTCACCACCCTTTTCCGCGTTGACTTCCACCTGTTGCTCAAATGGACGACTCCGCTCTCAATCTCCTCGTCACCGATGACACCGGCACCTCCAGCAATCCGAAGAGACTGGATGCATGGTTCGCCGGATTGACGCCCCAGTCGCCGACACCTGGAAGCAGCTCGGGGGCCACCTCGTCCCATGTCCCCAATACCGTCGAGCACGAAGAAGCCGTCCTGGCACGCGGCCGATCAGCTCTTGCCGCTGGTCATGCCGCGGTCCTTGACAGTGGTCGACAACTCACCCTGTTCCTTCAGCCGGATCCCGCGTCAGGAAGGAGGGTCGCAGATCGGGCAAAGCAAGACAACGCCACCAAGACCGAGCCCACCGACCTCGAAGCCTTCAAGATTTTCTTCGAGGTCGATGTGAAGGAATACGTTTCCACGTTGACGGACGCGCTGAAGTGGTGTGCACAACGTGGCATACCCAGGACTTCGGTCTTTCGATCATGCGAGCCGGGCAGTCAGTCCGTTCGCATCGATGGTCGAGAAGTCGCGACAATGACCTGCCCGGGAATGAGCTCGCCCCTTCCTACTGAGATCTGTCTCCATCAGCATCGCGCATTGGCTGCGGGAATCCGGTCACTCCTGGTCCTCTACGAGTAAGTTTCGAATGGATCTGAAACCACCTGATGAATCTCGCAGAACAGGCGGCAGCCCGCTGCTGGTGCTCATGCTGACTGTCTCAGTCAGAGCCTGACCGCGTCCGTGGCGCACAACACGCCAAGTCGGCCGCCATCTGCCGAGATGTGCGAGCGGATCCAAGCGCTGACCAAGAGGCGATCTGCTCAACACTACATGAACACAAAACTCGCACGCGACAACCTTTTGCGGTCGGCGTCAATGACCTCTGCGAGTCAAGATCTGGAGAAGCTCGTCCAGGTAGCCAAGGAAGATCCGAAGGTTGCAGCAAGGTGGCAGGACCTGGTTGAGAATCTTTTACCGGCCGTCCAGCCAGCACTGAGCGGCATCTCGCAGTACTGCCAGAATCACGGCGTACCTGACCATCTCGTTACGTCTTCGTGTTACTCAGCAGATCAAGACATCTCGGATCCCCAGGGATCTCAGCTATCTGCACCGGGTAGCGCGTGCCCCAGCGAGAATCTTCTTGGCTTCAGGTACGCAGTGTGTTTACATCAATGGAGTGAGCTCTGGAGGTCATGCCACGAGTTGCGAGACTTGTACTTGTGAGTGCTTCGTGCATTCCTGATCCGGCATAGGCTATCTAGCGCTCATCCTCCAGTTCCGAGATGAGCACAAGGAACGAGGCCAGCCATGCAGATGCGGAGACAGGTGCGAGCGATATGCCTTGACAAGTTGACGAGGACGATGCTCGAGCTGAGTGAGAGATTGTCGGCGGGACGAAGTTCTGTGTTATGCATTGATGACTGTGCTACTCATCAGCTCCGTCGTCGTCGCCAAAGCATGCGAGCTCTCCGGTTTGAAGTTCCACGATGATTGGCAATCGGCATTCTTATCGAGGCCATGTATTGACCTCATTGAGGCAATACAAGTGTTCCTTCCCCGGACGTGGAGACTCACCCTCTGACCTTCCGCGCAGGCATGGACTCTGCATCCCGCCATCCTACTTGCCTCCTTTGCCAAGCGACCCTTGACAAAGGTCGGTAGGTAGGTGTCTGCTCTGCAGCGGACTGCGATTGTATTTTCCCCCTTCGCTCTCGATTTGCCACCCTGAGTCAACTGAGCACTCTTAGTATTTCCCCTGATCATCTTTTTTTGGCATCTGATATTCTGCTAACTCCGCACTATTCAAGATCATGGAACAAGCGGATGACACCTCAGACGCAGTGGACAGTACGCCTGGGTGGGAAGAAGAGCAGTGGCGGGAGCGCATAGGGGAGTCATCCGCCGCACTTGAGGACTGCGTGGACAGCCTTCGGACGGCGATGCGCAATGTAGTGCCAGCGAAGCATCAGACGCAGCAGCGGATTCTTTGGTCCAAGATGAGCCTTGAGATCCAGACAGATCCGGCGGTCATGGCCGCCCTTCGGGAGCTGCTGCTCGAAGAACTGCCAAGATACCAGACGGTGATCGAACAAGCGCGGCAATGGGGGAAGGATCAGCGGCCTGAGGCCGACTGGTTTGGGTCGGGCAACGCTATCACCGAGTCCATGGAGAATTGCAAGCTGATGTATGCGTGAGTTTCAGGCTTTCAAATAGACTGCGGGTTGAACGAAATTGGGACGATCAGGTCTGCTATCGGAAAGAACTCGGCTGCTGAATCGATACAGGGTGTCGATCATCTCGGCCACTTCAGTCCGCGACCCCAACCACGCCATCCTGGGGATGTCGAAAGGAGAGCTTCTTCAAGAAGGGTGCCGCGCGCGACGGCGAAGAAACGCGCGATTGTTCTCCCGTGCGGATGAGGCGGAACAAAACGCCTATTCATTGATACAGGCGCAGTTGCGAGAGCGCGGACTGGTCGATCGCCAAGTGACCACGTCGGTGATCGAGGAAGTGATCACTCATACCGAGATTGCCTCTGCTCTGACTGAGCTGTTGAAAATCCACAAGCCGCTGCTCCGACGTGCGAGGGAGGAGGCGTACGGGTGGACGCGGAGTATGCAGGACACCTCTGAAGCCGATACACTGTACACCGCGTCAATCGTGGTTCCCTGCGGACTTCAGTCTACGTCCTTCGTTGTGTCAGACCGGGCTACAATGGAAGGCAAGCGCTCTGACGGCCGACTGACCCGGACGACCCATGTTCTGGGACCACGCACAGGACCCTGCCGAGCGATTCCGTCGGACAGGTCGGAGGCAGTGTGCGCTCATCGCCACGCAGAGATCCAAACGCGGACCTTGCGGCTTGAACCGTACCTCGAGTCAGTAGCTTGGTGTCAGGTTGTAATCTCGTGGGTGACACACAGGCTGACACTTTCAGGTCCTTGATGAGAGCACTGTCAGCTAGCGCTGCGTCGAAAGCGCTGATGGACACGGGGGATAGCTCATGACTGAGGAAGACAACTTGTACTATCAGGCGATGAGACGAATTAGGTAGATTCCACTCCACCTGGTTTCAATGCGAGGGAGTTTATCGGGATGTTGAGGAAGACTCAGTACGGTGATGAGCCGAAAATTAATGGGTCCCTGAGATGCGGTCCCCTTCTGCATGACGTCCAAGACGCCGCGTCTCGCCAGCTGAGTTCTCCCGTCTTGCCGCGTTCGATGGGAAGATCCGAGCCGAATCGATCGATGAGGTCCTAGCTGCCGGAAAGAAATAGTCAGTAAATGCTCCACATCGAGCATGGGTCGTCAGCATCTGTTAAACATCAAGAGGTGGGCGATTAGCGCGATTACAAGCAGTCCGGCGCTGAGCCAGAAGAGGATAGGTGGGTACGAGACGATCCTCTGATACTTCATGTTCCGGTATGAATGCCCCGAGGGGAAGATCATATGTCGCACTAAGGGCGGCAACTTTGCCCCGTCAGCTTAACCCAGACTGCAATGTCGTAGCTGCGCGCGAGGAGGCTCACCATTCTGCATTTACACCAACCATGTCTTGATATCCTGCTGTTCGAGTGCCGAGCTCCAGCTCTTCCCCTCTTTGTGTATATACTTGAACGAGTCGACGTTCTCGCCTTCCAGGTGAGCATGCAGGTGCGGGAATTCTGCAATGATCAGCATGCCGCCCGTGATTGATACCCTAGCAAGCTTTCGGAACAGCTTGTCGAGACAGGCAGGAACTTGACCACTCACTCTCTCCATCTCCCTCCCATTCTACCCGCTTGAAAGCGCTCAACCTCCCCAATTCACACCGCAACACCGTCACGCTCGGTACGTCCGCGAAGAACCTGTCCAGCGTCTTGGGCACCTGCTGCGAAGTGGAGAAATGGACAAAGCCGTCCTTGTAGTCCAGCTCGGAAAGGAAGAAGGTATGTGAGGCGGGTATGGGCGTCGGGATGGTAAAGCTGAGAGTCGTCAGCAAGGGTACCTAGCAGATGATGAGCGTGAGTTTGCTCACCGGCTGTCTACCGAGGAGTGGGGAAAGATCTTGTAGATCCACTGAACGGACGACATGTTGGCGGGCTTGGAGGACGGGGAGATGATGTTCAAAGCCGATTTGAGCAAGTTCATGATATGTGGCAATGAGAAGGGAGCGCTGTCGGTTCATCCAGTCTGCTGATCATCATAATCATCCGCTGCGTGCTAGATGCAAAATTTGCATTTATCCTACTGTTGGAAATCCGAGCTAATCAACTAAGGTCTATGGAACTATACTATAACTATCTATTCCCAAGTTACAGATCTAGCTCTCGCCCTCACGAACCCCAGTGATAGCCCCCGTAATAACGCCGCCCACTCCCAGTCTTTCACCCCCTCCTCCCATGCATCCATCTGCTTCTTTGTGTCCTTCTCCATGAACCCCCCGCTTGTCATCACGACCGCCGAAAATTTCCCAATCCCGCTCGGAGCATTCTCCCTCGTCTTCGCTGCCACCGCCCTGAGGTATCTGTCCATCTGCGCCGCAATCTGGTCCCAGATCGGTGTTGTAGAGGTGGATGAGACTGGGTGTTGGGGATCTTTGCCGAAGGAGGAGAGGGCGGATTCGCTGAAGATGGAGTAGACTTTGATGTCGTGTTCCGAGGTGGCCAGACCAGACCCGTCTGAACCCCAGACCCGGAGATCGTTCCTTCTCAGGGACTCTTCCGTTGAAGTAGGCTCGAGTTCTACCTTGACGCCCCGGACGGACGAGAGGGTATCTGACGATGTCGTCATGACCCAGCTTCTGCGCGCCACGGCGATCACCGTCACGAGGAATGAGTATCATTTTGGCGCTTTAACCGTTCCACGACTCGAAAGGCATCACGAATCCAATCCGGAACTTCTGTCATACATCATCCAGCGAAGGAAAGACTCCATACTCTCACAAGCTACCATGTACCTCAGACCAGTCCACACCGATCTCGATCCTCAAATCTGCCATAACTTCGTCAAGGCCCATCCGCTGGGCCTGCTCATCACCCACCTTCCTTCCGCCGACGCGTCAGGCGCTCCCCTTCAAGCTTCCCACATCCCCTTCGTCATCGACGCTCCTCCAAACGGCTTCGCGGCCGAGGGAGGCGAAACTGCGGGGAGCTTGGGGGTACTGAGGGGTCACATCGCGCGAGCGAACCCTCAAGTCAAGGCGATCCTCTCCGCCACCGCCACGGCCCCAGCCAGCACAACGGGCGGCCTCATATCCTCCATCTTCGGCTCTTCCACCTCAAACTCACCTCCTCCCCCACTCGATACCCTGTCAGACGACGTCCTCGTCATCTTCACTTCCCCTACCCACTCCTACGTCACCCCCACATTCTACACTACTACCAAGCCCTCCACCCACAAAGTCGTGCCCACCTGGGACTACGCCGCGGTCCAAGTCTACGGTACACTACGAGTCTACAACAAAGGGGAAGAGACTGGTGCGTTCCTCCAGCGTCAGGTAGAGGATCTCACGCGGATGGAGGAGGACAAGATGCAGGCGGTATGCCCGGCGGGCTCGCTCAAACGGTGGGACGTCGACGAGTCACCCAAGAGCTATGTGGAGGCGCTCAAGAAGGGGATTGTGGGGGTGGAGATTGTCATCAAGCGGATAGAGGGGAAGTTCAAGATGAGCCAGGAGAATGAGCTGGGGGATTGGGAGGGGGTCGTCGATGGTTTCAAGGGATTGGGGACGGAAGATGGGAAGCGGATGGCGGAGGCCGTGGAGGCGAGGGGGAAGGACAGGGTCAGGCGCGGAAAGGGTGACGAGGTGATCGGCGGGGAGGAGGTGGTCAAGAGGGGGGATGGAGCGGATCACGAGTTGAGCTCAGCTTCCGCGGAGCAGGCGAAGGCCGACGGTGTATAGCGAGGTTCACGCAAATTGTAATGCTAGACTCGGGGAGCCCGGTTGTAGATATTTTATCGTAGCCTGTGCTTACTTCCATACTTGAAAGGCAGTATCTATCTGTAATGGTCTATGTATCTAGGCAAAGAAGGTTCACCAAGTTACCTCACATCCTACTGCCAGGTGATCGCTCGCACCAATGCCCTTCATAGGTAGCCCCTCCCCCAGCTCCGTCTTCTTTGCCGGTCGTAACACCTGTTTGACCTCGACGTCCGCGTCGCCAGTCTTCGGGGGAATGATAAAGAGGTAGTCTATTCTCATCAGTATGGGCACTCCCAGGCTGAGACCATGGGACCCACCAAGAGTGAGCTTGAACAATCCAGTGAAGCAAGTATACCCCGGCTCGTCGCCGCCCTTATCCGCCTTGGTCCCCTCTGGCCACCCGTCTCTTGATGCGAAAGTATCATCGGCCTTGCCCGCCCACTGCGCCACATCGTACGCGCTTTTCAGCCCCTCGCCCACCAGCTCCTGCATGATTTTCTGCAGCGCATCGACCGGTAAGATCCCGTCCCGCGTCTGAAGCGGTCGAGTCTTCGTCGTTGGATCGACCTCTGCTTCTCCCTCGTCGTCTTTCTCTGTCATGGCATCGACCGGCGCGGCCAGCGCAGTAGGTGTGTTTGCGCCAGTCCCGTTGGCAGAGGTCGACGTCGAGGTCTGCTGGTCGCCTTCTGCAACTGGAGCAGGCTTGGCGGACGAGGAGGTCTCGGGCGCGGGATCGTTCGACCACATGACGGGTTTCTCGATAGGGGCATAAGAGGCCGGAGCGATCCGGTCGACGCTGTTGTGGACTACGCGGGATTCTTCCAACCGCTCGCGGACATCTGGTTGGAGGGATTTTGAAGGGTCGACGAGCAGCTGGTACGGGGCTTCACACGGTGACGAGTTGAAATCTGGGCGTCAGCTATCGTTCACGAGTTGGCCGTGCGAGCTTACCTCCCGCCATGATAGCTGGCCAAGACTCGAGGCCATGCTCCTTTCTGAAAGCCTGGAGAGCGCGGAGGAGGATGATGAACTGCCTGACGCGCTCGTACAAGTATCTGGCTATCAGTCAAGCCTCACTGTGTTCCCACGGAGACACCTACTTGGGATGCCAGAACCTGCGCATGGTCAGCGAAGATCCATTTGTAGGCCCTTTCATCACGAAGGAGGAAGCTCACAGATGCGCAGTGATAACAATCACTCCCTCCCCCTTCCCCGCCCTCTCCTTATCTTCCAGCCCCACCATCAGCCCCACATTCTTCGTCTGCCTCGTCCCCCCTCTCCTCCGCCTCCGCTCATCTTCGCCCCGCTGCCACTTCTTTGCATCCCGCCCATCATCTTCATCCACCTCGTCTACCTCCCCCTCCGGCAAGGGCGATATCTCCTCCTCGTCCAGGTGGATCACGCGCGTGCCGCGGAAGCCAAACCGCTCAGATTTGTACGCAATGACGAGGCCGTGTTGCTTTCCTCTGCCTTTGGCTTGGACGCATGCGTCGTATGGCATCGAGTTGATCAGGTCCGGGAGGCGGTCGCATTCCTGATGAGTGAGCTGGCTCTGACTTGGCATATGGGTAGATTGAAGAGAAACTCGGCCTACCTGCATGCACAAGATGTCGGCCATACGACCGTAGTGTCCAAGCTCAGACTCGAGCATGGCTCTTCGGTCACCCCATCTCAAACTGTCCGAACCGGGAAAGAGGTCCCTTCCTGAGTCTATCAGTACCGTTCACCAGCATGGGAGCGGACGAGCCCGCCGCGCGGACCAGCTCACGTATCAATGTCTGAGCCAAGATCTACGTTGAGTGAGCTTGGTCCACAATCACGCCAGCCTCAACCTGGGAAGAACGGGCAACGATCGGGTGGCTTGGAGCTTACATTCCAAGTAATGATCTTGACACCCTGCTTCTTGCCAGTGCCCGCAGCTCCAGGCGCAGCCCGAGCAGGTATCCACTCCCGCTTTAACACCCTAGCCCTGGGATCTTCCACCTCCTCGACCGGCTGTTCGACTCCAGCAGCCAACGCGAGGCGCTTCGCCTCCCTCGCGGCCCGTCGTTCGGCCGCGACAGCTTGTTGCTCGGGCGTGAGGGTTGGCTTGAGACCCATAGCGCTTGCGGTCGGAGAAAGAGGCGGTTGAGGAATGAGTTGCAAAAGTGATCTTTGGGCGATGACGATGTTGAGCATTTGCGACGCGGGCCGCGCTAGCCAAAACGTCGGATCAAGGATCCTGAGCATGACGCATAGTGGCCGACGGTCGGCTGCACTGTGTGGGGCAGACCTGACAGCCACTGATTCTCAAGCTCTAGTGTGCATAGCAAGAGAAGTACGAAAACGAGTCGAGCAATCCCGCCAGCTCCGATCTCATCCATCTCCCTCGATCTCCGCACCTCCTCCCCAGATCGATCAGCAGCAGCCCACGTCTACGCTAGCTGTACTCTACAACTCGTCGTGCTCGGGCGCGTCATCCTCCTCCTCCTCCTCCTCAACTTCCGCCTCCCCCTCAACATCCCGCTTCCCGAGCTCCTCGCCGCCCGAGGACGCCCGGTTGGCCTCGATGAACTCGATCAAGCTCTCGAGCGATCGGTCCCCGTTGTAGTCGACAAACTCGGACGAGCCGGCCGGGCGGAACTTGAGTGTGGGGAAGCCAGAGACCTTGAAGGGAGCCTGAGGGGGGATGTCATTCTCGGTCGCATCCATCTGGGCGCTGTATGGTCAGCTTGCGATCAAGTGAACGAACAACGAAGCTGAGGGTAGACGTACATGACGACAGAGTTGGTAGCGGTGTACTTCTCACCCAAGGACTCCCAGATAGGGGCGAGACGCTCTACGATTATCAGCTCATGCTCATAGGATAAGACCGGGTTCTGACATACGGCAGTGACCACACCAAGGTGCGTAGAACCTGCTGGTCAGCTATAATCTCAAGGGATAGCCGTATCGACTGACTCGGCAAAGACGTCCTTGCTCTCGTCATCAAACAGCTGGTTCCACCCATCGGCGGTAAGCTTGAACACCGGTCCCTGCTCCGTAGGGATTTCCTGGCTCTTGATGCTAGGCTTGACATCGCCCGCAACCCACTTGCGCACAAAGCTCTCTACGGAGCTCTTGTCCGCGACACCAGTGAGGGGGTACTTGGTCTGGGCCGCGAGGTCCTGGATGACGAATGCGGGCCAAGCGTCTCCGGGGAGGTTGAGCGACTTGCCGTGGTCGACAAATTTGACGGCGTCGATGTAGACAAAGTTGACCTTGCCCTTGAGCTCGCGCGCGAGGGGAGTGAGGTCCTCGACGAATTGCTGGAGGACGTCAATCTTCTCGGGCTCGACAAAGAGGTACGCGATGGGCAGACCCTGCTCGGCGTACGACGCAAAGTTCTCGGGCGAGATTTCGTCCATAAGGGGGACCGAGTTGAGCTTGACGAACGCGCCAAGCGATTCGGCGGTAAGGGATGCGACCTCCGACGCGGGGAGGACGGTGTGACCCTCGTCGAATTGCTTGTAGAGGACGATGGCAGGAAGGGAGGGGGAGTCGGGGATGGAGGGGTGCGAGCCGGAAGCCATCTGGCCAAAGAGGTAGGTGTCGCGCGCAGTGTTGGCGTAGTCGAGGTACGTCTGGGGAACGGGGTGCGAGGCGTCACCGTAAGCGACGAGGACACTGACAGTCAGCTCAGCCCTGGAAATGCGAAAGCTCTGGCAGCTTACACCTTGTCGTCCTTGATGAACTGATCGTGCGAGTCGAGGGTCACATCCGTGATCGCAGGCAAGCTCTGCCTGTAATCATCAGCCACGCCTAAAACAGACTGAGGTGCAGACCCACTTGATCATGTATGACACAATACCGTCCGCCTTCCGCGGCCCCGAGTAGTCGGTGGGAACACCATTCCGGAACACCTTGAGTGTCGGATAGCCGTTCACGCCAAACTCGGCGCATAGGTCCTGCTCGTCCGTGCAGTCAACCTTGGCGAGCTTAATGTTCTTTTTGCTTTTAAGCTCCGTCGCGGCTTCCTCGTAGTGTGGGGCGAGGCTGATAGGTCAGCTCAAGTCCAGGCGTAATGCGCGTAGTATTGGCGGTAGAGGTGAGAACAATGGAGTCTGATGTGAGGTGGGGGATCGTGCGCAAGCTTGTAGATGGCGAGAATCGCCACCGCCCCTGCTTGGGCTCGCGTGCGCCATCCCAGTAGCTCAAGCAATCCCTTGGGAAGCCCCTATCCCTCTCAGAGGCCGACAGCCCTCCCCTCACTGCCGGCAGCACAAGCTCGCCGCCGTCCGCACAGCACACAGCCTCGCGTCCTCTCCGACCGAGCTCAAGATCGCAGACTCACTTTTTGCAGTGTCCACACCCTGATAAGTCAGCACTTATCCCCTAACAGCACACGCATACGGGTCCATCGATTCCGGACACCAAACAGAGCGACTCACATGGTGCGAAGAACTCTACAAGTGCCAGGTCCTCACTCATGACCTCCTTGTTGAAGGAGGACTTTGTGAGGTCGAGTACGTCTGATGCCGCCAGGACCGAGACGAGCGCCGCGAGGGCTGGGATGGTGGTTGATAGTCTCATCTTGTATGATATGTCTATATGAGAAGAGTCAAGATGTGAGAGAGATGGGATTGATCAGCAGTGGAGCTGAGCGCCGATCAAAGGAACGTGATGTCGACGTGTCTATTTGATATTGATCCCGCAACTGGCGCCACGCACGTCGACGCGACTGACCTCTTTGGCATGCTCGATATGCTGAGCGTACAGTGATGAAGATGGACTATGAGGAGGTGCATGGCTACATGAAGATACTGGTCGCGCCTGCTTCTACAAGCCGCGTCACATCTTGCTGTTCCCAGGCGCAGCCTCTTTGAGCTTATCAGCCGCAACAGCCTCGTCAATCTCCTTGATCCCCGTTGTCTTCGCTGGTAGGCCTCTGCGCAGATATCGCTCCATCCCGGGTGCGAGGCCCACGGGTATGGCGTCTTCTGGCGGGTGGGGCTGGTGATCTCCCTCATCCTTCTCGTCAGCTACTGCCTTCAAGCGTGATCACGACTGCACTTACGCTGACGACCTCTCCGTCGATAATAACACAATCTCTCATCTGGAGATCAGCTCATACCCCACTCCCGTCATCTATCTCCGATCTGATGGAGAAGTGCTCACGCTCCAGTCCCGTTCTACCCCGTTATCCAGATAATCAGCCCGGCCCAGCCACACAGGCTCCCACTCGCCAACACCACACGGCGGCAAGTCCTTCTCTGACCCACTCAGCTGCAGTAAACCCGACGCTGCTCCCAGACTCGCAGTCGAGCGGGTCTCGGTGATGCTTGGTCTGCTGCCCGCCTGCTCTGTACCAGATGCAGATGCAGGTGTAGATGTGGTGGACGGTGTCTTGCGCTTGTATAGCGAACAAGATGCGCATCCCGCCGAGACGTCCAGATACTTGTTACCTGTCAACTGGTCGAGTCAGCCCGATCCTGCCCGATCGTCTCCGGTACATGGCCAGTCGGGTCACGCGGGACGAGAGAGACTCACCGCCCTCCCCAGCGCAATCACACTCGCAGCGTGCCCAAAAACCACCACGCTCCGGACGCCCATCTCCTCCACCCTCCCCGTCCACGCCTCGATGAACGTATCTGCCCGGTCTTGCAGATCTCTGATCAGCTCGCCCTTGCGCGAGGGGAAATGGGTGGAATCGTAAGACAGGTCGAGCTGGTCTGGGAAGAGCGGGGAGAGGGTTTTGGGCGAGGACGGGCGGGGGTGAAGACCTGTTCCTGGGCGGGCGGGGGAGTACCTGGGAGTCAGCACCTGCTTCTGGATACAGAGCCCCGTAGCTGGAAGCCAGTGGAGGGAATCGAGCGCAATGAATCGCTTATCGCCCTCAGCAGGACAAATTGATACCTACCATTCCATCACCCCATGTTCCAGCTTGACCCCTTCCCCACCCTTCACCGCACCCTTCGCCTGCAGCGCCAAGCTAGTTGGCACCGATGTCTGTATACACCGGTAGAAGGGACTCGAGAATACCTTCTCGGGTACCGGATGCGGCGCCAGCGCTTCGGGGGAAGAGAGGAATCCCGCAAGCTGGGCGGATTGGGTGAGACCGTATGCTGCGAGCTACGATATCAGCGCAGTCCAGTTGCAGAACATGTATACGCTCGATGAGCGTGGAAGGTAAGTCCAGGATAGGGAGGACTGACAGGAGGATCACGGCTCATCCCCGTCGGCCCGGTCTTGATGCTTGGATCGACCCAGTTGGATCTGAGGGGAGATCAGTATATGTCAGAGGACCCAAAGCCAGCTGAGATTATGCAGGATAGATCTGCTCACCTGAATCCATGCCTGCAGATATAGATGTATTCCAGCGGCATGTCAGGCAGACGTGGTGGTGGGAGGATTGCTGGTCTACTAGACGTCGGGTATTGAAGCTGCGGGATTGACGCAGGCTATTTTCTGTGCTACACTGTCCTTGATGAGATGGGACGAGTCTATGGAGAAGGGCGATTGGGCGTGTGACACCTATGCACAAAGGAGGTTGAGACCAGAAGGGAGGGTGCTTGAAAGAAAGCGAACGCGAAGCGGTGGAGGAGTCGGTCGGCAATCATCGGGACAACTCGGGCCGGGCTGGTTTAAGAAGTGTTCGTCAAGCTGCTGAGCGATGAACGGTGAACGCCAGTCCTCGGCGCAGGCGGGGTTTCTGGGAACGAATGTGGTGGTAGTCGAAGAGGACACGCAAAAGATGTTCAGAAGTATCCAATTGTAAAGGACGCCAAAAATCTCTGGAGTGACACAAAAGTGAAGCGACCGTGATTTGCCCATGCGATACCCTTGATACCTCCCCAGCGGTCTGACCGCTCCAAAGACATCTCAGAACCCCATGCATGACCCAGTGTCTACACCTAGTGACCGAAGTTCGTAAGGATCTCGTTCTTGGGGACCGACGAGTCTGCCTTCGCCCGGAGCTTGAGCGCGGCTTGCTAGGAGATTGTCAGCTCCTACCCGATATCTCTCTCTTTCCTAAAGCTTAAAACTCACCTTCCTCTCAAAGTACGCCTTGCCCTTGGCCTTCCGCTTCTCCTCAAGACGGTCCACAACGTCCTTGTGTGCCCATCCGACCTCGTGGCTCACCCGCTTGAGCGTGCAGTATTTCCGTCCGGGCTTCAATCGCAGCACACGCAGCGCCTGGGGGACAACCACCTTCTTGACCTTGTCCTGCGCAGGGGGGACACCCTCGTACAGCTCGAGACGCTTGAGAGCGGCGGCACCACGGGCGGACTTGTGGGGGACCATTCCGCGGATCGCCTTGTAGAGGATCCTGGAGGGAGCGCGGTGGTGGAAGGGACCGGCACGGGTGGGGTTGACAATGTGGCGCTCTGCAGATTTAGCGCTTGTTGAAAATAGTGAGACCGAGCAATCTCCTGCCCCCAACTTTGCCCAGATACAATCCCTCCGCACTCCTCTTGATGCCCACCCGGCCGCCTCCACCTAGTCCCCATTCCCCTCTGACCACCTGCACCCCTGCCACGTATATGCCTTGCTCGCTATTGCCGAAAAGGAAAGCGACACTCACTGTGGAGGTAGTCGTGGTACTTGAGCTTGTTCCTGAAGAACGAGCCCGACACGTTGATCTCCTCACATCGGACGATGGTGACCTTCTGGCCCATGAGGATCTGCAGAGTCAGCACGGGCCCTGCCTGGATCCGAGCAGCATCTCCCTCGTCTCCCCATCTCCCTACCCTTCCAGTCCGGCCAAAATTTCCACCCGCAGTCATCCTGCCCATCCCGCTTGACATGTGCCATCCCAGTTGTTCCACTCGCAGCATGTCTCTCCTTGCAGCAAAGCCGCCCGCCTCTCATTCTTCCATCCCCCCTGCATGCCCTCCCGCCTGACGTTCTCCCTCCCTGACCAGCTCGCAACTCACTTGCTTCGACACAATCGAGGCAAGCCGACCGAGAAGGTGGGCCTTGCCGTCAATGACGACGGGTTGCGAAGAGAAGGACGACATCTGTTGGATAGACGATATGTATCGAGTATAGTTTCGAGATGTGAAGCAGGGCGGAGGGCAGTTGGATGCAATTCGATCAAGGATAGGTAAAAAGTTCGGTAAAGTCGTGGGTTTCGATATGAACGGAGGAACCTAGATCAGCGTTGTCCTCCCTCTGTGTCGGACGTATGCAGTAGCGACAGGTATTCAAGTACGCACCGTTGATCTACTCTACTTGCAGTATGCTACAATCAGACGAGCTCTGCCACTTTGCATGCATGCGCTGGCTGGGGCTGAGCGAGTGCGGGTGTTGCAACGGGCGACGCGCGCGGCAATATAATCGCTATTTCCGCCGAAAAAAGCTTGAGGCGACGGGAACATATCGCAGATAAGCGCTTTTTTAAACGCCGATGAGCCCGTCCCTGCGCGATGTTTCAAGAGCTGTTTCAAGGTCAAGATGAAACACCAGCACAAAGTAGTCCATCATGCATGAGGGTCAAAGGCGAGGCGAAGGTCGACCGCTGCACACGGATGTAGCGAAGAGCGAGATCATTCGAGTTAATCGCTCGGTCCAATTTTACGCATGGTCAGGTTGTATTGGCGACGCAGTGAATGCATGGGTCCTGTTCAGTCACTCAACGCCAAAAGTCTTTATACTTGCTCGAACGCTGAAATGGTCCAAGTCAGAACCATGCATGAGAGGTGATATGTCCTTTCTGTCCCAGATATGCTAGATGAAGACCACCAAACCCCAATTACCGCTTCGCCCCTGTCCTCCTCTTCCCCCTCAGCGCATTCTTCCCGCGCTTCGCCCCACCGCTGGGTGCCTGCCCATCAATAAACTTGACGAGCTCATCGACGTCCAGGTGTCCCTTCTCCCCTATCCTGCTCGCGTCCCTGACCGCCTGCTCCGCCTTGGCCGCCGCTGCCGCCGCTCCAGCCGCCGACGTGCCTGCCGTAAGGCTCCCCGCCATCCCAGTCGAAGGAGGACCGACAATAGGCCGGCGCCTGGTCGTAGCTGCCACTCTCGCCTGGGCCGCTTGTAGCCGCTCCGCCGCCCTGTCCTTGGCCATCTGCGCATTCGCCTTCTGCCTCTCGACATTCTCAACGACGACCTGCAAGAGCTCGACATTGCGACCGACCTCCTTAGTCTGCTGGTTCTCCTCCCCTACGCGCGCCTTGAAGATCTCGTATGCCGCCAGAGACACCTCGAGGGCTTTCGGGACGTCGTTGACGAGGAAGTAGGCCTGGGTGAGTTGGTGCAGAGCGTGGCCGTTCGAGAGGTGGTCCGAACCAAAGGTTTCTTCCGAGGACCGCTGGACCTGCAGGAGGAGGTTGAGGGAGAGGGCGTTCTCGTTGATCGCTTGGAGCACAACACCGGCGTTGCTCTGTCAATCAGCTCCGTCCAGCAGACCCAGATAGAGTACTCACGAGGATAGTATTGATCTCGGGGTGGCCTGGACCATATACCACATCCCAGACCGTCAAGACATGCCTAAAGTACCTCAAGCTTGCCTGGGTGTTCCCCTCCAGATTCTCCAGCATCGCGAGATTGAAGTAGTACGTGGCCGTCGTGGGATGATACACACCCAACGTCCTCTCGGCAATGATGACCGCCTGACGCTGAAGCCGGATCCCGGTCCCGATATCCAGACCGAGCGGCGATTCCGCGTCCAGGTTCTCGGACGTCATCTGCTGGATCTTAACCCGGGCGAGCTGGTAGAGGGTGGACGAGTACTGGTTGTAGGCCGCGGCGACCTCGGGGTGGATGATGGAGTGGATGTTCTCGTAAAACTGCACGCCTTCGAGCATGAGTTCCAGGCCGAGATCGATGTTATTGCGCTGGACGGTGTTCCGGCCCGCTTCCATGACCTCTTCAGGTACAGATGCCTGGTCATCAGCATGTGAACTGATCGGGCTGCCAGGCAGGAGGTCTGATACTTACGGATGGTGCGGTAGATCGGATGATGGGGATCATAGTCAAGATATCTGACGGCTCGATGGTAGTCGTCCGGACGCTCGGCGCCGATTTGGCCTTTTGCTTCTTGTCCTTCTTCCCCGCCAACTTGTCATCCTCTGACAAGACCCCATCCTGCGTACCCGCCTCAAACACATAGTCCCGCTGCAACAACTGGAACGCGAATCGACTCGCAAACTCGCGCAAGAGGTGGCGCTTCCGCAGCCTGCCCTCAAAGGCCTCGTCGTCCAGCCGCCATCGGAACCGCCGTTCCACCTCGGCAACGACCTGTTTCCGGAGCGACTCGGCTGTGAGCTGAGTGTAGGCGGGCTCGGCCTCGTCCGAAAGACCAAAGGAGTGATATACCGCCTTTGGCGACGCCGAGACATCTGTCCCAATAAGACAGTTGAGGAAGTGCGAGACGGCGCAAGGGATGTGTTCGGCCGAGAGACCGCGGATGAGGTTACGGAGGATATGCTTGCCCGCGCGGAAAATCATCTCTTGCTCGACGATCTTGCCGAATGACAGCAGGTGACCCTTCTCCTTGCGTGCCGACCCGTCCTGCTGGACAGTAAAGCTAGAGATGCTAGCGGCGATGTGACCGAGGTACCGGATGTTGATACCGCGCAGGTGCATGGCGCGGGAGAGAGATTGGCCATCCATGACCCCCGAGACGTTGGCCATCATGATGTCCAGCGTGAACGCGGGCAGGGCGACGTTACGAAGGAAGACCGAGGCATCGCGCACAGCCTTGATGGCCGGGTCCGACTCATCCGTGGTTGTAGAGGGGATATAGACCGACATGTCCCCCGAGCCCTTCTTGGGGGCAAGATCGACGAATGCGTCGGGGTTGAAGCGGAGGTCGAACTGCTTGATAGACTCGCCAACGACCTCGGCGTCCACAGGCTTGTCCTCCTCGGCCTTTTGCGCAGCGGCAGCCTCGGCCGCCGGTGACCCCTCGACCTCCTTGGCCTCCATGTCGACATCCTCAGAGGTCTCGGCTTCAGCCTCGGTAGGCTTCTCATCCACCACCTTATCCTTGTCCGCCTTGGCCTGCTGCTGCTGCGCATAGCTCCTAGCCCACCGCTTGAGCTCGCTCTCCCAGAACTGCTCGACCAGCTCCGGACGCAACAAAGCCATCCGATGCGGATATTTCTCTCCCTCAACCTCCTTTTCTGGCCCCGCGAGCTTCCCCTCATAGTCTTTCTCCAACCATTCCACATCTACCGGCATAAGCCGGGGCAGATCGAGGAGGTATCGCCGCCCGTCCGTACCGCGCAACGCCTTGACTTCGCTCGAAGCGAAAAAGTCGCGCTCGACGCCCTGACCGTCGGTGACTTTGTGCTCGGCGAGCTTGAAAGCCGATGCGAGCTTGGACATGACCTTGTGCGTAGGTTCTTCCCAATGAAGGACGGTCGAGCGTTCCGAGTCGACACCGTAGATAATCAGAGGGTTCTCTGGGAGTTCCTCCTCCTTCTCGGCACCCTCCTCCTTGGGCTCGGTCTTGGCAGATTTTGGCGAGTCCTGAACCTTGACCCAGTCCTCCTTCTCCCCATCCTCCTTCACCTCCGGCTTCTTCTCGGCCTCCTTGGCCTCCTCGTCGCCTATCCGCCGGGAAAAGATCCCAGGCAGCATGGTCTGGCAGACCCATCGCTCTCCTCCCCAATCCACCACCGTGTGTCCGAGGAGATGCACACCGTCCACATCCACCTTGTTCAGCAGCTTGACACCCGCCGCGTCCTTGGCATGCGATACCCACGCGGCAGCGTCTCCGCCGAGATGTTGGTAAATATCGATGCAGTCGACAGCGCGAGTGATAAAGATGTTGGACATGAGCCACATATGGCATCGGGGGTTTTCGTTGGGGTTCAAAGCGGGAATATCGCCACGCTAAAGTCAGCCCAGCCAATGCTAGTACTCACAGAGATAGCCAAGACGGCACGTATCGAGGCCTGTGTGAACTCTGCCCATGTCTTTTGCGCCATCTTCTCCCGCAGTACCCTCTCCTGAATACTCTCCCGCTGCAGCTCCTTGATCCCCTGGAACTCCTCGTTCCAATCGCGAGCAGAGTCGAGCGCGTCCGCCGTACTTGCGCCGGTATGAAGGTACGCAAGCTGTGTGCGGAGGACGTCGGCAGAGGCGGCGGGTTTTGGAATAGGAGCCAGGAAAGAGTAGGCTGGTTCCGTTTGAGGTACGGGGACGGTAGAAATAGGCTCAAAGGGCGGTGGGGTAGTGCTCAGCGGTTGGAGGAGAGAGATCCGTTCTGAGAACAAGGGGGAGAGAGAGTGGATGAGATCGATGAGGGAGTGGGTAATTTCCGAGCGTGGTGTAGGGTCAAAGGTGTTGACGTTGGATTTGGAGACGTACCACCCTCGCGCAGTGCAGACGAGAGTGAGGGTCTCGCCTTCCAGCAAAGTGACCTGGAGGTAAAGCTGATGTCCCTGTTGGCGGAGGTACGGGGATGGTGGGTTGAACGGGCTGACCTGGACCGCCCGGAGCGACGGCTGGACGTCGATCGGCGGACTGGAGAGAGCGAGCTTGGAATACTCGCTCGTCTCCCATTCAGGCTTCCAGTCGGCGAAGGGGTTGGTGGTGTCCTGAGCGACGTCACGCTTGACCTTGATAACCTCCTTCTTCCCTGCCTTGCCCTTGCGTCCTGACGGCACGGTAACCTCGACCTCCTGGTAGATGGGCTCGGACGACGAGGTCGCTGTGCCATCTCGAACGGTTTCGAAAATGGTAGCGCCGGGGATGAGACCGAAGGGGGCAGAGAGGGTGTGAGCGGAGGTGCCTGCCGGAGCGATGAGCTCGACGAGTCGGAGAACGGATTGACGAGCCGTAAAGTCCGAGTAGGGTTCTACATCAGCTCTGAGCTTTGGCGGACTCACCTCTGACGACCTCAAGCACTCGCTGCTCGCCTTTGCCAAGGTGTGCAAATACGTCCCCGATCTCCAACCATTCGCTGAGCTTCTCGCCGGCCCGTACGTCTACTCCCTCCTTGACCTTCGGCGCAGCGTCTGCCTCATCGCCGTTGACAGCAGGCTTTGCCGATGGTAGGCGCAGCGAATACGGGCCAAGCCAGTACCCGCCGACCCACTCGTTGATGGCGAATTTGAGCTCCTGGACCGTCTCGTGCTGCTGGGGAGTGAGGTCAATGGTGTGGAAGACCTCGTCCTTGCTTGCTTTCTTAGGCAGCGTGCGGGAGTGGCTTGGAGAGGGTAGGCGGATGGTGACGGGTGACACTGCTGTGATTAGTTCATCTGTTCAGCGACAGATAGGTTGTTGTATATGGACTTACGCATGACGGGCTGCTCCTGCTCTACATCTCCATCTCCATCTGCGGCAGTGGCAGTTGGCTCGGCGGCATCGGCGGTGCCGTTCACCAGCTCCTGCTTGGGCTCGGAGAGCTCCTCAATCTGCGCTGACATATCGGCGATGATGGATGTCAATCGCTATGGATGGAGAGCGATTTTAGACGATAGATGTACAGATGAAGAGGTTGGGTTTCGGGGACCTGTCGACCAAGGACGAGATCGGTGACCGGCTATTGACCAGCGCGAGATCGGGCGGTCGTATCGACTCCGGTCTTTTTCGACGGGGCTTGCAGGAGCGATTCCAGGCGGATAGAATAGTGGTTGAGCTATACGACTGGTGCGATCAGGTGGTATCGCTGTTGTTATCCACGGAGAGATGGCTATAGATCGCTTCGCGGTGGACCTTGAATCTGAGTTTCGTTTCCGAACTTTTTACCTCCGTTCCGCTCTCACCCGGCAGGTTGTTCCGTGCGTCATCAGCAGAGTGGTGGTTCCGGGGGACTTGGGCTGGTTACGTCATGGATCGGTATGATGATGCAAACCCTCGCTGCAGCATGGGCTTTCATTCGACCAGCCCTTCCGCTCTTGTTACCTCTCTGACTGCTAGAAAAGCACATATCACATATCGACTTCCTCAAGGCCTGAAACAGCATGCCGAACAACAACGAAAACGCCCCTCTGTTGGGCAACGGCCGCAATGGCCAATCCAGCGGAAACAAGAAGTTTGACCCCATTGGGTCGACCCGGTACCTCCTTTTGGGGTCGTGGTTGAACGTCCTTGTGGTCTTCATCCCGCTCGCCTTCGTCGGTGCGTTTCAATATCGAGATGGAAAGGACCACCTGCTAATTGCTCAGCCGACCTTCTTCACTGGTCTGCGGCTCTCCGATTCACCATGTCCTTCATGGCTATCATCCCGCTTGCCAAAGTGAGGCATTTCCGATACCCCTTTCGGTTTATGGGGGTTTATGTTGACCTCTCAGCTCCTCGGAGATGCCACTGAGCAGCTGTCGATGAAGCTCGGTCAGACTCTTGGTGGTCTGCTCAACGCGACGTGAGTTGCCAGGATCGTATCAACCGCATAGCTCACACGTGCGCAGCTTCGGTAACGCTGTTGAGCTTATCGTCGCTATTGCAGCCCTCATGCAGAGTGAGTGTGGTCGTGCAGATAATCTGTCCACGACAGCGGACATTGCTGACATAGCAGACCAGCTTCGTTTGGTCCAGATGTCCCTCCTTGGGTCGGTCCTGTCCAACCTCCTGCTCGTTTTGGGTATGAGCTTCTTCGCGTGAGTCGCCGTGTCGTCTAAGTCTGAGTCCATGGGCCTTGCTGACACCTTAGATCTGGATTCTACTTCTACGAGGCGACTTTCCAGATGACTGCCGCTCAGGCCAGCTCGAGCTTGTTGACTTTGGCCTGCATCACCCTCATCCTGCCCGCTGCCTGTAAATGACACTCAGCTCTCCTGCCCGAAATCCTGCTTACTCTCAGACCACGCGTCAGAAGTCGACAGCCTTAACGGTGTTGCCGACCTCTTCAAGTCCCTCAAGGACGGCAGCGGCGCCCCCAACCCGCCCGACGCCTCCCTCAAGGGCCTCCTCATGCTCTCGCGCGGAACCTCCATCATCCTTCTCCTCACTTACATCGGCTACCTCATCTTCCAGCTCCGCACCCACTCGCAGCTCTTCGAGGCCGACGTCGCCGAGGGCGAGGAGGAGGAAGTCCCCGACATGGACCCCATCTCGTCCGGTGTCTGGCTGTGCATCATCACCGTCATCACTGCTTTCGCCGCCGACGTGCTCGTGGGCAGTATCGACGAGACAGCTCAGCAGTGGAAGATCCCCAAGCGATTCATCGGGCTCATTCTCTTGCCTTTGGTCGGGAACGCCGCGGAGCACGTCACCAGTGTCTGGATGGCCTGCAAGGGGGTGAGTTTGATTCCTACTTCACCACATGTTGCCTTTACCACCTATTGTTTGCTCCATTATTTTTTGCTTACGTAATCGAAGAAAATGGAGCTTACGATCGGCGGTGAGTGCTTTTAACGCGTTCTAGACTCCCTCCAGACGTCGGGAACGCTTCCCAGACGCATCCCCTCAAAGAGATCTCGAAAATCCATCAAGAGATGGAGGAGATACGACAAAAATCAGATTCTGACCTTAAACGTGGTCTAGACATCCTCCAGACGTCGGGAACGCTGTCCAGACGCTTTCCCATCGAAGAGATCTCGAAAATCCATCAAGAGACGGAGGAGATATGACAAAAATCAGATTCTGACCTTGACAGTTGCTGTTGGAAGCTCGATCCAGATCGCTGCCGGGATGATCCCCCTCCTCGTTCTCATCGCCTGGCCTCTGGGGCGAGACCTGACACTTTTCTTCGTATGTTACCGATACCTGGGTTGTGCAATGGTTCGAAGACGGCTGACCTCCCAGGCCAACTTTGAGACGATCACTCTGTTTGTGTCTGTCATGCTCGTCAACCTCCTTCTGCAGGACGGTCGCGCGAACTACATGGAGGGTGTGATGTGTGAGTGGATTGGTAATCGAAGGGTGTGAGCCAAGAGACAAGCTGACAAGTGTAGTGATGGCGCTCTACCTGGTCATTGCGCTCAGCTACCTCGTTTAAGCGTCGTGAAGCGAATGAGGATAAGAGCGAGGAAAGGCAGTAGAAAGAGAGAAGATTGAGTGTATACACGGAAGAGCTACCTATATCATACCCGATTTGAGGATACCCATGAATTTCGTGTGTGGTCTTGTTGCGACAGGTGGCAAATCTGTTCTCATTCTGGTCTTTGCTATCCATCCAATAGTACATCTCATGCCCTGACTTCGTTAATCCGGTCGGAGGTAGGTACGCAGCCATCCCTACGTATACAGGTGAAGTCTATGCATGCACGTAGCCAAGGTAAAGCCTGAAATTGATTTGAGTGTAAGAGATGGATACGCTTGGTGAAGCGGTGCCCCACACCGGCTAGACCTCCACCTGCAACTCGAACTTCGCTCCATCCACCCCTAGCTATAGGGTGGATGCTCCCGCAACTCCGCATCGCTCGCCTCCTTTATATCCGCCAGATATCACGAGCCATGTCAAGCATCACCCGCCACCGCCCACCCTTCCCCTCCGGCTGGTCCTCATTCCCCATCTCCCCCTCAAATCTCACCCTCGCCAATACACTTCCTATCGGTCAATCGTTCCTATGGCACCGGCATCAGCTGCTGCCTGAAGCTGTACCGGCTACTACAGACCTCACCTCATCTGCCCTCCCCGCTGAAGTCCCGGTGAAGGCAGAATTGGACACCCCCGCGAAAGAGATCCCAACTGAGGAGTTCTCGCGCGCGCTCCTCGACCCGCCCAGGGTCGTCTGTCTACGCCAGACCACTTCAAGGGTTTACTACACCGCCATATACCCAGAGGAGACACAGGATGAGCTGGATAGAAGAGGCGGCGTGACGGAGAAATGGCTGAGAGACTACTTTCACCTGGACAAGTACCCCTCGCTTGAAGCGATGTACGCCGAATGGAGGGAGCGGGATCCGAACATGTTTGGGAGGCTGGAGATGGCATATGAGGGGATGAAGGTCGGGGAGGGGGGGAGAGCGCGGGGAGTGAGGCTCTTGAGGCAGGATCCATGGGAGTGCTTGATAGCGTGGGTCCCCTTCGTTACGATGTCTGTAAGGGTCACTGAGCGCTTGTAGATTCATCACGTCCACAAACAACCATATACCACGGATAGCGGGTCTGATGCACCGTCTCGGAACGCACTTCTCGCCTCCTCTGCTCACTCTGCCTGATCCCGCACACGACGCTCCGCCCGCCGCTGGACCCTCCACACCGCCGCCAACAGCCGACTCCGACGTTCCCACTACCACAACCTACCACCTCTTTCCTGCACCGCACCTCCTTCCTGTCGTATTGGAACAGACACTTCGGGATATCGGCTTTGGATATCGAGCGGGATTCATCGAGTCCAGCCTGGCTACCTTGCGGACGGAATTTGGAGATGGACCTGGAGATATCGAGCGGGGATTGGCAGGATGGCGAGGTGGAGAAGTTGACGTCGTCAGGGAGAAGCTGATCGGCCTGAAAGGAGTGGGACGCAAAGTCGCAGACTGTGTGATGTTGATGTGTCTTGACCAGGTGCGTCTTGCTCATCCTCTTTGATGACGGTGCTGATTGACAGCCCCACCTTATCCCCATCGATACCCACCTCTCCGCCATCGCCGCTCGACATCCCCTCTTCCCCTCTCGCCTGAAAAACAAACCCATGTCCAAAGCACTGTACGATGAAGTCCAAGAGTTCCTCCTGGACAAATGGGGTCCCATGGGCGGATGGGCCCAGGCGGTCATGTTTGCCCTGGAATTACCGGACGCTACTGTCTCGAAAGGCGCCAAGGGGAGCGGAGCGGGGTCGACCCCAAAGAAGACTCCAAAGAAGGGGACGGTCATGTCGGAGATTGGAACGCCGATCAAGGCGGAAGAAGGGGAGGATCTGGTCAAGCTCGAAGAAGTGGGAGAGGGCTCGGCGCAAGCATGGCGCACGCCAGTCAAAGAACCGGGAATGGGTCTCGACTCGCCAGCGCCAACGCCGACCCGGTCGAGGAACGGATCCACGTCCAAGCGGAAACTAGCCACGCCGAAGCGGGCGGCAACGATGGGTGACCAGGTCAAGACGGAAGAAGGGGAGGGGGATGTGTTTACTCCGGGTGGACTACCGGCGGGGTATGGGTTTAAGAGGACAAGAAGCGCTGCGAGGGTTGAGCTACAGAGGAAGGAGTCGGGGGTGGGTGTCTTGGCGGAGGACGTGAAGGGACTGGGGTTGGATGAATGAGGCCTCGACGGCATGATGCACCTCTGCAGATGCGAGCTCGTCTCAGCTCGTCCAAGCACGTCTCAACGTGTCATAGGTCGTGCGCGTCTCAACGCGTCCGAGCTCGTCCTAGCTCGTCCTAGCTCGTCCTAGCTCGTCCTAGCTCGTCCTAGCTCGTCCTAGCTCGTCCTAGCTCGTCCTAGCTCGTCCTAGCTCGTCCTAGCTCGTCCTAGCTCGTCCTAGCTCGTCCTAGCACGTCCTAGCACGTCCTCAGACGACAAGGAGGGCGAGGCACAGGAGCATATATAGCACGTGCCTTGCAGGATAATGTGCCCCAAGGACAAAGATCTTATTTGTACTGACCTTCATACAACGATACAGAGTAACCCCAAAGCCCATCATCCAATTAGTCAACAGAGACTAGCCCTTCTCGAGATCCTTCCCAGTCCAGTACACGGTACCATTTACTCACCCACTCATCCACATCTCTCTACTCTACTGGCCCTATCACTATCCATGCGCAGGCCATCGCTAGCAACAGCAGCCTACATAATCTGTTCCCTCAGCCTAGCCGCCACCCACTCGCAGTCGCCCCTCTAGGTCTACTACAATCATTTCCTATCAGGCCCACACAGTCGGGAGTGACCATTATCCATGCCACCTTCCTCCTCTTTGTCCAGCATCAGCGACTTATCGTCGCCTTATCGACTCGGCTGGAGCTTACCGCTCACTTACCGCGCCGCCACCTTACCGTTGGTAAGTAGACATCTGGACTATATATACTGCCAATTGCACAGACCTTGTCTGCATCATTGAAGAGTCTGCTTCTGCTTATACACTTGGATTCGAGAACCTCAGACAGCCACGACCTGTCCGAGGTTGCATGCTGGCGGGTATATCGCTGATCATAGTATCCCACGCTGCAGCTGTGCGCTCCCGGCCCCTCTTTACTAGATCTTCTGAACTACCCCCCAATCCTATCATTTAGCTCAGTCCAGCGTGACCGCATCCTCTCTCAACTGTTGCCTTCTATCAGACTCGTTCTCAGCACGCCACACCCACCCACTCATCACCGCACCCATCTCAAGCTTTCGAGTGGCCCACCTCCACTTCACGTCGGGTATCGATTACGGCATCGGAATCCAACGCGTTGATCTTGAAATGCAGTCGCTACTCTTTCCCTTTCGCCTTTTGTCTCTCTCCCAGCACCTCTATCTACGATGGAGAGTGAAATGGACATCGACCCGCCCGCGGAGACGAGCACCGCCGCAAAGGTGACGGTGAAGAAGGAGCGTCCGGCAGCTAGGAAGATTGACCCGAATGCGAAGAAGCTGGAAGTAAAGAAGGTATGTCGAAATTTCGCCTGACCTAATTGATGCGGCGAGGGTACTGATGGATATAGTGGAATGCGGTGGCATTGTGGACTTGGGGTGAGTACTTCTCGTTAGCGTGGATTAACGACCTCGAGCAGTGAGCTGAGGTGGAACAGACATCGTTGTCGACAACTGCGCCATTTGCAAGTCGCATGTGATGGACCTGTGTGAGTCTGCACTGTACAGTAGGGTACCTGCGAGATGGAGACCTGCCATGTCGGTCGTGCGGTCCGAGGGGAACTGTTCCCGCTAGAGAGTTAAGCTGATCATTTAGGCCTGGAGTGTCTGGCGAACCAAAACACCGAGGGTGAGTCAGCTTTCTTGTCCCGAGCGGTTGGCGGTCAGACGGGAGCACGAGCTGATCCTGTAGACTGCACCGTCGCATGGGGCATGTGTAACGTACGTCTCATCTACTCAGATAACCATCCCTGTTCTCGGTGGACGGTATAGCTGACGTCGTCCAGCACGCCTTCCACTTCCACTGTATCTCTCACTGGCTCAAGTCGCATCATAGTAAGTGGTCATGATGATCGTGACTGGAGCTGCCGCTGATCATATAGCGTGTCCTCTTGACAAGTGAGCTATCCTGGTATGGGATTCGAGGAAGCCGCTGACCATTTAGCACGCAATGGGAACTGCAAAAGTACGGTCGATGATTTGCGCGCGGCCGCTCGTACGGACTCGATCGGTCGATATTTTCGGGGTGCGCTTGGGCGTGTGATTTGTTTCTCTGGCAGAAGCTCGGTGTGCTGGTGCGCACTGAACAAGGCAAGGGGATGCAGAGCTTTGTACAGTCTCGAGTATACCTGGAGTGTCTTCCAAGCTGTCTTACTAAGGTGCTTCAATCCAACGACGACTCTTCATGATGCTCTTGGTCGCCGACCTGTCTGGTGCCGCGCATACTATGTAGCATGTCACGCACGTCACTTACGTCCTAGCCCTGCGCCGAGACGCCATGCTTCTGATCTCTAGCTCAAATTCATCCGCCTTACTCCGCATGGCGAGACCCGAAACATCTCGAACCTGTCTACTCCGCCAGTTTGAACTTCTTCAGCTTTCATCCCAATGTTGAACATGTACCACGCGCCCGCACACTGCAATGAGCTTGCCTGCTATTCTATCCTCGCTGCATACATGCATGACTTGGTCAACCATCTTTTGTCAGCTCCCCATTCCTTGCGCCAGGCACGGCCGCCTTCTTCTGAGATACGTCATCGAGAATGCGCGTGCTATTTACAAAGCGACAAAGTCAACTCGACTTCTATCTTTCTCCCCTAGACTCGCTCTTCGCTCTTCTCCCGTCAGCAGTATCTCATTCTTGAGCGATATCAGTCATAATGGCAGCGCAAAAAGCAAAAGAGACGGCCCAGGCGTACACGAATGGTCCGCTGACGCCCAACTTCAACGCAAAAGACTACTCTATCTTCTTTGCTGCTGGAGCGCTATGCTGCACCATGTGAGCTTGTTCATACCGGCCGATGGCGGAAGTAGCTGATACCCATAGCTCGCACGGAGGCATGACTCGTATGTGACTCCCATATCTGCTAGCACCGGCAGATTGACTCAGTAGCTGATAAGCAGCTATCGACGTGGTCAAGACCCGTATCCAGATTGACCCTGCGTTGAAGGGCAATTCGCTTCTGGTCGCTGGCAGGAAAATTGTCGCTGCCGAGGGTACAAAAGGTCTCTTGACTGGCTTCGGTCCTACCGCAGTTGGATATCTGTTCCAAGGAGGAGCCAAGTTCGCAGGATACGAAGCGGCTGTGAGTCTTGGTCTCGGGTCACTCCTTGGTGGCTTCCATGTGATGGCACCAAATTGAGTGCAAGACCGAGGCACGCTGAGCTGACGAGACATAGAAGAAGTACCTGGTGGAAGCGTCCGGGAGCCAAGAGGCCGCTGTGCGGAACAGGACGGCTATCTACCTCGGGGGTGCTGCTATCGCAGAGTGAGCTTGCCGGTCTCCTTGGACAGTCGCCTCTGGGCAGATAGCTCATACGATAGATTCTTCGCAGATATCCTCCTAACCCCGCTCGAAGCCACACGTATTCGACTAGTCTCTGACCCCAAAGTGAGTCTTTGATGGCTCATAGTGTGTCGCAGAAAGCGCTGATCGGGCAGTACGCTACCGGCCTCGTGTCTGGTCTGACGAAGATCGCATCAACAGAAGGCTTCTCGTCTCTCTACGCTGGGTTCATCCCTATCCTCTGCAAGCAGGTCCCATACGCTATCGGTAAGTCTGCTTTGTCAACTCCAGTTGGCTCAGCTGACATCCAGGTCAATTCACGGTCAACGAGCGATGTACCGAACTCATCTACAACCAGATGACACCTGAGCAGAAGGAGTCCTTGTCGCCTGTGTCAAACTTCGGTATCACTTTGTCGAGCGGTATCGTCGCCGGTTTCGCCGCTGCCATCTTGTCTCACGTTGGCTTTATTCTCTGCTTCCATATTGCGCGATCAATAGGGACATCAGCTGATAGTATAAGCCCGCCGACACCCTTCTCTCCCAAATCAACAAGGGTCACGGGCCCAAGGGATCGATGGTCAACCGGTTGCTCATCCTCGGTAAAGAGGCAGGTGTCAAGGGTCTCTTTGCTGGTCTCGGACCAAGAATGAGTAAGCTCACATTCCTACGCTTCAGGCTCCCTCTAAGACTTATGGCTACGTTCCCCACTATCGAAACACAATCGCCAGGAGCCGGATTCGGAGAGAAGTTATGCTGATGGTCCAGTCATGACTGCCGGTCTGGTCAGCTCCCAATTCATCATGTACGGCTACATCAAGCAAGCGCTCGGTGCTCGGCCCGGTATCGAGATCCACAAGGAGTAGGCGAGGACAAAGCTACGCCGGTGGTATCGAGCGATGACCATGTGCCGCTTCGGGGATATCTAGATGAGAAGACTCATTATTCGCCTTATAACTACTATATGTATAGAGACCTGTTCCTGACCGTTCCTCTTCGAGCTGCGGACGCGCTCGGGCACTGTACGGGCAAACTAGCGCTTCTCGCCGAAGCCTCATTGTTGTGACGGCATTGACCGAAGAAGTTCAGTCACGTCTCGGATCTCGATCACGTTGTTCTCCCCTTCGCACCTCCTCCTCATTCCTCGTTTCGTACATATCACACTTCTACCTTGTGTTGCCTTCTCATTATCCATCATCCACTCGTCCACCTCCGCTCGACCCACCCAGACAATATGGCAGACATGGAGATCGACAGCACATCTGCAGCAGAAAGCAAGGTGGCGACTACCGGAGACAAGAAGCCTCGATTCGAAGTGAAGAAGGTGAGCTCACTCAAACGCTCCCCTGTCTGGCTAGAGTATCGAGCTGATGAGTTCAGTGGAACGCCGTCGCTCTCTGGGCTTGGGGTGAGTCTAGCTCCGCTAGCTCAGCACGTCCTCGGCCGAGCTCGTGGAAGGCATAGCTGACACGATGCAGATATCGTTGTCGACAATTGCGCCATCTGCAGGAACCACATCATGGATCTTTGTGAGTCCTCCGAGCCTTGATCCTGCCTCCTCATTGTATTCGGAGAAGGAAGCGGGCGGATCGAGTAAGCTTCCCCATGCACGGGAGAGCGAAGTTTCAGTCAGCTGCTCTGGCGAGATTGCGAATTGCTCGAGCGAAGTGGAAGCTGATCAAGCAGGTATCGAATGTCAGGCAAACTTGGGCGCGGACGGCGAAGGTGAGCTGATCTGTCCTGATGGACCAGATCATAGTGGCACAGCTGATAGCTCCAGGATGCACGGTAGCATGGGGTATCTGCAACGTACGTCGCCGCTTTCGTCGCCTCTGCTCTCTTTCCCTTTACCAGACAAACTGGACCTGTACCTGACCTGAATAGCACGCCTTCCACTTCCACTGCATCTCCCGCTGGCTCAAGACCCGACACGGTGAGTTGATTCCGCTAGGAGATTGTTACAGAAACCACAGCTGACATGATCAGTCTGCCCCCTCGATAAGTGAGTTTGCGACTGTCTGCTCAGAGGCGCAGGAATATGACTGACAACCGTAGCCGGCAATGGGAGCTACAGAAATACGGTCGATGAGGTGCCCACCACTCGCTCGTCGTATCGATCATCGTGTATCTGGCCAAGTCATACCGCCCCGCCTAGAGGGAGAAATTGTACCGTCCCAAGGAGGCATGCAAAACCTATATAGTTCGTCCAGGCTAAAAGAGCTTCAGGTATTCACTGGCGATGGCTAACGTTCCCGTGCAAAGGTCACATCTACTGATCTACCCGCTGGATATTGATCGCTCTCATACCTGTCTAATATCCTCATCCCGCTCGCTCATCTTTCTCGACTGGGTCCACTCACCCCTCTCAAATCTTCCTTCTTTCCTCTCCACTCTCTCGCCCAACTTCCTCACCTCCTCTTGTAATATTCCCACGATCTGCTTCCTGACCTCTTCCTCCCGTCCTTGCGCCAGCTGACCACTACCTCGGACCTCCCGCTGCCTGCTATCCTCCTGTAACCTCCCGCCATGGTCCAGACCTCCAGCGTCCTTCTCGTCGGGATGCCAATCTCCGCCCACGCCCAGCGTCCCCTTCTCCTCCGCTGCAAGCTCCCTCCACCGATCGACGAGCGGCTGGATCTTGTGAGTGATAGGCTCGCCGATCGTCATAGAGACACGACCGCCCGGACGAGGAATAGGCCGAGGGAAGCCTCGATATTCATTCATGATCTGGTCGCACCCTGACGTTCAGCCTCCATCACTTGTGTGGTTGCGAGAGCAACTCACCTGAGATCCATATTGGGATGATCTCGGGCATGATCTTACTATCCATGATGATCCGCCCGACTCCCCATTTGAATCGGAACAACCCGCCCTCGGGATTAAACTTGGGCTGGTTCACCCTACCTTCCGGGAAAATGTGTATCTGAGATACGTTAGCCTTAGCTCCGGGTCCATGAAGGCGGCGACGTACCCATTCACCCTGCTGTAACAGCTTGACTGCTTGGTCAATCGCTGGTTGGAAGACTCCTTTGCCTCTATGTGTCTCGATGACTTGACCGGCGGTGAAGAATTTCCGGTGCAGAGGTTTGGTGAACATGATGTCTGATGCTATGAATGTCAGCTAAAGCCCGATCGTAAGGCAGATAGGATGGCAATCTAGACCAGCAGATGAACCTCATACAGTAACAAGGGGAGAGATCGATGCGGAGAAAAGGGAGTAGACACTTACCGCCTAGTGTCCACCTGTTATTCCTAGATACGAAAGTTGGTGAAGCAAATGGGAAGTAGTTAGTAGTGGGGAGGATTGACCATATCTAATTCGTGTAAGCAAAACTCTTGTGTTGAAAAGCTCGAAGGGGGGCTTCACCAAGGGGTCGTCAACAACTGAGTTGTGGTTCGATACTGCGCCGTTAGACCGCTTTCGCATACCCAGAAGACAACAAAAGCTCGATGTTTAGTTGCGCAAGCTCGCGTGGCGGACGCATCCCGAGCTTCGTCTTCCTCGATCACATAGGCTAGTCCACTCACTTGTCACGATCCCCCTTCTTTGTTGTCGCCCCTCCGCACCATCCTCACTGCCCAGTAGTCTCCGTAATTCCCCCTTTTCTCCATCTCTGACTGTCACTCCGCTTCCGGTCCTGGCTGAGGGCTCTTCCAGCGCTTTGAGCAGTATCTCCCTGCCTTCCACATCGAATGAGCGAAGACCCAAAACTCGGAAGGCCTTAAACAGGTAGGTGATTGGCGAGATGGTCAACGCCGTCGCTAGCTTGTTGAGGCCGTCACTCATTGCTGACTCAGTCGACTTGATGGAGCTATACCCAGCCTCTGTAGCCGCAGCCCTGGAGCCTGGTAGTCGGACAGTTTTATAAAGGTGGTCGAGGTATAGAGGGAAGAGATCCCGAAAGCGTCGATCTCTGCTTGGCAGAGCAGCTGCTCGCTGTCCATGCCGTAACGCGTTTCATCAGCTGCTGCAGTGGGGCGCCTTCTGCGTGACGGGGCTCGCTGGCGCTGAGACCACATTCGGTACCACATCCGGTGCGCGGTGACGCTCGTCTGCGCCGTACACAGGAGCGAGCTATGACAAGAATCCCTATACATCTGTGCTAGTTACAATCATCTCGGGGGCGGTCTTAAGAGTTGCAGCTCTAGAACTGGTCATACGTGTTCGTCTCGGCCGGCTGGGCAATACCGTCGTTGATACCGGCCGCCTCGATGCGTCAGCTGAGATGCGAAATGGCCAGGTTCCTAAGAGCTCACCATCAGACGTCCACCATCGACCGTAAAGTGCGTGCCGTGCATGTATCCGCCAGCTTTGCTGCTGAGCAGAAGGATGGGGCCGACGATCTCCTGCGGCTCTCCGCCACGTTCTGCGGTGTCAGCTCACTACCTAAGCGGAAGTAGACGTCTAGTCGTCCAAGCTGCAAGAGGCTGACGTACTCAACGGAGCTCGTAGGGACGCTCGAGTCGACATGTCGTTCATACCGCTCCCGCCGACATCACCGGTCATCTCGGTAGGGAAGATACCTGGGCAGATAGTGTTCACGCGGATCTTGAATCTTGAAGGTCAGTCAAAGGTCACAGCCAGTTGGTTCGAGACTTACGGGGATAGACGCCCCGCCAGGAGTGTGCCTAGGTGGATGGCTGCAGCCTGAAACCATTAACTCTGCGCGATGCCGAGGCACGCGGGCAACTGACCTTGGTCGTACCATACATGATCGATCCGGTGGCTCGCTGATTCGCCAGTCCCGCGATGGACGCGATGATGATCACGCTAGGGTTCTCTGACTTGCGTAGAAGAGGCACAAGGGCGGCGGTGAGGAAGAAGACGCCTAGGATCCTTCAGCAGGTGTGAGACGAGGAACCATCCCCAATATCGACCTACCGTTGACATTGATCGAGTTGAGCTGGTTGAAGTCGACACTGAGGGATTCAGCTCTGGATCCCGGCACTTCTGTGACATGTCAAGTCCGGATCTAACATACTCGTCCACTGCCTGGAGCTGCTCCTGAAGGGCATCCTCTGTGATCATCAGCTCGTTGCCCAGCTAATCTAACATGAGGGAATGGGCAGCTTACGGTCATCCGGATGAGCCGGCTTCTTGTAGGCATTCCCAACTCCCGCACAGTTGACAAGCACGTCCAATTTGCTTTCCTTCTCCTTGATCGCGTCGGCAATCTTGGTGCAGCCTTCCTTGGTCGCCACGTCTCCTTGAAGCCTACCATATCAGCACCTGTCCGAAGGCCCAGAAGTCCAAGAGGCGTACGTGACGATGCTGCCCGACCCGCCGAGCTTCTTGAGCTCCTCCGCTGTAGCGTCCAGCACCTCCTTCCGCCGGCCGGTGATGTATACCTTGGCGCCGTTCTCATAGTACCCAGCGGCAATGGCTACATGATCAGCTGCTGGCCTGTATCGCTCAGGGGGCATTACAGCTCACCCTTGCCGAGACCAGTCCCTCCGCCAGTAACGACGACCACCTGGCACCGTCAGCTTTGTCCACCTCCGTAGAACGAGCACTTCACCTTGCCTGCTACGCTGAAGATTTCGTCAATCTTGAACATCTTGTGAATTATGGATAGGAGCTGAGTATATTCGCGTAAATAAAGATGAGAGTGAAGGTGAAAGACCAGGAAAGACCCTGCTGAGGAGCTTCGAACGGTACTACTCCGGCAAGCACCGGCTAGTCACGGCCCGAGACCGGCTCGGCCTTGGCCGAGCAACACATTCCTTGGAGCTGCGGCGGCCCTCTGACAAGCGCTCTGAGCAGGCGCCCTCTAGGTGTTAGCCATATCCCCGTGAATGCTAGCAAGCGATGTCAAAAATCGGCTAAGCGCAAGAACGCAGTTACTGTAGTGACTAAAGCTTAGATATGATCCGGCATCTCAGTCTCAGTACTCCTCATTCTGCGGAGGCACATGCACGCCATAATCTTCCCCTGCCCACAAAGTAACCCCGCCGCGGTCCATCCATTATTCTCCCGTCCTCCTAGAATCAGCTCACATTGAATACAGGCCAGGCGTTCAGGACTGACCTTCAGCCATATTAAACGAACCTCGCCATCCCGATCCCAAAATGCCCTAATCCCTGCGTCTCTCCCCAGGATTTCCGTCCAGGGCCATGCTAGATCGACAGGTCTTGTCCCCGGTAATTTCATCCGAACCCATTTGATATGAGGATCGCTGAGGATGTGGCCATGTACGCTGGCTCGTACGAGCCAATTGGACTTGCAGGCTAGGCATTTCCAGAGGGATTGGGAGAGGGGTTCGCCAGGTGGTCCGGGGTATCGGATCATGCCTTAATGATATCAGTCTCTGGCATGAACTTGAAGATACGTTCTCCTGCGAAGCTTACATGCTGGGAGAACTTTCCGAGGGGGCATGCTGATGGATGGATGAGCGATATGAGGGGCGAAAAGCTAAGAAAACAGACGGTCGCGTCCAGTCTCAGACACAAGTCGCGTCAACTATTATCCCCCGGAACCATGGGCAGCTATCATGGGCAGCTATCAATCAGCGCTTGATGGGATTGATGGGCCGCTCCCATCTATCCAGACTTCGATAGACAGTCCGAGATCACGCCTGCCACGTCCATGACCAGACAGAAACAGCGCATCCAGATATCAACATACAACAACCAGAACCGTACAGATCTGGCCCAAATCTGAATCCCTGATACAAATCTCAGCCGTCGCCATTAATAAGGGAATGACCTCTCCTCGTCCGCCCAGATGAATGCTCTATCCTCCTTCTGCTTCTGGGGCGATCGTCTGGCCTGGTCCCGGAGTTGTTCTAGTTCTTCACGCAACTAAACGTATCAGCTTGTTTTCTGAGGATCGGAACCAGATAGTGCAGCTGAGCGGACTCACCTCTCGATTCTCCTTCTCGACCTGCTCTGCCCGTTTCCTCGCTTCGTCCGCTACGCCGATATAGTATGATGCGTCGGGTCGAGATTGTTGGATACGGCTTGGCCGAGGGGATGATGGCCGACTCTCGCCGCGCAAAGCTACTGTCGTTTCTAGCCGGCTAGAAGCGATCAGCTGATAGCCGAAACAACTCTCCAGCGTACGTGACTCACCGTATATGCAACGCCTGCTCCTTCTTTTCCTTTTCGCATGCGCGGAGCATCTGGTCCAATTGCCAAAATCGCCCTTTGAGTGCTTCGAGCTGATCCTCGGCCTCCTTGACGCGCTGGACATCGTCATCCCTGCGATGTCAGCTGATTTACCGTGACCTAAAAGCTGAATAACTCACCACACCCGCTGCATCTCTGTGAGCTGCTTCATCCGGATCTCATAGTCCCCCATATGCCGTATCTTCGGTTCGATCTCGGTAAGCTGGTTTTGCAGCTTGAAACGCCTAAGTATAAGCCCAGACCACGCTGTAAAGAGGGAGGGGACCTACTCGTTCTTCACCACTGCCAGCTCCTCCTTTTGCCGCTTCACCACCTGTTCCATATCCGCCAAGTCCCCCTTCAACTTGTCCATCTCGCCAGAGACAGTCTTCCGCTCGTCCCGTAGCTGCGTATTCTTGTCCCGCAGCTGAGCTTGCCACTTGACATGCTTTTGCTGAGCGGCGGACGCTTCTGCGCGATGGGTCGAGAGCTCGGCAGTGAGGGACTTGATGGTCTTGTCTTGCTCCTTCAAGCGATTGACCTAAGCGTCAGCTATAGATGTCAGACAGGTAAGATCCAGCGTACAAAGCTGTTCATTTCGGATTCTTCCGTATTGAATTTGAGGGTATAGCCATGAAGCCGTCCGATATCTAGCTGTCAGGGCTTGGGTTCAAGCATAGTTTGGTAGACTCACGATACAAGAACTGCTTCCTGACCCTATCTGTCAACTTGGCTTCCAGCCGCAAACTCTCATTCTCCCTCCGCAACCGCTCCACATCCGTCTCTTCGGCATTCCACATCCCCATCCCGCCCGGCGTTGCCGTCCCACTCCTTGTCTCGCTCGGCAAGATCATGTCCGAAATCTCCTCTGCAGACGGCCCGGCCTGATGACGATCCATGAACCCAAACATTCCGCCCGCCGTCTTCTCCATATGCGCAATCATCTGCGCCCGCGCCAGCCATTCTGATGGATCATTCTTCTCCCACCGCTTTTCGTCTTGCAGTTCCGCTGCGGATGTAAAGTAGACCAGGGAGGGGTGGAGCGAAAAGTCCTTGAGGAGAGGAGCTGTCCGCTGAGCGAGCAGTCCGGGAGGATAGACCGATTCCCAGTCGACCGCATAAATGGACTCGATGGACTTGTTGCGAAGGTATGGGATGGGATCTCGGATGAAGGCGAGGACATTGGATGGCCAGGCACCGTACATCGCTACGAGCCATAGTGTGACGCAGCGGTTGGTGGTGGTGACGATTGTAGACTCGATGGGTTCCTCTCCGGCAGACTTGGCAACTTGCCAGCCGATATCCGCAGCGGGAGGAGGGGTCCGAGTGACCGCATCGTGCTGCGCGTCATCCGCATCGACGAATTTGCGGTCCCGCCATGATATCGCCCGACCGGTGATGATCATCAGGAAGGGGACTTGGGGGTTGAGGGTGAGGGGTGCGTAGGGGATAATAGCGAGGAGGAGGCGGATGCACTTGGGGAAGAGGTGGTTGCCGGTGTCGTACATCAGGGACCGGAGGACGAGCTGGAGAATGGGATGGTTGGCGATACGATACATGAGGGTGGTCTCAGCTGGTGTGCCAGGCTCGTAATGCTGCTCCACGCTAACAGCAAGCAGGATGGAGCAGATGGCGATTCGCGATGTGGGCTGCTGGAAAGTCTCCGCTAGCATGTCCAAGAAAGCCTGGACATCAGCTCAAAATGACGTAGTCCATGTATTATCACTCACGGCTAGGTCGATGACAGCCCATGCGATGACCGCCCTCTTCGCCCGCTCTCCCTTCGAGTAATCCACCAGCGCCCGTTCCACCCATCTCTTTCGATCAAACACTCCATCCTTCAGGCCCTCGGCGATCCAGCCGAGGACAGCATTCTCCCCTCCGTGTAGCCGCTCATCCTCTACTGCCCACACCCACGCCGCATCACTCCAATGAGACTCGGCTGGTACGAGGGCCGCAGCTTGAAGTACGGTATGCCGGCCCTCGACCGTACCTGCTATCTCGAGGTCTTTGAGCGCTTGCGACAGCTCTGACCGGGATTCGGTGTCACTCAGATCAGGTGGCGATATGAGAGATAACTCCGAGGGGAGGTCTCGTAGATGAGCAACGACTGCGAGAATGAGCTAGCTGCCCGCTCCGTCAGCCATCAGAGGCGGGACTTACATTCCGCTACAGACATTCTCGGGGACAGAGCTTGCGCCTCTGGCGAACGCGCTCTCAGGAGGTCATGCAGCGTGGCAGAGTCACTCGTACTGGGGTTCAAGCCTCAGAGAGCCAGCTGCCCGTCGGGTATAATGAAGGTGATGAGTCAAATGGACGGTGGAGTTGCTCTCTATGGCTGCCTCACCCTCAGCTTCACCTCGCATGGTGCCTGGCTGTGGAGCCCCATGATACACTTTGCTTCCGAAATCATCCCGCAGATTCAGTACCATAACGCCGCAATACTCCGTTTCAGCTGTGCCCATTGATGCCGTTATCGCGCTATCGATTAGACGGCCGGCCGAAAGATCAGCATGCATATGGTCCAGCTTGGCCATTTAGCTTCGCAGCGATTCGCATCTATACATGGTGCTGCAGGGGCGAAGCGAGCTGGGTTCAAGTGAAGCTTCGACCGAAGAAGGCCGAAGCACAGCCGTGGAATTGGTGCTGCGAGGATTGAGGGGACAAAGCCCATCCGCGATAGGATAGCTCACAGCCATCTTCCCGGGACGATAGCAGAAAGATACTAGTCGCCAGTATTGGTAGCACGCCCATGATTCCTAGCTCCAGAGTGATCGAACATTCCTACCTTGGCAGCTGGACCGGCGGCAAAAGATGCCTGTCACCTTGCAATCGAGTGCACGATGTCATAGTTACACGTCACTAGATCGACCATTAGACTGCCAAGACCTCTCTCGCCAACCGATTTTAGACTGGAGCAACGCCGATCTCCCTACGCTTGTTGAAGTATTATCGTGACTACTCGCTATCGCATCCACCCAACACCGCCTCCCGCAGACTCGTCTTATCGTGCGATCACGCCGGGGTCGGAAGATACCGGTCTCAGACACGATGCGGGCTTATCATGACGGGTAAAATCGCTGAAATGACGCTAATTCCTCCTTCGCCAGTATGACCGCACGCAACGCCGTGTCTATACTCTGCCATCACCGACTCGAAGCACTCGCTTGACCTCATCGTCCCGGCTCAAGGCTTGGCGAGCCACCCAACCGAGGCCTCAGACACGCGCTAAGAGATTGCGATTCCAACCGTGTTGTCTCGAACCCTCCAGCACACCGTGTTTCACCCATCAATTGCCACCGATATGGGGTATGCAAGTGGTATCTTATCGCTCACCTAGCAGCTCTGGGCATCGCATTGCGGCGCTGACTGGCTATCACGGCGGCTTGGCAAGGCAATTTCGCGCAGCGAAGATGGATGCTGATGGTCCGATGTCGAAGGATATAAGGCCAGGCCTGGATGTCATGGATCCTCAGCTCATCTCCACTGCGTGGTACTTCAGCTCAAGCCTTCCTCTTCCCAATACTTGACTTGCGCCTGCTGCTACCCCACCCCGCTCTCGACTCCTCCACGAAGATCATCAATTCTCGACCGGCTCGAAGCTTCTTGATCGTCGTTGACAAGTCAATCGCATCTCAACTTATATCCCCCGCCGTCCAAAATGCCCCTGTTCGGCGTCAACCCCGCAGCCGAGGAAGGCCTGGCTGCTGTCGGTGCTGTTCTGCGATCTATACAAGTAAGCTTTTACTTATGTCGAGAGAGGAGCGGTAGCTGACTGTTACAGATCATCCCCCAGATCTACAAGTCCTACAAGACCAAGTCGACCCATGGCTTGTCATCCGCCTTCATGCTGTAAGCCCACTCTCATCCATCACCTGACCATGGCTGACGTATCAGTGCTTGGGCATGTACGCAGCTCGCCCTCGGTCCATACACCATTGTTCAACAGTTCGCCATCCCCCTTCAAATCCAACCTCAAGCATTCGCCTTTTTCTCGGCCGTCTCTTGGTCGCAGTGCCTCCACTACGGCAAGGAGATGTCGACGATCAAGGCGGCGGCATGCCTTGTTGCGCTCTTGACCGTCCTCGCTGGTGCTCAGGTCGGATCAGTCTTTGGCTTGAGGGTGAGTGTTGTTCACTGCTTAGCACGGGATCTCGCTGACGGTATAGGCGGGTAGAGCAGCTGGTACAGAGGTACCCGTCAAGGTGTTTGGCTACCTCACTTGGTTGCGGACCTTTCTTTCTGCACCGTGAGCTCTCTCCTCCATGAAGTAAGCCATCAGGCTGATGTCTAGTCCGCAATTCTACAAGATCTACCAGCTCCGCGAGGTAGTCGGCATCTCCTTTACCCTGTTATCGATCGATATCACCGGTGCTATCTTCTCCATCTTGTCTCTACTCTTCCGTGCAAAGGCCGACATTCCCGCCATAGTGAGTCCCTCCTATCCTGCCTTGATATCGCCTCTGACAATAAAGGTCACATTCGCCCTCGTTGTCGTCCAGAACGGCCTCGTCATGCTCCTCGCGCTCATCCTCAACCCCCGCGCCCGCGCTCGCCGTGCCAAGGAGGCCGCCCTCTCCCCTCCTACCCACTCGACAGACGAGAAGCCCACCTCCTCCATGGACGTCGACGAGGAGGCCGCCCTCGAGGACCGGTACCGCTCGATGCAGACGCACAAGGGTAGTGTCTCATCCGCCAACACCCTGGTCGGCGAGGGGGACATCACCGACAAGGAGAAGTCGTTCAGCCGGACTTCTACGCTCGAGGTGGAAGATCTTCAGAAGGTCGGGAGTGGGCGGTCGACACCTGCTGCTACGTATGGCCGGAGTCGGGCGGCCACGTGTGTCGATCTGCCAGGTTTGGCCGAAGTCGAGTCGAGAACGGAGAAGTAGAGAGAATGTGGAGCTGCAGGTAACGACTATAGATAGATAACGCGACGACCTTGTACCAATTAGCTAGACGTCAAATACAAATGCAATGCAGTACATGCCCTTCCGACACCCAGCAAGTGGACAGTCCAAGCTCAAGAATCGTCCGGTCCTCTATGGTAGTGCCACCAAGCTCCAAAGTCGCTCCACATTCCTCGCATCGTGCCGGCACCGCGCCGCACCAAGCTGATTAAGGTTCGGTACGTTCGGTCAGCCTGGAGCACCTACTTTCACGATACCCAGCGCCGACCGCTCCCCAGCCTTCCTCACAGCGCGGACACGATGCTGCCGCAGGCTAGCTATCGTAGCGATGGCGGACGAACGAGCTTTCTGCCCTGTCTGCGCTGAAAGAGACCTATAATCGGGATGGACCGGCAGGGCGCCCAAGCCTCCTTTGTGTGTCGCGTGTGTGCCTCCTTCGCGCAGCTCAGCTGACTCGCTTTTACCTCTATTTGACCTTTCTCATATTGATTACTACCTTACACATCGATATCATAGCATGCTCAGTACACAGACACTTGAGCGTACGAGATGAGCGATACGGAGGATCTGCAGACTTACTATACTCTGCTCGACATCGAGGAGTCCGCTACTCCCGGAGAAGGTCAGTTCGCCGCTCGGTCTCCACCTCTCTTGGCTCGGGTAGAGGCTGAGCACTTGAAAGCAGGGACTGGGCTGATTAGAGCAGTGCGGAAGGCGTATCTCAAGAAAGCGGCAGAATGTCATCCGGATAAGCATCCTGAAGATGAGGGAGCGACAGAGCGATTTCAGGCTCTGGGTGGTGAGTCTCCCCGTCGCGGTTTTCTGGAATGACCGAAGGTTCTAATTCTCTGCCCTTGTTGCCTCGGCTTCCTTCTTGTACAGGTCAAGCACTCAGCTGACGCAGCATAGAAGCGTACGAATGCCTGAAAGATCCGCACGCCCGCCGAGAATACGACACCAAGCTTGAGCACCTCCGACGATCGTCATCGCGCAGGTCCAACTCCCCGCCACTACCCTACTCCCACACTGACCATTTCGGCGGAGCGCACGGGCCTCCTCCAATGTACGCCCAATATCCCCGCCAACCCCACCCATCTCATCGCCCACACACCTTCTTCCGCGCGACCGGCTTCTCCACCTTCCCGTTCCCACCGATGTTTCGGCCTGATGGGCCGCATCTCCTGAACCCCTTGTCTATGCTGTCGGAGATGATGGCGTCGCTGCCTATGCATGGTCTTCCCAGACCCGGCGGAGCTTTCTCAGACTTCCCATTCGGTCCAAATGTAAGCTCTGCATGGTGGATCTCGCACGTGAGAGGGGACTCCCCGCTGACTGACAGATGAAGCGTCATCGACATCCTCAGCCCATACCAAATTTTGATCCATTCGGCATGTTTGACCAACCCTTCCTTCCCCATCACCTTGGACACGGTATGGCACCTTCCGCACCCGCTTTCCGGGGCTGCCCCCATCCTCACCCGCAAATGCACCCTCGACACCGGCCGCAACACCCCCACCCTTACCCTTTCCCGCCCGTCTCCGGACGTCCCGCGCGCCCGATCGCTGGAGGCGCTATGCTGCCACATATGGGTGGTCCGGTCCCGATTACCAGGCCGCTTGGACCACAAGGGGCGCCGAGGCGACATCAGGCGACGTATGAGATCAAGGATCCAACGGGGCGGACGACGGGATTTGTGCATCATTCGTCGATGAGCTGGAGTGCTTGAGTAGCGCTACTTCGGCGTGCATCCTGTGCTAGCTGTAGTGAGCATCTTGCGCCGACGAAGTTCATGTGGTTGTCGTGCATTCAAGTGAACACGCAGCGGGCTGTATCACACCACATCAATTGACTTCCCACAGATCCGAGGCACGAGGACAGATACTCAAGCTACCCCTGTGTGTGGACTTCTCAGGCACGCTGCCTGTGTGCCATCATGCACATTGCTACTGGTTCCCGGCTTCTTCTAAGAGCAGTCGCAATCACCATCAGACATCCTCTTGTCCCGTACAGACCGTCTGTCACAGTCTCCACAGCTCGTTCCGGACACTTCTTCACCATGCCGGAGACCACTCATTATACTCTGCTTGGGGTCCCAGAAGATGCTACTGCCGAGCAAGGTATGTGTCTTCCAGCTCAGAGATCCTCGTACGGAATCCCGCGGGACTGTGCTGATGTGTCAAAGTATGCAAAGCCTACCGGAGGAAAGCAAAGGAGGATCACCCTGACAAGCGACTGGGAGACTCGGGCGCTACCGAGCGATTCCAGGCACTGGGCGGTGAGTTTCTTTCAACATGTGCGTGTTAGCGGGCAGGGCTTAGATAGTGTTGGGGCTGATGGCTGCAGAAGCTTACACGTGCCTGAAAGACCCCGATCAGCGCGCGGCTTACGATGTTCTACTGGCGACTCAGCGACAATATCGCGCTGTCCGGGCCGCAACTCAGCAGGGCACTGACATTCGGGCGGGCCAGCGACAAGCAAGAGGTCGCCAGTCAAGTCAGCCGTACCCTGACAACGACGACAGCTCTTCCGGGTCCGGTTGCGCACAACCTCGGTCGAAGGCGAGATCGGCCCCTCAGCAATACACACAATACACACAGCATCGGGCTCGTCAACAGAGTCAGCACGGGCGAGATCGGGATTGGCGCCGCATGGAGGAAGAACGGCAGGAGCAGCGCATGTGGGAGAGGGAAGAGCGCAGGTCGGTGGCGCAAAGGCAGGAGGATGGACAGCGCGAACGGGAGCGCCGGCGCCAATCAGACGAGTTCTGGGCTGGCCTGGCGGAGATGGGACATATAATCCACATTGTAGAAGGGTATCAGTCGGTGCGGCATAGACGGCGACAGCGGTGGTGGTCTCGCCTGATGTTTTGGCGGCATCGCTAATGGTAGAGGTGTGATAGCTGGTATGATGGTGCGACTGTTTTTGGGATTGCATGAGCCTATCTCTCCGGAATGATCTGCTATGATGATCCTCTTAGCGCTGATTCGGTCATTGCAATCACCTGCGGTGTCAGTACAGTCGCTCCATCACCTTTGTGACTTCCTTCTGCAGTATGAAGACGGCACGTACCTGGTCGATGTCCGGCCTTTTCTCGGGGTCCACCACCAACATCCCATCAATCAGCCCCTTGACCTTCTCGCTATACCCCCCATTATTCTCCGGATGCCGATATCGACCCGACATGACCGCCATCCCGACGGACGCGCCCTCCGTCTCGAATGGTGAATGGCCGTATGCGACTGCAAAGAGCGTGCAGCCTAGCGACTGGACTATCAGCCGGAGCTCTGTTGTACTGGCGCAAAGGGACACAAAGCTCACCCAGATGTCAACCTTCTCGTCAAGTGTCTTGCCGGTCTTGACGTCGAAGAGCTCGGGGGCGCGATACGGCATAGTCGAGTGCTCTCCCGCTATGTCCTACATAGTCAGCTTCGGCCCTAAGTGGACATGTGATGGGAGTAAAGGGGAGCCTGACCTGCTCGAGGAGTGCCTGTTGTCGGGTATCAACATGTATCCGAGCTCTGGTTTGGGTCAGCTTCTTCGTGCTATTACGACAACATGTAGCAACGGACTTTATAGTAGATCCAAAGTCCATCAAGATTGGCTCATCATCATCCGATATCATAATGTTCCTGCTGGATTAGCTATACCCACATGAGTATACTGCCAGTGAGACTCACGCAGGCTTGATATCACGGTGCGCATACGGCACCTCCTCTCCCTCGCTTCCCTCTCCGCTTCCGCTGCCCATAGCTAGCTCCTCGTCCCCGTCGAACACAGCTTCTGGCGGTCCGCCGGGATTCAGCGGTGACATGTCGTCGACGGTACTAGGCGGGTAGGACTGAATAGGGATGGATGGAAGGCGATAGTGATGCATAGCGCGGACACTAATGGGTCAGCTTCAATACCCACTGGGTGAGACCATTCTGATGAAGGCGGAGCTGCAGAGGGAACGACCACTCACGCCAAGCACGTTCCGTGGAATAGCTCCAACAGCCGCTTCTCGGGCATCTTGTTACCGGTCACGCTTGTTTGGGTCATGGCGTCTTGCAAATTGCCTCGAGAGTAGTAAGGCAGGAATCTGAACAATCAGCACATGCTCTTCCCGCCGACATCGATACCTGGCCTGTCTTCCATCGCAGGAGTCTAACGCTCTTATGTCCTGCATACGCCTCGCACACCGCGCAGCACTTCATCTCGAATCCGCCGTACCTCTTGACCTCTCCGAGTCCCAGGCAACTCACAGATAAATTATCTTGCCCTCCCCTCCTTCGTCCTGCACAACCGCGCTGTCCAGGATCCTTATCACGTTTTTATGCCTGAACCGCCTATACGCCTCTACCTCCCGCATAGCCTCCTTGACGCCCTCCTGCCCCGAAGTGACCAGGATCTTCTTGAGCGCAAAGAGACGCTGGGAAGTCTGGTCCCTGATCAGGTAGACGAAGGAGAAGCCGCCCTCGCCGAGGAGCTTTTCGATTGTATAGGACCGGCCGTTTATCTTGAGGGTTGCATCTCTGGCAGGTGTCAGCTATATCGGCTCTCAGAACGTGTCATTGAGCGCGGTAATGTAGCTCACGGTTTGCATATACACTATTAGGGGTCAGCTAATAGTTTTGGCGCCCAGCGGGAGTGATGGGACAAGCTAGCTCACCTGGGTCAAGGTAACCACCGCGTCCCGCGCGTAGAACTTGATTCGGTCAAGAGTGATAGCAAGAGTATCGCCGTTCATCTTCGCGTTATTCGAAGAGGAGCGAAGAGGCTTAATAGGGGAGCGGATGAAAAGCCCTGGCGAGATGGTTTCCTTCAGTGTTCAGGGCCCGAAGTACAACTCCAACGTCTGCAGAGCGGGGCTGGGCTTCTCTTGGCTGTGCACAACGCACGGATAGTGGATTCGAGGAATGTGGAGCTCCGCGTCAGCAAGCGAAATGTCTGAGCGCTCGACTCAGCCTTCTGCTTCACCTTCGCATCATCATCCACTTCTCCACCCCATATTGATGAGGTATATAGCTACATCCCTATCTCGCCAGCTATCTAGATCTCGCTCTTCCCTCTTCGCAAACTCCATTTGTCGCCGCAACATGTCTGCCTCGCCGAACGCACTGGCCTCGTCCAGCCGAATCAAGCTCAACCCCGCCGAAGAGAAGTTCTGCGCGCTCCTCAATGACTTCTCGGCGAGCTACGACCCACCAGTCGAGTGTCGGATCGCAGGTGGATGGGTCAGAGATAAGGTCAGCCTAGCTTCGACACCTTCGTCTTCGAAATGACAGGAGCATAGGCTGAACAATAGCTCCTCAACCTCCCATCATCCGACCTCGATATCGCCCTGCCTTTGACTTCAGGCTTCGACTTTGCTTATTCCTTCGTCTCTTTCCTGAAGGACAGACATGACGATGTCGCCGTCGGAAGCGTCGGGAAAGTCGCTGCCAACCCAGATCAGAGCAAGCATCTCGAGACGGGGACGACGAGGATCATGGGGCTGGAGTGCGATTTTGTGGGGTTACGAAGCGAGACGTATACGGACTCGAGGATACCGAACGAGGTGGTGAGCTTTCTCTGCCTCACCGTTTCGTTGAGTCACGGTCTAGCTGACTTGTGCAGAAACTCGGAACGCCTCTGGACGACGCATTACGGCGAGACCTCACCATCAACGCCCTCTTCTACAATGTCGCTTCGCAGACCGTCGAGGATCTCACTGGAAAGGGACTCGATGACCTCGAAGCTCGGATAGCTCGGACTCCTCTTCCACCGAAGCAAACCTTCTCTGATGATCCACTCCGGGTTCTGAGGACTATACGCTTTGCTGGGCGGTTTCAGCTACGCGTGGAAGAAAGCGCAGCAGAGGCGGCGAGGGATAAGGAGGTGCAGGTGAGCTTCTCTCCCGTCGACATTCATATCGCAGACAGGGTAATCAGCTCATCAAATAGGCGGCACTGCGGACAAAAGTCTCGAAAGAGCGGATAGGCATCGAAATCACCAAAACCATCGAAAAGTCCCCTCTACTCGGCCTTCAGCTCATCTCGGATCTCGGCTTGCATGACTCGATATTCACCTGTCCGGGCTTGACCACGAATCCACCTCGAGAGTCGGCGCTCCAGATGGGGTTGGTGCTGGACGAGGTGCTCCGGCGATGGGGCGAGAAGGTGGATGGCGTAGAGCATCTCTGGTTGGGAGCTGCTCTTAGGCCATTTGATGGCGAGGTGGTCAAGGGGAAGAAGGAGTTGCCGGCTGTTACTGTCGTCATCGCCGAGGGACTGAAGGTGAGCTTTGTGACGCCGGTTGACTTGAATGACAAGCGCTCCAGCTGACTACTGTAGCTTTCCAATGAAGCCAACCGAGCTGCCTCCAACCTGTTTGTCGCCCAGACACTGCTGGATCCTCACGCGACCGACCGAGCAGAGATCGGCGTCGTACTCCAGAACCAAGCGGTGCGGCCCTGGCGGCGCTCGGTCGTCTGGGCGCTGGCTCAGCGGATTCTGTCTCAATGGGAAAAGGACGGAAAGTGGACAGAGGCGTCAGAGGCGGAGCTGCAATTGTGGAAGGGGTATGCGAAGAGGGTGGAGGAGCTGTGTCTGGAGGAGGCCATCGATAAGCCCTTGATGGTTGATGTGAGTGCTTAGTCTTTGTCGGGCATGATACAGATGCGGTGAGAATGTTAGCTGACGTTAAAGGGTAAAACACTGCTCCCGCTCCTATCGATCAAGCCCGGCCCGCTCGTCCAGGTCATTCTCAAGTCAATCAACATCTGGCAGCTCAATCACCCAGACGCGAGCAAGGAAGATTGCGAGAGCTGGGTGAAGGGGATGTGGGAATGTGAGGGGAGGAAGGAGTGGGAAGCGGCGGTACCGGCTCCGCCGACGAAGGAGAAGAAGCCGAAGGCGGAGAAGGCGGACAAGGGGGAGAAGCGGAAGAGATAGGAGAACGTGTTACTGAGATCATGCATCATCAATGACAGACTTTGCACTGTCGTTCTGTCGTTATGGCCTTTGACTAGTCAGCCTGGCGAGACATCGAGGGAGCAGAGAGCTTACAAGATGGTAGCGACTACCTTACGCCCACTTCCTCTTCCGCCCCATCCCGCTCCTGAATGCCTGAATTCGCCAAGGTATATGCCTTGCCATGTACCAAGCACGAGTCTCCCTTTTGAGATAGGCAGTGTGACTGAGTTACCGAGCAGGGATGACTTCAAGTGCGAGACCGAGTCGCTGTGATGTCAGCTATAGCTTTCAACCGAGGGAATGCGCAGCTCACTCTGGTCCTTCGTCTGTGTGCTCCCAAGGGAAGGACTCAGGTACGATCTTGTCCAGTCTACCCAGTCAGCTTGTTGCCGGACCGAAAACGAGGCAATAACAGAAGCTCACGCCATGTCCATGTCTGTTCTTACCGAGGGGTCGGCATTTTCATTGACCTTCGCCGTCAGCTTGCCCTCGATCCCGGCAATCGCAGCAGATCAGCTCACGGTGAGACCTGCTGAAGTGTGCATACAGTGCAGCATGAAGATGCCGACATCCACGCCCTTCAGGCCCTCTTCGCATGCCCGGACCACCTCCGAGGTGACCAGGTGGAGACCTTTGCCGTTCTGCGTGAGGGTGCTGAGGAGAGTCAGCTCTGCTTCCATCTTGCACCGAGAACACGACTTGACACCAGCTAGCTCACAAAGTCTTCTGCCAAGGCATGATGGTAGTGTACTATCTGGCTTTGCTTAGGATGAAGGTCAGACTTGAGGGCGAGCTGTCTGTCGCGGAGAGTGCAGCAAGCTGTGACGACATCATTTCAATACAAATAATTTGATCCCGCTAATAGAATCTGAAACGAGCTGAAACCGATGCGTGACTGATTTCGACTGATTTCAAGTAACGGTCTGTCGCGCTGCTTCTCTTTAGCCTTTGCTTCTCTACCTCATCCATCCCTCCCCTCTTTCGCCCACAAGCTCTCTTTCACCCCTCTCCCTTTGACTATAAACCCTCTACCGACATCTCCGACTGTGCCCTTCTAGCGCACCGCGCCTCCGCTCTCCGATCGCAAGATCACTTCCGACACCACCTTCGTTCAACGCCAAGCTTTCCACCCTAATCACCCGCTGCACCTATCACCCCCTTTCCTCGATTCACACCTGTCCAGGAGACTCGCGTGACACACTCCTTACTCCTCCCCGTTTGCTCTTTGCCGCGCAAGGCTACCATGATCGTCTGCTGTCATTGCGGTGAGAAGGGTTTCAGCCCGCATGGACGGTGCGGAAAGTGCGGCGCGCGGACCATACGTGAGTCTCAACGGTCATGTTCACCTCTAGCCGCATCCTCTTCCCCAATCAAATGACATGGATGTCTTGAAGCTGATACCACAGAGCGCCGCAGCTCTTTCAACACGCCCCTCCAAAACGATCGAGACCGTTGGGCGAATCGGTAAGTTGAGTGATCTACTACTCTCGACGCGTCGCTGATACCCAGCTACGTCATTCCTGACGCGTCGAGCACATCTCCTCACCTTCGCCGGCAGACTGTACCCATCGCTCACCTGCCCAAATTACGCGAAGAACCACCAGCTACGGCGACGCGACCCCTACCTCGCCCCATCAAACCGCACCACTCCCCCTTCGAGGTCCATATCGACGATGCAGACTCGCCTAGCACGCTCAATCAACCCATCGCTGCCCCGGTGATGCCGGCACTGCAGGCCAAGTCGGTCAACGTGCTCCGACCCAATCTCGGGCGGCAATCCACCGGCCTATCCGCGCAGTATCCACTCGACCCCTCCCTCTTCCCCACGTCCGCGCTGGTCGCGCCGTTGGTTCCGCCCAAGCACAAGGATAAGTGCGACCACGGATGCGGATGCGGAAAGCTCGCCGAAGACATCAACCCTCGCAAGCCGGATCCACACGGGGCGACCAAAAAACGGCTCTTTGGGGACTTGCAGCGGGTCTGCCAGCGCCCCGGGTCGGGCATTCCGCCGGTCGGACTGGCTCCTCCGCTTCCGAATCCACCCATCACGATTCGGATGATGCGTGAGCCATCTTATAGACGCCCGTCTTCCCCACTAAACCTGCCTGCGATGTTTGCGCGTCTGCAGCGTGATACAGCCCCGCCCACCCCCGTCAATCCATGGGGACCCCTCGGCACGCCTCTTCCGCCTCCCACTCCCAGCGATGCCCGTAATTTGCGGTATCAACCTCCTAGCAGGACGACCCCCCTCACTGCCCCTCCAACACCCCGGCCAGACTACCTACCTCTCACTAGCGTCCCACAAGACCTCTCACCTCGACCCCGCTCGAACTCGTTACTGCGCACGCACGCCTCACAGCAGAGCGCCGAGGACCGCTTCGGCAGCTTCGGTCCCGGTCCCACTATACCTCCATCCACCCGCCCGCTCGTCCACATCGATGTGGTACCCCCCAACTCCAACCGGACCGAGAGCGTCAGCGAGCGCCGCGCCTCATACATGCGCGCCATGAGCCGGGGGACCGCGAACGTCGCGGCGCCAAGCGAGCAAATCGCCTCGGGAAGGAGAGTCGCAGAGCTCAGGGAGGCGTATGAGCAGAGGAAGGCCGAGGCGCAACGGGCCCAGAACAGGCGGATGGAGGAGGTTTCGAGGAAATTGGCGCAGGCGCCGCCGAGACCTTGGCCGCCTGTTACAGCGCGTGACTTTGGCGCGGAAGGCGCTGCGCTCGGTCGGCAGTCGCCCAGACCTCGCCCTAACGCGGTGGCCGAGACGCGGGAGCGATACGCTAGTCAGAATGGTCAGTCGGAGGCGGGGAGCAACAGAAGCGCGCGTGTGGCGACGTGGATGGCCTCGCTTCCGGGGACCGACCGAGCCCCGCCAGGCATCCCTCTTCGCCAGGTCCCGGTCTCGACCGTCAACTCGTCCCGTCGCACTTCGGCCAATGCCGTCTCTCGAGCGGCGTCGATCACCAGCACGGACACCGTCATAGTCCACAACCTCTCCCCCGTCCTCCCTCCTATCAATGATCTGCAGATCCGTCACTTCCGAGAGGTCGCCAACGACACTCTCCCGACCCTGGGACGCAAGCCCGGCTACCGCTTGAGCTCAACCTCGGTCCCTAAGCCTCGCATACCACCCACTGGACCAGTCCCATCCAACAGCAGCAGGAATTCCAACTCGGTCAGTACTGTCAGATCCCCGCATCTCCGAGACGCATCAGCCAGCTCGACCCGCCCCGCCGTCATCCCCAAGCTCGGCGGGAATATGCCCCCGTGCCCATGCTGCGGTGTCAAGATTGCCTTCTTCGATCGGGATCGGGTCGTCGGTCCTTATGGTACGGTATGGCATCAGTCGTGCCTCCAGTGCGGGGGCGGCGAGGGGGCGGGACGGGGAAAGTTGATCAAAGGCGGATGTGGGAAGAGGTTGGATAAGGGTGCGAATGTGGATCTGGGGGGTACGATGTGGTGTAAGAAGTGCTCTGTGAGTTGACTTGACCCCACACCAATGCTTTAAGAAGGGGAACATTAGCTAATATTCCAGCTCGAGCGTAAAGCAAGGGTGCTCGTGCCTTCATCTGTCAGCCCGGCCCTCCCGACTCAGCCGCTCTCATACCAGCAAGCAACCCGCCTCGCCTCGCTTCGCCACCCACAACCAGTCAGGCTCTCGTCCCCCGATATATCGATGCCCCGATACAGGTGGCCGTCCTCTATCAGCAGAAGGAGCTCGCAGGGGAGGAGGGTGACGCCGTCGGGACCTAGGAGGGCGAGCTGGTGTAGCACCGGAACGGGCGGTGTCTAGGCGGAAATTGCAGGATGGGTCGAAGGCTTGTAGCATCGTCTTTTGTTTTCTAGTCGGCGGTAACTTGTAGCCCTAGTCATGCACAGTCAGTGAGTCTCGCTCTTTAGGGATTGAGAACCTGGAGGACAGCAGGGCATACCCCACTCGCCTCGACCCCACTCCACCGTCGGCTTGGCATGGCCGTTGGACGCGGGCCGAGCTTCTCGCCGAGGTCGGACCGATACACACTCCTTCCACTCTACGCACTTTGTCTTCGCTCTCATGTACCTTATATACATCGCCTTCCGCCCTCTTGGGGACATATCTGACCCCCATTCTACATATCCAAGATGGTCACCGAATCAAAGAAGAAAGGTGCGTCATGGCCGATCCGTCGAAGCGGTCCGAGATTCCTCCCGCCCTTGGACGTTGAGCTTCACATTCCCGCTCCATTACCTCTCGCAGATACTGGTACTGACTACCCCAGCTTCCGCCATCGAGGTGACCACCACGTCCACCGAGATTGCCTTCCACCTCTCCACCCCTACCCTCTCATACCACTTCCATGTCCCTACCGTCACCCACTCCACTGGCGGTCTACTCCTTCCTACCGGCGACCTAGTCCACGATCACTTCGGATCGCCCACCACCGAGCCCATCCCATACAACGAGGCTCCTACCAGCAGGAACGAGATCGAGTATCTCCGTACCCAGCGAGAATTCGCAGATCTCGGTCGAGGCGATTATCGCTTGCCCGCCGTACACGTCCGGTACCCCGCAGGTCATACCGTCTCGCACTTTACCTACAAGTCGCATGAGGTCATTCCGGGCAAGCCTAAGCTGGATGGGCTGCCGGCGACGTGGGGTAAGGAGGATGAGGTGACGACACTGCAAGTGAGGATGGAGGATAAGCGCTCGGGATTGGAGGCGGTGTTGAGCTACGCTGTGTTCAAGGCGTGCGGGGCGATTGCGCGGTCCGTCAAGCTGGAGAATAAGGGAGAAGGGGAGGTGGAAATCCTGCGCTTGGCGAGCTGGGGCGGGGATCTGGACGTGGGCGAGTGGGAGATGGTGCAGCTGTGTGGGGACTGGGCGAGGGAGAACAAGGAGATCAGGCGCAAGGTTTACCCAGGGACGCAAGGGTGAGTCGAGCAGCCAGAGGCCGAGAGCAAGACTGATGATCAGATTCCAGACTACCTGCGGCTACTCCTCCGCTTATGTCAACCCCTTCGTTGCCATGGTCCACCCCGACACCTCCGAGACTTCCGGTCCGGCGTACGGGTTCAACCTCATCTACTCGGGCTCGCACGCGTGCGAGATCGAGGTATCGCCCCAAGGTCCGACCCGCGTCCTGCTCGGTATCAACCCTCTTCAGCTCGCCTGGACCCTCAAGCCAGGAGAGAGCTTCACCACGCCCGAGTGCGTCGGCGTGTACTCGAATCAAGGCCTCGGCGGGATGAGCCGTAACCTCCATCGTCTCTACCGGAACCACCTCTCGCGGTCCAAGTTCACCCATTCGCCCCGCCCGACCCTGCTCAATAATTGGGAGGGGACGTACTTCGACTTTACGGCCAAGTCGCTTCTTTCCATCGCGGACAAGGCGGCGGATCTCGGGGCGAAGCTGTTCGTCCTTGATGATGGGTGGTTCGGGAAGGGCGAGACGGCGCGGACGAATGATCACAAGGGGCTCGGGGACTGGTGTCCCAATCCCGAGAGGTTCCCGGACGGACTCGGCGCCTTCGTGGACAAGGTCACGGGGCTCAAGGGCGGGAACATGAAGTTTGGGATCTGGGTGGAGCCAGAGATGGTGAATGCCAAATCGGAGCTGTACGAGGCACACCCGGACTGGGCGCTTCACGCGGCGGATCACGATCGGACGGAACAGCGGAACCAGCTCGTCCTCGACCTGGGCATCCCGGACGTCCAGGACTACATCATTGACGTCCTCACACGGCTGCTCGAATCCGCCCAGATCTCATATGTCAAATGGGACAAGAACCGGATGATGCACGAGATGCCGTCCCCCTCGGCGGTCCATCGGTACATGCTCGGCCTGTACCGCGTCGTTGAGACCCTCACCACGCGCTTCCCTGATGTCCTGTGGGAAGGCTGCTCCAGCGGGGGCGGTCGCTTCGACGCGGGCATGCTGTATTACTTCCCACAGTCGTGGACGTCGGACAACACCGACGCGTACGACCGGCTCTCCATTCAATTCGGTACCACTCTCGCGTACCCCGCTTCGTCCATGGGATGCCATGTTTCGGCCGTACCCAATCACCAGACACACCGCATCACCCCGCTCGAGTTCCGCGCGCACGTGGCGCTCATGGGCGGCTCGTTCGGGTTCGAGCTGGACCCGAACGCTCTTTCGGCGGAGGAGCAGAAAGTCATCCCGGAGCGCATCAAGCTTGGGGAGAGGGTCAATCCCCTCGTCATCTCTGGAGAGATGTACCGGCTCAATCTGCCCAACGAGTCGAACTGGCCGGCGGCGATGTACGTCTCGCAGGATGGGAAAGAGGCGGTGGTGCTGGCGTACCAGGTGCGGACGGTCATCAAGGCGCGGATCCCGACGGTGAAGCTGCAAGGGCTGGACAGTGGGGACGAATATGAGGTGGAGATCAAGGGAGAGAGGCAGGTGTACTCGGGGGCAACGTTGATGGGCGCCGGACTGAGGGTGTTGTGGGAACAGGGAGATTTCCAGAGTCAAGTCATCTTCCTCACCAAGAAGTGAAACCATCGTTGGATGATCAAGGAATGTACTTCATATCTTGCTGGCGCGCCTGGCCTTAGCAGCTGCTCTTGTCAGCAGCTTACACATTACTACGGGTCTGAGGAGCAAGGGTGAGGTAAGACGTGACCGAGACAGACCAGCCTCTCTTGGGAAGGACTTCGGCAACGCAAATTAATCGGAAACGCTCGCACGGACCTGACATGTCTCAGGTAAGCTTTATAAATAGAACCCACCTGTCCCTCTGCGTCATCCAGAGATCGCCGTCTCCGGGACGGGAGTGGAGGGGATTGGGAAATTCGCAGCAGGGAGGCTATGCAGCATCAGTATCTCTCAGTAGAGACTCGACAAGGGTATAGTAAGGGCGGCCGGTGACGCAGGGTAGGTACGCGTAGTCGGTCAGACAGTACGGCCGACGGATCGCTGACGGGACGGGAGGTATATAGGTAGCAAGGCCGGCGGCGAACTCTTGTTCCTACTCGATCTACACCTGATCGTCTTCACACTGACTCTTGACTACCGACCTGAAACGTTCTACCACTCAGTGACTTTCCACAAGATGCGATCTACAGCCATCTGGGCTCTGTTGGGCTTCGCGGAGGTAATTGCCGCTGCGAGTGTGCCGAAAGGGTGAGTCCTTGTCCGGGCCACAATTGACATGAGCTGAGTGTCAGATTTGAGCACCTCACTGTGAGGCGGGCAGACGAGCATGCGGCCTCGATGCGCAAGCGAGAAAGTAGGTACCCCTTCACAACGGCTGCCAAGACGAGGTAGGCTGATCATACAGTCCGCCTACAGAGACATCAGCGCCAGCTCGAGGCATACTCGAGGAACACCATGGACCCGACCATGATGGAGAACCATGCGTCCGTTCTTGACGCCGCGAAGGAGATGGAGACTTCGGCACTTCGTCGACGGGCCGATGCTTCCAGTGGTGGCAGTGCGCCGATGGACGACCTGTACTCGGCTGGTGTGGATATCGGGTATTCCGCGAACGTATCTGTCGGGACGCCGGGGCAGGTCTTCACCATGGTACCTGACAGTGAGTCCAGGATTCCCACCTGTGTGAGCTCAAGCTGACTCTCTAGCTGGGTCTGCCGATCTTTGGATTCCCGGCTCCACATCTGATGACCCTGTATGCCCCCATCGCCGTCTCAGCCAGAGTACCACACTGACGATCAGGGCCACAATAAGTTCACCACCTCCTCGTCCTCCACCTTTCAGTCGACCTCCCAAAAGTTCTCCGACTCGTACGGTCTCGGAGCAGCCTCAGGCAACGTCGGGCGAGACTCGGTCCAGTTTGCAGGCTTCACAGTGCAAAACAAGACTTTCGGTGTAGCCACTACGCTCGACTCTCAATTCCAGCAACAGTTCAACGATGGTATCATCGGTGAGCTACCTGCCTCTAATCAATGCTCTGGTCAAGGTAGAGAGCTGAAGCTGACATGGCAGGAATGTCATCATCGGTCTTATCCAACATGTCCGCTTACACCTTCTTTGAGGACCTGATCCAGAACAAGCAAATCAACAACCCCTACTTCTCCGTCTTCCTCGTCCGCGGCAGGCAGTACTCGAGCGGCGCCACCGATGCGCTGATTGGCGGGTCGACCATCTGCTTGGGCTGCATGGCTCAGACCACCAATGTGCAGACCTATGGTTCAATGTGGGTCCTCACGCCCCCGATGTCCAGGCGAACACAGCTGACATCGGCAGGTTCTACGTGCCCATCACCCTCTTTGCATTCTATGAGGTCCAGGTATCGGGCATCAGCCTGAATGGGAATGCCCTCTCGTCTACCTCCCACCTTGGTATGCTTTGGCGCCGGATGCGAGACTGAGGTCAGCGCTAATGAGCAGGCATCATTGACACGGGAACCACCGACATGATCCTCCCCACCCGCGTAGCCGCCGCCATGATGGCTCCCGTCAACGGTCAGCTGCAACGAGATGGGTCGTACATCGTGCCTGTCTCCAGTATCGGCACTACCACACAATTCACCTTCAACTTTGCCCAGGGCAGCATCAACATCAACCCTCTCGACCTCATTGCTGGCTATGCGGTGAGTTAGCATCCTCCCCCTCTACCGGGTCTCAGTTGACATTCCAGGACTCTAGCCGGAGGTACTACCTCATGAACGTCTACGCCTCCGACACCCAAGACCCCAACGGCTCCCTCATCTCCATCCTCGGCGATGTCTTCATCAAGAACGCGCTCACCGTCTTCTCATACTCGCAGAACGGATCCCCTGCAGTCGGGTTCCAACAGCTCAACGCCAACTCGCAGAGCGACACCAGCAGCGTGGCGATTGTGACGCAGACGTACAGTCCAGGAGTGGCGACGAGCGGGACATTCCGCCAGACCGGAACACGGACGGGTGTGACTGTGACGGGGACCCAGGCGACGGCGTCCGGGTCGAGGTCAGGTGCGACGGGCAAGATGGATATGAGGTGGCTGGGGATGAGCGTGGCGATGTTGGCGGGTGGTTTGGTCGGGGCTGCGTTCGTATTGTAGAGTATGTATCTGTAGGAACCTGGAATATATAATACACGTGCATCTATATGGTACATATCATCCAAGTAGGAGGAGCATATGGACTCGCTACAGGCAGTACGTAGATGAGCCACTCAGTATACAGCGAGTTCAGCCCGCATGAATACAACCACCATCAAGCTGAAGCGTCTGTAAAGAGCCGAATCTCATAGTCCTATTGCACATATATAGTAATGTTCAAGTTGGAGAGGCATATCAGAGTCCTGCAGGTTACCATCTTGACCAGCTGGACGATGAGCCATCAGAGAGCTGCAGGTCGCCTTCGCATCGCCTTCAAGTATCTTCTGGATTTATTCGTCGACGAGTCATCTCCTCATCCGTCGGCTCGTTGTACAAGATGCTGTCGAAGGGATATCCACCTTGTAAGTTGCGAAGAGCTTCTGAGGCCTGCAGCGGATATCCGGCCCGAAGGATCTGTACTGAACAGTCAGGCATGCTCACGTTTGATGGTCAGGATCATTTACTCTCGACTCATCGGCTGTGGCGGTGCAACGTCTGTGACACAAAGTGGATGAGGAGGAAAGGCGTTGGCAACCACCTCATTGGCAGGATTCACATCGCGCGCATACAGCGGGGATGGCCAGGGTCCACCATGGAGCCAGATGAGGAGCAACTGGAGCGGATTCAGGCGGCGTACCCAAATCGTCCTCCGATCATGAACCGGCGTGACCTCTTCACAAGGGGTTTTGTGAGTGATTCTTCCTGAATCCAAATGTATCGTTGTGTCTTGCTGACGATGATCAGCTGCGTCAAGACGGACCGGACGACTTCGACCTCGAGCTGGCGGAAGAGGAACGCAACCAGGTCCCTCCACCAAGACCTGGAGAACCGGGCTTCAATCTCAGCCGACCAAAGCAGAGAGAGCTCGCTGAGCAAGGATCCGCGGCGGCGGCTGGTCCGTCGAGCGCAAATGCCGCTCAAGCTTCCGGGAGTGGATCAGTGAAGCGGAAGCGAGCGCGGAGTCCGTCAACAGCTGTAAGTCCGCGCTATTTGTCTTTGCTGCTGTTTCAAGCTGACCCGCAGGCTGATCGATCGAGTAAATCAAGCGAATCAGGCTCCTCCCGCGCGTCAAGCGTGCCGAGCGCGTCCCCATCCTCCCCCTCTGAGCCTGACAGTATTCATCCCGCTCCCTATCGGCCCGCAGACCCCGAACAGAGACTGCTTCAGACAATGCGAGAACGGATCCACTATTATCGGACGCAAATGATGGATCTGAGCGAACAATTGGCGGATTTGCATGAGGAGAGGGAAGCGTCCGAGGCTCTGGCGGCGAAGCAGCAGCGAGAGATTGAACGGTTGACTCGGAAATTGAAGCGGGCGGTAAGTCTCATGTCCGAACAGCTTGGGCCTGAAAACAGCTGACAGATGGTAGCAGGCTCTATCCTGACAATGCGGATCAGTACCCGGCAACATGATGCATGATGTGGTGGCTGAGCTGATTCTCGAGACGTCGTTACAGAGGGTCCCCTGGGCGGCGATGAGCTGCCCATCTTCAAGCTTCATACTTGTCCCTTGACCGGAGACAATCTGGCCTGATCATACCTCGCATGCTTTCAGACTTGACGATCGCTCTGACAGGTCCGAAGGGCCAGATCTCGAGCGTCCGGGCCCGATAGGCTGAGGGGACCGCCTATAGGGACATGGCGAGTGATATGTCCGCTGTCGGTTGCCGCGTGTAACCTTTCTCCTGACGTTTCAGGTCTGGAGGCGTACTTGGCGGACGAGAGTGTGTGTAGCTGTGTGTAACGCCCCACCGCTCCTGAACTTTTCTTGCCGAAATTCTCCGCGACCCCCTTCAAGCTGATTGACTGCTGAGGTTGCACTATTGAACTGACTTTATAAGGTACAAGGATGTCGGCGAGTGCTGCGATGTCCTCTCAGGTGTCCTCTCACGCGACTGTTCCGAAGACTGGGCCGGGACGGAAGCGACATCCTCTGCCATTCTGTGAGCGATCTCGCACGATTCTCTTAAGCCGAGCTGACCCACAGATATGCAGATACACCCTGGCCAGGATCCCCTAGTTTCGGCAAGCGACTGCACCCTGTGGAGGTGTACTTTATGCGAAACACGTTGGTTCAAGAGGATCAATGTATCACAGCACCTCCGGACCGGTGTGCATCATCGAGCGGTAGCGAGGTGCAAGTCAAGCTCAACGACGACGACGAGCTCTGCCCGTCTCGAGCCGTTCCCGCCCCTGCCCTTGCCTTTACCTCTGACAAGCAAGCTACATCGGATCTGCGCATCTGAGGCGCTCGTCAGGACTCAAGGTCTCCAGGATTCAGAGTGGGCAAAAGGCATTGTATGCTTAGTCCTGATGCCTCTGCGAGGTCGAGCTGACTTTCAGGACCCGAGGCTGTTGCATCCACCGCCTGGATCGACGGGATGGTCGATACATCAGCCGGAAGATGCGCCCACCTTTTCTACTCCGGCCGCCTCGATCGTCGAAGCATCAGCCAGCAAGCAGACCCGCGGTCGCATTCTCAGCCCTTCGCCTCCGGTGGGTACCTGAAACATGATCATGCGGTATCGTGTTAGTTGCTGATGGTAGCTGATGCCAAGCTATCGGAGACCATCGACACCCCCCCTGGCCCGATCGTTTCTGGACACCTCTCGTCCCGTCCTCCGTCTTGGATGATCTCGGGCCCCGAAGCTTTTGTCAGCGTACAGGCAAGCAGATGGGCGCTAAGCGTTTCTCCTCCAGGAAGTTCGGTACATTCTACCTTCCTTCTTGACGCTGATGTTCAGCCATCGGAGACCGCTGCGCACTTCTCCAATCAGTCGATCGTCCAGGCTGGTACGATGCCTCCTTGTCCATCCCCGGACGCTTCAAGCCCAGCCATTGTCAGTAGGCAGGCGGGTAGACAAGCTCTAAGCTTTTCTCCACCGGTAAGTCCCCACGTCACCCGCCGCTCTGACCGCGTACATCTAGCCGAGGTTGCTGACATGCAGGCATCAGACAGCGATGAGCTAGACCTCAGTGTACCCCCAGCGGAGACCATCTCCATGCTCGTCAAGACCGTCAAGGACTTACAGGCGGAAGTCAAGGGGGTGAGGTCAGAGCTCGAGGAAACGCAAGCGGCGGCGCTGGAGATGCGCCAAACGCTTATGAGTGGTTCAGGTCAGATAGTGAGCCTTCTCTTCCTATGAGCATGAGCTGTCGACTGATCAAGCAGGGACACGCCATTGGATCAGTGTCTAACAAGGCCTGAGGAGGAAGGGGAGCGCGGCGAGGGAGCGAGCTTTTCCACTTACCCCAGCTACGGGTACATCCCACTTCTTCCACTTTCTTTTCGCTACTTTTAAGATGCTCTGTTGTACAATCAAGATTATGCCCTGCACCGCGCCTCATACTGGTGTGGATGATGCAGCGTGCTGCGTCAGGCTCCATATGCACTACTTTATCTCTCTCATGATCTCATGGTCGATGGCGTGACGTCATCTGTTGATCCTTTCAATTCTCGCAACAACTCCTGCTCGACTTCTTCAGTCTCAGCTCTTTTACCTCTGCATCAACTATCACTGTTCCAGTCAGCATGGGTCCGAAAAACAGCGGCAAGACTGCCCTCCAGCAGAAAATGCCGGCCCCTTCGTCGGCCCTGCCATCCGCCCTCCTCCGCCTCGTCTCGTCCGCTTCCCTGACCTCGCCCCATCTCCTCCTCTTCTCGTCCCTCCCGGTCGCAGGCGTGCTTGCGCCAGTACTATACCTCCTCGCGCTTCCTGGGTATCTCAAGGAGCTGAGGCGTAAGCCTATCGTTGAGGAGAGGGAGATTACGCAGATTATCAGCTCGGGAGGGAAGAAGAGACGGGCAATAGAGAAGAGGGCGGGGGTGCAGGTCATGAAGGTCAAGAAGGACCTTTATGTGCGTCGCGAGGGCGAAGTGAGTGTCGTCTCGAATTTGAGCCGAACCGGTGTAGAGCTCAGCTGACAGAGTAGAAACAGCTGCATCATGAGGACCCCGTCCGGGCAGCTTCGATAGATTCCCTTCTTCTCGGCTCGCCCACCAGCAGCTGGATCGCAAATCTGCTGTCTTTGCTGGTGAATACGCTCCTCACACTCGCCGTACTGGATCAGACATGGTCCAGTAGGCTGATGAGCCATCAAGATCTGACATACGCTCGGTACGTTCTCAGCTATTCACCAGATGAGCAGTGTTGACACTTCCAGGACCAGCTCGCTCACTCCTCACACCGCCGCTCTGAACTTCCGCCTCCCACCCGTCGTCCCATACGCAAAGCAAACATCTACTGCGGAGATTGTGTTCCGCCCTCTTCTCTCGAATCCTGCTATTCCTGTCGAATGGGAACATTCCCAGCCTATTGCTATCACCGAGACGACGGACTGGACGGGTAAGGTGGAGCTGGACGGTCTTAGCTCAGGCGTGATGTACGAGTGTAAGCTTTTCTCCTCCGAGCGTCTCCATTTAGGCAAGAGAAGCTCATATCTGGTAGATAAGGTCAAGCAGGAAGACGGATCATACTGGCCTGAAGGCGACATGCCCCTCAATTTTACGACCTTCCCGGACCCTCGTCTTTCCAGGCAGAGCCACTTCAAGTTCATACACGCTGCGTAAGTGCTGTCCTCTTGCGCATATCACAGCAACAGTGTTGACTTTTTTAGAGCTCCACGAGCCTTCCCACCCTCATACTCGCCCTATCAAATGCTCAAACCCCTTCTCTTACCCCTTTTCCCCTCGACCGCCCCTCAAATCGTTCCCACCCCTTCACATATCAAGCACCAATGGCAATCATATCACGGTCGCCAGCCCGCCTGGCGAGTACTTGGCGATTGGTTGGCGGACATGCGGGACCGGACGGCGTGGGCGCAGATCCAGTTTGGGCTCATTGGAGATGATATCGAGATGGTCGGTTCGAGGAGGGGACCTATGGGTCTGTTGAAGGACGACAAGCGAAGGGGAAGCAGGTCAGTTTAGATGGCGGATGAAGAGAAGGTCATAAGCTGATTAATCAGGGCGCTGCTTGCTTCGCAGGATGTAAGGGAGGTGTACGAGACACTCCGTAAGCTGAGAGGCATTCGGAAAGTTCGGCGAAGTAGCTGACACCCAGCTATCCTCCCTTCCCGCCTGCACAGTCCTAGCGAAGGTCACATCCTGGAACCCGCCGCCCTGTCTTTCCCGGCATCATCGTTCGAGTGAGTCAGGCCTCCAGAGTCATCACGGTGGGACTAAAGCTGATACCGCTCAGGTACGCCGACACTCACTTCTACCGCCTCCGCCGACCGTCCGTAGAGCGCTCAGCCCGCGAGTCACAGGACTGGCTAGCGGACATCTCGGATCTCGAGAGCTGGCTGCGCAAAGTCAACGGGACTACCGGTTTCAAGGTGAGTTTACAGGGACAGGGGTCTCCATGCCGTACACGAGCTGACTTTGCAGTTCGTGCTGAGCAGTGTCCACCTCAACCCTTTCTTCGGGGGAGCACATCATGAGACTGAGTGGCGCACGGCTGTCTTGGACGTACTGCAATATGTACCGAACATCATTGTCCTCTCCGAATCACGCCGTGAGCTTGATCCTTCCCATTGAGCCGAATGAGGATAAACGCTCATGAGGCCTAGATGGCTTCACTTCCTCCCAACTCCGCAACCGTGTTCTCGAGATCACCTCGCCAGCCCTCTCCGCCCCTGTCTATCCAGTCTGGTGGCCCCTTGCTGCCCCTCTCCCTCCCAAACTCTCTAACGCGCGCGAAGAGGCTATATCCACCTGGACCAAGCTTGACGGACGAGTCGTCGAAGAGATCGAGCTGGTCAAGGTCGATCAAATCCTGCGGCACAATCCCTCCGTCGGTGGAACGCAATGGACGAGCGTCGAGGTAGACTCAACGACCGGTGATCGGTCCAGATGCCATGTCGTGTTCTGGAAGGAGGGTCAGGAGGTGGGCCGGCTCGAGGTGGTTGGCGCGTCCAAGGCGAATATCAGGGCTGTGGGGAGCGTAGCGGAGAGTCTGAGCAGTGTGAGTCTTTTCCTTGTCTGGATATAAAGGTGAGCAGGATCAGCTGACCGTGGTAGCTGCTGCGCCGATTTGGCTTGACTTCGAGGAACTGGTTCTAATGTCAAAGCCAGTGGAGGGGGGAGCAAGACTGCAGCTAGTCAGAGCCTGAGGAGATCCAGCGGAGGAGCTCGCGATACGAGGTCGGGCGTGGCGAGAAAGAGGAGATCTCTGCCTGTCATCAAAAAGTACCCCCACCTTCAAATACCCATATATATATACTCATACCTAATGCAACATGTCACCCTTAGAAGCGCTTCTGCAGCAGCAGCAGCAGGTCAACCTGCCACTCACGCTGACGATAAGGGGCTTCGGACATCGGGCGAGATGCCATATGGGCCATTTCGGACTTCTCCGAAAGCGGTCAAAACAGCTTATCAAGCGACAAAGAAGATCGGCGATGCGGCCTGCTTCTTGTCTCGGTCACTTCTCTTTCCCTTTTACACCATATCTTCCCTCCATATATCAACCCCTTCCCTCGCTCAGACGAAAGACACTCGACTAGACACAAGACTTACTGAAAAAAAATGGACGCTGCATTCGCTATTCCCAGCCGCGGCGGTATCGACGCCCGGGGCAAGGCTATGGCCCCAACGTCAAGCAAGCAGCTTATCGACACGGAACTCCCCAAGGCCATGGACATGACGCACCATCTGAACCGCCTGTCCAAGAACCGGAACCCTAGCAGCTTGAAGGAGTTGTACAAGTGCGTCAAATCCGGATGCGGACATGGGGACTGGGCTGATAGACAGGTATGCCGCCATTCCCGGCATGATCCCCTTGGGCGGCGGTATCCCCCACCCGGACGTCTTCCCTTTCGAGCAACTCTCTGCGCTCACTCTTCCTGTCGACTCTGTCTCGCTCGACCTTCCTCGGGTTCCGGAGAAGGCCAAGCAGAGCCTCCTCTCCTGGCTTTTCGGCGGTGGCAAACGCGTCGACGAGATCTCTATTCCCAAGTACGCCCCCAACCCCACTGCGACCACCGTCCAGCTCTCCACATCCCTCCAATATCAAGCTGCGACCGGACCCCCCGCGCTCCCGCTCTTCCTCCGTGAATACGTCGAGACGGTCTACAAGCCTGCCTATGCGGACTGGGACGTCCTTCTCAACGTCGGCGCCACTGACGGATGGGCCAAGATCTGCCAGATGTTGCTCGAGGTGGGGGACGCGGTGCTCGTCGAAGAGTGGACGTACCCCGGTGCGGAGAATGCCTTCTTGCCGATGGAGTGCGAGATGATCCCCATTAGGATGGATGGGGAGGGTGTGCTTCCTGCGCATCTGGACGAGGTGCTCGGTGGGTGGAAGGAGGAGGAGCGGGGAGGCAAGAAGCGCCCCAGGGTGTTTTACACGATCCCGACGGGCCAAAACCCTTCGGGCGCGACGATGATGGGGCCGAGGAAGAAGGAGGTGTATGATGTCTGCAAGAAGTACGATATCATCATTTGCGAGGATGAGCCGTACTACACCTTGGTATGTCTGTCGACTCTCGAGAGTAATATGAGGCTTGCGCTGATAAGGCAGTATGTCGGAGACTGGATGCCCAAGGGCAAGAAGGCAACCGCCGAGGAGGAGCACCAGATTGAGACTGAGAAGAAGGAGGGTAAGGAGGGCAAGGAGGCCTTCCTCAAGGCTCTTCCGCCTACCTACCTGACGTTTGACACAGATGGTCGAGTTATCCGTATGGACGTGAGTCTCTGCTCAGCTATTAGGCACAAACCTGTCCCGGAGCTGATTCTTCGCAGACCTTCTCCAAGACCTCCTGCCCTGGGTCCCGTCTCGGCTGGTTCACCACCTCCCCGCTCTTCATCGAGCGCCTTACACGCGCTACCGAGTCGCAGACACAAGCACCTTCCGGTTTCGCCACTGCCCTTACTACGACCCTGCTCACCCACTGGGGCTTTGACGGCTACATCCGCTGGCTGCGGGGCATCAAGTCGACCTACAAGCAGCGCCGGGACTGGATCATTGACGCCATTGACGACAACTTTGATCTTGTCCTCGACGGGCAGGAAGACGTCGGCTCAGACGAAAAGCGGGCGGTATATGACATCCAGGGGTTGGGCAAGGGGGCGACGTGTTACTCCAAGACTGTAGGGGTTGCGGAATGGGACGAGAAGAAGGGGGCTGTCGGGAGCATGAAGAAGGGCGGGAAGGGTCCTGCATTAGTTTCTTTCATTCCTCCGACCGGTACGTTGCCCTTTTCTACTCCCCGCCGTGACTCGAGCTGACGTTCCAGCCGGGATGTTCATCTTCCTCGCCGTCCACACCTCACACCACCCCAAATACCCCAAACTCCTCCTGACCCAAACCCCGACCGAAGCCACCCGGACGCTGATGGACGCCCTCTGGCGCCAGCTCGCAGAACACCACGTCCTCGTCGCTCCCGGATGGGGCTTTGACGCGCGGGGCGAGCACAGTATCGGCGGCCCCGGGATCGGGTACTTCCGCCTCAGTTACTCGACCCTCAGCTACGCGCAGTGCCGGACGGCGATGAAGATTTTTGCGGAGCAGCTGGACAAGTTTTTCGAGGTGAAGAAGTAGGCGGAACGATTGGGTATCGGGGATTTGCGGGTCTGGGACTCGGCAATTTAGAGGGACTGTTCTTGCTTCAGGAGGATCAGACGTCACCCAGGGAGGTTTTGATCCGTAGTGAATGATTTGTTGTTGATTGATGTATCGCTTCGCTTGAGCTTGGCGCAAAACAATCACTTTGCCTTACATCAGACGCAAAGGCTTGTTCAGTCACCCTCAGACCGCAACTTCCCTTGTCAGGACACCCGCTGGACAGGTCCAGGTATGCGTACATCTAGATCTAGCTCGATCGGGCATGATTATAGCTACAAAAGAACCTACCCAATGGCGCCCCGGTCTCAGTGTGGTTGGTCCACCCTGCTTATTGCGCCTCCGCCTCATCGACAACGATGAGCGGTACATCCGCCCCTTCCATCTCCCCGCTCTTCCTCCCCCGCCACATCCCACTCCTAAGAATCGCCGTCCCCAGCGCCAATACCACCGCAAACGCCTGCGGAACGGGATAAGCCGACGTCCGACCTACAAACTCTCTCCCACAATCTTCCAGCACCGCCAGCGGACCCGATGCGGAGCCTGTTCGGGTGTACGGGACGAACGCCTGACCCTCGCCCTGGGCCGTTACATTCACGCCGTCCGCTAAACCAGGAATTACCCTGAGTGCAGAATGGGCATTCCGTCCGAATAGGACACCTGCTGTTTCCAGCAACGCAAGTCCTAGTAGTCCGACGGCAACGGGCCACATGATGGATAGCAGAATCTGCTCGGGGTGGGTCATGACGCGCTTGGCGGGACGGTCAAATATGATATTGACGACGCGGCGGATCCGCGATGCGGCGAGTTTGGTCTGGATGAGGGGTTGCTCAGGGAGGGGTTCGGGGAGAGGGCGTTGATTGCGGGTGAGTGCAGGGGGGAGGAAGGTGCCGTGTAGACTGCAGTGTCAGCTCAGATGTCATCTTGCGTATAGCGCAAACGAGTATCACAGCTGTGATTCAGTACGGGAAACATACCCGTATGGGACCCGCTGAGGAAGCTTGACTCGACATGCCACAGCATCCATACCTTCATGCATCCGCTTGGCGTCGATAACCCAAAGCTCGGATCCAGTCCCAGGGCCCATCGCAGGTTCGCCCTCAGGTGACAGATTCCGCTCGTCGTACACTACTGAGTCAGCTTGATCCGCTGTCCATATAGGATCGCGTGAACTCACCATAAGTGAGCAAATATCCATCATCCTCCGACGTCGGGTTCTGCCTCGGAACAAACCTTGGTTCCTGCGCAAACCAGCCTTCGGGCAATGGGAAGATCTCAATCGCACCGCCTCTGCCCTCCTTCCAATCCCGCATAATCTGGGGTGCCGATCTCGGATCTACCGGATCCCTTGATTTCCCTTCCCCTCTTTCCCGCCCTCGCCGCGTCAACTCCCTCACATCCACCTTGACCAATGCGTCCACTTTGGCTGCTCCACCTAACCGCTCGTCGAATGTCCCTTCGCGCATCGTGCAGGCGTATACGAACTGCCCCGCCTGCATATCGAGATCCGGGTGTGTCGAGGGGAACTCGATCGGGATAGGGGAAAGGGGGAACGAGTGCGTGATGGTGCCTTTTGTATCTGGGTCGGGCGAGGTCGTATAGTCGGGCGGAAGGAGAAAGCGGTGATAATGAAGCATGACGGTATCGTCCCCAAACATCGTTTCCGCCTTGGGCACCTCCACTGCGCCTGCGGTATACACAAGCTTGGCCGACCGGAACCGGCAGCCAAGCATGTTGACGGCGATGATCTTGCCGGTAGAGTCGGGCTCGTCCCATGAGCTTGCAGAGTGGAAGATCATGCTGGGTTCGGGGTCGATGAAGCGGGCTGGACGTTGTGGAGTGGCGGAGGAACCGAGAAGCCGGGGGAAAACGATGAATTCGGAAGGGAGGGTGCGGTCAAAGTGGATCATGGGGACAGGGGGGAATTCGAAGAAGTTGGCCGGGGACATGGTGAGGGGGAGGTTCATGACGATTGTATGTGTTCGCGTGGCGGCGAAATCATGCATCCTAAAATATCAGCTAATGGCCTGCATCGCTCGACCCGGCGAGGGCTGATCAGCTGGACGTACATTTTAGCCCGGCCGACGTCGACACCTGCTTTCCATACAAGATGATTTCCTTTCCTGTCAATGACGGAGTACAGGAAATGTGGCGAGCCAAACATCGGTGTCGAGTAGAAGAGGAGCGAGCCGTCGACGGGATCGACCCGGGGATGAGCCGTCATCCAGTCCTAATCATCAGCTGACCCTCTACATGACGGAGACCGGGTAGCTCACCTCCGATACTGCCGACAGGCCTAGTCGAGACATCCACCCCATCTTGCCCCTCTTCGTATTCAAATTCTCCCCTTGGGTATCCTCCAACCTATCCCACCTGACCGTCTCCAGCTCCGGCACCCTGACCTCCAACGGCGGCCCACTCTCACACGTCGCCAGTAGCCGATGATCCCGCTTATAACCCATCCCCTTATTCGTCAACCTTCGCCTAAGATTCGGCCGACTCCCGCCTGCCTTCTCCGCTTCGAGCTTCTCGGCCGCGACTTCCGCCCGGAGTTCTTCGGCCGCCTCGCTCCCCATTCCCTGGCCCCACCATACCACCGCCGTATTCGCCACACTAAGCACGCCCATCCTCGCCCGGATAAGCAGGAAGACCGCCTCGGTCAGCGCCTTGGCTAGGCGGTGTAAGGACGATAAGGGCGAGATGAGGAGGGCGATGGAGGGAACGGGCGAGCGGAGGAGGATGAGCGCGAGCGAAAGCATGGGAGTAGCGAGGTGCCTATTCGTATACGTTGGCGGGGACGACGGGTCCTTGGGGAACAATACACCATGCAGCATTCCATCACCGTCGAACCTGCTGGTCAGCTCCAGCTCGAGGTTAAAGGAGGGGTACGCACCAGTGATAATGCCGTCCCTTTTCTGGCGGGTAGATAGGGTTGCCCCCATTGCGGATATACTGACCCCCCAGGAGCTCAGCAGGCACCCTACCCTCAATCTCGCAGATGTGCGAAATGTACTCTTCAACGACCGGGGTGAAGTTGCCTCGGAGAAAGGGGTGCAGCTCCCCCTTGGCGGCTTTTTGCTCGACGGTCTTGCCTTTGCCCTTGTTCCCGAACATGGCGGGGAGTGTCTGATGAGCGAGAGGTGTAGATGTTATTGATAAGCAGAGAGGGATTGGATAGACAGCTTCGCCTCGAGCGCTCTGAAAGATCTTTGAGTTGGGTGGCGACGTCAGTCTTGGCTGACGCGCCTGCTGCTGCTGCATCTTGTCAGCAAGATGTGTCAGCTCTGATCTGATTTGAACCCAAACAAAGCCACGTCATGCTGGTAGCAGGCTCTACCACCAACAGCTCATCAACTCTCGCTATACTCTGCCTCCTTCATACCCTATACACATCAAGTCCACCTTCTCACACTACTGATAAACAATGAGGTAAGCTCCGCGGCGCTACAGCCATATATGCAGGAGACAGAAGCTGACCGAGGCTCTCCCTGAACTCCCATTATGCCCACACCTGTGACTATCGAAATATCGTCCATCCCAATCATCCCTTCCTCCCCATACCGTCCTATCGCCTACCACCCACGCACTATCCAATCACCCACACCCACCTCCTCTCAACAGTCAATACCTCAACGTCCCCAAATCCGAGCTGGACGAAGGCCAGATCCGCGAGCTAGAAGAATGGGAAATCTCCCAGGGGCCTCTCTCGGTCCTGCAGCAGGCGGTCAGGAACCAGAGTCAGGTGTTGATTTCTCTGAGGAATAACAAGAAGCTGCTGGCGAGGGTCAAGGCGTTTGACCGGCATAGCAATATGGTGTTGGAGAATGTCAAGGAGGTGAGTTGGGGTGTATGGGGAACGAATGGCCGATTTAAGGATCAGGGATAGGAGGCTTCGGCGCGGGAGCCCAGGGGGATCGTCTGGATCGATGGGGTGGTTTTGGACGTTTCGGATGGATGATGATGGCTTATGGGACGAGGAAGATCCCCGGTGTACGCTGTTCATGAGGATGAGGGGCAAGTAGGAGGCCGAAGGGGACTGTCAAGCCATATCATATACCCTTCTACGCCTTCTCGCGCTTGTATCGAAATCCGACCCTCCGCGAGCAGAGCTGACCTCGCAGATGTGGGTAGAGAACCCAAAAGGAAAGGATAAGAAGCCAATCAACAAAGACCGCTTTATTTCGTGAGTTGTCCGCTCCTTCGATGACGGAGGTGAACACAGCTGACTTCCACAGTAAAATTTTCCTGAGAGGAGATTCGGTCATTCTGGGTAAGCTGGCAAAGGGCCTCATTTCTGGCCGCGAAGCGGTAGCTTATACGTCAGTTCTGCGAAACGCTGCATGAGGAGTTCCAGATAAGCGTGGAGAAGGGAGATTCCGGGGAGTTGTGGTTCGACCTGTACCAAAATGAGCAGAAAACATGCATCGCATGTGTAATTTGTCAAGGGGGATCGTGCCGAGCCGAGCCCCAGGCAAGGGTCATGGCAGTCCGAGCGATCTGAACTGGAGACGCGGAAGCGATGCTATGAACGTACATGCTTCAGCTTCTATATCTACATGCGAGCCCAGCGGTCGCTCTTTTCTCTCATATCCCTAGCTTCCAGTCTCACCTCCTCCACTCGATCATGTGAAGACCCCGGACCCCTTGGACGAGTTGGCCAGCTCCACCACCTGATCCACCGCCTTCATATCTGTGCCCGGTGAGCTGTACCCAACCTCCGAAGGAAAAGCCCAGCTCACCCAGTGTCTTCCCCAGATTGATACTCGTTAGCGCCTTGACGGTATTGTCCTCCTTGACCGTCCCGATGATTTCGACAAAGGGGTCTGCCATGTGCATATCCTACCAAAGTCAGCATATCGTTCAGTAGGGAAGGAAATGGGCGTACTCTTGAAAGCAGTACTCCGACCTGAAAGCGTCAGCTCAAGGACCTGTGCTATTCGGTGCAGAAATACGGTTCCGTTTAAGCTGATCACACTCACCTGCCCACCATCGCTTGCTTCCACAGTCGCCATGTCCCCCTTCACCTGTACAATCTTGCACGTCAAGCGGACAGTCTGGTTGATGAATTTAGAGAGATTGCGGGAGTTGATCCGAGCTATTGGATCAGTATATCTCCCCTTATATTCCGTAATCTCCCCATCTGGATAGTAGTCCATGCCAAGCTCCAGCGCTCAAGGCGCTCGGGACATCCGGGTAAGGGAAGGAAGAGGGGCAAAGAGGCAGGCGACAACTTCGCAGCCCTAGTCTGGCCGCCCACGGAGACCGGCTACTGCCAGACAGGAGATGTAGATGATTACACTCACGCTCTGGACCCAAGTTAGACATGGTGGCTTTTGTTTGAGTGGCTTTAGTATATCAGTAAAGAGGTATATGGGACGAGGTGAGGTGGACAGCGAAAGTCGCGCTCGACGCGTCCACCAGAGCTGACGCACGGTCTTGCCATGACCGTGCCGTAAACAGACCTCCACCGGCACGTGATCAAAATTGGCAGGTGTAAATTTCTAGGCGCTGCTTGTACTTGCCGCAAGCCCTGCTAGGAGCCCTGCTGTACCTCATCTTTCTATAAGAAGCCTACTGTATCCTGTACTGGCAAGATGGTCTCCTTCCAGTGAGCTGTGTGGCGTCCTCCCACGACGAGAACCCCAAGCTGATACCTCAGATGCGACGGCTGTGCGGATACTGTCAAGAAGCCCAAGCTGGATCAACATCGCTCAAGGTGTCACGCGAGCTTCACATGTCTTGGTCAGCTGGCACGCTTCGGACTAGTCCAATGGGCGAATAGCTGACGCTGTAGATTGCTCGACTACTTTCCGGAATCAAGAGTACAAGTACGCTGACCATATCGCACAGATGAGCTATAGCTTATATTTACAGAACTCACACGAGCTGTATTTCCGAGGCTGAGAAGTATCAGGGAGCTCTCTACAAGGGAGGCAAGAAGGTCAGCTGCATGGTAATCCGCCAACGTCAGCGGGCATAGCTGATACTATAGGGCAAACAAGCTGTTCCCGCTCCCTCTGCACCCACACCTACTCTCACCCCTCAGCCAGCCGCCGCCGCATCCGAAGCAGGCTCCTCCTCTGCCCCCGCCCCGGCAATCCACCCATCGCGACTCGCAGTCATCGAGAACACCCCCGATTACGCCTCTTCCGGGCCTTCATATCGCGGCGGGGGCGGCCGAGGGGGATACGGCGGAAACAGCCGCGGGCGAGGTGGAGGCGGAGGCGGGTACGGCGGGTACGCGGGACCTCAAGTCCCAGGTCAAGGATCCGGATACGGTGCGCCGGCGGGATACGGCTCGCCCGCCATGTCTGCGCAGCCGTCTATGAAGCAGGCGAGTGGGGAAAATCGGATGGGCCCGAAAGAGGGGATGAGGAGCTGGGGGACGAATACGCCCGCGGAGACGAGTCCGGCGCCTACGCCTGCGCCTGCGCCTGCGCCTGCGCCAACGTCGGCGGTGCCGGTGGTAGGTACGAAGCTGAGGTTCGATGACACTCCTGGACCAGCGGCGGCGGTACCGGCGGTAGCAGCGGTCCCAGTGGCAGCACCAATGCAGGCGGCCAAGCCAAAGAAGAACAAGAAGAAGGGGGATAAGGGCGGAACGGGGGCCAAGGCGAATTCGAAGCGGCCCAAATCGGCAGCGGGGGACGACGACCGTGCCACGTCTGTTTCAGCACAAGCTGCAGCTTCCACCCCGGCTATCACATCATCATCATCCGCACCCGCTCCTACCACCTCGGACATCCTCACACCAAAAGACAAAAAGGACAAGGAGAAGAAACGGAAACGCTCCTCTTCCGACGCCGTCGCTCCTACCGCCCCCTCCTCCTCCACATCCACGACCACCCCCGCCGCCACTCCCGCCGTGTCCGAAAAGACCCTCAAACGCCTCCGGAAGAACTTTGCCAAGCACCCCGCTCCGTCGACTGCCCCTGCCGCAGGCGAGTCGGCGACCGCCCGGAGCCTCAAGCAGTTGGTCGAGCAGTTGTCGAAAGCGAAGCATGAGGGGGATTTGATTGATCGCGAGGATGTGTTGGAGGGAATCAAGGTCGTGCCGGTGGATGGGAAGTGGGTATTGAGTGTCTGAGCGGGATTGAGTGGAGTGAAATTGGGATCAGGATCGGGCGGGGGTACTTGGGGCGATGGCTTTAGGTAGATCTTGAGAGTTGGACTGATTTTGCTTGTACAAGACTCGTATATCCTATGGCTTGGTATCGCTTGAGCGTCAAGACAGAGATCGGATAATCGGTCCTTGCTCTGGCCTTGCCCATTCAGATCTCGCCCTTTGTATTACCGCATGGCGACAGCCTGGTTCATCCCGGTGCATGTATGACGGTGAACCCCCAAACGATACTCTACAGACTAATTGTGCAACATATCTATGTAGATGATGGCGATCCTAGACGCTTCCCTCCCCCTCTCCCCGTCTCCCCGCCGCCTTGTCCGCCTTATTGCGGTGGAACAGCCGGCAGTTTCTTCTCCACCCTTTCGCCCAACAATCGATCCCCACCCCCCTGTCCGTCCGCCTCCATTATACTCCCCAGATCCGGCTCGGCGCTGACCCCGGCACTTCCTCCACTCCCACTCGGACTGCCCATACTCCCCGCTCTCAAATCCGCCAGACTCGGGCGGACAGCAACCGCCTCCAGCTCTTCTGGCTCGCTAGCGCCTACTTTGCCCAGCAACCGCTCCTCATCCACCGCAATGGGAGCCACGACGGGCGTGAGATCCTGTAGTTCCATACGCGCCTTTTCGAGCTCTTCCGCTGCCTCCTTCTGCTCGGCTGAGCGCTGCGATCCGTCCGATCCTGGACCGGATGGGTCAAGGGGGGTGGGAGTGGCTGTGTGGACGGCGATTTCAGGATGGGGATGGGGTGGGGCAGTGGCAGATGAGGGAGCAGAGGAGGTATTTGTATTGGCGGTGGAAGGGGTGGCGGAGGGGTCCGGGACGATGATCGATCCTTGGCTAGAGGTAGATGATTGCCGGAGCGACCTGCGTTCCGGGTTGATCTTGAGCCGGCCCGCGATGGACTTTGCGGCGGCGTTGGGCATAGTTTGGAAGCCCTTCTTCGTTTCGTTGGCTGGATCTTTGGGATCCGCAGATTTCCATCGCCTCCAACCATCAAAGTCAATCAACGCCTAGTCTATCAGCTACGACTCCCTCTGTCGACCAAAGCCAGTACTCACCTGCATACACCCCCACTCGATCGTCTTTTGCTCCAACCACTTCAACGACACCGGTTTCGTCAAGAAATCGTTACACCCCGCCGCCAGCGCATTCACACGATCAGTCTGCAGACTGCTCGCTGTCAGTGCGACAATAATGACGCTGGACCGGAGCGGGGAGGGGGGGATCGCGCCGAGCGAGCCGAGCGAAAGTTGCCGCGATGGCATCTCGGTCGCAGGCGTCATGGGGAAAACACCGATATTGGAGTTGCGTTCCAAGTCCCGGATTTCGCGCGTCGCTTCGATGCCGTCCTTGACTGGGAGTTGGATATCCATCTGCAGTGTCAGCGAAGAAGGAGTAGGGAGGGGACGGCAGAAGGGGCTCACGAGGATCAGATGGAACCCGCCGGTCTTCCACTTCTTCACCGCCTCTTCTCCATCTTTGGCCGTTTGATGCTTGATCTTCTTCTTTTTCAAGAACATGCTCAGAATGTTTTGGTTAATAGGGTTATCTAGAGGTCAGCTATAGGTCACATCTCGACTCAAGGTCAAGAAATGAGACGGTAGCTCACCTTCAACAATCAACACGTTGATCGGAGGAACCACCATATCCTCATCCTTTGCCTTCTTCTTGCTTTTTGGCTTGACCTCCGCATCCTTTCCCGCAGTCGGTGCCACTTTTGGCGGAACCTCGGTCGCTGGGCTAGACTGCCCGCTTGGCCCACTCGCCCGCCGTCTACTCGCCGTCTTGACCAGTGACTCCCCCTTCGCCCTTCCCTTCGCGATGACCGGTTCCGCCTGGGCGGGGGGCGCCACTTCCTCATCTACCACCACAGCGTTCGACCCCCTTCTCCCCTTCCTCCCTGACCCAACTGGACTATTCATCCCCGATCCTTCCCCCTCCTTCGTGCTATTCCTTCTCGACGGCGGCGCCGTCTCTCCCGCTGAAAACCCCGAGGCCCGCCTACTCCCACTAGGCGACATATTTGCGGGTGACCCATCCTCTGGTGTCTCCCTTTCCCTCTCTCGCTCGCGCTCAACCACTATACTCGTCTTCCTCCCGAAACTTTTCCGTGTGCCGCCACTGGACAGAGGCCGTCCTGACGCACCCGCACTAACGCGCCGGTCCGACTTGACCGGCGGCTCAAAGAAGACCCCAAAAGGCCGCCCGTCCGGACTCTGCATGACCACCGCGGACCCGCTCGCCGAGCCCGTCCGGAGCCCTTGGTTCGCAAAGTACTCGGAGGCGGGGGTGGCTGTTACGTCCCCCGGAGTCGGCATGGAGATGTGCAGTCCGCGGTCGGTGCGCGTGATGGTAGGGGCGTTGGGATGTGGTTTGGGCGTGACGGATGAGGAGGAGGAAGATGAGGGTGGGAATTCGCGGAATGGGGACCGAGCGGGCATGGGCATGTGTGCGAAACCGCCAAAGCTGCCCGGGTCGGGGGCGGGGGCTGTAGCGGTAGTTGGTGATGTAGTGAGAGTGGATCGTGAAGTCGAGGCCGAAGCGGGCCCGCGCTTCAGCAGCTCCCGGATCTCGGTAGAGAGAGAGACGTTGTATTGCGATTTCACGCATAGTTGGTCCAGCGCCGCGAGGATCGATTCACGCTCATCGACGAGGGGTTTTTGGACGTCGTGTGGGGCGACCAGGCCCTTCAGGAGGGTGTCCATCCTGCGCTGGGCTATAGGCTAGCTCTAATGTGAGATGTAGAAGGGAGAGTAACTGGATATCGATGATTGTGGACATGCGTGTGCAGCAACGCAGCAGCAAGCGGTGTTCCAACGGACGGCGATCGCCGTTCAACAACCCGATGACGACCTTGGCGTGCAGATCGAGCGGTATGGTATATACCCTCGAGCAAGCCTCGAGACATTGCACATGGACTGACAGGCTATACATGCTACATAGTGGATAAGGAATAATACAGACAGCCCAGTCCTCTCATATCCCAAGCCTGACGCGCCGTTCGGTCGACTTGCTTGACCTACTGATTATCCTTGTCAACGCCTGCCCTGCCACTATGACACCGCCTACTCCGCCCGCCCCAAACGCCGCTGCCCAGTGATACCACTTCCTACTGAGTCAGCTCTGGTCAATTGGTCAGAGTGGAAAGAGGTGACGGGAAAGAAACTCACGTCTGCCTGATCCGCACAACCGAAACCTCTCCCTCGAACTTCTGATCCTGGATGAACCGCTTTAACCGCTCGTCCTTCTCCTGCCATACACCTCGCAACCACAGCTCAAATGCTCTGGCCTCCTGTGGGGTCGCCAGGTCTTGGGAAGAACTATCGACAGCGAGGGCCGAGGCGTCATCCTTTGATGTTGGTGGTGTGTTCAGGGATGGGATGCTGGAGAGGTCCGAGTGTAAGCGGAGGTGCATGTGTACAGTAGGTGGCGGCACCGAGTTGAAGAAGACAGATCCGAGGCCGTAGCTGCAATGTCAGCTCATGTCTGCGCTGACAGAAGAGAGAGGCTGTTGAGCTTACTAGTACTGGGGGTACTTGCCCAGCGGGACGCCTGGATACCCGATCGTTACATCTAGCAGCTGGAGGTCCGGTACCTGGGGCAGGAGTGTACGAAGGCAGAAAAGAAGACCAGTCGAGCGCGGGTGCAGAGCGACGGCCAGATCGTCCTGGGCATCAGCTCGCGCACGATGATTGAATGAACTCACAATTCCCTCTTTATTTGCGTACTTGACGCTCTTCGCCCTCTCTTCGTCGCTCGTAATAGTGCCCTCCGGAAAGATGAGCAGCCACAGGGGTGATCTTCCGGTATCAGATACCTGCGGTAGGAGCGAAGCATCCTCGCCTTTGCCCAAAGTAGAGCCGCTAGCGGACGTCAGGGCATGTCGTGTCGATTCGTCCGACGACAGAGCATCCTTGCCCAGTCGAGTGAGCGCTTTAGTGAGGTTTGTTCGGTCGGCTGCCCATGAGCGCCTCAGGAATATGAAGCGGAAGAAGCGCTGTCGAATCAGCTCTGACCCTGGCCCCCGAAGGGCATTCGGCGCCGTGCAGATAGCTCACCATTCCCCAGCCCACAAAAGGGACATGCCTCAAACTCCACTTCAACAGGATAGTCAATCCCTCCGCATGACCAGCATAGCACGCCAGGATCCACATGTACATCCAATCGGTGTAGCATTGGTGATTGGCCATGATGACGAGTCTGTCAGGGAGGTTGATGCGCGTCATTCGGCCGTGAGCGTCCCGCTCGACGAGGTTGGAGGCGAGGGAGGGGGAGTCGGTTGTCAGATGTAGAGACGTCGGCGCGAAGAGGACAGTAATGAGAATCACTGCAATTCAGCTACACAGTACTGTTAATACACTGAAATCAAGGCGTGTGTGCCCGGCCGCTCGTCAGTGCACTCACATAATCGCCCAAAACTGTCCTTGGTCCAATCGATAACAGCCTCAAACATCCCCCTCCCAACCACCGGAAGCAACAGCAGCGGCAGCGCGCAGAACTGCACGGCATTGATTCCCAGGATACCCAAGTTGAAGGCAAGTGGGAAGAAGACCTTGGAGAAGAGCGGACCGTGTCGCGGTCGGTCGGCGATAGGGATGGTGTAGAGCGTGTCGGGGTCGACGGGCGGGACGTGGGGCTTGCTGGAGCTCATCCTGGTATCTGAGAGTGATGTATGGGGTCTGCCCTTCGGGGGAGTGCTACATGCGCTTTGTATAGTAGATCAGTAAGCAGCGAGACATGAGAAGCATGCCAGCTTGCGTCGCTGACTCGCCTACGGTGGCGAATAAGCTTCAGCGAGCGAGATGCCCGATGACCGACCCGAAATTACGGCATGTTTCGGATGGACCACTACAGCATCTCTTTTGACCACAACTTCACCTCCGCATCCTTTGGACAAGTCCTCTATTGACAGCAACGCCAGACACACAGCACAGCACCGCTCGGCGCTCTTTGTCGAGTGGATCCGGCGAGCTCTGCTTTGGGAACGGCGGGACGCTCATTGTGCCGCCAGGAACTCCTGAAGGGGTCCGGAGAGGGCGCTTTTGGAACTTGAAGCGAGCCATGTTGGCCGAGCGGTGTTGAGATGAGCACCCCAAGGAGAATATATGACCTGCAAGGACCACCTGAACTCTCTTCTGACTATCACTCAACCTTGAAGGATCCCCCACATTTCACTCATCTTCACTCATCCGCGATCAGATAGGACGCAACCGGCCATGTCTTCACTGACTCAGCGGATCCCTTATGGCGCGCACGTCATCATAATCTTCGTCCTTAGCTTCGCAGCCTTCATCCTAGTGTGAGCCTTTCTTTGTTCTGAGATTCCTCGACAGGTTGATACCATATCTGACTGGTACAGAATCCTGACCACCTTCTCGACCCCGTTCATTCAGGGCATCTCGTTTCTCGATGTCTACACCTCGTCTGGATTGACCAGGTTCGGCTCGTTCGGATGGTGCAACCCAGGTTACTGCCTACCGAATCTGGTCTCCTATGAGTGAGTGGCCACCATATGACGAGGAAAGACAAGCTTAGCTGACTCGAGCAGGTACGCTCCTCAGGTCAACGCATCACTGACTGGGGCTATGGTTCTCTGGCCTATCGGTATGTCTCCCGCTCTTTTTCTTCTTCTTCGGTCTCCAAGCTAGTACCTCATACTTGCACTTATGGCTCCCCGCTGACGCCCCAGCGATCATCTTCACCTTCTTCACCCTAATCGCCATCATCCCCCTCCTCTTTGTCCACAACTCGGCGGCACTGCGATACGTCGGCAACTCCATGTTCTTCAAATTCTCCGCCAACCTATCGGCCATCATCACACTGGTAGCGTGGGTGATGACCATCTATGGGTGGAGTATCGCCAAGCGGACGTTCGAGGCGGGCGGGGTAGGCGCGGTATATGGCGCAGCTGTAAGTACACGCCTTCGACTCTTCTACATGTGAGGGTATCCGGATCTGACCGTACAGACATGGCTAGGCCTCACAGCGATGCTCTGCATGCTCATGTAAGTCCTCCAACTCAGATCCTGTGCCTGCCATACTGCGCCATAGACTGACCATCCAGCGTCGCCTTCCTCGGCTGGCCACACGAGGCATGGGACGGCAAGACCACCCGCGCGAATGGCGGAGCGGGCGGAAGGGGCTTACCAGGTCCAGGAGGGGACGGCTACTATCATTACAAGCGGACGACGAGGGAGATTGTGCCGCAGCATCAGGGCGGAGCGATCACTACGACGACGAGGTACTAGGCGGGCGTGAAGGCGGGGTCGATGGCGGTTGCTCTTGGGTTGGGGGAAGCCCTCGATGGGTTGTGTCGTATGCATCGTCTCTTATCTGTCGTCCGGCTATCTCCTGCCGCTGTCGCGAGTGTTTCTGCATCGTTCTTGTCAGCAGCTCTGATCCAGTTTCAGCTGAAGATGGATGATGAACCATTCATAAGGTTTGCAAAGCTTCTTGACGTCATCGAAATCGATCAATAAAAAGCACCGAAAGTCTTGGTTCTGGTGCTTGCTTACCTGTGTTACCTCTCATCCTCCCACCCCTCACCGTTCGCCCTCTCTCCATCCTCAACCCCACAGTAGGCTGCTCACCAACACGTGAAGATTAGAGCTTCTTCTGGTCCTCCTTAGAGCAGCGACGATGATCGCCCCTCAAACCCTCTGCGCCGTCTTGGCGGGTCTACTGGCTGTTGAAGCCGTGCCCACCCAGAAGGTCTTCTCGAGCGTGGGTCCCATAGTCAACGAGATAGATCCTCTCAAGCGTAAGCTAGCTTTCCCAATGCCAAACAGAGCAATACACGCTAAATTCTTTGCAGACCTATCCGCCATTTCCCCCTTCTACATCCCCACCGCCCTTCCTGACCCCCTCCCCCCAACCTGCTCACTCACCCGCGTCTCCCTCCTGATCCGCCATTCGTCCATTCTGGGGAATGACGACGAGTATGACGATTCCATGGGGCCGTTCATCGAGAAGATCAAGCGGATAAGGGACGAGCACCCGGAGAAGATCCCGCAAGGGGAGTGGGCGTTTTTGGGGGAGTGGGAGTCGCCGATCAAGGAGGATAAGGTGGAGGTTTTGAGTGAGAGGGGGAAGGCGGATTCTTTGGTAAGTTTGGCTATGCGGAGGATCTGAGGGGTGTCCGTCGGAGAAAGAGGGAGTGGTGGAGCAGGGGTGCGGGATGAGGACGCCTGCTAAGAGGACGAGAAGCGTAGTGGACTTCGGCTTATGTCCAGTATCTCGGCCAGTACATCAGGCAACAATACAACTCGCTCTTCCCTCCGCCAGACAAGAAAAAGAGCTCGAGCGAGTCCAAGCACAAGCACAAGGGCAAGAAGGGGAAGAAGGCGCCGCCATACAAGGTGAGTCTTGATAGCTTGGCCGGATCACGCGCAGCTCGGATATCTGCAGCGAATTCTAGGCGTCAGCTGACACCTCTAGGTCTGGACAGCCTCTTCTTCCCGTGATATCGAGACCGCCCAGGCATACATCAAGGGCAGTTTCCCCAAGCACCAATCCGGACCCAACGGTGATGGCGATGGCGAGGTCGTACAGCTCATCAAGGTCCCTAACAAGGCCAAGGACTGGGATAAGAGCTTGACCCCGCACGTAAGCTCTCCGCCTAGACTTCCTACTTTGCGGCCAGTAGCTTACTCTGTCAGAAAGCGTGCGACGCGTTCGAGAAGCTCTCGTCACTCGAGCCCGCCAACAAGTGGCTCGCGCTCTACGCTGGACGTGTGCGCGAGCGGCTGAGCTCTTTGATGCCTTTCTTGATTGATGAGCTGGACGACCAGGATGTGCTCGGGATGCAGATGGTGAGCTGGTTGATCCAATTCGTCGTCCACGGAGCTCGTAGCTGACCCTCAGCTCTGCGGGTACGAGTCAATCGCTCAGGGTTCTTCCTCCTTCTGCCACCTCTTCACGGACGACGAATGGCTCGACGTCGAATACTACTTTGACGTCCGATTCCATTATATGATGGGCTACGGCAACTCGCTCAGCCCCTACCTGGGCGGTCCTTGGGTCAAGACGGCGCTTCATCTTTTGGATGGGAAGGATACCGGTGGAGACGATCACCCCAAGTCCATTGCGGACGGGAGCAAGAAGTTGCCCAAGCCCAAGCTGCCGCCAAATGCGACACACACTCAGCTGTGAGCTCCCCTCCTTCTGATGATGTGGCCCCTAAGGGGCTCAAAGCTGACACGATCCAGGCTCCACCCTTCCTTCACACACCGCGAGTCCCCCGCCTTCGTAGCTGTCTTCCTGAACCTCTACAACGCCACTTCGCTCAAGTACCCCGCGTCGGCCCCCCCATCGCTCGACCACCGCGTCGACGAGCGCGCCTGGCGGACCTCCCACCTCACTCCCTTCCTCGGCCACATCGCACTCGAACGGTTCTCTTGCCATCCGACCCGTGACTCCCCGGATGTCTCTTCGGAGCAAGTAGGCTCGGGCGATAATCACCACCACCACGGCCACAAGGGGAAACAAGATGGGAGCTACGTCCGCGCCGTCGTCAATGGGAAACAGGAGCGAATGGGGGGATGTGAAGATGGTGTGAATGGGAGTTGCAAGTGGGAGACGTTTGTCAAGTTTGTCAATGGACGGGCGGAGCGATGGGGCGACTTTGAGGGGGTATGCGAGAAGAAGAAGGAGGACTGAGAGGAAGGAGTCGGACGGCGCTCGCGCTCATAGGACAGGATATGGACCTGTGATGTATGGATACTTGGCTATGCAATGTGAGCCTAAGCTGATGCAGGCATGAGCAGCCAGCCTGATGTGAATGAGTGTAACTTGGAGGTGGGAAGACCCGTCGTTCGGCAGGGTACTAGTTGTCATGTTGTGCATGCAACCGTCCCACATGAGTGAGTGAGCTGGACCAATCCTAGCAGCCCGATGGCCGAGGAAGAGACCGACCGATACAGTCACCTCGAATCACCTCGCGCCGCGGACCTCCGCGGACGGATGACCGCGGAAAGGCAGTAGGATCCAAGCGGTGTACATATATAAGTCTGTCCCAACTCTCACAGACCACTTCAACACCAAGACGACACCTCCGAGGATGGCCCCTCACGCAAGCGCCGGAAAGACACCCAATGTCCTCCCTGATTGGTGGGCATTCGCATTCATGGGACTCCAAGCGGTACGTCCGCTACCGCCCAACCCATGCTGCGCCGTCCCTTTCAACGAGATACTCAGCTCATACCCAGGCCGCCTTGATCCCTCTCACCATCCAGAATGTACTCGACCCTAACAAAATGTTCAAAGGGCTGTTGCCGCCCGGCTTTGACCTTGCTACGGACGGTCTGAACAAGAGTCTGCGGGTCGAGATGGCTGGGTTGAGTAGCGCTCATGGTGAGTGACGATCATCCGTCGTTAAGCACGGAGTGAGCGATGGTCGTGCTGATAAGACTAGCATTCCCTATGATAGCATCCCTTTTTATCGGTTGCACGCTCTTTGCGCGCAACTCACTGGCTGGGCAGCCGGTCTTGCAGCAGCGTTTGATGAAGCTTCCCATATACGTTGGGTTGTTCTCGGACGTAAGTCCTGTCCTGTCCCCGACTACGCCCGAGTGCCGAGCGTGCCGACCCTGTTTGACGGAGCTGACGAGCTGACGAGCTTAGATTTGCCTGTACGCTATCCAGTTTACCAAACTCCCGTCGGCCGTATTGTACAACCCGAAGCTCTGGACGTCGGCGACCTCGGGCCTGCTCTATGGTCTGCCGGTGGCGACGCTTCTCAAGCTGGTCTGGGTGTTTGGGATCGGGCGTGATGTGGTGTGATGCAGGGAGGGGATTGGGGCTATGGCTGCGGAAGCTCTTACGACTCGGGACCGCGGCGTGAGCGCGCAGGGCGGATCTGATAGTCGGGGTGCGGCGTGTGAGGCTCAGATCAACTTCTATGAACACTCTATCGCGTGCTGTTTCCAAGCCCAGCGCTGAGAGCGATGAGCAGCTATGAGATAAGCACCTCCATGCTAGACCTTGATGACCTCGAGGTGATCACAGGCGATCCTATCAAGCTTATGAAAGCACCAGCCAGCCCGCATTCCTCGGCGTGGTACGTCATCGCGTCATGGCCAAGTTCCAGGCACGGCAAGTCTTGCCGACAATTTCGCGTCTGGCTTGGCCAAGCAGTCCAAGGGGGGTCCAAGCGAGTCATAGCGGGGCAGCAGCACGATGTGCTTCTTGTTATTCACCTCTTTCTCCTCCTTATATCTAGTACAAGATGTTCCAGAGCATGAGCGAAGTGGGCGAAACGATATGGTCCGCTACCCAGGTGAGTTTCGCCGATCCGATCTGGAGATAAGGCCTAAGGCAAAGGGCAGGCAGAGCTGGAGCAATTCGCAGCTGGCAGTCCAAGGATCGGGCTATACGATCCATGGCACGACTCTGGACTGAGCATGTTACGCCGTGACTGATAGTATAGGCCTCACTCTCGGTCATCCTCGTACTGCTCTATGGCTACTTGTCGCGGCGGTACAAACTTATGTCTGAAGAAGGGGAGGGCGTAAGTTCAAGTTCCTGCTCGGACCCTATATCGGTCGGACAGAACAGGTACCATAACATGCTGGTGCTGATGACCTGAACAGAATGTGTCCAAGATCTCCGTGACGATCTTCTTACCGTGTCTGCTCTTTTCGGAGATCGGGCCACTGGCGAGCTGGAGCAATCTTAAAGACTGTAAGTAGCCCGTCCGCTCTGGTCCTCGCAAACTCATTCCTCTATCCATTCAGACTCTCTCCTCTTGATCCTCAGATGGAGAGGACGCGCTGATCGCGCAGATTGGGTCATTATCATCTACGCCCTCTTCTTCCAATTTATCTCATTCGTGTTCGCCATGATTGGCGTCAAGCTCCTTCGCTTCCCACAATGGATCGTGTGAGTTGAAGGCTTGGCGCAGGATGTACAGATCCGATTGTGCAGGGCGCAGCTGACACGTCAGACCCTGTATGATCTTCAACAACGTCACATCGCTGCCGCTGCTCCTGCTCAGCTCTTTGGGCGATAACGGGACGCTCGACCCCCTGGTGGGCAAGGGCGAATTACTGAGCAAGGTATTGGATAGGGGGAAGGTGTACTTGCTCATCCACGCCCTGGTCTGCAATCTGACTCGGTGAGCTAGTCGTGTCCTATCGATTATTACAAGCTGACTTGAGTCTAGGTTCACATTCGGCCCTTGTGAGCTGCCCTATGCTATCATTTCAGATCTAGCCAGCTGACTTCCAGACCTGTTGCAGGAGAGCATGCCGGAATCAGAGGACGAGCCCCAGGAATCCAAATACCACTCGCGCTCCTGGGCATGGACACACGCTGAATCACCGCACAACGCGCTCAAATCCCACATGCACCGGCACATCAGTACGACGCTCCCCGCTCAGGCCTTGTCCACCCCGTACCCCCTGATCCAGCCGTACGATCCGCAAGCGGAGACGTCCCCTCTCCTCAATCGAACCAAAGTCGAAGCGAAGCGAGCGAGGAACATTCTCATGGTGGTCGGAGAGCGCGTGTGGGACTTTTTCAACCCGCCGATGATCGGAGGATTGGCGGCTGTGGTGGGTGGGGTGATTCCTTTCTTGCACAAATGGTTATTCGGGAAAGATGCGTGGATGAAGCCGTGAGTGCGAGATCCGGCCTGGGGGGTGTGGAGCTGATAGTATAGGTTGACGGAGAGCGTGTCCAAGTTGGGAGATCTGTACACCGTACTGCAGATGTTTGTTCTGGGCGCTCACCTTCAGTCCAAGAAGTAAGTCCGATCGCCTCAGGGAAGAGTGACACGGCTGACCAGCAGGGGCTCTCGGCCTCCTACCTTCCCGTTGATCTACCTCTTCTCCTTCCGCTTCCTCTTGATGCCGGTCATCTCCTGCTCTACCGTCTACTTTGCCAGAAAGTGGTTTGGCGCTTACATCTTGAACGATCCGATCTTGGTGAGTTCCAACTGGCCATGATTCCAGGTGATCTGATGCGAAGAAGCTGATCTAACAGGACTTTACGATGACGCTCGTCGCTGTAGGACCCACTGCCATCAGTCTCGCTGCCATCGTCGAGATGTGAGTACAGGTGTCAGGGGTGATGACGAGCGAATGAGCTGACTTGATCAGGGCCGATACAGATGAAGGGACGGACAGTTCCGTCGCCAAGACGATCGTGCTCAGTCACGCCTTGCTACCTCTGATCAGCGGGACGGTGACAGCTGCCCTGGAGGTGGTGAAGCGTCTGCATGAGTAACGCGTCAAGGTACTTTATAATGACCGGGTTGGATCGTTATTGCCGGACCCATCATACACGAGGCTGTAGTCCGCCATTGATACATGCATACAACATTTTGGGTCGATCCGAGCTGGTGGGAGAGGTGCGGTGCGTGTGCGAGTGCGTATGAGTTGGTAAGATGGCCGAAGGATGATGGGGGAGGTCGACATTGATGTGAACGAGGGCTACCAGGTGGATTTGTGTACGCCTGGAATCTCTCCGCTGAGCGCTTTCAAGCGAAATTGGAACTGCACAGTCAGCATGTGACCACTGCAAGCCTATTCCATTTCGGATCGGTGGAGATAGTCTGCCTATACTCACTCGACACAGGCCAAATTGGCTCATTATACCTATCCGATCAGCATCTCATCTCAAGGCAGATGCTTTGTTTCCACCCTAAAGGTCGAGACTCACCTCGCCCACGCCCAGTCTCCACGCATCTCGCCTTAACAGCCCCTCTTCTCCCCTCTCCGCCATTCAGATTGTTCAGCGCCAACTGTGCCCGATGCCTGACATTGGCAGGAAGGGTGGTATTCCGCGCAACGAAGAGATGGGCTCTTCTTGTCGTTTCCATCTCGTTGAGGGAGAGACGTTTGCGCATGTCGCGGATGAAGGATGATTTAGAGCCCATGGCCGTGTTGCGGGGTCGGGGTGTTTTGTGTTGATTGGACTGGCTGGCTTAGAGCGGAGCTGCGCAGAGGTGAAGAAGATGCGAGCTGAACTGAACGTTGAACTGAACTTGAATTAATGAGCGGATCCGATCCTAACTGAACCTTCCAGTCGGGAGATAGCGGCGTTATCTCATTCACGACCCGGAATTTCGGGGGGGCGGTCTCGAGGAGGTCCGAGCGCGTTTCATCTTCACGCTCTTTATCTCTGAAACGCCCTATCCTCCTATACCCTCCTGAAAAAGGGTACCTCTACCCTCCCCAGTCAGCCATAGAGACAAGAAAGGGCCGCTTCGAGCCTGCCCGGGAAATTTCTCCTTTGTTCACAGCACGTCCTTTTACACTCTCGAGATGAAGAAGGTCCTTTCTGACTCTGTTTCCGAAACGCCCGGAAGGCCGCACGGCCAGGAGGTAACCTTACTCGACAGTCGTTGTAAGGTTGTGCCGAGAAGGACAATATGTCGCTGCGCTACAGTCGCTGGAGGTCGAGTGCTTGTATAAGGTATCGAAGACCGAAGAGAAATACCTCATCTTGCTCTACTGCCTCTCACACAGAACGACCTCGTCACAGCTCGCATCAGCTAACATCTGAATACAACCAGTCTAGTCTCTCGAATCGCTCGGACATCACTAGACCTCGACCCACATCGCCGCTTCCGCCAGTACCCGGTATCTCTTCAAAGGCTGTTCACTTCCTCGACCACACGACCGCCCTCTCCTTTGTCCAATTCCAGTCCCTTTGGTGGCCCCACCTCGACCTCCTCCGGCCAGATCACTGCGCACACTCGCTCCATCTCGTTCCTTTCTTCTACAGCTCGACGCTGCTCTTGTCCCGCTTCCGTCTCGGACAAAGGATCAGAAGCGAAAGGAGACGGTCCAGCGAGCGAGTATAGATAGGCTGGCGAGTCGTTCAACTTATCTCTTCTTCACATCCCGACTTGCTCTGCATCATTGGGGACATCAAGAGCTCTATCTGTGAGTCTTGCTCAGCTATTCACTTACGGAGGACCAGCTGATCCCTTGCAGTCTACTAAACTCCTTCATCCCCATCCTCAGCATCCCCAGCGGTCATGTCTCTTTCCCAAACCCAATCCCAGTCATCCCGCCGTCCCTCAGCACCCTCCAAACCATCACAGGCGAGCCAGGCAAAGGAGCAAGTCGTACAAGAACGAACGACCAAGGGCTCCAGCGCAAGCGCACCTCGCGTCGTACATTTCTCAGTCGGTAAGCTCATCCCCCTTTACCTTCATCCTTTGTCCGCCGCAGTAAGCTGACCCGCAGGCTCGACCTACCAGATTCTCGACGTGATCGGCGAAGGAGCGTACGGTGTCGTCGTCTCGGCAACCCACAGACCGTCAGGTACCAAAGTCGCCATCAAGAAGATTGCGCCGTTCGATCATGCCATGTTTGCGCTGCGGACCCTGAGGGAGTTGAAGCTGTTGAAGTACTTTGCGGCGGAGGGGGTCAGCGAGAATGTAAGCTACTCGGCACGTGAAGTCCATCGCTGGGGCAATAGCTGACGGGACAGATCATCTCCGTCTTGGATCTTGTCAAGCCACCAAGCTACGCAGAGTTCAAAGAGGGTGAGCTGGGTTGTACCTTCGGAGTCATTCCGTCAAAGGGTAGTCAGCTGACATTTCAGTATACCTCGTGCAGGAGCTCATGGAGACCGATCTTCACCGCGTCATCCGGACCCAAGATCTCTCAGACGACCACTGCCAGTACTTCCTGTATCAGACCTGCCGGGCCCTCAAGGCTTTGCACAGCGCAGATAGTGAGTCTCCCCGCCGACGTCTGTCTTAGAAGTCAGGGCTCAAGCTGATGTCCTAGTCATCCACCGAGACCTCAAACCCTCGAACCTCCTTCTCAACGCCAACTGCGATCTCAAAGTTTGCGACTTTGGTCTGGCCCGGAGCTGCCAGACGCTCGTTCCCGCCGAGGGGGGACAGGGGTTCATGACCGAGTATGTCGCGACGAGGTGGTATAGGGCGCCAGAGGTCATGTTGTCGTTCAGGATGTACAACAAGGTGAGTTGCTCGATCCCTGCCAGGGTTGGAGGATGAGAAAGCTGATGACGCAGGCTCTGGACGTCTGGTCAGTAGGCTGTATCCTCGCAGAGATGCTTTCGGGGAGACCGCTCTTCCCAGGCAAGGACTAGTAAGCTGCCTCCCAGATAAGCTAGGCCGGAGCTGACTCCTCAGCCATGACCAACTCTCCCGTATCCTCGACGTCCTCGGTACACCCACCATCGAGGAGTTCTACGCCATCACCTCGCGCCGCTCGAAAGAGTACGTCCGCAACATGCCCTTCCGGAAGAAGAAGGAGTTTTCGGCCATCTACCCAAATGCCAACCCGCTCGCGATCGACTTTTTGGAGAAGACCCTTACGTGTGAGTTCCGCTTAGCAGGAGAAGGGGATGCTTGCTGAATCCGATAGTCGACCCGAAGAAACGATACACTGTCGAACAATGCTTGACGCACCCATACCTTGACGCATACCATGATCCGGAGGACGAGCCGGTGGCCAAGCCGCTGGACCCGGACTTCTTTGACTTTGATCTGCAAAAGAACGATATTGGGCGGGAAGAGCTGAAGCAACTACTGTAAGTGGACCACTAGGCCTGGCCTGGTGAATATTGTCGTTGTACGTGTTGACGAAGGTCAGGTATGATGAGATCCATAGCTTCCACGGTCAATGAGATGGATAGTGAACGGGAAGCGCAGATAGTGGCGGTCCATGTCGAGGGATAGCGGGAAGGTGGACGAGTGGAGCGAGGGCCGTTGGAGATGAGGAGGAGGAGAGATGTAGAAGGATAGCGCCTGTATATCTATTATGTCATATCATGTCTATTGGAGAACTTTGCTGCTGTGCTATTTCCCTGCCGCGGTGCGACTAGTCATCGGTAGATGTTGCAGCCAAGGAGCAATCCACCAGCGTCTGAGCAAAGACCTCCTCTCTGCCAGTGGCAAAGTGAGTGTTCATCAGCAGGATCTGTAGGCCTGGTCCGAAGCACCGGTAGTATACATTGTACATACAGCTTTAAAGTACATTCCTCCCGCCCTCCAATCATTCTTTCGTTTCTGTGTCTGTAGAAATCCTCCGACGAGGGCAAGGGCAATGGAGCTTTCAGGTCAAGGAGGAACAGGGCGATTGGCGTGGCGACCGAAGTCATCGTGGACGTCCGGTTCGACATGTGCCGAAGTGTGGGTATGATTTGGGTGTGAGGAGTGTTACGGGCCGTTAACGGACGATGTTGATTATCCCGAGTGCAAGGCGGTATGGACGCATCTCCGCTGATTCAGTCGTCTGTGATGAGCATTGTGGCTTGGTCAGATCGTTGTGATCGGGGTGTTTGGGCTTGTGTAGATGGGGGCTTTGTTAGTTTCGGAAGATCGCTATTGTGATATGGCTTGAAAGTCAGCTTATGGACACTATAGACTTAGGACTCACCAATCGGCTGACACCACATTCTACAGCTTCTCCACCCTACTCGCCCACCTCCACCTCTCGAATCCTCCCTCTTTACCCTCCGCTCCCTCCTCACCCGGCGCAACCACAGGCGAGACAAAGCTACTCTGCCTCCTCCTTCTGAGCGCCACGGGATCCAGGCCCCATCCGCCCAAATCTCCCCCAGCGGGAATCATGATAGATCCCCTGAGCCGATCTCGTTCTCGCTTCTTTCGGTCGCCTGTACCATCCCCGGTAGCCTCGTCTACGGCGGAAGCGTCGATTCGGCGGACCCCGGCTGGAGGGGTCAGCTTATCGTGGTATGCTCTAGCGAGACACGAGAGGATGTCTAGGGTAGAGACGACGTAGTGCGTCGATAGTTGGGTTGGAGGGGGCGCGGGGAGGGTGGTCAGGCCGCCTGAAGGGGATGGGCGGGCGTCAGTGAGGCTGAGCAGGGAGAGCGAGGGGGACGAAGGTGGGGACGACTGGGAGGTTGAGAGTGATGGCGAGGGGGATAGCGGTGGCGAGAGGTTGCTCGCTGCTGGAGTAGTCTCTGTCGATGGTGGACGGAGGAAGACGCGAGATGAAGATGTTGCGAGGATCAAGTGGGCGGCGTGGAGGATAGTAGAGTTGTAAGGGATGGTGTGGACTGCATGATCAGCTATCTGCTTTAGAGAGTCTTGCTCAGCTGAACATACCTGGGACCCGCTCCTCCCCCCTGTCCTGTCCCGCCTCCTCGACATACTGACTCTTTTTGACCATCTCCTCCAATCCCATCCCGAGCACCTGTTTGCCCTCGCTCGGAACGACCACCCTGGTGCACTCTTTGGCAGTCACCACGCTAGTCAACCCGCCCATTCCCAGGGTGTCGAACGGGGAAGCCAGCATCTCCGCACTTGGGGAGACGAGAGGAGACCCGCTGAGCCCGCTAGAGCTGGATGAGCGGAACATGAGGGCGCCGCTAGATGAGCCGGACGATCCGGATGATTTACGGCGGGCGTCGGATCGCCCAGAGAGCGAACCAGGACCGGAGAGGACTCCGAGGGCGGACAGTCCGTTGATGGACATGACCTGCATGGCGTCGAGGACGGAGGCGGTTCCGGGGAGGGAGATGAGCGGGTGGAGCGGGAAAGCAGCAGAAGGCGAAGTGACGGCGGCCTTGAATATGGCGGGCTGGTCTGCAGAAGGCAAAGCGACGAGGTGCTCAATCACCGCCAGGTCGGTGACGATGGTAGGCGGGTCCGACGAGCCGGCTGTTGTTAAAGCGATCTTGTGAAGACCGGAAGCGAAGAGCGGGAGGAGCGTCCGGAGAGGAGTGGTAGATGGGAATGCATGGTAGGGGTCTTTACCGGAGATGTCTGATATCAGCGATAGCGTCATATCGGACATACCTGTCACGCTTCCAATGGGGATCTTCTCAAACTTCCTCAACTTGGCAACGATAGCTTTGGACCGCTCGTCCAAAAAGTCGGCGGTGGGCTCAGGTCCATCATCAACTATGGCGCTCTCGGATGAGGTGTAGTCACCAGAGACCCGCTTGATCGAGACGTGGCGCGATGGCGAGCGGGATGATTTCGGAGATGCAGAAGTGGCATGCAGGACCAGCAGAAGGAACGTGTTGAGGTCGGCGTACTAGAGTATTAGTTTTATAGATATCGATGACGAGCTGTCCTCACGTCAAAGAAGGCAAAGCCGGATCGCTTCTGCACCAGCAAGCACTGATAGTTGCTCTGGATCATGATCTACCAATGTCAGCGCCAGCGCCAGGGCGTAGACCTCGTACAGACTACAGGTTGAGCTTACCTCGACCGCCTCCTCCATACCCATATCCTCCTTGACGACCTTGACGACATCCGCTTTGCCGGCCATCCCGTCGAGTATCTCCTTGGAGGTAATATCTAACCACTGCCCCTCGTCCTCGGCGAGATTGAGCAGACTCTCCTTGGTTGAGCTTCGGCGGAGATCCGACTTGAGCCCATCAAGCACGACCGACCTCCTCCTGTCTGACTTGGTGCGTCCCAGTCCAGACTCCTCACGGCCGAGGCTGGTACCGGTACCCGCACCCGCACTTGACGGCGCAAAAAGGCTGGCGAGCGACGTGCTGGATGCCCCTTTCTGATGCGCCTGTCCTTGCTGACGCTTGGCCGGAGCAGCCGCCGAGTTGGAGGCCGACGTCGACATGTTTGATAAAGCAGGTAAGAGCGGGCCAGGGCTGATGGACCGCGGGTAGAAGCTGTCGCCCATGGATGAAAGAGAGTTGTGTGGCGAGTGACGCGCTTGCGAGTGATGAGAGATGCTACCGTGTCGCTGAGGCACAGGAACGGGACCGGATCGAGGTGAGGTTGCTGTCCATGATGGGGAGACGGGGATGGAGGGACGCCGCGTGGCCGCTTGGACCGGAGAGGAGGGCATGAGGATTGGGCGGGAGGAGAGGATAGTGGTTCTGGACGGGTCCTCGGAGGGACGGGGGCGAGGGACAGTGTATGAGCTGCGGGATTCGCTCATCGTGACTGATGGTGGATGGAGGATAAATGCTTGATATACCTACTGTAGTTCAGCATCACTCCGCAGTCTGGCTACGGACTATGAGCACGCAGGAGGCTACCTCACCTGAGATGCGCGAACGATGGCTTAAGCCGTTCCTTCTGTCTTGTCGTTGAGCAGTCGTCGATATGGTCAGCCAGTCACTCAGACAGGCTCCACCACATAACACGCCGAACTGATACCCGATCCCTTTGTGCGGGAGTGAGACACGCCAAAGGAATGGGCGAGGTGAGGCCGGTAAGGCACGGCTGACCTCGTGCTCAGTCAGAAGCTGAAGGGGTGTATTTCTATATATTTGTCGAGCGGGTGGAGCTGCTGTCTCGGATGCTTTGTAGATAGTAGAGGTATGCCAGCTGAGCAGGGGGGAGATATGGCGTGCTGACGAGCTGAGCGCTGGGGATGATATGGCGTTAAGGTATAGCGCCGGTCGTTGGGTCGCGCTCGCTATCAGCTGAGGCGGAGATGGATAACGTCATGGTCGGGGCTCCAGAACTCTAGATCTGGACCTTGTCCGTCACGCGCTGGTGCTGTTGCCCGTGCTTGGCTGCTGCTTCAGGCAGAAGTAGTGTCCAATTAGATACCTGTGCATGATGGTGTATTACTCTACGCGATGTACCTGACTATACTATACTGAAACTGAAAGTTACGGCTACAAATTAGGTCAATGGCTACCCCAACCGCCCTACTCGCCCTTCCCGGCCTTCCGCCTGATACTCATTAACGCCTCATCACTCCATCCCAGATCCTCCCCGGCCCCTGTGGCCCGCTTTGGGCACTTGATAGCCTGAACCGTTCCCCCCGATATCCCGCCCGCCGATATGCACCGCTCCTTGTTGGGTAGGTGGTGTGGAGCGGAGCTGACCGCTCGTTGAGGGGCAGCGACCCGTACGGGTTTCTCCGCGGGTCGGAAGGTGACTCGGTTGGACATCGAGACGGCCCGATTGAGAGGCTCGGCGCTTTGACCAGCCGATACGGGCCGGGAGGAAGGCGTGGAGGGTTGTCCCGAATGGACAGCCGAGCTGGCAGTAGATGAAGCGGTCGGGTCGCGCGACATGGCCGGGGCAGGCGACGTGTTGCTGGATGTGGGAGTAACCAATCCCGCCGATAGCGTTTGTTCCAGGCGCGAAGCGAGACCCAAACCCAGCTCGCCATGCTTCGAGAAGCTCGCGCCGACCACCGGTGTGTTGTCGAGCGCCGGCTGCAGGGTCGCCTGACACGGTATGGGCGCCGTGTACGATACGTCCCGTGACCGACCGCTTGCGCTCGGGCTCTCCCGCCCGGCCCCGTCTGGCCGATTTTCCGACATTGCATTGGATGGCCGGCGGAACATGGGGATCTGCTCGCTGGCACGGCGTATCCACTGCCGGACCCCACCGCCCTCAACGGCATCCATGGACGCCTCCCGAGCCATCGAGGCCGAGAAGGACTGATCATCGGCTGATTCATCCTCGAATACCGCGGGCTGATGTATTGGCGCCGAAGTGTGAAGTACGTGCGGATCGTATGGCCGAATAGCTCGAGATGCTACCCGAGCGCCAGGACCGTAAAAGACAGCATCGTCGCTCCGCCATCCGCCCCGGACGACCGGTGGGGTATCTCTCTCCCCATCCTCCTCTCCGTCCTCGGCTTCCACCTCGTCCTCTTCTTCCTCGTTCTCATCCTCATCATCCTCATCCTCGTCAGACGTGACAAACACCCTGGGCGGCATCGGGCTCCCCACGATCCGCTGCTTGCTTGGACCCGCGACCGCGAGCTTCTCCGGGCGCCTCATGAACCGCGCGCTGGGACTGGCGATCGCCGGCGGAGCAGGCTCGACCTTGCTCCCGCTCCTCGACCGGCTGCTAGGCGGGGGCGAGCAATGTCTCGAGCATCCCTTCTTCTCCGCCTTGTCCACCGATAATGTCGGAGCAGGGTCTGCGACGCGTACGTGCCCCCTTCCGCGCCGATTCGGTGGCGGAAAGAAGGACGGCGCAGGAGGCGGTGTCGTTCCGGGTGACATGTCGTCCCGACTCGGTCGTCGGCCGCGGAAATAGTTGGTCGGCCGCGCAAACGCAAATTTACGCTTCGACATATCCCCAGGAAGATCGAATGCCGCCGTCTCCTCCTCGTCCGAAAACATCCCGTCCTCCTCGTCTTCCTGGTATCCGAGATCGTCATCCTCCTCCTCCGCGATGGGCGACTGCAGCTCCTCGCTCCTCCGACCAGAGCTGGATGTAGAGCGCGAGTTGTAGCCATACAGCCGAGGCACCTCTTCTAAGGGCGTATCGTCATCCGATCCCTCCTCTTCCTCCTCGTCCTCATCGCTGTTGAGCTCGTCCAGGCTTTCTTGGACCTTGCGCTCTTTGGCGAAAGGGCTGGTAGGCCGATGGCTAGTGTTGGTGGTGGTGGAGTGGCGCCGACCGACGATATCTCCTGCCTCCGATGCCGAGGTGGAGCCATGTGAAGGAGGATGGGCGACAGCGAATTGTAATCTGGGGCGAGGACCGATGGATGATCCCGTAGAGGGGACACGAGCGAGATTTGTCGAGACAGGCTGGATGAATCAGCAAGAGGTTTTCCTGATTCTCGGTGAGACAACTCACACTTTGCTTCTCCACCTTGTCTGCCCATCCGATCCTCTCCCTCCTCTCTTCGACCTTCTCCAATCTCCCCGCCAACCCATCTAGCCCATTGTACCCTTCTTGCCCACCTGCTGGTCCGCCCGCCCCGAATCCTAGACCCAATCCCACACCGCTCCCCGCAGCAGCCTGCACATTCGCCTCCTCCACCGGCCCCAGAGACTCCCTCCTCAGGATAGAAGACGGCGGTGCATCCGCCTTAGCCACTGCTGCCGCCTGTGCCTGCGCGTTCTGCAATATCCCATGCGGCTCCCTTGCCGCTGGCGATGACATGGTCGTGGACGGGTTGGAAGAGCCGGAAATCATCCCGTTGGGTCCGCTCGGTGCGCGCTTGAACTCTGCACGGTGGAGAGAAGGTTTCGACCCGTTGTCGGGCGATGAGAGGATAGCCGACAATAAGCTGAGATGTTGCGCTTTAGGCGAATGTGGGCGAGATCCCGATCCGCCGCCGCCATGCATTGGTACCTCCGAGATGTGGCCATCGCTCATCTCGCTCTCTGTTGACGGGTAGTATAGTGACGCTGCCTGAGGTCGCCGAAGGGGAATGGGCTGTTTGGCGAAGCATAGCGCGTCGAGACCGGGCGTAGGAGTTCGGCTGAAGGCGTCGGAGTCGGGCGTGAGGAGGTGGGGGGATAGTTGAGATCGATGTGATTGGTAAGAGAGGGGAGAGGGGGGAGGGAGGATCGTCTCCTTGATGGGTGGGGAGGCCGACATTGTCATGATGTATTGAGAGAGAGGAGGGGGAGGATGGATGAATGTAGGTATAGTTGGCCAGGTATGACTAAGAATAGACGACGCAGATGTCTGGTCTGGCCCGACGAGGCTCGCTGTCTTGAGGGATTATCCTACCGATGATCAGTACGCGCATCGCCCATCGGTCGTTCCTCAATACAGATTGGGACTCACCAGTAAATCCAGCCCTTACGCCTGACAAAGGATCAACACCGGTAAATACCGAAAGATGCTAAGCAGCTGCTATAGACATCGTATCGCCACCATCTTGCCTTGATGCTATGTATCAAAGACACGTATCGCACTACTCCCTTCTTGCTTCGAGTGCAAGCTGCACCGCCGCCCCCACTGCACCTTCTCTTTGTCTTTGCTCGGAGATGGCTCCTAGGCTGTCCTTGGCGGTGGTCGTCGACCTAAGGCTAGGAAGGAGGTTCGCGTTTCAGTTTTTCGGCGGCGAGGCGGAGCTTGATTGTTGTTCCGTCGCTGGGTTTCCTTTGGCTTCACTATGAGCAACAAGATGGAGTTGGGGAGCAAGAGACCGTTGGGGGAGGTTGGGGGATGCGAGGCACCCTCTTTGCTTGCAGGTTCAGAATGGGGGTGGCCCTCTAGTTTCGTCGAATCAAATCAAGGGTGGCGGAGAGCAAGGCAAGGCAGAGCAAAAGCCAACGTTATGGCATGCTGACAGCATCCGGCTCAAGTGCCTACAGGGAACGAATCCGAAACAAGCAAAAACGCCACCCACCAAAAACAGGCCCCGGTCCGGGCGAGCTCGGCGTTCTCGGCACGACTCTTCAGTGAGACAACCTCGTCATGCGGAGAGCGACCCCATCCTCCCCCGCGCCGCTCTTACTCCGATCGCTCCGCTCGTCTTCCATGCCATCCAACGGAGTTCGAGGGGAAGGAGGCGGTGCTAGATTTGCTTACCGTCGGACCTGGTCTCCGTGGTCAGATGATCAAGGCGAGCTGCGAGGGCTACCAGGATCCACCGAAACATAATACATACCCATTTCCGCCTGCATACGAGGTCCCATCAACTTGCGCTTGACTTGTCTCCATTCCGCCGAGAACCACCCAAGCTCTTGTACATGAAGTCACCGCTCGATCGCAAGCCGCAATAAGTGGCCGCAAGCGCTCATCTCCACCCGTCACCTGGGCTGATCACGGGGCACCATAGTATGCAGGTCCAACTATTCTTATCAGTTTGACTCTCGTCATGTCAGAGCTGGGATCGGGCTCACCTGCCTGCCGACTCCTCAACCGTCGTCCATCCTCACTTGGAGCATCGCTGCCTGTCCGTTGACTCCTGCCCTGCTGGTCACGCTGCTGCACGGGCTGAACATCCCTCGCCACCCGCTGACTCGCTGCCGTTGCCGCCTGACCAGAGCCGCTCTTTGGGTGGAGCTGAAACGCGGGGGATGGGCGGGAGCTGTAAGCCTGAGTGGTGGAGGGGATCTGGGGGAAGACGGGGGCTCGTCGGACGGATTGAGGCACGTTGTGGACATTGGGGGTAGGTCGGAAGTTCTGCTGGGCATTGGAGGTGGCTATGGGTGTGTTCTGAGTTGTCAGCTATGATACCGATGCCCGTCATGAGGCGAGGAAGGCAAAGCTCACCGACATCATCCGCCGCCGGTCGATCTGGCGCGTTGCGTCCACCGGGGTTTGCTGGCTTCCTCCAGGCCGCATCATCCCATTCTGGACGGCGTTGCCCAGTACGGCTCGCTTCATCATCTATATAGTCAGCTCGCGTGTCCTAGCAGCAACCTTCGGTACGGCAGCTCACATTGTCACTCATCCCTTTCAACTTGAGCAGCTCCCGATCCTTCTCCTTCAACGCCTGCTCAAAGCCGTGTGATCGACGCCGTTCGATATTGAGCTGATGCTCATATTCTGCCTCAGTCAGCTAACACGCTACATTCCGCGGTCCCTCTAGCTGTACTTACCCTTCGCAGCGCGCTGAGCACCTGTAAAGCTTCAGCATGACCCTCACGTAAACCTACGTGCAAGATCATTGTTCACTTAAGAGTCAGCTGTCAGCCTTGAGACATTGGGAGATGTCGAGGTCAGCTCACAGCTTCCATAAGCCTGCCTGGCTTCCTCCGTCTGCGCTTCCGACTTTTGGAGCAGGGCGGATTGATAAGCACTACAGTATGTCAGCTACCGCCCGCTCGCGTACCAGGAACTAGACCAACTCACGCCTCCGCCGAAGTCTGGTACGACCAAAAGCCGAGCGCTCTGTGAAACGTCAACTGCTGCCGGTTTGGATGAGAGTGGAGGAGCTGACCTGGTCGCTATGTCAAGGATGAGACCGGGAGTCATCCCAGCCAAGATTGTCTGATGAGCGTCAGCTGAGTTGACGCGAAGGAGGCGCATGGCGCAAAGGGGCCGTAAATGGTAAGCTTACAGTCTTGTAATTCGTAGTGGGGCTGAGGTGGCTGAACTTGTACTGTGAGCTTCTCCAGTCGGATCTCGGGGAGAACGAGCTTACAACGATATCATCGCTGAGATATCAGCTTGGCGCCAATGGCAAGGGCCCATGCTTGAGAAGCTTACTCGTCATTCAGTGGCTGGTCGCATGCCGGACATTGCCTCTCGCCAAAGTATTGGTTCGCACAGTCGACTGACAGCGTCAGTGAGACCTCTACTATGGGATCACGGAGGACGGACGGCAGAAGATATCTACACATCATTAGCGAGTGCTCTCATCAGTCTCGATAACAGAAGAAGCGGAGAGCTCACGCGAGCAAGTCGTCACCACTGCCTGACCATCGACTCCCAGCTGAGCCCTACACTGGCTGAGGTTGCACCGCAGCTCGTTATCCACCGCCGTCATTGTCGCTTCTTGAGGTCTTGAGGCTTGGGAGTGCAGTAGAGAGAGTGAGACCCCTCGGCGAAGGGACGGTAGACGACGTAGTGTAGTCCTTGAGCAGCCTAGTTTTTCGGACTTCTAGTTCAGTAGTGAGAGATATGCACGGAAGCTGGAGCGTTTCATGATTCTTCCTGGCCGACTGGGGAGATGGATAGCATAGAAGCTGAAGAGATGGGTGGTCCGAGCGAGCGCGAAGCTCAGGAACGCGTCGATTACGTCGTACGCACGGATCTCGCCCGAGTGCTTACGGAAGCACCCCGTCCTCTCCGCCATTATTTGGCGTATGGATTTCGCTATGATACCTTCATCTTCTTCAGTCTTATACACCTCACGCATACCTTCAGTATATCATGTCAGCGACAAGGGGAAAGGTGAGCTTGGAACTCTAGCTCGCAGATCACCGAAAACTCCATGGAGATCAGTCGGAAGTTGAGGGAGAGAGCACACTGCTAATTCTTCAGACATCCCTCGCTCTCACTCGGGTCTGGCATCATGCCTCCGCACAAGATCGAGTGCTCGGTAATCTCGCGAGTCGGATAGCTTGGGTGCTTATGGGGAAGCATAAGCCGACATACGATCCAGCAGGTCAGCTCGCGACGGTTCTGATCTCCTCAGAAAGAGCAAGAACTGAACATCGCAGTTGATGCGGGAGATTATGTTGTCGTTTCTGATGCGCTCTCGGTCCGGTTGACAGGAAAGAAGGCGGTCGATAAGACATATAAGCACCATTCGGGTTTTATTGGAGGGTTGAAGGAGGTGCCAATCACGCGGATGAGGGAAAGACGGCCAGAAGATGTATGTCGGGCACCACTCCTTGCTCACGCTGTGTCACCTTGACCCTTCATCACAACATACATCGGGCGAAGATTCAAGCTGACCATCAGATCATTCGGAGAGCAGTATCAGGCATGCTGCCCAAGAACACATTCCGGCAACGACGGCTCGATCGATTAAAGATCTATCCCGCCGAGGCGCCCGAGAGCGCATTAGGGAACGTATTGAAGACGTGGAGGGAAGAGACGGGAGGCGGAGCTTTCAGGGACGGGGGAGCGGTAGGCTCGGAGTCGCAGGGCGCGAGCACAACGGAGACGAGGGTATGATGTATGCCGTTCTGGAGGGAAGGGACAGCCTGAGACGGGCGGGGAAGAGTGGCCCATGAGGGAGATATCCGCTGATCCCTTCACCGATCGCTCATCCGACTAATCAGTACTGTACATACAGTGCATGAAGAGGTAAATTTACAGGATACAGGGCGACATCGACCGCCTCGGACACTGGGTCCCCGACCGCTCAGTCTTTCTTCTCCTCTACCTCCGTCAGCTCGCTCTTCAAGCCAGTGATCCAGATGACGACTCACTGTGCTCGTCCCCGCTCGAGGTCGTGCCCCCGTACTGACTCGGCCAGTCGGACCTGCCATTCGAGCTCGTCCGCTCTGCACCGAGGAAAGGCGCATTCTTTTGGCTCATCGAGGGAGACATGTTCTGAGGCGGGGACCGGAGGCTGCTCGTCAGTCTCAGTCCCGCCTATCACCCGTACAAAGCACACTCACCCGCTTCCGCCTTCAATGTGAGCATCCAGGCGATTGCTACAGATGATCAGCTGAGGGGACACCCTTCAGCTTATCTACGTACCCAATCTCGTTCAAGCCTGCATTGAATCTTCGACTGACTCATCAGCGCCTCCCCATACTGGCCTGCTCACTTCACCACAAATGACTCACTCATAGCTCGGCATGATCTTGTTCATGGCGCTCCCGCCACCTTGTCCGCCACCCACCATCAAATTGCTCGCCATGCGCTTTGAGATCCTCTCGAGTGAGCTGGGCGTATTCCCCGGCGTAAACGCATGGGGCACCTCCCCGCCATTTTGCCCCGCGCCCTGGATACCTACTGCCCGGCCACCGCTCCCTCCGCTCGGCACGCCGATGATCCCGCGCCCTCGCATGGCAGAGACGACATTGAGAGGCCGGACCTCCCCAAGCGGCGTAGAGAGGGAAGATGGAACGCCGTGTCCGATATTGCCGGACGGGCCAGAGGTGGAGAGGCGGGGCGCCATGATGGGTGCCCGACGTGGAGAGGCGGGGGTGTTGAAGGGTGTGTCTCCGGGCTCGCGGCGGTATGGGTTGTGCAGCTGGGGCGCGGGGACAGCACGGGTGGCGCGACTGGCCGGGTCGACGGGGAGGGCGAGTGGGGAAGTAGCATTGGAGGGTTGGGCGGAGGTAGGGGAGGAAGGGAGAGGTGAGGTCGGCGATGTAGGAGAAGAGGGCGAGGCGGTAGGGGCGGTGACGGAGAGGTCCATAGGAGCGAGGGGCGCGCCGCGGGCAAAAGTAAGGGAAGACATCGGTGGCGTGACTGGATTGACGAGGGAGTGCTTGTGGGTGGGCGCTGGGGCGAGAGCAAAAATCAGGAGGCTCGGAGGAGTCAGTGTAAATGGGCAGGTCAGTGGACGAGGAACGAAGAGCTTTGTTGAGTATTGACGAGGTAGATGTATATGGACAATGTCGAAGCGGGGATCCGGCAGGTCGCTGGGCTGTTCGAGCAAGATCAACCATCACATCAAGGTGGAGATGAAAGGATCAACGAGTACCCCTTGCCCCGACCGAACGCGACTGCTCCTTTATACTCGGCTGGACAAAGGGAGAGGGACCACCACTGGTTAAGGCGGTCAAACGCTCAGAAGAGCGATGCCGTCGGCGCTGCCGAACATGTGTGAGTACAGATGAAAGAAATGCTCCAGGGGCACAGCCCCTTTTGATCAAAGCGAAGCAGTCAAGACAGAATCACAAGCGCTTTTAATCCAGCTGATGCACATACATTCTGTCTAACCCTTCTTACGACCTCAACACCTCCACCCCCATAGCCCCCGTCATCCCATTCATGATCACATCAGCGACCACCCCCGGCGCTGTCTTGTGCGTATCGTGCGTGGCACCCATGATCCGCCCAAACTTGACGTGTGGGTGGCTCTTCTCGAGCAAGGCGGCGTTGCTTGCGGGGTAGACGCTGGCGAGATCAGGGTCGGCGGCGAGGATGATGATTTCCGTGGCGGGGAGGGAGGAAGGAGTGGGAATGAGGCTATGCGAGAGATTGCCTTGTTTGACTTCCTCCGAGGCTCAGCTTAGGCTTCTCATACCGGCCACGAGCAATGAGTAGGACTAAAACTCACATCGAACAGCTCCGTAATCAACCTCGAGTCCATCTGCACAAACGCCATTCGCTTCAGAATCGCCTCCTCCCTAATCCACTTGGGATTGCTCTGCATCAACTTCTCCTCACTAGGCGGATCACTGCAGCTGCCCAACATCTCTGCGATCCGCTCGGGCGTAGGGCACGGCATGTCCAGAATAGGCTCGACGAGCACCGCGCGCGCAGGTGGGTGTTGCATCTGCGCGAGTAGAGGGAGGATTGCGGTAGATCCGAATGAAACGCCGGCGACGACGTCGTATTTCTCCTTGGAGACGTGTTGAGCGAGATAGGAGGCTAGGAGGGGGACGGTGTACCGCTCGGAGGAGGGGGCGTGGGGCGCCCAGCCGTGGCCTAGGAGGTCGGGGGCGTCGACTCGCTAGCTGTCAGCGCTGCTTCCAGTTCAGGTACAAGCGAGTGAGCATGTCTCACGTAGCCTGTATATATCAGTATCTACTCCTTACTCTATTCCAACAAACTAGACTCACCGTTCTTGATCAGGATCTCGGCGACCTTAAAGAAGACAGCCCCAGTACCCATCATCCCATGAAGCAGCAGCGCGCGCTTCGGCGCCGTCGGCGAGCCCCAAGACGTGACGCTGTATTCCAGATTGACCATTTTGCTGATAGTGTATTTCTATCTCAGGATGAGGCATACATGCAGCAGTCCATCCTGTTCCGCGATGTCCTGACGCTCGCACCTGCTGCATGCTGGGCGTGGAGCGAAAGACAAGGACAAAGCGGACCACCCGGCAAGAAACCGGGCCGAAAATGCACCGGACCGCCGTGTGGGGCACCATGTCCAAAGAACCTCCCGAAGTCACTTGCTTCTCGACCTGTGTCTTCTTCAATCTCCGGTGGGCAAGCCTGTCTTACACGCGCTTGATACCATCACTCCGCGCCGCCAGGACCGGTATGCGCTGGGCGAACATTATTGCATACAGAACAAAACCGCGGTTCTCCGAGGTATGCTGCAATGCCGCGACCGCTAGACTGGCCCGCCATGGCCTGACGCTCCTCGTATGCACCTCGCCGACGAGGATATCTACTTCGCACGACCACGCAGGCTGCCCCGCACCTCCTGGAACGTGCCGCCAACTTAGATGATCCGTCGACGCATCCTTGTCACCCTTATCGCCAACTGAGACATCGACTGAGACACCTCCACCGGCGGACCCCATGGCGCCACTCATGGGGTCCAGTCGGAGTTTTACGGCGATATGTCCTTGGATTTTGGGATCCCCCATTGAGAGCTCGTGCTTGGGTGGGGTACGGCCGCGCCTGTCGTCTCGACGGTGCAGTTGGCCGCGTACTAATCTCGTAGATACTGAGCCCTACACGACGTCAGCTTGGCTTCTGTCTGGGACAAGGAGCAGACAACAGCTGACCAATCATGAATCCGATCGAACATGACCGTCAAATAGCTCGTATCGTTCAACAACGCCTCAAACTGCTTGATCGCCACCTCCTCGCTCACGTCCAGCATGAACTTTTCTTGGACCTGGTCGAGATCAGCTCTTGCCGATGCGCATTCCATCATCGGAGAATTGACGAGCTCACCTTCCATACAGCCTTATCGGGCTCGAGCTGAATATCCTGAATCCCAGCATCCACCATCAATGCCACCAGATTCAAGATGAGATTGGCGTTCTTCCGAAGACCGATGAAGGCCGTGTACGCCAAAGATTGGAATCTGGCGTAATGCGCGGACGTCGTGCCGCCCATCGCGTCGACCATCTCTTTGCAGACTTTGACGGGGGGCGGGTAGGGCTTGGGGTCGCGCCCGAGGATGTAGCCGTAGTCCACTGTGATGTCAGCTTGGCTGACCTTGCCTAGAAACTTCGGATCATACAAGCTTACCATGGAAGAAATGTCCGTCTGGCGCGAGCATCAGATTATCGAGATGTCGATCTCCGACGCCCAACACGTAGGTCAGGACAGAGTAGCCAGCTGTCGATGTCAGCTGCTATCCGCCCATTCATGGTGGCGCATTATGGAGCTCACCACAACTCCTCACAAACGTATCCATGACCCCCGCCTCGATCCCATAACTCCCCAACGCCCCATCATCCGCATGTTCCAACCTCAGATAATTCTGCAAACTCCCATGCTCCGCCATGATCGCCGCCAGACTCTTACTCGGCACAAACTGAATCATCCCTTCCTCCCTACTCGTCGCTAGGACACTGTACGGCAACAGCCTGAGGTCCAGATTCTCCCGCCGGAGAAGCCGGTCCATGAGCGAGAAGAGCTGGATGACGAGCTGGTCCTGTCGAAGATCATCGCCGTTTTTGAAGATGACGGGATAGTCTGGTGTGATCATTGCCGGAGCCTCGATATCGGGATCGTCGTCTAGGCGATTGGGGGACGTGTCGGCCGTTTCGAACCACAAGAGTAAAGGGAAGAGGTTGGATTTGAAGACGGATGACTTGTCGGAGGTGACGGATGTGACGGAGATCCGGGCATTGAGCGGTAGAGGGAGAGGGGAAGGAAGGGGCGATAGCCCATGTTTGCTGTCGCCGAGCCAGTGGCGCAACTTCTCGATCTTCTTCTGCCGCACATCCTTACTCGCCCTCACGTCCTTCGCTCGGGTAGACAAGATATCTACCAGCTCCGCCTGCCGCTTCAGGACCTGACGCTGGATGGTGCCTTCTGGGGTACTCTCCAGCTTCCGCATAAAGCCATCTGCGACCTTGGCGTACATTTTTGATATGGGCGAATTGTCGATGACCTCTATCATGAGATACCAGAACAGCGACGTGCCGAAGAGGGCATTGCCGGCCCCGCGGTCGATAAGGAAGTCGGCAAGACCGCTGTCTGCTTCAGCAGGTGTGGATACGCTTTGTCGTCTACGGCTCGAGCGGGAAGTTGCGGCCGCGGTAGTATCGAACCGGAGCGCTTGGACGAGCTGGAGGAGGTAGAGAAGTAGCTCCTGGGTTGTCAGCTTTGAGCCAATTGTCCAGAGGCATTATAGCTCACATCGTCCTCCGCCCTCTCCAATCGCTTCACCGCAAACGCTCTGACTCTCCGATCCTTGAAGCCCGGTCCGAGTAGCTCCAGTGCATCATCAATGCCCACCTCGCTGCCCCATAACGGTAACAGCTTCTCCACCGCCTGCTTTGCCTCGATGGGGTCCGACCATGTGACGCACTTGAGGAACTTGGTCAATGATCGAGGGGAGCGGAAGAGCGAAAAGCGGAACTTCCAGAGGAGATCCTTGTCCGCCGGCGAGAGTGGAGTGGTAGGTGGGAAGCGGAAGATCTCCTACGCGACGTCAGCGGAGTACCCTCTCAAGGGAATTCAAAGCCCGGCTTACATTCAGTCTATCCCGATCCGCAGGTCCCGGCTTCAGATCTCTGCCCGCATCGCCCAATCGCTGACTTCTGAGCAGCTTCCGATGCTTGATCTCGACCGGGTTTTCGCGCCACGCGTCTGGGTCGTATGTCCGCCAGAGGTATGGGTTGTTCGCGATCGAGTTCGGCTTGAGTACCGGTATGTTCTGTGGTTGGGGAGTCTGGGTGGGTAGAGTCGGAGCAGGCGGAAGGGGGATCTGAGACTCGGCTTCAGAGTAGATGACGGGGAAGTCAAACTTGGGGAGGTCGACGTATAGGTAGAGATGGGGTGATTTAGCGGTCTCAGCCTTCGATGTGTCAGCTGTGTGCCGCAGACGGCGAGAAGACGAGTCATAGCTCACCGCATGTAGAGCCGCGATCTGCCTGAAAGCGAGTCTGTCCAGCCAGTCTATCTTCGGAATATCACCCCTCTCATGATCTTTGACAAGCTACCGGGGTCAGCTTTGGTGGACGAAGCGCGTTGGGGCGGGAAAATTCACCTGCTCAAGACGGCCCATTTCGTCTTCCGCTTGATCTGTCGGCTCACTGGGCGTGGTTGTGTCAGGCTTCGGATCCGCCTCGACCCCGCGATGCATGAACAGCCGCTGTTGACCCCTTCGAAGCGTACTAGACCATGAGCTCTTCTGACCTGTCATGCGGATATGCGACTGACCGCTTCTCAGTGAAGAGCTTCATAGTAGTTCCTCCCACCGGTACCGCTCGTCCCGCTCCCTGTACATCCCATACCGTCAAGGTGATCTGGGAAGAAAGCAAGAGCGACGGATAAGTAATGGGGAGAATGATCATTTGATTCCAGCTATGTCGGCGTCAGCTTAGGTAGAGGACCAGACAGATCGCATCTCACGTATACTTGGACGAGAAACTCTTCCATGGCGTCCTAAAAGGAAGGGTATAGTCCTTTCCATCCGCCCAGAGCTGACAAGTCACGTAGAGGTCCGAGAGCTCACTGACATCAGCCCACACCCCAGTCGTGACTCACTCATCCTGGCCGCCCGTGTACTGGAGCTCTGGCTTCTCCAGGATCTCATTGTAGGATCGCTTTGGTATCTTGCCCTCTAGAGCGGTACTATCGGTGTCAGGGAACCTTGCTGGCGACTGAGAAGGAGGACCCTACATCTTGAGGGTCACATGGATGTCTTTGAGGTCTGCAAGTCGGGCAAACGAGTAATCCTTATCCCTCGATGGATCTGTTGCCATATCTGCGGCTGGGTTTTGCTATCTAAGCATGGTCTTGTAGAGCAGGAGAGGGTCACAGTCAACATGGCTCGATTGTGGCTCGAGCATGAGCGCGCCGCAGTAGCGGAGGAATGCTGGAGATCCCCTCAAACTCCACAAGATTGCGTAATAAACATGGAGTTCCTTCCTTGCCCGTGCAAAAGTTGCCGCCCAGCCAGAAGGTGTTCCTGCGACCACCTTTCGTTGCGCATACCACTAGCATCAGCAACATGCCGGCCTCACAACTATCGCAGCTCAAGGCTGCGCTATCAGGAGCTGGCCTAGACCGGAAATCCGTCAGCAAAAAGGACAAGAAGGCGTTCAAGAAGGGTGGCGCGAGGGAGACGGACCGGCAAAAGAAGTTTGACAAGCTGGATGATATCCGGAAGGGGTTGAACAAGTTTGACGAGCGGGAGACCAAGGTGAGCTGGCGAGTCCAGGATGATACGACATCATAGCTGACACAGGTAGACCAAGCACGATGTCGGCGGTCGTGTGCTCAAGGGCGTTGTCGGGAAGCCGAGTGCGAGCAAGCAGGCTGGATTGGAACAGGTCAGCTACTTTGCCTTGGGTATGGACTACAGCTAATCGTGTAGCGCAAGAAGAACCTCTTGCCCGAGCATCAGCTCCGAAACCACACCGGGACATTCAACGACCGTCGATTCGGTGAGAACAATCCGGGCCTTTCAGTCGACGAACGAATGCAAGAGCGATACACTCGCGAGCGGCAACGCGGGCAGGGCAAGAAGGGGATGTTCAATCTCGAAGACGATGAGGATACGGACCTCTTTGGCTTTGACGAGGGGACAGCTCTCGGAGGCTTGACCCATGGCGGCCGGAATGTCATGGACTTGCAGGGGGATGACTTTATGGCGCAAGGCCTGGGAGAGGACGAGGAGGACGATGGGGAGAGGGGGAACATCAATCGCAGGGTGGTAGACCGGACGCACTTTGGTGGATTTGAGGAGCAGGAGGGAGGGGAGGAGAGGAAGAAGAGCAAGCAGGAAGTCATGGCGGAGGTTATGGCCAAGAGCAAGGAGTACAAGGTGAGTCTGACGGGGATGTAAAGCTGCAAAGTGCTGACTTGTAGTTTGCTCGTCAGCAGCAGCAAGAGATCGACGCTGGGATGCGAGAAGCCCTCGACGCAGATATGAACGACCTACACGCACTTCTCGCTGAATCCGCCCCGACCAAATCTACCGTCTCTCTCCCATCGACCGCCGGCCCATCACGCATCCCGGATGTCTCCACTCATCCCAAAGGCGTCGACGGGGAATATGACCAGCTCGTCCGCGAGCTTGCCTTCGATACGCGTGCCAAGCCCAAGAACCGGACCAAGACGGAGGAAGAGCTGGCGGTGGAAGAGAAGGAGCGCTTGGAGGCGGCCGAGGCGAAGCGTCTGCGCCGGATGAGAGGGGAGGAGAGTGATGATGAGGATGAGGGGAGTCGGAAGAAGCGGAAAAAGGAGAAGAAGGGAGATGCGGATGATCTCGAGGATGATTTTGATGAGGATGATCTGCTGGGGCCGGGGTTGACGAGGGAGGGGATTGAGAATATGAAGGTGCCGAAAGTGACGGATGTGGATGAGAGCGATGAGGAGGAAGCGTCAGAAGAGGGAGATGAAGAGGAGGGAGATAGCGGTGAAGAGGAGGGCAGTGAGGATGAGGAGGAGGAAGACGACGAGGATGAGGACGACGAGAGCGAGGCGTCATCGATGGCAGATCTGGATGAGGAGGAAGGTCTGGAAGGGGAGGACGACGAGATGACGGGAGAGATCGTCAAGGGGAAGAAGCGATCGTCTTCCTCTGCCAAGGGCAAGTCGAAGGAGATCCCCTTCACTTTCCCCTGCCCGTCCACCATCGAGGAGTTCGAGGATATCCTGGAAGACCTGGACGATGAAGTCTACCCTACAGTCGTCCAGCGTATCCGAGCCTTGCATCACCCCAGTCTCGCCCAGGGGAACAAGGAAAAATTACAGGTGAGCTCCCAAAGCGCATTACCGGAACAAAGCTGACGAATCAGGAATTCCTAGGTGTCCTCATCGACCTGATCCTCCTGCTCGCCTCCCGCCCAACCCCCGCCTTCTCCCTCATCTCCTCCCTCCAACCCCACCTTATCGCCCTTGTCAAGCTCAACCCAATCACCGCCGCTTTCCACTTCACCGCCAAGCTCTCCCTGATGCAGAAGAACCTCACCCGCGGTCTCGCCCGGAATCCGAACGATCCGGCTGCCAAGACGTGGCCTGGTGCTGCCGAGCTAGTTCTCTTGCGGATCATAGGGAGCGTATGGTCCACGAGCGACTTTAGCCATCCCGTCGTCGTACCGGCGGTGTTGCTCATGGGGCAATATCTGAGTCAGGCGAGAATACGCAGCGTGTCGGATCTAGCGGCGGGATTGTTCTTGGTCTCCATTCTGGCTCAGGTAAGTACTTAGGTCGTGGTCCGGGTGGCGGAGCTGACGAGGTAGTACGAAGCCGAGTCAAAGCGGATCGTACCCGAAGCGCTCAACTTTATCGCCGCTTCCGTTCTCGCCCTCCTCCCTCGGCGCAAAGATGCCACCGCAGTCTCGACCTACCCGGAATTACAAGCACCATCCACCAATCTCTTCATCGTCTCCTCTCTCGCTTCATGCCCACAAGAGCCCGTCGACCTGGCTCAGTGCTTGTCAGCTTCAGCAGAGAGCACCGACGCAGAGATCGACCAGTGCAAGGTCGACCTCCTGGCCGCCGTGCTGCGTCTGACCGAGACGTACGCGATGATGTATACCAACATTGATGCGTTCATCGAGCTCTTCCGGCCAATCCAGGCCATACTGGAGTCCAGCCGGATAGCCAAGCTATCCTCAGCCGTCAAGGTATGTCTTCTCCCTCCACTTACAAGGAACATCGCTAACTCTTAGACCAAGCATCAGACCATCCTCTCCACCCTGACCCGTCAACTCCACTTCGCCTCCACCGCACGCCAGCCCCTCGCGCTCCAAGCCCACAAACCCCTCGCCATCCGCTCCCACACACCCAAGTTCGAATCCGATTTCGCGCCTGGAAAGCACTACGACCCGGACGTCGAGCGGAACGCCACGGCCAAGCTCAAGTCGCTCTACAAGAAGGAGAAGAAGGGTGCTATTCGGGAACTGCGCAAGGACAACCGGTTCCTCGCGGGTGTCAAGGCTGGGGAGGCGAGGGAGAAGGATGCGGGATACAGGGAGAGAATGCGCAAAGTGGAGGGAAGTATACAGGTGGAGAGGGCGGAAGAGAAGGAGATGGAAAGGGAGAAGAAGAGGGAGAAGAGGAGGGCGGGCAAGTAGGGTGTGCTATCAGGTTACGGTGCTGCTGTATTGCTATGTATCAGGACTTCTTGGCTGTCGTGTACGTACGCCTGGAACGGCCTTCCGTCAGTCAGCGTCTCGGTCGGCATGCTCGACTCCGGGCATTCGAACATTACCGCGTAGCATCCAAACATATAATGTATACACAAGAGGCAGGCAAATCGACTAAATATAGAGAGACAAATTATCCTTGTCCCGGCCCAAAAGATTATACAGGACTCGCGGTAGGAGGCGCAGCGCGCAAGGAGGAGAGGGGGATTATCGGCCAGTTTTGGCCATGCGGCTGGAAGACCGCGACGGCGCATAGTGACGGATCGCAAGAATCGGCTATATGTGATGTCGGATGGGGAGGGGAAGGGTCATTATGCGGCGGTACCAACGTCCTGTTTTGGCATTCTCGTTTTCTCCACTAGATGTGGGCCGCTGAGCATCAGCAATCATAAGGAAGCTCAAGTTACCACGCGACTCACGTTGACGAAACCCTCAACGGCGTTGGCTGCCTGATCTGCCTGCCTTCCGCGAGAGGCGCCAACTCCTCCCTATCCTTCTCCCTCACAGGCGTGCTGACCGCCGAGCCCGCTGAATTTACCCCGATTTCCGACTTGCGCCATCCGCCCCTACCGCCCATATTCGCCATACCCCCTCCGTCCAGGATTTGCGCCTCCACATCCAGACCTGTCCGGCTGACTACGCCCGTCCGGTCTGTTGGAGTTCCAGGTCGAGCAGGCGATGGCGCTTGGAGGCTGTCGAGCGCTTTGGTGTCAAGCTGGGGATATTGGGGGTTGGAGACGGCGGTGGAGCCGGTAGCGGCTGTGGCGGAAGAGGTGGTTTGCGGGTTGCCGGAGGTGGGGGTGTAGTATGACCGGCGCTGGGCTCGACTGAAGTCGAAGATCTTGAAACTGGGATATCAGCTTCCATCTAAATACGCGGAAAGGGTGATACTGACTGATCCTCCATCATCCGCATTTCTGGGCTCATCATCTCCACATCTTGCCCTTCTTTCCGCTTCCGAGCCTTCAACGGGTTCTCCTCGAGCAGAAGCTCTTCCAGCTCATGCGTGGCGTCAAAGTTTGCTCGTTTGGACTGATATCATCATCTCAAATTCTGGTCCGTTCACGAAAGGACTCTGTTGAGGAACTTACATCGGGCTCAAAAGGTGGCACGACCTCTTTGTTATGAAGCGCATTCCAATTGATCCCCTTGAACCACGGATGTGATTTGATATCCTCGAATCCGCCACCTCCTGGTCGGTACCCCAACCGCTTGTTTGGATCCCGCTCCAAAAACTGTACAGTCAGCTTGATGGCCAATCGAGCCTGGACCAACCAGCTTACCCCTCGGACCGCCTGCATACTCGAGCTCGAGCATCGCTCCGCCGCATCATCTGGCCAATTGAGCGGCTCGTGGAGGATCGAGTTGGTCAAAGCTGTATTTGTTCGGCCGCGGAATGGTCGTTTCCCGAAAAGCAATTCGTAGCTAACCTTGTCAGCTGTGCCACCCGCCAATTCGATCAGTCGAGCTTACGCCAATATGCCCAAGCTCCAAAAGTCCACCGGCGCCGAATATCCCCGCTTGGTCAATACCTCTGGCGCCATATATGCCATACTCCCCGCCACGCCCGTCAACAATCTTCTTTCTGAAAAGTGAACGGCGATGTTGAAGTCGGTGATGTGGGCGTGTCCTCTTTCGTCGAGGAGGATATTATCTGGCTTCAAATCGCTGCACTATCAGCTTCTGGTCTAAAGCTCCAAGTGGTCATACCGGCAAGCTCACCGGTGCACTATCCGTTTGGAATGCAGATAGTCGACAGCCATAGCTATTTCCGCAATGTAGAATCGGACAGTCTCCTCGTTCATCGCCCCTGCGCGGTCGAGGTGGACTGTTCAGTCAGCGTAGAACATGCCTCCGAGCGCGGGAGGGACAAGCTTACACCTCAGATCACCTCCCAACATTAGGTCCAGCACAAAGAAACAATTCTCATCGTCCTGGAACGCATACCGCATATTCACTACGAACGGGTGGTCGATCTGCACGTCAGCAACACCCTCCGTCTTGTACACGCGAGATACGCACCTCCTCTAGTAATCTCCGCTCCTGCACGATATTGGCCACAGCCTTCATCTTGACACATTTCGCCTTGTTGATGTATTTCAACGCGTACAGAGTCTTGGTGTGCTTGTGCTGGACGACTCGGACCTGCCATGTCAGCTTCCCGGCCGCATTGGCTGTCGGACCTAAGCGCTCACCTTTCCGAAGGCTCCTTTCCCGACACTTCGGAGCAGGTAGAAGTGGAACAAGTTGACTTCGCCCTCGAAGTCAATAGCCTGAGGCGTCAGCGAACTTCCTCGCGCTATCCGCGCGTCCGTCAAGTGGCGCGACTAAACACTCACCTCTGGCTTGCAACATGACGCTCCCATCTCGAACGCAAAATCTCAATGTAAACGCCCGGTCCAGATCGTCTGAATTTTCCAGCTAGACAGCTTGTAGGCGATATAAGGGATCCTCGGTGTGGAAGATGGTCTGGATCGTCGGATCGCTAAGTGCCGAAGGTGAAGGCAGAAAGTAGAGAGGAGAACAGATGCAGGATGCGGACCGAGCGTGTATCGAGGAAAGGTCCAAGCGGGATCTCCTGGAGTATTGGGTTTCGTTGTATCTTATCGTTCCGCGATATGACGACAGATGGCGGGGCAAAAGGGTCGTAAACCTGATCGACGTCAGGTATTACAGCTATGTGGTAGGTTCGGATGCTAAGCAATGTCTCGACAACGAGTCATGGTCCAGGGTCAAACGGGGCCTAATTCCACCGCGAGAACATGAAACCAGGCACAGATAGTGCTGAAGGCTCTCCTTGATCTGCCAAAGGGTCCGTCCTTTACTGGTCCCGGGAGTCCGACATGCCCTTTACCCACCCCGGCTGTCATACACAAGAAGACACTCACGAAAAAGGCCGGTGAGGGACGGCGGACACCTTCTGTGTGTTATCTCCGCGCGCTGAGTGCGGATGGTTGTGTTGATCCTCTTTTCGGGTCCGAGGGCTGTCGAATCGGGATCCTCGCGCTTCGAGCTCGATGGTGGCTGGGCTCAGGAGCGCCTTGTCTACAGCGTCGTGTATGGTAGTGTCACCGTCAAGCAGATATGTGTATAGTAAAATGCAAGGGTATATGAGTGTTGTTCTCTGTGGGCAAGCTTCTGTCGCATTCTGAACCGTGCCTGATGGACGGCGCTAAAAAGTGGAGAATTACGTACAGGGTCTCGACTGATCTCTCTTTTGCCTTTTGTTCCTTTTGCGGCCATATCCTGGTGATCGGTCGTCACGATAACAGGGCATCCTGCAGGCTGCAGCCACCACCGGCTATATGACGCGTATCGGCCTCGACCAGCAGAAGCTCCTACTCATATTGGTGAGCGCGGTGATGGCCTGGCCGATCGAGGCCCCGCTCCTGGTCTGCGAGTCCAGTCGAAGTCCCTTCCTTGCTTCGAAAGACAAAGGATGACCTGCTGGACTGTGCTCATGGACGGACGACCCGTGCGGTCACCATGCTACCAGCATCGTTTCTACCTCATGCGCTCTTGCGTTTCCCCTTCATTTTCTCATTACTGCACACAACAGGCAAGACCTATCCGTGCCAATGTCTGCTTGCCAACCTGCCGCTGACAGCCTCATTGACGACTCCGCGGTCCCTTCTCTCTGTCAGAATGCTGACCCTGACTTTGACTCATGGTTCCGCGACATGCTGCTCGGTCCGGAGAGCAGTGAGGTACCAGCGTCGAACTTCGCCAACGCAGAGCACCACCCCCATGCCCTGATCGATGTGACTGCAGACCACGAAGATCAGAGACTCGCCCTCGGCTCGACCCGCGGCATGGGCAGTAGCGTTGGCAGGATGCCCAGCAGTCGGAATGCGTTCCAAGAGGAAAGCGAATCGTCGGCGCGGGAGACCCGCCAAATCAGTACGACCAAGCGAAACAGCCGCACCGGAGACAGCTCATCCGCCAGATCAAAGCTGCGGCTCGCAGTCAATACAACGAGATATCGGCAAAGGCTGGCAGACAGGCTGAAAACGGCGGAGGTGACACACCCTGAGCTGCGCATGCGTCTGGCGAATGCTCTTGCCTTTCAGTCGTTGTGGGGCGCAACCATTGATGAAATGTCCGCTACCTTCCGGTCAACAGGCACCGTAGTCCTATCGAGGGCTATGCTTGGGTCTGCTTATCTGATCGGCCCACTCGCACCTGACATTCTACAATTGACCAGCTTGGGAAGAGGTGACCTGATGTCCCACCTTACGATCGACCCCAATCGCTTGGATCTGCGCGATTACATTCCATCTGAATCCTTCGATACCGATACGTCCTTCGGAGTGGCGAGAGGCAGACAGGTGCCTACAGACCACACCAAGCTCTTCGCAAATTCGCCGACGCCCTTGTCTCTGTTCTGCAATCCACTGCAATCCATCTGTCGATACGCTCCCGGCTCTCAGCCAATTCATACGAATCGCGGAACCGCTTGATAAGGGCGCCAGGTCACGCCTATCTTCGCATGCCCGAAAGCAACACGATGCAGCGAGAAGAGGGGGAACAACAGAGACTACCGGGCGAGAAACGCATACACTCTCGAGTGGCTCGAGGCCGACATTCACGGCCTGCAAGGGCGTCTGAACACAGAATTGCGAGGGGCAGAGAAGTGGATGACGGCGATGGGCGACGCACTAGATCCAGTATGGCGGGGCTCGCCTGCAACGTTCGGTTCTTGAGGCTACCTATACCCCTTTGCCGGATCTTGTGTCGCCGCATCAGGTGTGGATGACGGCAGACGGCTCAGCGCGAACGCTGCTGATCAAAGCCACTCACAGCTCAATGGAGTATCAAGGTGACCCTGCCGACTCCCGAGGCGATGATCTTGGCATAGGCGCGTTGGATCTCTGCCTGTCGGCCTCTTACAACCCGGCGGAAGACGCGATGATGTACACGGATCGTGGCAGCCCTTCTCCCGAGCATGTCACGGCAGTCGGGTCTGCAAACGGGTTTGGCTTCCCTTCCCCCTCGATTCACAACAATTCACTACACATCAGCCATCCTCCACACGAAGATGTCGACTCAGTCAGAGAGGGAACCCGCCCCGACGGAGCCCAAGTCACCGGGCCTCGCCGCCGTCGCAAGGCCCTCCAGACCACGAATAACACAAGCACTACCGGCAAAAGTCCTCGGCGAAGAAGGGGTGGTCATCACCTCGAGCATGAGCCTATAGCTGGTGACTCAGACCAAACGCTGCGAATCAAACGACATCGCCAAGCGCAAGAGAGGTACAGAGTGAAGCAGCGGGCCGCCTCCCTGCATCGCGCTGGGCTGAAGCGCAGAGCCGGAGTGTGCCTCTTGAATCAGAGCGAGATACGTTGCAGGCCGAGAATATACGGCTGAAGAGCTTGCTGTCGGAGTATGAGGCACGATCCGGTTTGGGTCTCGCCTCAGAGCTAGCCGGTTCGGAGGAGACCAGCGGACTGGAGGCGGTTGATGCAGAGTTGCCATGGGGGCAAGGTGGATTGAGTGATTACGATACATACATGATGTAGCTACTACTAGTATGGACCTCACGGCGCTACAACGTTTCGCTCGAACTGCAGAACGCCTTCGGCCGAGCGCACCATTACCTGCAGATGTCCGCAAGCGACATGAAGAGGCAAGACTGGGGGAGAACAACAGAAAACATCCAGCGAGATAGAAATACACTCTCGAGTATCTCGAGGCCGACATCCAAGGACCTGCGAGGGCGTCTGCACACTGACGTCCACTGACATGCGAGGAGCGGAGGAATCGGAGTACCGCGACGGGTGGCGCCTTGGCCAGGATCCCGTGTGGCGGGGCTCATCGGCGACTTTTAGTTCACTCGAGGCCACAATGGGTAGGTACCAGCTGTCCCTTTGATGCGCCGCTGGTGAGTCGAGCGTAGCTTGGCGGGTAGCACTGCCCTAATGCAATAATTGCTGCGGGGTATGAATTATGCAACGACGTACGCGGGGCGGCGCGAGAAAATAGGAAGACCCTCCCTGCGACACCATCCTGGGCCGATGAGCGGATGGTACCCCTGGCTGCTACACGTACGAGGTGCAATGCGGTGCGGCGATAGTGCTTGCTACACGTGAGAGCCCTGATGCTGTGCAGCAAAGGATGATTGTTGAGTAGCTTTTTCCAGCTCCGTGCAGCTAGCTCATAGGACAGGGTATTGTGAGGTCGCAATCCTCTCATTTGACTCGTCTTCCCCAGCTCTACCCATCCCATCTTCCAGCTCGCCATCACTGCCGTCACTGCCACAGCAACATACTTCCCCCGTGATGTCTGCTAATGCCTCCCGATTCGAACTTGGCCCATTGGACCTCTGGGACGGTGGCCTTCAAGGCCTATTTGACCCACTGTCAGTCAACATTACAGACTCAAAGCCCACTGAATCCGTGTCGTCATTCGATGCCCGCGCAAGTTCTCCCAACCCCGAGAGACTTACCCGGCTACCCAGGTCACCGAGTCCATCAATGGTCCGAACACCAACCAATCGCTCGCGATCCTCCCTCAATGGGCCACAACGAGCTCGTGGAATCCGACGCGGTCTCAAGAGGCAACGGTTCCACTCCCAGAGACCACTTCTGCGACCACGCCTGCGGCTCGTCCTCGCCGTAGAAGGCCATCTCGGCGCGTCATCAAAGCCTGTGCTGACTCAAACGACGAAGAAGACCCAAAAGCGAGGGAGAGGCGGGAGGCGAACGCGGAGTCACAGCGCGGGACCCGTCGACGGGCCAGAGACAGATTGGCCAACGCACTGCAAAGAGCATTAGTCGCTGAGAGCCGGGTCGCAGAGCTAGAGAGGACGTGTACGCAGCTGCAGACCCGGGTGCAGAGATACGCGGCGATGCTCAGGGCGAATGATCTGCGTGCAGACCCCCGCGATCTTGAGGAAGGCATCGGAGAGGGAACTTTGACGAGTGGTACCGGTGGAGGTTGGTGATGTGGACTTGCACCCCGAGATTGTGTAGGCATGTATTGTTGTGAAGGAGGACGCAAAGAAGTCGAGCCACTTGGAAGCACTCCCTAAGGCGGTCAGACCAGATACTTGTTCTGTGAGTATGGCGACGCGCAGTCAACGATATCAGGCTTGTATCCGCCAGCAGCCGGGATTATAGTATGACCCAGTAGCGCAGGGCTTTGGAGTCCTGCTACATGAGGTCAAACATAGTTTTGCCACCCGGTGGCGAAAGCAGCCCGCACAATTGCTCTGTCAACCGCGCACCGGACAACAAAGGTGCTTCAAGGTAAGGCACGGAAAGCGTGGGTCAGCCTGTCAAAGGAGGAATCGACCTCCGCACCAGTGCGCCAGTCACTGGTACATTGTCATCAGCCAGGCCCGCTGTTTGCGCCTGCGTGTTTCTCTCTTCTCCCTTCGTTTACCCAATTCGCATTCACTCCCGTCAGAAATGGCCACTCTGGAGGAGCAACTTCTCGCACTGCTACCTGGACACGACACAATTGAAGCAGTCTTCGGATCGAACACTCAGCAGGATGATGGCAACGAGAGAGCTGGTGATGAGCCAGACAGTGTCCATCCATCCGACCTCCCATTCGATTGGTTTGCTGGCATCGATGCTCTCAACGCGGCCAACACTCTCGCATCTCGGACCACGGCATCTGGGAGTGGATCAACAGAGATGCATGGCACTGTCAACGAAGGGAACGAGAGACAGGAAGCCCGGTCAGGTGGCGGGAAGAGTACCCCTCGTCGGAGCGGAGGAGTCAGGAGAGGCACTTGCGGATCGTGCGGTGCTTCCAGGCAGGTCAGCAAGCCGCTCTCAGAACACCCTTCCGCCAAGAGGGCGCGACTCTGGCGCGCGGGGGTCAGGCTGAGGAAGCTCAGAGGTGATGAAACGACACAGACCGAGACAGAGATGCCAACGGCATCGGAGCGAGAGGCAGAACTGTTCAGCTTGTGGCAAGCTGCGGCGGAGCACGCCGAGTCACTCAGCCTGCAGCTGCAACTTCTCAAAGAACACAACGCTACGATGATGGGTAAGCTGTCCGCGCTCGAGAAGCAAATCGATCGGCAAGGAACCGGATTCGGTTCGACATCGAGGCAAGAGAGACCGCTGGCGACCCCGGTGTCAGTGGAGCGTGACGGGAGTGACGGTACATACGTATCGATGGATGGTCTGTCATTGGAGGACACTGGCATGACCACCGGGGCCTGGGGAGCAGGATCCGAGAGCTTGTCGAGGCGCCGGGTTACGCCTGCTCTCATTCTCCAAAGCGGAGGTCATTGTGTCGACAGTCCATGGTGAGAGGAGACCACAAGGCGATGTTGCTGTCATGTCTTCAGTCCAGTCAGGCACGTAGTGCAGATGGTATGAGTAGTGTCGATAGGTCAGTCAAGTCCAATCAGCATGTAAATATCGAACCCCCTCTTTACCAAGTACCCCGCGGCTCGACGGGCCCAGCAAAAAATCCCATCTATATCCCTGCCTCCCAGCCACCTTGTGTACCTAAGCCAACAGATCCTTCAACTGCTTGATGACCTCCTCACACTCCGTCCTCGTCCCGACCGTGATCCTCAAACACCCCTCACACCCAATCTCCCCTCCTCTATACCTCACCACCACACCCCTCGTCTCCGCCATTGTCTTGTACACCTGCACCGCCCGATTATTGCAGACTTTGCCCTTTGGCCCATCAAGAACCTGAACGAGCACAAAGTTGGCATCGTTCCCGCCGAGGATGTCGCCGATGGACGGGATGGTAGGCAGTGTTTCGAGGAGGTAGTCCCGGTTCGCGTTGAGGGTGGAGACGGCCTCGGCCATGACTGCCATTCCGGCGTCAGAGACGGCCGAGGCGGCGATAGAGGCGGTGGGGACGGAGATGTTGTAGGGAGCTTTGGTGTTGGTGAGGATTTGGATGAGGGGTGGTGGTGCGAGGAGGTAGCCGAGGCTGAGAGTCAGCCTGTGTTGCTGAAGACAGTGCCAGCACTTGGACTTACCGGATAGCCGCCAGCCCAAAGCTCTTACTCAATGTCTGAGTAACGCAGACATTCGCATACTCATTGATGAGCTGCGCAGCCGAGCTGTTACTTGGCGCAAAGTCGATATACGCCTCGTCGACGAGGACGACTCCCTTGAATTTGGGGTTCTCGAGGACGCGCCGAATAGCAGGGAGGGGGATGACGGTGCCGGTAGGGTTTCCAGGGGAGCAGATGAAGACGATCTTGAGGTCAGGATTGGCAGTGAATGCTTCGTCCATCTGTCTGTCAGCCACAACCCCCTTCTGCTAGAGGTAAGGGACATACCGCATCCTCATCGAGCTGGAACTTTCCTCCCTCCGCAATAAGCGGCACCTCCAACACCCCCACATCATTCACATTCGCAGTGACCTTGTACATCCCGTACGTCGGGGGAGTAGTCAATACCCTATCCTTGCCCGGGACGCAGAGGACTCGGAAGAGCATATCGATAACCTCGTCCGATCCCACACCGAGAAACACCCAGTTCTCATCGGGCACGCCACGGAGGTGGGCTATGCGCCGCTTGAGCTCGTCGTGGGTAGGGGAGGGGTACCGGTTGAGGTCTGTGCCGGGCGGGAGGAGGGAGAGGGTTTCCAAGGCGATGTCCTCAGCGCTGGCGCTGGCGCCGCTAGTACCGTTGGAATCGGAGTGACCATTGACCTTGACTTTTTTGGCCGATGCGGATGGGAGGGCGGGACCGATAGCGTTCTCATTGGCGTCGAGGAGGACGCCAGCAGAGTAGTCATCTCGTGCGCAACGGTATGGCTGGAGAGCGAGGATATTGGGCCGGATGAGCGGTTCGAGGGAGAAGTGGGCTGGGGTGGACGGGCCGGGCGCTTTGAGGCCGAGGATGGGCATGGTGACGGGTTTTTGGGGTGAAAATGTGGCAGATAAATAGTCAGGCGGTCTAGACGTATTCCCACGGCCAGGTAGTAATCTTATAGTGAGGTGAAGTAGAGAGATGGACTCGATTAACGAGATCGCGAGAGGTATAATCGAGTCAGATTCTTATCGCAAATCCGGATAAATCGACTCGGCGTTGGCCAGCTTGGCTGGACTTCCGAAGTCCGCTGGCGCTGAAGACTCCTGCAAACGACCCTGCTGACTCGCAGAGGAGCTGAAGTCCCAGACGCACAGCGGCTTAGTGTCCTCTTCATACAAGTCTACTTGATGCATACCCAGATCTCCGCCCCCGATTCTCCCTACACCTCTTCTTCATGATCTACCCATACCCGCGAAATAGCCCCCTCCTCCTCCTCCGCCTTGACTCCCTCCAGCATCCGGCCCGAAGCTCTGTCTCAACCCACTAGGCTGCATCCCTGGCCGGGCATACTGCCCCACCCCTACTCCGCCAGTAGGCGACGGCGATCCCGGCCCCATTGCCCCGGGTCCGAGTCCAGGGGAAGCCATCATCACTGGCTGTCCCTGTGGTCCCTGCTGGCCCGGGCCCACTCCGGGCGATCCACGAGAATAGATCGTGTTCCCCGTCCCGCCCGCGCCACCGGCGCCGCCGAGCAGACCCGGCTGATATGGCGTATGCACGTATGTCTGCCGAGGCGGCGCCGGCTGGGGCAGAACGTGGTGCCGATATTCTGTAGATTGGCCGAGGAGCTGCGAGGTGGGAATGATGCCTGTCCGGGGTATAGATTGTGGTGTAAGCCCGCCAGGGAGGATAGTCGCGGAGGGCATGGGCGAGCCGGCGTAGCCGTAGCTCTGCCGCTGCGAGGCGGCGGAGGCAGAGGAGGATTGGCGGGGTTGGTAGGCCTTGGCTTGGGCCGGCTGAGAAGCAGGCGTATATCCACTCCCAGCGCCGTTACTCGACCGGGTGGGCGTCCCCGCGAGTTGCTGTGCGACACTCGGCCCGTTAGACATGGAAGGTACAGGGGGAAGAGAGGCGCTGGGCATCGCGGACGGCCGGGGTCGGATGGTAGCATTGTCGTGGATGGCCTTGGGGCGACGCGGGTCGAGCGTGCCGCGGATGGTAGGTGCGGGAGTATGGATGAGGCGTTTACTGACCCGGTGGGCGAAGCCGGGCTCGAGATTGGGGATGAGGGCGGACGGTGGTATAGTGGCCGATAGCGATGCCAGGGAGTTGAGAAGTTCCTCCGCTAAATGAATCAGCAAGATGTAGGGTTCGTGACCAAGGTACTCACCAACTACCTGCTCCCGTTCTCCAACCTCCTTCTCCCCTTTACGCACTCTGGCCTCTTGCCACCCAACCAGCTCATTCAGCCAGTCCGCATTATCCCGGAGCACATCGTCTACCCCTCTACCACTCTTCGTCCCCTCCTCACCAGCTTCTGGCCCAACATCCTCCATGCCAACGTCCCCATGCTCGACAGTCGTCGCCCCCTCCCCTTTGGCCTCCAGACTGCCCCAGTATCCCTTCGTCTCTCCCCCTTCCTGTACCTGCAGCCCACTCGGCCCGCTCCAGCTCTTATACCGCTCCCGCTGATGCATCGCCTCGAGGGTCGTCCAGTATCCTACACCCCCTGCGGCATAGTTTGAGTCGAACGAAGGGCCGAACGTTGGTGTCCAAGGTAGGTGCGATACGCGCGGGATGGCAACTACGGAGTCAGCTTTGCTCTCTACTGTGCATGTGCACGGAATGTTTGACAAGGAGCTTACCTGGTCGGTGAAAGCTCCCAAACCCGCCTTTCCGCCTCGCCAACATCTCCTTCCATCTCTGCGCCTTCAGGCTCGCCTTCTGCACAATCGATTCGCCGAGCGTCGGCGCACTCGCTAGACCCGTCGTGGACCCAGCGAACGAAGTGATCGAGACAGCATTGGCGTATCCTGAATATCAGCACCCTCTTTCCTATTCCTACCTGTCGGGCGGAAGAGAACATACCAAACTTCCCCCCATCAGCCGCAAAGCGCTCTAATACACCCTCCCCCCCTCCATTCTTAACCTTTATTCTCTCCGCCTCCCTCCAATCCGCTATACCCGTCCACCAATCGCCGCCCCCTCGGCGGCCATCCGTACCCCCTGGTGCCGGCGCACGCATAATCAACGCCCATTTTTCCAGTAGACCCTGGCCTGCATTTGGACCGCGTGCGGTAGTGGGTTCGATGGAGAGTATGATGTCGCGCAGAGAAGCGCAGAACGCGTAAATGGCGTGATGTGGCTGATGAGGCGGTAAAGGGGGTATGGTGGCGTGTATGTGGGAGAGTGGGGGGAAGGGGACAGGGTAGGCGCAGGGCTGGAGGAGGTGGGTGGAGAAGACGTGTAGCAGTTCCTGAGTGGGTCAGCCGGGGTCCACGGAGAGATGGGTAAACTTACCACTAGCCGTTCCCACGACAAATCTTCCTGATTGAGGACATGCGCCAGCGTATTCTCGTCCTTCCGATCAAAAGTCGGCGGTAATGGCAATGTCAGCAGCGTGTTGAGTGGTCTCGGCAGATCAACAGCCATTCTGCGCAGGTCAGCTACCTTCAATATCAGACTGCAGGAACTTACTGAGCCAGAACGATAGCCAAAGCGTCCCGCACATCCTTATCCAAAGCACGGACAACGCTCTCCTGGACAACCACCGGATCGTCCTTCACCCCTTCTTCAGCATCTTTGCTCTTCTCCGGCAGACTAGTCTCCCCATTGGCGGCCTCGCCTCCACCGCCATTGTGCTGTCCCTCTACAACCGCAGCATCCCCATTTGCACCAGCCGCCGTCGCGCCCGCAGTCTCCGACTTCTTCTTGAACTTGAGATTGACCCTCGGCCGCTTCGCACCCTGCTCCGCGTCGTCCTTCGCGGGCGACACGTTGAGCTTGACGCGCGGTGTCCCATTGACGCCGTTGATGGGTACTTCGGCGGAAGCGGGAAGGGTCACTTTGAGGGAGATACCGCGGGGTGTGGCGTCGGGGTGAGAGGTGGATGGTTGGCGTTTACGTTTAGGCGCGGCGGGAGCATCTGAGTGTGGTCAGTTGCGGCTCATTGGAGGAGAAGGACGGATGGAGGGGTCTGATGCAGCGAGGAAAGGTGGATAAAGAGAAGCGCGAGGAGACGTACCGGTATCTACCGCTGGATCTGGAACGGCCGCAGCCGCTGAACCCCTCGTTTCGCGCGCCATACCGAGTGGAGGTCTGAGATGGACGACGCGAAATCAGGCGCCTCGTATGAGGAACGCAAGAATACTTTGTCTTTGTCTTTGTTGATGATAACGCGACCGACCGAGCCAGTGTTGATTTGATGCACGTCTGAAGTCTTCCTGGATTCTTTGGGCGCGGTCTTTCCGCGAGCCGGACTACGGTAGGTCCGCTTGTCGACGGTGTGGCGGAGCCGTGCCTTGTGGTGTGGGGATGAACGAGGATAAAGGCAAGAATGGTGGATGTCGTTATGGCCAGGCGCGTCGAGAGTTTGTTCACCAAGTCGTGTCTGGGTGAGATTTTTGCGGCTCTCTTTGGGCTTTCGGCGCTTTCGACGCAGCGTTATGGCTGAAGGCTACGCGGATTACAGCTAGAAGTCTGTAGTACGGCTAGGCCAGGCTGAGTGGTGCATGTAGCTGCGCATGGGTTTGGCTGCAAGGAAAGGGTCCTGCGAGTGAAGGAAGGGGGAGCCGCGGCGTGCCTGGCGGAACCTAATCAGCCACGTGGCGTGCATTCCTCTTGGCAGCAGCTGAGGCCGTTCATGGTGGTGTTGGAAGTGGAAGTGATCGGTGGTATCAAGCTTGAAATGGAAGGCATGACCACCTAAAGACAACTACAAGCAGGTGTCCGAGGACTTACAACCCCACATGCATGTATGACCTCCCAATCCCCCAAGAACCCAATCTAAGCTATTCCATAGGGTTCGTCCTCCCCGCCTGTCCATCCCCATCCTCCCCATGCCCCCCATCCAAATCATCTCCCCACGCACATAACGCATGCCACCACTTCTCCTTCGGTTCCGCCTGATACCCATTCGCTAGCATGATACCCGCCCCAGCACCGGCACCCGCTCCAGCGACAGCTGCGCCCCCTCGCCAGCCTGGACCACTATAGCTGAATCCTTGTTCGGATGCGGTGGATGCTTGGCGCGCGTGCTGAGGGTGAGAGGGAGAAGGAGGGTCGGCGAATGGTGATTTGGAGGATGTGGGTGAGAGGGGTGGCATGGCGCGCGATTGGGCGTCATAGGGGGTCGTGTAGGGGTGGAGGTGGGCGGAAGCGTCTGAGTGGGTCGATATGCGCGAGTGCGTGTGATTCAGGGGTAGCTACGAAGTCAGAAACGTCTTGAGTATTATAGATAATGGAGAAGGACATACCTCTCCGGCATCGTCAATACGTTCTAGCTCCCGCCCGCCCCCACCGCTCCGAGGCCACAGACCTTCCATGAGGCCCATGATACTCCCCCGCTTGGATCCCACACTACTCCCGCTACTCAGCCCAGAAAGCGGTCTCCTACCGAACGAAGTGGAAGATGAGAATCCGCCGCTCTCGTTTGGATCTGGGGTACCAGTGGGTGAGGGCGATATTTGGCGGGAAAGGCGAGAAGCGCGCCGGCGGGCCATATCCCTCGCTGCCATCCTAGCGAGGTTCTACCGATCAGCGCGAGACCCAAGTCATACCATTTGGCCAAGACTTACCTCTTGGATCTTGCGCTCCTCCTCCTCCTCTTCATTCGTAGGCGGATACACCGCATTCCCGTAGACCTCCTCCGCTCTCCCCTGTTCTTCATCCCATACTCGATTTCTCCCCTGACCTCCCCCTTCGGCCCTCATCTTCCCTTTCCGCTCCCTCTCCCTCTCTCTGTCTTTATAATCCCCTACGTCGCCTTCATCCACCTGCTCCTGTTCCTGCTCTCGCGCCCTGCCCTTTCCCTTGGAGCCTGGATTCGCATTCGGCGTACCTGCCGACAAGGTCTCTTCCGATCCACCGTGGTGCTGCGTGTAGTCGTGGCGCTCGGTGGAGGCATATCCCGTAGGGGTGGTAGTGTACGAGTCGGACGAGGCCGCGGAGGATGTAGAGGACATGCGGGACATGCCTGGAGCGGCGGGCATGACGCGGGAGAGAACAGGAGTGGGAGAGTAGGGTCGGTCCACTAGTGGAGCGTAGGTCTGGGTACCGGCCCCGGTCTGGATAGCGGGGAGGGCGGGCATTTTGTGCCTATGCGCGGGTCCGGGGGCTTGGCGAGCAGGGAAGGCGGGGTAGAGGTAAGGTATGAAGGAGAGGAATGTTATGCGCCGAGCTGGAGCGGTGTCGGTCTAGCGAGAGATGAGAGGCTTGGAGGAGGGATGTTTCCGATATGTGCGACCGAGAGATGAGACGAGATGGACGGGATGCTGATGTTGATCGCAAACGATAGGGTCGAAGCGAGGCGGGTAATAAGGGGTTGGGCTCCGCACGTTTACAATTGAGCGGGCGCCTCTTTGGCGACGAGCGACGTCTAGCTAAGGCTTCGCCTCTAACGCTGGGGAGGTAACCCTTCGGTGGAGCTGTAGGGTGCTGGGTATGATAGCTAGCTATAGCTATACACAGGTAAGGTAACAATGTCTCGCATCGACCGGGCAACATGCCTTTGCTTGCTTGGTTTCGTCGTCATTCACCCTATTTCGATTAGGAATACACCTTAATTCCTTAGCGGGATCAGATCTTCCTATTGAAATGGTGTCGTTACGTCAGCTCTTTGGACGTGGTCGAGGCGCTTGCGCGAGCGACACCTTGTCCACCGATTCTATATACGCATTCCTCATATACTCTCAACACTTCCTTCAGCGCTCAGACCTCTCGCCTGCCCTTCATCGAGACCAGACCGACCTCTAGATCAACGCTCTCGAAAACCAGACCGGTCGAATCAACTCCCGCGCTTCACGCTCGTCTATATCAACCTCCAGCCCCCACCTCTCGCCCAAGATGATGGAGAATCTCCAGGTCGATATCATGCACTTGAAGCATGGTGAGGTGAACCTCGGAGTGAGTCAAGAGCCCAGCTGGCATATGCCCTGCCGTATCCATTGGACAAGTCTGAGGATCGAAGCTGACCCAACCAGACCTCAATCATGGCTGTTCAGTTCGACGGAGGGGTCGTCATTGGTGCTGACACGAGAACGACTACCGGTGCTTATATCGTGAGTGCTCTAATCCCTCGCTACAATGTCTCTCATACGCCGTGTATGGTCTTTTCAGTGGTGAATGGCTTCAGCTGGCCTAGGATCCACTGGCGCTTCGACATCCCTCCTTTGGGCGAGCCGTCACCCACCCTACCCGTCTCTCCAATCCCTTAGCCAACTCCTCATCTAAATCACAAGCTAACCCCCAGGCCAACCGAGTAACCGACAAGCTCACACACATCCACGACCGCATCTACTGCTGCCGCTCCGGGTCCGCGGCCGATACCCAAGCCGTCGCGGATATCGTGCACCAGCACGCCCAGGTCTATACGGCGATCTACGGGCACGCACCGCCTGTCGCGACCGTGGCGGCGTTGTTCGAGAAGATGTGCTATGAGAATAAGGATCAGTTGAGCGCGGGGATCATTGTGGGCGGGTGGGACCCAGAGGTCGGCGGGAGCGTTTACAATATCCCATTGGGAGGGGGGATCTTTAGGCAGCCGTGGGCTATTGGAGGTGAGTAGGGCGTGGAATACGGGCAGAGGGATCTGACAGACGGGGCGGAGGAGAGGAGATCTACGTGATGAAAGGCAGGAGATAGGAGATGAAGGGGGATCCTTGTCATCAGGCTACTCGGGGACTATTTGCTGATATACAGGCTCCGGATCAACATATGTCTACGGTTACTGCGACGCAACCTACCAAGAAGGATGGAACGAGGAACAGACCCTGCAATTCGTCAAGAACAGTACGTCCCCTATCCCCTCGTCTTCGCGTCTTCCATCCTTTCCCGCCTTCTACCCAGGTCAAACCATCCGCTGACTACCAGCCCTCGCATTAGCCATGTCACGAGACGGCTCCTCAGGCGGCTGTATCCGGATGTGCGTCATCACGAAGGACAAGGTCGAGCGGCATTTCATCCCTGGGAACGAGCTTCCGCGATTCTGGGAAGGCAAGGAGGTGACGGGTGTGGAGGCTGTGGGGTTGAATGCGGCAGATATGGTTATCGCATAGGTGAAATAAGCGGCAGAAGTGTATGCATAGTGATGATAGACTATCTAAGGTGTCTTCAGGTCCCCAGACTATGCGTTCACGAGCTACAAGTTACCCAGAAGTCCACCTCCACGTCCAATGGCGACTGGCATACCTCGACCAAAATTACCCAAAGAAGCATTCCGGAGGCGCCACTGCGGACCACCACAGGCTGAGCCCCGCTTCTCATAACCGCACATCACCTCCGCACCTTCATCTGATACTGAGCTAAATCTGTCATTATGCCACCTACCGCATTCTGGGACGTCGAACCGAGACCGCAAGAGACCGTCTTACGGTCGGACAGCTCGACTTCGGCTCGCGCAGGTCTCGTTCAAGACCAGGCTGGAGGGACCGGAACGACGCCACCTGGCCCACCTACAGCTGGGCAGGATGGGTCATTCGGGTTACCACAATTCCCTCCGCCCCGCGCGCCCGTACGACGGGAGACATTGGCATACGTGCCGTCTCAGCCGGGTCCTAGTGGATCTGATGAACGTGGAGGAGGGAGCGGGAGTACGGATATGGGTGGGAGGCGGGGTCGGATGAGCTCGCCTGTACCTGGTCCGAGTCACAGCGCTGGGACGGGACCCTCCTCTGCTGGGAGCTCTGCGGAAGGCGCCAGCGGAGGGGTTATGGGGACGGCTGAAGAGCTGGTCTATGCGCTGGAAGATGGACAGGAGGGGACCAACGGTGGAGAGGGGCCGGCGGGATCGAAGCCGCAAGCGAAGGGCGGGGTCAATCCTGGACTGACCAGTAAGCATATGGCTTGCATGGCATACGACACCACTGACGCTTCAGGCTGTGGAGCCTGTCGACGCGGTAAACGTCGATGCGAGCCCACTCCCCTCGTTCCCGCTTCCCATCCCGACGCGGCCAAGCTCCCTTGCGCCCGATGTCGCCGCTTCGCCCTAGAATGCGTCCGAATCCAGGTCCCACGTCGGAAAGGTCCGGCCAAGGTCGATCTGTCGGCTTATTCAGACGCTGTCAATGGGTTCGCTCCGCCGAGTACCGGGCATTCCGGGGGTAGCGGAGCCGAGCTCGGGTTGTTGGAGATGTCGGCGACGCCAGCTCAGCCTCCGGGGCCGACGCCGCTCTTCACGCCGACAGTGTCTGGCGGGATTGGTGCAGGAGGGAGTGGCGGAATACAGGAATGGCCAGGGCCGGTAGATAGGAGGAGGAGCAGTGCGATGAGTGGGGAGTATGGCGCGAGGGAGTTGGATTATGGGTATGCGAGTGCGAGCTATGTCCGGGGCGGATCGCAGGTCTCGTGAGTTGTCTATTGACTTGAGAGGAGAATCTGAGCTGATGGACAAGTAGTGACCCATCGCCTGTCATGCCGGGTCTGACTAGAGCATCCAGCTCTCATCTTGCGCCGATACCCGACAGCTTGGACCAGGTGACGGACGGCACCACTGTCAATACCATCATCAAGCTTTTTTTCGACTATGTACGCCCGCCCATCGGCTTTCAGATATAGCTGCCGCTGATATCTAGGTCTATCCGCTTACGCCGTGCCTGCACCGCCCGACCTTCCTCGCGGACCTCGCTGCGCGGAGAGACAAGACCGACCCCATCTTTTTCGCGCTCACACTGACCGTCCTCGCATCGACGCTCGTCCAGGTCCCGCGAAACCTGATCAATATGGACAAGGAGGAAGTGGAGCATCTAGCGAGGGTGTGCGTGAAGGTCGCGAGGGCGAAGATTGGGTTTGTGTTTGAGGAGAGCATACCGGTTGAGATCAGCTTTAGTGAGTTGCCACCCACAAGATGAAGGAGTGTGGCTGACGAGATAGTTGTGATCTCATATTTGGAGGGCATTGTCCATCTGCTATTAGGGAACAACACCGCCCATGTTATGTGTACGGCGAATGCGAATCAGCTCGCTCTGGCGATGCGGCTGAACGAAGAGGCGGTACGTCTTCCGATCCAGCTGGTTGTTTGCCTCATTGCCGTGATGAGATAATCCGCTGATACCGTAGAGCTATGAAGGCCTCGACCCCATCGAATCAGAAATCAGAAGACGGACGTACTGGTTGCTCTTTCAAGCAGACAAGAGTGCGGCGTGTATGCGCGCTCGGACGATCAATCTCCGGTTGGAGGATGCTGCTGTGAGTCGTCTACTGTCCCTTCCCGCCAGCCTGAAGATGCAAGAGCTGATATCTTCAGTCACTGAGACTACCGGCCGAAGTGGACGACGAGCAGATCACCCACGGTGGGATTACAATGCAGGCGCCGGGCCGGACCTCGATCATTGCTGGTTTTAACGTCGTCACCAACCTTTTCAGGTGTGTTCCGCGCCGGCGTAGCGAAAAAAGACTCAAGCTGATCAGGCAGGATCATGAATGATGCTCTGCTGCTCCAGCGCCGTAAAGCCCCGCCTACAGTTGACAGTATCCTCGCGGACTTGCAGAATGTCAATAACCTGCGGGAGAAGGTGATTGACACGACCAAGCATGTGGCGCCAAAGCTGCAATTGCATAATACCATGGATTCGAGGGTATCCAGGTGAGCCTCAAGAACCAGTTTGATCCTTCCAAGAACTGCGAAGCTCACCCTCCAGCCCCGCACACGACTGGGAAGCCAAGCTCGAAGCGCGTTTCCTCGACTACTTTCACTCGGCAGGCGACGGCCCCTCTGTCCCCATCCTCAACTCCTTTCTCGTCCTACAGGGCAATATCCTCGTCACGCAATCGGTCGTCCGGCTCGTTCTCCTGCACTCGAAAGAAGCCCTCTTGTCGCAATTGGCGGCAATCACGCAGATGCCCGCGGTGGGGCTGGGGAATCTGGCGGGGATGCAAGCGACCGAGCCGGCCGAGGATATCGCGTGTGAGCTGTTGGATGGGCTAAATAGTTTGCCGGTGGAGTGTGTGAGTGTTTGGCAGAGTTAGATGGGCAAGATAGGTGCTGATGCTGTCTGTAGGTGGCTACGAATGGGCCGTCGTTGGTGCAAAAGGTCCGCTTTGTCGCTATTCAGCTGATGGAGTGTTCGATTGCGCCATCGAGTACTACGGCGAGAGCGTGAGTTCAGCCCAGACTATGCGTTGCAAGGGGCAGAGCTGATACGCTGGACAGGCAGAAACTCCTCATGCAGTTCTTGTCGGTACTGAGCGTGATCGAGGGGATGTACACATTCGGGCGGGATATTTCTGCGGAATGAGATGGGACGCGGTCGACATTTGTGTTGTATCCAAATCATGCATTTGGCCGACAAGCTATAATATAAAATACGAAATCGAAGGTCTAACAAGAGATGATGAACGAAATGTCCTACTCCCACTCGTACAAACTACCCGTCCCGAATACACCCCTCGCCCCACCCGTCTTGACCCTTCCGCGATCCATCACACCTCTCCCTCCACCTCCTCCCGGCGTCCGCTCGGGGATCGGTACCGCCGGCACTGGTATCCCTGAATAATCCGCCCGTCCCGACGTCGTCGACTTGGTGGACCTTACCGACCTGACTGACCGACTCGTCGTCCCGCTCCTCGCCCTCCCCATGACCGTTCCCGCCCCTGACGCTAGCCTCGGCGAAGGCGCGGACCCCATCAACATCTCGCTGACCGCCATGCCGCAGGTACATCCGCACTCTGTACACCCGTCCTCCCTTGGCGCCCAACGCTGCTTGTCTGCGCGCACCTCTTCCATCTCCGCCTGCGTGGCGGAGAGCTGGTCCTTCATCTCCCTGAGCTGGCTGGAGAGTTCCGACTGTTGGTACTGGTGTGTCTTTTTGAGGTTGGCCAGTTCTTTGCGGAGCGCGAGGACCTCGGGGTGGGCGGAGGGGTCCGAGGCGTCTGGGTCTTCCAGGAGAGAGGAGGTGGAGGAGAGGGACTCCGTTGCTGTAAAGACGGACGAGCGGCCGTCTTGCGAGTCGTCCAGCTCCGACGTGGACGACGAGGCGAGATAGTCCTCGGGTAGGCCATTGGCGAGCATCATGCTGACTGGCCGCAGCTCGAGTTTTGGGCCAGGAAGGAGGGTCCGGCTGGCTTGGGGTGGTCGGTCATCCCGCATTGGAGGGCGGGCGTCCTCCCTTGACTCCCGGGGCGCAGACGGCCATTGCTCTGGAGGGTCCCGCGCCGAAGGCGTCGCCATCCCCTCATGAGGCAGCATGAGCGGCATTGGCTCCCCTATATTCATCTTCTTCCCGCCCGCGCTGGTATTGACCATACTGAAGCCGGGGACGGGGGGAGCTGGACCCGCGGGCCCGCTGCTACCGCTAGCATAGGCAGTGGCCGACCGAAAGAGCGAGATGAGGCTCTTTTTATTCTTGATCTTTTGGCTCTGCGTCGCCGGGAGGGTGGGGACAGCGGGGAGGCGTGGCGTCGTCTGGTCCTTGCCCTTCTTAGTCCCGGAGGACTTGGGGGTCGGTCCGCCGAGCCGGACACGCTCGCGCTCTTGGGCAACCTCGAGAGAGATGAGGCCGAACCCGGGTGAGCCGGAGGACATGAGCGGCCGATCCGATGCGGCAAAGTTGGCGGGGGTGGGGCTGAGCGCGAAAGCAGCAGGGGAGAGGTTGACGGTGTTGCTATTGGTATTGGTTGCGGGGTCGTAAATCCGCGCACTGGGCGCGAGGGTAGGGGTGTGGCCAGTGGCGCGCTCGGCGTACTGCTGGGCCGATGTGGTAGCCGACCGAGTGGGGTATGTGTACTTGACGGCGGTATTGAACGAGTGGTCCCGGTCGTGATACGGCGTGAAGGCGGAGGAATGGTTGGGAGTGATGACCGCCTCCCCGACCGAGCTCTCGCTAGAGGATGTCCGAGTGGTGGCGGTCTCTCGGGACTGATCTGACGCAATGGAGACTTTTGAACCGGATGTCAAAAAGTCGCGCTCCCGCGTCGGTTTCCGAGAGGACGTTGAGAGGAGATCGCCCAGCCGCTGCCTACCCGATCCGCGGGATGCGACGGATGTTGAGGGACTGACATTCCCGCTCTCTTTGCCTTTACGGTCGTCCCGGGCATACGAGCCGCCGCCGAGCATACCCCCGATCCCCAGTCCCAGACCCACTCCGACGTCTTTTCCGCCGCTGCCCTTCTTGGTAGTCGCGGCGCGCATCATGCGGGTCGCCTGCCGCCCTATACCCGCCAGAGCACTCTCCGGCGTCCCCCACTCTCCGCCAATCTTCTCCCGCCGACCAATTTGCGCAAAACCAATCGCGTCGTCCTCGTCCTCATCGTCAAAGTTGAGGTCCGCGTACTTTCGAACGGTAGGTCCAGATTGGACGGTCGAGACGTGCTCGTCGTCCCCGTCGTGCCGGTCGTCATCCAGGCCTTGGTAGGGGGAGTACGGGCTCTGAGTGAGGCCTTGGCTCTTCCTCCGCGCTGTGTACTCGGTGTTGTAGTTGCCATTGTAGCTGTAGTCGGCGGCGCGGACAGGGGCGTGGGGGGATGAGTGATTGGAGTGGTGGTCGTGCGTAGAAGTGGGGGATTCGGTCCATTTGGACAACTGCCGCGTGGCTCGGCGGGCAAGGGCGGACCGGTGCGCCGAGTGGTGGATCACTGTTGGGGCGTGGGAATACATGGATGAGGGGGACTGCGAGGGCGACATGGTGGAGTACATTCCGGGCATGTCTGGTTGTCAGCTGAGTTCAGTAAAGGGTAGTTGCGGCGTACCTGCATGTGCCTGAGGGGGAGGTTCGATAGCGAAACGTTAGCGTGGTGAGAATGTACAACACAGCAATGATATGAGGGGGATAGCCATTCAACTGGAAGTTAGTTGTTCGATGTTTGGACGATCAACAAGATCTGCTTGTTAGCCATTCCGACAGCCAGCCCCGTCTCAGAATTATCGATCGCCGAAATGAAGCCCGAAAGTAGCGAGACCCGCCCCGTCCTGTACGTCCAAATGAAGCCCATGCATATTCTATAGCGCTCCGGAAGGTATAAGATAGAGGAATTGTCCTAGTTTGCGGGCTGCTTGTCAGCAAATGCCCCACAGCAATGTGAAACATGTGAACATACCTTCTGAGCGACGAAGAGCATCATGGGGCTGCACGATCAGTTGCTGCCTTTCACGGTCAAGATGTGAGACTCACGTAAACAGCTTGGAGCGACCACCAGCGACCAAGTTTTGAGCGGCAACAACCAGAGTCTCTCCGACATCATATGTTCCCTTGGGCACAAGTCCGACCTTCTCCATGGCCCAAACCGAGTTCTGGGTGATCTTAATTCCGACCTTTGACGTCCGGAAGCAAGTAACCACTATAAGGGTCAGCTCATGCGCAGGAGGATGAAGCCGGCAACTCACAGTCCCACCAGGTCTGGGCCTTCCGCAGGTCGCCCTCAAGGGGGTAGTACCAAGGAACCGGGTCCGGGCCTGTCCATTAGCATTATCCAACCGCTTATCGCTGCTGCTACTCACGGTCGGCAAGATCCTCCTCGTGCAGAATCTCGAATCCAACGGACTTCAGGGCTTTCCGGGCGGCGTGGATGTTGCGCATCTCGGCGATACCATCTCCCACCTGGTATGTCAGCTTGTGTGCCTTGATCGAGCGCGTATCCCAGCTTACCTCGATACCGTGCGCAATCTTCTTGTGCTCGGGGATGGATGGGTCCCAGGCGTCGGTCATGCACCATTCGTAAACGGCGAACTAGGGATCAGCTGAGACCGTCCCAGGGTCAAGTCAAACTCACCTTTCCTCCTGGCTTCAACACCCTGTAGATCTCGCCGTAAATACCCTCGAACGTAGGTGCGTGAACCGTCGCCTCGATGGCGTAGACTATCCGTCAGCTTCCTGCCTCAGGCTGTCCGCGGCTAGAGAGCTCACCAGCGTCAAACGACCCCTCGCCAAACTGCTCCTGGATCTTCATAAAGTCCCCCTTTGCAAAGTTGACCTTCTCCGCCAAGCCGGCCTTCTTGGTCTTTTGGTTCGCCCTCTGAATCTGGAAATCGTTATTGTTCAGACCGGTAATGTTGGCATCGGTGAACCGGCAAATTTCGCGTGCGGGACCGCCGACACCGCACCCGACGTCGAGGACGCGCATGTTGGCTTGGAGGCCGAGCTGGTGTGCGAGGTAGTGCTCGTGGCGGGCGAGCTGGGGGTCAGTGCGGATTGAAGCTTTGGGGGAGGGTACGCACAGACTGGAGGAGACCTTCTCCCTTGAAGAACCGGGAGAAGTGGAAAGACTCGGCCCAGCCGAACTCGTACAGCTCGGTAGCACCATCGTAGTAGCCTGTGATATCAGCTGCATGTCCCCGAGAGCTCGCTGCCTGCCGGGCACAACTCTTCCAGGTATACCAGAGCCAAGAGCAAGACTCACCATTGACGACCTCGGTGTACTCATCCAGACGAGACTGCTTGTGCGCGTCGGTGTCCTTGCTGGAATCCTTGTCCCATCGCTTAGCGTATTGCTGGACACGCTCAGTCTTGCGGGTTTCGGCGACCACTGGACCGTCAGTGAAAGTCGTCGGCCAGTCCCAGCTCGAGCGACCGCTGCGCCGATTCGCTTGCTGTCGACTTACTGTTTGCTGTGTTGGAGGAACGAGTGGGTGAGGAGTATAGTCTGAGGTACAAGTACTATAGACAGAGTAGAGAGTGAACCTATCGTCCGATGAATAAAAGCTCGGACGCGCTCGACTTTTCGTCAACGCGCACTTGCTGCTTGGGGTAATTATGGGACCCCTGAAACACCGTGCCTGGGGTATGCTGGTCCGCAGACGGGCGCCGTATGAGAGGAGTCCATGCACAAGAGATGATCATACGATAGCTACACCCTCTTCCACGGCTTGATGACCAGCTTGATCTCCCTCTCCTTATCCTGTTGTAAGGGGTACCGCCACATTCCCCATTGTCCTTCCACCGTCAAACTTCCCTCGCTCAGCTCGGCCACTTCCAGGTCAACCACCGCCGGTCCGCGACCCTTGACCCACTCGCTCCCTTCGCTGTCCGGTTCGCCGAGGATCCGCTTGGCGACGATCCCTGCCTCGAGAGCTGCAGGTGGGTTGGTAGCCAGGTAGTGGACGTAGGGGATGTAGATTTTGGTGTACCCCATGTTCTCGCCAGCGGAAAGTACGGATGCCGAGCTACCGACGAGCGGGTCCTGAGACAAAGCAGGGAGCCGAAGACTCAGCTCCAGTTTCCCGCTCGACATGTTGAAGGCGAATTTGGTGATTTCACCGGTCGTTTCGAGCGGGTATGGGCGACACCAGGACTGCACGCCTCGCGCACCAAGCATGATGAGGGACGAGAGGTCCTGCGGGTCCATAGCTGGGAGGTCGTCGTCGCCGGCTAGGTCTGCAAAGCTAAAGAGGGAGAGGTCTTCGCCGTTCCAACCGTCCCCATACTCGTGGGTGTTGAGGGGTTCGTACGTCCACAGCGTGTAGGATAGGGCATTCGCGCCATCTGTTGATCAGCTCCGATGATATGAGGACCGAAGTAATACTTACCTCCAGCGCCAAGCAGTTGATCCATGGCCTGAAAAGTCAGCTCCGGCTCACAGCGCAACCTGAGGAAGACCACTCACCTTGGCCGGCTCATCATAATCTTCCCGCTTCAACTTGCCCTTCGTCAATCCCAACAATCCATTGTGCTTCTTCATATCCCACGGCGTCCCGATCTCGCCAATGATAGCTACCCTATCAGCCCTGCCCACATTCCCATCCTTGCGCAACTTACTCGGCCATTCCTGAGATGCATTCTTGCCTGCCATTCCGTCCGTATCGGCCGCATCGCTCGAAAGCTCATTCAGTTGTTTCTTGAAGTTGGCTCGGATACTGCTATCGCCGAAAGTGATAGCTCCAAGCATGCTCTTGAGTCCGCGCTGAATGCCGACCGCGTCCTAGGAGATCAGTGCGTGTCTTCAACAATCTGAACCCCTTTGGACTGACGGCATTGAAGAGATGTCTCCCTGAAGAGTCAGCTGCTGTCCACATTCAATGGTCGGAGAGCTCACGTTTGCCCATCATGGTGAGCCCGTCATAGTAGTGCGAGCTCAAAGCTGCTCGGTCGCCAATGTGCTCTTGAGTCAGATTGGGCGGCCGAGCAAAGATAGGCGGGTTGATCAGAGCGATGGCTTCAGGCTGATGCTGCTTGATTGCGCGGATGTACTCGATGTATGCAGCTGTGGCGATCAGTTCCGGCCCGATATGACCACAGCCAAACTCACGTTTCCAAAATTGGTCAATGAACTCGTATTCGCCCCCGCCGGGCTTGTTGACAAAGTAGTCCTTCTGCAAGACTTTACCGGAAGCCGGGTCCCACCTATACTATCAGCTGGGGCATGATTGCAGACGAAATGCAGGGACAGCTCACAATCCATGCCCAGCCCAGACGCAACCCCCCTTCCCTTCGTCCCAGAAAGACCACTCTGCCCCTCTCTTCCAGCCCCACTTTTGCGCCGCCTCGTCCGACTCGGCCTTGGTCAACCATAACCCCTGCCCGCCAGGCGGCGTGATGGTGACGGTGCCCTTCTTCTTCAGGCCTAGCGAGCCAAAGTCGGCATTCTCAATGTTGGACACGGACTGGCCTATACCGAGCTGGAACCCCTGAAGGGGTGTGGGGGAGGGTCCTTTTCTCCATGATCAGCGGGGCTGCGACTTGAACGCCGGAAGACGTACCTGAACGCCTGCGCTTCCGGAATAACGTTGAGGTCCGGGATCTCGATGAATCCCTCGTTGGGCTCGTTGATCGAGTCCCATCCAATCATGCTGTCGTCAAACAGATCGCCAGCTTCTTGTATCCGCTTGGCCAGACTGTGGTGTGAGCTGATGGATAAGATGGACACGGCAAAGGTAGCTTACTGCTCGTATGCGCCAACAAAGCGCTTCTGAAGCCAGTCACCAACAGGCTCGCCGTCTATCTGACATTTCGGCGCAAACGTACTGCTCGCCCAAAACATGGTGAAGCAGTGTCTGGCGGCAAGGCGTCCGGTATTGGCGTTCCAAATCACTGACCGTCAGCTACTGTAGGAGTAGACGTCGCTGCAAGGAAGCTCACTGTCGGGATACTCTCCCAGCTCTCCCTTCTCAGCCTCCCGCCTGCCCTCTTCTCCACCCGTACCCTCGGTCTTGTATTGGCTCTGCAGTACAGCCGCTCCCGTCTGATGTACCCGTCTCGGACTGATACCGCATGCTAAGAGTACCCAGTATGGCGCACCGGACCCGCCTGTGAAGCGTGAGAAGACGTCTTGGTGTGCAGAGATGACTGTAGGTCAGCATTAGGTCGGACGACGATGAGGTTGATTCACATATCCTGATCCCGTGGGACTTGGCTTTCCGCATCAGGCGGATCGTGTAGTCGATGTACTGCTCGTCATACTTTCCTCTGGCATGTCAGTTGAAATGGTCCGGACAGATCAGGAAACTCCAATTTACGGTCCCGCATGCTCCAACGCCTCCCAAGGGATGACCCATCGGATCGTCGTAAACCCCCACGCCGTCAATCGCTTGAAATGCACCTACTTCGTCAGCTCAACGTACACACGTCAGGACTCACATCTGCCTCTTCCTCCTTCAATGGCCTGCCGACAAACCAGCCGTCTCGCCCGCCCTGCTCCGCCTCCTCCCACCATCCACTATCCGCTGGAATATCAGTCCTCCACCCGGCTTCCTCCAACCTCGCCCGATCGCGCTCTTCCCGCGTGCCCGTAGCAGAAGGGGTAGACGGCGCGAATGGCGGGTACTTGGATGAAGAGGTGAGATTGACGCCGCGGAGGAGGACGGAAGGGGCCGGGAGGTTGGCCGAAGGAGGGGGAAGGAGGAAGTGACCGTGTGCAGTGGTCAGCTTCTGCAGGGGCGCGTGAGCGGCGGGACTGTGGTTGCGCGCCGCGGTGATAGCGACGGACTGGGCCGCGGCTATGGACTGAGCTTGAGCGGTGCTGGCCATGCTGAATGTAATGCGGATGGAAAGATTGGACGAAGGGCTCGATGCTTCTGTCTGACATCAGCGTTCCAGCGATCCGAAGCGGACAGCGCGGGGTGCACAGCGATCGTCCGCGTCAGGGCCTGGACCGATGACGTAAAAATAGCGTTTCAGGTTTCGCGGCAGTTTCGGCTGCGAACCATAGGGTTTGCGCTCTTAAGCGAGTAAAGATAACCCCATCGTAGTTACTATAAACAACTAAAGCCCAAAATACCCTCCGCTAGCACTCTCCCCAATTCCCATTCTCATCCTGGCAAAACTTGCTCCCATCCCCAGGCGCATCCCCGCCCATCCGTATTGGCGCATGCGAGTCGCACTTGTACCCGTGCAGATGTATCAGCGCAGACAGCGCGGCCTGATCTTGGCGATGATTGGAGCGGTTCGAGCCGAGGGGGGCAACGCATTCCCTCGTCATGACGCAGCTAATGTACTGCGAGTCAGCTTGGCAGAAGGTGGGCATACCGGTCGAATAATCTTGTTCATGGCGTCGAAATGCTGCGAGTTGACGGCCCACATGGCGCCATTGCAGTTGTTCTCGCCCATGATACTTGGCGGGAGGCTGAGGTATGCGACTGTACCGGGATGTGTCCACCTGACGTCAGCCAGCCCAAACTCAGACTTACAGATCGATAGGCCCGCCAACACTGATGGAGAACATTCCCAGATCCGCCACTTCCCGCCATGTCTGGGTAAAGTCTTCAGTGATTTCATTTCCAGCGTCCATCCAAAAGACCAACCCGCCATAATCCCGAATCACCTCTTCCACGATAACGCCTTTCCAGGCGTACTCGCCTCGGGCGCGCGTAACGTCCATCCAGTCGGGCCAGCGGGAAAAGTCGAATACGCGGATTTCGACGCCTTGCCATGCGGCGTAGGTCTCGGGGTCGACCATGACGTCGGAGGGAAGGATGTAGGCAATGTAGCGGGTGTGAGGGGATTGGTGAAGGGTGCGATACCATTGCTGCACGGTGTTTTGGTGATTGCCGGAAAAGGCGGTGACGATGGTTCTGCTGTCAGCTTGGTAGGGAAATCACTCACCTTGGGATATCTTCGATCTCGCGTGGGCTTGCAGGAAGCGTCGCAATGGTGTGTTTAGCCTCTGGCAGATCCATTATCGGCCCGGCGGATACGACCGAGTCGTTCCCTATTATCAGGCTACCAGGGACCGGTTTCCACTCTTCCTTGGTCTTGGTCGATACGGGGTAGAAGCCGCATGTATAATCGAAAGCAGCACCTCGCAGGCACATCTGTCATCAGGCCGGCTCGTTCAGGACTCACATCGACGTCTCCTAAACCTTCCACTTCCATGTCCGCGTCGAACCAGAGCAACTTTTCCGCCTTGCTCGCATCGTACATGATGGGCGATCTGAGCGCGACATCTCGGATCTCGATGTGAGGACTTGGCATGGAAATGTGGTCTTTCCGCTCCAGCTCGCCTTTGACATCGGTGAGCGACAGTTTGCCATCTTTGAATTGGGCATTGGCGGCTGCTTTGCCGGAGACGGCGAGTAGGGATGGGTCGGATTTGAGGCCGGTGAGGAGGATGCGGTCCCATCCGTACTCGTACTGCAGTCAGCTTAGTCCGCGAAGAAACCTACCACCTGATCGTTTGCGTTCAAGATGGCGATATGCTTTCCTTTCGCCTGGCTGATCCCGAGCGATATCGCCCCTGAGGTGGCGTTGATGGCCTTGTACCGGGTCAGTCCACGTCCGAGGCGATCTACCCGAGCGTCGAGGTGATGTTGCGCGAGGATGGCCGAGATCCGCTGAGATTGGTCCTTTGGCTCGGTAAAAACACCTGCGTCAGACTTGTCGACTTTTAGCTCACCTATCAGCTCATACGGCCCGACAGTCATCGCCAGTACCGCCCTCATCACATCTACTATCCCATGGTCATTCCCTCCCACCATCAGCACCACCGAAACGAGCTCGCGATGCTGGCTGACGGGTCCGAGCCCCAGGTCAGGCTTGACGAGTCCGGTCTGGGCGAGGAGAGCCTTGGTGTGTGACTCCGGCCGAGAGGCGTCATAACCGCCCAGACCGACAATGAGCGCGAGGACGAGGAGGGAGATGATGGTGGCTCGGCGGATGTTGCGAGAGGTTCGGGTGGGCGGGGTATGGCGGGGGGAAGTGCCGTCCGCGGGAAGCGGGGCATAGGCTGGAGTTGAAGAGCCGAACATCCTGGCCGTGATCACAGACTGACTTCCTATGCAAGATGGATTCTGACGAGGATATTGCCGGGCGGCCCTGCCTTTGTACCTGGTGGTGATCAATAGCTGGCTACCCAGGCCAGCCTTGGGACACGGTCAAAGCGATCTCAACTATCAAACTATTTTGAATTCAAAGCTCAAGGTGCCCCGTACCTCTTACCCGATCGGAGTCAGGCACCGGATGGCGCGCCTAAAACTAGCTTAGCTTACTTACGGCTTGAACACATTCGCGAGCCTATAAACACGATGAGCCAGGTTCCTTTTCGGGTCGCTCCAGCCAGCGATCTACCTTATATTAATTAGCCTGCCAACACGAAATCGACCTCTCTCTTTCTCCATCATTTCTCAATTGATTTGCTCACTTGAAAAGCGCTATAGCATCTAAGCTCCCAAGATAGACGGTTCCTCTTTTCTTGCATGCTGTAGTTTGATGCATAGCGTGCTTGAGGATTGGGCTCCTCACCACGCGTGGGGGGACTATTTACATTTACCACGCTTTCTAGCGTCTTCGGCCATCGGCCTTCGGTCATCGGTCGGCCGAGGAATGCACTTTTCCCGCCGCTGGGTGGCAACTTACTCATCAATGCAACACTGTACAGCTGCTACCACTGTAGATTTTTTGACAGGCTCTTTACTCTCAGCACCATCTCCTTGTACTACATGCTGCGTCCACAACGTGAGCGTCGGTCTCCCCAACGCTATAGCCCTCCCCCTCGCCCTGCCCTCTCTGCGGCTCGCCTTCAGGCCCAGCAGGCCAACTCTGAGCGGCGCAGAGACGCACGCAACAATATTAATATTGTCGGCGTTGACTTGCGGTACGATGGTCAATATGCCGCACCTCCTCCTAGGCCGCCCAGGCGTAGAAGAGCTTGTGAGTATGGTCACCGCTTATGAGGCGCTCGCTGAGAGATAGCCACCTCCCCCGCTCGATCACCCTCGCCCGCCAACCCTCAGCCCTCCCCCGCTCCCCGTACCCCTTCTCCACCCCCTGCTCGCTGACGCCGCTTGAACCCCCGTCTTTCCGTCGCACGGCGTCCTATTGTCGACAAGGCGGATGTACCAGAGCACTATCTTGGGCTTATGGATCGCGTCTGCCCGGCGTGTAATGCTTTGCATTACGAGGCTGAGAAGTCTGGGAAACCTCCTTCTGGCTCTCCGACACCTTTCAAGGAGTGCTGCTCATACGGCAAAGTGGACCTTGCCCCATTTCCCGAACCGCCTCCACGGTTAAGGATGCTCTATGACGTCAATGATCAACGTGAGTGCTTCCTTTGTGATCATGCGAGAACCAAGCTTACATTCAGGTGGTCGCGCGTTCCGCAGCCATATCCGTACCTTCAATAGCGGTTTCGCTTTTACATCGCTTGGGGTACATATGGATGCATGGGCGTATAAGCCTGGAGGTCCAAATGTGTTCAAAATCAACGGCCAGGTTCATCATCGGATAGGGTCTCTCCTCCCACGTCCTGGTGATGCTCCGCAATTCCTCCAGCTGTATCTCCATGGCAACTCCCCAGCCCAGCAGACAGCTCTCCGCCCCACCCTCAACGCCGAAGTCTGTCGTATCCTCTCAGAGGTTATGATTTCCCACAATCCCTACGTCCACCTCTTTACCCACAATCGCAACCGCCTCCGAACTGGGGCAGTTGATTTAAACATCCTCACGTTCGAGCCTTTCGCCTCTGACACCCGCCGGTATAATCGCCCGCGGGTCGACGAGGTCGCCGCTATCGTCAACACGGGCGACCCACTCACCTCAAACGTCCGTGATATCTTGGTGCGAGCGACAGACGGTCCCCTCTCCAACATTTCCGAATTTTCCAGCACCTACCTCCCCCTCCAATATCCCTTAATCCTCCCATATGGCACGCATGGTTGGTCGAAGGGGCTCAAGCTTGGAAGGTATCAGGGATACCTCAACGAGGTGAACAATGATTCTGGAATCTTTCCCATGGGCTGCGCCCCATATAAACGGTTAGTCTCTGCTATTTTTCGAAGTTGATGTAACTAACGTACAGACGAGGACTACTTTGACTACGTCCCCCTCAATCGCGAGATCCTCATCACTGCCATCGGTACCATTGGCACAGCAACGAGTAACTCCGAGGCGGTGATTACTGGTACGCAATATGGGGTAAGTCTTTGTATCCATCTCAAATTTATTTATCAGCAGGATACTGACCCCTCAGGCCGGTGTTCAGCATCCCTTCAAATTCAAAATCATGATCCCCCTCACCAAGCGCTGGGAACGGTTCCGTCTCCCCGCCCCTCCCGCGACCGTAGTCGTCAGGGGTCACCTCACCTCCCGCGAGCCCACCGGGATTTATGTCATTCGCGTTGACGATATCTCCATCCCCGATCCCAATGTCGCCACCCCTCCCTCCACTCCCGAAAAGCCTGAGCCGCCGAAGCGTAGGCGACGAAACCCGGCGAGCAACACCAGATCTCTCGCTGCAGACGATGCTCCCGAGGGCGCTCCCGAGGGCTCGGGCGGGGGTCCCTCTTCTACACCTGGGTAGTAGTTATATAGTATAATCATCACCATTTATAGTACATTCACTTAACATGCACGGTCCTTACATGGCTTCACCTCAAGCGGTTCTCTGGTGCCACATTCCTCGCGAATCTGCTTCCGCTCCAGTCATTTGCTCGCCCTCAGTGACGCCCGCCCCAGGGGGGCGGGCTTTCCTGCTAGTCCTTCTTACTTCTCTACTCGCACCATAAATCCTGACCTATCGACATCTCTGCATGGACAACACTGCACTTAGTACCCTCCTCAGACAAGTACTTCTGATAGCATCGAACCCACTGAGCAAGTGATTCCAAGCGACAAACGCCCCCTTCCTTTCCCTCGCACACAAGATGTCGGACGACCCTGCCTCCACCCCCTCCACCGCAGCCATCCTAGAAAATGTGCAGCAATTGACCGACATCGAAGCAGACCTTGCGGACACTGCTATGGCTGTAGCACTTGCTCCGTCTAGCGGAGTAGATGCAGGACCTGAGGCAAAGGCAGAAGTAGAGGCAGGAGCAGAGACCACGGAGCCAAACCCAGTCATCCAAAATGCAGAGGCAATGGAAGCGGTCCTTGAGCAGTCCATTCCAGAAGCACCCGCAGAGGCTACCGAGGTCGTCGTACAGCCTTCATCCGCTCTTCAAATCGACCCAAGCCTCATCGACCCCACCCTCTCCGTCGCCCCACCCCTGACCGATGTACCTTCCACGTCTCCCTCGGTCCAACATCCCCAGGATGCCGCACAAGAGCCCGTCGCACCCGTAGAAGCCCCCGCAGCCAATGGCGACGAAATAGTCATTGACGACGACGAGGGCGCAGCTCAGGCTTCCACCAAAGCCACCGAGGCCTCCACGCAGCCCCTCGAAAGCTCTGTCCCTGCGGTATCCCTACAAACGCCCGCTCCCGCAGCTGCCGCGGCCGAGCTCATCGGCGGTCCTCCCCTCCCCGAAGGACTGACTTCTGCTTCGCCGAGCGTCGCCTCCAACCCAGACATCATCCAGGACTGGCAAAGATGTGAGCTCTTCCTTCTAGCCTAAAGCTGACAGTAGACCCCTCCAATCCCCAAGTCCTACTAGCGCTGTTTGACTGGTCCATCCAGCGCTCAGAAATCATCGACGCTCGCGGCTGGTACGCCGCTATCGCCAAAGAAAACCCCACAGCTGTACGTGCTTACCTCTACTCTGCTGACTTCAGTCACAACCCCTCCTCGCCCTCATCAATCTCGAATCCTCCCTGACCAACTTTTCCCAAGTCGAAGTCCTCTTCGGCCAAGCCCTCAAAGGCCCGTCCGGCGGCATCACCGCCTCCGCCGACGTCAACATCTGGAAGGCGTACCTCCACTACATCAGGCGGCAGAACCCACTCGGCCTGGGCACGCCAGAAGAAGAGTCCAAGCGGCGGGTCATCACCGAGGCGTACGAGTTTGCACTCAAGCAGTGCGGAGTGGACAGGGAGGCAGGCGATATCTGGGGAGAGTACATTGCTTTCGTAGCAGATGCCAAGGTGGGTCGTACTGTGGCTGAGCTGATTTAGCCGAAAAACACTTGGGATACCCAAACCCAGCAGGATAGTCTGCGAAAGATCTACCAGCGGGCGATATGTATCCCGCTCAATAACGTCGAGGTGCTTTGGAAGGGATACGACGCGTTCGAGTCGAGCGTCAACAAGCAGACTGTGAGTTCTTTTAAGAGTGAGCTCACTTTAGTCCAAAAAATTCCTGGCGGAACGATCACCCGCCTATATGACGGCCCGCACGGCCCTCCGAGAACTTCGCAGCCTGACCGACGTCCTGCCTCACCCCATCATACCGCCCACACCGACATTCTCCGACAGCGACAGGCAACTCGTCAACAGCTGGAAGGCGTATCTCAAATGGGAAGAGGGGAATCCGCTCGTCATCGCCGACCCGGAAACTCTAGCCGGTCGGATTGGGTATGCCATGCGGAGATGTCTAGCCGAGATGCGGCACTTTCCAGAGTTGTGGTGAGTCATCAGCCACGAAACGGCTGACCTCAGGCATTACGCAGGAAATCACTATATCAAGGAGCAGAAGACCAACGAGGCGGCAGAAGTGCTCAACGCTGGCGTAGTCGCTTGTCCCAAAAGGTACCTCCCCAGCCGTCAGAGCTAACCCACAGTATCCTCCTCACATTTGCCACCGCCGAGATTGAAGAAGATCGCAAGCTCTTCTCCGAGGCCCACGCCCTCTTTACAAACCTCCTCGACCAGCTCGCACACGACATGGACGCGCTCAACGACCGGATCGCCCAAGAAGTCATTGCTGCCAAGGGGCCCGAAATCCCCCGGCCTGCAACAGACGGAATGGACATTGATGGTGAGGGGCCAATGGCGGTCTATAACCGGGTGATGGATGAGCGAGAAGAGCGGGGACGGCTTGTCAGTGAGCGGAGGGGGAAGGAAGCGGACGAGCTCCGGAATGCGATGGGCGTGGTTTGGGTCATGTATATGCGGTATGCCAGGCGGGCCGAGGTGAGCTATGGGTTTTGTGGGTCTCGGACAAAGCTCATGATGCAGGGGATCAAGGGCGCCCGAGCCATCTTTGCGAAAGCGCGCAAATCGCCTCATGTCACTTGGCATATTTACGAAGCTTCCGGTCAGTTCTGGTAGAAGCGCAGGCCTGACTTTGTAGCGCTCATGGAGTACCACGTCAACAAAGACTCGGGCGTCGCTATTCGGATATTCGAGCTCGGCTTCAAGCTCTTTTCGGACGACGTCGACTATGTCATCAAGTATCTCCAGTTCCTGCTGAATGTTAATGACGATACAAGTGGGTGCTGTCAACCTAGAAGTGATGTGCAGCGCTGATTGGGTAGATGCGCGAGCCCTGTTTGAGAGATCTACGCTCAAAATCCCGGCGGACAAGGCAAAGCCGCTCTGGGAGGCCTGGGCAAAGTACGAGTACATGTATGGTGATCTCGGTGCGGTACAAAAGTTGGAATCGAGATTCTCCGAGACCTTCCCAGGAGGTGAGCTACGCTTCCTGCAAGTAGACTCGATAGCTGTTATGCTAGATTCACCTTTGAAGCGCTTCGCCCAGCGATACACGTACAACGGGATGGATCAGATAGCCCGCCGCGACCTTGGCTTTGGCTCTCCCCGCCCACAGCCCGCCGCCGCACCGCAAGCACCTTTCCTTCCGCCTCCTGTACAAAACATGCCCCCGCCAACTATGGCAATCGCCCCCCCTCCGGCACAAACCATATCCCACCCGCTCCCCCCAGTCCCGGCCCAGGCGTCCATCTCGCCCGTCATCAAACGGCCCCTCTCGCCCCCTCGACCCCGCCGCTCGATCGAGCGCTCGCACTCCCCATCTCGGAATGGGAACGGCGATTTCGGCGGCAACAAGCGATATCGCCCCAACTCGCCTCCCCCGCCCAGACGCTTCGATCCGGGACCTATCGCACCGCCCGCCAAGGGTCGAGGATATCTGCCGCCACCTGGAGGAGACCGTCCGCCTGTACACATGGGGCCCGGCCCGGGACCGGGGTATGGTGGTGCCCCTCCAAGACATGCCAGTGGGAATGGGATCCCGCCCCCTCCTGGAGGGTACGGCGGTCCCGGGCCTATGCCGCCCAGAGACGGATGGGATCGGTCAGGCGTCAGCAAGGGAGTCGCGTGGTTTGTCGGGCAGCTGCCTACTGCTAGGTCGTTCGATGGTGAGTCCAACCTTGAGTAAAGCTCACCAAGTAGGACCCGTGTTTAGGCCCGACGACATTATGGGCCTGTTCTCGAATATTGGACCGGATGGGTTGAGGCTGCCTGGTGGAGGTCCGGGGCCGGCGGGTTCGGGATATGGGCCGCCCATGGGCGGTGGAAATGGGTATGCTGAGCGTGAGTACCGCTCATACCTATACAGGGTTGAGTCAGGCTGACGTCCAGCGCCTCGTGGATATGGTGGAGGACCCCCTCCCAGACGCTACTAGATGCGAGAATAAAGGGTGATCAAGTGAGGATCATATAGTAGCTAGTGAAGCAGACCAGAAGCAAGACGAAATTCCATGCACCATGTCATTCATAGATACCTATCTACCTCCAGCACTCGTGCCGTCTCCTCAAAACAGCCTGCAACTCTGCCCTATCCATCCCCTTGCCCCCGCCCTCTCACAAAACAGCTTCAGACTCTCCTCCCCATCCGACCACCCCGCGCAACAAGAAATTGCGTGCACCATGTCATTCATAGATCTACCTATCTCCAGCACTCGTTCCGTCTCCTCAAAACAGCCTGCAGCTCTTGTCTATCCATCCCCTTCACACCTGCCCTCTCGCAAAACAGCCTCAGACTCTCCTCCCCATCCGACCAACCCGCCGCCATACCCTGACTAAACGTCGGCGTCTTGTCCTCCCCTTTCCCCTCTGCCGTCGGAAGCGCCAATACCGTGATCCTATCCAGGATAGCCTTCCACGGCACCTCACTCCCTCTCGCTACTAGTCCGCCCGCATCCCGCAACACCTCCGCCGAGGCGGATACAAAGTCTGTCATCTCGCTCCGGAGCTCCGATGCGCCAGTCAGACTGAATTTGGACCAGCCAGAGTAGATGGCGCGCTGGGTGATGTGGTTGGCGAGGTGGGAGACTATACGGCGGTAAAGGCGTGACAGGGGGACAGGTGGAAGATCCGCGGCGAGCGCGCGGAGGTGCAGCGTGTAGGTGGTCAGCGCCGAGAGGAGGTGCGGGGACGGCGGGGAGGCATCGCCGGGTGTCTGGTCCCATCGTCTAGAAAATGAGCTGGATCTCGTGCACTTTAGACGTACCGCTTCAGATGCTCCTTGAGCTCTTGCTCCACCTCACTAGTCACCAGCCTGACAATCATATCTTCCGACCGCTCACACACCGCCTCGTACTTTTCAATCAGGACGTCAAAGACCGATACGTCCACTTCGTCCTTGCCGCACTCCTTGATTTCAGACGGAAGAAGCGGATCCTGTATCTTCCATTGTGTCTCTTCCGACATCCTCAACTCCGCCGAAAGCTCGACAAAGAACTAAACGTCAGATTGAACGTCTTGCCGACTTACCGTCTCGTCCGCCCAACCTTTCATGGCCTGCACGACCCACTCGGCCGACAAATTCGCCTTGATGAGCCTCCCGAGCCCAGCCTCACCACTCGTCAATTGCGCCTGGTCAAAGTGCACCCCAGACCGCGTCCCACCAGACAGGGCGCCGGGAATATGGCGGGCAAAAGCCGACGAGAGGCTTTCGAACGCGTCAAGCGAGCCGTTGATACGCTGATGATACGTGAGGAGCGTGGGAAGCTGGATTTGCAGGAGGAACGGGTAGCGGTGTACCAGGGCGGGAAGGGGCGAGTAGCGGTCTGGGTCTTAGCTCGGCCGCCAGTCTAGCTCACCGGTGACTTGTTCGATGAGAGCTTTGATCTGCCGAGAGCTCGTGGAAGGCTTCCGCCCCGAGGCAGTCTCGTCCTCCTCCATCGCCTCATCGCTGATGTTCCACGCTTCAGGTGATGAAATGATGCTGTGAAGCTGAGAATCGACGACTTCCATCAGCTCGGTCGTCCCCAATTGGACTCACACTTCTTCTCTCCCACGAGCCATTTCTCAAACCACCCCTCCTCCCTCAGAATCACTCCAGTCAGTCCTTCCCATCTCTCCTCTGCGCCGCCAGCCGACGTGCCTGACAGCACAAATCCGCCCTCCCGAACAGCGTCATCGAACAACACCGTCTGGTACACCGTATGCGCTAGCAGAGCCGGCCTGTCGAGTAAGAGCGGTATCCTCTGCCGAAGCAGATCGAGGATGGTAGGAAAGAGAGCAAGGATGAATTCGGATCGGACGTCCACCTCCGAATACCCAGATCGGGCGGTAAGGGGCTGCAGGATAGAGAGGAGGAAAGGGGTATGCTCGTATATCTGGTCGAGGATGTTTGCAAATGCCCATTCAGGCTGGTGGTCAGTGTTGGTGAGAAGATGGACGTACCTTGTCGATCCGATTTGTAGTCTTTGAGCCTTGAAAGTGATATTTGAAGCGGAGCGCGATAGGCTTGATCATCGCTTGCAGCGAGTAGAGGGCTTCTCCTGAAGACCAGGCAAGGGTAGATGGACCATGTAAGTTCTCGCCCCTGGCTGTCAGATACTGCTCTTTAGGGTGTACTCACTCTACTTGCAAGTATAGCAGGTCGCTATACGCCCGCTCAAACCGCCGGCGCTCGTCCATAGATAGAGAAGTGTATTGGACCTTTGACGGCCACTTGATAGCCTCACAGGCGTCCAAGAGGTTTCTGCGATCAGCTTGGGACCTTTGGAAGATCTCGAAGCTTACTTGGACAACACCTCTCTCAGGCCGTTCCACGTCGATTCTCTCACGCCGGTAATAACGCCCAGCACAGCCATGCTGGATGGCAGGCGCTGAGTCAACGACTCGATCAAGGAGTGGAGCTCTCGGTACCGCGGCAAGGCAGCGAGCGGGGAAGGGTGGTGCGAGGCTGGCGAGAGGATCTGCTCGCTTCCATCAGCTCAGACCTTATTGACGAACATACCTCAGACGCAAGACCTGCTCCATGATACTAGCCCAAGCCAGCCCAGCTTCCAACCTCGCCAGCTCAGCTTGCATCTCTTCCATCTGCACCAACAACGTCTGCCCATCCGCCTCATCCTCCGAAGCGTTCAACTCGGTAATCAAGTAAGATAACTTGTCGACCACCGTATACCGCTCGACCGACAATTCCGAAGCGGACGAGAGGAACGTCTGGAGCTTTGTATGTGTTTCTTCCAAGAGCTGTGGAAGGCTTGCGCTCGTCGACTCTAGCTATCCGGATCAGCTCGCGCCATCGAATTGAGCTCACATCTCTCGCCGCGGCAGCCTCGTCCCGCTCCCAGTGATCAACCTCCTCCTTGACGGTCCTCTTCCGCTTCCCATACCTCCCTCCTGCACTGGAGGCATGGTTACTCGGACCCGCATGGCCGAGCACAAAGTCCAGGTCGTGGAAAGACCGGTCCAGATGGTGTCGAACCTCGAGGTCCAGCGTGCCAGAGGGGACGGTACGAGAGGCTGAGTGGACCTGTTCGGCGAGAGTTGAGGCCGACATCTCGGCTGGTCTCAGGAGTATCGAGCCGCCTGAGTTCAGGACGTTTGGTATATGAGGTAGAAGAGCGTTTGCATTATGGCCTCTGTCTCTCTGCGGCTATCAACCGTGCCTGAATACTTACGGCATCGCTACAGCGAACCATCATGACCAGCTTCAAGATTTCCAGCAGCTCTAGATCTTTCCATCGTCTACCTGCTTGACTGCCACCGTGCCTCTACCGCTACATCCATATCCTACGATCATCAGCTATCATGGTTCAGCCAGCATCAGCCAACAAGAACATCTGGGTAGCAGCCTCAGACGGCGATATCACGCGGGTCAAGGTATGTCCCTCCCTCCACTTTGACTTTGACTTCCCCGCTGATCAACCAGCACCTGATCGAGGTCGAGGGTCTATCGCCCAATATCAAAGACTCCAATTCCTACACGCCAATGTACGCCCTCCGAGCCCCATTGATGCCGCGATCCAGGCGCTGATCAGCAGGCACGCCGCCGCATCCTACCACCACTTCGAGCTCCTCGAGTACCTCTTGTCAGTAGGCGGAGACATCAACATTCCCGATGCAGAAGGCGAGACCCCGCTCTTCACGGTCGAAGGGGTAGAGGCGGCGCGATGGTTGGTGGACCATGGGGCGGACGTGGCGGCGGAGAACGATGATGGGCAGACAGTAAATTGTCTTCCCTCTATTTCACTTGACATTTAACATGCAGGACGAGCTGATAACCAGGCGGCAGACTACCTAGAAGACGACCACCCAGAAATAGCAGCCTACCTCCGTTCCATGCCTTCCGGCGGTGTGCCACCAGCAGCAGACGGGGCAGCAGCAGTCGATGCCCGTGCCGAGAGAATAGCAGATATGGAGGCGGACGAGCTCATGCTGGAGGCGCAGGCGATCATGGAGGAAGCGCAGCGGACGGGCGAGGATCCAGAGGGGAGATTAAGAGGGATAGTGGAGCAGGCTGTCAATCGGGGCATAGCTGCAGCGGGTGGGGCCGAGGGGGGCGCAGAAGCGGAAGAGGCAAGAAAACGCACGAGGATGGACGGGATGGACGACTAAAAACCTTGCAGCCAGAATCTGATCCATATTCACAAGACATGTATAATCTATCGGAAAACCGTAACCCCCTCTCCCCGTATCTTCATCGCCTATTGCCCCGCCAACAGATGCTCCAGCGCATCCACCACCTCCTCCGGACACGTGACGTGCCACCCCGCCAGCGTCTTTTTCGCTGCAGGCCCCACCGTCGTCGCAAAAATGCCTTCTGGCTTGACCATCAACTCGACGTCCGGCAGCTCTGCCACCTCCTCGGGCTCCAACGCCGACGTGACCGCCACGGGCGGACGGAGGACGTTGGGGCCGTTCGAGATGCCGCCGGGGGGGAAGACGGTCCGGAGGGATCTAAACATATCTTCGTCCGTCTTGTCGTCGCCTGCGCAAAAGATAAAGTCGGCGTCGGGGTTTTCGTACATGAGCCGTCGGACGATCTCGCCCTTGTTGACGGCGAGCGGGCGGACTTCGAGGTTCTTCTTACCGACCAGGACTGACATCAGCTACACCCCTTGGGATAGACTCACCCTCGATGGGCCGCTTGGGCGCGAGGGAACTCTCGAGCAAGTCCAAGGCCTGCTTGCACTGGAACTCGCCGAACGTGGGGTCGGAATTCCGGTAGTGCCAAGTAATAGACGCCTTCTTGACTTCGATCGTGCTTCCTTGTGTGCGCTAGACATCAGCTCAATCCCTTTCAACGTTGGACTTACCTCCATGTAATACCTGAAAATCTCCTCCACCTCCGACATCCAGCTCATATCCAGCGTTTCCGTCATATTCACAAACTCCTCATCCTCTGGCCCCCTCACAAAGCTTCCGTGCTCCGCCGACAGCCCCAGATCCTGCACATGACCCCAGTGCTGTTCGAGGAAATCCCCATCACGCCCCGAGATGAGGTAAACGACATTCTTGGGATCCTGCGCGAGGGTAGAAATGGCATGCAGGGTGCGTTCGGTAGGGACGGCCGCAGCTGGGTTTTTGACGATCGGCGTGAGTGTTCCCTTGTCATCAGCCAAACCCCAGGTTCAACTCACGTCATAGTCAAACAGCATCAACCGCTTCTTGGCGCCAGCGTACGCCGACGTCAACTTGGCAGTATCAAGATACGGCGTCTGGTGCGCCTGGTGCTCCCCGCCAACATTCTCCAGGAGCTGCTTGAGAACCGTAGCTGCCCAAGTATGGCTGGTGTGCCCGATGATCGAGTCGTGGAGGGTATCGTGCCGTTCCTCCTTTTCTTCCGTCGACATGCCCAATCCCTTGTTGATCGCCTCGGCGACCATGAGGAGGTCGTGTGGGTTGATCTGAAGCGCCTGAGAAAAGGACGCGACCGTGCCCATAAACTCGGAAAGGACGAGGGGCGACTTGGTGGTCTTTTCCTGACACAGAATAAACTCCATCGAGGTGGTGTTCATTCCGTCCCGGAGCGACGTGATGAGTGCGAGGTCCGCTACCGAGAGGAGACCAAAGTATTCGTCCCTGTCGATCGCTTGGTGGCTACGGTCAGCGCGTCCTACATCAAACTTACTAATGGTGAACAGGGGTAAAGTCCAACGACCCGTACGTCCCGTTGATGTGGCTGACGAGTTCCGCACACATTCGCTCGAGCTTGGGGCTCTCGCTAAGCGCCGGCGTCGTCACTTGAATCAACACCACCTTGCCCCTCCACTCCGGGTACACCTCGAGGAACTTTTCAAACGCCTGCAACTTGTTGTAGACGCCCTTGGCAACGTCCAGCTTCTCCCTGCCGACAATGATCTTCTTGTCGCCATAGAGGGTACGAAGAGCAGCCGCCTTGGGGGCGACACCGGGCGAGTCGCGCTCCTTGCGGACCCGCTCGACGTCAATCCCGATAGGACAGTATCCCACCGCCGTGACCGAGCCGTTGGCGTCGACACCGCCGGGGGTGGATTCGAAACCGCAGACCCGGATACAGGTCGAGACGAAATGACGCGAGTACGAGTAGGTCTGGAAGCAGACGAGGTTGGCCCCGAGCATCCCTTCGAGGATTTCCTTGCGGGCTAAAGTCAGCCACGTTACACCTAGACTTACTTGGGAGACACCGGAAGATCTCGGACGAGGGCCATGGGGTATGAACAAACATCCCAATCATAATCTCAGCCGGCTCCTTCCCCTGACTACCCTGGCTCTGGTTCATGCCGAGCGCGTGCCCGACCTGACCCAGCAGACTCCCTACTGCCGCCTTGGCGCCATCCTTGGTCGGCGTCGAGTCCCAGTCCATCTTCTTCTTTTCGACCGCCGGGGTAGGCGCGGCACTGGCGGACCAGCCGCCACCAGGAACAGACACCTGTCCGAGGGCCTCCCGAATCATCTTGGGCGCAAGGAGGAGATGGTAGTCGTGGACGACGATAAGATCGCCTGGGCGGTAGATCTCGGCGACTTTTTGGGCAAAGAGGGAGTTGGTCTTGGAGTAGGCGATCCATGAGGGGTCGGGAGCCGGGACGGTAGCGGTCGAGTCGAGCCAGAGGAGGTAGTGGAACAAGGGCCAGAGCGCTATCATCAGCTCAGTCAACGCCCTACTCACTCTTCTTGCAGAATCCCTCATAGTGCCCCTTGCTGACGTCTGGCGGGAGGAATACCGGGATATAAGTCAATCCCCCCTCTTCCCGCTTCGTCTCGACCTCCCCAAACCGCTTCAACTCCCCCTCGAGCTCCTTCTTCTCCTCCTCGCTAAACTCGCCGCCAAACACCCTCAACGGCTTGGGCTGCTGCGCGGCGGGGTTCCTCGGCGTAGGCGTCGTAGGGGTCGGCGCGTCCTCGCTGAACCGCTGAGCAATAGATTGGAACTTGCTCTCGGACGGGAGCTGGGGAGTCGGCTGCGACTGCGACTGAAGGAGCACGTCACCCGTCCAAGCAACAACGAACTGCTCGTGCGTCTCGGACAGACTCTTCATTCCCGAGATCAACGCCGGGTGAGCCGTCCGCGCGTGGATCTTCCACTTGGAGTCCGAGCTCTCGACGGTAGGGATGACGTCCTCGTTCTTAAACTCGGGGGTCATGGGGTGGGTGTAGGTGGCAGAGGGCTCAAATTCCTCGGTGACGACCTTGATGATCTCGACGGGGAGGTGGTGGCAGACATGGATGATGCGGCCGGAAAGGTTGACGCCCTTGGCCTTGTGTGAGGCTTCGAGGCGTTGAACGTGCTCGCGAAGGTCGGGGAGGGAGGGAGGGGGAACCGGGTCGGGGTCGGGGATCATCGAGTCCATGGTGGATGGAGTGGGAGGAGGGTGGACTGGGGTGTCAGATATAAGGTGACACTGGGAAACGTTTGTGATGGAGAAAGGAAGCGAGAAGTGAGGCAAAGCTAGCCCCTCCCTGAGCCTGGGAACGTGCAAATGGTAACTTGTTGCGGTGTAGACTTACAGTGAGGGAAAGTTCGCAGCTGGGGCTGCGAGCTAGGGATGGGTCGTTTGCTTCAGCAAGTGAGAGAGGAGAAGACAGTCAGTTATCTTTGCGCTCGGTCGCGACTCTTTTCCCCATACCAACCATCCACAACGTGTCATGCAATTGCTATCTAAACTACCCAAAGTAGCTTTCCAATTGATTAGCATGATGTCATTCGTGCCTGGATAGCCTAATTCCGAAATAACTCAGCCAGTTGATTCTTGTAACGCCGCATATCTCCGTACCCCAACTGTGCATCTGCAGAATCCCCGCACCTTTCCGCACCGTTCCGCACCTTCTCGCCATCTGCAGAACCATGTTTACGCTTTCCCTATCGGATCCATCTGCAAGCGCGTATGCTGCCAAAGACGGTTGAATAGGTGGTGATCAGACCCTATCCCGAGCACTCACAAAGCTCTTCGTGCTAATTAGCGGCCTAGAGGACGCTGATAGCACCCCATGCATCGATCGATAAGGAGCGACTGACGCAAAGGCCCATGCAAGCTGAAACTCAAACCTGTCCGCACACACACATCAAGCACACAGCTAACAAAGGGTCCCGTGCGCAGTACCCGATGCGGCCTGATACTCACCAAAGGACCCCCTCCGAGTCAGCATAGCCGGATGCGTCCAGCGCCCCCATCGACGGTCAAGCCGGTCGAGTCGACGCTGGGTACCTATTGTCCTCTCACTTCTCACCTCACCCCCCCTGATCAGACAACATGTCCCGAACACAGGTACAGCGCCCGCAGTCCAACCTCGACTTTGAACACGCGTATCATCAGTACAATAGGGTCCAGAACGATGATCCGATCAACGAGTACATGTACCAGATGCCCATTGTTGCGGACAATGGGCGCACTGTAGGGAGGGAGAGGGGGGACGGGGACGGAGATGCCTACGCTACAACGCAGTCCCAAGCCCTTGAGTAAGTGACAAGTCCGTCTTTTGTTCGGCTCGTGAAAAGAAGGCGTGCTGTGTGGAGGACAAAAGAGGGTTCCGCCCTCCCCATCGGAGATACACCTTGCTGACACCATAGCCTTCGAGCCTTGAATCAGCGTCTACAAGTACTCGGTCTCAGCCCCCATATCTCGAACGAATCACTTCTCGAGCAACAGCCCCATCCCGCCGCTCTAGGCTCTGCATTCAAAACCAATCCCATCACGCCTCTCCGCCCCTTCTCTCCGCCCGAAACGTCCCGGTCCTACACTCAGCCCCCGCAGGAAGGGTATCAGCCCTTCTACCCTCCCTTCGAGTATCAGAGCCAGAGCCAGCAACACTCGGCCCAGGGCCAGGTATTCTCGCCGCCCCTCAAACCGCCCACAGCGGTGGATCTCCACCCCTCCGACTCCCTTTCGCAAATGTACCGTCCGTATCGCGGCCCGGTCGAGTCGGTGCGGTCCCAGCGAAGGACGCAGCGCGGGGGTACCAATGTCGACGGTCAGGACGTCGACGATTACGAGCACAACTCTTCTTGGGAGACGAGGCATGCGCCGCCGAGCGATGCGCCCAGCTTGGAGGAGATGACTATGGGGAGAACGGAGTGGGCCAATGATACCATGTAAGCCGTCCTTTCCAAGCTTTGATCTAGCTGACCGTTAGGGGCGGAGACATGCTGGACATGCGCGACCGACTCATCCACAACAAACAGGCCCAAGAAGCACACGAAGCCGCCGCCATCAACGCCCACATTGCCGACGCATCCACCCTCGCTGCGGCGCTCACCAAGCTCGAAGTCACGCAGGACCAGCTCCGGACTCTCCAGGCCACGCTCATCGCTGAGCGGGTGGCGCGGACGCAGATGGAGCGGAGGAGCCACGAGGGCGAGGATGATGTGAGGGACGTCAAGAACGAGCTGGCGGGGGCGGTCAGGGCGTTACGGAGGGCAAGAGAGGAGGCGAAGCGGAATGAAGAGGAGAAGAGGAGGCTGGCAAAGTGCTTCGAGGAGACCAAAGTTCAGTAAGTTGTCGCTTCTGTGAATTCCCGGGCTCAGCTGACTGATAGGCTCTACAAGTATCACGAGGAGCTGCGAGTTCGGGACGCGCGGTCCAAGGGGAGAGAAGAAGGGAGGGCGGAGGTGAGCTACCCTATTCATCCCTTGTGAGGTTGTAGCTGACCAGCAGGCATGGCAAGAAGCAGAACGATGGATGGGCCAAGCCCCTCCTATCCCGATCGACCCAATTCATTCCGTTCCCCAGGCAGTATTTCGTCAGACCCCCATGACCGCGCCGACCGGCCTTCCCCAAGGCCAAGCTCACGCCGGCGGACAAGACGGCCAGGCGCCGTTTCAGCAGCATCCGGGCGACAACTTCATGATCCCGCACGTCCAATCCCCTCCGTCCATGCTCCAACAGTCGCACGGTCAGCCCCACACGCAGCAGTCCCAGCCATCTCAACATGTCGAGCAGCAGCAGTATCAGCCTCCTCCCCCTTCGACGTATACCCAGCCCCAGCCGGCCGGGCAGCAGGGTATCCCGATGATGATGCCTCCGGCTCCAGCTCCGGGCGGGATGATGCAGCAGACGGTCTATCAGCCGATGATGGTCCCCATCGCTGTCCCTCAGCCACATACCCAGCAGCAGCAGCCCATCCCGACCTTCCCCGCCCAGCCCCCTCATTCTCAAAATATTCCCCGCTCGGCTCCCCATCGGCTCAACCAGCTCCCTCCGCACTCTCAGGCCAACTCGCACTCGCATGCCCACCCTCCGCGCGCCGCTACTGTCATCAGCCGGACCCCACAAAACCCCTACCCCCCTCGCCTGCCACTCGGCTCACACCAGCGTAGCGTCACTATCGGATCCGCTTCACTCCATCCTCCTGCACCAGGCTCGATGCCTCCGCAGCATCAAGCAGCCGAGTCATATCTCGACCGAGCGGACCACGACCCGCACGTCCAACAGATGCTGCACGACACCCACAGCAAGACCATTCACACCTCGGCATCCTCGGATCGTCCTCAGACCGCTCGGTCCGTCTTGGCGCCGGTGGACAAGCCCCTCCCCACGCCGGGTGGCGGTCACGCCAATGTCGGCCGGAGTCAGACACACACGACTCGTCCTTCTCGAGCGGGCACGATGGCGTCTGGCAAGCCCAAGCCACAGCGGTACTCCTTGCTCGAAGAGCTACACGGGCATAAGCGAAACGAGAGTACGCTGCATGGCGAGGATCGGTATCCCGCTTTCCCGCATCAAAAGCAGCAACATCTGAGGGATCACTCGAGGAATAACAGCTTTGATTCGATCAACCCCGCTGGGATTGCTCTTCCCCAGTAGGTCATCAAGCCTTGGCTGAGCAGAGTATAGCTGACGTCCAGCTCGACTGCCGGGAGTTTGATGAACACCCCTCGGTCAAGAGCGACGAGTCGGCGATCCAAGGTGGCGGGTGCGCTGAGGGGCGGAACAGAGATTGAGGACTTGTCGGATATCGCTGAAGATGAGCGGGAGCGTGAAGCGCGAGTGAGCTGTGCCGCCTTGATTTCAGTGGGCAGAAGCTGACAGTGCAGCGATCTTTCCAGGCGAATCAGCAGCAGCAGGCCCAGCAACATCAGCAGCAGCAGAATATGGCATACCAGCAAGCCCAATCTGATCGGGCGGGCCCAGCTCCTCAGCAGCGACCCCACCCCAAGCAGAACTATGCGCCTTCCATGCCGCCTATGCGAGGCCGTCCTACCGTAAGTCTCTCCTCACAAGGCGCTGAGCTTCAGCTGATCTCCAGCCCCGCATGCCTCAGCAGCTCGGCGCGGGCGATAAAGCCCCTTCCGAGCCACACATCCAGCCCCTTCATGCCAAACACGGCCTCGCCAACTTCTTCCACCGGCACACGCACCACCAAGACCAAGCACAAGCGGACGACCGGCAGGCCGCCATGTTTGCGCGCATGCCCGATGTCGACCGCTCCACCAAGCCCAAAGGTGCACACGACCTGTACGTTCCGCCCGGCATGGCACCGCTGGCGGTCCACGGCTCTGTCATGGATATCCAAGGTCCGAGGACGTCCGCGCTAGGCCTGGAGGGGCTGGGAGACCAGGCGGAGCATCGGCATCATGGCTCTGCGGGAACGGGAACGGGGGTCAGGGGCCGGTCCAGGTCTGGAACGATGGAGTCGGGCAAGGCGCCAACGGTACGTCCGAGAAAGAGCTGGTATGCCTAAGGAAATCAAGTTGATGTGAGTTAGATCAATATTCAGCCTCCCGTGCGTCCCTCTTTCTTCTTTCGGGGTTTAGCTGATGACCTAGTCCTCCCAGAACAAGTCACGACCCGATACGAACATCCCTTCTCCCTCTTCCCGAGCCCTTCAACCCAAGACTCCCACTCAAACCCGGTCCAACATCCCCCGTGCGCCCGTTAAGCGCATTGACGCGCACTCACCTACCAAGCGCCAAACTACCATCATCACCGAGTACTACGAACCCCACGCCACCCCTCTTCCCGCATCTCGCCCACATGCGCCCACAGCCTACTCGGGCTTCTCGCCCGACCGCGTCCTCTCCCCGCCGGATATGAGCTCGGGCGATAACATGCCGAGTATCAGCGTGATTGATTATGCTCTCCGGCAGGCGCTGCCGGGCAGTCGCCCGACGACTATTATGAGCGTCATGCCTCCCAGAGTCACCGTTGCTGTACGTTCGCGATCCTCTCTGGCGTGGATTGGAGCTGATCGATAGAGCGAACCAGACATCGACGAGCCGAGCCGCAAGCCTACAACACCTGCAGGAAAGCAGCAGAAGCGTAAGCCGACGTTGACGATCTACGGGCATAACACCGGCCATGTCGACCCTCGTCAGGTCCCCTTACCTGCTTCTCGAGCGCCAACTCACCGGCCCGGGACATCGAGTGAGTGGACGAGCTTGGCATTCTTTGGTGGTAGAAGGGAAAAGGCTGACTATTACAGCTTACGCAGGGACGGTAGCTACCATCGATGAGGTCACCGAGGAAGAGAGCGCCAAGGAGAACAGGCGGCCGAGGAGGTAGATCTCGCTCGGAGTGGGGTGTGGATCTGGTGATTTCAGGGTGAAGAATCTATCTGGACGGGGAATATCTAGAGCAGAAAGACATGCAGCATATACGATACTTGACACGTTTTATGTGTGGCAGTACCGGTGTGGGATGAAGCCTCAAGGTAAATGGCAAAAGTAGCATCAAAGGTATATAAGCTAAATCGAAAGTCGAAGGTAGAACAAGGCAAATGATCAGAACAAGTACAACTACAACCGAGCCCTACTTCCCGCTCACGTCCACACCATCTGCGCCTCCTGACCCATGATCGGGCTCGGCATAGGACTCGCAAACCTACTCCCCGCACCGCCCATCGCCGGACTCTTCAAGCTATCCAACCGCCATTCCGCGCGCAGTCGGCCGTAAACCGCCCGGAAGGCAGAAAGGGCGCCCTTCTCCTGCACCATCGTCATGCTCGTTGTGATTTGTTGGTGGCTGTCGCGGTTGCGGCCGGTGTTGAGTGTGGAGCGGGGGGAGGGGGGTGCGGTGGTACTTGCGCTGGCGGAGCCGGAGGAGGAACCGGTGTAGGAGCCTTGGCGCTCGATACGGGGAGAGCGGGGGGCGGCGGTCGTCCATGTGCTATGGGGGAGGAACTCGATGCGGAAGCGGACTTGCTTGGAGACAATGATACCTGAGATATCTGATTTGTAAGCCTGTGAACGAACGGCGGTTGGGAGACTCAATGCTCACCTCTTATCTCGTCAACGCGGCACTTGAGAATACCCCAGCCGTCCGCATCCTCGACGACGACGCTGGCCCCAAAGCTCTCGAGCAGCTTGACGCACTCCGCACGGGACGAGGCGCAATCATCAGCCGAGATGAGCGTGAATGTCTGACAGTCAGCTCGACAATAGGCATCGCGAGAGGAGCAGAAACTTACCGCAGGCTTCCAGCTGAAGAGATTGGAGAACCAGCTGTGTTTGGCGTCATGGCTCGGACCGACAATGAGAGGGGAACCAGGTATGGACGTGAGATGCGGAGTGCCGAGGTATGGGGAGCCAGTGGGCGAGAGAAGCTGATCAGGTACCATAGCCTTGGGCGAGAGGTCGAGCGGAGCCGCTGAGTTTGTTAGCTACTGATCTCGTATATAGAGGGAGCGAGTAAGTCACGCTTAGTCTTGCGCTTCATCTGACTGCCGCTCGAAGAGGTCACGCTCTTCCCGCTGACTTTCCGCTCCTTGCTCTGGCTGACTCGACGGACGGGTGTTGGGAGGTTCTCGATGGGCCGGACGTTATCCCTATCGCTCGCATCGCCGAGGTATGACCGCCGTCGCCCAGGATCCTGGCGGAGCGTTGGGGCAGGGACAGGAGGCAGATCCGTCTGTGCACGAGTAGGCAGGGGACGCCGTGCGGGCGGCTGAGGTGGTGTCGATAGTGTCTGGTATGGAGGCTGAGCAACCGATCCCTCCATGTCGACGTCCATCGACTCGCGCCCCATCTGCACGGGAGAAGGCATGAGCTCGTCCTGGACCAAAGTGGGCGTTGGGGCGGGCGTCTCGATAGCAATGCTAGACCGGGGACTGACGGACCCGATGAGCTGTAGCTGCTCGGCAATGTCGTGGAAGAACTTCTGGAGCGCCGCGTCCTGGACCTTGGGGACCGAGATGGAGCCGATAGGTGGGGAGCCGGTCATGCCAGTGGCAGCGGCGCGCTCGGCAGCGGGAGCAGGCGAAGGGGTGGAAGGCTGAGATGGCTGGACGGGCATGTTGAGACCGAGACCTGCAGCGAGAGGTGTATCGTTCTGCGGCGTAGGGACCTGGACGAGGATTTTGGGCAGACGAGGGTTGACAGCGTACGTCGCCGGGGTGGGGGACATGGGATTGGCAGGCTGGACGACGGGCTGTGCGGGTGTACGGGGAGAGTCGGCCTCGGTGACCTCGCGTTGCTGCACGAGCCGGATGGTCGACTTGGTGGGAGCGTCAGGATGGGGAGAGGCAGCCGGGGAGGCACCGCGGCTTGGAGGACGAGGACCAATGACGTTCCGCCTGGAGGGAGTCATGGGTGACTTACCAGGAGCGGGAGGCGCAGGACGACTGGCCGTCTTGGGCGTGATATTCTCCTTGTCCTTCTCGCGATGCTCCCGGTGAGGCTTCTTGACGTGGGTGGGTACCACGGCAGAGACGGAACCACGGCGAGAGTGGACCCGGCGCTCGCCTCGGCTGGACGAGTGCTCCTTGATGCGCTTCTTCTCTATCGCGCCGGTAGTAGAGTGACGGCGGACGTCGGCAGGGGGGAGGTTGATGGCTTGTTGGATGATGGGGTGAGAGTCGAGACGGGGGGATTCGGCCTCGGCGTTGTAGTTTTCGAGGTTCTTGTTGCGGTATTGGAGGAGGAGGAAGTAGAAGGCCTTCTCCATGTTCTTCCTGCAAATGTCAGCTTGGACCATGAGCAAGTATAAGACAGCTTACTCATGCGTGAGAAGAGCGCGGATCATCTTCTCCTCGGAGCACCCGCTCCAAAGCGTCCGCAGGTTCCGGAGGATGTCCTTGTCGATCTCCGACTCGGACTTCACCGGGCGAGCGACCTCCTCGAGCTTGGGCGTGTCGACCGTGCGGACGATGCGGCCAGAATCGGTAGATTGGCGTCGCTGGAAGAAGGGGTGAATCATGATCTCGGGCATCTAGAAGTCAGCTATGATCATGTACACAAGGACCGACTTACAGTGATACGCTTGGTGGGGTCGACCACAAGCATGCGAGCGATGAGATCCCTTGCGTCTGGAGGAAGGTCGGATGGGATGGAGAAGCGGCCGTTCTTGACCTTTTGCAGGAGGACGCGGATGTTTTCGTCGTCAAAGGGAAGGCGGCCAGTGAGGAGGGCGAAGAGGATGACACCGCACGACCAGATATCCGAAGCTGCACCGTGGTAGCTTACGCCCTGTATATCAGATATGACCCCTCAGCAAGCACGACGGACCTACCATGACGATCTCGGGACTGGCATAGTGCGGACTTCCACAGCTCGTCTCCAGCAGCCGCCCGCTCGGCTCGAGAGCTGCCATACCGAAATCGGCAATCTTGATGTTGCCTTCCGAGTCGAGGAGGAGATTTTCGGGTTTGAGATCCCGGTGGCAGATGTTGAAGCGGTGGCAGTAATCGACGCCGGCGATGATTTGCTGAAAGTAGCGCGAGGCTTCGTCCGCGTGCAGCCGACCTTGCGAAACGAGATAGTCGAACAGCTCCCCGCCTTCGACGTATTCGAGCACGAGGTATCTAGGGGTCAGCTCTGCTCACATACGACACTCACAGCTCCTTGGACGTTTCCCATACATCGTACAAGCACATGACGTTCGGATGGTCGACCAGCTTCATGATGACGATCTCGCGCTCGATACCGAGGATGGCCTTCTCCTGCTTGCCCGCGGCGTCCTTGATGCTGTTGCGGGAGGCCATAAGGAGAGCGTGCTTGGGGATGATCTTAACAGCTGCGAATTGGCCATTGCGGTTGTGTTTGGCGATCTTGACTCGGCCTGATGATCAGCTTGTCTCCCACCGAGGTCGAGGTCTACTCACCACTAGCCCCCTTCCCGATGGTCTTGCCTATCCTCCATGGCCCGATGATCTTGGGATCCCCTGGGTGATCCGCCGCGCTCTTCCCTCCAGTCGCCGCCGTCTCCTTCTCGAACCGTGTCTGTCCCTTCTTGTGTGTACGTGCGCGAGGTGGGGAAGGGGTAGGCGGGAGGTCTCGTGACCCGTTTTTAGGCGTGTTGGGTGCTGGTTGGGGCATGATGGGTCGTCTATTCGAGGGTGACTAGGTGAGTGACCGTCGAGTAGAGCAAAAGATAAGAGGGTGAGAAGAGGAGGTGGTACATTCCTGCCAAGAGAGGGGAGCTGCCTTTAAGCAAGGTTGATCCGGTGGTGCCTGTGATGATCCCAACAAGGGCGGGAGGGGTTGAGGATCGCCTTCCGACTTAGACATGAGTAGAGACAGGGCTGAGACGCGTTGATGTTGATGATCAGGGGTGTTGTGCTGTGGCGGGTCGGTAGACAGACAGGACTCGCGGCAATCAAGCCACGTCCCAGGCCATTCTCAGCTGTTTTCCAGCTTCACATCGCCGACGATACCCCCTATCGATCCTCGCGCAGATGACCAGATGATCATGCGGTCTCTCCGGCATGGTAATGGACCCGGATCCCGAAAGAGTACAGATCAGGTGATGGAACGATGATAACATGGGTTGAATCCAGAAGGAGATTGAAACGACCCGAAATTACCGCTTCTGGCAGTTCTTTCCTGGCATCGCCAGCGTGCTATGCTACTACCAGGTCCATCATGCATCAAGACTCGCCCGAGAATCCCTATCGTCAAGCTGCTCTGCACCTGTACTTGTATCTGCTCTACCAACTAAATGTCCGTGCACCTCTCTCATCCCGTTTTCCCCCACCCCCAATCTACAAATCCCCTCAACCCAAGACTAAGTCGAATAAAACTCTGTAAAAGTCAGCTCCACTCACGGCCCCAGAGGACGCATAACCCACTTCTATTGATCTGATGAATGAGCATATTGATACTAAACGTCGCCATCCCATCAAACAACAGCAAATTGAGCTCATTGTCGAATTGCGCCTGTAGCAGATCTTCCATCCGGACCTCCTCGTGCCCGATCGTCGGTTCTGCGAACTGCGATTGAGGCGCCGTCATTTCCAGCGAGAAGACACCGACTTCGTTCGAGGCCATGATGATGTGGATCTTGTCGTATTGGCGGGGTGAGAATTGGCTGATACCGAGCAGGATACCTGGCTGTCAGCTGGGCTGGGCCGGCGAGTACGCTAGAACTCACCCTTCTCGTGCAAGTCGTGCGCGGTGTACTTGTACGACCCGAACTGCGCCCGCTTGCCCATCCTCTCCTCGCCCTTCTGATGTCGATATTGCTTGCTCATAAAGATCGGCCTCTTCTTCCTGCGATCTGTCAGCTCGTTTCGCTCTCGACGGTCATGGAACTCACCCCTTCTGCAGATTCGCCATACTCGAGTCGATAAACGTATGATAACTCTTGATACTCTCCTCAAACCCAATCTTCTTGACCGTCATATCCTCATGCGCCTTGATCATCGCCGCCAACGACTGCCGCAGCATCTTCCGGAGATGATGCTTCTGCCGAATATCCGACGCGATCGACACGAGCAGGCCCTGGTAGGCATCATGCTTGCTGATTCTGCCGACCTTTTCGAGCTTGAGGCAGAACTCGACTGCACGGAGCTTGACCTCGCGGAAGGCCAGGGAGCGGATCGACTCGATTTGATAGCCTGCTTCCGCTGGGTTTTGGGGTGCGCCCCGCTTGGCCGCGCGGGCCTGCTCGACCGCCATATCGTGGTAGACCACTTCGAGCCAGCGCTGTTCGTCGGCTTCATCCAGCCGGGCGAGGAGGACGTCGTAGAGCGTCCGCCCGGATTGGACGCGGAGAACAGCGAGGACGTGCCGCTTTGCCTGGACCCAGTCTTCCTTGATGATGGCTTCAGCCTCGCCAGCTGTAGTCTTCAGCTACATCCTCATCGAAAGGGGCGATGCAGCAGGACTCACATTCCAACTCGCCGAGCCTGTTTGTCAAGCGCAAGCTGACGGTAGACTTGACATCGTACTCGATAGGCGGACCCTCAAGCTCCTCAAGCACAACAGCTAAAGGATCTTTCGGCTTGTTTCCGGTCTATTGCGTCAGCTCGATCACCTATGAGAGCACGAGCCAGCTTACAATGACAGGGATGTTCTTCATCAAAATGCTCAACATCCCATAAATTTCCTTCCGGGTAATCAAGATCGGCTTGGCCTCATGCGTAGACTCGAAAAGCTCATGTGCTTCAAAGTACGACTCGAGCGGTTCGACACTAGCCACTACTCTGATCAGCTTCTCTCTCCCGGGTGTTCTCGGAAGCACAACTCACCATCCATGACCCAATCCCTGAACATAGCGCTCTCCGTCCGGATGTATTCCTGTAACGGCACCCTAATGAACCGATCTCCAGGCTTGGTGAATGGCCCAGCGGCGTCCGCATCGGGATACGCAATGAACCCGACAAGATTGGCGATGGCGGCGAGGTTTCGCCGTTCGTTAGGCCCGATAGGTTGGTCCGTGATGGCCCACGATTCGGGAGCGATGAGGGCAGGTAGAATGAATGGGAGGATGAAGGTGCGTGCCACGGCGGGCGTGAGGTCTTCGTCGAGGGCGTCAGGGTACTTGACCTGCTGTGTCAGCTGACTGCTCTGTCCTGAACGTTGCGCTCGAGTAAGCTCACTCGTAAGGCCAGAAGCGCCTCCCTCGCCAAATACCGAACCGTATACGGCAGGCCCATCGTGCACGAGTACAGCGTCTTCAGCAGCTCGGCAGTCAAGAAGCGCAATTCCTGCAGGTGTCGGATATAGTGCGCCCGGGCGTCCGCGTCGGTCTGCAACACCTGGTCGGCATCCCTATCGCGGGGCTTTGCTGACGGGACGCCGGTCCGGGATTCCTCCTCGTTGATCAGGCGGCGGTAGATCTAGCTTTGTGAGCTCAAGTGGAAGACGATCGAACCACGGCGAGCTTACCTCGAGGGGATCCGTACTCAAGTCCAGCTCCACCGCCTCGCTCACTCGCATAACGTGCATAGTGAGGATCTGCTGCAGGAACGGCGCGAGGGCAGGCTTGAGGCACGCAGTCGTGAGCGGCTGGAGGAAGAAGCGGGTATCGACAAGATGTGGGATGGATTTGGACAGAAGGACTTCAGTATGTGTTGAGAGCTGCCATATCAGCTTGGCCCTCATCTCAAGATAAAAACATACCTGAGCGAGCTTGTTAAACAGATACTCTTCCCGCCTCTCATGCCCAAACCCAAATAGCGTCAAAACCACCCCCTCCACGATTCTTCCCTCCCGCTCATCCTCTCCTCGCTCCATCGCTCGGATCAACCTCGCCAGGTAATCCGGTTTCGTTTGCAGCGTGAAGAACAGATGCTCAAACAGCTCCAGTTTCCGCTGGCTCGCCCGGTCGAGATGCGCCCCAGAGAACGGATCATGATTTCCCGAAATGACAAACGAGTCATTCTTGCCCTCCAGATTCCCCTGTCTCCGCTTTGCGCGCGCCAACTCCTCAAACGTCATTTTATTCTTGACGATGAGAGCAATCTTGGTCTCCAGGTCCTGTACCTCGGTCTCTAGCGCCTGATTCTCCCGGACGAGCTCGACGACTTCGCGCCGAAGTGTCTCGGTCCGCATCTGGTCGTTGAAATCCGACTCCGTGTCGTTGAGGAGGTGCATGTAGTTTTGGATCGCGGGTACATCGACGTCTACGCCAGTGAGGAGGGTGTCGTACATCCGCCGTTGGACCCGGCCGCGCCAGAGCGACTGGATCTTGACAATCTTGTCCTGATTATAGTGGTAGTGGCCGGACCGGAGCCAGAACTCCCGTCGACAGAGGAACCCCCGGATGAGCGATTGGAGGAAGACGAGCGCGCCCTGGGTGTGCGGGTCGTGTAGGTACTCGCGCCACTCGTTGTGGTCTTGCCGGGCGAGGTAGCCTCTCGCTTGCGCCTGGAACCCGATGACATCCGGAGAGACAAACTCCAGCTTCTTCTTTTGCTCCTCTGTCGACCGCTTGGCGAGTTTGGTCCGAAGGAAAGCTTGGAGTCCGCCGACAGAACCGGCCACTTCGACCTTGGCCAGCGCCTTTTGCATGGTCTGGTGGTTCTGCTTGGCGAGCCGACCGCGGGCATAAGCCTGCAGGCTGGAGACCGAGGGCATGGCGATCTGGACAGCCTTGACCAAGGCCTGCTTCTTCCGCCGACAGAGCACACCCCGGCATACCGCCTGAATAGCGACAATGACGTCCGACGCATCGTCCATCTTTTGCTCCTCCGCCTTGCGAGTCCGACGGACCAGCGCGCCCCGCAGATGGCTCTGCAGAGACGTAAAAGTGACGGCTTGCGAGTCGAGTACTGCCATCCGCTTGGCCTCTGCTTGGCGATGGAGTCGACCGCGGAGAACCGCCTGGAGCGACGTCACCGACTGGGCGATCTCCGGACGCGTTCCCGATCCCTTGACAGCCTTCATCGCCTGGCGAGCAATCTTGCCCCTTGCCAATGCCTGTACCGAGACGATACTCCGCCGCGCTGCGTCCAAATTGTTCGCCTCCTTGCCTTTCCGAGATCGAACCAGCATGCCCCTCGCGTGCGCCTGGATACCGGTCACGTACCGCTCAGCAAGGTGGATCTGCTGCGTCTTTTGCTGGTACCGCCTTCCGGCGAGGTTCGAGCGAGACGCGGCCTGGAGCCGAGTCGCCCAGCTTCCGAGCTTGATCCGCTCTTCGTGCTCGGAAAGCAGAGACCGACGGCACAGAGCTGCCCGTGCCCGGGCTTGGAAGCGGACAACGATAGGTTCGGCGAGTTCCAGCTGGGTATGGATACGCGAGACTTGTTGTCGGGCGAGTCGGCCGCGGAGGTGGCGCTGGAGCGAGCGGATAGGCGCTTCGCACTCGAGCAATCGACGATCCCGTACTACTGGGTCAGCTTGTCGCCTGGAGCGTCATCAGCAGGAAGCTCACTCTCATCCTCAGTTTCCTCTGGCTCCTCTGGCTCCCAGCTCGCCTCTTTCGCCAGCGTCGCCTTCGCATCCCCGAAATTGGGCATAGCGACCCCCTGCAGCCCTTTCTGAGTCATCGCCAGCTGTTCATCGGTGAATTCGAATTGGCCGACCAGATTCCCGATCCGCTCTGCCCGCCCAAGTCGGGCAAGCAAGTGACTACCTGTCAGCTATCGATGCCACACGATAGGGGACGTCTCAGCTCACCTCAAGACATGCAGGCAGAAGATGACCTTCGGAATGTTCTTCTTGTTGTATAAATCTGTCAGCTCGAACGTGAATGTCTATGCAAGATCAGCTATATCCTCGTGTTGTCCGGTCAAGATAGAAAGACTTACCTCAGGCATGCCGACTGACCTGACGAATTTCAGGAAATGGTTGATATTGTCGGTTTGCTTGTATCGATGTTTGCTTTCCTACAATATCAGCTCTTGTTTCTTCGCCAGCACAGGCTACTCACCGTCCAGATCGACCTGACCACCTGATCCCCCATAAAGCACCTCGCCAATTTCGCTAATACCACCCCATCCTGCAACCCTTCTTCCATCTCCACCACCCCAAACCCTACTTCCTCATCTAGGCACCCTTCGATCCACTGGAGCGCCTCTCCGACGTGACAGAGGTACTCGTACGCTGCGAGATCGTGTCGGCGACGGTCCATCCAGTTGCTTTGGACAAGCCGGCGAGAAGGTAATGGGGCGGGCGCGACGGAAGCGGAGGATGCCGAGGGAGGGAGGACAGCACGAGAGAGTCGTAGACGATTCGACATGCCTAAACCGTCAGAGGATACCCTCGGGAAAGAGAAGCTCAAGCTTACCTGTGACACCTTCACTGTCGTCCTTGCTCGCCCCTCGAGCAGGCAGTGACCCCACAGCATTCATCAACCCCTTCATATCCGCGCCCTGCACTTCATGCCTCGGACTCTGCAGTACACTTCCAATCTTTTCCTTGGATATACTCGCCATGTAAGCTGATCTTCGCTTGCCCGGCGTAGTCGACGTTGTCGGACTAGGCGGGACGACCTGATTGTCCTGGACAGACGGAGTAAGGACCTCGACGGACTTCTTCTTGCTGATGGGTTTGCTGATGGGCGTCCGGTCCCTGGTCGGCGAGGCAGGAAGGTCAGGCACCGGCGCTCGACCAAGCGTGGACGGTATGCGCCGAGCTGAAGGCTCTCGGGCGTGAGCGGAAGGCTCTCCGTCCCACCCCTCCCCGCCTGACGCTATACGAGGCAGATGGCGCCCGAGTCGGCGGTGGTCGGTCCGGCTGATGGAGCCGTACTTGTCCTTCCCGCCCAGCCCGGGGCCACTTGGACCAGCAGAGAGGCCCGAAGGGACATGCCGTCCAGATCCCGAGAAGGAGGACGGAGGAGCGCCGCGACCTGTTGAGCGAGATTTGGGCGTTTCCTCTGTGGCCGAAGAGTCAAAGTCGGACGCAGAAGGAGGAGTGAAGAGGTGGTCGAACGGAGAGCCCCGCTTGACCTCTACAGGTGCGCGCTGAGGAGTCGACGGAGTCGTAATGACCTCTACGGGCGGGGCGGGGGATGCCTTGATCGTGGTATTCTCCTCGGTTGGAGCATCACCGTCCGATACGTCCGACCCCGACGCAGCCGCCTGGGCCTTCTTCCTCGCCTCGAGCCGCTTCAGTGCGTTTGCACGAGCAGCTGCTAGGGTGTCCTCCATGGCCTGCGAGCGGCCGGACGAGGCGGCGCTGCTTCCTGTGGAAGTTGGGGAGAGGATGGAGGTGTATGACGAAACCGAAGCGGGGCGCATGCGGGAGGAGGCGTTCGATAGAGCTGGAGAGGGTGGAACGGGGTCAGCTGTAGAAGCAGGGTCGGACGATATGGAGACTGGTGTGGGTAGAGTGGTCTGGCGACCATTCCGAGAAGTGAGGAGGTCCGAGCGCACCCCATTATTCGGTGTCTGTGCTTCCGGGGGAGGTATGGGTACCGAGAAGCGGCGCGCAGGCTCGACAGCCGTCTTACTCGGTAGCACCGACGCCGGTTCCGCCGAGAAGCTGGCCGACGACGTGGTCGGGGGCGACATGAATGTACTCCGCTTGAGCGCTCTCGGGGTCCTGTCTGCGGCCGGACTGCCGACCGAATCGCTGATTTTGGCCTCCCATTGCCCTCTGACCAGATCCACTGACTTTCCCGCCCCATGTCCCTTCCCGCCCATCTTTGACGGACTCCGGCCGAGGTCCGCTCCGCTCAGACCGTCCATTCCTGCCGCCATTTTGGCCACATTCCGCCTGATAGGCGTACTTGGCGGTGAGGCATCCGCCAACGAGGAGAGCGAGGAATGCGGTGATGAGCGAGCAGGACCAGCTGGGGCGGCCGTGCGGTCGAGGAGGCGGGTCTGGTATGCAAAGATACTAGGTGATGAGGTCAGACCTTTGGGTGGCGAAGAAGTGGAGGTCGGTGCGTCGGGCATATTGTCGAATGGCGATGGGGAGGGTAGGAAGTTGTCGGTGGGTCAGGCGTCTCTGTGAACTAAATTTGAGGCATATCGTGCGACTAGACCCGTTTCCTGTATATGGGCTGTGCTGATAGTATGTAGGGTGATAGGATGTGACTATGGACGAGTGAAGAGAAAGGGATGGGAGGAGCAAGGGGGTGTGTTTTGGATTCCACGAGACTGACTTCTTTCGACGCGTCAGGTTGCTTCCGGCGGATCACGTGATCAGCGTGGAGATTCGGTCGGTTCTCCGAGATCTGCCGTAACGTCGTTCCTGCTGCAGCTTTTTTTGCCGCCCAAGGTGATGCTGCTTGACCTCTGTACCTTCTCTGACCTAGAGACACTCAGCCTGACATGGGTAAACACGACAAGAAGACCGGAAAGGGTCGTTTGGATAAATTCTACAAGCTTGCAAAAGAGCAGGGATACAGAGCTCGTTCAGCCTTGTAAGTCGCTCCCCCATTAGCATGTCCCTGCGCTGACACCGCTAGCAAGCTGGTCCACTTGAACCGAAAGTACGACTTTCTCGCCTCATCCAAATGCTGTATCGATCTCTGTGCCGCGCCCGGAGGATGGCTGCAGGTCGCCGAAAAGTACATGCCTAAAGGCTCCCTCATCGTCGGAGTCGATCTCAACCCGATCAAACCCCTTCAACACGTATCCACCTTTGTCTCCGACATTACCACTCCCCAATGTCGCCAGCTCCTCCGTTCGCACCTGCACGACTGGAAGGCCGATCTCGTCCTGCACGACGGAGCGCCGAACGTCGGATCCGCGTGGGTGCAGGATGCGTTCACGCAGAACGAACTCGTGCTTCAGAGTTTGAAGCTGGCGACGGAGTTTCTGTGCAAGGGGGGTAACTTTGTCACTAAGGTGTTCAGAAGTCAGGACTATAATGCCCTGATGTGGGTGTTCCAGCAGTTGTTCAAGACTGTTGAGGCAACCAAGCCGCCCAGTTCCAGGTGAGTCCAGTGCATGAAGTCCTGGACCAGGCTGACAAGCCAGAAACGTCTCTGCGGAAATCTTCGTTGTCTGCCAAAACTTCATCGCTCCTAAGCACATCGATCCAAAGTTCCTCGACCCCAAGCACGTCTTCAAGGACGCTGCCCCTCTCCCACCATCCATCATCCTCCCTTCCGCCGCCGCCGCCGCCTCGTCCGCCGCCGGTCCCTCCACCTCCGCCACCCCCGCGCTCTCCCTCTCCGCCTCGGCCAACGCAGTCGCCAAGTCCCAATCCGGCTCTCATGCGCATGCCAATGTCTTCATGCCCGAGAAGAAACGCAGACATAGGGAGGGTTATGCCGAGGGCGAGTTCACAAATTTTCACGCTGCGACAGCGTCGGACTTTGTCAAGGGTCACGATGCGGTGGGACTGTTGGGTATGATGAACAAGATCGAGTTTGTCACGGAGGAAGAGAAGGGGTGAGCTACGTCTTTCTCCAGTGTGGTAGGACCAGCTGACAAAGCAGCTGGCTCAAGTCGAGACATACCACCTCGGCGGTCATTTCCAGCTGTGAAGATCTGAAGGTGCTGGGCAAGTCGGACTTCAAGCAATTGATGAAGTGGCGGTTGGCGATCCGACTGGAGATTGGGCTGGACGTCAAGGCGGATACAGCGCAGGACGCGACGGAGGAGGTGGTAGTAGAGGAGATCGACGAGGAGGAGCAAATCAGCGAAGAGGTGAGTTTGCACCTTCATTACTGATCGCCAAGCTGACATCTCAGCTCAAGAAACTTCACGAGGCTCGGATGACTCGGCAAAAACGCGAAAAGAAGCGTGCCAACGAAAAGAAGAATGCGACCATCCTAAAACTCCAACTCAACATGACCGCCCCCGAAGACCTGGACAATGACGATCGGGGTCTTGCCGGGGAAGAGACGTTTGATCTGGGAGAGATGGAGCGGGAGGCAGGTCGGCGCGGGAAGAAGCGGGCAGTCGACGATATCGTCGCCGATCAGGATGGGATGGACGCTTCCGAGTCTGAATCGGAGGAGGAAGAGTCGGAGGAGGAGGTGTTTGATTCGGAGGAGGAACGGGAGTTGCGACTCGGCGCACTCGAGGGGGAACTCGACGGAATGTACGACGACTACACGCAACGCATGGCGGAGCGGGACGCCAAGTACAAGGTCAAGCAGGCGCGGTTGAAGGACAAGAATTACGATGCGTGGCATGGGATCAACGAGGAGAAGAATGGAGGTGGGAGTGGGAGCGATAGCGATGTCGGGGTATCAAAAGGCTGGAAGGATCAGCTGGTGCGTCAGCCGCGGCGAGGGGATGCGCTCGAGGACGATGAGGAGGAAGAGGAGGAGGCGGGCGGATGGGAGTTGAGGCTAGCGGGCAAGGCGAGGGTGGGGGAGTCGGACTCTGATTCGGATTCGGATGACGAGGATCAGCCGGCCAAGAAGAGCCGCAAGGCGACGTTTGGGAAGGCGGATGAGGGAGCAGCCAAGCCTCAGGTGAAAGGAAAGGCGGAGGGGCGGAAGCTGGTGCGCAGTCTGGTGGAGCCGGAGGAGAGGAAGCAGATGAGTCGACAGGCTCAGCTGTGGTTTGACCAGAACGTCTTCAAGGGCGTTGGGGACCTCGCTGCGCTCGACGGGGATGAGGAGGAGAGCGAGGAGGAAGAGGATGAGGGGATGGAGGGGGACACGGAAGAGGAGGAGGATGATGTCGATATGGAGGCTGGTTCTACCCAAAGCTCCACGGTCGACCCCGCTAGCGCCGAAGACGACGAGGGTGACGATACGTTCGAGATTGTCCCTCAAGCGGCGGAAGACACGGCGCCCGAATGGGACGTGTACGACGAGGACCAGGACGAGGTCAAGGCGGCCACTGTGCGCGCCAAGGGTCTCCTCACTGCCGAGGCCGTCACCCTCGCCACCCAGCTCGTCAATCGTCAAATCACGGCCGACCAGCTTATCTCGGACGGTTTCAACCGCGGCTCCACATTCAACAAGGACGGCCTGCCCGAGTGGTTCCTGGACGACGAGTCCAAGCACTACAAGGCCAATCTTCCGGTCACCAAGGAGGCGATGGATGCGTTGAAGGAGAAGCAGCGCGCATTGGACGCGCGGCCAATTAAGAAGGTTGCGGAAGCCAAGGCGAGGAAGAAGTTCAAGGCGCATCAGAGGCTGGAGAAGGCCAAGAAGAAGGCGGCGGGCGTAATGGAGACGGAGGATCTGAGTATGGGGGAGAAGGCGAAAGCGGTGGCAAAGGCGATGGGGAGAGGGAGGGGCGCGGAGAAGCGGCCAGAGAAGAAGGTTGTGGTGGCTAGGGGGGCGAATAAGGGGATTGCCGGGAGGCCGAAGGGCGTCAAGGGGAGGTACAAGATGACCGATCCAAGGATGAGGAAGGAGGTGAGCTCCATCTCGCGCACACTTTCAGGGACGATAGCTGACGATACAGGTGCGCGCCATGAAGCGGATCAAGAAGAAGACTTCGAAGCGGTAGATCTGAGATCAGCGGGAGGTGCGGGACCATGGAGGTGTATCTGGGAATTTTCTTGGGAGATCAAGTTTGGGAGGCGATGTGTATTGACATGCTACAATGCATGATGTGCTACTAGTCCCTACAACAAGGCTCCATAGCCGAAATATAATCTCAATCCCTACGCCATCTCCATATACACCAACACCGCCTAGAAACCAAATGCGAGTTGCGATCTGGTGAAAGTTGGCCTGGACATCATCAGCCATCATCTCTGCGCCGCTGTGGAAGGGCTCACGGTTTCCACCGTACTGCGTTTGAGTTGATACTCTGCCGTTGCTTGCCCATCGTCTTTTGGTGCTGTTCGAGCACGGCGTCGGTGAGGTGGAGGATGTGCGTTCCTTTATAGTATTTGATCATCTGCATCGCTTGGCACCTGTTCTGTCAGCACACCACCCCCTAAAAGTGGACTCACGTGTGCATGATATCCCCATGTGTGATGCTTGTCCGGTGCGCCACCTCATCCAGGCTAATCTCGTCCTCGCTATCCAGCAACAACTCGACAATCTTCTCCTGCCAGTACGCCCTATACCCCAACAGCCCCAAATCACTGAGCGGCTTCTCTGGGCTCCCCAGCTTGTTCTCCCGCTTTGACAGCTCGTACGAGAACTCGATGAGGAGCCGCCCGTACCCCTTGCGCTGATGCTGCGGGAGCGTCAAGATACAGGCGACATTGTACCCCTCTGTCGACTCCTTTTCTTTTGAAAAGTAGCCGATGAGATGACACCCATACTCGTCCTTGACCGTCATGCAGTAGTACATGAACGGGTCGACATCATAGTATAGCGTCTTGTGATCGAGGAAGCATTTCGATATGAGGCACAGGTTCCGACACCATGTGCGCTGCCGCCGCCCGTCAATCTCGAAAAAGGAGATGTTGTCGTGGCGGTAGATTTCGTTGCCGGGGGGATGGAGGAGGGTGCATTTGGTCCGATGCCGCCGAAGCTGGGTGGAGGAGGGGTAGTAGAGGAGGCAAAATTCGCATAGGTAGAGGATTGGGAGGTGGGCGTATTCCGCGGGATAGGGGGAAAAATACCAGGATTCGACCTCGTGTTTGCCAATTTGAAGCTTGTTGAGGTTCTTGACACGCGAGATCTCCGAGTGACTCTGCGTCATGGATCCCGACGTCCGGAGTTTCTCAATCTCCTGCTTTTTGCTGAAGACGGGAGGGGCCGCTTTGGGATTGGACGGCGCTGAGAGGTCAATTTCCCCCTCCGCGTCCGGAGAAGCGATGGCGATACTCTCCCCCTCAGCATCCTCGTCCTCGTCCTCGTCGTCCCCGCCGTCCGTCATGACATCCGCGTCCGACCGCCCGCGCTTCAATGTAGGCGCAGGCGCATCCTTCCCGGTAGCAGTCCCCGTATTCTTGATCGCCACCTGCGACGCCGCCTTCCTCGCCGCCTTCTTCAACAGGCTCGCCGAGCCAGGTAATGGCGTCCCCTTCCTCCCGAGCGGTGTGTTACCCCCTGAGGCCGCCGGCGCTGCGGGAGCCTTTGTCTTCTTCCCGCCGTCTTCTTTTGGCTTGGGCCACTCGAGCTCCCGGTCAGTCACCAGCCGGGACCCGCCGACCCACTCGTCCAGCCGTTTATTGAACTCGACGTAGTGGACATAGTATTCCGTGTCGTCCCGAGCGTCCGGTGGTGGGGCATCGGCGGCAGGAGGAGGGGCAAAAGCGGATGGAGGGGGTTTGGCGCGTGTGGAGAGGATCTCGGCTTTGCGTTGCTCGAATGTGCCGTTGTGGAGGGGTTTGGAGACGAAGATCTTGACTCCCGGCGTGACGTCCTAGTTGTCAGCTTGGTCAGCTTCACTCCACTGTCGAGAGCGCTCGGAGCTTACCGCTAAAGTGTATGATCCTGGAGCAGCAGACGTTGGCGCGGGCGACCCCTCACTTCCAAGCCGCCCGTGCGGCGTTGACGGGGTAGAGGGGGCCATATCGCAGTAAGGATTCCGATGGCTAAGCCTTAGAGCTGGATCGCTAAGCCTGCCGACTGGGTATCTGCGTGCACGGAAAAGCGGCCGGCGAGACCTGGCGTTGAGACGTGTTGCCTCTGGAGGTGTGCAGCCCGGATAGTACTTGCCGCTCAAGAACAAGGGAGAAGCGATATTCCTCCCTTCTCTCTCCGGCTTCACGCGTCGACTTCGAGTCTGAGCGTGTGGGGTGTTCGGTACGTGCGGATAGCCAGATAGCCTATCTACACCGTCGCGGCGAGGAAGCGCTTGAGGTAAAGTACAAGTGGAGTTATTGAAGTTAGAAAGGAAACGTTGAACTGAAAGATGCCGAAAAGTAACCACAACAACCTCCACGCCCTCTCACGAAAACCTAATCCGTGCGTGCAGTCGAGCTGAGACACCTCCACCCACCCCCAACCAGCTCTTTGCACCATAGCCTGACACTACACTCTGTACGACGACCAGCCTCAAGGACATGCCCCTTATGCTGATGGAATAGCATAGCAACAGGCAATATGGCCTCCTTCTTTGGCTTCTCGTCGAGCTCGTCCGCCGCCAAGCTCGCCCCGACCAAGCCGGAAGACCTCCCGGTGGAAGTGACCATCACGCCAACTGCGGGTGCCTTCTACGCAGGGGAGACGTTCAGCGTCGGCATTGCCTTCTCCTGCTCGCGGCGTCCTGGCGCCACGCATGCCGCTTTCCAGCCCAATAGCCCTCTGGTCGGAGGGAGCAGCTCGGCGGATAATTTCAAAACGCCAACTTCGGCCACTCGGACCCTGGACCCATCTTCACAGTTAGTGGAGCCAAGCCAGCTGCCCACACGTAAACGGCAGATAGGTCTCGCTATAGATACCCCGCCCGAATCATACAATGCAAAAGCGGGTCCCTCACGCCTCACGACCCCTCGTGTCCACCCAAGCGGAGGGGGATATACCGACTCTCCAGCGGTATACGCGGACTCGCCCTACTCCCCTGGCGCGAATCCGGCTCGAGGAGGGTGGCTAATATCAGGCTCGCCTATGAGGGATGGACTCGGGATGAGGAGTCCGGAAGGTGCGAGGCGGTATTCTGGCAAGACGGGGCAGGAGAGGCGGACGCAGAGTTTGGCGATGGGGAAAGGGATGAGTCCGCAGGAGATGGTGTGGGCCTTAGGGGGACAGCGTGAGTTGGTCTGTCCAGTCTGTTAATGCGCATATGGAGATGATCAATAACTCATTGCATAGCTCCACCGCCATTGCCTAGTCGCCGACCACCGGGGGAGACACGCATACCTTCCTCTCATCCACATTCTCGCAAGATATCAGTCACGACTCAGCCTCGACCCAACTCCCCCTCTGCAGGAATCATTGACCTGTCAGATGATCACTTGGCTACCATCCCCGAATCTGCTTCTACCACGGAAATGAACGGCCGCTCCCGTCCACAACTCTCCCGCATTACATCCGCCTCATCCGCCTCCTCCTCGGCTACCGCCTCTTACGTCGACATAGGGGACGATACCCCTCGATACCGGCCCTGCTCTGATCGTCGCATCCTCTCTCCTCCCCTCACGCACCGCTCACCGCCTCCTTCCCATCCTTACATTCGCTCCCTCGCCGAACCTCGCGAAACAACCATCCTCTGGGCCCACACCCGCATCGTAGCGCACTTTCACCCCTCAAACGCCTACATCCCACCGGACCCTCTGCTCCCACTTCGCTCGCTCCTTCTACACCAACCCATTGGCGCTGGGTCCGGTGCCCTCACCTCCTCCCAATCCGCAGCTGGAGGATCGAGATGGCAATTGTCCTTCGGAACGGGAACGATCGGGCACGAGACCAAGCCGTCTCTGACGGGCTCGCTGGTCGGGCTGGCAAGCTCGCTGGTGTATGGTGGATCCGCAGGGACGTTGGAGGAAGATCGTAAAAAAGCGTGGAACACGAAAGACCTGCCTGTCCTGGAGACTGCCCGGAGCCTTTTGGGCGTGGACATACGGCTGAAAGAAGGGGAGAAGAGGGAGTATACGTATTCCTTTCCGATACCGAGGGATCTACCGCCCACGCATCGCGGGAGGGCGTTTGCGTTTGGGTGGAGTCTGGTGTTGAGCATGGCGGTGGGGAACGGAGGGAGTAGGGAGATTGAGGTGCCGATAAGAGTGTGGAATCATGTTGCTCGTGAGCTCTGAACACTTCTCTCATGTGGAGCACAAGCTGACTCTCAGTTGGGTCGGCGCCGCAGCCATATAATGTGCTCAGCCCGATCATCCAGACTCGCGACGAGGGCACCGTGGTCGAGGTCAAGCCCCTCTCGGCGCCTTCTGCATCACTCAGCTCGCCCCAGCCAGCAGCGAAATCAGGCGATACGAAAGCATCGCTGGACGCCTATGCCCAACAGCTGCTGAATACAAGCCATTCGACGCCCAAAGCAGCTCCACCCTCGCCAGGGCGGAAGCTCGCCTCGGCTCGTCCGGCTTCGCCATCACGATCTACGAGACCTGAGGAGGACGGGGCAAGCGTGCCGCTAGGAAACGGCGCCCTGGATATACCAGACTCGGGAACATTAAGGGCTGGGCGCGGGAGAAAGGGAAGCTTCATCCAAGGGGATGAGGAGCTGGTGGAGGAAGGAGGCGACGGACATGGGTGCGATCAAGCAGTCGAGATTCTCAGCCGGCACTCCACTAAAGGTAATCCATTTATCTCTGTCAGTTGTAGTACTACGCTGAAAAGCAGCATCCTACGATATTGCCAAAGACGGGGACCTCGTCTCGGTCTTTACACTCCTTAAAACCACCCACCGCCTCGGCGAAACCATTCTCGGCGTAATCACAATCAACCCGCCCCCTCATCCTTCTCCGACGCGCCGCGTCCTTCGCTTCTCAGCGTACCTCGAGTCCAACGACCTCATCCCCACATCCCTCCTGCCCCCTTCGGCGCGCGGCGGCGTCTCGGCCCAGCCCGCGCTGGTACGGACCCATGCGGACTTTAACGCGGGATACGTGAATCACACGGGACGGCTGGCGTTCAATCTGGATATTCCGTCAGACGGGACGCCGGGATTTGCGTTTGGCGCGGCGGCGGAAGAGGGGGATGGAGGGGTGGAGTGGAGGATACGTCTGGCGTTCCTCGTGACTAGCCCGAGTCGCCATGGGGAGAGGGGAGGGGAAGCGCGGTCAGTGCTCGTCAGTGCGAATGAGGGGGACAATCGGTTTTACGAGGCGACGAATTCGTTGGCGCCGATAGAAGTGGATGTGGGAGGGGCAGGGAGGGAGGTGATGGAAGAACAGATGGGAACGGAGACGGTGGAGTGTGAGATACCGATCAAGGTACTGCCGGGGAATACAGCGTTGAAGGTGCGGCCGTTAGTGTATATCATCTAGATCGATAGAGATGTCAGAACCGAAGAGGGAAACAGTCCACATGGTGCATCTGCAGCAGTAAAAGATATAGATGTACTGGAAGACCGCAGACATGAACAGCTGAGATATCAGCCGCAATTCCCCCAACTTGTGTTCAATCCAAAGAAAGGTGAAGAGGAGAGAGGGGTATCAGAGAACCTAGTAACAGCATAGCTACCGAAGTCGCGTAATGCAGATGGCACTTCCTATATATATTTTGCATAGGTGAGATCGTCATAGATGGGAGGAAGGGGAGGGTGGTGAAGGCCAAAAAAAGGCAAGCAACGGGCAAAAAGACTGAGTCACTCACATTCTAGAGGTTGAGCAGACCAGCGACGCTGGATCGAGCTGGCAAATCTGCCCCTGCATCATTGAGCTAAAGTAAGGACGATGGACAACGCGAAAGGGTTCATGAGCGAGCGCGCAATTCTCGGTTTCACCTCCACCCGCTGAAACTGCCACACCCATTAATCCCGGCTATATCCCCGCTCCGCCCCTGCCCGCCGTACCGCTGATATTTCGCGACACAACCTTCTCTTTCTTCTTCACCAACTTGCCCAGTCCCGCTCGAGTTCACACTTACAGCTCGAGATCACCGCGGACCCTACGTTCCGTAGACGGGGGGGAAGAAGCTGCTTGCGGTGGATTCACCTCTGGAGGCAGGAATAATTTTTGGAGAGGGATGGAAGAGATATCCGCTACTCGTTAATCGCCCTTCATCCAATGTGGATGTCGAGGTTTCATGTTGAGTAGACATTATATCTGGTATGAAGAGGTTGTAAAGAGATATTGAGGAGCGCGGAGCGAGGGGACGGTGGAGGTGGTCCTCGCCGTGTCACTATTCGTGAAGGTGATCTGAGTATGCAAGCGGTGGTGATACATCGACATCGCCTCTAGCCTTACTTTGATACAGAGTGCTTCTGCAGATCCTCCATCTTGAGCGTCTTGAGAGATGCCAAAGCGGTTGCTGAGAGGTCCACCCTGTGATCTCAGCCTTGAGGTCGAGGAGAACGTCACAAGGAGGCTTACCTCGGCACGACCCTTTCTCCCAGCCGATCAGACGCTGTCAACGCTTCCTTCCACCTTCCTGTCAGCCATAGGCCAGTCAAAGCAGCCCTGATACGTACCTGTTGACGCAGAGACACCACTTGCAGCCGTCCTTCAGCCCCGCGAATCCAGGACGCGGAGTCATGAGGTCGTTCCCTGCCCTCATCAGCTCGGTCCTGCCCGCAGCAGCACAGACATACCGTTCTCCTTGCTGAATCGCAAAAACTCGTCCGTCACCACCGCTCCGACATAATGCTGTCCCGGATCCTGCCTGATGCCCCAGCAATACCCATCTCGCTGGTACCCTGTAGGATGGGACGAATCGCCCTCTTTGGTCAAAGGCTGGAGCGGTGCTTCAAGCACTACGACATGTCAGCACATGATCTCGCAATGAGAAGAGGGACCTACCGCTCATCTTGGAACTGTCGATGGACATGGTAGTAGCGGATCTGTAGGCGATACCGGAGGAAAGAGCAGGCGCGAGGGGTGACGCGATTCGACGCGTGAGGAGTGCGACAAGATTCAGCGGCAGGCCGAGCAGAGCGCGGATGTTCATACGAGTGGACTGATGTTGTCTTGATAAGAAGTTGATAAGTAGACTGTCAAAGCAGGCAAGAGAGCATCGAACGCGAACGGAGCGCGACTATGGCGTCATCGTCAGCTGGAGTGATCGGCAGTGGACTGCCTCCACCGCGGCTTCGGCCATCCTGGTATGGCTTCGGTTTCTCTTAGCTCGCTGAGAGATCGCGCCCAGGCCAGCTCTCGGCTCGGCGTCGGCACAGCTCACTATAGACTGCAGGCTGAGAGCTGGTCAGCTGTGAGACGGTAAAAACTTCGGTAGCGCCGTTCACCCACAGTCTAGCCCGATCGCTTGGCCAGAGCGAGGAATGAGAACTGCAGCATCGCCCCTCATCGCCCCTGCGTCCCTCTCTGCGCTGCGAATTATGCTCGTTCTGCTTCTGTCTTTTCCTTTCTGTCTCCCCCTATCTCGCATCACTGGCTACACTCTCGCTGTCCCTATACTCAACAGCCTCCACTTGAGCATGATCTGGAGCCCCAGCTAGATCAGGCATCGATCAGGTCCGGGTGCTAAAAAAGTCTACTTTACCCTGAGCTGAGACTGCGAAAGCTTTAAACTTGCGTCATCCACATCTCGTCCTCCAATCTTCCCGTCCCCGGGCAGGTACGCAGGCAAGGCGACAAGGCAGTGGAAGAGGTCGACGACGCTACTACCTCTCCCACTCTATCATCTGTCACTTACCGCCGTGTCTCGGATAACAGGCACAGCGAGCAGCGTGCAAAAGAGCGCCCCGTCTCGCTCGCTGCAATCCTCGAGGTCGTCCTCGCTCGAAATAGAGATCGAGGGGTGTAAATAGTAAGTCTGGCGACGACATCGCGTGTCTGAAGGGGGGCGATAGGAGACGTCGCTATGAGCTAGGGTGTGTGCTCTGGATAGTACTTGGTACATCGTTACCCAGTCCCGGCCCGTGTTTCAGCTGGTCTTGCGACCGAAGCGGGACCTCAGCAGCTGACTCATCAGGATTATACCTATCTCTCCTCAGCTCAATTGAGTTTCATCCATCATGCCCTCCCTCTTCCACAAGCGCCGCGGGTCCGATATTCCTGCCGAGCTCACCGACAAATCCACCCACACACCCGTCACCTCGCACGTCGATCAGCCCATGGCGCACTCTTCCCCTCCAACTGCCGGAGGGGGCAAGCTCCGTAGCTTCTTCAAAGGCGGAATGAGTGACGAGGCCAAGTCGGATATGCGGCGCAAGCTGTCTAGTCCGAGCGAGCTGTTCAAGCCCCGCTCAGACCAACCCCGCTCGGATATCACATCTGGGTGGGAAGAGGTCAATGCGACGCCTCAGCGGAATGGTGCGGCGGCCGGACGACGAGGCAGCCTAGGCTCTCCAGCCCTGTTCCCGGAGAACTTTAGCTTGTCGCAGTCTGCCTCGCCAGAAGCTTCGCCGGTCGCAGCGAGCAAGCGCGGGAGCAGGCAGTGGGCGCCATCGTACCCTCTTGTCCTGCCGGATGAGGACAGCTACGCCGATATAGCGCCGGACGGACAAATCAATGGGACGAGCCCGCCAGCACCCAGTCCGCTAGCGGGAGGAGGGATGAGCGAGAATGAGAATAGGCGGTCATTGGATATGAGGGGAAAGCTGGCGTCGTGGGAACCGCTCAAGCCGGATGCGCCAAAAACGGCGGCTGCGCCAGTCACTCCCACTCGGCGGACGGAAGAGTTGCCGAAGATCGAGGAGGCACCGCGGGCCAAGCCGTCTTTACAGCTGCAGACGCAGAAGGGCGATATCGGCACCGGACCACTCATCGAGCGGGAACCACTATTGGCGTCTGAATCTTCTTCTCGGCGGGAGAGCGAGGAGCCCCTCGTTTCCACCCCTACCGCCACCACCCCTTCCGGTCTTACCCCTTCCACATCTGTATCCAGACTTGCCTCTCCGACCGGTAGTACACCAATAATGTCACCCATACCAGGCATGATCGTCGGTCCCAACGGCAAAATGCGGCCTGCGATGCCGTCGAGGCGGACCACGCTCATTCAGTCGCCTCCCATGCCACAGCCGATCAAGAATTTGCCAACGATGCAGGGCTGGGCGGGGTTCAATCAGGCTGCGGGCGGGGCGAGCACGCCAGGATGGGGCGGGATGGGCAAGGAGGGAGGTGGAGCAGTCATGTCGCCAAGGACGCCGGGCGTGCCCCGCACGCCAGGATGGGGTGGTCTGGGGACGCCTGGAATGGCTACACCACGCACGCCGGGTGGAGGGGGGTTCCCGTTCTCCATGCCGGGCTCGGGGTCAAAAGAGAAGGGAAAGTCGGCGTCGTCAGAGGAGGAATTGAGGAAGATGAGGAGAGCTATGGTGAGTTCTGTACCCTATAGGCTTGCTGACGCTACAGCCTGTCATGCTTCGCCAGGCTTCAACAAAACCCATGCCCGTCGACGATGGCGGAGAAGCCGGCGACGACGACGATGACGATGATGGATCGGATACCGAGGTGGAAGGTGGGGAGGAAGATGACGACTCCGAGCCGGAAACGGAAACCGAGCCGTCGCCTATGAAGAGCAAGGGGAAGGGGAAGGCGATGAGTCCGCTCGATCGGCTGAAGGGTAAAGGGAAAGGGAAGGCTTCGACGGCCGGGAAAGTCACGCCGTCGAGCTCGCTCAAGATCTCGACGGTGACGGAGGAAGAGGAGGGTCCGGCGACCCAGGCCGAGAGCCTGCTGGAGCGGAGAGCACAGCTCAGTCCGCCCCTGCTCAAATCGGTCTCGCCAGTGCAGGCGGCTGTTCCTCTGCCTCAGGTTCCGGACAAGTCGCCAGCACGGGCTACGGCGCAAACGAATGGCGAGCCTCAGTGGTCCATCGGGAATTCCAGTGGCACCGGAGGCGGGTGGACAAGCTTTGCTTCTACCACTCCCAGCTTGACTCCATTCAAGCCGGCCGCAAAAACACCCAAGGCTCCGGCATCGGGTCTGCAGCGAGCGCTCTCGAGTGATGAGGGATACTTTGGCAATGCGGCTGCTACGCCCCCATCACAGAGCGTCGAGCTGCCGGAGGAGTCCAGTGCGCCGATCGCTGCTGCCCCGCTCGCTGCGCCTCTCGATCTTGGCCTCGCTGCCCCGCTTGCACCTGCGACATCGTCCCCACGGGCAGAGCCACCTCTCGCGTCCCCCTCTTCGGACATCTCTAGCAATACCGGCGAGGGCAACGACGGGTCCGACGAAGGCTCCAGTACTCACTCACCATACACTGCCAATACGTCGCTGCCGCAGAGCCCGTCCGTTGGTGACACTCGCCCAACCTCATCCACTCGCCCATCATTCTACAGTCGGGCATCCCAGTCCCTAGTGGATCTGCGTCGGCCGGAACCGGAGCGAGAAACAGAAAGTCCCGAACCGCCTCTTGCGCTAGCCAACGATCTAGCAATGGAGCCTACCCTCGTCTCTAGCTCGGAACTCATGCCCCGCCTGACACCCATCACATCCGGCGAAGCTGTCCGGTCCGCGGACATGCCCCAACGCATCGAAATGCCCGCGCACCAGAGCTTTCTGTGGGAAGCAGGTGCTCAGACTCCAGGCTGGCTTCGGGCACCGCCTACACCGTCCACGCCGGGCGGAGCGAGCAAGGTCTTCTGGGCAAGAGGGAAGGAGGGGTCCGAGACCAAACTCAAGTCAGAGACCAAAGTCAAGCGGAGGAGGTCGATGGGGGATGTCGGGGACTCGGAGCCCGAGCCGCCAGGATATGAGCCGCCTCACCCGGGTGTGGTCATCCCCAAGCCGAGGGAGGATGAGGGGAGGGAGGTCCTGCCGGGGTACTGGTGTGCTGTAAGTGAACTTCAGTGACATCACGGTGACAAACTGACCGTCAGGTTCATATCGAAGGGATGTTATCCCGCAAAATGGAATTCACCGCTCCAGGCGTACAGGCCCGCGATCGGAGCTGGAAGAAATACTACTGTATCCTCCGCGGAACTGCCCTTACGCTGTACAAATTCGACCCGCACCGCTTCGTCCCGAGGGAAGGTGCACCGCCCGGCATCAGCCCCATCGCCGAGGACGACGATGAAGAGTACCTCCACGTTCATATTCCGGCGGACCAGCAGCGTCGGGCGAGCGCATCATCGGGTACCTCGGGTGCATACGGTGCTGGTGGTCGCAGAGGGAGTGTGAGCGAGGCGGTCATGGCCGGTGTAGCCGCGGGAGGGGGCAGGCGGGGATCTACCAATAGTCCCCTCAACCCCGTGGCCGACCGGACACGCGCGGGCAGCGTATCAGGTCTTCCAGCGGGCTTTGACCCGGGACGTCGAGGATCTCTCACTGGCCTTGGGTCAAGCACCAGCGTGTCCGACTCTTCCCGGCGGACATCCGTATCTGGCGGTTCAGCATCCACATCCAACGCCTCTCTCGCTACGCCCGCCTCTGCTGCGAGTTCCGAGAAGGATCCAGCCTTGTTCGCCAAGTCGAATCGCCGTCCCTCGGTCGGTGCGACCACGATTGCCGCTCCGTCCAGCTCGGGTGGTACCACCTCCGCGCTGGCCCACTTCCAGACGAACCATCTCGTCCGGCAGTATACCCTTCAGAGCGCCGAGAGTGGACTGGCGGCGGACTATGTCAAGCGGAAGAATGTGGTCAGGATCAGGTCGGAGGGGGAGCAGTTCTTGTTGCAGACGGAGGGTGCGAGAGAGGTTGTTGATTGGATCGAGGTGAGTCAAGTGTAAGGGCAGTAGCACTTCGCTGACGCCGTAGGCATTCCAAGCGGCCACCAATGTCGCTCTCGATCTGGACGACCGACCCATGCCAAAGATCATCACCCTTCCCAGGAGACGTCGGAGACGGCCTGCTGCGGGCGCTGCAGCAACAGCGGCAGCGGGGGCGGTACCATCTACCGTGGCGGACACGCCCGAGGCGAACGTGCGTGCTGTGCAAGAGGCGGAGAGGGCAGCGAGGGCGATGGATCGAGATCTAGTGGCGGATCAGGCGAATCAGTAGGGAATCTGGCAGCAAGAGGATTGCCGAGTGGATCTTGGGTGTATCAAATATGCATTTATAGTATGAGGCTGATGGCCAGCTATAGACTTGCCACACCTAATCTCGACAACAGCTCCTTCCCGCAGTAGTCCCTTCAGCGCCTTGAGGTTGTTGAGGTCGGGTGTCGAGACTACCAACACCCACAGCAATCTTGACTTCCGTCGGAAGGGGCTTCCACGTTGAGGTATGACGCGTTGGCTGCAGAACAACTTCAGAAGCTCCTCCTTCGTCCCTTCACTTTCCAATCTGTCACTTACACCGCACAATGTCAGAAGGTATAGAGCTACGCAATCTTAAAGGCAAGGCTCCCACGCCTCCTCCGAGACATCCCGACATACAAGCGCAGGGCGGGCTGGGCAAGGCGTACAGGCTGGCAGAGGAGAAGGCGAAGGCGGCGGTGCATCTCCAGGAAGGAGGGTTGGACGTTACGAGTGTCTGGGGCTGTGGGACTGCTATATGGTGAGTAGATCATTGGAGATGTGCAATGGATATTGCGATACTCAGCTGCCTTTACCACCATATAGCGCTTCGCGGTTCACGGCTGATACCTCAGGTTCACTGTCCTCGCCACACCTCTCCTCCTCTTCCCCCGGCTCCTCCTCTTTTTTGCTCAAGTCGCACCCGCCACCACCCTCTCCACATCTCAGCGCGAGGAGCACTACGACACCCTCACGCCCCTCGAATCCTTCCTTTGCCACACCATCGGGTTCGGTCTCCTTTCCATCGCACTCATCGTCCTCTTTGGTCTGATCCCGCACTACGCGCCTCCGGCTACCAACGCTACGCGTACACCGATACTCTACGTCCTGGTGGGTCTGACGACGGTCATGGCGGCGGTATCGTACAATACTGGGTCGATTGGTGCCCTGGGCAAGGTGGTTGGCGTGGGGAATGGGGTGGTGGCTATCTGGGGATGGTGGGTGGTAGTGTTTGGGAATGTCAAGCTCAAGCAGAGGGGGTCGAAGGTACCAGCGAGGCTTAGGAAGTTGTAAATAGAGATAGAATCGTTCAGAACGATACACGAGAGAGAAATGCGCAATCAATGATGCTTCAATCCATACAAGTGGTAGACCCCGAATACAAAATCACCAGCCCAAGAATACAAAATACAATGCCTTGCTGGTCTATACAATCTCGAACCAGTCCGACTGCTTCCGGGCGGAAGTGGACACTTGGCGCTGAGGCCCATTTCGGGGTTTGGGAGGGGATTGCTTAATCTCGAACCAGTCCGACTTGTCGTCCGCAGACGAGGACGCCTGGCGGTTTGGAGCCACATTGCGAGTTTTCGGAGGGGCTTGTGTGATCTCGAACCAGTCCGACGGGTCAGTCCCTGGTGAGGAAGCGTGGCGGCCTTGAGGCATATTCCGGGACACTGGAAGGGATGGCTCGCGGCGGTCCTGAGGCTCATCCCGGGTTATGGGAAGAGATTGCTCGCGGCGTTGCCTGTCCTGTCAGTAATGCACAAGACTATGATTAGGCACTTACTTTCGGAGGGTTTGTACACTCTCATTCATAGCCTTCATCTCCAGCACCGTAATCAATCCATGGCAATAAAAAGTGCACTCGTCTGCGCCAAGACCATACACCATTTCCGGCATCCTGGTGATGTCCGGCTCGGGGAAGCGGAATTTGTTCTCCATATGGAACACCTGCAGAGCAGGCATCCCGTGGAGCGACGCGGTAGGTTTGAGAGAGGTCGAGTTGTACTCGAAACCGAGGAAGAGTTTGCGAAGGGAGGGGAATGCGTTGTCGAAGATACCGATTGGGATCTGGAGATCCTTCATCGCTGGGCTGCTCCAGACCGCCGACATGCTGATGCGGAGCTCCTGGAGCTGAGGTCCGATCGCTGCGGCAATGGCACGCAGGCGTTCGGCCGTCATTGGCGGTCCGTCCGTGGCCAGGAAGGCGTTCGGTGTGTGGCAGAGGGTGAATCGGGTGATGGGAGCGCACCCGCGCTGTCTCCTTTCCGCCAGGAACGACAGTGAATCGTCCACCGAGACGCGCATCTCCTCGCCGACGACGTAGTGGTCTATACTGCTCACCCGCGCATCGAGCGCGGGGTCCAGATACAGCCACGTCTTCCACCGCGAGAAATGCGCCGACATTTGAAGCTGGTCGAGCCGTATCGGGCACATCCTTTTGGTGTTGGCCAGGAGTTGTATAGCGATCGTCTGTGAGATGGCCATCAGATCACTGGTTGGGAGAGGAGGGAGGAGGGAGGCGTTGGGGATAGGAAGAGGATAGTCGTACATCTCAACTTGGACTTTGGACTCCAGCTCGACCCGTATAGATAATACAGAGTTCGCTTCGGCGCCTCGGACCTCGTTGATGTATACGACGTACGCGTCATCCGCTGCGTTGGCCGGGAGATCCGCATAGATGGTGCGGAGGTTTGGGAATTTCCGAAGCCAGATGACAAGGTCGGAGCTGAGCCTTTTGAGGTCAAAGCGGACCGGAGCTCTTTGGAACTCGGCGTGCCGAGGGCCATACTCCGCGAGGAGCGGCTCGAAGGGAGGGGGAGTGTTTCGGTCTAGGATCCGCACGGCGTCGCAGTATACCCTGCGCCTCTCCTGCCAATATCAGCCGCTTATACTAGCGATTCGAATAAGACATACCGTCCCGCGACCCATACTGGCCATGACCGACACCCCTACTCTATGGTAGAGTATCTCCGCTACACTGGCGGTGGACTTCCGGCTGAGCCGGAGGGCTCCCGCGAGCGTCGCACGGTCCAGGAAGGCAAAGATGCTCTGACGGATGTCGAGACAGCTGTACGCCTCCTGCGCAGCTTTGCCGCCTCGACGGATCCTCGAGACGGTAGGAGGAACAGTGGGCTCTGCGGAAAGGTCAGTCACTGGCTCCTTGCCGTTGACCTTTGGGAGAGACTGACCGGGGCGCATCACTGCCTGACCTCTCCTGTTGCTCGGAATAGCTGGCATGATGAGGAAGGTGTCTCCTGATTGATCTATGTGAAGAGAAGGGGGATAGAGCGAATCCGGTAAGCCGGTTCAAGTTGCGAGATGCAAGTCTTGACGCGTTTAATGCTGAAGCCTTTGGCCCGACCTGTGTTTCTTCCGTCGGAAGCGAGCAACTACTCATTCCTCGTCCGGCCGCTTCACCAGTGGGGATCGGTGCGCGGTGGATGCGGTGGCACAGGCTGATGGACGGGGTCCGCACCTGGATACTGTAAATGCCCAACTCCATCCCTCGGAGGGTTAGACTTGCCCATCAAGGAAGGTTGCGCTGATGCACGTCCAGAACAAGGGCCCGCGTGCACCAGCGGGATGTCGAAGCGATCAAGTCGACGGTCAGAGCGGGCTATTACAACATTGCAGCGATACTGTACTGTGGGACGATACAATCATCTATTATATACAACAGGCATACTACCGCACCCTCAATCCCTAAGTCTCCGTCTTGACCGCCTTCTTCTTTGGCTTCTTCTTGGGAGGCGGCTTTACCTCCTCCCCTTCCTCCACCTTCGGCTTCACCGCCCCCATCGGCTTGTCCGGCGATTCGTTTGCCTTGCCCTTCTTCTTCTTGGCAGATGGTGCCGATGCTGCCGCCGTATCCTTGTCTCCATCGTCTGCCGCCCGCTTCTTTTTCTTCTTCTTTGGCGGGGGAGGTGGCGGTGCCTGCTCTTCTGCTGGCATCCCTGCCCCACTGGGTCCCTGTTGTGGCTGCATGTCCCCAATACCGCCAATTCCCCCGGGTAAAGGTGGGCCGGGATGCCAAAGCCCAGCTTCCCTCGCCTCCTTCTCCGCCAGCCTGATCCGCTCGATATCCGCCATCCGTTCTTTGAGTCGCAGAATGCTCCAATTGGGCTGGAAGCCGGTACCTCCCATATGACCTGCGCCGACACCTCCGCCAGCACGAAGAAGCTTGCGCATCCGGTCCGAAGTGGATGACGCGGGTTCTGAGGCGGTCTTAGGACAACGGAGGTGCCCATCGGCCGAGAGACCGGGAGTCGCGGGTGAAGTGAGAGCCATGGAGAGGACGGCATTGCGAGTAGCGAGAAGAGATGTCCCGAGGTAAAGTGGGGGCGATGTTGCGGCCTGAGAGTAAGCACAGTTTTTTGTATTTGCTCCTAGACTGGACTCACGATAATGCTCGACTCCAGCTCTAGCGCCAGCCCTTCCTCCCAGGTCTCGCCTCTCCTCTCCAACATATGCTCTATAGTCTGCGCAAGACTCTCCGCAGCCGGGCGCATGACCACCCTGCTGCGCACATCCGGTATCCGCCTAAAGTCCTGGACCTCGACGACGAGGCATCCATCCACAAAAGCAACGGGTGGATTGATGTCATAAAGGAAGGGGATGAGGGCGGACGGGATGACTTGAGATCGGAGGGCGAGGAGGAAGGGGCGCATAGGGCCTTCATATTGGAAGTTGTGGGGCTAGATAGTCAGTCGATGCGATATTTGATCCGTGGTGGACTTCTTGGGGTGAATGCAACTCACAGACTCGGCAAACTTCCAATAAGAAGGGTGGAGCTGGACAGTCAAGCTCGCCTCCCATTTCCGGGCTTTCTTGAGGACTGTGCGGGCGAATCGCTGATGATTGTATCCTGAGGCGCTTGCCATGATTACGATGGTATGCTGGGCCTCTGGCGAGTGTACCGACGCGAGACTGCTAATCCAGGATACAAGGCGGATGAATGGGATGTTTGGGTTGTGATATGTCGAAAGGCAAAAGAGGAATGCGGAGCAACTTGGGCTTCACCTCTGTCCACCAAACATACTTCACCTTACCTTCTCCATCTTGGTCTCCTGAGCAAGATGAACTCATATCCTCATGAGGTGAGCTGGCAGAACAAATGTTTCCTCTCCATGCTGACACACAGTTCCTCGCGCACCCCCAGCCGCTTATGTTCGTGGCCGGCTTGACCCCGTCGTCCAGGGACCGAGCGGCCTCTCTAGCCTCTGGTTCAGGCCAGCGATCGCGCGCCGGCTCCACCGCTACACGTCTGGAAGCTTCACATGGCGGACCAGCTCTTACAACACCGATAGCGTCGCCAAGCCCACTGGCACACATGTCTCTCCCGATCTCCCCTCCGGCCACCTCCCCTCCTATCCGGAACGAGGACGGCTCGAAGACTTTGGACCAGGTCGCTGGGCCGTCCAAATCTAGTTCCAGCATCCAGCTTGCCGTGGATGCGGAGGAGGATGAGTTTGAGCTGCTGGTGCGAAATCTGCGGGAGTCGCTGGAGGGTCTGGGCGGGAAAGGGAAGGTGTGGGTCAAGCAGTCTGAGCGACGCGACTTTAGGATCATGCTGGTCGACAAGGTACGCTTTACCATTAGCCTATCGACTGTGAGCTGATTGTCCAGCACGTCCGACTTCCTATGCGCAAGATCAACCCCAGTCCAGCAGGATCCCAGGTCGATATCTCCGCTCCCCGCTCTCCCCTCTCACCCTTGACGCCCACTTCCCCGCTCTACCCGGACGGTCTCATTGCCCCTATCTGGGTCCGAAAACACGCCGAGATGGTCCCTTCGGTCTTTGTGCTCTTTTTACGACTGTACGAGTCGACTGAAGAAGGGGAAGTTGAGGATATCCTGGGCGGGAACGAGGCACAAAACGCGGAGAGGCGCGCAAAGGAGCAAGAAATGGATGAGGCGCTGGTCAAGGAGATAGGGGATAGGCGGAGAAGACTGGGTGAGAGGGGCATCAAGTTGACGGTTGTCTTGATGGCTAGCGCTGCAGCTCTCGGTAAGTCTCATCAGGAGAAGCTTACTCTCGCTGACTTGCAGATTCACCCGCACTTGACCCCCGACTATCATACCTCCGCCGCGCGTCAGCCCTATCCTCCAAAGCTTCGCTTTTCGTCCTCTCCCCTGTACCTGCGGATCAACTCCCCGAATTCGTACAGAGTCTGCAGGACGCGCTCTTCGACTCGGCGGCGGAATACTACTCTGCCCATGCAAAGCGCGTGAAGCGAAAACGAGCACGAGTGTCGACTAGCTCGTTAGCCGTCCCAGGCGCCGCAGGGAAGGTGCTAGGCGCGCAAGGATGGGCGGTCAGGTATGACTGGAAGAGCGGGTGGTTTGCCGAGATCCGAGGCGATCTCGACGAAGCCAGACGGTACGTCCAGTTGTCCCCTTTAGAATGAGCTGACTAGTAGGCATTACGAAGACTGCTGGAACGAGCTGGCCCGGATGTTCTCCTCAACCCAGACTTTACCACCGCGGACGAAGCGATGGGCGGAGGCCAAGGTGCTGGCTGATTGCGTCGCCATGAGGATATGCCGCTTGCTGCTGTACGGCGACGACTCGGCCAAGGTGCTCGGGCCTTTCTTTGTGCATTTGAAGCGGTTTGGGGACCTATCGCGAGGCTGGGGGATCGGGGAGGAGACGTTCGAGTTTTGGAGCTGGATCGCCCGACAGTGAGCTGGTCTCCCAGACTATCGATCCATGAACTGACCCGTGTAGATACCGCATTTTTGCAGAGCTGCTGGAAGCGGGCGTCCAGTCAGGTCTGCGTATACCAATCCTCGCCCCGCCTGTCCTTCCCACCGCCCAATCAGCTGCAATGCCCCCGACACCAGAATACTGGTCAACCCCTATCTCATCAACAAATCCACTTCAGACCCTCCAGTCACCCGCATTTTACTTCTACACCGCTGCAAGCTGTTCCGTCCAACGTCAAAAGCGCTTCGAGGAGGCGCTTGCTTTGGAGGTAAGTCTAGCGCTCGGGCGATGGTGATGTGCTGATCGACCAGGAGGATGCTCTTGCTTCGGAGTCAGGTGCTGCGTCAGGCTACGTGTCGGCCGCTCCCGGCTTCGCCAATGAAAAGAAGGTCGATCATTCCGCCGTCGTCGTTGAGCTATTCACCAAAGCTTACTCTTTGCTCAAAGAGCAAGACATGGCGCAGAATAGGACCGCGCTGTACGTGGCGTACAGGATAGCCGAGTCCTACTGCCAGTCTGCGCAGTATGACATGGCCATGCGGTGAGCTCTTTTGCTGGGGCGGAGCTGATCAGGCAGCTTCTTTGAGCGTATCTCGCCGACCTTCCAGAGAGATAAGTGGACGCCGATCGTCCGCCAGATCCGGAAGTTGTGGTATGAGTGTGCTCAACATACCGGGCAAGTCGAGTCCGCCGCGAGACTCCTGGTCGAGATGATGTGTCCAGGTGAGCTTCGCTCGCTGCTTCTGAGGAATCATGGCTGATAAGGACAGATAGCGGTATAGAAGGCGAAGATCGCATGGCACTGCCTGAAGATCTGTTATCCCTGATGAAGGTCATTTTCCCCCTTGTCTTGGGTGCGGAACCGAGCTGACAGTGCAGACTACCGCTCCCGCCAGCGAGGAGCCTATAATTCTGGACATGGGGAAAGACAAGCCATTATGTGAGCAACCCGAGACATTCGTAGTGCACCGGCTGATTCCGACAGTGGATGTCCGAGCTGGCTTCTGGCAGGCAGAAGCTCCCGTCTCCAGCTCGGTCTCATTCCAGATCTCGATCGCTTGTCCTGACGATGTCCAAATATCAGACTTGGCATTTTCGTCAGCGGTCATAGCGTTCTCGGATGGTCGACCCGACTGCACCATCGAAGCCGATTCCTCATCGGACGGTAAGGTATCACTGGTCGACCTGGGAATGATCCACCATTCCGAGCCTCAAGCCACCTCGAAAGCACGCCTACAATGGAGTCCCGGACAGGTAGTTGTGCTACAAGGGACGCTACTGGGTGACGCCGAGGGTGACTGCGAGGTGGGTCTTGTCTCTGAAGTGATATGGGACTGCCAGCTCAGAGTATAGGTCTCATCAGTCCGCCTCTTGCTTAAGCAGGGCGTCTGGGATCTTCAGCTCGGGTTCGACCCAACGCCACTTCAGGAGTGGATGGCGGGCGAGGTATCTTATGTGCCCTCTGGAGGTATCTCCAGCTCTATTCGGTAAGCGATCTTGATCAGTCTTCAGGGGCGAGCTAATCTCTTTAGCATCATCACAAGCCCTCACCTCGTCGACCTCAAGCTGGATCACCTTCCTCCAGCCTTCATGGGCGAGAGGATACCAGTGAAGGTGAAGATCACGAGCAGGGATGAGCGGGATTTGGAGCTAGTGATGTCGGTATTTCTCCACCCTGGAGAAGAGGGAGAAGGTGAGCACTTTCGCGCGGCGGGGACGACAGTAGCTGATACCGGCAGAATCGTCAATATCGCTGGACGCCAACGAGTCCACCAGCCTGCTCAAAGACCTCGATCTCGGCCTACTGAAAGCTGGCGAAGCGCTGGAGAGGACGATACATCTCAAGTCGTCCGCTATCGGGACGAAGGTCATTGACGTCTCGCTGCAGACCACCGTTGTCGCAGCAGATGTCTCATCATCGACAGACGATCCCGACTCGCCCTCCAATATGCCAGCTCGAGCGGAAGATTTTGAAGCGACAGCAGTTATACCGATCATGGCGCCGTTCGGCATGTCGACTCGGGTCACGTACTCGCCAACCAGGATGATGGATGACGGCCTGGTGGTCGACGCTACAATCAGTACGATCTTTACCGGGAATCAAGTCAGAGGGATCGAGGTCGGCAGCTTGTCTTTGACGCAAGCGGTACGTTTCTCATCTCGAAGTTGGCCTGAGCTGATCAGCTAGGGACTGGAAAACGCGGAGCTGTCTGCCAACACTCTCGCCATCGACCCCTTTGTCGCGCAGCGTGAGCTTCTGTCTTCTTGGTGTGACCCCTAGCTCATCGTCAGGCTGGACCGAACATACGGTATATAGCACGGTGACGAAGTACACTTTGCGGCCGCGTCAAGCTTCCGCCTCAGGGCCTCAGGGTGACATACCGGCAAACCTAGCTATCAGCTGGCGAAGGTGAGCCGATCACATCGTCTTCTAACCTCAAGCTGACATATCCAGTGACGACGCGTCCGAATTCATCGAGAACATCTTACCCCTCCCACCCCTCGTCTTCCCCACTCAACAATCCTTCCTGACCGCCCAACTCCGCACTCCCAAGACCGTTCACCTACAACATCCCTTTCCCGTCGTCATTACCATTACCAACTCGCACCCGACCCACTCGATACCCGACACTGCAGTAAGTGTGGACATATCGGATGCATTCGTATGGATGGGCAATAGGGTGGCGAGATTGGCGGATATACCTCCGAATAGCCAGCGGGAGATCAGGGTGGAGTGTGTGCCGGTGAGCACAACGGGATGGGTGGACTTGCCGCGAATCAGGGTATATGAGGGTGTGGATGACGCGAGGCGGGATGTGCTGCTTTCAGGCCCAGGGATGGGTAAGGGGGGTGTGGGTAGGGTGTTTGTACAGCCCTGATCTTGATACATCTCAGTCTGGTGTATGAATCCTATGTACAACATCTACCACGCTACCTCATTCCTGCCATTGACTATCAGCGTCCGTGAGAGGGACATACTGCCTAGCTTAGCTGGCGTTATCAGCTGAGAAAGCAACTTACCCTGACCCCGAAGAGCTTGGTCCTGGTCACCTCTCCCTCCGCCGATTTGTCGACTTGCCAAATATCTGTATAGTCAGCCCTCCCGCTTCAATAAGCCTTCCGGTCTTACTCCCTGTCGGGCTGTTAGAGCGAAAGACTTGCCTTGTCTGTCCGTCCCGACCGGTATAGACATCCGACCTGGCTTAGCTAGCTGATCGACCAGATCTTGAGGTATCTCGGGGGCAGCAGCTCCAATATGGATGACCTGATATGGTCCTGCTGTTCAGCTCCATCCTCTGCGTTTGTAAGAGTTAGCCCCTCACCCTGACCTGCCCATCCTGCGGCATCAGCTTGAGCCGGCATATAAGAAAGTTTTGGTATCTCACCTCTTCGACCGTCTCCGGTGACTATACGTATGCGCGCATCATCAGAGTCTACCGCCAAGCCATCCTTCGCCAGATTCATTCGCGACATCTGGGTCAAGCCGGGGATATGGTCGATCCCCACAACGGTCGCGCTAGGGGCGAGATGATGCAGTACTGCCGTCACTGCCTGAGGTCAGCCCTTCGGCGCCAATACAGGATGCTGGTAGACTCACAGTAACCACTTCCGCACCCTACGTCCAGGATAGCACCCGCTTCCTTGTCCGCAAGCTGAAGCAAAGGCAGCAAGTTCTCGCATGCGAGCGCGTGCATGTGCGGGGCGGATATGGTAGCGCCGTATCCTATGATCCTGAGTCTTAGCTATGGCACAAGGCTTATACGAGCCACTTTAATGGACTCACTGAGGGGAGTCTTGATACGCCAGCTGAACGTCGGGAACATAGTTCCTCCTGTCCACCTTGCGCATGGCCTGGAAAGCTCAGTGCGCCCGTGCTGAAATCCTCTCACGCTGCAGATAATCAGCCCACCTCTGCAACTAGTGGCGCCTGTATGAGTCCTTCTTTGAGCAGATTGTCAATCAGCTTCACTGTCAGCAGAAGTTACGGGTGAGTCAGTGGACGGTTAGCTGGAGCGAGCTGCTGAATCAGGGCGCACATACCTCTTCATTGCTTCTCCCGCTACATTTCCATGCCATGATGGTGAGGATTTCAAGCGTACTATCAGGTCTTGCCACCTGGTTGATTGATTATAGTGGATCACACAGAAGGGCATTGTCAGGCTGACCGCGGCCCGCAGCCAGCTCCTCATTCCTCACGCTTTACGGCAGAGCTCGCCATGACGTGGCTTTCGCTCTGATATCAAACTGCAATCAGAGGCCAAAACCAGCTTCCAGCCTCTCCAGCGCCTCTCTTGCATTCAACCATTATTACATTCCTATACATCATCACAGGAGTGACTCAACCGGTAAGTCACACCTCCCGCTCTGACCTCCTCGCTGCCCCTCCCCTGCTCCCGAAGTGATTAGAAACCTAAATAATATCTGTCAATCCACGGAAACTGGCCCCCTTCGGGGTGGACTACATGTCGATTATTATCATCCTTATCATGATCTCCTACCGCCTCTTCTCCCTTTGCTATCATTGTACGGGTCGAGGGGACGCATGCTGATCGTTATGGATAGGTCCGTTAGACTTCAACGTCTTCAGCCAGGTATCGCGTACCAGGCCGCCGGTTCTGTAAACCTGATCAGCATCCACCGTAGACGAGATGTCGGAGGGCAAGAACCAGCCGAATAGGATAGAGTCGTGGCTGTTGCAGGAAGACGAGAAGCCGTAAGTCTTCTTGTCAGCTTAGCATGTTGTAGTATCCCGCAGTATCACGCATGTATCAGTCTTCGCGCTTGGACAATGCGCTGACGCGTCCAGCTTGACTCTGGCTGAAGATGCCAAGCTCCCCAATGCCGCAACTATCACTCTCCGGAATCAGGACCACACCCTCGGGCACATGATTCGTTGGTACGTCTGCCTTGCGCCCATTCACATTCGCGCTGACTCCCAGCCAACTCCTTCTCGACCCCACCGTCCTTTTCGCAGGATACAAAGTTCCCCATCCCCAAACAAACAACATCGAGCTCAAAATCCAATGTGACGACCGCTCCAATCCTGCCGATGCACTCAAGCGGGCATGCACCCTCCTCATCCAGCAAACAGCGATGATCAAGCAACAATTTGTGGACCAGGCGAAAAATATCGAGATGGGTATGGGACCGGAGGCTGGTGGTATGGGTATGGGCATGGGTGGGCGGGGCGCAGGTGGGGCGTATGACCCATATGCGGATGGGTTGGGCGGTGGGGGTCCAGTGGGCGGTGCGAACGGTGCAGGTGGCGACGTGTATGACTTCTAGCGTGGAGAAGGGAGAGTTTCGAGTTGTATCTTATACTGTAACACTATTGACAGATGCAAAAGATAGATTCCACGACTGATAGCTAATGATTATGCTACAACTAATCTACTGATCCCAGCCTCTACACCTTGGCCCACAGTTCCCTACTCCTCGCCAATCGACCAATAACCAGCAATATAGTCGTCGCAGTCATCATACTCGCCCCGAACGCTATCGCTTTATTTGCGTTCGCGAGCTGACTCTCTGGACTTCCGTTTCCCAACAACGCCCCGAATATCGAACCACTGACGAGCTGCGCGATCGACATGAAGAACATGACTTGCCCGACGAGCGTGCCTGCGAATCGCATATCGTCGGCCTCGGCGGACGACATGGGCGCTTGTTGGCTCACGTACGCGCCGGACCAGAACCCAAAGAGGACGGCAAAGGCGGTCAGGCCGGGCTCGGTACGGAGGGCGATCCAGGACCAGTAGAGGACGGTCATAATGAGGATGGAAAAGCTTGTGATGTTGTATGGGCCGACATAGTCGGCGAGGACTGCACGTCAGCGCGGAAGGACGGCGTGAGCAAGTAGAGAAGCTGGAAACTCACGCCCGAGACTGATCCGCCCAAATGCTGAGGATCCGTTCGTGATGATGCTGTACGAGTCAGCGAGGCATGAAGTCTCACACATGGTGGAACTCACAGAAGATATGGTGCGAAATCACCTAGTCCAGCCAATTGTCCAAAAGTTCCGATAAAACTCAAGAAGCTGAAAAAGCTCATGATATATGTCTAGAAATGTCAGCTCTGTGCCGTATCGAGCAGAGAGGATTACTCACGAAGGACGAAAGGGAGACGCAGCAATACGAGACCTTTCGGAAAGCTTTAAAGTAAAAGAATGGCCCGGGGGGTTTGGGAGGTAACCGGGTTTTGAGGAGGAAGAACGCTGCGGCGCCGAGAGCGATGGTGATGAAGCCCATCAGTCGGACTGTCCAGGGGAAGCCGACTACTCGGTCAGCATAGCAAGGTGGACTGAGTGATAGTAATAGTGGACTTACTGATGGGGGGAAGCTTTGCTATTATCAATGGCCAAATGACGGATCCGAGGGAGGCACCAGCGGCTGTAGCGTATCAGTACGACAAGTACATCACAAACGCGTCTATGCTATCAGGAGACTAACTAAGTATACCGCTATCTCGTCAGCTTCCATCTCTTCAGACAATACGGCGGAGCAGGACAACTCACAAAGCAAGTCCGCGTCTTCTGGAGAACCACTGCCCGACGACTCCCATCGGCGATATGAAGCTAATATTGTCAGCCTGAAACCACGCCAGAGAGCGTGCGGCACAGCGTGAGGAGGCGCTCACATCAGATTATTCCCAATCCCAATCACTAAAGCGTGCACCAGAAACAACTGCCAATACTCTGTGCAGAATCCCAGCAGGATCAGGCCGAGTCCGCTCATGACCGAGCCCACGAAGATGAGCGGCTTGTGACCGTATTTGTCAAACAGGGAGCCCGTGAAGGCTGCTAGACCGAAGGTAATGAAGGCCTGGGTCCTGGAGTGTGAGCGATGAGGGGATTAAGGCAATGACTAGACTCACCCTGGTATCCACGCGATCGTGCTCCTGGTCGATATCAGCACTGAGTCCTCTACCAGACTTGTAGATAACTTACGAAGAGTAGGTCGGGATGAGCGTAAACGTGTAGTACGTCTGGAACCCGCCCAATGCGGCAGTCAGGCCAAACCCGCAAAACAGCGCGCACACTCCGCCCAATACGACCAGCCAGGCCTGCACATTAGCTCGCACCCCAGTACATCACTGCGGACACTCACCGCTTTTCCGCCGTCTGGAAATGTGACCTCCGTCCCATCCTGAGAAACCTGCACCACCTTGCCCTTCTCCCCCTGCATCGACATCCCTTCTCCCCCTTCTTCCGCCTTACCCCCATCTTCCACCTTGGTCATCTCCGTCCGCACACTCGCGTGCGTTTCTTGCCGCCTGATCTCGGGAAGCGCAGTGATAGTCACTGGCGCGTCTATGAAGGTCTGGTTGAATGAGCGATTTGACAGGCGGGAGGAAGAGCGCTGGACCGGCGTAAAGCCAGCACCGCCGTACCCCGCTTGTCTGGTCGCGGGGACGGGCGCACCGAGCGGTGGTACAGTGGGTCCGGGTCGAGATGCCGCATATCGATTAGGAACGGCACGAGGGATGTTGGGGAGCGGAGGAAGGTCGACAGACTGGCGATGATGTGAGTCGTGGGAGGATATTGAGGCGGACCGGGCGTTGGCGTTGGTGTTGACCGCACCAGCGGCTTCAGGTTGAGGATACGACATGTGGAGACAAAGAACAACGCGAACTCGCGACAGGCTTGAGAACTATGGACAGATGAGGGAGTGGAACAACTGAATAGCGCGCAACTCAAGGTCTTGCGGCTCTACTTCTCGGCCCGAATCGAGCCCTCCACAGAGGTTTTTCCGGCGCGCGGGCGTCCCCACTTCTCCCCCACCTCCACCTCCACTTTGCGTCTCGCTGCGATTTTTCACAGGTGCATCGCCTCGCTCCATTGTCCTCACTCCATCTTCGACCATCGGTCTAGGTCCCAGTATGCATGGCTCCATCCTACCACTCAACGAATACTTGCTACAGCTGAAAAAGCTTCAAATGCTCGACCAAGGTCCGAACGCCACTATCGGTCTTCTCCGAAGGGGTTTATCCGGCCCTCACGTAAGCTTGGTCGTTCCGTCGGAAAGATCACCGAATGATTTCGGCTGGCTTAGCTTGGCTTTGCCTCACGGTCAGCCTTGCACGCAACACACCTTCGCACCTGCTTCTATACCATCTCTTACCTCTACACACCCTGTTCGCCCTCTCCTGGAGTATGAGTCTCGTCAATCAGAAGATATGACGAGCACAGTGGTGAGTATCGCCTTAACTATCCTGGTCCTCGGGTTGGGCTGCTCCCCCCTCCTTGAGATGCCGCTGACAATCCAGCCACTCCAGCCGTTGTCGGCGCATCATCTCAACACCCCTCCCTCCACGCCCTCTTCCCCTCATGCAGCGAATCACACTTCCAGCTCTCCCCGAGGCGGTCTAAGCAAGGCCGAAGCGTACGCAAGCGCGCACCAGCCGCCCCGAGTCCGCTCAAAGGAGGGCGAAGGCTCGGGTGGCGTGGGGGCTGGAACGAAGTCCAAGCCTGTGGAGGGGGATAGGAGCGGTCATGTTCAGCACGCAAGTAGCGGTAGCGGCTCGCATGGACACGGACACGGGGGAGGTGGCAAGCCTATCCTGAACTGGATATCGCGAAAGTTGGGCGGAGGGCGAAGGGCTTCTATTGCCGAGCCGGGGGCGGCGGTCTCGAGCGCGGACGTGACGGGGCGGACGACGAGTACTGTCCGTGTGCATACGAATGAGCAGCGGGGCAAGTACACCACGTTGCCCAAGAAGGGCAAAACGGGCGCGGGGGACAGCCATATCGCTATTCCATCCATCACCCAGCCCGTAGCTGGTTCAACTACCGGCCAGACTCGACCGTCAATCAAGCCGAAATCCACTCAACCCGCCACCAGACTCGCCATCCCCACTCCTACCTCGCAACACCGACCACGGCTCAGCCCATCCCAAATCTTCCCCCAGACCCCCGTCCGCAATTCCATCTTGTCCGGCTCGGAAGCCCACTCCCTCCAGTCGTACTCGCTCTTCTCGGCCTCCCCATCCGAGCGGGAGCGGCGGCGCGAGGCCAACAACCCCTACCCGTCGATGCCTATCCACATGTACAAGGGAAGCATCATGTCTTCGTCCGCGTCGGCATGGGCGAGCGCAAGTGGCCTAGGCGACCGAAGCGTGTCTTTCCGGACGCGATCGCGCTCGCCCAGTGTGCGTTCGGGACGGAGTGTGAGCTCCAGTCTAAGACCCGCGGCGAGGAGGAGTATGGTGGAAGAGATGTTTGGGGAGGACGGGAGCGTCAGGTGGGGGAGCACAGGAGGGAGGAGGGAGGAATGGGATTCCCTGGCTACGGGCCGGGATCGGCGGAGCAGGACACCCGGCGGGGCAGACGAGAATGCGTCGATACGGCCTATTCCGCCGTCGCATCCCTCCTCGCCAACTCCGTCACAGTCGACTCGGTCGCAGACCCCTTCGGCCTCGCTTCTCTCGCCCAAGCCACACCGGTCCCGCTCGCTCACCTCCCCCGCTAGGCGGTTCTCGAGCCGCCAGGACTCGAGCTCGTCCATTGGAGACGCATCGGACCGGTACGGCTACGACGAGAGCAGCAGTCACGGGCTCAGTCGGCATGGCAGTGCGAGTACCAAGCCGACGACCATTGTCAGCTTTGATTCTGGGCCGGCCGTAGCGCATATTGCCCAGGTCGCGCCTGCCCCAGCAACAGCTGTAACTCCACCCACTCAGTCGGTACCTCCCAACATCCCACAAAATGCAGTAGCCGGACCGAGCACAGCCCCGACCGCCACGACCCCACCCTCTACCGTGCACAACTCCTCCATCTCCGGCTCACCCATGTCGACCACCGTACCCCCCTCACCCCTCCGTACCTCTTTCTCGCGGGACGCCTCTCTCCCCGTATCTGGACCATCCAGTCCGACCCCAACCCCCTCGGCACCCGCATTCCAAGCCCTTCCTCCCAAACACACTCACCCCCACCCGATCCATAATCCCCGTCCATCGTCCCCTCCAAACGATAACGCCTCCATCCTCACTCTTGCCAGCTCCACATTCGCCGCCCCCAACCCGGCTTATGGCGCCCCGAGCGGTGCTGGGTCTCTCCACCGCCCAACGAGCATCTCTCGGATGAGCATGATCAGCAACTACGCGCCGAGTGCTCCGCGGCCAGGTCTGGGCACGAGCCCGTCGGTGACCTTTGCGCCTATACCCAATGAGTCTGGGGTATCTGGGCCTCCTACGCCGGGACCATATGCGTATGCGCCGCATCGACCTTCATCGCTCGCGCCGTCTCATCGGTCCGTGGATGAGCAAAATCGGCGGCCGCCATCCCTCGCCAGTCCCCTCCCGCTTGATCAGCAACAGAAGGAGTATCAGCCTTCGCTCCATCCCACGCTGGGGACAAGGGGTTCGGCATCACTCTCGCATGCGAGCTGGGGGCTCGGCCGGGCGGGCGGAGTGGATGAAGGAGCGAGTACGCGGGCGATGAGGCGGAAAGGGAGCGAGAGTAGCGTTGGGAGCTTTGAGAGTAGGTGGTCTTGGCGCGGAGCCGGAGCCGGGGTATCGCCGGGAGTCGGGAGGGTCATGGGGGGTGAGGTTAGTAGGAGTGGGAGTGGGGTCATGTCGTAGCTGGACAGGTGACGATAAGGTGGAAGAGCCAATATCATCATGTAGTATATAGTGCGTAAGTAGTAGATCAGATCAGTAAGAGACAAGCGACACGAGATTGTTTGTAGACATAGCGATGGATTTCTTTACATGTATTTACTCAGGCACCTAGACTCCCCACCAGAGCGACATGACGCCCTTGGCATAGCCCACAATCTCACTCCCCGACAACTTGCTCTCGCCATATATCCGATCCACAAACGTGATGGGTACTTCGCCGACCGTGTACCCTAATGCGCGAGCCCGGACGATGATTTCCATCTGGAAGACGTAGCCTTTGGACGTGCACTGAGAGATGATATTCTGGAGAGCGGGTTTCCGGTATAGTCTACCTTATCAGCTTGCGTTCTGGCTCTATCTCGAACGGAAAGGACTGACCGGAACGACCCCGTCAGATCGCTGACCCCAGGCTGCAACACCGTATCCGCCAAAAAGTTGGCTCCGCGCGAAACCAGCTTGCGCTTCAGATCCCAGCCGTACACCCCGCCCGGACCCAGTCCTATTGGTTTGACGCCGGACAAGAAGCCCGGTTTGGGGTGAGACGAGTATCGCGTGCCGGTGACAATGTCGAGGTTGTGCGTTTTTTGTTGGCGGATGAGCTCGGGGATGAATTTGGGCTGGGCGTTAGCGGATCCGCTGGGAACGGGAAGGGGGGGAGGGGGAGCATACGTGGTGTGAAAAGTCGGCGTCCATGATGATCACAAAGTTGCCGGTACAGAAGTTGAGGCCGTGGACGTATGCTGTCCTGCATTGTCAGCTGGGTCTGCCCGCAAGGTCCGGACGTGGAAGCTCACCCCAAGCCTAGCTTGCCTGCTCGAGGCTTTAGTACCTATACTATCAGCTTCGTCTTGACGCAATCGTGCTGAACCCTCAGCTGTACATACTACTCGGTCCTCGCCATACACTCCCGCCAACTGCTTGGCGACGTCCTGCGTCCCGTCCGGACTCGCATCGTCTACAATGATGATCTCCCAATCGATCCCACTACCCAGTCAGCTATAGCTCGTCTGCACGCATAAGAGCCGAGCAGTGTTCAACCCACTTGGCCTCAAATGTCCTGGCCAGCAACCAGATGATCACAGGCAAGTTCTTGCGCTCGTTATAAGTCGGGAGGATGATGGAGTATTTATCGGCTGCGGAGTGAGCTCTGCCCTGTCTGACACGTGTGCAGAAGACTCAGCTCACTCGTACCGTCGTTAGCTGATGACATGTCTATTGTGTGATGCCTTGACATGTGCGATGCTGAGCTGGGTATCTGCTTAGTATGAGCTATCACTCAGCTGTGGATATGGTCAAGAGGGCTGCTCGCTGCGCTGGAATGGACGCGTTTCATCTTGTGCCCCTCTAAATTGCCCAAAGCGGCGAATTCCTCTACTCTGATTTGATGCCGTTCACCAGGTACCAGCCAAACCCTGCGCCCAAGACTGGCCCCTTTGTTTGGTTCAATCGCCTAATACAAGTAAAGTACTACCAAGCCAAAGCTCGCATACCTCATAGACGCGCCGTGTGATCGGCATCAAGAGAACTACGAGCAAGCTCAGGTATCAAGCTCATCAGAGAAAGGTACGCCTGCACCGCCCAGGCTCAGGGCGCCGCGGTCCTCGCTTCCATTCGAAGCACACACGCTCGGACCTTATCCCTTTGATCTCGTTGTCAGCCGCCCCGCTCGGCTTCCCTTCCGCGGTTTCAGATTTTACCCACGAAGAGATGCCCCGCATCACTAGACGACGCAAAGATGTCGTCCTCCTCCTTCCACCACCCTCATTCTCCATACCCAAAAACGGCGAATCGAGCACCATGGCGCTGCAGCACCCTTCGGCGGGTCCAGCGCCGACGCTAGATGTGTTGTTGATGGCGCATAGGATGGCGGCTGCAAGGGGGGAGCAACTGGACGTGGAGGCGTACATGACGGATGAGATGAGGAGGGAGTGGTTCGAAAGGAGAGAGCCGTTCATGCCTGCTGAAGATGCGGATGGGAGCGGGTCCAGGAAGAAGCGAAGGATATCAATGGATGGCGATGGGACGTTACACACCGCCTCATCTCCATCAACCCCATATCAGCCTGATATCACCGACCCCGCCTACTCCCCATCACATCCCTCGTCCAAGCGGCATCGCACGTCTCTCGTCGAACAACACTGGACACAACGTCGGCGGACATACCTCCCCGGTGATGGATCCGCCGGTGCTCACGGATCCAATTCCGGCAATGTTGAGGAGCAGGATGATATAATATCTGTACCTGGCGGAATGGTCGTTCCAACGCCGTTGTTGAGCAATGTGGGAATAGGAACGGGGAATTGGAGGCGGAAACCAGAGGTTGAGGCGGACAAGGAGGAGGTTCAGGCTAGCGCGTCTTACTGGTATGTCCAGTCCTTCAGTCAGTTTACGTCGGCTGATCTCCAGGAACACCCTCCTTATACGCGCTCGGAGAGACCGTGGACCACAATGGGACTACTCTACCCAATCATACCAGGTCGACCGTCATTCCCGGGCATACTATACGCACATGGATAAGCCTCTCAACGAGGACTTGCCACCACCAGAGGAGGTCGTGGCAGGGACGGGAATGGGGGGAGCGCCGACCTTTGCCAACCTCACGCGAACGGCTTCTAGCTCGGGTGAGAGCCGATCAGGCGGAATGGCGATCCCTACTTTACCGTTTACGGGACTTGGGGCGGGCGGACCTTCTGCGGGCGCAAGGCCGGGCTCCCCGCGATCACGGACGCAGTCCATCTCGCAGCCTAGGCCAGGATCGTCGGGGGCGCTCCTCCCTGGAGATCTGCCGCCACGGAGCGAATCGCTCTTTCCCAGCCTGGGGTCGACATTTCCGCCGGGCACGGCGCCGAGTCCTGCTCAACTGCAGCAGCTGCATGCGCAACAGCAACAGGCGCTCTTGGCGCAGCAGCAGGCTCAGCAGGCCCAGCAGCGTCAAGTGATCCAGCAGCAGCAGCAGCAGCAGGGCCAGATGTCGCAGCCATCGGGGTCTCAGCCATACCAGCAACTGTACCAGCAACAACAGGCTCAATTGCAACAGCGCCTCCCACCGCACTTGCAGCACATGCAATCGTCGCTGCATCCGCAGTACGGCTCGCCCACGTCGTCTGCTAGCGGTACTTTGCCCAATATCAGCCCGAATCCGGGCGGCAACTCGGGCCAACTGGCACGCACCATCTCCCCTTCATCCCTATACCCCTCGCCCGGTCCAAACCCGCATGCTCCACTCCGGCGCACACCGTCCCTCTCCGAGCCCTCCCCTCTCCCCAACGGTACCGGCACTGGCACCAGTAACGGCAACGGCGGTATCCCCAACCCATCGTACACTGGTCAATCCCCACAATCCCAACCCCCACCGGGCTTCCCACCGACCTATTATCCCCCACCCACCAATACCTCTTCCCTGCAGCTCCAACCATCCCAACGCGCCACGTCGTACGGACCTCTGCCTAAAGGTCCGCAGGGCGCGACGCCACAACAACAGGCGTGGGCGGCACAGGCGAAAACGATGGGGCTGGGTTATGACCAGTTTCAGGAAATGATGCTGCAGCATCAGGCGAACCAGGCGAATGGTGGCGGCGCGGGCACGGTGAATCCGCATAGTCTCGGCAGGCCAAAGGGGAACGGGATGTTGGGCGGGATGAATGGGAGTGTGAATCTCGCGCAGATCACGGGTGGGAATGTGAATGGGATGAAGGGCGGCGCAGGCGGTGGGGGGCCGATGTTGGGTGGAGGTGGGGTGGATTGAGGGTAGGTAGGGGATTTGTTGGGGATATGAGGGTAGCAATGTAGCATATCGCTAAGTGGATGGATGCGTGTAGAAACATCGGTCGATGGGGCGGATAGTAGGAACTAAGACAAGCTAATGCAGCTCACGCCGATCAGATCCGTCCCACTTGGTACATGTCTAACAAGGGTTGACTGTCCAACCACACAACCGAAACAGGTACAACAAGATCTTAATGTCCAGCTTCAAGCCTGAACATACTTCCACTCCCCACCTGAATAGCCCTGCAATCCCTCCCACACATCGACCGGATTCTTGCCCTTGAGATGCCCCGACCCATTCTGGGACTTGTAGAACCCCAGCAGTTTCAGGACCTCTGGTGTCATCTTCATGTATTCTTCGGGCTTGCAGGCCAAGGTCGTGGCTTCGCCTTGACGGAAATGGTCTGCCTGGGTGTGTCAGCTGACTGATTAGGGCAGGAGGAGTGTTTATAGCGGAGGATGCAAGAGATGGTAAGGGACGCCGGGGAAGAGCCCAAACTTACACACGCAAAGAGACCATATATGATTCGAAGGGCGTCTGGATCTGAGGGGTCGCATACGTTGGGACCGGCGCCGTGGAAGATCTGGCCGAGCCAGATGGCTAGTGAGCCTAAGCATTGATCAGCAGCTGCCCAAACCTAATAGAGGAGTGTGGGGGCGGAGAGAGTGGGTGATGGGCATATGTAGCACCTGTAAGAGATCGAAGATAAGACTCACCTTTCTTCATCTCGACGATAGCACACTCTTCCGGTGTTGGTGCGCGATCCTGAGGCCATTTATGTGAGCCTGACGATCAGTGTACTGCAATACTGATAATCCTAAAAGAGAGGGACCTACCGGGAATGACGTGCGTCCCGCCATTCTTGGCGGTCACATCGCAGCCAGCCACGAAGGTCGACACTGGCAGATCAGCAACGTACACGCCGAGAGGAGAGAGACGAGGACTGACCCATGTTGGTCAGGCTTTCTGGACCGGTACGTTGGATCATGGTCGATCCTTGATCCCTTCGTCTTATCAGCTGAATCCTGTGGGCGCTTGAGGGGCGCTCACCGATGCAGCATCTGAGCTCCTGCGCCGGGCATGACCTTGTATGCGATAGATGTGTGGAGCCAGTCTGCTTTATCAGCCCGTCCAGATGTGCTCAAGCACAGTAAGGCAGCCTACATTCTCCCTTCCTGGCGATCTTTTCCTTGCCGTACCACTATATCCATGAGCATGGGGTTCGGTCAGAGTTCAGTTAGAGCTAGGAGGTGTGCGTACCTCCCATTGATCTGCTCGTCAGCGGTGGATAAGCGCTCGGGAGATGCAGCTGAACATACCATGTCTGAGAAACTCGTTCATGACTAGCTAGTCAGCATTCCCCTCTCACTACAAGAGGTAAGTTCTACCTTGATGCCAGACCTTCCTCTGCAGTCTAGACAGTCAGCCCCGCCACGCCCCAACACCCCCATAGTCTCCCACCTACAGCTTGCTAGTATCCTCCGGAATCTCTCCAATCAGATCGTAGAACACAGTCGTATTGCTCGCGCGGAACCCTTTGATCTTGTGCTCCGCCACACCCTCCGCTTCTTGCTTATCGAAGAACGGCTTGGATTTGGCATTGAGCGCGTCTACTTCAGCTTCGGAGGCCTGTGGGTCAGCTCGGGCCACAGGTCAGAAGATCGGTCCGGGACAACAAGAGACGAAGCGACGAGGGGACCTACGAAGTCTGACAGGACTATGGCTCCATCCTCGTGTAAGATAGCGAGGATCTCCTCGATGGGTGCTGTAGCGGGCACGGTCTTCAGGGTGGGACGAGCGGGCATGTTGATATGAGGGACGAAGGTAGATGGTGAGCTGGGTCAGATGGCGACAAGATGGCTCTTATGATGCAGAGAGGAAGTGGATAACAGAGCTCGGAGTCCTGTCGGAGTTGCCTCGACCATCGCGCATGTCCGACGCTCGGCGCTCGACAAGCTCGGCTCTCGGCTTCGAGGCAGAGATACGCGAGCGGCAGTGCCGCTCCTCGGCCGAATCCGGCATAATACGGTCCCCAGCTGAGCCGACTGGATAGTGTGGGTCCGACAATACCCGGCTAGTAGGCTCAAAGAGTCTAGAGCGCAGCGGAGGCTGGAAGTGTATCAGGTGAGGGAGACCAGATTCAAGCGCGTTGATCCGCACCGCATTCCTCGACATGCCGTAACGAGATTACCATCTCTTCGACGTTTTACAACTGACTTTCCTACCAAAATCCAAGCACGTGCCTGTCCCAGGTCGCAGAGAACCCACTAGACCAGCACTGACACACTCCTCTCTCCAGTCGGAGCCCTAAGCAGCCCTGACGACCGTGTGAACCTCATCCTTGTCCCCCTCCCTCCCCGCCAACTCCATCCCCTTGACGCTATCCGTCTCGAGCTTGTTGGTCTCGGTGTCCTTGTGCTCGTCCTCCGGTCGGCGATGGTCGTCTGAGCGATACAGAGGGACCGAACGGATAATGTACCAGGTGAAGGGAGCTTGGAAGGCGATGACGACAAGGCAGCCGTATAGGGGGGAGATACCGAGCTCTTTGCGCGAGCTGACGCCGTAACTGATCGCTTGTCCAACTGCCTCCCAGAATCGGAAGATACCGCCGTTACGAGCGTTCGACTGCACATCCGTGGCGAAGCAGGAGAGCAACCAGTAGACGTACTGGTGTCTCAGTATATGCTTGATAGCTCTTTGGTGTTTTTGGCAATGACTCACAGATTGACCCCAATACCCGACGCACTGCAAGAACAGGAAGGGGAGGTATGCGTTGGCCCAGCCCGATGAGGTCCAGTCGTGAACGGTGAGGACCTCTGTCTTGGTGAACGAGACCGAGTTGGCAACCAGCCACGCGACGCACGCCAGCATGGGAACGAACCAAGCGAGGAAGCCGACCTGAGCTCGCCGACGCTGGGTCCAGCGGCCGTTGTCGAGGATGAAGCGGCCGTACAGGAGGGTAGTGATGATGGCAGCTCCGGGCTGGAGGACGCCGGAGAGGGCGCGAGTGCGGACGGTGAAATATTGCGCGAGCTAATCTGTCAGCTTTCGAGCTGATATTTCGAGCGGTTCTACGTACGTAGGTGTAGGCTATGCCACCGTAGAAGAAGGAGTTGAAGCTATTCCGTCAACTGTGGACTTTCCCTAGACCTGTCGGAACACTCACGCAGCAGGGATGACCAAAAGCATCCGTTTTGAGGTCATTGCGCGCCACAAAATCGAGAATTCCACCTTCCACGGCTGCTTGGCGGTAAGGATGATGGGCGACCCGTCCGCGCGACGGACCTTGGACGGCTTGGAGATGAGCCAAGAGACGGGGAAACCGATGCACTCGATGGCGATGAAAATGATGTAGGTGGAGGTGGCGACTGCTCCCGCGGCGGAGTTTTGGACGTTCCGAGCGAGGGCGATGCATCCGGCCATGAGTTGACCGGCGTTACGGGACGCGACCCACATGCCGAGGTACCTGCATGTCAGCGCAGCCCAAGTGTAAGAGGACGTGAGCACTCACTTTCCGCGCCGGTTCTCCTCGGCGTATGAGAGGATCATGGCGGCCTCGGCGACATACCAAAGACCGAATCCTGCCTATCAGCGCGTACCTACAGTCAAGCGGAGAATACGACTTACCGACACCATAGATAGCTCGACCGAGGACAAGGTACCAGTCGACGCGGTACTGGCTCGAGACATAGTAGGCGGATCCGTTGATGGGGAAGGTGGCCGCACCGATGATAAGCATCCAGCGGATAGTCAACCGAGAGGCGATAGGGCCACCGACAGCGGAGACGGAGGCGACCTGACCGTCAGCCCACGCACAAGGCTGACAAGAAAGAGGACTCACCATGACATATGAAACAGCAGTAGCCGCGTTCACCGCCCATGGAGCGGCTTGACCACCTCCACCCAGCGCAGTGATGGCCTCGGACATCCCAGGACCAGAGAAGGCGAGGGCAGCGACGACGCAGATCTGGAAGGCGGCAGAGCGGTAGATCCGGCCCCACTTGGTAGTCGGCGGAGGAGGGACATCGTACACCTTGAACTCGATCCCGTCGACGTTGAGCGTGTCTGAATTGGTGGTAGGCATCTCGATGTCGGGTCTCGAGAGATGATGGGGAGAGGGAAGAGGCCGGCTTGACTCGTCATGTTATCAGTGAAGCTGTAAGGGTGGTCTTCGGGCTTATCGCGGATGTCGGCGGTGGCGGGGTCCCGAACGGCTCGAAGTCCGATACAGGGGCGTAGGATCCAGACCTAGGTTCCTCGGCACTCGGCAATTCGCGCGCGTAAAAGCAAGCCTTGGCTGCGAAGCGTCAGGTGATAAGAGATATGGAAGGTTTCCCGAGGTCGCTCCACCTGCTGCACCTGAGCTATCGCGACGTGAATGCTCCGGAAGCTCGGAGCTCGGCGCCGTCGACGGCTTGGCGGCTGCCTCCACAGTACCAATTTAGCCGTTTTAACCCGCATCGTTGATAGCGCATGGATCCGTGATATAGCAAGCGGCGGCAAGTCGGCTGTGAGTGCATGCGTACTCGACACATTGGTGCATGCATGGCAGTCGACAGCGGGGTCAGACATGGGTCATATGGTCGTGATGGGGCCGAGCGGACTTCGCCGCGACATCTGCAGGCCGGCGACGCCCCTGCAGAGTACCCCACCTTCCCCATCTTGCGCACCGACCGTGCTCATATCCGAGGCAGAGTCATCGATGTCATCCCCAACGAGTTCGCAATGAGCGTGATGTCATGCGGAGCACGAGCAGAAGTAGTACATTTCTGATCGCTACAACTTGGCTCTGGCAAGCATCACCGCCTCGTCTGTGTTCTGCATAGCACCCTGCGCATTCCCCCCTTGACCCATATACTCCTTGATGACATTGACCTTCGCCTCGTACCGCTTCCGCGTGAGACGGAAAGGAGGGGGTAGAGTCTTCTCGAATGTAGCCTGAGCGGATGGCGAGATTGTCCCCTTGTCCTCGAGGTACGCGATAGCGAGCTGAGCGGCAGCAATAGAGCAGGCAGGGATGAGTGGCATTCCTGGAGATCAGCAATAGCCAGACGACCGACTCACCATGACCAGTGAATCCCGCACAAAGCATCAAGCCATTCTGCTCCGGGTGAAGTCCTACCCATGGGTTGAAGTCCGCGCTGTACCCCAACACCCCCGTCCACACCTTCTGCACATTGCTCGCGTCCCCGTCCCATCCAGCGAACACCTTGGGCATAAACCTCTCAAAGTATCCTCGCACCCCCGGCACCTCCTCATTGTCGTTGATGTTGCCATACCACCGAGCGTGATGCTTGAGGAATTCCGATTTGGCGCCGCCGAGGATGATACTCCTGTCGCCCCGTCCCGGTATCTTCCGCCCCTGACGTGGGATGAGGTAGTCGACATCGCCCTGCGCCCAGCGAAACCCGTATGTGTATTTGAGCGGACCGGGAATCCCTGCTGGGCTGTGCGATTTCGAGGGCTTGATAGCGGACGCTGTGGCGCGGACGGGAACGATCTTGTCCTTGAAGTCGGGGAGGAAGCCGCCGGTGTAGGCATTGGACGCGGCGATGACGAGGGTCGCGGGGATGTTGCCGCGAGATGTCTTGACGATGGAAGAGGAGGAGGAGGTAGGGTCGATGGAGAGGACGGGAGTGTAACTCTGCAAGTTCATCCCCTGCTTGAGACAGATCTTGATCACTACAGTCAGCTCAAGTAGGCGGTATCACTCACGAGATGTAGCGAGGAGATACGGCCAAAGATGGCCAGCTGGATAGCTTGCGCTCCACAGTGCCCCCTTGACACCCGTGATCTTCACTATCTCCTCCGGCGAGTCAACGCGCTGCACATTGCTAGCCGCAAATATCTCGGGCCAGTCTGCCTTGCGCCCCTCAAAGTCCCCCTTTGCCCGCTCAGCATCCGCCGCATCAAAGAACATGTCGCAAGAGCGAGTAAAGTGAAGATCGCACTCGATCTTCTCCTTCTCCACCACATCGCCGTAGATCTTCATGGCGCCCTCCTCCAGCTCGAGCAGTGCATTGGCGACATCTTTGCCGTGTTTGGCCTTGAGTGTGTTGTAGCCGAGGAAGGTGACCGGTTTGCAATGGCCGCCTGGGGTCAGTCCTGCCCTTGAGATCAACTCACCATTTCTCGCTGTGGCACTCCCACATGTCTCATCCGCCTCTACCATGACTACACGGGGAGAAGCCCTGCCTTTCCGCTTGGCCTCCTCGTATATCTGATAAGCCGTCATGGCGCCTGCCATACCGCTACCGATAATTACCACATCGGCCGACTTGGGGAGGTGGGGTGTCGTCCGAGCATTCGACACTTCTCGGTCGCGCTGGTCGAGCCAAAAAGACTCGAGTCGATCCTTGACAGGGAAGAGAGGTCTGTCGAATTCGGACATGGTGTACCGAGGGGTATGAGCTGCAAAGTGAGAGGCATATCGATGTAGCTGTCTTCCTGACTAGCAAGTCCAGATAGACGAGCTTCCACCTCTCTATCAGGCTCCGTTCGGCTAGTGGTTCGGCCGGTCTCGGGCCGTCGGGCCTCGGGGCCTGGAGCGAGCCACCACGCCAAGCTTCGGCTTAGCTATGCTAGCTCTTTCGGGTCTCGCCTATCTCGGCTTTGCGCACATATACCGTAGCGCGGATAAGCTCGGCCCCGCGCCAGAGACAGCCTGGGCGATAGGGCGTAACTACAAGTCGAGTATATAGGTGCGAAGGGCGAGAGGGTACCATGCTGTTCTTTATCTTCCAGCTTCATTTCTTCGCACTACATCTCGTCAGTCTCCACACAACATGCCGTCCGTTACCTGTAAGTCTCTCTCTCGAGCTTTTAGGGGGGTAGAGGCTGACTCTTCAGTCGACATTGTCGGTACCTGCTTCTCCTACGATAACGGCGCGAAGGGCATCGAGGAGCGCCTCGGTCCCAAGCTCGCCAAGTACGGCCTCTCCTCCAAAGTCGTCATGTACGCCGTTGTCTGCGGCACCGAGCGCGACTACTCCTACCTCTCCCAAATCGGTCAATACAAGCAGTTCCACACCATCTTCTTTGGTATCTTCCGCCGCGTCCTCTTCCAGCTCGGCGTACCGGCCAAAGTCCTCGAGGGTGACTTTGTAACCCAGGAGGACCTCGACCACATCTACAAGGAGTACTTCAAGCTCACGGCTCGGCCGGGACTCAAGGAGATGTTTCAGATTCTCCGGGACGGCGGGTTTGAGGTCTGGGCGCTTTCGGATGCCAGCTTTGAGCGGGTCCGGGGGTACTTTGACGGAGCGACCGTCGACATTGATGATGAGCACATCATCTCGGCCGACTCGATTGGCAAGGGCAAGCCGGAAGCGGCGGTGTACCAGCTCGCGAGGGATAGGGTCGGCGCGGACAAGCCGGGAGAGGTCGCCGTCTTTGCTGGTGCGTTGTCTTCTTATTTCCTCTAGATGCGTTTCTTCTCCATGAATCCAGCTGATATCTACAGCTTCGCATGCCTGGGACTGTGCTGCTGCTAAGGTGAGCACTACTGCGAATCCTTATCCATTCCCCTATGCACCTCCCCCATCCTCTCGCGTGCACATCCTTGCCCCATGTCCTTCCGCAGCGCGACGAATCTAGCTGATCAATTAGGCCATCGGCTTTGATGTCGCCTACACCACCACCTACGAGTGGGACGAATGCGTCGAGATCTTTGGCAAGTTCGACCTGGTCGCGCCGGACCTCATCTCGCTAGGCAAGGGGATCGTCGAGAAGTGGGGCAAGAAGTAGATTTCAGCTGGCCAATGGTAGAACATATGTCAGTTTGTAGAACTTGTCACTCATTCTGTATCAAAAAGCTCCTAGTCTGCTGCAAGTCAATGAAAGAGTGATGAGGCATCTGACAACAAGGCAATGTTGGAAACAAGACCGCGATCAGTTCACCTACTGACAGAGGGATTGGACAGAGTGTACCGGCCGCCCTGACACGCCGGAGTCCACCCGCTGCCAAGTAAATGCCTGACACGATCACATCCTCTCACACATACTGCACTGATCACACCTGATGTCCCCATTGATGACCCAGGTGACCGCCAGCCACAATTCACTTCCTAAGTCAGGAAGACTCTGCCACCCACTCGCCACTCATTGCTCGAGGGAGTGTACTCGATCCGGTCGAGCGAGGCCAGAGCCAGAACGATGAAAGCTGTGCTGATGATACAAAGGAAGCCAGCACGTAGCTCGTGCTTTTGACACGTTGAAACCCGAACTCATCCCTTCACAATGATCCTAATCGGAGGTCCGCTACATAGGTCGCACTGGATCAGCTCGCCTAGCCCTGTCCCCGCCGTTCCAACTTCCGGACATACACCTTGTCGACTATTCACTATCGTACTCGCATTTGCCGTCACAATGTCGCATCAGTCTCACTCCACGTATCAAGACCAGGGCACTATCCACCAGAACGAAGCCCAAGAGAACGCGGCGAGTGGTCCCTCTGAGGGCTCACGTCTTCCCACGACCCTGTTGTCGAACATGCTACTGAGCCCGCACGGCGAGACCAAGCTGAAAGCTTTCCATCATTTCACACCGAAAATGCATCGCCTTGGCGGGACGGTGACTCTTGTTGTGACCATGGTTGGCGACTTGAGGAGGAGACAGGCGACAGATACCGAAGAAAGGGCGTTCAAAGGCATTCTGGACGCAGCCTTCGGTCACTACACGTGCACGGACGAGCCCTTCGATTGGGGGACAACCTGCACGGAAAAGCTCGGCGAAGCTGGGCTGCAGAGCACTCACAGTTTTCTGTCGTGCGAGCCCAGGAAGCTTCTCTCTGCACTGAAAAAGATTGGGAACAAGGTCGGAGAGAAGAACACGCCAAATGGGAGCGTCTTGTTCAACCAGGAGAAGAGATGGGCGAAGCCGGCGAAGAGCAAGAAGACCAGATCCCGAGCGGCCTCCCGGCGGGGTAAACAGAAGATGAGTGGAGGAGAGCTTCCCGTTGAGGAATACAAGATGATGCTCGACGTTGACAGCGAGGTGGAGCAAGACGACTTTGCCGGATCCGCAGCAGGCCATCACCCTGACGATGGCGACGACATGGACTGGCAGGGAGGGTACGAAGCTTCGAGGGTGAAATACTCCACTGGTGACCACCTCACCCAGCCGCTCATCATCCACTACACCGCGCCCTCGGAAGACAAGCATCTTCACAGCGACAAGCTCTCCATGCACCTCACGTGGAGTCCAGAAGTCGACACCCGCCTCGCAGCCGAAGCTGAGACCATTTACGAGGGCGTGCTCGAGGCGGCGCAGACCCACTACCAAAGCGGCTTCAATTGTCCGTTCGGGTTTTACCAAGAGTGCCTGTATGGGATGCGGAAGACTCCCGCCCTGTCGAGGTTTCACCTGAATCCCGATCAGCTCATGCAGATCTCACAGGATGAGATGGAAGGCATGCCAGGTGCGGTGGCGGCAAGGCCCCGCGCTTGGCAGCTGGAGCGAGAAATCCTTCCAGGCCATCAGTCGACGACAGGCGCCACTTACATCTCGTAATGGAATGCAAGTGGTTTGCGGGATGGGATCAAGATCAGCGCTGTGTATAGTAAAGGAGGCTCAGTATCTAGAGAGGGAATGGCGACAGAAGCGGTTCACATAGGCGATGCAGAATGCGTACATCAAATTGTACGGGGTCACCACGCGCAAGTCCCGCTTGCCAAGTCAGTACATTGAGTAATGTTAGCGAAGGCTTCGTCAGTACTCAGTTGTCCGTAGGTACCCATCACCCAAATGTCCATTCGTTCTATACCTACAACCTGCCTATCCGTCCGTCCGCCATCCCGCCCGAACTCCGTCCACGTGATCCTTGGAAACCCGGAGAAATGTCCGTGATTGCCTTCGTCCCTACTTCATAAACACCTTCAGCTCCTTCCGCAGTTTCGTTATCGTTCACACCGTCGTCTTCTCGTTATACACCCGAGCCTTTGCATCAAGCAAGTTCGGATAGGCGATCCTGCGGGTCAGCTCCATCCCCTCCTCCAACGGTCACTCTCGCCTACTCACAATTTACACAAAGCACCCAAATCCTCCTTCTCCACCAATTCCCTCGCCACCTTGACATGTACGGATCGTTTACCCCAACTCGGCTATACAGATCAGCTTTACTCCCTGTCTCACCGGAGCCTGAGGAGGTGAAAACTGACCTGGAAATGCTTTGCCAAGACCGCACTGATCTCCGCATCCCGCTGTACCGCCTGCTTCTCCCTCACTGCCAATATCCACCGAGCGAGCCGTCCCGCCTCGTCCGAGGTAGGACGGGTCATACCGAGCTTATCGAGGATTTGGGTACCGATAGGGGAGGAGAGGTGCGCCATGATGTCGACAGCGGAGCGGGAGGCGAGCTTGTCGAGGTCGATCTCGGCGAGGGGGATGAGCTCGACGGGAGGGACAATGCTAGTCGCCGAGGTAGTGTGGCTGCCTTGTGAGTTGAGCGATGAGTCGAGATCCGACGGGGTGTCGACGGGCTGGTCCGCCTCCTTGTCCCTCTGACCTTGCAGCTCCCGCTTCGCCACGCCGTACTTTGTCGCGAGGTACCCCCTGCTCTCGAGTGCGCGGTACCGCTCGTGAGGCTGCAGGACCGGCCAAAGGATATCGACCACCGCTTCAGCTTCGATGGGGTCGATCTTGGCGACTTCCTCGGTAAGCTTGATCCGGAGTTGATCGTCCGGCAGGACCACCAGGAGCCGTCCACCGGGAGTCTCGGCCGTCGAGGGGACGAGAGGAGTGTCAAGCGTCGGAGTGATAGACTGAGAGTCAGCTGGATGCCCACCGACGAGTCAGGGATGATAGCTTACCGAAGCTTGCCCAGGAGCGCTGACATGCCGATCCCTCTTGATCCTAAGCGGACTACTCGACCGCTTGTTGACGACCTGCGGCGACCGAGCCAGCGGAGCACCCGTAATCTGAGCTGTCCGCTCCGCCAGCTTGTCTGGGCGCAGCCTTCGAGGCTCGTGCAGCGTGACGGCGATCTGCTGAGAGCCGACCCGGGTGTTGTGCATGACCTTGATGGCATGAGCAGCTGTATGTCAGCTTTGTCTACCGCAGATTGCAGACTGATCATCCTGGCTTACCCTCATTTGGCGAGTAAAAGCTGACAAAGCCGTAACCTCTGCTTCGTCCTTCGTCATCGCGCATGACCTTGGCGCTGATGATCCGTCCGATCTAGGGATCAGCTTTGCTCCACAAGGTACTGGACTTGGAGCTCACATTGGAGAAGAGGTCTTCGAGGAAGTAAGAGTTGATATCCGGGTCCAGGTTCTGACCCGTCAGCTTTCAGCCTCACTTCAAGGCAACCGACGAGTTGACCTTGACAAAGACGTTCGAATAGTCAACCAGACCAGACACGCTAGTCGATCCTGGTCCAGAGTCTGGTGCTGGGCGGATATGCTGTCCAGGACCTGCTCATCAGCCCAGACCCTCTTCACTGTGATAGAGACTTACCATGCTGAATCGTAGTCCCATCATCAGCCACCAGCCCCGTCGGCACCAACTCCCCCTCGACTGAGTTCGACAGCGTCACGCTCCACGTCCGCTGGCGCGCGTGTCCCGCCACAACCCCACTCTTCATGTTATTGACGGACCGGCGGATCCCCAGCTGGACCTGATTCGGGCCGGTCGGAACGCTCTGGCGACGGTCATGGGGTCGGGCAGCGGATGGCGAGACGAGCGGCTGTGAGTTGCCCGCAAAGACATTATGGTTGATCCAGGGTGTCTTGAAGTGGTTGGACGGGGTGAGAGGGGTGGGCGGGGATGCTTGATGGAGGTTCGGAGTGGGGAAGACCGAAGGGAAGACTGGCATGCCCATGCGACGGAAGATTTCGGGGTCGACGTTATTGTTGCCTAAATTGAGCATCGGCTGGGCGAGCGGGATGGCTGGCGGGAGTCGAGGAGCGGGTGGTGAAGCATCGAATGTAGGTGGTGGAGGAGCTATGAGGGGCTGCTCGGGGAAGACAAAGCTGTCATATCAGCTCGATCCTACAAGCTAGAGACCGACTCACATTTGATACCCTTTGATGAGCAACCCAGTCGCACCGAACCCTACCTCGAACCGCCTCGCCTCATCCTCATACCAGAACAACACCCTTGCGCCCCATGACATCGTCGGCGGTCCGCACGAGGACGGCTGCTCTTCGAGCCAGACAGTGATTTGCCGCAGTGACGCCCATGGACGGAAAGCGTCAAAGAGCTCACCCAGCGAGGGCACTTGCGAGTGAAGAGCCTGAGCTGGGTCTTGCGAGATAGTTGTTGGAGCTGGCGAGACTTGCAGGGTAGGACGGATGTACCGAGCGGGTACGGGCGGGTCGGGAAAGGGCAGGATGTTGGGAAGGTGGTGTGGGGAAGTAGGGGGAGGGTACGTCGAGACGATGAGGCCCGCGTGGGCGAGGTATGGGTGGGCAATCAGGATAGCTAACGCTTTCTCGGCTATACTGTCAGCTGAATCACGATGAGGAAAGCATGGCTGGAGACTGACCGCTGTGCAAGCTGACAAAATGAAGGGTACCTGCTCATCAGCTTCAGCTTCGTCCAGCTGACGATGGGTACCAACTCACCAGACCTAGGCATCCAATCGTAGTAAGCGTCCGGCTTCAAGCGATCCCCCTGCTGGACAGGCACATTGAGCTTAATCCGGACAGGCAGGCAATCCCGCAGGGCATCCGCGATAGCAGCTTCCGGCAGATCTGCAGGGACATTCGAGATGAAGAGGTCGGTGTTGGTCTGTCTGTCAGTGACTGTAACGCATGGGGAGGTTGTGATCGTACAAGATGAGGATGGGGACGGGGTAGACCATTAGCTGGAGGAACCGGCGCAGCCATGCTGAAGTCGAAGAGGGGGGCGAGATTCGGCTCGAGCATTGGTGGGGGCATCTGAGTCGGGAATCTGCCCATGATCTGTTCGATATATTAGCATGTGTACCAGATCAGGGAGGCCCGAGCACTGACCTGAGCTGATACTGGACCCATGAGACCCAATCCTCCTGACGCCTTCCTTCCTCCCTGCATACCCGAGGCGAATGGCCCGACCGACTCCCTTCGCTGGTTCCGCCCCTTTGGGCCCCTGCTGAATGGGCTGAGCGACCCACGCGGACCTGGGGCGAGGTGCATGGGAAGCGGAGGAAGGTTGATAGGCATAATAGGGGCGGTGTGAGGAACGGGGAAGAAGGAAGGTGGAGGCGGAGCAGGATGAGCCGACATTGCCGATTCTGCGGAGTCAGCTGTGATCCTCTTGGAGCGGCAGAGAGGGCGGTAGGAGAGACATACTGCTGAGACTTGGGTGGTGGGCCGCAAGGAGTGGAGGTCGCGGAGAAGGAGAAGGAAGGGAAGGTGAAGAAGGCAAGGAGCAAGGAAGGAAGACGAGAGCTGGGCAAAGCCAGAGCTAGAGCTTGTGAGCTGAAGAGCAGGGGAGGTGTGAGGATGTATAGCGGTGTGGAAGAGGTATAAAGAGGAAGAAGAGGGGATGAAGTTGAAGAAGGAAGGAGAAGAGAAGTATAGAGTGAAAGTCCAGAGCCGCGGCGACTTTCTTTGCCCCCTCTCCCGTCTTCCCCCTCTCGACGTTCCTGTGCTACCAATTAGCGCCACACACCTCCTCACGCACACACGACCCCTCCCTTTGGCCTCCTAAGCTCCCTCGGCAATGGAGAATCTGAAACCATCATCCCAGATCTATATCTTCTATCCAAGCGGATATTACAGCGGCGATGAAGCGGGCAGCGGGGAGTGAGGGAATGATATCGAAAGGAAGGGGAGGGAGATCGGCGTTGTCAAGTGTAGCAAGCGAGGGGGAGTGAGGCGAGTAAGAGGCCATCACGGCGATTGTCACTGGGTACTCACCTGTCAGCTTGATCGAGCAAGTACCACGCTCATCCTCCCTTTCGCTAGCCACAGGCCGTTATGTCCAAACCTATCGCCTCCCGAATATCGAGTCCCGAATACCGAGTACCGAGTTGCGTAGTCAAGCTGACAATCCTGCTCGCCCGTATTCGCTACCCCTCGACATCCTTCATCATCCAACCCGCGAAGTTGATGACGATCGATCTCTCCGAGATACTCCGAGATCGCCTGAAAGATCGGAACGGGGGCGAGGGGGCGAAGTCAGCAGGTCAGATTAGCCGAACAGGTGGAGATGGATAGTTTGATGGGACTAGCGAGCGCACGGGGGAGAGGATGTAAGAAAGGATGTGTGTGTGTAAGTTGGTCAAGGTCTGTGCGTAGATCATCAGCCAACGTTTCAGATTTACCCCGTGTCCTCTTGTCTCGTCCTCGTGCCTGAGGTTCAAGCGAGCCTCGAGGCATCGGGCGGAGGAGGGGTGTTTCATGTTGAGGCTACCGGCCGGTACGTCGGGCAAAGCGGCCGATGCGGCGATGACAGATGGATATGTGGGAGGGCCTGGATGAGAGGCAGCTGTTCGGATCTGCCTGTGCTTGCAGCGGCATGCAATACTGGTAGCGACAGAGTGCATAAAAGGAGGAAGTACTGATTTTGACTGAATGGCGCGAGGCTCTATCCTGTCGTCCCAGAAATCCACGTCATCCTCTCCCCGATGTCTCACTCTAACTCCTCATTCCTCGTCAAGTCAGAAGAGACCATCCGAACAACAAGACCCAATTCATTTTGATATGGCAGATGCAATGTAAGACATTCCCCTCCGACACTGCTGATACCTTTTCCGACTCCCTCCTAGTCCTCACTGACATCTCCAAACCTGAAACATCAGCTCCATACCCCAGTCCCCTACTCAAAACCTCTAGACTCACTCAAAGATCCCCAGTCTGTCCCTTTTGGCCCCTTCTGTCGCATCCACCATCTTCCGCTCTACCTGCGGATACGCCTTGACATACTTCAACGTCTTATCCAGCGTCGCCAATCCTATTCACATCAGCTCCATTCTTTCCCATTCCACACCGCTCCTGCTAGGACTCACCCTCTCTGACCAAATCCGCATTGATACAAGCCATCGGATCATCCGCCGCATTCGGATCACTCGGATCGATCAACCTCAAATGCAACAACCCCCCTTCCTTCTGATCCACATTCGCAATGAGCTTCCGACCCTCGGTGAGTGATCCGAACCGACGCCACGCCTCGGGTCCGTATTCGTTGGATCTAGGGACGAGCTTGACGAACGACAAACGCGCCTCGCGGGCCTGGCCGGGTAGAGATTTGAATTTCGTGTCGAGGGGTCGGATCCGCGCGAATGGGAGGGTCTCTTCGTTTCCATAGTCGATAAAGTAGAGGAGAGCTTCTTTTTTCAGGTTGGACGATTTCTTGACTTTGGCGCGATACCTGCTTGTCAGCCAAAGTCACCTTGGTGGCTGTGTAGCCTTACCATTGATTGTCCTCGCTGAATTTGGCAGAAACGAGATCACCCGTCCGAGGGCTGAAATCTTTCGGTGCAGTAGAGGTAGCTTGACGATGATGCAGCGCAAAGTCAGACATGAGCTTTTCGAGTGCCGCAACGCCTAGGGATCAGCCACCATCACTATCATAGAAAGGCATGACCCACTGTTATCATCCAAGACCTGCACAGAGAAGCCAAAGGGATCCGAGTCCCGGACGGCTGAAACGTAAACGTCTAAATATTCAGGCGCAAGAGCCGTGCCCGTAGCTGTCTCGGCTGCGGGTGCTGCTTCTTCGCCAGTATAATTGGACCAAATCTATCTGTCAGCTCGGTCCTCGTCCTCAGCACTTGATGTTCTAACTTACGTTCTTCTGCGCCTTCTTGGCTTCCTCTTCGGCCGAAATGAGCTCTCGGCCAAATGGCAATGCCTCGGCAGAATAAGTATGAACATTGACCAGCCTGCACATCAGCTGTCTCTCCGCTTTCTTTTGCTGCATCGACATACCCATTCTTGACGAGCTCGACCGCCAGATTCACACCACCGACATACAGCGCACCAATGAATCCTCCTTGCTTATCGGTACTGTCGAAAGCTACACGTCAGCTCCGATCCCCACCTACACAGCACATCCCCGTACTAAGAGGAAGACTGACCAATCTCGACGTCTCGCTGCATATATCGACTGGCAAACTTGTACGCTTCAGGACCGTACGGCTCGCTCTTCTCTGTCGTGCCCGCACGAGCGACCCGAGGTGCCCTGATCCCGGCGAGAACAAACGTGATCTTGGTGTTTTCTTTAGGCATGTACAGTTTGAAGCGGGAACCAGAGGCGACAAAGTCGACCTGGACGTCAGCTAGTCTCAGTCCAGACGGAAAGGACTCACAACGGCGGCATGACGACCTGCACGTTTCCATGATGGCAGGTACTGTGAGGCTCGAGAACCATTCTCCGACGCGTCGACGATCCGGGGTAGGCTGACTTCTTTGGTCGAGTGCAGACCGCGCGTCTCGGCTACCGCTCTGGGGGGTCAGCTAAATATCCCAGAAACGCGGACCATGTCGAGCTCACGCTTGTTCCGCCACAATCAGCTTATCAAGCTCCATCGACCGATCTTCATCGTCCCGCTTGTGTCTCAGAACAGTTGCCAGTCCCTTCTCAATGAGCTGTTCCGAGATGTTCCTATACCATCAGCTCAAGCGATAAACCGTGTTGCCCAGGCTAGCTCACGTGTTCTGCGTTCCATAGGTGATCGTGACACATTCCCTCTCCTCATACTCCCCATCTTTCGGCTTGACATAGTCAATAAGCACATGGACCGTCTTCCCAATGAGCCGTTTTCGGAGGTACCTGCCCTATCAGCTCCATCTCTACTTCCCCGCCGACCGACTCACTCTTTCGCCTCGTTAGCCCAGTACGCCTCCCGCGCGCCAGCTCCTCTCGGCCCTCTGACCGAAGCGAGCTGTACCCTCCTCTCCGCATCTTCTCCCTTCGCTAGCAGGCTCAACTGATCCGAGCCCCAGATCCGCACGACGGTCGCGTCGAAGCTCTGACCCTTGTTTGTAGCTGGCGCAGCATCGGCTACGGCTCCTGCTGACCCAGCCTGGGCGGCGGATCTGCCGTTGGTCGTAGGGGCGGTGTTTTCCCAAAGACCGAGACGCTTGTCTTTGGCGGATTTCTCGGCGGCGCGGATACGGTCGAGACCGCCGTGGGCTGCAAGGAGACCGGCGTGCCACTGCTCATCAGCACCAATTCTTCTCGCTCTGTATATGGACTCACATCGATGACCTTGGCAAGACCGGCGGAACAGAGGAATTCGGCGATATTCCCATTCGGATGAATTCTGCCGAATCAGCTTGACTTCCAATGTGACTCCGGACACTTGGACAATTTTCAGCTTACACAGTCCCGATGATGACCCCTCCACCACCTCCGCCAGCAGTAGGCAACGCCGGCATCCCGCTCCCATTCGTCTTGGTAGTGCTAGACGCCGCGGGAGCGGGCAATGAAGACGCGCCGAGGGAGACCGGGGCAGACAAGAGTCGGACCTTGATGGGACGCTGGAGGAGTCGGACTTCGGCGAATGACCGGGCCTGAACATCAGCGGGACTGTACATACACACTCTGATGAAGACATACCTCCTCTCCCCATGGTTCAGCTGATTGATCGCCTTCTCGAGCGCCGGAAGCTTTGGGTGATTTGGCCCCTGCAACAGTCTGGGGATCAGCTACTGCTGCCCGTTGAGCAGTTATTGACATACGAGATTGATAAATTGGTGGTGATGTTCATCTAGGAGTAGTCGGACACGGTATTGCGTCCCATCTCGGACCTGCTCGACCAGCGCTGTCCATCAGCCCCGCAATCTGCAGTAGAAGAGGACTCACCGTCGACCTCCTGGTCCTTGTACTCAGCGATGAAGGCGTGCGGGTCCGCAGGCATCTGGAAAGACACAGTGCGTTGCTAGTCATCAGAATCATCCGAACCATCAACCCTTTTAGCTAGACATACCGTCTCGGGCTGTTCATCCCACAGTCCCCTTCCTTCCGCCTTGGCCTGGCCCTCTGCATTTCTGAGCATCTCCCTCCGCTTCGCTTCAGCCTCGCCGAGTCGCCTAGGATAATCAGCTCGACCCCAGCGCGCCGTTGTGGAGATAGGCAGCTGAATACTGACCTGACTGCCTCTTCGCCCTCTCCTACGCCCTCGCGCACTCGAGCCCACCCGTTTGAGACGATCAGCATTGAGACATCCTGGGGCGGTCCGCCGGGAGAAGCGGGTGCGATATAGAGCGTGGCGAATTCGCGGTCCTACCGTGTCAGCTCAGCGCACTCTATTTGATGAGTAGCGGTGGGTATGACTCACCCCGCCGGGCCCGTTCGCAGGAAGAGAATGCGTAATATTGAAGGCGACCTCCTTGCCGACCAGAAGAGTCCGTAAGAATTCTCGGGAAGAGAACGCAAATGCCTAGAATGTCAGCATCAGCTCCAGCTCCGGCCCTTCCCTCGTACTTCGCCGAGCCCGGACCACATACCTCATCCTCTCGAGCTGTTGAGCCCATACGCGGCGCCGACAAGCCCGCAATATGCAACGACCGCTCTTTCAGCGGTTTGCCCTTCTCGGGCATCTCTTTAGAGCGGACGATGACAGTGTCGCCCGATAGGACGGCTAGATGCATCAGCGAGGTGGGGAGGAGGAATGTCGAGCAGAGATGAGAGCTCACACTTGACGATCTGGAACGTTAGCTTTAGCTTCGAAAGCAAGTGAACAGGGACTCACGACTCTGTTGGCCATTTCGTATGATCCGCGAGGGGTCTACTTGTTAAGAAGGGGTGAAGAAGGTAGATAGATGATGGTGTAAATGTCAGAAGGTTGCTGAGTTGGTCGCGCGCGCGCACATTCCGCGGTCCGGACTGTCTCCAGGAGCACCACGTGGCGATGCGGGGCCCCATTCAGCTGGTCCCATCAGGAGGACAGACAGACAGCGATCTCTACAGCGATCGCTCGTTTTCCTCAGCATACTCATTCATACTATCTAGCCCACAGTCTGGAGCCCTCCCTGCCCTCTTCCCAGCTCGCCAGCGAGGACCCCATCTCGCGTGCTCGTAAGGTCGGAGTCTTCGCCATGGCGCTATCTGTCGCCAGTGCTCCCTCCTTTCATACTTGCTCCGTGCGTGTCTGTTTTATCCTTGACCTCGGCTCCAGGCTGGTTCTCGAATCCTCAAGCTTACATATTACATCTCTACACTTACTGACCACTCAGTGTTATTGATCTATATTCTCACGCCTGACCGCATACCGATTTCTTCAGGCCAGAAAGTCCTTCAAACGCACGATGTGCCGCTTCGTGAGTCGTCCACTTGGCCATACCATGATATGGGCTTGTGCGGGTCTAGCTGATCCAGCAGCTCGTTTACAAAGGCAACGAGCCGATCCAGCTCGCACATCTCGTCACCCGCCCCAAACACAGCATCACCAACCAAGCTTTCGAGTCCAAGCTCCGTTTCCCCTCTTCCCGACCCATGAACGTAAGCTACCGAATCTATGTCATAGCCCGTCTGGAGCAAGCTGACAACAACAGGCAGATGGCTTTGGTATAGGATGGTACGACCCCCAACCACCCATGTACAATGCCGACGCCCCCCAACAGCCGCATGTCTCCTCCTCGCCCGCTCCGACTAAGCACGATCTCCCAGAGGGGGACGATGTACCCCACAAAGACAGCCCGATGAACGATGATCAACCTATCGAGGCGCTGGACAAGCAAGCGGACGAAGACTTGAAGGAGCAAGAGGAGCTGATGCGGAAGACAGCGAAGAAGCAGGCGTTGGAGAATGAGCGGCCTTGTCTTTTCAAGTCGCTTTCACCGGTAGGTCCCATCAGCTGAAGGGGATACATAACGGCCCAAAGCTGACATATAGGCTTGGAGCAATGCGAATCTCACTCGGTTGGCGGAGAAGATCAGGAGCCCGCTGGTCTTTGCACATGTCAGAGCTTCGACTATGGCTGGAGCACGTGAGTCGGAACTCTTGATAACCTGGACCGAGCTGACCTGCCAGCAAGCGAGGACAATGCCCATCCTTGGATCTTCGACAAGCTGATGGTGAGCTTCGGAGGTTTTTCCGCAAGACCTTACAGCTTATGTCTCAGTGGATGCACAATGGTGAAATCAGCCAATTCCCCAAGATCAAGCGGGCACTTCAGCAATCTCTTCCTGAAGAGCTCTTCCTCTATCCTTCCGGCTACACTGGTAAGCCTGTCGCTCCCCATGAGCATTAACTTGCTGACCCTTAGACTCCGAATGGGCATTCATGGTCTTTCTCTCAAAGGTCAGTTGTTGCACGCACTTTTCTGCCTGCGTAGATAGCTTACCCCCCAGCTCAAAAACCCCCACGCCCGCTCCTTCACCCACATCGAGCTCCGCAGCGCCATGCGCGAGACCATCGCACACATCAACAAGCTCTCCAAAGCCGCTGGTATCACCACTCCCCATCTCCTCAACTACGTCGTCACCGACGGCAAGACCATTGTTGCCACCCGGTAGGCCCTCTTCTGCCGCCTCCTACTCCAAGCTGATGATCAGATACATCTCCTCGCGAACATCCGAAGCCTCTTCCCTCTTCTTTTCATCCGGAACCGAGTTTAAAGAGTACAAGGAAGGCGGGGTGTACCGGATGACCAAGGCCGACAAGCGGGAAAATGTGATTATGATTGCGAGTGAGCCGTTGACGTTTGAGAGGAGCGAGTGGCTGGAGGTCAAGTCGAATACCATGATTGTGATCACGCCGAAGGTGAGTTGTCTTCCTGTCCTTGTGTTTCAGGGACGGAGACCAGAGCTGACATATCAGATGAACGTGCTGCAGGTCCCAATCATCGATGAGTTCTGGGTGGCGCCTCAAGACCCGGAAGCGAGTCATCGGACACAGGACTTTGCGATCCAAATGGGATTTGGTGAGCTCCTCGGCTCCACTGGATGTGCGTGGAGACTTCGGGCTGACCATATAGGACACGGTTTCGCGTCGAGGGAGGCAAGCAAGGAGGTGGCAGCTCACTGAACGGACATCTGCGAGGACCGAAAACTTCGATTACAACAATCTTGTACATATCTGTATGTAGCCACCAAAGATAATGACCCCAGCATTTCAGACGCATAGTACGCTCTCGCTCACCATCAACGATACTTGTTTATCCAAGGACTGGAAAGCATGGAGATGCTTTGCCTGCCACTCTCAGGACCCATCTTCTCCCTGCAATCGAGCAGAGTAGGCGCCATCGGCTCCCCGATCGGAGCAGTATTGTGAATGACCAGCTGACCGGCGCCGTTCCGCACCTCCCCAGCTTGTCGATCCGCGGTCTCCTCGTCCGTCCGCTTGAGTAGCGCCCTCAGCCATCTCAGCGGCATAGCGCGCGTCACGACCTCTGCGGTACAGCGTACCCCTCGAGAGTCAAGGTCGATATACACAGCCGCCAACCTTCGGAGGTGTCGGTCGCTCACTTCCGTAAAAGACAGCACTGTGGCTCCCGTAAGCCTTGAGATCCGAGGCGGGTCAGGGAGTGAGGAGGATCCAGCGGCCATCGCTGAACTTGCATAATCCAGAGTACGCCAATATGACTATGTTTGGTCTTCTCCCTCGTGATCAGGGCCCGCAGGGGCATCCGAGACTTGCTCGCACTTGCCGGGTCCAGAAAAGCATACGTTCTCTTCGCTTCGGTGGCACTCTGTCTGGGCACCTGGTGTATCACATATCCCCTGTAGCTTCCGTCGTACGGGTCCGTCCTACCTGTCTTCTCGATCAACTCGTCCAGGTACCACTTTGGTATGTGCATCGCCTTCGTCCGGGACGTGCGGAGGATACCTCGATCCAGGAGCGTGATCAGTAGCTGTTTGACCTTGAGTCTAACCTTCTTCCTAATGGCAGCACGTGTATTGGTGACATCGGTAGCCACAAGTTAAGATTCGGTGAGAGTGTCGAGGCAGCCGCAAGCTCGGGCTGAGTGGCGGGTCCTTCGTGAACGTCGCTACCAGAGACATTCTCGCCTTGGTAGAGTTCCTCGCTTTCACCGTCGATGCTCATGTCGCCGTCCCAATCGAGATCTTCAGGGTCAAAATCAAACTCAGAAATCGAGGCGGGTCGAGTTTGCTCATCTGCAGTCGGGCTGCGCCTGGCGATCACTCCCTGCGCCGCAGGACCCAATGCCTTGCGCTGGGCTTCAGGTTGCTTTGGGGTCTCAGCTATCGTGTCCACTACGCACACATCAGAACTCACCGCGTGAGCGAAGAGAAGGGAAGCTGGCTTTGATTGAGTTTGTGTGTCTTCAGGCATCGCTGCGCGGGTGCGGCAAGTTTCTGATAGCGAGTCAGCGATCGGAGGCCATTGAGGGCTTATCCATGGCAGCCTCCCTTGACCATGGCCACTGTCGCTGTGATTGGTAGCTTCGAGAAGCCAGGGATCAAAATGACGGGAGCGGGGCCCGTGGTAGTCGGTGAGGGGATGAGGCTCGCCAGCCGAAACAGTGTGCCCTCGGCCCTTCTGATGAGTCGCCCAATTCCAGCTCTCTCCTGGCCAATCTGACACCCTGCGGCCGGTGTCCGATCGATAGGCGGACATCTTACTCTCACAATGTGATGTGGTCGGTCGAGCTATATGAGTGTGTAGGAGTGAAGTAAGAAGTAAGATGGTCAGACGGTGTTCCGTGAGCGGCCGGGCGGCGGGCAGTATCAGTGGCTTGGCAAGTTGGTAGCAGGGAAGAAGCACGCATGGTGACAGGCTGAAAGGATAGGATAACAAAGGACGATCAGAGAGTGTCTTCTTGATGTCTCGAACGAGCTTACTGGGTGAGGGTCCTGCTTATAAGCGTCGTGGCGGGCGATTATACACGACCTGATGATGTGATGAAGCACCAAAGTTTGTGACAATGACAGAGCCCATTTTTCAATTCCGACGACAATATCGTACAGATTTGCATATAGCCACCAATGAAAATGACACCAGGGCATCACACGTATATACAGCTCAGCCTAGTCCAAAGGTCCAACCTCACGCTGCATGGACCACTGAACCTTATGGCCACCGGCGCTATCTGTCGCCCCGCGTTGCACGATATTTGTTGATCCACTGGCCGGAAACCAAAGAGACCGTCTCGCCCTCATCATCAGAACCGATTGTCTCCCCCAAATCGAGTAGGATAGGCGCCATCGGTTCGCCTTTCGGAGCTGTGTTGTGTATGACGAACCGGGTCCGCACCTTGCCCGCCTCTCCAGCCCCAGTCGCGGTCTCCGGGTCCGTCCGCTCGAGTACGTCCCTGAGCCAATTGAGCTTTACACGACGTGTGTCCACATCCCTGGTACAGCGGACCCCTCGATCATCAAGCGTGAAATACGCAGCTGCCAGTCGTCCGAGATGTTGACCGTAGCTCCCCACTCTAGACCGGCGGCTGGGCAGAGTGGCTCCCGTACGCTTTGAGATCCGAGCGGGCCTCGGCGTGTTACTCTCACTCGTAAGAAGCACCTTCAGGAGCATGCCAGCCTTGCTTGCGGTCTTCGGGTCCAGGAAAGAGTACATCCCCGCGCGCCTTTCGGCCTTGCTGATGCTTCGTCTGGGTAACTTATGTATCGCATATCCCTCGTACTTTCTCTGACCGGGAACCGAATCGCTTGTTGACTTGATAATCTTATCGAGATACCACAGGGGAATGGCGAGGGCAGTGGTGACGGAGCTGCGAAGTATACCTCGATTCATGAGTATTCTCAGCCTTTGCTTCATCTGGTTTCGGAGATTCTGGGCCTTGGTGAGGCCTTTATTGGCGCTGATATCGGTATCCATATGGTCCGATGGGAGCGCTGAGGCGCCCACCTGAAGCTCGTGTTGAGTGGCGGACTCGTTGTAAGAATAGTCAGAGCTATCGTCGCCTTTGTCAAGATGCTCGCCTTCATCGTCGGCACCACCTACGTCCCATTGAAGGTCTTCGGGATTGAACTCAAACTCCGAGTCCGAGTCTGGCCAGATACGCTCATCTGGTACAGGACTGTAGTAGGCGGGCTGTCCCTCATTCAAAGCTGAAACGCCCGATGGCTCGCGTCTCGTCTTGGGTCGCTATGCAGTCTCAGCTTTCGTACTCCCTACGCGGGACTCATCAGCACTCACGTTCATGGGAGGAATAGAAGAGCGCTGTGGTAGGGACGCTGCGAGTGGTGCTTGGTCAGTCATGAGGTCGGTCGGATAAGAGTTCCGGATCAGAACCAAGGGCCACCATGCCCCCATCCATGGTAGCCTCCCTTCCCTGCTGTCGCTGTGAGCAGCGATGTCGAGAAGCCAGGGATCCGGGTCCGCAGGCCGGTCTGTTGCAGTCGAGAGAGGAATGAGGTCAATGTGGCCGGAAATGCCTTCGTAGCCGTAGCCTTGCTCCGGATGAGTTCTGCTCCAGCTTGCTCCTGACGAAGCTAGCCAATGTCCAGGGTCATTGTGCGATCCGTAGTCAAACATCTTGGTAGATTATTGCTGATGCGGCAGCAGGAACTCGACGGATAAGTATATGTATGAAGTAAGAGGCCTGGACGAGGTACAGAGCCTGGCGATACTATCAGCTGATCTGCAGAGGCTTGGATCGCAAAGCAGTGAAGAAGCGCAGGTGGTCGATAGGTGAAAGGAGATGGCAACAAAGGACAGTCGGAATGAGGCTTCTCTCATCAGGTTCTCGTCGATGTGGGTTCCTTTGGGAGTGAGAGGATAGGAAACTAGGGGCGGGAGACAAGCCTCGGCCCCTCCTGGCTCCAGCGCGCGAAGATGATAGGTATGAGACGATTTCAAAAGATTATATGTCAGCCATGTCAGTGCAGGTTAGCCTTCCTTCAGTAAGTAGATACTTGCAGCATGTAGGTAGAGCTCCGATCCAGCGCGTCACCCATACAGTACTACAGCACAGCCCAGCCACCTTTGGTGCCACGCAGGGCCTAGCATGTAGCTTCGCTCTCGCCCTTCCTTCATCGATGCTTCTCTATCCAAGCGGAGATCAAAGACACACTCTCGCCGCCACGTTCTGTACCGATCTGTTCCCTCCAATCAAGCAGAATCGGCTGCACTGGTTCTCCCTCGGGCGCGATGTTATGAATGATTAGGCCGGATCCGGATAAACGCTGCTCCGTAGCTTCTCCATCTGCGCTCTTCGGAGCCGTCCGCCCGAGCACTTCCCGCAACCAATTCAGCCGTACCGTACGTGTAAGACTCACTATCTCCTTGGTACAGCGTACCCCCTGAGCATCAAGCGTGAGATACAAAGCCGCCAATTTTCGTACATGTCGCTGGTATCTTTCTGCCCTGAAAAGCACTGGAACACCCGTGCGCTGCGAGATTCGAGTCAGAGGTAGGGGATGCAGTGGCCCTCGGGATCCCGCTGTGATTGATGAGTTAACATCGGCCCGTATGCCAGTAAGCCTGAGCTGCTTGGTCTTCTCCCTGCTGAGGAGCGCCCGCAGGACCATGCGTCTCTTGCGCTCAGTCACCGGGTCCAACAACGAATAAGACCTCTTGGCTTTGGGGTTACTCTGTCTGGGCTCCTGGTGTATCGCATATCCAATGTAGCTCCTGCTGCCATTGGTAGACTCGATGAGTCCATTCAGATACCCCAAAGGAATGTTTCTGGCGCTAGTGCGGGAGGTTCGTATTATACCTCGATCCATGAGTGTCAGCAGTTTCTGCTCGGCTTTTGCCCTGACTCTCTGGACGCAGGCGGTACCTGTGAGACCGATACCTGAGAGATCCGATGAAGGCTTCGAGGCAGCCGGAAGCTCGCGCTGAATGGCGATTTTTTGGCGAAAGTAGCCGTTAGAGCCATCATCGCTTTCGGTAAGTTGCTCACTTCCACCATCAGTATCAACCTTCATGTCCATGTCAATGTCGTCGCGATGAGGAAGGTCGTTTTCCCAGTGACGATCTTCAGGCTCAGACCCCAAGTCAGAATCAATTTCAGAAGATGTGCCCTCATCTTGGAGCGGGCTGCGGTCGGCGTTCACTCCTTGCCCCGAAACTCCCGATGACTCGCGCGCTTGTTTTGGCGGCTATGCATATTTAGCTGTGGTCCTCCCTACGCCGACTGCATTAGAACTCACCGCGTTTGCGGAAGGAAGCATCGACGTTGCGGTCCGTGCTTCATGCAGCATGGCTTTGGCTTTGGCTTTGGTCGGACAAGAGCTTAGCGGCGAAAGTGGCGGCCATGATCGGCTGATCCGCGGCAGCATTCCTACCGCGCTGTCGCTGTGGCTGGCGACGTCGAGAAGCCAAGGGTCCGAATCCCTGGACCCGACGGCGTCTTCAGGCCGGGCATGCGGGTATCCATGAGAGCCTATGCAACCATACCTCGGATCCGTGTCGGAAGTACTCCAGCTCGCTCCCGACAAGGCCGGCCAAGTCCAGACAGATGTCGGTGTTGGTTGGATAAGCAGACATGTTGCTCCGATAGGGTCCTGTCGGTGTTGCTCTTCGAATACGATAGTCGTGCTACCTGCTACATGTGTGAGTATAAGAAGGATGAGAAGTAAGAAGGTCAGACGATGTCGGGGATCTTGATACTAGATCAGTGTCTTGGGTCTGTCAGCAGAAGAAGCAGAATGGCGAAAGGTCAAAGGGAGATAAGGACAAAGGACAATCAGATTGTGTCTTCCGCATGACGTGGTTGAGTTCTTTTGGGAATGGGTAAGGTCAGCCAGGACGGGCGTCCTAGACGATGTAAGCTGTTCCGCAGCAAGACTCGAGGTTCAAATACACGCACCACGAGGAAACCTAGATCGTTATTACGCATTAAATCATGATCGAGATCTGCCCAAGCACCCCAATGCCATCACCCCCAGCGAGTGCCTGATCGCTCAAGCAAAACTCGGCACCCACTCCTCCCTCCCCTTCCGTCTCCTGTCCAGCGCCAATACCTCCGCGTCTTCCTCTCCCATCCTACCCGCCACTCTGGCTCTGTACGCCCCTGCCAGCCCCGGGCACATATCGAGACTCTCCACGAGGATCTTCGTCGTGAACGTGGGTAAGGGGTGATGGGGCTCGTGACCCCCAAACACGCCGCCTACTTCCCCTACAAGCGCTTCGAGGCCGAGGAGACACCAGCCGGCTATGAGGGTGACAATAACCAGAGCTGGGCCGGATATTGCGCAGAGGAGGGAAGGGGGGATGGCGGCGAGGTAGATGGTGAGGAGGTGGTAGGAGTGCAGGGTCAATGGGAGGGGGGCGGCGGCTGGGGGATCAGCTGGGGCAGAAGGTGGATACTGAGAAAGCTTACTAGAGGCCAAACGCTCCGCTTCGCCCAGATGCTCCGAAAGCGACTTGACAACCGCCAGCGCTCTATCTCGCTTCGGCTCGCTCCATCCTCCTCGGAGACTGGGTACATCCGCCAGTCCCACGACGTACGCCTCCAGCATCTTCAGAATCGCCAGCGGGAGATTTGGCGGTGTCGGATTCGCCAGATTACTCTTCGTCTTCCCTCCACCTGATGCACCTCCATTGCCACTCTGCCCTTCCACGGCTCCTATCCTCCCACTCTTCCCGCTATCTTCCTCCCCTTCCCCAGTCGTGAACTGATTCAACTCATCGAGCTGTCTTCTGAGCTCATCATCCTCGGTGCCGCCCAGACCCGCTACCGCATCTGCTAATTGCGAAACCGCCTCTTCTGCCTTATCCCGGAGATTCGATAACTCCCACTCATCCCCTGAGGCTGAGGAGCGCTCTTCGGACGTAGGTGGACCGGTAGAGCGGCGGCGGAGACCGGGGCGGAGGCTATCAGGGGGTGAAGAGGGGAGAGGGATGTCAGAGGTGCGTTCAGGACTAGCGACGGGTGAGAGGTGTTCTTCTGCGAATCGTACCCGAGCTTCGGTGCGCTTGAGAGAAGCGAGGTAGCCGAGAGGAAGAAGATCGGGGAGGGGCGGTTGAGGTAGAGGACGGGTATTGTGTAGATGATGTCTGAGATATTAGCTATTGTAAACTTTGAGCGAGACTGGGCTCACTGTAAGGCGAATGCAAAGCCGACAAAAAGACCCGCTAGCTCGTCTACCCGCTCAGAGACGACATCCCGGCCATCTCCAGACTTCCGTGAGGGCTTGCACTTGGGCGAGCCAGAGCCCTCCATCTGGCCGGAGATTGATGCGGGTGAGGAGGCTTCGCTGCCATTCGAGGACATGCCCAGGAGACTAGGCGGACTGGACTCTATATCCGATTGAGGCAACAGAGTGGGAGCGATTGATATCTTGCGTGTCAGCTAGATCACCTCTGCCACATGCTACAAGGAGCGTACCAAGCGGACAGCATCCCTTATGTTGGTTCGAACCGCTATCCAGATCTTCTTGCCCTCTTCCCACTTGGCTACGGCCGAGGAGAAGCGATGAGACAAGAGAAGACCGGTCACTGAATACGTCAACTGCTGCTTTAAGGTTTGCAAGAGGGTAGAACCTACCCATACTGAGAACCCCCACGATGGACGCCCCAGCCTTCCCGACCGCAGCTGTAGGTATCCATCCCTTCTCAGCGGCATATACGATGCTTGACGCGTAGACAGCTAGAATCGGCAGCTGTCGAGGAGGTAGACGTGATCTGAGTGTCAGCTTCTGGGCATATTCAATCATCTGTGCGCCGCTGAGCTCACAAGGCATAGGTGAGAAGAGCTATTCGAGCTTGGATCGCCCCGACCTCTTTCGGCTGACCACGCCGTCTTCGCTGAGCATGTACACTCGCCGCTCGATCTCCCCGAGCCCGTCGCACGGTAGGCCGCTGATCTCGAGGTGGATAGCTCATAGATGACATGTCGATGTACGAAGTGAGGTCCAAAGCGAAAGATAGGGTTTAATGCGTTGTTGCCGCCAGGGTGGAAGATGAAACACCTTCACAATGTCGACGTCATGCTGCTACCCTGCATCTATCACCCTACATGTCCACCTCAGCTCTGCTCACAGCTCGAGCTCTTATCCTCTTACAGCTGCTCTCTCGTCTACTCACTTTCGGCCTGAACCAAGCGCTGGTTCGCCTTGCCCCTCCCGAGGTCTTTGGGACCGCCGCGATCCAATTCGACCTCATCTGCTCTACGACCCTCTTCCTCTCGCGTGAAGGGATCCGCAATGCCCTGCTCCGGTCTCCTATTACCCCCCACTCGGGAAAGGACAAGTCTTCTCGCCGAGCGCAGGACAGACGACAAGCGACTATGCCCTTTTGGCTCGGAATAGCAGTCTCGGCTCTAACCGTCACCATTTATCTTACCCGGCTCCCACTCAGCACATCCAGGCAGAAAGACTTCCATCTTTCCCTGGCGCTGTATGTGGTCTCGGCGCTCCTGGAGCTAGGGATCGAGCCACACTATATCAGGGCGCTCCGAAATGACCCGCCGAAGATCAGGGTGAGGGTACAGGCGGAAGGAGGAATGGCTATCACGCGGGCGGTGACGACTGTGGGGTGCGTGGTGCTGTTTGACAGGCTAGGAAGAGGGGGACCGCTCCTCGCCTTCGCGGTGGGGCAGGCGATGGGAGCGGTATGGCTAGTGGGGAGGTATGTGTTGGAGTTTGGGACTGAAGGGTTGCTCTGGTCGAGCCTGGATATGGGGTATGTTGTTGCTGTTTGGCGGTCGTATTGAGCTGATGAGTCAGAGAGAAGCGCTTCAACGATGCTACAACATCTCTTGCGCTCGCAAACATGCGCCAGAGCGTCGTCAAGCATGTCTTGACCGAGGCAGATCGGATCGCTGTGGGCATCATATGCCCGCTGGAGGATCAAGGCGGATATGCCATCGCCATGAACTATGGTAGGTCCCTCTCCTGTGTCAAGGAGCAGATAGCGCAACTTTACTGATCGTTAGGCTCTCTTGTAGCCCGGATCATCTTCCAGCCCCTGGAAGAGACACTCCTCCTCCACTTCTCCTCCGCACCTACCTCACCCTCTTCCATCCGCCTACTCACCCTCGCCGTGCGACTATCCGCCCACCTGCTCCTTCTCCTTCCCGCCTTCCTACCACCACTCTTACCCGCCCTCATCTCACTCCTTCTTCCTCGGCGATACCTCTCCACCTCCGCGCCTGAGATCCTCGAGATATACCTCAAAGCCTATATCCCCCTTCTATCTCTAAACGGCATCCTCGAGGCCTATCACGCAGCCACAGCGACACCAGCGGAGGTCAAGACGCAGATCAAGTGGATGATCGCCTCTTCGTTCGGCTTTGTTGGCGCTCTGGTGGTCAACGCCAAGTCGGTCCGATGGCAGACCGAGGCGACCCTCATTTACGCTTCGTGTATCGCTATGGCGATTCGGATCATCTACGCCTTACTACACGCGCAGAGGAGGGCGAGGGAATGTGGATCAGAACTGAGAGTGGGTTCGATTGCACCCCGGAAGGCGGTGGTTGTGGTAGCGGCGGCAAGTGGGGTCCTGATTCGCTGGCTTGCGGGGAAGGCCAGATGGGAGAATGGGTGGAAGGGGAGAGGGGAGCTCATTTTGGCGGGGGCGGTCTTGGGCTTGGGCACTTTGGGCGCTGTTGGTTTGTCAGAGAAGAGAGACGTCCAAGAGGTCTGGAGGGTCAAGAAGGAATAGTATTACAACGCCACCTATGGCTTCCTTCGCGCGGACTCGACGGTAAGCAAGCAGCGAGGACTGTGCACTACTGACCAGCCGGCCGGTGCTGACAAGCCGCGAACGCCAATGAGCCAGTCATGACCGCTGTTACTGACGCGACCGCGTGATGATATTAATTTCGTGCTGAAGCACGGATGTGGTCTGCTGTCATATGCAGACGTGATCGCGAGTCGTGTCCCGGATCCTAGGGGATGTCAGGTTTGGCACCAGCGATCGTGCTACGTCTACCGATTATAGCATGCTCACCTAATCACCGTAGTGGCCGTCAGGCCGGCGAGCCTATCGCACAGGTGAGCCTAACTCACTCCTTTGAGTGTCAGACCCTCACGGATACCCAATTCTCGGTATCCTTTGAGGATAGGCCAGCCGTCTGTGCTGCTCACATACGCCGCAATCGACTGGGACGTCCCCCTGATGCTTTGTACAGATACAATCGTACATCCACGTGGACCCTTTGGACCCTGTCCGTCAAGATCCTCCCCTACTGTGCCTCTGATCGCAGTAAATCATATATCGACAGCCACCATGTCAACCTCACTCGAAGAGGACCGGTGGGCCCACATGACGAGCACGTTCTCTGTCATGGTCCCGACATCCTCTACTCCCTCAGTCGGAGTCCACGTCGACTACTACCGTCCCAGCAAACCCGGGGTGCGCGGGATCAGCGACTGTCGAGTTGCTGTAAAGTGGCCGGCAGGCACATCGAAGGAAACGATGGACCGATCTCACCCCGTCTGGAAGCAGCTTCTCACGGATCTCATACACCACTACAAACAGCCGGTACCGTGGGGTATTCGATTCAAACCGGCTCTTGAGAGCTATCTGAAAGACCATGGGTTCAGCGAAGCATACCGCATCAAAAGATTGAATGGAAATTCCAAAAAAGGGGAGATCACGGAATGGAAGGAAGAGGACGTCATCGCTGCGGAACGATCCACGATGTACCCGGACGAGGTGACCAACCTTCCGCGCTGGACCTTCTTCGAGGTCATCAATGTCATTCAGGGTACTGACGGCAGCCTCGTCGACTTCGGCATATCGATCAGCCAACCACTGCAGGAACAGATTCCGCAACAGCCCGCACATACCACCCAGATGACATCGACCGAGCGAGACGTCTACGCGCTTTACGATACCATCGATGATGCCGCAGGCAGGTTGGGGATCAAGTCTTTGCTTCTGGACTGGGACGGCCCTCGGCCGGAAGACGATGCAAGCGCCCAAGCTGCCATCAAGGACCTCTTCTTCCGCGTGCATCGAGTCCTGAGCTCGAAACTCAGATCGACCGAACAGCGGGAATATGCGCTTGACCTCTGCACGGCTGGGACAAGTGCGAAGAAAGAGCAGTTGCCGCGTTACACATACACAGTCAAGATAGCGGATGAGATGACAGAGGCGGAGATGGAGGAACTTTACGAGGGGCGCACGCCGGCAATGGACTATTTGAAGATGTCTGACGAGCTTCTTGAGGAGTTTGAACGAGGTGGTCTAGGAGCGGTCACTGTCAGAGAACTTTGAGCACTCTGTATTAAGCGGCAGTCATAGATGTGAAGTCTGGGTCGGAGAATCCATCAGTCTCAATAGAGGATCAAGCTTTGCTAGGCTGTCATAGCACAGCTCACTCTCCCGCTCATACCGGCTGGAGCAACCGCTTGATTGCGAACTGAGTATCTGTGAGCATTGAGAGGTGTTGTAGCGTCGTCAGTATCCGGGCAATGGCACACGGCGTACACCTACGTACCCGATTTCCGGAGCTGGCCATGGTCGTGATCTAATATCTACGCCTTACACACCCCCTCAGTTCGGCACTCTCTCTAAGCTCCCCAACCCAAAAAGGGCGATATCGCAAGCCTTTGCGGCGTAAGTGGTCTCGTAGAGGACGCGAAGGATCTCTGCCGCCCAGACGGGCCATGGCAGGGATGAGAACGAGAGGTCAAGCGGGATGTTGTCCCCCGTCCCGTGCGGTTTCAGCCTTCGGCGTCCTCGGTCCGCGGGAGTGCTTGGTCTCGGACAAGTGACACGAAGTATGGAGCTGCTGTCTTTCGCTCCACTGGGGGTGGCCTGTGCGCCGACACCATGAATGTCGTCCGCGTAGACAGTGACAGGGGCAACGGCAAGAAGAGCCCGCTCGAGTCTCGACGCGTCGGACGCACACACACACACGACCATTCCTCGCGTGGATCGCCCAATCACCAGCTACGCGCTTTGACCTCCGACATCTTTCATTTCGCGCTTTCCCCTTTGTCCTTCCCTATCTCCAGCAGCTGTGCCGACCTCCCAGGCCGATAGGCAGACCGTCGATGCTTGCATGGGCACCCCTCGGCGAAATAAGTCAAGAGCGAAGAGTACGGTACCTGAAATTTGAAACGTCAAATTCAGGGCGGAGTTGACTTTTTGCGTTTCGACAACTCTGCCTCATCGTCATCCATACACCTCTCAAGGTCGACGGCGAGTCTGCAGGGGGTCCAGCGTCGCCAGAGGGTCGCTCTCTATCCTCCACTCCTCGCAGACGAGCTCGCGAGCCAATCTACCCCCAAGGTCCGCCCAGACACGCGTCATCACTGCGCGTCATTCTGCGCGAATACAGGCACGAAAGCAGTGACGGTGAGTCAAACACTTCTGTCTCACCTTGTTGATCCCATTTACTCCCTCTCATGATCGTCTCTGGTGATCGGCGGTATTCTGGGATGGACTTGGCGGAATGCTGGACGAGCTGGAGCTGCTCGAGGGGATCTGAGGAGCTGAGGAGCTAGGCGACACGAGGAAAAGTTACGGTCCCGACATCGCTCCTCCTTCTACATGTCCTTTGCCTAGGCTGGCGGGACGAAGCAGTGAGCGGCGCTCTGGCTCAATGGGGTGCTGCCAGGCGGAATATATGCCGGCGAAAATTGCTTTACTCCTGACCCTACATCTTTCTTGCTCCACCTTTCCCTGCCATCTGTTCATTCTGCCAGTACCCCCTTCCTCCCTCCTCCCCCTACACCTGCTCTGACCTCATCTTATGGGTATGTTGACCCATCTGCCACGTCGGAGTTACGGCGGTAGTGACATCGTCGTCGTGCCTTACCCCTTGACCAGCCACTCCGGGGCCCTTGTCCCTACAATTTCTGGCCGAGAGGATGTACGCTGACCCTTCCTCTTCTTCATTATCATCCGACAATCACACTCTACCCCACACCGCACAACCACCTGCTCGACTATCCTCATACGACTCAACCTATCGTCGCTTGTTTCCCCTCTCGTCCCGCTCGCTACCTGCTCCTCCCGTATCCCTCCCGCCTGGTCCATCATGTCGGGCTCCTCCAAACCCCATCGTCACGTTTCCCGGTCCCCTATCTCCCTCGCCATCACTAACGCCCACATGCTCGGTATCGTCCTTCGCGCTGCCCCCACTCTTGTCCCAAAGTATAGACAGCTACCCGTCCATCTACGTATTCCCAAAGTCGTAGAACTCGAGCGGCGCTTCCGCCTCAGCTCGGAGCTCAGAGGCTATCTCATCGATAGCTTCCCCTTGGAGCGGGTCAAGCACGCCGGGGCCGAGATCTCCGCACCACCAACCGTCCGGAAGCACCAACCCCAGAACATCCCCACCGCACCGTTCCCCTCTCCAGAGCCCAAACACCACGGTACCATCCCGGGCAACTGGCCGCGCAAGGATTCGTTCAGCAACGACCAGAATCTTTCGGGCTGGGTCACGGTTCGCGAGCCTACACTGGCTAAGATAGCTCGGGAGAGGTGTGAGGGGACTACCCTTTATCGCAAGAGCAGGCTCAGCGTGAGCTACACTCCTCAGGTTGCGGAGAGCCTCGACGTCTTCGTTCAGCTCCCGGTCGAGTCGGACTCGGGCGGCAGCGATCGCATCAAGACCCCCGGTACCAGTCGCGGCGTCTCTCCGGGGCAGTCTCGTATCGTCAGCGACGACGACCACATCATCAGACCCCCTCGTCATCGCAAGCCCATCGGCGGTATCCCCCTTACTCCCTCCAATATTGGCGGCACCCCGGCGGACAAGTTCGACCATTATACCCGCACTCCTCATCGCAGCAAGGGCAGGAAGCGTGCCCCATTGCCGCGCTCAGAGTCGGACTCGAGCTCGGACGGTATCACTGGGACTCGGCATCCTACCCTACCTCCCAACGACCAGGCCGCGCAGCAGGGTCAACACACTTTAGAGCTGTACACTCTCGCCTCTCACCTCGGCCTTTCCGTCCACAATCGTTCCAGCTCAGCCACGCCGCGCTCTTTCCCGTCGAACCGGGACTTCCTCGCTACGGACGCGGGTGTCACTCTTCGCAAGCCTAAAGAGGTCGACGGCTACCGTTTCGGTTCGGGCTCCTCTAAGCCATGGAGTCTGGATCGAGCCGTTTCGGCCTCTCGCTGAGGCGGTCCAAGAACGACGGGGACGACTGGTATATACCCTACAAACCGCCCGCCATACCCATTTCTTTTCAGGGCGGTATTGGTCATTCACCTGCGCCAGTCCGGTCCCCTAGCACCAAGGTCTTCTCGTTTTTCTCTACCTCTTCTTCGGTTCCGCAAAACGACTTTGACCCGGCATACTCCTTCCAGGATACCCCACATCACGCCAATCGGCGACCATACCGATCCCCCTCCTTTTCCTCCCTCGCGGACCGGCCGGCCAATCCTTTCGCCATCCCCTCTTCGGCGTCCGTCCCGACCGGCCTGGCCGGTCCAAAAATGCTCTTCTCGCCATTACAGCGCGAGATGCGCTCACCTCCATATCCTCCTCCGTCGCCCATCGACCATTCGCCACGGAGGCGAATACAGTCCAACCCAAAACCCGCTTCGGCGGGACCACAAAGATGGGCAGCACAATCCATGTGTGACATGCTCGTCTTTCCCAAACCTCATATCACCCCTCACACCATCACTCCTCCCTCTTCTCCTCCTCATCAATATCGCGACAGCCCCGACGTGCTCGAGATGGGCCAACTCCGCCTGCGCGAGCGGGAAGAATGGGCCCAAGCGGCGCAACCACAGCGGGTCAGATCCAATACGCGAGGGCGCAGTCTTAGCGTCGGGCGGCAGGATGGGCCACCCCCAGGCGCACCTATCATTGGTAGTGCGAACGCCAGGCGCGAGGAGGCGGAAGATAGGGAGAGGCGCCGTAGCTCGTCAGCCTCTCGAGCCACGTTTGGCCGGCTCAGGTCGTCATCTTTCGGCATCGGATCCGCGCGGACCAGCAACAGCATCTCTGGCGGGCGGCAAAGTAGCGAGCAGCCCAGTCTCTTCCGGCGCACGTCGAGCGACCGTTTCTCGCGCAAGTCTGCCCATACTCTGCCCAGCTGTATGAGCCACAAAAAGAGCAAGTCTGTGGTTGAACTCGGACTGGATGAGCGTGAGTCAGCCGTTGCTGGTATCGGGGCCGAGCTTACAGACAGGTGACCATCAGTACACGTCCGGCCGGTCTTACCAGACCAGCAAGTCAGTGGTGAATTTGCGATCAGAAGAACGTGGGTGTCCCTGACCACTGTGTGGAACTCTATGCTGACGAACAGGCCAACATACACGCGCCGCATCCTCTCCGGATCTGCTCGTACGCACTCGTTCACAGCGATCCCAGCCTGGCCGAACCGTCCGCCTGCGGTCCCCAGTCCGCAGAGGCGAAGTAGTCGTCATCAACTCAGACGCCGAGCGGCCAGTCATCGACTTCTCCAAACCCCTCCCTCCTCCTCCCATGTCCGACCGAGCACCTGTTCTCGACTTGCCACCGATGCAGTCTCTGCGTCAAGATGTCGGGATCGCCGTATCGAACGACTCGTCTCGAGCATCTACCCCACCCGTCGTTCATCCTTCCCATCCCCTCGCCGTACCCAATCCGGCGATAACTCCTACTGTTGCTCCCCGACATCCCCTCCCCATCCTTGCCGATAACACACCCGCTAGCGCAAGGGCCGCGCTAGCCAAACAGCACCAGCGAGCCCGAACCAGGCGCGCCTTTGCGGCTCCCTCGGCCGGGCCCGTCCGTCCCAAATCGAGTCAATTCGAGGACCTGGCGTCGCCATCCTCCGCGGCTTTGCTGTCAGCTTCTACCAATTCCGCGCAGTCCGCATACACCACGGTCTCAAGCGACGCTACGCCTACGCCTCACCCCCGCAGACCAAGCGCTATGGAGGAGGCTATCGGCCGTAGTCGAGCTGCAAGCTTGACTGGTCCCGAGTCAGGTCAGTCAGGCGCACAGACACGTCCCGGGCCCCGGACGGCCGACGAGTCCACCTATTCGCACAGCGGCTCATCTACTCCGGCCGCACGACCCATCCCCGACCCTATTCAGCGGACGATATCCCCTCCTCTCGCCTATCCCATCTCCACCATCCCGTCTCCGCGCTCCATCGTCGAAAGCTTTGCGGAGCAGCAGAACCGCCTGATGCCTCCGTCCGCCTCACGGCCGAGATTCACGCACACGGATACGGCGGCATCTGGGCGGACGGTATACACCGATGCGAGTGAGGGATGGGACAGGAGCGCCGCGGGGACTCCGGATCAGCATCTCAGTCCCGAAGGTACGCCGAGTCCCGATCATGATGACGGTGACTTCAAGGTATGTCCGACATTTTACTGCAGTCAGGATGTAGCTGACAAACAGGGCCTCTTCTTTCGGACTCCACAAGACGCCGGATCCGAGTTTGCCCCAAAATACGTCCCCAGCTTTCGACCGAAACGCAGCTCGGTAGAATTCCCGCTGGTCGTCCCCTCCAGTGAGGCTGTCGGCCTGGGATACGACGTACCTGGTCCTAGCAGCGAGATCAAGCGGGACTCGGGCGGCGCGTTCAGCGTCGACTCAGTCATCGTCACGCCCACACTGCGGCCGGACGGCCAGATCGCCGATCCGAGCGGCACATCCGATCGTCGAGGCAGCAGCCCATCTTCTAGTCGTGGTCATATCCACTCCCACGTTCGCCATGGCCATCGGCGCCCTCCCTCCCTCCAAAACAGCGCGGACTATGGTCTTTCGAGGCATGCCGGCACCGACACGGACCTCGGAGCCACAAGCGGGAAACGCCGGGCATCCGTGCCTGACGCGTCGTTACTCCGCAGCCTGAACCCACTCTCACCAGAGACGTTTGGCATTCATTATCTTCCCAACGACCGGACATACCTCGACCTCCCGCGCCAGACGACAAGGGCAGGATTCACGAACCAAGAACAGCCGCGTGGAGATTCCGCGGTCTCGCCTCACCTTTCCATTGGTTCCCCTCTTTCCGACGACCGGCGTCACTCGGCGGCCGTCAGCTTCATTGATGACTTTCCGGCTCCTCCTTCCACCACTACCGACACGATGAACCGCCTGGAGATTTCAGCTGGCAAGCACGCCTCGGCGTTCGGGCAGCTCGTCACTGGACCTCCTGGAGCGGGGAAGACGACCTACTGCAATGGGATGCACCAGGTCAGTACCCTTCCTCCTTTCGTCGGGGCGTAGCTGACCGCGAGAAGTAGTTCCTTACGGCCCTGAAACGACCTGTACATATAATCAACCTCGATCCGGCCGTCCCCAATCCCCCTTATCCATGCGCTATCAACATCTCCGAAATCGTCACCCTCGACGAGGCCATGGCGGAGCACGGCCTCGGACCGAACGGCGCCATGCTGTACTGCGTGGAATACCTCGAGAAGAACTTTGACTGGCTGGTGGAGAGACTGGATGAAGTTCTGGAGAAGCAGGGAGGGGGATACGTCATCTTTGATACGCCAGGACAGGTGGAGTTGTGGACGAATCATGATAGTTTGAAGAGGATCGTGGAGCGGTTGATGAAGATGGAGTACAGGGTGAATTGCCAGCTCTAATCTCGTTCTCAGTGAGAAAAGGCCATCGACTGACATGACAGTTGGCCGCTGTGCATCTCAGCGACGCCCATTATATCACCGACGGCTCGAAATTCATCTCGGTCGTTCTGCTCGCTTTGAGAGCTATGATGCAGCTGGAGATGCCGCACATCAACGTTTTGAGCAAGATTGATCTCCTATCCACATATGGACAGCTCCGTGAGTTGCGCTATCCGAGGCGAGGTGTTTCTCATAGCCAAGCTGACGGAACAGCATTTGATCTCAAATACTATACCGAGGCTCGGGAACTCGGCTACCTCCTCAACAGTCTGGAGGCGGGGCCAAGGAGTAAGAAGATGGAGAAGCTGAATCGAGCGATGGTCGAGCTGGTAGCGGAGTACAGCATGGTGGGGTTCGAGACATTGGCTGTTGAGGTGAGTTTCCAGGATTGCTCTAGTGATGCGAGGAGGAACAAGCTGACCCGATCAGGACAAACAATCCATGCTGCAACTCCTTCGCCAAATCGATAAAGCTACCGGCTACATCTTCATTCCTCCTTCCTCTACCTCAGGCGGGGGCTCGACCGACCTCCTCGATAACGCATACGCCCTTTTCTCTACCGGCGCAGGCGACGTGCCCGGCTGGGATGTCAATGATGTCGAGGAGAGATGGGGAGAGAGGAAGGCCGAGTGGGACGAAGTGGAGAGGGAAGAGTGGAAGAGAGAGCACGAGAGGAGAGCGGAGAGCGGGATGGAACAAGATTGAAGAAGGGATTCCAAGTTGTATAGAAGTGCTGACCGGCGCTCAGCCGAGGTAGACACAAGCCATAGATCGAGATAATAGACGTATATGAGTCAGTCGGGCGATGTATAACGATAATATATGTACGACATGAAGCGGTCTACAATATATACAACTGAAACTGTTAATGATACTCTACGCATGACCTACACGACTATTCACTTTCGAGATGTGACAGATCTCCCCTTCTTCTTCTTTCTCGCCGCTTCCTCTGCTTTCTGCGCTGCCTCCGCCATCAGCCTCTCCCACTCTCTCTTGGACCAGCCGTCGACGTCTCCTCGTAGCTCGCCCTCCTCGTTCCATATCCCGCGCGCCTCTTGGAGGAGGATGGGTTTCGGTTGATCAAGCCGGTGGTCGATCCCCTCTGCGAGGCAGGCGGCGGCAAAGGGAGCATCCATCTCCTCCCAAACGGTCTCGAGATTTTGCCGTGTTTCCCTGTCCGTCAGCGAGAATAGATGTACATGGCTGGAATCTTGGCTCACCAAGTAGCATCTTCAACGCCCCAGAGCCGCTCCGGGTCGCCTTCCTCGCCTTTCCACATGACGAGGTACTCGAGCAACTTGTTGGTTACTGAGTATGCTGACCCGCGACGGCGACTGCACGGATCAGCTTGGCGTGACGCGAGTATTGATGAGACATACCCTATGAACCGGGTCACTACGTATGGAGGCACATCTTCAGCTTCGTCGCCCGACCCCTCATCACACTCGTCGATTGCCCTTTGCTCGCGTAGACTGCGCTTAGGTCTACGACTTCAGCTTTCACTCGGAGCCAGGTGGTGATGGTGAACTTACAGAAGAATGCAATCCGGCCGGATGCATGCACCTAGATCAGACTCGGCGACGTGTAACTTATCACCCCCTATCTTGTCAGCCTCGTATGAGGTCATGCCTTGTCCGAGAGAGAAACCCACCTGTCTCCGCCAGGTATCTGCAATCCGGGCAGGTCCATTCCTCACGGGAGTACTCGTCCGGGGTAAAGCCAGCACAGGCTGCATGGCATCTGCCGCCGCACTTCAACGATCAGCTGGCGCCCCCACGACGAGTCATCCAATGTCAATCACCTTGTCACATGTCACAATAAGCTGCTCGTCATCAGCTCGATCTTGATACAGATTGCGCTGCGCACGGTGACGACTCACGAGTTTGCCGTGGGAGGTCTTCTTGGCACACTCTGGCCACCTCGCTTTGAAAGCACCAGGTCTAATGAGCCCGGAACTTTGCCTCAAGTGCCCCTCTTTGACGACGCCTGCAATTACCGGTGCTTTCGGGCGCTTGGCACCTCCCCGCGCCTCCTGCAGGGAGATATACGAAGGGTGGGTGGGCTCCATGAACTCGAAGTAGTCCTTGGGGCGAAGCTGAGTCCGAGTAGATCGCCGAACTCCGGTGGATTGCTCGTCCTCCTCATCGGCTGTCGTTGGGAGGAGAGAGTTCTCGGTTGAGGCGGATTGTCTCGGAGGGGACTTTGACCGTTTCGCCGGGGGAAGGTCGTCGGTCTCCTCAGGTCCCCGCTTTGCCCGCCGTGCCGAGCGTGGAGGACGCAGAGGAGACGGAGATCCGCCCGGAAGAGTATGTGAGTACTCTCCGGTGACTTGGACGGGAATATCGGCAGCATCGGACCGCTTGATCATCTGTGACCACGAGGATGAGGAAGGAAGCGGAGGGCAGGGGAGGTGGGTCGAGACGTTAACGGAAGGAAGAGATTTGGAGGGATTACTGAAGGACACCGGTGATTCCGCGAACTTACTCTCGATTGAGCTCGCAGATGAGGAGGGATCCGACTGCCTTGTTGACGTGGAGGGCGACCCAGGCGATTCGTCCTTGGCATTCGCGATGGTCGCCGTCGGCATGCTCGGCTCCAGGTCATCTATCACCGCCTTCTGTGATAGCAGAGCGGCCAAATGATGATCCAGAGGTCCCGAGAGATCATCGCAGGCCGCGTTGAGGCCGGTGACGACCGACAGGTGCTGCTGGTGAACCGTACCGCCGAGCCGGATAGTCAGATTGGCGAGAATGCGCTCCGCCTCGCCGATTGTGGCTGCGATCGATTGGCTTTGCTTGATGCGGGAGACGATAAGGAGTTTCGTGTCCGCCAAGATGACGTCGTGGCCGACCTCGAGGTGCTGAATGTCCATATCGTATGGAAGTTGGATGATGTACGAAAGAAGGAAGAAGGTCAGCTCCGCATTCCTTAGCGGCAAAGTTTCAGAGTTTTGCCCTTTTTGGACGCACGGACCGCCTGCATCGCTCAAAGCTCAACAATTTGCTCCAGCTTTCACAGCATCACAGAGCAGGATGCCTCGCCTGGTGATCACCATGTCGACAAGAGACAGACATTCAGGGCGCTCTCGCACCGGTAGGCCCCCGGAAAGGTCACAGCGCTCGGCCACGAGCGGATGGCGCGTCTTTGCAGCTGTGATTCTCCTCCTTTCGCTGGTATTACCCATCACCTCGGCGCAACCATCACCTTCCGCCCCCGGACCGATACAGAACCTGTCCATCGCCGCCATACCCGCTCTGATCAACCTTACACCCCTCAACAGCACCCGACCGACGATCCAGCTCAGCCTCCCTCCCACTCCCGACCTTTTCCTTACATTCAACCTATGCTCGCTCACCTCGAACTCGTCCCTCCTTCCCACTGTACTCATTTCTACGGCGGCTGACCCGGCATGGTCCCTCGGTGCTCGATCGACGGCCGATTCGGGATCTGGAGGTACGAGGGAGGGAGGGCACAACAGGCGGAGCCGGCAAGGAGCAGTATGGAGTCTAGTATGGGACAAGGGATTTGGGAACTGGACGATGTCTGGAATGGGTCAAGGGGAGCAAGTCAAGATGCTGCTGTCGCTTGATGTCGATGTCAACGGGGCGTTTCGGTCAGGGGTGGGTGCAGGCAACATGGTGCTACAGCTAGGCGTCTCGAGCATGAGTGAGCGGACTTACAACCCCCTTTCGATGACCGAGACTGACGATCAGACCCTCTGCATGGAATTGCGACCCATTCTCCACTCCTCGGAGACACGAGCTCTACTACGGTGCTCATATTCTCTCACCTTCTGTCAAGCCTTCCTCAGACCCAGCCCACCTATCCAAACTACACCCTTCCGCCTGCGCAACTCCCTTTATTCGCCTCTGGCGCCGGATCGTCCACCTCGTCCTTGACGCTGATCATCGTGCCCACGGGATCCTCACCCACGTCCGACGGACTCGACAACTCTCTCTGCGCCATACGGACCGCCAACATATCTACCGGCGGAATCGCAAGTGCGCGGAATGCTGTACTCAATCGAAGTCAGCCTCATTGGATGCGTCTAGGAGGGGAAGAGGGTCTCCGGTCAGCCTGGGGTGCGGGCGATCTCGTTGCTGGAGGATCGAATTACACCGCCTGGACACTTGATGAGGCGAAAGGGGAGCTGAGCCGGCCAGTATGGTTCGCAACAAAACAGGGTCAGCTACCACGCTTTGAATCCTCCGTTACAACATGTGATAAGCTGACTCGTCAGCTGGCTTCTCATGCCCCCTCGTACTTCCCACTTCTTTCTGCCCATCCATTGCGTACGCCGCCCCACTACCCCTCGATCCGACCAGCCCTACACATCCCCTCTCGTCCCTCCCTTCCAATATCACCGACCAGCTCACTTCCAATCTCAACGCTCTATCTACCTCCCTTCTTTCCACCGCATGCGGCAGGGACCGCTACTCCTTCGCCTCGAGCTGTGCAGACTGCCACACGGCATACCGCGACTGGCTGTGCCGCGTCCTCATTCCTCGCTGCGCCGGCGGAGTCGATACGACTGCCGATCCGGCGCCTCAGGTCACCCGTCGTACGGTTGACGCGCCGAGAGTACCGGGTGTCGTATTGGGCGGGGATCAGGGGTATGACGAGCTCCTACCCTGTCTATCAACTTGTAATGCCGTCGATAGGGCGTGTCCGGTGAACCTTAACTTCCGGTGTCCGTTGCGCAAGCATGGAGCGGACAAGAGTTACGGCTTTTTAGGGGATGATCCAGGATATGGGGATGGGTCGGCGGATCTTGGCGTTGCGGCGGGCGATGGATGGGGGAATACCTGGTGTAATCCTTGAAGCTGTATCAGTAGTGATCTAAGCGTTGTATTTATGAGACGACCAGGTCATAGCCCTGCAAGCAGAAATGCATAGAGTATGGATACACTAAGTCAACACCTAGATGCGCAAAAGTAGTAAAATTACAACAAGATCTGACCCTGCGGTCATCTAGAACATCTATGGATATGCACAGCATACACAACCACCAGGACCCCTCACTTGAGCTCCCACTTGCCCACCACTCTCATACTCTCCTCATCTCCCTTCCTCACGACCTCGCCCTCCGCCCCACCTATCAGATCCCCGACCATGACCCATGGATCTCGCCCTCCACCCCACTTGAGTACCTTCTGCTTCAACACCTCGCCGCCCTCCCTGCTCAGGCTCCCACCGTCCTCCGGATCCCTGAAGAGCGTATGCCACATCTTGTTCGCAATAGCTCGATCGAAGAGGTACGAGTAGTACGTCGCGCCATACCCGTATAGATGTCCGAATTGCGTCTGCCACGCTGTATTCTCGACTGGGGGAATAACGCCGATACTCCGTTGTAGCGCCTGGTGCGTCGCGGTGCTGTCGAATGTGGGGAGCGAGGAGGCGGAGAGGGAGTGGTAAGATTGGTCCAGGATGGCCATGAGGATCTGGCCGTGCGTCTCGAGCGCGGCGAGCGAGCGCTGCTGTGCCAAGTGCGCCTGAAGAAGGGGGAGGGGAAGAGGTTCGTCCGTCGCGTAGTGGGTTGCGAAAAGTGCGAGGACGTCAGGGGAGGAGACAAAGTGTTCCATCAGGATAGAGGGGAGCTCGACAAAGTCGGTAGCGCAGCGGGTACCGGAGACGTTGTGATAGTCCGTGCGCCCGATCATAGCTATAGCTGTCAGCTCGCTCAAGCTCGCATAAGACGTAGACGTACAATGAAGGGCATGCCCCATCTCGTGGAAGAGAGTTTCGAGGTCACTCCAGGCTAACAGGGCGGGTCTACCCTCCTCCACCTTCCCAAAGTCCGTCGTCAGCACGACCACGGGCAGCTGATACCTCCCCTCCCTTCCCCTGATCTCATCTCCCTCCACTTCCAGACCCGGCCCATATGCCTCATCCCACTCAGGCTGAAGCTTGTCGCCGGCGAGATCGTCATCGTCCACGCGTCTCGAGCAACGCACGGTGTAGTGCGCCGCACCCGCAGGTTTCCCCTCCCTGGAGAAGAGGTCGCAGTAGATCACCCCGATCAGACCTTCTTCCTCATCCACCACATCCAGTCGCCTGACGCTAGGGTGGAAGCCCTCTCCAGGCTCCATCTCGGCGACTCGGAATGAGATGCCATATAGCCGAGAGAAGAGGCGAGAGAGGCCGAGCATCGCCGATCCGGTGGAGAAGTACGGCGATATGGGCGGGAGTGAGGAGGAAGGAGTGGTCGACATGAGATGCCGCTCAGAGTAGTAGTCCCGATCCCATGCGTGTAGGGGCGGGAGAGCGGCCGGGCTGATTTTGGACGACACCTCGCGGCCGGTGATACCGTGCGCTTTGAGTCGTTGGAGAGTCGCAACGTCCGCGGCAGCTGCAGGACGATGTTGGTCCGCTAGGGACGACAAGAATCCCATGACGTTCCCAGGCGTCTTGGCCATCTTATCCACCAGGACCACCTCCGCCCAGCTCTCTTTACCTAATACAGCCGCCAACTCCGCCCGTTCTCGCAACATCCGCTCCAGCACCTCCACCCTTTCTTCATCCCTCCTCACCCCACCGATATAGACCAGTCGCCGGGCCTCTCCTTCCCTCGCATACCGGGCGATCATCTGCGCCTCCCAGCTTCCGGGGGTGACATATCGGCTCCCCCGCTTCCCGAGCCTGCCGCGCGGTAGGGAGGTGATGAATTGGCTGCCGAGCCCCGCGAGTAGCGTGTCTGCGTCTGGAAGTTCGATGAGGGGTGTTGGACTAGGTCCGGAGGATGCGTAGGTGAGGAAAGTCCGGCCGAGGGAGAGGATCGAGTCGGAGAGCTCGACGACTCGTTGGCGGAGATCTGGAGGAAGGTGGATACCGGACTTTTCAAAGTCACGGAGGAAGGTAAGGGCGACTTGAGTCTCAGCTTCTGAAAGTGGTGCTGTATGTTCGTGCTGTAGCGTAGCGACCAAAGACTGGATCGTCAAGAATCTCTTCGATACTAGTTCGTCCCAGACTCACCTTGTACAGGCCCTGATCCGTATTCAGCTCATTCATCAACCCACACAAACGCTCATACGCCATATCTGCCGCTTGTACCCATTCCTGCTCCGGATGTACATTCCGTACCAGCTCGCACATGTCCACTACGCCGCAGAGGAGATCGCTCAGCCGATCCAGGTTCTTGACCACTAACCGTAGTTCCCGGCCGGTGGGATCGAGCGGGGCATTCCGGATCCGCTGAACGATGGCATGACCATGAATGAGGGTCCTTTCCGTCAACCGACCCAGTGAGGAGGGGTCGGTGAGTGGGGGGAAGAGAAAGAGGCCGGGATGGGAGGATGAGGCGTAAGATGATGAAGGGGGAGATAGGGGCTGGTCGAAGTGGGCCCGGAGATTGGAATCGTCTGCCGAGGATGAGGTGCCCGTGACGGGCGTTGCTATTGGCGGTGGAAATGACTGGTCGGCATGCCGAGGCGCGAAAGCTGGAAGAGCTGATTGAGCTCTGCGAAGGGGTACAGATGAAGCCGAGAGATGCCGAAGAGTAGCTGAGGGGGACCGGCGAGTGATAGCTCTGGCAGGTGGTACAGGTCCCAAGCTACGAGCGAGGACATTGCGCATAGCTCTTGCTGATCTCGAACTCATCGTGAATGATGCAGGATCCGAGGATGGGTGTCGATGTGAGCGAGAAAGATGGGAGAAGCCGATGATGTGGTCGTGCGACCCAATCGCGGCGAGAGGTGCAAAAGCAAGTATGCAGCTCGATCGCCTATCGCCTGTGCCTGACTAGTGTGTAGTGCGCCCCTCGTGCCTGCCAACACAGACTGGCGGCAGCAGCTGCAAGTACGATTGGGTGACAGGTAGATATGGAAGGACAGGAGTGAGATTGAAAGTTTGGTGAAACGCTTTTCTGATCGGCCAAATCGGCGTCTATCCTCATGAAGTCTTGTCAGCGACTCATGGGGCTCGACCACTCAAGTAAGGCACATGCTCGCGCTATCCTACGTACTACTACGAGCTCTGACAGCAGCGCACTCAATCCACCCACCCATAGTACCGCGGACCTCTCAAAGCCGATGTAGCACCTACTCGCTGGCAGTCTAGACGCAGGCTACTGTCCGTCCTCGGCCTCGGACGACGTAGGTATGCACAATGACCCTCCTCGCGCTGCCTCCTCCCTCTTCGACCTTCAGCCTCCTACGCCATGTCCCAGCCACTCTGCGAACCATCCCCTCAGTTCCTTCGCCTCGACGTCTCCACGCCAGAAATGGTCCGCCAACACCTCCTTCACCTTCAGTCCATGGCCCGTCGCCCATTTGGTATACTTGGCTATACTGGCGAACTGATCGCGGTCCCCGTAGATCGTCCAGACCGATACGAGCTCGTTGATGGGCTTCGCGCCGAGGGGCGGAGCTTGCGGCTTGGAGAGGAGTCGGCGGAGGGCGGCATCGTACGATCCCGAGAAGAGGGTGACGGCGGGCAAAAAGCTGAGGGGTGGGGAAACGAGCATGATGGATCGGAGGCGGGATGCATCGGCTGAGGGGGACGGGACGGGCGCGAGGACGGCCGATATGCAGCCCCAGGAGTAGCCCTATGCTGTCAGCCTCGCTTCGGAAGGGGCATATAATGCGACGAAGTCAGGCTCACCAGTCGTCGAACTTCCACTTCTGCATCTCCACAGAGGAGATTGATTGTACGCTGTTCCACAGCAGCAAAATCTGCCGGATCGTTGCCCGGTGTGACCCAGGCTGTATAGCCTTGAGAAGCGCCGACTCCGCGGACATTGTAGGTCACGACAGCGGTGGGTAGAGCGGGCTTTTTGGAATCGCCTGTCGAAGCCGCGATGCCCTCTGGCGAATAGACAGACTGTATGAGGTGGCGAGATAGGACCCTATTCCATCAGATTGACAGCCGACAGGCAGTACGAGACGACCTACGGATCCAGCATGTCTCCGCCGAGCCGACCCCATGGATGACCAACCGCGATGACTCGCCGAACGTTGAAGCGCTTGAGCGATTGCACGATCTCGTCTGGAAGGTGCGTATACCGGAGAATAGAAGGCTGACGTGCAGCAACCGAGGTCGAGATCACGGATGGGAGCTTGGAGTCTGATGGGTCGATAGGAAGGTAGATTCGCGCTTCGACGAGTACCGCTGGGTCGTTCGAAGGTACGAGTAGGTGCAAATGAGGATGAAGCGACATGATGTCTACGTATCTCTACCTGTGGAGAGATGGGGCAAAGCGACTAGAACAAGGCGATGGGAGTGCAAAGGTGATAGTAAGCTGGGTCGAGTGAGATCTGCGCTTCTTTTGTCTCGCTTCCGAAAGGTGTGTGTGCCTGACACAGCTTCCCCCACCCTCCCCCACCCTGCCCTCACCACTGTGGCAGCTCGTGATGATATACGCTTTCGACCATTCATGATCTCGCTCGAATATAGCAGTATGTATAGCACATGCCAATGCTGAACATACTCAAACGACTGCTGGCTACGTAGGCCCGACTGGAACTCCCTTCTTAGCCCGCTTATCCGCCATGTACTTCTTCTTGACTGGTTTCCCCTCCTCCCCCGCCTCTCCGGCTCGCTTACTCCCCACCGAGCCCGCATCTTTCGACGCTTCCACAGGCGCCACGTATCGTTCCGCCGTGTGATTGGGATTCTTCAGACTGGCTTCTTCTGTCGCCGGAAGCCGGGGAACACCAGGTGGCGGGATGATCTCCGGCATGGAGAGCACCGCCTTGTACGTTCTACGTGCCTCTGCCAGGTATCAGCTCGCAGCTCTGCCAAGGATATCATATGCGTGAACTAGCTTCACTCACGCGCTCGAAGTAATACCATCTTCCCATTTAGACTCAGACAGTCCTTCGCTACATTTGCCGGCATCCCCAGCGTTGTCGCAAGATTGACAAGATCTGCTGGTCCGCGCACACTCGCTGGACCTCCGCCCGGACCAGAGGAGATGATGACGCCCTTTCCGCCTGTTATCCGGACAATCTCGCGTGCATTCGACATCCAATTTTGGCGATATCGGCGAGCAGTCTCTGGGGGTGTGGAGGGAGGTGGGAAGAGGCCGGCGGCGTAGAGGATTTCGAGCTGAGTGGTAAGCTACTATGCATCTGGAAGTGGAAGATAGTCAGAGGTATTGAGGTAGCTAGGATGATCAGACCAGCGAGGGGAATCACAAGACCTACCACGACGCCATTCCGTTGAGCCTGCTTGATCTGCTTTCGATTTAGTCGGAAGTGGTAGGGCCGCTCATGCAGGGGCAAGGTGATGATAGATAGCTACTCTGTCAATCCTTTGCCCCAAAGCGAAGGTAATCTTGATCGAAGAAGAAAACTTACCTGATTTGGACCTGGATTTGAGAGGTCGGTACAAGCCAGCTGCAAAGCCTTGTCGTTTGTAGGCTGACACGAGATGATATCATAGTTCCTAAAGACATCTGTATTCGCCCCGACCTGTCATACGTCAGCTTGACAGGCCTGACGAGCTACCCCACACGGCTGTCAAGCCAAGCGGCACTCACGATAGGATTCGTCCGCGCATCCTCCAGCTTGACATGGTACCGAGTGACCTGGACAAGTACCTGACTTCTCGACGGCCCTGCCATACTGCTCTCTCCAGTTCTGCTAGATTCTCCTGGATGTCGAGGATCCAGATGAGGGAAGGGCAGAGTGACGAAGGGCGATGGACAGGCATGAGCTTCGGGATCCCTCACGACGGTTGGGGCTATGACGTTGAAGCCCACTACGACTGTCAGCTCCTCCGAGATTTACTGTAGCGAGTGAGGTGGAGCAATCTCACAATGTCCAGCTAGACCGACACGCTTCGCGAATGCCTCTTTGTCCTCCGGCTCTACTCCGGTCCAGCAACTTGTGGGCAAGACAGCAGGAGGAGGCGGGGCTTTCCCCTTCCCTTTCCCCTTCCCCTTATTCTGATTCTCGGCGGTCTCAGCGAGCGGGAAGGGGACAAAAAGGTCGAAGTACATGATGCTGAGTGTGTCTGAGCGCTTGGTAGGGCTGATGTGAAGGTGATTTTGATGACCATAATAGAGTGTCGAACTTTCTGAGGAACCGCAGAGGTCTTTACGTACGTCGCCGCCGCTTCCGTCGGAAGCAGGGATGCTCGATGCAGAGAGGACGCGACGAGGTCGACGACTCAACGTTTCCAACATGCGATCTGACGTTGTGAGTCAGGCGTATCGCAGGCATTATGATGGTGGGGGATGTCGAGAGAGTCGCCTGAGCTGCTCTGGAAGTACAGAGGTACTTGAGACACATGCCGAGCTGGCTGATCTGCCAATGCGCGGTAAGGAGGCAGCTGTGTTCCGCGTACAGTCCGCTGAATAGTCCGAGCGCTTTCTCCCTGCCGCTCGGACCCCCTGACTTGCTGATTCACCAGCAGCACTAGCAGGCACGACAACATGATCATAATGATTCTCATTCATACTTATCTTTACGCCTCTCACTCAGTCCACTGAGCCCAAAACAGAGTACGTATATACCCCAGGCGGCCGGCATTCGTCTCACCGATTCCACTTCTTTCCTCCGCCCCGCCGTGCACACACCCGCCATCATGGACCCCGAATCTGTGGATACGCTCTCGTCGTCCCTCTACTCGAGTCTCAATTCCCTCACTCTCCCCGGCCCAGCGATTCCGGGAGTCTACGCCGTTGACAGCGCGGCCGCAGGGGCTCCGATCGACGTGCGCCAAGTGCTAGAAGCCCTTCTTGCCCAGGGGAAGGTGCTCGATGCCTTGGAAGTCAAAGCGGACCACGTACTCTCGGAGGCGGTAAAGCTGTCGGTGAAGCTGCAGGATATGGAGGATGAGCTGGCGGAGGCGAAGGAGGCGTTGAGGGAGAAGGCGGAGGCGGAGAGATTGACTGGGACTGAGTCGAACAGTATGGGAAGGGGAGTGAAAGGACACGCGGAGCAGTGTGATAGGTCAGCTTCCGTGACCAGAAGCTCGTTCAGACCAGGAAGCTGACCGAAGCAGTCAATTGCAGCAGGACGCAGATCAACGCCAAGTTCTGCTCGACCAGATCATGGCGGCATTAAACCCTCCTGTCACCTCCCAGTCCAGCTCGAATGAAGGGGCTGCTCCAATCTGGCAATCCGGTCCAACGAGGGTCATCATAGGGTGAGTTATAATGTCTCTCAGCCTAGACCCAGCGGAGCTGACGACCAGACGGAAGGCCATCAAGCGTCGCGAGGATCAATCCCGCGTATTCGAGTACCTGGTGAAGCAGGCAGGTGATTCCGCGGACGACTCCATCTGGTCAGTTTAGCACCTAGTCCTTCTCGAGCACGCGGATGAGTGTGACCCTCGCTGATTCTTGCAGGGTCCACGAGGACGACTTGCCGTCCACAGTCGGCGCTAGCGCTTCTCTCGCTATCGACTCCTTCCTGCGTGACTGCGCAGATAACCAGATCGAAACGGGGCGTAAGATGGCGTTACTTCCCGAGGCACGTATGTGGTGGGACGAGCGGGGTAAGAGGAGGGAGGAGCCTAGTCCAGGCGAAGGGTCCGCCAGTCAGGCGAGTCGAGTCGTGTGAGCAGTCAGAGGCGGAGATGTGAATCTAGAGACACACTCAATCGTAATACCATGTCATCCTCATCTCCGTTTCGGGATTTCAAGATGATGATCTGATGCATAGTCAAGATCTCTGATATGATGTACGTACAATAGCCCAAAAGATTGCGTATCTTCTCATCTCGACAAGATCTACTCCTCCCCCTCTGTATGATATGACGCCTTCTTCCTATCATCCGATATCATACGCCAGAACTCGAGGATGAGGAGGTAGGTATACGACCGCATGTCGCTCATCCTGTCCCGTCAGCGCGCCCTGATTTAGCGGAGAAGGAGTTATTTACCTCCATCTCTCCTCGGTGAAGCGCAACCCATTTGCTGCTATCTCCTCGGCGAGATCGTCCCGCCCCGGCGTTGATCCATCCGGTGCACCCATGAAGAAGGCCAGTATGTCGCTGGGTCATCAGCTAGATTCCAAGACGGCTAAAGTGGGGAAGAATAAGCTCACTACATGTCAGTGTAGTCCAGCTTGAGCGGGACGTAGTGATACCACGGAATCAGCATCTCGCTGTGCCATTCGGGCTAGGATGATCAGCTTCGATAGCTTGGGCTACAAGCAAGAACGTCGGCTCACGTATAGTGTGCTCTTTAAGACGACATTGTTTCCTGCTAATAATCGCCTGAACCGCGAACTCCAGCCATTACTGCCCAGTCAGCTGAGGCCAATATCTGACGCAAAAGACCAACGTACCCATCGACATCGATGACGAATTTGTATTTCGTGGCATCCTCCTTCCTGACCAATCCCATAAAGTCGATTTCCCGAGCCATCTCATCGCAGCTCCCATCCTCCTTACTGCACTGAGACGTTAGCTATTCACATTTCGCGCGATATCGGCCGCAACCAGCGTACCTGATTTGGCTTCCCGCTGATCCCGACATCCAGCCAGGCCTCGTTCAAATCCGTCACCTTCCATTGCTCATTGACGAGACCCCCATCCGCTCCCCGATCGACGAGAAGGGAAACTTTGTCGTCTGATGCGTTGTTGGAGAACCAGTGCAGACGCTCGCGCTGGGATTGCCGCCACGGTGTGTCTTTACTGTGGAACAGGCCGGTCGCTGATCCGCGCTGAGACTCAGCAACGTTCGCTGCGTCATGAGGCCACCGGACGTACCCAGAACACCTTCTTCAGCGGCTTTTCCTCCCAGGGTACCAGAGCTACGGTCTCTGATCTATGTCAGTACACGCGAAGGCTGCCTTGAAAGCTCATGCTTACCGTGAACGCCGTCAAGGGGTACCCCGACGATATCAGCATTATGTACCGCCCGACAGGCCGCCACGCTGGGCACAAGCGGAGCTGCCCCAGCAGCATGGTCAAGCAGTAGCGAGTGATGCTAAACAGTCAGTGCTCGTCCACGCCGCACCAGTCATTCATCCTGACTCACGTATTGCATCAGCTCAGGATTATAGCAAAAGTCTGCCGCTTTGCCAAAGTCCGCAATGAAAGACTTTTCGATCTTCGGACCAGCGAATACGGCCTGGTCTCCGCCGCTGAGACTAGCAACAGAGCCGAGGTCATTGAGTACGATGTCGGTATTGGACTTCTTGAGCGGTGCGCCTTCCGGACATGCCCATTGCCTTCTTGTGAGCGATGATCTTACGCCAGGAAGAACGGCTCACCATCCCCATGTCCATCGCATCGCCTGCTCCGCCTTGTGTAGCTGCGCCTTCGGCCATTCCTTCAATGATCTGCCCAGGGCCTCACTCCGGACCTTGAAGGAGTTATGTATCATCGAGCTCGGTCCGTCGGCGAGGGAGAAGGCGACCTCGAAGGGTGGCTTCATGGTGAAGAGCTCTTTGGGCATGTACGGTAGAATGGGTAGGATAAGGTTGAGAGTATTACTGCTTGTCAGCTATCGCCCTCCTGGTCAGGCGAGAAGTCAAAAACAGCTCACTTGCAGCGCCACGACCACGCCCCAACTCCAGCTACCTTGACTCTGCCCTTCCCACGCTCTGCAACGTCCTGGAACGACCACTCATCACCCTTGTCGCATGACGTGCCCTGGTCACCTGTCCCGTCCGGAACAAATTGGAGTGTGAAGAACCCCTCCTTTTCCCGCAGCCCGGATACCCGCTCGCGGAGTGTACTGGCCGGTATTGATAGATACGCATCGAAGGGAGTATGTGCGAACGGTATAAGTGGAGGAACGGGCGGTGGATGTGGTTCAGGCGAGATCTGAGTGAATTTGTACCTATTCATCAGCTTCCTCTCATCAGCTCTTCAGCTAGACATACCATGTCTCAAATCCCTTGGGCGGCTTTAAACCGAAGGTCCGCTCATACTCGTCCGCACTGTCCTCCACCGACGCGACCTCTCTTATCCTCGCCTCGACCGCCTTGGCCAGGCGCCTCCCGCGCTCAATTAACAGCTCGACAGGGTGCTTCTCGCCCGTCCCATCATATGCTGTCAGACCCCGGATGTCGATATCCAGTCCATCCTCCGTCACTGCCGTTTTTGGCGAAGCAGATTTGCGTCCCTTGGCCTTGGTCTTCGGTGGAGATGGGACGAAAGGTTTCCGGGGTCGGGGAACAGGCCGACCCGCGGCCTTGGAGGAGGAAGATCCGTGGGTGTCGGAGGGCGATATGAATATGAAATGAAGCGCGACGAGTAGGGCTACCGTGATCAGCACGAGTGCTGGACGGCTCGGCCGTGGCATGCTGCTGGGCACCTGAAGAGCGGGGTGAGAAGACAAGATGTAAGAGAAGAGTGGAGATGTCCAGATCGGTAACGTAATCGTGCGGAGTGGCGGTCAAAGACTTTGACGCGACGTGTCCAGCCCGCCACCCGCTAGCATTGCGCTAGCACAACATCGACCAGCCTCTTGTCTGTCATGTTCGCCCCCTCCCCCTCGAGACAGATCGCACCGAAGGAGAGGAGGAAGAGACAGAGCGATCGTCAAGCAGCTGCATAACCTCGTTTTATTTTGGGTTTCCTCTCCTCTAAGCGAACTCCTCGCCACAGATCAATCATACCGCTGTTCTGTTAGTTGTGCCCTCCCTGTCCCTTTCTGGCATAAGCAAACTTACAATATTGGCAGTAACGTCCTCATTAGCCCAGCCAATCTGGAACTTGAGAGTCCGCATCCCCACGACGACCTTGAGCTTCTCTTCGCTGAGAACGCCAATCGTCTCCTCGGTGCCCCGGATGAACTCGCGGTTCTGGAGGAGACGGCGCTTCATCTGGTATCGCTTCTCGCGCTCCTTGTTGGTCCGCTTGCGGCCAACAGGGATCTATGAGATCAGCCTATATCATTCATGGTAAGAAGCAGAAAGGGGTCTGCATACCTTGTCGTTGACGACAGCTTGCAAGAGCTTCGCCGCCCGGATCCGAGCGGCCGTCACTGCCTCTTGTTCCTCCGCGATCTGCTTGTGGAGGTCCTGCTCGAGCCAGCAGAACTCCACCATAGCCCTATCATACATCAGCCCCGATACTTATTGTGAGCGGCAAACTCACTGCTGGAGCATCTTGACTTGAGCTTTGGCCTTGGCCAACGGAGAAGGGCGGGCCAGCGGCGTGGGAGGACGGGTGATGGTAGGGTTGGTCATTGTGGTGTGTGTCTGAAGCTCTATGATGTCGAATGATATGATGTTGTATATGAGAGAATTCGGGTATGAGCGATATGTATAAGAGCCCATGGAGGCTGGTCGCCGCCCGATCCGCGTGCCCACCGGCTACCATGCTGACCGAGAAACAGCCCGCCCCGTCCCACTCATAACAAACCAAGAAATCCTACCTAGCAGCGCTCCTGTGGCCTAGGAGGCTGCATAGTAGTCATGACCACTACGATAGTCCTGGTGCTCAGTGCTTCGGGATGGTAGGAAGCAGGGGAGCAAGTACTCGTCGGATACAGACTGAGACTGGTGGTTTGTTGTGAGAGAGCCTGCATCTCTCGCGACAGTGAATATTTGAATCGTAAGCTTGCTGCTTGCTAGCGCTCGGCCCATTCGAATCCATATGGGGCTGCCCCGAGTCAGTCAGACACCAGTGAGGGGTCCCCCCTTATACTCGCAGCACCCGATTAGAGACTGCATGCATGTACGTAGATGACTGAAGCCGATGCAAATCGTGGACACTCATCACCTGTTCTGGAGTACTGATTGGATCACTGAGTCTCTTCCTTGGCACCCTCCGCCTCATCGCTCGGACGCTCACCCAGATTAAGACTCGTCAAGCTGCAGTCCAAGCAGAAGTTCTCCAGGGGCTTGAAGAACTCGTCCGAGCCGATGCTCCGAAGTCCCTCGAGGACTTCGGGATCAGACAGCGTGCGAGGGCAATCGCCGGTAGCAGCCGCCTTGATCTGCTCGTCGACCTGGGTCAGCAGGTGGCTGTCGAGCTCCTGTCCGGCCGTTCGCAGACCGGCTTTCGAGAAGACGGACTGACCTCCAAGGGCTTCGGGCAGACCACGGAGTCTGCTCTTGACGGTGTAGGTCTTGTTGCCCTCAGCGTTTGTGCTCGGGATCAACAGAGTATCGCACTCGATCGTCGCCTTGGTGCATTCTCTAACGGAGCATTTGAAGTTGTGGTCCGAGCCCAACTCCCAATCCAGGGCAGCGGGGGCGCCTACACCGATGGCCCACGAGCGCAGGGCCTCATCGTATCCACCATTGATGTCGGGGAAGATATGGCCATCTTCCAATGCCTTCTGTAGGAGGCCGTTCAGCACTTCGGCGGCAGTGACACACATGCGCTTGGACTCTATCTCTGGGTCCAGCGTCCTTTGATCGTCGTCTGGATCCGGAATGAGTCCCATCTTGGCCTTGTAATCGGATCCAAGGACGCGAGAAAAGAAGGCTTGTGAGCCAACGCTTCACGTGCCGGGAGGACTGTCGTAGGGCCGATAGTGCACCAGAGCCACGGAACACTGGACTGAAGATCCTCTCCCCTCTTGTTCAGGTATCTCGGGGGCGGGAGGTTGAATCATGTTGGCCATGATAGGGCTTGGCACGCGCGGAATGGGCATTGTAGCACTCGTTCTTGAAATCAAAGTAGTCCGGCGAGGTCGTATGACAGTATACAATATGAGAGTATCTATGATTCTGCCGTGGTCGAGAGGGAGGTGAGTGAGGGTCGAGAGATGAGAGGGTCAGCCGGTGGCTTATATGTCCCTCCCAAGCGCATGTCGCCACCCGACTGAAAGGAAGTGAAACGCGAGGCACTCTTTTGATCACCCCTGCATCGCGCAATCTGGCTGAGCTCCGGCCTTCCAGACCTACAATTCGGCGAGGAGGCCGAGATCCTGCTTACTCGCTACACTGAGCACGTAAAAGGATGCACAAAGTCGAGCATATTTCACTCGAAAAGATCTAGGAGAATGCGAGCTCTAGCTGTCTTAATTCACCAAGACAGTCATCAACTTCTGGCCGAGTACCAAAGGATTGTCTGCCGAACAGATCTTGGATCTGATGCTTAGCCTTGGGTGGCTCGTCGAACGTTCCATGCGATGGCGCAAGTGTGGCGATGGGAGAAGTAATCTCGATTCTCTCTGTATACCAGCTCAAGCTCTCAAGCCGTACACGCGCGCACGGCTAAGCTGACTGATGTCAGAGTGCAGTTGTGCCCACTGACACTCTCAACAAGCTGGTTTGCCGCATGATTTACATACAGCTGAATCGATTCACAGGGGCCATGGACCGCGCTCTGGATTCAGGCCTTCTGTACTCTGAACTAAGCAGCCCGAAATGCATCAGCATTCGTGACGAGTCTGACACTTGCCGGTGCTCTGTACTTGCAGATACGGTATAAATGCAAGCCAGCGATATATGTGGGAGCCAACTCGTCGGTGACAGCAGTACGAACCTCATCGGCAGTCAAGCCGCCTGAACTTGACGCGATCTTGGTGGCAATGGCTGCAGCCAAAGAGGTGTCGAGTTCCTTTTCGGCATCGTCCAGCTGGGTTGCGTATATTCGCTCCTCGTCGGGCCCGTGATAGTCTGGCGATATGGCAAGCCTGCTCTTGACGTAGCAGACTCGATCTCCCTTGGTATCCGCCGTTGGAAACAGCACAATCGAGCACAAGACAGTTCCCACGGAGACCGAACCCACCGACCACTGCATGCCGAATCTGTTAAATCCCCGCGATAGCGCCTTGTCGCCCGCTGTCCTAGCCACAGAAGCCGCCAGCTCGTGCTCTTCCGAGTGCTGGCCGTTGAGATTGCGCTGAATATCGTCCTCGATGGAGGATGCGACTTTGTCGAGCCTGTGTCTGGTATCGTCCTCCGTATAGGTAATGTTCCCAGTGTCGTCTGTTGTGCTCTCGGGCAGGCGAGGGTCGAGGTGGTACCGATAGAATGATTTGGACCGTATGCGATGGGTTCCGTCTGCGTCGACAGAATAGAGGAGGACAATGTCGAGCTCCACCCTGGATGCCGCGAGATCCGCGGGATCGAAGGGCGGGAAGTTTGTTGTCATCGAGGTTAGGGCAGAGGGATGCTGAACTGGGAGATCAGGATGAGGGCGGGCGATCAATAGCGTCTGTGAGACGGACGGTGAGCGCGGCAGTTCTAGGAAGATCCAGAGTGTGAATGATGGGAGAAAGACGTATGCCCGTCGCCAGCGATACCAAGGAGCTTGAGCCCGAGCCCCTTTCATCCTCCCCCAGGTATACAAAGGACTTCGTGTCATCTGCCTGCGCCATTCAGGTTGCGTAGCCCTAGGCTCGCTGGGAGATTCAGTCTGCTCTCCTCACGGGTCAGATCAGCTTGATTGCCAGATCGATCAGTCTGCTTAGTACTTGTACATTGTCTCAGGTCATACTGCTCCTCACTATCGCCTGGTCTCGGATCTCACACCCATTTAGCCCTCCACACCTACAAACCCTGCCCCCGCTCCACCCTCACCCCTGCTCTCCACCCGATGCACCCCCACTTCCTCAGTCACCACTCCCCTCCGCTTGAGCTTCCACATGTCCGAAAAGTGCCTCCCGACCGGTATGCTCCGCTTATGCATCAACTCGACGTCCCCGTCCCTTATCGCTCCATTCTCCTCTGCCACCGCCGCCCGAGGGACGGGGGCATCGTGTGCCGCATTGGCCCTGGCACTTGCTACTCCGTCCATGAGTTCCTTGACGGCCCTGTCGACGTCGACAGAGTCATCCCTTTTGACTTTAGCGCCTGCGCGCGCCGCCCGTAGACCCCACTTGTCATTCTCATCTCCCAACCCGTCGTCTCGTTTGTGCTCGCCGACACCGTCAGCCTCGTCTTGCTCGGCGCCGTTCTGGTGGTGTCGCGCCGCAGGGGGGTCGTGGATTTCGATATTGGGAAGATCAGAGAGGATGTCAGAGACGGGAACGGGAGCGGTGGGGGGTCGGACGGGTGCGGCTAGCGCAAGCGGGGCGACGAGGGCCGCGAGGAGGAGGAAGAGCTGCGTTGGCTGCATGCTGCGCGATGTGCTGAGGATCGAGTCAGCGTTAAGGTTGGGTCTTTTGCTTTCTATCTGAGCTTGGTACAAATCTGTATCTTGCTGGTAAGGGAAATGCGAACCGTGGTCAGCCTTATATCAGTCAGGTCAGTGGTACGTATGAATCAAGGGGGAGGTGCGGCGTGTATGCGGAAGGGAGAGGGGTGAAAGGAGGGTGAGGGATACAGGAGAGACAGGGGGAAAGGCTGCAACACGGTCCACCACGAGCTCTCCCTTGTTCCCTCCCCTGGCCCCCTGGCACACAATCCAGTCATCTCTCCTTCAAGCCCCTGATCCTCTGCGCCTGTGTGGACGCGCACGGTGCACCTCTTATCCACAGCCTAGTATGCCTCAGCCGATGCATACGCTCCGACTACAACACTCCTCCTCAGATCCCCACAGTCTAGTGGATGTCCTAAACACGGGTGGCCATACGGAGAGAGTTGACGAGCGGGCCCTTGGGCTTGAGGAACTGCTTGATCAGCCGATATCCCCAGCACATGATAACCGATAAAATTCACCTGAACGTAGCACCCGTCGTTGATGACCTTCTTGTCGCGCTTGAGCTGCTCGTAGTCGGCCCGGTCGAGCGAGGTGAAACCCCACTTCTTGGAGACGATGATCTTCTGCCTTCCGGGGAACTTGTACCGGGCACGACGGAGGGCCTCGATGATGACGGCCTTGTTGGCGTCCTTGCATCGGATCGACATGATGACCTGGCCACTGATTTGTCAGCTTGGTCCAGGCGACGACGAGGAATGGATAGCTCACATGTTGACACGGGCGACGGCACCGTATGGCTTACCCCAAGCTCCTCGCATACCCTGCTGCAGCCTATTGATCAGCGCAATCCCCAAGTGTCTCAGATAAACACTACTTACCGATCGGCACCGGCACAACTCAACATCTTGTTGATACGGACAATGTGGTAGGGGTGAAGACGAATACGCATGTGGAAAGCATCCTTGCCGGACGTCTTGACGACGTACTTGTTGGCGCAAATACGGGCCGCCTCGAGGGCTTCGGACGAAAGCTGTTCGTACTCGTCCGAGACGAGGTGGCAGCAGAAGGGGAAGTCATCGACGGATGCACGCTTCCGGCCGAGATCGTAGATCCTGATCTTGGGCTCGGGGACACCACGGTTGTACCTCGACTTGGGGAACCTGGGGGTCAGCTTGAGCGCAAGGGTGATTGGTAATCCAAGTGTCGGACCGCTCTAACTCACGGCTTGTTCTTACAGTAACGGTAGCAGCGTGCGGGACGACGACCCATCTTGACTACTGGTATAGTCAGCGCCTGATCTTACTGATGCCCGCATGTCCATCCTTGCTCCCTCTCCGCCCGAATTGCTTGCTCAGCAATTCCCCCCGATCATCCTCCTTCTCAGTTATCCCTCGCCACCGATCATTGCTGTCCCAGCTTTTCCATATATCCCCGCCGTCGCCCCTTTCCTTTCCACCTATAGTCGAAGTCGCGCAACTCACTATATCTCGATGTAGTAGGATAGAAAGCAAAGGGAACAAGCGCCTTATGAACTCGGCCCGACTAGCGCTCTGGCTGACCAAGCTCGCCTTTGGGTGTGGCACTCGCAGCCTAGGCGGCCGGAGCCGAGCGTGACCAGCCGGAGTTTTGATCGGCGAAATTATAGCTTAGTAAGGAAGTGGAGGTGTGGCACTTATAGCTCCCGCTAGACCCGTGCGTTGGCTTGGCAAAGCAAGGAACCCGGCGGGGCTCGCCGGGCAGATGAAACGTCCCCGGAACTTGGGCTGTTTGGGCGGACTGACCTTGGACTCTGGACTTGCTAGCAGTCCGCTCAGTACTCCACCACTTATCTCGGTACCTTCTGTTAAGTCTACACATCACGGCGCCATGTCAAGCTACGAGACGTCCCTACGATCCGCACTCTCCTCGATGCCTTCGGCGGGGCACGTCACCCTCATCTTGCCCTTCACCCCGGCGCTCCTGCCCGACCCCACACCTCTCCTGCCCATCATCTTCCAAGCGCTCATTGCGCTGCCCGAGATCGCTCTCTTTGTCTATTTCAGCACGCCTCCTGGAGTATCAGAGAAGCACGATCAGCTATATGACGTTCTTAGCCAGAACCCTCGGGCCAACTTTGATGTCCTCCAGAGCTTCCTCGCGCAGGTGTATGCGACGCTTGCGGCGGGCCAGTGGGAGAGCGGCAAGGTGGACGTCAGTGTAGATGTGGGGTTTGCGGGGGTGGTTGCTGGGCAGGAGAAGCGGATAAGCGAGGAGAGCGAGCTGGTGCTCTATCTTGATGGTGAGTACGCTCTTCGTCAATTCAGGGATTTCGCTGATTCGGCAGACTACGAACCTGCCGGTATACTCGCTTCTACACCCAACAGCATTCAGCGTTACTCCCTCCCATCGCCCTCATTCCCCTCGTCTTCCTCGTCAACGTCTACATTCGCTCCTTCCCCGCCCTCACCCGGACCACGCGTCGTCGCCCTCGGCGGGACATTCGACCACCTCCACGCCGCGCACAAGCTCCTCCTCCAGCTCGCGCACTTCCTCTCGACCCGCAAGCTCATCGTGGGCGTCATGTCCGACTCGCTCCTCTCTTCCAAGGATCACTCGGAGTATATTGAGCCCGGCCCTACACGCGAGTGGGCAGTCAAAGACTTCCTCCTCAGTCTATCGGGAGACGGCCGGGCCGAGACGAAGAGGATAGAGCTGAACGTGCTGGAGATACACGACGGGTTCGGGCCGACTCGGGACGAGGAAGATATCCAGGCGCTTGTCATTTCTGAGGAGACCAAATCGGGGGGTGAGGCCGTCAATGCCTTGAGGAAGAAGAATGGGCTGGCGGAGCTGGAAGTTTGGAGTATCGATGTCATCTCGGCGGGGACGCTGCGGGCGTTGTATGGGACCGGCGAGGAGGGCGAAGATGGGATTGTAGGTTTAGGGATGGAGGGGGCAGGGCGGAGTGGGCGGAGTGGGCGGAGTGGGCGGAAATCGCCGGAATATGGGAGCGAGGGCGTGAGTAGTACCAAGTCGGGCATACTCAAGGGGCTGGATGAGAAGAGGTTGAAGGCGGAGAAGATGGGAAGTACGGCAATTCGCAAGAGATTAGCTGAGGGGAAGGCGTATGAGGAGCGGCAGAGAAGTGGTGGCAATAGCGTCAGGGGTGAGCTGTGAGATCTGGGTAAGAGATTGAGTGGGTTTGATATGCGGGTCTATAGTTGTACACTTATAGGTTGTACCGTAGCGTCAGGATCTGCATGTGTTCAGTGATCAACTTGTTTCGGACAGATGTATTGACCGCACTCGACCCTACGTCCCCTTGTGGAGCATGATGAGTGGTGCATCGTGGCTAATCTAAGATGTCGTTGCTTGTTCGAGAATGCTACTATATGATACAACCTTCATTTCTCCTGTCCGTTCTTCCCATCTCGCCTCCCCTAGTCCACCCCCAGCTCCCTACTCCCATCTATCGCATCCGTCGCAAGCATGAGCGTCTCTGGCTTGAACGCCCATTTATCAAATACATCCACCACTCTCGCCCACTGCTCATTACTCAGATCCTTGACCTTCGTCTTTCCGCCCACCGGCTCTCCTCTCCACCTTTCCCTATACCCCTCCTTCTCATCCTCAAATCTCTCCAGCAGATTCTCAGCGCCGAAGCCGAGATTCGTCGTCGCTTCGGAGATGGGTTGGGTTTCCCGAATGAAGCAGTTCCGAAGGACAAAGTCCCATGCGTCCTTCTGGTGCGGGAGGACGGGGGAGGTGAGGCGGGGAGTGAGGCAGATGCCTAGTAGGGTAGGGCGGGGGAGGGGATCGCGACTGTTGGCGGGAATTGAAGGTGGGAAGAAGTCGGTGGGGTAGGTGATGGTCGGGTCTTGTGTCCAGTTGCCTTCGGATGGATCGATGAGGGCTTGCACAGCAGGCGAGGATCTGAGGCGGCCAGAGGTGATGGGCGATCCGGCAACCCGCTTCGAGGATTTGTCGACGTTCGGGACGTGGTGGTAGGGTGGGAGAGGGCGGCGATGGAAGAGGGAGGAGGTCATAATGGAGAGCTTGCAGTTGATGGTTTCGCGGGGCCGGGCCATGATGCGCTGGAAGTCAGCATGAGACTCGTCCGAAACGGCCAAGGGCACTCACATCGTATAGCCCTTTCCCGCAAAGCACCGCCAGCCTCACTCGACCATACTGCCATATCCAGTGCCGGCCGTCCGTGGCCCCTACGACGCTCCCGATCCACTGCGCCAACATCTGCTCCCCGATCACCGAGTCCGGTATCGTCACCACCACCGTGATGGGCGGCTCCTCCGCGTCCCACTTCCGCCTCCCCGCCTGCCCGGCTTTTTGGGCATCTGGAGTCATCTTTTCCACGTATGGAAGGACGAGTGGATCGGATAGTATCTCCGGCAAGGTCGGCCACCGATATGCGGACGATTCGGATAGGATGAGATTGGGATGATGTTCAGACTGGGTGACGTTCATCGGCCACGATACGTGGTCAATCTGGAAGAACGTGTATTTGTTGGGAGTTGGGAGGATGGAATGCCCGGGCTCGCGCTCGCTGGGTTCCAGATAGGAGTTGGAGTTGGAGGTTTCGAAGCCGAAGCCGCGTTCGAGGATGGCCGGGGAGGGTTCAGAGACGGCGACCAGGGCAGGTTTGATATGGTCGTTCCCAGCTGTTGGTACGGTCTCCGATGACTCGGCAGACCCTGTACCTCCCGAAGTGGTCTTTGGCCAGCTTGGCCACCCATCCACCGCTTCTCTCGCCTCCTCCGCCGCCGCCGCCTCGGAAGCCCTCTCCTTCGCTTTGCTTCTTGCACTCTGCGCTCCCGGCTTCTTCTTATTCTCTACTTCCTTATGCTTCACCCCTCTTATCTCATCCAATGCCTTCCATGCGCCCTCCTCATTCTCCCTCACACCACCATCGAGGAGACTCCGCGTCAACTGCCCAGGTCCCGGATTGACCTCGATGATGACTTCGCCAGGCCGGATCCCTAGCTCGCGGACAAAGGCATCGCAGTGGTCTTTGCTGGCGAGGAGAGTGCGACCGCGGAGGACCTTGGCGGGTTCGGAGCGGGAGAGGCCAAGGAGGCGACGTGGGAAGTGGGTAGACCAGGTCGAGGGAGGGGGAAGAGGGGGGAGATGGGGGACCCGAGGTCGAGGTGGCATCGCGCGAAGAGCCACGCTGAGCGTGGGTTAAATCCAGCTGTACCTCTGGGGCTGGACCTGTGACGATGACTGGCGTGGAGTGGGCAGACAAGGTGGAGGTCGAAGCGATACGTGGTCGGAAAAATGCTTGAACAAACCCGGAACAAGGTAGAATTACCTCTTCCGGTATTTTCCCCTTAATTGCCGTGCCTGGGGGCCGGGAAAGGAATGTAGCCAATCTCCCTCGGGGACGCGGGAAGGGGCCATATGGTTTCAGATTGTCAACAAGGCTACTCATTGTCAGCTTGGCCATCTCGCATATCACACACGTCTACATCTTGCCCTCCCCATAGATCCGCGCGGCATCACTCTCGAGAAAGGCAGGACCATCAAGCCAAATCTGAAACGTGAGTCCGTCTGCCGGGCCCCGGGGTGCTCGTAGTCAATGTGCCGAGAAGAGAGAGGTCCGAGCGCAAATTACCGATCGAGTAGCACGAGCGACCCTAAGCCCAAGTCGGCTCCCGATACCGTGCTGGCAGGAGATTCGGAGGAGAAAGAGCCTTTGTCTCCGCAAAGCCAGTGCTGATAGATGCAGTCTTGTTGACGTTCTCATCTCGCCTACCGACCGACTTTCACTTAGGTCCTTTCTGGTCGGTCCCGCTCCACACGCACGGCGCTACTCAGTAGCTAGCGTTGTCAAGGCAAGTACCGCCTCCATAAAAGTCAAGTCCCACCAGCTGACCATACAGATCTTTGCGCGTCCAACACTCCCCCGCTGAGAATCTGCCCATCATGAGCGGTATGCACTTCCCGCTCTTCCCCGCACCTCCAACTGACATCCAGGCTACATTGTCGGCACGCCGCCCTTCTACCTCTCCGCCCACTCCGCGCACGCCATGGTCTCCGACATGCAGCCGACGGTCCTCCACCCGCAGACCCTCCTGCACGTCAATCTCTTCCTGGACGAGATGCTCTACACTGCCCTCGCTGGTGCCCAGTCTCTCAACCCCGCCGAAATCCGTACCTCAGGTATCAGTGCCGTCTTCTCCGCAGACAAGCCCGGCGAGTCGACAGCGAGCAAGAATTTGGGACGGACGGTTGCTGGGGAGGCGGAGCTGGAGCTTCGGCCGTGGTTGGAACAGTATGGATCGCTGCGGTCTGTATTTGGAAAGGATGGGAATGGGATGAAGAGGGGAGGGGGTTTTGCGCTGCAAGAGGCGTTCGAGGTCATGCGGGTCAAGTGCGAGGAGTTCTCGGTGAGTCTTTCGTGCGCAATCGGAAGAGGGAAGAGCTGACTTGGGTAGACGGTCGCTAGCCATGATAGCCCGAGGCGGAGCATGGAGGTACAGCCTATAGCGGCCTGGGAGGCTGTAGGAGGGGATTCGAGCGATATCAAGCTGGATGCGTGCGGACTGTACATGACTGCCATCATCGAGTAAGCCCGCAGACTAGCACAGTTGCGTGTCACAGCTGACATGTCTAGGAATATGGCGGAACAAATCCTCACGGCTCTCGGCCGAGTTGTTAACCGCGACTCAGATAACACCTCGGCGAGCCTCGAAGATCTCCTGACGGCCCTGGCAGAGACCGACTCGCTCTGGGGTGTCTTCAAGCGTATGCAGAGTGAGTCTAGTACCGCGCCCCGCCGAGTCAAGCTGATCATGCAGCCCGCATATCTCTCGAAGAATCCATCAAGTCCCGACAAAAGCGGTCGCACAATCCGCGCACTGACCGACTCGCAGGCCGCGGATCTCCTGGGACTACCACCCCATACGCCGGCTCGCAGTCCTCCCTCCTCCCCTCTTCCTCCTCTGGAGCAGTGCACGGGCGGGAAACACCGTCCAACCAAAAATCGTCCCTTCCACCCTCCTCGTTCGATGCTCGGCCCTCGCACGACATTCCACGCGGTATCGCAGGCGGCGCGGGAAGTATCCGCAAGTCCCCGTCTATGCCTTCTGCAAAGTACCACCAGGGGATCGGGAGTAGGGAGCATCAGCGGACGCCGAGTGTCCTTTCGGCGAATACGAGGAATATGTTGGGGGCGTATAATGACCAGACGGACGCGGGGAGCCAGACGGGCAGGTCGAAGCGCGATGAAGAGGACGACTTTGATGCGTTGATGGCGAGTGGGGAGACTATGAAGGTCAGCTTGACGCCGAGTCGGCTGAAGAACTTTGAGGTGAGTTTTGTATCTCGATTTCCAGATGGAACGTGTACCGCTCTCCATGGCGAATAGGGGCAGGAGAGCTATTCGAAGATCGTCGGAGTGACTGGAGATGGGATCGGAGGAGATCCCCAGAAGATTGAACGTCGGACCCGGCCCCACTGAGGTCATCGCGTGCGACGGAGGCGGGTACTCTGATAGCTGTGATTGATGGAGGACGATAGGACTCGAGCGACAGCTGACAAGTCAGACCGCAAGGAAGAGCCAACCGTCCAGCCCTAGTCGGGCTGTTCTCGCAAAAGACAGGTCATTCGCTGTCAGTCCACCTCGCGGAGACGACCTTCCTCCTCTTCTCCCCCGTGGCGGTACCCCCTCCAAAGATACCCCGCCTCGACCACCTCGCTCCTCCTCCATGCGTTCCCGATCTGGTTCTAACTCGGCTTCGTCGATCAACAATGCGAAATTGCAGGCTCGGAGCGGTTCCATCATCGCCGAGCAGGACACTGAAGTGGAGGAGCTGGCGGATGAGCTGGACTCGCCCTTCCGGTCGAAGAAGCAAGCGAACAAGGAGAGCTTGTCGGAGCTTCTGGCGTCAACGGGGCCCATACCGGGCTCGGCGTTTGAGAATGGGGATGGCGTGGTCAAGAGGACGGTACCCGCTGTCATACTCGGTACGGCGCCACCCAAATTCGACGACGATGAACCTGCCTCGACCAAGGCGGATTACGCCGCGTCAAACGAGGCATCCAAGATGTCGGTCAATCGTCCGGGTCGACCGGTCGCTCCCGTCGCTGGCGATGCTGCGCGGAAACGTACGCCCGCGAGGGAGATGGCCGACTTTTTCAACGAGTCTCCCGCGCCACTTCCTGCCCCCGCGTCCGCTATGCACACCAGGCAAGCCAAGTCCATGTCGGTCGAACCCAATCAATCGTCCACTCGGAAGACGCCCGCGCAGGACATGGCGGACTTCTTCAATACGACCGCTCCTCCACCTTCCAATAATGCACAGCCAACGCGATTCGGCGCGCCCGTCGAGAATCTCGCACCTGCCCCGGCCAAGAAAGGGTTCATGGGGTTCATGTCCAAGATCGGGGGTGGGGCCAAGACGAAGGAGAAGAAGGAAATTTCGGACCCAAAGACCGAGATACCCACTGCGGGCGGTCCAGGGTGGGTCGGAGTGAAGGGATACAGGGCGGAGAATGCGAGTCAGAGAGGCGAGAGGGGAATAAGCGGGGGCGGGAACATGGCCTCGTCGCCGCCTCCAGCCGTTGAGAAGCCGTTGACGCCCATTGGAGGTGGCGCGAAGGCTATCGCGGAGGCGTATAGGGAGCAGCAAAGGAGGGAGAGTGAGGGATCTCTTCCGGTGCTAGCGAAGGCGGAGTCGAGCTCGAATATAGCGGCTCAGCAACAGCGGGCGGCACCGGCGGCGGCGACAGCAGCACCATTCGCTCTAGCTCCCAGCATTCCTGCATCGAGCTCCGCCCGCACCTCGACTCCACCGATGACGACCCGGGCGTCCCAAGACAGCCTGTCTGCCACATCGCAAGCCCGGGCCATCGCCGGCTCGCCACCATTGCCCGGCGGCGGTCTGACTCGGAAGACCTCCATCCGGAAACCCGTACCGTATGCGGACACGCCAGACGTCCCGCCTTCACTATCACTCGTTACTCCGCAAGCTGCCATCTATTCGGGCCAGGGTCCGGCGATCCCGCCCATGTCGCCTAGTCGGAGGAAGCCGTCCACGGTGGACGAGGCGGATGGGCTCGTGCCTGATCAGCCGTACCCACATGCTGTGGAGCAGGAGGACAAGGTGCAGACGCTCAGGGAGGAGAAGTCGAGTGAACACATGAGCTTTGCGACTGCTCGCGAAGAGGCGGGGGAGGAGGCTTCGACGCCAAGGACAGCCCAGGGAGCAACAATGGGCGATCATGCCGTCCCGGTGGGATCGGGGGTCGCGCCCAGGGTGGTACAGGGTGTGTTGGTCGGCGGGGTCGCGGGCGGATTGGTTGGAAAAGCGATCGATACGGTGCCGGAGGCGGCGGACGTGCGGTTGGGGACTGATATCGAGGGAGGGCGGGAGGAAGATGAAGGGATGGATACTGTCCCGCAGGCGACGGCAGTACGGGACGGAGCGAAATCCGCGAAGCTGGACGAATCTGCTCCTTCCGACTCAACTACGGCGCCTCCAATCCCCTCCGCCGCTGCCACCGAAAAGACACCCGCAGCTCAGGCCCCATCAATACCTCTCCAAGACCTCCTTCCCCTCCGCCACCTCCTCGACCAAGCCACGTCCGTCCGGGAATGTCAGCTGCTCCTCTCCGCTATCCTCAGCCAATGGGGCGTACCTCCCTCGTCTCCCGGAGAAGCGCCGGCAGACCCAGAAAGCAGGATCACGGCGTGGTTATTGGCAGGAAGGGAAGGGCCCACGGGGGATTTCAAGGCGCAGCATGTGGGACGGCAGGCGACGGAGGCGAGCACGGAGACGACCGCGGTGGATGTGCAAGCGGAGAAGCAAGGGGATGCGGGTGGAAAGGCGGAAGGAGTGACTATCAGTGGGATTGTGGAGGAGGTCAAGCAGGCGGTGACTGCTGGTTTGGCAAGGGTGATTTAGAGCTCAGAACTGAGGAGGGGGGGAAGGGAAGGACGATCTTATGTTCTAGGTAATGCATAGTCCTATGTTTCCAAATTTCAACTGACGACAACACCATATCCCTGATATCGCTGGCGAGGACCTGTTGGAGCGAAGGTAGCGGTGGACCGGGCCGGAAGGGTACTGACTATATAATCTCCTATCACCTCGCCTTCCTCCACACACCCGCCTCGACTGCCAGCTCCTCTTTCTCTAGTGCATTGCCGCCTCTCTACTTGTTCCCTTGCAGTTTACCCATCAGCCGTACGCATAGATAGCAGGACACATCGGTAGCGCATCTATCATGCATGCAATAGAACAAGACCAAACCAGACAACATGGAAACGAGCCTAATGAACAACTAGCAACTCTACAATGCGAACATGACACCCAATACCCAACTCCCAAAATCGTAACTCGTCGTCTCGCCAACCCCGTTGCCGCCTTACGCTCCACCCGCGAGTGATTCGCCGGCTCCTTCCAACTGAGCCACCCACGGCCTACTCTCCTATGCCGCGTCCCAGTCCCTTGACCGGCAAGGGGTGTTATAGCGAGCCCCGCTTGAATGGACGCCCCGCGTGACCCAATGTCGCTTGCTCCGGTAGGGGTGGAAGCGCACCGAACCGGTACGCGCCAGGCGCAGGAGCGGAGGGCGGCGCCATGCTCCCCGATAGACCTCCACTGGGTCGGTCCCAAAGGTTCTGGGTGGCGAAGGTGGACCCAGTAGACGGCGCGGCCGGAGGGGGCGGGGACGGAATGCCCCGCGGTCGCTTGACGTTCCGGAGCCACTTGTGCCTTTCAATCTTCTCGATCCCCCACCGCCTGGTTGGGTCGGGGCGGAAGATCTTCTCGAGGAGGTCCCGTGCGCCTTCGCTGACCGCGCGCTTGAGCTTGAACTTTCCAGCGAGGGCGAGCGTCTTGTCGGGGAAGGGCTGCTCGCCGGTGAGGAGGATAGAAAGGATGATACCGATGGACCAGATGTCGCAGGGGGCGGCATGGTACCATGCGCCACTGATGACTTCGGCCGAGGCGTACGAGTAGGTACCGCGGAAGGAGCCGTACAAGATGGGCGCGAGGAGGGTGTTTTCCTTGACTGCCGAGCCAAAGTCGATGATCTTGACCTGAACGTCAGCGGGAATAAGTGCAAGGAACCTAGGAGGGCTTACGTTGAGGTATCGGTCAATCACGATGTTCTCGTCCTTCAAGTCCCGGTGGTACATTCCCCTCCGGTGCAGGTACGATACAGCAGACACTGATAGTCAGCACAGCCTCTATAGGACGCTGTTCCCACTCACCAATCTGGCTGAATATCCACTTGGCTTCCTCTTCCGTGAAGCGCACACTCTCCACCGCCTCAAAGAGATCGTGGCTCGCCCGCCTGCCCATCCTGGGGCGCGAGATCGAGCCGTCCGGGTGTGTCGAGGCGAAATCGTTAGGGCTAGAACTGAAGGGCTGGAGTGGGGAGATGGGAGAGACGAGCGGGGAGGGGGAGCGGTGTGCGGGAGTTTGTAGGAGGGACAGCCGACGCCCAGGGTCGGTGTGTGGTTCGGGGACTGGATGGGGTGCTTGTAAAGTGTGATCTTCTGACCAGGGGTCACCATGCAGCTCTTGGACCTGATGATCAGCGCGAACCTCATACTGACTACGAGGCAACATACCAGTATGAAGAACCTCTGATCCTCGAACAGATCCACCCAAGCAATGATGTTTGGGTGATTGCACTGCCTCAACGCCCAACTCTCCATCGGTTCCCGATCAACCAGAGCATCCTTGGTGTTCTCTAGCCTCTCCTTGAAGATGAACTTGACTGCCACCTCCCTGCCCCTCTCATTGCCGCTTCCGGTCATGGTGGCCGAGCAGACAAACCCAAACCCGCCCGACCCGAGCTCATCGGCGAGCGTATACCGCGTGAGGAACTCCACCGGGAGGTGATGTCCCTCGAGGTGTTTGGCCGCGATTGTCGACTTTGTGGGGTCTGGCGACGATGTCTCTGTTGATTGCGAGTAATCCGAAACGCCAGAGATCTCGTGCGGGTGAGCCGGAAGGCTGAAGGAGCCGAATGTGTCCCCACCGGGGACGGTAGCAGGGGGGATGATGGGGCCCAAGTTGAGCTCGAGGGCATTGGGGAGGCGTTGGGGAGGGAAGCTGGAGGGGCCAGCCATGGTATAGCTCGGGGAGAAGATGTCATCGAATGACAGGGGAGAGGGTACCCGAGGTGCAGCCGCGTCATCGAGGGTGGTGAATGCCAGCGGGCTGGAGGTGAAGAGCGATGGGGGGGACGCGGGAGTGTATAAGGTAGGAGAGGGATTGTATACCGCCGGCGGAGGGGTGAAGAGCGTGGAGGGAGGCGAGAAGAGGGGTGACTGGGTGCCGGCGTGGTATACCCCAAGGGAACCGGTGGGGATGCTATTCTGACGGACATTGGACCAGGAGGGCTGCCGGAATGGGATCGGCGCCGGCGAGCGACTCCCGGGAGAGGACCCGGCGAGGTCTGCATCTGCGCGATCGATGGTGACGGTGGGTCGTATAGGGGAGTAGGGAGTTGCCCGAGCGGTCGAGCCGGCTCCTTGACTCTCGCTGGACCTCCTCGGCGGCTTGGGACGCGAGATAGACCGCCGTAATGCCTGTGCGGGTGACTCGGCGTCTAGCAAGACGCGCGAGTGGAAGCCCTGCGAGCTTGGAAGCTCTGGAGGCGAGCGGAGCTCCGTAGCGGCGGTGGAGATCGAGTCGATACTGCTGGATGGGGGAAGACCAGACGCGTCGCCGTAGTCGTGAGGAGGGTGGTTGGGAGGAGTAGCGAGGTTCCAGTTCTCAATCATGGCAGAGAGACCGTGTGGGGAGGGCGGGACGAATTGGGTATTGATGTGCGCGAGGGTGGACGATGATGAGGAGCTGGAGGGGAAGGGGAACTCGGACGCCTCGTCCTTGGACACGTCGGTTGGGGAGACGGCATCATCATCCCTGTACGCCCGACCTGGAGTGCTAGGTTGATTGGACATTCCGGCGATGTAGAAGGTGGGCGCCGCCTTGGTGCCGACGAGCCAACGCGGCGATGTAGCCGGAGGTGTGGGTGGGAACGTGCTATCGGTAGCGGTGGAGATGCTAGCCCGACCCGGCGAGGCGCGGCGGAACAGGGGTGATGACGGTGAGCCGGTGGGATAGAAGACGGCTTGACCGATAGGATCGGGCTTCCGCCGAGATATGGTTGGGTGGGCGCGAAGAGGTGACATACCAAACTGTTGGTTAGTGCCGCCTCCACTTGGTCCAGCCAATCCACCATGAAATCAACCGTGACTCACGATTTGGCTCGTGCCTGTGACGCAGATTCTAGCCTAAACTCTATGCGACACAGCCGAAGTTCGATCCAATGTCTGCAAGGTCGGCGCTTAGAGGTGGGATGGTGAGGCGGCTGCTGAGGTTGGATTGGTGGGTGCTGGGTAGGTGGGTTAAGCTTGAGAGGGGGATGGCCTCCCTCGGGCTTGTTATATCCTCCATGGACCTGCATCCTGATTGTCTCCTTAAGCGAAAGCGAGACTGTTCTATCCAGCCGCAAACGCGGTGGAGTGGAATGGCAAGACAATTTGCCGTGCCTAAATCAGGGGCCATAGGTCAACGCTGACTCACCATGATTGTTCGGTGCACAGAAGGGCTCCGCTGCCGATCTCCGGGCGGACTCAGATGAGGTAGCGATATCCCTCGGGAGCCCCCTTTAGCGCTGAGTTTGACCGAGTGAGACATGGCCTGGAGCTGGACCTGAGGTTGTCTCGGTAGTTCCTGTAGATCCCTTCTTCCCCTTGTGCCCCTCTGAGTTGACTGTCGTCCAGGGCAAGAGATCTGGACCGTGGCTGCGACATGTCCATGAGCACCTGTCTCTTTGCTACTACTACTGTTGACGGACGGGCACTGGGGATGTTGAATCAAGACCTATAGATCCCGCGTCGCCCGCGCAATAGCAGGGCAAGGAGAATTCAGGGTTTATAAGTGAAACATGCCATAATCACCCAAAGAAGCGAAGCGAAATGGTTCCGTATAAGCTTGAACCTTCTTCCTCTTCTTCTCATCGACAATGCCTTCCATGCCTTACCAGTCTCACTCCTTCCTCCTTCACACTTCGCGGCAATCAGATAACGTCATGTCTTATCACTGATGCATGTCACTGGAGCCGGCCGGCCTACCGCTGTCCCCGAGACAGCGGCCGCTATGTAATCGCCATACTCAGTCGACCCAGTCGACTCAGAATCCCAGATTCCGTGCATCCCCGCATCTGCGAGAGGATTGGGCGGATGTACCTGGTACCTGGCGGCAGTTGATCTGTATATGTAGGTATACCGAACGTTGCCTGGGACTAGTCTCGATCCAGTACCGCTACAGCTCCGAGAAGGGAAGGCAGTTACGGGATGGAGAGTCCCTTTTGATGCTGCCCCCTCTTTGCCCTCCAACTCTCCACCAAGTACGGGACTGGAGCCCGAGACTACCTGGGTCCTGGGATGCACAAGAGCAACCACGTTCAGGATTGAAGCTGAAGCTGAAGGATGGCTGATATGAGCGGAGCGTGACATGCCGTAAACTCGTGCCTGAAACACCGTGCTATGCCGGCGGCGCGCTGCGGATCACATGCAGGACCGAATGCATGAAGAGTCTCTGACCCTGTCACGTCCACGTCCACTCTGCAATTTACTCAGCGCCCAGCCCGTCTCAATCTGACCGACGCCATGGTCGCCGTCACCGCCCAGAAGGAGCCCCAGCCAGCCACGATTCGTCTCCACTACCCTCAGCTCCGAGACGATCCAGTGTCGGTCTCGTCTCAGATCCAGCAAGCCTTCGGGTCCGACGAAGGAAGCTTAGGGATAGTGGTCATCGACGGTGAGCACAGGTGGAGCTGTATAGCTCAAGGTGACATCAGCTGAGCTCCACAGATCTCCCCGCCGAGTTCCCTGAGCTGCGGAAATCACTGTTCCACCTGATTCATCGTCTGGGTAGTCTGCCGCCGGATGAGCGCGAGAAGCTAGCCAGGCCAGAGACGTCATACTTCTTTGGGTGGAGTCATGGGAAGGAGGTCATGAATGGTGTGAGTAAGGTCTCCCCTATGAATTCATCAGACCTCAGCTGAAGCCACAGAGACCAGACACTCAGAAAGGCTCTTTCTACGTCAATCCCCTACTTGACTACCCAGATGTTAGCGATGAGAAACGGCAGGCACATCCCGAGTACGCCTTGTCGCACTGTACCAGCTGTCACTGTGCTGAAGTCCTAGGTACTATGCTGGAAACGTCTGGCCGACCGGCATGTCGGGCTTGGACGACTTTGAGCCGACCTGCAAAGCGTACGTCCTATTCTAGCAGATCCAGCGGTCAGCTCAGTGCTGATTGTTAAGATTGGGCAAGATAATGTACGACGTCGGTCTGGCCCTGGCGCGGGCGTGTCAGCCTTTCGGTGAGTCTCAAACCTACATCATGTGAAGTAGACGAAAGTAAGCCTGCATGGGCTGACTCTGCATAGTCGAGTCCAAAACATCGAGCACCTCCCTCGCCTCATCGCAGATCAATGTGGAGTCGCTCATATCGTCGTCGCAGAGCAATAAGGCCCGATTGCTGCACTACTATCCCGTGCCCGAGGCCACCGACAGGGATGAACAACTCGCGCAAGACTCGCTTTGCGGGACTCATATCGATCACTCTCTGCTCACCGGTCTATGTACGTCTTGGACTTCTTCTGCTCCGGCGTGGCGCCGGGCTGATTCTCAGGCTCCGCCATGTACCTTAGCCAGGCTGCCAGCAGGCAGCCATCGGAAGTCCCGGCTCCGACCTCTGCAGCGGGCCTGTACATTCATCCTAGACCACCAAAGGGGTCGACTGAGAAGGCGCCGGCTATCAAGGTGGCTATACCCAAAGACTGCCTCGGTACGTCCAGCATCATGTCCATACAGGGGAGGAAGAGGGGCCATGATGGAGGATCGAGGCGCATCGTATCGCAAGAGACCGAAGTGGTAGCTCAGATGGCCAAGGGGCAGCCGCGCTGTGAATGACGAGTGGAGGGGGAGACAGACAGAGCGCAGGACACCAAAAGCTGAGGGTGTAGCCTTTCAGATCGGCGAAGCTCTCGAACTTCTAACTAATGGCCGTCTGGCAGCCACGCCCCACTTTGTCAGTGGTAGTCCTGCAGCGTCAGGCGGGTCGAGTGAAGAGGTGTCGAGAGAGACCTTCGCTTTCTTCTTACAGTGAGTAAATTCTTGCTGTCTTGGAGAGGCCGATGCTGACACACCTTAGACCCGATGTAGACGATGTGATCGGACGGGATGGGGAGACGTTTGGGGCATTCACAAAGCGGATTATAGGGCGGCATTATGCGGCGGAGCAAGTACTAGAAGAGGCGGAGAACTGATGCATCTCATGTCGGCTGCGACTGCCTTCTGCGCAGTCTTGACCCAAGCGACTGACGTGCCCTGGGTCTTCAGCCAAGTGTCGTGTAAGGGCGAGATCTGAGTCGGCCCAGACCCAGCTGAGTGATGCTGGACCGCGCAGCACCTCACAGGCCACAGGACCGTATACAATGTGTGCTGAGGCGTGTAAAGACGTGCTCATCACCGCGCAGAGATTCCGCGGACATCAAGCAGGGAGGCTGTATGTACTGAATCAGCAGATTCGAAATAAGGTGCAATGGTATTCAGGACTTTCAGCTAGCATAAATGGCATAGGCCGACTTGCTATGTCAGCTCCACGGGGACCGCGCAGTGCGCTAGAGCGGGCTCCGACGTCGTGTCGACCACATCGCATACCCTGATTGGCCGACAGGACGGTACGAGTCCCTCAGCTGAAAAATCACGGACAAAACCAAGATATTTCCTGCAAATCAAGCCATATATACACAGTCGATACCCAAACACGCCGGGAAATCGCGAATCTCGATACGATAACACTGACACTCCCCTGAGCCGTATCCCATCTGTCTCGGCCTCAAGCTGCAGTTTCTCCGCCCTCCGCCAGGTTGGACACCACTGCCTCGCGCTTGTGATCATCGAACAGCTGGATGGGACGGAGCTGGAGACGTTGTGTTCGTTGGAGGATCGGACGCACGATCCCCGACTCGTCATTCCTGGAAAGGATCTCGAAGAGCGTGTTGGCATGCTGGGCCAGGCTGACACCGTCGCTCGTCATCATGTGAGCGTCGTACGGCGCCAGGGTGTAATTGCCACTGACGATGTCATCCTCGGCCACACCCAGAGCGTGCGCCATCAAGAAATTGTTGAAGACGTAGGTATCCGGTGAACCCGCGGCGACGACAACGCGTGCGATGTGGCCATTCCAGGTCACGTTGGACGCGGAGAAACCACTGTGGCGCTGGGGATCGTCGACGGTGAGAAGGAAAGGATTGTCCCCGGGCGTTGCGACCGAGTTCATGTAGACGGTCAGATTCTGAGCTGGAGCTGAATGGGGAGCCTGTGCCGTCAGCTGCATCACCGAATCGGTATTTTGGCCCAGGATGAGACACGCTCACCACGGACGTCGCCTGATCGGCCTGACCAGAGAAGACCGCGCTGGTGAGATCCTCGTCGGGATAGTACTGATGGACCTGCGAGATGTCGTAGGCGGTGACGCCGATCGGCGTGTCAGGGATGACGCCGGCGCCGGTGTGGTTCACGAGGCTGTTCTTGGCGAACTCAGTCAGGTTGGAAAATGCTGTCTGAAGCCGAGCTCGATGGGCAGTGCCTTCAGCGGCGCCTGTGAGCTTGGCGGACAGATCACTGGCGGCGTCATTCGCGATGAAAAGCGTGTGGGTGGGGTGGTAAAACGACACGTGCAGCGTCCCGTACGGAGGCGGTGCGGTAACAGCAATCACGTCGGTGATGTTGGGACCAGTGGAAGGGAGGGGGCCACTTGCGGACGACATCCGTATGAAAGTGACGGTATGGTGTGTGGGTGTAGGTGTAGATGTGTGAGTACTCTGAGGATGGAGGCAGGTTAGAATAACTCGGGAAAGTAGCTATACTTATAGGTGCCATGTAGACCGCGAGGGTACCCTGTGGAGAGGCAGGCATGGCGCGACCAGAAGGCAGTCCGCGAGGGTACTCTGGGACGAGACACAACGGAAGGGCTAAAGACAACGTCGCGCTTTTATGGAGTGATAATGTGCAATCGCAATCTAGATGGTCTTACGCGTAGCAGAGTCTCGAGGCAAAGGAGGCGCTAAAGGCAACGCCATCGAGAGATCTCGATTGACGACTGGATCTGTTTGTGGTCTGCGATCTGGATGGGGCGCGATCGTACCATGATTGCAGGAGGACAGAGGATCACCTGATTTGGCGAGGAGCAGAACGCGGCCAGAGCGCCGATCGGTGATCAGTCTCGATCAGTCCCACTCCAGCGTACGCTACGACAAGGGAGGTGTTGCCCTTGTCCATGTGCTCCTACACGTCGCAGAACATCGGGAAAAAGGACGCGCTAGAGGCAACCCAATCATGGGGGCGTAAGCGAGATCTGGGGGACAGGGATAGAAATGCGACCTAGATTGCGTGTCAGTATGTTGGGTGAATGGAGGTACTAAGGACAACAGTAATGAGCAAGCGAGTGGGGGAGAACGGGCTGTATCCTTTTGAGATGCTGACACGTCGCAGGCTTTGACGATAGGGCGAGCGATACAGCTGCACGACGATCCCACCGTCAAGAGACAGGCCATGATGATCAGGCAGGATTAGTCTGCTCGTTCGATGAGCCGATGAGCGCGCCCCGCACTGCCGTTCGCCCCGTCTTGAGGCAGACTACGATCCGTCGCGACTCGTGGTGAAGGATCAAAGTGTGGATGAGAGAGGCAGGATCCGCTGATGCCGAGGTAGTTGCTCGATGCATGATCAGTCAGTCAGTACGTAGGACGATGAGTCGACGTCGACGTCGATTCCAGCCACTTGGTCCAGCCTTATCCCCCTCCTCCCCAGTAACCAGTCATACACTTGCTGCATCCAGCGATCCCAAATCCCAGCCTATGCCCGTCCATCCACATCCCGTCTGCTCAGAACCAATGCATCTAGGCAACGATCTTGACAACACCGCCGGCCTCCTTGATCTTCTTCTCTGCCAGTGCGGAAACGAAGCGGGTCTTGACGATGAAGGGTTTGTTGATGCGGCCCTTGCCCAACTGCGTACATCAGCCATGTCCATGATTCGGCCAGCATGACCGGCTCTGCCGATGAACCCACCAGCTTGAAGTGGCCGAGGTGGACGAGGTCAATGACGGGGACGGTGCCTTCAGGTGCGTCGACCTTGGCTTCGGGGAGGGAGATGAGCTAGCATGTCAGCTAGGTTCGAAAAGCAATCTTCGGCGTGGAATGGCTCACTTTGTCGACGTTCATGGTGGGGCGGATGTAGTGGTTGCGGAGGAGATGGTAGTGGCGCATACCGAGTTTACCGTAGTAACCGGGATGGAACTGAAGAGTCAGCATAGATCCCAGCTGTTGGCCCAAAATTTGCGCATAATCCCTCTATTCCCATCTGATCACAAGCAACATAGCTGCACTCTGGCTCGTCGCTTGGCCCTGCAGAAGTCCGCCATAAAGCCGTCGCGCCTCATCCTTGTCCGCCTAGATCCAATCCCCACCAGCCCATCTCCGTCGCCTTCCTAGGCAGAGCTGCTCCACCTCATTCCTATTCCTGCACATCCTCCTTCGCGCCTATTCTTCCGCTTCCTCTAATACGTCCCTCCCGATCCGTCAACTCACCTTGTCCATGTTTGACCTGTGGTGCCTCAGACCACCAGCAAGACCACGACCACCCGGATGCTTCCTGTGCTTTCCTACACGACCGTGACCGGCCGACACATGTCCACGGTGCTTCCTGGTGTTCGAGAATCGGGTAGGCATCTGTTCGTATCGTCAACGGATGCTCTGTCGGGTAGTTGTACTCGCTTGAGCTGGTAGATCTAACGCACGTTAGGATTGACCTTGTTGGATGAAAGATCCTCAAGCTCGCTCCAGTTGGTCTTTCAGGTCACTACCGAAAGAGCCCCTCGGGAGGTACGGTGGTCGGACATCGCCGCCAGTCCGGAGATAAAGATGGGTGGCGCTTTCTGCTTAAAATTCAAAGTGGCACCTGGGATAGGCGGTGTTCTTATCGCCGATACTCACGGTCAACGATCACCTGCGGAGCCCCATGGAATGCCCTGACCATGACGGAGCTGTTGCTTTGCGCATGCAAGATACATTCATTTCCCTTCTTTGCGCATGCAAGATACATTCATTTCCCTTCTATCTCTTTCCTACACAAAAACTAGCCCAACATTCCGACCAAACAGCCCTTCAGCAAGCTCCACGCCGCGAGCAATATGCCGTCCAAGGCAAAAGTCGGCTCGTGGCTCGACAAGGCTAACGGCTCGGGCGTGGACGAGGCGTACGAATCTTCGGATGATGAAGGATCGTCCGCTATGAACAAGGTCGTCCAGGCTGCTACGAAGCCGATGGACAATGGAGACGATGACGATGATGAGGGAGAGGCGGTGGACGAGGCTAAAAGAGAGGCAAATGTGGACTGGGAGGCGGTTGTGCCAAAGATACGGCCGGCGTTGGAAGATCAGAGTGCAAGAAGGCGGAGAGCGTTCATCGATAGGTATCTCTACGTGGACGAGAAGTGTAGGTCCTTCCTCCGAGTTGGAGAAGTCTCAATAGCTCATGGGTAGCTCCGGCCCCTGCCAACGTGCCCGCTGTCCTTCAGAGCGTCTTGGCAGCTCTGCCGCTTCTGCCAACCCCGGACCAGATCGACGATGCCGTTGGTATACTCAAAGCGATCGTAGCTAGGGACGACAAGCTGTCAGAAGGATCTCAAAAGCTAGGAGACAAGCTCGCCAAGTGGATATCGGCCGAGACCGAGAAGATCACCAGCACCTCAAGGAGGTAAGCCAGTCTTGGTTGTCAACAAAGCCATCGAGCTGATCTGGTAGCGTGACTGTGGCAGCCTACCTCCCTTACCTCTTTCTCAACCTCGGCATCCTTTCCACCTTCAAAACGACCCGCGAGCCTTTGGACAGACTCATAGCTACTCCGACTTTCCAAGACCTCCTGGCGAGCCTGGCGTACATCACCGACGCGATCGAGGCGAAGGATCCAAAAGGAAAGGAGAGCACCAAGCTTGGTCGGGCGAGGAGAAAGGCGTACACCAGACTATGGAGAGGACTGAGAGATGTAAGTGTCCTAGACGAGAAGGTTGTATCCTTGACTGACCCTGTAGTACCGCGACGTCCTCCCTCAGATCTTGCATGTCCTGCTCACCAAATCTGCCCCGGCCCCAAGCCGCTTTGCTTGCTTGATCGGCCATATCACTGGCGTACTGTCAAGACCGAGACCGAAGGGTGCAGCGAAGGATGAGGAGCGAGGCAGGGATGGCTCAGCGGCGATACAAGCGGAGAGCGTGAGTCTTCTGAGCGCCTCTTTTGCTTAGAGGTGTTCCTCTTTTGCTTAGAGGTGTTGACGACCAGGACGCCCTGCTCAACTTCTATACCGCAAACATCATCGGATCAAAGACTGCCCTCCCTCCGCACGTACCCGTAAGCCCCTCACGCCCCACTGTGGTGAACCTTACTCACGCAAACAGAGAGCTTTCAACACGATACTACCCGCCATCGTCAATCAGCAAGTCCTCATCGACAAGCTGATACCCGCGGCAGAGCGAATGCTATTGAGATCCCCGGAGAATGCCCTTGAATGTGAGCTCAGATCCTCCTGCGGCCCGAGACCTGAGCTGATCTTCCAGTGACAGCCGAGCTTCTCCGCGGATCCGGTATCGACATCTCCTCCATCCTCCCCGCCAAGCTCGTCCCCTCTACACTGTCCGCCTCGAAATCTTCCAACCCAGAAACTCGGGCAAAATCCGTCCTTCTCATGCAAGCCATCTGCGGGCAATGCCAAGACGCCGCCACCCGAGCGCGGGTCGTTACAGAGATCCTGGCTTTGGCCAAGACGGGGAAGACTAGCAGTCCGGAACACCGGTCAACCCTCTTCCAGATGTCCGGCAATGTCGGTCCATCGGAGGAGGTCTCACCCATCGTCCTGGAAACGCTACTCCCGCTCATCGCGAAAGAGGGCAACGAGGCTGCACTCGCGGAGCTCTGCTCGTCACTGCAACTGCACCTCGCTTTCCTCCTCCAGTCAGGTACCGCCTTCTCCCCAGCCGTCATATCGACTATCGGGAAGGAGCTGGTATCGACAAAAATCGGGACACGGCGGGCACTATCGGACGCGGTCGGGCAAGCTATCTGGGCTGTATCCGAGGGGAAAGAGTACCAATTCTCGGCCGATGGGTCAAAGCTGCTCGGAGCTGTCATTCCTGCTCTCGAGGCAAACCTCCAGACCGCCTTGGCCAATGTGCCCTCGAATCCGACAGGATATCTCGAGGGGTACAGCGCCGCGGCGCTGGCGCTTGGCCCGCTGAGGCAGGTGGACGATGCAAGTCAGCTGGTGGCCGCCTCGAGGGGCCTCAAGGCAGTCTCGCCAAAACCGTCATTCCTGTTCAACGACAGGGCGTATACCAAGATCCCAAGCGGGAAGGATGAGCTGTGGATGCTGCGGAGTCTCGAGGGGGTCGTTCGGGACTGCAAAGCCTCCGTCCCAGCAGAAGCATTGAGGTGAGCTCTTTTGTCTCGCTGGCGAGCGTGAGCTGACTAGTCAGGATATCTATCGGTTCCGCCTTCTTCCACCTCATCCTCCGCGCTGGATCCGACTCGGTTCGTTCCGCGGCGATCAAGTCTCTCCCCACCCTCTCCACCACCCAGCCCGGCGTTGTCCACGCTATCGTCCGAGACGGTCTTCACGCCTGGTTATCCGCTCAAGATGCCGCATTCGACCCCCTCAAAGTCGTCAACCCGGAAGACGGCGAGTCGTCCGGTCTTCGTACACAAAAGCTCGGCCAATTGCTCGACTACCTCTTTGACGAGACGCATAGCCATGCGGTAGACAAGGCGGAGATGCAGGAATTCGCGGTGGATATGCTCATCATGGCACACCACCCGCTTCTGACTGAAGGGGCACACACGAGCTGGATTAACCTCGTCACCGGAGCTTCGCTGGATCCGGCGGATCTAGCTGTGGAATGGAGGGAGAAGATCCTGGCTGGACTGTGGACTGCAGCGGAGGGGTCGACAGGAGTAAGTTCCAGAGCGTACTGTGATGCTGACAGTCAGCGATCTCGTTTCCCTCAAGCTGCATACCGAGCCATCACCACCTTGACCTTCATCCAGCCCACACTGTATGTTCCGGCCTTCATGGATCAGATCCGGTCCGACCTCGACCCGGCCAGCCTGGACTTTATCGGTTTGCAGGAGCAGGGTATTTGGATCTCGCCCCCTGATCAGCCTTATGTTGATGGTCAGTGCCGCTCGTCCTACACGTCCAGAAGCAAGCTGAAATATCAGTCCTGAATAAGAAGACGGACACAGCGGAGAACAAGAATCGCCGCGACTACGCTACCGAGAAATGGGAACAGGAGATCAGGGAGCAAGTCGCCAAGAAGCGCGCAGCTGCCGGGAATGTCAAGTTATCCAAGGCGGACCAGGCCGCTGTCAATGCCCAACTTGCCAAGGAAGCAGAGGTGCGGACGCGGATCGCTGGTGTACGGTCAAGGATGAAGCGCGGGCTGGAGGTTGTTGCGGCGTTGACGGCGAGCAATGCCGAGCGCGTGGAGCGAGAAGTAGGCGAGCTGGCACAGGTGTTGTTGGCTTCGGCGTTCAATGCGGGAAGCTTCTTGTTGGATAGGAGGGCATTCGAGGTCATGATGGTGAGCTAACTCCTTTATGACCTGCTAAGGGAGGCCGAGCTGATTCTTAGGGTCTGTCCACGCTGGCCACCGATCGACTGGGCGAATACCGCCGCTTGCTGGTCGCTGCTATTCTTCGGGGCCACATGGCGCCTCTTATACCTGATGATTACCTTGAGGAGTCGGTCCGAGGTGAGCTTCCATGCGCAGGTTCGATTGTGTTGCACAGCTGACGGTCAAGACCTCATCACGAGATTACTGCACCAGCTTCTCTTTGTCGCCTCTCAGAAACCGCTCGACTCAACCACCTACGCCCTCGTCAGCGTCCTCTTCGGCCGAGTCGTCACTCTCGGCGGTGTCGGCACGGACTCTCCCCAATCCGAAGAAGCTCAGGAACAGCTCACACTCGTAAGCTTCTCAATACGCCGTACTGGGCGTGAAGACAGCTAATCGGGTAGATCGTCCAAATCATTGCCGCCTGCTCTGGCGAGTTTGGCAATGACGCCTACCCCCGTCTTCAAACAATCAGCCATCTCCAAGCTATCATCAGCAAGTACCCTCGTCTGGCCAAGGACGCGTCGGCCGCTTTGGTCGATCTCGGATCTGCCATCCAGGACAATGCTCAGCCGGCGGAGGTCAAGGCGATGATCTCGGGCACGCTGTCTTCGGACTATAACGTCCGGAATGCTTCGCTCCAGGCTCTGCAGGTGAGCCACCTTGTCTAGTCGGATGGTGACCAAGCTGACTATCGCAGCCCGTCGACCTTACCGAGCTTGACTACTCTCAGGAGCTCTGGATTGCCACTCACGATGCGGAGGAGCAAAGTGCGAACCTTGCGCTGCATCTTTGGGAGGACAATGGGCTTGACTTGCCGGAGACTTACCTCAGCTCGCTGCTCCAGTTCTTGAGTGAGTTCGTGACGTTGCTAGTTGTGAAAATTGAGCTGACTCTCAGCCCACGACAGCGCTGCTGTCCGGACAAGTACTGCTGGAGCTCTCGCTGCTGCCGCTCAGCAATTCCCGGCCCAGATCGACCCTACCATCTCTGGACTTCAGATGTTGTACAGCGAGCGAGCAAAGCCCTTGACGTCCGAATTTGACCGATTTGTCAGTTGGCCTCCTCCGAGCGAGTGGAGCATAGCTGACTACGGCAGGGTATGGTCATCCCCGAGACTGTCAATCGCCAAGATCCCTTCGAGTCCAGAGTCGCTATCGCCCTTGCTCTCCAACGCCTCACCCCACTGCTCTCCAACTCGCACGTCGAGCCAATCATTAACTTTATGGTCTTTGGCGAGGCTCTCGGTGATCGTCACAGCGCAGTCCGAAAGGCTATGCTTGAAGCGGCGACCGCGATTGTAGATCTGCATGGAGGGAAGAGTATCGCGAGCTTGATGTTGACGTTCGAGGACTACTTGGGGAGGTCGACACCATCTTCGCAGACGGATGACTACATCAAGGAGGCTGTCGTCATTGTAAGCTCGACGACGCCGGCACACCCAGGCTTCAAGCTGACATAGCAGCTCTTCGGTCGTCTGGCCGGACATCTCGACACTACCGACCCCCGCATCCCCAAGGTCGTCGACCGGCTCGTCGAGGCGCTCAACACTCCCTCCGAGCTCGTTCAGTCCGCTGTGGCCGACTGTCTTCCTCCACTCGTCAACGGCATGGGCGATGAAGTCGAGTACCTCGTCGACAACCTCTTCTCGGCGCTTACGACCGGACCCAAGTACGCTGGTCGGCGGGGCGCTGCGTATGGTCTGGCGGGTGTCGTGAAGGGTCGAGGACTGGCTTCGCTCAAGGAGTATGAGCTTATGGACAAGTTGAGGGAGGCGGCGGAGGATAAGGCGTCTTATCAGTCAAGACAAGGAGCTCTGTTTGCCTTCGAGTGAGTTTGGGCGTTGGTGACATAGGGATCGAGCTGACCGCCCAGAACATTGTCGACTACTCTCGGCAAGACCTTTGAGCCATACATCATCTCTATCGTCCCTCTCCTCTTGGTCCTGTTCGGCGACACCAACACCGATGTTCGAGAAGCCACGCAAGACGCCTCGAAGGTCATCATGTCCAAGGTGTCCGGACACTGTGTCAAGCTCATGCTCCCGGATCTGCTGGATGCCTTGGAGGAGAAACAGTGGCGGACAAAGAAGGGCGCTATCGAGCTTCTTGGGTGAGCTGAATGAGCTGCTCGTTTTTTGGCTCAAAAGCTGACCTGTCAGCGCCATGGCCTTCTGCGCGCCCAAGCAGCTGTCTCTCTCCCTCCCCACCATCATCCCCCATCTCACCGGCGTCATCAATGACTCGCATGCCCAGGTCAAGTCTGCCGCCAATACCAGTCTGAAGCGGTTCGGCGAGGTGCTCGAGAACCCGGAAGTCAAGGCCATGCAGAGTACGCTCATGAAGGCTTTGGCGGACCCAACGGCGAAGACGGCCAATGCGCTTTCGGTATTGCTCAAGACTCGTTTCGAACACTATCTGGACGCTCCGTCTCTGGCTTTGGTAAGCTACTCTGACCATTTGATTGTGATTGGCAGAATAAGCTGACATGCAGGTCATGCCCATCATCGACCGAGGTCTTCGTCAGCGGAGTTCCGAGACCCGGAAAAAGTCGGTCCAGATCGTTGGCAACATGGCTTCTCTTACCGAATCCCGCGATCTTATCCCTTACCTCGACGCACTCATGCCCCTCGTTCACGAAGTCCTCATCGACCCCGTCCCCGAAGCTCGTGCTACCGCCGCCAAGTCCCTCGGGACCCTCGTTGAACGATTGGGCGAGACCAACTTCCCCGATCTGGTCAACCAGCTCGTCAATACCCTCAAGGCGGACACGAGCGGTGTGGATCGTCAAGGTGCTGCCCAGGGTCTGTCGGAGGTATTGTCGGGTCTGGGAATGGAGAGGCTGGAGAATATGTTGCCGGAGATCGTGTCGAGTACGAGCTCTCCTCGGCCATATGTCCGGGAAGGGTTCATCTCGCTCTTGGTCTACTTGCCAGCGACCTTTGGGCATCGATTTGCGCCTCATTTGGGCAGGGTCATTCCGCCTATCTTGAACGGTCTTGCCGACGATTCGGAATATGGTGAGTGTACGGGCCCAGTCGTAGCACTATATCAAAGCTGACATGACAGTCCGCGAAGCCTCTATGCGAGCCGGAAAGATGATCATCGCCAACTACTCCAACAAAGCCATCGACCTCCTACTCCCCGAGCTCGAAAAGGGGATGCTCGACAGCGCATGGCGTATCAGACAATCCTCCATCTCGCTCACCGGCGAATTGCTCTACCGAGTCACGGGTATCAGCGGCAAGGTCGAGCTCGAGGAAGAAGAGGCGGCGGTCGTGGCTATCGACAATGCTCGCAAGGCGTTGCTGGAGGCTCTTGGTCAAGAACGACGTGACCGAGTATTGGCGACGCTGTATATCGTGCGGCAGGACGCTATCGGGATTGTCCGGCAGGCGTCGATCCACATCTGGAAGGCTCTCGTACAAAGTGAGTCATTCTACAAACAGTGGCAAAGGTCGCGGTTGACACTGCAGACACCCCTCGGACCACCCGTGAGATCCTACCTGTCCTCATGCAGATCCTCATGTCCCTCCTCGGAAGCGACGAGAGCGAACAGCAAGAGGTGAGCCGTGTCATTCGCCGATCATCGACCGATGACTGATCATGCAGACCGCTTCTCGAACGCTCGGCGAGCTTTGCAGGAAGAACGGCGACCGGATCTTTGGCGAGATCATCCCAATCTTGCAGAAAGCCATCTCATCTCCCGATGCGCGATCAAGAGAAGGTGCCTGCTTGGCCTTTGCCGATGTCATGTGAGTCCGATCTTCCATCAAGTACGAGAGGGACCGAGCTGACGCTTCCAGGTCCGCAGCGAACCGCGAAACTCTGTCCGAGTACGAGGACCAGATCATCGCTGCTATCCGGAAAGCCCTCGTCGATACCGAGTCATCAGTCCGTGCTGCCGCTGCTCAGACTTTCGACACCGCTCAGCACTTTATGGGCGCCAAGGCGGTTGACCAGACCATCCCTACCCTGCTGGAGGCCATGCGAAACCCGGGCGAAGCGAGCGAGACTGCCCTCCAGGCTCTCAAGGAGGTCATGAGCGTAAGTCCATCTTCGTCATCTAGATCGCTCGTGATACCTCTGCTCCGGAAATTTCTATCCAGATCAGTTGCAATCCTTCTTCCCCCAAACCCCTCCTGTCACACTACAACAATTGTAGCAAACATCTGCTTTACAACACCCACAGCGTTTGATACGGAAAAGTGTAGAGCTGATCAACAGGTCCGGGCCAACAGCGTCTTCCCTGTTCTCATACCCACCCTCACCGCCCAGCCCATTACCGCCTTCAACGCCCGCGCACTCGGCGCTCTCGTCAAGGTGGCGGGAAGCGCGCTCAACAAGCGACTGGATACGGTCCTCGGCGCGTTGGTCAAGTCACTCGAGAAGGAGAAGGCAGAGGATGTCAGGGAGGAGCTGCAAGGCGCCATCGAGGCATTATTGTCGTCCGTGGTTGACGCAGATGGTGTGCATCAGTTGGAGATGCTTCTGATCGGATGGTGCGTCCCTCCCAGTCCCGCATAGAGGGACATAGCTGATCTTAAGGGCGAAGGACAAGGACGAGACGCGCCGAGCTACCGCCAGCAAGGTATTCGGCACACTCTGCCAAGTCTCCACCGCCGATACGTCCGAGTACCGCGTCGACTGGATACGCATCCTCGTTACAGCCTTCGACGATCCCGTACCAGCCGTCGTCGATGCGGCTTGGGAAGCACTCGACCACTTTGTCAAGACCATCGATAAGGACGAGCTGGAAGATCTCGTCGTTCCCCTCCGCCGAGCTATCGAGTCGACTGGCGCGCCCGGCAAGCACGTCGCTGGATTCTCTCGTCCCAAGGGAGTTCAGAGCATCGTCCCTATCCTTCTCGCTGGTGTACTCTCGGGTACCCAAGAGCAGAGGGAGCAGGCGGCGCTCGGTGTTGGAGACCTCGTACAGCGGACGAGCGAAGCGGCGATCAAGCCGTACATCATTCAGCTTACCGGTCCCCTCATTCGAGTCATCTCTGGTCAGGGTCTCGCACCTCAGATCAAGTCTGCCATGTGAGTCCATGGTTGCTTTGCAAGCTGGGCTCAGCTGACCGCCAGCCTCCAAACTCTCACTGTGCTGTTGGAGGAGGTTCCTCAGCTGGTCAGGCCCTTCCACCCTCAACTCACTCGGACATTCGTCAAGTCCGCCTCGGACCCAGCGGCCGTCAGTGTGCGGAACCGCGCAGCCGCTGGTCTTGGCGAGTTGATGAAGCATCAAGTAAGCTATCTACCGCTGCTATTCGGTCTGGGCTGCAGCTTATCATTCAGCCACGTGTCGACCCCCTCATCACCGAGCTCGTCGGCGGCGTACGATCAGCCGAGAAGGATATCGCTCCTTCCGTCGTCCAGGCTTTAGCCGCGGTATGCTCCAGCGCGGGGAAGAACATTGGGCCGGCTGCAAGGGCATCCATTGTCGAGCTTGTGGAGGAAGCGTTCGCCGAGCCAAGAGGAGGTAAGCCCACAGTGCTCAATCTTTCCCACGCTCCGCCAAGCTGACTGCGTAGAATCTTTCAACAGCGCCGTCGCAAAGGTGGTCTCCGGTCTGGCCAAAAATGACCCGGAAAGCATCCGGTCTCTAGTAGAGTAAGTTTCGCACCTAGACTTTGGCGAAGTCAGCGCTGATCACCTATCAGCACCTTCCTCACCACGACGATGCCACCTACTGCTCTCGTCAGCATCACGATCCTTTCTCTACTGGAAGAAGCACCAGCGGCTTTCTACGAGCTGGACGTCACGGAGGAGATCATTGACAAGATCAAGGCGAGTATATCGGCGGATCAGTCGTCGGTCGCGAGGCCTGCGAGGGAAGCGAGAGATATCATCAAGGAGGCGGAGAAATGGCGGGAGGATCCCAAGGTGCAAGCGGCGTTCAAGTCGGGGGTGTAAAGTGCCAGGAGGTAGAAAACAGCTCCCTTTGTGTAAGCGGAGTGGCATCTAGTGTATATTGATAATTTAATGGATAGAGCAAGCAGTTACTATCCTTGTACCCAGTCGTAGGTCACCGCGGTGTATATGGCTGACAGGTTGAGGTTCTCGCGCTCCTTCTCCTCATACTCATCACACTTATGACGGAGCTGACAGGGAGACTGACGGGATTTGGCAAGTCACTACCATCGCGCTCACTCCGAGGTGAAATCGGAAGTCCGCCGCGCCGGCGAGGGACACGCACTGCTCGAGCTGATTCGCCACTTCCGGGTAGCGGCATTCGACGGGTCATACTTACCTTTGTCCTCCGCTTCCCAACGCAGAGGTCTCGAGCACATGCGAGGCGGGCGATCCTTTCGGTTGGGTCCCAGCAGGCCAGAACGGTCGGGGTATCTCTACAGACGGGCGATCCCTCAGAACCCATTATACATCCCACTGTGAAGGTCTGTTCCCTTCTACCCCGACAGTTACCTTCGCATTCTCACCATGTCCGTTCGACTTGCGTCGCCAATTCCTCCCGTACTCTCACCCACTCATGCACAAACAGACACCATGAGCATGCGACGCCACCTGTCCGACTTTGGGTGTGTCGGCTCGCTCCACGTCACGCTGAAACCAGACTACTACTTCAAGACCGTTGTTGATGGTCATAATGGTAGACCGGTGCACCTCACGCCTGTAGTGATCACTGACGCCTCGACACCCGGACAGGAGTCCTCAATAAGCCTGTTCAACTATACGAATGACCTCGTCCTACCTCCGTCCAGCAACGCCACTTGCGATACGAGTACTTTCGCCCACAATCTCAACAATCGCTTGCTGACTGCTCCAAGGGCGAAGATCGCCGAGATCCTTGGTTCGGGATCGGGTGAAGGATCCACCATCACTCGGCCATCAAGCATCATGCGACAGCTGGATCCACAGCAGTGGAGTAATGCGGCACATGACATTGCCTGGAGCAGGGCATTCGCGTACGGTGGCAGCGGAGTCCAAATGATGCGCCACGAAACGAGCCTCCCTGGACCTGGAGGAAGCAAGCACCCCGAGGATGAGGTCTTTGCTTATTTCGGTCGCGGCATCGATTGCTTCAGCCTTCGAATCCAGCCAGGTCTTGTACTCAGCCACCATTCTGCGGAAGACCGTGACCCAAGGCAAAGCACATGGCGATACACCATCGTCTATCATGACAGGGTCACAAAGCACACGAGGATCGTTCCGGAGCGACTCGTGGCGAGACTGCGCAGCATTGTGGATAGGCTGGCCAATGAAAGGTGTACCTTCACTGCCAGCTCGAGCAAGGAGCTTTACAGCCAGCTTGAGTCGAAGACCAGCAACCTCAACCAATCGGTGAAGGAGTGGTTGGAGACGCGCGACCAGGCGAAGGTGTTATGCGATATCGCAGCTTACTGCCGGCCCGCCGGGCCCGTGACCCGTCGGGCTTGAGTAGGCTGTTTGGGGAGAAACACTGCGCGAAAGTGTGTAGAGTATATTTGCTCTGGTGTCGATTGGGCCGGGATACCTGGAGATGTATCACTATGATGTAGTACTGGCTGTCGGGGCCCGTAAGGGGGCTCATGCTTATGCGAATCCCTGATCCACGGCTAGCTATCTCTAAGCAGGGCGGATGGTGGTGTTCGGAGACTCAGCGGTGTGCATATGTCAGTGATGAGTAATATGTTAGCTTTAGATGCCCATACATGCCATTTTCTTATGTGCTTCCCTGTGAAAGGTGTGGCGAGATTTGCATAAGGTCAATCAAGAGCTCTGCGCTGGTCAGCTCTGCAGCGCTGCAGCGCCAACATTGTCAACAGCTTACCTTAGCGGAATCAAATTTGCTAATCAAAATCAGGCGCGTCAACACCCAAAAGTCAACTTGTCAACAAACCCCTCTTGCTCTTCCTCTCTGTTCATTCCCTCTTCTCACCTAGCTATCATGTCCACACTCAGCATGTCCACCGCCCAAGCCTCCTCATCCAAGCTGCACGCTCAGACCGACGCGTAAGCTATCCGTCCCTCACCCCGCCGTGAGCGCCCCATAGCTGACCAGGCAGACTAGCCGCGAATGCCTCCAACCCGCTCGCGCTCGAAGCGCACCGAGACCGGTTCCACGAGCGCGCCTTGAAAGACGTCACTGTCAACAGCAACGATGGCGGCATGTCCCTGGATTCTAGTAATCCCCTAGCGGTCAAGGACGAGATGGACGCGCAGAAGGAGTACTTTCGACGACTCAAGTTTACGCACCTCGAGCAGGAGGCGAAGCGGAATTTCTTGTTTACGATTATGGGGGATGAGCCGCAGGGTGTGCAGCCGGGGGATAATGAGGCTCTAGGTGCGCTACCGCGATCACACCCATATAAGGGGACGCATAGCTGACACGTCAGAGCAAAGGAACGCACAGCGCAAGGCCGCGCTCAAGGCGTTCAAGGCGGAGATTGAGGCGATGCGGACTGGGGCGATCCAGCTTGCCGAGGAGAATTCAGCACGTACGTCCGCTGGCTATCGCTTTCCTGTCCATGGCGAGACGCCCCAGCTGACTATATAGGAAGTATGAAGGTGAATGCAGAAGTCGCCGAGGCCCTGGCGCTGCAGAAGCAAATAAGGGACATGGAGCTTGAGCTGGCCCGCATCAAGGCGACTCATCCGCCTGAGAATGTAAGTCTCTCAGCTGCCGGTTCCATATCCTTGACGGGAGAGCCAATGAGCTGATGGTTTCAGCGGTTGACGGTGAATCAAGCGGGCGAGCTGCTGGATGACCAAATCGCCGAGATGCAGCGGTTGACGGATACCATTGGGAGTACGTCTTACAAGGTCGACAAGGCACGGGAAGAGGTTGCTGCGACGACCAAGGAGGTGAGCTACTGGGCTCATTCGGGATCCGGTCGTATTGGCCCCTAAGCTCTAGCTGATCTGATAGGTCAAGCGGCTCGAAAGAGAACGAGAGCGAGAAGAAGCTCGGGCCAAAGAAGTTCGCGAGGGCCGAGAAGAAGGGGATACAAAGGTGGATGAGCTATGCCGATGGTAGGTCCCTGTTCAGCTGTCTCATGCGGACCGTATCACAGCAGCGGGAGAAGGCGCTGACGTCTGAAGGTTATCTACTTCGATGCAGCTGTATCGCTCCCTCCTCGGTATCCAGTCCGTCCGCGCGTCAACGAGAGGACCATCACATCTTCTCCACATCACCTACGACGCTCCTTCTCTGGCGAAATCCAGCTCCGGGAAGGCGAAGAAGGGAGCAGATGCTGTGGAGCTTGTATTGGAGTTTGATCCGGCTTCGAGACGACTGCTAGATGCTCAGGTGAGCTTCCCCGTCTTGACCCTCCTCAGTCCGTAGAACGATGTGGAGTGACCGCAGCTGATAGCACTTAGCTTGACGGAAGCGACATGGACATTGGTGAGGCGGTAGGCATCGCAGTTGGGTCGAATGACGTGCCGGGGCTGGTTGGGGATGTGCTCATGCGCTTAAGGCCTATCCAAGCATAAACAGAACGCAGGAGAAGAGAAGGGCAGAGGCGGCCAGCAGGGCATCTTTTGGGTTCTTGGACATAGTATGGACAGTACGTATCGAGTTGTATAGAGATCCCGAGGTAGCACAATCTCTAAGGTCTGTCGACCAGTGGGCGAGGGCGAGCGATATGAGCATACATCGCATAATGCAGGTGTGTGAGGCTATAGATACAGATAGACAGAATGAATTATAACGAGCTGATAGACTCCACGATGCCCAAAAGATAAACAGTTATGAAGTAGAAGTACCCAGTGTCCCGAAATGATAACGCCCAGTACCCGGAAAGTATGCTGAAAGGTGTCGAGTGTCCTGATTGTCCGATGCTCCTCCTCGTTCACCCCACCCCCTCCACCCCCTCTCTCGTTGTCTCGCCTGAACAGCCCGGCTGAGGCCTAAGCCTGAGCGCCGACGACGACGACCCGACCGAGGTTCGCTACTGCCTGATTGAGCAGCACAAGCACGCCAGCATTTGCAATCACTCCAGTCTGGGCAGGGCCGGCCGGGCCCGTCGCTGTGGAGACGACGTCGTCCAACGCCGACTGGGAGATCCTGGACGCGCTCGCCGAGGACGATGCAGACGAGGCAGCGGCAGAGGAAGATGAGGAGGAGGGCGCGGCGGAAGAGGAGGATGAGGGAGGAGGCGAGTAGGTGGATGTTGAGCTGGGAGTGTAGGCGGGTGTGGTAGATGTGGAAGAAGGGGGTGTGTAGGTCGACGTAGGTGGTGGGGTGTAGGTAGAGGTAGGAGTGGGCTTCTCGGTCGTGGATGGTGCGGGCGCAGGAGCGGGCGAGTCGGACCATGACCATGACATTTGGAACGTCCCGACGTCTTCAGACTGGACTATCAGCTTGGGTGCACCTGCGAAGGAAGGTGTGGACTGACAGCAAAGTAGTTGAAGAGTCCTCGGCTGAAATCGAGATCACCGTAACCACAACCAGGGCATTGATCCCGCACTACAGCGTTGGCGGTTTTGCCGCCGTAAGAGATGGTTATCGCCCGACCGCAGTTGGGTCCTGGGTATCCACCGCCGAATTGAGGAGAGTTGAGAGCGACGATGAAGTCTGATGCGACGCTGAGGATATCAGCATAGGTCACTCGAGGAAGCAGGGAAGGAAGGAACCGCTCAGACTCACTTGTATCCCCCACAAGCGCCCAATCCAACATCATAGAACGTTGCCCTCCCTCCAAACCCTTGCCGCTTCTCCAGCATCCCCCTGTGCGCATGCGCCCTACTTCTGGACCGAGCGTGCAGCTCGGGGTCCGCGAACCCCAGAGAGAGGGGGAGGACCGGAAGGACGAGGAGGAGTGTCGAGAGGAACATCGTTGTCGATGGGATGTGGTATGAGAAAGAGGCGGGGGCTGGAAGCGCTAGTTTCTGCGAGCCAGGCTTGGCTTATGCAGAGATCTGAGATGGCTGGTACCGTGGTGCGTGTAGCGTGGGATGACGGCCTGTAGGCTGAGATATGGAGAGAGCTGGGAGGCCGAGATATGTGTTTGGGGCCGGGTATGAGTCCGGGGTGAGACACAGGCGGGGGTACCGAGGTGGACCGAGGGGTAGGTAAGGCCGGAAAGAGCGTGGAGTAGAGAGTGTGAGGTGTAGTCGATGGACCACTGACTTTTGCGAGAGCGAGCGACTGAATGCCAAAAAGCTGAAGCTAAAGCTGGCAGGTCGATGACGATGATGCGGTGGCTGGATGGATTGCGCTTTGACCGTGGTCGGTTGTCCTGTCGGACGAGTCAATCTTAATTTCGACGGTGGAGGGGAAGGAATGTTTCAACTTGAAGCTAAGCTTGAATGCCAGTTCAGCTGCCGCTGTTCTCACAAATACAGATGTATAGATACAAGAGCAAGAAGACAAGACACCTGCTTACCACCTCTACGACTGCACGCCCACCCCATCCTCTGAGCTTGACGCCCCCCAAAGCCACACCCACACGCTCAAAGGACGTCCGCTTATTTTTTTCGGTGTTGTTACGTTTGTACGTTTGAAGCCGGCACCCTCGTTTCAGATACGGAAAGCGCCATCCCTGTCCCTGGCCCGGTGTCCCTGAAACAGCTCGTGGGACAGGCACCCTCGTTTTATCTCTGACGGCAGACTCACGTAAGTAGCCGGCAGATCGGAGCCTATCGTGCACGTGGGAACGCCGATCGGGCCGTCGATCTCGGGAATGGAGTTGGAGAGGGATGTCCGGGGTCCGTGCGTTCCCCGAGCTGCCGCCGGCTCAGCTGTGAGCTGGACTAAAGCTGGACGTCATTGCAAAGACACCCCATTACCCCACTGCACTCCAGGCGAAATGAGAGCGGTGCTGCAACGAGTGACGAGAGCTTCAGTCACAGGTAAGCTTGCTCGAAATGCACACTCGTCGCCGCTAAACACAGCTGAACCGCCAGTCGACGGAGAGGTCATCTCGGAAATAGGCCGAGGCCTACTCGTTCTCATCGGGATAGATAAGAGTGAGCCACTCTCGACCACTCACTGCTCAATCACTGATACGCTAGACGACCAAAAGTCTGACTCTGACATACTTACGAAGAAGATATTAGGTGCGAAGCTGTTTGAAGATCCAGGGGACGCATGGGGGTCTTGGAAGCGGAGCGTGAAAGATATAGATGGGGAGGTGCTGTGCGGTAAGTCTCTGGGCGCGCTTATCTTGAGCCGGCAAGGCAGACGGACGAAAAAGGAGGAGGCGACGGAGTAAGGGGGAGGAGAACGGGTGTAAGTGCAAGGCGCAGAACCGAAAGAGGACGAGACGCATCTCACCGGATGAGTTTTCAGAGAGGCAGCTCTACGAGGAAAGATGGAGCGCAGGAGAGGCGGATGGAAGCCAGAGAGTCTGCCAAGCTGACTCTCGCAGTCTCGCAATTCACCCTCATGGCGGTTTTCAAAGGCTCCAAGCCCGACTTTCACGATGCCATGCCCTCCACGGTCAGCCGGGATTTCTACTATAATTTTCTGGAAGATATGCGGAAAACACACAAGCCGGATAAGATCAAAGATGGCAAGTTTGGGGGGATGATGGATGTTTCGTTACTCAATGATGTGAGTCCACCGTTGTTTGCTCTGTTCAGACTGGAGATGATGGCCGATGGACAAACGGCTTACATGCAGGGCCCATTAACGATCATCCTCGACTCGCTCGACTCGCGCTCTGGCAAACCAAAACCAAGAGATGGGCAGTCCACCCCAGCATCGGGCGTTTCGGGATCAGCCACCCCGGCCGGCGATGGGGCAGAGGAGGATCAGTCGCCAGAAGCGTACAAGGCGAGAGCAAAGGCCAAGGCGGATAAGCGGGCCGCGAATGCCAAGATGTTTGCAGAGAGAAAGGCGGCCGAGGAGGCAGCGAAGAGCGCAGGAGGAGGGGCAGTGGGCGGAGCTGGGGCTGAGGCTTAGAGCGGGCATGGAACGAGGCGATGTGTTACACTGAAAAGAGGTGGAGATCGATACATGTAGCATAGGTTAGGTGTATGGTATATGGTAGGAAGATCAAGTGAGGAGAAAGTGAATCAGCTTAGTAGATCCAGTAGGTAGATGATTAGAGGTGATGCAGCATCAGCATAAACGCATGATATTCATCTTGATCGCTATCTTGCTATTTTGTACACTTCTCAACCCGACTTCACCTTACACAATAGCCTCCAGCTGCTGCGCCAACCTCAGCGCAGGCCCCACCATCGTCCGCATCGGGATCCCCCGGGTCACTCCGCCAGACATGCTGTTTCCGGTTGCCCCAAAAGAGGTGGCGGAGGGATTGGCGCTGGTGTTGTAGGTAGGAGTATCGTCGGGGCTGGTAGAGGGGAAGGTGAATGTTGAGGTGGAGGGGTTGAGTGTCCATTTGCGCTGGACGTCAGCGAAATATCCACGGGCTTGTCAAGTACCATATGATGTGATCGACAGTCGCGGGGTGGATGGTGAGGTGGACTTACAGAAGAAGTGAACTCAATCAGGTCCTTCTCCTCTCCTGACTTGAAGAACAGCAGTCCTGACGCGTTCTGTTTCCCCAAGGAGGGATATGACGCCTCGATCGTGGCTGCTATTTGAGCCCTATAGGTCAGCTTGAGCCCAATACGACTGATGTGGAACAAGTAGCTCACCGGACAGTCCCCATAAGCTTCTCGAGCAAGAATCCAAACTCTTCCCTCGGCACCCTTTCCCTCGCCCGATACACCTTGTTGTACGCGCCTTCCATCAACCACCGTTCGCTATCATATCAGCTGAAGTCTTTCCGTACCCTAGAGAAGCCAGCGGAAGACCTACAGGTCCACTGGGAGCTTCACAAAGCTATCCCCCATCTCCCCGGGTCCTAACCTCTCCAACAACGTGTGGAACTCGGTCAACTGACCCCCGCTCAGTAACGCCAGGAGGTACAGCCCTAATATGACCGGCCTGTTTGGCGAGGACGGGAGGTTTGGGAGAGCGTAGAATGGCTGGAGGGCGGCATTGTATGCAGTGTATGATTTGAGCGAGTGCAGGCGGAGGGAGTGGAACGAGGCGAGTTCGAGGATCGAGCCTGAATGTCAGCTAGGACATTGTTTGGTTTCTTTGGCAAGAAAGAAGGCTTACGGGCGACGACGAGGTCGTTAGAGGTGGCTGTTGGGGGAGCAAAGTACAGACCGGACTTGGCTAGCTCGAGCTGCCTATCAGCTGGACGTCAGGAGGGGAGGGGAAGGACGGGGCCCACCTTGAGCTTGCTAAGCTGAGACGTGACTTGCTCGGTCTTGCCCTTATCGAAGGCTGATTGGAGCTCTGTGAGGGATTGCTGGAGGGACATGGTAGCTGGTATAGGCTGTATGAGGTATGCAATGGTTGATGATGATGGGTGGAGGTTGCTTGCTTGCGCGTCGCTGGTGGTGGTTGATTCTGAAACGCCACTAATCTAAATTCCCGAAATGATCCCGCTCACTCACTCACCTGCTGCTGTCAGCCTCTCTCCCTCTCTCCGCCGTCACCATCATCACCCTTTCTCCTTACCATATATATCTCATCCTCCCAGCAGCTATCTCCCAGCTATCTTACAGGAGATATCCACCTACCGTCCGAAACAGCCCAAAAGAATAGCCTCACAGCTCTAGGAATCAGCCCATCAGCTACCCAATCCCCATCATCCAACTTTTTCCGTGCGTTCCTCCCTCCACTTCAGCTACCGCAAGCCGATCAAAGCGGGCGCCTGGCTGATAGTATAGATCATGTCCGCTCCCCACGTGAATGGAAATGGGAATGGTCACCCCGCTGCTCCTATCCCGGCCGCTGAGTCTTCTGCTACGCAGAGCAAAGTTCAGCCGAACGATGTCGGATGGCAGTTCGTTCCCCAGTACTAGTGAGTCAGATCCGCCAGACTCGGTATGGTGTGGAGGGTATCGTTCTTCTGGGCAGCTGGCTCAGTGCGGAGTGGCGGCACAGCGGAGGCGGAGCTGGAATTCACCCTTTGTCTTGGCTCAGCTGACCATCAGCAACTTTGTCAACAAGCAACCTCACCGCCTCCACTGCTTCTACAACAAGCGCTCGACATTCATCCACGGCGAGGAAGGCGAGGAGGCTCAGGTCGCACTCGGCCAGCAGGTGAGCTACCACTTCACCGGCGCAGGACTCAGCTGACTTTTCAGGAAATCCACGCCCGGATCACCTCGATAGGCTACGACCAATGCAAAGTCTACATTCACCAGATCGACTCTCAATCCTCCGCCAACGGCGGCATCATCATCCTCGTTATCGGTGAAATGTCCAACATGAATGGTCCATGGCGGAAATTCACCCAAACCTTCTTCCTCGCCGAACAACCCAACGGCTATTTCGTCCTGAACGACATTTTCCGATACCTGAAGGAGGAGGTTGATGATGAGGACGACGATGAGGAGACGACGGTCGCGTCGACCACTCCCGCCAAGGACAAGGAGGTTTCAGCGCCGGTCGAGCAGGCGCCCGCGCCGGTAGAGGTCAAGGCGACCGAGGAGATTGTCGCGCCGGTCGACAATGACGTCGAGGAGAAGGCCGCCGCGCCGGTCGAGGAGGAGAAGGAGGAGGAGGTCGCAGAGGCACCCGCGGCGGACGTCGGATCAGGGCCAGAACCAACAAGCGAGCCCGCACAGGTCGACCAGGCGACTGTTCCGGAGGAGGCGGTTATTGCTTCCGTTCCGGACAAGGATATCGCCCCGTCTGAGCCTGCCCAGGCTGTCGAGGAGCCCACTACATCCACTCCTTCCGCCGAGGAGTCGGCTCCTGCGCCTGAGCAGCCCGCCGCCAACGGCGCTCCCAAGGCTGCTCCTCCTGCTGCTGCCCCGGCCGCACCTGCCGCACCCGCCAAGCCAAAGGGACCCATGTCGTGGGCTGCTATCGCCCGTCCCACCGCCGCTGCCAATGCCCCCGCCGTCAGTGCCCCACCCGCCGCCGCTCCCAAGGCGGTCCAAGTCGCTCCTGCTCAGGCCGAGCAGGCGAACGGCTCTGCCCCCTCGGCCTCGTCTTCCGGCCCCAAGTCGACCGCCGTGGAGAACGCCATGCGCGTCAAGACCTCGCACTGCTTTGTCAAGGTCAGTCATCCTGCTTTTTGTGTGGGCATTGCTGACGTCCAGCTCCCCAACTGGGCCGCCAACGACCAATCCGGCGAGCCGATGGACGAGAACTCTCTCCGTGCGGCCGCGTCCCGGTTCGGCGAAGTCAGCAAGGTCGAGATTGTCGGCAACAAGGCCTGCGCCTTTGTCGAATTCAAGTCGATCCAGTCGGCCACCAAAGCCATCATCGCGTCTCTGCAGACCAACCAGGGCGGCGAGGGTGGCGTCAAGGTACAGGGCCAGTCGGGGTCGCTCATCTTCGAGACGAGGAAGGAGAAGGATGAGCGCAGGATGAAGGGGCCGGGCGGAGGTCAGCAGGGACCTGTCGGTGGTGAGCGGCAGATGAATGGTGGTGGAGAGCGAGGGAGGGGCGGGATGGGCGGTGGACGCGGTGGTGGGCGAGGGGGCGCGATGGGCGGGCAGGGCGGGCAGCAGCAGCAGCAGCAGGGGTCGGACGGGTTTGTGGAGCGTACGTCGGGCCGAGGGGGGCGGGGCGGACGGGGGAGGGGAGGTGCGCCCCAGGGAGACAGGCAGCAGAAGTAGTGGCGTGGAGTGAGGAACGAGGCGATCCAGTGAAAATATCGACAGGGGGAAAAATGGAACGAGGCGGATGACGGACGACGAGGGGACGAAGAGACGAGGGGACCGACGACCATACGCAAAGCATTCCGACCATCACCATCACCACACCCACACCCACACCATCATTCGAGCACATCCCCCCATCCGCATCCTCATCCATTTCTTCTTCTTCTTCGTACTTAGCATGTTAAGGATATCGACGGGGATGCGTGGGATTAGGGAGTGCAGTGTGTGTATAGGCTGATTGATGGGTGAATGAGGGGGAATATGAGCGATATTGGTAGCAGTTGTCAATACCAAGATGAAATACGTACATCCATTCTTGTGCTGCTATTCGACTATAGCTGTGAGGGTACAGCTCTATTTTCTACGCGTAGGTAACCTTAGAGTAGATCACGAAGCCCCCTTACTGGTACCACCCACCAACCCCGCTTTGGTGAGTATAAACTTCCATAATCCCTCTACGACGCTCCGATCTCTGCCTTCCAGCCAGCGCAACTCCACTCTTCCTCTGGTGGCTGTATATGCCGACTCCTCTGCTGTCTTCTCCACCTCTGGTACTCCGACTGCCCTGCATTCCTTTGATTCCCTGCCTTCCTCTGTCTCCCTGCCTTCGTCTTCCGCGCCTAAATACGTGCCCCTATCTTCCTGTCCATCCTGTCCATCCTTCCCATCTTGCTTGGCCTTCCCCGGCGAGGTGGTACCGGCAGGCTTGGGAGGTGGTAAAGCCCGAACGTCCAAAAAGTGGATAGTAGCTCGGAAGAGGGGCTGCGCGCTTGCCCCCGATCCTGATGGCTGGGAAGGAGCAGCAGACCCACTCCCGCCTCCACGGGCCGCTTGACGCCGAGCGGCTCGAGACCAAGTATTGCTGATTGGTGCAATGGCAATGACGTTTGCGTTGTCCGCTGCTGTCGATTGTGCGCCGGTTGAGGGTGTGTCCTCAGTCTCCGCGGCTGATTGAGCGCAGGCGGTAGAGGACGGGATGGGAGGGAAGAGCTGGACGTCCCGAAGAATGCCTTCGATCCGATCTCGGAGGATCTCGGTAGAAAGGGGAGGCTCGGGTGTAAGTCCAAAGCTATTGGGCGGGGCGAGGAGCTTAGCGAAGGACGTCCCGGGGATAAGGTCGACGCGGGTGATGCTCTGAAAAGCCATCAGCTGTATCCTTCTCCTGAGTCGACAAAGTAAAGCGCGGACGTGAGAAGGGTGTGAAGCTTACGTCGGGAAGTCGGATCGAGCCAAAACTCCACCCTAGGATCCATCGGGTCGTACGTGACTGCTTGATCGAGTGGATAAAGTAATTGTCGATCTGCAGAGGTCAGCTTGGGCCATCATCGCGAGTAGCTATTCACGACGCGTGAGCTCACCTTGGCGCCCTTGAGCTGCTCAACGAGCGTCATGAGCGAGCTGTATTTCCCAATGAGGCTGGTATACCACCTGCGGCGATCAGCTGATACATTCTCGCTGAGATCAGGAGGGGCTGGCTCCAGCTTACTGGCATGCCTCCCGCAATTGAAGACTCTCGCGTATCATCTGACCTACGAACTGTACCTCTCCGCCGGGAGTGATGAGCTCGTTATCTGAAGCTGTCGGAGCCTGCTCGGATGAGTTCACGGTTTCCTCAGTCTACAGATATGTCAGATGAGGGAGAACAGAGGAGCTCACAGCCGGAGCGCCCTTCTGCTTCGCTTCTCTCCCTTCGCGCATCTCATCTTCCGACCCAAAGAAGGGAGGGTTGCAGATGACAAAGTCCCACTTGTCCGCCTCCTTACTCGAGGAGTCGCCTTCGCCGGCCTCTCTAGACGTAGAATAGGAATTGGCGAGGCCGTCAAAGATGGGGAAGAGGATTGGTTGGTCAGGTGACGGTCGGAGGATAGAAATAGAGGCGGGAAGGATTTCGTTGTAGAGGCGGGTCTTGACTGCATGATGGAAGGAGACGGCATCCAGCTCTGCTCAGTCAGCTGACCCGCTATTCAACCTCGAGAAGGACAATTGGGGTATAGCTCACCCGTCGCTATGATTCTGGCTGTCGGGCGGAGGTGCCGCAATAGTAGGGGGTATATAGCTATATGGCCTGTCCCACTATGATGCCGGTTCAGCTTGCGCCACCAAGGAGGACGGAAGAAGTGAGCCTACATATCTAGCACTCTGAGAGGTCTCGAGCCACTCGCTGAACTTTCTGGGGACGACGCGTCGGAAGAGGAGAGGTACGGCTCGATATCGAGGATATGGTATAGATAATCCAACCTGTATGACGTCAGCTAGTGCTTGAGGAACCCCACCTTCCGTCCATGGCAGTGAACTGACTCACCGGTTCGCAAGCTGACCATCAGCTATTTATCGCGCTGGTTGAGGGCCGGTAGAGTCGACAGACCGTAGGACACAGCCTATCTTCCCTTAGCTCAACATCATACCCCCAGTCCTCCTTCAACAGCGCGCGCGTCAGCGCCCGGAGCGCCGTTGGGTCCTGGAAGTCGATAGACGCGTATCCATCAGGCGATACTGTTACACTAGGAGCGTGAGCTTTGACCTAGCCCTCTGGGGAGGAAAGCTTACTATGGCTTGAAAGACGGGTGTAGGGAGGCGAGGTGGGCAAAGTCGGGCTTTTTGGCTAGGTAGGGGTTGAGGGGATGCATCACATCAGCATGATCCCGGTTTACGAGTTAACAGGCGAGTCTACACCTGGCTCGATGAGAGGTGGGTGGAGGACAAAGGCAGGAGGCCAGTGCCCGCGTCAAAGAAGCAACTCCGCATTCCTCAATGTTGTAACACGTCATCGTCATCGTCCGGCCGGCGGGGAGAAATCTCGCAAGATCTTGAGATCGCCCATATCTCTTCTCGTCTTTGCTTTCTTTGTGACTACCTTGACAAGGCACCTACATCCGCGCTTATTCCCTCTAAGCAGCTTCTCGTCCGCTCATCCACGTGATCTTAGGGGCAGAATCGAGCGCCATTTAGCGGGAAAACGCCTCTCAATCATCAGAACACATCGAAAAACGATTACTTGGACACCATGTCTTATCCCGACGAAGAGGAGCGGCCCTATAAGCCCATCACGTTCACAAATTACATATGGCAGAGGTGCAAGAGCCAGCCTATCGTGCCTGCAGGTGCGTTTGGAGGCCCAGATCGGAAAAAACGCACACAATTGACCTATAAGGATGCGCAGCGACCGTCGTAGCCCTTGTCGGGGCGACGCTGAGTCTGCGGACTGGAAATAGGAAGAACTTCAATTATTGGTTGAGAATGCGTGTATTGTGAGTGTCTCCCAGCTTATCGAGGCCCTTCCCTGGTTATTCACCAAGCCCGAGGTCGCCGTACAATGAAATGAAGGAGGAGCTGACTCTACAGGGCACAAGGAGCCACCGTCGTCGCTATGGTAGTGTACGGTTCCGTCGCCATCACACGACAACAGCAGACTACGCACTATATCAAATCTCAGATTATGCTCGGTACGTCTAACCCCCATCACCATTTTAGATTCTCTCTGCCCTTCCCTAGCCGAGGCTGATGCCCAGGCGATCTCCCGCCGGATACTCAATGGCCCGGGAGGAAGGCGGGCGAATCTGCGCCAGCCATCCAGCCCCGCTCGCGCATTCTTGACGAAGCCGGCTCTACCTCAACAGGCGGCGAGCCCTCGGCAGGAATGGACGCCACGACGGGTATCGGGGGCGCGTACCCCCTCGCGAAGAAGGATAGGATCACGGCGAGCGAGTTCGCGAAGCGGCTCAAGGAGGCCGAGGAAATGCAGCGGGATGAGGATGAGCGGAAGGACGCGAGGAGGGCTAGGAGGGCCGCGAGGGAGAAGGAGAAGGAGGGGGAGGTCAAGGCGTAAGGGGGTTATCATGGAGTAGGGAGGGGTGTTGGCGGTGTTTCGGTCTATTAGTATTGGCTGGGTTCTGGATCGCTTTATGGGAAAAGACGGTGGGATACGACGGAGTTCTTGACTTTGTTCCTCATGGGCCGCGAGATATGTATATCACTGCAATACTGACAGAGTAAGAAGGCTGGGACCGTCTCTCACCAAGGCTGTATCTTCTATACACTGATCCTAGGTCGGTCCACTAACTACTTCAGACCCTCCTTCTCGAGCTGCAAGAACCGGTCGTACGCCGCAGTCATGGTCTCCTCGAAAGTGTGATCTAAACTGTCAGCTGGCGATATCCTTCCACCACGAAACAGACTCACACTTGATACCCAACTCGCGCGTGCTCTTACTCGAATCGAAGCCGTATACTCCCGGATCCTTGTACTCGTATTTACCGGGCGTACCGACCGGGACGCGGTGTGACTCGGCGGGGTACGCCTGGTGCAGGAAGTCCACCACCTGCTGGAAGGAGTACGCTACCTGTCAGCTACAACCCCGACCGGAAGGGGTCCCAGTACTCACGTCCACCGCTCAGGTTGAATCGCCCATCGGCATCTCGAACGACGGCTTGATAGTGCGCCTCGGCGGCATCTCGGACGTCGACCATATATGGGAAGTCGGCGGGGGCGATAGGGGCGTCTTTGCCGCCGAGGAGGGCGTAGAAGATCTCGGTCGACATGCCGCCCTGCGACAACGAGTCTTGAGGCTGGACTGGACGGTGTCAGCTCACGATCTGCTCATCCGGGTACGTAGGGTTGATCTCACTAGGCGGACCAGCGATGATGACACAGTTCATAGCCGCGAAGGAGATGTCCCGTCCCTTCTTCCTCGCCTCATCGCACAGCTCGGTGGCTGTAATCTCGGCGTACTTCTTAGCGCCCATATAGTAGAGGGACTGCGGAGGGAAGTAGGGATTGGTGTTGACGCCGGTTTTAGCGATCTCGTCCAGCTGCTCCAGGGTATAGGGGTTCCAATTCGCTTCGGTGAAGGTGGTGCCGACCTGTTTCCACGGTGCGTCCTGGTGCGAGCCTACCGCGCCTTTTAGGTCAGCTCGGCCCGCTTTGGGAGAGACAGCGTAGAGAGGAAAGGACGTACCGTATGTAGAAGTCATGACGATGTGCTTGACGCCCTCTTCCTTGATAGCAGCCTCGACCACCGACCGTGTGCCTTCCTGTGCGGGCGCGAGGTAGTCTTTCCGAAAGTCGTTGGACGTGAACTCAACCGGCGAGGCAACATGGACGACGGCTGTGCAGCCCTTGATCGCGTCGCTATAGTTGGCGGTGGTGAGGTCCCCGACAGTGAAGAGCTTGAGCTTGCCGGACTGGATGAAGGGCCCGAAGAACGGGGACGACTCGAGAGCGGGCTGTTTGGATGATGAGCGGATCGTCGCGTGGACGGTCCATCCTGCATGAAGGAAACGTTCAACCACATGCGCGCCAAGCTGTATGTCAGCTGTAGCTTGGTCGGGGTTGCCAGTGGGGTGCATGAAGCAGCGGGAGGGGTACGTACGAAGGCGGTGGTACCTGTGATGAGGACAGTGGAGGACATATCAGTCTGTGGTCGTATTCGGGAGCTGCTTTAGTATGAGGTATCAGGCGGTGCGCTTGGGACTCGACGGCGGTGGCGGAGCGCGATATTTAACAGGCCCTTTCTCTATATACAGCGGCCTGGGGGTCTCTCTCGGCCTCGGACCTCCACCTGCGCCTCCACCTTTGTTGCTGCATACCTCCACCGACCTCCACCGAGCTCCCAACTCCCGATGGGGCAATAGGATCAACACCCCCTTGAGACGGGACAAGCTTGTAGGCGAACAGAACACCGAAGTTGTCACGGAGAGGAGGATCATCCGATCGACTGCCAGCCTTGTTGTCGCCTAGCATCGCTGCTCACCCGCTTATCTACACCCTCCGAGCTGGACTCATGGCGGGCGGACGGACTCCGCGGAGAGCGGCGGTCGGCGGTCGCGGCCGGACAGGCCTCCGAAATTCGGCCCAAAGGAGCAATTACGTCTTCTTACGTCAGTAGAGGAGGTCGCGAAATGCAAAATTGCTGTCCCGTTTTCGTCGCCGTGTGAGCCCAGCAGCGTTGTAGATCAACATCCTGTCCTCCTATTCAGTAGATGGTATGCTTCTGAAAGAGTGTATGCGAAGGATGGGAAAGCTGTGACCGAAAGGCACCGGCCGAGGGTGGGGTGTTTCAGGGTGTTTCAGAATATGACGGCATCGTGCCGATATGACGCGTGGAGCCAGCAGCCAGCAGCTTCCTCAATTAATACCTTCACTCAGCTTCTATATATCTCACCTCACCCTCCTCATACAGTGGTCATGACGGGCAAAAGGGTAGTAGTCACCGGTAAGCTGCCTAGCTTGACGGCCAAGGGAGCTTTACTAATGGTGCTAGGTGCATCTGGCTTGCTCGGCAGGGCCGTCGTCAAGCGCTTTGAGGCGAAGGGTGATAAAGGTAAGTGATGCCCCCGTGACCCTGCCAGCTATGGGATCTGGCCCTGAAAATTGAATGAAGCTGAACATACTGTCATCCGCCTGGCGTTCAGTCGCGCGAATGAAGGGTATACCAAGCTTGATTTGATGGATGAAGGCGCGGTGGAAGCGTTCTTCAGTGAGAACAAGGTCGATGGTAAGTTGCATTCTCACTTCAGGAGAGGAATGCGAGCTGACTGCGTGTAGCTGTTATACACTGTGAGTGGGCAGTCTTGAGATCGAGCTTTGGGCAACTAGCACTGACCAGCCTAGGCGCGGCAGAAAGGCGACCAGACGTGGCAGAAGCGGTACGCAATGGCTGCCCCAGATTCTCCCTCAGGTAACGCACTGACGTGTCCCAGGATCCCGAGAAGGCTGCTCGTATCAATGCAGCTGTTCCGGCCCACCTAGCCAAGCTCTCACAGCAACATGGCTTCCTTTTGATCTACATCTCGACCGACTACGTATTCAACGGCCGAAGGTGAGCTTTGCGGCTGCGTTGTGCATGTCATGTAGCCGAAAAAAGCTGATCGCATAGTCCGCCGTACGAAGTCGATGACAAGCCCGATCCTCTGCAAATGTACGGCCGACAGAAGCTCGCAGGGGAGCAAGAGGTCCTGAAAGCTCGTGAGGCGGGGGCAAACGTCGCTGTCCTGCGCGTTCCTATCTTGTGAGCTGAGGCGCTGAGGGTGATACCGATGACCGGAGCTGCATTAGCTGATTAGCAGGTACGGGCAAGTGACGTATAACGCTGAGAGCGCCGTCAACATCTTGCAAGATGTTATGTCCAGCTCTCAGCTTCCTGTCTATGGATCAGCGGAAGACAAGCTGACGTGTTTAGTCGTGGAGGACCAGTCTGGCAAAGAGTACAAGATGGACGCCTATCAGGTTCGCTTCCCTACGAACGTCTCGGACGTCGGACGCGTCCTCGTCCATCTTACGCGTAAGCTGCTTTGACGGTCAGACTCTCCGATATGTAGACTCAGAGCTCACCTTGTCAGACCTTGACAAAGCCCTCCCGCCCATCCTCCATTACGCCTCCCCCGCCCCGTCATTGACCAAGTACGACATGACCACCATCATCGCCTCTGCGCTCAGTTTACCCATCAAGCACGTCATTCCCGATCGCAACAAGCCCGAGTCAAAGCCAGGACAGACCGAGCGACCGGAGAACACGCAATTGAGCACAAAGGCGTTACAGGATCTAGGAGTAGATGTGAGCGAGGAGCAGGAGTTCGAGGAGTGGTGGAAGGCGAATGCGGAGCTTCATCTCGAGTGGCGCTCGGATGCGCTCGAGAGGCTCAACTAGTCCCCTCAGAAGGGAGAGGTTGCAAGTGTTTCAAGCGGGGCTGGGCTACGTAGACTAGCCTTCCCTTCCCAGCCTTCCTAGCCCTACAGTCGCTTTCCCCTGAAAAGCAGACAAAGCTTGACAGACGTCCTGCGGTAGTAGAAGAATTGTCTAGACTATACATGCAAATATGGTAACAAGGAACCTGATCCCAAATCACTCCGCCTTCTTCACCCGCTGTGGCTTACCAGCCCCCGTCGGTCCTCTTGGCTTGACGACCTTCTCCGCCCGCGCCTTCTCCACACCCTTCCCCTTGCCCACCTTGATCCCCTTGGTCTTGAGGAGGTGCTTCTTTTTGCCCTCTATATCGCGTCAGCTCTGTTCTCGTGCAAAGCGAGAAGTTGGAAGCTCACCCTGTATGATGGTCGCGTCTGCCTCTGCATCAAATGCCGACCTCTCCTGCTCCTCCTCGACGAGCTCGCCTTCATCATTCAACTTCCTGAGCGGACCCGTCTCCTCCGCATCTTCATCAGACTGCTTCTTGACCCGCTTTTCGACCTTGAACTTGGCGACAAAGAACCCGTCCATGTTGTGCTTGTGCGGGTAAAACTGGGCGTCAGCTAAAATCCAATCCGTTACGAAGATGATAGCCCACCCTTCTGGTCAAATTCAGACTCTCATGGAACTGTTTTCCCTCAAATGCCTTGAACCCCTCCACTCCAAACTCGAGACCGGTGGGTACGAGCCGTACATTCGGCCGTTTCCGAAGGGCGTAGTCCACAACAGCTTCGTCCTCGTCGACAGTGACGGAGCAGGTCGAGTAGACGACGTATCCGCCTGTAGCAGAGTTTGGGGAGACCGAGTCGAGTGCGCAGAGGATGAGCTGTTTTTGGAGATGCGAGAGGAGCTGGAAGTCGCGCTCGGTCTGCGAGTCAGCTATTGACCCGACTATCCAAGCTGTAAGTCTTACCTTGTTGACTTTGACACTAGCATCCTTACTGATGACTCCGGTCCCACTACACGGCGCATCCAGCAACACCCTATCAAACCCACCCATAACTCTCGGAAACTCCCTCGCGTCGTAGTTGCACACTACGACATTCTTGCATCCCATGCGATGGACATTGGCCGTCAAACTCTTGGTACGTTGCTTGTTCGAGTCGTTGGCGAAGATGAGACCGGTGTTTTGGAGGAGGGCGGAAATGTAGGTGGTCTTGCCACCGGGGGCAGAGGCCATATCGAGGATGCGCTCGTTGGGCTGAGGAGCCAGGGCGATGACGGGGAGGAAGGAGGAGGCGGATTGGAGCATGTACTGCCCGGCGAGGTACTCGGGGGTGGCACCTGATGATCAGCACGGCCCATGGAAGTATAAGGGGAAACTTACCGACTGGTACGGGACTCTCAAATACCTGGAGCCCGACCTTGCTCCACTTGCCGATAGGCTCGAGCTGGACACCGCGGTTGATCAAGGCCTGAGCCAGATCTCTCCGACGGGTCCGGAGGGTGTTGGCGCGGATGGTGACGGGTCGGGGGGACTCGTTGGCCTCGAAGAAAGCGATAGCCTGAAGATCAGCTACATACTGCAAGACATATCGCTTTACTGACCTCGTCCACTGGGAACAGCTTCATCAGCTTGCCGACCAGGAAGATATTGTAGCCGAAGTAGGTGGCAATGTCGTGTTGCAATTGCAGAAGGTGATCTGACCGAGATCTAAGGGATCAGCTTCACCTTTAAGAGACTCTGAGTCCATAACCAGCTCACTTTCCCGGTACACCCTGCGACAGCTTCTCATCCTTTCCAGCACACACTCCCACCAACCACCTCATCCTCGTCTCGATCTCGCGCAGACTTGTCCCGTGTTCAAAGTCCTCCACTTCACCGCCGTTGTCCACCGCGGGCAGCGTGAACCCCTCATTGGTAAGGTCGTCCTCCAGGTTGGTCGTGATTGCTCCGTCCTCGTCGTCTGATCCCGGCTCGGGGTTCAGGCGGAGATGAGCAGTGCGAGGGTCATTCGCCTCGTCCACCTCCATCTCATCCTCATCCCCTGAGGAGGCAAACGCTGAGTCCTCCTCCTCTGCGTCCGAGTCCATCATCTCGTCGTCGTCTTCGTCGCCGAGAAGATCATCGTCGTCCTCCCCCTCGCCGAGATCAAACTCGTCGTCCTCTCCGTCCTCGTCCGACGGCATCGCGTCCAGGTCGAACATGTGCTGACCGGTGGGCAGTACCTCCTTGCCCTCGTCATGTCCGTCATCGTCGGAATCGCCAAAGTCCAGATCCTTCGCGGGCGCTTTGCGCAGATCAGAGACGTCGTCGGTGCTGTATGTCAGCACGCGCTTACGCCACAAGCGAGTAAGCTCACTCATCGGCCTTTGCTTTGCCCTTGCCTTTCATGGACTTGACCTTGACAGTCTCCTCCTCGTCCTCATCCGGTGACATTTCCCTGTTGATCAGCTCCACTATTCAAGCTGCAGATCGGTCCACTCACCCCTGGTGCAATGCCTCCTCCAGGTCACTGTCCTCTTCCTCATCTACCACATCCACCTTCTTCTTCCGCCTCCCTGGCAAGACCTGCTTGTGCCGCCCTCCGCTCGCCTGTGCCTTGATACTACTCCGCTCATCCTTGGGAGCCGAAGCGCGCTTCTTGCCCTTGTCCCTCCTGCGCTTCTTTCCGGGCTCGGTCGTACCCGGGAGGGGCTTTGGCGGTGCCTGCTTGTTCTTTGCTTTGTAGCCCATTGTAGTGTATTGAGCAGAGGTATCGATGAATGCAAGAGGTGAGAAGAAGAGGTGGACCTTGAACAGCTGAGAAATCTTGCGGATGCCGTCATGGCTGTATGACGTGGAATTCTAGGCGGAGGTGGCCGGTATCATATATCATACCCGACGTTGTGCTCGACCTCTTCGACAGCGACGAGAGCCTCGGCGACGTTCATCAGCATCATACATTCAACATCATGGTCAGCCCATACACAGCGGGTCGGATCCCTCTCACGGCAACGGGGCAAATCCCTTCGGTCCTGCAGCCTTCTGAGCCAGACTCTACCAATGGCTCGCCAGAGCTCCCGGACATGACCTCCATTGCGCCCTTGCCTAGGACCCGCATCTCGACGACGCCGCCCGCATCGCCACCTCGGGGCTCGTCTGTGCCCTACACCAATGGCAAAAGTCCAGGAACTGGGTTACTGCCGCAGCGGTCTGGCTTGATGGAGAGTCCGCAAATACCCCAAGGCAGCGCCATTGCCGATGTGGCGGAGGTGCCTGAAGCGGGGCCGTCCTCTGCGCCTGTACGCAGAGTGTACCCGAAGAAACCGAAGGTACGTCTCAGCGGAGTGGATGGCCACCATCGCGGCGACCCTCAGCTGATCTTTTGCAGAAGAAGGTGGAGAAGCTGTTCCAACACACCACTGCCTTTGCGCCTGGACTGTGAGCTGGACCGCAGTCGACCTCGTCCAAGACGCGTAGCTGACGACTTAGCTTCCACGTCAAGAACCCGGCTGGAGAGTTCATAGTGCGCGAGACGAACGTCGATGTGATCAGGCAGATCTCCCAAGCGCGAGCCAAGGCCGAGAAGGAGGAAGCCGAGGCGGAACGGGCGAAGCGTGTAGAAGCAGGGGAGGAGGTCGGTCCGGTAAGCTACCAGGCGCCTTTTTGCTTCTAACAGTATCAAGGATCTCAGCTGACAGTCTAGGTCCAACCGCTCAGCCATACGCTCATCATCCACCCCGGTTCCCGTAATCTCCGGATAGGTCGAGCATCCGATTTCTACCCAAAAGAGATACCATTCTGTATCGCTCGTCCCTCAAACTCGGCCACAAGAAGTAAAGAGGCGGTTGTCCCGGGTAGCCGAGCGAAGAGGCTGGCGGAGGAGGCAAAAGAGAAGAAGGAGCGCAAGAGGCAGAAGATTTCGGAGAATGGGAATGCCGCTGCGCGCAATGGGACTGATGACGGAGAGGAAGAATGGGTAGATCCGGTGCGCCATGGCTTCACTAGACTCATATGAGGGATGCTCATCTCCCAGGTCGACCAGCATATAGAAGATCTCCGAGACTATCTCCGTAATCGACTTCGTCAGAACCGTCTTTCGACCGACTATCGGGATGGCTTCCGCGTCAAGCAGCATAATGCCAAAGTTCGGCCAGAACCTATACCGGAGCACAACGACCCATATCGGATTGACTGGACCGAAGTGGATGGGAAGAAGTTCTTTGTCGGAACAGATGTAAGCTGTGATCTCGCGATTGACTCGAGTCAAGCTGATATGACAGGCCCTGAGGTTACCCAGTGGCTCTGGGTTCAAAGTACGCTATCCCCTTCTCCATCGAGGACTGAATATGCGGGACTGGGAATCGCCTCAGAGCCTGATGGATGACATCGCGACGATTCTGCACGAATCTCTCCGCACCGAGCTCGACATACATCCGAGGGACTACCATGTGAGCTACCCCCTTCCTCACCAAGACGGACGCCAGCTGACACTGCAGAAATACTCGGTCGTCCTCCTCATCCCAGATCACAACGATCGCCTCCATCTCCAAGCGCTCGTCTCCCTCCTCTTTGGCGAATTCGGCTTCAAGGAAATAGCGATCCACCAAGAAGGCCACGCTGCCATCTTCTCCGCCGGCATGTCTACCGCCTGCGTCGTCGATATTGGCGCTACGACGACGTCCGTGACGTGCGTCGACGAAGGGATGCTCAACCCGGATACGCGGATCAAGCTCGATTACGGCGGAGACGATATTACGGCTGCGCTGGTGGCGATGTTGACGCAGTCCAACTTTCCGTACAAGGAGCTGGACCTGGGGAAGGCGATGGAGTGGGCGATGATGGACAAGCTGAAAGAGAAGATATGTACGCTGGAGGAGGTGAGTCAGCTGCCACGGTCTCAAGCATTCGGCCAGAGCTGATGATCTAGCACATGGTGGCAAATATCGCCTGGGATGTCTACGTCCTCAAGGAACAAGGCTTGACGCAGAAGTACCAGCTCCGAACGTATGATGAGAACATTCTCGCTCCTCTTGTATGTGCTTTACCTTTTTGTATCGAGTATTTCCAGCTGACTTTCAGTGCTTCTTTGACACTCGCATGATCGATTTCCAAGAAAAAGCTGGATCTGGTCGTATTGCGTTCTGGGAGGAAGCTCAATCCGTCGACGATCTCCTGTCAACCGCATATGGCGAGCCCGTGAGTTGCCGACATGTCCATCTGCGCAGTTGAGCTGATCGCAGACTGCTGCTATGCGTTCATGCGTGACCCATCTCCTTCCAACGCCCGAGGTCAACACCTCGGACACCGCCATGCAGATCGACGGCGCCAGTGCCAACGGCGATGCTAGCATACCCAAACCGACCATCGTCGAACCGAACGGCTCGCAAGCATCAGCAACTAGCGACAAGCGACCCGCCGATACCCCCGCCGGCTCAACGAATGGAACGCCTGCTCCCCCAGACATCGCCCCAGCCGTTCCCCTCCTCCCTCCTGCACCTGCCCAAGCGGACATTCCAGTCTCCGCATACGACGGCATCGACGTCATTGGCGAAGCGGCGAGATCGCCCCTGGACGCAGCTATCGCCGCGTCGATCGCGATGGCGGGAACGGAGAATAAGGTCAAGGCGGCCGCGGGGAGTATATTGCTCATTGGCGGAGGGTCGGCGTTGAAGGGTCTTTACCCGTTTATCGCGGAACGGTGAGCTATATGCTCTTTTGGTGTGATGATACAGCTGACGTTCAGTCTACCGCCCCTCCTCCGCGCCAAGGGCCTACCTATTGCCGAGGTACAGATCGTCCCGCCCCCTCGAGGACTCAATCCGAGATTTGTGAGCTGGAAAGGGGTGAGCGTGATGTGCAATTTGGAGAGTTTGAGCGATATGTGGATTAGGCGGGACGAGTGGGAAGCGATTGGTGCGAGGGCGCTGAAGGATAGGTTGACGTTTTTGTAGTGAATCTCATCCGCTTCAGAGGTCGCACGTTGGTTCACCTCCGGTGCCACTGCTCCAGGGGACATACTGACACATACTCAAAAACGACCTGTGATCCCATATATTGTCCCGGATCGCGTTATGTCCCCCTACTATTACTGCCCCCACCGACTGCCTCGCCTTCTGTCCCACTGACACGCATCTCACCGCACCCTTCAAAGTGCAGTACTAATGGCTTCCGCCGTCTCTAGTCGTGTGTCCACCACCCCTACATACCTTCCATGCCCTCGTCCTCCTCCTCACTGTCCACTACTTCGTTTCCCACCAATCTTCCCTCAACTCTGTCCGCATCATCCGCTGCAGTCTCGTCCCGCTCGTACGTACAGCCGCATGCCGCGCATGGAGGACTCGCAAATGCCGGCTGCCAGATGTTACTGGCACCGGCCTGGCAGAGTCCCGCTCGTCGCTTGCGGACGTCACGGAGGAAGATGTCGGTGAGGAGGAATTTCCGTTCCGCAAAGCGGCCGATATGGGTATGACGCGGCCCCGAGGGACTATCCTCCTCCAGCCAATGTTTGCTGGAAGCGAATATGGAGAGGTCCAGATCGTCCATATGTCCCTCCTGTCCCTTCAAACGGTATAATCCTGGCTGGAATTCCGCCAGCCTTGTGTATGTCGTCACCAAGAGGGTGTATAGATCGAGTGAATCTGGGCCCAAGGAACAATTGTTCTCGACCACCCAGATAGTCCGCTCGCCACTCGAAGCGATGGAATAAATCATGTCGCGATCAATGTGAACTGTGACGGTTGCGATGAGGGATCTGGGGAGGATACCGGAGCCGATACCGTTGCTCCTGTGGCCGGGTAGGGAGGAGAGGGTTCCGTATGATCCGCCAGCACATTGTGCTATGAAAGGGGATAGTCCGAAGGTCTGCCCGAGCAATTGCTGGCACCGGTTTCCAACAGCCACGAGAGACGTGTCCGAGATCCGAAACCGAGGTCTTTCCGCGCTGGACCGATGATTCTGAGGTCACGCAGCGTGCTACCCAGCTTGCGAACCAGCCAGGTGCCCAGCTTGCCTCGGACTTCCCCGGGTACGGTGTCCATCTTGACCTTTTGGATCCACCTGGACTTCGCCTCCTTACCGAGAGCTGCTTCCTGGCTGATTGCCGTGTAACCCGGGGGGGGGGGGGGGGGTGGGGGGGGGGGGGGGGGGGGGAGGGGGGGGGAGTTGCCGCCAGTAGGAGCCGGGCGGCCGACCCCAGCCACCGATGCGGCTCCAACGTCATCACCAGTCGCCGCCATATCATCCTCTTCCAAATCCCCATAATCCTCGCTGTCCTCCTCTGATCCCGTGTCGGAATCGTCCTCTGAGCCATCCGCGCCCATGACGCGCATCATGTTATCATAGGCGAATTCATCCCGAGGGACGGAGGGGGATAGACACCGGATGCTGGGTCGTAGACGAGATGGACCTCCCGCCATATCCGCTTCTGCGCGGACGAGTCAAAGTTCTGGGAGACCCGAGCGAAGGCGAGAGCAGTGGGGAGATCAAGGTTTTTCGCGATCTTTACGAGGAGCCCAGTAGGAATGGGGCGGCTGGGGGAGGTGGTAATGAGGTTCAAACTGGGAAGGGACGGCTGGAAGAGTCAACCCTGACTACGCTTAGGGACTTGCGGTTGTGCCGGTCATACTGCTGGGAAGGAGAATAGATTAACCTTACACGCTGATTTAGTCTGTAATCCTGGAGTGTGTTCCCGTCCGTATATAGCCAGGCAGGGATAAGTAGGACAGATAGAGGACAGATGATGCATTTGAATCTTCAAGCTGAATGACCGCCCGAGATGAGGAATGTGGAGCTTGGCGCGTCGAGGCGCAACACGCGTCAAAATGCACCTTCTCCTCTCTTCCTCAACGACTACTCATCATGCTAATCAGCGTCTTTGTGACCTCTCCAGATACTCACTCGGAACGGCGACTCGAGTCGAGCTTGACTGTACAGCAGCTCAAGGTGCATTTCCCGGCCCTAGTGCACCGATCAAAGCTAAAACATTAGGACAAGCTCACACCCATCACTGGAGTCTCTCCCCAGAATCAGGTGCTCCGTCTATACCGGTCCAGCGAATCTAAAGAGGCAATCGCTAGCCTGGATGATGAGTCAAGAACGCTCGAATCTTATGGAGTCGCCGAGTTCAATTGCATCAAAGTGAGCATTTGAGCGCTTCGTCTCGCCGCACTGACTCTTCAGGTCGACAATACCGATCCGACCGCTCGAGCTGGCGAGTGGAATGACGTCTCCGGTGTAGACAAGTTCGAGCTGTCTGCGGAAGAATATGAGGCTCGCAACGGTGAGTCCCACCCTCACATCATCTGACGATAGATACCGTCCTCTCGCACCTCAAAGCCAACAAGCTCGGCCGCTTCGCCGATGTCCCAGAACCCCTCTCGTTCGCTCTTCCTCCTCCCTCCTCTGCTCCATCGGATGTCGTCGTCGGCGCAAGGTGTCAGGTCGAAGCTACGTCGTCGGATCTGGCGAGAATAGGAACGGTGCGGTTCGTAGGCGAGGCGGAGATAGGGAAAGGAGGGGTATGGGTCGGCGTGGAGCTGGATGAGCCCACAGGGAAGGGAGATGGATCGTAAGTTCGGATCATTGGAGTAGCGCTGACATTCAGCGTGAACGGGAAGACCTTCTTCAAGTGCCGCCCATCTCATGCTGTCTTTGTCCGCTCAGACAAGATCACAGTGGGTGACTATCCAGAGGAGGACCTTATGGACGATGAAGACGAGATCTGAGCTATACTGTACAAGTGCATAAGTGTCTCATCATCTCCCTTGTTCCTACGTCTTTTCTCCTATCCGACCTAGACTGTCAGCCATCATCCCGCAGCCACACTCTTCCAACCCACTTACCCTTTAAACATTTTTCTTCTTCACAGCTTAGACCAGCTACTCCGCCTCACTTCCACTCTCCTCGGCGTATTTCCCTCCCTTCTTGGCAGTTCGGCCGCCGCCCTGTCGACGAGCCGCGGGAGTGGAGGCGGGGCTCGGCTTGGACCGTCGCTTTGGCTCAACCTCCTCCTCCTCGTCGCTGTACGCCGGCCGGATCCGCTTCTTGCCCCCGCTGTCGGGTCGAGCGCTGGATGAGGCGGTCCCTCCACCAGTCGAGCCGGAAGGAGGCTTTGTGGCGGCGTCGATCTGGCGAGGGGTGGGAGGGGGGTAGCTGGGTCGGGCCTGAGCCTTCTTGCCGTACGTGGTCGTGAGTCTGGGAGGAGTTGGCCGTTTCTTTTCGACCTTCCCGGCCTTCTTCACCTCCACCTCCACCTCCCAGGTCTCCACTACTTCGACCGCCGCTGCCTCCATCACCTCTTCGAGCTCCTCCTCTACCTTCTCGTTGTCCATGTCAGACCCCACCTCATTCAACTCCCCTTGGAGGATTTGCGAGCCGACGGAATCGCTGTCCGCTTGCTTGGTCGTCACCGTCGTTCCTTCCTCCCCGCCAGATCCTGCGGCGGTCTCCTCGTCGTCCACCTGGACCTCGATGACCGGCTCGGCGGATAAGAACTTGGTGCGGGCGGGAAGAGGCGAGGAGGGGAGGTATATCTCGCCGGCGACGGCGTCTTCGGCCCAGAGGGGTCGGCCGGACCTGAGTGCGGGAAGGATGGTCTGTATCGTCAGCCAGTCTTCCTTCCTCGCGCAATTCGTATGTATCTCCCACCCTCCCACAAAGTCAGCCAGACTCACGTATTGGAACAGCTCATGCAGCTCCGTCCCGGTCCATGCCTTCTTCCCCTCGTCCTTCTTCTTCCTCCTCCCCTTCGCCTGCCCCACAACCCCCTCCTTCTCGCCCAGCTTCCTCGCCAGCTCATGCCAATCAAAGCTCTTGCACGCCTCGATCTTCGCCAGGGCCAGCCGAAGCACCAGCGTCTTGTCGAGGTCCAGCGAGAGGCCTGGAGCGGACATCTCGGATTCGCCCTCGGAGTCGGGCGTCATAGCGGGCTTTCGCTTGGGAGGAGCTTTGGGCTTGGTGGCGGGTTTGGGTTTAGTGGCTTTGGGGTTTGCGGCGGCTTTGGCCATGGTGAGTTGTTTTATGGGCTGTGAGAGGTAGCGGGGAGGTTGTTGAGGGGATATGGGTGGCTGAGGTGATAGAAGGAAGGAGGAGGGAGAGGAAGGGAATTCGAAGGGGAGGAGGTGATAGAGAAGTCAGGTCCGTGCGTGTGTGTTTCAGGGAGTTTCAGCCGTGCCTGGCCTGGAGGCGGAGGAATGAGGAGACGCCTCGGCCGTCCGCGTGATGACGCTTCTGCAATTGCCTCTTACCTCTCACTGATCACAGCACTATCATCACCACATAACCCATCATGCCAAAAGCGGAGACTTCCACCAAACTCGTTTACTCCAAGACGGCACTCGTCAAGCTCGTCATTTCCGTGAGTCACTCGTTTGCGGCCGTACTGCTGTGCGAAAGTCGGCTGACGTGATCAGGATGCTAAGCCTGATTGGGGTAAGATTGCTCAGAGCATCGGCAAGACCAAGATGCGTAAGTCGTCACAATGCGGAAATATCATTTGCTCTTCATCCGACAGGCTCACGTGAGAGCGACTCCGAGGCGCCAATGGCTGACGTGAACAGAGGTCTATGATACCTGGCGCAAGAGCTTGCTCAAGGCACTTGTCTCGAATCAGCCATGGTCTTCCAGCGGTGGAGCGGATGGCAAGAAAGATCGGATCGCTATACTCTCAGCGGTAGTGGACGTCAGTCCCCTTGCCTTTCCATGCTACCAGCACTGCCTAGCTGACACTACAGACCGTCAAGCCGGATTGGACAGTCTTGGCGAAGAAGTTTGAAGGCAAGACCAAGACCCGTGAGTAAAGTGACTTCTAGGCTATCCTTCTATGCCTTGCACCCATTCGCGATGTGTATCTTGCTGACGTTTTTGCCAGAAATCTTCGATGCCTGGCGAAAGAGCATTCTGCCGAGATTGAAGAAAGGAGAGACCATCGAGTAAAGCCAGGGGTATCTTGATTCTTGCTTGGTGCACGCCTTGGCATCACCCACTATCACAAATGACGCTAGGCATGCTATTAACTGTTGAAGCATACCGTGACCTTACTCATCTCTCGAGCTGAGCCTTTTTGTCGTCCGCGGCTTCTAGCTCGGGTTAGCGTACAAGCCGCAGGCGCTGACCTCGTCGCATCAGTCCGCCTAGTCGATTCTGCAGTAATGTACAATGTCATACTCCTCACAACTGACACACACAGACAGAGATCCTTTCTTCCAAATCCCTCTTTTTACCGTAAAGGAGGTTTTCTTTGGCGCTGGGCGTCCTATGCACGCTCGTTATTTTGTACTCAAGTACCTCTCTCCCTCATCCAAGCTGCTCTGAAGTCACTCTACGGCGAAGCTCACCGGTCCTACACTGACAATCACGATGCGTCCTCGCAGTCTGCGATACTTCCCCAATAAGCCTACAAGGTATTTGTGAGCCCGAATCATGCCTAGTTGAGACCTCGACAGGCCTCGCTGACGGACTAGACGCCCACGTTCGATCATTCCCTCGCCGCCGCCGAACCGACAGGTATCCAGAACGGATACCGAGCCTTGCACGTCAGACGGATGGCCCCAATGGCCATTCAGGCCTCGTCACTCTCAGTCGCCATTGCAATTGCCCTCGACTTCGGTGAAGTGGTGTCCGAGGTCAAGATTGATGACATGAAGGAGTGAAATGTCAAGCTGTCGGGAGCGGGTGGCTGAATGTCCCTCAGTCCAGATGTGATTCTTCCAAGAATGCATGATAGATAGTCCGCGATACTTCACACCCATGCCTCCCCTGCCCTTTGGTGTCGAAAAACCACTGGAGGACGTCTACAAGCGGTAGGAAAGCGCCTCCCATAGACTCCAAAGCGGTGTAAGTCTGTTTGCTGCCTATCGAAAGCCCTGCTCCTGCTCGGTCTAGCTGCATGTCCCGGGGAGGCCCGACATCCCAATCCTTGCTGTTCGGCTCACGGCCCACACTTCCCTTCCCACGCTAGCTTACCTCCCTCCGCGCTGAATGTGAAGCTCTTGGCACCGATCCAGACACAAAGGTCCTGAAACAGTAAGAACGCTCGCGAAATGCTAGACTTGAAGGCGCTAAAGGTAAATGTCCTGGTGACTGCGTGGCCGCACGGCCTCGGCACTGTGCTCTGTGGATGGTGACATGATGTGGGACAAGGGGTGAGGGAGACGGATTAGCTTGGTCTTCGATGATGGATATGGCTTGAGTATCGGCAGTGGGAGAGGACACGATCGATGAGCTCGAGGGGTAAGGTGAGGAGCAATATTAATGACCTCGGACGTTGCACAGTGTCGACCAGCAAGAGCTGGTCTGCATCTCATATAGCTGTCAACGACTCTCGGGGAAAGGGTATCAAGAATTTCACTCGCGCGACAGCACGGCATCAGGCTAAGCTAATACACTGCGGTAAGAAAGTGGTCAGTACTGCTACTCGGACCTGAGTGTGCGTGAGTTGCGATCGATGAGATTATACATTGCCCAAGTGAGATCGACTATCAAGCCTTCTCACGCCTCACTCCCACCTCCTCGTCGTTCCGCTCCCTGCTCCTCTCCTCTCCTCCGGCCCCGGCCGACTCTGCCGCCACCGCCTCCTCCTTTTTGACCTTCCCAATAGCCCCCATCCCCCTCAGCATCACCATAGCAATGATCAGCGCCGACAGACTACAGCCCGCTCCTAGCCAGAACGCAGCGTGCAATCCCTCCAACTGCGCATCGACAGGCGCGAGCCCAGCGTGGAGGGCCCGCTCGTTGTACGCTGTGGAAATGACGGTGGTGATGGCTATGCCGAAGGAGCCGCCTAGTTGGATGAGCGTTTGGAAGACGGCTGGCATATCAGCTGGGTCGATCTTGCGGAAAGATGGGGAAAGTAGCTTACCTCCTGCTACCGACTGTTCTTCCGGTAAGGCTAGAGCAGCGACGAAGATTGAGCCGGTAGCCATCAAGCTGAAGTGTCAGTCTGGGCCTCCTGAGGCTGAGGTAAGACGTACAAGTCCGCTCCGAGCACAGCCATCCACATCGCATTGAAAGGTAGCCGCCAATAATCGACGTCCTTCGGCGAGACTGCAAAGAGTACATTGGCGATACTGCAGCGTAAGCTATGTGCCCGCAAACTCGCTGGTATCACCATGATCAAAGCTCACCCTGTTGATAGGATTCCAACGCAGATGATCCATTGCGTCCGCACCTTATTGACTAGCCAAGCCACGAGAACGTTGCACAGGATCCCAGAAACCGAGGTGGGGAGGAAACGAAGCATCGCACCGATCGTACCTGTCATTTGGACCTGTTGGTAGAAGAGGGTGGCTTGGTAGAACAGTGCCTATCAGATAAGTTGATGCTTTGGCGAAAGTGTCCGCCTCTGTCAACTCACCGAGAAGCCCATCCACGAGGTAAAGCCGATAGCATACACCGCTGCCAGTCGTCCCTTCGCCCTCGTCCACAGCTTCAGGCGCATCAGTGGCGGCCGAGTGGTGTTGTTGATGACGTGCCTCTCCCAGACGAAGAAGGCGGCGATGAGAGCGATGCCAAGGATGAGCATGGCAATAATATCTACGACGGTCAGCTTGTCGTCGCTCACTCTTGCCAGAGTGTCACAATAAGCTTACATCCTGTTCGCCAGCCTTGTGGGGCACTCTCCCCGGCGCTGATGACAAACATGAACAAGATCAGGCCGACAGTGACGAGAGCAGCACCAATCCAGTCCACGCGCTTGTCCAGGGTTTGGACCCCGTCGGCCGGGATGAACATGAAGCCGAGGGCGGCGATGAGAAAGCAGAGGGATGAGAGAGTCCAAAGCACCGCGCGCCAAGTTTGTCTGCTTATCAGCCGGGATCAGTACGCTGGGAGGAAAGGTCAATGGGAGGAGGGAACAGGCGCCGAGGTCGGTGAGGTGGACGAGGGAAGGGGAAGGGTTGGGGTGCAACGTGATGACAAGGTGGGTGAGAAAGGGGTCCGGGTCGCTGATGCGTCTACCGGACTCGTTTCCGAGGCAAAGAGAGCCGGGTTACGTCGATTTGCCGCTCTTCTGTCACATAGGACGAGAGTGGGACGAGTAGTGTAGGACTGCCACTCACGGAGTATATGCTGTGAGCATACCGCCTATTATCAAGCCGACTGCTCCGCCCGCGGGCGCTCCAGCCGAAAATGCAGCAAAGGCAGAAGAGCGAGCTCTGCCTTTGAAGTTGGTGGCGATGATACCAATGGCGCTGGGCGTACTGCTTGTCAGAAAAGCTCCTGTTCCACATGGTATGAGCTCACCTCATCGCATTCCCCATACCAGCGAGAGCTCTTGTGATAATCAGGGCCGTGCCGTTGTTCATGAAACCCCCAATAAGGGTCCAGATCGCATTCCACGCCACACCCGCCACGAAGACTTTCTTTCTCCCAAATATGTCCGCTATCCGCCCTGACAGGAGCAAGAAGCACCCCGCGGTGAGACTGTAGACCGAAGAGACCCACTGAAGGTCCGTGTCCCGCATGTTCAGATCGGTCTGAATGATCGGGAGGGAGATGATCAGTCCCATCGCGCCGGCGGCACCGAGGCACATCGTACATGTTACGATGGCTGCGATGGCTATGAGCCGAGCGGTGGATAGACGAGGGGGGAGGGTCGGCGGTGGACCAGTAGGAGGGGGCGAGTCACCCTTGGTGAGCGGGAGGGCGTTGGGATACTCGTCCAGGATAAGATTTTTGTCCTCGGATATAGCCGAAGAGGATGGGACGGGTGATTTTGTCGGTGCGAGAGGTGCGGATGGGGTGGGAGGGGGTACGATGGCTACTCCGCCGGCCAGCGCTTCGGCAGGGGAGAGCGCTATACCTTGCATGGGCACCGAGGGCGACGCCATCTCGACAATCCAGGTGAGGTTGCGAAGGGTTTATCGGGCACGTCGGTGAGCGTAAGAGCAGGTGAGCCCGGACGGATTGGCCGATTTTCGAGCCAGGACCTCACTGGGAGAGACCGGGGGCGACGCGAGACTATACACAGTGGAGGGAGAATGAACAAGATGAGGGGCAAAAGAGAGAGCAAGTTATCGCTATTTCACCACCTCTGACTCCTCCTCGGACCGTTCCAGCGAACTTGATCCGAGGTATATCCGGGAGCTGTCCGCTCAGAACCGCCGCCCGGCGAACGCCGCCGTTACTTCCAGCTGGCCAACAGCTGGCTCAGTACTAAGACCAGCCTACGATGGGCACCTTGACCTCTCCTGCTTCACTGCCAGACTATATACTCGACTCTAATCATTTGACGCACAGCATGGCACCAGCAGCCAAGTCCACCAAGCCAGCAGCTTCAGCGCCTAAAAAGCGAGAGTTCAAGCCGAGACCGCCTCGGTCAGCGGAAGAGCGTCTCCCGAAGCTGTATCATGGCTTGACAGATCAGGTGGATGGAGGACACTTCCAGAACGCCATCAAGTCTTGTCGGAAGAGTGAGTCCAGCCTCGTGCAGACATACTGTTTTCATCCCGCGGTCCAAGGAGGCAGCGGGGAGATACCACAGAAGGAATGACATGAGGATCTCGCTAAAAGCCCAGTCCTCGCCCTCGACCCATCCTCGGTCCCAGCCTTCCAGACCCTCCTCTTCCTCCACCTCCACACTGACGAGTACGCCTCAGCACTCGCACTTCTCGACAATCCGCCAACAGGCTCGGTCTCGACGCTAGAGTTTGAGCGGGCGTACTGCCTTTACAGGCTGCACAGGGAGAAGGAGGCACTGGAGGTTTTAAGGACGATCGGTACGCAAGGTCGGAAGGAGGACCATCTGGAGGCGCAGATTGTGAGAACAGTCACTCTGTTTGAACAACAGACAAAGCTGATGGGGGCAGAGCTACCGTATGGGCGACTACAAGCGGGCTCAGGAGCTGTATGACGACCTTCTCGCCGGATGTGACTCTGTAAGCTCATCTCCACAATGTCGTCTGCATGACGAACAGGAGCCGTTGATTGCATCGCTGATAATATCAGTCCTCCTCGGAGCACCCAGACATCATCACCAATATCAATGCCACCGCCGCACATGTCGACTTCGTCTCGCACGGCTTCCACTCCCATCTCTCCGCGCCTCCCCCTTCGCAAGCCTCAGCCCCCGCCAGCCACATACCTTCCGAAAGCGAGCTCGAGACATTCGTTCCTAGCTTACCGGCTGGATGGGCGAGTGGAGGTGCGCCTAGCGTTGCTGCAAAGGCGCCAGTCAAGGAGGCGAAGCCGGAGCAGAAGAAGAAGCCTCGGCACAAGTTACCAAAGGGCGCTGTGGTCGGCAAGCCATTCAACGAAGATGTGAGTTTTGCCTGTCCCCCTCGAGGATCTGTATAGGAGGTGAAGGGAAGCTGACGGATACAGCCGGACAGATGGCTGCCTATGAAGCAGCGAGCATCGTTCATTGCTGCTCAGAGTAAGAAGAAGGGAGGCAACATGAGTATGGGGGTCGGTATGACCCAGGGAAGCTCGTCGCATGCTGCTAGTGGTGGAGGAGGCAGTGGAGGTGGAGGTGGAGGAAACAAGAAGAAGAAAGGGAAGAAGTAGCTGATCTCTGGGTGCGCAAGGTGGAAGGAGGTGCAGCATGCATGGCTCATGTTGGTGGACAATATATGCACGTGAGCTAGGCTTGAAAGGCGTGTATGAGCCTGGAGGAGGTGAACGTCGCCAGTTCTGAGTTCTGGCTCGTTGACGTGCCTGACGAAAGGAGGAAGAGGAATGCCGCGCCTGATTTCATTCCGCGGAGCTTTCGAAGCTGTGTGTGTTGTCCCCTCACCCTCCCTTTCACTTCCCTCCTCCCCTATGCTGACCTCGCAGCATCTTCCTCTTTGCCCTCATCTATATCATCCCTCCACGATCCTCGCCATATGGAAGTTCGAGCGCGAGGTAGCCCCACCCGTCCTCTCCACTCGGACCATGTTGTTGGGCGAAGCGTAGAAGATCCTTCAACCTCCCACTCCACATTCCCTGAAATTAACCCTTGCCCCGCTCAGACATTACTCACCTCCACCCTAGACGACCGCTCCCACTAAAAAAGTTGGAAACATCCTCCTTCTCCTTCTCTACTTCATCCTTCTTTCACTTCTCAAGCTCGTACATATCCTTCTACTTCATCATCCCACTCCATCAGCTCGACGTTGGAGCTAGACGTTGTCACTCCCATCATCACTGTCCTTTAGCTAGCTCCGCAGTTTCACCTCCTACCTTCCTCCCTCCTCCCTTCTTCCTTCTTCTCGGGGTCTGCTATCTGGGATTAGGCTTCCGACGAGCTTCTTCTCCATACTACCGCAGTCTTCGCCGAGGAGCCTGTCTCAGAGCCAGTTTAATTCTACTCAGGTAAGTCATACTCCTTCCTCTTCTCCCTTCCGACCCCGTCCTCATCCTCCATCTTACTCAGCACCCCCTCTCCGCCTGGCCTCCGGCATCGAGGTTGACTCGTTCTCTTTCCCTCTTCCTTTCTCCTCAAGATGCGCTCAGCTGACCCCCAGATATCACCCGCTCAATCCCCAAAATGACCAACAAGAGGCTCGACTCAGGCTGGACCGCTATCAGGTGAGCTGACTGGCGAGAGGGACGGAGGAAGGAAGCCCGAGCTCACGTTCAGGGATGAAAGAAGCACAACTTCCTCCCTCTCGGACCGAAGCAGCGCCGCCAGAAGGAAGCATCAGGAAGAGGAGGCCGTCAAGGAGCAGCAAAGGGTGGAGAGCGACGTGAGCTCCCTCTTTAATTCTTTTTATATGCTCGTGGATGGATGAAGCTGACTTCTCAGCTGAACCCTTACTCTGCGACCTTCCAGCCGTTCGCTAGTCCCCCTAGGACCATGCCCGATATCTCGCAGCTTTCCTTCTCGGACAAGGCTTCCACCGTGTCGGACGAGTTCAAGGTTGTGAGCTACCTCTTGACACGTGACCGACCAGTCCTAGTCTCTTGCGGACGAAGCTGATAGATTCAGACGTCTACCCAGAGTACCCCTCATCACAGCTCCACCGCCAAATGTGAGCGCACAACTCTTCCAAGAGATTCTGGAGTAGCCGTTGATGTCTAGATGGGAACGCTCGAACACCAACACTCAGCGCATCTACCGGGACCTATGGTACACCCTCCACCCGCGCCCAGCTCTCTCCCTTCACCCCGCACACTCCCTTCGCGCGGTCCTCGTCCAACCCCGTCACCCCGTTGACTCCGTACTATGGCTCGTCCGACCTCGGAGCGAGTCAGAGCAGCAAGGTGCAGACGAAGGCGGAAGAGGCAGCTGCGAGCGGGCAGGAGACTGCTGAGGAGATTGGCCGGTATCTTCTGGTACGTCTCCAGCTGCCGGGGATAGAGAGAAGAGGTCTCACCAGCTGATATTTCAGATCAATGATCTTCCTAGGGATCTTGACGGAGCGCACATCAAGAAACTCATTGGCGTAAGCTCTTCGTCTTCGTCTCCAGAGCTGAGCTGAGCTGATTGTCCAGAGCATCGCCCACTTCAAGGTCATTATCGTCAAGAACCTCAAGTCGAGGGGAAGCGTCAGTTGCCAGCTCCCTTCAACCCTGGTTGTAGCTGATCATCAGATTATCGTGGCTTTCTATGATCCCCGGGAGGCCGAGAAGGTCCATCGCCACCTCCATGCCCACTTGGTCGCGTTCCAGGAAGGAGCTCCTCGCCTTTCCCTTCATTGCATGCGCATTGAGCGGATGGTCGTTGATCAGGTTAGCTGGCTCCTACCTCTCCCAGGGGATCACAGACATCCAAGCTGACATGACAGATCGCTGAACAAGGGGGAGATTGGGAGATCTATTGGGGATACCAGGAGTCTGTCATTGTCATTGAGGTCGTTGGCGACAGGGCGGTGACTCTGGAAAACATGAAGGTGAGCTGGGCTCCTTGAGTCTTGGTGGAAGGAAGAAGCTGACTTGCAGAACTGCTTGAAGGCTATTGGCGAAGTCCAGCGCGTCCAGCCTGTTGGCCTTGACGGGAAGGTCAGCTCTGCCGCGCTCCAACATGGCCTATAAAGCTGACAATCTAGCGTTTCATCGCCGAGTTCTGGGACACCCGAGTGGCCGCCGAAGCTATCAAATGGCTCAACGGCCCACTCCACACCGACTCATACCTCACCGCTCGCTACCTCTCTGACAACGCCCAGCCCTCGGCCGAGCCCCGGTCGATGCGCCGAGTTGCCTCCGGGCCCGCCGACTTCACTCTCGGCTCCGTCGCTGCTCGCGGTCGTACCGGTCCGCCTAGTCACTTCCGCACTTCCGCGGGCGCAGGGCCAGGAGACGTCTTTGGGCCTTACCTTGGTCCCTCCACCCCCTCCGCCAGGTCCACCAACCTCGACCAGCCGTCCCCTACTGACGAGTGGCTCGCACTCCGCAGCAGGTCCGCTTCGGCTCGGAACCAGGACCACGCCCTCCAGCAGCCATACAGCAATTATGACTCTCCGGCGCACTTGCACAACTTCAGCAGGCGCTCGTCCGAGGTCGGCGCGATCGGTGACCTCGTTAGTCAGATGGACCTGGCTGCCAGGTCGAGGAGGGACGATGGGCCGAGGTATGGCATGTTCAGCAAGAAGGCGATTCCGCCTGATAACCGGGTGTACCCTGACAGGATCATACTTGGTGAGCTGGCGAGTCTCCTTTCAAGCGAGAGGGAAGACAGCTGATCAGCAGGTCAAGATCACCGTACGACGGTCATGATCAAGGATGTCCCGGTACGCTTCCTCCCCTGGACCTCATCTCAGGAAGAAGCTGACATTGCTAAAGAACAAGCTGGCTCGAGAGGAGCTGGTCAACATTCTCAGCGAGGTGAGCTTTTTGGCGCACAAAGATTCTGGAGCCAAAGCAAAGCTGATCACCTAGAGCGTGCCGGGCGGATTCGACTTTGTCTACCTCCGATTCGATTTCAAGAACGCCTGTAACGTGAGCCATGAACATTTAGATGAGGAAAGCTCGGGAAGTAGCTGATTGTCAGGTCGGCTATGCCTTTGTCAACTTCACTTCCCTTCAGGCGCTGTATGACTTTATCCAAGCTAGAGTCGGGAAGCGGTGGAACCTCTTCTCCAGCGAGAAGGTTCTTCAAGTGAGTTGACTTGCATATCTCTCTGATTCCTGACAAGCGCGCATCTGACCCTTCAGATCTGCTATGCGGACATACAGTGAGTACCTCAGCCGGGAGTTGCTGACCAGCAGGGGCAAAGAGCGGCTCATCAATAAGTTCCGGTATGTCTGGACAAGCGCTACCTGGAGAATTGTGGCTGATCAGCAGCAACTCGGACGTCATGACTGCGCCAGAGCAGTGGAGGCCCCAGATCTTCTAGTAAGCTTTACAGCCTCCTCATAGGATAGCTGAAGCTGATAAGATAGCTCGCAAGGTTCGCAGAAGGGTCAACCTGTGAGTTATGTGCTTCACATTGATTAGCACTCGGCTGACCCAGACAGGAGCCATTCCCTGAGGTACGCTGCGATTGACACCTTGCGCAAACTTCAGCTGACTTTTTAGCCTGATCATCCTGCAATGCGTATGCGAGGTGGCTTATCTCGACTGCCGATGTATGGGAGTGCGTCTCTTCAGCTGCCCAGCTCCTATCCGGATAGCCCTTAGCTGACCCATCAGACGCCCCGTCCACCCTCGGCTTTGAGGACGGATCGGCGTACGACTACACCACGGCCGACTTTGACCGCGCGTACGGCTACTAGGACTCCAACCCCGCCAAAACTCCCATCTACGTTCCACCGTAACCATCTCCTTCTTCCTGCTCAATCCCTCACTTCTGCCTCCCTCCGCACCCTTGCTCCCACCTTCACTTCTTTGTAGTCTAGCCTGCTTCATTTCGTTGTAGTCTTCGTTTTCCGGGCCTTCACGCTCCCATCCATCACACGCCCTCGCGCACGCATCGCATCACGCCTGGTCACGCCCCTTTCGTACGATCAACAAAACGAATCCATCGCCTGCTTCCGTCATCGCCTGCACTGTGTATCTTCCGGCAGTATCGAGTTCTCTACTACAATTTGTATCAGTAGCCAATCATGTCAAGTCCATCATGCAGCTTAGTAGTTTCCAGCCTCAGCAGCACTCAGATTCCGTTTCACAGCCGATTCTGACTCATGTCCTGACTTTGCCAGATGGAGCGCGGCACCAGAGGGTCACAGCTGAGTAGTTCTCGAGATGGCACAACTGACAATGTTCACATCTTGATAGTACTCTCGTCGATACAACTGTTAGATCGGACACATTGAAAGTAGAATCGACGAGATCTAGACGATGAGCTACTTCACACGTAGGAAGACGGGACGACCCACAGTATCCTCGGATTCTGATCCTGATTGCACGCCCACTTCTCTCCTCTTCCGGCCCAGGCCATCTACACAGAGCACCGGCAAGACCTCTCCCCGCTCGAAGTGCATCTAGCAGAGTCTATTTGTCAGCTTGCACACTTCCAAGATCCACGGCCAATACAAGACAACTCACAGCACCCTCAGGTTCAGATCCTCGCACACATCCCTCCAATCATCCCTGCCCGCCCTGGTATCCACCCTGACCCACACTTCCCGTACGATCCGTACTGCCGTCTCTATATCGAAGCAGCACTGCGCCTTGAAGCCTTCGAAGAGGGTCAAGACCCATTGTCGGGCATCGCCTTCGACGCAGGAGGCGGCGATGATGGTCGGCCATGTAAGACTGCGAGGTCAGTCAAGGAAGCCGCTGGACGAAGGGATTGGCAAGCTGGGGCTGGTGGAGAGCAACAGACGGCCAGGAGCGAGGAGAGGGGAGGAGAAAGGATAGAGGGCAAAAGGAGAAGAGCCAAGAGACGGCCGAAGAAGAAGAACACGTACTCGATAGACATCCCGAGGAGGGCGGTAGAGGTAGAGCAGTGCCGCAGTACTTCAGTCGCTGCGGTCTGAACGCGAATATCGGTCCGAGGTACAATGTACACGTTTCGCAGCAGGAGAATCTGGTAATCAGCTAAGCTCCATTTCCTTGCAGACGCCCAACTCACCTTCATCGCGTGCGCATACGCCCTGTTCCCCACCTGTACCCGCTCATGCTCCAGCGTCGTAATCTGCAGACTCTCAATCCACGCGTCCACATCCGCATTCATCTTGCCCGCCTCCATCTCCGACTCTGCCTTTTTGCCACTCATCGTCCCCCAACCCCCGCTCATCGCACTCTGCACCCGACTCAACAACCTCGTCAACCTCGCAAAGAGATGGACCATCTTCCGGCTCATTCCGAATTGCTTCTCCACCGAGTGTTCCTCGTATGTCGACCGGCTCGAGCCGAACCACCAGTTCGCCCACCGGTCCGAGATCAGAAGAGGCTCTTGGCCTGTCGTCAGGCAGCCCATGGTTTCGTATATCGCCAGTACCTCGAGGTTGAGGCGGGCGGCGGAGACGGTGACGCCGTCGGCGAGGGCGGTGGGGAGGCTGGTGTTGAGCATCTCGGCAGGACCGCCTCGACTAGGATGTAAGCTAAGACCCATCACAGGCAGACAAGATCGGTAGGATGACTAACGCGATAATCATCGCCCTCGCAAGGTTAAAATTATCCTGCCAGTCCCCGCCCCCAAACAGCATATCAATCAACGCCAGACTCGTCGCCGCTCCTAGCGCCGCATCAGAGCGCGAGGCGACCGGGTCCGCAGCTGCGACTCTGACCAGCGCTTTCCCCGTATTTCTCAGTCCTGCCGCGTACTGGAAGATCCCGGCGGTCTGTGACGGAGATACGCCAGAACGAGCGAGGAGGAAGGCCTGGTGCACCGCTGCGATGCCGAGGAGGGCGACACGCAGAGCGTCCGAGGCGGAGTTGGTGCCTCGCGGGGAGTCGAGTGCAAGGGGAAGATTGATGGCGAGCATGGGATTGAGGCCGGAGGGGATGGCCATCATGAGGTCGGCGGCGTTGGCGCAGTAGTGAAGGATGAGACTGCGTTCTTCAGAGGTAGGGAACCAGGGGAGAAGGACTGCGCATCAGCTTATGCTACCATGTCATCCAGCCAAGAGAGGCACATCAAAGCTCACAATCTGGTGATACTAATCTGGGAGCCCCAGCATCTCCCCACGCCTGAGAGACCTGCCCCATATCGTTCGATGCCGCAAAGCTATCCACCGTTCCATGATCGCCGACGTCGGCCTCTTTCGCTGGATCTTCATATCCAGCCACGAATGTCTCGTCCCATATAAAGTCGCCCGTGTCGATCGTGCCCTGTCCGAAGGTGCCCGGCATGCTATTGTGTGGCGCCAGCATGTTTTCGAGGCCGAGGATGCTGGTCTTGATCAGCTTCTTGCTCTTCCTTGATCCCGGGTCTTCTCTGCCTTCTGTCGTCCTGTGCTTGCTCATAGCCATATTGTGAGGTCCCGGAACATCGGCGGAGCACCTGGGACTAACCTCTCTTCTGCGTTCTGCGGGTCCAAGAGCGGCGGGAGGTCCAGCTCATCCAGGATCTGCGGCAAGAGCAAGTCCGGGGAGGATGGCTGCAGTATGTCCTGCGCAAAGAGAGGCTGGTCCGTCTCTTGAGGGCGTGTCCGAGGCTGCTTGGCCTGTTTCTTGGACGGTGGCGGCGATACCTTCTTGGGCGGACTGGTCTCTTCGGCTCCGCTCCCGCCTTCCGAGCTGCCCTGTGGGTCCGAGTCCCTCGATGCCGGCTCGTCCGTCTCGAACTCGCACTGACTGATCAGCTCCGTGGTATCATCTTGTCACGCGTGCTGAGCTCACCTCTCGCTTAGCAATCACACATTTCTTGCAGGTCGGTCTGCTCTCGTCGCACTTGATCCGCCTCTTTCTACAGCACAGACATCCTGCCCTCGTTCGCTTGTACTTCTGCTTGCGCTTCACTCCTGCTCTGGACGAATACCCTTCCTCCGTCCGGCGTGTACCAGAAGCCTGCCCCTCGCTCGCCAGTGCACTCGGCCCAGCAAGTAGCGGAGTATCTTCGTAGCTGGTGTCCGGGTGCACTGCGGCATTTCGCGAATGGAGAGGGGTACCTTGCTCCAACGTTCGATGTCGTTCAGGACCCGAGATGGCATGCCCTGAAGCGGTCGATGACGGGTCGTGCGGCGGTACGGCACCTCGATACATCGGAGGGAGGACGTGCGGATACGCCGTACGAGGCGGTGATAGTGAGCGCTGATATGGACCCGGAGTGGCGGTCGTGGCCGGCAAGCGTGGGACATCGTGGTAAGACGGGAACAGGGGCGTGTGGGGGCCAATAAGTGGCGCGGTATTTGTACGATGTGGGGATGGTCGAAGATTTGCTGGCTTGATCGAGGACGAGCCCGAAGATGGACCAGGGAGGTATGGGTTGACATATGGCGATTGGAGGTGGTTCCTGCGCAGGTAAGCTGGGAACATGTCGCCGAATTGTGTTCAAGCAGGCGCCGAGGAGCGCGGCCAGACGAAGCAAGGTTGGCTCTTATCCCTTCGATATTTCACACTCCGCCTTCCTCACGGCCCATGATGTCAGCAACGACCTGCCGCTCGGCGACATCGCCGAGAAGACCGACGTTCTAGACGTGTCTAGACCCGATCCAGGCCAACATCCTTTCTCTGCCCTTCCCCGCGAAACACTCAGTCGCCTCCTCTCGCAGCGCCGGTAGCCGAGATGTTCCAGTCAACCTTATCTCAAACGTCTCGCTAGCTCTCTCGCCCTTCGCGGGAATTCAGGCCTTCCGAGATGAAAGGAGGTGATAGAGTAGAAACGCGAAGCTCACCTTCGTCCACCTAGGCCTTGGCCTCGCAAACCACTGCCTGAGAGAACAGGATTTCCCGCGGCCCCATCCAGACCTGTCCACCCTGCAGCGCTCATCCTACTCGGTCCCGCCTGTCCAACACCCGTCCCTTGGTCTTCCCACTCCTTCCCGCCCAGCCCATACCCTCCCGCGCCTTGTCTACTCGGACCCGCCGTTTGCGACTTACCTTCTTCCTGCCTCACCCAAGCGTCCAAAGCACAGGGATGTTGGAGGATATACCCACCTCCTACGTCAGGCGCAACGGGAGGATTGGGGTCCGCTTGTCCAAAGGATGAGTGTAGCTTGGCGAGGCGGGCCGTGGCTGTTGTCGGAGTAACGGAGGGTCCTGAGGTCGGATAGAGAGGGAGTGGTGGGAGCGAAGCGTCGAAGCTGGAGTATGGCATCGCGACCGCGAAATTGTACGTCGTAAAGGGCCACAGACGTCGAGTCGACTGGCCCAGCTTCCCCTTAGTCTCTGGATGTACACCGACTTCCCAAGATTATCCGTAGGTCGAGGTGTAATCTACGCCGCCTGGTCGACTCCAACTGATCAAGCCGAGCATGTATCACAGTACAAGATAGAGATGGAAAAGTCAATCAAAACAGAGAGTGTTTGGGCGAAGGCTTTGGCTTTGCGGCAAGTGACTAGCCATGCCGTAATGACGGATCGGCGGAGCCGCCGCCTCACCTCGCCGAGAGTGAGCTTTTTGTCCGCTCGTCTCTTGCCCCACAACTTTCGGATTAGTCGAAGGTATCGATAGCTTCAAGGAATAGGTCCATAAAGTCAACGAGCGACGCAGCGAGAGGAAAGAGTGGAAAAGATGACACTGGGCTATTCTCGACGATGTTACATATAGGTAAGGCACTCTCACCACTATCGCCCTCCCGTTCCTCCCTTCTCTCGTACCCGTAGCTCCCACCCTCATAATCCCGGTCCACAGCAGAGAACCCCCTCACCCCAGTCGAAGTCATTCCCGCCCCAGATCGATTGACGCCGGAAAGTAGACCCCTCCCTCTCCTCCGTCCGTCGCTATACCATCTCCTCGCCAGCTGATCGCTCATGCAGGCCTCCCTCCCTTCTTATTCTTCCTTGGCGGAGTCACGGCAGCTGTAGAGTCAGCTGAAGTCTTTCGTTATCGACATCATGCAAGACGAAGCGAAAATGAGAAGCTCAGTCCATCGCCGACCGCGCCGCTACGTGAAACACAGTGCATATATGCTGTTGTGCCACCTCCGCAAGATCCGCAACGTCCATGACCTCCTCAAAGCACCGCCATCGTCGCACTCTCCCTTCCCCCTCAACGACCCAAGAGCACCTCATATCCATCCTCCTCACCGAAACACAACAAAGGGGTGAACAGAAACCGGGCACAACAAACTGGAAAGAAGAGGGGGTCACTAACGCCGTCCGGCACCTGCTCCGTATCCCCCATATTTAGGCGCCTTCTTTTCCGCAGGCTTGAGGATCTAGGCATATCAGCTTGGTCCTGAGCCACACTCGAAACTCAACCAGCTCACTTGGAATGAACACAGCAGGGTATCGTCAACACTCATCATCGCGCCGGCATTATCAAACTATCCAGTCAGCTCTTTATCTCCGTTCCCAAGACGAGGATCAGCTCACCTCTCCACAGTAATTAGGCGCCGAGAAGAGAGTGACCAATTGCCGCTTGGCAAAGAACTCGTATCCATCCTCTACGACCTGGAATATCAGCTTCATTTCCTGATCGTTTGACGAGATTCCAGCTCACCTGGTGCGCTCGACAAATCAGGTCCATATCGTGCTTCTGCAGGAACCGCGAAACGACATCCGGGCCGAAAGTGAAGGATACACCTCGGTCATTCTCTGACCAGCCTGTAATGTCCTTGTCGGGATCGGACCAAAGGAGATCGCAGAGGAGGCCTGGGGTGTCAGCTTGTACCGCGAGCATTGTCCGATGAACTGAGCTCACCGGTATCGGGTACGTCTGTCGGGCGCATGACTCGGCGGATCTGCTCCATGCTCTGCAAGTCCGGGCTCTGCAATTGTCAGCTGCTCTTCCTGATTTCAGAGTGTACCGGAAGAATTAAGCTTACCAAACCGCCGTGCATTGTGAAGATCTTCTCGTCGATGATAGCAGCGATAGGCAAGCAGTTGAAGCAATCGGTGAATGTCTTCCACAGCTTGATGTTATACCTCCTCTTGCCTGTATGATCAGTTCCAGCTCCATGATCATCTCGTATCTCCCCTCCTCGCCTCTCTTCTCCTCTGTGCCCTCTGCCCTTTCCTCCATAATCTTGCAAGGCACTCACACTCATCGTAAAACCCATAGATCCTGTTGATACTCGCACACTCGTGGTTCCCTCTCAGAATGAAGAAGTTCTCGGGGTACTTGATCTTGTACGCCAACAACAAACAGATCGTCTCGAGGGATTGCTTGCCTCGGTCGACATAGTCGCCGAGGAAGAGGTAGTTGGCTTCTGGTGGGAAACCGCCGTATTCGAATAGACGGAGGAGATCGTAGTACTGGCCGTGAATATCACCTAGGGTTTCAGCTATCGTCAAACTCGCATATCCGACGCAGTAGCTCACCGCATATCTTGATGGGCGCTTCGAGCTCAAGGAGGATCGGTTGGCTGATAAAGATCTCGCGAGCTTTTGTGCACAGATACTTGATTTCGTACTCTTGCAGCTGAACGACCTTTCCGGGGCGGTTTCCCCTGACTATGGTGGATCAGCTCTACACCTACGTGACTATCATACGAGAGATAGGGATGAGCACAAGACAAACACTCACCTTCCAGTAAACGGTCGATTATGGAGTCGAGGTCAATCTCGGTGTTTTCGCCAGACATGTTGGGCGGGGGTGGGATGGGAGGGGAGGTGGTGAATATGATTCAGGGAGATGGGGCTTTCTGTTAAGGCTAGACGTGTCAACCGGAGGCCTTGGAGAGGAGACAAGTTGCCAGGATTGAGGCCAGAAGTCAAAACTTACAATGTGCAGCCTGGGAGGTATGTGTAAGCGGGGACGAGCCGGCGAGCTTTTCACCTAAGCCCAGAAGATCCCTTCTTTTCTACCTATTCCGTGTCTTTCGCCGGGGCTGTACAGCTTCGTAGGATTGGTCGTAGAGTCGAGCGGGCGGGGAAGGAGCGATGTGGTGGGGAGAAGGGAAAGGGTCGGGGGTTCTTGAATCCGTCTTGTGCGTGTCCTCGATTTCGTCTATATCGATAGCAGAGCGATGTGTCAAGACGAGCAGCGATAGTGAAGGAGAAGATACGCGTTTAGCTGGGCTCTCCAAAGGTATGGTCGTGAATGTGAAAGATGCTTCGCAAGGGGCGAGCGGGTCGGGGAAGGAGGCGCGCAATCCCTAACCTACCTCTTCCTCTTTTCCTTTTCTCGATGAATCCCTTTCCGCGGTCCAATCCTATACGGATCAGGCGGTAGAGACGAGGGTCGTGGACGTGTACAGGCTGCGTAGCGTGCACTACGTGTTTGTATATGATATAGATGTGATAGGGATCAGAGGCAAACCTGCGCAGCCAGCTAGCAGCGAACGCTAAAGCAAACCAACACAGCCGCGCGGGGCACAGTGAGAGGCGGGGACAGCCGCCTCATTCGGGTAATCCCGCAAACGCCGAGCAGCCCCCAGCGCAAGCTTCGTACTGCAGCCACTATCACGGTCATGCATGCATACGACTAAGCTGAGCAGCCATGGGTTGTGCATATACAGTGGCTGCTGCACCCAAGCAAACCAGTCAAGAGATACATATCTGCGATCTATTAAATTTTGCTGTACTCCCCCTTCCAATCTGACACTTGACACTTCCATCCCTCGCTCTAAGCTCATCCCGTAAGATCCCATCCTACTGACCAGCACCTTACAAGCCACCAGCTCCCGAGACGGGCGCACCGGCCGATGTAGACCCAGCCGTGGGCACAACAGCGACAGGAACGACAGCGACGGGGACAGCGACGACCTCGGGCTTGTCGGTGTGGGGCAGCGAGTTGGTCGTGGTCTGGACGGGGTGGCCGATGGTGCTCGACTGGTTGGTAGCTGTGGGGGCGTGCTATCTTGTCAGGCCTGGGCCCTTGCCACGACTAGGGCAAGAAGACTTACACCCTGGAGGTACGCGTCCGCCTTGTCGGTAACCTTTTGAACACCGCTCATGAGCTGGCTGGCCCATCCGGGCTTCTCGGCGGTGGCCGTCTTCTCGTCAATCTTAGAAGCGACGGCGCTTGCTTGGCGCTATACGTATCAGCTGAGCCCTGGGATATACTTTCACAATGTCCAGGATGGGCAGACTTACGCCGATCACGTTGAAGACACCGTCGATGCGCTCCTCGAGCGACTTGGTGGGTGCGGTGTTGACAGCGGTGGTCGACGAGCCAGCAGAGGCGGTGGGTGCACCGGGGACAGCGGAGTAAGGGGTAGCGGCAGACAGGTTCTTCTCGGCCGGGGTAGCGACGATGGACGTAGCGCCCTCTCCGCCCATAGCGGCAATGGTTACAGGTGTACCGGGGTAGCTTGGGGATGGGGCCTAGCATATCAGCATGCACTTCTGCTTAAGCTCAGAGTGGGCTCGAAAGGCCAGGGCGGGACAATGGGGCAGTTGTGCTGCCCAAGAAGAGGCCAACTCACCTCAACCTTCTCGATGAGTTCCTTGGCCTTGTTGATGGCCGCATCGGTATATGGCTTGGTCGTCTGCTGAACCTTCTCGACATAAGGATGAGTGACGGCGTCGACCTTGGCGAGGTACTAGTGCAATCAGCTCGGTTCCCAACCCATAGCTCCGTTTGTACATCCCAACATCTTTCCCAGGTCTCGCCTTCTCCGACACCTATCCATCAGTGAGGAAAGTACATACCGGCTGAGCCATACCCAAAGCCTTCTGCAACACCCCAGGTTCACCAGCAACCTTATCCAGTGCCGCAGCAGGCGCGACCTGCGAGTGCGCGGGCGTGACCGGGGTAATGACGGTCGGGTCGGCCGAGGACCCGGGTGTGACAGTCACGGGGTGGGCGGTGGTGGGGTTGGAGACGGTGCTGGTGTTGGTGTTGAGGAGAGAGTCCATCTTGGCTGTTTGGACGTATGAGTACGGGTAAGTAGTAGTAGTGGTAGTAGCGGTGTAGATGAAGTATAGTCAAGAGGAGTTCGGAGATGTCTTATCGCTGTGTCACTTCTCGTTAACGTTCTCGCAGCAAAAAGACGCAAGGCTGAAAATAATGACGTCACGGCCCCGGTGTCAAAATCTGGCTCCAGCTTGACTCCATCTCATGCATCTTATTTATTGGAACTTAGAGGCTCGCCCTTCGCAACTTCCTGACACAAGGAGACATAACGAGTCCATGATAGTATAGTCTTGCATGCTAGATACATTGATTCAACCCTACACTCTCCTCCTCCTCCTATCAACAGCTTATATTACTGTATCATGTACATTTTAGGTTTGGGTGGTCCAGACTTGGAAGAGTTGACCTTTTGCGAGATGGGAAACCGAGATGACGATGACGAGTCGACGCCCTAGAGCGAGAGCGGGACCAGACGGAATGTGGGGAGTAGTCGATGTCATCTCTGAGGACCGTCGAACGCATCCAACGTAGCCCGTACAGCGAGCGCATTGGGGGTCAGACCGCCGGTCGTCCAGACCATTGGAGACTTTTCAAACCTGATACTTCAGCTCTAATCCTCCTCGTTGATCCCCCTTTTTGACCGAGACTCAGAGTCAAGACTCACCCGTTGAAGTTCGAAGCGGCACAGAGGGTATACGCGCCCATCTCCCCCCATCCGATCCAATCACCCACCTCCAGCCCTTTCGGGAGGGGCACGACCGACCGTACGCAGTCAATACTGTCGCATGTCGGGCCCCAGACCGAGGCCTTCTCGACGTCCGTGTAGCCCAGCTGGACGGGAAGGTCCACTGCGAGATCGACGTTCGGCGGGGGCGGGAAAGAGGGGGTGGCGGATTGGAGCTGGTGCGAGATGGTGAGGGGGTAGGGGTGGACGATTTGGTGGTCGAACATGATGCAGTTGAAGGAACCGTAGACGCCGTCATTGATGTAGTCTGCGATGTCAGCTTGGTCCACTCAGGAGAGTGAGGGAAAGCTGAGACTAACACATCACGTCCGCGCCTTCTCCTTCTTCGTTCTCCTCTGCTGAAGGGGTGGACGGTCCTGCGTCAGGCGAAGCGAGAGCCCGCCGTTGGGCAATGATGTTGGTAGCGAGTGTGAAAGCTGATGATCAGCACTACCCTTTCACGCTGGAGAAGACACATACCGCTCGACACAAGCAACCTTCCTGGCTCCGCTACAACCCGCACGCCATCCTCTTTGGGGAAGTACGTGTCCAGCCCATCCTTCACCACTCGGCTCATCTCGTCAAACGTCTCCCTCTCAAACCCGCCGCCAATGTCCAAGAACCGGAAGTCATACCCCACTTCCTTGCCCATGGCAAACACCTTCTTTGCCCGCCAGACCGCATCCTCGAACTGCATGGGATCCTTGCAACCCGAGCCGACGTGGAAGCTGACACCGATGACGTTTAGTCCGAGCTCCCACGCCAGGCGGAGGAGGGTAGGGCAGGTAGAGAGGGGAGCGCCGAATTTGAGACCGAGCCGGCAGAGGGATTTAGAATCGTCCGTGAGGATCCGAAGGACGAGTTTCGCCCCTGGGTGGAAACGCTTGACCTTGTGAAGTTCGTCCGCATTGTCGAATGTCATCATGTCGACGCCCATGTCTGACGCGGCGCGGACGAACGAGGCGGGTTTGCAGGGGTTGGCAAAGATGATGCGGTCCGCCGAGGGGGCTGACGGCAGGGCGAGGACCTGCTGGATCTCGGCGGTCGAGGCGCAGTCGAACGATGTACCGAGCAAGGATAAAAGGTGCAGGACCTGAGGGGAGGGATTGCACTTGACAGCGTAAAAGATCTCTACGCGATCGCCCATGGCTGACTGACGCCACATCTGGACCGCCTGATACACCGCCGACAGGTCCGCCACGAAGAACGCCGACTCGTCTCCGCCATCATGCACCGCCCGGTCCGTGATCGTCGACCGGATCACCTCGTGCAGGTCCGCATCGAGCACCTGGGACAAAGCCGGGTGGTCGCGCGACTGCAAAGCACGAGCGGGGCCGCTAGTGGGCGGAGTGGGGAGCTGGAAGGCCGGGACGTACAGCGACGGCGCCTTGGGATCGAGAACGCGGACGAGGTCCGGGGTGTTGATGCCGGTGCCCTGGACCTGGGTGGGGAGGGAGGAACGGTTGATGTTCAGCCGACCTTGGAGGAGGGGGGAGGGGCGGTGCTGCGTGATGGTGGACATTGCGGATAAGCGGGAAAGACGAAGGAGTAACGGTTGACGTTTCTCCTTATCGAGACGAGGTAGCCGAACACAGGGAGCTGCTTCTCTGATGGGGTGTAAGGTTGATTGTTCGCTTCTCCATCAGCTCATCACCCTCACACGCACGTTTTCCAACCCCCATCAAAAAAGCTCACCTTCAATTATAGGATCGTCAATTCTGCACGAAACTCAGGCCTTCAAACGAAGGCTAGGAGAAGGCGGCTCGAGGCCGCAGAACCGGGGGTGTAGGTTGTGTAGTGTATAGGGGTTATTTATGATCGCCTATAGGGTGTGTGAGAACGTCGATGCAGTCTGCGACGTTGGCGAGGTTTTGGGATCTTGAGATCTTTGTGGCGGTGACGTACTGGCGAGGTTGGTGCGCGGCGTTTGGGGGATTCCGAGTGTGGCACATGGCATTCCTCGCCTGCATGCCTTATGTAGACAGACCAGACGGCTATTGTATAGCTATACACGGATGGCCAGGACCAAAGCTTTACTCGAAGTTACATGAAGCGCTTCAACAGCCTCATATTCATCTACAAGTCCGATAAGCAAGCTATGTATATCCATCAAGATCTCCAAGTCGTCAGATTCGCAATCGTCTTCCATTCCCCTTCCCCCTTCCCCCTTCTCCCGTGATGCTGCTCCTCATCCTTCCCCTCCCCTCCCCGTCCCCACCCTGCTCAGAGATCAAGCAGCCGTATTCCCCTCCTTCAGCGCCTGTATCGCCGAATGCGTCTTCATCAACAACGCACCCTCGAGCGAGTACTTTCCTTGCGCCTTTTGTTCGTGCTTGTTCAATTCTGACAATTTCCCTAGTAATCATCAGCTTCTCATCCTCCTCTCTTCTTGCCCCCGTCACCACGCCAAAGACTCACCAGTCATAACCACATCAAAGTGCTTATACGCAGACTTGTTCTCCCCTCTTTGGCTATACAGCTTGCCCAGCTCAAAGTGGCAGTGATACACGATATAATGGTCCAGCTGTCCCGTCAGCTTCTGCCCCACTCAACGTTCACAGGCCACTGTCTAGCTCACCTCCACATGCGGGCTGTTCTTTATCGCAGCGAGCATATCCTCCTCTGCTCCCGCGTCCAACTCGGCATCGCTCGGATCTGTCGATTGGACCGCGCGCGCCAGCTCATCCGCTTGCGGCGGCTGATACCGGGCCATAGCTTTACAGACACCTCTCAAGAAGTGCCCAAGCACGAGATCTACCCATCAGCTCGGTCCGCTACCCACGTTTTACACAAGGAGGGACATACCATCCCAGTATCCCGCTCCGTACGCTTCTGGCGTCTGAGCCTGCAGATCTGCCATCCGCTTATCGATCCGTGGAATCAGGGACGAGATAAGTGTCCGGCGGGGCGCGTGCCCGAGAGAGCCGAATACATAGGCGAGCTCAATCCCGGGGAGGAAGAGCCGGTGGCCTTGCGATTCAAACTTTCTCGTCTTTCTCGAGACGAGTTTCTATGTCTATCAGCTTTGGACCGAGCAGTAGAAGTGGACATTGAAGCTCACTTCGATAGGCAGAGACTTCCCGGCCAGCTTCTTGGTCAACTTCGGGACCTCCTTCATGAGCTTCTCCGCCTCCACTAGGCTAGCGCCGGGATACCCATCCGATACTAGCTCGACGATACATGCTGCTGTCGAGCTGATATGTCAGCTAGGGTTGTACCTCCACGAATGACCCGAGATCTTTCGTTGCGGCGAGGAATCCACACTCACTAGGTGTAGACAGCGCGAGACCAATTCGATTCTTCTCTCAGGATATTATAGCAGTCCAGAGCACCTTTCCAGTTCCCCGACATGGTGTAATTATTGGCATAGTCCCACTACGAGTGTCAGCCCTCGGATTCCCACTAGAAGAAGCGGTGTACGAAAACCTACCAAGCACATGTGCTGCAATTGCACATACTCCAACTTGAGGTCCATGGCCCTCTGCAAACTCTCATTCGCCTTGTCCGGATTACATTCCGCCGTAAACAATCTCGCCTGGAAGTACAGGAAGAAGATACCTTCTCTATCAGCTTGCTTCCCGCTTCTCGATTTGTGAGGGACTCACCATCAGGGTATATCCGCATATTGTATTCCAAGATCTTTCTCGCCATCGGGATATCCACACCAGCTATCGGCCTATCATATCAGCTTCTGTTCCCTCTTCTGGTTCTAGCCCTCGACGCAGGCGCAGAACTCACATAAGGAGCGCAAGGACAAGATGGAACGTCAATAGAATGAGATCCACGACGGGCCGCCTCAGCCCCTCATTGTGCTCGTCGTGGATAGGTACGTCCGCGTCTTTGCTCCATCCCCCGGCAGAGTAGAGGACTTTGAGCGCGGCATCGCGATCTCCGCCGTATCCGAGTACCTCGGCGATCTGGCGTATCAGCTTTAGGCCGTGTACTTTCCGGACGCCGGTGAGCGCACCTTGAGAACCTTTCCGGGAAGGAGGGAAAGCATGAGTGAACTTGTGCCTGCTCCGAGAGCGACACCCTACTTTGTTCAGCTTATCACTCGAGATGGATCAGCCACAAGAATAAACGTACAGATCGGAAGTCCATGTCGATATCATCATCATACCCATGCGCGTCCGCCTCCTCGATAAACGTCTGCATCGTCCTATAGATGCCCCATGCTGCTCGCATGCTCAATCTGCTCATCAGCTTCTCTTCTACCCATAGACGAGCCATAACCCACGCTTCACGGATCATCCCAAACCAATCTCCACCCGCAATGATCGCAAGCAACGCCTTGAACAACGAACTCTCCGCATAGACCAGCTCGGCGTGCCTCTCCATCACGCTCATCCCCTTGAGACGCTGGACGCCCGCGCCGGACTTGACGAGACTGCCGAAGCGGGACATGAGCCCGTCGGAGGGTTTCCGGAGGGCCGTAGCCATCACTTGGACATTTTTGGAGATTTCCAGGGCGGTGCTCAGGTCGTTGGCATCGAACGTCATCATTCCCTGTCTGTCAACTCTGGTTCACGTCCTTGAACGTGAATATATTAGCTCACCTTCAAAGCCTGGAAGATACAGTACGCGACCTGGAGATAGAGATGATTCCCTTCGGGGTCCTTCTCTATACACACCTCCTCTGCCTCCCTCATCTTGCTTCGCAGAAACAATGCCAGTAGCTCCCGCGTCGTGTCCACGTCCGCGCCCAACAAGGCCGACTGATCAATCGATAGCGCATCCGCCTTGCTGATCGCTCGCGCCTTGACCTTCATATCCGTCACCTGCGCCTGAGACCGCCGGAGCGTGGACGGCCCCGTACCAAGTACATCGGCCATATTCGATAATTTGCCCTTGACGACATTGTTGGGATCGAGCGGCTTGTCATCCGTCGGGACGGTGATGGGATCGTTCACTTCCGTGCGGGTAGCGAGGCCCTTCTGCACCTTTTGCGGCGAAGCAGAAGTGATGGGAACCGCCGTAGCTACTACCGCCTCCTCCTCATCCTCCCCAATCTCACTCAGCCCTTCCGAAGGAGTAAGGAAGATATCCTCGTCTTCTTCGTCAGACTCCCCATCTAGGTCGTACCGAGAGAATGACATTTCCGCACGCTCCCGCATCGGTGTATCCAGGATGACGGGGATACTGCCCCTCCGACTCTCCGTGAGCGGGCCGCTTCCGCGCCGGCTGTCCGATTCGGGGGAGGCGGAGAGGCCACTGGTATTCCCGTTGCCGTTCCCGCCTGGAGTCGAAGGAGGGATGACAAGCCCAGTCAGGCTTTTGGCGAGGTCGTCTCCGGGCGTGGAGGGGGTCCGCTTCATGCCCAGCCGGCTGTATGTCGTGGTACTCGCGGAAGAAGGGGCGGTGCCGAGCGGTGAAGGGCGGAGATGGTGTGACGCAGGCTCAGGAGTGACATGGTGGTGCTTGTCAGGCCCGTGGTAGTGCTTGATCTTCTCCGAATCGCCCGCCTGCTTGTCGAGGCCGGATGAGGAGGAGAAGAGAGAGGCGAGGCGCTTCTTGCCTTTCTTCCTGAACATGTCAGCACGAGTAGAAGAAGCACAAGACGACACTATCGTGAGACCTCACTCACGCCAGAGACTGCTTGCGCTTAGGCTTGCTCCCGTCCATGTCGCTCTCCACGCTCATGATCGAGCTAGCCGCGCTGACTGATCGCGAGTTGGGCGGCCTGGAAAGAGTCGACGCCCGGCCCGGTGCCGTCGGTGACGAGCCCGCGGACGAAGCGAGGTCGCCGTTCGAGCCCTTCACCTTAAGGTGCGCTTTCCGGAGGAAGTCCGACATGGCGGGCGGATGACAAAGGAATTGGCTATCGGGCGGGTTAATAAGGGGGATTGATCGAGCTGCGGATAGCTCTTTGTGTCGTCACAGGGTGATTTTCAGCGCTGATTGTGGTGTTGCTGCGCGATTTGACTAGTTATTTTGCTCGCTGCTGGCTCTGTGAGATGCCAAGCTGAACGCTGTCTGAAGGCTCTCGAGAGATAGATGTCATCCGCACCACAGCTGCAGCAGCTGGAACAGGGCGGGGCCCGAAGCTGAGCTAATATAAACGCCACCAATCTCGGACTTCCGCGGACCTCCGAAACAGTGAGGTCCGTGCGTGCATTCCAGCTCGACTCGCTCGCTCGCTCGGCCAAAAAGTCTGAGCCAGCTGCAGCTGCTTTGGATCTTCTCTACCTACACCTCACCGCTACAGCCAGTACGGCTCTCCTGCCATGTCGGACCTCGCAGACGTTCTCAAAATATCCATCTTGGGGAATGAATCCATACACTGTGGATTCCACCTCCTCCCTTACATCTTCCATACGATCCTCACTACCCTCCCCTCCTCGACCTACGTCTTGATCACCGACACGAACCTCTCCCGCCTCTACCTCTCCGATATCACCGCGGCGTTTGAGGAGAATGCCAAGAAGGCAGGAAGCAAGGCGCGATTCTTGGTCCATGAGGTACAGCCTGGAGAGGGGGCGAAGTGCCGGAAGGTGAAGGAGGAGATTGAGGATTGGATGTTGGACGAGAAGTGCACGAGGGATACTGTGATCTTGGCTTTTGGAGGGGGTGTCATTGGGGACTTGACTGGCTTCATTGCTGCTACTTTGTAAGCTTTACAGTCCGTTCTCTAGTTGATGTGTATTAAGCTCATACCACTAGCATGCGAGGCGTCAAGTTTGTCCAAATACCGACGACTCTGCTCGCGATGGTCGACTCGGCGGTCGGAGGGAAGACAGCCGTCGATACTCCACACGGCAAGAACCTCATCGGGGCTTTCTGGCAGCCTGCATACATCTTTGCCGATCTGGCATTTTTGACTACGCTGCCGCCAAGGGAGGTGTCGAACGGCATGGCCGAAGTCGTCAAGGTGAGCTGCCCCGCCCATGATTTGTGCCGCGTATGGTCGTAGCTGACACTGTAGACCGCGGCTATCTGGAAAGATGACGACTTTGCCCTCCTCGAGTCCAACGCCGACGCCATCAGCACCGCTGCGTCCACTCGTCTCTCCGCCGGATCCACCCTCGGCCGGTTCGAGAGCGACCGCACGGAACCCCAATCCCTCCTACTCCGCGTCGTCACCGGCTCCATCTATGTCAAAGCCCACATCGTGACCATCGACGAGCGTGAAACCGGTCTGCGCAACCTGGTCAACTTCGGGCACACCATCGGGCACGCTATCGAAGCCGTTCTCACCCCTCAGATGCTGCACGGCGAATGCGTCTCGGTCGGCATCATTCTCGAGGCTGAAGTCGCGCGTCAGCTCGGCGTGCTCAGCCAAGTCGCTGTCGGACGTCTCACGCGCGCATTGAAGGCGTACAACCTCCCCGTCTCCCTCTCGGACCCCCGGATCACCGCCATCCCCGCATCCTCTCAATTATCGGTGGACCGTCTCTTGGATATCATGAAGATTGACAAGAAGAACTCCGGGCCGGCCAAGAAGATTGTGCTGTTGTCGAGGGTAGGGAAGACGTACGAGGAGAAGGCGTCGGTGGTGCAGGATGATGTGATCAGGAAGGTGCTGTGCGAGGCGGCAACGGTGATTTCGGGCATCCCGACCAAGTCGCCCATCACGATGGCTACTCCGGGAAGTAAGAGTATCTCCAATCGTGCGCTGGTGCTCGCCGCGCTGGGCAAGGGGGTCTGCAGGGTGCGGAATCTCCTGCACTCGGACGATACGGCGGTCATGATGAATGCTTTGGCCGAACTTAAGGTGAGCTACACAGATCCTGTCTCATCGGTGATCAGTCTCATCGGTGACCAGCACTTTAAGCTGACAATCTAGGGTGCCAAGTTCTCATGGGAGGACGGAGGCGACACTATCGTCGTCGAAGGCGGTGAAGGCTCACTCACCGTCCCCGAAAAGGGCCGGCACCTCTACCTCGGCAACGCAGGAACCGCCGCCCGCTTCCTTACTACCGTCTGCACCATCGTCAATCGCACCTCCCCTTCCACCTCCAATACCATCATCACCGGTAACGCCCGGATGAAGCAGCGTCCGATCGGCCCCCTCGTCGACGCACTGAGCGAGAACGGCGCCTCGCTCTCCTACCTCGAAGGCGCCAACTGCCTTCCCCTCGAGATCGGCGCCAACGGTCTTCGGGGCGGTCACATCCGTCTCGCCGCCTCAGTCTCGAGTCAATACGTCTCGTCCATCCTCCTCTGCGCGCCCTACGCTCAGAGCGAGATCAAGCTTGAATTGACCGGCGGACAAGTCATCTCGCAGCCGTACATCGACATGACCATCGCCATGATGGCTGAATTCGGCATCGACGTCGTCCGTCAAAAAGGAGCCAATGGGGAGTTGCTGGATGTGTACAATATTCCCAAGGGGGTGTACACTAGCCCAGCGACGTACAATGTCGAATCCGATGCGTCGTCCGCTACTTACCCGCTCGCTATTGCAGCTATTACCGGGACGACATGTACCATCTCCAATATCGGCTCGTCTTCCCTCCAGGGCGATGCGCGGTTCGCCAAGGAAGTCCTGGAGCCAATGGGGTGCCAGGTCGAGCAGACTGCGACAGCGACGACTGTCACGGGTCCGCCACTCGGTCAACTCCGGGCGCTCGGTAATGTCGACATGGAGCCCATGACGGACGCTTTCTTGACTGCCTCGGTGTTGGCGGCTATTGCGACGCTCCCTCCGCTCGCCGGAAGAGAGGTCGAGGGGCTCAAGAAGGAGGGGAGCAGGATTTATGGGATTGCGAATCAGCGGGTGAAGGAGTGTAATCGGATCAAGGCGATGAGGGAGGAATTGGGTGAGCTAGCAGAGATTCGTCGAATGGGCCTGAAGCTGACTCTGCAGCTAAATTCGGCGTCGAGACGGACGAGTTTGACGATGGTATCATCATCTTTGGCAAACCCCTCGACCAGCTGAAACGCGGAGCCAGCATCCACTGCTATGACGACCATCGGGTCGCCATGGCATTCGCAGTACTCAGCAGTGTGGTGGAGAAGACGGTCATTGAGGAGAAGCGATGTGTCGAGAAGACATGGCCGAACTTTTGGGACGACCTCCAGAACAAGGTAAGCTCCAACGCCGGGACGGTGCCGAGTATCGGCTGATTAGCAGATCGGGATCAACGTCGAGGGAGTCGAGCTGGAGCAAAACCACGCTTCCACGTCCGCTCACCCCATGTCCAACGGTACCTCCTCCACCTCGCAGCACCCCCTCTTCCTGATTGGTATGCGCGGCGCCGGCAAGACCTATATCGGGCGCATGGCCGCCCAAGCTCTCGGTGGCGAGTTTACCGACGCCGACGACGTCTTTGCCGAACGTACCAAGCTGTCCGTCTCGGACTTTGTGGCGCAAAACGACTGGGCCGAGTTCCGGCGTGTCGAGCGCGAGATCCTCGCGGACATGATGGCCGAGAAACAGGGCAACCACGTCATTGCCCTCGGCGGCGGCGTGGTCGAGACGCCCGAAGCTCGCGAGTTGCTCTCGCAGCACGTCAAGAGCGGGGGTCGAGTCGTGTACGTCACGAGGGAGCTGGAGGAGATTGAGGGATACCTCGACTCTATCGGATCGACCGCTACTCGTCCTAAATGGGGAGAAGACTTTTCCGCCGTCTTTGCGCGCAGATCGCCCTGGTACGCCGCGTGCTCGAGCCACGAGTTTTACAATACCCTCGAACCCCTCGCGGGGCAGAGTCAGGCGGAGCATCACCACGCTATGCGAGCGGAATGCGAGCGGTTCTTCCGCTTCATCAGCGGTCTGATAACCAATCGGCCGGATCTGTCATCGGGGCGCCCGACGAGCTTCCTCTCCCTTACATTTGCGGATATCCGGCCGGCGCTGGCGCAGATGGAGGAGTTGACGGAAGGAGCGGATGCGGTGGAATTGCGGGTGGACCTTTTATCGAAGGATGGAAAGGCGCCATCTACCCCCGGTCTCCCATCTCCCGCATACGTCGCCAAGCAGCTCTCGACGCTTCGGCTGGTCACTCCCCTCCCGATCGTCTTTTCCGTCCGGACCAAGGAACAAGGCGGCTGGGCGTCCAGTACCGACGACAAGGCGTACCTCGAGATGGTCCGTCTCGGTCTCCGCTCGGCGTGCGAGTACGTCGACCTCGAGATGGCCTGGCCGGGCGCCTTGCTCGAGGCGGTCCAGAAGGAGAAGGGCGGGAGTGCAATCATTGCGTCCTGGCATGATTGGACGGGCAAGATGAAGTGGGACGGATCCCTCGTTAGTGACAAGTACGCCCAGTGCGCCAAGTACGGAGACGTCGTCAAGATCGTCGGGACGGCGCAGTCTGTTGTCGACAACATGGCGCTCGCCCAATTTGTCGCTAGCAAGGAAGCCAACGGAAAGCCATTCCTCGCTATCAATATGGGCGGCCACGGTCAGCTCTCCCGGATCCTCAACCCCGTCCTGACACCCGTCACCCACTCGGCCCTCCCCTCCCGCGCGGCTCCGGGGCAACTCACCAACCGGGAAGTCCTCTCTGGCCGACACCTCATGGGTCTCCTCCCAGCCAAAAAGTTCTACCTCTTCGGCAAGCCCATCGCACAGTCCGTCTCCCCCTTACTCCACAATACCGGCTTCACCACAATCGGCCTACCGTACGAGTACGGTCGGTACGAGACGGATCAGACGGACGACGAGGTCCGGCGAATCATCTCTTCGCCAGACTTTGGAGGCGCGAGCGTGACGATCCCGCTCAAGCTCCAAATCATGGACTTGCTCGATTCCGTCTCGGACGACGCCAAGGTTATCGGCGCGGTCAATACCATCATCCCCACTTCGGATTCGGTTGGCGGCACGACCAAGCTACACGGGGATAACACCGACTGGCAAGCTATTCGAGAGGCGGCGCAGGCCGGTCTGGCCGGAACCCAAGTGACAGGCCTCGTCATTGGCGCAGGAGGAACCTGCCGGGCGGCCATTTACGCCTTGCACCAACTCGGCGCAACGTCCATCCTCCTCTTCAACCGGACGACCGCCAACGCCGAGTCGGTCGCTCAGTCCTTCCCTGCCGAGTATGGCATCACCGTCATCTCCTCGCTCGATACCCTCCCTGCCCAGCCCAACGTCGTCATCTCTACCGTACCCGGCGACTCCCTCTCCCTTTCCTCGGGCTCAGGCATCCCCCTCCCCAAGACCGTCCTTGGCGGACACGGCGGAGTAGCCATTGATTTGGCGTACAGACCGCACAAGACTGCATTGGTGCAGCTTGCGGAAGAGACGGAGGGGTGGACGGCGGTCACTGGGGTGGAGATTTTGTGTCTGCAGGGCTTTAGGCAGTTTGAGCTGTGGACGGGGAAGAAGGCGCCGGGGAGGAAGATGCGCGAGGCGGTCATGCAGGAGTACCTGAAAGCGTGAGCAGGGCGGAGGACGATCATGGGATGAAAGGAACGGGGTCAGTCGAAGTAGATCTGGGATAGAACAACTAATATGCATGGTATCTTTTCCGCGTACGCGAGGGGCTTGGATTGTCATGATGAGCCATCCGTAAAATTGATCTCAATGTCTCCAGATAGATGCCTCGACAGATAGGCTAGATAATATACATTTACTACATGATGCTCTGGGCCCATCTGCGAGCCCCTCTGCGGTCTGTTGGTATCCGCAACAACTCCCAATTCCGCCCGCCTTCTCCCTCACCCTTACACTCTCCCTTTTTCTCGCCTTATACGTTGTATCGCCCGCTCGATGGTCCGCCCCTGTCCGTAGCCTATACTAGTCAGCTTTGCTCACTTCTGCGCATGCCGAACAAGAAAGAACCCACCTGTAGAGCCGCCACTGACCCCTCGACCAACGTCCTCCTAATCTCCTCGACCGCCATCCTGACCTTACTCTCATCGTTACTCTCAATGAGCAAATGCAATTTCGGCTCATTCCCAATTTTCGGATCCTCCCCTGGCGGGTAATACACGCCCCTCATCGTGACACTCGCCCCCGAAATCTCATTCAACAGCGTCATCTGCTCCTTGTTCGTCACCTTCCACCGCGCCTTTTGAGGATAGTCATTGATGGGGAAGACGGCGTGCCAGTCGGTCGCATCGGGGTCTTTGGGCTTCATGCGCGTCATCTCCGCAATAGCCGCCGAGGACACATCCGTCTTTTGCTCCTGGATAGATTTGTGGAGCTGGGCGACGACCCGAGCGAGACGCGAGGCATCCACCGTCCGGCCCTCGGCTTTGGCCTTTTCGATGGCCGCGAGGGTTTGCGCAGGGAGAGCGGCGAGGCTGTTTTTGCCAGAATTGCCAGAGACGGTGAAGAGGGCGGGGTTGAAGAGTCGGTCCGGGGCAGGTCCGTTGATAATGTCGACGTGGATCTCGGTGAAGGTATAGTCCGACTCGTTGCGCATGTCCCGCTCGGCCGGCTTGAACTGGTTGGTCGTCTCCTTAGGTTTGTAGGGGATGACGGCGCCTTCGCGGGAAGAGAGGGAGAGCGCTTCCGACGTGTCGCCGTACGTGTGCTTTTCCGCCTTGTCCTTCTCTTCCCGCTTCTTGTCGAGACGGTCCAGACCCTTTCCGGCGAAACCAGAGCGGACAGCCTTGGCCCGGCCATCCTTGATCTTGGCGAGGAAGCCTGGAGTGTCAGCTAATACGCCCAGACAATCATCCGGTGTGGACAACTCACCATCCGACATATCCTTGAGCTCCTTTGGCACAAACGCATTACTCGCCTCCAGCGCCCGTAGTATATCCACCGCATACCGCTCCTGTTCCGGCGTGATGAACGTGACGCACACGCCTGTATTCCCCGCCCGCCCCGTCCTTCCCGCCCGATGCACGTAATCCTCCAGATGATTCGGGCAATCATAGTTGATCACCAACCTCAACTGGGGCACATCCAGTCCTCGTGCAGCCACCGACGTCGCAACGACAATAGGGATATCGCCCGATTTGAAGTTCCGGATGGCATCTTCCCGATCGACCTGCTCTTTCCCGCCGTGCAAGGACGAGCAGACATACCCCCTCTGCAGTAGATCGCGGAAGAGGTCGTCTGCCCATTCTTGCCGATCGACAAAGATGAGGGCGCGGAAGTCTTCCCCGGGCGGACAGTTGTTGCTCATCTCCCCGAGAATCTCGAGGAGACGAGTAAACTTGGTGTCTTGGTCCCGGACCTCGACCCGCTGGTCGATCTCCGCCGCGACGACCGAGCGACCACCAACGGTGATCTCCAGAGGTTTGGTCAGGATCTTGCGGGCAAGACCTTCCATGGTCTTGGGGAACGTGGCAGAGAAGAGCACCTTTTGGGCGTTCGGCCGGATCTGGTTGTAGATCTTCATGATCTGCGGCTCGAAGCCCATGTCAAACATCCGGTCCGCCTCGTCAAGCACGAGATAGGTGCACCGACGGAGATTGGTGATCCGACCATTGTTGTGGGTGAGGAGGTCGATGAGACGTCCGGGGGTGCAGACGACAATATCCGCTCCGCGCTTCATGTTGGCGATATCTTCGCTAATAGATACACCGCCGACACAGCATGCGACCTTCGGGAAATCAGCTTGGTCTCGTCGATGAGATGGCAGACCTACCCGTAGCCGCATAGCCTTCAAGAACGACTTGGCCTCCTTGTAGATCTGCAACGCCAGCTCCCTAGTAGGTCCGACAACGACGGCGATAGGACCCTCGAGTCCCGTACTCGGCCGCTGATCCTTGACGTGCCGGAACAGCGGGAGGAGGAAGGCGATGGTCTTTCCAGATCCCGTCTTGGCGATCCCGATGACGTCCCGTCCGCTCATGATGGCCGGTATCGCCTGTGCCTGAATAGCGGTAGGCTTCTCCCATTTGTGCGCCTGGATGACATCCAGGCACGCCATAGGCAACCCGAGCGCACCCCACCGCTGGACGGGGCGGGGCGCGTCGATCCCTCGGATCTTGATACCGTCCATCTCGAGCCGCATGAGCTCCGCCTCCTCCTCGGTCAGGTCGAGCACCTCGGCCGAGGCAGAGTAGAAGTTCTTGCGGAAGGGTTCGTAGTCGATCTTAGAGTGGTCCGGGGGTGGAAGATCCTTCTTTCTGGTCTTGGCCGCCGCCTCGGCCAACATCGCCTCCTGCTTCTCGAGCGAGTCCCCGTCCTTGACCTCCTTGACCGGCTCGTCATCCTCTGACTCTGGATCGATCGCCGCCAGTCCCGCCCGCTTCGCATCCGCCTGGTCGACATTGCTCTTCTCCTTGTTCAAGCTCTTCATGTACGCCTCCAGCTCGTCCTCCTCTTCTTCCTCCTCTTCCACCGCGTCCACCTCCATCTTCTCTTCTTTCACTCCCGTCCGACGCTCCATCTCTGCATCAATATCCATCCCATTCTCCTTGAGTTCCACCTTGACAGCCCCTACTCCGGCGTCCTCATCCGCAAAGTCCTCACCGACCAGTCCCTCCTCGACCGCCTCACCAGACTGGACCTCCGGGTTAATGTCCGGCAATCCCTCGATCCGGATGAGCTTCCGTTCCGGTGCGTCCTCGTCATCGAGCTCGGAAATCGTACGTTTTAGATGAGATCCGCCGATATTGCCGCCGAGTTTGATTTTACCCATGGCGCCCATCTGCAGTGCAGCTTGCGGTTTGGCGGGTGCAGGGGCATTTCGAGGGGGTATTGGCGGTTGACCTGTACACCATATTGAGCTTGGACGTTCCGTGTAAAGACGAGAGTACGCAGACTCACCGTTGCTCGGGCCATTTCTGCCCAGTACAGCCGGCTCGGGCGTAGCGCTCTTTCCCTTCTTCTCCAGCTCTCTCTGCTTCTTCCACGCCTCTAGCCGTTCCTTCTTCAGCCTCTGCTTTTCCTCCTCCGACTTGGCCGCTGAAGAGCCATTGGAAGAGTCAAAGCCCATCCGAATAGGGTTGGCAGCGGGAGCAGCGACCGGGTCGCGCGAGATAGACCGGCTCCTATCTCTAGGTTCGGACGGACCTCTCCTTGGAGAGTCACGCCCATTCCTGTCCCTCTCATCTCGCGGTCTACGCTCCCTGCTTCTGCTCCGGCTCCTATGACGTTCGTCCCGCCGCCTTGGGGGTTCATCATACCGCCCTCCGCGGTCTTTATCCCTATATCGCTCCTCCTCATACCTCCCTTTCCCCCTATCCCTATCCCTGTCGCGGTCTCCATCTCGGCGGTCCCGGTCCCGATAGTCGCGGTCACGATCGCGATCGCGGTGCTCTCGCTCGTCAGGTCGCCTCGAACTCGTAGTCTCACGGGACGGCTTGTCATACCTTGGAGAAGCAGGGCTGTAGTCTCTGTCCCGGTCTCGCTCCCGCTCTCGGTCTCGGTGGCTGCTTTTGTGCGACCTCCGAGGTTCGGGTGAGCGTGAGCGGGTCATCCTGATAAGATGTAGGTAGACTTCAAGAAGAGAAAGGTCAAGGTAGAGTGGCAATATATTGGCTGGCTGCAGCGAGAAAGTCAACGGTCAGAAGACCATCCCTTCCTAGGCTTTTATTTCATCCCTCCACTTTGTTTGCACTCCACCTCCTGCCAAAGACAGCCATCTCTGAGCTGTTCCATCTACCATCTACATCGACACTATGACTACTCTCAACCCCTCGCACAACCCCTTCCGCACCCCCACAGACAAACACGCTCAGGCAGTGCACGAACCCTCTTCATCCTCCGGAAAGCACGCAAAAGCGTCATTCCCGGATGACCTCCCGGCGCAGTCCGATGCAGAATCGGACGACTCGGATCTCGGTGTAGATGTCTCGAGGGCAGAGAAAAGGGGCAGGAAGGCGGGCAGGCAGAGGATACAGAGGGGGATGGTCCCAGTGCCGGATCTGCGGTTTGAGCAGGTGAGCTTTGGTGGATACCCTGGAGAACGCTGGGGTCGAGCGCCAGCTGATGTGATAGTCGTATCTCCTATCCATCAGACCGTTCATCACGCCTAGACCGACCCGCAAGGATGTAGCAGAACGAGGACAGGTGGAGGAGAATGAAGCGTCGGGGTCTCTGGTTACCAGTACCGAGTCTGACGAGGTGTTCCACTGGGGGCGGGAGGTGGACGTGGACTGGCGGAATGCGGCCTGGGTGACGATCCGGGATCAGGTGAGTATCAGGTCTTACATACTTACTCGTGGCTTTTTCCATGGAAAGCCTTGCGCTGACTCCGCAGATCCTTTCCCCTCTCGGTCAGGGAGCCCTTTGGGGTGTCTTCGGTATCTTCCTCGCCTACTCCTCTTCAGCAGTCCGCGCTGCTCTCTACCCCCCATCACACATCCGCAAAGGACGAGTAACGGGCGGTCGGGGCGGGTCTATCAGCCAGTCGGGCGGAGGCTCGGCTGTAGGATCGACGGAAAAGGGAGGGTGGTGGAGGAAGTTTGTGGGGAGTTGGGCGGGAGCTGTGGAGACTGCTGCTGCATAGGCTAGAGTATATCACGACAGCGGTGTCGAAAGCTGCAACATGGCATCAAGTGGCTCGCCTGACGCTACTCACACTCCTGATCACCTCATTGATGATATCTACATACCGTCTGACCGCCATGGGCATGGACATCGAAGCTAAGCCGAGCTAAGCCAAGTGATGATGGTGGATCAAGGATCCCAGAGACCGTCTCGCTTTCAAAGAATGCATTCGCAACAGAAATTACTGCAACATGTCCAGTCATGCCGGACTTCTGGCCCACCTCGCAAGCCTTTCTCACAGACCCTTCTCCGGGACTTGCGCCAGCGCTCGACGGAAATCCAACACCTTGCTAGCGCTCGCCAGTGTCCTGTTGACGGCAGACCACGCAGACAGCTCTTTGCTGCTCTTGTCCAGCGAAGTGACGTACCACTCCATCCCCTCTGTGGTGGCCATGTGAGTCTTAATTGGCATGTAGTCCCCAGACCCCAACTCCAGGGCTTCGAGAAGATATCCGTGCGCCTTCTTGAACGTGGTCTGGAGCTCCACGTCTGTGCTCGGCGTCATTACTTTCATGATGTGCTGGATTTGGGAGAGGTACTCAGAAGAGTGGCTCTCACTCACCCCTTTGATCTCTCGATCGATGTCCGAAAGCTCGGTCGAATTGAACATGTGTGCGGACATGATCGAAGGGAAGTGTAGGCAACAGGGCGGTATGTAAGGGGAGATGGTTCCTGGTGGCGATATGTCAAGTAGGGTGTGAATGGAAAAAGAGCGAAAGACCAACAAGGCCGTCTACTTGTCGCCCGCTGATTAGAGGATAAAGGACAGTACAAATTGCGCAATAAGCCAGACTGTTGACTGGAGCCAATCAGCCCAGCTCACTCAGGGGGCGAAGAGACAAAGGATTTACAAAGGTCCATGCCGCGCACGGTCATTGACACTGTCAGACCGCCAACATACAATGAGCTGAGATTTTGCTCTCGTCGAAGCAGAAGGAACATAGCTACAGGTAAGCCAAGCAAGTGACAGGATCACCGCTCTGATAACGAGTGCCGTATCTTGCTAGCACCGAGAGGACAGGTGGAAGAGAAGGAAGCATCAGGATCTCTGGTCACTAGCACTGAGTCCGATGAGGTGTTCCACTGGGGAAGGGAAGTGGACGTGGACTGGCGGAATGCGGCCTGGGTGACGATCCGGGATCAGGTGAGTATCAGGTCTTACATACTTACTCGTGGCTTTTTCCATGGAAAGCCTTGCGCTGACTCCGCAGATCCTCTCCCCTCTCGGCCAGGGAGCCCTCTGGGGTGTCTTCGGTATCTTCCTCGCCTACTCCTCTTCAGCAGTCCGCACTGCTCTTTACTCTCCATCGCACATTCGCAAGGGACGAATGACAGGCGGTCCGGGCGGGTCAATCAGTCAGTCAGGCGGAGGCTCTGCTGTGGGATCGAAGTAGAAGGGAGGTTGGTGGAGGAAGTTTGTGGGAAGTTGGGCGGGAGCGGTGGGGACTGCTGCTGCAAAGTCAAATCTAGCTTGTGACCGGTATCGAGTGGGCATGAGCGGGATACTGATGAGTGATACTGACAGCTGTGTACTGATTCATCTACGGCATGACGAAACAAGATTGACACTGATGTATCCGATATGGAGGATGATCGCTCATGTGAGCTTGTCGCGGAGGTATCTCAAGGAAGCTTGCGCTTGCGTCGCAAGGCATGACAGTAGACAGGAGTGCATGTCGCAGGCAAACGGATACGGAAGGTCGAGGCGGAACGTTCAGTCAGCGTCTGCAACCCGAAGAGAATCCTCCGCCGCGCTATTTTTCGCCTCACCCCTCTCCGCCGCACTCGACCCAGCCATGCTCATCTTCGCCCACTTTTCCGCAAGCGTCTGGGTGACAGCCGAGAATGCCGCCACTTCCTCGCGGTTCACGGCCAGGAATCCGGCATATTTCTGCATCGTATCGCTGATCTTCGACGGGGTCGACCTGTCCGATTCGTTTTCGACCCAATCGCTGGTGTCTTTGGCTTTGCCATCCGCTTCGATCAATAGGAATCGGTGGTATAAGCTCGTCTTGCGGAAGATGGACTTGACGTGCTCAATTCCCTTCGCCTGTTTCATGCTCTCTCGAATCTCGCAGAGTCCGGTCTTGCACTGGAAGTCCTCGCTCCCCTCGAGGGACGGTAGCTGGGTTTCGTCGAAGACAGCAGACATGTCTGATTGGTATGTAGGTAAGTAGCTCGATCCAGTAGGGTGTATGAGAGTCAGACGCTGGGAGGAGGATGTGCAGGAAGAGTGAGCAGAATGAAGAGGGGATGCGGAAAGTGATGACCCTTGAGGTGAGTTGACGAGTCCCCCTCTGCCGCTCGCTCACAGGACAAAGGGGCCCGCGCATTATAGTCATCGCCGTCAGGGGACGAAGGATCAAAGGATACGCACAGAAGAAGCAAGCCATGTGATAGTCATTGCTGCCAGGGGCGACCCACCAAAGCGTGCACAAGCGCATGTGGTAAAGACAACGTGCCGTAGAGTGGCCTGTCCACGACAGATCAGATAGCCAAGTATCTGAGTGGTTCGGGGACCTTCACAGCTAACACCTGCAGTGAACTTAGCTCACTTTCACACTTTCCCTCCGACAATGCAACAATGTCTGCTGGTTCACGACATCGCGATATCGTCTAGTGACGGTCTTGTCCACGCTATGAGGCGCGAAGCGGGTCGAACAACTCATCGTCCTCTGTGAGAGACTTCACCTTCCTTCTCCTCAAGCCTCCTCGCAATCAGGTTGTACATCTTCTGGACCGCTTGCGATCTCCCGCCGTCCTCACTGTCCTCGACTGACAGGTCTGTTTGCTCCATGAGGGATTCGGAAGCGGGTTGTGCCGATAGGTTGGATTTCTGTGTCTCGGCTCGTACCTTGGAGAGGAGGTCTCTGGCTGAGCCGAGGGTCTGCCTGACGCCCTCAACTGTAGACGCCCAGGCCATCTTGTAATTAAGGGCGTTGATGTCAGGGTGCTTATGTGCCATCTCATCAAATCTCTGAATCTCGTTGCTTGTGAACATCCAGGTGGACATGTCGTGGTGATATACCGATATCGGCGCCGGGGAACGGTGATGTCTGTTTTGTGAAGTCTGATGGTGATTGCTGTAGCGATGCGCGACAGTGCGTGAGAGTTCGCGGAGGAAAGTGCAAGAAGGGGATCCACCTGATAAATCGATAAGAGGCACTTGAGAGGACTGCGGATGGCGACAAGTGATATCTGGGAGAGCGGAAAGGGGGACACGTATCTTATGGGCCTAGCACCTTACGCACTCCCTGCCGTGGCGTGCGAGACCCTATCAGAATGTGAACAAAGGACGAGCTCAATCTATATCAGGGGTCGATATTACAAAAGATATTCTCCTAGATCGTCTCATGGCACCGCTGCTATGTGCAAGTGAGCATGGCCTCAGAGATCTCAACACGGCGAGGCGGGGCAGCGTGCGACAATAAGCCGTTGTGGAGTATATCGAGAATGGCCAGCGATGACTAACGTAGCTGACTATCGGCCTCGGAAGTCAAGTGGCAAGTCATGCATGTGTCCTGAGTGAAAGCTGATGGTAATTTGGACAGACAAGATCGCATACGGCGCGGCAGGATCCTTGAGCCTACTCCTCCGAGCCGAACTTGGTCTCAGTGGGACGGGCGAGCGCGCTCCTGATCATCTTCGCGAGGTCAAACGCCTCGGAGATGCACGACTGGTGGGTCACCAGGATGCTGATATCCCCGGCCGCTGTAGCCGCTTCGAGACAGCTGTCGGACTCCGTCAGCTTCTGGAGCATGTCATTCGACAGCTGGGCGACCCGGCGCAAGCGGTAACGGAGATTCAAGAGCGCTGCCGTCTAGGCAAGGCAAGCCCCCTCCTGGCTGTCGAATGAGCCGTCCCTGATTCCTGCGGTCTGGGCGTCATCGTATCCGAACATGGCTTTCTCCGCGGGGGTGAAGGTCGGCTTCACGTACGAGGTCCCGGAGGAGTGAGCTACTAAGTTCAGCCAAAAAGTGTGCTCCCTGGGAACTGAGACTCGAAGACGTACCTCTTGCAAAGCTGATAGCGTGAGTTGGTGTACGAAGGGGAGGACGAAGTAGAAAAGGAAATGGGGGATGAGAGCTGGTGGGGCTTATATGCTCGATATCTCAACCCCAATACACGGTTGGACAAGGGATAGCCGCGCGACGTGTTAGATAGTGCAGGGGTCTGATCTCAAGGGATGTCTGATAAGACCCCCAATACGCGAGTGACATGGCGCACCGAATGGCGTTGCCGACCCGTGCGGTCCAAAATAAGCGTGATCGGACGAGTGAGTGTCTACCTCGCGGGAACGAAGAGGAGCTTCCTCGGTGAACAAGTAAATTATTGCCAGCGGTGCGGCTGGCCAGTTTTATCAGTTGCCCTCAGTCAGATGTCAGACGGATTGAGTGCGTGTCGACTGCCCGCTCGGGGTGTTCAAAGCATCGGTAGAGGAGCCAAAGAGGGGAGATACAATCAGAATGATCCCATTTCAGATAGAGTTCAAGAGAAAAAGCGGCGATTTCCCACACGTCACTCGAATATTGGTACAAAGTTGAGAGGGTTGTTGGTTGCGATTGTGTATATTCCGAGAGAGTCCGAGAGAGACCGAGAGACCAGGATTGAGAGGGACGAGGCAGGGCGAAGGGTAGCGATATCGAGCAGACTAGTAGCTCTGGGCCATCGGGTTGTTGGGTGGCGATTGATGATTTTGCAGACTACACGTGAGCTCGATTCTGGAGGCGAAAGGGAGAGACCGGAAGAGTCGGAAGGGAAGAGGGGAAGGAGGACAGAGTAAGAGAGGAACAGAGGGAGAGAGGCAGAGCTGGTAGGAACGGACAAGGGGGAAGAGGGAGTGAGGGGGAGTAGGGAGGAGGGGGAAAGTTGAAAAGCAGCTTACGATTTCCGCTTGCTCTTGGTCATTTCCTTCTTCAGCGCCGCCCCGTCAAGCGGCTTCAACAGTTCGAACGAGCACAACAGGTCTTCCGAGACGGACATGACTGCGCCAAAGTTCTATGAGGGTCAGCTGATACTGCCGGCCTCTTCGATCTGGCATGAGATTGGTCGGATACGCACATCGAATTCCCCACAGTAGCTGCGTACGTTAGCTTAGCCTAGAGCAAGACGAGAAAGACTCACTTGGGCGCCGAGAACACAGTGACCAGCGTCCGATCATTATAGAACTCGTACCCATCTTCAACGACCATATGTGCCCTACAGATGAGGTCCATATCCTGCCGTGTCAGCTCTTTGCCATTTTACGGGTGGCTAGATTCCAGAGCTTACATGCGTGGCAAGGAACGAGTTGATGACGCTCTTTCCATAACAGAACGACACGCCTCGCTCGTTATCTTCCCAGTCGAGGGCGGTGTCGGACGGGTCGGACCAGACGAGGTCGTTTAGGAGGCCATAGTCGGGTACGTCTGATATGTCAGCTTTGTCCTGTGCGCCGAGGGTATCTCTTCCGCTAGATCAAGTCAAAAAACAGTAGACTCACCGGTAGGCCGCTGAATCCGCCTGATATCGTCCATACTCTTCAAACTCGGGCTGAGACCGCCGTGCACGCAAAAGATCTTGCTAGCGACGATCGAAGCAATAGGCAGGGCGTTGAAGACGTCGATGAAGGTCTTCCAGGTCTTGATGTTGGTCCGACGCTTGCATTCGTCGTAGAAACCGTACACTGCGTGAATGTCAGCTGAGTTCGGCCAACTCTCGGACAAGTGACAGCAAGCATGACTTACCCCGTGTGACATTCGCGCACTCGTGGTTCCCGCGCAGGAGGAAGAAGTTCTCGGGGAATTTGATCTTGTAGCATAGTAGCAGGAGGATAGTTTCGAGGGATTGTTTGCCGCGATCGACATAGTCGCCGAGGAAGAGGTAGTTGGCTTGGGGAGGGAAACCGCACATCTCGAATAGACGTATCAGGTCGGCGTACTGATTGTCAGCTACATCCTCGCGATGACCCCTCGCAACGCTTCGGGCAGCTCACCTGTCCGTGCACATCCCCCACAATCTTTACTGGCGGGCTCAACTCGATCAATGTCGGCTGACTGAGAAACACCTCTCTCGCCGCCATACACACCGCGAGGATCTCGGCATTCTTGAGCGGCGGGCTCTTGGTGACTTTACCAGAATACCCCGCTTCCAGGAGTCGGCCTATCATATTGTCCACATCGAGGGCTTGGCCAGCGACGGGCGAGGTGAATGAGTTCCGGGAGGTGGTGGCGGTGAGTGCGGAGCCGGGGGAGAGGGCGCCGTCGACGCTGAGGCTGTTTCGGGTGCTAGCGCTAGGCGAGGGGGGAGGGGAGGAGCGGGCGCTGGAGCCGAATGCGGAGGCAGTGGGGGGAGGGGATGACCCGAGGGATGCGGGCGTGCGGTGTCCTCCGCCTGTACCCTTGATAGGCGAGGACGGACCCAGGTTCGCTGCCGAGGCCGGAGCGAGTCCACCGCCTGCCGAGTTGGACATTCCAGATCGGACTGAACCGCCATCTACACTCCCGCCCGCCTGCCTGCCACCGCCCGTCGCGCTGCTCAGACTCGACACGCTTCCCTGTTTCTCCGGTACCTTGCTGGACCGCCGAGACCCTCCTCGGCCCATATCGATCGGCGTAGACCCGCCAGTGGGCGATCCGGGCACGGCGTCAGCGCGGATGGTATGGCTCGCCATGGCGTCTGTGAGCTCCGCGGTGGAGAGCTCCTTGGAGCGCGTACGCCCCATCTTCTTGCTGGGCGCTTGGCCCATCTTGTCGAGGAGTGACCGGAACAGGTTGGGCGAGAGTATGCGATGGTAAGAAGGGGGAAGAGGAGGGTGAGAGGATCTGGGCGAGTTGGGCGGAAAGGGAGGGGAGGTGGATAAGCGGAAGGACGGGGAGTGAGGCGCGTGCGAGGGTAAGCCGAGCGGGTGGATTTGTGACTCCTGCGAGAAAGGCGGCGTAGGTATGAAGTCGTCGGAGGGGGCAGGTGCTGTAGGCCGATATGAGCTGTACTGAGGTATAGCTATGAGTGTATGAGGCTATAGAGAGAGTAGAGATAGGAGCGCGGGGCACTCGAGCTAGTTGTGTGAGCTAGTTGTGATGCGCGAATTCAGGGTAACCATCCCGATTCAATTACTATTAGGTCATCAGGGAGATTTCTAATAGGAACAGTCTGATCCCGCTAATAAGAATAGCCAGGAACGATTAGGAAATTCAAAGGTGTTTCATCTTGAAGCATTAGCCGTGCTCGCAGCTGATACCGAGCGACCGCCTCCACTGCTCGACCATACCTCAGGCTGCAAGTACAAGTCTGTAGCATACAGAGCTCAGCAACCATAGATCACACGTCGACACATACAGCTTATAGCGACTGACGTGCCCGACCGCTACATACCAAGATGGACGGCTCCTACTACCCCTCCAACCCCCTTCCTCAATCCTCCACATCCACCAACCGCTTCTCCCTCACCGCCCCTTCCTCCTCGCCCTCCACCTCCACCTCCACTTCCAAGCCCACCACCACAGCCGGCCGAATAGCCTCCGCTACCGGTCTCTACACCTCCTCGTCACCCGCTCTGGCCCCCGCACCTACAGGTATCCTCGACAGGCCATTAAATAAGGGCAAAGGGGCCGAGGTGGGGATGTCGGCGTTCGCGTTCTTATTGGCTGAGGTGGTCAGTTATAGTCAGAGTAGGGTGGATAGCGTGACGGATCTGGAGAGGAGGTGAGCTAGCGTCTGTGGAAACGTGTTCCTCATGATCAGATAGCTGATCCTCCAGATTATCGTCCCTAGGCTACGAAGCTGGTCTGAGGATATTATCGCTTATCCTGCTGAGGAACACACAACAAGCAGGCGGTAAAGTAAGCTGCCCGACTGATATCCTCCGCAGGCGAGGTGGCGGAAGGACCAGCTGACCCTCTTAGGATCCAAAACGGGAACATCGCCTGATCCCAATCCTCCAATTCGTCCATACCCAAGTATACAAATATTGCTTCGGCAAACCCGCCGACGGGCTCGAGCGGAGCGTGGAGGGCGAAGACGAATGTATGTCCGCTCGACCATTCACATGCTTGTCTCCTGATGAGCGACTGGGTGATACTGAGCTGATACATGTAGATATGTTGACAATGAATCAACCCCCTCTGACGCAGCACATCTCCATACCGAAAGACATGTCCCAGCTCTCTTGCGAGGCATTCACAGCTGGGATCGTCGAGGGCGTACTGGACGGACTGGACGTGGTGAGTCTGCTACACTGAAACTGTGAAAGGGTCGAGCTGACACCTCTAGCCTGCACGAGTCACGGCACATACGGTCGGGACGGATCAGTACCCCCAACGGACAGTGATTCTCATCAAGCTAGATCAGAAGGTGATGGACAGAGAAGAGGTGCTAGGCAAGTAGATCATGCATATCATCCGGAGCAACGCAGACTTTCCGAGGATGCGGAAGGGCAGATGGAAAAGACTGAACAGCAATGCATGACAAACGGACAGACCCAGATACAGGTATGAACAACATACAGACTACAACGCTGCGAGAGCGACTCAAAAAGCGGGAACGAGAAGGGGCGGTACGACAAGGTGGCGCGTTACAGGCGGACACCTTCGGGCATCTTCCTCATCCTGCTTGATCAGCTTATGCCTTTCCTACTATCCGACCCGGATCGAGATGTTCAACCGAAAGAGATACTCACGCCTGCCTGACACCAAGGTCACCCAATACCTCCTCCGCACCACCGAGAATCGCATCAAACTTCTGTGTCCTCTGGAACTGCTCAATCTGCTTCCCCATACCTGTCGGTATCAGCTTCAGTTCCATCCACACGCGGTTCGTGATTCTGCAGCTGCAATGAAACATACCAGTCTTGGTAAGACCACGACCACCAAAGATGTTGACCGCGTCATCCGCAATCTCGCCCGCGAAGCGCGTAGACTGCATCTTGAGGAACGCAATCTGTCCAGCAAGGTTCTTGGACTGTTCCTTGTATGACTAGCATGTCAGCTACACTGTCCTTCAAGCCTGACGAACGGGAATAGACTAGGTAAGGCGAGGAGACAGAGGGAACATACCATGTTGTTCATCTGGTAGGTGATGTTCTCGAGCCATGCCTGCGTTGCCTCGACCTTGGCAATCATGTGGGCAAACTTCTGCCTGATGACTGCTTGAGCGAGGAGAGGCTTGCCAAAGACGTATCGCTGAGAAGCCCACCTTACTTGTTAGCTCTCGTGCTCAGGCGGCAAAGCAGCGATCAACTCACTTGAGGCATTCCTCCACGACCATCCTGGAAGACCGGGCGGACGCGCAGCACATGACCCAACGCTCGTGCTATAGGGTCAGCTCGATCGTACGATTGGCGGTGCGGAGACCTGGAGGACCTAGCTGAGCAAGAACTCACGTTGAAGTTGGACAAGATGACGAGCAAGCCCCCATCCTCGGGACCAAGCATGTTCTCAGCCGGTACCTTGACATTGTCAAAGGTAATGTAAGCTGTTCCAGCGGAAGGCGAGTACGAAGTCTTGATGGGCTTGGTCTCGACGCCTTCGATACGGGGGACAAGGAAGACGGTGAGGCCGCCGTCGGTCTAGCCATATCAGCTTTGAACTCTTCTGCGATGCAGCCCTGGGGGAAGAGGTGAGCTCACCTTGCAGCCGACGGTAAAGTAGTCCGAGTGCATACCGCCCGTGATCCACTTCTTGGTCCCGTTGATGGTCCTTCTTGATCAGCTCAGTTCATCCAGAAGATGGCGGATGGTGAGCTCACCAGGTCTTGCCATCCGCATTCTTGGTCGCGGTGGTCCTGACACCCGAGACATCAGATCCAGCGAATGCCTCAGAGATGGCGAGACAAATCGACTACAGCGTCAGCTAGTACACTCTTTACGTACGACAAGCTAAGGGCCTGGACAGCAGACATACCTTCTCCCCACTGAACACCTCCTCGAGCACCTTGGACCGCAACGGCTCCTTGGCGAAGTTGAGGATAGGCGGAAGACCAATGACCATTCCCGAGTTGAGACCGTCACCATATCCCCTCGCACCTATCCGCGCGAGCTCCTGGTTGATCATAAGTTCGCTAAGTTATCAGCGATCATCCCGTATCATCCTTCTCCCCAAGTCGAGGAGCACCAGGTCTGAACGTACTGGAAGTAGTCAAACTCCTCCCCCTTGACCACCCCACCCATCAACTCCTTGCCATGCAGATGCTTTCCCGGACCGAGCCGCATCCGATTCATCCCATTCTTGGCCATCGCACTCAAGACCTCCTTGGACGCGCGTTTGCCGCTCTCCTCGCATGCCTGCGCGTCGGGCGTGATGACCTCGTCGATAAAGGTCCGCATGGACTTTTGGAGGGCGCGGTGCGAGGGCGAGTAGTATGGCGATTTGAATTCGGGCGTGAGCCAGGTGGGCTCGCCGTAGGGTACCTAGAGCATCAGCTTCATTGCACCTCGATTGCGGAGAGCTGCGAGCACAAGAGCTGACCTTGGAGATATCTCCAGGACGCATGACTTGGATCTTGGGGCTCTGGCCTTCGATCTGACCAATCTTGAGACGCTGGTACTGAGGCTTCTGGAGGATCTCGGAGCGGTGCCTGCTTGTCAGCTCCTCGTCCCGCCATTGCCGGCTGGGGGGAAGGTAGCTTACAAGCCATAGAAAACAGTGGTGGCGTCCTGCCCCGCCACCTCGGCATCGAGCAAGACACCCAGTCCACCGGGGTGCATAGCCCCAAACTTGCTCAGGTCATAGACGATCGAATCGACGATGACCCAGAGATCGCCTTCCTTGTTGTGCTACATAGGTCAGATTGGGACTGCTTGCTCGGCACAGGTAAGCGGCGGAGAACTGACCTTGGCCACTTCATCGGCCTTCATCGCCTTGAGCGAGGTGGTTTGCTGCTGCGTCGCCATTGTGCTTTGGTCGATTTGGATACTGTGGGATGTAAGGGTGGGTATTGTACGCTGCGACTGAGGGAGAGGAGAGGGGTGGAAGAGCGATGGTAAGAGCAAAAAGGAAGCTTGTTGAGCGAACGATCAAACAAATACCTCGCCACCGGTTACTTGCCCGTCCATTTCAGCCGGTTCCCACGCGTCTTGGGCTGTGCCCAATCACAGCACGCCTAACTCCTCCAGCCGAGGAATGCTTCACTCAAGCAATGGGATGCTAATGAGACATAGCGGGAGACATTTGTAGCAGGGGGATATTGGCATGAAACAGCTAATCGAACAAACGCAAGGGCCACGGACCACCCCCAAATCGAGTGAAATCGGGATCGGTGGGATGAGAAGAGACTGCGCGCAGGGGTGTAATCACAGTAATGCGACGACATCGATACATGCTCGCTGCATTCAGTTCATTGGACATTTGAGCACATCTGCTACCTCTTCTTCCGTCTGCAAAGGTCAGCCTACGAGCATGTCCAGCATAAAAGACCGACATACACTTTGGTTCACTCCTTCCTTGCGACCCGCTTACTGGCCGTGGTGGTCGTGTGTCTCTACAACATGAGCTCGCCGTCCAGTCCACAACGGTGGAAATGACCGTGCAACTCACTCTTGACAGTCTGGTCCTGCATTGCCTTTGTTGGCCCACCGCTCGGCGCAGCCTGGTCGGCCTATACATCAGCTTAGACCCCTACTATTCCATGCCGCCATGACAGTGCGGGAGCAAGCTGACCTTGACGGCGGCCTCAGAGTCAGACTATGATATTAGATACGATCTCGTCCGCATTGAGCGAGAGGAAAGGATACGACACTCACAGCAAGCTTCTCGTTCCATCCCGGAGCGTGTTCTGGGTGCGGGTTTGAAGAGTCCTGCTCGCCCTTCAAGTTGCGCTTCTTCTCCGTCTCGAGCGTCTGTTACGCGGTGACATCAGGTCAGATATAGGTGTTGAGCATGAGCATGCGAGGGGATAAAGCGTCGAAGAATGCAATTCGAATAGGAGGCAACTGTCAGCTACATTCTTTTCCGCATGTGAGCAATCCCGCTCCTTTCCTAAGACCGGACGCGCATCCCCAGCGATTTCCCATGCCCTAGCCCGGCTTTCCTACACCCTCTGCTCTAGGTCCTCGGGACAGCAGCAGGACTGAGACTCACCTTGGGGTCCTGTCCGTGGACAGCGGAACCGGAAGACATAGCCCGGGCGTACACGCGCGCGACGGGTGCCGGGCGGACAGCGATCAGACGAGCAGGGAGGCGCATAGAGAAGGACATTGTGTTGCTGGATGGGTCTATGGGAGTTAGACAAGGAGTTGTATATGATAGATGTAGGGTGAAAGCAGATCTATATTCGCTGCAACCTCGCTGACTGCCAGCTGCAGGCCAGCTAGAATTGGTCGGCTTTCCTCGGAGGGAGTGACGTCACGACCAAAGCGGGACATGCCGGTCGACGGATTACCACGTGGTGATGGGTAGACGCGACTGTCTTGTGGTGGCAGGAAAGTGGCGGGAGGAATGAGTCGCCCTGTAACTCATAGCGATTGCAGCGTTACACCCGCGGCAGTACGTTTGAATGAGCTCAAGGACACCTCGGCACAATGAATACCCTTGAGGTCACCATGGCAGGCATGCTTGCCTATATCCCGCTGATCATGAGAGATGAGTACAGCGCGTGCCTTATTTCATCAACGCCTGAGACATCTGGCCGTGATGGCTAGGATCCTCGCCGGCTCCCAGCAAAATCTTTGGGGAATAAGTAGCCAGCCTCTGTACCTGCCCGCCTCCTTACTTACGTAGAGAGAAGGCGGATCATCAGCTATAAGATCTTAGGGGGGACACCATCCTCTGCTCTCTATCCATCCAGTCCCTGCTCTCATCATCACCCACCGCTTCTGCCGTCCCATCACCTCCTCTCACCTCCTCCCCCACTCCCAGTACCCCATCCTGGATCTACAATGCCGCCAGGCAAGATTACATGTGTTCCCCCTCGCCGTACAGCCCCTCTCTGCTCATACCCCACCCTCCCCAATTCCCTCCCCTACCATGACGACCTCGCGGATCTCATCGGCGGCCTGTCCGTAGACGACCCCAAGCGGAAGGTACTCCTAGATGAGCTGGAGGAGCTCGAGCTGTATCTCGAGAACCTCGGATCCCACCTTCGAAAGATCCCTTCCCCCAAACCAGCCCTCACTCCTCCCCCCGCATACAGCGCCGCTCCTCCTCCCCCTCCAGCCCCGCTCGACCTCCAAGCCCAGCTGGATCTAGCCATAGTCTCGCAGTCGGACCGTCACCCAGACTTGGACCATGCTCGACATAATACGGCCAGCTCGGCTCAGCGACGTACCGCCGAGCCGCACGGTATAAGGCGGGGCGGACATAGGAAGATCAGGCAGTCTCTTGCGTCCAAGGCGGTCTGGGAAAAGGTGGAAAGGACTCGGGCGAAGCGGGCAAAGAGGCAAAAGTGGGCCAGAAATCCAGTGATGTGTGTGGTGTGGCATACAGGGAGAGGGATATACAAGGCCCCCGGCTCTGTGTATCGCCTAACTATGGGGCTTGCATCCATGTTCGTACGCCTTCCTACTGGTATGGGAGTCCGAGCTGACAGGCAGAACGCGTAGCCACTTTCAGAAGAAGCTCAACAGTCGGCGCAATCGCCTGGCGTTGATGCATCTCCGAAGCCCCACTCCTCCGCCAGAACCCGCTTCAAAATCCTCCTCGTCTTCCATCTCCTCTCCTCAAATCGTCAAGAACAAGGACACTGGGATGGGTGCAAGATTGGTACGCGTCCCCGCGACCATGGCCGCTTTTGGGAAGTTGTCCGCTCTGCGGGTCTGGCGGGAGGTGAAGGCGGTCAAGGAGCTCATTTGCCACAAGGAAGAGGATTGGGATATCTAGATAGTGCTGCATCTAGGTAGAGCATAGGTGTCGGGACAGAGAGCCTAGAGGATATGCAGCATCTACAACAGGTGCACACATGAGGTCAAGCATGAGCAGGAGGTGGCTCGACGCAAGGCTCGACATGGTGGCTGGACTCGGGAAGTTGGTTCCGGGGCCAGTTTCGTCGGATCCGGGCTGCCACATCAACCATACTTTTGGCTTTACCTGCTTGCTCTTCACTCGTGCATCTCCTCCATAGCGACCGGCTCACCCAACAAGATGGCGCCCGATAGACCAGCCTGGATAGTCAAAGATCTTGCAGAGCTGCTAGGATTTGGTAAGCTCCTCAGCTCGCCATGAAAGGTGAACTGCAAGAAGAGACTGACTCGTCGGCGTAGACCAAGACTCGATTTCTCAGCTCGTCATCCCCGACTTGGAGACCTACACATCCGAAGCGAAGCTCAAGGCCCATCTTCAAGTAAGTTAAGACTTTTCCCTGACTCATGTGAGATTCAAGCTGACATTTCAGGACTTCCTCGGTCCCGGCCCCCAAACCAAAGCCTTCATCTCCAAATACCTCTCCCACCAATTCCCTCGCCTCCCCACTGTCGAAGCGCCCACGGTCCCTGCTGGTCCGGTCAAGCCACTCTTCTCCCAACCTGCCAGGCCATACAGCAGCAGCGCCGCCTCCGCATCTGGCTCGGTGTCCGCCGCATCTGGTCGTTCCGGCCCAGGACCCTCATCCTCGTCCGGCGGAGGACTTGGCTTCAATCGTCAGCCGCCTCCACACGCTATCCCCGATGCGCTCGAAGCGGCCTTCGGGAGCGGCGGTGGAAAGGTGTACCAGAAGAACCGGGATGCGGACCAATCGTCGTTTGGCGGATCGGTACGGCACGGGAGTACAGGTACTGGCGTTGTCGGTGGAGGGAGCGGATCTACCACGCCCAGAAGCCAACAGCCTATGCGTCATGCTGGAGCAGTGACGATTCTCGATGCGCGCGCGAGTGGAGCCAGCGCGAGTCAGAAGGGCAAGCAGAGGGCGGTGGAGAAGGAGAAGATATGGGACGCGCCCAAGTCGGGCGCGGTTAAGAAGCTGGAAAAGATCTTGGAGGATCTGAGGGTTATGCAGAGGAGTGAGGGGAAGGTGAAGCGGGTAGATGAGGGGAAGGAGTGTTTCTGTCAGGGTAAGTGTCCCCCTCCCTATCTGCCCACATGTCATCTGTGATTCTAGCTGACTCTTCAGCCCGCCTACACCCCCTCTCAGCCTACACACCCCAATGCGCAGCTTGCGGTCTCATCCAATGCCACACCCAACCTCCCGACCGCGCCTGCCCATCCTGCCTCCGACCACTCATCACCCCCTCGGCCCTCGCGCGGCTTCTCCAGCGCGTCCAAACCGAAATCGAGGATACACTCGCCGCGGAGCAGTACGCGCGGGAGGAGATCAAGCGGGCGGACCAGCGGAAGGCCGAAGTGGCAGCTTCATTCCCTTATCTCGCCGGTACGGCAGGCGCCCCACCTGCTTCCACTGCAGCGTCCTCAGAGGCGGGTCATAAGGTGTTGACGATCGGAAAAGGAAAAGGACGGATCACATTGACGACAACAACGACGTATCCTGTCGTCCCGGCAGCTCCGGCCGAGCCAGAACGGTATTCGGAGGCGGTGATTGCAAGGCCGAGGTCCCCGCCGTTGGAGGCGGCAAGGGTCGAGAAGGAGCTGGCGAAGACTCTGAAATGGCGGGAGGCGGAGGATAGGCCCTGGGGTGATTTGAAGGCCGCCAAGAAAGGTACAGGCTGGGCGTATGTCGAGCAGCAGATCGTGGAGGTGATAGAGGAGGACAGGGTCGGCAGGCGGAAGGGTAGGAAAGGAAAGGGAACGGCGGGCGTGGATGGACGAGTCGTTCCTGGGGCATCTGGGATTCCTGCTTAGACCACATTTTGCCCAAATATATCTTGCATAGCATATACACAGCATCCACAATGGTATTTGACTAGATATACTACAAGCGATGCACTGCTCCCTGACGGGGCGACATGGGAACGCCCTTCCCGCCTAGCCTCTAGACTACCGCTTCCACCGCAGTTACCCCCGCCGGTGCCACCGTGGCATAGACGACCCTCGCTCGCTCCGGCGTCATTGGCACCCTCCCCGCTTTCAGCGGCTTCTCACATCGATTGATCTCGGCACACCGTTCCCTCGCGCCGGCCTTGAGACGGGGCACCTGCCCGCCGTTCTTCCGTAGGACTTTGCGGAACATGGCGTGTAGATCGCGGTTGAGGAAGGCTTTGGACTGTTTGAGGGCGTAGGGCAATTTCATGTCGTCGGGGATACTACCGTATCAGCTTAGGCCCTTGTTCTCCATCATCATGGCAGACACGGAAGCTGAGAAAATCGCGGTGGATAGACTCACTATCGCTCGATCGGGGTGACCAGCGCCTTATTGACCATCTCCAACAGCATCGTATAGTTCTGTTGCTGGTACGAGTAGACGTAGGGTGGTCCGATCGCCATGGCGGGTCCATGCTGATAATACCTATGATGTCAGCTAGAGCGCTGATTCCAAATGATAGCAACCAAATAACTGACCCAGCATAGTACTCAAATCCTCCTTTCCACAAATTCAGCTCCAGAGCTCGATAAGGCAGAACGACCGGCGTGCCTTGACATCTGCAGTATCAGCTGATATCGCGCCAGAGTGAGACACAAACAAACTGACAAGGCCGTATACACGCTCGGTGAGATCGGCGGGTGACCCATCCCGAGCAGCACCTTGGAGCTACCGACGAGATCCTCGTATGCCTCGCGCGATTGCCGACCGAGTGTGCTGAGTCCCTCGGGCATCGGTTTGCCCGCTTCATCGTCCGCCGTTGAGAGCAGGTCAAAGTTGGGCTCGCGGGACAGGTCGGTCCAGAAGTGTTTTGGCGGCATATGGGGGAGGTGGAAGTAGCCTGGATGTCAGCTCTTGAATTTTGATAACGCTGAATGGAGAGGTTGACTGACTGGACCGCTTGGCGAAGATGAGGACGGAGTTGTTCCGCTCATCGTGCGGCTTGACAGGTATGCTCAGGCAGTACTCTTCAATTGAGTATGGAAGGTGAACGTGATTTGGCATAGGCCACGGTCTGAAGTGTCAGCTTTAAGTTGGTCAGGAAGATCCGGCAACTCACGTCGATATCCACGCTGTACCGAGAGAATGGTATGACCACTCCCCGTGTTCCGTCAAGCCCCAGTACCAGTCGTTATTCGATACCTCTTTCGGTAACGAGCCCCACTGGGAGTGTCAGCTCTTCTCATCATCACGACGAGACAAACTTCACAGCTCACATAGTCGACTATCTGGAGACGCCAGATCGGGATCACCCCTCTCTCTTCATTCGGCACCGACAGGCTCAGATCCTCAGCGTCGAGTGGCGGTACGTAGTGTTCTGCGGCAACACAGCGGGGGTCGGTGAAGCACGAGATGATTTCCAGCTCGGGGGCCCAGACGAAGCGGCTGCTTGTCAGCTATCATCATCCTGGAGTGTAGGAGACAGACAGCTCACTAGACATTGGGCATCATCTCGGCGACGGTGATCCAGTTCTCATAAGCCCCTACGAAGAGCGTCATGATCCCGTATGACTCGAACTGCTTGAGCTACCTCCGTCAGCTTGGGGTCTTTTCAGGGCAATGGGACCCAGAGAGCTCACGACTGATTCTTGCCATATGACCTATCGATATCAGCTTACGGCTCCGCTTCCTGCACGCGTGAGAGGACCAGCTTACCTCGCCGGAAGTACCGTGATGTATGGTCATGGCGGACCACCAGTAACCGTTGACAATCACCGGCCTGTCTGGACAGCGAGTGTAGTTCGCATGGTCGGTAGGGAGGAAGCATCGAGTGAGGTTGTATAGAGTAGCGACGTTCGGCTCGTATGTGAACCACCAGTGTTGGCTGCATAGTCAGCTTGGGTCCCCTAAAGACAAGTGACCATGTAAGCTGACTGTTCCCGCAGATTCTCCCTCCTCAATACCCGCTGTACTTGCCTATACTGCCTCGCCCTCAGACATCCCTCCGGATCATTCTCCTCCCCCTGCTCCGGATCCCATCCCCTACAGCTCCCCACCCCCAATACCTCCTTCCCCTTCTCAAAGGTAGATCCCAGCCGACTGCCTATATCCCCCAGCTCGCCCCACTCGACCCATTCTCCCCAGCCTCCAGGCGCATCATTGCTCGCTGCATCTGTGCTTGCCGTGTAGAGATGTCCGGTGGGATGGGTGTGGAGGACGGTAAAGTAGATACCGGAAAGGAGGGTAAAGGCGAGGATGAGGACGGCGAAGGGCGGTCTCCGGGTCGGTCGGAAGCGGAATAAGGAGGATCGGGAAGTATAGGTGGAGCCTGATGGGTCGGGGGAGGGGGGAAGTCTGATGCGAAACTGGAAAGGGCGGAACATCGGTTAGTGAGCAGCGTGTGAGAGGTGTAAGCTATATAGACAGAGTACAAAGGCAAAGGGAGATCGAGCATCTAATGAACTATATCGAAGCGATACAATAAGTCATCAACGCGCCGCACAGACCCGAAAATTTGGTCCGGTACGGGAAGCGAAGCGATCACTCGAAACACAGTTATCAGACACACACACGACCGCGTTAAAGGGGGTATTAGGTTCAAAGGATGTCCGCTTACCATGGAACTTACAGAGTAAGGGCTGTGGCTGAGTGGCAATCCACTCATCCTCTCTCCGAGATGTGTAGTCTGATGTCTTTTACATGGCTTGAGACGAGCAAGACATGGGACAACAGGAGAAGAGCACAGACAGGAGCACAGACGCGATCAGCATTCCTCTGTTTCAGCCCCGGGTCGGGTCCGGGTCCGATCTCAATTTAGCTCAGTTCGGCTAAAATTCCCGATGTGGCAACTAGTGCACCTTCCTCAGGCGTTCTATTATGAGCGTTCACTGTGGAGCACGCAAAGCGGATAGCGCAGGTACAGCATGCGAGAGCACAGCTGGCCCCAGCTCACTCAAAACACAGTCTACTCGGTGCAACAGTATAGTCAGACTGATCATTGCATACCACTTACACCGACATGCCTGCTATGTCGGCCGACACCACGAGTTGGCACCCATCCCTTGGGGCCAAAGTACTCATTCAGGTCCTATGCATTGGAGCCATCAAGCTCTGTAGTGAGCGACAGCTGGCTGTAAGTGACCCAACGTATCAGTGATGAGTACTCGCTAACAATCAGCGATGGCTTGCATTCAATGAGGCCGCCCCGCCGACGACAGTGAGCAAGACTACGCCAGAGCCGACAGTGGCCAAGACTTGGAAGGAGCAATGGTCGGGCCGGCTATCCGCCTTCCTCATTTTCGCAACCTTCCTGCTACCTATGGCGGGGCTGCTCGGTCCGTTCAACGAGGGCGGCATCATGCAGCTTTGTCTCGTTGACGGCCCGTGGGGTCTTTTCATGCTGCACATGTGGACCACATCTTTCGCTACAGTCAGTGCCTCTTCACAAATAACATCGGCAGTCAACCACCTGGTATACATGCTGACCAGTCACAGGCGCTGTATGGCATCTTCCCGCCCGCTCGGACCATCCGCAAACTGCGCCAGAACAATGACGACAAGACGTGGGCCTTTGAGCAGGTCACCGACGGACCTACCTCTGGCTTCCGATGGAGTAACCCCAAAGTCAACAAGGTCGCAGGGTTCCTTTGCGCCACGCTCCTCTTCATCTCGGCGTACTTTGACGGTAAAGAGCTCTTCCCCCTCGCTTGGGCCGCACAGGTCGTATGGGCTCTGGTCGGCTGGCATGCGCCAAGAATCCGAATGAAGGCGATAGTCATGATCCAGCTCGGTGTTGTCGTGAGTTGCGTGTGATGTCGTTGCTGGACACTAGCTCACGCATCATAGCTTCTGTTCGTCGTCATCGGAGGTCTCGCGTACCTGTTCGGGCAGGACAACAGATCTATCCCGCCTGAGACACAGTCATCCTCGGATGGGCACCCGTCCCCCTGGTTACTTCGCATTACGAGCATTGTCAGCTCACTCATGGTTTTTTGTGTCCCTGGCATCTTTGTGAGTGAATCGCGAGATCGACCTAGAATGCCCAAGCTGATATCGTCAGATTCAGTTCAATATGCGGTATGAACACACCCGCGTCGCACCCACTTCCATCCGGATCCCCTCGGCCCCCGGCGAGCCGGTATCGATCAACCACAAGGCCCCGCAGCCAAAGCTACCTCTGTATGAATTCACCATCGCAGCTCTGATTGCAAGCTGCTCGCTCGCCGATTCCTTGTCGTTCTTCGGAGCCAGCAGGAACTTCTCGGTCGACCAGATGATCATCATCAATACGGCTATACCGCTTCTTGTGGGCGGGACGGCGGTGTACACCTTCTTCCGCGGAGACTTGAAGGACTGGTGGAACTATACCGAGATGTAAGCTAGGTCGTACCCTCAAATGGGAAGCTGAAGCTGATTGCATAGCTACCGACAGGACATTGACCTGGAGACGGTAACGGAGGTAGACGAGCATGGGAGGGAAATCCCGGTAGACGAGAAGCGACCGGTCACGCCCTGAGGCCTGAGGCTTTCATCCAGTCACAGAGCTCGAAGTTTCTCGTTCCTATATTTGCATATTGTACACAGTTCCGCCTGCTCGCTATGTACCCTGTGTCATACCGATCCATGCCACTCATCGCGTAGCGCATAGGGCAGATATCGACCGGCCAGCATTCCTCGTTTCAAGCCGCTCCGAGCTGCCGAACCTGCCGCTTTCAATGTGCGCTAGACCCAAGGTAGTAACTCCGTCCACTTGGCATCTTCTTGTTTGTGGAGCGCCTGCATTGCGGTGCCGCCGCGGCCAAAGCCAGCGCACTATGCAGCTCACGCTGACATCGTACTCCAACCCATCATCGATATGTCCACTGCAGCAACCTCAGCCGCCGACTTTACCTGGAATCCGTCCCTCGGGATCAGGATCCTCACTCAGCTCTTCTGCATTGGAGCAATTGAACTATGCTGCGAGCGGCAGCTGGCTGTAAGTCATTGCTCATGCATGACATCCATGGCGAGACTCGCTGACTTCCAGCTCTGGACAGCGATCAAGCAAGCTAGCCCGCCCACGACAGTCGTCAAGACCGCGCCAAAGCCGCCCGTCCCCAGGACATGGCAGCAGCGATGGAAGAACAATGCTATCAACATAGGGATGATGATCATGCCGGTGCCGGGACTGCTCGGTGCATTCAAGAAGGGCGCTCTTATTCCGCACTACCTTATCGACGGCCTATGGCTCGGGATCATGATGTGGGTGTGGACAAAAGCTTTTGCCTCCGTAAGTGACGTCAGGCCTAGAGCTTGGCGATTACTGACACCTTCTCAGGCGCTCTATGGCATCTTCCCCCGCGCCCGCTCTGTTCACAGACTACGGAGAAGCAACGACGCCAAGAATTGGGACTTTGAGGTGGAGACAGTTGGCCCGACGTCTGGTCACCGGTGGACCAACCCCCACGTCAACCTCTTCGCTGGCTTCCTCTGCTCAGCGCTCCTCCTCACGTCTTCATACTTCGGCAGTAGCGACCTCCTCCCCCTCGCCTGCGCCGCGCAGATCATATCGGCGCTCGTCAGCTGGTACGCGCCTCAGTTCAAGATGAAGGTACTGGTCATGCTCCAAGCGGGAGTTATCGTGAGTCATTCGGCACTGCTTCTTCATCACTTAGCTGATGCAACTCAGCTACTCTTCGCCTTCGTCTACGGTATCGTCTTTCTCGTTGGCACCGGCAAGAAGTCGTCCCCTCAAGACATGGCGGAATTCGCCAAGGCTTACCCCGCGCCATGGTTGCTCAGAATCATGGCCGTGGTCAGCTTCAACCTGATCTATTCCATCCCTGGCGCCTTTGTAAGTCTTCCCTGACCGGTTCATATCTTGCACTGACCTCGCAGATGCAAGTCAACATGCGGTATGAGCACTCCCGTGTCGCATCCGCTCCGACCCCCTCAGCACCTGGCGAGGCCGTCCTCGTCAACCACAAAGCCGCAGTCCCCGCCCTGCCCTTGTACCGATTCACCATCTTCGCACTCATCGCCTGCTGCCTGACCGCCGATGCCTGGTCGTATTACACGTCTAGCGAGAACTTCGCCGCCGATCACTTGCTCCTGCTTCTCATGGCTATACCGGCCATCGTGGGCGGGACGGCGGTGTATACTTTCTTCCGGGGAGACTTTAAGGATTGGTGGAACTATTCCGAGAAGTAAGTATGGCCTTCAGCGCAAGTGGCGCAGCTGATAAGCCAGATACCGGCCCGAGATCGACCTGGAAACCGTGAAGGAGGTGGACGAGGATGGGAAGGAGGTGGGGGCAGAGACGGCCGACGAAAAGCGGCCGATCACTCCTTGATTCTGAGTATCGACACGAGCTATCTTTCGCGCTTCTGTAGCTGCACCAGCCTGCCATGTATCCCATAGTATCCTCTACCTGCTCGTCGGCCTGCGAAGAGGCAATCGAGGTGCCTTGATCATCGGCACCCCAACGTGAAATGGGGCTCCATAATAGCTCCCGTTACGGATGCGCAGTCGCGTCAGCGGGGAAACGTCATCCTCCGATAGCGACTCGGCGAGGAGACCCCGTTGGGCAGCGACAACGGCCGAACAGACGACGAGCCTGCATATTGTACTATTTTTCATCCCCGCCCATCTTGTCTTGTTCATCTATACCCCTACCCGACTGCACACCAGAGATCTAGCAAGGAAAGCCCAGCAAGCCTGAGCGCTGAGCACCGCATCTCCGGACGACGCCGCTTAGCTCGGCCCGGACTTCCAGATCTTTCAGCTTCATCTCTGCTGACTACCTCCTACGTTTCAGCTTGACACTACCTCACAGCACCGGATCACTTTGTCGACGACCGTCATCCATCAGCTCCTACTTCATCGTTATTGGTATAATCCCCTGCTCATCGCTCTGGAGTGACTTATCAGTAAGTCGGCTTTCTTTGTCCGAGCTCATTGGCCATGTCCCTTTAGCGCCATGCTCATGCTTCTTAGGCTCATCCCTCCTTCGACGAGCGAGAAATCGGTTGAACGCGTCGCCACATTCGGTCCTATTCGCTTCAACAACTCTACAAGGAGTGCCCTCTACTATCTCAGCTCGGACCATTCCTTAGTGGATAGGCAGGATGGGCAACTCCTCGTCGTCCCCCTCGAACCCCGGGTCGCCGAACCCGGGTGCCTCATCCACTAGCGCTACCGCGCCTGGCGCATCTCAATCCGCCACCCTCCCTCGCTCCTCTTCGCGACCCATCACTACCGCAGGGTCCGGCGCCCCATCCACCTCAACCTCCGATCGCCCTGCCTTCCACTCAGGCCTCACCCCACCCGCTCACCCCCCCTCGCCGCCCGCACCATCCACGCCCCTACTCCTCCCTCATGCTGGTCATCTATCGCCGCAGAACCCCCACGCCCTCTCCCACCCGCAAGCACACGACTACTCAAAAACGGTAGTCACGCGACTCATCATGGAGGCCAAGCTCGCGCCTTTCTACCGCGGCCTGGAGGACTACGAGGAGGACTGGTCCCTCGACGATATATCCAAGGTGGTCGATGAGGTCAGGGCGGCGGATCTCGAGGGAGGAGTGAGCAATAGCGTGACGGAGCGGATGAAGGAGGATAAGGCACAGCCGGGCGGGGTGGGCTCAGTGGCCAAGAAGATGGGCATCAACAAGGCCAAGGCGGCAAGGGAGAGGGAAGAAAGGGAGGCGGTGCTAGACAGGGAGAAGAGGGCTTACTTGAACGCTACAGAGTGTCCTATATGTTTCCTCGTGAGTAGGAATGTCTGCCTATACAACTGGACATGAGCTGATTCCAGAACTATCCCCCAAATATCAACACCTCGCGATGCTGCCAACAACCCCTCTGCACAGAATGTTTCGTCCAAATCAAACGGGGCGATGCTACCCTCACCCACCTGGAATCCGACCCCGCCTGCTGTCCCTACTGCATGGAAACGGATTTCGGGGTAATATATGAACGGCCACCCACACCCACATCGACCCAGCGGTCCATGTCGTCCTCGGCCCTCGCTACTTCTCCGGAGGGCGCGACGAGCGGGTTCAGCCAGGCATTGAGTCTGGGGGATGATGATGATGCGGATCTGAGCATGGGGCCGGGAATGGCGCCAAAGGTGCAGGAGACGGTCAGGCGGAAGAGTGTGAATGCGAAGGATAAGCAGGTGGTCACCATCGGTGAGTTCTGCCGCTTCCCCCACCGGGCAAAGCTTACAAAGCAGACGAAATCAGGCCGGATTGGGAGGACAAGCTGAATGCTGTCAAGGCTGCAGCTGCACGAAAGGCGTCGAGGCGGATCGTCATGCGCCAAGTGGGAGATCGACTCGTACCTATCGGCTTCACCTCGTCTCGCGCGACGGGCACAGCGGATTTCAGCATGTCGATCGGGACGGGGACGGATGAGAATGGATCGAGGAGGAGACGAGCTGCACCTGGACGAGAGCGAGATCTGGAAGAGGTCAGTCCTCGCCAGTACTTTCGGTGGATTTGAGCTGATCTCGTAGCTTATGATCATGGAGGCGATGAGATTATCGGTGATCGACCACGAAGAGCATCAGCGGAAACAGACGACAGTGGAACCAGGAACCAACCTCGGTGGCGGACCCCCTCCCACAAACACCTCCGGCTCTACCACCCCCATCCCCAGCGGCGAACCCAGCACCTCCACCTCCTCATTCCGCCGTCGAGCCGGAACGGAGGGATCCAACTCCCAACCTCCTGCGCCAGTTAAGGAGAAGGCGACCTCCAAGCTGTTTAGCAAATTTGGGAATCGGAGTCGGTCAGGAAGTAATGCGAGCCAGCGGGTGACGTTTGCGCCGGACACATCGAGGCGGGGAAGTATTGCCGGGATGGGGATGGGCAGTGGACTGGGAAGCGGGGCGAGCTCGTCCTCGAACTTACCGGCCGGAGGCGTGGACCACTCGCCTGGCCCAAATCCGTCGAGCCCGCTTGTACCAACTACGAGCTCGTCGACGGCCACGGTTACATCTAGTCCGCTTAGTTCGGCGCCAGGGTCGGCGGTGCCGAGGATAAGTCTGGATATGGCGCCGTTAACGCCAGAGCCGGCGTTTGGGGCGGGGGCGGCGCGGAGTAGTGTGGATACGACGAGGACGGCGTGAGGGAGGGGTTCAGGGTGGGATAGTGCGAGGGTGGTAAAAGGAAGGACCAGGCGGGGGTGTATCAGTATTGACTCGTGGCTGAGGAAGGTGACCTATGCTTCGTTTTTTCGTACTCTAGTCATCACTTCCGGTATATCAGGGATGTACAATTTAAGTTCGCCTCGATTCATACATCATCGTACTGCAAAGTATGGCTACATGTCAAGCATCGGTCGCTCGAGTGATCTGCCTTTCTCATACGCATCCAGCTGTTACATGTCCTCCTTCAGCATGGAGGCGCTCACTGCTACCTACCGTAAAGACCAGAAAACATTTACAACGCGAATTGTCTAAGGAGAGTTCATGATGCACACATCCCCCTTGCACCCGCCTTTACCACCGCCTTACGATCCAGATCCACCCCACTGCCATCTTCCGCCTCTACGATTTTGCTCGAGCCTTGCAGATCGCCTACACGCTAACGCCATACCGGATCACTGGGTTGATATTAGGTGGCCTGAACAGTCAGCTCTCCTGCATTTCGCGTAAAGAATGAGGGGGACCCACCAGCTTCTGCGCTTCGGCCGCGCTGTGCTCTGTCAACTCCCTATCCGCCTCCCTGAGCTCCGCCTCCTCCTCCAATGTAAAGATAGACCCCTGCTCCTGTTCGTCCAGCCACTCAATGAACGGCACGAAAGTGATGGAGTATTTGGGGACGTCGAGTTTCCCGCCGTGGCATGCGTATCCCCCCCAGTCAGGGCCGCGGAAGCGTTCCACCGCGGCTTGTATGTCCTCGCGTCCGAGGTGGAAGGCGACGCCGAAGCTTCTGGGCGCGACGATACGAATGGGGTGATAGTATGATCGCTTGACGAGGTCGATCATCCAGCTGCCCCGCCGCGCCGCGATGACAGACTTCCCCATCTCGGAGTCGGTCCACCCAGTGACCGTCTTCTCTGACCCCTTCGGCGGCAAGAGGACTATAGACTCCAGGACGCCGGACCCATTGTCATCACAATCGATGAACTGCGGCATATTTTCCAAGCGCCACGCGAGGGGCACCAGCAAGGTGGCGCCAGTCAAGCTTCCGATGTTGTAGGTCCGGTCGAAACCCAAAGGCCACATCCGCATGGTCCGTTTCCGCCTCCGCCTCTGGCTCTCGAATCAGGTGCTCCACCTGTTTCCGAGTGAGGTGTATCACCAAATGCGCTGTCTTGGTCCGGGATCGGAGGCCCGAAGGGCCCGAAGGGAGTTCGAAGCGCCAGTCCCACAAGTGGTAGGTAGTAAGTTCGGGGTAGACGACGACCGTCTGGATGTCGTCGAGGCACCCTCGTGGGACCGCCGGAAATGCGACGCGCTGGTCAAAGTCGACGTACTGCAACGACCGGACGTGCTGAAGTGCCTCCCGCAGGTAAGGCGAGAAGGATCTACCGAGGAGACCTGAGGACGCGCCCCGTTTGCTGGCCGCCCGACCGGTGTCCAGCATGCTCGATAGCTGCTTGGACGTGACGCGAAGGGCGCGATAGAGGGAGGGTACGGTGAACTGGAAGAGTTGCTTGGAGCAGCGAAGTAGGGTGGCGAGGGTGAAAGGGGGAGAGTGGTCGATGATGAGGGAGAGGATCAGGGGGTGCGCGAGGACGTCCAGCGGCTTTGTGACGGGCGCATGAGTGACGGACGAGGGAGGCTAATGCGTCAGTCAGGTCGCTCTTGAACTGGGATCGCATGGGTCTCTTCCTTGAAGCAGCTGGTCCACAGGTACATGCCGACAACAGGCTGGAGTGTGGGGAGGGAAGGAAGCGGGACGCGATACCTTACCTTGATTGCCGCCTTTTGCTCAGGCTTCTCCGCTGCTTTCACCTTGGTCGCGACGACGCGCTTTGAGCTTCTCTTCTTGGCCGGCATGATTGGACCGAGCTGACCACACAGTGGGAGTGGTATGTATCGTCGGAGAAAGAAAGACCGGATGGAGCTGGTCTTACCGCAGCTCCACATTCCTCGTCCTAACAAAACTTTTATGCCTCTTTCTGAATCCGGTGGCGACCAGTATGAGCTATCGCAGAATACTGCACAGGCGGCCCCTTTGTGCCCGATCAGGGACAGTCGCTATCACTGTTTACTCTCATGACGTGTGATAGTGTACACCCAGCTCCTTCCCTTGGTACACAATCTCACGTATCCGTTCCTTCGCCTCTCAATCCGCATATGCCATCTCCCTCGTGCCCGCTCCCATACTCCATAACCTCCGTCCCCGTCTCCGTTTGACCCCATCTTCTCGTCTCCACCTCAATGTTGCATCTTGTTCCATGTCCCAGCCAGTCCGTATCGATCGTCCTATACCCGTCAGGTTCTCCCCTGAATCGCCTCTGAGAGTTCCGAGTTCTGCTCACCTCGGACTCCGTAAACGCCCGGGCTACCAGCGCCTTGTCCGCCTTCCTGAGCTCCAGCTCCTCCTGCGCGCTGAAAACCACGCCGTGCTCCTGCTCGTCCAGCCATTCTCGGAAGGTTTGGAAGATAAGAGGAGCCCCGGCGGCAAAATCCAGCCGTCGAGCGCGGTAAATGGGGAGACGGTCCGCCAGGTCCGCAGCGGTGTAGCCGTAGTATTCGGCGCCGACAATGCGGACGGCATATCTCGGCCGTGGAATAAGTATCTGTGTCACGATTCGGTTCCAGACCCCTGTCGTAGCGGACGAGCCGAGAACTGTAGCTGGCGCCTTTCCGGACGGAAATGTTGGTAATAGGACGTGAGTGAAAAGCTTGAGCTTGACGCTCAAGGACTCGCTGAGGGGGGAGAATAAGGGAACGTCGAGAAAGGCCGGAAGTGGGAGAAGGAGTGTCAAATCTGTGACCGAGGTCGGACGGTGGTCGAGACTGAGTTGCGCCGGCCACGCAGATGATGCACTGCGCAACATCCGAACGAAGACGTGGGTGATGTTCCGATGCGTGTGAAGGATGTCTGGGCCATTGAACGCAAACCACATGAGGCCGGGATGCGAAGAGTTGGCAATCATAGTGTGCGTGCGATCGAGACATCCGGGCGGAATTGCGGGTTGGGAGCAGGAGTACGCGTGCGTCTCATCCGTATAGCAAAGGGTCCGTACATGACCCAGAGCTTGTCGCATGGTCGCGCTCGACCGCCCCAGCGACCCTCTCCCAGATGCTGTCAGGCGATTGGACCTTGGCCAGCATGTTTCGAGCATATCCAAAAATTTCGGCTTGGATACCCGTAGATTCCGGTATAGTCGAGTGGCTGCGAACTCGAACGTGGATTTTGAGCACCGAAGGAGTAGGGCGAGAGCGGGAGGGGAAGAGCAGTCGATGATGAGCTCGAAGATGTGGAGATATGAGGAAGCGTTGAGGGTGCCGGGAGGTGTATGACGGATTGAAGAAGGGGTATCGGTTTCGAGGGTGGTAGGGGTGAATTCCGCTCGTGTGCGCTTGGAAGCAGGAGTAATGGGGGTTGCGATAGCGGAATAGCGGGATTCTTGGTCGTACTCTGTCTCTTCAGTGAAGTATCCTGCCTGGGAGGTGTAGTGAACGGATCCCATGAGGTACAATGTTGACTGACAGGTGAGATACCCACGCGTGCAGCGGCACCCCTATTCTCCGTTTCCTTTCTGTCCCTTGCCCGCCACTTTCGTCTTCTTCTGCGAGCCCCTTGTAGCCGGCATAGTCTCTGATTAATGTGCTTGCGGATGTAGATGGTGATATGAGAAGAGCTAAGACGAGGGGAAGACGTGATTCATCAAACTTTGAGCTTTGGATGAGTCAGGCTGATGACATCATGTTCGAACTCCTCATTCCTGAAGGCCTGATCTCTCGCGTCCCAATGGGCGTTTCGGTTGAACGACTCAAGGCTGGCGACGCCAGGTCCTGAGAGAGGCGGCCGGACGGTTGAGTTCATCTCGATATACATGTATGGACAGTTCATTCTTGCTTGACTCCGTAAACCCTCGCTTCCTACGCCCGTTGCCCGTCCGGACCTTCGCCGAAGCTCGCATTGTACTCGCATATCTCGGTATCCGCCTTTCATGAAGAGAGTATGTTGACTGGAAGGTCTACTGGTGGATCTGCATATGTCAGCGTACTCTTCAAAGCGAGACACGGTTAGATCAACTCACTTGCCGCAAGGCCGCAGCGCTCTCCAGAAGCACCCGATCCGCCTCCCTCAGCTCCAGCTCCTCCTCCGCCGTGAAGACCACCCCAGGCTCCTGTTCCTCCAGCCACTCGATGAATGTCTTGAACGACAGGGACCCCTCGACGTAGCGCGGCCGGCGAGAGCGGTACCCCTCGATGCGGGCAGCAAGATCGTTTGCGCTGTATCCGTAATATTCCGCGCCGACGATACAGACCGAGATTGCTGGGATGTCAAGCACGGTATCGAAGTGCCGATCCCATGCCGTCGAGGATAGACAAGGCAGAAGCGTCCCGGCCGCCGACAGTCGTGGTAGGAACACGCGGAGAACCGACATGACGGTGGCCCCGGAATAAAACTTGACGTTGGAGGAGTCGGTCATAGACCACGAGATGGGCATGAGCGCTGTGGCACTCTTCAACGATCTGTTGCCGTATCCTAAGTCGGCAACCATGCTGCCGAGATCGGACCGAGGAAAGCGTACCAGCACCTGGCGCAGGGATCGACAGGTGTTGAATATCCGGTCCAAGGCGGCGTAGGTGGAGGCCTCCGAGGTGAGTGATACGGTGTGAAGAAGGTCTAGGCAGCCGCTGGGAATTGTTGCAAGACCGTACCCGTGAGTCCTGGTTGAGAAGCGAATGCTTCGGACGCAGCTAAGAGCTTGGCGAATCCTACCCGGGGCGCACCGCCCTAGCTGACCGAACGCCACTAGACGGCCCGATTTGGACTTGACCACGTCGAGGATAGACGCAAACTGTTGGGGTGTAACCTGCAGATCGCGGTACAGCCGCTTGGCGGCGAGTTCGAAGGTCTGTTTTGAACACCGCAAAAGTAGGGCGAGAGCAGCGGGTGAAGAGCTGTCGATGATGAGCTCAAAGATGTGAGGGAAGGCGGAGGTGTCGAGGATCCCGGGCAGGCTGTGTTGAAGGGGAAGAGGGGTAAGGGCTTCGGTCGCCTCCGAGGTATCGGCGTTGGCTCGTGCGCGTTTGCCACGGCCGGAGGTGGTGTTCTCGCCGGGAGAGGATGAGATTTTCTGTTCGGACGTCTAGATCGTCAGCACGGGGTCCATCATCTGGCCTGCGAGACAAGGTGTCGGCTGTGTAGGGCGAAAGGACGAGAAAAGGCGAAGAATCAGATACTGACGCGACCTGAGGTAGCTCCTCGATCCTTGCCCGTCTGCGCTTTGCTTTCCACCTGTTTTCCCTCTCCGGACCTCTTCTTCGGCGGCATTTTGAGCCGAAATGCTGAGGATCCGATGAGGGGCGAAGAAAGGGAAGAGGCAAGGAAAGAGCAGAGAGAGTCGAGAGAACGGTCGTTTGATGGCTGAGTCGCGTCGCCATGGCGCTGACGTCATCTTTTTGCTCCTCATTCCTCGCCCAGGCCGGCTATCTGATATCAGGCGGATCCTCCTGCGCGTGTTCCACCACTCGCCTCGTGTCTCGAGGAGGCGTAAGGCATACTGGAGAGCGCTGACTGGGATCATTACATATATACATGCTCGCATTCTGTCATATATTGAGGCATACTCTCGGTCCGCTCGTCCTTTCACTTTTCACCTTCTAACACGCCGGCCTCGCCTCCATCCTCCCCTTCCCAGATCCAGCTCGCCTAGTAGATAGGACAGACTGAGCCATCTTCACTGACGGGAGCCCTGCGAGAATCAGCTGGAAGCCGAGAGCAAACGCGCAAAGGCAACTCACTCCACCAGCGACAACCGACCCTGAACCGAGCAACACCTTGTCCGCCTTCCTCAACTCCACCTCCTCTTCCATACTGAACACAACACCCGGCTCTTGCTCATCCAACCACTCCGTAAAGCTGCAGGCGGTCATACGCAAGGATTTGGGGGGACGAGGCCCGAATTGTTCCCGCCAGCGCTTCGCCACGCTACTAGTCAACTGCTCGAGTGTGCGTCCGAGGTACTCGAGACCGACGCAGCGGACGGGGTGATCTTGGGAGTAAGTGATGAGTGCGTCGATCAGACCTTTGGGTAAGATGCCTTCCGAAGGGGAGTAGATGTTCCCTGGGGATTCGATCGATGGGTGTAGGACGATGCTCAACGCCTGTCGGCTACAAGAGAGGGAGCGCCTGGCGGTGATTGTTGCTGATTCTACTAGGGGGAGGAGGATAGCGATGTCGAGGACTGATTTTGGGAGTTTGTGAAAGTGAACAACAGTATCTTGCTGAGCGAGCTCCTCAGACACTCGAATGATCAATGTGCGTATGTTGAGCCGGGATACGACATGAGAGTTGAGGGCCCGCCTCGTGAAATGGCTCCAACGTGTCGTCGGATGTAAGATCGCTACCGCGGGACCATGAAGACCTAAAGGGGGAACGACCGGAAGCGTCTTGTCCGGCTCGTATTCCAGGAGATGTATCGAGCGGACGTTCTCGAAGAACTTCGGCAGATCTAGAGCGCCCGCCCGTCCGAGACCGTCCGCCCGAGTCTTCCGCGTTGATAGAAGCCGGCCCGAAGCGCCCGATCGTCCGAGGATGTCCGCCTTGGTCGATCTATTCGCTGGTGGTCTCCCCGTCTCAAGCAACGCCTTGCCCTGGTCCCGGGTGAGCCTGAGGTCGCGGTAGAGTATGGGCGCGACCAGGTCGAATGTGTCCTTGGAGCATCGGAGGAGGAGAGCGAGAGCAGGGTGAGAGGCATACTCGAGGACGAGGGAGAAAAGGTAAGGGAAGGAAGCGATATCGAGGGAAACTGCAGCTGGAGCAGCGATACCGGCGTTGGAGGCGATTTGCTGGGCTGAGTTGAGCGCGGTCCCCATGACAATTGACGCATCGTTTCTACTATCGGAAGCAGAGAGACCGGAAAGCTAGTTGGGTCAGCAAAGAGACTAGGCTTGTTGCACCGGGCCGAGCTTGCGGGGAGAGTAAAGTCGCCAGAACTATCGATAGGCCACTTGCTGGAGGAGTAGACGTCGTATCACCAACCTTTTCGACCTTGGCCTTCTTCCGAGATCTCTGAGTCTTAGGCATCGTGCTGTAGACCGAAGATGTCTTGAGCTGATATATGCAAGGAAGGAAGATGTGTGAAAGAGAGAATGGATCAGTATCGGCGCGCGACCAAGCTTGGACTGGATGAGTCATGACGATGACGTGTTTTTTGAAACTCCGCATTCCTCATTCAGCCAGCCAGCTGAGGCGAGCTGATGAGGGCGCAGGGCTTCGCTTCCGCTTGGAATATTATCAGTGGCGTCTGGAAGCGGGCGAAGTCAACGAGGCCTGCTTCTAGCATGAGATTATCAAATCAAAATGGAGTATGTATTGACATTCCGCTCCCTTACCACTTTTCGCTCATGAGGAGTGCACTTGCTCCGATGTCCCCTTCGATACCTGAACTCGTCGATATGCCTCCCCTCCGCGGCCACGCCATGCCATCCGACTCTACGAGAGACCACTACTTCTTACATACTGCGGGTGTCAGCACAAGAAACGGAAACAAGGGAGATGCTACGTACTTAAGTGGTAACCGCCGCCAGCAGGGGTGATTGGGTGAGGGTGTAGGGGATGGGTGGGAGGTGTGTTGGGGGGCGAGTGGTGCCCATGACGGAGACCAGTGGTCCCGAGAGCTGATCATTTGAGGAGACCGAGGGGTTGACGAGGCGCGAGGCCTATATGATCAGCACGAAAGTCGACGGCAAATCTAGCAGATCGGAGAGTAGGGGAATGGGAGCACAAGGCAGGACTGACGGTAACAGAGGAGGTTGGAGTGCGTACATGACGCCCGCGCATATGCTGCGCCCTGTCGGACTTCTCCAGTGTAGCCTTAGGCATCCTGTCAGCTAGCACTTGTCAGCTAGTTGTCAGCTCCCAGATGTGAAGTGATGTTGAGAGGGGATGCATGACGGAGAAGCAAAGTCAAAATCAATCTTGTTCAAATCTTGTTGACAACTTGTTGAATTGTTGATGAGGTCATTCGGTTTTGGCCTTGTATCAGTCCACCATGTAGTCCAAGACGCGTCAAGTTGACTCATCTGATCATATGCCGCGGAAGCGCACTCTCGAGCACACATTGCATCCATGACAATATCAATCGTATCGCAAGAGCTAGTCATAATAACAAGGAGAAGGAAGTATCCTACAGAGATCGAACAATTATACACATCAAATCCCGACTGAGCCCAGTCCCTTTCTCGCTCTATCGCCTCAAACCCATCTAAGCCGCGATCCCGCCATCCACCGTCTTCCCTAGCGTACTCTCATTCTTGATAAACAGCCCAAAGATCCACGCGAGCGACACACCCGCAATGATCGGGATAAAGCTCTCGGTAATGGCCTTGGTGTACGCATCGATCGCGCCTTGTTGGAGTTCCGGCGCGAGGGTGTAGATGGCGGTAGGGGATTGACGGATGAGGTCAAAGGGGACGCTAGCGGCGCGCGCGAGGAGCTCGCGGTTGAGGAAGACGGACTGGACGGTGTTGACTACTCCGACACCGAGGGCGGCGCCGGTGAGCTGGAAGAAGGAGACAACGCCGTTAGCCTGAGGGATGAGGAAAGCGCGGTCATGGTATTCCACTGAGGTCTCAGCTTGAGTCAGGCAGAGACAGGAAGGGGGGAGACATACCCTGGATGGCGATGAGGGGCATCTGGAATGCAGCACCGATACCGAACCCAGCGAGAATCTGGAACCCGATGAGCTTGGCGTTGGAGGTGTACTGGTCGACCGTGTAGAGCAGACCGAAGCCAACGACGCTGATCGGCGGGCCGATAACCACCCAAGGCCAGTAGCGACCGGTCTTGGCAGAGAAGCCACCGGAGACGAAGATGCCGATGCCTACTCGTCAGCTCTAGCCAAACATGTCATAACGCATTATACGTACAGACTGCCAACATGAAGGCTGGGATGTCAGCTGGTATTCTCTTCTCCATCGATAGAGAAGTACTCACGGATGATGTCGATCCCAGACTGCTCAGGAGTGCGGCCCCTGGTCTGGTTGATCAGCGCAATTTCAACCCGTTCTGATCATGAAGCAACTTACAGCTTGGTAGAAGAGAGGAAGCTGATAAGTTCCGCCCAGCATGCCCATCATCAACATGAACATGGCGCCCATCGAAGCGAGCTGAGTCCGGTTCTTAAGGAGGGAGAGGGGCATGAGGGCGCGCTCGTCGAGCTTCCATTGCCACGCAAAGAAGGCACCGCAGAGGACGAATCCGAGGACGAAAAGGAGGATGATCCGCCAGCTGCTCCAAGCGTAATTGTTTCCGCCTGTCGATCAGTATGAGCACGACGGAGCGAACGGGAATTCAGCTCACCCCACTGCAGAGCGAGAAGAAGGCAAGTGATGAAAGCCAAAGACAGGATAGCGCCGATAAAGTCGAGCTGCTTGAATCCGGCCCAGCCTGCCTTTTGGTCGCCGTGGCGGACCGAATCGCGGGCGGGAAGGAGGAAGATGACGGCTGCGGCAGCGACTGCACCGAGGGGGAGGTTGATCCAGAAGCAGAGGCTGAGCGTTAGCTGGGGATCACTATTGGGGGAGGGAGAGCTTACCGCCATGTGACACGCTCAGTGAAGACACCGCCCAGGAGCGGGCCAACGACAGACGAGATGACAAAGACAAAGCCGAACATCTGATCATCAGCTGCATGCCTTGGAACAGAGTGATCTGAACTTACAGCCATGAAAGCAGGTCGTTGCTTGAGGGTGGTGATGGTGACGATGACAGCGAGCAATGCTAAGAGGGTCAGTAGTCTTCCAGCGGGGCTAGTCTCGCCTTGACATACCGACAAACATCCCAGCAGATCCTGGATAGTCAGCTTGTATCCTCATTCCTCTGCCGATGCTTATGTCATCACGCGCCAAGGGGTGAGGGGGATTTATTTTTACGCACCGATACCCTGAACAGCACGAGCGAAGATGAGCATCTCCATGTTGACGGCGACAGCGCAGAGCACGGAGCCCAGCTCAAAGAAAAAGACCGAAGCGAGCAGGACCCATTTGGCCTTGGTGGTCGAGAGGAGTTGACCGACGAGGAGGATGAGACCGCATTGGGTGAGGAAGTAGCTGAGGTGTCAGCTTCGGCGCCACCATGTTGCCCGAGCTAAACTTACGCGGTGATGATCCATGATACACTGTCAAAGGCCTTGAAGTCACTGACGATGACGGGGATAGCGGTAGCGACGATCGACTGGTCCAGGGCGAACATCTGGCGGTCAGCGGATAGCGCACGGACAGTGTGAACTGCACGTACAAAGACCGAAAGCATGAGCGCGACAAAGACGAGGTACAGCTTGAGACCATGGAGAAGACCAGTGTCCTCCTCTTCGGGCGCGTCTGCAGGAGACTCCTTGCCTCCATCACTCAACGCCTTCTCGTTGCTGCTGAGCGCATGATCGTCATGTCCGGTACGGTTCGAGTGGGTCGAGGCGCTGTCGGTGTGCTTGATGGTCGGATCGCGCGATCCGGCGACAGTGGTGCCCGCAGACTCCTTGCCGGAGGAGAGGTGAGGAGAGAGCGTGTTGGAGGTGGGGTTTGCGGTTTGCTCCCCGTACCCATTCTGGACCGCTTCGCCCGCGAGAGCGCTTTCGACTTGCCCTTCGAGCTTGTGGAGACCGTCGTGGTGGGTGGCCATGTTGAGTGAGAGTATGAGAGTGTTTGTGAGATAAGTGGGGGATGAGTAGAAGGACAAAGGGAGAGGAGGGGTTGTCAGGTTGACTCTATATACCCCAGAGGTGCCCGAGGCCGATGCCCGACGGTCAAGATCGAGTTAAAACATTTTGCTCCGCGCGGCTCCGTCCTCCGCGGCGCGACCTGGACGCGTGTTGCTCCGGCACCGCCGCGATTCCTTTGTGCGATTCAGCCCGGCAGGGCCGCGCCCCCCCCGTCGGCCCCCATAAGGCGCCTGCTTCACCATGGTCCAGACCATTCAAGTGATGCGTATGAGCTTTGATGGACTTGAGACAAATTCGACAAACCTCGGCCTCGGGAGCTCGGTCCCTTTGTGGCGTAATTTGACCTGAGGAACGTGGAAATCTACCCAAAGTAGTAATTTGCCCTTGTTTGGCATCACCTTCTCCGCGCGTTACAAACTTTAATGATTCATTGTTTCAATGCGCTGAGCCTATGATAAGATCTGAGCGATATCCTGTCTCCGGGGACGGGCAGACTATTACATTAAGTCCTTGATATAAATCTCTCCTGAGATCTCCTCGTCTCACCCCTACTTCAGAGCCTGCAGCCAGCCGAAGCCTAGTTGGCAGCCCCGCGCAGCTCTCTGAACATCTCCTCAATATCGTCTCTACTGACGACCCGCCCATTGAGTGCATGCGTAGAGAGCATTGACTGAAGCCGATCCCTACATTGCATCAGCTGACATACCGCACTCCAGGGCGGGCAAAAGCTCACTTGAGACGCTGATACCCTTGAACCGCCTCGATAGCCTGAGCCCTTGGGAGATTATCGACCACACGAGCGGTGACTTCGTCCAGAGTCTCTTCTACGCGATATCAGCTATCGTCTTCGGGCCAGTACAGGACCGTGAAGATGGATCAGCTCACCTTTATCGTCGTCCTTTCGCGGCTCGTAGATCTCCTCATCGTCCAGGGGGAACGGCAGTGCTTTTGTACTTTCAGCCTATCTTGTCAGCAAAGACCCCACCTTAACGCAACGGCTGTACCCGTAGAAACTCACGTCTAGCTCCAACTTCAACTTCTCCCGCTCTCCCTCCACGAGGAAAACATCCCCCTTCCCTGTCTTCCCAGATACCGTCTGCTCGCCCACATCGTCCAGCTTGATCCGCTTCGCGTCCCCAGGCATCAGACTCTCTGCCATCCGCCTCTTCCTCGTCTGCTCTACCGTCCCGTCCTCGGCCTCCCCGGTCGATGTAGCCTCTCCCTCGGGCAATGGCGATGTTGCCTTTCCATCCGCCTCCTTCAACTGCACCGGCCGTCCCTTCACCTCGTACCCGCCTTTGCCGTCGGGGACGATCGTCATCCAGCCCTCCTTCCCAACCCTCGAAGATAAGGCCGGATGATCGGCTACGCACGCCGCGCAGATGAGGCCGTCGTAGCTTTCCGAGGGGATGAGGATACCCGCTTCGTCGTCGTCGTCCTCCTCGTCCGCTCCCTGGTTTTCTGCCGGTACCGCCATGGCGCCTATAGGTGTAGCAGTCGAGGTTGGAACATCGATCCCAGCTTGATCTGGCTGAGGATAGGCCTTGACGGAGGATTCCTCTGGGTCGACTGTAGGAGGTTGAAGCGGTCGAAGGTTCAAGCAAGACTCGTGGAACCAGTCCTGCCAATCAGCTATCATCCCTAACCTACGAACGGTTATGCTAGCTCACCTCGCAGCCTATACAGCAAAGCATCCCCTCCGTCTCGACCAACGGGTCATACTCCCTCCCGCAGCGGCAGAACTCGCCCTTGTAGTTCTTGTTGTACCGGTTCTCCGAGTTGTCTTCTGCTGGCTGGATCTGCGGTGGGTTCAGGGTACATCTTCTCCGCTTCGCCGAGGTGGAGCCAGGGAGGGCAGACGCGGAAGGTTCGGGCTGCATGCAGGTCGTCGGACAGTCGCACCGGAAGTGGCGCCTCGTCCAGAGTTCGACGAGCTTGTGGTCTAGTCGAGTCAGCTTAAACGTTTCGAACGTCGTTCGAGGCCTCGAAAGCTGAGTATGATAGTGTGGACGGTGAGCGCTCACCAGAATGGCAGGATATGGAGCAGCCATAGCAGACTCCTCGGCTACCGCAGTCTAACGCGTCAGCCAACGGCCCTTATACGAAACTATTTCTTCCGCAGCATTGTGCCTTCTCGCAGACTCGCCCTTCCTCACCTCACACCGCACCTCTTGGTATCATGGTCACCCTCCAGGATGCCAGCCTCCTTCTTTCCCCCTAACACGGGATTTCCTCTTCACACGACCCCACGACGTCCTTTCCGCCCCATACCCAGCAGAGCTCAGCACTCACCTATACAGCTCCACACGCTCTGCCTCAGATATCCCCTCCCATAAGTACACTCGTCGAACGCATAAGGCATAGCCTCCCTCGCCTCATCCGCTAGTCGGTCTTGCTCCGCGACTAGGGTAGACATGGAGATCTCCGAGTCGGGCGGCAGATTCGCGAGGTATGAGTCCGGGAGGTGAGTTGCGCGGAAGGAGGAGGAGGAGGCCATGGTGGACTGGCTGACGATGCCGAAGGCAATGGGCTATGTAGGTAAGCTTGCGGGATGAAGAGGAAACCAACAACAAGATCAGAGCCTTTCAGCGCAGAGAGGACGCGATCATCACGCGCCTCGGAGAACGCCGATGACGCTTTGTTGACATGATCAAGCGGCTGAAGCGGTGAAGCTTGAAGTAGTGCGTTGGGCAAAGGGGGTAGAAGCAGCTCATACGGAGGGTCGTTGATGTCCCAGCGCTATGCTTAGAGCAGGTCCGATACGATCGAGACTCAGAACTGCCTGGGAGTCGGTCATGCACCTCGTCAGGCGGGAGTCCGAACTCGATGTGTCGAGTTTGCCACCCGCCGGCGCCAGCCTGATGATTAATTCTGTCTGGCTAGCTCAATGTATGCAAAGTACAACCATAGACTGCATAGGCGGTAGGACCAGTGTAGTTCTCATATCATACGACTCAAATGTAGCTCCTATGTGTTGTCAAAAGTCAGACCGGCCTTAGACCAATAAGCCCTAGGGCGGTACCGCGGTGCAAAAAGATGATCATGATCAACCCCTTGTTGCGTGTGGTGATACCTCCCAGTTTCCCGATCCGCGATCCCCCTTTCAACATAGTCCACCGACTATCGTTTTCAATGCTCCTCAGAGTCATGCTGCCCGGTCTAAACCTCACAATTTCGTATCCGGAATTTCGTATTCATTCGCTCGGTGGTCGTCGCTCGGTCATCCGTTCGATTCTCTCATCGGTCTATTCACTAATGCCATTGCTAGAGTGAGCTTAGAGACGGCCATCACAGGGCTTAAGAGATGCCGAACCCAGGTTTCAATCTGGTACCATCCCTCCCGACCTCCTCAGCAGCGCCCCGCCGAGAAAGCAGGAGAGAGCCCATACACGCCAGGCATTTGTATTCAGCGCTCTCACCGGCCTTTCCATCCTGGCCAAAGGGGTTGATCATGATACTATGCGTGCCTCCACCGCCCGGGGACGGGATATCCCCGTACGCGACTTGCGGGAATATGAAGTGCCGGGTATATGGTGAGTCAAGAAATGTCTCAGATTGTAGTCAACAATAACAAGGGGGGCGGGTGGCAAATGTGGCACTTGGACAGGAAATGCCACTCTGTGAGTATTCTGCTAGTAAATGAATCAGCATAGATCCGATGATATGTGTGCATCCCCAGTCCCAGCTGAGCGTTCTAGACCCTCGCCATCGAAGTCCGCTTCCGCTCCTCCCTCACTCCGAACTCCTGTACGTCTACCCGCGGTGCCCCTTCCGCCCTCTTCCTCAGCTCGCCCCGTAACATCACGCCTAGCCCCTTCGCACCTCGACCGACGGTATAGAAAGCGTCGATAGGGGGTTTGGCAGGTGTGTAGAGGCGAGAAAGGGTTTTGTGCCATCGTAGCTGGGAGGTGAGGAAGGGGACGAGGGAGGTAGAGGGGTCGCCGAGCTGGCCTGTCAGCTTGGACCCCGAAGGGCGCACATGCAACTAAACTCTGGAGCTTACAGGATAAGTGGTGATCGGATCCCAGATGACGGGTGATATCTCCGTTGGCGTATTCTTGAAGTCGCATCGATCAAGAACACCGCCAAATTGCCGTTCTGCGTGTGCCATGAGCTTCGAGTGATATGGGCAGCTTGGGCTCGTCAGCTCATACTCCAAAGGGCAAAGAAGTGACTCACGGCATCAGGACGTCCATGACGGGGTTGGCGAGATTCAGATCTTGACACCGCTCAATTACAGCATGTACTGCGAAATCCGTTCCCTGTTCGTTAGCTCCGGCCTTGAAAACCCTCGCTCAAGCCCTGCCTTCCGTCCAGCACCCAGACTAGGAGACTCACAGTGACTATCAACACCTTGCTCGAATTGATCGTGCTCGCCGCCGCCCACTCCTCCCCATCCTCCTTCTCCCACTCCCTCTGCATCCCATGTATCTCATCCAGAATCAACTGCATCGCCCGCTTCTTGTTCCTCTCTTCTCCATCTTCGCCAACCAGCGGGTCGTCAAAGGGCACAAACATCGAAGGGGATGAGAGCGAGTGGAAGTGTCGAGCCGAGAGAATGGTTGTTTGATAGCGCTTTTTGGAGACTTTTGGTGGGTCGGGTGGGAGGCGGGCATATATACTCTGGGTGGTCAGCTAGGGTACAGGGCGGCGGTAGAGAGACTTGCGGCTAATCTGACACCGGTCTGGAGGTCCAGACGGCCAGCGACGACGAGGGCGGTAAGAGTTCCGATGAAGCCGTGGCCTGCTAGATGTGAGGTCCCGGGCGGTAAAAGGGTGTTGTAGCCTGTTCTTTCCTGGATAGTCAGCTCAGACCATCTCGCAAGGTCAAAGCGGGCCCACCTGTTCACTAGCGAGGATAGCCACCGAAGCACTCAGGATGAACGCGGCCGTGACATCTGGTCTCGCCATAAGCTCGCTCTGGTCTATGAGCTCGATCCTGCGGCAGAACGCCCGATTTGCTTAGCTCACCAGAGTCCTACCTTCCACCCAGCCTCTCAGCCACGCCCTCATACTCCTCCCTCCCCTCAGATGGCCAGCGAACTCTTCCATCCCCTTGGTCATCTCATACCCAATCGTCATATCTGGCTCCAACAGCGCCTCCGACGCACGCTCCCATACTAGCAGACTTGCCGCCGTCGGTGAGTGCGGTGTATGTGGATATGAGCCCTGCCTGTCAGCTTGAAATCTAGCTCACAGCGACTGGTGGCTCACGAGACCAGCAAACAAGAACGCCTTGCTCTCTGTTCCCCCGTCTGCTCCCACTCGCAGCGCTGTAGCCTTCTTGAGCCACGCCAGCCAGTCCGTCTGACCTGACGTTGTAGAGGCGCTACGACGCCATGGATCCAGCGGCGGCGTCGGTAGGATCTGAGGCAAGGTGATGAAGGTTCGAGCATGTCGGGGTGCTTGTGCGCGTTGTGCCTGGACGCTGAGGCGGGACGGGCCAGCGATGGCGTTGATACTTGGCCTCATCTCGGTGCAGTTGATGAGCTGTGGATAGCTGAACAGCTGAGTTATAGCTGTTGTTGTTCCTTTGCTAGACTAGTGGTACAAGGTGAAAGGTGTTCGAGTCGTGAGCTTGGTTGGAGACCTTGTAGCTTGGCCTGCCAGATCTAATACAACCGGCTAATCACTGACCCGCGCTAACGTTAGTCCCGAATAAGGCCGCTAAGCAGAATAGACTAATCAGGAAAGATTCCGCTAATCAATTGCGTCATCTATTACTAACGCTTGTGGAAAGCATCTCCACTTGACGTTGCCACTCTCTCTTTACGACTATCACAGGAGACCAATGCTCAGGATGGTGGCGCAGGACTTGATCCACTTCAAAGTGTGCGCTCTCAACTACTCACTCTTCCACTGAAGTTCCAGATCGACTACTGACGCCAGCAGGACTGGGCGCGTCCAGGCAGGTTGAACACTGTTGACTACTGAACTCGCACTGATATCCGAAGGGCGTCAGCTTCCGGTACTTTACTCAGAAACAGTGAGTGACCGCTCTAGTCTATCATTACTATCACTGAGCTGAACAGGGCGACCAAGCTTGGTCTCAAAGGCTGGGTATCGAACAAGCCAGACGAGTCCGTCCAGGGGGTTGCTGTCGGTTCAAGCGAGAAGCTGGCCGATTTGTGAGTTTGCTGTACGACCAAGCGAGCGAGAGCTGAAGATTCAGTCGGAAGCACATCGAACAGGGTCCATCAGCTGCCAAAGTAGACAAGGTGGAGCTGCTAAATCACGAGCAGGGCGTTTCGGACGAGGCGGTGCGGAAGTCGATAGGGAATGTTGCTGGCTTTGAGATACGATAGTGCATGCTATGGCTCACTCGAGGAGCCCTTCGGCGCTCCAGGAAGCTGTGATATGTGACGGCCATCTCGGTAGAAGCAAGCAAGCAAGCTCCTGTCACAAGTCCGAATCTTGAGCAGATCTGTTGACAACTCCGAAACATTCAGGCACGGTTGCAATCGAGCTACCGTTGACCTGTGTGAGTTCGCACACCATCTCTGCCTTCGTACATGATCGGCTTCAAGCGCCATACTAAGACTTACGACGAGCGGCACACTCTCAGGAGTACCGCAGTACGGGGCACCATCGACGAATAGCGAAGCCGGGCCATCATCTCCCATCTCGCCGTCCAAGATGTCCAGCTTTCGCAGGTGGCGTCAGAACTTCTCGGTCGCTGGCCGGCACCGCAGTTCCCCTCAAGCTGCTGTAGCACCTCAGAGTAGCTTGGATCATACGGCTGCTACTCCTACTGGTGGTCCAAGCGACGCATATGCGGAATTGAGGCCCGCTCCGCCGTCTACGAACGGGCACCCGCCACATCCTATCGTGGGCGACCGGCAGGACGGCGATGGGTACGAATGGGAGGAGGACAGCGAGGGGGAAGATATGGACGTGCAGCCGGACGCGTATAGCTGGGTTGACCCAAGTCTGGTGGGGTCGGCCAACCTACGAGGCATTGTAAGTTGATTGACATGGGGATATGATGCATAGCTTATAAACCAGCCTGCAGCTCATAGCACGACCCACCCTCTGGAGCGCATCCCGTCTGAGCAACGGCCGCTACGTATACCACCCACGCCACCAATACCGCCTTCTCCGCGTGTAAGCTATCAAGCAGTGTTTTCGAAGTCTCAGCTGATCGCACAGCGCCGTCCGAGCAACGCGCCCAGACCACCCAAACTCGCCCCACATGACTCGTACAACCTCCTCCTCTCCTTCCAGTCCCACAATACAAATACCACACCCCCTACTTCTTCAATGGATCACTCCAGCCCATACTCTCCCTCCATACAGCGGTCCAACTCGACTGCCGAGGCGTACCAGTCTAGCGACTCGCATAAACGGGTCGTCAGCGTCGAGACGGAGTGGTATGAGCTAGTGGATCAGTCGGTGGTGGATAGTCTGCCGAAAGATGAGCAGAGGCGTCAGGGGCTATGGTGGGAGCTGATCAAGGCGGAGAGGGAGTATGTGCGGGATCTGGCGACGATGTGCCAGGTGAGCTAGGCCTTTCGTGCTTTGACTGGTGATCCGCAGGAGCTGACGCCGTGTAGGGCTTTGTGGAGCCGCTTCGTAATCATCATCCACCTATTCTCCAGCCTGAGAGCCGACTCGACGCCTTCATCGCAGAAGTATTCAGCACAATACAAACGATCTATGAGGGACATACCAGGTTGCTCGCTCAGCTTGCCGAGCGACAGCGGAATGAGTGGCCCTTGGTACGCCGTCAGCTCCCACAAGAGCGTCTGATGCGCTGACACCCGTAGCTTACATCTTCGACGGACCTGTTTCTCGGCGTGCTACTGGAGCTCATGCCTGCCTACGAAGCGGTGAGTCAGGCCATACCGGCGCCAAGCTCCTGGCTACAAGCTGATCCACAGTATATGAAGAATTACCCCTTCGCGGATTCGCGCGTACGCCGCGAGAAAGGCAAGAATCCAGCATTCAAAGAGTTCCTCAGTGATCGTAACACCCTGGAACTGACTCAGCGGCGTGATGTGGTGAGCTCGCCTGCTTGAACGTTTCGAGCTATGAGTTGACGTCGCTCCAGACGGTCTTCCTGTCCCGCCCAGTCACTCGTCTACCCCGTACACTTCTCCTACTCGAGACACTCGTAAAGTACACTCCGGCAGATCATCCAGATACGGAGGAGCTTCCTACCCTGATCCACGTCCTCGCCCAGGCAGTTAAAGGTAGTCAGGTTAGCTACATCTCCGAACTTCAAGTGGGATGAGCCTGAGCTGACGAAACAGCCTGGTATTGAATCAGCAGAAGCCAAGATCAAGCTCTGGAATGTTGCGGAACGGCTGTTGTTCAAAAAGGGCGAGATTGTCGAGCTGGATATGGGGGAGCCGAAGCGGTCTCTGGTGTATTCGGGATATGTGTTCAGAAGGGTTCGGAGCGAGACTGCCTGGCATGGATGGTGAGCTCCGTTGATCGTGGTCATGCGCAAGAGCTGATATATCGCCAGGCAAGATCTGCATGCTTTCCTCCTGGATAATTACTTCCTCCTGACTCGAGATGAGGAGCATGGGAAGCATGTCGTAGTCTCCAGAGTGAGTCTGAGCATAGCCTGCTCGGAGCCGTACTGACGAGCAGCCAATACCGCTCGACTTTCTCCATGTCGTCTCCTTTGACGCCGCCCCGGAACGTCGATCAGACTTTATGACGCAATTACGAGGCGGGACGTACGAACCCCGAACGACGCCGGAACGGCTCATGTGGCCTTTTACCATCTCGACTTCGGCACGAGGGGGCGGACGGTCATATACGCTTTGTGCGGGGACGGAGCAGGGAAGAGCGGCATGGAAAGACAAGATTGAGAGTGCGCAGATCTTGCGGCGATTTGATCTGGAGAGCAACAGGGTGAGTTTGGGAGACCGCCTGGTCGTGGAGACCTCAGCTGACTCTGATGTAGATCTTTGCTAGTCATTCGATCTCGACACCACCAGATCTGCGAGATCCTATTCTCTCGGCGGATGCGTTCTCGTGGCTGGGCCGACGGACTGTGGCGGTCGCTACGGCCAGGTCGGTATACGTCGGATGGAGGAATGACTCGACAAGTAAGTGGGCTGTGTCGAGTGCCGTGCTCTTGCAGATCAGCTGACATGACAGCTTTCAGAGAACTTGTCCGTTTGCAACTCGGTATCATCAGCATGGTCACCATCGTCCCCGACTTTGGCTGGCTCCTCGTCGTCTCCTCGGGCAACCTTCTAGCGTTCAGTCTGAGGGACATGATGCCTGCCAGCGATCCGGCTACTTGGGTCATGCTCGGCAAAGTACAGGCAAAGTTCATGAGCGACCCGGAAAAGGTGGTGGCGTTCGTCAGGGTGGGCTTTACAAAGGGGAGACTCCTCGGTGAGTTGCTATACAGCTCCCCTGCACGCAGCTGACAGTGGTAGTCGTCCATGCCGCCCACTCAAGAAATACCAGCAACACCCATCTTTACTTCGACGAGCCCCTCCTCGTCCTCTCATCTTCCTCCACTACCAACCTCGCCTCCTCCCAGCAACTCGATAAACCCCCTTTCCGGCGCTTCGCCCAACTTACCCTTCCCGGACACTGTACCGACCTCTCCTTCTTCCGGCAGACCATCGCGGCGGTCGCAGAGAAACAATTCGTCATTGCCGAGCCTGGCAACCCGGCGCATACCTCAATCCCCACGTTCCCGCCGGACCTAAGCGAAAGGGCGCCGGTCGTGCGCATGATCAATGCCCATGGGGCCAAGAGCGGCGCGTTAGGCATGTACCAGATCAAGGAGAATGAGTTTTTGTTGGTGTACACATGGGGAGCGTGCTATGTCACCAAATGTATGCTGGCGTCTCCTCCGTGTCAAAGAGGGTCAGAGCTGATGTATAGATGGCGAGATCTCCCGCTCGGGCGCCTACCTCCGATGGAACCTTACCCCTTCCTATGCTCTTTTCCGCCCTCCCCATATCCTTCTCTTTGACGAGTCGGGAGGGCGCGCCGAGGTCCGCGATGTTCAGACGGGCAAGATGTGCGAGGTGGTCGATCTGGGCGGGTTGAAGCCGGTTCATCTAGCGAGGGTGGATGCGGAGGTGTTGGGGTTGACAGCAAGAGGCTTGGTGCATCTTGTGGAGGTAAGCGACGATAGACTGAGCAAATTAGAAGAACTTGAGCTGATAATGCAGACCGTTGAGCTTTAGGTCGCCCGTGTTGACTGCAACCCCTGCGGTTCCAAGGACGAGCTACGAGCCAACTCCTCATTCCTTATGAGCGGAACTATTTTGTCCGAATACCGTACACCCCTTCACTGCGCCAATCGAAATCCCCGAGCCTGTGATCACTCTTCCTTCCTTCTTTCATCCACATTCACACAGCAACATCCGAGGCATGTCGTTCGACCGCCTACATCCTGAAATATGGGACCACATCCTCAGCTTCCTCACTGTGCCATATTTCAGGCCGTTATCAGGATGGACGAAAGAAGAGGCGGTCGGGGAGGGTTCGCAGGTCGTGGCTCGTCTGCCGAACGCTGGAGATGCAGGCGTCACAAAGAGGAGTGATATCAGGGTGAATGCTTTGGCAACACTGATGCGTACAAGTATTGTAAGTCGACGCGGTAAACCATATCCTTTTGCCTGATCAAACACAGCTTACGAGACAGGCATTCAATAAACTCGCTTGTCGCCCCCTATACACGCGGATCGTGACGGACAGATGGGCGGAGCTCAGTCACGGGGTCCAACACCGTGGCCGCGCCCATCCCTCTCTCGAGTCCCCCTTTGAATTGCTCGAATACACCACGCACCTACAAATCGAATACCGCCAAAAGTTCGGAGAGGTATCTTACTTGGATATCTTTCGCGGTGACTGGCGGAATTGGCTCGTCGTCAGCGCGGTCTCCCCATTCGAGGCGGCCATGATCCGAGGGGTTACCGAGATTGACGACGATCCCTCAACCCCTCTCGGCACACTTGTGGTTGCCTTCGGACCGGTACCCTTTCCCAACATCACTCACCTCACCGTCGGCGCAATATTTGGCGGGCAAGACGCGGTATGGGATGTCGCGGCGGACTTCCGTTTGGCACCTTTTGGGCATCGCAAGACCCGCATCGACCCAGAGGTGATAGTATGGGATGTATTGGCGGATAGCAAGCGGAAGATGGAGGAGATGTGGCGGAGGACGCCGCTCCAGGAGTACTGCCAGAGGGGCAACGCCGGTCCCCTCAGTCTTCCGCCGGGGGTTCACTGGACCAGCCGACCCCTTATCCCCTCTCTTCCTCCGCCAATCTTCAACTTTCACTTCCACGTCGGAATGCAAAGTAGCGAAATCCCAATGGGCTGCCCTCTTCCTTGCCGCTGGCTCCAGGACGTCCTCGACCCCACGCGTCCGCCTCACTCCGTTCTCCCCGTCTTTCGCAAAGCCCTTAAAATGAACTACAATCTCCGACATGCGGCATGGACGGATCCCGAACGCAACATCCATATCGATCTGGACTACCATCTCGATATTTTTGCGAACCCAAGTGACTTCCACACGCCCTACTACGCGGCGGCGGATTCGGGCATGGTGAAAAAGCCTCATACGGCGGCACTGAAGAAGGCATTTGACGAGAAGCAGAGGGCGGAAGCGGCTAGATTGCAGAAGACGCTGCATAAGGACGTGCCCGCGCAGCATTTCTTGAAGCGTGTGGCAAAAGATGTCATCGTCTGGAAGCCTGCGGTGGACTTTCCGCACTGCGCGGCGTGCGGGTGGAACTATGGGGAAAGACTGGGGAAGGGCTGTTGAGGGGTGGCACGTCGGGATTGGACTCGTATCTCGGCCGATACATCTTTGGGTGAATAATAACCCTCTGTTGGACATGACGCTGGTGGATCTGGCTGATATTTCAGACCAACCTAGCCTACACAAGCCGGGCGTCCTGTGAAGAGAAGGGGAGGAGTGTTCACTGTCGAAGAGTGTATCATGTACCAACTGCATCTCCATCTCCATCATCACATTCTTCAGTGATGGATCCGAGTTACGTACACCGACGCGCCTGCAGCACAATGTACAATCGCGTCGTCTCTTGTTCAACTCTTGTCCTGCCTTTCCTCCAGCTTGTACTGTGTATATCCGCTGAACATCGCTGCGAGCATGTCCTTCGACCGCCTACATCCCGAGTTGTGGAGCCATATCCTCAGCTTTTTCTTTGTCCCCCATTTCAAGCCGCTTTCCGGCTGGACCAAGGAGGAGGCGGTGGGGGAACCGCCGGAAGTTGTCGCTCGGCTTCGAGATGCAGGGAATGAGGGTGTGACCAAGAGGAGCGATATCAAGGCGACAAGTCTGGCTGTGCTGATGAGGACGAGCATTGTAAGTGAAGCTTCCGCTTGAGCTCTTCTCAAACGCTCGAATGCGCCTCGGGGTCAAAGATTTCGCTAATCCAGCAGGCATTCAACGAACTCGCTCGCGGTCCACTATACAAGCGGATCCTCACGGATGACTGGGTCGGTCTCAAGCGCGGGGCATTCATACGCGCGGAAAGACTCGAACCCCCTCCCCGTCCTGCTCTCGAGCCCAAGAGGAAACTCCCCCCCCAGCAAGTCCCAGAAGATTGCTTGCTCGTCTGCGATCTTGCGGTGTCCGAAAGACTTCAGGTAGTGATTCGCCATGGTCTCCCAGACCCCATCTTGTCCGCCGAATATCGCCCCGATCGTGAGGGTTGTGAGGTCAGGGAAGGTGTCCGGGTTGATGATGGTGACTTGGGTGTTGAGGGCTTCCGAGGGATCATCGTCGATGTCAATGGCAGCCTTCACCATCCCCGCCTCTAGCGGAGTGGTAGCGCTGACGATGAGCCAGTTCCGCCAGTCACCCCTAAAGAGGTCGAGGTAGGAGACGCCCCCGAATTTGGGACGGTATTCCAGTTGGAGGTGCGAACAGCAAGCGGAAGTTCCACGAAATGTGGCGGAGGACCCCGCTCAAGCATTACTGCCAGCGGGGCAACTCGGGGCCATACAGCCTACCTCCTCTGGTCGCTTGGACGGATGACATGCCCGGACTGCCCTCAAAGCCCCCTCCCCCATTCGTCTTCCATTTCCACGTCGGTCAAGTGAGCAACGAGATTCCGACCGGTCGCGTCCCCGTCAATTGGGCCCAAGACGTCCTCGACCCTTCCCTCCCCCGTCACTCCGTCCTCCCCATTATCCGCAAAGCCCTCGGAATGTCATACCACCTCAGGTCCCTTACCGTAGCCAGCCCACCTGCTAGTACCCTTCCCAAAAATATGGACTATGATATCACCATCTATGCAATCCAAGCGACCGCAATACGCCCTACTTTAATCCACCGGGATCGGGGCGGACGCAGGCGGTCTTGAGGGGATTCGACGAGAATCAGCGGGATGACGTGGACAGGGTGCAGGCGACGCTATTGAGGGACGTGCCCAAGGAGAAGCTGCTCAAGGATAAGGTGAAGGATAAGGTGGTCATGAAGCCTGCCGTCGACTACCCGCATTGCGTGGCGTGCGATTGGAGGTATGGGGAGGTGCTGGGGAAGAGTCTCTGAGGCGCGCCGAGGGAGGCGGCTGGAATAGGAGCGAGCGAGCGGTGTACCTACGGACCTGGGCGTGTCTTCTGCCAGGCGCTCACGTCGCGCCGGAGCGTGCAGAAGGGGGCGCTGCTATGCGTGGCGCTCGGGGCCAGCGTGAGACGCGGGGTGAAGCGGCGGCAGAGGGTGCCGGACATGGCAGACGGAGTAGAACGGACCATATTGATAGTACGGTGTTGATTCTAAGAGGGTTACGTCGCTGGGCTGCATGATCCAAACGTATTTCATGGAGTCCTTGTCCGCCAGAGATGGCACGAAGGGAATAGAACATGAGTGAGGGAGAAGCGCAGCAGCCTTGCTCGGCGTAAAGAACCGCGCTTGCTCTAGTCCGAACGGGGGCGTGTGCTGCGCTTAACTCGGCCAAAGCTTATTTCCGTCTCCATCTCACGTTCACCTTCGCCTTTTCTACCTCAGCTTGCATTTACCTACTCTGCTCTATCGATAGCGCTACCTCCTATGTCTTTCGATACCCTTCACACGGAGATCTGGCAGCATGTGCTCAGCTTCCTCACTCCACCTCAGCGCCAACCTCTCTCCGGCCTCACCAAGGAAGAAGCTATTTTCGAGATGCCGAATACGTTGAGCGACTCCCATCGGCCGGTGCACCGGGAGCGACGAGCCGGGATGATATCAGAGCGGACGTGCTAGCTACCCTCATGACAGTCTCAGCGGTAAGTTTGGCTACTTCAGGTTTGGCTACTTTACCAATTGAAGTCCAACCAGGGAATGCGGAGTTTGGGTCCGATGGCTGACGATATCAGGCTTTCAACCGGCTCGCGGCTCCCATCCTCTACAAGAATATCATCACAGACGACTACAAAGGCCTCACATCCTACATCCACCAGGAATCCGCCAAACCTGCCACAGAGTGCAAATATCCACTGCTTCACCACACCAAAAGTCTCCACCTCGAGTAGACGGCGAAACATGGGGACGTCACCTACCGGTCCATCATGCGGGACAGCCGGAGCTGGGTCATCATCGGGGCTAGCACTCGGATGGAGGCGATAACCACCAGATCCATGTTGGAAGTCTGCGACCTGCAGTCGACGATGTGCCGGCACGCTTGGCATACCCGAGAAAACACCGTCTTTCGCAACCTGGTCCATCTTTCCCTCGGAGCGGTCTTTGGCGGACAGGATGGGATATGGAAGGAGGTGACCAACGTGAAAATGAGGCCGTACGGGTACGTGAGGGGACCGGACTGGGCGGAAGAGGTCTGGATTGGGCGGGTGAAAGAGGCGTGTAGCGCAGCGGTGGAGGGGATTTTCCGCACGGTGCCGCTCCGACACCTCTGTCAAAGGGGGATTGCCGGTCCTCTCGCCCTACCGCCCAACTTTGACTGGGTCGACTGCTTCTACCCGCCCCCTATATCAGCAAACCCACTTTCATCTTCCACTGCTACTCCAAGATGTGCGTGAAACAGCTCCCTGCCTCCCCCGGCGCGCCCACTCGTTGGCTACAGGAAGCACATCATCCCGACGATCCCTTTCACCCACTCATTAACTCCGTCGGCGGGTTGATGCACAGCGTTTGTGCCGTCCCGGTCAGCCATGACACCAATCCTGCGCCATACTCACATCACCCTCAAGGCAGAAAAAAGGCTTTCGACGTCTCCATCTATAGCGGACCCTCAATCTGGCCGGCGGTCCTTCCACCTGACCCTCCACTCGCTCAATGGCCGGTCGGTCCTCACAAACCGCGACATCGTGGCGAATCAGAGGAGCAGGCGATGGTGAGATGGTCAAAGGTGTGGTTGGGGTCGATCCCGCGAGAAAGGCGATTAGCAGGAGACAAGATGGTTTGGCGTCCGTCGAGAGGTGGTCCGGGGTGCGAGGCGTGCGGATGGGTCTATGAGTGAGGGATAGGAGGCACAAAGGGGGATCGGAAGAATGTTGGGGCCGGAGGAAAAGGTTGGAGGACGATGAGGCGGAGGTGGACGTAGGGGCGTGGGCGGAAGGAGGTTAGCAGATGCTACATGGTACATTGTTACAAAATACAATATCTTTGAGAGGCTCGTGGCGCTAGTACTGACTACCTGGCGGGGAGAATAACGGGACAAGCCTAGGCTTATAGGGGTACGAAGTCGGCGAGATGATGAACCACGTCGATTTCCGGTAGGATCTTGTCCAGCTCATACGAGTGAAAGTGCGTGGGTCCGAAAGATCGAATAGGTGGACCCTATATGGATCAGCTCTCGTGCATGTATATGGTGCGTATATTCCAAATTGACTCGGTTATGCGTACATTTTGATGCCATTCTCCACACCCGTGGCCATGACCGCGTATTCGTGATCCGCCCACCTCAGGACGTGACCCTCCGGCAGGGTTTGTTTTGTACCGAATGTTACAGGAGACTTGTCGCACTTCAGGAACGCTTGCCCTGTGAAAAAGTTAGTGATTAACATTCTTGGCTCAACTTATCACAACAGAGGGGAATTCGCAGAAGGTGGACATACAGGCCAGTGATGCGAAATCATAATCCTTGCGCCCCACGCGTTCCAAAAGCTGTCTGTCTTATTACCCGTAAGCATCCACAGCGCATCTTCTGCGTCGCGATTTGTTTTAGGGAACTCCTGCAGTGGTTCCGGAAAGCTACAATCAGTACTGTCATTAATGGCTTGAGGAAGGCATACCCTCTCAATAACGCCGCTTGCTCGAACCCCGCGACCCACCTATAGCTATCAGTTTCCTATTCTGCCAGTCGGCAGTCTAAAGGGATCGCCCTGGGCAGGTACATACCATCCTCCAGGTTTGTAAGAGCTCGTCTGGGAGTCTGACAGCTTCAAGACATCGGCCGAGGCGATATCCACGTCCGAATATCCCCCGATGGAAGCGGGGCGCGTGATCCTGTATGTAGCCTTTTTGATGAAGCCGTCCCCTGCGTATGGAGCGTCCGCCCGCTTCTTCAGAGCTTCGTAGGCTATGATCCGCTTCTTGATGGCATCTTGTGACACGCGTGTGACTGCACACAGAGCTATACAGGAGATCAGCATTCGATCACAGCTTGCCAAGGCGGGAGTGAGGCGCTAGCCCACCAGCGGTAAACCTGTGAGATCAGCGCTGCACGTGAGAAGTTTCCAAACCTCAAAGTACACCGAGTTATTACATACCAGCAGGTCCCGAAGTTCTCTGCTCTGGTCAGCAATAGCTCGCCGAGATGGACAGAAATGAGCGAGAGGGATTGAGCATATCTGACTTTGAAAAATGTCTTCACGACTTGGGCCTTTTGAGGTATATAGCCGTGTATTCTGTCTGTCTGGGGCACGGGTGTCGTCGTTTCGGCCAGCCAAGACACTAGCTATGGACGCAATCGGCATGGTTCTGGCAAATCGTCCATCCGTCCATATTGGTGGAATGCTTGCTTACGCAGGATCACGAGTGAGAACCTCGCGATGATCAAGAGGTTCAGACGCGTTGTGTAGATATCAATTGTCGATTTTGATATCAGTATCAGTATGATGTATGATCTTGCAGTTCCCGAGTGCTTTTATATAGCATCTCGATTGACTGTGAGGATCAAGCTGCGCAGATGGAGAGAGGCAAGAAAGGGTGATCAGGGGATACGCTGGATCTCGTTCAGGATGAGGTTCAAGGGGAGATTGTGTCAATCGTTGACAAGTCAAAACATGGATGGTCATGGTTATCCCTTGGCGACTCCCCGTGCCTCTCCTCGTTAACCCCTTGCGACATTACACCGGCAAAGGGCACAGTGGCAAAGGATGTGTCAAGCTCGGCTCCAAACACTATAGTGTGCGTGATTATCGCCGCGGCGCGTCGCGTGTAGCTTTGATAGACGGTCAGGCCTGGACAGGGCGTCAGTATGCGTCAGTGCATCGCGAAAATCAGCTGTCAGACCTATACCCGGACCCAGACCCAAACCCAAACTCCTCTCTGCATCCCATCTACCTCTACCGCTTCGAGTACTTGTGAACGCACTCCAAGAACCACCCCATCATCTCCGGCTTGACATTCGGCGTAATCCCATGCCCCAAATTCGCAATCCACCCGCCTCCCGCACCCTTCCACCGCTCACACACCCGCTCGACCTCCTTCTCAATCCCCTCTTTGCCACCATACAGAACCACCGGATCAAAGTTTCCCTGCAGGTTGACCGTCTTGCCTACAATCTGCCGGATCTCTTGGGGGTCGACTTGCCAGTCCAGTCCGAGGGTGGCGTATCCGGTAGCGGAGGGATCAGAGAGGAGGGAAAGAGACGAGGGGGAGTGGACCCCCTTGGGGAAGAGAGTGATGGGGACTCCGGGGTGGCCGAGGGCGGAGAGGGTGGAGTGGACGTAGGAGGCGATAGAGAGGAGAGGGGGGAGGGCGAAGGTTTGGAATTGGTGTGGCGTGAGTTCGCCGGCCCAAGAGTCGAAGACTTGGAGGAGCTGCGGCATCAGCTAGAGCCTGTCTAATAGAAGAAGATAGTCGGTCCATGATGCAGTGGCAACGAGATAGTGGGGTGCGATCGGGATGAGAAGAGTATGACCTACCTGTGCACCCGCCAATACCTGCCCGACCAACAACTCCCCACACACCCTCGCGACCCTCTCCAACAACCTCTTACTCTCCTCCGGATACCGATACAGCCACCCTTTACTTTTCTCGAACGTCTTGCTCCCGCCTCCTTCCACCATATACGCCATGAGCGTCCATGGCGCCCCGCAGAAACCGATCAGCGGCACCCGCCCGTCCAGCCCCTTCCGCGTAAGCGTGATCGCCTCAAAGAGGTACCCGAGCTCCTTGTCCACATCGACGTGTTCCCGGAGTTTCGAGATGTCGTCCGGCGTGACCAAGGGTTCCGGGAAGACAGGTCCTTTCTCGGGCTGCATGAGCACCGTCATGCCCATCGCTTGGGGGACGACGAGGATGTCGCAGAAGATGATGGAGGCGTCGAGGCGCGGGTATCGGTCGATTGGCTGGAGAGTGAGGGCGGAGGCGAGCGCGGGGGTCTGGCAGCATTCAAAAAAGGAGTGGTCTTTGCGGATGGCGAGGAATTCTGGGGGTCAGCTTTGGTGAAGGCGAAAGGGTAGCGCTCGAGCTCTTGAGCCATTCAAGAAGGTTTTAGGCAACTCGACCCTACTGATATGGTGACTTTCCCGCCCATGCAGTACCTGCCCCCAGACTCTTCATCCTCCTCACACATCCATACCAGCGCCGTCTGACGGTCGACTTACCAGGCAGATACCTCCCCGCCTGCCTCATCACCCAAACCGGCGCACGTTCCGTCTCCTCCCCCGCCGCAGCGCGCAACAACAAATCATTTTTGAGCGGCGGGAACGACGCGAGCGTGTCGCGCCAGGTAGACGCGCCCTTGAGGGTGCATTCTTGAGGGGTCGACATGGCCTGTATTACTGGAATAGAAGAGGTAGATGCAGCTGCGCTGAGGTAGGGCCAAAAGTTGGCGAAGGATCGGCTCGAAACCTTCCCGGTTCCGTCGGAAGCTGGAACATCGCCCGCTGCCGCTGAGCGCTTGCGCTGGCTGGTATCTGCTCAGCGCTGACTGACCGCCTGACCGTTTCGGACAGAGTGGCCTACTCTTCCTCACGAGGTCAGTGGCCTCGAAGAGTACAGTCGCGGCGACACAAAGTCGAGCTTGATTTGTATACATAGACTACCACATACCACAATACCGAAATCTTTCCTCTCGACCGGGTGCTGGACCGCTTGCCACCGCACACTCAGCCTCCGCTTTTCCCTTCTCCCTTCTCCCTCCAATCCTACACGCCACCTAGAACCCCCTTCCTCTCCCCCTTGGTGGCCCTCCCCTTCCACCTCCCCTCCCTCCTGGTCCGCCCCTCGGTGCCCCCCTTCCTCCCCTTGCACCCCTTGGCGCCGCCCCCTCTTTCCGCTTCTTCGCCCTCGGCGCGTCGTCCACCAGTAGTGTGTCGAGTGGGAGAGAGTCGGGAAGGATAAAGTACCGGATATTGTTGCCTCGGATGGCTATTGAGTCTAGGGATAGAGGGGGTCCGGGGTGGGCGCGGGGGGTGAGCTTGACGGATTTGAGGTGGGTGTTCATTTGCGGGTCGACGGCTGTTGAGGGTAAGGTAGGCGAGAGGGCGAGAGTGAATAGCGAGGCAGTGGTAGCGAGCGGATATAGGATGAGCGATGTAGCGGGAGGAGATGTACCGAGAAAGGAGCACGATCAGCATTTCCCCTTATCTGTATTTGTTGATTTGGCTCACAGGTGATGGTCCCCTGTACGGCCGACCCATTTTTCAGCTCGATCGTGACCGTCTCGTTGTTGAGCTTCATCAAGAATCTGCAAGTCAGCCGAGGTCGAGCGGATGGGGCTTTCTGCTGCGAATTGTCTCTTTGGCCCTTCCCTCATCTCCCTTCTCCTTTCGCCATTCCGCCCGCCTCGGCAGCACCACCAGCCCGCCCAGCGGGCCAGCTTGCCCGTCCCGACGTATTCTCGTAGGACGAGAAGGCTGGGAGCTCGCCCGCTCCACCGACCCGCATCAGGTCCTCATGCCCTGACTGCCATCGTAATCCCTCCTCATCCTCCTGTCATCTCCCCCTACACACTTCCTTCCTTCGCCCAAGCCACTACCCCGCCCAAGCCACTACCCCGCCGATCCCCTGGCAGCTCCCCATGGTCTCCCATCGCATGTCCCGTGACTATCACGTCCATACCCCTCCACCCATCCTTCTCGGTCGACCGGTCGATTTCTTTCCCTCGAGTTCGGGCTCTAAGCTTACCTGACGAGCTTCATCGTGGAAAGACGGAGTCGGAGTCGAACGCTGCTATGCCGTCAGGCAATGTAGTACTTAGGTGTGGTGAAGGTCGATGGGTTATAGGACGAAGAAGTACAGTACAAAGGTGAAGGTGAAGGTGGTGGTTGAGTGTGCGGGGTTTCGGAATTACGTTTTGGCTGGTGGGAGGGGGATGACGGCAATGTGGCACTTCGGAGATCCCGCACATACCTCCGCTGGGTGAGCGGCGCGTCCACGAAGCAGCTGCAGCAGCGGTTATGGCTTCTTCACCCTTGTCTTACCCCTTCGATTTCGCTCTATACTCCTCTTTGTGATCACCCTAACGGCTACACCTACACGCGGAAAACGGCGTCCTGCACAAATAATCCGACTTCAAACGTCACGAACGGTCGGGTATCGCCCAAACTACGGCGGTCCGGCTGCGAGATAACGATCTCTCGGTCCACCAGCGTCTCTGCTGCATCTCTCCAAGGTTCCAAGCGAACGTCCGGTACCCGAATAGACGCGCTGGTATTCAGTACTGTATCACAGTATTCTCCTAGCAGATTGCTCTAGACGAGCCACGAAATATCCTTATAATCAAACGGACCAATCCAACAATCAACTTCCCTCCCGGCTCCATCTTTCCTTACCCTCATCCCCGGCCCACCCACTCCTCTCCCTCGGCCAGCCTACAGCTCAAACTCCGGTACACACAGCCCCCGCTCGCCCCTCGGAATACACTACCGACCCAGCCTCCCTCATGATGAGCTATCACAACGGCTACCCCTCCCGCTCTCCCGTCCCCCGCGGACTTACCCCCAACGGCAACTCTAACGGTCACGCCAACGGCCAGTCCAACGGCGGTGCATATGGAAACGGAAACGGAACCGGTAATGGCGTCGCCAACGGAAATGGCAATGGCAATAGCGCCGGTCCGTCCGGTCCTCAGGGCAATAACTCCCGTGTCCAGCCTCTTCTCTGTTCGGGCCATACCCGCCCGGTCGTCCATCTTCAATTCTCAAATCTGTACGTTGCTCAGCTAGCCGAATCGCTTGCATGTCTGTCGAGAGGATGTAGCTGACAACGATAGTCTAGATGACGGTACCTATATGCTGATTTCGGCGTGTAAAGATGGGAGTCCGATGCTCAGGAGCTGGCTCGGAGATTGGATAGGCACCTTTATCGGTGTGTCCTCATCTGCTTTGCCTTTCCAAGCGACGGGCTTGGCTGACCTACAGGGCATAAAGGTGCAGTATGGTCAACGAAGATATCGCAGGATACGACAAGAGGCGCTACGGGCGGAGCTGATTATTTCGCGTGAGCTTCCTCCGAGCTCCCTGTGTTGACAAATAACACGAGTGAGGCATGCAGCTGACGGACGACAGGAAGATATGGGACTGCAACTCTGGCGAAGAGCTCCACTCGTTCGCACACAAACATATCGTCCGGACCGTCGCGCTCAATCCTCAATCGCAACCGCAGTATCTCTTGACAGTGAGCTCCCACATATCCTTACGTCCTCTTCCCCCAGGACTCCCATGCCATCTCCGATGATGTATGGGGATGCGGTGTGGTCTGGGCAAAGCTGATCCTCATAGGGCGGAAACGAAAAGAAGATCCGGCTCTTTGACCTCAATCGTCCAGATGCCGACCCGCTCATACTCGGTTCGGACCCCGAAAAATCGTGCGATGGGACAGTACGGAGTCTGGTTTGGGATGATAGTCAGGGTGGGGCGGTGGGTGTTAGTGCGAGTGAGGATGGGACTGTTCGGTGAGTTTGACTTCGGGTCTATGCTGGGTCTTGAGGATGTCGGTGGCGGTACGAGCCAGGGCTGGCGTTGGGGGGGCGGTCCGTCGGGAGTAGGGAAACAGGGAACAGGGAGGTCAGGACGTATCGGGAGTAGAATGGGTGAAGGACTATGGGCTAGAGCTATAGCTGATACGTTCAGATGGTGGGATCTCCGCACACTTTCTCAAGTCGCCCAGCTGGACCTGGGCGATCCGGTGACTAGTATGGAGCTGGCACATGGAGGCGGAACGTTGAGCGTTACCGCAGGGAAGAATGTACACTTTTTGGATATATTACGGTGAGTCCTCCTCTCCACTTGATTCCTTGTTTCCTTACCTCTCGTCTGCTCCTACTCGCTTTGACTGCTGCGTCAACCTTTTCGCCCTTCCTTCTCCTCCCTCCTCTTTACTCTCACACCTTAAATCTATTTTACTCTCACCCCTTGATCTACACCTCGTTCTCCTCCGCTCGGAGACAAAGCTGACCCCTCAGGCAACACCCCCCAGTAACCATCCCCCTCACGCATCAACCCACCTCCGCCTCCCTACACCCTTTCCTCCGGGACCGGTTCGTCGCTGGAAGCGCAAACGACCCCTGGGTGCGCGTATATGATTTAGATTCCGGGACGGAGAGGGAGGTGTACAAAGGGCATCATGGGCCTGTGCTCTGTGCGAGCTATAGTCCTGATGGGGAGGTTTATGCGAGTGGGAGTGAGGATGGTGAGTTCTTCTTCTTTGACTTATTTGCGGAAACGGAGAAGCGGCAGGGTTGGGCTGACTGGCAGGTACGGTTCGGTTGTGGCAGACCAACCCGGGCAAATCTTACGGTCTGTGGCAGAGCCAAGAGTGAGGATAGGCTTAGACCTATGGATCTATGTACGACGAATAATCTCGACTTCATGCATAATACGCTATACAGCCCCGCTGAGAATGGGGATACTCACGTTGACTGATGCTGCCGATATGCGAATTGAGGACATCACATCACCCTCATGGGCGGCAAGGCCTAGGGCGTCTCTTTTGTCCTACCCCCTTGGGCCGAGCTGGCCGGAGAAGGGCATGCATCGAAGATCCTTTCTGGCTCTGTGACCTCGTTCGCGATACGGCGTGACCTCTGCCCCACTGAGCCGAGTCCTCCTTACATAGGCCTATAACGACATCCCCTCACATGTCTCGGTTCTGATTCATTCTTATCCCTCACTGCTGACTACTGCCTTACTCATCCCTGCCCTATCTACTACTTCTCCGTCAACACACAAGGACTAGGACGCCATGCCCGCCCCATTCGAAACCAACATTGCCGACAGCACGTATCTCGTCGTGACGCGAGAGTTGGTGGACGAGGACCGAACACTCATTACGCTGCGCCGGGAGGGAGCCACTGCCATGTCTCTGGAGGACTTTTGCGCAATGCTGCGCGGCGCCCCGCCTGGGAGCATCACTCCTGCGGCCATCCGTGTCGTGAGACGGGGTGTCATGACCCACCTCGATGAGTCCGCGGATGAAGACGACAACCCGCCGACGTTTCCTACCTCGGCGGGGTACATTCGAGAGCTGCTCCAGCTGCAGGAGGCTTTCGAGGCGAGCGTGAGGGATGGGAATGATTCGGCGCCGGGCTCTGAGGATAGCTCGGATGAGGAAGCATTGGAGCAGGAGCCCGAGCAGGATTCCGATCAGAATCAGGGTCAGGATCAGCCTGGACAAGCCGGCGACGCGGTCGCCAATTGAAGGGCCGTACAGCTGTACTGACAGACTGATGTCCAGAACGCTATTTCTCACTTGGGATGGATGTCTTCTTACTATTGACTTTGAGCTACCTGACAGATGGGTACTATACGAGTGCTGACCCATCATCTGCCCTGACTGATAACCCGTACCTCAATGAAGAGGAGAACCCAGGCGGGTTACACATAGCTGACCCTGGTCCGGCGTCGTACCCCAGGGCCTTCGGAAGAAGTTGATGGCGTGTGATCACGTTGTTTGACGCAATTGACGACCAAAATGAGAATGCCACATCATTAAAGGGAGGGGTACATCTTTTGTCCTTCCTCCCCGTTGGTCACGCTAGACGATAAACCAAGGACTCGAGTTCTTTTCTAGTCTGAATGTGGAACGAGGTCAACTGGGCTTGACCTTTGGCTAGACTGCCTATCGTCCACTCGGAGATCGCTTCTCGTATCGACCTCTCCTGTCACTGCCCATTTGCCACTGACCACCCTTACACTTGCTCTATCCAACCCTTACTTCTTCTTTCTTGGTGGACATCAACACCATCTCCGCTATACTGGGAGACCCCGCCGATACGCTTATCATACCGACAGCTGGCGACGACGACGTGCCCAGTACATTGGGTCCGAACGCCTATACGCCTACCGTGCTGACAATTCGCGACGACACGGTTCTCACCTTTACCAGAGACGTAAGGGGCCACACGGGTGCGAACGAAGATATACCCATTTACGTTAGCGGGGGCGGAGCAATCAACATGCCCCTCGAACGCTTCTGCGGAACGCTGGAGAACAGGTCTATCGTTCCTTCGGATATCCCGATCGTACGACGTGAGCTCCTTCAGGAGTTTTTCCGTGCGCTGTGGGTGACCCTGGAAGCCAGGCCGCAGGACGCCGAGAACATCTGGGCTCACCCGCCCAGCTTCACCTTCACTGGCGAAGAGTTTCGCGCTTCCCTCGAGCTGGACATGCTGCCGGACCATTCGCAGGCTCGCGATGGCAGTACTGATTTCCACCATCGATCAAAGGGGAAGATAATGATGGGAACTGCGGCTTCTGCTCAGAAGTTATATCTGAAGGCTCGGGCGGAGAGGGGATTGGTGATCTTGATGTGGAGCTCATCACAGTCTTCATCCTTATACCTTACATTGGCGCAACATGGGACCCCATACACTCGGCATCGATCAAGGCAGTACCTTGCTGACATTCACAGCCGGTCCCAATGGCGCCATCACGATGAGCGTCGCGGGACAGACTGACAAGTCGCTCGAGGTAGTCTGCCAGACCTGGTACGATTGGGCGAGGGCTTCTGAGGACATCGACACCCTATTGACCGTCCGGGCGGCGAGGAGCAGTGAAATCATCGCTGAGGATGTGCGCAAGTTCATGGAAGGCAGACTCCACGGCAAGCCTCCTACCACCAACTTGACGGGCAAGGACTTGCAGCACCAGATCGCTCAAGCCATGAGGAGTCGACCACGTCAGTGAGGTCTGAGATTGTATACTACCAGTACCCCAGAATTCCTGTCTGATTGGGGAATGTAGCATTAGGGGATATAGCAATAGCAAGTGTGGTGATGGTCAGCTGAGTGGTCTAGTTTGCGGTCCTGGGACGAGCATGTGTTACATGTGCTATTCAATACTGATTGCTTAATCCTGTCCTTGCCTAACTTCTGACGCAAACAGTGCGCTATCAGCGGGTTTATATCTTATACAGAATGTAAGGAGGCAGTGTGTCCATGTGACCCTTCTCTTCTCGCTCTCCACGGGCCGCTGGCACCTGGTCTGGCACTGACAGCGATTGCGGAGTTGGTCAGAGTGCGACCCTTTGTCAATCTCAGACGGGAATGTGTCGGAGAGTATCTCGTTACTGCGGTCCTCTGCTGTTTTTCGGGTGATTGTAAGGCCTTCCAGTGCACATCACTGTCACTCCGATACAGTGATGACTGAGGTCTCCTTTGTATGTCCCCCATATTCACTGTCCGATGGCCGCATGACTGGGCTTCACAGGAGCTACATAAAGGGCCTCAGGTCTCGTCCACTTGCTTTTCAAGCTTACCACACCAATCAGCAAATTCATACGACACGTCTGATCCATTACGTCTCACCCTTGAAGCACTTGGCCCAAACATGACAAACAGACGGCGAGTCTCCTTGGTTGACGTCGTGATGGCTCGCAAGCTCCGGAAATCAATTGAGGCGAACCAACCGCGCCGTAGGCTGACCTCGCTCTCGGAAGGCCCTGATCGGGCCTTACTCACACTAAGCCGGGGTCCTCCAACGACAGACGAATACTGGGGATCAACTTTGCTCGTCAGCGGTGCTGGAGATACCGACATGCGGTTCGAGCATTTCTGTTACCACCGAGTTCTCAACACGGAAACTGCCAATCCCACTGCTGGTGAGGATATCTCCAAGGCGATGGCTGACCGCAAAATGGTACGCATTCAAAAGGCATACGCAGAGATCCTCGATCGACTGGCGCAGGCGGCTGCGACCTCGATCGACACAAACACAACGATCCAAATGACAGGGCACGGACTCAGGATGTTGCTTCAGGACAAGCTAGGGGAGAGTGACACAGGCTCTTCAAGCAAGTAGGGCGGATGGGCATGCCCTCGTCAAGCTTGTTTTGGATAAATGGATGCGGGCTCTCAGTCGGAGGGAGGCTGCAGCGTGCGAGTAGAGTCGGAGAGGCCATGCAAGTGTGGGAAGACTGTTGTGGAGCCTCCCGGCCATCCACCCATCTGATCTTCATCAGTGTCATATTGGACATGAATCCCTCTTCTGCTGGTACTCATACGCTGCGCCCTTCCGCTCAGTTGCTGATCTTAGCAGCAGCTCTATTGATTGCTGACTGATCTTGTCGTCGTCGTGTAGCTACATGGTGCGCTATCAAGCGGCTTGTCCCTCCAGGGGTGTGCGGTACCGGTGTAGGAACGCTGAGTGGCGAGGCTCTTAGCCTGGATCGGTACATACTTGGAGCTGCCGATTGGCTGTTGCCGTGTTACCTCCTTGATATTATGCTCCAATCACGAGGACCGATAGTCTCAAGATAAGACGGTGGGCATGTGCCGATGCTCCTTTGTCATAATCTGAGACCCGGCAGGCTGTTGAAGTTTGGAAGGTAGAAGTACAAAAGCAGAATAAAGATGCATTGGACACGATCAGGTCTACTTATATAGTCCTGCTGGCGTCGCTGCGTCGCGACACCGACGCGACGACACGACGCCGACGAGTCGCTGGGACGTCGCTAGACGACGTCTCACGTCTCTATGTGCTATAGGATACTTGGGTGGCGGCGTTGCCTCGCCGCCACTCAGCGCCGTCAGTCCGACACTAATGTAAAGTGTCCGGACACCCGGACAGACAATTCTGTCCGGCCCGTACAGTGACTATCCCGGATATTCACCTAGCGCTATCTCAGATCTAGTCGGCGCCGGCGCGGCGCCGCGACGCCGTGACGTCGCTGCGACGTCGCAAGGACATCCAGCGACGTGCTCCTGTTCTGAGATCTGTCGGCGCAGTCGCCCAGCGACGCGCCGCTATGCTCCTACAGCCAACACAGGCTTTGTATTCATACCCCGCTGGGTGACTTCACCATGAGCCAGGCCGCATTTCTGAGTCCTGACATTGTCACGAATATACACCACATCACTTGATTCACTATCCTGCTTCCCAGATCCTACACACCATCACATATGATGGCTTGACCGACATCTCTCACAACCATGACGACAGGATGTTTACCTTTCGCCTGTCATCCGGTCCAAATCACGGGTCGACTTCACTTTCGGTCAGCGTCGAGGAGTACGACCCCATGTCCTTCAAGAGATTCCTCGAATTCCTGGACGATCACCCCGGCAGGCCTCAAGATACGATGCCAGAGGACGCAGGTACTCTTCAAGAGAGACAGCGAGCAGAGCAGCGCCGAAACGCGATCTTCGAGGTCGCGCAAACCACAATTTTGCAACGCCTGACACACCTAGCGGAGGAAGGCTTGGACCCATCGTTTGTAAAGTCGGGGCGGGATGTCTTGAACATCATCAACAGGCTGGCGGAGGAAGTGGAGAGTCAGAAAGACGTTTTGCCCTGAGTGTACTTCGGTAGTCGCTGGACAGCCAGAAAGCGGAGTGGAACGCGCGTGTCTCATCGCGCGATCGTCGTTATGGCGATAATGTTACTGTCTATATAGATTGGTCCAGTCATTCATACTCTATCATCTGAGAGCCCAGGCCCGCTGTCTGGTCCGCAATAGAGCAGAGAACAGACATGCGGCAAGGCGGATAAGGCGCAGTGTCCCCACGCCGCTCGTAAGCTATCGCAACCAGCTCAGACTCTTCACCTAGTAATGTATCCCGCAGCGGCTTTTAAGCCCTATATTCCCGTATGAGTGCATCTCTAACTTTCAAAAGCAGGATAGTCCTCATTGGCAGCATACATGATTGAGGGGGATTGTCCGGATGGGAAGGCTGATTACGTTAAAGAAGCAATGCGAAACCGGCAAGTACAGCCCCAAAGATACCTGCACTAGCAGCCATCGTAGAATGTCCACCCGCACTGCCAACATCAGCCCCATCCCGAAGCCAAGGTTGAGAAGAGAAAACTCACGCAGCACCTTTGCTTGACGCAGCAGGGGAAGGAGCCGTACCGCTTGCCGCCTCGGATCCTGAGGAGGATGCTGGAGCACTGGAGGCCGGAGCAGCGGAGCCTGAAGGGGCGCTGGAGGGAGATCCGCTGGCGCCGGGAGCAGGTGGGGGCCTATACTATCAGCTGGTCCCTGCAGAGCCGAGAGGAAGATCAAAATGGCTCACGCTGCGGCAAGGGCTCGGGCGAGGTACGCCTCGAAGGTCATGTTGCCGGTAGCCGGGGCGTTGATACTGGCATGTCAGCGGCGATCAAATAATACTGAAGAGATGTTGAACGTACGACATGACCATGCCAGTAACGCAGTGGTTACCTTGGGCACCTGAGAGCATCAGCTTTTGTCTACCATTTACCTCTCATACAGCATGGTGCTTACAGTAGATCCAGATGGGCTTGGTGTCATTGACGAGGACCTCAAACCACAGCAGTCAGCGCTATGTCCCTGCACGATCATACCGGGTGGAGACTTACGTTGGATGTCCTGCCAGCAGTGATATTGGCCGGCCTGAAGCCCGAGAAAGCATTCCCGCCCGCAAGCGGAACGCAGGGGTTGAGGAAGTTGGACTGGGAGACCGTGTGATTTTTCGCGACAAAGGTGAAGCTGATCGTCAGCCGGGCAGACTACCTTATACTGAGGGAGATAGAGACTCACTTGACTGTGTCTCCGACACCGATATTGATACTGCATTGTCAGCTGTACGGCCGGGAAAGGGATCAAGAGATGATGAGGACTTGCATGTTGGGCGTGAATGTCTATCGCATCAGCTCCATGCGACAGTGCGAGTAAGCTACACGGGATAGTACTCACGTTGGTCCCGTTCAAGCCAACGACAACCTGCTGGGTCGCGGCCATGACTACCGAAGCGACCAGAAGAGAGGTAGCGACGAGTGAGCTGAGCATAGTGAGATGTTGTGATATGTGTATGGATGAGAGTAGGATGTGAGGGTTGGCATGAAGGAGGGAGAAGATCTGCGCGCATATATAGCCTCATCAACGCGACAAATGGCTCAACTACACCATGCTGCGGCTGTCCTTTGGCTGGCCCGCTGTGTCCGCCCCGCGTTTCAGGTCTGAGATATACCCACCCGTTGCGGTGCAGAGGGCCCCCTTTGGTATCCCTCGACGAACGTCCGTGTCGATCAACGGGCGAACTCTGTGAAGGGCGGTGCTAGCGGTGCTTGACGACGCAGATCCCTCGGACGCATTTCAGATCGTCCACCGATACATACTGCCAATAGTATCTCAGTGCACGAGGCACCTCATGGTCATGGGCATTGTACTACCAGCCCATATGGTAGATTACCAAGCGGTAGGATTGCCAAGACTGCGGCTATTTCAGGCCGCTTTGCAGATCTTTTCCCCTCCTCCCAACACACACCACCTGAAACAGGGTGAAACGTGCGGAATGCCGTCCGCACGAAACTCGAATCAAACTTTATATTCTGGTGTCCGCCTGTCTGAACTCGGTGCACTGTCCCCAGTAGCACTCGCGGGCGGAGCGCAGTGCATCCCTAGCTCTATTCTGTTCCGGAGAGCCGTAAAACGGTGCTTCTGTGACTGTGACACTGTGTCCCCTGAATGTGAAGAACAGCAGCGTGCAAGGGTTCGAACGTTCATTGCCATGCTCACTTCCCTGGTCAAGAATTGCCCCATTCACAGCTCCCATGTGCCCTTCAGCTGTGTAGAAAGCATCACACACACACTATAGGTGGCCATAGACATGTTTTAGGAGCTGCACAGCCTTGACTGTCCTATATCGGGCTAGGAAATTAAGAGCGAGACTGAGCTGGTCCGTCCTTTCTGCTCGACCCCTGAACATTGCACAGCTCAATGATACTGTCAAATGCACAGCAGGAGATCCCAACAGTGAACTCCGACGAAATTCAGTCCGTCGCGCTCCGCTCCGAGATGCTACACACAGGCCTGTTTCCTGCTCCGATCACGCCAGCCTATCGGAGTGAATCTCGAACGCCAGATCTACGTATAAGCCGAGGCGGCACCGGGGCGGTGCATACTCGAGTCACATCCGTTGATTACCTTTATGTCCCAAAAGCACACGTTGTCTTTCAGCCACGGCCCCGCCTTCATGCGCTTGCATCCCTCACCCCTTCGCTCATCGCTCCAGCACAGATACCAAAGCTTCTCACCCTCATGTCCGCTGACTCTCACGCAGTCCACTTGCGGGATATCCCCATTGGTCAGAGATATCTGATCTTCTCCCAGCAGTCCGGCTTAGAAGGCAGACCAGAGCTGGTCACTTGCATCACCATCGCTTTCAACAACACCGCCGGGGGCGTCACGCAGAAAGGCACACAGCGTCTTGACCGCTTTTGGTAGTGCAACCTCGCTCGGAACCCGGTCGCACCCACGGCCAGTATCAGCGCTGCCGATATCGAGTCGGTGTTGCTATCAGAGGGGCTGTCCCTTGAGAGACCACTGTACTACCTGGACTCTGGCTGGACAGGACTGCAACAGAAGGCTCGGGCGAGACGATGGCAGAGTCAGAACGCGTCTGAAGGCATATCCCAGTCCGCGCAGCCGCGGGAGGAAACGGGGATGACGTGCAAAGGCAGCGGTGACATCACCATGGAGGGTACGACCGAAGACATCCAGAAAGCGGGTCTAGGTGCGGTGGGGAGCTTGACATGCGTCAGAGACATGGCGGAACTGAGCTTGGAGAGATCGTCTGAGACTTGGCGGTCGTGATCGATATGAGCTCTAGTTGACTTTAGACGATTCATGCCATCATTGATCACTCTTAGACGGGCTACGTGGTCGTGGCGTGACGAGGCGGGCTTCAGACCGGAGGGCAGATCTTCCTGTCAAAGCCCGGGGCCCAAGGCTCAGCACCGCGTGGATTCCGATCCTTTATGATGGCTCGAACGTGATCTGGTGCCACTCCTTTCCGATCTCATCCCCTTTCTTTGACAGATGACTTTTCCAGCTAGATTGTGCAATCAGCAGGAAAATGGCGTGACCAAGCGCTGGGCTCTGAGCCGGAAAGTCTAGCTAGATCGTCAGAGTCAAAGGAGCACGTCAGCGCTGGATGATCGTGGATTTGCCACCCATCCGCCTCAAAGTCTCCGCTCTCCTTATCATCATCGAGTCCCCTGACTTTCCACTCCTCTCCTCCTCGAATCAATCGTACGGCACAAGACACTTTGCCACTCATGTCTCAATCCGCCAATGCAGCGATTGTCCGGCCATCAATGTCTACCCCAGATGGCAGGACATACCTCGGCTTCAGGCAGACGGAATGGCCGAGAGCAGACGGCACGACTGATATCATCACTTACGTCGTGCCTGTGCAAAAAACCAGCTCTGGTGTCGAAGTAGGCCCGATGCGTATTTTCAAGGATTTCTGGTTCGCAGAAATGACAAACTCTTCCGACCCAAGTGACATCCAGCCGGCCGACGTCATATCGCAGCTGGAAGCGAGAGGTTTTGTCCCTGGAAAAGATACTGCCGGTCCCCATGCGTCTGTGCGCCGAGATCGTCAAGAATCTTTGGATGAGCCGCAGCGTCAACACTCAAGGAAGCACCGAAGACGTCGATCGAGGGCCTAGTGGTCAGACGGGGAATTCGACGATCGTCTTTCGGTCTGCGGGCCTGCCAGTCGCAGCGAGAGTCACGCTGGAACGCATCATGAGAATGGATCAGACTTGGCTGGAGTAACGAGAATAGTCAGTATTGTTATATAGTCTGTGAGGTCCGTCGAAACGCCATGTACTTGTTAGATCTGCCGTTGCATGTACAATATTAATACACTGCCGTATCGCCGAGGCGGACCCAAGTCTGACCATCGAATTTGGTGCGCACAGGTAGCACTGCCCCCCTTCCCGACAACAATGCAAGCGCCCTCGTACATTGGGTGTAACTGCTATCAGCGTTGCAAGAGATCGCGCCGTGCGGACCTTCCTAAGGCCTGACCGCGCCAAGTTACTGCATGATGCTCGAAACGTCAAATAACTATATGAGTGCTCCTTTCCTCGCCAACCCTTACCTTGCCAGATCGGATTAGATTGCGCATTTTACGGATAGATTGTGGCGCAAGAGTCCTTGTGGAGCATAAGCAGGCAGTTTCTGGACGAGTAGCGTTTCCGGCCAGCAGCCTGATCGAGTTGGTGGCCACCAGTTGCCTTGTTGCGGTCCGAACGCGTATGGGTGTTATTCCTTTGGTATGGCGGCTCATGTCATTGGTACATGGCACTTTTGGCTAGAGCGCAATCTAGGAGCCCAATGGCGTGATCAGGTGTGGTCTGGACCGGAAGGCCCAGCTAGATTGTCACGGTCAAAGGAGAACGAAACGAATGTGTACATATTTGCCACCCATCCCCCTCGACTTTCACTCTCTACATCATCCTCCAAAGCCCCCATTTTACTCGACTTCACCCGTCCTCTTCACATCAGCCGTACGCAAGAAGATACTTCGCCACTCATGCCCTCGTCCAACCCCAGCTTCACCGACCCCAGTAACCGCCCGGATATCGATGACTCGACACAATCCACCGGCCGGTTTAATTTGTGTACGACTTCCAAATGAGCAAAGGCCCCTCCCCTGAATCTGGGTCTCCGTAGGGACAGCGACACCGGGAGCTGAAGCCTTGGCCTGAACGCAACCCATTCTCCTGGCTGACTTCTGGAAGAGCATGCAGGAGGATTACCCGCCGACCCGGACAGTAACTTCACCAAAAGCCTTGACTCCGACGATGTTGCGTCGCTGCTGGTCTCGGCACCCCCCCACGGGCCTGGACTGAGCTTGATCCCGCCGCGGCCGCGAGGAGTGCTGGTGCACTCTCATCAAGCTCTCGGCTTCTTCAGCCGCGTTCTGATGGCGAAGGAGGCAAGACAGGCTGCGAGCGGGTCTCCCGCTCACCAAAGTGGGGCGAACACTGCCACCGAAGGCCGGGGAGGAACCAGTGACAAGAAGCCGGGTGCAGGCAGGGTTGTGGGCGATTCGGCTGAGGAGACTGGGAAGTGAGAGCGCGGTGCATTATTTGATACTTCAGCAGTGTCAGTATGTACCTTGATGCACGTTCGGATCGCGGCAGATGATCTGAGCAGCCAGGGCTGAAAATCGCTATCATGACAACAGCTTGCAAGACTAGGGAGATGATACTATACTTCCTAGAGCATCACAGCGAAAGCGGCAGTGAGGACCGTCCCGATAAACCCAAACGCAGAAACTACAGACCTCACATCCGCACTGATCCAGTCAGCTCCCCTTCTCATTTGCTCTCCCTAGATAGAACTTACGCAGAAGCCTTGCTGGATGTAGCGGCAGAAGCGGATGCCCCGCTCGCACCAGCTCCGCCTGTACCGGACGCGCTCATACTCGAGGTGGAGGTGGTGTTTGCGCTGACGGATCAGCACATCACGGGATGACCTCCGGGTTGGGATTGATGGCAACTTGGCAAGGAGAGCATAGCTCACCCAGTGGCATTGGCGGCACCTTGGAATGCGGAGAAGGTCATATTACCAGATGTGGGAGCGTTAACCCTAACAGCCATGAGTATGAGTTGGCAGAGCTGGGTCAAGATGACACATACGAGAGCACCATGCCGAGCTGGCAGTGATTCCCCTGAGCGCCTGACGATCAGCATTCTCCTTCCAGTGAGACCCGAGAGATCGCGCGAGGAAGCTGTACGTACAGTAGATCCAAACAGGGTTGGTATCATTGATCGTAACCTGGTACTTCCCATATCAGCACGTACAGCCAAGCGCGAAGAGAGGGGCGAGACTCACGCTAGAAGTCTTGCCAGCGGTGATGTTGGCGGGCATGTAACCTGAGAAGACGGTACCGTTCGACAAGTCTTTGCAGGGGTTGGAGAAGCTCGACTGGGAGACGGAGTGGTTGCCTGCTACGAAGGTGAAGCTGCGGGTATCAGCACGAGCGGGGGCGGCTTCATAAGCCTCGAAGAAGAGAACGGCAGGGATTGAAGGTAGAAGGGTGAGGATGGACCTACTTGAGGACATCGCCAACATTGGCGGTGATACTAGGACGTCAGCATGTGATTCTGCTCCGGTCGACGAGGGCGTAGAAGAGGAAGCAACGAGGTACTCACGTGTTGGGCGTGTAACTCTGCACGATCAGCCGGTCTCTCGGAAGTGGAAGTGGGACGGGAGAGGACTCACGCGGGTCATGTTCATCCCCACTACGATCTGCTGCGTCTCGGCAGAAACGACCGAGGCGGCCACCAGGGCAGTTGCGGCCAGTAAACAAGAGAACATCTTGGAGGTTGATAGTGCCGACAAGGTGAGGAGCGAGAAGATAGGCAAGAGCGAAGACGAGGCAGATGGGTGGGGTCTGTCAGTGTGGGCGCAGCTGGGTAGAGGGGCAGCGCGCCATATATACCTCTCCGGCTCTTCCCAGGCCGGGGAAATGGCGCACTGGGTAACTGCAGATCCCTTCCCCGCCTCACCTGTCCCGGCTCCGAATCGTTGGCACACCTTCATATGCCGGACCGATCGAAGGCTCAGAATAGATCGTCGATCATGTGGTCGATCAGGGGGGCTTTTGAGTCACAGATCTGTTACGTTACCATTCTGCCCGAGAACAGGCCGATGCGCGAGGAACGTGGCACAGTAGTGGCACATGCAGTGGCAGCTGCGGCTGGGGCCATGCGATGACTGGCCACCGGCCAAGGCCATGTATCCGAGTCTCATCGAGAGGATCTGCAGACTACTGAGTGAGGCGAAAGCATCTGGTGCAATTATCTGTAAGAACAAGTATGAGCAAACAACATGTGGGAGTGTATGATCTTGTGATGTTGATGGAGGTTCCCTCAAGACAGGCGAGTTACTGGGGCGGGGGATGCTCAGCCTCAGACCGCCAGATTGCTATGCCCGGTTCTCTCCCTTCAGTACCCCGATGTGATTACCGCCCCTCCATCCCCTCCCCTCCATCCCCTCCCCTCCCCTCCATCCCCTCCCCTCCGTCCCCTCCGTCCCCTCCATCCTCTACTCCTTCCACGTGATCTGGGCCCGCTTCCCGCCCTCTCCAACTGTATCCCCACCGACCCAAAACCGCCTCAACACACCCGGCAACTCCAGCCCCTCCACTTCTCCCTTCTCGCCCAGCTTGACCCCATTCTCCAGGATCGCAATGATCAGTCGGGGAATAGCCGCCGCTGTCCCATTCAGCGTGTGCGCAAAGGGAAGCGGGTCATTGCCGCCTGGGCTGTCGTGGCCCGGTGGAGGGGAAGAGGAGGGGAGGGGTCGATGGCGGATATGGAGGCGGCGAGATTGATAGTCTGTGCAATTTGACAATGAGGATATCTGATGGTCAGCTCAGACCATGACCAGAGATGGTGGTGAGGTTGTAGCTCACCTCGCCCCATCTCCCCCTGCCTGGCATCCACGCCTCCATATCCCACTTTCTAGCTGCCGAAGCACCCAATTCCTCCGTCGGCATCTCCAACAACCTCACGCTCAGCCCTAATCCCTCGGCGATCTCCTTCTGCACCTCCTTCATACTCTCCATCATCGCCTCTCCGTCCCCGCCCTTTCCTGACCCGCCATCGCTCACTCCGCTCGCCGTCACGCAGAACAGCTCCACCTTGGTAAACTGATGCACCCTATACAGCCCCCTCGTCTCTGCACCCCTCGCACCCGCTTCCGCCCTAAACGCATGGCCCACACCCACCACCTTCGCCGGTAGCTGCCCCGGACTGAGCACTCGATTCGCAAACAGCGCCGAGAGGGGCACTTCCGCCGTCCCCGCCAGGACATGCTGTTCCGCCGAATCCGCGAGCGCGTACGTCTGCTGTGCGCCGCCAGAATCGCGCGGGGCGAACCCGCACCGACTGGCTAGATCCGCCTTGACGACGTCTGGGGGAATGACGGGCGTGTACCCGTGCTTGACAGCGATGGAGACCGAATAGTGGATGAGCGCCATCTCGAGCAATGCTGCCGCTCCGCGCAGGTAGGGCCAGCTGGAACCTGTGGCGGTGGCGGACGCCTCTGGATCGAGGAGGTCATAGTGCGTACATATACGCAGGTGATCTCTGTCCGTATTGGCAGGTATGGGCGTAGGTCCGAATCGATCCAGCTCGACCGCCTGGTCCTCCGCTCCGATAGGCGTGGAGGGATGTGAAAAGTTGGGGAGCGCCAGACTCATCTCGAGGAGCTCCTCCTCCGTTCCCCCTAGATTCCGCTCATAGTCCCCCACCCTCACCTTGAGCTTTTTCGCCTGGCGCACGAGCTCAGGCGTATCCCCCAGCTTATTCTTGATGAGACTGGATATCTCATTCTGCTTCGATCGGACCGATTCGAGCTTGCGCAAGAGGAGAAGCTGGGTGTCGCGCAGTCTCGAGATATGGGCGACGTGTTCCGGTGAAAGGCCGGAACGGCGGGTGAAGTGGTTCGAGGTGGTTTGAGAGGGGTTCTGGAGGATGCGGGCGTAGTCAGGTCGAGGGCGGGGGAGGGTGGATGGGGGAGGTGGGGGAGCAGAGGGTTTGGAGGATGTGGAGGCGGCAGCGGGTCGGGGAGTGGGAGTGGGAGTAGGGGTCGATGGGGGAATTGGAGGAGCGCCAGGAGCTTCTGGTGGTCCGAGAGGGAGGATGAGGGGAAGCTTGGGTGTGTGCGAGGCGAGTAGCCTGGTGGATATCCGCATACTGAACGAGGTATAGTCGACACCCTACCCTATAGCTGCGCTCGATCTGAGCCAAATCTATGGTAAAGAACGCACGGACCTCTCTCCGGCTATATGACGTAACCCTTTCCGCCGGAAGCAAACGCTACTGCCGCTACTCGCTGCCACATTGGTCGATTCCGTCTTGTCGTCTTCGCCGCTCACCTTAAGCTTGTCCTTCCCCTAGTAAGGTATACCTCAGATCCCTCTCGTATATCTACCGACACTCACTACGAATACCAACACTGCCGCCTCCGAACTTGTAGAGGTCGATTCGGAACTCCTCAGAGCACAATCGGGGCTTTCGGCGCCGGGACGTTCTGCCCTCAGCGTCCCAGACCGGCTTGGGACGGTCGGGCAAAAATTGCTGGGCGTCATAGCTGTGCGATACAGTGTCAACAATATAAAGGGGCCAGCGGGCGGCCCTTGCTGTCAACGTGCGTCATTGTCATTGTTTTCGACCAGGCGAACTTTTCCATCCCGGGTCTTGCGACTTTTTCACTCCACCTCCATTGTCCATCTATCCATCCATCCGTCCACCCAGGTCATCGCTCGCGGCGGTAGGGGTCCGCCATGTACTCTCTGCACCAGCAGCAACAGTACTTTGGCTATTCGGGTAACAACCCCTCGCAGCATCAGCAGCAGCAGCAGCAGCAGCACACCAACGCCCAAGCGGGTCCGTCTTCTCTCTCGTCCAGTCCTCGACCTAGCGGTAACGGCGGTCCCTATCCCGACGTCCAGGATCAGAGGGCGTACAACCCCTATCTATCCTACGCATCTACCACCTCGGCCCCCGCGCCAGCGAAGTCTCATGGCGATGGCGGCGCAGACGGTCCGCTGACGGGCGACTCGGGTTACTACAGCTATCCAGGTACGGGGGACCAGGTACAGCTACCCCCAGGACCTGGGCCCGGACCTGGGGGAAACGGGATGGAGATGGAGATGGAGATGGAGATGGATTTCCGGCGCTCAGACTATTATCCAGAGAGCGTGGTGGGGCAGGGAGGTGTGTATTGGCCCGGAGGACCATTACAGCAGGCGCAAGGGCGGGAGATGCAGGATGGGTATCGAGAGCAGGGACAGGGACATGGGCATGGGCATATGCGGGGACAAGGGCAGGGGCAAGGGCAAGGGCAGTGGGATTCGCCTTATTCCGCACATACGACGCCGGGGCTGGCGGGCCAGTATGCACCAGGACCTGGACCTGGTCCGCCGCCTGGACAGGGGCAGGGACCGAGTATGGATGGGTATGGTTGGGATGGGCGAGGCGGTATGGAGATACGACCAGGAGAAGACGATGGGAAGCGGGAAATACTTCTTGTAAGCTTGCTGCTTCCCTATCTTGACTTCGCAACCGGACATAGCTAATCCTCAGCTGCACCAAAACCTCACAGAACTCATCACCCTCCTCGTCCCCTATCGTCTCTCACCTACAAACCCCTCCCCATCGCAACCCCCGCCGTTCCTCCTCCCCCGCCTGGCCCATCTCGCGCATGCGGTCTATACGACGCTACACCACCTCTCGCCCCGATTTAGGCTCAATATCGATCCGGATCGTTTACCCGCTTTGCCCATCTCTGGTATAGACGGGAGTGTATGTGAGCAGCCTAGGAAGAAGGCAAAGAAGGCCGCCGCGGGCGCTGCCGGTGGTAGCAAAGGGAAGGATGAAGACGGGAGGGGATTGGGATTGACGGCCGCGGAGCGGGAAATGGAGGTTATTAGAGTGAGAAGGGATGCGTTGATTGCGCGGAGTAAGGAGGGGCCGAGGGCGCGCGCTGGGATGGTGGCTGCTGCTGCAGCGGCGGGCGTACGGGCGGGGGCGGGATCAGCGGGGAGTATGAAGCGCGAGAAACCCACCGCCGGGCGAGCGCAGGGGGAGGCGTCTCCGTGGCCTGAAGAACAGGAGGGGTACGACGCTGATGCGGGCGCGGGCCTCGAGGGCGGAGGATACGGTCGGGATCCATTCGACTGGGCCAATCCCAATCCCGATTCTAGCTCTGGCGGATCTATGCCTCAGCGAGCGTACCCAGACGACCACCGCTTCGCGGCCGCTTCGGCGGGCTTTGGGTCATCTCGATCTTCCCCATTCGGCCCGTTTGGGCGGGACGGGGATCTTCCTCGACAACTATCCAATGGGCTCGTATTCGGTCCCCCGCCTGATTCTCATCCCTTCGGCGCCACTCAGCTTGGCGATGGCCAGACCGGGTTCTCCCGACCCCCTTCTTCCCTGTCGATGGGGTACGGTATCGATCCCTCGCTGCGACACGCTCACCTTGAGTCCCGGAACGGTGCCGGCGGGAGCGCGGGCGGAGAAACAGACGTGTTCGACCTATTCCCACCCCCGTCTTCCGCTTCCGCGCAACAAGGACAAGGACAAGCGCAGGGACAATCCCAGGGCCAGGGCCAGCTCTTTGACTTTGGGCTGGATCTACGGGGATCACCGATCCCTGTCTCGTCAACGTCAACGACGGCGATGGCGTTTGAGCTCGCGCCAGAGGTCAAAGGGAAGAGGTTACGGTGTCATGGGTGCGGAGTTGTCGTAGAGGGGGAATGGATGGGGGGACCTGATGGGCCGAAGAGTCTTTGTGTGCGGTGTGGGGTGAGTTTCGTTCTTCTCTTTGAGGGTGGACTGAAGGCGGGTGTTGAGGCGTCCAGGGTGGAGCTTGGGTGGTATGGAGTATGGAGGATAGAGCTGATGGGATAGCTGCATTATGCCAAGCTCAAGAAGAAACGGCCAGATGAGGCCGATACCGATGCTGGGACAGAACCGGAGGCGGGAACGGACGTACGAGCGGACGCGGCGGATGAGTCTGGTACGGCAACGGTGATTCCGGACGTGTTGCCCGCGGACCCGCTCAGTACTGGACTGGGTGAGTGGTTTTACTGCTGGAAAGGCATAGTGGGGATTGAGCTGATGACCGTATAGCTTGAGATGGGGTTCACATCAAGGCCGCTTGATTCATGCATCTCATCGGGGGTCTGGTGATGGCAGCGAGGAGTGGGATAGTAGGGGTGGCGCTGAACCTTGGACATTGGCAAGCTGGCTAGCTACATACTGTATTAATTCAAAATCTGTCTGTATCGTCCTTGCTCATCAAGAGGGGATGTGTATATGTCGGACATGCGAAACACATACACGCAACTCAGTCATCATCTTACCCTAACTTACATTCATGATCCCCTCTTCCATCTGCCATACCATCGCTGTCGAACGAGAACAACCCGGTGATGGTGACTGAGGTGAAACACGAACGTCGACGCGCCACACCCTGAGACGTGTTTTGAGTTTGTTTGCAGGTGACGGCATGGCGATGGGTTGGGTTCGGTTCAGGGGAAGAGGAGGCAGGCAAAGGAAAAGCAATGCAAGCAGTGTGCATCGCCTCTATACTTCATCTTTGACTTTGACATCTTACGACCCACAATCCTTACTCGACAGCACACAATCTTTACACCACACCATATTACTCGAAACAACCAGCCAAAAATGTTCGCCCTCACCGCCCTGATTGCTCTCCTCTCCGCCTCGGCCGCACGCGCCGCCGTGACCCCCACATCGCCCGAATCCGCCACTGTCGTGCGAGTGGGCGGACAGATGAATGCGCTGTGGGCGGCGGATACAACGGGGACGTGGACGGACATGACGGTCCAGCTTATGACTGGGGATAATTTGCAGGTCAGTCGAGCTAAGGTTTGGGTTTGAGCTCGGACGGAGGTTAGACCTGGACTTGGACTTGGACTTGGAGAGGATGGACTAGGCTGCGATGATGAATACGAGGTCTGATCATGGCGGATGGAGGGAGTCCGCCAGATATTGGTTCATGTGGGGGTTCGGAAGCAGGGGCTTGGGGGTCAGCCGGACGGCTGAGGTGGGCATTTGAGCGGCCGGGCGGAAAAGCATGACCCTGCACGCGTTGGAACGATTCTCAGCTTACCACGACCTGGCTACATGCTGCGCATCATAGGCGTCCTTTCTATTGGGACCGCGCTGACTTGCAGATGATCCCCCTCTCCACCCTCTCGACCGGAATCGACGGTACAAAGGACACATCGCACAGCTGGACTGTGCCCAATGTCTCGCCTACCTCCAAGATCTACTTCCTCCAATTGTGCGTTGACGACACCCGTTCCTTCATCACACGTCCACCAGCCGCTGTCTGTGGATCTGCTCCTACGCCACCCTCTTCGCTGCGCCCAAGCTGACAACTTAGCACCCGTACCGGCGACCCCTCCTCCGCGCAGTGGACCACCCGGTTCACCATCGCCTCCGCTGACGGAACCACCACCCCTCCTACGAACAGCACGACCTACACCCCCGCCCAGGGTCCCGTTCAATGGGGTATCGGCGCCGTCGTTGGCGGCTCCGGGGCAGCCTCTATGCCATCCTCCAACTCCACCTCCCCCTCCGCATCCGCAGCCGCCGGCGTCGCATCAGGCGGCGTACCCGTCGTCCTCTCTTCCTCTACTTTTGCTACCGTCCCGCCGCCCATCTCGTCCTCCTCCTCTTCGGCGTCCTCGACAACCAGCTCGAGCTCCAGCTCACGGTCCGCCTCGGCAAGCGTCAGCTCGGCGAATGCCGCGGCGTCCAGCTCGAAGGCTGCTGCGGGCAAGTTGGAGGTCGGTGGGGTTATGGGGATGGTGCTGGCGATGATTGGTGCGGCTGTTGTTGCTGCATAAGTATCGGTTAGCGGAATGGGGTAGAGGAGGAGAAGGGGAGAGCGGGAGAAGGGGCAACGGGCCTCGGGAAGGGCAAAGCAAGGGGTTGAAGGGGGGGAGTGTGCATTGCATCACGGACAATACGATAACGACTACAGCATAGCACGATAGCTCAGGATAGATATGTAGATCATGTCTTGCCTTGGCTACGCGACCCTTTATCATTTCTACTGGATATAGTGAGGATGGCGAAGTGCTCGCAAAGATCAGACCTGATGAGTCGATCACGAACGTTCTCGCGTACCATTTGGACGGGTAGCGCCATCCTTTATCATGGCCATATCCAAACTCTACATCCCTTCATCTCCTTATCCTGGTACTGAAAGTCTCGTGGTAGCCTCACTCTCTACATCACTCGTCTTTCGAAACGTACCTCGACCTGAGAAGTGACCACCCCTCGGACACCACAGCAAGCTCACTGATACCGTCCCCTCCACCCCTCGCTTTCATGCTATCAACGCTCTATGCATGGCTCACGACCCCAAGCGCACGCCAGGAGTCCTCCTCATCGGCGACCAGCTCTGTGGCCATCGCGATTGCACCGACTCCGACTCAGATATCGCCGAGCACTGGCGAATGGGGCTTGAGTCTGAAACTCCTTGGCGACTACCCCAACGCTCAACAGACCGAGATCGTCTCTGTACCGAATCAACTTGCGCACATTTATCTCAGCAGTAACGAGGCGTTACAGTCCGAAGGGCGTATGACGCTCGAGCAGTATTGCCGGACCGCTTCCCAATGGAGGGGATTTGACATGACGATAGATGAGGCGAGGCTGGACTGTCAGGGAAAACGTAGGACTGGTCATGAGCGGATACAGTGACGAGATTGTTAGTGCTCGCTTTCACTGTTATCAGTGTCCGCACGTCAGTATCGAGCCCAGCTCCTTCGTCCCTCGCCCCTCGTCCCTCACCCCTGATCCCAAGCTCTACCTTAACGATGCATTCCCTCTTCTTATCTATTGCCCCTTCAACCGCTTCTCCCTCAGACCCGACATCGCCACCTTGCCCAGATACGCGCTCACCCCCGCCAGGCCAATAAAGGCCGGTAAGAGCTGATACAGCTTGAGCCCGACCCAGTAGACGCCAATAAGGATTTCGAGGGCGATGAGGCTGATGAAGAACAGGGAGGAGGTGGATGAGAGGGCGGATGGATTTGTTTGAGGTCGGATGGACGAGATCTGGGATATCAGCTGAGGCCTTTGAAGAGTAATCTCCGCCTTGACAGCTGACCATCGCGCGGTATGAAATTGACTGGACTGGAGGAGAACGAAACGTACCAGGCCCAAAAGCACAACCCACGGCGTCAAAGTGATCCCTAGCCCAAGGAGACTGATGATGACTCCGACGCTCTTCTCTTCCTTCTTGAAAGTATGTGCCAGTTCCTCCTGCGGTGCGAAGGCCGGTTCGCCCGCACGGGGGGGCAAGTCATGTCTCCTCCGGTTGAGCGGCTTGAGCAGGGAGGGAGAGAGAGTGAGGGCAGTAAGAGGGTATGCGAGGGGTCGGAGCGGAGGGGAAGCGAGGGAAGAGAGGAAGAGGGTGAGGTTGGAAGTACCGCGTGTGTGGATGAGGGCTGCGGGGAGCTTGGCGGTATTCTATGTTATTAGCTTCTTTCCGCTTGGACAGGTCAACAAGAGCAGGGAAGCTTACCAGGGTGAATGAAGCCCTTCCGGACGACTTTACGCCCACTGAAACCGTGACGTCCCGACTCTCATCGCCCGTCGTGTCCTCAAACAAGAGGTGCGCTTGGTCCGGTATCACCCCGGCACCGGTGGAGGCATCGATGACGGTGAATGATAGCTTGAGTGTCGTTTGCTCCGCGAGCGTCAAGGGCGGAAGGGGCTGCAATGGATCCAGACTAGTCGGTCAGCTCATGCACTATACCTGTCCTGCAGCAGAAAGGGAGGGGGCGAGCTCACGTGTAGGACGCATCGCTTAGTCCGTCCGGGGACGACAAGGACAGCTTGCCCTGTTTTATACCTAGAGACGCTGGTGCTTCGCGTGCGAAGAGTAGCGGAAGGAAAGCGAGCGCTGCGGAGAGACGCATCTTGCTTATGATAGGCGGCGAAGCTGATTTAGGTGAGCTTGGTAGAGGGTGAGCTGTAAGGTCGTTGAGCTCTGTCACTGCACGCTGAGTGCGGAGGTATGTGGAGGGATGTTACCGGGAATGCCACGTCATCCAGCCTTCAGAGCTTCAGAGTGGCAGAGTCGCTGCCAGAGGCACCGGTCATCTATAGACTATAGGCGTGTTCTTCTGCGTTGTCACTGACTGAGCTGGGCGTGCAGCGACTGCTTCCAGATTACATTCGACAGCGCTATTAACATCATCCATACTGAAGCTCACTAAATAACCCGGAAAACTAGCACCACGACGAAACTACCATTATATTGCTGAAAGATATCGATCTCGCTCAATCAGATAGACTAGATCCCTACCCATCGACCCCATTGCCCCTTCAGCCGCCTGGAAAGCTCGGAGATGATCGCCTTGACGCCGTACTTGGGTGCCTGTCGAGCCGGAGCGGGTCTGACGACGCGCGTAAAGTTCCGAGCGACACACCCGCCATCGACGCAGCTGACGTCGAATGCGCTGTCGCTCTCTAGCTCGCATGCTCGGTGACAGGCGCCGCAGGAGTCGATGGAAGTTTGGAGCTGTATCGTCAGCTCCATTCACATACTCATATGTCAAGTGGACGGACTCACATTGGTGCACGTCCAGATATCGATGTCCCCGAATGGAGCGCAGGGGACCAGAGGGGCGACGCAGCGCAAGTCGGTGTATGCTGGAGGTGGAAGAGAGCCAGGAGCGTTGGACTTGGGTGAGCCAGAGTCTCGCTTGATGGATCGTTTGGAGGGTGTAGCTGGGGGAGTGTCCGGGTCCGGGTCGGTGGTGCGGGCGTCGTAGCCGATGGCAATCTCATTAATGAAGGCGCGAGTACAGACTGTCGATCGGTTCAGCATAATGAGGGTTTGTCAGGTCTGACCTACATGGCTCAAAGTCCCGAATGGCTTGCAGAACTGCCACGTCAGCCAGTGCCCGTACACCTGAACGACAGTAGCAAGTTGGGACACTTACTTTCCCCACACAACTCTTGTTTTGCCTGACCGAACGGAGAGAGGTCGGTGCAGAGCGTTTCCAAGGGCGATGTAAGGTCGGCCGTCACTCCCGGTATCGACTCCGCTTTGAGTACAGCTAGGTCGTTGGCGCACGTACTGGCATACTCGGTCACCTGGCAGAGGGGCTCGATGGTTGCCAGTGCATCGGTGCAGAAGTTGTAGTTGGGGTCTTCAGTGTCTACGGATTGACGTGATCTGGAGTCGAATCAGCTTGGAGTTGAAGCGACAATAGATGGCGGATAGAACTTACCGCAGCCTCGGACTCTGCAAGTCACCTATCAATTCGGCAAACACGTCACGCTTCTGGGGACACTTGGTACCGACATCGGCGCCGTATGCCTCTTGAGGATCAGCTATGGTGCACGATTATCGGACGACGAATTGGATGAACCTACCGTAGAATTTCCCGGTCGCGTAGTTACACGCCACGTCCACCGTACCAGCTGTATCTACCAGCTTACGAAATTGACAAGCACCCTCAATGGCCACCAGAGTGGCTAGGACAGGAGGGTACTTTGTGATGAAGGCAGCAGCGATGCGACCAATGACGAGCCCAGCGACCTGTAACGACGTCGACAGTTGAAAGTCGGAATAGTCCCCCTTGGCCTTCCCAGCGAGGAAGCTCATGGCGGTGGTGAGGCCAGCAAGAATGGCGCCTCTGCCGTTGATGTCTTGCGCTATCGTGCAGATACCACCGACGATGGCGGTAACTTTGCCGCTAAAGTCCCCGCAGGCGGTGTTGAGGACGTCGAGCGCAAAGCAAGGTGGGGTAGGGGTCGGGGTCGGGGTGGGCTCAGTACTGGTTGGTGTGGTAGTGGAAGGAGTAGAAGTTGTGGAGCTGGCAGAGAAGGAGAACGGGTCGTCGAAGCAGACAGTCTGCGGACCGGGCGTGCCCTCGAAGAATCTGACCGAGCCGGGACAGATATCGGCGCCGTAATTTGGGTCGAAAGCGTACGTTTGGCTGGGGTAGAAGGCGATTCGTCCAGCAAATGAGCCATCAGGCTGTGTCGCGTCAGCGGCGCGTATCGGACCAGGGATCAACGTTTTAACGAGAGAAAGAGAACTTACCACATTGTAGGTACAGGCCGCATCAGCGCGCACTGCTTGGTAGCTGTTGAGAGGTCAGCTACTTTCCTAATCGTCTCACAGTTGCGCGTATGGTACTCACGCGCAGTTGAGACGGTCGTGCGCAAAACGGAACTCGCAGTACTTAAAAGGGGTACTCCCATCATATAGAGGGGGAGGGATATTGGCGCATGTACCCGCCAGAACGACGGGAAGGATCGCTATCAATATGAAGGTGAGCATGTTAGCTGGATGGACGAGGGAAGGAAGCGGTTCTCGAGCGTTCAAGTCGCTCTTCATGAACGGAAGTCGAGCAGTAATCAGCAAACACAGATCTGAATTCAATTAGTCGAAAGGATCCCTCGCTCGGATCCCGCCCAGCCGCGGCTGTACCTATACTTACTCGTTTCCTGAGTGAGGTGTCGGAAGCGAGCAGACTTGAGTGTACCAACCTTATTACCTTCCCGAGTCCCACTCCCTTGGATACACGGTCAAATGATGGTCGCAACAACCATAGTGAAACCCGCGAGCGGGAGAGATCTGCACATTACGAGAGATCTGGTACGCTCGAGCATGTACAGGTGCTCCCACTCTGATCACGATCAACGAACATCTATGTCTCACCCTGAATAGATAGCTAGCTTGATGAACGAGACGCCGACGAGCTTGCTTTCCTTGTCGTCCATGCATGACTTCGCACTAGAGGAGCCGCCTTATCATGGGCTCGAAAAGCGGACTGGGTGTGCTGCTGCTGGGCAGATCAGATCAGTTCCAGATCCCAACTAGCTTAGAGTTAGGTGACCCCGCGCCAAGACTCCTTTCGAACCGAAATTTCGGGCCCGAATAGCGGAGTGGCGTCCACTCCGTCCGCCATCAGGGCTATCGCGAGAGTCTGGGACAAGGTTGTGTATGTGTCTCCGCGACGATCAGCAGTCAGCATTGCGTCAGCAAAGTCCTCGTCTAGCTAGTAGCTTCATCAACATGGGATAGATGCATACAGGTCTATCAGACAGACTAGTGCTACAGCTCAGATGAGGTATTATAAGATTGTATTCGCGAAACATCTAGGCGGCATGGCGGGAAGGAGATGGGGGATTCGGAGAAGTTGACGAGGTAGAGCTAGAGATCGTTCGAGCTTTAGATCTAGCTCTTGTTCTTGAACTTTTCCGGCTGAGCCGCGGGATCCGCCTCTTGCTCCTCGATCTGCTTGTCCTTGAGCGCGTTGGGACTGCGCTCGCGAAGCCATGCGCCCTTCTTGTAAAGGATGAACCTGATTGTCAGCTGACTGCTTGATGGTTGACTGTGCCGATGAAGGGTGTACTTACGGGATGGGAATGAAGAGGACGGTCAAACATCCGAGCATGGTGTTTCCCCATGCGATACCGATGTTGTGGAAGAGCGGGACGGAGGCGAGGGGCATACCCGCACCCATCATGGACCGCACAAAGTCATTCGAGGCCAGCACGGAAGCGGCCGAGGTAGGGTAGGCGTGGGGGAGGTATGTCAAGAAGGGCCTGTCTCGTCAGCATCGACAATCTGTCAGAGGCGGAGAGTAGACATACATGAACATCCATGTCGTGCCAAGACCGAAGAAGCCAGAGGCAATGACGGGCGAGATCCAGTGCGTGCGGTTCGAGGTCCATGCGAACCAGAAGAGACAAATCTGTACGTCAGCCATAAATCAGATGAGGAAGCAAGAGATGAGACATACAGGGAAGCAGAACGCGCCGACCATCGACATGGGCAATCGCATCTCGGGCTTGACGCGGCCTTCGAGCTTGTGGAACTTGGGCTCAAAGTAGACTCTGTTGACTGTCAGCTTGTGTGACTCACTTTCTCAGGGAAGAAAGAAAGGACTAACCGGTTCCATACTGCGTAGACCGAGTAACTGATCAAGGCGCCAACAAGAAGAGCGAGGAAAGGCAGGGTCGAGACGCCCAGGGAGAAACCGTACCCGGTGGGTCCGTAAACGAGGGGGAACGACTCGAAGTACGAGTACAGGATAGCTGGATGTCAGCGACTGTACTCGATTAGATGAAGTGAAGCGACATACCGTAGATGAGACCAATGTAAAGGTTGATAGCGAGGACGATGGGCTCCTTGAAGATCATGGTGAATGGCTTGAGGAGCGACATCTTGGCGATCTCATTGACCGACATATGCTGTGTCTCGACTTCGGACTCGGACTTGATCTTGTCGTTTCCGGTGAGCTTACGCAGACGCTGGGCGCGACGGAGGAGGATGGTCGGGCCAGACGTCTTAGAAGTCAGCAGAGAAACTGAGAAGGGAGTAGGGATGATGGTAGATGTACTCACCTCAGGCAAGAGGAAGAGCAAGATGGCGAGCGATCCACCAGAGAGCCAGAGCATCTCGTAGAATGCCCATCGCCATCCCTTAGCCTCAACCGCGAAAGATGCGACGATGGGGGCGAGGGCGGGCGCAGAGGCGGCCGAAAGACCCCAGAGACCCATGGCGTAGGGCACCTTGTGAGGGGTGTACATGTCTTGGATACTGGCACCTGATACATCAGCTCTTGTTCATCAAGTATTGATGGAAAAGCTCACCTCCAGTGGCAAGAGGCGGCGATCCGACGAAACCAGCAAGGAAACGGAGGATCGCAAAGCCGGCAAAGTTGGTGACCAGCGCGGTGGGAACCTGGAGGACGGTGAAGAGGAAGAGGCAGACGATGTAGGGCAAGGTACGTCCGATGTGCGGAATCTCAGTGATGGGCGAGAGGAAGAGAGGACCGACGGCGTAACCGACCACGAAGAGGGACAGGCCGAGGGTGACGGTGACTTGTCCGAGACCAAAGTACTGCATGGCGTCCTGGATACCGGGTGTCCAGATGGAACTGCCCATGTAGACGGAGGAGGTCATGAGCATGATCATGGCGGTGACACCGCACTTCTTGGAGAGCTTCCTGGAAAATCAGCTTTTATTCCAGAGTAGGAGGCGAGAGAGACGTACCAGTTCAGGGGGTTCTCGGGATCATCATCCCCATACCAATCGACAATGATCGCGTCCTTCTTGGCCTTCTCGACCTCGTCCTCCTCTCCTTCCCCTCCTCCCTCGCCCTGACCAGAGTTCTCGCGGTCCACCCCGGACCCAGACCCAGTGACGGTCTCCTCACTCCCCCTTGACCGCCTCTCCTGCAGATGTTCGCGTCGGACGTTCCGCGCAGCCTCGCTCAGACCGTGCTCGTCGGGGTCCTCATTGGGGAAGCGCTTGGGGTTCTTCTCGTTTGGGTCTCGCTTCTTGTACTTCTCGGGCACCTCGAAGCCAGGGCGTTCCTCTGCGTAAGGGAGGATCTTGCCACCTGAAGCGGCGTGCAGGATTTGACCGACGAACTGCTTTATCAGCTCTAGTTCAACGAAGACACAAAAGGGGACATACCGAGTCTCGGAGAGTGTCCTTCATCGCGTGTGAGTATGTGTGAGTGGGGATGTGGGACACAAGGGGAATCGAGCGAATACTTATGTGGCTCGTCCTTTTTCCATCGGTGCATTGGGCTCTGGGCTGACAAAAGATGAGATCGAGATCGCAACGCGGTCTTACGTTACAGTTCCAGTCGACGTGGGTCTGAAACACGCCACTTTTACGTTGCCGGCGGTCGAGGAACGTCATGACGTCATGACGTCACTTGAAACGGCCGCGCCTACAGAGTGGCTCTAAGCGTTTGGGCGTCGTTGCTGGTCAGTACGTCAGTAGAGCGGTCATCGCGAACGTAGGCTGGAGGAAAAGGCTGACAGAGCCATACGCTTTGCGGTAACGAGCACGGCAAATTATCGGAATCGTGCGTAGCCTCGAACATCGCCGAGCCCGAGGCCGAGTCTGAAACATCGCTGATCGCTGTCCGCTGATCTCGGCGATTATCGTAGGAATGATCATGTCAGTACTTTGCATGCCCTCCTCACCCTCCTGGCAACTTCTCATTCGTCTTAGGCAGAGATACCAAGCTGGCTACTGTCGCCGCAACGATATGGAGCGTCTATATATACCCCAAGCTTGGCATGGACGATCCTCATTCCTCAGCCCGGCATTTGCCGTTCTTAAGGTCACGTGCCCTTCCCGACTCGCTTCGAATCGCGCGATAAGGAATCTGAAATAAGCTCGAGCTTCTCATTCAACCATACCTTCGAGACACACCTTCTTCTACAGCTTCAACAGCACCCCTAGCATATCCCGTACAGAATGCCCGGTCGTCTTCGTCTCAACAACAAAGTACGCTCCCGCTCTATCCCCGCCCAGAGTCTCGAGAGTAGCTGATCAAGATAGGTCTGCATCATCACTGGCGGTGGAGGGTAAGTTGATACCTCCTTGAGCTTGCCGCCACTCTGCTGCAGCTGGAGATTACTCTTACTCTCAGGATGCCTATTGAAGCTGATTCTGCAGTGGTATAGGTCTCGAGACCGGACTCCAGTTCGCAGCTGAGGGAGCTCGGGTCCTCCTCTCAGACATCAACGGGACGTCCGTCGCCAAAGCGGCTGAGATTCTTCGATCCCAGTTCCCCGACGCAGAGGTCGACAGCGTCAAGTGCGATGTGAGCAAGGAAGCGGACGTCAAGGCGATGGTGGACAGAGCAGTGGAGAAGTGGGGAAGGTTGGATGTTCTGGTGAGCTGGCGTGACGTGGGTAATGAGCAGCAGCTGATTACCTAGTTCAACAATGCTGGGATCATGCACTCTGCGTGAGCTCAACGCTGCTGACCTCTGGTGTAGCCATGACCGAAAGCTGACTACTCAGCGATGACGACGCGATCAACACCGAGGAGAAGGTCTGGGACTTGACCCAGGCGATCAATGTCAAGGGTGTCTGGTACGGCTGCAAGCACGCAGTGTTGGCTATGCGTCAGGTGAGTCTGCAGGTGCTTCTTCGCCTGTCCTAGGGCGAGTATAGACATCAGCTGATCTATCCAGAACAAGGCAGATGAGGAGAAGGGTCTCTCAGCCGGCGGATCCATCATCAACGTCGCTTCTTTTGTGGCTATCATGGGCGCCGCCACTCCTCAGCTTGCCTGTAAGTTATACGGTAGCTCGTAGCCTCTGCGCCGCAAGCTGACAGAAATAGACACGGCCTCCAAGGGCGCTGTACTTGCTATGACCCGTGAATTGGCTATGGTTCACGGTCGGGAAGGCATCAGGTTCAACGCTCTATGCCCGTACGTCTATTACTGGAGAGCTTCCTGTCCAGGAGCCCGAGCAATTAGCTGATTCATAAGCGGCCCTATCCGTACCCCCCTCCTCATGGACTACCTCAACACCCCCGAGCTGCTCAACAGGCGGCTGGTCCACAACCCGATGGGCCGATTCGGCGAGGCCGTCGAGCAGGCCAAGGCTGTCGTATTCTGTAAGTCCAGCTATGAGGTCTAACACGAGTGTCCGTCGCTGACTATCGTAGTGGCATCTGACGACTCGAGCTACATCAACGGAACGGACTTCTTGGTGGATGGTGGTCTGCACGCGTGCTACGTTGTAAGTAGAACATAGCCTCTCAGACCTGGTCAATGGGAGTACTACAGCTGACGCCTCAGACTGCCAGCGGCGAGCCCACATTGCCCGCACCGAAGGGTCTTGCGCCGCACTCGTAACGGAAGAACACGTTACGGACGACGGACAGGAACATCATCAAATCAACCAAGAAATGACAACATGCATGTCTATACATTCTAGCATCAATCCACCCCGCCCATTCAGCACATCACATTGGTCAACTTCGCCTGCAAGTCGTCGATAGTGCACCAAGCATCCCAACGTAGACACTGACAAGGGCTAATATCCCCGAGCAGGATCGACCTTGTTGAAAGCCACGCCACCCTTCCGCAGCTGCTCCACATTCGCCACGAGCAACTCCGTCGCCGCGTCCACGTACCCCGCAAAGTCTCCGGACGTATGTGGGGTGATGAGAGCTCGGGGGTGGGTGAAGAGGGGGTGTCCGTCAGGAAGAGGCTCGGGGTCAGTCACGTCGATTCCGACGGCGAGGATATGGGGTGGTGAGGCATCAAGGGCTTCGAGGAGGACGTCTGCCCTGTCAGCTGGTTCTAAAGAAGACCGAACACGAAGTAGCGGGCTGGGAGTGGAGGCTTACCCGATGAGACGAGATCTCCTCTGCCTACATTGATGAAGATTGCGTTCTCCCGCAGTGCCTCTGCCACCGGTCAGCTGTCTGGCGGAAGAATACCGGGCGATTGGAACTGTACTCACTGAAGTGTTTCGACTTCAAAAGGTACTGAGTCTGAGGTGTGCTCGGCAGACTCGCAACTAAGATGTCCGTCTTACTCAAGAACTCGTCGAATGACTTCTCGTCTGAGGTAGAGTAATACGCTGAGGGGATGGAGCCTATCTCGATCAGCCCTTCTCCCACCCCGAGTCGAAAAGCATGCAAGCAGCTCACCGTTCTTGTCTCCAGTTCCGGGAACAATGAACTGCGAGATCGACATCGCTCAAGCAGGTTGAAAAGGGTTTGTACTCACTCCAGTATCCTTGCTCTTCTCTCCTCTCGTGTTCGCAGCGATCACATTAACACCGTGTGCCTGGAAGAGCCGTGCCGCTTCCCTCGCAATATGACCATACCCCTACCTCGTCAGCTTTGGCGGCCCCTGACGGGTGAATAGGGGAGTCAGGCTGGGACGCAACTCACCAGCATACCGGCCGTCTTCCCACGGAGCGAGATGAAGTTCGTCGGTGTCCCAGGGGCAGTCTTGAGCTCGACGTCTGGCTTGGTAGCCCATTTGTTCCGGCTCTGAGTGGTCAGCGGGCGGTCAGTTGTGGAAGAGGATCACGAACGCGGAGTAACCAGTGTTGCTGGTGGAGGTTCATATACACTGCTCGTAAGTCATCTGATGAGCTACCGCGCCTGCGCGGGGCAGGGGCGACAAGGGACACGACGTACAGCTGATAGCTTGCCCGATGATGTACTGCGGGATGCTGTAGACGTGGATACCTGGTCTTTCAGCTCCGGCTCGGTCACACAGTATGAGGAGGCGCTGACCTGATGCTGTAGATACGCTGATCTGCTTCCATGCCTTCTCATTTTTGAAGAACTCTCCCTCCAGCACCTTGTTCGCCCCAGCTACGGCGAGTCAGTACCTGCCTCTCACCTCCTCCCCCTTTCCACCGCTGACGAGCGAGCCTACCAGACAAGATCTGTACCAAATGCAAATTCGGCACCTGCTCCAGCTTGAGCGTATCAGGTAGCCCATTCGGCATCGCAAAGCACACGTCTGACTCGCGCCATGCCTTGTCTGGGATAGACCCATCGGGGTGATAGTGGACCGTATGGAAGGTCTTGTCCAGCTTGGACTTTACGTCCGGGGAGACTTCGAAGCCGAGAACGAGGGTCGTGTAAGTGTGAGCTGTCATTTCAGAGTACGAGTTGTACTGAAAATAAGGATGGCGGGAGAGATGTATGGACGATAATGGAGCAAGCTGGTCGAGACAACAGCATAGCGCTCGATGGCCGTGCCTGGAACCTGATGCCGTTATTACCCGGCCGTCCGGAGGACCTTCGGCTCCCAGCCAGCTCAGTCCAACCAGCATGACTACATCTCGTGAGAATATCCCAGTCGGCCTACAACAGCGCTGAGCGCGAAGGTCCGCTCCTCATGCACGTATGAGTGGCATGCTCGTAACTTTCGAAGGGCGACCACAGCCACTTGCGCCAATCGGCCGAGATGATGTCAACCATCGGGTCTGCCCGGTGGCCGATGTCCGAGCAGCATGAGGGTCAAAAAAGTCTGAACTAGCCAAGAACTAGCTGTAGCTAGAACTATACATCATACACGCATCTGGCAGTGTGGACAGACCCAGGCCCTTCAGACCCCTATAATCATTTGATCAGAACTACACCGAAGCACCCGCGAGTCTCTGCTTGAGATGCCAGCGACAGCCCCGCCCGTAACATATCGTCTCGCCCAAGATGCCGACTTCCCCCTCCTCATCGCCTATCGTGAAGAGTGCGGCTGGGGCTCTGCGGCACTACAGCGGAACTGGTCTGATCCCGACCGGATATTCTGTGTGTTTATGGCGGAGCTAGATGGGGTCGTAAGGGACGTCGGGATGGGGTGTTGGTATATGCACCAGCCGGATGATCTGGAGTTGGCCAACAGAGAAACGGGCGTGGTCCATCTAGGTCAGTCCGCACAAGAGGAGGCGGCAGTAAGAGCGGGTCCCACAACTGCTGGGACTGACCGGGTATAGAGTGCTGACACCGCCAGCCTCCCTGTTCATCGCGCACAGATATCAAGGCAAGAAGATCGGAACGGCCGCCATAGATCTCCTCGAGCGCGTGGCGGTGCTCGAAATGGGAGCCAAGAGCCTCACACTGGATACAACGGCGTACCTGACAATATGGGACGAGACGCACTTTTGGCGAGAAGAGGACAAGACAAAGCCGGGCGTGTCGGTGGCTTGGTACAAGGCCAGAGGGTATACCCAGTTCCGTGTAAGCTTTTGTCGCTCCAGCACTGACGCTATTTGATGGGGTCAGTGGCTGAATATACAGGAAAATAGACCACTCTTCTTACAACCTACACCTACGGATCCTGATAGACTGTTGACTGCGATATTTCTCAAGAAAACCGCGGAGCAGGTGCGGGCTGAGCAGAACGCCGCATGAAGATGATTCAAAGTGAAAGCGGTATATAATGGGTAGGTAGTAAGGGCTGCATCAGATAGATTATAGACCACAGAATGACATGTGCTTGGCGCTCTTTGCGACCACGCCCAACACGCCCAACACTCGCCAATGTTTAGACCACTAGCGCCAGCTGAACCACCCCCTCGACTTCTCCTCCTGCCTCAGCTCCTCCGACTCGGCATTGGCCAGAGACTGCTCGGTCCCGAGAGTGGGATCACGAAGCAGCAGCGAGAAGCATACGAGCGGCACGCAGAGGCAAACACCGATGACTGCTCATCAGCTACATTCCCATCTTACTCAGTTGTATAGCTTACTGGCCAAGATCCGCTGGACGTTGCCGTAAGCGACGAGCATGCCGGCTCGCTCGGGCGTACCGAACGGGTAAGTGAGAAGGATACCGTACGGGTTGGCATAGGTGCTAGCGGCCAGAGTCTGGTTGGTGAGGTTCTGGCTGAGCTCGACGGGCATGCGGTTGGACCAGACGGCGCCGGAGATGGTGTTACCGAGAGCGTTCCCGATGTTGTAGCAGGCGAGGTAGAGACCAGTTACGACCGCCACATCTGAGGTGTCGGCTGAGACTTCCACGGTAGACAGCGAGTGGATGACTTACGCTCATGCTTTGTCCTGGACTGTACGCTGGCCAAAGTAGGGTACGAGAACATGCCGACAGCAATACCAATGACGACCTCGCCGCCGATCAGTCCGGAGATGTCGGATGGGTTCGCACCGGTTCGGTAGCGGATCAAGAGACCAAAGCCGACGGCGAAGAGGCAGCAGCCAAAGACGATGAAGCCTTTCAGGCGGCGGACGCGCATGACGATGATGCCGAGGATGATACCGGTGAGGGTACTGGCAAATGTGAAGATGGAACCGATACGGGTGGCGGAAAGGTTGGATTGACCAAAGGCGACCTGGAGGACGGGGAAGAGGAAGGCGCCCTGCATGTACCAGGCTGACCCATCAGCTGTGTCCCCTACTCGGCATACTCGAGGTGGACTTACCGGTGTTCAAGGTGCAAGCGATACCGAAGCCGGCCCAGACGCCTCTGTCTCTGAGAAGCTAGTAGCATGAGCTTCAATGCCCTTGTGCTTTTATTCAGGAAAAGAAACTCACGTGGAAAGGCAGAAGCGGGTAGCGGCATTTGAGCTCCCAGATGACAAAGATGGGGAAGAATGCCAACCCGACCACAAGGGGGGCGATGATCTTGGCCTCTCCCCAGCTGGACGAGGCGCCACCGGCGAGGGTGAAGGGAGTGAGGAAGAACCCAAAGGCGATGATCATGAGGAGGATACCGACGACGTCAAGCTGCCAAAAGAGGGTGGAGAAGACGCGCATACCCTGAGTCTGGAAGGGCGAGCGGTAGTCGGCGAGCGCGCCCGCCCGGCGAGCTTTGATTTGGGCGTAGGACAGGACGCCGACGAGGGTGAGACACGAGACTGAACATTAGCCTAAGATGAGAGGAGTGATCAGGTCGATCTTACTTGGGTAGATGATAGCCCACATCCCGATACCCCATCGCCAGGTGGTGACGAGGAGAACAGCGGCAAAGACGTCTCCAGATACCCAAGTGTTGATGAGGAAGGGCATATTGGGGACGAAGGAGAAGAAAAGACGAGTGCGGAGCGAGGACATGTCGGCGATCATGACCTCCACCCTGCATAGTCAGCATGAGCAAGCAAATGTAATTCCGAGGAGCAGGTATGAATGCTGTCGGTCACTTGCTGGAAGATGGAGGACAAGATTGACTCACAAGAGGATCGCCATGGTGTAGCCAACCTGATAGAGAACGGCACCTGCCGAGAAGGCTTCGATGAAGCCAGGCCCGCTGGCTGTGGCCTCAACGATAGTCCCGACGACGTAAAAGACAATCGAGACGAGCAGGAGCTCCAGACGGCCAAAGACATCGGCAATCTTGGCTGCAGTGGGCTGCCAAGTCAGCCTCATCCTCCAATCACGAATGTTCCGAGCGGCCTCACCTGTCCTACTGCGCCAACGATGGCTCTGATTACGTTGACGGTTGTCAGTAGCGAATGCTGTGAGTACTCGGCAGTAGCGATAGACTGGTAGTTGTAACGGATATTCTGGGCGTCAGTAATTAGATCAGAGATATTCACGGAATTGGGTATACTCACTCCATCAAGACCGTACCCATAAGCAAGGAAAAAGCATCCGAGGAAGACGAGTGCGCGGGCTTTCGGTCCAAGCTGCGCCGAAATGGCCTCGATCCGTTTGACACCTGTATATCAGATTCTGTCCCTCTCACCAGAGTGTGAGAACTCACCAGCTATCCTCATCTCGTCTTCGTAAACGATGGGCTTGCCATCAGGCCCGTGTGCGTAGGGATCGGCGGGGCCTGGGCCGTGATAGGCGTCCTTCTCGGGCGATCCATGTTCCAGATCGCGAGATTTCCCGTGGTATGCATCGTGCTCGTAGCCTCCTGGCTGGCCGTTGTGGCTGAGGGTGTTCATAGCGGAGTAGTCAGTGGACAGGTAAAGGTATGAAGCGAAGCACGAAGGGGATGAGGGCGGGAGGGCGAGGCCTTCTTGCCTTTTAGGGCGAAAATTGATTATCAGATAAGGTGCAGTAAGCAGGCGGGAATCGCCGCCGCTTAGGCTTCTGCCGGTCCACTTTTACGTCATCGGCCGAAACTGATCCGATAGCTGTCTTCCGAGTGTGGCGGATGGTCAAGGTCAGGCTAGCGTCCATCGCTCGTCGTATCGAGCAGCCAACGTGGGAAGCGGAGCTCACAATGAGTGCAAAGGATACCATAGAACATCCCCAAAAGAAAAGCAGCTATAACATCGGAACCGGGATACATGCCCTTATCCCTCCGCCTCCTTGTCCGCCAACTCCCTCGCTTCCCTCATCTCCTCGAACAGCCTCTTCTCCTCCTCGCCCAGCCCATTGAAGCCATCCATTTCCACCTCCCAGTCGCTAATATCTGACTCCTCGTCCGTGTCTGCCTCCAGCTGCGGCACGGGCCCGGCGAGGCGAGAGGCTGATATGAGCGTAGTGGCGAGCTTGACAGGGGTGGCGATGAGGGAGGATGAAGCGCGTGCCGAGGCTGCTGAGGGCTTGGATACCTTGTTTGCGGGGGGAGGAGGTGGTGTAGCTGCGGCAGATGATGTGGAAGTAGAACCTGCCTCAGTAGGTGGGGGCAGGGTAGGGCGCTCGACGATGGTGAGGTTAGCGAGGAGGTCATCCAGCTTCGATTGGGGCTGTGGGGGATGGGTAGGGGCTGGTGGTGCGACCTTGGGTGGCGGTCTCCTGGATGGGCGCTGGGTCTCCGAGGGTAAAGTAGTGGCGAGAGGCGCAGCTGAAGCTGGAGGTGCTGACACCGGCTGGGAAGGGGTCGTCGCCGCAGGAGGATAATCTGCGCCCGTCGGGTGCTCACTTGGCGAGGAGGTGGTCCTGCTGGTCCCTCCGTTGGCTGATCCTCCACTCCCGTCTGAGGTCCGCGATGTGGCAAGCGAAGCCTGCCCCTTGTCTGGTCCTCCGCCTTTGGTCTTGATCGCTTGTATCTCCTCCAGCAGCTCCACCCTCCACTTGTCTCCCCTGAGTCCCGCACCCTCCCTCATTTGCTCCTCCACATACCCGCTCCGTACCTTGCAGGCTCTAGAGCAGAACCCCTCTTCCTCGTTTCCTTCCTTCTCCTTGATTTCTCTCCGTTTCGCCGAGATGCTCCAGCGGGGCTTGGAGGTGTAGGGCGCAGCCGGCCCGTTGGAGCAAAGCGGATAGGAGCAGAGAGAGTTGAGGTGCCGCTCGTGTAGAGTCTCAACGTATTGGTGATGTTCGAGATATTTGGCCTAAGTGGTCAGTCTGGGGCAACTTTTGAATTCAATTCAAAGACAAGGCACTCGACTCACACCTCTCTTGAACTCATCACTCCCAACAGTCCCCTCGCATAGCCTGTCCATCCACCTCTCTCCTTTCCGCCTCCATTGGACCTTCTTGTCCATCGCCAGTCTCAGCGCGACAGCATCGCTGTGGCTCGGAGGCTCCAGTCCGCCTGCATCGTTCCGTGTTGCGATATTGAGGAGCGCAGGCTGACGTAGCGATCGTATAGGGGTGCGGCGCGATGGTCCGGCTTCAGCTGATGCCGAGGTGGACATTCGGAACGGATGAAGAGCGCGTAATCTTGCGCTTGTTTCGGGTTTGAGGACACGACGGAAGCTCTACGCTGACCGGCGGCCAGAAGAAGATGTAGCGCTGGGGTCAAGGAATGGGACTCGAGGCAAAGCGGAAGTGTAAAGATCCAAAACAGCTCTTTCTGCTCCAAAGTCTGCTCTCGGTCTGAGACGACGGGCCAGCGCCCCCGGAACCAGCTTTCAGCGAAACTCCTCATTCCTCAAACGAAAGTGGCACTTCATGACCTGCGCAGAGATGTCGCAGAGACGCCGCAGAAGGACTGTGCGGTAGCAACTAGAAGTCTGTCCAGGCTAAAGGTCCGATCGCCTTGCTATGTATCCTGGCTACAAATACTCGCATGAATGGTTCAGATACCTCCCGCTCTCGTCCCCCTCCAGCTAGCTCCGGAGAAGAACGCCGGCGTCATCGACCCAATCTTGTTTGCACCTACCGCATATAGGCCAAAGTGGGTACCAGTCATGATAGATGGCGGGGTTGTAGGTCGGATAAGCCTTCCGCTGTCAAAGCGACCGATGAGGCTCTCGGGCGCGGATCCGACGGCAGCGTAGAAGGTGTAGTGGAGAGCGGTGGTGACGATCCGGACATGGACTTCTCCCGCTGGGATGGGGGTGATCTGGTCGATCTGCATTGTCAGCCCGAGTAACACTATAACCATAGGTGCTTACATCTGGCTCAGACTTGAAGACTATCTCTCTGCCCTCAGCGGTACCCCTGATCCCCAGGCTGACGTACGCGCCCCTACTCCACCAGATCATCGCACCCGCCTCGTGCCCCTCCTCCGCATCAGGATAGTCGATAGATACCCGATACTCCCCCTCGAACGAAGTCTGCTTCTGGAAGAAAGCTGTGATACTTTCGTCGACGTGAAGACCGTATGGACCGCCGAGGAGCGCGAGCGAGCCGGGCCGTATCGTGAGGTCGTGCTCGACCTTGAGCGGTGTCCGGAGGTTGTACCATCCCGCCAGACCCATATCCATCCCGGGCGAAAAGTCATACTTCTCCTCGAAAGATTTCGATATCCGGGGTGGGTCGCTTTTGCCGCCGATACCGAGGATCGAGATCGGTTTCCGCTGGTTGACGATTGGCCATCCCTCCTTCCACTCTACAGGCGCCAAGAACGTCTCTCGCCCTAAGTGAGACAGCTCGCTCTCTCCCTCGCGCCAGACGGGCCGCACTCCCAGACAGACCGCCCACCACTCCCCTCCTACCCCTTCGACCAGGTCCATATGTCCCGTCTGCTGCACCTCCCTGTGTTTCCCATTGTGGACGAGAGGGTTGACCGTCCCCTCAGGCCCTGCCACCCATGGTCCGAAGGGGCCATGTTCGCTCCGATACACCCATTCTTGGTGATTGATCTCGGTACCCCCGTTGGCGGTGATGAGGTAGTACGCGCCGTCCTTTTTGAGCATGTGCGGGCCCTCGGCGACATGATTGTCGTGCGCCCAGGTCATGATGGTCTTGACGGGGGATTTGCGCCGGCCGGTAGCGAGGTCGATCTTGCAGGTGTTGGTGTACATGTGGAAGGAGGGGGAGAACTCGCTGACGGCGTAGGAGAGGTAGACGGTACCGTCGTCGTCCCAGAATAGCTGTATCGTCAGCTGTGTACGAGACTAGCTGATGCTTGCTCACGTCTTGGTCGATTCCCAGCACATCATGGTAGACCGGATCAGACCATGAGGACTGGTCAAAAATGTCGTTGGTAGACACGTGGAACCCGCGAGGGGGTACCATATCCTGCGATATGATCAGCTAAAGTCTGCTAGAGGAGGCACAGTGTACTCACTGGTTGTCGCTTGTGAACAGCAGTGACAGTTACGTAGAATCTCCCCTCATGGTACCTCAGCGTCGGCGCGTAGATCCCACCGCTACCAGGGCAAGTCCGCATATTGAGCTGAGACGGTCCCGTGAGGACATGACCGATCCGTCTCCAGTTGATGAGGTCCTTGCTGGTGTAGACCGGAATACCAGGGAAGTACTCGAAAGAGGAGGTGACGAGGAAGTAGTCGGACCCGACGCAGATGATGCTGGGGTCCGGATTGAAGCCGGGGAGAATGGGGTTGCGGAAGGGCATGACGGGCAACGCGCGATGTGATCCAGGTGTACTGCACAAGCTGATGAGGCTGGCGTGGTGGATCGTGTCTAAAGATTTAGGCGTGTACGAGGTTGATGCAGAGACGAGGCTAGCCTCAGCGAGCAATTGGACGGTGGACTATCTCGGTCGCTACCGGTCGCTCGAGGCAGCTTCGGCCCGCTTCGGCAACTTCCCCACCTCGGATATACCCTAGGATGGGGCAGCTTGGCCTTCGGAGTTCGGATTCACTTGGCCCGAAATTGCGCCGATCCCATTTGCACGTCAGCAGCTACGTCAGCTGACCAGAGCTGACCCAGCGAGACTCGGCTCGCCCGGCAGGTCACATTGCATTTGTGCATGCATCCCGTCTTCGCCGCGCCGACACACAGATACAATCAAGCTCGCCGCTCGCGGTACACCACTCTCACAGGGCGCCACCTGCACGGGAGAAAGAACGCTTCGCCCCGAGAACGATGCGATATCTCCAACTTGCTGCTCCGAGTTCGGCAGCCGGCTCCGCGTCTGCAATACCCTCTGGCCTTGTTGACAGGTCCGACTCCGCGCCGTGCTCCGCCGTACTTCCCTCAGCGCCTCAGCCCGCAGCCATACCACACGCGGCGACACATGACTGGCTGAAGCGCGCGCGCATACAATCAACAAGTGCCAGGACTAGGTACAGACAGCCCATTCCATCCCTTTTAGTCGAGGTCAATCCCAGCCTCTACTCACCTCGCACAGCTCAAACATGACGAGCAACCCCGCTATCCAAGTACCCGTGACGGGCGAGAAGCCCGCTGACGTGTTTGTCGAAGACGCAGACGCGGACCTCAAGCAAATCGCGGAGCCCACTCTTCTCCGCTCCAAGTTTGCCGACCACTCCAAGAAGGACATCCTTCGGACGTTCTGGCGCCTCAGTCTCACCGGCGCCGGGGTGTCGCTCGGTGGGCTATACGCTGGATTCTGCCTCTCGGCTGCTGGCAATATCATTGCCAATCAGGGTGGGCGTCTTCCGTCCTTCCGCTCTGCAATGTCCAGGCTGACTCGGACAGGCTTTATCAACCAGTTTGGGACCGTTCGGTCCGCCCAAGGCGTTCTCGCCCTTGATGCCCTCCACGTCTCGCTCTGGTCCGGTATGTGCGCCTCCCGATCCTACTCCCGCCCTGAGCTGACCATCAGGCTTCGTCTACGTCTCCCAGTTCTGCTTCCAATGCATCTCGCCCTTCATCGCAGACAGATTCGGTCGACGCGTCTCCCTGTGCTGCTTGCTCGTCTTCATGCTGGGCGTAAGTACCTTTTGGTCCCACGGACCCAGTCCCCGGGCTAACAATACAGGCCATCATCGCCGAGATCACTGCCACCGAGTGGAAAGGCTGGCTTGCTGGCCGACTGATGAGCGGCGCTGCGCAAGGATTCCTCGGGTCGGGGGTCATGACCTACCTCTCCGAGATCGCGATCACGCAAATACGAGGTGCTATGCTCGGTGCTTTCGCCGTTTCTTTCGCTCTGGGCCAATTCTTCATCGCTATGGGTCTGCAGATCCTATTTGTGGTGAGTGACTACACACCTATCAAGACTCGATCGCACCACAGCTGACAGCTGACACATACAGACGCAGCCTCTCGCGTATAAGAATGCGCTGTATTCCCAGTAAGTCCCCAACAACCTCTTGCCATATGGTGATACTGATCTCTAGGTTCGTCATCTTTGGTATCTTTGCGGCTGTCATTGCCTACATACCCGAGTCACCTCGTGAGCCTCTCCTCCCATGCAAGCCCCGCATCTCACGCTAATCTTCAGCCTGGCTGTGCCGGATGGGCAAGCACGACAAGGGCAAACGCGCACTCAAGCGCCTTGTCGGCAACGTCGAGGGCTACGATGTCGAATACGAGTACTCGGTCATCCAGCAAGAGATGGAGGCGTCGGCGCGTCTCGCAGCGCTCACTGGCGATTCTGACTGGGTCGCCTTGTTCCGCTGGGCAAACTTCCGCCGAGTCATCGCCGCTACCCTTCCTTTCACTTTCCAAAACTTTGTCGGAGTACCCCTCGTCTATGGTCAGACTACCTACTTCTTCCAGTGAGTACTCCCCTGGAGTTGTCAGACGATGCCTGGGCTGACTGATTGGGATCGCCGGATTAGCTGATCCATTCGTCGGGAAAACGAGTCAGACCGTCGTACAGTTGGGCGGCCTCTTCCTCGCCTTCTACTTTGTCGAGCGGGTGGGTCGGCGCACGCTCGTCCTCGTCGGCCCTCTTCTGCTGGCAGTCCTCAACTTCCTTATTGGCGGCATGGGCTTCTTGCCATCTACCCCGGCGGTCGGATCGGCGCTCATCACCCTCTTTTGCGTCTGGACGTTCATCTACGCTCTCTCGCTCGCACCTATCGGTGAGCTTGTGTACGGGTTAGCCGGCTGTGAGTATCAGCTGAACCACCAGGGTGGACCGCGCTCGTCGAGGTCTCTTCTCCTCGCCTGCGTGCCAAGTCCGCCGCTGTCGCCACTGGCATGCAGACCCTATCCGGCATTCTTTTCGTATGTCAATTCCGCCTACTAAAACTATGTCCCGCCACCGCTTACACTATGCAGAGCTATACCGTCCCCCTGATGCTTTCCCCGCAATATGCCGGCTGGCGCGCCAAGATTGGTCTCCTCTTTGGCGGTTTCACCCTCCTCTTTTGGATCCCTTGCTACTTCATGTTCCCCGAGGTAAGCTGCTTCTACTCCAGCTCTCGACCCAGTCGGATTCAGCTGAGACAGCAGTGCAAAGATCGGACGTACCAGGAATTGGACGAGCTCTATGCGAGTGGCGTCCCCGTCCGACACTTTGCCAAGACCAAGACGAACGCGAATCTCGAGCGGGATCAGCGAAACTTGCAGGGCGTGGCGTAGTTGGGCACGAGCTGAGGGGTGTCGGTCAGGGTGGCGAGTGAAACTTTTCGGGTCTGCGGTTAGGTCACTGGGTGTGGTGGGGCACGAGGCTCTGGGTGGCGATGATTGTATCTTGTATCACTCTTCTTTTGTCAGGTTGTTCATGTATCTGCTGTTGTGCCTGCCCATGGACTCAGTGAGGTTCAGTCCAGTAGCTGAGGTCTGATTTGCCACCCCTGGGGGCAGGTCGAAGCCCAAGGCCGGCGCGCCGAAAGCCCATCTTCTGACCGGCCTTATGTTGAGACAGGGACTTGCCTACACCTAATGAAGTTGCGGCACCATATCTGACCTATAATCCACCTCCCCAGCAGATCAGCGATGCTTGATGCCATGTAAGACATTCGCCACCGCATGGTGAGACACACCTCTTCGATGAGGCTGAGGAGCCACTCATGTCTCAGTGTCGGGAATCTGCGGCGTTATCGGCGATAATCAATTTAGCTTGGTCAGGCCCTGCAGGGACAGTGCAGCGGGTAGGCAAGGATGAGGCCACCTGTGACCATAGTCAGAGGGTACCTCCGCAGCCATAGATAGTCTTAAAACTTCAGGCAAAACCCAGATCTCGCTGATTAGCGAGGAGGCATCACGGCGCCCAACTCCTCATTCCTCGGTGTCTGAATCGCCCCCTTGCGAGCATAACCTCTCAGTCGGGCTCTCGTTTAGTAAGGTCAAAACTCCAGGACATACGCCAATCAGCTCAAGCGCACGACCCACCCCAAGGAAATGCATGACCATCCGCATCCCACGAGAACATACAGCATGCCCTTCGCTACTCCCCAACTGTAGTCCAAGCCCACTCCCGCTCCAATCTGAGCCTGATCTACCCCTGCGCCTCCTCCCCTCCATACGCATTACTCTTATGCTTCGGGATCCAGCCCCACGCCTCCTCCGCCTTGCCCAAAAACATCTCCGAGATCCGCACCCAGTCATTCGAATTATCACTCGCCAACAGCGTTTCGAGCTCGTTCCGACCGCGGAACTTGGGCGGGCGCTCATTCATCTGCGGCGGCATGCGCTCAAGGATACCGATGGGGACGTAGCGGTGTGTGAAGGAGAGGAATTCGCACAGGAATTTACGCGTTTTCTGGACGCCGAGCGAGTCGGATCCCCAGTGTGTGAGACCGAATTCGGCGTACTGGGCATCAGCTCTGTCATTTTCACTTGGAAGGAGAAGGAAAGCGGAATGACTGAGCTCACCTTCTTGACGATATCCAATCGCTCCGTAGCGCTGATATCCCACTCCCTCCGCTCCGCAATCTCTGTAAAGATCCACGGCTTGATCAATGCCCCACGCGCAATCATTACCCCGTCCACCCCGCTCTTCTCCTTTTCCTCGTAGTACTGCTGCGAGGAGAAGCAGTCGCCGTTCCCAAACATGGGCACGGAGGGGAGTCCGGCATCCGACAGGGACTCGCGAAGGGTGGAAGTGCATTGCCGGATGTATTCCCAGTCGGCGAGCTTGGAGTAGCGTTGTTGACGGGATCGGCCGTGTAGCTGAGAGGTAAGCTTGCGTCCGCATTAGGTGTGGAACAGCGCTAGGGAGGGCGTAGCTTACGGTAAGAGCTGATGTTCCCCATTCGGTCGCGAAGCGGGGAATGAGCTTGTGTGCATTGGGCTTGCCAGTGGCGACGCCGGTACGCTGGGGAGTCAGTGAAGCCTTACATCCGGGCTGAGACGCTGCTCACGAATTTGACAGTCAAGGGAACTGTTGCATCAGCTTGTTTCCAGCAGCATCGAAAAGCCAACTCACTCTCGCCTAGCGCCCTGTTCATGCCTACCAATATCTTGCCCAAGCGTCCCGGGACGTCCAGCACTACATGGTCAGCTTCTGCGTCTTGCAGGTCAACGCGCCACAGGTAGCTCACAAGCACTCCCCGCTCCCTGGTTGAATACCAAATCAATCGGGCAACCCAGATTGACATCCACAAAGTCCACTCCCTTTCCAGACTTATCGCTCGCGCCCAGCTCCTTTGCGATCAGCTCTGCCGCGGGGACCATGCGATTTGGGTAGCTCCCGGCGAGCTGGATCCCAAAGTTCTTCTCGGAAGAATGACGGCGGCAGAGCGCCCATTCGGTATCTTGGCCGGAGATGAGGGGTTGGGCGAGAGCCATCTCAGAGACGGTGATAGTTGCGCCGAGCGTTGTGCAGAGGCGACGGAATGGCTGAGCGTCAGCTAGGACAACTCATCAGACAGATGTAACGTACCAGGTTGCCGACGGTAGTCAGGGGGGCGAGGTACAACCCATTCTCCCAGTTCAGGCGTCTCTTTTCTTCTGGCCTAAGCGGGACGTCCAGTGATTCCGCCTGCCCGTCGACGACCCCCTTCTGCTCCTCCTCCTCGACATTCATGGCGTCCTCCTCTGCTCCCATAGCGACGTCCGCATTCATAGCTCCTTCCTCGTCATACATGACATCCTTGGTGGCGATGTCAGGCTGTTCGGCCAGAGTGGGCGCGGGCTTCTTGTTAAATTTGTTTTTGGGGGTACGGGTGAGAGTGAATGGCTTGTTGGGTTCGACAGCTTCAAGGTAGCGTCTCGTAAAGGGGTAGTCGTACTGTCCATCAGCGAGGTCCGAGGAACGCTAGACAGTAGCTTACGATACATCTCCTAAGCTCGCCAAAGACCTTGTGATCCGGCCAATTCGTTTCTCCATTCTTCCACCCCTCCTCCTCCTCCCTCGTCAACTCGGTCGTCATCTCCCACTCCCCCACCATCTTGCTCTTATCCGCCCCCTCGCCCTCTTGCACCTTCCGCACATGTCCACCCAAGAACCGGCATTTCCAGCCAAACGGACAGTACCCCAGATCCGCATAGACCGGACACCTCGTCTTGAGGTCTATCGCGCGACCGACCGAGTCCGTCTCAGCCCCACCCACCGTCGCCTGCGCGTACTGGACGAAGGGCTCCTCGGTGGTGTACCCCTCGACGAACGGCAGATCGGCGGGCTTGGACTTGAAGTACGCCGTCCAGTCGTGTGAGAATTTACAAGGGTTATGGGTGCACTCTCCCATTTCCCATGCTCGGCACATCTTGGGTCCAGTGTCCACAGTACGAAGATCTCGATTCTTGTTTTGACCGCGGTTCTTCTTCTTGTCGCCTGGTCCGCCTGTTTTGCGCCGCTTGGAATCACGGCCGTCCTGGTGCGCCGTGGATGTGGAGCCTTCCGCAGCATCGTCGTCTGCCTCGTTGACGTAGGCGTTGCTGTTGGTAACAGGTAAGATGTATCTGCAGGTGTGAGCTAGTTTGCGAGACGGGAAAGAGGCAAGGCTGACTCGGGTTTGATGGGAGCTACACCGGCTCTCCCTCGATCGTCGTCGCCCGCTCGAGGCGCCGAGTCCGTGGCTGGCCGAGCGGTGACGGATGAGTCTGTGACTCTAGGAGCGTTGATCTCTACTTCACTCATGCTGTATAGGTAGATGTAGGCAGGTTATAGGTCGAGAGTTTTGCTGCGAAAGAGCCACCAGCCAAATTCCGCTTTACGTAACGAGCCTGGCCCAAACCGGAATCCGGCCTCCCTCCTCCAGCGCGACCCTTACCCTCAAGCTATACATTCCATCTCCTTCTATACATCTCATACCTAACACATAGCGCCTCGACTCACAGAGGTATCCGCTCACTCATCCGGCTCGCCCATCGTCCACCGGTCAACTCTCACTCAAAATGCCGGGCTGTAAGTTGAGACGAAAGCCAAGAGCGGGTCGGGCTCGTGAGGGGTCGAGCTGACCTCACAGTCCGCTTCTTGGAGCTCGTGCGGCCTTTCATGAGCATCCTCCCCGAGGTCACTGCTCCTGAGCGCAAGGTGAGTGCTAGAGAAGAAATTGGCGTGGTCTGTATGCTTTGGGAGATGGTTGGCGGATTCTGGAGGAATGAGGAAGCCTCGATCGCCCTCACCCTTTTCTCCACTACGCCTTACTGGATCCCCCTCTTACAGACCCCCATGCTGACTTTCAGGTCACCTTCAACACCAAAATCGCCTGGACAGCCACCACACTCCTGATTTTCCTGGTCTGCTCGCAGGTCCCCCTTTACGGTATCATGTCGTCTGACTCGTCCGACCCGCTCTACTGGCTCCGAGCCATCATGGCTTCCAACCGAGGCACGCTCATGGAGCTCGGTATCACCCCTGTTGTCACTTCGGGCATGATCATGCAGCTGCTGGCGGGTGCGCAGTTGATTGATGTTGATTTCAACTTGAAGGATGATCGCGCGTTGTTTGGCGGTGCTCAGAAGCGTAAGTTCATGGAAGCAGATGTCTTGATGCGCTTCAAGCTGACGCTTAGTCTTCGCTCTCATCATTGCTCTCGGCCAAGCCACCGTCTACGTCCTCACTGGGATGTACGGCGCCCCGTCGTCCCTCGGTCCCGGTGTCTGCCTTCTCTTGATCCTCCAGCTCGTCTCGGCCAGTCTTATCGTCATGCTCCTCGACGAGCTCCTGACCAAGGGCTACGGTCTCGGCTCCGGTATCTCCCTTTTCATCGCTACCAACATCTGCGAGTCGATCGTCTGGAAGGCCTTCTCACCCAACACGATCAATACCGGCCGCGGACCGGAGTTCGAGGGCGCCATCATCGCCTTCTTCCACCTGCTCCTCACGTCCAACAACAAGTCGCGCGCCCTCAAGGAGGCCTTCTACAGGGACCGGCTTCCTAACATCATGAACCTCCTCGCAACGGTCGCGGTGTTTGCGGCGGTCATTTACCTGCAGGGATTCCGGGTCGAAATCCCCATCAAGTCGAGCAAGATGAGGGGCCAGCGCGGATCATATCCCGTCAAGCTGTTCTACACGTCCAACATGCCCATCATGCTCGAGTCGGCCCTCACCAGCAACATCTTCCTCATCTCGCAGATGCTTTCGTCGCGCTTCCCCGAGAACTTCCTCGTCAAGCTTCTCGGTGTTTGGGAGGTGAGTTTCACGCCTTTCACCCTCTGGATGCCCTGCTGACTCGTAGCCCCTCGAGGACCTTCCGTCCCAACTCTGCGCGACCTCCGGTATCGCCTACTACATCTCCGCCCCGCACTCGGTCACCGCGGCCCTGCGCGACCCCTTCCACACCGCCATCTACATCACCTTTATCGTCACCGTCTGCGCCATCTTCTCCAAGACCTGGATCGAGGTCTCCGGCTCGGGACCCCGGGACGTCGCCAAGCAGCTCAAGGACCAGTCGATGACGCTTGCGGGACACCGGGACGCGTCCATCTACAAGGAACTCAAGCGGGTCATCCCGACGGCCGCGGCGTTTGGAGGTGCGACACTCGGCCTCTTGTCGGTCGTGGCGGACTTGATGGGTGCGCTCGGGAGCGGGACAGGTATCTTGATGGCGACTACGATTATCTACGGATGTGAGTTGATGCGATCGACTCCTTGGTGGGAGGAGACAGGCACAGCTGATACGTGCAGACTTTGAGCTTGGCGTCAAGGAGAATGCCGGTCTGGAGGCTGCTGGTTTGGGAGACATGAGTACGCTTGTTTGCCCTGATGGAGTCCGAAATACATGCTGATAATTCCAGTCTTCTAAGCTGTCAGCTTGATCCAGTGCGCGGGAGGAGGATGTGGAGGCGGAGTGTAGGTGCAGTCGAGTGGAGTGGTGGACTCGGAGGTTGAGGTGCCCCAGAGGGGATGCGGCTGGGGGCGTGCGGGTCCACTGAGGGTGGCAGTGTGTGTGCAGAGGAGGAGGATGAGAGAGGGGTCAGATTGTGGGAGGTCCCAGGTGGGAGAACTGAAGCGGAAGATTAGAATACAAAAAGTGGTATAGCTCGCATTGCATATTCTTCTTGTCTGCTAGAACGGCGCGACTGCTCTCCGATGGTGCTGCACAGCATGAACAGTCCTGACCAGTCATGTACTTTACAGTATAGACCAGATGAAGGGGGATGCATGATGCGACGCTACAGGTCCCGTATCCGCTTGTCCATCCTCGGTGCCCTCCTTCCTCTGCTTAGCAAAAAGTATAGCATGGCTGATGTGGCTGCTGATAATGAGAACCTGAGCTGTCAGCTGTGCCCAGATGAACAGGACGTCAGAGGGGTCAAGAGCTGAGTAGAACGTACCAGGTGTACGCGTAAGATAGATGTTGATTCCTGAGCTCGACCTTCGCAGGTCTTCCGACCGGGATACCCCTCTGCATGAGGTATGTCGCTGGTGTTTCTCCACCTTACATATCAGGTTCTTGTACAACATGAACCCCACCAGCTGGAAAGCACTCACGGTCAATCGCATCCACCAAAACCGGCTGAACCCCCTTCTCCTCTCCACCCGCCACCTCCGCCATGCCCACCACATCCCTCCAGAACCACTCATTCCCCTCCACCTTATTCTCGGGCGTCCAGAACCCCATCTCTCCAGGCCGCATAAGCATACACTCGACCGTCACCTCCTCGTCCTGCGCCGGACCGGGCACCCCCTCTTTCCCGGCCCGGATAGCGGCGGCGCGGGTGGTGGTGATGAAGCCGCGGTTGAGGAGGATGGTGGATGCGCCGTTGGGGCGGACGAGGGGCTGAATGAGCGCGTACCCGGGGACGCCGTCCTTGACTTGAGGGCCGAGGAGGATGGGGAGGGGGAGAAGGCGGCCTTGGAGGAGTATGCGGCGGAAAGAGAAGTCGGGGAGGGCGGAGAGGCTAGATGTCAGCTTCAGGGCCTTCACATTCGGTGGTGAGTATGGGGACAGTAGACGTACTTGATATTTCCAGGCAAGACCATCGGCTCTTTATGCAAATTCCGCTCAACCTCATCAATGAGCGCCACCTTCCACCTCAGTCTCTTGACCTGCCATACCCCCAGGAATCCACAGAGAATGGGAACGAAGATGAGGACGATAGTGGTGGGTTTGGCGAGCTGGGAGCGGAAGCGGGAGCCGCCTGTTCCGGAGGAGGAGGCGGTAGATGGGAGTGGGGAGGAGCCGAACGAGGAAGCGAAGCGTCTAGAGCCTGCGGAGCGGACTGAACCTGCGACAGGGGCAGATCGGGCGGCGGAGATGTGGGGGCCGCGAAGAGGTTGCGCTGATCGGAGGGAGGCCCGGAGGGACGACAAGAGTCGGGGAGCGACGCTCATTTTGGGTTCTGCCGGTCTGCCCCTGTGGTGTGATACCTGAATCCCCGTGACTTGAGTCGAGGAGGCCCTTCGTCCTGTAGAAAGGCTCTCCGATGCTTCGGATGATGAATCCTGTAATGGGAAGTAGCTTGTAGGCGAGCAGTGTATGCGCAGAGTTGAGCGCTCAGCTTGCCTCACATTCAGAAGATCGGATCGAGATTTCGCGGACCTCCTGCCAGCTTCCGTTGGAATTCAAGTGGCAAATAATTAAAGGTGAGGAATGTGGCACGGCACCTGCCTCAAGCTTTAGTTGGCTCACGACGAGATACACTGAAGTACCCACTCCGCCGTAGATGTGCTTGAGCTGCCAAGCACGATGTCGAGCCCAGGAAGAATTGAACAAGTAGATACATAAGACAAAGATCGACAGTCGACGTGAATATGACTGGATATGAAACCGACTATAAAAGCTCATCCACCGCCCTCTGACCGGCCCCATGGCCATCCGACAAAGTCCCTAAATCGTACCACGTACAACTCTCATAGCCCCATCTATCCGGAATCGACATGCCTTCAGGCAATAACAACCTGATTCTTCACCCTCCTTCCCACTCCCGCCCTCTGCACACCCTCCCCATCCCGCACATTCAACTTCTGCGTCGTATTGCTAAACACCTCAATCGCCCACGTTCCACCGCATGTCGAGTTCTTGTCCGCCGCGCAGGGGGATGTACATGTCGTCAGGCGTTTCGTGAGCTTGGCGGTAGAGTTGCTGCACCCGCAGTCGGTTTTGTCTTCTACCTGATCTCATCAGCTTGGGCTCCCGTTGCGAGTCCGAGAGGCGACTTACACCAGCGTAAATATAACCCCAATTCGAGCAGAGCTCAATACAGAACTTGGGCGTATTCTGGCTCGGCCTATAGTAGTACGCCGGCAGGACCCGATCCGAGGTATCCGCGAAACAGCCCAGCGAGACCCAGCCTTTCGGGAGGACGTTGGCGATGGTAGCGGTGGGCGCAGCGGGGGTTGTGGATGTGGTGGAAGGGGTCGAGCCGGGTCGGGTAGGCGGGCCAGCGACGGCGTAGGTGCTTGTAGCTGGCTTCGTTGTGGTTGGGCGTGCGGGGGGTCCGGCGACAGCGAAGGTGGTGGTAGGGTTGGCTTTGGAGGTGGTGCTGCTGGTAGAAGAAGAAAGGGTGGTCGTTGTCGAGGACTTGGGGGTCGTCGTCGTCGTTGAGGTCGTTGAGGCGGACGACTTGGAAGAGGAGGAGGAAGAGGAAGATCCGGTCGCCGCAGGGGCTGTCGTCGTGATGGAAGAGGACGAGGAAGATGAGGAAGATGAGGAAGAAGGGGAAGAGGAGGATGACGACAAAGTGGTAGTAGGGGACACGGTCGCCACTGGCGTCGAAGTCGTCGTGGTCGCGTTGGCGATAGACGAGGATGAGGAAATAGTGGTGGACGTCGTAGTATTAGCGGTAGGCGAAACAGTCGCAACTGGGGCGGTGGTATTGACAGACGACGGCGCAGTAGGCGAAACGGTCGGAGCGACAGTGGTGTTCGACGAGGACGATGACGATGATATGGAGGTGGATGAAGGGGAAGAGGTGGGCGCCGCGGTAGGCTCGACCTGCGTGCCGATGTACTGCATGATGTTGATCCGGTAGCTCCCTCCGCAGTCTTTGGTGGAGTCGCCGGCGCAGGGCTTGTCGCAGCCTGTTCCGGCGGTGAAGCGGGCGCTCATCCCGCACCAGCATTCTGAGCCGTACTGGGTGCCCTGGAAAGTCAGCAATGTTTCAGATAAGATCCGCAAAGAGGACCAAGTGGGGGAGTGGGGATGTAGGATAGAGGGGAAGAGAGAGGGAGAGGGAGGATGGACATACAGCATAGGTATAATTCTGCGAGGCACAGTAGTTGGCGCAAAGGGGGTTGGTATTGTTCGTCGGGAACTGCACCGATCCGCGATCCAGTGCACGGGGATAGTCCTGGTCGACCGAGCACCCGAGCGCCACCCAGCCAGTAGGCAACGGCTCCGTCGGAGTCGTACTCGGACCCGCTGCGGAGCTGCTGACCGTTCCGGACGGGACAGGCACCGCGCTCGCATCGGACGCAGTAACAGACGCAAGGCCCGTATTGGTCGCTTCGTAATCGACGCGAATGAATGCGTTGCCCCGGTAGGCGCCCCCACAGTATGCCCATGCGTCACCTTTGCACCGGACATTACATTCTGCAGGTGGGGCAGAGACGAGCTTGGCGGTCCGGCCACACCAGACTTCGTTTCCGTTCTCGAGCATCGCGTACTTGTAGCCGGCCTTGTCGCAGAGTGCGGTACCCATGCTGATGGTCACGTCGTTGCCCGAGTAGATGAGGGGTCCGTCTAGGGATCGGGCGTCTTGGTCGAGGAAGCACCCGAGGGGTTGCCAGCCTTGGGGAAGGGCGGTAGCGGTGGGTTCTGGGGCACTGGGGATCAGCTAGACTCCGGAGAAGCGGAGGACAGGGGTCGGGACTCACGAGCTGTTACTTGTGCTCGAGGCGTATGGGTTCTGGATGTAGGTCGTAGGCGCAGGAGTGGAGGTGTTGGACGCGGCGAAAATGTCGTTCTGTGCGCCTTGGTAAAAACCCCACGAGTCGGTGTACATGGGAGGTACGTCGAGATGGGGAAGGTTGTTACCGCTAAGATGTCAGCTTGGTTCACTCCACGTCCGGAAAAGTTTCTGCTCACTCGGCTTGGTAGAGGTACTAAGGGTATCAGCTTCTGCCCTACTCTGAAATACATGCAGAAATGTTAAGCTCACCATAGGCGTCTTTGCTCCCTTGAGACAGGCGCTGGGGTTGCCGGTACAGTCCTTGGGTACCTGACCACGCTGTACAACACCAGCACTCGCACTGGCGCCGGACACCGTGCAGCGGTACAGCAAGTTGTACTGGCAAGTCAGCTACCACCCCTTCATCATCCGGAGCGTCGAGGGCAGCACACACAATCTCGAATGGATAGCCCTCTCCACTTCCCGCCCGATGAATCCAGTTCCAGGTGCACAGACAACCGCCCGGCGGACAAGCCGGCAAGTCCGCTGGAATATCGTACGAGATGGCCCGGGTCCATACCGACTGCTGCACGACCGAAATGACCGTCATGTCGTTGGGCTGAAGCGCGGAGACGTCGGACGTGTAGGCGATGGCGAGGGCGGTTCCTCCGAACTTTGTGGGGTCGACGTTGGTGTTGTTGTATTGGTTCATGACGTGAAGGGCGCCGGAACCGCTCTGGATATGTCAGCGAGCGACCCTGGAAAGGAAGTGGAGGATGGGGTGACTTACGCGGCAAGCAAAGTTCGAGGGGGGGTCGGTATTGTACGGATCACGGAACTGGACCGTCTCGGCTCGGTTGCAGGTCATCTCACCTGAGCCGTTAGCTTGGGACTCAGGAACGAGAATAGGTTGAGTGAGAAGGTCGCGTACCGGTGAAAGACCCGCCGGCGGGGAGGACCATAAAGTCCCCATCTTTAGGTGGGAAACCCTTGTACCCGTGAGCGAACCACTGGTCCTTGCTCAACCCATCAAGCTCGCGGAGCGGGTGGACGGGGTAGTCATTGTTGTAGTTTTGGGCATCTGACAGTCAGTGCTATACCGCCGCACTGGGCGAAGAGCTGGACGTACCTCCAATCTGATTGGGGTAATTCATACCGAACATGCCTGGCGCCCAGAGCGCGATATGCGCCCTGGCGACGGCGAAGCAGGCCACCGAGACGAACGTTGCCGCTCGCATTTTGGGGAGAAGAGGGGGAGGTGGCTGGATTGTTTTGAAAGGGGAGGGCGGGATCGCTTCTAGCGGAATCGGACTCGGTCAACGAGGATAGAATGTCTCAGAACCAGTCTGGAATGTCGATAGTGGCGAGGACGTAGGAAGATGGGTTGAGAAGGATTTTGATGGCGCTGAAGAACAAGCAAAGGTTCCCATAGATTATATATTCTGTCGGGGCTCGGCTCGGGCGACGGAGAGAAAGAAACGCCTCTGTCAAGCCACCTCGTGGGGTGGCAAGGCACGACACCCGAGGCGGCGAGGGCGATCCTCGATCGTCGCTGCACGATCTCGCCGCCGCGTTCCTGTCTCCGCTTTGGAGCCGCGAAAGATCTTTCCGATGGTCCACGAAGGAGTGGGTACGACTCTGTTTAGAACTTTAGCGTTCAGTGGCGCAGACGCCGCCGAAAACGCCACTTCCGGCCGAGGAATGTTTGGTAAGGGCGATTAGATTAGAAGGTTCTGAAACATACCGATAGACGGAAAGGGCTAATCAATCCATTAGCGGAATCAATTCTCTTATTAGCTTTCCCTTGTTTACGCGGACGCGACTGACCAAATGACAACAACACCGTCATCACTCTTATCCAAAAGTTACTCCGACCTCTCCATCCTGTCTTGAACCTTCCACTAGCAGCTCCGGCCATGACAGACAGCAGCAGCAGCAACGTCACAGCTCGGTCATAGGCGGTCCAGGCCTGGCGATCTCAGCGTTCGATCAAACACCTCGACCAGATGACTTGCCTAGCGTCCGGCTCGGGCTCTGTCGCGGCTCAGCTGCCCTCGCCCGCCGTGCTCCAGACATGGGTGCACCGCCCGCAGGCGATCGCAAAATGCACCGTCTCGGACGTGTACGTCCTCCAGGCGCTGGTGCCGCGCGAGAAGGAGACTGCCAATCGAGGTGAGTATCCACCTGAAAGGTATACGGCAAATTTGGCCGAGACCGTGCTAACGAGCTAGATATCTTCCTGCTGAATCAGTTCCCATGCAAGATGGTGGAGCTTGTAGGCTGGGTCGCCGGGGTAGATGATAAGGAGTCATCGCTGACGATCTTGCGTGAGCCTATTTCTGGCCTGGAGATGGATCGAGCTGATGCGATAGTGGATGACGGTGATGGGAATGCCGTCTTGCCGGTACGGTATCAGCTGCCTCGGGTCGTCAAGCCCGTGTCGCCCAAGAAGCCCGTCAAGGTCTGGGATCGATCGACGTTCGTCTCGGCCAAAGACCGGAAAGCGGAATTGGCAGCGGAGGCGGACAAGGAGGTTGACGCGTCATTCGCCAAGCGCCCGCCGGCGCAGCTGTACCAGACGCGAGATATCAGAGTGGGGGATATCGTCAGGGTGGTGGGGAAGGTGGATGAGTACGCGAGGAGGAAGCCAACAGGGCTGGAGTGGGTACGAGGGGTTACGGTGGAGGAGGGCGCTGGGGGCAGAGTCGGTATGTTACCGCATCCGCTGAAGGAGTAAGGGCTGACAGTCAGAGGTGGTTGATGCGGACCAGCAATATCTGCATCTCACCGAGGTCATAGACCTTCACAATACGGTCTATTGCCAACCCTTCGTCATCCCATCCATCCCGGTCGCTCAGACACAACCACTCGTCGAGTCTACACATGACATGTCGCTCGGATACTCGTTCAGCTCTGATATGGACACGCAGAGCGAGATGCCGAGCGAGATCACCGTGGACGATGACAACGCTGTAAGTCTTGATCACTCCTTACTAGCTCTAAGCTGACGTGTAGCTTCCTGATATCCGTAAACTCCGCTCTACCCAACTGAACGACAATACATTCCGGCGGTACCTTCTCGACCATATGACGGAGGAAGTCCGCTCAGCCGCCCTCAACGCGGATATTGCCGGACCCGCCACCGTCGACCGAGCCCTCCAGCATCTCTTTCCCGAGTATAAGCCCGACTCGACCGGCAAAGGCAAGGGTCGAAGCGTCCTATCGGCCTCCTTCTCCCCCAATATCCAAGCAGACCCATACGGTACACCCCGCGCCATGTCGTACAAACCCGACCGACCCTCCACTCCGCTCATCCAGTATCCCGTATACACCATCTCATGCCTCCTCGATACGCCTCATCTTGCGGAACTTGCGGGCATGATCATCGATGCTGAATCAAAGAAGGAGGAGCGGCGTCGGCGGAAGCGGGTCTTGAATGGGGAGGCGACAGAGAAGGATCTGGCGTTAGAGCGAGAAGGCAGTCAGCGGGCGAGTGGGAAGGTCGCGTGGAGGTTGACTGGGGAGAAGAGGCGGAAGGCGATGGAACGGATGGTCAGTTGGGCATTGAGGGCGATCTCGGAGGAAGGGAGTTGTGTCCACGTCCACTTGGACGTCGGGCAGATCGACTATGACTATCATCGGACACCCACTGCATCGATAACGGCATCGGCCATGGTGGAGTCGACGGCGTACACGCCCCTCCCACCGCCCTTTATCCTACCGGTCATACTGTGGCATCTACAGGTGGAGCAGGAGGCGCGCAGGAATATCTTTTACAAAAAGACGGATCCGAGGTGGAAGAGTGGCATGACGATTGAGGAGCTGGTGTATAGGATGAGGCAGTGGGGGGAGGAAGGGCGATGGGAGCGGCTGGGAGAGTGGAGGGTCGAGGAAGGGGTGCAGTGGGGATTGATCAGGGGTCTGATTAGGCAGGAAGGGAGAGGGTATTGGGCGGTGCATAAGGAGGTTGCGGGATGGGGTGGATGAGATGTATCTCCTGGACTGTCGGCCGCCGGGTGTGGAGCGTTCTCGTCGCTCTGATCTGCTCGCTGACCTCCTGTAGCGACAGCCTCGCGTCACGCCTTGGCGTCTGCACCGCTGGGGCCACGGACTCGACAGAGGAGGGAGGGCGGGTGGAGTGCACAGCAGACTTTGCCAAGTTTCAGCCAACTTGGCCAAATGTCTTGAGGTCGTCCTTTCGTGGGGACACAAGGTTCGAGGGGGTCCTTTCGCGTCGACAAGCTAATCAACACCGCATTTCGCTGCTCATCCATTGTCTCCATTGCTCATCCTGCTCACTTCATACCGATAGCTCATCCAGCATACCAAGTACTAGCAATGGATGCCTACGACCTAGATAATTACTACGGCCGCCCTCCGCCGCCTCCGCCTCAGCCTCAGCAAGGGCAAGGCGGATGGGGCCAGCAGAACCCATACGGCCACCTGCCGCCTCCCCCTCAAGCTGGCTTTGGGGGGTACGGCGGTGGCGAGTACGGGAACGGGAACGGGAACGGCATCGGGTGAGTTTGGCCTCACTGTGGCTTCAAGCGTGTTCGAGAGCTGATGTTCCAGATACCAGTCAGGCGGTTTTCCGCCTCCTCCCATGGCGCAGGGCTATGAACCAACGTCAGTACCCTTCCGACTATAGACCGGCTCTGACTGATGAGGTAGTGCGGCTGGCTACAATCCGGATGAGCAGCAGCGAGACGCTCAACAGCCGCCGTTTGGGCAGATCAAGCATCAGGCCGATCAGGCCGATCAGCAAGGTTTCCATTATTCCAGCTGTGAGTTTGGTCTGCTTTCCCCTAAGAGTTCTGGGCGTGGGGCTGGGACTGATAGAGATAGGTACTGGACGGAGGAAGGCTTTGCTTGTGAGTCAGACCTGGCAAGACCGGTCAAAGAAGGATGGGTATAGCTGAGACCCCAGATCGGGATCAACTATTTCGGCACCAGCGGCGAGCTCGCTGGGTGTATCAATGATGTGAGCTAGCTGCCCTCGCATCGAGATAGGAGAGACTGCTGATGAAGTAGGTGCACAACGTTCGGGAGTTCATCAGCCGTGAGCATCACTGAAACCTCCTTGTCCACGTCAAGTAGAAGCTGATCTGTAGAGCGGTTCAACTACCAGCCGGAAGACACAGTCGTCCTTACTGATGATCAGCGGGACCCGCGCACCATCCCGACCAAGGAGAACATCATCAAGGGGATGCAGTGGCTGGTCGCCGATGCGCAGCCGGACGATGCGCTGTTCTTGCACTTGTAAGTGTCCCGCTGGGATTACAAGCACGTGATATGGGGTGGAGCTGATGGTTGTAGTTCGGGCCATGGGACCCAGGTCGAGGATGTCGATGGAGACGAGGGGGATGACGATGATGAGGGTGAGTATTGTCGCTCGAGGTCGAAAGTGGTGTGTACTGATATCTTAGCGATCTGTCCGCTGGACTATGAGGAAGCAGGCATGATTGTCGACGACGATAGTAAGCCCCCCTCTCCGCTCCATCGTATAGTACTACAGCTGACTTACCAGTGTGGGTCATGGCCCTCAACTTCGACTGCTAAGCTAATGTCAGCCACGAGATCCTCGTCCGACCCCTCCCCGAAGGCTGTCGCCTCACCGCCATATTCGACTCGTGCCACTCTGGTACCGTCATGGACCTCCCCTACATCTACACCACCGACGGCAAGATCAAGGGCCCCGACTTCTTTACGGAGGAGACGACGCAGGATCTCATGGGCGGCGGAATGGCGTTGTTGAACGGGGATACGGGCGGCGCGATGTCCAAGTTGTTTGGGGCGGCGAAGGACATGTTTGGGGCGCATACGGCGAATGAGAAGGGGAAGAAGATGAAGAGTAGCTCGGCGGATGTGGTCATGTGGAGTGGATGTAAAGATGCGCAGACGGTGAGTCATCCGGCGGGAGGAGGCGATAAGGCGGAGCGCGAGGGGAAGAGCTGATGGCCCAGAGTGCGGATACGCAGGAGGCGGGTAGAGCTACCGGCGCCATGTCTTATGTGAGTTGGGATTCCTGCTCGTTCTGTGCTGGGCTAAAGCTAACACCCAGGCCTTCATCGCCGCGCTCAAGAAGTACCCGCAGCAGTCGTACATCCAGCTCCTCAATACGGTCCGAGAGGAGATGAAGGGGAAATACTGTCAGAAGCCGCAGCTATCTGCGTCCCACCGTGAGTATATCTCCTCTCATCATCATCGCAAGGGGTAGTGTCAGTACTGATCTTTCAGCAATCGACACTGACCTGGAGTTTATCGCTTGAACTGTATGCGCCGTACATGCTGTATCAGATAATGAACTCTACCATGGATTGCGCTCCAAGTCCTCATCCCCTGTCTTACTGATACACTGACAACATATGCCATATCTCTGCATGCGAGGACTTCTCACCGGTGGCATTGTTTGCTGCTGACTTTGTGTATACTCTCAGGGCGAGTTTGTTTACCTGCAAATACCAGATACCAAGTCAAGCAATGCATTAGGCAGGGATGACGGATGTTGCGAGTGAACTATATAGCATGAAGTACACAAGTACCACCAGAGAGCTCCTCGGTCACTGCTGAGAGCGAAAGGCTGTCTTGGCGGACTCATGTTCCCGCATCTCCTGAGCTTGCTCCATCGCCGATATGCCGACACCAGGGTTGTAAGCAGACGCCTCCGCAGCATGTTCGCCAATGACGACGTACTGTACGCTCGTCCAGCTTGTACTCTGCACCAGCGCGGTGGGAGGATGGATTCTGATGGTAAAGTTATTCGATGATGACTGGAGCTTGTTCGCTGACCGGAGTAGTCTGGCGAGGCCAGTTGGCTCTCTCGGTACTACAGCGTAGAGTGTAGTGCGGTGGACCGTGAGCGTTTGATTATCAGCCGAATCAGTGCTCCTGCTCGGTTCAACCATCAATCCCTCCCCGTCGACTGATGCCTGAATTCCCAAGGCATCAAAATCTGATGAGCCCACCGAGACTGTCCTGGAGCCCGGTCTTCAGTCGATTCGTGAATTCAGACACGGTCGTCGAGAGAGGGGCATTGTTGGCCAGCCCTTTCTCGGTAGCGAATTTCGCCACAGCCCTGGTGAGATTTCCCTTCAGACCGGAGTTGATAAGTTCCCGGGCTGTCTGCTCGCACTCGTCGAGCACGCCATGCAGTGCTTCGCATTGATCCAAGTCGAGAGTGATATCGGGGAAGTCCGTAGACTTCGGCCTCGCCATATTCGACATGTCACCCAAAGGTAAGGAAGTGGTCACTTGTATCGCCAACTTATTGGGCTCGCCATCATGGCTGACCAGGGTGCGGAACTTGTAGGATATTTGGAGGGGTCGAGTGGCAGGAAGGCGGGTCGAGCCAGCGGCGGTATCTGCAGACGAAGACATGATGTCGATGCATGATGTGAGGCGACTCGTGGAGACAGGGAGTGGTCTAAATGGGCCAACAGAGTCGAAGGGTCAGGGGAGAGACGAGTGATGTCGAGTAAGGAAGGCAAGGTCAAGAGCAGAGGGGACCCGGCGGGAACAGATCAGATGATAGGTGAGAACGGGCGGACGCCTCAGTGGCGAGTCCGTCAGCGCCAGCGATATCCCCGGCGGGGCTCGAGGAGATCCACCCTCCTTTCACCCAGCCAGGGGCTCGTACACATACGCATCACTGTATGGACTCATAGAAAATTACCTAGCATTTTCCGCTGCAGGCTCTGGCGAGGCGGTACGGTACTAAGACCATTATAAGAGCGCGTCAACCCGATCTGAGCTTGAACGGGATCATCGCCCCGGTGGTTCGCTGCACAGGCGCGCGACTCCGGACAAACTCTGCGATGCAAGAGAGCTTCCATCAAGACTTCCATGTCATCCTCTGTTTCCGAGCTCGACCAATCGCCTTGTCGCGTATGTGTAATGCGGCTCTACTCTTCAGTATTTACAGACCGCTCCTCACAATATCTCATGTATGTACAGACCGCCTCCTCAATCGTGTTCGGCACGAGGCTTTCCCAATCGCCCGATCACATCCTGACATCGACGTACCCATTTGCCCTGGTAAATCCCTGACTTTGACCCGGGTTCGATGTCTTCCGTGCCAGGGGCGTCATCCCCTACCAGATACTCCTCAGTGACGTTCATACCGTTCCCACCGGTTTCTGTCATGCGACTGATCGATTGGACTGTCGGAGGGCTGGGACGCCTACGCCAGAAAGCTTTCGACTTGGGGATTTTGAGGTACACGTTGTAAGACATGTCACTCTGGATTTCTGGCATTCCGTTCGTCCGATTCACAGAGACCTTGACCGTCTTCCCAGCAAGAGGCTCCGATAGCCCAGTGAGCTCTTCCAGGCTTTTAATCAGCTTTGCCTTGGCAGCCTCTGACTTCGAGGCGATGAACAGTGCCTTGAAGAGATCTGTGTATGGGATCGTGGCGTGACCGTTGGCTTTCACGGTCTCGGACACGATGCTGTCGATCACTGAGCTGATGACAACGCTCGTGTGCTGTTCGACTCGATCGGCAAGCCGGCTGGTGAGGTCTCGAAACTCACTCGAAGGGTGAAAGACCAGATTGTGGCCCCGATATGTCTCGGACCATACCCGCAAGGCGCTCGCCTCGGACTCGGAGCGGGGATTCTCGCCACCCTCTCCCATGACGCGGGGGCTACGGCCCTGAGCGTACTCGGCCCACACACCAGTCCATTCAGATCCACACACAAATAGCCTCGTCTTGATTCGGACGCCTTTCAGGCTCGCGCTCGAGGATGGTTCTGTGGCAAGCGCATGATCAGCCCAAGGGGAGATCTCCGAGTTCACGATGAATCTCGTCACATTTTCGTTCGCAGTCGAGGTTTGTCCAGATGGGGCTGTCTCAGGGTGTGTAGGCATTGGGAGCGGATGTCTGATGATGCCCGTGTTGTCAGGGGAGATGTAATTGGTATCGGGTGGGAGGGCGTGATATGTGGAAAGTCGCAAGAGAGAGGGGTCAAAGGAAGCGCGCATGGCCAGGATAGCGATGATGAGGCGGGGGTCTCGAAACAAAGGTTGATAGCTATCCTTTCGCCTGGATCCCCTTCGTGCGTCAGCCACATCATATCTCCATCATAGCAAGCCCGTCCCTTGATCTTCGCCCAGACGCTGGAACATTCCACATCATCAGTGCGACGCCCAGTCACGGTCAAATGTCTGATATCGGATCAGTACATACACATCTAATTGTCCGTCCGCTACCTCTCCGCTCAAGCCAGCACCTTACGCAACAACCACGCGCCGACCATCCCCCACCCCAGCGCCGCGCCCGAGAACGCACCAACAGCTCGGTCCCCGGCCGCCCTACTCGAGCTCGCGGCCGCTGCCCCGCCGATCGACGTGGGGCTCGCGCTGCTCCCGCCTGTCCCGCCGGACGCGCTTGGGTTGGAGGAAGTGCCGTTGCAGGTCGTGAAGGGGCAAGGTCCGGATTGGATTTGTTGAGTTGGGTATTGTTGGGGGACGGTTATGAGGACGTAGTCGAAGTCTGTACGTCAGCTCCTGATAGATATCTGAAGAAGACCTCTCGGTAAGAAGAGAGTTGGAGAATGAGGGAGGGCAGAAGAAAGGGAGAACTTACCAAAGAATGTCGGATCGCCAGGGTATGAGCCATACCCCAGATTCCTTACCGCGACGGTATGTTTCCCCTGCCCCAGACCCGACGTGGCGTACTTGAGCCCTTTGAGCTTCTCGCAGGCTTTTGCCCAGCCTCCTCCGCATCCCGACCTGTGCGTCAGCTCAGCCTTAACATACAACCTCCCTTCCCGCGCTCTGCCACGCCAGGAAGAGAAAAAGAGAAGACCTACCGGTCATTAAGCGTAGCATTGGCCTTCCCGCCCCTCGTCCATGGCGTGTCCCCCTGATCCACATACACCTCGTAGAACCCATGATCATTCACCTGGTCGCCATAGATGTAGACCGCGGACCCTTCAAAGTCGAAGGCGAACGAGTTGTTGCCGGACCCGCCGGACGTGTAGGTCGAGGTCCCGTTGGAGAAGTTGGGCCCTTGCTGGGTCGTCCAGCTCCCAGAGTAGCGGATCGCGCCGCCGGCGTCTTCGATGGTAGTGTTGCGGGTGGCGGAGCTGAGTGTCAGCGCTTCTCCAGACCCAAATGGACTGTCAATAGCCTATATCTGTTGAGGTCCAACGGGGACCTGGACGTCGACTCACCCTTGAGCGCCAAAAGCTGCGCCAACCACGACCAAGTCCAACGTCAATCCACTCCCCGCATTGATCACCTCGACATTATGCCAATCCCACCTCAACGTGCTCGTCTCAAACAGCTGTACCCTACCGCCATCCGTACTGTTCGTCGTATTGTACGTCTGCCGGAATGGCTGGGCGCTAGAGGGATCAATGACGATGGTGTAGTTGGTATTGCCGGCGGTGGGGCCAGCGGCACCGTAGATGGAGAAGGAGGTCCCGGTAAAGTTGAAGCTGGCTTTGGCGCCGGGGACGGTGGTCGTGTGGTATGTCGCTAAAGTATCAGCTTCAGTTCCATCTCCTTTGTGTAAAGAGGGCGAGAAGAGAGGAGGACGTACCCTGATGCCATGGCGAGTTTGTCACGTCCCGACTGGCATTGTACCAAGTGGGATTTTGGCTCGGATCGGGTGTGCTCCAGTCCGCATAGTTCGAGTACGCGATGAGCGGGTCAAAGTCGTCGATTGTGATCTGGTTCATAGCGCTTTGAGGTGGATATGAGGCTGCAAAGAGTGATATATATGAATGTATGAGAAGCAAGAAAGGAACGCGTTTGTTGTTGCCTCGCAAGCAGAATTTCTGAAACGCGTGCCAAGCAAGGGGTATGTAACGACTGTCCGATGTCCAAGATAGGACATATGCTGTGTGTATCTCACATACGCTCGCATGTACATGGCCAGACATACACTGCTCGTCATTCCCACCTAGAGCCTTCTGCTTTTTTTCGACTCCGCCAACGACCCCAACCCTCCCTCATTCGTCCTCCGCCCATCTACTTTTCCCCAATGCCCCCTCCAGCTTCTTTGTCCTTCTCGCCGCCTCTTCCGTCTTCTTCTTTCCCGCCGAACTACTATCGAGCTCCTTGGTCCGCCTCGCTAGCTCCTCCGTCTTCTTCCTCCCCGCCTCGCTCACCCTGTCCTTCCCACTCTTCTCCTCCTTCTCGCCAGTCCGCGGCGGAGTGGACGAGTATCGCCTCCTCCTCGTCGGTGGCGGCGAAGGGGACCGCGAATGGCTCGGGGACCGCTTTTTACGAGGGGGAGTGGAACTGTCCCGTCTCTTCCTGGGAGGGGTAGAATCGTCCCTCCGCTTCCGAGCCGACCGGGGAGGGGTCGAGTCGTCCTGCTTCCTTCGAGGCGGAGTGAGAGTTGGGGATCTGGAACGACCCCTTGGATCGCTAGGCGTGGGTGTACGAGATGGACTCCGGCCTCTTCGCTTGGGCGGTGGGGAGGGATAGGCGCTGCTGGACGGAGAGCGAGCTCGGCGGCGCGGCGGGGAATCGTCCCGCTCCCTCCTCTTTGAGTCTTTGACGGGTGAAGACCGTTTCCGAGCAGGAGGAGTGTCCGAGTCCCTCGCGCGCCGGCGAGGCGGGGGCGAGGGCGATTGTCTGCGGGGAGGAGGGGATGGAGACCGCCGACGAGGGGGAGGAGAAGGTCGGCGAGGGGGTGTAGGACGCCGGCGGTCATCTCGCCCTTGGTCCCGCCCGCTACGGTCCCGATCCCTATCCCGATCATCGCGCCGTCCCATGTCCCTCCGCGGACTAGGGGATCGACGCGATTGAGGTGGTCCCCTATTCCCATACCCATTATCCCGCTGCTGCTCAAAGTTGCCGACTCGCCCGGGTGGCGGTCGATCGTCATACCGCCTCGGAGGGGGGATACGGGAATCGTATCCAGCATCTCCTTGGTTCCTCCGATCCCCATCGCGGCCGTAGCCTTGTCCTTGTACCTGTCGAGAGTCCTGCTTTGTGGTCAGCTGGTACTGGATAAGACCGTCCGCGAAAAAATAGCTCACTCCACGACGGTCATCAAACATTCCAGCAGCATTTGGTCGACCTGGCGGAATCATCGCGCCGACGCGCATCACGCTGCTGTCTGCTGGGGCAGGTTGCTGGCGAGACTGGATTTCGGCTTTTTTGGCAGCAAGGAACTGAAATGTCAGCTAGGCTTCGGTCCGCGAATGGTCTGGAGATAGAAGCTCACCGTAGCTGGAATACCGGTAGAAGAAGCCTGAGCTGAGAGCAAGAGCGTCCATAATTCCTCCATGAACGCCGCAGCACCATACTTGTCCATGAAACCCAACAGCGAGACTTGCAGCTTCTTCGGATCAGGCGTCTAGCACATCAGTATGATCCTCTTCACAGCGAGAGCGCAGACGTACACTCGACTCTTTGTCCTCCAGCAGACTAAAGACAAACTCGACGACGATATCATCATCCACCCGGATGAGCTCGACGACCTTTTTAGCGATCCATGGCTTCAACACCGAGATGTTGACTTTACGGAGATCGACCTGACTTGTCAGCTGGATTCCCGGTATGAACAATACACGTACTCTTTCGGAGAAGTTGGCAGGGAACTTGGTTGCCTTGATGGACGCAGCTTCCTTATCTTTGAACCGCTGTATGGTCAGGATCCATATCGCGTGAGGGAGGATTTGGGAATTACCGTATCCTGGCTGGCGTCGGTTCCTCTTAGACCTGAATGACCTGCCATATTTTGGAGTTGTAGGTGTGCTGACTATGGGCTAGCGCTAGTAGTCTATGAGGATAGCAGATATCTGCTGTGATGATGTAGAGGAAGGAGGAGAGAGGTCCAGTGGGCTGTGGGCGGGCGGGCTGGTTCTGCAGCAGCTGCAGCTGGTGCGTGCCTGATTCGGGTGGTTTACGTAATCTGTTTCCCGGCTGGCCTGCTGCAGCTGATGGATCCTCCACCAACCAAACGACCCTATTGATGGACCTCTCTATCAACCCTTCACCAGCCTATCCAACCAGATACAGTACCCATACGCGTCCAAGATGGAAAAGGTACAGCCCAAGAACACGCTGAACAGCTTGAAAGAGCTCTCGCCCGCCCAAGAATCGGATCGCGCCTCGCCATCACACACCCCAGATCTCGACCTTGATATACCCCCTCTCCCGACCGGCGGCTTTGGCTCCGACGCGGACGACGCGTCTGTAGAGAAGGAGACGCTTCGTCCTGACAGTCCGGTCGCATCTCCGGAAGGCAACATCGTGGCGGACCTGGTGGTAGCTCTGACGGCGGACAAGGATACCGCGCCTGTCGTTGAAGAGGTACCCATCACTGCTGGCCCGTCGGTGGGGGTGGAAGTACAGCAGGGTGGTCTGAGCGGGCTAGACCTCATGTCAAGGTCTAAGAGCTTAGAACCCATGGCATCCAGTAAGTTCGACTTTACACTGGGTCGCCATCAGGCCTGAGGCTGACCCTTCAGATCAAAGCTCTCCATTATCGGACCTTCCAAATCTACCTTCGCAGGACCCTCTCTCGCCGTCTTTCCGGCTGACCATGCTGACCGATATCCCAGACGGTCTTCCCGCCGAGTCCTCGGCTCAAGCTGGGAAACGGTCCAAGCTGGAAGCAGCCAAAATCGCAAGGGAGAAGAAGGCTCTGGCGAAATCGGAAAAGGCGCAGTTGAAGGCCAAAGAGAAGGCGGGGGCCAAGACGAAACCGAAGGCTCCTAAGAAGGGCAAGGAGCCTAAGGAGGCTATGGAGGCTGAGGAGGCTAAGGAGCCCAAAGAGAAAGAGAAGCAGGCAGAGCGAGAGGGGACCGTAGACAGTCTCCTAGAGATTGCCCAGCCCGTGAAGACACGCAATACACGCAGGAGGAAGAGGGGGGTGTCGGTCAATTCGCTCGTCGAGGATCCAGAGGCGGAGGAGAAGGCGGCGGCGAGGAAGAAACGAAAGTTGGCCAACAAGGCCGCTAAACGTGAGCTATCCCTTCTGACGCTCGAGTCCCGGCTGATGGTAGCAGCTCGACGTAAACTGAAAGCCCGCGCCCCAATCCTTACCGACGCCCAGCTCCGAGCCAATATGAAGGGCCAGACCCGCGAGGTCCAATCAGCCGCGTGTCACCGTACGCGGTATGCCAAGTGGGGCAAGTGTACGCAGTGCACCTCCAAGTCGGGCTGGGATTGCTGTCGATTCAAGGATTTCAGGGTCTTCCCGTAAGCTCTATACCCCGGCATATTTCGAGTTGGGGCTGAGCTGACGTATCAGGGTTGATAGCGAGACTGGAGATATAACCGGGCCTGGCTACTTTGAGTCTACCTCAACCATCGATAATCCGACATCTCTACCTGTGGACTTTACCGCGCCGCTACAGGAAGAAACACTTGAGCGGATCGACGTATGTTCATCCTGTTGAAATACAAGAGCTCCGCTTATATCCAGCGTATCGTCGCGCCTATTCTTCTACCCATGATCACCCGCGAGCTCCGACACGTCATCAACAAGAAGGCCATGACGCGCGCAATTGACTCGGCAATCGATCGATCATTCTGCGGTAAGCTCCTCTCTTACCTGCAAGCTTCCTGCTCTTCTGGCCACAGCTGACAAACCAGACTTTTGCTCCGGAACCATCTTTGCCGGCTCTTTCTTTTGCCGGAAATGCGGCCGAGACTATTGTCTCGAGTGCGAGCGCTACTTTTCGGAAAACCAGGAAGAGATGGATAAGAGCCCGTGGGAGCTGGACGTCGCTGCTCGGCCTAGACTACTGCGGTGTCTCCTGGACCCCGACGCGCAGGAGGCGAAGAAGGGGGAGGACCAGGAGGCGGACCGGGATAAGGATGAGCCGAAGATGCGGGATATCGCGTGGCATTTCCGCGGAGACCTGCAGCCGGTGTCGAGGTTTACGGAGAAGGAGTTGATGGGTCATTGGAAGGGGCTGCAGATGCTCGAGCTGGAGAAGGACAAGGACAAGGAGAAGGGCGAGGGCAAAGACGAGGGCAAAGGAAAGGGGAAGGAGAAGGCGACTGGAAATTCTGTCACTGCCGAATTGGGGACGGCAACCGCGGGGGACACGGTACATCGGCCTACTCGGTCTCAGAGCTCCGGCTCGGGTACGGGTCCTGCTGAGCCCACCGACAAGCCACCACCCCCTCCTTCCGTCGACATTGACAGCTTTTACAATGCCATCACCCGTCCTCCCGTCCCGCTTCCTCTCGACCCCGCGGACCTCCGACAACAGTCCCTCAAGATTATACGGATCACCACGGACGCTCTTGACAATCCCCTCTTTGACCGACTTTGGGCCAAGGGAGAGCCGATCGTCGTCGATGGTCTCCTAGAGAAGTTCAAGACGAGCTGGATTCCCGAAGAGATGATTGCTCGATTTGGCAATCAGAAGTGCGGTGAGCTTTCTCCTTTCACAGCTTGGTCTTGGGTTGCGGTACGAGGCAACAGGCTGATGTGGCAGATATCAATCAATGTGGGCCAGAAGGCGAGACGTGGCGCTCGACGGTCAAGAAGTTCTTTGAGGAGTACAAGGACGCGCATCGACGGGATCCCGAGGATATCTGGTGTATGAAGGTTAGTCCTCCCGCGCCTGGGCGTGGATCGTGCTGATCAGCAGGACTGGCCGCCGACGGACGATCTCAGCAAGACCCTGCCGGGGCTGTATGATGAGTTCTGCGAGGCGTTGCCTGTGCCGGATTATACGAGGCAGAATGGGTCGATGAACCTCTTTGCTCATGTGAGTTGACAGATCCCCGTCCTTGATCCGTGAAGCTGGGGTGGAGCTGATATATCAGTTCCCGCTCGGCCCGACTAAACCAGATATCGGACCGAAGATGTACAACGCCTTTGTAAGTCTTTCGAGCCGCGAGCGATATGAGGGTCGCGGAGCTGATCTTCAGGGTGGTGATGAGGGACCAGGCGGACACGGATCGACCAGGCTCCATATGGACGTAGCGGACGCCGTCAACATTATGCTGTACGCCTCGGACCTTTCCCAGAAGACGCCGACCGAGCCCCTCCCGGAATCTACGGGCTTAGCCATGGACGTCGATCCATCCCCATCCGGTCCCCCTCCTCCCACCGAGCCGACCGAGCCGACCGGGCCAACCGAGACTCCCCAAATCGCCAAGTCCTCGACCTTGCCTTCTTCTATATCTACCACCACGACCGGCGAGACCCTCATTCCTCAGACCCGCTCCCGCTCCAAATCCAATGCCACCACCGCCTCCTCGTCCAAATCCCTATCTCACTCGCCTACCACATCTCATCCCAAATCGAAGCCAAAACCCAAATCCACCAAGCCCGATAATTCCAACAAGCGCAAAAGTGGTCCTGAGGGCCAAGCTACGCCCCCCCGCCCCGGCTGTGCAGTATGGGACATCTTCCGCGCGGAGGACGCCGACAAGCTCCGCCAGTTCCTTATTGGCAAATTCGACCCCGCCGAGTTCAACTATACCGACCCGATCCACTCGCAGATGTTTTATCTGGATGCGGATCTGAGGAAGGAGCTGTGCGCAAAGAAGAAGGTGGCGAGTTTTAGGATCTATCAATATCCCGTGAGTTGCTTTCTCAGTTTCATCTGGATGAAGCAGAGGTTGAAGGGTTGAGCTAATGATACAGGGTCAGGCAGTGTTTATACCTGCGGGATGCGCGCATCAGGTCTGTAATTTGGCGGACTGTATCAAGATCGCGATGGATTTTGTCAGCCCCCGTGAGTTCCGTGCACATCTACCTGTGGCCGCGAGAGGGTGCTGATCAATCAGATAACATTGCTCGATGCCAGCAATTGACGCAAGATTTCCGGAAAGAGAATTTCGTCAATGTTTGGAAAGATGATGTGCTGCAGCTATACAACATCCTCTGGTAAGCTTGCGGATCCCCTCGTGCCGTATGGAGACTGAGCTGATCTTGTAGGTTCGCCTGGCTATCTTCGCGGGAGACTCGGGAACGGATCGAGAAGGAGACGCAGGCCAAAGAGCTGGACCACGCTACGACGCTCGCGGATCTCAGTACGGTCGGTTCGGGCCTCGTACCCACTGGTTCGATCGGACGCAGCATGACCAGTTCTGTACGGGACGATCCTGCTTCCCTTCCTTCCCCACTCCTACCACCTCCTCCACCTCCTTCATCGGCGCCACCCGCTCCCGACCAAGCTGCCGCCGGATCAGACGAAGCGGACCTCGACCGACTCCTTAGAGAAGCTCTGGCCGCTCCGGACCCGCCTCAGCCTGAAGAGTCCCGGCAAAAGGCATCCCGAGGCAAGAAGCGCCTGTGGTCCGGGTTTGCGAGTACTCGCCGGACGAGATCGTCGGTCGGTGCTGGCGTTGGCGGAGGTAGAGAGGCGTCGCCGTTGGTTTCGCTCACGGTTGGGGAAGTCCGGGCGAGATTGGGGTCAAAGAAGCAGAAGAAGGGGACGGAGGGGATGGAGGGGTCGGCGTTGGATGGGGCTATGGAGATTATTAAGGCGGAGATGGGGCAGGGAGGCGGTGAGGTGGAGGAGGATGGGATGAGGATGTGAAGGGCGTAGTCGATCGTGTCGTAGCGCCCGAGGAGGAGGCTGAAGAAATATTTGGCTGGCTAAATCTTGGACTGTTGTGTATCTATCTTGACATGCAGTAGAGATACCTGTACTCTATGTACCACCTGTATGCTTCACGCATGGTGCCCGCATCCCATTCTAGAATCTGGCACGAGCACTGTCTTCGCACGCGAGCAGTGGCTACTTGTTCAGCTTATTGCATACCCCTTACGAATATCTACCCCTACCCCTCCGACTCGCGGTCTGCTGGCAGAAGTCACATAGGCGATCGTCACTCGCCAGCGCCATACACTGACCCAGAATCTTGACAGCCCGAGGGAAGTCGAAAAAGAGGGATCGGTCGCCGTCCAGGAGATCCAGTTCAGGAGGCTGCTCCTCGTATATGTCAATTTGACACCGGCCATCACGCCAACGGCCGCTCTGCTGGTGCACACTTTGCCAGTCCTGGAAGCACTGCTCGACGGTGGTGAAAGCGGTCTTTCTGGCCTTTGAAGCATCCCGCAGCGCCTGTGTCTCGTCCGCAAGTTGGTTGAAGATGGCCTTCATGAAGTCCGCGCCCGCACATTGGCTGCACACAGACTCGCTCAGCCAAGTCCTGTACTTGACGTACCCCGACATTGTCTTGTCGAGCCCTTCGTTGTGCCCCTCCAAAGTCTCCCATAAACTCATGTGTTCCGCAATGTATGTCCTCAACTTCGCCTTCACATGAGGAGGTGCCGATTTGTAACAGGCACAGATCATACTTAGGCTGTCCAGGATCTTGTAGGTATCTGTCGAGTGTGCGGTGGCCATGTAATGAGCTTTGGCAGCAAGAGAAGGATGTTCGTATGGGATGGTGGAGAGACCGTACTTCGAGGTGGCAGCTGTATGGGACATTGTAGGAGTCTGGAGTCATGTGAGATCGGGGTATCCGTACTCAGCAACTGCTTTGTCGCGCAGTGGCGTCTTGTATGCTCGTGATCGACGTTTACGGGCTGCAGGAATCCGGGCTTGCGCGAGTAGCCTTGTCAAAGGCAAGTGTATGTGGAAGCGCGAAGACAAACTTCTTGACGAGCTAGGACAGGGAGTTTGAGGCCTCTCCAGCTTGTACAGTCGACATAGACACCCACTCGGCACGCGCCGGAGGCCAGGACCTGAACAAAAAGGAGCAGGATGAGGGTATACGTTTCAGCGCTGCGCCTCATTGCCCTCCTCCTTTCATCAATTAGACCATGGCTACCGTATGAAACGCCATATCCAGTCACGGTGCTAATGAAAGGAGACCGCGATGAGCTGATGCGATAATGGTGCCAACGTGCAGTGTGGCGGCAATTAGCCATCGTTGCGCATATACACTGCAACCAGTAGGTCCATCCGATCGTTTTTTAAGGGGAGCACTGAGCTGTCCGGGCATACATGAATAGTCTATACAACATGGTCTCGCACGACATCCAATCCTAACAGCTCCCTCCCGCCCCTTCCAGCCAGCCCTCGGTTCCTCTCCTAAACGACTGCCTTTCAAGAGTGCCTGATCACCGGTCTATAATCATGTCACGACACTGCTTCAAGACCCTATGAGCTTCAAAAAAGTCGAATGCGAGCGCAGTATCCGCCTCTTCCGTGATAATCTCCGAATCAAGCTTATCCGGTTGTTTCTTATATGTCTCCAAGAACTCCATGTTCTGACAGTAATGGTTTCCCCAGTCTTCATGGTCCGTGGCTCGTGCGGTCTTCCAAATAAGGAACGACTCGTCAATTGAGTCCAGCGCGATCCTTCGTTCTGTCTCGAGCACGATGAGCGCGGCCAGCTCTCTCTCGATGAGCAGGAGGTCGCCGGCGGCTTCCGTCTCGGTGAGGAGATGAGCTTCCCGACGTAAGCGAGAGTGGACTGTCAGATAGTGCTCGAAAGTCGTCTTGATCTTCTTGGTATGGCTTGTAAGACAAACGCGCTCGCTTTCGCGTTTCGCAATGAGGTCCAGAAGCGCTTCCGCGCTCGGTAGAGTCGCCTTGCAGCTGCAAGTGAGCTTCAGGTCTCTGAGGATGTTGTACGTCTCGAGGTAAAGGGCGTTCTTCCAAAACGCACTGTATGCAACATCGGAAAGGGAGTCGAATGGGGTCTTGGAGTAAGGGGTGATCGTTTTGTCGGCCAACATGATGATGACTGTCCTCTCTGAACTCCCCAGATTGTTGAGATCGCGTCAGGTCAAGTAACGGTTGTCGATGAGAGGTACTGATAGGGAATAGTGACGCTGTACCTGGTCCTCGATGATATAGGCAGACGGGGCCCGCTATCTAGCTCAGTGACAGGGAGACGCATGAGGCACGGTCAGGTCCCACACGGCAACTATATCGTCAAAGGATCACAGATCTAGGAGTCCCTCGTTTGGGCTCTGGGCCTCATTGCTTTATCCTTTCAAGCTTTTCTGGTCTGAGACATCAGAATACCAAGACTCAGGCGTGTCAACGGAGTGATCTCGACTGGACGCTGATGGACACCCTGAGCGCCTAAAAACGCCTATCACACCTCGAACACTCCACTACAGGGCCAGAAATTGCAAGGATCCCTCAAATGTTGTGCTTCCTCAGCCCTCATGCGCGTACACGACGATCGTCTTCAACTTCAGTCACAATATGGCGCTGCGTTCAACGAAAGTGGCAGTGGCGGAGAAGCACTGCCACATTCGCCACCCACCACGTGGAGAGGATCACAAGTCCGTGCCTGATTACGGCACGCCTAAAATGTTGCGACCAGCTCTTGACCCACTGCTGCATGAGTGACCGTCATCATTAACATACCACAAGCAGACAGTATGGCCAACAGCAGAGCAGGCAAGCCCTCATCGCGCCCGGCGCCTACATCTTTTGACAAGGACGAAGAGGAATTGCAGCTCGAGCAGCAGCTCTTTGGCCAGCGCAAGAAGCGGAAGATTGCGAAGAAGAGCAACGGTGCCAATGGCGCTGCGGATGAAGAGGAGACCGGCCTGAAGAATGTGACAGATCGAGACGTGAGCGTGATGTGCCGATAGATTCCAAGGCTATGGCTGATGGGACTCAGCTCTTCATGATCGATGCGCCGGTCGCAAGCGGGTCAAGTTCGAGCTCTGCGAGCGAGTCCGAGGATGGAGAGGAGTCCGAAGACTCCGAGGATGAGCAGGAGCAAGAGAGCAACGACGAGGAGGATGGCGAGGTGGACGGGGAGAATGCCCCGAGTGATACTGGGAGCGAAAGCGGAGGCGAGGAGGAAGACAGCGAGGAAGGAGGCGAATCAGGCGAGGAGGATGTGGATATCATCCTTCCGGATGACCAGTACGACGTCGACGCCGAGGCGGCCGACCGGAAGAAGGTCAAGGCACCATCGAAGCCGTCAGCGTGGCAAGATCCAACGGACGAGCTCATCGGGCTGGACCTCAACGAGATCAGGCGGCTGAAGAAGCTCGCAAGGGGAAAGTCGAACTCGAAAGTTGGAGGCGCAGAGCTGGAGAAGCGGCTTCGAGAACAGTGAGCTCTCTAACTCCTCTCTCGAACGTCAGAGCAGTGGCATAGCTGACCATCAGATTCGAGCGATTACATCCCAGACCCGACTGGGCTAATGGCCGAATCCGCACTGGCGTGCCCTCCCTCTCCTCCCTTTTCTCATCCACCAAATCCTTCATCGACGCGACCACTGCCATGGCTGGAAGCTCGCGGCCACCTTTACCTCAAGGTAAGGTCGAGCTGCAGCGATTGCGGAATGCCAATCAGGCCAACCCTACGACGGGCAAGCGGGAGGCGCAGAATGGCGGAAGCGGAGTGACCGACTTTGTTTGGCATCCTAGTGCGCGAGTACCGGTCGGCGTCGTATGTGGCGGCGACAGGAGAATACGCTTCTTCAACGTGAGTTTGGTCTTTCAGATTGGACCCGAGTCAAGCTGATCCTCAGATTGACGGCCATACCAACCCTACCCTTCTCACCCTCCATATACCCGCTCTTCCCCTTACGAAAACCACCTTCCACCCCTCCGGCTCGTCTCTGCTCATCACCGGCACTCGACCATACTACTACACCTACGACCTGGCGTCACAAAAGTGCCTGCGCTCGCCCCGGAACCTCTTCGGTTCCAGCCCGTCCGCCTCTGCGCCACAATCGCTCACCAAGCACGCATTCTCGCCTGATGGATCACTCCTGGCGGTTGCGGGACGCCGAGGCGCAGTCAGCATTCTGGATTGGTCTACTTCGGGAACCGGAGCAGTGGTGGCGGAGCTGAAGGGCGGTCGCGGGGGCAAGACGGCGGATCTGGTTTGGGGGTCTGATGGAAGGGAGCTGGAAATACTGGGTGGGCGGGACGGGGCGGAGGTGGAGGTGTGGAATGTCGGCGAGAGGAAGATTGTCAGGAAGTGGGGAGATGATCGGGCATACGGAGGAGAGATACTGAGAAGGAGTAGAGGCGGGGACTATACGGCTATTGGGTGAGTAGCCCATCTTCCTTCCCGATTGCATCAGCTGACCTAGTAGCTCCTCAACCGGTATCATCAACCTCTACTCATCATCGTCACTCACCGCCTCCCGTACCAAGTCGCACGACGCCAATACTGTCTCGACTCTCCAGCCCGAGCCTATCAAATCGTTGGGACACCTGACCACCTCCATCTGCGCTATCGACTTCCACCCGTCTGGCGAGATGATGGTAGGCGCGAGTACAGGAAAGCGGGATGCGCTGAAGATGGTGAGTCTCAGATTTGCTGCCCGACGGAGAGAGATCATGCTGACGGACAGTACCACTTGCCATCAGCGACGGCCTTCGGTAATTGGCCGACGCAGACGACATCGCTAGGAAGGGTGACGACTACGGCGTTCTCGACGAGCGGCGAATATCTTGCGGTGGGGAATCAGAAGGGCAATGTGCTGCTGTGGAGTCTTAAACACTTCAGTAGATGATGAAGCATGATATGCTCGTTCGGGCGAACATAACCCCTTCCGGCAGATTGTGCATCTTTGACCAGACGCGCGCTCTCCGTTTTTCTCGCCGGCGTCCAACCGAATGCTAATCCAGGAACTGACTACAACTCAAATCAAGGGCATCAGCTGACTCATCTGGCTCAGCCTCTTGCCTTCTCGGTCCGATACTCGTCTGCGTGTGCCTGCACGAGCCACCTGACTGACCGCTAAATCAGCATAGCAGGATATTGTCAGGCGTAGCTGAGACATGCATAACAGTAAGGCATTCGGGCGCTCATACGTCTTCCACATCGACGTCTCGGCTGAAGACTTGCGCCAAAAGTGTGTCACGGGCAGCCTTCTCGACCTGCTGCTTCTGATATAGCAGCCATCCCTCGTTGGTCATTCCGCGACACCAACCCAAGGAGCGGGTTGTCTCACCTGGAGCCTTCACCTCTGTGCCAGCCTCCTCCGCCTCCGATTTCTCTTGGATCGCCGCTGCCTCCTTCGCCTCAGACTCAGTGGCAAACCCAGGACAGAAAGATTTGCACTTTCTGACTCCTGCGGTCTGACCAAAACGAGTTGCATGATGGACCGGGGTCTCGACCCAACCTGATCTGTTGGCTGTCACAGTCAGCCGACCTTCCTCATCTCTGGTCCTGCGAAATCCGATGCACCGTTGGCGGATGACGTCGCAGGGCTCGTATGTCTCGCCAGCGCCATGGAGGCTCGTGGATCCGATAGGAAGGCAACGGAGCGTATCCATGTACGTGCAGAGGCCGACACCCGGGTCAGGAAGGAGGATCTTGGTGTTGGTGTGATCGCCTCTCATCGCCAGTCCACCGTAGACGTATGTGGTAAGCGGGTCCTTGTTTCTGTCGTCGTGCTCCGTAACAAGAACCAAGTGGGTATTGCCGTCATCGGGAAGCCATTTGTCGAAGCGATAACCGAAGTCATGCTGCTGAGTTTCTGCGAGGTCCTTGGAATCGTAGCCGGTGGTTTGCGGGTCGCCGAACTGAACGCAGAAAAGGGAGCGTAGAGATTGGGCCGCTTCTTGGTATCCATGATCCAGAGAATGGGACGGCGAATCTCCGTGAGCTCTTCCGTAGACGGGGTATCGACGTGCGGCATGGATGCTGGGTTCTGAGCTGCATCGCTGTGGGTAAGGGACATTTGTCCGAGCTTGTCTTCCAATGAGGACATGATGAACGGGAATAAGCGGGGTGCAGCTTGCTGAGTGGAGGAGGAGAATGATGTACAGTCTCGAAAGTGTGAGCGCGCCTGGTGGCGAGTCTCCACTGCGTGAACCCAGAACGGATTCCGCTCGTTGGCGAACTCCGACAAGACACGAGCAGTCCTCCAACTGGCTGAAAGGATGTCTTCCTGTACATTGAGCCATCAGCAGGTGCGGAGACGGCGGGCGCAGTCAGCTGAAACGCTTTACTTGACCAAATCACGCCTTTGGCCTTCGAGGAAGCCTCAGCACGAGAGTGGGGGACCTCGATCATGGCGGGGAGCGAATACGCTGTACAGCCCATTGTCCTATACGACGTGCCTCCACATAGCTGGGAATCGGCGGGGCCGACAGGTCCCGCGCGTCCCGATGTACCTACTCAGGCCGGCCGAGCGCTTTTTCATCGGTGTGATCAGGACGAAACTACGTGTTCAGTACCTCGATCGCCTTTTCTCGTCCACTCGGCGTCGCGGGCGGATGTAATGTATCTGAGGATCCCGCCACGCGTTGATGGCCTGTCCCACTGGTGAAAGGCGATCCCGAGTTCTCCTTTGTACCGATCTGGGGTACTAGGCCGCCCTATACCCCTCAGTGGCGGCGATCTGGTCTTGATCTACCCTAAGCAAAGTGCTCCGGGGTTTAATTCCTCTATCGAACGCTGGTCGACAATATGGAGTGCTTCGGCTGTGAGCAGGATAAGAACTGAGGTACTGAGAAGCCGACCTGGATCACACGATTGAATAAGTGCTAAGCGACAGTAAGTGACTCACGGCGTTTCTTGACATCTGATTGGCGGGGGCTTTAAGGATGATACATCACTCCTGTAGTTCTCATAGCTACTCATGACCTTCCACATCCGCGATCCGCTGCCCAGCCACAACATCGCCATTGGCTCGCGTCGCTTTGCTGGCCTCAGCGCGTGCCGCTGCAAACAAGCGCCCGGACTGTTGCATGTCCTCCCCCACTTTCAGCTCGAGATTCTCGATCGATGTCACCCACCTCCGCTCTGCGCACAAATCGGCATTGCTCGGGACTTTGGCTGCCGTTGCACACACACTGACACAGGCGCTGCGTAAGCAGGACAGAAGAAGGAGCACCTGATCTTGCCGTCTTTGGTGAGGTGGCTGACTTTGACAGTTTCCCAGGGACTGCACATGCTCTCATCCGTCCAGATGGACAAACAACCGTCGTCGCTGGTCACGAGAATCTTATGACGCCGTTTGATCTCCTCTTCGACCAACAGTTCTTCTCCGGTGCAGATCTTGAGGACGGACGGCTCCCGAAGATTCGCCAAGAAGATTGACAGCGACTCCGTTGGCGGCTCTTTGAGGTCTTCCCCCAAGGTGAACTCGCTGTCTCCCTCCACTGTGTCTCCACTGAAGATGTCCGTCCTGATCAGTCCACCGCCCCACACAATCTAGGTGACCTTGTACACTGTGTCAGGTTCCGCGTATTCGCTGAACGCTTGCTCGAAGGCGGCATCACGCATGGCTGTGAGTGCACCGTCAGCATTGCGGCTTTCCGACGGCTCGAGGAAGCTGTAGACGATCAGGGGAGTGGACTCAGACGGCTTCACATCCGGACGGATGACAGAGCACTTGCTCTCGACTTCTTCATCATTGTACATGGCGTAGTTGTGTCGTAAGTGGCGAATGTCCTGGCGTGGGTAGGGCTGGGCCACTCAGTGGGATAACGTTTCTATACCTGGAATCCAGAGCGGAGTGTCAAACATGATGAGCAGGTCGGTCTCGACTGTACAGTGAGCAGGCAGCATGAGCCTTCGATGACACATGTCACGCCTTGAGACGGGCGAGAACTCATCTGTGGGGCCTGCAAAGGAGCGAAGGGATCTGACGGAGCGAGCGGGAAGACTCGCCGATTTACGTTCTCGCCTGACTGAGACAGAGCGAGTATACGAGCACAAAGGGCCACGAGCTATAGCGAAAGTGGCGAAAGTGCGAGATGGCCAGTACTGCATGATTGGTCCAAGCGGCACAGTTGTGACCTGAGCGGGGAAGTGGCGACAGGCTAAGATTGACTTCGTCGAAGCTGTAAGTCCGCTGCGCATCAACTCGACACCTTATCACTGTTCGGTAGTAGTTGACAGGGACCCTGTGGGACATTGCAAGATACACACTCGCGAGAGCCCTATACGTGAGTAGTGAGAAGCCCGGTGTTTTCTCCATGCGGTCCGATATAACACCTCCTACATGTCTTCCAAGATGTCCCAAGATCCCATCACGCCCTCATCTTCCCCTTACCCGCCCACTTCGCCGGCCGCCCACCGCCCGACCTCGCAGCCTGCCTCGCCGTCCCTAGCGCCACATTCTCGTACCCCTTCAACGGCGGCTGAGCCAGCAACCACCTCTTTGCCTTTGCCCCAATCCCCGCCGCTTGCGCCTCTAGAAACGCCGTATGCGTCTCGGACGTGAGATCCGGGAAGAGCTGTACCGGCTGCCCCGGATCTTCGATCTCCCTCTGCACCACCTCTCGTGCAGTCCCCAGGGTCCCGCCCGTCTTTTCCAGCACCTCCGCAATATCCAGACTCTCGCCCGCCGGGATAGGCGTAGGATGGCTGGGCGTCTCGCATGTCATAAACACCTCTTTCCGGAGTACATGGTCGACATCTACCGCCGAAAAGAATGCGACGCCCTGGGGTACATCGCTGATTCCCAGGTTGAAGCAGAAGAGGGCGCGCGTCCATGCATTGGCGATTTGGAGGGCGAGGGCACAGCGATACCGGTCCTCCTCTTTGGCGAGGTACCGGACCTCGTCGTGCACCGAGATGAGGTATCGCGCCGAGATATTGTAGGTTTTGAGTAGGTATTCCATCGAGACGATGAGGAGATGGAGGTAGTCTACGCCCGAGGACTGGACGACCCAGTTTATACGTGAGGGGAGATAAGAGGAGCTTTCCTCAAGATACGACTTTCGTAGGGCACGGGTGACGCCGCATCCGAGCGCAGGAGTGGTAGGTCTGTCGGAAAGGGCGATAGCTTCGAGCGTGTTGAAGAGGAAACTTTCTGACCCGCCGTACCAGATGGACGGGCGTACCGCGGGCGGCATAGTCAGGCCGCGATTCGCCTTGGTCCCCTTGGTAGCCTTGTACAGCTGCTTGGCACGTTCCGCCGCTGCCTCCTTGGTCAGGCTCGCATCTCCCTGGAGAAGCAGCTGGACCGCATGCTTCTGGCCCGCTCCGTAGATCCGCGAATAGTTGAAGACCTTGGCAGCATCCCGCGAGATACCCAGGATACTGGCCGTCTTGGAGTGAAGATCCGTTCCCGCCGATTTGGTCCCTTCGAGCGTCATCCACCCGATCGCCGTGGCGCCATGACACCCAAACTGGCTATCACCCATGACGGACGATATCCACAATTCCTCCGAGTCCACGTCGGCGCCGACGATAGCGTACCCCGGTGGCGCGCGGACCATCGCCTTGAGCTCTGAGCCGACCCGGTTCTTCTTGGCATTGGCCGCGGTGAGCCAGGTCGACTCAACCGCCCGCCGAGTGACAGTCCCCATGGTGATCACCTGAGGGAGGATGATGCCCTGCGTCCGCGCCTCGTCCGCAAAGACGACCATTTGCTGCTTGATCCGCTCGCGCGATGACATCCAGTACGAGCACAGAACGTTCATGTTGGTAGCGTCCGCAGCGGCTTGACGGATGATGGTATTGTCACCTCCTACAGCGACCTCGGAAGCCATCTCGCCCGACTCGATCGCCTTGACAAAGGACTTGGATAGGGGATTGCCGACATTCTTGCCCTCGCCGTCCTTGTGTGGCAGGCGGCAGTAGATGTACTGGCTGGCGTCGAGTGTAGGGTGGTTCTCCGCCAGCTCCTTCCTCAAGGACGGGGAGGAGACTGCGCTGGACAACTGGGAGTCGTCCGCGGTGGATTTAGGGACTCGGTAGAGCCACTTGTGCTCCCGGCTGTGGATGAGGGGGTGATTTTGCCATTGTAAGCGGAGAAGAAGGGGAGCGACCGTCTTTTTGGTAGTGAGGTCGAGCTCGCCAAAGGGGATCTTGGAGCTGGTGGCCGGACCGGTGAGGTCCCAGTACCACTTGGGCCAGAACCCGAGCTGAGGCTTGACAGGAGTTTTCGACTTGCGAGCAGATTTTCGGGGCGATAGGGATGGGGTGGGATGGGAGGGACTGCCGGTTTCGGTGACCGAGGTGGAGCTATGAGCTGCCGGGTTAGTTCGACCCTCCTATAAACGCGCTCCGACGCTGTACTACTCACCGTTGGAATGATTGACCATCTCCCAATCCAGCTGAGAACCCCAGATATCCCCCTTCCCTAGCTTCTTCATATCCTCCACTGCCACCTTCAAGCCCTCCATGATCTCCGTCACCCCGTCCGCCTTATTCGAGACCAGCCTACCCAGCAGATCCGGATACACACTCGTCAACTCCCCTTTGCTAAGCAACCCCTTCATTCCCGGTCCCGTCAACTTGGTCTTCCTTGCCTCTTTCGGCCCGCCGACACGGAAGATCGCATACCCCTCGACGACGCTTTCGAGGTGCATATCTTTCGGACCGAGATGGGTCGGCTCGCCGTGCGCGTCGATGTAGTCGCCGAGGCGATCTTCGGGAACGAGGAAGCACCAAAGGTGTTCCCGGAGGTGTATGACGGGGTGTGATTTGTAAGAGAGGCGGAGGATGAGAGGGAGGAGATTGCGCTGGCCTTTATTGTCGACGAGAGAGGAGGGGTCGGTCTGGTAGGAACCGTACCAGGCGGGAAGGGCGTCGGAGGGTGGAGAAGGTGTAGCGGGTAATGCAGGTGGAGAGCCCTGTTCAGGCGGCGGAGGCACGGGATTGTCGGAGTCCGGTTCGGTCCACCGAGCCGACTTGGGTGTCCAATCCAGCTGTTCCGCCCACACATCCCCCTCGCGCTTTCCTTCTTTCCGCAACTTCTCCGCCAACACTCTCAGCGCCTTTCTGACCCCTTCATCCATCTCCATATACTTCTCCTCCGCCGCTTTGAGATACCGCTCCCAACTCTCATTAACTGGGAGGAACGAGCTCGCCATAGCCAACACGCCCGCAAAAGTCGCCGGATGGGGACAGGACGCCCTATACAGAGGCAGTACCTTCTTGTACACTTCGTGCGTCGTATGCACGTCACTAGCACAATAGGTCAAGAGCTTGTGTAGCTCCGGAACGAGCTGCGATGCGTGCGTAACCACATCGTCCCCGAACCGATCCCGGATGGACTTGTCGACCGGTATCTTGCAGTGAAGGGCCGCAACGTCCGCGAGTGAGTTGACAGCCGTAACGTCCTCCCAGCGATTATTCAGCGCTTCCATATCGCTCTCGCCGGATGATCCCCACTGAGAAAGGCTTTTCAGCATCTCCTCGTCCCCCTCCATCTCGGCCTCTTCAAGCAGGGCGGCATGCGCCTCCGACTCAAGCATGACCTTCTCCGCCTTGTTCTTCTTGTACTTGAGCCAAGCCGGACGCTGCACCGACGTGATCCCCCGGGTGGCGACATGGAGGGAGAGTGTGTCGAGCCACCGAGTTGCGGTCCGCGAGAGGTCGTACTCCTCCTTGACGCGCTGCCGGTCGTATCCTACATTATGACCGACGACGATGCGTTCGTGGTCACCGGAAAAGAGGGGAATGAGGTCGTGGCAATGCTGAGGGGGTGTACGGGTATCCCAGAATTCACGCTTCGTATCCGGTTCCGACGGGGGCGGCTCGAACAGCGTGGGACTAAGCCACGAGTACCACGCGTTCGGAGTAGCAGCAGTCGCCATGACGGGGTACGAAGAGAGCTTGTACAGCGTCTCGACGTCAAAGCAGACAATCTTCTCGTCCCCAAGGTCCGGGACGGCTGAGATTGACTCATCCCGGCCGTACCGCGTCCATCCCGCCCGCTTCATCTCCCATACCGCCGGCATCGGTGGGAGCTCCGCATTGACAAACTCCTCCGCTAGGCTTAGGTACGGTTCCGCCGTTTCCTGTCCCAGCGCGATAAAGTGTTCTCGGACGTTCCGACCGCGAAGGGGGGGCATCGTAAAGTTGATCTCGGGCAGGATGGCGGCACCTTCCGGAGAGAGCCCGTGAGTCCGAAGGTGATCTCTCGAGATGTTGAGAAGGCGGTCGGGTGGTTGTGGAAGACCCGGTCCGGGGAAGAGCTGGGAGTGCAGCGAGGGCGAGAGCAGTTGAACGCCGACTGCGTTTCGACGTATTTCCGCTTGACTGTCAGCAACGACCTCAGTACAGCACAGAAAGACTTACCCCTCTTCAAAGCTGTAGTACTTGACTCGGCATGTGGCGTCTCCTGCACCAATTCTTCCGGAATAGGCTGCTCCCTCGCCCCCGATGACAGCTGAGACGGTCCGGCTGCCGGTACTTCGATTGCATCACCAGTCTTCTTTGACTTCTTGAAAGACTTCGGATCGGACAGAGATGGCAGCTTCTTCCTTTGGGTCCGCTCTTCTACTGTCAGCTCAGTCAGTAGCAGGATCCGCTCTGCAAACATACTCGGTTTTGGCTTCTCCTCGATTTGGCTATCCTTGGCTTGTCCAGCCTCAAAGACAGCCGCAGCTTCCCCAAGGTCATCGCCTGCACGCCATTTTGGCAGCTGATACGACTGTAAAGTCTCCTCGTAGTCCAGCTCCTCTAGCCCTCTGCCTGCCATAGGGCGAAGGCGATCGTAGTCATCGGACCGCTGGTGTTTTCTCGGCGCCGGGAGGGTATAGGACCGTCCCGCTAGCTGCAATGGCGAAAAAATCAGACAAGGCCGACATCTTATACGCTGTGGACGTGTGAGCCTTGCGACGTCTAAGAAGCGGAGCATAGGGGTGATGTATGAGATGGAGACGGACATTAAAGAGCCATCTCTTTCGCAGCAGATGCATTTCCGCCTCCACTCTGGCTGAATGACGTAAGCAAACAAACACCTTATGACGCGCGCTCTGAAGGTCAACTCTTACTCTTCCCTTCGTACTTCATCCTTCTACTGCAACAAAGTATCCACTCAGCAGCTTCAGAGCCGACAGCTATGGGCTTCCTATCGTGGTTCTCAAAAGCCCCAGCACTCGACTACGAAACTGTTCTCTCCCGCTTGGCGAGTGACGTCCACGATGCCAAGGTCCACCTCTCCGAAATTCGGCTGCGCGAGAGGCGCATGGGCTTCTTGACCAACCTGTACGGATTGGGTCTGTGGGCGCTATGGCTGGGATTGTGGTGGATGAGGAGTATCCCCTTTGGACTGTTGGGATGGGACCATGATGGGCTGGAGGCGAAAGCTGTCGGTGCTGGAGGGATTATCGCCGGACCAGTGTTGTGAGTCCTTGGGCCAGCATTTCTCGGCAGCTACGATGCATTGTAGCCATGATGAACCCAACATGCTGACTATCCAGTATCTGGGGACTGAATAGGCTGGTACACCTGTACTTCAACCGTCAGAGGAACTTCGAAGGTGAGCTAATGCTTTAGGATCATTGGACGGCTCTGAGCGTCTATAGCTGACTCTCAGAAACTCACTTACGGAGGCTCCTCGCAGACCAGAAGAAACAGGTCGACGCAATCAAAAAGGCTACCAATTACGACTCTACTCGGAAGCTCATTGAGCAATACGACCTGCAAAATGGCTCGGGGCCGATGCCGATCGGATCGCCTATGAACAGCTCTCCATCTACTCCTTCGCGAAGGCAGCCGGAGACACCGACACCGGCGGGACGATCAGGAAAGGGTCAGCAAGCTGTGCTCCCGCCGGGGACGCCGCGAGCTCCTGGTCATCTTGTTGGAGCTGGAGGGACCCCAATGCAGCTGGGTAAGCTAGATGTCCCTGTTCTTTTTGCGGAACGGAACGAGCTTACATACATAGCTCTGGGTACCCCTATACCAGCTGGCATGAGCCCCGAGCAAGCCGCTATAATCCAGATGCAACAGGCCCAGGCTGTTCACCCCGTACTCCCGACACCAGAAAAGCGGTGGTACGACCGGGTTGTCGACTCGGTCCTAGGAGAAGACCCATGTAAGCTGACTGTCCACCTTCGTGGTGCGAAGAGCTGACACGTTGTAGCACAGGCCACTCAGAGCAAGTACGCGCTAGTCTGCGGCGAGTGCTTCAGGCACAACGGATTGGTTGGAAGCAAGTACGAGTGGGAAAGAATGCGTGAGTTTCATCTCTAGGGTCAACAGGTGATCTCCAGCTTGAGCTGACACATCCAGAATGGCTATGTCCAAGTACGTCGCTCGGCATATCTGGAATAGACGGGACAAGCTGATTCATCTAGGATGTAACCACATGAACCCCCCTCCACTCTCCCGCAACGCAGCCGGTAGTCTCGCTTCCGGTCCCGCTCAGTCCGCACCATCCGCAATCATCCCTCAGGCCTCTTCCACTCCGTCTCAGCTAGCCCGTCAAGCTGCATCGCCCCGACTGCGTCGACAGCCTACATCAGAGGCGGCGACCCCTCGATCCTCAAGATTACGGCAGGAGGTATTTTCGGCGGAAAGTCCGGACGGGGGCGAGAACGAGCGGGACATGGAGGTGGATGATAAGTAAGAGGTATCTGCATATAGCGCTAGACAGTAAGTGCGTTCTGACGGTGCTGGTCTTGCATCGAGCTGATCGAGTACAGGTACAGTACATCCTTAAGCATGCATAGGGAATGAAGCTCAACGGTATCCAAGCAACAGATCAGACTGCCTTGGACCGATATCACCCCGATGCGGCTCCGGGTCCCTGTGCGACGGGGCTGGTCGAGCTTGACAACGTCATTGTCGCTAATGCTACTCATCGCCGAGTACTGACGAACTACCGCTCATCGTACGGGCCGCCGAGTAGAGGCAACGGTAACGGCCCCAACCACCACTTATCAACTGATTATTCCCCCTCTACAGCAATGAGCTACCTGGTATATATGCCGCTCTCCCTATCTCTTCTCGATCCTTCACCCTACTCCCAGTCTCGTCTTCCACTCCACTCTTCCCACTTCGCTCTTCTTACAAGGCACTGGTTGCCCTTTTTTGCTCTTCTCTTCAAAACTCCAGCTCTACCTCTTCCTTGTCAACTCTTGCCAACTTTCCACCTCAAGATGCTTTACCTCATGAAACTGTTCGCCCTCCTCCCTCTCCTCGCCTCGATGGCCACGGAGAGCGGAGCTTCGCCGATCACCAAGCGGGAAGTACCCCAAGGTAAGCTTCGTTCTTCCATAGCTTTCGCAGCAAGCACAAAAGCTGATATGGTCAGAGCTGTCGCACAAGAAGTACCTCACTGCCACTCAGCAGAGTCTTCAGCTCAACAACCCCGACAAGATCCAGGATCCGTAAGTCCTTCCCTCCTCACTCGTTCCATCACCTCTCTATGACCCAGCTGACATCCAGTGTCTTTGGTCTCCTCGGTAACGCAGCCGCCGCCGCGGGCGCTGGGTCCATCACCAACCTCGACTGTCTCCAGCAAGCTACGGCCGACCAGGCATTCACCAACGCCAAGGCCGCCGGGGACGTCGATGGGATGACGGCCGCTTTGGTCTATCGGTCGATTGAGCGCAATACGGGTAAAGTAGGGTTGAAGAGTGTGACGTGTACCGAAGTGGCCAAGAATCCCGAGATTGGTAAGTTGTGTCCCGCTTGACTCTGTATATGGTATATGGTCGTACGGGCAAGGAGCTGACGATATAGCGGCGCTCAAGCAGCATCAGGATCCAGCTTCGGACGGCGCGGCGGCGGAGAACAAGGCGATCACGCTCGAGCTGGCTCGGCAGAGTGAGTCTTTCTTCCACCCTTCGTTCCATTCGCCATCACCCTCCTCTGCACCTCTACCCACTCTCGCTATCTCGTCTCCTCCTTTACATCCGAGCCTGTCCTATGTGAGAATTATGGCTGACCCCCAGTCGCGAGTGTGGGCGGAGACCCCTTGACTGCGCTGGACGCAGGCACCTTCAGCCCCGGAGACCTCAACGACAATACCGGTAAAGGCAACACGTGCGACGTCGCGGATGACGCAGAGGGATGTATCTTTACGCAGAATTTGCTCGTTCCTGTGAGTCTTCTCTTGTCTTCTTCTTCTAGCTTATGGGGACGGGGACGGGGCTGATGATCAGGACGCTACCGAGGCTGAGATCACTGCTGCCATCTCTGCTGGCGGTGGGGCCGCTGCCGCTCCTGCTGCCGGTAATGCCAACGCCAACGACGCTGCCGCCGGGAACGACAACGGTCAAGCCAAGGCCGGGAACGCCAACGCTGGTGGTGATGCGCAGGGAGATGCTGCTGCTGGTGGCGGCGCTGCTGCAGGGGGGGCTGGTGCAGCTGCTGGTGCGGCTGGTGGTCTTGATGTCGGGTCATGCAGTAAGTCCAGTTCTCCCTGTCCTCTTCTTTTACCCTACTCCTCATCCTCTTGTTCTATCCTCTTCGCAGCCATAGCTGACTCCTCAGCCGACTTCTCCATGACCTTCTCGGGCGGGAACGATGGTCGCGCCGCCACCGAATTCACCTTCATCCCGACCGACCGCGCTTCCTTCCCTCAAGCTTCGGCTCTCAACCCCAACATCATCACCAACGCCATGTGCGACGGCTTCGTCAATGGCTGTGCCAAGTCGGCGGCCACTCGGGATGCGTGCAAGGTCGTCGCGGCGGGTTTGAAGACACAGGAGGAGTCGGGGGCGTTGAAGCGGGATCCAGGGTTTGCGGAAGCTTGGTTGACTGAGGTATGTCCTTCTTCTTCTTGTCGTTGTTGTATGAGAGGGCAAAGGCTGATATCTTTAGTTGCAAGGCGCACTCGGGATTCAGTCGACCGGTCAAGGCTCGGCGGGCGGGGCCGGTGCTGCTGCTGCTGCCGGTGCTGCCGCGGATGGCGCCGACGCTGGTGCTGCTGCCGGTGGTGCGGAGGCGGATGCAGGGGCTGCGGCCGAGGCGGATGCTGGAGCTGGCGCGCAGGCGGACGCAGGTGCTGGAGTTGCTGCCGGTGCGGATGCTGGTGCTGGCGCTGCTGCGGGTGCCCAGGCTGGTGCCGGAGCAGCAGGTCTCGACGTGGGGTCATGCAGTAAGTTCCCTTCTCGTTACTTCCTCTACGATCCACTATCCCCAGCGCGTCTTCTGTCCTTTTACCCGGCTCCTGATCCTCTTTCTTGAGTGAGACATAGCTGACTTTACAGCCGACTTCTCGATGACCTTCTCGGGCGGAAACGACGGACGCGCAGCAACCGAGTTCACCTTCATCCCTACCGACCGCGCTTCCTTCCCTCAAGCTTCGGCGCTCAACCCCAACATCATCACCAACGCCATGTGCGACGGCTTCGTCAATGGCTGTGCCAAGTCGGCGGCCACTCGGGATGCGTGCAAGGTCGTCGCGGCGGGTTTAAAGGCACAGGAGGAGTCGGGGGCGTTGAAGCGGGATCAAGGGTTTGCGGATGCCTGGTTGACTGAGGTATGTTCTTCTCTGGTCATTGTCTGATAGGGTGATAGTAGCTTATATCATAGCTTCAAGGCGCGCTCGGTATCCAATCGACAGGTCAAGGCTCGGCGGGCGGTGCTGGGGCTGCTGCCGGTGCCGGTGCTGAGGCGGACGCAGGGGCTGTGGCCGAGGCGGATGCTGGAGCTGGCGCGCAGGTGGATGCAGGCGGTGGAGCTGCTGCCGATGCGGGCGCCGGCGCTGGCGCTGATGCTGGTGCTGACGCTGCTGCGGGTGCTCAGGCTGGTGCCGGAGCAGCAGGTGCAGCAGGTCTCGACGTGGGATCATGCAGTAAGTCTTGTTCTCTTCTCTCCCTCCACTATCTGTTAGACTCCTTCACGCATGACTTCCGTCTCCTCTTCCCCTTGTTTTTCAAGCATAGCTGACTTCTCAGCCGACTTCTCGATGACCGTTTCGGGCGGAAACGACGGACGCGCAGCAACCGAGTTCACCTTCATCCCTACCGACCGCGCTTCCTTCCCTCAAGCTTCGGCGCTCAACCCCAACATCATCACCAACGCCATGTGCGACGGGTTCGTCAACGGCTGCGCCAAGTCGGCTGCTACTCGGGATGCTGTAAGTACCTGCTTCTTCACCTGTCCTTACCCCTTCCAGTCTCTTCCCCCTGTCCCGCCTCTCCTGTCCACCACGAGGGGCCGAAGCTGACTTTGCAGTGCAAAGTAGTCGCCGCCGACCTCAAGACCAAGGAAGAGGCCGGTCAACTTAAACGGGACCAAGGTTTCGCCGACGCCTGGCTCACTGAGGTATGTCTCAATCTACTTTCACTGTCTTGTCCAGTAAACCGTCCTATCCCTGTCCTTCTGCCGTTCTCTCATCCCTCTTCCGGCGCCCGCTCATCAGCTTGTGATACTTCCGGACCAAGCTGACTCTCCCAGCTTCAAGCCGCCCTCGGAATCCAATCGACCGGTCAAGGATCCGCCGGTGCTGCCGGTGCTGCTGCCGGAGCCGCCGCTGCACCTCCCACCGCCGCCGGTCCCGGAGCCGCCGCTGGAGCTCAAGCTGGCGCCGCTGCCGCTGGTATGGGCAAAGCCAACGCTGGCGACAAGGCCGCCGGTGCCGCCGACAAGAAGAATGGTGTCAAGGGGGAAGCAGGGCCTGGGGCTAAGGGCAAGGCGGATGCTGGCGCTGGCGCTGGCGCTGATAAGGCGGACAAGGGCGAGGGAAAGGGGAAGGGCGGAGCTGGCAACAACGACAACGCCAACAATGACAAAGCCGGTGCGAAAGTCGACAAGGTCGCCGCGGACGCTCAAGCCCAAGCTGCCGGTAATGCGATGATGGGTCACGCCGCCGCCGCCCCTGCACCACCGGCCGCTGCTCCCGTCGCCGTCGCCGCCATGATGGGCCACGCTCAGGTCGCCCCTCCTGCGGCTGCCGCCCCTGCTGCCGTCATGGTTGACAAGATCGCAGCCCCTGCTGCAGCTGCTCCTGCGGGCAATGTGAGTTTTTCTCTCCTTTCACCTTCATTCCTCTCGGCCAGGATGACAGCTGAATGTGATAGGCCGCCGCCGGCGGGAACGTCCAGACCTTCACTGGTGCGCTCAACGGCGCTGCTGCCCCGCCCGTCGTCCAATCTGCTGGTAATCGCCGTAAGTCATCTCCTCTCCCTTGCTTTGACCAATGAGCTGATGGTGATTAGCCTTCTCGGTCAACGGCAATACCTTCCAGAACATCGGAGCGGCCATCAACCGGTCCTGCGCGATTCAGCACAACGCCTGGTATGTCTTCTTCTCTCCCCTTCCCCCACCTCCTTCGCTGCATGCCCCCATATGGACATAGCGCTGACACCTCAGCGGAACTGCTTTCAACACCGGCAAGGGGACTTCCAACGTTGCCACTTGTGACGCCCAGGAGAAGTGAGTTTCCTTTCCCACATCTCTCGGTGTTCCGGTCGAGGGTGAAGCTGATATGACAGGGAATGTCTTGCTGCAGGTGCTGGCGCGGGCGCTAAGCGGTCGAGGGTGTTTAGGGCTTAGCTTACTGGTTCTGCTCACGCGCAAAGTAGATAGCTAGCTAGGAAACCCAAATGAGATCAGAAGTGAGATGTATCGATATGCGTATGAACTCTGAGTACTCTGAGTGCTGGTGACTTGGCTCTGAATCGATGGATCTCTTGCTCAGTAGCCGCTTTGTAGCAGCTTGGCCCTCGACATCGTGAAGACGATATCAAAAGACATCTAGGACAAGATCGTGCATGCAAGAAGACCATCACTCTTATACAGCAGTTGGAGCTCCAAGAGATCACCCGAACCGCGCAAGTGCCCCAGACTCCTTGACGATCTCCCCGTTGGCGATCTTGCGCTTCTCCTCCTCTGCTCTGGCTTGCGAAGCAACCTTCTGCCTGAGTGCGATCTGCATATATCAGCTCTTTGCTCCTGACCAGAGACAACTTCTGGCGGAAAGCCAGCTCACCGTCGTATTATCCACCACATTCTTCTTCTTCTTCTCGAGATACCTCGCCATACTCTTCCCTTTACCCCTCATCTTCTTCTTCTTCTTCTTTTCTGGCTCGTCCCCTCCCTTCCCACCCTCGTCATCATCCTCACTACTCTCCCTCCCCGCCAGATCCCCCTCCGGATCGACCCCTCCCTCGCGCAACCGCTCCATCCTCCCTTTCTGGCGATAACTCCTCGCCTCCTTCTCTGCATAGCTCTGCGGCTGCTCTTCCCGCACCTTGCCGAGATACTCCGTATCCATCGTAATAAGCTCCGGGCGGATCTTCTCCAGTACGCCCCGAACTTCCCTCTCTCTCCGTCGAGTGTGAGACTCAAAGACGTCCGCTTCTGCCGAATCAAAGTTGGCCTCTCCGGAGCCGGGGACGAGGAGGGACGAGATCCCGCGTGCATGGCCGACGGCTAGGATATCGTCGAATGGGCAGAACTTGATGCTGTCGGCGGAAAGGGAAGGGAGGGGGAGTGTGAGGTAAGGAGTGGTCGTCTCGTCCCTGAAGACCGAGACTCCGCTTTTCCCACCGACAGCGAGCATCCCTCGTCCAGAGTAGGAGAGGGAAATGGGATTGTTCCGCATGGAGAAAGAACGAAGCTCTTTTCCCCACATCCGCCCATCCCAGATCTTGATCTGCCCGTCGAGACCGGCTGTAGCGGTGTACCGGCCGGCAGAGGATTCACTCGGATCCGAGGCAATGGCGACGACTGGTCCTCGGTGCGCTAGGAGCTTGACGTGCGCGGATGTTTGATTGGGGGACCAGAGTGTCATGGTGCCGTTGGAGTGACCGAGGTGTATTATGCCAGAGTGGGAGTTTTGGGCCATGGTGGATGGGGAGCCGAGGTGGGTGGGTATTTGGGTGAGCATGACGCCAGTGGAGACGTCGTGGTATTTGAGCCATCCGGCGTGGCCGACCGATGTGAGGAGGTAGTGGTAGGGAAGGTATTCGAGGTGGGTGGGGTCCATGTGCTGCTTGAGCTTGCTACGGGAATCAGCCTGGTCCTCTTGGAGCTGGGATGGGTGTCAAGGCTTACTGCAGCTCTACACCGTTTTGATCGTAGACAAAGACATATTTCTTCTGAGCGACGGCATAGAACGACTCGGACTGAAGGAATTTGATCGCTCTGACGCTTTCCCGAAGTTGGATCTCAGAGTGCAGCCGGCCAGCTTGCCAGTCGAATGTCGCTACGTGCCCCTTGGACGATGCTATAGCTATATGTCTGATGATGAGCTTGGCTCCTGCTTGTGGTATATCCTCATAGCTCACCTTCCGTTCCGCGTATAGTCCACCTTGTAGCTCCCCATATCCTCAAACTTCAGATCAAATCGCTTCGACCCGCTCGCCACTCCTACTTCCTTGACAATCTCCTCCTGGCCCACCCGCCACGTCCTCTCCCCTTGATCCTCATCCACCTCAATACCTCCCAGTCCACCCGCCATTGGCGCATTCAGCCACTCATTCACCTCCGCCCGCTCCTTCTGCGCCCGCTTGTTCGATACATCCGTCCTTGCCACCCTCGCGCGGAGCTTCTTGTCTCCTATCCGCGCAACAATTTTGTTGGCTTGGAGAGCTGGCTCCGCCGAGCCAGAAGCTAGGTTGTTTGTACCGAATGCAGAGGGGGTGCGGGTGTTGTCGAGGATGGAATAGAGGGAGGGGTCGATCTTTTCGTCCCCGTACTGAGTGTTCTTGTGCGCTGGGGCGGTAGAGCGCGCTGAAGGCTTCATACGGCGCTTCTTGCCGGGATTGAGGGGGCCTGCGGAGGCTAGGAGGGCGTCCATATTGGGCTTTGGTGCTGATAAGGGTAAGGTGGCCAGAGCAGGAAGAAGTTGGAGACAGCTCTATCAGAATTTTGGGCAATTACGGCATGTCATGCGGGGACTCCAGGCCAGATTGGTCAACAGAAGATGGACAGGAAGAATGGTCGTTGCGCTGCCCAACCGTCCGCATCCCCATCTGGCGCACATCGAGGGACTCCGATAGTGCTGCAAGGAACTTCCATGGCTTGCTATCGGGACAGTAGTGAGCGAGATGTAAGACGGCATGGCAATGGCCTTCCCACCGCGCTCATCCCTGCTGGTTTCGCACAACCATCGTCCATTAATGACACTGTCTGGAGGGCTTTCCTCTGTCTTTCTCCTTTGATCTATCCTGACTCACGATACCTAGCAGCGCTACTTAGGGAGCATGTAGTCATTTGCGGAAGGGGGGGCCGCGGTACCGCCTCGCGTGACGAGTGGATACCGTATACCACGGACAGACCTTTTTTCCAGTTGCCGGGACAGACCCTTTTGCCTCACACGCTATGGCGGAATCCGCCTCCAAGGCACTCCCGTATAGCATAGGCAAAACAGGGCTTCTGACGACCACCTCGGCGAGGACACAGAGACGAAGGTGGTCATGGTAGGTGGAGGCATGTATGACGTGGCTTTTAGCCGGAACCGCAACCCACATTCCTTCGCGTGTTGACAAGCTTCGCGCTGAGCCAAGCCAAAAGTTCCTGTCGCGTCCACTCACCTTCTTATAGCGACACCATGTCCGTCCAACAACGTCCCATAGCTCCATTACCTCAAGGAGCGATGGCGCAGCAGCCACATCGAGCACCCAGCTATATCCCCTCAGCCCGGCAGATCGAGCCCGGACCCAAGAACCCCCTCTTCCTCGCCCTCCGTTCCACCCTTCCCGAGGAGGTCGACTGGGCTCTCCCCCGGCTCATCGTAGCGACCTACGACCATCCAGACCGATTCCAGCTCGACAAGTTCATCGACGCTATCCCCGCGCTGCTGGAGTATCCGCTTCTATGGCTGGACGAGCTCGAGCGTGGCGCGGCATTAGCCCAAGCGCGGCGGGAAGGACGGTTTGGGTTCGTGGGCGAGTGGGCGGTGGATAGGGATACGGAGGACCGGGCGATCAACTCGCTGCTTGTTCTTCGGAACGCGAGCATCGGCTCGGCAGGGCACAATGCCAAGCTGGTAGGCGGAAGCAAGGCCTTTACGGGGTTTCTGACTCGCTTGTTCGCCCTACCGGTAAAATACCTGCTGGACGAGGTGCTCCTCAGCTCACCGGAGCCAATACAGCACGTCCTCAACATCCTGCAAGCTACTCTGCCGTACCTGCCGCCCTCTCCAGCTATGCTCGACATCCTCAGCTCTACACTCCCCACTATCCTCATTCACACACGCGACCTAACGATTCTTCACCTCATCCTCCCCCTCCTCATTTCCGCCCTCCTCATTCCTTCACTCCCACCACTCCCACCCGCACTTACGTCTCACCTCGTACTCCTCCTCTCACTCTCGCCCCCTCCGTCCATCCTTGACCTCACCCTCGACCTCCTCATTTCTCTCACCGTCGCGCCAGGCCCGGCGCGCCTCATCCTCGCTTCGCCCAGCATCTCGGCGCACCTCCGGCATATGATGCGGCTCCTGGAGCATGGCGCTCGGCAGACATCCGCGAGCTTCGAGCCCCTCACGTGGACACAGGGAGGTATGGCGCGTAATCCAGCGTCAACTACCTGGGCGACAGAGGAAGCAAGCAAGAAGCGCACGAAGGAGCGGGAAGAAGCGCAGCGCTTGATCGAGGTGTATGGACCGATGGCGGTCGTAGGAGATGTAGGAGATAGGCCACCACCACTAGGCGAGGCCCTCAAGGCGAAGCTGTACAAGATGAAGGAGCCACAGCGGAGTATCACATGGTGAGCTCGCTGTAACATCGCTAGATATCGCGCAACAGCTGACATATCAGGATGCACGAATCCTTCATCTACTCGTCGACATCCCAGCTTGCCCAAGTGACCTTCTGGCACTCCTATCGCGACTTCTTCTCCCCTCAGCAGGTCACCGAGCAACTCTTGAGCGCGTCGGAGGTGATCAAGAACGTCACCGTCGCGTTTCCTGGCGCGGCCGCCAAGGTGTGGGTGGACGATACAGGGAACCAGCGCTTCGTGATTGCCGGTATGGGATACCGGAAGTCCCTAGGTCGGTCATACCCTCACTTACCTCTTGAACTCGTGCTGATCCCATAGACGAGCTAGACAAATACGCCTGTAAATGGAAATCCTGCCCTTCTCCCTCCGGCCCAACCAACCCCGCCCAACTCGTTTCGCACCTCCAACAAACACACCTCTCCTCCCCTCTCCCTACCGCTTGCGCATGGGCCACCTGCACCCATTCCCCATGCACAACGTCCCATCTCCTCACGCATCTCCCCCTTCCCCGCCAGCGCTCTGTACCCGATATGGTACTGTCCAATCCCAACTCAGCCGCCTGGCTCTCTGCGCCCAATATCACCCGACGGTCCCCGCCCCGTCTCCCCTCGACGTACAAGTTACACTTTACGGCCTTCTCCACGCCGACGGATCCACGGAACAGACATCCGATGGGCGTGGCGTTCCTGGCGGCGCTGTTAGTGCGGAATCTGGCCAAGGTGTTGAGAGCGGAGATTGGGAGTGCGGCGCCAGTGGAAGACGAGGGGGAAGAGGGTGGGGATAGGAAGAGGAGGAAGAAGGATGAAAAGTTTGGATTGCCCATCCCGGATATTGTCCTGAAAGAGGAGGAAGAAGAGGAGAGGGCGGCCAAAGGAGCAGAAGAGGATGTTTCGGAGGGCAAGTTGAACTGGGAGGAGAGGGAACGCGCGAGAATGGCGTTTGAGGGGCTGGAGGAGAGGTTGGGGGAGGTGTTGGCGGGGAATCTCAGTGGGTTGGGGCAGTATCTCGGCGAGGCATGGGGGTGGTAGCGGAAACCAAAGTTAGATGATCCCATGAGATCTCGTTAATCAGCGATGCTCTCACTCTTCGGCCTTGACGCTGTGGGCGGCGCCTGTCACGGCCAGCTACGACGGCGAGCCAGCTGAGCCCTGTTCGACTTCGGAGCTTCGGAGCTTCCAAGGCTGCAGGCCAAGTCAAGATTAGGCTATGCATACCTCTGCCAAAATTATGTCCGACCACGTTGTTGAGGGAGGGAAGCGAGGGGATTACGTATGATAGAGGTTGAGGTGGAGCTGACCGCCGAAGGGCTGCTGGCAAGTGAAGAGGAGTCGATAGGGGGATCGGATAGGTTGTGGACACTGCTATCTTGTCGAAGGGATAGTTCGAGTCGAAGGCGATGCCACTGAGCGGGGCTATCTATCTACTGCATAGGTGTGTGTGTGTCTATCTATAGCTAGTAGTGATATGTACCTCTATGTACGCTCCCTCACAGGCACTCCCTTGAAGGTGGCACTGCACCTGACACGCACGGACATACTCGACACGGCTGGATAACCCAAAGAGGCAATTTCCTAATCACTCCTGATCTCCCACTACAAATCCCCCAAACTCTAGCTGATTAGCCCTCTAATCGCCTCTCAACCGTCCTATCCCGCTGTGGGAGATCAGCACCATAGACCTGACCCGCCGCAGTTCCATACGAACATCCCGACGCTCAACTGCCTACGCAGTAGCACCCAGAACATGGGATGCCTTTTGATCCTATCGCCTTGATTCGCCAACCTCTCAGAATAGACAAACGAACCGCACACCCGACAATGTCGGCCACAGGAGCTCTACTCCCTCCACCTATCCCGCAGATTGTGGATCCAACATTGCCCGTTGCGAGAACACCGATTTAAGCGATAGCGAGTATCCCAGTTGTTGTTTTGTTGGTTTTGGTTTTGGCTTTTGATAGTTGTGAGTTGGACACTTCTCCAAAGATATACCCCAATGCCCTTTCAGCCTCAATCTGCGCTTCTTGCCTTCCTCATTCTGATTCTGTCTTGAACTTCGCTGATCCAGTGCAGACTTTGTACACTCTTACTCGTCCTCATCTTAGCCGACTTCCATGATGGATAGCCTCACCCTTTGCCTGCCTTTTGGCAATCTCCCTAATCGCTAAAACTTAGTCATTTGAATCGAAACCTCTATCCCAGCCTCTCGGCTTCTTTCTCCACTCGCTAAAGTTCGGTCTCTCGACTCGAAAGCTCATAATACTAACCCTACTCAGGCTACTCCATTCTGATATCTCTATCCCCATCCTTCACTCTCCTTTTCTTCGACCCCGACTCCTACCCGACACTCGCCTCGTCTCCATCCCTATTATCGCGGCCAACTACCTCTACCACCCAAAACCACCTCGACCTGGCACAGGCGCGAAACCTCGGTTGGTGTTGCCCTCATACGCCCCATTCTGCGGCATGTTGCCTCCTCCATTTCCTCCCCGCTGGTATACCTGCCCCCTTGGGGAAAGTCCTCCCTGGCTCGGTCCCGCTTGCTGATATCCTTGTCCCCCTTGCTGCTGGCCGCCTTGCTGAAACACAGGTCTACCCTGCGGAAACACTTGTCCGCCTTGCTGGTACCCCAATCCGCCTTGGTGATACCCCGGCCCGCTTTGCTGCTGACCGCCATGCTGGAATCCCGGTCCGCCTTGGTGATAACCAACCGGCTCGCCGTGCTGGAATCCCGGTCTGCCTTGGTGATATACCGGCTCGCCGTGCTGAAATCCCGGTCCGCCCTGCTCATGCGACAATCCGCCTTGTTGGATCTCCGGTCTCGGGTCGCCCATCTGCCGACCTTCTAGGGCATAAGCCACTCCATTGACCTTCCGCCATGGGACATTTTGCGGTGTCACCATGCCCCTTTGCTGATATATGCCGTTCCTGGGCTTCTTGATATAATCACCCTGCGCCGCCTGCGGTCCCTCGAATTCCCTTTTTAGGTGAGGAGGAGCTTGGTGAGTCGACCTTTCGGAAGACGGACCGGTCGGAATAGCTTTCCATACCATATTTGGCTTCACAGCTTCTTTCACAACAGCCTTCTCCACGCCCTGCTTTCCAGCTTTGGCTTTCTTCTCATCCACCTCCTTCATATACTCCTTGTCCTCATGACCCGGAGGGTTAGGCCATGCCCTCCACCCCTTTACCGCCCTGTCCTTTGGGAACTTCACGAGCTCGTACCCCAACTGCCTCCACCTGTTTGCCTCCTCTGCAAACCGAATCGGATTGTGCGCAATCTCGACCCACTCCATCATCATCTCCGGATTGGAGTGGTATCTCTCCTCCTGGAATTTGGTCCAAAACTTTTCCGCGTGTGGATTTCCGTCCCACATCTGCAACGCCTCAACTATCTCCCATTCTTGTCTGACATCCGACCCCCCATCGCACAGGAAGACTCCCCATCGGTACCAACCTCCATTGTGCCATCGCAGACCATTCTGAAACGCCCAAGGTGCCCAGCCCGTTTTTGGCCAATTACAGTAGCAAGTATGCCCAGTATTATCTTTGGTCTTCCAACAGAAGCGGCATTTGTTCCTCAACTTTCCCCATTCACCTAGCTCCTCGGGCTTCCCATCCCACTTGCTCTTAATTTTGTCTCGGTATTCCTCCAGCTTCTCAGCTGCCTCTCTCTTATCCGCCACCTTCGAGTCCGCCTCGGCAGCACTCGCCTCTTCCTCCGCTTCCCTTGCCATTTTCAAAGCCACCGCCGCATCCGCCTTGGCCTTCTTTGCTTTCAGACTCGCTGCTTCCTTTCGCCGTTTGGCTTCCTCGCTAGCAGAGATCTTAGATCCTGCGTCTCCTCCCTCTTTTGCCTTTGCTCCCAATTTAGACCCATCGGCAGAAGTTCCTTCCGCCATTGGCGCCGCCTGTACACCGCTTTCGCCTTTATCCTTGACTTCCCCCACGTCTTGCTGGCCTTGCCCTGCGTTCTTCTCCGCATCCTCAACCCTAGACTCATGACCACGCTCAAGCCCTAACATCTTATCGTCTTTATCCATCGGATCCGCGCCACCTGGTGTAAAATTCTCCTCCGGCGTCTCATCATAATCCACCAACTCTTCTTCTATACGAACAAATTTCTCCTCCTCCTCGCTCCAGACCATTCCATCGGGAGCAGCAATGCCCAGTAACTCGTCATCCTCTCCGGGTATGGCAACCTTCGCAGCGAACTCAGCTTCCAATTGCCCCTTTGTCGACTGGCCCGGCCCGTTCACTGAGGGCACGAATGACTCCTCATACGCCTCATCGTAGTCCACCAGTTCTTCTTCGTCCGGTCGGGACATCGTTGTTGATAGGATCGAGTGTGATCAAAAGAAACAAGACTGATCACGGGTGATCAAGAATGATGTAGACTGATCAAGGGTGATCAAGAATGATGTAGACTGATCAAGGGTGATCAGGCGGAGACCGTGGCCAGTGCAGTGGGCGCCGGATGAGACCACGCTCTCGGTGGCAAAGGTAGAGCCGACCGAGGAAGAAGGAGGGTTCTGCTATTATTAGCTGGAACGATCCCACAATTACGAAAGGACTCACCCAGATCGGACTATAGCCGGTCCGACGCCTCTTGTGGCTCCCGAACGAGCAGAGCCGAGCGTGAGCCGTGCACTCGGCGCAGCCGGCGGAATCAGGAGACCAGTAGCACGGGGTACCGTTGGCGAGGCACCGGACGCAAGGCGGAACCATGAGGGTACCGGTAGCCTTGATCTTGGCGACTCGGAGGTGACGGACCTTCTGTCTTGGTCAGCATCATTACGAGTGATGTAGGATGACGCAGGACTTACGGTGTTACGGGTAACACCCGACTCGGAAGACTTGACCGAGTGGGGAGAGGAAAGGGTTCCGCGAGTCGCCACCGGGTGGATGACGACGGGAACCACAGTAGAGTCCGACGAGGTGGACGAGCCCGCGTTGGAAGGGACGTAAGAGGCAAGAGGGGCCTCGTGGGACACCACCGAACCGAAGGAAAGGAATGACGCCATAGACGAGGCATCCGATCCATCGGAGGAAACCGAAGATCCGGAGCCGAGGGTGGTACCGGATGACGTGGTCAAGCCGGAGATCCCCGAGAAAGTCGAGACCTCGCTCGGGGGTGGCGCAAAGATCTGCGAAGGGGAGACCGTACCGTTGTTCCAAGGAATGGGGACGGGCGAGTTGAACCGCGAACCATGGACGTCCGAGAGCATACGAGCGTACTGGGCGTAAGACTGTAGGTGGTACAGTTCCAGCCCTGAGCAAACGCCTAGTCTGCTCAAATTCGGCTGCACGACGATCTGCTGATACGGCGTGAGCGGCGAAGCTTCCGAGCTGAGGTTATCGGTGGTATGTGCCATCGGTGTGGCAAACTCGCGCGAGGTCGATGAGGGGAATCGAGCGAGTAGGGTATCGATGTAACCAGGCTGCGTGACTGAGATCAGTCTGCGCTGCCTATCACGTGTCACCTTCATCCCGAGGATAGAAGTGACCTTCTCGGTATCTGTGATCGTCCAACGACGACGAAGGTCCGCGAGGGTGTTGTCGATTGTCGCGCGCTTACGTGCGGCAAGACAGAAGTCATCTACGTATAGTAGAAGCAGGATGGGCCCCTGTGCATCATCCCGGAAGTACAGGCCCCACTCAGACTGAAGTCTCTTGAACCCGAGGCTCTTGAGGACCTTTCCAGCCTCTTCCCACCAGCACTGCGCAGCTTGCTTCAAGCCATAAAGTGCCCCCTCGACCTTCACACAGTTGTGACCTCCCGGTACCTTGTACCCAGGGGGTATCTCCATATAAATCTCCTCCTTGATCTTGCCATTAAGATATGCGCCTTCGACGTCTGCCTGGTGTATCTCCCAGTCCAGCCCCGCCGCGATCGTGAGGAGTAGACGCAGACTGACTAGCCTGCTTACCGGTGCGTACGTCTCGGCAAAGTCAACTCCTGGCTGTTGAGAAAAACCTCTAGCAACCAGCCTTGCCTTACGCTTCGTGATCACACCATCAGCATCTCGCTTGGTGGTGAAAATCCAGCGACATGTAATCGCCTTTCTGCCCTGCGGGAGTTTCGATGGTCGAAACACCTTCTTTGCTCGCAGGTTATCCAGCTCTTTATCTATAGCTGGCTGCCAGAGCTTCACGTTATCCGCAGATGTCGCCTGCTGATACGTCGTAGGGTCTTGTCCGGTTGACGCGAGCGAGCCCCATTTGTTGAGGGAGGGAAGCGAGGGGATTACGTATGATAGAGGTTGAGGTGGAGCTGACCGCCGAAGGGCTGCTGGCAAGTGAAGAGGAGTCGATAGGGGGATCGGATAGGTTGTGGACACTGCTATCTTGTCGAAGGGATAGTTCGAGTCGAAGGCGATGCCACTGAGCGGGGCTATCTATCTACTGCATAGGTGTGTGTGTGTCTATCTATAGCTAGTAGTGATATGTACCTCTATGTACGCTCCCTCACAGGCACTCCCTTGAAGGTGGCACTGCACCTGACACGCACGGACATACTCGACACGGCTGGATAACCCAAAGAGGCAATTTCCTAATCACTCCTGATCTCCCACTACAACGTGGCTGCGTTTCACTTATTTTGCAGCCAAATCTCGCGATTTCACCTTGACATCCACTACATCTCCTACACAACCAGCAACATGCCCAAGCGAGGCAGGAATGCCCAGATCGAGACGATGAACGGTGCCGCAGGACCTAGCAAAGGCGCGATGAGCGTAGAAGGCGGGAACAGTGATGTTACGCCGTCGGGAGAAGCGATCTTGCGGGCGCCTCAGGTGAGTTGCTGTGTCTTGTTGGAGCTGCCTGATCCGAGATCATGAGATCTGTATGCGATGGGTTGGACAACGTGTGGAGTTGGAGACGGCGGTGATGATCGGTGCGAGACGGGATATAGCTGACTTGCCAGAAACGGTTCTATCGTCAAAGAGCACATGCCAATGTATTCAACGATCACTCTCTCGACTAGTACGTCCTCGTCAAGCTATACAGCTGCGTCTTGTGCCTGCTGATCACAAACATACTGGACAGGACTGAGAGCTGACAGTTCAGTCCCCCAAGTCCAGAAGAGATGGACTGGTCGATCCACTATCCGGCATACTTCCCTCAGGGGCACGTCGGGTCTACATCTCCAACGGGGGAGAAGAGGGTGGAATGGGCGGATGTAGGATGTGGGTTCGGAGGGTTGTTGATGGATCTGGCGCCGAAGTTTCCGGATGTTCTCATGCTCGGTGAGTGACACTGAATGATGAGGCGGTGCGGAGCCGATAGATGAGGCGGTGCGGAGCCGATAGATGAGACGGTTGGCGGCTGTGGCGTGACAAGGGTCGGGACTCGGGATGACTGGGGCGGAGTCGCGAGATGGGGAACCATCTTTGTCAATTGGCATTAAGCTGACCAAGCAGGAATGGAGATCCGTACCTCAGTCACCAGCTACGTACACGACCGTATCCTCGCCACACGTCAATCCCAGTCCCTCCTCCCTTCTGATCCCTCCTCCACTTCCGCCTCCATACCAGCCTCGACCTCGACTTCACCCGACGACCTCCCCACTCAGCGCCAACCCGGAGGATATCAAAACGTCTCGGTCATCCGTGCGAACAGCATGAAGCATATGCCAAACTTCTTCGCCAAGGCGCAATTGAGCAAGATGTTCTTTCTGTTTCCGGATCCGCATTTCAAGTTGAGGAAACAGAAGGCTAGGATCATCACGTATGTCTCCTCTTTGCTGCTTTGCTGCTTAGCCGAACTTATCTCCGATGGGTCATGGGATCTAGGCGGTGGATCAGTGCCAGCGGTTCCGGGCCCAAGCTAATATTCAGAACCCCCCTGATTGCGGAATATGCACACGTCCTCCGGCCCGGCGGGATCCTATACACTGTAACGGACGTACACGACCTTCATATCTGGATGGCGTCCCACCTCGATAGACATCCGCTCTTCCGGAGAATACCAGACGAGGAGATGGTCGGTGATGAGGTGCTCGAGTCGGCGAGGACGGCGACCGAGGAAGGGAGGAAGGTGGAGCGGAATAAGGGAGATAAGTGGGTGGCTTGTTATAGGAGGGTGGAGGATGATGAGGCTTAAATGCAAAGCGACTATAGACGAGGCGGTGAGGAGTGACTGGCTTGACGATCGCATCGGCGGCGAGTACTGCATCTTGAAATAGGTCTTCGCGTAAGTACAATTGACAGCCGATCATCCACTTGACTCTGACTATCCTCGAGACGCCTCTGACTTCTCCTCCGCCGACATCACCTCACAATTACTGATAGCGTCCGGACAGGCGGCACGACCTCTCGTGCCGTTGGATAACGCTGACGGACTTCTTGCTTGGCTTCACCCAGTATGGTGACTGAGTGGCAGCTCACACGCGGGAATCTCGTGCGAGTATGCGGTCCACAGGAGAACTGTTCTTTGCTCCCGCCGCGGAGATCAATTATGCCAGTACCTGACTGGCCGTGCAGGTCACTAATCTCCTACTGATGACAGCAAGAACATGTGAGTACAGCAGTACATCGATCGACATGCATACCTCTTCCAAATCGTCTCAAATCCATCACGCGCCTCGTCCGTCACCCAGCACCACCCAAGTCCACCCATCGACACCCTTTCCGTCAATTATCTCCCATGGTGTCGTAGCCCGAGTAGTGATGTCCCCAGCCCCCATCGCCTGCGGCCGGGCGTGGGCGGGCCGTGTCGGCGAAGGTTGACATCGGCGGCACAAACGGCACGAGGTCGTGGAAGCCGAGCTCATGCAGCGTGTTGGAGATGAAGTTTGGGTGAGCTGGCTGATCTTGCAGGCCTGTACCCGCGGTATTGGCGGCGTACAGTGCGGACAACGTCGTGCCCAGCACGGCGCCCAGTCGGCCGACCGTGCGCAACTCACTCATCGCCCACGCCCGCTCGGGCTCCTGGCCGTAAAGGTCATTCAAAGCAGTTGCGAGTTGGTTGGAAGCTGCCCGAGAGATCCCCCGGCTGATGTCTCGCTCTTTCTCAGTGACGCCCAATGCGAATGCAGCTTCGTTCGCCTCTCTCTTCCACTGATCAGCGGCGCCGGCCGCATTCTGCAAGCTGACATTCATATCTTCGAGGGCCTGCTCGGCCGACCAGATCTGATGTCGCAGATGCCCAATCTCATCCTGGCTTGCGGCGAGCTGCTGTTTGTACTCCAGGCATTTCGCCGACATGCGCAGCCTCTCAATCTCGCTTGACGACGTCCCAACATGAGAGCCGAGTGAATCAGCTGACTCCCGCGTTTCATGGGCTCCCGTTCCGCGGACAGTGCTGCCGGCGGTGGGAGTAGTGGACCCCGTTGTCAGGGCTGGAGATCATCAGCTAACGACTCTGACAGGTTTGGTGAAATAGAGTCTTGTCACGCACCGTTGTGATCATCTGGTGAGTTGGGCATTGTTGTGAGTGTATGACGAAAGGTGAGCTGGATCCTTGGGGAGCTGAGGTGAGCGATGTTGAATTCTGAAATGGAGGGGGAATGAGAACGATGAACAGTGGCGCCGGGAAATCATGGGCGCTGGTCCATTCAGGTTGAGCTGGGCTGAGCTTGATCCATGAAACGCTTCACCTTGACATCACAAAGGACGACTGACATCAAGCGGGGTCTCGATCGCATACTACCTTATCGGGATGTGACGCGTGTCAGATAACGCCCCAAAGGGTCAGGAGCATGAATGGGAAGACCTAGTCGGCGGATTCGGCAAATCTGGGCAAGTGGATCGTCGTTGCATGCCGGGCTTGCGGAGACTAGTGGGTGGCGTGCTATAGGATAAGCGAGACTGATCAGGCGTAGGTATAGCGGTAGTTTAGGCCTGGTTCGGATAATGCACGGCTTGTGGCCGGGCGTGTGGAACCCTGTTACACTCGCTCGCGCACAATGACCTCTAGCTAACGCCGCGCCATGACTGCTGGAGGCTATGTGAGTCGTTACACAAATGCCCCACGATAATTGACATGCATTCTAGCCGGGCCCATCAAAACACCGCCCCACAAACTCTGAAGGCTGATAGCCCATGGTGATTGGCGTACTTTGCTCCGTTTCCGTCAAGCCCGCCCCGTGAAGATGACCGATGCGGCGTCGCCGTTGGAGGCCGCTGACACGTCCGAATTGTCTCCCTCTTCACTCTCAGTCTCCTCGCCTTCAGAGTCGGACCTGACTCCGGTCCCGCCTGGCTGGAAAGTGGGGTCAGGGGACGAGAGAACAAGGTCCTTGAGATCAGCAATGCCCAACTCAGTCAGCTTGAGTACGAGGATCCTGTCCATCTCGTCCGCCGTTCGCACCGCCTCATCGCTGTCCCCCGAACCTGCCATCAACGTCTTGAACAATGCAGTTCCCAGCCTGCTGCAATCGGATTGCAGTGTCCGGCTCAGAGAAGTGCTTTGTGCGCCTTGCACGACTTGCCTGTGCGAAATGTGTCGAACGAGCCGCTGATTGACGGACAAAGCCTTCTGCGTTGTCCCCGCGGCAATTGCGCCCAAAAGCGCCATGCCATGAAGTAGCGAGGTGTCGTCGATGTGGCTGTCCACTGCTGTCCTCAGCTCACTGAGCAATTGCTGGCTCTCCTCGAGCTGGTCCTCCAACGTCTGCTGAGTCACGAGGCTGTCCTCGAGCTCCTGCTCCAGCCGGCGATTCCGCTCAACCAGTATCTCGCGATCCACCGCTTTGAGTGTCTTCTTCGCCGGGGGTCCCCACGCTTTAGGGTGCATCGTCTTGGTGCTGTCGGATGTGGTAGTCACAAGAGCTTTCCCCTCGGCTTCTCCCAGGGTCGGCCACGCAGAGGGGTGATCATCAGAAAATTCTCGCTTGGAGGCAACTTGCGACATGCTATGGGAATCGAATGTAGGTTTGTATGAGTGTATTGTTGTAGTCTGCGCTGGAGTTCAAGACAGGAGTATGATGGAGCGAGAAAGCAGCGTGACGCCCTGCATGTTATATGGGACAGGAGGGCTCGGCTCGAGGCTGGCTGAGCTTGGACTCGGATTCGGGCCTGAAGGGATGACGAGCTTGTTGTCAGGGGCGATACGGATGGCTTTAAGCTGTTCATACGCGTTTCGCACAGAGGCTGCGCGGGATCTAGAAGATAAGGGAGCGAACGCTGGCCGAGTCATCATGCCTTTCCGGGGGATGGCTGGGCTATGAGTGAAGTCATGCATGAGATGCGTGAGTACTTAAGGGACTAGATCGTCAACGGACCACCTGCGCTGTAGATCCTTGTCAACAGGCCAGGGGAATGGGGTGATATCGCTCTCGAGCGATCAGCCTGCGAGTAGACCACACCTGGCATGGGGATCTTCCCAACGCCATGATTGTATTGGCGCTATTCAGTATACCGTGTAGGATATTACATCAGTCGCTGTCATGTAGACCCCGTAGCAAAGAACATTGGTCGTAGTATCTGTCAAATTCTCCGCAACACGTAGTCCTGTCCAACCCGTCGCTGATTCCACGCTCACAGCAGTCGTTTCTGACAATTACCTGACTGTCCCACTCTACTGCTGATGTCCAAAGTCCTCAACACCGCGGATGTCATTCAGGATAGGACTGGAATCCGGTTTCACCCCTAGGCGGTGGCTGAAGGTATGGATTGTTGAGCATGAACGGCTCTGTGTCCATTGAGCCGGGGTGAGTGTTTGCTTGCATTGTCAGAGGTAGATCCCCGTGTGTCCAGTCAATGTCGCCAGGCGGGTACTCAGTGTCGTCGCTCTCGAGCGCGGCGAGGCCTGCTCCGTCGAAGGATAGGTAAGGGTCTGTGTCTTGCAGATCTGCGCGGTAGTTGTAGTGGGGGGCGGCGAGCGTATGAGAGGGTTGTAGGGCGGTGTAGGGCGTTGCGTGCGCAGAGTTGACCTGCTGTCGTACTGAGTCGGATGGGAAGTCCTGGTAGCCGTAAGCGCCAGAGGTCATCGACTGACGTGGCTGACAAGGATCAGCTGCGGCGGAAGAGTCGAGTGATGAGTTCCACGCCATGTTTCGGAACTGCTGCTCCAACTGATCGGCGGTAGGCTCCCCGCTCACATACCTCGAATCTTGGTATGAGTATCGCCCCGGACCACTAGGAAACGCGTGTTTCAGTTGCTGTTGCCGAGTAGCAGATGACGATCTCGCCTGCGTTCCCTTGCTGATGCCTCGGGGACCGCGGTGGCCCCCGGCATGACCTGGTCGCGGACGAGGCGAGACTGAACGGGCGATATGACGGCGGGTGCTCGCAGGCGGGGCAAGGTATGCCGAGGATGCCGCCGACCACTGTGACTGTTGTATGAGCCATGTCAGAGCCGCAAGATGCTTAGACCCACAGGACAGGCAGCAGTAGCGTGCGCACCTTCCTCCCCTGAGTACTGGCATGCTACAGTACCCCATTCTCCCCCGTCAAAGGATGTTTGCCACCGGTTTCCCGTGAACGCCGTGTCTGACGAAGGACCTCCTGACCAGTCGAGCGGAAGTGTGGGCGGCGGTGCCAATTGGTCCGAGAAAGGGTACAGGTAGCTTGGGAAATCGGAACAGGGCATCATATCGCCTGGATCGGCGGAGACCTGACGAGCTCGATCAAGTGGCTGACGTTAATTAGCACATACAAGCTCTGCAAGCATCAAAGAGACCAATCAGGCCGCTACTCACCAATGCAGCCGACTCCAACGTCATTGGTGCTATTCCTTTTTCAGGGTGTGGTCTTGCTGCAATGTGCCTCGGGCCAAATTCTTCTCTGTATTAGCTACTAGCAGAAATTGCCTGTGATACGGACGCAACTCACCAGGCTTGACTATCGTACCTGCCGCGCCTCTCTGGTAGGCTTCTTGTGAGGCTCGCTCGATCTCGCGAAACTCCTTCAGCGTACGCTGAGTAACGCCCAGCTGCCTCAGATAGTCAACGCTCGTCACCTTTCCGACATAGTCGATGTATCTCCGGTTCAACGGGTCCTTCATCCATGCACTCAATACCGTGAGTTGAGCGGATTGCGAAGGGGTTGATGCTTCAGATTTCTGTGTTATTGTCTCAGTAACAGGCGCATCAGGGGTGACTCAGCATCCTTTCCTATCTGCTCAGGCGCGCTCTTGACTCACGTTATGCATAGCCATCCGCGCGAGCCGGCTGGCAGTAGCGGCGGGATCATCGTTGTGATCTCCCGGCATGGTGTCACGCCGCGATGTCTGAGTTCTGCGTGGATGAATAGGTGTATACGACGATCTGATGTTGTGAGAAAGAGGGCGTCAAGGTAATGTATAAACGCAGAATGGTGAGCATGTTGCGCGATGATCAGGCGTCAGTGGGGCTACTAGTACTGCTGAAACACTGATGGTCGACATCCCTTCATGCGCAATCCTTAGTGCACGAATCGATGACCGCACTAGGCTGTGCTGAGCAGAAGCGCACGTGCTAGACCGCCAATCGCTCGCCCGGTTGCCCGCTGAAGTTGGACGTCACATCTGTCAGAAGAGGGGGCTGTCGAGTAGACAGATAGGCCCGGTCAGTAAGGGTGAGCTGGCAAGCCTAGGGGACGCCCCCTTTGACGAGGTCATAAGCAGACCGGACCGACGTGTACCATGCCAAGATGCAACTTATACTCCCCGCTCCCTCAAGTCTCAACCCAAGTTCCTGTAATCACTACGCTTCATCTAGGTAATTTCATTATCCATTAACCTATCATATCAGCTTCGGCCCATCCCTATCCAGACAACCCCTAACTCACCTTGCCCTTGACCGTGGTCAAGTACTGCGCATAGCTCCCCATCCCATCCATCCGATCCTCAATCAACAAACTCAACGCCCAGCTCCTGAGCGCCGGCTCCGCATCGCTCTTGACGACATACAAATGCGGCCTATACACGCCCCTCCTCAGCTCGCGAGTCTTGGCCACAATCGCATTCACGCGCTGGTTGAACGGATTGTCCAAGACCGGCAGCGTAAACTTGCCACCGACCAGATCCGCGTAGCTGGGCAGATCAAACACGTCCTGGACAAGACGGGGCACCGCCTCGTGCCCGACCCACAAAAAGATATTTTGCGAGTCTTCAATGAGGAAGAGACCGTGTCGCTCCAGGCGCTCCGACGTGAGATTGAGTGTGGGGGGCAGGATGACGCCGTGTTCCCCGATCGTGCCCGCGTCGGGCGGCATGTTGTGGAGCGAGTAGAAGCGGGGGTGGATGTAAGATATGAGGGATTGGGAGGGGAGGGTGGTGAGTAGGCATTGGGCGTAGGAGCGAAGGTCGGGAGGGATGGAGGCGCCCTCGCGGAGTCCGACGTGCTTGACGAGACCGCACGCGAGGAGGGGGAGTAGTTTGAGATTGTCGGGGATGGCAAGTTGGGCCGAGGCGCCAGCGGACGAGGTGACCTGGTTCTTGTAGACCGAGAGCATGGACGAGAGGGCGTTGGTGACGACGTTCCGCGCGTCGTCGAGGGAGCCATTCATGCTCTTCTCGACGGCCTTGTTGGCGAGGTACGTGGCAATAGCGACCTGGTCGGCCGAGCCGTACAACTCCCCGACGGTGTCCGTGACCGGCATGGCTTGAGTAATGACCCGGATCCGACGCTCGCCATAGCATGTAGTATGCAGGATGGCCGTCTGGAGGACGACAACCGGGCCCTTGAGGTCGTCCTCAAGCTGCAGCTCGATAACGTAGCTCTGATCCAGAGGTACGACGGGGAGCGCGAGAAGGTCGGTGGAACGGATAAAGAAGTTACCGTGGAAGGCCGACATCCGGATACCGCGAGACGCGCGGACACGGATGACGGCCTCGAGCCCGAGTGGCTGCGAGAGGACCTTGCCGAATTCGGTACCGAATTTGATGGCGTCTTCCGGGCGTGACGCGTTGAAGCCGGGGTAAAGGTAAGTCTGACCGGCCGTGTACCGGGGAAGGCACGAGAGGGAGGCGACGTCCGTGTAGGTGGCCGAGAAGAGGAACATGTCGACCGCGACTTGAGCTTTGGAGCACTCAATCGCGAACGACTTGTAGAACGATGACGCCGAGGTGAGGAGGGAAGACTCCTTGCTCGTCCCGAGCAGCTTTGGGTCGTCTCGCGCCTTTAACGCCCCCTCGCCCAGGGTAGGCAAGGACGCAGTGAGCGCGATGATCTTCCCACCAATCTTCCCGATGAGCTGGTGCGCCGCCTGCAATGCCGATCCCAGGGCGTTCCCGACCGTGAACGAGTCGCTAAACATCTCGGGGAGACGAGCGAGGAACGACTCGATCGCCGTCCGCGATTCCGTGAGGTTGACGAGGAGGTCGACGGGTTTAGGGAGGAAGACATCGGTGAGGTCGCTGACGACGAGCATACTCGCTTCTGTCGCGCCTGGAGGGAGGGAGAAGAAGTGGAGGGAGGTGGAGACACCGATAAAGGCGACTTTTGTGCGGTTGTCCGCGTTGGGAAGGTTTCCGAGGTTTTCGAGAATGGTCTGAGCGGCAGTGGCGACCATACCGCTCTGGACCGCCGCTTGGGATACGTCAATGACGAAAGCGTAGACGGGGGGTTGAGGAGGTCGGACCATGTACTCTGTGGGCGCGATGAACTCCACCACCGAGTGGTTGAGCTCTTTTCTTGCCCACCGATCCGCCGGCTTCCCTTCCGCCTGATCCCAGTCAAACAGCTGCGGCACCTCATTGCTCAGTCCGCACAGACAGCACTTCCACCTATTTCCGCCCTCGATGAATGTGACAAAGGGGTTGATGTACGCCCTGCACCGCCTACACCGCGCGATAACATTGTCCTCAACGACGGGAACGGGCATATCGCCATCGGCCTCCCGAACGGACCGGTACGGCGCCATGACGAGTGCGAGGGGGAGTTTTGACTTGTTGAGGAGGGATTGCGTCGCGGGCATGGTGGTGAGCGTGCAGCGCTGGTAGGATGGATCAGGCTGGTTGTAGGGGCTTTGCGTAACCGAAGCGGATTGGGGGATGAGGTAGGGTGGGGGAGGGGCTTCGAGGCCGCGAACGTCCGGCTGCATACCGATGAGGTTGATGGTGTTGATGGCGTGCAATTGCTTTTGCTCGAAACCGCCAGCACCGGGCGCTCCGCCAGTGTAACCGCCCGCGCCGCCAGCCATATTCATCTGGTTGAATTGGTTCGACATCTGGTCGACCGGCGCGCCACCGCCATACTGCTGGAACTGTCCACCCTGTGGCTGCTGCATCGGCTGCTGAGGGTACGCTGCCCCGCCTTGCGCCCCCGCACCCGCATCGCCGCCCGCCATCCCCGGGGTGAAGAAGCTAGGCGCCGCAGAGGATAGGCTAGCGTCCCCATACGCCGGCTGCTGCTGCTGATGTTGCGGCTGCTGTGGCTGTTGGCCCTGGTTCTGATATTCGAAGCTACCAGGCTGGGCGGTGTACATCGACTGGAGCTGGGCGGTGGGGTACTGCCGTCTCCCTGCCTTACCGGATGGAGCTGCCGCGGGCGGTGGGGGCGCAGACGACTGGTCCTGCGACGGGAAGGAAGGTTGAGTCGGGACCTCCCATTGTTGCTGTCCGGTAGATTGTTCTACTCGATCAGTATTGGCTCCTCATGTTGATACAGACGAGATGTTGCGCGAGACGAACCGGTATAGATGTACGCCTGGTTCTGCTGGTCCCTGATGGATCAGCTTCATTCTTTTTCGCTGATACTCGGAGCAGACTCACCATCTCGCCTCCCATCCTGCTGGTAGCTGTTCGCCCATAGCGTATAGACCTTTGACCTTGCTGAGTAGGAGGTATGGTACTGAGGAATGCGTTCAATGAGGCGCGCTGGAGGGTGATCGTGGTGATGGTGTGACTGGGCGCCACGTCATCTGATATCGCCGGGCGATATAACCCCGTTAGCTGTGGGGTCTCCGCGTTCCTCACTCTTCGCCTACATTCATCAACAACCTATACTTCAGCCCTATACAGCTCACTGACAGAAAGGCAGCATGATACAGACGAACCTTTTAGCTCATGGCCACTCGGACCTTGTCACGCGTGAGCTTTGAAACTGGGCCGATCGGGACGATATACGCCAAAACAGCAGCTGACTCTGCAGACGTCGTGTATGATTTCTACGGCGAGAGACGTGAGCCGCTTCATCGTGCTTCTGCAGCTCGTACAATCATACTCAACTCAGTACTGACTTGGCTCACAGTAGCGACATGCTCGGCAGACCAGCGGATAAAGCTGTTCCGCCGGTCCAACGAGGGTTCGTGGGACCTCGAGACTGAGTGGAAGGTGCGTTCGCAACGCTCTGCTGCCCGAGTCGTATGTACGCTGACAGCTGCCAACAGGCACATGACGCGCCGATCCTCCACCTCTCTTTCGCCCACCCACTACACGGCTACCTCCTCGCCTCGTGCTCGCATGACCGTACCGTCCGGATATGGGAGGAGCCCTCTTCCTCTTCCTCTTCCTCCGCCTCCCCGTCCGCCGCACTGCAGTCGGCTACGGCGTCAGCATCAGCGCTCGCTAACAAGGAGGGGAGATGGATGGAGAAGGGAGTCTTGAGCGGGATGAAGGGGAGTGTGAGGGATGTGGAGTTTGGGCCGGCTGATCCAGGATTGGGGTTGCGGGTGGTAAGCTAGCGATCACCCTCGCATACCCCAGAGGCATATCTGATCGCCCAGGCGTCTATATCCACCGACTCTCATTTACGGATCCATCTCTCACTCGACCCATCTTTGACAGACTGGTCATTGGCCCATGACGTCCACGTTCCCTCACTACCTGTCCCAGGCGCAAACGAGGATGGCTCGAATGACGATAATGCAGGCGGTACCACCACTGCCGAGCTGGCGACGGGCGGATGGGGTTTGAGTTGGTGCAAAGAGAAATGGTGGGGAAGCGTATTGGCTTGTTTCGCAGGAACCGCTCCTGGCGTCAAGGTGAGTTCAGGCCAAAGCTGTTCAAAGCGCCCTCATTGCCAGTGCACAGCTGATACCCTCAGATAATATCTCTCGATCCCACACCTACCACCCTCTTACACCTCCTGCCGCCATCATCCTCTTCTTCGACGGCATCCCCCCTCACCACTCTATCCTGGGCGCCCAACTGCGGGAGATCATATCATCACTTGGCGACTGGCGCGCGGGACGGTTCCGTCAGGATATGGAAGGTGACCCCGCCTAATCCGGATGACGAGGTTGGAGGGGGAGGGAGGGGCTCGAGCTGGAAAGGAGAGGTGGTGGCTGAGTTCGCAAGGGGTGCGAGGATTGGAATGGTCGATGTGAGTACTGCTCCTCCTAGATGTCGAGACCGACAGGAGAGCGGGCTGACGACATAGTGGAACGCTACGGGTACTGTATTGACTACGAGCGATGATGATGGGATGATCAGGATATACAAGCGTAAGCTGGTCCATACTCTTCCGAATTTCGAACGAGTCGCGATCTGACTTTCTGTAGAAACGTATGCGAAAGAGTGGAAATTGATGGGCAAGATGACTGCCGAGGAGCAGAGCGATGAGGTGAATGGCCGTTAATAATCTAGTCGATGTGCAAGCTTAAGCTACAAGCTCAGAGTCGCTTCCTGTGTCATCTGCGAATCGCGACCGTGTCTGCCCTGAACCGCTAATCACTGAAATGTATGACATTGTGGCCTGACATAACCCAAAATGTCCAACTTCAAAGCCAGATCTCACTACCCTCCAATACATTAATGTCCCCTCCGCCCATACCCAGGTTCCCGCCGCTCCAGACATAGCCTAGTATCTCTCCAGCCGGATACTCCCGCTTCCAGCCTGGGTCGCGACTGCAGATAAGACAGTGATGAGCCAGCGCGGATCCGTCTGCTGTTTGGCGTAGCTAGAGCCGCCCGTTCCTCCCTCTGCGCGCCTACTGGCATCACTGGATCTGCCACCATTCCCTCCATGGAATCCTCCTCCTCCGCCTCCTCCAGCGGAGCTCGCTCCCCCTCCTCCCCCGGCGCCACCAGTCTGGCTTGGTCAGCTCACGGCTGTCTGGGGATGAGCTTCGAATGGGCTCACTGTAGCGTAAGGACTGCCCGCGTATCCGGTGTTGCCTCCCTTGAAGGTACCTCCATAGTACGGTGACTGTGAACCTCCATACTATCTCATCAGCGATGCCATCGGCGAAGCGAGAGGATGGGCAGGTAGTCGCGAGACTTACACCACTTTGGCCATCCGAGCCCTCTCCTGCGGTCATGTAGCCTGCTCCGCCGCCGCCGCCCCGGCCATCGTCTCCGCCGTCAATGCCACCTTCAGCGGTCTGAGCCGCATAGGGATCAGTGCCACCGGGACCTCCACTCCCACGAAAGTAACCCGCTCCACCTCCTCCACCTGCCGCGAGAAGGACAGCGTTGACGTCTGTACTGTCAGCTTTGTGGCCATTTCATTTTGTCTGTGCAGTACCTCAGCATGCAAAACGACTGACCTGCACCGTCCTGCGGATATTTGCCAGGGGGCGTGATCCAAAAAAACGAGCCACCCCCACCGCCAAACGAACCTTCAAACGCTGGTTCCCGAATACCCGCACAACCAATATAATATGAAAAGAGTATTCCGTTACTCCCCGTACGAATGGTGATGTTGGTATCGACCACGGCACCCAGACCGCCTACTGACCCGTAATTACTCCCAACTCCACCCTGCGCTCCAGCGATCGTGAGGCGGTACTTCCCGTCCGGAAGACCCACGAATTGTCCAGCCCCGCAAGTCTGGGTCAGGCTGATTACCTCTCGCCGCTGTATTTCGGCTCGAGCCTGTTGTTGATCCCGCTTGGACCGAGGTGCCAGTACCGGTAGACCTTGCTGGATACATTCGGCATTGGTGTGACAGGAGGGTGTAGCGACCTCAGCAGGTTGGGGATTGTCTATACTGGGGTTCCGCTTCATGAGGAAGCGGCCGTCTGCGGAGGGGATGAGAGCGACGACTGAGACCGTCAAGGCGGCGAGGAGGCGGGAGACGAGCATGGCTGCCGAGTCGACAGATTCACCCAGGAGACACAGTAAGTGAGCAGATACAGTGTGAGGGTCAAGTCAGATAAATATATCAGTGACGAGGTGGGTGAAGTTTAGGGCCTATATGGTAAAATCTGCCCGACCGGCTCGGCACACATGTGCGACATCGCTCGGGACAACGGGAGACTCGCGCGGAGTATAGAGATACGGCAAGGAACGAGGTGTACGCAGCACTCACTACATCCGAGCGCCGAAGCGCTGAGCCGGGTACATAGCGGCGGTGCCTAATGGTATACTTCAATGAAGGGCTCATTGAAGGCGCAGGAGCAGAGGAAGTGCGGGAAGGAGCCTTACGGCATTGTGTATACTTGCCGTGAATGCAGGAGTGTGGCTGATATCGCATGATCGATTTGTCCCCTATGCATATACTTTCCCCCAGCATGCTGCTGCTGCTGTATGTCATCGCAAAGGGGAGCACGGCTAAGGACGGTGGCTAAGGGGAAGCCTCAAAGCCGTAGGGAGAGCACATCCAGTCTCTACGCTGCTCAGTTCAAGATAGATGGCTCATAACTCGGGCATATCAGCCCCGATGATCCTCTTCGCTCCAATGACAGCCATCCCGACCACATCCCCGATATTCCGCCTCATCCCATCCTCATACAGCTCTACCGTCTCCTTACTCCACCCCTTCCCCTCTACCCCCTCGCCCTCCTCCTTCGCCTTACCAAGAACCAACCCCAGGAGAGCAGCATCGTGCAAAGCCGTGTTGGCGCCCTGACCGCCCGTCGGTGGCATACAGTGTATCGCATCACCGAGGACTGTCACCCGAGGATCGGTCGGCCAGGTGGCGGTGCCGCTGGTGGAAGAGGAGGTCATTCTGAGAGAGGCGGTCTGGTTGGGGTCTTGCTGCGTGAAGAGGAGACGGATAGAGGGGTGCCAGTGTTTGGTTAGGTGGAGGGCGATATCCGCCGGGGATGGATCCGAGGCGGAGGCCGAGGTAGACGCAGGAAGAGAGGACCGAAGCTCCGTCTCTGACCGCTCGAAGATCTCTTTCCGACCCGCCAGAGCCCAAAAGCTGTAGTCGGCTGGTGCGGATGGGTGATGGAACCGCATGCACTCATGGACGAGCAACAATCCGGGTTCGTCCCCTGGCGCAGACTCCGCGGTGGCGGCAGCCGTAGGATCTACGACGAAGCTGCACCCCTTGCTGAGAGTCAGATGCAGCCCTTCTTCGACGCTCGGGGAGAGAGGTGTTTTCCCGTAGATGATCCGAGTGCCTAGATCGCGGGGTATGGCGGAGTGACCGAGGAGTTGTGCGGCAACACAAGAGCGGACGCCGTCTGCGCCAACGAGGAGGGAGCCGCGGACCGAGGTACCGTCTGCAAAGTGGGCAATGACGCCTTCAGCCCCGTCAGAACCGTCGGAACGAGGGAGGGAAGCGGAAGGGGAGGAAGGGGAGGAGGCAGAGTCAGCGCCGGAGGGAAGAGTGTAGGAGGTGAAGACGGCGGAATGGGTGATGTGGTCGGCTTGAGAGCGGAGGAGGAGGTTGCGGAGGACGCGTCGGTCGACTTGATAATGCTTGTTGACGGTCTGAGGGACTGATAGTGTCTTGCTTGGGTTGGGGTTGTATACTTTTCAGATCAGTCAAGGCTCAATATCACTGTAGCTCTATCGCGAACTGCCTGACTCACCGAATGACCCCGCCCATTTCGCCCAATCACTCCACGTCCCTTCACTCCACTTCTTTCCCGCCCATCTTCCCGCCAACTCCCCTAACATGCCCCACCCTCCCGCCCCGAGCAGCCCTAGCACCCCCCTCTGAAGTACCTTCCCACTAACCGCGTCAATCCGTCCACCAATCCCGTGTCTTTCCCCGCAGCTCTGCTCGAATTCCCCGAACAAAGCCGGACCATCCCCCTCGAGCCCAAGGGCAGACTTGAGCGCGCTAGCGCCCCCATCGTCCACGCTGATCCGGTACCCCTGGGCTCGATCGTCTGTGGCTGCGTCTCGCTCGAAGAGGCGGTAAGGGATAGAGTGGGCGCGGAGCGCGTGTGCGAGTGTGAGGCCGCCGAGGCCGGAGCCGATGACAAGGATGGGAAGGGGGGTTTTGGGAAGGATAGTGACAACGCCGACGGAGCCGACTGCGGCGGAGGCGGCGGCGGCCATACTGAGAGGTCACGTGGTGAGCTGTCCGGTACAATGTCAAGTCAGACCGTTCGATAGTCCCACTGTGAGTTGGCGTCGGGGGGTGAGAAAGTGAACGTACCGGCCGTTGCGAAGCTTCAGGTTATATGAGCTGTTATATGGTGAGAGAGGTGTGCTATTTCGGGACCGCTCGCCCCAGCGACGGCTCAGCGCTCATACCTTCGGCTTCGGCATGGCGTACAGCTACCGATATCGATATCGGGCGATATCAGGGTCACGTGCGAGCATGCTGTATCAAGTTACTGCAGCAACGCGCGAGCGTGAAGCCGAGGTCAGCCGGACGCGTCTGCGGCACGGCAGCTGTCCTCCGCGGAGGAACGACCCAGCGGAGGCCGCGGAGGCAGAGGCTGGTTTCGTTTCCGCAGCTGTTTCCGCTCGTGCGAGCCTCACATCTCTAGGGAACGGTAATGCGACTCAATTTAACGGTAGTCCAGCCAGACCGTACCACCCATGCCATATCCCAAGCGAGATCTCTTAGACTGACAAGGGGACGGGAGGGGGAGCTGGTTCATCGGAGATTATCGAGTCCGACGGACACGGACGGCAGCCGGACCCGAACTTTAAAACCCCGGATCTCCGTGAGATGCCCGTTTTATTCCGGATGAGGCAATGAACCTTGTCGATCTTTCTGTCTTCCGCGGGTGTGCCTGAGTGACACCCCCCGAATGAAGAAGTTGGCCGTTCTGTCTCACTCTGCAATGCCAATTATCACCTCAGCGCACGCGCAAGATGTCTTTGCTGTTGTTTGTGAAGGGGCGTGACGCGGGAGGCGCACGATCGCGCCGCTTCCAAAGCTGCAGGTGAGAGGAAGGGTCGAAGTGTTCAGGGAGAAGAAGCTGAGAAGAAGGAAGATGGGCTGATGTTCTGGAACCGAGTCGGGAAGGCGTTTTTGGGCGCTTTAGGCGCTTAGGACGGATGCACTGATACCTCACTATCACGCGGAGTAACGTGTTTGGGCTGGCGCCCCATGACTTGGTCCCTGGATCAGCAATCAAAGCTTGGTGCAGAGTAAGTCCCGTACTCACGGAGAACAAGCTTAAGGAGGAGAGATCAGCGTCAACTTGTCAAACTGTAGATCCACCTCCACTCGTCGTCTCCCTCTCGTTCTTCTGTTGCTCATCTCTTTAGCTACACCGACCTGTAGAGACTGAGTATCACAAGCACCTTTAGCACCTCGACCGAAACGCACCGATAATTGTGCGTCGCCCTCGCTGCAGAGGCACTCACTATCTACTTTTGGGCGCTGAAGCGCTGAAAGCCTCCCCAGCGCTCGTCCGGGTCCAGACCTGAGGACTTTCATCAACCACCATTGTACTCGGCTCATCCACCTCGGCAACTTCGACTTGCTCGACCTGTCCTCGGCGTCATGGCCGACACGGGTATGCCAATTGGTGGCTTCATCCTCACCCCCGAGTTGATCCAGGTACGTAACCCACCGTTCTATCCTCTCCCTCTGTTCCTGAGCTGACGCTACAGCGCGTCCGCGATGGCTCACTGACCGGCGTTGTCCTCTCCTTCTTCCTCTGCCTGCTCGTCTGTCTCGCCTCGATATGGATCTACTGCGTCCCGTCGGCTCGACATCATCTCGACCGCGTGTCCTTCCGATTACTCCTGTGGAGCATGGGGATGGAGTTGGTGTATAATGTCACATTTATTGTACTCACCGTGAGTATCATCTGTGGAGATTGAAGGACGTGGCAATTGACCCAACAGCGGGATGGCGATTTGACTTATGATCGGACGGCTTGTAGTGCGGGCGTGTACTTTCTTCTCGCGACGTTGGGATTGTGAGTCCAGAGTCCACCTGAGCCTCATGGCGTAACAAGACTCGAGGGAGTGCTGGCGACATTCGAAGCTGACGCGACAGCTGTAATTGGATCTGCACATGTATAGGTATCAACCTCATGCTGGCCATATCATTCGGCATCAATCCCATCCAAGCGCGTGAGTCAGCCTCTTCCACGGCATCTGCGATCCCTTGGCTGCTACCTCGAAGCGGTGGGACGAGAAGCTGATGGATCAGGCTTGGAACGATGGTACATTCTCGGCTCGGTCATATTGGGCTTTGGCGTCCCGCTCGTTCCCGCCGCGCTGGGCCATTTCGGCTTGGACCCAATATACAATGTTTGCTACTTCACGCAGGGTAAGCTCTTTGCTACTCCTTGCGAACAGAAACAGCTACGCGCATTAGTAGCTGACTCTGCAGCTGATAAGGTGCTCAGAATCAGAGACTTTGTGCTGGACCTTGTACGTTTCTCGAATCCGTCAAGGATAGGAGTGCACGGTGTCCAGTTAGCTGACGATACAGTACTTTTGGCAATTGCTATCGTGCCTCGTAGCCGCTGTCTCCGTATCTACTGTGCGTACCCACCGTGACCATACTGCGTGCGACGAGAACTGACCCGCAGGTCCTCGTCACACTCTATCGGCAATCCCGAGCGACGGAACGCGCTCTCTTGCGGAACAACCTCCACATCACCTCTTCCGAGCTGCGAGAAATCACCACTGCCACCGGTACCGGAACAACCACCTTCCCTTCCACGCCGTCCGGCGTCTCACCGTCGCCCACATCCGCACCCAGCGCCAAGGGGAAGTGGTATTCCCGCTTCCTGCCCAACAGGGAGAGGCTGCCTAAATCCCGCATGCACCGGCTGGAAGATAAGCTCGCTATCATCGCCCTCAAGATATCGCTTTACCCCCTCGCCCTCATCTTTGTCAATGTGATCATCACCGCCGAGGATCTCAGTTACAGTACCCGCGGAGGACTTTTCACGGAGGGGCAGTACGCGGTTTATTGGCTGCATAACTTTCTATACGGCGGAAGAGGGATCTTCTTTGCTCTGGTGAGTTCCCGGACATTTGATTGGGAATGCCGCCGGGACAAAGGCTGACTGTCAGCTTGGGATCTTTGTGGACCCCTGCCTCCGCCTAGGCTTCCCCGCTGCCGTCCGTGCAACCTTCCGGCCCCGGCGGCGATACGCCCGACACGCAGGCGATCAGGAGCAGGGACAGACGGACTGGGACGATACTCAATCGATCACGGACTTTTTGGCGAGCACGAGTCCCGAGTTTGGCGTTGGCATTGACGAGGGGAAGGGAACATTCTCCAGCAGTCCGGGATGGTCCCTCTTCTCCCGGCGGGGCAGGCGGGAGTCGGAACGAACCGTGGGAATGGGAAGGCAGCTGGATCTGGAAGAGGCGAATGAGAAGGCGGGATTGGGCGGAGAGATGGATAGTCTGGATGAGCGGAAGGGCGTGCAGACCACCGAATCTCCATCTACGGGAATCGTCCTTCCGGAACTATCACTTGGCGCTGCGGACACGACCATTCCCCGACTATCTGTAACGATCGACTCGCCCTCCCCTCCCCAGCTCCCGGTCCGATTCTCCCATTCCATATCCCGCCCATCACGCTCGTCTATACCCCCTCGCTCGCCTGTATTCGACAGTACAAATCCGGACTGGATCGAACCATTAGCGACGGCGGTACTGGCCCGTTCGACGTCGGCGCAGTCTGTGACTCGGCGGAGCTCGGTTCCGACACTCGGAGTGGCGGAGAGAAGAAGAAGGGAGTTACAAGTCGCGGCGGAAGAGTTGTATGCTCAGGCTCAAATGAGGTTGTAGAAATAGATGTAAGACCGGAACGAATCAGAGGGTTATTTGTGGACATTTGTATGTATCTCTTGGGCAAGGCCTTGCACTGTTCTACCAGGCCGCTCGCCTGCTCCATAACTCCCCTTATGAGCATGGCTCGGACAAGTCGGAAGGCTGTTCGGCTGTTTCGGATTTAAACTCTGAAACTGGGGATGAAACACGGAGCGGCGGCAGATGGAACGTTCCGTAAATGGGAGGCTCAATTAAAAGCGGGTGTAAGTCGGGCGGTGACGAACTTTCAGATCCGCTGGGGAGGGAGACTGGTCCAACCGCAACTTTCATTCTGTACATACCAAACGTCATCTATACCCACCTTCTACACTGTAAGTCCGCAGAGGATAGGGATCCGGGGCTGAGGGGAGACTGAGCACTGTACTGACTTTTGACAGACCATCACAAAAAATGTCTGGAAAAGGAGCTCTTTCTATCGTCCCCGTATGTCCTTTCACTGGCAGCGGCATTAGAGCTGGCAGCGCCAGAAGCTGTCAGGGTGAGCTTGGGCATTCGCTGACATGCTAGGCCGGTGTCATCTACGGTGATGACGTCCGCAAGCTCTTCGAGTACGCTCGCAAGGAGAAGGTGAGCTCGTATCGCTACCGAAGGAATGGGCGGAGAAATTGAGCTGACGTCTATAGTTCGCCATCCCCGTAAGTTGACCGCAACAAGCGCCCGAGAACGCTAGCTAACCACTCTTCTTCCTTTACATAGGCCATCGTGAGTCAAAATTGCTCCAAGGAGCCAAGCCCTAAGCCTCACCCGCACCCCGCTGACCCCCAGAACGTCACCTCCTCCTCTATCGTCAACGCCTGCCTCGAGGCCGCGCGCGACATCAACTCGCCCATCATCCTCCAGCTGTCTCAGGGCGGTGCTGCCTTCTTCGGCGGTAAGGGTTTGAAGAACTCTGCCGAGAAGCAGGAGGCTTCGGTCGCTGGTGCCATTGCCGCCGCGCACTTTATCCGCGCTATCGCTCCCTCTTACGGCGTGTAAGTTGCCGACTGTCGCTTTGTGCTTGGAGCAGTAGACGCAGAGTAGCAACTGACAAGTTAGCCCCGTCGTTCTCCACACTGACCACTGCGCCAAGAAGCTCCTCCCTTGGTTCGACGGCATGCTCGATGCCGACGAGGAGTTCTTCAAGCAGACCGGCACTCCCCTTTACTCGTGAGCTCAGTCAACTGGTACTCGACCCAGATTTGAAGCTGACGTCCCAGGTCCCACATGCTCGACCTTTCCGAGGAGAGCAAGGAGGAGAACATCAAGGACTGCGTCCACTACTTCAAGCGCATGGCCAAGATGAACCGTTAGTTCCTTCTCCTGCCCTTCCTCTATCTCCTCCCGAGGTCGTCACTGATCAACAGAATGGCTCGAGATGGAGATCGGTATCACCGGTGGTGAGGAGGACGGTGTCGACAACTCAAACGTCGACAACGCCTCGCTCTACACCCAGCCCGAGGACATCTACGACGTTTTCACCGCCCTCAACGCCATTTCGCCCAACTTCTCTATCGCCGCCGCCTTCGGTAACGTCCACGGTGTCTACAAGCCCGGAAACGTCGTGCTCCGCCCCGAGATTCTCGGCAAGCACCAGGAGTACGCTGCCAAGCAGCTCAGCAACGGCGACGAGAAGCCTCTGTGAGTGTTGCTTTTCTTTGGATCTCCTCTTCTCGGCTGTTCTTGTCTGTGATAGTCCCTTCGTTCCTGGTTCTCCGCCGGGCTCTCTTTGCCCTCTCCGCCATGGCCCCCTTTTCTCCTTTCTCTAATCCCCCGCCCGCTACCTATTTGACAGTACCCCGCTTTCTTCCCCATGAAACGCGGGGCGATTCCGGTCAGCGCAGAACGAACCTTTTCAACATCGCATTAGAGCCTGCCTCTTCTATCTGCCACTCAAGGCCCCTTTCTGGGTGTCCTCCCGGCAGACCCAGTGGGGAGGGAGGTGTCAAATCGGTGTTACATCTCTTCTTCTCAGCAATCAGCTAGATATCATTGCTCGGACCACAGCTGACCATGACTTAGCTTCCTGGTCTTCCACGGTGGATCCGGTTCGTCCAAGGACGAGATCCGCGAGGCTGTCGTCAACGGTGTGGTCAAGATGAACGTCGACACCGACACTCAGGTAAGCTCAGTCCTCCGTGTATCCTCCTAGATGAACATGAGCTGACGCCGTTAGTGGGCCTACCTCACCGGTATCCGAGACTTTGTCCAGAACAAGAAGGACTACCTCCAGACCCAAGTCGGAAACCCGGACGGAGCCGACAAGCCCAACAAGAAGAACTACGACCCCCGTGTTTGGGTCCGGGAGGGTGAGAAGACGCTCTACACGCGTGTCAAGGAGGCGTGCGCGGATTTGGGCAACGACAACAGGAACTAAGGGTCCCCAGGCTACATGTCGGGGAATTTCAGTAGTGATCATTGTTGGGAAGGAAGAGTCGGATAGATGAGTAGTGTGCAACAGATGTATCCCAAAGGAGGAAATTGAGCGCCAAAGTCATTCGTACCCGCTTATTTGTCCCAAATGGCGTTTGATACTAAGCAAACCGTACTGTGTGGAGGGGGGAGGGAATCTGCTACCGTGCGATCCATAAAAATCCCTAGATTGAATTCACGACTCGTACATAACGCACACTTCGCCCGCGACGACCAAACACCCCACGATCATCGTCACGATCAGACTGACCCAATTCCACTTGGCAAACTGTTTACGGGTAATGACCATGTCTTTTTGCTTGAGGAGATGGCGCCAAAGTAGACCGGCTAGCGATGCAGGGAAGCTGCACAAGTCAGTATCGCTCACTTGGCCTGTATGAGCATGTGCAATGACTCGGAGAGGAACTGGAGAGCTCGCGGAGCGTTTGGGGGAAACTGAAAAAGGGACTTACACGAAAGAGTAGGCGCCAAAGTTGGAACCTACGGCAAGGGCAAAGACCGAGCCGTATAGCTGGCGATTGGAGACTGCGCCACTGCGGATCGAGACCCATTGTTGCAGAACGCCTATCTGCGTCAGGATCCTCCTTGCTCAACACCCGATCAGAGCGAGGGACTCACGTGAAAGCAAAACAGTAGCGCCGATGTTGGTCCCAAAAATCTATGAAGTCAGCTGTGTGCCTAGACTAATCGGAGGAGTCATGCCAGCTCACATTACACCCAATCACACTGATCATGCCCATCAACCACACACAGCCCGGTACGCCCCCGACATCCGCCCAAGCAGCCCACCAGCCGCCCCATACCCTGATCCAGCCGGTGTGCTGGAGTGACTCGACGAGCATGAACATGGCGAATGCGAAAGGTATGAGGGTGAGGGGCAGGTGCGTCACGATGTCGGTTACGGTCGGGAAGAGGCGGTGGAATATGGTTCCTCCTGCGGCTTGCGCGGGAGAGGCAGTGGTGGGGGCGGGGGATGGAGAGCGCGAGGGAGACGGAGTAGGTGAGGTCCGAGTTGCAGTAGGTTTGACGGACTTGGCGGGCGCCGCGAGGGTGTGGGCGTCATTTTCCGACGATTCTGGAGTGGGCGAGGGAGAAGCTGTGCGATTGTCACTTTCCGGCACCTTGTCCTGGCCAGACTTGATCTTCTCCGCCCCGCCATCGCCTAATACTGCCCCTCCATCCTCGTACCTCGCCTTGTCATTCGTCTTCTTGACTCCCTCCTTGCGCCCCTCTTTCCTCTTCATCAGATCATGCACCGCGTCCCTGATCAAGATCAGAATCGCCGCAGGAGCAGTCACCGTCCATACCCCCTCGACCCCCTCGAGCTTCCCTACCGCCGAAAGCGCAATCAGGCAAATGATGGTCACGAGGAACAGCCCCCCGCCTATCAAAGCGCCCCAGGGATCGTGCAGGGCATTGGCGGGATCATTTGTCGGGGGTGTGAGTTTCCGGGGAATCATCCCTTCTTTCCGGAATACGACCCATCGCAGGACCGGGAACAGCACGATGAGGGACGCGATAGTGGGCAGAGCGAGCCATGCCGAGTACGAGAGGAACGATATGCCGAATGCGGACGTCAAGACGAGGTTGGTCGGGTTGGAAGAGACCAGGAGGGCCGAGACGAGGTTGGCGGTTTGGAATTGGGTGAAGAGGTAGGCGGTGGAGTCGGGGATGGAGGCGAGCCGAGAGAAGTGAGCGAGGAAGGGCGTCCCGGAGAGGATGAGGGGGTCGTTTCCGACAATCAAACCCAGAAGGGAGAAGAAGCTGAAGAAGGAGATGTATAGTTTGCGGCCGGAGGAGGCGGATTTGGATGCGACAATAAAGGCGAGATAGCGGAGGAGATTGGTTCGGTCTAGAGATAGGGCGATGTACGCCTGAGACGTCAGCGTCGAAGTCTACAGTAGGGTGTGCCGGCTCTGAGAGGTGGGGGAGACCCACAAATGATATGAACAAAGTCATGATATCATAAGGCCTCACCCCGCCCCTACCCACAATCCCATCCCTCAACACCTCTCCATCAATACACGTCGCAGCGAGAAGCAGAATCACGCCGATGACAGGAGCAGTCTCCAGCCCAAGTGTAAAGTGCCATCTCTTGCTCAAAGCGGCGCCAGCCTGTGCTTTCTCTTGCTCGCGCTCGACGTCCCGGGCGCCTGCGGGAGAGGCAGAGGTTTCCGTTGATGCACCGGCAGTGACGACGGTCCGAGACTTCTCGTCTGGCTCGGTGGCCGCGGGAGTCTTGGTTGCTGTACTTCGAGGAGCGGCGGGCGCGCTTTTGTTTCGGTGGAAAAGCTTGGAGAGGGCGTTGGACAAGAAGTAGGGGAGTGGGATGGAGAGGGGAAAGATGACTAGTGCGTCTGCAGTGTCAGCGTGAGCTCCCATAGGCAATTAACTCAGGGGGTGCCCTATGACGCTCCAGCCCACACAAAGCCATCATGCCTGTCCTTCTCTGTAGCTTCCGTTTCCCCGCCCTGCAGCGCTCGCTGCCGCCGTAGACTTCTTTCCGTCCGGGAACACAGCGGAGCCTGACTTACTAACGACGAAGAACACAATCAGGGTGACGATACTACGCGCATCGATCTGCCTGTTGTCCACAGGGAGCTCCTGTATGCCTTCACCTGCCATCGTGGAGGGTGGGGACTAAGACACAGGCTCGTCGGTTCTGAGAGTCGGAGGGCGTCACCGGTATGGCGCGGGTTGAGCTCGACGTTGGAGCGTCGTCAGGCCAAGTTCAGATACTTGCTCCGCTATCTTTCGAGGCGGAAGGACAATGAAGACATTCCAGTGTCCCTCTGGCTCTCCCTATATACGGTGAGAGCGGTGTAGTATCGGCCAAGATGAAGCATGAAATCTGCCCAGCTCGCAGCTTCGAAGTCCGCCTTGGGCGGAGAAGTAACGTAATTTGGAACCACACACGGAGATCTCCATGACGCACGTTCTATTCCAGGCTCGTCACGCATGTACGAGTACCATGTACAGCCGCTGGTGCCAGGGCAGAGACCAGAGGCAGAGCAAGGCAGAGCACAATGAGATAGCATAGCAGACAGACCTTAATGATAAGATAGATAACCCTCAAACTATAAAGCTAAGCGTGACAATAAAGATAGAAGAAGAAAAGATGGAAATGACTGCGCTGGCTGATAAGACATTTTGGGTGAAGACAAGTTATAGCGGTCGTGGGTGTAGTCCAAAAGTAGAGAAAGAAGAGAGAATAGAGATACAGTGTCCACACCAGTCCCAGCCCCAGTTCCAGTCCCAGTCCCCAGTCCCCGCCTCGACCCGACCCGACTGTGGGCCGTGAGATCTCAAAGACCCACCATCCCCTCGCCTTCGTCACCTCCGTCCATCTCCGCCAAGTACTGCGTGAAGTCAAACGGATCGTTCCCAATCGCGTCCGGGAACGCACTGGCAAAGTCAAAGTTGAGGTCCGAAGTCGAACCAAAGTTGAGCTCCGAGTCGCCATTGAGGTCGGTGAAGTTGAGACCGGGGATCTCGCCATCGCCATCGCCATTCCCGTTGCCGTTCCCATTCCCATTGGCGCCGTGGCCGTTTCCGTTCACCATATCGGTGTCCCCGTTCTGATGTCCATTGCCATTGCCGTTCACCATGAGCTGGTGCTGGTGGTTCCGGTGTGAGTCGTTGGGCGAGGGAGGGGATCCGAGGGGTAGGAGGGTAACGTCCAATTGGGGCGTGTTAGTGGATTTAGAATCGGACGGGGAGGGGGTGGGGACGTTCGAGTGGGATTGAGAGTGAGATTCGGCGGTGATGGTGAGGGCAAGAGTACTGGGCGACGGATTGAGGGATTTTGGAGTTGGGACTTCTCTCTGCGGCAAATCAGCTCTTACCCTTCCCAAAATACGGTCAGTACTCACCAGTCCATCCTCCCTTCCGCTCTTGGGCGTCAACCCCGACTTGGGCTTTGGCGTCGTACTCCTCGCCACCCCAAGACCCGTGACCGGGCTTTGGGGCGGTAACATCGCGCCCCCCTTGCTTTGTATCCGGGTCATCTGGAGCCCATTCGCATTGCGCGGGGAGGCACCGAGGAGCTGCGCGGGCGATGCCGCGTCAATCACGGCGGTCATTTGGGGTGTCTGGGGATTGAAGGGCTGGCCGCCTTGCTGGGCAGCCTGTTGTTGCTGTTGCTGCATCGACTGCATTTGCCGGAGTTGTTGCTCCTTCAGCTTGGCTTCGTATGCCGCTTTGGCCTCTGCTTGGGCTTTGGCAACCTGGCACATCAGCTTGTGTCCTCTGTTCCTCGCCAACGCCGACGGAGGCGCAGACATACCTGCGGATCCATCATCTGACCAGGATGCGGCGTCCCAGCCTGAGATGCGTGCCCGGGCGTAGAGTACCCCATCGGTGTCTGAGAATGGGGGTACGGGCTAGGCGCCGCGGATCCAGAGTTCCGGCGCATCCTCTTGCGCCCAGGAGGCGAAGTCCGCCCCTCATCCCCATTCGCCTCGTATCCATTTGGCCTACTACATCAGCCACAGCCTCACTGATCATCAACCGCACAGAAAGACTCACCTTATACTGACACTCCTCCCGCCAGGCGTAGGCGGCTGCATCTGCATCTGCTGGGCATGCATCTGCTGCTGTGCCTGCATCTGCTGCATCGCCATCGCATGCTGCTGGGGCGTCTGCTGCTGCTGCCCCGGCTGCTGTTGCTGCTGCTGGGGATGCCCCTGGCCCTGCGCCTGCATTTGCTGCTGCTGTTGCTGCTGCTGCTGCATCTGCGCTTGGGCCTGCTGCTGAGCCTGCTGCTGAGCCTGTGCGGCCTGCTGAGCCTGCATCTGCTGTTGATGCTGCAACTGCATCTGGTGCTGCTGTTGCTGAAGCGGGTGCGGGTGGGGTTGTCCATGCGGGTGAAAGTGCTGGGGATGCTGAGGATGGGGCATTTGGCCCATATGGCCCGGATGCTGGATTTGGTGGGGGTGCGGGTGGGGCTGACCGGGGACAGGCTGACCAGGCATGACGGTCCCGTTCGGTGTCATCATCGTTCGGCGTTGATGATCAATCATGGTCGCTCTATACCGCTGCGTCAACCGATCCTATCTCTGTCAGCTATATTCTATCTCCCTTCTTGATCTCCGAAAGCACGAAGACTGACCCGATCCTCCTCTGATAGACTATGCACATCCCGCCCTCCCAATCCCAAGCTCCCCGCGACATGCTGCATCACTCCCATATTGACCGGTCCGATCCCCAGCGCGCCATACATCTGATCCGCGCTCGCCTGCAGTTGTTGCGCCTGCATCACCTGCAACTGCTGATGATGTAAAGCCTGGGCCTGGGCTTGCGCTTGCGGCGTCTGCTGCTGCTGTTGCTGTTGTTGCTGTTGCTGCATAGCCTGCGCATGCGCCATCATCTGCTGCTGCTGCGCCTGTTGCGCCGCCGCGTGCTGCTGGGGCGTCATAGGCGGTCCGTGCGTGTATCCAGGCGGGAGTGGCTGGCCCGGCTGAAGCTGGAGCTGGCCGGGCTGTGGCTGACCGGGCTGCGCAGGTATTGCTTGTTGAGGCGTCAGAGACCGCATCATTCCGGGGGGCGGAGGACGCATGTTCTTCGTATGTGGTGAGGGGAGCGCGATGGCCGGTGTATGTTGCATCATATGCGGGGAAGGGGGGATCGGGGAGTGAATATGAGACGGCCCGGCCTGTGCGTTGAGATGCTGCGGGTGTTGGGGGTGGCCGGGGTGCATCTGGGGGTGCAGAGCGTGCGGGTGGCCAGGATGGACGTACATCTGCCCAGGGGGCGGTGGGCGGCCGACGACGGGCGACTGTCCAGGCCCAGGCTGGCCCGGACCGGGCGTAGGGAATCGTTGTTGCGGTCCAGGCTGTTGGCCTTGCGCTGCTGCAGCAGCCGCGGCGGCTTGCTGATGATGTTGCTGTTGTTGCTGCATGAGGACATGCTGCGCCGCTGCTTGTTGCTGATGTACCTGCTGCTGCTGGAGCTGCTGCTGCATCATCTGCTGTTGTCCCGGGGTTGGCTGTGGTTGGCCCGGCTGGCCCGGATGTCCCCGCTGTTGCTGTTGCGCCATGAGCATAGCCTGCTGTTGCTGCTGCGTCATCGGTGGACGCGCTTGCATGCCGGGATGGCCGTTCGGCTGGCCAGGCGGGAACATCGCTCCAGGACCGAGGGATTGCGCGCGTATACCTTTCAGGCGGTTCATGACCTGCCGCCATCAGCTATCTTCCTTTCTGGCCATCCGGTTCCCAGCTCTAGCGGATACTCACATCGGTATATCCCTGGATGTTCATCGCCACCTGAGCCCCCTTGCCAGCAGTAAAAGCATCCCATGAGACACACCACCACCTGGTTTGATCAGCTTCGTTCTCATTCCCCATTCCTCCTTGCCCATACCCCGCAGCCTCATGCTCCCCCGCTACCTGCTGCGCAAAAGTTCAAGACTTACTCTCGCAACAGCCCATCCTGCATGTTTATCGGAACAGGCTGATTTTCTAGCCTAGCCTCGGCGTTGAGTTGAGCAGCGGCGCTCGCAAACCCATTTTTGACAAGATAGTCGTAGATGTACAATTTCAACCTATAGAGTCAGCTCAGGCCCCTACACTCATTCCGACGCCCCAATCCCCCTTCGGACTCTGCCCTTGCGCCGCATCATTCGACCCCTTCTCCTAAGACATCGAGAATACCTCAAACCAAACTCACAATGTATCATTGTCCCACTGCCGCATCTGCTGTACGCTCCCCGCACTACCGTCTCTAGCCATCAGATACGCTTGTTCCTGCTGCGATCCCGGTCCGCCCTGTTGCTGTATTCCATTCGGGCCCGGCTGGGGCTGTTGCTGCTGCTGTGGTGTTTGCTGCTGCTGTTGTTGCTGTGGTCCACCAGGAGTAGGCGCTTGACCCTGCTGCGACGGCGTATGCTGCATCTGTTGACCCCCTTGCCCCTGCCCCTGAGACTGTGCTTGGGCTTGCGCCTGTGCCTGGGCCTGTGCCTGGGCCGCCTGCTGCTGCTGTTGCTGCTGCTGCATGGCCTGATATGCCTGTCCCGCCGGTCCAGGTCCCGCCGCGGCCTGCTGCTGTGGCTGACCCGGCCGCCCGTGCCCGATAGCCTGTACCTGCCCTTGCCGTATTTGTGCCGGGGACGGTCCCGGTCCTCCGCCGGGCGCAGGCGCCCCGCCTGGCTGAGGCGGCTGAGGCTGTGGTGGATGTGGATACGAGTGAGGGTGGATCGCGCCGTTCCCCGATGGGAAGCCCTGGTGCGCCATGTGCGGAGAAGGGGAGGGATGGGGTTGAGAGTGGTGCGGTGATGGTGGGATTTGGCCGTTTTGTTGGGATGATCCGGGAGGTCCAGGTGTTCCTCGTTGCGCTTGTTGCTGAGCCTGTGCTTGGGCCTGAGCTTGGGCTTGGGCTTGCGCCTGAGCTTGCGCCTGTGCCTGGGCCTGGGCTTGAGCTTGCATCTGCTGCTGCTGTTGCTGCGACATCTGCTGCTGAGGCGGCTGCCCCTGCTGCTGCTGCTGTTGCTGGGCCATCTGCATCCGCTGCTGATGCTGTTGCTGGATCTGCAGAGCCTGCGCAGACGACATCGGTACCCCCTGCTGTTGCTGCTGCTGTTGCTGCGCCTGCTGCTGTTGCGCCTGCTGCTGAGCGAGCTGCTGCGCCTGCTGGGGCGTCATCTGGGCGGGTGGGCGTACGCCGTTGGGGACTGGCGGGGGAGCGTAGGGATGTGAGTATCCGCCCATCTGAACAGGGACGGGTATCCCTATTCCAGACGAAGAGGCCGAGGAGGGGGTGGAGCCGGGTTGCTGATGTTGCTGTGGGGGAGGCTGGATGGGGGTGGGTGCGGCGGAGGGAGGGCCGTTTTGCATAAGGTATGGCTGGTGTGGGTGTTGGTGGGGGTGCGTGTGGGCGCCGAGGTGGATGGGTTGCGGATGGGGTACCGCCATGGCCTACAAGTCAGCTGTGGGCCTGGCAACAGAGGTGGAAATGACGGTACTGGAACGGACGAAGTGAGGTCGGCGATAGGGTGAAGGCGTGAAGGCGGGTCAGATGAAATACTCACGGTGCGTCGGTGTAGATTGGCTCAATCCCGCCTGTCCTCTTCCTAAAAATCCCGCCGTGTATAAGGATAGATGTATCGCCCAGCGGTCTCCACTATGCCTTCATAGCGCCAGAGCCAACAAGTGATGAGATGAAGGTAGTTGCGAAGGCGAGCGATAGCCGCGGTCACGTCCGACGTCCGGTTGCCCGAGACCGTGCGTCCGTGTGTGGGCGCGAGGTGTGTTCGGAGCAAGCTCGACAGCGAGTGGCCAGGAGGGTAAGGGATTGGGGATGGTGATCGTGTCGACCGAGGAAGAGGATAGAGCGTATAGTGGATCGGATAGCTTGGGGAATTATAGCGAGTCCGGATGGTTATCTCCCGGCAGAGATGAGATGAGCCCGTTCCTGGCCAAACCGCCGAGGTAGATCGCCCAATTGGCCCCGAGCTGCAACTCTTCTGGTCCAGCGCCTCTGATCTTACAATACCGCCTGATCCACCTACAGCTCTGCACGTCCTTGCTTTGACTGCTGAGCTTCGTCGGTCTGATAGAAGCGAAGCGACCGAGTTTTCCAAATCCGACTTGTCGGAGCGCGTCGCGTTTTGGGTAATCTCTGTTTGAAGAGAGATGCGGCTCCTGGGGTTTTGGGTGTGTGTGGGAGGGCCAGGCGTCAAAGCTCGTTATCTGTGGCTGTATCTATGTCGTGAATGATAAGGGTATAGCTAGCTAGCTATGGGTGACTGGGGCTGAAGGTGAAGCTGATAGATACCTTTGGCTGGTGGACATGCTCGCTCGCTCTGATCAGGGCACCCACATGCACCGAAAGGGGAAAGTGCAAAGGCAACAGCCGACGGAATCAATTCTCATAGCTCCTAATCAAGCCCGCTAAAAAGTGGGGAGCCCCACATGCCTCGATCACCTCTTTGCTTGCAGCTGTCAATTCGCCTGTAATGCTTAGCCTGATCGATGAGGCGGATGGATTCCTGTCACCAACGAGCCCCGGCTGCTGTCCTGCCGACCGATCCACAATCACGTTCCAATCTATCAGACAGGACCAAGTAGAGTAGGAATCATGCCGTCCGTCTGTTGGCCAGCCGGAGTCAGTAGAGCATCCTGCAAACCCTGTCGGAGAGGTCAGTACCGTCGAGTCGTTCGGTCCTCTTCCCTTTACTTTGCCAATCTTCTCCAATCCCTGCATTCCAAGCCCACTCTACTTGGCCATAGCAGCCTGCAAGCCCTCAAACACCTCAATCTCGATCCTCGCCTCGGCCTTCTCCACGTCGGGGGCGGATGAGCTGAGCACGCGGTTGGCATCGGCAAGACCGGCACGGACGCTCTGTAGAGTCAGCTCTAGCCCTTCTCCGCTCGTTGTCTATTGAATGAGGGTATGGGAATGCTTGAGCTGTTGACGTAGAAATGAAGACCAAAACTCACCTCTGCCGAGAACTTGTCAAGGGGGTATGCCTCGACGGCGTTGATGGTGAGCGAGTTGTTTCCGTGGACGGTGGCGAAGCCGGCGGAGACTGGTAGTCAGCACTAGCTCAGGACTGACACGAGAGCATTTCCCTCGTCCCTTCTCCACACCTTGACCCAGCTCGTCTGTTCTGCACGCGAAAAATCATCCAGCAATTCCCCCATACACCGTTCACTTCGCGCTTGGTCTTTCGGTACCATCCACCACATCGTCACCCTCCATACACCCATCTCCATCCATCTGCCATATCACGCATCACGCATCATGCGGATCCGGGGCCTGAGCAACTCACCGAACCACTTCTTCGCCTGCTGCCCGTTCTCCTCAATAACCTCCACCACGCCCGGTCGGAGGGGCTCAATCGAGGCAACGTGGTTGGCGAGCACACCCATATCACCAGTGGCGGCGGGGATGTTTACCTGGACGACACCAGTGGAGGAGTAGAGGGACTATGGGGTCAGCATGAGCCGCTTGAGCAGTTCTCTTCGTCCACACTATTCCACCTCAAAGCTTCAATTCCCTCTTCCTCCACGCCATCCTTCAGGTCCATTGTCCGATCCTCCCCGCAGCCCCACAGTATATCGCCCAACCCACCTGATGAGGCAACACCAAGCTCAGCGAGAGCTTTCCATCCGCCACATCGGCATATCCTCTCCGTGCCGACCGGGCGAGCGCAGCCTGGCGGGGCAATGTCCGAAGCGCAGAGGCGATTTTGAATGCTGACATTGCCTATGGCGGTATCAGCTATGCCCTTCTCCCTGTTCTCGGTTGGTCAGCTCACAGACTATAGATGTAGGTGCTTTGTATAGCAAGAAGAGTGAGTGAGGCGGAAAGCCTCGGCCGCGAGAGGCGGAAGTATTCGGGTTTTGGCTCTGTGGCGGTTATGGAGTAGAGGTCAATCTCCGCTGCAAGGGGGTTTACGTACAGGCGAGATTTTGGGCCAGCCGCTTGCATGCGAGGACAGCGATCTGATATACATCGTCCACACACAGCTACCCAACAGCACGATGGCGCGCGGAGCATTAAAAGCACCGTATACGGCCTCATCGGCCAAACCATACGCTACCAAGAAATCTAAGCCCAAGTCGAAAAACCGTCCCCAGGCTGGGGCCGCCACTGGAGCTCGACCCGCTCGTCCCCCTGCCCAGTCGACCCTGCCCGAACCAGACGACGCCTACACCTACCTCCCCTCCCTTCCTAAACGCCACCGAACATCTACCGTCCAGCTCTCGCTTACCAAGGATGAGGCTATTGCGTCTGCCGGGCCAAGCAGGCGCCGTCTCCAGCCGGGAGAGGAGGAAGATCCCGAGGATGATGATATGGAGGCGAGGATCAGAAAGTTGGCGATGCAGATTGCGGACGATGGGGAGGAGGGCGGCGTAGTAGAGAGTGATGAGAGCGATGTGGATAGTGATGAGGCGTGGGAGGAGGGAGGGAGCGATGAGGAGAGATGGGGAGATGTGTTTAGGGATTTGGAGCAGGGGAAGAAGGGGGGAAAGAAGGGGAAGGAGGTGGTGAAGAAGGTAAGCTACGCCATCTGCGACTCTATTGAGGGCTCTAGCTGATCGCATAGCCTGCTAAGCCTTTCACCGTCAACCTGGACGAGAGTGAAGACGAGGCTGTCCCGGCGAACAGTCGTAAGGCCGCTGCGGAGGCTAGCGATGATGACGAGGAGAGCGAGGAGGATGCTGCCTCGGACGAGGGGGAGGATGATGAAGAAGATGACGATATGGACGAGGAGGAAGAGTTCACCGGGTTTGGCTCGGCAGGCGAGGACGATGAGGAGGAGGAGGACCTCAAGTCTTTCAAGCCGAGCAAGGTCTCGCTGGCCCAGCTCGACGATGAGGAGGACGATGACGAAGAGGAGGACGATGATGAGGACGAAGACGATCTCGCCGAGCCGGACCTCCCCTCGGATCTCTCGGATGACGAGGACGATGCGGAGCTAGACGACCTCGACGCCTTCGTCGATCAGCTCGCGAATCAGGATGCCAAGAAGCGCAAAGTGGAGTTTGAGGATGAGAAGCCCGTAGAGGGGAAGAAGAGGCGGGTCTTGCCTGTTGCTTCGGGGCCGGCTGTAGGCGATGGCGAGCAGACTTTGCGCAGCGGTACGTCTCTGAGGATAGGTCAAGGATGTACAGGTGATCTCTGAAGCTGATCCCCAGATGGCAAGCTTGACATCTCCACCCTCCTCGCCTCCCACCCTTCCCTCGCTTCCGCGCGCGCCCTCCTTCCCTCTCAATCCCGCCCCGGCGCCGAGGCCAGCAAATCCGTCCTCAAATCCGGCGTCCTCTCCGCGCCTCTCCCCACTGTCGTGCAAGAACGTCTCTCCCGCGAGGCAGCATACGAAAAGACGCGGGACGAAGGCCAGAAATGGTCTGGCGTCATGAAGCGTGTCCGGGAGGCGGAGCATCTCTCTTTCCCCCTCCAAAACACGAGCGGCGTGGAGCGCGGGTCGCTCAAGACCGGTGGAGAGATGCTCGCCACCTTCAAGCCGCAGAACGAGATGGAGAGCGCGGTCCAGAAGTTGTTGGATTCGGCCAATCTGACCGAAAAGGGGATGACGGAGCTGGAGGATCAGCAACTCCAGGGCCAGGATCTTTCGGTGGAGGAGATAGCGGCTCGTCGGGCGGAATTGAGGAGGCAGAGGGAGTTGATGTTTCGGGCGGAAAATCGGGCGAAGCGTGTTGCGAAGATCAAGAGCAAGACGTTTAGGAAGTTGGCGCGGCGGCGGGCGGAGAAGGAGGGTTTGTCGGTAGAGGATATGGAGCGGTTGGAGCCGGGGACGATGGAGCGCGAGCGGGAAAAGATGGAGTTGGATCGTGCGAGGGAGAGGGCGACACAGCGACATGGTGCGAAAACCAAGTTTGGGAGGGAGGGGATGCAGGGCGATTTTGGGAATGAGGATAAGCGGAAGGCTAGGGAGGAGATGCTGGATATGAAGGAGCGGCTCAAGCGGCGGATCGCTGGACAAGGGTCGGATGAGAGTGGGAGTGATGATGATGAGGACGAGGAGGAGGGGGATGGTGGGGATGAAGAGGGGATCAAGACGAGGGCGTTTGATCAGCTCGCTAACCTCGATAAGGCCCAGGCGGAGGAGGGGCCGAGTAAGGGGTTGATGGGGATGAAGTTTATGCAGAAGGCGAGGGAGAGGGATATGGTTCGGGCAAAAGAAGCGGAGGAGGAGGCCAAGAGGGATATCATGCTCTTTGGGCAGGAGGGGCAGGGGAGCGATGAGGAGGAAGATGAGGCGCAGGTGCTCAAGCTCGGAGAAGGGAGGATGGTTTTTGCTGGTCCGACACCTGTAAGTCACCTTTTTGTTACTCCGAGGTGGAGTAAGCTGATCATTCAGACCACCGGCTCCGCTTCCGGTCCGTCCGTACCTGAACCTACCCAACCCACTCCCACATCGACCGGCAACAGGCGCTCAGCATTGACGGCCCCCCGCTCCCCTTCCCCTGAGGTGAACCCCTGGCTCACCGCTCCCACATCCACCGCCGGACCGTCCCGGAAACGCAACCTCGTCGGGCTCGGTACCGCTGCCGACAAGGCCACCCAGTCACTCAAGAAGGCCAAGCGCAAGGGCACCGCCGTGGACGATATGATCGAAGACGAGCGCGTCGATATCGTCCTCGACGAAACGGCCGCGCCCGCCCGCATCGTCGAGGGCAAAAAGAGCGTGACGTTCGCAGCTGCCAATGGGAACAAGGTACAGGGAGACCTTATGCCTTCTCGGCCGGCGATGTTCAAGCAGCGCGATCTCGTAGCTGAGGCGTTTGCGGGCGATGATGTCGTGGTGGACTTTGCGAAGGAAAAGGCGAGGCAGATGGAGATGGACGCGCCAAAGATTGAGGATACGTCTTTGATGGGATGGGTACGTCAATCTTCCTCCCTTGATCTTGCTTCTTCCAGCAGACTGAGCATGAGGGACCAAGCTGACATTCTAGGGCTCATGGGGCGGCAAAGGCCTCAAAAAGCGCAAAACGACCAACCCGCGCTTCCTCCTCAAAACCGCCGGAACAGAAGCTGCCGCTCGAAAAGATTTCGGCCAGTCCAACGTCATCATCTCGGAACGTTCCGAGCGCAAGGCGAAACAGTTCTTACCGAAAGATTTGCCCTACCCGTACACGTCGGTGGCGCAGTATCAGGCGAGCTTGGCCCAGCCTGTGGGCGGGGAGTGGAATAGTCGGACGGCGGTGCAGAGGGAGACGATGCCTAGGGTTATCAAGAAGGTGAGTTCTTTCTTGCTTGGTCGCATCGAGAAGATTGCAGATGGGGATGCGAATCGGAATTGTGCTGATCCGTTCAGCCTGGAGCTATTATTGAGCCTGTGCGGAGGTTGTTCTGAGTGATGGGGCATGTAGTCGGTCTAGCAGCTTGCTCGAACGAGAACACTAAGGTGGGATGAGGAACGATCGTGGACATTCTTGCTATAGACCCGATGCAGGATCTCTGTGCTACACTTGACAACTGTATGCAAGGCCCAGCCTTGCCACGAGGAAGATGAAACAAATCTCAAACCGCCACAAAGTGAGGAATGTGGAGCGGGGATTTCCAGTCCGGAGGCAGCGCCGGTCCAGGGGCAAGATATCTCCGACGCGACGTGGACCGCATGGGGTGTTGTGCTTGTTTGTTCCCGGTACATGTGAGCTCCAACAGCCATGCCTCGTCTCGCGTCTTCCTCATGACCTTCCATCTAAGCCATATCCACCCCAAACGCTCAACGCACAACGCTCCACTCCACACCCCTCCATCTCTGCGGACGAGTCACCCAACACCCGTCACCGAGCAAAATGCCCCTCCCCCTCCCTACCTCTTATACCCTCGTAAGAAGCTATAACGTAAATCAGAAGCAAGCGACAACAATCGAGCCGATATACCCACATCCACAAACACCAACACTCCATAACCAACATGACCACTCTTACATTCAACGCTCGCTTCTGGTGAGTGAGGTTCGTTCCTGCGCTTGAATACTGGATCAGATTACAACCGTACTCGCGACGTGCTTGGCTGATCTGTCAGGCCGGTCCGTCCACTCCCCAAGAGTCGGTCCTCTCCCCTACCCTCCCGTCGCCATCAAACTCGCTCTCAGCGTCTACATTGCGCACAAGGGCTCGAGGCTCCTCCCGGTGCCTCAACCTTCCGTGCGGCTCCTCGGCCACCCCTTTCCTCTTCCCCGGGGAGGCTGCCCTTTTATCGTTTGCGGGCGGATCTCTCGCCTCCTTTCCGGGCGCCATCGCGCGCATCCGCTTCAGTGGCAAGGATCGAGCCAATACGGAGCCCCAGCGGTTGGCCAGCCTTATTGGCGGACTGACGGGTCACCGTATCGGCTCGATTGTTGTCGCTGAAGCGCATGGGCGCGATGGCAGCGCTTCTCTTTATCCCCGGCGGGCTTGCAGGGGATAGATGTAGCTTGGTGGTCGCTGGTCATTGTGATCATTCGAGCATGTAGGCAGGACGTTCATCGATACAGCTATTGTACAGGTACCTGCTCCATGTATTGTATATATATGCCACTGTCCTGATCCGCTTTCCGAGCATCATCCGCAAGGTTCCTCGCACTCCACGACCACACTATACTACTCCCCTCGCCTATTGCGAGGCGTGACTGACCCGCCCGTACTCTCTTTCCGCCCCATCGGCGGTTTCCTGCCTGCTCCCGGCGCTACCCCCGCAGCCGCCGCAGCGGCAGCAGCAGCAGCCGCCACGGCTCCCGTCCCATTGGCGCCACTCTTCCTCGGTACGCTCGGCCTTGCGCTTTTCTTGGCCTTCGGCGGCCCTATCGCCATCGCCACCACCTGCTCCAGCGCCGCTGCCGCATCATCATCCATCACCTCGTCCTCGTCATCCTCATCTGCCTCGTCTCCATCGTCGGGATCATCCTCATCTCCCGTGGATCCACTCTTCCCCTTCCCATCTCGACCTTCCATCCCATCTTCTCCTCCTTCCCCTTCTTCTCCTTCTCCCTCCTCTTCCTCCTCCTCGCCAGCCGTCACCTCAAACTCCAACAGATCCTCCCCATCGTCCATCGTGACCTCCCCCGTCTCCCCGTCCCGCAAGCGAGTCACCTCCTGTCTCAATCTCTCAATATAGTCCGCCCGCCGATCCACCTTCTCGTGCAGCTTGACGATATACTCATTGCTAAACTTGAGCAAAGCGACCTTTGATACGCCTCGATTTGGGTTGTCGTCGGGTACGAGTGACGATTTGGGGAGGAGACGGGGTGCCGAAGATCCAGGAATTGGTTCGCCAGATTCTGGATCGAGCGCCTCGGTGTTGATAGGTGGGAGGAGAAGTCGAAGCTCGTCAAAGCCCGCTTTGAGCGAGTCGCGACGTTTTTGTTCGGCGGCCTTGTGTGAGGTCCGCCGGTTTTCGGGTTCGATGTATGGTTGTTGGGCGGCAGCGGCAGCGCCTTTGGTAGCTGATCGTCAGCTTGGGCATGATATCGGGCATGATATCAGAGTAGCGAGAAGACATACCAGCTCGTACCCCCACGCCTGCCGGACGAGCAGCGATCTTCTTGCCAGGAACCAGCTTCGCCCCCTTCTTGCCATTCGCACCTGGTGCTGGAGTACCCGCTGCGCCCAACGCTGGGACTCCAGCTGTTGCTGCTCCTCTTTTCCTCCCGCTCGGTTGCCCCGCTGCTCCAGCTCCATTCTTCGCCGCAGCCGCCGACCCATTCACCTGTGTATCTATCTTCGGCACCACAGCTTTCCGCCCACTCGCCCCGCCGAGGTTCATCAGCGCCGCAGGCGTCATGGGTGTCAAGCCCTTCTGTCCCGCCTGAGCCGGGACAGGCGGGGGCGGCATCATCGATGTGAGATCGACCGGGCTCGGCGTGCTCGCGAGCGATCCGCCCCCGCCTCCGCCGCTGTGATGACCGTTGATACGCGAATCGTAGGCCGCAGCAGGAAGATATGTTCCTGGTTGGATACCCTTGAGAACGGCCGGGCTGCCCGGCTGGCTGAAGGTCTGGTGGGTGGACGGATGCCGTATATGCGAGCGGTGGTTGACGGGCTTGACGAGTGGGGAGGGGCGAGATTTGGCAGGCAGAGAGTGTCGGTGGGGTCCGGTACCGTTCCCATTGCTGGACGCGGAGCCAGAGGTCGAGCCCTGGCCGGGCGCAAGCATGGGCGTGAAGCCGTTGTGATTATTGGCGACCGGAGAGGATTGGTGAGAGTGGTAAGGGTAAGAAGGGGATTGGAATTGCTGGTTCCCGTTGTTATTGCCATTTGAGCGGAAGTTGGCGTCCATTGCCTGTTGCTGCTGCTGCTGCGAGCTGGAGTTCCCGTCCAGCATCCCGACCAGGGCGCGTATGTAGTCGGGATCCGAGAGGCCATTATCGCTCTGCGGGTGCAGAGCTGGTGAAAGCGTCTGCTGTGCTCCGCCCGCCGATCCGATAGGGTTGAGCGCTGGGCTCGACAGCGCCGATAGGGGATGGGGTTGCCGTTGTCCGCTGGCGCTAAACGAGTTGTACTGCCGTGTCGCCTCCAGAGCGGGACTGGTCAACGGCGTAAAGTACTGCGGACTTGGCTCGGACGAGCCCATCATACCGGGAGTAGTGACGGGTCGCGACTGCGCCGAGGAGCCCGATGATGAGAACCCGCCTAGACCGCTGTTGATATATGGCGAGCTTTGTGCTGCAGCTACGGCAGCAGCAGTCGCCTGAAGCTGGCGCTGCTGGACTTGTAGCGCGTCGAGCTGGTCCTGGAACTGCCGCTGCTGCTCTTGCAAAAGTTCGAGCGGGGATTTGGCGGCGAAGTTGGCGAATGTGGAGGGGGAGTTGTATTGCGACGAGTTGTTGTGGTTGAGCACGGGTGACATAATGGGGGCCATATTCAGCTACAGCGTCAGCTGCGACCACGCGAAGTGTACGTCTAGCTGAGCTCACCTCTGGCATACCGTCCATCTGCTCTCTCCGCGCCAGCATCTCCAGCTGCATCGGGCTCATCATCTGATCCGCCTGGTTCTGGGGGTACATTTCGGTACTCGCGCCTGAAGCGTCAGCTTGCGTGGTAACGGAACATGAGAAGCGACGTACCAGGTGTCATCAAGCCATTCATGAAATTGATGGCAGGCACCTTTGTCCGCTCGCCATTGGACTGTTGTGAGGGACTAGCGAGAAATTGCGCCATTGGGTTGTACGATTGAGAGGGATTACTCGGGTCGAACACTATAGGCGATTGCATGTGGATGCCTTCGAACTGAAGTACAGTCAGCTATTGCCACTTTGGCCACAGTGGACTCTACCCCATCAGAAAGCTCACCTGCTGCAGCATCCCTTGCGACATCCCCATCAATTGCCCATGTTCATCCAAGAATCCCTCCATCCCTTCAATCCCCTCCATCCCCTGCAGACCGTACATCGCCGCCATCCGCATACCCATCTCTTCCTGGCTCATTTGGCCTTTCCCGCCATCGCCCATATTCATCCCATTCTCCAGATCCACCTCCATCCCCATTCCTCCATTCTGAGGTGTCTGACCCTTCCTCCCGTTCTGCCCAACAGCCGCCTTCTTGGGCGCTTTACTTCTCGACCGGCCCTTGGAGCTCCCGCCTCGACTAGGCGGGACAGCATCTGACGGGCTCCGCCCGACGCTCCCCCCTCTTCCATCAAAGACCGGTGAAGACTGGTAGGAATGCGGCTGGGAATGTGACTGGGATGGCTGATACTGGTGCTGGTGTTGATCGTATTGCTGGTGATTGGATGGCCCGGCGTCAGGGAGCTGAAAGTCCGCCTGACCGAGGCTGAAAGAGGGTGAGGTGGCCTCGACGAAGGATAGGAAGTCGAGGGGGAAAAGATCCTGCGGGAGGTCCTGATTATTGGGGGATGTTGCGGGGACGCCCGTATCGTTTGCGCTCATCATCGTTTGCTCCATCCTAGGCGAGCAGTTGGAAGAAGCAAGAAGGCGCGGTGTGGACCGCTTGAGCTTTGAGCGCGCTTTACCGCATTCGCATTCCCCCGAAGTGACCCGAGTTTCAGGATTTGGAGCTCCGGCGAGTATCCGTCCAGGACTTTGCGGGAGACCTCAGGGGTCTGAGGAGACGGGACTGTTGTAGATGAAGGCGGAAGATGGGTAGATGGTGTAGATGGCTGAGGCAAGCGGAGGTCGAACCGCCTCAACTTCGAATTGAAGGTTCTTGAAAAAAGGTTTGGCTCGGCCGGATAGATCGCCGAAGTACCGGAAAGACGAGCTGTGACGCGCTCGTCTAGGCTTCTCTTGTCGTTTGCGTGGCTAGGAGGATGTCGGATTGCGCGAGTACGTGGGTACTATAGTGAGAGGCGAGACTGATGTAGAGAAAGCTTTCCAGGTCCTGGCGGAGCTTGCGTCGAAACAAGGGCCCAGAAGAACATGTCAACCCGAAATCCCAAAGCGGTAAATACCTGCTGTAATTACCCCATCGGGCCTTTCCGTACCCCGGATTACCTTACCCGGGGGACTCGAGCTCGGACTCATTTCAGCCGCTGTTGTACATACTGTCTGCTGAAATAGCACTGGTGATGACTTTCACTCCCTCAAGGGGTTCAGTGTGTGGTCGATACAGCGACTGGAGCTCCCAGACTAAGCCGCGATACCGTTTCATATGTCCGTCAGGGGTGAAGAAAGGCAGACGCACTCACTTATGCCACGAGGACGCTAAGTTTTGTACAAATGGGAAGAGTTGACGCTTGACTGAGCTATGGACTTCGTCCTCTCCTATCCGTGGCCTAACACTGATGACAACGGGATAAGACCTAATGACATCTTTCCCCTCGGCCGGCCCATGCGCTTCACTGCTAATAGGACCCGCGCGAAAAGGCGAGTTGAGGCGCTGAGGAGGGCTAAGTGCGAGCGCTATCGATGACACTGCAAGTCATCCAAATCCAGAAGTCAGAGAGTGGTGAATTCAGCGTGCCTTTACTCAGATAAGCGCATCACCGTGGTCAAGCCTAAGCCATACAGACAGTACATCGACTATGCTACGATACGCTTAGCCCGCCTCATAGCCCACCAAGTCACATCCTGCCCATTACACGGCCTCGTCTCCCTCCCGACTTCTTCGAAGCCGAAAGAAGAGTAAAACTTGACCTAGCATCTATCAGCTCTGGACCCGCCCACTCTGTCCCCTTCATCGCGGAGCGGTCTGCAGCGAACAAGGGCAATATGGATCGTAAGTAGCTCACCAGTTCAGGCTCATGATCAAACAGCGTCATCCCCCACCTCTTCTCATCCCCCCATCGCATCACAGGATTCATCGTATCCCTGCCTAGGCCCTTGCCTTGGTAGTCTCGCCGAACGGCGAATAGGGAGATGTATAGCGAGTTCTCGAGTCCGCCTGGACCGAGAGACCGGTTCGAAAAGTCGTTGAACCACGGGACGAGCTGTACAGCATCAGCCTCCCTCACGGCAGTCTCGCCGCGCAGAAGATCGCAGTAGGGAAGTAGAAGGGAGGCTCACGTCCTGCTCGACCCATAGTCTGCTTCGACGCTGGATGTCCGTCTCATCCACGCGGGAAGGCTGGGCTGCATCCTCTTCAGATTTGACATCGCCATAGTTCTTCTGTCTGTTCAAACATCAGCATAACGTATGAGACTGAAATGTTCCGGGAGAAGCCAAAAGTAGCATCAGGCACTCATACGGGCCGGGCTATGGTCACTCACAGCTGAGTGAAGCCTTCTCCTGGTAGGGAGATCAACACCGCGCCGACCATCTGTCCGTATCCCTTGTCCCCTCCACCTTTGTTCACCGGATCCTTCCCATGACCTGCGGGAGCCCTGTCATCGGAGCTCGATGCGCTTAGAAAAGACAAGACTAGTCCCCCGACGGGTACAGCCGCCTTGACTCGAGTCCGCATGAGCTCGAGTAAGGCTTGATGGTCATTGTATGCTCGGAAGCGGACTATTGGAGCTGTTGTATCAGCTGGGGAAGGCTCTTAGGAGGCTGTGACCATTAAATGGCCTGGAGACATGAACCGAGGGGAAGGAGTGAAGACGCACATGCGCAATTCCAAAATCCATCCCGCAAGATCTGAGCCGCGCTTTCTTGCTCTTTAGGAGTGAAGGGCTCGCCTTGGCGGATGATTAGACGAGATGGGGTATCTGAGGAAGGCATAGCGAGGGATGTGATGCTGACTGGAAGCTGACCGAATGCGATGACAAGAGGGCAGAGGCCTCCGGACAAGTCGAGGGCGGAAAGAGTGGGGCAAAGTGGGGGGACTTTCTTCAGCTAGAGCGGACAACCCCTGCTTTGACGGTTGAGCGAAGCGATCATACAAAAGCATGGATATTGGGGGGAGCAGCAAGAGGAGGCGGAGGTCGTCTACGTTCGGGATGGAGCATGATCATGGTTGGCAGAATGGCGAGCAAGATGGACGTTGAGTGAGATTGAAACGCGCTAAGGTGTACGTAGAGTATATTAAGCGAGTGCGAGTGACGCCGCACGCGCCTCTCCGGCCTCTCCGTTTGGGTGGCTCCCTTCGCAGCCTCTGTACCACTTGGCTCTGTGGGCTACTTCATGATCTTGCACTACCGCTATGAATAGCCTGCCATGTCGCATCAGCTGCCGGCAGTCTACCCGGGCAGCGCGATCGACACCGAACCCGCTGGCAAGCCCACTGGTAAGCGCACAAAGGCTGCACCCGAGATCTCAGGCTGAGCAGTCAAGTGAGGAAGCGGTCTTACGTCCGCGCGACGGTGCAGGGGACAAGGAGACAGCTCCAAGGCATACGAATCGTGTGTACTGCGATCAGGATCTTCTTGGACCCGTGTAAGGCTCTAGATACACAGCTGACGCCCTTAGCAAATACGAGCCCGTCTCTCCCAATCCAGCCTACCAAGGCGCGCTTCCTTCCAGCTTCGCCCGGCACCGCCGCTGGATCAAGCAGGAGCGTCCGCTGTCTCACGCTACGCCCGTGATCCCAACCCCTCGGCTCAGAGCTCTATATCTCTCCTTCCGATCTGCGCCTTTTCCCCCTCGACTTCCTCTCGTCCGCTCTCATCGATACTGTCCTGCACGTCCCACCTGACCCGGCAACTCGTCCCTCTTGCAGCGACTGATGGCGCCTATCCTCGACTGACCATTATCGCAGCGGCTAGCGGGCTCACACGCTGCACCAGCTGAGCCGGTACGATGGGATGCGGGCGGATCGGCCCGCTGCAAACCGCACTTTTCCGCGGTAGAGGGTGTCTGTTGCGTGGGAGGACGTATGGACCGGGACAGTCCTCCTCCGAAGTGAGTTAAAAATCCCTTGCAGGAAGATAAGAGCTCAGCCGTCACAGACGGATGAGCGTATCTCTACAGGTTTTTAAAGACGGACCTCACGTACGGCCTGCACTGCCCGAGAAACAACGGTTCCCAAGTCAGCTTATACATTAACTGCGATGTCGCCTGAGCTGACTTGCAGACACTCGACAACTGGCGAGTTCTTATCGATCCATGGGGACTACAATCTCGTTGGGCATGCCAAGAGCCCATGTATCGACTCCAACTCGCCGATCCCGTTGGGCTGCGGACGCCAGGAGGGACGACGAGGGATGAAGAGCAGATGCATGCGGGCAAGGAGTTGACAGCCAGTGCCTATCAAGGCAGGTGGAACTTTGCTGTCGTCCATACTGGATGCCGTGTCAGTCCAACACAGTTACATGCACACCAAACATATCAATTATCATCCGCTGAGAATCTTGATCACCTTTACAGAATGACTAGCAGGCTCGAGCAGAGTGCAAAGACTGCGTTTCAGCTTCACCGGGCTTATATGATGAGTGTCTTCAGGAGTGTCTTCAGGGCTCACCTGCAGTCAGAGCGGCATTCTGGACAGATACACCCGACTGTGCCGAGGACTTGTCTGCGCCGCATATAGCTGGCAGACTCGCAACGCCCGGCAAGACCGTCGCATTTGCTTGTGGCGCCTGCAAGGAGGCACCCGCGGGAACGCCGCTCGACGCCGCTTGGCTTGCGACCGAGCCGATGACCGAGCCGGTAGTGAGAGTGAAAGAGTCGGCCCGACGGTGGAGCGGTCCGGGGAGAGGCAGAGGTCGTCGTTGTACGTTTTGCACTGGGGATGTAGGGGTCCATCTCTGAGCCCAAGCGGGGAGCAGAGAGCGACGAGTGGAGGATTTAAAGCTGGTCAGAGAGACCCTGGCGAATGCCTGGTAGTCGGATACGCCACAGCGGAGACCGGGGAAGTTTTCCGAGTATCGAGTGCTGATTGGGAAGTAGCCGCCGTCTCCCAGCCTCTGAAGGATGTAAGGCGGTATAGTGTAGGCGAAGCGGTAGACAACACCATTGCAGTCGCCGGCAAGACTTCTAACAGCATTCAGAGCCTGCTCGATCTTGTTGCCGGTAATGCCGTTCAGCCCGGCGGACAAGGCGAACTGGTCTCCCGAACTGCTGTTGAAGGATCCGGATAGGGATGCGTTGGTCCATGCAGCCGCGTAGGCGGCGCCGGCGTCGATTATGGCTGACCGTTGTCAGCATCTGATAGCAGATAGAATGTAGCCATCAGCTTTTTGACTCACCAGACCCCAACGTGTCGATTGACGAGTTCCGTGAGGTCACGCCCGTCAACGAGATGCCCAAAGGCTCGCTGACATTCCACGTGACGTCCATATAGAACCCCTGCGACCCATTCCTTGCAAAAGGACGGCCGCACCCTGTCAGAGAGGCGAGACCGTAGCGATTCTCGAGGCTGAGTACCTCGTAACCGTCTTTCGTGCGCGAGGTGGCTGTCATCCAAAAGCGAAGAAAGTCCGTTCCTGCCCATGTCCAATCACCAAACTTGTTGGCTAGGCTGTTGATCGTGAAATTTTGGAATTCTATCCGGAGGGTCTGCCGGCCCTGGAGGAGTGTCTGATGCAGATTCAGCGAGAATCCAGGCAGCCTAGGCCAAGGGGCAGGTAACTTACTTGAGCAGAAGGTATTGCTGGCGGCGGCGCGACTGAGGCAGTAGCCGCCGATATGCTCTGTACCTCAGCTGTATGCTCCATTTCTGTTGGCAAGGATCAAACGTACTGAGGTAGGCGTATAAGCGACCGATCTCGAAACGGTGTACCGTATGATGTATGTCCATCCTGGACATTTGGCCCCTGGATACTGAGAGCTGTCCGCGAGGATGACGCCTGGGTAGGAGGTGACGGTTCGGCTATTTAGCGCGAATGCAGCTGGGATGATGATCTGCTTGGAGAGTACCAGCTGATCACAAGTGCCAGTGAGAGTAGGCCCCATCTCCTTCGCGAACGAGGAGGCGTCGTACGATAAGACAGCGTGTTCATCATTGGTAGGGTTGGGGATGGTAGAGGGAGCTGCTTCTACGAGTTTCCACAAGGCTAGGCTATCAGCACTGCCTCGGAGCGCGTCAGACCAGAGACGTGACCTACTGTCGTTGGCGGCTCTAGGATTGCCGACAGCATTATAGACCACAATGACGAAGCTGACGTTGTCGGGATATGACGGTCTGGTCTCGTGGTTCCCGATGCCCCTGCTGTTCGGGATGGTCGCTTGGTTGGCGATACCGCCGAAGACCCCAGCGGTGTACTGATGCTGCGGCAGCGCTATCGTACCGATGACCAAGTTCGCACCGACATTGGATCCGGTCTCATAGCTCTGGACGGAATCGATACGGAATATCCAGGTTGAAGCTTGACCCCTGCCCTCAGTCAGCTATCGTGCCCAAAGTCTGAGTATACGACGCGGCTCGTGCACGTACATTGTTTCGCTCACCAGCCCGGACAGGGCCAACAGGAGGAATAGAGGTAGCAGGGACATCATCGCGCTGGCGGAGGATGTCGCGTCTTGATGTCCTTGGCAGCGGCGCTTGGGGTTGTGGGATTGGTAAGGGCAGGGAAAGGTGAGGATCAGTTATGGATGAGTGTCAGAGAGGGTTCCGCTTGAAAGGATGAGCGTCCTCGACGGCTGGAAGGCTAGTGAGATCCATTCTCCGATCATCAAAGGTCAGGCCGCTTGATCTAGGCTACTTCAGTTCCAATGCTCCGTTGGATACCCATATGATATCCTTTCCATGTGTCCGCCTTTGCATCCGGGCCGATGATTGGTGCTTCCGCTGGGTAAGCTTGCCCTGCAGTGAACGGTCAAGTGGCGGGTGACAGGCGAATGCGGTGGGGCAAGCACCACAATCGAGAGCGTTCGGCGCAAGGGATAAACGCAAGGGTGTCATGGTGGCGAATGGTGTGACTCTGATCATTATTGCGGGAGCGGTTGTCAGCGGAAGGCGGGATGATCATCTGCTCGGGATGGCTCCGAGCGCTCTGATGCCGCAAAGCGGCCGCTTCAAGCAGAGTCGTCAATCCTCGTCGGTGCAGGTGCCTGAGAATACTGCTGCGTTTCAGATCTGCCAGAAGAGGCGATACTGAGCGACAAGCGGCCGACATTCTGAGCGGCCGCCCCTTAACCTCGGGCCTCATTAGAAGCGGATGCGAGAGTGTGTCATGTCCATGTGTAGCGAGGGATCGAGGTCCTCCGGCGCGCCGCGCTCCCTCATCTGGTCTCAGTGGCACGACACCCCAATCCTGGGGCGACTCATTCGTAAGCGCAATAACTGGGGTCCTCGGCAAGCGACAGTCGGGAAGAGGGCGGTCAGCTGGGCGGTCGCACGATAGCCGGCAGGACATGCGGCTTTCCTGCCCTCGCGAGTGTCACGGGGGCGGATCAGTGGGGCGGGGCCGGTCCGCAACACCCGAGTGATTGATGCTGATGAGACGGGCGAATAGAGATACGCATCACTCACTCATACTACCCGCCTCTGTCGTCTCTCTCGTCCATCCAGAATTCTCAGTTCTCCCCACCCTGTTGACCCAAGCCAACGAAGATGACCAACGAAGCCCGCGACAAGGCGATGCAGGAAGGTATGGCCTCGCAAATGGAGCAGCTGGTGGCCGCCAGAGAGCAGCGCGCAGAACAGGGCAGCGACGGCGGCCGGTGGTTTCACGCGTGGATCGGATCACGCCTGATCAGAAAGGCTGCAACACCAAGCGGCATTGATGGCGCGGATACGTGAGTTCCGATCGATGGCCTTTTACGCACCACCCGTAAAGAATGGTAGCTTATATATGTTCAGTCTGCACGAATCCATCATCGCTTACCAAGGCGGGCGCCGGCTTGCGACTACACAGGACACCCATACAGGCTATCGAAGGTACGGACGTGTAAGTGTCGGCGGTGTTGCGGTGTCGAGCTGTTCAGGAATCTATCGTTTGTTTGAGCTGATCACCCAGGTCACTGCTCACAACGAGATCTATCCCGGCGACACATCCTGCGATTTCAAGACCCTCTCGGATGAGCCGATCTTGATCAGCTACTGCTGCGCAAACACCCACAACGGCACTCAAGAGATGACGGAGGAGCTTAATATCAGTCTTCTCCAAGCCTACTCGCGGGGTGAGTGTCCTAGGACTGACCATGAGCAGACGGGATGAAGCTTAACTCACAGAGGCTACGGGAAACGCGGTCATCGACTGGCGCAGGGTTGGCGACATCGCGGCGGCGGTCGTGAACGCAGCCGGAGTCGTTGCCACCGGCCGCTTCCTGCTCGTATGGCCTGCCGTCTCCGCGATCAGGACCCTTATCGGCGCCATAGTCGGTAACAGGAACGGACCGCTCGCTTACGGTGTCATCTTCATCGAGAATCCGCAGGAGATGAAGGCAGTCGACAGTCAGCCCGACGCCTCGCACTTCAAATTTCTCACCTACCGCTGTCAGAACTTCAGCCATGGATCTGACTACGAGATCGAGTGCAAGGTCAAGCCTATGAACAAGGAGGACAGGAACGCCATTGGGATCGCGTGAACTGTAAGCTGTTGCAAATCTCAGATCGCGGCTGATGCTCATCTCATCGCAGTATGGAGCGTGACGGCCGCAAGTGACGGCGGATGAGAGGACGGAAGGGTGTGATGCGGTCAAGGGGTTCAGGTTACAAATCGCAGGGTGTCCTCATGGCTGTTTCTTTGTCTTCGAGTTATGGTTATCAGTTAGTGGGAAATGTAAGGTATATCAGTCTACTCTGAGAGGATCAGCTGCATGGAACAGGACTGGACTCCTTCAACGTCGGCGACAATAGGTGTGATTCGATATTTATTAATGGGCCAGAATAGGAGGTCGGTACTCAGCTTCAGGATGGGTACATTGCATGGGAGGACTGCTCGAGGCTCACGCTCGCCAGGGCCGGATGCGTTCCACCAGGACCTCAAGTCTACGAGGTAGTAACGCTCCGCCGCTAGCGCTGCCCTGGGATGGCCCGCTTCATCGCCCACCAAGTCACCTCGTGTCCATCGCACGGCCGCATTTCCCTCCCAGCTTCTTGGAATCCGAAGGAAGAGTAGAACTTGACCTAAGTTGAATCAGCACGGTGCATCTCTCCCTCTAATCCCGCAATCAACAGCTCTTCTCGTATGACCCCACCGCCGACGATTCCGCCCGAGAGCGACGGCCCAGCCCCGAGTGAAACATGACACAACTCACCAGCTCCGGCTCATGATCAAACAGCGTCATCTCCCATCCCTGCTCATCCCCCCACTGGACCACCTGCTCCATTGTCTCCCGGCCCAGCCCCTTACCCTGCGCTTCGGCAGCCATGGCGAACATGGAGATGTAGAGGGAGGCGTCTTGTACGCCTGGACCGAGGGCGCGGGCGGAAAAATCATTGCAGAAAGGTACGAGCTAGTAGGTCAGCCAGGTCCTGGAACCTCAGTCACGCCAGCCAGATCGACACATGGCTTCCAGGACAAAGCTCCGGCAGGAGGGGAGAAGGGGAATTGCTCACATCCTCTTCGACCCATATTCGAGTCTTGCGCTCCGCCTCGCTTTCATCCTTCACCACCTTATCTTTATCCCCGTAACTCTTCTGCCTGTGCTCGTCAGCTCGTACTCCCGTTCGGTCCAGTATGTGCTGCAGCGTAGGCAGTAGCTGGGCTGAGGACCTTCAACTTACAATGCCGCCATGTCCTCCCCTGGCATAGTCACAATCACAGTCCCCACCATCTGCCCCTCGCCCCCTTCACCGCCTCCTGGTTCCGTACCGGATACCGGCTCGGCCTTCTCATAGGAGAGGAAGAGACCGCCAGTGGCTGAAGCGGCCTTGACGCGGCTGCGCATGAGCTCTAGGAGCGTCGGTCTGTCGTTGTGCGCTCGGAAGCGGAGCACGGGCGCTAAGTCATCAGCATCCGCTCCTCGATATATGCAGTCTTGGTAGTTCATGTTGTGATGGTGAAGTCTTGACAGATGATACTAGATTGAGTAAGGAGACTCACAGTTGCATGTCCAGAACCCATGGCACAGAATCTCCGCTGCAGACTCTTGCTCCGCCGTGGTAATCTCGCCCCGCTGCTGTACGACGACCCGCGGGGCTGACCGGGTAGGACGAAGCTGAGATGCGACAGGGGTCGACATGAGGCGTATCGATCTGCAGATGACTGGGGATGGTGATGGTCGTGATAGCAGAGTGGTGAGTTGCCTAATTGGCATCAGGCTTTGTCGAGTAGGAGATTCACCGGGAGCTTGACGCGCAGGCGGCAAATCTTGTAGGAAGTGTAGGTAGGCGGACGAGGGGTAGATAGCTACACGAGTCGCGCGGGTGGGGATACCTATAGCGAGTCGACTCGTATATCGAAGCTTCATTCAAAGCTGGTCGACTCGCATGGCTCAAGCCGCTAGCGGGACTGGCCGACCTCCACTTCGGAGATCTCGATCGGCAACAAGGAGGCCGAAGGCTGGTAGGTGTCACCCGACCGGATCAACGAGCCCTCTACTAGATCCTGCGATCTGTGATGATGTAGCTTGAAGGCAGACAGCTCTGAACCGCGGACCCGTGGACAGCTATCACTGCATACGAATGTTCTTCGCCCCGTTCAGATCATCCTCAGCCTTCCCCCCCTCGTACCTCTATCGATCTACCCGCCTACTTGCCCAACCGCTTCCTCTGTGCTCTCGTCGCCTGTGCTCATCAGCCCTGTCCCCATACCATCCAGCTAATCACAAGAAAACTCACCTTCCTCCTCTTCTGATACTTGTGCTTACTAATCTTCTTCTTCCTCTTCCTCTTGACACTGTCCATCACCACCCCCAAATCACTTATATCCTCAAAGTTCATCTCCCCCGCCGCGCCCCCACCTATCCTATACACCTGTACCGAGACCGTCATTCCTCCATTGGAGCTCGAGGCCGCTCCGACGCCTTCCCCTCTCCTCAACTGAGCGTATTTCCCATTCTGCCTACTCCGTCCTTGCCTAAACATCTCCTCCCCATCCGCCTCGCCCGCTTTTTCGAGCTCGACCCCGATGGCTGTATCCTCCGCCGCCTCCGCCGCCTCCACGAGGTTCATCCTCGCCAGGGCGCTGTCCAGCCCCCGGAGCGCCTCGTCCATCTGCACCTTCTCTCCGGGGGACGCAACATGCCGCCGGACTTCCTCCTCTGCGACATCCGCCAACCCAAAAGCTGGGACCTTGTCCCCCAGCTTGGCTAGCGCCGTATCGAACGCCTGCTCAGCGAAGAGCTGGTGCTTGACGTCCGACTCGGCCATAAGGCGCATCACGTCCGGAATCTCCGAATCGTCCCTGAATAACGGGCCTTGCGTGGGGGCGGCGAGGTGGTGCCGCAAGGAGGGGTGGGAGAGGGCGGCAAGAACCATGGTGTGGTCGTTCATGGCTGAGGAGGTATCGCCGACGATAGGCATCCCGTCTGGCGAGGTATCGAGCAGCTTTTTCCGTAAGAGACCGCGAAGAGGTGAGCGGGGTGCGGGCGGGTCAAAGGGTGATGCGCCGGCAGCGAGGGGGGTGCGGGGCGGGGAGAGGAGCCGCTCTGTTCCGAGGTTGGCCATGATGGGCTGATGGGACGGTGTCAGGGCGAGGTGGAGGTGGAGTGGGTCAGGGTAGAGGGGGATAGGACGGAATGTGTAGTCTCGAGCAACGGGGATTTGACACTGCGAGAAGATCCCCTTGATGGGAGAAGGATCCACCGAGGCGAAAGAACGGAGGAAAGACCATGATCTCCGCCGCCTACCCTCCGTCTTCCTAGAAGCCGCAGGTGCGGCAGGTGCGGAGGACGTGTACGCTGATGCCTGAGCAAAGAACCCAGCGCTGGACGCAGCAGCCAGGCGGTCAGGACGCGGTCGGACCTGTACTGCGGACCGATGCGGTTTTGACCGGCCGCGAGAGCTCGATGGGGTAGGGGAGGGCGATGACGAGGGTGATGAAGGGTGTTTGGCGGAAAGGGAGGATGAAGGGGGTCGTGGGCAGGAGGAGGCCGAGGTGGAGCCGGAACGTGTGGCCTGGCGGGAGGCGCTGGGCGTTGCGCTGACTACCGAGGTGAAGACGCGGCGGGCGAGCATCGCGAGCCGGATATGTGAAGTGTGAAGAGCTGCTATGCCCCTAGATATCTATATACAGTAGATGGAGGGTGTGAAGGGGGTAGAGTGGTCGCTGTCCTTATCGCTTGCGCCACCCAACACAGACGAAACTGAGTCACACGCCTAATCAGGATTTACCCCTTTCGGATGAGCCTATACCTTTCAGCGGCGGGCCTAATTCACCAGTGATGCCATCATCGCTCGTCCACCTTGGCTCGAGCTCATTGCGACGACCATATTGACACTCTACACCTTACCCACCTCAGCACACTACAAACAGCCGAGTACAATGGCCATCCCAAGAGTGAGCTGAAGTTAGCTCCTTGACGAAAGACCCAAGCTGACCGCTTAGGCTCAGTACGATCCCCGCCGGGTCTTCCGGTTCAGTCTGCCCAAGTTCGAAGTGGGGCCCAAGACTCGATCAGCAGGGACATACCTTTCAGGTGGACTGGTAAGCTGCTCAAGACGCATATCCTACTCATTCTTCCTGACCTGCACCTCACCTTCACCGCGAGGCAGACCCTTCGGACATTGCCGAGGAGCGGCCAAAGAACGTAAATCTGACCTGGCAGTTCGCTCTGTCCTTCTTCCTCCTGCTGGACGCTGCGACCCTCTCGAAGCATGCCAAACCACCATCAGACGCTCCACATGATGTAGTGCCGGTACACATGTCGTTTGTGGACTGGATACCTGCTATCTGCTCTACCAGTGAGTCCTACGCCGAGCACCGTGGGTCGGTCTATGAGCAAGAGGAGAGGAGGGGTTCCTTTGTCTCGTCCTGGACCGCAAGGATGGAACGGAGGGGAGATGAGCTAGTGGACTGGGGGACTGGGGGACTGGGGGACGCCCAGGCTATACGAGCAGTATGGACTGCTGTCTGCCCTGAATCATCCCTGTCACTTCCCGTCCTTCTTCTTTTTCCTGTCAGGCTCCGAGACAGCCGCCTCAGCTCCAGCTACACCTTCGACGTGGGTACCAGCTGACTCTCGCAGTCGGTTTCCTCGTCGTCTCTATCCTCGACAAGTCCCACCTCTCCGCCGCCTTCTCAGGGGACGCATGGGGCTCTTCCGACTCTGCAGCTCGGCGTGCCCGCGTCGTGCTCTTCCTGGGTGTAGCTCTGCTCGCCGGTGGTCTCGCTGGGAGTCTGGTATGTTCTCTTCCTGCTCAAGTAGTGTGGCTATAATGAAGTCTCCGTTACAAGCTGACTCCGCAGACTGTGCTCATTCTGAAATACATCATCCCCGAGTATAATGGGTATCTGTACTATGGAATAGCGAATGTCGGGATGAACGGGGGAATCATGTTATCGTGAGCTTCCCCGATCTCTCGATGTTCGAATGAGCGCAGGATGAAAAGCTGACAGAGGCAGAGCTATGATATTGTGGGCGGCACAGAGCGGGAGCGATGAGTATGAGTATCAGTTGACGGTCTGAAGGGGTGATTGGGGTATTGTATAGTGTAGTGCGCAGGCATGTAATCTTGCCAATGGACTTCAATGGAGAGACAGGCAGAGCTCGCGATCGTCAGCTTGATCTCCAACCCGTGGCCTGCTATAAAGTCGTGACGTGTGAGATGATCTGAAGCAGCAGAACGCGGGACGGGGAGGCAGAGCAACGGCGGAGCAGAAGACATCTTCTCCGGCAGTGCAGCCGTGGTGCATCGAGAGACCCACCGATCACAGTACTGGCTCATGCGTAAAAGCCAGACAATGCAGCAGACGAGCCAGAGTAGTGCCAAAGTAATCAGAGAACTAGCCAGGCTGCATGACTACAAGAGAGATGGCCGGCAAATAAAAGAGGAAAGGTATAAATCAAAATCAGACATCCCCTGCACCCCCCGCCCAAACCAAAAGCGCCAGTTGAAGAAAAGGGTTAGAAGCCGATAGGACAATCTACGATCGCTCGCCGCGGAGACGACGGGCGAGCTGGAGGTCCTTGGGCTGGATGGTGACACGCTTGGCGTGGATGGCGGCAAGGTTGGTGTCCTCGAAGAGGGAGACGAGGTAGGCCTCGGAAGCCTCCTGGAGAGCCATGACGGCGGAGGACTGGAACCGAAGGTCGGTCTGTGGATCAGCGGGTGTACTTGGCAGAGGAGGTGGTGGGAGGAAAGGGAGAAGATGAGATGGGGAAGAGGGATGATAGGGGTGAGGGGTGAGAGGGAAAAATGGCTCACCTTGAAGTCCTGGGCAATCTCACGGACGAGACGCTGGAAGGGGAGCTTCCTGATCAGGAGCTCGGTCGACCTGACTGGTCAGCCCTAGCCCTTGAACACGCGAGGCAAAACAAAGAGACAACTCACTTCTGGTATCGCCTGATCTCACGGAGAGCGACGGTACCGGGCCTGTACCTGTGGGGCTTCTTGACACCACCGGTAGTGGGCTGCTTGCGGGCGGCCTTGGTCGCGACTGATGATCAGCTACTGGCCACGATGAGAGAAGGAAAGAGAGAACATACGCTGCTTGCGGGGAGCCTTTCCACCGGTGGATTTACGAGCGGTCTGCTTGGTGCGCGCCATTGTATATGATGTGCTGTGTTGGTAGTGGGTAGTGGGTGGAAGAGAAGAGAGGAGACAAGTGACTGTATGTAGTGGATGGATGAAGAAGAAGGGGGAAGAGGAGAGGGGGAGCAGGGTATTATAGGCTGTGGGCTTGTTTGTCTTTGATTTCCAGTCGCGTCACCGTGAATGACGGCACAATCAGGCACCAGCCAAAATGAATGCAGTAAAAGGTCACGTGCAGGTTGTGATTGTGATAATCCCGCGGGGTTACGTTTTGGAAAGGACGCGTGGAAGATAGCTTGTCACCGTCACAAGGTGCGATGCGGCGATATGGGGGTGAATGGGTGCTGCGCTGCGGGGGGAGAGCAGACCAGCGGGGACTGGTGGTGGTGCGTGCTCTATGCATAGGACTGAATGAGGTCCAGCGAGCGAGGGAGGAGCAGATGATGCATCGATGGACGCGACTGATTTTGCTCAGGCTGGCGCAGCTGCCAGTGTCCGCGGCGCGTCGCTGGCGCGTCTCGGCCAGTATTTTGAGTCGCTGCGAGTGGGCAGCTGCATAGACCTGTACTCAGCCACAGCCTCGCCTTGTAGTAGCTGCATTCCAGTCGTACGCACATGAATGCTCAATGCTGGCCAAGACACCCATAGCTGGCAACGCTCCTAGATCGAGTCTCAGTACGACGCGGTTAGGAGTGGCGGGGCGGGGCGGGACGTCTCAGCTGCGCTGAAGAGCATCGTATGTGCGTCGGCTGCTGCTCTATGCATACATAGTCGTTCTCTAGTATCTGTCTGTCTCTCTCGCACATGTGGCCTAATGGCCTCCCCTGCTTGTCTTGCTCGACACTTGTCGAGGCATTGCGCCTGGTCCTGCTTGAAGCCGATGCGGCAAGACCGAAGTGGCAAAGTCACTGTGACTGTGGCGGACCGGTAGCCCGTAGCCTTCCTCGCACGACGTTACCAAGCAGCTTCACGCAGAGGAGGATCAGCAGTAGGAAGATGCGCGTTGTCTGTGCTGATGGGGTACGAGAGCCTCAGGGTGGCGCCGATGGGAACGATGACTGATCTCGATGAGCCTAGTTTGGCCTGGGTCCAGGGAGATGAGAGTCTGCTCCCCGCGAAAGGTTTGGCGGATGTGGATGTGCAGGTGTGAAGGTCGTGAGAGGCGCAATCCAAGCTGCACGCAGGTCAGAGAGATGTACGAATGTCCTTTTGGGCTGCTGGTCTCGCTAGCTTGGCAAGTTGGGGTATCGACTCTGAAAGGATAAGCAGGTCATGATGAAATCACCCGCCTTTTATATCCTTGGACAGGCTGGCTCTCTTACACCCGCCTGGAACCCATGTGGTAGCCGAATGGGACGATATGGTTACTGGCCGATGGGACTGCTCGGAAAGTACCGTCCCCGTGTGGGAGACTATAAGACTTCTAGATAGGAATGCTTGGTAGTGCACGAAAAGTCGACGAGCACCTAACACCTACCGATAGCGACATGAGGGTCTGACACACATGCATGAAGGCGAGTGTAACAGGAAAGGCTAGCAGCATAGCGGGGAAAGGAGCAAGAAGCGACAGCGTGCGGGTGGCAAATCCACCCCCTTCACTCCCCAGCCTAGGCTGCGCCCATCAGGCTGGCTCTCATCAGAGATGTCTGATATCAGGAGAAGACATGCTGAAAGGTGGACTGCAGCAAGCTGTACAGCATCGACATAGCTGCGACCATAACGTACCCAGAAACAGGTCAGAAGGGAGCACATATGGCGGGACACTCCGAGCCCGGGCCAGCCTCATAGTGCGACAGCAATCTGGTTTGAGAGCTTCCCTCAGCGCACGCGTCCGTATTGGCGACTACCTCTCTGAACGTCTGAGCGTCGACGTGAAGAAACGAGTCGCTGGCCTACTTCAGCCGCTCCCACTTTGCTTATATCTGCTTGCCTCCAAGCCCGCTTGCTCAAATGGCTGAAGCAGTGAGATTGATCATGATGGAAAGAAAGTAACTCTGATTGGACCGCTCGCCACACGACGTGATCCCTCCTGGAGCATACAGTGCTTATCGACGGCGTTGCACGCAAAGGCTGACAATCTGAGAGCTTGATACTTGATTCAACATGGCCGCTGTATGTGTGATATGTATTCGTGGTAAAAAGATCTGCATGTAATCGTCTGTATGTATAGTTTGGACAAGTGTCATATCTCTCTCTGACTCTCTCTCGCAAAAAGGCTGAAACACCACCCGACACCGACAGCCACAACCGCACTCTGAGACGCAGAACGAGACCGAGCGACAGTGCGATCAGTCGGCCTCAATAACAGTGTCATCCTCGTCGACCGAGTACGGCGCCCCTTCTCGTCCAGCATCGTGACGCGTCTTCGCTTTCTCCACCATGTCCTCTCCCAGATTGTTCCCGTCCAGTGTAACAAGGTCGCCATCGGGAGACACGAACAATTCACTGTCCGGTCGGGTGTCAAAAAGGGGAATTTGCGTACCATTGTGTTCGACCGTGAGCTGCGTCTTGAAGTTCTTGGAGGTCAGGATCAAGGTTCCGAACCTGCTGTTGATTGCTTCCGTCTCCTCGCCCTCCCCAGGCTGATCCTAGTGAGGCATCGCGGCTGTCTACAAACGATCAGTCGATTCTGGAGACAAAGTCACAGCTAAAAACACTCACAAAAGGGCGAATGAAGGCTTGTTTGTGATGTGGCGGCTTTGTAAGCGCTGATGAAGTGGTGGACGGTGAGGCAAAGACAATGTAGAAAGGGCCACAACGGGGCGGGGACCGCCCTTTTAGATTATGAGCAGGCCGCTCGCGAGACCCCACCTGATTGTTTGAAGGAAGCCAAGGTGAAGGGAGCTCCCCAGCACGCCATCGAGTGATGTCGCCATCGGACGCCCTCATTAGTCCATCGCAATCAGCTGCTCCACACGGGGGAGTAGAGGACAAAGGATCGCTGACCATCATACGCGTTCGAGCGAGAGACCGAAGGGGACAGGATGAGGGAAAGTAACAGATCTCATGCTGTGCTTATCGTGAATGGAGCTCCAGCCTTGCGGACCGAGCGAGACCACGAGAGCCCAGTCTGAGCCTTTTTGGGGGTCTCAGGTGAGTACCCTGTCGCCCCGCCCCGATGCCAAGCTTTGTAGCAGCACTTCCCGAGAGGCTTCCTGATGAGCATGACCGGGTATGCGATTGCAGCATCGCCTGCTCGGTACTAAACTGTGGCTTTCCTGCAGCCCTTCTGATAACATGTCAGCTGATATGAGAGTCAGGGCATCAGCAATGCACAGACGAGCGAGCCTGCGCGGCTTCAAGATGAGGTCGAGGTTAGCGTCGAGTGGTGGGTGGCGAGGCGGGAGTGGCGGGCAATGGCGAGACCACGGCGATAGTGGCCTGGTGAGGAACCGGGTGAGGCAGTCAGAGTGTGTACTCCGGCATCACTAGCATACGTTAGCCTCGGCAGGGTTCTCAAAAATCGTCAACCTATCAAAAGGTCACTCAAGACTAGTCCCACCCAGATCCTTTAGCGCAGTCAGCCGGTCTGAATTGTGGCGGGGTATGAGTAGCGAGACTAAGGCCACAGATCTATTGAGCTGTGGTAGTGGCGTCAACTCCGCTCAATCATATCGAGAGGCATTGCCATGCAGGACAGAGCATCATCATATCAGTTCGCAGCCATCCAGCAGAGCAGAAGCAAAATTGGATGGCAAGCGGGGTGCGAGCAGAGTCGTGACGGAAGCTTGTTCCAGCTGAGTCACCAGTACCGCATGCATCCGCGATGAGGTGGTGACAGGAGCCATAGGTTTGGAGTGCTGGCTGGGAGCCATGACTGGGTAAGTGGGTAGTAAGGTATACATCACCTTATAGCCACTGAGACACTCAGCCACCTATCTGACGAGTCAGCAAGCTCAGGTGGGGACCGGTCAGTCCAGCCCCGCTGGTTGATGACTCGCTCACCTTACTCTACAGTCCGCACTCTGAGCGGACGGCCCGAGAGCCCACGAAGGAACAGTACGAGACCGAAACAGGAGAGCAAAGTGAGCGGTCTTGCTTCTCTCCCCCTCTTCTAGCTGGTCCATCACACCGACCTAGAAGCCCGCTCCAAAATGCATCAGTCTCAGCCATGCATCGTGATCTGCGCAGCGCAACGATCAGTATGATACATGCATGACCTGGGAGAGAGGTGAGGCGGCTGATCAGTAGTGAATCGAGAGACGAGATAGAGTGGTGAAGATTAGGGTAGTCTGAGCGTCTTCACTTACCTGAGCGACTGGGAATCCAAGGCGGTGGCAGTCACATTGAGCCGAGTTGCATTCTTCGTCGACACCTGCGTGATGTGGCGGCTTCGTATGCGCAGACGTACAGCGAAGCGAGGCGAGCAGCAGTGCGAAGCGAGCTAGAGAGAGGCAGAGTTAGCAAGCTCCGCCAGTGTCAGCCATCCCGCATGAGCGCTAGAACGCGAGCAACAAGTCAGACAAGCAGACGTCAACTCACAGTCCTGGGTTGGTCAGCTGCAGTCAAGTCGATCTCAGCTGAAGTGTAGGCGAGGTGACCGGTGAGTTGGGGCATGCAAGTGGATAGTGATGAAGAAGCGAGAAGACCAAATGCGAGAGAAGAGAAGAAGTCAGAAGACCAAGTGCAAGGAAGGAGAAGAGGTTCAGGTCACGAGTGCATGAGAGCCGCACTACAATAAAACAAAGAGAGCGAAAGCGAAGTTGAACCAAAGATGTAAACTATGAAAGGGAGCCACGACAAGAGACGAGAAGAGGCCAGAGCACCACCCCTCTACTGCTAGTCGAGCGATTAAACCTCCTGGGAAGCCTTGGCACCACCCTTCTTGGCGGTCTGAGGAAGTCAGCTGAAGTCCAACGAAACAAAGAGGCAAGAGGGGAGGACTGACCTTGGCGGGGAGGAGCTCGGAAAGGATGTTGGGGAGGACACCACCCTGGGAGATGACGACCGAGCCGAGGAGCTTGTTGAGCTCTTCGTCGTTGCGGACGGCGAGCTGGAGGTGACGGGGTACGATACGCGACTTCTTGTTGTCACGGGCAGCGTTACCGGCGAGCTCGAGGATCTCGGCAGCGAGGTCTGAGGATCAGCCGAGGTCAAAGGCAATAGACGAGAGGCAAAGGGAAGACTCACACTCAAGGACGGCAGCGAGGTAGACGGGGGCACCGGAACCGATACGCTGGGCGTAGTTGCCCTTCTTGAGGAGACGGTGGATACGACCGACGGGGACTGAGGATCAGCTGGAGTCCAAGGGCAGATAGAGAGCCAAAGAAGAGGAGACAACTCACACTGAAGACCGGCCTTGGAGGACCTGGAGGAAGACTTGGACTCAGAACCGGACTTGCCGCCTGACTTGCCACCGGAAGACATTGTTGCTGAGTTGGTTTGGGTTGGGGGGGTGGGGTGCGTAAAGCTGAAGTGTGTTGGTGAGTGATGAAGTTGTTGAAGTTGAAGTGGATGAGGAAGGGGGACAAGTGGACTGAGCTGGGGCTTATATGTATAGGAATTGTTGACGCGAAGGTCCAGGGCAGTCTAGTCTGCAGGGCCCAAGGGTTGTTTGCGCGTCGAGAGGTGTATGCGTGGTGCTGCAAGGTGGTGAGGGTGTACTCGAAAGCATAGGCCCCGGTGAAATAAAGTGATGACGTGGAAGATACGAAGGCGACGCGTCGTGTTTTCGCATACACGTGTATGCGAAATTCAGGTCTTGCCACCCAAAAGTGATGACGTGGAAGATGAAGTGACCATTTCGCATACACGCGTCTCGGCCTCCTTGCCTTTCCCCCTCCACCCTTCCCATCGTCTACACCTTTACCCTGCCAGTCACGTCGGTCCAGTGTTTACCCCTGTCCACTCTACGCGCCAGCAGTCAACACCGTCCAGCCCTTTAAGTACTAGAGCTATCCCCACCTTCTCCCAATTTCTTCCCATCAACCACTTCATCCACTCAACAGTCTTCTGTCTCAACAACTCTACCACCCTTACCCCACCCAACAACCAACCACTCCACTCACAATGGCGCCCAAAGCTCAGACCGCCTCCAAGGCTCCCGCTTCCCAGGCCTCCAAGGCCCCCGCCGCCGCCTCCAAGGCTCCCGCCAAGGTCAGTTCTCTCCTGTCTTCTCGCCTGACCTTTTGCTGACGATCAGGCTGCGAAGACCTCGTCTGCCAAGGCTGAGGGTGGCGCAAAGAAGCGCTCCAAGAAGAGGGTCGAGTCTTACTCGTCTTACATCTACAAGGTCCTCAAGCAGGTCCACCCCGACACTGGTATCTCGTGAGTCTTCTCTTCTCCTCATCTCATTTTGGCTTTGCTGACTTCTCAGCAACAAGGCCATGGCCATCCTCAACTCCTTCGTCTCGGACATTTTCGAGCGGATCGCTTCCGAGGCTTCCAAGCTCGCGTCGTACAACCACCGCTCTACCATCTCGTCGCGTGAGATCCAGACCTCGGTCCGGCTCATCCTTCCGTGAGTCTTGCCTCCTTCTTTGCTCTCTTCTCTTATCCTCTGTCTGGACTTCAGCTAACCCTACCAGCGGAGAGCTCTCCAAGCACGCCATCTCTGAGGGTACCAAGGCGGTCACCAAGTTCTCGTCCTCCAAGTAAGCGGCTCACGCTGTGGTTCTTGCGATGTGAGCGGTGAGGTGAGGGGCAGTAGTGTAGTTCTCTTCTTTCGTAGTGCCTTCGGGCAATCTTTGTTACTTCGTCTTCGCTAGCTCCTTGTTGAGATGAATCCGTCTCCTACAGCTTTGTCGCAGTCTGGACTTGTGGTCTTCAGCACGGGCGCTCTCGTCGAAGCCTCCACTCGCCATCGTCCTGCTCATAGGCTTGACTCTGCAGTTTGGATTCCTGGACAGCGCTGCTCTATGTTACCTCCTTTCGCCGACCTGCGGCCAGAGCTGGCGACGGGTGGTGCTGACGGCGCTCATGAGGCTGCTAAGGCATGCTCCTGATCATCACCGACGCCACACCGTACGCCCAGCTCGGCTCAACACAAGCTATCACATCAGACCTACTACCTCTACCCTAATCTACTCATCAACCTCCATCCCCCCATCCTCCGCCTGCCTCAACACCCCCGCGCCCCCATCTGCCCCTGATCCCTGCGCCACGTCCGCCTCGGTCGGTATCGCAGGCGTCGCAGGTGTCGCGGGCGTAGCTGACCGACTTGGACTCTGCACCCTCTCTTGCTCTTGCTCCCCGTCCCCGCCGTCATCGTCGCCATCCCCGGCTTCATCAGTAAGCGCAGGCGCAGACACCTCTCGCGCGTCCTCATCGTCATCATCGCCCATCTCTTCGTCCGAGTCTTCAATGAACGCTTTGGACTTGCTGGGACGTATCAGCTGGGACCGCTTAGAGCCACGTCCGCGAGGATTTGGATACTCACAATTTATTAGAATCCTGCGCCCGCTTGGATCTACCTCCACCCTCATCCGGATCTTCCCTCTTCTTCTGTTTCTGTCATATCAGCCTCCTTACCCCTCCCTCCTCATCTGAAGAAAACAGACTCACCTTCTTCCTATCCGCCTTGATCTTCTCCAACCGATTCCGTCTCCTAACCTCCGGATCCACCCCATCTTCCTCCGCCCCAGCGCCAGCCCCTGCAGTCCCACTCCGACTCCTACCCGACTCTTCATCACTACTATCCACCTCACTCTTCCCCCTCCCCTTCCTCCCCTTTTTGCTTCCTGTCCCCCTCTTTCTTCGCGGCTTGTCCTCATCCACATCCTCCCCGGCCTCTTTGCGCCGCTTCCGATCCGCAGCCTTATCCGCCCTCGAGGCTTTCCCGGCCACTTCGTCCGCTTGCCGCGCAGCGACCTCTTCGGCCCATGCGCGCGCTTCTTCTTGTTGCACCCGACGGCGCTCGGCGAGGATCGCGGCTTGTTCTTCGAGTTGCGCTCGGCGAACATCCTGCCTTGTAAGCTATACCCGTGCGAAACTGAGGGGGAGACTAGCGTACCTCGGCGGCTTGGATCTTGGCCTGTTCCTCAGCGCGCACTTTCCGGACCTCCTCGACCCGCGCAGCAGCCTCGGACTCGTATGCTTCCTGTCGAGCAATCTGTTCCGGCGCTTTGCGCAACACACCATCTCCGTAGCTCGCACGCTGGTTGGCAAGCTCCTTGTCGTATGGCAGGGCACTGGTCGTATCGCTCGCCAGTGCGCGGAACGTACTGCTATGTCAGCGTGGTCCCACAGCACCAGAAGGAAGCCGCCAGGAGGGGAAGCGATTGATGTGACCTACTTGCCAGCCTGTTGAGCGTGCAACATGGCAGTCTGCAATTCCTCCAGTGTCCGCTTGCTCGGGTGGAGCGAGAGCAGCATCTCGACTGATTTTTGCTGAATCATGGCGATGTTGTAGAGGATTGCGCGGTCGCTAGGTTGTATATGAAGTGCCTGGATGTCAGCTACCTGCTCGATGTCTACATCTTTGCACCACACAGCTTACCTTTTGAGCGTACGACAAGGCCTTACCCATGGCCGAGTAGTTGGAGTCGCGGTTTGCGGATGCATACCATGTCCGCGAGAGGTACAAGAGATTTGGGACGTTTCTGCCCTTAAACCTCGTCTCGGCAGCTTCGTACTGGATCCGTCAGCTGAAGACCCTCACACATGACCGTAGTGACCAAAGAACTTACCGCCTGGATCGCCTTCTCTTCCTCCCCTCTGACGAAATAACAATGCCCCATATTAACGCTCGTGCTCCCATCCGGCACACTATCATTGATCCTCCCCAACACGCCCAGCGCCTGCCCCGCCAGCCTCATCTTTAACTTGAGATCCTCCGCCGACCCCACAGGCGGCGCCGTCCCCTTCAACGCCAACGTATCCTCCGCCAGCGCAATCGCGAGCCCCTGCGCCGCCATCGCGCATTTTGGGTCGAGCACCAGGGCGCGCTCGTACGCCTCCGCAGAGCGCAGGTACTGCTTGGACCGATCCGCCAGCTCGGCAGACGACTTGGCTTCGCGCGCGACGGTATAGTGAATCCAGCCGAGTGCGCAAAAGGTGTAGACGTCGGCACGCTCGAATTTTAGCGTTTGGGACGTGAATGCCAGAGCTTCCTTGTGGGATCCGATGGAGATGAGGAAATGGGTGTAGGCGGATCGGAGAGGGAGGGAAGCTTCGTCCGAGCGGAGGCATTCTTTCAGGAGGTTATGGGCGTCCACGTTCCGGCCTTGCGAGGCGGCGATAGCGGCGAGCCGGACTTTAGCTGCGGAATATCAGCTCATGATCATCCTTATCATGCAGAAATTCGCCGACTCACACTCCATGTGCTCTGGATGTTGGCGCAAAACATCCTTATACCACTGACTAGCCTTAACCACCTCCCCTTCCTCCTCATACGCCCGTCCCAGATTGAACGCCAATACCGTCCGCATCATCTCTGCCTCCCCCCCGCTCTCCCCCGCAATCTTCTGCAATGCCTCCTGATACCTCGCCTCCGCACCCTCCAAATTCCCCTGGAGCGCATACAGCGCCCCCAGGTTACTCCCAATCTTGACCGCCTTCATATCCACCTTCCCATCCTTGTCCCCCTCATGGTCCACCCCGACGGAAACGGCCGTCTGGTACGCGCCCACAGCAACGTCGATGCTCTCGTCCTGCCACATCTTGGCCAGATCCAGAAAGATATCGACGTCGGTACCCACGCCCCGGAGTTTCGCCCAGTCCGATTCGGACGATGCCGAGGAGACTTGCTTATGCAGCTCGGTAAGCATTCGCCGGGCGGTAGCGCGGTTCCCGCACAGTTCGTCCGGTGTCATTCCGGGATGAGGGTAGTTGAGGAGACAGGCGTGCAGGACGGTGTATTCGAGGGGACCGGCGCCGTTCAGACGTTTCGCAGTCTGTTCGATAAAGTTGAGAGCTTCTCGAAGGTTTCCTGGAAGTATCAGCTCCTGTCTACCGTTTTTCGGCACCTGCTAGCTGACTCACCATTCTTGATAGCAATCTGGCCCAAAGTCAACTCGGCCAAAAAGTTGACCCCACCCGCATCCTCGCTCTTCGCCGCAGCAATAAACGGCCCCGCATCCGCCACGTCCCCGGCAACAAACCCCAGCCTGCCCCGCTCCGCATTGGATAGCACCGTATGCCGCTTATTATCCGAGTACTGGATGGCCCTTTCGGCGAGTTTGGACGCTTGCTCGAGCCGGCCCGAACTGCCCGCGATGGACGCGAGGGCGAGGGCGGAGGCTGTCGCTTGATTGTTGAGCTTGAAGGCCTGTTGAACGAAGGATACGCCGGAAGCCTCGGAGGTTAGGCGTTCGGATTGGGGGACGAGGGGGTCGCGGGCGGTATTGAAGTCGGCGAGACCAAGGAGGAGGAGAGATGGCCAAGAGCCGGGGTCCTGGTGGTCAGCTCCTTCCCCGCTTTCATCGTCTTCGGACTCTCGCCAACAGGCAGACGTACCCGCTTCAGAGCCCTATTCCAAGCCAGCCTCGCCCGGCCTTTATCTCCCAGCATCCACAGACTCAGCCCAAGGCCAATGCGCGGATCCGGGCTCATCTCTGGCGCCACAGCGAGCAGTCGCTGATATATCTCTAGAGCCTTGTCGTGCATGCGTCGAGCAAACATGAGGCGGGCTTGGGCGAGGAGAGCGATCAGGTTGGAAGGCTGTTTTTGGAGTTGGCGGGTGACGAGGGGTTGGGCGAGGGTGGGGTTTCCGCGGGCTAGGTGGAGGATGACTACTATGTGAGCTTCCTGATCAAGTCAGCATGGAGGTAGGAGCTTACTCTTCCCCAGAGCTAGTGGTGATGGCTCATCATCTGCTGATCCGCCTGACGACTGGTGTGCTTGGTCCGCCTTGTTGAGGTTCGCGGCGGCTTCGGTATAGTGAAAGTCTTTCAGATGTTGCGGCTTGAGCTTGTCGTACTCTATCGTGTCAGTTTAGATCCGGAGCCGTACATGGATCCGTCAGTATGAGCTCACTAGCATGAGGCAGGATAGCTCTCGGTGCAGACCTAGCACGAGCGAGGTGGAAGTGAGCGAGCATAGAGTGTAGCCTGACGAGCGCGAGGAAGTCTGGTGGTCTGCCCAATCCACCAGCGAACTCTACCCTCCGTCAGCTTCTGCTCCTTCTATGAGTCGAGCATCAAAGAGCTCACGTTGTATAGCCTTGACCAGCAGCTCCTCGGCCCTGTCCCACCGCTTGCACTTCCAGTGCTCCCCCGCGAACAACGTCCAGTCTTTACATTCCGCCGAGTAGTCGGCGAGCAGCTCGGGAATGACCTCGGCGATATCTTCGTCTCCGAGGGTATCGAGGTCGATCTCTGTCTGGACACCTCTGCTTGGGTTAGCTCTGCTCCGGATTTCGAGCGAAGGAGCTCGGCGCAGGGGAAGTTGGAAGGACGGGGACGTACGCAGCTCCGACAATAGCTACCATCCGGCCTTGTGGCTCTGTAGCTTCTGCCATGTTGACGAGCTGCTTCAAGGTGTAGGTGAAGGTGGGAGATAGGGGCTGATAGCAAGATGGTACAGCTTGGAGGCGGTCTGGCTTTGGTCTGGCTGGACCGAAGATCCCCCTGCGGCGGCACGCCTATTAAGCCTGCCTGAGTCCAGGAGCCTAATTACCCATTCCCCGCAGTTAGGCTCGCTGTGACCGAACCAAAAGTCCGAGGTCCGTTACGCCAAAGGATGCTCTCTTCTGACTCGGAAGTTGGTCCATCATTCATAGCGACAGGATTTATATGCTGGGTAGACACCTAGTACAGGCAGCTAGACGATCACTTCCTACTCGAATCACCCATCAAAGCACACGCATCCTCGCCCAAGAACCATCTGCATTCCTCAACTACCGCATCAGAACCATGTCCACCTCCCTTCACCCCGTCGGCTCGACGGCTGAGCCAGCGGCACCTTCTCAGCCCAGCGGGCCCATGCCGGATGTGACGGCGCCTCACGATACGGCTCCCCCTCCGCCTGTTGCCGCTGCTCCAGACGGTGAGCAGCCAAAGGGCAAGCCCCAGCAGCAACAGCAGAAGGGTCAACCCAAGGAGAAGAAGGAGAAGAAGAGCGGCGGTGGGGGCTCGTCAGGGCCTTTGGAGGTCACGCCTCCTCCCCAGTTCTTCGAAGATCGGATCAAGATCTTCGACGAGTACATGGCCAAATACAAGCAGCACATCGCTGGTGAGCTCCCTCCTCCCTTGAAGTCTGCTGGGCGCACAAATTGGCTGACGCCCAGACCAACCCCGCGAGCCAATTACCATCACCCTTCCTGACGGCAAGCAACTCGAGGGTACATCCTGGGAGACGACCCCTCTCCAGCTCGCCAAGTCTATCGCCGTCTCGCTCGCCGAAAAAGTTATCATCGCCAAAGTCAACAACCAGGAGCTATGGGATCTGCACCGCCCACTCGAGGCTTCGTGCTCTCTCGCACTCCTCGACTTTGACTCCCCCGAGAACAACTACGAGGCGCGCCAGGTGTTCTGGCACTCTGCCGCACACGTCATGGGCGAGGCGTGCGAGCGGCGGTTTGAGAATTGTTGTTTGGGGTATGGGCCGCCTATTGCGGAGGGAGGGTTCTTTTACGATTTCCATGCGGGCGGAAGGACGTTGAGCCAGGATGACTGGAAGGGGATTGAGGATGTCGCAAAGATGGCGGTCAAGGAGAAGCAACCGTTTGAGAGGTTGGAGTTGCCCAAGGAGGTTCTGCTGGAGATGTTCAAGGTGAGCTTGCTGGAATGCTACATAGTGCAGGAAGCTGACCTATCAGTACAACAAGTACAAGCAACATTACATCAACGACAAAGTGCCCGACGGGACCTCATCCACGGTGTACCGGTGCGGACCCCTCATCGATCTTTGTCTTGGTCCACACGTCCCCCATACCGGCCGTATCAAGTCTATGGCCGTCACGAAAGTAAGCCCTTCCCTAATGATCCGCTTCTTCTCCTATATGCCTGCTGCTAGTTCCGGCTGACGCTCAGAACTCCTCCTCCTACTTCAAAGGCCTGGCCACCGAGGATGCCTTCCAGCGGATCTACGGTATCGCCTTCCCCGATTCCAAGCAGATGACAGAGTACAAGAAGCAGATGGAGGAGGCTGCGAAGCGGGATCATCGCAAGATCGGGCGGGAGCAGGAATTGTTCACGTTTAGTGAACTGTCGCCCGGGAGCGCGTTCATGTTGCCTATGGGGACGAGGATATATAATACGCTTCAGGCGTTTATCAGGGTATGTCAGCTGGAGTTGGCTGCCGCGCCTGCGGACACGAAGAGCTGATCGTTTCAGGAAGAATACTGGAAGCGTGGCTTCGAGGAGGGTGAGCTTTGTCGTGACCGGAATCGGAGACCACAGCTGACGAGTCAGTCGGCACGCCCAACATGTTCAACGCCGAGCTCTGGAAGAAATCCGGACACTGGCAGCACTACTCTGAAGACATGTTCCAGCTCAAAGTCGACGAAGACATGTTTGGTCTCAAGCCGATGAACTGTCCGGGCCACTGCGTGCTCTTCGACACCCGCGAGAGGTCCTACCGAGAATTACCGCTTCGATTTGCCGAGTTTGGGGTGTTGCATCGGAACGAGGCGAGCGGGGCGTTGAGTGGTTTGACGCGCGTGAGGAGGTTCGTACAGGACGATGGTGAGTTCGACTTGCCCCTCGGTAGGAAGAAGCCTAGAGGGATGAGAGTTGACGCATACAGCGCACATCTTCTGCACGCAAGACCAGATCGCCGCTGAGATCCGAGGCGCGTTCGAATTCCTCGAGGCCATCTACAAGCCTTTCGGGTTCACGTACAAGGTCGGCCTGTCGACGCGGAACCCCAAGAAGTGGATGGGGGACCTCAAGGTCTGGGACGATGCGGAAGCGACGCTCAGGTCGGTATTGGAGGAGAAGATGCCGGGGGCTTGGCATGTCAATGAGGAGGATGCGGCGTTCTACGGGCCTAAAGTGAGCTGTGCCGAGTTACGGACGGGCAGGCTGGCAGACAAGAGCAAGAGCTGACGGGTAGCTCGACTTCCAATTGGTCGATGCGCTCAAGAGACCGTGGCAATGCGGTACCATCCAAGTGAGTCCAGCTACGGACCGCGGGGAATGGGACATTAGCTGACCCCATAGCTCGACTTCAACCTCCCCGAGCGCTTCAACCTGAAATACCGCGCTCCCGCCCCTCCCAAGTCAGCCGACGCCGCTCCTAAATCAGCCGATGCTGCTGCCCCTGCAGCACCTGGAGAGTTGTCCCAAGACTTCAAGAGACCCGTCATGATCCACCGAGCCATCTTGGGGTCTATTGAGCGGTTCATGGCGATCATCATTGAGTCGTTTGGTGGGAAATGGTGAGTCTTCACCCACGTCTGTAGGGAAGGGGGAAAGTGGGAGAAGCAGGGAGAAGGAAGGACAGAGCTGACTCTTCTAGGCCATTCTGGCTCTCCCCTCGTCAAGTCGTCGTCATCCCCGTCGCTGCGCCCTTCAAGGCCTACGCCGCCGAAGTCGCTCAAAAGATGAAGGACGCGGGTATCTTTGCCGAGGTGGATGTTTCGGATAACACGTTGAACAAGAAGATTCGGAATGCGCAGGTCGCGCAGTGGAACTTTGTCATGGGTGAGTGGATGTTTTCGCTAGCTGTCGACGTGGAGAGGACACGCGGGCATGGAGGGGCAGAGGGGTAGGGCGGGATAGTAAGGGATGGACATGTGCTGATCATGCAGTTGTGGGAGAGGTCGAGGCTGAGACGCTCTCTGTCAATATGCGGAACCGGGACGACGAGGTGCAAGGGCGTGAAGAGACGATCAAGCTTGATGAGGCGGTGCAGCGTTTGATTGGGCTCAAGAAGAACAGGGCACTGGTTAGCAAGTTTGAGTAGGACTAATCTAGATCGCGTTGCGACATGCAGTCAAAGTCGGCCGGCACCTTGCAAGTCCAAGCGGACAATCGTACTCATACCGGCGCAGACTGGCGCCGGCGACTCAGGCTGATGAACAGGCGTCATGCTCACTAAGCACCAATCATGGTGCATCGCCACTCACTCTGTACTAGACCAACCACGTCTCCCGTTCTACACACTTCAGCCAGACGCCTGACCCCTCTCCCCAGCTGGCCAACCAGACGCCGAAGCCGCAGAGGTGAAGATCGAGCGCCGTCTGGTCAATGCACGACTCGGCTTGAGTTGCTCATCGTCCGCCTCATCCGCAGATGTGTCTTCGATGTCCTCATCTGAGGTATCATGCTCTTCGGTCGATGTGTCACTCTCCTCCGCTGACGCATGTCTCGCGACGTCCTTGGCCGCTTGGACTCGTTGCAGAGCCGCGAACAATGACGCTTCGTCCCACTCAATGGTGGTTCTTCGTCGCAGGGGCAGTGGAGGCGCATCGGACTTCTTGTCGCTCGGCGCAGAAGGAGGTGCCTCATCCTCGCTTGACTCATCCTCTGTGTCACTCGGACCAAAAGTGAACATTGCGCCCCGCCCCACGGGCACGGCAGACAACGTCCTCCCACTGACGATCGCCTCGTGACGGGCTGTGTCATCCTCGCTTGACTCGTCCTCATCACCGCTGCCTGTTCCAAATATGAAAGCCGCTTGCTGTCTTTTGGTTCGACCGCTCTTGGATAGCGTCTGCGTTGATGGCTGGGATCGCTTAATTTCTGCCATGATGTCTCGTGAAAGCGAGTGTGTTGACGTATGAGGAGAAGAGATGAGGGGGGAGATGACGGCGGTGGCGACCCTGATACCATCTCGCCCCAACTCTAAAGCACCGTGATGAGCCTCCTTTGAAGCACAGACCAGCCCAGGTTCCGGCCGGTTTCGAGATCATATTCCATGCCCGACAGCGAGTCTCTCGCAAGTTCTGGCAATACGGGGGCAGAAGAAAGGACTGAGCATACTGACGTTTCAGTCATTCCGTCCGGCGGCCCGCTCGGCGCCCACAGACAGCGGAAATCCGCCGAGCTCTGCGCCCTTTGGTCGGAGCGCTTTAGCATGAGGTCACATTGACATGCAAGACACAGCGTCAGACGGGATCTGGCAGATAAGATGCATAGACCTATGGACAGGATAGCTGGCGGGGAAAAGCAAAATGGGCAATGGTGCATGTCAGGCTTCAGCCGATCTGGGGATGGAGATGTGTGGACTTCGCGCTTCGGAGACATTTGAGGTGGTGAAGGTTGTCCGAGCTGACGACTGGACTCATTGGCCAGTGCTCAGTCGCCGCGCGACGAGGTTGAAGAGAGAGACGATACTCGCTGGACGGTAGCCCCGGCCGGCGCTAATGTTTTCCCGGCCGCCCGCTTGCTCTGAGATGAGCTGGCCGATGTCACAGGGGTCTCGTCGTATTCTTCCGGAGTGGCATCGACAATTTTCCCACCCTCCTCCGTATCATCTGGACCAACCTTGAACTCCCCAAAATTGGCCACCCAGTTTTGAGTGGAGTCCGGGGCCGACCGTGAGGCGCGTGAGGACGAGAAGGGATTCCAAGACGGCATGTTGCTCAACGGTCAATGGTGGAGGTAGTGTGGTGAGGTCGGGGCCGCGTACTGTCGAGGCGTGCGCTGGGGTCGGAATGGCAGGATAATGTAGGAAGGGTACAGATAGTAGCATCATGGCGCGCCACCTCTAGCAATCGGGGTACACCAGACGTGCGCGAGGTGCAGATATCCTTTGACGCGCAGAGTTGCTTATGGTCCGGCCGGTTTCATGGCAGCATCAATGCACGATCGTATATCAGTCTAGCATGTTCTATGTGCTGGTGTCCAGTAGAGGGCTGCCATACGGGATCGGAAAGGCCAGAGATAACAGGACTGAAGGCGGGCTGAATGACAATGACAGAGGACTTTACCTCTTGCTCGACTAGCTAGGACGGGCGTTGCCAGCGCGGTCGACTCAGAGCGGCGCATGCTCCAGCAGGTCCAGGAGCAGGCTAGATTGCATCTCACATCTCACACCTATCACTGACTTCTGTCTGATCCACCGTTCCCATTTCACCGCCAAAGCCTGCACTCCCGTGCCACAGCGGACGCGGTCGGCCCCGATCTGCTCAGCGAGCGGTCTGCGAGGCAGTATCGTTTGTCTTCTGCACGTCGAGTTGCCGCTGGAGTTCCCGCTCCTCAGGAGTCATCACGCGCTGCTTGCGACAATAGTCGTCCATCCCCAGTAGCTGGCCCGCCGAGAGTCTTTTGAACGGACCTCGGTCTTCCGGCTCGGCTTCCCACATGAAAGCACTGGGGGCGGGCCGGAGCATGGTCTGCCTGTCCAGACTGACGGAGGACTTTGTTCGTTGTAGGGACAGATCGCTGCTCGCGTGAGCAGACAGACTTGTGGATCCAGCCTTTGCCGACTCCTCTGAAGCGACCGCTACTGTCTTGCCGAGATCGCTGCCGTACTGCGTGCCAATAGTAGTGTCGTCACTGGTGACGCTCATTGCGGGCCTGGCGTTGTGGGATGAAGAAGAGGTCGGAGATAAACGGTGGTCGATTTAGGTTGAAGGGCTGCCAAGTTGACGATTGACGGGAGTGGGAACACAAGCGATACGGAGGGTCGCATGACCGAGTCAAGCCAGCTTCTTATAGGAGAACCGGCACGCTATGCATTGCCTGCATGTTCGGGTCAACGCGGGTATAGGCGCCTTCCTGCGCCATTGCGACATCGCTTGGGTGAACTTCGAAGGCATATGACCAGATCGGGACCGTGTTGAGCCGGGCATAAAAGGAGGGCCGCGTAAGTGTAAATCAAATTTGCGCAAGGCTAGAACATTCTCCGCAGTGCGACGGGTCACGCAGCTGCATGGGCATCGAGAGACGCCACGGCCAATTCGCCACCCGCTGTTTGCCACCCCACTTTCGCCACCCACCTTTGACCTTTCTGCGAAGACGAGAACGTATCCTGGCCGTAGACATTGGTGGGAGGGTAAGCTGACCAGCAAGACAGGCAGTATATCTACCAGACTGTGCTGGCCTGTCTTACTTATCCTACAAATAGCAAGTCTCTTCAGTCAGCGCGCCGTAGGAGCTCGAAGACATGGGGGATGGTATGCGAGCGCGCGCGGATAAGCCGCTACCTTATAAGGAAGGAAGCGCTAGCCGATGGCGGATCTGTCCTTAGAAGTCAAGATGCATTGTGTCCGCTGAGTAACATGTGAATCGCCCCTAGCTCGGGACCTGTCTCCTCCCGAACGCTCAATTGGACGACTGATTGGACTGCTGGGACGGGGGACTCGCCGTCTGTGCCGTCTGTGCACCCGCATTCTGCGCCCACCACGCGTCCAGGGCCCGACCCGCCGCCTTACTCAGGTCGCGAGTCGCAGGAAGCGCCAGGAAGTCCTCTCTGGACATGTATGGTGCGGTGTTCGACGCTCCGGTCGCGGTAGTGTCGGTGCCAGTGGTGTTGTTGGAGTCACCTGGCATGCTGTAAGGAAGTAGTGTGAGAGGCTGTGTTGACTGTCTGTGTGTGATGATTCGGAATGAGGGAGCTGGAGGTCAAGCAGGATGAGTGGTTATGTGGGAACGGCCCCATGCGATCCGTCACTTTATAGCTCGGAGATGCGGAAGTGAGCAAGTCGTGAAACCCATCTAGCCTGACGAAGCCCTCTACGGCGCTTTGGCCGGATACCGGGCCTTCGGTCGGCATGATCGGTGTTAGCGGCTGAGACGTATGTGACCGACCCTGTCTTTCCCTCTTGACGGACTGCATTGTCTGCGATAGGTCGGCTACCGCGCCGCCGACTGGCCTCGGAATGGTGATTCGGACAATGTGCCATAATGAGCCGGGCCGCTTGTTAGTAATAGTGGGGATCGGCCTTCCCCGGTTGGCGAGATCGGCATCGGCCTTCCATCTCAAGTGTTATGTTCAGGGAAGATGTCATGAGAAATGGCTGTATCATGTGCTTCAGCATCTCGCCGTCAGCCCGAGCACGACCGACCTTACCGCTTTGGCCGAGTCTCATGCTTCGGGAAGGCACATCAACGGCGAGTGCACCGAGTGCAGTCCTTTCATGCTCTGATGTGATATCATCCCAAGCTACAGGATGTTCCAGCAAGGTCCAAAGTCCCAGTGGTGCCAAGGTGAGATTGCGACTCTCGCATGATCGTCGCGCCGCCGATCCGAAACGCCACTGATCGCCGAAACATGCATCCGAAACTCTGAAACTCTGTGCGGAATGTAACGCACGGACTGGATCCGCCACACGCGTTTAAATGCCGTCAGCGTGCCTCGGGGTTCCCTGAGGAGCCCAACAGGGGTGGAAGGGGGCAAAGGTCAGCTGAGCTCATGCATCCAATCATGGTAAGCAGAGAAGGGCGTATGGGAAGTACAAGAGGTGTAGAGGGGGCTTCCGGATGCATGCGACTCAAGAGAGTATACATTACCTGCATCATTCGACTACAAAATTGACCGGGAGAGGCAATTCCGCCGTCGCTTGGCTCGTCATTGCATCACCGCGCGCGCACGTCCCTTAAACGCTCCCCTCCCGCCGGGACTGCCTCCAACCATAGTCCATCCAGCCTCTCTCTGTGGCTGCAACTCATTCCGCCTACTATACCACACCATCAACATCCTTTGTCGTTAGCTGCCATTGTTCAGCTCAACTCCCTGTCGCACAAGCACCCACCAACGCGAGCCCCAAAGCTCCATACCGAACCAATCACGTGAACAGCTCGGTTAGCTGTTGCCTTCGAACCCTTCGCTTAGCGCTCCACTCCCAGGACAGGACAAGCACCCTGCACGCCTGTCTATATCACGACGCGTCTACTCGCAGGATCACGAGGAGCAGTCATACCAACTGCGCTAGCCACATAAGCGGTGAGTTGGTTGTTCAACCTGCATGGAGCTGGACGGCGGAGATGGCTTGACTGGACCCACCCTCGCGCGCTGGATCTCATCTCTCTTATCTCCTTCTCGTTTATCCCATTTGACACTCCGAGGCGTTTCACGGGAGATAGGGTTAAGCGGCGGTCATGGCGTGCGGCAGCGGGGAAGCCGGGACAGATGGGCTGGCGGAGCTGGATCTAGGAGATGCGGAGCATGGGGCGTGTTGGTGTCGGAGTGGGTGTCGGAAATCTTTGGGCGGAGATTCGGACCATGGCCCCTCCCTCCCTCTTTTCATCATCCTCTCCTGTCATCCCCTGGCGCCTCACAATCAGCCCAAACGTCTCACCTTTAACTCCCGCTCCCTTTCCCCTTTCCCTTGCGTCGTTTAGGCGGTGGCGTCGACTGCTCGATATGCTTCTGCCCGTATGAGGACCGCGCTGACCTTGCTTCTTCTAATCCTTATCACCTACTCCGACACTACGCACTATGATCTCCGCTGCCTCGCTTGCAACTCCGCCTGTGCTCGTATACCGGTCTACTATCCCCCCTCGCCTGGACGACCGCTCTCACCCCACCCTCCCCTCTTCCCTCGACGTATGATCATCTCTCGTCCTCTCGTCGCTCTCTAATCAATCAACCCTGTCCACCCTCTTTCGCCATATGCGATCCCCCGAACGTCCATCTTACCGCCCCATCCGCCCGTCCGCCTACCTCCCCCGCCGGCGCCGATCCTCTTCGTCCGTTCCCGCACCCATCTCCATGCCTCGTTCCTCGCTTCCGCGTCTACAGCCAAGACATCTCAGCTTCAGCTCGTTCGGCAATACTCAGCAGGTATTCAACATGTCAGGCGTCGGACTCGTCAATGGGGTGAAGGTGTCGCGTGAGTATCCCTCTTTGCGTGCGCTGGAAGCTGCCCAGAGACCGGGCTGTACTAGGAACTAGTTTGGACTAAGAGCTGACGGAACAGCGGATGACCCCAATCGCGTTGTCACTGTGACGGCCCAGAACGGAAAGACGGGAAACGAGGTCTCGATCAGCTACACCAACTGCAAGGTCGTCGGAAATGGAAGTTTCGGTGTCGTGTTCGCAGCCAAGATGCTGGGTAGGTCGTATGACTCTACGACAGGGGGAGGTCAAAGCTGATCAGCCAGCGAAGGACGGTGCTGCAGATGACGGCGACTCCGAAATTGCCATCAAGAAGGTTCTTCAGGACAAGCGATTCAAGGTGAGCAGATTCGCAACAAATGGCTGGAGCTGGGACTGATGGACAGAACCGAGAACTTCAGATCATGAGGCTGGTGGCACACCCCAATGTCGTGGATCTCAAGGCGTTCTTCTACTCGAATGGCGACAAGGTGAGCTGGTCTGACTGCGATGAGGCATGGCATAGCTGATATTGGTGTAGAAGGATGAAGTCTACCTCAACCTTGTACTCGAATTCGTGCCCGAGACGGTGTACCGCGCGTCCCGGCACTATTCGAAGCTGAAGCAGGCGATGCCGATGCTCCAGGTCAAGCTGTACATGTACCAGGTGGGTGTCCCTGCCCGCGGGAAACGAGAGAGCAGAGCCTGAGGCTGATTCTCTAGCTCCTCCGGTCTCTCGCCTACATCCATTCGGTCGGGATCTGTCACCGAGACATCAAACCCCAGAACCTGCTCCTCAACCCCGCCACTGGTATTCTGAAACTGTGCGACTTTGGATCGGCCAAAATCCTCATTGCGGGCGAACCGAACGTGTCGTACATTTGCTCGAGATACTACAGGGCGCCGGAATTGATCTTTGGTGCAACGAACTATACGACCAATATTGGTGAGTTCGCGTAAAAGCAGGGGAAGGGGACACGAGGCTGATTTCCGAAGATATCTGGTCCACCGGTTGTGTCATGGCTGAGCTCATGCTGGGACAACCCCTCTTCCCTGGAGAGTCGGGTATCGACCAGTTGGTGGAGATCATCAAGGTGCTGGGTACGCCGACGAGGGATCAGATCAAGACGATGAACCCGAATGTAAGTCCGATGTTTGCGTATCTCTGCTTTGGCTTGTTCGTGAAAGGTCGCGGAGATTGGATGGCAGGGGAGAGTCAAAAATAGAACGATAGTGCTCACTCTCCAGTACATGGAACACAAATTCCCCCAGATCAAGCCTCACCCGTTCACAAAGGTGTTCCGTCCCCGGACGCCCGCGGACGCCATTGCGCTCATCAGCAACTTGCTCGAGTACACGCCTACTTCCCGTCTCACGTGAGTTTCTTAACCTGTATAACCACCTGGGTAGTGAAGAGAGATGTGGAGCTGACTCCCAGCGCCCCCGAATCTCTCGTCCACGAGTTCTTTGACGAGCTGCGGGTCGAAGGCGCACGTCTGCCGAATGGAAAGGAGATGCCTGCCCTCTTTGACTTTACGCGCGAGGGTGAGTCTTTCGATCGGCAAGCTGGCAGGAGAAGAGCGATGAGCTGACACTATAGAACTCTCTACCCGCCCTGACCTCATCCGCCAACTCGTACCCCCACACGCGGAGCCGGCGCTCAAGGCGCGCGGGATCGAGATTGAGGGTTTCGTCCCAATTCCTCTGGAGCAAATGCGTATCAGTCTCGACGTGAGTGCTCATCTCTGCTGGAAGATTGAGAGGCTTAGCTGAGATTGTAGTAAACCCCATCTCTTCCTCCTACCCCACCCCTCCTCCTCGCCGCCTAGTCTTTCCCGGATCTTGCATCGCACCCCTTACGTTCCCCCCTTCACCCAACCCCCTCTCTTTCCCTTGGTCTCGCGGTACCTTTCAGTCATAGACGGAAGTCGCCCTTTCCGCTTTTTTTCCGTCTGTGTTTTCGTATCACGCTGGACTGCTGAAGCTGAGGAGAGGTGAATGAGGGACCATGGGGGAAAGTAATGAAGAGTGTGAAACTGTATGAATGAAATGAATGCATTGAAACGTATCTGAGTGCTGTGCACAGTGGCCGTGCACTAGGATCATGGAGAGCATGAATGATGGTTGATATGGCTACAATGAGACTATGTGAGTGATCGAATATGGAGGTCCTACTGCAGAGATCTACGAGACCATCTATACCAGCCTGCCCCCGCCCGTCTGCCCATCCCCCACCCCGACCCCTTGCTCCCTCTCCAACCGCCCCGCCAGACTTCTCTGCTGCTTGTATTCCGCCTCCCTCGCCTCCCTCTCTGCCCGCCTCGCATCCTTCGACTGCGCCTCCAACAGCGCCGCCGGCGGTGAGATCCGACACGTATCGCAGTCTTCATCCATCACTGCCTCTGGTTGCTTGACTCCTCCTCCTCCCGCGCCTGGACTCGGCACATGTACCCCCGGAGCCCTCGCTGGGCTCGACGGCGTATTGAGGGGCGTATTGGACGATCCGGACGCTTGCGTCAATGTATCGGAGATATTGGAGATGGCAGATGATGCGGCCGATAAGGCCTTGTCTTTGAGTCGGGCCTCGTCTCGGAGGACACCTTGATACATTGTCTATCAACGTCAGAGTCGGTCCAGTGGCCATGTGGGGGGGAGGGAGGGAGGGAGGGAGGGAGGGAGGGGAAGAAGGGACTGACGTTGGATTCTCGTTCTTGCAGGAAATGAACGCCCCATACTGTGAATGCCGATACGGCCATGGAGGATGCGAGAAAGATCTTGCTTGCGCGGGACATGATGCTGCGTGTCTAGGTATAGCTGATATGATGGGAGGTGGAAAGGTCATGCATGGAGCGAACTTTTGGCTGGCGAGATCGATCAGCAGCAAGATAGTGACGTAACACCCTGCCATTCGGCGGTCGCCGGTCAACCTTAAATGAGGAACGACCACCGGAAGCGTGTGTCAGATGTTGGCGGGCGTGTTTCAGGAGACAGTCAACCATACATCATCCTTATAGCAGCTATTTCCACCATTGGGGAGCTCAAGCGAGCATCAGATCCATCCGTCCAGGTCGCCCTACAGCCTCACAGCGCGAACGATCGATCAGACTTCACCGATCGACGCGTCTAAACTCCTCATTCCTCGCCAAAACGCAGCGAGGGGTGTTGACACGGACGGTCCGGGCATCATGTCGGGCAATAACATCAAGGTGAGAGCTGAGGACCGCAAGAAATGGTGATGAGATAGCTAACAGTGTAGGTGGTATGTCGGTATGTCACCCAAAGTACTGCATGAGCTCAGTACGCCAGCTAACCTAGACTCTCTTCTCGTCCTTGACCCATCGCTTCATTGCTATTCTATCTCCTCGCCAATCTGCGATACCGTCATGATGTCGCACATACAGGTTCCGACCGATGAACCGGATGGAGGTGGAGGCGCGCTCAGAGGACTGTGTCGACTACTCTGGCGATTCGACGGTGTTGATGAAGAACTCGGCATCATTAGGTACGTGCGGGCTTCTATGCGGTTGAACACGAAGCAAGACTCGCGCTTCGACCGTATGGCGGTCACAGCTTGATCTTCCTGGGGGTTCTCCGATCACCATCGAAAAAAAATAAGCTGATCCAATCAGCTGGGCCAGAGAAGGACGGCTTCACCTTCGATCGGGTGTTTGATACGGCGACGCAGCAGAATGAGATCTTTGACTGGGGAGTCAAGGGGATTGTCGATGGTACGTGACGGCGGGGACATCCTAAGCATCATGGCCAAACGTGCTGATATCCAGATGTGATGATGGGCTTCAACGGTACTCTGTTCTGTTATGGACAAACAGGATCCGGAAAGACGTACAGTGAGCTAGATATCGGCCCCGGTTGCGTGTGGTCTACGAAACAAGCTGACAATTGCAGCTATGATGGTAAGCTGACCACGCCTCTGCCTTGTTCTGGGCAAACAATCAGCTTACGTCTAGGGAGCCGACATTGACAAGCCCGCGCTTCGAGGTATCATCCCCCGGATAGTCGAGCAGATATTCGCGAGCATCATGTCGGCCGACATAGCGATTGAATATACAGTCAAAGTCAGCTACATGGAGATCTACATGGAGAAGATCCGTGATCTACTTCAACGTGAGCTATCTTCCTCCCCAACTTGGTACCACAGATCTAGCTAACTCCCCAGCCCAAAACGATAATCTGTCAATACACGAGGATAAAGCGCGAGGGGTGTACGTCAAGGGATTAACGGACGTGTATGTGGGAAGCGAGGCGGAGGTGTACAAGGTCATGAGAGCAGGAGGAGCCAGTCGCGCCACTTCATCAACCAGTACGTTTTTGCTCGACACAAAAGTGGGTATGGCTGACGTGCAGATATGAATGCCGAATCGTCTCGCTCACATTCGATCTTTGTGATTGGGATACATCAGCGGAATGTCGAGACGGGGAGTCAGAAGAGTGGGAATTTGTATTTGGTTGATCTGGCGGGATCGGAGAAGGTGCATTCAACTGACTGTAGAATGATGGCAGAAAGCTGACTAAGCAGGTGGGAAAGACAGGAGCGACGGGTCAGACACTGGAGGAGGCCAAGAAGATCAACAAGAGTTTGTCGGCGTTGGGGATGGTCATCAACTCGTTGACGGACGGAAAGGTGAGCTAATCCACCGGGACGAGAGCGAGGGACAAAGCTGATCTCATAGTCGACGCATGTCCCATATCGAGATTCGAAACTCACCCGTATCCTGCAAGGTAAGCTTACTCTCGCACATAGGCCTCAAGCAAGCTGACCCGCCAGAATCGCTCGGCGGAAACTCCCGTACCACACTCATCATCAACTGCTCCCCCGCCTCATACAACGAAGCCGAAACCCTCTCTACCCTCCGTTTCGGGATGCGCGCCAAATCCATCAAGAACAAGGCTCGGGTCAATGTCGAAATGTCGCCCGGGGAGCTCAAGGCCATGCTCAAAAAGACAGTCGCGGAGCTCGCGGCGGTTCGGGAGCACGCTGCCAAGCTGGAAGAAGAGGTCGCGTCGTGGCGGCAAGGCGTCAGCGTGGATGCAAGCCAGTGGGTCGGCAGTCTGGCCGGTGTGTCCAAGGGCGGGGCCGGGGGCGTTGGATCCGGGCCAAGGAGGGAGGTCATGAGTCCCCCATTACCGTCGGGACTTTCGACGCCGAGTCGAGCGGGTACGCCGGGAGGCTCGCTTTTGAGTCCGTTTCAGGTGGACTCGAGGCCTGATACGCCTACGGTGTATAGTCTGCCGATTGATGAGAAGGAGGAGTATTTGAGGCGGGAGAATGAGTTGAGTGATCAGTTGGCCGATAAGGTGAGCTAGCGGATACGGAGTGGGGATGAGCCAAAGCTGATGAGGTAGGAATCGGCGCTCGCTGGGCAGGAGAAGCTGGTAGCGGACCTGAGGGACGAGATTGCGTATCTCAAGGAGCAAGATGCCAATATCAGCAAGGTGAGCTTAGGCATTTTTTGTTTTCGTGCATCCAGTACCGGGCTCACTCGTACAGGAGAACCACGCCATCTCATCCGAACTTGCCGAACTCCGTATTCTCTCTGGCCGACTCGAATCTGAAGCGAAAGACGCGCACATCAATGTCGATACCTACAAGGACAAGGTGAACGATCTTCAGAGGGACATTGAAGAGCAGCAGGCGATGATTGAGGAGTTGCGAAAGGCGGAGCGGAAAGAAAAGGAGGAGGAGAAGGAACGGCGTAAGGAGATCATGTTGAGTGAGATGATGGCCAAGATTGACATGGTGAGCTGTGTCCTGCGTTGTTGTGGACGAGAAGGCAAAGCTGACAGTATAGGGAGGAACACCGTCCGACGCGACAAATGAAAAGATCCGACGACTGCTCTCAGCAATGGAGACTGAGTCGGACCCCTCAGGCGCCTTTTCGGCCAAAACGCGCGAACTGGTCCGTACGCATATTGCGGAAAATCAGGATCAGATCCGGGAGCTCCAAGAGAAGTCGAGGTTGAGTCATGAGGAGGCGGAAATGAATCGGGTGAGGAGAGGGGAGGTGGAGAGGTTGTTGGAGAAGCGGGAGGGGGCGTATGAGGAGCTGCTAGGTGAGTTGTCGGGCCCTTCATCGCGGATGCAGGCCAGCACGCGGGGCCAGAGCTGACGTGCAGCAGAGAAGACGAGCAGTAATCAAACGATGGTGCTCGCCGATATCAAGGTCAGTCGACGTTTTCGTTGAGCTTAGCTTAGCATAGGACTGGTGGCTGACGACTTAGGAGCAATACGAAGCCCGATACAAGGCGCAAGAAGAACTCCTTCAGGGCGAGATCAGGACAACGACCGAGCAGGCCGAATCGCGTGCGGCGGAGATGCGGAGATTACAAGCGACGGTGGAGAGCTACAAGCTGTCGAATGAGGAGTTGAACGTACGTTGTTGTTTGGTTCCTCGGCCGATGGTCGGTATTGAGCAGGCGATGGTGGTGGCGGCTTATTGAGGATGTCGAGGAAGAGGTTCTTTCTTACTTTCGGTTTTGCTCTACTTTACCTTTTTATTCTTAGACGGTTCTACTTTGTTCACCCCCTTCTCAGTCCCCCATCTTCGCTCTTTGATTGCTTGGCCTCCGTTCGTTCCATAACCCAAATTGTTCTATATCTCCAGCACGGCTCCCGCTCTTCTTATACTCCCTTCATACCCTGTTGGGTATAAGTCCGCCTCCCGAACCCTATCTACGCCTTGAGACAGTACCCCGCGCCACTCTTGCTTCCCGATTTAGTCATTACAAAACCTTTCCACCTTTTCCCCTTTACTCCTTCTTTGCAACGGCTTGCTGTGTGGCACCTTCCCCCTGGCCCGATCCCGACCTGACACTGTAGCGCGCCCTCAATGTCGCCACTGCCGGCTCAGCGACGGGCGAGTCCTTTGCCCAATCCACACAGGAAGCGGAACGACTTCGGAAGGCTATGGAGATCCAGCACGCCGAGTTTGAGATTAGCAAGAAGAGTCTTGTCAAGGACTTGCAGAACCGGTGTGAGAAGGTGAGTTCTTCAGCTGACTCGCGCCTTTACCGCCTAAGCAGGTCATGGTGGGAGAGCTGAGCTGATGGATACAGGTCGTCGAGCTCGAGATGCAGCTAGACGAGATCAGAGAGCAGTACAAGCTTATCGTCCGATCGACCAACTCTCGTGCACAGCAACGCCGAGTGGAGTTCATGGAACATAATCTGGAAGCGCTCAATGCGGTGCAGAAGCAGGTGAGCTGGCAGGCACGCGTACAAGATCTGCGGGAGCTGACGCGGGTAGTTGGTGGAGCAAAACACGACGCTCAAGAAGGAGATCAACCAAGCTGAGAAGCGGCTTCTGGGTCGGAATGAACGGATCCAGAATTTGGAGCAGGTGATTACCAACACGGAGCACAAGTATGGGATGAAGGAGTCCAAGTATGAAGCTACGCTCGCGGCTTTGAAGAACCAGTTGATACTGGGTAAGCTCTGATGTCAAAGGAGGATAAGAGCTGATGTGACAGCCGAGACGCAGCAGAAGTCCCAAGCGGCATTCAACCAGGGGAGAATAGCCAAGCCGCTCAGAGGTGGAGGAGGGCAGGCTGTGCCGCCGCATCATCAGCCCCAGACGGTCCAGAGGGACGCGCAGCCCGGTCAGCCGCTTTATCAGGCATTGGCGGCTGGGAGTCCGGTGGGGAGGTTGCAGAATGAGGAAGGGGGTGGGAAGAGACGTGAGCTACCTGTCTTGTTTGTCGCGGACTCGAGGGGTAAAGCTGACGAGGACAGAATCATGGTTCTTCGGGTCTCAGCATTGATGACCAACTGTTCGAAGGGAGAGTTGGGCAGACCCTGCTTTATACTTGTTCAGAGCAGGTCTTGATGGTTGTCATCCTTAGATGTGCACATTGATGCAACGCATTACATACGAGTACAACAGGATCTGCCACCGTTGACGATAGCTAAGACGGCTGGCCAGCTACCACCCCATTCCCGCGGTCACACCTCCCATGCCAGCCCGCCCTGTCCCCACGCATCGCCCTCCCCTCCATCCACCGCCTTACATACTAAGCCCGCAAACACCCTCATGATCTTTCGCTCCTCCTCGCCTATCCAAACCCTCTGCACTCCTTCCTCTCCCGGCCGAATCTCCCTCCCCACCCAGAACCCCTTCAGACCCGCTGCGCCCTCGTCAACCGCTGGTTCCCCTTGTCTCGATATCGCCCGGATGAGATCTTCCAGTGGTGGTGGTGAGTCCCGCTGGGATAGGAGGTCCGTCGATGAAGAAGAAGTAGGGGCGGAGAGGGAGATGGGATCGATCGAGAGACAGCGGGCAAGCATAGCTGATCGGGCGCCCGGGGTGGGGAGGGCGTCCAGCGCGCGAAGGATCGAAGGGAGGGAGGTGGAGGTGAGGAGGTGTCGAAGGTCGCCTGATTGAGCTGCGGAGTGAGCTGTCGGGCTAGCATGGAAATAGAGGGAAACTTGTAGCTTACCGATGCGCAAGAGCTCGGAACGGCGGAGTGGCTTGGGGTCTTCTTTCCGGAGTGGATCGGTAAAGATCGACTCGTCCGGCTCTGGCGGCCACGAGAGGGTTGTCAGAGCTCGTAGTGGTGGTGCAGGCTCCTCTTTCGCCTGGTCCGAGAGCCCGGTAGACCTTTCTTCGCCTGGAGATCCGCTGACTGGCGAAGGCGCAGGCGCGCTAGAAGCATCTAGCCGGCTTGGACCCGCTTCTGACTGATCAGGCGCGGGATGAGCGGTCTCTAATCTTATCAGCACCTCGCTGATGTACATTGGCATTACGCCACCTGGCCCACCTTTATGCTGCTTATAGCATGGTACGGAGCAGCTGCCTGTCAGTCAGTCGTCGCTCGTATACAATGTGTTGGCTCAGGAGATCTCACTAGCGGATGGGACACAGCGAGCACCGATATTTAGACTCGTTTTTCCGACAAACAGCGCAAGTGTTTGCCGCTGCTGCCTTCTTTGCTGTGGTATCCCGAGGCATAGTAGCGAGAGGTAATGTACTTGTAGATGATGGGAACGTTGTGGGACATCTTGGCTGGCGCGGGCAACCTGTCAACATTGCCTCGGATAAATACCAGAAACTCGTCGCGGGAATAATCGCCCTTATAACGACGCTCGCCAGCCAAAACCCAACTCCTCATTCCGCAACCCGACCACTACAGCCCAATACAGCCAGTATGAACTTTCAGAACGGCTACAACGGAGGAGGAGGAGGTGGATACAATCCCAGTATGGGCGGAGGATTCGGAGGCGGGAACGGCTACGGAGGTGGAGGTGGATATGGTGGGGGAGGTGGAGGTGGAGGGTATGGTGGTCAAAGGGGTGGGAGGGGAAGGAGAGGTGAGCTATGGTTCCAAGTGGCCAGGAGGATCAGCTGATGTAGGCAGATGATAGAGGTGGAGGAAGAGGAAGAGGTGGAGGACGCGGCGGAGGGTTTGGAGGCGGTGGGGATCAAAGACCGCCAGTACCGGAGAGCTCAAATGCGAGAATGAGGAAGATGGTCGTCAAGTTTGCGGATGAGGAGGTGAGCTTTGTGTGTCCAATTGAAGCATATGAGATCCGTAGCTCATGTACTGCAGGACTTTCACCCAACTGAAGACCCGCCCAGACTAGCCAAGGTGCTTCGGAAACAATGGCGCGAAGGGTCCCATGGCGTCATGGATGGTTTCCGGATAGGGTGAGCTGAGGACAGGTCGACACGTACGACTCCTGAGTAGCCAGCTGATATGTCAGAGTGACGCAAGAGCCGCACAAGCACGCACACTACGTCTCCCTCCTACTGGCCATCTCCTACCGGCCCGCAACAGCAAAGGATGAGGAGGATCCAGAAGCTGTCGAGCCAAAAGTAGGCGAGAAGCGTAAAGCTGGTGCCGCCGAGGAGCCAGACTGCCTCAAGGAGATATTAGATGATATGACGAGGGCGTTCAAGGGGTGGGTGCAGGAGCGAGAATGGCTCAATATGCGATTAGGCGTGAGTCCAGTCGAACTGCATGTCGGTCGAGAGCGATGTACTGATGTGCCAGCTGCAATTCTTTTCGCTCCTTCCAGCTGCGGGACTGTCCTTGACCGCTTCCCTGCTGGAGCTGTACAAGTCGCTCCTGTCGGTCCTTGGGGAAGTCGGCGGGGGAGGTGATAGGGCGGAGAGAGTCATTCGGGCTGTCGGGGAGGGCTTGCTCAGGGTGAGTTCTGTTATCTCCGTCCACTGTGCGGTGAGCTCGAGCTGATATGTACAGTCCGGCCAACAGCTCCGGGAGCACTTCCCTTCCGAGATGGACAGCCTCATCGACTCGATCGAGACATCCGTTGCAGGCCGGCGGACCGGCAAGCTCCTGTGCGACCCATTATCACCGATACTTCCCGAAGGCGAGGAAGCCGAGACATACCAGGATGTACGCTGAGGTTTCTGCTTGGACAAGGATATAGCTGACTCTTAGTCCCTCGACAATCTCCTTGCTGCCTTGCAAGCGCTTCGAACAGACGACTTTGCTTCCCCCTCATGTCTCCCCGCTCATTTCACCGGTATCATCCCGCCAGAGGGTCTGGACTTGGCCGATGTATATGAGCTCCCGACCGTCAGCCTCCCGCCAGAGCTGTATGATATCGACGAGGACCGATGGCAAGTGGGCGAGGGGCAAGTGGGGAATCTGCAGCTGTTCGCTGAAGAGGTGAGTTTCTACCTCGAGCTAAGCTGACGGCAGGTCGTCTTACCCCCAAGTACGCCTAACGGCTGGATCATGCGCAGTACCATCCTCGACCTCGTCCACATCTTCGAGGTCAACCGGAAGGAAACCGCCCGCATGCTCCTCGCCCTCCCTCGATACTTTGCGGAAGGCACCTTCAAGCCTGCGGCTGGTGCGCCGGTCGAGGACGAGTCGGACAAGCCAGTCTCCACCCTCTCCCTCGAATCGCTCATCATCTCGACTATCCTCAACGCCATTACCCTGCTTCCGTCTTCACCGTGCAAGGAGGTTTATTACACTTCGGTGATTGCCGAGCTGTGTAAGCTTAGCCCGAACACCGTTGCCCCTCCGGTGGGACGGTCGGTGCGAAAGCTGTACAGCATGTTGGGGATGGGCGGGCTGGATATTGAGGTGATTAGGAGAATTGCCGAGTGGTTTGCGGTACATCTCTCAAACTTTGGGTTCCAGTGGATGTGGAAGGAATGGTCAGTTTCAAGGATCACAGTATAGGCGAGAAGCTGACTTTTAGGCTACCAGATATGGAGCTCCCCGCGTCGCACCCCAAAAAGGCGTTCATCAGGCGGATCATCGAGCTGGAGACTAGGCTGGCATACCACGACCGTATCCTCGACAGTCTGCCTGAGCCGATGACCAAGCCGGCCAGCGGTGTGATGCCCGTCGCGCCGGAACCTGTCTGGCCTTACGAGAAAGAAGGTGAGTCTAACTTCAAGTCATAGCTGACGACAGACCATCCCCTTCACGCTGAAGCGGCCGATTTCCTGAAGATCCTCCGCGCGCGCACATCCGCCGAGGATGTTCGCTCGCACCTCATCGCTCTTCCCAATGCCTCTTCAGGACCTGGCGAGCCCCTCTCGACCGAATACCGCCTCATGGTTGCCGAAACCCTCCTCCAGCTCGGCTCCCGCTCCTTCTCCCATTTCCTCAACGCGACCGAGCGATATGCCGACCTCCTTCGCCACCTCACGCCCGATCCGGCTTCGCGCCAGATCCTCCTCACTGCCGTCGGGTCCTTCTGGCGTGACTCGAGTCAGATGCGGCTCATCGCGGTCGACAAGTACATCCAGTACGGTGTTCTCGAGGGGCTGGACATCGTTGAGTGGACGTTCAAAAATGAGGAGCAGCTGGGTGGCGCCGAGGTAGCGGATGGATGGACGGATGGGTGGAAGTGGGAGATTTTGAGGATGTGTCTGGACAAGCATGTGGGGAGGGTGGTGGCTGTCCGGAGACGGGTGAGGCAGGTGGAGAGGGAGGATGAGGCGGCGCGGGCGAGAAGAGCAGCAGAGAGATTGGAGAGTGGAGAAGGGGTCGGGGAGGGGAATAGTATGGATACGGATGCGGACCATGAGGGTGAGTTTTTGAGCTCAGGTGCTGGCTGATATTTAGATACCCGACAAGATCGGTCAAAAGAAGCTCGGGATGCCCAAACCTCACTCGATATCCATACGACCGCACTCGAAAAGATACTCCTGGCGACTACGAAACACTTCTTAACCTCCCTTCTGCCCTGGACGACGCCCGCCTCGTCAGCGGGCAACGGGGTGGACGAGGGGCTCAAGTCTGTCCTGGCGTTGATCGAGAAGGGGGAGGATGGGTATTGGACCGTCAGGGCCCGAATGGGGTGGTATAAGGAATTTGTGAGGTTGTATGCGCAACATCTGGGAGGGCTGGCGGAGGTTGTTGAGAGGGATACGATGGGCAAGTGGGCTAGCAAAGCGGTGGAGGGGAGGGCGGAGGAGGTCGTTAGGAGTTTATGGAGGGCGGCGGTGGGTGCGGAGGAGTAGAAGAAGATGGGGAGATGTAAAAGCTGTCGTCAAACATGGCATGGCGTGGCCCGTGTTGAGCTATCGCTACAGCAACGTAACGGGCTATTCGAAGGCTTCGCCATGGTCACTCTGCCCACTGCCCTAACCACTCGATAACTACGGCCGCAGCGCTCGGAAGCAGAGTCGGCTCCGGCGGCAAGCGGCAAAACCTCGGACTTGATGCGGGGGATGATGTCATCCCCGGACCTGGGATCCCTAAGCCACTCAAGCATACCAAGAGCCGCAGGAGCCGCATAGCTCCAAGCTAGCTGCTATTGCTCCTTGCGAGCTGACACAATGTCTACGTCGTCTCTCGTCTCGCCGCATTGATCTGCCACTGCACCGCTCTCGGTGCAAAGGTTTGAGCCAATCCAGCGCAGATACGCCGTCCCGGTGCGGTCCTTGGCGGCTGAGGCTGCGCTGTGGGTGGGGCCCTTCGGGTCCTGCCCGTCGGCACCTCTGGCCGTCGGGACTCGGCGGGCGTATAGCTCTCCGCTGTGTGGGGCCACCAGTACGCCGAGAGGTGGTCGAGGTCTCGAGGAGACTATATACGTATAAACATGCCCCTCCCCCTCTTCCTGCTCACTTGATACCCTTGACCTCGCTATCACTATCACCTAGCCTGAGCGTCGCTAAACGGCCACCACGATGCGCTTCCCCAATCTCAAGCCCAAGCAGCCCGACTCGGCCGAAGTTCCAGCTTCTCAGCCGAGCCACCATGACCTCGAGCTCAAGCGGCTCTGCAAGGACCGGGACACGCGGTGGTATGCTGGCCACCTGCTCAAGCTTAACCTGGTGCTCTTCTTCTTGCTCATTACGAGCGCTTCCAACGGGTGTGTCTCTAGTCCAGGACAGGTCTAATGGATAAAAGGCTGATAGTCAGGTACGATGGGAGTATGATGAACTCCCTCCAGACATTGTCTTACTGGCAAGACTACTTCGGCAACCCCTCTGGCGGTCTCTTGGGTCTCTTGAACGCTATCCAGAACCTGGGGAACCTGGCGGGACTGCCGTTCGCCCCGTTCTTGAATGACAGGTATGGGAGGCGCTGGACCTTGTTCCTGGGATGTATCGGTGAGCTATTCAGCTCCTTTCTCAGGTCGAGGCTCAGTAAGGCGGACCAGCTCAAGCTGACGCTCAGTTATGATTCTCGCTACGATCATTCAGTCCGCTTCGCAGAATCTCGGCATGTTCCTCGTCGGACGGTTCCTTATTGGCTTTGGAAACTCCTGGGCGTCCATCGCAGGCCCGATCTTGCTCACTGAACTGGCGTTCCCGACGCACCGCGCCCCGATCACGAGGTAAGTCGAGGCTGTCTCAGATTAGGATGGGGTGGCTGATGTTTAAGTTTGTACAACTCGATGTGGTACCTCGGATCTATCATCGCTGCCTGGACTACCTTCGGAACGTGAGTAGTCTTCCCCATCTATAGGATCGAAGAACAGGCGGAGGATGCTATGGATGCCAAAGGACCCCTTGAATTTGTCTCGAAGGGTGGACTGAGGAGTTGCCTCCGAGCCCTGAGACACCCACCCTCCTTGCTGTTCATGTAGACCATGAGCTGACCCCTCAGACTCAATATCCAAAGTACCTGGTCCTGGCGTATCCCCTCTATCGTACAAGGAGTTCCACCGCTCGTCCAAGCCGTCGTCGTCTGGTTTATCCCCGAATCCCCTCGCTGGCTGCTCGACCACGATCAAGCCGTCAAGGCTCGGCGTGTGATTTCCAAATGGCACTGCGAGGGGGTCGATACCGACCCGCTCGTGGACTTTGAGTTTACAGAGATCCAGACGGCACTCGCACTGGAGAAGGAAGCGGCACGAACGACGACCTACATGGACCTCTTCAAGAACAAGGGCAATATCCGGCGCTTCCGCGTCATTATCGCCCTCGCCTTCTTTTCGCAATGGTCCGGCAACGGCATCGTCTCGTACTACCTCACCATCGTCCTCAATGGTATCGGCATCACCGAGACCTTCGAGCAGAACCTCCTCAATGGCTGCTTGCAGATCTATAACCTCATCACGGCGGTTATCGGGGCGTTGACGGTGGAAAAGGCGGGGAGAAGGGTTTTGTTCCTCACGTCGACAGGAGGGATGTGTCTGTCCTATATGGTCTGGACGATCCTCTCCGCTACCTACAATGCCCAGGCGACCGAGTTCGACGCGTCCGGAAACCCGCTGAACGGCCCCCAGTCGATCGGTAACGGCGTCATCGCGGTCATCTTCATTTACTACGGTTTCTACAATATCGCCATGTCTCCTTTGATTGTCTCTTACACTGTGGAGATGTGAGTCTATCTCTTGCTCTCAAGAGCGCCTGGGGCTTGCCTTGCAAGCCGGGGTACAACTCAGCGGGAGTGATGCTTATGATACAGTTTGCCCTTCCGAATCCGCTCCAAGGGCCTGATGGTCTTCCAGATCTGCGTTTCCTTCTCTCTCGTCTTCAACCAATTTGTGAATCCCGTGGCTCTTCAGGGTAAGCCCCTCCTACAACGCCCCCAGACCTAGCGGAGCTGATCCGCAGCCATCCAATGGAGATATTACATCGTTTACACCATTTGGCTCGCGTTCGAGTGAGTTTTTGCCTCCCGTCTCACAGTCCGTGCGCACGCTGACGACCAGGTTCATCTACCTCTTCTTCACCGTCGTCGAGACCAAAGGGAAGCATGGCATGGCCTTGCCGCTCGAAGAGATCTCGCGCCTGTTCGATGGGGACGACGCGGAGGTGGATCTGCTGGACCAGGGGGTAGTCCCTGGCGCTGCAGGGGACAGGCGTGCGAGCGACGGGACTCTACTGGATGGAGGGGTCGGGCTGGAGAAGAAGGGAAGTCAAGAGAGGGGTGAGATTGAGCAGGTGGAGGCTGTACCGGCGCAGGGCGAGAAGCGGTTCTAGGTGTTGTATAGTGATGATTGTGCCTACTTGGATTTCAGCGGAGGGTTGGTTTAGCGAGAGCTCGCAGCGAGGCTGTCGTTAACTTCTGCTCGCATCGCTCCTCTGTAACTCAGGGCTGAGGCCTGAGGGCTGCAAAGAAGCGCTCGTTCAGGAACAACACAACTCCGCATTCCTCGTATGCCGTAAAGACTCCCTTAGCGCACGGATGCGGCATGACTTTTTTGTTGACAAGCTTACTCCACTTTGGCCCCTGCATCATGTCCAATAGCCCCTCTAGGGTCAAAGGTAGTTGATCACCCGTAGACCTCCCTCCCCAGTATCATTACACTTTGGCGAAAGGCAAAGCACTGATCCTGCGATGCCAGCCCCGATCGGATCTTACGCCGCGCTGATCGCGTGGTTGGAGTTGGAACATGAGGGCTTCTACTCGTCTCTCGTCTGTCGGGATGTCCCAGGTTGGTCGACTCTCACTTGTCGACTGAGTACTGGGTGTTGAACGTCAATAGGAGCCGGAAGAGGCATGTTCGTCTCGCGCGATATCCCGGTAAGTCCCCCCGGGATGCCAAATCGGTCAGATCGCCGAGCTGATCCATCAAGGGAGGCGAAACGATGCTCGAGATCCCTTCTTCGGCACTTCTGAATCCACTGACCCTCCGCATCTCCCCGCTGAACACAATACCCGCCCACCTCTTTCCATGTACAAACGCCGACCGAGCCGTTGTACCTGTCAAGCGAAGACGACAGTCCCTGACGGCAACTCGGCTCGATACGACCCAGCTCCTCACACTTCACTTGCTCCTCTCGCGGGACCCGGAGGGAAGGCATCAGTCTGCATGGAAAGCGTACATAGCTACTTTGCCGGACTTTGAAGGATGGCATCCCCTCACGTGGGTTGCGAGCGGTGGTGAAGGAGTAGAGGAGCTGCTGGGATGTCTGCCGGTGGAGGCGAGAGAGAAGCTAGAGGACGTGCGAAAGCGGTACGAGGCGGACTGCGAGGTCTTGAAAGGTGTACTAGTGAGTCAGCGCAATCAGCCGATTGCCGATCGATAGCTGAAGGTGCAGCGCGTGGAAGACCCCTTTGCGGAGCAGAATCTTCTGGGTGTGCTTTGTGAGACAGACTTCCTGTGGGCTTGGCTGAACGGTGAGTCTTTCTTTGACGTTACTTTGTCTCATGAAGTAGGTTAAAGCTGACATACAGTCAATACCCGTACCGTTTCTATCCCACTTGATATCCCTGGCGTCTCATCACTGCAAAATCACACCCTCGTCCCCGTCCTCGATATGCTCAATCACACGTCCCAATCCTCATCTCAGATTCCCAATCCGCGACAATATCCCTCCTCCCCGTCCATCGCTTCTATACCCAGATCTCGGCACTCGGCGCCTACTGCACCGAACGGAACCAGCGTCGTCCCCAGCGGACCCAAACCCCGAGGGCTGGTCCGGGACGTCGGGCCCCTCATACCCGGCAAGATCGGCTTCCGGCTCATAGCGCCTCACAAAGGCCTTTCGGCTGGTGACGAAGTCCTCTTCGAGTATGGGAGCCATAGCTCTGCGACGTTATTTGCGGAATATGGTTTCGTTGAGGGGCCTTATGCGAGCGAGTCGGTCAAGTCGGATATGAACGATGGGCTCGCGGGGGTGCGGGTCCGACGGGCTCCAACTGGGTGGTTGGAGAAGGAACATGGATGTGTGGACGTCGGGGACTTGATCAGGGAGATATGGGCGGGAAGGGGGATGGACGATGCGGAGAGTGAAGAAAAGGAGGATGCGCTGAGAGCGCTGAGCTGTTTCAGGTGAGTTTACTTATCCCTTCCGCGTACCGGCAAAAAACAAAGCTGACTTTCAGTCGTCATGTCATACATACAACTCCATCACCTCCTCATCCCTCGCACAGCCTTCTCATGCTCCTTCGGGCCCTGCACCTCCCGCCCCATTCGACCAAGCTCGCCTCCATCAGAGCGGGACGGATATGCTATATCTCACCGACGAACGAGCAGGCTGCGCTAGACTCGCTGGAGGCTGTGTGTTCGACAGCACGGAGTCGGGCCGTGGAGGGAGTGCAACGGGTCAAGGCGCTTCGTCAGCGTTCAGTCGGTGCAGCTGTAGGCGTTGGATCGGGGCCGGAGAGATTAGACGGCTGGGTGTGGGATGGGCTGGAGGGGATGTGGGAGGAAGAGAGGGAGGTCTTGAGTGCTGTACTGGGGAGGATAGAAAGGCGGGAGACGGATTGGTAGGATCGGCGATTATCTGAGAGGGGATCTAAGGGGAGGCATTTGCGCTTTAGGTCAAATGTGGAGGCTGGGATGTATAATCTGTTGGATCTGGATCATGCTAAAATTCCTCACAGCAGCTGACGCGTATGTCGAATACGGCTAAACTGTGCGGTCATTATATGCATCTCAACCCTTCGTCAATCTGTTCCAACTTCCCCACTGTCATGCTCCGTTATATAAACACTTATGTCCCAAATGAATCTGGTCTAACGGCGCTGGTGCAAAGCCTGTGCCGGGGCAATCCCCAACTCGCGCCTCGCTGCCTCCTCCACAGCCTGCACCTTCTCCCGAATGACCGCCTCGTCCGTCTCCTCCTCGGAGCGCATGACGATGACCTTGTCTTCAATGGTATTGTGGCGGGTGTCAAGGTAGAAGTTGGAGGTGAAGAAGCCAGCGACGACGGGGATGGCAGTGAGGATCAAGGCGGCGAGGAAGATGTAGTGCGATGCCTCCTTGTACGCTGGTATCGTCAGCCATTTCCTTCTTTCCTGAGAGGAGAAGCTACTCACCCTCAATGACCTTCTCTCGCGGCTCGGCAAGACGAGCGACGACGATACTGCCATAGATATCGGCAATCTGGGTTGAGTTGAGATCGTTACCCAGGTGCTTCTGCAGTGCCTCGGGAAGACGGTTCGTCCAGATCGACGCGCCGATGGCGGCACCGACCGCTCCGCCCGCTTGAGTCCAGAGGTTGAGAAGCGAGATGGCAAGCGCAGTGTCCTGGTGCGGGACCGATGCTTGCGCGGCGAGCATGGAACCGATGACGGAGAACCCACCGCCGGCGGAGCCGAGAATCTGGGACATGACGAGGACGGCATCGGTGGGGTTCTTGGAGGCGTAGAAGACGAGACCGTTTCCACTGATGGTGTCAGCGAAGGTCAGGTGAAGGTGAGGGAAAGTAAAGCTTACATGAGACGGAGAACAAGACCGACGAGCTGGATCCACTTGTACCGGTGAGTGTAGCGCTGGAGGAGACCGGCGACGATACCGAAGAAGCACAGTCCGACGGTCAAGATATTGGAGAAGAACGTGTAGTCTCTGTCCTGGGATTGTCAGCTTCTCTTGGCCGTCAATGGAGGATGCCACTCACCGACCAGTCCTTGACGACGTATACCCATGAGAGCCAGTAGGTCCCAGCGACGTAGTAAGACAAGAAGTAGAACTGGTCGTCAGCAGAGTACCGGTGAGGAGGAGTCGATGGACGTACGAAGTCAATAATGCACGAGCAGATCAAGCTCCGGTTGAGAACACGCTTGGGCATGATGGGGTACTTGGCAAACTTCCACTCGTAGCCAATGAAGACGATCCAGAGGACGGCGCCGATGACATACATGGCGATGATGGACGCTGGAGGTCAGTCAAGCTCCCAATGAGACCAGAGTGGACATACGGTTGCTGTAGCCGCCAACCATTGTGGTAGCGATGGTGGCGGGGACAAGGAGCAGGCCGAACGAGACAGCGAGGAGAATGAGACCGATGACATCTGTCCGGTGGAAGTAGTACATGGCGAGCTGGAGGCGGGTTTGCTGGGGTTCGGTGCCCTTGAGGAGCTGGCGCCGGACATAAGAGGAGGAAGCGAGGGAGAGGGCTAAGTGTCAGCGTTAATTTAGGAGAATAAGAGGTAGGCTTACCTCCAGTGCGCCGGGCTTTGCGGTCTGCCCAGAAGAGCACAACCAGAGCGGGAGCGATACAGACAGGAACGAGGATGATGAACATCCCGTACTGTCGGTCAGCTGACTTCCCAACCCCCAAATTTGTTGACTTACACCCCAGCGCCAGCCATTCTCGGAGAATGCAGAGATGCCCTCGGTGATGTACCCCGCGATGAAGGCGTTCAGGATGAACGGCGAAGCCATAAGACTGTTGACGAGACCGCGGTTCTGAAGGTTGGTCATGTCGGCGACGATGATGGTGTTGACTGCAAAGTCAGTCATAGGTTGGCGCGTGACAAGTGAAGGGGGACACACTCAGACTGAGACCAGTGTTACCGATGGTGAAGAGCACCTCGCCTGATAATTAGCCCTGTCCAGCTGTAGTCAGGGAGGAGACATACCACCAGCGACCTCGCCGACGGTGTGTGACGCAGCGACGATGATGTACCCGATCACGTAGAGGAGGACCGCGGCGGTATAGGCGGCAGGTCGACTGGAGAGGTCGCACAGCTTGGCAATGATGGGCTGGGCGATGGACGCCACGAGCCCGTTGATGACTCCGATCGTACCCAGAGCGGCATGGCGAGAGAAGGCGGACGTAGCAAATTGCAAGTCTGGCCATCAGTCCAAGTCTCGCGCTAAGGTGAGAGATCGCTCGGAACTCACAGACGTAGGTAGTACTCTGGCTCAAGGCGTAGACGTAGGCGATGAGACCGATGCTCGCCCACAGAAGGACGAGCCTCCATCCTCGACCAAACACAAGGTCTGACCCATCAGCTTGGGCCGTGCGCGAAGAGGAAAGAGTAGTGACTCACACAATGCTTCGATACGCGTAACACCCTCATCTTGGTCCTCCGAGACGAAGGACACCTTGTCGTGCTCCAGGACGTGTCGAGCTCCCTCCTCTCCCATAGGAACATCCTTGGACTTGTCGTGTGACTCGTGCTCTGCAGGCATAGTGTGTGCAGGTAAGAAAAGGAGCGGATGAGAAGTGAGAAGTTTCGAAGGGGGGGCCTTATATCAGATAAGCGGAACCAGGGTCTCGGGAAGATTTTACGGCTCAAGCGAGAAGGGGCGCAGCTCCACTGTCGCTCCACGCCCATTGTATCGGCCGATTTTTGCCAGAACAAGGGGGAGGAATGGACGCCACGCTGAGCCAAGTCCCCCGAAATGTGCTATCAGATTAGCGGGATCCAGGGGCGGTCGTGTGGGTCTCAGGGTGTAGCTTTCGGGTGGTTCGGGTTATCAGATAAAACGGAAGCAATGGAAGGAGCGGGGCGGAGTTACGGCTTTCGGCGAGGCCTCGGCCGATCAGCGAGTGTGGCGGATTCAGCGCTGAGATCAGGTTGTGGCAGGCCGTATGCTCTAGATGATTAACAGCCAGGTCTTGCTATAGCTTCTGAAGACATTCATGCAGATCAGCCAACCAGATTGTGGATCAGACGTCCGCCGTTCCCCTAGCCACCCTCTCCCGGCCCAACGACTGTAACTGATACTACTCTGCCACCTTGATGAGCAGCTTGCCCGTCGTCCCCCTCGACGTGATATCCGTTTGACTCTGCGCGACACCTTCCGCGGTGAAGGGATAAACTTTATGAATCGAGAACTGCTCGTCAGCCAGCCATTAATCTCCCTGAGTCCTGCCACTCACCTTCAAACCCCCGGCTTTGACCGCATCAAAAATCAACCCCGCATACCTCGCAAAGTCCTCCGGCTCCTCAATAAAGACATTCAACGTCGGCCTCGACACCTTGACGCACTTCGCCATGAGCTTAAGCGGCTCGAAAGCCGGGACCGCCCCGCTCGCATTCCCATACGTCACGATAGACCCCTTCTTGCGAATGACTTCAAAGTTCTCCTCCCAGGTGTCTTTGCCGACGCCGTCGTAGACCGCTTGCACGCCCTTTCCACCTGTGATCCTGAGGATCTCGGCGACGTTGTCGGAGGAGGAAGAGGTGGTGAGAAGGACGTGGTCGGCGCCGGCTGCTTTGGCTTCAGAGGCTTTGGCTTCGGTCGAGACGGTGCCGATGACGTTGCCGCCGTAGTGCTTGACAAGCTAAAGATCAGCGGTATTTCTTCCAGGCTGGCTTGAAACACCCACTTGACAGAGCAAGAGTCCCACACCGCCTGCTGCGGCTCGAACAAGGATCCAGTCCCCCTTCGTCACCTCATAGCTCTCCTTGACGAGGTACATCGCCGTGAACGCCGGGATGGTCATGTGTACGCCATCTTTGGGATCCACGTCCTTCGGTAGCGCTGCAACCTGATGAGCCGGCGCGACAGCATACTCGGCGAAGGCGCCGGCCGCGTTGGAAAGGACTGTCTGGCCGAGCTCGAGTGCGGGTAGAGAGCCGGTAGATAAAGGAGGGGAAGAAGGGAGAGACGCGATCGTGCCGACCAGTCCACCACCGAGAGTGAATGGCATAGGGCGAGGGTAGAGGCCTGAGCGGATGTCTACAAGTCAGCGGAGGTGTTTCGACGGAATGAGAAGACTCGTACAGGTGTCAATGTAGTTGGTTCCCCTGCTCGTCAGTTCCGCTACCAGGTTGATCTATCAGCGACTCACGTCCATTGCACCTTGATCAACACCTCGTTTGCTTTCGGACTTGGCACGGGGATCTCGTTGAGCTCAAGCACGTCCAAACCACCCGTCTTGCTGATCTGCTTGATCAGCCTCAGTCTTTAGCTCGACGGAACAGACTCGCCTGGATCGCCTTCATGGTCTTGGGAATCTGAACCTGAGACCACATGCTGCGGATGAGAGTTCTGGAAGGGTTGATGTTAGGGCCGAGTCTAAAGAATGCAGGGGATGGCATGGACGAAGTCTATGGAGTGCAGCGCTGGGATCAGTCAGCACGAGCATGCCATAGCACGTCCGGCTGACCACGGTCCGGCTCGGGGCAGGCCGGAATGCGGGGTAGGATGCGGGGTAATGAGGCTGACCAAGGCATGTCTCACGAGTTCCATATGTGCGGTCGCTACATGTCCTCACTAAGCACAGCGGATGGTAGTCGTGGCTGATCCCGACTGCCGCACAGTCAAAGGACGTCTCAGCCGCATCTCGCCTTGCGCGAGGGGATGTGACAGGTACATCTACTGGTAAGTCTAGGCGTCTAGTCTGCTGAAGAAGTCTATCATAAGTCAGATCCGCCTAAGCCGACGACAACCTAATCCCCAAGCCTCCTCTGACGTCTTCCGCTAGTGATCCACCATTCGCTTCCCTCGCCAGCTGACCCATCCTCCCACTCGCAGCGGCGTCGATGAACTCTATCCCATCCTTGATCCGCCAACCGTCATGCGACCCTCGATCATCCGTCTTGACAAACGTCAAGACCCAGACCAAGTCATTCTCCACCATCTCCCCCGCCGCTCCGTCCTTGTCCTTCATGGTGAGAAAGTAGCTCATCCGGACGCTGGCCTTCAGACGATACTCGTCAATGACCATATCCGAGATTTGGGTGCTTCCATCTGCAAAGTACCGACCGGAGGAAGTAAGATGGGCTCGGAAGCCAGAGTCGGTGGTGATAGGCGCAAGGCAAGGGTTCTGGGAGACGAGGTGGTTGTGGCCCCATGAGTGGGTTGCGTCGTCTGACCGGAGTGAGAGAAGGGTTGAGGTGTCGGAAGTTAGGTAGGCGACGATGAGGGAGTGGAGAGTTCGGTAGAGATCAGACGCGTACTCTGGACAGTCCATCTTTGATACTGTAGAGTGTGCTGGCGTAGTGATGGTTTCATATGAGTGCAGTGTGGGAAGGCAAGAGGTCTTTCGGACGATGCTGCCAACATGGATCTTTCGGATTTCGGATCCGGAAATTACCCCTTCGAGTAACTTTTCCGGAAAGAGGAGTCGAGGAAGCTGCAGCTGTCGAGAACTTTGTCAGCCTACTTCACTCCCTACGCATAGGCCACACTAGGAGGAGGAGGCTGGGACTGCTTGCTGAGCGCTGAGACAGGAGCGTGAATTGGTGAGCAGCCTGAAATTCAAGGCCGGTACGGTGCTGTGACCAAAAATAGACGATGGGCGGGTGATTGGCTGAGTAAAAGGGAAGTCCGAGCTTATCGAGTCCGAGCGTGTATCCGTCCGTCCCTTTTGCTCTGACAAGCGACTACTGACACACCCTCACCTCTTACTGATAGAATTACGAACAGCCACTACGCGTCATGATCGAGTGATGCGCTACATAGAGGACGGCGATATGGGTCGACGCAAGCCCCGCCGATGCGACTCTGAGCTCGTCTGATGCAATGATGGAGCAGCGTTTCATCTTTCCTCATCGAGCTGATGTGAAACACAACATGTCCTCATACCGACACGTATACACCTCCCTCCCTCCTCATTCCCCGCTTGGATCGCTGCTGTCGGGAGAAACAAGCTTTGCCTTTGGTTGCTTGGGGCGGAAAGGGGAGCAACGCCCAAAGGCCCCTTCACTCAACCACTCAAATGTTACCCCCCTTTACTCCTTGCCTTCACTTCGCTCGTCCAATCTGGCTTGGGTAGAGTAGCTTTGGCAGGCCTCACCGCTATGATGTTGACGAGTTGGGTGAAATGGTCAACGGGGGCGGGGGAGGTACTAAAAGAGACGCGCAGTCGACGTCTTGATCTGCGTTCCCCACTTGTCTTGTTTTATCGACCACAAACAGATCAGCTCCGCTTCACCCGTCAACTCATCACAGCTCGACTGCAGTCTACAGCTATTCATTCCCCCTCCCCCACCTGGATCAAACCAGCTTTGTAAGTACATTCCGCCACTCGCTCCACATTCCCATCCTTTCAGCTTGCCACTCCAACCCCTCTCGCCACTTTGCCCATCATGATGGGCCTGACTGACACCCTCAGACCCCTCCATATCCCTCCATCGACCTCCTACCGCCCTCACCATCCCAAATGGCCATCGCCATGTCGTCCCCCGGCCCCTTCTTCCGGAACTTCTCCAACAAAGAGAACTCCACCTTCACCACTTCCCCGCTCTTCACCTCCACCCCTTCAGCCGGCCCATCAACGCACAAACCTCGGGTAGGCGGTGTCGGTAAAGCTCCCAAGCGCTCTCGCGACGGCCACAGCACCAAGCCATACCAGCGCAATGCCTCGACTGCGCGCGCGAAAGCAAGGGCGACTTCACCGGTGAAAGGCGGGACGGAGGGGAAGGGAGCTCCAAAGCAGAAGGGAAGACCAGCGCCAATCATCACTTCGGTACCTATGATGAGGGTCATACAGCCCCCTCGTCCCGTCATTCGAGTCGCCAACATCCCAGTCCGGCTGCCTCGCCCGCGTGTTCCGCCTGTCATGTCTTTGCCTGGAGAGATGAGCCATATCGTAAGCCATCTCATCCCTTCTGATCAACCCTTGCTGATCCTACAGCCTATCGAGTGGGCCCTCCCCCGTCTCAGATCACACTTCCCTGCCTTGCTCGCCGTATCTTCCCAGTACCGTCCCCAGCCCGAGCACACTCGCCCCTCCGCGTCTCCCTCCGCGTCTCAGCGCACTTTCGCCTTTGCCATCCCGCAACTCACCGCCGACTCGGAAGGCAACGCCGAGCTAGAGGCCAAGATCAAGGGGAGGCAGCCGGACGTGTGTTTGGCTATCAAGGGGAAAGGCCACGAGGGTGGTGCAGCGAGATTGTTACCCGTCAAGTCAGTCCTCCCCTTATTCTTGAAGAATACAGCTGACGACTAGCTCGCTCGTATACGCTTCCCAATGCTCCTACTGGCCCCGCGAGACCGAAACCTCCGCTGCCAACTCCACCGCCGAGTCTGACCCCTCCAGCTCCACCCTCCCCGTCATCGCCGAAGAGTCCTCGGACGAGCAGGCCAGCTCATCCGACTCTGACGCGACCATCACCCCCGCCAACCGCTCCTCTCCCCCATCACCTACCGACAGCCCATCCTCTTCTTCCTCTTCCGACTCGGAGTCCGACACTCCCGCATCCACATCGCACATCCTCCACCTCCCCCTTCTGGCCCTGACGATCCCCCATCCTGCCTCCTTTCCCACTCTCCACACACACCTTCATCTTCCCACTCGACCGCTCATCCCCTCCCTCCTCGCCCTCCCGCCCACATGCCTCACCCTCGCCGACGCGGCCGCCGAGCTCGACAAGCAAGGCATGGACGTCCTCATGCACCGCCTCGAGTACATGCATGGGTTCTGGTCCAACTTGTGCGCACTGGGGATCAGCGGCGAGTCGAGCTGGAAGGGGTTGGGCGAGGCGTGGGGGTTGGTGATCGCTGCGGTGGCGAAACGGTCCAGGCCTGTCGGCGGCGAGGTGCAGGGGCAGGAGCAGGATGAAGAGATGAGCTCGATCAAGGAGGAGCCGATGTATATCGCTCCTGCCAAGGGTCATAGAAAAGTATAATATGGTCCTCCAGTGTACATAGTATAGTCATCCCCTCCTCGTAGTTATATGTTGTGTAAACACCTCCTCTTCATACCGTGGCTTCATGTATATGTTCCTTCCAGACCACTTCAGACAAGACGTGCATTATGCTACTGACTACACGATGGGACACATGATGAAGGACACTGATATGACCCATGCTGGTTGCTTGATATAGTACAAGCTGTCCCGCCAACCCCTCTCGCTTACTGCTCCGGCACGTCCGCTACCTGGGCGACAATCATCCCTTCCCCGTCTTCCTCCCCGACGTCTCCAACATCGCCGTCTGCATTGCCGCCCTCGTCGGCCATCTCAACATCTTCATTCCCATCTCCCGCCCCTCCATCCTCCTCGACCTCCAGCTTCTCCGGCTGATCTCCATCCTCACCGCCATCACCATCGCCTCCCTCCTCCTCCTCCGCAGCAAGAGTCGCCGCCGACTTCCTCCCCTTCCCTGGCCCCTTCCTCTTCTTGGACGGACTAGAAGTACTCGTCCCCCCCGGCGAATCGCGCACATCGCTGACTCGCCTTCCGCCTCGTCTCCTACCGCCTCCCCGGCTGCCCCTTCCTCGAGCCCCAGCACCCCCTCTGGCCCGTCCTCTAGCCCTCCCCACACCGGCGGGCGACTCAGTCTCTGCTGCATCCGGCCCGTCCCCATCTTCCGGCTCTTTCCGCTTCACACCCGACTTGCGCCTAGAGCTCTTGGCTCCTCCGTCAGGTGTATCCCCGTCCCGGGGCTTGGCGGGTCCGCGCCTTCTTGGACCAGGTACGCTGGTTGGGCCAGTAGGACTGGGTGGGATTTCGGGTATGAGCAACCTGGAGCTGGTTGGCGGGGCGTAGTTGGTGGCTATATAATTGACGTCGCTAGTGTCGATGGGAAGATCATCGAGGATGATGAAGCCCGTAGCGTGTTTCGGATCCACGTCGAATTCCACCTCGACCTCTTTCGACTCCTCCCCGACCGCCATGACCGCGTCGGGAGCCGGATTGGCGTCAATGGCCGTCTGGCTGCTGTTCTCTCCGCCCTCCTCCCCATCCGCCAATGGCGTTTCCTCGACATTTTCCCCTTCCTTCTGCTTGCCTTTCCCCTTATCTTTCCCCTTGCCCTTTCCTTTCCCTTTCATAGCCCCCGGCCCCGCCGGCCCTCCCATTCCTGCGCCCATTGCAAGTTTAGGCACAATAGGCCTGACCCGTCCAGGCCGCCTAAAGCGCATCGGTTGATTGATATCGAGCGGCCGCGGACCGATATACCAGTCCAATAACGGCGCCGGGGTCCAGACGGTCGATTTGGCCGGTATGGGGCCTACCTCTTCGACCTTGACAGAAGAGTCGGCCGGGGCAGGGAGAGGCGCGGGATCGCGGTCGGTCGTTTGTGTAAAGGCGCCAAGGCCGGGTTCTGAGATCCCGCGATAGATCTGCTGGGCGATACAGACTGCTCAGTCAGCGCGTGGTTTCCCGTCAACCTAGCAGAGGGGAAGGACCAGACTGACCTATTCCGAATCCATCCGGTCGGATCGTGATCTCCATCCCGCCCATATCTGCCTTCAGACCTAGCACGTCTCCATGCTGCATGATCATCGATCCCGTCTCAAACACCTCCGCTGTCTTGGCGGTCTCGGTGATCTCGACTGGTTGGGCAGCATCGCCAGCCTCGGTCGTCTCTTTATCATGCGAGGGAGGAGGTAATGGGGGAACCGGTCGCAGCTGGATGGTAGCTTCAGAGCCAATCGCGAGGATGGCGAGGTACTCTCCAGGCTGGATCATGAATGTCTATCTGTCAGCTATATTCCGAGGCTGGTTATACAAGCGAACATACGATCGGCGGGGAGGGCACACATGGTGGTGGCATGACAGCAACAATGAGACTGTTGAATCGCCTATCCGTCAGCTCTGCTCACACTCTGAGCGAGGGAATGCACTCACTCAGCCAGTCCAGGGAACATACACCCCGCGCGGAAATTGATCAAGTCCATAGCGTCCAGACAAGCGTTCGGGGCACTCAACCACGGGATTGTATCCACCGCACTTGGGAACCCTGAGATCCGCTTCAGGCTCTCCGGGCCCATCGCTATCAGATAGAATGGACATAGCGATCGTTCCGCAGCTATATTGTCAGCCTTACTCACGATAATCACGACGGCAAGGCACTCACGTCGTCTAGACAATAATCCCATCATTCCCCTCCGCATTCCCACCGCCCCCAGACCGCGTCTCTCGTCCCCTCCTTCACCTTGCATCTCCCTCCAAACCCTACTTGCGACATCTACTACGCCCTCTTTCCGCGCGTGCAGCGCGTGGTATACTTCACTCGTGCATGTCCCGGCGCAGGCGTCAGACTTGTCCTTGAGCTGCAAAGAATGCTTGACGACCTTGACGTGATGTTCGTATATCGTGTAGCCCAGAGTATGCTTGATGGACGAAGGGAAGGCGGCGTGTCCAGTATCGGTGCGAGGAGCGCCGGTGCTGATTATTCCTGGATGAAGGGGAGTGTGGAGACGTTCGGGAGTGAGGGGTTTCCGAGCGGGGAAGATTTGGTGCTGAATGTCAGCTGGGGTTCCTCCCTTCCCCATACCTCATCCTGCTCCCGTTCTCCATGTACGAAGAATTGAGAGGGGCTAGACTTACCTTGCACCCCTCACAGTCCCAGCCGGACCATCTCCGCCTTTCATTCGCCATCCCGCACTTCCCACAAACCCAACCCCGCCAAAAGTCCCCTCCGAGCTGATCCCGCGTCAGGCCTTCTTCATTCGTGGCGAACGGGTCCGTCCCTCTTAGTTTCAGACCGAGGAACTCTGGCGTCTTTCGCTGGAGTGGTCGGAGCGGACTCGGAGTATTTGTAATCGGATCCAAGCCTATGATCAGCTCCGGCCCCATGTCCAGGCTAAGAAGAACATACCTCCTCCGCCCGTAGGCATAAAGAAGCCCGAGCACAGCTCATTCAAGCACACCTTCGCATCCCTATACACCGCCTCCGAGACGCACCCGCACAGCGCACATGGCGTCCTCTGATCCGAGCTCCCCACCTTCTCCACGGGAATGACGGTCGATGCCCCCTTGACGCCCGGGCCCGAAATCTCCAAAGGCTCAATGATGAACTTGTACTCGATATAAGGGGTGGGAGGGCGAGCGGGGTCGTCAGTTGGGGACCACCACGGAACGCCCTGGTTGCCTCTGCACCACTCGAATCTGAATTTCCAGCGGACGTGGGTTATTTCGGAGGGGAGAAGACGGCGGGATCGGGGGACACCGGGGTGCCACATCGACTCTGGTTCAAGCTGTCTTGTTAGCTCTGCATGCAGCGGTGAAAGATGAGGTGGAGACGTACCCAGGCGTCAGTCAGCCAGAACCAGCCCAAAACAACGAATGCGCGCGGGACTTTGAAAGGAGGTTCGAGATAGTCTTGCGCTACGGCGATGGCCAGGGGAGTTCTGGCGCGCTGAGCGAGAAGTAGAGCTTCGATTTCGGGCTCCTCGGTCATCTCGGTGACTTGGGACGACTCGGGCAGAGTGCGGCCATGCGAGTCAATGTGGATAGTACTGGGAAGAATGTTGATCCGGGGGATAGATGGACCAGGCTGATCTGACCCTGCAGCTCCAGCGGCGTTTTGCGAGGCCGAGACTGGCGAGTCAGACAACCGTCTGTCCCTTGCGCTCCCACTAGATACGTCAGCTATAAACCTGATGCGAGAAGGAGTCATTAGCTTACAGTCCAACCATAATGCTCCCCGCGGCAGCTTTTGCTCCCCAAAAATTCCCACCCCCAACGCTCTTTCCTTCCAGTATGATCCCCCTCGCTACTCCACCGACACCGACCTCCACACTTCCCCCTTCGATTCTGCTCGGATCCCGCAGATACTCTGCCCCGCCCTGCAGCGCCCGTCGCGTCGTCGACCACGCGGGACACGCCGCGCGCATATTCTTCAAGGGCGCTTTCCGGCCGTTCCGGTCTATACGAGTGAGGTATTTGACGTCATCGGGGGTAGCGACGGGGGGCTGGTCCTCTGATGTCTGAAGTGGACGGGTCACTGATTCGACCGTCATGTGCGCGGTAGTTGATGGGTAGCGTTGAGAGGAGGGGGGCGGTGCGGCCGGCGGTGTCGGCTTGGGAGGGAGGAGATTCCCATCGTCATCGATAGACTCTGGGTCGATTTCCTCGCCTCGCGAAAGTCGGCGTTTCTTCTTGGTGCGCTTGCCCCGACCGCCTTCCGAGGGCGAGGAGGGCGCGGGCGGCGCGGGTGGATACTGGGGAAGGAGGGTGGATGTGGGTATAGGCATAGTGTGCTCGAACCCATTGGCGTTGGCGTTACCGTTGCCGTTGATATGGGAGACAGGAGAAAGATCGGGGTGTTCAAGTTTGGACGAGAATGGAGATGAGTTGGCCGAAGCACCGATGCTGGCGCGCCCCTTTCCCTTCTCGGCGGCAGAGTACCGGCTACCCTCTTCCTCTTCCTCCTTCACCTGAGCCTGAGAGGGGGCGGCATCGAGCGACTCGCGAGGCGTCCCTCCGACCTCTGACTTGCGCTTGACCTTCAGACGCATTTGAGACCACTTGGTCCCCAGCTCGCAATCGGCCCCGCGGAGGGAACAGCGCTGGCACGAGGGCCAACCGCGATCGCAGTGCGTGGCCGCTCCGGTCTTGGTACAGCCTTTACAGATCGGCGGGAGGAAGTAGACCGCTGAATCTGGAACATTAGCATTGGTTCCTGTCTGCAGTCTGCTGAGGCCTGGTGGGATGGGAAGGACGTACGGGTGTGCTTATCGAGACCCATCCAGACGCTGGACTTGTCCACCCGCGCGTCCATATCCGCCGGTAGTCGGGCTGGACGGAACAAGGAGCCAGCAGGCAGGTTCGTGAATACCGGTTGGTGGGCCATGCTCTTTGCGTGTGGGTTGGGGATGGTAGTTTCGGGATAGGCCACGTCGGAGGGAGGCGGGTAAGGGGGTACGCAGGTGGAGGTACTCGCTCGTGGGGTGGAGCTGTGGAGTGAGCTACGAACACAAAGAGCGGATCGTAGCTGTAGCCTAGGATGAGGATGGAGTATGGGAGAGCCGCAGAAGAACGGCTGGGTACAGAAGGAAGAGACCTACCTGCCATTGCTAGGTTCATCGGGATACGATGACCCTATGCCGCTACCAGAGGGTGCGAGCGCCATCGTCGCTGCCATCGCGGCTATAGCGCCTTTTGTGGCGAGAGAAGCGCGCTGGTATGCTCACAGAGAGCTCTGTATCCTCTCAGAGATGCCCTACGACGATGCTGGCCCGAGAGGAGGAGAGGCGAAGATGAAGGAGAAGTACAAAGACAGGTTGAAAATGAACGCTGGCGGAGGCGAGTTGGACCCTCAAATCAATAGCAAAAGCGGCCTTTTCCAGCCTTTGACCTGGATTTACTGGTCATCCTGCATATAACATGGCCTCAGAACTTCGCAGGCGCCACCATTAGTATCTGATATGCCGCTCTGCGAAGTATGAATTCCATAGACGCTGATGTACACTCTACAGGTCGCCGCAAAGACAGCAAACTCATGGTCAAAACGACCACAAATCCGTCCGGTGCATTTTCGATTTCCCCGCTTGGCTGGCTGCAGCTGGGCGCCTAAGCTCTATATAGCTTAGCCTCATCGTAGCTCCTTTCTCTACTGTACATCAGCCCATGATGTTCCAGCGCATCAAGCGGTCCCTTGGCGTCGAATCGTCGCCTTCGAGACCGACCCCTTCGACTGCGGGATACGAGGCTATAGGCAGGGCAGGGGACGATGGGGAAGCTGAAGCTGGCGCGCTCCGACCAGCTGGGGCACGACGGGAAACGAGGCAGGAGGGACAGGTGTATTGGGCTTTCTGGGCTTTGGGGGCTGGTGTACTCTTATCGTGGAACGGTACGTCCCTACTCCGTCTCTGCACGCAACGCTAGGCTGGCAGCTAGAGCAATGAGACCGAGAAGAAGAGCATGGGAGGACGGGGCCGAGCTGACCTCACTAACAGTACTGATCTGCTCGTTCCCTTTGCTCGCGTCCTTCTTCCCCGCCGGGTCGAGCTACCGTACCAACCTCGCGAGCTACCTCAGCTCCGTATACTGCTTCGGGAACCTCGTCTTCCTCGGCGTAGCCCAGCGCAGCGTAGCTACTGTGAGTCCCACCCGGACCTGCATCCTTTCCCCTCCTCGTCGACTCTGCGTCGCAGTGACATGCCCAGCTACAGCTGACCGTCAGACCTCCCCTATTGCCCGGATCCAATGGTCCCTCACCCTCCTCATCTTCCTCTCCTTCATCTTCTCCTTCCCCATCATCCACTTCATCCTCCCCCCTCTATCCTCATCCCCCGCCCTCCTCCTCTCTCTCCTCATCGCCATCTCGGGCGCTCTATCGCTATCCACAGCCTACCTCCAATCTGGCGTCTTTGCGCTCTCTGCCCTCTGGCCACAGAGCGCCTCGTCTGACTCGGGAGCAACACTGGCCGTCATGTCCGGCCAAGGCGGTATTGCTGTCCTCGTATCGGCGACACAGCTCGTCATTGCCGCTGTCACCGCCCTGAACGGCTCGGGCGGCGGACAGGGGGAAGAAGGAAAGCCATCAGCAAGAGCCGGGATTGTACTCTGGATGCTGGCTTCCGTCGGCGCATTAGGGTGTAGGCTGGCTCTCAAACACGTGATGGCCCAACCGGGGTATCTGGACGTCATGGCCCAGGTCGGCCAAAGGCAGGAGGAAGGAGCAAGAGGGGAGGGCGAGAAGGTGCGGACGAGGACTGTGCTGAGAAAGAACGCGAAGCTGGAAGTGGCGGTTGCTTGGGTCTTCACGGTTACTTTGGTGAGCTCTTCAAAGTCTGTCTGTTTGTGCGAAGACAGAGCTCATCCAGAATAGTCGGTCTTTCCACCATTGACCACAGCGATCGTCTCGACGCATTATCCCACGCCAAAACTGCTCCAGCCGGCCGTCTTCATCCCGTCCCATTTCCTCATCTTCAACAGTGAGTCGCCTCTTTCTACACCATTAATGCGGATCGAGACTCCTACTGATGCTCTAGTCGGCGACTACCTCGGCCGGACCTACATACCCCGCCTCCCGAACTGTCTTCCCTCATCCCAGAACACCGTCCTCGCCCTCTCCTTTTCCCGCACCTTCCTCATCCCGCTCTTCCTCCTCTGTAACGTCAATCCGGATCCCACCTCGCCCGTCCACAGTACACCATGGATCAACTCTGACCTGGCCTACTTTACCGTCCTCCTCGTCTTTGGCCTGACGAACGGCTGGATATCGTCATTGTGCATGATCCTCGCGTCGAATCCTGTCCTTAATCCCAGGATCCAGGAGGGGGAGAAGGACGTCGCTGGGACATTGGCGGCGTTTTGTCTGGTCAGCGGGCTGGCAGCGGGGAGTGTGGCGAGTTTTGGGGTCAATTGGATCGTACGAGGTAGTTTTGTATAGACTAGAACAATATATGATTTATGCTGCATGATCTGATGGCTGGTGAAAGACGGTACTCTACGTATACAACATGACCTCTCTATGCGTCTATTCAATATCTTCCCGTACTTCATCGTCCACTCCACCCTCATACGCTGCTCCGTAAGTCGCCTCGGTAACGAATTCCTGCTCCATGAAGCCTTCTTCCTCCTCTCCATCCTCCTCCTCAAACATCTCCGCTTCATGGCCTTTCCGGGAAGAAGGCTCGTGCTGCAGTCGAGTAACATACGGCTCAAGCTCGTGGGGCGGTTGCGAGAGAAGTGTGCCTGCGACCTGTTCGGCTATTTGTTCGAGGCGGTCGTGGGCGCCAGGCTCGAACCGGCTGTCGACGTCTTCTATTATCTAAGGGGTCAGCGAGGGAGCAGGTAAGCAGGGTCGGACAGGTCGAGACTTACGGCGTACAGCTCGACTGGTAGTGTGGGAGCTAGGTTGACGATTTGGAGGACCTCACCCTTCGTCAAAGAGTGATCCTGTAATGTATCGGCTAGTTGGGCGACACCGTCCGCCGTTTGTCGAGCGGTCGGGACGTGATCTGAGCAAAGATACCTGATCACCTAATACATGAGCTCTATTGCTGGCCTCGAAATGAGCGATGTCGGGCTCACCTCGTCCTGTATCCACGCCAACTCATCGCTCCATCCTCTCCGATCCGCCTCATCCTCCTGCCGCCTCACCGCATCGGTCAACCTTGGCAGCGTCGACCCATCAGGCGGATCGTCCCGTTCCTTCGCTAAAGGGTACGCCTCCCGCATATCCACCTTATCTCTCAGATCATGATTCGCCCTTTGTTGCTTCAAGGCGTCGGTGTCCCGCTTGAGGGCGATGAAGTGGGAGAGAACTTCATGGTTGGAGAGGTGGAGTGGGGTTGCTGTGCTGATCTGGGACGTTAGCTTTCTTTTCCTATCAACTGGTGGGTCTTGATCGGATCATTGGGTTACTCACCTTCATTCTAATTGTTGTATGTGGCTTGATGCTATCTCATTGTCGTATGTGTGATGCAGAGTTGTGATGTGGACCTTGTCTTTGCCCAAGATTTGGCTCAGACTGCCCCCGGAACTAGCAAGATTCGGCGGTGTTCGCCGCTGCGCGTGCTGAGCCAGCCCCAAATTTGCCTCCACCTTTGACGCGTCCGATTTCGCGTCGCCTCAAGCCTCAACATCGATTAACATCTCTATAGTTACTATACAGGAACACCCTAGCAGCCTCTCCATATCCAGCAGCGAAGCTCTACAGGATACCTTTGACGCGCCAGGATATCTTGCCGGCAATTTGAAAGTATAATAAACGCGTGAACACACGGAAGATAAGAGCCGCGATGGTCAAACGGCCAGTCGCTCCGGGGGGCGAGAATGGGCCCAACACAATATTCAAGGTGAGCTACCCGGCAATCGTTCTGGTAGAGCCGAAGCTGATATCTCAGGCAACGTATAGGTATGTTCTCTATCTCCTGATGATATAGGTTCCAAGCTGATCTCGCTTCTTTCGCGTATAGTGGCGTGTAAGTCCGCCTACTCAGACGCGTCCGGATAACGCTGACCCAGTAGACCCGTATACGAAATGCTATGTCGTACCGTCGCCGTCATGCGCAGACGATCCGATGCGTATCTGAACGCGACGCAGATCTTGAAGGTGGCTGGGTTCGACAAGCCGCAGAGAACGCGGGTGTTGGAGAGGGAGGTACAGAAAGGGGAGCATGAGAAGGTGCAGGGCGGGTATGGGAAATATCAGGGTGAGCTGGACGTCGTCTCTTGACGGTGAATCAAGCTGACTGCCAGGTACTTGGATCCCCATCGAACGCGGTCTGGCCCTCGCCAAACAGTACGGCGTCGAAGACCTCCTCCGACCCCTCATCGACTACGTCCCCACCTCGGTCTCTCCCCCTCCCGCTCCCAAGCATGCCGTCGCCCCTCCCACCAAAGCCAAGAAAGAGAAGGACAAGAAGGAGAGCGCGACCGCCCACAGAACAGGCCCGACCTCGGCCGCTGCCCTCACCGCGCAGGCTCAGCTCGCTACTCGGGCAGCAGGCAAGCAAGCCGCCGCCAAGAAGCCTGCACCAGCCAGCACGCCCGACGCGGATACGTCACGCTCGATGGAATCCCTCCCGGCGTCACCAGAAGACGACGATGACTCGTCCTCGGACACGCCATCTCCCGTCACGTCGGTCATCGACGACAAGGACCGGTCGGCCGGCGTCGGGATGGATATCGACATGGACGGGAACCAAGCCGGATCCAGTACGCGGAAACGGACGGCGCAGATGATGATGGATGAGCAGGCGGACTATCTCCGTCAAGCTCGCGGTCAGTCTGCCGTCCATACGCCTCAGCAATCCCCTGTTCATCTGCCCATGATGGACGGGGTGATGTCTCAGCAGCTCGGTCCCGAGGCGTACACCGACATCATCCTCAACTACTTCATCTCGGAAACCACCCAGATCCCTTCCATCCTCGTATCCCCTCCCGCCGACTTTGACCCCAATACCCGTATAGACGAGGACAGCCATAGCGCGCTGCACTGGGCGTGCGCGATGGGTCGCGTCCGCGTCGTCAAGCTCCTCCTTACCGCCGGCGCCTCCATCTTTGCCGCCAACAACTCGGAACAAACACCCCTCATGCGCTCCGTCATGTTCTCCAACAACTATGACGTTCGCAAATTCCCCGAGCTGTACGAGCTCCTCCATCGGTCCACCCTAAACATCGACAAGTACAACCGGACGGTCTTTCACCATATCGCGAATCTTGCTCTGTCCAAGGGCAAGACGCACGCCGCGCGGTACTACATGGAGACTATCCTCTCTCGTCTCGCCGACTTCCCACAGGAGCTCGCGGACGTTATCAACTTTCAGGACGAGGATGGGGAGACGGCCCTTACCCTCGCGGCTCGGGCGCGATCACGTCGGCTCGTCAAGGCCTTACTGGACCACGGGGCGGATCCCAAAATCAAGAACCGGGACTACAAGTCTGCCGAGGATTATATCCTCGAGGACGAGCGGTTCCGCTCTTCGCCTGTTTCCGGCGGTAAACGGGATCCGATCGCCCACCAGCTCTTCTCGTCGGAAGCCGCCCGGCTCGTCGGCGGGTCATGCCTGCAGGATATCACCTCGCATATGCAAGCTCTCGCCAAGAGCTTTGACGGCGAGCTGCAGGGCAAGGAGCGCGATATCCTCCAGGCCAAAGCGCTGCTCACGTCCATACATACCGAAGTGACGGAAACGACCCGGATCCTTCAGGGGATGGGGGACCAATCGGGGCCTGTCGCGGACAAGAAGCGCGAGTTGGAGGGGTTACAGGCGCAGTTACGGGCGAGTGTCGGCGCGTCTATGCGGAGAGGGTATGAGGGGTGGGTACAGGGCGATGAGGCGCGTCAGGGGAGATGGCAGGCTGGTGGAGTGAGAGGGGAGGATTATAGTGATTTACCGGCATTGACGGATATTCCCCCGGGAGGGGCCGAGGTGGGGCAGGCGGAGGAAGAGAGGTTGAGATGGGAGATTGAGGAGAAGAGGAAGAGAAGGGCGACTTTGGTAAAGCAGTATGTGAGGGCTCAGGCGGAGGTGAGTCTTGTTACTTGCTGGAAATGTGGGCTCGAGCTGATGGTCCAGGCTGGGACAGGACAAAATATCGGACAGTATAGGAGATTGATATCAGCCGGATGTGGCGGACAGATTGCGGTACATGAGGTGGATAATGTAATGACACAACTATTGGAGGTGAGTACAGGCTATGATGTGGTGGTTGTGGACTCATAGCTGACAAGTACAGACATTAGAGAGCGAGGGGACAGGGTTGGCGCAGGATGATGTATCTTGGATGTCGTAGGAAGAGGAGGGGGAGGTGTAGATGATATAACGATTGCTTGTTCAGGGCGCATGGAACGCTCAGCTGAATGTAGACGATGAGACTGACTGAAGTAGCGCTGACATATGCTATACTCACGGGAATGGGAAAAGTGGATCGGGTGCATTGACATGTTGTGATACTAGATCTAAGCTACGTCCAGCATGGCAGTCGCAAGCGTGCTCGAGTACTGCGCTTCACCAGCCAGCAGACGCCGGGCGCTCAATGTCTGGCTGCTCGCCGCCATGACTTGACACGGCCATTCCAGCTTCGTCGTTCAGCGCCCATTGTAATTGGTCTGCCAGCTCATCGTTCCTGAACATCAGCTGCTGATTGACGCTTAGCAGGTCTTCAGCTGTCTCAGTGGCCGCCGCGGCGCTGGACAACGCGGTCCGCACTTGTTCCGCCAGCTCCTCATTCCCCAGCCACAGCTGCCGATTGACGCTCATCAAGGTCTCCGCGTCGCGGCGGTACCCCTCAGCCTGTACGAGAATGTCGGGCAGCTGGTTGATGGTGTCATAAGCGATCGTCAAGGTACCTTCGAGGTGCTCCTTCATCCGCAGGGAGTGTAGCAGTTTCTCCTGTAAGAATTCGTTGTTCGCGATCAGCCTGGCGATGTCTCCTGCCATGCCCTTGGGAAGCCTCGAGGGGCGGTCGACGCTCGTGTGGAAGGTGGGGGAGTCTGCAGAGCCGCTTGAAGTGGGTGTGGGGCTAGGAGAATGTGCAGAGAGAGTGAATACTGTGGGGTCAGCTCGGTGGCAAGATACGAACGGAGCGAGTCTCACCAGGGGAAGGTTCAGAACAGTAGGACATAGTGAGAAGGAGGTTTGATGATAGAGATTTGACAACGGGTGTGGAGTTACGGGCGGCGAGGATGATGGATGATGCCTGGAGGAGAGGTGGCAAGGCACGAGGACTGATGTCGGCAGGTGAGGCTTCTTGACCGTACAGCATCGCACCAGACAAAGGATCAAGCTCGAGCCTGCTTCGACAAAACTCAAAGGAAAGCTATCAGGGTCTCTTTTCGCTGGCCATGCCCGGCCATTTCTTGTTGAACGTGGCTGTAGGTCTGCATTGCTACGGGCCTCAAGAGAACAGGGCATCGGAGATCCCAGAGAAAGCTGCATGGTGTCGGTCCATCGCAAGATATATCGACTTCGTCCTCGCACCCTTACCTCCTACTCGTTATGGTCTCGCTCAGTTGTTAAAGTTAGCGCATGATAAGGCTCATCAGCTTGGCATACCGGAAGTGGTAGCTATCAGTGGACTATCGAAGCGATAGGCAATAGCTAGCGATAGGTTAGCTATCGCTAGGTTGATAGCTTAGGGCTATCGATAGGTTAGCTATCGATAGGCTATCAGTAGGTCGCTAGGTATCGATAGCTTGATAGGTTAGCTATCGATAGGTCTGGAATATATAAGAAGAGCCAAACGAGTCGTATGCATCCCCAGTCTGCTCTTGAAAACTTAACAACAGTGCGTACTGGAACACTGAGCGAGCAGGCGTAGACCAAGCGTCCAATTGAGTCACCCTTCAATACACATAGGGTCGTGATCCGGCCAACATTTTATCGCGCCCGCCTGCTTAGACCATGACTGCAAGCGTATAGACAAGTGCATAACGAGGACACAAACCTCGCAAACAATCTACGACCCCGGTACCATCTTGCTCCAGCCCTTGCCGAGTTCCAGCCGTACGATACGATCACCCTTGCATTCCACCTCAGGTTGTTTCCTGCTCATCTCTTCCTCACGCAAATCGAGCAGGAACGGCGAGACCAGGAGGAGCTCCCGACGTCTAGTTCGAAACAGATGTCTGCTCCAGCCAGTCACCGACCGCGCCGAAGCCAGGCGGATGACTCGGCAGATCGAGGCCTAATCCCAGGCTTGGCGCAAACTGTGTGACACCCATCTCCTGCAAGCGCTTCCACGCGTAGTGTTCCAGCGACATCCGTCCGGATTCGGTGTCACCCGCGCCAGCGTTGTGTGCCGCCATCATCTCGCTGCCGAGACAGTAGCTGAGGCGCTGAATGTCGAAAGCCGTTGCCGTACGCTCGGAGAGTGTCTTGCGGAGGAGGTCGTTCTCGGTTTGGAGGCGAGAAGCCCTTGTGGTCGCGCCCTCAGGATCTTGATGAGCCCTCAGCTGCGTAGCCTGCGCCTGCAGGAACTTGATGGCGAGCTCTTGGGTCCGGATCGTCTTCTGTTGAGCTTTCCACACTTGGTTGACACGGCGTCGCTCTTGGGAAGCTTGACGAGTGTACACCGCTCGGAGGTCGGAGGGCTCGAGATCGGCGCTCAGATCCTGCGGGAAATCTGGCCGTAGAGTCCGGTCGGTGCTGGACTCGGTCAGGCGGTCGGCGTAGAAACCTTCAATGTCGAACAGCGCCGCATGACACTCACCGAGCTGCACCATGAGCTCGGCCACCTGACCCTCCAGCGCTGTGACTTTCTCGTCTCCAGTGCTCTCCGAAGGCTTGGACTTGTTGGACTCGGGACGCCTCCATGATCCCATATCAGAAGAGACTCTCGCATGCTGGCTGTTCGCCACCGGATGCATTGGAGCCATGACGTACTCCTCTGCTGAAAATGACGGTGAGCGCTCATAAGCAGCATATCAAGCCAACACTCACTATTGGAGGACGATGGTGCGGAAGCGTTGCTCATTCGGTCGTTATTTGGGACGAGGGTGGAAAGCTACGATTTGAAGTTGTGGAGAAATTGGTCAAGGTCGAGAGTAAGAGAAGAGTCTGTGCAAGATATGGTCCGAAAGGTAAAAATTGGAAGAGCTCCAGAGGGTGCCAGCGCTGTCCAGCTCTTATCGCATGCGAGAGAGGCGCAATGTAGGTAGAGAAGGACAAAGGATGGCGCAGCGCCTCGGGTGCCGTCTCGGGGATGGGGCGGAGTCTTGGAGAGATCTGACGTGTAGGGGCCGTGCCTAAGCAGGAGCAACTATACAAAGGAGCCGATGGCGGTCCGCACGAGCGGGATACAGGGATGAATCATCACTCTGCGCAAAGTGGTCCACGTCCAGACTTGGCCGAGCCAGGATCCCTCGCCATGTGGACTTTTGTACGCCGATCGTGGCTGATGCTTTGGATTGGAGACATCTGGAGTCCGGCGACCCACGGTCACGCCGCCATGATGCAGAGCGGATCACTAGAGCGGGGATCCACATGATGAGATCAAGCACAGGTACCGCGTCCAGGCGTCCTGACGACGGCCCTGTCTGCAATCACGATCAAACTGCTGGGAACAAATGGTATATGACATGCCGAGCCTCTATCCACAAGCAATTTACTAATCTCTATCCCCCTGCGCCCTCGTCGTCACGTCAGAGCGCTGCCAACACCCGGAACGTATTCACTCGATCAACTCCGCGATGCGTCTCTTGGTTGTATATCGGTCCGCGCAAGAGTGTGGACTCGTTGCCCTGCTGGCGCGGGTAGCGGTGATTGCTCACAGGCGAAACGGACACCCGATCTCATTGACGGAGTCCCCCAAGTCACGTCTGCTTGACCGCTTGAAGCGTCGTGCGGCTGGGCCCACTCATCATAGGGGCGCACCGGCGCCATCCCGCTTGGGTATGGAGTAGTCGGGCCTCGGATGTTGGTGGTGTAAGCAGGCGTCGAAGAGTTGGAGTGGGGACGCCCGAACTTCGCGACCTGCCCCATCAGGTGACGATGGTACTCGGGATATGACTCGGGACACGCCAATGCACCTCTTCTCACCCTGGCCCGCAGCGCTTCATTGATCACCCGAAGTCTTGAGATCTCCTCCTGGCTTTCGAGGGAATCGTAAGACGCCGCCCGAAGGACCGCCTCCCTCGCGCTCAACTCCTTCAGCAAGTCCCCGACTTCTCGCTGTGACTGGCTCAACCTGGCTTCCAGAGAGATCACCTCTTCTTTTTTGCCGTTATACAGGTCGTATACAGTGCGATTCTCGCTGTCCAGGGTCCGTTTCTGAGTATCAGCCTGTTCCTTGAGGTCTCGAATTTGCTCCTGCGCTTGATCAAGAGAAAGGTCCATATCCGTATTGCGAAGCGAAAGTTCGAGGTTCTGGGCGGAAAGATCTTCAATGCGCCTCGTGAGCGCTTGGTTCAGACACCCAAGGCATTCTGGCGGACATTCGAGCTGGACAGAGTCGGCGTCCCCGGCGACGACCGGCGATGGGGATGTGGAAGTGGATACTGAGATACAGTCAGCTTGTGTACATTGGTGTGTACAAGGGAGATGCGCTGCAAACGAGCTCACCTGGCTCGCCGACGGCACCGAAGAACCGCTTCTCTCGCGAATACGATGACTGCTCGGAAGATGCCGGGGTGTCGCGGGACTGCACAGAAAGTGACTGTACCGACTGCTCAGACGGGCCGGTAGAGGGGATCATGGTAGAGCATGTTGGAGCAGGAGGTGAGTTCATGGTTGTATGATGTGGATGATATGGGAGCTGTAGTCAAGCGTCTTCTGTGTGAAGAGCGATGAAATGTAGGGCAGGTAGATGTCAGTGGCGATATGATATGTTTGATGGGATGGGAAAACAGGGCATCTTTATAGGCCAGGCCGACTGGAATCCCAGGCGCGGGCTCAAAGGATCGGTAAATGCGTCAGGTCCAAAGCTCAGACGAAACGTGCAAGATGCGCTTGATTGCCAGGGGTCAGTACCTTTGCTGATACGTCTAACGCGTATCATGAGGTCGCGCTGCCAAAGGATCGGCCGCTTGGCAGTGGCACAGATCGCACCGCTTTCATACTTGACACGCCTACACCTTCACAGTCCGACGAGCACCGCTCTCGAGCATGCGGTGCGGGGATTGGCGGACTTGGTTGGGTGGAACACATGCCGATGGGGCGGTGCAGATCCCGCAAGGGGTTGAGGGTCGCGCGGGATGAGTATTCAGGCTAGCCAGGGACGTGAGGACCCTCACGGTGTGGTAGTACTGCATGGATTATAGTGCACAATGAAATGATGAACCTAGATTATAAGTAGATACGAGCTTAGTGCTCAGGCTGGAAGGCCCAAGCGGTCCCCGCGACCATGAACACCACGCTGATGCTGAGGATGACGACCAGGATGGACCGCTCGAATGCCCACGACTTGTCGATCTCGGGCCGGACGATGCCCATCCGAGGTGCAAGGGCGAGATAGAAGGAGATCTGGAAAGTCAGCTTGATCCTGAACCCAAGTCGTGCGGAGGTAGCTTACCGGCAAGATGACCGTGATGAGGAAGGCTGAAAAGTTGCCCATGAACCCCATGACCCTCTCGAAACCGGGAATGAGCACCGCCGCGGTCGTACACGCCGCAGTGACGAGTGTCCGACTGATCGCTCTCGCTGCCAGTTTCCGCTTCTCTCCCTTCTTCCATACAAGCCAGTCTGGCGCGCCGGGGCCCGTCTGGTTCTCGCTGATCGTTCCGAGCTGTTTCGGCATATTTGGCGCATCCGAGGGGGAGAGGAGGGGTCGAGAGGGGGTGTTGAGCTGAGAGAAAGATGGCCGAGGTGTAGAGTCGCGGAATGAGGAGATGGAGTTCCGAGCGAGGCGGGTGACGGAGGACATGAGCGGGTTGGAAACGTCTGCTGCGGGTTGAACACGGGGCGGAAGGTATGGGACGCGATTGATGCCGAGGATAGCTTCAAGGGTGTGGTTGAACTGACGAGTCAGCTTGATCCTGGGCTTGTACTAGCACTAGAGTATACGTACGGGTCGAGAGCAAAGGCCAAACTTGGTCAAGGGGTTGATGACAATCATCCAAAGAGCGAACACATTCAGCCACCGAGGATAGCCGTATACTTCATCCATAAGGTCTTTAGTGATCTAAATGTCAGCTCTCGCCTCGATTGATCTCGGAGCAGCTGCCAATGGCACATACCTCATCAGATACGCCATTCCCAATCATCAAGTATCCACTTGCTCCTGCAACGAAACCAAGAGCACTTGCGATGAACTAAGAGGATCAGCCCCGGCCGGTATACTTTTAGCAAGAACTCACGAAAGCCTTGTTGATCACCTGCTTTATCAGTCCCATTCATACTGCTACACAGCCAAATGCGACTTACCCGATCAAAGTTCTCCGGCGTCTTCATATCCCTTGCCAGACTCGGTACGACCGCATGACCCCCAAATCCCGCCAAGACAAAGCCGATCCCACCCAGGAAGTTGTAGTGTCGCCACTGCGGGAAGATGTTGGTCTCGGCGGGGTGTAGCAGGGAGCCGGGGGCGGTGTCTTTACCGAGACCATCGATGAGGATGATGGCGATGAGAACAAACGAAGAGATGGTTGAGAGGATGGAGGGGAGGGAGAGGAGGCGGAGGGGCATGAGCGTGGTGGGAACGATACTGCGAGATCAGCTACCGCGTCAGGCCATGAGGACATCGCACGTACAGGAAGAAGACGATAAATTTCCAGGTATCCGATGAGATGTTGGGGAAGATGGCATTCATCGAGTCACCAAAGAGCACGATGAGAGCCAGTCTGGATATCAGCGGGCATCCCTGCGAAGAATAGGCAAGTAACATACCCGTATGCGAACAGCTCGAGGCAGAACCTGAGCTCGAGTCAGCTACTGTTCAGTCTCAATGGGAGACCAAGCTTACAAAAGTGTGATGGCTCCACCAGCCCATGGACCGAATGCCTTCTTGCCCAGATCCGTGTAGCCTTTCATGGCGGGATCGGCTGCTATCAGCTTGGCGAGAAGCTTTGCGCTGTTGATATCAGCTTGCATTCCTCATTGTAAGCTCAAGAGAGCTCACGTATGGCATGTGAGTGCACCAAAGCCCACGAGGACACATGTGCCGAGAATCCAGCCCATGTAATGGAGAGCCAATGGCATGGATAGAATTCCGATGCCGACGAGGACGGCGACGCAGTTGAACAGCTGAGATGTCAGCTTGATAGACCAAACTCAGAAGCAGACTCACTGTTTGCCCGTCCGTACTCTCGCCTCTCTCTACCGCTATGCTGCGCCGAGACCTTACGCTTCGCCTATCGGTGCTCAGGCGCCTTCCTGCTGCTCCAGCAAGTCGCCCTCGTCCTATTGTGCTAGGGCGACGGCTAGCGACCGAGTCCGGCGCGAAAGTCTCCTCAAAGACCAGTTTCTGAGGTGTGCTCACGGTAGCATTGGCCGAGAGGAGAGGTGTGGACTCGACGTCGCCGCCAGTGGGACCGTGGTAGATGTGTGATGTGGGTGACTGGGCGAGAGACGCGGTTCCCGGCGTCTCCTCGTACGGCGGCCGCTCCGGTGTAGGGGTAAAGTTGAAGTGGTTCAGGCCGAAAGACCGCCTTGCTGCGCGGACCTGCTTGAGACGTGGACCCCGGAGAGAGCTATCGGGCGAGTCGTTGACCGGGTCGGAGAAGAAGAAGCCGCTCGTTCCCCTCGTGGTGCTCGCTCCGTCCTCCTCGCGACTCTCATCTATCGCCTCCTCCTCATCGTACTCGTATTCTTCCTCGTCCGAGCCGAGGTCATCCTCCTCGTCATAGACCTCACCGTCCTGAACCGAGCCATAGCCGGTCGATCTTGCGGTGAATGCGAATGAGGGGGCCGAGCCGAGGGCGAGCTTGCCGTATCGGCGTTGCTGCGAGCGCGAGACTGCCTGTTAGCTTCGTACTAGTCGGCTTGGCTGGTACTTACAGCTGTTGACCAGATCCAAAGAGCTCTGCACTACTGTACTTGTCCTCTTCCTGATCTCGTGGACCGCAGGTATGGTGACCGGGACGCCGTTGGATTCAGAGGAAGCCATGTTGAAGATAAGGAGGTGGACGCGACGAGGGACGGTAGGGGTGGGGAAGGAGCGAGGTGAAGAGAGAGCAGAGGTCTCTCAAGTCCCTCTTTATAGTTTCCTTGCGGGATTCGGCAGCTGAGTCCACTCTGGACCTGGCTGGACTTGAGCGAAATTCTGAAACAGGCGCAAGAGGTAGATGTCAACACGGGGGAGAGATAAAAATCGCGCTTGACCCTTATCTGGTGGCACCTTACGGCATCCAAAGGACAAGCCGTGGCGCCACTCTCGCACTCTCGCGCTGCAGATCTGCCGGGCTTTATCCGCGCCACCCAGCTAACAAGCCAAAAGTTGACTGGAAGATAGATTAGCTCTCTCAATATATCATACAGTCCTATCCGACGTCTCTATACAGGCATCATGAGCGAAGCAGGTCCATCCACCATCAGAACGAAGAAGAGATCCCGCTTCTCTCACCCGTCGAAAGCGGAGGCTCATCCCCAGAGCGGACCCGGCGCCGAGGAGGAAGCTGCCCCAGAGCTCGAGGATCGCGATGACGATGAAGGAGGCAGCGCCGCTGGTGCAGCAGAAGCCGCCGAGGAGGCTACAATGCGGAAGAAGAAGGCAAAGAAGGCCAAAGCGGACGCCGGAACTCCGGGAATCGTCTACATTTCGAGACTACCACCCGGAATGACCCCTCAGAAGGTCCGGCATCTCATGGCGAAATGGGGAGATGTAGGGAAGGTGTACGCGCAGAGACGGGATGGTGAGCTCTCTGCCTATCTCATTATGGTACAGAAGCTGATCTGCCTAGCCCCAACTGGATACAACCCTAACTCTTCTACCCAGAAGAAGCAAAAGCATCAACGGGCGGACTTTACCGAAGCATGGGTCGAGTTCTTGAGCAAGTCGGTGGCCAAGATGGTGGCGCAGATGTTGAACGCACAAATGATAGGCGGGAAGAAGGGGGACAAGTGGAGGGATGATATTTGGACCATGAGATATCTGAGCGGGTTCAAGTGGGAGATGCTGGGCGAGCAGATCGGTACGTCGATCATGACCTGACACTTTCACAACGCTGGACCTGTACGCTGACTTCATAGCGTACGAACGTCAATCACACCAGGCGCGACTACGGAACGAGATCTCCCGGTCGAAGACGGAGCAAGGCGAATATTTGCGCAATGTCGAACTCGCTCGCGTGCTGGAGAAGCGGAAACAGAAGCGGATTGCAGCGGGTGGAGATGGGTCTGTGCCGGAGAAAGCTGGGAAAGAGCCCAAGGCGAGCTCGGGAGATCAGGATGGGAAGAAGCAGGGGTATCGACAAAGACAGGCGGAAAGCGGGGCGAGGGGGATGGATGGGGCTGGGATGGAGAGTGTTTTGGGTAATGTCTTTGGTTAGACGGTGTGTAAGTGAGCGGGTTACGACGTTCATCTTTAGTTTGTGCACCAGCAACCTCTCCCCTCGCCCATGATCTACTCACGATCAGGCTGGAGCCCAGCTCCTACTCGCCGCCATGATACTTACTGGGATAGGTGGCAAACGAAGAGCTTACACCGATGGCAGCGCTCCCAGTAACGCTCCATTGATGCTTTCGGAAACACTGACCTCTCGCCTCATACAAAGGTCCTTACCCCTAGATCAATACTGACGAAACGCCTCGGGTCATATCGGGGGACGGCGACGATGATACGCGTTTCGCGAGCGGAGTTTTTCTTGCTTCGAAGGCTTAGCTGGACTGCGTTCCTTTGGCAGCATCGGGTGATGTCGGGGCCGAGCACTGCCATACGCACTATAAGAGGGCGCCCCTCCTCGCCCAATCCTCCTCCGCACTTCCATACTTACACACAAACTCCTCACGTGACCTTCACCTCGCACAATCCAGATCTACACTCTCACCAATCCTACACCTCACCATGGACGCGTACAATCCAGAAGATCAGATGACTGACGTGCAGCAGACTTGTGAGTCAGAGTTCTGATATCTGATTATAGGCTTAAGACCCGTAATCCTGCTTAGCCGTTCTGATTACGGCCGCTGACCTGTTCAGTTGGCGATGTCTCGGTCGAGCAGGGTTCAACGAGCATGTATCCACTGGCTTGAGTCGTAGAATGCGCTGACCATCTAGCCGCGAAGTCTGTCAACCCCCACAAAAAGCGCAAGGCGAACGACGATCGGCTCGAACATCCCACTGAGCATTCTACTGGCGAGCCCAGTGGTGCGGGCAAGCTCAGTATGGAGGATCACTTCCGGATTGATGAGGCGGCAAAGAAGGCAGATGATGGAGAAGGGTCGGTCGTGAGGCTCACCCTGTCTGACGGGCGCATAGTGGAGGTCGGCCCCAATTCCGACGTGGTGGCGACCGCTCTGGCGGGATTGATGGATCGCGTGCGAATGGCGTTCCAAGCCACGTACGGCGACCAGACGTATCTTCCCTCTGCCGGTCTGGAGACAGGTGAAGGGGCGGGCGCCTCGGGGATGCTCCCTGTGACGAGTTTCCTCGACGCTGCCACGCGCTCAGACAAGAGTGCCGAGGACGGGTCCCAGGAAGCCGGCAAGTGCCAGAACCGCAACGAGAGTACTGGCGAGTGACAAACATGGGCGGCGCGCCTGGCGTCCGTTTTGTGATGAAGTCCAGTGTGAATCTGTCTGCCATGCATTGATGTTTCCGGTGCTGCTGGCAAATCTGGATCATGCCTTCATAGTACCGGGAATTGCGACTGCATCACAGACTGAACCCCATCATCGGTCGTTGCGGTGGTTAGGTACGTTGACGGGGTCGACTTGACCAGAGCTCTTATTGCGGATTGATATGCTGTCATTAAGGTACAGCAATGGAGTCAAACAGCTTGACCCCTCCCCCTTCATTATGATCATACCCCACCGCACTCTCTCCCTGTTCCTCCTCGCCATCCCCATATCTCCCTCGATCCACCTCTCGCGGCTTGACCGACCAGCCCCAATCCCTGCCCTTCTTATTACGCCCATTCGGCTTCTCAACAACTCTCGTCCGCCTCGCCCTCGCCGTGTACTCCACGAGCCCGCCTCCCGCGCCTCCTTCCGCTGTTGGCGCCGCCGACCCGTCAAAGGCTAGCACGAACGCCCTTTTCTCCGTCACTCCCCATAATCTTCCTCCTTCACCTTCCATCGCATACACGGGCGATCCCTTCCCTCCTGGAGAGAAGCAAGACCAGCCCGACTTGGGGAAGCGGGTGTCAAAGAGGGAGACTGTGCCGTGCCGCGCGCCCCCGCCCGCTATGTGATACTCGGCCAGGAAGGCTGTAGAGTACATGGCGCTTCCGTCTGCCCAGGTCCAGGGGTCCGAGAAGGTTTGCACGGCGGACGGAGAGGGGGAGCGGAGGTCGTGCATCCGGAGGTGGGAATCGTACCACGCCGAGAGTAGAATGGAGGGGTTGTGGATGGAGGTGGGGGGTGGGAGGCGGAGTGAGTATGCGGACGACGCGGAGGGAAGATCTGGGCCGGCCAGACTACGAAAGGGGGTAGATGAGATGGAGGAGGGGTTGACGGCGTGGATAGCGATCCGATCGTGCAGTCCAAGGTAGGCGAAGCTGGGCGTCAGAAGGGTAGACCAGGCGCGGGTTGTAGGGGGAAGGGTGAGCGTGGCTGGGGCTTGCCATGGGGACCGCGCGTTCCAAAGCGAGACCAGCCCACTTGATGTCGTGGTGAGGAGCGCATCACCGCAACCCGTCATGGTGTGTATGTTCGACCCTTTTGGGTGGGGAAAGTGCGCGGTCGAGTATAGTCCGCCGTTCCAGTTCGGCTGATCCGGTACCATGAAACGCTGCACGACCCCATCGTACTGGGCGACCGCGAGCTGGCTATCCGGAAGGACATGCACGCCGACAATGTCGGCTCTGCTTCCAGAGAACTTTGGCGCCACCGGGTACTCTTTGGCCCGCCCGACCGACCGTCCCGCTCCATTCGGCGACAGAGGGTGGATCACCAGCGTACCACCCACGCCTAGTATGAGCGCCTCAGACGTGAGGTTCAGCGTTGGGATCGCCGCCTGCACCCAGGTCTGGCCGACCTGCAAAGCGTGCCACCGACGAGCATGGAGGGAATTTGTAATGTGGCGGTGATGCTTGACCAGCTCGAGTGGCTCCCATTGGCTCGGCCGGCAAGATAAGGTAATGTGATGCTGGGGATGCCGCGCAAGGTACAGTGGAATGCCTAGGCGATCGATCTGGATGTCAGCTGCCAGCTTCAGGAAACCCTCCAGCGTATAGGCAGCAACAAGAGATGGTGGCATGAAGAAGTCATCCCGCCACAGCTCCACATTCCCTCCGACCCCGTCAAAGCCCGACCCGACTGATAGACGGTCCAGCGTTTCCCCATTCCTGCTACCGCTTCAAGCAGACCTTTTGACGAACAGGCAAAGCCTTCGCTCGCTAGGGACCAGGATCTCAGATCTTGCCCTCTGATCCGGGACTCACTCTTGATTTGGACTCTCGGGATACCTCCCGTACCCTCAGCAGCTCTCTGAGGTCGAGTAGTGGAAGGATCTGGCCCAGAACATCATCCGGAAGGGTCTGAAAGTTCACCGCAAGGCCGTCATGTCGATCATCTCGCTCGCTCCGTGAGAAAGCATGGACCGGAGGACTGCCAATCGGATCGGGGAGAGGCGCCTCGTCAGGCACCGGGGCGGCATCTCCTCCTGATGTAAGACTCGATTTTCCCCTTTGCCTTTCGCTCTTGCCCTTCCTTGGCTTCGAAGCCTTCGGAGGTGGCATGAGGCTGGACAAGGTATATGAGGAAGGTCCAATCCGATCTTGTAGCTCTGCGCAGCTGCGTCATGGTTTCCTCCTTTCCGTTGGAAGCGATTTGTGACCCGGACTCCGGAAGTTCCGGGTAGCGTAATTATGCCGTACGCTGTATTTTGGTACGGCGATGGTCCGCATGCAGCGATCGTCCGCCCAGCTGCCCATGCGCTTCTTCCACCGTGCATATAGTCAGTCCAGCATCTGAGAGCCCCGCTGTGATTGTACCTAATCTATCCAGCTACACATCATGTCGAAAGCCAGCGAAATACCACTATTCGACCCCGAAAGACAGGCAGAAGAGGTTTCGGATGTGAGCTCCTCCCCCATTCTGCTCGTTGCATCTTTCGGCTGACATCCACAGCTCTTGGATGCTGTCAAGTCCCTCATCATCCCCTTCATCGCTTCTGCTGGTCCTGTCCCTGCCGAGGTCGTCACCGACAATGGCCAGACAAAGCTCAAGGGCGAGGGCTCGCGCGGCGTTGTCGATGCCTATGAGCCAGCGGAGCTGAAGAAGATACTAGCGCTAGAGCTGTCAGATGGCGGAGTGGGCAGAGAGGGACTGCTGGACTTGGTGAAGAAGACGCTAGATTACTCGGTGAACACGTGGGACCAGGGATTCCTGGACAAGCTATACGCTTCGACCAATGCTGTAAGTCAATTTCGGTGCCTTCCTCGCTACGAGCTGACGTTTAGGTCGGTGTCATCTCTGAGCTCCTCCTCGCCGTCCTCAACACCAACGTCCACGTATACCAGGTCTCGCCAGTCCTCACCCTCATGGAGAAGCATGTCACCAAGCGGCTCGCCGAGCTCATCGGTTTCCCAGCGGGGTGCGGCGGTTTCTCGCAACCCGGCGGATCGGCATCCAACGCTTCATCCATCGTCATTGCCCGGAACGCACTTTTCCCCGAGACGAAAGAGCACGGTATGGGCGGTCGGCGCTTTACCCTATTTACGAGCGCCCATGGACACTACAGCGTGGAAAAGGCAGCGCAGATGTACGGCTTCGGGTCATCAGCGGTTATTGCCGTCCCGGTCGATTCGGACGGCCGGATGATCCCCAGCGAGCTGGAGAGGTTGATCAAGGAGGGGAAGGAGAAGGGAGACGTGCCATTCTACGTCAACGCAACGGCCGGGACGACTGTACATGGGTCATATGACCCGTTCACAGAGCTCTCGGCGGTGTGCAAGCGGAATAACCTGTGGCTCCACGTCGATGGGTCATGGGGAGGGAGCGTCATCTTCAGCCAGAAGTACAGGAAGGGGCGGCTAGAGGGGATCGAGCTGGCCGATAGCATGGCTATCAACCCGCACAAAATGCTCGGCGTGCCGATGACCTCGTCTTTCCTCCTCGTCAGGAGCTTGCTTCAGGCTTGGAAGGGTATGACATTACCGGCAGGCTAGTGAGTCTTCGAGTCTCCCTCACTTGGCAGTTTGAGCTGACCATCAGTCTGTTCCACGCGAATGATTCGGACGACCCAGAAGAAGTCTACGACCTCGCCGATCTCACGCCTCAATGCGGTCGTCGGCCCGACGCCCTCAAATTCTTCCTCTCATGGGCATACTACGGCACATCGGGCATCTCGCGGCTCATCGAGACTGGTTACGACCGCGCCGAATACCTCTACTCCCTCCTCCGTCAGAACCCCAACTTCGAGGTCATCTCCCCCGACCCATTACCGTGCTGGCAGGTCTGCTTTTACTACCTTCCTAAAGCGGGTCAGAAGGCGTCCGCGGCGGGCAAGGAGGAAAATACGCGGATCACGCAGACGTTGGTCAAGAACCTGGTGAAGCGGGGGTATATGGTGGACTATGCGCCGGGGGAGGAGGGCAAGTTCTTCAGGGTGGTCGTTCATGCCAACACGACGAGGGAGACCTGCGATGGGCTGGTCAAGGCGATCATGGATCTGGGGGAAAGTATCTGAGTTGCAGGTCTATGTAACTAGGCGAGGCTTACGATTCAGCGCAGCGATAGCTGGACGGATACTGATGATCAATTTGACGGTCATACTGCTATCTCGAGGCCTCCAGCAACATGCGCAATCATCTAGGCTATAAGTGCCACATTTCAAGAAGACTGGTCATGATTTGTATGACGCATGAAGTCAAAGGATCAAGGCGCCACATTTGTGCCTCTGAGTCCCCTGTTCGCTACAAAGGGCAAACCATTGCGAATAGGACAAGGGATGAGGGTGAAGGGATTAGGCAAATGACAAGCAGCACGGGTCGTGGGACCCTCTCACCCCCTCCCCTTGCAGGCCCGCAAGTCCTCCGTCACCACTCTCTCTTCTTCCCCTCCATTTGCCCACTTTTGGATCTTGTCTGCCTCCGCGCTCAAGGCGCCAACTGCATCCACCTCGACTGACACCGGCAGCACCAATGTGGCGTGCAGCGTCGCATTTCGCTTCGATCCGGACCAGAGCGATGGCTTTTTGCTAATCAAGGGCTCGAGTCTGACGGACATCGAACCAAGCGTGCCCGATTCTGCCCGAGGTGTTGCCTTTACAAGCTTCTCCGAAGGCGAGGGGAACAGCTTGACCGAGCTGTCTGTGAAACAAGGCTGTTTCTGCTACACTTTCTACGGGACGAAGGTGAAGTACGAAGGATTACTTTCGTTGGGTTACGACGGCGAGGCCATCATCGAGGAGTACGAAGCTACCTCAGGTCGAACCACGGAGCCCAAGCGCACCCTCATGGCTCAAGCGCTTCAGCAGGCGAACGCGCCAGCCATTCTGCAGGCGATTGGCAGCAATGCAAGTTTCCGCGACTTGGAGGGCCGCGGAATGTTGCGATCCCTGAAGGATGATCTTGTCATTCATGAAAGGTCCTCATGGTATGACACGACACGTTTGGACCATCCAGAGGGTATCCGGCAGGATGTCTGGGTCAGCCTCGAAGAATCAGGCGAGAGCTTCTACTTCACTGCGCACTTGGTTTGGCTCGTTCAGCGACCCGAAGGGACAACCACCTTTCCCATGACCTACGTCAAGCAGAGCAGCGACAACAGGCGCGGGCCGATCGCTGCTCAAGGTTCGGGCTGTTTCTCTTGGCGAGCTCCAAAGCCCGCTGCAGATGAATAGGCGGTGACGAACGCGGCCATCTAGCTGAGCGAAGGGAGGGACTGTTCAATCGGGGGGATGATATGGGCGAAGTTTCGTTTGTACATCTAGCGTTGGCAGAAGTAGATCACGTGATTTCTCATGCACTATCGGGGAAAAGCAAGGTGGTATTCACTGCGTGACATGCCGTGAGTGCGTCAAGGCCCTCGGGCGCTACTGACAGCTCGTACACAGAACCCAGAGAATGACGTAACCGAGGAATGAGGAGTTGCTATTCCTGAGCATGCCCAGGCCTGTCCACAACAGCGACACAACCCAGAGACAGCTTGTGTAGTTGATAGCAGCAGGCGCACGTTCCTATGTAGTCGCGCCTTCCTAGTGATCTACAAGTTACAACCCGCTTCATGATCTCAAGAATTGTTGATCAAACCTTCCCATTCCCGCCGATCCCGTATTCTCACTCGCGCTCGCAATTGCATCCGGCGTACTCGCCCTCCTCGCCGCATCCACCAACACATTCACACCGGGGATAGGCACGCCCTTACCCTCCTTCGCGAGCCGATGCCGCTGATCCAGGAGATTGGCATGATATACCGCCCGCATCGCTTTGGCCGATGGCGAGTACGAGGAAGTAGGAGAGGATCCGAACGTGAATGACGAGGTGGACTGGGGAGTTTGGAGGGCCGCGACGGTCTGCCGATTGGGTGTTTGGGGACCCATACTGGAGTAGCTAGCGGTGGCTTGTCCAGCGGCGGATGATGTGGACGGAGGAGGGAGGGGACCGGGTTCGAGACACGAGAGCGAAACGAGCGATACCGGCAGACTGAGGGGGAAGAGCGTCTGGAACCGGTCGTCCACGGACGCGCCGGCGATGACGGGCTGGACGAGGGGTACCGAGTTGCTATCCTTGAGCGACTCCATCCGAGACGACCAGAGGGCCCGATTCTCGGCGCACAGGTCGGCATACCGCTGGATCTCGGGTACGACGTCCGCGAAGGCCTCGAACAGGGGTTGGGTGAAGAGATCGATGAAACCGATTTGGCCTTTGGCTTGGAGTGCCTGGTCGGCCGAGGCAATGACGGAGACGGGCAGGGAGAGATCTGTCTCGAGAGATGCCTGCTTGGCCCACTCTTCGAGAAGAACAGTAGACCAATGCTCTGAGGTGTCGATGGGTCGAGTCTACACTGTCAGCTACAATCATCGTGATCGAAAGTAGCTGTACTCACGGGATTGCTGATATCCGCGCATTTCAAAACCGACTGACACAGCATGATCCGATCACTTTCCACCTCCTTCTCTCCCTCTTCGCCCTGCTTCAGCCCAATCCGGCGCCCATCCACCCTGTTTCCCATCTCCTTTAGTCTGCCGATCCAGGCGAAATGCAGGCTCATGTCGGTAGCGAGGACCATCGAGTAGAGTACCTTCCTAAAGCCCTTCGAGTCGAGGCTGGAGCGGGCGGAGGTAGCGGTGAGGTCGACCGAGGGATCGGACTGGGAGAGGAGGAATCCGAGACCATGCTTGCGAAGCAGCCGAACGACGAGCATGCAGTGCATGTTTTCGAGGACCGACTTGTCGTCGTACACCTGGGATAGGGGGGTCTTGGCATTTGTCTGACCTGTCAGCTTGTGCTCACGCCAGTGCCATCCGTCAAGCTTACCATGAACGCGTTGCCCAGACCCGGATGTCCAACATCATGTCCCATAGCAGCGATGACCACCGCCAGCACATCCTGCGGCCGTAACACCTCCCTTGCCCGCCTCGTCCCTAGCCCATGGACAGGCTGGACCGTCTCGTCCGGGCGCTTCCATACGGACGTATCGGGTGTCAGATCTCGGAGGAAAGACCAAGGCGGGGCGACACCTATATCGATGAGGAAGTTGTATGTTGCCTGCAGGACGTCTATGGCGTGGATGTAGTTGTGGTAAGGATTTGGTGCGTGATAGATTGCTTTGATAGCGAAGAGGAGACGATTCATTTGGTCTGCTTCGTCAGCGAAGCCACGCTACTGAGAGATATGTCTCACCTTGCTCCAACCCGAGCTCAACTATCCCCTCTGTATGCATGATACCCTCAAAGATCAGGCAGGCGACACGGTAGAGATCGCCCTCGCTCAGCCGATGTGGCTTGAAATCCCATGTTGCCAGCGCATCCATGAGTCTAGCTCGATGTTCCGACGTGAGTGGAGCTGAAGCCCTAGCAAGATCAGCTCTGTCTCATGCAAGCTCCATTGTCGACGCTTACTCTTCATACTGCTCCATCTGCACGTCGATCGTCACACAGGTCTGGTAGAACATCGCACTGAGCAGCTCGGCAAGGTGGGTATCCACATCCCCAGAGAAGGGATCCGCCTCATCCTGTGCTGATCCTCGCCCCTCCTGCATTGGTCCCGGCGTCATTGCTCTTGACGAGCTACCGAGCCGCCCATGCCGTATTTGCGGCGTCGCCGGTGTTGAGGGCGCAAGGCCAGGTATTGGTACCGGCCTTGCCGCAACCTCGAATGCCTTTTGTGCCCGCTTCATCGCCGTCGCTAGGCCCCCTGTATCAACCGACCGGCGCCGCCGTTGCAGCGAAGGCTGATACAGCGCGAAAGCCAGGTTGTCCATTTCCGCGTCGGGGTGCCCCGCTTCTTCTGTCGCCGCCGAGATGGTCAAGGACGGGAGGTCGCGCTTGGACTGTTTCCGAGACCCGGCTAAAGAGCGAGAGGAGGAGCGATCCCGAGAAGCATTTGCTAGGGACTGTATGTCCTGCGTGCCAGACATCTTCCGCCTGTGCCCAGTAAGGACCCGCTCGCCCTCGTGTTCGCCCCCGCCAAAGAGGGCGGTAGGAGGGAGGACGACCTTCATGGAGGCGTCGCTGAAGGTGGGACTGGTCGGTGTCTTGCTGGCAGCCATGCTTACCACCGAAGACAATCGACCGGTCTTGGCCGCTGCCACCATCCGCCGGACCAGCTGAGCCGTCTCTAGGTCGTATGGTGGTCTCAAGACGCCGGACGCACCGGCGTCAACGCAGGATGATATCGTCGAAGCCGAAAGAGCGGGGTTGGCAGAGTAGGCGAGGATGATGGGTTTCTCGCTCCGACCCGATGCCGAGGCGTGATCCCGCATGCGCACAACGACTGCTATCTGCTCGATGGCTGATGGGAGCCACTCTTCTTCCGTCCGACGAGCTCGATCGAGGACGTCTTGCTGAAAGCAGACCGCGGATGGAGTGGTGCCCTGAGCCATGAGGAGCGACAGGGAGGGGAGTGAGGGCGAGTCGCCAAGGGGAACAAGGATGACTGGGGTGGATAATCTGGACGCGCCGGATTTGGCCGAAGAGTGGCCTGTCGAGGAGAAGGAGGGGATGGTGGGGGACGATGTAGACTCTGGAGCGAGGACAGAGGGAAGATGTGAGGTATTCCGAATGACAGATACTGATGATCAGCATTTCTCAACACAAAGGAACCAAAATCAAGCTCACCCTCCATCCCGCTACCCCGGAGCATACCGACAACCTCATCTCCTTCCCATCCTGGCCGACTCGAGCCTCTCGCGCTCAACCCTAGACCCATCCCGCTCGGCAGCGCCATACTTCCCCGCGGACCCTGATTTTGAAACCGGGGATCCGGCGCGTTGGCGGTATTTGGTCGACGGCGCGGCGAGCGTGCGCTTGCCCCGGTCCGCGATCCAGACGCCGAGCCAGCCGCTGCAGGAGCTTCGACCGACAGATTGCTCGACATCCGGTACGAGCTGCCGAACGGCGGAGGGGCAGCGGAGCTCGCCGACCCCTCGTTCGTGCTCGACAGCGGACGAAGCCCGTCCCCGAACCTCGTTGATCTGGTTTGTGTGCCTGACCCCATTCCTGGCGCCAGACTGAGACGACGGTTCCCTGTCAAGTCTGGTGATACCTGCCCCTTCGTCTCCTTCGCAAGGGGATGTTGCTGTTGTTCAGCGATCCGCAGTGTATCCAACGTGACGACCGAGCTTCCGGACTGGCGGGTAGCGAGGGGAGGCGGCCGAGATATGGGTGCGATAGGGCCTTGCTGAGCTTGCATGTGCGCCGCAGAGGGGAGGAGGACGAAGATAGAGAGGGGGGTGTCGAGGGATGAGGAGGTTGGGGAAGGCGGTACGCTCATTTTGGCGAAGCGTGTAGCCTGGAGAGGGATAGGGGGCACGAGGGTGATGATGGGTTCGGGCGTGAGGAGGACCTCGGTGGTACTGATGACCTCTTTTTCCGAGGGGCAGCCGCGGGGAAAGGTAGCGGAGGGACAAGTCCCAGGCGAGATGGAGAGGACGAGCGGCACTTCCTGGACTGACGATATGGTGATATCGGAGGGTTTGGGTGTCTTGGATTTGCGTCGAGCAGAAAAGTCTAGACGAAGGCGGTTCAGCATTTTGCACGATAGATAGACGAGCCAGATGAGTAGCAAGGATAGGGAATTAGGTACAATATGTGGGGGCGCGACCTGGTTCTGCGCGTAAAGACAAGTTCACCACCCATTCCATCCTGCCTCCGAGTGACTCATCCATCTCTCGTGATAAGAAGAGGTACTCACCAAACGTGTGCTGACTGGCTGAAACCGGCAGTTAGAGCTGACTGATCGGCAAGGGAAAGAGTAGCAGATGTCCGAACGTCCGAACGATGGACGTTCAAAAAAGGGTGGATAGCCGTTTGCGGGGTCGTAGACTGAGGCGCCGAGGACCGCTGCGGGGGTTGCGTTCTGACACCGACCGATCACCTATATGTGGCGTAAAGAGAAGAGATAGTGCCTGGGATGTCGAGATAACTTTGAAGCTAAGCCCAGCTAAGCAGGAGAGAAGCAAAAGCCAGGTTGGAGTACAAGTCCCGTATGAGGCAACTCGCAACGTTTCGGATGCAGTTGTCCCGGCGAAAGCCTCGCTATCGGCAGTGGTTATGCCGAGATACTGCGCTAGCCGGTGAGCAGCTGCGGTTGATGTGCGGGGTATGCAAGCACCTGGTACGAAATAGATAAATGAACTGAATGAAGTAGGGATCGACGGATGTGGGAGATTTCTGGATTCGCCCAAAGAGAAGATGGCGGGTTGGTCGCGCGTCACGAAATATCCGCTTCGGAAATTCGAGCCCCGCACCTGACCGAGGAAAGGGTTGGGGTGAATCTTTCGACTCTGCATCTCATGCATACAGGCTACACGCAGTTGAGTACCAGACGCTCCAGCTGACCGAGATGGGTAGCTGTAGGATGCGCTCCAGGTAGACTTTTGGTGCAAGTCAGCCCAAAGGGAAGGCCAAAGGACACTCAAAGGGCGAAGATCTGCTCAGGGTCCAAAAAGGTGATCGACCGGTAGATTGCCGAAAGCGGCAAGAAAGGCCATCATCGGCCAAGTCCGAAACCGCTAGTAGTAAGAAGATCGTCAGGCACTGCGGAATGCTCGCTCGCTCGGAATGTGTGGCTGTAAGTAGTGAAGTCGACGCTCAGCCCAAGGAGTGCCCGAGCCAGCGGCAGGTGTGTGAACGGCTCGTCGGGATTGGAATCAAAGCCGAAGTTTCGGCTCAATGGCGGAGCAGACGACCTTGTCTCACATCAGCGTCAGGGAGGACAGATATGGCGCGCCAAATACATTCTTCCGAAGCTCCGATAGATTATCTACGACTCCCTAGTCTACCCTGCCGAAATACGTGTGCGCCAAGTCCATCCTGGGTCTAGAACATGTAGACCGGCAGACCATAAACCACCGGCGCCGCTCCTGTCAAGTACTTTAGACGACAATCATCCCGACTGGAATTCAGTGCCTGGACCGTGGACAGTCCGCTCAGCGGCAGAAGCGCCGGTTCGGATGGTGCAGATTTCCCGCCCAGCCGTCTAGGCGCCAGGGAGAAAGACGAAGAGGCAGTGGATAGGCCGGTGGAGGATGAGGAGGAGCCTAGGTGGGATGCGTCTAGGCCGAGCTTCTTGTGTACTTCTGTGGAGAGGCGGTCGATATCTCGGTCGGTCACGTCCCAGAGATTGGCGATGAGACTTGGACTTTTGGATCAGCCGTCGCCTCCAGCGAGGAGCAGAGTCACTTACCATCCAGCCATCATGTATGTCCAAGCTGTGCCTGTACGATCCAGATCCCCTTGATCCTTCAAGTGGCCTGAGGAACAACCCCAAAGCATGGTAGTTGCGCATTTGGGCAAGACCCGAACCTTCTTTGACCGGATATACTGTTCAGCACCGCCGTGTCCAAAGTATCTATGGCCATAAGCAAAGCTTCCTTCATTCTCCCATTCCGAACAGACCGGTACTCACAAGACAAGATCACAATCCCTCAGCGCATTCGCCAGCTCCATATCCGTCGGCGGACGCCCGACAATGCCCTTCCATCCAGCCCTAGCCTTCATCTGCTCCAACCACGGCTCAAAGTGTGTCTGCGTCCGCGCGAGATCGCCCGAGGGATTCAAGACGTAGAAGACTTTGCGGGCATTCACGGAGAGCAGACCGGCCTTTTCGGGGGAGGTGAGCCGGGCAAACTCGAGATGGTCGAGTAGGAAAGGGAGGGATGGGATCCGGCTGACGGGCAGACCTCGGAGGACGGGGATGGACTCCCATGGGAAGCCCTGGACGTTCTTGTCGAGTACGAGGAGGAGGTGTTCCGGCTGTGCGGAGGTAGGTGGAGTGGAGTGGGAAATGGCGATTTCGTGTAGGGCTTGTTTGACGTCCACGCCGATCTGAGAGTCAGCTCTTCTTCTCCTCACACCTCAACGCGGACCTGACTCACCTGATCGATATCCAGTTCGGCGATAGCGACAGGTATCCCATGAAACCCATAAAAGTCCAGCACAAAGTACACCAGATCCTCAATCTCCTCGTCCGTCGTCTGCCCATCTAGCGTCGCAAAGCACGCAAGGACCGCATCGTCCAGTCGAACCGTCTTGACGCGGCGCAGATCCGTTCCGATACCCGCTAGAGCCTCATTGAAGATCTTCTCCATCTTGCGCCGGAGGACCTGGATCCTATTCGGCGTGACGGAAGATTGAGGCTTCAGTATAGACTAGATCGATCAACTCCCCTCCTTGCCAAAGGACTGAGCACTTACCTTGAATGAACCCAGCCAGTTCTTTTCCATACTTGCCAACAGCTCGCCCATGCGCTCATCGAGCGCCGTCCGGAAGGCCCACCATTCCTGCTTTGCCTCGCTGTCTGAAATATGCTTGGCCGCCTGCGCCTGATCATCGCTCTCCCTGACGATTTCCTGCAGCTCGTCGAGGGCAGCTTGGAACGGGAGCTCATTCTCCTCGCTCTCGCGTTCTCCTGTACGATCGAGCGGAAGGCAGAGGACGAGCGGTGGATGGTCTCGTTGGTGCCGAGAGAGGAACATGGTGGAATGATCAGATGCGACGGAGATGCTGACGACAGCCCAGTTGTGGGGGAGGGAGGACAGGTCAACGGGTGGAGACGATGCGAGGCGTGGGCTCTGGAGCCGGTTCGAGATGGTCGTCCAAGCGGATCGGATGGCTTCGTCCGCGTCCGAATCGCTCTCGTTGTCGGCGGCGGCGGCCTGTGGCGGTAGCGAAGGCCACTTGAGATCGTCCAGCGGTCCATCGATGAATTTGGCCTCGATGATATCAACCATCTCACGCCGCATTGTTATTGACGCGGTGGAGGCTGTCTGGTCAACTCGTGCTCCTGCCAGGCTCTGATCAATCAAGCTCACCAAGAAGATCCGCAGCAGCCCTAGTCAGCCCCTCCCCACCCTCGCCCAAACTCGTCTGGAAAGCATGAAGCAACGCCAGGCTCATGCTCGCTCCACGTACATCCTCCACCTGTCCATCCTGATCCATGAGCTCCAGAGCGGACTGGAATGCCGCAGCAGACTTGGCAAGCAGGGTGTTGACGGTCCGGCGGGTCGAGTGCCGGTCTTGCGTGCGGCGAGTAAGGGTAGACATGGGCATGGCGATGGCTGAAGCGTAAGCTGCTGCTCCTGACCTGGGTGTGGGGGAGATAGCTCACTAGAATCGGTCAGGGAGCTCATGAACAGGTCGGTCTTGAACACCTTAAGCACCTCAAGCAGAGCGAGCCTGCCATGCAGATACATCTCCTCCGCCTGCCGTATCAGCCCGAAATCTTTTATCGGTCGCTCGTCAGGCTTACCTTATTCGTGATTGACGGATCTAGCGCCTGAATCTGCTTGACAAGCTCCGCCTTCTCGACCTCCTCCATCCCCTCCTTCCGCCCAAGCCACAGACGCTGCCGGAGGACATGCGCGAGCGTGGAAGGCAGAAGGCGATCTTGCGCTCGCAAGGTCGAAATCGCTCTGGCTGCCGCTGCCGGTCGCTCGGGCCTTTTGGGTCAGCTTGGGTGATCCCGGACAGTCGACTCGGACTTACGTGGGCAACAGCGCCTCTTTCTTCCCGAAGCCTTCTTCCAGCCCCTCAATATCTTCTCCGCCCTTCTGGAACACCGCCAAAGCCTCGTGTGCCGCTTCTTGCTTCTCCAACAAATCACCTTGGATGACCCTCCCTTCGACTGCATCTGGGCCGTCAGACTAATCTCGTCAGCTCATCTCCGCTCAGAGCACTTGAGAGGCTTGAACAGGAAGATGTAGCCCACGTTGACAAATAGGGCCTGAGCGGCCTCCATCCTCCCCGCCGACGTCTCATACTTCCTCATCCTCCCCTCTAGCTCCCCAATCCGAGCTTCCGCTCGGGCGACAAGTAACGGCGATTTTACAATCCCCGCTAGTGTCTTGGCATGCTCGAGGAAGTACTCGATATCGCGCGCGACCCCGCGGAGCGCATACGCCGAAGCGAGGTCAAACGTCGCTCCCAGCAATGCCTGTCATATCAGCTGTCGGCTCCCGCCTATCAACTCGACACGGAAGAATTTGCTCACCTCGGTAGCGTGCCATTGTATGCCGGACAACACCCTATTGTCCAAGACAGCGACGATGGGCTGTACAGGCTGTATTGAGTCTTTCGCAGGCTGGTTCGCCCCCATACCTCCGGTATGACCATTGGACTTGGCCGCTGGCCGAGAAGTCGATGGAGCAGAGAATGGATCGTCGTCAATCTTGGCTTCTCTGGGCGGGGCCGAGGCGGACTCGGGACCAAGCTTGGCGATGAACTCGACGTAGCGCTCGTATAAGCGATACGCGGAGGCCAGGTGCGAAACGACCAGTGCAGACTTGCCCTGAGATATCAGCTATGCTCCTTGCGTCCAAGTCAGGCCCGCAAGCTGACCTCTGCGGATAGAACCGCAGCGAAGGCTATCCGGGCAAGAGCGGCCCGCTCGTACTTCCCCGCGCGGTCCATGATGGCCATCATCGCCCGAGTTGATGTCTTCGCGGGCGTCAAGCCCAAATGAAGCGCATACGCATCTTCGTATTCTTTCCGCCTGAAACTGTCAGCTACAACTTCCCAGCCAAGAGGAAGCCACTACCAACTCACGCCTCCTCCACCCTTCCCATCTGCGCCAGAACGCCCGCCCACCTCAAGCCCCACTCAGCCCTTCTTTCCTCTGTAACTCCGTCCATCCCCCGCTTCGCCTGCCCAAAGACCGCACTCGCTCGACCCCACTTGCCCAGCCGGGCATACTCCGTCCCCAATCGCGCAGAGAGGGTCGTGTATTCCCCAACCATATCGTCCCTGGAGCGCATGAGTGCGCGTGCGAGCTTGAGCGCTTCGATCTTTTGGAGGGGAAGCGCGAGTAGGCCAAGCAGGGAGATGAGTGACGAGAGGAGCGAGAGGAGCCGGGGCAGGTCGGCGAATTCCACAATCGCCGTCGGGCTTGGAGGAATTGTATGGGCAGGTAGGGACCGAGGTGAATTCTCGGAGGCTTTGCGCGTACTGGTGATAGTGGTGCGCTTGGGCGTCTTGTCCATCGAGGCAGAGACGGTCCGGGTCCGAGAGGTGGTCGTGCGCGGGGCGGGAGTGGTACTCGCTCGACCGAGAGGCTGCTTGGTCCGAGTAGTCTTCGGTTGGATGACGGGCGGGACGGATGGCGCAGCGGTCTTTGTGGCAGTAGCAGTAGGCGGCAGGATGATCTGTCGTAGCTCGTGCATGGCCTGCGCGGCCGCGGTGGAGACCTCAGAGACCGAGTTTGTACCTTGGCGGTAGGCGAATAGCGCGCGGAGGAGGAGCGATGTAGCTCGATACTCCGGCACACTGGAGCGAAGACCTTCATCTTGACCCAGATCCTGAGAGGTCAGCTCTATTCCCTTCCTAAACCCCGGACTTAGGACTTACCTTAAGACCACTCAGTCGGTCCAATTCCAGCAACACCCCAGGCGCCTGCTCCGCTCTTGTCTCAGTCTGCAGCATCGTCCCGAGCACTCGACACAAAAACCTACAATCAGCCCACGCCTTGCCCCTTGCCTTTCTCACTTTCAAGCAAGTCTCACCTTGTTCTTCTCACAGGAACCGCATCCGCCTCATACGCGCCCATCACCCAATCCGCCACCTTCATCGCCCCCTGTACCACCTCGGGCAAATACAGCCCCTTCTCCAGCCCCTCAAACAGCTTCTCCATCATAAGCGCCTTGGCCATCTGACTGTCCACATCCGAGATCCCGGGTCCGGATGAGGTACTGAGCAGGAGGTCGACGTATACTGGGCTGCGTCCGGGATCGTTCAGTAGAGGGAAGGCGATCCGATGGAGGAGACCTTCGAGATCGGGGAGCGAGTCCCAGAGCTTGCGGTACTGTAGAGTCTTGGAGGCGCCGACGAGCTTGAGGAGCACCGAGGCGGGGACGGTCGAAAGTGCCGCCGCGTTTGCTTCGAATACCGTCTGAACATGTCAGACGCTAACCCTCTTGACCCATTGCCGGAAGTCAAGCTGAACTTACCTGTTGATCCTGCAACTTTCCAGCAATATGCCCAAGCATCTCCCATCTCCCACTCAGGACCTTCTCCACCTCTCCAACCCTACTCTTATCTCTCTCCACACCCTCCACTCCTTCCATATAATGCAGCAACTCCGTCACCCGATCGACCGACATTCGGAGGTAAGGCATCGCGTCCGCATATTTGTCGGCCTTCTTCAGTTCGCCTGCGCGCGCATAGGCTCGGGCGGAGCAGCATCGCACCCAATCGACGTGCACGTCGGCGGGGATTAGCGGTCGGCAGAGGAGGGTCAGACGGTGGATACGGTGGAGGTAGGCCAGGGGGGATTGCGGGTCTGAGGGGGAAGGAAGGGAGAGGTCGAAGAGCGTCAAGAGGGTGTCTATGGCGCCGCAGGATAGACGGCGGACATTGTCGGCTTCGCCGGAAAGGTCCTGCAAAGTCAGCTTGGGCCGCGTCCGCTGGAACCAGGTCAACTCACAATCGGAGTGATCTGGACAAAGTCCTCCGCAAGGTCAACATATCCAACCAGCCAGGCATGCAGGGCCGCCTCCAAACCACCCGTTTTGTCCGCTGCGCCCTTGGAACACGTATTCAGTAGCTGCCCACACCGCCGTCGTGTCTGCTCGAGCACCCGGACGGCCTTATGGAACGCCGTTTTGGCACTGGCGGTATCGGCCAAACTGCATAGCGCATCGGCGAATCCGTCCAGTGATGAGCTGTCCAGAGCGGATTGAGCGGCGGCGAGCGCGATATCGTCCTCCGGGGCGGCTGAGGATGAGCTTGTACCAGGAGTGTGGCCTGGCCCGTCGACTTACATGCGAATTTATCCAGCACGACCCCAAGCGAAGCCATCTCCCCACAATGCCGCGTAACATCCAGCTCTGCATCTGAGACACGGATGACCGCTCTCCTACTCGACCCAGACCGGGAAGGGACAGGTCGGGCGGGAGGAACGAGTGGTGTGCTCGATCGCGGCGTGGACGGGCCAGGCTGATCGTCGGTTTGGAACGCCGGATGCGAGGTGATGGTCGTGGAACCCGTCATACGGGCGAGAGCATCATCAATCATGGCTGAGTCACCAATCTATACCATGTCAGTTTCTCTCATCTACCATATCGAGGCATTGTACTCACCTTCCTCCCGAGGCTGATCCAGAGATCCATCAATCCCATCCACGCCTTTCCAGCGAACCAGCCACCTCTAGCCTCGTTCCGCGCATCCACCATACCCTCCACCCAGCCCACTACATCCTGCAGCACAGCCGCTACTTCCCGTGTCTCGCCTCCCCACTCTTTCAGCCACGAAACAAGCTTCCCATGGATGCTCGCCCATAGCTCGCCTGGTGCTTCGGCCTTCGCGTCGCTCGATGAAGTTGTGGGGGACAGTAAAAGCGAGCGGGCGATATATGAAACGCGAATGATGGTGGACCAGTCGGAAGATGAGGTGGAGATGCTAGATGCGAGCCGGATGAACAGGTTCAAGAGGGGTGAGGTAGTGGATCGAGGCAGATTGATAGCTAGATCTAGGGGATGGAGCATGTTCGATGTATTCGGATGAGGTGCGGGACTCGTCATGTGCTGCGATATCCGCTGGATGGTCAGCTGAGGCCTGTTGACGTTCAAGACGGGGACTTACAGCCTTGTACCTCGCTTTGACAGCGACGACGGCGATCCAGGCACTCATAGTCGCCTGGAAAAGCACAGTCCGGATAGGTTCATCCAGTGTGCGGTCTTGCGGAAGGGGAGGCATCTGCAGAAGTGCGAGCCATTCGGCCGGGAGACCATTTACAGGCCCAGCCTGACCCTGGGTTGATGATTCGACGTGGTCCGGGGCGTAGAGCCGTATTAGGCGTTCGCGAGAGCCCGTAAGAATGTTCAATGCTGTATCGTACTGGGAATAAGCCTCGGACGGGCAGTACGTGATCGATCCGACTCACCATCATCACACCCAAACATCGCTGCACGAGCCCTACCGATGCCCTTTCCACCTCTGTACCCCGCCGGCCTAGCTGCCCGCGGTCATGAATCTCCCGCAAGGCCCTGATACCCATCTCAGAATCCTCCACCAGGTCGGCTACCTTCTCTTCTGTCCAGCTGCCTGCATCCCCCTCGACTGGCCGTCCAGCGCGGTAGCCCGCTCGCGTAGCCAAAGCGAGGCCGTTCTGTGCTGCGCTGACATGTGACATGGCTGCGTGTGCACGCTGCGAAGGTGAGAGGGTGGTGTCGCTTGCCCATGGAGGCGAGGGTCGACTTCGACGAGCGCGCTTGGGTGCAGTAGATGAGGGTGAGCGGGGCCGAGCGGTTGTGGAAGGTCGTGCGGAGGTGGTCCCGCCGAGTCGGGACGGTCCGGCTTGAGCGGAGACCTGTGCGCGACGAGGTGGCGCATCATCGGTAGCTGGAATTGGCTTGGTCCTAGAGGCCGTAGGTACTGTTGACGAGGGTCGAGCGGCCTCGCGTGTCCCGCTCGGTCCCGCGCGGAGGTTGGCCGAGGATGACGCCTTGGTTACGGTCTTGACCACCCGGACTGGTGGTCCAGCAGCTTTTGCGGAGGCCTTCTTTGATGATTCAGCCGCCGCTGTTGGGTTCGCAGACCTCCTAGATGGACCGGCAGTTTTGGTCTGCGATATCTGCAATACCCGCTCGAGCTCGTCCGCCAGGCCCGCATCGTCCGCGACTGCCGCAGCTGTTGCTTTCCTAGATGTAGTACCCGCTGGGGTCCTCGTGCGAGTCCGAGAGCTCGCCGCTGCTGTAGCCGCTGAAGTCGGAGCAACCGCTACGCTTCCCCTCTCTCTAGTGGATGGCATGGTATGTGTTGAGTGTAGTGTGTGGAGAAGCGGAAAGTCAAAATAGGCAGTCGCGTCGAGGGGCACGTTGTAACCCCTGATAATCAACATGACGTGGCATTCTAAGGCTGGATTGCCTCCACCTTTAGCTTGCGCTGTTGTTGGCGCAACTGAGATTTTGCTCACTGAACAATACGTTCAACTTACATCCTCATACAAACTATCAGCCTCAGCGATGGTCAGTACAGCTCGCTGGAAGAGCCGTAGCGTGCTCATGACGAACACTAGCTGACTTGATCAGATCATCCCCGTTCGCTGCTTCTCGTGTGGTAAAGTCATTGGGAACCTCTGGGAGGCATGGCTTGAATTACTGGCGTCAGGGGTGGATGAGGGGTGAGCTCACTGCTCAATCTACAGATGGCAAGAGTATGAGCTGACGCTATCTCAGAGATGCGCTCGACACACTTCAATTGTGAGCTACGGCATTCGCAGTCAGGTCGAGCCTGATGCGGACCAAGTGCGCCTAAGCTGACCGCTGCCAGAAAACGATACTGCTGTCGGAGAATGATTTTGACACACGGTAAGCTGCCTCTTCCTGGAGATCAGTAATAGTGAGCAGCAGCTGATACTGCAGTCGACCTGATAGAAAAGCTTCTGATGTACAACCGTTCGTCCCCTTCTACCTGCTCACTCCCCACGCGAGTACTGATCATTAGCACACGAGCGGAGTCAAGCGCCCAACTAGTCCCCCTATCTCGCCCTCGTCTCGCCTCGCCTCGCTTCGCGCCTCATTCCGGTCAACTGTTTGTACCCACTATATGTATATGCATCTCCCACAACCCTAAAGACCTAATGATATCTCCGTATCCCCCCTTCTCCACCGGCACACCATACCCCTCCATCTTCCGCCACCGCCCACGCTTCAACACCTACCGCCTCCCACCCCGCCATTTCTTCCTTGACGCCCACTTCTATCCCCTCGGCCGTCATTCTGACCCCTAACCGACAAGGCAGCCCTGCCGCTGTGCCCACCAACAGATCCCCCTCTGACGTCCACGCTAACGAGTAGACGGCCGCCTCGTTTCGCCGGACCATTGCCTCCCTCCCCACTTCCACCTTGTCCGCCGCCAGACTGACTTCCCGGAGATGTATCACTCCCGTCGTATACCCCACAGCGACCAAACCCCTCCCTCGGTCCCACGCGGCAGAAACCAGTTTGCCCTCCGCCCCTTTTGGACTCTTCAGCTCTCCGAGCTCTTCCCCGCTTATCCGCAAGACCTGCACACTCCCGTCCGCCTTGAAGACCAAAACCACCTCGCCCGTTTCGTCCAGTAGTATCTCCTCCACCGGCACCCTCCCCTCCATGGTCCACTTCCGGACCTCTTTCGCCTCTCCGACGGTCCAGAGACGGACCGTACCGTCCCTCGAACCAGAGAGGATCTGTTTTCCGACCCCGATGATGGTGGTGCAGGTGATGCCGCGCGTATGGCCTCGGAGCGTACGGGGATTGGAAGTGTCGAGGCCCCAGATTCGGAGAGAGAGGTCTGATGAGGCGGATAAGATGACCTAGATGTCAGCGATAGTCTCAGCTTCAGACTACCGGTTACAGTGTCTCCAGTGAAGGAATGAAAGCAGATACGTACCTCGCCAGAGGGGAAGAACTTCACATCCAACGCATCCCCCACATGCCCCTTAAACACCTTGATCCCCTCTTTTCCCTCCTGCATCCCCGCGGGGAGAATGCACAAGAACCCATCCGGTCCAGCTACCGCGAGCAAGTTCTTACGGGCCGAGTACGCCAGAGCATTGATATGGAGGGGCGGCTACTAGATCAGCTATAGCTACGCCGCCAAGGCGTAAGGCGAGAAGTAACGAGAGCGACGTACTGTCGTAGATTTAGGTCGGGGGTACGGGGGATGTATAACTTGTCTTGGAAATTTGACTGTCGTGGGGCCGATAGACAGCGCTGGGAACGATACTGGGAAGTCGCCCTGTCCCGTCAATCTTCTGGTCTCAATCCGAAGTCAGGGGACAGTGAACCTACGCCTGGAATCCGTTCCACCTCGACCCCGTTCTTCGGGGTCAACGAGACGCCCCTGCTTCCGCTGGCTTCACCCGCCCCAGGCTCAAGGGTGACCTTGCCGTGTACTGAAGTAGAGCCGGCTCTGTACTGCTTTGATCAGCTCTTCTGTTCAGGGGAAGAAGCGGATGCCCCAGTGGGCATATCAAGCGTTCAAGTGAACTGGTCAATCAACTTACGCCTGAGATCCAGATATCCTCCTTCGCTACGACGCCTTGAGTGATGTCGTCAAATACAGTCATGGCATCGTGCTACATCGTCAGCCCCTGCTTCGATAGTCAGTTCACGAGGGTTGACATCGGTCGTGAATGAGGAATCTAGCAGAAGTGGAAGGTGGAGCAAGGCAGCTCGAGTCTCGCTGCACAAGACCTACCTGGACATCGATATACGGCAAAGCCAGTATAGTTGCTTGCTGAGCGGCCGTCATATTTGCTGTCACCGGGGGACTGAGGGGCTGTTACAGCGTCGCTTATACTGGGCTGATCCAAAGTGATGGAAGACGAAAGATAGAGGACGCGTGTCTACTCTAAGTTTGCTTTTGGTGGAGGACCTCCACCTCCACTAGCACTGTCCACCTGCACAAGTTCCGGGGCCATCAGCCAACGCGTACGGCGTGGCTGTCAAGCTGTCTCACGGGAGGCCTCCGAGCCGTAAGCTTGTCATGCAGGTCGGAATGCCACCACCCCTTTGGAGCCTGAATGAGAGTCATTGCTCAAAGATGCATTGACATGAGGCATGATATATCATCAAGTAGATCGTCCGTCTCCTCGCCTGTTCCGCCTTTTGGTCCCCCAGCCAACCCTACTCCATTGCCCACCCTGTACCATTTCCAATCCAGCCTTGACCCATCTTGCATTATCGTGTATAAGCGTCGTAGGTGCCTTCTCCATCACTTAGAATAAACAAACACTACTCCATCAGCTCTTTATCTTCTACTCCTGCACACATTCCCTAAATCCGACAGAAGGGAATAGAGCAGAGCCGAAGAGGCAAACTCACAAATTACTAGGGAAATCCGTCCGTCCCGGTAATCTTCTCGCCTCATCCAACAATTCCCCAGACCACCACCCATCATCCGGCGTAGACGTCACCGCGATGATATCGCCCGCTTGAAAATCGAATTCGACGGCTGAGAGCGCTTGGTAGTCGTACAGCGCCTTCACGTCTGGGTGATATCAGCTTGTTTCTTTTCCTCAACCCAGGACCCCTCCGGCTTGGTACGATAGGGAAAGAGAAGAAGAAAACGTACAAAACAATACAGGTAATCCAGTCGTACTCCACTGCCCCGTTGGCGCCGCATTGACAGGCGCCACCCCGGGCTGAGGACTCGGACTCCGCTGCATCCGGCTTTGCTGCTGCTGCTGCTGTTGAGGCGGCTGCATCTGCTGCTGTAGCGGCTGCTGTTGTTGTTGCTGCTGAGGAGCACGCTGGCCATATGCTGCCGCGGGCGATGTGGGCTGATACCCCCCATACTGCTGCTGCTGCTGAGGCGGCGGCTGTTGCTGGTGCAAGGGCGGCTGATACCCTCCATGCATCCCTTGCGGCTGTGGGGACGGCGAGCGATACTGCGAGTGGTGCGACTGTTGGTGCTGCATGACCGGAGGAGGTGCGGGCGAGGCGGACCGACCATACTGCTGTTGCTGAGGCGGGGGCTGGTGCATTCCGGGAGTAGGACCGGGCGCAGGGGACGCTGCGCGGTGAAACGGGTTCTGGGGCCCGCCGTACTGCCCTCCGCCTCCGTAAGACGGCTGGTGCTGCATCGCCGGCGCAGGAGCGGGCGCGGGCGCGGCCGGTCCGGGTCCGGGCATGTATGAGTTCGAGTACCCACTCGGCGGGGCCGCAGCATTCTGGTACCCACCCTGCTGGGATTGAGGTTGCTGCTGGTATCCCGACTGCCCGCTGTGACCTCCTTGGCTGTAAGATCCAATACCAGACGTCGGCCGACCGAATTGGGCGGGCGCAGCAGATTGGTAGCTCTGCTGCTGGTGGAGCTGAGGCGGCTGTTGACCGTACGCGCTCGTGGGGCGCTGAGACGAGACGGGTGGTGGGCCGGTCGGCGACTTGAGCCCGAGACCGACAGAAGCAGGACCAGCGGGCGAGGGAGCGCCATACGACTGCTGCTGCTGCTGTTGCGGCTGCTGCGGATGCGAGTCCGACCTTGGGGGTAGGTATCCCCCGAATCCGGCGCCGACGCCTTGTCCGCCAGCCTGGGGCGGCGCAAATCCCTGCTGTTGCTGATACTGCCTCCGGTACGCCTCGGCCATACTGTCCTGTGCGACTCCGCCTGCCGCATCGAGCTTGATGCCCATATTCTGCGGTCCCAGGTTCCCCGTTCCCATCCCGCCCGGTCCTTGCCCTTGCCCCTGCCCTGGTCCGGAGATATTAGGACTTGGACCAGGCGAGGCAAAGTGTGGCGGGTGAGGGCTAGGCGATCTACCACCTGCGCCAATACCCGAGAACCCTTCTCTAGGCGTCGGGCTAGCGGGCGGTCCAGGCGCAATTGGGGCGTGGAATGATCCAGCGCCCGAGACATGCGACGTCACGCTTCCAGCGCGAGACCTTGAGCGTTCCCGCTCGCGCTCGCCGGGGAAGGCTTGGTGGTACTGGCTGAGTACCCCGTCCGCTACGTGCGTAGCGGGCTGGGAGGGGGCTTGCATCATGGCGGACGAAGGACCTCGACCGCCATTTCCGCTCGGCGCGGGGGAGGCGGACCGGCTAGAAGGGTGTGCGCCGACGATATCTTGTCCGGCGTTGTTGTACGATACGGAGCCGCGTTTGTTGGATTGGCGCTGGAAGTCGTCCATTGATCGAGCGAGGGCGGCGGCTGTGTGGCCAGCAGGAGGGGGCGAGAGCGCGCCGGACGGTGGGGTTTGGTAAGACATTCGATTGCCGTTGGAGGGGCCGGTACCAGGTGCCGGAGACTGCGTACGTCCCACCGCAGATCCATTCCGAGACGCAGCGCCAACAGACGAGTACATGCTCTCCGGCCGGCGGTGGGATGCACCTCTCCGAATGGAACCAGAAGGCGGCTGCGTCCGGAGGTCCGCTAGCGCTTTGGCCATCGGATCTTCCTCATCGACCTGAGCATTCGGAGCGGGCGATGGAGGACCCTGGCGAGATGGCACCCGGGGCTCAGGCATAGTCATGTTCGTAGCGGGTGCCGGAGGACCCATGGACGAGTACCGCTTCGGTAGGGCTTCGGTGGTAGGCGGGGAGGTAGGGGTCTGGGCGGATGCGGATGCCATACCGGGGAGTGCGACGCCGCCGAATGGCGCTTTGGGCTTGTCATTCCCGCTTGGCGGTGGCGGAGCGCTGCCGTTCGGGCCATCGTGAAGGCTGAAGCCGTTACTCTGGGGCTTCTCCACCTCGCTCGGTGTAGGCTCGGATCGCACGTCCGGAACATACTGCGACAGTGCCGCCAGAGGGGTCTTGTTGGTCTCGCGCTGGAAGTTGGCGATGTGGGAGGAGGAATGGGGTGGGTATTCGCCAGCAGAGTAGTTGATGAATCTTGGTGGGTCTAGAAGTCAGCTTGTGCCTCGCCAAGGAGCTTGGACCCGCTAGCTTACCCGGGATCTGATCGCCTGTGCCCCAGCCACGCACAAAAGCGACCATATCACCCTGCGGCTCGAACAGCTCCAGCTTCTCCCTGACCCGCTCGCATGACTGCCCGTCAGCTGGCGATGCAGAATAGTTGACCTGTAAGCTTACACTATCATCCTCGACACAGACTTGGCTGACGGCATTCGCAAAAGCCCAAATGATATCCTTGGTCATCGCCAGCCGATCCTCCTCGAGATCTTGAACAACCTACGCCCGATCAGCTGAATTCTCGGCGTACAAGACCGTCAAGCTCACATCGCAGAACGCCTTCCACTCGTGCTCCCATTTCCCCTGCGTGCCCTCCAACACCCTCACAAATTGTCTAAAGTCCTGCTCGCTCTGGCCGATCGACTGACGGATCTTCTCCAGCTTTTGCTGCAGCTTATCGGCCTCTTTACCCTGCGTAAGGGCCTGATTGGCGGTGTACGAATTCAGCTTGAGGCAGTCGGATTCGTACTTCTCTCGGGCCTAAGTATCAGCTCTTGGCTCCTCATGCCACCGTTTGGGTTCGAGTGAGCTGACCTTGCTAACGTGCCCTTCTTGCAACCCCTTATTCCTCCAAGCCTTCTCAATACCCGCCTGCTGTCCCTTCTTGAACCCCACCAAACGCGCCGCAAGCTCTGCCGTTGGATGCTCCACGTTCGTCCGGATCTCTGCTGCTAGGGATTGGTGATATGTCGCTTGTTGGGCGGTTTCGACGAGGCAATTCTGGAGAGCAGCGGCGAGGTCGCCGATTTCGTCTTTGCCCATGGCGGCTTTGGAGAGCTTTTGGAGTCGGCGGGCGTAGTCTTCTTCGATGGCGGATCTGCGGGTTAGGATAGGAACGAAGAGGTGGCAACAGGAAAGAGTCGAAGGGAAAAATGATAGACAAGGATATAACCAGGGCGAAGAAAGGATGGAGCCAGCGAGCCCGCGGAGCATTTGCCCCTTTCTCCATGCACCATTCCTTCTCCGCCATATCCTCCCCTCTTCCCCCTCCCCACTCATCATCCCTGTATATCTTTCCTTTCCCTTCCCCTCGCCCACATATGACTCACCTCTCCTTCCAGAACGCCTTCAACTCCTCCAGTGTCCTCCCCGCCCCTCTCAATCTCGCCATGACCACCTCATACCCCCTATCTCCCTGTCCCCAGAACGCATTACAAAAGTCCATCCTTGGATCCTGCATTTCCTCCTCCCCCATCGGTCCTCCACCGTTACTCCCATCATTGTAAAAGCGGGAAAGGGAGGTGGACGATTGAGTCCGCTTCGGCGCGGATTGCGCCTGAGCTTGGGCCATATCGGCGGAACGTCGGGGGCTCTTCCGGATGGTCGCTCAGCTTCGATATGAGCGGCGTGGCGTGTATATCTTGGATGAGCCCTGCGCTGAGCTGTATATGTGTGGTCGTGAGTGGTCGTTATTATAGCTTGAGGTAGCTGCGAGAGATAGGGAGATTAGAGTTCTTTCCTTGTTGTGACACCGCCACAGCCAAAGCGAAGCGCGTCACTTCTAAAAGGGGGGGACCATACAAGACGCTAGCTCCGTCGGAAGCCCCGGTTAAGCCCGGCTAAATACCTTCCCCACTCAACTCAGCTCTCAATTTCGAGGTATGGACACTTCCCCACTCTCATATCCTCCACCAGATACCCAGCAGAGAAGAGGCGTGCAGTACGCAGGGTATAGGTTGTGTTACAGAAGGAAGCGAACCTATCAGCCGCGAATCGAAGCAGCTGGACCAGTCATGCCGCTTCTCTTCCCCAATCTTCGGATCTCACAGGTCTTTGGCGGTATGTTCCCGGATCCAGCTCATTGCCTCAGTGCATAGCTGATCTCGCAGCCAATACGGATGTCGGAAAGACGCTCTTGACTACCGCTCTCGTTCGATCTTCGGTTGCGCGGTATGCTCAGTCTTCGTCTGATGAGGCCGGACCGTCGAAGCGAGTCTTCTATCTCAAGCCGGTTAGCACTGGACAGGACGACGAGTCGGACGTGAGGTACGTTGATCAGCTCCACTACGCGTGGACAAGCTGAATCGTCAGCTACGTCGAGAGGAACACCGGGAGATATGGCTCGAGCGTCTCGACGAGGAACCTGTTTCAATATCGAGAACCGATGTCGCCTCACTTAGCTGCTCAACTCGCGCCGGATCTTGTAAGCTAAACTCTCCTGGTTTGGAATGACGAGCTAACAGGACTTCGGTAGCCCTTTCCAAAGAGCAATGATGAATTAATACGAGGGGTCGAGACATATACCCGGGAATGCCTGGCCGAGCTCAAAGGGTCTCGCGGGGCTCTCTACGTCGAGACTGCAGGAGGCGCGTAGCCGACTTATCAAGCTGATGCCCAGGTGTCCACTCCCCCGCACTCCATCCACCACATACACAATCCACCTCGCTCCTCCCTCTCCGTCTCCCTTCCATCCTCATCGCCTCCCCACATCTCGGCGGCATATCCACCACTCTCGCATCATACGAATCCCTTCATCTACGGGGATACCACATCTCGGCCGTCTTGTGCCTCGATCACCCATACTATCGGAATCACGAGTTCTTGGCCGATTATTTCGGGGAGCGGGGGATTAAGTTCTGGGATGTCCCTCCACCGCCAGAAAAGGAGGGGACGGTACGAGAGGACCGGGCGCGATTGGGGGAGTGGTATGATCGGATACAGGCGCCAGGGGAGGGAGCGGCGGAGGTTGCCGAGTGGCTAGATCGGGAGCATCAGGAGAGAATAGGGAGGCTGGAGGGGATGCCAGAGAGGACGCTGAAGAGTGTTTGGTGGCCTTTTACGCAGCATGGCTTGGTGAGTCAGCCGGCTGCCGGTCGCCCCGGAGTGCCTTGGACTGACATTCAGGTGAATAAGAAGGAAGACGTGATGGTTATTGACTCGGCGCACGGAGACAACTTCGACGCGTACTACACCAAACCGCCAGTAAAGGCGAGTTCTTCATTGGTCGAGACCGATGCCGCATCGACGGAAAGTCTTCTCAAGCCCTACTTTGACGGCTCTGCCAGCTGGTTCACGTACGTCTTTTCCTAGCCACTCCGACCATACTGACAAGCAGCCAATCGCACGGGCACGCCAATACCGACCTTACTCTAGCCGCCGCGCATGCTGCTGGGCGGTACGGACATGTTCTCTTTCCTTCGGGCACCCACGAGCCCGCTCTGAACCTCGCCGAGAAGCTGAAAGAGACAGTGGGGAAGGGATGGGCCGAGCGCGTATTCTATTCGGACAACGGGAGTACAGGGACAGAGGTGGCGCTCAAGATGGCGCTGAGGGCTGCGGGGAGACGATATGGCTGGGACGGGGAACGCGGGGGTGAAGTCGGTGTTATCGGTTTGAGAGGGGGATATCATGGCGATACTGTGAGTCTCCAGATGCTCATCAGGGGCTGACGTCCAGATTGGATCAATGGACGCTACGGAGGCATCAGCATTCAATAAAGCTGTCGACTGGTATAAAGGCCGCGGACACTGGTTCTCGCCTCCAATCGTCCAATTCATCAATGGGACCCCCACGATATCGACAACCGGACCCGATCACTGGCCCGCTCCCCCTTCCTCCGGCTTCACCCCCGCGCCGGATGGATGGCAAACGACATTCAAGTCCATTCAGGCTGTGTATGATCTGGGATCACGCACAGCCTCCCCCTTGGCGGACTACTACCGGTCGTACATTCGTTCCAGCTTTGAGGGCCTGGTGAAGGAAGGGAGGAAGTTTGGTGCGGTCATGATGGAACCGACGTGTCTTGGGGCAGGCGGGATGTTATTTGTCGACCCGCTGTTCCAGGCTTGCTTGATTGAGGTGGTAAGGAGCAGTGGGGATTTGTTTGGGGGCGCGGAGCACAAGGGGAGAGGGTATGAGGGAGAGATGTCTGCATTGGATGGACGGGATCCGGGGGAATGGCAAGGGCTCCCAATCATCTACGATGAGGGTAAGTATCGATACTGAACAAAAGCTGATAACAGTCTTCTCCGGTCTTCATCGGTTCGGCTACAACTCGGCATCCTCCGTTCTATCCCACACACCCGATATCTCCGTCTACGCCAAAATCCTGACGGGCGGCCTTCTCCCCCTATCCGCCACCCTCGCCTCCACCTCCATCTTCTCCGCATTCCTCTCGGAGCACAAGGTCGACGCGCTCCTGCACGGCCATTCGTACACTGCCAATCCGGTCGGATGTGCGGTCGCGCTCAAAGCGGTGGAGATTGTGGAGGCGCACGAGCGGGCCGGTGGTTGGGTCGAAGAGAAGAAGGGGTGGGGTGTGGGACTAGAAGGAGAAGAAGGGAGGTGGAGTTTTTGGGGAGAAGATTGGGTGGGAAGGGTCAGTAAGCGGGAGGGAGTGAGGGGAGTCATGGCTATGGGGACGGTGTGCGCTATCGAGCTGGAAGATGGGCAGGGCGGTGAGTGCTTCCCGTGCTCGAGAGTAGAGGGAGCTGACGTATAGGTTACGAGTCACACCGGGCTTTGTCGTTCCTTACTGCCCTGCGGAGGACGATCATAACATCCCCGGACGAAGCGTTTGCGCCATTCCAGATCCACTCGAGACCCCTCGGAAATGTGGTCTATATCATCACCAGCCTGTTTACACAGCCGGAGGTCATGCGTGCGATGGAGCGGACGATCGAGGAGGAGCTCGGGCGAGCATGACCACAACAATGCGCAACAACACTTACGAGGGATGTCCTTTGACAAGATCATTTGTATGCATTTACGTACCGAAGATTCATCTTGCGTCTCATACTATACAACATATGCATGTCGATCACTTCATCCGCCTGATGACCTCGTCGACTTCTCTTTGAGCTATGCCATTTGGTGCACTTCTTCTCAGCTGTCTGTGAGGCCGTCAGCTTCTCCAGGGCTGATCAAGGAGCAAAACGGGGAAGCTCACTCTAACTTGGCCTTGTCTTTTCTCTCCCCCGCCGCTTCCGCTGCTGTCCCCCAGTCTCCACATAGGACATACAAGTCCGCCCTGATTTTCGGATCACACCGAGGAACAAAGCTGGCCGCCTGGGCAGGTTGTGGCGGACTGAGGGCAAGCAGATGTGTCTTTTTGTCAGCTCAATCTCCATATCCACCCGCCCCGACGAAGGCCTGCAATACTCACAACAAAAGGCTCATACCCTATAGGGCTCTTTTTGGACTTGGCAAACGCTTCCAACCCGTCCCAATCTTTATTCCCCGCCAAAGCCTTCAGCTTGACCCACCACCACCGTTTATCCGGGACCTTGAAGTCATTTCTGACTTTCTCGGCGCGCTTGGAAAAGCCCTCGGTGAGGAGGCGGGAGATGAATTGGTCGACTGACAAACCGGCGAACTTGTATTTATGGTCGAGCTCGCGTTCTTGAGCAAGTTGGAACGAGAGCAGTCGGTGCGCGTCTTCAACCATCTGACGGTCAGCGGCGGGTTGACTCATTGCAAAAGCGACGACTTACCTTGGCCTCAAACAATCGTTCCTTGTCCTCTCCAAACGCTTTCGAGGCAGCTTGCAACTTGCCTACTCGCTCTTCTGGCTCGACAGCCTCCCCAGCCTCCTGCATCTCCAAACACGCAGTCTCGGTCCGCCGATCGTCTTGATAGTAGAAATCACGGAGGAGTCGGCGATCCCCCTCTTTTGCGTAGACCTGGAGGAGGTTGATGGCGGGTGTGAGTTGGGGGTTGGACGAGTCGTCAAGGATCGCAAAGAAGTCGCCGGGCGATTTGGACGAGTGCAGGTGGAGCAGAACGTGATAGACTACTTGCGTCAGCAAACGGAAAAGGGGAGGGCTGGATTAGGGGCATACCTAGATCGGTATCGCCTGAATCTATCGCTTTGACCAAAGCGACCTTCTCTTCCTTCATCTGTAAGAGAAGCGGGACCTGCTCCGCCGCTCTCCTCTCGTGGTCTAGCAGCTACTTTATCAGCTCGTGGCCCTCCTGCACATATTAGGCCTCGCGATAGCTCACCATAGTCGCCAATCTGACCCTGCCCGCCTCCCAAGCCTTCTTCGCAATCTCCGCATAGCTCACCCCCCGATCCCCCTCTTTTTCAAACTTGTCCACTATAACCCTACACAACCCCTCATCCTCGCCTATCCCCCGCTCACTCGGATCCACCCCCTTCGAACGCGATATCTTGGCCGCTGCCCAGTGTTTCAGGACCGGGTCGGGCCGGAGTGACAGGTACTGCGATATTCGCAATGCGAGGAGGTGGAGATTTCGAGAGAGGAGATGCGAGATGAGTGTGGAGGGGCCGATAAGGAGGTATTGAGCGTAAGTGAGGGGAATGCCGATTTCGTAGTATCGGATAGCGTTCAGAACTTTGAGGGTTTGAGCCATGTTAATAAAGTCGGAAGGATTGTAGAGGTCCAGGAAGGCTCGGCCGAATTGGGCTGCCTGGATATCAGCTCCACTCTCAGCTGCGACTCACCCTCAGTAGTCTCCGCTGCCAATTTGCATCCCATTCCCGTCCCGCTGCGTCGATACACATGTCGACCGCGGATGCCAGATCTGCGCGTATACTCCTTATCTCATCGGCTTTTGGACTGCGCCGGTCGAAGAGATCCAGCGCGTCGTATAACGTGGCAGCGGGATGGCTGGATCCAGGGGAGAAGACCGCCAGAGAAGAATCTGGGACTTTTTGGATAAAGTCTGACGTGGAAGAGCTTAGAATACGGAGACCGTCTGGTTCGGTCACGAGGTGGACTGAGGGGGGATAATCGTACCTGCAGTCAGCTCGGATCGCGGACGTCGCTCACCTTAGGCAATCCCCTGATGGACCGACGACGACGACTTTGCTTCCCCAGGACAAGACCACCGCGTTGTCGCCACACCATCCCGCTCCGTCCGGTATGCCACCGACCTCATCCCCATCCATGACGTCCGCCAGGCTCACATCTGAGAGATTCCGCCCAAAGTCGGCCGAAACGACCCATAATGACCCCGAGCCCGTCAATAGGGCAAGAAAGCGTCCGTTTGGCGAAGGGAGGATATGTGAGAAGGGCCCGCGTGAGATCCGCTGGTCTATCCGGTCCAGGGCGTCCAGGGTCACGATGGTGGTTCCGGTAGAAATGAGGATTTCGATATGACCGCTAGAGGACTGGTCGGGTGGGATGATGGCCCATGATGTAGGTGGATCTGTCAGACCTGAAGATCAGTGATATCCTGAGGAGTAACGTACTACTCCCTGCTAGAGGTGTGACCCGCCCGCCCTTCCATCCTGCAACTTCCAAGAACTGCAATCCGCCCGTCAGAACTACGAACCCCTCGTCGTACCCCTTGGCCGAGACCAGCCCCATCTCTGACGCTTCCGAGCCGAGCGTATGTTGAGTATACTGTTGAGGGTTTGAGAGATCGTAGAGCCGGTATGTGCCTTCGTCCGAGACGACAGCGAGGTGGGTCGAGGTGAAGTGCATGAGGATTGGCGGTGTCAAGTCCCACTAAGGGCATGAGCTACCGGTGTATTCGCTGAAATGGAGAGAATGACCTAGCTCACCGTCAACGAGCTGAGCAGGGCCCCTGCTGCAGTGTAGATATGTATCTTGGGCTTCCCAGGCGTGTGCTTCCCGAGCAGCATGACCTTCCGCTCGTCCCGAATCATAGCTATACGCTTCAGCTCGGCGCCAAACCGGAGGTGGGTTGCTTCAGCTAACCTATAGGTCCACCGTTTCTTGCAGCCGCAATGAGATAGTCCGAGAGGTCCGGGATGGACCAGGCCATCTGATATACCTCTTCCTTGCGGTAGAAGACATTCTGGATGGTATCCCATCTGGCTGTTCAGCTAAGGAGTGAAGGCCCCGATGAGAACGTACGACAATGTGGGAGACGGGAGGATGGTCATACTGCCAGTGAGAGGCTAGGGAAGCTGCGCAAGACGGGAAGATAAGGTGAAGGTCGTCCATGTCGCCCGAAGGGTGGTGCTCGTCGTCAACACGCCCTTCGTCATCGCCGCATGGAGTTCTCGCCTATCTCCATGTCTCTGCGGGGGCGAGATCCAGCCTTGTGGTGGACCACCTTTGTCGGTGACACACTTCAAGCCTCAAGCTCGAGTCTGCTGCATACATCTAGTCAACTGAGAGAGCCCTCCTAGCGCTGCCCAGCGACTGTGCGAAGAAAGCGTCTTCGCTCAGCTTGACCCCTCCTACTCGATCACCATCACGCGACTCGCCACCCACAGCATGTCCACACCGTTACCTCTAGCAACGCTGTAGCCTCTGCACCTACACCATGGTCGCCTTCCCCTTCCTCTTTAGCTTTCCGTTCGCCCTCCCCAGCTTGCCGTCCATATCGCTCCCAGCAAACATACAGCGGCGGTTCCTGTCATATGTCCTCAAGCGGGCGTTAGGGCGGTTCGTGAAGACCGGAGGGCTGGATGTGGAGAGGATACAGGCGCAGATCAGCGAGGGATGGGTAGAGATACAGGGCTTAGAGGTCGATACCGAGGTGCGCTTCAGCTTAGCTTCAGCTGCTCCGGAAGGCACAGCTGAACCATCAGGCTATCAATGCGCTTCTACCACCGTCACTTCCCTTGACGCTTACAAGCGGCCGACTAGATCATATCTCCGCCAAAGTCCCATTCGCCAATCTATGGTCAGACCCGCTCTCCGTCACTCTGACCGATCTTACACTGGACTTTGAGCTCGGCGGATCCCAAACCCCCTCTCGGCCCTCACCCCGCGGCTCAAGCTCACATCAGCCGAGTCCCGGCTCGCCCCCTATCGACCTCGCACACTCCGTCACATCGGCAGCAGGGGACTTCCTGCATGATGAGCTGGACGCATACGAGGAAGCCGAGCTCGGAAACTCTATCCGCCAGTCCCTGGTTCTCAGCCAGAACGACCCATTTGCGAGCGATGACATCCCCGGCGGCTTCCCATTCGCTTCAAGCGGCGCCGGAGCCACGTCCCCTCTCGCGCCGACCACAGAGAGCAAAACGGCTCTGGCAGGTCTCGTGGAGCGGATCCTGGCGAGACTGCAGGTCAAGGTCCGGAACGTACGGGTCCGGATACGACTCGACGATAAAGACCACGGGGCGACATTCGAGCTTCGGATAGGCGATATACAGTATGCGGACGAGAGCGATGCCGAACCTGCAAAGGTCATGCGCGTCCTCCGCTTCTCATCCGTCTCGGTATATACGGTACCCTCACGGAAGGTGGTACCGACTCGCCCGGTATACGCTTCGTCGGTCCGCTCATCGTCGAGCTCGTCGTCGGACTCGACAAGTGACGGAGGAGGAATGGCCATGTCCCTGGCTGTCGCTGATCTGCGGCAAAGCACCATGTCGTCCATCGCTTCGGGGGCGTCGGTGTACCACAGCGCGCTGGACGAGGGAGGGATTCCGGGGGAGGAAGAGGAGGAAGACAGCAGGGATCATGATCGGTCACCTACACCCACCGCTGCTACTATTGAGCCCGACGTCCTCCTTCTGAGCTTCGGAAGCGAGGGTATCATCATTTCGATGAAGACGACCCCGCCCAAGGCTCGGGAGGAGGCCGCCTCTTCGGCAGATACTGGTCGGCCGGTGCTGCGGAGAGGCTCGACTAGCCAGATCGCAGAGCAACTACCTCTGCTTGAGCTCGACCTGGCCGTCGGGACCATAGCGGCGGTTATCCTGCCTCGCCAGCTCGCCTCACTAGTGGCCGCAGCCCAGAGATTTTCGGGCACATCGAGCACGACATCTGCTACATCGGACCCGGTCCAGCCTCGGATCCAAGCGAAGGTGCGCGTCAAAGGCGTGCATGTCGCAATGATATACGATATGGATCTTGACCAATTGCCCATCCAGGCGGTAGATCAATTCTGGGCCAAGCCTGCCAGTACCTACCTTCCCGTCGGCCACCTCAAACTTCGGACGGAAGGTCTCTCCGCTTCATACTGTACCAAAGGCCATATCCCTACACCTCTTCCTCTATCTCGACGATCCACCAGCTCCACCCTCAATCCTCTCCGTCGCACATCCTCCTCCATCTCTCCATGCCCTCGCCCGCCCAGCGTCGAGATGACCGTTTCGGAGGTCTCAATCTTCGAGTACCTCGCGACGGATTCCGCTTCGGCTGCGGATCCCGGAGATGCTATCCCAGGCGGAGCATACCCCGTCCTTATCTTCGACTCCAATCTTCTCAAGCAATATGACTTGCGTACGCCCGCTTCAACTCGGCCGTCTTCAGGATTGACGCCGCCGCCGCTCTTCCCGGAGTACGAGAACGTCGATTGGCGGAACTCTGGTCTTCAGAAACGGAGCGGAGCAGGAGAGAAGTCATGGAGGGTCCGGGCGGGAGTCCGGGGGGTTCTGAAGGGCGTATCTCCGCCTCCAGTAGGGGATGAGGGGCCGGCGATATCCATCAAGGCGTCTATCTCAAGTTCAACACCTGCATCACGTATGTCCTTTCCCCTTGAGATCTGTCCGGTGCTGACATCTAGCTGCACTTATCCAATTACTTCCCATCCATCTCTTCCTTGATCTGTCACTGCTCGAACGTCTTTTACCCCTCCTCCGCTTCATCGCCCCCGCAATCCGGTCAACACCGCCCGAACGGGATGCCTACGCGGAGATGGCGGCTTCTCGGCGCCAGCCTGCTCCCCCAGCCGCCCGTGGCGGTCAGTACGTCATCGACGATCTGGACGCCCAGGCAGCTTCGGTATCGACTCTGAAAGCTCAACCTCGGTCAAACCTGCTCGAGGTCATATGTCCGCTGTTTCGGATAGACATACGATGTCCCGCCCCTCTCAACCGGAGGGGTACATGGGGAGATGGGGCGCATCTACGGTCCGGAATAGTGACGCTGGATCTACATCGCCTTTCTACGCGTCTGAAGGCGGGCAGTCAGGGCGACTTTACGGTGGAATGGGACAAGATGCTGTTGTTCTTCTGTCGAGTCCCAGGTATGTTTCATAGTCGGCGACTCAGCTGATATCGTAGAGAAACGCGCTCAGGCGTTCCTCGTTGTCGGTCCGCTAGCATCCGACGCCTCCGATCTAGACATGACCCCCCTTCTCCCCTCCGTCACGATCGGTAAAACCACCAGTCCCACCTCGACTTCGCTCGTCACCTGCCGTATCCCCTCCATCCAGGCCAAAGTCCGCCAGACCACCATCGAGGGCCTGCAGTTCTTTGCAGACGACATCACGCACTGGCTAGACGGTGCATTTGGGGATGGGTCGGCGCCTAAACCCCGGGACGACCTAAAGATGATCGGGAGTCGGTTCTTTGGGTCCAAGGGGTCTTCATCTGCCTCTAGCTCGGCGGAGGAGGAGGAGGACGAGGCCGCTTCAGCGACTATCATCCGGGTCAACATCTCCGAGGTGGACATCGCTCTGCACGTGCCTCGGAAGAATCGTGAGGATACTGCCGCTACAGAACGCATCCTCTCGCTGCAGGCGTCAGACGTCGACGTCAAGGTCGAATCCAACACGACCGGAACTACTCTCGCCGTCGCCATCATGGACGCGGAATTCAACGATCGGACGACTCCCTCGGCGCCTATCAGGATACTCGGCCGAACAACACCCTTGACATTGGCGATGCACAACTCGCCGCTTGTCTCCATTCGCTTCTCCTCGTCGTCCGATGCAGCTACCGGGGCGAAGGAAAGTGGGATCAAGGTGGCATTGACGACACTGGCGGTGTTCATCACGAAGGACCTGGCGTGGGTCACCGAGTTGAAGACCTTCGCCAAGACACCAGAGGGGGTGTTTGAGGATATGACACCGGCGGAGGTCACGCGGATAGCGGTACAGCTGTTTGACTTCTCTGTGCATGTTTCGGCGCCGACGAGACCGGGAGCACTGGTGGGCGTGCTGGGATTGCTGGATGTCAAGACCGATATCATTAGCGATGCGGAGGAGAGCCTGCTGGAGCTGAGTCTGGCGGGAGGGCATGTGCTGGCTATCGATGAGACGGCGGCGGCTGGGGCTCTTCCGATGGGACACTCTGCTTCGGTCGAAGCTTGGAAGGTATGTTGCTTCTGGTCTTAGGGACAAAGCTAATAGAGCCAGCGCGCTGGCTATGCATCGATGATCGAGCTGGATCCAGTCGAGCTGCAGCTAGTCCGAGATCTTACAGGGTCGAAAGATGTCATGGTAGGTCTCTTCAGAAGTACGTGCTGACGTCCAGCTGGACGTTCTGAGGAGCCACGTCAGGGTGATGGCGTGTGCGGACTCGCTTGGTACTTTCGCAGCTCTGCTTGGCGATCTGCCTAATCTTGTCCCTTGCAAAGCGTAAGCCAATTTCTCTCAGGCATGCACATGAGGCTGAGTCCGTAGAAAGACGGAAGAAGCACCCACCAGATCTCCGACTGAGCTAGATCAGTCAATCAACGTATTCAGTAAGCCTACTCTACACTGCTTGGACCGCCCTGACCGCCAGGCTCAATCGACGAGGACACATTTCGCCGTCTGCCAGACACCATCTCCGGGATCGATCTTATAGAAGACGACCTCCCTACCAATCTCGACTATCTCGATGCTGCGGCCAGACGGACCAAGCGATCCGGCTCGGACGATACGCTGGAAGGACTACGATCATGGCAGACAGAATCTGATAATAATTTGCTGGATGACCATCTCGCGGCAGAGATCAATGGGGAAACGATCAAGATACTGTTGAAAGGGGGATTTGATATGGCGGAAGAGTACTGGGAGAAGCTACCGACGCTGGTACACGCTTCCTCGGACCAGTGAGTCTCCTACCGATGGATTTGAGCTGATAAGTGCAGGCAAACCATCCCCCTCAAAGTCCGCATCCACGATGTCTCGGCCGAGATCCTCCTTCATGACGGGTACGACTGGTCCCGGACCCGCCGGGCCATCGAAGAGGAGATCAAAGCCGTCCGCCGGCGCCTCGAAAAGATCCGTCAACTCCTCGCCTCCGGCCAAAAAGCCGACGACAGCGTCGAGCGAGCGACCAGCGTCCTCTTCAACTCGATCTATATCGGTCTCGACCAGTCCAAGGAGAATATGGACACGGCGGCGCTTCTCGCTGCGATCGATGACGAGCTCGAGGAGCTGGGAGACGAGACGGCCAGCCAGAGCTCTTGGCAGACCATGCCCGCTGCAGGGAGCGAGCGGCCGTCCGCCAAGAAGACGCGGTTAAAGGGGAAGCGTCTGACCCGGTCGAAGAAGGCTCAGATCGAGGTGGCGTTGATGGGGGTCAAGGCGGAGATCGATGTTCACGGTGCGGACGACGCGACGTCTGGACGGGTGCACATCACGGCAAAGTCGCTCGAGATCCTCGATCATATCAAGACGTCTACGTGGAAGAAGTTCTTAAGTGAGATGAGGGCGGATGCGAGGGGTAATATAAGGGAGACCGGGGCGGATATGCTGAGGGTGGAATTGATGAGCGTTCGCCCATCTTTACCCCATCCAGACGAGGAGCTTCGCCTCAAGGTACGTGGATTGATCAGCAGTTCGCTAACGACAGGCCAAAGTACTACCCCTTCGGCTCCACATCGACCAGGATGCTCTAGACTTTCTGAAACGCTTCTTCAGCTTCGAAATCCCTGCCAGCTCGGCAGCGCCAGAGCAGCCAACGACCGCTCACACCGCTCCCGCGGCAAAGGGAAAAGAGCTCTTCTTCCGTGAGTATCTGGCCTTATATCAAGACACAAGCTGACGTCCAGAACACGTCGAGATCTTTCCCGTGGAGATCAAGCTCGACTACAAACCCAAACGGGTCGACTTTGCGGCTCTTCGAGAGGGAAAGACGATCGAATTGATGAACTTCTTCCACTTTGACGGGGCAGAAATGACGCTTCGTCATATTACCATGTCAGGGGTGAGCTCGCTTTATTTACCTATGTCAGGGTACAGCTGAACCCTAGGTCTCCGGTCTGACCCGCCTATCCACCATGCTCCAAGACATCTGGACTCCCGACGTCAAAGCCAATCAGCTCGCAGATGTCATTTCCGGCGTATCCCCAATCCGCTCCATGGTCAACGTCGGATCGGGCGTCGCAGACCTCATCCTCCTCCCTATCGAGCAATACAAGAAGGACGGCCGAATCGCTCGCGGTGTTCAGAGAGGGACCAACAGCTTTGTGCGGTCAACAGCCATGGAGATGATGAAGCTCGGCGCCAAGCTCGCAACGGGAACCCAGGTCATACTGGAGCGAGCAGAAGGTGTGCTTGGTGGAGGAAGCAAGTTTAGGGACGATGTCATCGGGGAGGTCGGAGCGGACTCTGGGCGTCAGACGGTCGAAAGCGATGATGACGAGGGGGATATGGTGGAGGTCCTGAGTCGGTACGCGAATCAGCCGACGGACGCGCGAGAGGGTGTCCAGGCGGCGTACAAGAGCTTGTCGAGCAACATCACTTCGGCGGCGCAAACGATATTAGCAGTTCCGATGGAGGTGTATGAGCGATCTGGGGAGAATGTGAGTTGTCTACTGTGCTCGTGCGGGAGAAAGGCTGACATGGTAGGGACCGCTCAAAGCCGTCGTTCGGGCTGTACCGATCGCTGTATTGCGTCCGATGATTGGCGCTTCCGAGGCGGTCAGCAAGACTCTTCTGGGTGTCCGCAACAGCTTGGACCCGACGTCACGGGAGGAGCTGGGGGACAAGTACAAGTGATGGATTGAGTAGGGGAGACGCGATATCGACGCGAAACTGTGTTGTACGATCTATCTCATGGACCGACCCGGAGCAGCATAACATAGATGTTGTTGTACACATGACGCAGCTTGAGCTTGTACGTGCTGCATTGGAAGATCACAAACATTGCACCTCAGATAATACCAGCGAAAGTACACAATAACAAACCATGACATGATAAACCGTCTGCCTTCCGCTTTGCTTTGAGTCTTTGCCCCATCCGTTCCGTGTCTGACACTTCCTTCCTGCAGCAACCCTCATCCTCGCCCTACATAATGACACACCCCTCATCCTGCACCGGCTTGCTGACGAAGCCCATCTCGGCAAACGTCTGCGGTCCCTTCTTCCTCGGTCCCGGATCGCCCGGGAAGCTCTCCGGTGGCGGCAGAGCAGGAACCAAGCTATCCTGCAGGATGTATCCTCTCTGTGGGGCTGGCGCAGGCGTCGAAACCTGAGGAGGCGCAGGGGATCCTGACGGCTTCGGCGACGCGTGAGCTTGTGGCTGGTTGTACCGCGCCGAGGGTCCGAGAGAAGGAGGGGTGGTGATGATCTGGGGGTTGGGGGTGGATGCCGAGGGCCTGATTCGGCCTTGCGGCATGGAAGGGGAAGGGGGAATGGAGACTTCGATCTGGGGCCGTGAGACTTTGCGCTGGCGCTGTTGGTCCTGCCCGTTGAGATTGGGCTGAGGGGACCGAGGTGACATTGGCTGGGCGTACGCATTGCGCCCGGGCGAACGGGGCATACTTGCGCTAGCGGGCAGCGCGGGGGACCGGACGGCGTTGGGATTGGGCGAGACGAGCCCGCTGGTCGAGTACGGCCGACCGTTACCCGGGACAGGTGATACCGGGGTGGCCGAGGAGAGCCGAGCCTCGTCGATCCGCGCTGCGTCAAGCTTGGCTTGGGCCCGACTCGAGTCGCGAGGAGGAGCCCGACGGGTCGAGAGGTAGTCGGAGCGGATCTTGGCTTGGGTGTGGCGCCGGACGAGCGTGTCGTTCAGCCGGGACTGATGCTCCGAGAGGGTCATCTGCTGGGGTTGTGGAGCAGATAGGGCTGCAAGTCGCTGGATGGCATCCGGGTTGTTGAGCTTTGCGGCCTACAGGTAAGCTTAGTACGTCAAGCGTACGGCTGTCAGCTTACCCGTTGATACCACTTCTTCGCCTGATCTCTGTCCTGCCTTCCACCGATACCAAGCCTGTCCGTCAGCTTGATGCCCTGTCTCTAGCCTATCAGACTCACTCAAAGTAGTACCCCATCGCAAAGCATCCATTCGGGTGTCCCCGTCGCGCCGCCTTCTCCGCAAACGTCCTCGCAAGGTCCTCATTCTTTCCGAAATGTCCTTCCGCACCACACAAGAACCACTTGCTCAGCGCCATATCCGCCTCAATCTCCCCGCCCTGGCTGGCGAGTGAATACCACTGGACACTCATGAGCGGGTCGTATGTCGTGCCCAATGAGGCGTGTTCGTAGAGGTATCCCATCTTGTACTGGGCAGGGGCGAGACCAAAGTGTGCCGCGCGCTCTAGAGCTTCGCGTGAGGATTGTTGCTGCGCGTGAAGGGCGTCCGATGGTGGGGCGGTCGGCGGGAGTAGGAGGTGAGGTGGGATAGGTGCAGGGGTAGAGAGCTCGCCGGCGAGGAGCATGCCGTACACATAAGACGGCTGGGGGAAGTCGGGAGTGGTCTGCGAGGACGCGGCTCGGAGGAGCGGTAGGGCGGTGGAAGGATCTGGTGAGAGGTGGAGCTGGCCCAGGAGGTTGGCCATACCCATGCGCTATACCATCAGCAACGATCGCCAGTGCCACCGATACCAACTCACATAGGTGCTCTCGCAGTCCCCTTTGCTTCTGCCCCGCTCAAAGCACTCCCGCGCTCTGCCCAAATCACCCACACCCTCGTAGTCCCTCCCTAGCCTGAACCACCCCCTCGCTTCTCCGCTCCTTGCCGCCACCTCAAAGTCCTTGAAGGCCTGCCTTTGGTCCTTTGGCAAGAAGTCGGGGCACGCGCCGGACGCCAGGAGCTTACCGCGAAGATAGCTCGCCAGCGCGGATATTTGCGTAGAGTGGTGTTCCGTAAAGGAGATGACGATAGGGATCACGACGTTGAGCAGCATGTCCAGCTCGCTAGGTAGCCGCGCGGCCGATGGGGTGGTCTCTGGTGAGATAAAGTCGGTGGGCGAGCCGTTGGGGTAAAGATGCCTGTCAAGAACCCGAAGGACGTCTTGCGAGAAGTGCACCTTGTCCAGGTCGTTCATGCCGTCCAGATCGGGAAGGCTCGCTTGAAGTGAGTCCGTCGAGGGCATCGGCGCGACAAGGGGCGGTCCAGGGCCAGCCGCGGAAGACGAAGCCGGAGCAGGAGCTCGAGGCGGGTGCGTCATGCTTGTGGGGGAAAGATATGACTGATGCGCAGAGTATTGGGGGAGATGGGTGATGACAGGTGTAGGAGGGATGGATATGGGCTGCCGAATTGGAGTGGGTGAATGCAATGGCGGGAGCTGTACCAGTCAGCGGGGATGCAGAGATGTCAGGCATGCCGCTCCAGCGAGATATCCTCTCTCCCACGACCGACGGTCCACCCGTGTCTCAGGCCGAGTAGTGTGCGACAGCGCAGCGACAAGTCCAAGACTTACCGAAGCAGTTCCCGGTCTCTCCGAGTAAGCATACCCCGATCCGTCCATATGCTGAGGCTGCTGTGCTTGCTGAGGTCCGCCCCATCCGCCGCTGCTTGGTCCGCCATTGCCGCTGCGCGATCTCGCATTTTGCCGGTAGTCCTGCGAGTAACGCGACGCGTCGCTGTTGAGCGATAGTCCACCGAATTGCTCTATGGGCGGCTGAGAGTACGGTCTGGAGGTAGGTGTAGATGACGAAGAGTATGAGGATGCAGTGTTGTACACGGGCGGAGGGACGTATGCGGATGTAGGCCGCTGAGGGACGAGTGGTGGCGCCTGAGGCGGTGCAGGATTGTAGGAGCTTGACGGGCGAGCGGAGCTATTCTGAGCTATCTCGGAGGTATTGTAGCGCCGAGCATGCGGAACGAGGTGGGCCATCTTGATTGTATGTGGGGAGCTGCTGAGCGCTGAGCGCTGAGCTCTGGAGGTATGCTTGCTTGATTGTACGATTCGAGAAGACTGGTATAGTGTTTGTTTACGAGTTACGCGATACGCGATCCGCGATGACGCGTGAATCGCTGCGGGGTGTTGCTGCGACCGTTGCCGCTTGAGCTAAGCTTTACAAGGCAGTCCTTCGGCCACTCGAAATTCAGCCGCATCGCCCTTTCGCCGTCTCTCGCCAGCTGCTGTCCTACGCAGGCAAAAGCAGTGCAGGACCGCGACCAGGCGGTTCTAGAACGCGCCCAAATTGAGGAATGTAAGAGCGCGTTTCGGCCTGAAATCTGAAACACAGCCACGTGGCCTGAGTGTGGCGATGCTGCCGCCAAGTGTGGCGAAACCCCTGACTGTCCGATCCTTTCTTACCGTGCTCCTCTCCCTCGGCGGTGTGGAGCACCTGGATGAAGGGAGTACGCAGTGTAAGGCCAGTGATAGCGTGGTCATCTATACCAGGCCAAGAGGGTGTTTCCCCCTCTCTCTCCACTTATACTTCCTTCGAATTCGCCACCCACACCCCATCCCCATACATCCCTATCGCACCTCGATCAGCACTACCACTCACGCAACCGAGTCCAGCCAGTCCCTCCTACATCTACGACTGTTTCTTCTCTTCATACCTCTGTCCACCTCACCCACGTCGACCAGACCCCCCAGTTCACCCAGCTCACCTAGCTCACTATATTACTTACCCCTCTCTCTCCGTACCCATGCCAGGCTCATCCCAATATGCCCGACGGGATGTTCGTATCCAATATTCCCCACCTTTGAACGACTCTCAGGGCGATTTCCCGTTTCTATAGGAAGATATATCCATTACCAACATCTCCCACACCGACCCCAACGCAGGCTCATTCGAGGTCGAGGCCTTGCTGAGGCAATTCCCCGAAGGCACCTCTCGATCAATTATTCCTGGGATTGGTTATACAGTACAAGACAAGAAGCACACGGGCGTCCTTTCCAGGGGACTGATTCACAGCTTCGATCCTGACGAAGAGACCGGGGAGCAAGTCGAGTACCTGAACATAAGGGCCTATCTGCCCGAGCATTATCAGCCCCGGACATGGCCGATCACTGAGAACGCAAGTGTGGGGGAAGCGATACCACCCAAGCCGATCAGTCTCTTCACAGACACAACCCAGGAAAGTACGGCGGTCATCAGCCCATACACTTCTACATCACCCTTTTCTCGCATTGAAAGTCGCTTCAGCCCCATGGAGCTCAACGGCCTTCTGGTCGATATGGGGCAGGATACGCCCACCAAGTCTTCGCGGACCAATGATGATTTCTTCGACATGACTCTGGCCGACATGCTATCTCGATCGCAATTCTCACAGAACACCCAGGCTGACGGGCTGATGGATCTGCGGAAGGAGCTCGAGGCCGACGGCATGCATGGTGATGCTATACGTGGTATCCTCTGGCGTAATCTGCTGGAAATGCACGACGAAGAGGCCAAGACGTGGCTGCAAGGCCTCGCGATTACGCCGGACATCAAAGATCGATTGCTGAGCGTTGCGATGCTACGGGCAGACACAAAGGGCGATGATGCTGGAACCGTCGAGAGGAAGAGCGGAGACGCTGCCGGCGGTGAAAGTGATTGCGGTTACAGCAAAGAGTGGCAGAAGACAATTGCCGACATCATCAAGGAGATGAACACTGAGGAAGTGAAGCACTTGAAAGACAGACTTCTACTGCCTGTTCTTGGGAAGCTGAAGGAACGTGTGAGCTCGGCGCTGGACAAGGTTGTCTGGCAGAATATGGAGACAAGTGGTTCGGCCGAAGATGTGCCCAAGGCGATCAAGGATCGTTTGACAGACCACCTACGCGGGCGAGAGCACGCCACTTTCTGGAAAGCTCTGGTGGCTGATGTGGAGTCGAGATTGGAGACTGACATACTGGCGGGTCCGGAGACAGTGAGCTTGCAAGACTGCTGGACTGTGACAACGAAGGACGGGCTGGCGGCGTCCCTCTGCGAAGTGCAGCCCGGTGGATATGCTGCTCAAGGGAAAGCCGGGGAGCAGAGCTACGTGGGGACACTGGGCTTCATGGAACTACTACCAGCGACGGCAACGTAGGGTAGCGGGTAGCGCCAGGGGCGTGGCGGCGGCCGAGGTACGTATACGAGCGTCGGTACGGTTGGGAGGGCTTTCGGCTGTTCCTTACGGTGTCTTCCGGGATCATCATGGCTCACTGGTGAGGCTCGATTGTTTATAGATGGGAGTTCCGCTTTCTAGTTTCGGCTCTGTGGTCTATGCATTGATGTGATATGTGACCAGGGATCTGAGTGAGCACAGGTCAGGTCGATGTCGATTACGGACAGCTATTCTCCATGATCAAGGGAAAGAGTAGCACGTCTTGAGCTCACTGCTTGAAGTGTTTCAAGATCAGAAAGGATGATATATACGACGGAGTCTCGATACAGCGAGTTGGGGGGCTGTCTGCAGACAAGCGAAGAGACACGGCTCCTTCTCTGTCTCGTAACCTTCACTCCCAGTCAATCCACAACCGAGCCGTCCAGCCGCGATACCGATCTGCCCTTCCCAGTCCACGATGACTGCCATACCCCACCGTACCCGTCGCGTGCCCGCCCGGCGCCCTGGTACCACGCAAACGACGAAAGGCACTTCTGGTCGCGAGTCCTATGCCCCTTCTACGACTTGTGGTGAGGATGCGCACAACCTGAGCGTGCTCGCGGCGTCGGCGTCCACGTTTAAGCCTCAAGGGGTCGAAAAGAAAGGGAAGAAGAGGATATCCGCCAACAGCAAGGGGCAGCGTGCAATGCTCGACAGAGTGATACAGCACACGGCGACGGTGTCCCTCTCATCCTCCCCGCCCGTCACCTCCGAAGAGACCGCGCGCCAGACCGACGCATTCCTCTCGAACGTCGAGAAGGAGCTTGGTCAATGGGTTGTGGACTTTTGCGGTACAGGCACAGAGAGATCTGACCTCCCTCTCGGTACCGGTCCGTCCTCAGACGAGCAGCTATCAACGCAAGACCGAGTCGACAGGATCACGACCATCCTCAAAGAAGCGGCAAGGACCCACGCGGCGGCCCTGGGGGACGAGAGCTATACGGGCGAGTTGGGAACGAACGAGGCTCTTGCACTGACTGAGCGAAAGGAACGACGACAGAGGCTGAGGCCCGAGGATGCCCTGTACCACAATATGTTCGACGAGATCGATGCGTACTTGTCCGCCATTGATCCATTCTGGCGGGCCTCATGTGGTGGGGCTGGACAAGAGTTGCTGGCGACGATCGGGTACCTAGGAGTGGAGGCGCGCATGAGGCGGTGGAATGAGGAGTGAGCGGGCATCGAACACTATGCGGAATGTTGGTTGATGCACGTACCTTATTAGAGCTAGCGAGTCGCGATCGCAACACTCCGCACGATCCCGCACGATGGCTAGTTTACTGCCGTGAGCGCTGATAAACGGACACAACGTGAGCTGCGAGACACTCTCATGGGTCCCTGACGCTGCCCTCCACAGAGACGCGAAACTTAAAACAGACGTACAGTCAAGGACGAGGATCATCAGTGACTGTATCAGTAATTGACTCTCAAATTTGCCTCTCCACATTACTCATTCATCCGCTTCTTCCTTCTTCTCCTCCCCCTTCCACCCCGGCGCCTCAAAGCCCACCGTCTTGACTTCCAAAGTCTCCAAACAAACAAGAACCACCACCCCCGTCTTTGCAAAAGAAGGCACCAGAATAATCCTCGTTGGATCCTCATCGCCTACAATATCAGCTTCCATCTCATCCCAGTGCCTGAACGAGGATATCGGTAAGAGGTACAGAAATGACTCACCGCCCGTCAGGGCCGTCTCATACTCTGGTTGATTACCTAGTATGTAAACATCTGGTCGATGTTGGATGATAAATGGGTCTGCGTCTGGGAAGGGGTAGATCCCTGCGGCATCAGCCTCGACTCCACAACGATACGGCGGGCAACGTACATAAGGTATCTGGCGCAGTAGGGGCGATATGCCGCCATTCTAACGTCCGCCTGGCCATACCGAGCCTGGAGGAAGAAGGGAGGTATTTGAAAATATCGTCCACTGTTTGTCCCCCCGTCGTCAAGAAGCTATCCGATCAGCTTCTGCTTCGGGACCCAATCAAACTGAGCTCGCCAACTGACCTCCTTCCTCCTATTTCGCTCCAAGATGGGTTCGTCCCACTCTCCAGCCCCTCCCTCTTCCCGCCAATCATGACTTTTGGTAATGGCTGTTGAGGCAGGGTGGCGCCCGCGGGGTCGGCGGGACCGGGGACGACATTGATGGGTAGTGAAGAGGAGAGGAGGTCGGAGAGGACAAGGGCGAGGGTGCGGGTGGGATGGGAAGAGTAGACGGGTTTCGAGGTCGCGTTGAAGCGTTTCTGGGAGTCAGCTCAAGGCCAGCGATCGATTGAGGAGAACACACTATTTGGCGATCATCTTCGCCTTTTACGGGATTTGATAGTGAATTACCAGCGAGGACGAGCCGAGCTATCCGAGATCCATCAATCAGATCCTGGATGGTCAGCTGTCCGCCCTGGAGAAGGCAAGCGTAGATTTAGCTCACGCTAGGTCCAGCACTCTCTCCTCTCAGCCAATCCACCAGCATCTGCACCTTGATATCCGCCAGTGCTTCCTGTGCGCCGACAGACAGGCCCGAAACGACAGCGACCCAGGTCTTCTCGCTTGACCCATTTGCTACTGGTGCACCTGCCAGTATCAGCATCGCTCTAGCCCTTTCACATGCAGGAGCTCACCGTCGACCTCCATAGCTTCCTCCTTGGCCTTCGATTTGCCCTTCCCGTTGAGATATGGCGCATCGCTCGGAGGGCGGTATATCTCTGGCAGTCCGGCAAAGCAGAGGTCTATGACTTCAAAATCGCCTGAGGAGGTCTCCATCCCGAGTACAGCCATGATCACGCCTGTCCCGTCAGCTCGAGTCGACATCGGTTTCATGGATATCGCAGCTCACCTGTGACTAGACCTCCCCCTTCTCTATCCCTTTCCCGCTTCATCTTCTCTCCCACAAGCCGTACACGCCCCGACTCGTCTTCGAGCTGTACAGCATCCTGCGCAGAGTAGAATTTGGGTCGAGCAGCAGGGACAGCTATCCAGTGCTACCGTATGAGCTCTGCACTACATTCTCAGCCTTAGAAGCTCACATCTCTGGCCATATCCTCCAGCACATTCGGCTTGAGCGGCATGTCCATATACGTCGTTCCGACGATATAGCACAGCTGTCCTCTTTGGAGATTGAGGATTCTGGGTAATAATGGTGGTTTGCCTGAGGTATCAGCCTTACCCCTCGCACCAGGGGGATCGCCGTACCTCTGACATGAGACCATCGTTCCCCAGCTCTTTGCTCGACGATAGGCCGGAGCTCTACGAGCCGGACAAAGTAGATATTGGCATACTGGTGCTTGTAACTTCTTTGAGCGGGGTCGATGTAGAACGGTTTCGAGAGCTCGGGGAGGGACGAGTAGGTCGTTACGGGCCGTTTGAGAACGGATGTTGAGGGCTCCGGGAGGGGCTCTGGTAGATATACCATGGTGGGCAGCTAGCTTATGTGCAAGTTGGGGAAGTCGGGTATAGAAAGTCAAGGTATGGCTGCTGTTCGTCGCGTCGAAATCTCAAGCTGACCGCGTCTATTAGGAATAGCCCTTTGTTTGCTGACGTAATTAGCTAATTTGATTAGCGGGATCTAAAAATGGTATAAACAACCCGACTGACTTCTATTGCCATCAGCGTCACCCGTCGCCTGTCGTCTGTGCACTGGATAGTACAGTCACCCTCTGTTCGTGTTGCCTCTCTTCCTTCCTTCCCTATCATACATATCATACACATAGGTCGTCAGCATCAAAGTCGAACGGGGACCTCGTCTACGCTCTTAAAGGCCCACCTACCGATTCGTATCCCGCATCGACTCCAACACGCCACCCGATGAGCGCATAATCACCCCTTCAACCCTATCATGTCCCTCGCGAACCACCTTCTTGAGACATACGAAGATCGCAAGCTCATGCACCCCCCTCAAAGTGTCCAGAGACTGGGAGCGACCGGTCCCAATATGCAACATCAAAATTCCCGAGCGGGGCCGAGCACCCATCACGGCGCCAACGCCGCTCACGGGCAACAGGTGGCGGGAAGGGCGTCGATGGGTGGAGCAGGAGGACAGGGACAGGGAGGGGGCGGTGGGGAGGATGGAGGAGCGAATTGGTCGAATCATGGGATGCCATGGTGGATGGCCATGCCGCCGCATCTCATGCAGCCGCAGCAGAGTATAACGCCGTGGAGTGAGGAGAGGCTGGCGCAGATGCAGGTCAGGCTGTCGAGGAAGCTGGGGCCGGAGTATGTGTCGCAGAGACCGGGACCGGGCGGTGGGCCCAAGCTTAGGTGAGCTTCTTCGTCTTCTTCACTTTGTTGAGAAGCACAAGCTGACTTCGCAGCTATATCGAAGGGTGGAAAGGTCAGCTGCGATGCACTGTATCTGCTGCGGAGAGGGCTGATCATCTGCAGTGATCAACCTAGCAAACGAAGTGTTCGGCTTCAGTGGCTGGTCATCATCCATAGTATCGCTCGTCACCGATTTTGTGAGCTATCTCATTCCTTCAATTCTACGGATTGAGCATAGCTGAGTACACCAGATCGACGTCAACGAGCAGGGCAGATGCTCGATCAGCGTTTCTGCTCAAGTTCGGATAACGCTCAGAGACGGCGCATTCCACGAAGATATAGGTTCAGGACAGGCGGAGAACGTACGAGGGAAGGCGTCTGCTTTGGACAAGGTGAGCTGGCGAGCCTTTATTGGCTTTGGTCCGCTCAGCAGCTGACATAGACAGGCAAAGAAGGAGGCTGTCACCGACGCTACCAAGCGGGCATTACGGAGCTTCGGCAATGTCCTCGGTAATTGTCTATACGACAAGTCGTTTACGGCCAATGTATCCAAGATGAAGGTTCCACCTGTAAGCTAATATCCCCTGGTCCTCGCAGACACACTAGCTGACACTTTAGCCACGATGGAGCCCAGAAGAATTAGAACGTCGACCCGAATTCACTCCAGCGGGAGGAAGCAGACCTCCACCCGTTGCGCCCACCGCGGCACCACCTCCTCCGCCCATGTTACCCCCTATCGCTCAAACTTCCGGCCCGTCCGACCGATCTCGAGCGGGCACACCCCTCCGGTCCCTCAACGACAGCATAGCGGAAACGTCCGTCAATATCACGATGGACGAGAACTTTGATGCCGAGTTTCTGGACGACAGTTTCTTTGATGTCGATATGGCGGAAATACCAGGGATGCAGGAGGCGCCAGCACAGTGAGCTATCCGCTCGAAGATAAAGGGCAGGAAGCTGATACATTAGGTCAAAGCAACCAGCAGCTGGACCGACAGAGGCGACTCGTCCCGCTCTACCAGCCTACCAACATCGAAGCCGCCCAGAACCTGCCGCCACTACAGCGAGCGGACCAAGTCGCACGAGTACGTCTGCACCGTCTTCGGTACCCCAGCAACAGCAACAACAGCAACAACAGCAGCAGCAACACCATCAGCAGCCAGAAGTCGTATCTGCTCCAGCTCGACAAATGACCGATATGGGCCCGCCTGCCGTGCCTGATGAGCCTACCTCTCGGAGTTCAGGAAGCAGTGCGAGTGCCGGCGAGACGGCAGTGCGGCCAAAACCACCCGGAATGGTGCCTCCAGTAAGCAGTGAAACGTTTGGATCATCAGCTCAGCTGATAAACAGGAACGCCCAACCTCGAATAATGCCGGATCGTCTGCCCGCGCTCAAGCCATCTTGGCAGCCGCACGAGCTAGCGAAGCCTCTTCTTCCCACACCACCACCCCCAATACCTCTCACACGTCTCATGCTACTCCCTATCAAGCACGCCAGCTTGTCCCTCCCGTCCGGGCCGAGTCCCCCAAAATCCCTGCCGGGGGTATAGACCAAGTCGCCGCTCGAGCCGCCAGCGCGCGTAACTTTCGCAAAACCGCCGAAAAGCTCGAATTGGACGTCGGGATGAATGCTCCGGGCGCCGGGGAAGGGCCGGAGGGGATGTCGTTTAGTGGAGGGTTTACGAGTGCGAGGGGGATCAAGCGGGTTATTTCAGGTGAAACGTGAGCTGCCCCGAACAGTACAAGGATAGGGACAGGGTGATGCTGATGATATAGGAACAAATCCCCGTCTAAGCAAGGCGGAGGGTACGGCCAGCATCAGCAGGGGCCACCGGGGCAACAGGGACAGTATGGGCAGCAAGGGCAGCAGCAACAGCAGGTTCAGCAGGTACAGCGGAACGGACCGAGGAGGGCGTTAGGGGAGATTGAGATACCAGGCCAGGGCCAGGGGCAGGGACAGGGACAGGGGCAAGAGTGGGACGGGGCGAACAAGCGCCAGAGAGCGATATGAGGCGGTGTGGAGCAGGCTATGTGGTCAGATGGTATGGGCGGTCTGGCGGAATGAGACGAGATGTCGGGAATACGTAGGGGAGGGCTGAAGGCCGCCGGCGGGATCGAGACGAGAGGGAAGCCTGTGTGTGGTAGATCATCTGGATAGTCCATGTATGTACCGGCTAAGATGTACTCTATATCATGTGTACTCTAGGCATCCATCAGTAATTCAGTACAAACAGGCAGCCGTTCAGGCCGTCCAGCTGCTTTTCCAGCATGACGAGTGGTATGTAGAGTAGCGCGGGGACTTTACGCGACACGTTGCCTTTTGACCCGTCCCCCTGATCAGCTGAGAGGAAGAGAGGTCCAAAGTATAGTTGATGCGGTGCATCTAGGTGGTACAAATCCAGACAAAGCTCGACCGACGAGACCGCAACGCCCAACTTCTCCGTCATCACGCCCCGTACACCCCTCCATCCCGTGCCACACTAAACCGTACGCTAGGCACGTTTAGGCCCTCCACAGCCTCGCTACGAGCTCGGTCAATCCTTGAGAACGTCAGCTCCTTCTCTCGTGCTGTATCCCGATCTCGACCTCGATCCCCGGGCTTGCCTCCATGACCCATACTTGCCCCATACCCCACATCCCCTGCGCGCTGCGACCATGCTCTCTGCTTTCCTATCCACAAATGAGATCAGAGCAAAGCCAACTCACCAACGTCATTCGTGTTGAACTCGTATACTCCCCAGACCGCCAAGCCCGTCAAACCCCTCAACGCCCAAGTGGCCATCGGACCAATGACGGGGAACTTGCGTGGGTGGAGATAGTCGACGACGATCGAGTCGAAACCGATATGCGAGTGGATGATGAGTGAGACGGCAAGGACGCCGTCGATGATTGGCTGTAGGGTCAGAATGGGTTCGTGGCACCATCACGTGAGAAGACGGAGATGGCAGAAAGTAGGATAGTGATGGGTAAGCGGGGGTGGATGGAGGAATTGAGAGGTTCAAGGCTCTCGCGCCCGAGTTGAGGCTCTTGTCGTTACTCGCCTCCCCTTTCTTCCCTCCCCACACATCAGAACTCTCGCACTCTCCCAGATCTACCAAGTCTCCCAGATTTCCTTCGTCTTCGCATTGTCCCCTCCGATGAGGATCCTCTCCCCGTCGCCCCGACACCCACTCCATCTCCTACCATCGTACCCACCCCACAACACCCGTCTTCCTCTTAATCGCAGGATCGCAAAACTCACATAAGCACTCCCAGTACTGACAGCCGCCGCCCCCATAACAGGAATCAAACTCGCACTGAGCACGCGCTCAAATGCCCAGTGGTATGACCCATGCGCGGCATTAGGGGCCGGGAACGATGTCGCGTCGTTTACTGTCCCCTTGAGGATCGCTATTGTCCATGAGTTCTCATTCTCATTGCGCACATTGCGCACTCGCGGCGAAGAAAGCCAAGGTCATGTCAATAACTTACGTCCTCCTGGTGTGTATTTGAACCCAGCGGTCTCGTTGGCATCGATCGTAGCGTCCAGCCGGGGTCGTGAAGCCTGAACAGCGAGGACGCGCGCTTGCTATGTCAGCCTAGATCCCATCATCTGCATGTCATCCGCATCGGGCATCAACAATGCGCGGGCGCCGGAATGCCCCCAGCTCCTCCTCTCTCAGAGGAATGACGCACAAGAGTGGATGCCCCGGAATCCAAGCCCAGCGCGGAGGGCTGATGTGGTCGGGCGGAAGAGAGCTGAGGTGGACATGCTGGCTATGCTGTATTGAGTAGGAGGAGATGTCAATGGTGGACGCTGGTCGTACTCGTGGGTGTATCTTTAGCCGGGTGTGATCGGAATGGCGAGATCTGGTTCCGCTGCCGGCGTGTGTACGGTATGCTAAAACGGAGACTTGTTGATTGGTCGGTGATCGGACTGAATTGGACGAGGCGGGATAGTTCGATCGGAGAGGATGGGGACAGGCAGCATGCATGCGCAGAGGGCGCGAATGCAGAGTTGAAAAGGTGAGTCGAAGACGATGTAGACGAAAAAAATGGCCGGGGCCCGAACGCGGCAAAAAGAAGAAGCTCTCTGCCAGAGAGTCGAACTCTGGTCTCAACCGTGACAAGGTTGCATACTAACCGTTATACGAGCAGAGATGCAAGCTTTGTTGTTGTACAGCTTGAATTGCCAACGTTTATAGATGGCATAAACTAGATTAGCAACTTGACAGAGACCCCAGAACTTAGCCATCCTGTAGGACAAGTTAGGTCGAGATGATCACACGCGGATAGCGCCCTGATAGACTGCCCTCTCCAAGCTCCTCAGTCTCGTGCACAGTCGCCCACTTCGCTAGCGCAACGTCCCCGTACATACATAGAGCACCAATCTCATCTCCTCAGACCAGCCACTATCCCTTGCGTCTGCTGCACCACCCCCGTCCCACCATTGACCCCCCTATCTCTCCCTCCAACCGCTATGGGTTGCGGTGGCCGTTGCTGCTGAGGCGGCGCAGCACCTCCTGCCTTTTCCCTCGTCTTCCATGCGGTTCTTATTGAGTCTGACCTCGCCAGCAGCTGAACCCCGTCAGCTACCTCTCCATCTCCACAATGAGAAAAGACAACTCACCGCCTCAATTTTCACCCCATCCTCTATACTGACTAGTATCTTCTGCATGATACTTTTGTGATTCGCATGCGGTTTATCGTCTCGTATCCGCATCATCCGCCATCCGCCCATATCGGTATTCCAGCACACTTCGATGATTCGGTCATCGAATTGTTCCCCTGACTCTTTCATTCTGATATCAGCTCTTGCCTGGGGAAAGGGTGGAGGACGCAGAGCTTACTTCTCCCACTCGTCATCCTCTACTAGTAGTTCGTCAAAGTACTCGTAAGCCTCCCGGCCGAGCCAGGTATGTAATAAGAACACAGGCTTGGCCGTATAGTCCGGATCGTGCGCAGAGTACGAGGAGGGCGGGAATCGAAGTTCAAGCTTGAAGTCTACCGAGTTCTCGGATGGCGGTTTCCACTTTAATCTGCCATGTCAGCTGTCGGCTCCATCGCGCAGAGCCACAAGCTTACATCTTCTCGTCCGTTCCCATCACGTACTCGCTCTCCGCACACGTAAAGATCAACCCATCGTGCCCGTGCTGTAGTGCCGGGACGTGCACGTCGAGGACCGTTTTCATATGGTACGAAAGCAATTGCTCCTTCGCTACCACTTCAAATGGGAGATCGTCCCGCCATTCGGGGTACTGAGCGAGCGCGCGGTTGAAGGGTTCGACGATCCATGATTTCAGGCGCTAGTCGTTAGCTTTGTTGGTCCGCCTGGAGTGTTGGTACTCACGCCAAAGCGAGACTGAATCGGTTTAGAGACGACCTTGTCCCCATTCAGGACTAGGCAGTCGAATGCGTAGAAGCGCAGCGTAGACTAACAGTCAGCATTGCCTCTACCGAGTGGATAAGGATATAGAAGCTCGCCTCTCCTGTTGATGAATCTATATCGACGACGAGCTCCCCATCAAAGATCGTATCTGTGAGAGGCTGGTCTTTCCGTTCCCAATGTGGAAAGCGAAGACCCTGGACGGAGAAGTACCGCTGCTTGCGGTCTATCTGACGGTGTCAGCTACTGGAACCACCAAAGCAGGTCGTTATTAGAACGGCTTCCCGGCGAGGATAGGTCTCTTCCTGTATGACCTTACTCTATCGCTCCGGAAACAAGCCGTCGGACTAGATCCCATACTGTTCCAGCGCGATCCTCGCTAATGCACCGGCTCTCTTCGCTGCGCCTCCTGCCCCGACACCGTGCCCATACTTGCGCTACGACTAAAACTCACCAGCCAAACCTCCTGCGCCCCGGACATCCCATTCATCACCACAAACACCAGTAATCTCACTCCGTCGCTCTTCTCGCACACCCAAAAGTTCTTCTGCTCCAGCAGATCCAGACTGCCCGAGGTGAATGAGACCGGCTGAGCGCCGGGGAACCGAGGTTCTCTCAGCCCGCAGAGCTCGGCGACGCGCGAGGAGAGGTAGGCTGCGATGGTAGGGTCGGCTTCTTCGCCCGGAATATCGGGGATGGGGGAGTGTGTGGGCATTACGACGGGTCAAGGGTGCGTACTGGGGAGTGCTCAGGTGGGGTACGGGTGAGTTGACATCGAGGGCGAAGTGGTGATGCTGGTTGTGCTGATGCTGGTGGGTGGGTGAAACGCGTCTCGGTTCCGGGGGCGATTTCGGGTCAGCTTGAAGGTGGAGGTCGGCCGGGTGGTCGCTAGCTATCGATCGACCACTCGTCCATACACTCTATCCTTATCAGATTAGCTACCTGAGCCCATCATGTCACAGCAAGAAGCAATGGATGGTGCCCTGTCAGTAGACAGCGGTATCCCCACATCAGGTCCGCTCACTCGTTCTCGAGGACTGACCGCCCGAGCTGACCTTCACAGATCCCTCTTCCTCCGCCTCTCCGACGAAACGTCCACCTTCCGACACTCCCTACTCACCTCGTCCTCGTCTCTTTGATGGCCTGCCACTACCTGACGGCCCGCAAGCGAGCGACGTACTCACCGATGCGGACTATCGAAAGATGCGGACTCAGGCCTTTAGCGCGAGGAGTATATTGCCGCCCTTGTTCGGCTCGGCCGCTATAGGTGCGTGGCGCCACTCCCTCACAGCCTCCCTCCAAGTGTCCTGCTCGGAGGGTGATAGCTGATAGTGTCAAGGCCTGATCTCGCCGAAGCTGTTCAAGACCAAAGCAGCCAACGTCGGTATAGTCCGAACCGGCATGTTCACCCGTAAGCCCCTCCTTCCCCCTCCCTTCTTCACCCCCGCTGACTGAACAGTCAGCATGGCCCTCTCGCTCTCCTACACCACCTTTCAACACCTCTCCTCTACCATCCACGCCGCCCGACTGAAGGCACAACACCAAGCCCTCCCACGTACAGATGACGGCCAGGTCATCCTCCCCGACGGATCCACGCGGGGCGATTTGGATCGGTACGCCCCGCCGCCTGAACTGGTGGGGCATCAGACATTGGGGGCAAAGACGGATGAGAGGGAGAGGGGTGTTACGGCCGAGTTGGCGAGTCTGGGGAGAAAGAAGGATCGGACGAGGTGGGCGAAGGGGAGGGGGTTGAGTGGGGAGGTAGAGGAGGAAGAGGAGATGCGGGACACGTTCTTTAGGCCTGGGACGCCAAGACGGGAAGTATAGCGAGAGCTGTAAGAGCGAGACTGATGGGAACGACTCATCGAGGGCCTCTTATGGATATTAACATGAGATCATGAGATGACCGCCCACAGTAGTGATTTCTGTTACTGGGTATCAAATTCATGAAAGTCGTTACTATACACATCCATCCAGTCCATCGCGTAGCAGTACCCATACACTCGCCCCACACCCTTCTCGGTGTCTACTGGATCCCCTGCTCCACCTTCATCCTCTTGATGAGCGCCCAGTCTCTCATCTCAACCTCCTTGCGGAAGGTGTCCGATTCTGACTGATCAGCTCTGCGTCCTTCTCCTGTTAGAGCCCAACCTGAGACTGGGACTCACTCAGGGTCTCGATACTCATACGCGACAGAAGGGAGACGACTTCATCCTTATCATCGAAACTGCATCGTCAGCCTGCCCTCCGAGCTAGTTGAGAGAGAGGGGAACTCACTGCCTGCCATACAATTTGGCCGCTTCGTGCGGTGCTCTTTCGATCTTGACAGCTGCCCCCGCCCCTATCTGGGCACGCTTTACTTCGGCGAATGATTTGTGATTGATCTCAATAGAAGTGCTGCACAATCAGCGACCGCAACTCGCTTTGTAGAGAGGACACGCACATTTTCCCAAGCTTGATTATTTCCCTATGCCCCGACGCCTTATCCCTCCTCAAGACCCCCACCGGCGTGCCCACCTTCAGTGTTCCCTCAATAAGATCCACCCCAAGGATGATGGGATCCCTATGGGTGAAGGCTTGCAGAATCCTGAGGCGGCAGGGCCATACGGCGTTTGGCATAGCGGCCTGCCGCTTCGCTTCCGCGACCTCGGCCATGTATACCTTGGAAGCGTTTCGGAGATGATAAATGCTCAGAGCTGGGGTGTCAGCGTAGCCTCCTCTTACCGTGCCTCCTTGACAACGGAAGGAAGACCATAGACCATAAACTTACCCGAAAACACCTTCAACCCCGACTTCTGTGCCAACTCCGCTACTTCTGCATCAATCTCGACATCAAAGGCCAGGATGACTGCGTACTGGGGCGCCTTGTCCGCCATGTTTGCTGCGCGTACGATCGTCTTCCTGTGGATGCGACCGAGACCGAAGTCCGCGACTGGAATCTCCTCATGTTGAAGGAAGGTGAGGGGCGCTTCGAGCGAGCCGAGGGTAGATGCCTGAACCCAAACACCCTTTCCGGATTCGGCGATGAACTTGTTGAGCGGGTTGAGTTCTCCCTTTGCCTTATCCTTGTAGTACTCCACCTCGTCCTCGTCCTCCGCGACGTACAGCGGGCCGCCGGCAATGGCCTTGTCGAGATGTTGCGCGAAGATCTTGACACCGAGAGCGGCCTGGACCTCTTTGTGGTGGACGTAAGCGGACTACTGAATCAGCTCAGCCTAAGAGGATTTGGCAGTACATACCTTGATGCGAAGTTCTCGCATCGGCTGAGGGGTAAGAAGCGCTCGAACGGTTGTATCGATTGGCCCGTCCATCCCATTCAGCACGACCCTGTCCCCTACCTTCATCACCCCGTTTGTCAAGATGACATCGATCGTGGTCCCCATTCCCTCGATCTCCTTCACCTCGAGGATGGTACACTCCACCTTCGAGGAGAATATCAACTCCTCCCGCATGCCCCGCTGGGTCAGGTTGACGAGCAGCTTCAGCAAGTCGGGAATGCCTTCGCCTGTGACAGCGGAGACGGGCACGAGGGAAGCGACGGCGTCTGGGTCTCGGTTGGCGATGTCGACCTCTGGGTTCTCGTCGAAGATAGCTGCATTCGTGGATTGCTCAGCGAATGCGAGCTTGATCTGCTCGATCCGAAAACCGAAGAACTTCCGGAAGTCGGACGAATGCTTGGCGAGGGCCTAACGAAAACCGCCGTCCGGGGTGAAGACCTCGTCCTCGTCCTTCCATATCTTGTCGGTCTGACGATCAGCCAAAGTCCAACTGAGACGCAATGTGGACGGACGCACTTTGTTCAGAGCGACAACGAAGGGTATCTCCTCCTTCTTCAGTAGCTGCAGAGATTCGATGGTCTGGGGCTGGATACCATGCTATACTTGGTTAACCTACTTCCCCTCGTACAGTCTATGAAGAAACTCACGGTAATATCCACCACCAGAATGGCGATATCACAAATGCTCCTGCCCCTATTTCGAAGATTACCAAAGCTATCATGCCCGGGAGTGTCGAGCATGAGCATTCCAGGCATCTCTACTGCAAAGCTCGCGTCCTTGTTGACGGCGGCGGTCTTCTCCGCCAACGCCGAACGCGGTAAGAAGGTGGCGCCGATCTGCTGAGTGATCCCCCCCGCCTCACCCTGCTGGACCTTGGTCTCGCGGATCTGGAACATCAGCATGCAGCCCTCATAGGGGAGCTGGATGGGATCACCCACCTTATCGAGCAGCTTGGTCTTGCCCGTATCGACGTGACCTAGGACACAGCAGATCGGACTTCGAAGCTGCTCGCTATTCCCAACGGCGATAGTCTGACTTTGCTTCTCCTCCACCCTAAGTCGAGTTGCTGCTTCGCGGAGCTCCGCCGCCGAGCCAGTGTCCGTATTGCCAAGGGAGCCGAGTGCTTCCTCGCCGGGAAGATGGCCGATACCAGGGAGAGCACCGATGATAGGGCCTAAAGCTTTGCAGTCGGTTTGGGTCGAATCTGACAATCTGCGAGATAGGATTGGGGCAAGCGGTAGGGCAACGAGAGCGACGGGAGCTTAGTTCTCGAAAGCCTCGTCCCAGTCGTCCGAGACATCCCCATTGGGCATGTTGCCTTCCGCCGTCTCGTCCGCTTGCTCTCCCCCGTCCTCGACTGCAATTGCGGCGTCGTCGTCCGAGTCTTCCCAGCTGACAACCTCCGTGGTTGACTTGACCGACGCGGGGGCACCATTGACCGTGGAACCGACAGTCGAGCCCTGGGACGACGAAGTTGAGACCGAACGTTTCCCTAGGGATCCGCATTCCGGCGCGTCCTGCTCCATCTCCTGCGCGTTGACGTTCTCGGCGACAGGGGGCTTGCCCTTCCCGACAAGCTTCTTCTTCGTGAATGGCCGCTTGGGCGCCGCACCACCCGCCTGCAGTCCCGCAACACTCATCCCCGCATCCAGCATCGCCTGCTTTCTCGCCTCCGCAGCCGCCTTCTCCCTCTTCTGCTGAGGCGTCAAATCCGACCCTCCGCCTTGGCCTTGACCAGCTTCTCCTTCTCCTTCTGCTTCTTGGCCGAAATTGGGCCAATACCCGGTATATACCGGGTAAAACCCAGTACCCGTGGGCCAAGATAGAGTACCTCAGGCATGCCTTTCCACGCGCTCCGACGGATCTAGACGGCTGTTATATCTCCCTCATGAGCTAGCAGAGCCACATCAGCACCGTTCATGCTCAACAAGCGCCTCGGCGGCACTTTGCCACTGGGTGGCAAATCCAATGATCCTCATTCCTCATCTCGTAAGCGACTCGGCGATGTTCAGACGTGGCACCGGCCCGTTCCAGGGCCTTGTCGCCCGTGCTACGTGACTAGTAACAGTGATTCATACGTCTCCCCGAGTCAGCTATCCAAGCGCTGGCTTGGCAGGTTTGCAGTGTGGGAGCCTTGGGTACGCCGGGTATATCCGCGTCTGCCGAGCTTGATTCGGACGAGGAATGACAACGAGAGCGGGACCGCCTCCTCCTTTCCTTCCTCCTCTCTTCCTTCTGCTTCGCCCGCTTCACCCGAGCCTTCTTCGAAGCCGCACTGGGCAGACTCAAATCCGGCACATCCTTCTCTTTGCACGCCTCAAAGGCGGCCGAGAATCCCATCGGGTTCGGAGCGGGTTTGGTTTCGCCAACGCCGACGAGCTCGGGTGCTGAGTGCTGGAGGGTAGGGTAGAAGGGTTGATTGAGGTGTGAAAGAATGATTTGGGACGAGGGGACATCGCAGGGGAACTGCGCGTCAGCTTAGCCTCGTGCCTTGTTCCTGAGAGACGGAAAGCGTACAGCAGTGACTTCAGCGAGCTGATGTGCGATCTTGAGCGTAAACTTGTCGAGGTCCAGATCGCTCTGATCATACGCCTAAAATATCAGCTTTGCCCTCAGGAACCGACCTTGGGAGGCAGTATTCGAGCTTACAAAAGGCATCCCGCCTTGGCCGCAGCGATCTTCTCCTCCTCGGCTGCGAGCATCGCCTCCTCCTCCTCAATCTTCCGAACCCGCTCCGCCTCCGCAGCCTCCAGCTCCGCCTGCTTCCGCTGCCTCTCCAGCATTGCCGTCTGCATGGCCAGAACATGAGCCGGGACCTTTTTCGCCTTGCCGGTAGGTAGGAGAGGCGCGGTATCGAGGTAGGAGATGTCAGACGCGGAGTTTTCGAGATCATTGGCACTGTGCTGGCTGGGAGCTAGGGGAGTAGGACCTGCCTTGCGAGAAGCGGCTTGAGACTTCTTCTTCAACTGCATTGTCAGGCGTATTCATGACTGGCCAGCCGGGCAACTCACCTTTTCTTTCTCCTTCTTCAATTTCTCCTTCTGTCCTTTGGTGAGAAGCTGTCGCACATCAGCGCTTCGCCCAGAATCTGCCCCAGTGGCGAGAGCAGCCACTCACCTTCACACCTTCCGCCTCCTCTTGGACTTGATTCTCGTACGTTTTCGCCGACATTGAATCGGTTGTTCCTGTGTATATCTGGTATCAAAGAGAGTTATGCTCCTTTTCATGATGTGTGATATGTATGAAGAGAGGAAATTGGAGCGGCGGTATCGACTGATATAGCTGGGTATCTGAGACATGTTTGGCAGCATCGAGTCGCAGTTGCATGATACGGCGCGGATCCGAAGCTTTAAGCCTGGGTAGCCGAAAATGACGTAAGCGAGGAATGAGGTGTGGCGTTTCGTGTACGTGACCAGGCCGCTGGCCGACCAGCTGCAGCGAGGTGCCAGAGCTTGCCGGAGACTGGGAGAAAGATACAAGTGCATACCCCAACCCATGCTTGCAAGATACACATGGCGCACCCCGGCCCTCGAAATCACTGGATCCCCTGCTCCACCTTCATCTTCTTGATCAAGGCCCAATCGGCCAGATCGACCTTATCCCTGAAGTTTGTTTCTGACAAGTCAGCTCGCATCCCGTCGCTAAAATGGTATCATGTGACTCACTTAGCGTATCAATGCTTTGTCTTGAAAGCAAAGATACAACCTCATCTTTATCGTCGAAACTGAGATGTCAGCTTGACCCCTTCATATCCTGAGCAGACTAAAACTCACTGCCGCCCATACAGCTTCGCCGCCTCGTGCGGTGCCCTCTCAATCTTCACTGCCGCACCCGCCCCGATCTGGGCCCGCTTCACCACCTCGAAAGGCTTGTGGTTGATTTCGATTGACGTGCTGCAATATCAGCTATCACCTCTACTCTCCGCCCGTTGTGGCGGCAACGACAAAACATACATTTTCCCCAGCTTGATAATCTCCCTGTTCCCCCCCTCCTTGTCCGTCTTGACCACACCCACTGGCGCACCCACCCTCAGCGTGCCCTCAATGAGGTCCACGCCAAGAATAATCGGATCTCTGTGGGTGAAAGCCTGGAGGATCTTGAGGCGGCACGGCCAAACGGCATTTGGCATTGCGGCCTGGCGCTTCGCCTCGGTGACCTCGGACATGTACTTTGTGAACGCGTCAAAGAGATGGTAGATGATCATGGCTGGAAGGTCAGCTTACTTCTCTCGCCCGAACCCGTAAAGTAGTAATTCACCGGAGAACACCTTCAACCCGCCCTTTTGCGCCAACTCGGCCGCCTCCTTCTCAATAACGACGTCAAACGCCAAAATCACCGCATACTCCGGCGCCTTGTCCAGCATCGTCGCCGCCCGCACAATTGTATTCTTGTAAACTGGACCGAGACCGAAGTTGAAGACCGGAATCTTCATCTGTTGGAGGAAGGTAAGGAGGGCTTCGAGAGATCCGAGGGTGGACGCCTGGACCCACACGCCCTTGCCGTTCTTGGCGACGAACCGGGCCAGGTTGGTAAGATCCTCCATGGCCATATCCTTGTACGCCTCGACCTCGTCGTCATCCTGAGCGACGTAAAGACGGGCGCCGGCGATGGCCTTTTCGAGACCGGGTGCGGAGATCTTGACTCCGAGAGCGGCCTTGACTTCTTTGTGATGGACATAGGCAGACTACGGTGTCAGCTGAGCCATAGTGATGCCGACGTGGAACATACCTTGACTCGGAGTTCTCTCATGGGCTGGGGCGTAAGGAGCGCTCGCACCGTAGTGACGATGGGTCCGTCCATACCACACAGCACTATCCTATCTCCCTCCCTCATCACCCCGTTCGACAACACCACATCAATCGTCGTCCCCAACCCCTCAATGATCTTCACCTCCAGAATAGTACACTCCAGCTCCGAGATGTACATGAGGCTCTGGTTCATCCGCTCCTGCGTGAGCTTGACGAGAAGCATGAGCATGTCGGGGATTCCTTCGCCGGTGATGGCCGAGGTGGGGACGAGGGAGATGTTTCGACCGAGGTTCTTGTTTTCGTCAAAGATCTCGGCGTTAAGACCTTGCTCAGCGAACGCGAGCTTGGTCTTGGCGACTCGGTCGGCGAATTCGGATTTGACAGAGTTGGATTGGTTGGCGAGCGTCTCGCGGAAACCACCGTTCTCTGTCGCTTTCCAGCCGTACATCCTGTCGATCTAGAAATTAGCCAGGTCATCACCTCAAATGGATCTAAATCACATACCTTGTTCAACGCAACAATGAACGGAGTCTTGCCGTTCTTGAGGAGGTTGAGCGATTCGATAGTTTGGGGCTCGAGGCCGTGCTACATTATCAGCTCCTCCGTCCAGTGCGTGTGATTCAGTAACTCACGGTAATGTCGACAACGAGGATAGCAATGTTACACAGGGAACTACCTCGCGTCCGGAGATTGGTAAAGGACTCGTGTCCAGGCGTATCGATGATAAGCAACCCGGGCACCTTGACCTCGTACTCGCCGCTCTTATTGACAACGGCAGTCTTCTCCTGGATCGCCTTTCGCGGGAAGAAGGTGGCACCGATTTGTTGGGTAATTCCTCCAGCTTCTCCCTCCTGAACCGAGGTTTGACGGATCTAAATGATCAGCTTATTCTCGATACAATCTCCGAGAGGGACAGAACTCACCTTGTCCAAAAGCTTGGTCTTTCCCGTATCGACGTGCCCCAAGATACAACAAATTGGAGATCTCAAATCTTCCTTGTTCTTGGCTGCCTCTGCCTCCTTCTGCCTCTGCCTGATCTTGTCCAGAGCCACAGCTTTCCGCTTCTCCGCCTCGTCCTCAGAATCAGACTCCTCGTCCGAATCGTCATCCGAGTCATCGTCCGAGTCAGATTCCTCGTCAGAGCTGTCTTCCTCAGACGAGGACTCGTCCTTGACGGGTGCAGACTTGCCGTTTGTGGTGGGAACGGCGGGTTTGGCGGTACCGTTCGTTTTGGGTTTGGGGGAAGGTGCGGATACGGCAACCGGTGCGGAAGCGGGAGCGGGAGCTTTGACAGCGGTGCCAGGAGTCGGGGCGGGTTTTGGTGGCGCCTCGTCCTCGGATGACTTATCCCAATCATCCTCATCCTCGACCGCCAGCTTGGAAACCCCATCGACCATCTTCTCCACCGCTGCCTCATCCTCCGACTTGTCCCAATCATCGCCATCCTCTGTAGGCTTGGCCGATTCGGGCGCGGCTGAAGTGGGCGATCCAGGTGCGGGCGGGCTCGCAATCTCCTTCTCTGCCGCCGCAGCCTCGTCCTTCTTGTCCGCCGCTGGCGCCTGCTTGCCCTTCCCGACAGGCTTCTTCTTTGTGAATGGCCGCTTGGGCGCAGCTCCACCCGCTTGCAACCCCGCGACACTCATTCCCGCATCCAGCATCGCCTGCTTTCTCGCCTCCGCAGCCGCCTTCTCCCTCTTCTGCTGAGGTGTCAAGATCCGACCCTCCGCCTTTGCCTTTGCCAGCTTCTCCTTCTCCTTTTGCTTCTTGGCCGCCTTGGCCTCAGCAATCTTCTCCTCCTCGGCTGCGAGCCGCGCATCCTCCTCCTCAATCTTCCGGATCCGCTCGGCCTCCGCAGCTTTCAGCTCCGCCTCGATCCGCTGCTTCTCCACCATCGCCGCCTGCATGGCCGCGATATGGGCGGAGACCTTCTTGCCGCCAGTAGCAGCAGGAGCGGGTTCGGCCTTGGCAGCGGGCTTCTTCTTCTTCTTCTTGTTCTTCGACCCGCCAGCAGCGCCATCGTCCGCGTCGTCGCCTTCGTCCGCTTCTTCGACGGGTGCGGGAGCAGCGGTAGGCTCGACCGGTGTTGGCTCTGATGCAGCGGGCGCCGCATCTCCCTTCTTTGCCTGCGCCTGAGCCTTCTTCTTGGCCTTCTCCTTCTCCTTCTTGAGCTTCTCCTTTTGAGCTTTGGTGAGAATCTGTGAGCGTCAGCTAGGCAATGCAGAGTCAAGTCACGATCCGATCAGGGGGGAGGCGAGGAGTAGTTGGAAACAGAGCGAGTGGACATGGGAGGAAGTAGGGGGAAGAGAGATAGAGATATTAAGAAAAAGGTAGGGGTGCTAGAATTGGGTACGGGGAGAGTCAGGTAACATCATAGAGGGAATCACGGGCGCATAAGAGATCATGGCGTGTAGTGCTCACCTTTGGCCCATCATCCCCATCATCTCCCTCCCCGTTCTCCTCTCCGGCAGCTTTACCCGCCTCAGCCTCCTCCTCTGCCTTCTTGGCCGCCGCCGCCGCCGCAACCGCCTCCTTCTCAGCCTTGGCCTTGGCTATCTCCGCGTCCAAATCCAGCTCATCCTCCTCCTCATCCGCCTTCTTGCCCTTCCCACTCTTCCCCTTCTTCCCCTTCCTCGGCTTGACCTCTTCCTCTGGCCACTCATCCGCCAGATCCTTCACTGGCGCCTCTTCTATCCCCTTTGGTTCCTCCTCTTCCTCCTCGGCAGCTTCAGCGGCCTTCCTGGACTTCTTGCCCGCCTTGTCCTTCTTGCCCTTCTTGGGCTTGACACTGTCCTCTGGCCATTCATCGTCCATGTTCGCCCGGGTATCTGCGAGATCGACAGTTGGTGCAGAGTCTTCGGGTACCTCTCCGTCCTCGTCGATGGGCGCCTTCTTGCCCTTCTTCTTCTTGTCTTTTTTCGCAGCGTTCGCCTGGATTGTAGCCTGCGCTATCAGCCAACTCCTCGGAGACCACATCATAGCTTGAATGCTCTGTCAAATACTCACCAAAAGACCCCCGCCACCTCCCTCATCATCGTCCCCCTCGCCTACATCCCCCTCATCCAGCAAATCAAATATACTCCCCGCCGCCTTCTTCCCTCCCTTTCCCTTCGCAACGGGCTTCACCAACTCCTCATCCTCCTCTACCGCCGCAGGCGACTTGAGCCCCGATTCGAGGGCAGCAGCCTTGGCCTCCCTGATCTTCATTAGCAAGCTCGCTTCTGGATCGGTGGCGAGCGCCACGAGCTGGCTCACCAGAAGGCGTCATCATCATCCTGCTTCTTTCCCTTCTTTGCTCCTTTCTTGGGCGGCATTGCTTCTGTATCGCTAGGGTAGTACAGCTGTTGCCACTTAGGTCTTTGAGGTATAGATAATATCGCTATGCAGTGGCTGGGAGTACTAGTGAATTCTGCAAAGCTGAGCAAAGGAGGAATTTTGGCAGTCCGTGCGCATACACCGAACACATCCAGCGCTAAGGGGTCCCTCTTGTCCTTCGCGTTCACGCCTACACATTGCGTACCCGGAACGCCTCGCTCAAGCTCCTGGACAGAAGAGATGGCCTATCCGCCATCCCCGACGCGTCAGGCAGAAGCATACGAGCTCTCCTCGTACCCCCCTGCCCTCGCTGGCCCCTCTACCCCCACCTCGCGTCCTCGGCGACTCAGCGGTCCTGGACACAGTAGACCCTCGGGTTCCAGCCACAGACCCCGTTCTGTTCGGACCCTCACCCTCCAGAATACCGACGCCAGTGCCAACGTTCTCTTCTCCGCACCGCACTCGTCTGGGCTAGCCGGTACGACGCCCACGTCCAAGCGTCCGGCCGGGGGTCGGAGGCGGACTATATCCCTCCAAGGGAGTCCGGGGAGTCCGCACAGAGGAGCGTGGGCCAACTTCCTCAATGAAGATACGGTCCCGAGGGATACGGTGGGGTATGAGGACGGAGGTGGAGGTGGGACGCCAGGGAGAACCGAGGAGGTCCATGTACCTGATTTTGGGCACATGCTGGGCTTCAACCCGGAAGAGGAGGATCACTATACAGTCGCGAGGGGGATCAAGGCGGAATGGAGGAAGAGACTGTATCTGCTCATGGAGGAGCCAAGATCCGGGAGGGAGGCATTCTTTGTCCATATCTTCGTCACGGGCGCTATCCTCTTCAGGTGAGTTCGAGTGTCTGGCATTTCGCTGGGTTAGCTGACCTTCAGCGTGGTACTCACCACCCTCTCCACGCTACCCACCTTCCACCTCCACCCGACCTCCATCCAAACCCTCTTCGGCCTAGACACCACCCTCGTCGTCCTCTTCACCATCGAGTACCTCGCTCGGTGTCTCGCGCACGCCGACTCGGCCCGCTCCTTCTGGGCATGGTTTACCTCCTTCTTCCCGCTCCTCGACCTCCTCGCTATCCTACCATACTACATCGAAGTCGCACGCGAAGAAGACACCAGCATCCTATTCCGGTTTACCATCCTCCGGACATTCCGGCTTCTCCGCGTTTTCCGGGCCTTCAAGTATCAGAATCAAATGCTTCTGACTATTGAGGTCATGTACGTTGCCGTGCAGCGGAGTAAGGATGCGCTGGGCGCCATCTCATTCTTCATCCTTCTGGTGCTCGTGCTCTTCTCGACACTGATTTACTTTGCCGAGAGGGGAACGTGGGACGCCAATGTGGGGGCGTTCTTGGATGCCGATGGGGATCCGAGTCTGTTTGATAGTATCCCGCAGACGGCGTGGTTTGCGCTTGTGACTATGTCGACAGTGGGATATGGGGATGTGTAAGTCGTCTATCGGCGTATATTCATGGGCGACTAGCTGACCATTCAGAGTCCCTCGATCATTCCTCGGCAAACTCCTCACCATGCCACTCCTCCTATTCGGCCTCCTCCTCATCGCTCTCCCAAGTTTCGTTCTGGGCCGGAACTTTGCGATCGTCTTTGACGCAATGACAGCACAGACCGCTCAGAGACAAGTAGGTCCGGTAGCGACCTCGTGCTGTTTCTCACCGTCACTGAACTGTCCAGGCATCACCCGAACAACGACGGAGCTTCGAGACCCCTCCATCACCCACACCTCCCCTCCCTGCCTCTCTCGGGACGACCGTACCATCGGCCCATCCGCACGTCGGCATGCAAGAAATCGACCTCGACAACGACACAGACGACCGCCCTCTACTTCCCTCTCACTCCAACGAGACACTCTCCGTCTTACCACCCTACTCCCACAATGCTACAGCCGGACCCAGCCGTACTGGTAGGTCAGCGCCGATAAGCGGCGCAGCAAGCAGCGTTGGGAGCGTCAGCTCGAGGATGCCCTCGGCAGCTCAGGGGGCTACGGGGCTGGGATTGCGGATGGGCGATGGGGTCGGGGTTGGAGATATGGGTTTCGGCGGAGCGTCTCTTGGAGTCGAGGGGCAGAGGGGGTCCGAGAGGGACCGAGAACGATCGGAAGGGAGGGATCTGACCAATATCAAATTGGCCAAGAATCAACTGGTGAGACACCTGCATCTGACCGGTTCCGAGCTGACTCATCAGGTTCTGCTGGAGGAGATAGGGTCGCTTAGAAGGGTCATTGATCGGCAGGGTGAAGTCCTCGCGCGCCTAATTGCGCTCGCCGAGGGCCGAGAGGGCGATGCAGGCGGATCGAGCGCAAGAGGCAAGGAAACGGGAGAATCGACAGTTCAGCTGGACAGACACGCGTCGCCTCTTCCAATACCTGTTCCTTCACATTCAGTCAGCGCTGGGGATGGTCAGTTTTCAATAGGAAGCGAGGACGAGAAGTCTGGGATCTCTTGATATCCGAAGCAACCTATCTATGCATTGACCTCGAGCTCACTCCCCATGTCCCCTGAGATTAAATTTTCCCGTCAAACAACAGGATAGGATTTTCACCGCTCGCCCTCCCCATCACGTCGCGAATTTATATAGACCCAGCCGCCTTACCGCCCTTCTCCCCCTTCTTCTCCCTCGCCACCTTCTCAATCAACTCCCTGACGCCCTGTTCCCCCTGCACCTTGTATATCCGCTTCTCCATACCCATCAGCTCCGCCAGCGAGTCGGGCAGGACATCGCGGTCAAAGTTGAATGAGGGGGATGCGGAGGAGAGCGCGAGCTCGACCGCCGAGGAGAATTTTGCGGGGTGGGCGGTAGCGAGGGTAATCCATGTGGATGAGGGGCTGATGGGTCAGCTGGGCTCTAGACCGGAGTGAGGAAAAGGTAGCTAGCGCGAAGGGAGGACTTACGATTTCTTGGCGGATCGAGTTTGCGCTGCGAGACCGACGGCGGTGTGTGGGTCGACAACGTATGAGCCGAACTCTTTGCGGGCGTAGTATCGCTTGATCTCCTCCACAGTCTGATGATATCAGCTTTGTCCTGTCACACGCAAATTGTATAGCTGACCTGCTGATCTGATACCCGCTCTGCCCAGAAATCCCTGGATCCCGCCTCTCTGACTTTACTTCCCATATCCACCTTGCCATCCTTCTTCATCTGCCCCATCCACCCATTCAGCGTCTCTTGCGCCTTGACCCGCATCTCCTCAGCCGAGCCCTCAGGCAGACAAGTCTCCTCCGCAAGATAATAAAGCAACCTTTCAAAGTTGCTCGAGAGCAGGATATCCATCGCGGGGGAATGCGTCTCCTTGACGCCTGAATGCGCCTTGGTCGCTTGTTTCCCATCCGATGATCCCTGGGCGGGAATCATCTCCTTGACCTGCTCCTTCGTCTCTTCCGTCACGTCCTCGGCATCCTCCGCGGCATACCGCCCCGTCCGGAAGAACCGCTCCAGGATGTCATTCTCGTTGGTCGCGACAACCAACTCGCCCATCGGCAGACCCATCTTCTTGGCAAACCATCCAGCGAGGATATCCCCAAAGTTACCGGTGGGGACGACGAACTGGACCTTGTCCCGCTTATCCTCTGGGAGCTGGAAGTAGGCGGAAAAGTAGTAGACGATCTGAGCGAGGATACGGGCCCAGTTGATGGAGTTGACGGCACCGAGGCGGTGCGTCGCGTTGAACGTGGGGTCGGAAAAGAGGGTCTTGACGATAGATTGGCAGGTGTCGAAATCGGAGTTTTCGACGGCGACGACGTGTACGTTCTCGTCCGGGATAGTGGCCATCTGTGCGAGCTGGATAGGAGAGACACGGTTGTCGGGGTACAGCATGAAGATGGATACGTCGGGCTTGGAACGGAGACCGTAGATGGCCGCGCTGACCGTCAGTTCCCTCTCCGCCTGTCTGGTGGGCGACATGCCAGCTTACCTTCCGGTATCACCACTCGTTGCGCCCACAACGGTCAAAGCCTCCCTCCCCTCCTCTTTCTCTCCATTCCGCCTCTTCAAGAAGAACGCAAACAAGTTCCCCAAGAACTGCAGCGCGACATCCTTGAATGCCCACGTGGGGCCGTGCCACAACTCCATCACATACTCATTCTCCGCAGTCTGGCGGAGGGGAGTCGTCTTCTCGTCCCGAAAGGTAGAGTACGAGGCGTCAATGAGACCCTTGAGATCCGACGAGGGGATGACCGAGGCGGGGATGTAGAGGGAGAGGATCTTGTGGGAGAGGTCGGAGAATGAGAGGGAGGACCAGGCGGTTTGCCAGTCTGCCGGAAGGGCGGGGATGTGCGTGGGGATATAGAGTCTTCGGATCAGCTCTTATGCTCAGTATCAATTGCTCAGGGTAGCTGGACGTACCCTCCATTAGGGGCAAGACCCGTCAATACCGCCTGAGCAAATCAGCGCCGAACCCTCCCAGAAAACGCTGAGAGCTCACCTCCTCGAAGCTCAATGTCTCCTTTCCGCCGCGAGTAGAGAAGTATCGCATTTCTTGCTGCTCAGACATGTTGCTGCTGTGCTTATGGGTCTTGTCAGTGGGTAATGAGGAGAGTTCAAGTCTGCTGTAGGGCAACTGTAGGGAGATCCCGACTTTTGCTTGCTCGAGTCAACGGGGCAAGGGGTTTACGGCATTTACAACGGGGCTCCGCATGGGCATCTTTACCGGCGCTTGAAGCATAGCCCCCCATCATATGCATCTGCTCTCGCTCGGAGGTCCCGGAGGTCTGCGGCAGTGATGGTGTATGGAGCGCTACATTGACTGTTTGCAGCGGTCTGAGAATCTGAAGACGACATGTCGGAAGGATGTTGTCAGCTGGTCTTGGTGGTCGCAGTCCCGGGGGATGCGCTGACCTCCACTTCGGCAGACCTCGGCCTCCTCCACTCCTCCACTACTCTAGTGACGTCAAAGCCGGCTTTCTGAACCACTGTTTGGCTGATGTGCTATGAGGCTCACCCATTCATAATCAGCAACTCATGCGTGGTCCCTCCCTCAACCACCCACAATCCCGTCCCAAACCCCCAGCGAAAATGGCACCTGTTTCCACCCTCTCCTTCAAATGCGCGCTCGTCACCGGCGGCAGTGGAGGCCTTGTGAGTTGTATCTCTCTTCCCTTCCCCATATTCAGCTGACATGTATAGGGTAAAGCCATGGCCGAGTCCTTGATCAAGAAGGGCAAAAAGGTCCTCCTTGCCGGCCGGTCGGAGGACAAGCTCGCCTCTGCCGCCAAAGAGCTCGGGGCGGCGGGATACTACGTCCTCGACACGGGCAAGGTCGACGCTATCCCCTCCTTCCTTGACAAGGTCCTCGCGGACCACCCGGACCTTGACTGCCTCATCAACAATGCCGGCGTGCAGCGTCCATTCCAAGTCTTGGGTCCGGACTACTCGTTCGACCTCGCCCAGGCGGACCAGGAGGTCGACATCAACATCCGGGGTCCCATGCACCTCTCCATCCTCCTCGTCCAGCGCCACTTTTCCAAATTGGACGGCGGCGCGGTCATCATGAACGTATCGTCCGTACTCGGTCTCAACCCCTTTAGCGTCATCAACCCAAACTATAACGGGACCAAGGCGTGGTTGCACATGTTCACCACGAACCTCCGGACACAGCTGAGGGATGCGGGTACCAAAATCAAGGTGGTGGAGATCGTGCCGCCGTCGGTGGGGACGGATCTGCACAGGGATAGGACGGATCCGGATGACAACAAGAAGGAGAAGGGGGCAAAGGCGCTGACGGTCGACGAGTTTATGGCGGATGTCGAGGAGGGATGGAAGACGGATCTGGATACGGTCAGTGCGGGGATGGGCAAGGATTTGGTTCAAAAGTGGGATGAGACTTTCGGGAGCATGTACAAGGAGGCAACGGACAAGTAAACAGCATGTAGCTATAGATCATCATGTAGCGTGCTTACAGGTCAAAGGAAGTCTCATGAAAGAGTAACTCTATGCGAGTTCACCATTGTACAGGCTGGAACGAGGGATTCGACCAGTCATAGACACCCGGCCAGCGAGAGGCTTGCAGATCTTGATACCCGCAGCTGATCCATGCGGAACCTACTGCCTAAAGTCCATACGTCTAGATCTATCACACGATCACGCTCTCTACAGGACCCAAGTAGCTATATCCCCTCTCCGCAATCCCTCCCAGATCCACCATGACCCTCTCCAGCACGATACCCGACGTCACACCAAACACCTTGAGGGTATGTACCCCCTCCTTCCCAAGCTTGACCTTCACCTTGACCTCCCTCATCTCCTTGGCCACGATGTCCTCCCAGTCCGCCGACAACTCGCCCAGCGGCGCCTTGGGGATCGGCTCAATCTCCACCACCTCCTGCTCGTCCATCTGAATAGCGAATGCGAGGCGGCTCCCGAGGTTGTAGTTGTTGGTGGGACCGAGGTGGAAGATGAGCTCTGCCTCTTCCGAGGCGGTAGACCAAAAGTCATACCGTATACTAGGACGCACAGACGCGGGGAGCCGGTAGTTCTCGACGGGGTAGACGGACATGCCGGAGTGGGTACGACCATAGTACGGGATCTCCTCCCATCGGTACTCGGTCCCGTTGTGGGATGAAGACGAGGTGTTGAGGTGGTGAGACGCCTCGAGGCAGACGTAGCCGTCGCCTTGGACCGCGCCGCGGAAGTCGGACGGAGGAGAGAGGTACCGGAGAGGAATGGTGACAATCATGGGATCCGCCTTGTCGTCCGACTCGAGGGTGACGTGCGCCGCGTCGCCCTTGGCCTTGCTCCAGTCGATCGAGATGTAGACCCGGGTGTCCGTCGACCCGTCCTTCTTGATGAGACCAGATGAGGGCTCAACCTTGACCCAGTCCTGATCCGCCTTGGCTGTAAAGTTGACGTCCTCCGGTCCGCCCGAGCCGACCTCGACCCACCGCGGCTGGCCGTATTTGTCCATAGGGAGAAGAGTGGGGTCGGGGCATGCGTATCCGAGAGGGCAGTTGTGTCTGTTGTCTCCGGGCCACGCTCCGAGGCAGTTCTCGACGGTATACCGTACATTGATGAGATGGCCGTTCGCCCAAGACGCTTGGTGCTTGGATATACGGGAGGTGGGGGGCATGCTGTTACGGACTGGCATCTGCCAGTATTGGTAGCCGATGTGGGTCTGGCAAAGCATGCTGAAGAGTCAGGAAGCCCCCGCTGGGAAAAGGAAAAACTTACTGGTTCCATTTGCCATTCTCGACCTTGTTGAACTCTTGCGTCAACTCTTCGTCCCGGTCAAAGCAGTCGAGTGCGTCTTGGGCAAAACGGTTCGCAGCGGTCCGGCCTTGAGTAGCGTACAGGTTGGACTTGGCAGCTGCCTTTATCAGCGCGACCTTGAAGCGAGTGGCAGGGTACTTACCCGAGTTGTACAGCCGGTTCAGGTTGGTCTGGAGCTGTACTTGGACGAGGACCATCTCGTAGAAGGCAGTCTGACGTGAACCGAGCGCGGAGTGAACCTTGGCCGCGCGGACCTCAAGGTCCTGCCAGTCTTGGAGGATGCGGTCAGATCTGCCGGTCAGCCTGATCCGAAGCAGGATAAGGGCATAGCTCACTCGTTGAAGTTGACGAGGGAGTAAGTCTCCGAGTCAAGCAGCTCCGCCTTTCTCCTCGACGCGTAGATCTAGCAGTCAGCACGGCACCAGTCGACAAGAGGAAAACTCACCGAGTACAGCGCCATGATCTCGGCGATCTCACCAGCGTGCTCCTCACCAAAGTCCCGCTCTGCCCTGCCCTTCAACCAGCCCAGCATCCCATCTCGCTGTGTAGCCCGCCCTTCATACGCGATAGACAAGAAGAACTCCAAGGGCGTCTCGAGAAACTTGAGGTCTCCGACGTTCAGGATCCAGATCTCGTTCATGTCAAACGAGAGAGCGACGTTGAGCTGTTCCCACACTATCGTCAGCTATGCTTTAGGGGGGAGCTCACTCTTAGCGAGAGGCACGGTGTTGATCCACTTGTAGTCCCTGGGGTCTCCGACGTCTGATGTCAGTTTGATCAAGAGGGAGACTTACAGTCGGCGTGGTAGTAGATGCCTCCGGCCTTGGGCTTGCGGCGATCGTCCGGGAGAACGGCGACGAGGTTGCCCCAGTTGTCATCAGCGATGAGAGCGGTGACTGGGATCAGCTTAGACGTGTCACGAGCGTACCTTCTTCGGGAACTTTGAGCTGTGATAGTCAGCTTGAGTACGTTCATAGACGAAGACTAGACTTACACCGTTGGCGTAGTACTCCATGACCTCCTTGTAAATAGCCCAGAGCTGAGGGATATCCTTGATCTCCCCATACTGGTCTTTGAGGAGCTTTTGCTGTACCGACGTAATTCCTGTTGGTCAGTTATGCTTTGCATGCTAGTAGCTTGGCTTACTCTCGAGCAACTACCGTCAGCTCTGTCCCACACAATTATTCACCTCGATGTTGGCTCCATCCAGCGGCAGATCTCCATCACCCCTCATTCCCACGGTGAACACGGTCTCTAGCCCGTTGGCCCGCTCAGCCCCATACCGCCAGAACTCAGTGAGCTCTTCCGGGTTCTTCTCAAAGTTCCACGCGCCCTCAGACCACGTCGTCCACTCCTTCTGGTTCCGAGACATGGGTTCGTGGTGCGATGTGCCCATGACGATACCCATCTTGTCCGCGAGAGCCTGGTTCGGACCGGGGATCGCCTCCTTGGGAAGCTTGCCGCCCGGCTGTTCGAGACCGTCCGCAGCAAACATACTTGCCCACACTGGCGTCAGCGCGTACTTGGTAGTAAACTTACTAGCTGGCCAAGCGTAGTTCGCCTTGAGACGGAGAAGGAGCTCAAAGAAGCGCTCGTACATCCCAACCTGGAACGGCGGCTTGTCGCCCATCTTGAAGTGCTCTCGCGCCCAGTTCCAGAGGACGGGTTGCTCGTCGTTCAAGAAGAGGCCGCGATACTTGACGGCGGGCGGTCCATGGACATACGTGGCGTCAGAGGGAAAAGCGATGTGGGATTGGCTCTGCGAGGGGACATCGGCCCACCAGTACCAGGGAGAGACGCCCATGTGCTCGGAGAGGGTATAAAGAGCGTAGATCGCGCCGCGCTGTGTAGTCAGCAGAGCTCGATGCACTGTCCTCTTACAGACGTACCTTGTCACTACCAGTCACAGCCAGGACCTGCTCCGCCCCATACTCCTGTCCATTCACCACGCTGACTCGGTACGACTCCCACTTCCCCGCCAAGTCGTCGCCTCCAGCAGAAAACGCCTGCTGAGCTCCATCCCCCTTCCCACCCGCCAGTCCGACCGTAGAGACGACGATGGCGCCCTTCGTATCCTTTGGCAAAGTATCGATATACACCTTGGGCTTGACACCGGTCACCCGCTCGACGTCCTCCGCAAAGGTGTTGACCGCGACGTGTAGCGCGTCTGGCTCGCTTTTCCGGATGAGTAGGGGTGCCGCATAGTCGCTGCTGGCGATGGTGAAGCCGCCCGCCGCTGCTTTGGCGTCAAAGATCAGCTGGTTCTGCATGGCGAAGGCGAGTGTGAGCGTAGTGAGCAGTGACAGCAGTGGCTGAAATTTCATGTTGGTCAAAGTCAACAGCGCCCTCGCGACACCTCGTCGACCGACTCGCCGAAGCGCTCGTGAGGTCTCGGGAGTACGGGACCGATAGCCCGTATCTCGGTGGATACTCGGGGATGTCGGAGAGTATCTTCTCGCTGTGAGCTGTGGAGTGGACGTAGAGCGGATGTATGGAGATCCTGGCGACTGCAACGAATAGCACCGAGTACGCTTGACTTGATTAGGCGCTTTCGCGGAGATCGCAAGTGAACCGGCCCGGACGGAGCCGGTTCCTAGCATGTGGACGGGGCTCCGAAAATAGCTCTGATGATGGCAGTGCCTGCGACGGCTTTTCACTCTCCTGTGCTTCATCTTGCTCCTTTCAGTCTACGGAGGTCTACGGCCGCGGCAGGGGATACCGGAGTCGGGGTACCGGTGCCGCCGGGTAACTGATGTCAACTGATCTGCCCCCGGAAAGCGGTGGAATGGGTCCAAATTAGCATCTCTGTGATCGCCTCTATGCTCACATCCTGATCCTTCCAGACGGCAATGCCCCGGTCCAACGGAAAGCGCATCACGAGATATGCAGTCCATTCTGACCGACCGCCTAGTCCACATAGATTGCCTTTCCCCCGCAAAGGCCCCGCTCTCGGATCAGAGGGGGGCAAGTGGGGTCCGCTGATCGAGTACTTATAGGCTGATCGTCCTCCTGAGAAGATCTACATCCCCCTCACACTTCGACAACATGCGCGAGATCACCTACACCGCCAAGCAAGCTGAGGCTTCGGCTCGGTCCAGCATCGACCCTGTCCTCGTCACTGAGGGATACAGCCTCATCGCCAAGGAGAAGGAGTTGAGCTTCCGCCAGGCCCTCAGGTACCATTGGCGCGCTTTCCTTTGGTCCATGTTCCTCTCCCTCGCCTTGGTCATGGACGGGTACGATGGATCTATCGTGAGTAGCTTCGCTCGACTGACAGTGTCAAGCTGACATTCAGATCAACTCCTTCTTCGGTCTTCCCTCCTTCCTTGAGCGCTTCGGTATTCCCAATGCCGCGGGTGTCAAGTCCATCCCCACCGACTACCAGGCCGCCTTCCAGAACGTCGGTCTTCCGGGTGCCTTCATCGGTCTCTTCCTCTGCGGTTGGGGTCAGGAGCGCTTCGGGTCTCGCAAGACCTACATGTCCGGAATGGTCGCCTGCATCGCCATCGTCTTCCTCTTCGTCTTTGCCCAGTCTCTCGGCATGCTCCTCGGAGCGCAGGCTATCTCTTCCGCTTGCTGGTCCCTCTTCAGTCAGTCCTTTTCCTTCCGACTTGCCTTCACTCCAGCTGACTCTCAGACACCCTCTCTGCCGCCTACGCCGCCGAGATCTGCCCCATTCAGCTCCGAGGTGTCGCTGCTTCCTTCATCTCCATGTGTTGGGGTATGGGTGGTTTCATCGCTTCAGGTGGTGCGTCTCTGTCAACTGCTCGAGATGGCGTAGCGCTGACCCAGCAGTCAACCGCGGCGCACTCAGCATCCCGGGCGACTGGGGATGGCGCATGGCATACATGGTTCAGTGGGTCTGGCCCGTCCCCCTCCTGATCGGCACCTATTTCGCCCCTGAGAGTGAGTCGACTTTCTGCCCCATTACCATATAAAGTCACAGCCCTTCCCGCTCTTCTATCCACATGGAGCTACGCTGATCCATAGGTCCCTGGTGGTTGGTCCGCAAAGGCCGCATCGAGGAGGCCAAGCGCACGCTCACTCGCAACGCTTGCCCGGGCTACTGGGACAACCGCAACATCGACGCCTACATCGCCGTCATCCAGCACACGGACGAGATCGAGAAGATTGAGGCCGCCAAGGGTTCCTTCTGGGACCTCTGGAGGGGATCCAACCTCCGCCGCACCGAAGTCGAGATGGGCGTTTGGGCGATGCAGGTCCTTTCGGGTACGGCCATGACTGCCTATGCTGTCCAGTTCCTCCAGTCCGCCGGCATGTCTGTCACCACCTCCTTCAACCTCAACATAGTCATAACGGCAATGAACCTAGTAGGCGCGTTACTCTCTTGACCCAGTCAATACTGTGTTTTCTGGCATAGGCTGACCATGCAATAGGTTGCGGGATCGAATTCGGTCTCATCACTCGGATCGGTCGTCGTCCTCTAATCCTCTGGGGCATGGTCATCCTCGGTATCTGCCTCGCCATCATCGGTATCCTCGGCTCCATCCCTGCCAGCGTTGGCACCCTTGCCGGTACTGGTGCCTGCTGCGCCATCATCAACCTCGTCTACCACGCCACCGTCGGTCCCGTCACCTACACCGTCGCCGCCGAGGTCCCCGCCTCGCGTGTCCGTGCTCGGACCGTCGCTTTCGGTCGTGCCTTCTACGTCATCTGCTACAATGCTACCAGTCAGCTCACCCCTCGCATGGTCTCGGACGGTATCGGCGGATGGGGCTGGAAGGGCAAGGCTGCCTTCTTCTGGCTTGGATTTAACGTCCTCGTCACCACCTGGGCCTACTTCCGCATGCCCGAGACTGGTGGGTTCAGCTTCGCCGATCTCGACGTCCTCTTTGCCAACAAGGTCCCCGCGCGCGAGTTCACCAAGGTCCGGATCATCCGTAAGTCTCATATTATCTTCGCTTGCTGTAGGGCACCATGCTGACTTGTCAGGTATTGAGGAGGAAGAGAGCACTGAGCTGGACGGCAAGGACGAGGAGGCCAAGGCGGAGGCTCAGCACGTCGAGCTCCGCTAGGGGAGTTTCATATTAGGGCATGAGGTAGTGAGAGAAGCAGTCTTGTCGGGTTACATGTAAGGGATAGGCGTCTTGTAGTAGCTAGGGTCGGCGGGGTGAGCGGTGATATAGGGGGGGTAGTTCATGCATCAATCGTGTCTCCGTACCGCTGTCCTCTTTTTGCTGCATGATATGGGGTCTCGCCACCGTCAGTGTGTACTGTGTGGCGACAGCACTGCAAGGAGTTGCCACCCGATAGCCACTCTCATATGCTATAGTATCACCGCCGTACTCATCATGTCTCTGTACACTTCCACACCCCCAGGCTGATTCAGAGCACATCCAGATTACCGACAGTCTCCTAAATTACGGTGAGAGACAGGTTGGGACCCGGCCGGGTGGTCCTCGTCTCTCACAAGCTCAAGCAGTGGAACTTCGCCCTCACCCAGGCACAGGCGGACAGTGTCACTCGATCAGAACTTGAAGCATAAGTTTCTACAAGAAGCATGCACCGAGTGTACCGTTCCGCACCAAGGTCGACGGGGCTGCTGTCCCACCCAGCCTCTGACGAGGATGGATCCGAAGCGTTGCCGATGAAATAGGGAACGGACTATACTCGAGCGGTCAACCACTTGATGTTTTCCGTGGAGAATGGCGAGCCCGCAGAAGGACCGAGCACTTAGGGCGCAAACCAAGCGTGTCAGCAGAGACTGGTCTTCTGACTTGCGGCAACGGTACTGTACCCACATGCATATACATCCATACTACCAAAAGACTACCTAGCTATAGCTACCTACTGATTCTACATCCAGCTAGCTAAGACTAAACTATATGATCTCCCCTCCATACATGCCCCCCGAGCGCCCCCTTGGGACCTCTGCCTCCTCGAGACAAACCACCTAGGACACCTTGTGCCTTTTCACTTCCTCCTTTCCTCTCCTCATCCCCGCTTCGCAACGACCCCCCGGGAGTCGGTCACGCCGCCATACACGCGCCCAGACTCTTGGTGAAAGAATCCAGCGAAGCCGCCTGAAGTAAATGTAGCCGGTCCACATCGACCATAGATGACGACACAGCAGGTCTTGCGATCTGTCTCGTCAGCTCTGCGCTTCTCTGGCCTGGCCAAAGCGGGCGACTCACATATCCGGCAGCATATAGACTCCCCGCCAAATGATGCAGATTCGACAACATGTCCCCCAGACCTGCGACCTGCTGTACGTTCCCCCGATCTGGGAAAACCGCGGGTAGGAGCTGTATCAGCCTCGGGACTGTGCGTGCGAGCTCGGCGAGTCGTAGTCGGTCAGGAGAAGAGGAAGAGGATCTCTCGCGAAGTACCGATGTGAGGAGTCGGGGAACCTCTTCGCAGACATTTGCGTAGTCCTGGAATAACTAATCCTGTCAGCTTTTTGTTTCGATCAGCATCGCAAAAAAAGCCAGCTCACCTTTGCGCCATACTCCCACCCTTCTGCCCTCCCCTCTACTTCCGCGCACAATCGCTTGACCAACACTAAATCATCCCGCAGTATGACCTCCGGCAAGAGCTTGGACACCAAGACGCGATGCGCCCGATCGCCCAGTCCAGCCTTCAGACACTCGTGGAACTCCCCATAAGCGTCGCCGGCTGACGCGAGGAGAGCAGCCTTGGACTCGTGCAGCCATTCTTTGGGAATTTGGAGGGTCTCGACGAGTTTTTGGCGCTCAGTCGGTGTCGGTTCGGGATGTCGGTGTAGGAGGGCTCGGAGGGCACTTTCCCGCCTGATAATCAGCACGACCTCCCTCACACGAGTCAAGACACTCACCCTTCACTAGTCTCAAGGTGCATAAGCACAAATGCCGCCCCTAGCCAGTCCCCCTGCCCCTCCAGCTGCGCCGCATACCCCACCGTCACCCGATCCGCCTGGGCCGAGTACCCCTCGACCGTATCCCGATCCTCCCAGTCCCGCTTGCCCAGGACCTGCGAGAGCAGGATGTAGAGGTGCCAGATGATCCGCATGTCGAACGGGCTCGCCGAGGCGTCTCGACTCCGGAGGACCTGGTCCAGGGAGAGGGCAGGGTCCGAGTAGAGCCGAATGAGGCCGAAGAGGATATCGGTAGGTTGGGATGACATGGTCCATGATCGCTCAAGAGGGGAGGGTTTCTCGAGGTATGGTGGGAGTGGCGTAGCGGGGGGATGGGGCGAGGTGAGGGCGTTAGAGAACGAGTCGAGGATGGTAGAAATGGGATCCTCAAAGTGATTTCCGAACCACATTTGGACGCCGAATGCGCGCTTCCAGTCGAGATCTTTGGAGATGACGACGTCCGCACAGCCATCGACGCCGCGGGAGGTATCGCCGGGAAGGACATCCGTGACGCCAGCGAGAAGGGCGTAGAGTCGGCGATACTCGGGCGAGATGAGCGGGCTGGCCTTGTACTTTTTCCAGTCGTCCAGCTGTCGCTGCATTTCCCCGCGGAAAGCATCACCGCTCCCGATCTGCGCGAACAGGGTAGCGAGCCGCATGTCGTTTCCCTCGATGGCAGATTGGACGGCCCGCTCGACCTGGTTTCCCGAGAGCAAGGAGAAGAGCTTGGCCGGCTGGCTATCCGACTTGACGAGCTCGGCGTCGACCGCGGGCGCGACGGCGTCCTGGAGCCACCGGGAAAGGGCAAGCTTGCGCCGTACCTCCATGGCCCGGGAGGCGAGGTCGTCCGATGCGTCGATAGGGAGCCGAAGGTCGATCTCGTCAAAGAGGGCGACACCAAGCCGGAAGACGTTGGCTTCGTGCGATCGATCACCAGCATCAAAAAGCTTGGCAAAGTCGGAGAAACGGATGGTAGAATCAATAGCGGCGGTAGGTACGCCATCGACGAGGGCGATTTCCGACCGAGCGAGGTGGAGCCGGAGTAGGCGGTCGGCTCGAGCAGCCTCGGTCTGATCAGACTCGGCGAGCAGATTGACCTTTTCGACCGATATCGTAGCTTTCGAGTCGGACGCGCTGGCCGGTCAGCTATGCTCTTGCCGCAAGTATCATCGTGCCAACTCACAAGTCCGCCTTGGGCCCACAGATCTTCCCCAGATGAACCATCTCCCCTCTAAACCCCCAAACAGCACCTCCCGCCCGGCCCCACGCCAACCCCGCATCGACCCTCACACCCTCGTTTCCCTTCCCCACACTCTGCTCCAGCGGTACTTTACTGTACACCCTCGGCTGGCGCAACTTTTTAGGGCGCAGATTCTCGCCGAAAGAGGCACGCTACATCATCAGCTACCATTTCACTATCCTCGTACTTTATGCCAAACACTCACCTTGACAGCCCGATCATCAAGCGCGTGTCCACCCTCCCCGGCATTCCTAAAATCCTGCACCTGCGCCGACTCCACCTCCGCCCTTCTCTTCTGCGGCACAACCCTTCCGGACACACCAGCGCCAGCGCCAGCCTCCATCGCCCGACTCAACATCGGCGCAAAGAAGCCAGCCTGCATCTCCTTGAGCTTCTTCATCCCCTCCATTCCCAGCCTTTTCTGGATAGGCCGCTCCCACTCTGCTCCGTCCTCATGGATCGTGCCCAGCTCCGGCTCATCCGAGGCCTCACTGCTTCCGCTCCCACTCTGGGTAGTCCTTTCATCATCCGACCGATCGCTGCCTTCTCCTTCCTCAAACCCCGAATCATGCTCCGATCCAGAATCTCCCCGATCATGCCGGCTCTTGGTAGGAAGGGGCTCCTCGTCGCTCTCGTTAGTCGAAGGAGTCCGACTTGCAGTCCTCGACGACCCATCTCGATCCCGCCTCGCCTCCCTCTCCTTGCCATGCGCCGCCCGAGGCTCGTCTTCCTCGTCCTCATCATCCGACTCGCCCCCCAACCCGTACCTCGAGAAATGCTGCACCTTGAAGCTCCACAGCCCGTCCGAGAAGCTGATGAATTCCGTATCCGGAATGCACTTGAGACGCTTGATGAATCGACCATATCGCGGATCATTGGGATCCGTGATATTCGCCTTGGTCGCCTTGTCCTTGCTCCAGCAATTCTCGAGCGTCACCTGCGCAGGCACATTCAGGCCATCGCCGCGCTCAGGCTTGGTCTCGGCCATGTCGTCGGGGTAGACGATGAGTTCCATTTCGCCAAAGACAATGACGGTACCGAGGAACGTGTCGAGGTCGACATCCGTAAGGTCTACGGGCTCGAGGAAGGTGACTTCGCCGTGTCCTTTCCGACCGGCCGTAAAGTTGTGCATGTCCCGTAGGTCCCGGTCCGAGAGCTGCTTGAGCTTCTCGAGCTTGGGACGACACCAGTAGTCGCCTTGTTTGGGCTGACGGTCGACGACGGCGCTACGAGAGGTGGAGTCGCGCTGCGAGGGGGTTTCGGCCGGACGGGCAGTAGAACCGTTGCTGGACGAAGCGGCCGGAGGGTTGAAAAGAAGCGTTGCGGGCGATTGAGCCGCGGGTGACGGTGCGGCCGCCCGGCCGGTGGGAGCGGGCGTCGAGCCGGACGACCGAAGTGCCGACTTGCCCAACACAGACTCGAGATGGTCTTCGCTCCCGTATGACCCGCTCTTGGGCGTCACCGTCAGCCGCTTGATGCTCGGCCGGGGCACAAACGCGTTCGGCGGGAGTACGGTATCTGAAAGTCCCTTGTAGCGGTCCGCAGCGACCGGTGTACCCATGACGGAGCGTCCAGGCGTGGTGAGGCCGTTCAAGGGCGAGAGGCCCCGAGGGGAAGGAGCGGGACTGGCGAATCCGCGCAGTTTGTTGACTTGGTTCTTGCGCGTAGGGGTGAGGCGGAAGGTCGATGATGTGAGTGGAGGGAGTGCCGGTTTCTTGCTCGACGAACCCAGGTCGAGGGTTTGACCAGAGTAGGCAAAGAGCGGGTTGTTGCCATAAGGGTTTTGGTCGATCGAAGCGGTAAGCGTGGGCTGTTGTTGCCCCTGCTGCTGGTTCTGGGATTGACCGAGTCCGCCGAGTCCGCCGCCGAAGAGACTGCCGCCGAGCCCATTGTTCTGCGCCGGGGCCTGGTTGGTGCTCCCGAACAATCCACCGCCGGTGGTGGATTGCTGCCCAAACATCCCGCCCGTCGCGCCAGGCTGCTGCTGTTGCTGCTGCGGCTGTCCAAACATGCCTCCGCCGCCGCCTCCGAACAGGCCACCAGTAGCAGGCTTGTTGAGCCCGTTGTTTTGCTGCTGGGGTTGACCGAGGGTGTTGTTGTTGGCTGCGCCGAATAGTCCACCCGATTGACCTCCGCCGAAAAGACCTCCTGGCTGCGCAGCGGGTTGGGCGGGCTGAGCGCCGAACAGCCCGCCACCCAGACCACCGGTAGTCGCGGGCTTGGCACCAAAGAGACCACCGCCCGTTGTCGATGCGCCGCCAAATAGACCACCGCCAGCTGCAGGTGCTTGGGGCTGCTGCTGCTGGTTTTGCTGGCCAAAGAGACCGCCAGTATTGGCCGCGGCGGGTGCGCCGAACATGCCGGTATTTGCGGCGGGCTGTTGCTGTTGCTGATTGTTCTGACCGCCGAAACCTGGTCCATGAGCTTGATCCTCTCACCGGGGAGCTCTCTGACTCACTGAAGCCGGTAGAACCTGTCGCGGCAGCAGCAGCTCCGAAAAGACCGCCCGTCGCTGGCTTGGCAGCAGCCCCAAACAATCCTCCGCTTTGGGCAGGTTGCTGTTGCTGTTGGTTGTTCTGGCCAAAGAGACCGCCCGCAGCCGGCTGAGTAGCATTTGCCCCTGTTTATCAGCTTGATGGCACCTCATTTGTCTGTTGAGCGGACGTACCGAATCCACCCCCGCCTCCAAACAATCCTCCTCCCGCCGCTGGCTGCTGTTGCTGCTGTTGAGGCTGAGCGCCTCCAAACGAGAATCCCGTACTGGGCTGAGCCGGCTGACCGAAGCCCGTCGAGGCAGTATTGGTCTGACCGAACCCTCCTGCCGCAGGTGCCGCCCCAAACGCCGGCTTGGTCGCGTTGGCCCCGCCAAAGCTGAATCCGCCCGCGGCAGGCTGCGCCTGCTGTTGTTGCTGCTGGCCGAAAGGGTTGGGGTTGCTAAACAGCCCGCCTGGTTGCTGCTGCTGTTGCTGGGGTTGTTGACCGAAGAGACCGCCAGCGGGTTGCTGAGGCTGAGCGGGGGCCCCAAAGAGTCCGCCGGCCGGCTGAGCATTCTGCTGTGATTGACCAAAGATACCACCGGTATTGGTGTTGGCGGCTGGTTGGCCGAATAATCCTCCGCCGGTCGAGGCGCCGCCGAATCCGGTCGCAGCAGGTGCTGCAGCTCCAAACATCCCTCCGGCCGGCTTGGCGCCAAAGAGCCCGGTGCTCGCTTGCGGCTGCCCAAAACCTCCCTGTTGCTGCTGCTGCGGCTGACCGAATCCACCCGCCGCTGGCTGCCCGAACCCACCCGCAGCAGGCTGCTGCTGAGCACTCGCGCCCGCCTCCTTCCTGTTCTGCTCGTAATCCATGAAACGAAGCTCGTCGAAGCTGGCCCCGCGGTACGCTCTCATCGCGGTGATCGAGTTGTACAAGTGGGGTAGGTTGGAAGCGGGAGTGGGAGGGGGAGGTGGGCGCCCAGGCTGGCCGGGATTAGGTGGATCCTTGTGCCATGTGGGCTGATACAGCGGCTGAGCGGTACCGGTAGAAGGAGGCTCCATTCCAACGACGAGCTCGAAATCGTGGACCGCATTTGGGTTCCATTCTTGGTTGTTGTTGTTGTTCATTCCAGCTCCGCCGAAAGCGTTCTGCGCCGGCGCGCCAAACATGCCGCCGCCGGTGTTTTGGTCACCGCCAAAGGTCGAGGTGGCGGGCTTGCCGAAGGTGCTATTGTTGGCCCCGCCGAATGCAGGTGTGGCATTTGCACCGCCGAAAAGACCTCCGCCCGTATCTGCTGGAGTCAGCTGGGGGAGAGTTGTTTCACGGAGCATGATACTCACTCGTTGCTGGCTGACCGAAAGTAGAACCCCCTGTCGCACCGAATCCAGGTCTCGCGCCACCGAAAGCATTTGTCTGTTGCGCCTGATTGTTACCGCCAAAGGCTGCAGGTCAGTGCCAGATCCAGGCTGTCGTTGACCAAGATATAGCTGCACTTACTGAAGTTGGAATTGGCAGTGTTTTGAGCAGGTGCTCCAAAAGTACTCTGGCCGCCACCGCCAAACAATCCGCCGCCCGTGTTCTGCTGGGCTTGCTGCCCAAAGCCGGTCGCCTGAGGCTGTCCGAACCCTGTAATGTCAGCTCTACAGGCCAGCGGATATGATCTAAAGAGGAGCTCACCAGTATTAGGCTGCTGCTGCTGTTGTCCACCGAAGCCAAACTGCTGCTGCTGAGGTTGCTGCTGCTGCTGGTTCTGTTGTCCCCAGGAGCCGCCGAACATCCTGGCTGATTTCGGAGGAAGCTATTCGGATGTCCTTATTCGCTTTCGGTACTGTTCTCGAGTAGCCCAGAGCGATGAGGACAGTATTAAGGGAAGTGATAAGAGATAGAGGAAGGCGAAGGCAAGGGCTAGCTTTAGTGAGGCTGAACGCGACGACAAACTAGGAGACTCATTATCTCGTCCGCCCTGTTACATCTCCGCTCTAGTCTTCGGATTTATCATTAGTGGCAGTGTCTTGATTAGGAAATAGCCATTCAATTTGCATTTTGATTAGAACGGGCTATTAGAAATACAAACCCAAGTTCCGGGGGACTTTGCTAATCCGAGACTGCGCCTACAAGAGCAACAGCTCACCCTAGCTCACCGGTCACCCTTAGCATCCACCTCTATCCTACTTTACAATACCTACGATGAGTATAACAGCCAACGCCGTCGCCGGTCCCTCAGACTACCTCGGACGCGCTGCCGACTTTGTCAGACCAGACTTCCACCAAGTCAACCTCGACATCGAGGGGTATCTCAAAGCAGAGCGGAATTTCAAGCTCGACTCTGGTGGGTTGCCCTTATACCCCATGACCCTTCGCAGCAGCTGACAGACAGACTCGGAGATATGCCGTCTCTCCCTCCTCCCACCTGGATGCCCCCTACCCCCCTCCCTCTGCCCATACCGCCACACCACGCCCTCCTCGCACAACTTCCGCGGACCCCCCATCCTCCCCGCTCACCAAAGGGAGCGCGAAAAGAAGACGACCGTGTGCAAGCACTACCTCCGGAACCTGTGCAAGATGGGCGACAACTGCGAATACACCCACGACTTCAATCTCCGGACGATGCCGGTGTGCATCTTCTACGTCAAGCTGGGGAAATGCGAGCTGGGCGGGGAGTGCCTGTATTTCCATCCGAGCGAGTATGAGCGGCGCGTCGAGTGCCCGGACTTCAATAGGGGGTTTTGCGTAATGGGGCCTGAATGTCCAAGGCGGCATATACGGAGAGTGATGTGCGGAGCGTATGCGGCGGGGTTTTGTCCGGATGGGAAGGACTGTAAGAAGGCACAGTAAGTCGCTTACCAATTAATATCTAGCGCGGACATGCTGACACTTAGCCCCTCGCCTACTCGTCCACCGCCTGAATCATACGAGAACCCGCCCGTCCCAGATCCAGCCCAGGCCGGTCCCCCCCCACATCTCCCAGCGGGATACGGCCGATGGCGTGAATATCGGTACGACCCGAATGCGGTCATTGCTCCTTCCGCGGCATGGGCAGAGGGCGGTAGTCTGTCAGGATGGAGGGCAGGCGGTATACTGAGCGGCAATACGAGGCGGAATGAAGATAGGGGAGGCGGAGGATATGGCGGGGGCGGTGGAGGGGGAGGTGGGGGAGGTGGGGGAAAAGGAGGATGGATGAAAGACCTGTCGGGGATTCTCTGCTTCGTAGGTCCATCTCAGTCTCTGTCTCACGCTCGGCAATCCCACCCCTACACCCTCCTGCGTCTCCTGCGTCAAAGAGGGGATGAAGAGACGGTGAAAGGCCTCGCCCCTGAACCGGTACCACATCTCGCTCCCTCCAGAAACCCGCGAATCCTCTGACTTGCCCACTTCGCCTTCTTCTAAGCTGATCCGCAGAAATGTAACCAGCACGGCCACTTTGCGAACGCCTGCCCAAATCAAGCAGTACCAGGCGACCGAGGCGGGCTTACTCGGACGTAAGGGACTTCAAGGGAGTTTGTCTAAGATAATGCATAACCAGCTGTAATACACTCTGACCGTCCTGACACCCTGCTAATCATTTCGGTACCAAGGTCCGCGGTACCCGCCTCTGCGGCATGATAGCCTCGTACCCAGATCTCATATCAGCTCGGCCCCAAGACCCCTTCTCACAGAATACTGATCAGCTTCTCCTCCTCCCTCGACCTGACCACAAACAAGATCCCGAACGGCGCGCCGTCCTCGCTGTACCCTAACGGCGCATTTCCCTTTCTCGTCAGCATAACTCTGATACTCGCTCACGCCTGCACATCCCCTCGCCACTGTGACGGCCTGCGGTGCCCCCAAGTCTACCGCAAACACCGCAGCGTCCAGGTTGTGCTTGGCGAAGATGTAGTCGATACCTCTCGGATCGGACAACTCGGTCGATAAAGCCTGGGCAGCGCGGTAGGTGTCTGTGCCCTTGCCAGCGTCGGCCAAGGCGTCGATCAGAAACTCCTGGGTCGGTGCATGAGGAGGCAATTCTTCGGCCTTACAGTCAGTCTCGGTATGTACTGATCCTGGATACTGGCTCGGGAATTGGGATCACTCACAGCATGCTCGATGTTCCACTCAATCAACTCCTCAATGGTTCGTATCGGACTCTCCTCCAATTCCGCAAGATACGCTCCGAGATCCTCTTTGTGATCGCTGAGCCAAATCGCCTGCTCGGCAGCCACCAACGCCTTAAACTCCGTAAAATTTAGGTCCACATTCACATTCAGCACCTCGGCGCCCGCCTCTCGCATCGTATCCGCCGCGCCGAGGAGGGCGACCTCGTTCGCGCGTACGTCACCTTTGGGCATAATGATGCGTCCGTCCGCTTCGTCAAGGAAGTTGTTGCGGACCAGACCAAGTCTCAGTCCGGCCATCTTTGGCGCCTGAGCGGCTCGGAGATACCTGCATCAGCACTCACATGTAGATTACACTCACTTGCCGTCACTCTCGACCATCGCGTCAAGCATGATTGCCACGTCCGCAGCGGTAAAACCCATCGGACCGACAGTATCCCGATTCAAGCTTTCATTAGCTCGATCTCCATTTGTGACGGATAGCTTACCTGATAGGTACGACCCCCTTCATCGAAACCAAACCCGTACTGGGTCTGATCGCATAAAGGGCCGCTCGTCCGGCTGGCGCGGACTACATCAATTCCTTCCTTTCTGCGATACGTACGATAGACCCCCACGTCTCTGTCCCAATGGCAGCGGCCCCAAACCCCGCGCTCACACCTACCGCGCTCCCCGCTGAGCTTCCTAGCGGGTCTGCGCCACCTTTGTACCCGCCTTGGACGTAGGCAGATACAGTCTGGCCGCCTACTGCGGACCACCCGTCGGGGAGGGATTTGCCTTTGTAGGCGTTGAGCTCGGAGGGGTTGGTTTTGGCCAATACTACTTATGTTAGCTAGTGTGAAATGGACGACAGGGGGTGGTACTGACTGATAGCACCGGCGGCTCGGAGGCGCTTCACCACTTCTGCATCACCGGGGACTACACTTTGCTCTGCTGAATCAGCTCACGGCCTGGCTTTACGCATCCGTTAACGGTGTACTCGCGCAAAGCAGTGTTTCCGGCAGACGTAGGCATCCCCAACTCCGGATCCGTCGCTATCACATCCTTCACCAATATAGGTATCCCATGCAGCGGGCCTCGCACCAAACCACGTTTCCGCTCATCGTCAAGCTCCTGAGCGATCTTGAGGACGAGATCGAGCGGGGCGGTCTGAATGATCGCGCGGAGTCCGAGACCGGTCAGATTGTTCTTCTCGATATTGGCTGATGTTAGCTGAATGTTAGGAATTCACTTACAGAGATAGGCATGGACGAGCTCGACTGAGGTGATGGTTCCCTCGGAGAGCAGAGACGTGAGCGCTGTGATGGATGTTTGGAGCAGGTTGAGCGTGGCTGGCAGTGGTCGTCTCATCTCAACTTTTGAAGCTTTACGCAGAAGTGTATTGGCCAGATTGGTACTCATCGCTACTGAGTAGATCTGTGGGTGGACTGAGAGAGGAAGTGCGTACGATCTGCGTCGTAGATCAAAGATGAAGTGACTTATGGGCCCAAGGGGAGTGAGAACAAAACTCCTTTGTCCTGCTGGTCGGGAGATGAAAGGAGCTTCACACCTATCACGGGCGTGTGTCCTGCACTCGTGACTGACGCCAGGCAAGGCAGTATATACTGAAGCTGATGAAGATGTTACGAGGCGCGCGGTCTACGATTGTCCGCCGTCGACAAGGCACACTGCAATATCAATATGGGAAGCATAATGGTAAATGTACTCCTCAACAAGTGTCGAGACGGCCGGCTCTCTTCCGCCCAATTTTTGAGACTGTAAGTCTACATCAGGGGCACATCAGAGGGCTACATATCGGCGTCACTGCACACCGGTGCTCGCCTCTTCGGCATTACACCCTCATATCCAGATCTACATCAGCTCAACTCCCCTCGTACACTCACAAGATACTGATGAGTCTCTCCTCTTCCCCCGGTCTGACCACAAAAAGGATCCCGAACGGTGTTCCATCATCGTAGTAGCCAAGCGGCGCGACACCCTAGAGGAGTCAGTAGTGAGCTTATCGCATCCATTCACCAGATAAGCTGCAGCTTATTCACGCTCCCGCATGAGCGGCACTCACCGACGCATAGCCCGTGGGAGGCGCATACCACTGTCCCTTCCCCAGTCCCATCACAAAGATCGCCGCGTCCAGTCCATGTTTATCGAAGATGTAGTCCAGGCCCCGGCTTCCGGCAATCTCGATCGAGACTGCTTGGGCTTGACGATACTCGTCAGAATCCCTACCTGGGGCAGAGATCGCCTTGATCAGTAGATCTTGATTTGGTGCGTGAGGAGGGAGTTCTTCGGTCTCCCTGTAAGCCCTGCTATCCCACCAAGACCTACCGCGTGCGCCTCATTCCATCTCACTAGCTCCTCCAATGTCCTCACTGGACTCTGTACCAGTTGCGACAGGTACGCCGACAGATCCTCTTTGAACCCAATCGAAAGCATTAGTCCCTCGGCTTCGAATAGCTTTTCGAAATCCGCACTATCGTGGTCCATGTCGACGTCGATCACCTCTGCGCCTGCCCCACGCATCTGTTCGACCGCGATTCCCATCGCATTGACTGATTCCTCGATGCAGGTACCAGCAGTCAGATAGATTGCATCCCTCTGATCGAGGAAGTTTCGGCGTACCAGACCCAGTCGGAGTCCACTCATGATGGGTGATCTTGCAGCATGGAGATATCTGATCAGCTCCTAAAAGGAACATTCACTCACTTGTCGTCTGTACCGGCCATAGCATCGAGCAAGATCGCCACGTCCGCAGCGCAGTGCCCCATCGGTCCCACTGTGTCTCTATCTCGGCTGCTCATCAGTCAATTCATGTATGCAGACTCACCTCACAGTCACGATTCCGTCGAGAGACAGAAGACCACTCGATGGCCGGATCGCAAAGAGCCCTGCCCGGCTCGCCGGGGACAGCTATAGCCCAGTCAGCAAATACTCGACGTCTACATATTGGCCACCTATAAGCCCAGTGAGCAGAGTACGCACCACCGATCCGGTGGTGTCCGTGCCAATAGCGGCCGCTCCGAAGCCGGCGCTCAAGCCCACTGCGCTCCCAGAGGAGCTCCCAAGAGGATTACCACCCTTGACGTACGCATAAGAGGTCTGACCACCCACCGCCGACCAAGCACTGGGGGTCATGCTGCCTTTGTACAAATTGAACTCGCTCAGGTTAGTCTTTGCCAGAACTGCATTTTAAGCTGTTCTGATGTCATCAATCATCGAGCTCTACTCACTGATGGCTCCTGCCGCCCGCAGCCGCCGGACCACCTCCGCATCCCCGGGAACGACACTTTGCTCTGCCATCAGCTTCATATACAGCGGAGACATACGTAGCGCCAAGCTCCCCGCAGTTGTGTTCATCCCCAATTCAACGTGGGTGGCGATGCTATCCTTCACTAGAATGGGTATACCATGCAGCGGACCACGGTCGATCCCCCGCTCGTGCTCATCATCCAGTGCTTGGGCGATCTGCAGCACGGCCTCGAGAGGTGCGACCTGTATGACTGCGCGGAGACCGTAGCCGTTAATGTTATGCTTCTCGATATTATCTACTGTCAGTACTGAGAGGTGCTCAAGGTACTCACATATACGCCTTGACTAAGTCAACGGACTTGATGACATTGTGATTTAGCATATCAGCCAACTCCGAGATCGATGTCTGCAGAAGATTGACTTCGGCCGGAAGACGTTCGCCACCGGCCGCGAGCTGTGAGCCTGGGAACATGTCGTACTCTTGAGCGTTCTGAGAGTGTCGGGTCAGTAAGGTCAGGAATCTGGACGATCCTCACTGTCAAAGCGGCCTCCTTTGTCTTGCCATGCACATCAATGGAATCCAAGGGGTTAGTTTAGGGTCAAAGGGGGGCCAAAAGAGAGGCATGTATAAGAAGGAGGGGGTATACCCCTCTCTAGCCGCAGGCGGTGTATGCCATAGATGATAGGTGATATGTGTCAGGACTTGGTAAAAATACGTATCAACCTTGGAATGGTGACTATCCTCGTCCGACAAATCAGATAAACTTAGCTCGGAGCCACGGTAAGAACCGCGCGGTCTATATAATCAGTGGCCATCTTCCCTGCTTCCCTCCTTGCTACGGCCCAAATGACTCACGTGCACCATACCTGATTTGCGTTCAGACCCGGTAGATACGTATCAGCCGTTGAGGTGTGACTATCCTCGTCCGACAAAGCGGGCATTCTTGGCTGGTGGCCATGATGAGATCCGAGCAATCTACATGATCAGCCTCCGCTTTCCCCGCATAGTACAAACGAGGTTTACTCACGCGCGCACATAGCCAAATGCCCACAATCCACCACCGCCAGCGTCGCCTCTTCGTCCTGACAGACCACACATAGCCCGCGCTCGATCTCGGGCATCGGACCAGTAGGTACTGATTTCTCCACCTCGCCTCCTTCCGCTGGAACCTCCGTACCCTCTGCCCCGTCCTCCGGCTGAAGGTGCAGCGTGATCGGAGCGGGATTGGCCTCTCGTTCATCCTCCACCCGTTGTCGCTCGAGTCGTTTCCGCTCATCCACGATGAGCTCGTGTACACGGTTGATCAACTCTTCCCTGTGATATTAGCTTGGCATGCCTACCGGAATGTGAAGAAGCATACTTTTCGAGCACTTGCTTGAAGTCCACCCTCACATGATTCTCATACAGGACCGCCTTGAGTGTCCCGATACTCAGACTGGCGAGATAGCTCTTCGGTAGACTGACGAGAGAGAGGATAGTCGGTACGGGTGGAGGAGGCGTTTTGACTTTTGGTGGGGCGGGCGTCGCTCTTGGGGAGGGAGCAGCAGGACGGGGAGCGGCAGGAGGCGGTCGCGGCGACAATTGGGGCGGTGGACGGTATTGGGCTTGTGGGGCCGCCTGAGGGGTCGGGCGGTACTGCTGCTGCTGGGGAGGTGGTCGGGCGGCTTGTTGTGGCTGAGCAGGGCGAGGGAGAGGTACGGCGGTCGGGGCTGACGTAGGTACTTGACCACCTTTGGGCACGGACTTTCGACGATAGTAGCTCTGCCAAGTCAGCTTCGACCCAGCATGAAATGATGGGGTTCTAGGGAGGCCTAGGAGTGGATAGTACGTGTTGCCACAAGCCCGGCAGCCCGCCTTCCTCATGTTGCGCCGGAGTAGGACCAAAGGCAAGAACTTCACTCCCCTCATACTCGCATACCTTGGGCATCGGGGGAAGTTTCAGCTCACCTCAGCTTCTGGCGACAGACATCCCGTAGCTGAATTCCGCGCCTTCACAACCGCCTGAACAAAGTCTTCTTTCTCTTTCGGCCCTATCAAGGGTATATTGTACGCCGCGAGGTAGTCCTTCAGCCGTTTGAGCGGTAGAGACCGGAGCGAGGGTATTGGCGCAGAAGTCACTGCCTGATCAGCTCATCACGATATCGAATCGGCGTTTCCAAGCTGACTGACCTTGGAGCATCCCTAGACAGGGCAAGCACACCTTCTCAACCTCATACCCTGGCGCTGCCGGCTCATCCATTCCAACCACATCTCTGAATCCCTCCTTGAGCTCCGCGAAGAATCCACTTGCTCCTCCGCCAAGACTACCGCTCGTCCCGCCAGTCCGCGCTGTAGAGCTCGATGGTCCAGCCTGAGTACCCCGCCGAGGCATCAGAGCCTGCCCATCAGACAGGCAGGTGGAGCAATACTCGTAGCCGCAGTGACCGCAGGTATGGGCGCGTCGAAGGAGGAGGTTGAAGGGCTTGGTGCATTGTCGGCAGTCTGGAGGGTGAGCTTGAGGCTTTTAGGTAGTCGAAAAGATTCTAGCGTACTCTGTGATTCTGTCACTGGCGGTGGTCCAGACACTGCTCTCGTCAGCCTTGCCCGTCTATGCAGCTTGGCGCTGAGTCAGACGCCCGAGGAAGGAAGCTCACATATGGGCATGCCCCTGGGGGGCTGCGAGCCCGACTGGCTGCTCGACATCCTGGTATGCACTTGGTAAAGTGATATTGTAAAGAGGCCGTGACCTTCGGCGAGGTGTAGAGAACCTGCAGAGAAGGCCGAGCGGTGGCCGAAGTGCGATAGAAGGTGCTGGAACACCGCTTGATAAGCTCCGATAGCTTGATCCGGCCTGTCTAGGATTGCGTATTCGCTCGCTAGAGCCTGTGGACCTTCGTCTCTACGGTCCAGCAAGATGTGTGAAGTATGCGAGTGTAATGTCCAACTTGACGAGCTCGCTGTCAACAAGGTCTTCCTCATCGCCGTCCAAGCTGTACGCTGTCTTGATCGGCCTTGTTATTGCGTCATCAGCCGCTAGCAGCTTCCGACGGAAAGAACTCAGCACCAGCCAAGCTGCAGCACGCCGCTGAGAGAGGTTACCTTACCACTACACAGACCGCAAGCTACGCTAATCACACGTCAGTACCGTCAGCCCCGTCGGATGAGCTGAAGGTGGATCGTATACAGCCGAAAAAACCGGGAGAAAGGAATGAGGAGCAACCGGCTGAGGCGGTGAAGCACTAGTCGGTATGGAGTCTGACCCCGCCGGAGGGATGGCCAATAATGGACTTGAGGCAGGGTACTGGGGTATGAGCGACCCTGTGAGTGCTCTACTGGACGGCTACGTAGATTATAGCTGATCCCTCAGCCTAGAATTAGGTCGATTACGGGGTACGTCTCCGCCTTTCCAGGTCCATCTCAGCTCAGAGCTGATTGACAGTGTCCGCATCCGCCAGCTCACCTTGCCGGAAGCTCTCGCTTCCTCACTGTCGAGGGCCGGGCATACAACGCCGCCTGTACAGGACGGCTACTTCCTCGGCGAGTCCTCATACACCGCCAGCTCGCCTAGCCAAACTCCGCAACTCCGGCGGGCCAGCTCGTCCGCCTCGCACGGTCCTTCTCGTCGGGGCAGGCGGATCTCGCTGTCGGAGCTCGAAGAACCGCAGCGAGCGCGGGCAGATAGCGGCTCGACGCTCCGAGCTGTACATGCGGCGTCCGGGTCGGGGTCCCAAACCGCGCGCGAGCGGACTACAAGGCCGAGGTCTCGCACGCTCGCCGGAGAAGCTATCGAGCAAGCGCAGCAGCTGTCGCACAGCCTGATCGAAGCAAATGGAGATTCGGGGATTGGTGATGGTGATGCCGAGGCGGCGCTACCGAGACGTCAGCTCGCAAGGTGCTTCATAGCCTTCAAGCTGCCCGCTGAGCACGCATCGACCGGAACGCGGACCGAGGTCAACGGACCAGCGGGACTCGACGTCAAGGGGAAAGGCAGAGCGCCTGACTCGGACATGCCTTCTCAATGTCCCTCGCCTTTGCGTCGGAACCCGTCGTTGATCAAGACGCGACCTTCTCGCTCAACCTCGATGGACCATCTACCCGGCCGGAGCACTCCGACCAGCCCCTCCTCAAATCCCGGGACACCCCCTCGGAGCCGCACGACGTCACTCAACACCAACACATCTCCTGCTGTCTCGAAGTCTGGACCTGGTCCACCTTCCACTCCGGATGCTGCTGGCCAGCTACCCAAGCTCGGTCAGAGACCCCCGCGGCTCGTCAGGGCAGGAAGCGAAGCGGGGCGGTCAAGACCTCCTGGTCGCCCGGTATCGATGATATCAAGGGGGTCATACCGGTCCCCTCACCTCAATAGCGCCACCGAATCGGGCCCAGAGCCGCCAGTCATCCCGGACTCACTCATGCCGAAGCCTTCACCCTCGGCCGTCGCCCCGTTCTTCCTATCGCCCATTCATCCACCCTCATCGCATCCCGCCTTCCCCGCCTTACTGCCCGAATCGGACTTTGCGGCATGGCTCACGACCGCCGAGCTGGCGACGCAGGTGGTCGATGTGGAAATATGGTATGAAGACCCGGAGCGGGGCTGGGCGGTTTTGAACGACGTCGGAGGGAGGGTGGATTTGTCGAGCTTACGGCCGGTACGGAATGGAGGTGAAGGCGAGAATGACCTGGAGTTCAGCTTGAAGGGCGATACAGGAGGATGGTATAGCATAAGGCTTGATGAAGCCGGGGAGCGTGTCGGAGGAGACCCGAAGTCTGGGGATAAGGGCAGGAAGAGGGGAGCTTCCGTTAGGGGTGTGATGGAGCGGAGTGTGAGGGAGACGAGGATGAAGAAGGGGGTCGGCGTTGGAGGACTACACCAGTGAGCTACCTGCTGATGCTGGTCTCGGGACTCGACTGATCTGGATAGGCTTGTACACGGTCAATCCGTAGTTGAGGATACCAAGCAGAATATCGAGATTGTCAAATCCAAGATCGACGATTTGCTACGCCAAGATGCGGATAGACGCGCCTTGGTGAGTTTACGCCCTTCAGAGTGTCCGCATGAGCTGACAAGTTCAGCGGCGAGATGTAGACCAGCGAACAGAGAACGTCAACTGGATCCAGAGCAAGATTGATGAGTTTGACCGCATAGCCAGAGAGGGTGAGTGGACCTGTTTATAGCCGGAATGGCCCGGTGAAGGAGACTTGGCTGACTTTTATAGTCGACGCTGCGATAGTCTTGCGCAAAAAGGCCATCTCGGACCGACGACAAGCCCTCGCGCGAGCAGAAGAACGGGATGATGCGGAGCGATCACGCGCTGTTCAGATCGATCAGGCGATTCACACCGCTCAGTACGCTCGAAGGATGTTTGCATGCCTCAACTTGAGCTGACGATCTAGAATGAGCCGCGCTGCCCTCCAGCCGCTGATACATCACTATCGCGCTCACCATGTCCAGACGCTCGACGCACTCTTCCCTATCCTTCCTTTATCCCCCTCGATACTGCTATACGGCATCCTCGGCGTCCCTCTTCCAATACCGTCAGGCGAAGATCCTGCTCCGCCCATCACGCTCCCCGCGGCAATCCTGCCAGATGGTGTCAAGGTGGATGAGCGGACGACTGCAGCGGCACTGGGGTATGTGACGATGGTAGTGCACATTCTGGGAAATTTGGGCGGGACCGGACCGGGAGGTGGCGGGTTGGTGTATCCCGTGACGTGTGCAGGGAGCAGGAGTCTTGTACGGGATGTGGTTTCAGTGATGCAGGGTCCGAGATCGTAAGTCCCCATGATCGACTCTCGGCTGGTAGGCCCAAGTGACGATTAGGTTCCCGCTGTATACGAAAGGTGTCGAGCGATATCGATTCGACTATGCCGTATTCCTTCTGAACACCAACATCGAGCTGGTCGGTCTGACCCTATAGCTTGTGCATTGTCGGGGTATCATCTGACGCATCAGCTCATGCAAGAAGCCAACATCCGCCTAGTCGACCGGCGCCACACACTTCCCAATCTCAAATCCCTCCTTCTGACACTCTCCTCCCCCACGCCTCCTCCACCTCCCCCACACCCCGCAGGCCAAGCCTCCAGCTACCCTCCGTCGGGCACAACGACATACAATAACTCGCGCATAGGCTCGCGCCAGGCCAGCTATACCTTCAACCCCCAACTCGGCTTCTCAACCAGGGAAAAGCAGTCGGTTCTGGGCAGTCCGGCCTCATCACTGGGCGATCTGCGGAGTCCGCCGGGATCGCATATAGGCGGGGTAGGGAGGAGAGAGCGGGATGGGAATAGTATGAGCCCGATCAAGGCGGGTTGGGGGGATGGTGGAGCGAGAGGGAGGAGTCATCTTTCGAGGCAGAGCTGGGGTGGGAGTCAAGAGGCGGAGGAAGGGGATGGGGAGACGGCGGTTTCGAGGTCGGAGGTCACGTCGGAGTTAGGTACCGGATACGACTATTGAACGATAAAACTATTTGGACCGTAGGATGGACGTTATTCTGTCCTTTGCGACCATGTCAGAGAACATTGCTGTGGACAATTTTAGCCGGTCAATCCAGAGGGTGATACGTGACCTGTATGGGGCTGTCAAGAAACCTACGTGTACTTGCCTCCCTGCCTTGCATCATCCATCAGACGTTGGATTTTCGTTCGACAGCCTGCGCAGGCACTGAGGCAGTGCACTTACTTGACTCTTCTATCTCGGCCTTCCCTCATGCACTGCATAATGCCAGATAACGGACTATGCGAAGCCATGTCACGGCCGTATGAAGGACAAAAAAGCTGTCCGGAACTCAGATTCGAACCCGAGGCTAGCGATTCATCCGGTTTCCCGTCACGCGCAAAAAGTGCAAAAAAGGAGACGCCAGCTTGTCCTACCGCACTTTTGTACTTTCGGTGACAATGTGTCGGACACGCCCAATATATTCCGCAAACATGGGTCGGAGGTCGCAAATCTGAGAACATCCACAATGCATATGCCTTGACAGTTGACAACTATCCGTCCTCTTCGTAGTCTAGTACGAGATCTACCGAGGTACATTTCTATGGCCGGAGATGGCTGACTCATGCCTGGTACGCAAGTGGCTGTCGTGGGATTAATTAGGCCAAAGAACCCAAACACACTGTCGCTAGCCATCCGTGCTGCGGTGCGTGACACGGTGTATCGAATGCAAGCTGGTGGTGACTCCGAGCTCTGAGTTCACGCGAGATCTGGCGTCGGTTACAACGCCGGCGTAATGCGTAATGCAGTGATCCGTCGAGATCCTCATTCCTCCGCGAAAGCCAATTGAAGCACATGCCGAGAGAGGGGGGGCTGGACAAAAACTTTACAGCACCGCATTCCTCAGTACCTAAATCGCAAAAGGACTTCAGCAGTGGGAAAGGGACGTGCATGCACTGCTCGTCACTCACTTTGGCAGCTGAACACCAACATGGACCACAGGGAGACATGGTACCAAACGCTAAATTAAGCAGGTCGAGTCAGCGATCCAGCGAAGGTGTACGCATTACGTCACTCTGTGCCTGACGCCCGTGGGGTGATGTTTCAGATCCATCCAATCTGTCTTACTCAGTCAGCCGACCTGCTGCTGGGCACCAGGCGGCGGGGGGCTGGAGCAAAAAGATTGTTATGGGGCCAGCGGGGATTGAACCCGCGTCTCCGGTGTGTGCGGGGAGGACAAGGATGCGGTAGGAGGCAGACGGTCCCGTCAGCCCAACAGAACCCGAGGTGGGCCTGCTGGGATCGGCGTTGTCGCAGGAGGGTTGCCCGATCTTTCCCCCGACAACCGGCATACTGACCACTGTACGACGGCCCCGTTAAAATTTCGGGCCGGGGTAGAAATATATGACCCGCCCCGTTCAGTTCGGCACCCTATCAGCCACGCCGCGCGAACGGCAAACCTCCCTTCGCCTAATCATTGTACTCTTGATCCTTCAGCATCATTATGCATACTCCCAGTACGAAAGCAGTCAGGCATATATCCCTCAGCTCTTCGCCACTTCGTATTCTCAGCCTCGCTATCTACTCGATACGATCAGCGCTACTCGTGACAGCAAGCCTAGGAGGCTATCACCACCGACATGAACGTCCCTTCGGATGACAAGCCAGGTGGAAGGACCTTCACCTCCCAGGTCCGTAAGCCTACTCGCGAAGCCGTAGCTTCATAATCTCCTTGGACGAAAGCTGATCCACCTAGGACGACGCTCCCCTTATTGCGTAGGACGAATCTCTGGCTGAGATCAGCCGTCGTCAAGCAATGTCATCTTGGGTGAGCTCCGAGCGCGTCGTCAAGCTAAGCGTGGTTCCAGCACAAGACCCAGGCTTGCGTTATCTTAAGGACCTCTCTCCATACTCGCACGTACTTCTCTGCCCTCTCAGCTCTCCATATCAGCAAGGTGTCCCTGCGTAGGTGAGTCCAACGGCCCCATCCGTGCGACTCCCGCCGTTTGCCCGTTGTCGATCAATCTCTCCCTCCCTTTCTATTCTCACACGCCTCTCCAACAACGTCTACACCGGTCGCACGCATGACGAGATGCTCTTTCTGGTCGAGGCGCGTCTCTCGTCGCGGCAGGTGCGCGAGCACAGCGCTCAGACGGGTCGCGAAAGGGGAACGGGGATATGCGAAGGAGCAGAGGACGATAGGTTGGGGAGAGCAAGGCGGCCCCGAGGTTGAACGAGAGGGCGGTCAAGAGACTGCCAGGTATTATTAAACGGACGTCGGAGGGCAGGGACGGGAGATCAGAGCGTGGGGGTGTGAAGCGGAAGGAACCCGGTCACCAGGCATGAATGCTGTCCGAGCTATGCGCGTCGCACTTGCAAAATGGAGGAAGATTACTGGCACAGATAGATACATACTAGGTCTTCATACGAGGTACAACAACACGCCGCAGGCAGCACAGGCATCGCTACCAGGGACGCGTCGGATCCCTCATCCCCATCGGACTGGACGTGAACCCCTCTCCATCCCCAATATCCCGCTTCTTCCCTTCCAGCCACACGTCCCCCGGCTTCCTATCCGGTGCCCTCATCAGCCCCCTCTCGTTCCCATTTCCACCAATACTCCTAGACCTCTCTCCCTGCTCACTGTCCTCCTCACCCTCGTCCGCTGTAGTCACCTGATCCAGGTTCGAATGCACTTTTGGAGCATGCCGCAGCTGAGCCTTGGACTGCGAATGTATTGGCGAGGTAGGCGACCGCAGAGGCTCAAAACCAAGAGTCGCTGATCTCACGTCTCCGCGGACTAAAGTGGTAGGAACTTTGGTGTTGAGCCTCGTCGGGCTCTGTGGACCGCGCCGAGCGGGATTGCGGGAGATTGACGAACTGGGAGAGGATGTCGCGATGGGTGGAGGAGCAGGCGTGAGGGGCGACGAGGCGAGGGAAGTGGGATATGCGGAAGAGGGTTTGGAGGTCGGTGGGAAGGACAGTTTAGGAGTGCCGAGGTGGTGATATAGCCGAAGCGTTTCCGAGAGGCTGCTCAGCTGTAGTCATCAGCTTCTGCACCCAAACTCTGGCAGTGGCAGAACTGACTCTCTCCATGATCTCTTCCACGCCCTTCTCCCTCGAATCCACCATCCCTCCTACCTCCGGCCCATCTGGTCCCTCTCCCTCTCCACTCCTATCGCGATCCTCCTTTTTGCGCATCTCGACGCTCGCATTCACATCCACATCCCTGCCTCCCCCTGGTCCTGTCTGTGTACCCAGTCCCTCCAACTTCAAGTGCATGCTCCCCACCTCCTCTTGCACCTTCAGAACCTCCCCCAGGTGTGCCTTCAGTCGCCTGACCATCTCCTCCGCGGTGACGTCCAGCTGAGCCGAGAAGATCCGGAAGAGCGGCTGTGCGCCTTCCGCTGGTTCCGGCTCCGCTTGTGGGGGAGATATGGGTGATGATGCCGCTAGGGCCGAGAGCGGGACGCCAGGAGCGGAGGCCGCCCGTAAGGGGATAGGAGGGCGGAGCAAGGACGGTAGTGGTGCGTCCCCCGGCTCAGGACTGGGTGGCTGAGTCCCGAACGGCCCAGTAATCGGAGTGAGGAATTGGGAGATGTAGGCGTCCGCCGGTCCTGGACGGGGTAGGTAGCTTGGATCGACGGGCCTCTGTTTCGTTGGCTGTACCATGGTCGGAGATGGCGGAGCGCCTGACGTCCGGGAGGGTCCAGCTGATGAAGTCCGTTGACGAGGGTCATCTGGAGGGTCGACAAAGATGTGCGACGCAGCGCTATCCGAGTCGTCTCTTCTTTCCGCTGCTGCCCGCCCATGACCGACATTCCTGGTCGCTCTGGATTGATTCACATCGTCCGTCTGATCCTCCGCAAAGTCCTTCTCCTTCACCGCCAACAACGGCGCCCTAGAGCTCTGCGACACGGTCGGAAAGTCACGTTCTTCCGCTCCGCTCTCGTCGACTTGTGATAGGCTGTCCTCGATGCCATGTGGACGTTGTCCTTGAGGCGTACGAGGGAGATATGGAGAGGGATATGTGGATGGAGGGATGCCGGTAGGTGGGAAGACGTGCGAGGTGGATGTGGATTGGGGAGAGTCGGTGATGATGGTGGAGTACGCCGGGTCGACCGTCAGGGGGCTAAGCGGATTCCGATGAGTCGGAAGCGGTGAAGCCGAAGCCGCGGAGGACGAGCGACGCCGAGCTGTTGCTGATCGCGTCGGGGAGGGTAAAGCGTAGTAAGCTTGCATGATGAGGGCTTGGATGAGGGATATGGGATGCAAGGCATGAGGGCAGTTGAAGGCAAGTTGAAGGCCGCCGCGGCGGCCCGCGGACAGTCCCGAGGCCCGAGCGGCATAAAGTCACGTGCCCATTTGAAACCCGCATTATCGGCCTTCCCTTCATTATACGCTCGGCAGGTCTTTTGCTGAGCCTACTGGGGTCGCAGCGGTCTGACCATCGCAGACCCTCAGAGACTACTGACCAGATCTCGATCTCTGAGCTCGACCGAAAGGATCAGCGGAATTGCGGCATGAGCTTTGCAACGCCTGGACGCCACCGATCTTCGTCTCACATAGGAGCGACCTTGCTGATGCATGAGCCGGTCTGCGAATCAGTCTACCTTTCATAAGCTCGGCAGATCACAACTTTCTAACGCGTTTCAGTCGACCATCATTTAGCCTGGAGGGCCGCTGGTGCTCCTTTGACACAGGTCCTGTCACGTACCTCCTGACGGGTACCCGTAACCCCACCCTACTTGACTTATGATAGAGTCCTCCCTCACCAAGCTTTACTCTCAACACACACCTAATACACATCAGGCGTGCGACATGTCTTCAGCCGCGAGGGACATAGCGGGTACCAACGCTTCAATGTCTCAAGCCACGAACCCCATCGAGGATCAGAAAATGCCTGTCTTCTCTTCCCACGGCACTCGGAGCCTGAGCGGTCAGTGTACTGCCTTGAAGCTCGCTTTGCGCAAGGGCACCAGCGATGCTGATGTCGCCCTCATCGACTCAATCGACTCACTGCCCTACCGTGTTTTGGGTTACATCGCACTGAGCACTTTCATTGAGAAAAGCGACGTCATCATCCCCAAGGACCAGGCTCGATTCCTACTCAAACACCTGGACGCGCTCAAGACTACTGTCCTTCAGAACGATCATGGCACCGAGAGCGACGAGAGGATGAGCCGGATCTGCGACACCGCCAAGGCCATGATCACCGACAGGTCGCCAGCGGACGCGCCGACGCTGCCGCGCCCTTTCCTCACGACCTCCCCGTCTGCGCGCGACGGACTACGCGCCTCTGTCTCTGTGGCGAAGCGAATGTTGAGCAACCGCACGTTCAATGTCAATCACGGCTTGCGTTCCTTGGTGGGGCTCATGCAGGCGGGTGATGAGCTGGCGTTCACCTATCAGGTCGACATGATGCAGGACAAGTGGTCATGAGATGGCAGAGGTTCGTGATCGATACTGTACGAGTGCAATACGTATGTGATTATGCATGAAATGGAACGAGCTCCTGCCATACGCCCATCGCGCCCTAGTCATCTGTACCGCTGACTTGACTTGAGGGGTCGTGCGAGTCCGCTGCCGCACGCGATACCGCTCCATCGTCATCAGCCATACATTTGTGGCAGCGCAATAACTTGTCTGATCCGCGTCCCACTGGAGGCCTGCGATGGTATTGGCATACACAGTGGCAAATGTGAATAGAACTGATGTCTCCAAGAGAAGGTTACCACGGAGCAAAGTTCTTTTACGCTGGCCCAACCTGCTTCCCAAGACCTCCTTCCCACCCGATGGGAAAGATACAAGCTACAACCTCAATCCTCAACGCCTCCTATCTTTCAGCAGCCGCCCGCCCCTCGTACAATCAATGACCCCACCCCCTTCCTCCCCACCATCCACCAAAACGACATACGACTTCCTCCCCGCCGCCACACGTCCCTTCTTCAGCCCCGCCGGCGCCGGCAGAGGGGAAGGCGAAGCCCTAGCCGCCGAACGGGACTTTGCAGGCGACGTCGGCGGAGGCGGCGGGGAGGAAGGAGGAGGGGGCGACATGGGGTCGGAAGGGAATTTCTGTGGTGTATGAGACCGAGACGAGCGGCCGACGATGGGCATACCGAGTCGCATCTGACTGGGTCCAGCCGCTGTTGCCGATGTCGTGGAAGCCATAGCTGACCGCACCCGGCTGGACGAAGCGAAGAGTGGAGTAGGGGATTGAACAGGCGGGGACGATGTGTTTTGCCGAGAAGAAGGCGTGAGAGGGGACTTCAGGGGTCTGCGGACGGGCCGCTCGAGTGAGTCCGGGGGTGTCGCGGGGCCAGAAGACGGAATGATGGATTTGCGCGTGAGGCGCTTGGGGCGGACGAGGAGCTCGAGCGAGTCTGCAGGTGAAGGCGGAGCGGCGACCTCCTCGTCTGACGATATGATCATGATGGGCTCTTTGTGGCTACCGGCCTTGGTAGGTCGAGTGGCGGGGACGGGCGATTTGGACCTAGACTTGGACTTTGTCATTGTCCGAGCGCGAGAGGGAGGGACGAGGAGATCCGGATCGCGAGATACGGCTTTGGACCGGCCGGAGCCAGCGGCAAGGCGGGGTGGACCTGCTGAGGCTAAGGAAGTGGCTGGCCGGCGCTGCTCTATGACCTCTTCGACCTCCTCGTCGCTGTCGTCAATGGTAATGATCTCACCGGGTGGGATCTTCGGACGAGCCGCAGCGAGTGGTTTAGGGCGAGAGGGGGATTTGGGACGGGGGCGGGCAATAGGGGATCTCCGAAGAGGGATTGGGGATTTGGGACACGCGTGACTGGGGATGGGCGACTTTGTGCGAGAACGAAGAGCGGTCGGGGAGCGAGAGCGCTGAGATTGGGTAGCAGGGATGAAGGTCGACATGAAGCGCGAATCCTCGGCGTCATCATCATCCTCCATCACCTTCCGCGCCGGCTTGGCCTTGGCCGCTGCCGCTGCTGGTATCGCTGCCGGTCCTGGCGACACCGCCTTCTCCTTGCCCTTGCCTTTGCTCTTCTTTGGCGTGGCAGGCTTGACAGTCTTTGTCCTCCCCTTGCCCTTCGCCGCCAATTTCGCCAACTTGGCAGCCTCCTTGTCGTCCCACTGCTCGACCAACACCGGCCACGCCTCCTTGACGAGCCAATCCGCGATCCAGACCCTCGCAGTTCCCTTCTCTGCCACATCCGCCTTCTTCTTCTTCGCTTGGCTAGCCGAGGGCTCGTCACCATCATCATCCACCTCGGCATTGACTAGACCGAGCGCCGCCCGTTCTTCCGGCGAGAGGTCTTTGGGATCTGGTCGATGCCCGTCCATTGCGCCCTGTGTGCGGGCCATGAATGGCTTGATATCGTACTGTATCCTATATTCGGTGAGGTCGGGGCAGGTAGGGTCCGGCCGTGTCCGCTCGATCTGGAGGAGGTAGCTGGGCGTTGGGATAGTATGGGCGGGGGATGGTTCTCGGCTGACCGATTTCGATGGGAGTCGGGAGGACGAAGGCGCCGAGGTCGATCCAAAGTAAGACGTCAGGCGACCTTGAATCGATGGTCCCGCCACAGCAATTCTTGGTCCCGCCTCTGTCGTCCCATCCTGCTCCTTCCGCCTACTCCGAGCGGCGGAAATGAGCTCCGCGCCGAACACCCCCGTCCCCTCGCTTGCGAAACGCTTGACGACCAGCTCCTTTGTGCCCCACTCGAAGAATTTTTCGCATGCGCGCGCCATCCCCTCGAGATCACCTCGACCACCATTCCGCCCCATACCCCGTTTGGCATGGATCGACACGCCTTTGCCGAACCCCGGCCAGCCAGCCGCGGGATTGGAGATAGGGGAGGTGGCGGGTCGGAGGTAGGATTGCAGCGCGGGGAGGTTGAAGAGCTCGGCAGAAGTGAGGTTGGCGACCTTATCGGCTCGGCTGGGGTACTTTCGGCCAACGAACCCGGTAGAGTTGGTACGGAGCTCAGCCATAATCCGTTCTTTCAGCGCAGGGACGGCGGCACTGAAGGCGGCGGGACTGGACAGGAAGAGTGAGAGATCGGCCGACATGCCGGCGTTGGCGAGAGCAAAGGCGATGGTCGGTCCTGATGGTCAGCTCTTTGGCCATCAGTCTGAGACGCAGAACTCACCAAAAGCGTCTAATCCCTGCGGAACGTAGTCTCCTCCCGCTAGCATCGCCACGAAGATCATGGCGATCCGGCAGTCTTCCTCCGATTGGAGTGCACTACCCTGCTTGTCTCCCCATGCCGAAGCGATGTCGCTCGATCGGTAGATCTCGTAAGTCTTCATGTCGCCTTTGCTTGTTGCTGTGTGCGACGTCCCAGACAGGTTTGCCGAATTGCTGCTCGGTCAGCTTCCATACCGTACCTCCGATGACGGTAGCTCACTTGCGAAGAAGACATTTGCCGCCGAATAGCAGAGCATCGACGTCGTCCGATAAGATAGCGTCGATCTTGCCTTGGCGGTTCATGACCGCAAGCTCCGCTTCGGCCTCCCCCGGCGCCTGGCAAGATCAGCTATGGTCTCGCCATATCCGGGTAACAGCTTACGTTCCACCACTCCAGCCCACAGTTGTCCAATATCTGCTTGAATTGCAAGCTGTGACCGTCGCTCGTGCCGAATGCCCCCGAGACCGACTTGCCCCGCTTCGAACCTGGCTTGTCCGGTCCATCGAAGACAAACACCGGGAGGACGGGCTGCTGCAGGAGTGTGCAGATCTTGAACCAGATCGTACGGACGAAGGGGTTCTCTCCTCCTTGTGGGACACATTGGGCGTGGAAGATCCAAAGACTGCGGGTCAGCTTGGAGCGAGCATCTCGCTCGGAAGTGCCAAACACCGATTGAGTCAACTCACGAAGCGTCAACTCCGATAGTGAGAGCTCGAAGACCATTTCGATTGGCAAAGAAGGCAGTTTTACATAGTGCAGATAAGGACGAGCGGGTCGCAGCAGGACGTAGTACCTGAATAGTTAGCGACTCCACACTCAACTTGGTAGGGGCCCATCTCACCTCCCATAATCCGGGAACACCCATCGCAAGAAGGCCAAGAGGTTTCGACTATCAAGAAAAGCAAGAAATCATGAAGACCAAGGGTCACCCAGCTCAGACTGAGATACTGCGATGCGAGCGCTACGTGAGTATGACAAGAAGGTGGACAGACGGAGAGATGATAGCCCAAGTTGACTGTTGTTTTGGCTGTGAGTGGAGGCAGTCAAGGTCTGCCGTAATGACGCACGGATCTCGTTTTGCTACCAGCCAGAAATTTGACCGGGCCTTGCCTACATCCTTGCACTCCACTCTTACATCTACCCTACCATATACAGCTAGTCCGTAATGTCGAACACCGCACCTCGTAGCAAGAAGCGCAAGTCCACAGCCCAGGATATCCCCGTTCAAATAGCCCTGGACGAATCGGGAACATCTGCCGGTCCAGCCTTTGGTACGTCGCCCCCACTTGTGGTTGCTTGGCTGATGGGACTCAGTCAACTTCCCCTCTGTCCGACCAGCAAAGAAGACTGCGTTTACACTGTTCTCGCGAGAGGTAGCATCCAGCTCGGACTTGACAAAGCAGCGGACGATCATCGCTGGAGAGACGGGAGATGTTGAATACTATTCTACCAACCGGGATTATCAGAAAGGCGGCGAGGGTTCGGACTGCCAGTAAGCTCTCCCTTGGCTGTCGCGCTCGACCTGGCTGATAGTCAGGTATCTTCCAGCTCTGTATGACCCATCTACCAATACCCTCACCATCCACCCCTCGACGCCTTTATACCTCATGACCCACCGAGTCAAGCGCCTGATCGTGGCCCAGTCGCTCGCGGATGCGGATGTCGGCTCGGCGTACAAGCAGATGAGGAACGATCTGGGAGAGGCATTCGGGACGAGAAAGGCCAAGACGCGGATCAGGGCAGAGGAGCGGAATAGGGTCGATGTGGGCGCAATGGAGGGTGCGAAGGGCCATTTGATGGCGAGCATTGAGGGCAAGGCGCCGGCCACCGGTGAGTTTTTCCAGTTTCTATACAACAGCTGGGAAGAGAGCTGACCCGAGCAGAGACCCCTGTCGCGTCCGAGACCATTCCTGTACCAAATCTGGCCACGGACAACCCGCTGAACGTGTACTCTCGACAAGCTCTTATACCGGACGACGAGTACTCTGCTATCTCCGTCAGCGCGATCATTCAGGCACCCGACGACCGGTCCAGATCTCAGCTCTTACCTTGGTCAAGAGGGAGATGGCTCGAGGCGAAGATGAAGTCAATTATAGCTGGACCGAAGGACGAGCGCAAGCCAAAACTGTGAGCATACTCCGAGCTTCCGCCTGTATTTCACAATGATCCCCAGCTGAACCTATAGGAAATACGTCTACTACGTCTCTAGCCTCCACAAGTTCCTCTCCCTGGGTGGCGCACTCGCCAAGCTCAGTCCCGCCGAAATCCAAGAGAAATGCGCCGGCATGCCCGTCCAGGTCCTCTCTGGGCTGCTGTCCCGCTTCGCTGAGCCCAACGGGAAACACTACATCATCTCGGACAAGTCGCGCGCCAAAATCCTCGCCTGGATATGTTGCATCTGTCTTGTATTGGACGGGTGTACAGTGGAGTGCGGAAAGATTGCCAAGGATTTGAGTATGCCTGAAAATAAGTGAGCTGGGCCGTGTCATAGCGAGAGTGGAGCTGACGAGCAGGGTAAACACTATATTCAAGTCTTTGGGATGCGCGGTGGATGTGTTGTCGGTGGCGGAGAGGGAGAAGAGGGGGATGTCATTACAGGAGGCGCAGGCGAATATGCGGGCGGTTTTGAAGGCGCCGGTCAAGTACCCGAAGATTGGACGGAGGGGACCTGTGAAGCGATAGTTTGGCGAGGGGTCAGGCGGGGCTTATGTACTGCATTCTTCTCGCTGGGAGCTGGCTAAGGAGGCAACAGCACGGGCAGCTAACACTTATCACTCATGAACAGTCATCACATCCTCCGAAACCGCTCTCTCCTCTTGATCTCGTCCGCCTTTCAGCACGCCCCAACCATGATCCCCGGACTCTTCTCGCCCTCTTCCATCACCCCCTCCAATTTCCCTCCCTCACGCTGCAACCTCACCCTCCACCGCTTCGCCCCATCCGGCGTCCGCATGTTCACCGCCCCGCCTCGCCTGAGATGCGCCGCAATCGCCGGGTTGACGAGCATCATGCGGTCGAACGTGGCCTTGCGGGTCGGCGTGAGGGGTGTCGGAGCCTGCTTGGCCTCGTCCCGAGCCGGGAGGACGCGTGAAACAGGAGGACTGGGGGTGCGGAAGCCGGTGATGGACCGAGGAGAGAGTGGGGCGCGGCGGTGTGGGAATGAGGTGGCTGTAGGGGTTGTTTGGGGGTGGAGCAGGAAACCATAGGAAGGGGGGGCGGCGAGAGATTGGGTGCGGCGGTGGCCTGGACGAGTGGCCGGTTTGGTTCGGACAGGAGGAGGAGGGGCGAGCGCCTTGGTGAGCGCCAGGCGGGACAGGTCGGCAACGATGGGTGTGGTATCAGCGGAAGCTAGCGCGAGAGAGCCGATCTTGCGCTCCGAGGACTGCGCAGATCAGCTTGTGCGTACGATGACGGAATGTAGGGGAAGGCGGCGTACCTGACTGGGAGATCTGGTATGGTCCCTGGAAATATCAGAGCCGCTTGTACACCCGTCCTCGCTGGAAATGCTGGATCGGGATCGGGAGCTGGAAGTTGAGCTGGAGAACGAAAGCCTAGAGGAGTAGTAGGGCGAGTACCGGATGGGCTTGTCGGTGGTGATGAGGGATTTGATGGACATCGCACCGGGAGGGGAGTAGAGGGGCGCGGAACGCGCCCGGGGGCGGGCGGTGGAGAGCGAAAGGGAGCGAGGGCGGGGCATCTTGAGCTGCAGGAGTAAAGAAGGTCGAGGGAACCTGAGACTGGACGGAGGAAGAGATACTGGGGCAGAGACAGCGCATGTAGCCTAGGCTATATACCTCCCCCACATCCAAGCTGACAAAAGCCTCTACTGTGTCAACAAGGACTATGATCTGCATCATCTCAAACGAGTGTACCGTGTCCGAGGGGGTCGATCCGCGAGATGCAGCTCATTGTCCCGATTAGGCCAATACATCCTTGTTCTGATGTTCTGTAGGCTGCTGCTGCTGTACAGTCTGCAGTACCTCCACACCGCCCCCGTGCTTCGTGTTACAGCAGGTGGCTTGGAGGCTTATTGATCTGCGCGGCGCGAGAGCAGAGCATTGTACATTTGCGAAGAGGACAAGGCGTGTTAATCTCCGAAGAGCATGGGCTAGTTGTTCTTGCTACATCTTTTGATTTGGGCTAGTACAAAAGCATCAATACTGAGGTATGCGTAGTCGGAAGGACGCCTTTTGTCTTCCTCGAGCGAGCAGAACCGACGGCATCGAGCAATCGACGTGGGTCACCGTAACGTCTCGGTACTTCGTGGTAGTTAAAGTCAAACACCAGTCTTCCTCTTCCGTTTGGAGATAGTGTCTACCAATGCCAGAGCCATATTTACCGCTCTGCTCATCCACGTACCACACATGCAAGGCCTCCAGTGTCCACTGACATTTGAGGCGAACAAGGCAGTTTCAACCGCAACTCTGAAACGCATGCCGTAATCGACATATCTCGCCGTCTCAGTGATTCACAGCGAATAAAGTGTCGGGGTTATGCGGCGTTAGCCGCTAACGTATGGAGGGGAATTTCGGGAGCTGATTGGGGGGTGAAGTTCCAACGGAACATGTCAAGGAATGTGACGTACTTGGCATGGACGCGACCGGTCCGAGCTTGAAGTGCGCGATATCTCGTTCAGCTCTATACGAAACGTACACGCCGGATATACTGCTGGTCAGATCGCTCCATCAATACCTCCTGCGATAGGCGGGAAAAGAATCGAGGGAAGTGGACTTGGACTCGTGGAGATATGGAAGAAATAGTGATTCCAGGTAGGTCCTTCCCTCCGTCCTGTCATCTTCATCCCCACACGGACCTTGACCAGGTGGATCTCGTCTGGTCTATCGAACCTGAGGAGCAATCCACTCTTGCCGCGTCTGTATCTTATCGAGCTGGCTGAAGCGCTCACAGCATCACTTCCTTTCATGCCTCCTTTCCGCTCTCTTTCCTGTTGCTGACCTGCAGACTTTGATGACGACGACGGGAACGACTTTCAGCTCCCCAATTTCCCCCGCAATGGATTCGGCAACGGCTCCAGTACCTCGCTGAACGAGTACGAAGGTGCAAACCACCGTCATCGCCCCTCAGCAGACACCATCCCCCGGTTCGGCGGCCCCAGCACCACTCCCAATCGCCCCACTGCTCACCGGGCACCCGCATCGCATACCGTCGGCGTTCCCACTCAGAGCTACGGACAGGATGTGCCTGCTCCAAGCAGCCGAGGAAGAGTCGGGCAGTTCTCAAACGGCTCGCAATCCTCCATCGTCACTGCCGGTACCTCTATCGGCTCTACCCCTGGCTTCCTCGCGAGCCGAAAGGGATCTCTAGCGAGCATCAAGAATGCCTTCAACCGCAGTGGCCCCTCGGCGGTCCCTCCTGTCCCTACACTCGACGCCAATGCGTACCCAACCCTACGCAACCCGTTCTCGCGGTTCGAGGGGTCGGCTTCGCCCGCTGGTGGCATGCACGGGCAGTCTCCTCGAGCTGGCCGAGGCGGATCATCGGGTTCCCCGGGACCTAGCCACGCGTATGGGCGAAATCAGTCTATTGCGACCAATCACTCGTCGCATCGTTCACAAGGTGGTCGGTCATTCACCTCGCAGGGCTCGAGCAATTTCAGGGCGGAGGATCACCCCATGCCGAGTTTACCGCCTATCCCGACGAGGTCGACCCCGTCCCGGCTAGGAAAGGCGGGAAGTGGATCAGGGAGCTCATTACACTTTGGGGGAGGATTCAGGCGGCATGGGAGTATCGGCGGGGATGAGCCCGTAGATGGAAAGACGCCGGGAGAGGAGGCGTTACGGGTGGTGTTCAAGGACTTCAAGGAGGTTGCGGATGCTAAGATTGGAAGGATATGCGGGCGTCCTCTGGTGAGCTATGACATACGTCTATAAGCGGCGCGACAAGAAAGCTGATAGTAGAATACCCAACCCTCACTTCCCGCCTACCTAGAATCCTCGTCAGATACCCAACTCGACACGCTCATCGGCTCCCTAGCCCACTGTTCCCGACGGCATCCACGGCGGGTCGTAGACATCCTTCATGCCTGGTGTCGGTCGCACTGCGAAGGGATCGGAGCGTCTGAGGTCAGGGCCCAGATTGATCGGTCGCACGGCCTGCAGATGCGGGTAGAGGACGCCGCGGCTATTCTGGGTGGGCGGAAATCGGCAGCTGCCAAGTATATCTTGAACCGGGCGTTGATTGAGCTGGTCAGGATCACGCCGAAGGAGATTATGGGCGAGGAGCTGGGCATGACGCTGGAGGGAAATGCTTTTGCGGCGTACAGGAACGATAAGGGGGATGAGTTGTCGCCGCATAAGAAGGCGGTGGCGGTGCTGCAGGTGGAGCTGTTGGGGGAGCTGTCCAAGACAAGGTGAGCTGGCAGAAGCGGAAGCTCGTCGCAGCTGACTTGCAGATTCCTCACCATCTCGGACCGCTTCATCCGCGAGATGAGCAAGTACGCCGCTCTCCCTTCCACGAAAGATACCGATATACGGATGGAGCACCTTTTGCGGGGCATGCGACACCTCAAAATCCGAGTCTATCCGGAGGACGAGCTGGAGATGTCATCCGAATTCATCCAGGCTCTCGCGTCCCTCTACGCCAGCCCGCACGTCACCAGCCAAGGGCTCAAGAACGCCTATGCCGATACACTCGTCCACCTGCTCCACCCCGTCATCGAGACGGCTACGGCGGAGGTCAATCACCCGATGTGGTCCAAGGCGATCGCCCTCATCCTTCAGAAGGCACTGGCGGCGGCGTCAAAACCCAAGTACTGGGCGGCTAGCTTCCCGCTGGTCGTGGTGGCGCTAGGGGTGTCGCCTAGGGATGTCTTTATGCAGCAATGGCAGGGATGTATGGACGCTATCTTGCCAAAACTCAGAGTGAGTCAAATGCGCTTCATGAACTGGGCGATAGCTGAGTTTCAGGACCGTTCTCAGCGGGTCATCGCACTCAACTCGTTCAATCGTCTACTCTGGATCTACCTGAACCGGTGCTCCGAGTCCGTCACTTCCACCCGCAAACGTCTCGACCAACTCACCAAAGTCTTCTTTTCCACAAACGGCGCCCTCTTTCCCTCCGACATACCTCCCGACGTATTCACCTGGATGCTCCACTACATCATCACCCGCCAACTCGACTATGGCGAGGAGTTCCTCAAGGACTTTCTCCGCGGGATGGACGGGTCGGTGTCGGATCCTGCACTCGCTACTCGCGCGGCGTGCCTCATGCGCGCCATCTCGGCGACATTGCTCGCAAGTGAGGAGGAACGGCATGCTGCCTGGCCCGTCTCTGCCGACTTTTCCAAGCTGCCAGAAGAGGGTCCGGCTATGTCGGGGGATACACTCCCAGAGGAGGTGGCGAATAAAGATGAGATACCAGAGTTGTTGGCGAGGTGCGGGCCGGCGGTAGCGTCATTGCTGTTCAACTGCGATCGGGCGGCGGGGACGATACTGCTGTCGAGCGATGCAGTGACGGTAACCGGGACGGCCTCGAGTAGCGCCATCGACAATGCCGAGGTCGTCACTCGGAAGCACGGCGATGTTCATGCGTCGTACGCAACTCGGCATGAACCGGTCATGCGTCTAATCACTGCCGTCCTGGAGAGCATCCCCCGCACTCTCGCTCCGGACGCCGGTTTTCCGCCTATCGCCAACGCCCTTTGCCGGGGAACCTTCTCGGCCGATCCTCGCGTCTGCGAGACTGCCGCGGCGGCCATGAAGCGGGTCGCCTCTGATCCTACACGATGCCTCTTCCTCGTCAATACGTACCGGGAGTTCATCTTTGAAACTCGCCATATCTTCCGGGATACCTTCATTGGCTCCCGCTTGCTGGAGTCGCAATTTGAGCGGGTCGTCGGGATCTGGCTGGATCTACTCCAGCAGCTTGTCCAGCATCAGCGGTATGCCGGAGCACAGCCGGACGAGGGAACGCCTAGACCACCCACGATCGGGCCGACCGCGATGGCCAAGATCGAGGGGTGCGGGCTGTTCCTCCTCTGCTCAACGGCGCTTCCGCTTCGGAAGCTCGCGGGCCATGTCTTGGCAGCCGCTCGGGATCTCGAGGGTACTCAGCGTCGTCCCTCGGCGGCATTCCGTTACTCCCGCCTCATACCTGACCAGGCGGCGCTCTCGCGGGTCATCCAGATCTACGAGATCGTCCCGGACGAGGCGGAGCTAGCGAACATGCGGCGCCTTCCATGGCTCTCTGGAGTCGATAGGCAGCGGTTTGACGTGGTGGCCAAAGAGAAGGGCAAAATCCTGCAGCGTCTCGCCGAGAGCGAGGTAGGCAAGGATACGACACTATGGCTGTCCATCCTGCCCTACTTTGTCAGCCGAGTGGTCGAGCAGCTGCCGGGTCCGGTGAACGAGCTGCGATCTGTCCTGATCCCGATCGCTATGCGGCTGCAGGTGCACGTCGCGGCGGTGGCGAATGTGGGCTCGGCCCGGGCGGCGGCTACAACCAAGGGCGGCGGGGGAGGTACGACGCATCGGTCCTCCTCGGACGTCGCTATCCTCGCGGATCATTGGCGGACCTACCTCTCCGTCCTATGCGTCACCATGCCCTCGCCCGCCTCCCAGCCCGCTACTCCCTCTATACCACGCACCAAGGACGTCATCATCCTCACCCCGGATACGATCAGTACGCCCGTCCTGTTCCATTACCTCACCTCCCTCCTCGCATGGGAAGACTCGCGGTATCGCGATGCCGCAGTGTACGCTATGGGTTGTACCGGTCAATCACACCTCCGAGCCTTGTCCGAGATCCTCCTAGGCGTCGTCCGTCGACTGGCAGATACCAAAAAGACGGCCAGTCAAAACTCACTCTGGACGGCCGTAGCGCACGTCTTTCGGCTCATCTCCCCCCTCATCCTCGACGTCAAATCCAACTCGCATCTCGCCAATCTATCATCCATGGTCTCGTTCGTCCGCGTCACGTACAATATGCTGGCGGATCAAGCTGTCCGTGAGGACTATGAGCTCCAGTCTCTACGGCGCTCGTTTTGTATCGTCGTCGAAAATCTTACGGCGGCGCTAGGCAAGCTGGACGCGAGTGATCGGTTCTTTGGGGAAGAGCTGAGAGGGGCGATCTTCAAGCTGTGCTATGAGTGGTGTCATGTAGGGAGGAGACCGGATGTGGCCAAGGCGAGGGAATCGCATACGCTCCAGGTGGCGTCGGATTCGTACAAGGGGGAGAGGGATAGGGCGCAGTATTTGGACGATCTGCAGGCCAAGACAAAATTGTTGTCGGCGGCTGCGGCGGAGGCTATGGCGGGCTTATGTGTGAGTTAGAAGTCAGGATGTCGACCTCGAGCTGACGCGTCCAGCAAGGAACGCTAGTCACCTCGACGGAGTCAACGCCGGCTGTTCAGGCGTCAAGCCATATTGTCGACCCTCTGATTGTGCTGCGGTGGATCAGGGGCATGTTTACCTCCACCGCGAGTCATCACCACGAGACTGCCCGGTGAGCTGAAAGTCACATTACAGCTCGGGACTGAGCTGACAAGGCAGGAAAGCGCTACACTCCCTCATTAAGCACAACTGGAACTGCTCCCGTCTGCTCGACGAGGTCCTCCACCAGTCATTTGGGGAGGGCGAACAATTCAGCCTCGAATCTTCCTTCTTTGGCGTCGTCGCCGAGATCCTTGTCGAGCAGACCCTCGACATCCCCGTCGAACAGCTTTGCTGTCTCGCCCTCTCCAAGCTCGGTCATCCCGTCGCTGACGTCCGTCTCCGGGCGTTCCAGCTCGTGGGCTTCTTGCTCCCTGACGCCGAGATGCGGGTCGGTATAGCCCCTATGCTGCCTTCTATCGGGAGCACCTCACCCAGCGTCTACCGAGCGGCGCAGAAAGAGGTGTCGCATGTCCTAGCGGGAATCTACGCGGACCACGCCCTCGCCTTCCTCGCTGAGAGCGTGGGCCGACTGAGCCAGCTCGAAGCTCCTCGGCGGACCGCTACGCTCAGCGTCATCCCCGCTTGGATGCAGTACGTCGAGCTCTCCCTCGATCCTGGCGCCCTCCCTCCCGATCAGGCGGACCTCGAGCAGCACGCCCTCGCAAACATCATGTACCTCGCCATCCGGTTCCTGAACGACCACCTTACCGAGGTATGCGACGTCCTTGCCGCATTCGCCTCGGCGGAAGATACGGCCAATACCACCGCGCTCGTCAAGTACCTGTTCGAGCAGGGTGCCCGGCGCCGCAGCGCCGAGTTTGTGCTATACGGCCAGCGGGTCCTAGCGTGCCTGTCACTCGGATCGGCAGGCGAGGAGATATTCAACGATATCTGCGACTTTGTCCAGCCGGATTATATGGCCCTCGCGTCGGATCCGGATGTCGCTCCGAGCCCGCAGAGCTCGCTGGCGGATCTTGACGCGATCGTCTCGGTCCCAGCTGGGAAGGGACAGAGCTTCTCTACCGGGCAGCTCGCCCTTCTTTTCGCTGGCGAGCTCCTCCCCCATCGGCTCAATGACACGGGGCTCTCGGTCCACCTTCCCACTCTGCTGCACGTCGCAGTAGCGCACTGCGACTCGCCGGTCGCTATGATCCGAGATCAGAGCCAAGGGATCCTCTTCCAGATCCTCCGGGTCTGGATATGCGACCTCTCCGGCGTGCCCTCCAACAACGCTGCGGTGTGGGCGATGGCCGAGCACAAGCTCACTGCTCTTTCAGCGAGCCGGTCGACGGCATTCTGGAAGGCCGACGATGTAGGGGGAGCGGACACGGCCTTCTTCGCTCCTCCACTCATGACGACTATGATCATGAAGATCCTTGGGGTTCTCTTACCACTCCAACCGCGGATCCGTCAGACGTGGGGCGAGCTCGCCCTGACATGGGCGACATCCTGCCCCATTCGACACCTCGCGTGCCGGTCTTTCCAGGTCTTCCGGACACTCTCGCCCCGCGTCAATGCGCGGATAATTTCGGACATCCTCGCTCGGCTGTCTAGCACCATCGGGACCGCCTCGCCCGAGATCCAGGCGTTCAATCTGGAGGTCTTGCGGACTTTCGGAGCCATCGCGCAGAACCTAGGCGGGGCGGATACGGCGCTCTACCCCCAGTTGTTCTGGTGTGCTATGGCATGCCTGACGACGCCGTACGAGGAGGAATGGGTCGAAGTGACCGAGCTGCTCTCGCATATCCTCGACAAGACGAATCTGTCGGATCCGGCGGTGATCAAGAACCTACTATCGTTCCAGCCGCCGGACTGGGTCGGTCCGCCCCCTCGTCTCCAGGCGTTACTGCTCGTCGGTCTCCGATCGACCAAGACGGTCTTTATGGCGTTTGACCTCATCCGGCGCCTGACCAGCGTGGTCGGCTCGGAACTCATCGACGCGCCGGCCGATCGGCTTATCCATGGCTTTGTGGCGGCCTTGCCGTGGATGCTGCACTCTACGGATCTGGGCGAGCCAAATGAAGATCTAGGAATGATGGCTGCGGACTTGGCGGCCATCGCGGATGCCCAGTCCCTCCCTTCCTTTTCTCGCCTCCTCACGTCGTTCGCGCGCGCCAAGTTCCGGTCAAAAGACGATTTCATCCGCCAGGCCTGCTCTCTCCTTCGGGACTACATGTCCAGCCACGCCCTCCAGATCATCACCCTCCTCTCCGGCTTCATCCTCAACACTACCGACTGGATGCGGGACAAATCGCTCCAGATCCTCCAACTCGTCCTTCTGTCCCCCGAATCCCGCGCCCCGCTCGTCCAGCACGGAACGGAACTGCTGCAGCCACTCCTCCGCCTTGTCTCCACTCCGCACGCAGCGACCGCGCTCGAGATCCTCGATATGCCCATCGTGGCCGCCGCGCAGGCCGAGGCGCTGACGGTGTCCATGATGGCGTCCGGCGAGATCTTTGGGTCTATCTCGCCCTCGGGATGGAGCGTCGCGAGAGGCAAGGAAATGTCGGCGTTGACAAGGGAGAATGTAAAGGCGGTGTTTGGGACGTGTGGGGAGCAGACGAGGGCGGCTTCTGCGCACTTTTCGGTGGTGCAGTTCAAGGATGTACGGTTTGGGAAGGGAAACGAAAGTCAGGGGAGCTTGAACTTTGATTTACCGGCCTTTTCGCCGGTTTTGGGGCAGGCGTCTGGGCCTGGCTCTGGGTCGGGATCGGCCTCGGGGCCAGGAGGGGTAGATGTAGGGATGGGGAGAGCGCAGGGACGAGAAGGAGAAGGAGACGGAGGAGCAGAGACGGGGACGGGGACGGGGATGTCGGGTGATGATGCCTCGATGGGGGACCTGGTCAATGCTCTGCACTCGCTTGGGCAGTTCTTTGGGGAAGATCTGGTCGAGGGGGAAGAAGAGAGTCCGAGGGGCGGGACAAGGAATGCGAGACATGCCGTCAAGCCTTCCGACACATTCTCGGAGGATAGAGTACGGGCAATCATGGCTGTGAGTTTTTTCTTCCTGAAGTATGATCGGGAGAAAGCCCAGCTTATCAATTAGCGCGGGAGGAACCCATCCATCTCTTCACCGGTATACGAGACCCAGCCCTTTATCAATCGGACAAGACACCGCGCCAACCCTTCTGACGCATTCACAGAGTCGAGCCTCGCGTCCTCGACTGACGGAATGGAGGCCACTACCCGCGTACATATCCCCCGGTCGAATGGGCATAGCAATATCGGCCCGAACGGCCGCGCATACGCCAATGGCGGACACGGCCAACGATACGGATATGGATATGGTTTTGCCCAGTCGGGATCTGAATCTAAACACTCGGCCAACCCGTCGTTTTCGTCGGCTTCGGCCTCGTCGGATCTGGCTGATCCAGAGCATGATCATGATCACGATCAGACGGAGAATGTTTTTGGGCTGGATGAGGGGATGATGAGTGCGAGTATGACGTCTTTGGCGATGAGCGGGTCTGGGACCGCAGCGGGAGCTGGTGCCGGAGCTGGGGGTGCACCCGGGGGTAGAAATGGGAATGGGACCGGGGGCGGAGCCGATGGCGAGTGGGTGAGACAGGAGAAGGAGGATAGTGGGGAGGAAGAAGACGAGGGGTATGCGGGGTTAAGCGAGCAGAGTACGCCAGTACTGATGCGCTCGGCGGGGTGGTATGCTGCTCAGAGGGAAGAGGCGGGAACGCCTAGTCCGAGTGATCGTAGGAATGTGGGCATGTAACGCAGTAGGTAGGAGCAGGAGCGACAAGGTGATCTGTGTGTATATCTAGACGAGCCATCATGTTGTATACAAACGAAATCGAAGGAAGGTATATAGTCAACATGCATCTGCGCAACTACATATATCTATGAGACCCTCCAACCCAAAACCAGATCCGCCTAACTCGCCCCCAGTCTGCTCGCCGCCGCCCGCCTACACCTTCGTCCTCTTCTTATAGTACGCCCGCCTCGGCACGCCTCCATCCCCCTCATCTTCCGAATCCGCATCGACCTCTTTTGTCTTTTTCGCCTTGACCCCGCCGACGCTGATGTTGACCTTAGGAGGTACGGGGAACCCGAACGCTTTACCGACCTTGGCGAGGTCGAGCTTGTTGACGTCGAATATCTTTTTGGCAGAGTATGAGGCGTAGGACTGGAGGTAGGATCGATACCCCTCTTTGGCTGTTGTATTGAGGTAGTGGTTTTTCGAAAGTAGGGATTCGAGCTGTGAGGTCAGCCTACGACTCGTTTCGCGGGGTGAGTGGAGAAGAGCGAAACTGACCTGTTTCTGAACATCCGCGACTTTGGTCTCTGGGAACTTGTACTCATTAAGCGGCACCTTTGCGATCTGCAAGAACCGCAAGAATCCCAACTCGGAAGGCAAAAGGAAAAGCAGACTTTTCCCTTCCTTGCCGGCACGCGCTGTCCGCCCGACCCGGTGGATATAGTCGCGCGGGTCGTCTGGGGGATCAAACTGGATAATCCAGTCGACTCTGGGGATATCGAGGCCGCGCGCGGCGACGTCTGTGCAGAGGAGAATACCGGATGGGGCGTTGACGAATTCAAAAAAGGTGTTTGTTCGTTTTTGTTGTTTTTGCTTGCCCTGCATAATCAGCTGGGCCCTATTCCCCGTACAAAGAAGCATCAGCTTACGTGGAGGTCCAGAACCGGTACGTCGATATAATTGAGCAACTCCGCATGGTACTTGACCGAATTACAGCTCGAAAAGAACACAATAACCTTCTTTTTGAGGTTGCGCTTCAAAAAGCTAAACAGCAGCAAGAAGCGCTTGTCGCTGTCGCAGACGACATAGCCCTGCTCTAGCATATCGACGGTGGATGCCGCTTTGCGCTCGTCGACGTTGATGTAGAGGGGACCGGGACGGAGGGACATGCGCGCGAGGTCGGTGACTTTGGTGGTTTGGGTGGCGGAGAAGAGCATAGATTGACGGTTTTCTGAATGATTCAGTTGGAGTCCAAACCTTCACGCCAGTAGACAAAGAGGAACTGAACTGACCATCAGGGAGCAGCTTGATGATCGCCTTCATCTCGTCTTCAAACCCAATCTCCAGAATCCGGTCCGCCTCGTCAATGACCAGTGCCTTCAGGTTCTTGAAGACAAAGCCTTTTGTGTTCTGCGAGTGTAAGCTGAAGTATCATGGCTGACGAGCTCAGTCGGAGCCAGCAGCTTACCTGGAGATGATCCAGCAGTCTCCCTGGAGTCGCCACAATCAGGTTCACACCCTTGACCAGCTTATCCGCCTCCGCCTTCCTATTTGCGCCTCCCATCAGGATCCCAAATGTCTGCGAGTGGCCCTGCATGAGCTCCTTGGCAACGCCAAAAATCTGCAGTGCAAGCTCTCGTGTAGGCGAGATGATGATGACTCCGGTGCCTACGCTATCAGCTGCGCTCTCGGGTCGAAAGTCGGGTAGCTCACCGTTGACAGGCTTGAACCGTAATGTGCTCAACAGCTCCACACTGGGCACCAAAAAAGCAATAGTTTTCCCGCTCCCTGTCCTCGCAGCCCCCAGTACGTCCTTCCCAGCCAGTAAAGGCGGGATAGTCCTCGCCTGGACTTCCGTCATCGTATCGAACCCCATCCGCTCGATCGCCGAGGTCGTCTGAGGTGTAAGGGAGAGGGTCGAGAACGGGACGCGCTCATATGGTATCGAGTCGTCCGCTGGAGCCTGAGCTGGCGCAGACGCGGAAGGAAGGGGAGGGAGTGGTGCATCGTCCAGCTTGACCTTGGAGGATGAGGCGGTGGGCGTGGATTCGGCCTGCTTCTTTGCCGCTGGAGCTGCGTCTCCGGCTGTGGAAGCTGCGTGGGAGGGGCGTTTCCTCTTCTTGGCCGTTTTGAGGCTAGGGTCTTGAGGTGGAGCTACTGAGGCCATTGTGTGTGAGTGTATAAGCTGGGGTGAGGGAGTATAGCGGGGAGGAGTATAACTTGTGCTGGGTGGTGAAGGTCTTCTCAGTGGTGGTTCAACTTTTTCTGGGATAAATACAGTAAACACCTCCTAAGGAAAACAAACCCGAGCGGCACGTGATCTGATCGAGGTATGGGATGTCTGCTTCCGTAATCAGCCCCCTCCAGCCAAATTCTTTATCGCAGAATTTCGCTGCGCTCCCCTCCTCCATCTATCCATCTCTCTCCTCTTGTTCTTTCGTCAGTTGTATCCGTGGCTCAGTAGCATAGCTCGACTCCGCAGAGCAGTAGTAGTGAAGTTGGTGAGTCCCAATTTCTTCCCGCCCCAAATCCCCCTTCACCGACTGGATGACCTCGTGTTTCAATTCAAACTAGAGTCTGTGATGGCCAAGCGCCGAAGACACATAGATGCACAGCTCTGATCACTACTTCCAGCTAGAGCTCCGCTATAGAGCATGGGCTGACTATTCCAGGTATACTTGGGTCTTAGTCCGCTCGGAAATTTTTGAGCTTTGACAGACGGATGTAAGTATCTAAACCCAGTCTTCCCCTACCTCTTCCCTCCCCCTTCAATGATGCCCCAATTTGGGAATTACCGCCTGAGTCAGCCTGCTTGTCTGGCCTCACGGCTGGGCAAGTAGGTCAACATGCAGACGATACATGGCTGTATAAAACTTCTGATTCTTCTCTCCCCCTCTTGTCACCGAAGCAAATTTTCAAACTTGCGCTGACTCGAGCAGATACCTGAGCTCTGCACCCATCTGGTCAGTCATACCTGTAGACAGCTTTTGTAAGTCTGCTTTCCCCATGCAACAGCTTTGTCCCTCCCATTCCCAAATCCAATATGTGATGATCCAACACGACGGTCTTCTTACCAAAACACTGGTGGTGAAAACGCCCGACCCATACCGGGCAACCAATCTGACTCTACCCACGACACTCCGAACTCCGTACCGCTTGGGCAGTAGCTGACCTCAAAGAGCACGATGGCACCCAAGCAGCCCGTCGCCGGCCCGTCCAAGCCACGAGCTTCGGTCAATGCTCCCGCCCAATCCCCTCCCCCACCTTCGGCACTCTCCGCCTTCTCCCCTTCCGGCTCCCTCTTTGCCCTCGCCCACCCCGCTCTTGGCTCCGCCGACAAGCTCACCATCTGGGACGTCGAGGAGGACAAGGTGGTCACCGAGTGGGAGATTGAGGGCGCTAGCAAGGCGTCTTCGGTCTGCTGGGTCAGCACCTCGTCCGCGGGGTCACACGGCAAAAAGAAGAGAAAGAAGAATGATGGCGAGGTCGAGGATGTGGTAGTCGTTACGACTACCAAGGGGCAGTTGTTCTCCTTCTCCCCTTCTCGCGGTGTTCAGCGCAGGCTGGACCTCCCTTCTCCCGCTCTCGCCTCGGCTGCAAGCGAGCAAGGTCTCGTCCTTGTCTCCACTACGTCCCTCCACCTCATCTCTTCGGACCTCTCCTCCCTCACCGCTTCCATCCCTCTTCTACCCAACACCGCCTCGCCTACTGCCCTCGCCGTCCTTTCCTCGTCCACTGCCGAGTCGATACACCTCGTCATCGCATCCTCCTCCGCGACCGTCCTCCACGTCGACCTGGCAACACACAAGATTACTGAGTCGTCCTCGTCCATTCCGGTATCCACCTCATCTGTCACCTCCCTTATCCCCCTTCCAACCTCTTCGCAGGGCACCTCCTTCCTCGTCATCTCGGACGACGACCGGACAGTCTCCCAATACACCATCCCCTCCGGCAACAAGGCACGCCTGTCGTACCGGTACGCCTCGCCCACCCTCTCGCCCGCGCACTCAGCATCACTACACGCATCCTACCTGTCCATCCTGCACAAGTCGGGCGAAATATCCCTCTTCCCCCTTCCTACCACACTCGACCTCAACCGCCCCAAATCAGATAGCAAGCCCAGCGCTGTCCGCTTTCTCGAAGGCAAGACGGAACGCCAAGCGCGTATATGTCGCGCTGGCTTCTCATCCACCGAAGGCGAGAACAGCATCGTCGCTGGTCATATGCTCGGTGCGGGTCGGATCAGATGGTCTCGTGCCGCCTTTATTGGTGCGGACGGGTCCCTCCTCCCAGAGGTCCGGGTGAGGTGCGACGGGCAAGACCTCGTAGCCAAGGCGGATAAGAATGCTGGGTCATTACAGCGCTTCTCGGCGCCGGCGGCAACGACCGAACTCCCCTCTACCGACTCGGCGGCCGCCACTACCCTCCCGACCGACGTCGACATGGCCGACCTCTCCCTCGGTGAGCGTCTCCTCGCTATGCCGAACGGGACAGGTACTGCCGAGCTCCCCAACGGGGTCGATGCCAAGTCCAAGGCCGCACCCACTCTGGACGGACCCGTCAATGCCCAATCCCTCACTCGGCTTCTCGTCCAGGCTCTCCACACTTCCGACCCTGCCCTACTCTCCCTTTGCCTGTCACATCGCGATCCCGTCCTTATTCGGAATACCATCCGGAAGATGCCCGCTCAGCTCGCTCTGCCTCTTCTTAAAGCGTGCGTCGAGCGCCTGGGACAGGGCAAGGGCGCGAATAAACGCGGTGGAGGCAGAGGTGCGGGGCAGAACGAGCAGCAAGGAAGGGGAACGGTAGAGTGGGTTAAGGGGGTGTTGGTAGAGCGTGGTGCTATCCTCATGACTGTAAGCTTTTCCTTCACTCTTCCTGCAACAGAGAAAGAAGCTGATGATTCAGATGCCATCCCTCCCTGCCCAGCTCTCCTCCCTCTCGCGCCTCCTCGACACCCGTCTGCAGTTGTACCAACCCCTCCTCTCCCTCTCTGGCCGGCTCGACCTCGCCCTCGCCCAAATCTCGATGCGCCGGATCGCGCTCGAACAGGCCAATTCCGCCAAACAAGGCGAAGACCAGGGCGCGCACTATATCGAGGGCGAGTCGGACGATGAGGAGGTGGAAGTGGAGATGGGGGATGGGGAGGGGGAGGTGGAGGATGTGGATATGCGCTTGAATGGGAGCGATAGTGAGGAGGATGAGGATAGTAGTGATGAGGAGGAAAGCGGGAGTGAGGATGAGGATGATGATGAGGATGACGAAGAGGAAGATCCGTTAGAGTCGGACGATGGGGGGTTGTTGGAGCTGGAGGCGGAGGAGAGTGAGGATGAAGGGAGTGGGGAGAGCAGTGAGGAGGATTAGTGCATCTTTGTCATACGTAGAGTAGTACGGAGGATGTACCTGGCATTTGGTCTTGTCAGTCTGCTGTTCTTGATGGTCCAGCGATGATAGGGGCGACTGATTACGAGGACACTTTATATGGTCTGTGGATCCGGCCACCCTCACCCCGAGGATGAAGGTGCGGTACCGTGGAACAAACTTGAATCTCTCTTTTTGCTCTTTTTTTACCATGTCTCACCTTGGGTCTTACACCGATAAGCCGTACGTTCAAGTCTGCTCGTGATCTATCGTTATTGCTTTTCAAGTTCATACGTCCCTTTGCATAGCGTGATCCGATAGCGGAACCCAGTACGAGCTTGTCGATTCTGGCAAGCCCAAAAATGCGAAAAGTTTGATGAGGAATGCGGAGTTGCGTATGGCGCTGTCTAGGCCTGCCTACGTGTAGCCAAGGGGAGGCGTGTCGCTCGATTTCGGTCTTGAAACTCTGTCCATCGAGTTCTCGCTACTGGGATACGATACACCATCTACACACTATGTATCGAGTACGGCCGCAACATACACACGAAACCCATTTTGCCCAAAATAGCATACCGATGCCCGATCCTCCTTTAATCGCCTGGATGTCATCGCTGTGGTGGCTGAGAGGGGTAAAACATCCCCCAGCCTAACTGAGGATGATAGTATTGGATCGAATATGGGTGTTGGATGGGGTATGGGGGAGGTGGGGGACCTTGAGGTGGCTGATGCTGATGCTGATGCTGGTGCTGGTGCTGGTGCTGGTGCTGGTGCTGTGCGTAAAACTGGGCTTCAGGGAGGGGCTGATGATTGAGACGAGTATGTGGCTGGGGTGGACCTGAGCCGTTTGGTATTGGTCGGGAAGCAGGCATGGGAACCGAGTGTGCCGCTGGATGCGTCGTGGGCAATGATGAGGAGGATGCGCTGGTGGGATGGGGAAGCGAAAATCGAGTGGAGGTGGATGAGGGTATTGTGGGTTGGTCGAATGTGATCGGAGGCGATGGGTATGGAGGGTCGAAGGGATCAGGATCATGGCGCTGAGGCGAAGGTATCGACTCGAGATTGTCGAGCATGGAATCTTCCCCCCTCCTCGCCCCCTCTCCGGCCAATTCGCTCTCCGTTCCGTTTGCGTCCTTCCCCGACTCCGCCGCCTTCTCCCGTATATCCACTGGACTCGTACATCCCTTGGCATTATGCCCCCTATGCCCGCACTTCTTGCACCTCTGCGTCCCCTTGGCGATATACCCATGATTCAGCGCCATATCCCTCGGCATAAACAGCGCATCCGCACCTTCGCCCTCCTGAGCCTGAAGTGGGCCGGCAGGTACGATTTCCCTAGTCCCATCATTCACCCAGGCATCTTTCCGCCGCTGTCGATCTTGCGTCTCGTTGGCGTGCCCGGCGAGCTGGTGTTTGAGGCGATTGATGGTCCGCTGGCGCGGTCTGGAGCCAAGCGTCTTTTCTAGCGCTTGGCCGATCAGGGCCGCTGCGGACGCTTGGCCAGTTGAGGATTGAGGATCTGAGAGGGGTAACTGGACATCAGCTCCACCTTTCTCCTCCATTCCTATCCCTCCCGTGAGCAACGTGAGACAGGGACACACCTTGTGCTGTAAATACCGCTTACTATGTATCCCCAACCTAGCCGGATATCCCCTCCCCTGACACGTATGCTCCCCCTTCAGCGCCCGAATATACACCTCCTCCCCGACGACAATCCGCCCTGCTACCTTCCTCGGCCGGATCCGGACCTGGTATTCGCACGCCGGCCGCCCATCCTCCGCTGGCGTGTTGTGCGGGCAGAACCAGATGTGCCGGTCGTTCCCGTTGCCAGCGTGCGCTTTGACGGGGGCGCGGTGTTGCCGCAGAGAGTCGTCTACTATGGCGACGTAGGCTGCGTCGAGGTTGGGGAAGGTTTGGCCGATGTAGAGAGGGGCGGGAGTGGCGGTTGAGAGGGTGGAGGGGGTGGGGAGGGCCGAGGTGGAGGCGGAAGCGGAAGCGGAAGCGCAGACGGAGGGGAGGGGGGAAGAAGTAGGCGCTGGCGGCGGTTGATGCACGCTTATCATAGTGCTCGATGTTATGTTTAAGTCTCTCGGATCCATCTCTGGGCCTGCTGAGGGCGTAGGGCGTCTAGAATAAAGGCGATGAGGTGCGGAGGAGAGGACTAGACTCTGCATCGACGCGATGTGACCTCTGGCGATGAAACGAAGCAAATTGCCACTTCGGGCAATTCTTGAGCGTGGCACACGATGTGGCACTTTCTTGGGGCTTGTACAGGCTTGTATACAGACCATCCCAATCCGTCTCGAGCAAGGGGTCATGAGATGGTATTCTGCGTGATACTGCGGACTGGTCTGATCGCTGATCAAAGGATCTCAGACAACGAAAGGAGCACCGCCGACGCCAAGGCGATTATCAGGACTGGCTGACTTGCAATTTGCTCTGTCATACATATGCATATCCTACCCCCCTCGCCACTCGGTCCCCTGCAACATGTCCCAAGTCGACGACACCGATATCCCGTATCTCGTGCTCGCCGCGAGCGACGATACCCTTGCACAGCGCACATTTCGGTCGATCCCCGAGGTCGTCGAGCACATCGAAACCTACCTCCAAAGCAACGCCCCTTCCTGGGTTCCGCTCGACAGGGAGTCCTGGACCAGCATCGCGTCGATAACTGCTCCTCCCGCCGCAATCTTCCTGCTTTCCGTCGGTAAAGAGGACAACTACACGCTCACAGCTGTCACCGTTTTGTCTGCCGTGTGCTCGTCTGCAGTGAACCATCAGAAGCAGCGCGCGGACCCGGAAACCGGCCGATCAAGACTGACGATTGTCAAGCTCGCAGGTTTTGGGGTAGCTGGAGCAGGCACGGTATTGCTGAGTGGCATTGGGCTGGCGGAAAGGCTGCTCAAAGGTCTTCATCTGCCACACGCGGTTTCCTACATGATGGTGGCGAATGGCTTGCAGGCAGCAGCTGTTGGGCACTCAGGCCCGCGTCCTTCCGCACCGATCACTGATTCCGACGATGACGATATCGAGCTTGGGGCTGTATGAGCGTAGCCATCAGTCTGGCATGAAGCTTGTTCTACTCCATACCGGCCAGCGTACTTCACATGTACGTCCGACTTGAACTATGCTATCACTAGTCACTACACCGACATCCAGGATACGTGCTTCGATCCAACCCCCAGCGTTGCGGTCAGTCGTACCATGGATCTGATAGGCTGTGCATGATCTCCGGTTGCGCGATGCGTTCCAGGCATCTGCTTGTGGGATGTCGTTTGCAATGATGTAAGGATGTCCATCGGCCGATCAAGATTTCAATCATTTCATGCCTTTGAGACGTCATCAAAGAGAACAAGGGAGTCCGCGTCTGAGTGTAGCCGTGGCGCTGCTGCCTTCCGACAGCGCCTTGCCTCTCTCGCTGCAACGATGATAAAGGAGCCCGCTCATAAATGTTTCAGTGGAGGTACTCTTTCTCAAGCACGCCATTTCCCGCATACGGCCCATCAGAGACCCCATCGGATCAAGGGAGGTACAGCTGCACCCCCTAGCTGAATGGGCACAAAGGGATCCCATGACTGCCCCCTCTCGCCTCTCGCCACTCTCCGTCTCCGCCTTGCCCTATTCGCTGCTTCATACTCACGCATACCACACCTCGACATGTCCGGAGACCCGAGCCAAGACCCTACTGCTCTGGAACTTGGCGGCTGGCTGCATGACAACCGTGACCGCCTTTCCAGTGACGTCGCGACCGTGCTCAAGCGGATCACGAACGCCTCCCGGAACTGGACCCCAGGCATCGTCTCAGTCGTGAGCGTGTTCATGACTGCAAACCTGACCGTGTTCGTGGTGGCTACAGAAGAGGTGACCAAGGAAGAACTCGGCAAAGTCCTGGTTGAAACGGGGGTCTCTTTCGCCCTTTCTGTCGGGGCATTGGCAGCCATGATCAAGGACTTCGGTAACAAATCCACGAGGAAGGTGTTGGGCACAGCGAGCGCAATCGCGGGGGCCGCAGGCCTGGCAGCATTCTTCTTGGCTCCAGAAGTATTGGAGAAGATGGGCCTGTCGGCTTCCGCGGTTGGGCCTACGATCGCCCTGACCTCTGGTTTCCAAGTTCGTCTTTACGAGTGGTTTGAGGACAGGGGAACCGTGAGATCATCGGCGACGAGGAAAGAACGGAGACTGGGACCACTACTTGATGATCCTGGTTGCGCATGTCCACCATGGCCGGGTACCAATGTGGAGCGGACGGAGAAGTCCAGCTACTGATCAATACCCTTCCCTCCTCGTGCCATATGCAATTGCAAGCTTGATCTCAAATAAGCTAGACGTCAGAGATTCACGCCCCGAGAGCCCTGCAGGTACTTGCCCATTACTGAAAGGGCCTCCTGGATCCTCGGAGCCCACCTGTCTCGACTTTTGGAGCCCTCCATCCTTTGATGTCGATCACTTCGCTATCACGACTCGGCCAAAGCAATCTGGCGCGCATACGCAGCGGTAGCCTTGCGAGCGAGCACGTCACTCACTGCGTCACCGATTGGCCCTCCGCCGAGTACAATGGATCTCTCTGCAAACGCACAGTATATAGATCACGGACATCAAGCGCAATCTATTTTCTCCTGACCCAACCACCCAGACGTACTCACCGTGTCTGCTTTACGTGCTGATCCAAGCAGTACTCTGATCAACATGTCCGGCATCACCTCTGCCTCCCAACCCGCTGCTGCCGTCGAAGTTCGCGCCTTCCTTGGCACGATTCATACCCTGGCGACGGACAGCTCCCGCGAAGCCTATGTGACGGATGATCAGCAAGCGTTCCTACGATCCGGCCTCGCTTTCCGAAGGCTACGGCACGATTCAGACTTGGCGGATCTCACCAAGTACGCCGCTGTGCTGGTCTCAGCTCAAGGTGAAAACACCGGCAACACGGAGTTCTCAGGCATTGCCAGGGAGGACTGCGCGGAGTTCGTGATTTCAGCGATGCAAGATGTGGCTCAATCCGCACAAGGGGTCCACAGACTGCATACGGGGAGCGGCGCGGAGGGCAGTGTTGTGCTCATCACCCGGCTTGCCTTGGCGAATTTCGGCGCTTCTACTGTCTCGACTCAAGGCTTGCCCGAGGTCGATATCGGCGGTGGCGCGAAGGCTTACCTCATCAGCATGAGGGTGGGTGGCGTCGCTGAGATTGTCAGTCGCGGGAGTGCCTCTTCTGCACAACGTTGAGCGCCCACACCTTCTCCACCCTTTCCATCAGTCGTCCGTATCTGTATATACATGCTCCATACCGTACCATACAACGCATCTCACCAAGCCATCGGCATGAGCGTACATCCTGATTGGCATTCAATTCTGCATGCAATTAACAAAATCATCTGTGAATAAAGTTGAGGATGAAGAATGCCCCGAGCGCGAGCATCACGCTGAAGATGTAAAATACCGCCCGTTCCTCCCCGCCCATGAGGTTCAAGAAGGGGTAAGGGAAGCGACCGTTGATCTTCGCGCAGTGCTCGACCCAGAAGGCGTAGAAAGCGCCAAAGGAGGCGGCGAGGAGGGGTGCGCCGAGAGTCGATGCGGGTGGGTTGTAGCGCTTTTCGAGGGTGAAGAAGTCTGGATGTCAGCTGTTTCCCCTAAGGAGCCGGTGTGAGAGTGAGCAGTATATGATCGGAGGTAATGAGGTCAGGGGGTAAGAGGCAGGGAGAAAGTTGTAGACTTACGGATAACGAGCGCGACGGCGGGCAAGAGGTGCATGCTGATATCCATCCAGAGCGGTATCCGGAACAAGAGGCTCGCATCGCCGGAAGAGCTCGGCTCTGCGCCGCCCTTTGCTGACGCAGGCATGGGAGGGAACATCAGGTCAGGCTTGGTCAGCACGATACCCCACTATAGGGTCAGCAATCATTCTTCTATCAGGAAGCAGCTCCTATTGGGGATGAAGTAAGACATACGTAGATCGTGGAGATGACCACTTCGATTGGGAGGGCAAAGAGAAGAAGGATACGCCTGATGGGCTGAAAGACTGCAGGCGCGTCAGCTTGAAATTGAGTGGGTCTCATGGTACAGCCAGGCTGCTGAGATGGGGTTTAGAAGTCGGACTGACCATTGACGGAGGGCAGCATGTCTTGCGACGCGGACATGATCATGAAGATGACAGTGACAAGCAAGCTAGGCACCCGTCAGCTGAGGATTTATCTCTATTGGTGAGGAGATACTTTAGCTCACCCGATGATGGTAAGGTACTGCAGGAAGCCTTGATTATCAGCAGAGACTCAGAAGCGCTACCATGATCATCGCTGACTCACCTCCATACTGTTGTCGTCAGCTCAAATCTCAGCATTGGACGTCAATCGCGCCGGATAGCTCACCTGAGGCGCCATCACCTTCCCAGCAGCTACATCCTGCAACGCTTGGAAGCCAGAGATCATCACCCCCGCCGAAGCGAGGTGGAGAAAGGCTCTGAGCTTGCGTGGCTGTGCGTCGACCGGCGCTTGGTTGACGTGTGGGACTGGGTAGTTCGTGTGCATTGAGGGCGCCATCGTGAGGAGCCGCGTTGTGGGCGCGGTATACTAGCTGAGTTGTAGATGTGTTTGCAGGATGAATGGGCAGAGTAGAGTGGGCCAAAATATCGATGATCGATGACCGATATGTAGGCAGTGCGGGGCTCCGTAGAGTCTAGACCCTCCTTATTCGGCCGCCGAGACACAGCCAAAGGTAGGGCAGCTGCGAACCAGGACACCTTGCGCGTTATGATCAGATACTATATGAGCCTGCGCGGTAAAGGTCTGAGCAGCGCAATGTCCACGGAGAAAGTGATACTGCTCAGTCCGGACGACAGATACTGTGCATCGAGGCAGCCAAGCCTTATCACGCCGGCCGCTCTGGCCCTCTGGCCTCGGAAAGACTTACGTTGCGATACTCCGCGAGGCCTAGGTCTCCGTCTTCCTACGACAGTCGCGCCCCTCCCCTGGACTGGTAAGGCAAGTCGCAGCACCGGTACAGAAGCTCATTGGAACGGATTTGGGACGACCTTCTCAGCCACGAAGGCGGGACGAAGACGAAACACACACGTCCTCCCCGCGTGTTTCAGATCTGTGTGCGACTCCCTCATCTTTGACGAGCCCGGTGAAGTGAGATTTACGCCGCCTTTTGTTCTCGTCCTTCCCACTGTATATAGGTGCATGCAGTGATTGACTCGGTGAAGTGGTGAAAGGGATGCTCGATTATACTCTGTGAAGTGTGCGATTGGGTAGGTGAAGTGGTGAGGTGGATTGACGAGGGTGGTGAAGGGGAGGTAGGGGTATATAGGGCGGGCCTGAGAGGGGTAGGGAATGATCAGCCATCCCACAGCTACCCGCCACTACCACATCACCCCACTCCCCCACTCATCACCACCATGTCCACCACTTTCTACTCTCCCTCGCGCCCCGCTCCCGCTCCACCTTGCTCCTCTCGGCCGTACAACGAGCTCCCTGCGGACCACCCTTTCCTCAACCCATACACTCCCAGGCAGCTGCCTCGCTCTACCTCTTGCTCCAGCCTCGACTCGGTCTATACCCAGTACACCATTCAAACCCCGCCGATCTTTGCCCCCCTTCACGTCAAACGGGCATACACCACCTCTCCCGCATCCGGCTACTACCCAGACTCCCTCTCTCGCAGCGCCCACTCTCCCTCGACATGGGTAGCATCTCCCACTCCTGTCCGCAGCACCCGTCTTGCCCACTCACACCACATCCCGCGCCCCTCCAAGCCCTTCAATCAATCTCCCACCCGGTCCTTCATCCCCCTCCCCACCGAGCTCTCCATCCTGGACGCACGGCCTCGAGGCAATCTCCTTGCCGACCTCGAGTTCATCGCTGGCAAGAAACTCCACTTCCCCTTCCTCCAATGGCGTAGGGCATCTCAGGAGGATAAGGAGGTCAAGAAGGCGGGCAAGAAGGAGAAGCGGGGCTCGGCGGGCGGGAAGAGCGAGAAGACCAGCAGCCCGGCGCGTTTGACCAAGGAGAGGCGGAAGAGCGAGGAGGAGGAGTATCTTTTCGAGGTGGGGATGATGCGCAAGGGTCGGGCGGGGAGAGGGGTTAGGGAGGGGAACTGGGTTTGAGCTTTGTATGCCGGTTTGTAGCTGTATCTTCCACATTATTTTTCGCTGTAGACGATAATGACCATCATGAATGACCTTTATGAGCATCGTCAAAGCTTTACTCGAGTCGCATGAGTATGCATCAGCCTGACGTAGTATGAGATGTTAGAGAAGAATAGACTGCCTATCTTTATTTACGCACCCGCTCATTGGCTGGCTGGTGCTGACAAGTGCCACAAACGGGGTCAAACTCCGCCACCTCGCTGCAAGCCAAGTTGAACCTGCACCTCTAGCGATCATCCATACATCTCTAGCTATTATCTCTGTGTAGGAATCAGTATAGTCAATAGAGAGGCACAGAGGTACCCACATCACTGAACCTCTCGCAAAATTCGCTAGGATGCTTCGCAAATTCGCCACGCAGCGATCGCTTCGCCAGCTCGGTGGCCCTTCGAGTAGGTCTTCCGACTTCTTGCCGCTCGATCTGGGGTATGCCTGGGCGGCGGAGCGTGATCGGCTCGTATCAGGCAGTAGCTGATATTGCAGGCCAGCGTTTCTTCTCCACCACCATCCCTCGTCATGCAGATATCACCCTCACCGTCGATGGGAAGGAGGTTACCGTTCCGCAAGGTATGTTGATGCGTGGTATCAAGGTGGACCCTAGCTGATGTGTGAAGGAACTGCTCTGATCCAGGCTTGTGTAAGCTACCGCGATCCTTCTCGGCAGAGTCAAAGCTGACAAAGTATAGGAAGCCGCTGGTGCGACCGTCCCGCGGTTCTGTTACCATGACCGATTAGCTATCGCTGGAAACTGCCGGATGTGCTTGGTCGAGGTCAGTCCAAGCTCGACAGCTTAGACCTCATGCTGATGGCCAGGTCGAGCGCTCTCCCAAACCCGTCGCATCCTGCGCCATGCCAGCCATGCCCGGATCCAAAGTCTTCACCAACACTCCCCTCGTCCACAAGGCCCGCGAAGGCGTCATGGAATTCCTCCTCGCCAACCACCCCCTCGACTGCCCTATCTGCGACCAGGGTGGCGAGTGTGATCTCCAAGATCAGTCCATGCGGTACGGATCGGACCGGACTCGATTCCACGAGATCACGGGCAAGCGGGCAACGGAGAACAAGGACCTCGGACCGATCGTCAAGACCAGCATGAACCGGTGTATCCAGTGCACCCGGTGCGTGCGGTTCGCCAATGACGTGGCGGGCGTCGAGGACCTCGGAACGACCGGACGGGGTAACGATCTCCAGATCGGGATGTACATCGAGAAGACGATGGACTCGGAGATGTCGGGAAACATCATCGATCTCTGCCCCGTCGGCGCCCTCACGTCCAAGCCATACGCTTTCCAGGCGCGACCATGGGAGCTTAAAAAGACCGAGTCGGTCGACGTGCTCGATGCGGTCGGAAGCAACATCCGGGTCGACTCGCGGGGCGTTCAGGTCATGCGCGTCCAGCCCAAGATCAATGACGAGATCAACGAGGAGTGGATCAATGACAAGACGCGGTATGCTTACGACGGGCTCAAGTACCAGCGGTTGACCACACCGCTGGTGCGTGAGGGGGACAAGTTTGTTCCCGCCACTTGGGAGCACGCGATGGAGTCTATTCGTCATGGGTTCCTCAACTCGGGCGCGCGGGGAGATGAGATCAAGGCGGTTGCGGGTGCATTGGCGGACACGGAGTCCCTCGTCGCGCTCAAGGATCTCATCAACCGCATGGGATCCGAAAACCTCACTACCGACACCCCTCTCGGCCACCTCCCCTCCCCTACCGGATCCGAAATCCGCTCCAACTACCTCTTCAACACCTCCATCGAGACTGCCAACGAGGCGGATGCGGTCCTCCTCATCGGTACCAACCCACGCCACGAGGCGGCCATCCTCAACACCCGTTTCCGGAAGTCATACCTCCAGACCGGCGCAGAGTTTGCGCTCATCGGCGAGAACTTTGACTCTACGTTCGAGTACGAGCACGTCGGGACGAGCGCCAAGGACGTCGAGTCGTTCTTGGGCGGGAAGGGTAAGGGGGCGTTTGGCAAGATCTGGAAGGAGGCCAAGAAGCCATTGGTGATTGTCGGATCGGGCGTGATTGAGGGCAAGGAGGGAGCGGCGGTATTGAAGGCGGTGTCAAAGCACATGCTTGACAACTCGGCCAGGTTCTTGGCGGAGGGATGGAATGGGTTCTCAGTTCTTCAACGAGTAAGTCTACCTGTGACTCACCCCCTTTTTCAGTCCAGCTTTTTCTGGGATAGACGGCAGTCCCTGTTGCAAACAGTGTTTCATCTGGGTGGCTGCTACATTTGGAGGGTGGAATTTGAGGGGCTGAGCAAGGCACAAAATGGAATAGTGCTGACTATCAGGCTGCATCTCGGACCGCCGCACTCGACGTCGGCTTCACCCCATCCGCCGCCGCATCCAAAGCCACCCCCAAATTCGTCTACCTCCTCAATGCCGACGATATCGACCCCTCCACCATCCCCGAGAACGCATTCGTCGTCTACCAAGGCCACCACGGTGACCTCGGCGCGCAGTTCGCGGACGTCTGTCTTCCCGGCGCGGCATACACCGAGAAGGCCACCACATGGGTCAACACGGAAGGCCGGAGTCAAATGGGCCGCACCGCCGTCCCACCACCCGGAGCCAGCCGGGAAGACTGGAAGATTCTCCGTGCGCTCTCCGAGGTCGTTGGCGAGCCATTACCATACGACGACATCTACACCCTGCGCGAGCGGATGTGGGACGTCTCGCCCACCCTGCTGAGGTACGATACGCTCGAGCGGCCATCGGCGGAGCTGGTCACCGCGGGTCTGAAGCAGTTGTCCTCGGCATCAGTATCGGCAGGCTCGGCAACGGCGTTCAAGAAGCCCATCTCGGACTTCTACAGGACAGATCCTATTTCGAGGGCGTCGGTGACAATGGCGGCGTGCTCGAAGGCGTTCACAAAGAAGGAGTACGAGACGACGCAGGTGGATGATGCGATTGGGGGTCAGGTGAGCCTCTTTTGCTGGACTGATCTTGCATGGGGGAGGACTGTGGCTGACAAACAGGCATCATACGCATGAGTAGGGCCAGCTTCGCGTGCGACTTTGGGACTGTAGAGGGTTTGGTCTTTCGGAATCTGTATGAATGGTAATATGTCATGCATGCATGTCATGAACCTGCCTATACTACGCCCAAAATTATGATACTGACTACGAGACGCAAGCACGATCTAACTACATACCACAACATACGTCAAGCTACAAAAGGCATCCCTTGGCTAGCGCTCCTCACCCCTTCACTCAGCGACGTCAGGACATCGATCTACCCATCATTCTATTACTCCGGCCCGTCCTCATACGCTTCATTGACGAAAGCCTCCTCGTCCTCAGCCCCGACAAGGTCACTGGCAAGAATCACGAGCGGCGTCTGTCAGCTACTGATACATACTCGCGACTGTCAAAGCTCACGTTTTCGGGACGATCCTCGTCTGCATCGTCGAACTGTCCTTCGTCGGCATCTTCAAACTGCCCTTCGACAGGAGCTTCTACGTGTTCCACGCCAGGAATTTCGGCGTTCTAGGACTCTTAGCTGACCGTATCACATGTGTAGTCCTAGTGCCAGCCAGACTTACGGCTCCAGGGGCGTCATCGACAGGAACTTCGGCCTCCTCTAGTCCGTCGCCTCCTCGCGCGTCGACGATCTGCATTGATCAGCTGCCTATTCATAGGTAGAGTAGTAGCAAGGCGGACTTACGGCGTCTGGGATGACCCCGTCATTGGCGCCTCCCTGGGATTCTGCGGCGACCTCGGGAGCCCAACCTCCTCTCTCGTAGAGGGGCAAAGGATCAATGTCGTATTCGTCCTGTAGGACTGCGTCAGCTGTCTGGAGCTCGAGCAAGAGAATGACAGCTTGGACTTACCGGCCCATCAAAGTCGTCGTACATCTCGACGTCTCCCGCCTCGGCCACATGCTCAGCAGGTCCCGGGCCCGCCACATCCGCTTGATGCCCGACAAGAAGTTCAGCTCCCTGTAGTATAAGCAAGTCCCCTTGATGAGCACCCAAGAATCAGACTTACCTCATCGACATCTTCCCAATCATCTTCCCACTCTTCCTCCTCCACCTCCACCTCTTCCCTCTCACCCATGACAACATCGGGCTAGACTATCAGCCTCGCTCTTGTAGTGCAGTGTCACACCTGGATCGATAAAGGCTACTCACGACGTCTCGGTCAGGCATACCATCAACCTCCTCCGCCTCCGCACCTGCCACAATGAGTGGCCCCAAGGCAGCGAGTTCCCATCTCATCTCTGCAAGCACCAGATCCTCCATCTCGAGATCCTCTTCGGGCTCAAGGACCCTGTTGCCGTCTCCAGGTGGGCTCCCCCCTCGAGAGGATGCCGCCCTTTTGCTCTCGTCCGAGTCAGAGCGAGCGACAGACCTCTCGCGGTACCCTCCCCCCCGGCCTGCCACGGGCGCCACCCTGGCCGCTCAAGCAGCAGGAGCTCTGCGCCGCTTAATGACAGGTGCAGGCTCAGCGGAGGGACTTCGCTTGCCCCTAGCTCGCATGACCTTTGGTTGGACGGGAGCGAGGTCTTTAGCGGCCGCAGCAACATGTACCCTCTTTGCCCGGCGGAGTGGATTCCGCCGCGGCGCGTTGCCATGATCCGTTGCGGCGCTGGCGTTCATCCGAAGGACCTCGAGTATGTGCCGGGCAGTGTCGAGCAGGTGGGAGGATGTGCTGACCAGGGTCGCGCCGCAAGCGATTGACAGCTGGATGTCACCTAGCACTAACGACCGGATGTCATTCTCGGTCCCAGGTAGCTCCACAGGTAGTGCCCGCTTAGCCTTGGAGAACACCGGATAAAGAGCATCCTGCAGCTGAACGCGTAGATGGAGCTCCGAATATGTCATACTGCTTGTGACGGGGCATGAGGGATCGACATGGTGGGAATCAGGGTAGACGAAAGCTATGGGACCCGTGTGTCCAGTATAGCATGGATCGTCGGTGATGATCTTGATGCCATGGTCCTGAGATGTCAGCTCTTGCAGGCAACAGATCTGTGGGACTTCATATACCGAGAAATTCTTGATAGCTCCCATCAGCACCTCGTCCTGCTCAGCGACCCCGGTAGACCAGAACATATAGCCCCAAGTAGACGAAGCGCGGATTTTTCGCCCGATCTCATCAGAGTATGCAAATAGGGGGTTCGGGGTGTAGTCTAGCATCGTGAGCGCTAGAGGAATGGTTGGGTAGGGTATTGCTTTATGAAGCAGAGCTGCAGATATGAGTAGGTGGATGAAGATGGAAGTCGAAATGCTGCTGGATACATCGCATACAGCATGGGCAGCACCGCCACCGGGAGGTGGCAAGTCGCCAGCACAACAAGTCACGAGTCGAGTCGATGAATGATCCCGCGCTACCCATCCGCAAACAGCCGATGACTCTATGACCGCATCAACGGCCGAGATTCCGGCTCCGCAAAATTCCGCAACTCATTCCTTTGTTGACGCCGTTCCTGGCATGTGAGACGCCAATTATGCGGCTTTACAAATCTCCGAAAGTCGCCGCTGTGCGGTAGGGGGGCAGCTGAAGCACGCTAATTCATACTTCGAAATCGCGCCGCTGATCTCGTCAGATGTATCGGGAGCTAAATGTAAGGGGGGGCCACCTGATAGTCGGAGCGGCGCTGTGTGCGGCAGTCTCAGTATTGGTCGACGCCCCACAGCGACCTGGATCAGGCTAGTCATCTCGAGGAGCTGGTCCTTATGTTGCGATCCATGAACTGAGTAACTAGGGATTGGCCTTCGAGACTGCGAGATCGGCCAGCGGCAAAATAGAAATAGAAGAATTCCTATCAGTAATTACAAATATCGACTCAAAATCAATCGACCGGCATCTTCCGACTCATATCTCTAGGTCAACATCCGGGTCCTTGAATGGGCTCAATAACTTTTTGATAGCTCCTTCACCCATATCCATCCCTTCCAAAATATGCGACTCACGCCTTACGAAGTCTACCGCTTGAAGTCCCTTCAGCATCATGCGGTCCTAGGATCGGAATCACACACGTACAATGCCCATATTGTGCGGGAGAGCTTGAGAGTGAGCTACAATTGGGACGTGCCGGTTGGTACTATTAGAGAGTGCTAATAGCAGGATCGCGGCGCGCATATCATCGGTACCAAGGAGAAGTGGCCTTCCACCACCCGCCGCTTTCTCTGCGTGCTGCCAGATGTCGGTCCTTGGCCATCCGTTCCCCACAATTGGGAAATGATCCGATTTTCCTATTTCGCCGCGTACTGCGAGGTCGCGGACGTCCAGGCCAAAGCCTTCGCAGCCATGAAGGTACCGCCGCCGGGGAAACGGTGCTTTCCCATGCCTCATCAGCTCGTCTTGGACACCATCCGGCAAAATCGGCCGGAGACGGAGGAGCTTTACAAGATGCGTGGATATTTCACGCAGCGGTCACTGCGCCCGCACACAGCTCTTCCAGGTGAATACGCATGGTTGATGCTAGATGAAGTGTGAGCGCCTCCCTCTTGTCCTACATGCTGTCTGCTGATGCCACGCAGAGATCAAAACCCCCGCCTTCAGCTCAATACTACCCCTCTCGCCGACCCGCTCGCCAACATGATCCCCACAGTTGTCCAGCAAGACTCGAACCCCGCTCCTCGCCCTAAGAAACGATCACGGAACGGGCGGAGTGCGGCGGCTAGGGAGAGTGCGAAAGTACGGAGGCTACAGAGGCAGGCCAGCAATTGGGAGGATATCAGTTGAGGTGATCCGATCCGCGGAGGATAGCTAGAATCCTGCAGGCCCATAATTTGTCTAGTCGTGTATAAGTATGTACGCACATATCGGTCTGTAGCGCAATCCTTCCCCCATTGCTCGACAATCTACCACATCTCCACTAACTCGCTCCAGGAAAATGTCAGTCTGCTCATGCTCTTGCTGGCACAGCCGCTGGGTGGCTGGGACTTGATTGCTGTTAGGAGAGAGTCTGAAACATGTCTCGGGCGGACCTTGATTTTCGATCCCGTTTGGTTCCGGGGGCAGTTTGTGGCAGTGCCACACTCGATCTCTGTTAAGTCTCTGCGCTGATTCATGTGACTAACTTAGCTGAGCCAGAATCGCCTTGCATCGCACACAATCGAGAGCATGGGACGCCGTGAGCATTGGCGACAGCGGCTAAATGGCGATCAAAGACTTGCTCCAATACTTTACCTGCCGACTCCACATTAAATTGTCAATCAACTGACATCATTGTACTCATATATATAGTCGGGGCAACATACAAGGCCCCCGGCCTAGGTCCCACCCCCTTTGGCGCCGGTCAAGTGGGTAGGCTGTACCGCTAACGTGAAGCTTCGCTACCCAGCGAGCGACGAAAGTTCCACTGCCAGAGTGCTGTCACTACGTGTATTCCGGACTTCCACATATCCCACTCGATGAAGGACGCCATACCCAGCCTGAAGATGATGTCAAGACCAGGTGGCAACACTGCGCCCTCGCTAATGTATCACACCATCAAGCACGTGCTGGGAGCCGGAAGTTACTCGTCCTCCCGGAGAGCAAAGGAGGGCAAGGGCTTCTCAGCGCAGCTAGCTCGACATAATTTGGCACGACCCACCTATCCCTCGCAGGTATATATAGGCCTATTGTGGAGATTGTGCATCGACCTTCATCACTTCTCCTATCCTTACCCACAAATTCACTCTCCGCTCTCCACCAGATGAGTGAGCATCATACTAAAACTCGCAAAGCATGTCTCATGACCTTCGCTGTAGTGCTCCCCAATAGTAATAGTACGGGAAAATACCAGCCTGGTATACCATTACCAGGGTCCTTAGTATGGTAAATTACTGATACCAGCTATATGCCTTGGTATTAGTATGGTATTTAGTATCGGCCCCCGCGAATCCAGTGGTAGCAGGTATTACCAAGTACTAGGCCTGGTATACCAAAAATACCGCAGCTTTTCCGCCACCCGTCCTTTCCTGAGCTGCTTTCTGAGTGGCGGTCCCGCCAGGAGGACTCTACGTCAGTCTTCCAGCTCTCAGGTAGCCTTGAGGTACATGCGGATATGCACTGACGCTGCTTCTGCATCTGTGACCACGAACGGCACTCCTTTGTCGCAAGTCAGACACTACTTTGTCCGAAGTCAGACACCACTTTGTCGGAAATCAGCACCGCTTTGATTGGTCTACGGCCTGATGATGGCTTTACCATGGCCTGAGAGGGTAGATACGCCGATGATTGGACTACATTGCTGATCAAAGTAAGCCTCAATGTTCGCATGATTGCAGCCACATACGACTTTAGTGGCGGACTGGGTGGCAACGGAAGCAAAAATTGCTCCTCATTCCTCACTGGATCTCACCCCTGTCCGCACTTTCGGTACGAACTGAGCAGGGGTAGGCTGGGGGAGGAGCGCTCCGGGCAACCTGAGCACCTTTATAGCATCATAAGGCACTCTATTGGACGATGGAGAGTCGTCTAAAGATTTCCACTCGGGCCTGGTATGCCATGGTATACCAGCTTGGTATTGGTATTTTACCAATACCATGCTTTCCCGCCTGGTATAGTACAATTACTTATCAGACGATTCTCCTGGTAGATAGTATGATATTTGGTATTGGCCTCCAGCCCTCCGCTGGTATTAGTATATCTACCAAAATACTATTGGGGAGCACTACTTCGCTGCCCATAGCACATAGCTGATGTCAGGCTCTTCTTACGCATCCCGCCAGGCCTCTTCCAGGCCAACCCCAACGTCCGGGCTCGAGGGATACCAGGCGCCTCCGATGTCTGACATCTGCCGTCTCTCCGGCAGCACGCTCTCGAGCTCTGTGCCGGACGAGTGGCGCTACGACAGTGTCCCTTCCATGTGAGTCATCAGCCAAGCTTGTACATAATCCCGTAGCGGATCAAGGATACGGTGCTAAATATCTAGTGCCAGTACGTGCGGTAAAGACGATGCAGGCAAACCGAGGCCCGTTCCGTCAACCGATGAGCCCCAGCCCCGAGACGGCGCTGGAAAGGGTGAGTCAGGAGATGGAGGCAAGTCGTGATTGCTATCGGTGTTCCACTACTAGCTCAGATGCATGCTGCTTGGATACACGGCTCTCCACCAGTTCTCAGAGGTCTCTGCCCCGACTTCTCAGTTTGCGACGGATTACTGGCGCCCACGATCAATGACTTGAGAACTATCCGACGGCGCCGAGGTCATTTCCGCTGGTCGGCAGCCGGGATACTGCGCCGTAAATTTCTTGGCAGTGAACCAGCTGTGGCGGAGGCAGGTCAGGGAGTTAACGCGCGTTGTCTACAGCGATTGGGCCGATTCAAATTTCAGACAGCCGAGTGGATCTTCAAGCCCTCGAGCACGTAGCACACCTGATTCAGAGCTGTTTCCTATGTGGTCTCTCTGTCACCCCAAGGCGGAGCGCTTACCCCGAACCGTTGAACTGCTCTCATCCTTTGTTCTCATGGTGACGGCGAGAGGGTCCGGGGCGCACGGCGCTCGACTGCCACAGACTTCCAGTCTTGTCTTCGTCCAGCAAGGATCACATCTTCGAGTCATGGTGCAGCGCCTGACGCAACGGTCCATCATCTGCACTGATCTGTGATAGCCAGACTAAGTACTGACGGCGATAACAGACTCCTTTGCGATTTCTCTTCGTTGCCGCACAAGCTTCTCGGACCTCTTGCGCTTCTCCAGCTTCCTCGGCCGGTCCATCGAGGCGTCCGTGCGTCTGTGCTTCTCTGCTCATTCGCTTCAGGCCTGCTTCTGTGCTTCTGGGGAGGTGAGATCGCTGATCGATGACGATCCACGCCCTAGGTCTTCCAGCCTTATCGGCGGGATCAAAGGATGTCTTCTGTCGAGCGAGCACGACATATATCCACTTTGGCTGCTACTCGACGACAGCTATCGCCTATGAGGACTAGCCGTTTCCCAATCGGTGTCACCTCACACCTTCCGCTCGATCCCCACTTACAACCACTCTTGCCACTTGCCAACAACCAGTTCATACAAGTCATGAGTAGGTTCTCGAGCTGGGTGACCAGATCGCCACCCGTTCCGCGGAGCGCTACGCTGACGAGTCAGTTCTCTCTTCCAACCAATCCAGCAACGGCGGCTCGACACTGGAGTCCGCTCATTCCTCTGTCAAGTTCCACATCGGGTCTCTCAGCATTGGGAACGGGGCATGTTCTGCCCAAGGGTCCCAGGGCGATACGTTCTGCACCTCCACTTGCTCCGGGAGAGTTTATTTACATCATCCGACGACTGGTAGTGAATGACGGACCACAGGATGAGTACGATGAGCAGCAAGACTGGCAAGAAACCTCGAACGGGCGAGGACCCCGACGACCAGCAGCCGCAGGGCGGAACCCGCCACGGTCGCTCGCGATAGGGAGGGAGCCAGGAGAGAACCCCGGCGTCCATGCCGCCCAAGAAGAAGAAGTGAGAGCCTTGCCTGGCGACCAGTCAGCCATGTAGTCGGGTGTACTGTGGAATGCATACTGTACAGAGAGCGTACGCGGCGTCTCATGTGCTCGTCGTCAGGGACTGCTGGTAGTATCCTCTCGACCCAGTCAAAATCATAGCTCAATGCTTCCCATCAGGGGTGAAATAGTCAGCAAGCGTAGCCAAGAGCGATGTCGATCGAAATCAGTGCTTCATCAGCCTCATCAGTGTTGAGTCACACACGATTGATACACGTCATTGTCAATACAACATCAATGCTCCATATACTATAGCTGAGTATAGCCTGCACCCCGACTCCCCTTTGCTCAGCCCCACGCGTGACACGCCTACCGCAAACGCCCGCTCTCCTCGCGCTAGAACCTGTCCCGCTCGTCCCATTTCCGGGCATTCTACCTCTCAGCCCGGATTCAAGCCCCGCGAAACCCACTGGTACGATAGGCTACGGTCAACGCCTGAACCACACCGCCGTGTTCTTCGGGACCTCGCCACCCTCGCCTAGCCCCTCCGCCCCACTGCACACCAACACCTCCGCCCCCTCAGGCACGTCAACCCCCTCCCCCTCAAAGTTCATGATCACCTCCCACCCTCCCTCTCTCTTGAAGTGCAACACCTCCTTCTCGTTCACGATCCACTCCATATCCTCCTTGGTCTGCAGCTCCCTCCTCAGCTTGAGCGCCTTCCGATACATGCCCAGCGTCGACCCCTGGCGCTGCTCCTCCGCGTCGACCGCGTAATCGCCCATCCAGGCCGGCTGGGGCAGATGCGCGTCTTTGCCGTCTGCGGGACCGAAGCCGAAGTTGGGGGCAGAGGCGAGCCAGGGAAGAGGGACGCGGCAGCCGTCTCGCCCAATCTCACGGCCAGAGGTACGGTAGAACGTGGGATCTTGGCGGGAAGCGGCAGGGATATCAGGGACTTCGGGGAGACCGAGCTCTTCGCCCCTAGTAGAGTCAGCTCGGAGCCCTGTACGAAAGGGGAAATTGAGCTGAATCGTGGAGAGGGATAAAAGTCAAGAATGACTTACTGGTAGATGTATGCCGAACCGGGGAGAGCGAGCATCATGAGTGTCGCCGCCCGCGCCCGCCTCAATCCCAGAGCCAGGTCGCACGCCGGATCTTTGCCGCCCGAGAGGAGGAACTTGGGGTAGTAGTGTAGGAGCTCGGTATCGTCCCCTGGAGCGATCTCTTGCGGGAGCCCATAGCGAGTGGCATGGCGAATAACCTGATGAGTCAGCTCAGTCTACGCCTCATACCTCATCTGAGAAAGGCAGAGTGAGCAAGTAGCCTACATCGTGATTCGAGAAGACCCAGGTGGTGGAGCTGCCCGACTCCCTGACGTCCGCCAGGCTCCGATCGATCTTGTCCTTGAAGTCGTCCCGCTTGAAAGGGCACATGAGCATGTCGAAGGCGAAAGACTGGCCGAGACCCTCGGATGAGGCGTAGAGGCGTTTCCGATCGGACGCGACCCATGCTTCCGCGACAGCGCTGCTTGATCAGCTACTACCTCAATCATAACGGACTAGCTGAAGGTCCGACTCACGTGAGCGGCGGATCATACTCATCAAACACCTTCCTCCACTCCTTGTATATATTCAACACCTCATCCCTGTCCCAAAGCGGGTGGATCTTGTTCGCCTTCCCATCATGTAACTTCTCGAGATGAAGCGCGTGCTGATCCTTGTGGCTCATGGGGAACTCGAGGTCTTTGGCGAGACCGTGCGCGACGTCGACTCGATAGCCCGAGACGCCGCGGTCGGCCCAGAATCGAAGGGTCTTGAGGAAATCGGCGCGGACCTCGGGGTGTTCCCAGTTAAAGTCGGGCTGGGAGGTGTCGAAGATGTGGAGGTAGAATTGACCGTCCCCGACGGGTTCCCAGGCGGGGCCGCCAAAGTTGGATTGCCAGTCTGTGGGTGGGAGGGAGTGGTCGGGTCCGAGGCCTACGGATCGGCTCTCTGGCCAACAACGTGAGATATGATGAGACGTACCGTCTCGGAAGATATAGCGAGATCTGGCGTTGCTTCCCTTTGGGCTCTTCAGTGCTTCCTGGAACCAGACGTGCTCATCGCTTGAGTGATTCGGGACGATATCGACAATGATCTTAATTCCATTGGCCTTGAACGCGGACATCATCTCGTCAAAGTCGGCAAGGGTACCGATGCGAGGGTCGACATCGCGGTAGTCGGCGACATCGTCTGGTGAGTCAGCATGATCTCAAGTGCAGCGTGCCAGATACACTCACATCCACCATCTTTGAGGGCAGAAGGGTAGAAGGGAGAAAGCCAGACGGCGTCCACGCCAAGCTCGGCGAGATAGGGGACCTTGGCGGTAATCCCCTTGAGATCGCCAATGCCGTCGCCGTTTGCGTCGTAGAAGGAGCGAGGGTAGATCTGGTAGACGCAGGCTTGACGCCACCAATTCCGAGCGGCTGAGACATCAGCGGTGATTTAACTTCATAGGTGTAGAGGGTTGTCGAGATGCCAGAAGAAGGGTGGCGGTGGAGATAAACTCACTCATGTCTGCACCAATCTTGGCGTCTACCAGCATGGTAGACGACGCGTTGCTATGCGATAGGACGAGGAGGTGGAGTTAGGTGGCGCTATCTGCGAGAGACAAAGTTGAGTGCTGAGGGACGGGGGAAGTGATGTTCGAGGGCAGAATTGATATGAGGGGTGCAAGGGAGTTCGAGGGGGCAGAAGAGCACTAGATATCAGAAGCGTGAGCGACTAGCTTTCGGCGTCTTGGGCGAGGTAAGAAGCTAGCTCGGTGGGGAGTGATATGTCAAGATGACAGATGAGCGATGCCTGTTGTGCTGTGAAAGGAGGAGCTCGGACGACGTGTCAACAAACCCAAACCATCTCCCCCCACTTTCATTAGTCCTCGCCGGATCAGCCGACACCGCCGAGTCACGAGGCCATGGTCCGCCCGGTGTATACGGTACTAGCCTGGACATACCTCATCTGCCGCGGAACGCGCCGATCAGAGATGAAACAGCGGGGACCATGGGAGTCGTGAGGCCGAGGGGGCGGTGGAGGACGTCAACGCGTACGCGTCAATGCGTAGCGGTCATGTGACTGGCGGTGCACCGGAACTCGGACCGGTACCTCGCTATATGTACAGCGAGTACTCTCTGCGTCTTTGACTCAAGGATATGTTGACATGACGTTTCGGCTCGGGGCAGGGACTGCCTGTACTTCGAGTCTGACTGTATGAGGGACATATGTACTGGATTGAACGCGTATTGATTCGCTGGTGTTGCCCTCCTCCTCTCTGCGAGTGCGAACGCTTCCGACGGAACTCTCTCCCGCGTCATCGGTCAATAGCCGAGCTAGCCGAGGTGCATCTCGGAGGCAGACTTGAAAGTTGCAACTATGTATGTACTATATACCTTGCTCCCCCAGAGACCTCCTAACTTGAGGCCCTGATATAATTCTCAGCATTGCCCTCTACGACTTCACGCGCCATGTCCAACATCGCCTCCCCGCTGCACGCCCTCGGCCCATACAACTACTCGTACCTCCTCCTGATCGCGACCTTCCTGCAGACCAACATCGCCTCTCCAAAGGGCGCCATCATCCGTCTAGGGAAATACGACAATGCCAACCCCCGTACCGACCTTGACAAGATTGAAAAGGACGGGAAAGTGTCGCCGAACTTGATTGCCAAGCTGCGGAGACGGGAAGCGGCGCACCAGAATTGTTATGATAATTTGGGGATCTTTGCGGCCGCTGTGGTATGTTCTTCTCCTTCAATCCTTCTGCTTAGGGTACGAGAGCTAGGGATATACAAGTGGATAGGGGATCATGGTGTGGGAAATATAGCTGATCCTTCAGGTGGCTGGCAATGCGGCCGGCTTGGGGTCGAGATTCATGAACACCATGGCAGGGGCATACCTCGCTATCCGATGCGTCTACAGTATGTTTTACCTCCTATGACTGTCTGGTCCGCTTTGTAACATCAGAGCCCATGCTGATGGCCATAGTCTACGCCTATATCAACACGACCGGCAAGCAGGCCTCTTACGTCCGAAGTGGCTGCTGGTGGGGTTCAAACTGTGCGTACTTTTGACAAGAAGTCTCGTCTACCGCTGACCCGTCAGTCTGCTTCCTCACCACACTGTGGAAAGTCACCACAGCCGTCAATGGCGGGCGGAGCCTTCTTGGATAGATCGTTAACTTAATCAGCTAGATGTCAGATCGGATCTACTCCGTACGGAGCCCCACGCGCATACATTGCACACACAGAGCAGCACACACCTTTGGGTAGATCCTGTCCCTCTCAAGCACTGACACATCCCTTTCTGACTGCCTTTCGCGATGTTTACCTTGACTTGTGCTGGCGAGAGATCTGGAGACCTCCGGCTTCTAACCATTTTACCTTGCTCAATTCATCACTAACATAGCGCGCAAGGCTTCACATCACCTGTCGAGAATCAGTGTAGCCGAACCGCTTTTTAACATCGCCAGATCCCCTTCCTACCTACTCGCCACATCTTGCCATCTGTCGAGACTGACTACCTAATCCGCACTTCTCGTCCCGTTCACACATTACAATGTCGTGAGTGATCAATATCTCCCTGGCGACGTACAGAGACCATAGCTGACTGATCAGCAACGTCTACTTTGACATCAGTATCGCCGGTGCGCTCACCCTTTCTGTCCTCACACCAGGATCTCTGCTAACAAGCAGGCGTACACGCCGGCCGGATCGTCTTCAAGCTCTATGACGCGGGCGTACCAAAGACTGCTCGTAATTTCCGGGCTCTATGCACTGGCGAGATGGGCTACGGGTACGCCGGCTCGGGGTTTCACAGGATAGTCCCAAATTACATGATCCACGGGGGTGATATTACAAGTAGGTCCCGGATCCTATCGAGTGGGGGACTTGCTCATACTGTAGAGCATAATGGCAGTGGTGGCAAGGTATGTCCCTGCTCGACCCGTCTCCCGCGCCTTTGCCATAACATGGCGTAGAGCTGATCGCTTCCAGTCGATGTACGGCGACACCTTTACCGATGAGAACTTTACGCTTCACCACACTAAACCTTTTCTCCTCACCATGGCGAATAGAGGTAGATCGATGAACAACTCTCAGTTCTTCATCACCACCGTCCCTACGCCGTGGCTAGATGGTCATAATGTCGTCTTTGGGGAGGTGGTGCAGGGGGAGGATGTGGTCAGGCGATTGGAGGCGTTGGGGACCGCTTCCTTCTCAGGCAGTAAGTCTGTTAATGCGGCGCTGGTGGCCTCGGAGGTGGGGTATGACGGTGTCTGTGTTGATATGGTTTAGATCCCTCGGCTGAGACCGTAATCACAGCTTGCGGGACCGTCTGAGCCACTGCGATCTGAGAGTGGGGTGGATCTGGAACGCCTGTAATACGCCCACGCCGCTGAGATTAGGAGGATGACATCTGGAATTTTTTGGTCACGTCGTAGCTCTATGCGATACCAAGTGAAAGTCTCCAGCTCCAGGCCAGAATGTACACTTCCAGCTAGCTGCAGACATGCATGATCATGGTCCGTGTCCGATATGCAGCTGCATGGAGCCGCCTGAAGCATTACGTACAGTTTGTGAGCCCAAGCCAAAACTCCTCCCCCACTCTTCTCCCTCCACTCTCCACCCATACTGCAACCACACCCCCACGATGCAGAACTACTCCTACCATCTCCTAGTCCTAACCATCCTCCAAGCCTTCATCATCACCCCGCGCATCGCCATCGCGCGACTCGGCTTCCTGGACAATGTGAACCCCCGGCAGGCGCTGGACAAGATGGAGAAGCTGGGCAAGTGGGATAAGGAGGTCGTAAAGCGGCTGAGAAGGAGACAGGCAGCGCATGAGAATTGTCTGGAGAGTCTGGGAGTGGTCTGTGCGGCTGTTGTAAGCCGTCTTGTTTGCCTTTGTCTGCGGAGGGAAGAGCTGAGGCTGATGAACCAGGTCGCTGGGAATGCTGCTGGTTTGGATGCGAGGTATATGACGCTTGCTACTGGGGCTTACTTCCTCTTGAGATGTTCATTCAGTACGTCGTAACCCGTCTGGCAGTCAGTGTGCAAGACTCGGTAGCTGATGTGACAGTCTACCTGTATCTAAACGTGACGGACCAGAATCTCTCCCTCACACGGACGATGGTGTGGTACGCCTTGACTTGTACGTGTTCCGCCTGACATGCGTGACGCTGGTCCAGAGCTCATACCACAGTCACCTACCTCCAGATGTTCTGGAAAGCGGGCAACGCTCTCCTGGCCAAAGGAGCTATATAATACATACACAATCAACGCTTCTTTCTCCGGGTATTATATCGTCAATGCACAAGCTCCCGCCCGCCTCCATGAGCCTTCCGTCGCCAGTCATCTAGTCCACCATGATCTCGTCCTCGTCCGCTTCTACCCCATCTCCGAAGCCCCTCGATGCTAATGTGCGCTTGACGAGCTTTGCTACGTCGACGTCGTCTTCGCGGACAAAGTCGTCAGATCTGTAGAATCAGCGATCCCCTCCGCTGCCGTATCTGGAACTGCCTCGTATTGGGCTTCACAGCAAGAAACAAGGTGGACTCACGCTAGTGACAACTCGTACTTGTCTTTGACGGTCGTAAGCAGATCGCGCAGGTTGGCTAATGCTTTCCGGAGACAATCAACGGCTGAAAGGTTTTCTGATAGAGTCAGTCTTCGGATCTCTTCTGGACCGGAGTAGACGCCGGAGAGCACGTAGCTAGGGAGCGGGACCTACCGTACATCTGTATCCGAAGGTGGATCTTCGGTTCTGAGGGGTGTGGTGCCGAGTATCCGCAGAACTCGACGTCGGCGCTGATGTGTCAGCCGTATCGTCGGCGTAACGGCCGGCTGTGTGAGCGGACTACGCACTCTTTCATGATCATCCATCGTAAGGCATTGCCTAATGTGTGGTCCTCCTGAGCGAGGCAGAAAGTACAGGCAGAGTAGTCGGGTTCATGTCCTGGTAACTATCGCATCAGCTTGGACGCCTTGAGGTTAACAAGAGCTGTCGAGCTCACTATAGTGATCTTGTCGGGAATGATACCTGCCAGAACCGACGCCTGGAGCGTTCCAGCATTGTCTAGCTTTGCTGCCTGTTGTGTTGAGTCTGCCATGGTGATGATGGGGTCAAGTTGATGCTTGATGGAGGCTTCCAAAACAATCTTTCAGCGCGACCTCCACCTTGACGCACGGATCACGGTCCCGGGCCACGTGGAGAGGTGCCACATTAGAAATCGCCGAATGGAGGAATGGTGATTATGACGCAGCTGCGCTCCACGATCTACCACCTTCCCCAACCTTCTTTGCTGCTCCCAATCTATACATCGTCTTCTCTAACCCAACCAACCCAAAACAAAAGCACTGTAAGTACAGCTCTGGTCAGCGGAAAGGTCTGGGGCAGCTCATCCTTACCAGCCCGCTTTTTCTCTCCCGGCAATCCTTCCCGCTCTTCCTTTCTCTCTCGCACGTGTATACTCTCCTTCCACTTCATTTGCCATGTCTTTTGCTCGACGATTCGTTTCTACCGCCAGCACAATGTCGTGAGCTATTCGGACCATCTGCACACTTCAAGAATGGCTAGCTGACCAGTTAGCAACGTTTACTTCGACGTCACCATTAACGGTAGGTCCCCTTTGGCTTCGGCCAAGAAGGCCCCGCGCTGATCTTCAGGCGCCCCCGCCGGCCGGATCTCGTTCAAGCTGTACGACGACGTCGTGCCCAAGACCGCTGCCAACTTCCGTGCTCTCTGCACTGGCGAGAAGGGCTACGGTTACGCCGGCTCAGGATTCCACCGTGTCATCCCCCAGTTCATGCTCCAGGGCGGTGACTTCACCAGTAAGCTCACCGTTTCGTAGCTGCGACAAGGACACGAGCTGACGATCTAGACCACAACGGTACCGGTGGCAAGGTATGCCTTTGCCCCTCAAGCCACACTCAAGACATTGCTAACCCATAGTCCATCTACGGTAACAAGTTCGCCGACGAGAACTTCAAGCTCCGCCACGACAAGCCGTTCCTCCTCTCCATGGCCAACGCCGGCAAGGACACCAACGGTGAGCTTCCCGTTCCGTGATGAATGACCTTTCCGAGCTGACAATCCAGGCTCGCAGTTCTTCATCACCACCGTTGTCACCAACTGGCTTGACGGCAAGCACGTCGTCTTCGGTGAGGTCACCCAAGGCCAGGACCTCGTCAAGAAGATCGAGTCTCTCGGCTCGGGTTCCGGCAGTGAGTATTGACTATAAGATCATAAGGGAAAGAGCTGACTAGATTCCAGAGCCCTCCGCCCAGGTCCAGATCTCGGCTGCTGGTACCGTCTAAGCTACTGTAGCTTGACGTTCACGCCTAAGAGAACGAGGAGGAAATGTGGAGAAGTAAAACATAGCGATGCAATATCTGTCGTCTAGCTCTTGGAATCGCGCACTATCAACGCTGATCCACATACTGAAGTCCTCGAGTGTTGCCAGCCATGTCCGCTTTAATCTGCCGATACCTAACAAGTGCATTCACCCCAAGCCCCACTATACCAAACCCACACTCCCATCTCCTCTTCTCCGCAGCGTCTTGCCCGCTCGAATCCCCAAACAGTCGCCCTCATCCATCGCCACCTCGCCATTGACAAGCACGAACCGTATCCCTTTCGCCCTCTCTTTCGGCCTCTCAAACGTCGCCATATCCGCAATCTCCTCTGGATCAAAAAGCACAAGATCCGCTGCGGACCCGACTGCAATAACCCCGCGGTGCGGGTACACCCCGATCCGCTTCGCCGGGCGAGACGTTAGGTGAGCAATCATATCCGGGATAGCCTCCAGCTGGAGTTTGCGCGCATAGTATCCGAGGAATCGGGGGAATGTGCCGTATGCCTAAGGGTGATTAGTGGAGGCGGAGAGAGGAAAGAGGGGACGTACCCTTGGATGCGTATTAGCGCCGTGGAGAATAGCATCGCTCCCTGAGCAGTGCTTTTCGTCCATCATCATCGCCCGGACATTCTCCTCGTTCCCGATATGCATGAGGCAGCTGGTGGCTAGGCGATCTTTCGTAAGGATATCGAAGAAGACATCGATGGTGGGCTGGCCGAGGGAAGTGGCTATGGCCTGAACGGTCCGTCCTGAATGGGCAGCAAGGGAGGGATGGGTAGTAGAGCCGACCTGAGATTAGCGACAACCTCTTCTACCAATAAAGAGTGATGATGACTCACCTCGATCACTGCCCAATTGGTCGGTATCCCATGTCCCCCATCGCATCCCTCCACTTCGACCGCCACGCGTATCTTCTCCCGCAGCTCCGGATCTTCCAGCCGCTTCAGTGTCTCGGCCGGCCCGCCCGAAGACGCCCAGCTCGGTAATAGCGAAGCGAGGGTCGTACAGCCTGGCAAGTACGGGTAGGTATCGAGCGTGATGTCGCACCCGGAGGATCGGGCGGATTGGATCCGGGAGAGCAGTTCTGGGGCTCGACCGGCGTTATCGGGGAAGTTTAGGGTCGCGTGGGTCAGGTCTGGCGGTTAGCCAGAGACCACGAGGGGAGAAGGCAGCGGGAACAGAAAAGAAGGAAGAGGATAGAGGGAGGGACGTACGGACCGGACATCCCGTCGTTCTCGACAGATCCAACATCTCTTCATAGCTCTCCATGGCTTTGTGTCCGTAGCTCCGATGATGCGGGGCATAGTACGCTCCGGGGTACTCATCATTGAGCGTCTGGCACAAGACCGCCAATTCCGAATTCGAGGCGTACATCCCGGGCGTATACGTCAAGCCACTGCTATCAGCTTCTTTTTCTCTTCTGGCACGTACCTGCTCATTCCTACCGCACCCTGGTTCATCGCCTCCCTCAGCAATTCTACCTGATCCCTCACCTCCTCGTCGCTCGCTACCGTCTTGCGCGGTCCGCACGCCAAAAGCCGGAGGTTGCCCTGCGGAACAAGCACCGCGACGTTGGTAGCGGTCCGATTCCGGTCGAGAGTATCGAGGTACTCGCCGACAGAGGACCACTCAAACATCCCTTTGCCCGCCAGAGTGGTCCGGCACTCATCATCCGTCGGATTCCCATTCCACCCCGCTATCTGTTCTCTTATCGCGGTCATCTCGTGCGCGTGTCGAGTGGGGTAGTACGAGATTCCGTCTTGTCCTATGACTTCGGTCTGGCTGTCAGTCCCCGCTCACACCCCGGCAGAAAAGACGGAGGGAGGACGTACAGTGCATCCCTGGGATATCTTGGCATAGTGCTCCGGATGGGTAAGGAGGTAGAGATCCGAATGCGCGTGCATGTCTATAAATCCCGGACAGAGGATATGGCCCCGCGCATCGATGACTCGGGCTTGGGACGGAGGTGGGATGTACGGAGCGATAGATGAGATGAGACCGGAAGAGACGTCCACGAGGACGTCGGAGAGATAAGGCGTAGGCGAGTCTTCGCCGCTGATCACGGTAGCGTTCCGGAACAGGATCGGTTGCTGCTGCGACGATGGCATGATGAGCTAGATGGGCGATGGGAAAGAGCTGCTATACACAGATGGAAGAGATGAAGTGTACAGTCAAGATGATTGGATGCGGGCGGGAGAATTGCGGTGTCTAAGTTACTGTGTGGGTGGGCGGGCGCAGGTGGCCGAACGGCAAGAGGGAGCCGAAAACGTAAAAGTGGGGGAAGGGTGCCGCTCCCCCACCCTGCTTCTTCTGGGCCGGTGGGGACCGGATAGGGCAAAGGTGGAGCCCTCCTCTAATGTGCTCTTGACTTGGGAGTGGACTCAGTGGACTCAGAGCATGCGGAACCATCTGGAAGTACTCTCTTCCTCGAGAGCCTGCTGATATGAGCTGCGAACACAGCTGTGTGCGAGATGCGATTATGCTTTCGCCCGTCAATCCACCGCGGGCGGGGAGCGTTCTTCCCTCGAGTTCGTGCGACATTCCATCTAACTAGTCCTGGGACCTCGAAACCGCCATGAGAGGCTGTCCCTCTAGCGCGCGCTGCGGGCCATCGTATCACAGGGCAACCCTACATACATAGCTCCTTCTGCCCTGCTTCGGCCCGCTCAGAGCTTGGGTGGCAAAAACGCACGGACGTGCCGAATCTGGGGTCTCCAGCCGCTGAGCCGCCCAGCTCAGCGAGCCCGAGCGACAGGTTGGTCCATATCGTTGTTGTTGCTTCGTCCACCTACCTCCGCTCCACCATATACTACACAAGGCCTTCCCGTACGGCTCTCTAGAGACACTGGGATTAAGATGGACGTCCTCAAAGCGGTACAGACGTATGTGATGAAGATGATCACGGAGGTGCCGGGGATGAAGGTGTTGCTTCTTGATGCGCATACCGTGAGTTCAACATTGATTTTGAGGTGTGCCCTTGCGGGTCACGGTGACCTTCACCTCATATGTGAGAGAGATGTGGTAGCTTATAATAATGGACGCCCATAGTATCCCTCGTGGCTACGCAGTCCGAGCTGTTAGCGCACGAAGTCTACCTTACCGACCGGATAGACAAGTAAGTCTGCGAGCGGGTCGAGCGGTGTTGGACTTATAAGCCCCCGCATTCCTGCTGGTTCTCTCAGCTCGGAAAACAGCGCCTGTCGTGGACGACCAAGCTGATACAGTCTAGCTTATCACGCGAATCTCTGTCGCACCTCTCGTGTATCGCCTTCCTTTCGCCCGGGTCCGTCGAGGGCGTCAAAGCGGAGCTCGCCAAGCCTAGGTATGGCGGGTACTGGCTTTGTGAGTATCCTCAACTTTGGAGTGCTCAGCTCGGTAGCTAGGAAGTATGAGACTGCTAGGATGAGCTGACGGGTAGATTTCTCAAACACCTTGACCAAGGCCGAGATAGAAGGGATGGCCGAGGTGGACGAAATGGAGGTCGTCCGGGAAGTCCAGGTGAGCTTGCTTGCCTACGGTTCTCGGGACGGGTTCTGAGCTGATACATATAGGAATACTTTGCAGACTACCTAGCCCAATACTCTAGCCATTTCAGCCTCACTCCAGCTGCATTGGCAGACGGCGGAGAGGGTCCGCCCAACGTGAGCTTCCGGTTTCTCTCGTTTGGGAGTCGGAGCTTATGCCTCAGCCACCGCTATACCTCCCGCCACCGATGTTACTCACTCCGCCGACGATCTCGTACCAGGTCCGAGCTATCCTGGCTGTCCTGCTCAGTCTGAAGAAACGGCCGGTGATACGGTGGGAACGGATGAGCCAGGCGGGACGGAAACTGGCGATGGAGGTTCAGGTATGTTGGGCATACGAGCGACGGAAGGATGAGAGAGAATGGACCGTCAGCTGATGCGCTAGTCGGCTATGCAGAACCCGCCTTATAGGGAGTTGTTTGACTTTAGGCCTAGCGCTGGGCCATCCCCGTTGCTCTTGATACTAGGTGAGCTTGCTGGCACGTTATGGCAGAACGACTACATGAAGCTCACTCTTCAGACCGCCGAAACGACCCCCTCACCCCGCTGTTGTCTCAGTGGACTTATCAAGCGATGGTACATGAGCTTATAGGGATCACCAATGGCCGCGTCCGAATAGAACACGAAGAGAAGCTAGAATTACGGGTAGGCACCCTCAAGTCCCTCGCTAGACCTGAAGCTGACACCCCAGGATATCGTCCTCTCCCCATCTTCCGACCCCTTCTTTGCCCAAAACCTCTTCTCCAACTTTGGCGATCTCGGCGCCGCCATCGCCTCCTACGTCTCCGACTATCAATCCAAAAATTCCACCCTCGCCGGCGGGGGCAGCAACAGCAAGAACAGGATCGAAACGGTGGCGGACATGAAGCGGTTCGTGGAGGAGTATCCGGAGTTCCGGCGATTAGGCGGGAATGTGACCAAGCATGTGACGTTGGTGGGCGAATTGAGCCGGATCGTGGAGAGGGATGAGCTGTTGGGCGTGAGTGAGGTGGAGCAGAGTCTGGCTAGCCAGGAGAGCCACCAGGCGGATCTGAGAGTGGGTGTCTTCCATTTTACTTGATCAGTTGCGGTATACTTGACGAGGGAACCCGTCAGCTGACTCATATAGAGCGTCATGACACTTCTCGCCAGCCCTCGCGTTCCATCCAGCAACAAGCTCCGCCTCGCTATCCTCTACGCCCTGAGATATCAAAAAGCCCAAGGCAACCAGATCGCCACCGTCGTCGACGCGCTCATACGCAATGGTATCTCGGCGGACAAGGCGCGACTCGTATACGTCATGCTCAACTTTGCGGGCGCGGATGTCCGGCAGGACGACCTGTTTATGAATGATAATCTGTTTTCGAGGGGCAAGTCGGCGTTGAAGGGGCTGAAGGTGAGTTCTGGGCGCTGAAAGGGAAAAGGGAAAGGAATTGAGCTGATAGGCTAGGGAGTGGAGAATGTGTATACACAACATACGCCTCATCTGATGCAGACGCTGGATATGCTCCTCAAGGGACGGCTGAAGGAGACGAGCTATCCGTCCTTGGAGGGAGACGAGGCTGCTCGGGCACAACGGTGAGCTGATGCGCGCTGACATTGCGTGTTGGATCGCTGAGCTGATCTCACACAGACCACAAGATATCATAGTCTTCATGCATGGCGGGACGACCTATGAGGAGGGGCGGGCTATCGCTTTGCTGAATCAACGGTTGGCTAGTGATAGGGAGGGAGGTCCGGGCGGGACGAGAATATTGCTCGGAGGGAGTATGGTCCACAACTCAGCAAGGTGAGCTAATGCGCCGCCCCGTGAGCTCGAAGCTTCAAGGAAGTAAAGCTGATATCCCAGCTTCCTCAACATGGTCGAATCCTCCGCCGAACACTTCCCTCCAGATATCTATACCGCCCCCTCCTCCGTCGGCGGAACATCCACCTATTCCTTCCCTTCCTCCTCATCCTCATCCACCCCCGCTCCCGGACCTTCTGGAACGAGCGCGGCGGGCCCGAGCACACCGGGCCTCAACCTCCGAGCGGGCGGCTATGAGCTGTCTGTGGGTGGAACAGCGGGGAGTGGGCTGTATAGGACGCAAGAGGAAGCAGGGGCGAGTGTAAATCTGGGACAGGTGGGGCAAGGGGCGAGCAGTGTGGCGGAGGGACTGAGGGATGGGGCGGGGAGGTTGTGGGGGAGCGTTAGGGCCAAGGTGGAGGAGAGGGTAAGTAGGACGGGGACGCCGCTAGGATAGAGAGTAGGAGAGGTAGGTGGATTGAGAAGGTGGTTGTTGGGGTTTGAGGCGAGAATCTAGTATGCGATATGTATCTTAGCGGTATTCTTACAAATCGCTAGACGCTAGCGTCAGCTCCACATTCCTCGTCAGCCCGCTCCCGATCTTCTTCCTTTTATGGAACACAGCATGTAAGCAAGACCCTTCCCCGATTCCTGGCGTAGGACTTATCTCTCAGGTATCATGGTGCTAGGCTCACTGTACCCCGCCTCGGCTTGAGGCTCGCTACTGATGACCTTTTTCGACGTAGGAAGGTCCAAGCGCTCCAAGCTCCAAGCGCGAACTCCGTCCTCGTCGGGGGAGATCAAACTTTCCAAAGGGGTACCTTTGGCCATCAATCGCCTTCTACTGATCTACCTTCCTTCGTTCTCCATTGCCTCTCAACCGTCACAACATGGAGCCAGGTACCATGGCTCGGGCCGGAGGGCGGGAAATCAAGCCGGATATCTGGAGACGGGTACTGTGGTTCCTGCAGAGGGAGGTGCCGGCGCCGCTGTCCAAACCGGAGAGGCGGGCGATCAGGCAGGGTGATCTCGCCGCTGCTCTCAAAGTCTGCACCGTACGTATCACCCTTTCTTCATGGTCTGCGCTGATCAGCAGGTGCTGTATAATCTCGCTATCCCCCTCCTCTACACCTCGGTGGTGTGCGACGATCTCAACGCCCTTCTTTACGTCCACCCTACCTCGAACTCATCCCCCCGTCTCGCTGGCAAGACCTCCCACCTCGCCCTCGTCAAGCGTCTGTACCTCGAGTACAACGACAAGTCCACCGCGGATGACTTGTCGGAAGCCTATCAAACGGAGCTGTCCGACGTCCATCGAGCGTTCCACAACCCCCTCTTCGCTGCGCCGCACGGTACGTTTCCCCATCTACAAAATCTCGCCATGGGGTCGATATACGGAGCGCCTCCCAGGACGACTTGGTACGCGCTCTGTCGGCCTTTTCTTAACAATCGTGTTCGCAATGAGCTGGCGCAACCTATACCCCGGCTTCTCCTCTCGCCTGATCTCCAACACGTTTGCCAGCGGAGCGGCGGACTACTTTTCAACTTCCCTGACGTTCTCACCTATCCCTCTCCCGCCCTCTCATCGGCGGTTCTGACCACTCATATCAAGCCTGGGGAACGGGACTGGTCCATCCCACTCGGCGTCCCTTGCCGATGGGTCCTAGAGGCGGGACCTCATCGCACTTTCAAAGCGGTTCGCGCAGGCGTCGAATCGGTGCTCAGTACCGTTGGGTCGTATCGCCACTCGAAGTACTCGCGCGCGGACGTAACGGATCGGCGGTTCCTCCTCAACATCTACGCGCCTGGGCTGAAACCGCCCAGTAACGTCGATATCGGATGGGGAGCTGACCCACTTCCCCCGGGATGGAGGTACGAGGGCGACTCGGCTATCTTCCTGCCTGATCTGGAGGAGAAGGATCTAGAGGAGGAGGTGAAAAAGATGAAGGACATGATGTGGAGTCGCGTGAAAGGGGATGAGATCAGGTGGTTGGGGGGTGCGCAGGCGGGAAGGTGTGGCGCGTGTGAGGATTAGGATGGAAGGGCGGGATAGTGTGCGTGGAGCTAGAGATAACGCGGCACGTGGGCGGCGGGGATGCTGAGCGCAATGGAGGGGAAGTCGCTCCAGGACGTAAGAAGTATCGTAGCTGTCTCGTCTTTCCTATTTGTCCATGTACGGCGCGTAGCTCGAGCATCATGGGGAAGCGTGCTCATTGGCACATATCGGCTGCGATCCAGCTGACGCCATTCAGGCAGCTCTGCAGCCACTCAGGTGCACGGTGCGAGCTTTGATCGATACGTCGAGCCGTGCGGTCAGATTCGCGCGAATTCCTCAGGAGTCAGGACTCGGTTTTGACTTGTCCGAGTATCTGTGACTTGTCTCTTGTACATCTTCCTTTGAATAATCCGAGCACTACACAACATGGGCCTCATCATGACCGGGACGGAAGCTGACAACGTCGCCGCTAAGATGTATCATAGCATCTTCTGGCTCGAGACCAATACCAGGTCCAAGCGCAAACCTTGTCCGGCTTGACCGGAGACGTCGACGACCAAAAAAGTTCACGCTTTTTGACCCGCTAACCCTTCTCCCTTGATTCCTTCACCCTTCATCCTCTAATTTCACCAAATGAAGCGCCTGCGCACCACAAAGCTATCCAAGCAGGATGAAGACACTACAACAAGGGCGAGGGTGATCGAGCCGGATATCTGGCGAAGAGTGCTATGGTTTTTGAAGAGGGAGGTCCCGGCGCCCTTGTCTAAGCCCGCAAGGAAGGAGGTGCGACAGGGAGATCTCGTAGCAGTGATGCTGGTCTGCACTGTACGTGTCTGTCCTCGTGAAAACTCTGTATTTTGGCTGATAACGCGCAGACCATCTACGATATTGCCGTTCCCCTCCTCTACTCTTCGGTGATATGCGAAAACCTCACCGCTCTACTCTACATACACCCGGCGGCGGACTCATCTCCCCGCCTGGCAGGCAAGGTTTCCCATCTCGGCCTCGTCAAGCGTCTTTACCTCGAGCAGACGGACAAGACCCATATCCCGCGCGACGCGGACACCATGTCGGACGCGTATGATGCGCAGCTCTCGGACCTGCAACGCGCACTGGACACTCCCTCCTTCTCCAACACTCCCGGAGCTTTCCCCAACCTCGAGACTCTGGCTCTGAGCTCCATCTTCGGCCCGGCGGATCAGATGTCCTCGCACCGGTTCTGCCGTTCGCATACGGCTCCCGATCGGGGACGGCGGCTCCGTGAGCTGGCGGATCTTATGCCGCGGCTACTCCTCTCTCCCCGCTTGCGGCATGTCTGCCAGCGAGGAGGTGGAGGTCTCCTCAACTTTCCAGCTCTTCTGCACGATCCACCCCCATCTCTCTCCTCGGCCGTCCTTACCACACACATCCAGCCGGGAGAAGAGTACTGGTCTATCCCGCTCGGTCAGCCCTGCATCTGGGTCTTTGACTCGCCGGGTCGTCATCCACACGCCACTGTTCGGAAGACGGTCGAGGCCGTGCTGAGCCTACTCGGCTCTATGCGCCCCTGGTCAGCACAGCCCAAGTATCAGCGCTTCCTCCTCACAATCTACGCATCAGACCATCAGGTACCTGGCGGCGTGACATTGACGGGGGGCTCCGCGAACTTTAGGAAGCTCCCTCCAGGCTGGAGATGGAATGGTGCTAGAGCTATATATGAGCCTGGACAAGAGGTGACGGATCTGCAGGAGGCAATGAAGGCGATACAAGGGAGGATGGCCGGGTTTGGAGGCGGCAAGGACGAGATCAAGTGGTTGCCCGGATGTCAGGCGGGTCGGTGCAGCGCGTGCGAGCTGTAGGCACGGCCGGGGGGTCTCGTCGTAGCGGATATGGGTCATGAGCTCTCATTCAGGCATTTCGCTGCTCTTGATGGCCTGATTGACCGCTCTCTACTGCTCTCAACCGTAGAGCACCTCATGTTTCCCTCATCATGCGCCATCATGGCCTATAGGCAGTGGAGACGGAATTACGTGAAGCGCCGGGTATTCCCGGCTCTCTCGGCAATAGCTGGGGTCTCTCTCCCTACTCGACCATCTATCTCTATCTCTGTCTATAGCTCTCCAATCTGTACATGCTACAAGCACTGACAAAGGCTGCCCTACGACCCATCACACGCTCAACAGTATCATACCTTACGCATCGTAGAATGTCCAGCATCTTTGATACCTCTCGGTACGTTATGACAAGGTCCCCTCTGATCCTCCCTCTATGTCTGGCTGACATCACAGTCTCGTGGGCAAGACCGGTACGTTACACAGCCCAAACGATGCCATTGTCGCGCGGTGTGACTGCAGCTGACGGTCCAGCTCTCATCACTGGTGCCTCGGCCGGTATCGGGGCCGCAACAGCCCACCTCTTTGCCCGTGCCGGCTCCAACGTCGTCCTTCTCGCTCGGCGCGCAGACAAGCTCGCAGAAGTCAAGAAGGCGTGCGAAGAGGGCCACAAGGAGGCCAAGGTGGACAATGGGAAGGTCGTCGTGATTGAGGCGGATGTGTCCAACAAGGAGAGCTTGGAGGCTGTCATGGGGAAGCTGGATGGGTTGAAGGTGGACTTGTAAGTTGATCAGCTTCCGACTCACGCTGGACCAGAGTATAGCTGATGTGATAGCCTCGTCAACAATGCTGGGATGGTCCGCGGACGAGAGCACATCGGTGGTGAGTTCATCATCGTGGCAGCCGTGATCTCAGCTAACGGTGTAGACATCGCCGACGAGGATATTGAGATCATGATCAACACCAATGTTGTCGGTCTGATCAGACTGACTCAGCTGTTCGTCAAGGAGATGAAGAAACAAGACTCTGGGGTATGTTCCGCATACGCTCGAGGCCAATTATCCCGCTGATTTCTACAGATGATCATCAACCTTGGCTCTATCGCTGGTCGCGAGCCCTACGCTGGCGGCGGTATCTACTGCGCCACCAAGGCCGCTGTGCGATCTTTTAACGGCAGTCTGCTGCGGGAGCTGGTCAATACCAACATTCGGGTCTGCGAGATCCAGCCAGGTAAGCTGACCATGCGAGCCAATCGTCGCATACAGAAGGCTGATACACCTAGGTATGGTTGAGACCGAATTCTCGCTCGTGCGCTTCAGGGGCGACAAGGCCGCTGCGGACAGCGTCTACACCGGTCTTACACCTTGTAAGTTTCAGCCATGCATCAGTCATGGTTGAGCTGACCAGGCAGTGTCCGGCCACGATATCGCTGAGCAGATTGTCTGGGCCGCTAGCAGGCCAGAGCACGTCCAGATCGCTGAGATGCGTGAGTGCCTTTCGGACTCAGTTGTGGACGAGCTGACCAGGCAGTCGTCTTCCCCTCGGCGCAGGCTTCTGCTGGGATCAACTACAAGAAGCCGCAATAGTAAGGTCCACATAGAATGTCGGTAACGTAGGAAGCGATGCATCTAGCTCGAAGCTCTGAGGGTCCATTCGGGCATTGCGCTGTCGACTGTGATCGGGGATCTTTGAGTATGAACATCAATCAAAGTGTGATCCTCGGCATGTAACATATGGCCAAGATTCTCTGCCTCTCAGCCTCCCTCTGCCCCTCTCCGCCCACACTATCACTCTCTATCTAGGTATCATGGCCACCCGGCGGTCCGGGCCGGTCCGAGGAATGTGGAGTCGAGCTAAACGGGCAATTTTCTAACACCAGCCTGAAATTTAGCGCCTTCTCTTATCTCTTATCTCGCCTTCACATCGCTGATCTGTCATCCACTCGTTGCCCGCGTGGTACGTCAAGGGCGGGACCATGAGCTTGGCAAGATCCCTAACGAGATGATATCTGTCCCGCTCGGAGGTCTTGCTGGAAATGTTCGGAAGTGTTGCCGATTGGGTAGATAAGGGCTGCTCTTGCTGTCAGCTCCTACAAATACTGCTCACTCCAGCTCCTCTTCCCCCTCATCGCCTCACCATACTGACCTCTCCATCAACCCATCATGCTAGCCTCGCTCTTCGCCCTCCTCCCCCTCCTTCCCCTCATCTCGGCCCTCCAGCTCGCCGGGAACGAAAACTACGCTCGAGACTCTCGGCGCCTGCTCCGACCCTCCCTAGAGCGCCGATCCAGCTATGTCCCCGCCTTCCAGCCCGAGTCGGTCTCATTCACCCTCGGACCGAAAGAATTCATCTCGCCCATCGGCGGAGAGTTCAAGTCGTATACACTCGACCCGGATTTCGGGCTGGACGAGTATGCGGGAAAGAGCATGCTGGTAACTGTCATCCCGGTAGAGGGGAACGTCACGTGTGATGCGCTCGGGAAGATGGTGGACGAGTATACTAAGAAGGATGATGTGTGGGACAAGGTGAGCTTTAGTGACAAGGAAGTGCGAGCACAGCTGACTTTGCAGGGGTTCATGCAAGCCATCGTCCTTACCTCAAGCGGAGCCTATCATGTCAACTCGGAGGTTGCAGGCTGTGTCAAGAGCTGGGGTGGATCCCTCATCGTCAAAGCTGGCGCAGCTACATCATCAGTATCTGACATCGGCCTCGCGCATGTGACCGGAGACTCGGTAAGCTCAAAAGCGATCTTCGTGCTGGTGAAGCTGACTCTGCAGGTCCCTCCAGGTCCATACTTTGCTAAGATCACCTCCTCGCTCCGCCTCACCCAGGTCTACCGCTCTTTCAAGGATGAGCAACAGGCGTTCACCGCGGCTACCGTCCCTACCACCAACTTGACCTTTGTCGACCTCTCGACACCGCTTGCCGGTCTCAACACGATCTCCATCCCCGTCCCTTCCCGCTTGTACACGGCATACATGGCGAATCCTCGGCCTCTCGAGGGGCGACGCGTGGCGGTCAAGGATCTGTTTGACATGGCTGGTATGCGGACTGGCGGAGGAAGTAGGGCGTACTGGAACACCTATCCCGAGAGGCAGAAGACCGCTGTGGCAATCCAGCGCTTGATCGATCAGGTGAGTTGTGCATATCTCACCAGTACCAGAGCTGACATGCAGGGTGCGGTCATCGTCGGCCGAACCAAGTCATCCCAATTCGCCAACGGAGAATCCGCAACGGCGGACTGGGTCGACCAGATGTGCCCCTTCAACCCGCGCGGAGACGGCTACCAGCAACCCTCGTCCTCCTCTTCTGGGTCTGGCGCTTCCATTGCCGCCTACGACTGGCTCGACAACACTATCGGATCGGATACCGGGGGTTCCATCACTGGTCCCGCTGGCGTACAAGGTGTATACGGTATGCGGCCAACTTGGGGCGCCATCTCGCTCGAGGGTGCGATCCCGCTCCAGGCCACCCAGGATACCGCCGGCGCGTTCGATCGCAGCGCAGTGAAGGGAGCGGCATTCGTCAAGGGATGGTACGGGGACAAGTTCAAGACCTACCCCAGCATGCCATCTGTATGTTCTGGATTGAGTGAGGCTGACGCCAGACCTTGATCTTCCCCAACTCATCTTGGACCTTCCCTGCCAACAGCTCCACCGGCGCCATCTTCTCCAGCTTCCGCACCGCCCTCACCGCCTACGCCAAGCCCACCTCAATCGAGACCCAAGATTTCGAGGGCTACTGGAACACCTCGGGCCGGTTCCAGACCTACTCGTCCAACTCGTCCACTTACCTCAACGCCGTCTACGGTACCCTTATCACCTACTTCCAGTGGACCAACTTTGGCGTGCCCTGGATCGCCGACTACCAAGCCCAGAACGAGGGGAGGGTACCCTTCATCTCGCCCAGCCCGCTCGTCCGCTGGAACTATGGAAGGGACAACGTGACGCAGGCGAGCTTTGACGCGGCGCTGGGCAAGAAGCAGGTGTATCAGGACTTTATCAAGTCGGCGGTGCTTCAGCCGGATGCGCAGCGGTGCTCGAGGGCGATCTACCTCGCGCCCAACTCGCTCGGGACGCCATCTTACCGAGTATGTCCGTCATCTTTCTGCTTGGGCCAAGGCTGATGCGCAGAACGCATATCGCACAGCGACCACAGTCCCTCTATCCGGCGTCTACACCTCACAGTTTGCGGGTATTCCCCAGCTCATTGTCCCTCTCGGCCAGGTCCCGTACACCTCTACCATCACCAACAAGACCGAGTACCTGCCTGTCACCGTCAGCATGTTTGCTGCCGCGGGGTGTGACTATGTGCTGTGGGACATAGCTGCTGCATTGGAGGTAAGTCTCTTTCCTGTGTGACTTTTCTGAGCTGACAAGCCAGTCTTCTGGCGCAATCAAGGCTGTCAAAGCGGGACGGGTCGGATACTAGGAAGTGACCGGCGCGTCGCGAAGGATAAGCTCGAGAGCCGATCAAACCCTATCGAAGAAGTACATCACTACAATCAACTTATAATAGAGATTAGACGCAGCATGAGACATTTCTAGTGGCGCTCTCGTACTCAGGCATGGCGCGCTCCCCATCAAGCATGCTGCAGCAGTCCCACCATGATCGCCATTCGGAACCGCAGGCTGCCACTCTGGCTGGGCCCGGTAAAAACGCCGTAATTTCTACCTTTCATCCCCCCACCTGCGCAGCGACTTTACCTCGAGTTGTTGTCATTATCATACGCCACTGCAACTATCTCCGGATGCAGAGAACTCCACGACCGCAAGGGTCTGTTTTAGGCATCTTAGGCATCGCAGCATGCACTGACCAAATCGGGCGAGAGGAACGGTCATCGAATACATCCGAGTATACGCACCGCGTGTGGTCGGTGACCAAATGATGTGGGTGGGGGAGAAGAACCACTCTAGTACTATGGTATGTTACCCATCAATCCAGAAATCCAGCTGCGGGCCTACATTGCGGGGTACAGAGCGGTCCTGTCGTGCTCGTATGCGGTGGCTCGGAGGCACTTCAATGATAGAGCACTGCCAGATAGTGGTTGTGGTCTAAATTTGACCACCTGACCGCGTGTGATCTTCACCGTCGGCTCCGAGATCTCAGATCTACCTGATACCTTCGGGTCCGATCACTGTCCGATCTCTGTCTTCGGACGACCGCCCTATCATACCTGCAGTAGACGTCTCTTCCTTATATTAAGCAGCGTCGAGGAGAGGTCTCCGCCGCTATGAAAAAAAGTGAACAGTACAGGCGAGTCTTCCGTTTCTTTTCCTGCTGGCCCGTCCTAGCTGACTCCAAGGCATCCAACCCGTCTCCAACACCCCTCTCTCTTACTTCTACCACCATGTCGTTTTCCAAGGCAGTGCCACCCCAGCCGTGGTACAGAGTTCCGACGGGCTGGCAAGGACGCTTGTACGGCGGCGAGGTAGCATTCGCCGCTTGTGCCACGTGAGCCAGGTCTTCTTTCGTCTCTTGCACAAGCTGACCTTCAGCCATCCTGCGGGAGTCGGCCACGGATCCCTCTCGATGGACATCACCGTTGCTCACACCGGACCGGTCACCCCCAGCCAGTTCAAATCCCTCCTCCTCGCCGCGTGGGTCGACGTCCGCTTCAATCTTCACCCAGCGCTGGCTGCCGTCAGCGGTGTGCCGTCTGACCTGCTCGATACCGATGGCTATACAATGCTTTACCCGGAGGTGGACGAGGCTGGGGCAAAGGCGTGGGCAGCAGAGACGGTCTTCGAGCACGGCGCGACGACGAGTCTGGAACTGGTGGCCTCGCTCCAACCCACCTCGCCTACAGCCCGCTCATCATGTGCCGTACTGCACTATGTTCCGTCCTCCCAGCTCGACAACGTCCTCCATATCGTCCTCGTGGTCGGTCACTGGATCACGGACGGCCGCGGGGCGTTCAAGATCCTCAATCACCTCGTCCAACACATCAACAACCCTCGGTCGGACGCGTACACTTGGGGGACGAGGTCACCAGACTCACGGTACCCCTCGGGGTCGCCACCGGGCTTCCGACTGCCGGACCGGAGCAGGTCGTACCTCTTACCAAGGCGGAGGTGGTCCCGCCGATTTTATGGGTATGGATGCTGCCACCAGCCCGACTCTCGCGCATGCGGCGCCCTCGGCGGATCTGGCACAGTGTGCTCCGGACGTCATATCCGACTTGACCCTGTCGGAATCGGATTCGGCCGCGTTGCTCAAGGCATGCCGGGCGCATGGCGTGACGGTCACTGCTCTCCTCAACGTCCTGTTCAGCATGGTCGTCGCTGTCGATCAGGCTGCTTTGGCACCCTTCAAAACGGTGTCGTTCCCCTTCCTCGCCATCCACCACGGCCATGCCCTCGTCGAGGACCACCGACACGGTGTTGGACTGCAGATATCAATCGCACCTTTTGTCATGGAGACGGGGACAGTGGCGGCGTGTCTGGATCCGTGCCAGGTGCGCGTTGACGCCATCTGGACGGCAGCAGGAGAAGCCAACAAGCGGCTCGAGGAAGGAAAGGTCAGTATATGAGAATCTAGTATAGGTCTCGCGCTGACATACAGTCGACCAACATCTCAATCACCTTTGAGCACGAAATTATCCAAGCTCTACTTCCCGTCCTCCTCGCCAATAACGGGGAGCTCTTCTATCGTGATGCTTCGCCCTTCGTTACCTCGGTCGGTCTGGTCACTCCGCTCTTCCCACAGTCGGCGGATGCGACGTGGAGGGTGATTGGCGTCGCGAACGGCTTCACGGCGCGCTGGATTCACCCTGCTGCGCACTTCTGGGAGTGGCGGGATCGGACGACCGTGCGGATCGTAGCGAGAGCGGCGTATGACAAGGAGCACTCGATTGAGGGGATGAAGGGGGAGCTGGCGGTGTATATCGAGGAGTTGCTGAAGGAATACCAATAGCGCAGCGTATAGAATGATTGAGGTGATAGAACTTGCAAAGATCCCGTTCCACCACTTCCACTTCTGCTCTCCCTCGCTTAATTCATGTCAGATTAAACCAGGTCAAGCTCAGTTCCGAGAAGGCATCAGCGATGTATCAGTGATGTGGATCAGTGTCCAGCGGGGCGCCTCCGTGGAGCAACCACCCTGCCAAGACCATCAACAGATTGCTCATGCACAGCTCCTGCCTCGTAAGCGCTCAATCTATACTCTGCGTCTCGCCCGATATGTCCGCCATCACGTCGATCTAGCATCTGTATTTCACCCTCTTGTATGCGTCCCAAAGCTACACGCTCCCCACTCCCGCGCATTCCCTCCTCGGCAGCCGTTCTCGCCCTCTCCCTCGCTGCCTGGCCATACTATCCCGCCTTCCCCTCGCGATTGGCGCTCCCCTCCCCATCCTCCCTACCCTCCTCCCACCCTACGTCTCGCTGATGAAAGGACGATGTCCACACGCCTCGCACGCCGGAGTGTCCACCGATGCTCGCCATGTGACGGTGTCGTCCGGCCGACCACCGTCCCGCATGATCTTGGTCCATCGTGCACCAGTGGCGCTGGCGATCGCTCGCTGAGTCTCAGTGGAGATCTCAGCGGCCGAGACGCCAGGAATGCCGGCCGCGATATCTCGTAGAGGGAGGGGGTCGCGAGGATGGGCCGGTCCCATGCGAGGTGTAGACCCAAAGATCTCTACCTTGATCGCGTCAAGTTTGGTGCGGTAATTGCCCCGAATCCGCGCGTCGTGATAGCCTTGCAGGGACCGCTTCGCCATCACGTACAGAGGTTCCCATTCCGCCGATGGACCGCCGTCTGCGACCCATCTGAAGGTCCGACCGAGCTCCGTGGGCAGAACTTTGATATCCTTGTCAAAGTGGACGGTGTGACAAGTAGGGCGAATTTTGAAGCCTAGCTTGTTGACCGACCGAGTGAGCGTAGCGAGACCGAGGGGTGATTCCGGATCGTTCAAGCAAAGATGCTTGATGTTGCTCTCGTTGACGATGGCATGCCAGACATCCCGGATCTGTGGCAGCCTCTCCTCCCCGGGATATTGGGCGTCAACGCGCGCCCATAGGCCTTGCTGCCGCCCATAGATGGCACCGATGGCGACGGTCGTGAGGTTCGGAAGCAGCTTGCGCGGCGTCTCTCCTGCTACGACGCCCAGCCAATTGAGTGTCTCAAACAACTCCTTGCCCCTCCCCTCCTGCGCATAGGAGCTGAGATATTCCGCCTCCTCTGGCGTCGGACAGAGACGCTTCCAGCAGTAACTCCCGCCGCGCTGCAGAAGCTCCTCGTATGAAAGGATAGGAAGCGCGTCTTCGAATTCGATGTAGAGGGATTGGCATTGCGAAAGGGATCTACGGTGCGAGGGGGATTTCATATGGATGCCGCCGATGAATTGGTGCATGCGGTCTGTGGCGACGACTTTGTAGAGGAGAGGAGAGCATATCTGCTGGAAGGCCTGGTCATCAGCATGCTGCCTTGTCAAAGAGGACAGGGAGAGACCGAGCTTACCTTCGAAACGCCGGCGATTGCGCAAAGATCAGGCTCGAAGCTCGCTACGATGGGGCCGAGATCCGGGTAGGGGGATCGGACGTCGCAAGTGGTAAAATACGTCTACCCAGATCTCAGGAGGAAGGTCGGCAGGTGTCTTTGGAGCCATGGTGGAAGAGATGAGATGGAAAAGAGGAGAGCGATCCTCATTCCTCGTTGTTTTGGGCGTCTTGGCCCAGTCAAAAAGTCCTCGCTCGCCATGCCCTCATGTCCCCAACCCGACCTGTAGGAAGAGGCTACATGAAGAGCCCCCATTTGTGTAGTACAAGCTGCTACGATATGGATAAGTGACATCAAGATCGATCAACGCCGCGCTGCTGAGCGATGCTGGTCGCCTCATTCCGCCTGAACCCCACCCACATCAACGGCATCCTCAGCGTACGCTGTCGGCCTTCCACCGGTCGTCGTGTCATCGTACGGTGAGCCCCCCGATCCGCACGCCTCACAAGGTTTGGCATCCTCAGCCGGCAGCCACCTGACCACATCCCTCACCCCCGTCCCCTCGCGGTACACCTCTTGCAGCAGCTCCCCCATCCGTGCCACCAGCTGCCTCTGCTGAACTCTTGACAGCTTGTGGCTTTGATGCAGATTCATCCCGTCTGCGACTGGTCCAAAGTCGAAGCGTTCGCCTGCGGGCCAGTCTCGCCAGGTCCGACAGCGCCGTCCGCAGAGCCAAGAGCTCCACATGACACTTGGCCAATAAGAGCGCCTCCCCTATTTTACTGGTAGCACCGACCCGATCCCAGTAGTATGCTTTGCCGTGGTTGAGCAGAGTGTGGTAAGGGATTGTAGCGTCTTCCTCGTGGTATTCGATGCGGAGCGAGCTGCAGCGACGCATCGCCTCGACTTTCTGCGAGGACCAGGACGGAACGTGGCCGAGAAAGAGGGGAAGATTATCGGTGATGGGGGTGCGGTAAAGCAAGGGGGTTGCGAGCGCGTTGAACATCTACACTAATATCAGCCGCTTCTCCCTGTAAAGATAGTGCCTGTAAGACTGACGTGATTGACTCTTCCGATAGCACATAGATCAAGTTGACGCAAGTCGTGCCTCGGAGGGCATGACAGTGCGGGAGGAGCCGGCCTCAGAAGCTGGGCGACGACGATCTCCCACACTTCAATGGGCAGTAGTGTGTCCTCCTCTGGCACTGACATGGTGGCGGAGAAGGTAGAGAGGCGGATGAGGAGTGAAGAAAGGACCATTTCAGCGAGTCAATCGTCCTCGCAAAGCTTGTTTCGGTTTGATCCCGCGGCTCGTCAAAGTGCTATAGGTCGGCCTACAAATCAGCGATACATCCCAAGTCAGATAGAGCAGAAGCTACGCCTGCCCCCACTTCCTCCCTCGTCCGGTCCCCTATGTATCTCATACAGCCAGAAAAGCGAGACCTATGGACGCACCTGCTCTGCCCCTCAAATTCCCTTGCCCCTCCCTCTTTTTCCCCTGTCCTCGCACCCGCCGTCCTCTCCTGCCCTCATCATTCCTGACCACCACTCAAGCAGGCGGACCGCTTCCACATGCCTCGCAGACAGGTGTATCTACCGAAGCGAGAAACCGTATTTCGTCCTTGAGCCGGCTGTACCGCCTGAGCGTAGTCTGGCACGTCGTACCGATTTTCTCCGCAATCGCCCGCTGTGTCGCCACTGTAAGACGAGCGGCATCCCCTCCCGGCGTACTAGCAGCTACGTCTTCCAAACGAGGTACCAAGCTGGACCGATCAGGCCGGTACGGTCGACCGCGACGACCGATACTGTCCGTTGACAGGCACACTTCGATATTGATAGTGTCCTTTTTGCTCTCGAGGAAGCGCTCAGTACGTATCTCGACCAGCCGAGCGAGAGACGCCATGACGTTCTCATAGATGGGGTGCCAATCTGAAGTGACCGGGATGTCCGATATCCAACGGGTGAAGTGTCCGATCCGGAGAGCGAGCAGATCTGGCTCGGAGCCAAAGTGCACATTGAATTGCGGCCGATATTGACCGGTGAGGGCGCGACGGGAGATTGGAAGTATGCTGACCGGCCCCCGAGTCTGCCGGAGACACCAGTGGGTGATGTCGCTAGTCGCCATAAACCGCCCCCAATGCTGGAGACAGTCGATGAGGTGGGGATCCGGGTCGCCCCCCGCATCCCGATCCTTCTCCTCATACTCCGCCCATAGATTGGAGTGCCCGTAAATTGAGGATACGGCGACGACTCGAAGACGCGGAAAGATCACCCGCGTATCCTGTTCCACCGTCTTTTCTAGCTCGTGCGTGATCCCTGCGAGCTGGGCGGCGCAGTCATTCAATTTGCGCGCCTGCTCGCGGTCCGACGTGTGCCCGACCGTGGACCAGCCACTGAGGCCGTGTTCGAGAAGGAGGGGGTAAGGTATCGTCTTGTCCTCGGACTGATACTCGATGTACAGCTTCTCGATGAGTCGGCACCGATTGCGCCAGGGTTGACGGCGGCACCGAAAGAGGAAGTATGCAAAGTCGTCCGTCACGACATGCCGCCAGAGTAAAGGGATACATATCTCCTGAAAGAGCTAGAGTGTCAGCTTCTTCCCTCAGCCCGGACTTCGCGATGATCCACCTTGCAGACCGTGGAGGATGCCGCTAGATACGGCTGGCGGAGTAGAGAGCGATCCGGAGCAGAGAGAGGAGCTGGAATAGGTCTGCGGAGGTGCTCAAGTACGAGGATCCAGATCTCCCGAGGCAGTCTATTGACGCCCGTTTCCCGCTCATTTGGGGTAGGAACGTGAGACATGGGGCGGAGCAGATAGACGATAGTAATAAAGTTCGTGCTTTGTTGCAATGAGGATAGGGCAAAAGCGATACGAAGGTCTACTGTACTTGTAGCTGTTGCCAGTCAGGCCTCGGGGTGTGCAGGATTGGCGGAAATACCGGATTCCGGCTCGGATTTACAGCTTGCCGGATGCCCAGCCGCCTTGCTCACCTCAGCCTATGAGCTTGTGCGTTGACTCTTGACGTTCCACTCCTACATACACTCTGTCGTATCTTGTCAAAAGGGTCCTATCCTGCGAGCTCAATATGGCCGCCAGTCGCTTTGGCGCCTCCAAGTTCCGCAACTCGGTCCCCTTTGTCCCGCCCAGAGAGGAATGGTATAGGTCCAACCTCCCGACCAGCTCGTCCAACTCAACCTCCTCTGCGACCTCTTCATTCAGGTCTGAGTTGCAGACGAACCGACAATCTCTTGTTACCATCTCTCCTGCTGGAGATCTCTCTTGGCGGGGCTATCATGCTGCCGGAGCGGCAGCGAAGGTGGGACACGGGAAAGTGGGGAGTGGAGGTGGAGTGGGGGATTGGGATTTGGGGAGAGTTGAAGGGGATGAGATGGCTGTGGGAGGCTCGGATGGATCTGTAAGTCACCATATCGATAACCAGGAGGCTTGAACCTGAAGCTGAATATCAGATCTCCCTATATCGGCTTCATCCCGACGACACTGCCCTTCCCTCGGCGGAGCACACCACACCCGCCTCGGGCTCGCCCATTACCTCCATCTCGCTTCACCCAACAGTCCCCTCCATCGTACTGTCCTCCAGCGTCCCTCAATCAGCCGCGATATGGGACTTCTCCTCCTCCCCCTCCGCCCCCTCCATCGAGCTCGAAGCCAAGGAGCCCAAAGGGATGTGGTCTGTCGCATGGTCTCCGGACGGCCGCCTCGTAGCTGGAATAGGCAAGAGCGGTACCGGCTACATCTGGGAACCTCGCTCCTCCACTACACCCACGATGACTCGTGCTCTCCCCTTACAGCCCCTCAAGCCCGCTCGAGTCGTCTGGGTCGGAGAGGACATTTTTGTCACATCTACCTCGCGGACCCGGAACCGGGAATACCACCTTTTCTCCACCTCCAAATCGCTCGGAACAGTGTTCACCCAGAACATCGATACCAATACCGCGCCGCTCATTCCTACCGTCGACCAAGAACGGCGGATCGTCTATCTCGCGGGGAAAGGCGATATGACGCTCCGCCAGGTCGAGCTGTCCGGTCCGAATGGGTTCCAGGAGACATTGCACTCGCTTCCATTTGCCATCTCCGCGGCGGGCCTGGCTCTGGCGAGTCCGACGGTCTTGCCTGTCATGCAAGCTCAGATCGCGACAGTCCTGGTTCCTGTGGTGGATAAGGATGGCGAGGCGGTGTTGCCATTTGGGATCAGAGTGCCTCGGAGGCAACTTATAGACTTTCACGAGGATTTGTATCCCGAGATTCGCGGTTATTGTGAGTTACAGGGCTACAACATCAGGGAAGTAGTCGGCTGACAACAGTACCTGAAAGCTCAGCACAAGAATGGTTCGACGGACAAGATAAAATGCCGCTTCCTATCTCGCTCGATCCCGCCAAGCGTACCACATGGGAAGCGGAGCTCGGCAAGCAGTCGGCACAGCGGTCGGCCGACAAGCCAGCAGGTACTGCCTCTTCCCAGCGAGAACCATCTCCGCCACCGGTCATTCAAGAAGCAGCGAAAGCGGAAATTCCACCCGTACCTGTCGCTTCATCCTCAGCGCCGCCTAAAACTGCAGAGTCCGCTCCGGAACAGCCATCACTCGACGTACCCGCTCTCCAGGGAGATGAAACATACTCGTCTACCGCGTATAAGGCCCGCCTGATCGCTCAGCATATCAAAGGCGATCTCGAGAGGCATCGAAAGTCGGGGGCAAAGGAGCCGATGTTTGTTGGGCTGCAGGGTCCCCAAGGGTGTGGTAAGTCTGACCTCCTCTATATTATGGCGAGTGCTGCAGTGCTGCGCGTCCAAGAGTGGTTGGAGAGGGTGATTAGGGCTTTCCCGAAGTGTAGTGGGAGCGAAAGGAAGGCACTCGCCTTCCTTGAGGCCCGGCTGACATTACAGGCAAGACCACTCTCTGCGATGGCTTTGTTGCCTATCTCAGCGAGAAGCTAGGGATCAAGGCAGCTGTCCTATCGTTGGACGGTAAGTCAATCTCCTGATGGTCACGTTCAATAAAGCTGACCAGGCAGATCTGTACCACACGAATGCCAACCTCAAAGCGGTAGCCGCCAAACACCCCAACAACCACCTGCTCTCAGGTCGCGGACCACCTGGAACGCACGACACCGATCTCGCCCAATCCGTCCTCACCTCCGTCAAAGCCATCAACGACTCATCCGCGACTGTCGACCTACCCATCTTTGACAAGTCCCTCGTCAATGGCGAAGGCGATCGCAGCTCCCGCGTCATCACCATCTCCGGCCCCATCGACGTCTTCATCCTCGAAGGGTGGTCTATGGGTTTCGCACCTCTCTCCTCTGACCGCCTGAAGGAGCGCTACGCCTCCGCTCCGTCCGACGCGTACTTTGCCGCCCATTCCCTCGAGGCTCTGACGGAGCTCAACGACTACCTCACCACCTTTTCGTCGGCCGTTTATCCATTTTTCAGCACGCTCATCACGGTCGTCCCGACGTCGTATGAACATGTCTTCGCGTGGCGGCTGCAGCAAGAGCACGCGATGAAGGCGGCGAATGGCGGTAAGGGGATGACGGACGAGGGGGTGAGGAAGTTCGTGGAGCGATATATGCCGGGATATGAGTTGTGGAGAGAAGGGATTTGGGAGAGGGGTTGGAGCGGGCTGGAACTGAAGTATGGGAGGGAAAGGGAGGTGCTGGCTGTGGAGAAGCAAGAGGGGAAGGCTTCGGCTCGACCGGCCAGCCAGGCTGCTATGCAGGCGCCGGCGCCGGACCAGGTCGAGAAACCTGTCGCCAAGGCGTCCCAGCCGGCAGCATCGTCAGCCATTTCAGCCCCTTCTCCACAGGCACCTGAAACCCGTCCGCCCTCACCAAAGTCGGAACCGAAAGCCCCGGTTGCGTCTGCCAAGCCCGCCCCATCCACCTCGACCACCCCAAGCGCTCCCTTCAACCCCACCTACTCTCGCAAATTCATCTCTGCCAAAGCTCCCCTAATCCCCTCCTACGACGCCCTGCCTCCTCTCGCGACCCTCCATCCCGACTCGCTCATCCTCAAAGCTACCCGCCACCTCGCCTTCTTCCCTATCCAAGGCACCGGCGGACGACTCGGCGTGCACCCCTTGGCCAAGAAAGGGCGGATGCCGAATGGCGGCCAGGGGTATCTGAGCGGCGGGGTCGAGATTGCGGACTTTGCGGTGGAGCCGTTCGAGAGAGCGGAAGGGGCGAGGGTGGCTGTTGCGGGCGAGGATGGGGCCATTAGGGTATGGACGGTTGGGAAGGACGGTGTAGAAGGGCCTGGACCGGAGCCTGAGCTGAGTCTGAAAGGTGAGTTTCGCTCTGATCACCTCGTGGACTTAGCTGATAGTCTAGGTCATGGCATCGACAAGATCGTCCAGCTTGCGTTCCATCCCACAGCGAAAGACCTCCTCGTCGCTGCGACCAACGACCACACCTCCGCATCACTGCGCTTCTTCGACCTATCCTCTGGCTCAGAATCCCGCGTCGTACCCGTTGACACCAAAGGCATCTTCAACTTTTCCATCTCCCCGGACGGCGCCCTCTTCGCCATTGCCTCCAAAGACGGGCAGGTCGTCGTCCTTGACCCGCGCAAACCAGACTCGCAGCGCTGCGGCAAAGCACACGACAGTCCCCGGTCGTTCCAGCTCGCCTGGATCTCCCCGACCCACCTCGTCTCCGTCGGTTTCAATCGGGGCTCTCAGCGCCGTATCAACCTTTACAGCACCACATCTTCGTCCGTCGAGACCGTGCACTCGATGATGATTGACATCTCCCCCTCGGTGCTCTTCCCATCTTACGACCCGGATACCCGCATACTCTACGTGTGGGGTAAAGGCGAGCGCGCCATCTCGGCATACGAAGTCAACCTCGATAACAAGACTGAGCCGATATCAAAGTTGCCGACGTATACGGCTGGAGAAGCGCAGATGGGGGTGGCGTTCAAAGGCAAGTCGGAGGTGGATGTGCGGAAGGTGGAGGTTATGCGGGCGCTGAGGATGACGGGGAAGACGATTGATGAGGTCACGTTTTCGATACCGAGGAATAAGGTGAGTTATCAATACTGCGTATGGGACGGAAAGAGCTGATACTCGGTAGCCCGATTTCTTCCAGGATGACATCTACGTCGATACGGTCGACACGGAGCAGGCGGTGTCTACGGCAGAAGAGTGGTTGGGCGGGAAGGATGCCGCCTTACCCTACAAAAGCCTCAAACCTGATGGCATGACACCACGTAGGTCTCTTGCATGATTTACGTGGAGACTTAGCTGATGGATCAGTATCGCAAGCGCCCAAAACGACCACAGCGGCCAAAGCTAAATTTGTGCCCGGAAAAGATGTCCTTTCCGAGGAAGAAAAGAAGCGACGCGAGATGGACGCGCTGTTTAACAAGGCCAAAGCGGACGAGAGCTCGGATGACGAAGCGCCGATCAAGGGACTGGCGCCGCCTGATGATGACTGGTAGCCGCGCGGGCGAAGAGGGTTCGGGTCGGAGCGATCATCTTCAAGCTGGATATATCAAAGCAAAGGATTTACAGGGGTATTATCTGCAGAATCGCCACGACTTCCAATGCATACACCTTTGTATCTGCCCCTCGAAGCACTGCCTTGGTAGTCCCCAGAAACAGCTTTTATACTCTAGAGTCCTCCACTCCGCCCCTTGCAACACCCTCGAACCCCGTCCCCTCCCTTCTCCTACCTCCTGGAAACGGCAAGCAACATCTCGATACCGCTAGAACCCACACTCCTTTGTTTGTCGCTCCTTGGTACTACGTCACAGCAACGAGTATACCGGCGGCTCGGACGGTCATGGCGGCCTATAAAGCAGCGTCCAGTCCCATCTACTCTCGCTTTTCTTTATCATTCTCAGCAATCGTTTCTGCAAGTACTTCACCCTTTCTACCAGAGCTCATACTCGACGCTGCATCAAGATGGGTATGTTCAGCCACAAAGACAACAAGGAGGTGGTGGAGCCGCAGCACTTCGTCATCCTCATGATGGAGGCGAATGAGCAGGTCATCTTCCGACAGCACTTTGACTACTTCTTCGGTAAGCTCGAGTCCCTCTCTGCGTTCACCGGTGCCCACTTTAGACCTAACAGCTGATATGTTGGCGCAGGCACCAAAGGACCACAAGTCAGCCTCACGTTCTCCCGAGTCCCGGCGGACGTCGCCACCCGGTACAGTGCCGGCGGCGACAAGGACCACTACCTCACGGTCACTCCGCGCCAGCCGCTCACCCCTCAGCAGAAGGACGAGATCATCAGTGCTGTGAGGCTGGCAGCCGGCGAGACCGGCAACGCCAGCAGTGAGTCCTCCTTTGAGGGTGTGGGGGCATGCCAGCTGATAGATCAGTGTGCCCAGTTCGCCGAGTGATCAGGCCGGAGAGGTCCGAGCCGCAGCCATAGACTGAAGAAAGTATTTGTAGCCATGTCAATGTGTCAGCCATTGTGGAGCGACTGATGCATGCGCAGCTAGTCGATGAGGTACTTCCGCTTGAAGAAAGACCGGAGATGGACCAGCTGTAATGTCAGCTTGCGCCAAGCTACGGCCGAAGCCGATCCAGCTCACCTGCCATACACCTAGAGCGACTATACCGACCATGATCAACAGTGAGAAGTTCTTGACGCGGGTATTTGTGCTTTCTGTCGCGATCAGCTATCGCCCGGGCGCACACCTCGAGACGCTGATGTCAGCTGACTGACCATTGGTATCCCTCATCCGCATTTCTCTCCGTTGCAGATATCCCAGCTCATCCACTACCTCCTTCACGACCGCTTCCAGCTTGCGCATCTCGACTTCGAGAATGGATAATGATTCTTGGTTGGCGATAGCGCTGCGGTATCAGGATTCCCCTTTCCACACTTCCACCTAGTCGTCTTGACCCTCACGGACCATCCCACCTACCCGGACAGCGAAGCACTTACTTGTAGTCCACAGCCTCCGCTCCAATGTCGATGTCCAGCTCGACAGTCCTCATCATCCCCTTCGATGACGATGCTCCATCCAAATAGTTCCTGATACACACACCCACATCCGCCGACTCATGCGTCGTCACTGCCAGTCTCGTCTCTCCTTTGATATCCTGAAGGGTCAGCTGTTGAATCCCTCCTCTTCGAGCGCTATAAATCGGACACACCTTCTTCGACAGATACACGTTCGGCCTCTCCGCCCCATCTAATATTTCTATATCCAGTCTTTGACCAGCTGCTATTGGCGCATTTGCAGTTACGATGACTAGGGATTTGGCACCCGCAAAGTTCCAGACGCTGAACCGATCAGCATTGCGGTCGGACTTGGTGTGAATGAGATGCTGACCATTCTGTTCTTGTCAGCTGACTTTCTTGATCAACAGGTTGAGAAAGGGCTCATGAGCTGACGTACTTGGTTTTGGATTATAGGAAGCCTCCAGCTCAAACTTGACGGCCGAGACGAGGCATGCCTGGAGGAAGAGAGCGAGAAAGGGCAGTCTTCGAGCTGCTGCCAACATTTTGCGCTGATTTTTTTTGGCGTCCAGTTGCGCAGAGGAAGTAACGGCAGCTTCCGGCGCTTCTACTGGGGTCGTGAGAGGTCGTGACAGCTAGTGTGAGCGAGGTGGGACTAGAGGAATTGACAAAGGGTTAACCAAGCTGGGCCACGTCTTGGTCCAGTCGCGTCAGTTAGGCGTGCGGATATCCGGATGAACCTCGGAGCAAAGTTAGGCGCACCAGACTGTGACTCATTCCTCACTCTTCGCCAACTTTCCACTTGACCACATGCAATTATACTCTATCCCTCGACCTCGTACTCATTCTCTGCTACGTCAACATCAGCGCTCACAGGGAGGCATAGCTCCTGATCGCTTTGTCAAAGTTACCCGTCGACTTGATCAGGCTGTATGCCATCGAGGCTTCCACCGCGACTCTCCAACTTCACCTCCTTTCGACCAACCCTCTTTGCTCGACGATCACCTGCGACCACCAGCCGCATCGCAGCGAATTGCAACACTCGCCCGCATCCCTCTCAATCCCGCTACTTCAGCATGTCAATCATCACCGAAGCTCCCAAAGGCTCTTCCTCGGCTCAGCCGGCTTGGGTGCGACCTGAACCTGCGGTTGCTGAGCCGGTACTGAAGGTGTACAACTCCCTGACGAGGAGTAAGGTGAGCTTTAGTCTTCGGGCTGCTGCGAACTGCAAAGCTGAGGACATAAGCTGACTGCCGTTCTAGGATGCATTCGTCCCCACAAAAGGCAAACAGGTCGATTGGTATAACTGCGGTCCGACCGTATACGACGCCTCGCATATGGGCCACGCCCGGTGAGCTGGTATGCCCTGACTTGTGGAGAAGTCGCAGCTGATATTCAAGTAACTATCTGACCCAAGATATCGTGCGCCGGATACTGCGGGATTACTTTGGCTACGATGTCAACTTCGTGATGAACGTCACAGATATCGACGACAAGGTGCGTTCTTAGCTTATGCCTAATCCAGTCCTCTCGGATCTGGACCAGTCAAGCTGACACTCCAGATCATCCTGCGTGCTCGCGAGTCTCATCTCCTTGCTCGAACCACCTCTTCCACCCCGTCCCTCACTTCCGACCTTATCTCCACCGTACAACAAGCCTTCGACGCATACTTCGCCAAGCGTATAGTCAAGAACCTCCCCTCGTCCGTCACACCCGCCGAATTCGATGGGACCCCCAGCGAGCACTTTGCACTGGTACGGGAAAGAGATACGAAGGATGCGGAATGGGCAAAGGCCGCGAGGGAGAAGGATGAGAAATGGGGTCTCTACCTCACTAGCCTGACCCGTGCGGGAGAGGCATTGGAGGTTGCGAAGCGGAAGCTAGAGGGGCAAGGGGGTTCAGGGGATGTCAAGGAGCTAGTGGATGGAGCAGCGGATGTTCTAGGTCCATATCTCGGAGAGACAGTAAGTCCAGCGGACCTAAGCCTCTTGGCCGTCCTTATCTCTACAGATATCGGGGAGCTGACAGTTTCAGCAAGGAGACTCTGTAGAGAACCCCATCCAGGTATCCCGGGACCTCGCCGCATACTGGGAGAACCAATTCTTCACCGATATGGCCCGCCTCCGGGTCTTACCGCCAGATACAGTCACCCGGGTCTCGGAGTACGTCCCCGAGATCGTCGCGTACGTCGAGAAGATTATCCAGAACGGCTATGCGTACGAAGAGAGCGGGAACGTCTGGTTCGATGTGGCCAAGTTTGAGGGTGCGGAGGGAGAATACGGGGAGTGGACGCATGAGTACGCGAAGCTGCAGCCGGGGAGTAAGGGGAATAGGAAGTTGATTGATGAGGGGGAAGGTGAGCTGAAATGTCTGGACCGAAGAAAGGCGGAGAAGCTGACTTGTAGGTGCTCTGACCACATCTCAAGGCAAGCGACAAGCAGCAGACTTTGCGCTCTGGAAGTCGAAACGCGCGGGCGAGCCGGCCTGGGCTAGCCCATGGGGAGAAGGGCGGCCAGGATGGCATATCGAGTGCAGTGTCATGGCGAGCGCGATACTCGGCAAGGGGATGGATATACACTCTGGAGGGGTGGATCTGATGTTCCCACATCATGACAATGAACTGGCGCAGAGCGAGGTAAGCTTACCCGATCAGACTCGAGTCTGGGCTCAGCTGATCTCTAGGCGTATCATGGCTGCCAGCAATGGGTCAACTACTTCTTACATACGGGTCATCTCCATATTGAGGGATTGAAGATGAGCAAGTCACTCAAGAATTTCATTACTATCGAGGTGAGCTACGAAGATGAAATCGTTGCTCGAGCCAAGCTAACTTTATAGGAAGCCCTTCGTGACTACTCGGCTCGGCAGTTACGCATAGCGTTCATGCTGCAGTCGTGGAATGCCAAGATGGACTTCAAGAAGGATCTGATATCGGATGTGCGGACCAAGGAGGAAACCTTCGATGTGAGCTGCAGGATTTGGCATTGAGATTACAACGAATCCAAGCTGACATTCAGAACTTCTTCTCCAATGTCAACGCTCGGATACGACAAAGCGACCGCAGCTCTGATGGGAAACATCACTTCGACGCCCCTGAGTTTACCCTCATGTCGGACTTCCATACCGCGCAACATGACTTCCGCGTCGCGCTCTGCGACTCCTTTAATACCCCATCCGCGCTCATCGTCCTCCTCGACATCGTCTCCAAGGTGAACGTCTACATTGCGACTCGCGGCTCAGCGGCGAACCTTGAGCCTGTTCAAGTCATCGCCGAGTGGGTGACCCGGATGTTGCGGATGTTTGGGCTGGGCGAGGGGCCTGTGTCGGAGGGTCAGATCGGATGGGGCAAGGAATTGGGCGAGGGCGAGGAGAATGGAGAGGAGTTTGAGAAGAAGGTGGACAAGTACCTCAAGGCGCTGGTGGGGTTCCGGGATGAGATACGGAAGATTGCGCGGGATGGGGGTGAGAGCAAGGAGATTCTGGCGCTGTGTGATCGGTTTAGGGATAGGGATCTGGTGGAGCTCGGTGTGCAGCTGGATGATGGGCAAGGAGCGGGTGAGTTGGATTCTGTACGCCGGACCCGGACACAGCTGACGAGATAGATGGAGGTGCCTTGTACAAACTCACCGACCCCGCTATCCTCATTCGTCAACGAGAAGAAAAGGCCGCTATCCAAGCCGACAAGCTGGCCAAGAAGGCTGCGCAAGCCAAGGAGGCCGAGGCGAAGCGGATAGCCCTGCTCGAGAAGGGCAAAACGCCGCCTGGGGAGATGTTCCGACCGCCGAATGTGCCAGAAGGGACGTATACCGAGTGGGACGAGCAGGGGCTGCCGAAGAAGGACGGGGAGGGCAAGGAGGTGGCCAAGAGTGCGGTGAAGCGGTTGATGAAGGAGCAGAAGGCACAGGAGAAGGCGCATGAGGCTTGGTTGGCTTGGAAGAAGGAGGAAGGGGAGAAGTAGGGGGGAGTAGAGGGGACTAGGGCCGAGGAAGGAGGGATATCTCCATGGGATCTTGGTATGGATATGGCCAGACAGTCGGCAAGCAGGGTGACTCTTCAGATCTATGTCGCATGCCAGGCTCGGTGACTTGACTGCTGATTTGACCCCCGCTGACACTACTTACTGATAAAGTCCAAGGCGTCCCGGCGACTCAGCCATTATGCATTGCCTGCGATATACGCGTTGCCCCCCCTCAACGGTAAAAGTAAGCGACGGCGGACACAGGCGGACACGCGCGGTGCTTGCTGTTTCATGGACCACATGCGCAGACGTAATCATCGGTCTCAGCCTATAGGGTGAGTGAGGAGTATGGACGCACGCGCCGCGAGCTTGTACTTCGGGTGGCAAATTCACTCACACACTTCATTTGCCACCCACCGCCACACTAGCCGAGCTGGCCCAGGACGTGGCTGGTCTTTTCTAACTCACCACTTACCCGCTCTTCCGAAACGCCGAAAGTCGCGCCCACGGGGGGTGGCAGCACCTCCCACCGACGTAGGAAAGCATCATGATCAACCTTGCTGGCCGGTGCAGGTGCTTGGGCATCTGCCCGGATTGACCCGGGACCCGCCATCTTCGGACGACAACGCGTTACAACGATCGAGCTACGATACCGACTGCGAGGATAGGACGACAAGGATCGATACTAATGGTTGGGGAAAAGTATGCAGGTGCCTGCCTAGGACGACCGGACGGGACGATACGACACCGAGGTGGTGGGAAACGGATCGATCTCGGAGAAATCGGCCAGCGAGGTTGATCATGATACCTATACTTTAACTTTTCGATGGCAAGTCAATGTTGCCTCTTTCATCGTAGACATGGACAGCTAGCGCTACGTCTCCTTGACTACCCGCATTCACTGCTTCCACGCCACGTAGGCCTTGTACCAGCAGATAAGAGCCGCCACTCGACTGGGTGAACAAGTGAACATTTAGTGAACATCAGTGAACAACGGGGGCACGGGAATATACGGCGATATCTCCACCCCGATAAGCGGGTGTTTCGGAATCAAACGACATTCCGCGCTTGGACCCCTCCACTTGAACCGTCCACCTGACTCAACCTCCTCCTGCCTCAACTTCGCCTTCCTCCTTCTTCCCTCCTTCCTTCTTCTATCCACCCATCATCCTCACCCCAGCCACTCACATACACAGCTCTTCAGTCACAGCTTCCAACCGCGCAGACGCTCCTCTCACATTCTCCGCGCTCCCCTACAGCTCGCTCATCAAGATGCAAGACGCCACCACTACCGCCACCAGTGCTTCGCCCTCGGCCCGTTCTTCCCCTTCTTGGCCCGCCACCCACCAGAAAACTTCAGAAGCCGACTCCATTCTCCTTATCAACCCGCCTCCCGAGGGTCCACACGATGACAACACCGGTATCTACGCCTCGCAGGACATCCGGGACGCGCAGGATACGGGCAGGGAGGAACCGATGCCCATGCCGCCCATCCCTGACACCCAAGGCGGGATGGGAGACGACGATGACCTCATGTCTGACATGCGCGCTGGCGGTGGAGATGGTGGTAGGGATGGAGCGGACGTGGACATGGCCTACGAAGACGAGCAGGCGTACTACGACCAAGAGCACGGCGATATCGATCCTCGCCACTACTACACCGAGGATGGAAGGTATCAAACCGACCTGCGCGGCTTCACACCCGAGAGCGAGCACGGCGCAGGCGCCATCACACTCTACCAGCAGCATGAGGCCAACAACGGGCCCCAGCGCCCCTTCCGCGACCAAGGCCGAACCGACGCGCGCGGGGAGTACGACATCAACGCATATGCCGCTCGGGGAGGAAGGGGGATGCAGGTGGATAGCTCGGTGAGAGTGCCGGATGGAGTTGAGGAGCCGGCTTCGCCGATGATGCCTGGTCATGTGAGTTCGCTTCCTTCTTCACTGGCCAGTGAGAAGGAGGGGAAAGGATGATGGCGGAGAGGGAGGAAGAGCGGAAGAAGGAAGAAGGAAAGGATAGGTGCTGATACCCAGGGTCCAATAAATACCGCCCAGTCTATCCAGTATCCTTCCCAACCCAATCCCAACGCCAACCTCAACGGTTCCGGTCCCGGCAATAACATCGCCTCTGCCCGCGCCAAAGGTCAATTCGTCCCGCCTCATCACGGCCAAAAGATGAACGGCCACTCCGGCGCCAGCGCCAATGTCAACGGCCACGCCCAAAGCGGCCCTAGCGGCCCACACGCTTCGAAGAAGGAGCACGTCGAGGTACAGGAGATTGGAGGTCGGCGGATCCTCACGAAGCGGGCAGGGAGTAAGCGGGACACGTGCATGAGTGAGGAGGACGAGGAGCTAGAGTTTGATGAGCCGGAGCGGGTGCAGGAGTTTGATCCGACTGCGCCGGTAAGCTATTGTGGCCTGCGCTGATTGGTGGACTCAGCTGACAGGTAGATTGTCAAATTTGATACCAAGAAGATGCTGGTGGAAGAATGGGAGAAGATCCAGGCTGAGATTGTGCCTTTCCTCAAGAGTGAGTTTGATACACTTTTGAGTCTCCTCTCCTCCCCTTCCTACTGTGTATCGTATGTGAGAGCTCGGCTGACCTTCTCCAGACTACGTCGAGGAGAAACTCAAGAGCACGTAAGCTTCCTGGTGTATGGTGCCTGCGCCTGACCAGAAGCTGACACTTCAGCTACGACGAGATTCAATACGTCACCAACCTCTTTGTGCAGTTGAACGAGGACGCGCGGAAAGACCTGGAAGATGGAGTCAAGCGGATCGAAGAGGAGGAGACGAAGCAGGGTGGGTGATCCTTCTTCTTTATCTTCATAACCATCTCCTTTCAGCTTGCTCCTCACTGTGACCTTCGGGGCCGGAGAAAGTAAGCTGACTCGCTCAGAGGACTGCAGGAAGATCATCATCAATTTCTCGCGCCAGATGGAGGAGGTTGCGGCGGTGATGAGCCAATTTGGGGGGGCTGTGGCGGCGGCTGCAGCTGGGCGGAAGGAGGTGGGTGGGAGTGCGTAAGCAGACGCAGGTATTTGTGAGTAGCTGTCCGCTCTTCGATTAGGCCAAATGAGCCCCTTCCAGCCCAATCCGGCTAAAGTTAGCAGGTCATTGCCCCACTCGCTCTCCCTCATTCTCCCCCGCCTCCTCCGCCGCCGATCCCCGCTCCCCATCTCGCTGTCTCCCATGAAGAAACCCGCGCTGTACATCAAGAACGACCATACGATTCAACAAGAAGATTCCCTACGACCCACGACCCACATATACCGGAATCAGGAACGACTGCCGCTGTACATACTGCAAGAACAAACGACCATCATTATGCCGCCCCCGTACCCAAACCAAAGCAGAGCCGAGCTCATAGTTGTATATACCCGTATCATTACTGTCCGAAGTCATCACCTGTGTATCCAGTACCCCATCAAAGCCTATGCAATCATGTACATAGACCTTGTCTCGGCTGCAGTCCGCGAGAACAAACGAGCAGACTCGGTAGATCTGGCGATCAAGCGGCGACGAGCGAGCTAACTCATACATCCCCTTCTATCACTATTGATCTACACTAACACCCATCTCCCATCCGGGCTGCATCAAGTACGCCTTGGTCTCGCTGACGGCTCCTTTTGCCTGCTCGGCCGTTTCGAATGTGATGAGGAAGGACTTGGCGCCTGGGTTGGGAGCGGGATGGGAGGATGGGGCGGAGCGGGAGGAAGGGAGGGGGCCGGCGCGGGAGAAGCCGGGGTATCTGCTAGTCAGACTGTGGGACCGCGGCAAAGCAAAGTTGAAGGCAAGCGGAAAGGATGAGAGGGAGCGTATCGTCATGTGAAGGGAAAAGGGAGAAAAGGAAGGGAAGAGGAGAGGGGGAAGAGGAGGAAGAAGAGGGAAGAGAGAAGAGCGACTCACTGAGAGTACAACGCGGACATGATTTGCTCATTACATTCTGGCGGTAAATTTGTGCAAACAACAGATTTGCCATCCTTCCCTTCTGATCCTGCTTCTGTCAGCTCCATAGCATTCTCCCACATCTGAGCCAAAGCAGTACTCACCCTCCGCATCCTCATCATCCATATCCATCTCAATCTCCATCTCCTCATCATCCGCCTCATCCCCTTTCGCCCGCTTAGCCGCCGGCTCCCCATCCCCTTGATCCCCATCCTCCAAATTCCGCTTCCCTCCCAGCGCCTTCAATTCCTCCGCCTCCCGGTCCTTCTCCAGCTGCTCGTATTCGCCCTGCGCGTTCGACACGGTCAGCTTGGCAGCGCGCACAGCGGCGGCTTCGCGCGAGGCATCGGGGTTCGTTCGTGCTATCGTAGAGTTGGAGGGGTTTCGGGAGTAGGTTATTTTCTGAGAGTCAGGTGGAGGATACGAGGAGGGAGCAGTAGAGATGAGAGAGGTAGATGTACCAGTTCTTTCGAGTAGAAGAGCTCGCCGTGCAGGGCCCGCATGGCCGATGTGGCGGCTGCTTGTTCGTCGAATGTGACGAAGGCTTGACCCCGGCCTCCATCGTGCTTCTTCGCGATAATGTCGATCCTGCTAGGTCAGCTTGACGACGTTGTGGATATCTCGTCTCCAGTGTCAGGGCAGCTTACACTCGACCATACGGCGTGAAGAGAGAGTACAGCTGTGAATGTAATTCTACACACATCAGCACCCCTCTTTGACCTGTCTCCGCCGATGATGCAGCTAGACGGACCTGGCTTTTTCGTCTTTGTTTCCAGATTGGACACGTAGAGGGTCATTGAAGGGGTCGGGAGGGACATCTTAGGTGTGAGTATAGCTACTAGAGAGGTATATAGGCAAGAGATATCCCCTTGTGCGAAATGTGAGAGTAGCGAGCTTCTTAGGTGGGGGGCGTAGATAGCGATCGCTGCGGAATGTGTCCCTGTTTCCGTCGGAAGTGTACCTGAGCTAAAGAGCTAAAGTTGGCTGGGGGCGCGTCGGTAGATCACTTTTTCCATTCCACCCTACGCTGACCACCTACATTGCCTATAACTACTACAGCTGTACAGCCGAGCGACTAGCTCTAACGACAGGGCGAACAGCTCGCCCACGACTAGAAGTATAGAGGTAGAAGGGCACAGGAACCCCTCGGCGAAACAGGGGCGAAGGACCGACGAAAAGGTTTCATCTCGGCGAAGCTTCTACCCCTCCGTCACAGGTGGTCCACAGCCGCAGGCACGCCTGTCGCAGAATCTTCGGTACGGCGCAGCTCTGCAAGAGCAATACATTCTTCATTCCGCTTGGCTCGGAGGTCTTCCCTCTCACCTTACGACCTACTCGCCCACGCCCACGCCCGCATAAACGTGCCATCACCATGAGCAAGCTCTACGACGTCTTCCCCTCTTTCCCATCCCTCAACAGCACCTCTCCCACCCCTTCCATCCGCCACCTCCTCCCCCCCGCGCTCGAAAGCATCATGCTCCTCTCGTACCCTATCCGCCCCTCCCCCCTCTCCCGCCCCGCCTCGGCATCAATACCGCACGCCCCCGCCCCCTCTCAAACGCTATACGGCAAGGGCCCCGCCGATGCCTGCTTTGTCCTCTTTTGCGCGCTGGCATATACCGTCGGGCGCGAGCTGGTGATGCGGTATGTGCTCGGCGCGTTTGCGCGGTGGTATCTCGCAAGAAGCGGGCCTGTAGGGAGTGGGTTGAAAGGGAAGAAGGAGCGGAGACGGCGAGAACATGTAGTGCAGAGGTTCGCAGAGCAGGGATGGAGCTTTCTGTACTGTACTTGCTCTTGGAGTCTTGGAGCTGTACGTCTGTGTCTCTCCGACAAGGTTCGAGGCTGACCCCCAGTACATCCTCTACCTCCTCCCGGCGCCCTTTTCCCCACAATCCTGCTGGGGGACCTACCCCAACACGCCCATTCCCCAACTCACCAAATTCTACTATCTCGCCCAGCTCGGATGGTGGTTCCACCAGATCTACGTCATCAACACCGAAAAGAGGCGACACGACCACTGGCAAATGTTCTCGCATCACGTCTTGACGATCGCTCTGGTCACTCTGAGCTATATCGGCAATTTCACCCGAGTCGGCACGGTCATTCACGTCCTCATGGATTTCTGCGATATCCTCCTCCCAGTAAGTCTAGCCTTCTACCATAGCACGTCCACCGCTGATAGTCAGCTCGCCAAAATGTTCCGCTACCTCTCCTTCATCACCCTCTGCGACTCCACCTTCGTCCTCTTCCTCCTCTCCTGGCTCGCGACCCGCCAAATCGGCCTCTCGTACATGATCTACACCTCCTGGGTCCACGCGCCCCAGCTCAACGAATACAAGTGGGACCCCGCGACGGAACACTACATGTCGGAAGCGGCCCTGAACGGGTTCATCGCGATGGAGATCATCCTGCTGGGACTGGCGACGATGTGGTTCTTTATGGCGTGTAGGGTGGCGGTGCGGGTCCTCCGTGGGCAGGGGGCGGAAGATGTCCGGTCGGACGGAGAGGAGGAGTGTGAGGATCGAGTGGAGGGAAAGGGGGTTAAAGAGGGGTTGCATATTGAGGTGGATGGGACGGGGAGCGGCGAGAGTACGCCCACGCTCGCGTCGGCGTCGGGGATGAGTACGGATGGGGCGCAGACGCCGATGGGCGTGGAGAGTGTGGGGGGGGGCGGGGAGGTGCCGGAGGTGTTAAAGGGGTTGGAGGGTGTCAGGGAGGACAAGGGGGCGAGGAGACGGAAATGAGGTATATGAGAGTTTCGCAGGAGGTACGGAGACCGCAGTAAGGGCTTTATCAGGGATTCGTCGAGGTCGCTTGGGGCTTGGACGAGCTTGGGCGGCTAGCATGTATGGGCTGGCCTATCTCCTTGTCTCATGGCAATGATCAGCAAGAGGTGTCGAATGTTGTACATGGCTTCTACCGCTTCTACCCTCTCTCCTCTACCTACCTATCTGCTCCTCTCCTATCTTCATCTACCCTCTCTCCTCTACCTACCTATCTGCTCCTCTGCTATCTTCGTTCGCCCCACAACAAAGCCTTCCCTTCTGCTCGCAGCACGGCCGTAGATCGCGCCTGAACCCGGTTGCCCTTCGTTCAGGTCACCTTAGCGGGTAGCGCCATAGTGAGCCTGCGGTGGCGCTACTCCTCCTGCGACCCGTCAGCTATCGCCCGGCGTCGTCTTAAAACATCGGCTAGCTCACCCTGGTGCCCAGCGAAGCCCTGTACACCCTGGAACTCGCCGTTCCCGAGGTACTCGTATCCGCCCGGCCCGAAGTACTCCTCAGCCTTGATCTTCTTGTCTATGACAGTCAGCGAATTTTCTGATCCCAAGCAGTCTAGGAACGGGTGAGATCCGAGATAGGGGCAGAGGGGAGCAGGCAGTGGGATTGCGGTGCAAGACTTACAGATCAACCAGAAGGCGTGGATGTGTCCGCTATCAGTATGTCAGCTATCTTCGCACTTGAGTTGCGAGCGGATCAGGCACCGAGCCTGTCGCCCAGTACCCCATGGGGAGTTCAGAGAGGAAGGAGGGAACGAACGGTAGGTATCCCTGTTGATATCAGCTTTGCCTTTTGCCACCCAACTCTCTCCATCGCGTAGACTCACCAGAACAGTCAGACAGATCTACAGATATCAGCATATATCCCACAGTCTCACACGGCTCCTCTGCCAGGTCCATAGTAGAGAGGCAGAGTGTGAAGGCAAAGAGCTCACGTTGATGAACAGGTCACATGAACAGCCGGTGATGATCCCAGCTGCGGCAGGCGGGAAGATGATAGCCACGAGAATGAGGATGATGTCTGAACCTTTGACGGGCATTGTGGATTGCGTGCGATATGTAGGGTGAGACGGGAGGGGTTGGGCTTGTCAGTAGGTAGGTCTATGAGCTGTAGGAGAATACGGGTAGGAGCAACAAAGGACGAGCGAACGCTTTCGCGTTTTGGTCGACTGGTGGAACGGCATGCATGACGTCATCGGACCATCGCGCACACTGTCCACGGAATCTGCCACCAGCTGAAGTAAAACGTCCACCCGTAGCTACTTCAGCGAGCGAGCTGGTCCTAAAGCGGATTGGCACATTGGTTACCTGACGGAAGTCTTGCATGTAGCAGTCACAGACCGGCCCGAGAGTCGGCGGCCAGAGGCGTGGCCTGTCGACTATCATAGTATCAGGCACTCAGGCCTAAGACTCAATGATTATCGTGGTATTCGAGTCCAGGACTCCAGGTCCGATTCGATTCGAATGCGAGGGTATGATCATGGACTACTCGTAAGCTCGACCAGGACGTTCTCAGACCCAATGGAAGCAATGAGGTGAGGATTTGGGCGAGAATGTCATCAATAGCCTAACAATAGCGTGCATGCTCGACCTCTCTTCGCTCGGGTACGTGATATGTACAATTGGGATCACGATTGCCCCTGTCCGACATTGACTTCCGCACTCGCGCGCCCGAGTTCCCACAGCGCTGCGACGAAAGCCTCCGCCCCGGCCACCATGGCCGCTGTCTGCATGGAGGCAGTGACGCTGATGGTGTTTTTCTCTCTGCGCCTAGCAAGGTTTTTTCGAACAGCCTCAGCCACGTTCTGGGTCGAATCGGAAAGGGTGGCCAGGGTCTCGAGTGCATTTGGAACGAAGTCCGTTTCTCCCGTCCCCTCGGCGTTTAGGACCTTCCAGCATTCTACGAGCTCCTTCGCGTCGACTGAAGCAAGTGAAAGACAATGGCCGAAGAAAGTGCGCCAGTGCTCCTGGTTCTCCCGTAGTGCCACTTCGGTTGTCTCTTCGGTGGCCTGGAGAATGGCCTTGGCCACCACGAGATCAGCGCCTTCCGTATCAGTGGCTGCAGGAGGGTGCTCGGAGATGACAGACTCAGTCAGCTCTTCGGCGAACTCTTCATATGCGTCAACCGACATGCTGTTTCGCGGCTGTGGTTGGTCAGTAAAAGGTGTTCTGGAGGTTGTTGACAATCGATGAAGAAGGATGGGGGAATGGGTTCGTAAAAGACTCGAGAAAGGGCAGCTCTTATAAGTCTCCCCGCATGTCCTTGACTCCCCCTCCTGCGCCTTCCTAAACCGATGGCGTGCTAGCTCGTGCTATGCCCCCTCATAGTGCTCCTTTGTTTGCCTCGGTCGAAAAGACCAAATGGCAGCGTTCCGACGTGTCTCAAGCTGACTCTCCGCTCCATCGACAGGACTGCAAGCGTCCTGTAAGACTCCGCCTCGTCCGCCTGGCCCTCTCGATCGCAAGCGGAGTTGCCTCGGTCGAGAGGAGACAATGGCAGAGCTCCGACGCGTCTCAGGCTGACTCTCCGCTCGGGCGGCCGGGCCCCAAGCTTTGTGAAGGACTCCGCCTTGCTCGCTTTAATCTCACCACAGATGTGGGCATACAAGCGGAGAGTCATAAGACTGACGGGTATCAGCTTGAGCTACGTCAATGTTCAGTCCTCAAATTTGTGCCCGCTGGTGGCTGTATAGTACTGCAGTATCTCTTATAAACTCATTGGGCACATTGACTCGTCCACGCACTGAGCGACCTTACTGCCACCGGTGGCTGCTCCTGTCAACTGTGGCGCGGATATGTCGCCATTGGTCGTGGTCCGAATCTCCGCCTCAGGCGATGATAATCAGGCTGAGATCCAAAGGTAACTTGTCCAATACTATCCAGGCTCCAAGCAGACCCCGCCGCAGCGTTCCATTCTTTCACGTCGGACTATCCGACCACTCGTCCCTCAGATACTGAGCTCTCCGATATCTCCGTGTACTTTCGCCTCGCCGGCACCCTCGCGTATCGACCCCTCCGACTGGCCACTACATAGCTAGTGTTTGCGAGATGTCTCCGGCCTGAGACTTTGTATAGGAGAATCGGCTATGATGGCGATGTCTCTTTTCAGACTGGGGAATCGTGGGAGTGCTACACATTGCAGATGATACAGTCGGCAGTGTGAACTGGCCTGCAGGGCGCATGGATCGCAATCGAAGCTTGTATCGGCCCTTGGCATCGGGCGGTTATCCGGGTTTGAAGGGGTCACGTGACCACTTGAAACAAGCGCGTCCGCCGACTTCGGCGCCACTTCCGACGCGTCCGAGACAACAATTTCTCTCTTTGTCATAGAGTCTCTTGTCTCCCAGCCTTTTCTACCATGTTTATAGCCATCATTGGCACTCCCTCCGCTGGGAAACGCACTCTATTGGACTACTTGGTCTCCAAGCATGGTTTCACCCAAATCGGGCTTGAGGCGCCTTCGGACCCCATGGACGCGGCGCGTGTGGTGAGCTAGTCCTCGCTCTAGCACATGGCACGGGCGCAGTAGCTGATAATTGCAGACATCAGAGCAGCTAGATGTGCCCGGTATAAGTAGCCTCAGCCTCACTGCCAACTCCTCTCGATCACCTGTAAGCGCCTCCATCAAGTTCACCCAAGTACCTGAACAGGGCTGATGTCCAGACGCCGACTCCTTCATCCCCCTTGACAGGCCCGACCTTCGCCTCGCCCGCTATACTCCTCGACTATGTCACCCACAACTGGCTCATCAACACCGTCACGACAGACTTGCGGACATACGACGAGATTGAGCCATTCTTGAAACGGCCATTCTTCCTGCTAGTCTCGGTGGATGGACCGCTTCGGACGCGATTCGAGCGGGAACGGGAACGGTGCGTCTCATACCCACCAAGCAGCTCAAAAATACCAAGCAGTACGACACGAGAGCTGATATCTCAGAAGCAAGAACTCAGGCTCGACTCTAACATTGGACGACTTCATCGCCGAACATGACACGCTCCTCAACGGTCCTCCTCTCCCCACATCCCTTCCGCCCTCTACCTTCGCCCATCACCCCCAAACGGACTTCAGCCGAGTGATGAAGCTCGCGAATGTGTCGGTGTGCAATAATCTCCCGTCGGTACCGGCACTATGGGCGTACCTCGACCAGTTGAACTTGATGGACGAGGAAAGACTGAGACCGGGGTGGGACACGTATTTCATGGTATGTTCGCTGGAGCGCTCTTGAGAACCAGTCAGCGCCAGGAGCTGACGAGTTAGACATTGGCGTCTCTAGCGTCTCATCGGTCAAATTGTATGAAGCGGCGCGTCGGAGCTCTGCTTGTTCGATCAAAGCGGATCCTATCAACGGGGTACAATGGGACCCCGAGGGGAATAAGGAACTGTAATCAGGGCGGATGTAGGCGGTGTAACGGTACAGCGAGGGGAGGGGAGTCTTGTGAGCTACTCAATGACCATCTGTGTTCGGTGGATCCCAGCTGATATATCAGTGGACGAGTGTCTCTGTCTCCACGCTGAGGAGAACGCACTGCTCGAAGCGGGCCGCGAGAGGATAGGCGATGATTCAGTCATATACTGCAACACGTGCGTCCCTTCCCCTCGCAGTCCCCTCCCTCTGAGGATGGGTCAGAGCTGATATCCAGGTGCCCCTGCTTGCGATGCTCAGTCAAGATCGTCCAGACCGGCGTACGCGAAGTGGTGTATAACCAGTCGTACTCGATGGACGCGGCTTCGGCGATGGTTCTGAAAGAAGGAGGGGTTATTCTGCGCCAGCTGCACATGCCGCCATAGAGTATGACGCACGTATTTGTCGGTAACGGCTCTTGACGTCAGGATACCTGCACACTCCGTTGGCTGTTACTTCCTGGAGTCACCGCTGCAGATCTGAAGCTGAGTCTGGTAGCCTTGGTAGTCTGCATATTGGTTTTCGTAGCAAGAACATCTGTCTCCCATCTCCGACCTCACCTGTCCGTCCGACATCCTCTCCAGCTCCCTCACAGGCTCGCGAAACTCCCATCCCCGGACACTCTCGACGCTTAGATGGGCGAGGGCAAAAGCATCCTCCTCGGGTCCTCAATGTACTCCTTGATCCGAACTACCAGTGTCAGTTTCTGCACACCGTGCTGGATGCAGGAGCGCAAAGCTTGACTCACCAAGCATAGTGACAGATTCCCGTCCATCGAGCAATCGGTGGTCATATGTCAGGGCAACAATCATGATGGGGCGAATAACAATCTGACCATCGACGACGACGGCGCGGTCTTTGATCGAGTGGATACCGAGGACGGCGGTCTGGGGGAGATTGATACTGGAAAGTCAGCTCTGCGCATGTACTCTGTACAGCGCGAAGGCAAGCGTCGAGCTCACATGGGGGTACCGAAGAGCGAGCCAAAGACACCGCCGTTGGAGATGGTGAATGTTCCGCCCGACATATCTTCCAGGCCGAGCTTGTTATCCCGGGCCTAGTACCGTCAGCTCATGCTGACAGGCTTCGTCACCTCTGAAGCTCTAGCTCACCTTGACGGCCAGCTCCGCAATTGCCCTCTCAATATCCACCAGCCCCATACTCTCCGCATTCCTCACAACGGGGACCACCAGCCCCTTTGGCGTACTGACAGCCACGCTCAGGTCCACATAGTCGCGGTACACAATCTGGTCCCCGTCGATACTGGCGTTACCCGCCGGGATCTCTTTCAGGGCCAAGCACGCGGCGCGCGCAAAGACTGACATGAAGCCGAGCTTGACGCCGTCGGCTTTGAGGACGCCGTCCTTGTACAGTTTCCGGAACTCCATGATGGACGACATGTCGATTTCTTGGAAGGTCGTGAGGAAGGCAGCGGCGTTTTGCGAGGCCTTGAGGCGCTGGGCGATTGTTTGACGCATACGCGACATCTTCACCTAAGGAATTCAGCTTACGCCCAGTCTTTACGGTCTGATGGAAATGTGAGCTCACCCTGGTCTCATTCCTGCTTCCCGAGGTCTTTGGCGCGGCCGGTGCCGACTCCTCCTTCGCCTTAGGCTTCTCCTGCTTCTTTGGCGCTGGGGCCGGCGCAGACTTGCTCTCCTCCTTTCTCGGCGCCGGAACCTCCTGAGGCTTCTTGTCCATCCCCGGCGCCTTCTCGTCCAGCTCCTTCTTGGTCTTCTCGTCCGCCCCCTTCAACTTCTCCCCCGCTGGCGCCGCCTCCTCCTTGTTCCCCTCTTCTGGGTTCTTCGGCTCTGACCGCGCCCCGCCCTCCGGCTTGGCCTTGGGCGCCTCGTCCCCTGATGTAGACTTGCCCTCTCCGGGCTCCATGCGAAGAAGGTCCTGGCCGACAGTGACGGTCGAGTCCTCCTCTACGAGCAGTTCGGTGATCTTGCCAGACATGGGGGCGTTCACGGAGACGTCGATCTGAGCGTCAGCCCGGAGCATCGAGGACTGCAGGAGGAACGTACCTTGTCAGTCTCGATGGTGGCAATCTCCTCGTCTTGCTCAACAAAGTCGCCGACCTGCTTGCTCCACTGTTTCAGGGTACCTTCGGTAATGGACTCGGCCTGGAGATCAGCTACTCCCTCGGCCATAGCACTGCTCGGGATATGCTAGCTCACCATCGATGGTACCTTGACGGTTTCAGCTATAGATATCAGCTCAGTTCCTTCGGAAACTCCGAAGACGTCACGACTCACCCATCCAGAGCGACGAAGAGTGAAAGTTTGAGCGGAGGACATGTTGTGCTGAAGAAACCAGAGCGAGGGAGCTGGATTTCGTCAGCTACTGGGATCACCTACACTCTATCGGAGTGGTAGTGACCTGATATGCTCACCGTTTCGACGCGGTCCATGATCGCGCAGGGACGACCAATCCGCGGGATGACCTGACAGACCCCCGGGCGGCCTGGACAAGCGAGCGGGCAGCGGGACGAATCATTCTGCTTCGAGTTGGGGAGTCAAGCGGAGAAGTAGCTGAGGCTGTGTAGGGTTGAGCCTAGGTGGAGAGAGCTGCTGAGAGATGTAATGTATATGAGATTAAAGCAACAGTATAGTTGCAGCAGCTGCTCCTTTGCTGTCTGCGGCAATTGGAAGGTTCCGCTTTCGGCGGTGGGCGCCGCAAATCCGACGAGCCAAAGGACCCAGCATTCCTCAGCGGATAATCAGCAGCCGGGACTGCCGCAGAGAATCCTTTCTTCATGCATCAAAATACTAGCAAGCATTTCCTCCAGCACAAAGAGGAGTATCTGAGCATGAGCTCACGCTGAGGCGATGCATGTATGGACTCCGCAGAGCTATACTCCTTCATCAAGGTCGTTCTCTGCCGTCCGGAGCCCCGCCGCAGGAGATCTGAAACCAGTCCGTGCGTCATGACGACCTGGTGCGCCGAAATTCCTTCTGCTCTCAGGTAGTCATCGTCCATCATATAGCTAAGATAAGCTATCATGCTCGCCCGCCCCAGCGCCTACCGCGCAGCTTCGGGCTTTATAGCCTCCATAGCTGGCCCGTCTCGTCAGCCGATCAACCCACACTTCCTGCCTTGCTTCCAATTTCGATCCGCGTCGACCGCCCCTCCTCCCCCTTCTCGATCTGCACCAAGATCACGCCCAGCCCCTGCTACGCCCGCAACGCCCGCAACCCCCTTCGCTCCACGTCCCATCGCCAAGCTATCACCATCATCACCTACTGTCGCAGCTACAACAGCGACGCCCTCGCGTCAGCCCGCCTGGCCATGGCGCCCCTCCCCTAACCCTCCGGCGGGGTACACCGAGTCAGAACGGACGATCTACGCGCGGCCATTCGAGGGGCCTCTAGGCAATAGAGTCCGGATGCTGTGGTTCCTCGTTCCGTTCTGGGGACTTGTGGTTGGTTTTTACCTGACCACACCGTCCCCGCCGCCAACAGTGAAAGAGGGCGAAGATGGTGTTGAGTGAGCTAAGCTGTCTCGGATCCACAGACTGAGCTGATTTCTCAGAGTCGTAAAGGAGACCCCAGGCTCTGTGTTATGGAACTACACAACCCCAGTATTGATGTTCACCACATCGACCATCTGCTTCTTGTGGCTCGTATCCCCTTCTCGGTTCGTCACCCGCCTCACACAGGTCCGGCGGCAAGCTATCGCCTCGGCTTCCAGCTCTGCCTCGGCACCCATCACGGCTGGTACGCTTGCTGCTCCTATCGCAGAAGTATCGGCGCCAAAGTCAGGGAAGGCGGTGAGGCAGGGCGAGTTCATCCGGATGCAACACGGTGGACACCTGATGTGCTGGGGCGAGATGGAGAAGGGCCGGGAGGTAGCTATGGGGGATATGCAGATCTCGTTGATCGCTGGACAAGGTGAGCTTCTACTCGAGTATACTCGTACGATTGTTCAAGCGGGATGAGTCAGGCTGACACGCCAGTCCGATCACCATACCTCTCCCTCCGCGTCAGGCCGACCAAGAAGGTCTCATTCGACTCTGTCGCGTACCGACTCGATTTTAGGGATACGCCAGTCGTCAAGGCGACAGAGGACGAGGTGGTCTTGTCACTCAGCAGGATAGAGAGTGTATTCGGAAAGCTGGAATAGAGCTTATCTACAATGCAATAATCTACCGATCTACCTGTAAATCTACAGTACATCTACTCAGCTAGCAGAATATCTACATTGTCCTTTATATCCAACCCCGGTTCTCTGAGATATCCCCAGACCCCTTGCCCATCCCCTATACTACTCGTCAACACCACCCACAGCATATCCCCATCCCTCTTCTTCAACATGCCATACACCTCCCTCGCTGCGTCCTGCACCTCCCCATTCGCCCTCTTATCGAGAAACGGCCTAAAGAGGCACATCATCCCCCACACCACTTTGTCATCTACAGGCACCTCCCCCGCGACCCACTTCATCGCCCTCAAGATCGCGATATGCAGGCGGTGGCTCGTCGTATGGCTCGAGGCCATGCCCGCGCCCGCGCCCGCGCCCGTACGCACAAGGGCCGAATGCGCATCCCGCTCCGCCTGCGCCTTGAGGATAAGGACGAATTTGGGCCAAGCATAGTCGAGAATCCGGCGGGACATGTAGTCGCCCGTATACTGCGCTAGGGACGCAATGACCTCCGCAGCGGCAGTGACGACGTACCCCTCGGTATCGCCCAGACGAGCGATGATCATCCCCCATCCGCGGTCGATAAGGGGCAGGAGATCCCCTTCTCGGTTTCCCGAGGCGAGGACGGGGATCGCGGCGGTGATGAGCGCGAGGACGCGCGAGCGGAGGAACGGGTTCTGGTGCGAGAGGAAAAAGATGGATTTGGTGAGGATCTGCTTGCAGACGTCCTGGGCGCGCGTGAGGGGGATCTCGTCGTCCGCCTGTTGTTGTTGTTGCTGGGACGATTCCTCTTCTTCGTCCGGAGTTTTGGTAGATTTCGGGATCTTTCCCCAATCCTGCTCCGGCGCCCTCTGAATAATCTCCTCCACCTCCCTCTGCCTCATCTCCCCTCTGCTCTTCAACCACCCCTCGAACCGCAAAAAGTCCGCGTCTGGTTCCGGCGCCTTATCCACCCGCCTCATCTCTGCAATCTTTGCCTTTCTCTCCGCACTCATGCCCTCTGCTTCCACATCGGCACTCATGACCTGGATAAGACACACCAGGACGGCAAGCAACGAGCTCGCGAGGGTCTCGTACCCGTGATAATCGTCCAGCGCGTCGAATATCTCGTCCACTACGTCGTGAACAAGAGGGACGATCTCCGACCCGACCAGGCGGATCATGGCGATCAGTACGAGAGGCGCTTGGACGCTCAGGCGCGATGGGGAAAGGCGGCGGGAAACGACGTTGATGACGTAGTCGACGTTATCGAGGACGAGGTCTCGCGGTGTGGGGTAGCCGGTGTGCAGGGCAATATACGCGAGAGCGAGGGAGGCGTGGTCTCTGACGATAGGGGCCGGGGAGGCTAGGTGCGAGAGGACGGTGTACTGCGAATTAAGGAGGAGGGGCCGGAAGGAGGAAGAGAGGATCCGAGCGGAGAGAGCGAGGAGGGAGAGGGATTGGCACGTGAGGAGAGAACGCTGAGCGGCGGAATGTAGCCGACGGGTTTGGGAGGTGGCGTACGTGTTGGAAGGGGCCGGACGGTCGATCAAGGTCGATAGAGCATTAAGACCCTTCCCTCTTTCAATAGGCAACAGGGCATCACTCGTCTCTCCGCCTTCCCCCGCGCCGACCCCTCCCTCATTGCCCTCGCCCTCATCGCCGTCCTCCTCTTCATCCAAGGCAGTAACAATCCCCACCGCCTCCTTGGCCATCCGCCTCGTCTTCCTTCCCACACGCCCCTCTGGCCCATCCACCTGTGCGGCCGCAACCCCATCGAGCAATCTCTGGGCACACCACAGCGCGGGCACAGCCCGTCCTACGCCATTCCTCCTGTAATTACGCGCGAAAAGCAGGAAGTACTCTACCGTATGTAGAGCACCCTCCCCGCCCGCCCGTCCGATCTGGACGAGCATGCGTGAGATGGTCCGTGCCGTGGTAGGTGACTCGAGGTACCGGAATGGCATATGCGGAAAGTCGGGCAGCGCCATGGGGTTACCGTCCGCGGACGGGGTCGAAGATGTGCCAGCCGCAGAAGCAGCCTCGAGTAAACCCACCGGCGCGCCAGAGACGGAGGCCCAACCGAGCTGCGCCGCCCTCCCCGCCTCATTGCCCTGACTCCACCCCGCCGGCCTTCCGAACTCCAGACAATCCAACAGAGCCCATCCCCACCTCTCCACTTTTCCTGCCGGACCAAGGAGGTCCGCTATTGCATTCACACCTTTGTTTAGAGTCGGGGTAGACTGAATGATCTCCGCTATCGCAGAGATGATCGTCGACTCATATTTGACCTTATCGTCCTGTCCCGACGTGATGAGCCGGGGAAGCGCAGACATCGCTCCGCTGAGGATATCGACGAGGGGTATATCGAGCCCGGGGAGGGTGGAGAGGGTGCGCAGGCGGTTTCGAGCGAAGTGTTGGACAGGGTCGAATGTGTCTTCCGACAGGAAGAGGAGGGTACGGGTGGAGGAGGATGTGAGGGCGGGAAGGGACTCGTGTGTGTATTGCAGGAGGGAAGATACGAGGGAGGCGGCGGCTGTTCGGGCGACGTCGGACGGATGGGCCGCCAGTGTTGCCAGTACCTGAGGGATGGCTTGACCCAGCTGCGCGGCTGTGAAGGCCAGATAAGACGCCGTGAGCGGAGGAAAGGGATCACCTCTACCTCCGCTCCCCACTGTGGAGGCTGACGGAGCAGGCGACGGCGGGGGAGGCGCAGCCGTCCCTATCCCCACTCCCTCTTCTCCCCTCTCCCACTCTTCTGCCAGCTGCGATAGATCGTCCAGTTTCCCCCTCAACACCCCCAGCTCTAACAAGACTTCGTCGCTCAACGTGAGCCTAATGACATCCTCCACCAGTCCCGCCGATGCCGCAGCGACCTCGCCCCGCATACTTCGTCCTTCGGCGCTGATGAGTTTCGCGACGCCGCTGATCGTCCCAGGGAGGAGACTGGCGAGTACGGGATGCTGGCCGGACAAATACTCGATGAGCGGGCGGAGAAGACGTAGAGACGCGAGCTGGAGGGGGCGGTGTGGAGGCGAAGGGGAGATCTGGGAGAGGAGGTAGGAAATCGTTTGGAAGAGGGTGGACAAAAGGGGCGATTTGGAGGTAGAGAAGCCGGAACGCATGGCCCGAGTGGGGTATGCGAGACCGTTATCGTCGGAAGTAGGAGCGAGTAAGGCCGAGAGTAATGAGATAGCTTCGAGGTGGACCTCTTGTCCCATATCCTTCCCTTTGCCTTTCCCTCGATTCGGTGTGACAGAAGCCACCGTGAACCGCCATAATTGTTCCCAAGCCCCTATATCTATTCCGCCCTCCGCATCTCTCCAACGAGAGACAATGAACCCCATCAAGCGGAATGCCGACTCGAGGAACGCTTCCGGGAGCGGCGCGGAAGGAGCGGACCGGAGGATCTGCGTAAGGGGGAAGAGAAGGTAGTTAATCATACTTTGTGTGAAGGCCGCGGATGGGAGCGGCTCGACAAGGGATAGGAGAGTGGATAGGAGGCGGGCGTGTGCGGATGTTTGGGTAGGTGGGGTGGAAGCGAGGGACATGAGGGCGACGCAGGTTGGCTTGACCTGAACAGTCAGTCAATTCGCTTTAACTGCATTTGAGCAGTAAGGCGGATGTTATAGCTGATGCCGGCGACGTACCTTTCGGAAAGCTTCCATCTTGATACGCGCCGCCTCATCTTGGCCTTTGAGAGGTATGGACTGCCTCCTTGTCGTTGCCGAAGACAAAGAGGAAGACGGGAAGGATGCCGGTCCAGCAGTGTCTGTTCTGACGGGCGACATGTCGGTCGAGGACCGTCGCCAAGAGGAGAAGGCTTCGCGGCTGAGGTCCAGCTGAGATTATCGTGGCCGCTTTGGGGTCTTCTAAAGATGGCTGAGTTGGAAGATGGGAAGAGAAGTATGAAAGGAAGGCTAGACAGGATCTTTCGCTCGGTGGAGGTTCGAGAAGGTGGAGGTTGGTCACGTGCGCGCAGGTACGCATGGGTTCGGTGAGAGCCTGGAGCACGTAGGTAAGGTCTGGCGTGAGAGAACAGTCACGAAGGACTTCCGAGCCTTTGGGTGAATCAGGGCCGAGAGACAACCCATGCAAGATTTCTACTCTACAAATGACAACCGACAGGTCTCGCTTTCCAACCATAACTTTTGGCCACGACCCCGCCTAATCAAACTTGGACCGGTCATAGTTCGCCCCGCCTGCCCTTCGGAGACGTTGCACGATATCGTCCTATCCGTCAGCTATGACTCCAAGACATGGCAGTTGACGCGGGTAGAGGGGATGTCGACAGGATAGGCAAAAGTCCCGGTGCCGTCAGGATCAGAGACATCGACGTACCTCCTTGAGATCGTTGGCTGATGATGCCTGCACATCGATAGAGTACGCCCGTAAGACATTCTTCACATCTCCAAGATGTACCGATACCTATTCCGTCAGCTCGAGCGCTTCCTCCCGCCGAACTGGAGATCACGGGACTGAGACAAGGGCGAACTGACCTTCGCCCTCCGCATGACCTTGACTTCATCTCCTATCCAGATGACCAAGATGAACTTTTCGCGGAACGAGTGCTCGTCATTGTTGTATTTGACTTTGGCGTAGGCGTATGAGGCGCGCGAGGGCTGAAAGTTGGAAGCGAGGTCGGCGAGGTCACCTGTCCCTGTTGAGGTGAGGGTGAGGGTATTGGACTTGTCGGACTGGAAGTCAGCTCAAGCGCTTGTGTAGAGTACCAGGATGCGCCTGCAGTGGTCCTGTACGGGCTTCGGGAGCTCCAGCTGCGGTCTAAGGAAAGCTGGATACTACCGCTCGAAGTGAGGGAGCAGGTCTCCCAGCCTCTTTATCGCTGGAGCCGGACGAGACTTACTTCATAGTCCAGTATAAGCCATGTCGTTTCATCTTTGTGATCTCTGACCTTCTCGTACGCTGAGTTATCAGCACTATTCGTGCTCGAGCGATGCCGGCTCATGCGCTCCTGGACGAAGCGCTGGAAGCTGAACTCACCCTCCGCAATCTTGGGGTCCTTGACGTCCGCCATATTGATTACAGAGCTCCGATTTTCCACGATTTGAAAAGATGTCACTGGATGATCTGGAGCTTTGGCCTCTCTTACACCTTCTCAAGTATGGACTCGAGGTGGTATGGACGGTGTATATGCTCATCAACAAGGCCGGCGCGGATGACGACGCGATCATGATCTCGCTCGGACCTCAGGGTCGTTACGTAAAAGATAACGAGAGGATATCCGTGCGTCAATTCACGTCGGATCTTTCCAGCGCCAAAAGCTCAGCGGGTATTCTCGCCTTTCACACACATCATAGTCATCACCGAAGACAAGCCGAGGTGCCAGCATGGCCTCACCACGCAATGCCGCGTCCGGCGCGAGAGTGACGCCCGAAGTCGAATCGATCAGCTCGTTATTGCTTCATCCGCTATTGCAGGACCCAAAGTTCGTTGCCGCTGTACTGGCGGTATTCCTCTCGGTCGTGCTCTTCACTTGTAAGTCTAGGTTCAGCTTTGGTGAAACCAAGATGAGTCGGCTCTGGAAGCTGATATGATAGTCCTGAGACCATCTGCGAAACGCCGGGTCGGTGGAAGAAGCGGAACGCCGACGGTTCTGCTCGTCGGACCGGCAGATAGCGGCAAGACAGCTTTGTTTGCAAAGGTGCGCTCAGGTCACAGCTAACTGGAGTATACCGTGATGCAGACCATAGCTGATTACTCTAGCTGGCCCACGGATCCCGCACGGAGACGCACACATCGATCACTCCGAGCTCTACGACGTTCTCGCTGGACTCCGAAGATCCAGCGCGGACAGCTATTCGACTGGTCGACATTCCTGGTCATCCAAGATTGAGAGACGAAGTCAAGCGAAACTTGAAGACTGCGAGTGCTGTGGTCTTTGTCGTGGACATACAGGCGTTATTGAGGAATGCTGGAGCCATTGCTGAGTGAGCTGCACCGGGCCCGCCGTGATTTGGGTACGGGGTATGAGCTCATCACTTCCAGGGAGCTTCCACCAATCCTGACCACTGTCGCATCCGCCTCTCTCGCCTCTGGTCAGCCGACCAAGCTCCTCCTCCTCGCTAGCAAGGCCGACCTCCTGTCCCGACCATCACCCACGACCCCCTCCCCCACCCTCTCCGCCTCGACCCGACAAACAGCAGCGGACCGGCTCTCCTCCGTCCTCACGCGCGAGATGGACCGTCTGAAGCAGTCCCGTGCGTCCACAGGCGGCCGGATTGAGGGTATAGGCAGGGTGCAGAGCTCGGGCGGGACAGGCCTGGCGGGGCTGTGGAAGCGATTCTTTGGCGGAAGGGGAGGGGGAGATGTGGATGACGCGGAGCTGGAAGAGGATGAGACGTTGGTGTGGGGTGGGAGGGGGACTTTCAGGTGGGAGGATGTGGAAGGTGTGGAGATTGCGTGGGGCGTCTCGGCGTTGGGTGCGGTGAAGGCTGTGGGGGAGGAAGGGGAGGGGTTGGACGAGGTGAGGGAGTGGCTGAGGTCGGTGTGATGCATCTGCGCTATGAAAAGGATGCCCTCTTCTAGATGGCTGTGAGATCCGCGCGATATCATGAGTCGAGTCGTCTCGCTCGCGATACCTCCAGAGCGCGTGCTTGGCTCTGACGTCATCCTGTGTTGACAAGCCAAAATTAAGGTTTCGTTCCGTCGGAAAGCCCAAGCTAAAGGGTGATGCAGTTCGCGTCCAACTTTTGCCCATTCATCCATCTCATCTCTTCCTGCTTCTGGTCAACGACTAGCCCTCGCGTCCTGTGGCTCTCGCGCACGCATTCTCGACTGAGTCTTGACCACAAGAATAACCGAGGAATCGAACGGAAGCCCCAGCGGTCGCTGTGGAGCTGGACCAAATTCTGAAACACGCTTGGACCTTCTTTGTCTCGCCTCGAGGCTGGCCGAGGGCGAGGCCATCGCGATAGACAACCATGTCGTGAGTTGCTTCCTCTACTTCTTACCTCTTCTCCAGGTCCACAGGATGTCGCTGAGAATCGATAGCGATGTCAACTATGCCCGAGACCAGGCGATCACCACTAGCACGGCCTCCTTTATCGTGAGTATCGCCCCATCGCCGGGATCGAAGTTGAGAAAGCTAACAAGGCAGACCTCCATTACTGTCAATAGTGCTGTCGCTGGGGGAGAACTGATCGCTTTCTTCCTCTTGAGAAGATGGATCAAAGCTGTGTAAGCGGAGAAGCTTCTTGTGTTGAGGAGAGTAAGGCTGACGTTCAGGTATGAGCCTCGAACATACATTCCACCAAGAGAGTTCCAGGCGCCTGTACTGGGCAATCATCTCTGGTGGCCAATATGGCGCATCATCACTGGTGAGCTTACGCCCTTGTCCGGCACAGCCGTGAAGGTGGCAGCTCACGCCACTAGCCGACTCTAAAGCCGTCCTCGAGAAGAACGGCGTGGACCCCTACGTCTTCATCCGTTTCCTCAACATGATGGCCAAAGCCCTCATCCCTATTTGGTTCCTCTCATGGTCGATCCTTCTCCCGATTAACTCGGTCCGGACGGGCGTAGACGGAAAGGCTGGACTGGACCAGCTTACGGCGGGCAATATCGGGCCGGGGGAGCAGAAGCGGTATTGGGCGCATCTGATCATGGATTATGTGTTCATCTGTGAGCTGGCTCTCAGATTTCTGACGCGTACGGCGAGATTGCAGCTGACAGGACAGTCTGGATCCTATACCTCGTCTGGGTTGAGCTGCAGAATTGGCTCGTTATCAGGCAAAAGTTCTTGGTGGACCCAGAGCATTCGAAGCTGCCCCAGGCGAATACGGTGCTTGTGCAGGGTATACCCCAGCAGTATCTGGACGAGACGAAGCTGGCTCAGCTGTTCGCGCATCTCCCTGGTGGAGTCAAGCGGATCTGGCTGAATAGGTGAGCTATCAAAGGACGACCCTCTGTCGGTATAGCTAAAACTTCAGAAATCTGAAAGAGATGCCCGACTTCTACGAGCGTCGACAGCGCGCTACGAACCAGCTCGAGCAGGCCCAGGTCAAACTCATCAAGTTCGCCCAGACCTATCGACACCAGCGCGAGTCCAAAGTCCAGGTCCTCACGGAGAAGGGCAAGCCCTTACCCGACACCCTCAAATCACCTATCAACGCCGACATGCTGACTCCCTACAAATCCACCAACGAGTCCACCTCCTCTTCCGAGCAAGCGCAGGCCGAGGCGGGCGAGGGACCGACCACCCGGCTCCGCCCCGAAGATCTCGGCCGGGCGGACCAGCTCGTCCCTCGGGACAAGCGGCCTACACACCGGATCAAGCCGAAATGGGCGCCGTTCGGGCTGGGATTCCTAGGTGTAGGGCAGAAGGTGGATACGATTGATTGGGCGAGAAATGAGATTGCGACGTGTGCGGCGGGATTACAGGAAGGGAGGGAACAGCTGCATAGGGACGTGCAGAGCGTGGGGACGGAGGATGATGTGTATCCGCCCTTGAACTCGGCGTTTATCCATTTCAATCAGCAGATTGCGGCGCATATGGCGACTCAGATTTTGGTGCATCATAAACCGTGCGCTGAACCCATCCGCGCGACAGCGGCAAGAGACCAGCTAATCAGATAGGTACAATATGTCCGAGGCGTACACTGAGCAATCCCCCGAGAATGTCATTTGGTCCAACCTCAATCTGAGCGCGTACGATAAGAACATCCGTAAAGCCGGGTCATACGCAGCTACTGCTGGTCTCCTCGTAGCTTGGGTCTTCCCAGGTCAGCTTCTCCGCCCACCAATTACGAGGTCAAGCTAATTCCTCAGTCGCCTTCATCGGTGCCCTCTCGAACGTCACCACCCTCGTCGACCAATACCCTTGGATGGCGTGGCTCGGTGGCGACTCGAGTGGCAAGAAGGTGCTTCAAGGTGTGGTATCGGGTCTCCTCCCGCCCATCTTGCTCGCGGTCATCAACTTGCTCCTTCCCATCATTCTGCGCCTATTTGCGCGGTTCCAGGGGATCCCGAGTAAGACGCAGATCGAGCTGGATCTGATGACGCGGTACTTTATCTTCCTCGTTGTTGTGAGTTAATCTTTCCAGATACTCCATGGATGGCATCGATGGGAGGAACACGCTGACACGATAGCACACCTTCTTCGTCATTACCCTCACCTCCGGTCTCGTCTCGGCCGTCACCAGCCTGGTGTCAGACCCCGCCTCGATCGCTGTGGTCCTCTCGCAGCAGATGCCGACTGCCTCGACATTCTTCATCACGCTCATCTTGACGCAATTCACCGGGACGATCGGTACGCTGTTGCAGCCTATCACGCTCGCGTTCTACTATATCAAGGTCATCCTCGGCGGCGGTACTCCGTAAGTCTTGACAGCAGCTGCATGTCGAATTGTCCAGCTGATCAATCCAGACGGTCAGTCTACAACTCGAGGTACACCCTTCAGACGACCGGATGGGGACAGCAGTTTCCCGCAGTGACCGTCTACGCAGTCATCAGTATGTCCGCGATATTCATGGTACTTGGCCACACTGCGAGTCAGTTGCTGACCCATCAGTGTTGGCGTACATGGTCATCTCCCCCGTCATTATCGGTTTCGGCGCCTGCTTCTTTGTCCTCTCATCCGTCGTCTTCAAGTACCTCTTCATCTGGGTATACGACCAGCCCGCCGGCTCCGACACGGGCGGTCTCTTCTTCCCCAAGGCGATCACGCAGGTGTTTGTGGGCATGTACATCCAAGAGATCGCGCTCTGCGCATTCTTCTTTTTGTTGAGGGATGAGGACCTTTATGCGAGCGCGATTCCGCAGGGAGCGTTGATGGTGGTACTGATCGTGATCACTGTAAGTTCTAGACGTATGGGAGAGGCATGGATCCCAAGCTGATGTACTAGGCGGCCATGCACTATACCATCTGGACATCCTACTCCCCCCTCCTTCGCGCACTTCCCCTCACCCTCTCCCATCTCTCCTCTGGTATGCCCGTCGAGACCGGTCACGAGAACAGCCAGATCGGCGATGGCGACGAAGCAGACACTTCGGCCTATCCCCGCCGTTCCGCCTCGCCCATCGTCCAGTCCGAGACTACACCACCTAACGGCCGGTCTCGGGCGGGGACGGGCAACGCGCTCGATGCGGACTTCAACCTCGTCGGGTTCAAGGTACCCCTTCCCCAGCCTGTTCGGGGCGTCAGGAATGAGGCGCAAGCGGCACTGCGGAAGCTCGATCGGAACCTCGGCGGGGCGCGCTTGAATATTGATACGGACGTCTCGGCTATTGCACCCCCATCGACGACCCGGGCGACCGCTACGGTTCCCGGCCCACCTCAGACCGTGGACCCGGAGGAGGATGAAGAGGATGATGGCGATAATAACGATATAGAGATGAGGGAACGGCGGCACCATGAGGAGAATGGTGGGGATGGCGGGAAGGACAAGGAGAAGGGGGGATCGAGCATCGATGATGATAATCCCTTCTTTGCGAAACCGGGCGGTCCGGGTATCCGAGCGAGAGATAATGGGCGAGAAGGCGATCCGGACGCGTTCTTCCATCCGGCGAGTAAGGAGCCGCAGAGGATTATATGGCTGCCTGTGGATGATCTGGGACTGTGTGCGGCGGAGGTGCAGAAGAATAGGGAGTTGGGGATTTTGAGTAGTAGTCGGCATGCGTGGTTGGTTGGGGATGGGAAGGTGAGGGTGTCGGGGCGGCCGCCAGGGTAGGTGCCTCGGGAGGTATGGGTGTGTGTATAGGGACTGTAGCTATATATCATGTGCGTGGTGGTGGTGGTAAGACGGATTCGGTTGAGTGGAGGCACTTATAATTACTGATGTGCCGATGTGGCAAGACTGGTCAGCCTTGTCTTCTGATTGCCCGGTACTAATGAGGCGATGTACGCCATTCGTACGCCATTTGATGATCAGAAACAAGAAGCAAGGCCACCGCTCGATGATGGTCGCCACTTGTACGAGTCATGTATCATGTAAGTACCAAGACTCCTCACATCCTGTCATCTCTGCCACGTGCACTGCGCCACAGCTAAATGAAGTATCTATCGCTACACAAGGCCTCGTACCTGCTGAAAACTCATCCTGGCCGTCAACGCGAACGAGCCTGGCTCAGCAGTACTGTTTCCAGCTCTCCTAGCCGCATGGGGATCCCATCTCAAACAGAGTCGTCCCCAAAGTCCACGTCACTGGTCTCTTCAACAAGGATTTCGTCGTCACTGTCTGGCGTTGCCGCAAGATCTGCCCAGGCGATAGGACCTATCCAGCGGCGGAAAGTCAACTCTGTCTCCTCAAGTGCAGCGCGCAGGAATGCCGCACGTTCAGGTGCAGGTGACAGGATGCCGGTCTCCAGGTTGACGGTCGCACGCCCCATGGTATCGACCATCTTATTGAGGTGCGCTGTTGTAGACCTGAGAAACAAAATCAGCCATTCACGGTCGGACGGCTCACAAGATAGATCGTGACTCACTTGAGACGGTTCAACGCAAAGAGCTTTTGCTGCTCCGTCCGGCTTGTTGGCCACAGGCTGTCCACTGCCCTGTGAACGTGCGAACCTATTGGCATCGGACACAAGTTTTGAGCCGTTCCAATTGCCTGAATCAATCCCTGCCGATACGTATCCACTGTGCACCGCGCGATGCTCAGCGATCTGCTATCATCAGCGATCGAGTGGTCCCTATCTTGGTTAGAAGGCTGAAAGAAGGTCAATGCACAAATCTCGATCACCTCTCCCCCAGTCCTCGCCAAGCAGCCTCGACACCACATACCGAAAGCCAAACAACTCTTCAGTCGCCTTGGATATTAGATCCTCTGCAATCACAGTGCCAAATACCATCTTGTCTGGGACCCAGCTCTCTTCTTGATCGTGCGAGAGCCCACTGTGCGGACCTTTCATGTATCGCAGGACAACGTTGGCGCCATCATCGTGATAGATCGACGCGAATTTTCGCTCCACCTGTGCCTCTGGCACTCCTCCGTCAGAACTGCGAGCGTCGCAGGAGACTCTGCTCGACGATGTCGGGGATTGCCCCCAGCACGAATGATGAACGGCCGCTTGCAGCGGGCGGGGGAGGGTGAAGGCGAGTGACTTGGAAATCTCTGCAGGCAGCGTTGCTATCAATACTGCGGGCCGACCGTGTGCAAACAGAACGCACGATCTTTGTAGGCGTCCGATTGCGTTGGTATACTCCAGGAGATCCTGCGGGAGCCCGATCTTTGTGTACCCGATCCACCGGCCCTCCGAATCTGTGTGTTGTGGCTCTGTCTTATCGCTCTGCTCATCTCATCCCAGCTCGTTCCGAGCGGCATCGAGGGTCTTGTCCATGTCTGACAGTGCGTCGAGGTCGTCATTGTGAGGGAGCAAACCCACATCCTTCTCCTCGAGCCAGCTGTCTGCATCGTTGGTATATGCGTTTTGAGCACTCTCTGCGATGGCGTTCGTCAACTTCTGCCACGGCTCAAAGGCCTGCAGCTGATCGATGGTAAGGGCAGCTTCCGGCGCCTTCCAAGCCTGCTCTAGCCCTTCGATGACAGCGTCGAAGAGGTGGTCATGTGCGTGCCTGACGGACCGCCGCAAGTCTTTGAGAAGGGCCGCAGCTTTTTCGAATTCGATGACTCGCTCCGAGGCGCCAGAACTGGCCAACCGGTCGAGGCAGTCTTTTGCCAAAAAGGGCAGGATGGATGGGAAGACAGGCCTGGAAGAGGTGTCAGCGTCATTTTCTTCATCAGTAGCTGTGAAACTACCAGCTGATAGCAAGATGATGAGCGAAGCTGCATAGCGACTCACTCGCCCTCAGGGAACTCAGTGGCCGTTGATGGGTATAGATCCCCCCTCAGTAAGGCCTCCTTCATGCCTGTCACATAGTCTGTATCGGTAAGGGATGCGCGCTCGTCGGACATCTGGCAATGTGCAGGTGGTTGAGTTCAAATATCTGCTGGGAATTGCAGTGAATGGCGGTGAGGGGAGGACAGAGGAATCGTAGGTCGAGAGTCTCTGTCATTGAAGTACGTACATGGCAACGACCACGAGGCTCTATCCTTTCATACTTATCAGCGCACACCATTAGGTCTCAGCAACCCTTTGTTTTGTGCCCCCTGAACCCTCACCTTGCCTTATCAGGTTTGAGGTAGAGCTACCAGAAAGCACCATTTCTGCGTGGGCCGTGATTACTGGTCGGGTCTGGTAGACTGGTCTCAAGCCTGGTGACTATAATGTGGAGGTCAAGTCCGCCTGCTCAGGTGTCTGACAGGGCAGCGCAGCGCTCTTGCTCCAGCTCGTCGGAATGTGGCCGGCACCTGATCATCCACTTTACTCCGTCCTCAGTGCGGGACTCTAGGACCTTGCAGTACTGAGATCACCGCAAGCCCTGAGGCAGATTGGCCTGCAGCTTTTCGGGCCCTCCACATAAGCTGCCACTCTCGATGACGCGTCGCCGCCACTCTCCGCCACTCACAAGCAACGCCCATGAGCATCAACACACTATACCACCTTTGTACTTCACTCACCAACTCACACAGGTCGTGGCACAGCTCATACTTTACCCATAGCTTATAAGGAGCTCTCGTAATCACTTGGAAGTAACGACGGATCATGGCGGAAGGAACAGCAAAGACGGGCGAGGAGATCACGATGTAGGTCGACCTCCACCGACTTGCCTTTCCTTATCGCAACTAGCGATCAGGCGGGCTTACATGCTGGCGCTGCAAAAACGGTCATGTGGATGGCAGCTGATACAGTAGCAACGTCAAGGGTCCCTCCGAGCTCAAGATCCAGATCACTATCGCTCCGTCCAAGCTCGTCGGCGAGCTGAAGGAGGCGATTGCGAGCAAGAGTGATGTGGAGAAGGAACGGCAGAGGTTGATCTACTCTGGTACGCCGGCTCGGCAGAAGACCATGTGCGACTTTATAGCTGACAGGGGTAGGTAAGGTATTGAAGGATGAAGAGTCAATATCGGCGTACAAGATCCAGGTCAGTACCATTCGTAATATCGCCGTCGGCTTCAACAGCTGCTTGGATTTCAAGTCTGTCGTAGACAGACCTATCGCTGACCTGCTAGACTGGACACACGATACACATGGTCAAAGGCGCCGCTAAGACTGCTGCCGCCCCCGCCGCAGCATCAGGTTCGGCAGGAGCTACCGGTCAGCGATTGCCTCAGATGGGTACGGGGCTGAACGTCGCTGGAAACCCTGTCGATAACGTGGAGAACATTCATCATGTGAGCTCAGCATCCCTGGTCAACCGCGAAGGGACTCGAGCTGACGATTAGGGTCTGGCTGGCTTCAACCCCTTTGCTGGGATGGAGGGTATCAATAACTTGAACGACCCCAATGCGGTAGGTCGCTTCGCTCTGGACTTGAGGTTCGAGCTCATAGCTGACAACCCCTAGATGGCGAGCATGATGCAGAGTCCGGACTTCCTGCGGTCTATGTCGGATATGATGTCCCGCCCCGAAGTTGTCGACCAGGTAAGCTGGCGTGTCACCGAGAGCGCGGCGGCCAACATAGCTGACATGACTAGATCATTTCAGCCAACCCCCAACTTGCTGGGATGGGTCCCCAGATCCGAGAGATGATGAACAACCCGATGGTCCGGCAAATGATGAGTAACCCCGACTCCTTACGCATGGTGAGCTAGGAGCCATGCACTAGGTGGCAGGAGCAATAGCTGACTTTCCAGATGATGCAGATGCAAGCGGCAATGGAGAATGGCGGGGGTGGTATGGGAGGCATGGGAGGTATGGGCGGGATGGGTGGACTCGCAGCACTTATGGGCGGTCAATCAGGCGCAGCGGGTGCTGGTGCCGGCGTAGGAGCAGGCGGAGCGGCCGCACCTACCGATCCCTTCCCGAACCTCTTCGCACCGCAAGCTGGCGGTGCAGCAGCCGGTGGGGCACCAGCGACTGGCGCGGCGGGCGGAGCAGCTGCTAATCCTTTGGCGGCGCTCTTTGGACCTGGCGGGGGAATGGGCGGTATGGGAGGGTTCGGCGGAGCAAGAGGTGCAGGCGCGGGAGCTGGTGCTGGCGCTGGCCAAAACCCGTTCGGCGGATTCGACCCGGCGATGTTGCGGATGCTCGGTGGGGGTGCGGGCGGGATGGGTGGGATGGGCGGAATGGGCGGTTTTGGAGGAGCGCCGGCTGCGCCAAGGGATGATCGGCCGCCAGAGGAGATTTACCAGACTCAGCTGGGACAGTTGAACGCTATGGTGAGCTGGCTTCCTGCTTGAGCAGACCGCTGAGGTGCAAGAGCAGCTAGCTGACCTGACAGGGCCTATGGGACGCGCAGAAGAACATTACGGCTTTGAGGCGGACGGGCGGGAACGTGGAAGCTGCGATTGAGCTGATCTTTTCCGGTCAGCTCGGATGAGTGATCGGCCAAGGAGATGCATGTGGATTGTACCGTTGTCTAGCCCTTGACTGAGACTACTGACTCGCTGAGCCATACAATGGGCCTACTGACCCTCTCTCACGGCCACCGCGCTTGAAAGCTGAGCATCAACCAGTAACCAGCTCGGCGTGTAGTATATGACACATAACGTGCAAAAGAAGCAAGACCATGCATGATTGCGCCCAAACTCAAAACCATCTAGTCGTCTAATCCTCAATGCCCCTGTGCTTGGGCTTTGGCGCATTCCCCGCCGCCGCCGCCACCCAGTACGTCCCCCCCGGGAACGCAAACTCCTTCATGGACTCTTCGAACATCTCGATAGAGTAGCCCTCCTTGGGGTCCAGGGGGACATTGTACCGGCCCTGAGGGTTGATGGAGCAGGGGTATTTGAAGTGCTCGTGCAAGTGGCTGCTTGTCAGCGGGGCCCTGTTTGAGTGACATAGGGGAAAGACTCACTCGACAAACTCGAGGACATTCCGGGTCATATCCCCTGAAATGGCGATGTAGTCGATGAGGGAGAGGTGGATGACATATTCGCAGAGACCGACACCGCCGGCGTGGGGGCAGACGGGCTTGCCGAACTTGGCGGACATGAGCATAATGGCTAGGAGCTGTCTTGTCAGCGTATGCTTCTCGACAGCAGGATTATGAGCTCACCTCGTTGATGCCGGAGACCCGACATGAGTCGATCTGGGTAACATCGATGGCGTCAAGCTGGAGAAGCTGCTTGAAGACCATCTATACCGTCAGCTTTTGGTCAAGGGGCAAGAAGCGGCCTCAATCTTACCCGGTTATGAGCGTGCTCTCCAGTCGCCACACCGATGTTGAGCGGCTTGAGCGCCTTCCTGATCGCCGCGTGTCCGACGGCATCATCAGGAGCGGTAGGTTCCTCGATGAACCACACCTTGAGCGGCTCGAGCTTCTTCATGTATTCTATGGCCTGTGGGACGTCCCAAACCTCTGCGATGTGTCAGCTGATGGCCCACTATCAGGAGGCCTCGAAGCTGATGGGGGACGTACGGTTGGCATCCACCATCAGGACACAGCCTGTTGGGCCGGCGTTCTTCCCTTGGATGGTGGCGGGATCAATCTTGCGGCCAGCGGGCATATTTGCGGGATCGTCAATGATGGAGCGGATGAGACGGCCTCGGCGGAGATCGTCCTCGACGTCGGCACCGACCTTGAGCTGGGAGTGTCAGCTAAGCAGACGTAAATGATGACTAGCCAGCTTACCTTGAAGTGGTTGAAGCCCTGGTTGAGCGCCTCTTTGGTCAGACGGCGGACCTTCTCGTCCGAGTATCCTGTACGAGTGAGCTTCTATAATCTCTCCGTGTACCATTCAGCTCACCGAGCCAACCAACAGAAGTGGTGTAAGCGGGGTACCCGATCTTCTTGACCTCCTCTTCCCGCTGCTTCTTACCCGCCTCCTTCTCCTTGAGCATCTTGAGCGCCTCTTCTGGTGTGAGTGCGTCGGTGATGTAACGGAAAGCAGCGGCTTTGACCATCCTGTGTTGTCAGTCTGTAATTTCACAAAGCCAGGAACTCTTAAGCTCACTCTTCAGGCGTAAAGTCGACGATTAGCTTCCACAGGGGCTTTCCACGCGCCTTGGCGAACATGTCCCAAACGGCATTGTTGACGGCGGCGGTAGCGAGGTGGATGACACCCTTCTCTGGGCCGAGCCATCGGTGCTGGGGGTCTCCGACCACTGTGCTGATCAGCTTTTACCCTCGCAGCGAGATTATCCGTGCGGAGAACTCTAGCTCACAGAAGGTCCAGAACGCGCCGATATCGCCAAAGATCGTCTCGACCTCCATGCCGACTATCCGGTTCGCGACCGCCTCGATGGCGTACATAACAATGTCGTTACCACGACCAATGGCTGGCGTATATCAGCTTCTGCTTTGCGCACGGAGAGAGCAGAGAATAGCTCACTGAATGTCATTCCCTGCCCCTTGAGGTCGCCATCCGTGTGGATCTCAATGTAGGCTGCGGAGTAGTCACACTCCTTATTCATGGCATCTAGCTCGTCAGTACGCTGGCTACAGCATGTCTGCCTGTGGACTCACCGGTTCCATCACCGCTAACGTTCTGAAAATCAGCTTCTCGCAGGGGACCTTGTCAGCGTCCTAGGAAGCTTACGGTGGGAAAGCGGATATCTGAGCTTGATCAGCTTGATCCTTGAATGTGTACAACTCCAAGGCTAGCTCCCAAGGCTGTACAACCAGGGTACATCGGAGTGGAGTAGCGCAGGACACGAGCGCTGAGCGAGGGGAGCAGGAGAACTCACCATGGACGGAGAAGCCTGTGATCTTGGAGCCGGTCATTTCCGGGGAGTATCTACCTGGAGATGCTGTTATGAAGAGTAGAGTATGAGGAGTATGTGATTAAGTGATGTGATCGCGTTGATGCTTTATAAACTTGCGTCGAGACCCACTCTGGCCCACTTGCGCGAACAAATCAGGCCGGCGCGGTCGGGCCGGAGTTGCCGCCGGCCCGGGCGCGGTATCAGCCGGCACTTACCGCTCGAGAAGGTGCCACGTCATGCGCCATTCTCGGCATCACTGAGCTATGGATCGCGGTATACAAGCTGGTATGCATGGTGCATCCTGGGCTATCGGCTTGACCAGTCACATGGACACTCAGGAGCAGAACTGGTCAGAGAGGGTCAGAGGCAGACATTGGTGATATCGTCGGCCAAGACTGAAACTGCGTTGAGTCCTCTTACCCCGTGTGTTTCAGGGGGATATGCGGTAAATTGCCCTAACCGGCAAGGAGCGTATGACGTAAATCTTGTCAAGAGGTAACCAAAAGGCGCTCTTTGTTCTTTGATCAGTACAAAAGGCTCTCTTGCTCAGCTCTCCCGAAGCTCGTGGGGACTCTCCTGCCGATTATGGTACGATCGATGCCGCATATGGAGATGGCCGAAAGCCTTTTGTCCGAGCTATCGAGGCCGAGGCGAACGAGGCGCAAGCGCAAGGAGGAGGAAGAGTGGCAGCGAAAGTATGCAGTGATCTTGGACAGCTTACTATACTTCACTAACGCTAGAAGCGCAGCTCTTGCTACTCTGACATCTAGATCATCTCTTGACCATATCAGACCTCCACTTTTGTACCGACGCACGAAAGGAGGCCTCGAGGTTGAAAGAAGATCTACCGAAAAAAGATGTCGCACACATCTCCTCCTCGTACCGGCTCGGCTTCTATCCCTCCGCCATCCACTCCTCCACAACTGCTTCGCGACCTCTCATACTCGGGGCGGACACCATCGCCAGCGCTCAATCGTCCTCGGTCCAACTCCCGCCCATCGACACCGGAGTCCCGCTACCCACCCCTCTCGAGGTTGATCCACCAGTCTCCCAGCTCTCTCCGGCAAGAGATCGGCCGGACGTATCCAGTCACTAGCAATCACGCTCGCACAGCCTCGGTCTCGACCACTGCCCAGGCCATCAATACCGCCATCCCCTCTACCCCTCCCCAGACGTTCAACCCTTACTCCACTCCGCCCACCTCTTACAATGCGAGGTTGAACGAGGTCGTCGAGCTCCGCAACCTCACTCCTACGTCCACGCCCAACCTCACCCCCTCTCGGCAGAAGAAGGAGTCGCCCTTTCATGATCGCCACTCGATCACGGTGGACACGGAGACCCTTGGCGAAGTCGATCAGGCGAGTCATTACGGGCATCAACGTACTATGCCGGGTTACTACTTTGGCGGGATGGGACAGGATCGGGGAGACTACAAGGAGGAGCTAGATTTCGGTGGCGACCTGGAGGAACCGGCCTATATTTCGGAGAAGAGGCGGTCGCTGTACCCACAATCTATGGTCATACCCATATCCACCATCCATGACCATCCGGACCTCTTTCCCGTCGATACCCCGGCGGCTCCCCCTATCACACCGCTACGCTCCGGAACCCCTCCCGTCGTGCCCCACTTTCGAGCTCTCTTCTCCCTCTCGTCCCGCCGCGACTTAATCCTCATCCTCGTTCCCGGTATCGTCCTCGCCATCGCTTCGTCGCTTACTCCTCCCTTCATGTCCCAGACCATCGGTGACGCGTTCCAAATCATGGCCGCTTACCCACTCCTCACCGGAACGGCGACTCAAGCGCAGCGAGATGCGCTCTTGAGCGGCGTCAGAGACAAGACGGTGCTCCTGGCTGCGGCAGGATTGTATGCGGTGGTCATCAATTATGCGAAGACCGTGGTCTGGCAATGGCACGGGGAGACGATCGCGGGGCGGCTGAGACAGAAGGTATTTGAAGGGGTGCAGGTCAAGCGGATGGAGTGGTTTGACCTGGGGATGGGGATGAGGGAAGATGATCTGGCAGAGGGCGAGTCGATCGGCGCAGGAGGATTGATGGCCAAGTTCACCAAGTGAGTAGTCCAGAAGGCCGTCGGATACTGAGCTGACGAGGCAGGGAAACGGATGATGTTCGGACTGGGACATCCCAGATGATGGGCAACTTCTTCCAATACTTCTTCGCCTTCATCTTTTGTTTCGGTCTCGCCCTCTACCGCGCTCCAGTCCTCGCGCTTGTATCCCTCTCCACCATCCCCCTCGTCATCATCCTCCAAATCGCTACCCAAATCTTTGCCGGTCCTCTCTACGCAGGTGAACGCCGCGCGTTCGCCGAAGCATCCACGGACGTCGAGCGGTCGACCAACGCCATTGCTACGGTCAAGGCGCACAACGCCCAAGGCGCCGAGTCGGCGAGATTCGACCGGATCGTGGAGCGCGTCAAGGCGATTCTGGTCAAGCAGGCGTTGCTATGGGGGTTCAGTCTGTCGATGACGGACTTCCTCATCATGGGTACCTTTGTCTCGGGCTTCTGGTACGGCGCCAAGGTGGTCCGAGACGGCACAACCTCGAGCGGATCGGTCATGACCGTCTTTTGGGCGGCCCTCCTCGCCGCGTCGTATCTCCAGCAGACCGTCCCCTGCTTGACCCTCTTGACCAAGGCGAAGATGTCCATGGCGTCCCTTCTCACCGTCGTCCAGGACTATCCCGCTCGGAAACGCCCCACCAGCGCCTTCTCACCCGCCACCACGCCCACCCATCCCTCCTTTACGGCCAAGTCCCGCCCTACCAGTATGGCCAAGATCCGCCCTCAGCGGTGTCATGGCGAGTTCAACCTACGCTCCATCTCCTTTGCATACCCCTCCCGCCCAGACAGCCTCGTCCTGCGGGACATCACTCTCTTTATCCCTCCTGGCGAAACCACCTTTGTTGTCGGCGGGTCCGGATCCGGTAAATCCACCATCGCTCAGCTCCTTCTCCGCCTGTACGACCCGGAGGGAGGCGATATCACGCTCGACAATCAGTCTTTCGCCTACCTTGACGAAAGCTATACCGGGGAACACATCGCGGCGGTCCAACAAGGGTGTATCCTGTTTGACATGTCGGTGCATGACAACGTCTCGCTGGGACTGGCGGGTGCGGCAGTGAGCGGGAAGGGGGAAGTGAAGCGGCCAAAAGATGTGACCAGGCAAGAGGTGGTACAGGCCTGTCGGACGGCGATGATCCATGACTTCATCATGTCGTTGCCGGAGGGGTATGAGACCAAGCTCGGGACGGGCGGGAGTAGCCTGAGTGGTGGTCAGCGTCAGAGGATGGCAATAGCGCGAGCAGTCATCAGGGATCCTACGGTGCTCATACTGGGTAAGTCCGTCGTCGCCAGTGTTCGGTCCTCGCTAACGTTGTAGATGAGGCTACATCCGCTCTCGACGCCTCCTCCCGGGTTGCCGTCTTTGAAAACATCAAAGCATGGCGCCGAAACCGGACCACCATCGTCATCACGCACGATCTGTCCCAGATTGTCTCGGATGACTTTGTGTACGTCATGAAGGACGGGATCGTTGCTGAGCAGGGGTTCCGCTCGGACCTCATGCGCCAGACGCCCATGCACGGTGCCGAGCTGGGGACATTTGCGGGTATGGCGGCTGAGCAGGCGATCGAGCCTTTGCCGCCAAAGGTGCTCGATGAGGATATGGACGAGGGGATGGCGGAGGAGATTCTGGAGTACGAGGAGCGAATGACATCTCGCCCCGGTAGTGTCATGCGGGCGGGCACACCGAGTCTGCTCGGCCGGCCGCAGAGTCTCGCGTACTTTGACATCTTGGACGAGTACTCGCGAGGGGCGCGTTTCTCGACGCTGGACCGGGGAACAAAGCGGATGTCGACGGCGCCTCGGCCCCGGCCAATGTCGACTGCTCAGAAGCGCCTTTCTTGGGCGCCAGAGGAGCTCCATCGGCCAGGCAGTCGGACGTCCCTGGTCTATGCCCAAGGCGGCAGTGTCGTTGGAAGTCGGGCGAGCTTCATGCCTCCTTCCAGGCCCGGCAGCCGGATGAGCCGGCAAGGCAGCTTCGAGGGGACGCCATACTCTACCGCGCGGAAGAGTATGGTCCATACATCTCCGGCAGTCCGGGCGAGTCAACGCTACACTACCTGGATGCAGAAGCCGCCTTCCTCTTCTGATCTCGACAAGGACGTCAAGTATTCGCCAGACCTCGACATCGTCACTACCCTCCCCAGCGATATGGTGGATCACGAGCAAGACCACCTCGGACCCACGCCCGGTATATTCCGTATCCTCATCTCCAACCTCCCCCTCATGCCCCGCAAGTGGCTCTTCGTCCTCGGTCTCCTCGGCTCGCTCGCACACGGTGTCTCCACCCCCATCTGGTCGAGCTACCTCACGAAACTGATGCAAATCGTCGCTGGTGGCGGTATCGACCCATCCCTCACGACTACGGCCCTCACCGTACTCGCCATCTCGGCCGCTCAGGCCTTGGCCAACTATGCCCAAGTCGCGGCCCTCCAGTCTGTCTCTGCACACTGGAGCGCCAATATCCGGTCGGCGGCGTACGCCCGAGTCCTGGCGCAAGACAAGGCGTTCTTTGATCTGCCGTACAACTCGCCCTCGCAGCTCGTCCAGCACCTCATCAAGGATGCGGACGACATGCGCATGCTCGTCTCGCAGATAGCGGGCAAGTTTGTCGTGTTCGTCAGCATGATCAGCCTCGGTCTGATCTGGGCGATGGTGGTACAGTGGAAGTTGACGCTGGTGGGGCTGGCAATCGCGCCGGTGTACGGCGGGATTGTGGTGGTGAATGAGATATTGGTGGGGAGGGCAGAGTCGACCAACAAGTTGACGAGGGATAGGGTGGCTAAGCTGTTCTACGAGGTGAGCTAACGCGTTCCCTCTTTTGCTTTGCGGATCGAGCTGACTCGACAGAGCGTATCCAGCATCCGGGGCATTCGAGCGATGGGTCTCGAAAGCGTCTTCCGCGAGAAGTTTGCAGAGCAGGCGATGGCCGCCGAGCAGACCGGGAAGAAGACGGGCTGGTTTGTCGCTATTGGAGAGTCAGCCAGTGCCGCTCTGCCGCTAGTAGCTATGGGTGAGCTCTGCTTTCCCCGGTGTTTCATCGAGGCTCCCAGCTGACAGCTCAGCTCTGCTCAACTTTGTCGGTTGCCTCTTCATGCTCAGCAATATCATGAACTACTCGGACATGTTGATGGTCTTCAACCTTGTTCTCTTCTCCCTCACTTTCGGTAGCCAGGCTTTGGACTTCAGTGAGTCCAGATCAGCTAGTCTTTGCGCCAGCTTATACCAGCTAATCACCAGTCCCCATGATGGCCAAAGTCAAAGTAGCCGCTCGAGACTTCAACCGGCTCTACAACCTCTCTATCACTACCACCACCGAATCATCCGGCTCGCTCCGCTTCCCCATCTCCGGCTCTCTCCAATTTGACTCTGTTTCCTTCACCTACCCCTCCCGCCCCGACGTCCGCGTCCTCCAGGGCATATCTTTCCGCCTCGACCCCGGAGAATGCGTCGCCATCGTCGGTCCATCTGGCTCTGGCAAGTCCACCATCGCTGCCCTCCTGCAACGGCTATACGAGCCCACCGCCGGCCAGATTCGGATGGACCGCCATGATCTCGCATCGGCAGATATCAAATGGCTTCGAAACCATGTTGCCGTCGTCTCTCAATCGGCCAACCTGTTCGACTCGTCCGTCTCGGACAATATCGCGTACGGGCTCGAGATACCCATTGGCGAGATCCACCGGGCGGCCAAGGCGGCAAACATACACGACTTTATCATGTCCCTCCCAGAGGGGTATGATACGAATCTCGGGGAGAATGCGAGTCTGATCTCGGGCGGCCAGGCGCAGAGATTGCAAATTGCCAGGGCGCTCGTGAGGAGGAGCAGTATGCTCATCTTGGATGAAGCGACGAGTGCGCTGGATGTAGATAATCAGCGGGCGATCTTGGATACCATCGTCAAGATCAAGGACGTGAGTCATCTCTGCACTACTTGGGTAATAAGAGCTGATGATGCAGACCCGTACGACTATCTTCATCACGCACTCGGTGGAAGCCATGAAGCGATGCGACCGTATCATCTGCCTCGATGATGGCCGGGTCGCGGAGGATGGGCCGTTCGAGGAGCTCGTAGCGAAGGGAGGGGTGTTTGCGCAGTTGATGAAGATGGGCGAGTGGGAGTAGGTTTTTGGGCTTGTTGTGTCGGTATCACATTTGTCAGCTTGTATCTGTAAGATATCTAGATGTATCTCCCATCTCTCTGCAGCGAGGTGACATCATCTGCCAGCCACCAAGTCCGCTTGAATGACGGTGGTGAGACCCGTAGAGAACGATGACGCGTTTTAGTATGCGCCGACCTGCCCCTGCGGGAGCATCGCCCACTATATAAGCTAACGCTGCGGCGGACTTATCCCGAGCAGTCAACTATCTTGCCTGTCAACTCTACACGGCCCGCTATCAATCGCCCTATCCCAAGTCCAAACCCCCCATCTTGCCATCACTTTACACAGTTTTTGCGCTGAAGTCCCTCGCTGGGCATGCCGTCTACCTCGGAGAACTGGATGACACAACGCAGGATAGAATCCGACGCTATATTGATGTATGTACATGCGTCGTCGAGAGACCTGGCAGCTCTGAGTGAGGCTAATAGATCAGGAACGCGGAGCTTTTCGTGTCCCCAACTGGGCAAATCTCTCCGCCTACGCCCGCTACTCCCGTCGCGTTTGTGTCGTTCCGGACAACTACGAGTACACACCCCACCTTCCCGCCGGATGGGACATCATCACCGCCCGGTGCTTCGTCGTCTACTGCAAGCAAGCCGATATCCAGGCGTGGTGCGTGCAAGAGATGAGTGCGCGCATCTCGAGCCGGACGACCTTCCCCGTTCCTCACGCCGAGATGATGGAAATCGTCATGCGGAACCGGCCGGAGACCTTGGCGATGGCGTACGCCAGGTACGAGCTGTTGGACCGGCGCCCACGCTTCCACCTTCATCTCGCTGCCAAAGCCGAGCTGGATTGGCTTCTCATTGACGACGTGTATGTACCCTCTCCAGTGGAAATTGCGTCTCGGATGATGCCAGAAAGTGGCTGACGTTTTAGGGACTGGCAAGTCTACTACATCGGTGATGCTGGGCAGGAGATCGACGGTCTTGCGGATATCTACACCACTACCGGCGACCCAGTCGTCGACGGCTGCGACCCAGATATCCAGCCGGAGGTGGAGGAGAGGAAGGTGGAGGAGCTGCCTGCGCTCAGGATCAAGAAGCGCAAGTCCGGCGGCAAGAAGAAGGGCAAGGACGAGAAGAAGTCCGAGGCTGACGCAGTGAAAGACGAAGCTGCGCCTGCCGATGGCGCTCATGTAGCTGAGAACTGTGTCGGTCAGTGAAGGGAGCTCTAGTACGGTAGATAAGACCATATTATACTTTGCTGATCGGGATCTGAATGATGGCTGGACAAAGTTTCCTCCTCCTCATTCCTCAAGTGTAATTCGCCGATTTCGCCGAAGGGCTGCTGCTGCTCATTCCCGTGAAGGCTTAGGCGCAACCATTGCATTCAACGCACACACCGACTGAACGAAACCAAATGATACCAAGCAAAGATACGAAAATATGTACAGATCAAGAAACAAGTCCCCCATTCTCTTATCCTCGTCGCCTCACCGCATGGCCGGTGTAGGTGTCATACTCCCCTCTCTAAACCCCAACGCGCTCTTACTCCTCCCGCCAACAGTCCCCGCCCTCTCTTCCGCAGTATACGAGCTGCCATTCAGACTCGTTCCGTCCCCTTCTACATCGCGCCTGCCAAAGAGGGACGCAGCGGTAGGTTTGGCGGTGCTTTTGCGTCGGCTAGCGATGGACCAGGCTCGGACGGAAGGGGTCTGGCTAGCGGGAGTCTGGCTGCGGTCGTTACGCTGGGAGTGATGATGTTTGTGATCGCCGACGAGATGCTTCCCATCGCAGCATGCTGCAGTGTCAGCTGACTAGACTAGCGAGTCTGCTAGGGGGTCAGAAACTCACCTCGGACATTATCCATCCCTTCGTACTCGTCCTGGTCATCGCCCTCTTGCGGATCCACCACGTCATATTCGTCTCTCCCCCTGCTCGACTTATAGTCGCCAGCGAACCGGTGTCCACCTCTCAGCGTATCCGGGACCGCGTGTCGAGCAGTGTATCGCTCCCAGTAATCATACGCTGCCGTACCTGAGCGCTTGCCAAGTGTCGAGGGCGGACGCTGGGACATGGAGCTGGCTGCGCGTGGCGGCTTGGGTGTCATGGACTGGAGGGAGCGGTTGTCGCTTCGGAATGACCGCATTGACATCGGCGATTTTGGCATCGCCGATGGGGTCTTGGGCTGGGTGAAACGGCCTTGTTCATCGACAGGGCCGAGGGGTTGACGGCTGAGAGATGATTGGCGGACGGTAATTTGGGCGATATCGCCGGAGGGAGAGACGCCGTTCTGCTGCTGTAACAAGAATTGGAGAGCCTAAAAGTCAGCTCATGCTCGGAACCTGGTGACCATCCAGCTCACTGAGACCCAAAGATCGTGCCTGTCCTTGTTTGGCGCCGTGAACTGAATCTCCCGTCCGGGGGTAGCAACGATGATGCTCTTGTTATGCAGTCCAGGCGGGAGGGGGTTGCTGTCGTCGATGACTTTGATACTCGAGATGAACACTGAAAGATCAGCTCATCCCATCCAATCCAAAGGTAGCTGACAACTTACCAGACTTGGCCTTGGACTCGCTCGCGACCGAGCTTCCTGGATCCTCCTCACCCCAGTACAATGTCTTGGTGTAGGGATGGATCCAGAAGTATCTCTGGTGCCGATTCCCACTCTGGCCGCGCCCGATGGTCCTTCGGGTGTACTTGAAGAGGTACTCGCCAATCATGGTCTGGGTGATTGCGTGGATAACGGCAGGATCGGTCGTCCCCATACCCTGCTTGCCCTTGGAGGCACCAGGAGGAATGACCGACTCGACGGAAGAGAGTGACGGGTTCCGGTTGAACGCCTCCGAGAAGCTGGATGTAGCAGAATGCCGCCCCGAGGTAGAGATGACATGTGTTGCGTGCTTTTTGACGGTCTCGCGGGACTTTTGCCAAGCCCGAGAGTCGGCTTTGGGGGTGGATGGCTCGGGATTCCGGAAGCTGCTGGTTGAGGTCTGCCGGGAGATGCTGAGCGGTGGGCCCATGTCGGAAGCGCGGATGGCGGACCCGGCGGAGGTAGGCGCCGGCTTGGACAGGCGCTTCTTAGCCAAAGTGCCACCGGGCGTGGCAGAGCGGGAGACAAAGTCGTTGGGAGGGGGGGACTGAGGGCGGGGCGGGGCTGTCGCCATGGTCTTGGCTATACCGGCTGGAGGAGGACCGGGCGGCGGAGGAGGAAGTGCCATGACGGGCGGGCGGGATAGATCGGGAGAAGTGTGAGCAATAGGAAGACCCTCGATGCTGGCGCCAGAGACCGAGCGGGAGCCGGGGAGACCAGCTTCGTCTTCCCTGCGGCCGAACGTCTCTGCCGAGATGCGCCGGGATTGGGCTGTGGTGGCTGGGGAAGGAGGAGCTTTGAGGAAGTCGTAGTTGGTGCCTTGGGCAATGCGGAACATGCCCAAGTCTGGAGCAGGGGTGATGAGGGATGGGCCGAGAGCGGGGATGGCGTCGGTTTGAACGGATGTGTCATTGTGAGCCGACCGAGTAGCCGGGACGGTGACGATCTTTTCGACGATGCGGTCTACGGGGACTTCGACGATCCGCTCGACGATACGGTCCACCGGGACCTCGACGATGCGCTCGACTTCCCGGATGACCTCGAAGGGGACTTCGACCCGTTTCTCCACCTCCACGATCTTCTCGACCTCCCTGATCACGTCCACAGGGACTTCCACCCGCTTCTCGACCTCCACGATTCTTTCCACCTCCCTGATCACCTCCACGGGCACTTCGACCCGCTTCTCGACCTCCCTGATCACCTCGACCGGCACCTCGACGCGCTTCTCCACTTCGACAATCTTCTCGACCTCCTTGATCACCTCGATCTCCCGGATGACCTCGACGGGGACTTCTACCCGTTTCTCCACCTCCCTGATCACCTCCACCGGCACTTCCACTCGCTTCTCCACCTCGACAACCTTTTCCACCTCGCGGATGACCTCCACGGGGACTTCCACCCGCTTCTCTACCTCCCTGATCACCTCCACCGGCACTTCGACCCTCTTCTCCACCTCGACAATCTTCTCCACCTCCCTGATCACCTCGACGGGTATCTCGACCCGCTTCTCGACCTCGCGGATGACTTCCACCGGCACTTCCACGCGTACCTCCCTGATCACCTCGACTGGCACTTCCACCACTCTCTCCACAATCTTCTCCACCTCGACAGGGCGTTCCACCACCCGCTCGACCTCCCGGTCGACATGTACGACCCGATCGACCGGTTTGTCAACGTGGACAATCCGCTCGATCTCCCTGTCGACGTGTACGATCCGGTCGACCGGCTTTTCGACGATCCGCTCAACGTCCCGATCGACGTAAACGATCCGGTCGACCGGCTTTTCGACCTCGACGGTCCGCTCAACGTCCCGGTCGACATACACGATCTTCTCGACGGGCCTTTCGACCTCGACCGTCCGGACGACCTCGAACGGTACGGGCACTTCGACGCGCTTTTCGACTTCGACGATGCGCTCGACGATGCGGTCGACCGGGACTTCGACGCGTTTCTCGACTTCCCGGATGACCTCGACCGGTACTTCTACCCGCTTCTCCACCTCGACGATCTTCTCCACCTCCTTGATGACCTCCACTGGCACCTCGACTCGCTTCTCCACCTCCCTGATGACTTCCACGGGTACTTCGACCCTCTTCTCGACAATCTTCTCCACCTCCCTTATCACCTCGACGGGTACTCCGACCCTCTTCTCCACTTCCACGATCTTTTCCACCTCCCTTATAACTTCCACCGGCACCTCAACCCTCTTCTCGACCTCGACTATCTTCTCCACCTCCCTTATGACTTCCACGGGGATTTCGACCCGCTTCTCCACTTCCACAATCTTCTCCACCTCCCTGATCACCTCAACCGGTACTTCCACCCGTTTCTCAACTTCCACAATCTTCTCCACCTCCCTTATGACTTCCACGGGCACCTCCACCCGTTTTTCGACCTCCCTGATGACCTCCACCGGGACCTCCACAATCTTCTCCACGATCCGGTCAACCGGTACCTCCATGATCCTATCCACCGGTACCTGCACCTCGACGATCCGCTCCACAATCTTCTCCACCTCGACAGTCCTGGGCTGGTTCATACCCTCACGACTCGCCATCCGCCTCGCCATCCAACTATGGTTGGTCGTTCCGGGGGCAAACGAGCTGAGGTTGGAGATGGTACGGGTGCGGTTCTCCCGCTCGTCCTCGTCAGACGACTCGCCCGCTGAGCTTTCCGCGGCAGTATGCCATTCCTGGCCCGTAGCGTACGCGTCGGCGTCCGTGAGATCCGCATGCGATTGGGACGGGGTGAGTGTACCGACCGATGAGCGCGCATCGGTATAGTGCGCGTCGTCCGTATCCGTTGTCAGCCCGTCCTCGATGGAGGAGGAGCGAGTCATGGTTTCGTACATCCTGCTCGGGGGGAGTTGGGCGTGGGATTTGGTGGGTGTGCGTTCGCCGGCCGAGGGGGATGGAGGGATGTCGGCGGGGAGTTGGGAGAGCTTGGGTGTAGCGAGCTCGGAAATGGTAGAGTCCGTAGGTCGGGTAGTCATGAAGCTTGGTACGCCTGAGGGGAGGTCGAATGAGTCATGAGAAGGGAGGTCAGAATCCGGCATACCCATACCAAGGGCGAGCTCATCCGAGAGTGCGCCCTTGGTGGTGAGGTGGAGACTATCGAGCGAGTCGATTTGCCGCAGGTTGGGGCTGGACGAGAGGGGAGAGTCCATGTTGGCCGTTCCGCGTGTCCGGAGGAGGTCGGGAGTAGCGGACGAGCCAGAGTCGAATGAGTTGTCGCCCGCCGCAGAGAGGCCAGAAGGGGTACGAGTCGACCCGAACTTCCGGCTAATACTGGCGGGTACAGCACGTCCTCTGCCTCGCCGTCCCCGCGCAGACCCCCTGCCGCGATTGGAGACAGGCCCAAAGTCTTCATCCTCGCCGGTACGGACGCCAAACTCGTCCACCGCGCCAGACTTGAGCCGGTCAATCTCCGCCTGAGCCTTTTCGAGGTTGGTCCGCAGCTCGTCGATCTCGTTGACGTACATCTCTCCAAGCGGGGATCGATGATATCCCTTGTCGCTCTTGGACGGGGTCGGATCCGGCGTCCCAAAGTCCGACTCGTACAGCTGGGACGGGGAGAGCGCCTGGTCGTTGGCGTCGAACCCGGGGCGCTTCCGAGGACTGAGTGCGCCTCCGCCAAAGACGTCCTCGTCGTCATCGTCATCCTCCTGCTCACGCCCATTGACGTGGACGGCGGGACTAGCAGACCCGCCCCGAGATGCCCGCGCCCGGACGCCCGAGATGGCCCGCTGACGCTCCCCGTTGAGCTCAGTGAGGAGATCACTCCGCTCCCGCTGCAGACCCGCAGTCGCGCGCCTCGCCTGTGCCATCTCCGTCTCGTGGCGCTGGCGGAGCTCCTCCACCATCTGCGAGTGTTTCTCGGCGTCCGTCTTGTACATCTCCGCTAATTCGCGCGAAGATACGAGCGATTTGCTGAGGCGATTTTGCTCCTGGTTGATTTTTTGGAGCTGTTCAGTGGTTTCCGAGTAGGTGTTGCGAATCTCCTGGAGATTGACCTCGAGATTCCAGTTCTCCTCCTTGTAGCGTTCTTCTCGTCAGCTATAGGTCAAGACAAGAATGAAAGCCAACTCACCGACACTGCTCTCAGTAGATCTCAACGTAGCAAGCAGAACATCCTTCTCAGCTTCGCTACTCTCCTTCTCCTCGAGAGCCTTCTCTACCGCCTTATCCCGCTCGCTCAGCAGAACCTGTAGCCTCCGGACTTCCGCTAGTAGATTTTGACCGATTTCAGTAGCAAAGTCCATATCGAGAGCGCGGTGTTGCTGATTGCGTTGGCGTCGAGTGAGTGTTGAAGATGGTGTGTCTGCCGTTGGCATCTCAAGCTCAAGAATAGAGGGCTATGCTGTCAGCCTAATCTCGTGCTGCACAATGCTGAGCTCACCTTCCCGCTGATCTCTCTCAAGGTATCGTCATTGTCCTTCTCCCACCTCCCCACGGCCATCTCCAGATCCCTCAACCTCCGCTTTGTCCCCTCATCCAGCTCTTCATCCCCCTCGTCGTCCAGATCCTTCATTCGCTCGTTCAGCTCCTGCTGCTGTCTCAGGATCTCTGAGCCCAGCTGTCCAATCATCTGAAGCTGGCTCGCCTTGTGGTCGACCATGGAGGCGAGGTGCGATTTGAGGTGTTCGCCATTGATGGTGCGTGCGGCGGTGGGAGGTGGGGAGGGGGAGCGCGCGATGCTGTTGAGAGAACGAGCGGAGGGGAGGGCAGGAAGAGGCATGGTGAGGTTCGGTCGGGACCGCTGGCGGGACACCGACTTGACCGGGGAGCCGAAGGGGTCCGACATGGTGATTGGAGTTTGAGGGTCGAGCTCTGGGGTGGTCAGCTATGACCTAGGATAGGTGATTCTATACCATATATGACTGACGAGCTTAGGCCTGGTCCAATTGGATGAAAACGGAAGATGAAAGATGCATGCGTGGGGTCTGCGAGGTCAGCACGCCGCTCGGGCACATGTAGGAAGCGACAGAAATCCGTGGCCTTCGACGGCTGGATCGAGGTACACATCTCGCGGGACGAGCGCGACTCACGGAGGTCACAATTTCTGTTCTCACCTCGTCAGCGCCTCGCACTACACTGAGGGCAGCGTGGAGAAGGGACCGCTACAGAGATGGCTAAAGATGAAGTTGATCGACGACCCCCAAGCCGTGTTTATCTTTTGAGACACCACGCGCCAGGCATGTTACGTACGCGACTTAACGGGGAGGGCGTATTAAAATAGGTCTCACCCTGTACGCGGCGAGGAGGAGCTGGCAGCGGAAGCATAGCATGCGTGAGCAAGTGCTATTGAGGTCGCAGTGGGGCCCGCTTTGCACATGAGATAGCATAGATGATACTCTGAACAGCAAATTCCCCACCAGCCTTTCCTCCTAATCACTCTCGATCTGTTTCCGGCCCCGCCCCACCCCTGACATCGTCTCCCTTCGCATGATCGAATCCGACATAACCTTTGATGCCTTCGAGCAGCCTTCTGTGAATCAGCAGAAGCTCATGAAACAGCCATCTTACTGAGGCCAACTCACTAGCTCTGCTCTCGGCAGGCCGCAACCTTTCGAGCATTCTCGCCGTCTTGACCTCCGAGCCCCATGCTGCCCATCTGCATCTGCAACTGCAACTCCTTAATCTTCTCTTTGTACGATTCTGCGGATCAGCTGACCTCCTTGGGTGTGACTTGTGATCCTGGACTCACCGTTGTCTGCCTCGGCGGCTCGCAACTTCGCCACCAGGACTTCCTTCTCGGCATCACTTGCTGACTTCTCCTTGATCGCCTTCTCGACCGCCTGATCTCGCTCGGCCAGTAGCTGCTGGGTTCTCCCGACTTCGTCGAGCAATTTACGGTCGATCTGAGTGGCATAGTCTAGGAGGAGCACGCGGCCTTGAGGTGCTGGATCTCGCGGCTCCGGTTTGAGAGCAGAAGGTAGAGCATTCCAGGCTTTGAGCAGACTGAGTCCGGACAGCTACAGTGTCAGTCACGATTCGGTAGCCTCTACTGAGCCGAAACTTGTGTATATCTCACCTCGCGCGTCATCAGCCCCATGGTTTCATAGTTGTCCCTCTCCCATCGCCACATGTCTTGTTCCAGTTGCCTGACCCCCCGCTTGGTCCCCTCTGACAACCCGTCTTCGTCCACCTCCTCGTCCAGGTCGTCAAGCCGCTCCTTCAGCTCCTGCTGCTGATTGCGGATATCTGACTGTAGTTGATTTGCCAGGTGGACCTGTTCCGCCTTCCGGTCGACCAGGTCCGCGAGGTGGTATGAAACACTCTCGGAGGGCATCACGAGGGGCGTGACTGAGCAATGGGGAGTGAGGAGGGTTGTTTAGTGAGGGGGGTGAGCTCAGCGTATGAGGCTTAGCCTTTCCTGACCGTGAAAGTCTTTCCACGGGAGGGAAGTGGTGTCGAGAGGCCCGGGATGCGGAACTACGAGGCCGTTGGTGAGTGGGCTGAGTATGAGGGTGAATCGTCGGGTAAATCATTTGACACGGCCTTCCATATTCTTGGTAGGTAAATTACTCCTCGTCTCTGTCAGCTTGAGCAGCGTGAAGCCTATTGCGGTTCGCACGGCGGAAATGAGGGTCGAGAGGACACGGAGAGGAAAGGGGTGACGCGGGGCGAGTAGTTGATTTTTTAGGCTTTGAGGGTCTGCGACTCTGCATAACGTTCGCTCATGCTCGAGGCGCCGCATACAGCGAGTTGAAACAGGCACATGTAATTGCCCTCCAAAATGTGACGTGCACGTCGATGACGGCGGATCAGGCTGCGTTGAGTGGGACGAGCTGAGGAGAGTTGAGTGCAAGAAGCCTTTCAGTGGTTGGCCTTGTTGCTTGTTGGCCCTGAGGGCATCTACGAGGGAGGACCAAATACACCCCCTCGTGGCGGTGCGTCATTGGAGCCCCGCGCTGAGGAATGGCCTGGAAGCGAGCAAGGCAAGGCAAGCGGTGCGGCAGCGAAGCAAAGGTTGATCGACTTCTCTCTTCTCTACCTCATCTTCACCCCCATAGAGCATAGCCAATATGCCCAACACATCCACCCTCCTCATCCTTCTCGTGTGCCTTATCGCACTCTCCTTCATCCCCACCGTCGCTGCTTTCGGAGCCGGTAATATCCCTTCGTACTCATACCTCGAAGGCAAAGCCTTCAGGCATGGTGATATTGAGGATGCACTCGCCAACATGGCCAAGGCGGCCGGCGGGGGCTTCTTGGGTCGGAACGTGAAGTTTACGAACCTTGACAAGAGCAGGGTGTACTTTGTGAGTTGACTTGAACCGGGCGATTTTCAGAAATCCTTGAGCTGACGCGATAGGGAAACTGGTTGCGGGATTATGTGAGCTGGTCGCCCCTCACAAACCGCCGGATCGCGTAGCTGACCTTTCAGTCCCAAGCTGTCGACGTTGGAGCACTCAAGAAGACGGGACTGCAGACCATCATCACGACTTGCTGCGTTTTGGGATTCTTAGCGCACGGTTCGTTCAACTTTTACTTTTCGTGCCGGGTCCAAGCTGATCTTACACAGGATATGTCACCGAAGAGGTTAGCTGACGAACGCTTGAAGCCGTTCCAAGCTGACGATCTAGTTCGAAGTGACCAAGGAAAGCCTCGGCTGCTACAGGCCCGAAGAGCACATTGGTGAGTTAGGAATTTAGATCCATTCGGCTGCAGCTGACATCCCAGACAACCCGAAAGGTTCGGCATAACTTCTCAGCTCCTGCTCTGACCTCATGGCTGACTGTAGGCTATGGCGAAGGCGAGGATGCGCGCAAGTACGACCCCCGTCTCCGTGGTCCCGTCGACGACCGGGAGCTCCAAATCGACCCTCGGACCGGCATGAAGAACTACATTGCCAACGAGTCTGGAGGATGGGCCACCTCCTCCGCTCTCGTACGCAACATTCTTACCCAATGTATCGCGGCAGGACGCAGATTCCGCCAGACTGGCGACAAGGCGGACAGCTACGTCAGCTTCCAGCTTCTCGGACGGTAAGCTTCTTTGTTTCTTGATCGACTTCCGGGGACCAAGCTGATCCTTAGCGCCCTACACACGCTCGAGGACTTCTCCGCCCACTCCAACTTTGTCGAAGTCGCCCTCGTCACTCTCGGCTACTCGCAAGTCTTCACCCACGTCGGCACCAACGTCCGTATCCAAGCGCCCAACGGCAAGCAGGTCTCGCCCATGGTCACCGGCACATTCGGCGGAGCCGATTTCATCCACTCGCTCATGTCTGAAGCAGGGGACCACCTGTCCCAAGCGTCCATCTCGGACCTCTCCAAGTCGATGGACGCCTCCCGCTCCGGGCCCGGCGATACGACCGGCGTGGGCGGACTGATCTCCATCTTCAAGATGCTTCCGGGCAATGAAGGGGATAGTCTGACGCGCGATATGAACGATATCCAGAATATGAGGAGTGCGCCGGGCGGGATGGACCCGCAGCAGATGTCCCCGCAGGAACTGCACGCGCAGATCTGGAAGGTGTTGACTTTCCGGGATGCGGTGATGAAGCGGATCGACGTGAGCTTCATTGAGATCGAGAAGAGGGCGAAAGCTGATCAATAGAACTTTATCGACCGCGTGCCGGGGCTTTCGGCCCTTACAGAGAAGCTCGGTAACTCGATCGCTGTTTTTGTTCTCCAGGTAGGTCTATCAGCTCGAGTCTGCCGAGAGTAGGACCAAGCTGATCATATAGACCATCGAGCCCTTCGTCAAGCCCCTCGTTGGTAACGCTACCGCCGCTCTCGGCCAAGGTTCCCAAGCCGTCATTGACTCGAACGACCAGGAAATCGTCTGGCACGATGCCAACTCGAGCGACCCTACCCACAGTTTCCTCTCCAAGGTGAGCTCCTGGCATCGTGATGTAGCTCCCTGCTCGAGCTGACTTTCTAGGACCACTTCAACGGCATTCTGAACGAGCCGGCTGGAAAAATCGCCCAGAAGATCGTCGAGTACACTGTCGGACTCGTCGTCAAGGCTTGGGACAACCCCGGTATGGACCCGAGGGAAGTCACCGAGCCTGTCCTGGAGTGTCTTTTCCACCCGGACTTTGCGAAGCCGCACTGTGAGCTAGATTAATTTGTGTTGCGCCAATGAAACAAAGCTGACTCTGCGCAGCGCAGATCCAGCGGCTCATGCTCGACACGGTCCGTCAATGGATCGACGAGCAAGGATCCAACAAGCAAGAAACGCTCCGAAGGCTCACGTCCGACTCGGTCCAGAACCACAAGAATATCCGGATTGGGGCCAAGGACGAGTACAGCGGACACGTGCATAATTCTATTGCGGGTGAAGGGGGGTTGCAGGGGATGCTGGCGTCGCATAATGTTCATGTGGTGAGCTGAACGTACTGACAAGAGCTGGGAGAGGAGCTCATACATTTAGCCGGGGAACCAGGTCTTGAATGCCGGTCAGGATCTCATGTCTGGCAAGATGGTGAGCCGCGTTGCCTCCCTTGAGCGGCCATTAGCTGATAAATCAGCCTTGGCAGCAAGGCTTCGGCAGTGGAGGTCAACACGCCTGGCGCGGGATTGACGAATCCGGGTCCCAGCCACTCGGCCAGCCCGTTTCGACAGGGCATGGCCACTCTTCCGGCGGCGGCGGGGGATACCAAGGACAGCAGTCCGGCGGATACGACTCCACCCCTTCATACGGTCAACACCAAGGTGGCGCCGCAGCGGCATACCTCGGCGGTGGCGATGTTGCCTACGGCCAGAACCAGCCTCATACCTCTTATGACGGCCAAGGTCAGGGCCAGCACCACCAGGGCAGCTACCAGCAGGGCGGCTACAACTCGGCGCCGAGCTATGACCAGAATCAGGGTGGACAATACGGCCATAGCCAAGGCGGGTATGGCGGAGGAGAGCAGTACGGCCAGCAGTACCAGCAGCACCAGCAGCCGCAGTACGGTCAAGACCAGAACCAGTATGGCGGCGGTGGTGGCGGGTACAACAGCCAGCCTCAGCACAACCAGGGCGGGTACGGGCAGCAGGGCGGGGGATATCAGCAGGGCGGAGGCGGAGGGGACAGCTGGGTTCCACCGGGTGGGTATCGGTCCTAGACCAACGCATGGGGAGAGGGGATGTAGGGGGGAAAGGAAGGAGGACTGATGGAGTAGCGGATAGTGGACGGCAAGGACGAGCTCATGGGCAGGGGCAGGGGCATGGGCAGGCGGAGGGTGGTTTGGCTCGACAGGAAGAGTATGGTCATTCGGGAGCTGGACATGGGGAGCATGGGCGACAGAACAAGAAGAAGGACGATTCGTCAGGGTCGGAAGATGAGGGCAGGAAGCGGGAGAAGAAGGAGCGCAAGGAGAGGGAGAAGATGGGGAAGCAGTACGGGGGGTACAGGGAGGATAAGAAGAAGGGGAGTGATAGTGATAGTGGGGACGAGGGGAAGAAGTACAAGAAGGACAAGAAGAAGAAGCATGGGGGTGACCGCGGAGGGAGGAGGGGGTCGGGGAGTGGGTCGGATTAGAAGGGCTGGTGGTGTGGATAGATGATCTTCTGTTTAGTTCTAGTCATGACTGCTCTTCGTATGTACGGCTCTTCCACTGTGCACTGCAGCGCTCCGTCACTGGCCATTGGTCGCTGGGGAAACTCTGAGCGTGACAGTAGAGGTAGAAGAGGAGGGATAAGCTTTCCCACGGTGGCCTCGAGGAATGTTGACGTGACTCCGCTCGACCCTCCACTTCGCACGTCCACAACCTCCCCTTCCACCCATCATCCTTCTACCACACACCTTGGGCCCGCCTGATCCAAGACACGATGCCCTCGGACCGCGCAGGATACACCGTTGTCGTATTTGCCATCGATGTTTCTCCTTCGATGGGCGATGAAGGGGTAGACCCGGACAAGAGGGATGATGCCGAGGCCGGGGAGGGGGGTGGGAATGGCAAGGACAAGGCTAAGGGGAGGAAGACCAAATTGGGCCTTGTACAGGAGTATGTGGCGAGGGTGCTGGAGCCAAAGGTAAGCTCGCTTTACTGTGGACATCTTTGAAGACGTCGGCTAGGAGCAGGAGCTGATGTGGATAGATATCGAGTGGGAGGAAGACGGAAGTTGCGGGTATCCTGAGCTTTGGCGGACGTGAGTCGGCTCTGATCCTCACAGTCGAAGCCTCGCTAGAGCAGTATAGTTACGGCTGATGCTGATGATCAGGGACGAACAACCAGGCCAATCAAGCATACATCAAAGCCAACCCGGACGAGGAAGATCCACCTTATGCCAACGTGTCATGCGATGTGGCTATACAGACTGCCAAGCCCAAGACTGTGGAAGAGGTGATGAATCTTCAACTAGGGGATGTCGAGGGAAACCGTGAGCTAGCTTCTGCATCACAGCTTTTTGACAACAGGAGCGGAGAAGATAGCTGATCCGGTACAGCGGTCTCGGCTTTGATGGTCGCGCTGGATATGATACATGTTCATAAACATACCAAGAGCTGGTCTTTGGAAGTGGTGCTTCTTACGGATGGTAAGCTACTTCATCTGCCAGGAGATATTGTGCGCAAAGCTGATAATTAGGCGAAAGCGAGTTCGAGCAGGGCGAGTACGAGGAATGTATGGCTCGATTTGAGCAGTTGGGGGTGAAGCTTACTGTACTGTGAGTTAGCTGTCGTGTGCACTGTGACATGTGCGGCTCCAGCTGATGGCTTAGGGGAGTCGGGTTCGATGCGCCTGAAAATAGCGTTGACAAGAGCAAGAGCAAGCCAAAGGTAAGCTAGTAGCTTTCCCTCAGTGACGGGTGAGGGGACCAAGCTGATCATCCAGCGGCTCTCCGAGAAGTTCTGGCGAACGTTCACCAAACTCCTCCACGAAGAAGTCAGCAAGACTACCACCTCGGAAGAGCTCCTCCCCGAAATCGGCACCTTCGAGACCGAGCTCACCCGCGCCCGCCTCCCCAAACCTATCGCCGTGAACGGTACTTTGGCCGGAATCGACCTCTTCATCGGATCTCCCGATATCAATCCCGAAGAAGCGATCTCCATCCCCGTCAAATACAGTAAAGCGACCATGCGCGCTCGACCACCGACCCTTAGTAAGGCTTGGAAACCCGCCATGGACCTCCAAGCGCCTCTCCTCCCCAAAGCGCGCGTAGGCGATGCTTCTTTGTCGAGTCAGCTACTGTCGAGCTTTGGCCAGGGTCGGACCGGGGATGGGCAAGCGGATCTGGCAGCTATGATCTCGTCGGATGTCAAGGCGTACTCGACATATGTCGTCAAGAAGCCCGATCCGGCTGCGTTGGCTGCGGAGGCATCGCAGGCGCAGTCGAGTCAGAGGATGCCGAGTCAGGCGGCCGCGGCGCAGAGAAGGGGGAGTCCAGATGAGGTAGAAGCCGCAGAGGAGGAGGCAGAAGAAAAGCCAGAGCCGGAGGAAGAAGAGGAAGAGTCGGTCGCAAAGGAGGATATCGTCAAGGCGTGGAGGTTTGGTTCGACCTGGGTACCGATGGAGGCGGATACGTTCGAGCCGTTGAACACGAAGAAGGGCATTGAGGTGTTGGGTTTCTTCCCGCGGGCCAACGTAAGTTGAGAAGTGCCGTTGTTTGATGGACAGATAGCTTACAGCTCAGCTCAAAAGACATCACCTGATGGGCGAAGTCCGCTTCGTCTGGCCAGACCTAGGCAACCCCAAGGGTCAAGTCCAATTCTCATCCCTCGTCACCGCTCTGGTCCTGCGAGAGATGGTAGCGGTCGTCCGGTGGGTCATCAAGGACCAGTCCGAGCCGGTCATTGGGATCTGCGTGCCCGAGCAGGACTTTCCGGACGCCGGGAAAAGGCTGGACTTTATGTTTTGGATCAAGGTTAGTTGACCTCACCTGATGATAGGGAAAGAATGCTGATCGAGTAGTTGCCATTTGCGGAGGATGAGCACAACTTCTGGTTCCCTTCGCTGGAGACGTACAAGACTGCCTCGGGCAAGGTGTTGAAGGAGCACCCGCTCTTGCCTACGGAAGAGCAGTGCGAGTTGATGGATCAGTTTGTGGCGGCGATGGATTTGGACGAGTATGCGGGGGGGATGAAAGTGAAGCAGGAAGGCGAGGATGTGGATATGGAAGAAGAGTGAGCTTTGCATCTGTGGTTGATGGTAACACTAAGCTGACTGCACAGGGACAACTTCCCAGCGCCATGGTACGAAGCCATCCAGTCATACAACCCCGCCATCCACCGAATCAAAGAAGCCATTTTCCACGCCTCGCTCACCTACGATCTCGATGCGGATCCCCTTGGCCCGCCTCATCCGGAATTGACAAAGTACTTTCAGCCCCCGCAGGCACTGGTAGGGAAGGCCGAGGGCGTGGTTGGGAGATTGAAGGAGAGCTTGGGGGTCAAGAAGGTGCCTGCGAAGGTTAGGGCCGCGAAGCGGGCCAAGGAGGGATTGAGGGAGGATGAGGGATAGTGAGCTCGTCTTTGCATGGCCCTCGAGAGACTGAGCTGATGATTCAGTATTGATATCGACGACCTCTTTGACGATGATGGCGAAGCGAACGACGCCGGGCCTTCAGCACAGAAAGGCAAGGGCAAAGCCGACCCCTCTACGCCTCAAAAAGGCGCCGCGCCGGCCGCCGGTGAAGACGAGGACATGGAATCCGCCCAAATCTCGCAGAAACCAAAAACGACCCCGGCGAAACCGAAGCGAGGCAGGCTGATCAGAAATGAGAACCCACTGGACGACTTTACCCGGCTTGTCAATGGCGAAGGGGACGTGTTCCGGAAAGCGATCCAGGATCTTGGGGCGGTCGTCAAAGAGAATGTAGAGGCGAGCTTCTCGAAGCAGGCGTTCCCGCTCGCCGTGGAGTGTCTGAAGGCGATGCGGGAGACGGCGCTGGTGTATGAGGAGGTGGAGACTTATAACGCGTAAGCCCCTCAAGTCTGACGTTCCCCGGCTATCTTCGTCCCCATCTCAGTACCTCTCCGCCTCCCTTATCTCATTGATCTGGCCACCCGACCCACCATCCACCGCTCTTCGGGCAGTATTGCCCAGCAGAAGCTGATGGGTATAGGTATATCGAGGAACTGGAAAAGTTCGTCAAGGACTCAAATTTCAAGCATAAGGACTTTTGGAAGGGTGAGCTACCATCTCCTTGAATCAGGATAGCGTTGATGGTGTGTAGCTGTCGAAGAGGCAGGCAACGATGTGGCCCATATCACGCCTGAGGAGGAAGAGGCGGCGCTAACCGGGGAGGACTGAGTCTTGGGGTTCGGCCATGGGGATCTGTGTAATTGCTTCGACCTACATGTGCATCTTAGCTGCTACTAGTAGGGCGTGGCTCGCCTCTCCTCCAGTTTGCCTGTGCCTCGCCAGCTTCAGCGTCTCCAGCTCAAGTCCCTAGCCTGCGTTTGTATCGCACGGACCTGCGTGGAATGTGGGGTCTCCGAGCGAAGGTCTCGAGCTTGACCAAAGCTATAGCAGCGCGTCTACATCGCCTCTATCCCTCTTATACTCGTACATCAGCGTTACTGATACGGTATGAGGTGGCTACTGGTAGCCGCAGCTTTGGCGGCTTCGCGGTGTATAGCGACCCCACCGCTCAGTATCGCCCTGGAGACGAGCTGGCCTGCACCTCCACTTCTCCTCGAAATATTGTCAGCTACCTTCGGCATTCCATCCTGGTGAGCAAGCTAACGGCGCAGAGAGACAGTCTATGATGAGGACCCAAAAGCCTACTTTTCCTCCCTCCATCTCCTCACCTCCCACCTACCCTCCTTTGTCGACTCCACCGACTCGTCGACCCTTTCAACCGCGCTCGAATTGATCGAATCCCATAACGTCCTGAAGTTTCCGTCGGCGCTGTCGACGTTGCAGTATGCGCTGGGTCTGCATACGGCTGTGCCGAAGATAGAGGCGTACTATAGCTGGTATGAGAGCAGTGTGAATGAGGAGAGGTTAGGGGTGGAAGGGTGTGGGAGCTGGGTCGAGTGGAAAGGAAAGGGGTTCTGTGAGGTCGGGGGATTGGGGGCGGGCATAGGCAGTAACAGAGGACAAACGTTCGTCTGGCTCAACTTCGGCTGGGAGCTATACTGATGTGTAGCAGTACACCGATACAGACTCTGTCCTTTGACCACATATCGCCAAGATTGGCAGATACCGCCCAGCCCTCCGCTGTGCTCTACTTCGACCCCGCCTCCTCTACAGCTCCCGAGCTTCTCGACTACCTGGACAAGCATGCTTGCGCCGACCCATCCTTCCGGTATATCGTTCGCTACAAGCCGTCCAGCAGAGGAACAGATCGACAAGCAGGCCGAAAGACCGCTATGTCCGGCTACGGCGTCGAGCTCGCACTCAAGCGGACAGATTACCTCGTCGTAGACGACCGAGCGACGTCTGGATCGTCGGCAGGGCTGGCACAGGAGCCGCTGAGCTCAGCTGGGGAGCTGGGAAGCGCGAAAGGGCCATTCGCTACCATCCTTGGGACAGACCCCTGGTCAGAGCTGTCTGCTCCGCTTCGTCCAACTGAGCTAGCCAGTGAGTTATTTGTTACGGGGAATATCCAGACCGCTAGCTGACTCTTTAGATATCAGTGTTCAAGCCGCATCCCTGATCATGGCGTCCTCGAACCCGCTCGACGCGCTCATCAGCCTCTCTCAGGACTTTCCCAAATACTCAGCTGCTATCGCTCGAAAAGTCGCCATTCCCGACGACATCAGCCAGAAGGTCGAGAAGCTGGCTATAAGAGGTGCAGCAGAGACAGCTGTCTTCATCAATGGAAAGGTCATCAGTACAGACAGTCTCAATGCTTTCTCGTAAGCTTGTCCTCGCCCCCATACGGCCGGGTGATAGCTGACTCTCCAGCCTCCTCAAGACTGTACGAGAAGAACGACACCTCATGCTCTCCCTCATCGAACTCGGCTTTACCCCTCAGCAGGCTTTCGAGCTCATCTCGGACCCCCTCATCGGACAGGCGCAGACTGAGGAGGATGTCGGCGAGGGGATCGTGGATGCCAGCGACCGGATTGAAGGTGGGGAGGTCCTTACATGGTGGAACGATATTGAGAAGGATAAGCGGTACAAGTCATGGCCGGACTCTCTTCAAGGGGTAAGCTTTCCTGGCCCGCTTCGGACTTGTAAGCTCATAGTATAGCTCATGAGGCCGCTATACCCCGGTCAACTTCATACCCTCCGCCAAAACTTGTACAATATCGTGCTGGTCCTCGATCTGGCGCAGGCTATGTCACTCGATACTATCACGTCGGCTGTTGCCACCATGATCCAGCGTGGGGTACCTATTCGATTTGGAGTCGTGCCGATGTTCAACCCTGCCGAGGATGACCTATGTGAGCTGAGAAGAGTTCGCTCACCGGAACTAAGCTGACTGTTGTAGCACACAAAATGGCTAGGATCTACCAGTACAGTTTGAAAGTGCTGGGTAGAGGAGCCACTCGCGAGATGTTCCAAGAGGTACAATCTCCCCCCAGGTTAGGCTTCTGAAGCTAACATTGCAGGTTGTCGCTCAGACACCAATGTCGCCTCTGTTACCAGCTACCGTCAACCTCGAGCTCGTCAGGAACGCCTATGAGCGAGCTGCGGCGACCAGCAAGAAGTCGCCTTTGCCGTTCGACCAAGTCCTCTCCCAGCCGCTCGATCAGCATTATCTCCGGATGCATGAGTCATACACCTCTCGACTGCTCGCCACGAAGGAGGAGTCGGCGCAGGGGCACATGTTCATCAACGGGAAATACTTTGCTTTCGGAGGAGTGAGTCTCGCCCTGTCTTTCGGGTGGATCCCAGCTGACAAGCTAGCACTGGACAGCTATGGTCCAGTCTGAGCTCACGAATCAACTTCGTTTCCTCCAGGAACAGGTGAGCTAGCCGTTTTGCCTACCGCTGTCCATGCATGAGCTGACTATTCAGCTCGCGGTCGGCATAATCCCCACCGACGTTTCCACCTTTTTCTACGACCTCCCCTCGGTCCCTACTAGGCGAAGCAAGATGGTGATTCCCAACCAGGCGGATAGTAAGCTCCGAATCTTCAACCTGCTCGACATCTTCAGCATCGACTCGACTTCGCTGCCCGGCAAGATCGCCTCGGACTTTGTGTATTCGAACGACGCGACACGAGGTACGCCGATAACCATGTGGGTGGTCGGAGATCTGGACTCGGCGGAGGGGAGGCGGGTAGCGAAGGATGCTTTGAGGCACCTACAGGTCAGCTGGACGATCGTCAAAGGGAAAAACAAAGCTGACGAGCAGACTGATGAGTGCTCCTCTCGCATCGGCTTCGTACACGTCCCTACCCCTTCGTCAAGCGCCTCGGGTGAACGCTTCTCTACACTTCTCTTCCACCTCTTCTCAATTTCCGGTCTCAGCATGACGGAACCCGGCCACCTCCTCACCCTTCTGAACGAGCTCGATACAGTCACGGACAACCTTGATGGGACCTGGAAAGCTTGGAGCGAGGGCGGTTCTCTCCCGCCGGGAAGCCCGCTGCATGCCTTTACCTCGCGCGGATGGGATGTGGCGGATGAAGCGGCTGCTGCAAAGTTCTGGTCTATCGGCACTGAGATTGCGGACAAGTTGGGTCTGAGGGATGGGCGGCCGCATCTTTTGGTCAACGGTCGGGTGAGCTTAACCGTATCTTTCGATGCCACAGCCAGGAGCTCACAATACAGCTCATCGGGCCCCTCATTGAGGCGAACTTCCCCGCAGGCGACTTTGACGTGCTGGAGGTGTACGAGCACCGGAAACGCGTTCGACCAGTCATCGATCTCGTCAAGACAATGTACGACGACATGTCCAAGTTCAATCGGTGAGCTCCGCGATGCAGAATTGGCTCTACGCTCGAGCTGACACCTCAGTCCTACTCTTGGCCACCTCATCTCGCGCGCCTCGTCGGTCTTGGCCAGCGCGTACAAGCCTGCCGAAGCTGAGGGCATCTTTGAGCCGACTCGTTTATCCCGGAACAGGCTATACGAAAAGCTTGACGATGGGGACCTGTGAGTATTGTGACTGCGGAAGACTCAATGCTGAGCTGACTTGGTCAGATCATTCCATGTTGGAAGCAAAGATAATGCTCTCATCCATATTGCGGCGGTGCTCGACCCGGTATCGCAGTCAGCGCAGGAGTGGACGTCTGTACTCAAGGTCAGTATAGCCGCCCAGACTCGGAGGATGAAGCTGATGCAATAGAGCATCAGCGAAATCGAGAATGTGGCCTTGACTGTGTACCTCGAGCCAACCACAGACGTGACAGAAGTGAGCTGCCGTTTGTGGAGCGCCCTTCCGATCGAGAGCTGACTCCTCAGGTATCTCTCAAACGATTCTACCGCACGAGCATAGCCTCCAAGCCCATCTTTGACACAGCCGGGACATCTAACGCCGCCCCTCTGGTCTTCAACGATCTTCCTGGCGAGCCTATCCTCACCCTCGGCCTCAACACCCCTCCCGCATGGATCACCAGCCCAAAGTCCTCCCCATACGACCTCGACAACCTTGTCCTCGGCTCGATCCAAGATCCTGTACATGTCCGATTCCAGCTCAAGCAGCTCCTGGTCGAAGGTCATGCCCGCGAGGGCCAGAGCGTCCCGCCCCGCGGTCTCCAACTCCAGCTCACCAAAGCCGGCCAAGTATCGGAAGTCGCTAGCGACACCCTCGTCATGGCCAATGTCGGATACTTGCAGTTCAAGGTCACGCCCGGTATCTACGATCTCTCGATCCGACCCGGACGCGGAAGAGAGGTATACGAGATGGAAAGTGTCGGTGGAGAAGGGTGGGACAGTCTGCGTGTGAACGAGACGGGGACGAGCGTTAGCCTGATCAGCTTTGATGGGGTTACGATATTGCCGAGATTTGGTAGGAAGGAGGGAATGGAGAAGGCGGATGTACTGCAGCAATCGGTGCCGAGGCCGCCTACTGCTCTCGAGGGGGTGTTTAGCAGGTCAGTTTCCTTTGACTGAAGTGCGTGGGAGAGAAGCTGATATAGCAGGGTCAAGTCTTTTGTTGGGATCAAACCGACAGACGTCGTACCGACCAAGACGCGTCATGCGGACATTAATATCTTCACGGTCGCTTCAGGTTTGCTCTATGAGGTGAGCTCGAATAATGGAAGGTGCCGAGCCGAAGCTGACTCATTCAGCGCTTCGCGTCGATCATGATACTCAGCGTGCTCAAACATACTGATAGCACCGTAAAATTCTGGTTCATCGTGAGCTGACAGCTGTGCTTGGAAAGGCGATTGTTAGCTAATATGACATAGGAGAATTTCCTTTCACCTTCGTTCTTGGTGAGCTTACACCTGATTCCGGCTCATCGCGGTCTAGCTGACTTCCCCAGGCCTTCATTCCTCACATGGCCAAAGAGTATGGTTTCCAGTACGAGCTCGTTACGTACAAGTGGCCGCATTGGCTCCGCGCGCAAACCGAGAAGCAGCGCATCATCTGGGCGTGAGTTGTCCCGCGCAGCTCGACGTCTGCATAGCTCATATGCCAGTTACAAGATCCTCTTCCTCGATGTGCTCTTCCCGATGGACCTCGACAAGGTCATCTTTGTCGATGCCGACCAGATCGTCCGGACGGATATGAAGGAGCTCATTGATGTCGATCTGCACGGCCACGTGTATGGGATGGCGCCGATGGGGAACTCGCGAGAAGAGATGGAGGGGTTCAGGTTCTGGAAGACGGGATACTGGAAGGAGGCGCTCCGGGGGAGGCCGTACCACATCTCCGCGCTCTACGTGGTCGATCTGAAACGGTTCCGTCAGTTGGCGACAGGGGTGAGCTCGGTAGATCTCAACACATTGAGGGAATCAGCTGATCGTATAGGACCGACTTCGTGGGCAGTACCACGCTCTCTCGGCTGACCCCAACTCGCTCGCAAACCTCGACCAGGATTTGCCGAATTCAATGCAGGACCAGATCCCGATATTCACCCTGGATCAGGACTGGCTGTGGTGTCAGACGTGGTGCAGCGACGAGAGCTTGGAAACGGCAAAGACCAGTACGTCCCTTTCCACTAACATACATCCTCCAGCGCAGTACTTGGCTTTACGCCCTTTCTTGTCGATCTCCGTATCCTCCCTCACTTCCGCTATCGTCTTCCCTCCCCTCCACCACATTGAACATCCCTTCCCGTGCCCGGCCCTTCCCTCCTCCCTTACGAGCACCGCATTCCCCTTCTTCCTATGCCCTCTTCCATCGTGTTCCCTCCGCCGTGTCCTCGACTGACACCTCCAGTCGATCTCTGCCAAAATCCCATGACCAAAGAGCCCAAGCTCGTCCGCGCTCGCCAGATCCCCGAGTGGGATACGTATGACCAGGAGATTGCTAGGTTCGCGGCGAAGCTGTCGGAGGAAGAAGGGGTATTGGCGACGAGTGTGGATGATCTAGCGGCCGAGAAGGTGGTGGTAGTGACCGGAGGAGGGGTTGGAGGGGCTGATGAAGGGGATGGGAAGGCGGTGAAGCCGGATGATGGAGGGGAGGATGGCCATAGAATAGCGGACGAGCTATAGATAATGAATGATTGGCTGTCTGGTCCGATTCGGAAAGGCTATGACTTTCAGCGATGTATCTCGCCTGCAAGTCCACCAAGCTCAGACACATCCAGTCCGTCCTATCTTAGTGTACAACTCACTGGTAAGCCGGCTCAATCCAATCTTTTGAGCCTCGCCATCAAATTAATGCGACGACCCTCTGGCCTCTTCTAACCCCTTGTAATAGCCTCGGTACTACCAGGAAAGGGCCCCGGCCCTGTCGACGGCCTTCGCTGAGAGAGGTGCCCGAGACGTCATGTGTCGGTGTGCGATTCGACGACGGGCTGCTTGCTACCCTTTTCCAGATCAGGCATATCGAAAGTATTCCCATCCGACCCAATTTGCGATCGCAAACCACGCCGTGATAGGGACCATAAGCGGCAAGAGGTAGATATAATGGTGTTGCGAGCACATGCTGGCCAGGCCACTCCTGCCGGCCAGCGAGGGGTCGGCGACGTGGGGGAATGTTGACGCGACACCGACAGGGCATAAAATAATCGATGCCGCCATGACGCCGAGTATGGGTAGCATGGCGAAAAATGCGACGGCGATGAACATCAGCCGTGAGGCTGGTATGTCGGCTTTTGGGGGAGCGAACATGTTGGAAAGTGAAGTACAGAGGGTCGAGGAGGAAGGGGCGAAATGAGGAATGAGGAGGCGAGTTCCGCAAATGTGCTCAAACTCGGCTGCTGCAGGACAGTGCAGGACTAGAGCGGGGCGAGAACGCCCATAATTCATAGCCTCGCACATTGGCCGCAAACAGATGACCAGGCCAAGCCTGATGCCCCCAAGTCAGAGTGATCTACACAATGCAACTTGACCTTGTGTTCACAAATGATACCGAAAATCTTTTTCCCTCCGCCTGCAACTCCATCCTCAACTCGATGATCCTCGCCTGGGCCAACCTCTCCTTCGCCTCCACCTCTTCCCGCATGAATGCCTCCCGACTCGCCTGCTCCCTTAGCGCCTTCAAGTCCACCTCCATCTTCTCCACCTGAGCCTGCGCAGCCGCCAACTCCCTCATTGCCTGATGCCTCTGCGCCACCGCCTGCTCCCTCTGCGCTACCGCCTCCAGCTTGGCAGTCGCTATCCGATGCACCACCGCGGGGTCCGCTATCCGCTCGAGCATGGCGATGCGTTCTTGCGCCTTGGCGAGCTCAGCATTGGGGGCGGCCTTGAGCCGGTCCAGCTCGAATTGGAGCTGCTGGTTCCGCCGGCTGAGGTCGTCAACGCGGAGGACAGCAGCTTCGTATGATGCGCGATAGCCATCGGCGGACCGGCGCCAGAGGAGCGTGATATGGTCATTTGGGTCGATGGGGCCGATAGGATCGGCGCGAAGCCTAGGATCAAGGCGATCGAGGGGATCGCTATGACCGGTCGATCCGACGGGCCCTGCCAATTCTTGTGGGACACCGGAAGGAACGATAGCTGCCGCTGATCCCATCGACACCTCCACAGTCTCCTCCTTTGGAACCTCCGCCTCCACTGCCGCTTCTGACACAGCTGTCGCCTTTTCCTCGGTCTGAGGCAAAGCTGGAACGAGCACTGTCATGCCTACAGCCGCGTCTGCAGGCATCGAGGTGGTCTCGGTCGAATCGCTCGCAGGCGGAGGGACCGCTGGACCCAGCGAGGGAGGCGGAGGAGCCGCCAGTCCGCCGGTAGTCTCCGCCGGAGTGTCGATGCTGGACGTAATCGCGGGCGTTGCGACCGCTACTGGACTGGTGCTCGGTGGAGGCTGGGGAGTTGTATTTGTTGAAGCCTTTTCGCCTTCTGCAGATGCGGTTGCTGGCACAGCGGGCGATGCTGATGGGATAGAGACATTCTCCCGAGCGAGGCGAGGGGTGATAAGGGTAGAGAAGGACAATGAGAGAGGGTGGGGAGGGGAGCGAAGCCTTGGCATGTAGTAAGGCGGCGGGGCGGCTGGGGAAAGACCAGGTTGAACGGCGACCGAAGATGTATGCGCCGTGTGGTCCTGGGCCGCCTGCACTGATGCAGCAAATGCCGCTAGGTCCAGCGGGTGCGCTGCATTGGGTGTGGCCTGTGTAGACGGTGCCATGCCTATAGCCGGGCCAGCAGATGCGGATGAAGGGGTGGGGATTGGTAGGATGGCCGGACCGGACGCAATGGTCTGAGAGTGGGGCGTCGCGATCCTCTCCACCTTGGTCTGAGGGGTCGAGGGGCCTGCTTCCGCGTTGGACTGCTGGGACGACATGTTCGCTCGGGCTTTGTTGTACTCTTTTGTCCGATCACGGGGTACTCTGGCAGATGTCATTCCCATTGTCCAGACTAGATCTTCAGCGTAGCCCCACAAGAAGAAAGGCATGAGGACTTGAGGACTCACTTCGGGCCCTGTCGACATCCTGGCAGAACTTCTCGACATGCCGAAGTTTTGCCTTGTCGAAAATGACTTTCTGCAAAGTTAGCCATATGCCCGCCGAGCAAAAGAGCATAGCGAACCTTGCCAATATCCGGTCCGGACATGATCCGCCCGCCAGCCGTACACTTCAAAACTCGCTCTCCCGGCTTGGGGACTACCGCTCTGCAGTGCAGGCACGCGTCGAGGCATGGATGCATACCGGTCGGTACGCCATAAGAGGGAGGAGGAGGCGTTATCCAGTTAGAGAATACGCAGGGGTGTCCCGCCGCCTTGCATGCGCTGCACTGGGCGTCTTTGTGTCTGCTTTATCAGCTGAACTCTCATACAGCCAATACGCTCAACTCACGTGTACATAAATGCGTTCCAGACAGGTGCGTTCCCCTTTACTCCCTTCAATCTCGTCAGACCCGCCACGTACGGCTCAATGGATTGACTCGGTTCGGGTACCCATCGCTCCAGACCCAAAGCCTCCGCCTTGCCGGGCCACTGGAACTGGGGGACGTCACACGCAGGCTGGAATTGATATTGGTGACCCGGGACGGTGATGCCTTTCATGTAGATCGAGGCGTGCTTGTGGACGATATCGGTAGTGAGGTCATAATCGGACGCGGTGCCAGAGGAGGTGGCTGGAGGAGCTGGGATTTGGGGTAAGGCTGGTGCCGTGGTGATGGGAGCACCGGTGGGGACGACGACCGTAGGTGTTTGTGGAGTGGATTGCGAGGTCATCAAAACAGGAGAGGGATGGTGGTTGGCTGGATCCGCCGCTGTGATGACCGCTGGAGAGGGCTGGGACAATCCGGCGGAAGCGGCGGCTGCGGGAGCGCTCGGTACGATGGGTCCTGCCAGGGCTGTAGGTTCGGTGACCGTGACGGTCTGCTGCGCCGGTAGGTTGGCGGTGCCTGATACTGCGTCGATGTTGGCAACAGCTGGAAGGGTCGAGGATGGCGCGGCGGGAGGTGCAGGCTGGACAGAAGGTGCGGGTGATGGGGCAGCTGTCGTTTGTGGAGCAGGTGCCTGGTGAGAAGCAGGCGAGGGGTTGGGAGCGGACGCAAGTTGGGCGGCGGGTACGGGCTGAGCGAGGGGCGCGGGTCGGACGGCCAGTGCAGCTGGCTGTAGAGCAGATACTGTTTGGGGGACAGATGCGGGTTGTGGAGCAGCCACATGCTGAGCGGCAGGCGGAGGGTGGGGAGCGGATCCAGCTTGGGCGGCGGATACAGCCTGGGCAGCAGATGCGGGCTGTGGAGCAGGTACAGGTTGTCGAGCAGGAGTTGGGTGTGGAGCAGATGTGGATACTGCAGCATGTGCACGCTGAGCAGCAGGCGTGGGGAGGGCAGTGGAAGCAAGTCGGGCGATGGGGGCGGGCTGGGCAGAAGGCGCGGTTTGGGAAGCAAGTGCGGACAGCTGCCTGGGTACAGGCTGAGCAGTGCGTACATGCTGGGAAGTGATAGCTGGCCGGGCGATGGGCACGGGCTTGATGACCGCAGGTGACTCTGCCGCAGGGGCCGTTCGGTCCGGTGCCCCGCCGGCGAGAGCCTCGATAGCGGTTCGGACAGCCTCCTTTTCGCGTTTCTCCTGTTCGAAATCCGATTCGTCCGATTCGGGCGTCATGGTCGACGAAGTTTCCGGCGTCCCTCGATGTCCCGCCGCTATCCGAAGTAGGATCCGCTCAGAGGCGGCCTCAGGAGCGGCGGGCTCGACTTGCTCCTCCAAAGCAGCGGAGCTGGACCCGGTGAGGGTGTCCGCAGGAGGAGGAGTGGACTCGGCGGAGGAGGATGTTCGTTCCCGCTTGACGCTTATCCTGAAGCTCTTCCGGTCGCCGGGTCGGGCATCGCTGGGCCCGGCTTTGCGTTTCTTCTGGTTTGGCGAGGCACCTTCCAGGCGTGCTTTCTGCATGGCAGTAGTGAAGACCGAAAAGTTGGCTATGTCATAAGCTTGGCTTAAAGCTCATCGAAAGATCCAGCTCACTCGGTAGACCTAGCATGTCATTGATTGAGCGCGGAGTCCGCCTGCTGAGGGGATCATACTTGGACATCAGTCAAGTCTGTAACCCGGAAATAGAGATTGGACTTACCTTGTTGGCGAGCGGTCCCTCCAAGATCAATCCCACCTTATCGCACTTCTTCCCGTCTATGAGACAGTCCCAGCACGAGTCCTGCGTGATGTCCAGCGCGACGCCCCTCGCGTCGCGTTGAGGATAAAGTCCCGTTACCGGGTTGGGTCCCGTCCAGCTGACTGTCAGGCATGGCCGCGGTAGTTTGTTATTGACGCAGCCGCTGCAGCTGAGCCTCTCGCGCCTAGCTAGTCAGCCAATCCGGCAATCATGCACTTGAGATACGGAACTCACTGATACAGCTGACAGTCGAGCCGGAAGATCGCGTCTGATTGCGAGTCCAGCAGGAGGAGCTCGCGGCTCGCGCTGACAGGTGTCATGTCCAACGCGTATGCCATAGCGAAGGACAAGTGCTCCAGCTCGGGAAGGTTGATAGGTTTCCGCTTCTTGTCGATGTTGTCAAGGTCGGCCGCCAGCACTTTGACGAGTCGAGTGGGCTTGCGATCTTTGATAGAATACGCCCATTCTGGATACTCGTAGCCTTCCGCTGGCCGAGTGGTTGGCCAGAGAGGAGCTCTGTCCTGCACCTTGCTCGCGTGCCACTCCCTACGCGTCAAGGACATGCTGAGTAAGGGGCTGAAGGGAAAATAGATGGAGAGATGGGTTCTGATAGCTGTTCTGATGCGCGGAGAGTCGACTTTAGTGGGCGGGGAAACTTTACTCCGCCAAAGGGGCTCGAGCCAAACAAGCAAGCAGCCTCGAGCAGCTCCTCGCTTCTCTTTCTCCTATTCCTTCAGTCTCATAGCATATAATTACCTACACAAGGAGTCGAGAGCTCGCAGAGGCGACACAGTGCCATCGCGCATGTCTCAGAGCTAGCGCCGAAAATCTGACGAAGGAGGTGGAGGCGCCTCTGAACGAGGCTGGCATTCTCAGCCCCCCTGGCAGCCATGGCCCCTTCTCTCTGAAACTGTCCTAACACTGAAACGGTCAGTCCCCACCTAGCTATGCACCATCTTACATATCACTGATGCCTCTTAGATCTCACGACCACCGCTATGAGCTCCCCTGTCATCTCTACAGCGCACGTTCGTGGCCACCCAGAGTTCACGACCCACAATACCCCTCCGAATGTGCTCAACCGCCTACATGCTCTCTTTTCGTCCGGCAACAATGGGGAGGCGGGACCATCGCGATCTCGACGACCAAGCGTGGATGTACCTGGGGACCGGGAGATATTCAGGGCGATGACGGTGCCAACACTGCCTACGCCCCCGCCGAAAGTGGTGCCGGATAGAAATGCGCTGGTGATCAGGCTGGTCACTTGGAACATGGGAGATGCCATTGTAAGCTGCGCTCCGCCCGACTGACTCCTTGTGCTGATCTGTTAGCCAAAAGGAGATCTTTCCGTCCTTCTTGGCGAAGTACCCGAATATTCGCCTCTCGAGATCCGCGATGGCCTGCCTATCGTCCCGGTCGAGGACATCCACCCATACCATATCATCGTTGTGGCCGGCCAAGAATGCCCGACAGAGTCTGGCGCACCGAGGGGAATAGGCGGCGGTCTGATGAAGGGAATGAAGCTGCATGGACTGCATCATCACAGAAAGGGGAAAGAGAGGGAGAAGGAGGAGCAAAAGGGCAAAGAGGCCAAGGAGGAAGAGCTGGACGAGAGCTCGGACAGCACGCAGGATGGTCGTCCGTCGTATATGACTCCTGGAGAGGAAGGGGAGGGATCAGCGGAATCGGCAGAGGGGTCAAGAGCGACCACGCCTACCCTGGGGAGTACGCCAACTCTGCACCGGCATGGGCACATACATCAGCCGGTCGCCAAGGGGTGGAGCAGTATGCTGGATGGTGAGCTATGTCATACTCGCGATAGCTGCTTAGCTGACCGTCGAAGACTGGCTCTGCGGGACGGTCCAGAAAACCGAAAAGGCTCGCTCGGCCGACCCTACTGCCGCACCCCAACCTACCTCGAACCTTCTTGGTGTCGACCCGCCATCCATGCAACGCTCGGCCTCTGCTCCGATGGCCATCTCAACGTCCGTCCAGTCTACAACAACATCCATCCTCCACTCGCGGTCCCCTCTCGCTCGGTCTCCCTCCTCCTTCACTTCGTCCCAATCTCTATCGGACAGCGACTCGAGCGCTTCGGAAATGGAGGCGTCATTCCAGCTTCCCGTCCCACCTCCCATCGCTCGAATGGCCTCAGACCTCCGACGTGCGGCTCGACCGGAGATCATCATTCCAACGGACGAGCCGCCCAAGGCGATGGAGGGTTCCAAATGCTACACCCATCTCACAAAGCAGAGGCTTATGGGGATGTATCTCTCGGTGTATGTGCACAAGGATTGTCGGCACCTTGTCGAAGGGGTGGATAAGGACTTTGTCACTGCGGGGCTGGCAGGTGGCAGACTGGGTAATAAGGGCGGGATGTGAGTTGCTATATCTGGTATTACGGTGCATAGCTGACGGTACAGTGGAATCAGCTTGAAGATCGCCGATCACCGTTTACTATTCGTCAATTCTCATCTCGCCGCACATACTGGCCGCAATCAAGCTCGGATGGCGAACATCGCCAAGATCAAGTCGGAGCTCAACTTGGACTGCTTCTTGCCAAAAGACGATCCTCGGGCGAATGAGAAGGATTTGACGGACAGATTTGACTCAGTGTTTTGGTGTGGCGATTGTGAGTCCCGGAGTCTGACATGAGCTGACTTATAGTGAACTTCCGACTTGATGTCGCTCGCTTGCACGCAGAATGGCTTGTCGAGCAAAAGAGTAAGCTTACTAATCTCTAAGAACGGATCGCCGAACTCAGTGCTGCAGAATATGCCGAAGCCCTCACATGGGATCAGCTCCGGAATGCCATGATGGATCCCGCCACCAACCCCTTTATCGGCTTCGAGGAGGGCATCATCGACTTTCCCCCTACATTCAAGTACGATGTGTGGAAATCGGTAAAATCGACCAACAAGGACCTCCGCCGCTCGCTTCGTCGACGCAACTCGGTCACCAAGCCTCGGCAGGCGGAACCTGGATCGGGTATGGCGACGCCAAAAGTCCTCGACCACGTTCCCGAGGCGGACGGGGAGGACTTTGACGATGCTCGATCGCGTATCAGCGATGACTGTAGATCACCGGATCTCTCTCGCCAGTCCTTCGAGTCGTCCCGCTCCGTCCGGTCCGTCTCGAACGCCACTGCGGACTCGCACATCGGCCGGAGCAACTCCTTCCGGAGTCCGGCGGAGATCAGCCAGGCTGAGCTCAACAGCATGATGAATTCACACCGGCCGCTCGATGTCAAACTGAAGGAAAAGACGAGGAAACTCGTCCAGCTCGTCAAGATCAAAACACACCTCTCTCCCTCTCCATCCATCCCCAAACGTCCTGCTCGGTCGCAGAGTATTTCTAAAAAGCCGTCGATGGAGTTTGATCAGGCTAGCCGCCGGACATCGCTCTCCTCCTTTACATCCACCCGCGAGCGCGAGACTTCGCCCGAATTGCCCTCCGGATTCCGGCCATTCGGCCTGGCGGACTCGGCACTGCTCTCGCCCATCGAGGCAAAGAGCCCGGATGCGGAACGGCTCGGGATCGCCCGTCGACCGAGTATGGCGTCGTCTTTCGGCTCGCCTCAGCGGCCGCAGCGAGCTTTCAGCTTGAAGCGGACTTTATCAGGGCGGTCGATGAAGTTGGATACGCCGGACGAGAGTGAGAAGCTGGATATGCGGGAAGATAGGCGGGAGGGCGTGTACGATTCGTCCAAGAAGCAGAGGGTGCCAAGCTGGGTGAGCTACGCGTCTCCGTTAGTTCCTACGAGACTTGCAGCTGATGGATTAGTGTGATCGGGTACTGTGGAAAGCGCATCCCATCCCAGACTTGCCTGAGCCTGCTTCGGATCAACTTCAACGTGAGGTCAACATGTACCAGGACCGTCCGCGGTTCGGCCGTCTCACCCTCGTCCTGTCCAACATCGGCCGGCATCGCAAATTCCCAGTCACTCGGACCATGTCTATCGAACCATCGCCATCCACCAGATCCATGACTCCCCCTCCCCTTCTCCCTCGTCTGGAACAGCCCATCATCTCCCCGGACCGTACGCTTGTCGATAGTGTTTCCCGACCCACTTCCGGAAACGCCACTCCTACCGGTCAAGTCCCCCATCCCAAGCCTCACCCCAGCCACGACTCGCACGTCCATCCCCGTACGCGCCCCATGTCTACCGATACGCACAACTCCTCATCGCCCATCTCGCCCGTCCGTCATCCCCTGCTCCAGACTGGCGGGAGCCAGTCCGGCTCTCCCGCACGGCCGCGTATCACTATCGATCCGAACGCTACTCCGGGGCACGATCACTTGACGCGACCACGCGCCAACTCGGAGACTGTACCCGACGCGCCTAGCGCCCGCGCCCAACTCTTCGGGGCGAACGCGACAAACGGGCGAAGTCTGCCTCCTCCTCCTGTTCGACGCCTGACGGGCGAGCCTGCCCCGGCGATACATACGGACGAAGACGGAATGGTCATGCACCGCGTCCGGTCTGGGTCTGGGTCAGGGCCAGGGCCGGACTCTGGTGCACCGGCGTTGGGGGCAAGGAACTGGGCTAGGACCATGACGATCCAGTCTGGGGTAGGGGGGAGAGAGGACGGGCGTCCAGGCGGTGGAACCGGCAATGCGTTCACGCGATTCATCCACGAGATCCCGAACTGGCTACATCGGCATCAGGGGAGCAGCGGGACGGTGGAGCCAGAGCTGGAGCGTTCGGTGGTCGTCGAGGAGGAGGCGCCGAGGAGGCATATACAGGGCGAGGTGGTTTGCCTGCATTATGGGACGATTGATGATGCGGGAATGAGACTGTTGGAGGGACGATCGTAAGTTTCCTTGTTACTTCCTTTGAGAGTCTAAGAGCTGACAAGGATAGGGATCATCGGCCAGCTATCTTTGCGGCTGCCATTTACTTATAGATCATAGATATTTTGCATGAAATAATGCTTATCACGCTGACTGATTGGGAAGACTCCTTTCTGACAGCCTACAACCAGTCCTTTGGACAGTGCTCCAACACTTGTGACCTCGACAAACAGTACAGGTACAGGTGCTTCTCGAAATCCCGAACTCGCCGATGAGAAGGATATCGGCCTCATCGGCGATCGAGCCGAAGAAAGGACTGTCGTCTCGAGGTACCTGCCTTCTACAAAGCTGATACGTCTCGACCTCCGCTTATAGCTTTTGCCACCGCCTCTCACCATGTCCGTTCCCCATGACCTTTCCAGCATGGACGTCGAAGCACTGGGTCACATCGTCGGTACCGTACAGGCGAACGGCACGACCGTCTACAATGGCATCAGCAAGCAAGATCATCCCCAATTTTTCCGCGTCTCGATGTTCCCGCCCGATGAGCGCGGGACAATCGTAGCTCCTGTCGAAATGAAGAGTTCCACATTTCAACTTCGCTCCATCGATCCGAGCCAGCAAGTCTACTCCTCACTCGCCGACGACGACGACAATGACGGTACGAGTGCTCGTGGTGTGATCGTGCGGGTCCAGCCAAGCATCTTCGTCAATGCGGTGACATACCAGGTGGCGGCCGACTATCTGTCCAGCCGCTCACCGATCATAATTCGCTCTGTCAATCGAGTGATGCCTTCCGGAGTGGCGTCAATCATAGACACCCAGGACAACGTCAATTACTCACAGGTCCCGCTTTTACCTGCTTTTACGTGTGTACTGACGCATGGTGAGAAGAGTCAAGTCCAAGCCGACGTTGATGGACGGACTGTCCCAGGATATCAGCACGCCCTTGATATCCTTGCCCCCAAAATCGGCCTGGTGGAGCCTAGATCTGATAAGACTGGGTCAACTCGACGATGGGTGCAGAGGCCTTGCCCGCCCGAAGCTCAGACTACCTACCGCGTAGTTGACGCCGGACCTGGGTACTCAGTCTACGAGACCACCTGGGGCGCCGAGGGGGCCAGTATGGGCATCACCGGGCGGGGCCAATTTGCCCGCTTCGAGCTGAATGCGTCGGCGAGGGAGGAGACAGGGATCGAGTGGCTCGCTATCGTTTCGATGCTGACCACCACGCGGGAGAGTCTGGGGCACCAGATCGGGGCGATGATACTGGTCCGCAAGGATACAAGTGGCGGTCACCAGGAGAGGGATGACGGTGTACTGACCAGTATTGATACGCTGTTATGGGATTGGCAGTAGCTGCCGCAGGTGAGAAGCAGGTTGGCAAGGTTCATCGCGGGCGGCGATGCGTATCAAGGGGTCCAGCTCAAGCCTTGTCTGCAGTATCTGACGGATGAGCTTGTGGGGGCGGTGGCGGATCCGGAGAGCGGTTTGGAGTGGACAGCTGTGGCGGTGGCGGAGGAGGATGCCATCTTATAGAGGAAGGTATAGCCTACATACTGCGGATATCGCGTACCTCCCATTCGAATCATTGGTACCGTACCACAAGGGCCGGCAGATCGGCAGATCTGACCGAGAGGGTCCTTCATTGTTCTCCACGGCTTCGCGCGCGCCGCAGCCCTCGAGGCGGTCCAGACAGTGCTGTATGCCTTGCGAACTGGTCAGACCGCACTTGACAGTGCCTCCCTTGTTCCACTTTGGCACTCAAAGGATGCCCACAACTACATGGCGTTTCCGCCATCGGCAATCTAAGCGCTTGATACACGTGCGAAGTCAATCATCCCTTCTTGGCGACCCCCAAGCCAGCGAGATCTACTGAAAGGATGGCTGTCATGCGGTGCTCCTGCTCCGTGAGGGACGATGCGCCGCGGACTCTAGCCTCCATAAATTCTGGGCTTAGGATAGGGGACAATTTGCCACCGCCCCTCTTCTTCCACACTCACAATGCAATCTCACGAATCTTCCTCACACATCCCAGAACCGGCACTCCCTGAGGACGTCGTGGACTACTCGTACGGCGACGGAACATACAAGCATGCCATCTCGAGCTCCATGCCATTTCCCGACAGCGTGATTCTTCGCGGAAGCTCCTTCAACACCGCCGACTCTACCGGTGTCATCAGCCGCGTCGTTCCAGTCAGGGAGCTACACTCCGCTGTCAAGATACGCAGCTTCGACCCGGCGCACGAGATACGGTTCTACCACCCCGAGACTGGCCAATACGCCACCGCCAACCCAGTCATTGTCCTTGATGATTTGGCCTACGCCATTCCCAGTCGATACACACCCGATGGGCAGACCGCCACACTGTGTTACTCTCCCTTGATCGTCCCGCAGACGGTCTACACCTTTTCGTCCGTCCCAGATTCCGATACCATCGGCGCAGCCCTCGACTCCATGCCCCCGCCCCTGTCGAAGACTGCCACAGACCTACAGTACATGAAAACAATACAGCAAGGTGGCACTGTCAAGGACGTCAGAGCGGCGCTCACAAATGAGGCCAGTCGGATCAAGGGGACTGAGCTTGGGGACAGCGGCTGGACTCTTGTACAGAACAATGAGTCGTCTGGGGACACTTTGCCTGATGCAAACATCATCGACACAAGCCATCTGGACAACGTACCGACCGGCTGCATCTACGAGATACCGCTCGGAATGGGATTTTCGTCTCTCGGTCTGCAGGGGCAAGGACAATTTACTCGCTACGAGGTTCCGGCCGAGGTGACCGAGACGACGGGGATCGAATGGGTGGCGGTTGCCCCGCTGCTGGCGGATCTCTCCAACTCGGACGGCGGCACGAAGCATGTCCCCCGTGCTACCGTCTTTGTGCGCAAGGATGCTCCTACCGGATACGAGAAGTCCGATGAGCCTGTTATGCGGGCCATCGAAACTGTGGCTCGCGAATGGCGTTCGTCGGATGCTGCAGAGTCGATCGTTCGTACGTTTGACGAACCAGAGGATCTTGCAACTCGAGCAAGCATGCGGAAGTCTACTCTCATGGCTCTGAATGACACTCTGGCTTCCGCCATCATGACTCAGCTACCCGGTCTCACGGAAATCGGTCCCAATGCGCGGGAAGAGAGTATTCTGGGATGATTTGAGATGGACGATGATTTCGCTCGGAAGTTCGAGTCGGAGGAGGCGGCGAGGGTCATGAATGAAGCGAGGGCATGTGTAGGCGCTCTGGCTTCCTGTGCATGTATGTCCTTGCTGTTTCCAGCTAGGCAAGCATGTCTCGACTGGCTAGGAAAGGTAACAGGTCGGGAAAGCCATCGCTTGACGTCGAGCGCAAAGGTAAGCCGCCGCAGAGTGCGTCAGTATATCGTGCAAGCTAAGACGATGAGCAAAAGACGCTCCTGAGCGACCAGTCGCAGTGTGCATGAACATGATGTTAGGCACGTGACCGTGTTTGATTATAGATAAGATCGAGTATGATATGAAGAAGTATAGGTACATCTTGATGCGTCATCTTCGTTGAGTCTGCGCTGATCAGCTGCTGCGACCCGTGTATACTTTGCAGCACTGACCGTGAACCCTGCCGGAGCACTCCCCTCTGCCCCATACGCCTCGCTCACATCCCCCAGCACATCCCCCACACCCACTTCCGCCCCCTTCATCAACTTGGCCATCGCCCTTCCCTTTTTCAACGTCAATGTCCCCCTGCCATCTCCCAAGAGCGCCTCTCCAGCCGCTCGAGACGCCAAGCGAAGGGGAGCGAGCGGAGACGCCAGACCGGCTGATGAGGCTGCCCGGACTCGTGAGCGCGTGCGTGATGCCGGCGAGTCCAGGACGGGCGCGACGTTCTCCAGATCCATATCATCGTCGTCCAGCTGGGACCGACGGGGGGTTGCGCGAGTCTTCTTGAGCGGAGACTCGGCGAGCCGGGATGATGGGATTGGAGCGGTTGGTGAAGGGGGTGCGGAGGGGGATTGCGCCCGGAAGATCTCGAATTGGCGTTTGGAGGTGGTGGAGGGAATACGCTTGGTAGTAGCGGGTCCGGTAGTGCGGGAGAGGGATTTGTAGTTGACAGAGGGAATAGCGTTCTCGGCCAGGGTTGGGATGGGCGCGTCCGCCCGTCCTTTGCCCTTGTCCGCCTTGGATAAGGGGTCCGAGGGGAACCCGACCGATTTTGCTTGGACGGTAGCCAGAGCTTTCCGAGAGGTGGACTTCTTTGTTGGAGAGACTGTAGAGGTATGTGTGAAGGCGGATGTGGTGGAAGGGGAGGGGTTGTGCGTGTGGGACCGGGTGGATTTGGCAGGGGAGTCGGTGTAGATTGCGAAGATCGCGCCTTTCTTCTTGGTGACGGGCATAGTTTCTCGGTGGTAGCCAAGATCGGGCGGTTGGGATCAAGATGGATGTATGATAGGTGAGTGGCTGGGCGAAGTGGATGTTTGACTGATTTTGATCACTCAACTTGGAGCAAAACAAGTCAAGCGCGCCAATCTCCATAGCGTAAACAAGCATGACGTGGGATTTGATACCACAGCTGTTCAAGTGGAGACCCCACAGACCGGGCCGGCAGCCGATCTGTCCCGGCTTTAACCGTGTCCACTCTGGCGAGCTCTTGCTGCTCAAAAGCCAGCGATACAAGGTCTGCCTTTTCACCATCTACATCATCCCCACGACAGCCCACTCGCAATACAGTCAGAAATGCCCGATCAACGAGTCATCCTCATCACCGGCGCTTCGAGCGGTATCGGCCGTACCTGCGCCATCTCGCTCTCGAACGCCTACCCCTCGGCAGCCCACCCCGAGAAGCTTGTGCTTGTGCTCAGCGGGAGACGCGAGGCGGAGCTCAAGGCGACCGCGGATGCGTGCAGAGAGGGGACAGTGTGCGAGATCTGCGTTGGCGATGTGGTATCCGAGGAGGATGTAGGCAAGATGTTCGCTACGGTCAGGGAGAAGTATGGGCGATTGGACTTGCTGTTCAACGTAAGTGTAACTGTGGATGATGAGGCTATACTCCGTCGCTATATGCGCCATGGAAAGCTGATTGATAGAACGCCGGTGTGGATCTGGTTGGCGGTACGCCATTGGAAGATGTCGATATGAGCAAATTCCGCGACACGTTGATGATCAACGTGATGGGAAGTGTACTGGTGAGTACAGCTCTGATGGGGACACTGGACGAAGCTAATGATGTGTCAGTGCACGGCAAAAGCTATCGGAATCATGAGCCAGCAAGAACCGAAAGGCGGGCGGATCATCAATAATGGCAGTATATCCGCTACATCGCCACGACCAAGTGAGTCCCATACAGCGTCAGACCCTGCTTCAGATATGCATTACTATGCTGACTCTAACAGATTCGGCAGCTTACACCTGCTCCAAGGTACGCCAGCTCGCAGCGCGCCCCGAATTCTAGCTGATCACGCAGTTCGCAATCGCCGGTCTCTCAAAATCTACCTCTCTGGACGGTAGGAAACATAACATCACCTGTACCCAGCTCGACATCGGGAACGCCCAGACTTCGATGGGCGGTCACGCCGCTAAGGGTGCCCGGCAAGCCGATGGAAGCCTGAAGGTCGAGCCTATGATGGATGTACAGAACGTGGGTGACACGCTGGTATATTTGGCGGGTCTGCCGGCGAATGTGGATGTTCTGCACCTCTCTATCATGTGAGTCTGCGGTCTGTATTCCGTCATGTGGGCTTTGCTGACGTCTAGCGCTGCGGGTATGCCAATCGTTGGGCGGGGATGAGGGGCTGCTGGGAACGGCACGAGGAGGCATCAGTTTTTGCAGCTATTTTTGCGGTCTTTGTATATACAGTCTGGATTGATCTTGGCTGTCACGTCGCAAAGACCTATTGCGTCGATGCTGCTTTCGCTCCGAGACGTAACGAGTCCCGCGCACAAGAGTCCAGCCAGCTCGGACAAGCCTCGTCTAGCGCTGCTCGGCGATCTCCGAAGCACCAAAGATCAGTCGCGCAGCTCGAGCGCAAGCCAAGCTCAAGCTCCTCATACCTCGCCTTCATTGTGCTTCTTTCACCTCTCTTGCTCTGCATCCCATTCCAGACCGCCATTACGCCTGGTCCGCATAATAACGAACAGCGGTTATAGTCACGACCTGCCTCGCAATTGACCTACGCGACCTTCCGAACTTGTCAAAGAAGCCTGAACTTAAGGAATGAGGAGCACATCGCTTTCAAGCGCATCACTTCCTCTTGCGCAATGTCAGGTGAGTATTCCGTACTCTGCCTGCCTGCATGAGCTCACCATCGCAGGCTTTCACAATGCCGATATAACCAAAGGTACCTCTTCGACCCATTTTCTGCAGGTAGAGCTGTACTAATCCGCTCAGGCCTGATCATCACCGTCGCTATATCCTCCTTGACGGCGTCACTGTTCGATGTCAAGCCGTACTTGCACCTTCAGCTTGTACCGCATATCACTAAATACCATCAAGTGAGCTAGAAGGTCCCGCGGACTCGGATCTCCAGCTGACTCCATCGTAGTTCTTTCGGATCGCGATACATCCCTTTGCATTCGCCAACTCCACCGAGCTGGTCGTGGGGTTACTAGCACTCTCAAATGCTGGTATACCAGTCGAACGGTGCCTCAAACCTCTCAGCTATGATGAATGTTGGAATGCCCGATGCGGCTCTGCGAGATTCGAGCTGATACGTATCAGGGCATTCGGGCACCGCAAATATGCCGCCTTCCTCCTCCTGTCTTCCCTCCTCTCCACCTTCTTCGCACTCGTCGCTCTCATTCCCGGCCATAGCTTCGGTCTGAGATACATACCCTCCGGCCCATATGGTGTTCTATTCAGCCTGTAAGCTGTCCGATACGGCCTGACTGCATTCATGCTGCGATGAGCTGATCCGTCAGATTATGGCAGAAACACCGAATCGTCCCTGCGGTGTATTCGTTCCGGATCATGGGGATTGACTTCTCACCGAAGACATTCTTCTACATTCTGGTTCTGCAAGTGAGCTGATCAAGTTTCATTGTGTGATGACAGCTGATCATACAGCTCATCCTGTCCGACATGCCAGCTTCCGGCTTGGCAGCCACAACAGGCCTCCTCACGGGCTACATATCTCACCTAGACGCCCTTCCTATACCCCACACTCCCTTCACTCGGCGCCGCCTCCTCCGTCCTCTGAAAGCCTATCGGCTGCCTTCGTCTATCGCCGCTCTCCTCTCCCGCCTATTCAGCCCGATCATGGGCTCCGCTGCTGCCCCTCGGAGGAGCCATCGGGTTGTCCCTGGACAGACAAACGAAAGCCAACTTCGTGCCCAGGCAGGTGCACTAGCGGCGCTCCTAGGCGGAAGAATGGGGTTGGCGCCTACGAGACCGGCTGCTCCGAGGGCGGTAGTTGCTGCAGCCGCGAGAAGGGGCCCGGTCGTGAATGAGGGGTTACCGGGACATCCCGCGCCTGCGACCGCGGCAGGAGGGAGCGCGCCATCCACGCCAGCGAGGCAGGCGACGGGTATGAGAGGGCAAGTGGAAGGTGTAAGGGCCGGGACGCAGGTCGCGAGGGCGGCGGTAGGGGAGTGGGTGTCTGAGCTGGCGGGTGGGTCGGAGGCGAGAGCGCCGACTGAGCCGGAGATTGCTGCGTGAGTTGGTTGCTGTCCGATAACGGGCCGCCGAAGCTAACACATTAGGCTCAGCAGTATGTTTCCCAATATGTCGCGGGACAGGATTGTTCGAGCACTACAGAGGAAGTGAGCTGCTCGCCCTCAGCTTTTCGGTACGGGCTCAGAGCATAGCTAACTTCCCAGCGACTACAACACAGCGCAGGCGGTGGAGGCGTTGCTAGAGGAGAATACATGATGACCTTCCTATACATCGCATTAAGTGCCTGTTACAACTTAAGCACATCTATCCGCGCATCTATACACAGCGCTCGTAAAGTCCTCGTGTGCAGCCAAGATCAAGCATCATGCGTCCCTCTTCTTCTCGTCCGCCTGCTTTTCCTGGCCACCCGCTGCCTGGTCCGCACCACCTGCTGGTTCCGCCCCACCACCTGCTGCCTGCACATTACCCGCCGCTCCCTTCAGCCCCGCCTCCTCCTCCCCCAACTCCCTAATCAACCGATCCAACTTCCCCTCCAGCTCATCCGCCACCCCCGCCGCCTGATCCATCTGCCTCAGGATCTCCGCCATACTCTCCGGATCATCATCGTCTACGTCATCCACGCTGAGCAGTCCTGCGTCCGCGCGTTGTATGGCCGCTAGGAGGGGCAGGAGGGCTTGACGGTCTTCCAAAGATAGAGAAGCGAGGAGGGCGGGGTCGAGGTCTGCTAATGAGGGGATTTGGGAGAGATCGGGGAGGTCTGCTTCTATTGGCGGGTCGGAAGAGGGTGGTCCTGAGCTCGCTAGTCGGTCAGCTTCGGCCCTTGAGTGAGGACCGCTGGCCAATCGCTGTCCCGAAGGGATGGCTCACGTTGGTTTCCGTTTGCCTTTTCCCGATCCGTTAGAGCCGGTGCTGTGGTCTTTGCTGATGCTTTTGGCTGGGATTTTTCGGTGGGCGCCATAGCTTGAGCTACCAGCTCAAGGTCTGACATGTCGCTCATCTTGATTCAGAGTAAGGGTGGCTCAAGTGATGGTCAGAAAGACAGCACGAGATCGCGAGCGAAAGAGAGCACAAGGACGCACGGAGGTGCCTGAGCATCTCCACCGCTCACCTGAACTGCGAGAGCTAGAAAGCTGGTGTACAATTCCTCTTCCCTCCATCTTCTTTTAGGCGGCACAAACATGTCATCTGCTTCAGCTACAGCCGGCCCCTCGAGGCGACACAGCCAGTTCCGGCCCTGCATCGACTTGCACCAAGGCGTGGTCAAGCAGATTGTAGGCGGCACCCTTGACCTCACCTCGGTCGAGGAGAAGGAGCTCAAGACGAACTTTGTTGCTGCGTGCGTCTCACTACCACCTTCCGTATCAGCGACAAACGTACTGATAGTCAAGGAACCCCTCGTCATACTACGCGAAGCTGTACCGGGACAATGGGCTTACAGGGGGTCATGTCATCAAGCTCGGACCGAACAATGACGATGCTGCCAAAGAGGCTTTAAGAGCCTGGCCAAATGGTCTGCAGGTAGGAGGTGGGATAACAGGGGACAATGCCTTGGATTGGCTTGAGCTGGGAGCTGAGAAGGTGAGTTCACACCCTCGGAGCTACAACTCATGCGTTGATAGCTGATCGTACGGTGTAGGTGATTGTCACCTCGTATCTCTTCCCAGATGCCAGGCTCTCGCTAGAACGGCTCGAGGCGCTGAGTAGAAAAGTGGGGAAAGAGAGATTGGTCGTGGATATTTCATGTCGAAGGAGAGAAAAGGGGTGGGTTGTGGCTATGAACGGGTGGAAGACATTGACAGATACCTACGTGACAAGAGGTGAGTTCCGGTCTCCAACAGAACCCCGGGCCTCAATCAATATCACCTGCTATCCGGTTCAAGCACTCTGCTGATGATGATCAGAAACAATCACCCTGATATCCCAACACACCTCGGAGCTTCTCATCCACGCAGCAGACGTCGAAGGCCTCTGTCAAGGGATAGACGAAGACCTCGTTCGCTCTCTCGGCGAATGGTGCTCTATACCATGTACGTACGCCGGCGGGGCCAAGGAGCTGGGCGATCTGGAGTTGGTAGATCGCTTGAGTGGAGGGCAGGTGGATCTGACTTTTGGATCGGCGCTGGATATCTTTGGAGGGAAGGGGGTGGGGTTCGACGAGCTTGTTCAGGTGGATAAGCGGATGAAAGAGATGAGTAGGGGAGCAGTATGAATAAAATGAGCGAGAGCACCTGGATACTTGGTTTCTAGTTTCTACACTCGTAATTCTTCTTATCGGTCTACGCTTCAAGCGAAACCCCTCCGTCCTGCTGCCCGCGGTACCGCCGCCATCCCCACCGCCCCAAGTGGTACCCCAAAAGGATGGCAGCAAAGACCCCGACGATCCCCGCACCGATGTATCCGCTATTCTCATTTGCCTGAAGCCTTCATGAGCTATCTTCTGTTGGGAGCGGGGGAGGAAGTCCAAGTCTCACACTAGCCCAGAATCGCCACCAGCTCCCGGCCAGTCCGCCACCTTCTGGATCCTCCGCAGCTTCGGAGCATTCTGTACAGTTCTCTCCAACAAGACCCATGATTGTGATGACGGAGATACTACCAAATTAGCATTTAAGCCGGCTGCTCTGTAGGAAACGAGCTTCTGACTTACCAGAACGCGACGATGATGGAGAGCAGAGTGAGCGCGATAGACAGGCTAGACATGGTAGCGGCTTTCGCGGCGAGTTGGCGCCGGAGAGCATAGTCGGCCTTATCGCCCAGGGCCTGACGGTCCGGGCGATGCTGACCAGAGTGTGGAGCAGCTGAACCAGGGGAGGCGGCTTGCTGGAGCGGTGAAGCGGGCGGATTGTCAAGGTAGACAGCCTTCTTCGGTGGCTCTCCCTCGCCATCATCAGGCCCTATTTCGTCGTTATCTGGGACTATGGGCATTGTGGGCAGGGTCATCTCTCGCTCAGTGTCCGAGTCTCCCGAGGATTTTCTATCGAGGAACAAGGCGAAAAGAGATTGGCTGGGGTCTGTGACCATCGGAGCGTAGGCGTATAACATGAGGATCGAGTCAAGCGAGTCGACAAGAGTCATGCCTGCGGTAAACTAAAATTAGCAGCTGACACGTTATAGGCCGATAGGCTAGCTTACCAGAAACTGGCCGGTCAGTGTCTCCGGTATTATTCTCATCAGAGCATAGGCTTGAACCTACCGGCAGCACGACGATCCGACCGTGACTGATCTCTTCCCCGTTGGTCCCTCTCTGCGCTATCGCCGAGATAGCCAGTAAAGCAATGGACGAGGCCGTATCAAAGCCTGGACCCCTCTTCAGCTTATCATATCGCCTGCTCTTGACTCCAAAAGCTCACCAAACCCAAAGAGGATGCCGATGGGGTACATCTTCCATGGCCGATCCACCGCCCTCAACAATGGTGCGACGATCCGCACCAGACATCCGCCGCCGTGTATCTTTGTCACATCTGGAATCTCGTATTCCTGTCCAGCGGCAGCGGCACGCTTCATGGCCTTCCGCTCCCGGATGGCGCGGATGATGAAGACGGTGTTGATTGTGGCGATGAGGAAGAGGAATGAGGCGGATACGGAGGCGCCGATGTAGCCTCCTACAGTGCCTACGCCTGGATCGTGCGTCAGGTCTCACGCTTACGAGAAGGAAGAGGGGAGATACACACCGTCCAGCTTATCGTAGATGTCCACACTGGACGATCAGCTTTTCCGGGAAGCGGAGAGCTCACCTGATCGCGATAGCTACATTGACCACGATGACGATAGTCGAGTGGCCGAGGGAGAACCAGAGACCTGACTGGTCAGATTGCAGCCAGGCAAGACCCCGGACAATGATGATCATACCACACGTTATAGGTAGCTGTCCAAGCGATACAAGCTGTCGAGTAGCGTTATCTATCGCGGAGATATGGTCCGCGTCGAGCCCTGTAGATGATCAGCCATGAGAGTGTCTCTGAGAAGATGAGCGTACCATGTCGAAGTCCGATGGTCTAGTGAGTCAGCTGTACTCCTGCTTGGCTTGAGTTTGACCTGCTCACCCAAGCTAGCAGAGCTAATCCGAGCAGGCCATCCGCCTGACCCAAAGTCAGAGCAGCCGCGATCCAGCAGACTGCATTAGCTAGAAGTTCGCCCGAGATGAGCAAGATGGCCTGCCCGAAGAGTGTGAGATGTCGGTCTCGCAGCCTCTTCATTACTGCCGGCAGCATGGCTGTAGCCTCAGTGTCTAGCGGTCAGGCCGATTAGTCCAGTTGCAGCAGAGATTGCAAGTTTCCGCTAGCCGCTCCGCACCACATTCCTTATCGCTCAGATCCAGGCACGGCCCGCTCTTCCGACGGAACAACAAGGTTTATTGGCCCCGGGACCAAGAAATGTTGTTGCCACTTGTTCGACCTGTCCTTTGCTTCACTGTCTACACTATCTTTCTTATAACAGAGATATCTCTGCCACGATGCCGCCAGTACAGTTCTGGAAGCCTGGAACCGCCGCTCCCGGTAGGTATTCCAGCTGACGGTCTAAGACCAGGGTTGACTGCTCCAGGAAGCTCCGTGGACCGAGCAAGCGAAGCCGAAGGGTCGTTGGCAGCCACCTCATCGCGAGCGGCCAACCTCTCTATCGATGCGCAGAGGCAGAGGCTGCCAATTTACAAGCACAGGCAGAAGCTGCTGTGGTGTGTGGAGCGGTATAAGGTGATGATCGTTGTCGGGCAGACGGGATGCGGGAAATCGACCCGTCAGTTTACCAGACCATGACCATGTCACATTCTGCAAGGGAGTCAAGAAGCTGACCGGTACTCAGAGATACCGCAGTACCTACATGAAGCAGGATGGACATCTGAGAATATGGTGGTGGCTTGTACTCAGCCCAGAAGGGTCGCGGCGACTAGTGTGGCCACGAGAGTAGCAGAGGAAGTGGGAAGTGTGCTCGGGGACGAGGTGAGCTGCACCATGCGCCCGATGTGTAGAGGCGGAGCTTATCAGAATAGGTCGGATACACTATTCGATTCGAAGATCTATCATCTCCTGCTCGGACACGGATAAAATACCTGACGGACGGGATGCTGTTCAGGGAGTGTATGACAGACCCGCTGCTTAGCAAGTACAGCGTGATCATGGTAAGCTAGCCCGAGTGTAATGATCTGGGCGTTGAGGACAAGCTCACACGGAAGATCGATGAAGCTCACGAGAGAGGGGCGTACACTGATCTCTTGCTTGGACTGCTGAAGAAGTGAGCTTGTCGAAGCATGCCCTTGACGGCAGATCGAGCTGACATACAGGATCATGAAGAAGCGACCAGAATTGCGGGTCATCATCTCCTCAGCCACTATAGACGCGTACGTGTCGTCACGGTCTATCCTTTTAAAGCTTTGACTGAGCCAGACGCTGATCCAGTATAGACAAGACTTCTTAGAGTACTTTAACAGTAACGCGGACAGCGCGGACCGCTCGAAGGATGACGCTATCAGTGAGCTCAAAGGCTATACAACTGCATGGGGACGACAGCTGATTCGTTCAGTCGTTTCACTCGAAGGCCGAATGTTCCCGGTTGAGGTGTGCTATCTGAAAGAACCATGTCAGGACTATGCCGAAGCGGCTGTCCAGACAGTCTTCGATATACATCTGCGGGTAAGTCCCGGTATATAGCTCAGAGCGCACGCGAGCTGACAGAGTAGGAACCAGCAGGCGATGTGCTGGTCTTTTTGACGGGAAGAGAGGAGATTGACCAGGTCATTCAGACCCTGTCAGATCGATTGCAGACGTGAGTTTGCTTCGCCAGTCTGAGGGCGAGAGCTGACCATCAGTCTACCTAGAGGCTCCCTCAAGATGCTGCCCTTGCCACTATACGCTACTCTGCCGCCAGAAGAGCAGATGATCATCTTTGATCCGTCACCTCGCGATACTCGGAAAGTCATCTTCTCGACAAACATCGCCGAAGCTAGTGTCACCATAGACGGGATCAAGTACGTGGTGGATTGCGGTTTCGTCAAAGTAAGCTCATGTTTCCCCTCCGCATGCAAACACCAGCTGACAGTACCAGATGAAGACCTTCAACCCTAGAACATGTATGGATGTCCTAACGACGACCCCCTCCTCCCTCGCCTCCGCAAATCAACGCGCCGGCCGAGCCGGTCGTACTTCCGCTGGCAAATGCTTCCGACTCTACCCCGCCTCCTTCCTCCCCACCCGTAACCGCCATTCCCCTATGCCAATCACGACCCCTCCCGAGCTCACTCGGTCCGATATATCGCTCTACCTCCTCCAGCTCAAAGCGCTGGGAATAGACAATTTGGCGAAATTCGACTTTATGAGCCCGCCGCCATCAGAAATGATGGCGAGGGCGCTAGAGTTCTTGTTCTGCCTCAAGGCGATTGATGAGGAGGGGAAATTGACGAGTCCGTTTGGGAGGCGAATGGCGGAGGTTCCGCTGGATCCGATGATGGCTGCTATAGTAAGCTGTCTGTTTTTCGTATATGTGCGGACTGGTAGCTGACTGTCTAGCTGCTGAATAGCCAGGAGCTCAAGTGCGGGGAGGAGATCCTGACTATTGCAGCTATGACGCAGGTTCAGGCAAGTGCTGCTCATCTGAAGATATGGTCTAGGTGCTGATAGTGTAGAACGCCTTCAATATGTCATCAGGAGGCATGAAGGAGACAATGTCAGATCTCGAACGGCGGAAGTTCACGGCCGAGGAAGGGGTGAGCTTCCTGCTGATTGTGCCGTAGCCGCGAGACGTGACGAGCTGACTTATGCAGGACCACCTCACTCTCCTGAACGGTACGTCTACGCTTCCACCTGGATTGTAAAGTAGCACTAAGCTGACCATACAGCGTACAACGCTTTCGTCCGGTACGGTCAAAAGGACAAGTCGTGGTGCGGCAATCACCGGATCAACCATAAAGCTCTCTCGAGAGCCATGTCGATCCGAAAACAGCTCAAGAAGTTTCTAGATCGGTTCGGGATCAAGGTGGAAAGTTGTGCTGGGGATGCGAAGCGATTAAGGCGATGTTTGGTCAGCGGATACTTCAAGGTCAGCCCCTTCACGCGCTTGCACCAGGATGAGGTGGATAGCTGACCTGCTAGAACGCCGCGAGGATGATGCCGGATGGGACCTTCAAGTCGGCGCGAGAAGGAGCTGTGAGTCATCTAGCAGTGGGTGGGTGGGGCAGAGCTAAGATAGCAGACGTTATACGTTCATCCCTCGTCGGTCATGTTTACACGTCAACCCTCGACCGGTTGGGTCATCTATCACGAAGTCATCGAGACGACGAAGTCATTCATGCGGGATCTTACGGTGATTGAGGAGGATTGGCTGGTGGAGCTAGCGTGAGCATCCTATATGCTGATACAGCTATGGAGAGGAGCTGACGATTCAGACCTCACTTCTATACATTCAAAGGAGGAAATCTGAAGAAACACTAGGGCGACCCCGCCACGACCATACCATTCCGCCGCTTTCGCCACCAGGACAACCCCTCAGCATCTGGTGTCAATTCAGGCGCAGGATGCGGACCGCAGTGCGGCGGAGAAAGTCCTTGGGGACACCGTCATAATCAAAGCTCCGCTACTGTTATCGGAAGGTGAATGCGCCATTGCGCCGATCGTATGAAGGGTTCTCAACAGGTGTGCACAGTGCTCAACGTTGGGTCAGATGCTTCAAAGTTTGCCGTAAACGTGCTGCTCACAATGACAGTGTAACAAGTACTCATTACAAGCTGAACCCGCTCCGAGAATAGCGGTGGCTGCCAATCAGCGTTCTTCAAGGTAGAAGCCGTATCTCAGTGACCACTGGATCTGCCTCATGAGCTCGAATCGGTGGAGCAAAGGATCGCTCATCATCGGAGGAGCGCCGTCATCAGCTTGAGGATGTGAGTGCTCCGCTACGTCTCAAAGCGGCACGATCGGAGTGTTGAAGCGTCGTTGGACCGAAGGGATGAAAGGATGATGACATTCGGAGCTCCAGGGCAATGTGCAGCTCGGGTTGCTCTGTCCCGATGAAGACCCAGATGACGTTTGAGTTGACAGCGAGTTACGAATATAAGACTGCGATCCGCCGAAGAGGGTAAAGGATATCTGGTCGGCGGCCCGCAAATCATTCACTAGCGCTGGACAGCTCGGAGGATTCTACTTCACGGCCCTTTCACTCAAGCAGACTTATTACACTGCTGTCCTCCCGTTGGTCAAAAGTCATCATTGCTTTCACTCGACACCATGGCGAGTATCCGAGACATATCTACCGCTTTACGCTTGTCATCGTCTGCTGACCCACACCTGCTGGGGAGCCATTTCTCGCACGAAATTCACACCTGCATCGCCTGGACTCAAGCCCATTTCGATCCTATCGATTCGGAGGCCCAACATTGGATCTACACATGCCCCTTCCTCTCGACCATCCACTCCTTCCGCTTAGTCCCTGGGATATTCACGCGTACCATGACCATTCCGACAGCAACAGGCGATCTCGCAAAATTGCCTGAGTCCAAGCCTGGCTGGTTGATCCAGCTGGCCAACGACTTGGTGAAATCAGGCGCAAGCGACATCGGCACTTCCATCAATCCGTCTCGGGAACTGGCTTGGAAGCATGTGTTTCAAGTCATCGGGGTCGGGGCCAATTCTCTCGAAGATTCTGCTGCAAAATTCTGCGACGATCTCACCGATGCGTTGCTCATACCTTCCTGCCACAGATTATGTCGACTGCGCACCGGGTCAATGGAGCACCTTACCAGCGAAGGGGACGCGCTACTGGTGCTCGGTGAGGAGGACGGTACGGTCAAGTTGTTTGACTATAAAGACCTGAACTTCACCGCTGCTCGATTGGAGTACATAGCTGCGACTGGTTTGTGATGATGTGATCCGCTGCATCAGACATGGCGCCCCCTTTTCGCGCGCCCCCCGAGCCGGGGCTGGTTGGTTTTGCGTGAGCGGAACGGTGCCAATTCTCCTATCCCTAGTCTCACTGATTCTCCTCGACGATTTCGAAGTATAATTCAGTGCTTGCGATCAGTGCAATTCTCGTAGCTCATATTGTTTACTGGTCCGTCCCTGGAGGCGCAGCGCCTCGGGAGTCATTGCCCACAAGAGCCCCATTGCCACTGGCCATAGCACGCGGGCGCCACTTGAATTACGTTACCGCCTCAGGCCGAGCCAGCTATTAGCTGCTGGCCGTTGCAACTACTGTACTTCACATGATACCTCTGCCTTCCTCACTTCCTCCCAATACACACGCCTCATACAGCCAGCATGTCAGACGTCGAGAGCAGCGCAGCAGCCCGCAAGCGCCTCAGATCAGATTCTCCCGCTGGCCCATTAAATGGGGACGCCGAGGACGAGGATGATATTGGACCTTCCATGCCTGCTCCGGGCGCGGATGATTCGGACGACGAAATAGGGCCTATGCCTACTGCTGCAGGAGACGATGTAGTGGTCTCCAATGGGCGGAGAAAGAAGCGGGCAGGTGAGCTGCTCCTCGCCCCAGCTTTCGGGATGGTAGCTGATCGTCGAGTATTACCGCATGAGAAGCTGTTCCTCGACCATCTCCCGGATCAGGACCGATACTACAAGTCGTTCATGCACAGGGACACAGTCAACTTTGTGACTATGACCAAGTGAGCTACATAATGAAACCTAGGTGGACAGGTTCAAGAATGAGCTGACTCCCTTCAGGCCTGGATTCGTATTGACGACTTCGGTAGACGGGCACTTGAAGTTATGGAAGAAGCAGGAGAGTGGGATAGAGTTCGTCAAGCACTACAGAACGTCCTTGAAGGCTATCGTCGCGGTGGCAGCTAGCGAAGAGGGGACACTATTCGCGACGTGTAGTGAAGGCGGAGAAGGGAGGGTGTTCGACGTGGTCAATTTCGGTGAGTCCAGCCAGTCCACCTCGATGTCAGAGCGCTTGAGAGTCGGTAGAGGAGAAACGCTGACGAAAAGATATGATCAACATCTTCAAGTTCCCATTCATACCGAAAGCGTGTTGCTGGGTACATCAACCAGGAGCGGGGCAGACACTATTGGCGGTCTCGGAGATGGGGTCGCCCATGATCCGGATATATGATGGCCGCGGGGATGGGAAGCCTTTGTTTGAGCTGGGAAAGATACATCGTGCGCCCGTACATACCATTGCGGTAAGCTAGCGGGACCGGCATGCCTGCTGCGGTCCAAGCTGACGAGCTAGTATACGTCGAAGTACGACTGCGTGGTCTCGGCAGACGAGGATGGGTTTGTCGAGTACTGGCAGCCTAGCGAACCGTTTGGTCTGCCTAGTGTCGCCGGGATGTGGCAGTACAAGTCCTCTACCGACTTGTTCCAGTTCAAAAAGGTGCGTCTGCGTCCTATTCCAGCCCAGCAAAGGTATAAGCTGACATACCAGACCAAAACCATCCCCACTTCCTTCTCCTTCTCCCCCTCCCAAACGCACTTTGCGACCCTCGCCCTCCCTTCCCGCGCCGTCCACATCTTCAACTTCCTCACCGGCAAGCTGACTCGTACATACGATGAAAGCCTGCAAGCTGCATCCGAGATGCAACAGGCGGGGACGGCGGTGTATAAGCTGGACGATATGGACTTTGGGCGGCGGCTGGCGCAGGAGCGGGAGTTAGATCGGGATGAGGCGGGGCCGGGCGGGGTGTTGAGGACGGCAAGTGCTGTTTGGGATGAGAGTGGGAATTTCTTGATGTACCCTACGATGCTGGGAATTAAGGGTGAGTGACTAGTTCTACAGGGATGGACAGGAGCTGATTGAATAGTGGTAAACACAGTGACGAATAAGGTGTCGAGGGTGGTTGGAAAGGATGAGTCGCTCAGGTTCTTGAATCTGGCGGTATATCAGGGGGCGCCGGCAAAGAAGGGTGTAACGACGCTGGTGAGTTAGCAAAGCCGCGTATATGACGGACAGCAACTGACAGTCAGGCTATGGCAGCGTCCGCGAACCCACTCCTTGAGGATAAGGCGACACGAGATCCCCATCTCTTCGCAACCGCCTATAACAAATCTCGTTTCTACCTCTTTGCGCAGGGCGAACCGTGAGTCACGTCTTGGGGTAGCAGTTATAGCAGTAGCTAACGGCCCTAGCGACCAAAAGAGCGGAGATCGCGATGTCTTCAATGAACGGCCGACGAGGGAGGAGCAGAGCACAGCTGTTCAGCCAGTCGAGAAGGCTCGAGCGTCTGCCACTACGGCTGTCATACATACGACGAAGGGAGACATAGTGAGTTGTAGTTGGCCCCTCACTTCTCAGGATGCCCAAATTGACGCCCCAGTTCGTCAAGCTCTTCCCAGACATTGCGCCGAAGACTGTCGAGAACTTTGTCACGCACATCAAAAACGGGTATTACAACGGTATCATCTTCCACCGGATCATCAAGAAATTCGTAAGCTATCAGCTTTCGGAAGCCTTCAAGAGCCTCAGCTCACGATTATAGATGATCCAGACTGGAGACCCGCTCGGCGACGGAACAGGCGGAGAATCCATCTGGGGCGGAACCTTCGAAGACGAGTTCTCCTCCAAGGTCAACTTTGGCCAGCCGTACATGCTCGCCATGGCCAATGCTGGGAAAGCGACAAACGGCTCGCAGTTCTTCATAACCACTGTCCCCTGTGACTGGCTCAACAACAAGCACACGTGAGTACTGTCTGTCGCTTCTGCTGGTAACGTCGAGCTGACCCCGCAGAATCTTTGGCAAAGTCACTGGCGGGATGGAAATTGTCAAATCGATAGAAGCGGTCGGGACCGACAAGAATGATCAGCCTTATGATCCGATCTCGATGCAGAGTCTGGAGTATAGTTAGATCGGTAGATACATAGAAGATCTGTTGAATGCATCTACCTCGAGCGGTCCAGCTGAGCGGAGAAGAACTAGCCGCTATGGCCGGGAGCGGGAGTGCCGCCGATCAAAACCGAACGGGGACCCGACACGTGGCTTTCGGCTTCAACCGTTGCCGCAAATACGACCAGCGAAATCGCTCATTGCAGCTCGCTCACACCATACCTCCCTCTCCCATCTCTTCCTTTCTCCTACACCTTACCTCTTACACTACAGCCCTCCGCTCTCCCCGCCAGCCCTAGGCGCCTCCTAATCGCCTCATCTCATCTACAATCTATCGAACTCGAACCAGGATGATGCGCATCCTCCCCCGCTCGTTTCGCGCGGCGGCTCGCCCCCTCCCTCGCGCGGCTAGACTATACCAGTCCGTCGCGTCCCGCCCTGTCCCACCTACCGCGTCTTCCAGCCAACTGAAGGACGCAACTCCTTCCCGCTCATACGCTACCGAGACGTCCATCCCGCCCAGCGCAAATGACATGTTTGCGAACGGAACAAACGCGTTCTACGCGGACGAGTAAGTGTCGACCTGCCCTTGAGGTAGAGTGGGACGACAGGGCTGACAGGATAGGATGTACAGGCACTGGAAGAGCGACCCAAAGAGCGTGCACGTCTCGTGGGCTACCTACTTTGAGGGACTGGACAAGGGACTGCCATCGTCCTCCGCCTACACACCGCCTCCGGGTTACTCGGGCGCTGGGTCCACCGTACCCGCCGCTGCCGATGGTAGCCCGGAATTGCAGGTCTCTGGCGGTGGTGAAGTTGCCGACTACTTGAAGGTGAGCTGACAATCCCGTGAGAGCCCTTATAGGTCATTAGCTGACAACTCCAGGTCCAGCTCCTCATCCGCGCGTACCAGGTTCGAGGACACCACATTGCTAACCTCGACCCCCTCCGTATCTCCAACGCCGACCTCGACGCCAACACTCCACCAGAACTCCGGCTGGAGTACTATGGATGGACTGAAAAGGATCTCGAAAAGGAGATCAAGCTCAATTCGTCCATTCTCCCTCGGTTCATCGGGTCCGTCCCGGGGGACAAGATGACGATTGGGCAGATTATTGAGGAGCTGAAGCGGATGTACTGTGAGCTGGCCGGTTGAAGTCTTTTGCAGTAGGAGCTGACATGTAGGCCACCACGTTGGTGTTCAGTACGTCCACATTGTCGATCGGGGACAGTGCGACTGGATCCGGGAGCGTGTCGAACTCCCCACCCAGTGGAAATACAACACGGAGGAGAAGCGGATGATCCTCGACCGGACTATGTGGTCTGAGCTTTTCGAAAAGTTCATTGCGTCCAAATACCCCAACGAGAAGCGGTTCGGTCTCGAGGGGTGCGAATCCCTCGTCCCCGGTATGAAGGCGCTTATCGACCGATCGGTCGACGAGGGCGTCAAATCCATCGTCATCGGTATGCCCCATCGTGGACGGCTCAACGTCCTCGGCAACGTCATCCGGAAGCCTATCGAGGCTATCTTGAATGAATTCGCCGGGGCGGTGGAGAAGCAGGAAGGAGGCGGAGACGTAAAGTACCACTTGGGTGCCAACTACGTCCGGCCCACACCGAGCGGGAAGAAGGTGTCTCTCTCGCTCGTCGCCAACCCGTCGCATCTCGAGGCGGAGGACCCTATCGTCCTCGGCAAGACCCGCGCCATTCAGCACTTCGAAGGCGACGAGGCGACACACACCACCGCCATGGGTGTGCTGCTGCACGGAGACGCGGCGTTTGCTGGCCAGGGTGTGGTGTACGAGACGATGGGGATGCAGAATCTTCCCAACTACGGGACGGGCGGAACGGTCCACATCATCGTCAACAACCAAATCGGTTTCACCACCGACCCGCGGTTCGCCCGTTCCACTCCTTACCCCTCGGACATTGCCAAGTCGATCGACGCGCCCATCTTCCACGTAAACGGTGATGACGTCGAAGCGGTCAACTACGTCTGTACGCTCGCCGCGGAATGGCGCGCCACGTTCAAGAAGGACGTGGTCGTCGATATCGTCTGTTACCGTCGGTACGGGCACAACGAGACGGACCAGCCGTCATTCACCCAGCCGCGGATGTACAAGGCGATTCAGAACCAGCCTACCGTACTCTCTCTATACACGGACCAGTTGATCAAGGAGGGCACGTTCACCGAGAAGGAGATTGATGAGCACCGGCAGTGGGTGTGGGGGATGCTCGAGAAGGCGCAGGATCTCGCCAAGGAGTACAAGCCCTCGGCGCGCGAGTGGCTCTCGTCCTCATGGGAGGGATTCCCGACGCCCAAGGAGCTCGCGGAGAATGTCCTCCCCCACCACCCGACCGGAACCGACCAGCACACGCTCAAGCAGATCGGTAACGTCATCTCCACCTTCCCCGAGGGATTCACACCCCACAAGAACCTCGCACGGATCATCGGGTCCCGCGGAAAGGCCGTCAATGAGGGTAAAAACATTGACTGGTCGACCGCCGAGGCGCTCGCTTTCGGCTCGCTCTGCCTCGAGGGCACGCACGTCCGTGTCTCCGGACAGGACGTCGAGCGGGGTACCTTCTCGCAGCGACACGCGGTCGTGCACGACCAGGAGACGGAGAACCAGTATGTCCCTCTCAAGCACCTCGGTGGCGAGCAGGGCTCGTTCACCGTCTGCAACTCGCACTTGTCGGAGTTTGGTACGCTTGGGTTCGAGCTCGGATACTCGTTGGTCAGCCCCAACAGCTTGACCATCTGGGAGGCGCAGTTTGGTGACTTTGCGTGAGTTTCTGAGCTGCTTCGAACGTGAAGGTGGCCAAGCTGACTCCTCAGGAACAACGCTCAATGTATCATTGACCAATTCATCGCTGCCGGTGAACGCAAGTGGCTTCAGCGGTCTGGGCTCGTCATGAGCTTGCCGCACGGGTACGACGGTCAGGGACCGGAACACTCGTCTGGGCGTATCGAGCGGTTCTTGCAGCTGTGCGATGATGAGCCGAGAGTCTACCCCGCACCGGAGAAGCTGGACAGGCAGCACCAGGACTGCAACATGCAGGTTGTGTACCCTACGTGAGTATCAGGCTAGAAGATGCAGAATAAGGCACAGCTGACATCGTAGTACCCCCGCCAACTACTTCCACGTTCTTCGCCGTCAGAACCAGCGCGAGTTTAGAAAACCCGTAAGCTATTTGGTGCTTGTAGAATTCAAGGCAGAGCTGATACTCCAGCTCATCATTTTCTTCTCCAAATCCCTCCTCCGTCACCCGCTCGCCCGGTCCGACCTCTCGGCCATGGAAGGCGAGACCATCTTCCAGCGGTACCTCCCCGAAGAGCACCCGGACACCCTCGTCGCGCCCGACCAGATCAAGCGTCATATCCTGTGTACCGGCCAGGTCTACTATCAGCTCCTCCAGGAGCGTGAGAAGCGAGGGATCAAGGATGTGGCTATCTCGAGGGTGGAGCAGTTGTCCCCTTTGCCTTATGATCTGATTACGCCTCATTTGGACAAGTATGCGAATGCCGAGCTTATTTGGGCTCAGGAGGAGGTGAGTTGGGCCTCAGAGCAAGGGGGAGAGGCAAGAGCTGATGGGGTTAGCCTTTGAACAATGGTGCTTGGACATATGTCCAGCCTAGGTTGATCACTGCTCTTAAGCAGACGGAACACCACAAGAACCGGATCCCGATTTACGCTGGACGCAAGCCGTCCTCGTCTGTCGCGACGGGTCACAAGCAGGCGCACAAGGATGAGGTGGAGATGATCAACGAGATGGCGTTTAATGCGACCGAGTAAGGGAGTATGGAGATTGGGGTACGGAGAGTAGGAGGAGAGAGGTGTGGCAGATGATTGGCTTGGTGAAGGGCGGACTTCCATAGGCGCAGAAGAAGGATATACAGTAGTTTTGCATCATCTATCTTGTCACGTCCACTAGTGAGTCACTGCAGTAAGACGCCAAGCCACTTCGCTTCGCGCGACGCAGCGCCAGAGGATCCAGAGGCCAAGCTCCAAGCTCCAAGCTGCAAGACCCACTGGCTGCCCATGGATGAGAAACTCCGCCTGAGCGTGACTCACCTTTGCGTGCCTGAATGGGATGAGATAAGGGTGATGACGCACTTCATCACGATGAACTCTGAAAACTTTAGCTCCGTTTCAGATGAAAAAGTTGAAAGGAACGGTCTGTGCGTTAGCCGTCATCAATACCTTCCTTTGGCAAACACAAATCACACAGGACAGCCTCCTCTATCTCTCCTTCTCTCTCTTTCACCTCTCATCACCATCTTCATCAACTAAAAGCACAGAAAACAGGTGAGTAAGCTCTTTTCCCAGTATCAAACGTGCGGGATCCAGATCTAAGGAATGTGGAGTCTCCACAAAGATACGTTGGCTTGGTTTCAATGGCGTTTTTGGCGTGCCGAGTAAGGAAACCTTGATTTTGTCTCGGGGCGGTGTGCGAAGCTGCGAGGGGAGAGGCGGGGCACTTCTTTGTTCTTCTTTTGTGCTCTTCTCTTCACTCTTATCTCTATCTATCAATCCATTTTCAGCTTTATCTGTGCTTACTAGGTGAGCTTGGCGACAGGACACCGTAGGCTGGCCTGGTTGTGGCCCCGAATCTCCTTTCCCAGTCTCACACTTCACTTTCACCTTCATATCCTTATCTATCTTCTGTTTGCTCGCGAGCCTGGAACGCAGGCTGTGAGGTGGCTCTCTATCACGACCCTCGCGCAAGGATCTGAACCCCCACTTGTGATCCCTCCTTTCGCCTGTTCTCCTAGCTACACTCCTTATCTGACCAAACGAAGGATGGGCGGACAATTGCTGACGCGGTCTAGCTTACTCGTCAGCTTCCAATTTCAATTGCTTCAAGATGGCCACTACCAACGACACCACCAACGACGTCCCGGCTCCCCAGGTCGAGGCTCCTTGTAGGTCTTTCCTATACCTTCCTGCCCTCAATGTGGGCGCCTGGTGATCGTGCCCCTACCCGAGCTACCTGGTCCACATGTGGTCCCTAGCTGACCATTATAGCCTACAAGATCGTGTCCCGCCTGGACGGTGTCCCGGTCATCCATGACTCGGTGACTTACGCCGAGTATGTCTCTCACTCGTTATCCCCAGATGGCTGTGGCTGATGGTTTCAGCTCCCTGCTCAAGGCGTACCCCGCGACGAACTACGTCTACGCCACTGCCGTGTCCGTCGCAACTCGTGAGTCCTAGTCTCTCGCGATCATTAAACTCATGGGGGTGATGCTGATCAGCCAGGCTCGTACAATATCGTCTCGCCCGTTATCAACCGTACTCAGCCTATCCTTAAGTCGGCTGATGGTCTCGCTGTCGCGACGTGAGCTACTAGTAGCAGACATGTCTGAAGCGGAGCTGACATGATAGCTTCGACCGCGCTCAAGCTACCTTCCCTTACGCTTTCAAGACCCCCACTCAGGATCTCGTGGTGATCAAGCAAGGCAAGGCTGTGTACGATGCTGTAAGTCCCCCTTCCACATTCACCTTGTGACCGTGCTGATGATTAGCGCATCGCTCCCATGCTACAGCAGTATCAGCCCATCGTGCACGACGTCCTCACCAAGACTGCCGAGATCAACTCTGCACTCGGTGCGCGCGCCCAGGCCACCATCGGCGTGTCCAAGGAGTACGCCGACCACCTCGTCGAACAGCTCAAGCAGCTCGCTGCGCAGGGTCGGGTCCTTCCGGGCCACTTGATCGAGGTAAGCTTAAAGGAGTGATTCGGCGAGATGCCCGAAGCTGACACTGCAGGGCGTTCAGAGGACCACCACCGACCTCAAGGAGATCGTCCTCGCCAAGGACACCAGCGTGCAGGAGAAGTCCAACAAGGTCGGAGCTTATGTTATCGTGAGTTGGAAGCGATGTGCGTAACGAGAAGCATAAGCTGATAGCGCAGGACCAGGTCAAGCCTGTCGTCGACGAGATCTACAACTACCTGCTCGGTGCCAAGGTATGTCTTCTCAGCTGACACGACCTCAGCGAGGATCTGAGATTGATAGCTGACTCTCTATAGCGCAAGGCCGAGGAAGCTGCCGCCGAGGCAGCCGACAAGACCGCCGACAAGGTCCACGGCGTCGCCAAGGACTAGGCGATAACCCCTTTTTGTCCCGCTGTATCGCTACTCCCGCTAGATTTTCGACCCACCGTTGCCAGAATAGATTCAATCGGTTCTCGTTCCATATTATAGATGTGTATATAGATTTCTCTGGTTTGATAGGTGGGTTGCACACGTCTGGCTTCCAATACATGCATCAAGTTCAAGATCAAGTTGGTTCTCTATAGTAGGTCCTCGCCACCCTCCGATCTTATCAAGTTATCATGACGGCATTTGCGGCCACGTCATGGTGAATATTTCCAGTTCAGATTTCCATGTCCACCAAGTTCCTCCACAACTATACTTGCTACCTGCTCATACTGTCTACACCATTATGTCTGGAAGAGTACAAAACAAGCGACCAGCACCTAGCGGCGGTGGCGGCGACTGGAAGAAGCCCAAGTTCGGCGGCAGCTCAGAGGGAAATGGCGGCAGAGGAGGCTTTGGCGGGGGTGGCCGGGGTGGTCGTGGCCGAGGAGGTGGTAGTGGAGGTGGACGGGGTCGCGGCGGTGGATCTGGCGGAGGCGGCGGCGGACGCGACGGCAAATCATACGGCGGCAAGCCATCCTACGGCTCCTCCGCTCCTTCATACGGCAACAACAACGGAGGCGCCCGAAATTATGGTGCCGCTAACAAGGGCAAGGGCAAGGAGGAATACGACGAGCCCGCCAAGAAGCGGAAACAGCCCGTCACTCTCGGCGGTGGGGAAGTGGACGCCGACGCTTCCGAAGGAGAGGAAGAGGATGTCGATATGGACGGAGACGAGGAGGCTGGGTATGCGGACACGGACAAGGTCGTGCCCAACGATGCTGGAACGGGGGAGAAGCGGGCTCGTATGAGCAAGGAGGAGAGACTGGCGCTTCATGCGGCTCAGCCACACCGGACGACCCTGCTCCCTAGCCATGGGCTCCTTGTTTCGCTGTTGCCGCTCTGGGAGCGCGCGCGGAAGGTCGAGGTGACGAAGGAGGAGCGGAGGACGGCGATTGTGGAGTTATGGGAGGCGGTCAAGGGACGTGTGGGGGAGATTAGTAAAGGCCACAAGGGAGGGAGAATACTGCAGACTGTGAGCTTTGTCCTCCAGTACTATGCAATAGCCGGGCAAGCTGACCAGAGGTAGATTGTCAAGTACGGAGGCAAGGAAGAGCGCCTCGGTGTCGCGCAAGAACTTCGACCACAATGGCGCGTCATGATGGAATCCAAGTACTCCAAGGTGAGCCTACGTTCTCCTCTCGCTCGTCCCGTTGCTGATCGGCAGTTCCTCATGTCCAAGCTTATCCGATACTGCCCCTCGATCCGCCCTCAGCTCATCGCCGACATTCGCCCCGCTCTTCCCTCTCTGCTCGCCCACGCAGAGGCCGTACAGCCCCTCTCGGACTTTTTTGATCTCTACGCTACCGCCAAGGAGAAGCGGCAGCTCGTGCGGGGCTTCTACCCGAAGGAGGTGCTGGTATTCGATACAGGCAAAGATGGGGAGAAGGGGCTGGAGGAGATTTTGGCGGATATCGGGGAAGAAGGTCAGGGGAGGTCGAGAGTGTTGGATGGAGTGGAGAAGCATGTACTGGGACCGTAAGTTGGCGTTTCCTTGATCCTCGCAGAGCAGTAGCTGACAACCATAGGTTCAATGCCACGCAAAAGACTGCCCTGGCTCAGGCGATCTTTCATCGGCTGGTACACGAGTATCTGGACTGTGTGTACCGCTTCTTGGACGCCGAAGAGGCCGACAAGAAGATGCACGAGCTCCTTTCCACGTGAGTCTTACCAATCTCCAACATGAGGAGCCCAGCTGATAGGTAGATCCCTCGAGTCCCTTCCCGAAATCGTCCACACCAAAGACGGGTCCGCTGTCGTGCGCCAACTCCTCGTCCGCGGCAACGCCAAAGACCGAAAACAAACCCTTCAGCAACTCCGAAAACACATACCCGCCATGGCCAAAGACGCCGACGCTCAGCTCGTGCTCTTCACAGCCTTCGACTGCGTGGACGACACGAAGCTCATGGGCAAAGCGTTTGTCGCTGACATTATCGCCCTCACGCCCGAGCTGGCCAGCGACAAGAATGGCCGTCGATCACTCATGTACCTCCTCACGCCGACATCGACCAAGCACTTTTTACCGGCCGTCGTCAAAGATCTGGCCGAGTCGTCCGAGATGGCCCGGAAGATCGGGACGAGCAAGAAGGACAAGGATGTCAGGCGGAAGGAGCTGGTCGGGTACGCGAGCGAGGGGCTGTTGGAGCAGGTCAAGATGAAGGCGGAGGAGATGGTCAGGGATCCAGGATCAGGATTGGTCGTACAGGAGATCATGCTATACACTGAGGGTGGTGAGTTGTCGGAAGCACCATTACGGTCTTTGACTATTACTGATCGTTACAGACAAGACCGCCGCTGTCCAAGCTCTCGTCGAACCCCTGCGTAACCCCTTCCCCGAATCCCCTTCCTCCCTCTCAGACACCGACTCACCCGTACCCGACAATGCCCACCTCCTCGAGTTGTCCCACTGCGTCCGGACATACAAAACCATCCTCTCCGGCGGCCACTTTGACGCCAGCTCCAAATCCGTCAAAGTCCTCGATGCGGCGCTTCCCCCTCTCATGTCGTCAGCCCTGCTCGAAGCTATCTCCAGTGCAGACGCTGGCGGTGCGGAGAACACCGTCCGGATCGCTTGTGCGGCACCGTTTGTGCTCGTTGAGCTGATCGCAGCGCTGGATGGGAAGGGACAAGGGGAGATCAAGAAGATCTTGGGAGGGAAGGAGGCGAAGGAGGCTATTGGAGCGAGCGAGGCCAAGGGCGCGGGGCTGCTTTTGGAGCGGATCGAGGCGTTGTGAGGATTCTGTGGGGCACGGTGAGAGATGCATCTGTACAGTTTTGGGATCCGCCAATCACGCACCCAACCCCACGTCCTCATTCCGCATCGCTAAGGGGCAAATGCGCCGTGGTACCGAGAAGCAAGCTCACTGCAGGCCTAACCCATTACTGACAACCTGACTTGCCGACGGATACATGTCGTGGAAAACGGAGCGCGAAAGGAAGCTACTGTGTATGCTGTTGCCGCTCACCCGGATGGCACCAGGACCTGACCGGCGGGACCCACCCTTCATACCGAAGCCGCTCTGTACCTGACTACCGCGTACCCAAAGACAGCGGCACTGTCGGCAGCGACATCTGCCCCCGAGATCCGACCGCCCACATGTGATCCGCCGCCGTCGTCGCTCCGCTGCCTCCGCCTCCGTACGCCGCCTCGCGCCCAGGGACTACCGTCACCTGCTAATCCGATCAATAATATGAGAAGGAGCCACCTCGGCTCCGTCTTTGCGCTCGAATCTAGATCTAGGCATGCCATCTGCCGCCGGTGGAGGGGAGGCGGCTCACGTGGCTTACCGTTTCAGGCAATTTGGCTGTGTTTCAGCTGTTTCAGATCGGCGCCGAAGCGTCCACGTCCGCCCGGTGATGCCGTCATGTTCTAATCTTGACTGCTTACAGCGCTAGTGCAGCATAGAATTGTGATCACCTGACTCCTGCCTACTCCTGCTATCCCCTGGGCGCACGTGCTGTCATCCGCCACTGGGACTGGTCCGGTACTTCGACGAAATACCGAATCATTTGTGCCGAGAAGGTCATGTCAGCCTTTCCTTAGCTCGAGCGGGGATTCTCTGAGCTGCTGGCTTCAGTGGTTACGGATCGAATCCTTACATCACGGTGCCGATCCCGAGATCGCGAGGGATGCCGGCGTCGCGGGGCAGTGCGAGTGCAGTGCGGAATGGTGCGGGGCCGAGAGGGCGGCGCTTATCCCGACCCGCTGAGCTCCGTGGGCCGTGCTCAACTCGTGAGGACGTACATGTAAGCCGACCTATTGTCGTCCAACAATCGAGCCACTCAGCCACCCTCTCACCTCTACACCCGCTCAGCTCGCAATCTCACCACACAAGCACTCATCAATTCCTCACCCTGATCCACCATGCACTTCGCACTCCCCTCCCTCCTCATGGTGCTCATCACCCTCACCTCGGCCTTTGCGCGTGTCACCAACATCACCTTCCCCGCGGGCGCCGTGGTCGGCACGACCATCCAGCTTAACATCCATGAATCGGGGTACATTCAGAACTGGGATGACCTCGGTATCCTCGTCGGCTTTGGCTCGCCTGACCAGCTCAAGAACTACAAGGCCTGCGTCGGAGCTACCGGTCAGTACTATACGAACCTCTAGTGAGTTTAGCTCTTTTGGATCTCATCCCTTGTCACTATCACGAATGCTCAACTGACGCTATCAGTCACAATTCCACTCTCCTAGGCAACAATACCGCTCGTCCCTCCAACTTTGATCTGGTCGTTCCCGTCCCGTCCGGACTCAACACCAGTATCCTCTGGCGCATCACCGCGGCGGTCCCTTATGTTGTAGGCGTGAGTTGAGATTCTCTTCCCGTGGAGCTCTGTGCTGATGACTCACAGGCTTCCGGCTTGACCTCTGTCCAGTACTTCAACCGCACTATCCGGATCTACCGCGCACCCACCGGAGTCGCACCCTCTCCGGCAGCCAATTCCGGCTGAGCGCCACAACAGTATGGATGAGCGAGGTGTGGATGGGATCACCGAGAGCGTGACTATGGGATCTTATATAATGTAATCAGTCTAAGTGTTGATCGAGCTTCAGAACAACGTGTCAACTGCAGGATGTACCAGTACTTGCCCTCAGATGCGTCCTCGCTCTCATCAGCATGTGCGTCTTGGTTGCCAGCAAGACAATAGGAACCAATGTCTGAATGCTAGCAGCCTTTCTGCGCTTGCCTTGAAGCTGGGAATCGAACTACTGCGTCCGCGGCCGAGCTCGAGGACGAGCACTTGGGTCCACCTGCACTCTTCCGATCATAAAGGTGTAAGTGGCGCATCGCTTCATGAGCAATTGCCTTACGTCTCCCTTTCAGACTCAGCTTCGCCGCTCTGGACATCGCATCCGCAACTTGCGCAAGACTAGTCAAGCCACCTCAATGCATCTGTAAGACCGACAGGCCGAGATATGCAGCCACCCGAAAGTGTTCCGCCCGAAATGACGTCATGCTATCCGAGGTGATCGTTATTGAGGCGACGATGATGTGGCTGAATTAGCGTCCTCGTGCTCGTGCGCCCACGTTCTCTTCTCGTCCACGGCCACCTCCATGCTATACCGCATCGCTATCGTCGCTATCGGGATATCTTTAATGGCTATATTTATCTCGAGATGGCCTGTGAGGTACCCACACCATACGAGACCGTCTCGGAGATCATCGGTCCTCGCGGCGATGCGGTCGTCAGCGGTGCGAGATGCGGAGCTATGCATGCGGGCTGATGTCCGGGACATACACCAGCTCATGCTCTCCAGAGGTATATAAGGGGGGAACCCTCGAGCTAGATGACCCACTCTCGTCCCACCCACATCTCACAGCACACAGCAACTCACTCCACACCACTCTCTGAACACTCAATCCTCCCACACTTCCTCCATCACCATGAAGCTCACCATTATTCCACTCATCGCAGCCCTCTCTGCCCTTGCACCCGCCTTTGCGCGCATCTCCAACGTCACATTCCCCGACTCGGCCACCGTCGGCGGTACGCTCCAGCTCAACGTCTCGGAATCCGGCTACATTCAGAACTGGGATGACCTTGGGATCTTGGTCGGCTTTGGCTCAGACTCGGGGCTCAAGAACTGCGCCGCGTGTGTCGGGGCCCAGGGGCAATTCTACTCCAACATCTAGTGAGTAGCCTCTTCTCTGAATTGAGCCGCAGCAATGGTGGGCGCTGACTTGACTTCAGCAACAACGACACCCTGATCGGTACCAACCGTGCTCGTCCCTCCAGCTTCGTGCTCGAGGTGCCTGTCCCCTCGTACCTCAACACCAGCGAGACTTGGCGGGTCACTGCCGCTGTCCCCTATGTCGTCGGAGTGAGTGCCTGCCTACTTCCCTCTTCCCTCTTCCTCCTCCCTCTCCCTCTCCTCGTCTGCGTCGCTTCGTGAAGGGGGTCGGCTCCTCGTGTATGGATAGACGCTGACACTAAATAGGCCATGGGTGGTACCCACATCCGGTTCTGGAATCACACCGTTACCCTCAACCCCGCCGCTTGAGCAAACTCTGTCTCTTGCCTACCCTTCTCACAGGTTAGGCTGAGTCGAGATGGGTCCTTGGTGATGGACTGTATGATGAGTAGCTTGACAGTATTGTAGGCTAGTAGTGTTTCTGTTTGCCGAATGTAGCTCTACCCCTCGAGTCAAGATCTGAACTGCTTCGTTCGGTGCTATAGCTGGTAATCATGGTGCGGATAGGATGGTCGGAAGAAAGCGCGTGCCGGGCAGTTGTAAACGCAATACATGTACATGAGACCTCGACGGTACTACCTCAAAGCGTCACCCCTTCTCATATCCCACACACCCGTCGCTCTAATCGCCCTCGTTTCTCTCTTCACGGCGGTCTGCTCATCCTTCATTCGATTATGATCCCGCGATCATACGTATCGGATCCTATCTTTTAGCTGATTCTTACAGGACTGGCTAATCACACTCACCTTGCTCCTGTTCCCTCAACGGGCCCGTAAGCTCCTCCAAGATCTCCTCGATATGAGCGCCAACTCCAAAGTGGTTCTGATCATACTCCGTGAGTACCGCGCCCGGGATCCTCTGGGCGAGATACCTAATTTGATTGATGGGTGCATTGGCGTCCTTTGATCCATGCCAGATCCTGAGGCCGACGCTCTCCTTGATCCCTCCAAAGTCGATGCCCCAGTCGGACGAGAGCAACCTCGCCTCGTGTACCGCCCCATCGGCCCCTTGTCTGAACGCCTCCAGAATGGTACGCGTGACCATCTCCCTCGCCTTTCCGATCCGCTCCCTTTCCTCCGCGTCCGACTCCCCTTTGTTTGCCTTCTTCCACTGATCCAGCATCCAGGACTCCGCCCGCCTCTGGACAGCGTGGCTTTGAAGCAGTCGCTTGATTCCGCCGACCAGAAAGCCAAGGACCCAGCTCGTCACCGCCGGCGCGCGATAGACCGCCGAGGAGAAGAGGTAGGGTATCCACATCACGTGGCGCTGTAAGTCTGCGGCATTGATGGTGTCGTCTGAGGGAATGGAGGTGTTGACAGAAGGGGATTGGCGAGAGTCGATCCAGGGACCGCCGGATGCTACGATTCCCGCCGAGACCAAGCGGTCCGTGGGTAGACTGGCGGCGCAGGCGACAGCGAAAGGTCCGCCGCCTGAGAAGCCTGCGACGGCGAAGCGAGGGAGGGATAGGTGATCGGCGAGGGCCAGTACAGTATTGGGGTAGTCGACGATACGGGGAAGTTCCATCTGACTCTGAGGGTTTTGAGCGGTCTGTATGGTATATCAGCTGGTAGCAGCGGTGACACAGGAACCACTACATACCGGTACGGACCGTAGGGCAGAGAGTCCAAAGCCTGGTCGATCGGGGCAGATCAACCTGATGCCTTTCTTCTCCGCGACCTTGGCCATTGCGCCAAATTCGAAGCGCGACGACGGGAAGCCATGAAATGCGAATAGAGGTAGTCCGTCTGACGGCCCGTACTCCGCCCACGCGACTTGGTGACCGGTTGGGAGGAGGAGAGTTTGGTGCTCGCGCTCGATATGGGCTGACGGCGGTGATGACATAGGGCGGAGTATGACGGCGGACTGCCGGCTTCGGGGAGCGCGGACATGTCGACCGACTATTCTTAGGATCATGTCGGCTGAGATGTGCTGCGATCAAGGTTGGCGGTGCTTTGGGAAGACAGTGCAGAAGCGGAGAGAAGCGGAGCGGAGGCAGTTTGAGTTTACACCGCATTCCTCATGCCGTCACTCTCACTCCTGTTACCCGTAGGCTCCGCCGTTGCCCCACATCATGTATCAACGCTCGTCCTGTCTACCCAGCCGAGTAGAAGTCGCTACATGACAGAACGGTAGCCGGCGTAGCGGTACGGCACCCCATTAAAGAGCTATTCAGTGTCTGACAATCAGTGTTCGATATGCAGCTCAGTTACTCGGCCGCCACTCTCCGCCATCGGCGCTTCGGTAGCATCTAGCGGTCTGGGCGTATCTCTTCTCCTTTGAGGTACAAATCCTCGACCAAAATCCTTGCGAGGGAGGAAGGCGGTGAGACTACATACATGTATGGTCTTACTCGTAGCTGTCTCGCCGTGACGGACAGCCTTAAGACAGACGCATCGGTGACGTCACCGGCAACCTAAGCGATCTGGAACCTGAGATCTGCACCAGGTGTGTGATTTTCGCTTGCTTTTCTCCGCGTCCAGCAAGCTATCCAGCTCCAGCCAGCACCGCATACGGAGAGGTGAGAGTGTAAGGATTCTCAGGGAGGACAATGTCCACTGATAGCCTCTTGTGCCGAAGTGACGCGTCGGGGTCAGATTGTACCGGCGGCCGGGCGCTTTTTAGGCTGTCTCGGGAGATATCGACCCTTTGGGCGGTGCAACACTCGTCAGTACCGTCAGTAACTACCGTCAGTGACCCGCTTGTACTATTTTCATCGGAGTTTTGACCAGCAGTACAAGGGTAACATCTATAAGAGCTGGTCTGTCAGGACCTCTTCTCCCACTCTACTCACTTGATTTCACATCCAGCCTCATCATCACTTTCAACTCAACACCCAAACCCTCATCTCCACCATGAAGTTCTCCGCCCTCACCCTTCCCCTCGCCGCCTTATCAGCACTCACTCCAGCCCTCGCCCGGATCGCCAACTTCTCCTTCCCCTCCACGGCCTACCTCGGCGAGAACCTGCTCGTCAACGTGACGACCGAAATATACGTGCAGCAGTGGTCTGACCTCAATGTCATGTTCGGGTTCCAGAGCAAGGCGTATCGGTGTGGGACATGTGTGGGTCAAGGGGAGTGGTATGAGAATCTCTAGTACGTATCGTAGCCCTCTGAGGTCGCATGTTGAAAGTGCAGCGCTGTGCTGACTATCAGTGGGAACTCAGACTACACGGGTACGAACGGGACTGAGCTCGCTAGTTACACCATCAGCGTCCCGGTCGCGCCGTACCTCAACACCAGCCTCGAGTATGTGCTCGTCGCTGCTGTCCCCTACATTGCCGGCGTAAGTCTAGAAGCTTTTGCTCGTAGCTGGGTGTCTGTGTTTCTGAGCTGATCAATAAGGCCTCCGGCACTACTGGTATCAGGTACTTCAACCAGACCATCACCCTCACTCCCAACTCGAACGATGGTGGAGCCGTGGAGGAGGATGACTCGGCATGAACCAGACCGCCGCGGACGTACCTCTGAGAGACTATTTCGCGACTCTTCGGTAGGCTCTCAGCGGCTAGCTGTCATCTGCAAATCAAGTGCTCCGACCTCCTGTAGCCATACCTCACAATGCATTGGACACCCTACACTCTCTCCACTTTGGACATCTACGGTATCGGCGATCTTAAACTCGCCTCAGAGGGAGACCTGTACAGATCAGCGTGCCTCGAAGACTCTCCTTCTCCCAGTACCTTACCATTTGTACTCAAAGGGAGCTATGCCCGGCGTTCCCAGCTTGTATTTCTTCTACTGCAGAGGCTGTGGTAGCAACAGCCTCGCCCGACTGATTGCATCATTGACGCGTTGCGTCATGGATGAGGCTGCAAGGCGGACCGGTCCTGGGCTGATGACTTCCATATTACATGGCGTGAGTGACCGTTTCCCAGCGACCTGGGGCATGTTTTGTCCAGATGCGGCAAGACTCTACTCAATTCATGATGGAGTGTATACACAGATCGTAAGGGGTAGATAGATCAGAGGAGCTCAGACAACTCGAGCTCATGAGTCACGCCTCACGCGCCAAGGCCGCCAATCAGCTCTTTGACAGCGTTCTGTCTCTCTTCGGTGTCACACAGAATCAAACAAGATGGAACACCGGTGCTTCATGCTGTCAGCAAAATCTCTAGACGTGAGGCACAAACACCCACTTGGTCCTTGCGCAAGGACAGGGAAGGCGTGACGCCAGGTCCAAGAGCTTGGTCCTGAATTCGCTTCGCTGCCCGTCCGCGGATCAGTCGTCCTCGCCAGCTTTCGTGGAATTGCCGTTGTAATTCTGGACGTGGTAGAGAATCGGGACCCTCGGCTTCCAAAAGTCAGGCTTAGAGTAGCCCTCGCGAGCCTCCCACTCTACAATCGCCGACGAGATCTTCCCTCTGCTGCCCTCCGAGGCCAGTTCCCGCAGGAACTGGAGCGATGAGAGCCGCGCATCAAGCATGCCGCGGTTATCAGGATTGTTGGTGGAAGCGGACATCGTATGTGATGGGTATGTAAGAATCAAGATTCAGGCAGGTGGCGAGAGTGGAGGTACAGATCAAGAACGGGGGGGATCCACCTCCCTCTGATATGGGCGAGCGGAATCCGAAAGTCAGGTGATGAGAGGATGTCTGTCTCACTATCCTTTGGTGCTTCGAGTCGTATCGGCGTTATGGTCTTGTGGCATATCCACAGGGTTCTAGGATGTTCTGGATCGTGTGTATTTTGAGGTGTCGGGGCGGGGCCTGTCGTAAGGTCTGATCAGTGGCTGAGAGTCTCACTCCTTGGGTACGCGGTTGGCGAGATAAGCATGAGTATATCAGTGGACCATGGTACGCTGTAGGAGAGCAGGATCAGCGTACCATTTCTATACAACAGATCGTTTCCAGGTACCGACCCCGACCCTACCGTCTCTTCCTGAACCATTCCAGATGTAACAGATGCCCCCTCACTTTCCTCAGATAAAGCGCATAGCTCCCCGTGCCCGCAGCGACAGCAATCCAGCTGACCAGCGCCGTCCACTTGAACTCGCGCGGGGTGGCCGCAGCAAGGGTCAAGGCGTACTTGAGGAGATTGAACGAGTTTTGGAGCGAGATCTGGAGAGCGGTCAGGCGATTCCGGTTCGGATGGTCCGCAAGGGACTGCTGCAGTTCTTTGAGCTAGAGTGTGAGCTATGCCCGGCGACCATGGATGGGTGGTGAGAGAGGAACTCACCTGGCATAGATCAAAGCTCCACAGTCCGACCCGACTCGCCGCTATCCCCCCAAACAAAAGTACCTCGTTCCAGACAGCCCCCTTCGTTCCGTACGCGCCCGTCCCGTAAAAGAACGCCAGGACGGTCGGGGCGAGGCAGGCGAGCTCGAACGAGATGGACCAGGCGCCGGCGCGTTCGAGGCCGATCAGACGCTCGAGGTGGGGCATGAGGAATGTGCCGAGGAGGCCGGTGAGGACGCAGATGCCCTGCGCGTTTCAGCTTTTCTGTTACCGTCGCTAAGCATAGGAACGTCCTGAGTAGCTGTGGATGATTGGGAGCGATTGACTCACGCGCATGATGGCGATAAAGGTGTCGTCGTACCCTCTTGCAGCTTTGATATACGCAATAAATGTCCCGTCTGTTGATATCAGCTCAGTGTCCAGGGTTTCTAGAAGAAGATGAGCGGACGAACCATATGATAGGGTTGTGAGGTAGATCGCGGCGATAGCGACCGAGCCTGTATCCAGTCAGCTCGTGCTTTGTGGCATGAGGCGAGCGAGAGAAAGCTGCATAAGTAAGTGATTGATGACTTACTGCAGAAGATGGGTAATTGCACAAACTCCGCCCAGTCGTTCTTCTCCCTCTTTGCCCAGCCTATCACTCCTCCCAGTCCCGCCCGCGATGAAGCCCTCGATCCGCTGCTTCGCGGCCCGTCTTGTTGTTCGTGGACAGTTTGTGATTCCGCTAGGACGGGGAAACGCGTATAGACGACCTGTATCCAGAGGTACTCGACCACGCCTGTGACTGCGACCCAGGCGAGGAGGGCGCAAGTCGTGCGGAAGTAGCCGATCGTCGCAGTGAGAACTGATACGAAGAGCTACTAATGTAAGCTTGTTGCGCACACAAGGTGTCGCTATCGTAAGCTTACAGGTGATACAAGCTTCGAGAGGAGATCTATCCGCCTCATGGATGTATTGAGCTTGGTCAGAGTCTCCCCTCTACCTTGCGCTATCGTCATGACCCTTCGAGGTCAGGTTCCACCCACGGGTTCGACACGGGTTGGCTAGCTCACCAGTCCCTCTCAATAGCCACCTCCAGTGTCGTATTCGCCAGGCCTAGCATCGTCGAGCAGGCAATTGTGAGCAGTAGGATAGTCCAGGTTGCCAGTACGCCGCCGATTGGTGCTTCACCATGAAAGGCAGGTTGGGCGATGGTAATAAGTGGGCCAAAGAGGACTGCGTATATCAGCTGCAGGTCCTGGCTGTACCGTTCGAGGCGGATTCGTGCAGGCGCCAACTGACCTAGGAAGAGAGCATAATTGGCAGCCTTGAAGACCTTCTCAGTCAGCTCTTACCTAGTGGCTTGCGGAGCGGGTGTGAGGGACCAGCTTACCTTCTCCGCTCCTATTGTAGCTCGTACAAGAGGCAACCTCGGATACTTGTCCACCAGACCTCCCATATATCCAGAGAACACCAGTCCCGCCAGCTGAGTAAGTAGACCGACTAGCGAGGCAGGTACGAGTGTATCCTTGAAGACCTCGATCACTGCAAAGCGCGTGAGCGTCAGTACCGTTAGAGGCATCGGCAGGCTTGTGGAGCACGTACGGAATAGGAAAGACGCAAAGTCATATGAGCCGGCCGTGAATGTACTGGTAGAATCAGCTTCTGTAGCAAAACTCAGGGAGCACAGGTAGCTCACCTCGAAGCGTGTTGGAGAAGCAGACACCGCAGAGCCCACTTATCGACGCCACCCTCAGCTTCAGACGCTGACGAAGATAGAAGACCACTATGCTCTCCTTCCGCCTCTTCCTCTCCTTCCTCTGTCCGGCTCAAGCCCGCCAATTCGACCTCCTCGGTCCCAGCGCGGTCGATCCCTTCCCATCCCTCGGACTCTTGCCCCAACTCGACGGGGATTGGGCGATACCCAGCGACACTCATTTCTCAGCGAGCTCCGGTCGACCGATTAGAACGATTACCAGTCACAACACCTCCGTCTGATCGGGACAGTATGGACGCAGGCTGAGCATCGTCCGAGAAGAGAAGCCATGTAAGATGTCAAAGTGGGGACCCACCCGGTCGGCCGAAGCGCCTGATGCAATGCCCGTGCGTCACGGAATCAAAAAGTGCCACATTCCTCAGCTCCTCGCTAGCGCGCACGTCACTCCTCCACTCAAGCTCCACAGCAGCAGCACCCCAAATTCACTCTCTCCCCCTCTCTCCAGACATCTTGTACATGCTATCCAGGTCCCTCCTCGCCAACACCACTAAACACCTCTACCGCCGCTCTTTCACTTCCACAGCTATCAATATGGGTGTTACCGTTGAGGTGAGTTCCGTCTCGATAGAGGTCTAGCACGTAAACCCTTGGCGTCGTCAAGAAGGAAACGTTCTTCCTCTTCTGTTCTTCTTCCGTCTGGGCTGGAGCTGACTCAACAGACTCTCTCCCCCGGAGACGGCAAGAACTTCCCCAAGAAGGGCGACACTGTCCAGATCCACTGTGAGCTTTTGTCGCCGAGACCGCTTCCTCGCTCCCAAGTGGACAAATAAGCTGATACACGTAGACGTCGGAACTCTCCTCGACGGATCCAAGTTCGACTCTTCCCGGGACCGCGGATCCCCCTTTGTTACCCAGATCGGTGTCGGCCGTGTCATCAAGGGCTGGGACGAGGGTGTGACTCAGTTGTCTGTGGGGCAGAAGGCTAACCTTATCTGCACGCCTGACTACGGTCAGTTGACGGCTGCTTACCGGACTCGTTTTCCACGGGTCGGAGGGGAGCATAGCTGACCGGATAGCCTACGGCGCCAGGGGCTTCCCGCCCGTCATCCCCGCCAACGCGACCCTCAAGTTTGAGGGTGAGTTCTCCCACATTGACTCGTCCTAAATTGAGGAATGGGAAGTATTGAGCTGACGTTCTAGTCGAGCTGTTGAAGATCCAGTAAACGTGTCGGACATCTTTCGAGCACGAAAAAGCAGAATAGGCATAGCATAAGCGGAGATGCATAAGAAGTGAAACGAGTGCTATCTGCAATCAAGATCTGGCAATATCGAGCGGTGTTCACGCGTTTCCGGTCAGGCAAGCAACGGTCATGTCAGCAAGATTCCTCGGGCGGCCATGTCATAGCCCAGCCGAGCGGCCTCTTGGGCTCGTGTGGGTTTGGCACTCATTTGATCTCAAAGCTTCACTCATCTACAGCATGGTCTGCTTTCGAAAATGCAAATTAGCCCATGATCCTAGATGCATCCGCAGCTTCCCTATACACCTGCTGTACCACACCCTTCGTTCTGACACCCCTTCACGACCACGCCCTAAGCCTAAGCCTCCATCCCATCCATCTCCATATCGTCCGCATCGAACGCATTGTCCGGAACCTGGTACATCCGCAGAGTGGGCTACAGGAGTCAGCTTTGCTCCTGCCCCAGCCCGACCATGACACAGAGAAAACTTACGTGGTTCGGGTCCTTGACAAGCACATACTTGCCTTCTGGCCTCGCGAGCGCCAGGTCGGCAATCGTGCGCACGATCCCCCAGCCGTTCGTGAGCGAGACGTTCATCTGGCGGGCAAAGTCGAGAGGCTTGTACGATTGGACGCCGACAATGACGTGGCGTTGGGCATCGCGGGGGTTGGCTCTGGAGATATAACTAGAATAGTCAGCAAGTGGTAGAAACATCGCAAGAAAACAGCTACTCGCCCCATCTTCATCTGCTCCGCGCCGGCCAGATAACTCTGCACCGCCCACCTCGCCAGCTTGGCCGAATTATTCTTCATCTCACCCGCCACAATCGCTCCTTTCTGTGTATCGAGGAACTTGCGCCAATCGAGCGCCTTGGCCCCCGTCGCAGTCGCCGACTTGGCCGAGTACTCATTCAGCGCCTTGATAGTCACGTGCTGGCTCTTTTTCGCGAGGTACGCATCCACCTCGGTCCTCACGACGATCGCCACCTCCTCGCCCTCCTCCTTGCTCGTCGTCAAGTCAAACTTTCTGTACTTGTACAGGCACGACGCGAGGGGCTCCGTCTCATCCTCGGCAGAGTAGAACGGGTTGGGCGCCGGCTCGTGTGCCTTGGAAGACGCCGCGATGGCCTGGCTCGAAAAGTTTTGGTTGATGTAGGTCGCTTCGAGCGAGAGGTTGGAGGGAGAGTTGATATTGTCCGGATCGTCGCTGTCGGCGGGTGGGTCCGCGGCGTTCTCGTTGACGGTGAGAAAGTCAAACGAGCCGCCGTCCCGCTTGTCGAGGAAGAGGTTGTTGCCTCGGCGCTCGAGGATGATGTCCCACGAGTTGACGGATCGGGGGGCGCACATGAGTACAGAGAGGATAGAGTCGGTAGCGAAGATCTTGGCGGCACCGCTTTCGGCGAGCTATAGCATGAGCTAACGGACTGATGGGTTGTGCGTCTGATGGCTTACCTGAGCGATGACGGGGTCGTCCGAGGTGGTGATGTTGTACCGGGTCCGACCGATAATCTCGAGGGGCTTCTCGAGACGGGTGGTGATCCGGTCGAACGTCTTCTCGTACGACTGGAGCATACCGCAGGATTTGCTGCGGAGTCAGCTACGGTTCTTTGCTGCACACGTTGGCGGAACCGCAAGCTTACAGGTCCTCGGGCTGCTCGACGTTGAGGTTGAGCTTGGCCAGGCGGCTAAACTCAATCTCATCCAGAAGCTGCCATTCCGGGCCGACAGTAACCGACGAGTCCCTCGTCCTCTGGGGCTAGACCATCAGCTACAGCCCCTCCCCAAGGGCGAAGAAGCTCCTAACTCACCTGCCTGAAATCGCCAAACCTCCCGCCTCCTCTTCCTCGCCCAGCACTAAACCCGCCCCTCCCCCTTCCCCCAGGCCCTCCCCTGCCGCCCATCGCGCCTCCCCTCGCCCCACCCCTCCCCCGCCCCCGGTTCATATTCGGCACCCCCGTCTTCTTGCCCGCCAACGCCCTCCCGGAATCCACGACGCTAAAGCTCCGCTCGTCCTCCTCGTGCACATACCCAAAGGCATTGCTCTCGCCCGCGCCGAACGCCTCGCGCCTGCGCTGTCCCTGCGGCCGGGTATTCTTGGCCGGCTGTCCGTTCGGGCCGAGGAGCTCGGACGGGTCGTGCCAGTCCGCTATGCGGGAGATCTTGTCGGATTTGGAGTAGGGCGCGTAAGGGATTCTGGGGGTCAGCGCCTAGTTGGGCAGCCGGGCAGCAGGGGAAGAGTGGGAGCTCACTCTTTGAATTGAGAGGGGAGGGTGGAGGTGGATGGACCCCACGATCCATCCTCGTTATCGTGTATAGCTGGGAGGCTAAAGTCGAGTGCCATAGCTGCTGCTGTTGTGATGATATAGGTGAGTGAGGTGAGCAAAAAGTACAAAGCGCAGAGCGAAACTTGGTGGCTGAGCCGGGACCAAAACTTGGCTCTTTCTTAAATGATCCCCCCCTTTCCTATCGCGAGAAGTGGAGGGCTCAGAAATTTGAACAGCCATCTCTCGCTCACCCACCCCTTCCTTACTATAGCTAGAATGGACACGCCCGCCCTCCCTCTTCCTCCAGCACTCGTCAAGAGAGTCCGCAGCCAGCCTGCCGTAGCAAGAGACCAGAATGCCGAAGCGGGCTCTAGCAAGCAGCCGCTCATGACGGTCGAAGAGGCAGCCGCAAAGATTGCTAGGAAAGAGCAGAAGAAGCGGAGACGAGAACAGAAGGCCCTTGCTATCGCGGCTGTAGTCCCGAATGGTGTGGAGACCACTACAGTCCCAAATGGCGAGCCGAGCGAGGCAAAAGAAGCAAGAGCTGGTAGGCGGAGGAGGGATAAGGGCAAGGCCAAAGCGGGAGATGCCGCAGGCGGAGGGGGGGAATGGCAGTGCCTGCCCCTCGCGCAGAGCCAGGTATCGAAGATACCTCCTATCTGGACCAGGGACGGACGGTGAGTTGCCTCCGTATCATCTCGCGCAGGAGCTGATTTCTAGGTTTTATGTGACCGCCGAAAACACCTCAATCCACGTCCATTCCGCTTCCCCGCCATACGCCCGGAAATCCACCCTGGCCGCCTCCGTCAAGCCCCATAAGGCACCCATCACCGCGCTCCTCCTCTCACCTCTGAGCCCCGCGCACGTCGTCTCTGCGAGCGAAGATGGCAGTGTCAAGATCTGGGACCTCGAATCGGGGGACGTCGTCCAGACGATCCATGTCATCGAGGGCAAGGTACTGCAGATGTGTATCGGACAGGTAGCGGGCAGGTGGGAGGTGTTTGTGACTGTGTGTCTTGCGCGTGCAGGGAAGAAGTGTGAGCTAAGTCCCACGTTGGACATTCGCGTCGGCCGAAGCTGACATTCAGCCGCCTCTTATCGCATCTTCCGATTCCCATACCCCACCTCGTCATCCTCCACACCCCAAGCCCTAATATTCAACAAGCTCGGCGCGGCCCCCACCGCCCTCTTCATCTCCCCTTCTTCCCTCTACCTCGTCGCCCTCGCCGCCAACAAGGCCTACACCTTCCTCCTCCCCCTCCCCGGCTCCTCCCCATCTCCCGACTGGAAAGCCCAGCTCGTCAAATTTGTAACTGATCAGCCGCTCACATGCGGCACTTTCGCCCCGCTCGACAAGCTCAAACCCAAGGCCGAAGACTGGTTCGCTACAGGCGACGAAAAGGGTGTTATCCGTCTCTGGCACGGTCTGGGCCAGGCGTTCCGGTTACTCGGGGCGTCAGGACAATCCAAGGACGGCGCGGAGGTGGAGAAACGACTCCCGACCACGTCGTTGCATTGGCATGCGCACGCGGTGGCTGCGCTCGCGTTCACGCCGAGCGGAAGCCAGTTGCTTTCGGTCGGTGAGGAGAGCGTGCTGGTGCAGTGGCATCTGGCGTCAGGGAAGAGGGAGTATATTCCGAGATTGGGTGGGAAGCCGATTCTGAGCTTGGCGATCAAGCAGGCGGCGGTAAAGGGACAGGAAGAGGAGTGGTGGATGGCTTTTGCGGATGGTGCGGTGCAGAAGGTCGGAGCGGGGAGTGGTCGGATTGAGGGTGTAGGACAAGGAGTCAAGATTGGTAAGTCTCCTTGCCTTCCTCCTCGTTCCAGTTTCTTTGCTGATTCCCAGACCCTCTACGCCAGACCGACGCCACTACGCCCTACCCCCTCACTCTCCACCCGAGCACCTCGGCCCTCGTCCTCCCCTCTTCCAACCCCGGCACCCTACAATTCGTCAACCCCGCCCAGACGTCCCTGCTCTTCGACCTCGAAGTGGCCCCCTCTAATCGCGTATCCAGAAGAGACGATAAACACCTCGTACCCGTCGCGGTCGAGCATGTCGCTTTCTCCGACGCTGTCAAGGGACAGTGTGAGTGGATGGCCACTGTAGAGGGGAGAAAGGGGGACGAGTGGGAAGGTGGGGGCGAAGTGAGAAACCTAAAGATTTGGCGCTGGGATGGGCAGAGGTGCGTCATAATCTCCCTGAGAGTAAGGATAAGAGCTGATCAGTAGGTATCTCGTCAATACGCAGTTCCCACGTCCGCACGGTATCACCGAGATCTCGTCGCTCGCATTCTCCCCGCTCAATACCCCTACCTCGCCGGCGTTGCCTTACCTCCTCTCGACGGCGATCGATGGGACGGCGAAATTGTGGCAAGTCCGTCAGTCTAAAAAGAGCGAGCACGGTATGTCCTTTTTGTCCTTTTACTCAGCCCCGCCGTGCCCCAAACTCCTCTCCCCTTCGGATGAAATAACAACATCACATTTTACTTCTACTCGAGTTACGACGTTGAAGATCCTTGTTCTGCAATTCTGATCCACATCCTCCTCCTCAACCTTGGTAACCACACAAAGGGGATGAGCTGATCACGGATACAGGCAAAAATGCATCGAAACGACCAGCCTCATACGATCGTAAGCCATACTATTCTGCGAGTGACCCAGCAATAGCTTACCCGCAGTCTTCTGGTCATCCCGCTCAAGCTGGACATACCGCTCCCTCCCCATCCTCTCCGCGTCCTTTTCACCCGACTCCACACTCATCGCACTCGCGCATGGCGCCTCGGGCGTCCTCAGTCTCTGGGATACCGAAAGCAACGTGCTCCTCCGTGCGCTTGATGCGGGGGGCAGTCTGAAGTGCCTGAACCATGTGGTGTTTGCGGGCGAGAGTGGGCGGTGGGTCGTAGGTGCGGGACAGGGGGGTGTTGTTAGCTGGGACTTGCTGTCGTGCGAGAGTGAGTTGTCATCTGCAAGGATCGAACATCCGCAAACAGTCAGCTGATCAGCCAGAAACCACATCCGTCTCTTCCCAAAACATCACCTCTCTCCTTCCCCTCCCTCATTCCAATTCCTTCCTTACTGCCCAGACGATCTCCCATTCCACCATCATCTCCATCTACACCCCGACTTCCTCTACGCCTTTACGTAGTGTCACTGTCCCGCACGCCCTCCGAACGCTTCTGTACCTCCCTTCTTCCCGCCAGGCTCAGGCCTCCTCGGCCGCAGCTGGGTCCCATCTCAATTTTGCGGCCCTCACCCTCACCGGCGACTTGCTGCGTCTGGGCGACGATACTTCCTCCGCACCTATCTCGTCTACACTCGCGCTCGCGCCTGAAGAGGACGACAAGGGCAAGGGGAAGCTGTCGATCTGGCAAGAGATGTTTGGGGAACAGGCGTTCCTTGCTCCAACGTCGACTTCAGCCACAGAAGCCGGACCGTCGACACTCCCCCTGCCCGATCGCAAAGCCCAAGCAACGGGCCGGAAGGGCGCAGTGGCGGTATATGACGGACCGAGCCATACGCTTCCTCCAGCCCATCTACTGTTTGACGGGTTCATGCAGGCCATCCTGGACGCTGGGTCGTACGCTGCCCAGGCGGTGGCTGGGGAGGGCGATGGGGGAGGAGAGGGAGGGGACAAGGTGTTGTATGAGATGGAAGAGGAGGCGGGGGCTGGTGGTTTGGAGGGGAGGGTGCAGGAGAGGGAGGTGGGTGTGGATGAAGTGAAGGAGTTGGAGGTGTTTTTTTCGGGGCTGTTGGCGGAGAAGAGTAAGGGGAAGGGGAGGGCGGTAGTGAACGGGGCCAATGGTCATCCGGAGGAGGAGGAGGAGGAAGAGGAGATGGAAGTGGAAGTGGAAGAACCCGAGGAGAGACCGGCAGTTGTGTCCAAGGTGAATGGAAGTACGCCGAGGAAGGTCAATGGTGCGGCTAGGATGACGGAGGAAGAGGAAGATAGGGTGGTTTCACATGCGGAACAAGGGGCGTCGGGGAAGAAGGGGAAGAAGAGGCGGGCACCGAAGGATCTGGACTGAGTTGTAGCGTGAGCGTAAGCTGATCAGAGGGGATCTGAGGGGTGGATGTATCTGCCTGCTTGCTTGACCAATGCTCGTCGCGGCCGCATAAACTACTGACCGGCTGGACCTGGCATGGACTCTGTCAGTACGTGCAGCACGCTTACATAGGCCAGAGCTACCCCTCAGGCCTCGGGTCGATGTGGGTGGGTCTCATCGGTCCCGCATGCTGGACCATTACGTTCGATTAGGAGATTAGACTTAGTTAGGACTACCCGTGTTTTACTGATTAGGAAATTTACTAATGAATCAGTGAACTCTGAAACGCATTCCGTAAATAGAGTTGGGCCGAGATCTGATCAGCGTCAGCAGGTGGGACGAGGAACGCTCCACCTTCAACTTGCGTGTTGGCCGATCCTCCTCCCCCCTCCTTCCCTCTCCTTCCTCATTCAAGCCCTCGTCTTCTGACCCTCACACTCTCAGCGTCCACCTTACTCGCCTATACATCAAACACATCCGCTATCGACCCAGAATGACAGCCATCACCACCTCCCAACGCGGCAGTATCTCCGACTCGCCCCCCAAACCCAAATCCTCGTCCAAGCGCGGATCCGCATCCTCCGCCACCCCCGCTGCGAATTATGCGTCCACGCTCACGCCGCAGCAATTGGAAAGTATAAGCGATGCGGAGGTGTTTGATCAGGATGGGAAGAAGTATACGTGGGGGGAGTTGACGGGTGGGAAGCGGGTCGTGGTGGTGTTTATTAGGCATTTCTGTGAGTGATTCTGGGCGTGATCGGGGGACAATGAGAAAGGGGGAGAGGGGTAAGAGATAAGCGCGAAGAGCTGATCGATAGGGTGTATCAATTGTAAAGAGTATCTACGACTCCTGGCGGCTCAGATCCCACCTTCAAGTCTTCCAGAGGGGACATCTCGTACGTCTCGTCGTGAACGGATCTGCACCTCCATTGGATGACCGCTGCACTGCATCGCTGACACCCCTTCAGTCATCGCGATAGGCTGCGGCCAATACAAACCCCTCAAGACCTACATCCCCACCCTCACCCCCAACTCCGCATCTCCCTATCCTTACCCAGTATACGCCCACCCTTCTCTGGCCCTGCACAAAGGACTCGGCTTTATGACGTCCCTTGACCGGAGCAAGGCGGGCGAGGAGAAGGCGTACGAGGCTGCGCTGGGGGGGATCGTGAAACGGACGTTTGCGGCGATTAAGGAGGTGCATATTGGGGAGGCGGGGCAGACGGGGCCATTAGCCCAGAATGGGGGCGAGGTGGTTATGGAGGCTGGTGAGTGTCGATCATTTGGTCCGGTGGGAACGGGTGAGGTCCACGAGGGTCGGAGCGGGGGCGTCTTGATCCCGTGCTGTACAGAAGCTGACGACGTAGACGGCTCGTGCTCCTTCCTCCACCGCATGAAGCATACAGTGGACCATACCGAGCTGGACACGCTCGCTGCTCAGATCGGAGCGAGGCATATACCTGGACAGAGCATGAGCGACGCTATGGTGTGTCCTGCTTGATCGTCCAAGGGAGGCGTGGTAGGGGGCCCACCAGAAAGAGCCACGATAAGCAGGGAAGGGGGAAGATCTACATACTGTTTCCACGTATAATGCTGCGTATATCATTATAAAGCTAGAAGAAGCTGGGGGACGTCATGGCAGGTGTCACGACGGGGCATGTCACTGAATCGCTGGCACTGCCACTACCGTGGGTCGGCCGTGATTAAGCTCGGCACCGCCTCGGCGTCGGGTCCGAGCTTATCGTGCTGCGCGATTGAGCCCCACTGTCACCCATATACTTTCTCTCTCAAGGCCGAAGTATCTTCTCGATGTCTTCTACACAATCATCTCGCCCGTCCCATGCCGCAGAGACCGCGCAACTCACCCCGGACCAGCTAGACGTCCTCTACTCCGCTGAGGTATTCGACGAAGATGGTCAAAGTCACCAGCTCGACAGGATCACGCAAGGCAAGCGGGTCCTACTCGTCTTCATCAGACACTTCTGTGAGCTCTTACATGTCGCACTAGTAGAAGCCAAGCGAGAGAGTCCCCTGCTGGAAAGGCTGATATGAAAGGGTGCCCGTCTTGCCGGGCGTACATCAAGCATCTGAGCAATTGCATCCCACCAGAGAGCCTGCCACCTGGGACTTGTAGTAAGTCCCATCGCCTTGTCTTCGCCATTTTTCATCACAAAGACCCTAAGAGGACTCGCTCATGACTAGTCATCATTATCGCCAATGGCCAATACCAGCCCATCTCAGCCTATCGTCAAGCCACGCACACCCCTTATGCGATATACGCCCATCCCTCGCTGGTCATCCACAAAGCCCTAGACTTCCGTGCGCCCATCTCGATCATACCCCACCCGCTCGAAGGGAGCAAAGCGTACGAAGCTGGTGTGGGCGGGCGATGGCGCATGTTTTGGACGGCGGTGACGGAGGGGTTGATGGTTGCTCCTTTGCATCTGACGAAGGTGGGGCCGCCGGGGCAGCATGGTGGGGAAGTGGTGTTGGAGGCTGGTAAGTCTCTCCTGTATGGCGGGATGTGGCCGAAGCAACGAGAGACAGACGTACGGTCCGGGGGCCGTCTGAGGAAGGGAAGCTGGAGCTGATGAGATAGACGGCACCTGCTCGTTCATCCACAGAATGGAGCATGGAGGGGACCATACCGATCTGGAAGAGCTCTCGGATATCATCGACGCTAGCTATATCCCGATGGAGATGGATGATGAGGGAGTGGAGAGGGAAGGAGGGAAGGGGGAGGAGTGGGGGAACTTGCCAGTGATGCTGGGCGGGCTCGTGCTGGGTCTGGCGGTCGGGCTGTACTGGAATAGCGTGTAGCGCGATCGGGGGTTCGAGAGAAGCTCGGCGTAGACTGTACTATAGCTGTAGATACCTGTGATGAGAGCCTCCCTTGCCAACAGGAGTTGAGAAGGATGAAACTTGAGCTTGAGATCGGCTAGCTTGAGATGAGGAATGCTGCGCCAAAATGCACCAAGACGCGCTCGCGCTCGGCCAGTCTCCAGCTCATCGTCTGTCTCTCTACATCAACCTTCCTCTGACTTCATCTTCTTGGTGGACCCACGTACACATCCCCGTTCTGCAGGATGGACCCCCGCACATCCGCCCCTCAGATTCCCCTACACCTCACAGCGCTCGCCATCCTCTCACCGGCCAACGCGCCGTTGTACGTCCGGAGCTTTACAGGCGAGCAGGATGAGTTGAGGCATTATCACCTCGCGCATGCCGCGGTGGATGTGATCGAGGAGCGGAGTGAGTCTTAACTCTACATACAGGCTCGACGCGAGAGCTGGACCGAGCGCAAGGGAAGGGACGGGGAAGAGGGGAAGAGGGCTGATACGGTAGTCGTCATGGCTAGCACGCCAACCAAACCTGCCGATTCATACCTCGGTCTCCTGTTCTGCATGGAGGATATGGCATTGTGAGCTTCTTCTTGATCGTTGCCGTCTACAGGGCGGACCGAAAGACCTTCTGTGCAGCTGACAAGGCAGCTACGGCTTTCAAACGGCCTCTAAAATTAGGATGGTCCTCTCGGTCGCGCTCGTCGACGCCATGATCAAGGATGCTGATATCGTCGCGGTACGTATTTTACCTATATCATCACCGGCTCCATGACTGTTACGGCCTCACACCTACTAGCCCTGGCCGCCCAAGTCAGTTCCGTAGTATGGCTGACGCTCTAGATTTTCCGCGCAGTACACCACCTCCTCCTTCAAGCCATACACAACCCCTTCCTGTCCCTCCCACCCTCCTTCCACGCCAAGCACGCCGTATCGAGCAATACCGAGACTGAACATCAGCAGCGAGGGCAGAATGTACTGGGTGGGAAGATGTTCGGGACGGATCCGGACGATATACGGCCCGAGTGGCTCAAGGGGAGTGGGGCGTTCGAGAGGGGGATAAGTAAGATTGGGGGGATGTTGAATGGGGGGAGGTAGGCCGGTTAGGCCGGTCACGAGTTGTTGGACACAGGGCTGGGGGGAATAGTGAACGCGAGCGGTGTGAGTCGTTCGGGGTGATGGGATTTATCGAAGGGGCTGGCCTGATATTGCAGTGGGGCGCTGGACCACTGTCCTTCGAAAACGAAGTCCGTCAAAGCCTCGCTATCTGCGCAGTGCTGAGCTGTACACACCTCCTTCATATTTTTACCCCGGTCGAAGACTACTCGGCCGACCCCCTCCTCCCACTCAGCCGAGAAAACGTCCCCCAGCCCGCCGAAGCAGCCCTCACAGGTCGCTCGGCCGGCCGGGGATACCGACCAATACCCAAATTCGCCCTTCGTTGACACAGCGATCCCCAGATCAGTGGGCGCAGTGACAGATACGGGGCGGACATTTCCTTGTGATGTGATATGCATTCGTTTACTTTTGCTATGATATTGCGATGTAGATGTGGCCTCACATGCTGGATCTAAGCCAAGATAGGACCTCGTCCCGGATCGCAGAAGTTCCTGAGGCTTCCTCGGCGCCCTCTAGGCTGGCGTAGCGCTTCCCGACGAGAGAGGCGGCCAGGGCATCGAGCGAGGCTTGGGTTTCGGGTGGGGCGGAGTCGACACGCAGGTTCATTGACTGAATGAGAGCATGCCGTGCGGACAGATGCACCGACTGCTTGATCAGCCTACGCCCTATACTAAGGCTAAGACGGCTAGGACACTCACTACTCTTCCAAAGCTCAACTCTCCTTCAAACCGATTCTCAAATTCAGGCGTCTGCCCAAATGTCCATTCCCACGATTTGAGCTCTTCGACGCCTTTCCATATCTTCTCCTTTCCAGGATGCATCCCCTCTGTCTCCGCTTCAGTCACAGCTTTGATTTCCATAGATCCTTTGCGGCCGTCAGCGCCAGCGTAGACCTTGGCGAATTCGGCTTGGATGGCTGAGGTGAATTCTTGATGTGTGAGGGGCTCAGAGCGGGAGGAGGGGAGGTAGGTGTTTAGGGTGCTGACGGGGGATCGGACGGAGGTGACTGATTTGCCTTGAATATTGGGCTGTCCAGGTCAGTCTTGAGGTTAAAGCTTCTGCGGAGTCGAAGAGGGACGGGGGGATGAACACGGTCTTCCGCGAGTGAGATACCTACAGAGCTGGACCGAAGCGATTTACCCAAGTCGGCGAGTGATGAGCTGATGAGCATCGTTCCGTGATGATATGCTCGATGCTGGATGATCTTATAAGCTGAACCAGATACCTAGTGGATCAGCTGACGGGTCATTTCACAGCAAGACATATAGCTTGACGCGGTGGAAGACGCACCTTGAGGTCTTTCGAGCCGTCCCGGATAATCACGTCGTTCCGCTCATTGACCGTACATTCTTTTATCTCTAGTCTTTCCCGGATGGCCCGAGAGACGAGCTCGGCACCGTGTGCGCGAGTAAAGAGAAGACGGGGGAGCATAATGGAGAAGTTGGTGTTGCCCATATCCTGCCAAGTCAGCTGAGCTGCAACGGGGACAGCGGACTTGAGGAAGTATGGGCGTACGTGAAAGACTGTCCCTCCGCCTGATCTACGGCGGACGAGTGGGATGCCCCATTCTGCGAGCTGACGAGGTGTCGTCTCTTGCCATGGATTCTGCAGGCGTCAGCTTGAAGCGAAGCGGCCGGCCCCAGTCAGAGAGAGGAAGCGGACCTGGTTTCGCCCTATGACTACGCAGGGGCGATTGCGGTACACGAACAGCACGGGCTGATCACGCGGAGTATTGCGAAGAAGCCTACATCGTCAGTACCTCGCTCAAGCTCCACTCGTCTTTCAAGACGCACCAGTCTTCGTAGGAAAGGTTGAACCACGGGTCGTGCGATTCCGAAATATACGCTACTGGCTGCTATGTTCAGCTCTTCACCAGGACAAGACAGTTCCGCTGAGACTACGACTGACAGCTGATAGCTCGATATTCTCCGCAGCTAGGGTCTGCGGCTGGGCAGCCTTTACTTCTTCCCTTCGAGCGGATGTGCTCAGGGTCCGCGCGACTTTTCTGGAAGGCAGAGGAGCCCGGAGACCCGAAGTGGAGGCTGCGGAGATGGCTGCAGCGTACCGGGACGAGCATGGCTGAGATAGCAGCAGCGCTGTCACAGACTTTCGCATCCTGCGTCAGGTCGGTCCCGATAGAACGACGAAGTCAAGTCACAAAGGCAAAGGCAAAAGCAAGAGCAAAAAGTTCGGGAAGCTGTTCGTGTCTAGCTCAGAGCTCAGATATCAAGTCTGCGATTCATGCCTTCCTAGATGACCGACGAATACGCTACATGATCTGAAGCAGCGCGCTTCCCCCTCCGCTGTAGAGCTATACATCCACCTGGCGAGTCCCATAGCCTGACGGAAGGTGTGCTAGAGGTGCATGATCGCTGCACGAGTTGGCTGGTGGACCCGGTGCTTACGGCATCTCTTTGGCTTGACGCGCGTGGTTGCTTTTTACGCGTCGAGGAGTCAGTCCGATCATCTCTCAACTATACATCTATCACTTCCTTCTCCATCTGCACCATCACCTACATCAATAAGATCTACAGCTCGGCGACATCGAGCAGAGATGAGCAGTAGAGGTCTGAACCGACGGGGTCACCTCTCGTCGAAAGTGCCCAATGTGAAGCTCCGGCCGTCGAGCTCGGCCTTGCCCAGTAAGGTACACGAGGCGGAGCCGCGCAATGCGATGGACCAGGAGCTGCAACGGCGTGCATGGGAGGCCGGTGATGGTAAGTCTCTGAAAGTGCCGCTTGTCAGGCATCGCAAATGGGAATCAGGATGGGTGGAAGGGTCATCGCTAATTGTAAACAGACGAGGACGTCTCGTCGGCCGCTCTGCGCTCCACTCGGAAGCCTTGGGAAAGGGTCATAATCACATTCACAGGTGTCGACGACAAGGTGAGGTGATAAGCCTCAAGACGACGATCCGAGTATTAGCTGATCCAACGCAGCCCCACCTGACTGAGCTCGCTAGGAACCTTGGCGCAACCATCACCCCGGCCCTGACGAAGGAGACTACTCACGTCGTTGCCAACCAGTTTGGCTCAGCGAAGTACCTCGTAAGCTCATACGATAGATGGAAGCTGGATGACAGCTGATGTTCAGTACGCGGTAGAACACAGAATACCGGTCATGCGCCCCGAGTGGATTTCAGAGACGCATGCTACGTGGAAAGACGCTGGAGAGGTGGATATGATCAGCGTGAGTTGACTAGCAGACTATACTTTAGATGCAGCAAGCTGACATGGCAGAGTATGGAGGGTCGGAAGCTGCTACCGTTCACAGGCTTGACGATCTCCATTTCTGGGGTAGAGCCTAGTACGTCTCACTATCGGCCCTTATGATCCAGCTGACACCTTTAGTGGATCGCCGAAAGCAGGTCATCGCCCAGATCACCCTCAACGGCGGCACATACGCAAAAGACCTCGACAAGACCTCCACCCACCTCGTCACCGTCCAACCCACCAACATACGCAAACCATCAGAGAAAGTCAAATGGGCGGTTGGGCAATTGAAGGAACGCGAGTCCCGTCAGCGAGCTGGCAAGTCGGTCGATGATGAGGACATGAAGATTGTGTATGAGGACTGGATTTGGGATTGCGTGGGGTATGAGGGGAGATGGAAGGAGGACTGGTATGATGCGCAGAAAGTCCGGAGGACATCGAGGACGAAGTATGGTGAGTAGAACCTTCCAGCGCATGCAGGGTTGCGAGCTGACTGGCTAGACGAGGTGATGAGCGGAGAAGCCAAGCAGCGGATGCTCCAAGCGTTCGCTCGCATCGACGCAGTCATCCAGGAAGAACCGGCCGTCCTTAAAAAGCGGAAACGAGACAACATGGACCATCTCGTTGGCGATATCATCTCTACTTCGACTGGCTCGTCCTCGAAGCCGGTCAGAGCGTCAAATCAGCTCAAGTTCGCTCCGACCGGGATGGACTTCGATACGGAAGACGCCGAGGGTACTGTCGTGGCCGAGCCAAGTCGTCGACCCATTCTCGATCCAACAGACCGCCCGGGTCCCATGCGCAAAACCTCCATCCTCCACTCATCCCGTACCGGCTCATTTGCCACTCCCTCCGCCGGACCCTCCAAGCTCTCCCGCGAGGTCTTTGCCGAAAGTCCCAGCTCAGCGAGTCTACCAGCCACCCTGCCTCCTTCACGCTCAGGCGGACCGTCGCGGTTGGGGCGGACACGTCTCTTTGCCGGGATCGGCAAGTTTGTTCTGCATATCGAGGAAGATGTTGCTATTATGCAGCGCGAGATGGCGCGGCATAGCGCCACGGTTGTGTCCATGGAGGATTGGAAGAACGGCGAGAAGGTAGACTACGTTATTGTACGACTGTAAGTGCCTGCTCTGGCTACGTGCTGGGATGTTACTGATGAACAGATACTCCCTCAGCCCGCCGGACCTTTCTTTTATTCCCGAGGATGAGCGCCCACAGGTCGTGACTGAATGCTGGGTCGAGGCGTGCGCCTCCGCACAACGCATCATCCCCCTCGACTCGCATGTCTGCTTTACGCCCCTAAAGGGAGACTTTCCTATACCTGGGCTTGGGGAAACGGACGTGCACGTCGCGGGTTTCAGCGGCCCTGATCGGGTGTATCTCAAGAGGCTGGCGAGGGTAGTCGGTACGTGTCTTCCACTTGGCTCGATGAGGATCAGAGGAGCTGATAGCGAGCAGGCCTCAACGTGTCGGATAAGCTAGGCCGACACACCACACACCTCATCTCCCCAGAGCCATCCGGTCAGAAATACGAAAAGGCGACGGACTGGGGCGTACCGGTCGTACACGACAACTGGCTGCTCGCGATGGTGCGGACGTCGGCTCTGCACGATTACGAGCCGTACCGTCTTGTTGCCGGGCAGCCTGTTCCGGTATCAGAGAGGGAGACATTGGAGTGGTTGTTTGTCAAAGAGACAAGTGCGTCGACGGCGGTCAATCGCGCAGCCAGAGAAGGGACGGAGGGGGATGTCACGAAGGAGACCAGCCCTGTAGCCGGCGGAGGGGATTTCGAGATGGGCTCGTCCGCGCCTGTTGAGCCTCCCAGATCATCTCGCCTAGAAGTGAACGACATGCTCGAGACTCCAGCGGCGGTTGCTGATTCGCCCAACCCTTCGGCCTTCCGAAAGCTGAAGCTCACACCCACCCATGTCGACCCCATACCCTCCACCACATCCGATCGAGCCTCCGTATCCATCGGATCCACCTCGTTCCCCCTTTCCCCTCCCAACCAAGACACCGAGCGGCTCCTCAACCAAGCCACCACCCTCGCCAAGCCCGCCCGGCGGCTTCGATCGGATCCGGAACCGGTCTCACAGAGCAAGCGCAAAGTCCACGCGGAGAGCGTCGAGTCCAAGCTGTCGCGCAATGCCTCGGCTCCTCCCGCTCCCGACCAGCCCGCCTCTATCCCCACCGCGGACCTCACCCGCACTACATCCCTCACGGCGAAACAAGGCCTCGGCCGGCCAGAGATGAGCGAGATGCTCAAGCTCCTCGCTCAGCCCTCCGACACTTCTTCATCATCCTCCGCTACGCCTACCTCTCGCTCTACCAAGCCCCTCCGCCGCGCTCGCCCATCCGGAGCCAGCGGGGCCTCATCTCGCCTCCGCACGTCCATGGCGTACTCGCCCGCGGCTGAGCGGGACGTTTCAGAAGTAGGGGATACGACGACAGATACCAACTTCCGTTTCTCCCATTCCCCACCCCCGCAACAGTTTCAGCTGCCTGATGGAGGGTATGATGAGAGCGTGAGGATCAACTACGTAGATCCGGTGGCGGATAGGGAGAAGAGAAAGTTGTTGGAGTCGATACGGAAAGGGGCGGCCGCTGCGGAGAAGGCGAGAACTGCGGAGATGAGTGGGAGAGGAGGGGAGGAGGGGGTGCCGGATAAGGAGAAGGTCAAGAAGAGGCGGAAATGAGCGGGGTACGCGGGGTGATCGAGTACTGTGAGAAGAGGGGTGCCGTTGAGGGGTGAGCTGTAGCTGACGCGATCTGACGCGAATTTGTGGCATGCCATGTCTTGCTACGACACCTTCCGAGCTGATCAGACATCCTTGTCCCACTCTGCTACCACTGACAATCCCTCCGGACTGTTACAGGATATCGCATCTATCATCGAACCTCCATCCTCCATTCCGCCACATCCAGCAGAGACCCGGCCGAAACTGGATTATAGCGCATCACGTACAGGCTATTTATAGCAGCGCACTCTAATCAGATAACCCTAAAAGCTTCCGGACCATCCTATCCCCCTTCACAATTTCGCTATTGCCGCCTACGCCTCCTCGCTCTCGACATTAGCGCAGCGGCTTTGCACAGATATGGCGGGTATTGGGCTCGGGTAATCGGGTCCGGAGGCGTGGTGTTATCTGATTAGCGGGCGAGTGGATCTGGGATCTGGCCGGAGCGGGGATGTCTAGCTGTGAGTCTCTCTACTAGCGAGGGAGCAGGCTTCTGTTGTATCGGCCGATAGCTGAGATACTAACAGATTTGCGCTCCACCTGGAAGGTGGCGGGCATATAAGATGAAGGGTAGAGACGCGGTGATGGGAAGGCTTCGCCCTCGACTGACATCAATCATACCCATCATACATTATCGTCCAGCATGGTCGCTCTCGCCCTCGCCGCGAAAATCTGCCTCTCCCTCCTCGCGCTCACACCGGTCCAAGCCTTCGTGGGGATGGGTATCAACATGTACAACCCCTCGTGCGCATACGCCTGTCGGTCCGTCATCGCCGGCGCGTCAATCGAATGCCCCTCCTCGGCCGCCACTTCAACCTGCCAAGCCCGGTCCGGCCCTTTCCTCACTACCCTCGCCTACTGCATCAAGACTCGGTGCTACCCAGACCCCAATCCGAGCAGGGAGCAGATTGAGGCGTACTGGTCGATCGAGGCGACGGGGGACGAGGATGCGCCGCCCATGTGGGGCTGGCAGGAGGCGGTGGACAGGGTGAATGGGACACCGTCGGCCAAGTATGATCCGAAGAGCAAGATGAGGGAGACGGTGTTGCTGGATCAGAAGGACTGGTTGGCAGCCAAGCAGAAGATGGAGGCATCGGAATATCAGCAGGTGCTGTACGCTCGATACGCGTGAGTTCCTGGGTTTAGATATAGGCGCATGTGCTGATGTGCAGTCTCACCATCTTCCTCGTCGGCATCGGCACCCCCATCCTCCTCACTGCCCTCACCTACCTCCCCTATAGCCGCGTCATCTCTGACTGGGTCCGTCCCCGGCTCATCTACCCCACCCTATTCAGACGACACGTCCAGCCCGTACTCTACCTGTTCCATCTCCCCACCCTCGGCCAGTCCACCTACATCCTCCTCATCACTATCCTCACCATCACCCTTCTCCTTGTCGACTACGGGAACCTCTTCCCTTTCCGTACCTCCACCGAGGCCGATATTCTCAACTACCTCGGCATGCGTACCGGTATCATCGCTATGGCCCTCCTCCCGCTCACCATCCTCTTTGCCGGGCGCAACAACCTCCTGCTCTACCTCTCCAACTGGTCCCACTCCACCTATCTCCTCTTACACCGTTGGATCGCCCGCCTCTGCCTCTTTGTCATCATCCTCCACTCGCTCATCGAGTTTGTCCGATACACCCTTCAAGGCCGGTACGCTGCCGAGGTCGCCAAGACCTACGTCCAGTGGGGTATCGTCGGTCTGTTCGCCTGCTTCCTCGCGGTCCTTACCGCCCACTTCAGGCGTTGGGGATACGAGCTCTTCCTCATCAGCCATATTGTCCTCGTCGTCATCTTCATCGTCGGAACGTGGTATCACCTCGAGCTCAAGTTCCAGCGGGAACGGGGTTATCAGCAGTGGATATACCTCTGCTCGGCCATCTGGTTCTTTGATCGGCTGGTCAGACTGGGCAGGGTGCTCAGGACGGGACGGCGCAAGGCGGTGGTCAGCAAGATAGGGGACGAGGTGGTTAGGGTGGATATTGAGGGGGTGAGGTGGTCAGCTACTCCAGGGCAACACGCGTACCTCTTCCTCCCGGCCGTCAGGAAGTGGGCGCCATGGGAGAATCACCCATTCTCCGTCATCCCGACCCACCTCCTACAGAAGCGCTGCGCCGAGAAGGGAGAGATGGACGAGAAGAACTCGCCACAGACGTCAGCATCGGCGAGTACGGCGGATCTCGAGATCGCTCGGCAGCTCCACACCCCAGTCCTTTCCTCCATCCATACCACCCCATCCGGCGTCACCGTCTTCATCAAGCGCAACAAGGGGATCACGGCGGCCCTCCACTCGCACGCTTCCCCGGTCTTCACGGCACTCATGGACGGCCCTTACCGCAATACCTCCTCTCGTCCCGTCCTCACCTCCGATCGTCTTATCCTCTTTACAGGCGGGATCGGTATCACTGGCGTCCTGCCTTTCGTCCACGCCCATCCCAACGTCAAGCTATTCTGGTCCGTTCGTGCCGGGCAAGAGGCACTGGTCGAGGAGCTCGAGCCGACCCTCCCTGCCCATGTGGAGCGGGGTGTGCGGGTTGGTGGGCGGAACAGCATCGAGGCGGCGCTAGAAGCGGAGGTGGCGGCGGGGTGGAAGAATGTTGGGGTGGTAGTCTGTGGACCCGGGAAGATGTGCGATGAGGTACGAAACAGGGTGGCGGAGCTGGGGAGGCGGGCGGCGGTGAAGTGGGAGCTAGACGTCGAGGCTTTCTTGTGGTAGATCGGATACATGGTACAGGAAATCCCGAGGGTGACACAGCTGAATCTAAACATCTAGGGCATCAGATCTCTGGCTCTGATCTACTCAACTCTTCTCTGACATCGCTACTAACCACTGACAAGATAAGGGTCTGCGGGGAACGACTACTCAGCCCGCTCAGCACAAAGCTCCATCTGCATCCGGTCATGCCTCCGGGCTCGGGTCGACAGCCGGTTCACGCTTGCGGAGAAACGGATCCATCCACTCCCCGTTGAGCAGGGAGTATGTCTTGCGGCGCGACGACGGACGGTCACTTCAATCCAGCAGAACAGCCTTGGACCTGGTCCCGTTCTTCGCCGGGTCATGGACAACGAATCCAGCGAACGATCCGGCTTCCAGCTCCGAACCTCTTGGTCTTGTCCGGATGATCGAGTCACGAAGAAAGCCGAGGGTAGTTTTCTGCGAGATACTACTCGACGTACAGCGCACCCCTCGAGCGTCCAGGACCTTACACAGCTCGACCGCTTTTCGAAGCTGCACTATCCTGGTTTCCGCTTTCGTGCGCGGGAGATGCAATCTCTCGGCAGCAGCTGACAACACCCCGGGAATCTCTGACCATGTTGCTGTCTTCTTTGTTTTTGGTATTGACCTCAGGTCTTTTACGCCTGGGAGTGATATGGCGCTCGGGGACGCCCCGTCGAGTCGGCTAGATTCTGGCAAATGCTCGTAGGCCTGTCCGCAGCCCCTACGGGGCCGGGGGGCGCGGCGAAGAGGCAGGGTGTCCCTGAAGGCGAAGGGGATATCGACCTCCGCCAATAAGGAGTAGTGCGGTACAGTCCCTTCGCCATCCGGGCGCGTCATATGTATCGCATGTCCACGATACCGCTCCTTGTCGGTTGTAGCAACCATGAGGTTTGCCAGTTGCCTCACGTACTCGGTGGGTATGTTGGTGGTGATGACGGCCGTGGTGCGCTCAATACCCCGATCAGTCAGAAGGGTCAACATCTCTTCATGTATCTTGCGGCGGTACTTTCTCCGATCCACTGGTCTCCGTGCTAGCGACTTAGGATATGCCTTCGATTCCGTTGAAACGTGCCCCAAATCTGGCCGGGCTGGGAGCTCTCGAGCGCCGCGCAGGGACACGCGCTGTTCCAACACAGCGAGTCCCTCGTCCGAGGTACTGAGGATGGACTGATCGTCGGTATCTCCATCCCCCTCGCTATCGCCGGTCTTGGGCCAATCCGCTCCCCTTCTGCCCGACGCGGGCGAGGAATTATCCGTGGGAGCGTAATCGCCATCGACGTCGTACTCGGAATGGTCGGGCCCGCTGTCATTTGCCATGTCCCCGTCCGCAAGCTTGTTCTCGCGGTCCAAGAAGAGGTCTTCCATTAGAGAAGTGGGAGGGCTTTTTCCCTTGATAGTGTCTGCCTCCGGCACCACAGTATCAGCGTAATCAGACACCTGCTCCGATCTGAAAGGCGGTCTCGAAAAGTCCGGGATTGCGGAGCGCATCCAGGGCAGGCCGCCCTCTCTTCCAGTCAATATCCAGGGCTCCCGATCACCAGTAGCGCAACGAGTAATTTGGGCGTCATCAAAGAGCGGCGTGTAAGAGGGCATCGGGCTGACTTCTTCGGGCACCGGCAACGAGTGCAGTGGGAATGGAGCCTGAGAGGATCGATCACGATCACGATCAAGTCCAGTCGTGGGATCTTCGCACGATTGCTGATGCCAGCTCGAGAGACCATATATATCGCTGGTCCAATTCCAGCCGTCGTTGTGAAGCTCAAAATCGGACATTCGATGGTCCTGGATGGCAGGGTAGGTATGTAGATTGCAGAAGATGTGGCAGAATCGTCTTGATAATGAAGTCTAGCTGGTTCCAGCTGGGGGTATAAGTACGATGTGACGGATCTACTGTGGCACCCGTATGTACCCTAGAGAAGCACTAGCGGCCAGACAAGAAGCAGCGAGCCAGGGGGACGTACGAGTGGCGACGACAAAGGATCACCTTCTTCGAGGGTCTGGAAGAAGCACACTGGATACCTTTGTTGAGGTCACCAGAAGTACAAAGGGCAGGTGTCAGGCTCAGTGTCAGACCTACTCATGGCTGGCTGCACCGTCGCAGCGCCATCACGGTCGTGAAAATCGTCCAGCTTCGGACAATTCGCCACTCAGAGCTCAGATTCGCCACCCAGGTTTTGCCACCTACCTAGCTCTCATGTCACACGAGAGGGCCAGCTGTAGCCTGCAGACATAGATCACAATGTATGGAGTTTGTTGCAGCACTGATGGTACTAACAGATTTGTTACCTCCTGGCCTTCTCCTTGTCCCCCCATTTTCTTGATGAGAGGGCAAGTAGCTGTAGGAATATTAGGCTAGGACAGCGCAGAGCCTACGTTGTGTCACCCTTCCGCATTGTCCTCCACCCACGATTCCTCCAGGAATGGTTGCATCCACCCCGCACCGAGCAGGGAATAGGTGGCCCTGCCCGATGCAGGAACGTTTCTCCAGTCACTGTCCAGCAGAACTGCCTTAGAGGCCTTCTTTCTGCTTGCCCGGTCATCGATGACGAATCCAGCGAATGACCCTGAATGACCCTGCTCCGGGTCCGGGGGCTGTCGGCTTCGTTTGGTCGACCGTACTCTGGAGAAAGCTCAGTGTTATCACACGCGAGAGACTTCTAGACGTGGAACGTATTCCTCGTAACTCAAGAATATTGCACAGCTTTGCTAATTTTCGGAGATGGCGGTTTCTCTCTTTCTGCCTTTGACTCTGGGGACTGGGCCAAGGGCCGGCTCTCTTTCCGCCTTTGACTTTTGGCCAAAGGCCGGGGCGGCTGCTTTGGAACAGATGAGACCCCAGGTACCTCTGCCCAAGTGGCTGTCTCGTTCCTCGCCTCTACCTGGGTAACATGATAGGCGGCTGAGGGTGCGATCCCGATCGAGTGCACGTCGTTGAACCCGCTAGATATTGTAAACGGCTGGTATGCCGATCCGGGCCCTCTACGACGACGGCGGAGAGGCTGAGTGTCCTTGAATGCGCTGGGAATATCTCTTTCAGGCAGTAAAGAGTAGTGCGGTATGGAGTCTTCGCCACCAGCGCGCGTCATGTGTATGGCGTGTCCACGATACCGCTCTTCGTCAGTGGTGGCAATCATGAGGTTTGCCAATTGCCTGACGTACTCTGCGGGTATGTTGGTGGTGTTGACGGCTTTGGTGCGCACGATATCCCGATCCGTCAGAAGTGTCAGCATTTCTTCTCTGTTGCGACGGTATCTTATGATTGCCAGGAGGAACTTGGCCAAGTATGAGTACGAAGTGAAGGCTCCTCTATGACACCTGTACATGATCTCGAGAAGCAAGATTCACGCAATCTGTCAGGGGACATCAAGGCAAGCTTTGCGGCAAAGGATCGCCTACTGAGGTCGGGCTGGAAGAAGCACACTCGATGCCTTTGCCGTGCTTCTCAGGAACACAGCGGGCGGGGGTGTCATGGAGGTAAGTGGCAGACAATCCATATCATAGTGATCCGGCCTCTTGAGGTGGCATCGGGTCTCCTCGTCTGTCATACCGGGAGCAGCATATTGTGTGCATCCTGATCATCACATGCATTGACCAACTCCGAGGAGACAACTGCTAGCTAGCCATGCGGTAAGCAGCCGATTGTCGCTCATTCATGTTCCCGCCACCCCCGTGCGCTTCGAGCACGCTTCCAGAATTGACCTCACCCACGGCGCTGCTAATAGGGAATATGTCGGCCGACGCGACGGAGCGTCCCTGCTCCAGTCCAATAACACGGCCTTCGGTGGGTCCTTCTTCTTCGCCTGATCATCGATGACGAATCCAGACCACGAGCCTCCTCCCGCCTCATTGGACCCTGGTCTCGTCTGATCAATCAGATTCTCCAAAAAGCCCAGCTGTAATTTCACCGTCACGCGACTCTCCATTGACGTGCAGCGTATGCCGCGAGCTTCCAGGATCTTGAAAGCCTCGACTACCTTCCGTAGATGACGATTTCTCTTCTCCTTATGAGTGAGGGGTGGAGGCTTCCCCTCGGAGGCGTATCGTCTTGACTCGCGAGATTCTCGGGATGACGATGTCTCGCCTGTACTTCTTGTATACACGTACGCTTTCCTATGGGTACCATGGAAGCTCAGTGTCCGGCGGAAGTCTCTGGGGACGCTGGTTTTATCCAGGAGAGAGTACTGCGGTGTTTCGGACTCATCTCTCGCGAGCGTCCTGTGAATGACGTGCCCACGATATCGATTTTCGTCAGTGGCGGAGGCCACGCGTTTCACCAGCTCCCTCAGATAGGCAATCGGTATGAGGTCATTATGTATGGCCCTTGTACGCCTTATACCCCGGTCAATCAGGACATCCAGTAGTGCCCTGTATCTGCGCTCATGATTGTTTAGCAGCGTTTTATGCCCTCCGCCGCGCTGGCTCACTGATACCGGCCGTGAGCCATCCTTCGATATTGTGGAGTCTGCGAGACCGGAGGAGCGTCTTGTCCGGGGTGTCTTCTTGTGTTTGAGTTCGTGCGGGGCGCACGACGGCGCGGAACGATCAGGCCGAGGTTTGTCGATGTACTCGTCGTCTGAAGAAGCAAGATCGTACTCGCCGTCGATACACTCGCCGCCCTCGCTATCGGTATCCATGCCCCAGTCAGAATACTCGTCCTCAGTATCTGGGCAAGGCGAGGCGCCCTTCTCAAGCTTGATAGAGCCCTTGCCCTTGGCCGTGCCGGCTTCCTGCCTCTTTCCTTGGTCTGTAGGCTCGTCGCTCTCGCTTTCCTCCTTCATGTCCCAATCAGAGTCCCCATCGCCGAGAGCTGAGCCCGGAGATACGTGCGCCCTGACAGTATCGGTCTCCTGCACCTCTGTATCAGCATCATTAGAAGCCTGCTCCGGAGCCGATCCAAAAGGCGGCCTCGAGAAGTCTGGAATGGGAGACCGCATCCATGGCAATGCAGCCTCCGTTCCCTCTAGGATCCAGGGATCTCTCATGTCGAGTACGGGCTGATCGTTGTGGGAGTCGCCCATATCTGTGGGTCGAGCGGCCGAGCCAATACTGTGCGCTGGTAAGTAGAACGGCGGGTGTGCGAAGCGACCATAACGATCACGTCGCGGCGCTAGTCCACTGTCTTGCAGTTGCGGCTGGTTGGTGGCGAAGCCATGCGGCACGTCTGTGGTGCACGGCAAGTTGGAGGTGCTGTAGTCGTATCGCGACATGATCCGGTCTTGAATGATATAGTGGCGAGGTGAGGGTTGTGTCAGGATAAGTGTAGGACGTCCTCATGTAGAGTATTAAGGAGTATCGGTAACTGCCAATGGCCCCTTCTTAGGGCGTCTGCCCGCCGCGAGAAGCGCGAAGTATCCAGATTAGAAGCGTCAAGCCGAGCATGACCTCAAAGGATGAGCAACCTTATCGCGATCACAGGGGAAGCTGACCTCATCTTAGATCTGACGATCGGGACAAAGGGAGCCGATGGAGGGTATCCAGCCTGGACGTCTTTCGCAATTGTGATCATGGCTCTGATCGTTGAGAGGGGGAGGAGAGACGTACGCGAGTACCCGGCTATCTCAACTCCTCATTCCTCAGTCGCGGGATCAGATTAAGCGGGTCCCGTCTATCCGCCCGTTCGGATTTATCGGTGCCGTGATCCGATCATCGGGTCTCCGCCGATGACTCTAGGTTTTGGTGCGGCAAGTCGTCCGCCGCCAGCCAGCCAGCCAACCATCGTCTACACAACTCACACCTATCATCTAACATCTCCACGCCCACTGTCCCAGCATCACATACGCTAGCAATTCGCTCCATACATCAGCCTTGGAAACGTACATCACACCTGTCGATCGAAGCCATCGCTACCAAGTCTCACGAGAAACACAACCAGTCCGAGGTGAGTTGCAGATGTCCGCCTGAGACATCCGGCTAGGCAGTGCGTCATGGCGCTCTGCGCTGCTGTTAAAGTCATTAGGAGGCTGGCACCCAGCGCACGTGTGCTCCAAGAGTCCTTGAGCACAAAGGACCTTGCTGATCGCGTTACAGCTCCCCGTGCACGCATCAATCAAAACCCCTTCGATCTCCCTTACTACATCTCACTCTGCTCGATATGTCGCCCCAACCTATACAGACCAGCTCGTCCGCGGACTCCTCCCCTATCCTCACTCCTTCCGGCACGCCCCCCTCTTTCCTAGGCCATAACCTCGACGGCAAGCTTCAGCACTTCCTCGCAGCTTTTGAGGGATCGAGCGGGGCGATCGGGCGGGGGAGGCAGGCGGATGAGCAGGCTGTGAGGCGGAAGAGCGAAAGTAGTGGTGCTGGGCCAAGTCGAGGTGAGTCTCAAGACATACAGACCTGCGACGCTACTGGGGAAACGATTGGCTGATCCCGTTAGGTCCTTATCCCGAATACACACCCCGCCCTGTCCTTCCCTTCTTCTCTGGTCTTTCCCTCTCCCGCCCACAACCTGCCTTCCAGTCCATCACACACCTTTCTACGGGCATGGCCAAAACTACCAGCACGAGCGGCTCGAATGATACCCCGGCTTCTACCGGTCGACTCGACCCAAAACGCGCCGCTACATTACCTGCTGGCGTCGAGGCTCTTTGCGCTGAAAAACGGCATTATGACCCTTCGCGCGAGCCCAAGTTGCTGCACTTCATGTAGCCGCTGGAGAAGGCGGTGGCGGGACGATCTGACGAAGGGTGGGAAGGGCACGCGAGGGACTGCTGTTACTCCAGCTGGAGTGTATGAGCCTTGAGACCTGTGTAGATTTGTATATAACCAGAGACCACTTAGAGTTCCGCACTGTATCTATATCATTCTGAGCATGGATACCTTCTCTTCCTGCTGATCGTCGAGGCATTATCAATGACATACATATCTAGATCTCCCACCAGGTGGCCAGACGCGTAACTTTGCCGCTATATACAACTAAGATCGACTCCGAGGAATCGTCACGAGAGGATCTACCGGGTCAGTCCTCCACCTCGCACCAAGCCCAAACCAACTTACAGCCAGAAGGATGACCAGAATGACCACAATCAAGATCAACAACAGACACACCATCCGTCTCCCGGCTTTCCGCTGATACTCGTGCGCCGTCGTGAGCTCCTCCGCAGCTGATGAGGTATTTTGTGCGACGGAAGTGATGTTGCTCTCGATATTATCTGCTGATCAGCCACCTTTCCACGACCAGAACGCCAGGTCTGAGCTCACCTATGAGCCCGCCCTGCTCTGATACGATCGTACCCAGATCTCGGAAGATATCGTTCAGCTCGTGGATACCGCTTTCTATATCCCGGATCTCGGCTTCTCGCTCCGCTATCAGCGTCTCCTGGAAGTCCAGCTCCTGCGCTGTGACCCTAAATGTCAGCAATGTCAATCATGTCTGCTGCCTCTGAGATACGACTCACCCCGGCGCCTGAGCCTGGATCTGCGTCTGCTGCTGCACCCTCTCCAGCTCCACACTCCCTCTTTCCTCCATGACACCCCCACTGCCTTCTGCCTCTTCCACCATCTGATCCACCCTCCGCTTCTGCACCTCGACATTGCTCCGCTGTTTCTCCGCAGACAGTCGCTGGACCCGCTGAAACGCCGTAATGGCGGTCGTGAAATCTCGGGACAGCTTGGTCTGGATTGGTTTCCGTGAAGCCTTACTAATCAGCTCATGTCTCTTCGTCTGATATGACACGCACATGTGGTCCACCCGCTGGGAAAGCCGCTAGCTTCTTTACCTCCTCTGTGGACTTCTTGACCATGTCCCTCGTCGCATCCGTCAGATTGTGCCTGGTCATGAGCCGTGCTCCGCTCTTGAGCGGCAGGGGACACGTACAAGCTGCTCCGCAAGTTTGGCCCATCAGCTGCTCCACCCAGCTTCTCTACCAGCCGCTGGATCCCCTGGACATTGCTCTGGATCTTGAAGATCTGTATGGAGCAGGTGTCTTTCAAAGAGGTGAACGTGCGGTCCTCATCTGAGTTCGTGAGCTATGGCTTCCGGAGACGCGTTGGAGTCAAGTGGCGCACCTGGACGTCCGCCCCGGAGCAGCGGTTGGGATGATTCGCCCCGTTCCAGATCGTTGAAGGACATGCTGATAGTAAGGGTGAGTATGTGAGCCGCTGGGAAGAGGTAGAAACGTAAAGTCAATGGAGCTGCTCTGGCTGGGCGGCGATGACACGAGCCAAGGGGTGCCTGAGCGGAATTACCCCTTTGGGAAATTTGAAGCAGTCCCAGGCTGCCTCTGCTCAAACCCGGGGGCCTTCTCTACCATATCAGACCCTATACTGTAGTAGAAGAATGACAGCACCGAAGCTGTGAGATCGGCCTTCCTCCTGCTTAGCTCACGCTGACCTCCAGCGAGCCGCGAATCACCGCCCACTCGACCTGCCTCATCGCGCAAGATACTGACCTGCGCGGAGAAATCACCCTCAGTCAAGGCTGCATCGTCCATCCGCGCGCTACCATCATCGCCGCGTCTGGACCTATCATCATGGATGCGGGCTGTGTGGTGGAGGAGAACGCGGTGATCTTGAATCGGAGGAAAGAGGTCATGCGGATTGGGAAGGGGAATCAGTTCATGGTTGGCTGTCGTACGTCCCCTTCAACCGCCAGCATTGTGCACCCCACAGTGAGAGCTAAGTATGTAGGAGTCGAGGCAGCATCTATCGGCAACCACATTACCTTCAAGCCCAAAAGCAAAGTCTCGTCTCAAATCGCTGTCTCCGATTACTGCACCTTCGGGCCCGGGACAGTCACCCTCGCGTCGGATCCGGAAAGCACGGCGCTGGAGACGCTGGAACCGTATACGGTGGTATATGGCTCGCTAAGTGAGCGGAGGAAGTGGGATGGGAGTGCGGGGGAGACGGAACGGGCGGTGAAGGATAAGGAGAGGGAGTATTTGAGGGAGATCATGCCAAAGTGAGCCCGAGCCCGAGGGACCCGAAGGGTTTTAGCTCATCTGCAGGTATAATCGAATGCGCGTCATATGAGCAGTCACAGCACTCGACCGCCGACTCCCATAGAAAGGTCGATAAGCCGCTTCGGGCCACGGAGAAGGCTTCTCGCCCACCTCGGATCTATCTCGATCTCTCCTACCCACGGCTCTCCTTCGGCCCACGCATCGGCTCGTCGCACTCGAGCTGGTCTCACATATCCTCAAGGCGATCAGAAGGTGGACCGCAGCATTGAAGCTAGCTGTACAGCAATCTAGCACGCAGCATGACGGGCACTTCGGAGGTGATGTATTATTGGGCATGCCGCTGTTGATTACGTTGATCGCTAAGCTCGTCCTCGCTACTGATTTCGTGTGGTTCATGTCGCAGAGCCTGCTCATCTCCGTCTCTGACAGGCAGGGTTTCTGATAATCTGGATACCAGTGTAATGGCTAGACGATAAGGGCGCTTGACCTATAGCACGCATACGCCAATCGTGTCCGAGCTGGATATCGAAGCGTGCGGTCATGTTCACAGTCGTCCTTTGGACGCACTGTCCCAGGGTAAGGCGGCCCGACCTGTTCCGCGTCAGGTCCAGGCTCAACATGTAGCCTTGAGCAGGAGCCAGTCCCGGTTCCTCTGATCGTGTGTCAGCTGATTTGAGGAATGTGGTGTTGCACTACATTCGCCACCCGAGATATTACGGCATGCTGAGACCGCACATACTGCTCGCACCCTGCGTCAGACTTTCTCCTGCAGACACTGCTCACAACCCTGGAATGTCTGCAGCTACTGTATGAATGGATCATCTGCTCCGAGCGCTTCGTTAGATCGAAGTGGCCCGACAGTCGCCCCAGCGATTCTGAGAGCGAAGCGCCACTGCCACTCTCCGCCTTCCCCCTCTCTCCCCTCTCGTTGCTACTCCTTCACCCAGCTGGATACGACAACACAAGTGCCTCCTACTGGACACACGACATCTCGAGGCGTACAACAGACCTCTTATCTTGATATGAATCGAAAGCATGCATCTATAGTGATTATACGCGACACGTTCCACCTACGTCAACTCCGCGCTAGCAACGACCCCTGGAGCCTAGAGACTCCCGCTGCTCCTCTCCTCCCTGACATGGGCGATCTTGGACCCGCCCACAAAGTCGGACTGATCCTCGTTCGACAGATCCTCCAGGGACATACCCTTTGTCTCGGGAATGAGGAGGGTGGCGAAAAATCCGAGTAACATGAAGAGGGCGAAGACTGGGGGAATCAGCGAGGTGCTTTCTGAGTGGAAAATGAGCACGTACTCTCGAGTATATGTCCGATAAACGCGTTCGTACCACCTATGTCCTTGAGCTGGACAGTGTTAGCAATGCACAGACGAAGGTAGGATCGTGGAGGGAACTTACCCGAGAAAAGCCGACTTGAGCGACGATAGCACCGAGCTTTCCCGAGGCGGCGGAAATGCCGTGTGCGGTGGACCTATAGCGGGTAGGGAAGACCTCTCCGGGAACAATGAAGGTGGTAGTGTTGGGTCCCTGACATGTCAGCTAGGCCACTCACCAAAAGTTTAGTTGAACGGGTAGTGAATCCAAAAAACTCACGAAATTCTGGAAGAAGTTGGCCAAGCAGTACAGGAAGACGAATGCCTTCTTGCCCTCGTTGGAAGCGATCAGCTTCTCGTAGCCGAAGCCTGCACATTAGCTGCTGTCTTGACCTAAGCTTTCCCGACCATAAACTCACCCATGCAGATGAAGATGGCAGTAAGCACGGCAAAACCCATGAGCTGGATAGGCTTGCGTCCCCACTTGTCGACGAGGAGCATCGTGGCGTAGTAGCCCGGGATGAGACCGCCGACGGCAAGGATGATGTTGCCGACGGAGGAGTTGTAGATTGACTGGTAGATGTTGGTCTGGACGTCGGCGCCGGTGGTGTAGTTTCCGAAGCCGATGGTGGTGAGGATGGTGGAAGAGTTCAGACCGAGACCGTAGAAAGCGACCTGGAAGTCAGCGTGGCTGATGATGGGGCACAAGGAAACTCACGTCAAGGGCGAACCAGGAGAAAGCGGTCCCGAACAGCACCTTCCCATTCTTCCACTGCCCAAAGTGGTGGCAAAAGTCCTTCCAGCTAGCCTTGGGCATCTCCGCGCGCTCGACGACCGCTGCGTCCGGGTCCTTGTTGAAAGTCCCGGTGGCGAGGTACTGGTTGGCATCGTTGGCGCCCTGAGTGATGTTGCGCTCCACATCCATAGTGTACCGCGGGGTCTCGGGAATGGTCAGACGGAAGTAGAGGGCGATGACGGCGGGGACCATACCCATCCCGATGACGATCCGCCAGAATTGGTCGACCGAGACGTAGTAGGCTGGGTTGTCGGCCAGGACCGAGTTCTTGAGGGCGACAATGGCAATGAGAGCGACGATACCGGCGGCCAAGTTTCCCCAGCCCTGGGCACCTGTACTCCGTCGGCAAGGTATAGTAGGCAGGATATCACGATTGGACTCACTGAAGACGGCAGCCATCATGCGACCCCGGATACGCTTTGCCGCAAACTCGGAGGTGATGACCGCAGACAAGGGATAGTCTCCGCCAATTCCCACACCCATGACGAACCGCCACATGATGATGACACCGTAGATGGAAACACCGGGAGCGGCGCCAGCGACGGCGACACCAAGAGTACCGATGATGATGATGATCTATATGTCAGCTGAGGCCCCAAGCTACTATGAGTATGAGGACTCACGAGTTCAATACCGTACATTCTCTTGCGACCGATCCGGTCCGCCAAGTAACCAAAGCAGAGCTGACCGAAGAGGGTACCGACCGAGTGAGCTACCTTGATACCGAGGTCTTGGTTGGCTGTGCTAGCGCCACCGACAGTACCGTTGGCGCCGGTAGGTGCGTGGTAGACATAGCCTAGATCGTGAGCTTGACCACCATAGTCAACAAGGGGGAAGATGTACCGATTGCCAGGGCAGCGATGTTGATCTGAGCCGTCAGCTAAGGTCTCACAAATCACTCGACCGTCCACAGCGACTGACCGAGAAAATGTCGTATGCGTCAGTGAAGAAGCCGACTCCGGCGACGAGGCAGACCTTGACCTGCCTCCAACCGAAGGGAGCATCGTCGATCTCGGCGAGGGCGGCCCGTCTGCGCTCGCCGGCAGTGTTGACCATCTGGTTGTTGTCGAGCTCCTTGGAGCCGTGCATCTGATCGATCTCAGACATGGTGAGAGATTGCGAGGTGCTGGTCAGGAAGAGTCAGAGGGAATGAAGAGGAGCGAGAGGGGGATGAGTAGGAGCAGCATCCGAGTCGCCATCTCTCTTCACCTTATACCCAAAGCGTGAGGCCTCCTCCATGACTTCTACTCGTCCATCTCACGCACGTTTGTGAGCAGCTACATGAACGCTCGTGTGTAGCCCTGTAGCGGCACGAGCTCTATTCGAAGCGGTGTACCAAAGTGCCTGAACGTATATGGAAGACGAGCGAGATGGATGATCCCGAAATACGCTGGTCGAGATTCAAAATAGACTTGGATTTCGGAATGACGATGCTCCACCCCTTCTTATCCGCGACGTGTGCCTTCTATACGAGCCGAACGGCTTCGAGCTGCTGCTGCACGCGCATCGGAGCGCACGTTCGTTCCAGAGGACCGGTAACTTGATCCTCAACAACTCAAGCTGAGTCAAGCTTCTACAAGAAAGCGTTTGTTGAGCGGCGAGCGTATCGATACGGCCGGTCGGCGGCATCCCCTTTGCCTCTCCCCCGATCCGAAGAACCGCTCCCTCGGACTGCTCGCCTGTCCGAGGGTCGGACATCCCTTGATCCGATACACTGCACTCACCATTCCTGGCTGCTGCTCGCTTTGTCCTCGAAATGCATTCTTGCTCGAGATCTGCTCAAAGGCACCCTCGTTTCGTCGTCCACCCTGCGACAAAGGAGCTGAACGAGGGTCGCGTGCTACCTGTGAGTAGAAAGAGGCAGGTCGGCGCTTTTGGCGATGTCTGACGCGATTGCTCACTCCTTTGTCGGCAAGGCATAGCACGGTAAGGTGAGGGTACATCTGGCAGAATGGATCTCCTGGCTGTCTGGCTATACTTTTCTGCTCACTCGATTCCCTGACGAGATATCTCACATCCGACTAAGAGCCCGCCCCGCAAGTACAGATGAGCCAGAGCAGCCTATCATAAGGCACCGCGGGGTAGCAGAGAGCAGGACTTGCTGCTTGCTTTGAACGAGTTCTACACCCATAGGAGAGACTTGGTTCCCGCTCCCCTGTAGCACGCGACAATGGAGGCCGAACCAATCAACCCCCTACCTCACCCCAGAATTGTGACTGTCACCTTGCCCGCCACGCCCTCCGCCCCGACTGCCCCATACAGCCACCCACCCTCCCCCGGCAACTCAATCAGACACTCTCTCCATTCGCCTGGCTCCCCGTCGAACGACCACTCCCCCTCCGCGCAGGCTCGGCATCAGCTTACTCGCCCCCTCTCCCCCGACTTGCCCACTCGCGATGCGCTCTACCTCTTCTGCAACTTTTCGAGCTATATGCGGAGCCCGCAGGAGGGGGCAGATGGGATCAAGGACAACACGGATTTCCATGATACCATCCGATTACTGGATTTCGCTAGGGTAAGTGAGCCCTAAGCGTCAAGCGTCGGAGCTGACCTGCTCAGATGATGAGCTCCAATCCGCACTCGAACGTCCACATACTTCACATGAAGTACCGCTTCCAAACGCCCGACCAAGGTTTGCCTGCTACTCGGCAGGAGAAACTGAGCGCACTGAATCATACGGACGATCGAGGGCGGCGAAACATGACGGTCCCGCAACCCTTCTCTACGCTCCATGATGCTGTCATCAAGGTGGACTATCGTGAGTGCTGATTTCCGCCAAAAGTATTGGACTGCAAGCTGATACTTGCAGAGGACAATGGCGTCTTTCACCCACTTCCAGCCCAAGCGGTCTTCCAGCACATCTCCAAGATGTGTCAACCGCCGCCTCGAATCATCGTGATCTCATATGTAGGGTCGAAGGCTACAGAGTGAGTATTATACTATGTGACTATACCCGGCTGATCCACAGAAATCACACATCCTCCATAGCTGACTGGGCAACCACCTCGACTCCCCCTATCTACGTCTTTTCCCCACTCGAGACCCGGCTCCGAGAACGCCGCTCCCTCTCGAAAGCCCTACATCACGCGATCTCTATATCGATGTACGCCTGGCCTGTCGGGGCATCCCACGCTTCCACTCCAGCTGCTAGCACCGACCCTGCTGCCCCCCACCGCTCCCATTCCACCAACAACCCCACATACTCCAGCTCCTCTTCCATGACAACTCCTGCCAAGTACTCCCCCGGCATTCGACGAGCCAGTGTCGACTCCCGCCCGCTCGCATCACCCAGTATGAGCCGACAAGCAGAGTACAGCCCGCGCACCTACCCCTCCGACCCGGTCGCCACGCTCAGCATCCTCACTGATGCGCATCGCTCCCCCTCCCATTCCCTCGCCGGCCCCGAAGCGCCCGGCGATCGCGTTCCACTCTGGATGCTCGCTCCTGGCGCGAGCGTCCTGCATGGGTCGACGGCAGCTTCACTAGGCGTCAAGCTGTCGGACTTTTCGGCGGTGAATCTAGAGCGGAGCATAGAGAGCGGGGACAAGGGTTCGACGCCGCAGAATCAGACGATCGATTCGAGGGTGCTGGGCATACGGATCCCGCCAGAGAAGAAGGACAAGGAGAAGGAGGTGAGGGAGACGATGCGCACTCCATCGGTCTCGCGCCCGCCTCTGGATGCGCACAAGCGGAGATCGATGAGTGCAACGCCTGAACCCATCTCTCGGACTGGGTCGGCAGCTTCGATCCGTATCACCAATCCCAACGGGAACAAGCTGGAGCTGGTCCAGGGCCTCGAAACCATCAAACAGGTCAAGGCTTTCCCCACCGAACACCTTACACCGCCAGACCAGGATCCCCGACGGCTTTCCCCGCCCGACCGTCAGCCCGCAGCGCCCCTCCCGCTCAGCCAGCAGTCTTGGCCGCGGACAAAGTCTTGGCCGACAACGAGGGAGAAGGTACCGGGGTGGAGAAGGGGGCGGCGAGAGGTCATGGAGGATGCGCTGGACGAAGTTGGGAGGGAGGACGAGATGAGCGTTGATAGCGCGGGCAATTTGACCTTGCAGATGGAGTATATGGGAGTGGATGGACCCAGAGAAGTGGAGAAGGGGGGATCGTCGTCGATCGAAGACATGATAGCGGGAGCGTTGAGGGACGATAGATGAGTGAAGAGCAGATATGAGTAGATGCATACAATAGAAGCTATACCTACCAAAATGTGCGGCATCAATAGGATGGGATCTCCCTCAATGCCGATGCTGATCCCGCCGGGACGTCTCGCGAGACCTCTGCGAACTGCCGCCAAAAGGTGTCCGAGACTGGACTTTTGGACTCGAGCTATACCATCAGTATCTTTCCTTATCAAGGAAGGCTGTGCTCACCTCGGTGTGAACATTCGGCTTGGACCAAACGACATTCGGCTCAAAGCTCTTGACAGTCCTCAGTACCACCCCATCCCCCTTGTCCACCTCCCCAACCTCGCACTCCTCATCCAGCAATAGCAGGAACCGGTGCGGTCTGCCTTCAACCTCATACGTGATCTCCGAGGGCGGCGGGCGCATGGGGAACTTCTCCCCTCTCTCGATCTTGTGGAGGTAGCGGAAGAACTCGCGTACGCCCGAGAGACTGAAGGCGAGGTGTTGGACCGGGATTTGCGCGATGGACCGGGCTGCAAAGTGGACATCGATGGGACGGTCAGGGAGGCGGAGATTGGCAGTGGAGAGGGTGTGGATGTCTGCGGTGATGGGGTTCTTGAGTTCGTAGGGTATGTCACCCTCTAGGGGTGTCTGGTCGAGCGCCATCTCCGAATCGAGATCGGCTTGGATGTCGGCGTCCTCCTTGACGTGGATCCGCTCCCGGCTCTGCTCTTCTCCTTCCGTCTCCGTCTGGTCATCCGCATCGTCCTCCACGTCCGCCTCGGCCTTGTCCATCATCGCGTTGAGCTCATCCATCCATGCTTTCTGCGAATCCAATTCATCCTTCATTGCTGCGTCCGGCTTGGCCGGGTATTGCCAGGTGAATACGAGATGCCGGTTCATCGCCACCTCGGTGCCCGAGTCGATACACCGGTAGCGTAATCGCCGTATGCGCTTGGTTGTGGTCTCGATAGGATAGTGGATCATTGCGGGTGGGGCGTTCGGAAGGAATTGTACGAATTGGGAGTTGGGGAGGGAGGGATGACGATTGAAAGTTGACGAGCCTGGTGTACCAGAGTACAGAGCGACGGTGAGAGGATCTCGAACACGCGTGACAAGGTGTCCGAAGCTATCTCGTCAGCTGCAGTGCATGCTACAGTGATCAAGCTACTCACGTGAGCAGGACAGATGACTCCGCCGCTGGATTTGCATCCCTCTCTACACTCTCCGTGCTGTTGCGTACCACCTCGCCCAGCGACCCCAACTCCACCGCATCTTCCGCCTTCAGCCACACCTTGGTCTCCTGTAGCTTCTCCTCGCGATGTATCTCACCGGACCTGTGCGATTTCGCATCCCACACTACTGTCCTCCGTAATCGAGCCAGATGCCACCCCTCGATGTTGGACGAGATGTGCCATGGAAGCTGGTCCCGAGGTGAAGTCTGGAATGGGCTCAGCGTCAACAGGCCCTTGCCTGAGGTGGAGCCGTCGGCGAAAGGTGCTTGACCCGGGAGTATTGTGGCGTTGATGTGAGCAGATGGGAGGGGGTTGACCTGCTCAATCAGACATGGCCTCGGCATTCCTGGTGGCCGAGATTGGACCCACTCGTGAAGCAGCCTGAGCGAGTAGGCGGAACACCCTCTTGTTTGTTGCGGGGTGCGCACTTGTCAGCCGTATCTACAAGGTCAGCTACATGCGGCTGGTCTCAAGCCGTAATACTCACTGTGTGTTTCCCAGTCATCTCGATGTGACAGCCGTAGGCGCTCGGGATGGCCCGCATAAGCGTACTGGAGGGGTGATAGCCGCCGAGCTCGCTGGTATCGAAGGTCTGGGTATGTTTGATCTATCTCGTCAGCGGAGAATCACAACGTGCTTACAGCTCGGCGCGATCTCAGAATCCCAGCCAAGTAATCAAGACTCTTCTCGTCCCCCGTCGCTCGTAGTATCGTCCAACGTGGTCCGGACATCTCTCCCTTATTCTGCTTCGTGTTGTTGGGATGCTCCACGAGGGTGAATGAGAGGGGATTTCGTTTCCGCAGCAGAGGTGAAAGAACTCCCTCTTCCTTTAGCAGAAGAAAGAGGTCTGACTCCTCCATATGAAAATCTGCACTAATCAGCTCAGTTCCCAAGAACAGGAAATGGACTAACCTCGATTCGCAGCAGGTCCATCTCCACCAAGATAGACTGGGGGATCCCACCCGAATTCCGACAAGATCTTCGGGATCATCTTCCGCTTCGCCGACCTGGCCTTCATCGTTATCCCCATCTGCTTCACCATCGGCGCCAGCTGATCCCTGATAAACGCATCATCGATGCTCTGATACACCTCCTGGTAGCTCCTAGCGTACGCTGGCTCATCCCTGGCGTATCGGGGAGGAGCTGGCTTCCGCTCGAGGAGGTCTGCCAGCGTCGGCTCATCCTTGGAGAGCAGTCTAATCGGTGTTTTGAGTGCAGAGGGAGAGTTGGTGATTTGTCCGTGGTCGATCACCGTTTCCGGCGGTGCCGCGGCTTTGAGTGCCTTGGCGAAGGCTTCAGCCTTGCGGACCGCCGCCTGGCGTGCCATCCCCCTCAGCGATGTTGGCAGCTTGCCCCGCTGGTAGCTTGCGGTCTGAGTGGTGGCATGTAGATCGCCAGTGTCGCTGATTGGTAGCCGGGGGCTGTAAGCCGGGCGCCGCGTATTTGTTTGTGGCGGGGTGGGTGGAGGCTTAGGGCGAGAAGGACCAGCTTCAGCAGAGGATGACGCTTCTCCCTCCGGCGCGGGCTTGAGCGCGGCGGCAGCATATTGCCTAACTGCCCGGACACCGATGGCGGCTGCTCGAGAGCTGGTTGGTAGGATGGTGGACATGGTGATCAAGGTGATAAGGCTCAAGACTGAAAGTAAATCTGATCTGCACACGATCTGCTCGGAAATTCACGCCGTACCGTGCCTGACTGGATATCGGAGATCCAGACTACTCCGTTCTTTGCCACCCAGGACCGTGCGTCTAGATTGTGCGCCGCAGTACTAGTTGCGGGGTGGGGAGGTCCACGTCCAGTACTGTGGCATGGCGTGTTTCTTCGCCATACCCCTAAGGATGTGAAGAAGAGACAGATAGAGGCAGCATGGTTCAAGAAATATCATACATACCACGATCGCGTCCTTGGCCGGCCTGATCGCATATCCTTTGCACCCATCTTAGATACTTGGGCGCCGAGCTATACTGGCCAAGAGTCCCCCCTGATCGCAGTAAAGGTGGTCGTTATCGCAGGTAGATCGGCCTACATCTCAGCCGGATTTACGATAGTTGATGACAGAAACATACCGGGTCCATTTGCCACAGCATCACACCGCCCGTCCACTGCTTCGCCTTGGCTGCTTTGACACAGCTCCCCAGGGTAGCAAAATCCATGAGACTTACGGTTAGCATTCACCAAGTCAAGGAAGCCAAGTACACTCACCCTGATGAGATCTGATATTTGGCAGACATCGGCTTCCCGACAACAAGCTTGTCAAGAGAAATTCCACCTTTGGTGTGTATCTCAAACACGGCCGACCCCGCTCCCCAGTCTGTGGCGGCGTTAAATAAGCTCTATGACTGTCAGCGCTCTCTCATTGTGTGTCAGGCTCCAGAAGAGCGAAAGGAGCTCACGTCGCACGTGTCATAGCGATTTTTGTCTTGCTGGTTGTAGAATTGTATGTTGTACCAGTCGATTCCTTCTCCTACCGCTTTGTCGACGGTAAGATAGCCCCCTCCGGGCCAACTTGGTGATGTAGTAAACCACGGCGCGACAGGAGCATGGGAGATCAGGTACGACCTTGGGAGGAGCGAGCGAAGTGTCTTGTGGAAGCCTGGTCTCGTGAGCACGGCTCGCCGTCGATGGAGCTGATGAGTCGCGAGACTGAGCGCTCTTTTGTGCGACACTTCAAGAACTCACTGATCACCCAAGCTTCCGCGGTTCCCAGTGAAAATGCCCTGAGCTCTTCATAGTTGACGTCGACTCCGTCGAGTTCGTACTCCTTGACGTACGCAGCGATATCCGTCGCGGTCTTGACAGGATCAGTGACCCTGGTTACGGGGGCCTCTGAGAAACGCGGTCAGCTGAGTGTCCTGTCCGAGTCGTGCCCATCGGCTCACCAGTATCTCCTCCATAAGCCATCATCAAAGCGATGCCGGCGGCGTGATACTCATCTAAAATCTTCCTCCGCTTCTCGCGGGGATACTCTTTCCATACCAGCAGATTATCAAAAGCACCGCCATTTTCAGTCACCCAAAAGCACAAGATGAAACGGTTGACTCCCTTCAGCTGCGCGGCCGAGGGAAATATTTTCGAATCTTTGGGCAAAGATGACACTGTCTGCATTAGCGCAGACTGAAGCGAAGAAGCGTTCAAAGCGGGAGTCAAGCTCACAGTCGGTGTACATGACCCAGTGCGGCGCCTTGTAGTTTCCAGTAGGAGGCGCACCAACCCCTGTGAGGTTCGTTACAGGAGGAGCCGTGTCCCCTCCAGTCCCTGCACTCGAGCTGGACGGCAACACGACGGAACTCACGCCGCCAACAGGAGGAATGATTGTTGTGGTAGGTCCCGGAGCAACAGGACCGGGCAGAATGGTTGTCGTCGGTCGACCTCCCGCAGGCTGGGCGTTTGGATCCTCTACATTGCCCTGTTGGGGGTTGGGACCGACCGGCGGATTCTTAGATGGCATGCTGGGCTGAGCAGGCGGCAGAGATGAGGTTGGACCGGGTGGCGTGTTGGCGGGTATAGCGACTGGTGCAGGTGGTCTGATATAGAATCAGCCTTTTTACCAGTGACCACGGGATGCCGGTAGGAGAAGCTAAAGCATGGACTCACGCCGGTCCCGAGCCCTGGGCTGCCCAGAAACAGCCAACTGCACTGCCTGTCGCGCTGTATACATATCAGCTCAGTTCAAGGCTGCAGTCTGGCTTAATGAGATCTTGACGATGACTCACGTGCACACAGTACCCGTCGTACAGTCGGCGATTTTGACGATCTTGTCGAACACGCAGCCTATGATCGGGTCAGCGGCTGGGTGACCTGTCAAACATAATGCTTACGATTCAGAACCTGACCCGCACAGCTCCAAGCGCCGTGTATACAGGCGCCAGCTTGCTGTCTCTCACTGATCAGGCGGTGTCTCCTAGGGATTGAGTCTTCGCCACTGCCGGCCAAGCTGGCTTTCCCGCCAATCGCAACGAAGAGCAATGCGGCCGCGAAGGCTGTCTTGAGGCCGAGCATGATACTATGTCTTGGGCTTGTCGCTTGAGGTGAGAACGTAGCAATGAGGCGCTGGAGTGAGTCGGTGTAGCTGACTAGCAGCTCTTGTTAGATGCACAAGGTGATCAATGGTGAGGTGTCTTGATGGATCTTGAGGGCTCAGACTGTCATCTGTATGTGCTTCGTCTTGGTATTTGGCTTGAGCTCGATGCGGATCGATCAGATGGACAGCTGTCCGTAGGTTTACATGTGGATACGCAGCTCGCTCGCAATCACGGATACCAGACAGCTCACTCGATATTCATTTGTCAGGTATGCCTTTGTCCTTATTGCAGGGGTCGAAGGGCCCAAAGCTCGAAGGACGCTGCTGGTGATACCGCTAAGTGCCACTTGAAGGGCGTTTCGAGGTAGCCGATACACGGGGTAGCTTTGCCGAAAGGCGATGATCTCCATTGACGGTGTTTCATATCGTCGCAGAATGAGTGGTGAGCGCCCCTTTCCGGAACGAATCGCTGTCATTAGAACAGAGCCCCCTTCAGCCTGATCGCTGCCCTTCATGTCTATCCGAAGATTGGTCAATGACCGAGTCATGCAGGCGATCAGTACTTTAACGGCTGATCAGTCCGGTCAATGTATAAATCGCCAATCGACGTTAATATCAGTCAGCACAAGGCTCGTCGCCTCGTATGATATAAGCTACATACTGCCAGATGTACAGCCTGCCAAGCTTCCGCCCCTATGATTTGACCTCCACCATGCTTGGTCTCAGCTCAGACAGCTTGTTGACCCCAAGTAGACGCAGCGTCAGCAGTATCTCCGATTGCAGAACTGTAATGATCAGTTCTGTCCCGTCCTAAAGCAAGGCTGCACTCACTGCCAACAGCGTGCTCTACACCTTCCACCCCTGCCACACTCTGAGCAAACAAGAAGCCCCTCCCCACTCCTACCGCATTCGCACCCAGGCACAGTGCCTTGACGACATCCGTCCCCCTATTGATCCCGCCATCGATATACACTTCGAACGGCCGCTCCATCTTTCCCGGCCTGGAGGGTGGGACTACCTGCGCCAGGTTCTTCAGTGATTCGGGATTGAGACCAGTGTCCCCGCGGAACTCGGGCCTGAGGAGCTGAGGGGCATGTTTGCGGATTTCGAGCAGTACGTCGAGGCATGGTCGGGTCGTATCGAGCTGTCGACCGCCGTGGTTCGAGATCAAGATACCGTCCGCGCCTCGTTCGTATGCAAGCAAGGCGTCCTCGACGGTCTGGACACCCTTGATGATGATAGGTGTGTCCGTGAGCGATCTGACCCATCTGCGTTTTCAGCTCAGTCCCCTGTAATTCCAAATAGAAGCTCACGGAATGTCGTCCCAGTGCAAATCAGGATCCACACCCGCGAACATAGCCTGGCTGACACCCTGCGTTTCCCCGCTCTTTTCAGACACCCCGCCAGCTGGACCCTCAAACTCGCCCTTAAGCCGTAAATCCCGCTCTCGCTTGCCACCGACAGGTGCATCTCCAGTCATCATGATAGCGTCCATACCCAGCCGATCGACCTTCTTGATCAATTCGGCGGCGACTTCGCGCTTGCGGTTGACGTAGAGCTGGAAGAAGAGGGGTTGGCCGGGCGCGCGGGCGGCGTTGATCTCTTCGACTGAGCAGGACGCGTTTGAGGAGATCTGATCATGAGCTCAGATGAAGTGCGGAGCTCGGACTTGACGTACGCATTGGATGATACCGGTGTTGGCGGCGCCTTTGGTCAAGTTGATCTCGCCATCGGGGTGCCCGAGCTTGGCCATCGCGCTGCATCGTTAGCAAGTCCCTCAACCCCAACAGGACACGACTCACGCTGGAGAGATAAACAGAGGAAGTGCAGACTCCTTGCCCATGATCGTGGTGGTACAGTCCGCCTTGGCTACTCGTTGCAATATCCGAGGCCGGAAAGTAACGTTCTGATATGCGCTCGCGTTGGAGTTCTTGGCTGATCCCTTAGCTCTGCCCTCGCGACCTTCTGCTTGGGGGACCTACTGATCTCATCGTCCGCTGCAGAGGCATAGTAAGCCCAAGCCACCTTGCTCAGCATAGGCTCCGCGAATTTCTATACCAAGTCAGCTCTACTCCCGATGGCGAGGCGGAGCACCTACCTCAAAGTCCTTCATGTTCACGATGACCCCCAGACCCGTCTCCTCCATCTTCTCCCGCGCTTTTCTCACCCGTTCTTCATCGTCCTCCTCATCCTTGCTGACTTTCAGCATCAGCGCCTCCTTGTCCTCCTCGCTCGCCCCCTCAGTCTGCAGCATCCCCAGATGATGCACCGTCGTCGGCAAATTCTCGCCTTCGAGCTGATCGGAAGGGTGTCGAGGGTTGAAGATGTGTGTGACGTCCTTGGACTTGTTGTTGAGGATGATCTCGGGTCCGCCTGGGTGGTCATGTACCCATTCCGTTACGCTGAGCTGTCAGCTTGTACTGCGTCTTACTTGACGCGGAAGCGGACGTACTCGTATACTTCCCCCTTGATGACTACCCAAACATCATCACTGTTCTTCTTGTCCAGCACATCCTTGATCTTGACCATCGGACCTTGGTTTCCTCTCTTGGCCCCTTTAGCTGGCTTGCCAGTGTGGCCGGAATCGACCGGGGTATTTGCTTCTTCCAGCCTGATCTGGTTGGACAAGAGGTATGCCTGTACATCAGACTGCGCCACCTCTCCACGAGACATCTGACTCACGGATAATCCCGTGACGACTCCAGCTGCTACGAGTAGCGGGAGTGGGGATCTGGTGGACGCTCCAGCATGCGAGCTCGTGGCTCTCTGCCGGACATGCGGTATCCGGCTCACTCGACCGACCGAGCGGCTCGCTTGCGGGGCACGTATGGTGAGCTGGCGTAGACTCATTTCTCTGGTGTCAGTCCCGGATGCTGCGGTAGGAGCTGGCGTATATACAGAGGTCAGAGTACTGTGAGAGATGTGAATTGTATCGCCTGCGCTGTTCTTGGTCGCTTGGCTAACCGCCGCGGCCCGGACTTCGGAAGATACTCTACTTGGGCCGGCGGAGCTCCGCAACGTACCCCGCTTCTGATGCGGGGTAACGATGTGAAGAGCTTGCCGCTGGGCGCAGACACAGCTCTGTTCAATCCGACCTTCTGGCATACACCTGACCGCAAGATGGGAAACGACAAATCGCCTCGGAATGTAGCCGTGGCTATCATCTTCGACTCCCAGACCGCACGAGTCCTGATGGTCACCAGCCGGAAGCACCCAAATCTTTGGATATGTGAGGGATCCGATCCACCTGTCCTGCTTGTCATTACGAGCACAAGCTGATCAAGGCTTCTCTACCCCCTTCATGAATTCTGACCATCGTAATCTGCATTCGTCCATCTACTGACCAGTACCTAAAGGTGGCGTGGAGAAGGGCGAAACTTCGGGACAGGCGGCAGTGAGGGAAGCATGGGAAGAAGGTGTGTCCTAATTACGATGGGTGTCCCGGCCGGGGTGGGCGTCCGGTCACTGACGATGTAGCCGGATCGCCTAGGGATATCGCTGCTCCGACGGATGACGAGCGCCTGATGATGATCGCCATGGAGCCTGGAGCTACTAAGCGCCCGAGTGTGTGGCATATTCACGTGATACGGACGAGCGAAGTAGCGGTGGATGGGACGCCGGACTGGTGAGCTTCTTCCACTTCAAAGCATCTACACTATCGCCGTCTCAACCCGTACGGGGAGGGGTAGCTGACTGGATTAGGCCGGAGCAAGACGAACGGCAAAGAAGCTGGTTCTCTCTTACCGATGCTCTGGGCAAGATCAGCCAGTGGGGTTCCGACCTACAAGCTGGAGACTCAGCATCAAATGAGGGCAAGGTAGCCAAGGGGCCTGCCAAGAAAGCACTGAAGGGAGGGGCGATGGAGACAGCTTTCAGAGCATTCATGGAGAGCGAGGGTATCTCACCAGCAGAGCAGCCTTGATATACCAATTCTTTCACTCTTCGGGCTTGATGACTGACATGGCTCCTGCTCTCCTGGCCCCATCACTTTTCGCGACCATGCATTGCGAGTTTGGCAGGGAAGCAGTCACGAGCCCAGGGGCCAGGCCTTACTTGCTGCAGACACCCCACGGCCCACGTTCGTAGAGCACTTCGCACGGATACCGACGCGTCCGATCTTGAGCGCTTGAGCGACGCGACTGGACGCGTTTTGGCAAAACTGCTCCTACTGTAACTATCTCTCCACTGTCCATCGATCTCCTCCCTCACCATCTCATAACTCCCCTCACACCGCTACTTAGTGCTCGCGATGTCACCAACCTTCATTCTCGCCCCTATCCCCTCAGCTTCCCCCCTCCCCTCGAGCCCCTCTCTCAACCTCCTCCCCTTCTCCCTCGGCCTAACTTCCAAACCATACACCACCCCCTCCGCGCCCTTATCGACCTTCTTCCGCCCTCGTCCCGCACCTTCAGGTACTCCCGGTATACCCACAGGCACGCCCATTGCAGCGTTTCGCGGAAGACAGATTGCAGGCCAGTCTGTGCCTGTTCCGAGGGGGTACAGGGGGATTGTGATCGCTGCAGACAGGCCTGATGTTGTCAAGTATTCCTCCGCCTCATCGCAGGAGCCGGTAGAGGATGAAGGGGAAATTAGAGGGAGGGCAAGGAAGGGAAAGTGGCCGTTGACGCCTGCGGCATCGAGCGCTTCTGTGGGGGGAGGGAGTACCTCGGCGGCGACCACGGTGGTGGATGAGGGAGAAGGTGAGGATGGGACAGAGATGCGCCGATCGACTCGGTCGAACGGGTTCGAGAGGCTCAAGCAGCGCGTGAAAGGTGCGGGGCAGGTGGCGCTCGCCAGACCCAAGAGAGGGGCCGTCAAGACGGGGAAGAAGCGATACAGGCTGGACTCGGACGATGAGGACGAGGCCGGCGGGGCCGAGCTGGACTCTCAGGTTGACATCGAAAGTCCCTCATCGCAGATCACGCCTACGCTAGATGGGGATGTACCTGTCCTGCCTACTTTGACCTACGGCACACCCTCCAAACGCCCCCGCTCCTCCCTCATATCCACCCCAACCCGCCAGTCCCCCCGGCTCGCCCTCCCCCGCACCCCTATACCACCCTCATCCCGGAAAGCCCATCTACCTGCGATTACCCTCCAAGAAGCTACGCCACTTAAGGAGCCCCTCCCTCCCCCTCCGGCGCACTTGCGGCGGAAGAAGAACAAGGCGGATTATGTGATCCCGGGCACACCAGGCGCAGAGGTGCTGGTCGAGCAGGACGAGACGGATCCGGCTGTAGCATCACCGGGCGGATCAGGGGTGGACGAACTGAAGGAGGTGTTGGTGGAGGAAGGGATGATCCCCTCGCCTGCTACGGAGAATGACCCGCCTACTTTCCCAGTCCTATCAGCGGCTCCCAGCCCCGAAACGCCCAAAATCGAGAAAGAGCCATTTCAACCTACTCGGGCGATGGAGCAGGACCTCTCGTCCTCCCTGGACATCTCTGGTCCTATTCGCGTCTTACGGCCGGTTTCGTCTTTTGATGCTATAACGCTCTGGACGCCAGATGGGCCTCTGGCGGGGTACAAGCCCCCAAATGCTTCGGGGCAGGTGGATGCGGCGAAGGCAGAGTCAGCGGTGAGCGGGACTGCGGAGGCGTTGGCAAGTGCAGAAGCGTCGGCAGCGGCGGAGGTGAAAGAGGAAGATGGGCCGAAAGTTCGAGAAGGGTGGTGGGCGCCCGGAGGGAGTGGGGAGGGAGGGGACGAGGTAGTTCGAGCGATGGGCGAGTGGTTGGGGCTGGTAGAGATGGTGAGTCTGTCTAACTTTTGAAAGGGTTCTCGGCTGATGATGTAGCTGAATGAGCCGGTGTATCTGGATAAATACCAGGATGAGGACGGCGATGAGGACGACGACGAGTGACTCCTGTAGGAGATTGGCGGCGGGGCACTGGACGTTAGATTTTGTCCGTAGTGTGTATCTTGCATCTTGTAGGCTATCGCGGATCATCAAACACATCTAGGAATCATATATAGACGTATTCATATTAGCTACAACAAGCACAAGCGCAAGTACAAAACGCAACATCGGTCGAGCATCCCGGCCGCACAGCTCAACTCGCATCCCCCGCTCTGAAATACCCCTCAAACATGCTCTCGTGTCGCAATCGACTATCCTTGATGACCCCATACACATGCAAGAATAAGCGGGGGTATCGGCTCGTGAAATAGTGCAAGAAGCCCTGGGGTAGGGGGCCGAAATGTCGTTTAGCGGATGGTTCAAGGTCCTGATAGTGGTGTTTCTGATTATCAGCTTACTATTCTCCCCGGAACAGGAATCAAAGTAGGAGTGAAGCTGACCTTATTTCGCATAGCCCGAAGCAAGTCCCGGACGCTCCCACCCTTGTACTTCCTATACTTGCCGAGGTTGCTCGTAAAGACCTTATCGGCGCGCGAGAACCAGTCTTTCCCGACCACATCCGGCGCGCTGGCTTCGAGCTGGACGACCGGTGGTTCAGGCGGGTCAAGCTCCATAATCTCAAACCCTGGACATCAGCGCCATTCCTCGACCCGCCAATAATCGAAAAACTTACGGTCCGACGCGTCGCACAGGAACCCGAGCCGCTTGGCCGGCGTCCAAAAGAACGGATGTACCAGACACTCGCCCGTCTCTGGTCTTCCCGCCGGATCAAGCATCAACATCCTCCCTATCAACTCGCCCGCCTCCACCCCTTCTTCCCCCAGTATATCCAACAGAGGCATATTGACAATTTCACCCTTGACGATATTGGATTCCCGGTCGTATACCTCCCCGTACGGGTGTTGGCCCGACATCAAGATCCAAAAGTAAAGGCAGCCGAGCGCGAAGAGGTCGACCGCCTTGGTCAGGCGGTGAGCGGGTGGTGTGGGCTTGAGCGAGGAGGATGGGTCGAGGAGGTCCCCGAGGGAAGAAGAGGAAGAGGTGGACGAGCCGCCAGAGCCGCCAGAGGAAGAAGGGTCGAAGGGCTCCGTGAGCCTGACTTGGCCCCTGATGCATTCGGGGGCGCGCCAGCCGAGGGAGCCGGCGAGGTTGTTGGCTGTGGGTGCGAAAGAGGACTGGTCGTGCTCCAGTCGACGGGCAAGACCAAAGTCGGAGACAAGCATCCGAAGACTGCCATCTTTGAGCTGGGACACCAATACGTTCCTGATCATCAGTCAGATCCCTTGTCTCTCCCCATCGCCTGAGAAAGACCTACTGAGGCTTGATATCCCGATGTATGATCTTCATCCCATGCAGATACTCCACGCCACGCGTAATCTCCCTCATGGCCCGCTTCCGATCCAGCGCGCTCGCCAGCTCGACATGTTTCCCCGGCGCCTCCATCAGATCCGCCAGACTCGCCTGGCACAGGTCCAGCGCGATATACAAGAAATTGTCGCGACGTTCCTGGCAGTAGTACCGGATGACATTGGGGTGGTCGTCTGATGCTTGGAGGAGTTTGACTTCTTGCGAGGCGAGGCGGGTAAAGTCCGAGAGGAGGCGTTTGACCGCTACGGGTCGATCACCCCATGTTCCTTTGAGAACGACGGTACCGTGAGATCCATAGCCTGCTTTGTCAGCTTACAGTCTGTGGCGTCGAGGGAGAAGAGCCACATACCGATGATACAGTCTGAAATGGCCAGCTGCTCTTTATCCTCCGCAACCGTCAGATCCACAGCCGACATCTCCCTCGGCAACTCAGGCAGTGGTTTCTCCCCCTTACTCCCCAGATCCTCATCTTGATCCTCCGCTCCTTCCTCATCCTCCTTCTCCCCAAGATCTGTCTTCGGCTTCTTCTTGCCCCTAACTCTCCGCCGCGCCGACTTCTTTTTGGGCGTCGCAGTCAGATCGGCCCCCTCGGCACTCTCGGCAGAGCCGGCAGCTCCAGTATTCCCGTCGACTTCCTTGAGGATGGTCGGCTCGACAAAAGTGACGGCTCGTTCTTTCGACGCCGCTTCGACTGCAAGAAGCAGTGTCTTCTCGTCGGGTATAGGCGGAGATACTGCCTCCGGTACTTTGCGACCGCGTCGCAACAGCACGGCCGAAACCAGCCCGCACAGAGCCAGTACACCGGTAGCACCCAACATCCAAACGACCCAACCCCTCTCTTTCCCATCGTTCCTGATGGGCCGCTTATCCACTCTGTCCTCTTCAGGCGGCGGAATCCCCTTCTCCTCCACTGGCGGATCGAGGAGATACGGTAAAAGCTGATCCCTCTCCGGCAGGTCTTCCGAGAGTAGGAACGACCCGTTCGCTAGTGATCCGGGCCGAGGGGGCGGCGCAAAGTTGATGAGCGGGTAAGAGGAGGATGAGAGTGCGTAGTGCAGTGGGCGCTGTGGGGAGGTTGGGGATGTAGGCCGAGGGGAGGATGAGGTATCGGGTGGAGGAAGGAGAGCGGGGAGGTTGGGGACGGTACCGATATATGTGGAGGGGCGTTTCGAGAGGATGTCGAGGTGCGCCGGATGAGGTTGGGCGGGCGAAGGGAACAGAGACTTGAGGTGTGGAGGGGGTTGAGGTACGAGGATGGGGTTGGCGGATGATGGCGAAAGAGGGTGGAGGATGTCGTAGACGGCAATACTGCTTGTCAGCTGGATCAGGCAGAAGTATGGATCATAGCTTACCCAACACTACCCAGCTTTGTCACCCACTTCACCCCTCCGCCCTGCTCCACACCTACCGCTACACCATCATGCCCCAGCTCAACTCTCATCCTCTTCGCCAGACTCCCATCTTCCTCGTACATCTCCCCATTCCCCATCTTGGCCCAGAACTCCGCCAATGGCCGATCATAGCTGTTGGGCGTGTACGTAGAGTACATGATCTCCTGTACGCCGCTCCGAGGCCTGTCGCCTATGGTGATACCAGACATGGCGCTCGCCCCCGGTGGCGTATGGATGGTGAGCCGATAGTCCGTGCGTCCGACAAAGAGGACGTCTCGGTTGGAGCGGGAACGATGTTCAAGGTCGTCGAGAAGTTGCTCATTCTCACAGGTGCATTGTGAGTAGTCGGAGCGGTTGGAGCCGAGGGAGGAGAAGCAGTCTAGTTGTTGGCCTGTTCTAAGGTCGACGGTGAGGAGTGACGAAGCTTTGGAGCCGGTGAAGACGCGTGAAGGGGAATGGGGGAATGTGAATGGTGAGAGCTCGATACTGCTTGTCAGCTGTGACTTTAGAAGGTTGAGCTGTAGCTTACAGCTTGTCGACTGAAAGAGGCAGCTTTCGGACCTTTGGCGACTCGTGCTCCATCTCGTCCCCTTCCTCAAAGACAAAGAGGCTCCCACTGAGCGGCTCGACAATGTAGTCCTCCTCGCTCCCGCTCCCTGCGGCCCCGCCGCCAATGAGCGGGTCGACCCCTTCCTTCAAAGACCACCTGATCTGTCCACCATCCCTGTCCACAGCATGTAGCGCCCCATCTATCGTCGAGACTAGGACAAAGGGAAGGAGGTCATGCTCCACCTCTGGGGGCGCTCGAGGTGCAGACGCAGTTGCCGAGAGGACCGGCCGAGCAGGCAAGGAGATGACTGCCGGGTATGGATCCGGTGAGGGCGATGGCGACGATGTAACCAGTAGTAGCGAGATGAGCGCGACGAGGAGATGCGAGAGGATGAGGAGCGAGTAGTTCATGCTGAGTCGGTAAATGGGGTTAAAGGAGGCACGAGATGAGGGAGAGAGCGGAGGCCATTGCCTGCCCCTGGATGTACGTTGGGATCTTTCGCCCGGATGATGCCGAAGGTGGGCAGCTTTCGCCCGCTATGGGAGTGGGTGTAAGGACTAGTGCAGTGTCTAGGCGCAGGTCACTATGGAGATGTAAAGTTGGCAGGCGAAAAAGCAGTCTTTTGGCTTGAATCCGGTCGGTGAATTCGAGCACTTTACCTTTATGATCGAGTCTTCCGCCGGAAGGAGCTTTGAGTGTTGCAACCCCTCGGGCATGGGATGCCACACGCGGCCCTCGTGCCGCATGCCGAAAGCCCCATGCAGCATCTCAGATCTCACTCCTTGATCTTGACATATACAACCTGCATCCTCATAGGCCAGCTCCTCCCTCGTAGAGTGCAGCATCTACAGCGCTACCAACGAGTTCTGCAAGTCCTTTTCCGCGAGGAAAAATAGGTCGCAAGCGTCAAAAACCCTCGGACTCGTCTACTTCGGTCACCGAGGTCACTATTTTCGACCCTATTTCCAGCGTTTATACGTTGCAGGTACCTCTCTGAGCCAGCATGTCGTCCTATCCGGGCAACGGATGGGGTAGCGGGTCATCCCAGCGCGGCGGATCGCACTCGGACGGGAACCCCTCGGCAATGATGAACCAAAGGACGGTTTTATGGGGGTCGGTGACGCCCCTGCGGGCTCAGGACGAGCGGGACCGCGAACTCGAGCAGCAGAGGGTACAGCAGCAACAGCGGCAACAACAAACACAACAGCAACAGCAGCAGCAGCATCAGAATGATGTAGCAGGAGTACTGAGGCGGAATCAGGCGTGTCTGGCTTGTCGGCGGAGGAAATTGGTTAGTGGATAGGACCGGTGATAAGGTCCAGATAAGCTGACACGCGCAGAAATGTGATGCCATTCGGCCCCACTGCTCCACTTGTGTGCGATCACACAAGCACATGGCGCGTACGGCGCCGCACACCAATCCGGTCTTGTCGTGCGACTATGATGACGGGAACGGGCCGAATGAACGGCCGTATCAGCCCCCTTCGCCCCATTCCGCGTCGCCGGTCGAGGAGGAGGGCGAGACGAATAGGAAGAAGCGGAAGAGTAATGCTGGAGAAGGGGGCAAGAAGAAGAGGGACACTGAGGCGGAACGTTTGAAGAAGCGGATCGGTAAGTCTTTTGCGAATCGATCGCGCGGATCAGGCTGACTTTGACAGAGGAGCTGGAGGCCAAGCTGGCAGGAGACAGCGGTAGCTCCAGCGTCCAGGACCAGATCAACAGCGCGACACAATCCCGCCGGACGTCGGACGCGCGGTACCCGCCGCCTATCTCCACCTCACAGCAGTTCAATCGAGGCGAAGCCATCTCGGCCGAATCGCCCACCTCATTCCTGGATATGCTGTCTGCAGCAGCTACTGAGCAGGCGCCAGGAGCTGCTGGTCTGGGCTCGGCAGGCCTCCGCGCCGGAGTCAACGGGACCGCAATGATGAACGGGGCGACCGGTACATACATCCCTCCCCCTCGTCCCGCGGAATCGCCGTATCATACCGGCTTCACCCCTTCCTTTTCGTACGGTGGCGTGATGGAGGATAGTCGTCCTCAGCCGGTTCACCAAGTATCGGCGGAATCGTCAGTCTCGGGCCATAGCGTCCACGCGAGCATATCCCCATACGACAATTCCGGGCCGTCCGAGCCTATTGCGCTCACACCCAGCGGGGTCTTCAACTTCTCGCCCGGTCCGCCCGAACCTGTCAACTACGAGAGCATGCCATTGCCAGACGCGAACGGGATGATCCAGCCGTCGACTAGGCCGTCCGGCCCATGGATGGGTATCGAGACTGTCGAGACGCTTCTGGGCGCAGCCCACGCCAAGGGACCCGGCCAGTACATGAACATCCCGGGTGATCAGATCCCGATCGACCCCATGCTGAATCCGTCGATGATGCCGCCGCCTATGGAGATCCCGCGGGGCGTCCCGATGGAAACGTACGCGCAGCCGGTGGAGGTGGACCTGCAGCAGCAGATGCTGATGGACCTGTTTTGGCCGGGTTGGCCGCCTGGACTCCCAGAACCTCACATCGTCAACGAGTTGTAAGCTGGTATCAGTGTTTGATGAGTTTCCGGAGCTGATAATCAGGATCGATGTCTTCTTTGATCGCGTCTCCAGTCTGCCCCGTATGCTCCTCCGCAGCCGCTTCATGACGCGCATGACCCTTCCTCCCACACACAGCAACTTCCCCCACCCCTCCCTGCTCCACTCCATCTGCGCTATCGCGGTCAACTGGTGCGCGCCGGCCATATACGAAGCGTCCACCGTGGCTCGCAAGCTCAACGGTAAGAGCGGAAGCGATCTAAGCTTCTCGGCATGGCAGTCGGGCTTGGCGAAGGAGATGGTCCATGATGGACTGAACACGGGAAGTCGGATGTTTGACGTCGTGCGAGCTATGGTGTGCTCTTTTTAATCCAGCTGAGGCAGGCGGAAGCTGATCCTCGCAGATGATCCTGAGTCGACTCTTCATCGATGACACCCGGATGCTCGAGTGCTGGGCGTACCATGGCCTGGTGGCGCGGATGATCCTCCCTCTTGGACTGAACGTCCGGTCCGCCGAGCTATCGCTGAAGAGCGTCATGCTTCCCCCGCCGCAGGACAGTGTGGAGAGGGAAGAGCGACGGGGAGCCATGTGGTTTGCATTCTACCACGATACGGTCTCTTCGGCTGCTTCCGGCTGGGGCAGCTCTATTGCGCTGGACGAACTTGTAAGTGCCTGGTCGATCTCACCAAATAGTACAAGCTGACTCGTCTAGACCGTTCCCCTGCCATGCTCCGTCAAAGACTTCGAATCCGGCCTCAAGGATATCCCCTCCAATCCCCAAGATGCAGAATCCAGCGACTTGTTCACCCATCACCCCGTCGTCGATCCGTTCGTCCTCTGCCTCAAAGCGTGCATCATCATGAACCGCGTCACCCGCTTTGCTCGGAAGTGGAAGAACAGGCATTTGAGGGAGGATGATGATTTCGCGGGGATGCAAAGGCCGGAGTTTAGGGAGTTGGCGAATAACATTGCCTGTTTACAGTGAGTCATTCTGTCCGCTGGGGAGAGACGTGGCTGATCATCAAGGATGAGTTTCCCGTATGAGCTCCGGAATCCCTGCCAGACGGACAACCAGCGCAAGATTGACATCGACCTTATCGTGGCCCACATGCTGCCCTTTGCGGCGACCATCATTCTCTACGAGCCATTCGCGGACGTCACGGACTCATCGGATGCGGCAGCACGGCGGATCTTGGCGGCGGCGCAGGCGATCGTGGGGATCGTGCAGCAGCTAGCGACTGCTGCGGCCGAGGGGACGAGCAATGCTCTGACGGTCATGCATTCGGCTGCTTCCATGTAAGTTGTTTTGCCGTTGGGTGGAAATCAGAGATCACGCAAGCTGATCAACTAGCTGCTTGGTCACTGCAGCTCGGACCTCCCTTCTTTTCTACCGGAACGCCCTCAACATCGGAGATGAGCGCCTCGCTGCCTCCTTGCGCTCCGACGTGGAGATGAACCGCATGGCTCTCGAGCAATTCGGACTTCGCTTCAAAATCGGACATCACCACGCCCAGCTCGTAGCCTACTTCCTCGACCGCGCCACCTATCCCACCTACGAGAAACTCATCAGCCACTACCCGGACCATCCTCGTCCCGGCGCACCACCCCTCACGCCCAATTCCGACTTTGGCATCTGCGTCCTCAATGCCCTCAATATCAAAAGGGGGTTCTGGCGGATCAAGAGGGATCAGGTGTATCGGACCAACTCAAATACCACGTCGGCCGCGGGACGGTCACCGTTCGAGACGACGCCAGGGAGCAGTGGGAATGGGAATGGGGACATGCCGATGCCCCAGGGGTGTAGTGGGGGCTTTGGCGGGGCGAGGTTTGAGACCGAATCGCCGCAGCACCCGTATAGTGGGTTACAGTCCGTCTCGGGAAATGGCGGCGGCAGCGGCGTTGGAAGCGGGAGCTGGTCCAATACCATGGCGGACACGAGTGTAGGCCAGGCGGAAGGCCTGACCGAGTTTGTGGGTGTACAGACCTCCGGCCCCGGTATCGGTCAATCTCGGTCCGCATCCACCAGCTCGAGCTCGAAGGCCTATCCCAGCGGGGGAAATATCTACGAGATCCAGCCCGATGGCTCACGGCCTGTCTTTGGCAAGATGCGCGGGGATGGTGTGACGGGCGTAGGCGTGACGCTCATGACCCCCGGTGATGCGTTTGGGGGCGGACCAACGGGCGTGAAGCAGTCGAGCACGGAACTGGAGGGAGGGAAGAGGAGTGAGGAGTATACGGCGCAGTCGGCGGCTTGGTTTTTGGCGCCTGAACCGGGGGGTCAGTATCGGGGGTCTAGCGGTGCGCAGTAGTGGCTGGGCAGCTGTCTGGGTTGGGGGGGGATAATACTGGGTGATTTGCGGTGTGATTTAGATGGGCGACTGGAATTTGTTAGATAGACTTCTCAGGAGGTTGTATATCATGGTCATGAGAATGAGATCAGCTTGTACTGGTAACTGGCAGGGTGCCTACTCGAGGCGAAGCAAAGGTCAAAGCAAGTATGTGCGAGGACAATGGTCAGCTTCCGCCGGATGACCGCCAAGCGCTCAAGCTTACGAGGTTGCCACCGACAGCGGTCAACAACCCCTCGATCCTATGACATCTGACCCTCGGCTGCTATCCACCGTCCCAACACACAGTCGGTCACACAACAGCGCCGTCGACCTAGACATCCGTCTATCCAGCAGCTTTCGGGCAAAGGTAGACAAAGGATCGCTGTCCGGTAGTCGACAATCGGCCGTTCCTTCCCTCCCGGCGTCTCCGGTGGACAACGCATAGTCGCACCGCGTCTCAATACATCTGCACAGTCATCGCGAATGGCGCCGACCTAAGCATCAAACGGCTTTCGTCCTCGGACCTACCTACCAGCCATCCAGGCTTACCTCGACTAGGCCGCAGCCACGATGATTGACCAGATCCTCGGCCGCCCCTCGCCCACACTCCGCCGGTCCCAGATCTTCCTCATCCTCTTCTTCTGGGTCTGGCGGCTGTACAAGGGGGATGGAGCCGCTCATATCCCCCCATACTCCCTCGGAGCGGGTATCGGCCCTACACCGACTACCTCCGCGGCCGCTGCATCACCGCTGGCAAGCGGAAGAATAGGCACAGCTGCGGGGCTCGGCGGTAAAGACGGGCGGAATAGATTATGGGTCCTGAAGGTGTGGAAGACGCTCTTTGGGCAGAGCAGGATGGCGATGGGTCTAGGATGGATCGGGAGGTGGAATCAGCGATTGAGTGAGTCTGGACCGGTACGAGATAGGTGATATGCGGGAGAGCTGACAGGCAGGGCACTTTACGCCGTATCAGCTCGTCCTGGGTACTTTGACCCTCATGTACGCTCTCCGGCATCTCGATATACTACTAGGCTACGGCTCGCCTGAGCCTCTTGCTCGACTCGTAAGTCCAGCCTGGGCCGAGTAAGACGCGTCGCTGACTAGCCAGTACTCCCGCTCCTACTACCGCGCTACCTGGGTCAACACCGCCTTCGACGCTGGCTTCGCATCCGCCATGACCATTCGCCCTCTCTGGCTGAAAGACGCCATGAGCTTTGCATTCTCGATCTATTATCTGGTATACCATAATGAGGGAGATGAAGTTGTGCGTCCACCCTCCTCCTCTTTGAATAAGATCCAGCTGATGGTTAGCTCCGCCGGTTCCGAGCACTCTGCACAGTCGAGATGCTACGCGTGACGTGGGAGAAGACCAACAACCCCTATGTCCGCCTCGTCACCTGGTTCTCTCGCCCTTATATCGCCATCGTCGAGCACCTCACCATCCCGCGGCCACTCTCTTCCTCCCGTGCCCACTTGCCAGCGGTGAAGGCGATGCTGTTCTTCCATGGTACGAAAGAGGAGCTGAGCAAGGCGACGGAGATGGTCGTGGACTTCCCAGGCGGAGGGTTCATCTCGATGGGCCCGGAGTGTCACGAGGAGCGATTGAGGCTGTGGGCGAAAAGGACGGGGAAGCCTGTATTGGCGGTGAATTATGGCAAGGCGCCTGAATGTGAGCTAGTCTTCTCTTCTGCCGCATGACGAGCTGACACGATCAGACCCTTACCCATGGGCCATTGAAGAAGGTTTCGATGCGTATCGGACTCTGATGGAGACCAAGGGCAGATGTATCGGTATCGAGAGCGGCAAGCTCGCGGTGGTTCTGACTGGAGACTCTGCGTAAGTTGGGATGCAGACTCATAATGTCCACTATTCTGACACTCCAGGGGCGGAAACATTTGCACCACCATCATGCTCCGCATCCTCGAACACCACACTCAGATCCCCCGACCCGTCTCCATCATTCTCGCCTACCCCGCGCTCGACTTCAACTTTACATCTTGGATGTCGCCCGCTAATCTCCGCGTCCTCCGCACCGAGCAATCCGAGACGCACATCCCGGGTCTGGTTCACGGCAAAGACCACATGCGGCACAAGTCGCCGCTGTCCGTCGTTGACGATACAGGCGAGGGACCTATCGAGAATATCCGGAAAGGCAGGGGACACCGAGCGAGGCAGAAGAGCTGGGGGCAGGTGTTGGGAGAGAAGATTCCGGGTCTGTCGCCCATCGCGACGACCCTGGCGCTTCCGGGGGAGACGAGGGGTACCCCGCCCGCAAGTTGGACGGCCAGCCTACCGAGGAACATGTCGGTCAAGGTGGCTGGCTGGCTTGGCGCGGACGTAGAGGCAGGAGGCGAGAAAGTCTCGGACGCGAGTGACTCGGAGGACGATACGGAGACGGTACGGTCCGCGTCGGTCGATCGGCGCCGAGAGGCGGATATGAGTCTGAGAGAAAGGGTCAAGACGCCCAAGACCGAACGGAACTTTGATATTCCGCGAGTAGACTCGCCAGTGCCAGTCAAGGAGGCGGAGGAGGTCAAAAAGGTGGTCAAGAAGAGAAGGAGGGCGCCTATTGGGACGAGGTTGACGATGACGAGTCGAGTGGGGTATTTCCAGGATCGTGTAGTCACGCCAAGCATGGTCAGTATCCGACAAAGCAGTTGGTGACGGGGGCTGATTGTCAGATGCGAGCGATGGCTATCCTGTATGTGGGACCGACAAACAACCCGGACTTTGCGACCGACTATTATATCTCGCCCATCCTCTCCCCTCCCCACCTCCTCGCTCACTTCCCTCCCGTTTACTTCATCTGCGGCGAGCGCGACCCGTTCGTGGATGACACCGTCATTCTCGCCGGTAAGATCCGCGAGGCGAAGCGAGGACGCCGTGCTGAGGCTCTGCTAGCGCAGCAGTCCAAGTCGGTGCGGTATGGCGAAGGACTGCGGATGTCCAAGTCGCAGAGCTCGGATGCGCCGGATCACATCCTGCGCGAGACGGACGAGGATTGGGTACAGATGCGGATCATTGAGGGATGGGGACATGGGTTCATGCAGATGACGAGTCTGATGAAGGAGGTGGAAGGGGTGATGAAGGAGATGGCGGACTGGATTGACGAGTCATTCGTCAATGCCCTCAATCTTCGGCAGGACATGGCGGATGTGTCCGCGGCGCAGGCACGAGCGGCCGTCCCGGAGGATCAACCGATCATCAGCCCTATCGAGTATTTGGCGCCGAACGGGTCGACCCAAGTCAAGCCTACGGCGGAGTACAAGAAGGTCGCGTCGGCGATACATACCGGGTATCCCGACCTTGAGGGGCTCGGGACACTTGACGCGGACGCCGGAGGGGAGAATGAGGGTGTCTTGGCGTTCACGCCCAAGAATAAAAACAAGCGCAAAGTGTCGCTCCCGCCGTCCAGGTTCAGCCCGGTCCCTCGGCGGCCAAGCAAGGAGACGCTCGTACTCCACCGAAACAACTCGGCACCTCGTTTCGACATTGACGAGACGGGATCCTCTGGCGAAGCGGTCACCCTCCGGACTCCACCGCTCGGCGCGCGGATCCTGCCTCAGGACGTCCCGAAGGGATCGGGTGCATTCGCATTCTTCAACTCGAAGCGGTCTACCGCGACCAGTACGCCTATCCCTCCCACCTCGATATCTGTCACATCGCCCAACGGGTCGACACCGATCCATCCCTCCGCTTTCGCGCCATACGGCTCCATCCCCGCCCCCCACTCCCGTCGGTCCTCCAGCAGCGCCGGGAAAGACGCGACGGCCAGCAAGCCCACCAACTCGCTCGTTGCTGCTGCAGTGGCCGGCGCGAGGGCTGCTTCGCCCGCGCTAGCAGCAGCAGGGCTGGTCCCGCAGCAGATTGAGAATGTGTCAGAGGCGGAACTGTTCAGGAGGCGGAGGATGGAGGCGGTGTATGGGATGGGAGATACCGAGAGTGCTGTGCATTCCGAGGACGAGGGGGATGATGAGGGCGATGAGAGAGACTGAGGGTGAGGCTATAGCTATTGCATTTCAAGGAAGGTTCCATAATCGTTGTTCTACCATTTCATATGCGTTGTCGGAACTCCTTTACCGTTGTAGCCCAACATGTATCCATCAAGTTCTGACCTCGTGCTTGAGAAAAGTTCTGGGAACTCCTTCTTCATATGCATTCAGCTACAGCGCCCTAGGCATCCCATCGTCCACCAAGCCATTCCCATCCTCCCACCGCACGCTCTTGACGCTCTTCCTCGCCACCATCCCGGCCGCCTGACCCGCATTCCTCGCTAGAGCCTCATCCCATTCTGGCTGATTGTACCACTCCCTCGTCTCCCTGCTTCCGGCTCCGTGCTGCTGCGCCGTCCCGTCGCCACTGGTCCAGACCCCGCTCGTCCCGCTTTGGTAGCTTGAGCGGGTATGCGTTGTCTCGCCCGACCCACTGCGCTGAAGTGGCTGGATATCACTCGATGCCGTTGAGAACATCGTCTCTCCCCGTCCGGACGCAGTTTGGGGCTGCTGATATATAGTGATACCGGGGAAGAGGGTGGTGTTGGTCGAATAGACGCTCTGGGTCTCCGCAAGGCTGACCCCGCACGATGGGTCGAGGCCCCAAAGGCTGGAATCGAGCGTAAGCGGAGGCTCGGTATGTACCGGCGGGAGATAGATATGGTCTCGGCCCGTCTCTGTCAGAGGTCGCTGCATGCCCGATAGCTGCGCGAGGAGGGCCGCCTGGGCGCCATAGGGAGTGAGATCGGTGGTAGGTGTGGATGCGAGGTATTCCATGCTGGGTTGGCTCGAGCCCGAGGTGCGCGGAGCGGGGTGGAAGATGGCGGGCGGGAGCGGGAAGTCGTCCAGCCCAGAGTACGCTGATGAGGAGGAGGCAGGTTTACGGACGAGGGGATCTCGGGTTGGTGAGGTGGATGACTTAGATGGAGGGGAAAGGCGCCCTGCTGGAGGGGTTGGGGAGAGGTGATTGTATGAGGGCGAGTACGAGTGACCCCATTGTGCTTCCTCGCTGGCTGCAGGGGAGGCCGCGAAGGGGTGTTTGACCGCAGGTCGTAGCGCTGGGGAGCCGCGAGCGATCATATTGGGTTGTTGAGCCCCGGTCCCGCCAGGGTAAAGACCAGGGACTGGTAGGGGCTGACCCCAGCCTTCCTGCGCCTCATTTCTGACTGGCACCGATTCAGACTGGTTGGCAAAGAAACGGCTCGCCCAGCCTCCTTGACCCGACGGACCCGCTGGGAGTGGCGGCGGCACGTCCACCGTTGGATTGTACCCTTGTCGCTGCCGCATGGCGGGTGCACCTGCCCCCAGAGGGTTTATGCGAGGGAATCGACCGGTATTACGGTTGGCGTGGCTGAGGGGGTTGAGTGTGGCGAAGGAAGCGGCAAAGTGTGAAAAACGATTGGCTGATTGTCGATAGATGGACGGAGTGGAGAAGTGGGATTGGCGGTACATGCGATCCTGTCTCTGCCAGACGCATCAGCTTCAATCACGTACAATGAGAGCTTGGAGCTCGGCTCACGTCTCCGTCATCATCATCTGGGATCTCGGTATCTCCCCCGTAGAACCAGCTCGACCGCAGCAACGCCTCCCTATCGCTCTGCTTTCGGCGCTTAAACCATCTGATCCCCAACAGGATGAGCGCGATGAGCGCACAGCACCCAAGCAGGCTACCGGCGATCGCGCCTGCCGCCGTGCCCTTGTTGACGGAAGAGCCATTGTCTCCATCGTTCGCGGCGGCGGTGATATCGGTCGGGAGGGGTGGTATATAAGAGGATGAGAACGATGGGCGGACCGCGGGATCTGGCGTCAAGGCAGGTGGTGCTCCGGAGGGAGAGGGAGCTGCGAGTGGAAGGGTAGATGGAGGTACAGGTGCTGCAGGTGATCAGCGGTTACACAGAATGAGATTTGAAGAACAGGATGGCGCTCACCGATGGTGGACGTCAGGACGAGACTGCTTGGCACGACAGAGCTTGATTCGATCGCCGCCAAAGGTACCACCTGGACGGAAGAGCTACTGGGAATGATCGAGGATGAGGATGACCGATTGACCGAAGACGCCTTAGCCGAAAGGGTAGGAGAGGCCTGGTTGAAGCCGCTGCTGCTGATGGTTGCCGCATCTTCCGGAACGGCGCTGGAACTGCTCTCGCTCGCAGAAGCTGCGTCCGCGCTGAGTGTAGGCCGCGCCTGTTCCGGTACGGAGTCGGACGAGCTTGAAACCGTACTTCCTGAAGTCAGCAGACTGAAGGGTAGTGCTGGCGTTCTAGAAGGGACATAGCTGTACCTGGTAGGACTAACGGAAGGAATTGGGCGTGGGGCGCTAGTGGGCTCCCTCGTGCTCGAAGTCGAAGTGGATGGCTCGCGTGAAGGTGTCGCTGCAGGGCGGTATCGGATGGTTTGGCCATCCCGGACGATGGTAGTGAAGTTGTCCTCGTCTGCGATTATGCCTGATAGGTCGGGACGAGCCGCACCTGCGCCCGGCGCGTCGGGTACGGCTTCCTTTGGTGGTTGGGTCGGGTTTGGGAAGAAACCAGTCGAGCGGACGGATTCCTTGGGGTTACGGTTATCCTTGGGGTCGGACATGTTTCGATTTGTATACAACCGAGACTGCTCCAGGCAGGTTGATCAAGGGGACATCAAGTCGGGCACGGCACTGGGAGCGTGGTGTGGTCGGAGAGGGCGTAAAGGAGAATTAGGGACAGCGGTTTAGAGAGGAATTCAGAAACGACTGGAAGGAACGTCGGTTGATTGGAAGTGGCGATGGAGAATGCAGTACCGTCAATGAGAGGAGCAGGTGCGAGTGCTGTCTGAAAGGAACGATTAGGAGGATCCATTCGATCCCTTGTACAGCCATTCCGGCTCAACGGAAGACAAAGGAACGAGAAGCTTTCATCCAAAGGGGGGATGTAATTCGGGGTAAAGCCAGGAGGGGATCGTCATCCCAAGGACTACCGTCGACCCCGCAAGCGCGTCACCGCATTGGTCTATTGCGGTTAGCCTATCCGTGAAACGCCTCAATCATGGATATCAGTTGCAATCAGTATCGTTCCTGCCTTTGGGTGTAAGCCCCTCGCGGGCTTGCCGGTATGCGGCACGCGCCTGTCACAAATACGGGTGAGCGAAAGGAAGCCTACTTGCTTGTCAGCGGGACTGCGCACTCGAGGTCAGCATAGGAAGCGCTCTGCCAAACCCCGGAAGATAAGCTTGTATTGAGAGATCTATGTTGGAAGAGCTAGATTCAGACCCGGCATTTATTTCTTGGCCGAGGCGTTCTTGTACGCAAACAAGCCGCCCAAAGCGAGCATGTACCCTGCCGCATCAGTCACGTTCGTCTTTCCGCAGATAAAAGCGCAAGCTTACCAAACACCTGCACAGGGGTGATCTTGCTCCCAAAGAACATCACACTCGACGAGATGAGCAGGATATCCTACCTGATCAGCCTCTTCCGATGCCACCTAGTCAGACCGGGACCCGGAAGCAAGCTCACCTTGAACACCCCAGCCAGAGTCAAAACCAGCCCGCCCGCCGCGCCAATCAGAAACACAGCCGCTACGTTCAATCCGAACGCCACCGCCGCGTTCGAGAGCATGACGAGCGGGCCGATGCGCATAAACTCGCGGAAGGGCGCCCAGCCTTCTGTGAAGGGGAGGAAGCAGGCGTTGATGATGGAGCAGACGGGGGCGTAGTAGTGGAGCGAGACGAGCGGGTCCATCTGGTGGTATCAGCTTAGTGGTTCCGCGGCATGCTGGGGGGAGTTTGAGTGTACCTTGAGACCCTGCAGGAGGATTTGGATCATGACTAGTCGCGAAGACTCGAAAGCGACCGCGCTGGTCTGGCAGAGGAAGCCGAACATCTCAAAGTTGATTTCTCCGTATGCGGCTGATAATGTCAGCTCAAGTCCCCTGGGGCGTTCCACGCCGGAAATTTACCAAGAGCACACCCGAGCGAGATCAGCTGGAAAGTCAGCTCGATTCTCCTTCAGTCGTTGAAGGCAGGCTCACCACGACGATCATGACGAGTCGCTGATTCAGAGCCTGAATCTTGAAGGCCGCCGAGATGAGCAAGATGGCGACTGGCGTGAAGGCCTTGAGCATCTGGATGAACGACACGCTCAGTCTGCGTCGTCAGCACCATGTTACCGGGGCAAAGCGAGCAGGACTAACGAGAGATAAGCGGTGTTGCTGAGGATCAGGGAGCCGGAGAAGAGCACACCGATAGGCAAGATGGATTTGATGTAGATGTCTTGCTGCGAAGTGTCAGCTAAAGCCGAGCCCAGCGTACCCGGCACAACTCACCGTCATATTCACGTTGTCCAGGCCGTCCATCAGGTTGGTCGTTGCGCGGAGGATGCGGGTCCCGATGGCCTATAAGTCAGCGCCCATCCTGCAAGTCGTAAATACAGCCCAAGATAGGGACTCACGGCACATCCGAGATGGTACGAAGTGACAAAGATGGGCTGTACAATCAGCCATGGCTTGAAGGGTCATCACAGCTTGGACGCACATATGGGTAGTCCAGCGTGGAGTACAGATACTTGTTGTAAAGAATGACCGAGGAGGATAGCGCGATCCAGATAGGGACTGCCCAGTCAGCATAAGCCCCTTAACAAAACCATCAGCGAGAAGAGGGGATCGGAAGGATTGGAAGATGGACTGACTGATCACGGCCGCGCTGGGACCAGCCTTCTTTTCCCTTGGAGGGAGATTCGGGCTGATATCCAAGCTCTTACGAGCGGTGGACAGCTATCGTCACGTCAGTCTCGCGTCCCCTAGCTTCGTAAAGAGCGCGTCTCACCAGTCCCTCGCCCTTCTCCAAGTTCAACTCGTGGTACCCGTTCCCGCTCTCTCCTGTTTTGTTCTCCATACTGCCTGATGCGGTCCGACGGTACGAGGGCGAGCTGAGTGGAAATCCGGCGGATTCGATGGTGGGCGTGAGAGATCTATCGAAAGAGTGAGAAGGGAGGATACTGGGGGAAGAAGGGGCCATCAAATTCTTCCAGGGGGGTCGGCGTCCGAGCAAGATTAGGTTTGCGTTTGCGCGTGTGTACTGAGGGATCGGCCCGGAAGCGAGGGAGCAAGCGATAGCTGTCCAAGCTCGGTAGGAGGTCTATATATCTAGGAGGGGCTGAGTAGACGACGTAGATGTAGAGATCTGCGAAGCGTGCTGCTAAGACTGACAGATCAGAGAGGGTCCAGATCAACACCATCTAAATCTGGCGCGTCGGGATCACCGTTACGGCATCTCATCACGCCTGATCCGGAAGCGCCAAGCTGCAAGCTGCAAGCTGGCAGCTGGGCTATAGATCGCACAACAGGTGATGCATACAACAGGAGGGCATGGTCGTGAAGCAGAGGAGGCAAGATGACTTCAGAACTGAGCATGTCAGCGTTGTGCTTTACATGTTACCGAGGCACTCACTCTGATTTGGTATGACCCGTTCGCCTTGGTCAGGTACCGAACCCATTTGACAGACTGATATCCGCTCTTCTCGAATACCTTCAGGAAGCGTACAAGGAGACCGGAAGATGTGAACATGACCACTAAGCCGTCAGCTTGCTTCCTAATCAGGTATTGATGCCGGTGTCAACTGACCTGAAAAGTCCAGATCTATAGGTGGTCTCGACCAAGGCTGGCGGACCGTGGTCGTAGCCAGCTCAGCCTCTGCCTCAAGGGTACATTCCTGCGATCCTTGGATCTTGGGTATCCTTGTCCATAAGCATAGGTACCATGTACAACCCAGGCGTGAAGGCAAGGCACTCACTTCCATATGATCACATTCTCAGCCGGGACATACTTGGCCTTCCCGAGCCCAACCTTCACATCCACCTTGGTCGTATTCAGCGGTGTCGGAATCCTGAGCACAACGTTGTTGGCGTTCAGTTTGGAATCGAATCCTGCTCGGAGGTGGATGACGTATTCGACGCGTGATTTGGTGGGTTCGGTCACGTGCGTTTGGAGGCGGAAGGGGAGGGCGATGTTGGAAGTGGAGCGGTATCTGGGCGTCAGCCATGACTCCGCCGATGATAAGGAGAAGCTCACTTCATGAGCTCAAACTCCCCGTCTGGTGGGATGAAGCTGATAGACCGGTCGGAATCGAATTTGCCTAGTCGGACACATTGATGGAATTGGCAGTCGTCCAGCTCGACTGCGCTTTCGGATTTTGGAGCATTGCCTTCCCTGTAGATTATCAGCTACGGTTGTCGAGAACATCGAGCTCTTTGTAGCTTACTTCTTCTGCAAGACCAGCTTGTCGTTCAGGCCAAATTTACATTCCGGCGTCCCGCTCAGATATGCTCGCATGAGGATCTGCCCATCCACATCTGCTCGTAGAACGGCACCTGCAAGTCAGCAGGGATTGAGCCGGCTAACAGATCAAGCAGACTCACCCTCTTTGCTCATCAAGAGGTTGACAGTCTCAATGACGTCGACGAACGCCTCGTTCTTCCTATACTTGACGTCTGATCTCCGCCATGATGTCGCTCCAGTCGCTTGGATGGTGATTTTGCTAGAGTCCTCCCTCTATCGCGTGAGCTGGAGCCCTCGACATCAAACGAGGCGCAAAAACGCACCACCGCCATTTCCGACTTTATGCTTTCCGTCGTGATATACATCTTGAGCGTGTCGATTTCGGAGTTCTGGGGATACCCAAAGTCCATGATTTCTGGTACCAGTCAGCTACTAGCATACAGGACAGGCCGAGCCGGAGTCAGCTCACCATCAAGCAGCTCATATATCAAGACAAAGTTGTTCTTGACGCTCTCCTCGTCAATCTTGCTGAAATACGCTCGAGATATCGAAATGAAGCGGTACATGAACTCGAACACCAGTGCAGCTGAGGCATTACATCTAGGTTGTCAGCTCAAGCCGACGCACCGAGGTTTGCGGATCCACTTCAGCTTACTTTGTCACGCAGACAACGTAGACGTTGTTCACTCGGACATGGAAGAACGAGGTCGAGCCCAGTGTGATGATGGGCGACCGGACGTCCGGGTTGGATATGACCTGTATTCTGAAGACATCTGATATTGATCGTCTGTCGCTGATCAGCAGAGTCCAAAGGCCGTGAGTGTACGAAAGCCTTACTTGAGGTCTGTCCGGAACAATCGCGAGATGAGGACCTCGCCCTTTTGATTGAAGATGAAGAAGGCCTGGATTGGTCAGATACCGCAGCTCTGTCAACAGATGAAGGCATCTCACGGAGATCATTCTGCTCTCATGTATCGGGTTCGCTCTGAGCTGCTGCTGCTATAGATGCTAGAGGGGTGGACACGAGCGCGACCGGACAAGCTTAAGGCCCAAGCGGCGAGCGATCAGTACGTGAGGAATGTCAACACTGGTAAAACCCACGTCATCGCTTAGCTTCCGACGGAAGTGGCTACGGTAACCGCTCACAGCCAAAGGAGGCTGGCTGCCTGGCTGGCTGGAATTTCTCGAGTCATTCCGAGTTGAGTACTGAATCTTCCTTCCATATCTACTACTCGATAGACACATCAGCTAGTGTATGCTGCGATCATACATAAGAGCTGCTACATCTCGCCTATCTCGTCATCGTCAAATCAGCCTTGGGAACTCAGTATTGCCCACTTTACGAGCTGCCGCGCTCGGACATCTCAAATCATCTTCAACCTCAACTATCCGAGGTTCATACCGCTGCATCATGTCTGAAGCAGCTGCTAAGCCGGCCGAGGCTACATCCGTCGCTCCGGCTGCGAGTGCCGCTCCTGCCGCCGCGGCTGTAGCTCCTTCTGCGGGGGGCGACGCTTCTGCAGAGGGGGCAGACGGCGAGAAGAAGCAGTCCAAGAAAGGAGGTAAGCTGAGGCGTGCGGATTTCCGAGGAGCCGAAGCTGACCAGAACAGCAAAGAAGGAGGCCAAGATGGCTGAAGCTGCCGCCAAGAAGGCAGTCAAGGCCGCCGGAGCTCCCGCCGCACCTGCTGCAGGAACCTCTTCACGCGCCGAGAAGAAGAAGGAGAAGAAGGAGGTCGCACCGGTAGAGGAGTGGGTCAACACCACTCCCAAAGGAGAGAAGAAGGGTGAGCTCGCCTGTGCCTTGCGAATCATGAACAGCTAGCTGATCGCCCAGATGTGTCTGGCAACCTGCCTGCGTCCGGGTACGACCCAATCCAGATCGAGGCGGCACACTATGACTGGTGGCACCAACGAGGCTTCTTCAAGCCCCGCTATCAAGCCGACGGCTCTCCATTACCAGCCGGTGTCTTCAGCATTGCGCTCCCACCACCCAACGTCACCGGTCAGCTCCACATCGGCCATGCGTTGACCGTAGCGATCGAGGATTGTATGGTCAGATGGTGAGCTTTGCGGTGCATCATTGCGAAGCTCGCATAAGCTGATCAGGCAGGAAGCGTATGAAGGGCTTCACCGTTCTCTGGCTGCCTGGATATGACCACGCGGGGATCTCGACTCAAGCGGTTGTGGAGAACAGGTTGATCAAGACTGAGGGGAAGTCGAGGCATGACTATGGGCGCGAAGAGTTCTTGAAGAAGGTCTTTGAGTGGAAGGAGGTGTGAGTACCTGGTACTGCCTATGTGATCCAATGAAGTAGCTAATCTGTATAGCTACCAAGGAAGAATCACCGGCCAGATGGAGCGTTTGGGAGCTTCGGTGGATTGGAGCAGGGTGGCCTTCACGATGAACGAGGTGAGTTTGCATTGAGCGCATAAGACTTCAAACTGACACTGCAGTCTCTCAGCAAGGCCGTTGTCGAGGCGTTCTGTACCATGCACGAGAAGGGCCTGCTTTACCGTGCCAACCGCCTGGTCAATTGGTGTTGCTACATGAACACCAGTTTGTCCAACCTGGAGGTGAGCTGGATATTGCATGAAGCAAGTGAACCAGCTGATCATACAGGTGGACCAACTCAACTTGACCGGCCGGACCTTGATGAACGTCAAGGGGTACGACGCGAAGGAGCGATTTGAATTTGGTGTCATCACTTCTTTTGCCTACCCCGTGGAGAACTCCGGTATGTTCTCTCTTCTGCCAGCGTCAGAGCTCCAGCTGACACCCTAGACGAAAAGCTCATCATCGCCACCACCCGTCCCGAGACCATGCTCGGCGACACAGCCATCGCCGTCCACCCCGACGATCCCCGCTACACCCATCTCCATGGAAAATTCGTTGTCCATCCAATCCTCGACCGGCGTATACCCATCATCACCGACTCCATCACCGTCGACATGAGCTTCGGGACCGGTGCCGTCAAAATCACCCCTGCGCACGATCCCAACGATTTCGAGTGTGGTATGCGGAACAACCTCGAGTTTATCAGCTTGATGAATGACGATGGCACGTATAACGAGAATGCGGGGCCGTACAAGGTCAGTTGTCAGGCTTGCAATGACACCTTGGGCTCAAGCTGACGTTGCAGGGAATGAAGCGGTTCCACGTACGAAATGCCATTCTCAAGGACCTGAAGGAGAAGGGGCTGTACGTTGAAGCCAAGGACAACGAGATGGCGATTCCTGTCTGCTCGTAAGTCCTGCAACTCGTCCTCTGATATACGAAAAGCGATGAAGCTGATCTTGCAGCAAATCCGGCGATGTCGTCGAGTCGATCATGAAGCCTCAATGGTGGGTCAGCTGCAAGCCAATGGCCGAGGAGGCTCTCAAGGTATGCTGTTTGCTGGACAGATCACATCGAGGGGATCAGAGCTGAAGTGGATAGCGCACGCGTGCTGGCGAGCTGGTCATCAAGCCAAAAACTTCCGCCAATGAATGGGTTAATTGGATGGAGAACATGCAGGACTGGTGTATCTCGCGTCAGCTTTGGTGGGGACACAGATGTCCAGCGTATCTACTGAAGATCGAGGGGGAGTCAACAGACGCGAGTTCATTTCGAGTCGCACTTGATGAGCACACTGCTGACTGCACAGGCAACGGCGGAGGAGAACTGGATCGTCGCTCGTTCATTAGCAGAAGCCGAGGAGAAGGCCAAAGCCAAAGCTGGGGACAAGGCGTTCACGTTGAGCCAGGATGAAGATGTGCTGGATACTTGGTTCTCATCTGGTCTTTGGCCATTCTCAACGATGGGCTGGCCCGAACAGGTGAGCAATACCATCCGGACCCCTTTGTACTGTACCAATAGCTGACAGATTAGACTAAGGACATGGAGCATTTCTACCCCAACACCATCCTCGAGACCGGCTGGGACATCATCTTCTTCTGGGTCGCCCGGATGGTCTTCCTCGGTAACACCCTCACCGGCCAGATGCCATTCAAGGAGGTCTTTTGCCACCCCATGGTCCGCGACGCGTTCGGCCGGAAAATGTCCAAATCGCTCGGAAACGTCATTGACCCGCTCGACATTATCACCGGTCAAAACCTCCAGAAATTGCACGACGACCTCCGGACTGGTAATCTACCAGAAAAGGAGATCCAGAAGGCAGAGGACGGGCAGAAGAAGCTCTTCCCCAAGGGTATCCCTCAGTGCGGGACGGACGCTCTTCGGTTTGCGCTCTGCAATTACACTTCTGGTGGTATGTCCCCTTCTGCCCGGCTGGGATGGAGCTGATGGATTAGGCCGAGATATCAACATGGAGATCAACCGAGTTGAGGGATACCGCAAGTTCTGCAACAAGCTTTGGAACGCGACCAAGTTCTGCCTCTTCCGGATGGGCCTTGTCGAGCTTGACGGCACCCGCCTGCAGTCTACCTTTACGCCTCACGCGTCGGCATTGCCAACGGGCAAGGAGAGTCTCGCTGAGAAGTGGTTGTTCCACAAGCTCAACTATGCGGCGAGGGCGGTGAATGAGGCTTTGGAGAAGCGGGAGTTCTCGGAAGCTAGCTCGGCGGCGCACCACTTCTTCCTTTACGACTTGTGCGATGTCTTCATTGTGAGTTGGCAGTGGCTCAAAGCTGTGCGACGCAGTCAGCTGATACGTATAGGAAGCGACAAAGCCCCTCTTTGAAGCCAACGAGGAGTCGGACGCCAAGCTTTCCGCGCAAAACACCCTGTACACCTGTCTCGAGGGCGGTCTCAAGCTCCTTCACCCCTTCATGCCATACGTCACCGAGGACCTCTGGCAGCGTCTCCCCCGGCGCGCTGGGGATGACTGCGAGTCCATCATGATCTCGACCTTCCCAGAAGCTGTAAGTTTCCAGATCCCCTTTCGTCCGGGAAATCAAGCTGACTCTTAGATCCCCGAACAAGACTTCCCCAAGGCCGAGACCGATTTCGATCTCGTCAACAGCACCATCCGTTCCGCTCGATCCGTCGCGGGCATGTACAACCTCCCCACCAACGGCAAGACCCTCGAAGACAAGATCACCGTTCTCGTCCAAGCCAAGACGGCGGCCATTCGTCAGATGCTCGAATCGCAAGAATCGATCATCGTTGCTCTCACCAAAGGCGCGGGCCAGGCCAAGTTTATCGAGAAGGATGAAGAGGTACCGCAGGGGTGTGGAAGCGAGGTCGTTTCGGGGGATGTGACGGTTCATATTCCTGTTCAGGTGAGTGGACGGCTCGACAGCAACAAACAGCCAGAGCTGATAACTGCAGGGCAAGGTTGACGCTGCGGCGGAAATCAACAAGCTGGAGAAGAAGGCCGAGTTGACCGAGGCCAACAAGGAGAAGTTGAAGAAGACTATGGAGCTGCCTAATTACGAGAAGAATGTCAAGGAGGAGGTCAGGCAGGGGAACTCGGACAGGGTGAGTGCGGTCCTGGTGTGATGTCCCGGGGGGAACAGGAGCTGATATCGCAGATGGACATGTTTGAGAATGAGGTGGAGACGCTGCGGTCGGCGATTGAGCGGTTCAAATTATTGCTATAGGTCATCTAGCCCGGCTGATCAGGGGGCGCATGGATATCTGCGCCCATCACTCTTGGCGAGACAGCCGGCAAGGAGGAAAAATCGGCGGACTACCGGCTCATCACTTGTCGAGTATCCCGGATATTTGATGATCTTTGCATGCTAATGTATCGTCGAACTTAGCTCTGGGCCTTTACTGATACTCCTCACCTAGGTATTCTCATGCTGTATACCTAATCCGACTGTTGGTCCTTCACCTGTGCCCCCTCGGCCGCCCGATGCTTAACTCCTCGCCCCGATCATTCGTACTCAGTGTCCCAAGAAGGCTTCTGAACAGCTGCTCAACGGACGGCGAATCAGTTGCAAGCGAGCCGCAAGCAGTCCCCCTCCCTCCAGTCTCTCCACCACCCTTCCGCGCTTCCCTCTCCCTCTCCGCCTGCCCGGTCATCATTGATAGACCCATTCACACGCCTCGCACCCCGGACCACCTCTCGACCGACGCCAAACCATCTTATCTTCTGCTGACCGCCTTTCTCGCGAGATCGACCCCATCCACACCTTTGACCATCTGGCCAGCCTGAGCCTCTGACTCGCCCAGATGTCGCGGTCTGTGAGTACCGGCCGGCCATCGAGCGAGTACTTGGAGGATCGGGAGGAGGTACCACCGGCCAGATTGAGGGTCCGCTATAGATGGAGATTTCGAAAGCCTTCTTCCTGCCTTGAAGAGGGTGCTGTAAGCTAATGTCCGCTATCGGATGCTGACAATCTGATTTGACTGCCAGTTTATACTGAACTCCGCACGTCATACCCCACACAGTGCGAGTGTGGCGCTCGTTAGGCATGCGATAACGTTCAAAGCCGAGCCTAACCCATCCTTTGCCCTTCGTGTCCCTCAATCGTCCTTTGCCCTGGGCGTGATCTGACAGCAAGGGGCCAAACGTGAGTATAGGAGGAGCCTCCTTTCCTCTCTCCGGGGCACGCGGAGGGTCTGGGGAAATGATCAACGGACAATTCCGGCTCCTCCGCGTTTCGAGTATCCTACCCTTGACTTGATCTCCTCGAAGTCAGCCTCCTGCCTGTGATTCAAGGGGAGACTTTATCACCCTTTCTGCCCTGGCTCCTGTGGCTTGCCCCCAATATCCACCCAGGGGGATACATAAGCTATCATCACGACCGGGAGCCGACGATTAGCACCAAGCACGGATGCGGATACTGTGAAATATATCCGGCAGGTACCCGTACCCGGTCAAACGCACGGGTACGGGTCCGAGATCCGAGCCGACTGCGGGGTAGGTGCGGGTACGGGTCTCAGCTAGGGGGCACTGGGTATGGGCGGGTAAGTATCGGGTATACCCGGCGTATCCGCGGCTACCACACTGCGGACTACCCAAGCCAACGCCTCTTTGTCGGAGCTCTGGAGGCTTATGGGCATGATGTACAGTGCCCACCATGTCCGACACGAGCTTGAAATGGGCCGAGTCGACCTCTACAGACATCCAAGTTGAGGCTTACGAGATGAGGAATGAGGAGGCATCAAATTCGCCACCCAGTGGCAAGTGCCGGCGACGTACTTTGTGAGCGCAGAGAGTGCTGACAGCGCTCCACTAGCTGGACAAGGTGATATACTAGCTGCGATGATCCATATTAAGGTCCCAGAAGGCGTGCATGAAAAGTTTACCTTGAGCCGCGGGTACCCGGGTTATACCCGGTATGTACCGGGTTTTGTCCAAAATCCGGGTACGGGTACGGGTATGGGACCCTCGCCTAAATGGGATACAGGTAGGATACGGATACTACTATCAGTCCGATCAGGCGGTATCGGGTACGTACCCGAACCCGCATTGCTCGGTGCTACCGACGATATCTCGTACCAATATCGATACTGATACTTATACGATGCGGCTGACCCTCCTCATCACCGCGCACCTGTCGCTTGTAATCCTGCGTAAGCTACGAGGCCGCGAGTAACATTGTGAGAGCAAGCTAACAGGTCCGACAGCCAGTGTCTTGGCTGGCCGGGTTGACGATATCCGTGACCAGGGCGGTGATCGCGCCCCGGACTGTCAGTATGCAGCGCTGTACAAAGACCCGGAGGGACCCAGATGCGAGGATATTCTGCAGAGTGAGCTCTAGTACTCTCTCGATGTGTCGTGCGCTCCACTGACTGCTCAAGAGAACCTTGGGACCTGTTGGTAAGTGATAATTCCAGGTCATCCAAAACCACCTTGATGAAGTCGAGCATCGTTTGACTTACAGGTTTTCCGCTGGTGAGTACCTTCCATCCCCACTTTCGCGGTCGTCACATATTGATCTCGTGCGCAGTCCTATGTGCCATCACGCGCGTGTCCCAGGATGCCATCAAGAAACGCATCATCTCCCAAGAGGCCATCTCAAAGCGGGCGACCACAGCCCAATGCAAAGGGGGCAATTCTGCTAAACTCGCTACATTCAGGATCACAACCCCCAGAGAACTCTTCAAAAACGATCCTCCAGTACACGCCGACGTGACAGTCGCCTTAGCCGACGTGATGAAGCTGGACAACGAACATACGAGTTCTCTCAAATCCACAGGATGGTATGTACCTCGCCCTAGCTACTCGTATAGCCTGCTTGTCCACATTTTGGACCAGGATCGTCGATCGGCAGTGTAGAGAACTGACGTCCATAGGTGGGTCGCGGGATTCGAGCAAGCCCCATTGAAGAAAGGGTATGTATCTTGGGTCAAAAGTGCTCGCGATGGTACTGACCGTAGCTTTAACAAGCCCCTGGATGAGTTTCCCAAGGAGGATCGCACCTCGGGAGACGCCTTGTGGATGCTCACTGGCAAAATGCCAATGTCCATCCCCAACGAGCCGAGTACTGCTGACTTTGACTTCCCAACACGAGCCTGTATATCATGCCCAACCCTCGCGTGCTCTTCCAGCTGTGGATACACAGCGCTGACTTCTCGCAGGGGATGCGTTCCTGAAATGCGACAAGTCGCCTGTTGTGGTCGGCACTTTCGAACACCTACCGAAAGATCATATCCTGAGATGGGCTAAACATGTGTACACAGTGATATCCACAAGTGTGGAGGACGGGGTGAAGATGTGGGCGTCTTTCACGGTCTTGGTGCTCGTTTCAGAGCTGATGCGCAGGGTCCACCTGTACGATCCATTCGGACACTACATCAAGCACAAGCTCGACCAGATCCTTCCCGAGATCCAGTATATTTATCACCTGGTTGACTTCGTGCCCCCAGCCTAGACACAACTGACTGTTGACCCACTGTAGCATACTTGTATTTGTAGTCCGCGCCGTAAGCTCTCCAGATGTATTTTGTGCAATTGTGCAACCCGCTACAGTACTTTGATCGCCACGATCACTGCGACTCGTATGCGCAGTATTTCTCTGCCCCAGTCACTGTCTGCAGCGGCACCTGTTCGGTCTCGCCCGTCCCTTCCTCTCCGTCTTTTGCAAACCAGCTTCGAATCTGAATGAGAAGCATGCATCTTGAACAATATAGTGATGGAGGCAGGATGCAAATTCGCTCCATCAGTCATTCAGGGGTTCTAAAGTCACAGGGCGGGATCGGACGTGTCCTACTCCATAGCATACTAAAGATCAAACAGAGGTACGCGCGACTGGATCCCTTGGTGCTAGCTAGCCCGGACTAATCGACGAGAAGTCATCTCCTGTAATGAGAATGCAACGTAAGTGATCGCTAGACCAATTCCTCGCATCAGTTGATATGAGACATGCATATGGGGGAAAAAGGCTGTCAGAACGCGAATTCACCGTTCCGCTCGACAGAAACGCACCGCGACCCGCTCTCAATCTCCGTCACATCACCCAGGAAGTACTTCTCCGCCAAGCGAGACATGAGGTCTTTCTCCTTGATGGTTCCCGTCACCCACTCTGCCAGGTCCCCCTCGAAGGGTACCGATGAACCGGCACCCTTTGCCCAGCCCGTCTCCTTCTCGAAACAGCTGATGATTGTGTGAACAAAGGTCTTGATGGTTTTCACATCTGCTTCATTCACCTCCAATTCATCCTCGTATGTCCCGATGCACAAGCCCAAGGCGTGTTAAGGACACCGGGTATGGAAACACTTGATGTCGAGTGGATGGTCGCCTCCTGTCATGGTGCCATATCGGTTCGGGGCGGTGTTTGAGGTGGAAGGAGCCGGGGGGTGGTCCTTGATCAGGGCCCAATCGGGGACTTGCTCCTCGATCACGGTCCAGCCGTTGACTTCGTCTCGGATCGAGCGTGCAGCATGAGCACGGATGCACCGGCTGTCGCTGGTAGGTGCAGACTGAGGAGAGGGCTCGCCACCAGTATCGGTAGCCTGTCGGCTGCCGGTTAGCCCGCTGAAAATTATGTAGAAGAAGGACATGTGAGGGATCGATGCGACTTGGTGTTATAGGTGAATCAGGATGATGGTCGCAGAGTGTCAGTGTAGCAGTCAGGGACGTAGAAGAGATATCTAGGATACGGGGGGCATCCTCGCCTCTCTTGTACCCCAAAGGCCCCCGCTAGGCACCGCTACTGCACAGCTCGCGGGGCTGGTCATATAAGGATACTTACACACTGCGTTTCGCCATTCTATCACGCCCTGAGCTTCCTTTGATTCCCCACAGTGTGTCTCAGCGACCCACGGGAGACGTGGCGGTCCTCATCCCGTCTGTAGAGCACGGGATGCACTGAAGAGCGCTACAAGCTCGTCAGAAAACCCTTTTCCTTTTCGCCTCGCGCGCGGGCGGGATCAGAATGAGCAGTCCGCATTGTCAATCTTGGGTGATGGCATGTCAAATATGACCTCCGAGCTGTCGATCTTGTTTTGACATTGCCTCTTGAACCCCGAGGAGTCAAGTGGGTGGCCATCGGCGGATACTAGCGGCGTGCTATCAGTAAGAGTGAGATCAGTGAGGTCGATATACCGGCAAGCCTGTATCTGCGAGTTCTCCATATGCCTCGCTGCGATTCCCTACATTCAAAATCGCCGGCGAATATCTGTCGCTCCTCCGCTCTTTCTTCGTCAGCTTTGACACTTTCCGTACAAAGCGAGCACTCACCATGACCGCCTCGCTCTCCCTATCGCTCACTTCAGGAATCTTCCACAAGTACCCCGGCGCCTCCCAGAAATTATCATAATCTGCAGGCTTGGACGCCATCGGTCCTGACGTCTTCTCCACGTTCTTCTGCCCCTGCCCACCTCCAACTCCACTCAAGCTCGCACCCCCGCCGCCGCGCGATACCGTCTTCTCTCCTTGTCCATCCCCGCCCATACCCTCTCCTACACCGCCATAGCCCGCCGCACTACTTCCTGCGGGTCCGCTGTGATTGCCCGCACTTGGCCTGGAGCTGTCGCCCGAGCTGGAATCTTCTGACCGAACGTGTCCTTGAGCGGAGGATGAGAGGCTCTGCCCTTTAGGGTTGGAGCTGGCTGAGAGACCGGATGATTGGGATTGGAGCTTGGCGAGGAAGGACTGGAAGTCGTCTTTTACGGACTGGGGAGCGGCGGGGTGAGGAGCAGGTGCGTGCGGAGCTGAGGAGTCAGCTGATCGGCCTTGGTACCCCACCGACCCGCCCCACCGGCTCCTGGCCAGCACTTTCGAGCAGCTCAGTGAGACTCACGGTGCTCAATGTTCTTCCTTGACCCCACAAACTTGATCATAGGCTGGTACGCGTGCGTCGCACGGCGGATGAGGGATGAGCGCATAGTAGCGGAATTCCAGGTAATCGAGGTGGGATTGGCGGAAGGTCGAGCTTTTTCGAGATTGTTTTTCGCGCCGGCTGTTTGGCAGATACCCTCCTCAGCCTTGATATAGCTGTTCTTGCTCTGTGATGAGTGGATGTGCGATGTATAGAGCAAACAGCTATGTACAGGAACGGCTGTGAGGTCGACCTCGTTACCGCAACTGCCGAGCGGGCATATTCCAATCTCCGTCCGCCCGAAAAAGCCGATTTCGCCCATCTACACTCCTGCAACAAGTGGTCAACTTGTACTCACTATCTATCAATATACGAAACCTTAGAAAGCACACTACTAGGGCCGCCAACGCAGACCCACGCGTCAGCTATCTCCCAACCAAAAAATCACCCTCAGAAGCCGTCTATAGCGTCCGCACCGTTCCTCGGGAACCCACCGCTCCACCATGCCACCCCGTCCCCAATCCATCCCCTCCCTCCTCTCTTCCCTTCCCAACTCGTCCACCTACGCCACATCCTCCGCCCGGGCCCACCCTCCCATCTTCATTCGACCCTCGACAGCACCTTCCACCTCCTTCTTCGCCATCACACGCTCCAAGCTCAAGTTTTCCCCAGCGGACGAGGTGAAGCGCGTATCGACCGCTCGACACCCAAGCAAGATTGTCGGAGAAGCCAAGGCGGCGAATCTGCCAAAGTCGGCATTGGCGCCGCCTGTTCCGGACGGGAGAGTCGGGAGTGGAGGGATAGAAGATAGGGGCGGCAGAGTGAGGGTCAGTGGGCGCGCGTGGGGAAGGGAGTATGCGAATGGTAGGTCGCACTGCGAGCGGGTATGAAGGCGTGTCGAAGCTGATGGGTCCAGGAAAGCTCGTACTGGCATCATCACCACTAGCGAAGCCAGACTCGAGGATCCACGGCGCGGCCGAGAAGAAATGGGTGTTGGTCGATGCGTCGGAAATACCGCAAGGGGTGATAGAGGAGCTGAATCAGGCGGTAGCAGCTGCACGAGCGAGCTCATAGCTAGCGCATGTAAGATTTCGAGAGGAGCATCTGGGCATTGGCGGAACACTGCGCGCGGTGACACGGACGATGTGGTACAGAGTAACAGAATACACATGGGCTACAGGATAGACGTACAACAAGCATCCCCACCTCACTCCTGATCTCCTGATCTTCACATACTCACAACACCTCCCGAGTCCTGACCACCTCTCCACTAAACATGAACCTCGCCAAACCTCCACCTCCCCCTGAGCCGGCCTGCGACTTAGCTGGCTCCATCGACTCTACTACCTCCCTCTCCACTTTCTCTAGCACCACACTCTCCCCACCTCGCACCGCATTCTCATCCGGGCCCGCCCTTGACGCGGACGTCCCCGCGGCCCGACCTGCCCTTTCCCGCCGGACCTCCTCAGGCGAGCTCGGCAGCTTCACCGCCGCGTTCAAGCTCTTGACGCTCAGTATACGAGGCGCGAACGCCGAGAGTGGCATGGACGCCATGCCCGTTCGGCTCTGTTTCGAAACTTGAATGTTGGGGCGAGAAGTGGGATTGGTGACGGTGGGTGTGTTGAGTCCAGTGGCGATGGGCTTGGGATCGCGCTGAGAGTTGAGAACGCTTGGCTGAGATCGAGGGGTAGGGAAGGAGAAGGAAGGAGTTGCCGGTCCAGATGGGGTTGGGTCGGTCTTGCGGCGCTTCATAGCTGGTTCTACGGCCCTCGGGGATGACTGCTCATGTCAGCTTGACGCTTCCTGCAGATTGACAGAGTCTCGCAGAACAGCTCACCTTGCTGCCGCTGACCCCTCCCGCATTCAAGGCAAACTTGCTCCTCCAGCCCATAGCTACCGTCTTGGCCTTCTCCACCCTTCTCTCCTCCTCGACCTTCCGCAGAACCTCCTCGTCATCCTCATCTGTCATCACCACATCGTCATCGTCCTCCTCTCTTCCCATCTCCCGCTTCACTCCCCACGCCGCGTCATAACTCGGCGTAACCACCTCATCCTCGATACTATCACTGCTCCCTATCCCCAGTTCCCGCTTCGCCACTCGCAGTCTGTCCTTCTGTATCATCGTCACTCCCCTTCCGCCTCCTGCAGGCCCGGACTCAGCCGCCACCTTGCCCTTCCTCGTCGGTGTCTGCGAGGCAGGCGCAGACGATACCCTCGGCGTCGACCCTCTTGACTCATACAGCACATACCCATCCTTCGGCACCGGTATACTCCGCGCCGGAGAGGGGGAGAACGGGTCTTCCTCTCTCCTTCCTCCGGTAGGCTTGATATCCGGCGGACTGGACAGCATCCGTTCGAGCTTGACCGGCGATTCCTGTATATTCGGCGGACTCGATAGATTCGGTCCATCCGGACTGTGCTCGAATCGGTTTCCGCGCCGAGCAGGGGAGGATTGAACGTGGAGTGACGAGACCGTAGGGCTCGGCGAGCGGATAGGCGAGCTCTGCGCCCCATTGTCTACGGGTGGCAGAGCCGGTCGGGCGGGCGATTCGATATCGACCTCAGGACCCGCTTCGTCCGATTTCTCCCAGACGAGCTTCTCTTCCTCCGCTGGCGCACCTTCGCCGGATGGCCAGCGCATCATCCCCCGCTGCCGAGACGGACCGGCTGTGGCGTTGCGAGATGGGGCGGAGCCGCCAAAGAACTTGCTGCGTCTGGGACCGGTGGGTGTCGCGTCCTCGTCTCCGGGCATAGATCGGGGAGTGAGATCTGAAAGGCGAGTCGGACCAGAAGAGTTTGTACCGACCGGTCGAGGCAAGATAATCTTCTTCCCTGATCGATCAGCTTGTTGCCCTTTCCTCACAATCAGAATATCAGGGAGACTCACGTGAAATGAAGGCGTCCATGGGTCCAGTCTTCAACCCAACATTGACTTTCGTACTCTCCACCAAGACCCCTCCCATCCTGACCTCCTGAACCACCGCGACAGACCGCGAGCCAGGCTGATAGTCCGGCCACTCATCCACAATTGATACCCGCGTCTCGGGATGGAGATCACCACTAGCCATCCCCTGTGCTATCTCGACATCCACATCCCTACATTCATCAGCTTATCCACTCGACATGGGGGTCATGGCAGCTGCTCACAGTCCGATCCACCGCTCATCCTCCTCCCCCAGCCCCGCCTCGGGGAAGTCATTGATGGGTCTCAACCTCTTCTCTCTCGGACAGTATACTCGTTGGTGCATGAACGCCAGCTCGGCCTGGTTGAACGCCTGGATGTAGTTGTCGGGAACTTTATGAGCACCTTCGAGTCGGAGTTGCATCAGGACCTGCGTGGGTCAGCTCATAGCTCTTCGAGTAATTCTGCATCGGAAAGCTCACCTTCTCAACAGTCTTATACCGCCGCAGAGCACCATGTGCCTTCTTGAGGCCAATTCCGGGGATAGAGGGAAGGTAGTCGCATCCGGATAGCATCTGAAGGATCAGCCAAGCTCCAGCCCATGCGGATAGTAGCTGGACTCACTGCCATACGTCTGAACTGAGTATTGGTCCACCCGTCCATAGGGAACTGGCTGATCGTAGCGAGCTTGTCCCGATGAATATGGACGCAGTTCCCATCGCCATCCAACTTGAAGATCACCTGATGAGTCAGCTCTGTTCGTTCCCGACCAGCGAGCGCACCGCAGCTCACCTGCTTGCAGCCAAAGACGAGAAGATCTGAATCCTCCGTGATGATCCCATCGACGTAGCCTTCGCGCTCGAGATAGTATAGCTGCGCGTCGGCTTCATATGGCGCGACAACGTATTCGACATTTTCGGCCCTGAGAGCCTGACATCAATCAGCTCTTGGCCCGTGCCAGACAAGGTCCGGACATCGGCGACATAGCTCACCTTGATGAGCTGATACGCCATCTCGGGCGTGATGTCCACGCATTTCGTATAATGGTCCCTCGCCTCCTTCTGCCTCCCTTGGCTCTCGAGCGATGTCGCGCGTGCTGAATTCTCCGCCCGAGATCTACCGGATCAGCTTTGTGCCCAAAGCACATGACATTTTCAGATGCGACAGCTGAACATACTTGGCGCGCGACACCTCCGTGCCCTTCTTGGCCGGCAAAGGTCCGCCGTCGAATACGATGAAGGGGGTGATACCGTGATGTTTGAGCAGGCGGACTCTATACATCGCGTAGTCGACGAATCTTCTAGGTCAGCTTACCTCGATCTGCATGTTACAGAAGGAGGGCTGTGCGAAGCTCACTTGGTGGTCCGTTTCCCCTTCACAAGATCCTCGGCACACCCGAACGCGCCTTTATGAAGCCAAACATACGCCTAGATACAGTCAGCTCTTGCTGGAATTATCTCAGGAATCCGAATGAGTCAGCTCACATCGACAGCAAGTCTGTGATATCAGCTGTTACTCATCGAGCTACGGACGCGTCCAGCACGACGGTGGACTCACCGCTTCCCCGCGAAATCCTTGATGTTCCCATGAACGCTGATCTCCTTTAAGAGCGGCAAGAGCCCTTGAATCCCCATCGCGATATGCAGCGACGGCTAGACGGGCGAGCGTAGTGCGGAGTATGGAGCAGCTATACTGCTGTATGTCTAGTCAATGTATGGGTTGAAGGTTGAGCAGAGAAGGAAAGTCAAAACGCACAAGGCGGGAGAATTCAGGCGCGTCGAGCCACGTGGCTTTGACGCGCGGAGAGTGGCGGCGGCGCTTATCTGAAACATCAGCCAAAGGAGATGAAACGCAAGGGGTTGCAGCCTATGCAGGTCGTGATCTATCGTACATGTCTACCGATGAGCTACAATGGTACTGCCCTCCACTACTAGCCCCTCCACCATATATATCGTATCCTCCGCTAGACATAGTATCCTGCCACCGGGAACAAAGCAGAAATTGGCACAACCGCCCTTTTTGCCACCTTTCACTAGCTCGAATAATCTGTTATCTGGTCAGCTCGAGCGCGTACATCCCATCGAGCATGCTTACATCTTTCCGATAAGCTCGCCATTGGTACCTGCGGTCAATCACGGCCTTCAGCATTAAGGTAGAATAACTCACTCCATATATGCAGCCCATCACCACAGCCGGCATACACGTTGCCGAGTTCGTCGCACTTGACTATGGATCAGTAAGGCAGAGGCGTAGTGGACTCACTTCCATCCGGTACACCGCTATCGCAAAAGGCGAAAAGGCGTCGACTCTGTAGTTGAGGTTCTCGACCGTGCCAAACCACATCGAAGGCGTAACTGGAGTCAGCCCCGCCGAGCGCTGAAACTCACATAGTGCTTGTCTTGCTCGGATCTATCACACCCGAGCCGTGGATGTGCGCCGTATCCGAGATGTAGCACACCTCGCCCCTCGGATCAAAGCAGATACCGTTTGGGTGGTCAAACCCATCTGCTACTGCCCGTACCGCACCCGTCGCAGGGTTGAAGACGTAGACCTGGCTCGGTAGCTGGGGTGATGGTCTGAAGCCCTGCTCGTACCCGTACGTCGGATCGGTAAACCATATAGTTTCGGAACCGCAGGAATGAGGGGGAGGGAGGACGATGACGTCGTTGAGTGAGTTGAATCTACGACCGTGGAGGTTGTTGAGGATGGGTTGGGACTGGTATGGGGGGAGCGGGTCGACCAGGACGAGCTGCGACGGTGTGTCGAGGGAGCCCTGCTCGCAGAACAGGAGATGGCCTCGGTATAGGCACCCGCCATTGCCTAGTGGTACCGCAGGCAGTTCGACCGCCTCGACCGCGAGGGTGTCTAGCCTGAGTTTGGAGATCTCGACCCGGATGCTCGGACCGGCGCGTAGCAGGTTGCTAGTGAACCATACCTCGTCGGTAGCAGGTACGTAGACGCCAGCCTCGTGTGCGAAGGCATGAGGACGCCGTGCGATGACCTCAACATCGGCGGTCGGACCGAGGACCCGGGAGAAGAGAGCGTCATTGATAGCGATGAAGGGTTGGTCGGGGACGAGCTCAAGGCAGTGCTGCTGTCCAGACTGAACATGAGCGATGCCGTCGATAAACGAGTCCCGATGGAAACCGGGTGGAAGGACCGAGTGAGCCGAGGGCGGTAGCCGCTATCATTAGTCATGCTGACGCTCGCGACCCACCTGACACGTGATAGGTAGAGATGAGTGCTTCATTTTGCTGTTAGTCGGGCATGACGTTCATGAGCGAACACCGCTGGCTACTTAACAGGCCTCGCCCGGCTGAAACGGAGCTGAAACCGACCTGGTCCGACCGGACCAGTCGGACCGAGATAACAAGGACGATCAGCAGGTGATGCGGTTACTGATCGAGATCTCGGATGCAGACGTCGTTGCTAGCGTGCTGATTATGGCAGCTTATGGCAGCTTTTGGAACAGTCTCAGATCTTATCTCTTTACCGGCGGCTTCTGCTTGACCGGCTTCTTTGGCGATCCCGGAGAGTATACCCGCCTGCAACCGATATCTCGATCCGACCCAACCGGAGACTGAACACAGAGATGTCTCTGCATGTCTGACATCGAAAGCTATATAGGTACCTGTAGGCGGGGTATAGCGGCCCCACACTCCTCCATCAACTCGTCACGATGCTCCAAGGTCCAGCACTCCTCTACACCGTTACACTGCTCACAGCGCTCGGCTTTATGCTGATCGGCTATGACAATGTGAGTCTTTGAAATTTTGCAAGAGATCGCGACTGATTTGCAGGGTGTCATGGGCGGGGTCATCAACAACCCTCCTTTCCAAGAGACCTTCGGCAATCCCTCACCCACACTCCTCGGTACCATCGTCGCCATCTACGAGATCGGCTGCTTCGTCGGTGCGCTCCTCTGCGCTGCCATCGGCGAACCCCTCGGCCGGAAGAAATCGATCCTCATCGGTGTAGTCCTCATGCTGGCTGGTACCGCTTTCCAGGCTGCCATCTCCAGCACTGGCGGGATGATCGCCGCTCGTATCGTCTCTGGTCTCGGTATGGTACGTCTCCTAGCTGTCCCGTGCTGACCTCAGGGCTTCCTCAACTCCACCATGCCCGTCCTCCAGGCCGAGGTCAGCCCCAAAGCTGCTCGAGGCCGCTTTGTCTGCTTCCAGCTCACCCTGCTCAACGCCGGTAGTGAGTATACCATCCACTTGCCTGGACGTACCGAGCTGACCCGCAGTCATGATTGCCTACTGGGTCGGCTATGGCTTCACTCCCGTCGATGGCTCCAAGGCATGGCGTATCCCCGTCGCCCTTCAGGCCATCTTCCAGGTCCCCATCCTCATCCTCGTCCTCATCGTCCCCGAAAGTCCCCGTTGGCTCGCCTCGCACGGTCGTGCCGAAGAGTCTCTCTCCGTTCTGGCCCGGCTCCAGGGTAAGCCCGAAACCCACCACGATGTACTCGCCCAGCACCAGTCTATTCAGGACGTCGTCGCTCTCGAGGCTTCCATCGGCAGCGGCAAGTGGCGCAACCTGCTCAAGAACGACTCGGTGAAGTCTCGTCGTCGTCTTCTCATCGCTTGCTCCATCCAGTTCTTCCAGCAGATCGGAGGTATCAACGCATTGATCTACTGTGAGTCCCAGTACTCTACTAGTAAGGTACGCGGGCTGACCCGCAGATGCCGGAAACTTCTTCGCCCTGGTCTCTGACTCCCCCGCCCTCATCGCCGGTGCCCTCTTCACCTGGTTCTTCGTCGCCTCCTTCATCCCTTGGTTCCTCATCGACAGTCTCGGTCGGCGCAAGCTCCTCCTCATCTGCATCGCCGGTATGGCCATCTGCTTTGCGGCCGAGACCGGTCTCGTCTCCAAGGTCCAGTCGGATCCCGGAAACAAGGGTGCGGGTATCGGAGCGACAGCTTTCTTGTTCCTCTACATGGCTCTCTTCACCGTGAGTTCTCGCCTTACCTTTCTGTGCGGTTCAAAGCTGATGAATAGACTGGTTTCCAAGCTGTCGTCTGGGTCTACCCATCCGAGATCCTCCCCCTCTTCCTTCGTCAGAAGGGTTCAGCCATCTCGACCGCTTGCAACTGGATCACCAAGTAAGCTGTCTCTTCCCCTATCCCCCAATGCTCGCGCTGACAATCAGCTACGCCATCGTCCAGATGACACTCCCCGCTCTCGACGCCCTCGGTTACAAGTTCTACATCATCTTCGCCGTCATCAACGCCTCCTTCCTCCCTCCCATCTACTTCTTCTACCCCGAGACTAAGGGACTCTCCCTCGAGGCGGTCGACGAGCTGTTCATGGGTCGGGCGGTGGAGCATACCGAGGACCCGGTGTATGAGTCCAAGGGCGGCGCGACGGCTCACCTCGACCACGAGGGCAGGCATGACTCGGGAGATCTCGATGTCAAAGTCTAGTGTACCATGGGCTAAGGGGGATATGAAGACAGTTGTCATCAGTGAAGAATTAGAATCTTAAATACACATGCCTACGCCGGTTGAACTTCCTTCTCTGATCATGCAACTCAAGCACGAGAGCCCACGATCTCAGGCCTGTGAGGGCGCCAGGAAACACACCCCCAGCCACGCACTGACTGTGAGCCGGCACCGCTACCATCGAGATCCGACGTCGACCTGGATCTCGCTGCACCAGTCTACTTGCGATGCATGCGTGCCTTCTCGCATATTCCCAGCAGGACTTGGTACATCACCGCCTCTCGCTCAACCGCACAACTCTGCCACTCTTCCCGTCATGCACGACTGACCGTCACAGAGACAGTCCCGAGCGAACTCCCATCATTTGCCACCCACAGCTTTCGCTCACGGATTCTCTCCTCAATCAGGGTCTTGACGTCCCCGTCGCTCTTGGAAGACGCATCCTTGGTCTCTGTCCACCATGCGTCAAGGTCTTTTCGCAGTGTGCGAAGCCGCTCTTTCGTGGCCTGAGGATCGCTGTCTTGCCCCAACTTCAAATTGAAGCCAAGAACGGTCGCAATTGGATTGACCATGAGGTCCAGGGAGGTCTGTGTGGTGGACATGTCTGGTAACTGAATATGATCAATTGATACCAAAGCTTGATGTAGACAGGGATATTGTACGGAAGTATCACGCATTCGAGTCTCATATATCCTCATCAGGAGTAGCAGGAACATCAACGGCGCCGTCTCGTCTTCTTTTGTCAGGCGGTCTCGAAGGCCCCAACACACCAGATGTCGTGATGATGAGGCCTTCTCACGCCTCGATGGAGAGAGCACTGAGTATATGACGTCAAATGGCCGCGTGAAGGATCATACAACGCCCGGGTCATCAGTGCCTCGAGGTGCAAGGACTCGTCAGCGATAGGAGCGATAGGTGTTCCTAGGCTGCGCCAGTGCCACGAACTTCCTATCTCCGCCACGGCTTGCGATAGGCGGTGTGGCTGAAGGGACTGTAAACAACTATCTGGAACTGATCGAAGAAGCAAAGCTGATCACAACTCGTATGCACAGTGTCATGTCCCCAGAGAAGAGAGTGTCTGCAATATGACACGTGACTTCAAGCTGCTCTGGCCGTGTCTTTGTCCACCCGCACCTCAACCTCGACGCGGAATGTGTGTCCGCTCTCAGTCTTCCAGAGCATCTCCGGCTGGATCGTGTCGCCACGGGCGACGAATGCGGTCAAGTGCCAAGCGGTGCCAGAGCCGGCGAGGTTATTGGTAGAGAGGTGCGTATCCCAAGCGCGGCTCAGATCCGCGTAGAGGTCTGTGACGTTCATCTCGGCCTCCCCGGCGGTACAATCGACTGTACCCTCAAGGGAGGCGCCGAGGTGAAGTGTACCGTTCTTCAGTCCTGGCTCGAGCTTCAGCACAGGAGGTTCATGGACCGATCCCATCGAGCGCGAGGACAACGTACTCCTGTTGATGAACACGAGGTTCGTGTGGCTGGCAGACATGTTGCTGGAATGTGCTGATGTGTGTTTCGGTAGGAGTGAAGGATTGTTGTCGAAGTTAAGACACCAACTACAGGTGGCGTGTTGAATGCCTTATATATTGTGGTGGGAAAGCCGGTCGAGGAGCCTGACTCCGACCGTCACAGGCGCGCCACAGCAGGTACTGCACTGCCGAGTTCGATCTACACCCCGCCACACTATTGCTGTACAGGATCTCAATTCTAGTGTGCTTGATTGTAGATCCATCACTATGGCTTCAAGGGATCATCCTGACAGGATCTGAGCTGGCTTTGGCGAAGCGAGCAGTGCACAGCCCCATTATCGATCCGTGAGCATTGCGGCAAAGGATTGTCAGACTACACAAGATCGCAATCTGTTCGAACGCTTTTCGACGCTTTTCGTTAAGTGGATGTGCCCCCTATGGATCGATCACATCATCGCGCGTGCCGCACAGCCTCCATCGGCCTTCCTGGGGGCAGAATGGCAAAGGAATCACAAATCTGTCAAGATCGCAATTTGCCCGAACGCGTTTCGTTATTGAAAATGAAGGGATCTGTCTCCTATCGACCGAATATGGGTTGTCATTCGATGCGCAGCCTTAGTGAGGCTGCGCGCTCCAGAGTGGGGGAGTGTGGCGAGCTGTGTGGCCAGCCAGCAGACAGGGCAGATACAGACCGCCACGCTCAGCCGCCACTCTCGCTGCGATGATGTCTCACTCCGCATTCCTCAAAACCAGCCTCTACCCCCCCGCTCGGCCTTGCCCATCTGCGACCTTGATCACGCAATATACAACGATATACCATAGCTTACTGGAGCTCATCTACTGCATCATGCCCCCCTCACTCACCTCCCCCTTCTTCTCAGCCCTCCGCTACTCCCCCCTCCTAGCCAACGCCGCCCTCCCCCTCCGATCCCTCTTCACCTCCTCCCCCCCACCCACTTCTCCTACCGTACAGCGGTACCTCCTCCGACAACCCTGGAGCGGTGCCTCACGAGAGTGTCCGACACCTATCATCCTCGTACGCGCTATCGGTCTTTCCTCCGCATACCCATCTCTCGCCTCCTCTGGCTCTGGCTCCAGCCCAAACGCAGAGGAGGACGGGCACTGGGAAGACTGGGGAGCTATGTTTTCCGAAAAAGGTTACACAGCTCTAGAAGTTGACATCGCCGCTCCGTCCACCCTCACCCCGCCTTCCCCCTCCGCTTCCGCCGATGGAGCCGCCGACCGCACCGTGACTCAGCCCCCGCCATCCCCCCTCAAAGCCATGTCCTCCCTCCTCGCCTCCCAGATCCGCCTCCTCGCGATCCCCTTCCCCCCCATTCTCGTCTCTTCAGAGGACAGCTGTCTTCTCACTCAGATGTATATCGAGGATAACCCCGCATCGGGGCTGGTTCTCCTCGATCCGCCTTCGGACGACGCGGGCGGATCGGGATCCGCCAGCAAGGCGGCAGGGGGAAACGCGGACGCGTGGCAACTCCCCAAGTTCGGGTATGAGCCAAGATTCCCTATTCTCCTCATGGCGAGTACCGACAGAATGGGGGAGGTGGAGCAAAGTAGGCTAGGGAAGGCAGCTGCGAATGGACGAAGTAGGGGCGGGAAGGGGGTCACGCTGGAGCGGGTGGTTGATGGGCATAGGGGGGAGAAGAGCCGGATAGTGCGTTTTCACACCTCTTTACTGTTCTCGGGCAGAATATGGCTGATGTTCAGGTCGTCGAGCGGTGGATGGACAGCTGTGGGTTCTGAGAGCATACCATACCTTTGTACGATCTAAACAGGGCAATCGAGGCCAGAGACCTGAGTGATGCATGATCATTTTCGTACTTGTACAAACAGCCCGTCTATACCGCCGCACCACACACACCTACACAACTCCCGCCCCCTAATCCTCCTGCAGATCCTTCAAGAACTGATCCACGTCAAAGCCATCCGGAATGTCCATATCCAATTCAGGCTGACCCGCTTGTCCCTGCCCCAGAGCTGCTCTCCTCCCATTTTGACTCTCAACTCCATCTACTCTTCGCCCCGACCCCCGCCCCTGCGAGTCCTGGTTAGGCACCCCAAAGATCTCATCTAGGGACGTATCCACCCCTGCCCCCGGACCTCCCCCCGGACCTCCTCCGCCTTCTGAAACAGGCGACAAACCACTGCCCCCACCTTGCCCCTGTTCTAGAGCCCCAGCCCCCACATCCAGCCCCATACTCCTAACCAACTCATCTATCCCCTTTTGCATCCTCTCAACGTCCCCTCCGACCCCTATCGCATTCTCGTAATTCCGCATCAACTCGGCCTGGTTTGCTAGGAGTTGACTATCCTCCAGACTGGGACTGGGGAGCGGGTTGAACAGCGCCAGAGTGGGATCGGGGCCGCCGCCGTTGCCGTTGCCGTTGCCGGTCCCGTTGCTGCCCCCGCCTTGGCCGTTCCCATTCGGATAAGGAAGATGCTGAGCCTGCGCAGACGTCTTGAGACTGTTCAAAAACATCTGCGCCGCCGCCGGTGATTGTAAAAGCGAGCCGATCGTCGTCTGCAGCAAAGACGGATCGAGGTTGTACGCCGATGCGGCCTGGGCGGCCTGCGATTGGAGATGGGACGAGGTGGGGTCAAAATCAAAGGCGGTATGGGTGTCGTATACATTCCCGTTGATGTTGGCTGCCCCGTTGGTCGTTTGGGCGTACGTGCCATTGACGCCGAAAGCGGGGTTGGAGGCCGCGTTGGAGTTGGAGGGATAGTATGGGGCGAGCGCGAGCGCGTAGGGGTCACTGGGAGTGTTGGAAGTTGTGGAGGCGGTGCCTGTCCCTCCGCCTGGGCCCGGAGTAGGGAGTGGGGACGGTTCGCCGTCCGACGGGAGCGTCGTGAAACGTCCAGCGGCCGTATCCCAGCTCTGATGGTCGGACGAGCGGGTCCGAGTAGGCCGAGGGAGGAACGTATCGTTGAACCTGGACTTTTTGTCTGCTCCGTCAGCTCTGGTTCCATCTTCGAATTCGAAAGCGTCGTGGTATTTGAACTCACCTGCAGACGCCGACGAGATCTCCATCAACCCATCCTCCTCCCTCCCATCCCCAATCATCCTATCCATCCCCAACCTCCTCTTCTTCCTCGCTGACCCACCCACATCTTCCCCACCATCCGCCTCTCCTCCTGCACCTGTACCACCCGGCGTCGACCCCCCTCCTCCCGCCCTCGCAAGTCCCGACCGCCTCATCGCCTCCTTCAACCCCTTGAGCCCCTCCCCGTCCGTCCCAAACAATCTCTCGAGAAACGACACAATCAGATCAATCGTCTCTTGGTGCTTCTTGTGCTTCTCCCGCTGCTCCATCGCCTCCCGCCACAACAATTCATTATTCGATTGCAGCGCCTTGAGGTCAGCGCCGATACTCGCTTGCGTACGCTGGATGGCGGCTATCCCCGACGTGATCGCTGAGAGTTCCAGCATGCCTTGTGGGGAGATGACCATATTGCTGCTGCGCGCAGAGGAAGGCATGGACGCCTCGCCCTGTGTCGTGCCGTCCGTGATGAGGTGCAAGGGATGGTAGGTGCCGCCGGGGGAAATGACTTGAGTTTGGGCCGCTTGCGCTTGGCGCGCGGACGAGCGCGAACCGGCCGAGGCGACAGACGAGAGAGGGGCGGGAGGACCGCCAGCGCGCTGTTGACGCGTGATTTTGCCGAGGAGCTCGGGGTGGTCTCGCTTGAAAAGGGGGTTGATGAATTCCCAGAGCTCGGCTTCGCCGGTTGGGGTGATGGAGGTGTGGGGGACTTTGTCTGGGGTGTCAGCAGGGTCACCGTCGGGATGGGAGTTTAACGCGAGGGATATGGTGAGGGAAGAAAGGTAAGGGGAGGTACGTACGGAACGCATACATGTTGAGCTGGCGGACAAAGCTCTGGAAGTTGGAGTGCTTGAAGTACCGGGGGAAGATCTTCTTGGCGAGTTCCTCCTGGTGCGGGACTGCAGTATGAGTTTGAGTCCTTCCACCTTCGGAAGGGCATAGCTCACTAAGGAATGAGTCTCCCTTGGGCGACCAGTAGATGAGCGCATTGGTATCTTGGTCAGAAACCATACTACGACATCAGTCCACCCCTTACTCCCCTCCATGCGGTTGCAACTCACCTGAACAGCTTGGTCAAGAACGCAGGCACCTTGGTCACCTCCCCATTCTCATCCACGCTCAATCCATTCCTCTTGATTCCCCCGGCTCCACCTCCAGTCCCAGCTCCAGCTCCAGCCCCCGCAGATGCTGACCTCCCCGGTTCCTCCACATCCACCTCATCCACCATATGTATAGGGGACGGACTTGCGTCATTCGACTTGCTGGGAGAAGGTACGCGGGGTTTCGATGGTCCCGCCTGAGCGTTGAAGGACTTGTACGACATGGCGGCCGAGGCAAGTCTGGGGTAGTATTCGGTGAAGTCCGGATAGAAGGGAGGATGCGAGTGAATACTGATCGGTATTTCGCGCTTGAAGTATGTGGCGAAAGAGACGGTGCTAGCAGGTGCTAGAATGGCCTAGCATGTCCAGGAAGGTGAAGCGTATTGGCAGTTGGATATGTAAGGAATGACAAGGGGTAAGAGGTACAAAGGAGAGCGAGAGAGGGCTGGAGGACAAGGCCGAGGCCGAGCAAAAGCTGACCCGGGAGCCTATATCTTCGGAGTTCACCGGTCACGCCTAAACTGACCAGCTTGGCAGCCAGAAATAGGCGTGCCCCGGCTCAATGGTGCCCCGTCGCTGTGTGTTACTGAGCATCTCTATCGCAACAACCTCGGTCCCTCTTGGGTACGGCTGCTGGTACATATAAGTCATACAGAGCCATGGTGGCGACTATGACCCCTTCGCTCATCGATCCACTGAGCGAACCTACCGATACCTCTAGTCCAGAACAGCCCGACACCGAGGCCAAGCCCGAGCAGTCCGAGCTCCCCGACTCATCTACCCCAACAACCGCCCTCTCACCCCATCCCCATCCTCCACGAGCCTCGTCCATCCCTGTTCCCGCCGAAACTCCCTCCTCATCCCTCCAAGCCCCGTCAACCCCGCTCGTACCCCTCTCACTAGCCCGCCGGCGGCCTAAACCACCTACCAAAGGTATTCTCAAGCCCCCTCCGCCTCCGCCCAAGCCCACACTAGGCAATCGACTCCGAGATCTCGCTGCGAACGTCGTTGGTGGACCTACGTCTGGAACAGCAACAGGTCGAGGGTTTTTCGATTCGGACGATGCCGGCTCAGGCTCGGGATCAGGCTCGGGGTCGTCGGCGGGTCCATCAGGGCTCGGATCGCCAAGCGCGGGCGGTCTAGGCTCGCCAGGGAGCGTGACGGCCGCGGTGGGAGGGACGCTGGGCGCACTGGGAGGGAGGATAGGGATGGGGCTGAGCCGCTTCGTGGCTAGTGCGACGTCGCCCGTGGGGACGCCGACCGGGTCGCCTATGAGCCGGACGATAGGACTACCGGATATCGGGGGCTCGCCCTCGGGCCTGCCAGTGGCACAGCCGGCGAGCGAGAAGGCTGTACCGAGGAAACAGAGGGGTCCGCTCAGGAGAGCGACGTTCGTTTTGCCCTCGTTGAGCATAACGTACCCGATCAGCTCGCAGGGGGAGCCATGGAGTACGAAAGTTATCGAGGATAGGAAACGGGTGAGCTTCAAGACGCTCGACGCATGGCTGGATAGGAGCTGACTTGCAGATCGAAAGCTCACATCGGACACTAATGTCTGTGACGACCGGCGCAGAGTACTGGACAGCTGCGCGCCTTGTGAAGCTATACGAGACGGCATGTAAGGGGCGGGAGGAGAAGCCTCGAGTGGGCATAGTCCGAGCGCTAGAGGTGAGCTTTGTACCCCTCACCCTCCCTCTCCTTAATATGTCCTGAACCTCAGGTCCTACCCCGCCATCCCCGCCCGCGTGTCCTCCACCTAACCCTCCGACCCGACCCCCAATCCTCCTCTCTCTCCTCCTCCGCCCCATCCCAGACCCCCGCCCAAAACTCCCTCGACACCCCCCTGAACCGCCACGCCGCCGAAGCGCTCGCCGACGTCCTCTCGTCCGAATGGGCCCTAAGCGACGTCCGGCTCGAAAACGGCATTATCGAGGATGATCTGGCTCTCAAGCCTATACTGCACGCCTTGCTCGTCAGTGGGACATTACCGAGTTTGAGCCTGGCGGGGAATCGGAAGGTCCGGGAAAGGGGTTGGAGGCTGTTGGCTGTTTTCTTGAAGAAGGTGTGTCTGTGTCCGCCCCCCGAGCGATGATTGCAGCAGCTGACGGGATACCCTAGGCGAGATCACTCAAATATGTGGATCTGTCGGATACGACCTGGGATCGCCGGTCGATCGATTATCTCGTACAGGCGCTGACGGCTACGGCTGTTCGGTCGCCCTCGCCCTCGCTAGGGGGGAGTGTGGATAGACTCGGTCTGTCGGGTCATGTGGAAGTGGAAGCGGGCGGTTGTGAGGAGGAGGGAGCCCTGCCGAATTGTTATGGCTCGTTTGTGCCGCATGCGCCATTACTCAAGGACTCGGAGGATTTGCGTGCGGCGGGATTGCAGACGTTGAGGATGGATGGCTGTACATTGCGTGCGAGTCTGCTAGAGCCGCTCGGTAAGCTTTTCCCCAACAAAGCCGCACAGCTCCGACGGATCTGGGAATACAGCTGACGTCCGCAGCTGCTGGGATACGCTCCTCCGATATCCGCAACCTGTCACTACGGCGTAACAAGATCGGACCCGTCGGCGCCGTCGCTCTCGCCCTGATGATAAGAGACTACCCCGACTCTTCTTCTTCTTCATCTTCATCCTTCACGCCTTTCCATCCCGCCTCGTCGACCGCTTCGCTCCTCGTTAACCAACCCAACGGCACCGCTCCCTCCCCGTACACCCCTCGACCGCGGCAAACGATGGACTCTCTAGCGTCTTCTCTCGGCTCACCAACCGATCTTACACAGGGATTGGCGAACGGCCATGTACGCGTCCACCCAAATGGCCCGCCCGTACCCCCAAAACACGCACTTTCCGCCTTCAACATCAACCCTGATGGCAACGGCAACGGCCACGGCCACGGGACTGCTATTACCACGGCTAACGCAGAAGGGCGGATGAGCGGGCCAGATCCGAGTACCGGCGGCGCGTCAGTAGCGTTACAAAGACAGGTCCGGTCTCTGGATGGAGTCGAGCGGATAGGGCGATTATTGACCTTGGACCTGAAAGGGAATGAGATCAAGGTGGGTCTTGGATCTGCTCTGTGTTTGGATGCCCGAGGACGGGAGCAGTCCAAAATGAAGGGGAAGGAGCTGATCATGTAGAATGGCGTCACGTATATTGCCCAAGTCCTTAAACGAAATCGGACGCTCAAAGTTCTCAATCTAAGCGATAATCGGATCGACCCGCCGGGATTGCTTGCGCTTGCCGATGCGCTCAAGTATAATTCGACGCTGGAGACGCTGGATCTGAGCTCGAATCCCTGCTGCGGGCCGAGTCTCGAAGGGGTATGTTGCGCTCCCGGTCTTCGGTCCCCTTCCTCTAGTTCCCGCTCTGTGCTCAGGTCAACGAAATGAGCTGACTCTTAGATCACCGCCCTCCGCACGGCCTTTACAGCCAACACCTCCCTCAAACGCCTCTTCTTGTCCGAAACCAACCTCCACCCCGAAGGCGCCATCGCGCTCGCCGAGTTCCTCCCCGAAGCCCACTCTCTACTCCACCTCGACCTGACCTCGAACCCGCTCGACGTCGCCGGCGTGCTCGCCCTCTCTTCCGGCCTCAAGAGCAATACCGTCCTCCGCTGCCTGGACGTCTCGATCCCGCCCAACAACCCGGACCTCGCGGATCTCAGCCAAGGGATCTTGCAGACGTGTATCCGAAACACGGAGCTCGCCGTTGGCGCCAGTGGCACCGGCAAGGGAGGGGAAGGAGTGTGGGGACCCATCAAAAAGTCGGTCCTGGTGCGCCAAGTCAAAGAGGCGGAGCTCTTCCGCGCCGAGCAGGAAAGACTGGGTGTCATGTCCTCTCCTGAAGGCCTCGCGAGGGAGTATGTCTACAAGTTGACCCCCGAGCGCCTGGTGCCGGTGTGCGAAACCACGGGACGGGATTTAGAAAGATGGTTGGCTGCTGGGGAAGCTGTCGACTCTCCGCTCTTTGCAGCGTGGGAGCCGGGGCAATTGCCGCGTGAGGAATGGCGAACGTTGTGGGAGCGAGCCAAGGCGTTACGGGAGAGGCTGGCGGATGAGATTCCGCGCTTGGAGGATGAAGCGGTAGTGGGGCGGATGTTGGAGCTGAATGATAGTCTGGGGGCGGTACTCGATGAAGCGGACAAGAGGAGGTTTGTGCCACCGCCGAGATTGCTCTTGCCTAGTCAGATCGTCGCTACGGCGGCGGCGGCGGCGGCGGCGGGTTCTGGGCCAGGGCAGGGGCATGAGAACGGAAAAGGGGGAGTGGGAATGGGCATCGGACAGCCAAGTCCGATGACGGCCCGACATCGACGACATATGCGCGGAACGAGCCTCGAGATTTCGAGCCCGAATTTCAGTATCGGGGATAGCGATAACGATTCGGACGCGGAGGAATTGGACGTGGGGAGATTACCGCCCAGTCCTCAACCGCCACGGGCAAGGGGTCGGTCTGGTAGCTCTGGCGGTGCTGGCGCGTCGGGATATATCGGATCTGGATCCGGATCCGGATCTGGATCCGGGGCGAATGGGAATGGGAACGGCACTGCCACTGTCGAGGACGGACGGGGAGCGAGACCTCCGCCGAGTGATTTGAGGTTGGAAGCGGAGGACGAAGCGGAGCAGGCCTTGCGCGAGGCTGCGATCAGTAGTCCGGTGGAGAGGGTGGGGAGGGCGTGGATGGAGGAGGAAGGAGAGGTTTTTAGGAAGGGGAGTAAGTTGGGGGTAGGGGCGGAAGCGACGGAGGATGATGAGGATGGGGATGGAGGGGACGGGGAGGGAGGGGGCAGGGGGCTGGGGGATGAAGGGGTTAGTGGAGAGGTATTGAGGCAGGAGGTGAGTTGTTTTTAGAGTACTGGGCGCGGAGAGTGGGGAGTGGCAGGGCAAGATAGCAGGATATGAAGAGGGACAGATGGACTGCAAACGGAAAGGGGAGGGAGAAGGTCAAAAGATCAGGACGGGGAGACAGGGAGACGGACTACAACGGGCAGATAGACCTTGGTGGTCGTTTGTCGTGTCTGAGGGACAGCTCGCTGATGAGGCAGATACTAGAGACAGAAGTCGCTCGGAGTCCGGCTCGAAGAGTCCTAGACGCAGATGGGGAAGAAGAAGACGGAGGGACGAAAGTAGAGGATACCGCATAGTCCGGGGATCGGGGTGTAGGCTCGGCAGGGACTGACGCCGCCATATGGGTTCTGGCCGGCTGAATATCGGGCGGATGCGTATTATTAGGATGTTCGGATTGTACGCGTAGACTGCACTAGCTGTGGAGTATGTATGTAGGAGCTTACTGTATCTAGCGGAGGAGGATTTTGCTTGATGCTTGATGCTCGATGCAGTACTCTTCGTATCGTTCAACGGTAGAACTGCTACGGACAGTCTAGGCGTCAGTCTCGACACAAGGAAGGCCGCTGGTACAAGAGGGTTGCTGATATTTGGTGGAATAGGCCAATCTTTCTGCATTCTGGTACACGCACACTCCACGCTCTACTCTATTCATCTAAAACGGACCGAAGAGATGCTGTACGGAAGACCGAGTAGTTCGAATGTCTGCTTCGGATAGAGGAACCACCTGACAATCAGCTGATACCTCTGATAGTGATGCGGCAAAAGGGGACATACCGATACTGGATGCCACTCTTGAAGTGGACCGCCCTATCACATCCGCCGAATCTACCCGGGCTGAAGCGGTCGTCAAAGCCGGTACCGATCCTACATCTGTCACGCCATTCATCGCGAGATCAGCGGGCAAGCTATCGTCTGTACCGAGAACGAGACCGCAGAGCATGATTCCGATCCAGAGGACGAGTTCTGTACCGTATATGACCGCGCCGAGGGTATCGAACGGGACTCGGAAGACTGGTGGATCAGCTCTCGGCCTTCTGTATCAGACCATCGATGTAGACCTCAGACCATCTGATACACCGGTCTGCCGGTAGAGGAGAACTCACGGAGCGATAAGAGACTTGTCAGATCCCCGAGCGCATCAATCCCCACGAACAGAAAGCTTATCCCGCGCACGGTGCGCGTTTGATAAATATCCCAATAGTGCCTCAGGACACCCGAAGCGAGGAGGGCGGCCGAGATGGCCGCGACGAGGATGGAGGGCCATTCGAGGTGTTGCGCAATAGCAAGCTGGGCGATCAGCACCCAGCCGGGCCACTCTACCCGCGGGGACGACGAGGAAATGAGGGACTTACCCTCAGTGCGTAGACTAGACCCACTTCGATACCTGCCAGTATGGACCCTATTCCGCACGCCATACTGGCGACTTTCAATATCGACCATTTCTACCTCGTCAGCTTGCTCCCTCGATCTCCTCTGTGTGCCCAGAGAGAGACGCACAGCGTTGTAGTACATGCACTGTGCCCAAGTGACGAGGCTCAGCGCAGTCAGGATCTGCGCCTGGACCTGGAGAGCCGGGTGGAGGTTGTGCGATATGTTGTATACGCCGAGAGGCACGCCCGCTATTGCCCAGAGGAACATCATACTTGCGTGCAGGCCTAGGGGATCAGCTTCCCTTGGTCTTTCAGACATCATTCGCAACCCTCGCAATTCAGGCCCGGGGCAATGTGACTGACCTCGCGCATGGTGCCTGCGGTAGTTGACGATAATCTGGGGGATAAGCTGGATGGACCAGCACACCTTCAGTCGTCAGCTCTGTCAGCTCGAGAGCACGATGGGAGAGCGTACCGCGCCCGCGACAGCTAGGGTGGTCGCTGCTGCTTCGTTCTCCATGCCAGCAAGCGTTGTGGGTTGTATTGCCGAGACAGGAGGTAGGAGCAAAAGGAACGAGCGCAGTCCGAGTCGAACTTATGGTGCAGGACACTTAGTCACCGCCACATTCGGCGATTCCCGGGAGGAGGCGGTATAATTGCCGTAATATTGAATTCCGGGTGCCAAAACCTAGTGATTCGGCTTCTTTCGGCCGAGCCGGACCTCGCTCACTAACTCGCATTCCGATAGCGTAAGAATTGGCCAACTTATACCGTTCATTAGGAAAAATCCTAATGAAATATCTTTACATTAGTAATATAATTTCATTAGGATTCCCTATTAGAGCGCGCGCACTGCCGGCAGCTGTCCGACGCGTGTGGAGGCAGGCCGTTTCTGCAGCGAGGGGCGTGCTACCATGCAGATCCTCACCTCTGATTTTGTACTATCGCTCGGTTCTCCCCTCGATCTGCCTACGTTGTAAAAATGCATATCATGGCCGTCTGAAGCATCCTGCAGAGCCCAAACTCGCGCAAACGACTCGAAATCAGTCGCGGCACTCAGCCGCCACCACGGGAAGCCGGAAATCGCCCAAAAAGGAAATCTAAAATCCGGGAATCCGCCCGAAGAATTTCGCGGTGGTAGCGGTGACTAAGTGTCCTGCACCATAACAACGAAGTGGAGGCAGCATACGCGACAAAAAGAAGAAGCTCTCTGCCAGAGAGTCGAACTCTGGTCTCAACCGTGACAAGGTTGCATACTAACCGTTATACGAGCAGAGATGCAAGCTTTAGCTTGTGAAGGGCGATGAAACGACAAATATAAACCGTCACAGACACATGCGACCGGAGTCAACGGGAGCAAACCGGTCGTCTCCACGTCCAAGCATCTCAAGACACGCCAACAGCCCATTCCTCTCCTCCATATCCTCCTCCACATCACAGCGATCAGGCAGTATGGCGAGCAACGGTAACTTTGAGGACGTGGAGGATCGGGATGGTACGTCTCGTCTTCCAGTCAGGGGCTTGCTGCTGGGTTTGAGGCGGGAACGAGCAAGGACCGGAATGGTCGAAGGAGGAATGGCGAATGCTGATCCCAAACAGGTGTACGGTTCTCGTGGAACGCGTGGCCGTCCAGCCGGATCGAGGCAACTCGGACCGTCGTGCCCATCTCGGCTCTCTATACGCCGCTGAAGGAACGCGAAGATCTTCCGCCGGTCCTGTATGAGCCTGTTACGTGTAAAGGGACGTGTAAGGCGATTCTCAACCCGTACTGGTAAGTTCCCTGCCTTTCCTGTGGCATCGCCCGTACACTGCGACGCATTGGACCCAGCTGATATGTTAGCCAAATCGATGTCCGAGGCAAAATGTGGATCTGCCCCTTCTGTCTCCAGCGCAACCCCTTCCCCCCGCACTACAAGGACATCTCAGCCAACAACCTGCCCCCAGAGCTTCTCCCCAAATATACCACTATCGAATATACGCTGTCGCGTCCTGCGCAGATCCCGCCCATCTTCCTCTTTGTCGTCGATACCTGCGTGGACGAGGATGAACTCAAGGCTCTCCGTGAGACCTTGGTCGTCAGCTTGAGCCACTTGCCGCCTAATGCTCTCGTCGGGTTGATCACTTTCGGCACTATGGTATGTCCCTTCCACTTCGTGTCAGGCCGAAGCGAAGCTGACCCCCAGGCAATGGTCCACGACCTCTCCTCTGCGGACTTCCCCAAATCCTACGTCTTCCGCGGATCGAAGGACTACCAATCTAAGCAAATCGCCGACATGCTCGGTCTCAACCCCGCCAGCTCTTCGCGACCCATGCAGCCGATGCGTCCGGGCCAGCCTATGCCTGCACCGGCAGCGAGCCGGTTCTTGCTGCCCGTCCAGGCGTGCGAGTTCCAGCTCACCAACATCCTCGAGGGGCTGCAGAGGGACCCATGGCCCGTCGAGCAGGATAAGCGGCCGTTGCGGTGTACCGGTGTAGCCCTGGGAGTGGCGACTGCTATTCTCGAGGTAAGCTCAGTGGTACCGAACGATCGGCGAGAGCTGATTGGATAGTCGGCGTTCCCGAACACCGGAGCGAGGATCATGCTCTTTGCGGGCGGTCCGGCGACAGAGGGACCGGGTATGGTTGTCAGCCCAGAGCTGCGCGAGCCGATTCGGTCCCACCACGATATCGACCGAGACAGCGTCAAGCACTTCAAGAAGGCCACAAGAGTGAGCTTTTCGATACTCGGGGTGGGGTCCAAGCTGATCTCCTAGCATTACGAAGCCCTATCGAAGCGTGCTTCAGCCAACGGCCACGCGATCGACATCTACGCTGGTTGTTTGGACCAAGTCGGTCTGCTCGAGATGAAATCTCTCACGAACGCTACCAACGGCTTCATGATCATTTCCGACTCGTTCATTACTGCCATCTTCAAGCAGAGTTTCCTGCGGACACTGGTCAAGGACGATCAAGGGTATCTGAAGATGGGCTTCAACGGTACTTTCGAAGTCTTGGTAAGTTACTAAGCCCGCAACGAAGCTCCAAGCTGACTCTTAGACCACCAAAGAACTCAAAATCTCCGGTGTCATCGGCCACGTCATCTCCGCCAACAAGAAATCCCCCTCTGTCGGCGAGACCGAGATCGGGATCGGCCAAACGTCCGCCTGGAAGATCTGCTCCCTCACCCCCAAAACCTCCCTCGCCGTCTACTTTGAAGTTGTCACGCCCGCCGGCCAGCCGATGGGTCAGAACCAATCCGGCCTCATCCAATTCGTCACCCACTACCAGCACTCGTCTGGTCAATACCGGCTTCGGGTGACCACCATCGCCCGCACGTTCCAGGAGGGCGGACATCCCTCGATCGCTCAGTCTTTCGACCAGGAAGCGGCGGCGGTCCTGATGGCGCGTATCGCGGTTTTCAAGGCGGAGATTGATGATTCACCCGATGTGCTGCGGTGGTTGGACAGGATGTTGATTCGGCTGTGTCAGAAGTTCGCCGAATATAGGAAGGAGGATCCGACGAGTTTCCAACTGGGTCCCAACTTTTCGATTTATCCTCAGTTCATGTTCCATCTGAGGAGGAGTCAGTTCCTGCAGGTGTTCAACAACTCGCCAGATGAGACTGCATTCTACCGGTAGGTTATTTCTTGCACCTAGGGTTTGGGGATGGAGGCTGACTTCCAGCCACATTCTGAACGACGCCGACGTCAACAACTCCCTCATCATGATTCAACCCACTCTTGAATCGTACGGATTCGACTCGGACCCCCACCCCGTCCTCCTCGACTCAGTCTCTATCCGGCCCGACGTCATCCTCCTCCTCGACACCTTCTTCCACATCCTCATCTTCCACGGCGAAACCATCGCCCAGTGGCGCAAAGCCAACTACCAAGAGCAGGAGGGGTACGAAAACTTCAAGGAGCTCCTCGAGCGCCCGATCGAGGCTGCACAGGAACTCCTCGAAGACCGTAACCCGATCCCGCGGTATGTCGTTACGGACCAAGGAGGGAGTCAGGCGCGGTTCCTCTTGAGCAAGTTGAACCCGAGTACGACGCATATGAGCGGAAGCAACTATGGGGGCGGAGGACAGCAGGGGCAGGCGATCTTTACGGATGATGTCAGTCTGCAGGTGTTTATGGAGCATTTGAAGCGATTGGTGAGTGCCTTTTTTGGTCTGAGAAGGGAGTTGAGCTGATTCGTTAGGCGGTGGGAGCTTCCACGAGCTAGACATCCAGTATATATGATGGGTGATAATGCATTGAATGCGGCTATGCTGTTGTACAAGAGCGTTTCTGTCGTTGTGAAGCTGCGGAGACGTCTCATCTGTGCCATCTAGGCTGACCCCGCTACTCTCCCCTCTACACTCTGTGTGATCCGCTCCTCCCTCGCCGCCTCGTCTCCACCAAATCGCCCCCTCATAGCCTCCCACCACTCCCTCCTGCTGTTCTGTATCAGCGCCTGCCGCTCCTCCAGACTCGCCCGCTGATATCGCCTCGAGAATTTCGTAAAGTCCGCCGTAGAGAATCGTGATTCCGCGGATGATGGGATTGCGTTGGGTGAAAATGAGGGCAGTGGGGTGGTGGATGAAGAGGCGATCTTGGAGTCTGATATTCTGGGTATTTGGGTCGAGACGTATGGTTTCAGCTGAGTAAAGTCAGCTCTCCGTCCGGTCCATTAGAAATCAGAGTAGCAAAAAGACTGGCAGCTCACATTTGTATTGGCGAGCACCTCCGGTCCAGGCCCAACAAAGTACCGCACCTTCTCGTCAAGAAGCCTGTACTTTGCCTTCCCCTGTACGACGTGTTTACCTGGTGGACCGGTCCTGTGTCCTCCGCCCGGAACGTAGGATTGACGGGTACCTAGACGTCAGCGCTGCTCTTCGGCCTATGGGGCAGGATCTACCCTTGTAAAAGTCCTTGTTGGCTCGTTTAGGCGTCAATGGGAGCCGACTGGCACCGAATAGGGAGGTAGAAGGGCGCATTGTAGGTGTTGTATAGTGGGATAGGCTGAGGTGTAGAGTACCAGAGACGGAGTTGGTGGTGGAGCACTTTGGGTGGCAGAATTTTGGTTCCGCCTCCACTTTGGCTGACCACCTGGGTTGCTGCAGCCTGCAACGATGCCTTGTTGACTTTGATCTCATAATCGCTCATGTATAGCTAGAGTGAGGCGCTGGAGCAGTCGCTGCCGCCGATATCGTCCGACACAATCGATAGCCAATCAGGAAAATGGTGTCCGCCAAGGTCGCCCGCACCCTCGGCAGCATCCGCTGTCAGAGCTCCTCGTCTCGCCTCGCTCCTGCACCGGAGATAGCAGCCTGGATCGAGCGCATCACCAGTCGCTCCGCCGAGGTGACTTACGATGACATTGACGATCGGCGCGCGTCCCAGCTACGGAGGACCTTACCTACGCGGCTAGGGCCAAAAGGCGGACTGGACCTGCCGGATAAGGGGACACTACCCAAGGCGCATCATTTGGCTTACTTCCAGCCGGGCAGTCTGCTGACTGAGCTGGGAGAGGATGGGTCTTCGACAGTGAGATACATGCTTATCATACTGATGGGTCGTCCCGCTGATCCTCAAGGAATACAATGCGCCCGCACCGTACCTCCGCCGAATGTGGGCCGGAGGGTCGTTCGAATGGCCATCTGACCCTCAGACCGCCCTCCGGATAGGCGAGCGAGCAACTCAAGCGAACAGTGTCGCTTCGGCAGAGTTCAAGAGCGGCATGATCTTTGTCAATCAGAAGAGGGAGCTGTATCATGATGATCCAAGGGAGTGGGCGGTGAGGGAAATCAGGACGCACGTCTTCCGGCGAGAAGTATCCGGGAACGAAGCTGTCAAGGCTAGGGCTAAGAGTAAGCTGCTGATCTTCTAGCTTCCTTGAACTGTAGCTTATACCCGTAGAGGAAGCCACTTCCGCCACGCCCCCCGCTGCTCCCAGCCACACCTTCACCTACACCCCTACCGCCCCACTCCTCTTCCGCTACTCTGCCCTCACCTACAACGCCCATCGGATACACTATGACCGCGACTGGTGCAAGTCGGTCGAGAACCACCAGGACCTGGTCGTTCATGGTCCCTTGACGGCGACACTCCTCGTTGAGCTCGCAGAGCGCGTCGCGCTGGATACGGGAACACATCTAAGGCGGTTTGAGTATCGGGCGACGAGTCCGATGTATGTGGACAGGGATATTCTCATGGAGGCCACACCGATGGAGGGGCAGGAAGGAAAGGTGGAGATGACGGCCAAGCAGGAAGGAAGGGTTGGAATGAGGGCGGTGGCTACTTTTGAGGCAGTCTAGTTCTAGGTAGACTCTAAGCTTTCGGTCAAGGTCCTTCGCTTTTAAGTTATCTCTCCTGGAGGTCGTGCTGCCTCGTCAAACATGAGCACCGGCCCACTCCCTAGCTTCCTGCTGGTACCCCCTCGCGAGCTATATTGGGAACCCCGGATTTCCCCGGACTCCGCTCACCTCCACCTCCCGGTGCCCCCAAAGCACTCTTCGACATCCATCTGACCTCGCTATAAGTGTCTATCATCACCAGTGATAGCGGCACAGCCAGCAGTAGACATGACAGCGCTCCGGAAGCTCGCTGATGGGGGCGTGATGGCTGTTGCGAGATCGCAACCCCGCTGCGCTCGATCCCTGTCGACATCGACGAGAGAGAAGAAGCTCATCCCGCGTCGAGCGATGCTATACGGTCGGTGCTCAAATTCATCATGGCCCCCGTCTCGCTCCTCTGAAGCTTCTAGCTGATCTCTTATCAGTGCCAGGATCTAATTCGCGGATGCTCGAGAAGGCGTTCGCTTCTCCAGCCGACTCGGTGTCATACGACCTCGAGGATAGCGTCTCGCCTGGTAAGAAGGCCGAGGCGAGGCGGATCGTAGCTGAGCTTCTGGACGTGAGCTTTTTGGATTTGAGAAAGTCACATATATCAGCTGACTGGGCAGGGGGAACGCAGGGTCAAGGGCGAGGTCATGGCGCGGATCAACGCTGTTGGGACGGGATTCGAGCAGGATGATGTGGATACTATCGTGAGTCCAGCATGGGTTCTGGGACTGTGCTCAGAGGCGGCTGGATAGCAACCACCCCTTGGATCTATGACTCTCGTGAAACATCGTGCTGATCGCCCAGCTTCGCACCCGCCATGTCGAAGCCATAGCCCTGCCCAAGACGAATCACCCCGACCACCTCGCCTGGCTCGTCTCGCGTATAAAACAGCTCTGTCCGCCCGAGAAACAAGCGAATGGCTCGAATCCACTCCGGATCATCGGAATGATTGAGTCTGCTGAGGCTATGGTTGGGATCAGGGAGATTGCGAGGGCGGGAGAGGGGCATCTGAACGCTTTGCTCTTCGCGGCGGAAGACTGTCAGTATTCTGGCGGGGCAGAGGCGAGGACAGGACGTGGGCTGATGGACAGACTGTGCGGACGTGGGTATCACCCGGACAGCGGAGCGGACGGAGCTGCTCTACCCGAGGAGCCAGCTCGTCACGACGGCGAAGGCTTTTGGGCTACAGGCGATAGATTTGGTAAGCTGAAGAAGATACCGCTGGGTCTGAGACAAGAAATGTCCTGATCGACCAGGTATGCGTGGACTACAAAGATGAAGAAGCACTCCGAAGGGAATGCGAGGAAGGGAGAAGACTAGGCTTTGACGGAAAGGTACGCTTGACCGCTATGAGTGCAAGCGAATCATAGCTAATACAGCCAGCAAGCCATTCATCCCGCTCAGGTCGATATCATCCACTCCGCCTACTCTCCCTCAGAGGCCGCCGTCCGTCATGCTGCGAGAGTGCAGGTCTCGTTCGAGATGAATGATCGACTGGGGAAGGGGAGTTATTCGCTGGATGGGAAGATGATCGATGCGCCAGTGTACAAGCAGGTGAGCAGTCCATGCATCTATGTCACTATTAGGGATGAGCGCAAAGCTGATAACATGCAGGGTTTGAGGGTTCTGCTGAAAGCGCGAGCGGCGGGTATGGCCATACCGGAAATCAGCGAAGACGATGTCAAGGCTTGACCGGCGCTTCTCTTGTTGACCAGGCTCACACTGCTTTCATCCGAGAACGACCTCAAAGTGGCTGACTGCTTTCGAGGTCGCCGCACACTTCGGATCATGGAGTACTGACTACTCGCGATTAATACTGTCCAGAGTGTTCTGGAGCAGAGGAATCTCGTGACTCGACCCCTTCATCCTCCTCTCCTTTGCTCTCAGAGGATGTTTCCGATGGACCTCGGCGTAGTCGCAACTTGCGATATCGCTGGCGGACATCGTCCTGATCCATCCTGCATAACACCTCATACCAGAAAGCCCAAACAGCAATCTCGACATTCCATCAATCGCAAGCTCATACCGTCATGGAATTCAGCTCGGCCGACAATGCGCAGACTCTGGTCACCTCGCCTCATGCGCAAACCGCATCACCGCCCCCAGCCGTCCCCGTGCCAGTCGCCGCCATCATCCTTGCTGCCCCCGATACGCTCAGCGATCGAACACACCTGTCACACGACCTTCAGCCCTTCGCTGGTCTCCCTCTCATCGTGCATGCCGTCAAGCTCGTCCGTGGCATCGGTGCATCCCCCATCGTCATCGCACGTACATCGAGCGATGAAGCCAAGATCCGCGAGGCAGTCCGTCCCCACGTTCCAGTCGACGAGCTGATGTGCGTCAACCAGGACCAAGAGCAAGGACCCCTCGGCGGCCTTCGAGCCGGACTGTCCGATCTCCTTGAAGAGACGACCCACGCGCTCGTCCTGCCCGCTACGATGCCGCTGCTCACGATCAAAGCCTTGGAGACGATGAGGGCTGCGAGCAAAGTCGCGCCCCTCGTCCTCCTTGGGCAGGCCGCTTTAGGTGACGGAGAGAATGGGCCGGTGTGCTTTGATGTGCTTTGGGCAGAGGTGGAGCTGATCAGAGGAATCTTCCAGATCGATGAGGGCAAGCCGGTGGTGAGAGGGGGATCGATGGAGGATCTGGTGACCTTTGCGGCGGGGCAAAGGCGTAGGATCGCCACAGTGTGCGTGAGCGAGGGTGAGCTGCTCCGGGTGGACACGGCTGAGGACTTGATCGAGGCGGAGGGGATCTGGCGCAGCCGAGACGGGAAAGACCGAGGCAAGGCGTATGGAGCGTAGTTCTTGCCCTCGATCCACTACTCAGATGCCATAGCCCATACATACACGATACTACGTACTCATACATCACATATCCCGCCTATTCTGTTTCATTACCAAACTCTGATGAGACGGGTCCTCATCCTTCGTATAGAACTTGGTCCCGTCCACCGCATCCCACCCATGCTCCTTCTCCAACGACTCCATGATACTCGTCAACTCCTCCCACTTGATCCGGCGCGCCTTCTTGTCTTCCTCCGGATCCTTCTCCTCCCCGTCCTTGATCCGCTTGACGCGGTACATGTTCTCGATGGCGGCCGCGGCGGGGTCGTCGGCGCCCCAGTAGGTGGAGAGGACCTTGGGGTCGACTTGCTGATACCATAGCTTGGCGTTCTTCTCTAGGTCGCCCTCTGGTTGTGTCAGTAGAGTTCGCAGGAAACTTACCTATCAAGTGAAGTATACCGTGCAACCACTTTGCTGAAGGATCAGCTCCGACGCTATTTGATCAGGCGTGTCAGAGATCACTTACCCCATTCATCCTCTTGCATCTTCCGGAGCAGGAAATGCGCCGAGAACAAGTCATCGTTCATCAGGTGGAGCTATCATATCAGCTTTGTTGCACCTCTGCGCACTGCCAACTACTCACTGCAGCCTCAAGAGCGGGATGACACATAGGCGACGCGATCTGATCTGAGAGATCGGCCCGATACGGCGGGTTCTTAGTATCGCTGAGATTGGACAAGCTGACGGGTGGGGGATCCCGCTTGAGGAGCTCCGTCACGCAGGGTGGTCGCGGTACCATCCTTGCGTCGGTTGCTGCAGATGACAGGAGGTAAAATGTGGTGTTTATGGGTCGCTATGGGACCGGTCACAGGCGCAAGTTGGAGATCGGTCAGGCACGGGCATCGAGATGGGTAAAACACCGATGACGTAGAGGTTGCAACCCCATGTTTCAGAGTGCTTGCCCTGCGACCCACGCAGTGGCTCGCGCGAGGCACAGCCACTGGTTCGCATGCAGTGGCAGCTGGAGCCAGCGCAAAAACTCGCTCCTGATCTCAAGACACTGTCAGGTCCATCGCGTGTCTCATCTGGCCAGGCTGGCTAGCTAGCCAGGCAAGAGCACCTCCGAGGCTCGCACACCGTCACAGGCCATATTTGCCTCCCCTTGCGCTGAAGCCACTCTACCCTCATCTCACGAGCATCTGCTATCAGTGCTCTCATGCATTCCAGCATGGGGTCAGGAGCTCTAGGTATGCCCTTTGCGAAGCAGTCTCGCAGCGGAACTGAGCGAATGAGAAGTCCCAGATCACATACGCGGACGATCTTCCATCACTAAAAGAATTTCGGAATTATCATTTGCTGCATAATTCCTGCGATATAAGAGGTATCAGCTCCCCCTCCACCCGCCCAATTCGCCTGATTCATCCCTGGAGTCCCTACATCACGAAGCGGAAGTTGGGATTGTCGCCACCATCCACGGACTGCTGCAGGCGCACGGTCGGGTCGTGTTTGCCGTACTTCTCATCCTTCTGCCTGTTGCGCCACTTGAGATAGTACGTGCCGGTGATTGCGAGAATGATATTGGCGAAAAGGCCAGCAGCGCAGATGGAATTGCCCTTGATGTATCGGGGAGGGTCATCATACACGTTTGAGCCAAGAATGGAGCCAAGCTGGCCCATGCTACTCAATCAGCCGACGTCAAGACAAAGAGGAGTAAAACAACTTACACGAGAAAGGTGATAAGAGTAGCAGCTCGCTTCGAGTCAGACTCAGCGTTCGTGGCGCACCATGAGAACCTGGATATCAGCGCACACACACTACGGTAGTAGAAAGACCTACATCAGCGGCTGAGCGATGTACATCCCGATGACGGTAATGTAGACCGCAAAGTACCTCGCACCGATGGATGGGGCAAAGGCAATGACCATGTAGCCGATGCCACCGATCCCTTGGCCGGCAGCAATCCACCAACCCCGGACCGAGTATCGGTCGGAGAATTAGGCGCAGCCGATGGCGATGAAGAAGGCAATAATATAAGGTGGGGCGGAGAGGCCCTGAGCATTGATACTGGTGTAGCCCATGTCTTTGATGATGGCCGTGATGAAAACCGGCAGGCTAACCAATCAGCTAAGCGCAGTGTTGATGATGGCGGGTGGTAAACTTGCGAATTGAAGGCTGCACCGCCGAAAAAGTGAATGAGACCAATCCACCACGTCCAGGGCTCCTTGAACCCCTGGAGCATGTGACGCCAGGTAAACCCATGTTTCTCGACAATGACACCGCGCTGGACGCGCTCGAGGGCGATCTCTTTCTGACGTCCGTTCAGGAAGATACACTTGTCCGGGCCGTTGGGGATGAACAGGAAGATGAGAATGCCGCAAAGAAAGGTGGGCTACGTGGATCAGCTTTAGGCTAGACGTCTTGTGAACGGACTCACGGATGATTCAACAACATAGACTAGGCGCCAAGGAGTCAACGAGGTCTTGAGCTGGACAAGACCGTATGCCATCGCTCCGGCCATGGCGTTGGAGACACAAGACGAGGCCTGGAAGATCGCCCAGCGGAAACCGAATTCGCCTCGAGGGTAAAGCATGGTAAAGTAGAAGGAAATGGCAGGGCCGCCACCGGCTTCGAGTGCGGCGATAACCACCCGCTATCATATCAGCAGCATTCGAGAAGTTCTAGTGGAGCATACTCACGCAGACCATCATCCCAGCGAAGCCTTGGGTGACGCCTTGGAGGGCTGAGGTGAGACCCCAGAGGAGGACGATGGAGCCAAGCCACAATTTGGGTTGAATGTACTTGAGCATGATGAACTCCCATTGGAAGAGAGTGTAAACGACGTAGAAGATAGTGAGGAGTGCCCTGACCGTCAATACTGATCATATAGCTCCGCCTCCAGACGAGGCTGGTACTCACTGATACTGCTGGGTCGACAGACCAAGGTCAGCACTCATGCCGGCTGTGTTTGCCACCCCGATGTTGGCCTTGTCAAGGTAAGAGCAGACGTTCATGAAACACAACAAGGGCAGCATGAACACGTCCATCCGGAATCGCACTGGACGAGTCAACTTGGATCTCCCTATCGACCTATGCATATTACTTGCCTGTCTTGGACTCTGCTTCAGTGTAGGACGGAGGGCCAAGGGCCTGCTCCTCCAAAGCTACATCCTTGTGCTCGAGCTGGTCGTCTTCCGCCTTGCTGTCGAGCGGGATGCTATCGAGTGTGGTCGACATGGCATTCATGGGTGCTCTGGCTTGTGGAGACATCGTACCTAGGCGAGATGGCCCCGTCTTTTGTGTAGCCCACATACTATGTAAACGTGCTGAACTACCCCAGTCTCCACAGAGCGCCCCGCTTTGCGGGGTTAGACACCGCCTGTCGCTTCACACCTCTGAGCTACACCGAGACTGATATCGCTCTGACTTCGGACGTTCTGCATTTCAACTTCCATCAGCTACCGCGCGAAGCATAGGTGACAGGAATAGCATTCTTACGGAGCCTCCCGTCTTGGCACATCATCCACCCGAACAGCTGCCGCTTGACCATGGCCATGATAGCGGGCCTCCGACGGCCCCCAACCCCGACTCAGCGCCGAACGAGCTGCCAACGTCGGATCATCGGCGTTCCATGCATCGGGTCCGATCAAGTGTCGGAGCTCGATATAGATGTGGAGCTAGTGGAGGTCGGCCCGGCCCGGCTGGGCCTAGTATCCGACCCAGCAGCGATCCATCATCCAGTACATTCCGATACGCCGGGATTGCGCTGCCGGCTGAGCAGCATAAGCTGCACCGACCGCTACCTGCTCGCTCGCTCGCCTGCCCGAGTGATGGTCAGAGATGCCCTTATTATCATCAGTCGATGCAAGCACCGCAATCATACACTGATCACTAGCATTATGGCAGGCTGCGGCTTTGACGACCTGCCGCTCACGCGCCCGGGCCCTCCTTTGAACGCATGGGGCCTCTACGGTGAAGGGGACGAGTATGGGCGCCTCAACCTGATCACGGCTCAGACCGTCCAGGCTGGTCTGCGAGAAGCTAAAGAGGGAATCACCATCAATCTGAAGTAAGTCAGTCCGATGGGCACACCGCTGATGATTACAGTCTTCCACTCGATACCATGCCCCTCAATCCGACTCGAGCACCACTGCGGCACGAGATGTAAGTGCCTCCATCACGATGTACTGATGCTAGTATTCATCGGACCCACTGTAACGACGATCATGTGTCGTTCAACACCCAGGGCTCGACACAGTGGGATGGGTTCAGGCACTACCCGTACCTCAACTATCCCGAGAAGCAGCAGTACATGTGAGCTGTCCATCGGTCTCGGCACCGTCCCGCTGAACAATAGATACTACGGAGGCATGACGTCTGACGAGGCGAGAGACCGCTCAAACCACCGCTGCGGGATACAAAGTGAGTCCAAATCTCTCCTGTAGGCTGAGTTCTCGCTGATACGGCAGATTACGCCAAGAAGCCAATTTCGGGTCGAGCACATCTCCTCGACATCGCCTCCTTCCTCGAAAGACATCAGAGATCCCCACTGTCCTACTTTGACGCCAGCACACCCATCGACCTCGAAACCCTTGAGTCCTGCGCTGCCGAGAGTAGGGTGGTATTCAAGCCAGGCGACATCCTCATCGTCCGTACGGGGTGGACCGAGGCGTTCTTTGGAATCAGCGAGGAAGAGCGACAGTCATTGCCTCATAGGCAGAAACGGGGCAGTTGCGGGGTCTCGTCCGATCCAGAGGTACTGCGCTGGCATTGGGAGAATGGGATTGCCGCTGTTGCGTCAGATGCGTGAGTCCTGTAGTTGTCGAGGCTAACGGTACAGAGTTGCGTATGAGGCATACCCATCCGTCAACTCGCCAAGTATACACGAGACGTTCCTAGCTGGTTGGGGCATGCCGATCGGGGAGCTGTTTGACCTGCGGGAACTGGCAGCGGAGTGTAAGCGACTCAAGCGATGGACCTTCTTCTTTACCAGCATGCCGTTGTATGTGAACGGAGGTATAGCTTCTCCGCCTAATGCTCAGGCGGTGTTGTAGAATCTATAGGTAGTCATGCAGGTGCTTTTGGACTTCGATTTGAATTGTGACCCGCAGATGCTATAGTCAGTGGAGAGAGTCAGCCTACAGCTATCGAGCCACCAAGCATGGTCTTCAACTGTCGCATGACATTCCAGTGTTAATACGAACAAGATCGACTGTGGGTTCGCCATGGCCAAAGTATACATGCCATCTACAGACCCCCACACTCACTGCCCAGCCAGCTTCTGCGTCATCTTCCTACATGACTCCGCCCCCGCCTTCATGACGTTCAGCAGCATCGCATTATCGGCGCCCGACATCGAGTAGCGGGCATTGGAGTGGGTCGAGGCAAACTTCTCAATGAGATCAGGCCGACCGCTGTTGAGTCAGCGCTTCCCTTCCCGGCTCCTTCTGTCTCCGTCCATTCCCCTCTTTCCCTTCCTCCGAGACTCAAGGCTGTGACTCACTTGAGGCCACCGATCCCAACGCTGAGAAGACGCCCATCTATCGACACCTTGGCCGCCGCTTCAGACACGATTTTATACACCTCCGTCAGGCGGGGGTGGTCAAACTCGCCCGCTATACCCATACTGGTGCGTCAGCTCATCCCCCACAAGCAGAGGAAAGAGGTGCATACTCGGCTGTCAGATCCGCACTACCGATCAAGAGGACATCCACCCCAGGCACCGCCGCAATCTCACTGCGGCGTCAGTATAGTCTACATTTTACTGGTCGTCAGACTCACTCGACGACATCGAGAGAACCCTGCGTCTCAATCATGCAGATCACGAGCGTACTCTCGTTGGCGAGCTGGTTGGCGTACTTGGGGGCTACGGCCGCGTATCGAAGCGCTGGCATACCCGAAGTGGCTGACCGCTCGCCGAGCGGTGGGAACTTGGCGTACCGTACGACGATCTGAGCTTCCTTGGCGTTCTTGACGTGTGGGACGATGACTGCTTGAGCGCCGCCGTCGAGCGCGCGGGACATCCAGTCCGAGGTATTGGCGGGGACGCGGACGATGGGGGTTACGCTACGGTATCAGCTTTTATTCTGTGCTTGTGGAGGATCAGGGGAAGACATACCCGACTTGGAGGGCAGCACAAGAGAGCTGATTCGTCGCCTCGAGCCCCATCGATGAGTGTTCCAGATCAATCAAGATCGCATCGTATCCCGCCGCCGCTGCGTAGTGCACGATCTCGATATTACTGATGAGCTTGATGGAGAAGGAGTGCGCCAGCTCCCCCTTGTCGAGCTTGATCTTGACCGTGTTGGGAATGACGTACTTGCGGGCAGCGTTGAGGCCAGCATCTTCGCTGATACCACCTGTGCTGGACATGTTGGCCGATTGTGAGTCTGAAGGGGGATGAGAATGGCAGTAGAGGGGACGTTTGGGCAGATTTGTGATCAAGTAGGAGAAGTGAAAGCGCTTGTCGAAGATCAGTGTCTCTTGTGGCCCCCCCCCCATTACTAGGCTTCATGGGCCGGAACTCATGGCCTCACACGAGCCGAATAGCACCGATTCGGTCCCGACCGTCGGTGTTGACTCCGAAGCTCACCTCGACCTCGCTGCGGCAGGTCCGGCATCAGCGATATCTCGTACCTCGAGCGAATTACGGTGCAGGCAACTACGGCTAGAGCTGTACGGTGTCCTTCAGCAAGGCAGTCTGTCGGTTGATAGAAGGTGATGCTGGAGTCCAGTCTTTCTATCTATTGGTCTTCATCCAATATGATCCACGTCCGTGCGTATAGATCTGTAACGTACCGTAGCTTTTCAGCTCCGGCCCGGTCTCACCGAAAGCAACAACATCACTGGGAGCCTCTTCTCCCTCTCCTACATATGCCCATGTGCAGTACTCTCATAGTCCGAGCACGATGACCCGCCTCTGTCTCGGCCTAGCCATATTCTGGGCCGCTGCACACCATATTTTACGGGCTACCACATCACCGCGCTCAACGGGATCCAAGCGGCGATCCTCTGCGATGCGCCGGTCGAGACGGCACCATGGCGGATGTTGCCTAGTTGGATGTTGCCGTACGTGGGGACACTGAAGGGGTGTGTGCCCATGAAGGTGAGCTTCCGGGAAGGCGAGAGCTCCTCGCTGTCCCGAGCGGCAAAGTAGATCCCAGATTAGCAGGAGCTCACGCTAATGCGAACAGTCGTCCAGATTCGGCGTGATCGTTGCGCTGTTCACGGCCGGTGGTCTATTAGGCTCGGTTTCCGCTTCTCAAATCACGCCGATGATCGGACGAGTCGGTACTCTACGTCTAGCATCTACGTTGTGTTTGCTCGGATCGCTATTCCTAGCCATCTCAAACACCACCAACGACATGATCTTCTCTCGGTACGCCCATTCCCCTGCACCGCCTATAACCCGCTGATTGCCAGTTTACTCGTCGGCATAGGCTGTGGCTTCTCAACAGTGACAGTTCCCCTGTATCTGACGGAGCTCGCCCCCTCCCTCCGGAACAACCTCGGTATACTCAATCAACTCGCCATGGTCCTCGGGCTCATCTTCGCCCAATCCCTATCTCTCCTCTTCAGCCGGCAATTCGCATGGCGATACGTCCTCGCTATCGCCACTGCATTCTCAGCGTGTCTCTTGGCTCTGAGCTTCTTTGTGGCGGATGTCAAGCCAGAGGAGAGCAAGTCGGCGACGGGGGACGAAGAGCGGCCTCTCTTGGGTGAGGCGGTATTGGCCGAGAGGGAAAGGGAGAGGGAGCATATGTCTATTGGGATGGTGTTCACGTCGGACAAGAAGGAGATCAGGAGAGGATGTGAGTCTGATCTGGCTTACTGGTCCGACACGAGTGGGCTGATATGTAGTACGCGTCATTATCGTCACCCAGATTGCTCAGCAGATCTGCGGTATCTCCCCCGTTGTCTACTTCAGCACGAGCATCCTTCGACGCGTCTTTCAGGCGAATGCTGCCCTAGTAGCCATGTTGATCCTCCTCATCAAGTTCCCAGCCTCCTTGATGACAATTCCGGTTTTGCCCGTACGCCACTCTGCTCTCCTTCAGATAAACCAGCTGACCTGCAGCGTACCGGATCACGCAATCTCCTAATCTTCTGCAAAGCCGCCGAAGCTACTTCCCTGTTCGGCCTCGCCCTCGGGCTCAACCTCGACCTCCCCGCAGTATCCGCCGTCTGCCTCATAGGCTTCATCCTCGCTTTCGGACTCGGTACCGGCCCGGTCACTTGGGTTGTCCTTTCGGAGGTTCTCCCGCCCGGCGCACGCACAGCTGGCGGATCAGTAGGCGTCAGTTTGAACGCAGTGACGAGCTTTGTCGTCTCGTCGACGTTCTTGCCCCTGCAGGAGTGGCTGGAGGGGGATCGGGGAGCCGACGGGGAACGGTCAGGGGAAGGGAATGTTTTCTTTGTGTTTGCGGCGTTCTGCGTGGCGAGTCTGATAGCTGTAAGGTGGAGTTATGGAAGCTATGAGAGGGCGGTTTTGGAGTCGGTCAGGTCCTAGGTGCGTCACTGGGGATCTCGGACAATCTAGAATATCTCTTGGTGATCATGGCAACTTTGTAGCTGGCGTATCGATGTACTGTAATCTTACTGTAGTGCCGGCATCTTCCTCTCCCTCTCCCTCTTCGGACCGGCCTCGACCAGCCTTTCCTTCGGTCATCCGCTCGTCCGCAGAGGCGGCCACTTTGCAACGAGAGACGTGGGGGCCGTGCCGTCGTATCTCGTGCGTGCCGCGTTTGACGATAGCGAGTCAATCTGGAGGATCAGCGATGTGGGCATAGTCCACACATGGCCATCAGGCTTCTCCCGACTACGGTGGAAAGCGGAGAGGCCGGCGAAAACTTACTGGCTTCCGCACATTCCGCCCCGTCGTATTGAGCACTCCAAGCCAGCTTCAACCTCGATCGTCCAGCCCATCCGATCCCCATCGACTTGATCCGGCGTAACGCTCGCACCGCTCATCCTTCCGCTCATCCTTCAAAATCCCCTCGGCACCTGCGGCAACCCCTTGCCGACCTCCTTCGCCCTCATCCCCATCTCCTTCCGCTTGATCTCGTTCCGCCGCATATCGAAGATCTGCCTATGCAGCGCAAACTTGCGATGCGTGGCTGCGGGCGTTGCGACCGGTACAGGCGAGGCCGTCGCCGGCGGCGTAGCCGATGCTTTCTCCTTCTCCTTATCCTTCGAGTCCTTGTCGGACTTGGCCGAGTCGTCCTTTTTGGTCTTTCGGGATTCGTACTCTGATATTACGCGCTTGACATCTTCGGCGGAAGGACCGGATGGGGCTGGAGGAGCGGAGGGGATGAGGGAGGCGCTGTGGTATGAGCTATGTCCAGGCACCATCGTCTGGTATAGAAAGCTTACAACCCTCTGAATCCCGTCAGCTATGACACCCTGTCAGGCAGCGCATCGAGCAGCTTACGGATCAGTCAGATGACCCTCACAGGTGTATACGAAGTCTTGGGTGTTCAAAGTAGCCAATACCGTCGTCGTCTCGCGTCGACAGATATAGCATGATCGAGGCGTCGCTACTTTCTGCAACGAGTAAGCTGGGGAGCCAGAAAACATGCCAGGGAGAATTTAGGCTGGCTTACCCGCTCATAGTATATATTCTGGAGAGGAGGAGTCGATGCGGAGGCCATGATGTCTGCAGCGGACCTATGAACAAAGGGGAGTTGAAATTGGCGCATCGTCCAAGCTTAGGTGGTGCTGTGGGGTCTCCGGGCGTCATTACGGCATCCCCCCACCCTCCCGCGAGCTCAGTCAAGCTACTCGCCTGCTATCTTGTTGCCGCACCTATAGCTGCCATGTCCACCGAGCCATCCTACCAGCGCATAACAGCCGACTTCAAAGCAGCCTTTGAATCTCGTATACCGACGGAGCTTCTCCTCTCCGACCTCCCCAAAGATGTATCCAATCTCGTCTCCACCTCCGGACTGCTCGACCCCGCCGAAGTCGATATTGTGCAGATGGACGCCACGGGCCTCCGGGATGCTCTGGCATCTAGACAGGTGTCAGCGGTAGCTGTTACTACTGCATTCCTGAAGGCTGCGGGTATAGCTCATGGGGCTACCAACTGCCTCATGGATTATTTCCCGGAGGAGGCGCTGGAAACGGCGAGGTATCTGGATGCGGAGATGGAGAGGACTGGGAAGCCTGTGGGACCGATGCATGGGGTACCTATCTCTATCAAGGGTATGTCTGGTGGCTCGGATGAGATCAGGGAGAGAGCTGATATCGTAGACCAGATGTGCGTCAAGGGCCGGGAGATCACTGCGAGCTTTGCTTCGTGGGTCGGCAAGAACGTTCCTGAGAAGGATGGGGTCTTTGTGCGGATCTTACGGGAGGCTGGAGCTGGTATGGCATTCTGCAGAGTATCAGACATGTATGTCGCTGATCAGCTAGTATTCTACGTCAAGACGTCAATCCCGCAGGCTATCATGCATCTCGAGACGGACAGCTTCCTCGGACCCACTCTGAACCCGTACAACCGCGAGCTCACTTCGGGCGGGTCAAGTGGGGGCGAGGGAGCGCTTATTGGATGCCGAGGTAGTCCCATGGGGTACGTCATGACCTTCCGTGTCGCAAGGCTGTCGCTGATGAGCAGTCTCGGAACCGATATCGGGGGAAGTATCCGTAATCCGGCCGCTTTGAACGGGATATACGGCTTCAAACCTACGGCTACCAGACTGCCCAAGGGCGGAAACAGGGTGCGTCTCCAGCTGAGGTCCTTGACTGGGCTGATGGGAAGGCACCGATGGCAGGCCAAGAGTCCATACCCGCAGCTATCGGCCCGCTCGCCCGGTCCGCCCGAGACCTTTCACTCTGTATCGAGACCGTCCTCGCTGCTGAGCCGTGGCACCTCGATCCTACTCAGGTCGGGATGAAGTGGCGTCCGGACGAAGTGGTCTGGAAGGGCGGAGACAAGCCGAAGATTGGGGTCATGTGGGATGATGGGGTCGTGGTTCCTCAAGCCCCAATGCGAAAGGCGTTGAAGCTGGCGGTAGAGAAGTTGCGAGCGGAGGGGTACGAGGTGTTCGATTATCGGCCCTTCAAGCAGTCTGAAGGGTGGGACATCATCGTCGGTACCGCTATCATTGTTCCAGGGAGAGAAGAAGCTGACCTTCCAGACGTCCTTATACTTTACCGATGGGGGCCAGACTATCCGGAATGCCATCGAAGCGTCCGGCGAGCCTATGTTACCTCTCACAAAATGGATTCTGGAGCAGAACCAACGGGACCGCCCTGCACTCGAGTTGTTCCAGGTACGTCTTCTTTCCGGGCTCAGCTGACGACTAGTTGATACAACGCCGAGAAGCGTTCAAGGCAGAATACAACGCCCATTTTGCCGCATCTGGAGTGGACGTAATTCTCTGCCTGCCAGGCCCAGGTCCGGCCCCGATCTTGGGTACAAGCAAGTACTGGTGTTATACTTCCATCTTCAACCTCGTGGACTATCCCGCGGGAGTGTTGCCGACGGGGACGTTTGTGGGTTTGGAAGACGTGAGGGAGCCGGAGAGGGAGTTCCTTAGCGAGCAGGATAGAGAGGTATGGGCTGCTTGTGAGTTGAGGAGCTTAGGTTTGAGGCTTTCATACGAGTGGCTGACCGAGTAGACTCGCCGGAGAAGATGATTGGCGCTCCGCTTGCACTGCAGGTCGTAGCGGGCAGATGGGAGGATGAAAAGGCTCTACTGGCTTTGCAGATGATCGATCAAGTTTTGCTCGGCAAGTGAGTCAGGCGATCTATGCAGACGGATGAAAATGGTCGGATGAGAAGAATGCACGGCCTTCTTGCTAGTACTGGTGGACTCTGGCTGGCCTCGAAGCTCTATCGCGGCCGAGGCTGTCTGCTCAACGCTGAAACATCCGAGGTATGCACATGAAACATGACGCACGGACGTGCCTTCTGGCTGGAGCGGGAGCAAATTCCAGCACCCAAATCAGCACCACCACCCAAAGGCTGCTGGACTTGCATCTTACCTCTGGCCTCTATCCTCCTCACTAGTGCTTCTTACCACAAGCTCTCTGAACGTATAGGTACACTAGAGGTGCATACTCTGAGACGGCCGGAATAAAGAGTCTGCCACCTAGCTTTTCAAGCAGAAATTAGCATCCCGAAATCGCAAATCTCGTCCAGCGAGACCTACTCTATTGCCGTTTGAAAGAAAACATCCGGTGTATCTTCAGCCTTTAACGCAAGAGCGATAGCTACCATGCCTCCTGGAGCTACGAGGACCATATTTGGTGAGCTGATCTACACTGCGACTTGGTAGCTGGACTCTCCGAGGGGGCAGCCCGTAGGAGCTGGTCTATCCATTCGCCATTTGACATATTGGCACTTGCTGATCCTATCAGTCGCGAACATCCCTTAGTATGTCTCCAGAAATCTCTTGCTGCCTTGCGAGCTCATGCTGTGCCATATCTGATATATGTCTGGTGGACCGAAGGACCGGCTGACATTTACAGCGATGTTTCGGAGGAACAACTAGCCGGTGTCTTCTCCGATGTCGGACCTGTATCAAATGTAGAGTACGTCTTCATCTCTCTATACTAGACTGTGTAGGACTGTGCTCATGGTATAGGATCAAGTTCGATCCCAATACAGGAAGATCAAAAGGATATGCGTTCGTTCAGTTCTACGGTGAGTCCCAATCTCAGCTTCAGGCAGTGGCGGTACCTCGGAGCGAAGAAGGAGGAGGCGGCCGCAGCGGGAGGAGGGAAATCGGTGGTAGCGGCTGCGAGCGCTTGGACCACTTTATACCCGACATGCCGACTATCCTGCCTGACGCTTCCTTCCCTCTTCCCTCTCTCTTCTCTTATTTCCGACTCGCCCTGTCCCTATCTCCGAGGACATCAAGCTGACTGCATCTTCCTTCCTCATCGTTATATGCCTCACTATCGACCATACTCAATGTCACCCTTCCTCCGCGACTCGTACTCACCCTCACCTACACGCTCATATCCTCTCCCGCCCAAACCCACTCCATCCCCTTACCTCCCCACTCCCCGTCGCTCCCGATCTCCTTCCTACCAACTCTATCGTCCCCGCGCTTCCGACTACTTTCGACCAATAGACGAAGCCACCGCCGCATCCGCCGTGCGTAACCTTTCGAGCGTGGAGGTGAATGGCCGGAATCTGCGCGTCGAAGCGAGTACGGACGAGCCTGGACCTCGGACCCGGCAGGAGGGACGAGCGGGTGGTGGAGGTGGTGGAGGAGGAGGAGGAGGGGGCGGAGGAAGGAGGGACAGAGACGATTCGCCGCCTCATGGACGATATGGAGGCGGTCCAGGCGGTCCGCCCGGTGGAGGACCGGGATATCCTCCAGTGGGAGGAATGCCGATGGGTGGAGGCGGACCAGGCTTTGGTGGACCAGGAGCAGGCGGTGGACCGGACGGCCAGCCAAGAGTCGATATAGGCCTTTTACCGCCCGGACAGGATATCCCGCCAAATATGGGCAAATCGACCGATGCGATCAGTAAGACGTTGGCGGCGGTTACGCCAGGGCAGATGCAGGACGTGATGGCGGGGATGAAGGTGAGTAATCTCCGGCTCAGTCGAGTGAAGGACCAGCTGACATAGAAGACACTAGTCATGACGCAACCTGAACAAGCGCGGCAGCTGCTCCAGTCCCGTCCTCAGCTCGCATATGCCTTGTTCCAGGCTATGTTGCTCATGAACATCGTCGACTCGTCTGTTTTGCAGGTGAGCTCTCCGCACTCCGAGTGTCGTACACATGGGCCCAAGCTCACGATATAGCGTATCCAGCCCCTACCTGCGGCACCTCCCCAATCTCAAGGCTACAACGCCCCTCCCTCCTCATACCCCCCATACGCCCAATCCCAACCACCCCCTCAAAACGCATATGGCGGTCCCGCACCCGGCGGCTACAGACCCCCTGGACCCCCTGCTCCTTCTTACGGCGGTCTGGGCGGCGGCGGGCCACCTCCTCCAGGACAAGGCCAAGGACAGGGGTATGGCTACAACTCGCCGGCTCCGGCTGGAGGGATGCCACCTCGGCCTCCTATGCCGGCACAGGCGCAAGCACCACCGCCGATGGTTTCGGGTCTGGCGGGGCTGCCGCCTCAGACACAGGCGATGTTGGCTGGGCTGCCGGATGATCAAAAGGTACGTATTTTGCCTGACAATCCTCGCAGCTATTATACAACCGTAATGTCCTTGGGTGAAAGCTGATCTCTGCAGAATATGCTGGTTCAGGTCTTGCAGCTTACGCCTGATCAGATAGCGGCGCTGGATCCTGCTCAGAAGGCTTCGGTCGTTCAGCTTGTGAGTCGCTGACTGAGGGGGATTGGGCCAGGGCTGATAGTACTCAGCGACAACAGTTCCTCGGATAGACGTCGAACAGGACGTCTGGGCGCGGTCGAGCGCGGGGAGTCGTCCGGCCAGAGGCGGCAGCGGAGGCGGTAGCAGAGGCGGTAGAGATATCAGGTGAAAAGGGAGGGTGGATGCAGGACGAACGGGACAAGGGCGATCTCAATAGCGTAGGTAGAGCGATTATGGGGAAGGCGCATAGGCATGTAGCAGCTACCTGAGAATCATGCATGACGCGTGGTGAAGCATTCACCTGCACCTCCCAGCCTGCACATCTAGGACCACTCTCCACAGAAGGGCTGTCGCTCTTGGCACGATGCACCGACGCCCGTCCCTACTCTTCAATCTCCTCCACTGTCGCCTGCTGCCTATGCCGCACCTCTCCACCGCCATTCATCTGCACACCCGACACCTTTGCCTTTGCCCCTGCCCCTCCAGCGGCTGACCCCGCACCCGCCGCATCCCCCACGATCGGCTTCATCTCCGCCTGCGCTGGCTGCGCGCCCATAAGATCTCCGCCCGCGATATGCATGGGGCCCGGGGTAATCCCGTTGACCCCTCCGGCGGCGGACCGTTTCTTGCCGCCGCTGCTGGAAGAACCCCCTGGGATAGCGCGCTTCTTCTTCTTCTTGGGCTCGTCGTATGCCCAGACGGGGATGAATGAATCGATCTGCAGGTCAGCAATACTCCCCGCATAGCCTATAGGCAAGAGAAACAGGCTACTCACAAATCCGACATCCTCAAACAAGTTCGGGAACATCCATATAGCCCGTTTGGTAGCCACCACGGTAATACACCAAAATATCAACCTGACAATCGCCAGCGCAATCAACGCCCCGATCGCCCCCAATGCCAGTATCGAGAGATACCACACGCCCAGCCGCAGCGTCGCCGGCCAAAGCGGGAAGAGAACGCCGGCAAAGATGACGATGACCATGGCGGCCGCGCCGAGGTAGGTGGTCAGTGGGGACCCGTCGTAGAACCACGCATAGTAGGCGTCCGCGGTGAAGTGTTGTTGGGGGGATAGGAGGAGTGTTTTGGGGGTGCCGGCGGGAGGCGCGGGGGAGGGGGTGGGGCGGTCGACCCGGAGGAAGAAAGCACTGCGGGTCAGTGGGCTACGCTGAAGGGACCAAGGATAACAAAGGCGTAGCGTACTTTGGGAGGACTTTTCCGAGGAGCTCTTCAGCGGCCTTCTCGTCTGCAATCTCGGGGACCTTCTTGGTTTTGAGGTAGGCGGGGCCGGTAAGGACGCGTATGGCCGTCTTGCCTATTTGATCAGCACGGTGCTCGCTCTATCCCTATAGTAGGCTTCGTGATCCTCCAGATGTTCCGACGGCTCTCTCTATCGCATTCCGGCCCATACACCCATCACAAAAGCTTTCCTCATCCCGGACATACCTTTGAAGTAGTCCACCCTCTTGCCATTCAGAACTCCTCTTCTGATTTTCGGCCCATTCTTTCCTCGCAGAAAGTCGGCGACAGCTTTGAGCTCGACAGGAGCCTATCATCGATCAGTACTCGCTAAAATCGCACCGGCAGCTCTACGGTTTCTTTGCTTGGCAGGTCGAGCCGACCACCGCAAGTAATGCCCATGAGACCGCTGAGGAATGCAACTTACGCGTTTCCTAACTTGTCAGCTGTTTTCGCCCACCTTACGGATCTCCCAATTGGCCTTGCACAACTCACTGTGCCTCTACGACTGGTGTCGCATCTGATGGACCTGCCATTATAGCTGTATTATCGTCGATGAGAGCACTTTCATCATCGTCAATACCTTCCTCGTCGTCGTCGTTGTCCTTTGGCGTTTCAGCGGACGGGAGCAAAATCTGATACACCCAAAGAGGCTCTCACTAAGCTATCCTGCTCTTGCCTCTATTCATCACCCGGTATCAGCAGATGCCGCCCGCGAAGAGACCCCGCACCACTGCCGAAGGGGATATGAGCGAATACAAAGACGCAAAAGGGGTGGTTTATGAGCTGCAGGCGGGATATACGACTGGGGAGGTGGTCATTCTCAGCGATGATCATGCGGCATGGAAAGTCAAGCGCTCGGTCCTGACAGACAGCAGGTACGTAGGATAAGACCTTGAAGTGTGCTCACAACAAGAATGGTAGCTGACGACTAGTCCCGTTTTTCGTGACATGTTCGTAGACGCCACATCCAATGTTGACGAGGTCAATCTCCCAGATTCGACTCGAGCGGACCTCGACCTATTCATCCGCACTCTCTACGAGAAGAACCCCCCAAACGTACCCATCATGGCGGATCTCCGGAAGGCTATCGACCTACTCTGCCAATATGACTGCACCGAGCCGGCCAAGCGGATCCTATACCATAACGTCAAGGTGGTCGAAGCGGAACATCTTTTCGACGCGTTCACTCTCGCTTCACGCCTCAACGACGTCATGAGCGCGTGCCGGATACTCGCTCACGGCTGGAGATGGTACCAAAACCCCAGAGATGAAATCTACCCCAACGCGCCCTCCCTGTGCCCCGACAGCACCAAACGGCGATGGTGCGCTCAGGAAGCCGCACTTCTGCAGCCCGCGTGGATCTGGGCGTTGACCGTCGCGTCCGCCGCACAAATGGATAAAGCTGCTGGAGAGGATTTATATGATGGGTCGGAGAGCGCTTGGCGTGAACTCGTGGGTGGATTTATGTGCAATCTCGTACAGTAGATCGCAAGTCTGACAATCCTACATCTGTATCCCGTTGACTCCAGCTGACCAGTCCAGATATCTCGGCCCTTCATGAAGGGAACGATACACCAGCATGATTCATATCATCGCCGCAGGGCTTACGCTCCAGCCGGACCGGGAATCGTCGTGCTCTGACTATCGCTGCCGAAGAAAGGATGGAAGGAAGTGCGGAGTGGAGCGGGATCAGCTTCGGATCGTGCAGTCTGTCAGTCATTAGTAGGGCGAGTAGAAGGCCATATGGCACATAGCGTCAGAGGCATGATGGGTTGAACCTGCGCTACATCCCACTACATCGACTGAAGGTCATCTTGCTGAGTCTAGCCGCAGAACGGAACCAAATGTCGAAACAGCACCAAAAGAGAGCTTCAGAGCGCTATCAATGATGTGTCCTTGCGTGCATGCGTATAAGACTCTACACAAGCAGATGCCCCCCGCAAAGCGGCCCCGGAACACCCCCGCGGAGGACATGAGCGAGTATAAAGACGCAAAAGGGGTAGTGTATGAGATTCAGAAGGGGTACACGACGGGGGAGGTGGTCATCTTGAGCGACGATCTGGCCGCGTGGAAAGTGCAGCGCTCGGTCTTGACGGAAAACAGGTGCGCTGGACAGGACTGGCGCAGAGTAGTGATGACAGCTGACCAGCAGCCCGGTCTTTCGAGACATGTTTGCCGGCGGCACAGCCGATAACACCGGCGAAATCCACCTCCCAGACTCGACTCGAGCGGAACTGGACCGCTTCCTCCACATACTTTGCGGTAAAAGCCCGCCGCTGGACCTGCACATACCGGAGTGCAGCAAGTCCATCGACTTGCTCTGTCGTTATGACTGCACCGCGGCGGCTCGTCGGCTACTGTATACGAGCGTGGAGCAACTCCATCCTGGTGACATGTTGGACGCATTCGCTCTCGCCTCTCGGCTAGACGACACCATGACCGGGTGCCGGATTCTCGGTCAGGGGTGGATCTGGTACAGAAACGGGGGAGTGTGCGAGGGCTACCATTTGGACCCCTTCGATCGTCTGAACGCATGGGGACCAGAGCAAGCCAAGCTCCTCCAGCCTACGTGGCTCTGGGCACTAGGCGTGGCTTCCACTACGCAGGCGGACCGCGTTAGTACCGGAGCCTATGCGGCAGGGGTTTCCAGCCGTCAGTACTGGTCTGATTTTACGGGGATATTCCTGCTGAGTTTGATGCAATGAGTACGGTAAGCTAGCTGACTCATCAAAGAAAGGTATCAAGCTAACCAGCAGACTCGTCATTCGGCCCCGAACAGAGCGCTTCATCACGCAATCCCAACCATCCCTCTCAGAAGTCGAGCGGGGACTACGACGTCCGGCGTCCGGCCAATCTCGATCGGGACAGATAGAGATGCCGGGCGGAATGGGGATATCTGGGATTTGGGCGAGCTGCTGGTGGAAAGGCTGTATGAGATCGTAAATGTACAGGCGAGGGGATTTGCCGAGGAGCTTGACCAAGTCTCGCCATCTTCCACTCACCAAGGGCTGCTCCATAGCCGCACTAAATGTCTCCCGCGTACCCGCTTACCGCTTATACCACTCATGTCCGGGTCCGCGTCGACTTGTTTTCCTGCCTGGACGCCTGAAGCGAATGACTGCGCTCTGCTGGCAACCTATCACAAGTGCGCCGCAGCCCTGCTGACTATCAATACTGTCACAGCAGCACGTACGTACATGCCCGTCAGCGATGACCTTGTTTGGAACGAGGAGCGGAGGAGGCAGAAGTGGCGAAACACGTCGATTGCCTAGTATCCTTTCACCCAGGGGGCTCACTGTGCTGTGTCTCACGGAGAGTGAAGACGTGAAAAAGACGGGCCACAATCCTGAAGTCTGGTGTGGTAAACACTGGGCCCCGAGACAGGTTGACGCTATGACCCTGACTCGTCCAGACCACGTTATCGGTGGTGTTGCTCACCTCCTTCCCGATATCAGTACAGCACAGCTATGCCATTGAGATCGCTTTCGAGTCCCGTTCGAGCAGGTTCCGTGTCTTGCTCAGTCGTGGAATCGCTGCGGCGATATCTGCCCAAACGGGTGACTTGAGATGGACAATGGATGACAAGGCTGATGGATGTGGCGAAACGCAATACTCTTGGACACCCTTTCAGCCTCGAGAGCTCACACACTAAGCAGTCTCGCCAGTCCAGCCCAAATCGCATACATAAGACCGCCCCAGCTCCTGAATCCTCCCGTCTCGTCCCCTCCAATCCCCCACATCATACCCCAAATTCTATTCTGGTACCGCGATAAACAATCTCCATCTTGGCACTTCTTCGCTCACATCACTGCAGCTACATCATGCCAAGACCCGTGTCCACCAATGACCTTTCTATGGACGAGAAGACGATCCCCTTCGGTATCGTGACTGATCTCACCCAGTGTCGCTGTCTCATGATCAGCCCCAAAGCATCGAAGGAAGAGCTTGACGAGATCCACTCAATCGTGAATGGCCTGGTCAAGCTTGCTGATGCACCTTTGCCCGACGCATCCGAACTGGACTGGCTCACCGAAGTTCTCGGCTCAACCGCTTCGACTGCGAAGCTGGGCCGATTCAGCTTTGACGAGACGGCTGGGACGAGCACTGATCAGGACGCAGCAAGGCGTTTGTTGGCTTGCTGGGAGAGGCTGGGAGGGGCCCCACGGGAGGTTTCGGGCTCCAGCTGGTCACTGGACTGTACGTCCGTGAGGAGGCTCATGGACGCCCTGAAGTTCCGGTCCTCGAAGTCCTCGGGTGACAAGTGATGCGGGAGTATCCATCTCTAATACTGTACGATATGAGATGCTTCTATCATTGTGGAAGACCGACGAATGTACTACTGTGTCCCAACTTCCACAGTCCACTGCCGTCAGACAAAACAAGTTGCGGATTCATAACTGAGCAGTACTACCACTGTCGCAATCAGCGCCTAATTGATGGAGTGAGGGGCTTGAAGCGTGCGGTCCTGCATCGGCCGGTGGTGGACTAGGCCTGTCTGACATCTGAGCATCGTCAGAGGTATCCCAGGTCGCGCTACAGCTCTCGCGACTTTCAGAATGAGGCACTGACTATTGGCCACACCCCGCTGAATATAATCGCAGCCATGGCGACTATCTTTATCGTACTCGGTAAGGCCTTCTGGATCATAGTCTGCGCCACGACGGCGAAGACGATCTAGCTTTGTCAGCACCGCGATCTTGGCGACACGCCAAGAGGCATGTGGGTGAAAGGGAGATCCAGCTCACCTGCAAATAGGCAAGTATCGAGACACGGGCCGCTGTGTCTCGCTGAACAGCCATAATGAAACAGGCCTGGGACGCGAACGATACGATCTGTGAAGGATGAGCTCAACGTGAAAGCTGGGTCAAGGCGGACACTCACAGTCAGCAGTACAAATTTAGCATAGAGCAGTGGCGACCCTAGGCCTCTCAGTGGCGTTCCACTGATCCAGATGTATCTAAAGCATGAGAGGCATGAACATCTGGCGAGGGTACTCCGCTCGTACTTACAAGGAGCTCATCACGACTGCGATGGCGGCGTAGGCTAACAGCAAGCTGACCACCTTCACGGCCTTTCCTGCCTTGCGCATGATCAGTACTGCGATCCGTCAGTACATACGGCGTATGATCAGGGTTCCGTCTCACTATCTACACCTTGCGCGAGGGTGTTCCCAACAGCAAGTATATAGCCGAGATATCGCTGATCAGGCTTGGCCGAGGCGCCCGGTATAGAAGTTGATGGCGCAAAGAGAAACGCCGGCTGAGCAATGGCCATCACTGCTATTGTCGAAACGACTGCCAGGATCAGCTTGCTACCCAATGAAAGCGGACCACACACCCGATGGAAGACACCTACTGGCTGATATGCCCATTCGCCACCCGAACTTCTCGCCCAGGATCAGCCAGCACAGCGCCGCGGCAGGGAAGAAGCGAGTGTTGACGATGGCTACAACGTCCGACAAGTCGGCGTAGCCGAACGCAGAGTACGCGCATAGTATCCCCGTTGAGCAGATGACAGACCGGAGCCAGAGCAGTCTAGCGCGGTGAGGATCGCGATGGACCTCACCAGTACTCGTCAGTGGATCTGGCAAGAGGTGTTCGTTTTCAGCTGACTCGCTTCCGACGACATGCTGGGGCAGGACAATGTCTGGGATCCTCATGGATAGTATGTTGAGCTGCTGGAATACTTCAGGCTGATATAGCCACGCAAATATCGTCACCGGCGGTACCGTCATAATCTGCGTGGTCATAAGCAAGTTGAATCATAAATGGCAGAAATTGAGAGTACTGACCATACGCATCATTAAAGCTTGGGCCGGGGTGACTCCTTCATGTAGAATCAGGTCTTGGACACTCGCATCCATACCGACGATAAAAATGGATGATGTCAAGGCGAGAAGGACGCCGCCGTACGGGCCGTCGACGACGGGTATGGGCATCGCCGTGATTGACGATTTTCAGCTGCGCGAGGTTGAGCGTTTTGTCAGTGCCGCGTAGAATCAGAGATGCTGGTCGTTGGAGTAGCTATGATGATTGTCAAAGTGTGCGCTGTGCAATGGAGCACAAAGTAGATGATCAAAGGAGACTTTTACCAATGGAAGACAAGTCTCGCCAAAGGTTGAAAGGAGTACTGTCTGTTTGTTCTCGAGCAGTATAGCTACACCGGGCACAAAGCGCAGGTATCTGATTCGGTACGTGTACGCACATGCTCAGCAGTGAACTGAGATCCACATCGACATGCATCTCCTCCGGGCACTGTGTGTAGCAGAAACTCAGTGAGTGAGCAGACGTCCTAGCCTTCACGGAGTATCAGCAGCTTCGTCCTCTTCAGATTGGAGGAGGGCCGCCGTGTCTTCCTTCTTCTCAGTTACCTTGACCTTGTTCAGCGATTAACCGTCATGCAAGATAAGGTCACCATGCCATATGCTTCCCTAGCCACTTACGATTGGCCATACCCCGCTGAAAATGATCGCAGCCATCGCCACCAATTTTGTATATCCCGGAACTGCTCCGTGGATCACCGTCTGAGCGATGATGGCGAAGACGATCTTTAGACATCAGTGCTGTATCGGCTGCCTCACCAGTCTAGTCAGGTCGAGCTCTGTGCTTACCTGCAGATAAGCGAGGATGGAAACCCTAGCAGCTGTGTCTCTTTGAATAGCCATGATGAAGCAGCTCTGGAAGGCAAATGAGACCAGCTATTACATGAGCGCAAGCTTTCCGACGATTGCTGATGGGTTGGGAAGGCTAACCGTGAGCAGCGCAAATTTGGCGTAGAGCATTGGCGTACCCAAGACTGTCCACGGTGCTCCGCTCATACAGATGTGCCTGTCGGGTCAGGTCTCTAGCTGACGGAGAGGATGACTGGCGGGCTTACAGGAGACTCATCATCGAAGCAGTCACGGCGTAGGCGAGAAGTAAGCTCATGACCTTGACACTCTTGCCGGCCTTCCGCATGATCAGCACTGTAGCGATGAGCGAGCTTCCACCCTCGGGGTCCGACGTACTGTTCACGCCCTGGGTGTATGTGGTTCCGAGTGCAAATGCATAGCCCAAGTATCGCCGATTGAGCCTTGGCGACTCATCGAGTCCCAAATTGGGCGGCGAAAAGAGGAAAGCTGGCTGGGCAATGGCCATCACTGCAGCAGTTGACACCACTACCAGATCAGCGCGCTTCCAGAGAGCAACGAGCGCGCGCTCTCGAGCGGCGGGCACAAATCGTGACTCACCAGCCGAGATGCCCATCCGCCAACCAAATCTCTCGCCCAGAACCAACCAGCAAAGCGCGGCAGCTGGAAAGAAGCGCGTGTTGACAATGGCCACAACGTCAGAGAGATCTGCGTACTCGAGGGCCGAGTAGGCACAGAAGAGACCCATCGAGCAGACAATGGACCTGAGCCACACAAGTCTTGCGCGGTGGTGATCACGGTCTGGCTCCTCCGTCACCGGAGACAAGGTCCGCAACAGGGGCGACGTCTTCCCTCTCTCTCTCGGACTGCCATCGCCGACAGTATGTTGAGGCAGGACCGGCTCGACAGGCGCTGGAAAGACGTTCAACTGCTGAAAGACCCCCGGTTGATATTTCCACGAGTATAGCAGGACGGGCGGGATCGTCATCATCTACTCGTCAGCACACTCGCGTGGCGAGCGTCAGTCTAGTCAAGATACCCACCATGCGCACAAAGACAGCCTGCACTGGCGTGACTCCTTCATTTCGGACGAGGTCTTGAACACTTGCATCCATACCGACGATGAAGACGGATGATGTCAAGGCTAGGAGGACGCCGCCGTATGGGCCATCCAGGATTGGGATTGGCATATTGCGCGAGATCTGCGTGGCTGTTGTCAGATGGCTAGACAAGCAGTTGCTTTTCAGTTTGATGAGTGGTGTCTGAGGATCCTGCGCATTAGTCTTTTATGCGTGTAGCGAGTCAGGAGGTCCTTGGGACATACAAAGCAGCGGGACAAGGGATACGATCGCCAATAGAGCGAAATACGTGTCAAAGGATAGGTGTATGTACTATGGGCCATCCTGTCATTACGACCACCACGATCACGGGCTGGCATGCGAGCAGTGCCACTGCGGGTCTCATGTATTATCAGAGACCATCAGAGGATTGTCTATCAGATGCCACAGTCTTTGATGGACAAGGTGCATTTGGTCAGTCGTTAAGCGTTGAAACAAGACGGCGCCAGCTTGAAGGACAGACGGCGAATCGACCTGAAGGTGAATCTCACGGCCTGTCAGTCTCGTCTGTAAGAACCGCCGCGTAAGGATCTTTTGTCTTCTCCGTCAACTGAAGCGTCAGATCGCTCTCAGCAACAGGAGACCGTTCGATAAGTTTCGGACCCACGACATCACGGCGTGCCAGCAGGCGGCGACTTACGACCGGCCATATTCCACTGGTCATGATCGCCAGCATCGCACCGATCTTCAGCAAGCTTGGCACGTCGCTCTGAAATACGATCTGAGCTAGGACTGCGAAGACAATCTACAGATTCAGCTTAAAGACTCCAGCAGTAAGAATGATCACCACATACCTGCATGAAGCTGACTATTGAGACCCGAGCTGCTGTTTCTCTTTGCAAAGCCATAACGAAGAAGCTTTGAGATGCGAGCGAGACGCCCTTCACTTGGGTCAGCAATGCCTCACAAGGGCCGGGAGGAGGAGCGGCTGATGCAAACCGTGAGAAGTATAAGCTTGCACCACAACAACGGCGTTAACAGCCCGACAAAATCTATCCCACGACAGCAGATATACCTGATTTGTCAGGTTTGCCGTCGGCTGCGTCATGGAAGTGGCTGCTCACACGAGGCTGACGGTGCTCGCTGTGATAGCGTAGGCCATCAAGATGCTCACTACCGCCATGTCCCGTCCGATCTTCCGCATTGCTACGACTGCAGATCAGCCGTCGAGCTTTTGCAGAATGGCAGATTGACTGGACTCACAATCAGCAGCTTGCGTTAATGTCGCCATGACAGCCAGGATATGGCCCAGATAGCGCTGCTGGTACTGTGCGGAGATCGAAGGGAGTCGAGGTTGAAACAGAAATGATGGTTGAACAATGCAGATGACTGCAACCGTCGAGATCGCTACCGTGTCAGCGTCGAGTCCTAGTGAGAGCGAGCGGAGATCTGGGACGGGTACTCACCAGCTGCCATGACGAGTCGCCAACTGCATCTTTCGCCGAGGATGAGCCAGCACAAGAGTGCGGCGGGAAAGAAGCGCGTATTCATGATTGCCACAATATCAGACATGGCGGTATACTCGAAAGATGCGTAGGCACATAGCAGTCCTACCGAGCAGATCAAGGACCGAAGCCACACCAGTCGAGCGACATGGGCGCTATGCTGCGGCTTATCGTCGTCAAGAGAATGAGCGGGAATGAAGGGAGCCGTCGGAATGTCATCTTCGACTCCAACATGATCATCGTATAGCGGGAGTTTGAGGAGGGGTATTGTCGAGACAGCAGATTCGTGAGGCTCTGAGGTTCGGACATCCAGCTGATCGAAGACGTCGCTCTGGAAGAAGTAGGACCAGACGAGCAGGGGTGGAATTGTGAGCGTCTGAGTGGATAGTAAGCGATGCGGACGTGGGGATGAGTTGGAATCGGCATACCATTCGCATGAAGACAGCCTGCGCCGAGGATACCCCGTGATTCCGGACCAAATCTTGCGCGATGGTGTCCATACCAATCACGAAGGTGCAAGCGATCAAGGCAAGGATGCAGCCGCCGTGCGGTCCATCAATGACCGAGAAGGACATTGCCTGACGATTGCCAATGCTGGTCGATATCAATATCGTACCGTCTCGTCGTTACTGCTTGTCTCACGCGACTGACGGCGACGCTGGAAATCCCCTTGATGAGTCTCCCTAGTTTGCCGTAAGGGCACAGCGAGCTGGTCAGGGACGTCGTCTCAAAGGGTGCGCAGCAAAGGAGCCGATGAATGACCTGTCCCTCGTGACTGGCTCATTGTGAGTGTTCTTAGCACAGTACGTGAGCAATACACCACACTGTCCGCTTGTCTTGTCATATGCCGTCGTGAGAAGACGGGCTGATAATCAACACGTCACCTCGCCCACATCCCGTGCACCCATAAGTCTTGCGTCGGCAGTGACGATCAGTATCAACACGTACTCAAAACTTGCATTTATAGCTTCGTGAACAATATCAGTAGGGTGTGTTATACGTCGGCGTACGGATAGCCGCACGGAAAGACCTTAAATCACACCTCAGTCTGGTCAACCTTGAGATCCGCTTCGCTTTGTGGCCGAGGCTTCTCAAAAACCTGCGTGGTGTCAGTCCGATGCTGTATCTTGAGCCATCCCAGCTGCAGCAGCTCACGATCGAGCCGACCCCTGCAACCATGATCGCCACCAACGCCGATATCTTGACGAGGCTGGGCGATTCTCCCTGAAAGATGATTTGAGCGATTACCGCAAAGACGATCTGGGTACGTCAGCGTTCGTTCAAGGAACAATACTGGTAGCCTCACTTGGCTGTAGCTCAAAATCGAAACTCGAGCAGCCGTCTCCCGCTGCAAAGCCATCAGGCAGCAGCATTGAGACCCGAACGATACGCTCTAAATATCGTCAGCCGAGCAGCTCCCTTCCACGCGGTAAGCGGCGGAGTACATACAGATAAGGTCACCAGCTTCAGCCAGACAAGAGGCGAGGTGAGTCCTACGAGCTGGATGCCGGCGGCGCAGACGTAGCTGAATCGATATTAGCTTTGATTTCTGTTAGCGGTCGGATATGCTTGGACTTACAAGAAGCAGAAGAAGGATGCAGTGATCGCATAACTGAGTAGACATGATCCCACTTGGACCCCCTTTCCAAGCTTCCGCATGACCGTTACTAGCATAATCAGCTTGATGACCAGGAAGATCGGAGTGGAACTTACGGTCGAGAGCTTGCGTGAAGGTGGTAATGATGGCAAGGGCATAACCCAAATATCGCCCATCTGGAGAATGCGCATCGTCTTGAGTCTCCGTGTCTCCGAAGATGAAAGACGGCTGGACGATGACTAAGACAGAGCCAGTCGAGACAACTGTTAGTCAGCTTAGCAGCGCGGAGGACCGGGAATCGGACTCACGCGCAGCCAGCCCAGTCTTCCAGGTGATCCCTTCCCCCAGCAGCAGCCAGCATAGGATAGCGGCTGGAAAGACGCGGGTATTGAAGATCGCTATGATATCGGACAAAGCAGCGTATCCGAAAGCGGAGTATCCCATGACCGCGGCAGCAGTGGCCAGGAGGGACTTTGCCCATATGACACGCGCCCGGACGTGGTCGTGGTGATAATCATGCCGAGCGGTAGTTGCTGCGCTGAGCAATGGCCGCTCCTCGGTCGGACCAGCGGTGTCGTCAACGTCGGCATGTAGTGGTAGCTTCGTGTTCCGTGCGAAGATGCTGTCGAACGAGGAGGGGAAGATGTTGAGCTGCCAGAGGATCTCCGGCCGGAAGAAGTAGGCGGACGCCAAGATGGGCGGAAAAGTCAACATCTGCACGGTTACCAATCAGCTCGTGATTACTATGCCTTTACGCTGGGGCCTAGACTCACCATCCGCATGAGGATCACCTGCTCAGACGACATTCCAACCTCCCGAATCAGGTTTTGTGCGATCGTATCCATGCCGACGAAGAAGAAGCTAGACCACACTATGAGGATGCACCCGCCGTACCGGCCGCTGAGAATCGTCGACAGCATGTCTGATAAGTAGTAGCGGTAAGACCGGCAGAAGAAATGAGTAGAGTCAGCAGCCCATCCTCCGAGTATTTCGTAGACTCAGCGGCTTGATAGATCCCTTTGTCCAATAAGGTGCAGGAGGACAATGGTCACTGCATCAATGCTGCGTTCAATGTGCTGCGTTATAACCAGCACTCAAGTCAAAGGAGTCAGTGGACTGCTTGAAATTCAGCTGTACACCTTTGTCCTGAGCGTCGAACTTCATTCAATCGGCGCATCAGGGGGCGTGGCAGCCGTCAAAACGGTATTGACGTCCGTGCGGGATACCAAGCGGGGCGATCCTTATCACCCCAGATGGCTGAGCAAGCCCGCCCAAGCTCCTATGACCTTCTGCAGGAGCACCCGCTCGTCCAAAGCGAAAGATATGGCCTGGCGCTGCAATGATGAGGAAGCGGGAAGACCCTGGGTAATCAGCTCCAACCCCGGCCCAGCGAGGCTTCTGCAGACTGACCAGTATCTCCTTCTCTATCTCCTCTGGTGACAGCTCTGGACGATGAGCCGCCCCCAACCGGTCCTCCAGAAGCTGCACCACCGCCCTGATTAGAGGGCGCAGCGTACCCGTCTCGTCCCCCAACCGCTTCAACCCCGCCAATCCCAGCTGCGCATCCGCTACCGCCTGCAGCGCCTTGGCATCCCTGATGACCGCATCGTCCTGGTCGTTGAAGTTGTCGAGGCCGCTCCTCCACTTGTGGAACGTCCGAGCATGAATGGCGGTCAGGAGGTCAATCGAGAGCGTTCCATCGCCGTCCATACTGAGATCGAAGCTCCCCGGCGCCGCCGACCCGCCCGGCCGGAAAAAAGGCTTGCTGAATTCCCAGTCCTCCTCCTTGTCGTCTCCGAACAGCTCCGCGGTGATGACGCCTCGCTTCATGATATGGATGAACCGCCCCGCCGAGGATTTGTCGAGAATGTCCCACGGACCCCAGGATATCCTCGACCGGGTTGGCTCGGACGGGGCAAAGCCATACCCTACCAACGCCTTCGCAGAGGTCAGCCCTTCCTCATAGCAGCTGAACACCTCGACCCCCGCCGAGATGTCTCGTTCCGCCCTCATATCCACCTGCTCGCCCTCACCGCGCTCGGCCATCCGGGCGAGATAGGCGGGCTCAATACCCTCCAGCCGTTCCGGCCGGCCGTTAGAGTCTAGCTCGTCATGCTGACAAGGCTGGAGTGAGCCGCATTCGGGGCAGACCCCGACGTCGCAGAGGAGAGAGGTGTGCGCGGAGGTGGAAGAGTGGTTGAACATGTCGCAGTAGGGAGGGATGCCGATTTGGTGGTACGAGTCGAGCATGAAGCCGCGGGATGAGATGAGAGAAAAAGCATGCAGGAACTCCGAGTAGGTAGGAGGGGAAGAATGTGATGTGGTGGGCGGAAGGGCGGTAAGAGTCCAAAAGAAGTCTCGCAGACCCGCCTGTTCAGTCAGCGATCAGCGACTATGGCCCTGCCCGTGAACTTAACATACCCGAGTAAGACCATCCTCCTCGTTCTGACGCTTCATCTCGCTCTCAGCGTCCGTAGCCTTCAGCCAGGGGAACGCCTTCCTTCCGTCATCCCCACCGACCTCCTTCAGATTCCACAGAATCGGGACCGGTACCGTCTCCCTCGGTAAGACCTGTAGCCAGCCATACCAGCTCGACTCCTCCCCTAGTCGAAGCTCATGCAGGAGACACGCAGCTAAGCGGTAGAAGATGTCCGAGGGCGCTTCGGGTTCACCCGCTAGCGAGGGGCAGGTAGAGAGATCAAGCGAGGCGGTCCGGTGTGAGAAGATGGTGGATTTTGGGACTGCACATAGGGTCTGTGTTGTCAGCTTCACGATTGCCTGAAATCATTTAGAATGAGAGTGACAGTGAGAGTGACGAACGGACCGATCCTAGAGGTATTGGCGCCCTGGCTGTCACGCAGAAGCCAGCGGACTCATGCGACATCGGCACCATCGATAAAGACGGGTGTCGCTGGATATGGTGCGCGTCCAGCCACGCATCGAAGAGCTCTATCGAAGGCTCTGGCCAGGACGCTGAAGTAGACTCCATGACTGTCAGCTAGGTGAGCGCTGACCGAGCGCAGTCAGCCACGAAGAGTGGTCTTAGATGGGCAGATATAGAGGTGGTTGAGAGATGTGGAGGCAGCGAACGAGCAACCCCAACTTATCTTTTGGCCATCATACTCACTACTGACTCCCTACCTGCATCATGCAGGACCTGAAGCGAGCCAGCTCCGCGTCATCCACTCCTCCGCCAGAGTACAGCCCTCCGTCACCAATCAGTGTCAGTACCACTCATTCCGACTTCACCTTATCGGTCCCGCCCGGCCCATATCATCCGGGCGATACTCTCCGCCTGTCTCTCTCGGCGCCAGCTTCAGCTTTAGCCCATGTGGTGGGCAACATCGAGTGCGTGCTGGAGGGCATCAGCTCAGTGGAGCTGATGGGGAAGAAGCGATACCAGGTGACTACTGTTTCTCCAATTATCGCGTCCAACTCCACCATGGTGGACCACATCCTGGACGTGGCTGATTGCTGACTCTCAGACCGCAATGATGGTGAACGCGACCATGGGCTCCGGCGGCGCGGCTATGATCACCTCTCGAGAACAACATACATTCACCAAGGCCTCCAGCATCATCTCGGTCCGGGCGAACAAGGAGACCGGCGGGATCGAGCATCAGATCGCCATTCCCACCGAGCGAAGCTGTGCGTGTCCCGGACCGAAGAACGAGGGTCTCCTCCCGAGCTTCGGAGCGAGCGGGGACGAGGCGGATGAGAGCTCGGTGGAGTGGAAACTGGTGGTGTTGGTCAAGCGAAAAGGGATCTTGAAGCGGGATATCAAGTGAGCAGCTCATGGACAGAAGACAATCTGCAACCGAGACCTAGGAGCTGATTCTGTAGGCTGTCCTTGATCATCCCGGTCACTCTATTACCTTCAACTGTAACCTTCTACCCCCTCACCGCGACCTCGTCGGCACCTATGGCGTACACCGCCTCTGCTTCCTCCGGCCCAGCCCCCACACTCACCGCCAACCTCTCCATCTCGACCTCCCCATCCGCACCCAATAAACTCAACTTCCGCCTCCAACTGACCTCCACCCCTTCCTCTCTTCTTCCCTCGTACGCTTCCATACCCTCCGTGGACGACTTCGGGATCGCCTTCTCCCTCTCCCGGCGCGCATGGACCATGGGGATCGAGCAGTCCAAATTCGGCGACCCGGGTGGATTCCACTGGGCTCCACGCCGAATGGGCGTCGTCAGTCTCCCTCCGACCCAGTCCAGGTTCACGAAAGGTTGGATGAGAGTCGTACCGCTCGATGAGGCGAAGAGTGGAGATGGGATGAAATTTGAGGGGGAGTATGAGGTGCCGGAGGGGTGCGTGACGGTCAAGGGGTGCGGAGTGGCTGTTGATGTGAGTCTCGAATGCCAGACTGGGGTGCAGCAAAGCTGATACGGTAGTGGTCGGTACATGCCAATGTGTCGTGGAAGAGGCTATCTGGAACGTTGAGCGTGGAGATACCGCTGGTACTGCCGATAAGCTAGGCGATTATTGATCAAGGGAGGTCGGGTGCAGGCAAAGTGAAGATCTCAGGTATGTCGTCTTTATACTGCTCTTCAGTCTCGAGGAAGACTTCGCGAACAGTCCAAGCTGATCTTGTACAGCTGTACATGGGGGTCAAAAGGTTTCTCCGCAACACGCCAGCAGAATCCATACTTTGCATGTCCGAGACCCAAACCTTGAACTCCGCTCGACCGACTACGTATAGAATACGGACGACTTCCAGCTATACCATCCTTCCCCTCCCTCGTTCCCATCCGTACCTCTTCCTTCCGACCCTTCCCTCAATACTTCCTCCCCTTCCCCAACCCAATCACCCCGCTCGCCGCGAATAACGCAAAGTCGATCCCCGCGAGCACCACCGCGCCCGTCATCTTGCGACAGGCCCGCTTGTTGTCGAACACGCCGATGAAGGCGGGACCTTCGCAGCTGCCCATCGACTTGGCTTGAAAGGTCGCCGAGGTGATGAGGGCGGCGAGAAGGAGGAGGGCGGTGATGCCGTCGGCGTAGGTGGAAGTGGCTGTTCTGTGGAAGGAGGGGTGGATGGCGATGGGGAGTACGATGAGGGCGATGACGGACTACGGGGTCTGTACAGGGAGCTATGCGGAGATTCCGATGTGGAAGGGGAAAGTAGGGATATGAGATGATGTGGAAATCGACGGCAGGGCAAGGGGGAAGCTAGGGGGACGACGTGGAGTAGATAAGTGGGGGTCATGCAGTACTTACTCCAGCAATGATCGATGCCTCATCACTGAACCAAGCGTTACTAGTCAAGGACCTGTCGAGCGCACACGAAGCGACCACAAGAGCGGTAATGGAGACGGCGTATTGGGCGACGCGGAGGGCAGTAAGGGTGGGACTCATGGTTGAGCGCTGCTGGATGGGAGTCGAGTGGTCTTGGTGCTTCTCAGCGTCGGTGTGGATGGACGAGTGGGACATCGCTGATGACTGCTATTCGATCTGGTATTGGCGGGATATGAGGGGATAGACAATATGCGGTCGTCAGAAGTGAAAGAGGGGAGACGCTCGTCTGCAGGCCGTCTTTTATACCCCGTGATTCCAGCTTGCCGAATGAGTCTTCTTTCGCAACTACCAATCAGAATACAGCCTCATTCACTTGCGCAGACAGCTGCCAGTCCAAAGGGATCTCGCTGTCCCCAAGAAGGTTTAGCTCTTCCCTAGCGATTGCTCGTCCGCTGTGCCACAATTGCCCAAAGAGGCAATCCGATGAAACAAGTCGCGCAGAGGAATGCGGACTTTTCGCAGCTTGCGCTTGGGGCCTTGGGGAGGTGAGGGGAGTATGGGACAGTAAGGTGGCAACCAGCGCGGATTCCGCAGGCACTTTGCAGCTTATGCTCGTGCTCGTCGGATGTAGGCCATCAGTCAATCGTCTTTATGGGCCAAGGCCTCCGGTTCCGCTGGATATATAAACATAACATAACCTTTCGCCTTTACGGTATATATGATATAGACAACTAGTCTGGCTTAGGCCTTATAAGTATCAAATTACAACTCATCTTACTATGCGATTACCTCCGACCTCATATCCGCACTGAGTTTCACATTCCTCTGACCGGTGGTTGCCGGCTTCGTCTAGCTAGTGGATTGGCAGCGGGTACCATGATCCTCAATCAGGACTGTTAGCCGACGGCAGAAGTACCGTGAATCCAGATACAAAGGGGAGATACATACACATCATGTCGAGTGCCCCCGCTAGAACTAACTATTTCCTCATCTCCCGCTTACTTCTCCTTGGCCATCTGCTTCTTGATGTCCAGTCCGGCACCTTGACGCTGAACACCCATGGCGTACTCGTAGACCAGCTTTCCTCCAAGGTACGCGGCTAAGATGTCAGCTCCACGTCTGACATCATGGAATATGAAGAGGTTCTTCTGCGGGAGGGAAGGGAGAAAGCTGAGTGGGGCAAGCAGAACTGAGAACTCACAGTAGAGCAGAGCGGGAAGGGCAAGGGCGTTGCCATAGATGACCCATTTCGGCAGCGCCTGAGACGGGTAGTAGGCACCTCGGTACCTGATGATCAGCTCCACTCTGTATCACCTTGGCAAGACAGGAACTCACCAATTGTACCCAGCAAGCGCAACCACCATATCGTTCATGCTCGCATGTGTCAATGTGGTCTTGACCTTCTGTCCGCCCGTGTCCGACATGTTCCACGTCGCATCCGCCACAGCTCCCCACGATCCCTTGACCTTGCGCTCTTTTCGGATGAGCTCGTATGCCTCGCCCAGGCCGGTGATGATCGCCGGAGCGGCCGTGATGACACCCGCGGCAGCCGAGTAGTAGGCCAGACCAGGTATGACGCCGGTGGCGGGGAGGATGGAGGATGGGTAGAGCGAAGTAGGGAGGAGGGAGAGGGAGGTCAACCCAAAGGCGGCTGAGAGGAACTGGTCGTCAGCATGATGTTCGATCAAGGGCAGGGAGGAGATACTTACGGCGATCGGGAAGTGGACGGTGGAGGGGTGGATCGGATGACCCATCGCGACGTCACTGTTGGGGATCTGACCTTGAAGGAAGGTAGACCCCTTGTGGACCGCATCCTCAGCAGCCCGGATCGCGGGGGACGAATTGGCCTTGTCCTCGGCGGTATTGACGGCGCGGTTGGCTTGGTCCTTGGCGGAGTCTGCGGCCTCGCTGGCGCGTTTACGGAGGTCTTGAGGGTTGTTGGACATGCTGTATGTGCTGTATGTAGAGATTTGATGGAGGGATTGGCATGATCGATCCCCCGGTCATAGATGCTGAGCCTATCGGAAGTTCCCGAAGTTGGATGATGACAAGACTAAGCTCCAGGCCCCAGGCACGGACTAGTACGTCATGACGATTTACATTCCTTTCGATTCCAGCAAACCTTATTTGCGTGGATCGGCGAGGCTGGAATGTGCCAGGCCGCGAATGTGGCACTATAGCTGGCTATGGAGACCAGAGGGTGGCGGTTTGAGACAAGTTGGCGGCACCGGACTGTAGCAGCGGCAAATCACCATTTCGCATCAGAAGTGGAGCTAGAGGTGGGAAATTCGAATGACTGGCAAACGCCTTCATAGTTTGTATGTGCGCCACCCTGGGCTGCGCCCGGCCTTGCAGCTGAGGTCGTAAACTGCTGGTGCGCAGATGTCAAGTCTGCGAGTTGTGGATCCGTTGTAAGCTAAGGCGAGTTGTGATGTCGCTGTTAGCTAAGTCAAGCTAAGGACATTACTACTCGGGACTTCCGAAAATAAACACATCCGCATCATCAGAATAACAACTCTAATCTTGATTATCTTACTATGTTATGTAGAGAGCCGAGACCGATCAAATGCTTATAGCAGTGCCTCAGGCCCAGAGTACCGAATCGTACTGCAGCTAGCTCTAGCAGTTTGCCCTCAACGTGGAAGGGTCGCAAGATCGACTTGTCATAGATACGGACCTATGCATGTCACCACCTGCACAATTTGAACCTGATCAGAATCTAGCTCATCTAAACGCCTGCACAGTAGCCATCTCCACAATCGATCCTCGCACATGGGCACCTGCCCACTTCGATATCCGATATCGACGTCGACAACCCAATCAGTCCTTGTGAAGTATCAAGTGCGTAGACCAGTACGGCTCGTGCAGGAAGCCCGGATACTGGATCCGAGCTGGCTCCCCGAAACCCTCGGCCTCGTATCTCTCCATGAGCATGGGCTTCTGTGGATTGTGGTCGTTCACACCGACCTGTAGGTCTCCGGCTTCAGCCCTCTCCATCGCATATCGGCCAAGTAGGGTGCCAACATGCCGCACGCGCGCGGTGCTCTGGGTCGTTGTAAATCGAGTTGATGGTCGTCACTGTCTTGCCAGAGGGACGTCTGATGTGAAGACTCACGATTCCGATCGGTATCGTTCCCCTGTCTCCATGGTTGACTTCTGCCACAAATGCCGTGGATTGCGATTTCGTGGATCCTGACGTAGAGGTGCAGCGCGCAAACCACATGTCATGGTCCTTGCGCATCTTCGCGATGACATCTGGGTGGATCGGAGTTCGATGACTGATCTGCATTTCCTGAAGCTTGAAGAAGACCGAGGCATCGCTCAAAAGGTTTCGATCCTGCTCGTCCTCAGTGATCTCCCGAATTCGGAACGACGGATCCGTCTTGACTGAAGGGAGAGGTACGAAGCTCGATCCGTCCCTGAGGGCTTCTCCCCAAGTCAAGCCGAAAGCTTTCTCTGCGGTCTCCCACTTTGCGCTGTCGCCTGTCTCATCGGGCATCACTTTCTTGTAGAAGTGGAGACCCGACTTGACAGGGACAGTCCCCAGCGAGAAGCCTTCCCTCTTGCACCACGGAATGAGCTCTTCCTCATTCAGCGGTTTCTTGTACACACGCACGGACCGGAAGACCGTATCGGAGGTGGATCCTGGCTGCAATGCGGCACTGAGAAGTGATGCCTTGACGTCTGCTTTCGAGGGATCTGTACCAAACCAAGGGGTCTGTAGCGCAGTGAACCGCCCATCTCGGTCAATGTCGTCGGCGAACACCGATCGGCCAATGTAGCCAATGATCTCTTGGGCATAATGTGAGTCACCGCCTTCAGAAGTCGAAGCGGGTCTCTCCGCCACCCACATCAGGCGTTCCCCCCTCTCAAGTACGTGCTTGGTGGCGAGAAACCTGGAATTGGCACTCGGGTACCTGGCCAGTGTGTCAAGGCGCTGCTCTTCCGCGCAGGCGGATTCGAGAGCCTCCACATCTTCCTCTCGGCTCAGATCGATCGGTCGGACCGTGCAGGATGGGTATGTCATGGTTGGGGAGGACATGGTGACGGGGAGTGGCAATTGTGTAGGTCTGGAGTGAAAGCTGGATTGCGGTATTGTGAGAGGATGAACGTTGGTTGAGGAAGAGGATATCAGTAATGGTGATGTAATGAGCTGAGAGGCAATTATGAGGTGGCGTCTGGAATGGTCAGTTGAGTAAGAGAGCAGGGGGAGGGGAAGCCCCTTATATCCCCCGCCGTCCTGGACGTTGTCGACAGACCCAGCTGCCCTCCTTTCGCCTCCCGAAGCGCCAAGCGTAAATTGCATTTCAGCTTCCTTTAACGCACCTCACGGCCACGCCCGGGTAGCCAGCAGTGGTATGAGGACCCGTATGGTGAGAGTTGATAAGACCGAGTGGCAAAGCGTTTGAAGTGGGGGAGTTCGGCTCTGTTAAGTTTTCAAGAGCAGACTGGGGATGCATCTGACTCGACATGACCTCCTTATATATTCCAGCCTGGCTACTCCCCACAGAGTACGGGAAGTTCCTAGATCTTGAGATCTTCCTACACTAGTCCCTACAAGTGCCTATCCTACATAGCAGCCTCTATTGCTCATGGGAGCTCCTATCCTCATAGGATTCCCTATAGCTCCTACACAGCCTGCTTGGCCTGTGTCTCGCCACCCTCAGCGCGCCACACTGGCTTGCCACACTGCATATATCGTGTAGTACGGCATGAGATCTCGCCACCCGACTGCAGTATCGGTGGCGCAGTAGGTCTGCTGCCCGATGTAGGAGTTTCTACTCGCTACCGAGTAGCTCCCGAATAGGTAGTCGCTTCGCTACCGATCTAGCTCCCGCTGAGGAGTCGTCCGAGGAGTCGTATATCTCAACAGGCTCGGCCAGCTGCCCTAGGAACGCGTATTCAAGGGTAAGACTGGATTGACCTGCACTTCATGGATGCACACGACTCGACCTGTCCGGTCAATCATATGCCAGGGTGTCATTCCTTTCGAGAGGAATCTATCGATGATAGGCTTATCGATCGAACGCGGCTGTCGCCCCAGTAGAGTGGGGGGAGTGGGGGACCGGCAGTACCCGATACCCGACGCCCGTGCGTCAGGTGACGTCACCTCGGCCCGGAACTTCTCCTGCGTGCATTTGCTGACCCTTCTAAGCCCTTCTACTAGCACTATCTCTCGAGGTATACAAAAGTGTACCATTACCACTCTTGCACACAGCACAGCCCAGCGCAGACATGGCAGAACAAAGCAAGTTAGGCGGGACCGAATCTCGGGGCAGTGGTGGTCATACCAGCTCCTCCCCGTTCGCCAAACCCCCCTCGGGCGGAACTCTCAAGCTCCACCCGTTCCAATACCACGCGAATCAAGCGGACCTGGACCGCCTCATGCGGAAACTGAATGACGTGGAGGATATTCCGGCGACGTATGAAAATAGCTTTGCGCCGGAGGATATGGAGTTGGGGGTGAGGAAGGGGTGGATGGAGGAGATGCTGCAGACGTGGAAGGGGGGATATGATTGGTGAGTGCAGGTCCTGGGGTGGATAGGGCGGAGAGCTGGGGTCTTGAGAGATCCATCAGGGGTCTGCAGGGGAGAAGTTTACTGAAGCAGTCGGAGGAGATAGTATGTCAGGATGTAAGCTGATGAGACAGGCGGAAGACAGAAGAAGAATTCAACTCGTTCCCCCATTACACAACGCCCCTGTCTACCAAAGGACACAACTACACTGTCCACTTCATGGCACTCTTCAGCCAAAAGAAGGATGCTGTCCCCGTTGTCATGACCCATGGCTGGCCAGGTGAGATTTCCTCTGATTTTTCCCTCTTCATCCTATCTACCTCCTCCCTCCGACACTTTACCTTGAGCTTAGCTGACCCCCAGGCTCCTTCCTCGAATTCATTCCCATCTTCAAGCTCCTCACATCAACCTACACCCCCCAGACCCTCCCCATCCACCTAATCTGCCCTTCTCTTATCGGCTTCGGCTTCTCGTCCCCTCCGCCTCGGCACGACCGGTTCAACAACCTTGACGTCGCGGATCTATGGGACCAGCTTATGCGTGGACTGGGGTTCTCGAGCTATGTGGCGCAAGGAGGGGATATTGGGAGTTTCGTGACGCAATTATTGGCACAGAAGTTCGACGCGTGCAAGGGTGAGTCTACCGCTCCTTTCTCTTCTTCCAGCAAGATCGAGATGGTGGTTAGGATATAGCTGACGCTTAGCCATCCACGTCAATATGCTCCGCGTACCCCTGGACTATAACAATATCGACAAGTCCAACTTATCGGCTTATGACAGGGACTGCGCGGATCGCCTGCAGGAGTTCATAGCGACCGAATTTGCTTATAGGAACGAGCACGCGACGAAGCCGGGCACCATCGGAATTGTGGTCGGTAGTTGCCCTGTCGCTCTGCTCGCTTGGTGAGTCCACTTAATGCCGGTACCATGCTCTCCCTCCCCATCCTCCTGCCTCCCATTGCTCCCTCTCATCCCAGATTCTGCTCTCTTTCTCCCAGACTCAGCTGACATGCAGGATCGGCGAAAAGTACATCCGATGGTCCGACACGACCCCCACCCCAACTCAGATCCTAGACGACATCACCCTCTACTACCTCACCCGCACCTTCGCCACTTCGCTCACACACTACTGGGCCGCCCCGCCCAGCCGGTACGCGCTGCCCGAGACCCAGCCTGATTTGCCTGCCATCAAAAAGACGGGCAAGCCTGTCGGGTACAGTCTGTTCAAGAAGGAGATTACGCCGTTTTTGCCGGAATGGGCGGAGGGGCATGTTAATCTTGTGTGGAGCGCGAAGCATGACAAGGTGAGTGCAGGTCCATGTCAGAGTGACTAGAAGAAGAAGGGGCAACTAATCGGGGAGGAGAAGTATGGAAATGAGCTAGCGCTGACGTTCAGGGTGGACACTTTGCCGCTCTGGAACAACCTGAGCTACTCTGGGAGGATTTGCAGGCTTTCCTGAAGGTAGCGTGGACCGCCAAGTCTCAGCTGTAGCTGTAAGATAACAATATGGAAGCATGCACCTATCAATATAAAATGGTCAAAGAGTACACCTAGTCTATCAATCCATCTACTGCCTATCTGCCTAAGTCCCGAGTACGATAGCATCTACAATACCTGGTACGCATCGTAGATAACCTGGTCCCCACTCCTCCCCGAGCTGGCAATAAACACTCCCTGGTTGATCCAGCTATACCTCTCATCCCCCGTCTCCATCTTCATATTCAATCTCATCCGATACTCCCCCGGCCCGATAGACGTATCGTCCCCCAACTTGCTCAGGACCTCCTTCTTCCCCGTCCTTGTGCCCGTCGTCTGCAGATAGATGGTCGCACCGTCGTGCGTGAGGAGATTGTACCGCGTATCGAGGTGCGCGGTCTGCTGGTCCCCATGATCCCGCACGATCTCCCAGTCCCCTCCGCCCGGAAGAATCTCCCCGCGCAATTTAGGCCCCTCAAATCGCCCACCCTTGAAGATGACGGTGGAGCGGTCCCCGTACGGACCGGGACCGATGTGCCGGAACGACTCCATATCGCATTCGAGGTGGAAGAGGAATTGGAGCGTGGGGGCAGGGAGGGTGTAGGAGGGGTTGGACCAGGAAGAGTGGGGGAGGGAGGAGATGGGTGGGGCGGGCTGGACGGTTCCGGGTTCCGGAGTGGCTGAGGAGGACTGGGAGGACATTATAGGCCGATGAGTGGGTAGGGAGATGGTTGGGCGGTGTGGATCGCGGCGAGAGCTCGATATAGATGGATGTACGATGGAAGAGTGGTCGACGTCTGTCTGTAAGTGCAAATATTAAGGTTTGGGTGGATGATGCTCCTGACGTCATCGTCTTCAGGTCAGACGAGGTCATGTACCGCTATCCTCGCCTGCAGGCCCTGCAGGCGTCTTGTGCATCTATACCTCATCTATCTGCTAGCACATCTGTCTCTGACAAGAATCGCATCACATCGCAGCCTCGACATCGAATCTCACAGACCAGACGATACCGCCTGCTCCAAGTCCCGGAAGGAACCATATCCGGAACGCCCAGTCCGACCCGCTCGCACACCCACCCACCTACCTCGCGACCCATCTACAATGGGCGTCACATGGGACGACAAGATCCAGATGGGGCCTCCGCTCCCTGTAGCTGATGGCGCTGCTATTGTCGTTGCGCCAACAGCGCAGGACGGAGACGCAGTAGTCGGTAAGTCTCAGCCGAGCACCAATTGAGCTTACCCCTACCCGCGTCATCCCCTGTGACTTTCAGCTGACCTTACCCTTAGCACCCCTCGTCACCCCCGCCCCTGTACCTACACTCCCGAAAGCCACCGCCACTGCCAACCCCACCTCCCTCTCCCCACCCGCCACACCTCCCACCTACCGCAATCGTAGCGTGAGCAACGTCTCCACCGCCACGTCCACCACCGACTCTATCGCCAGTACGGCCTCTTCCGTCCCCTCCAAGCGTCAGCGGGACTTTGAGACCCTCTTTGGTCCCCAGCTCCGTCCTCGGCGCCTGACCGAACGGCCCGCCGATTTCCTCACCGTCCTCCAGACCCAATCGGCCGACCTGCAGGCGTCGGTGCTCCTGCACGGCCGGCTCTACCTAACATCCTACCACCTCTGCTTCCGCTCCAATATCGTCGGGTACATCACCGAGAAGATCTATCCTTTATCAGAGGTTGTCAAGGTGGAGCGGTCGACGACGGCCAAGTGGATCCAGAATGCCGTGAGCGTGACGTTTGTGAACGAGCAAGGGGAGGACGAGGTGGTGGGGTATGGGAGTATGGGGGATAGGGAGGCGATGTATGAGATGTTGATGGATACGTGGAAGGAGAGGGCGCCGGAACGGCACGCGGCGTTCATCAAGAAGGAGGAGAAGGCCAAGGCGGCCGAGGCGGAGGAGGAGAGAAAGGCGTCGACGAATACGGTCAGGCCGACGGAGGAGGAGTTGGCGGATAAACCTGCTTCGGACAAGGACAAGGCGGAGGGGCCTGGTGATGAGGGGGAGGGAGAAGGAGGGAGGCCGAGATCCAAGTCGGAGGTCAAGCATTCCGAGGAGAGTGGGGAGGGGTACGAAAAGGAGGCACTCGACACCAAGATCCCCATCCCGATGGATCAGCTCTTCAACCTCCTGTATCACAACAAGGAGTTCCACATGGATTTCCTAAAGAACAAGCAGAAGTTGACAGGTAAGCTCTGGTGTTTCTGCTGTTGCTCGACAAGTTCCGAGCTGATACCGTAGACATCGATGTGTCGGAATGGGCAGACGTTGGAGGGTCCAAGGAGCGCAAGATGACCTACGTCATGCACATGGTGCGTTTGCCGATGATTACGCTGAGTCTGTGTCGCTGATCAAGCAGAACAACAGGATCGGACCCAAGAAGTCAGACTGTAATGGCCTCGAGCGGATCGAGAAGGAAGATCCGGACAAGGCGTACGAGATTGTATCGGAAACGCAAACGCCAGACATCCCATCCGGGAAGAGGTGAGCCTGGCGCCTTTCGAGTCTATCGGCAGCCGCAGTACATAGCTGATCACCCAGCTTCAAGATCCGCACCCGTACCTGCCTCTCGCATACCGGTCTCGACAATAACGAAACCCCGGCCACCCGACTGCACTGCACGACACAGTGCGACTGGTCCGCCTCGTCCATGCTCAAAAGCACCATTACGCCCGCGGTCATCAAGGGGCAGAAGGAGTACCACCAGGCGTTATTGTCAGCGGTGAAGGAGTGGATTAAGGCGCATCCGGAGGACTTTGAGGCGCAGCCATCGGCGGAAGCGCGTCAGGAGGACGGGTCGGCGCCTGTCCCTTCTGGCGAGAAGGGGGCGGCTCCCGGGGAGAAGGGCGCGGATGCTGGAGCTGGAGCGGGCGGAGAAGTGATGACCGAAACTAAGGGGACAGTGGAGCAGTTGACCGAGATCCCGGCCAATCAGGCCATGTCGTGGATCACCATCTTGTGTGCGTTGAGCTTGGCGCTGAATCTGTATTTGCTCGGTAGGACCTGTTGAGTTGTATCTCTTGTATCATGGATCGTATGTATCTCTTGACTATCCTGCTCGCTTCGCCTCGTGGATGGTACCCCATACAAGGTGCTGAGCTCAGCACAGCGCGGGCAGAGAAGATCGCGATCTTGACCGCGGGGATCGGTAACGGCATCCCGCGCCCGTCTCGGTCACATCGCCGAGGGATACGGCCAGGATGACCTGCTTCTTACATCCATCAGCAAGAGATTGTAGCTATCTCGCCTATACTATCACATCAGCAGGGCCATCAGCGATAATCATGGACTACTCGAACCTCCGCTCCAAGTTCCGAGCCACGAAGTGGACTCCTTCAAACGAGGATGTAAGCTGACCTTGGCGTCTACGTTGCTTCGCTTTAGCAAGGACTGTAGCTGATGCGGCTCAAGATCCTGCTCGAGCCTTATACGTACATCTCGGCCAACCCGGGGAAAGAGATCCGCTCGAAGATGATCGAGGCGTTCGATATTTGGTTGGAGGTGCCCAAGGGGGATCTGGAGGCTATCAAGGGGATAGTGAGGATGCTGCATAATGCCAGTCTACTGTGAGTTCTGCTTTGCTCATTGCCCTCGTGCTGGGGCCGAAGCTCGCACTGTGGATGAGAGGGAGGAGTGCTGACAATCCAGGATGGACGACGTAGAGGACAACTCGGAACTCCGGAGAGGCCTTCCAGTCGCGCACACAGTCTATGGCGTCCCCCAGACTATCAACACGGCGAACTACGTGTACTTCTTGGCGGTGCAGGAACTATTGAAGTTGGAAAAGTATGATGAGGCTGAGCGGGCGGGAGATGGGGCTGAGGGGAATAAGGGGAATGGGAATGCGAATGGAAAGGGGAAGGGAAAGGCTTCGACGGCGGATCTGGTAGCTGTGGTCAACGGTGAGCTTTCTCGGACCGAAGGAAAGGTGACGGGCCTCGAGACCGCTGATGGCTGACGACGTAGATGAACTACTTCAGCTTCATCGAGGACAGGGACTGGACCTGTTCTGGAGGGACAGCCTCCAGTGTCCGACGGAGGAAGAGTACGTCGAGATGGTTCTAGGGAGTGAGTCTGCTCTGATATCTCCAGCTATGGACCGATAGCTGATCTGCCGAAGAGACCGGCGGACTGTTCAGGATAGCCGTCAAGCTCATGATGGCTCGCTCTGACAACGACGTGTAAGCTTTGCTGTGCTGCGTTGCCTAAGCCCGAAGCTGACATGACAGCGACTACGTCCCACTTGTTAACCTCATCTCGGTCTTTTTCCAGATTAGAGATGACTACATGAATCTTCAATCAGCCGAGGTGAGCTGTAGTGTGTCCAACATCATGGACGCGTCAGCTGATATACAGTATGAGGACAATAAAGGCTTTGCGGAAGACTTGTCAGAGGGCAAATTCAGCTTCCCAGTTGTTCATGGCATCCGGGCAGATGGGTCTAATCGTCAAATCCTCAGTCAGTCGTCTGTTTCACTCTGACTCTATCAACCCTTCCGGTCACAGCTTTGACCTGCTGGTCTATGTTCGCCCTCTCTTGGTTTAACATCATCAACCCCTCCAGTCAAAGCTTTGACCCTCTGGCCTATCCCCGCCATCTCTTGCTTCAACATGGTCATATGCTGATCTCCTCTAGATGTCCTACAAAAACGCACCAACTCCCACTCGCTCAAAACCTACATCGTCAACCACCTTCGGCACTCTACAAAATCATTCGCCTACACTCGCCAGGTGCTCGAGACGATCAAGGCGCAGCTGGAGGACGAGGTACAGAGCCTAGGCGGGAACGTCATGCTGGAGGCTATACTGAAGAAGCTGGATATTCCGCAAGAAGGGGAAGAGGAGCGGAAGGCGAATGGGACGAGTGGGGTTAACGGCCTTACTGTGAATGGGGCAGGTAACGGTCATTGAGCTGTCGAAATCGTGGCGGAAGGGAATGAGGTGTCTATAATTGCGGATTGAGGATGAAAGACAAGTCGTGCGAGCATGAGCAATGCATACTCTACTAGTCGCTACATTCCCTCCTTCGGGGTTGTCCTTCTACTCGGCCACCTTGTAGACAAACTTCTTACCAGATACTTTGCCAGCCTTCATATCTGCGAAACCCTGTGGTACGGCGTCCAGACCGCCCCGCAGGTCGATCGGGTTCGCCTTGACGCCGTATTTCGAGATGAGCTCGGGTGTGTGGTCCATGATGGCCGCGCCGAACTTGCGGTCCTTGTCTATGACGGGGAAGTAGTACGGGTTGGGCTTGAGGGGTGTCATGGTGAAGCGCTGCCTAGATCAGCTCTATTCAATCCAAATCCCAAGAATGAAGGAGAGATCTTATGACTGACCTTGCCGAAAAGCGTGTACATCATCGTACTGGACAACTCGACATCCTCTCTCAACCCCGCCTTATCCTTTGGCGCCGGCAAGATCAAATTCAGCCTCCCTCCATTCTCCCCAAAGCCCGCCTGGCTGATCTTGACACTATCGCCATCCGAAATCGTGTCCAGTCCAATGTCCACCCCGCCCCCACCTGCCAACTTCCGGATCTCGGCGCCAGCGGCCTCGATGCCTTGGTGGTAGTCTACGACCTCGTCCGCTCCGTATGATTTCACGAGGTCGAAGGAGTGAGGGGAGCAGACGGCGATGGTCTTGTAGCCCATGGCTTTGGCGAGAGGGAGGGCGAAGAGACCGACAGAGGAGGAGGCACCGTAGATCAGGTAGTACTTGTCCTGCTTGGCTGGCGGCCAGGGGACGTTTTGGTCAGATACCAGGACCTGGGAATGAGCTGTGCCCTCCTCGCTCTTAGCATCCAGCACTAAGGGGAATATGCTCACCTGACAAGCTGTCACCCACGCGACACCAAACGTAGCAGCCTCATCCATCCCCATACCCTCCGGCACCTTGAATACCAGATCGCTCTCCTGCTTGCAGTACTCTGCATAGCTTCCCTTATCCTCGAACAGGTTTCCATGGACACAGCCAGCGACTCGGTCCCCGACCTTCAAAGAGGAGTTGACAATGTCCGGACCGAGAGAGGTGATGGTCCCGGAAAAGTCGCACCCCATTGTGGAGCCGGCAGGCGAGAAGAAGGCCGAGTGTTTCCAGTCGGTCGGGTTCTGGGGGTCAGTTGGGGCTACAGCTCACGTGATGAAGAAAGGGGCAGGTGCAAAGAGCTCACTTGAGCGGCATATTCGACTTTGATGAGTACTTCATTGGACCCAGGGGTGGGGATAGGCTTGGTCTGCACAGAACAGGTCATGTCCTAATTCCGTTAGCTCAGTTCGAAGTCGGGCATCGCGACGGTTTGCAGCTTACAGATCCCTCATTTTGGACAACGGCACGCATGGACTTGGATTCAGTAGACATTTTAGATATGAGTCCTAAGATAGAGATAGATAGAAGCGAAGGAGATGGATCCTGGATGTATAGATGTATTATCTGGGTTTCGCTGACTGAGCAACGGCCGAATTACCGGGACACCTCCACCGGTTACGTCATTGGGCATTTTTGAACCGTGCCTGAAAGTGGCGAGTGGCAGCTCAGAAGGCTCAGCCGCCACTGTGTCTGAGACAGGAACGCCTGGGCCCGTGGGCGCGCGTGGGCGGGTACTCCAGAGGGGTGATCACCATCAGCTTACAGGCCTACAACAGAGATACATGTCAGAAATCATCGCCTATGAAAGATGCTACCCTTTACATGCAGCCAGCTCGGACGGCGGGATTTGCCACCCGTCCCCGTCCCACTGTCCCTGCGTAACTCATCGGCATCTGTGGCCCCCTCCTCTCCATGGATAGCAATACAGCCAGCGAATGATGTTGCTCCATTCGAACTCTGAGGCTTCTGCGAGCCCATGACAGGCAGGACAGGAATCTCAAAGATCCGCATCGTGCTCTTCAGGTCATACCGCTGCATCACAAACTGTACCCACCTCGCCGCCTCCGTGGCATTCTGCAAGGCAGAGCGATCGGTTCGTGTGGAGAACTGTATGACTCGCTGTGTGGATATGGCGGTCTCGAGTTTCTTCAGCCAGTCAGTGGCCAAGTTGACAGTGGTAAGATCGTCGCTGTTGAGACTGGGGCTGATCTGGAGTTTATCGGTGGCGCTGAAAGAGATATAGAGGGTGAGAGTGAGCAACGCTGATGTCGAAGGATTGGACATCTCTCGAATGGGATATTAAAATGACAAGGAGAATGTGGTAAGTGATCAGGTTCTGAGATGGGAACGCGCGTTGTAGAGAGCAAGGGACCGTCGGCCTGCTGTATCGCTTGCGATCATAGCCGGTAAAACATGGAGCAATGGATCAAAGGTGTTGATGGCGTGATACGCCGGGGGTACGAGCTGTCTGGCATGCTTGTACATTGAGGTGACCTTGTCAAAATCAACAGTGAGCAATGATCCCTGTGTATCCCTCGCCAATCGTCTAGACTGTGACAGACCCGGACTCGGCAGTTCGTCCGCTGGATAATCGTGAACGATATGGCCTGCAGTCTGCCCGGACGATTGCGGAGATAGTATGCATCATGGTGTGTACCAATTGCTACAAGCAGGAGACTGGTTCCTTCACTTGTCATGTACTCTGTAGACCGAGAGACGTATTCATATGTCTAGCTTCTGGTCGAGTACTCGATAGACAGCTTGGTCCTCGCATGGAAGCTCATCACGAATCGCAGACACGAACAGAGGCTAGAATACACTAGAATAACCGAAGTCGTAACTTCCCTTCATCCTCGATGACACAGCAGGTCACGAGCGCAATTTAGCGCTTCCTTTGACTCGAGTGGCAAACTTGTGTCGAAAGGGGAGATCGAGTCAGGCAGTCACGCAGTATCCCCCGAGCTTGCTCATCACTCACTGCTTTACCGAAGCCTCACTACAGGACCTGTACCCTCAGTCTGCTATGTCCAACCCGGGACAGACAACCACGACGTACCACCTTCAAGATGCTCTGTTCAACGATGACTCCACCACATACCTCGACATCCAGAATGAGATCATGACTCAGGCCCCGCTCTTCCCGAGAATCGCCGGCATGATCAAGGGTGAGGACGGTGGCTTACTGGATGTTCTGGACGGAACAGGCATACGCGTCATTACTCTCCTCACTGAGGACGACCAAGCGAACCCCGTGACGGCGGGGTTCGTCGTCTTCTCCGACCACTCTCACAAAGCCGATGATGCTGGCGATATGTTGACTACGAAGCCTGGCCCCGACCGATCGATCTACGCTCTCTCCGTGTACTCCGATTACCAAGGTCGAGGTTTCGGCACCAAGCTGTACGGGTCCATGGAGGGTTGCAGTGGTACCGAGAATCCGCAGCTCACCGAGGTGTTGCGGCCCTCGTCCATCACGTACGTCGCGCATGGACTGAGACCGGGCTCCGTCGACCTCGTGAAATGGCTGAAAGGTCTCGGCTTTGCCCACTGGGAGAACGGTGTGCTTGATCTTGATGAAGCATACGATGACGATGGAGTTCCTGACCCGACGGTACCGCACGCCTTCCGCAAGTCTTTCGCGCCCGTTGCGCTTCAGGTGAGTGCAAGGTCTCCTCGGGAGCGTCATTGCATGCTGCTGACAGGTCAAAGATCTCGGAACAAGTCGCATCGCGAGACGACCCATCTCCCGGGTCATCACAGACCTGAGTGCCGTCCATGACTCAGACATGTGATTCATGGGTTCCTGGCCGACCTGGTACTCTCCTCTTTCATCTGCCTCTCTTGCATGCATGCTATACCTTTGGACTCAGCTTGATCGCTGGTTCGTATGTCAGACACGAAGGCCATCGCGTGCGCGCCAGGTCAGGTTGGCTTGCCCTTCTCATCAAATTGTAGTGGGCTATATCTCAGCGTGAGCGATTGTGAGAAGTGCTCAGTTGACATCAGTGCGACCTGCACCCCAAGCTCCGAGTATGCCATCTGTGCATCTAGAAATCCTTCTATATCTACTTTCCTGTACGGGTCAGCTAGACACTTCAGTTTGGCTCAAGGTATCGCAGCTCACTTTTACACCAAAAGATCCATGTTCCCAGTATACACCTACGACTTGGTCTCGAACTTCTCCTCGATCTTTTTCGTCCCTCCACCATCGATATCCGCAGCCACCTGTTCCCCATCCACCAGCCACTTGGTCTGCCTGAAGCCAAACGGCCGGAAATTGATGTAGACGTTTTCGAAGTTGCCAGCGGGACAGTCGTATATCTCGTGCATGAGGCCTGTCGGGTCAGCGCCGTTGTGCAGAGTGAAAGTCCGAAAGCTAAGGGGTCGAGCAAGCAGGGGTGTACTCACCAAGGTATGGGTACTTTGATCTTGACTTGTAGTACCACTTCATTCCATTACTGTGCGCCTCCCCACTATGCCAATCCTTCAGATGTTTCTGGGTCTTCCAGTAGCTGATCGTAAACATCGCGTTTCCCCCCTCGCCCGCCGCGTCCAGAAGCGGTCCACACCGTCCCAGCAACCCCGACTCTTCCGGGTTCTTCTCCGCTTCATCAAAGATATGGTTGAAGTGGTCGCCGATGGTCTTGGTGCCCGGCGCCATGAGCCTGAGGGGATGGGACGACTGGAAGCCGAGGAGAAAGACAGTGACGCCCGTATCTGCCGTGGGGGGCTGAGCGGTGAAACGACCATAGTTGACAGGAGGGGTGGTAGATTTACCGAGGAAGCCGAAGGATTCGAGGAGGTAGGTGAGGGTGATGTAGGCGGTGCAGAGGATTGCGGGAAGGAAGGAGTATGGAGGTCGAACGAAATGGACGAGAGCGGATTGGAGGAGCGCGCCGATCAGCAGCCAGGTCTGAAAAGAGACCTGATCTCGGATCAAGACATTTATCCCGATCCACTTGGGCTGGTATCGCGGCATATTGTCGCCTGCAGACTGACCGTGTCGAGCTAGTGAGATGAGGATAAGAGGCAAGAGCAAAAGCAAAAGTGGGATGTCAATATGGGGCAAAGAGAGGATGCCGAGATCGATCATCCTCCGACCTCGGCCATCGGGCATGCGGTCTTGCATCTCCTCCTTCCGGTTGAGGAGATGGGGAAGCGCCCATATAGAAGAGGCCACAAGATGGAGTTGAAGCGGCCATGCATGACCGAAGCCCTACGCCACTAGAAATGCTACCGAGCCCCGACCTCACAAGAGATAGATCCGCCCTTCGTACTTGCCCAGCTCCACCTTCCCACCCTCGATCCCGCTCCCCTCCTGCAACTCCCCGTTGTTGGTGACAAGTAGCTTGGCTCCGCTGACATCCAGTCCCTTGGGCACCTCGAACGTCATGGCCTCTCCGCGCCTGTCCGATCCGCGCGCAAAGTTGAGGATAACGAGGAGCTTTTGATTGATAGTGGAATCAGCGCGGGTGTAGGCGTAGATGTCGTCGGCGGTCTCGAGCGGTCCAAATGTACCTATGAAGTCAACGTATTTCCCGATTGTGAAGATAGACAGTGTACTCACCGTAGACCAAGGCCTCATACTGCTTCCTGAGCGCCAGCATCTTTTGCCAAAACTTGAGAACCGATCCTTCCTGCTTGGACTGCTGCTCGACGTTCCATCCCTCCGCAAAGTCATCATGGACCCGCATCCAGGGCGTGCCCTTCGAGAAGCCGGCATTCTCGCTGGTATCCCACTATCCCATCAGCTACCTCTCCTTGCTCAGCGTGCATATCTCCTACTTACCTGCATTGGGGTCCTCCCGTTATCCCTCGCAGTCATCCTCATCTCCTTGGCCAGGCCCTCCTTATCCTCCGGCTTCCCGCTCTGCCGCCTCCATGCGAGCTCTCCCTCCATATGCTGGATCGTCTCGATATCCTTGTACTCCTCCACTCCCCATTCACGGGGCACGTTCGCGAGCCCGATCTCCTGGCCTTGGTAGACAAAGATCGTGCCGGTCAGGGAGCAGTGGAACATCGCGAGCAGCTTGGCGCAGTGCGAGCGGTCCTCGGGATGGTCGGAGGTGATGCGGGAGACCACTCGGGGCTGGTCGTGGTTCTCGAGACTGAAGGTCAGCTCATGGCGGCGACGAGGGTATACGATGGACTCACTAGTTACTGTTCCATCCGCCTGCAGCCTCCATGCCGACATTCCACTCGTTAAACACCTTTTTGAAATCCTTCATCTTCCAGTTGGGGTCCAGGACTCGACCGAACCCGCTTCCAGCTCGGTCGAAGCCTTGGTGGTGGAAGTGGAAGACCATCTGAAGCTCTTTGTTGGCTGGGACGGAGTATGGCGAGTAGGCGGTGACCTCGTCATTACCGGGGCATTCGCCGACGCTGGTTGGTCAGCTCAGTGCCGCCTCTATCGATAGAATGGTCCCCAGTCGTACTGCCCCCGGGCACTGAGCAGATATGCTTACTCACCAAAAGCAGTCATAGTCCACGAGCACCTCCTTGTGCATCTCCTTCAGATAGTCGTGCACGATAAGCCTGTTGATCGACAACGGACCGAAAGGCTGGCATTCCCGCCCTGGCATGACGATGGGCGCGTCGATGAGATCAGGGTGTTTGCCAGTGAAGTTGATCTATTAGATCAGGTACAAGAATTTCATATTGCACACGCTCAAAAGCAGATTGAGGCACAGTGCGATCAAGGACGAAAGCAATAGGTTGGATTTTGACAAAGACTCACGACATCCATCCGGAACCCATCTGCGCCCCGATCAAGCCAGACCCGCATCATCCTCCACAACTCCTTCCTCAACTCTGGGTTCTCCCAGTTCAGGTCCGGCTGTTCCTTGAGGAAAGTGTGGAGGTAGTACTGCTTCGACGGCTCGTCGTACTCCCAGGTCGAACCGCTGAAAGATCAGCAAACCATGATCCGCACTTCACCACTTCGCCCGCCAAACTACTGATCTGAGGGGTACTGCAAAGTATAGGAAAGAGCTTACGAGCCAAAGATCGAGTTCCAGTTATTGGGCGGCACGAGTTTCCCATCCGCCTCTTTGCCGTCCCGCCAGATGAACCAGTCCCGCTTTGGGTTGGACTTGGACGATTTGGCCTCGATGAACCATGGGTGCTGATAGCGTCAGCTTCCTGCCCTCTCGATACCTAGACCAGAAAGGTGGACACGGCAGGGGGACATGAGTGTCGAGCTAGACTGACCTGTTCGGAGCAATGGTTGATCACCAAATCCATGACCAGCCTCATACCGTGCTTGTGCACCTCATCACGCAGGCTATCCCAGTCCTCGAGCGTCCCGTAGCGAGGATCAGGGCTTTCATAATTCGAGATGTCGTATCCCTGGCTGATCAGCTCTAGCTCCTTCTGTTCTCTTCAGGCCTTTGCCCGCCCGCCGTGTAAAAAGGGAAACCCACCATATCAGCGTTGGGAGACTCGTAGATCGGGGACAGCCACACCACGTCGACTCCTAGCTCTTTCAGGTAGGGAACCTTGCTCTTGATACCGAGTAGGGTACCATGGCCGTTAGCAGCGTGGTCCGCAAAGGATGCCTACATCGAGATCAGCAAAGCCTTGTCTTTCAGCCGGGGCCGGGGGGACAGCGGCGACATACGGGATACACTATACCGTTAGTTCACGAATCATACAGTGCGATGCACAGTGTCCAAAGAGCCCCGCTCATGACTGGCAGAAAGGACCGCCTGGCTCACCCTGATACACCGTCGCGCTCTTCCACCAGGCGCGATCGGACGGTTTCTCGGGCTTGGGCTTGTTTTGCACGGCGAGGACAGGGAACGACATGGTAGATATTGATGTTATCGCTACAGTACCAATGTAGATAAGTGGTAGAGTACAATACCAAAGGTGTAATACAAGGGGCGGATGAAGGATGGGTTGACAGGGAGAATAGGCGTTTGGGGAAATCGGACCGAGATCCGGGGGTGGCGGAGACTCCACAAACGAGGAATGCGGTGTAGACAGGGCAGATCTGATCTGGGCAGATCTGGCAATGTGGCGGGCGCAGATAGGCGAGAGGATCAACAGTAGAAGGTCAGATGGACAGTCGCGATCAGGAATAATATCATTGGATGTTATGATTTCGCGAGACCGAGGGACACGCCTTACGGTCATTGGGTTTCTCACCTAGCCTAAGGTATTCAATCAGTATGCGCTGTCAAGTTCTGGTCTTGGAGGCTAAATTTTGAGTCTATGCACAGTCGTAGTTGCAATCGAGTACGTTGTAACAATGAAGCTAACCTGATCATCTCTCATACCCGTCTCCCATCCTCAGCGAGAACACCTGTCGCACGATGCTCCTCTGTCTGCGGCACCGCGTCCGCCGACGCTGAGGTTGCGGCTCGTTTCACGCCGACCAGATTCCTGACCCGATATCCTTCTCCCGTCAGACCTAAATGATCAGTGTAGGGCTGCGATGAGTCAGGAACCATCCCTCCGGTTTGGTATAGCTCAAACAGCCTCTCGAATAGAGGGTTATTCTCGGCCACACATGCGCGTAGCTCGCCCACAGCCGCCTCGCTCCGTGCCCGTGTGCCGAGTGCAGCTGCTACGCCCCGTTGCTGATGCACTGGGCGCACGTAGAGGGCGTGAAACTCTGTCGTCGTCTTCGGGTCATCCCATTGGCTGGTCTGCGTGAGCATCCCGATGCAGCCGATCGACTCTGTCCTCGTCGATGCGCCCACTAGGGCTTCATCTTGAACATCGATTTCGGCAATCCACAGCGTGCGTTTCTCGTGATCAGACTGTCCAGGATCGGTCCACTTCTCCGCCGATCCGTCCGCGACGAGCTTGAGGCATGTCAGGATGTCGTCGTTGAATTCGGTGTCAGGATGAACGCCCTCTTGCGATAGGAGAAAGTGGATCTGCGACTCGCGCAGGAGCCTGAGATCTGACTTGGTCGGCGGAGAAGCAGCGGATATCTTTCTGATGTTGAAGGACGCGTCACCGGAGATGGATGGCAGCGCCCTGAATACCGAAGTGGTCGAGATGAGCTTGTTCGGGTCATCGTTTGTCTGCGACGCTAACGCCGACGCGAGGGCCTGTCCTAATGTCTGTCTCGCCAGGCTCCTGCGCGCATTCAGGGGCGTACGCTTGACGAGGAATCCTTCTTTCCGGCCGGACTCGAACTCCAATACGAACTCATCCTCTTCACACAGGTCCTTCAGTCCATCAGACAGCTTGTCGAGATACGTCCTCGTTGACTTGATGGTCGGATCGGGGTGCATTGCCGTGGCATAGAGCTGCTTGTCGACTCCCCATTCTTTGGCTTTGGCATCAACGTAAAGCGCATGAAGCACGGCATACCGCCCATCATGGTCCTCGTCGGAATAGCCACCATCCTTGCCATCCCTCGAATACCTCCCCAGACAACCGACAGATCTCAACACTTGGTCAGGCGAGTCGGCGTCAGTGACGCCACAGTCCTCCACGTCCGCGACCCAGATCTTGCTGGTATCATTGTCACATGCGCTCAGATAGTCCAGCATCGAGCTGACGCGCTCGTCGAGCTTCGCGCCCTTGTGGCCCAGAGTGGACTGGAGGTGTGTACATGCCGTTTTGAGAAGAGCTGTGTCTTCGTCGAGGCTGAGGTCGACAGGCCGAATCGAGATGGTACGGGTAGGAGTAAGAGACATGCTGGTGATAACGAGCCGGGTGGCGAGTGAGTAATGGAAAACAAGGTGGCGTGGAAGGAAGTGCAACCTGGATGTCTAAGGTGACTGTGCCGATGGATGATGAGTATGGGTAGCTAGAGGTTGTATCGAGTGGGAAGAGAGGTGAGTGGTGCGCTAAGTGGCAAGAAGACAGTAAGCACCAATTGGGAGGGGTGGAATGGGGGCTCTTTATAGACTTCACAAAGCAAACCAAGCCCGAGCTCGCGATCGATCGCGTTTCCGCCGATCAGTGTGATAGTCTACCTTTCTTCCCAACATCGACACTAGCAGATTCTGTCCCGTCCTCCTTTGACTCCAGGCAGTGCTTGGTCAGCGGAACAAGTACCCTCGCAGTCACCCGCAGCGACCCGAGCGATCACAGTTTGGCTCATCAAGCACGCCATCACATATGCCCGGTCAAGCGAGAGCATAAAGGTCCGCCCGATCCGCAGCGTCATAGTGATCAGTCACAGACGACACCGAGCATTCTGCTGCTTCTGCTATTAGTATGCGTGAAGCCATTGTGGGCAGGCTAAAGTCACCACTCGTGAAGATCAGCCGTCAGTTTGGTGAGCAACGATACGGTGCAAGGCATAAGCACCAAAAGTACAGACCCCGACCTGACCAAGATCCATCCTCCTTTCCCCCTTCTTCCCATATTTCCCCCTTCATCCCAAATTCCCCTGTCTTTCAAGCCTCAATCTCCCTATACCCCTTCCTAACCGGCCCCTTGCCCGCCTTAGCTCGCCTCTTCGCCTCCCCCACCGCATCCCCTAAACCCTCCACCAACCTCCCCAGCACCCTGACCTCCTCCTCCGCCTCCATCCCCGCCCCCTCCGCGCCCAAATGAAACCCCACCAGCCTCGCCTGCGTCATCCCCAACTGATCCCTATACCCTTTCGTCAACACCCTCACTCGCTCCAGGTGCTCCTTGGCATCCCCCAGCCCCTCTATTGTTTGGCCCGTGAGCGTCAGGTCCCGCTCCAGCATCTCCGATCGGGGGACTTCACCGCCCACGAGCCGGTGCTTGTTCTTGTCCCACGCTTGGCGCCAGATCGGGTCGCGCTCTTTTTCTGTGAGCAGCGAGAAACGGATCTCGGTGAGGCGGCGATAGAGCCGCGAGCCCTTGTCGGACGCGAGGGAGGCGGTGGTGGTGGCGGTGGAAGTGAGGGAGTGGAGCTCGGTGAATGCCGAGTCGAGCTGGTTTATGAGGGAGTGGATGCGCGCGGCGAGGGTGGCGTTGGAGGGTGGAGTGGGGGAGTCGAGGAGCTCGAGCAGAGTCGAGAACCGATTGTTAGCTTTGGCTCTCGTGGGCAAGTACAGGGGAGCTTACCTCCCATTGGATCCATGTAAATGCATTGACGGCGGCATAGTCGACCGCTGAGATCTCGTCTGCTAGATCACGTGTGATATCGCCAAGCTGAATAGTCAGCCAAGATCGTGCCTCTAAGAAGAGCATAGACTCACATCGGTGATCTCTCTTCCCACAATCTCCTTACCGTCTAGCTTGCTTCCAACGCTGACAGCGACACCCAATTCCCAGATCCTATACTATCAGCTAGGCCGCTTCATAGTTTCCTCACGAAATGGCGGCAGATCCGCTAGTACTTACTTGACATAATGCAGATTCCGCACCAGCCCTGCACTACTCATCGACTGCACACTCTCAAAGATATCCCTCGCTTGCTTCGCTTCCCTCCCCAGACCTCTCGCCACACCCGCCACATCTACCCCTGACCGTCCCCCTCGCCCTCGGCCGAGCGCGAGATCAGGGACGACCCTACTCCAATCCCACTCCCAGAACGGCCTCGCCGTCCTCCCTTCTTCTTGCACCTCCTCATCGCTGTCCAGGTCCGGCATATCTACGCTCAGATTCGGCCTGAAGGTGGACAGCATCGAGTACTGGCATCCCAGACCAAGCAGGGTGCAAGCCGGAGTGACTAATATCCGGGCGGGCACGATGGCCGCAGATCGTGTAACGCCGAGATTGGAGAGCGAGCCGACTGCCCACGTGGCCGATGGGAGGACCGAACGGATAGCCTGAGCGGAGAGATTGACGAGGAAGGAGGGGAGGAGGGGAAGGAGCCAGTAGGCTGATAGACCGGCGATGAGGATTGCGGAGAGGCCAAGGAAGAGGGGAAGGAGGTAGGGCGCGAGTATGGTCGATAGGATGGATATGCCGAATGAAATCGTGCGCTGGAGGATGGAGAAGGCTATTGAAACCATCCCGAGCGCGAGTTTGAGCGTTCTTGGTCTGCCTGTAGCCGGTGGTGGTGGTCTGCCGGGCACGGGAGCCAAAGGTTGAGGTCGAGCTTCCCGCCGGGGCGTTGCAGCGGGACTAGCTTTTCCCGAACCTGAAGCTAGCGGTACCTTCCTACGGCGGACCGGAGTCGCCACTCTCCGTGGCGAAGGGACAGCTATATCCGCCCGTGTCTTTCCCTTCGGCGTAGCATGCCTCGAGCTGGATGCTCGACCGGTAGATGACCCATCTTCATCATCGTGCGACGCGTGATGGTCCTCCCAATCATCGCTTTGGGCGGAAGCGGTCCGTCTGGGCGCTCTCCTACTCGGCCCAGCAGGCGACATGGGCGGAGTGGAGGTCCCAGATGTGCTGATAGCCATTATAGATGGAGTATGGTGGTAGATGAAGACCCTCTGGGTTGAGTGGCGATTTTGTAGTGAATTGACGTCATCGCTTGAATTGTTATTAGCGGGATCTATCTGAAACAAGCTATTTCTATTAGCCCAATTTCCTAATCAACAGAGTCAACAAAAGTCGGCCTCCTCATTCCTCGTCTAACCTCCTACCTATATCAACAGCTCCCCAGCAACATGGGAGGCTTCGGGACCACCTCTGTGGCCTTCGCAACTGCCCCGACTGTCATATCCACCTTCTTGTCGCATATCGTATCGAAACCTAAGCGCCGATCGTCCAAAAAGAAGGGGGCTCATGGCAACGGTCACGGTCATCGCGATACGAGCGAGGATGCGCCGACGGATGATATTACCTATAAAGAGGGGTTGGAGGTCGTGAGGCGGTTCATAGACTTTAGCAGTCACCATGGAGTGGAGGAGGTGCAGGCTTTTACGGCGATGCAGGTGCCTACACCACGTAAGTTGAATCATGCCTTCTCTAGTCGGGAGACAAGGTGTGAAGCTGACTCGAGCTAGACTGGGTACGAAAGAAGGTCGTCACCATTCCGGACGATATCATACTCAAAGCGGAGTCGATCCTGGCGGAACATCTATCGACATACGGCCCGAACGGCGCGGAGAAGGGCGGTATCCAGCTCGTAGGAGGGGAGAGATGGTGGCGCTTGCGCGGCAGAGCGCTGGAGGGCGAATGGGTCGAGGTGAGCTCTAGACCAGACTCGTCCTCGTTGGAATGACATGCGGAGCTGACTTAAACAGCTACAAAAAGACTACCTGATGCGCAAAGCTCGACAGGAACAAGCTGCAGCCGCGGCCGAAGCTCAGGCTGCCGGTCTTGCTCGTACTGAGACCGTCGAACAGTCCTCTTCGCGGTACCACTTTCTTCCAAAACGATCGGCTACGCTAGGCAGCTCGAGCGTCAAGGATAGTACAGGAGGGGAAGTCATCGGCGATCGAGTGATTCTGTATATACATGGTGAGCTCTTTGACCAGTCTCTCTTTGGCATCCGAGTCCGAGCTGATATGTCAGGCGGAGCATTCTTCTTCTCTTCCCTTGATACACATCGGTATCAGGTCCAGCGGCATGCTCGGAAGGCAGGAGCTAGGGCTTTCTGCCCAGCATACCGTCTAGCGCCGCAGTACCCCTTTGTAAGTCCCGATTTCTCCATGCACTTCTCCTCTGCCCGTTTGTCGAGGTCGGGGTCCGCAGGCGGCGATACCAGCCTTGAGAGGGGTCGAATATCGTCCGAGAGTTCAAGCTACGGTTGGTGAAGCAGGGGTACTTCCTGCTGGCGGGCGAGATAACAGTCTATGGCGGAATCGGCGAGGGCACATTTGACCCAGTCCTTGAACTTAGCTAAACCTCAGCCCTGCGCCCTTCTCGACGCTCTCTCGGCCTACCTCTACCTCCTGCACCCCCCTCCAGGCTCACACGCCCCCATCTCCCCCACCTCCATCATCTTCATGGGCGACTCGGCCGGCGCGGGACTCTGCATCTCCCTTCTCGTCCTCATTCGCGAGATGGGACTGCCGATGCCGGCGGGTGCGAGCTTGATCAGTCCGTGGGTGGACTTGACGCATAGCATGCCGAGTATTGGCGGGGATCCTAGTGGGGACTTTATACCTGCTACGGGGTGAGCTCTCTGGTTCTCATTCGGCGTGTTCTTCTCCCCTTGTCCCACTGGAATCAGGGAGACTCAACAACCTTCCACGAGATTGGGCTTGATATCGAGCGAGATCATACGCTTAAACTCCCGCCCGCCCGTTTCGCCGATGGATAGGACTTTCGTGCTTGGCAAAGCTGATCAGCAGGTTCCACTATAAGCCTAGCTCGACGTGGCCGCCTATACCTGGAGATGGGATCGCTGTGCGATTACCGGATGGGACGGATCGGCAGTATGACGAGCAGGTGCAGATGTACTGGTGAGCCTTTCCCGCGCATTTTCTCCTCCCAAGATCGTACTCTGGCTTGCCAGCCGAATACTTGACGGCGAGCAGGAGGGCAGAGAAGGGTCAATACCTTGAGAAACGCTCCATTCCGTGTCTCACCTTCTTCGAGCTGTAGCGATTTTGGATCGGCAGTATATGATTGGGCAAAGCTGATTAAGCAGCCCAAACAATCTGCTCACTCACCCTCTCGTCTCGCCCGTCAATCAAGGCTCGCTCGGCGGGCTTTGTCCCCTTCTCATTCTTGGAGGAGGCGGCGAACTACTTCGCGACGAGGCCAGTCCTCCAGCTGCACGGTCCTGATCGACTGGTATGGCCTCCAAAGCTGATACTTAGATCATCTACCTCGCTCACAAAGCCTCAAATCCCACTCTGTACCCTCCATCCCGCTACACCCTCGAGCAGTACCCCGACCAAGCGGCCTTAGTGGCCAAATACCCGCCGACCAAGGTGCATCTACAAATACATGAGGGTTGTTGTCATGTTGTGCCGACTCTGAGCTGGACGAGGAGCGCGAAGCATATGTACAGAGCGTGCGCCAAGTACGTCCTTTTCCCTTCTTTTACCAACTTGACCCTCTTCCAGCTCCCCGTTTCTCTCTTGTCACCACTTGGCCTTCTCTTCCCTGTCATCGTTCCTCACGAAAGAGACTCTGTACTCCCCCAACTAGCTCTTTGCGGGCGGATTTTTTGTACGAATCACGGGCTGATCATCAGCTTCAACATATGGGCATTTACCGCTGCGTCCAAAGCTCTAGTGGGCAAATTAGAAGAGCGGGACGCGCACCAGCACAAACACGCCCATCACCCCCATGCTCATCACTCGCATCACCATCCTTCATCCCGCAAGTCGGCGGACAGCGGCGGATCCCGTAATCCCGCTCGTCTTCAGACCGACCTTGGAATGACTTCGGATACCACCCAAAGTTCCTCCCCGTCTTCCGCTTTCCCCCGCACGCCTTCCTCAGCTACCGCCAGCGGTGCCCCTAGCACCGTCTCCTCCCTTATCGATCTCACCAAGCCGATCATCACTGCCTGCGCGGCGGACGCTGCCAATGCGGAAGAGATCGACACGGAGGACATGGAATCTGAATGCTCCTCATCGTCGGGGGACGACTCTGACGACCCCTCTTCTCCCTCTGAAGGCGATCGACCGGCAGCTCTTGTCATAGTCTCCGTGACTGGGTCTGAACCCCTTCCTCCACCCGGATCGCACATCGTCTCGGAACGCGTCTCCACCCGGGGCCGAATCCGGCCTTTCGAACCCATCGCCGAGGTCCCCGCGCTCCACCCGGATCTTCGAGACCATATCGGTCAAGTCCATCCTGATGGGGCTATTCAGAAATGGCTCGCCCGCCGAGGGGAATGGGATATCAAGTACTCGTCCGCACTGAAGAAGTGGAGGGAGGTGCGGATGGAGGATAGGCGCATGGCGGAGAAGGTTGGGTTCTTGAGTCGGAGGTTGCAAGGCGAACGACCACCCCTTGCTAGTCTGGCGGGGCTTTGGGATATCGAGTTGGCGAGAGAGGTGGGGAAGAGTGTGGATGAGATCGATAAGCGGACGAGTAAGGGGGTGATGATGTGGATGAATATGAGTTCCAAGGTATGTCCTATCCTGGCTCGGGTCGAGGAGTGGATGTGGGTAGGGGAAATGATGAGGGCGAGAAGAGGAGTAATGAAGAGATTGAGGGCAGGACAAGTCAGAGATTAAATGAGAGCAAACACATTCGAGATGGAAGAGAGGAGAATAGAAAGATAGAGAAGAGGGACCGGGGAGGAAGTACACAGGGAGGACAGAGAGGATTGGAGGCTGGAAATGAGGGATACGGGCAGAGAGGGAGTCAGCATACAGTGGTCAGGATACAGGGAAAGATCGGGACCAGGGAAAAGGGGGAAAGATCAGGCATACGGAAGGGGCAAAGCTGATCCGTACAGGCCGACAAAGAACAATCCGGCGGTGACACCCTCGGCGAGATCCAAGAGAATGTCCAGGCGGAGCTGCAGGATCGGGAAGAGCAAGCGCAAGAAGATGGGCAAATGCAAGAGACGACTGGGGCAGATGGGGATGAAGGCGTGATTAGGACGAGGGATAGGCGGCGGAGCTCGGTCGGAACAAGAGGGAGACGGAGGAGCTCTGTGGCTGGGCCGAGGCCGGTGGTCGGAGGGCACTGATAGAGGAGTAGAGGCTCTAGGTGGATGTGGCGGAGTGGGTTGTGTAGAGCGGGCTCAGGGGCTGGTGGATTGATGAAGATGATGGGCAGGAGCGGTCATCCATGATGCCTTGGACAATATACATTGGCTATGATACAGTATGGACGCTGATCCTCTTGTGTGGATCCACCTCGACCATGTGGTGCTCCTGTATCGATCAGCTGGTGTCTGTTTCGCGGCTCGTCAAAGCCACCCACCTCATGTCGCCAGATTAGCTACAAACTCCCCCAGCACAGTCTTCCAATAGACTGGATCTCCGAGAGCTTCCCGAAGATTTGGCGGCGCCCTGCCCCGGCACGACACTGTCGCCAGCATCAAAGCCCACAACCACCTCGGCTGAAAGCGCGATGCGTCACTCGCGGTCCACGCGGACGTCCACGGTCCAGCTTCGCCTGCGTCCGGGCAGAGCGGCATGCCCCCCCGTGCATGAACCGGATTATACGACCTGTAGCCCTGAGGGATGATGCGGCAGGCGCTAGGGAGGTGGTCCAGTCGCGAAGCGAGTACGAGCGCGTCGAAGAGCTGGCTTGATGGGAGAAAGCTTGACGCCTGGAACAGCAGACGCTGAGCGGGGATGATGCAGTCGTACCGGAGCAGATCTTCGATAATTTCCCAGGTCGCCTGATAGGCAAGGGAGTCGCTGGGGATGATGCCGCATCGGATAGCGTCAACGAGATGATGTAGGTGATAGGTGGGAGGGGATTGCGATTGGTGAAGGTGAATTTCTTGCGAACCGACCGAGTTGCTTTCCAGCATATCTTTGAACATTGTACTATGTCATCAGCATCTGTCTGATCGACCTCTCACAGAGCTCCATCGATAACCTCTACCAACCTGGTCGGCACAACACCCCGACGACCAGCTGCTTCACCGCTCACTCTGACCAAGTGTGAGGATCTGGAGGAGGCTTGTCACTTACCTCGCTTCTGCCAAGACGTGTTTGTCCATCCTCCACGCCTCCTTGGTCTCCTCACTGAGAAGGACGATTTCTCCTACATCGTAATCCCTCCCAATGGTGTACACTGTACCCTTGGCGTCGGTGTAGTCAGACATGATGGGTAAAAGAGATTGATGGGCAAGGTGAAAGCTGGAGCCGATTGCGGACGCGTTGAGGCTGTGGGTGTGCGCTGATGCAGAAGAAGCACAAGACTTCAGATACCTTCGCTTGATCACTCATCCTTCTATCTGACTTCTGACCTCTGATATCAACATGGACGTCCTCATAATCCTCGGAGTGGCCGCCATATGCTACATGACCCCACCCCCTCACAAAACCTCGTCCTCGGACCCTCCCCCATATCCCTTTTGAGGTCTACGCCCAGTTACTCCCATTCCTCGCCAAGTCTGGCCAAGCCGTCTGCGCTCGCGTCTCTTCCACATTATACCTCATCGCCACGCCCCTCCTCTACACCCGCGTAGAGATCGATCTTCCCAGCGCCAGGCACCCTCTGTGCTACAGGAATTCACAGGGGTTCCCGGAGACAGGCCTCCCGAATCGAGCAAAGGTCCCTTCCGGCGGTCTCCCCCCCTCGCCTGCCTACATAAATCCTCCGGGCCGCTTCACTTATACCACCCACCTCACTCTACTCCATCACACCCGCGCTCTATGTTGCCGATACGTATACGACGCTCTTCTCATGCCGAGACTCCACACTCTCAACATCCACGGTGGTGACAATCGGGATTTCCACACAGATTTCGACGATTTCCCCGAAGACAATTTCTTTTGCGATGCCACGACCTGCCCTCTCATCGCCAATCTGCGACCCTCCCGTCTCGTCCTCTACTCCTCGGCAGGCTGCTCCGGCGGGCTTTTCTGGTCATCGCCCATGCACCCATTCCCTCCGCCCTGGATTCGAGAGCTGACGGTCCACTTCCGGGTGCACCCAGTTGTTCATACTCTCCGGCCGCCATTCTACGAATCTCTTCGTTCTGTCCCGCGCGGCATAGAGAGGCTCCGCCTTGTCCTAGAGGTCGAGGAGAGGGACTGGGCGGAACACCCGTACGTCTCCGGAAACACGGAGATGTTCTGGGACAGGCTCGCGGTCCTATGTTGTTAAAGTTAGCGCATGATAAAGTCAGAGTTATACCACCGTACCAAAAGACAATTGCCACTTGGGAGTAGCATACTCATATTCTAACTCTCCCCCATGCGACGATACCTAGTGGTCGGGTGTATCACGTTGTTTAAGCAGGCTACTGCTGATATACGTTGTTTTCAGGGAGACTTCTCCCTACCTCGTGGAATCGCTAAAGTCTTCAACATCGAGGGTTTCGAACCTGCGACCAATGGTAGTGTGAACGAAGAGCGGCGTTACCAAGTCAGAGTTATACCACCGTACCAAAAGACAATTGCCACTTGGGAGTAGCATACTCATATTCTAACTGATAAGGCTCATCAGCTTGGCATACCGGAAGTGGTAGCTATCAGTGGACTATCGAAGCGATAGGCAATAGCTAGCGATAGGTTAGCTATCGCTAGGTTGATAGCTTAGGGCTATCGATAGGTTAGCTATCGATAGGCTATCAGTAGGTCGCTAGGTATCGATAGCTTGATAGGTTAGCTATCGATAGGTCTGGAATATATAAGAAGAGCCAAACGAGTCGTATGCATCCCCAGTCTGCTCTTGAAAACTTAACATATGTGAGGGGAATGCGCAGAGGGTGGAGTATATCGGCGCGGAGAATATCCAGGCGAGAGGCACAAATACCCCGTCCACGACCAAGATCACGCCCGAGGATATTGCGCAGGAGATCAGGGAGGCGGTCACGAAGCAGCTGAGGCAGAAGGGATGGACAGAAGCGAAGGCTGAGGCGCGGGCAGAGGAAATTATCTTTACCACCAAGGAGGAGTACGAGAAGCGCCAGCGGCAGTAGTGAGGGATAGGAAGGAAATTGTGAATACTGGTGGGGGACGGAGATGAGTCTCAAGGTATGTCTATCTTGCTGGATGAAGGTCTTAATTCGGGAGACGCGTGAGCTGACGAGTACAGGAAGATACCGATGATACTGGCGGTTGTGCAGACGGGATACTCAACGTGGATGATGGCGAGATGGATGTCGGAGCGAAGAGGCGTATGAGTGGGGGAGGGTCAGTCCCTGGGAGCGGGGAGGAAGGGCTGGACGGAATCACAGATAAGACTGGGCGGAGGAGCTTGGGCGCTGGGTCGAGGCGGATGATTAGTGCGGATGAGTACGGGGCGGCCAGACCTGTCAAATGAGTGCGGAAGAGCAAGAGTGAGCGAGCAGGCGCAATGAGGGGGGGAGGAGGGATGCAGAAGAGACGAGGGAGGATGGGGTGTATGCAGGAGAGGAGCTGAGGGATGAGAGTGCAGATGTGTTGGGGTGATTGATGAGGGTCAGCCTGGGGGATCTTGACCATACCCGATATATACATTCGCTATGATACAATCTGCACGACGTTCTCCTGATGGGCGATCATCTAGAGGTCAAGGAGGCCCTGTACTGATCAGCTCCGGCATATGGATCATCACTGGGGAGCAGAAACACTCACTCATTTGGCCAGATTCGCCATAAACTCCCCCAGAATCATCTTCCAGCATGCCGGCTCCTGCAAACTTCCCCAACCGTTCGACAGCATCTCCTTCTGACACGTCCCCGTCGCCAGCGTCAAAGCCCAGACCCAGCCCGGCTGGAGCCGCGCAGCATCGGCGAGAGATCAAGGGCGATGTCGGTTGTCTGGGCAGAGGGACAATCCCTCTTCGCCTGAAGGCAAGTCCCCTTCATACCACCTGAAGCCCTGTGGGAGGATCCGACAAGCGCTTCGAGTGTCGTCGAGCCGAGAAGCGAGTACGAATGCGTCGTATAGCTCTTCCGCGTCGAGATCCTTCGATCCGTCAAAGAGTAATCGCTGGGCTGGTCCGACGCAGTCGTATTGCAGCAAGATGTCGATGATACGTTCGATGTTGCTTATACCCATATAGCTAATGGAGGAGCGACGGGGATAGAGAGCGCGTGTGAAGTGGTAGACGTAGAATCCGGCAGGGTGAGGTCGTTTGGGAGAAATCTCCGGAGCTCGGGGAGGTGGATTTCTTGGGGACCGAACGAGTTGCTGCTGAGCATGTCTCTGAACACTGTACTATAATGTCAGATCGTTCGCTTGTTCTACCATCTCCCGCCTCATCCTCCGCTGCGCTTCTCATCGAGGTCATGCGCTACCGGTGACATCCCCTCCGGCTTGATCTGCAGGAGAGGGCTGAAGAGCGAAAATGGTTGATGGTTACTCACCTCGCTTCCATCAGGACCTGCTTTTTCACGCTCTACGCCCGCTTGCTCGCCTCGTACAGTAGTACGATCCCATCGGAGTCGGGCTCTATTTGGAGATCGTACACCACACCTTTGGCGTCGGTGTATTCAGGCATGATGGCTTGTACAGGATAATGGGCAGTGTCAGAGTAGAAGCTGGGCGAGGACGAGTCGAGGGGCGTACTTCCGCTCACACCGGAGCAGATCTTGTCCCCTTCACAAGCTCACTCCCAGCCTTCCTTCTTTCATACATCAACATCAAGCTGCTGAGATTACTCATGATGCCTACCTCACTCCCTCCCCTAGCTCGAGCCATTCCCCATATCCCATTCCCCGTCGAGGTATACGCCATCATCATCGGATTTCTCGACAAGCCGGAACTCGCGGTCTGCGGTCGCGTCTCTCGCTCCTTCTATACCCTCGCTACGGCCCTTCTGTACCGGAGTATCGATATTGAGAGCGCTACGGACAACCCTCTCTTCAGCTTCGATACCCCTAGCGCGAGCAAGGTGAGGGTCGGAAAAGAAAGTGGGCGCGCGAAGAAGGGCCGAACGAAGGCGAGGGGGGTTGTCGCTGGCTCGACTACAGTCCCCCTCGTCCCTCTTCCGGATCGGTTCTCATACACCAAGGACCTCACCATCGGCACCCACTACAAATACGACTGTCCGTCTCTTCCGGTACTCAATATGCCCAACCTCACGACCCTTCACATCCGCGGCTGGTGTCTCGACCTCTGCCTCCCCGAACCTCCGTTTCACTTTCTCGACATGGGCTTTGCGCCTCGTGGACACGCCCTCACCCCCAAACCAACCCCGTGCTGCCCATCCATTACCAGCCTCCGCCCCTCCCGCCTCGTCTTCAACGCTCCCAGCATGTCCGCAATGGGCTTATGGCCTTCCGCTAGCAACTCATTTCCCCCACCCTGGGTCACCGAACTGGTCGTCCCGTACACGGTCAGGATCAACACCATCAGGGATGGCAATGTCGCCCATGGGGTCCTCGGTAGTCTGCCCGATACGGTGCGGAAGCTCAGCATCGTGCTGAAGGAAGGGGATGGTGGCTGGGACCAGGGGCTTTTCCTCATGGCTATGGTGCGGATAGACGGGGTGGAGCTGGCTCCTCTAACCCCGTCAAGTCTATGGAAGAGGATTGCGGGACTAAGCAGGGGCCAGGCGCAGGTGGTGGAGTACATCGGGGTGGAGACGATCCAGGCGGGACATCGGGGAATCTCGACCGACGGTATCACGCGGGAGATCAGGGATGCGGTCAAGGAGCGTGGGGTTGCGGCGGGTTGGGAGGTGGCAAAGGCGGAAGCAAGGGCAGAGGGGATTATCTTTACCACCAAGGAGGAGTACGAGAAGCGGCAGATGGAGTAGAGCGGAGCAGGGAGAAGGCTGTACATACCGATGGGGCTGGAGATGAGCACAAAGGTACGTCTAATCTTGCTGGACGAAATCATGATCAGGAAAAAGCGCGAGCTGACGAGTACAGGAGACCGAAGATGTCACGGATGTGCAGAAGGGGACGTCAGTGTGGATTTCAGAGCGAGATGGCGGAGCGGAGAGCGGACTGAGCGGGATGATTCGAGGGCTGGATAAGGAAAAGCGGGATATGGGGAGGAGGGGTGGGGTAGGGGAGGAGGGGCGGGACAGGGTGAGTGTAAAGGGAAGGCGGCTGAGAGTCAAGGTATGTCCTATCTCGCTGGGTTTGTAGTACAAGTCTGAATTGGGTGGGGCTCATCCACACAAGGAGCGAGTGCGGAGTAGGTGACAACCTGATCGAAGATGTCGATGAGCACAAGTTGGGGGACACGAGGTCAAGGCTGCAGCGAGGAGGGCGGTGAAGGTCGAAGTGATGCAAGAGAGATGGGTGTGGCTGGTCATAATGAGCTGGGGGAAATTAAGGTGGGTCTAGCACAGTGAGAGGCAGAAGAAGTGATCAGAGCGCTGACTGAGATTAGAGAAAGAAGATCAGCTGTTAATATCAGACCTCGATGCGTAAGGCAGCTGTATGCATCGACTATGCTCCCTGCCCCTGCCGCCATCGCGCAGCTGACTACTGATATCACCTGTGCACTCAGCTCTGGTCTCCTGTCCCGCTTTGGAAGACGAGGTTACTCACTCATTGCGTCATGTTGGCAACAAACTCCCCCGCTACCCGTCGCCAGTACGATTCCGACCGAAGATCTCGACCGTCCCTCGGCGTACATTGGGCCGATGCCTTGGTCAAGGCCCAAACCCAGTCCGGCTGCAGACGGGCGGCATCGACCGATCTCCACTGCCGTTGTCCGCTATCGGGACAGAGAGACAAAGCATCTGGCCGAGGGTCTTGTGCGTACCACTTGTAGCCCTGGGCGATGATGCCGTCGGCGCACTGGAGATGGTCCAGGCGGGAGGCGAGTACGAGGGCGTTGTACAAATACTCCGCGCGAAGGTCTTTGGTACCCTCGAACAGTAAACGCTGAGCCGGGCCGATGCAGTCGTACCGGATGAGCGCATTGACGACCTCCGTAAGGCTGACCATATCGAGGGCCTTCTCGAAAGTCCGATCCGGGTGCAGCGCGGAGGCGAACTGGACGATCCAGCGGCAAGCATCTGGGAGGTGGATCTCTTTCGCGCCCTCCGGATTGCCGCTAAGCATGTCTTTGAACATGAGACTAAAGTGTCAGCCTTGGTCCCATAGGCCATCTAGAGCATATTTGTCGGGGGTCGCCACATACCTCGCCTCCATCAGAATCCGCTTTTCAACTAGACACGCAGTCGTTCCTTCCTCATCCAACAAAGCGATGTAGACGCCATTGAACTCCGAGTGGACCTTGTAGAGCACACCCTTGGCGTCGATGTACTCGCTCATGATGGCTTCTGGAGTGGTGATGGGCGATGGAGAAAGGAAATCGCGCGCTTTGACGGCGGAAGACGTCTCAGGAATGGTCTGTGTGTCGTCGAGGACGCTCAAACCTTAGTTTCCACCCCTTCACAAGCTCACTTCTGACCTTCCTTCTTTTTTGGCTTCTACATCAACATGATGCATTTGGTAAGTATTGCCCACCGCCGACTCCCCCTCCGCCACCCAACCCTTCCCTCACATCCCCGTCGAAATCTACGCCCACATCCTCACATTCCTCGGTCGGTCGGATCTCGCGATGTACAGCCGTACTTCACGCTTCACCTACCGCATCACCACCCCTCTCCTCTATCGAAAAGTCCACATTGACCTTGCCAAGGCCATCAATCCCCTCTTCTACTACGAACCATCAGCGTCCCCGCGGGGGACCAGGATGATGATCGTCTTTCCCGTCCGGCGGAAGGCAATCGGAAAGCGCAGACTCGCCGCCATAAAACCCCTCCACCCCCTCCCGGACCGGTTCTCATACACAAAGCACCTCACAATCGTTCCTCATCAACATCCCTTCTGCGAGGCCCCCACTCCACTCGACATGCCCAATCTCACATCGCTACGCGTCGACGTCGACGGCTCGTGCCAAGACGTCTGCCTCTGCGTTGCCAAACACAGCCAGAGTGGCGCCATGTTCTGCCCCCTCCTTCGCGGTCTTCGATACCCCCGCATCATATTGGACTCTCTCGGAAACTCGGCACTCGCTCCTTTTTGGCCCCAGCTCGGTGGCGGTACCCACCTCTTGATCCGAGGGTACGAGGTCCATCTCAAAGTCCACCCCGAAAGTACCAGATACTCTGATATCAACACTCCGTTACCTCCTCAATGACCGGCGTGCGGGCTTCGGAAGCTGGGCTTGTTCCTGGATGTCAAGTCAGGACAATGGGAGGAGGACACGGTCCGGCTTACTCGGGAGTGGGGATTGACTGAGGGAAGTCTACCCTCAGTCTCCCCGCAGAAGCTCTGGAGAAGGTTGGCGGCGCTTTGCAGAGGCATAACGGCGGAGGTTGAGTATGTGGGGACGGAGATGATCGACGCGTGTCCAACTATGACACACGAGCAAGTCATGCAGAAGATCAGGGAGGCGGTCAGGGAACAGGGGAAAGAGATGCAGTGGTGCCATGCGCCATTGAATGAAGCGAACAGGGAAAGCAGGGCAGCAATGGTCGTGTTCATAACCAAGGAGGAGTATGAAAAGCGGCAGAGAGGAGGAAGGGACGATCTGTATGATGACGATAGCGACGATTCTCAAGGTTCGTCCGATTTTGTTGCATGAGATTATCAAGTAGGGAGAGACGAGACGCTGATGTGAGTAGGGGATTAGGACTCGTGATCGCGGACATTCAACGGAAGGCTGCGGACGACAAGAAGGAGCTGAGGGCTGGAAAGGGCCGAGAGCAGACGGAGAAGAGATGAGAACTGGGGCAAGGAGGTTTTTAGAGGTTAGTTCAAGGGGTCACTCAGCGATCTTTGGCGAGTCAGGAGGGGCAAGCGGAGGGGGCTTCCTCTGTATGATCTTTCATAGACCAAATAACATCCTTACATATCGCTTCTGATGATTACATTTTACTAGCCAATCGAGTCTATCTGTCAGCTTCGTCCCCAGCCGGCTTACTATCGACAGTGAGAAAGTACTCACTCATTGCGCCAGATTCGCCATAAACTCGCCAAGAACATTCCTCCAGTACGCCGGACGTCTCGTTTCCTCCTTGGCCTGCTCCATATCTTCCGACAACCTCTTCTGGCACGTGTTGGACGCCATAGTCAACGCCCAGACCCAGCCAGGCTGCAGCCGCGCAGCATCCTCGACGCTCCATGGCCGCTTCCCGCTATTGGGACACAGAGGCAGTCCCTCCCCCGGCTGGTCCCGATACCACTTGTACCCCAGAGGTATGATACGGCAGGCGCTGGGGAGATGGTCGAGTCGTGAGGCGAGGACCAGGGCATCGTAGAGCTCGCTCCGCTCGAGCCATTTGCATTGCAGATAGAGGAAGCGTTGGGCAGGGACGATACAGTCGTACCGGAGGAGCAGTTCGATCGTCTCCTTCGTTTGGATGATGTTGTGCCTGACAGGAGGGCGATCGGGGTATAGAGCGCGGATGAAGAGGTCGATGTAGCGGCCAGCGATGGGGAGATGAATTTCCTTGGGACCGACCGCGACGCCGCCGAACATGTCCTTGAACATTGTGCTGCTGATCAGCTGTTGATCGCTGACAGACGTACATAGTCCCTCTTCTCTCTCCCAGCTCACTCAGCACCAGACCAGCATAGGCGAACAAGTGTGAAAGAGTACATACCTCGCCGCCATCAAAATATGCTGATCCACTTTCCACGCTGCTTTTTCTTCCTCCATCAAGAAGGCGACCTCCCCGACGTTGAGCTCGGGATGCACATCGTACTCTACTCCTTTGGCGTCGGTGTACTTGCTCATCAGTGTAGATTGTAAGGCAGAAGGGTGAATGGACAATGACAAGTCAGGGGCTCCCAAGCCCGCTCGGGATGAGGAATGTGTTGCCGCGGAGGTCCGCGGAGATGACCAAGCTGGAGACTGCTGACGAAGAGTCCAACTTTCCACGTTGGCATCATCGTCAAGCCTTTCATGCTATTTACGATGGCAGCTAGGCAGCCCACTCCCCATGCCGGCGTCAATCCCCACCTTCCGCTCGAGATCTACGCCCACATCCTCACTTTCCTCCAAAAGCCGGATCTCGCTATCGCTGCCCGTGTCTGCCGCTCCTTCTACCTCATCGCCACGCCACGCCTCTATAAGGACCTCTGTATCTCTTCGGGTCACCACAACCCTCTCTATCACTGCGAGATATCGGCGACTCATCATTCTCGGCGGCCTCGGATGCGCTATCTGCCTACAGCCCAAGGCGCACGTGCCAACATGACTCCCTTCGGCCTCGGCCCCCTTCCTGACCGGTTCTCGTTCACCCGGCAACTCTTCCTCGGCCGATATCACGAGATGTCATGTCTCGATCATACTCCCCTGTCTACGCCGCTCCTCCAACAACTATCCATCATCGATTCAGCCGATGACAGCCCCTGCCAGTCCACGTTGACTTTGTTCAAGGTCGGGGCGCCCTCCGTCCCCATGGCAAGATGCCCTCTCCTCGCGAATCTGCGCCCTACTCGTCTAATCTGCGGCGCACCTGGGGACTATGAGGCGGGGCTCTGGCTATCCGCGGGGGTCCCCGTCCTGCCGACGTGGATCCGGGAGATGGTGCTCTGCGTGGACGTCCATCCCGATCGTCACATATCTCCCAATCGGCGCTGCGATGCTCTCACCAATCTCCCGGCTACGCTTCAGAAGTTCTCTCTACTTCTAAACGTCGAGCCAGGACGCTGGGCATCAGACATGGAACGTCTCTCGCACTCAAGTCTCGAAGGGCTCTTGCTGTCGCCCGAGGATTTCTTGCGAAACCTGGCGGGTCTTTGCAGAAGGGATGCGGAGGTGGTGGAGATTGTGGGAGCGAAGAGGCTGGAGGCCGAGGGTTGGGGAATGCCGTATGAGCTGATCGAGAGGGAGATCAGGAAGGAGGTCAAGGAATGGGCGATGTGGAAGGGGTGGGACGAGGCGTGCGCGGAGATAAGGGGTGAGGGGATCGAGTTTGTCACGAAGGACGAGTACGACAAGCGCGGGAGGGGATATGCGGGGTTCGGCTTAGTGATACAGCAGAGAGTCAGAGAGTAATCAGGTATGTCTCGTTCCACTGTGCTCGAGGTGTAGATCCTGGGTTTGGGTGAGAGTAGAGCTAATCAGTATGGATCATAGTCAAGAGGAGAAACTCAAGGAATGGGCGAGAATGCGGAACGTATCGGTGAGATGGGGCAACCGGCCGGCGGGGGTTAGATGTGCTCAGTCAAGATTGGAAATGAGGGCGCGGGGCTAGGATGCAGTGGTCATGCCGCGGAGAAGGGTGGGCCGTGGAGGAAAAGGTGGAGCAGTCGCTGGGTCTGATCGGTTTGAGGAGACGCAGCGATAGTGCGGACATGTTCATGCGATGTGTATGCTATGATCAACGGCCCGGCCCAAGATATTTGTTCCAGATACTGTGACGATCAGCTCCAATCCTGACGGGAGATGGCGAGTGAGCGGACTGACCGCTACAGAAGCTTCACCACGAAAGGAGAATGCGGATATCCTCCAAGGCGTGATGTCCAGGAAGAGTCGAGCGATCGGCGGAAGAGCGGATGGTGTGTTGAGGGCATGCTGGACGAGGTGAAGCGTACACGTTATCGACCTGGGGACCGAGTGTTCCGCGATGGGTACTAGGCAGTCGGATAGAATCGAGAAGGTATATCTGGTACGATCAGCGCCCATTTCGACCCTCAAGCGGACGTACTCACAGTCTATTGTACCAGGTTGACCATAAACTCGCCCACAAACACACGCCAGAACACCGGCTCTTCACATCCAGCAACGACAGACGAATCCCCATCCTCCTCATCGGTTTCCATCTCCCCTTCGACTTGAACAGCATTGATCATCCCCTCATCTTCCCCCTCCCGCACTTCCTCCCCTCCGTTCACAGCCTCTTCTGGGCGCACCATGAGGTCTGGTCTCTTCCAAAGGGTACCAGAGGCAAGTGTAAGCGCCCAGACCCAGGAAGATCGTATCCGACCCGCATCCTCGGCCGTCCGGGGCACCTCGAGATGATCTGGGCAGAGCGATCGGGAGTCGGCCTCCGACTCTTGCGCCCACCACTTCCAGCCCTGCGAGATGATCCGGCAGGCGCTCTTGAGATCATCCAGGCGGCTGGCGAAGGCCAGCGCCTCAAAGTGATCCTCGACGCGTATGTCCTTGACCGTGCGAAAGAGGAGCTGCCGAGCAGGGATGGCGCAGTCGTACCGTATCAAAAGCTCGACGACCTCGCTCGCCTCGGAAAAGGAGGGTGGCTGAAGAGGTGATCGGCCGTGTATGCTTCGGATGAATAGGTCGAGTTGGGCTCGAGTGATGGAGGGGAGGTTGACTTCTTTGGGGCTGGCGGAGGAGCCGGCGAACATGTCTTTGAATACCGGACTGGAGCGTCAGCTTTCTCCTTGACATTGCCTCTTTATCCGTCTTTCCTTGTATCTCTGAGCTCGCACGCTCTCTCCCGCCCAGGTACCTTCTACTCCCACGCTCAGCAACGGCACAGAGCACCTAAAGCGCCAGTCGCAGTACTCACCTCGCCTCGGTCAAGACCGCTTGACTGACCCTCCACGCCGCCTTGTCATCGCTCAATATCGCGATCTCGCCGTGCTCATATCCCGCCTGGAGAGCATACACGACCCCTTTGGCGTCTGTGTACTCGGTCGAGCCGCTCATGGCGGTATTACTGTGAGGCGGTGACCATAGCGCGGGCGCTCATGGGTCGTGCGGTGGCGGTGGAGGTGATAGGGCTGGAGACGGTTGATCATGACTGGCTACGGATGAATGTGTCGGAGCTGGAAGGGTGGATCAAGAGGTCATTGGTGTCGGTGTTGTGGCAGAGGGACAGGGACGACGAGGCGGGGCGGGAGAGGGCGGGGGCAGTCAGGTATCGGGCAAAGGCGGACTTTGAGGCGGAGGAGGTGGAGCGCAGAGCGGAAGAGCAGGGAGGTGGGTAATAGAGGGGCTGAATCCGGACCCAGGACAGGGCAGCCGTTGCAGTTTGGGAGAGGGTGCAGGTGGTCAGGTATCGATCGCGGGAGGGTTCTGAGATCAGGCATTTGGTGACCATGGTGTGTAGCTATACGTTAGGGTGTAAGTCAGAAGTATCATGTTCGCGGGGGCTTGATTGTAGCTATTCTATAGGCCGAGTCTCGCATTGTGAGCACATCTCGGCGTTGGCACTGTGCACCAGGAACTGTCATATTGCTACTTTGGGCAACTCCACATTCCTCATGAGGATATGTTTAAAAGACGAAGCCGGAAATGTTTTTGTCCGTAAAAGACGAAGAGAGTCCGAAACCTGTCTAAAAGACGAAGATCAGAGCCAAAAACAGGGTTTCTGAGGTCCCGGGGGACGCGAACAAGTCCCAAAAACCCCCTCCGCGCCGCAGACGCTCAGTCAGACGGTATCGCTCGTACGGACTTGGAATTTGGCATGGGCGTAGCCAAGACGTCGAGCTACCTGCTGATACTCTTTGCCGGCCCAATGGACAACTCACAGCGGACTTGTGAGGATATCTGTCCAAAGCGTTCGTCTTTTAAACATTATTCCGGGTCATCTTTGTCTTTTACGGACAAAAACATTTCCGGCTTCGTCTTTTAAACATATCCTCCATTCCTCATGCATCATCCCTGCAGGATCACGTCGATATCGAGACTCGCTACACAGCGTTTGATCCTCTTTGTCCTCATCTTACCATGGCCGACCTCCTGTCTGATTCGCCTGCTACTCAGCGACACCGCTCGTTGCCCACTGATTCCCTCGTGTCCATGCTTGGACATCTGACACGCACGGATCTCAAACCCTGCTCCACCTTCAACCGGCTCTTCTATCAACTCGTCTATCCCCGCTTGTTCGAGCGGGTCTATCTCGACGTCGCCCATGCTCAGCAACAACTCGGACCCCTTCGCGTGGCTTCCAGACCACTATCCGAGATGTTCGGGCCTACGGTGACCAAAGACGAGAGGGGAACAAGGGAGGCAGATCGGGTGGCGGAAAATAGCGAGACGGGTGGTATGGAGAGGGATATGGAGGAGGTCGGTACTGGCCTTGTCGAGGGAGAAGGGGGCGGGATCGGTAGCGGAGAGGGCAGCACCGACGGGGCGGGTGCGATGATCAGAGGACTGGCTCGGCATTTCAGATGAAGAGGGTGTATGGGAGGAGGCAGAGGAATCCTCGGTGGTACCGGACGACTCATCGGCTATCGCCTATCGACGCCTCCTCTTCCATCGGTTCACCTGTACAACCTGCCTCACTCTCACCTCCCATACATTCGTCGCTTGACTATCTACGCACCACATCGAAATGCCGAACGTCATCACGCTGCGCATCCTCCCCACATCTCTCTCGGAGATGCCATCGGTCCCAATCGGTACCTTCCCGCACCTGCCCCTTCATTGCCAAACTTCGTCCTCGGCGGCTCAGCCTCGGTGATGCCCATACCTCGCTTCAGGGCATGGGCGCCAGTCTCTACGACGCGGGCGGCCCTTCGATTCTACCCGAATCTATCACGCACATCGGTGTTGTTCGTCGGCAGCGGTAGCGGGTGGGAATTATCGGGGTCCTACGAGACGAAATGGCTCGGTAGACTCCCACCGTCGGTCTTCAAGCTCAGCGTTGTCAACTGTCCGTCGGGGAAGCTATGGACAGGAGAGCAAGCACGCCCAGGACCTCAGCCGTTCAGATTCGGACGTCAGGTACACTCTTCGCCTCTCGCTGCGACCCCCGCTACTGGGCTCACCGGGAGCGCGCAAGTCATGGAGGTTGTCGGGCTTGAGTTGGTCGATCCAAAATGGCTCAAGACCAGTACGTCTGACCTGAAGGCTCAGATCAAATCGACGGTGCCAGCTCTGAGGTCGTCGCGCGGCAATGCGGGGGCGGGGTGGAAGAAGGCGGGCGAGATCGTATATTGGACGAGGGAGGTCTTGGACATGGAGGAGGCTGGAGAAGAGGAGTGAAGGGGGAGAAGGGGCAGACGAGGTGTTATACGAGTACGTCTTCAGCAGGCGAGGTATGAAATCATGGCGGTGATGTCGCAAGCTTTGAGGGAGGTAGGGAAGAAGAAGGAGAGACCGGCAAAGTGGGGCAGGGTGTGGTTTATGGCCAGCAAGGATTTCGATGCGAGGGGGGGATCGTGCGGAGCTTGATCGGATTCTGCGAATTGGGGCAGTGAATAGAGGGCCATAGTAGATCTTGGGCATACTATCTGGCTATAGTCGTATCGTCACTCGCTCATAGTGGCTGGCCTAGGCATGTGTCTAGCTTGATCGCTTCCCCATGGCCAGCTCTTTGACGCACGGTCAAGCGGAAAGCGGGCCGATTGGCTCCAATTGGCCGGTTCGCAGATCCGAAAATTCGGAGCTGATTTAACTGAACTCACTTTGCTTGTTGCTTGCCGCTTTGACGCTGGACATATCACTCGGGATCATGTCCAGCACTATATCAAGCTCAGCTGGAGCTGTCCCGCTGTCGGCGGACGGGCTAGAGCGCGTGGGGCTGCCCTTTGAGCTGTACGAGCGGATCGTCGCATTCGTCCCGGACAAACACATCGCACCACTCCTCCGCACATCTCGCACCTTCTTTCACCTCGTCGGCCCCCGCCTCTACCGCTCGATAGAGCTCATCAACTTCCACCGCTTCGACGGTACGGGTCTACTGGACTATATCTACTCGTCCGCCCAAGACCACCGGAAAACGTGGTTACAGACATACGGCTCCGGACCCTCGAACCCTCCCCCTCCTCCCTTCGACTTGGCGGCCGTTCCCCATACTACCCTCCCCCACCTCCTTACTTTCACGCGGCATATCACTGTCAGGTTTCATCAAGCCCATAAATGTGACGGCTACCCCTCCATCTCCCTCCCAAATTTGGTCACCATGCGCCTCGAGGTTTCTATCGACCATGTCCTCTGCCTGCCTACGCCCGACAAGAGTCTCGTCACCTGCCCTACCATCGCTAATCTCCGTCCATCACATATCATACTCGACGCAAGCTACGACACCAGCCTGGCGGCCACCCTGAACGGATTTTGGGCGGAGGAGTACAACTTCCCACCCCCCTGGGTCAAACGGCTGACGTTCTACATCGGCGAATACTACGAGTCGCCCGACAAATCCGTCCTACATGGTCTATCCGCGTCGCTAGAGCACCTCACCTTGGTCCTCGAGCCCTTAGATGATCTTTGGAAGCAATCGAAAACTTCCACTGTGGATCCCCAGGAGGGCGAGCCCAGGGTGTTCCTCATAGACCTCGCCAGGGTTTGCGACTCGGATGCGCAGGCGGTGGATATAGTAGGGATGGAGATGATCGACGATGAGTGGTTGAGGTCGGAGGGCTGGGTCGGGACGAAGGAGGAGCTGGTCAGCAGGGCAAAGGAGGAGGTCATATCGAATATCGGCGTGTGGCCGTCTGCGGAGAGGGAGAGGGAGGGGGTCGTACGGCGGAAGAAGGCGAGGGTGAGCTTCATGACGAGGAAGGAGTACGATGAGAGGGGTGGAGACGGAACGAGCTAGATCTCAGGTGAGTCTTCTTCAACTAACACTGACTTCAGGATCAGCTGATTGATGCAGCTCGGGACTGGCTGTGCAGGACGAGGGCGGGGGAATGGTGGGCGGTGCGAGATGGCTGGGCGGAGGCATGTGGTTGGGGTTGAGGGGGAGCGATATGAGGCGTGTAGAGGAACTTCTGTTTTTTGATGCGGGGGAGCTAGCCTGTAGGTCTGGTACTGTGGCTAATGCATTTATCCTACTGAACAAGATCTATGGATTTTAACTAGCCTATCAAATTAATTACCACGTCATCGTCTGCGCCCTCATTTTCACTAAGCTCAAAGATATCCTCTTCATCATCCATGCCCACTTCCCCTCCGAGATCCCGCTCTGCCACTCGTCCATCTGCTTCTTCGCCTCCTTCTGAATGAATCCTCCTGTTGAAAATACCATCGGCGTAAACGTCCCGACCCCTCCTGGCGCGTCCACCGTGGTCTTCTTGGGTATCCTCTTCAGCCACCCTTCCGCCTGTAGCCTGACCCGCTCCCACTCGGGCCGCTTGGTCGACCTCATCACCTCGCCCGCTTCTAGTCTCGGGTTTCCAAACGAGGAGTATGCGTCCTCGGTAAAGATGGAGTAGACCTTGATGTCATGTTCCGTTGTAGCCGTACCGATAATGCCCGACGCCCATACCCGGAGGTCGTTGCGTTTCTGATTGTTATCGGTGGATGTTGGTTCGTACTCGACCCGAACACCTCTAGACTGGACGGCGTGCCCTAGTGCATGTACGACCGCGTTGTGCCGGGCTAGTCGCCTGCATGAGGATAGATAGTGCCGGACTCTTTACTAGGACGTTTCATAGAGCATGACACTAGGCTGGCTCTGAAGGGAGACTGAGCTGCGCACGGATTGGCGACCGGAGCTAGAAGCTGACCAAATTTCGGTGGTCTATCTTAGCACTGGTCATATCACCACTACCATGTCCACCGTCGCCGCAGGTACTGGTGAAATCTCGCCAGAGCAGTCGCCGAATGGCTCAGCGGACCATCTCCAGCGGGTGGGGCTGCCCGTCGAGCTGTACGAGCGGATCGTCCGATTTGTCCCGGACGAGCACATCGTACCCCTGCTCTCCACGTCGCGCGCCTTCTTCCACCTCGTCGGTCCTCGGATCTACCACTCGCTCGAGCTTCACATGAACGGCGGCGGTGGTCTACTTGGCTACATCGACTGGCAAGCCCAGGAGCATAAGGACGCCTGGGCAAAGATGCACGTATCTGGGCCCTCGGACCCTCCTCCCCCTCCCTTCGACTTTACCGCGGTCCCCCACACCACCCTCCCCTATCTCCTTAACCTTACGCGGCACGTCATCGTGGAAACACACGATCCCTTTGACTGTGACGGCCATCCCTCCATCTCGCTCCCCAACCTCGTATCCATGCGCATCATGGACGCATACTGCCATGACCTCTGCGTATCTCAGGGTGAGCTCGGACACTTCGTATCCTGTCCCGCCATCGCCCGTTTTCGTCCATCACACATGATCCTCGGTAGCGCGGCGACAGGCCTGATGGCCGATTTCAACGGATTCTGGGCGGAGGTTCTGGGCGGAGGAGTACAAGTTCCCGCCGCCCTGGGTCAAACGGTTGACCTTCTACATCGGTGATCTCAACGAGGCGGCCGAGAAGTCCGTCCTTCGGCATATGGGCGCGACGCTCGAGAGGCTCACGCTCATATTTGAACCCGGATGGCGCTCCTGGAGCCGGAAATGTCGTGCGGTATTCCGTAGCCACTCATGGGAGGACGTGTGGGAGGACCATCCGCCGGCGTCGTTCTTTCAGGACCTCGCAGCTATTTGCGACTCGGACGCGCAGCGGGTGGAGATCGTTGGGATGGAGACTATAAGCGAGAAGTGGTTGAAGAAGGGCGGGTGGGAGGGGACGAGGGCTGAGCTGGAGGAGATTGCGAAAGAGCATCTCATATCCCGGATAGGCTCATCGTCTGATGATCGGGAGGGGATAGTACGGCGGAAGAGGGCGAGGGTCACTTTCATGACTAGAAAGGAGTGGGATGCGAGCGAGGGCATGGAAGAAGGGCAATGGCGGAGGTAATGGAGCAGAGGATAGGCAGACGTTGTTGGGCGACTAGAGAGGAGCAGGGATCATTAGGAGGGAGGTGCAGGGCAAGGGGTGGGGCAGGGCGGTGACCGATAGAGCGGGGGTCTGCGGACAGGGGCATGAATGGCGGATGTTGGTACCGGAACGGAATGAGCTGAGGTGGAGAGAGGAGTAGCTGGGCCGGCTGGGGGAGGGTGCACGGGCGGAGGGTGAGAGACGATCTCAGGTTCACTCGATGCAGAGGGGTGAGTAGTATATCTCAGTAGCTTCTTTATGGATTACATAGATATCACAGCTCATACAGGTACTGTCAGGCTCTAGACTGCATTCCCTCCTCCCCCATACACCCAAGCTCAGCTCGATCTGACGCAGGGACCAGCGAAAAGCTCCGAATCAGCGGACGAAATTGGACTTTACCTTGGCTTTCGACATATCACTCGCTATCATGTCCAATACCGTTACATCCTCGGTCACCGCCACTACCTCCTCGGCGGACGGATCGCAGCGCGAGGGACTGCCCCTTGAGCTGTACGAGCGGATCGTCGGATTCGTCCCGGATCAACACATCGTACCCCTCCTCAGCACATCCCGTACCTTCTTTCACCTCGCCGCTCCTCGCCTCTACTCCTCACTGGACCTGGGAGTGACCTACGATGGACGCGGCGTACTCGGGTATCTATGGGGCGCGGCCAACGAGCAGTACGAGGCTGCTTCTGATATCACTCTCGGTGCCGGTCCCGCGGTTCCTCCTTCCCCCTTCGATCTCGCGGCTGTGCCCCACACTACTCTCCCTTACCTCTTCACCCACACCCGTCACGTCGACGTCAGAACCCACGAGCCACACGACTGTGCCGGCTACCCGTCCATCTCCCTTCCCAACTTCGTTTCGGTCCGCCTGACGTCGGCATTCTGCCAGGACATTTGCCTCTCCCAGCTCGGTCGGTCCACCTGCCCCATCATAGCCAACCTGCGGCCTTCGCACCTCATCCTCGGCGGCGAGGACACCGGCTTGGCGGTCAGAACGCACGGATGGTGGGAGGCCGAACACCCCTTTCCCCCGCCCTGGGTCAAACGGATCACCTTTCACATCGGAGACGAGTACGACCCATATCGATATTCATCCCTCAATTATCTGGCATCCCCACCGGTATATGGGACTCCACTCATATATTCCCTCCTCCATGGATACGCCACATTACGCTCTACGCCGGGGTCGGTCAGAAAGGGCGTCGAGCTGATCGGTTCGACAATGAGACACTACTCCATCGGCTGCCCGTCACAGTGGACAGGCTGTCCATTGTCCTGCAGCCTCTTGCGAGGCACATGTGGCGGGCCGTAGAAGGGACGCTTCCCGATTATTCCGGGGTCCTGGATCTGAAGAAAGCTGTAGTAATGGCTGGGGAGTTGGACGCGCAGGCGGTGGAGGTCGTCGGGCTGGAATGTACGGATCCAAAGGCGCTGCCCGGGTGGTCAAAAGGGGACTTGGCGGGTGAGATGCGGTCCGAACTGGCGTTGAGCATGAAGAGTCACCGCAAAGGCGAGGCGGAAATCAGGTGGAAGCTGGATAGGATGAGATTTATGACCAGGAAGGAGTTTGATGAGAGGGAGAAGGAGGAGGGACGGCGGGAGGGAACGTACTATGGCGGAAGGGTATGAGGCGAACAGAGATGGGGCGAGTGGAAGGGGGAGGACGATGTAAGCCAGGTAGAACGTGAGACGGGTGATAGATGTGCAGAAGGGATACGCAGGATGTGAGGTGAGGGCCGACCGAATATACTGAACACGTACTGACAGGCCCAGATTCTCCGGTACTGATTCACTGCCAGGATCTAGACTCGTACTATCAGGCGCATGCTGCGAATACTCGGCTGGAGATCCCAAGGAGAGATCGGCCGGCTGGCAGATCGTCAATCAGGGACGACGGGAGCGAGTTTGGCTCTTGGGATGGTACACAACTGCTGAGTACCTCCGATCCGCATCCGAGGCGGACTAATTTGACTGACATGACTGTACTGCTCACAGATGAGGATGCGTTGCTATCTCCAGGCAATAGACCTCATCATCTACTTAGGCCAGTCGGATATCTGCAGCCGGTTGGCGTCACCATCATTAGCGATAAGACTACCGGGGTACCGGTGGCGTGCTCGAGCCCTTGTGTGGCGCTGGATGACCATTGAGGATGCAGTGTGGTCAGTGATAAGCATCTGGATGTACTGTACCACCCCCGATTGTCTCACACCCCCCTCCCCCCCTTCCCCCGCCACCGAAATAGCCCTCGCTGTCATCGCCCATTCACTCGAAGCCATCTGATCAGGCGTTATCAACCGCCGTGTCACCCTCGCATCTCAAGGCCGGCACCCACTCAGCGGCTGCACCATTACGTCCCGCGGTCCAAACCGAGATCTACCCCATCATCATCGCCTACCTCCCCGATACCACACTCGCCACATGCGTCCTCGATCCGCACCTTGTCCACCTTGTCGCCTCTTATCTCTGTCCACCGCAATCTTCTCCGATCCGGACGAGCCTCGCTCTCGCCGGTCACCCTCGGCGGGTCTCATCAGACCCACCGCCCGCAAATCGCCTATACCGGTGCCTTCCTCGCGTCCTCCTTCTGTCGGTCACATCGACACTCGCTATCTCCTCATTACTGGACACGTCACCGATACAAACTCGGGCCGAGATGGCGGATATGGTAGAGCTGGAAGGCGACAATGGGGACAAAATGGAGCGTGGGAATTGGGGCGATTGGCGTTGGAGAGGGCCGGGGGCCGAGGAGTACACATACACTGGTCTACTCGCATTCTGCATCAGGGCAGGACCGAGCAGGGGGTCGTTCGGGAGGATTGGGATCGCGTCGTCTTCTGCGAGAGTCAGGAGATGGATTAGCGAGATAGCGGAGGGACGGAGGCAGCGAGGCGCCGGAGGGGGAGGCTTTGACCAGGAATAGGGAATTGTAGGAACATTGGGGATGTCCCGAAGGAGGTTGGTGCGATCGGCTGATATGCTAATCAGCTGATATGTGCTGAAGATATCCACACTGCTTCTTCGTTATGCTGAAAAGAGTGCAGAATCGACTGATCGTACACGATCTGATATCTGGATTCTGACCTGACGCGGCTGATATCGCCTACAAGACTACGGTACGATACCGATTTGGAAACTCCAGGGCCAACTATCGTGTCGTTCGTGTCTGCAACTATCAGCGCCTACGCCTACTGTATTGACTTCTTTCACAAGCAAGCCATGACCGTCTGACGGTGTGAATTCACTATGATCAAGCGAGCTGAAGTACGAACTCAGCTATCAGGCCCCGCCAATATAGTGTGCTGTTCGGCTGAACCGACTTTGTGCCGACCGAGACACGATTGAGCGGCGCAGCCGAGTAGAGCGCCCAGAGCCAAGTCGAGGAGATGCGTGCAGCGTCGTCTGCCGTCCATGGTCGCCGAGGTTCATCAGGCAGTAAAGTGCGGATTGGAGTGCTTGAAATGTGACTTCTCCATCCTTGCGCGAGAATGAGGCAAGCCAAAGACACGCTGTCGAGGCGGCTGGCCACGACCAGCGCGTCAAACAGGTGTTCAACAGCGAGATCGGTGGTGATTAGCAACGTGCACGGGTGCGGGTCCACTGGAAAATACCCGGAAAATATCCGTACCCTGCCGGTGAGTGGGGTACGAGTCCGAGATCCGAGGCGGCGCCGAGTATGGTGCGGGTCCGGGTCTGAGCTAGACGGCGCCGGGTATGGTCGGGTAAATACCGGGTATACCCGGCAGATCCGGCTTTGTAATGCTGTAGACTGGTCAGGCTGGCGCCTTGATAGCAGGACTCGCGAGGCGTATGATCATCATCTGTGGGACGCAGCACGGGCGTCACAAGCCCAAGATGGCCCCACACGACCCCAAGAGACATCACAAAGCTGGTCTTACGAAATGAGGAATGAGGAGACCAAATTTGCCACCCGGTGGCAAGTGAGGCAGAAGTGAACGCCGACGTCCTTGGCGAGCATCTAGAGTACTGAGATTACTATGCTAGCTCGACAGGGGGATACGATAGCCTTTTTGGGCTGTGACAGCGTGGGGAGGGTCAGCATGAGGTCATCTATGTCGAACCAGGGGTACTGGGTATTACCCGGTATATACCGGGCATTGGCCAAAATCCGGGTGCGGGTACGGGTCTCGGACCCTCTTCAAAGTGGGATACAGGTAGGGTACGGGTACCGCCCAAGGTCCAATGTGGCGGTACCGGGTACGTACCCGGACCCGCTTTGCACGTTGCTAGTGGTGATGCGACGAAAGAAGCGTCTAGCCGAGTCTGCGCACTTATACTGAATGAAGAGCTCGAGTGGTCTTTGAGCGTCAATCCATGAGGGGGTAGAAGTGGGTGTTCTCTTGAAGAGGCATTCGATGAAGACGGTGGCCTGGGCTAGCGTCTCGTCCGGGAGGTGAGGCTCTCCTCGAGCGGACGTAGAGGTGCTCTGAGCGAATATATCCTTGAAGACGGGACTTGATGTCAGCCGTTATTAACATAGAGTGCTCACCTTGCATCACGTAGGTGCTTCTTCGGCATCCGCCAAGCGGTCTTCGATACTCCGTCGTCGCAGAGGAGGACGAAGTCGCCGGTCTGGTATCCCGACTGGACGGTGTAGACAGCGCCAGTGGCGTCCGTATATCTGTTCATGATGTCTCTAGCGATAGCGATATCGATATGTATGTATGATGACTGAATCTCTAGGTCGACTGTGTGCGTCATACAGTCAGTATCCACCGTCCAGGAGGAAGGAAGCAGGGACATAGCGGCCCATGCACACGCGGCACTTGCCACCCGCCACGAACGCACGGGCCAACTCCACATTCCTCAAAAGTGATTCAGCTCAGCTTGTGCCCCAAATTCCTTCTCTTCCTCCGTTTGCCTATATCGCTCTACCAGCCTCACCAGACTGCAGACTGCTCGGCGGCGTGACAGTCACTATGCGCTCTTCAACCCGATTCAATGGCCTGGGAGAGGCGCGTTATACCTACTCGGTCCCGGTCGAGATCGCGGAACGGGTTCTATCGCACCTCGGCAAACCCTCTCTCGTCCGCTGTCTACGCGTCTCGCTCACCTTCCACCTCCTCGCCGCCCCACGCGTATACCCTCTCATGTACCGTAATATGTCCATCAGTCCACCAAACACCATCTCCTTCCTCTCGGAAAGCCACCAGCTGGTCAAGCGCCCTTTCCGGAAGAATCCCACGCCCGAGGACCTCGCTCGGATCGGTCGGATCGTCGATACCCTCCCCTGCCCCTTCGATTATATCACCCATCTCACCCTCTTCTCCCATCGTCGGTCGGCATGCTACTGCTCGGATCCGCTCGTGCTGCCCGCTCTCGACACCCTTCACATTCGGCCCAGCTGGTCCGAGACCGAGCTCCATCTCTGCTATGGCTGGCATCTACCCAGCAACGCCGCCTGTCCGTCCTACACCCAGAGCCGCCAGCGCGCATCGTCATGCAGATGTGCCGCACCGACTTGCTGTCCGCTGATCACTCACCTTCGTCCTCGTCGGCTTATCCTCGGAGGCGTCGCGATCCCGACCGATTTCACGGGTCAGGCCAAGGGCCTGTGGGAATTCCTACCGTCCTCGATCTCGGAACTCATCATCCTCGTCGGTATGTTCAGCGGGTACGACCCAAACATCTCTTCCCTTCCCTACAAGATGCGGACAGTGGAGAGAATCACGCTCGTCTTGGCGTGCGGAAACGAGGGATGGCAGCGTATGCGGGGAAATGGTGATCTGTCCGCCATGGAGGAGATAACCGAGCAGTGGGATAGTGTACGTCTCGGGCACTGTTTGATGGCGCTCTTGGCGGGAGTCGGGACGGATAAGCGTCAGACGGTGGAGATGATCGGAGCGGAGCGGATCGACCAAAACCCCAATATCCCCGTCGATAGCGAGGACATCGAGGATTTCGCCGAGTATATCCGGACGGCCTTGGCGGAGGAGATGGAGGAGCGGGGCTGGAGCAAGGCGGAAGCGCAAGAGAGGTCAGATGCGATCGAGTTTGGAGACGCGCCGGAGTGGGAGGAGCGGGAGGGCTGGTTTCGAGCTCAGATGGACATCTGGACGTTTGGGGCCCTCCAGGAGAAATTCCGGGATGTGCGCTGGTACGAGGAGGAGAGCGAGTCGGATAGTGGCGAGGAGGGTGGGGAGGGAGGAGAAGTGGAAGGGAAGGGCAAGGATGAAGGGGACGAGGAGTCTATCGGGTCGGGTTCCCTGGGCGGAGATAGATGAATATGAGGCCAATATGGAACGGCGGTCTAGGTGAGAGAGGGACGTTGTGGCAGTGTATGGTATTCCGGATAGGTTTGTGGATGTACAGTTGTGTATACGAGCTAGCGGCACTGACGGTGGAGCTGGAATAGAAGGACTACACAGTGAGTGCGTTCGGTCGTCCTCGGCTTTCCTCATATTGGAGAAGAGCTGATCTCGCAGCTTCCTCTGCGCAAAGCCAACTTCCCACAGATTCAGTCTATCCACCTACCAGCCCGCTTCCCTAATCTATCCTGCTCGTCCCTCTCCTCAACCGCTCCCCACCCTCCCCATCCTCCCCACTCTCATCACACGAAGCGGTGCAGCGGCAGGCACCAAAAGCGGACCACCTGTGTGGGTGGCGCTAACGGGGGACAATAGGGTTTCCACCCCGCTTCTTTTTGCTGAGCCCTGACACCTTATATTACTGATCGCTTCTTGACAATTCCCCCTCTTCTTCTGCGATCATCCATCATCCCACCACCTCACCATCCATCGCTCAACATGCCTACCACCGCAGACTCCACCCTCCCGATCGCCACGGCGCCCCCTGCTCCTTCGTCGGCGTTACCCAACGAGATACTCCTCCTTATCCTCCCCCTCCTCGCTCAACCTGATCTCGCCCGATGGCTTCGCGTCTCCCGGGACTACCATGATGTCGCCGTCCGCATCCTCTACAAGTCCATCTCCATCCGCGTCGGCGGTCCATCTTCCAATAAACCGAATATCTCAATGCCCCAGGCTCGGACCGTCAGCGCCGATCTGATCCTCCAAGCCACCCTCACTCGGCTCGCCGGGTTCAATGTCCGACCCAACCCCTTCAACTATACCACCCACCTCACTCTCTCATCCCATCCCCCGCATATGTGCGGAGGCGCACTCCCCCTGCTCCTCCCCCATCTCGATACACTTCGGATCCAGCCGGGATACGAGCAGGACCGCGGCAACCTCTGCGATTCCGACCACCAGATCTCTGGAAGATCCTGCCCCACCCATACATCTTCCGCCCCTTGCTCCTGCATACCCAGCTGCAACTGCAAACTTATCACCTACCTCCGTCCCCGTCGGCTCATTCTCGGCGATGCGACCACCCATGTCCTCAGCGGCGGTCTGGGTCTTAGGTCCGGTCCACTCCCTTCGTCTATCAAGGAGCTCGTCATCCTCGTCGGCATGCTCACCGGCAATCCCAAAATCAAGCCATCCCCACAATCCCTTCTCGCCGACCTCCCTGCGACCGTCTCCAAGGTCACCTTCGTCCTATCGACCGTCCGGCACGGCTTCGACTCGTTCTGGGCCGACGAGCCCCATCCGGACTTCTGTCGCAACATCATGGTCGGTAATCTACTCGACACGGTCTGGCTGGGGCAGGCGCTGTTTGGGATGATCGATGGGCTGGCGAAGGGAGTGGAGATTGCGATAGTGGGAGCAGGGGAGCTGGGTCAGGAATACAGCATCGAGGAGGGTTTCAGCTACGGGACGGAGGAGTTGAAGGGCGAAGAGGAGCCGTACCCGGTGTTCTTGAAGCGAGAGTTGGTCAAGGCGCAGCGGGCGAAAGGAAGGGATGAGGGAGAAGCGACCGAGCTGGCGGCTGGTATTCGCTACATCAGTGAGGCGGAGTATGGAGGGCAAGAGGAGTGGTTTGAGGCGGCGCTGAAGGAGTGGGACTACGATGCGCTCAACGCGAAATTCATGGGGGTCTGGTGGGGGAAAAGGCGTCTTTGAGGGAGCAGGGAAGGGCAAGGAGGCAGAAGATGGGGAGGAATGAGGCTGAGTAGATATTGGTGGCAAATGGAGCGGGCAGCGTGCCAGTTGATCGGCATCAGGTAGAGTGCTATGTATATAGATATCCCAGCTATGTATACAGATAATCCATTGCTGCATAGTGACTGATTGACCGACTGGAGGCTGGAGGGCAGGCGATGTAGTAGTCATGGGCACGCATGTGCGCAGTACCGGCAGCGCGCAGTCCAGTCGTGCGGGATAGCTAATCCGCCGCAGACCCGCTTCATCGGCCGCACTTTCGACTTATCCTTCTCAGCCTGCTCTCCAGGACGACACTGTCACACTGATTGCTTATCATGCTGTCTTCATCAACTCTTCGGCTGCACGACGATCAGCTGTGTGCAGCACCCAGCGTAGCAGAACAATAAGGTTTTCGCCCTTGCTTCCCTTGTCGATTGGCTTCTCGCGCAGCTACTGATCGGTTTTGACATCACATCCCTACTCCCTACTATCAATCACTATCGCTCACCATGACTGACCAGTCAGACGCGTCTACCATCCAGCGAAACCCATCAGTCGCCGAATCCGTACCGGCCGAATTCCTGCTCAAGCTCACATGTCTCCTCCCTCAGCGCGACCTCATCACCTCCCTCCGGATCTCGCGCGCCTACCATGACGCCGCAGGTGATCTCTTACACCCTACCCTATTTAATTCAATCACGATCAACCCATCGTCCAGCTCTGGCTTTAGTCCGCTGAGCACTCGCTCTCCGGAAGAGCGAGAAGTCGATCCCTACCTCCCCATCAAAGCCCACCTCAGCCGGTTCGTCGGATTCGTCGGTGTCCCCAATCCCTTCGACTACACTACCCACCTCACTCTCACCTCGCACTCCACCTTCACCTGCTCCTCCCTATCTCACTTAGTCCTCCCCAACCTTATCACCCTCCGCATCAAGCCGGGATACCTCGAGGACCATGGCAGTCTCTGCGGGGGTCGATCAGGAGAGCGCAATGGCGGTTGCTGCCTTACCTGCGGGTCGAGCGATCCTGGCACCTGCAGAGCCAATACATGCTGCCCTCTGGTCACTTATCTCCGTCCTCGTCGGCTCATACTCGGCGGGACCACCACCCACACTATCGGCCGCGGTGATGGATTCTGGTCCGGCGCTATTCCTGCCTCGGTCAAAGAGCTCGTCATCCTCCTCGGCGTGTTCTCCGGTCACCCCTCTACCCCTCCGTCGCCGCCTTCATTTTGCAACAATCTCCCCCATACTGTCGAAAAGATCACATTCGTCCTCTCGTCTGCAAATCACGGCTGGGACTCGTTCTGGGATGACACTGCCCCCTACTGTCTAGCAACGTGCAAAGCGGGTCCGGGTACGTACCCGGTACCGCCACATTGGACCTTGGGCGGTACCCGTACCCTACCTGTATCCCACCTTGAGGGGGGCCCGAGACCCGTACCCGCACCCGGATTTTGGCCAATACCCGGTATATACCGTGTAAAACCCAGGTACCCGCGGCCCAAGTTCAAACTACTATGCACGCCCTTCTACACGTTGCGATGGATCATCATGCCTAGTCTGTGACCTAACCCAGCTAGCAGAGTGCGGACAGTACTCTCTGCGCTCAGCAAGTACGTCGGCGGCGCCTTTTCGCCGTTTGCCACCGGGTGGCAAATTTGGGTCACCTCGTTCCTCATCTCGTAAGCCCTAACTCTGACATCTATAGAGGTCGACTCGGCTCATTTCAAGCTTGAGTCGCCCGCGGTGCGCACTACGGATGACCGCCATAGGTCCTCTGACTCCGTCTATTCAGGCCCCGGCTTAGCTAGTTCGCAGACAGGGAGCCTCGGATACGCCGGGTATACCCGGTATTTACCCGCCCATACCCAGTGCCGTCTAGCTCAGACCCGGACCCGCACCATACTCGGCGGCGCCTCGGATCTCGGACCCGTACCCCACTCACCGGCCGGGGACGGGTATTTTCCGGGTATCTTCCAGGGGACCCGCACCCGTGCACGTTGCTACTACTGTCTGAACGACGACTGCGTCGACCCTTGGAACACGGTATTCCTGGCGCGGGCGATGTTCAGGGTGATAGTGAACCTGGGAATGGGACAGGCGGTAGAGATCGTGGGCGCGGACAGGATTGATCAGTGCTTCTTTGAGGAGGAGGGCAGATATGTTGTGGAGGTAGTCGACGAGGAGGAGACCTTCGAGGAGTTCCTGTCGAGGGAGGTGCGGAAGGCGCTGGTGGCAAAGGGGCTGGGCGCAATTGAGGCGGACGCGAGGGGGGAGAAGATCATCTACACCACGGAGGCGGAGTATAAGGCACGGGAGAACTGGCTACAGGTGACGCTGAGTGAGTGGGATCGGGTGGGCTTGGAGGAGAAGTTCAAGGGTGTGTGGTGGGGCCCAGGCGGTATCACGCCTCCAGGGGCCTTAGGGGGCCGTTGGGATGGATCAGTGGTCTGAGTGTTGGCGGTAGTGATTTTTGTAGTGTAGATACGGGGAGTGATGCGGGCTTGGGCCAGTAGTAAGAGTTAGTCAGCTAGCATAATCGACTCAAGGCGCCTCACAAGCACTGCTTGATTATCATCAATGGGCATCAGGTACTATCAGCATCGACGGATCCGCTCGGCATACATCGTGTGTGAAGCACTGAAGGGACACTTAGCGGCGCCGGATTAGAGTTGGCTTCCCTGCTTCTGTTGCCAAGAAGCTCTGAGCATACATATAAGTACTGATCAGCTTCCCAACCTCCCCCTTCTTCTCCTAACATCGCCTATCATTTCCTTTCTTGCCCGCCCACTGCGCCTTGAACATCTTATCCAATATGACTGCCCAACCCTCCGCCCCCAAGGGTCCGAAGAACCCCGCTCCCTCACCTTCCGCCGCCGACTCGGCCCCCGTCGAGGTCATACTCAAGATCCTCCCTCTGCTCTCCCCTCCGGACCTGATCCACTGCGCCCAAGTCTCGCGCCATTTCCACAGCGTCGCCTCCTCTCTCATCCACCCCACCTCCCACAAATCCATCTCCCTCGACATCTCTCTCCACTCCCCCGCTCGTAGCGAAAACAATCGTACCTTCTGCCCAGCCGCCAAGACCCTGGACCCCCGCGTTCCTCTCCAAGCTCACCTTTGCCGGTTGACCGACTTCCACCTCTCGTCTAACCCTTTCGAGCACACCACGCACCTTACGCTCACCTCCCACAATCGCACCGACTGCGTCAACCTGCCTCCCCTCTTCGTCCCCAATCTCGTCACCCTTCGGATCCAGCCGGGATATCAGCAGTTCAAGCTGGACCTTTGCGGCGCTACCCAGGACCCGCACGGGCGGGGCAACTGCTGTCCCCTCATCACGTACCTCCGGCCTCGGCGGCTCATCCTCGGAGGTACCACCTCCGGCTTCCTCGGCACCGGCGCCGGTCTGTGGTCTACCCCCTTCCCGCCCTTCGTGAAGGAGCTCGTCCTCACCGCCGGAATGACGACTGGTCGTACCCTTCCCGGAGCTCCAGTCCAGACGTCAGGATCATTCCTAGATCATATCCCGGAGTCGATCAAGAAGGTCACCATCGACCTCACAGACGGCTGGGACAGGCTCTATGTGGATCATACAGGAAATGGGCAACGAGAGACGGTCAATGAGGACTTGACGGAGCAGTGGGACAGCATCCTTCTAGGGCGGGCATTGATGAGGGTCTGCGCGAGGCTGAGCAAGGATCAGGCGATCGAGGTGGTTGGGGCGGAGGTTGTCGATCATTGCTCGCTGGAATTTTGGGAGAACGACCGCGCTGGCCGCTTCACCGGACCGGAGGAGTACCACGACGGCGAGCCCTGGCAGGATTTCATGAAGAGAGATCTGATGCGGGTGCTGAAAGTGGAGGGATAGACGGAGGCAAGTGCAAGAGCGAAGGCGGACGGGGCCGTCTTCCTCAATAGGAAGGAGTACGGGAAGAGTGAGGAGTGGGTTAGGGCCGCGAGGAAGGAGTGGATGCTGAGGGCGATGGAAGAAAGATTCAATGGGGTGTTGTGGACGCCGGCGCCGGTGCGGATCGAAGCGGATACAGGGGTGGAGAAGGATCAGGAATCGAAGTCGGAGTGCGTTTGTAGGCTTTGTATTGGCGATCGTGCGTACTTTAGTGATTGGTAGCCGGCCCCTATCCATTAGAGTAGTAGTAGATAGCCAAGAGTAGCTATGGGTCACACATATTATCAGTAGGAAGGACGCAAGACATATCATGAAGATCCTGAGAGAACAGTCAGCCAGGTCAGTCGATCAGCTAATCAAGCCAGTAACGCTACATCACATCCATCCTACAGACCGAACGATATCCTTCCCATCCCCATATCCCCCTCCACTCCTTCTCCAGCCTCATTCGCTTTCAACTCCGCCTCCAGCCTCATCCGCCTCAAACTCCTCCCACGTCCGATATCTGATCCCCTCCACCCTTTCCCTCGCCTCGTACTCCCTGAACCACATTTCACGAACGAGATGACGCTTTAGCTTGATCTCCAGCCACTCCTTCACCTGAGACGTCGGCGTATACGTCCAATCCTCCCAGATCAACTCCATCCCTACGACCATCATTGCTTGCGCCCGACCCCCCAGAGCACACACCAGCATGTCCGTGATGGAGTTCACCCAAGCTTTTGGTGTTTCCCCGCTGTAGTCGAGCGGCTCGAGCGGGCGTACGAGCCACGGCTCGTCAGGACGAGGGGAGAAGATGAGGGTGAGGGTCTCGACCGAGGGCTGGAGTTTAGACAGCCAGGTTTCGCGGGCGTCCGACTGCTTGGGTGGGTCGCGTAAGGTACCGCTTGAGTGCCCGACACCGTTTGATTCCCCGATATAGACCACGACGTCCTTGATGTATGGCGGAAAGATGATGGGTAACGTCCAGAGACCGGATCCGCGGCCGTAGATACACGTGGATGTATCACCGAGGACGAGACGCCGCGGGCGGAGCTTGGCGATAAAGGGGCAGGTGCAGGAAAAGTCCCGGGCGCATGATTTAGGGCGCCGAGCCGGGTCGTGTTTGCACATGCAAAAGTCGAGAAAGGGTCCGGTGGCGCTGGAGGTGGGGAGGATATGGAGAATGATGAGGTTTGGCATGTCGAGGGAGTGGTGATTGTCGCAGGTGGTGTGGGTATGGGAGGTAAGGATAAGATGGGTGGTGTTGGTGAAGACTTTGAAGAGGAGGAGCCGGGGGAGAGCGCTGGGATTGTCTTGAGCCTCCTTTGCCGTCTTCCCGCTCAGGAGAGCTCTCCATCGCCCTTTCCGCCAGCCCTTCAGCATCCCAGCATCCCGTCCCGCATTGACAGCGTCCCGCCCGCCATTCCCATTCCCTTTCCCTCCAGCTCCAGTGTCCGCGCCCGCCCGCGGTGTGCGAGGCGACCACAGACCGCGGAAGACATCAAGAAGCCTCGGTTTCCGCTTGACCGCCCGCCGCAGGATGTCCAGCTGTGAAGGATGATGGACGTCGAGGGAGGCGCGCTCGAATAGGCGGGGTAGAGTGACCTCGCGGAAGAGCCAACTGACCCGCGAGCAGCTCTCAAAGTCCCGCCATTCGAGATGCTGGAAGATGGCGATCAGCAGCTCGACGGGTAGGGCTTCATGCTGTGTGGCCATACTGTCCGTGTAGCGAAGATAGGATATGTGTATTCAGGAGGGGGAAGAGGTACTTGCAAGGATGCAGCAAGGGCTTGGGGGTGCGATTTGATGAGCCGCAAATGGACGGAGTTACATTCTCCGTTCGAATCACGGCATGAGGAATGTTTGCCCCTGAGCCAGAACAGGCAAGTAGCAAGCTAATCGACCTGTCCATTGTACCTCTTTCTATAGCTTCACCAATCCGTCCTAACGGCTTATGCCTTCCAGCTCGCTCTACTGTCTCCAAGAGACATAAACGACCGATATCCACCGTTCATATGGCGGATTCGGCGAAAATCTCTCGCTGAGTCGAGCATCCCGAAGCTTTACCATCGGCCACAGATGGCGTCAGTTCGGGCCAACGTGGGCATGAGGTGGACAGTAAGGAGCACGTCGCTTCCAGCAGGTGGAGAATCGGATATGGAATGGACGGGACTCAGCTTAGCGGTGGACGGTTCAGGTGGCTTGGGCGGAAGACGACCTTCTCTGAGCAAACCTGGACCCTGCCCGCCCCGTCACTCTGACTCTCCGACTGACTATGTTTCCAATACTGCCACCTTATCTCTCAGCATACTGAATACTCATGTCTGTGTCTTGAGTGAGAGACCATCCCTGATGGAGCGCCTGAAGAGGTCAATCTTCGCGGTTTATCATGGCGCGGTGCTACAGGACGGTGGATCAAGTTATAAGCTCGCTGCATGACTCGGTACGTTTGTCTCAAGTCGCCTATATCTCACCCTAAATACCATGGAATAGAGTAAGTCAGAGATCGATCCCAATCGCTGTGTCAGACCTCGCTGATAAGATACACCTCTACACAATCACAGGCAAAATGTCATTCCGCCCTTCGCCTCTACCCCTTCAAAGCCTCGCACATCGACCCCTTCACCTCACCCCATTACCTACTCGCGCGAGAGCACATCTGCTTTGCGCAAGAAGTTACCACACTCTTTCACATACCATTTGGGTACAGCTTGGCGAAGCTGTGGACCCCGTCGAGACGAGTGACAAGAGGGGGGCGTTCCCAAGAAGAGAGGCGGGGCGGCTGCAAGGATCGCAGGTGTAGCGGAGGCGCAGCTGAGCTGATTCAAGTGGGGTCGAGTGCCTTGCGTCTCCGTGTGGCCTAGGCTCACAGACTTGTGGGCAGGTCGCGAGCGCGGGCGCAGACGTGCAGTCAATCGTCGCAGCATCAGACGAAGTTTGATTTCGCTCAGATGCTAATTTCATCATATATGATACCCCCATCACGACGACTGCCATGTACTAATCCTACGATGGCTACTAATAAGCGTATCGGTGTCCCAAGCCCTTCTTTTGTGGGTAACTCCGCATATCTACCCCTCTACCTCCACGCGCCGATGGCTGCAGCCTCGTATGGCCCGCCCCAATCACAAGCACCAAAAACGTCACCATCATCCAGCTCCACCACCACACTGACAGCCTGCCCTTCTCAGACCTCGCCACCTTCTCGCAATCTGCGCACCAGTCTCCCGGTTGCCTCGTTTGCGCACATCTCCGTTTCCTCAAGCTCAGCTTTGACTTGGTACCAGCAGAGGCGGGCTGGTTGTGGTACAAGGCAGGAGAGCAGGATTGGGATCCGGAAATATGGGCACAGTACTCGCCCGAGATTATTGGTCGGGCGGTCGCTTGGGCGTGCGGCGGTCAGGCGGGGACAATAGGGATCCTAAAGGGAGAAGACATGGCGCAAGATTACAAGAGGAGAAGCGGGGCGGAAACGAACTTTGCGCGTTATCTGCGCCAGCAGATATTTGAGTATGGGCGGGAGAATGGTCTCACCAAGGCGGAGGCGAAATCTCGAGCGGATAGGGCCAAGATTGGGTCTGGATCGAGGACGGGGTGGGTGGCCTCAATGATGCACGGATGGACGGCAAGGGAGATGAAAAGGCGTTGGAATGGGGTGAGATGGGGATTAGAAGGGGGGATCACCAGACAGGACGTGCCGTGCGAAAAGGAAGGGCAGTGCTTCTGGACCCGGGCTCGAGGCGATTTCTGCTGGGATTGTGCAGAGGCGTTCGAGCGAGAGTCGCAGGAGTGGGTGGCGGCGGGTGGGGATGCGTTGGTAAAGGGATGTATGTTGATAGCGTTGGTAGGGGCAATCATGGGCGGTGCTCGTCTCGTTAGGTGGGGCAGTAGATTAGGGTGGGGAGGTGGTTCAGGTCAGTAGAGGGGCAGGTTCATATTCTTCCATGCATCGAAATCATGGACCCTCTACCATCATACCCTCAGCTTCCTCCACTCAAGGTCCACCACCAGCTCACGTATTGACAGCTTCAGCCCTCCCTCATACTCATGCGACTTCACCAGCTTGACCGGTCGCTGAAGCCTGCCGCTGGTGTCGGCATGACTTTCCCCACCCAAACCAAGACCCAAACCATGCTGCTGGCGGCGTAGCCTATATCGCTCCGACTTCGATGTTGCGGGGAGAGGGTAGATCGTGCGCTGGAACAACAATCCGGAGATGCGCCTCTCGGTCTGCATCCTAACGGGTGAGCAGAGACTGTTGGTAGGCGCGAACAGAGGTAGGCCTTTGGTATGTATCACCCCTAACCTTCCTGCCCTTTCACCTATTCACTTGCTCTTCTGATCTCCTTTCATCCCTTCTAATCATTCTCTCATCTACTCGTCATCTACCTCTTATTAATGTCCAGTACCTTGCTCTCCCGCAGCGAGAAGAAGGGCGAGGTACAGCGGGCGATTCGGATCCGGAACCCGCACTCCCCTTCGAGATCCTCGGCGTTGTCGTCGTCCACCTCGCTCGCACCGATCTGGCGCTGTGCGCTCGCTCTTCGCGCTCTCTCTATCTCCTGGCTACACCCCTGCTATATCACACCCTCGACATCGACCTCTCCCACTCCATCCACCCGCTCTCGAATGATCCCTCACTCGGCGCGCCGGCGGTTCGGCAGTCCCGCTCGTCCCTCGTCGGCCTTCTCATGGCTCCCCTCCTCTTCCCCATCGCTTCACCTATACCACCCATCTCGCACTCACCTCACATCGCGGCCACCTCTGCCGCGACCTCCCTTTCCCCCTCATGCCAAATCTACACCCCCCCCACAATCATCCCTAATCGGACACACGAGCACCTCAACCTATGCGACTGCGCCAATACCCATCCTGACCAGAGGCTCTCTACCGGACAGGATGAGCTTCAGCCTACTCCCAAATGCAACTCCGACTCGGAAAGTCGCTGCTCCATCATCGCTGAGCTTCGTCCCCGTCGGCTCATCGGCGGTCTCACCACCGGTCTCACCGGCCTCCTTTGGGGCACATGGCCGGCGGAACAGACCCTGCCCGGATGAATTAAGGAGGTGGTGGTGCTGGCGGGAATGATGACAGGTGCGGAGCGCGGGACTATCGAGCACTCTACGTTTCTACGGGATCTGCCGTCCACGGTCGACAAGCTCAGTATTGTCATGTCGCCCTGGACCGAGGCGGATCGTCTTTTACGCGAATCCGAGCTGGATGATCGGGCGTTCGGCGAGTACGGGCTCTACAATATCCGCACGGCGGGGGAGCGGATCGCGCAGGCCTGCGTGGGCGATGCGAGGGAGGTTGAGCTGTTTGGGGCTTGGATCGGGCACGGTGAAGAGGGGGAGGATGATCCTTGGGCCGAGATGAAGAGGGAGGCTAAGGCGAGGTCCGAGCAGCAATTACGAGTGGTGGTGAGGGCGGAGCTGGAGAAGCGGGGGACGAGTGCAGAGGAGGCGGTGAAGCGGGCGGGGCTGATCAGAATGACGGGGGAGGAGGAGTTTGCGGGCCGGGTGGGGAACGAGTGGTTCAGGCGGGAGCTTGGAGGATGGACGGGACAGGAGTTGATGGATAAACTGGATGAAGAGTCGAAGCTTTGAGGGTGTGATCTGGAGCACATATGGGGGAGGAGCTATCGAATACAGCGTGCCCGGTAATGTTGAGACACGTATGTAACATCGAAGTGATCACCCCCTTGTCCAGCTCTCTTCTCACTTCTCTACACATTGTACACATCCTGACTCTTGATTATTGCTGTCGAGCTATTCGACCTTCATACTTCGCGAACACCTATCTAGACCTCTGCAACTGCTCTCTCAACTCCTCTCCGGTCCAGCCTCCCTTCTCCCTTGTATACCAGCTATTCCGCCTCGCAAGGTCCGCCACATCCGTAAACTTGATCGCTTCAGCTCTCTCACGCGTCTCCTCCTGCTGCACTCCCCTCTCACCCAAGACATCTGCGACCCCTTCCCTCAACCGCTTCTCCTCGCTCTGGCGACCTCATCAGACACCCTGCCGAACAAGCTCAGAGCCCAACGAGCTCCACCTTCCTCGCCTCCCCTATACACGCCTGAGCGATACCCCGCCTAACTCGCGCCATGGTCTGGAGCTCGGTACGAAGGTCTCTCGTCCTGATAGACTCGAGCTTGTCGATAAGGCAGTGTGCCTCGTGCCATGGACAGAGGACGATGCTGGGTTTCTCGACCGTTTGGGGTAGGTTCTGGAGGAATAGGTCGTCCTTGAGAGGGCCGCGCTCGACGCCGGACATCATCCCCGCTAGCACCACCACCTCCATGACCCACTCTGGCAACTCACTATCCCTCCCCGCCCGCCAGAGATCCCCGAACGAGCACGTCAGACCCGTGATCATCCCGCCTAGGATGAGACGGCGAGGCCGTAGCTTTTCGATCATGGGATAGCAGCAGCCTTCCCAGATGTGACAGGGCTTGGACCGAGGGGCGGTCCGGTCCGGTCCAGTAGAGTGCCACTCGTCCAGCTCGATATGCCAGCAATCGCAGAGATTGAGATGCTCGTGCGCTTTGGAAAGTTGGCCTAGCCGATCCGGGACGATACGTAGGGTGTGAAGGTTGGGCATGATCAGTGGGATGATGGGTGGGGAGCGGAGGAAGCACTCGTATCGGCGATGGGTAGTGAGGGTGAGGTGGACGGTATAGGTGAAACGGTTAAGGAGAGGAGGAGGGGGAACGGTGAGCCGGGAATAGGCCGAGAGGTGACGCCGAAACGTGGAAATAGCGGGTCGGACTTTGCGGTCCAGAAGGGTCCGAGGGTGCGAGAGGGGATGATGGGCTGCCCGTAGGTCGATATGGAGGGTACGGTAGAGGAGAGGAGTGGCGGCGTAGTAGGGAGAGCGGGAGGATCGAGCGCATATGTTCAGCTTCGCATTATTGAGGAACCAGAGGATTGATGAGAGGAGTTCGAAGGGGAGACTAGGGATCTGCCTGGCTTTTCGTTGGCCTGTTATGCTCTTCCCGGGGCCGGAGGTGGTGAGGCTGACGATCATCTTGATATTGGGTGCCTGGATGATGATACAAAGGTGAGAGTTGAGTGAGCTTGAGAACTGGTCAGAGATGGTCAAAGCGGGCGGAAGGACATACACACAGTGCAGCCCCATGAAGCTTAATCTCGGTGTGGCACCTCTTCCCCGGGCCGGCTCAGTCACACCGCTTATCGTAGCAAGGTCCACACCCTCCCACCCGCTGTCGATCCGTCCATGAAGATGGTAGAGGGAGGAGAAGGTAGTAAAAGGAGGACAGAAGAGGACGAGGTGGACAGCGTCGAGTGCAAGCGTCGCCTGACCGGGGTGTACAGGCTCTGCAGCTGCAAGGTGGACGGACGGACGGACGGGAGTTGTTGATCAAGATGGATAGCGACCGTATGTCAGTGTGTGAGGGGGCTATGTGCAACATCCGCATCTAGATAAGACAGGAGGTACTTACCGAGACACTCAGTCCTTAGACGAGATTCAGCCCATCTGGGTCCAGATGCACCATCGTCCACTCTATCGCCCCGCATCTCGGCTCCGTCTCCGGTGACCCTCTTAACTCAAGAGCTGCCCTCCCAACTGTGCAGACCCTGTCGCATAGCGCGCTGATCCGCTCACTGCTAAGCCCCCTCTTGCGCCAGACCGTAACCAAGATCTGGGCCATCGACCGGAACCCCGGCTGGTTTGCCGGGATCAATCCCCACTCCAGTCCCATCAGATTCGTCCCCTGTGCTTCCCCGATAAACGCCATCCCCAATCTTGTCCAGAACACATCAGGCTGTAACCCTTCCTGGAAGGACATGTCCACCAGCTCGAGCCGTTCGACCGAGCTCGGCAGGACAGACAGGAAGGATGGGCGGTCTAGCCGGACTGAGCCACGCCGCGCCCGCAATCCGACGTAGAGGAGGAGCTCTTTGATGTGAGGTGGAGGGAAAGCGGAAGGGGATGGCCATAGACCGCGAGCGGAGCCGGTGAGATCGGTGGCTTTACCCCCGAGCACGAGCCGCCGAGGTAGGAGATGAGCAACAAGGGGGCATCCGCACCGCGCAGATGGAGGGCAGAGCTTCCCGGAGAGCGAGTGACTGCAATGGCAGACGTCCAGGTGGGCCTCCTTGGCAGCAGGAACGATCCGTAAGGTCTCAAGGAACGGCATGATGAGGGGTGAGAGCTTGTCGCAGATGTTGTGAGTGTGCGAGGTGATGGTGAGATGGGTTGTGAAGCTGAGACGGTCAGGCAGGTATGGGACGACCAGGTGAGGATAGGGATGAGGCAGAGGAGAGTACGAGGAAGGCAGGGAGCCGATCGACGCGGGACTGCGGTGCGAGAAGCGATTGAGTAACTTTTGCGCCGGATTGCAGTTGCCCGTCTCGGTTCCGCCCATACTGTGGCCGGAGAAAAGGGAAACGGACCGGGTCCAGCGCGGCGTGATGGGTATGCCCCGGATGAAGAGAGGATTGACGGCGCGCGCAAAGTCGACACGTAGTGTACGGTAGAGGACGGGCGCACTGATGAGGTAGAATGTACGCGAGGCGGACATGCACCGACCGAGCTCCCTGGTTTCAAGCTGTGGTAGTATGAGCTCGAGGAGCTCGACAGGGAGGGGATCCTTGGAGAGGGGCATGGATAGGCAGAGTAGATGAGGATCCAGGAATGGTGTATTGTATGGTTGTCTAGATGCAGCGTAGCATGAGAGATTGTTAAGAGCAGTATAGTACAGCTATAGTACGCGATGGTGCTCACCCAGGCTCACCCTTGTGCTCACCGGTCAGCACCAGTCTGGCAGTCACTCGCCACATTCAGGGGCCAGGGGCTTTGATCTGAATCAGGGGAGATCTGCGGTGCGAGGATCCGAGACCAGCCGAGACCCGGCCCGAAAGCTGGGAGCCGAGATCTCGGCCGAAAGGAATTAGTCGGGTCGATTGGTGCCTGACAGGGATGGAACGAGCCTATCGGGGAGACGAAGGACCTCATGGAGACGACGGTCTACGTTTTCTACAGATCCTGCCGGTCACGGTGCAGAGCTTCAGCATCGTCCTGTCACCGTGCTGCGAGGCGCGGAGACTGCTCCGCGTATATGGGAACCGGGCGGCCGGCCTCGGTCTGTGCAGCCCCACGCGGGTCGTCTCCAGCAACCAGATCAGATCGTGCCATCTATACATGTCAGACACACTTCCATTCCCTCTGTTCCTGTCCCCACCGCCTCTCCTCCCACGCATCTATGTCGAAGGAATACCAAGTCCCCCACAGCTCCCATTCCCTCACTCTCCAGCGCATTCCCATCCTCATTTTCTACACCCTCGGTGAGCAAGGTAAGTGAGCGTCTATATCAGTAAGATATAAATGCCCCTCATCAGCAACAGCACATCCGACCGTGACATCCACCCATACATCTCATCCCAACACCCTTCTCGTCTTCATGCCCAACCAATATCCTCCTATTCCTCCTCTTCCTCCCCATTCCCCTCCCGCTCCCCCTCCTCTCCCGCCTCCCATTTCCCCCTCTCAGGCATCAATCTCAAAGAAGACCAACTCCCCCACCCCCGTCCCCACATTCTCCAACCCCACCCGCATCCCCTCCTGTACACCCTTGACAAACACCCCGTCTCCTTCCCCCAAAACCGCCTCCTTCCCTTGTATCTCCACCCTGATCTGCGCTTTGCCTTGGGCAGGCCCCGTATTGTATCCTGAAGTCTGGACGAGCTGAGCGTAGAACAGCTTTCCGGCGGCGCCGGAGCCGGAGCGCGAGGTCCGGGGTCGGAGGATGTGGGTGAGGGGGACGGAGGGCGATAAGAGGGAGGTGAGGAAGTAGAGATTTGCGTGGACCTGGGAGGTAAGCTTTGGGTGACAAAGGGCTGAAGGCGGATGACGCGAGGAGACTGAAGCTGGAAGGTCGGATGGTAAAGTGAGATACGTACGGGAGTCGGACCATCGCCTTCCCGCTCATCCACTACGCCGGCCGCACCTACCGGCGCTACAATCTCGCAGATTTTGTCCTTCTTCTGCTCATCTGTAAAGTGCCTAGCGTATCAGTTAGGGCTCACCATCAGGAGGTCCCTACTAGCTCACCGAGCGTAGTATTTTGGCGTCAGACCGCTCTGGTTTGGGAGAGCCCAGATTTGGAGGAAGTGGCATGCTTTTCTGTAATTATCAGCTCAGACCAGCTCATCCAATCCTATAGCTTCCATTGCCCCTGTAGCTGCTACCAGTCCAAGTCTCCCATACCCTGCTAGGTACGCAGCCCGCACCATCCTGGACTTCCCGTACTCTGGGCAGAAGAAGCGGAAAACAACCCACGACTTGTGATCATTATACTCTGAATGCGCAATCCCCGTACCCCCGCTCGTCATCTGCACATCCCCCCTCTTCATCGTCTCGACGTTCCCCATCGAGTCCTTATGGGACAGCTCGCCGGAGATGATGTAGCTGAAAATCTCGGCTTCGCGGTGCGGGTGAGTGGGGAAACCGGTCTTGGGCTGTGGGAGTCAGCCAGGCTTTGAAAGGCGGTGCGCTAGCGTCAGAGAAGGGGAGTATTGAAGAGGTTGACGCCAGGTGTGTAGGCTGAAGCGGGAGAGGAAAGGGTAGGGAAGTGAGAGAGTAGGAGAGTGAGAGAGGATAAGAAAGAGAAGAGTCGGTGAACTCACAGCAACTCGGTCCTCGTTGATCACCCTCAACGCGCCAAAGCTCTCATACTTGGGATCATAGTAGCTCGCAAAAGAGAACGTGTGGAATGTCTACGAGCGTCAGCTACAGTCCCAACTCCTCATTAAGATGATCAATGGGCTCCATGTATTTGAACCTACCTTCAACCATCCATGGTCCGCCCCACCCCTCGTCTCGGACGGACGGAACTTGAAGTCGACCTTGGACATCTCGCTGACGACCTGCTGTGTAGGCGCGAGAGGAGCTGATGTTGTAGATGATGTGGTGGCTATCGACCGTACAAGGGGAATCCGCTGCGATAGGGGAGCAAAGACAGAGGTCGAGCGGAGTAGGTACGAAATGGCGAGGATGGTGAAGGAAGCGAGGACGATACGGAGGCTGGTGAGCCTGGGGAGTGAAGATGGAATATTGGGCCGTTGATTTGTTTGGAAGTGCGGTCCAAGTAGGTCAATACGGCACTTTATATAGCTGTGGCGAGTGATAGGTGGATCGTTCTAGATTGTAGGGTCTAGCTTGGTAAGTTAGATGGAAGATTGATGGCAAGATCAAGCGGCTGAGTGAGCAGCAGGAGGAATGCTGACAATCAAGCTTAAACGTTGATCAGTTTAGCCGGCGCGGGTGGCGAGTTGCGAAGGTCGTTTCGAGTGGCGCTAGCCATAGCTCACGGCGGCTCTCGTCCAGCTGTAGGCCAAGCCTGAGGATCCATGAGGTGGTGTCAAGAGAAAAGAAGGTGATGACATACAGAAGCAGAAATTGACATCGCTAAGTATGGAACAAGCTAAGCTTGACTGCTTTGACTGGTCTGTCGGCTGCCTTGAAACCGCTACCTACGGCTTCTCCGTCACAATCTCCCCATCCTTCCCATACCACAGCTCCTTGACCTTGACATTCCGCAGATGACTCTCCCCCTTGCTCAGCTCGCAATCATGGTGGAACAACCACAGCCTCTCCTCGTGCTCCACAATCGAGTGGTGCGTCGTCCACCCCACCACCGGCTCCAGCAGCCGCCCCCTGTACGTGAAGGGCCCGTACGGCGAGTCTCCGGTCGCATAAGCGATATAGTGGGTGTCACCGGTAGAGTAGGAAAAGTAGTAGACGCCATTCTTCTTGTGGAGCCACGACGCCTCAAAGAAGCGGCGGTCGTGGTCGTCCGCGAGGATAGGCTTGCCCGTTTCCGGCGCGAGGATTTGGAGTTCCCGGACCGGCTCAGCGAAGGATGTGTAGTCGTCTGAGAGCCGAGCGACGCGGGGGCAGAGGGCGGGGACGCCGGAGCCGGTGGGCTCGTGTGGACCGTCTTGGGAGGCGTCAAAGTGGTCCCCGGTAGGTGTGTTGTAGCATTGGAGTTGGCCGCCCCAGATCCCGCCGAAGTAGACGTAGACGGATCCGTCGTCGTCGACGAATGAGGCGGGGTCGATGGAGAAGGATTTGGGAATGTAGGAGGGTTGGGGAGTGAAGGGGCCTTCGGGCTTGGACGAGGAGGCGAGGCCGAGTCGGAAGATGCCTGGAATCAGCTCATTCTTTTCTCCAAGCTGACAAACTCACCATCATGGTCTCTTGCAGGGAAACAGAGATAATACAGCCCATCCTTCCCCTGGAACGCATCCGGCGCCCAAAGCTGCTTACTCGCCCATTGCACATCCTCCACCTTCAACGCCACCCCGTGATCCGTCACCTCCCCGCCTACCCTATCCATCGACAACACGTGGTAGTCCACCATATCATACTGATCTCCCTTGTCGTTGAACTTGATGGGTGTCTCGCGGTCGTGCGACGGGTAGACGTAGATCCGGTTGTTGAAGACATGGGCGGACGGGTCGGCCGTGAAGATGTCGGTGACGAGCGGGGGAGTGGAGGTGGTCATTTTGCTGGTGAAGTGTGATGTGAGGTATAGTATGGTATGAAGGAGACGGTACATGAGCGAGGCAGGGGCGGTGGAGCTGCCCCGCCCAGCGTTATATAGGGCAACGAGGAGGGAGAGAAGAAGAAGGGTGGACCTTGCAGAACCCTCCGGCTACCCCGGCTATCTCCCGGAAACACTCCGACGCAGTCCGTGCGTGTAAATAGTCATCTCTTGGCCAGGAAGGAGCCTCTCTGATTGAGCATATGCATTAAGCAGCTCAGTAGGGCATACAGAGCCAGCTGGTAGGAGATATCACCGTCATGGAGCAATGGGAGCCGGTCAAACAGGTGTACGCGCGCAAAACTCCCACTGATTCAGCTGGACCAGATCGGCAGCGACCGGCAACTCACCTCCCGATCTTATCCGCCCTAGCTGGAAGACCCTGCTCGAACCTATCTATACGACTGTACTTGATCTGTGTATAGGTTCTTGCCGCTTCTTCTTATCTCCTTCTCTTCCCCCTCTCGGCCCGTCTTACTTTCCCTCCCCCTTTTTACCTTGCTGGCATCTTTTCTACTAGGAAGTATGGACGATTCCTCTTCCTCCGGCAGCGAGGACAGTCTCACGACCAAGCGGACATGGCGCGAGTACCTCAAGGAAGAGGTGACTCGGGACTGGACCGACCTCGTCCTGCTCGTCGGATGCTTTGCGACGGGTCTGCTGGACGCGGCGGTGTTTAACGTTTGGTCCTGCTTCGTCTCGATGCAGACAGGTCAGTACATCCACCAGGACCAGGACCAGGACCAGGAGCGAGTACAAGGAGGGCTCAAGCTGACTGCGCAGGAAACACAGTCTACGTCGGGCTAGGCATAACCTCTCAGCCCTATTCGCAGCCCTATCGCTGGGTCAAATCAGGCACGTCCGTCCTCTCCTTCATCCTCGGTTCCTTCCTCTTCTCGCGCCTCTCCTCCTCCCTCTCTCCACTCCGCCGCTCCACCCTGATCCTCACCTCGACCCTCCAAGCACTCCTCATACTCATCTCTGCCCTGCTCTCTCAACTTGATATCGTCCCGCGCGGCGCGGGCGATCTCGTCCCCGACAACCTGATCGTCCTCCTCCCGCTCTCCCTGCTCGCCATGGCCGCCGGCGGGCAGTGCGTCCTCTCGCGCGTACTAGGGTATAATGAGGTACCGACGGTAGTGCTCACCTCGGCGTACTGCGATCTGGTGATGGATGAGAAGGTGTTCAGCGGGGTGACGGGGAATAGTAAGCGGAATAGAAGGGCGATGAGCGCGATGCTGTTGTTGGGCGGGGCGGCGATTGGGGGGTGGATGACCAAGGAGCAGAAGATTGAGGGGGCGCTGTGGATCGTCGGTGGGGTCAAGGTGGGGATGGCGTTGCTTTGGGTGGGGTGGAAGGCGGAGGGGAGGGGGATCAGGCTGGCGTGAGAGCGGTATCTGCCGAGAGCGCAGTGGGGGAGATGGTATCGCTCGCGGAACTGCTCTAATCCTGATCGAGGGGGTTTCGACTAACGATGGCGAGAGAGACACTCTGCTGATACCTGACGCTTTGACTGATGTTGATGTCGTCTGCATGACAGGCTGACCATACTCATTGGGTACGCCGCAAGGCTCAGTCGGGGGCCGGCGAGGCAGCCCAAGCTCCGGTCATAGCGGTTCAGCGCTTCATTGATGAGAATAGATGATGTCAGTACGTCTCAAAGGCATCCCGCCCTAATTCGGCCCAGGTCCGGTGGTCGCCATCGGCCTGGATTTCAACAACCATGATCAATTCTGACGTTGCTCAATACGCTTTCTGGTGATGACACTGACAAGAATTCTATGATGTTCAATCTTGCCTCCTTCTTGGGATGAGTACTGCAAGTCCAGTCCTCAACATCTTGCGGCCATATCGGTGCCTGTACTGAACCCGAGTGCTGTGCAACGTCAGAAGTGAGACTGAATGGTATGCAATGCATGGGAATACGGAATGAGTAGCACCTCGGCCGCGGACGCTTGTCTCACTTCTTGTTCTGACTGGACGTCATCTCGAGCCATTTGTACAGTGCGTCCACTCGAGCGGTCTTTTCGTCAATTCTCTTCTGCGCAGTGCTGATCGTGAGAGATATGTCGACGACACGGCGTTCATCATCGCTGTCTGCGTCCACGTCGCTGGATTCCTGCAGGAACCTGAGAGCCGTTTGAGATTGATCGCGGACCGTGAGCAGCTCAGTGATCTCGGGGTTGAGTGTGTTGATCTCCGTCTGGGCCGCATCGCGCGAGGTGGGGGGTGCAGTGGAGGTACTCCTGTCGTATCGATCTGAAGGCTGTAGGCTTGGCGTGTGGGGTGAAAATGGGTGTACCGGGGGCGTATTCGTTGAAAGTGGAGTTGTATGAGGGGCACGACTTCGACCCTGGCCTGCCTTATATATCACGGATCTGACTTTGAATACGAGATGTGAAACACGGTGGAGTTTGATCAGACCCCGAAGATCACAGGACGCCATCGACGGACCTGTATCTGACACGCACCTAGTAGGCGATTGCTAGCATGATGCTGTGCACGACAAAGGATGTTGTGAATTAGTCGGACATTCGTCGGGCATGTGTTTGGACATTGCACTCCTACCCGCTGGGGTCTCCTGCCGCGGACTTGAAAAGGGGGACATCGAATTGTAACTGGCTGTGGCCACCGCAGTGATTCGGCCACCGCCTGCGTCGGACTGGTACCTGAGACACTATATGTTTCCTTGTTACTTTCATCTGCTATCAAGGAAACGGATGGCTAGACATCCGTCGGTCACCAAGGTGAGCGTCCAACTAAATGGCCAAGCGGACTGATACCTAATGCACGGGGTGGTAAAGATAGTTTGAAGCTCCGATAATCTGTCACGCGTGTCGGTCAACGATGTCGAGACCTCAACCGGCCCCAATGACCCACTCCATGGCGACTCCGTTTTGGTGCATGCCACTGTAATACTGTAGGTGGGCCTTGTGGCTGTGGCTCTACAGAGGTCAGACCCTTTGGACCGGCCGGTACCTTGTCCTCGGTCTGACTGCCAATGCAGGTTCTTTCTTTCACCGCCTCGCAAGCGCGCCCGGAGCGGCAGCCCGCTGTCTCGGACTCCCCTACGCTCCTTCTATATGGACTCCGCCTGGATAGAGGACAGACCTCGCGACAGGGACGCTAGCTGAGGCGGTGCAGGCTCATGAAAGGACCCATCCGATAGGTGTTTCACTGGAACACTCAGCTTTACCAGTATAATCACTCGGACGCTCAAGTGAGGCAGCCAGATTACTACTGAGAGGAGTGACAGGCTGCATTCAGTCACCAGCGGCGTGTTCATCAGAACTACCATTGCGGGTCAGAGGTCCCGGAGTGCGCGCAAGATCACAAAAGTATAGTTACGAGATAGCCTCGTCAATAAGGGAAACCCCGGTCATCTCTTGTGCAAGATCGGGTAGTCTCATCTATGCCTCTCTCAACCCGCCACTCTTTGATCACTGCCCCTGTCGCCTCCATGCGAGCTTCGTGGGTATCAGTGAAAACAATCTGGGCATCATCGATCGTGCAGGTCTTGCGGATGCTATCGTTGATGATACTGCTCTCCTCAGATCGGACCTTCAAACGAGCGAGCAAATTCGCAATGTCCATAGTCTGTCTCACAGCGGCATCCGTGCGATCAAAGTCCGGGCCTTTTGGACGCTTCACGACGGCGGTGTTCTCGGTGGATGCGAGCCTCCTCGTTCGGGCGACAATGGCGAATTCTGGGTTGAAAGTGGGGCACACCGAGTCTCCTTCCCGAACGGTGATGGTGGGATGCACGCTGAGGGTGGCCAAGCGGGATGGGTAGTCGAAGACGGTCTCGATGGAGCTGGGGGCTCCAATGTGGGTATCAAGACTCTGACCAGCCGCAAATCTCATGCCGACAGACTCTTTCTCGCTGAGTAGCATATCGCCGAACTTGACGATCGGTATCGTGCAGGTTGGTGTGCCGTCCGCCCCACCAGACTGCGTGGTGAAGAGGACAGGTGTGACGGTGGAGGGTATCTCGTACGGTGCAGTTGGGCTGGTGACGATGGGGGGACCGGAAACCGTCGTAATGGAGTTCGCACCCCCAGTATGGTTACCGGCCTCGTCCTCGTCTGTGCGGCTGATGAACTGCATGAAACGGGATTCCTTCTCGGCTGGTCTGTGAGAAAGCGGTTTGCTGGGATATTGGCGGGACATTTCGAGGATCGGTATGAGGGTGAGATGTGCAGGTGACTCTGCGGGTTAGCCGGAGCAGGGAAAGAAGGCGTAAGTGCAACGTGACAGTGTTGAGGGGTAGGGCGGCGAGTTATATAAGTCAACCAGAAGTCTCCGCCCTGCTCGTGCTACGCGCGTTCCTTTCAGCCTGAATTAAAGTCGAAACGCGTATCGTCTGCGCCTTATTTGTTCCTTTCTTTATGAGGACCAGGGTCTGGACCCCACGACCTGGAAGCATCCATGTCTCTCGTAGAATCTCTAATGATCAGTCCAAAGTACGGCGTGGCGGTCATGATTCGAGCTTGCCGCAAATGTGCGGCCCGTCTTCAGTGTCAGATATGAGTATCACGCGCAGCTCATCAACAGCATCAGTATCAATGCGCGTCAGTACATGCTTACTTCCACTGTATGTATATACAACGCTAAGTCTCGGTCTCTATCCCCCCAATCAATCAGTTCCCCGCCCTTTCTTCCAGTCCCAATACTCCCCCCACCCCGCCCCACTCTTCTCGCTCTCATAAACCTGCACCTCCAGACTCCTCCACACCTCATCCTCATCCCGGGGCTCCACCCTCCCCCTATATCCCGCCTTCTTGATTGCCGAAAGTACCGTCTCTTCCTTCGTCCACCCTTGCTCTTCCGCGATTTCGGGGAGGTACGTCGCTGAGAGGGTACGGGAGGGGTTCGAGGGGGATGGAAAGGTGAGGTGGATGCCGTGTTTGCCGATTGTCCATGAGAGGGGGGAGAGGATGGGGGTCATGGGTGTAAGGAGGGAGACGCTGGGGTGTTAGCTCTGTGAATAGTTCATCAGTTAGACCGGGGATATATGGGGAGCGGCGGGGTTACAGCGATGCGGATGAGGGATCGGGGAGTCGGGCTTACTTGCAGGATAAGCTGGACAGCTCAGGCTCTATGATAGGCGAGAATCGATGATCTTGTAGCGCACTAAAGAGGTCAGCTACGCCCACAGCGCCTTAACGAGGCATCTGGTAAGCAGACGTACCTGATGAGAGCATAGTCCTTCAGTCCCTTTGCAAGCGGCATAGGTGCAAAGTTACCGATACATCCCCGCAGTGAAGGTTTGGCGTTGGGCCGAGAAGATGAGGATGTATTCCAGGTGACGAAGAGGGCGCTGATGAGTCAGCGCAACATCCAGAGGAAGATCAGGCGGAAGGAACGGTGGGGCGTAGGGATTGTAGCGAGTCAGGTAGCGGCCTAGAAGCTCGATGCGATAGTCTGCCGCCCGGTAGCCCCGTTCTAAGGTTCTCTCCCGGACGATTGGAAGCTTGAAGTGGGAGTCTCCCCGGCACTCCTTGTCGGATCAGACTGACGCGACGCACTTACTAGCTTGCTTGAGCATTTTTAAAGGGCGGAGAGATAGGCTCTCTCCCCTCAAAGTGCGCAGCGAGGACGTCCATGCAGTAGTATGCGTGGAGCTCGGTACAGATGGGTGGAGAAGATCCGGTATCAGTAGCGGCGGACGAGCTGGACGAAGCCATCTTGCAGGCAGATGTCCGCGTGAGGTATAGGACTTGCTGGCGTTCGGCGCCAGGGCTAGCGTGCAGCTTATTGGTCCCAGCTGTATATGTAGACGATGAGGCTGAAGGAGAGAGGCACGGTTGAATGAGTCAGTGATCATGACACGGACCTCGGCTTCGGTGATGAACACCAGAATTACCGGATTGGGTAATTTAAGCCAGTAGTCCTGCTCCACATTCCTCATTCGAGATCTTGTACCTGAACAGCTCCTCTCTCCCGCATCCCATTCTGCTCTCCAGTTCGCAGAGCCTCTCATGACTCGACTGTCTAAATCTATCCCTCCGCTCCCTCCTTGACCGTGTCCACTATTCCAGTCAATTATCATGCCTGACAACTGGTCCGCCGCATGGCCGAAACAAGAGGCTATCGTAGGCGCCATGAAGACCCTCCAGGACATCGCGGTCGATCCGGAGATCGTCGCGGCTCTTCCCTAGTCATTCGAGGACGATGTTACCAAGCTCGCAAAGGATTGGCGTGCGACGCGTGTCCAGATCGAGCAGAAGAGGAGGGGTGAGGAGAAGGATAGGCAGATAGAGGTCCTTCGGAAGGAGCTGGCAGCGCAGGTGAGGATGTCGAATGCGGTAATGACGCGGTTGAGGGCGATGGAGCACCAAATGCGAGTTGCGATGGCTCATGAGCGCGAGGTCTTGACTCGTGCGCTGGAGGAGGGGAGCACGAGGGAGGAAGAGGGGAGGATGAGGGAGGACCGGCTTCAAGCTCAATTACTTGACGCGCGGAACGACGCCCAGGGCCGGGGGTTGAATGCTGGTGTCAAGAGGGAGAGGGAGGAGTGAGTTCGCTCCATACCATGTACCGGCATATCCAGTGAATAAAGGCGTTCTCTTTTCTCACAAGAGCATACTGCTAATATCAGACCGGGTCACCTTTGCTTTTTCCTTTCCCTTCTTTCTTGATGCCGATCGTCAGTGAGTATACCGTAGAGTCAATCCACGCTTGAGGGATACCGCTAAGCTCAGGCTTGTTCTACCATTGCCCCAACTCTTCTCTGCTTTCTCTTCATGTCAATCCTCAGTGCACTGTGAGTGTCCGGCTAAGTCGATACATCGTAGGGCACACAGCTAACCCCAGGCTGGCTCTCTTCTGCTCTTATCGTCCCCTCACCCCTCCCCGTCCCTCTCCGGCGTCCCCACCCCACCCATCCCACTATCCCCTCCACCCTCCTCCCCTACCCCCTCCTCGGCCCCTTCGCCCCAATCACCCAGGACCGTCCTCCCCGCCGGCCTCATCTCCTCCTGCACAGCCCAGACCGCCCCCTCTGCGCGCTTCTGCATTACCCCCATCATATCCTCCACCTTCTTCCACCTCTCCTCCATCTCGGCTTCACTCGCCATCGCCATGTGATCATCGCCGTCCTCTTCGTCCACCTGAGGATCCCCATCTCCGAGGGAGAAGGGGGAGTTTGGGAATATCCTTGAGAAGGGAGAGGGGTATGGTCTGCCCGGTGAGGATGAGGCGGCGGAAGAAGGGAAGTAGGACGACGAGCCGGATGGGTGAGGGTGGAGGGATGCCGGGTGAAGAGGAGCGACGAGGGATTCTCGGAGGGCGCGGCGGAGACGGAGGATCTCGGCGCGTTGTTTGGACTTGGATACTGGTAGTGATTAGCCCTCTTTCCATGTCACCATTGGCGAGCGTATATATAGTATGGCGGACGTGGACATGGATGTGGATGTGGATGAGTGAGTGATACTTGTATAGACGGAGAGGACGGGGAGGACTTACTCTCGAGAGATCGGTTGATAGCTAGTAGACTTGCATTGGATATCTCAAGATCCGCTACCTGTATTATCAGCTCATCACTCTTATTCTCAGCACGAGATGAGGCGGGTATAACTTACTTTACGATTGATTCTCGCCTCTTCCACAATCCCATTGTCGTCCGTCATGCCTTCCGCCCCTCCATCATCGTCCCTCTCTCCCTCCCTTTTGCCTCCCTCGTCTCGCAAAGGGACATCTCCCGCTCCACCCCTGTCTCCCGCGCTCGTGCCATCCTCTACACCAGCTCTCGTCGGATCCACCGAGACCCTCCTCCCAGTCGCACTACCCGATCCGACCCCAGACCCTCCTCCCCCGCTCACTCGCCTATCGAACCCGCTGTCAAATCCCAGTCCCACCACGCCCCCACCTTCCCCAGACAGACTACTCAAACCCGCACTGCCCCTTCGGTCCACCTCTGACCCGCTCTGAGACCCTTTCCTCAGCCCCTCTCCGTCTCGCTCTCGTTCGCGCGTCACCGTCGGCGTCAACAGCGGCAGCTCTACCGTCCGTACCCCCGGCTCGGGTGGTAAAGGCAAAGGTAGAGCCGGGACACCCGCGCCCGGTCGGGCCGTATAGGGATACTCTGGCATCCGCCGTCCGGTCGATTTGAGATGAGAGGAGGGAGGGAGGGCGGTATGGTGTGGTGAAGGCGGACAGGAGGCGATGGGGTCTTGGTTGTAGACTTGGGCGAAGAGGGGGTTGGGGCCGGCCTGAAATGTGGGCGTGAGGATAGGGGTGAGGGGGTATGACCGAGTTGGGAGAGCGGCCGGTCCGACTGCGGAGGCGGGGGGATGGGTGAATCCTGATCCGGGGATAGGACTGAGACTGCGACGTCGGTCCATACCTAGTCCAGATGTGAGAGTACGGGTCGAGGCTACAATCGACGTGGAGACTGGGGTAGATGGACCCGCCCCGGCCGTCTGTAGCTGGTCCAGAACAACATGTACCGACCGAGGCGAAGTCGATAATGCCGGAGATGGCAACGGCGAGGCGTACGTCCGGACCTTAGCGGCAGAGGCGGACGAGACGATGGACGACGCGCGAGACCGGGAGACGGGCGGATTAGGAGTGGTCAGAGGTTGAGTTTGGGATTTATGGATTTTGGGGCGGGGAGTGGGGTCAGGTGTTGCGGTGGATATAGCGGCCGATGCGGATCCTCTCCGACCGGTTTCCGTCTCGGCCATGAACGACTTGCCCCCATCGGTCTGTCCCGCCATATTGGCCACCCTCGCCCTGACCCGTCCGCCCGCAGGGAGAGGCGTGGACGTATTTGGCCCATAGCTCTGATTGAGCGGGCTGGCTAATCCACCCGGACTAGGCGCCCGCACTCTTGCTCGTGGAGCGTTCCCGAATGATGATAGACCGGTCGATTCGGGCGTATGTGGGAGCAATGGCGATTTGACCTTGACGCCGTGAACGCCGTTGACGGGCGATCGAGGACGAGCGAGCGTCGGGACGGCCGGTAATGAGACGGCGGAGCGGATGGAGGCGCTGGATTGGGAGGAGCGCAGACTTGGCCGAGTGGTGGAAGTCTGGGTTGGAGTAGAAGTGGAGGGATCGACCCGTGCTCGGACGGTAGGTCGTGCAGCGGGCGAGGGGTAGTTTGGGGTTGCGTAGGGGGATGAGGCTGACGGAGAGCCATGGGTGAGTTTGGGCGATGGGAGTGGGATTTGTGCGGTGACCTGGCTTGTCAGCGTACTTGTGGTACCACGCGCTCGATGCGCCATCCTATGGGGTTTCGACAGGCGTACCCTCCGTTTGGCAGCCGGCTTGACTGCTTCAGACATCTTGGGCGATCATGCGCCTCAGTACATAAGCTCAACAAGACTCGAGGCCCTGCTCGTTCCTCATCGCTCTTCTCTGTCGCAGCGATTTCAGGCCGAGGTTGAGACTCTTCCAAGTGATCGGATATGAGGTCTGGACGGCAAGGTCTGATGTCAAAGTCAAGCCGGAGGTGTATGTATCAAACGAAGACCCCTCGGTCGGACCAGCTGGACCTGGACCGCTGCCGATGCCGATGCCGTACACCTAGGGGAACTTGTCAACAAAGCCTGGATCTGATGGTATGCTACTATACTGCCCAGTACGTCGCGCATGGAGGCTCTGGATACGTGCAGAGGAAGCGCCCAGACAGAGAAACCACAGGTGCATAGGATGCTATATGCTCGAGAGGGAAGAAGCTTGAGCTGGGCTGAGCTGAGCGCTGATCGAGCAGCAGCCGAAACCTAATGCAAATGATCTTGTAATGGTAATTGTATTAGCGGGATTACAAATAAATTCCTAATCAGATCAAGCTTGAATTACCATTAGGAAATGGGACGCGTCAAGGCACAAGGTCGGGGTCCTTGACGCGTCGAACCGCTCACAATCCCATCTATAATCTACTGCTTTGCCTTTTGCTTCGCCTTTGTTGCAAACCCCTATCAATCAATATATCCCAAGGGCTCCGTTTCGAGTCTGTGCAGCGTATCTGAGAGATACTCTGAGCGAAGCCAATTCCCACACTCGCGCACCCAATCATGGACCCGCTACCCAATCGTCGGAGACTCGCACCGACCGCCTCGCTCCCTGCTACAACAGCAGAGGTGCAGGCTCAGCGGCATGGTATAGACCCAGCAGTCAGCTCGGCGCTCCAGGGTGGGGTTCCCATGCGTATCAGGCGAGGTGAGTCAGCATCGAATATAACCGAGACCGGATAGCAAAACTAAGTAGAGGCCCGAGCTGATCCTTCTAGCAATCAATACCGGCCGAGACTCCACATTCGGCCGTACCCAATCTCAACCCGTCTTCAACCTCTCATCCTCCTCCTCGGGCGCTCCCGGCGGTTTCCTGACGAACGACCAGATCTACCGAGAAGCGCAGGGTATCGTCTACAAAGACGAGCTCCGGCGGCAAGCGCGGGAGTTGCAGCCGTATGGTTCGGGCGGGAGTATGGATGCTTTAGACTTGGCAAACGGGTCTGGAGGCAGAGAGGAGGGTGGCAGGGAAATGCGGCTGAGGTTTGGGGAGGACGGCGAGGTCATTATGGAGGGAGAGGAGACCGGCGGGTCGGGAAGCAAGAGCAAGAGCAAGAGTAAAAGGGGACGCGTTGAGGATTGGGGATTGAGCCAAGGCAAAAAAAGGGGAGTAGAGGTGGATGATGCGCAGGCGGACGGTGGAGAAGGGAGCGACACCGCCACGGAAATCGACGAGGACGAGGACCGGCCCCCACTCGACCCAAGTACCTCGGCCTCCGTCTCGGGGTCCACGATGGATGAATTCCCACCGGTATTCACCTCACCGGCAATCTCGCACCCTGCGCTGTTCAGGCAGGATCGGCTCCCGGCGGTCCCTTCGGCGTCGGGCGGGCGGGCGAAAGGTGGATTCGCTGGACAGGGAGGAAGGCAGATGAGGGGTCTACCGGGACGGGCGTTGGGCAAGACGATGAGTGCGCCGGTGCTCATGGGTGGGGGCGGAGGCATGGAGGTGGATGTGCCGGAGACGGTACAGGAAGGGGAAGATGGGTTTGATGTAAGCGAGTGGGCGGGACAGACGGATTTCTAGGTCTACATAGGTGGGCGGAAAGGAGGTGGGGGAGTAGCAGGAGTAGCGTTGGATGCCTAACATACTGAAAGATAGATTCAATTGTAGCTTTGAGTATGTCTGCTTGGCTGCACCCTCTGGCGAAGGACACCTGATTACTTTGGGAGCTCGAGGCTGCTGGTCGCGCTCTTAATAATGGCCCAAGTACTCTCCCATCTGCCATCCTCCTTCCTCCGCCATTACGGCAACCCCGGCTATCTGACCCACCATGGGGTCAACGACCTCACTCAACCATACATCACACATCACTCCCCTCCGACGGGCCTCTTGCCGCCGAACTTGCCTTTGGGCTACAACCATCCTCGCCCGCTCGCATTATACCGCAGCATGTCCGCTTCAACCTCTCGCTTGACCCAAGCGGTCCGCCCCGCCTCATTCCGCATCCTCCAACCCCGCGTTCTCTCTGGACGCGTCCCTTCGCTCCCCCTCCGCACCATATCTACCTCCTCGCCGCGGGGTACAGTGTCAGACTCGATCTCATCTGTCGTTCAGCGAATGCGCGAGCTGGTTGCGCAAGAAAGAAAGGGATGGGTCGAGGGTGATCAAGAGCGCGAAAAGGGGTTAAGGATGTTGATGTTTGGGAAACCGGGGAGTGGGAAGGTGCGTTGCTCTCCTCGGATCGCGGGCTAGGCTGTGATGTGGATAAGACCTAGCTGATATGGCAGGGAACGCTGAGCGCGCGGTACGTCTCCACTAATCGAGGCCAACCTGTATAAGCTGGGCGGGCAAGCTGATATGTAGGCTGTTGAAGCTATACGATATCGCCTTTGTCTCGACAGGTGATGTCCTGCGGAAAGAAATCGCAGCGAAGAGTCCGCTTGGACTGAGAGCGGAAGAGGTCGTCAGGACAGGAGGTGTGTATCTGGACTCTCTTGGCTCATGCTGAACTTTCTTACCCTGTCGCGCGGCTCCATGGTGAGATGCGAGGATTCACAGCTGATACGTCAGGTCTTGTATCCGATGAGCTCATGCTGGAGATTGTCAAGACTGAGCTGGACAGATTACGAGGCAGGGTGAGTCCGGACGACAAGATGCCATGGGCATGAGAGGGTCGAAGCTGACTAGGCAGAGCTGGATCATTGATGGCTTCCCTCGGACACTTCACCAGGGCAAACTGCTCGATGATGTCTTGAACGAGGAGGTACGCCTCTGTCTGAACCTCTCCTCCTCACCTTCTCCCTCCCTCCACCCAGCTCGCACCCTCCACCCCACCCACTTGCTTCTATGTTCTACCGCCTAAGCGTGAGCTGACGCTGACGCCCAGGGCCGACCCCTCAATATGATAGTCCACCTCAACGTCCCCGATAGCGTCATCATGGCGCGTATATCTGCTCGATGGGTACACCTACCTTCGGGCCGAGTGTACAATACGACCTACTCTGCGCCAAAGGTTGAGGGTGTGGATGATGTGACGGGGGAGCCGTTGATCAAGCGGCCGGATGATACGCCTGTGAGTCTTTTCTGTTTCAAGCCTTTCCTCTGGCCGGAAGAGAATGCCGTCCAACCCGGAGCTAGCCGGCATGGTGGACAAGAGGGGCAATATTGGGGCATGAAGATGCAGACGGGGGATGGAAGCAGAGGGATGGAGCTGACATCCACAGGAAGTGTTCACCAAGCGCTTAAAAGCGTACTACGACTCCACCGCTCCCTTACTGGAAGTAAGTTAGCTCTATCCCTCCGTGTGACCTCAAGCTGACCCGCAGTACTTCTCCTCTGCCTACCCAGAATCACTTCATTCTCTCTCAGGGAGCACATCAGACGAGGTACTTTTCGCTTCCGGTCTCTACGCCGCTCCTCCACCCCCACCCATCCTGGCGTCCGCGCGGGAGCGGGATCGGGATCCACCACTATCGTCCACGTCTACCAAAAAGCGAGAGAATCAATCTGACGCCATGTCTTCTTCTTCTTCTTCTTCTTCTACCTCCGCCACGTCCCCTCGCATCGACACTCCATCCTCATCGACGGAACCGAAATCGTCTCATACCCTACTCTCTTCTGGCGGTACCGACGCCACGACGACCCTCGATCAGCTCTGGCCTCAACTCCAAGAACTCGTCGAGCCGTTCGGCCTCCGAAGGCGGGATCCGGAATTGCCAGAGGAGGAGGCTGGGAAAGTGAGAGAGAAGGCGGATGATCTGAGGGATCCGGAAAAGGCGGAGAGGAAGGGTGTGTAGCTGGGTTGGTACATGGGAAGAATGGAATTTGTGCAGTATTTCTGGCCATGAGGGAGGGCGGGGCGGGTATGTCTCAGACGGGCGTGGGCATATCACAGGTATCCAGGCGGTACTATCCCGTCGTGGCTGTATACAGCATAGCTGCAGCCTGTTGCTTGAGCTGGGTCTGCCCACTGGCTGCTGCTGTTGCTCTATAAATCCGGGTGCGATCCGGTCGAAGTCAATCAATCCGGCATCCGGATATCCGGGAAGAGTTGGTCACAGCTGTGCCCGTCGGGGCCGAGTCTTGAATTGACCTTTTCATCAAGTACCTTCATCTATCATGCCCATCTGAGGCAAGTATATCGCTCTCTGTCCCAGAGAGGTCGCGCGCTCTCCGCAACACTCCCCGAGAAACGCCAAAATGTCGCCCTACCCGCTTGCTGGCCAAGCCGGGCCCAGATGGCTCACCCTCCTCCTTTCCCTCGCGGTGCTCCTCCCACTCTCCCTCGCGCAGTCGTCCAGCGCCAACGTCAACGTCCAGCCTTTCAACCTCACACTCTCCTCTCAATCACCCACGCTCTTCTACTACCCCAACTTCACCGGCTCCGGTCTATCCTCATGGAATGTCTCTTACTCGGACTCCAGCTGGTCCACTTGGTCCCCTTCGTCCCTAAACAACGGCGTCGGGAGCTCCGTACACTGGTCCAACCTCTCGGATTCGAGCGTCACGTTCAGCTTTTACGGGACCGCGGCGTACATCTATGGAAAGGTGTATGGGGGCGCGACGTACTTGACGGTAGATGGGGTGACGGTACAGACGTCGGAGAATGGCGAGTCGACGACGATGGGGATGGAATCGGAGACTAGCGCGAGCCCGACAGCTACGAGCGCGGTGCCTGGTCCAGTGGCGTCTGGTACGCCGAGGATGGATACGAGACCGCTACTGGCGAAAGTGGAGGGGATGGGGGCGGTTTGGCATACGGTGTCTGTCAAGTTTCAAGGGAGGGGCGGGTGGGAGATTATGGGCGTCACGATGACTATGCCAGTGGGCGCGAGGGGGTATGTCGTCCATGTCGAGTCAACGAAGCTGGAGCTGATGGGCAGATCTACGATAGTCAACAGTACTCTCATCAGTACGACCGACCTGGTCCTGAACAAGGACTTTGACTTTTCTGATTCAGGATGGGCTGCGCGGCAGACTCCTGGGAATTGTGAGGCACCCATCTTGCCCATCACCTACTGTCTACCTGCCACCTCTACATGCTGGTCGCATACTGATATCCAGCGTCCGATACCGAGGCCTACACTTCCACCTCCAACGCGTCCTACTCCGTTTCCGTACCAAGCAACACCTCCCTCGTCCTCATCTACGGCTCCGTCACGCCGCTCGACGCACGCTACTCTGTCTCGCTTCTCGCAGAGGACGACCTCGCGCTCACCCAGGGTCAACGATACGCGGAATACCGTTCCCTCACACCCTGGGCGGAACCAGAGCGGGTACTGTACTATGCGAGCGTCAAGCCCGGGAAGAATTACAGGGTCAAAGTGGAACTAATCGGGAATGCGGGAGGGATGGGGATGGCGGTCGATGAGGTGGTGTTTGTCAGTGCGACGGGGTGAGTGCAGCCGCTTTTGGCCTCCAGCGGGAAACGGTGCTGACACTCAGCAACCCATCGGCAAATACGACGTGGGATGGGCTGAACCCCGTGGACCCGAGCAACTCTGGACCGAGCAATTCTGCGGATGTCAATCAACTCAGTGCGGGGCAGAAGGGCGGCGCGATAGCTGGTGGTGTGGTGCGTATCTTTACGCTCTGACTATATTCCAATTCGTAGAAATAACAGCTGATCATTGCAGATCGGCTTTCTATTACTGTCTGCTCTGATAGTGTGGCTTATACTGCATTTAAGGAGACGTAAGGCGCGTCAGGCTGGTATGGCTTCGGACGAGAGGAGCCAAGAGGGGTATGTCGATTCGTTTTAATATAGAAATAGAAACAAGCTGATCAGCAGCTCCTCCCCGGAGAAAGAGGTCACTCCGTTCGATATCGATGGCCCCATCGAGGGCGGCAGCACGACACCTAGGCCCCTCCCTGTCCTTAGCAAGCTGCGCACAGAGAGTCAGGCTGTCGGTGCCGGAGATGGGACCAGCGTGCACTCCCCTGTTTCGTATCGAGGCGGATCGGATGCCTCGTCTCCCGTATACGCCAGCTCAAGCCAGCATGCCCCCACCTCCCTCACTTACAGTCGCGGCCTGCCATCACTTGCTCCGCCTCTGCCCGCCTCGTATCCCTGCTCCGGCTCATCATCGCCAATCACGCCTACCGCGACCGCCCCAGATCCAGCTCTGCAGATCAAGCACGATATTCTGGCGGAGTTTGGGCAGTCTCATTCGGGCCGAGAAGGCGAGGAGGGAGGCGCGGCGGGTATGCCGAGTCCGGATGGAAGGGCGAGGCTGGAGATGGATGCTGGGAGGGTCATCGAGAGGGATAGGGAGGAGGTGTTGCCGCCGAATTATGATCCTGCTTGGAAGGACTCGTAGGCTGTTGATATCTTAGTGTGAGTCCTGCATCTTCAGAGCGGGTCGGGGTAGATGCTGATTAGCAGTGTATCCATATTTTATCTATTGCTTATGCATATATACATGTACCGAACGGTTCAGGAGACTCCAATGACTGAGAGAAGCTAAATGACCTGGTGTACGACCTTGCTAATCTCAGAGACCAATCCCCCCTCCGCCTTACTCCCAACCGCCTCTTCCCCCTCTCCTTCCACCACCACCTCCTCGATCGTCCCCTTAGTCGTATCATATACCCAGCCCGAAATCGTCGCCCCTTGCTTGATATACGGACTCTCCTTCAGGAAACGCACGTCATCCCTCACGCTCTCCTTCAAGTCCTTCTTGAGCAACATGAAGCTCATCCAGTCCACCGACTTCCCACCCAGACTCGCCCTCACTTCCGCCCGCGCCGCATCCTCGCTAGGCGCCTTGGAGTAGCCACAGTCCGTATGATGAACGACCATGATTTCCTTTGTGCCCAAGACGTGCTCGCTGGCAATGAGGGAGCGGAGGGCGTCGGGCGCTCGACCGCCGCCTACGCGGATGACGTGCGCTTCGCCGAGGGATAGGTTGAACATGGAGAAAGGGTCAAGACGGGCGTCCATGCATGTTACGATGGCGATTTGGGCCGTGGGAGGGGGACCGGGGTTGGGCTTCATGGCTGCAGATTGAACCGGGCCGGAGGGGGAGGTGGAGTAGGTGGTGTTGCAGTGATGGGCATACTCGCGGGCTTTGAACATGGCGTTTGGAGATGTTCTGGTGGATGAGGGGGTAGATGGGTAGATGATAGTATGGTTGATGGAGGGAAGCATGAGCGGGATCGGGGATCATCGTTCAGAAGATGTTCGGAGTGTGTGTGGAGGCCTGCGGGTCAGCATGCCTCGGATCGGCATGACGCGTGACGTCAGTGTGGCATGCCGACCCGGCAGCACTCGGCGTGCTCGAGAAGTGAAGCACTACCGGCTGTGCTGTGATGCAGCTCGACGGTAGGAGTTACGGAGTAGGACTGATCTGTTCGCAGCTGAAAGATGGGCTCTAGATCCAACAGAGTCACAGGAGGGAGTTCGTAAGTGCAGGAAAGTCATGGTTTGCCACTCAGTGGACCGGACGGTCTGCCCCAGAGTCCGCCCTAGTGCTCCCCAATAGTAATAGTACGGGAAAATACCAGGCAGATATACCATTACCATGGTCCTTAGTATGGTAAATTACTAATACCAGCTATATGCCTTGGTATTAGTATGGTATTTAGTATCGCCCCCCGCGAATCCAGTGGTAGCAGGTATTACCAAGTACTAGGCCTGGTATACCAAAAATACTACAGCTTTTCCGCCACCCGTCCTTTCCTGAGCTGCTTACTGAGTAGCAGTCCCGCCAGGAGGACTCTGCGTCAGTCTTACAGCTCTCAAGTAGCCTTTTGGTACATGCGGACATGCACTGGCGCTGCTTCTGCATCTGTGACCACGAACGGCACTCCTTTGTTCGAAGTCAGACACTATTTTGTCCGAAGTCAGACACCACTTTGTCCGAAATCAGCACCGCTTTGATTGGTCTACAGCCTGATTATGGCTCTACCATGGCCTGAGAGGGTGATGACGGGGATGATTGGACTACGTTGCTGCTCAAAGAAAGCCTCAATGTTCGCATGCTTGCAGCCACATACGACTTTGGTGGCGGACTGGGTGGCAACGGAAGCAAAGATTGCTCCTCATGTTCCTCACTGGGTCTCACCCATGTCCGCACTTTCGGTACGAAATGAGCAGGGGTAGGCTTAGGGAGGAGCGCTCCTGGCAATCTGAGCACCTTTATAGCATCATACGGCACTCTATTGGACGATGGAGAGTAGTCTAGAGATTTCCACTCGGGCCTGGTATACCATGATATACCAGCTTGGTATTGGTATTTTACCAATACCATGCTCTCCCGCCTGGTATAGTACAATTACTTACCAGACGATTCTCTTGGTAGATAGTATGGTATTTGGTATTGGCCTCCGGCCCTCCACTGGTATTAGTATATCTACCAAAATACTATTGGGGAGGACTAGTCCGCCCTGCCTCATGTGATATCCAAAAGTCATTGAGTAGCCAAAGCTGGATAGAGTAAAGGGAGAATCAGGCTGGTAAACTGCAGCCTCCCGGTCCTGAGTCATGGAGCTCGGAGAGTCATTTTCCTGTCACCTGAGCATTCTTGCTCTTTCCAGACTTTCGCTCCGCCTCCCTCTCTTCATATTTCTTGATGTTCCTGTAGAGCGCCTCGAGTCCGGTCACCTTCGTGTAAAGTCTGTCCACCGCGTTCTGAGTCCTTGTGTAGTCATCTTCCGTAGGTGCTGGCTCATCGTGATTCCCGCGCCTGGTTGACTTAGCCGCACGAAACATCCAAGTGGGAAGAAAGTGTAAAGCCACTTGTGATTGTGCTCGACAAAGTCCCTGGTCATCCACTCTCCCATGTCTGACATGTGAAACCACAAGTACACGTTGGGATCCTCGCCGGATGAGATCGAAATGCAAGACAGGTTGTAAGACAGCTCAGCACCCCGTCGAGTGACGGTCGCATGCTCTCGAAGGAGGTTCACAACTCTGGTCCTGGCATAGTCGACCGACTCCTGACCGTCGATCCGATTGCACAGAGAATCACGCTGCTCCGGGGTCATCCTGAACAGGTAGTCGAAGAAGGTCACCGGATCCACTGAGCCTTCCGGGGCTGACAGGGCTGTAGCGGCGTCTCCAGGAGTCATTGCAGTGATGTGGGAGAATGACGTTTTCCGATGTGCTCACGATGTAGGTAGTTCTGTAGGTCAAAGCTCGTGTGGTGAACAATGAAGATCGTCTCTGGATAGTAGCAGACTATATCTCTACTCCGACTGGGAGCACACGCAGAATCCGGAAAGGGGCGCCTGAACAAAGGACATGCTCCTTTGACGGTGTAGCTTACAGATACGTGCAACCATCAAGTCTTGTAGAACTCGGTGGAAGGTTTCATCAGTTGCGCCTGTTTGTCCTTTAGCTTCACCCCTCCACAGAATGCATGAGGTCTTTGCCACCTGTTCCCCCTTGCAGTTCCACGAGCGACCACGATCGAAACCCGATGAAGACACCTCGGCATGCATCGTGTGTACGACAGCGGGGGAGGTAGATAGACTGTCTATGAGGCCTGGAACCCTGCACTCTGCTTTGCAAGTCGAGTACAGTGGCCGCAGACGCAACCCGCCTCGTGCACCCGCAATGACCCGCCACACTGCCACATTCCTCTTCTCGCCCCCGGAACCGGATTTCACCTTGTTTCAGAGTGCCCTCACCAGCCAAATCTTCCTTTCCTCTCATCTCTCACTGTCGTATAGCAGAGGAGCCGCTCTAGACTCCTTATGCGCTGGGGATCGACGGCGGTATGGCTCGCTTTGGGAGTGCTGCCATGTCTGCAAGGTGTGGAGGGGATGACGGCGGAGAGGAGGGTCGAGCTGAGGGAGGAAACGCGAAGGGTGCGTCAGGTCGACTTGTCGGAGACTCTAGGCTGACAAGGTAGCTGTTCAAGCATGGATTTGACGGCTATATGGAGTATGCGTACCCAGCGGTGAGTCTTGATATTTACTATCTGCTGGCATCGCCCAGCTGGATAGCGCTGACTTTCAGGACGAGCTCCGCTCACTCACTTGCACACCGATGCACCGCGACCCCAATCCCGGTAATTTCGGCGTCAACGATATCCACGCCAATGTGTCTATGACCCTCCTCGATACACTCTCTTCTTTACCGCTCATCCATCCCGAGGCGTTCCCCGAGGCCTTACATCGAGTCGCAACGGAGATATCATTCGACCAGGACGTCAAAGTCCAGGTCTTCGAAATGACCATCCGGGCGATGGGGTCTTTGTTGTCGACATACCAGCATCTAGGTCGGATACGGGCGGATGATGATGAGGGAGAGCTGAAGAGGTACCAGCCGAGACTGCTGGAGATGGCGCTGGACCTGGGGAAGCGGTTGGCTCCTGCGTTCACGACGACGACGGGGTTGCCGTATGCTAGGGTGAATCTAAGGCACGGAGTGGAAAAGGGCGAGAGCATCGAGACTTGTAAGCTGCTCATCGCTTGCACTTGCTCAGCGTCAGCTGATGCGTACAGGTACTGCTGGAGCCGGAAGTCTTATCCTCGAATTCGCGGTTCTTACCCGCTTGACCGGTGATGAGCGCTTCGAGGTGGGTCTGCTCTCAATATCTTTGGGGCGTAGGCTGATTCTCAGGCACTAGCTCAGCGAGCATATCTTGCCATCTGGAACCGCCGATCTACGCACAATCTTCTCGGCAATAGTATCGGCGTCACGCATGGGCAATGGCTCGCTCCAGGCATGTCCAGCGTTGGAGCGGGCATGGACAGCTACTTTGAGTATGGAATCAAAGCTGCGATCTTACTTAGTGGGCTTCCTTATGGCTGCTATCAACAGGAATACAGCTGATCGTATAGGTGACGATATGTACCTCGATATCTTCCAGGATAGCTATGCTGCTTTGCAGACGCATGTCCGATCTCCTGACGGCTTCATCGTAAGTAACCCTTCTGCCTTCTCCCGCAATATTCGAGATTGCTCACTTCTGCTTTTCGCAGTCTCCTTATATGCTCCAGCTGACGACCAGTACCGTCCCGTCCAGTTCCGTCTGCTCCAACTCTCCTTCCCATCCTATATCGACTCCCTTGCCGCCTTTTTACCCGGAATGCAAGTCCTCGCGGGCGACGTCGAATCGGCCATCAAGTCGCATCTGGTTTACTGGAACATATGGCGGAGGTATTCGGCTATTCCAGAGAGCTGGGACTGGGCAAAGAGAGAGGTGGAGTGGGCGGGATGGCCTGGACGGCCGGAGTTTATCGAGTCGACTTTCTATCTATACCGAGTGAGTCCTCTTCTTCTCGCATGACCAGGATCAGGGAAGTCTGAGGTGCGGAACAGGAGAATGTGCAGGAGTAAGATGTAGAGTAAACTCAGGGAGGGGATGATAACGACATGATCTACAAGCTGACGGGCAGGCCACGAAAGACCCCTTCTACCTGCGCGTGGGGGAGAGGGTACTGAATGATATGCGGAGAAGGACAATGACCGAGTGTGGTTTCGCAACCATGAAGAATGTGGACACTGGAGAAGTAAGTTGCCCGCATGTCGGCAACACCGAAAGCAACACCGTCGCTGACAAGAGCAGCTGGAGGATAGGATGGAGAGTTTCGTCCTCTCCGAGACGCTCAAAGTGAGTTATTGCGAGAGAAGTGTCGTACATCAGCTGACCTTTAGTATCTCTACCTCTTATTCGACTCAACATCTACCCCACTTTCCAACTCAGTCTTCACGACCGAAGGTCACGCCCTCTCTCTCCCGTTGTCCCTCCTCCGGCCCCCCTCAGCCATCCGGCGCCAGATGCACCGCGGCGAAAACCTCTTCTGCCCCGCCTACACCCCATCCACTCTCAACGGGCTGGTAGTCGGCATCGAGCGACGGTCAGACTACGAATACGCCCGCTCGCTTGTCTTTGGGCCCGGACTGGACGGGGTGGCGGAAGAAGACAAGGCCCGAGTGGGATGGTGGGAGGGCGGGTATTGCGAAGTGCCCATCACGCCAAAATATGTGAGTTACCGGGTCCAGTGCCTCCATGGAGTCCAAGCTGATATCGCAGTCGTTCGAGATTGTCCTCTCTCCTCATGACACCTCAGTCGCTGAGCCCACCCCGCCAGAAGACCCGGCGCCAAGTGCGGAGAAGGTGCATCAGGACATACAAACGGGAGACTTTTGGATCGACAATATTGAGGGGTTGAGATTGGGCGTACGCTGGAGATATGATGGTACGGGTTACGACGTGTCATACAGTGAGCTCCTCAGTACTTCGAGGTTGGTCTACGGGTACAAGAGCTCACGTGGCAGTCGGTCCTCATCGTGTCCGTCCTGGTCAAAACGTCATCGTCACCGATCCCAAAATGGAAGGGTTCCTCCCTGTCCACGGAACGACCCTCACTCAATCACATACTCCCTCGGACGTCCTCCTTCGCTTCTCCTCCTCCTCATCTTCGACCAAGTCATCCGCTCAGCCAGAGATCTTCCTACACGGTATGGCCGCGACCGCTACATTCGGCAAGGACTTTGGCGCCGACTCATCATCGATATCCACCCCAGCCGGCAGCCTCTCCCTCGGCGGTGCGGCGGCGATACTCTATCGACCCAAGAGGAATACAGATGGCTGCGATGCCTTCCCCTCGTCCGATATCGTCGTCAAAGCAGGCAAGGCGCCGGTACTCGTCCTCGACCGAGGGGAGTGCACGTTCTTCCACAAGGCGCTGAATGCGAGACAGGCGGGAGCGGCTGGGGTGATCATCTTGGGGTATCCGCCTAAATCGGCTGAGGTGGGAGGCGGGGAAGTGGGGGAGGTGCAAGAAGGTCTGATACGGCCGTCGGCGGAGGAGGAGCCAGACTATCTCATCAGCCAGATAGGCGACGATTTTGGGGTGCTGTACGTGGACTGGGTGGTCGGGCGGGCGGTAGTGGACGTGATGGCTGAGCAAGGGAAGGAGGTCGGCGTGGAGCTGTTTGATCTGACGAGTATGGGGATGGGCGGCGGTGGTGGTGGATCTTCGGGTGGGAGGAATGGGGAAAGAGAAGCAGCTATGGGTGGGGGAGGGATCACTAGGGAGGGGAGAGTGATGGTTGCGGGGTGGGATATACGGAACTTGCGGATCGTGGAGAGGCCGCCATGATGCAGCCGGATCTAGATGGGTTCATGCTGACACGAGTACTGATCTTAGAGACTACTGATCCTGTTGAAAAGCTCATGCTTCTGATCTATATACACCTCGTTCTTCACGTGATCGGATCCTCATCGGTGTGCTACAGTTTCAAGCTGGGCTGACGATCCAGGGGTCGGCGGGGATTCAAGGCTCAAAGGAACAGCTTTATTCGAAAGGAAGGCAGTTGACTTGGGTCTCATCCCTCACTGCGTGTAACAATGCTCATAGCGCTGCTGTTCAGTCAGCCCTACCCATCATCTTCATTCTCCACTCTAAATTTACATCATTCACGAACTCTTACTTGCTACACTTCAGCTCCCTCGCATCAACCCAGGACGATAATGATGTCGAGAAGAGAATATGCAATCGCGATAATGACCTCAATGAAGGAGGCGCAAGACAGGGTATAATGGGATGGAGGCATTACAGTTGTGAGCTTAGTCTCAGAGGACTCGTCCGATCCGATCGACTTAGAGATGGCGACGGGGTCTCTAGTCTAGCTGATACGCGCAGCCATGCCTCAGCCCGGACGCCGAGGCTTCGCTTGACACCGAAATGCTGGCATACGCCGGGCTCGACGGTATCGCTAATCCAAGTCTCACTTCCGACTGGTGGGGAGGCAACGGTGAACCCACAGACACCGCAATGTGGACACGGGGCCTCACTCAATACGGCACGGATGCAATACACAGCAATGTTATCGGACAGACTGACCAGATGGATCCGAATCTCATGACATCCCCTTCCGGGATATCTCACGCTCCTCACAGCATCGACCCAAGTGTCTTCCCTCCGCAATTCTCCTCACATAACCAAGTCGACTACAACATCCCACAGCCAAAGCCAGACCACCATGCCTACCCAGCTCGCTCATCATCACTGACCACAATTGACCGGGACCCCTTCGGAGTGAATCAGTCCACGCACATGCTTTAGCCTGAAGATTCAAACATACCCATGACTCCGTCGCAATGGATGGAGGTGATACGGGCGCGCGCACTCCTACTCCTTCTGTGTCATCGACAGCCAGCCACCGTGCCGAATTCAAGCACGAGCTCATATGATACTCAACTACCCATCGTCACCCCGGATGATCCGCTGACAGCTTCTCATGACCTTCTGGATCAGCACATTCGGCGCCCGGATTCGGGGCCTCGGCCACTCCCCGCCGGCGCTTCTGATGGCCCTACCTCGTTGTTCGAGCAAGCACAGCCAGCCTACCCGGAGTCGATCGCGTCATACGATACCCACTTCACAGTGGCGACTGATGACCCGGATCTTCCATGCGATCTGTTCGGAGAGCAAAGAATATTCCTTAACTACGAGGCATCTGCCGATCCGCTCTGGGGATACGATGCCCTCCAGCCTCCTTCGAACGCCGACGGAGGTACATTGGCAGAAGCAGCACCGCAGCACGCGCAGATGGGATGCTTTGGATCGCTGCGCTCCTCGCCCTTGCCTTACGTCTTCGATGACGAACAGTTGCCTCGATCTCGAGACACGACCCTGCACAAGATCTCACGCATTTCAGACCCGACAAACGTGAGGGCGCGCCGTCCTATACAGTCTCACTCGCCAACTTGCTCGGCTATGCCCACAACCGCGTCAGCGGCCTTTGACACCTTCAGCCACAATCCTGTCCTCCATTGGGCTGAAGACCTCTATCTACCGACGATGCAGTGGCTAGCTGATAATGCCCAACATGCCCCAACAACGCCAGCCACAGCTCGCCGATCTACTGTCGCCTCAGAATGCCCTCTGCTTGCCGGCGAGCAAAGCATGGAACAGCTAGCTGTCGAAGTCGACACACAGGGTTGTTCTTCGGCTTCCGGCTCGGCTGCTTGGCATCACAACAGTCACCATTCCGATTTTGGGTTGATATCTACCAGTGAGACTAGTAGATCAAGGTCAGTGGCATTCACATCACCTAGCAATGTGTTGCGCAGCAGCGCCGTATCACCCCGATCGAGAAGAAGACAGGTCTTGAAGCAAAGGACAATTGATAAGAAGGCGAAGCAGGCGACCATGGACTCCATCTTGGCCGACGAGGAGTGCGCGCGTCAAGTCGTCAGATCCTACGCGGAACGTGGCTGCACGGGGGTACGCGAGAAGTTCCCAGTCCAGTTGAGTGAAGTATCTTCCCAGCAGCTGGCAGGCTACGCTCGTATGAGACACCCTGAACTCTGGGCTAAGGCGGAGGCGGCGTTCGCTGACCAGAATCCCTCTCTCAAGGGTATCGATCTAGATGAATGAGATGAATCTTGGGGCATAGCACTCGGCCGCGAATACTGGCACCATCCTCTGTCATCGGTATAAGTATACTCCACTCGTACTGACTACGAGCGAGACTCCCAGATCCCTACAGGCTACTACACACGGCCTTACATCCTGCTCATCTGTAAGGACCAGACTGCGTGCGCAAAGCTCAAATCCGCCACGCAGATCGAGATGTCGAGCTGCCTGCAAAAGAATGTACTGGTGTGTTTCATTGGAAGTCATCCCCTCGACACCCTGATGAGCGCTGGCAGTATCAACAGCGGAGAGGGAACCATATCAAAGGACCGCTCCCTCCTTAGACAATGGTGCCCCTGACAGTACCAGTCCTAGCTGCCAATGTCTATGTATTTCCACCATCACCAGTTTCTAGTTCGCCACTCATTGATCCCCTTGGCACGTTGATCTCTCGTCGAAGCCTCTATTGAGCCCCTTACCTATCATGTCCTATTCTAGGGATCCCCCTGTTTCCCCCGAGAGCACGGTTCGGAGTTTGGCTTTGCGGATCGGCTCTGAACAACAGCGCTCCCAGGTGAGGCCTTGTCGCTAGCCGATGATACCTTCTCACATATAATACTCCAAGCTGACATCTCAGAGCGATGGCGTCAATCACAGCGCACAGTCGAGGGGTGCGATTCAAAGTCAGCCCCCCTATCTCCTGCCCTTACCCGGTTGTGAGGCTCCCATGCTTTCGGGTGACATGTGGTCCGCGCTGCCCGACGAGGCAACATTCGACTTGAGTGAGTCCAACGTTGACCTTAAACGGCAGATGGAGGGCTCGGTCTCTCATCAGGACGTCATCGGTGGCACGTACAATGACATCTTCGGCCGGAATGGCTATGGCCTAACCGCAAGTGCGTTTCATCCGTCGCCAGCTGCATCGTCCTACTCTCCACCGTCGGCGCCCGGCCTTCTCTTACACAGCTCCTCTATGGGAGAGGATACCTTCATCAACCCGGGCCACACCTTTTCTCCTTTTGCCTCCCCAAACACTGGGGCAGATCTCGCTTTCTCCGGATTCCCCTCCAATCCCGCTCCAACCTCCTCACTCTCAGAATTGAGGCTCCCTTCCGCTGACGACGAGTTCACAGCCTTCCCGCAGAGCGTAAGTCACTCACGAACTTGTTCTTGATAGGCGACATAACAATTCTGATCATGCAGGGTCGCAGGTTGTCTGACCAACATCTTCGGCCGGCCGATGCCAGTAGACGACGCACAGAGATCAGAGGAGGACGATATCGGCCCATCGCTCCTCAATACTCGACTGCCATTGGTAGCCCCAGGTCTGCAAGCGTAAGCAAATCTTCTCACACCCGGAAGCGAAATGCCAAGCAAGAAAACATTGCCTTGAACTTCGCTTTGAACACTTGGATGAGTCATGAGCAGAATCAGAGAGGTTTCGTCGAGGCCGGTCGCAACGGAGGACTGACCGGTGGGCTCGACCTGATCCAAAAGAGCGAGCCCAGTCAACTCGGCGAGCTCAAAATGCAGCGTCTGAACGCATGTCTCATGAGCCAGTACCCACAGGTGAAGGCTGCTTGCCTGGAGGAGCATGAGAGAGAATATCAGCGTCGAACCGAGGGGCTTGCAATGGCTGCATCGGCTGCGAAAGCTGCTCGTGATAGTCTTTTGCGCTGAGAAAAGACGAATGAGCGCAAGTGAGGGAGCCGAGAGTGGTAATCAGTTGGGTTGGTGTTAGTCATGGCCATCGGTAGAGTTATTCGACGATCTTGTGGGGTAGATATAGATGTTAGGTGGGGAAGATTGTGTATTTGATATGAGCGTTGAGAGGCGCGTACCATCGCCTCCATGCTCATGGTCCATTGATCATGGCGTGGGCCTTCACCGAGCACGCACCCTCTGCTCCTGCATCCAGCCCGTCAAGCTTCTCCATGTCCCCACCGTCCAGCTCAAAGTCGAACAGATCCGCATTGCTCGCTACCCGCTTGGGGTTCTTGGAGGCAGGAATGGGCGAGATACTGTATATCAGCCTAGTGTTCCCGCTGTCAATGAGGCAGAGCCAACTTACCCATACTGCAATGACCACCTGAGAAGCACCTGCCCCACGTCCTTCCCGTGCTTCTTGGCAATCTCGAGCGCGACTGGGTTGTTCATCCGCTTCGGCTCGGACCGGACAAGAGGGCAGAAGGCGACGATAGCGATACCCTTGGCTTGACAGTACCGGACGAGCTCGCGCTGAGGGTACCAGGGCTGAACCTCAATCTGGTTGACGGCGGGAAGAGGGGAGGGGAGCTGCTCAAGCATCTTGATGGAGCTGTACGTCAGCTTGTCCTCTACGAATGCCCTGTTCCGAGCCTATGATGGAAACTCACAGATTCGAGACACCGATCTCCTTGACCCATCCCTCTTCTTTCGCCTTCACAATAGCCTCCCACGCCCTCGCTCTTCCCTGCGGCCCAGGTCTGGGCTGGTGTAGCAGTAGAAGATCCACATACTCCAACGTCGGGACAAAGATCTCCCGGCTTTTTTGAATCTGGGCGAGCACCTCCTCGACGCTCGGACCGGGCTCCTCGACCGGCTCGGGCGGGTTGTACTTGGTAGTGATGAAGATGGCGGAGCGAGGGATGTTCAGGCGGGGAAGAAGGGTTGATAGGGCGGATGCGAGTTCGGCCTCGTTCCCGTATAGCTGGGCGGTGTCGACTGATGGAGTCAGCTTGAATGATTTAACCTGAGAAGCGTAAGGGTCGCAGCTGCTACATATAGATGTGGGAACACGACAGAGATGCTCAAGAGCTTACAGTGCCTGTATCCCGCTTTCAAAGCAGCCTCGACCGACCCAAAGTAGGCATCACCAAAGACGGCCCCGAAGCCCAGCTGGGGAATCTTGGTTCCCGTGTGGCTCGTGAGGTAGCTTTCGATGCTGAGCCTGGACATGATAGCGGTCTCTTTTACACTGGCAAGCAGATGAAGTGGGACAAGAAGAGAGAGAGAGAGAGCTCGGGGAGAGCAGTTGAAGGAGGTGAGTCGGAAACCGGCGCCGGGTACTGCCGGGTGAGGAATGTTGACTTGCGGACGCTGTGCTACTGTACTTGCTGTGCTACTGTACTTGCTCTTCTCCCTCGTCTCCTTGATGATGATGCATCACCAGACTAGGCATATGCAATGAGCAACAGATAGATGATGAGCAGGGGGTCAGAGTACCGGAGAAGTTCAAGGCAAATCCATTCATTAGAGCCACCAAGATACCATACTCATGCTTCCTACAAATGACCTTTGATGACCTAGTACAAGTAAGTGAAGAGAGGGTTCTTGAGATCCGACACGTCCTTCAGCCCCTCCTCGCCAATATGCCCAGCAGCTCCCTCATCCTCACCATACGTCTTGAAAGTCTTGTCCATCGAGGTGTCGTGAATGATTTTCGGGAGCCCCTTCGCCACCCGCTGGCTCTGGCGTCTCTTGTTGAGGAAGAAGAGGTTGACGACCTGTAGACCGATGAGGCCTATGAGCACAATGAATATCACCATCACGCTCTTGAGACCGGGAACGTATCGTGGAGCGTCGGCGGCAGTGAAGAGGAGAGGTCCGACGATGTTTCCGGCGCTAGACGCCCCATTGTAGATGGCCATTGTGACTGACAAGTCAGCTGTTGTCCAAGACGAATGGGTATGAAGAGGGACTCACCGGACTTCTTGGTCTGCCCAGCGGTATTCGCAATGATCCAAGACACAAGGAGAGGGTTCGCGGCGTAGAGGAAGGCGCTGAGGAGTCAGCTCAGTCCACCTTGACTTCAGCTGATAGGATGACTTACAGGAGGTAGTAGCCACCGAGTGAGATGGATTGCTGAGACTGCGTGAGGGCAGGGACACCGTAGGCGGCGAGGGCTTGGGTGTAAAGCATCACGCATCCGCCGACAGCGACGGCCATGAGGAAGGCGAAAATTCCAGCTTTGTTGGAGAATCGCTGAGCAGAGAAGCAACCGATAAGGATGGCGATGGTCTGAAGGGCGCCGAAAGGCATGGTAAGGAGGGTGGTACTGCTAATCAGCCTTGCGTCTTCCCAAGAGAGATAAGCACTCACATGAACTTGTCAAACCCAAAGTTGGCGATCAAAGTAGGCCCAAAGACGTTCGTCACCGACGCGCCGAGATTAGGAAGCATAGCGATACCGAACCAGAGGTACGATTTGGGGTCCATGAACACCTCGAGCGCCTGGTTCCATTTCCATTCGTGCGAACCGGTACCAGTCTGATTGGCACGGAGCCGCTCGACCGCCATGACCTTCTCCTCTTCGGTAAAAAAGCGAGCAGATTGGATGTCGTTATCGAGGAAGAACCAGACGAGGGGCGCGGAGAGGACGGTGATGAGACCAGCGAACAGGTAGAGTGCCTGCCAAGCCTTGAAGCTGCCATTGATGTGGCCACTGTACATTAGCACTACTCAAACATCCCGAGGAAGAGTCACTCACAGTCCGAAAGCGAGGATACCTGCCACGATGGTGGCGATACCGTTGGTACCGTACCAGCAGGCGACACGAAGCGGCTGCTCGGATCGACGGTACCACTGCGCCGTGATGATGGAGAAGAGGGGAAGACACCCGGCTTCGAAGAGACCGAGGAGGAACCGAGTGACGTAGATGCCTTGGTAGTTGGTAGCGGCGGCCATGCACGCGGCAGAGCAACCCCAGGCGAAGACGAGGAAAGTCATGAGGGTGCGCGCGGGGACCCTGACGATGAGGTAGGAGGAGAAGGGCTGCCAGCTGAGCTGAGCGATAGCGTGGATGGAGCCGGCGAAACTGCTCGTCAGCCATGACTCGTACCGATGCGAAAGGACCCGACCCACCTGTACTGGTCGCCAGTCATGCCCAGATCGGTCCTCAACCCAAAGACATTGCCGAGACCAAAGACGACCTTGTCAAAGATCTGAAGGAAGTAGATCCACATGAGAATGGCGAGGATGCGTTTGTCGGTCTTGCGGCAGAGGCGGCGGTTCTACCTGTCAACATAAAGGCGCGTCAGGCAGAGCAAGCGAACTCACGTCTTCCTCAGTAAGGATCACGACCGGCTCGTTGTCCGTCTTGCCGACTGCGTCATGCTCGATCTCATGAGTCGAGTGAGCTTTCTCCATGTCGGTGTGAGGCTGGATAGTGTGGCTCATTGTAGTAGTGGCGAGGGATGAATGAGGGAGAAGGGGAAGAGAGACGGGGATGCTTTATATGACCGGGGCCCATCGGAGAAAAGCTATTTGCGTCTCGGACGGCTAAGGGTCAGCAGATGAGGTCCGGATGTCGGCTCCGGTATTCCGACTGAGCCGCGTTAAGGAATGTGGTATCTGTGTACATGGGCGATCAATACCTTGTCTGTGTGCATGGGAGAACATCGCAGTCACTGCATAGTCAAAGCAGACCACAAGAGAGATCAGAGCGAGTGAGAGAGAGAGAGAGCGGGATGCGCACACATACTGCATAATGCTCCGATTCCAGAGACCCTCCTATACTTCCTACAATTCGACCATTTATCCCACCTCTTACCTAGTACACGTACGTGAACAGCGGGTTGCGCATGTCCGAGACATCATGCAGACCCTCCTCACCCATCGTACCCGCAGCTCCTTCGTCCTCTCCGTACGCCTTGAACTTGGCCTCCATGGATGTATCGTGGATGATTTTCGGTAGTCCTTTGGCGACCCGCTGGCTTTGTCGCCGCTTGTTGAGGAAGAAGAGAACGACAACCTGGAGAGCGATGAGGCCGATCAAAATGATGAATATGATCAAAACGGCACGGATACCAGGAACGTATCGCGGAGCGTCTGCGGCAGTGAAGAGGAGGGGGCCGACGATGTTACCAGCCGCCTGAGGAGTCAGCTAGGTCCACGACTGTATCGAGAGAGCGAGAGCTACTCACAGAAGCAGCGTTGAAAAGTGCCATGACGACGGACTTTTTGGTCTGCCCAGCCGTGTTGGCGATGATCCAAGAGACAATAAGGGGGTTTCCACCGTAAAGGAAAGCACTAGAGGTATCAGCCAGATCCTCCAAGAGAAGCGAATTACCAAAGCTTACAGGAGGTAGTAGCCGCCAAGAGAGATGGACTGCTGGGCCTGAGTGAGAGTGGGAACGCCGAGGGCAGCGGCAGATTGGGTGTAGAGCATGACACAACCACCGACGGCGATCGCCATGAGGAACGAGAGGATGCCGGACTTGTTGGACACCTTTTGAGCACAGTAGCATCCGATGAGGATGGCGATGGTCTGGAGGGCGCCGAAGGGCATAGTGAGGAGGGTGGTACTGGATTGTCAGCTAGCTCTCGCTGATAGTTACGCCACACAACGTACATGAACTTGTCAAAGCCAAAGTTGCGAATCAGGGTAGGTCCAAAGACACCAGTGACGGATGCGCCAAGGTTGGGAAGCATGGCAATACCGAGCCAGAGGTAGGTCTTGGGGTCCAAGAAAGTCTCGCGAGCTTGGTCCCACTTCCACTCGTGCGATCCGGTACCGGTCTGGTTGGCGCGGAGCCGCTCGACGGCCATGACTTTCTCCTCCTCGGTGAAGAAGCGGGCGGATTGGACGTCATTGTCGAGGAAGAACCAGACGAGAGGGGCCGAGGCAACGGTGATGACACCAGCAAAGAGATAGAGAGCCTGCCAAGCCTTGAAGCTTCCGTTAATATGGCCGCTGAGGAGTCAGCTTGATACTTTAACGACCAGATGATGCAAGACCTACAGTCCAAAGGCAAGAATCCCAGCGACGACGGTGGCGATACCGTTGGTCCCGTACCAACAGGCGACACGGAGGGGCTGCTCGGAGCGACGGTACCATTGAGCGGTGATGATGGAGAAGAGTGGGAGACAGCCGGCCTCGAAGAGTCCGAGGAAGAACCGAGTGATGTAGATCCCTTGATAGTTGGTCGCGGCGGCCATACAAGCAGCCGAGCAGCCCCACGCAAAGACAAGGAAGGTCATGAGTTGACGAGCGGGGATTCGGACGATGATGTAGGACGAGAAGGGCTGCCAGGCGAGTTGAGCGATAGCGTGGATGGCTCCAGCGAAACTGATTGTCAGCTCAAGCCTACAAGATGCGAAGCTAAAGCCCACCTGTACTGGTCACCGGTGAGGGCGAGATCGGTACTGAGACCGAAGACGTTACCGAGACCGAATACGACCTTGTCGAAGATCTGCAAGAAGTAGATCCACATGAGGATGGCGAGGATGCGTTTGTCGGTCTTGCGGCAGAGGCGACGGTTCTGCCAGTCAGCGCAGAGAACGCGTCGAGCTGAATTTTTACTCACGTCTTCCTCGGTAAGGACTACCCGCGGCTCATTGCCCATCTTGTCAACTGCCTCATGCTCGAGCTCGTGGGTTGAGTGCGCCTTCTCCATGTCGTCGCCTTGAACGTAGTTTGTTGCGCTCATGTTGGTCAAGAAGCTCTCGTCTGAGGACGCGGGAGAGTAGAATGAGGAGTAGGAGGGGAAATGGTGGGGAACAATGGGGCCCAGCCGTGGATTATATAGCGCCAAGCTTGCTTCAGTCGGTGGACTCAGCAATCGACCAAAAATCCCGGTCCCGGCCAAACGAGCCGGTCTGCATCAAGGGGTTTCATGTAGGCATCTGCTCAATTAGCCGATGTTTGCCGTCTTGGAGCGGGAGATGCCTGGTGCAAGTGGGCGAACCGGTTACAGCCGCGAGGCTTCGCCAAGCTTTTTGCCAAGACGGATCTGCAGGGCACATGATAGCCGGGAGATCCGTGTGCCTGAGTGGCAAATTAGATGTTAGCCAGAGCCTTAGCGCTGAGCGCTCTGGTGCAGCTCAGTGACAGCTGACAGCGCAGCGAAGCAAAGGCAGCAGCCAGTAGAGAGTCGCCCGTGTCAGCTGAGTGCTGCTGGCCTCGGTGATGTCTTTGCGCCGGCCGGTCCGAACTGCTGGAGGTATGCACAGCTCCGGCTGAGGGCCCAGCCAGAGCTCGCCAGAGGTTTGCAGTGCCATCAGGTGTAGACGCCAAGCCCAGTCTACCGGTCGCTGTACCGGTAAGCCGCCTCGCTGCTGGGCTTAAAGTGCGCATCATTCACCGCTGGCAGATATCCGCGCGATTTCCCCTTACTCGGTCCGACCGCTCCCAGCCTCTGAACACGTCCAAGCTGTCGATTAGTCGGAACGGTCATCTAGCAAAGAGCAGGAGCTCGAGAGTGAAGGCTCTGTAGGGCCGGGCTGAAGTGACTTCCCACGCCTTCTAGCATCTACTTCAAGCTTGTCCGCACTCGTACTGCTCGTGCGCAGGTGGCAGAGCGCAGATGTGTGCATGGAAGCGAGAAAGAGCGTTCCCATTGGTTATCGGACAGATCCGAGCCGAGTGCTGACCCGAGCTGACCATCTGGCTCGTCGACGCGGATCGCTCGCGTTCGACTTTCCCACTCATCTCTTCCATCGAGTATATTATCTCCACTGTCCGGAACTCATCAGAACTCACGATATTATCTTCAAAATGCCCTGGAAATCTTTCAAGCTGAACGATGGGCGCCACATCCCTGGGATCGGCTTCGGATCGGCGGGCCACTTGGAGGATGACACGCCTGGAGTGATCGATATGGCCATCGAGGTGGGCTTCGGGCATATCGATACAGCGCAGAGTGAGTCTCCGCCTCTGAGTTTGATCATCAGGCGAAGAGGGGCGAACGAGTGGACCGGGACGGTCTCGCTTCGATACCCCATCTGTCATCTCAGCTCCATATCTATTCCTCAACCCGCCCGAACTTTCAGCTGTTCCGTTACCCCCTCCTCTCCCTTCTTTCCCCAAGAATGTTGCTGACCATTCAGTGTACCGCAACGAAGCAGGCGTCGGCGCCGCCCTGGCCCACACCGACACCCCCCGCTCTCACCTTTGGGTCACCACCAAATGGAGCGGCTACGCTTCCATCCCCCAGTCGATTGACGAGTCTCTCGAGAAGCTCAAGCTGGACTATGTGGATCTGTACCTGATTCACAACGATCGGATCACGGGCGGGGATATCGAGGGGACATGGAAGGAGATGGAGAAGGTGTACAAGGATGGGAAGGCCAAGTCTATCGGGGTGTCCAAGTGAGCTTTCTCTATCTGTCCATCAGTCTATCATACACAGCCCCCGAAATCATCTGGCTCACTCTCTCACGCTGCTGCTAGATATGGAACTGATGTGCAGCTACACCATCGATGACCTCAAGCGTGTTCTCAAGATCGCCAAAGTCAAACCCGTGGTGAACCAGATCCTCCTCCACCCTACCGTCTACCATTCTACCAAGCCCCTCCTCGAGTTCATGGCGGAGCACGACATCCTGGCCGAGGGATACTCGCCCCTCAAGCCGCTGAGAGACGGGACGGCGCCTGGGCTGGTCAAGGTGGTGGAAAGGATTGCAGAGGAGAAGGGGTGTAAGCCGGAGGGGGTGTTGATGGCTTGGTCCAAGGCGAAGGGGTGAGTTATAGTCTCTCTTCCTCACCCATGATGCTCGCCTCCGGATCCGCTGGTACTGGTCCCAAGATGAAGCATGTAGCTGACGACCAGGGTATTACCGATTACCACCTCGTCCAACAAAGATCGAGCAGCGGGTTACATCGCTGCGGGTGGTATCGAGCTCAGCAAGGAGGATGTGCTACGGATCGACGAGGCGGGCAAGAAGGCTGCGGATGTGCAGGAGAGAAGGGGGAAGATGCTGGCGATGGGAAAGGGGATTGGAGCGTGCGTGGCGGTGCTGTACATGGGCTGGAGGGTGCTGGCTTGAGGTTACAGGAGAGGATGGGCAGTGGAGGAGTAGCGTCATGCAGTGTTAGGCATGAATGTATCTTCTGCTAAGCTATTTCTGAGACAAGCAAGAGCAAGTGAGTAGCCGCGTGAGCAGATGGGTTGGACGGCATGAGATCAGCAAGACCAGTCAGCTAAGCTATGAGCAGTATCCAAACCTCAGCTGCCTTGGGGACAGTGATAGCATACGCCCAGAAGACCAGTAAACTAGAGATGCGAAGAGTTGGGTAGTATGCGGCCCGAGAGATTAGCTAGCTATGGATACATCGTCTACTAGGCTAAGCTATCGACCATATCTACACCTAAGCTGCGTTCCTATCATCTACCTGCTTACTACACTTGCGCTGCCTCGCCCCGCACCACATCTCTCGACTGCACCTGTCCCTGCTACACATGCCCACAACAACCCCTGGCCCCGAAACCGTCCAGCCCATTCTCCGCGCCCTCCCCACAGTCTGTACCCCTCGCTCTTTTTCCGCGCCCACATCCCTGCCCGTCCCCACAACCCCGTCTTCCCCTCATACCCTCCCCCATCGCCTAGCGGTACTTCTCCGGCACGTACTTCCGCCAATCATGCTCCTCCTTGAACCCCAGCACCTCCTTGATCTTCTTGTTGCTCAGCGGCGCCTCCCTCTCCCCCAACTCCCTCCACACCTTGACGTTCCCACACTCCTTCTTCAAATACTCCGCCGTGGTCGTATTGGGCAGTGTGATGGTGTCATTCGTCGCGTTGAACACCTGATACCCCAGCCCATCCTTCTTGACCGCCAGATCGCACATCTGCCCGAGGTCCCGCGCGTCGATATAGCTCCACGCGTTCCGCTTCCGAGACGACGGGTCATCAATGTACTTGGGGAAATCCCGCTCGTACTCGTGCGGCTCGACGACGTTCCCGATCCGGAAGACGTAGATGTCCGACTTGAACCGACGGGCGAATGACCGAGCGACGCGCTCCCCGCAGAGCTTGGAGCAGGCGTAGGTGTCCTCCGGATTGCAGTCGTACCGCTCCTCATCCAGGGGGAACTCAAAGTAGTCCGAGTCCCCCTGAGTGAAGCAGACCGAGTAGACGGTCTCCGACGAGGCGATGATGACCTTCTTAATGCCCAGCTTGGACGCCGCCTCGATGACGTTGTAGGTGGACGCCGTGTTGGCCGCGAAAGTCTCGTTGTCCGGGACGAGGAGGTTGCGGGCATAAGCGGCGAAGTGGATGACGGCGTCGACGGGAGGGAGGGAGGGGAGGGAGTATTCCGACATGTTGAAGTGGGAGGAGAGGGCGTTGAAGACTTGGCCGGATTGGGTGAGGTCTACTTTGAGGGTGTAGACGTCAGGGTTGTCGAGGGGGACAAGGTCAAGGTTGAGGACTTGATGACCTTGAGCGAGGAGGTAGGGGATGCAGTGCCGCCCCGCTTTGCCGGAGCCGCCAGTGAATACGATGCGCATAGTGGTGGGGTGTGTCTGTGAGTTTGTGAGTGGTGGGTAAAGAGGGGAGATGGGGATAAGAAAAAGACAAGAGCTTGCCGGGTATATAAGGTCAGCTCGCCCGAGTAGCGCTCGATGACGTCGGGAAATGGTCCGAAAATGGTCCGGTCCGCTCGCTCGCGATCGTGCCGCTTTTGCTTGCCTCCACTTGACTCTTCCACCATCTAATAGCCATCCACCATGACGCCTAGAGCAACTCGCGCAGCAGCCCAGGTCAAGAGGTCTCTCAGCCCAGCACCAGCTGCGCCCACGCCGAAGCGCACACCCAAACGCACGCCGGTCAAGCGGGAGCCATCTGCCTCACCCGCCAAGGTCAAAGCGGAACCGATCGTCACCCCTCGGAAGCGCAAGGCCGGCTCCGCCTCTCCTCTGACCGACATAGAGGATGAGAAACCTACGCCCAAATCCGCCAAATCCCCAGCTACCCTTCGCGACCGCAAGCTCAACAATCACACCAAATTTTCATCCTCCTCCATCTTCCCCACCTTCCTCCACCCCACTCCTGAGGAGTGCAAGCTCGCCCACTCTATCCTCTCTCGGCTACACGGCGAGCGCATCCGGCCAGCGCAGGTCGTAGCGTCCAAAGAGAGAGCGGGGTGCGGCGACTCCCCGTCTGTCTTGGACGCGCTGGTCCGGACTATTCTCTCCCAGAATACCAGCGATGCCAACTCGACCCGCGCAAAGCTCAGTATGGACGCGGCGTATGGCGGATCGGATGAGTGGGAGGCTATTGTCGCAGGCGGGCAGCCGAAGCTGGAGGAGGCGATACGGTGCGGTGGGCTGAGCGCGATCAAGAGCAAGGTGATCTTGAACATCCTGGACCAGGCCAAGGAAAAGTACGGCTCGTACACCCTCGACTCTCTGCACGAGGCGTCGACAGAGGATGCTATGGCGGAGCTACTCGCGCTCAAGGGGGTCGGACCCAAGACAGCGAGCTGCGTCTTGCTCTTCTGTCTCCAGCGGGACGACTTTGCGGTCGATACCCACGTCCAGCGGATCACGGGCCTACTCGGCTGGCATCCAAAATCGTCCAATCGGGAACAGACGTACGCTCACCTCAACGAGCGGATTCCGGCGGAAGACAAGTACGGGCTGCATATCTTGTTTGTGCTTCATGGGAAGGTGTGTGCCGAGTGCAAGGCGGGCGGGCGGAATGCGGGACAGTGCGAGCTAAGGAGAGCGTTCAAGGGGGGCGTTGGGGTCAAGGAAGAAGAGGGTGAGGTCAAGGCTGAGGAGGTCAAGGGGGAAGAGCTTCAGGAAATGGAAGACGATAAGAAGGGTATCGTGCAGGATGTGAGTATTGTCAGCTAAGGACCGGATCGAGCTGATCGATAGGAACTACACGGCTCAACTCAGCCTTCCGCCAAGATCGAGCCAGAATCTTAGCGGCGGTGTGACTAGCGGTATCAGATGGGGTCAGGTCAGTATTGCGGGTATGAGTATCACTTTGGGATCGGCTCTGATTTGTGAGTCCGCTCCTCCTCACTCAAACTACCATGCCATCCGGCCACAGCTGACTTTCAGATCACCGTCACGTACACTCCACGCCATCCGTCCCCCTCCTCGACACACTTGTCAGTCAGCTCTGTCCCCACGCCCCTTCCATGTCGTTCTAGGACCGTCTATCCCGCATGCACATCGTCAAGAGTCTCACCAGACCTATCCCAGCAAGAGAGTTCCGATCAGGAACCCTTGCACACACTCCCGCCCGTTCCTGCTCTGCTCCCCCTCGTTTCAGCTTCAGATCTACCATCCTTTGAGCTGACCTTGGCTCCTTGGCTGCTGCCTTCCTGCGAAGCTTTTCGATCTCTCTCCACAGCTGCTACACTGCCTTGCCAGAGTCTGCTCTGCCATCTCCTAGACAGCTTGACCACCGCTGCTACTTTACTTGCCGCGGAGTTGAGGCATAAAGTTACTCGCTTCCCCACTCTTCCGGCTGATCGCCACCCGGTCGGGAACGTTTGCCGTAATATCGGACCTTCTCACCCCTTGCCCTTGCTCGCCTTCCTTAGCTATCTCTTGCTCTCCATCTATATCTCTTGGCGACCTTGTTCTCATTCATCTACCCTATCATCATATATCAGCATCCATCTTATCAACATAGAGACGATATGCTCCAGCTGAAGAACAGCCACAGGAAAGGCGCATAGCTCTCAATCCCGCTCGTCAACAAACCGCATCTCGCCCTTATCTATCGCGCAGGATCTCGGTCCTGCGGCCTCTAGCACTCCCCTGTGCCCGTCAGCATGCTCGAACAATCACACAACATGGTCCCTATCACTCCCCAGCGTCCGTCCGGGCGCCATCTCAACTCGTCGTCCACATTCGACTCTACCCTCTCGTCCTCATCCCCGGGATCTACCTCTACACTCCCCTCATCCGCGCCAACCCCGTACAACACCGTCATTCCGTCCACACCGGACCATGATATCTCTTTTGATACAGAGTCAGCCTTCGGCTCTTCCTCTCGCCTCACTTCTCGGGCGGGCGGGGACATGCGGATGGAGTATCTGTATAGGGACCAAGCGGAGTCATCACGTCCGGGACAGAGTCTCGGCGGGGATAGCTCGTCACCGTCTCGACCAACACCTACCTCCTCGCGCCATCCCAGCAGCTTCTCCAGCTATGCCGGAAGCTCGCATCACCTTCTTCCCTACACACCGCCAATTCGGGATCCGCAAATCCAGTCGTTCTCCATCCCGTCCTCGGATCGACCCGTCCCTCCCCCACTCTCCCTCGGCCACTCATCCGCCTCCGGCCCTGATGCCAAGTCTATCGACGAGGACATTGGGAAAGGCACATTCGAGGCGTCGACTCATCCCGCCTATCCCACCCCTTCCCTCTATCGTCAACCCACCGCCGCAACCTCCACGTCCGCATCCGTCCCCGGCTCGCTCGCCTCCCGTCTACTCCGCCGGCGCAGACCTGGTCACGACTCTGGGCCGGACGCCAATACTCAGGCGGATAGGGATGCGCTCCGGCTCCAGCAGCTAGGGTATGATCCAGTGTTGGGGAGGGACTATACGTTCTGGTCGAGTTTGGCGATCAGCTGGTTGAATATTGGGTGTATACAGGGGACGGTCTATGCTGTATCGGGGGCGTACTCGTTTGGTGGGCCGTTGATGATTGTGAGTGATCTTTCTTTCGTGCGGATAAAGCAGCGTCGAGCAGATCTATGAGTGAGGCGGGATGAGGAGAGCGATTGGGTAGGAGGGCAGAATGCGAGGGGAGAGGCAGGTGCGGGTGGAAAGAGGGATCTGCGGGACGATGAGGCGCTAGGGGAGGGAGATCCGAGAGGGCACGGCAGCGGTAGGGTGATGGAGCGAGCAGTGATGACGAGGGATGAGGGACACCAAGGGCGGACGAGGAAAGCGGTGGTGCAGACGGCAGAGTTGGAGGCGACAGTGAGGGGATGGCGCAAGTCGAAGAGCGGATCGGGATGTTGGTCGGCGGACAGAGGACGAGCTTGGGGAGTAGGCAGGAGAGACAGCAGGTGGTTTGGGTGGGATACCGGAGCGGGTCTTGAGCGTGACGGATGGGGACAAAGAAGAGATGGGCTGGGACCACCTCTACCTGTGTCAGCAGCTGACCCTCAGCTCGTCATGTGGCCCCTCTCCGGGATATGGACCATCTTCCTCACCCTCTCTCTCGCCGAACTCGCCTCCGTCTACCCAGTATCCGGCGCGATGGCATCATGGGCGTGGAAAGTTGCGAGAGGAGGAGTAGGGTGGGAGAGGTGGTGGGCGTGGTTGATGGGCGGGGTTGTTCTTGGGGGACATGTTGCGAATGTGAGTTGACTGTCTACGGGGAATAGATGCTGTGGATGAAGGAGAGGTGGGAGAATGGGGGGATGGGGGGATGGAGAGGGATACATGGACTCGGAGGATGAGTCGATCAGCTGGACGGTGTTGGGGATGAGCGGGAAGGGGGGCACGCGGGGCGAGAAGTAGAGACAGCAGCCGAGAGGGAGGTACTGTTGGGGTATTGGGAGACAAGTGGGATGGTCTGCCGCTGGCGAGCGAGCGAGCGAGCAGGGACATCGTCAGCGACCTTTGAAGAGACAGTAGCTGACACACAGGTCCTGCTGGTAACTTGGCAGCTCGTCAACATCGTACACGGTATCATGGGCCTCAGCTTCGACTATGACTACAAGCCATGGCATGGTATCTTGTTCTACCTCGTAAGTTCCCCTTTCTCCGACTCTACTCGCTGCTCTCCTTCACAAGGATGAGCTTAGCTGATCTTGCAGACCGTCCTCTTCGTATGCGGTCTTGTCGGCTCGCAGGCCTGGGGTCGATCACACCGCTTCTGGATCTGCGCAGGGATCTATGGAGTATGCGTCTGGTTGATACTCTGCGTCTCTCTGCTAGCATCCTCTGGCGCTCGGTAAGTCTACTCTTATACTGCTAAAGCTATGCGATCATGGTCGGAGCTGATCACGCAGCCACTCATACTCCGTCTCGCCGAGTCTCTTCCTCAACAATACGGGATGGGAGTCGAGGCCGTATGTCTTCATATTGGGCTGGGAGTACTGTACGATTGCGTCTGGGCATGACGCTTCGGCACAGTGAGTCTGCTTTCTCTCAGCCATCAGCCCGCTCTCCGCGTCCTATTTCGTCGCGCCTCCGTCACAGCTGAGACGCTGGACCGAGCTGACTATGCAGCATGGCAGAGGAGACGCAGAACCCCTCTCGCAATGTACCGAACGCGATGGTCTGCGCTATGGCCCTGGTAAGTTCTGTCTTGGTCCTCTCGTCGCGAGCTACAGCTGACTCCATAGACCTATATCTGCGGGATGATCTCGATCAGTCTGCTCTTGCTGTCGATCAACCCGGAAGATGCTGCTACCGTAGCGGAACATACCTTTGCAGTTGTGAGTCTCGCTATCCTCATTCTATCTCCCTCCAAGTCTTTATCTTCTCCATCGTGCCCATTCGTCTCGGCCATGAAGACTCAGCTGACGATGCAGGGCTTCATCCTTACTCAAGCCATCAATCGTCCCGCTGCTATCGGCATCTGCACCCTTCTCATCTTCACCCTCACCGTCCAAATCATGGCTCAGCTCCAAGCATCATCTCGCTTCGTCTTCGCCATGGCTCGGGACAACGCTATGCCCTTTGCTGCCTCGATCAGACGTACCAACGCCCGGAAACAGCCGATCGTGGCGCACTGGCTGGTCATTGCGCTCTGCGTTCCGTTCTCGCTTTTGGTGTTGGCGGGGAAGGGGCCGGTGTATTCGGTGCTGGCGGTCACGGCGAGTACGCTGAGTTATCTGGGCTATGTGAGTACATCTCTTTGGAACTGAGCAAGTGGGGATCATGTGGACAAGGTGGCTGAGGTGGGGAGGTATGGGAGCGGAATGAGAAGATGGGATGTCCAGCGAGGCATAGCTATGGGCAAGGGCAGTGGAGGTCAAGGGGTCTGGACTACTACACCGTGCGGTTATGGCAGCGATGGAGGGATAACCAGAGAGGAGGGCGTATGCCTTGCGCGAGCTGGGTGTAGCGACAGGTTGAGATGATGGAAGATGATGGAGTTGAGCGGTGAAGACACGAACACCCTGTGAGCGCTGAGTGCTGATCCTCAGACCACACCTGTCCTACTCTACCTCCTCTCCGGCAAGGATCTCCGCACCGAGGGAAGATCCTCCTGGTCACTCCGCACCAAGAGCAAGATCATCGGAACCGTCGGCGTCTGCTATGGTATCGCCGTCATCTCGCTATCCATGGCTCCTGGAGAATACCCCGTCACTGTCCGTGAGTATCAGTCTCCTCTCTTGACTTGATCATGCTCGATGAGCGGTCACCCTTGGACGTGTAGATGGATTGCGCTGATCCGTGCAGAGAGTATCAGCTGGGGACCGGTCATTCTCGTTGGGACTGTAGCGGTCTGCCTCCTCACTTGGCGCTTCTACGGTATGTTCAACAGCTTCTGCTTACTTGCTGGGGGGTGATAGCTGATCTGTCAGGGATCAAGCACTACTCCGGACCCATCAAAGCAGTTACCAAGTGGGAGACTGGTGTCGAGATCGACCTTCAATCCGCCATCACCACTCAGCGAAGTCGACCAACCGATCCTGGCGCCGATGCGGACTACTTTGGGCCTACCGACCCGGGTTCCAAGGCTCGAGGGACGATACCTGTCTTTGTCCAGACGGCGGATGATTCTGAACGGCAGACATCGACGAGAGGGACGGGTGGGACGGGCTCGGAGTGGACGGACGCGACGGCTAGTTCTGCTTCGGGACAGACTGCGACGCGGGCGGAGATGGGCTCGGACGCTGGTATGGAAATGAGGGAGAGGTTGGACTCGGAAGATCTGAGGGGTGTGGTGGAGATCTTGAGGGAGTCAGGGGAGGGAGAGGAGAGGCATCGGGGAAGATAGCGGGCGGGAGACGAGAAGGGTATCTCTTTTGGGCGAAGTTGGGTGATCGATCTGGGGCGAACAATTGTATAGCTTAGACCATATTGTATAGCACCAGATCTATGGCTGTGTATGATCTGGGTCCATTGCCCAGCCGTCTGGCATGTCAACCGCAGCCAGATCGCGTCGGCGGACTTTCACCGTCTGGGCAGCGAACGCCGTTTGGCTGGCGTCTGGCCGTTTGGCTGGGCGAGGCGTCCGTCTGGGATGCGAGGGGTTGGCCCCGTCGATCGAGCGTCATTAGCTATTAGAAAGTACTGCTTTGGGTGTTTACTTTGTATTGAAACCATCTTCGAGCCGAAGGCTCTGCTCGGGGCAACGTCGTTCGCCTGTCTATTGGATTGTATCAATAGAAGGAAGTGCAGGATCTAGGGTAAATGAGAAGAAGGTGGCGCGACTCATTCCACTGTTTCATCCATTAGGCGAAACGGACTGGACGATGACGATGTCATGCTCCGGGAGCGCGAAGCAGGTTCCGGGGATGGTGCCACACTCGGGAATATTCGGCTAAGCCAGCCGCGACCTGCCCGATCGATCCCGACCCTTCTTGGCTCTTCGCTCCATCCCCCTCCCTCTTCTTCTTTGATCACTCGTCTTGCTCTATGCCCTCTTGACTGCGCTTCGAGCCACTCCTCCCTCATGATTCGTTGCCTGGTAAGTGCGTCTCGATAGCTGCGGGGTGATTGATGTGGGTTAGGGGTTAGGGGTGATTGATGTGCATACTTATTGCTAGGGTTAGGGGGTTAGGGTTAGGGGTTAGGGGGTTAGGGGGTTAGGGGGTTAGGGGGTTAGGGGGTTAGGGGGTTAGGGGGTTAGGGGTTAGGGGGTTAGGGGGTTA